CCTGATCGACACGATCTTCATGCTCAGATGATCCTTTCATTTGAATTTTTAAAAGACAGCCATACCATCAGTATCTTATATCATATGACTATATGTAACAGTACTGCAACTATCCCACCGGCTTCATTACCTGATCTACATCATCTGTCTTGTCCAATACTGTCAGCGAATTCAAGTGTTGTTCAGTACTGGTTAAAACAGAAGGCACAGACTGGAGGTAAGAGAACCGTCTCTTCTTCGGAGCCTTACCTCCACCAGTGTTATCAGCCGCCGCAGCAATACGCATCATCAACAAGTGCTCTGACTCGCAGTCCGCAATCAGCTATAGCCACCATTAGAAGTCATTTTCTGATAACAAACAAATGCGGGCAAACGCCAACTCACCTTCATCCCCAAGCGACTCACGATCATGACAGTGTCAAGTCGTGTAAGAAACTTGCGACCTACGTTTGCCCCATTTTGACTCACGTGCTCACGAAGCCGAAAGTTTACTGAAAGCTCAACGAGCTCACCGGCACGCACCATGTCAAGGGATGACTGCACAGGAGTAGACCACCTACATAAACACAACATCACCTCAAGCAATGCAGACAGATGATTTCATATCATGACATACCTGTCGTCATACTCGCCCTTCAGCTCCATGCATGACACAACATTGTCTGATGTCCACGAGAGCCTCCCACCAGCAACTAGCTCTGCCAATGCACCATACGGGTCAATAACCATGTTCAGATCGGCACTGTCAAACAACGGTGCTTCCACCATAGGCGTGAGCACACGTGTCTCTGCAATAAAACACGGCATGGCACCAAGCCAGACATCATCAATTACAGATGTCTTTCCACAGCGTGCATGCATTTCCATGAAACGTAAGATGTTTGATCGGGCAGTGATGGCTCGCCGGAATGCAGGACCTTCACCGGCAACCACAACAGTCTGCAGAGCGAGATTCGGATTTCCTCTCGGCAGCCTAGATACGAATCAATCACATCGGCAAGCAGCTTGTGAACTGCAGAAGTGACAAACCTGAATGAGCGCCTGAAAGGGGGCAGAAGACTCATCTGAGAAACAAATCCAGACACACGCAGTGTAACCTCCTCGCGCGAGCTTCGCCACACCAGGTACAAATACCCACCCGAACCGACCTGAACATCAAATTGACGCTCAACTGTCTCGAACTGATCGTACGTCTCGAGCAGGAACTGCGATCCCTGTCCATCGGCACCCATTTCCGGATTCGGCGCCTTCGTACGTGTGGTCCACTCGTCGAATAATTTCACTGACCAAGATTCAGCCATCATCCAGTCCCATCACGAAAACAGAAACTCGACGCACCACAACGCGCATCCTGAAAGACCTTTGCCATCGTGTCAGAACTCAGGTGAGCCTCCAAATTCATTTTGATCGAAAGCAGCAAGATTTTTACTAAACTTTATACACCAGTGTCAATTGCCAGCAAGACACGATCAACGAGCAAGAACGAACACACCGGTGGAGGTAAGTAGCCATCCACAACGACCGACGCTCGCCCCCGCACGACAAACTGTTCGCGCGTCAGATTCAAATCTTACCATCGCGCCCAGCTCATTGTGGACACGCGCCACTGCTGCGCGTCAAATTCGGCGCACGTTCATGACCGCTCTAGCCACATCTCCACCACTGACACGGACGGTCGCCGACGTTCTCCGCCACCATCGCCAACTCGGCCGCGACATGCAGCAATACCAACACGGAACCTCGCCCGACCCAAACGCGCGTCCCCACTGGGAGCGCGTTCGCGACCGCTTTCCGCAGCACCTCGACCGCGGACGGCCTCCACCACCTGCATTCTCGCCAATGCGACGACCACGCAGACCTGCCGTTGGAACGCCAATACCGCGCCTGGCCGACCACAAAACATGCGCCCCCCCTGCGCACGCAGTTTCCTCCCCCCTCTGGCTCAGGTTTCGCGATCGCGCGCGGCTTGACCACCACGCGGACCTCCCGGCGTGCCAACACCAATCCCGCGCTGAGCTTCTCGCAAAACACGCGCACCCGCTCGGGTGCATATTTTTCTCCACTATTTTACTTACACTTTGCTGACATCCAGCAGTCCCAACACCGCACCTCGCCCGACCCAAATGCGCGTCCCCACTGCGCGCGCAATTCGGCGCGCGTTCGCGGCCCCTCTCCACAGCACCTCGACCGCCGACACCCTCCACCACCTGCATTCTCGCCAATGCGACCACCACGCGGACCTGCCGTTGGAACGCCAATACCGCGCCTGGCCCACCGCAAAACACGCGGCCCCGCTACGCGCGCCGCCACCTCGACTCTCTCCCTCACACTTCGCGACCGCGCGCGGCTTAACCAACACGCGGACCTCCCGGTGTGCGAATCCCAATGCCGCACCTAGCCCATCGCACAACACACGCACCCGCTCGGTGCGTATTTTTCTCTGCTATTTTGCTTACATTTTGCTGACATCCAGCAATGCCAACATGGTGCCTCGCCCGACCAAAACGCGTGCCTGGACTGCGCGCGCAATTCCGCACGCGTTTGCGCCCCTCTCCACAGCACCTCGACCGCCAACACCCTCCACCACCTACTCTCGCCAACCGGACCACCACGCGGACCTCCCGTTCGAATGCCAATACCGCGCCTGGGCCACCGCAAAACACGCGCCCCCGCCGCGCGCGCTGCAACCTCGACCCTCTCCCTCACACTTCGCGACCACGCCCAGGTCGACCACCGCCCGGACCTCCCGTTCGAACGCCAAGGCCGCACCTTGCCTCTCGCAAAGCACGCACCTGCGCTGCGTACACAATTTCCTCCACACTCTCGCCCCCGTTTCGGCACCGTGCCCAGACAGCGAATGCCGACGGACATGCCCCAACAGTCGCACCGCGAACAACTCCCACCTCGCCCGATTTCCTCTCGCAACCGCCACCATGGCCTCCGTCACTGATGCTCCTGCAACCACCACTGGCAGCAAACGCAAGATGAGGCATCTGTCACCGTCCGCACCAGTGCCTTCACCCGCAAAAAGGCAGAAGCCCGAAGACAGCGACGACATGTAAGTCTTCATACCCACTCACCGCCATATACCAGCCAACATGCAGTTCTTTGCAGATTCTCGCCGACAGCACACACTGACTCCACCGCATCCGATACTCCCACAGACGATGCTCACGCCAGTCACCGACCCGACGAGACTCCCGGTAAGCCCTACCGCAACAAAGGAAAGCACGTCGAGAAAACCAGGACACCGTGAGTCGCTGTTTGCCACCAGACAGACACTTCCGCTAACTGCACCATATATACAAGAACCGAAGTGCTCCAGTCGCTGTCGAAACTCAGGTACGCCCTTTGGCAATTATCCACTGTGACTCACACTGACACTTTCTTGCAGAGAAACACTCGCCGTGACACGTGCCATGAACAACGTGTTTGTCCTCATGCAACCCATGTATCTCAAGAGGGCATTCCCTTCGAACATCGCCGAGTACGTCCATTTGCCCTTGCTTTTTCTGCCATACTACTAATCGACCCCAAAGACGTCTGGACCACGTCTCGATCGCCACCGCACACGACATCATCAATCTCGCGACCGCAGACCCCACAGCACTCCACTTTGTCACCATCGGAGCCTCCGACTACCTTCAGCTCAAGACGAGCACCCATCTCACGCTCTTCTCTGTCGTCGGCTCCGTTACCCACAGCGACCTGATCAGTCCGAGCGGTCGCAGCCGTCAACTCTGCGTTGCACCATCAGCACTCACCTGGCCACGTGCGGCCGCCGTCCTGGGTGCCATTCTCAACAGACGAACACTCGTCTTCCCGTCGTTCCATGCCGGCCTCTCCTTCTCGACAAGGTTGACCACTGGCACCTCAAACACTCCAACCAAGATCCGCGGCATGGCTCCCGCCACTCCGGTGAACGCACAACGCGGTACGTGACGTCTCGCACTACAAAATGTTCGCTAACGCACCCTGCAGGTCCACCCCCCGTGCTGCCGGCCGATCGAGATGGTAAGATCGCCCCCAACCTTCTCGCACATGCGCCCTAACTCACTCCTCCCGCAGTGCCGACTTTCGACGGGTGTAAGCCCTTCAAGTTCTCCATGCGCTCCATATCGATGCTTCCCAAAATCCACGACGATCTCTCCACAGAGTCTGCCGTCCTCCTGCTCTTCACTCTTGGGAAGTACATCAAGAGCCACCCTGAACTCGACGACGAAAACGCCGACACCACTATCTCCCTCAACATCCAATCCATCGTCCTTCTCGCCAATCCGGGATCGATGCCCCGCGGCTTCCTCGAGGACGAGCCCATGCCCCTCCTCGGAGTCTTCCGACCGAATTCCGAGCCTGACCAACGCCACTCGGATGACAGCGACGACGATGATGCCTCGCTTGTCTAGTTTTTTCCATTACTGTAACTATCACAAATGCCTGTACTTGTACTATACGTATCAATCACACACCCTTGCTCATACAAAAACTGTGAGCACCCCGTCGGAGTCGGGGAATGGCGCTCGCGCCGCTACGATGTCTTTACATGGACAGCAAACATTTTCGGGACAAGCGGGCGAAGATTGCATTGGTCGTCTAAGCACGTTGAGGCTCTGAATATCTGACGGACTTCGCCGTGCAGCAACCGTGCAGATGGCACTTGGTTTCTCGGATTAATGATCGGCGAGATCGGCAATGCACGTGACACACGCGGTTATAATGATTGTGCGAAATTGCTTTGCTTCGAACCTGCTTTCAGTAGCAAGCAGCCCCCTACTCTTTCACACTGTATCACTATAACCTATACCTCCAGTCATGAGCCCTTCGCAGTCGTCGTCTTCTGGGCCAAATTTTAGATATCCAGAAAGTGAGTAATTGTCATTCGCCCTCGGATGAAATCCATTCAGTTAGACCTTTACTGTTCTCCAGATTTCACCCGCAGTGGTGAGAGGCGCTGGCACTGCAACATTTGTACGTCCACGCGCCGCTCTCACTTTAAGTCGATGACGGCTGCCGCGGCAAAGGCGCACGAGCGTTCCAAGCAGCACATTCTTAAGGCCGACAAGCAGGAACCCTGGGAGTGGGAGCCTGCGAATAACTGCCAGTTTGACCTGTCTGCTTGGGAACCACAGAGCAGGACCTTCGCAGATCTCCGTGTCAACCTGATCAATGACTACGTGCCGTTCTGGAGGGACGGCGTCGAAGCTGCGGAGGCAGGAGGGAAGCCCACAAGTATGGAGATTTTCTTGTCGCGGTTCGATGACGATCCCTGGGGCTGGAATAATGATTCGGGGGACAAGGCGAGCGACGGATGGAGTAAGCCGCTCAGTCGGGCGAATGCTGCCGATGATTGGGGATCGCCCGCGCAGGAGAAGAACGAGTGGGGCGGCAAGGGTGTGCAGGACAAGAGTGGATGGGGAGCTGGTGCGGTTGCCGGTGGCGGAAACACAGAAGAAGACCCACAAAACCACAGCGGGTGGGCAGGTGGGGAAGCTGGTTGGGATGTGCCAGCACTCGTGCCCGACGCGTCGAGGCCGAACGAAGATCAGAACGATCGGTCCAGTGGTCGCAAGAAGTCGGGTGGCGGCCGCGTCAGGAAACGCAAGTATAATTGGGCCGACGTCCCTGACCGTGATGCTTGGACTTTCGTGGAAAAATACGCTCGCGAAGAGGATGCCAGCCCGGAGAGACGACAGCAAATGCATCAATTTTTCGAGGTGAGCATGCATGATCGTACTTTTCTCCGACGTACTCATGACTGCAGATGCCTACGCATCTGAAAGTCCAGAAGATCGAGGAAATGATACATTTACTTCGAACTGCAGCGTAGGTCTATCGTTGCTTCCCCGTCCGCACCCGTTATCCAACGACATCCATGACTATTCGCATTCGCATCATCATGCTTGAGGTATACCATCACTCGTACTATTTTCATGCTCCTTCTGCATCTCGCTGATTTTATTTTTGTGCTACTGTGCATCGCAAGTCTGGAATTTTATGCTGTATCCAAAACTATGTACCCCTGCTGTCATATCTGGAATATCTTCGTGGACTGTTACACACCACAACGGGCCGCCATAGCCTGCACACAGCCAGCGACCGCCGGCGCTTGCACTGCCACATCGGGAATGAACGTTATACGCACAGGATGACGTCAGCAGGGACTCCATATAACCAACGGTCGCGGCAGGCACTAAGTGCCTTAAGGCCTTTGACTCCTCTCAAATTTCCGACATGAGTTTCAGTTTACCGAATTTACCGGACGGCTGGGTTCTACAGTATGATGAACGCACTCAGCATACTTTCTGGGTACGTCGCTGCGGATATTGATATCCGTGAACTTACCCATTTCCTGACCTGTGTTTAGGTAGACACAAGAGCAACCCCACCTCGTTCAATTTGGGTGCACCCCTACGAGGATGAGCAGTTCCTGGAGGAACATCCTGATATCCGCGAAAGACTTGTGGCGGTTCGCGTCCAGGGCCCGCCAAATGGCACGCCTCCACCATATTCACCAAGGCGCCATTCATTCTCTGAAGGATCGAGGCCCGAGTCAAATGCTTACTTGGGGGTTGCCAATGTCGACGGAAGGGCGACTTCTCAACCCCCTACCCCAACTGCTGGTACGGAGAAACAACATCACCATCGGGGCTTCTTTGGGAAGATGAAGGATAAAGCAATAGGTACGAAAGAAGAGAGAGAAGCTGCGAAGAGGCAGAGGGCAGCAGAAAGGGCGGCGGTGAGTGGGTACAATATTTGATGTGACATTTATTAATGTGACGCGCAGATGATGCAGCAACTGGCGGAGGAGCGCCGTCAGCAGAGGTTATCTTCACCATATGCGTATGGGAATACAGGCTATTCCCAATCAACCTACGGTGCACCAGCAGGTGATCCGCTCCTCGCAAGAAGGAGCAGAACGGGAGGTCGCTTTGGAAACAATGGCTTCGGTGGCGGTGGCTTTGGCGGCGGGGGCATCGGTTTACCACTCCTGGGCGGCTTGGCAGGAGGACTACTGCTGGGTGAAGTGTTGGATGATTTTGGTGGTGGCTGGGGAGGCGGATTCGGTGATCCTGGGTTTGGTGGAGGCTGGGATAACGGGTTTGGTGGCGGTTTCTTCTAGATCTGAGCCCAGCGGACTTTTTTGGCCGTAACTGCATTTCTTCTACGAGGCCACGCACAAACATGCTCATGGCCAGTATATACCGTCGACAGTGTAGCTCTGATCGTACCATAGATCTTCTCCATCTCGAGATGCGTGACAACTCTCAATGCCCGAGGTCACAATCGGTGACGCGGACTGCGCGGTGTGTGCTCCGAATACATACTCGTCGTTGCCGGTGGCATCGAGCTATGCCTTGTTACTGAGCCCTCACCCTCCAACATCGTCCAAGGCGTTTGGAAAATTCTGTCAATTTCTACGGATCATACAAGTGCACGGCACACTGACTGAAGTCCAGGTGATATTGGCCTCAGTATTCAGACCCGATGGCACCGTCACTGCCGTCTTCACTCAGTCCGCATATCTGCATATTATCTTCCCCAGACCTTGAAGAGGTCTTTGAGTCATCAGGGCTGCCGCCTTTACCTCAAATTTTGCAGTCATTTGCCCCTCTTCCCCAAGGTACGTTCCGGCCATATATATATTTTGTCGGTAAATCACTTAATGCGCTTGATTTCCCTCTTTTCTCGATTCCCGCAACTTCATGGTCTTTACAAACAATCAGTCACCACCCGCACGATATCACTCACTCCCGTACCCCACAGTTCTTTCGCCCTTCGTTTTTCCGACCTGGTCGAGATTGAAACCGCGACGCACGAAGATGATGAGCAGCGGGCAGCACGAACAATGGATTGGATGGCGGCGCGTATTGCAGGGAGGTGCTCACGCTGGGTTGATTTGATGGAGAGTCAGGCAGCAAGCAGCAAGGACAGTGTATGGAGAGACAGAACACCGTGGTGGGAAGAGGTGAAGAGGTGTGTCGAAGGAGACCACGTTCCGAACAGCATGGAAGGGTGGAATCATCCTGTCGCAGGTGCGATCTCATACGTATTGGCTCTCAAATGAGGATTCTGATCCAGTTCTCAACTTTCGACGCGTAACAGTAATAATAGCTGTATCGACAAATGCTGTAAACCCTCTCCAAGCTCTTCAAGACCTACATGCCCGTGCCATCGACTTCCCACCATGGGTAGATGGCACTCACCTCCGATACTCTCTGATTGTACACCCTGCGAATTCTCCGCTGGCTGATCCAATGTATGCATTTATTGTATGTTATACCAGACAATGCGCGGTTTTATTAATTTGTTTTCTCAATTCCACAGAGCAGAAGCGCTCTACAATGCAGTCAAGAAGCAGTATGGGTTACACAGTTACCTTCTCCCCCTGGCTCTGCCAACCTCTCCTTTGCCAGCTCCGGTGCCTATTCCTCCTCCAATACCCCGTCTGCCGACCCCATCCGCATACGAAACACCACCTCTTGCACCTTACACCCCTCTCAGTGGTCTCACAGCTCCCGCCACACCTACACTAACGATGTCTCCCATGCCTCGATCTCCTAGGCCATCGAATCTCATGGCAGACCAACGACAACCAACTCCTACTCCTAATACTGCAAACGCAAGTACACTACGTCTGAGCGAGAGGGATATTCAGCAGACCGGTAAGTTCGTCCGTGAGTTTGTCGTGATGAGCCTCGTGCCGTGGATGGAGAGATGTGTTGTAGAATGGAACGAGACAGTACGTGTTTCTCCTCTTACGTCATCGATAACGGTCGTATTGACTTTTCGTCTTTGAGTACTCATCATCGCGCCGCTTGCCGTCTCGTCTCTTCTCTTCTACGCGGCGTCTCTTTGGGTCTTCCGCTCCGGCTTCCCCTGCTCCTCCAACACCAAACCACGGTTCGAACTCATCAGTCTCATCTATGTCTTCTCGCTTCACACACGGCCCAAATAATTCTGTCAGTTCGATAACTTCGACAAGCTCTTTCGGGACTATTATTGGTGGAACAGTCACTCAGCAGAGACGACTGGCTGAGTTCGCGACAATGCTAGGCGATCACAAGCTTGCTGTCACGGTGTGGGAGGCCTTGCGAAAGGATTCAAAAGGAGGTTCCGTGAGTTGTGTTGTTCTATCTAATGTTGTTCTAGCCAATGCTGTTCTTAACTGCTTATTCGATTGGTTAGGATGTTTTACCCATTCTTCTAGCTCCGTCTCCAGCATTGGCATTGCATGCTTCAAATGCCCTCACAGCGCTGCAATCTCAGCCGCAGTTATCTTCTGAGGCTCCCGCTTTGGTGCAGCTACGCGGACTCGTCTACGCAGTGCGGTGGGACATAAGTGTCGACAAAGTCGATTTTGTTGGTCCCGTTCTGGAAGGAGAGAGGTGGCTGGTACAGGCTGCCGGTAGTGTACGTCGCATTCCTACTCTCACGCAGAACTATCTTCTTACAGCCTCTCAATCCCTGTGGTCATCGCGAGCTGCGTGGCTGACAGAGATGGAGAGGCGCAAGGAGGTAGTTTTCATACTATTGGATGGGGAATGGACTAAGGACTGATTTAAGGCAGATGAACCTCCCGCTGCACTCCTGCTCGCCCATGCCGCATTCCTTAGCGAGAGGAAAGGGAGACGGAGAAGATCCGCACTCTGGTATCTGTCCGCTGCCGACAGACTCGAAAAGGCCGGTATTGTGAGTATGTCTTCCGTGTGTGGACTGAAATTTCGGCCAATTGTTGAAACATCAAGCTTAGAAACCTCTGGCGATGCACTTCTTTCGGAAAGCACATCATCTGTACAAGACTCCTCCGGCGGCGCAGATTTCACCATCGTTCTGGGAGAGTGAGGATAAGGACCCCAAGGACTGGCGAGGTTTCGATGACGTTCTGCCAGGAATCGAGCACGAATTGGGTCAGTTCTACGTCGGTTAGATCATGGACCATGGCTCACAGACTCGCGAGGGCAGGTCGACTTATGTACACAACCGGTAATACGGAGGGGGCAGTTCGGTATTTCCTAGGATTGCTGCGATGGTGCTCTTTGCATCCACAACTTCCGTCGCATTCAGCGAATGGCACCGCATCATCCGAAGTGAAGCCAGTCACGACCGACAAGGTCTATCTGGAGGATTTCCGGGTGGCAACCAAGGTCATTACGCCGACGCTCATATTATTTGTCTGATGATGACAAATTTTCTACTTAGCACTTCAAGACGACTGAGCGAGACCAATGGGAAGCGGCCGCTTTGCAACTGCCCATTACTTTCTGCCAGGTGAAGCAGACCCGCGTACGTTTTCCTGGCGATGCTATTGAGGGTGATGCAACGGAATGGGATAAGAAGGAGGAAGAGTGGTCTGCTTTCTGGGCCCCTCGTGGTAAGGAAAAGCTCGAGAAGAGTGGGAAGGCTGCAGTTGACGGTGCGTTTCTCTGGCCTTGAAGGTTAGCTGTGCCTAATCTCTGTGCAGAGACATTTTGGGTTGACCTTGTATTGCACAATTCCTTGAATGTGGAGGTCACATTGTCCGGCCTCTCTGTCGTTGTCCGGGAGAAGTCTGCTGGAGATGCGGACCCTAATGACGACCTCGTGAATATCGAGGTTGTCGATGATATTGTCTTAGAAGCTAAGGATACCCGTACAGTCTGTTGTCACATCTTTGTCCGCTACCGAACTCTGACCTTTCTCTTTTAGATTCCGGTCTCTGTTAAGTGCCGACGCCCAGCCTCGTTGGTTATCACACATGCCGTATATAATTTCCTGGATCTCCTTCCAGCTACCGAATCACTGGCGATCCGCGGTCGACGTTTGCACGATACCCCTCTTCAGAGACAGACCAAAGCCTACGCTCCGGACGTACCAATACAAATAGAAGTAGAAGAAGCCGGACAGCGGCTACATGTGAACTTCGTGGACGATAGACATCTGATCTTAGGCCAGGGAGAGTACAAACATCTGAAGTTATCTTTGACAAACTCGGGAACAAGAAGTATCCGTGAACTTTGGATGCTTACTGGGAAAGACGATGAGATATGGATAGATATTCAAGTACCTAATGGCTCTGGCAAGTTTATCGTTGCTTTGTTCAACTGAAGCACAAGGCTCATGTCGCCAACAGATCCCTCAACATCATCACCCTCGTTCACGGAGATCTTGCATTCTAGCAACTCGCTGGCTCCACGGAGGCCATACTGCGTATCGCTGGAGCAAATTCATAAATCATCGGTACTTGGACCTGGGGAGAATATGCAGATTCCTGCCGTACTTCATGCCTCTCATGTTGCAGAGCAAGATCTGTGTATCCTGTTCATATTCCGAGAGGTATGTGCAATTACCAGGCATCGTATTACGCATTACAGACATATTTGACGTAGGCCGAAGGAGCGGCCTTCCATTGTTCGAGAGTAATTCGACACTACGAAGTTCGGCCGGTCATTCATGCCTCTGCGTCCTCGCGACCAAGTCAATCCCCCGATCGCTCGTTTGTACTCAATCTAGAGGTGGAAAATTTGACGGCATCAAATGACATCCGTTTGACCCAAGTCACTACAATGAGTGGCATGTGGTCATGTAGTCCTCTATCAACTCAGTCTGTGTGCGTCCACCACCATTCTTGCAACCAACGTCTAGCTAATATGTTATAGCGGTCCTATACCACCGCACCAAGTTGCCAGGTTGACATTGGGTGCCACCCGATGGCAAGGCGGTTCTGGCTCTGATCCAACAATAGACTTTGTGTCCCAAAAGCTCAGAGATGTGCTAAGTGGGAACAGCCCCGATACGTCGGAGCCACCCCCAATAGATCTCGTATGCGGCCATGTTTCGGAGGTACGTGTCTTAGAATTCATGGCAGTGCATAGACTGCAACATTATGTTAGGATTTCACGATTCGTTCGGTGAACGTACCTTCCACGCGACATTTCATTCGCAGCTGCAAGCGAAGCCAAACCGCACATTTGGTGGCCTCCTCCCACCCCTACGTCCCTGCAGATTCCCATCATTTGATCTTCCCGCTGCACAACCCTTATTCTGTGGATATCCTCGTGTTCTGGGAGCTCCCTGCTCAAGGTCGCTCTGGACATGTTCTTATCTCAGGAATTACGCTTGGAGCCCGTCATGGTGCGCTGAAAGAAATCGTGGAAGAGGCTGACAGCGCGAAAGTGAAACGATCTATGTACGCTGAAACCCGGAGGCAGCGCTCGGAGATCCTGAGGTCGATCCGGGACAGCGAATGGAACGCGGAGATGAATCCTGTTGTTGTCACCGTGCAGGATGGTCGTAGGGTAGACCACGACTTTTCAAAGGGGTACGTAATTCTGGAAGTGTATCCTTTCTCTTGTACCTAAACTGTTATGCCGCAGGCCCCGTCACGTCTCAGTTGCGTTCACATTGCGAAACTTGTCTTTAACCCACCCGTCGAGGATAGTGCTCAAGCTGCAGTCAGCGTCAGCCGAACCTGCGTCTTCTGCGTGCGTAAAGACATTCATAGTCTCGAACACCGCACTGACCGGACCCTTTACTCAGTGCTCTGCTACCTCCACAGTACGCCGGCCGCCTAACGTATCGGAGCACGCTAGCACCGTCTGCGTCGCATATCTTTCAGGTCAAGTTATGGGTTACTCGACCCGGGAGCTATGCCCTCGACGGGTGGACTGTTGAGACGGACGTTGGTGAGCGAGCAAACGCAGGGACTTCTACTGGAGTCTGGAGGACGAGACATCGCTATGTGCAGGGCCCGCTGGCGGATTACCGGCACTCTGTTACTGTCGTCGACGTTACACCATCATGAGCGTTTAGCTACGTACATATGCATATTTTACCATGGATCGTGGTGCCTTCTGCATCCCCGAAAGAGAAGGCAACACACTGCGAATTTTGAGGAAGATAATGCATAGAAACACCGATGACCACATACAAGCCCTCCGGAAAACTATAGTAGACATGAAGACTAGGCCGCCTATTGAGAATCCCCCTTTTCCTCCCGGTCTTTCTTGGCCTTTGCCTCCGCCTCCATGCGGATTTTCTTCAGCTTGGTGTTGAAATATGTCTGCAACAATGCATTCTGTGAGCTGAGACCACCGCGTGAGAGAGAATACGTACACCAGTGAAAAACTGCACCGTGTTCATGAATGGTACCCAAAGTTCCGGCGGGATGAACCTCTGCGCGACCACGACAGTCAAGGGCAGTGTCATCCAGGTGACCTGCACACTCGCCGATCAGAATTTCACCTCCCTCGTAAATAGAGTTGGGACGAACGCACCCGCAATACACGCATAAATCCTGCCCGGACCGTGCGGGCAACCTCGTCCACGGTTGTAGCACCATTGATGACAGCCGAGCAAGTCAAAAACACTTATCCCGCCGTAGAAATGAGTCACTCGCACACCAGCATACGCAGCACCACTCACCGAAGATCTGGATGGGCGCGACGACGAGGTTCGCCGCGAGGACCTGGCCGAGCTTCGCGAGCAGGCCTGTGCGCCCCGCGAACGCGCGCTGCGACGCGCCGACGAGGAGATGGCCGAGCGGCGCGGACACGCAGAAGCCGTACAGCGCCATCTTCAGAGCGCGGGCGTCGACGTTTGCACGCGCGAGGACGTGTACGAGAAACGGGGCGTCCTTCGCCACGCGCGCCGCGGGCTCACCCGCGAGGTGCGACGCGAGCACCTCCTGGAGGAACTGCAGCACCGCTGGCCGCAGATGAGGACATCCTGTTAGGGGTTCAGAGGTAGTTGGGCTGGGAGGGCTCGCCTGTTGTGACCGCTTTCGTCCGCACAGGATGCGTGGCGAGCGACCGGAGGTATGCAGAGAGCAGGGGATTCATCTTGGTGACAGGGGAACTCATGGCGGTGCTCTCTCCTGGGGCGTTCGACAGGGTGTAGATGAGGGTGGGAGCTTTGAGGAAGAGCAGAGCATGGTCCCTTTTCCCTCGAGCAATAATCCACCTGATATCCGTGCTACCATCGTGACCACTGGCACGCGCCTCATTAATGTTTCACCTGACCGATTAAAGTGCAGTACTACCGTTGGATCGACGCGTAGAACGTTTCTCCGGAGCGACTCAGAGGTGGCAAAAGAGGGATGGTGGGCTCACAGGGGCTCACAGGACGGGTGCAACTTGGTGGGCTCATATAGCGACAGTCTCGGAGCACGACAATATGAATTGCGACGACGTACACTTGTAAGATAGCGATATATACCATGGCAGAAAGCATGAATCCGTCTAACAACGGTATAAAAAGATACCAACAACGAAGAGCGACAGCCGAAGATAGATCTACTTATTCTTGACCCTGTGCAAGCGCATTAGCGCAACCAGTGGAGAGGAGCAGAAGTAACGCATACCAAGCCTTCACATAGTCGGCAAAGGAGACCATGCATATAGTCTGCCATATACCAAGACCGATTCGGGGGGTGACACCACGGTAAAGACCCTTCAGGCCGTTTTCCCTGTACACATACTTCAGCGTGCTCAGGATGGTCACCTTCTCGGGGCGATTTGGCGATTTGGTCATGGATTGCATCTACACAAATTGTATGATCGGTAATGGGATAACGACATTAATTGACTGACTGACCTCAACTCGTACAACCTCAATAGGCTGGTTCCATGTCGCCAATGCACCGCCAACGGTGGAGGAAAAGATTTTTTCCAGCGCAGACAGCTTATCCTTCTCACTTTTCCCTCGAGCCTGACGTATCCAACTCTCCGCTAGCCGCGCAAAGCCCATGCTGAAGATGCGATCTCGGTAATGAGCATATTGTCACAACAGCAGGTCGAGCCAGCAGGTCGAGCCAGCACTGACCGAGAACCCCAGTTAGTGCATTGACGCACAGCAACAGCATTAACACCCTTGTTGATGCCTCTGATACCTTCCCGGCGGTAGATATCAGCGAAGACAGCCCACGTTGAAGGGGGCTTGATACCCGTAGAAGCCTGCTTATGCCTGGTAATTTCGGCTGTCTTCATGCATGTGCAGAAACCTGTGCAATGGAGTAATATGAAGTTCCGATCAACATCATAAAGAACATTACAAGGAACGCGCCCAAGATGACGACAAGTCGCCATGAATGCTCTGGATACTCACCCATTGTGGCATATGCCTGTGCGATGCCACCGCCCATACCACCGAGGAGCCCAGCGACCGCCGGGTTGACTCCCACACCAACGGTAGCTGATTCTATCTCCGAGGCAGTGAAGAGAAGAACAGCGCCTTTTGTTGAAGCCTCTATCCACGCCTAGACGCCCAAAGAATCGTACGACCATCAGCCTCCAGACATCTGTGTAATGTACAGAGACGGCGAACCCATGGAATAAGGCCCTGGTAGAATCCGGAGACTTTACCACGACTCCAGATAGTTTGCAATGCCTGGAACATGCTCTGGGAGCGATTTGCAGCCATCTGTGTCTTGATGACCTCAAGAGGTTGACCCAAAGTCGTGACCTAGAGCGCGAGAGATCAGGAAACGCGAAAGTACGCGCTGAACAACGCGAACTTGCCTCCTACATAGCAGCGCAGTGGTCAGTGAGACGAAGACAGATGATTTCGGTGAATGACTCACAAACTAGGTTGCACATAGGCAATTACGTATCATCAGTGCGTGTTTCTAACACAGAACAGACCATGGAATGAATATACCATGTTCATGATGCCACCTGTGATTAGCGGTGAGTATCCACGTGCGCGAGGAAGACGCGTCGACGTACCGACTGCGATGTTGGACCAGTTGACGCCTTTTTGGCCTGGCTCCTTCTCGATGGCCATGGCGAGGACGAGGGGGGTGGAGAGAAGGCGAGAGAGGGGGGAAAGAGAGGATGGGGAGAGGAGTGACACGACGTGGAATTGTTGGGGACGAGTAGCCGGCATGACACTTTAAATCACGTGCACGCTGTATGCCTCTCCGCGTCTCACTGGCACGCCAGGCGCACTCGACTCTCGTCCTCCTCCACTTGTGGGTGAGCGGCGCTGCATTCGCACGCCATGTCCGATTCCCTAGTCCCCCCACGTATATTCACAGCATCGATTTCTGCGAGAGCGACATGTGATAAGGCGGTAGTCATAGTAATAGTATACAAGAAAATCCCGTAGTCAAGCCATGTAAATTTACGGTGGCAATCACTGCAAGCGAATAGTGGGGAAGAAAATAAATGTAGGTAGCGCAGATTACAAGCAGTAGCACAGGCTCATATAAGATAGAGGCTATTTAGATGAATGATGAAACTTCCGCACGCGGGACAACAGCTCTAATCTCCTGGGGCCCATCATACAGACGTGCTATAGTGACGAGTTCGAAACCTGTCCGCCACTTGGTCCAGCCCTTCTCGTATGAAGCCTTACCTTTAGCATCGACCCTCCAACGAGTGACGTTACATTTGACCAGGACGAGATCATTTTTGTGGATGTCCGTGGCATGCATCTGTCTCATAGTGTTCCTGGGGCCGAACTTGGTGTCGGCATCAAATACGTCTTGGAAGGCTTCCACCTTAAAGCAATGAATAACAAATATTTGTTGAAAATAAGAAATTCAACATACAGAAGCATACTCTCCACTCCCGGTGCTCTGGAAGCGTGACACTTTCAAAACATCTGAAGTGTTTGAACCGATCTTGATGCTCACAACGGCCAAGGGTTCACCGCGAAGTTTGAACCAAGATGAGTCGACTTCTCCGACGAGCCACACAGTAGCTGGTTTATTGTCTACAATGAGGAGAGGATATAAATCCAAAGCTGCAAGTGTCGACATCAGCAAGGGAGAGAAGGAGGGAGGAAGTATCAGGCACACTCACATCTATGCAGCATACAGAATCTACGTGAAGAGTGAATGCAGCTGCGAGAAGATAGAGGATGGGTGCAGAGATGCAGACAATCACCCTTAGCCATCGGTCCTCCTCCAGTCTTTCATCGGAAATAAACTTTCAAGGAATGCCGGCCGACTTTGTGTTGCGGAAATCTTGAACAGGAAGCGGGAAACCCGAAGTGAATCGGGTGGCCTAAAGACGGAAAGTAAAAAAAGCGGATAACCATTCTAAGAGAAAATTACTATATGCGGCGCGGGTACAACTTTATGTCAGCAACCACCATACGTGCACAGACTGATAACCGATTCTTTAGGGAATCGGAATCTCTGCTTCCAACGTCCATCTCATACCCCGCACGGCACGCCAATTTGCATAGTGTCGCGGTCTCACTCCTCTTCCGTCGCGGTCACACGCCCTACCGCCGCAGACTGCGCCAAATACGCGCCCAATCGCTCCGATGTCGCTTCTCTGATGGGCCTCCTTGGCCACTGGTCTCTCCGCGGATGTAGAAGTCTCCTATACTGCACGCAGGATGATGCATTCTCCGTTCACACCTCCGGGAGGTCTGTCTCGACGCGTCTGCGTTTCCCCTGGGCATTCTCGATTTTGGAAATGACAGCACTCCACACCTTAGACGCTGCATATCATACGGATGATCCTCATGATGTTGTAGCGCCGTCGCAGAAAAACGGGTCCGTATTTTACGTGATGCATCAATAATGGCAAAGCGTACGCTACGGCAGCGCTCCGAAATTCGCTTGCCTGTCAACTCTTAGTGTCCTCGTCCAATAAGCATGCAGTCTGCCGTCACGGAAATCCCGGTGGCGATGGGTGACAAGCTCGCTGTAATTTCTCTAGACCGAGACTGACTCCTTTATAACTGACCCGATACCTACGGGTTATGATCCCGACCCCGCCTCTACAGCGTTCACGCTGCCTACTTTTAATCACAACCTTCAGCGCTGTCAAGGTGAGCATGCCCCATAACTTGTCCGCCATCCCATCTGCTAAGTCTCTCTTCGTGTTTTCTCAGTATGCCGACCGTCCCTCCCGAACTGAGCGACTACATCGTCGATTTCCTCCACAATGATTATCCTTCCTTAAAGGCGTGCTGTCTCGCTTCCCGTGATTGGCTGGCGACAGCGCGTTATCATCTCTTCGAAAGCGTTACGCTGCACAACCCTCGCCTATGCGAGGCTTTCAAGCAGCTTATGGAGCGTTCTCCTACTATTGGGTCATTTGTTCAGGAGATCAACATCTCGCGGTTGATAGGCCCTGGCACGACCACGTATACCGGCGCGGAGCGACACCTTTTGGAGCAGTCCCTGTCGTCGATATTCGTGTGCTTGGACCACGTGAAGACCCTCTCGGTCGCGATGCTCGACATCAGCGCCACCATCCAGTCTGGCCTGGTGAACCGTCCGTCGGTGACGGAGCTAGTGCTTCAATATTGCACGCTCCCTGCATTCCAGGATTTCATCCAACTCTTCCACTGTTATCCGCTGTTGGAATCCCTCAACCTGCATGGAGTAACATGGAAATCGAAATCGTTCCGACCTCTCTCCCGATCGACCTCGGTGCATTTGCGTAAATTGGTGGTAGGGAGGGATGTGGATACCACTACCCTCTTAGAATGGATGCTCGCGGAGTCTATCCACGGCAGCATCGAAAGCCTTTCAATTTGCTGTACGTCGGAGAGGGATGCTGTCGTCGTTGCTCCGCTACTGGAGATCCTCGGCCCACAGCTGGCACACCTCGACCTCCATTGGAACCTTCCTGCGGCGAAATGTACGTACCGGATTTAGTGATGCCACAGGAGTGATGCTCACTATGCTTACGTGACAGCGATCCGCTTGCCTCCCGTTCTTTCCGTTGAACGGTGCACCAGCCTTCGGGAGCTGTCGCTGTATTGCGCGGTTCCGTACGATTGCACACTGCTCTGGCTCACTGCTCTCCTCTCGGGCCTCCGTGCAGCCCACCTCGAAGTTATTGTGGTCAATCTTCGAGTCTTGGGCAACCTAGAGGCCATAGATTGGGAGGCGGCTGAGAAGATACTCTCCGAGATTACGAGCCTTCGATCGCTCCTCTTCAGAATAAAGCTGTGGGTCGGTGTCTACGCCAACCGACTGGAGGTAGAGACATCCATTCGTGGATCCCTATCCCATCTAGATTCGAAAGGCTTACTCTCCTTCGCCTCATAATTTTGTCGGATACATAGCTGTTTGATATACTGTAGTTACTCGTCTTCGTATCTTATACCTCGCGATATGCATACCTTGATCGCGCTAATGATATGATTCTGTTTCGCAGTCAGAAGCATGATAATCGATGTTACAGTCGGTTACTGGTACCTCGGGTCTTTCAATGTCATTAAACGACAGTATGTACGCTAGACACGACATTCGAATCAACGTGGTGCACTACATCGGGTATGACGAGACGGGGGTAACATAGATCAAACGGACGAGATTGGTGCTTTGTGACGAGCTTCGAGAGAAGGAAGAGCGTATTACCGTAAATTACTGACTTGCAATGCGATGTTTCGAGGGGGGACTTGGACAACGTGGTATCCGGACGCCATCCAGCAGGCGACAGAGACCGCGCCACGCCGTGGTGTTCATGGGCATCGTGCGGTCCAGCAAGACTTGCATGAGGTTATCATGTTTCCGCCGCTATTTCGCGTGTTCTTTCAGCTGGTCCGTGAGATGATCCATGTCCTCCTTCAGGCTGTGAGATGGTCCGGGTATGGTAAAATAGAAAGAGACATGAGTATAAGTTAATGTCCGGGATGAATGTGTGGCAGATCAGGAATGAAAGAGCAGGGTGTAAGGAACGAATGCAGGGAAAATATGGAATGACGGGTATGTGTAGAGATATATTATGAGGATGAGATTTGGAAGGAAGTGAATGAGCGTGGGGCAAATATGCAAACGTCCATTGAACTCAGAAGAGTCCATAAATCACGGCCAGCGTGACAATCGCACCAAGAAAACTCTTTAAACCGAAGACTTTAACATACCGTGTGATCTGATCCTGGTTTTCTTCCTGGTCCTGTTCAAGATACTGAATTTCCATGGCCTTCCGTGCGACTTCCTGCTGGAGTTCGTCGGCCTTCGCTAACGCGATTTCGAGCTCTTCCCTCATCAGCCTTATCGACCTATCGTGCTCGGCCTGGAGATCGTGAAGCTTGAGGTTATGCGCTTCGTGAGCCCGCTGCAACTCCTCACGGGTGACACTCGACGCCCTAGCATGCGCAGCACCGTTGCTCCTCGGGGAAGCCAGAGGCTCTGCGGAGAGTTTGGCCTTGATGGTGGCAAGCTCACCCTGCAGATCGGATAACCTTGTGTGCAGCTCCGACTTTTCCACAACGAGGACGGCAACTTCCTCCTGGTGTGCTGCGCGGAGCTTCGTGATCTCCTCCGCCCGTCCCTTCGCTGCCTCCTCCAACTCTTTCCCGTGGTTATTTGAAATCTCTGAGAATGACTCCGTGGTGGCAACAAGCACATCATTCAGAGCGGCACGTTCTTCACGAGCATTCGCGATGTCCTTCGTGAGACGCGCAATGAGCTCGTCCTTGTCTGTCTGGTCAACTGCAGCAGCAATCTGGCGAGCAGCGTCGAGCTGCACACGAAGAGATTCCAATTCCTGCGACGCAACAGTGTAAGCCGCTTTGGCCTTCGCGAGATCATCTTGTGTAGCCTTGAGCTCGAGACCTTGATTAGACATCTTGTTCTCCAACGTCTTCACTTGCGTCTCGATGGCGGCCTCGTGGTCAGCTTCAAGCCCCTCAATGGTCGACTGGTGTGCAGCACGGAGCTGCTCAATGGTCGCCTGAGATTCAGCGCGAAGGCCTTGAAGGTCATGACTGTGCACAGAGCCGGCGTCGTTCTGGGAAAGATGAATAAGAGGGTCAGGTAGATATGCCGACAACTCACCTTAGCGCGCTCGAACGCCTCCTGCAGCAACTGATCATGCTCGGCCTTCACGGCGTCCACCCTGGCGTTGTACTTCTCCTCTTGACTCTGCAGGGTGACAGTGAGCGTGAAATTAGCTGACCGCAGCAATAGCTACAAACCTCGAGATCGGCGGTAATTCGCTTGATCTCCTCAGAAAGCTCGGCCTGCTTGTCTTGGTGCAACTTCTCGACTTCCTCCAGTTTGCGGAGATGCTCCTCGGCAGCCACCTGAGCATCAGCCTTTGCCTGGTCAATGCCAGCGACGGCTTCTGCGTGCTTATCCTCGAGCGCCTTCAACTCTTCGGACAATTTCGAGTGCTCTGCGTTCGCCTTGCTGAGCTCCTCGTCAAGGAGCTTCGCAGCGTCTTCTAGCCTCTGGCTGTATTCCTCCTCCATAGCCTTCGCACCATCGACAGCCTCCTGCATCGCCGCCGCCGCCGTAGTAAGCTCTTCCTCAAGAGTCTTCAGACGATCGAGCACCTTGTTATGCCCGTCCTCGGAGCTCTCCTGAACCTCTTTCAACTCGAGGATTTCAATCTCGAGCTCGGAGACCTTCGTGGACTTTTCCTCGTTCTCGCTCTTCAGCTCTGCAAGCTCGGCTGCCAGAGCATCTGCTCGAGAGGCCTGCTCACTCGACGCTTGAATCTTTTCCTCCGCCTCGGCGAGAGCCTGGATGTGTGCAGCCTTGAGACTTTCGGTCTCTCCCTGGACAGCCGCAAGGTCCTCATGGGCTTTCAAGAGAGCAGAATGTTCGACATCTGCAGCAGCTGCCGCGGCTACGGACGCTTCGTCAGAAGAAGCACGGAGAACATCCAAGTTCTCCTTGGCAGCGTGGATCTCAGCTTCCAAGGATTCGATCTGCGACTGAAGACTAGTCACGAGCTGTGTCTGATTTTCAGCAGTAGCCTTCGTAGCTTCGAGCTAGCGAGTTTCATGTTGTCAATAAACACACTAAAAATGGAGAGTGAAGGGTGGAGCATACCTCCAGACGGACCGCCTCCAAGGTGGCATTATCCTCGACTCGCTCAGTTTGCAGTTTACTTAAGGTCTCCTGCACATCTGCGAGCTCTTGTTCTGCACGACCCTCGGCCTCTTCTAATGACTGGACACGCGAACGCTTATCCTGGACCTCTGCAAGTGCTTCAGTCAACGAGGACTTCAAAGTCGCGACTTCGCCTTCCAACGCGGCGATGGCTTGCGTCTTGGACTCGAGTGAAGCGGTCACATTGACAAGCTACAATGGAGTGAGCAGAACGAATGGTTAAAACACAGAAATCCAATCGACCTTGTACTGCAATTCTCCAACAATACTACTGTCATCCTTGATTTCCTTGATAGATGAGACAGAGCTGGTGCCTGGTGTCCTGGTCGGTCTCGCAGAGGAAGTACTCGGAGGTCTGTTGCTGGAAGTGAGCCCTAGACTAGCGCGACTGATGGGCACACGCTTGACTCCTTCAGTGACCGAGGCCCGAGGGCGAGGACCTGCAGAAGGGTCCGGAGTAGTAGCAGAGGGCCGTGTGGCAGAGGGGGCCGCGGATGTCGGCCTTCCTGTGGTGGAAGAACTCAAAGGCGACTTTGCTGATGTTGGTGTGGGAGCCTTCGGGACGATCGACTGCCTGCGCGCAGCGGTGGAGGCGGATGACGTAGACGACTGGCGGGACGGCGGAGGGGGCATCGGGGCTTTCACGGTATGTGCAGAGCCGCTTACAGATTTCCTAAGCGTAGAGGTCGCTGTTGGCTTGTTAGAGGTAGCGGAAGAGGGGGCAGTGGCTTTCGAGGCAGCAGCAGGAGCATGCTTGACCGCACCCGAACCAAACGTGCCCGAGTTAATAATCTGCAGACACGCAAACGCACAGTCAACATGCCCCTCGAACTATCTGCTGGATACAATCAGACGTACCTTCTTGACCAACAGATTTGGCGGGCCAGCAACGTGCTTCAAGGGCTTGACGGACACAGACGATTTGACTGTAGGCTTTGCTTTCAGTGGGGAGATAGGCTCCTTCGCGTGAACCGCAGCCGCCCCCGCCTCTGTGTCTGTAACACCTGCAACGCCCTCGTGGACGGGAGCCTCTGGTTCAGGCGTCGCATTGTCTTCATGTCGCGCACCTGCAGCATCGTCCGCGACCGGGGCCGCAGGCACATGGTCCATCGCCTCCTCGACGTGTTCTTCAGTAGCAGTGTTGTTCACAGGAGTCTCTTCGGTGTGAAGCTTATCCACGTCAGTCGCCTCGTGTTCTTCATTTGCTTCCGGGAGAGACTCGAGCTCTTCGGAACTCGCCACGACATCTTCGTGAGGGTCACCGCTGTGGACCTCGACTTCCGCCATGACGCCGATGCACGAGTTGGCAACGCACCGAGGACACCAGGCAACGTCTGATCAGCGTCTGGCTACAAGGGAATTGTGAAGAAAAAAGCCGAGACAAGTTCGCAAGATCGAAGAAGTCGCAAACAACTGCCAGCGCGTCACGCGTCGACGCGTCATACTCGACTAGCTGATAATACATTTCATTCTCAAGAAATTATACTTGTACACTACATTTCATCTACCAGTTCGTCACCAGTCCTCCGAGGCATTCTCTAGACAAGCGTACTAGCATAGAGGTTCAGCGCATTGAGGGCAGGCTCAGCCAAATTGTTGTGGTTGTAACCGAGGATCGCAATCTGCAGCAAAAGTATGTCAATGGCGCACCCTTGCGATGGCAGCAAACGCTTTACCCCGGCAGGTTCCACATTGAAGTGAGTACCTGCCGGATGAGTTATCAGCCACCAGCGTAGGCAGAAACCGGACGTTCCGTACCCAAGGAGAGCGGAAATTTGATCCAACGAGAGATGAAAACACGGTTGAAGTGTCCATGCGCAATGATGACGACGTCACGACTTCCTTTGCCTTCCTCCTTCCACAATCTGTGGGTTTCACGGACCTGAAAGTACGAACATCAATCCACTACATCATACAAGTCTCATTGCGCATACAAACCTTCTGGATAACAATATCCACCCGGCAGCACATTTCTTCGGTGCTTTCACCTCCTGGGCAGCTACCGCGGAGACCTGTCTATAAAGAGCGTCCAACAACCAAAAAAATAGACACACCCATCCTTCCATATATTCCAGGCAGGGTTTTTTTCTTTTATCTCAGCGGGTTTAAGACCTTCGTAATCTCCATAATCCCATTCTCTGACCTCCTCGGTGATAAGGTGATGGGGAAAAGACTCAAGGTGTTGGAAGAGAAGGTGGAAGGTGCGGTGAGCTCGAATTCTGGGTGAGACAAAAACGGTGCAAATGTTCTTCGGGTCGAGGATCTCTAACGAGGACCAATTACACCTGCTGCTTCACTCGAGAGTGCAACGATATGACATACTTCCATCTCCTACGAGTAACTTGGCCTTCTGGAGGGTATCTTCTTCACCGCCCTTGGTGAGGGGAATATCTGAACGGCCAGTCTGGATTCCAAAGACGGTCAGATGGTCGGGCAGCATGGTGGGTGGTATACTGACGTGACGCCTGTGATCGTAGAAAGGAAAGAGCTCTGGCAGTGATATCTCAAGTGAGTGACTACCGGTATAGACTGACCCGTTTCGAGACCACTCTGTCTCCCCTGTGAATGCGGTAATGAGCATTTTCATATGAATTGCGCAGCAGAAAACGTGGTGCTCACCGTGGCGGATAAGAAAGAGGCGTGGCATAGGGCGCGACATATTAGCAGCAAGAGGTCGATGAGGGTGAGGAAAAGGAGGTCCTGTCCAGTAATCGTGACCTCATCTCGGAAGACGGCCCAATCTATCCGATTAGAGGGGGCACGATATCGCGAGGACGCAGACGACTGCTCGAGGACTGTGCCCGACTGGCATGAGCTGAGAGATGGCGGGTGTCAGCGAAGATCTGAGAGCCAGACTAGAGCGTATAACGGGCGGAGAAAACTCAGGCGGTGCGGCGGGAGGTCTGATCACGCTGCCGCTAGATAGAGCCTTATACCCGTTCGCATCAGAACACCCATCGTGAACCGCTCGCTCTTCCTCTTCCTTCCTCTTTCCGGACGCTGACCTCTTTCCAATTTATCCCCTCAATTCTCTCTGCAGCAGGTATACCTTCTCTCCACCCTCTCAGACCCAGAATCGTTGATGACTTATCGCGTCCCCGTTGTCTCAACGTTGCCCGCGATCTCGGCGTCTCTGTACAGCATACCGAGACGCAACTACTCGTCGATTTCTGCTTCCATCTCCTTCTCGTTTCATAGACCCATTGGCGAGTACACAGAATGCAGGCCATTAAGTGTCCGTGTCGTCCCCTCGTGATCACGCATTCCCCCCGGCTGAACACTCATCACAGGTGTTGTTGTCGGAGATGGTGCGGTAGGGAAGGTGAGCAGTGCACTACTGACCGCACAATATAATGCTCATTGCATACAATCAATACCCAGACATGCCTGCTGATCTCTTACACGACCAATGCTTTCCCGGTGAGCGCTGTTCCGATGCAACCACCGTGTGATTGCTAACACCATCTCGCAGGGCGAATACATTCCGACTGGTGCGCTTTCATGATCATCCAGAGCGCCACCTGTCTTAGGAACCTATCCGCTCAGTATTTGACAACTACTCCGCCAATGTCATGGTCGACGGCAAGACTATCTCGCTCGGTTTGTGGGACACTGCGGGCCAAGAGGATTACGACCGCTTGCGTCCGCTCTCATACCCCCAAACTGATGTCTTCCTCATCTGTTTCTCACTCGTGAGTCCTCCAAGCTACGAGAATGTTAGAACGAAGGTGAGTCTACCATCACCCATCACTAGTGTCACAGCATGGTGACGCGAGATTTTATTTCTACCTGGATGCAGTGGTACCCCGAAATCTCCCATCATGCTCCTTCGACTTCGATTGTTCTAGTAGGAACGAAGCTTGATCTGCGGGAAGATCCAGCTACGATTGAGAAACTGAGAGATCGGTATGACACCTTTTCCCAAAATATCTTGCGACGTCCTGACTGGCCTTGCGCCAAGTCGTATGACGCCTATTCAGTACTCACAAGGCGTCGCGATGGCAAAGGACATTAGCGCAGTGAAGTATTTGGAGTGTTCTGCACTGACGCAGAAGGGGCTGAAGACTGTTTTCGATGAAGCCATCCGAGCCGTCTGTGAGCCAAACCTTGAATCAGCCCGAGTCCGAAATGTTTGAACTCATCCTTCATGCCAGTGAACCCACCTCCGACAAACAAGAAGCCCAATAAGCCCAAGTGCATCATCGCTTGATTATGACCGACTTTTCCGTCGCGGTGGAGAGGACACTGGGACGCCGATGCAGCATGATGACCACCATACCATTTACGATTTTGCCACCATTTATGACTGTCATGTACTGTCCCAGCCCATTCCTGCCGTTCACGTTTTATCTTCCTTGTACCATGGATATGGCGGGAGTAGGGCACACCACGATGTTCCAGAATCTCATACCTTCCCCTCCCCCCAATTCGTTGTTTGTGTCTAGTGTCCTTTGGAGGTATCGTATGCATCTGTTAGTGCTAGCAGCGCACACATTTTTATGACTTGTCAGATAACTTCCAGTTTTTTCACCGCCTTTTCAACGCTCCAGACGTTCCTCTTCATGATTAGTCACGGGAATCCCGTGTTTCTGCAATTTCTCCCGCCTTTTGACTCTGTTCTGACTCTCAACTACGCATGCTTAGACTTCTACTTTATTGATCCTGGCTTTCTGCTGCACATTCCGTCGAGCTCTGCTGCATAGTCTCGTTTCACATCAGCGTGTCGCGCTTACTCAGCATCGCGTTTGGATCCATACGATGTCCCAAGGCTTTCATCCTACCCCAGAACAGCTCGCATTAGCTGAGCGACGTAGGCTGAAGAGAGAACAACGGAAGGCTACTGAAGCAAAAGAGAAAGAGGAACAGAGCCGCATATTGTCTAGGGAATGGGTTACTCTGCAGGATTCTACCAGATGTCAACATACCGTCCGAGTCATGAGCTGGAATGTCGGTGCTATTCTTGCTGCGACGCGTTTTCTTTCTATGTGACGTGTATATCTGACAGCTCCTTGCTCAATGCCTTGTCCGTCAGTTACGACATTATTGTTGCCGCGTGCTTTGATTGTGACTGCTGCGCAGGTCGAGAACTGTTCCCAACGAGTGACTGTTTGAAAGCGAATCAGCGAGAAAACATGTTATATCGGGAAATCTTGTCCCATAACGCGCATATATGCTGCCTTCAGGTAAGAGCATTTACCTTGTTGTATGCATACCGTGGTAACTGCCTGCGCACAGGAAGTAGACAGGACGGAGAAGTTGTTGCCCATCCTCGAAAACGCTGGCTACGCATCCGTTTACGCGTCGGGACCCCGTAAAAGGCACGGATGCCTCATTGCCTATCGTAAAGACATGTACATCCATGCCGGAGAGCACATCGTACACTACGACGAGCAGGACGTGCGCGACGAAGGCTCCGAGAAGGCTCACATTGGCAGTAGCTTTCGCACCAGGAATATTGCCTCTCTGGTCGCACTAAAACAGCGGGAAACGCAAAATGAAGGTGTCATCGTTGCAACTTCGCATCTCTTCTGGCACCCATCGTGAGATTCCTGGTCGTGCCGTTGACTTGTCTATTCATAGGACTTCCATCCCAGATATGCTTACGAGCGCGCAAGGTCTTTGGAACGGTCATGACTGTACTGCAGTGGGCTGACCACTATACTAATCAGACAGGCAGCAGTTCTCCTTCGTGAAGTCGTCAGATTTCGTGACGAGGGCGTCGGCAATCCTCAATGGCCTTGCATAATTGCTGGTGGTAAGCACAACTATGAACTGGATGCCATATATACACTCTGACCGGTGCTCAGATTTCAATTTTCAGCCCGACGATCCCGTGTATTCGTTATTAGTAGGCGATCCCTTACTTCCAAATCAAGCGGCACGATTGGATACGTCGCGTGTCGTACATGCTTCGATAGACCCCGACGTCGCCATCACCTCTCCGTCACCCGCTGCTGAAGATGAGGAGGGCGAGGAAGCAGGCGGCGGTGACCCAGACCGAGTCATCGTCAACGCACGACTGGCCACCCCCGAGGATGGACTGTTAACAAATGCTGAGCTGGTCCATTTCTTCGAGCGACTAAGGAGCCTGAGAAGCGTCTACGACGAAGGCCAACGGTTACAGCCGCAGTTGTCACAAATGGGCCTGACTTTCGGGAGTAGAGTGTCCATCCCTGATGCGAGGCATGGTGCCTTCGAACCTGTCTGGACAAGTTACACTCACGTAAGTCTCTAAGGCCTCGTCAGTTAGTACACTTTGACTTGACAGATATAATTTCCAAGTACTGGAAGGCGGTACTAGGTGGGTATCAAATATCAATTGAGCTCTCCACGTCAACTGATTTGGTATGGACGCTACAAGATTATATATTCGTTCTAGATCCTCCATCCCACAAGCTTTTAATCTGTAGTCTTGCAAAACCACACTCTGCCAATGACCTTGGCCTTGGCCTCCCTCGTCGCGGCATTGGTGGCAGCGATCACATCTCCCTCGGTGCCGAGCTGGGTTGGATAGTGGAACAGTAATACATATTCCTTGTAGTCTCCGTAGTCAATGTACGATGCCATTGATCGAAGTTCAGACGGAGCGTCAGAGATACGTCCATATTAAAAAGACTGCAGTGGAGCTGCAACGGTTCAAATAGAAGTGAGAAGTAATCGATCGATACGCTATTAGTCTCTACCATCAGCCCAGTAAAAAAGTCCTTCTCTATGTACGACGGCCCGAAGCTGCCTATGGGCGATCCGGCAGGAACCTATCCGACCCAGCCAACAAGCTATCGAACAGCCCTTGCGCGGATGTCTCGTTGCGCAGTTGGATCATGTAGATGATGCCCGTCCGCTGGCCCTTGTCGCTCAGCTCGACCGCCACACCGGTCTTGCCAACACGCTCCACGCCGTCGGACAACACGATCGTGGAAATCAGTACTGACTTGCTTCTGTTGTCTGCCTCCACGACAAGCTGCTTGATGTTCGTCGGAGACTCCCGGTACAGCTTGAGCTTCGCAGTGCCCAAGGACTTCCACTGCGAATGATATTGCTGCAAGAACACCTTGCACTTCATTTGTGCAGAGATGGTCGACGTGGTGGGGCCGAGCTGCGGAGGGGTCTCTTCCACAGGCGAGCTTGGCGGGCTCGGGTCCACGAAAGAGGGAGCAATGGACATCGAACGCACGCTCATTTGGGCAGATTGAAGTGTCTGGTGAGGTTGCGCATACAGCGAACTCGGCAATGAGTACAGCGAACTCGACGAGCTAGTGCGAGGTAGGAAGCCAGGTCTCGGCGGAGGGAGGTCCGTAAGATCCAAAGGATAATCTGGCACAGGAGGCGCTGAAGCGGGTGTACGATCGGGCTGCGATCTAAGAGAACGTGAAGAGGGAGACTTGCGCAACCCACCTTGGGACGAGGAATCGGAAGATGGGCGTGACTGCGGTTGGCCGTAAGGTGACGGATGTCCTGGGAGACCAGAGAGAGGAGGTCCACCGGGGGGTCCGCCCGGTGCACCCTGCCCGGGTCCCTGAGGTAGTCCCATACCTGGGCGGAATCCTGAGTCGGGAGGTGGTGGTCGAAAGTTCGGATTTCTGGGAGGTGGCATTTGACCAGGACCAGGACCGTACGACTGTGAAGACATGAGTTGTCCAGGGTGTTGTCCAGGGTGTTGTCCAGGGTTGAAACTTCCAGAAGGCATCAGCTGCCCGGGCTCAAACGACGGCTGAGGGGGACCTCCCCTTCCCGATCCGACAGTTGGACCACGCGCAAGTGGGCCGGGCGGTGGGGGCCCACGACCATCCATGACAGGTTGAGGAACTGTTACTTGTCCGGAACCAAATGACGGACCGCGGACAAGTTGACCAGGAGTAAAGGACTGAGGACCTTGGCCTCCCAGAGCACCGTAGTGTGGCTGAGGTGGCGTCATCTGGCCCGGTCCAAATGACGAACCATGCGCAAGCTGTCCTGGAGGTTCATCAACGGCAGATGAACTCCGCGGTGGATACATTGGGCTCGACTGATTAGTGGAGACGGTCTGAACATGCCCGGTATGGAGAGCAAGTCCTGAAACACCGTTCACAATGGCTGGGTCAAAGTCAGGGTTATTGTACGGTGGTTGAGGTGCATAGCGATTACCAGGACCACGAGGAGGTGAGAGGGCACGGGCAGGAGGACTCGTGCTGCGTTGGCGTAGATCCTTTGACAATAGAGGACGAGGATGTTGTGGCAAGCCATTCATCGAAGGAAGAGCAGGTACCGGGGGAGGCGGAGCAGCATTCTTAGACGAAGGTAGCACTGAGACAGAATAAGCGGCAGACTCCGCAAGGAAGGCCGGCATCACTCACGAATGGTAGCCGCATCGATACATTCACGGAACTCAGTAACCATCTGATCTCGCAATGCAGGGGTCGTCGTGTGGAATATCACGGTCTCCTTTCGCATGATGACAACCGATAGTGAAGTATCTGTGTCAGGATGTCTGAGCTTCTTGTCCAGTACAGGGTAAATGAACAGCGCTGACCTGAGCTACTGATCGGAACTACGCGTAGATGTTTCCCAGCTAACGGAGGGTACAGCAGCCACATGTCTGCTCCATCGCGCCCGTTCTGCACCCTCTCTTGTGAAGTCATTCGTTCGCATACAAGTAGCAAGTCGGTCAGTATGAAGACATGCCCCCTTCGATGTACAACTTCTGCGCCTGTCGCACGAGGAGTGACGCTGACGACGACATCTGCTGAAAAGCGTACTTCACGGCTGTAGTGCAGAGTAGGCGGGGCCATTTGAAGGCGCACTTGCTATGGGGTGTCAGTTTGTAACGTGCGCGTAGATTAAACAATTGAAGATGACCTTAGGTTGCATCGTAAAAATATCGAGAGTACGCTCGGTCCTCAACCGTCTTTCCAAATCAGTGACAGGCATGGACAGAGTTGATACAGAAGTGCGATCCTCAGACGTAGGGGCGGTATCATTCGATCGTCGTTCCCTTTTCTACGGTATCAGCACCGCGATCTACGTTTTTACAAAACGTGGACTTACCCACTCGAGGTGCTATTACTGCCATGAGTAGAATCACTTGCCCTTTGCTCGGGACCGTTGGTGAACGATCGGAGGGGCATTATACTGTCGTGCGACCGCATATCAATGACGACCTCGTCTTCAGTCTCCCGGGGCAACTGTGTTACCGGCACACCCCCTACTTTTACCTCCGTTCGCTCATCGACAGTAGCAATGAGCCTTTCCAGTTTCTCTAGTGCACCAGACAGAAGTCGATGATCACTCCTTCCAGGTGTAGTACTCTTCAATAGCCGCGTATACAGTTTCCTATAATACTTCAGGCGGCCCTTTGGGAGTAAGAATAGCTCGTCCAGCGTCCAGATGGGGGGCTCTGCAGGATGAAGCGGTGCTGACGCGGGAAGCGGGGGGGGATGTGTTGACGAGAACATGGCGAGTACAGTGCGCAGTCGCTCATTGGACTGAATAGGTTCCCAGGCATCGAACCCACAGCAGTACTTGCTACTGTATGTTGTATACGGAGTTTCCAAGTCGTCAATCTAGATCGTTATGAGTGATTGACGCGCATCTCCCGGCGATATGACTGACCCATCGCATGAGTAGATCTCCAAGCGCCTTCGGAGAGGATGGGTCGGTTCCTATCTGTTTCAATTTCTGGCATATCACGTAAGTGAGCGACTAAAGGACATTCAGCGGGCAGCGTACGGCGAGCAATGAACGGTTAGCTTTGTGGATGGTTTCCACACTTCGAAACATGGTATCCAATTCAGGTGGAGGAAGATTGGACCGAGACCAAGCCGACGCAACTTTCTGCAGTGAGGTTAGATGGATACGCACGTTCGTTGAGAAGGGGCATGCATACGCGGATTATACCAGTGAGCAGGTCAACGTACACCTTCTCAGAGTCGATGAGATCATTAAGTGGATTTGACTTCTTTGGTTTTCGGTCCAAAGAAGTCTGTGGTGCAGATGCTGTTGCAGATGGAAACCCAGATGAACATCAGCGGGACATAGAGGATGATGAGTGCGAACACGTTAAGTTGAGATAACAACTAGAGATCACGCACGAGATGGAATCCCCAATTCTTCCGGATCTGGATTTTGAATAACCTTTGGAGGGGCTGGAGGGTTCCAAGCATTGTTCGCTTCTGGGGGAGGAGGGGGCAATTTCTCGTCCCTGCCAGGACTGGGGAGAGGTTTGGGGATGCCAGCAGCGACACGGTCATTCATGAGGGAAAAGAAAGGCCAGGAATGTCGTGAAGATGGAGAGCAAAAGAGCGTGGTGGACGAACGGAACGAACGTGGAGGGGAAGAGGTAGACAAAACAAAGTGATCTGCACGCTCTTGCACTGCAGTTACCGCCAGTTCCTGGCGTCTATATTGCCTGTTCACACGTGATCCGACGCGTCTGCTGTTCCCCGAAGTTTGCCGAGGCAACCGCCGGCCACACCCTCGTTGTTGACCATGGCTTATCCCATTCAGTGGCTCGACGCCACCTTCAGATCTCGCGCAAAGACAGAACAGCTCCTCAGACCTGACTTAGAGTCTGGCCTTATCACGGAGCATGATTACCATCTCGCCTCTGCTTTCCTCCCAGCTTCGCATCGTTACTGGCCTGTCCGTATCGTGTTCCCAACTTTCTTCTCAAATGGGATGTCTCATTCTCGTTATTCGCGCTTTTCAGTACTATTACTCCATCCTTACCGGTGGCACAGCTGCTGGCTACACCAGATTCTACAGAAAGCCCCCCATGTCGATAAATCGCAGCGTGATCATCAGCACCGTAGCTGCCTTCCTTGGCTCCGTGTACGGCCAGTTTCGACGCGCCAAGGCTCACTGGAACTTCACCAAAGCACTAGATGATCCTGCCGCCTTCAGTCAAGCCTTGCAGAACGTGAACCAGAGGACGGGAGGAACCACTCCCCTTACATGGACGCTTCAGCGAGCAAAGGAAGTTCCCCAGAGGGAGGACGTCCATGGCAATAATACATCGCAGAACCCTGATGCTTGGGCTCCTGATGCGGACCAGGGTGCTTCTGCCGTCACAGTTGCGTCAGGGAGCATCCTCAAACCAACGCGTTCGTGATCAGCATGAACTGTATTGCTCTTCCTAACTGTGTGATGACTTTTCAGAGCAACCAGCATCGGAAAGCACGTCAAAATCTCACAGTCGATGGGAGGACATACGCACCGCCAATGCTCGCAACGCCGCGCAATCATCCTCCTGGGACGTTCTGCGACAAAGCCATGAGCGCGAACAGATCCCAAGCGACAACCAGCCGGAAACTCCATATGCCGATAGCAGTCGGGCGCAGGAGCAGGCGCGGTTTGACGCAATGTTAGAAGCGGAAAGGAAATTGTCCGGCCAGTAATTCATGATCGCAGGACACCTTTCCCGGGCCCGCGTGTCGCATTTGCTATCGGGAAATAACAGTAATTCGTGTCCTTGCTCGTGATGAGAAGGGACTCATGGTACCGGTGTTGCCAAGCGACGTATGTCAATCAGCTCCCAACCCAAAGACCGGTAAATAATTATTCAAGAGCCAGTGGATCTTCTCGCTGCAAACATCGTGTTAGTACTTAGTCGCTGCATACGGAGTAAGTACATCAACGACCAAACGATAGCTGATAACTATTTGGGCATTGTATATTTGAGACGGGCAAGTTGAACCTACCTGCTCCCTGGCGCACAGGCGACATGTGTAGTGTACCGGGACATAACTTGCTCAAACGATGGAAGGCGTGACGTCATACCGTGTATCAATAAAATGATCGACCTGCAAGTACACTTGGCGATCTACAACCTTCTACAACTTGCTCACTACTACAACGTTCACGTGTATTTCCCACAGTTCAAGATATGGGCTGGCAGAAGACATTCACTCTGCAGAACCGGAGCAAAGGCTGCCATCTTATAACGCGCGAAGTGCTCGCTCAGATAGAGCCTGGTCTGAGTGGTGTTCAGGTCAACATCTTTTCCATCGATCGCGCTCTAAACAATTTCTCACACATACTTACATGATGCGGATGGTCGTACGCTGACGGAATCTTCTAGGTTGGCATGTTGTATCTCTTCATGTGGGTACCCCAGTACAGTGGCAATGATACTAGTGCTGAGATGATACAGTCAACACACCTCCGCAGCGTTGACGATAAATGAGAACTTCGACAGTGGTAAGCCAACTGTGATGAGAGTAGCAACTCTTTCAATTGATTCAGCTGCACAGACGTCCGCCGAGGTTGATTTTGTGCAATTGGGCAGTCTATATGTGCTGAGCTGTAAGGTCAGATATGGACATGGCACTGGACAACATCGTCCCGGAAAATCTCAACTGGCTTCACACAGACGAAGGGCCTGAGTGAGATTCCTTCCTGCATGCTTGTCAACGTTGTTCTCACATTCCCGCGACTGCAGTGATTCGTGAGTATGCGGAAGACACGTAGGCGGACGGGCTATTCACGTTGACAATCCATCAGTGTCTCGCATACCAAGACTTCACTCATTGGAACTTCTATCTGTATCCCAATCACGGACGGCAGGCTGAACCTCGGTACCTGGCAAGGTGAGCTGCGCATCCGCGATCTCGCATCGAAGGGCTTATCCCTTGTGCGTACTAGGTATCTATCTCACGGAATTTCGCCATATGCCTCATTCAAGGCGGTTAGTAGCGACTATTTTGTGAGTCTTGCATGGAACACTTACGCCTGAAGTCTCAATGCTGACGAAATCATCGGTGAAGGTCGTAACTCGCCAACGTTGAGGTCATCTCTACATATGTATTGATTGTTCTGAACGTCGCCGTCTAGCTATAGAACGATCAGCGAAGCTCATATGTCTGTTGTAGAAGCCATGAATGAACGACGTCAATTCTCTCCGGACCACTGCCCTTTGTTGAAGGTGGGCAAGCTGGCGCCCATCTCGGAGGTTGCCGGCGGAGTTTTCCGTAGTAGATTTTGTACGCTCGCGCTGGTCGTCGTACGTTGGGAGAGAATTTCATCGTCGCCGCTGCGCCGTCTGTTGCTGCTTGTGCAATACCCTTGTCATCGACGACCGAGCATATTGCGTCCTCTAGTTCTACAGAAGACCACGTAGCCAAGGAAGGCCTAAATGAAATAATGCGCAAAAAATCCTGAATGTATCAATTGCATTCATGACTGACGAAGCAAGAGTAACGCCGAGCCTCTCTGTGTGAAGTATGATACACCAGCTAGTAGGGAGCGTACCGACATACAATTTCGATCTTTCTAAGAAAAACAGACTGCCCAAACTGCTTCTACAAAACTACCAGTTTGCCACACACAGTTCCCAACGCTTGTGCGACGACAGCCCCCTCTCGAGGTCGACAATGTGCGGCACAGTAGTATTGCTCGATAAGTACAGACCCACTCAACCTTAATTAGTAGGAAATAGGCATGCTTGAAAAGATTTCAACCAGCTATCTTGAGAGTTCACGCTGCTATCATCCACCACCATCACCATGCCAGGTGGATAAGGGTCATTACGGACGCCCAACTTTATGTAGTGCAGCAGCACGGCAAGCGTTGAATTCAACATATGCTGGGAAGTGCGGATGGCGAGGTAGTCCTTCAATAGAATGGCAGGAGCGGTGAGGCCTATTTCCCCGGTAGCAGCCTTGGCGTCCACTTAGAATGGTAGAATGGTACGACATCCTCCAACGGCACGTCTCCCGGCCTAGGCTCATAGATACAGCCTCTAGTTACCTGCAGGAAGACAGTCGTTCCTTTGTAATAGACTCCCGGCCACGCGATCCAACTCTAGCGTGTGTAGACTGCCGTTTTTTGAAGGTACCCTGGCTGGTGTAACGGATTGGGTCGACGGCGACACATTATCAATTGTACACGAAGCGCTCGAGTTCTCAGAGATTGCCGCCCGATACGTAGTCATGTTCGAGCTGTTCGATTCATTCCTAGCCGTCCAATTCATTCCAAATTAGACGTTGGAGGATTCGTTCCAACTCGCTGGTCTTCGACACATTCGACCAACATAGAAGATGATCGCATCCAAAGGAAAGAATTTTGTCGTGAAGGCCCTTCGCGGTAGAATGCATCAGCTTGCTCTGCTCAATGACCATCAACCAAACCTTCGTTCGAGGCGACTCAGAGACATGGTTGAGACTCGCACTGATATCCGTCTTCTCCTCACTTGATCGACTGCTTAGATCGTCGTCCTCGGATCGTCCTCTCTTGAAGAAGTTGCTACAATAGAATTCTGTGACTGAGTTGACGGTTTGTGCAGCCCCACTGCAAGAAGATTCGTTACGAAGACTGAACTTACTGCAAATAGGTACAAACACAGCAGGCTCCTAAAACCAGCCGTCGCTATAGCGTTCTCGCTCCTTTATCATATGTTTTAAGAGATCATGTGATATATATATTTTATGAGACTTACCCAATTGAGCGAGAAAATAGCCGAACAAGAGGAGGAGAACACTATAGGACGGCGAAACCTCGGTTGACATTATAGGCCAGCCGTCCTACACAGGAAGCATTACCACTTTTATCCATTGGAAATAACCTGGCAAAAAGCATGGAAATCAATAATATATTTTCAGAGGAAAAACCTTGAGAAAAAAGTGAGAAAAGAACAAAACATTCTCACGGTTTTTCCCTTGGAAATAAGTTGCCTACCATATCAGGCAACTGGACATGCCAGGACATGCCAAAACCCGGACAAAACTACCATATTTGGCGACCAACTTATTTCCAGTGGAAAAACTGCGGAAATGCTTTGTTCTTTTACACGTTTTTTCCTCATGTTTTTCCCGCAGTATAACTTTATTGATTTCCACACATTTTTCCAAGTTATTTCCTCGGGAAAAAAGGGGTTATGTGTCCTGTGCTATAGTGTTCTCCTCCTCTTGTTCGGCTATTTTCTCGCTCAATTGGGTAAGTCTCATAAAATATATATATCACATGATCTCTTAAAACATATGATAAAGGAGCGAGAACGCTATAGCGACGGCTGGTTTTAGGAGCCTGCAAACACAGTGGACTCCAAGTATGGTCGACCGTGGATGTAGGCTCTAGGCAGCCCAGCAGCGAGACATCATCAATGTGTACTGTGTGCACTGCCATAATCAATGTCCCCATAAGTTGCATGGGATATAATCTTTGCGTTAGCATCTGATGCACTGTACTCACGTAAGTAGTTAGTGAGCTGCTACCTGGTAAAAGTAGCTGTGAGCTCGTGTGGCGCGTAATGATTCAACTTGAGTTTCACTGGCGCTTGCAAGGTTCATATACTAGTAGCCGTGAATGTGAAGGCATTGTATGTATCCGTTTCCGGATCCCGGGATTTGATTTTTTGCGAGGACCCGATGAGGCTGTGTGGTACGTATCGTACGTAGTACCGGATTGATTCCGCGACTTCCGCAACCTGCGAGCGCTGGCTTACATAAAGTCTTGTGTGCCTTACCTGGCGACTCGGAAGTTGCATAGATCTAGAGATCTCCGACGACGCACACAAGCCCACAAAGTCTTAATCCATAGCAGCAGATCGCTTTCGTGTGTTTTTTCGCTCCCTCGTCATTCTTATCCTCTCATCCACATCAACACGTCCAGTTATCAGTTTGAGTTGTACTCTCCGTGGCTATCCAACGTCCCCAGCAGAAAGGCGCGTCTGCTATACGGGGTAAATGCCGAAATCTGCTAGTACTTCCAATCGGTCTGCTTTAAGGAGAAACCAGGTACGCTATACGCTTTGCAGTGCTTACTCTCGTTTCAACAATAATGCCCTCCAGGCTTGTCTTTCATGTCGGAGAAGGAAGCTCGTGAGTGGCTGCTGTTTCCGCTAGCTGTATACTAGATGACTTACTCCCCCTTCTCAGAAATGTGACGCAGCACGCCCGCACTGCAGCACTTGCGTGAAGTCGGCCTGACCTTCCCCGACTCTAGCTGAGATACTGACTATAACTCTGCAGGCAATGGCAGGCTCTAATCAGTGTTCCACCGCCGGTTGGCTACGCGTACTTGTGTTACCCTGTATACTCCATCGCTGCTTCTCATAATTTTTGTTCAGGCATCCCACCGAGCCACAATGCTCATATGATCCTATCGATGGGTTGCCGATGACTCCCAACGTTGATCCTATGGACCGGATACGACAGCTTGAAGACCAAATATGTTGGTTTTCTCTCCGCTTCGTCCGCTTCGTCATAAAATTCACCATGTCCGCGTATCTGTGCAGCGCAGCTGAAACACCAACTGAATGAGGCGAGGGGTGTCATCTCTCGACCGCCATCTCCTCGACAGTCCTTGCAAAATAGTTGTCCGCAATCGACTGCGGTGCGGTCGCCAACCGGAAGTTCTGACGGCACTTCTAATTTAACCAATACCCCTCAGGGCAATGCAAATGGATTCACGGACAGTCCTGACTCACAACGGCGGGACTCGACAGGAAGCCCGGATACGCGGCATTCTGGCGGTAGTCGAGCAGATACTCGCACGGAGATGCTCGCTGCCGGTTGGGATCCAGACCTTCCTCATCCTGACACCTTGATACATCTGTAAGGAGGCTTCACTCACTGGCTAACTCCAGCAGCCACACTGATTATTAATCTTCTACAGCATAGATATATTCTTCAGATGTGATCCTTGCGGTTCCCGTATGTTGCATCGTCCTTCGTTACTTGCATCCATGCATTTGCATCCCAACGACCCAAATTTTCCTCATCCAGCGGTGCTGCATGCCATAGTGAGTGGCTGGCCCTTCAGATAGCACTGTGAATATATTGACCCTGTCAACCAGTGCGCATCAGCCTCACGCTGGACTTCCTACGATATCAACCCGATGCCGGATGGAACGCGCCGCGACACATTTGCGGAGCATCATGTGAGCAAGACGCGAGCGTACATTGACAGGACAATGGCGACAGGCCGGGACATTTTCCCCGTCGTGCAGGCCTGCATCTTACTCTCTTGGTATTTCTATCAAGAGGGTCGTTGGGTGGAAGTATGGATATTTGCGGGGTTTCAAGCGAGGGTCGCGGTGCCACTCCGACTCAATTATCCGGGCACTTTCTCTATGAATGGATCGAATACAGGTGCCTACCTTGATCCTCCAAAAGATTTCAAGGAATTAGAGTTGCGCCGAAGAACTTGGTGGATGACTGTAATATTCGATCGTATTGTGTCTGTTGGAGGATGGCTTCATGCTGTAGATGAGAGGGACATCGGGACAGAATTCCCATTGCGTTCTATTGACTTTGAAACAGGGGTACAGTGTTCCGTTCGTCGTATGCCATATACTCTAACCTTGTATCTAGTCAGGGATACCCGACAATCCGCAACATTTGGGTACAAAAGACGTCTTCATTCGACATATACCTGAATACACTGATTCGTGCATACTCTTCCTCAAGTCTGTCATGTTGTTTGGCCGCGTAACAGACTACAATACCAGGAGCAACCTTCGTGCATCTGCACCGCCTAGCATAAATCAAAATCCCTTCAATTTGATTGGCTTCGAGCAACTTGACAGGCTTGTCGCTCTTGAATTCCTTGAGAGTTTTCCATCAGGCTATCGGCAGTTTGACATTAGCCCGGATGGGAGTGGCCTCGACACGGACCTCTACATGGCCCATGTTGTACCTTACGCGTATGTTTTAATTCATAAGCTGAAGTTCGAGATGCGACATTAACTACTGGTTTATACAGGGCAACCATCACTCTCCACAATTCTTACATTGACTTTCACAATACCCAGAGCGTATCAGCTGCACGTTGCGTCAACGCCACACGATTCATACTGTCGGCGTACTTCAGACTTTCGGAGACCTCGCTAGATATTACGCGTTTACATCCGTTTATAACGGCGAGTCTCAGAAGACACCGCTACTCTACTGTTCTGATGTGATTCTGAATCTGTAGATCTGCTGGTATCTGGCGGCTGTCGTTCAGATCCAGCTGTGCAAGTACTTCATCGAAATCGGGGACACTGCGGGAGAAACTATGGCCTGGGGGAATATCAATGCGCTCCGGTTAGTGGATATGCACTCATTCATGGCGCAAAGTTAACTTATCCTCACTATGGAAGGTTTGCCATGATAACATACGGCAGTCGCTCGCCCATCGGTAGTAGGTCAAGTTACCACGCTCTGGTTAGTGTGTTGCTGAAACATATTAGTCCGTCAGGAGAAGTTACTCCAAGGCCTGATGACCGAAATCGTTCGGATGACATCGCAGATGCATCCCTTGCAGGTGGCAGTGCCTCTATATCCGTTTTCTCATGCAGGGGTTTTCCCTAGGGATGCTCAGATAGTGGAGCTCACGGGTGCTCCTTTGCCTGGCAACCAACCGTTCGACGAAATGTCGCCTACATCGACGATGCCAGCAGGTATGATGAATTTGTCTACCTCGAATCCTATGGTATCCAGCTGGGCTCGTCACACCTCAAACTCGCCGCCGTCCATGCCTACTGCACATGTGCAGGGCCATGTTCCAGGTATTCCGCCGGCTTACGCCACGCGACATTAGTGAAACGCTCTTTGTTCTGATTCTATGCTGTTTCACTTTCGGTACTCATATTGCGTCTCTAATGTTTGATGTGTCACCACGTCAGTAAATTCTCGCTATCCGGACTGTAGAGTACCAAATAATCTAGGATGTACTACTTTAGACTTTGCACTGTTCTTCTCCGCACAGTGGAACACACGATTCGCATCAGAATGCTGTTCCATCCGATCATTTGGACTCGTGCTTTTTTGAGATGATACATGGGCGCGGTTCAAATTCGTCCGTCGGGTATGCTTTCGTGAATTATGAACTAGACATATACACGTTCCAACTCTTAGAAATATACCTCTACGCTGAGATCTCCGTGAAAATCCTCAAGTCCTTAACGCTTGTGCAACCCTTTCCGGCAATGATTTGCATAGTGACCTTTCTCCCCACACTGTAGGGCATCAACAAGAGGTCCCAGAATGTAGCAGCAAGAACGTACCTTAAAGCAGGTGACATCCTCGATGTTCCTGCGAGGGGCCGGTGGGCCTCCCGAGCCTCCTAGACCAGGCGGGTGACCGCCAGGGAATCCACGATCATAGTCTGCATACCTACCGTAACCTGGAGGAGGTGGCCCTAAATCCCGCACTGAGGGCGGTGAGGGCGGTTCATACGCCTTCGGCGGAGGGGGATCTGGTTTGGGGCTGAGCATGTGAATAATTTGCTGGTCTTCAAAGGGTTAGGAAAATACATACTGGCCACGCGGACAATCTGCACCCATGGGACAAAAACCAGTCAAATAGAGCTGGCATGCAACTCGCTTGACATGTTTCCGAGGGCATGTGGGACCTACATGCTATGAGGTAATAATCTCTGCAAAAAGTACAGCATTACACACCGAGCTTGCAAAACCCTCTATTATAGTCTGGACACTCAATACGACGCTCTTTCGGATGGGCATACAGACATTCGTCTCCAGCGGAACAGTAGCCATACTTCGCGTACCACCAACACTCGGGCATGCGTCTCAGGTTGTACTCGTGCAAGAACTCACAAGCATCACCCTTCTTACACAAGCCACGAAGCCAATGTTTGCACACGGTGGCGAGACGCTCTCGCTCACGAGGATGAGTGGGCAGCTGCTTGGGAGGTTGGAAGTTTTGGATTGACGGGTTGGTGTGCCTCAAAGGACAGTGAAGGGGCCCGAGAGGGCAGCCAGCGGGGGTAAGAGAGAGACGGCATATCTGGTCATCTGCAGGCGATGAATAACGGTACGATACGTAGCTTGTGTGCGCGAGAGAAAGAATACCTTTATCAAGCTTAATACCGAGCTCGTTCTTAATGTAAGATTCCTCAGCAAAGTTGTTCTGATGGAATTGTGGGCGTATGAGATCCCGCAACGCAGACGGACCAGCGAGCGGATTTGCTACAGCAGAGGCCATCGTGGTCGACGAACAAACCGCTCAGTCCTTGTGACATGGTAGCGTCACAACAAGGTGCATTGATAAGCGACCGCTCCTTCCAAATATAGAAGCTCTTTACGAACTTGGAATCTCGATCGCCATCCGCGAACTGAGTGTCCCTGGCGCACCCAGTTCCCTCAGGTTCATCCCGCGGGCTACTCACGGCCCGTTTGGAGGGATGTTCGTCGCAATGACTGATAGCTGATATGTTGCAGGCACATCAGAACATTCTCTCACCCTAATGGATATTGGAAGACTCAAAGATGAGGCTAACAAGTCGCATACGCGGGAGGAAGCATCTCACGGCATCCCAGTCGGCACTAGCCCCGTTTGTATAACGTCCATGCTGAGATTGTCCCAGTCCGATCTAGACCAGAAATGTTGTATGCTCTCCAACACACCGGACAAGCTGCAACCTCTCCCTGAAAATGCTGCACCTCGGATTCTTCTGGCCCTCCAGTTCTTCCCAACGCTGGTTCCAGCGGAGTGATGGCCCTTCCCTTATTTTCTCATGGCTCCGACGTTTCGTATTCATATAGCATGGGCCGCTTTCATCGATCTCCCGACTGTCCCACCATCTCCCTCTGCTCAACGTGGCGCGTCTTGCGACGATCTGCATGAATCGTGGACACTAACAACATGCCAAATCCCACAGATCTCATGGTATCCTTTCTCATCTGCTTCATACTCTACGCTGTCTTCTCCAAGCACGCCGTTCGGCATCTACCCTTACCTCCTGGTCCGAGAACATCATGGTTTGGTTCTGTTGAGTTACCTAAAACCTATCCGTGGATAACCTATGCCCAGTGGAGGAAGACATATGGTACGACTCGTCCTCTCATCGCAAGCCAGAGCAATCGCTGCATGTAAGCACAGGTGATCTCGTCTATATCTACGTCTTCGGCAATCCCGTCGTGGTTCTGAACTCGGCTCGAGTGGTCAACGATCTCCTCGAGAAACGGAGCAGTATTTATTCCTCCAGACCATTTCGATCAATGGTAACCCAACTGTAAGTCGGCCTCGAATTACCCGATCAATTGATCTCAGCGATATACAGTATGGGCTGGGACTGGCTTTTCTCCACAATACCTTATGGACCATGGTGGAAGAAGCATCGGGCTATGTTCCACCAACATTTCAACGCAGCCAATACTTCTACGTATCACCCTGTCATGCTGAGAGAAACACGTGTCCTCCTTCGCAACCTTACTGACTCCCCCGACAACCTGGATCATCACATACGAAGGTTTTGGGTCCCTGCCAGATGTGTACCAGTTTGTGAACTTACGCGGATGGTCTGCTACAGGAATGCTGCCGCAATCGTGTTGAGTGTGGCGTACGGGCATCAGGTAGAACAGGCTCATGCGTCCTGCCCGGTATCACGACTGAAGTCAACCGTAGGTAGCACCTGAGGGAGATCCGTATGTTCTGTTGGCGGACCAGGCAATGAATACTCTCGGATTAGCTGGCATCTTCGGAACATACCTTGTAGACTACATACCTCCCCGTGAGCAAAGCGTAATATTCTCGTGTGTTTCGCTGACCACATCAATCGCATTTATCTAGTGCGATTCATTCCTGCATGGATGCCTGGTGCAGGATTTAAGCGACAGGCCTTGGAATGGCGCAAGCTGAACCAGGCCATGCTCAATGCACCTTTCAAGATGGTCAAGGAGCGAATGGCGAGTTTCGTACGAGATGAGCTTCTCATCAGCATTTAAATTTACTTAGGCTTCGGGAAACGCGATACCATGCATAACTGCTGCCGCTGTGGAAGAGTGGCTTCAGTCCGGACGTGATCCTGAGCAAGAGAAGGTTATCAAGGGTGTTGCTGCTACCTCGTATGCTGGTGATGTTGTTAGTATACCGGTGATTCAGCATAAGCTAATGCTCCTCTTCCAGCCGGCGCTGACACCGTATGCGTTTCGACCATTCAACTCATAGAGTCTATTGATGTTCCGTTGACTGTCAACAGACTGTTTCTGCTGTTCTATCATTCTTCCTGGCGATGACAGTCTATCCCGAGGTCCTCGAAAGAGCACAAGCAGAGATAGACAAAGTCGTAGGCCGAGATCGTTTACCCGATTTCTCTGACAGGGACTCCCTTCCTTACATCGATTGGATAGTCTGGGAGTGTCTTCGATGGAATCCAGGTAAGGCTGAGGTGCAGCAGCTGTCTGACAATACTGAACTTAGTACGTTTGTGCTGGTGCAGTCACGCCCTTGGGAATAGCACACAGCTTGACAGAAGACGACGTGTACGAGGGCAAATTGATCCCCAAGGATACCACCGTCATTCCTAACACCTGGTCAGTATCCATTTGCCCGCGATCTCGGTAGGCTGAACAGGATTGCAGGGCGATCCTTCACGACGAAGCAACATATCCTGAACCGTACAGATTTTTCCCTGAAAGATACGCTGACAACTTGAAGAACACTGAACTCGGCATCAATGAGCCACCTCTGGCTGCCTTCGGATATGGTCGACGGTACGCTCTCTTTGGGCCTGGTTCGTGAGTAAGTCACGGTGCTTACATGGTCCGTTGGTACCGCAGGATATGCCCAGGTCGCTGGCTTGCTACTGACTCTGTCTGGATTGCTGTCGCCACTGTCGCGGCGGCCTTCAACATTGCTAAGGCCCTCGATGAGAAGGGGGTTCCGATTGAACCGGAAGTAGAATACACTTCTACACTACTCAGGTGCGGCATTAGTATTTGCATGCCTGGGTGGCACTAAAGCTCATTTCGTCCAGTCATCCGAAGCATTTCCAGTGCAGCATCGTCCAGCGCTCCGATGCTGCTGCCGCGCTGATTGCGCAAACCTCAGACGAATGATATCGTTCATGCTACTTTCGTGGTTGTTCACGATGTACCTATATGGTCTCCGCATGTCGCCCGATTTGAGCTACTCGATTCGGTGTAGGATAGCAAATATTCTAAACAAATCCTGATCGTCAAGAGAGAAGACAGTCTACGCAAAGATCTCGGCGTCACCAAACACCGAGCAGCTGGGCATCACCGCCGGCAACCTGCACCCTCTCAATACCGGCCCGCACTCTGCTCAGCCACAAGGCATCTGTGACAGCATGACTGCCCGGACTGGGAGGACCCGTGGAGTCCTCCAGCTCTATCACATAGATGTCACCTTCGACCCCACTTATAGATGGTCTCCGGTCGATTCTAGTGGCGGGTGACCCAAAGGTAGTGAGGAGCGTACTGATGACCAGTTGAATGAGGCGACCGTGTGGAGCAGCTGTTTGCTCTGATAGGCCTTCGCTGATGCGCACGAGCGCCCGTCTCCGCGCGTATCGTTGTAAGGCGTCCGAGGGAAGGCTGGCGTCGAGGGAACTGGCGAGTACGTAGAAGCGAGTAAGGTTCGCTGGGCATGAGTCAGAAGCGGCTTCGCACATGCAATGCGCAGTGCAGAAATCAGACATACTATCATTATCTTGAATATTATCATGCAACACCTCAAGCCCGTCGAAAATCGTAGCACAAAGGGCCGCACATATGGCCGCGCTCTGGAGAGTTTGGTCACCCTCTTCTTCTGACAAAAGGGCTTGCGCTGCCGCAGAGGTAGACGGCGTCTTCACACGGACAGCTCCCGGAAGTCTCTCTGACAGAAAATGTGCACACTGACCGAGAGCCTAGAGTGCGATATCTTAAGCCATGCGTTATAATTCATCGGTATGTACGACTTTCCTGTTCATGGCTGAGGACCCTTCGGATGCTTTCCAGTTGGACACCACGGCGCACGAGAAGGCAGTGTCGCACGGGAAGAGTGAGTTCCCCCCGAACAAACCTGTCTTCACCGACCGCAGGGAGCCGTAACAAGTCATATGTTTCAGTAACGCTCCCGTAGATGCTATTCTCTTGTGGGATTAATCCGAAAGGTATCTCATTGGAAACCGCATTGAAGACGTCTGGCTACAAGTTACAATAGAGTTAAATCAGATGACAACAGACAGGATACCTGAGATGGTTGGTTTCTCGACGTATTGTACATTGGTTCCGAATCCATCGCGTGCACACTGCCGTCGTCGGTTTGAAAATTGCTGGACCCACTCGTGAATTGAGACGGACCTGGTAGGAATGAGAGCCTAAAGGACCTAGAAAAGCAAGCTTCGGCAAGTTCTCATCACCGAGAGTCATGGTCGGAAGGAAAATTTCCCAGGCGTCAAGTTCATCGTAACTGAGTACTGAGCGGCAATGCGAAAGGTTAAAATTGTCGCCAGAAAAGGAAGGCGCTTGTATGAATGCATGCCAGTACTTGAGACGCGCGTGTCCTAGCCTTGCACGCACCACGCTGCACGTCTCTTACCTACCCAATCGAGGGTACTAGGCTTACGTTCTTACTGGTCCTATAAAGCGTCTAGCTGCTGGATGTACCGTCTTCTCTACACCTCTCGTCATCCTGCTATCGCATCGTCTTCCTCCGGCAAGTTTCTCGGGCTCGCACGCTGTATTACGACTTCACCGCAAACTCTGCATACATCTATAAATCAGCAGGACTCACGACTCTGTATCAAACGCACCATGTCTCAGAAGATGAACGGCATCAAGACTAATGGAACTCACCTAGAGAGCTTCGGGAATTTCGATTTGGTCAAGCAAGTCAAGCTCGATTTCGCGGATATCCTGCTCTCGAAGTGGAAGAGCAGGGTCACTGGCTTGTCTGTAGTCCACCTAGACTATGAAGGTGTGTCAGGCAGTACTATACTCATCTTTTAAGAACGTTCAATTGACACGAAGCCTAGCTCCAATTGTCAACGGCTATTTTGTGGTCGCCACTGAGAGTAAGTGTCTGTCATCATATCTCATAAGTGTATGCTTCCCGATCGACCCAGCTCATGTTGGTGGAACCTGAGTGGCTCGTGGCTCGCGTATTATATCCTCCTTTACGTCGGCAGGCTGATCATGCGCTTCTGCGCTGAATGAGGGGTCTACACCATTGATTTGATCTGCCTCCTCACCCACGATGCTGACAAGCTGATACTAGTCTTCAATGATAGCGGATGTCCTCATACACTAGAACAGTGAGTCTTGATTGCTGCGCTCACTCGCCACATCTCTCACCCTATTATCCAGTCTGGTTTTTATGGGCGCGGAACAATATCCTTACAAAGGCATCATCGATCACTTTGCGAATCGTGGATTTTCGAATGGCACCAATGCATGGACCGACATCGACCATACTGTTTACACTGTCTCGACAGCCGGAGAGCAGGGATTTCTTCAGCTGCTCCCAATTTACGTGGATCACATCTTGTACCCTACTCTCACCAAGGCAGGCTTTGTCACCGAGGTCAGGAACTATCCAGCCGATTATCTCCTCTCCTTCACTTATATGGGCGTTACAGGTACATCATATCGATGGCAAGGGGCAAGACTCCGGTGTGGTCTACAGCGAGATGCAAGGACGGGAAAATACTGCCGGAGACCTCATGGCGCTGCGGTATGATTGGTCACACGACCCATCGATGCATGTTCTGATTGTTTGACAGTATGCAACGCCTGCTGAATTCAGCACGGAGCGCCTATCGATCCGAGACTGGGGGTCTCATGGAGGCGCTCCGTGTCTTGCCTGTTGAGCAGAGTGCGTCTGTTCATGCTGTTTTCGCCTCACGTTCTCATGAGTGGTGTCAGTCCGGGAGTACCATCACAAGTACTACGTCCCTCATAATTTGTCGCTCATCGTGACCGGCAAGTTGGCCTCTGGTACCACCTCCCTCCTCAATGTTATTCAGAACCAGATCGAACCGTCCATTATCAGACATGGTCAGAATCAAGGATCACGACCGAAAGGTTGGAAGCGGCCCTTCGTAGAAACGGCCAGCGCGCTTCGAGAACCTCTCAAACACAATGTGAAGGAGACTATCGAGTTCCCGGAGAAGGACGAAAGCGTGGGCGAAGTACAGTTAACGTTCATGGGCCCACCTCCGAATGCATTCCTGGAGAGAAAGGTGTGTATTGGTAGTCTCGTCGTGCACCTGTCCTTATGTTCTTGTTCCAGGCACTTGACATCCTCGCCACGTACTTGACGTCTTCTCCGGTCGCACCTCTTAACAAGGAATTTGTGGAGATCGAGTCGCCGTTGTGGTAGGTTTTGATGATTGGTGTCAGATGACTTCGTGTATACTGAATGTGATGACCACTTCAGCACTTACATCTATTTCGGAGAGGATACACGAGCCACACTGGTGGATCTGCCGGTCTATGTCGGTTCTGTACCGACGGAGTACCTTGAGACTTTCGACGAGAAAATCAGGGCCAGTCTCAAGCGGATCGTTGATGAAGGTATCGACATGCAAAGGATGTCCATGGTCATCAATCGTGACGAGCGCCAGGTACTACTCGCTCAGTCTGTGTGGACCATATTACTCATTTCCCCTCCAGCTCCGTAGCAAGGTCGAGACATCGAAAGGGGATACGTTCTCCGGAACCGTCATTGACGATGTCCTGTACGGCGTTGAGGATGGGTCCGAGTTAGGCCCTTCTTTGGACGAGATAAAGCAGTACAGCCAGCTTCGCCTGTGGACAAGTACGCAGTGGACGGATGTCTTGAAAAAGTCAGTGCATGATTTTCTCCATCATATCGTAGCTCACAAGGTTATTGTATATTTGCAGGTACTACGTGGACCCTCCTTGTGTCGTTGTCCGTGGGAAGCCCTCTGCGGCAATGGCAGATAAGCTGGAGAAAACCGAGAAGGTTCGCATCGCGGCCCAGAAGAAAATGTTAGGGCCTGAGGGACTTGCGAAGGCAGAGAAAGTCCTCCAGGATGCGAAGAAGGAGCACGACAAGGAGATCCCAAAGGAAATCCTGACGTCCTTCCCTGTCCCTGATGTTAAGAGCATCTCCTGGATACCCGTTCAGAGCTTGCAAGAAGTTGGTAAGGGAAGGGCACGGAAGCGGACTGCGCACCAGGGTGGAAACACTGAGCTCGCGAAGCGTGTCGAGAAGGACGGTGAAGCCGTCCCATTCTTCGTTCAGTACGATCATGTACAGGTGCGAACGGTTTTGTTCCAATGGCATTCGCAGAAGATTAATTCTGATATATATATTGCATAGTCCGATTTTGTCACTATCAATGCCTATTTCTCCTTGACTAACCTATCGCATCGACTCCGCCCGTAAGTACAACACACCTCTCTGACGGTGGCATATCTGATCTGTTATTTTTACAGATACATGTCAACGTACCTCTCTTCATTCTTTTCCTTACCGGTCACGAGAAGCTCCGGGGAGAAATTGACACATGAAGAAGTCGTCAATAGACTGGACAACGACACTGTCTCGTATGAAGTCAACTTAGGCGTCAGTGGTACTTTCAGTGAGACGATGCGGGTTACCATTAAGGTGGAAACTGCGATGTATGAAAGCGCTATTGCATGGTTGAAAGACCTTGTATATGACAGTATCTTCGACAAGGAGAGGTCAGTATCCATCACCCGATTCACCCGATGTCATCTTATTCCTACGTTGTCGCAGGTTACAAGTGTCAGTCGCGAAGATCCAACAATCATTGCCGGAATTGAAGAGAGACGGCGACAACGTCTTGTCATCAGTTTCGGCGGGATTGCTATATGACGAGAGCTCGACATCTTTGGCTGGGAGCGTTCTCTCGCAGATCGAATTCGTACCCAAACTTGCGAAGGATCTGCAGGAATCACCTGACGAGGCCATCAAAAACTTTGAAGAGATCAGACGGCTGAGTAAGTTTCAGTTGTTACGGACTTTCCCTCATTTGGCTCACCATGAAGTAGTCACCGAGCCATCTGGCGTACGATTCTCCGTTACTGGCAATGTGTTGGGCCTCGAGCAACCCCGTAGTCCATGGAGAACTCATTTCGAGAAGGCTTTGCCAGTGAGCAACATGCCCATCTAATTGGTCCTCACTGCTGACGCAACGTAGGCAACTGAACTTGTCCCCATCACCATGACAGTTAATACCCTTAGCTCGATAGGCAAGGATCCGGTGAAGAAGGTACAGTTCTGGTGTTCAATATACTGACGTACAACGTGCTCACTGTTTCTGCTAGGCCGTAGTCGTCAGTCTCCCCACAATCGAGAGCTCCTTCGTTGCGCACACTGCGAAAGGCATCCAAGGCTTTGATCATCCTGACTTCCCAGCAATCCGTGTGGCTCTCGAAGCGCTCAATGCCACCGAGAGCTACCTATGGGTGTGTTAAATCCCCTGCTTCGAATGGGCTACCTTATAATCCCCCCTGTAGCGTTATATCCGTGGCTCAGGCCTAGCCTACGGCGCCCATATATCCATCGATCGGGAGGCCGGCCTTATTGGATTCAACCTGTATCGCGTATGTTTCTAAATAATCACTCGCGTGTCTGGTCTCACGGCGCATTTCCAGAGTTCGAATAGCATGGAGGCGTTCAGGCAGGCTTCCATTGTTATCAAGAGTCTCGTTGACGGCTCTGTGAGTCCTAAGTACCAATTCCTCTTAGCATCCTTACATAACCCCTTGTACAGATACCACTAGAGGATACGACAATGGACGCAGCCAAGAGTAGTATCGTCTTTGGAGTGACAAAAGGTGTCTCAACACCAGGTCGTGCCGTAAGTGCACATGTTGGCTTGTACTGTTCATGACCAATGGACCCTTTCTTGCAGGCACTCTCCTCCTTCTTGAACCAGACCTTCAAGGGTGTCCCTCAAGACCACAGCATCAAGCTCTTGGAAAAATACCAGGCCGTCACCAAGGAGGACGTCCTGGCTGCACTGCGCAAGTACTTCCTGCCGCTCTTTGATGCGTCGTCGTCTGTGGCGGTTGTTGTCACGGCACCGTCGAAGGCGGCTCAGATCGGGAAGGAGCTGGCTGCTGTTGGATATGACGTGGAACAGCGGACCTTGGAAGTCGACCCAGACGAGGAGAGCGGCAGTGAGAGTGGCAGTGAGACAGGAAGCGAGATGGGCGTCGAGAGCGATGGCACCGGTGATGCATGATGCATCTTATCTTCTATTGACAATTTATTAGTTTGGACCATGGTGCAGGATGCGCGATGCCAGCGCTGTAATCTACAACTTCTCAGAGGTTCTCTACGATACAGCGTTTGCGGGCTTATTTACCGTATCCTCGGCCTCGGCCTCTCCGACAACCTCGATCATTTTCTCGGCCGCTTGACCGGGCTTCAACTCCACGTTCTCGAGGAAGTCGTTGTCGACCAGAAAACGGATAGCTTGAGACAGGTTGGACACGGTCATACGGATCTCAGGTTGCAGCAACTAGAAGAGAGATCTCATTAAATGCGTTCTTGCAACAGTAAACTTTGGCACTCACATTACGGAGCAGAGAAGGACGTGAAGCGAACGGATTACGTAGAGGTCTGCGCGGCTGCCTTGGTAGGGACTTTTTGATTGGTTGAATCGCCTGAATGGCAGTAGAAACAGTGCCTGCAGCAGGAGTGTTTGGGACATCATCCGGGCTTTCAGGTCGTGAGTCCGCAGCCTCTTGTTCCAAGTCTTTTGGAGACACCTTTGAAGAAACCACTTCAGGTGCACCATCGGAATCTGACTCAGATTCGGAGTCCTCGTCAGAATCCGAGCTGGATGCTTGGATCAGAGATCCTAGAGCTGGAGGGACTATTGCTGCCTTATGCGTGCTCCCTGTAGCTTGTTGAGAAGACTCTCCGCTTGTTGGTATCAGGTTACCGTCCGTCCGAGCTTGCCAGTTCTGATTCGCCCCTCTCCCCCTCCCTCTCCCTCTGCCGCCTTCTCTTCCAGTTCCCCATCCTCTCCCTCTTCCCCATCCTCTACCTCTGTCGCTCCAGCCATTATGTGAGTGGGCGTCTGCGCCGTCATTGAGTCTTCGCTTCTTCCTGTGAGGAAATCTCACATCTTCTGGTGACAACTGTCCACGGGCAATGGCATCCTCAAGCTTTCTTTGCCTTTCCTCTACACGGCTTGCGGTTGGGAATCTCTTCCTGCGCTCTGCGATCCACCCCGCGATGGCCTCTGGGGTATCTAGCTTTACGGTAGTACCTTGTATGGGTATAGGTTTCCTTCAAGACGCGTGAGATTGGACATCAGATTAACTGCAGCTGCTTCACGCACCCCTTCAGACTGGGGTCCGCATCCCAGTCTGGTTTGCGCTTCCTGTTCTCCCAGCCAGGAGGATAAATGAGGTGCCGGTCCATCATGTGGATCTCGACGGCCTTCTGCGAACCCTGAAACATGCACCCGTGGTACGTGCACCTGGCATTCCCCGGCTGGTACCAATGCGGCTGCGTCTGGCCGCGATCCTGGGGCCTCTGAGCAGTGGTTCGGCTCTGCATTGCGGGCATGGTGCCTTGTTGGCTCGTGTGCTGACCCGGAACATACGTAGATGAGAGGGTGTACCCCTCTGCTGTAGTCGCTGGGTGGAAAGCAGCGACATTTGGGTAGTGCTGCACGTAGGCTTGAGCATAATGAGAAGCCTGGGGGTACTGGTACTGAGGAAAATTTTGGACGTGAGGTTGTGAGAGGGCAGTAGTCACGGCGTACGCGGCCAGCATGCCCTGGGAGTGCGCGGGGAGATAGGAGGGGGGTTGCTGGGCATAAGGGCTATAGGTCTGAGGAGCAGGGCGAGTTTGTCGTGGCTGCATGAGCGTGTCTGCTAAAGTCACCGAGTCGCGATCGACGTTTTCCTGCACGTGCTGCGTGCTTCGGCTATCTCTGAATCTGCGAATAATCTTGAACACGACCAGCTGCTCTACAGATCTTATGCAGTACTGGTAACTGGAGAGAAGTAGTGCACTGTTCTTTCTATACTCTTTTTTTTCTGTGCAGAGTGCGACTCCGACGCATGCTTGGTTCTGTACGCGTCCAGTCCTTTTTGGCCAAGGTACACGCTTCACCATGACCTCAAGAACACCTAATGACATCGAGAAAAAGTTGCTTCAGACCGCTCTGACAACCACCACACATGTGTGTGTATGCGGCGCGTATATACACTCAGGGATTCACAAGGACCACATACTCTGTCATTAGGAGATCACCCCCAATCACTGTGAAGCAGTAGTCCCAGATGCGGCGGTCCGAGTCGACGCCTTGAACTATCTGCTCAGCGTAGGCCTCCTGAAGGCTCTGAAATCCTCTCAAGGAACTATCACTGCATTTCGGGCAGTGTCGCAGGATGAATACCAATTGTACGTGCCACTGGCGCCCTACCTCTTGGTTCGTGATATACGAGTGGACATTAACTTTGGCCCCTTCGGTGTCCTGCGTTGCAACACAGGACACAGAGCTTGAACGCCGAAGAGAAGATGGTGCTCGGTCATATATGAACATCGGCTAACGAAGGTATATACGTCGTGAGCCATTGATATTACCCACTCATCGCATGGATTATGCAGGCCTTTGGACTAAGCATATCAAAGCCAAGACAAACCTTCACCAGATCGCCATAGATCGTTGCCTGAAATCCTTACTCCAAAAGCACCTCATCAAGCGGGTACCATCTGTGCAAGTCCGCGCCTCAGCTGCTATAGAATGTATGACACATAACGCTGACTGTCCTTCTACAATCATTTCAGCACCACACACGGAGGATCTACATGTTATCCAATCTTGAGCCATCCGTGGCATTGACAGGTGGTCCATGGTACACCGATAACGAGCTTGATACCGAATTTATCCGGTTGTTGAGGGCTAGCTGCCTGCAGTTCATTCGGGGCAAGGTAAAGTCACGGCTACTGTTAACTGAAGGTGTGTCAGGTTAACATGCACTTAATAGAGCTACCCAAGGGGCCGATGTGAGGGGACTCGACTATTATTCCCCATATCAAGCCCTCCGGGCTACCCGACTTCGACGGACGTACAATCGTTTGTGAGAAAGAGCCGAATATCTACGACGGACCTATCTGTTGAGCACGTCGAAATGCTTCTCGATGTCCTTGTTGTGGATGGCCAGATCGAGAAGGTATTATTCACTGCTGAAACGCTGCTGCTTCTCTTCCCTGGAGTTGTCTCCTATTGCTTAGATTCCGTCCTTCGGGACATTGACCTGGAGTGTGTACTCCCTCGATGACCCCCAAGATGAAGATGATGACGGACAGCAGTCCCTTGAAAAAAGGAAGAGGAAATTCGAGGATGAGGAAGAATGTGGAGGTAGTGTCCCCCGAAAACGGATGAAGACGGTTAATTCCAACGTCGACCATCGTGGTGCACTTGGGGATCACGATGATCTCATCGATACCAGCACATCTTCCAAGCAAAGGCCATCCACGAGAGCGAAGGGGAAACGAGCAGTCACGACCACCTTGTCCGAGGTCGACTCCATCCCCAGTCTATCTGAAGCAACTGCTGTTACCACTGCTGACGTCGACTGGGGGGACGTTGAGCTTGGGCCTCACGTCTACAGGGCGGTCAGTGAGGAACGTTTCTCGTTCGGTTGCTCTCAGGCACCGTGCGTTCGCTGCCCCACCTTTACGTCTTGTCGAGAGGGTGGGCCTGTGAATCCTCGCGATTGTATCTATTACGACGCGTGGTCCACAGCCGTTCCCTGATATCTATGCTACGAGTTACAGTACTAGAGTCATCAGCGCTTCGGCTTCATCTAATTTGCGGAGTTGTTGATGCGATAGACGTGGTGGTTCGCGAGACGCGAACATGTGACCTTAAGCGCACCTTCTTGAACCTTGCGCACATATCTCACTGCAAGAACGCACGGAGATTAAGCAATATATGTTCGCTGCACGACCGAGTGAGATATAACACATTAAGCTATGCATACTTTTGAATGTCTCTGACTGGCAAAGGCATGCACACGGAGTATGGTAACGTAAGGTACGAGCGGTCAGTCAAGACGCGTCAGGTACAGCCGAGAGGGAAGCTCCCCCACACAAGCGAGTAAAAGGGACATGCGACCAAAGCGATGAGTGGATACGAGGACGGACGAGATAGAATGGAAGAGAGGACGGGCGGAGAGTGCCGTAGATTTTTCGGATACGTTAGGGTCAGTTTTCGAAGTATTGACAGACGACGGACAGCGATGACGAGCTGAGTAAGGGCAGAAATCACGGCGACGAGTTAGAAGGGTGAGGAGATGGGAGATGAGAACCCGGCGGAACATTTGAATGGCACCCGGGATGCCTGTACGCATTGTGTGTGCATGGGCGTGCGAGGCATGGAATGGATGTCGATAATGGGCGCTCAACGACGCGCCTAATCCTGGAGCTCCTCCTGCTGTTGCTGGTCCCTTCCAACTCTTCTCTCCTTCTCGCTCTCCAGCTGATTGTACAGCAGGAAGAGCGCCTTCTCGTTGGCCTCCGGAGTGCCAACTATCGTGAACATCCTCTCGCCTGTCTCGTCATGGGGCTCTTTCGCGATAGAGATCTTGGATCCGGAAAGGCGCCTAATCTCGGTGATCTTTGTGCCATTCCGGCCGATTATGCAACCGACCATGTCGGACGGGATAGAAATGTTTTGAGTGCGGAGGTTGGTCGGTTGCTGTGAGGGGGAGTTAGGAGATGGTGATGTCCGCCCGCGCGGGCCGGAGTCGCCATTCAACCGTCGACTCTGGTTTGTGCGGCGCCCCGTCCGCTCGTCTCCGGCGCCTGGATGAAAGAGGACGGTTCCCAGGCCCCTCTCCCAATCCTCCAGAAGACATCGTCCAATTTCTTCGATGGCATGACCGATGGCCTCGGAGGAACCCTGGACCTCAACAACCCGCTCGGTCGACTGAGGTAGCATCTCCTTCGAGGCCACCATACGCGCTCCCGAAGCGTCCTGGATGGCCTTGATTTTCAGGCCATTGCGGCCAATGACACTACCCATAAGATTGTGTGAGATCAGAAGTCTGATAGATGTGTGGGGTGTGGAGGAGTTGGAGGTGATAGGGGAGGACGGGTTCGACGCCAAAAGCTGCGCGACCATGAGAGCATAGGCCTAGATCACACAAGTCAATTCACTTAAGCACAGAAAAGGGGGTGATACGAACCTTTGCCACGCCCTCTACAGACCCGCTCACGGTCAAAACTCGTTCATGGACTCCTTGAATAACTTTGCTAACTCCCGCTTTAACGCCCGTTTGATCTCTGAGATCAGCGACATTTTTTCCGGCCTTTCCAATGATCACGCCAGCGTCTTTGGTGCTGACAAGTGCACGGAGGGTGAGGATTTCGTTGCCCGTAGGCGAAGGGGAACGGGACTGCGGAGAAGATGCTGAATAATGGCCACAGGTAAGACATTTGACTAGGATTCAACAGGAGAGATGGTCGGACTCACGGTTAACTGGGGAGTCGGAAGGCATTGGATTCGGTGGAAGAAGGTGAGGGGAGAGAAAACAGGAGGTAGGGGATGGAGGAGGATAAGGTGAGCGTCCAAGCTGTGTCGGTCGCGGCGACGCGCAGGACAGCGCAGATCGGCCTTCGCCGGGAAGATCTGGGTGAATTTAAGTCTCCGAAAAGCGGAGTCTCAATCCCTCCTCTTGGACCTGTGGGACACGTCTGGCTTGGTGTGGTCTGGTTCGAATCAGTCTGTAGATCTGGTGTGACTCAACGCAGCCATCTATGCTCGTTATGTATGCTGTTAATACATCTCGGACAAGCAAGTATCATATTCAGAGAAATTTCCCCGTCGACAGGCATAAAAGAGCAGTACGTAGTCACATGGAGGCATCTGGTCATAGTAGGGTGCGAATAATGGATGCGATTAGCCATGTAGTACCGTCTAGTAGCCAAGCTGCGTGAGCTTCTCGAAGGATGATGCAGTGTCCGCTGTAACTTTTTGACGCAGCTTGACCGCTGCGAGCTGCATAGTCTCGTTAGCAGAGAAACCAAGGTCTCCAGCGTCACAACTCTCACCTTGCGCTCGTGGAACGCCTGCGCCTTGATCTTCCTCTTCTCCTCAAGACGGTCCACAACGTCCTTGTAGCCCCAGCCAACTTCATGGGACAGACGCTGAATGACCAGGGACATATGAAGACTCTACACGACAGACAACTTGAATGTTACTTGCCTTAACCGTGCAATATTTACGCCCAGGCTTCAATCGCAAGACCCTCAGGGCCTCCGGAACTACCATTCTCTTCTTGCGATCATACGGGGGAGGGATACCCTCAAAGAGTTTGAGCCGCTCAAGCGCTGCCGCACCGCGAGCTGACTTGTGGGGGACCATGCCGCGGATGGCACGGTACAGAATCTTGGAAGGGGCGCGATGATGGAATGGACCGGACTTTTTCGGGTTGACAATGTGCCGCTTGTGAAGGAAATTGTGGTACCGCAGCTAGATAAGCGAAAGTGTAAGGAATCGACGCGCAGGAATTTCAAGTTTCGCGACAGCACCTTGTTGCGGAAGAAGCTCCCCGAAATGTTGATCTCCTCGCACCGCACAACGACAATCTTCTGGCCGGTCAGGATCTGTTTCGAGATAATGGAAGCCAGGCGACCAAGGAGATGGCCCTTGCCATCGATGACGATGGGTGTCGAAGAGAAAGTGGCCATGGCGAGTCTGATCCCAGTAAACGCGTGAGTTGGAGGAAGACGAGACCGCGTTAATGAAAACTGACCTGAAAGCAGGGGAAGAGGGAGTAACAGAGAGACTTCAACCAATGTCCGCGGCCAATATGTTGAAGCTCACCTTGACGATCTTGCAGTCGTATAGTAGTGGCTGAAAGCAGGTGGAGTGACAGCCACTGTGACTTGACCTATGCAGTTCTATCCGGCAACTCCCGGCCTCAGAGTCTAAACTCGCGCGCTCACCGAATCTCTACCACTCGTTTAATGCGATACCTTTCACGACGTGCGAGTGTGCTCTGGTAGGACGCTTCCGCGTCGCACGAAGTTGTTTCCCAATCTCTGATTTACATACACACGTTTCCTCACCAGGGAAAGGTTCGATAAGTCTTTCCAAGCAATGAAATAATACTATTTTCAGGACTGCTGAGCTCTCCCGAGCTCGAGCTCACCTTACTGGACGCTTAGAATTTGTTCTGTTGAAGGATATCCTTCGTGAGTGCTAACGTGCCTCTTCGACTGCTCGTCGGAATGACGATATCGAGATCTATTGTAAAGTCTTCCGCTTCTTATCCTCAACCGTTAACTTGACTTTCATCTAATGATCAAGAGTTCACCTTCTCTTGCTTCTGCCGGATAATCCTCCTGCTCTCTGTTCATTAACCAGTCTAAGCCGATTAAATCCACAAGTTCCACCCCGCCTTACAGTAATTAGTAGACTTCATGTTCAACGAAAATTCCTGATTGCGGCTGGATTCCTTGAGTACAACCCGTGCACGAACACCCCTGAGAAATGACAGTGTCGTCTTCTGAATTTCTTGGAGGAATTCCTGTGTTGTCATGTGACCGTCGCGGCTCAGCCCGAGCAGTGACGAGGCGACCCATCGACGTTTCTCTGCAACGTCCTGTGTTTCGATATGTCCTTCCTTCGTTTGGCTGTTCGAAGCGTAGCCCGCCCACGGCTCGCGGTAGCCCTTCCCCAAAAGCCTACTCGGGTTCTCCGATATGCTGCGTATTCTGCAGCAGCAGGGCTTTCAAAAGAGCAAATCACGACGCGTGTGTTAGATGTGTTGAAAGGTTTCGAGAAAGTCGACCTAGTGAAGGTACCACAACAAATTCTTTCACCATTTACTTGTCATCGTTTATGCTTTCGTTATCCTCTAGCTCAGTGCAACGTCATCATTCACGGACGATCTCGGACTTGACAGCCTGGACGCGGTTGAAGTCGTTATGGCGGTGGAAGAGGTATGTGCAGCAAGGTGCATATGTGGGGTTGTTTGGTTTTAATAACCTTGTGATCCCTTGACCAGGAGTTCGCTATTGAGATCCCTGATGCGGAAGCCGACGAAATCAAAACAGTGCAGCAGGGTGCGGATCACTTGCTCACTTTCTCAAAGTCCCTCTTAACCGGAACTTCTCACAGCGATCGACTATATCGCGAAGACACCAGAGGGTAAGCAGGATATCATATAATATTTGAGGTCGCGGCTGACGCTCCTGGCAGCTCACTAGGATTGTTGCACATGTCGATACCTAACGGATATGTCCTTCATTCTCGAATTGACTTCAGCGTTCCGATGAGATGGTGTGCTCCTATTGAAAACGGCCGTGTTGCCGACTTCGTAAGATATCGAAACATACCGAAGACATGCCTCCAAGGTAACTCCCCGCACGAGGGTGATCGCTTTATCATTGGACCCGCTGTAATCGTTAAGACTAATCCCGTTAGTGCAACGTGAGTCGCCTTCAGTATACGGCACGTCGTCCCGGACCACTCCTGTCTCGAATAGCTCTCGCTACGCTATAAAAGACGATGGTTGGTCCCCAGTGACTTGTTCCGTGTTCGGAGTGCTCGACATGACCAGCCTCCCTGTCAAAAGGATAACTGTCGAAAGCCCTTTGCTTCGGACGTCTTGCAGCCTAGGCGAAGGTGATATTCTATGGTAAGAAACAGGGGCTTGGCTATCTGACGTTTGAATTCAGGACCTCTCTACGATTCAAAAACATCCATCCTGCATTTCGTTGATATTGAGCAGAACAAAGTGAAGACTGCTTTATTGGATTATGTCTCTGAAGAGTATTGATTTGTCCTTCGTTCACCAAGGTTTACCACTACAATACTGGCACGTCAGAGCTTACTATTGAACAGTTCGACGAGCCTGTCACTTGCCTAGCTATACGACAAAATGGAGAGGGAGTAAGTGAGAATTTTAATGTTACCGCCGATTCCGACAGACTCGGATTGATCGGAACACCAAGTTGGCGTGCACAACCGCTCAAGGCTTTGCGATTATTGAAAGGACTCGAAGCTCCGCTACCTGAGCAAGCCGTTACCGCCTGAACATCAACCTCATACAAGGTTCAATGATGGGGCTTGCGATTCCAAAGGGCGTTATGTAGCAGGCACTCTGTACTCACCGATGCGTGGAGTACCCGGCAGGATATACTTGTACGATCCTCATACCGACACTGCCACCGTCATAGATCATGGACCTTTCACGGTGAGCTTTCTTGTGTAGTTCATAACAAGTGACCTTACCCTCAGTGAATGATATTCCCAGGATTCCAACGGTCTCGGATGGAGTGCTGACGGGAAAATGATGTAAGTATAATTCGCCGCGTGCACTTACGAATAGTACGTCACCTTCAACAGGTTTTTTACGGATTCATTGGTCAACCGCATCTATGTATATGATTATGATGATGAACATGGCAAGTTATCTCAGCAGCGCATTTTTGTGGATTCTATCTCCCATGGACTCCCCCAACGATCATACCCAGACGGACTCTGCATTGATAAGGAAGGCGGAGTATGGTCTGCACGGTGGGCTTCTCACACCTTCCTGGACCCTATCATCGGCTGACTCATGCCAATAGGTGGGGTGGATCGCGCATTATCAGGTACACGAAAGAAGGCGTCATGGATGTAGAGGTACTCTTACCCACAGTCTACCATGTGACGGCATGCTGCTTTGGCGGTAAGGTTAACTTATCTATGATCTTCTCACTTCTCCGGATTTTTGGATAGGCCCGAAGGAGGATCAACTTTATGTTACCACCGCACACTGTGGGGCATGCGGGGGCGACGCCAGCAGGCAGGTGTTTTATCCTGATTCCGGTGATCTCTTTGTGGTAGACTTGTCCGGACAGTTCATCGGCGGGAAATGGCGGCACGAATTTGCTGGATGACCGATGTCTGTCTTTGGAAGTAGAGGGAGAAAAGTCAGCGCAGAATTATTTTGGTTTCCCAACCCATGTACTTGCAGCTCATTCTCATAATTTGACTTGTCAACGAACAGTTTTCACCGTCCCCTCCTACGCTGATCTCTTCCATGCTCAATCAGCGAGTACGTACGAATCAGTGCTTGTTCACTGAGCGAGAATTTTGAGATAACTTATATTAAGACGGTGCGCGTTCGCGACAGCGGGCCGTCGAGTGCGGGCCATGTTGTCGATGATGTAACGGGGCCCCGGACTGCAGCCCCGCTTGGCGGATTGTCCACTGTTTTCTGGAGAAGGAAGGTCCAGCTGTATGAATCGGCCTCTCGTTTCTACTTGGCTTCAAGCCGCTGGGATTTCAGGATTATCACATAATCGTGGAATGACAGCATTAACCCGCAAATGATTTCACAAAAGACAATAAGGCTGAGCGCTGAGCGCTGAATGCCGAACGACATGGCATAGCCTCGTATGACCTGTACTGGAACCTCTGTGAGCTCCTGAGATAACCTTGATTTCCCCTTGACAAAAATCCATCCCATCGTTAGGTATGAGGAGGCAACCGATCTGCTGCAGATAAGAGCTTGGATAATACGGGATGTACCGTTATCACTCACGCATCTGGAGTGTCGAGAATGTAATCCACAAACCTGACTTACACCAGCGTGCATAAGGGCGTTGTACAACATGCAGAAATGAGATTTGCAAGACTCAACGAAATACAACATCATTCGCGGCTTCCGTGGTTGTAATTGAGTAAAGACAGGCCGGGGATTCAGAACGGCATTAGTTCGGATGGTCTTCATAATAAGGATTCTGTCGGTCCTGTCCAGAAGAGGTGTTCTATGGTTAGCACTGTCCCTAGGTACATGGATTCACTCTCAGGTGACCATACGCATGCGAAGGGCGTACGAATTCTGCAGTACGTACAATGTGTTATGCAGAGGACAAAAGTCTCTCGTCCAGTTCTGCTGGAGTAGCAGCAGTTCCTTTTAGTTTGGAATGGAGTAGCTACCTCATATTTGGAGACACTATACGCCCGTACGTGTTCTTCCACTTCATGGAACCTGATGGTACTACTAGTCGGAAGGTTTATTAGCGCCCACCTGGAATTTACACCTACCAGAGTTGTACCAGAGTGACAAACACCGTAGATTGCTCGAACTACTGTACTGATATGACCTTAGGTTCACGCCTTGTGACATGTGACATGTCCTCAGTTCACAGTTCACAGACCTCATTTGATGCGGGCGCTAGATGAACATTTGCTATATATGGTATTTTAGCGCCCATGAACACATTTTCCTTGGGTTCACGAATGCCTTGTGACATGTGACAAGCGCCCAAAACGGTTCAGTTCACTGGTCCTGTGATGCGTGACTGAAACTAAGGTCAACAGTACTTATCTTCGGCATCGAGCGCAGAAGCTGATCTCGAAGTGGAAATTGCCGAAATGAACTCCAATATCCCGCCAAAATCTGCACACAGCTGACCGCCACGCTCAGAATTCGGCGTAATCGCGGGCACTTGCACAAGAAACAGCCATGAAGCATGGAGTTGCGTTCCGCAAGTTCTCGAGGACATCGTCCCATAGGATGTTAATGCTGCGGTGCGCTGTAATTCAGCTCGTGATATATCTGCGCGTACTCACTCAGCAATCAGAAACTTGGTGACTTCGTTATTTGAGTATGAGCAAATTAAGACTACCCTTCCTAAAGCGAGAGACACGGCCAGGCTTGCAGAAAAAGTGACTGCTTCTACTATTCTGATGTTTGGAACCCTTGGTTGACGGAGCTTGTTAGATCATCACCATGGGCAAGCAGGGGGACCTTCCAGCGTGGAGACGCGCAAATGCCTTTGTCCTGAAACCCGCAGTCCTCCCTAAGGTCTTTGGCACGTTCGCCGAACGGTATGCTAACCGACCTGGGGGATACACGCGCATCCACAAGTTCGGAAACCGTCCGGGTGACAATGCGCCTCACGCGATCCTGGAGCTGGTGGACAATCCGCGAGATTTGAAGTTCGAGATGACTGCTCGTGCTGTTGGATGGGAGTTGGTCGGAAAGCGCCTGGGGAAAGGAGGGCCTCGCGCACTTGCAAAGACTGGTGTGGAGGGCGTTGAGGACGTCGTCGTGGAAGAGAGGTCTCTGGAGCCTAACGAGCGAGGAGAGTTGAGACAATGGACAAGATGGAATCTCCAAAAGGTGTTGAAGTTCAGGAAGAACGACGCTCTTGTTGAATTGGTGGCTAAGGCTAAAGATCATGCAGTGCGTCTCATAATTCTTTTACGCATGGTATTTGACGCATCTGGACACAACGTCTTTAATAGGATACCCTAATTGCGAAACCACTCTCGATGGCGGACGTCGCTAAGCAAGAGAAGGAACAGGAGGAACAGGGCGATGAGACCCCTCTTCCTTCTTTGAAGTTCCTCCGATTGAAGGCTGGGCAGACTGTCCCGGGGGGCTCTCGTAGCGCACTGCACATCTCCCAAGGCGCGCTTGGCAAGGAACCCTCAAGCCGACCACGATGGTTCGAAAGACGGAAGCTTGGTATAGATAAGACATCAATCTGGAGCCAATTGTAACTGGTCCTATACCGTTCAATATCTATCGTCGTTTCCAGATACTTACTTTTACTGATGCACATGGATTCCACTTTTTTTAAACGGCTTGGTGTGCTTTTACGGATAAACTGTGCATTCATCAGCGTAAATCCAAGTACAATGCTACGGATTCATAAGGTACGTTGCAAGCCTATCCAGTTTTACTTGATTTCTACTGACCGCTCTACCATAGGTAATTATATTGCTTTTCGCACCTGCAGCGTGTGCGCATACGAATCGAGGAACTATGAATACAGTGCTCTATCAATACTACATTCGCGTGCGACTCGTCTCATGTCTCCACTACTTGAAATTGGCTTTGTTCACAACGCCCAATCCTCGACGTGACTCAGCGTGGAACGTCCCGGAGAGGGCGGGTTCGAGAACTTGGTCTCAACGAATACGTTTTCGACGCCACCCTGCCGTTTGTCAAATGCTTAGTAGAGTCTTGGGAAATCTTTTATGGGAATGCGGTGAGTAATCATGATTATGCCCGAGGTCAGTGACAACTTAGAGGCTAATAAACTAGGACCAATGACTTACAATGTGGGGTCGAACTTCCTAGGAATGATCAGGTCGTATAGGATCTCCTTCCACCACTTATGTACCGGTGCTTGACCGTTGCCGAAGAGTCGAACACCCTTCTCCATCAGCGCCCCGCGGTTGAAATGGTTGCAGTGACCTGCATAGGTTGCGATGACACCGCATCGTCCGCCCTTCTTGACAGACATGACCATCTCATTTACGATTTCCGGTACGTCAGTCTCAAGCATCAGCGCCTTCTCAACCTTGTGCAGCAGTGTGCCTGAGTACGGTTTTCATTACCGAGTACGGGAAACTTGGATCTATCACGGGTAGCACTCACCGCCCACCGGGAGCGATTTCTTGCAAGCGCTTGACGACATCGGTGTGTTGTGCAGAGTCCAGTGTCTCAATTCCTGTCTTGTCGCGGACGAAGGCGAGTCGTTCTGGGACCCGGTCGATACCAATGATGCGCTTAACACCCTTCATCTTGGCGAATTGTGCGACACATTGACCGATAGGACCGAGGCCCTACCGGTCATTGTTAAGTTCATCGTACTCGACCACAACCGAAGACGACCTACCCAGATTCCGACGACGTCGCCCTCCTGGACTCCGGTGTCCATCACATTGTGCTATGCCGTGGACAACACGTCAGATAGGTATGGTGCTGTCTCGTCGGATACCTCGTTGGGGATCGAGAGAAGGTTGACATTGCCTTTAGGTGCTCTGACGTACTCGGCTTGGCCGCCAGCGAATCCACCCGCGAAGTGCGAGTGTCCGAAGAAAGCCGCGTTGCGGTGACCATACCATTCTGTAGTCTGGGAGGCTGTCAGTGAACAGCGCAGTCTCTAAGAAGGCGTTGACTGAGAGGGATTCGTCGCGAAACGAAGACAGCTTTTACTTGCAGTACTTGCATCCACCTTACGCAATCTGAAAGAGGCTACGACCCGTTGTCCGATCTTGACATTCCTCATATTTGGGCCAACTCTGTCAAAAATGCCCATGAACTGTTCGAGGGAAGTGAGTGTTTGTTAGACCGGCTGGTATTATTGGCTGACCTCATGTCCAAGGATGTCTGTAATGCGACGATTTCGCCGTTGTATAGATGCAAGTCGGAACCGCAAATTGTGGTGCCTGTAACCTTCAAAATGAGATCGTCTGGCGCGGAGATGTCTGGGATGGGAGCGTCGATGAGACGAGCATCCCTCGTACCGAACCACGCCAATGCTCTCATGATGCTGCCATCTTCACGAATCTTGTATTCAGGATGCACCACAGTCGGGAACGCACCCATGTGCGGTAGAGGTGATATATCATGTCGGCCTTTGCGGTGTATGGACAGGATGGATGAAGCTTACGTCTTGAATTGCATTCGAAGCTGCTTGCATGGTGATTGTGGTCAGCGGCCCTGAGTAAGTGAGACGTGGGCATGCGACGAACAAGTGACGAGCTTATATATCCAGTGTCTGTGGTGCCATGTTCATGCATGATGATGAACCTCTCCAACTGCCCTCACGACATGACGCTCAACCGGCGACTTGTCACACCTCAAGACGCGTCGCGTTAACGCCATCACGTGACCACGACATCAATAGCACACAGGACGGCAACGGTGCCTTATCACAGAGGTAGCGGGTATAACGCTCTCAGTTGGCGCGGTCATGGCAAACTTTCGTTTCAAGTCTCCAGCAGTGTTTCCTAAATTCGCTGTCAGTCCGCAGGGAGTCTGAAGTCCTTGACTTTAGCTATCATTTTTTATGATGCTTGTAACTTGCAGAACACTTTTGTAAAGCTGCTGATGAGCTGCAACTCACAGTTCGTCTGCTTTCTCTTCCATTTATGATCATAAAATAATGCTCTTGCAACGTGCGTCGTGATAGGATGTAACGCGGCCACCATCGATAGATGGCTAATTCCCTCCACCTGCAGACTTGTCATGTGTCGCCTCCCAAGCTCCTTCGGGACATATAAAGCCCGTGGACCAATAGTATAGTGCGAGGACACGGCTGTTCTGGAGTGAAGTATGTATTGAAGATGCCGCAATGTTCCGCTCAATACTGGTGCGTACCAGTACACTGGCGGTCCATACTTCCTTTCTGCTCTGCGATGCTACCGTGACCGCGGATTAGGTTCACTGACCCCGTGTCAAGAGAGGAACCACTCTGGATCCCGCAATAATATGCCGAGAACCCTCTGAGTGGGAAGTTTGTGCGTTTGTTACCAATCTTCCTCATTTGATGAATCTTCAGCCTCGATATGTTGAGACCAGATGCTGTCATTCATCTCAATCCGTTTCTCCAAATGACGTATTGAATGTTAGTTATCAAGGTCATTTTCTGTGGTATGTGATTTTCGTGCCGGTCGTGTCCCCCACAGCCATACCCGCCTTGCTCTGGACGGTGTTGACCGCGAGCGTTTGAACTCCAAAAGCGAACGCCCACGAAGCACTTCCAGAATTCGCAGAGAACAGATCTCGCCATTATACGGTTCCCATGAGAGACAGGCACATATATATCTGCCTCGCGGTGACCACGCACCTCTGCATTGTCATGAGAGCATTGCTTCCGATATGGCACTGTTCGAGAGCAATGTCGAGATACACGCTGTAGCCTCATTGTTCGCGCGTCAGAGATACGTGGTATGACGGTCCATTGTGTTTGGACTCAGTACAGTCCGTTTGACGGTACAGCGACACATAATATAAGCTAAGGACAGCAGTAGGGCTATAGCAATTACACAATATCGAGTGCTATGTGGTAGTAATAATCTCAATGTCCAGCGATCCGAGCGCGGTGGAGGCACACATATCTTCCCTCCTTCCAACACGACCCCGACAGGCCTTTGGAAGACGTCCAGACGACTCCAGCTGATGTGCATCAGATGGCAAGAAAGTGGCACCATGTCGAAGGGATGCGGCACAGTAATCACGGTGAAGTGACAGTAAGCGAACTGCGACGAAGTGCGCGATCACTGTCAGCGAAGCGTATGCGCAGCACCTCAACACCACGCACCAGTAGCCTATATGCTATGAATCGTTCCACATGCAAAACCGCATATCTCGCCAAAGACGATCCACCGTAATGCCTTGCACAGGTCTCCGAGAGTCAGACGGTGGTGACGACGTGGAGGGCGATCCACTCGGGAAAAGCTGCGAAACCGGACAGTTCACGTCCCGCCATGTCCGCGCTCTGTACAACGTTGCAAAATTCCGCGTTGTTATGAGCGGGGTTACGGCGGCAGAACATCGATATGCTACTCACGTAACATTCGCGACTTTGGAACGCGTCTTCAATGCGTATTTGTATATGGTACCTGCGACATCATTCAGGCATGCCCCGCAAGCTAGTCCATCGCGTTCGATAACTCACCTGCATCCAGAACAAGCGTAACACTCTCCCCCGGGTGCAAGAGGACGATTGCGTCGGGATTCCGACCGTAATTCCGTAATAACTGGACGGAAGCGCAATCATGTGTGTCATTGGTGAAGTCCAGCAGCACCTCATACTGAGTGGGGGCGGGCATGATTGGCAGCGATCGTGAGCAAGTTGTATACGACGAGGTGTTACGGAGGAGGGGAAGGAATGTAAGGTTAAAAGTCGTAGGTTACGGAGGGCAAGAAGAGTGCGAGAAACAAGGGAGTGGAACGCCAAATAGGCACCAGTTGATTGTGCAGCTTGGCAGATGCTTCGAGCTTCCACGGTCCGTTGGGTATTTGAACTTACGGCACAGGACACGACGAGATACAGGCTGGTAAAGTGCGTGGCCGATGACCTGTAGCCGGAAAACGCGCGTACGAGCCACAGCCAGCTAGAGATGACACTGGTTCATATCTCGGGGAACGACAACACCCAAGGACAAATGCCGGACCTCGTTGCCACGTTGTCTCTGCCGTTGCTGTCCTCCAGAACCGGCGTCTTGCTGAGCCTGGTCGCCAAACAGCGCCAATGCGGTCGACAATTGCCTAAAGGATGAAAATGGAGTTGTATGGCAACATAACATGCGTGAGCAGCGAGGCAGACGACGAAGAAGACCTTTGCTGGATGCCTGCAACAGTCAACTCGAAGTTCCCACTGTCAACTCTGCCCTGTTATGGGTTCTACGCAACAGCACATGACCGTCGCTCTCTCAGCCTTCCCACTCAGCAGCCGGGCCCCAGCATCCTGCATAGTGCAATGAGGTGTTCGTAGCGACCGCCTTCACAGCCAGACACCGCCGTAGACCGCAGGTGCAATGTCTGGGAATCTCTCCTTTCTTGGAATACCTGCTGAGCTTCGTCTCGTGGTGTACGAGCTCTACCTCTCAGAGCACCAACACGTCTCGAACAGGCGGCAGCCTTCCAATCACCACATACGCCTGCTTTATATTTGCAAGCAAGTATTCGATGAAGCGGTGTCCATCATTGGCCGATATGTCTCTTTGCAACACGAGCGGCAAATAAATGCCTTCATTCTGCATGCAACGGAGTCCCAGGCAGCACAAATACATTTGGCAGATGTAGCGAACGATGGCCGTGTATCCGGCCCTACCAATGCATCTGTGGATGCAGACCAGGTAAGAGAGGCTGCATCTCTCTACATGGTCGTGCCTCATTGATTGCAAGCCTTTAGTTCCCTTGTCCAACTTGCACCTGGCGTTGCGGCGGATGACCTCTCTAACCTGCCTGCGTGTATTTCAATGCCGCCAGGGTATCCCTATCAATATACAGAGTGAGCTTCGTGCATACCTCTATCGTTCCGTAGACTGGGTTATAATCTCCTCACAGAGATCAACGCCCGCCTAGCAATCAGGTTTGAGCACGCGATGTACCCATCTGGCTATCCCCACCATCTTACGGCTTATGAGCTCTTCCTGGATCCAGAAACGAGAGTGACCCTTTTTGAAGTCGTCCTGCCGCAATTTATCGAAGTCTTGCGCGTGACTGGAGAGTGTCATCTCCCCGCCGCTGTTTGCATGCCTGCGCTGCGACATCTGATGCTTTATGGGATTACCGGAAATCATTTCGATCAGCACACTGTCGAGGAGAGTCTTTCTGGATGCCGTCTACATTCGTTCATATATGGGCTGGGCCATAGGCTGGGTTTCGAGATCCGCAACCGTCATCTAGAGTCGCTCGCATCCGTGGCAGGTGCACATCTCCGAAAACTGGTCCTGCTTGGGTGCAGTCGCTTAACGAGCACGGTTATCGCGGCCTGCCTAGAGAACATGCCAAAGTTGGAACACTTCGCTCTTAGCCTCGTCACTGTAGACGAGCTGCGGACCAATTTCGTGCTGTCCCTTCCACCAACCATATCCGTTTTCAAACTGCAACTCACAAATGCCTGGTATGCGATACCGTTGTTGTCGGACGAGCGTGGCTTGTGCAACGCTCTCGAAGATGTGCTATTGCGCCGTCCCATAGCGCCTCAACACGTATGTGTCTGCCTCAGAAACAGCCTTATGATCGAGGGAGACAGACAGGATAGATGGAAGGAGTTGGCCCGCAACCGTTGCTTTCAGCTGGACTTTGGACTCTGGCAAGGAGAAGATCTGGAAGACCTACCATCCTGAGGCAACGAATGCCCGAGAGTTCACGCACATTGTTGGCGTACCAATCTCAAACGCGTTTGTTCTGCATATGATACGGAGGTGCAAGTAATGTCCAGTTCACGGATGGGATCTACAATATACGAAGATAGCAACTGGCAGTGATCCTGAGTACGACGAGATTAACGAATTGGAGCCTTCTGTTACGATATACAATATTTACAGGGGCCGACTCCATCTACTCCAAGAACATGTTCAGCAACATAGAAACTGAACGAGATCGGTGCCACCTACCGTAACGGATGAATTGTCCGTCACAGTGTGGAACTGTGATAGCTTCTCAGGTGCGCTCCGGGTAGCCATACTCCGCAGCACTCGAATTATAATACGGGTCTCTCGCTGGTGGAATATTGCCTGGCTGAGGAGGATAGCCAGTTTGGCCATATTCTGCGGGTTGTTGGGGTTTGTACCCAACGACAGTAGAGACACTGCCCACGCTTGCTGACCTGTCGTGGAATCCGCCATTAGTCCCCTCATCAGTCAACGGGCGCGACTCCCAAGCGTCGCTCCGGTTGCCGAGGGGTATGTCGCTTCTGAGCGGGGTTGCATCGTACATTGAATCATACTTCAGATGATCGCGCTCTTGGGCAGAGCTGTACGACGACAACACGAAGCAGAGATAAAGCTGCTACACGTCAGGCGCTGAATTAATTATAGGTGATTAGAGTGGCTGACCTGTACAACGGCGAGCAAAACCCACAACCCGCCCATGAGACCAATATCCACCCATGGGAAGATATTGCACACAGTTGACGCTTCAGAAATGGTGCTAGGGTTGTTGCCGTAGAAATCTGTTTCGCATTTCGACTTGGCGTTTGAGTGTCGAGTAGCGGATAGAATGATCCACGCAGCAGCGACAGCAAAGGATGCGATAGTGAGCAGGAGGTGCAGCGTGGTATAGCGGCGGAACATCGTTGGTCTTTCCTGCGAAGACGATACGATGAATTACTCTTAAGCCACGGAAAGCATGGAAAGACGTACATTCCGCACTGCGAAGAAGCCAGCCAACTGAACTGCCGCAGCAACATAGCAGATGACTGCAAAGATCCATTTCGCGTACGAAGGGGTAGATGCGCCCACGACTGTGAAGCGTTAGACCGAATCGCAATGCACACATGGTGAACACTGACTAGACGGAGTCGCGACTGACAGCGTGCCCGCTAGGATTCCGAGAACAAACTGTTCCGTCAAGGTGACGTATATTCCCACATAGAGGATGGGGATTGCACAACAGCAGTAGTCTCTGGGCTTCATGGCTGGGGATCCCGCAATACGAAGAGGTGTAATGAAGTCAGAGAAATGGTAGTAGGAAGGTCGTAACGCTGGACAACCGACAAAATCTCTAGGATGGATAGTAAAGAGAAAGTTGAACGACTACCGGAGCGTTCACCACGAGGGCATTCGTCGATGTTGAAGTGCGCAGCGCGCGCGGCTGTACGCATTTGGTGCGCATAGCATTGCTCCGCATTTCTCATTCGGGCAGTTCTTTCTCACGGCCCCATTAAATATTAGAGTGTTGCCCAATTCTGCAACTCTCTGCTCACCTTCCACCATGCCTCGCCTCTCCTTCCTCGTTGTTCTCGCTGCTGTCCTTGCTAATGTTTTCGCCATCGTACCTGCTGAACAACAGGAGATTGTGCAGGGTGTCAGCTCCTTCAGTGACAACTGGAGGTGGGAGACATGCGGTCCGTTGGCGCTCGTGTCATCATGTTTGTTACGAGGGCTGACTGGAACCGAATGTTCCAGGCAATCCAACCGATCCTATCCACATTCAGAGCATTGAGGTCTCCCCTGACCCGCCTGAGAAGGGCGCAGACCTGACGGTCACAGTGAGGGGCGTTGCGGATAAAGCTGTTGAAGTATGTTTCCAGTTAATCGGAGCGATTTAGACCCCAGTTAATTCTCTCAGTAGGAAGGAGCGTATGCGGATGTCACTGTGAAAGTTGGTGCAATCAAATTGCTACACAAGGAATTCGATGTTTGCGAGGAGGCGTATGTCGAACGCATCAGATTTGTTCTTCCTCTGACTTGCGTGGTTGCAGACGCAATGCCAATGTGGATCTCGCATGCCCCGTGACGGAGGGCGACCACCAGGTTATACACACGGTTAGACTACCTAAGGAGATTCCTGCTGGTATGCATTGTCATGTTCTCTGCTGATGCTTCTCGTATTTATCTATTTTTAGCGCTGTTCTCCGTCAACGTCCAGGGCTACACTGTGGATGATGAAGACTTGCTCTGCCTCAACCTCTGGATCGATTTCAGGAAGAAATTCTTCAGCTGGTGATTGGCTGGCTATTCGCGGGCAGGTTGTTGCAGTCGGTGGATTTCTTGTGGCTATGTTTTCACGATCCTTCACGCTTGATATCCGTACAGTGCCGTTCAGATGATATGCTTTGGAGCGCTCATTGTATTATCCAATTGTCTGGATCTTGCACATATATTTGATAATTGCACGATCAAATTCAAGGCGAATGACGCACGCATTCTCAGCACTTGTTCTGAGCTCAGCCACCAAGTCAATCTCAGTGCGGCTCTTTCCCGGCATTCATCCTGGAGGTGTTTGATCCACAATATTATAATTTCTGCCGGTGCCATCGTCATCTAAAGGTTGCTTCCTTCAACCAGGCGCTCGTGGGCGCATCATTGACCTGCGTCTCCTATTTTCTGTAACCCCATGCAGGTACTCGTCTTCCCATGCGCACGACATTCAGCTCTAAATATTGTCAACTACTATCACGTCGCTCTATCTCTCTAACATCCCCATCACGACGGCAGCGACTCCGCTATCTCCTTATCCTGGACTTCGAGGCGACATGTGGAGATGACCTGCAAGGAAAGAGTGAGATAATAGAGTTCCCGACGCTGATGTACAACCTCGAACGAGACGAGATGGAGACGACGTTTCACGAATACGTCCGACCAATCCTCAATCCCGTCCTAACTTCGTTCTGCACTGAGCTCACAGGCATTACTCAGGTTTCTTCGCTCGTGTACTATGCATGCTTCATGAGGACTCACCACCAATGTCTATCTGTAGGACGTTGTGGATCGCGCAGATACGTTCCCCAATGTCTGAGCGCGCTTCCAGGAGTTCATGAAATTGAACGATCTCTTCGAGAATCCCACGTCGTGCGCTTTCCTCACATGTGGCAATTGGGATCTCCAGACTATGCTTCCCGAGCAGCTCGCGCTGCGTGGTTTCGATGCTTCCTGTGACCTAGTGCCGCCCTACAACCGCTGGATAAACGTCAAGAAGGCATTCCGGAAGTATTATGGCATGAAACATCCTCCTGGTGGCATGTTGCAAATGTTGCAGAAGCTGGATCTGGAGTTGGAGGGAAGGCACCATTCGGGCATTGATGATTGTAGGAATATCCTCAGGATAGTGCGCAAGATGCGCATGGACGGCTGGCGACCTGCGGGTGATTTGACTAGGTGGTAATCAGCTCGCGGACGGAAAATTGTGTTGGAATTGTGCTATAGTGATGACCCTCACTCTCACTCAAAATCTGCGTTTTGTGCCCAGGTCCATGCCGTGCAGCCGATTCGACGAGAACAAATGAGTTTGCGCGATCGTGATCGCGGACTTGCTTATCGTGCCGTCCACTGGGTCTCTAGACAATAAGGCCTTCCAAGTTCAGATTGCGTAGGAACGCGCGCAAAAGTCATTTCCATCTCGTGCCCTTATCATGTCCTGAAGCCAGCAGTACAATGTCTACAATCTGATCGGCAACGATACTTGAAAGGCAACTTGTAAGGAAGGGTCCCAATGTACCGCCCCGTGGGAGATGATACATCCGTTGGTAACAACTTCCTGTGTGTTCCCTTTCGGGAGACAATAACGGAGCGCCTACCATGTGAGCTAGAAAACGGGCCATGCCAACTCAAAGGTCAGTCATTCATCCGCAACTGGAAGATCCGGGGTGTGCGATGTATTGTGCGTTGCCTGAGCTGCGTCCAAGAAAGGCTGTATATAACGAGCGAGCGAGTTATGCTATGGCTACACACCCACTATGTCACCGACCAGTACCCTCCCCTATGAGATCCTCTTCAAACTCGTTAACAACACCCTGGACAAGGTTTCAATGCGCGCGCTGCGTCAAGAAAATGGCTCCCAGGCGGGAGCGACGATTCACATGCACCACGAGGAGAACGTCTCTCTCGTCCTCACTGCCGGTTCACCGTATCATTACGCGGTAAGACAGCACGGGACGGAGGCAAATATACGGTGCGTCTGAATGGAGTAACGTATGAAAACCATACTTAACTATCCTCGCTGCAGAGTTAAAGTATGGCAGGATACGCAGTGCAACATCTCGGATGTTCTCAAAGCATTGAAGTCAGCCTCTGGAGAGGCTGCGACAGTAGCGGATGGTGTCACCGTGATGCGTCCGATGAAGTCATGAATAACACTGGAATTCGAAGGGTGAGAACGGCTGGCTAATATAAGGTCGTGTGCTGAGTGCCTCGATAGTCCAGATCCCGTGCAGGGAATGTTTGGCGCCTGCGTTAGCTGTCGTGATCGGTCTCATTGTCCTCTGCATACATCAAGATATTCTTTAGTAATGTTCACGCTGTATCCATACCGCTTTCGGACTCGTTCTAACTCGTTCTGATTCGTCTTCAATTACGATCACCCGGACCTGTAGTTTTGGACTTGGGCAGCGTAGCTGATGGAAGATCAGCAAACTGACATTACTGTGGAAATCGACGGGATGGGTCCACTTACACGAAGATGTCCCAGACGAAGGTTTGATTCATGTAGAATGTGAAACCTGATATAAACAGACCGTTAGATGTCAAGGAATACGGGCGTCTGAACGGTTGGAAATAACTTGCCATCGTTAGGAGAGGCCTACAATCATCGAGATGAGATTTTGTTCTAGAAATCGCAGCAGAAATACGTGGTTACTCACGCCGTTGCTGATCGCATCAGTGTACTTGATGATACGATTACCGCCATCCTCAGTCAGGTTCAACATGCCGAACTGCCAAGGTTGAATCCTTCACGGAGCGATTTTCAGCTCAGAGGAGAATAGAGGGCCAACAAACCTTACCCCCTGTGAATTGAACCTAATTAACGACGAAGGATGCAAACTCAAACTACTTGAAACTCACGCATGTCTCGATTCAAGACCAAAATTAACCCAGACTGGATATATGGTAGACTTGTTGTCTGGCTGACCGTGAGATCGAAGTCAGAGTAATCAGCGGCAAAACATACCCAGCCCGAGAGCCCCGAATTCCTCGATAATCACAGGTTTTTCTACCACGTCTGCAGCTGAAAGAGGGGAGTGAGAACGGGAAGTGTAAATCGAAGCCGACGAAGTACACACTGGCGATGTGATCGTACATCCAGTTGAGACCCCATGCTTCAACAGAGAAATTGGAACCCGGGTAATCCTTTTCATAGACGTATTACTGCCGATCGTCGAATTGGATTAGGTGTATACTCACAAGTTCGGGATACCTGGTTATCCCATGAAGATGAGAACGAAGGGCCTATCAGTTGAGCTTCGCACATACCAAGTCTGAGGATACATATGCTGACAAGGGAACAATCAGCAGGATTTCACCAGCTGCACCAAGGCTTTCTTACGTAGGTACCAAAATCAATGTTTGGCAACCGAAGGCTTGCTTCAAAGTCCTCGCCGGCTGCAGAAACTCAAATTGAGTACTAAAGGGATAGATCGAATGAAAAGTAGCACTACCTTCACCATTGTAATTGAAATCGCTGACATACTGGCCATCGTACCAGCTGTAACGGAGCCAAATCAATTCTGAGACACAGGTCTGCAACATGCGACACACTAATATTCAGGTTCAGCCCAATAGAATTGACCTTCTCCGCCGGTTGTGATCATGTGGTAAGGGTCTCTGAAAAATCACCGTGAGCAGGAAGGCAGGATAGGCTGCCATACATATTCTTACAAGCTTCGAACGAAGTCCGACTGAAGTTGGTACCAAGTTGTCAAAGTCTCAGAGCCCGGCACGCAATCGGATCCGGAGGGAAGACTATCGCCAGCGCAACGAGCCTCGTTCATGAGCTCCCAAGCAAAGATAGTGGAGGAATTTTGGTAGCGATTGACAATAGTTTGCACATATCTCTCTGGAGTCAGTCAATAAATTGCGAAGAAAAGGCGACAAAGATTGGATATATGACGTACGGTAGGAAGCGATAGTCAATGCATCAGTGTAGAATTCATCATGGGTGCTATCCGGACCTAGCAACCAGTAGATGTACAGTTCCATGCCCTAGAAGAATATCAGTCTAGAACGGACACCGACAGACGACGATCTAACGTACCCCATAACCAAACCTGTAAGTTAATGATAACAAATTGATCTCGCACTTAAAATCTCCGAATGGACAACTCACCAATTGTTTGCAAAAGTGAGAATGAGTCTGATATCATACTTGGCTGCAGTATCAACAACGTAGTCAAGGCGTTGCAGACCTTGAGGACCTTCGTTGAGTGTCCAGTCGCTGTTGTTCCATAGCTATTGAACCGTCGTGAGCATCAAAGACAAGCGACTTTGCGTTCATTTACCTGGTAGTATGTCAGACCGGACTCGAGAGCGCCTGGAAGTTCTGTAGCATTAATCATGTTGAATGCCTGAACGTCGAGATATTTGCTCAGAATCAGCACGAAGGATGTACATGATAGAGACGATACCCAGGTGCGGACGACTTTCACTCCCATGCTCGCCATAGTCTCGAAAGTCGCATCAACGTCATCCGTTGTGGTCAACAAAGGCAGCCACTAATATGAACAAGTGATGTCAGATATCAAAGGGAGCCTAGAGTCTAGCTCAGGCGTACGAAAGAATTCGTCCCCACGAACGCCTGAAAAAACATACGTTAGTTACCGAGACAACTGTATGAAAAGCGCGATCCTACAAAAGGCTCTCCATCTAATTCAAATTCCGTCCCGTTTGTAGTCACATAACCAGCGGGTACAGCACGCTTCTGAACATTCCGCGTTGCTGCCAGAACGCCTGCAACGATGGACAGCAAGCAGGTCAAGGAGGGCAGGCGCATGGTGAGCTGCATGGACTGCGAAGAGAAATGAGAGCGGATAAAATACCTGATTTATATAATCGACTCGGTGAATTGTTGAGCGTACTCGCGAAGCATCCAATGCATGAAGACGTGTTTCGAGACGGGAGAACATCGGGAATCAGTCAGGTGAACTTGCTCCCTTCCCACCAGAAGGAACGCACATGATGTGCGCGGAGCGTAACAGGAACTATGAGAGTGGTGAAAAGCTGAAGATTCAAGTTGTTCACCGAATATGGCCCGACACGAGATTAGATCTGATCACGGCCCATGCCGGTCCGGCGTCTACAAAATACCGAATCTCTTCAACGAACTGCAAGTATTGGCACTCTGGCAGAGGGCTTTCGTCAATACTCCTTGGTCAGAAGTCAATTTGTACCTACCGATTTTGCCATGCCAAAAGGCTCGAAGAAGAAGAAGGACAAAGCAGCGGACTTTGCTGTATGCCCATATACTGTTTCCTCCCTCACCAGGTTGAGCTCACGAAATGACTGCAGAAAGCCAAACTGAAGCTTGGCAAGGGCAAACAGGTTGCCAGTAACGCTGTAGATACATCTTTCAAGAGTCGCTGTAAGTATTGAAGTTACACTCTGAGAGCAATCCCAAGTGACAGAGCAAAGGCAGCTATCACACTTCCTACTCAGAGCATCGTCCTTGACAAGGACGTAGAAATACCTACAACCAAGAGGAAACTGACGTTTGATGACCTTATTGCACAGTTGAGACATTACAACTCAGGAACGCGTAGGGGTAAGTTGTGTATGACATTTTTTCATGTTATGCGACTGATTGTTTGCAGATGCTTTACTTGGCCTACGGGAACTGCTCGAAACACACCGCGAGCTCCTCAGTTCACATCTCACCGCATTAGTCAACAGTTGTGTGCGAGTGATCAGCGATGAGGTCAGCTCAAAACGCGTTCATGGTGTTGTCCGGGATTGATGGTATTTCAGGATGCAAGCGTGCGAAAGACATTACTGGCCTTCCTTGGCTGGCTGCTTCGTCAAATACCGCCGGTATGTCTCACGTACCATAAGGATAATAAAAATTCTGAAAGATAAGTTAGGAAGACCTAATTCCGCACTCTCCTGTGCTGTTATTGTTCACGACATCCGCGCAGACACACATTTACCCAGAAATTCGTATAGACGCTATCCGCTTTTTGGATATTTTCCTTGAGTATATTCCTGACGTGGTAGTCGAAGGATGGGAACGAGGCAGTGGAGGCCATGGGAGGAGGGTTCTCGAAGGTTACCTCGGTATTTTGAACGCGGGAACTTCTTTCGGCGAAGGAGGGGGTGAGTTTTAACGGTTCATATTGAACCCATGAGTCATTGATGCAAGTCTCTCCAGATTCAGGTCCTGTCCAAGCAACATCTACCGCAAGCGTCGTCTTATCACCAGCAGTAGGTCTCATTTGATCAACGTTGGGCATCTCTGATGCCAAGCATAGTCAAAACTCGCAGTTCTGAAGTCTCTGTCTTCATTCCTCACTCATGCCTTAGTATCTTCTTTGAGAGTGCCAGACTTTGCGTCAAGTCCTACCTCAGCATCCCCTCCAACGACGCCGACATGGTATCTGTCATCCTCATTCTCCTCGTCAGTAGCATTCGACTGTTTCGAGAGCGTCTTCCAACCGATATGTTCTTTGTCAACCGGATTTTCTTCTTCACGCCGCGGATTTGGTCCGTCGAGGCAGTGGACTCAAGAAATCGACCCTGAAGTGCATTTTGAGCACTTTCCTGGAGATTTTGCGTATGCAGTTGCCCCGATAGGTGCAGGCTGGACGCTTCAAGACCTCACCGATGTGCATGCGGAGCTCCAAGCTGAGTCCCAGCATGCAGGCCAACCTAGTGTAGAGGGAACAACCGAATTCGTTCAGGCTGCAGTGCGTTCTGAAGGATTTCCCAGTGGTGTGATGTTAATCGCGGTTTGTTTTGATTAGCATTTGGCGCATACACTGCACCCAACTCTTGTGTCCACTTTCTTGGATTCTGCGCCAGCCGTGTTCTCCCCAAGCTCCAGTCCTACGGAGACGGAGCTTCAGATGGTTTTGGTCGTGAGCGAGATTTGCCGTAGTCTTTACGGTGCAATTTTACGGGATCCCGGGGTAAGTCGTATTCTGTGGACGTGTGAACGTCAACCCCTAAATTTCACCAGACTGGAAACGCGCACGTTATGGCCGTGGAAGAATTGAAAATTATCCTGGGATACTTCTCGCCATACTTCCCATTTGTAGTTGGTGGGTCGGGTACCTCCAAGCGCGAGATTAAGGTCAGGAAATTGGCATGATCTTCGTACACAACACCCTGACAACGTTCAATCACACAGCTCGATCAAGCATTCCAAGACGTGAATCTCATCTTCTGCGAACTCACCTCGTTCCTCGTCCTCGCTTCGCCCGATGCCTCCGACGCGGTGCATACCAGCTCACGCCGTCCCAGAGCCAAACGAGTTCCCAAACACGCCGCCTCAGTCTCATCGGCTCCTCTACAAATATCCCGTGTGAGCGAGTACGTCGTGGGTCTGCTCCGAGGCGATGTGCCCTCCGGAACGGCGCAGCTGCCACGGCCCATCACGCCAGCAGCATACATGGCGCTGCTGCCCACCATCTGGTCCTTGCTCAGCACGGTCGAGGAGGGAGCGTCTGGCGCAGTGCTCAGCGTGCTCGTGGACCACGCTATCAAAGTCTCGTCGACGTCTGCGGTGAAGCGCCGCACAATTGACTTCCTCGCGCGGTTGATCTTGGTGAGTGATCGTGCTCTTCATGCTATTATCCCCTTATCGAGATTTGATTTTTTGCATCGCCAGCTTGAGAGAGAGGCGGAGTACCGGGGAGCATTCAGGGTGGGTTTGGACCCCGAGACAGACAAAAAGCTGGAGGAATGGATCGTCCATCTTCCCAGAACTCTATGGGAACTCGGTGCGGGCAACCTCGCGACGACGGAGGTATGTCGCCAGAGCATTATACGCAATGCCGCTAACCGGCTGTTTCGTCGCCTCGCAACAGACCATCCTGCGGTTTCTCCTCCGGCTCGTGCAGCGCAAATCCTGCCTGCTGCGGCGAGAAGTACGTCTCTGAGTGCCCGCCCGCCATCTGGAGCTAATCGCGTGTATGACCCTCGCAGACGGCCTCTTCTCTCCGCTCGCGCCTGGTGCCTTATTTCGTCATCACGCACGCGACGCGGGGAAAACTCCCCGGGCCGTTCTCCAAGCTGCCCGCGTCGTCGCCTCTTCGAAGGCTCGCGCTGGACGCCGTGGTCACGCTTACGCGGGACGGAGACGACGAAGGTCTGGCTGCGGTTGTGGACGAGGCGGTTGTCGGGGCGCCGCAAGAGGTGTATTGGCGGTCAGTCAGGGGGTGAGCTGTCTTGTCTGTCAAACGCGCGCGCCTTGTGGTTGGTGCAGTGCTCGCATTACATCCTTTTGCATTTCGGGGTCCAAGCACTCTGACACTCCATCGCAAGGATGAGCTAGTCCTCTTCACTCATGCATAACGACGAGTTGCACTCAAATCATCGCAATTGACGGTGGATGATGGTTTTGAACAGACTGTCGCGAGCTGATTGGATGCAACCCGTAGAACTAAAACACAAATAACCCGTAATGCCTGCATTTTGCATGCCGTCTAGTATCTAGTACATCAAGAAACCTTGCAATAACGATAGAGACCGAGCACAGCACGGCCGACACCGGCAACCAGGCATACTCGATGCAATGCGCGGTAGACAACGCGATTATCCTCCTAGCCTATCGTCCCTCCGCAAGCAAAGGGTCAACAGGAACGCCCAGGCGTTGAGGTGCGATATAGGCAATATACAGTGGAGATGCGATGAAAGATATGTGGGGTATGCGAGATCAAGAATCGTGCTTAAACCCACTGCCAGGTCATGCCAGTGAGACGACCGCTGCCCAAGGGGGCAAGCACCTGGAATGCGGAGGGGGAGAGGTCGAGGCTGGTCTCGGCACAGGCCACGCACCGGTCAGTGACTGTAAGAGTAACCGTGTTGCCACCGTCTGTATATAAAATGGAATGGATGAGAACAGACGCGTGCAAGAACGAGAAGACACGTACAAGACGCGGCAATCTGCTTGTTGCAAACCGGGTTACTGTTCGGGTCGGAACCGGTGTAACCACTGCGTGTGAGAAGCGTCAGCGACGGCACGAACGAAGTAAAGGATACGGTGCTTACGGGTACGTGTCGAACAGGAGTTCCGACACAGCGACAATGGGGTTCGCGTCGGTGTTTGTAATACCGCAAGCACCAAGGCCGGTCTCGTACCAAGTGGCTGCGATCCGGCGATTAGCATCGACGAGGAAGTTAGAAAGCTAATGAGTAGACTCACCATCACCGGTGTAGGTTTGGCCACTGGCAAATGGCCAACCCGCGTTATTGCTAGAGGAGGAGGTCTGAATCGGAGCAGCAGCGGAGCTAGTCGGCGTAGGAGAGGTGGTAGGAGCCGGCGTGTAAACCGGAGTACTGGCGGGAGGGTCAACCGAGCTGCTGGCGGGAGGATCAACCGAGCTGCTGGCGGGAGGATCAACCGAGCTACTGGCGGGAGGATCAACCGCCGAACTGGACGCCACTGCGGGGTCCGAAGAATACGCGATGGGCGGGCTCGGAGCGACGTTGACCGGAGCGACAGAGGTTGCAACAACCGGGTCGGCGGAAGACGAGGCAACCGCAGAGCTGCTGGGGACAGTAGACGAGGAAGGAACGGCAGCGCTGCTGTTGGGAACGCAACGCTTCTTGTTCGACCGCTTGCGGGGAGGCGTGACAATGGGAACCGCGGCAGGCTCGGCGATGGGAGCGCGCTGAGCGATGGAGCGGTGGTGGTGCAGGTCGCGAGCAATGTGGGGCGTGCTCAACGCGGATGCAGAGAGAGCGAGGGCGAGGAGAGCGAAGGACTTGCTGAAGAACATGGCGACTGCGGCGACTGCAACGAGCGGTGTTCAGTGTTCGGGTGGAGAGCAGAGTCTGGGAGAAAGGACGGGGAAAAGGAGGGTATATATATGCAAAAGAGAGAGTGCAGACAAAGCTCAAGCGTCGTGGCGAGACCCTGGAAAAGAGGGAGGCAAGCGTCGAGAAGGTGAACGTAAGGAACAGGCATGCAAAGCCCCGAAATTCACTTTTATGATTTTCGGGGTTCGTCCCACGCCACAACTCCGCTGCCTAACAACACTCGCACCTGCCACGCAAACATATCCCCGTGCGCCTCGCCCACAACGCTCCTTGCCAAACAGTCAATCCATGCTACAACCCGCGTGGTTCTCTAACGTACTGATGGCCGGTTGTCCAACCGATGCGCATCTCTGTCCCCGCTGCTCACCGTCTTCCCGCTTCCTTTCGGCATAGACAAAACATCTTCCGTAGCTTCCATACCCCGTACGGTATAACTGGTAATTTTATACATGTTTTTAGAGTGTCTGGAGTGAGTCTGGAGGGAGTCTGGAGATGTGCCGCCTGCCAACTGGACGATCTGTACTCTCCATTTCATCGGAAGTGAGCTCGCAACACCTGCTTCCAGGATTTTATAGCATCGAGGTTGTGCAAACGGTCCACTCATCCATACACCTGACACACCGTAATGTACAGCCAGCACACAGCCAATCTCGTCATCCAGAATTAGCCTTCGCAGCGTACATCTTCACCAATCCCGTGCTCGACGTCTCCGCCAAGCTTTTGGCATACGCGTCGATTTTCCCCAGAACCAACAGGCTCTCCAACCGGCTTGGCTCAACTGGGATTTTGAATAGCCGGCTCACATCCTCCTCCGGCAGTGGCGCAAGTCCTTGAGCTACCCGCGTCGCGTTCTCCTCCTTCCGCTTCGAGACGTACGCCTCTGCCCGCGCCTTCTCTCGCGTAATCTGCCGCTGCAGATACGCCAGGTTGCCCTCCTCCGTCCGGTAATTGTCCACAGCGTCAACAATGTGCTCCAGATTCCGCGCAACGCTCGATGTCCCCAGATTCAGCGCAGAAAACGAGGGTGGTAGTGCGGCAGATGACGACGCCGCGGATGGCTTGGCGCCCATCACCGGCGAAACTGTAGACTCGGACAGCGCTCCGAGGAAAGAGCTCAGAAGCGCGTTTGTCCTGATTTTCAAGGGGACCTCCTCCAGAATTGCGGAGAAAGTCAATCGGTGGTTTATGAGGCTAAGACTTTATTCAGCCAACCAGATCTCGAGTATTTTTCCGCGTGCCCCACCTTGCCGTACTAAAGTTATTCCTCTTGTAAGCGTCCAGGAAGGCCTTCGTAAGGCGGAACGCCCGGAAAGACGCGTTCCCTCGCGCGGTCTGGGTCACGTCTTGAAAAGAAGAAAGAAAGAAAAATTGAGCGTATCACGTTAAAAGCGGGCATACAACGGGCATACCATGGACGATCACGATACCTCCGTGTCTCAGCTTATCCTGGTGGAAAGCCTGAGTCTCCACTAGATTCTGACTGAAGAATGAGCCGAGGGCCATCGCTTGGTAGAACCCGACAACGCTGTCATCGGCCTGGACTTCCTTCAGCGAACGCAACATCGCGGCCTGATACCGGGCTACATCGACCCCACCGCACCAATCGTCGCGTCAAATTTTGCCGATGCTCAGAGACACGGGACTTGTGACTCACCCACGCCTTTCGCTGACTTGTCGTCGTCGTCGGTCGCGTGGTGCGGCAGCGGGAAGGAGTTGGAGATCTCCAATGTACCATCAAAGTCCAGGCCCAGGAGCAGTCCATGAGCAGTGGAGCCCTGCGCTTCGCGCGAGTGTTTGACAATCTTCGAGACCGCCTAGGGGAACCGCGCACCACATGCATGCATCGCACAGAAAGCGGCGGACCCCAGATTCAATCATGGACAATCCAGAGTCAGCAAGTGTTTGAAGGAGGCAGGCACGAAGAGAAACCCCGGTCCCAGCGCGAGGAACGGATCGAGGGGGGAATGGAATGCACCCTCGGAGCAAACGCCCGGAAGGGTATGCGCGGAGGCATTTCATCCACCATTCCGGACGGAAGATTTTAGCGCACGCACCATTCCGTCGAGCTGCACGCTCTGCAGGGGGATCTCTGCCTCGATGTCAATCGCTTTGGACATGGACGCGGGTATGGCTTCATATGTAGGCGCGAATGGCGCAGGTGCTGCCTGAGGCGCAGGCAGTGAGGCAGCGAGCGCTGCAGCCATCGATGTAACGGCCGCCATTTTAGATTTCGATTTCGAGGATACGTGGACCCAGACAGGACCGATGTCAGGAGTGGTGCTGAGCCTCACAGAGAGCAAGGAAGCTGGAATTAGACAGACGAGAGATGCAGGCCTTGGAAAGAAAAGGCTCTTGCCAAACACGTCACAACTCGTCCACATCACATGACCGAGCCTACACATGATGTTCGTACTCGGTTCTTGTTAATGTGCTGCAGCCCCCTCTCCTCTCCTGTCATGAGTGCAACTTCAGGCGACACGACCTCTTGCTGCTAGGGCTGCGTCATGACGGAAACATGCGCTTGTCTCTCGGTCAATGTTCAGCAAATCCAGCATGGTTGCTGGTGCGGAGATTGACTTGCTGCAGCTGGGAATGCTCACAAGCATGAATGCACGCATATAGTCGCTAACGTCTTTTACTGGAATCTATTGGTGCTTGTACAATTCATCGGGGTGCGTTTCGCAGACGGCTCTCGCTAGCTGTGTTGCGGTATGAGGACCCGACTGACTCGACGACCCACTACGGGATATGCTTCTGTTTTTGCATTCTTGTTAGCTTTACTCATCGACCTGCTTACTCATTTGCCGGTCTGTCCTGTGTTGCTATGTCTGCGCGACGACCTGATCGAGGCACTGAGAGAGGTGCCTGTGAGCTCACTGCAGACGCATGCTAAACACAATGCTATGCTGGCTGACACAAGTGGCAAAGCGGCACCAGTTTGTCTATTTTCATCTCGGCGACGAAGAACTGTGGGCGCGGAACCATGTCGATGAATGATGGCCATAGTTTGACGGTCGCTGTCGTATTATACTTTGTGTTTCAGCGCCGGAATGCTGTGGGAGAATGCATACTTACTCACGGTGATACTTCCATGTATTGTATGTATGCGAGAATACTATTATGCGGTCCTCGCCACAGAGCACGATGTTCTGGTGAACAGAGAGGACGAGAGCGGCCAGAGTCGGAAGCTGAACCTAGTCGCGTCATAGCGGGAATATTGTGGTGGCACCAGCTTGCTCAGCCACGAAGCTCTTCCACCAACTCGTACCAGCTGCTGCATGCGTCCGACATGAATCGCTCGACTCGCATCATCCTGCTGCTCGTCATCGATGTCCTCTTCTTCTTTGTCGAGCTCATCGTCGGTACGCAAGCTACGTCCCTCATAGGCTGCGCCGACATTGATACCCCTCTGTACAGGCTATGCTGTGGGATCGCTAGCACTGGTTGCTGACAGTTTCCACATGCTCAAGTGAGTGTCCGCGTGCAGTTCATTACAGTTAGGCGATTCTGACACGTTGCAAAGTGATGTTATGAGCTTGGTTGTCGCGCTTTATGCTATCAAGGTCTCGCACGATCTACCGTCTTCTCGGTATCTGGATGCTCAACTCATCTCTTCCAACAGCTCACCAATCAGACACACATCGACGCTCGTTACTCTTATGGCTGGCATCGGGCAGAGATTTTAGCCGCTCTGGTCAACGGCGTGTTCCTGCTTGCGTTGTGCTTCTCCATATTTCTGGAGGCGGTAGAGCGATTCTTCAGCACTCCAGGCGCGTATACCCCAGTTTCGGCACTCAAGCACTATCTGATTACGATGACTGGATACAGTGGTCTCAAACCCACGTTTGGTGGTGCTGGTGGGATCGTTTGGTCTCGCCTCGAACATCGTAGGGTTGTTTTTATTCCATGGTGCGTCCGTCCCTGTCATGCATGTCTCTGCCCCTCACCCCTTTCTCGTTCTTTCAAAGAACATGGCCATAGCCATGCGCATCCTCACTCTCATGGCAAAGAGAGTATCCCAGTCTCCAAGCCCGCAAGCATTCATTCTACGGAGGATGCTGAGCGCACCCCGAGAGTAGCACCACTAGCGATACCCGAGCCCCGTTCGCGCACCGACTCATACTCCTCATTGTACGGCCACCCTGCAGCAACACGCGCATCGATGGTAGCAGCCGCGCAAGACATCGCACTGGCGCGCTCGCCGTCTCCCTCCCGGACCAGCCGGTCACGTTCGCACGCCCGTTTCAGGCTTGACGAGGAGGACGCGGAGGACAGCCTCGCAGGTTCATCGTCTGGCGATGCTCGGCCAGCAAACGAGACGACGCCCTTATTAGCATCGGATACGGTCTCGGTGGCGTCGGCGCCGCACTCGCTGCATGAAGAGCACACCCACGCCCATGGTGCGCACGGCCACTCGCACGGGTCGATGAACATGCGTGCTCTACTCCTCCATGTGCTGGGCGACGCTCTGGGCAACGTGGGTGTGATCGCTACAGGTCTGGTCATCTGGAAGACGTCGTGGTCGTTCAAATATTATTTTGATCCTGTGATCAGTTTGGTCATCACGGTGATCATTTTCTCTTCTGCACTTCCTCTGGGTGCGTCCGTTCTTGCACGCCGCATGCTGACCATCGCGATGTTCTGACCGGGGTTTTTTTGGTGCAGTGCGCAGCACGTCCTTCATTCTCCTTCAGGGTGTTCCGTCCACGGTATCAATAGACGAAGTACGCGAAGCTATCCTGGCCGTCGACGGCGTCTTGTCGCTGCACGAGCTCCATGTATGGCAGCTCTCTGAGACTAAAATCGTCGCATCGGTGCATGTTATGGCCTCGCGGAATCACGACTTCATGCCCGTCGCCGCGCACATCAGAAAAGCTCTTCATCACCATGGCATCCATTCCAGCACCATTCAGCCAGAATACCACCCTTCGAGGGGCTCGCCTCCAGAAGAGCGTCTGAAGGTTAGTCACGTTGTTTGACTCGTCCCATGCTGCGAACGAGCTTAACGTGTGTTCGACAGACATCGGCGGAGACGTCATGTCTCATACTTTGTCCCCCAGATCAAGAGTGCAACCCTTCTGAAAACGCCTGCTGTCGTACGCACCTTCTTCACGTGTTCACAAATAAAAGAAACTTACACGCCTCTCTTCTCTAGCGCCGCCGCCCATTGACGTGTAATGACATCTTTATGACCTACATCAGTGCTCGTTGCGCTTATACGCAATCGCATCGTCGGAACCTGTAATCGTATTTACCCTGTCCGTAATACTACCCTCTACAAATCAGCGCTGAAGGTGGGGAAGTTGGCCATGAAGGGTTGCGACTCTACGAGACGTTGCATAATGGCCGCGCTAGTCTCACCGTGCCCCTTCCTCCGCAGATCGCCGGCCAATCTCCGCGCCATATAGGAGACCGACTGGCCCAGGACGAAACGCTTCTCGCCGCAGACAGTGACCAGAGCCCACTCGAGATGGAGAGCGGCCGTAAGCGCAGATGAGATCACCGACACCAGAAGTTCAATGGTGATCGTCTGGTCCGGCGGGGCGCGCCCGGACGACGCGAGGTGATCGGCCGAGGCGACGATGGTGGGTAGGACCACGTGCAGGAAGATAGGCAGGAGAGGCGGTGAACGCGGACACCGGGGCATGGTCAACACGAAAGTTGCAACACGTGTGGGTGCCTCCACGTCGCCGATGGTCGCGGCGGTCATAAGCTCGTCCCACAGTGCGTTGAGAAATTTTGTGGGCGTTGTGAAGACCAGGCACCTCGTGACGTCGAGTGATGGTGCTTTTCCTGCACGCGCTGCCGAGAGAGCGTCTCGGACGGCGTGGCGTGGTTGATCTGCCCAGCTTGGGCCGTGGGTGTTCAGCGACAGGGCGTCTTGTGTATCTGCTTGAGCCGCGCGAATAATAAGCAGGTTGTGCACCTCATCGGAAAATAGAACGGACCGTCAACGGGTAGTCCCAGAGCTTGCAGGGCTACTCGCCGAATGGGTGAGGGGTCGTAGACTATCGTTGGTGTCAAACCGAGCTTCGTTCCGGAAGGAAAGAGCCTCAGTACGGCAGGTGCCGATAAGTGTCGAACCACTGGGGGGCAGGATTGCGAATTCAAGACGGTTTGCAGCACCTCCAGATGAATAGGTGCCATAAATCTGCGGGAACAGTGAGTGATGCCCAAGACGTGCACGTATGATTACCAGACCTTCTGCGGTGGATCTCCGCTAGAAGAGCCTTCACAATCCCGAGAAGCGTCCAGTTGAGCAACGGCCCTAAAAAGTAAGATATACCGCTATTGAGGACATCCTTGTCCATTTTGCGCTCTGAGCATAAGCCGATGGCGTGACAGAACAAGGTGGCAGAGATGCGAAGAAGGGTTTTTGGACGAGTTGCCCTAGTACAAAATGTGAGTGAGTTCAAAACAAACACTTCTTGTGCGTACCGAAGTATGGTGTCCTCTATGCCTTCACTGTTGATGTCGAACAATGCCTTAAACCATCCATTGAATGCACCCAAATCTTCGCCCTTCAAATCTGCTAATCGATAGATGGTAGCAGCCGAGAAAAGGAATTCAGGGGACAACGCCCTTCCACCAAGCACGAACGGAGCCGACAACAGCTGAAAGCTAACTGAGGCTCCAACAGATAGCAACGAGAAAAAAAAGTCCATACGTTAAACCGCACTATCGTAGATTGCAGGAACAGAAGAACGTCACCGAGATGGCTGACTGCAGCCTGCGGATCGCCTGGATAGATGGAGTTGAATGAGCGTCGCGTAAAAAATTTGGCCGTTGCACCGACCTATCGTCTCAAAGTCATAATCATCCACATATGCCAATGCGTGTGTTACGAGCTGAGGGATCTTGATATGGAGGGACAGAATGTCAAGGGCAGGCTCGTTCGCGCTCAGAATCCTGCAAAGGTGACTCAAGGATTCAATATCGAGCGAAGCTGGCGACGTGAACCGCTGAAGGCTTCCGATGATAAGACGACGACGAGCGGAAAAGGTTGAAGAGCTTACCTTGTGCACTGTCTCCGCAAGCGCGGCATGACTGGTTGGATCCTTCCATGTTCTTTCCAAGAATACAGCATCTTCGACACCAACCTCTACCGACAACTTCGCTTCGAAATAAGACTGATCATAAGCGTTATTCCGGTGAATTGACAACGTGGCAAAAAAACTTACGGCAAGATCCAATCCTGCGTCTTGTGCCTCTGATTGCAACTTTGGGTGAAACTCGTTGGGGAGTGTCGGGCTGACTGTTGTAGCGAAGGAGCTGTCTATCAGCCCAACTGCCAGCAGCTGATAAAAAAATTCGAGCACGAAAAGACGAGAGCTGTGCAAGTCGGGATAAACTGTCAGAAAGGATAGATCAAGCATTACATGTTACTTACTGCGCAGATCTTTCGCCCGAGTCTGCGCTTCCAGGGCGAGAATTGCTGTCGCACTTATCTAGGAGCTCAGTATGTTGAAGCACTGACAGCAGCGCTAACTGGAGTACTGTCCGCTGGGTAATGTCGGCAACTATTCCACACAGGATAAGTGACGACCCACCCAGTCAACTCCTGCTGTTCCATCGAGCTCAGCAGCTTGTTGGAACAGCGACATGAGAAATGGGAGCTAGCAGAATTGTGTTAGATCGTAAGCCACTTCACATGAGTCAACGTGTTCGCACACGACCGACGACGAAGGCTCTCCAGATTAGCCCTGATCTACTTGACGAACCAAGAGAGAGGTTTTGAGCCAAGCAAGTCAAAGCCGACAAGAGGAGTTGGGTATAAAATACGACTGGTGTCCAAGAGGACCATCGTAACAAGCCAAGAAGGATCGCAGCCACATGCGATGGATCCCCAGAGCCATATTCACTTGATCTGCTTAAAATCTTACCAAAACAGCGTTAGAGTACTAATTCCGAATATCAGAAACTGCGTACCAGGCTATGTAATACCAAGCTACAAGTGATAGTATCTGTATCCGATCCCGGACCTTGCCTATCACCTTTGCTGAGAGCCAGTAGCGTATGCATCATCTGCGCCTCCCTTGCAACTTTGGCATCGTCCCCCAAGAGCAGACTGAGAGACAATGCAAAAGATTCAAGGACTCGCTTGACCCCCGAGGAGAGACGTAGCACTTGCAACATTTCGCTTGCTTCCGCAAAATACATCATGGCTTGTGCTGTGGATATTTGAGAAACGTCCGTGACACACGACAGAAGGAGAATGAGGAGCTCTGATGCGGAGGTTGTTAGTTGGTGAAGGGGAGTCGTAGGGAGGGAATACGCCGTTTTAAGCAAGGTCATGGCATCTTGGACAGTACCTAAGACCTCAACGCTGGATTCGGCGTATGAGACAACTGATCCAATAGGAGGGCTTCCAGACGCGTAATGAGCGTCGAGAATAACTCTACATAGAATGTCCAGAGTGGCCGTATTGTGCAATTCTTGCGATTTAGCTGCAGAAAGAAACATCACGACGAAGATGGGAAGTGACAGTATCTGGTCTTGGATAGCACAGTTGAGATATGCCTGTAAAGCTGGATCGCCGGGATAGCTACGGAAAAGTAATAGCACAGAGTCTGTGATTCATTTCGAGTTCAGTCGCCACAGTACCGAGAAATTTTGCAGCTCTCGATACTCAACTTCCAAGGTCCATTTGGACTGCTTCCGAGGTTAGTTGGAGTTGTCTCTTCGATGTGAATAGCTTGCACAGATTGATCCACTGCCGATTGTAGGATCAAAACCCAGGTCCTTGAAGGCACTCAGAATCTGATATATACTGGGTACTCACTTTCGCGGGTTGGATACCACTCTGAAAGGAATTACGTGTCAGTTCACTAAGGGACATCTTTTTGGACGGAGACGTAAGGCACCAAGAAGGCGTTTGGGCGCTTCACACATGCTCACGGGCTGCTTCAGCATCACGGTTAAGGCTAATGACGACGGAGTACGGCGCATAATACTTGAGCTAATAATTTACACTAGTGACTCCCATGAACATTGAGAATGGACAGGATATCATCTACATCAATGCGGTGAAGAAGGGAAATCGGAAATCCCGATATACTCTCCCCTATTACGAGTTCCACGTCCAAGTAGACCGCGGAAACGATCTCCCAAGGCCATGTCTTCAGGCAATCTCTGCGGTGCCCAGGCCTAGCGGTGCAGATCAGCATGCAAGATGTCTTAGACCAGGCGCTACTCACCTCCCACCAACGCTTGCCCGCATTCCACGGAATGTTAGTATCAAAGCCTGCTTTCACCATCCTGCTTTTAATGCCGGCACCGAGCAGGAGCCCAAACACAGTCAACAGGAACAAGGTCACGACCAACTGGTCCCTGGGAGAATCCCTCTCTGAATGCAAAGTCTTCAGTTATCGTACCTAGCGAATAGAGCTATAGATACGAACGGAAACACCTAGCTTCAACATCGCCCTCCTTTCCTGTCGCTGTATCTGGGTCAGCAACTCCTAGAGTGGCTCCTGCGCATATTGGCAAATTCTGATTGAGACACCATTGTTTAGTACACGATAAACATGGCTGAGCCGGGTTGTCAGGTATCTGCATGTTCAGAATGGTATAATTTGAACCGAAGCAAATACCTGAAGACAGCCGTCGGCACCACGAAGAAGAAACGTGAACCGCGACTCACATTTGCAGAAATCCGTAGCTTCCCATTTGTGTCCCAAGATGGCGTTTGCGGACATCTACAGCGTAACGATTTTAGCCTTTACCTACTACGGCGAAATGATTAGAACATACAGAGAAAGATATGACCAGTAGTAGAAGAACACAGAACCGACAGCGGGCGAAAGACATGGCGGTGTCGAGGTTGTGGAATGACCGTATGCGGCTACACGCAACGCGTCTCCTGACTGCCACCTTCTGTAGGTTCGCTCTCGACCTCTCCACCTTTGTCGACGTGTAGAACGTTTGGTTTAATCTGTCTCTTTGCGACCAGACAGCCGGTGGCCTACCATGTCTTCCGAGTTCGAAGACGTCCTCACAAATCAACCGGTAGTCATCGACAATGTCAGTACTTTAAAGTCGCGTTTCCTACCAGGCTGACTCCTTCGTCTTCATAACGCAGGGATCTGGGACAATAAAGGCAGGATTTGCTGGGCAGGACCACCCCAAATGCTTCTTCCCGTCCTTGTGCGTCTTCACGGTTAGGGCCATCCCACAGCACCCATGTTCCGTTCACTCACGCGCCCATCTCTTCATCGTTCATTCGGACGTGTAGCGTGGGACGGCCGAAACATATTCGGGTCATGGCTGGTGCGCTGGAAGGTGACGTATTTATTGGTAGAAAGGCACAGGAATTCCGAGGGCTACTCAAAATTAAATATCCCATGGAACATGGAATTGTCACTGACTGGGATGACATGGAGCGGATATGGAGCTGGGTATATGCAGAAGAGCTGGGAACGCTGAGTGAAGAGGTGCGTGGGTCAATGTTACCCATGCTATGCGCGAACTCATCGTCGTTCTGTTGTAGCACCCAGTACTGCTGACTGAAGCGCCCCTCAACCCGCGGCATAACCGCGACGTCGCTGCCCAGATCTTCTTCGATACCTTTAATGTGCCCGCTCTATTTATCTCTGTGCAAGCTGTACTCTCACTGTGAGTGATTCCGTGTAATATGGAGCGGCAAACCTCAGCTACATGGACTTGGACCGCGACAGGTATTCATCAGGACGAACGACAGGAATTGTACTCGACTCGGGCGATGGCGTGACACATGCAGTGCCAGTATTTGAGGGTTTCTCTATGCCGCATGCCATTCGCAGAGTAGATGTGGCGGGAAGGTGCGCTGCATGTAAATGTTGTTTGTGCCACGCTAACGTGAGTACAGAGATGTCACGGATCATTTGCAGCTACTACTACGAAAGGCTGGACACCATCTGCATACAACGGCCGAGCGAGAAGTAGTACGAACAATCAAGGAGAAGTGTTGTTACGTTGCTGTCAGTCCTGCGAAGGAAGAGAAGGATTCTCTCGGACGGGTGGAAGAGTTCAGATTACCCGATGGCAACACTGTACAAGTCAGCCTAATCATTTATGGTTAACGAACCACGAGCTGACCCCCACCATCCAGCTTGGTCCGGAGAGATTCCGCGCGCCCGAAATTCTATTCAACCCTGAGATAATTGGCCAGGAGTATGCTGGAGTGCATCAAGTTGTCGTGGATGCTATCAACCGAGTGGATCTGGATTTACGGAAGAGCCTTTTCTCCAACATCGTGCTCAGCGGAGGCAGTACATTGTGCCGTGGTAAATATGTCTATTGTATGATTGAACTGTCATTCACTGTATATGCAGGATTCGGTGATCGTCTGCTCAATGAAGTGAAGAGACTGGCGTTGAAGGATGTCAAGATCAAGATCTATGCACCTCCAGAACGCAAATATTCTACATGGATCGGCGGCTCCATTCTGGCAGGGCTGAATACATTTAAGAAGGTGAGCCGTTCTGACCATCAATCAGCGTCGTCGCCTAATGACAATGCGAAGATGTGGGTGTCAGCAGAGGAGTATCAAGAAGATCCAGACATCATCCACAAGAAGCTAGGTTTTTGATCCATCGTCAGTCCTGGCTATTCAGCGAGCGGCGTATTCCATGTTTGCGGTATGATACCCGTTATGTAGTGTTCACTTAATTCGGATACACTCTCTGGTGCGTTTAATAGTCTTCTGCGACGAACAACGCGGTTTGCATTGCGTGCCCAAACCGGCAAGTTGCACTACAACTCACATGTGAAAGAATGGTGAATTCCGCATGCACATAACGTTCATGAGCACTAAAGGAAAGGGGAGCATACGCAGTACGATACAGTCGAGACAGCTTTTGCGAAGATGAAGGCGGATATGCAATGCAAAAGATGACGGAGCCCCAATATGAATACACAATGGTCTCTACTTGCCTCCCTTCTTGGGAGGCTCGGCGGCCTTCGCCTTGTTGGTGCCGCGGACCTAGTGTTGTCGTACGTGAGGGCTGAGCTATGGACGGATGGACACAGCACACGTACCTTCTTCGTGCGGTTCTTCCGCTCCTTCCGCAGCTTCCTGTTCGTCTTCGGTGGTGCTACCATGAGACCACTCTGAATGAAAAGTGGTACTCACTATGAGGGTATGATTTACATTGCTGGTAGACTAGACGCACCCGAATTAACCGGTACTTGGGCTCGAACTTCCTCTGCGTCGCCTCGTCGTCGTAGATCAGACCGAAACCAGTGCTCCGGCCACCACCAAAGTGTGTCCTGAAGCCGAATGTGACAACGCGGTTCTTGTCCGCCTTGTACATGGTAGCGAGGGTCTCCGAGAGCTCACTCTTGGAGACATTTGGCCGGGAAGGGTGGAGGACATCTACAACGAATTGGCGGCGGGCAAGCAGACGGTTGGTGATGAATTTGCGCGTGCGAACAGTGATGGGTGCTGCTGAGTCGGCCTGAAGACGAGAGGGAGAAAGTGTGAGTTAGTGCATCCCATCGGCGTTTCGTGTACATCCGCTGCTCGAAGCCCCCATCCAACGCCTTCCTGGCTGAATCCAACCACACCATTGCTCCCACTGACTCCGTAGGACACCTGGCAGCATGTTGGTATGAAGACTCACCATGGTCAGTACGCCCGCTTTTAGTGTTCCGTTACCTTTGTCGACGAGGAGGCCGTGTGGACGGTTTGGTGGGCGGCGAGCGACGGATCTTTCCAAACAGATGTCAATACGGGATGTGGCTGCATCATCTAAGCGCCCAAGTGCATAGCGCCCAACGTCAGTGCTGCTGGATTGCAACCCTTGGATTGTATTTATGCTCTTGCACTCTCTCCTGTCCGCTCCAACATAGCTGGCGCCGATGAGCACTTCCAACTTTGCCTCGTCATTTGCCCCCTATGTAAGTTCCATTGCATTCAGCATCTCAGTCGGTTCAGATGTCACATTACTGCGCGCAGACGCCGCCCCCAGATGACCCCACCTATACATCTACATCAAGGCCTGTCTCCCGGCCGTGGTTCCCCGGACAGTCTTCTCAGCAGTCCATGTCTTACCAGTCGGGAGGCATACCTACTTTCAACACCTCGCAGGCAGGCGGCCTTGGCGCAGTGGAGGAGGCCGAGGCTGAGAACGGGAGCAGCATGTGGGAGACGCGGTACGGTCTGCGAGTGGACATGCTCGCTGCTTTCGCCTATTTACTAGGGCCTATATCTGGTGAGCATTCTGCACGCAGTGCCGACGTGCAAGGTGAGTAACCGTATATGCAGCTCTTCTGCTCCTCATCGTAGAGACACACAACGATTATGTGCGCTATCATGGTGAGTCGCATGCATTCAAGAGATATATTTTAGAACTGGCTGAGTCGTTCCCAATCCCACGTTAGCATACCAATCCGCTTTGCTTGCCACACCCCTCGTCCTGCTCCGTATATTCGCCTCGCTCCTGCAATTCCCGTCGTTCCTTCGTACACTACTCACCCTTCTGATCGTTCTGCCCTTGCTTTATATGACGTGAGTGCAACTTTATTCACTTATTGGAGCGAATATTTAAGACACTTCCCAGATGGCGAGCGTATATCGATGCAGCGCGGAATGGTTTGACACGTTTCCAGGTTCCAGGCATTGGTTCTCTCGCAGATAGATGGGTATCCGAGGAGTAGCATTCTCAGGTGTCGACATGTATTGTGTATCCGTCATCTTTGGGTATGACGTCATCTTATATTCTTGCTTGCGTCCGTCGTATGCCGCAGTGACCCTCACAGACAATGCTATAATATCGTGAAGACGCTCGTCGTTTTACATCTTCCGGCGCAAGGGCTTGTATATGGTACACACGTGTCTTCTTCGCGTTGCATCAGATGGATTCACTCTTGACGCTATTCAAATTGACTGCACATCTCAAACTCAATGTTCGGCGTTTGATTTCAACTTGTCAAGATAGATTGTTAGCCATGCGTGCAGTAGTACGAAGTCAGAGGATCATGATACACAACGAAGCGAGAAACTATCGATACACATACAGGGACCAGCCTGTGATCATCGTGCACGGTCGTACAATGTCATGAAAATCGTTACAACAAAAGAAGGAATGAAATGTCCTGCGTCACGAACCGCTATCTACCGCACCGCTAGGCAAAGGCCAAGAACCTGGATCCCCGAGTCACAAGCCGTTTGAGTAGCCTGGCCGATCAGGTCTTGGAGAAGAGGCTGGACGGCGTTGATGATGGCATCGGTCAGGTTCTCCACCGCATCCAGGACTTCGTCCAGAATGCACTTGACTTCGTAGACGACTGTAGGACGCGCATTCCGTTAGTGAACCGGGTGCTGAGAAAAGAGGAGAAATAACGCACTAGGGCCGAGGAGAGGGCCGAGTGTGGGGTCATTGGCTACGAGCTCGTAGACATCGGACAACGTGTACTTCGTAGGGTTGACGATCTCCTTCAGTAGAGTCTCCAGCTCATCGTTCTGGTCGTAGTTTTCAAGCCCCTTGTCAGCGGCAAGGGCATCGAGAGTACTCTGGAACCCTAGCAGATTCGTGTGGAACGCCGACAGCGTGGATATGCATTGCTGTTGGTAGTCCGCATTCCCGCCTTGTTGAGATGATTGACCAACCAAGGTATCTGCACTACTCATCAGAGGACGGTCGTACCTAACGAGAGAAACATAAGACTTACTCATCTGCGCGGCATTTTCGTTTATCTGGGAGTAGTAGTTACCCAATAGGTTCAAGTTGTCGAGGATACTGGTATCTGCTGTTTGGCGGCGCTCCGAGGTTGAGGTAGCAAGCTTCGTGCCGGAGACGGTGTAATCGTGTACGGGGATGGACATGTCCTGCAGACGAGCGACGAGGTCTGAACGTTGAACATAGTCGGCAAAAGACGCGACGAGAGGGAGGGGGGTGGGCAGTGGTGATCCGAGGACGGAAGTAGTGACGAAGGGGGTTCCGGCCAGTAAAGCGACGGCGGAGGCGTGAAACGCCAGGCAGATGGCACGAATCACGGAAGGCATGGCGAGGATATTAGATGGCTATAACAATAGCGACTAGCGCGTCTAGAATAGAAGAATTAATCGGATAAGACCAAGAGCGGATGGCGGGCGTTGACGAGCGTTGGAGGCAAGACGCGACACGCACCATGTTGGATTGCTGCTCGTTCTTAAACTACGACGCGACAGAACCTTATTCCCCGCTCGGGACTCCCCGATTGGTCCCCTCCATGGGACGCGTCGCGGTCACGTGACGGGAACATCTTTCCTTAATCGGACCCCACGTTCACCCGCAAATCTTCCACTCAGTTGGCAACACATTCCATCAAAACCGGTGACAGACTCCATCCAACTGTCAATCATCGACGGACTTTCTAAAAACCCCAGAACGGGTTGGAAACACACATAAATATGGTATTAGAATCTTCATACCAAACAACGAAAACGACCCAAAGTGCGGTCAGTAAGGTAAGTGGCGAATAAGTCTGAACGTAGTGGCCACGTCGGTAAAAGTTCATGAGAGGGTGCATGCGAACTATACCGAACAATGTACAGTCCAACGCCGGGTATCCAATCAGTAGTAGATAACGAACGTGATGGAGAAAAGAATGTCGCGGTGAAGCGGAGAAATCGGGGTCGAACTTTCTCCCTGGAAGGGGATGTATTTAGGAGGATGTTTCTCGTGTCTCTGTGTTCAACTAGAATGCAGCGCATGACTGGCCATCGGCTGCCAGCTTATAACCCGTTGCGCAGGTGTAGACTGCCACGGTCGTAACTAGTCAGTAGAAGGTACATCACAGTGAAAACATTGGCACTCACTTGCGCAACGGCCTTGCTCACAACCAACGTTCCAAACACCTGCAATGGCAGTGCAGTCCTTCCCAGCGCCAGTGGAGGCACATCCACCGCATGACTCGAGCTCGGACTGGGGGTCCAAACACTCATAGTCACCCGTAAGTCCACCAAGGCCCATGATAGGGCACGCCTCCAAAGGATTGGGGCAGAGCACGTTGCGACGAGCCATGGTGTTACGCTTGTGCGACTTGCCCGGCGAGCTCTTCTTACCCGACGGCTTGGGCGGCGACAACGACACCGGCGAAGAACCACCAGACTGGCAGCACGTGGATGAACCGTCATTCCACTCCCAACCGTTGTTGCACTGGGGAGGAGGCTGGTTGCTGATGGGCTGATGGGGAACGCAGCACTGCTTGCCCGTGTGGTATTCCCAGCCGCTCGAGGGGCACTGGGTGCCTGCGGGAGGAGTAGGCGGGCTGGGGGTACCGCCGTACTTCACACAGCACGATTTGGCCTCGTACCTTGTGGAAGCAAACCAATGAGCTGGCTGCTGATAGCATAAAATAAACGAATATTTACATGAACTCGTCGTCGTTGCAGTCCGACGAACTTTCACCGGTAGCAAATACGAAGGGGAGCATGGCGGCGACAAGGAGGAGGCAGGAGAAGCGAGCCATGATAAACGATCGTCTGGTCAAAGGAAGGACAGAGGAAAGAGAACGAAACAAGGAGGAGGCAGTGAGAAAACAGGTCGGAAAAAGCGGAAGCGACCTTATATACCGTGATCGCGAGTGGATCTCACGCGATCCAGGCGCGGATTTACTCTCGCGATGGCGGTTGTTTCATCACCCGTGTACGTATCATTCAGCAGCTTCCAAGCAGCTTCGCCAAAGACGGTCATCATGATCAGGCTAACGAGGGAAACGTCGAGCACGTACCGATGAGCATGCAATCATCCCTCTTCATACTGTTACAAGCTGCATTCCAGGTGGGCGGTCCTCCAGCTTTTCGGCGAGGAATTTGGGCCCCGTCTTTGGGCGCTAGAAATTTCAATGCCGTCGGCTGTTGAGAGCCGTTACGAGGTATCCTTCTGATGACTTTCTGCCTAAGACGCCGCTCTCCGTCCCCGCACCGCAGGTTCCCAGAGTTGGCTATCTTATATCGTCTTGTCTCTCAGAGAGTCGGATAGTTGGTCAAGAGGCGGTAAAAAGAGTACGACTGCGCCCAAATACGACTTGGCCGGCGCATTCTGGGGGATAATATACGTCCAATGTAATCTCCGCGGACCTGGAAACGAGGTGCTTGGCAATTGCAACGTGGAAATGGACACTGGTGTTTTCTAGACGCCCGGCCGCCCACGGAGAATCGCAATATCTGCCTGGCTGAAAAGGGACTTGCGTAGGTATCAGTGCGGCAAGCAGATATGAGAGAAGGGATAACGTTGGAATATTGAACGTCTCTGAGAACTTCGTCAAACCCGAACAAGGACGCCGCGAGTGAAGTGTTGCAAACCAGAAATGTGCGTGCCGGGAGAAGAACCAATGGCAGCTGGAGGCAACGTCTAAAAAATTAGAAAATTTCACTTCGTCCAACTGTACATTACACTTCGCGCGCGTCAAGCCCGGCTTACTATGAGACATCGATCGTGAAGAGAAGGTGGATAATGGGATTGTAGTATAGAAGGTCCCTGCACAGAACAACGCAATATACGCATCCGCTCAAGCTGTGACAAATAGAGTGGTATGAAGTGGCGGATCACAATTACAGAACGAACTCGTACCTGCGACTTCGTGAGCTTTCTGCAGCGCACGGACGGCGAAGAACCTGACATCAGCATCTTGGTCATTTTTCTGCTGTTCCAGCACAGGCACAATCTTCTGTAGCACAAGCTGTCGGCCTTCCGCAGTATCGCCAAAGGTAGTCGCCAGCACTTCTAACGCCTTTGCGACATTGAAACGTATGTTTGGAATCGGGTCGGCGGATAGTTGGAGCAGCGTGTCAAGGATCTCGCCCCGAACTATGTCAAGAGTAAGAGAGGAAGCAATGGTCTGCATTGATATGATTCTCATGAGCTCACGCGGATCCCATAGAATCGCAGTAATCTCACCGAGATCGCTTGGACAGTAGTCATCCTGTACAGATAATTGGGATGCTGACCCATTCCAACTACCCTGGGTACAATCTGGACCTTTGCCCACTCGACACCGAACACTTCCGTGAGCTTCTTCAAGTTTAGTGTCGCAGCTTCTCTGATACTGAACACCGTATCACCTAGCCAGGACATGCAGAGGTTTCCGAGTTGCTCGTCGAAGAAAGGCTTGCCGAGCTGATTTGCAAGCAGCGGAATGTACTCGATGATGGCTTGTCGGACTCGCCATGACTTGTCCTCGGCCAATTCTACTATTGCGGGGAGCAGGCTCTCCGACAGAAGTTCGATCCCGATGACTAGATTGATACAGGTGAGCTCATGCGAACGGTAACTGGAAGAAAGATGCTGATCATGCATACCACTGTTGACTTGCTCGAGTTTGCTGATGATGTTCAGGCGCACCTCAGGGAATTCATCCTTCAGCAGATGAAGGAATAGCGGTAAGAGATGCTCTATCGTGGCGTCCTTCTCGAGCAGGGGAGCCAAGCCACTGATTTGATTCGCCAGCGCGGCACGAACATGTTGAGAGGTATCCTGACAGAGGTCACGTACACAGGGGACTATACGCGCCAAGATGACCTCTTTCTCAAGCAGTTTTGCGAAACCTAAACGAATATCGTCAGCAATCATCTGTTTGTTGCCCAACAAAGCTAGCAATGACCTGGAATCTGGCCGGCGGCTGCAGTACGAACTTCGGCCTCGTTGTCTTTCAGAAGCTGAACGTAGTGTGCTATGAGTTCTTCCCGGACCAGTTCTTGGCCCACGGTGTCTGCGAGCTAGTGACTATCAGCGCCGAATGTATGGCGAGGCACAGCCGAGAACACCAACCTCATTGAAATGAGTGGCCGCCATATACCGCACCCGCCAGCTCTTGTCGGACACGGTCTGTTTGATCTGCTTCAGCAACTGGTCCTTGACCTCGGCCGGCGTTAGTTGTTGAGCGATCGCAATTAGATCCTCTACGGTCAGAAGGCGAACAGAATCTTGGTCATCAGACTGTAGTCTGCGATAAATCACAAGTCCGTCGGTCAGAACATGTTGCTTCGAATACTTCTTCACTAGGGGCTACGAAGGATCGGTTAACATCACACTACAATACCATGGCACCAGGATAAAAACGTACACCAAGCCATTTCGCGGCTGCCCTTCGCACCATTGGGGTATCATCGCTGCCCAGGGTCGCAAAACTGCGGCGCAACTCGTCTTGGAGAGGTGGTGCGACCTTGTCGTAGACCGGGGCATACAGTGCACACGACGATGTCCGTGAAGTGAACCATTCGCCGCGCGACAATCTATGCACAAGGGGAATGTAGAACTGCTCAATCTGCGCTTGACTGAGCACCGCAGAGACTTTCGTGATGGACTCGGTAGCCTGCATAAGTCAATTAGAGGGACAAGGCTCCCGCGACGGAAGGTGCGGCAAGAGTATGAGACTGGGAACACGAGAAAGCGCACCTTGTCTCTCACAAGGGTTTCCTCTACCGCCGACAAGTTTTCCAGAGGTCCCAGCAATAAATGTGCATACTCGCTTCCGCCGATGTACTCCTCGAAGTTCCTCCCTAGCTCTTCCGCCAGAGCCAACAAAACCTCGTCTTCATCATCCACAGAATCCTGTAGGAATGGAATGAGCTCGTTCCGTGCGCGATCTGGGCCTAGGGCCAGTGCAATGGTTGAGATGCGATGAATGGCGTTCAGTCGCAGCTGCACGTCCTCAGAACGCAACTCGTCCATGAGGATGGCGATCGGTGCAATCTATCAGATCCAAAGACAGTGAAATAAGACATGACAGTGCATCCGAGAGTGTAAATGGAAACACATGCATCGTCTACCGAGAATCCTGGATCCATCGTGGTCTGAGTCGATAAACGCGGCGCCACAGATCAACAATACGAAAGCAAGAGAAATGTAGGGCACAACAAACCACAGTCGATGGGTAATCAAATCCGATTGAAGAAGTGGGTGCCTCTAACTGGAGGAAAATGTAGATGTCGAGTGGAGGAGAAACTATACTCTAGTGGATGATGACCGCGTTGGGAAAGTTGTCTGAATCGCGTCGTACCCATCACTAGCATTGCATACAGCCACATCCAATATTTCTGTCAGCTACCTGCCTTATCTCACTGGCTAGGTAAGTCAAACAACATGTACATCGCTGAAGTTGATATTGAATTCAACTGCTACTGAGTGTGAACAAGGATTACTACAGCACTACACAACAAGCCGCTCGACCACGCTACATCAAACAACAACGTACGCAGCGACGAAGCCATTGTCTGAAAACCCGATAATGTCAGGAATAATCGGCAACACAGATACAGCGAAGCTGCACTCACTCGAATCGAAAAAGTAAGACGAAAACGATGATGAAATCGGGTTGAAGACTCTTCACGAAGAAGATAGGTTCCAAAAATTATGCGACAACGATGGAGCAAATGAATGCAGTCCACCTAAGCGAACGAACAAGAACCCGAAGACATCTCGTTCACATCGCAAGTCGCAGACGACCGCATCGAAACGATTAGAACTCGCTGAGCCCTGTGATTTGACAGCGTTAGTTACGACAAACCAGAAAGTTAGAGAGTCCGAGAAAACTTACCAAGGTCGTTCGACACAGCGTACACGGAGCAACGGGGCGGTGCTGACGGAGAACTACACCAACACGAGCGGAACTGGCAAGACAGCGATGCGCGGTGAGGCACGCCCGACCAGTCGCGTACGGCGCTCTGCTCTGCTGGATGAGTCAACCGATCTGGCAAACGCGCCTCCATTGACCGTTCTCGGGGACAACCCGGAATCGTCCAGAGTCGCGGAGACTTTGCAACTGGAGCATCAAATCGTGTATGTGAGACATTGTGATACATGTCAGGGACAGCGACTGGTTTGGTCTGAGCTCGGTGGCCCGAATGAGGTGCGTCTGAGCTTTTTCCTCGATGTGAGTGAGCTTGGTGACTCGAATGGTGCATTGTAGCATCCGAAAACGCCGTAGGGCGAATCCGCGGTACGCGGATTATACGCACTTCGTCAGATGAACTTGTGCTCTATAGCGCATCCACTGGGATGCACGACAACACTGATAGTCGAGATGCGGGGCTAACCACAACATCATCAACCTCGTATGTCGATAAAGAGCGGTCCATCTGAACGAAGCTGCGTCAAGTCTTCCAGGTGTGGACCTCGTGCGCCCGAGACGGGCCCAACAACCTCAGATAGATGTCCCAAAGAAACATCCTCTTTAGGCTGGTTCGAAGTCTTCCCGGTCGACGACAGATTTTCATCAAGTTCTGCTCGTTGGTGAACATCCGGAAACTAGTATGGCAGTGCGAAGTATGACTGGAGATGTAGTCAAGACTCGAGAATCACGTCGATGTAATGGGCGTGCTATAGCATGTGTGATGCAAGTATGGGCTACTGGAGTCTGTGGTCGCTAGAGCATGTCAAGCAGCAGGTCACAAGGTATCAGGAGCTTTGTCAAAGAGCATTTGCCTATCTGCATGACTTCCGTCCCGCCACACCGATAACGGCGTGGATGGTGCCGATAACAGGGTTGCTGTCTCGTACACCACGCTCGGAACCGCCATGTATATCGTGTGCTTGGTATTGCCATGTATGGAGATCATCGAGAAATTCAGCGGGTATGCTTTTATGCTCGTAGTCAATCGAAGTTATCAGTGATCATGAGTCCTTCGTCTTTCAGAAAAATGAAGTTGGAGTCAACGTCCTGAACGCTGCAGAGACGCTGGGAAGCGGCGACCTGAGGCTATAGCAATCGGGGTATAAGCATCTTGACAAGTGCGAACTGGACAAGAGAACCTTTCGAATAGCTCGACATGGACTGTTGGTGCGGAGGAGGAGGGGGGAGGAAATGTAACGCAAAGGAAAAGGGAGCGAGTTTATAAACAATCGCCGATGTTTAGGGTAGGCTTCGGGACTTGCCGGATGAGTCGGTCCAGCCGCCCGACACGTGGTAAAGTTGTCGTCATTCACACCTTTAGCATCATGTGGAAGGAAGCGCCGAGGAAGTACCACTGGAATTCCCGTGTACTACTAAGCAGCAATAACCTCTTCGCTCCCAACACCGTCAAGTACATACCGCCATGCCTGTCGACGTGCAGCCCGACCGAGTAGTACTCAAGCACCCAAAGGTAAATATCATCATCAGCCCAGTGCCGTTAGGGTTTCTTTACATATCACTCAGGGGGCTTCCGCCGAAATTCTCTTCTACGGAGCAACTGTGATTTCTTGGAAATCTGGCAGTAGTGCAAATCCAGAAGCAGCAGAGAGGCTCTTCGTCTCCTCCAAGGCTGCCTTCGATGGTAGCAAGCCTGTGAGAGGTGGCATTCCAGTAGTTTTCCCCTGCTTCGGTGCACCCACCCACCCGGAGCATTCAAAGCTCTCGCAGCACGGGTTTGCTCGCAGTGAGAAATGGATCCTCGAGAACATCGTCATGGACAATGAGGCCGGGGTATCTGTTAGATTCGGTACGCATCACGACACAGCCTATCAGCATCACGCTCTCGCTGACTCCCGGAACTTGGCAGCCCTCGAACCGACTGCTACCATTCAAGCGAAATTCGAACGGCCTTTCCACCTCTCGTACGTCGTGACTCTGGCCGAACATCAGCTATCCACCGCTCTCCATGTCAAGAACACCGCGTTGTCATCTACATCGCCTCTCGAATTCCAGGCTCTCTTACACAATTACATCCGTGCGCCGTCCAACGAAGTACTCGTATCTCCATTGCAAGCCTTGTCCTACTACGACAAGACAGAAGCTACGGAGGAATTGCGCAGCACGCCGAAGGTGGAAACGAGGGCTAGCGTAGATGTGAAGACCTTCACGGACTCCGTTTACGAGAACGCGCGTGGTAAATATGAGATAGCCTGGCCATCTGGGACTCTTGAAGTTCGGGCGCATAACTTCAAGGACGTAGTGGTGTGGAATCCTCAGAAAGAGGCTGGTTCCAAGATCGGCGACATGGAGGATGGTGGATGGTATGTACTGTGTCGTCCAACATTATCCAATTACTGACATGATAATGCTATCAGGGAGAGATACATCTGTGTCGAACCAGGCTATGTTCGTGGGTTTGTGAAATTGGATGCTGGTCAGACATGGATTGGACAGCAAGCTCTGACGGTTTTAAATTGAATCGGAGAAGTTTTACGGGTATGAGGAAAGGCAGAAGAATCAACATCCGTCCCTTCCCGACGTTGTAACTGTATATGGACATTAGTATGCAAACTCTGGAATGTTTCTCCTTAGTTGACTGCTGGAGACTTTCGGCTTCCAGCCTCAGTCATTGTCAACCCACAGCTGCAGTCCCGTGAGAGGTCTCGATCTCCCAGCCCAAAGAACAAATGTATTATGTTGGTAGGACTTCAGGGATCTGAGATGGAAGTAAGCGTCATGATGCCTTACTCTAAACTCACGACAACATTGCAGAGATTCGACTACACGTCGGTGTTACATACATGGACAGCGCAAAACAATTACTTCATTATACCCTCGCAGGCAGAGTCAAGCGCAACGATCGCCTCATAGGTGCTCAACGTTCATAACCCCAGCTCTTGACGAATGAGTGTTTTCGTCTGCTGCTCCATCTCGTCAAATATTTTTAATGCATCAGCGAGCTTACGCTGTGCCTCCGCGTCAGCGGCCAAAGCCTGCCTCAGCGCATCCGCTCCTTTGGATAAGAAGTTGGTTTCAAGGATAGAGGGTTCTACAAATAGGACAATCAGCAACAATTACGGATTATCGAGGACCTTGGGTACCAGAGCTACCCGTAGAAGTAGGAGGGGTGGCTAGATGAACTTCAGGATGATGAGACTTAGGGTCACCAAGTACGTTCTCGGGGCTATTGGCGGCAGCGAGCTGATCAAGGACTGCCGCCGACAAGGTTAGATGGTCAGGATTCAGCGAAGCAAGCGCGATAGCCTGGAAGAAAATTCTGAGCGGAGTCAGTAAGCATTTTCCATCTACCTCACCTCCGATAATGTCACAATACTGCATTGAAACTCAGGTCGGTGGGTCACTTAACTTGAAGGGCCCTTGCACTCACCTCGCTGGCATGACTAGTGTGTTAGAGCCGATGCCTTTGAACGTTTGAACAATTGCGCCAATAATCGGCGCCATCGGATGTTCTAGCACAGTATTCTCGTACTCCTTCCAGAGGCCAGGCTCGAAGTGCACACGAAGTTCTGCCACGCCGCAGCGGTGCGTTTGTTAGACAGGCCAAACAGTACTGCATAGCCACTCACCATTGAAATATGGAGCGACGTAGAGGCAACCTGCTTGGGACGCCGCGACGGCCTGGTGAACCGAAAATAAACAGGTTGCGAGCGTACGAATACCGATCTTCTCCAGATATTGGCAGGCCACAATCGACTCAGGCGTTGCAGGGATTTTGATGCAGACGCGAGAACTGACAACGCACAGATGCAGTGCAAAGATACTAAGGTGACGCGAACACGTACCTGGGTATCCCATTGGCCTCAAAGAGCGCGACAAGCTTCTTTGCGTGCGCAACTGTCCGCTCCGTGTCGTACGCCGTGGAAGGCGAAGTCTGGACGTGTACACGTCCTGTGAGGTAAGGATAGACTTCTTTGGCGAGCAGAATGTTCTGGGGGCTGAGCATCAACCCGAAGCTTTATAATGACAGATCGAAGACCAAACCAAAAGATCCAGTGCATCTGCGACTTGTGTATCAGAAGTGGCTTCACTGCCTCTGACATTGTCGCATGCTGCCTTCAGGATGTTTGCTTTGTCTCTTCTTGCTGCCTCGGAGCAGACGATGGCCTGGTTTGATGTCATATCGCAGAATTGTTGGTCTGTGCCAGTGTGGCGTGAGGCAACAGCTGGGTCCATAGAATCGACATCGACCACCAGACGACCACGGAGATGCGACAGCAGGCTGGGAGACATGGCTGGAGGACAAGGTAATAGCAGTAGTATGGAAGAAGTGTGTACACCAGAGCACGGGACAGGCTTTACGTCCTTGCTTTCGTTCTAGGACAGTTGCCGCATGCGGACCAAGATGTGGCAGGTGATCTACAACTTCCTAAAGATGGACAGAAAGCTGCTCGTTTAGAAGGCATTTTAAGTCGATGAGCGTGAAGTGCTCCGTGGGCTTTTACTAGCTGCCGAAGGAGACTTCCGCGGTCCTTTAGCCAGTCTTTTCATATATTCCAGAAGCACAGTCTCCGCGCGATGGAGCCAGCGATATATTGGGAGGGAGTCGGGCAGAATGCCACCACTAATAAAGTGGTTACTGCCAATTCTGAGTTGTTTTCGTGAATCGTGGCAACCTGCAATTGGAAGGTTACCGAGAGACCGGCGGGAAATGGTCCGTGGCAGTTGAAATTCAAGCCCCGCAGGTACCAGTGATAGTCGCAGTAGTGGTATCATGAACCACGCTGTCTGAAGTCCCGACGCTAGTGAGCATATGTAGATGAGCAGGTGGGCAGCACGCAAGCAGGCCAACGGGCGGCGCCGTCTGCAGCTCTGGTGGGCTTGGTCTGCTACGTCATCGCACCATTCTTGGCCCACCGTGTGAGCGGTTTGTACATTTGGGAGCGAACCCTCCATTGAAAATATAAGAAGTCGGCCAGATCCACTTGCCGTCCTTGGTCTCCTCTCTTCTTCCATCATCCTTATGTCCAACGCCCCTCCTTCCCACCCCGCCCCTCACCCGTCCCCGGATTTTTCTGTCCGCTCCCCAGCGCACGTCTCTTTTGCAGATTATTTCCAACTGTACCAACAAGGATGGATCCAGGATCTGTCTTTACTCATTCTCATGATCCCGCTGCAGACCCGTCTCCAACGCCTTCAACAGCCAGGCATTTACTGTCCCCTATCGCCTCGTCCAATTCCGCGGCAACGAGTATGTTTTCCTGCCCTGCTCAAATGTTTCGCACTGTATCTAATGCGCGGCCTTCATAGATGTTCCATTGACCGACGCCGTCGTTATGGCCTTGAATCCTCTGGTTCAGTCCCAGCACAATCCACATGCGTCATTCCAGATTCAAGGGCAGCCAAACGCTGTTACACGCAGTCTTGACGCCATCATGGCATATGCTTATCGTTTGTACGGCACTCCCTCTCTTCCGCCCCCGGTTACCCCGATGCCATTGTTTCAGCCAGATGCTAGAGTCCAACCGTCGGAAAATGTTCACAAGTCTCATCTTCTCCCCCTCCTTCTCACCCTACGCTCTCTGCATCCGCGCGACCTACCTAACCTGCTCCTTCTGTCTTGCACTTACTTCGTGCTGGGAGACTACGAGTCAAGTCTGGCCACCAGCTACGAGATCTTGTCCATTGACCCTAGTCATGCAGAAGCTATGTCTAACATTGGCACAACTCTCAACGCGATGGGTCGCGGCAGCGAAGAAGCTTATATTTGGTGGTGGGGAGCTCTCCAGTCCTGCCCCGTGTGCTTCGATGCGATGGTTAGCGCCCATTTAATGGTACTACTGCTATGCAGCGCTGACGTAGACGACAGGATAATATAATCGCCATGCTCTTCAAACAGGCCCAGGATGCACAGGACAGCCGTAGCATCGGATATTATCGCCAGGCCTTGAATGTGTGCGACTACGTCCGGCGCCAGATTATCAGCGCAGACGGACAGCTCAACGTAACTGTACCCAACGTCGAGCTCTACCGCCTGCAGCGATTCTTCTTCACCACTGCCACCCTTGACGCGTCAATTGATCAGAACGATGTGCGTGCAGCTGTCACTTACTTTAGTGCCCTTGAGCTGGTCGTCCGCCCTCCGTCACCATACCTCGAACATGAGCGCTATACCGTGCGAGATACGCTTCTGTCCACATGCATTGCAGGTTACATCATCTCGGCATCATCTGATGGACCAATGCCCCTTGGGATTATAGAGAGTCTGCATATTGAGGACGAACCTTCCCTTGCAGCGCTAGTGACCAAACATTCCTTCAATTTGTATCACGCCGTTCACGAGGCTGGGGACAAACTGCTCACTACGTTGTTGCACCTGGGCGGAGGTGTACTCCCTTCCATCCTGCTCCTACCGGATGAAGTCGCACTGCTGCCAATGATATTGTTCCCTTTCTCCGCGGGAATTCTGCCGTCCATTTGCTGTCGAAGCGCTCCGCACGGCGACCTGGAATACCCCCCAGAGGAGACACGACAGCAGACTAACGTTATGACGAGTGTCGTACTTCTCACGTTGGCGAACAAATTTCATGAAAACTGGCTGCATAACGTCACGATTCCTGGCCTCGGCGAGTCTCTCGATAGCAGCATCTCATTGGTTATTCTATTCTACTACCTTGCGCTTGCGTTGAATCCAAGACCGTCAACATATAACAACTTGGGCATTCTTTTATCTACGATAACGTCTACCAGAATGTACAAGAACATCGAAGGAAGCGAGCAGGTTCTCAGTGGATCTATGCTTGCGGGGATCTACTACCACGCAGGACTCAAGATTGACCCGAATCACCCACATCTTTTGACGAATCTAGGGTCGCTCCTTAAGGATCAGGGTCAGATCGAGCAAGCTGCTGAGTATGTTCTCCCAGTCTGCATGAGATATTTCATGCCGCTCATACAACTGGATTAAGCCTGTACAGACGAGCAGTTCAGAACAAGCCTGATTACGACATTGCCCTCGCAAACTTGGGCGATGCGGTGAAAGACATGGTGTGTCCTATTCAACTCATGCGTGGTGCGGTAATTGATCGTGCTCTTCCAGGGTCGCGCTTGGGACGCGATTGAGTACTATGAGCGTGCGATGAAAGCTAACCCAAACCTTCCGGAAGCTATCTGCGGTCTGGCTTATTCTCTATGCTCTGTTTGTGACTGGCGCGGACGGGGCAGCCTGGGAAGTGAAGTTGGTGTTGATGAAGTCGGGGGGCTAATCCCGCCAACACACATGCAGATATACCCGGGCTGGGTCACCAAATTACTGGAGGCATGTACTCTCCAGCTAGACGCTGCCTATCTACAGAGCATCGGTGCTATAAAGAAGTCCACAACGATGCAGGAACTATTGTCTTTTGTTGCCGTCGCAAAAGGGCGACCTCTGCAGGAAAATGAGCGGTTACGTTGGCATGCATCTTTTTCCACATATTTTGAAAGTCACAACCGCGTACCGGAGAGGATAAACGAAGCAAGTCTCATTATTCGGTTCATTGATTGGCTGCAACCTCGCCTTCAGCGTCAATGGTATGTCAAGGCGTATGGAAAGACGTATAGTTCACCGCAGGTTCTTGATCCTGCACCCAATTTTGGTGCTCTGTTCACTCGGCCACCCCTTCCTGGGGCTCTCAGTATTCCCGCTGTCCCCTCTGTCCTTCCATTCCACACGGTGAGTTCCTCTCGTGCGCCCTTTATTTACTCCATCTGATTTTCGCAGTTCACATATCCAATGTCACCGCGGATGACCCGGCTTATAGCTCATAGGAATGCTCTTCGGATCTCTTACATGGCACTGTCACAGCCTTGGATTCCAAGACATGTTTTTCGTCCACCGAGACCGCCACTGAGAGGCAAGCTGAATGTTGGCTATATCTCGAATGATGTGAAGTACGTGCTCCGACTTTTGTCTTCGCTACTTGTCAACCGGCGATTTTGCAGCAATCATCCGCTATCACACCTCATGCAGTCTGTATTTGCCTTCCATGACCGAGATAGATTCAATGTCTTCTTGTATACGACGAGTCCGTGGGATGGGACTTGTTACAGGCCAAAGATATCGCGCGAAGTATATCAATTCATTGAGGTTGATACTTGGCCTGCCAATGCTATCATCGAACACATTATCAAGAATGAGATCCACATCCGTGAGCCTTGTCTTTGGTTTGAAGTTCTGCTGACCAGGGCCGTCTCCAGTAATTAATCTAGGTGGTTATACGAAGGGCGCCAGAAACGATATATTTGCTGCGCGTCCGTCACCTGTGCAGATGCAGCTCATGGGTTTTGCGGGAACGTTGGCAGGAGGTACACGATTCGACTACATCTGAGTTGCTAATGGTGCACGTTTGACTTTCATGTCAGGCTGGTGCGACTATCTCGTCTGTGATCCGATAGCATGTCCCCCAGAAACAAGTGCCACGGAGCTCTGGCACAAGAAGATCGGGCTTAGCACAGCGAATCCGTTTCCTGTGCAGGATGACCGTACAGCTGGCGACGTCGTCTTCGATTTTGATGCTGATGCAGATCCTGAATCGAGCTCCGAGGAGTGGACATAGTGAGTTTGGCATGTCTCTCGTTCGTTTTCAGTCTCAAATCACGTCTGATGCAGTACGGAGAAGTTCCTCTATATGCCTGTAGCGTGTTTCCTCTACCTCGTAGTCGTGTGGACTCACGCTGTCAGCTTCTAGCATACCTTCATGGTGACAGACCACAAGCAATCTTTTCGCCAAGATGAAAGTCTCAGCGTGACAGAACGGGCGGAAGTGCCCATGAAGACCATATGGCACGATGAAGAAGTACGGCGAACCCAACTCAGGGAACTGCATTTTCCCGATCTTCCGCAGTAGGCATCGGAGGCTCGTGGAATATCCGAGGGAGCACTTCCTGATCAGATCAACAGGGATGTGGTTATATTCGCCAATTTCAATCAGGTGAAGCTTATTTGGTAGTGTAATAAGTGTCATACCCTCTAACGCAGAATATAGCTGTATAAGGTACAGAGAATGTGTAATTATTTTCGGAGGGATCGCTGAAGTAGTCCATGGTTGAGTATAGATCGATCCGGTAAGATAATCCTTCCCCAAGTGAGATCTATTTGTTACTCATAGTACTTCAGGGGATTTTTGCGGTGTGGCTCCGCATTTTGACGAAAGTGCCGCGCAGTATTATGTGGCTTCTTCGATTCCCTCCAGCTGGAGAGGAACACATTCTTCGAACGGCGAAGCTTTGGGCTGGTGACGACGTCGCGTCTCGGATTCGATTCACGGGCGTTGCCAGGAAGGACCAGCATGTACATCGCAGTCGTGTTGCTGACTTGTTTCTGGACACCACAGAGGTACGTTCCCTGTTATTTAATCCGTCGTCGTGGTATTGATAACTTGCTCTTAGTGTAATGCGCATACGATTGCTGCGGAGTAAGTGCTATGATGGTTACTTGGATTCCAAGTTATCAAATTGCACACTAGTGTCTTATGGACCGGAACACCAATTCTGACGTTCCCAAAGTACGTTCACAAGATGTGCTCTCGCGTGGCTGCAAGTATAGCCAATGCTACCGGGTTCGGCGACCAAATGGTGGTATCTTCCATGAACGAGTACGAAAGTCGTGCTATTGCTCTGGCAAATGGCGTGCAGTATACACTTGTCAATGAACCTGACGGGACGACCTTGCTTCACGGACAAGGCGAGCTAATAGACCTTCGGCGTAACCTGTTTCTCAACCGAGACGTCATGCCGCTTTTTGATACAATACGTTGGACGAGAAACATAGAGAAAGGCTTCATTGAGGCATGGAGACGCTGGGTTGAAGGGACACAGTACGAGATGTCGGATGAATGGGAAGCTTGTCAGGGGCAGGAGAAAGAAAGTGGATGCATTTGGATCACTGATGCCGAGCCGCTGAGCGTGACACAGTACAGCTAGCCTCAATACAGTTCATTGGTTCGCCATACATTCGCTGGCTTCTATGCACCCACCACTGGGGCCACAATCCGTATGTAGACGAAGCGTATCAATAGCACCAAGCAATGGAGTCCGTCGAGTTTGAGAGAAGGCGGAAGAGAAGTCATATTATCACACAGCGTGATACGCCCCTGGTGCAGTCTGGTTATTGGGCGCAGGGGTGGACCCCAACGGCTTTGGTGTTTGAACATCCGCCGGTTCATCAACGGTCTGATAACCGTCTCTTCCCGCAGACGTGAATCCGCCTGGCATGGACCACACTGTTCGAACGATATGGTCACCATTCCTCTGCTGTTGACACGATCTGCTCACCTGTAGCGCCGCCCAAGTCATTGCCACGGAATCCAAGACTGGACAAGTTTGCACCTCGCTGATGGAGGGTAGTCACAAATGCCAACAAGGTTGGTACCTGCACAAAATCCAGCATGAGCGTGACCTTGAATATGTAAGTAGAGCCGACATGCTTTGAGGACCAAGGTCAGGATGGTTATTAGCTTTATGAACCAATGTTGAGGATAGTTGTACATCCAAATGATGTCGTACAAAATAGAAGCACTGAGAAGGTAGATGAACTGCAGAGTGCCGTACTCAGTACTGCACAGGTGGCGGCGGAGCCAGGAACGGCAGACTAATTCACCGTCTGAAGTGACTGAACGGCATCAGAGGTCTCCTGAGCATATACGCCAAATAGGAAGATAGGTAGGTTATAGGTCGGAGCGTCGAATGCAAGCACCGAGAAAGAGAGGATCTGAGGGCCCTGTGTGACTTAACGATAACATGGAAAGATACCAGGAACGACTGACAGTCTCGACGAGAACCAACTTTGAGGGGTCGAGACGCTGTACAAAGTCCATTTTTAACTGCTGCCGAGTACGCAACGGGAGATGCAGAGATGAAGGTGGTCAAGCAGTGCGTTATGGTCGTGGACGCGCAGCCCAAGACGCGCCAAATCGTTCCAGTAGCGATCACGTGTACTTTGTCGGACGCTCAACCTGCTCAGTTGTCTCCCAGCTGCAGTGCAAGCTTAGCTTCAACATTCCAAGGATTTACCCCGCCTGGCGGAGGCACGTCCCTGTCCCACCAAGGATTTTGGCGCTTTGTGCCAAAATCTTCGCGCCAAAATCGTACTCAGGATTTTCTCGCCGACGCGTTGGCAAGAATGTCTCACTCTCAGTATCATTTATACATGCCAGGCTGCCTATCTTCATTTTCTGGCTGACCCGAAGTCTACTCCCTGACATGCGTGAGCTCACGCGTTGATTCCACAATTCCCCCGTCTATGATTCCATCTGTCGCCAAACTCAACAGTTTGACGGTATGCTCGTTCTCAAACCACCAGACACCAGGTGAACAAGCACAGCATCATAGTATTCTTTCCTTATGGCCACTACTAATGTTTCCCAGGTCTGCTGGTACCTGCCTTTGCGCACGCCAGCATGCCCCTCTTCACACCCGTCCCTCGCGCCATCGCACACCCGCGCCGGGCCTCCTGCTGCCACATGCATGCAGTGGGGCTCGGAGAGGGCTCACCTCGTTGAACGCGCACCACGGGTACCTGCGCGTGCCTCTCGTGCCCCTTTACCGGTGGTCAGCAACTCTCGGCGCCATCTCCCACTGTGGTTCCTCTCTCCTTTGTCCGTGTTGGGCATGTTGTAGCGCGGATGCGGCGGGGCTTGACCAGTATTCGGCGGTGCTCAGCCATTTTCCACCTCTCGTATCTTCGATCATCATACCTCTCCTGCACCCTTATCATGGACGTCCGTGTCTCGCACACTGTTCACTCTTGATTGGTGGCTGGTTGCCGGTTACGATGATGACGATGCACATCATTCGTTGCCCCCAATTTCCCTTCCTATCCTTTATTCGCTTGTTTACATTACATTACATTCTGCATTGATCCATAGTACAATGTATATATATTTTCTAAAGCGCTTCTGACCAGGATTCTCGAAAGGTTAGGTGTCCGGTGGGTTCATAGGAAGGGTGCATTGGGGTTAGGGTTATTGGTCCATGCTCACGGTGACGCAGAAACCAACTTCACTCGCCAACTTCAAGTACTGTGACTCCTGGTATCGCATAGCATCAGCCCCTTGGTCTTCCAATGTCGGAAAAGTTTGATGAAGCTACCCAGGTGCGATTAACCTTGCACAGCTAACTGTTTGTGGGCTGAATTGGATGCCGTGACTGCAATTTGCAGAAGGAGCTGGCTTCCTTCGTCGAGGCGGAGCAAGCACAGGCGCGCATGCACCAATCCATCCACACCTTGACGAGCATGTGCTGGGACAAGTACGTCATATAGCTTTTGTATGGCCGGAAATGCTCACAATGTAGCGTGTTAATTTCTTGCAGATGCATCACGAGCACTCCCTCGACGCGATTTGCCCGCGGTGAAGAGAACTGTCTCGCGAATTGCGTGGAGCGATTCTTGGACACGAGTCTGTTCATGGTGAAGAAAATTGAAGAGCAACGGTCACGAATGCTCCAATAGTGAATATGCGGAAAGCCTGTTTGCTACATCTGCAACCGGCTGCATTGGACAGGCAAATCATTCATGTGGTCCCCTCAAAGGTACATACTTCCGTTGTATCCTCGGTTGTCGCATATAGCGCGATTCTGGTCACCGTATTGCCGTCACACATACAATTGATTACAACATCGGGATCAGCGAGCTATAGTAACAAAAAGCAGAACATCCGATAGATAGGGTGTAATTAAAGCATAATATTCGTGGAGCCTTCCTTCCATATTACTCTTACCAACGCCAACATCACCACAATGGGCATGAAAAAGCCAAACGCGTCTAGGACCTCGCGGCGGTGGCGCAGTTGCAACGGAATCTCAGTCCGAGCCGCTGCATCGTCCACGAAAGATCCAGTCTCTAAATACTTGTCGATCAGTGTGTCTTTCTCTCCCCAGAGGGAGCGCAGCCAGAGCTCGAATTTATCTCCCTCCTCCTTGGGAATGTCCACTTCTGTGGCATGTGACTTGAAGGAGCCGTACGGGGTACCGTTTGGAATGCTAGCAGAGACGTCGCCGCCAATAGGCACTTCTTTGTTTACTTTGAAGCGCCGAATGTGCATGTGCACTGCCGGTGGAGGGACACGGTCGAAGAAGATGGAGCGCAGAGTGTAGTATGACTGGCCATATCCGAGAGGCGGGGTACCTGCACATTCCACATGAGCTTCTGCGGCCAGAGATATTAGTCAATCGATACGCACCTGGATAAGACACGGTGACGTCAATGAGTTGCAGAGTAGGTATGCGTGGAGCGAGGGAGCGCAGAGAATACTGTAGCCCCAGGGAACGGGGCATAAGGGTATGCACCATATCCGGCTGACGATGGCCATGAATTCAGCACGATAAACGACGATCGAAATAAACGACTGACGATTCCTATCTTATCCGCAAACTTCTTGCTTAACGGCCTGGTTTCTATGCTCACCAGAGTACCTTCGGGGTACAAGATGAAGGTCAGAGGCGAATCGTCCTTCTCCGCTCTTGAACCCAGCCAGGAAAGACTAGTAGACAGATGAAGACGATCAGATGCCCAAGAGCGCGCCAGAAAGATGAAGTTGAAGAATTGCATGCCCTATAATGTTCATATTAGTTGTCGATGTCGATCAGCTTCCGCCCAAGCATGCAGATAAAATATATACCCAGCCCAGGACCGGAACCCACTTGAGACTCTTCTTGAGAACGATCAGGACGTCCTTGTGCGTGCCCATGTAATATGTGAGACACCACGCGTACCACCAGTCGGCATAGATCTTGGCCGCAGGATTGTTGAAGGCATCAGAAAGCGTGCTCAGGTCGGACCACCGGGTAATGCACCCACCTGATGATTGGCTATGAGCACCGCCTTCTGCGGTAAATTCAGCCCAACGACACGCCCTCCGTTATCTCGCACGACCATTTCCTGCAGCTCCTCGTAGGCGAACTTGCCCAATCCCTCTGTCTCGAAGGATATCACCAACTTGGTCGGGGCAAACCACTGGCTCATGAGGACTGCCACACAATGCGTATTAGCCTACAGATGAATGTACGCCAAGTCGCGTGCACTCACCCAACAGTGTCCCAAACGACCCCTTGCTATACCGAATGCCCTCGGTGTACATCTTCTGCCCTCGTGGAGAGGGAAAGAGCTTGAGAGGAAGCAGAAAAACAAATTGGGAGCTATTGATCATGACACATCCTAGAAGAAATACGAAGAGGAACAGGGTGGTGTGGAGTGTCTGCAGCCAAGTTCTCCTCGGACGCTCCGTGATCTTAACGGTGTGGAGATCCATGATCGCCGTCATCTGGCCTAGACGCTACACCGTGACGGTAGTGGTAGGTTGGTGGGTGAGCCTCAGAGCGCTATTTATCATATGTTCATCAGCCTCGCAGGTTGGAGGGCGCGCCGGCGATCACGAAGTCTAGTACTGTGAAACGACCTTAGGTTCAGTCACGCGTCACACTCAGTAAAAACCAGAAGTCAAAGTGTAGTCAGCCAATTTCAAAATTTTGGCGAATTTGACTATTAATGACTACTTGTGACTATTCTTATGGTTTTCTTATAGTGCATGACCTCATATAGTTTAGACCATGTCTGTACAGTTATGTTCCAACCCCTCAGTGCAGAAAAAAGCAACATATGAGCTTCAGAATGCCATGTATTTTGAGATAATCAACTGTGGTGCCTGACTTTTACAGACTAGGATTTGATGGCATTTGATCACATAATTTCTTGGCATGATGAGTTTGGTGACTGTAAACAGACTTCTCTGGACTTTACCTGACCATGGTGCCAAAATTTTGAATCTGATTGACTTCAGCCCGACAATACCAGACTTTAATTGACTTCCAGTTTTTACTGAGCGTCACAGGCCTCGTGAACTGAACTCGCTTAAGCATTTGTAGCATGTCACGGGTGTCTGTGAACAGGACCCCCTGAATATGGGTGCCGTTTCACAAATTCCGAAAATCGACCCAAAAATATCCGGTAAAAATTTCCAAATTTTGGCGAAAATGTCCGGATTAAACACGGCCTCGGGCCATTTTTTCGAAATCTGTCCGGACTTTTTTGGGCGCTTGATCCGGTACAACCGTCCAAAATTGGCTCAAAATACCTCCAAAATGGCTTATTTTCCTAAATCCCGCCCGCCAGAAGCCTAACGGAGGCCATTTAGTGGTCCTGGTGCTCATAGAGTGCCATTCCTTCATTTTGACCTCTGCTGATGAGCCGTTGACACGGACACGGGCAGAGTTTGTCCGGATAAAAAACTAGCATGGGCTATGGTCTGTCCAAAATGTCCGGAGACATGTTCCAGCATGCGAGGTCTTGACCCCCCAAATTGTCCGGATTAGACATGGCATAGGCCATTTTTTTGCTCGCATTTCGTCCGGATTGCGAAACGGCATCCTCCCCAATATTCAGGGGTCCTCTGTGAACTGGAAGCAAAAGAGGGTGTCACCGGCGCTCACAGCACCAGGCATGGCGGACCGTCGGCGGGCGCCTGCGGCGCCTCTGAACTGAACTTGAGTCACAGGTCACTCCTACCCTGTGAACTGTGAACTGAGGAGGAAAACATGTCACAGGTCACAGGCCGTGAACCTAAGGGCGTTTCACTACAGTACTCGCTTGTGGGCGTTCTGTGTCATTTCGTCGACGGCATCCGCCGGAATGTGCCCGACAACAAAGCGAGTAACAAAGCGATTTCAACCTCACGCGCACGTCCAATAGTTACATCTATCTCAACCTCACATCTAAACAAAGCGTAATCGCATCAATGCACGAGGAACTTACAGCTACAGTACATCAATAATGAACGTCTACATTGTTTTCTAGCATGTAAATGGTCTTCCAACAAGGCCACCAGCATACGCCTCTACAATCAACTGGAGTGAGAGACATCGGTAAGATGCCAGTGTAAGAACAAAAAAGTCTGCTCACTTTGATAGAGACATAGGTGCCCGCAACACAGATGAATGCCCCAGCCAGAACAGTCAGGACAGCAAGAGTGGTTCCCACCCACTTCCGTTTCAAAGCCTCCTTGCCGCCCTTCAAATGGTACGTGTCATGCAACCAGAAGAATCCAGCAATACCGTACGTGTACCAGGAAGCGAACACAGAAGCCGAAATACCAACCAAGTCAGAGAAGATGGGCACGGCAGTGGCTAGCAGAAATGCGATGGCCGTAGCTGCAAAGCAGAGGAAGATCCAGATGGACCAGCCGAGGACTGTGTGAGAATAAATGTGTCGTGACCGTCTAAAAAAGCGGACAAAAATCAACTTCGCGGCAGTGTGCGAATAAATTGCCCCAGAACTGAAATGAAATCGTTAACGTTGTTAGCAGTGCACGAAGTAAACGCGAGATCGTACATGAGGAAGTTGCCCATTCCAACGCCAAATGCGATCTTTCCCCAGATCGGAGACAAAGACAACAGGGCGGGTGATGCCACGGTGCTTCCGATATATACGTAGACGACTACACTGAACACAGCGTAGTAAATGGTGGCAAAAACTTGGAGACACCAGGCAGCCTGACATAAACTATGAGTTAAGGTGATGCGCAAGCGGTAATTAGGAACTGATAAACCTTCATAGCGTCCTGCGGTCTGCTCATCTCGGAGATGAGGATGAAGAACCTACGTGAGTGAGCTAAGCATGGAGCCGTCTGGAACGGTACACATTGTTGCGCACATAAAATGGCCTACAACGGTAGTGAGCAGAGATAAACACGTATTACAGGGGGACTTTACCTGCGTATGCGAATACCTATGAAAGGGCAAATGGAGGTTAGGAATCAACTCGAGGGCAATATCGCCTTATCATACCGGACTAGTGACTGCCAGGAATGCGTCGTAAAAATTAGATGGAATAGCGGCAGAGATGATGCGGCCTGGCAAAGGGTCCACTCCTGCACCAATCATACCCAAGATCCCACATAAGGTGATCAGGATCACGCTGAAAAGACCAAGCCAACTAAGGCGTCCCAAAGTGCGCGGAAGTGAGATGAGGAATGTCGCGACTGAGAATATCAATAGCAGGATCACGGCGCAGAGCCCGTTGTTCGAGAGGAGAGACAGAGCTTGTTGACCGGACAGTAGCTCAGACCCCTGCATCACGATAAGTAAAGGAGATTTAAGACCAGTGATTACTGACAGTGCCAAAAATCGCAAAGATTATAGTGCCCAGTGACAGAACTTCCCGGCCCACTGAACCGAAGATAATGTGTCCAGCATCCCCTGCGTCATGTATATCAAGATATAAATCAACACTGTACGAGATCTCAGCATCGTACCCATATTATGCACGTTCGGATGATTGAGCTTAAAATCTATTAGTAGTTTGGCGGTAAAAAGACCGAATATTCCCAGAAAGATCGTCAGGATGAGCGAAGGGACGATACCTGGGGACTATGTTAGCTGGAAGCCTCTACGTATATATCGTGCACGGCACTGCTTACCGACAACAGCCATAGCATTGGGCAGCGATAACATTCCATTACTGACTATTTCAGCAATCATCAGCATACAGACGAACTAAGCACATAAGTTGTCATCGGTCACTGGAAGCTGATAGTCACATACCTGCCAACTGAGAGTCTTGTACCGAATATCATGGGACTCGTCGTCGCTAAACACGTCTTGCTCTGCAAGCACACTGGCAAGGTGCTTCGACTGAGACTCGTTCTCTGAAGATATCTTCTCCTCCAAGGCGGCGGACATCTTTGAAATCTCACCTGAGGCTTGGACAGAGAAGATGGTGGGTACCAGAGCACGACCATTCCAACAAAAACCGTGGGGGGCTTCTTATTTGTTTTTGGTGCCTTATCTGCACCGATAGCCCAAAGTCTTAGCATGCAGAAGGCATCACGCGAATGAAGTATATAGGTCGAGGGTTCCTGATCGCAATCCGAGATAATGCTGAACGTAAGTGCGATAGACATAGGCGCCGGATATGTGTGATAGTACTTGCGCAATTCTTGAATTGCCTTTTCCAGCAGGCCATGTTTCGTTAGTCCAGCGCCACTCACTGGCAAGCCGTGACTAGTGACTAGTTGACTGAGTGCACTACTTAACGTTAACCATTGACAACTCCTGGCAGCTGACGTGCATGTACTGTACCACTTCCGGGTTGGCATAAGATGTTCGTGTACGTACATTTATGGCTCCACTGACACCTTCTCAGATATATGGGTGCCGACCTCTGGTGTGCTTGATTTCCAGCGTCCCATCATGCAGAGCCCTTCCGTCGCTGATGTCAGGCCTCCCCGTATCGTGGACGACCTCATCCCTATCATCTTAGAGAACAACGACCATTGGTGGCCACGAGATTTCCAACGTCTTGCAGTCGTTTCATCCGCTTGGGTGGCTCCGGTCAGGAAGTGCCTTTACACCCGCCCAATCCTCTCAACGTTTCGTGCTTGTTATCTGTTCGTCAGGGCCCTGACCGAGAATCCAAGTTTACGGTCGTTTGTACAGGGTGTCGACCTCTGTCCCGTACCGGACGACACCGTTTGTCATGGTATCATCGAGAAAATGATGGCGCATGTCAGGTTCATCCTGGGGTTGCAGGGGATACGTTCTGTGAAGCTAGGAGGAGCACTTGCCGTGTCGGCAGAGAGATTTATCGACGCTGTCACCAGTTCAAACACCATCGTCGATTTGTGCATTGACGGAAGCGCACTTCGTACCTTCTGTCTTTTCAGCGGCCCTCCCCTCTTATGGGATGGAATACTGGCATCAAAATTCACATCCCTTCGCACCCTCAGGCTGTCCTGCGTTGAATTCACAGTCCCCCCCTTGCCAACATCATATCCCATGCCATTGACAGAGTTATACCTCGAGAATGTGGACATTACGGGCAACCTTCTTGTCGACTTGTGCCAGGGTCCCTGGTACACATTGCGCACTTTAGGTGTACGCGCCAAGTCTGCAGTCGGCAACGATTACCATATCCGCTGCATGATTCAGCGTTGTGTCAATTTGGAGACCCTTCGCTACGAAGTCCGTGATACACACGGCCACGGGGCCATCTTCGACCACGAATCCCCTCCCCGTCACTCCCTGCGGCAGCTCTTACTGTCGGGTCTGGATGTCACTCCTCAGAGCCTAGACGACATCGCCCTATGTTGTAGAAATCTCGAGGAGCTCACTGTTCTTGGCCACCTCGTACGAATATCCTCGACAGATTGGGCATCATGGTTGGCGTCCGACACCCTACCCGCATTACGTGCACTCAGGACACCACATTGCACCACATCACCACCTTTTTTGTACTGGTCGGACGATATGATCCGACACGTACAAGTTGCTTGCTCGGCTCGCAACATAGTTTTTTGCTGTTGAATCCCGGAGTCGAAGTAGGTGCGCTTTCCAGATATTGCGGTCAGGCTCAGCTGACGAACTTGCGGTGTATATAAGCTATTTCTATTCCACCCGATGTTGATATCGATTTGCTGCCCCAATGTTGTCTTGACGACAGAACAGATTCATGCTTACTTATTCGTTTCCGTCAGGGTTGCACACATTTATTCCTCCAAATCATCTTTTGACGTCGTCTTAGTCCGCGTTCAAATACATATGCCTGCGGGGCTGTACATATTGTCGCGTGGAATAATATGTCTTTACTTCCTCAGAGAAGACAGAAACCGATGCGTGCTCGCACAAAAGACGGTAGCAGTACCGTAGTGCTGTCTCATCGGCGCCGGATACAGAACAAGCGCCCACAAACCTTTTGAGTCGGATCAAGATCCTCTCTCGACGCATCGCATCGAGTTGCTCTCGTCGACAACAGCTTATCTGACGGCGCTTTGGACGACGTCGGCCCAGCTGGAACACGTCTCGCAGCTGTCTCTGAGGGTCCTCGGGTACGTGTCTGGCTCACTCATTTGTCACAACCACCCGCTCTCTAGACCTGGAAAATATACCACATTCACTACATGGCTGCCTTAATGACCCGCGCGCCTCCCTCTGTGCTCCCTGGTTTCGATCCGACTATGACTGCTCCTCAGTCGCAACGAAAACCCGCCAGGAAGTTGTCCTTTCTATCCTTGAGAAAGAAGTCTTTTACTGTGGACATCCCACACTCATCCACGACATCAAATCCCTCGCGCTCTCCTTCCGGATCGAAATCCGCGTCGCCATCCGCCTATCATGGATACGAAGACCCGTCGAAGCCAGCGTTCTCTCGACCTACCGAACTTGCACACGGCCGGAAGTTCTCCAGGAGCAGCACCCATACCCACGACGAGCCTTCCCACACTGGTCGCAAAGCCAAGGAACGATATCACCACGAAAAGCGGAGGGAGCAGCCAGTGGAGCAGGAATCGTACATATTTCCGAGTGTTGTGGACGAGCCGTCACCTTCCAGAGGTAGTCACTCCATGCATCGCTGGAGGGTCCGCTCAAACACAGGTCCTTCGCACAGGCAGGATTGGGAGTCACCTCTCATCACGAACAGGCCGTTGAAATATTCTATCCTGGATTCTGCTTCGTCTGTGTTGAGTCAGTACGAGGATGCTCCGCAAACTCCGGTCGACGACTTGTCTTTTCGGGACCCAGTGTTTTCTATCCCTGTGATGGTCGCCGCACCAGTTTCTGGAGTAGAGACGATGGACGCGCTGGTAGATGGTATGAATCATCATAGTCACTTCGGCGTCGATGATCACTTCATGGGAATGGGCGGAATGTCTGGTCGAAAATTGTCGAAGTCGGGGTATCACCCTCTCTACCACCCACCGTTACCTACCCCTCCTCCTGGAGTGATTCTTGGGAAGGCTCCTCTTTCGTCTCGCACGAAATCCCCCGATTCGGATGAGGACGATGATAAGCCAAGGTCACCTTCGGCAAAGCGACCCAGCCAGCACAGAAAACGTCGGCCCGGTTCATCCCGTACTCCTTCTGTCACTACCACCGCAGACTTTTCTGTTTTAGCACGTCCCAGTACGGCATCTTCGGTTACAAAGACTGTTGCACCTTCAATATCCGAGATCATACGGACGCATGCACCACCCTCACAGCAGACGCGTTCCCGCAGAACCTCGTTCTGTCAGAGTCAGGGCCATACAACCGTTCATGAAGCGGAGGAGCTGGACACAGAGCCTCAGCGGACTGAAGACGAAGGAGATATTATATCTCGATCGTCTATCGATACTATAGCAGAAGAAGTCAGGCGGACCATCCATAACCAGAAGAGGTCGTCCATATCCCCCAGCGGGCTACAACGTCCACGGTCGTTCCAACATCACCAGATCACATCCATCATTTCAGACAACACGCGAAGTCTATGTTCCCCTCGCTCAGAAGGCCGCAGAGAATCCTCCGTCTTCTCTTATTCTACGTTATCCGACCAGCCACCACTTCCTGCGCTCGATTTACGAGGACTGACCAAGGTTCCAACCAACTCTCCGTCCCAGACAATTGCGCAGTATTTGCGTTCAGCTCGATTGACTACGCTTCTTACCCTGACGCGTCGTCCCCATGCTTCACGGGAGGCCCCGCTCAACGTCAGCCTATCTGACTTGGGCAGTGCGACTGGTTATCCTATCGTTGTATTTCTGGGGTTAGGATGTGTACGCCATATCATGGGCCTTTACGATGAGATGGCGGAATGCTTAGGGATTAGGCTCATCACCATTGATCGGTTCGTGCACTCACATGCACCATGCATTCCTCCCTAATTTATTCCTGAAATATAGATGGGGTCTGGGGCGTACTGACACGCCGAGATCAAAGTCAACGAGAGGTATTCCTGAGTGGGCGTCGGTAGTGGAGGAGGTCCTTGATCAAATGCATATTGATCAATGCAGTGTCATGGCTCACTCTGCCGGTGCACCGTACGCACTCGCCTTCGCCAATAAGTATCCGGAGCGTATTCGGGGCGACATATGTTTGTTAGCTCCCTGGGTAGGAGGTGGCGAAGGAGGTAAGCCGAACAAGATAACATGGTGGTCTCAATATTGACATGGAGTACATAATAGCCGGATACAGGTGGCTGAAGTACGTGCCAAACGGCATCCTGAAAACTGCGCAAGCGGCGGAGTGGAAGGTACAGGCATGGATGATTGGCAAACCCCCTACGTTCGTTTTCGAAGGTATAGGCTTTGACGCCAAGTCTGCCCCTCCCACACCTTCAACAGCTCGACCTCCGCGTACTCCCACCAGCGCGACGTCCACGCCTGCTAATGCGGCAGCGACACTTTTATCGTCCAAACAGGAAAGCGAGCCCCGTCCCAGCATGTCGTCCGGTGCGTTCAGTGAGTATGATGATTTGTGCGACTTTGAAGGGCGCTTCGAGAGTCGGAGCACATTGGAGCGGCGAAGCATCAATTCCCAGCGCACTCGCACTAACAGTGACACTAAATCTCCTAAAAGGAAGCCGTCGCGCGGATTTCTTGGGAGATTGAAGAGCTCGCAGTCCTCGCCGCAGCCGCAGACTCCCCCAGAGGAGAAGGCTTCTGGCACCGGTCGCGGGAATAAATTGAAGGCATTACGTTCAATGGGTTCACTTCGAAGCAAGTCGAGACCTTCTTTCTCAAGAGCGACATGTCAACCCTCTCAAGCTCCTTCACTACCGCCTCCGCCCAGTACTGACGTAGGACTGGGCCTTGATGATCTTGATTGGGCAGCTTCTCCAAGATTGAAAGCGTCGTCATCCCCTTCGACGATGAAAGGTTCGCCCTTCAAGAGCACTCCCGCGTCGTTCGACCTCTCTGCGGATGATCATTCGATGTATTCTCGAACCAACCGCCGTCGATCGATCTCGTTCGGCGCCACGGAGTCGTCGACCCACTTCCCATCGAGTCCATCTCCTAGCAATGTGCCTACCTCCGCGAATTTCCAGGCAGCTTTGGGCAATGCTCTCATTGCCGCTTCGCACGCAGAGTCATCGAAGGGCACCCACTCAGATCTATTGCAAATACTGAACCACGACCGTCAGCCGTGGGGTTTTTCTTACAGCGCGTATCCGCACACGGTCCGTATATGGTTCGGCGACAAGGATGAGAGGATTGCTGAGAATGCTGTACGATGGATGGAGAGTGCCATGGGCCCCGAAAAGTGCAAGGTTGAGGTTGTCAAAGATGCCGACCATGCACTGATGTATAAAAGCGGGCTCGTGGTCGATGTGCTCGAACAAATCTGTGGTTACTGGCGAGACTGTGAGTGGTGTTGTAATTCTCGTTGTATAAGTACTGATTGCTCGGATAGACGATTGATTATTCCGACATTTGTTATCTCCGCTGTTATTTTCGTTGTTGTTGGATTACTTGGTTCAGTTTTGCATATATACCTTTCTATCCCTTCATTCACTCCACCCGCTTCCCGTTCGTTGTATCTTCACATCATTATTCACTGCATTGTCGCCACGTCGGATTAATCATGGAATTTTATACCCACAGGTTCTAATCGTGTACTCACTAGTGGCGATACCTTCCTGGCTCCGCAGAGCCTCTTCCTGTAAACCCAATTGCATACAAACGCATTCGCAGCTTACTCAGTGAGACATTTCATCACGTCAACCTGAATTGTTTTCGTACGGTAAGCCAGGTACCACTATTTCGCTGCAGGACATGTCTAATATATCCCGCATGGGAGCGCATTCCACATATCTTCCGTATGAGTATCAAATAACAATAACAGATGTTTGAGTAACAACAGCTAACTTGATCCACAGTCACGGAGAGCAAGATATCGGACGAGTAACCAGCACAGCTATGGATATCTCACAGTACCACAAGAATATGTTCAGAATTCAAAAAGCGTACAACATCGGTTGCAGCGACATAAACGACTCCGTTCAACAGCTAGGGCGGCGCTGTCCGTGGTATCCCAGCCACCCACACAGAGGTCCTGCCCCCTGTCCAGGTTTGCTGCAACGGACTTCTCGGAGGTACAGGAGGTGCTAGTTGGATATGAATCAGCAGACGAGCTCTCAAAACGCCCAGAGATACTCACGAGATTGCGGCGGAAGGTGGCTGCCTGGATAATCTAATGGTATCGTAGGCGCCACACTGTCCTCGTACGGATTGCGAGGGCGAGACGGCATGGGATCAGCGACGACATATGGCGCGCTTACTTCTTTAATCAGTCCGAGACCTCTCGGACTCTCAATATCTGCACGCATCTGTCGCCTCCGAGCGCGCAACAGAAGTACGACGACACCGAACAGGAGTGACAGCACGGCGAACCCGGAGAGGACGGAAACGACTACAACCAAGGGGGTGGATAGACCCGACGTAGGAGTTGCGGTAGGAGAAGGTGACGACGAGGATGCTGGAGGTGGGGTTCTTGGTGCAGACGACAGGGAAGATACGGGTGGCGCTCGAGTGATATTGAACGAGGAGCTGATTATCGGTGAACTTGAAATGCCCGGGGATGATATGAAGGACGCGGTAAATGGGGATGGGGATGAAATCGTCAATCCTGGTTTAGAAGATGAGGCAGCTTGCCAAGACGATGACACAGTTGAACATTCCGCGGAAGTCACGGGTGCAGAAGAAAGCGACGCTGCACCTGTTCTTGACACAGGATACGAACCCGCTGCAGGACTCGAGCTGACTCGACTCAAACTCAGACTTGCACAGGGGTTCAAAGTTGGCGCTCCACTCGATGTCGACGCAGGAACGGAAATTGACACAGGAACAGAACTGGAGGAGGTTGCTTGAGGAGTGACAGATGCGCCGGAAGAAGAGACAGAAGTGGCCGATGCTGAACCAGTGGGTTGAACGGAACTCAACGTCCCACTCAAGCTCATGCCGCTCACTGTGCTCCGTGGAATCCCACTTGCAATCGAAGCAGAAGACGTGGGTTCACAGGGTGCAGTAGATCTACTTGACGAATTGCGCGACCTTGAAGTGGGACCGAACACTGTGCCCGTACCCGACCAGCTAGTGGGAGCGGTCGTGGACAACGGGAGGGAACTCGTAATGCCAGAGCTAATGGGTTGCGCCGAGCCAAGGGTTGCGCTGGCACTGCTCGGACTCAGAGACGGTGCACAGCTTGCAGTACCAGAAGCCGACGGCGATGAGGTACCGCTTACAAGTACACTAGTGTGGGGACCTGTAGACGCTCCTGAACTCGTGGGTGCGGAATTCCTGGGTCCGAGAACTGTAGAAGTTGGAGCCATTGACGTTCCCGTTGTGCCTAGTAAGATAGTTAACGAACATGACCACACCATATCTTATGTGCTACCCACCGACAGAGGAAGTGCTTGCAGGTACAGAGGTCAACCTTATTGAAGCAATTGATGAAGTACCGACTAAGAACAGGCGATCAGTACTTTTCAAGTGCAGCACAAGAATATTCACCATCGTCCAACACCGTAACGATGAGCGAGTAGAACGTAATCTGACTGATGCCTTCAAAGTCCAAATTTTGAAGGTTAACCACAGTCAGTGTGTGACGGATTGTGGGACTAAGATTTGCGAAGCATAACAAAACACTCTGTGTCGTCATAAGATTGAACCACCCAGAACTGTACGGTTTGAATACGCACCAGAACCTGATCGTCATCCACGTTCGGTTGGTGGACATCTACCCCCATGAACCGCGTGCCGGCACCTTCATTGTCAAGGCACGCAACATACAACGCCCCTCCACGCTGCTTGAAGGTAAGATAATACACTGATATCGTATTCGCTAAAGATGTCTCCGAGTCAGATACGTTGTGAGGGCACTAATAGAATATAAATACTTTACTAACCTGGAAGGACCACCTGCACCTCTTCTCCGAAGCCACCTGCGAATGCGTATACACCATCGCTAATGGATGGAGACCGCACAAAGCTCCATCCTGCAGAAAATATAACAGAGGGATTGGTGAGCCCAACCGTGATATTCTTGAGCACGCCAGCGGCTTGAAGAAAAACAAAAAGTTGTGCAACCAACACAATTGACAGCACAAAACGAAGAACGAAAGACATTTAGAAAGGGTCACCCAGTGGATATGCCCAGCATCCCGCACAGGGAGCAAGAAGGAGAAACCGACGCAAAAGGCGAAAGAGAGAGGCAATGAACGCACCACGTTCGGGTAGTAGACCAGTCAATGGCCGTTTGGCTGCATCATATTCACAGGATAAGGACGACAAGATCTTGATCAGGCAGTGCTAGGCAGGAATCCTGTCAAGATGTTCTACTAGCATCATGGATTCATTTCCATGTACTCGTGGACAACCATCATGATGACATGTCTACTGGAGGATTTGTTACACAAAGATTATCTTCAACAAACCCAATGGCATGCGAAGTCCGTGACGGTGATGTAGAGGCTATACCGTCTCTACGTAAGATGTAAACTGTTGAGTACTGAGTTGCAAGGAACCCGAGGAAATGGCCAAGTGTCACAATTCAGACACTAATGTAATGTGGCTTAGGCCCTTTTTGTCCTTATATGGACTAACAATTATCTGCTGAGCTATACACCAAAACCAAAAAAATTATGTTGTCTGTGGCTACAGCCCGTAACAAAAATTCTGAGTAGACAGAAGTTTTCTAATATGTATCAGCTATTCTCTTTTTCAGTTTCAAGGAGTTTGATAAAGAATTGAAGGGACTATCCTCAGACCAAGCATCAGGAAAACCCAACTTTTCCTTAAACGGGCACTTAAATAACTTAAATGGACTTATGGTCCTTATTTAAGGACATAAGGACAAAAAGGGCCTAAGGCATATTCCCTGAGTGTCTGAAATTTGACTTATTTGAACACTTATGGCCTTAAATAAGGGTTGTCAGACCCAAAAGTCTAAATAAGTCCATAAGAGAAAGTGGGGTCTTCCTGATGAAGGGTGTATAACTGCATCATTTAGGGCTGAAACCCTAAGTCTGGGTTACACCCTGCAAAGGAACACAAGCTCCTGCACCATCAGAGTCAATTCAGATAGAATATATGGGGAAGATTTTGTACATTTGAAGCTACTGAACAAGATGAGACTAAAATTTAGAGGAACAAAGAGGTGTAACAATGTCTGAGCCTGCAACAAAAGGTAATTCAGCAAACTCACCTGTTGATAACTGTATAGTTCTTATTTAAGGATAATAAGGACAAAAAGGGCTTAAGCTATATTCCCTGAATGTCTGAAATTAGACTTATTGAGACTTATTTGAACACTTATGGCCTTAAATAAGGGTTGCCAGACCAAAAAGTCTGAATAAGTCCCTAGGAAAAAGTTGGGTTTTCCTGATGTTTGGAAAACCTTTGAACATGAGGTTGTAAATTCTGAGGTAAGATGTTTCATGATTTGCCTCTAAAAGTCACTAAGGGAATCATGTGCCAACTTGATATTACCATCCCTGATGGCACCACCATGGATGTACCTGTTCATGCTCAGCAATTAGCAATTTCTTGTCTCTGTGGTTGTCATTCAATAATGCGGCTCACCTGTTGACTCTGAAGGCATCCGATCAGTCTGCTTCCGCTGCCATAGCGGTGAAGCCCTTATCTTCAATGAGGAGTTTTGTTAAATTGGCGCACTGGGGGCATAAAATTCATAGGTTCCATGAGGAGCATCGCCAATGAGGACAACCTGAGCATGCACGCACCAATTACTAAAGGGTGTACGCAGACTGTCCAAAGTTCAGATGGAAGCCAGGCTCCCAAGAAGAGCTTCCTGCTTCAACATTTCCTTCGACATGATCAAGGCAAGTTCAAGGATCACTGCAACCCGTCGAGACGAGGCGAGTATAGGAGACAGCCGGTCCTGCGCCGGAGTCACGTATGACATAGTTCATGGAGCCAGAAGGCTCCAAACGAGACAGCATCTGAGGACGACCAATTCAGTTTCCGCGAAGGCTTCTGTACATTGTCTTTGCGTCTGAGAAATGCACTGCAGAATGCTATAAGAATGGTGGGTAAAAAGACGCCGTGATCCACAGAAGGATCGTAGCCTGCAGGCTACCAGATTCCATCGGGGCCTGCCGTGGCTGGCTCGCGAACCCCGCAACTCCTCCTGAAGTCGAGTCTGACTCGGCTGGAGCCACTCAAGCTCACCTTGTCACTCACCCTTCACATGCCGAATTCTGCGTATGTTTGCATCCGAAATATTTAAGTGGTCCGTCGGTCGTCTGACGTCTCTGCAGCCCTCAGGGACCGCACCGAAAGAATTTCGCTGTCAAGCATGCAGACGGAGAGCCGTTAACTCGGACAGATCTCCAGTATGACTTGCTTCACCATATATTCAACAACTCCCTTGCCGTGTTTACGGACCCCTATCCGACACTTAGCGGTGGACCTGCCCGGACGAAAGTAACATTTCGCGATCTCTACGTCAATTGCTTAGTCAACGCGGAGGGCTGCTCGAAGACCTCCAAGACGAAGATGAGGCAGACGCCACAATTTGGAGACGAATTCGGGAAGTTGTCACTTCTCTCGAATGTCGGCAGGATCAACACCACCATGGCTTGTAAGTACGCGTATGCTGCTCATGCGTCTACCGGAGCATCGTCCGATACGAATTTGATCGAGTAAATACACACCGGTCTGCTACGGATAACTTTGGCCGATTTTTTACTTTCTGTGGCAGCTCGCATAATTTGGTCTGATATGTCGCTTTGGTATGGCTCTCAAGGCTGATACTCCCTTACTTTCGTCCAGTCTTTATCGAAATGCGGACCGCACTGAGGACATATCATCCTGTCCCAGCCTTACAAAAGGCGGACGGTAATCTTCAGGACGCTCCGCGTATCAAGAACCTTTTAAAGTCGTGTCTACGGGAGAAGAATCTTTTGACACCTTCCGAAGTGCTTTCTCGATCTGTGAGTGATGTCTTGTAGAGTGTCGCGTAATGGCTTATCCCAGAGGTTCTTAGGAGGCAGGAGAAGTGCCGCCTACTAGCATTGTGAATATCATATTCATATTTGCTAACCATGCTGCAGTACGTGGTTTGCACCTTGTCACGTTTTAAATACTCAGGGACAGCATCAGTCAATTGCCAAGGCACATTTCGATCCACATTTGCCTTACGACTTTCTGGACCTATTCACTCCTGTTCATGTCTCATCGGATTCACGCGCACGTGCATTTCTTTGGCTATGTTACCATTACCATGAGGCATCCTCCTGCAATCCATTCTCCGATGCATATTCAGATAAGAACATTGGGCGTATTCCTACGCTAGTTACTCTGACTCCCGAAGAAGCCGCTCTTGAAAACATCGACACACCTGAAGAAAGGGACTTGGCAGAGAGGATGACGGTACGGCGGAAAGTATTCGTTGATAACAAGGCAAATAAAGAGCAGGACAAAGGCCAAGATGGCAGAAAATCCGATGCTAAGGGCGCGGCGGGAAGGGTACGAACGAGACGCAGGAAGAATGATGCTCCCGATACACTGACGAATGCTCTGATGGAGCGAGAGGCTGTCTCAGCAAGTCTCGCGATGCCTCGCGAGAATGGATTTGTATCAGGAGGTACGTGCCATGAGTCGTGTAGCACATGTCGACTCATTTCTCCCCAAAGTGGTCTCTACACCCCATCATCTGGAATTTGTTCTGCCCGAGGTGCATCTCCAACGATCTCTTTTCCTCGGCCCCCAACGTCCGCTGCATATGGCACACGCCTCGGAGCCCTTACTACCGACACGCGCCCTGGCCGACCCATATCCTCGGCAATTATCGTGTCCCGAGCCTCAGCGCTCGACTGACGGGAAGCCCGTACGCACACGCATGCGCAGGCAGCGAGAGAGACCGGCACACCATATTGTGCAGGAACCATACGCTGGTCAACCGAGATATGTGCACCCGTCCTCCACTCCTTTCACCTATCGTTCTCCCCCTTACGTCACTCCTTCCTACGTTCCGAGTTATGCTATGCCAGCCGCACCTCGACCTGTCGGTCCCCCACACAGCATGCTAGATCGTGAGTCAAGGATTCAGCAACGGATCAATCTTGATTCATCATGCTTCATACAGATGCATGGCAAGTGGTGATGACGACGGACCCTCTTCAAGATTCAGACGACGAAGAATTTGCGGATGAGAGTACACGTCATGACTATAGTGAGCACACCATGTTCAATGGGTCTTCATACGTTACGATTTGCATTTTCAGTCCTGCGCCTCCGGGTTATCAGTCGATTGCGTGGCAAGCAGCCAACACCCGAACCTCAATATTTGCCTCCTATCTCTTCAATCCTTCCCGGCTTGATTTGACGTCCGGTGTCGGTTTCTATTCATTTAATTATTGAGTATTCTCTGGAGCTTGTACTCTTACCATTATTTAAACAGACCTGACATTGCGGTTCTGTAACTGTAACCCTCGCCTAGGGACCCCATTCATTCATCCATTCATTCACTGTAGTCATGATTCGTCCACTCTTTAACTTGTATCCTCTCCGTTGCTGTTTCCATGCGCATATGTTCAATCCGCTCGCGGATATATACAAGTAAGCAACTAAGTAAGTTTGTACACTGTAGGTTGAATTACGCAACGCAAAGCCCAATTGCACATAGAAGATTGGGCAAGATGAGATGACACGAGATGGACGGACAAAACCGAAGACAGACCCAAGGTGAAGGACGAAAGGACGGAGCGAGAAGAACATCAGAGTAGAGGGGTAACACAGATATGGGATCTAATCCTGAAGCATAAAATTACAATGCATTGGATTCCATGACTGTCACAGGTTGAGTTGCGCGCACAATGAATGTATACAAGAGATGAATGAAATGAACAGTCCCAGTACAGGCTACTCGGCGAGCCACTTTTCGCACTTCTTCACATACTTGTCAAGAAGTAGCGCCATATCACGGATTACAAAGGTGAGCACGACCTTGGCAAAGAACTCTGACGCGCGCCTGAGCTTCATCTCAAGGGCAGTGCGGACATCGATGGGGAAACCCGCGTACAAAGGCGCCATGGGGTGTGATAGAGCTGCTTTGGTGTGTTCGTCGAGAATGAGTGCTTGGTGGAAGAGCTTCGACAAGCCTTGGACGTAGATGGCAGGAGAGTCCAAGCTAGGGCTGCATATTAGCATCTACATCTATAAATGCTATCGCAGAACGCACTTCTTCCCGTTGGTGAATTTGTCGAACTGCCGCGTGAGCTTTCCGCCCCATGAAGTCACCTTTGATGCCGGGGGTCAGTACGCGATTCAGCAGCATGCGGAAAATCGATGCTTACGCCGCTGCTCTTCTTCGTGACGAAGCCCTCTCCGACCCCTAGCTTCTTCCCGAAGTTGCTCACGACACCGTCGCACACGTTGGAGAACTCCTCTAGCTTAGCCGCCCATGCCTCGCCCTCCTTGCGCCCGATACTCCCGATGCCCATGACCATCCCGCTGCTCACGTTCCCTGCGCCGAAATACTCCACGCTGCAGTTGTGCACCTCTTCAAGCGCAGAACAGAGTACCTCGACCACACGGATTTTCTCTGGAATATTGGTGAGCTTCGCCCCGCCTTGTGACCATACCTCCTGCGGAACATGCAAACGTCGGGTGACATATCCACCGGTCTTGGACGTCATCGTCTGTCGCAGCAGAGTCATCATATGGTAGGGTTTTCGCAGTGGGTCAGGAGGCGCCAGAGACGGCAGGGGAGATAACGGCGCGGTGGGTATGTTTCCGTATGGTATCGGTGGAGGGGGAACGAGCGGCATCATTGCTGCTGTTGTCAATGGCGGCGACAGCAGCGCAGTATTCACCGTTATCGAAGGTGCCACATTGGGATTAAGCCGCGACGGTATTGAGGCTTTGCGTGGAACGGGCCCGCCGTTCACCGCCCCCACAGCCGTAGGAAACCCGTGAGGCCCTGTGTTCACTACCGAAGGTCGTCGGCCCGGTTGTGATGAAGCTCGATTTCGTCCTACGATGGCGAGACTTGACACGGTACTCGCAGGTAGTGCATTTAGTCTCATGGCAGGCACGGACGCGGCGGAGGTTGTCGAGTCCGTGGGAGAAGATGGACCTGTCGAAGGAGGTGCGGAAGCCTTGGTGCGACGTTGTGATATCGTGCCCAGTAACGGCGACGTGTTGATAAGTGGGGGCTTGTTCGTCGGTGTCGCCATATCCGAGTGCGCGGAGAACGATGGGTCCCCTCTTGGCCGCGGTGTTGTGAAGGGTGCCGGGTAATGAGCTGATGACGGCTCGGAAGGAGTAGCGGCTGCAACAGGATTACGTGGAGTTATTGCTGTCTCGGGTAGGGATGGTGAAGGAAGAGGGGGTAGCGGGTGATCATGTTGAGCAGGCAGTAGTGCATTCCTCGATTTTGATTCCTGAGGGTGAGAAGTAGTCGGAGTGAGCTCTGTCGAAGTCTCTTCACGCCTCTCGACGTCTTCATGCAAAGCCGCAAGCCGACCGCCTGAACTTGTCCGCTTGTGACTCACAGACCCAGCTCTTGTTCGATTAACATCCGTAGGCCTCAGTAGCTGAGAAACAGATGCATCTTGTTCTGCGACAGGAGGGGCGGGTGGCGGCATGGTAGTCGGTGGAGGCGCAGGAGGCGGCAGTGTTGACGAGGCACGCGGCCGTAATGGCCGTGAATTAGGCACAATAGAATGTCGGTTTGGAGAGGGACCAGCGGTGGGGACTGGAGGGGCAGACTGAGGTAGTCCAGTGTTTGAGGACGAAGGTATTGGCGCTGCACGCGAGGACGATGAAGGGACGCTCGAGGGAATAGCAACGCCAATCGCGTCTTCGTCCCCATCCTCATCTAGCGAATCATCGGCTCTAGCGGTCTCGAGTGAGGGACGAAGACCATCAAAATTTCGTCGATATGACGAGGATGGGAACGAGTGCGCGTCGGACGTTTCGGAGGTGGGGGAAGTGGGGGAAGGCGGCTGCGTAGATTCAGTGGATGCTGAAACGGACGAGGTGTAAGTTGACGGTGGTGAGAATGGTGGTAGTGGTATGCTGTATATCAGACTAAGGATGTTCATGCGGTCTGCATATGTATCGTGCTGGACGCGCCCCCAGCGTCAGAAAAATGATGACTTGCTAGCAAGATCACTCACAATCGACTTAAGCCGTCTCACTTCCTCCTCTTGTGCTACCACACTTCTCCGCCGTCCATTCTGTCTCTTCTGCCCATCCGCACCGTCTTCCCCCCTCATGACTCGGGCCATGACTTCACTCAACAATGCCACGCTTTGCCCATATGCAACCACCGCGGCGTGTGGATCGTCATTGGTAGAGTCAAGCCTCACTGCTTCACGAGCCAATTCCAACGCTTTCGTCAAGGCGCGTCGCGATGACGGTCTGGGTTCGCTAGACGGACGCGTATCCGGTGGGCTCAATAGCGACCTGTCCTGAACCACGGTCTGTGAAGATGACGATGGCTTGGGATAGACGGACCGCAGCACCGACACTGGCGGTGAATCGGACAGATTTAAATTATCTGTGGACGATGACGCGGTGTACGATGATGATGGGGTGGAACTCGACGCGGCAGCCAGCCGAGCTTGTGAGAACGCAGCGACCGCGGCGAGATTCGCCGAGGCAGCGGGACGTGTATACGGATGTACCTGTGAGCTCGTACCGTTGTGATGTGCAGACTCGGAATCAGTCGATCTCCTTTCATGCGTCGCATACTGCGTAGCGGGCAGAGCGGGAACATTCGGTATTGGTTGGCTCGGGGGCGGCCCGGGAGGAGTGTGCAAAACGGTCGAACGGCGACGCGTTACGAGAGTGGAAGATGAGACGGAAGGACCTGTACCGTTCGGACCCATTGGATGCCATTCTCGTGACTTGTGTACGATGGATAAGGGCCGTGTATTCCAGTCGAGCTCCATGATGAACTGTCAACGGCAGAGCAGCGAGAGACGTGTAGGACGCGTTTTGTGTCGTGCCCACGTTAGGGCAGCGACTAGCCTTGCGCTAGCCGAGGAGGATGTCCCGTTCAGCAGTACTGTTGTTCAACAAAGCGGCAGCCGGTTTAGGCCTAGCGGAAGATGCCAGCTGTTATTGTTGATGGTGCTGGGCCAAGAAGGGAGCGCGGAACTCCAGAGTACGGGCAAGCTGAAAGAAAGACCTGGACAGCCTGGACTTGACCAGTTTGTATGGTTCCTCCGGTGGGTCGAAGCGCGGGAGCGCCAATTTCGGTAAGGCAGTAACAGAGGGCAACGCCGGAAACGACCTGACCAGTCTGTGGTGGCGTCCAGCACGTCTGTCTGTGGGACGGACGCAGCAAGACGCAGCGTGGAGATGGCGGAGAGCGGGGCGGGAGAGAGAGAGAGAGAGCAGGATGTTGGCGGCAGAGGACCGATCAGCTTCATACAGCAGCCACAGCTCCTTCCAAATATCGTCCCGCGAGTCACTGTCCGACAAGATCTCCTCAGGTCTTGCGGCTATCGACCGCCGCTACAGTCGCGACTGTCCTTTCAATACAAACGCGGGCGGAGCGCTACAATCAGTACCATTTGCCATCTCAATCTGATCATCACACCATTCCGGATCCCTGTCCAAGTTCCATGCCCATCGCCGATTACTATAGTCGCATGGAACTGCTCGTCTTACTGTTATCTAGCTCTGAGGAAACCGTGCTATGTCTTAGGTGTGAAGTGTCCGGAACTAAACAGGCTTGATTGACATAAAACTAGACGCTTCAACGAGCGGAAGGAGCCATACGACCCAAACGACAGGCATTCGGCAAAAAAATGCAAGGACCGGAAACTATTGAAAGCGAGAGTAAGTAGTAGAGGCAACACACCGTCTGATAGATTATCCAGAGTGAGAACCCACGAGAACATGTCGAGACTGGGGGGAAGGACGACGGGCAGCAGAAAGGGTATACGGCGTCCGAGGAGTATTTTCAGCACACACCATTACCGAGATGTTTACTCGCGGAATTCCGACTGCGAGCCTTGGGCAGCAAGGCGACTCTCCAAATTCCTGGGACACAATAGCGTTGGTGACGTGACTAGCCAAGCACGCGGTACACACCTGAGCGATTCTTCCTTCGCCAACAACTCTTGCCTCTTCTCGTTGATCTCGCGCTGCACCCGCAGTTCGATCTCGCGCAACTAGAAGCGCGCGTAATCACATCAGCCTGCCGAAGTCGACAATATTGCCACGAACTACAGACCTTCTCCTCTTCCCTGCGGAGCTGCTCCTCCTTGAGACGCACACTTTGAGTCGCAAGTTCCTCGGGAAGGATGGAAGAATCCCTGTGAGATGAAGAATGTTTGTTCAATTTACTCCGAGGTGGAATGCAGAAAAGAGCACATACTGAGTATCAGAATGCACGGTCCTGGAAAGTTTCTCTGTACGGTAGGTTTCGTACAGGACATCGTGGGTCAGAGCCTTGAGGTCGGCAAGGTGCGTGCTACTCAATGTTCAGTAACGCCGCTTACTCCTACTCAAGCAGAAACTTACTTGAGCAGGGCACCCCTCAGCCGGCTGAAGTCTGAGTGCTTTGGATTGTCGACCTCAACAATACCCCACGGGTAAATTCTGGCTCGGACAGGTTGGCCATCAATCTCGACCTCCTCCTCCGAACCAACAATGGAGAAGGGCATCATGGCCTAGAACAATATATCGCTGAGAATTGGAACCCGTCAATTGAGATGGCACGTACGCGCAGCTCGCTGTTGTCCTGGATCGTATCCTCATCGTCTTCTTCGATGTCGTACGGGAAGTTGTAGACGGGAATGTCGTAATGCTCAATGTCCTCCATGATCTTAATCAAATATTCCTCGATCAACACCCTGATTCCCAGTAAATCAGACATAATACACGTACCCTCTTCTTGAATCCTCGAAGCTCGCTGGGGGTCAGGGAGTCAGCCTTACCAACGACCGGGATCACATTGACACGAGGAGAGAGGCGGCGCATCAGCTCGATGTCCATCTCTCTCAACCTGCGCCAGCTATGAGACAAATTCCATTTATGTACCGGATGGAAAACGCACGCATGGCCTGTGGGAGAGATGAAGTACAGCAGGGCGTGCACCCTGTTGTCCCGGAAGCGAGGGTTACGCTTGATGCGAGACTCCTCGGCAAGGATGTCGTCATACTGGCGCTCCAGGTAACCGACAATTTCCTGGAACCTAGACGTTTTCGAAGAGGATGAGACTCTAGTCCCCATGAGCCGCAGCACGAATGTGACTTACGCGAACTCGTTGTCGATGTTGTCGCCAAAACCGGGAGTATCGACGATGGTGAGAGCGATGCGGACACCGTCCTCCTCAAGCTCTACAAATCGCAGTCAATGCTGAATCACAGCGATGAAGCAGAGTAGGGTTTCATACGTACCAACATTGACAGGCTTGATCCTGATACCATCTTCAACGTGCGCGGTCTCAGGACTGTCGGAGACCTTGTGCGGCAAAACCTCCGACTCGCAAAGGGTGTTCACGAACGTCGTGCGTCCAGTACCAGAGGCACCTACACCGACGGAGCATTCCCAGTTGCGACACGACAACGTTCAGCGTTGGCACCAAAATGAACGAATTAAAGAGCTAGTACTGACCTACGACCATAACGGTGAACTGGACACCCTTCTTGACCTTGTTACCTCTACGTCTGCCGGCGAAAGACATGTTGTTGGGCGTGATATGGTGCGTCTGGGGCGTCGAGTTTTTGTGAACGGGCAGTTTGGTCGCTCTTCAAACTCCGCTTGCTGCTTTGGGCAGGTCCGGTAGCGGGCGCCTATACTCTCTGCAATTTCCCTGGCTTTTTCGCGGTTTTTACGCTGGGATTTATTCGCATGCGCCCCTCGGTCTATGCTCAGTTTATTACAAGTGACCGCTAATGCCCCGAGCTTACTATGCCGATATTTTGCTCTCAATGGACCGCGTTTGTCAAAGTCTGGTCACTATCGTCTTTGCGGAGATACTAAGCAAGTTCGCGAACTCCACGCCTCTCCTATTGATCGCACGGTGACGAAGACGAGAAAGACGTTCTCCGAGTTACCAACGGCGCGTGTTCTGCCTGACGGTAATCCAGCTGCTCCGCTAAGTGAATGGATGGGAGGGCTTGAAGAGCCTATCCCTATACCAGCGAACAACCCATCTTCTAGGCTTAGATGTAAGCCTCTTCATACATACGAGGCATAAGTTTTCTAACGCACATTCAATGTGCCATTCATCTCCGCAGTTAATAATCCTATAAATCCTCTGAATATTCAGCGAGAAGATGTCCTGAAAGTGGTCCCAGACCATGATAACATTTTGATCAAACGCGGAGACAGCGTTGCACCAGACCACTTCTCGGAGAGTACGCTGCGAGAAGTAGAGGACCAGCCGCCTGCGGCAGGACAAAAGGTGACAAAAAGAAGAGGCAGACCCAAGAATGTGAAAGCGGTGAAGCCTGTTGGATGTATGATTACCGCTGTTGGGATTGTGAATATTCGTCTCATGCAGACACATTGACAGATGAACATGGCCGAGAGCTTCGATCCACACCACCGTCGCTGGAAGTACTGCCTGTCGATAGCCTTCATACTAGTGAGGTTTCCGAAGGCGAGCATATAGCTAAAAGCCAATCCAAGCGCAGGCGTAAGGTTGAGGCTGCACCAAATGTCGCAGGTATGAGAGGTATTCGCGAAGTATCTCCCCGACTCACTTTGAGGCTAAGCAGAGGATCCCTCACCACCACCCCAAGCAAAAAGTCCACTTGCATCAGGAATTCTTGAAAATCTCACCAGATTTCCTCACTGTATACTGCTCACCCGTGTTGGACAATTCTATGAAGTAAGCCAGCTCCTCTTGTGCCGAAAGTGTTACTGATACAAAGTGGCTCGGTAAAGTCATACTTCGACCAAGCAAAAGAGGTTTCTCGCCTCCTGGGAATCAAGTTGACACAGAAGACCTGGGATGGTCAACGTGTGTGGATGTGTGGCTTCCCACTAATGCATGTAAACAAGTACTTGAAGATACTGGTGCAGCATCACCAACGTTTTGTTGCTATGTGCGAAGAATTTCCTCGCTCTCCTCAGCTAGGAGCGAAAGGCGGATTTGACAGACGTGTCGTGCGCATTGTTACTCCAGGAACACTCATCGACGAACCATTCTTAAACCCCTACGAAAATAACTACCTCCTGTCAATCACACCCGGTCCTCCACGCTCAGAAGACGCATCGGGGACGAAGGCAAGCCGTCTAGGGCTTGCGTGGATTGATGTCTCCACAGGAGAGTTTTTCACGAAGATTACTTCCCTCGAAGGCCTGCGAGACGAATTAGCGCGCATCAGTCCGCGAGAGGTGGTCCTTGACAAGGAGGAATTAGCGGATGAGGCCCATCCCATCCGACGGGCTGTTGCAGAAGAAGGATTCTTCTTGTCATTCTTCTCGGTCCCCACCCTACCAGACGCAGATGACCAAACATTCGTTTTGGAAGACCATTGTGACAGGGACGACGTAACAAATCTCCTTGACCCATCTGAAGCGCCCATTGGCCCTTCCCTGAGCGAGCCGGAAGTCTGTGCTACCACACTCCTTACCGCCTTCTTACGTGCGAACCTCTTGGAACATATGCCTCAATTGTCTGCACCAAGCAGAGAGTCGACAAATGGGAGGATGCAAATCGACTCAAATACCATCAAAGCTTTAGAGATCCGTGAAGGTATTAGTGATGGAGGTGTGAAAGGCAGCTTGCTCAGTGTAGTCAAGCGGACCGTTACCAGTAGCGGTACAAGGCTCCTTGCTCGATGGTTATGTAGGTTTCTCGGACTGCCGCAATGCTCCTCCGAAGCACAGCTAATTGCCCTACAGGCTCTCCCAGTACTTCTCTTCGAGAGATCAATGCGCGTCAATCTCTCGTGGCCTTCTTCCGTAAAAAATCTTTCCTTCGGGAAGATTTAGTCCAGTCTTTGGGTGACATTGAAGATGCTACACGCATAGTTCAGAGGTTCCTCCTCGGTCGTGGTCAGGCAAGCGACCTATTGGCTATTTGTAGCACTATCGAGAGCTGGACATCCATCAAGAAGCGGATTGAACTCGAGAGAAAGATGGAAGAGCAAGAAAATGGTCATGTATCGGAGGATGATTGGGCTAGTCTGGATGCTCTGATGTGTAGCATGAACGACCTCCGACATTTGTCTGACAGAATAGACCAAGCGTTGGTACGGACGGACACCGCTTCGAGTGAAGTTTTCCTGGAATCCGGAGATAGTGGCGACGATACTGCGACTGATACTCGCTCGATTTCCATTCGTACCGCCAGGACAAGCTTCGTGGACGAAAATTGGACCATCAAACCTGAGTAAGTACGCGGTCACACATCTCACGTTACTCCCTTGGCTGAGACGGGCGTGCAGGTTCTCAGACGAATTGAATAGCTTACATCTGACCTTGAAAGAGCTGCTTAAATGCAGGGAGAAACTAGAGCGACAGTTACAGCTCACGTATGGTGAGGACTCTCCTTTAGGACCTTACTAACAATGGAATTGACTGAAACGAGACATGAATAAACAGATGCACCGTCACTCACTCTACGGTCATCTCCTGGTCAGGGAATGCACGTCCACATTGGCCGAGGAAAGCGAGATTCTGCCAAACTGAAAACATCACCCTTGTTTATCCCAATATCGGAGAGCAACTCAACGAATACCTTCTTTCATCAAGTAGGTAATCTCTTAGTGCTCTTAGCCATGCTGTTTAGCTGTTGTTCTCGGAATTTCAGCAATGGTCGCAGCTGGGCGCAGAGCTTTTCGAGACTGTTACGGCGATTTACATAGCAGAGAAGGAAGCTTTTGAAAGCTTGCGTCGAGAGGTGAGATTTCCTGCTCCGCTATATATTCGTATCTGACTGCAGATGTCGGTACCCAGGTTAACGCGCATGCCACTCTTTTGCGCCAGAATGCGCGCATTCTTGATGAACTGGATGTTACCATTGCCTTTGCTAGTTTTGCTCTGGAAATGAACCTCGTCAGGCCTGTTCTGAGAGAAGAGTGAAGTATATCGCTATAAAGCATTCTGCGATAGCTAACATTTTCCACAGTATGTCATACCACGTAGTGAACGGACGCCATCCTACGGTTGAGCTTGGCCTGCTCACCGTCGGAAGAACCTTCACTCCCAACACCGTTTCGTTCTCGGAGGATTCCCACCTACATATAATTACCGGACCCAATATGGCTGGCAAATCTACACTATTGCGCCAAACCGCCCTCATCTCTATCCTTGCACAAACTGGCTCATTTGTCCCAGCTGATTCAGCCGAGATCGGGATTGTGGACAAAGTGTTTTCACGGGTGGGAGCCAAGGACGATCTATTCCATGACCGAAGTACGTTCATGGTGGAGATGCTGGAGACTAGCAACATTCTCCGACGTGCTACGCCCAACAGTCTCGTAAGTGCTTCCGCGTCAAACCGCAATTGCAAAGCCTTATATTGGACCAGGTCATTATGGACGAGGTCGGTAGGGGAACCACAGTGGAGGATGGACTCGCTATTGCTTTTGCTACTGTGCACCACGTCCTTTCTGTGAACCGCTGTCGGGCGCTATTTGCTACTCATTTTCACGAGCTAGCCGATATGCTGGGGCACTCTCCTCATAACCACAGAGGCCAAGGCCCATTTGCACGGGCGAGTTTCTTCTGCACCGACGTGGACGAAACAGAGGTCCGTGTTCAATTGTTATCGACTTCATTTTTTTCACAGTTCAACTAGGACGGCTATTTCGCATACTCGCATCGTCTAAGACCTGGTGTCAACCGCGATAGCCACGGACTGAAGGTCGCTCAGCTTGCTGGGCTGCCAGACTCGACATTGGAAGTCGCAAAAGCTGCATTGTGTTGGTTGAAAGAGAGAAGGGCAACCAATGAGGCACACGGACAACTACGGACACTAGGAAACTCGCTGGCGAGCTTGGATAGTCGTTAGGATCATGTTACCCAAGCAGGTACATATTACAATGTACAGTAATACGTCTTGTAGGTATTAGAGTCAGTACATCTAGTATTGTGTAATCTGGGAGCGGATATGGTTGAGCGCTGAGCCAGCCTTAAGCCACTTCAGCTGATCGTTGGACATAGTGTGTCTAGTGGGGATCTCGAAGACTTCCCCGTTCCGCTTCAGGACCCTGAGTTTGATTGACGCGTTTGGTACATGGTTCAATAGATCCGCGAGACCGACTGTTTCGACAACGTCACCAGAGCCAATCCGCGAGTAGTCGGCCTTATCGGCGAACCACAAGGGTAGGATGCCTTGTTTCTATGCAACAGATGTCAGCACCAAGAATGATACAGGTTGAACGCACGCGTCTACACACTTTTAGGTTCGTCTCGTGAATGCGAGCGAAAGAGCGCGCAACAATCATCGCGCATCCTGGAGGAGAGTTTCGATGGTCAAGAGGATGTTTTAGAGACGCAGTCAGGATACTCGCCGTAGAAGCGCGGCTGCAGTGCAGCATGCTCTCTCGCACTGCCCTCACCATAGTTGTCGTCCACCACGAGGGTCCAAGGCTGGCTTCGCGCCTTCAAACGCTTCGCGACTGCCGGGATCGTGTCGGTTTCACTTTGGCCGGGTTCGTGATCGTGATCAAATGCCACATTCACGTCGCCCCCTTCGTCATTTACAGCCTACAGAAACAGTAGTATGCCCAACAGGATCGGAAAATGCACAAGAAGAACAAACCGTAATGACTGTCAGGAAGGGTTGTGTTACTAAAGTTTCTTCAATGACAGTTGTGGGTATACGCACGGAGGTTCTCAGAAATGTTGGTCAGGTGTCCTTTGTACTTCAACCAAGGGCCCTACACGAGCCGCGTTACTTAGTTCACTGAACGTACTGATATGATAATGGAACGTACAGCGGCAGAAATGTGGTCAGTCGTGCACTTGCCGCGAACCCTCATGAGCACCCTAAGGCTAGGCAGCTCTAATCCCCTATGGTTGCCCGAGCTAGCACCGAAGTAACTTCGGAAGGGCTCAAGCCGCTCGAGACGCTGCGAATCCTTCTTGATGATCACCTCCGTTTCAGGTTGTGGTTCGGGTGTCGGCGAAGGATAGAAGCTGGTTTCCCCAGGAGCAAATCCAGCAGAAGGGAGGTCCTGACCGGTAGGCGGAGAAAACTTGAACAACTTTCCGGAGGGAAGCTCGATGGCATCTGTCATAGGGTTGAACGACAGCTTCCCAGAGAACGACATGGCGGTGACAATGGTCGGAGACGCAAGGAAGTTCATCGTCAGGCGGTTACCATCATTACGGGACTTAAAATTTCTGGTATGGTGTTAACAATTATCAGACAGGTGCTCAGGAAGTGAGATCACGCAGGATCTTACCGATTGAATGAGGTCAAGATCGCTGTGAGCGGAGTGATCAGTGTGGGCAGTTCACTTATTGACTTCGACTTACCGTTCTCTTCGCCCTTCTTATCCTCACGTTTCCACTGTCGCATGGTTGAGACCATTAACATGCACGAAGTCCGCTCTGAATACACACCTGTCCGATGCAGGGTCCACAAGCATTGGCGAGTACAACGGCGCCAACATCTTGAAGCACGTCAGTGACTTGATCACGTTCGATTGTTGCTCTGATTTGCTCAGAACCGGGTGTGCAGAGGAAGGGTACCTACGAAGCGCAGATTCGGTACCTGTAAGAAGTCCAAACAGCGTTTTCACCCACCTTCACTGCGAGACCAGCCGCTTTGGCTTGCCTCGCAAGGTCTGCGACGCTCGTCTATACGACACCCGGGCATTAGTGTCGCGATTGAACAGGAGCGAAGATATATAATACCATGTCTTCGTAGGAGCTGTTTGTACACGATCCAATAAGTCCTGCGGAGATTTCGTCCTTCCAACCTTGCTTCTCCACGAAAGAGCCGAACTGAGACAGTGGAGTGGCCAAGTCCGGGGTGAATGGTCCATTGATAGTAGGCTCCAGCTCAGACAAATTCTACGACACGAGGGGTCAACTATAGATGCAACAAGCAGGGCACTGTCGCTCACAATCTCGATCACCTCGTCGTATTCAGCACCTTCGTCAGCAGCAAGGAAGCCAGAAGCAGCAGCTTCATCTGCTGCGCGGGCTACGGGTGCACGTCCAGTTGCGACGAGATAAGACCGCATGTTCGGGGTGTACGGGAACGTAGACGTCGTTGCTCCGACCTCTGCACCCATGTTAGCGACAGTAGCCAGCCCTATGAAATAAATTTGATTAATGGTTGTTTAGCAGGATATAGCACGAGGTGACTGACCAGTGCACGATTGGTTGAAAACGCCTGGACCGAAATATTCCAGAATACGGCCTGTTCCTCCCTACAAAGCAACTTCATCATTATATACAATACAAGGAAAAAGACCCTCGCACCCTGACTGTAAGCTTGCCGGCCAGGTGCAAGATGAGATCCTTCGGTGTAGCCCAGCCGTTGAGTTTCCCCGTCAAGTGAATACCTGATACCTCGCTGAGCCTGCCAACAGAACCGGTGCATTTTTTAAACTAACCGACTACTTGAGGGGCCTTCAACTCCCAAGGTGTGCTAGTCATGGCATCCACCGCATCTGCTCCGCCTACTCCGATAGCAAGCATACCGAGTCCACCGGCATTGGGGGTATGTGAATCTGCACAATGTCTGTCGCCTTGCCACGCTTACAGGGATAAGGCGAAAAGTCTACCTGTTCCAAGCCTATACATTCACACGGTGAATATTCACGCCAACACAACAGAAAGAAAATGGTACTAACATGAGCATCCCCGGAGCGGCGTAGTTCTCCAAGACGATTTGATGAATGATTCCGGATCCAGGCTTCCAGAACTCAATGCCGTATTTCCGCGCCGCACTTTCCAGAAAGTCAAAGACCTCTTTGTTGGAGATAATTGATCGCTTTCACAGAGAAACGATTAAAACTCTTTGTGGTTCCTTGTTCGTTTTCAGGGAGTTACCTTCAAGTCAGCTTCTGCACCGTCGACGGCTTGGATAAGATGGTCGCAGTGTATACTCGTAGGCACAGCACACCTCGACATGCCAGCGCTCATGAATTGAAGTCTGACATAGTTACATGATCAGCAGGCCATACAGACAGGCACTCCGTTGGTCGGCTCACAGTGCCATCCTAGGAGCAAACATTCAGCTAAGCTAGAAAACTCAAAATGACAATGACCGTGCTCACTGTGCAGAAGCATCCTGCATAGCTACCCTTTCGGGATGCAGTTGCAGATACGTCTCCCCTCGTTTGACGTCACCATCTTTGAGGATACGTTCAGGATCTGCGATGTGACTGTATAGTATCTTCTCTGCCAAGGTCAGCGGTCGGTTGCCAAGAATTTCTCGGATCAAGGTCAATCTATCCAGAAGCTGAGTATATGGGGGCGTTATAGACGAGCAGTTCTTCTCGGGAATAGAGGCGTGAGTGGCCAGAGTCCTGGCAGCAGAATGTTTAGGGATCAGGAGAACATTCGCTGCAGTCCATCTTCTGAGAGAGGAACAAGCAGACATGGCTCCCCCGCTACAATGAACGAGGTCCTGAAGGAGAGACGATTAGCGGACGGTCACACGATGTGCACTGCAGCCGCATCTGAAGCTGCCAGTGGAAATTTCAGACTTTTGAATGTGGCACGTGACGATCGCGACGCGATCGAGTCTAGCGCACGACGCGAGAGTTCGTCGCGTGAAGATTACGCTACAAGGAGTACTACGGAGAGAAGCTCAAATGCAATGAAACAGAACCAGTTCAGGCATTCATCCACTAAATCCATCTTCATCATTATGTGTGTATTATAGGTGGGTATGTCTATACTAAGATATGGATAAAGTAGTGGGCTACCAGAGTCTCTCGATGTCCTTCCAGCCTTGCAGTCTCTGCTCCCAGTATCCTCCAACATATATCCATTCGTCCCCCTCCGGTCTGAACCAGCGGGGCTTCCGCTCCGCACCTCTCCTCCGTCTGTCCCGTTGCATCTCCTCAATCCGCACCTTCTCGCGTTCGGCCAGATCTAGATTGCCTTCCTCCAGAGCTCTCACGTCTGTACGAAGCCGTGAGTCGGTTGGCGGCAGTCGTCCTTCCAGGTTAGACGTGACTTCGTTCAAGGTAATGCCAAACGACGTGAAGCCGTAGTACTCTGGGGCATTCTTCGGGAACGGCGTAGTTCGCCAGAGGACGCGGAGATGAGACGAATCGAGCGTCTGAGCCATCTGCTCATCCCACTTGCCCTCGAGATGTGCCTCCGTCCTCCCAGACGCAGAATGTACTGTGCCTGCGACGATGTTTGTCGGACCCCAGTAGCCGCCCTCTTTGAAGTCAAGAACGCAACGCGCGCCGTTGGTCACGTTCTCAATGACCATCTTGCCGCAATGTTCCAGGTACTTGGAACCCATCATTAAGTTCCTCACGAAGGACGACGGCCTCTTCCTACACGTGTATGAGGGGCATTCTTCGAATAACATCGACGTCATAAGCATACCATTGGAAATGGTCAGATCCGATCTTGAGATGAATCGTACCCTGTGGCACAATTTCCAAGCTCTTTCCTGTGTTAACATTTTTCGGGTTAGACGGCGACAGAGGGAGACAGTGAAAAGACGCACCCCAGAACTTAGTCCTTCCACTGGATGTGGCGTATAACTCCCAATTATCTCCTTCTGCATGGTAGGCCAAAATCACAGGATTATGGGAGACCTTCTCAGCAATGAACTTCATTCTCACATCCTCGAAGGTTTCCGCGAGCATTGGGTTGCTGACAGGAGAAATCTGTTAGAAAAACCTACATGTCTCACATAAGAGAGACGCGAACAAGCCTTTCCGACCTGTCCTGAACTTCGTATTGGCATAGGTGGAGACTGCAAACGCCGCGACGTAACACAAGCGATTTATAGGATTGTCCGTCTGCGCAGCCTGAGTGAGGATATCGTAGTATTCCGACTCCTCAGCAATCTTTTGCAAAAGAGTCAGCGGCTCATTGAACGACATGGGTAGAGCCACCTGGGACAAATCCTGTAAAGTAGATTAGAACGGGAAGTGACCAAGCGAGTACTCAGTCTACCTTTCCGACGTTCTTCTTCAGGACTGCGAAGAGACTCCCTTCATCTGTCACTGGAGGGGATGGTAACTGAGTCCGCCGGACGACTTGTTCTTCGCTTTCGCTAGGTGGGGTAGATTCGGGCTCGGTCGCCTCCACCTCATCGAAGACCGACTCAACATCTGTATTTGACGATGATTCCGCCTCCACACGCAACGCGTACTCAGTCTCCTGGTCGAAGGTATTGCTCTCCGGCTCGTCCCCGGGTGTAGCCTCGAAGACGAACTCCTCCGCGCCTTCGCCCTCTGGAGCATCGTACCAGACGCTACCGTCGCTAACGGAGCTAAATGCCGACAAGTGCTTCCTCCCGTGAGTGCTAGTAGGAGTTGGCGTACCACGGTCTTCCTCTGCAGTGCTGGAGAGGGAGGCAACGTGCGAGGCGAGCGGTTCGATGGGCGAAGACAGAGTGCGGACCAGCGCGGAGTGCTGGTATTTGAGCGAGTCTAACGCGTCTTGTATGCGTTGATACGCGGAGCTCGGTGCGGCCGCGTGCGTGTCGGTCCCTTTCATCCTATGTTCGTGATGGTGATGCGGTGAGACTGATAGATATGGCAGGGTTACGCCCTGCGGCAGAGACACGAAGCTGTACCACGGACTGACCTTTCTTGAACAATCCCAGGACAGTGTGATTATCCTTGTTAGTATGCTCCTTCTTGTCCTTCTCCCCCTTCGAGCGGGTAGAGCTGACGCGTCTATTGCTCCCATCTTCTCCTGACCACGCAGCGAATGCTTCGTGCAGTTCATTGATGGTCTTCCAATGCGAACGTAAGCGCTTCCGCACCGGGGTTACACGACAACGCGCTCACATTACCCATCTCTTCGACAAGAACCTCCGTTCTGCGATTGAACTGCCCCGTCCTGTGCAGCCGTGCGAGGGGAGACCGTCTGCCTAATGTTGGCGTCTCGCGTGCTTCGCGCAGGAATTGTCTAGGAGATCAGCACCTGAATACGATGTATGCACACTCATCCACTCATAGGAAACTCACCGGAAAGCACCTATCCACATATGAAAATCCGGCTGACTGAGACACTTGATGTGGAACGTCGCATTATTTGAGTCAATATGGATGTCCTTGCGTCCGGGAGATGTCGAGATGGCCGCCTGCTTCAGCTGGATCTGGTCGCGCGTCTGCTGCCCCGGCTCAAAAGAATAGGACAGCAGGCCTGACTGGTGAAGGATGAAGTAACGGCGAGCAAAGCCTGGGAGCCGTGGAGATGTATTGAGACTTTAAATGAAGGATGTACGGGACGCTGGGAGGACGAACCTTGCATCTTCTTCCTCCTCTTCTTCAACACCCATCCTGCACAGACGACATCGCCATCCAAAGGACCTGCGGTGGCGACTGACGGTAGACCTGCAGTATGGTGTGGTCTCGACATGGGTATAAGTTATTTGATGCAAAGAACAGGTAGTAGAAGGTGTGGTAAGAGATTCTAGTCTAGGGTGTTCAGAGTTGTTTTCAATGTCCGGGTCTTATTCCAGACGAGGGCTACAGTGGCAGTGGAGTTGCCAGAGAAAGCTGTTATAGGTATGAAGGCGGAGTCCCCTGAGGCGGTCCTGCATCAGTCGGTGAACGGCCTGAGGTTAATGCGAAAGGACCACCTGGGCGCCTATAGCGACATATATCACGGTTTCGCGACAACACGGACCGACTCCAAAACTTTAACCTTCCGGTAAATGATGTCACTATGCTATTCCACCACAAAATATGTAGTAGCAGACCAATGTACAGGTGGTGCACAGGAAGAAACAACAGGGAAGAACTATATATTAGTGCAAAGGGAAAGTCGAAGGTGGACGTTACATCGTGACAAAGGGGGTAACCTGGGGTCGTGAAGACGTCGTCAGGATGTCCGGACGAGCCTTAAGAACAGCACCCGAAACTCCGTGTGCTCTCTGAATCGATTCTGATAGGATCAGGGTAGTCAACGTATCTGCAGAACCGCGATCAGCACCTTGCGCCTTCGAAGAACTGCGCAAATCAACGTACAGTTGCTCCTCTGCTTCCTGCTGAAGAGCATTCTTCGCGACCGTCTGGAATGCCTGCTCGACATTGATGGCCTCCTTCGCGGATGTCTCGAAGTAGGGGATGTTGCCCTTGGACTGGCACCATGTCATTGCGCGCTTCTGGGTAACCTAGGATGTCAAAAGAGACGCCGCCTAAGTTATGCTAACGCAACAGGAGTCGAGGAGTCCTCACTTGTCGTTTGCTCTCCTCCATATCAATCTTGTTACCGAGCACGACGAATGGAAAGTTCTCTGGATCGTGTGGGCTCGCTTGGATAAGGAATTCGTCGCGCCAGCTATCGAGAGTCTCAAACGACTTGGAGCTGTTGACATCGTATACTAAGACACAGCAATCTGCGCCGCGGTAGAATGCAACACCTAGGGACTGGAAGCGCTCCTGACCCGCAGTGTCCCACAACTGCAGACAAAGTCAGACGGATGGCACAAGACCGAGCGAAATGGACATGGACCTGCATGGTGACCAGACGGTCATCGACCATGACCTCCTTCGTCAAGCTAAATTGCGGTCAGGAACGACGGCGCAAGGGCAGGACACACAGGCTTACGCACAAGTCTGCGCCGATGGTTGCTTTGTACTGGTTGCTGAATCGTTTGTTCACATACTGGTTCATCAGCGAGGTCTTACCGACCCTAACAGAGGGGGAAAGATTAAAAGTTGTTGATATTTAATTGAGCAGCACCGCGTAAGACATACCCACTATCGCCTAGAATGATAACCTGTGCGGAATCGAACGTATCAGTACCAGAGCCTGGCACATAATTATTTAATACGCCTACCTTGAGAAGAACTCGGCCCATGGTGCAAAGCGACGAAATAGAGGGAGAGAAGGAAAAGTGGCTCGAGAGACTGAGTGTGAGAGAGAGTCAAATGACACGGCGCGGGGACGGCGTCACTGCTGGGCGGCTGGAATCTGAGATACGGATTGGACCATTCGAGCTCCGTCCAAACCCATCTGGTCCTGCCACCACGATCATCGTCCTCGTACGAGCCCAGCAGCGATGGCTGAGCCACTCTGGCAAGAAATCCTCCGCAACCGCCTCATAGAGCGCAACTCGCGCGAGTCCGCCTACGCCCCAATCATCGAGCAATGTATGTATCTCCCTTACACGTGTTGTCCGCCCGATCCTGCGTCGCGTCCTGATCTCTGCGGATGATACAAAATTTGAACGCTGAAAAGATCGCAGATTGGCACAGCAGGCGAAGCTGCTGAAGGAGCGGAATGCCTCCCTCCTACGGGCAATGGGCACAGCCCGTGCAAACCCCAGCAGCTCAACCGTCTTCGTGCCGGGTTCCGGCGATGAGTGAGTGCCTCCCCCTTTCCCTAATCACTGGTATTGGACGCGACATTCCCCAGAAATCCCATACGAGTAGCCTATATTACCTCTCTGGAGTCGCAGATATCATCGTTGCGGGATGAACTCGCGGCTGTATACAAGACCCAGGGACAGAACGCTCAGAGGCTACTGGCGATGAACGAGACTCTGAGGGAGAAGGAAGAGATGTCGCGGTTGGACTCGGAGCACCTCAGGAAAGCGCGCGACGAAATCGCGGTTCTGCGCAAGAAGGTAGACCAGCACAACGAGCTGATGGCTGAGAAGGATCGGACTGCACAGGTCCGTAGACACTCGTTTCAGTGCTCAGTTTACCGACGATTTGTTTTCGTGACTCTAGATCCTCCACGATGAGATCAACACGCTACAACTAGAGCTAGGTCAGATAGAAGAGCGCAACCAAACGTTGACCAAAGATAATGCGAAGCTCCTACAGCGGTGGCTGGACGCAAAGCAGGCGGAAGTCAACAAAATGAACGCGGCAAATGACTTCTACGAGGACATGCAATCGCAGCACCAGGCGGTGCTGAACTGGCGGTCAGACTCGGGGCATAGCGAGGATAGACCAGATCCCCCATCCTCGTCCCACGACGCGGTGTCGGGAAACGGAGAGGAGAAGAGGGAGCTCGAAACAGCGACGACGAAGGATGGGACGCCATCTCCGGGGGAGATGAGCGTGAATCTGACACCGAATGGCTAATGGTTGATGAGTGATTCGCTTTGAATACGGTCTCTCTTCTCCCTGCCACAATCTGCCAGGAGCGTGGCATCGTTCGCTCCCTCGTTCTCACCTGCTTTGCATACCCAGTGCTATATGATATCCTAATTGGTTCTGCATAATTGGGTTTACTATTGCTCAGTACCAAAACGTTGTGCGTGTACATACATCTATAATTGCTCTGGGTGTTATATTGGTGCTTACCTCGACGGAGCTGGCATTTGCCGAGAGATGTTTACACTCGCAACCGAGAATGGAAATGACACGTCCTGAAAAGGAGATGTAGAAGTCGCATGGCCTGTCAGCCTCTTCCCCTTCCAACATAAGAAATCCCTTGTTGTGTCTGCCGCTCATACCATCTCGTTTTGTCTGCCTCCTCTCGACACAATTAACGCTCCTTTAGCCCTCTCGACGAACTCAAGCAAGCATCTCAAATCCTTCGACATCAACATGCGTACCCCGGTTGTCGCTTGTGCGGTCTTCGCAGCCACCGCTTTCTGCCCCTGGCACGTTCTTGCTGCGCCCGTCTCTTCTACAGGCGTCTTTGATCCGAGCCATTACCACACCACGGCCGGCGGGAGCATGATCCACAACAACCCCCGCGAGCTCATGCTAGAGACAAGAGCCCCCCACAAGAACAAGCACGGGAAGAAGACGGCCATGGAGCCCCGCGATGACGTCGCTTCGAGTATCCTGGAAAGAAAGATTGAGCCCCGCAAGTACGTGTCGTCGGATCCTTTGACTGCCACCGTCCCAACCTTACGCTGTGCAGGATCAGCCCACGCCTTTCGAGTAGAGCACTCGACAAGGACACTGCCGGAGGAAACGCGTACAGCGGCTCGGCTGGCGATGCGTCTGGCGGCTCGGCTGGGCGGTATGTCAGCCTCCATTTCGTACGTATACTCGTATCTGATCATACGTTTTCCCAGCGATACGTTGGGTGTAGACTACACCTACACCCGCGAGAAGCGTACGACGGACGCCGATACGCTGGGCGGGAACGCCTACACCGGCTCCACGGGGGACGCGAGTGGTGGTGGCGTCAGCAACGTCAGCAACGACGCCGGGATGCCCACGATTATGAACGTAAACTCCAACAACGCAGGGCTCGGCGGCACCTCTGCCTCTGGGTGCTCTTCTGGCGGCCTTGGGAACAACAACGGCGCGGGCGGGAATGCGTACTCGGGCAGCTCTGGGAACGCGGAGGGCGGGAGTGTTAGCAACGTTGGCGGGATGTTCAACATGGATTCCAGTCAGTCGTTCCATGTTCTCGCTGCGGTCGTCCTTGCTTACGCCGATTTGTCACCTCTTCAGACAACGGAGGCGCGGCTGGATATTCCGAGTCGGGCTGCGCGACCGGCGGTAACACCGTCTTGAAGTGATCCGTCCGAGTTGTTTACGTTGCATCGCTGCTTCCTTGTCGCGCCGTTTGCATGTGTACATCTCACCATTTACATTCGATAATTGTAGCATCGCACGTCTAAGTACATCCACTCCTGGTATCTGCAGAATGTAGGCTCTGCAGGCGCATACTACTACGCCATTCGTTTATGTATAGCAGGCGCCAACTTAAACCCGATTTCTGAAAATGCGTCCGTCGTAGCAGCATGGCATATGTTGACAAGATAGAGAAGCTACCGAAACACTATCATTACACGAACACCTTGCCACGTAAGACCCAAGTATGAGACGTCGAGGACTCGGACAACGAAACCGCCGTAGATCACACAGCGGCGACACCGGTCCTGGAGAGCCCGCCAACGCCGGGAGTGTTCGACTCCACGTCGTTGTTCACGTTTCCAGAGTTCGATACCGTGCCGCCGTTCGCCGAGCCTGGCGCCCCAGGATTCGCTTCGCCGCCCGGGTTCTGTCCGTCGCCTATACCCGGGATCCCAGCGCCCTGAATGCTCTGCCCGGGAGCGCCGTCTTGATCTGCGGAGAGCGAGGTCAATGATCGATGCAGCAGCAAGTATCAGAAGTTGGGGAGACCCACTGGAATCGGCGTCCTGGAAGACGGCGTTGTCCCCGGGCGGTGCGCTCCCGGCCGCCCCGACGGCGTCAGCAAAACTGGTGATGTCCTCGTTCTCGTTATCGCCCGTCTGCGGAGAAGCGTCGTCTGCGCTCGGGGCGGGCCGCTGACCGGGCACGCGCTGGTCGAGCCCAGAGAGCGAACCGGTGATGCCGTTTCTCCGACGCAACGCTGGCTTCGGACGTGCTTGAATTCCAGGTAACCCGAACGTCCTTTTAGCTGGCTTTGTGGCATAGTAGGACCCAAAGGTTGGCGGGGCTCCAGCACTCTCAGCGACCCTGCCCGCAGGAGAGGCGGTGTCCGCGGAAGTATTGGCGTTGTCGAAAACTAGCAAGAGCGTGGATAATCTGCAAGGCGAGTGACATCGGTGCGCTCACCATCCGCGACGTTGGGTTCTTTCAATGCAATGGCAGCCTCCGGCGCACCGAATGCGGGCGCCGCACCGGAATTGGGGTCGCTACTGTCCGCTGAAGCACCTACAGCATTCTCCGTGCACGAGACCCCGCCCGACAAACCTGCCAACAGAGGTGAGAGTCACTACCGTAAAACAGCGTGCGATGCGTCGGAGGACGTACTACCGGTGGTGACGATGCTGTATCCTGCGTTAGAGCCGTCCACGTTATTGGCACTGTCGCCTGACGCGCTCGAACCGTCGCACGTTCCGCTGTAGTTGTTCCCCAGCTGAGGCGCAGGCGGTCGCGCGGGCCTTTCCGGTCTCGGGTGTTGGTCGTCAGGCCTCTCGTAGCCTCTTGATACACCTCGCCTGCCAAGGTGGTCCTCGCCTACTTCGAGATCGGGGTTGGATAAGCCGTGGTCTGAGACACCCAGACCAAGATCCCGGCCGGAGTCCTGGACGTCGCGGTACACGCGACTGCCACGGGCGTCCGAAGCACCTGAGTTAGCGGACAGCGAGTTGGCATTCCCCACTGGAGTACTTGCTCCCGTCACCGTGAACGCAGCAGCAGCAAAGAGAGAGAAGGTGACGACAGGACTACGCATGGTGACTGAGTGCAGCTCGCAGTGTGGGGCAGAAGAGAGATTCGCGGGTGGTAAGAATGACAAAGGTGACTGGAAGAGCGAGCGGCGGACAGATCGCTTGTCAGCACATGGAAGAGGCTGACTGTAGCAAAGATATCCGGGTGTAAAGTACTGCAACGCCAGACAGTCAGCAAATATCTGAAGGCCACGGACCTTGGTAGCAGGATGATACGCTGTGTTATCAACACGCGTGCGAGAGGGTCTCAGAATTGAGACTAGTTCAACGCATCATTCAGCTTCGAAGCCTTGAAGTCTGACTGGGCCGATAACCAAATAATAATGTCTACAATATTGTGGTGAGTCGTAAAGAACATATGTATCATTATATGCGCACTGCGTAAACGAAAAACGTACAGAGATATTGTACGCCACGACCCAGAGCTGCGCCCGATATGGCAATAGGGTGTCCTGAAAAGGAAGGTGGTTTAGAAGACACGGCGGGCGATGAATATTGGGTGTCGAGGATATAAAGAGGAAAGCGAACGAAGCTCACCCACTTCGTGCCGCCAAGTACTGCGCCATTAGTATTGCGTTCGCTCCTTACTGTATCCTCAACTTAATCGTCGTCGTCGACAGCCCACAGCCTACCGCCAACTGGTCGTCACCATGCGTAGCCCTATCATCGCCTTCTCCATCATGGCTGCGACCGTCAGCCCGACTCTCGTCTCCGCCATGCCCACGTCTCCCAACATGAACACCGCCGTCACCCACCCTCGCATCACCGAAGTTCAGCAGGGCGCCAACGCTCTCCCTCTCCGACGCCAGCTCCCCGCCGGTCTTCCTGGACCAGGCAGTGTACCCGGCGGTGTACCCGGCTTGGGGCTCCTCGCTGATCCTCCCACCCCTCCCCAGCCTGGACCTCCGTCCAACGCCAAGTCCGCCACCAACCTCGATACGACCGACATCACTCCGTACACGGAAGACGCAGGAGGGTCCATCCCCACTGATCCTGTCTCCGACGCCGCGGTTCCCTCTGACCCTGTATCCAACGCCGAGACCGTCTCGAATGCCAGCGCCATCCCCTCCAACGCCCAGGACGTGCCTGGAGTCGTCCCCAAAGAACCTGCCGAACCTATCGCTGCCAACATGGTTCCCCCCAAGCCTGACTCCGCTGTCGCCGCTGCAGTGCCTGCTTCCTCGCTCGCCGCCACCAAGAGGTCCATTGAGGCTCGTAGCAGTAAGCCTCGCCTTCGAACTCTCACACTCACCTGAACTGAGCTCTTACTGTGCTTAGAAGCCCATCGCATTTGAACATCTCCACAAGCAGGTCAAAGATTGCGGGCGGTGGTCATTGACAATGGCGCTGGCGATTCGTCTGTGTGGATGCGTTAGTGGCGGGTGATATACCTCAGATATAATCTTGTAACTTTTGTCTTGATGTATAACTTCAGCGCGCAAGAGTCAGTTCGGATTTGCGTTGGCACTGAAACATACGAGCAGATAAGTGCTTATAACACGTTGTCAATTGAAGAATAAAAAAGGTTGGAAAAAAGCAACGGAGGCCTATTTCATCGGTGGAACAAGAGGTCGAGACAGTATGAGCCGCTTTCTGATCAGATGCACATGTGAGGTACTACAGCTAACACGAACAGAAGGGATTTTCACGGAACAGAGTTGGGGAAACTAAATAACACTATGAACAAACAGCATCACAGGCGATACGAGAGAAGCTGTAATAGCACAGTTTAACGACACACGATGGACGGACGCTACATTCATCATTCATTCATTTGATAGTTCTGCGGGAGACTTTCAGGCAGATCCCTGATGCTGAGGATCTTGGCCGGCAGCTTGTTGGCCATAATAGCCTGCGAGTAGACCAAATCAGTGAATCTCTCTAAATAGCGCGAGCGCGTCGCTTACCACCCCAATAATTTGAATAATAAGAGCTGGGATCAGCACCAGCCCACTGTGCCTGCGCAGCCTGCCCTGCGGCAGCGGTGGGATCGGCGACACCGGCCTGGGCACCTGCGCTCATCGCCATTCCTGTAGTCCCAGGGCTGCCCATGCCTGGCGCAGCTGCGCCAGTAGCACCAGTGCCAGCCGCCTGGCCAGGGAAGCCAGCGTAGCCAGTGAAGCCAGGGTACTGACCATAAGTGTTAGGCTGAGGCATGCCGTACATTGGCTATGAAAATTTACTGAGCTAAAAAAATCGCGCTACACACAGATCGGTTGCACGTACCACATTCGCATACGGCGCGGCAGCAGGAGTAGGGCTCAATGAGCCTGAGGAAAGAGCCGTTCCGCCATCGGCGCGGTCCTTGCCCCAACTGCATTTGATGGGACGTCCGTGCACCATCTGGCCCTGCAGCTGTACGATTGCCATCGCAGCATGCTCATGCGTATCCAGCTTGACGAACGCAAAGCCACGGTCGGCCTGCATGCGGATCTCGGAGAGGTAGCCGATGGACTGGAAGAGCGGAATGAGGTCCGCCTGCGTACAGTATGGCACCAGATTGCCGACGTAAACCGTGCTGTTGTACGCGGGCGTCTGCTGAACGACGGACTCGTACGAGAGCGGGCCGCCCTGGAAGTTGATCGGTGCCGGTGCACCGCCTCCCATGCTGGGGGGGCTCCGTCCGGGAATACCACCACTCGGAGGCGCGCCCTGCGTCTTCTGGTTGGCCCAGTTGACGCGGATCGCGCGTGAACCCAGCCACTCGCCGTTCATGGTGGCGATGGCCTGTTCCGCGTCGGTTTTATCGCGGAAGGCGAGGAAACCGTACCCGCGCGACTTGCCCGAGTTCATGTCCCACATCACACGAGCATCCGAGAGCGTGCCGAATGCGCTGAAGGCCTTCGCGAGCACCTCGTCGTTGACTTCGGGACTGAGATCGCCGACGAAAACGTGATAGTGGCTGCTCGTGTCCTCCTTGTTCTGCTGGCCCTGATACGCCCAGTTGACACGGATCTCGGTATCGAAGATCTTGCGTCCGTTGAGCGTCTGGAGGGCAGTCTCCGCAGCGCGCATGTCCATGTATTCGACGAAGCCGTAGTTGAGGCCACCATGCTGGTAGTTGCGGTCGGGGATGATCTTCACATGCTGCACGGGCCCAGCCACGGCAAAGATCTCGGTAAGCATGTACTCTGTTACCCGGGGACTCAGATTCCCGACGTAGAGGTGAGCACGCCTCTGCTAGTCACAACCGCAACCATACACGAGATCCAAAAGATCAGTGGGAGAAGGCATTGTCAGTCGCTCGCATGCTCAGAAGAGTGTCAGAAAACTTACCGGGGCCTCAGCAGCCATCGGACTCATAGGATTCATGATGACAGAAAGATAATGAAATCGTCAGGCCTAGAGGAGAGTTGTATGAGTACGCGAGATGGGCTGAGATGAGAGGAAGATTTACAACAGGAAATCGACAAGAGACGGGAAGGGGAGAAGATATAAGTCCGATAAACAGACAGACGAATAGATGAGACAGAGAGACGAGAGAGGAGGAGAGAGACGAGAGAAAAACGGAGAGAAGAGAGAGGAAAATGGACGGAGAGACAACTGCACTAGTCAGGAGACAGAGTGAGAGTTACGTTCTGCGAAAGCTGCGAACGCCCTCCGAACGCCGGCTATCTCCGTGCCCCAGATAATCATCAGCCACACGTATCTCGACCTCCCTGTTTCGAGTCCCGGGCTCAACGTTTCCAGTCGTTATTTTCATCACCTTACGCGAGATTTTTCACGGGAAGATGCGTTCCAGAGCGTGCATAGCATTAATGATTGTACACCACTACTTCTGGCTAGGTACATTCAACAACACATTCCCACCACTGCTCGGGATGTATGTCACATTCGGATTGCCAGCAAGCGACTGCACGATCGCCTTGCTTGCCTCGATCTTCCGGAACGTGACGAATGCCTCCCCTGCCTTGTCCAGAGCCCGCGAAATAGTCGCCGCCGCCTCGGCCTCACCTTCCGCCCGGATGACCGCCGCCTGCCGTTCTTGCTCAGCCTGAGAAGAGAAAGACAGTCAATGAGGACGTAAGCACTCTCGGCTATATATCCGACTGGCCTTCTCCACGATGAATTTTGCACGCTCCGCGTCTGCGACGAATCGTAAGTCAGTTGATGAAACTTTCACCTGTAATCCGAGACACACCTTGCTGAGCAATCTGCTTCGCCTCTACGGCCTGCATACGCGATCTGTCAGTGTCAACATCCAACCGACGCCGGACTTATAGTACCTGAGTGAATTCCTAGAGGACAAACACGTTAGCCTTATCACAAGGGAAAGAGTCGCGAATCCCACCTTTCCGAACGTGAGGTGAGTGATGGACACATCCTCCAACGTGATGTTGAATTCACCGGCACGCTGGAGGAGGTCCTCCCTGATGCGCGATGACACCTTTAGCAAGCGTAAGCAGTGAGATGCATGATCTAAATGACGGTCAGCAAGTTCTGTACTGACTACTTCTCGTTGAGTGATCAGCTCTGCAGCATCAAACTGGGCGACAATGCTCTTCAGGACTTCATTTCCAATTGATGGGAGAACCCTCTCGTCGTAATCCAGACCGAGACCCTGGTAGATCCTCGGAAGGTGCTCGATGTTTGGGCGAGAGAGCACTCGAAGAGTGATAGAGACCATTTGGAGATCTTTTGAACCAGTGGTGGTCGAGATGTTCTAGCGCACACACCCGAAATTAGAGAGCATGAACGGAGTACGAACAGCTTCACTCACTCGGGGCTTGATGCGGCAGTCATAGAGGATTGCCCGCTGCAGCCAAGGGACTAGGAAATGTGTGCCTTCAGGCTTGGCCTGTCAGGAGAGGGTGTAGGTGTTCAACCTGCCCGCCACGAGAAAATCACACCACTCACTGTATCCTTAACACCGGCGAACCTGTCGAACATGACGGCTCGGTACCCTCCTGGAACATCATAGATGCTGGCCTGGATGAGGGCAGCAGCAATTGCCACAGGGACTGGACGATGACTGTGTTGAGTAAATCCTACGTGCATACGACGTTAGCCAGACTTACTTATGAGGCGATTCGCCGTCTGAAAGAGAGCCATGGCGAGACAGAGCGACGACTATGCTGAGAGATGTGGTCAGACTCGGTGAAGGAGAGACAACGCGTTTTGCTCCGGCGGAAGAAGCGCGTCACCCCCAACGTGCGCGTGACCTTTCGATCATGATGGCCATTAGCTGCAGGGTGAATTCTTTCTCACTCACTCGAATTAATTTCATTTAATTTATTTAATTTTCGCCGACCCTACCACTATAAGTAGACTGCCATCATGATTCTCAAGTGTACAGACTCAGACTGAACGCGTACGTGCGCGTATTCCATGCACCGTACGTGTATTTTATGGAGGACCAACCACTTTTCTATCCACGAAGGTCCCCCGTATGCATGGATATAGAAGCGCTTTCCAGGCAAGTGCGAAACTCAAGTTGCATGCCCAAGGGTGATGGCATATGCAGTACTTGTGCACCACGAGATTCATCTCTTCTCACATCACTATCGGTTCAAAAGTAGATCACCCTTCCGGTCACCCTCTCCTGGTATCATTCTCGCAGAATGACTGCCGAACTGCATAGCCCGCTTTTTCCTCGCGCTCGCCTCTATCAGCCCCACCTTCCTCGCCGCCAGTCTCAAGAGCAACTTCTCCCCCAGCCCCGCCTCTAACCTCGGATCCGTCTTCATGTGCACCGGTAGCCGGGCGAGGAAGGAGACGACAGAGAGGGAGAGAAAGGGATGTCGTGTTTCCTTGCCGTGGGATGAGATGACCCGGTCATCTCGGCCCAAGTTTCTTGTCGGTATTCGATCAAGCTCCAGCTGTAGCTGCAATGGGGTTAGGTGAGACCGTATATCAGTGCGAGTCTGAAACGAACCTCGTCTACGATTGCCTGCCACCCAGCCGCCTTGAACGCCGTGCGATGGCGGCCATACCCACCGAGGAGCTCGTCAGAGCCCAGTCCATTGAGGAGTACGCGAGCAGGCGTTGTGTACGGCTGCGCAGGTGCTCCTGGACAACTCCGAACTTGGCCGACACCTCTTGCAGCAAAGTACAACGCGACTGCAAGACTCTGTATCAGTGTTAGCAAGGTTCTTTTCTCAGTTCCCCGTTGATCACGCACCAGATCCATAACTGTTCGACCGGGAAACATAAGTGCTTCGACGATTGACCGAGCGCCTTGAGATTCCTGCTCAAGTCAGTGCTAGATATGGCTTGCAGAGGGTTGAACTGACCTCGTAGGGAACGTTAATCTCGACCTGTGGGTTACCATTAGAGTAGACCAAAAGCTGTAAGTTTATGGGAGCTCACAAAATTCCACACCCTAGCTGGACACAACCTCCTTAACTCCTCAACTTCCTTGAGCCCTGTCAGCCGGTCCGGTACGTCGTAAGAGACTTGCACCGTAGAGTAGTCGAGCGGGTCCCGCAGTTTCTGCTTCTTTTCCCGCTTTGGCAGCCCGCCGATGTTTCCCTCCACTTGCACGGAGATTTTCCGTGGGTTCTCAAATGCAACGTTCAGGAGGTCAATGGGCTCGTCCGGATCTACATGACTGCGACAGGATATGAGTTGTACTGTTTCAATTGGACCGAACGGCTAGCTTACCGACTGGCTAAGAATGCCAACATCGTAGAGTCTATACCCCCGCTGAAAAGGACGGCCACTTTGGCTTGCCCAGAAGACGCGCTGACGCAGCACGATTGAGTTAAGACACGCATAACAGATTGCACCAAGGTTTGAACAGTAAACGGACCTGCTCCTAGGTATGTTGCGCACTCTGAGCATTACGCTCCTGTCTAAGTGGGCCGTCAATTCATCCACTGCGAATGACAGGTGCGCTGGGATATGATCCAAGTCTTGCACCATTGGGGGATCATCGGGCAGTTGAACGTTGACCTTAGGAAGTCTAGCCTGAGATCCTGCATATGTGAGTATGCTCGGAAGGGAAAAGGGGAAACGTTTTGTCCAAAGATAGCTTACAAATGGCACATTCAACTCATATCCGTGCCGAGGAATTGTCTCAAAGCACCGCTGAAAGTTAGCCTCGACCTGCATGACCAGAAGTATGAGACAAGGCGAACACCACGTTGTAGAGGAATATACCAACACTTTCTCCGCTGCCCAGCTCGGCGGCATCGAGACAGTATATCTGTTCTGTCGGAAGTTCCTCTAGATTATACGCTGGGTGAGCTCCTGCTGACACTGATGTCAACAAGAAGTAAGGATTCGCCCTAGTCGGTTTGTGGATCAACAGAGACCGTCGGCCGAGAGGATCCCGTGCGAAGTAGATACGTCGAGAAGATTTCTGAAGACAGTGTGAGTGCACAAAGAAGAGATAATTGGCTCAAGCATACCTGATAATACACAACGGCATAGCTGGAAGAAATAATTAGGTTTAACCTCCCTTCAATACGGTATGGCTGCGTACGGTCCCTCGATGCTGCCCAAGACGTCTCGTATTTCTTCCGGTGTTTTTCGTGTTTGGAGAAGGGCTGAGAGCTCCTTGCCGTCATTCTCATCGGGCGCGATCTAATATGTTGTGGAGTCAATTCCGACGACATCTTCCACGAAATTTCACGGAATGTCTCCGCAAGCAAGTACTGACAGACATGCCCTCGAATATCTGCCATGCATTTCGTTCTGTCAGTAAATGCCCCACGCACTGGATAAATGAATTACAAACTTCTCCGTTCCAACACAGAACATTTCCGTCAGGGTCAATGTGCGGTTGCGCAACGGCCGCCTCTCCCCTCAATCGCAGCTCGGATGCAAAAAAGGTCAATGCAATTCTCTGGACGGTTATATGCACAGTTTCCTGCGCGTCTGGGCCTGTAGCACGGCGAGGCTGAGTCTCTGGAGCAAGATTGGTATATGCGCACAAACCACGAGCAGCATTTGCAAGCTGGAGTTTTCCCAGAAGTTGCGAGAGGTTTGAGGCTGAAGTCTCGTTGCCGTCGTCCTGAGAAACCGCACTTCGGAGGGAGAAGAAGATCCCGCACATGGATGTTTTAGCCAAGGTCGTTCACAGAGGATCAACCAAAACTACCCTACCACTATAGGGAGACTGCCGAACAAGCACCAATCTTTTTCCACATGGTCTGCAGTGGGCCTTCGCTACAACCCATCACTGACATACTTCTACCTCGGCGTGATCGCACGAAACTCACCAATGAAAGAATGAATGCTTCAGTTCGAATTCCAACAAACAAACGGTACCAATACAAGAAGAATGACTGCTTCATTTATTGCGTTCTAGCGATACATCGCATCGGTCTTCCCCTTCCAACTATCGAAGCAACTCGAACACGCGCAGCGTAACGTACAAAGTGGCTAGCCTGACCGTTAGAAAACATACAAAGTCTACATTGCTGCAAAATCCACTGCTTGTAACTCGCGTACGCATGCAACGCGGGGCGCGCCATTCAAGCGATGTATGTGCTGGCAGCTACGTTACCGCCGCGGCCGGTCCAGTTGATGTCTACCCAGCGTTAGTAGAAGTCTGTTGCAGAAGGTAACGGATACACACGGATGTCCTCGCCGGCCTTGAGCTTCGCGTTCTCCTTGCCGGGCATTACTCGGAAGGTGTGCGCACCGAAGTAGTCACGCTATCGAGATTGATCCGCAAGTCAACACCTATCACGAGATCTAGACTTTGTTTCTCGGACGCACCTGCGCCTGCAGGATGTTAGCAGGAACAACTTCGCTCCTGTAACCGTCGAAGAAGGCAAGGGCAGTGCTGAAGGCAGGCGTGGGAATACCCCAGAGGACGGCCTGGGCGATGATGCGCCGCCAGCCAGGCTGTGCTTTCTGGACGGCCTTGTTGAAGAAGTCGTCGAACAGGAGCGACTCGAGCTTGCCGCTCTTGTGGTAAGCGGAGGTGATATCACCAAGGAATACACTCTTGATGATACAACCACCACGCCACATCTGCGCAATCCCAGCATAGTTCAAGTTCCAGCCGAGCTGCATGAAGTCAGTCAACAAATGTAGGCACAGAGACACAGGTGACTGGAGCTCACCTCCTTGGCGGTCTCGCGCATGAGCATGAAGCCCTGAGTGTAAGAAATGATCTTTGAAGCATACAACGCTTGCTCGAGGTCGTCGATGAACTGTTTCTTGTCACCCTTGAAGACCTCCTTTTGAGGGCCAGCGATGGCCTTGCTGGCACGAACACGTTCCTCCTTGATGGAGGACAAACAGCGGGCGAACACAGCCTCACCGATGAGAGTGACTACCCCAGTACGGTGTTACTTCACGCATCTGACTTAGTAAGACGTCGCTGCGTACCGGGCATGCCGGCATCAAGGGCAGCAATGGCCGTCCACTTGCCAGTCCCCTTCTGACCAGCCTTGTCGAGAATCTTAGTGACAAGGGGTTCACCATCGTCATCCTTGAACTTGAGGATGTTCGCGGTGATGTCGATCAAGAACGAGTCGAGGACACCCTTGTTCCATGCCAAGAAGATGTCGGCGATCTCGTCTTCGGATAAACCAAGACCGCGCTTCAAGATATCATAGGCTTCAGCAATCAATTGCATGTCACCGTACTCGATGCCTGGCATGTACGTGTGAGTTTCTAGAAGGATGCGGATATCGTGAGAATGCCGCTTCTCACCGTTGTGAACCATCTTAACATAGTGTCCGGCACCAGTCTCACCGACCCAATCGCAGCAAGGTTCGCCGTTGACCTGAGCAGCAGTTGCCTGGAAAATCTCCTTGATAGCGGGCCAGGCAGCAGGAGAACCACCTGGCATAAGTGAGGGGCCATAACGAGCACCCTCCTCGCCACCGGAGACACCGGAACCAACGAACAAGAGGCCCTTGGCCTCAAGCTCTTTGGTGCGGCGGATGGAGTCGGGGTAGTGGGAGTTACCACCGTCGATAATGATATCACCCTTCTCGAGATACGGCTCGAGCTGCTGGATGAATGCATCAACGGCAGGACCAGCCTTCACGAGAAGTATGATCTTGCGAGGCTTCTTGAGCTTAGATACAAGCTCCTCGATGGAGTGCGCTCCTTGAATTTTCGTCCCTGTTTTATACAATTCAGATAGTCTTAGTTGACAGATATCAAGCATCGACGTGGCGGGAAAGTAACAGACCCTTAGCTTCGTTAGCAAGGAAGTGGTCGACTTTGCTAACGGTACGGTTGTATGCGACGACGGTGAAGCCTTTATCATTCATGTTCAAAATCAAGTTTTGACCCTGCATTTCACGTTTATGATTAAACCGCTAGGATAGCGCAAGCACTCGACGACCAACCATGACAGCCAAGCCAATAAGGCCGATATCACCGCTGCAAGAGAGATGAACACGTTAAGGATGACTTGGAGAGAGGGATACACGACACATACATGGGCGCAGACATCGCGGGAAGGATAGAACGGAGACGGTCGAGTATGGTCGTGGTAGGAGGCAAGGATGGCAATGATCCCCAGCAGGAGGCGATGTCGATGAGATATAGGAGGGTGCGAGCTGACGTCGATATTTGTCACAGTTCCAACTGGGCAGGTGTGATCGTGGGAGGATCAGCGATAACTCGCCACCGTGCCCCAGCTCACTCAGCGACAGTAAAATTCGTCCGTGCACTCTCACATACGGGCAACGTTTCTCACATCTTCTATCCTCTTGCTGACATCTCCACCATGGTAGATTGGGTGAGCACCGGAGTCGGCATATGGCGTGTCGTCGATTCCCGAGTCGCCGTCACGGCGCAGCGTAACAGCGTACGTGACTGTGACGAGCGCGTTGTCAGCCCGCACGTGATCGGAATGGGGTTTTTAGACGCGACGTTCTGGCCCGTCTGGGCAATCTTTGCATCGGCCCTGAAGCCGCGGCGCTCACGGCGGGCGGGCCTGAAGACCACGGGGCGGGGAGGAAAATGTACGGCCCCGCCCGGATGTGATTGGCTTCCGCGGGTGGCGCGTCGGTCACCGACGGCCTATCCGGCGATGCGCCGGCGGCCAGGACTGACTCGGTCTCGACTATAAAAAATCAATTCCCACTAGAATTTGACCTCGCAAGGCTCGCATCAGGTTCTCTGTTACCCATGCTGCGATCTCTCCGTCCTTCTCCACGCTGTTCGACCGATCTTCTGCGGCGACCTGACCGTGTCATCCCTCGCCTCGCACCCGTACGATATGGATCCACTACGCCCACACCAGACCCTGCCACTTTGCCTGATATAGAGGTATTTTGACTTCGCTGTCGTACATGCGTCTGTCAAATTGACTCGCACGCTCTTCGATGACGATAGCCTGCGCGCCTGGAAATCGAGCGCACGGGCGAGCCCAAGAAGCGTCCTGAACCTTCCGAAATCGTTTTCGGACATAACTTCGTGAGATGCTTCTCTATTCACTCCAGGTTCCGAGCAGAATCGAACATCTCTTGATGGCAGACCGACCACATGCTGGTCGTCCCTTGGAATGCCACAACAGGATGGGATGCTCCAAAAATTAAACCTTGTCAGTACAACTCATCTCGTGCCTGGTGTTCTTTACAAAGTGACAATACACCCAGATGGCCCACTTCTTCTTGAACCAAGCTGTTCTGTCTTTCATTATGCCCAAGAGTTGTTCGAAGGCCTGAAAGCGTACCGCCAAGAGTCTGGCAAAATTACACTATTCAGACCAGATATGAACTTCAAACGCATGAACACTAGCGCGTCGCGCATTGCTCTGCCGGCAAGTCGTGGAGCTGTTCGCACAAGCCTGGGCTCATGAAACCCATCACCAGAATTTCAAACCCGAAGCTATGCTTGAGCTCCTCAAGAAGCTGATCCAGGAAGACAAAGATTGGGTACCAGGCTTGCCAGGTTACAGTCTTTATATACGTCCCACAATGAGTAATGATGATTTGGTTTGCATAACGCTAAAGCGCTCGCTGATCAGCGTTCCATAGTTGGTACTCAGGCTGCTCTGGGCATTGCACCTGCGAAAGAAGCCCTGCTCTACGTGATTTGCTGTCCGGTGGGACCGTATTATCCCAAAGGGTTTAAGCCTGTAGCACTTTATGGTACAACGAAATACATACGTGCTGCTCCGGGAGGTATGGATTTGATCGATTTGCGGCTGAAGAGTTATAATCCATGTGTGACATATCTTACAGGCATCGGCGGGTACAAGTTGGGGGCGAATTATGCTCCAGGACTCGTTGCGCAAAGGGAGATTGAGAAGCAGGGTTATATCCAGAACCTGTGGCTGCATGGGCCCGACCACCTAATCACCGAGGTATGTCAGAGTCTCTACTTGATAGTCATTCGTCAAACATATTACGCCTGGTAGGTCGGCACCATGAACGCATTTGTAGTCTTCAAGCGTCCCGACGGAGGTGCGTCACCTATGGCCGAACATATACCGATCACAAATGTAATGCTGACCGGTTCTATCTTATGTTGATTAGCAACGGAACTTGTTACGCCGCCTTTAGATGGCATGATTCTCCCTGGGGTGACGCGTGATTCCGTCCTCTCCCTCGCGCGGTGGCACGCGTCAGGCCAGGCGAAGATTGCGGACCTTCCGGATGATCTGGTTGTTTCGGAGCGTTCGGTGTCAATGAAGGAGGTGAAGGAGGCTGAGAAGACGGGCACGTTGGTCGAGTTCTTCGGTACAGGTGCGAGTAATCCGACAACACTTCTAATTCTTTCGTGCTAAGTTCGCGCTCTTCAGGCACTGCGGCAGTCATCAGTCCCGTCGACCGCATTGGTTATCTCGGCGAGGACATTCATATCCCGACTGGTCCGGATGGCATGGGCCCCGTTTCGCGGCCCATTTGGAAACAATTAACTAGCATCCAAACGGGCAAAATCCCTCATGAGTGGAGCGTGGTGGTCGATTAGAGACGTCATCTGTTGCTGGTATATAACCCCAGGGCTTCTTGTATACTTATACACATTTATAACGCGTTACCGATGCTGGTAGTCTGTTGACACTAGCCAGCTGCAGGATTTAGACGATTGTGATCGAGCCCGCGGCATTGTCCGTTCGTGGGCGCGACTGGTTGGCTTCAGCAATATTAAATTTCCTGTCTTGCTGAACGTTGCGTGCATGGCTCTCCGTCCTAGCTTGAGTGTTCGTCCTTGTCGGGCCAAGTGGCGGACCGGCAAAGCTAGATATATCTACGCACCATGCGTCTCCACGAGGAACTATGCGGTGGTAGGCAGTACGACGTACGTCGGTGAACCACCTTCCCCTCCTTCACCCCCGCCCACCGAACAACCACCCTCATCATCGTTCAAACCGCCGGATGCATCCACGGCATTCGACGCTCGCGTCCTCTACGAGCTTCGCAGGCACGCGACACCTCCAGGATCCGAGGACAGACTTCATGATCTCCCTGAGCTCATATTGCAATATCTCGACCGCTCGGAGCGCGTCCTTGATGTTGGTCTGCCTTACGAATCCCGTCCGTCAGCCGATAGGCGTACTCCATTTGACTCAAACGCGTCGGAGGAGAACCATACTGTCGCGATGGTGGTGCATGCCGCTCAGAGCGGGGAGGAGCACAAGATCACACATTGCTCAGGTTTCGCTATCAATGCCCCCGGTATGTCGGAAGGTGAGGCCGTCTTTGTGACTTGTGCACATACTCTAGAGGAGGTAGGTCCTGTAGTGGATGCCTCAGGACGCAAGTCATGGTACCTCGTAGATACGGCATAGTCCCGTCTTGAACGCTATACCCAAGCCCCACGTCTCGGGCTCGCTGCTGGTAAGCGGTGACGCCTCGTCACCGACCTTCAGCCCTGTCTCGGCGGTGCTCTCGGCGCTGCACCGTTCCGACCTTGTTCTGCTCTCTGCCACGGCGCCCGCAAATCTGCGCACGCTCCCCGTCTCGCCGTACCCTGCCCACCCAGGCACGCCTATCCGTGCGCACTTCGTCTGCGAAGCCCCGCCCACGTCTACTTCCGATGCGGATGCGGATGGGTGGACGCCGTGGGTAGGTGGGACGTGGAGCAAATGGGTACGAGGCACTGTCGTCGAATATCGGGACTCGGCAGGACGCGAAGCGAAGGTGCGTGTCTACATTGCGCTCAGGATAACTGGTGCCAAAAAGATTTATTTGCTTCGTTTCTGAACCGCTATACTCAGCCTGGGTCATACGACGCGCTTGCCCACCTCCACTTCGACCCACCGCCCACGCCGGGCTCGAGTGGTGGTCCTATCGTGGATGAAGAGAGCGGGGCAGTGATAGGAGTGATGCTCGGCACGCAACTGCAAAATAGAGTGGAAGGCGTTCGGGGTTGGGGTGTACCTGCGGAGATGATCTTCGAGGTGAGACACTCACAGCGAATGGTATCCAGGGAATTTATCAATCTTCAGATGTTCCGCCTTCCTGGCTTGAAACTCAAGAGGCAGTAATCAAGACAAGTATGTTTGATGCACAGGAACATGTAGAATACTGGATGCAACTTTGTACTGTTACAAAATCTGTAGTAAGTGTGAATTGCGCGATATACCTAATCGTTAATTTCATACAGTCAATATAACCTGTAGGTACACATGGGAACAACGAAAGGCCGCAATAATTCGGTACGTGCGGATGCTGGAGTATGAAGTACAAATTATATTAGGAGCGACAACCACCGCGACACTGTTATCACTCACTGTCGCTTTCACGTGCACCACACTTTGTGATATTTCCAACCCAGCACCTGGCATTCCTTACAGAAGTACGCTTTCTTGCACTTCGAGCAGCGCGTCTCGACTCCGTCCTCTCCACAATACCGGCAGAAACCATCCTGTCCGCCTATGACCTTGCCCAACTGAGCCAGCACCATGTTCGTCAACGCGTCACCGCGTCTTTGAATGTCGGGAGGCGACAACATGAGTTTTTCCGACATCTTCAGCCCCTCAAACTCCGACGCATACTTCGGAAGCACCTTCTGGTGGTAGTCGATACCACGCTCAAGTGCAAACAGCTCGCCACCGCCTCCGCGACCACCAATCTGTGGCAGCACCAGGTCTAACACCACTCGTGTATCCACCTCCAGGTCAGCAGCGACGGCCTTGCCCAATAGGAGGTATATCCAAGAGAGGCCGCTGTCGAAGCCAGATAGATGTTGAGTCATGTTAACCTTCGAGGGTCCCAAATCTGGCCTGGGTTCGTAGTCAACCATGAGACACGCCTCGTGAGGACGGACGCGAATTTCTCCTATAACGACGTCCGATGGAGAACAGATGAGTTCGAAGCCAGAGGAGGTACGCGCTCGAATAGATGCAGATGCTGGAAGGGCTTCAATCACACTCTGTGCGACATACGCGAGTACGTAGCCGCTGTCGAAGTCCTTGCAGCGCCAGAAGACGTCCTCAAGCTCGCGGCGGGACAGTGTGCAATTTCCTGACGCCCGCACACCTTCTAGAGCTACGAAAGTGTCCAACGTGGTCCGCTCAGGGGCTTCAGAATTGGTGCGCACGATATACGCCACGCGCTTTTGGCTAGCATTGACATGGTAATGCCATTCTAGCGGTAAGACGTGGCTTGGGAGAGTTAGGAGGGGTGTGTCACCGCAATTAATTTCTACCAGCTGGGCATTTGCAAAGCGATCTTCTGTCTGGGCATGGCAGCTAAGAATTATGGCAGCGAGATCGTGAAGGTCAAGCACAAAATTGCCGGGAAAGTTTGGACGTGGCATCGTTGTGGTTCTGGGGTGAGTATAAATAATACCGGACGCGACGCGTGTCTGGTCCCGTGACGCGCGCATTCTTCCTCGCACGCGGCTGTGCATTCTTAACTTCCACCGTCAAGTATTGCTTCTCCCGTTCGTCCAAAATAACCTCTCATCACAAGGTGGTACTGCACGCAACATGACGGACCGCTCGCCTCACTTCCCTACACATTTCTCTCCTTCGGACCTCTGCCGAACTCTTCATGTCTCGTCTGTTCGAGGCCACTCACTGTCACCTGCATGCTCCAAACGTGCCCCACACGTCATCTGATCTTCCACTATGACTTCGCTCGCATGGGTGAATGGTCGTAGAACGCCGTCTTTTACCCGTTACCTGCCCATATAAAATAGGGTATATGCGGTATTTCTGTCCTCCAAGAGCTCGAATGTTCTCTTCTCTCAGTTCCATTCTCGCTGTAGCCCTGTCTCTGTTGATTTCTCGCGTTGGCGCGCACGACAATGGCCTCGCAATCACGCCTCAGATGGGTTGGGATACGTGGAATAGGTTCGGTTGTGATATCTCGGAAGAAACCATACTAGGTGCTGCGCAGGCCATTGTTTCTTCTGGCCTTTCAAAATATGGGTACGAGTGTGAGTGCTGCAGCTCTTCTCTCGAGTTGCCATCTCTTATGCTAGTTTTCTCCAGATGTCATCATAGACGACTGTGAGTCGCACTGTATAAAACGCTGCGCTCTGGTGAGTTGATAGCGGGTGTAGGTTGGCAAGCCCCCCAGCGCAATGCGACGACTGGCGCGCCTGTACCGGATCCCAATCTGTTTCCGAACGGTATTGCATACCTTGCGGATGAGATTCATGCCATGGGTTTGAAGGTATGCGTCTAGCCTTTATAAAGGAAGGAAGATCGCATCTTATATCTTACCTAGTTTGGCATCTACAGCGATGCAGGAATGTATGTGGCCATTGAATACGTTCACCCCTGCTGAGTAACGTTGAGTTCATGCTGGTCAGGCATACCTGTGGCGGTCACATTGGTTCGCTAGGCTATGAGACTATTGATGCACAGACATACGCTGAATGGGGGGTTGACTACCTCAGAAAGTCCTTTATATACTTTCAAGGAACCTCGAACTGACTTTTCAAGCACAGAATACGATAACTGCTACAACGAAGGCCTGTTTGGCACGCCACAAATTTCATATGAGCGTTATGCGAACATGTCTTTTGCACTTAACGCGACTGGGCGTCCTATCCTCTACTCATTGTGCAACTGGGGCGAGGATAGGCCTTGGGAATTTGCTCCTGTACGTATCGCTAGTCTAGTGGCTATCTGGACTCGGGCTGACTGCAGTTCATTCCGCCAGACGATCGCCAACAGCTGGCGCATTTCTGGTGATATTTATGATGTACGCCATTGCTCTTCGTCCCTCTACTGTGACCTCGAAATGTGACCTCGAAATTGTGGCATACAGAATTACAACCGCTACGATGAGCGCTGTCCGTGCTTGTCGATGCTTGACTGCAAGCTCTCTGGATACCGTACGTTTGCGCATGCACCTTCTATTCATGTCCGCCTAGTCTTCATATATCCTCATAATGGAAATTATACAGATTGCGCTATGACACGCATAGTTGACTTCGCTGCTCCGCTTGGGCAGAAAGCTGCCGTAAACCATTGGAACGACCTCGACATGCTCGAAGTAGGCAATGGTGGAATGACGTACGACGAATATGGTGCGTTGCAAGCTACTTCCTTGCTGTGAAACATGATATAGTTGATACTGAGAAAATCGTTCTAGTCACCCATTTCTCTATGTGGAGCGTGTTGAAGAGCCCGCTCATCCTCGGCAACGATGTCACGAACATGGTACGTACCTGTGACCGCATCGCAACTGCATTGCTTGGTGACCATCTATGCTCGACATGTTGCAGACCAACGAAACACTGACGATCCTCACGAACGACGCGATCATCGCCGTCAACCAGGATCCGTCGGGTTCCGCTGCGAATCGCTTGTGGAAAGTCCCGATTGAGGCCGGCGGGGACATTTCCCTTTGGTCAGGCAGCCTCACCAACAAGTTAGCGCAGTTCTTGTTGCATGCACTGTCTGAAAAGGAAAACTAATCTGCCCACGAACGTGCACAGTACATTCGTGATTGCTCTGATGAACACTTCGCCCAACACGCAGAATGTCGACGTCCTCTTTACGGACGTGTTTATCGACCAGGTACAATTAACACCTTCATTCCCCCATATTTGACCCGCTTATCAGACACGCAGGGTGCTGCATACCAGGCCGGTACCTATGAAATTTACGACCTCTGGCAGAAGGACAGTGCAGGAAAGTGGGGGAAGGACATCGGCGCATTCACAAATTCTATCCCCAGCGTAGAAATTGGGATGCACCAAGTGAGGATCTGGAAGGCCGTCCCTGTGTCTTCGTCTGCCACGAGGAGAGACGTATCGGACCTCTAGCAGATGCCGTATAGGTGCTGAAAACTAGCAAGGCGACTTTGATTTTTATGAATGTGTGTTGAAATGGCTGAATGCTACGTCGCTATGACTCTTCACCGTTCCACTCAGCCGAGGGTGCACAATCTCTTACTGCAAGCGCGCGAGCCCAAGCAAACGCCCGCATGCGTGTGCGTGCAAACTCCGCGTGGTGCATCTGATTGCAATAGCTCAATGGCGGTTGAACGTTTGAAATCTCAGCGATAAGGCCCCGGGTTGCAAGGCGCCGTAGCAGTTCAAAAACGTCTTCAACAATGTTACACTATCGTTGACAAGTTCTCCTGTTACAGTTGATCATGAGCATTGTAGGTCAGATGTTTCAACCTGCAAGCTAAATGTTTGGTGATACCTTTGTAGATGGTGAAAGACTCCATGCCTGACGGGAAGAGTTGATCAATCTTTGAAATTGAAATTGCCTATATACCTACGCACGCCGCCAGCACTCTGTTGGTTGTCTAATGCAGTGCAACCGACATCTTCTTGTAACGCCGGAGCACAGCCTGAGGCCTGAGCGCTTGAGCCCTCCCGAACGTGCACAGAGAATCAGAAGGCTGGCTGCACATTCACTGCGCACGTTATCCGCTGTGTGTGTGCGCGATGTCAGTTACTCTTCGGAGCCGGCGACAACGCGCGCCAATCATAAGAACGAGAGCGATAAGTCGACTGACTCGAACTACTGTTGTGCTGCGTAGATCACAACCGGAAGTAATTTCCAAGCCCTGGGGATATAAGTATTTGGACCGCTCCCCTGGTGTGCAGCAACCCTGCGTTGACAATTTTTGTCAAGCATGTTAAGCGCCGGAAACGAATTTAAAGAAGTGGTATGCAGGCCTCTGAGATACGGTAAGTTTGTTTACACCAAGCGTACTTGAAGTAGCCCTCACTGATAGCTATATCCACCCGCAGATGAGATCTCAAAGGCAGTGGACGTCACAGAGGAAGCATTTCGAGACAATCCACTCGTCGACTATCTGCATAATACACCCGTGAGTATGTTCTTACATCGACTATGCAGCAAACCAATAAAGCACCGACCGCAGGATGCAAGAGATTCCCGACTGGTCAGAATCGGGAGGAAGGCGGCCAGCATGATCCAGAGCTCCCACTATGTGCGTAGTAAAGAAATGTTGGGGATCAATGGAGGTGACGGTTCTGTCATGTAGTGAGCATCGGCGAGACTTCCTTCGCAGCTGAATGAGTTAAAATAACTTGCTGGCACAGCCGCAGCCCGTTGACGTTGTTGTCTCAGCCACGCAGGGTGCTCGAGCGTACCTTACGCGTTATCCTCATGGCTATCCTCAGTGTATGTTTCAGATTGATCAACTCACGAGAGCAATGGCAGGTTAGGATCACTGCACACTCTGGAATGAAGGTTCCTTCATATTAATTCCGCTGTTTTCGTACCAGCGATTTCAGGAGACGAGAAAAAAGGGCGATGCCGCAGCGAAAGACTCGATTGGTGACCAAATTGAGGACATGTTTGCAATTGACTTACTCGCAGTGGCACCGGAGAAACAAAGGATCGGGTACGGCTCTGCGCTGGTGGGGGCTGTTACAGCGAAAGTAAGATCCCTATGTTCATCATGATATCCAGTTAGCATTGAAACCCTATGACGCACAGGCCGATGCACACTCCAAAGGTACATGGCTGATCACCAGACCTCCAACCGCGGGTTTCTACGAAAGGCTCAGTTTCACGGTGGTGGGCGAGTACACTTTGGGAGAGAGCAACCCTACGTGGACCAAGCCGCCAGTGGAGATGGTCGTTGTATGTGACATGTATGCTGTTTTAAGGAGTCTGAACGCTGATGTTGTTTCAACCTGTGACAACAGATGGTGAGAGAACCGAAATTGTTGGACATGTATTCAAACCTGGAAAAGGGCTTTTGGAACTGACTCGAGTTAGGCCATCGTGCCGGGTAACATCAGGAGAGGCGTACCACAGTCAGTGCAGTAGTGTTGTTGAAATATTACTGGTGACTTTCACCCAATCGGGCATCCACAAAGGTGCATGACGTATGATGATGGCGCGAAGCAGTGTAAGTGACAATCGATAGACTGTTTGAGGTAGTGGCAAGTCTAACTTGCAATGATCGGGCAAGAGCCGAAATTGGCTGAAGAGGGAATATTTTCGGACTCACTGCAAAGGCTGCTCGCAGAAGTATTCTTGCATACTGTTGCGGAACTCCCAAGGGAAATTCCAGGTTTTCAAAGCCGTTTTCCATGGATGCTTTTACGAGCACTCACTTGAAGGATGAAGGCCGATATGCAATCCCGACGCTCATACTTGTGCACCAGACAGCAGACCACGCCGTTCAACGAGAAGTTCGGGTTTACAGTCATCGCAGAGTGCTCGATGTGGGAGAATAATCCGACACGAACCCGCCCTCCGGTTCAACGGGCTATTGCGCACGCCATCTTGTCTGCAACATTTTCAAAGATTGATGATTGGAATTGTCAGATAGTGCGCGAACCCACATTGTTGAAGGATGCACAAGGGGAGAAAGCACAACTTGAATCTAAGTGACTGAATGCCTAACGGTAGTAGAGGTTGGATTAGGATTGGTGACTACGACTTAATGCTAATCGACTTACAGCTCGTCAGTGTGACATACTCCCACAGTTAAATATGGACATATTCATGCGTACCGGAACATCAATCCCGTCGAGCACAACAAAATTGGATATAGTAGATGGTGCGAGAACTTGTTGTGGGAGTCGCAGTTGGGTAAGAGCGTCACTGTCCTACTAACTGGCACACTGCGGAGGAAATAATGATGAGCATATCTGGGATGAGAATCATGGGTGACTCACGCCGCGAATCTTAGTACATATTGCAACACATTGCACGCAAATGCTGTGCACTTGAACGTCAGCGCCGAACTGGAGAAAGAGTGCGTCAAAAGCAAGGCGCGACCGCTGCGGCCAATGACATCGCGGATGTCAAGGTCGGGTTCACTCAGCGAGCACGAAATGACAGCGCCAATCATGGCCAGTCCCTGCGATGGAGAAGTGACTACGCACCGCAGCTCAAGACTGCGCCTCACTAGCAACTCCATTGACAGGTACCGCCGAATAGATGTGATATAAGAAGGGGCAGAAGGAGGCCGGTGTGGAGCAGAGTGGGGGCAGACACCAGCAAATCGACATGGGGAAGACAGAAGTGGGGTGCAGACCGCTGAAATATCGTGAGTCCACATCGAATAGGATGGATCCACTCATTAAGGCCTTCCTGCAGGCGAAATCCCAAGCACAGTTGATGTGAAGATGAGGGCATTTCGCGACAATCCGTTCATCAACTACATCTTCCAGCCGCCACCGGTGCGAGCCTTGTCACCCACCAAACGTCCATACTGAACGCGGACCTACCGTACTTGTTCCGTTGCAGGATGCCAGAGAGCCCCGTGTCGGCAAACTCTGTACGTTTTTCTATATCGAATGCGTCTACTACGTGAGCCAAAGGGAGGCGATCGCTATCGACGGCGGGGACGGTTATATCACATAGTGAGCTTGCGCCGTGTTGATGCACTTACTTCGCATTGACCATTCTCTCGCGCCTGTAGTGGCTCCGCCAGCAATGCACTATCACCACTCCGAAAGATGTTCCGGCGCATGTTACAAGCCGTAGTTTTCTGCTTTCTTGTCTTGATTTTCATGCTGGCAGGCACGAAGGAGCAAAGGCAGGTAAGAGATCTCTCGGTCGTCGGTGTGTTCTGCTGATCGCAGCGCCACTCCGCTGTCAGCGGCTGAAAGAAGCGCGATTAAAGAGCCACGCTGCGAAGGACGGAGCCGTTGGGGGCCAGCGAGATGACATGTTCGCGATCGACACGCTGGCAGTCTCTCCCGACAAGCAGGGCATGGGGTACGGCTCGGCGCTCCTACAAGCGGTCACAAGCCGAGTGCGTGCACCATTTTTCGGTAAACATCTCTCTGCGCACTCACCTAGCTAGAGGGAATAGGCGGATGCGCAAGCTCGACGCTCGTACTTGTCCACCAGACCGGAGACGAGGGCCTTTTATGAGAAGTTCGGATTCGCGGTGGTCGCGTCTTACACGGTGGGAGAGAACAACCCCATTTGGACCAAGTCTCCCGTGCAACAGGTTATTGTGCGTGCCGTATTATGCCTTCAACGTAGAACTAACGACTGGAATCGTCAGATGGTGCGTGAACCGAAGTCACCGAAGGATGCGCGAAGGGAGAAGCTGTCGTTCAAGTGACTGCGTGAGCGACTTGTGCTAGCGGGTGTCGAATTGTGGACCGGTACCTACTAGTCGCGAGGAACCATGCTTGAACAGCAGTGTTTGACTAACGCTCACAGCATATAACCCATTTCCGCATGTACCGGGAGCTCTACGCCATCGGATAAGACATATTTCGACGAAGCACCCAAGATGATACAATTGATCAATAATCGTACACTCAGCTCTCACAACTCAGGCGGTACATTAGATGCCCAAGAGCGACTGAAACCACGAGCGAGGCGGACACTTGCACTTGTCCCCCTCCTTGACGTCCTTCATGATCTGCAGAGGCAGAGATGATAATGATGCGTGTAAAGGAGAATGAGACTCGACGTACCGCGTCAACGTGCATGCCGCAGCCCTGTACGTGCGCAACGAAAGGTCAGCATCAGTGGGCGAAACTTCTGCGAGCGTGAGACTTACCCTCCAAGTCGTCTTGCCGCACTGGCTGCACTTCACTAGCTGGCATGCGTCCACGGGTGCAGATTGTTCAGCGAACGCCATCTGTTGCACGGGAGCAGGTCAGGTCCACAATGCACGGAACAGCAGACACGGGATAGACGCACTTGTTTGATAAAGTAGCACTTTAGAAGCGGTGTTCCGTTGTAGAACGATGTTGGTGAGATGCTGGGCGTTCGCTCATCGTCGTACTTATATCCGAATCTACAACGCAATCAGGACATGCCCGGGTATTACACGCAGAGGACGCAGCTGCAGGGCGACGACCCCGGTAATGGCAAGCAGTCGCAAAGTATCGTGTGAGCTCCGAAGCCGGGCACTCGTAAGGAGCCTCGAGTGCACGTGATCGCATACCCGCAACTTGAACAAAATGCAGATATAACCTCGCCTCCAGTGTTCCCCCACACAATCATATGTCCCCTTCGGGGTGACATACGAAAAAATTGGAACGATACAGAGAAGATTAGCATGGCCCCTGCACAAGGATGACACGCTTTCCCGGAGTGGTAGACCTACGGGTCTCAATATTTATTTTCCTCTCATTCCTTTATGCTCCATCGTATCATGGGTCAGATGTGTTCAGATCTGTCGCTCACCCAGAATACACGAACAAGTGATGCCAGGACTGATTGATGATGACGACACTGTAGAATTACAGAACCCAAATAGCAAACGACATGTGCTACAGAATGTAACAGAACGTAAGTCGTTCGAGTTCGTCTTCATTTTTACAGCTTCGCCGCTTTCACCGGCTCCTTCATCTGCGACTTGCGCAGCGCCTCCATGAACTTCTTTCCCTCCTCACTGTCCTGCAAATTCAAATGCTCAAGAACCATGCGTCCAGGAGAGCCCTTCAACCATTGCTCAAGCGAGAAGTCCTCGAACCTGGGCGCGCGGAACACTTCGAGCATCTCGAGCTCCTCATCGCCGACGTTCTCGACATAATGGCCGAGGCTCCGCGGGACGATACCGACGTCGCCCGCCTGGTACGAGAACGTGCGCGCCGTACCGCTGCCCGCGAACACGGTCACGCGCGCCCGCCCGCGGATGAAGAACGACCACTCGTCCGCGTTCGGGTGCCAGTGCAGCTCACGCAGGCCGTGCGGCGAGATTGTTACATGTGCGGCAGAGATGGTCGTCGAGACGGGGAAGTTGGAGGTGTCGGCGATGCGCACTTCGCCACCGGGTGCGCGCAGAGGGGGTTGCGCGAGCAGGCTGTGAGTGAAGCGATGCTTGGACTTGGGGAAGGAGGGCGGGATACCGGGGCGAGACGTATCGGGGGTCTGGCCGCGGAAGATGAACTTCTCTGTCAGGGAGACAAATCAACGATGGGCAGGCATGCATGATAGTGCGTGATAGTTTGGCTCACGCACCTTTGGAGGACAGCTTGTCCAGCACACTGGGGTCGACGCGGAAGTTCTTCGCAACGACCTCTTTGGGAATGTGCACAAGTAAGTCAGACAAGAGGAAAGTCTCGTCTTCGGAGAAGTTGCCGTCATCGAAGACGAGCATGAACTCGCATCCACCCTTGCCTAAGCCCTGGATAGAGTGCGGCCTCCCCGTCGGTGCGTACCAAAGATCACCCTTCTGCACGTCTGCCTCGTACGCGCCACCCTCGAGATCCAGAATGGTGAACCTGGCGCGTCCCTCGAGCATATACGCCCACTCAGCCTCGCGGTGCCAGTGGAGCTCGCGGATGGCACCCTCCTCGAGGCGCATGTTGACGCCCGCGAGCTCGGTGGAGGTGGGGAGCTCGCGGACGGTGGTCTGGCGTGCCCAGCCGCCCTCCTCGATGCGGATGTGGGAGTCGGCGAAGGACCATTTGTAGGAGGGGAGTGTGCCGTGGTCGGTGCTGGGCGGGCGGACGAGGGAGACGGCTTGCTTTTCGCGTTCCGGGTTGCGGGGACCGATTATGTCTGAGCCGAGGTTGCCTCTGCGAGGCTCCGGGGGTGGGTCCGATGGAGACATCGTGCACGTTGGGAGGTGTAAAACATTTATAGGTTATATATATGCTGTGACCGGTGAGAACTTGAAAAGTGACGTAGACATGACGCATTGGTACGATTGCGGGACCAATTCGTGAACACGTGCACCGTGACGCGTCGATCACGAGCATTATACCGAACCCTAACTTAACTTGCTCCTCCTCCACCAGTAATGGCCCGGGAAGACAACGAGGCTGCAATTCCTCTCGACCGTACGCAATATGATTTGTCCGACCAAGACATCGAGTTTTTCGCCTCTCAAGTTGGCATCCGTGACAGGGATGCCCTCAAGGACCATATCTTGAACATCCAAGCAGAAGCTTACGAGGTATCTATTTCCATATCACAATGGTTTTCACCTCGTAGATGCATCTTCCTCATCTCTTAGGTGTACCCTTATCCGTGCATTCGTCTTCTATCATTTGCCAAGTGAGTATCATAACTATTCTATGTGTTCTACCGTAGAACTCAATGCACGCATTTCACTCTTCTAGGCTAAGAATATCATTCTGGCTCGATTACCAGCAGCTTCTTAAGCTCGGGAAGGAGCGTAAAGGCGCCATCTTCCTCGAAATGGGTTGCTGCGGTAAGTTTCGTTAATTGGTGGGCTGATCCAAGCAGGACTAGCTGAGCTCTTGGGCGTGCATTTCTAGTCGGAACTGATCCGCGAAAGGTCGCTGCAGATGGGTTCCCTGCCGAGAACATAATCGCATCTGATATCGAACCAGGTAAGTCAGCTATTTATTGTGCGCCAGATGTTCAACTATGACTGTCAGGTTTCTGGGAACTGGGCCACAAATTGTTCAAATCTACCCCGGAGACGTTTCCAGCGCGGTTCGTCCCAGGAGACGCACTCGACCAATCGTTCCTCCAAGTGGTTCCTCCCTTCTATTCCCCCCCAAATACCGCGGTTCCAGCACTGTCTTCTTTAACGACCCTGACCCCCCTCGCAGGACACGTCTCCGCCATCCATTCGGCATTATTCTTTCACCTCTTCGATGAGGCCCAGCAACTGCAACTCGCCCGTGCGCTCGCAGGGCTTCTCTCGCCAGAACCGGGGTCCCTCCTCTTCGGCGCGCATGGAGGGCGCGTGCAGAAGGGGCTTGGCTCGCCGATATCGCGGGGGAGGCGCATGTTCTGCCACTCCCCGGAGAGCTGGGCGGAGCTGTGGAACGGTCAGGTGTTCCGTAAGGGCACGGTGGAGGTCAACAGTCGGCTGGTGGAGGTGAGCTTGCCCACTACAGAGGGGGAAGAATTTACGTTGTTGGTCTGGTCCGTTGTAAGACTATAGACACGTTCTGGTTAGAGACGGATATCCAGAGGCACGAAAGTTGAAGCAGTTCATCTAGTTCTGGTGTCTGTCTGAGATCAGTCGCCGGCTCGGCACATGTTCCGCAGTCCTGCCTCGCAGTACAGCGAGCTCTCGAGGTAACTAATTGTATCGTTGGGACTACGACATCCATATCCAGAGAACGATGACCACCGTGAACGATTCGGTCCAGCTCGGCGGTGATTTGGACGCAGTCGGGGAGCTTCTCCGAGCAGAGGAGAGCTACTACTCCCTCAACGACGAAGAGCTCGCGTTCTTGAAGTCGCAGACGGGAATCCAGGATGAAGATGCGCTGAAGGCGCATATAATCAAGGTCCGAGCACTGGCATTTGCGGTATGTGGTCATTCGGAATGAACATCCTAGTATGAGACCCGATCTCGAACTCTGAGTGCAGGTCTTCCCGTACGTATGTATCCGTCGCTTCATGTTTACCAAGTATGTTGTATTTTGCCAAGACAAGTCATCTTGAACGCGGCACAATCGATGTCTTTGCAGGCTCAAGATCTCCTGCATGCCCAAGTACGATCGTCTCTTGAAGCTCGGGCGTGAACGCACGGGCGCGATCTTCCTCGACATCGGCTGTTGTTGTGGGTGCCAACTTACCTCGGGAGTTGGAAAGCACTTACAAGTATTTGGCCCTCGACGACGCAGTCGGGAACGATGTGAGGAAGGCTGTTGCCGACGGTTTTCCCATCGAGAACGTGATCGCGTCTGATCTTGAGCAAGGTAAGCCAATTATTTCTCCTTAGTGCGCGCCATATCTCACCCCAGACACAACAGAATTCTGGAACCTTGGTCACACGTTGTTCAACTCTACGCAGGATACATTCCCAGTGCCCTTCGTCCATGGCGATGCCTTGGACCAAGCGTTCCTTCCCGTATCACCCCCGCTGCGGTTCCCTGCAGAAACACCTGCGCCAGCGCTCTCCTCCCTCACTTCTCTCGCACCTCTACATGGACGCGTTTCCGCCATCCACGCCTCTGCGCTCTTCCACCTCTTCCTCGAGTCTCCGCAGGCGCAGCTTGCACGCGCGCTCGGGGGTCTCCTCTCGCCCGTCCCCGGCTCCATCATCTTTGGCGCGCACGCCGGGATGCCGACCCCATGTGCATTGGAAGAGTCAGACAGCGCTCGGAAGAAGCACTATTTCTGTCACTCCCCGCAGAGCTGGACAGGGCTGTGGGAGGAGGTGTTTGGGAAGGGTGCAGTAAAGGTGGAGGCCCAGTTAGACCCGGCGAATATCGTGCCGACGGCGGATAATAGGCCTGGAAGGTATACGCTGGTCTGGTCCGTAACGCGGGTGTGAGTGAGGTGTAGCAGGTGCATAGAAGATGTCGTTCAACGTTGGTAATGTATTCGCAGTCTCGCTGCACACGTATCAATCATAAGTAACACTGTCATATTTTACGTGATGTGTCGAACCAGCAGGAGGTCTGTGCATTGGATTTCGATTATCTGAAAGAGGCGGTTAACATCCCGACAGAGAGATACGTGACCTGGTTGCATAGATCGGCACTGGAACGCAAAACAAGCCAGTCCATATAATGGAGAATCAAAATACAGGTGGTGACTATCCCGTATTGAGACAAGAATTCCGCAGGGACACTAGCATCCCGATTTAATTCGTCAGGCCCCTCATGCAGGTTGATTCTGCGCCGCATAAAAAGTACGTGACGAATCTACGCTGAATGGATATACAATTTCTCTCCGAGCTGCAGAGATCGGAACGAGGATACGCACACCAAAAAAAAATTCAGAGTATATATCGCCTCCAAGAAGCTAGTGTCTACCGGTGGTGACTTGGTGATCTGCGTGTAGGTCACGCCCAGATATTGAACGCGTCGCGTCGCGATCACGTGTTGGGACGTGCGCGTGAACGGTCACGGTCACGATGTTTGAGCGCTTCTGTTATCTGTTTCCTTAAGTCTGCTAGCCGTAGAACCAGCAGTCTCTCAAAGTCGGAGTTGCCCTCGTATACACACCTGTGTACATATGTCTCTCCATTTTCTGTATTCCAAGTTCCTTGCAGCTTCCACTTTTCATTAGAGCAGCACGATTCAGAACTTGTCCTCGTAGTAAGCCTATTGTACTGCTGATCCGGTGCCACTGACTCTCCAGTGGTTCTTGCTGAATGTTCTGACCACTGAAACTGTTTCACCTACGCATCAGCATCCTGTTGGCTTGGCCCTGCACGCTCGGTATTATAATTTCCTCGTTGATGCATAAGTCAATGCCGTTACTTACTGTGCACCCCCACCAAGCCATCGCAGCTGCTGCTCGCCGACGACAGGTGCCCTCCGATAATTTGGTATGTTCCATGCCAGGTGCGTGTCATAAACTGTGACCGCTACTTGACCTTGTATGAGTACCTGACGCGAGAGCAGCTCATTACCACGTCACTTGCAGTGGTCTCGCCCGGTTGCATCGTACAATTGAGTCGACATGGACCAAGCAAGAGCAGATAGCATCTTCTCAGCTGTGCCGGAGAAGGCTCCCCTAGACGATAGCTTCTACAACCTCAATCCGCAGGAACGCGTTTGTCAAGGTCTGTACTCATCTTAAACATGACAGGTCCACCAGCTCCTGAAGCTCGGCAAGGAGCGCAAAGGTGCGATCTTCCTCGACATCGGCTGCTGCTGTAAGTGGTATTTTGGAAGTTTGCCATAAACTCGCGCGTCTATGGTACTGACGTATAGTATTTTAGTCGCAAACGACATCAGGAAAGCAGTCATCAATGACTACCCGGTAGAGAATGCGATCGCATCCGACCTCGAAGCTGGTACGTGTAGCTTGAACGAAGCTTGATTATGCCTGGAAGACTCTCATCTCGTCAGATTTCTGGCGATTGGGCCACCAACTGTTCAAGTCCACAGCAGAGACGTTCTCTGTGCGGTTCGTTCCAGGAGATGCACTCGACGCCAACTTCTTGAAACAAGTGCCGCCGTTCTACACTCCCGAGACCCCGAGACCTGACTTGCATTCACCACGCTGACGCCTCTTCTCAGACACGTCTCTGCAATTCACGCTTCGTCATTGTCCACCTCTTCAATGAGGGGCAACAGCTGCGGCTTGCACGATCGTTGGCGGGGCTGCTCTCACCTGAACCGGGATCCGCGATCTTTGGTGTGCAGGGTGGTTTGGTTGAGAAGGGCTTCACAGAGGTGCCACATGTGGACCCCCCTTTCGGCCACATGTTCAGTCATTCTCCTGGGAGTTGGACTGAACTGTCAGAAGGGTCCATACACGATATTTGCTGTGGTCTATTTTGTGATCTCGTACTTGTGTACATGTGCAGGTATTGTAGAAAACGAGTAAACGAGTAAATTTAACTGACTACGGACTGTCCCTGCTTAAATGGTGCACGTGATTTTGATGACGTCAGGTGTGATCAGCATGCTTAGATAAGTATGGGTGCCCAACTTGGAGATGCTGAGTCCAATCCTGCGGCATAACAGAGCCCATCGCCGTCGCCGTCGACCACCACCAGCCTCCCGCCGTCATCTGCCATCATGCCCGCGCACGCACCGGCACCACCTGTGCTCTGCTCCTTCACCTCCTCCGCTGCTCTGGGCGATGCACTTGCTCACTTCATCATCAAAGCCCAGAAAGAGTCCATCGAAAAGAAGGGCAGATTCACCATCGCTATATCTGGCGGATCTCTCCCTAAGCAGCTCAATGCACTCATCGGAAAGTCAGGTCTGAAATGGGACAAATGGTACGCAGCATCAACCCCTCTATCTTCCGTGGTCTCGCACTCACGCCCCACAGGCAAGTTTACTATGCGGACGAACGAGTCGTTCCTCTGGACCATCCTGATTCAAATCATCACCTCTGCTCCACCGAACTCTGGAACAAGGTACCCGTTCCGAAGTCCCACATCCACACTATCGACTTCTCGCTCGCCGATGACCTCGAGGAGCTCAGCGATGCGTACGAGAAAGAGCTCATCCACGAGTTTGCACAGAAGGACTCCGCCCGCTTCCCCATCTTCGATCTCATCCTGCTCGGTGTCGGCCCTGACGGGCACACTGCGTCCCTTTTTCCCGGCCACGAACTCCTGAGCGAGGAGGATCGTTGGGTTGCGCCTATTGAGGACAGTCCCAAGCCCCCGCCGAAGCGCATCACCTTCACGTTCCCCGTCCTTAACCACGCCTACCGCGTCGCCTTCGTAGCTTCTGGCGCGGGCAAGGCTGAGATACTCAAAAAAGTGTTGGACAAGCCTGAAAATGGTTTACCTGCGTCGAGGGTCCGGCCTGCCAGCCCCGGTCAGCTGTACTGGTTTGTCGATGATGCTGCCGTGGCAGGGGTTGAGTACCCTAGGACGCCGTACAAACTGTAGGGCACCTCATGTGAAGGTCAATCGGGCACGCGTTTTCAGGGAGAAGTGATTTAAAAGGTGTACTAGCAGGATATTGTTTGTGCTGTAGGATAGTGGCAAATATTGGGCGGGAGTACATGAGGCTGTATAGCACCCTGCATTGATAATCAGGACTTGTTTTACTTTTTCCTCCTGCCACTGTATTCGATTGCGCTTCAACCCTCCCTATCTTATATCCACCGTGCTCTTATTCAGTTAACGTGTTGTTCATTCACAAGTCAGCCATCTCGCCCCGACAAAGTGGTCTGAGTATGCAAGTACAACGCCTTAACTTGCTGCCTTCAGGCGAAATATATGTATGCATAGATTACTGCTGGTGAATATCGTCGAAGATCTGTCTCGATCCTGAACATCATCCAGTGAGCTGACAAGCCAGTTCACTATCGACAGTAACTACGGCAGCCTCTCCTCTCCTCCCATACCTGCATCTGTATTCTCGCTCACACTCGCGCCCATCTCTGGGAACACCGTCAGGAGGATAAGGTCCAGGATAAACAGCATGAGGTGCGCGTTACACTCTCGCGAAGATAGCGGGGCGAGCGCAGCATCGATTGTGTGTGAACGTGCAGTGGGGGTTGGGCCAAGTAAGACCACAAGAGGGCCTACAACAGTATACGGTCTCGTTAGTTCCCTTGTCACCGAGGCATATACTACGACGAAGAGCACATATGAGAAACTCACCGGGCACAGACGCCAGAAGACGCCGCCCAAGCTCTTCGCGCAGGGCTGTCTGTTCCTCAGGTGTAGGGTCCACTGGCGGCGGTATAGGCCAGCCTTCTGGGAAGAGGGCGCGGCGCGCAATGCGCACGATATCGGTTACGCGATCAACGGAGAGCACATGGGTATACAGGAGGTAGGGTAAAAGACGTGATAAGAACGGGGACAGTGCCGTCAGGGGTAACGATAGGGTATACGCCAGTGCGAGCGCGGTAGACCTTGACGACGTACCTGGCCCAGCGCTGGATGTGGAGGGTGGAGTGGGTGGCGGAAAGAGGATGGTGAGCAAGAGTGCGAGTGGAGGGTGGGTGTAATCTGATGGTGAGGGTGGGTGTGTCGGTATTGCGTGCGACGAGCCGGAGAATGAGGCCGCGGACGGTGTGGACGCGCTTGAAGTGCTCCTCGATATTGGGTCATGCGGAATTGCGGAGACAGGAGGGGGTTGGCTCAGACGTGGAAGTGTAAGAGGGGATGTAAAACTCGCTGGTGATAGTGAGCTCTTCAGACCACCAGGTACCTCGGAAGAGGCTACCGTGGGAGCCTCAGTCGTGACATCTCGCTCCGTTCGTGGTGTAGAATCAGGAGTGGCGTCCGGAGACTGCTGATGGGGAAATCTCGTGGTGCTCACGTTGACCCTTCTGATCGTGTCCCTTGTTTGCCTATACGCGTGGATGAGCGCCAGGCATGCACCGGAGAACGATTGAATAGCAGAGAGGAAAAAGATGGCAAGTGATTGAAAAGAGAGTGCACGGCGTTGTGGGGTTTGGTTGAGCCTTAAAGATGCGTGACGAGGCGTATCTGAATTCTGCCGGACACAGGTCAGTAATCTCGACTGCGGAAGGCAGGAAGGAGGTCGGCGAACAGGGACAGGGCTACGTCATGATGTGGTGAGTAGAACATCATTATTTCAGAATAATATATACACTTTTGCAGCGAGGAATATATACAACCCGGTTAATACAGCGACTAGCGACTCGCCCTGCCCGATAAAGTTGTCCAAACCGAACACAGAGTAGTGATAACCAGACACGTACCTCTGATAATGCATCCTTCTCCGGGCCTATTAGATCCAGGATAAGTTTATGGATGAACCACGGCTCAGTGATTCTCGGCACGACGCTGCTCAACAGCACCTTCACGACAATTTCGCGGAAAACATAACGCTCGGCATCCGACTCATAGTCGTCAGGCGGTAGACATTCCTTCAACAAGAAGTCAATAGCTTGGCGGACATATACCTCATCAATTAGGCCATTGACAGATATCGCCATGTGCGGCTGTAACTGGTGGAAAAGCTGTGGGAGCGTGGCTGCTCCCCCTGACGCATACGATGTATGGAGCTTGGACTGCGCATTGCGGAAGTCAATCCAATGTTGTGTGAGAAGCGTGGGCAGGTCGCGGAAGACAAGAGGGGCAAGATCAGCGGAAATGAGTCGCGCCTCAAGAGCGCGCGCGAGAGCCGTCAGGACGCGGGTTATTGCAGGGAGAAATTCCTTGTCGTAACGCGTGATCTTCGTCCACCATGGATTCACAAACGCACGAAGTGCAAGAGCGATGCAGTCATACAATTCAGCATTTAGGACCGGTGCAGCAGAGGGCGATGCGAGGAGAGCAGGAAGGTCGGCGTCCGGAGGGAGCTGGGGGAAAAGTAGACGTCTGGAGAGGGGAACTGGCTTGGACGACTTCGAGGATGGCTTTAATGATGAGCTCTCGCCGACTGATGAGGATACGGACTGGATAGAACGAGCAGACTGACGTGGGCGGGACGAGGCTGCCGTCGCCATCGTTGACGGCGACGAGCGCGATTTTTCCCGTTTTTGGGAGGTACCTGCAACGTGCGTTAAAATAATGTTTTTGATTAGATAACTGGGCTAGATCGAATTTGAATGGTGTTGAGCGTCGCCAACCCAGCCGAACGCGACAGCGAGCATCACCGCTCACTGTCTTCTTCGGCACTTCTGCAGGCGCATCTCTATGTGAGTCAACACCCATAAGGTCACCCTTTTTCTGACACATTCGTTGGACGCCATAACGATAGTGATTCCACGACGTCTTCACTCTCGTTCATGCGTCGCTAGTCCGCTCAGCCTCGCTCCAGGCAAAGCCATTCCTTCGAACATTCCAGTCATTCAACCAGAAAAGTAGAGAATATCTGATATACATTACTATGTATTACGCCCCTCTCCATGCCAGGAGTGGAAGCGGCGGCGGCAGCAAACTACCCACGTCTACCATAGTTATCATCGTGGTCGTATGCGTGGCGGTTCTCGCACTGGTTCTGGTGATGTTCCTTTGGCGCATCCTATTCCGCGCGTGCCGGCGAGATAAACCTACTCCACTTCCACCCGTGCAGCCGCTTGCGCATCATCGCGAACAACAGCTGGCAGCTTTCGCCGGCTGGAATAACAGCAGACCGACGACTTTTTTCGAGTACGACAACCTGCATGCTGGCATGTCCTCTAGGCATCTATTGCATACAGGTAGCGCTACCTCCTTACTCCCGGGTTCCGTCGCACTCAGCAGCAATTCAAGCTTCACAGAAGACGCAGGCTTTGGTCTCTCTTCACCCGAGCCCACCGATCATTTACCTTGCCCGAATCCTTCTTCCGGTGTTGATGATAATCAGGACAGTAATCTGGGAGGTTCATTCAGCTCCTCTCGCTTCGTAGAAGCTATTCCCCCTTCGCCTAGCATCGTCTTCTCCGAGACGTCATCCTCGATATCCCATTCGACTTCGACGAGTACACATCTTCTCGCTCCACGTTCCGGAAGTGTACCATCACCCTCGCGCCTGGGGCGCTCTAGTTCCAGTCCCCGTTCGCTGTCTCGCCGCGTGTCAGTCGCTTCCTCCCTCGCGACGAGTCATACGACGCACAGCCGGGTCAGCACGATCCATGGAGCTCCCCATAGCATTCATAGTAACATTCACATCATTATGCCCGCTCCTCTCGCGCCGCGATCTTATCCTTACGCGAGTAGCCATAATAGCCATGCTCTAAACATGGCACATGGAGATCAAAGCGAAAGGCGGAGTGTTTTCGTAGACCAATGGATACCTATCGGGACTCGGTCGAGCAGCGTGGGCAGCATGACGCAGCACAGCGGAATGAGTAGGTCGTCTGGCATGTCATCTGTCAGAGTCTGTCGCACTTCCTTACATGTTTCTCCGTTTTTTTAGCAGTGGAACCTCGAGCACGTTCGCGGACCCCGAGCAAGCTGTCTCAGTCCATTTCTGCTGCTCCCGTGTCTCGCCGAGCACGCTCACAGCCCCAAATCGGCGTGGCCTCTTTTCTGCCACCTGACTCCAGCGCAGGAAGTTCATCACCCGACCGACAGAGACTCCCACCCATCCCTCGACTACCTTCGGAATATGACCAGCTTATCCAACGAGCGGTCGGTGCCCCAAGTGGCAGGTCACGACAAATTACTCCCGGTCCCGTAGCCATGTCGTTACCTGCAGCGTCGACCCGTCAAGGAACATTGGCTCATCAGCAGTCCAGCGGGACGGAGAGTAGAAGCTTCGAGACAGTGTCACCTATACCTGCACCTACGTCAATATTACGTCCTGCGGGACAAGGACAATCCAGCTCCCAACCTTCACATATCCACGACACCAAGTCCCGAGGTAGACCTCCACAAAGGAGCATTTACTCTGTCAACTCTTCGACTATCCAGGTGCACAAGGAATTCCCTCTTCAACCACCGTCCTAGGGGTCCCTCATCCCGACTCCGTTTGCACCTCTATGTATGCTTACACTTGGATACGTTTCTCATGGTCTTCAACTATGTCTAGCCCATCATGTGCACGCAGGCAGGCGTTCGGGTGTTAAATGGTTACAGTCGATTTGGGAGAATTACTCTCGTGAACTAATCTCATGGACACCAGAAGCAGAACATTGCAACGTGTAAGTTATAGTACGTGTAACCCTCTACGATGCCATACAATACATTGCAACGATGCCAAAGTTTGTCCGTGCAGCACGTTGCGGTGTCTGGCACGCCCTCTCTGGCCGTCCTCCCTCCACTTATTCAGCTAGGATCAAATGCTCTTCCGCGAACTGGGGACAAGAACACCCCTTCCAGGTTACTCCACAGAGGTAGCAGAATTGTTTCTTGCAAATGCATTCCATGTGGTGGCAGCCAAGGAAGAGCTCCACAAGGTGGAAACAGCCGGGGCATCGCTGCCACCCATTCTTCTTAGCGAGACCTAGAACGACCTGATCGGACGGCGGCGAGCATCCTTGGTTGGGATGCGCTTCCTCCTTGCAGCTGCCGCATGTCTTCGCAGAGCATGTGCAAGACAGCAAGGAGGGAGCGATTGTCGCCGCACCGAGGAAGGCAGAACATGTCGGGCGATGGCAATACACGCGATTGGCGGTATTGAACTCTAGAGACTTCGTCTGGAAGGTTTCTGCTACCGTGGGTCCCAAGTGGTGGCGAACCTCATCGAGTGGGATAGCTGTTTGGCAGCAGCGAGGAGGAAAGACAGATTCGTCGACACTGGCCGTGCGGAACATGTTATTGAGACAACCAGTATCGCAAGTGTGGCCACAAGGCATGCGCACAACGCTTTCCTCAATGATGTCGCTACAAATTATGCAAGTCTCCGTTGGGCTGGAGAACGGAAACCGTAAGCGAAGGATGCAAAGGCAAGAGGCATATACGCACGTGACCGTGACTGCATTGCCACCCGGGGAACTCGATCCTTCCGCAGGCTTTGATGTAAGGATGGAGGTGGGCGAAAGATCAATGGGAGGTAACGTTGCAGGAAGTAGAGATTTGCTTGCACTCGAGACAGGAGACGGCGGACATGGTATCAAGATGTCCACCGTTTCCGACGGTAGAACTGGAGGACTCGATGTCGAAGACGATTGCAGCTCTTCCGCACTTGATGAAGCTACAGATGCTGCACTAACAGAGTTGCGCAGGTAAAGGTAGTGTTACTATGTCGAGCACTGCAGCGCTAACCTGTCCTCTAATGCAGTAAACGGTTCAATATCTTCCGAGTGCGGTAAGCCTGCAGCACGGAGACTGACGAGGCTTGTTTGGCGTCTCGGAGGCTCTCGTCCTTCCGAGAGAGCGATAGCCATTTGTCGGTCGTGCCGCGCCATCTCCTCGATGGCTGCCAGTTCCTCTACCAAAGAACGACTTGGATTGTCGCCATCCTTGCGGGTGGTAACAATGTGATCCTTCGTAATGTTCAACAACGCCTGCGCCTCTTGGGCAAACAAGAGGAAGGCGAATTCCTCATCGCTGACAGGAGAAGTAGGTCCGCTGCCTTCCCCTACAGCCTTACCTCTGGATCGCGACTGCAGGCTATCAATGTCGTCAATGTCTAGTCCAGAAATGTAAGTGAATACAGCCGTGAATTCGTCCATTGGGAATGGGAAATGATCTCTCTGACGGGGGAGGTTATTGTGGGAGGTTAGGGGACCTGGGTGCGAGCAGCACTCCATGTGTTAGTTATAGCACCCCCTATGCTGCTCGACAGTGCACCTCACCTGAACTGGACGCCTCGCCTGCTAAGCCTTGCATACACTTAGCGCCGGCTTCTATGGAAAGTGCATCACGCTCCCACCATGGCTTTGTGGTGCGATAGTCTCCTTGAACCTTGTATCGCTTATGAGCGTGATGCTCTTCAAGAAAGTGAGGATGTCAATGGCATGACCAACATGCTGCTGGAGAACTGAGGTTGATCGCGGTTGACCTGAAAAATGAAGGCGCTCGAACATTTACACAGGCGCGCAAAAGGAAGAAAAATTGGCTGTCAGTGACGGGAATTGTTCAAGTACGACATAACACAATTGCATCTTATACAGCAGTTACGAGAATCTTCGTCGACGCAAAAATGGGAGCATACACATACAAGAATTCAAGAAAGATCCTGATCAATCTGCAGCGCACGTGGCCTACATGCGGTTGCGGCGACACCGTACGCAAACGAGCATCTCACAATGCGGACAACGCTATGCAGTGGATCAATAAGTGTTATACATGCATCAAGGCGCGGAAAGATTCTGAATCTCACCAGGAGGAAATCACGCAAGTGATGGTGACACTGTTCGCACTGACCTCCGCCACTACGGCGCCGCCACGTGTGTCGACAGTCGTGATCATCGCTGCGACCTGCGCGACCATCTGATGAAACTGCAGCTGAGGGACCTCAGGCATCTGCCTTTGAACACGATTCTCCGCTGCAGCATACAGCCTGGTCTCATCCCATTGAGGACAGGTGCAGTTCTTCCATGTCTCAGTGCAGACATAGCAGAACTCCATCCTGCAACGGCAAGTCATGTGGTAGCAGCCGATGGCAAGCTCCACCATATGGCGGCAACGAGGGCAACGCTTCCAGCCTGCCTCTTGAGCCAGAGCGAGGATAGATGCGTCGTCCGCGTCGGTGCAGGAAAGGGTGCCATGCGCCGCCTCCTTGCAACGACCGCACGTCTGGGAGAAGCACTTTAAACAGGTGCGGGATGTCACGTCTGCAGTTTTCGAGCCGAGGAAGGCTGAGCATGTCGGACGATGACAATAAAGACGGTTCGCCGTAGAAAATTCAACCGCCTTCGCCTCGAACGAAGCAGATAATTCTGCACCAAGGTAGCATCGAACTTCGTTAAAAGCAAAGGGTTGCTGACAGCACCTCGGTGGGAAGAGGGACTCGTCCACTGTTGCGGAGCGGAAAAGATCCATGAGACATCCTACATCGTAGAAATGACCGCAGGGTGCACGGATTTCCACACCATCTATGCGATCGGTGCATATGACACATTCTTCCCGCCTATTATCATGTCAACACACACCGACGGATAGGCACCTTGCAAGGGGCACTTACTTCCTTGCGACGGATTTGGTAGAATGGAGAACCACCTTGCTCGACGAGGCGATTCGTGGAACCGAAACATCCGTCGGCCCAAATGACAACGTTCGAGAAGCACCGTGACTCGTCCTAAAATTTGATAGATATAAGCGACAACGAAGAAATCATTGTAGCCGCGCGAACTCACCTGTCCGGAAAGACGGTCAAGAGATTGTTCAATACATCTGAAGAAACAAGCAATGAAGCCGGTGTAGGAGATCGAGAGGTCGCCGGTCGGCCCTCCGAGAGGGCAACCGCCATCTCTCGATCCTCGCGAGCACCTGCCTCGGCTCGGGCTATTTCTTCTAAGAGAGCGTAGTCCGTGTCGAGCGCGGAGTCAACACTGCGAGCAAAAACGATGTCCTCCGTGATGGTTAGAAGGGCACGAGCCTCATCCTCGTACAGTTGAAGCGCAACCTCCTCGTCAGTCGGACCAGAGAGCGCGCTTTTCTTGCCCTTGTTGGAGCTACGAAGATGATGGATGTCATCAACAGTAAGTTGGGCGACCAAAGCCGAGATGGCAAGCTCGTCGTCGAGGTACGCTGCGGCTGGTCTCCCTACGGCCATCATGATGATTGTAGGTCGTCGAGAGAGAGAGGGGGAGTCGTCCGTAAACTCCTGTCAGCCACCTCCATATACACCACGCGTAAGAAATGAGGCTTTCACGTTAGGGTAGGCCTTAATCCAAAACTAGTTCGAAGCGATCATGTTAGGTCTCAACAAGGTAGAACTGTTGCATGGTCGGTGCGCGCCTCGATATGGACCCAGCATCTTTGGACCAACGGTTGGAAGACTAGATAACCGTCCACTACAGATAGAAATTCGTAATGCATACTATGCGCATTAGGGCCAGTAAAGCGCAAACTGCCATGGCAAGGTCGGGGGGGAGAGCTGTACGGGCTCTATATGTCCCATCACGTCTGGCCACACACGGTCCTCGCGCCTGAAGTCACCGCGGCCGTATACGTAGTGCCAACGTAGTACACGGCAATGTTTGAATTTGAAACTCGGTTGAGATCAAATGCGGATTGTTCATTGACTCGCGTTTATTCAAGTTGTACTGGCTTGCCTGGCTTCACCAATTGTAATCAATGCTCACCACAATCGCATGGAGGATCATGGTCCCGAGGCTGGCGATGGCTATTACACCCTCAGCTCATCGGAGCTTTCGTTTTTAAAGTCTCAGACCAGCATCTACGACGAGGATGCACGTAAGTACCACATCATGGAAGTCTGACCAGGCTGGTGCGTATCAAGCTGAGGCTATTCCTGGTCTTACAGTTTCGATGACAACTTGAGTGAGTGAATGCATGTATACAGGTCCATCGATATCCGACATGCGTCCTTCGATTCGCTTTCACTAGGTAGGCTATGTTCCTCGGACAATCGTTCGTAGCCTGGAGGTTAATGAGCCTTTGCGAACGATTGTCTCCCTCCACTAGAGGCACGAAGCAAGCCTATCTCTTGAGGCACCAGTGTTAGCACTCATCCATCGGAATGCTTAACCTAATTTGTTGTGCTTCAGATTCAAGATCACGTCTGAATGCCTATGAGCAATTAAAAAAATTGAGCAAGGTGTGTATTTGAAAGGGCGGAGTGGAGGTTCAGACCCAGATGTACGAGATCGAGAGGGTTGCCTTCCAGCAGCAGATTCTCGACTTTGGACCATGGATGGGGTAGTAAGGAGAGTCTGACACGATGGTGCGAGTAAATGCTCTACGCTACCCTGGAATACTGCTGACCCTGCAGCAAGTCTAGACATCACTGTGCGATTGCGAAACTCCCATGGAATCTCTACCAATAGATGATAGCACTTATGTGAGACGCATTGGATTCCAGCATGTTGCGCTTCAAGGTACGTCTCTGTCGTTCAGTGGCCGAAACCGAGAAAAACTTATAGCCTCTACGTTTTGCCCCATTCAGCGCTTGAAAATGACAAAGCTGCCATTCTTCTCCCTCTCTATCTCCCCGTAGCGCTGAAGCAAGTTCAGATCTACCTACCGCCCATATCATTGATTTTCGCTGTGGGGCGCCATCCTGTGACCGCCGACTGAACGGAGCCAACAGGTTGACATCTACGCTATCGCGGATTGCAATTTCTCGTCGAAGATAGCACATCTTAGGCATATCCCTCACCAACCATATGGCCGCCACAACGTAATTATGCATGTGCCCCCACCGTAGTCGGATATATAAAGCGCCTTGACGATTGTTTTTGATACCCTCTCGTCACGCACCCTGCATTACATTCTATCGTCCATATTGCCTTTAAAAACCATCATGTCGGCAAACAAGGACGTAGTGCCAGAGGACCTCTACTCCCTCGACGACGAAGAATTCACTTTCTTCACGTCGCAGACGGGCATCCATGACAAGGACGAACTGAAGGAGCATGTCTTGAAGGTCCAAGCAGAAGCCTATGCGGTAATGTCTACCTAAATTTCGACGACTTATATGTTCTGATTATGTGCCCATTCCCAGGTTCACCCATACCCGTGCATTCTTCGTTTCGTCTTCATAAAGTGTGGAGTCGCCTGCTGTTTGATGGTCAATATACTCATCATGATTTTGCAGGCTTGAGATATCCCGCCTCCCTGCGTACGAACAGTTTCTCAAGCTTGGCAGAGAACGTCCAGGTGCTATTTATCTTGACGTCGGCTGTTGCTGTGAGTTCACCTGCTGGTTCCGCCAATGACGATGTTACGATAAAAGACATCGCTAGTTGGAAACGATGTCAGAAAGGCCGTTGTCGACGGCTTCCCAGTTCAAAACGCCGTTGCGTCGGATATCGTTCCAGGTCAGCCTATGTGTCACTTCCACACATTACGCACCTCCTGAGCGCACATCCATCTAGAATTTTGGGATCTAGGCCACAAGTTGTTCAAGTCGTCTCCCGAGACATTCCCAGTACCTTTTCTTCCGGGCGATGCGTTCGACCCTGAGTTCTTGACGCCTGTCGCTCCCTTCTATTCGCCTCCGGACACCCCCGTGCCTACTCTGTCGTCGTTGAAGAATCTCTCACCTCTCGTCGGTCATGTCTCTGCCATCCATGGATCCCTCTTCTTCCACCTCTTCGACGAGCCTGGGCAGTTGCAGCTTGCTCGTTCACTCGCTGGCCTGCTCTCGCCTGAACCCGGATCCATGATCTTCGGTGTGCATGGTGGCATGCCGCAGAAGGGGCAGAAGAAAGAGACCGTCCTCCCTCACGAACGCGGCTCCATGTTTTGCCACAGCCCTGAGAGCTGGACCGAGCTGTGGGACGGACAGGTCTTCAAGAAGGGCAGCATAAAGGTGGAGACGAAACTGGTAGAACTGACGAGAGATGAGATGCTGCCTTCGGAAGGGGAGCGCTTTTGGATGTTGTACTGGTCAGTGACGAGGTTGTGAGGTAAAATGTTGGCATCCCCATCCCGGAGTTACTTGCGTGTAGTCGTGTTTATGAAAGCTTGTAGTTGTAGAACACGAATGTATCCGAGAAGGCAATATTCAACATATTGCTTCATACGATCTTTTCTGTACCACGCAGAACATAGGACGAGATGTCAAACAATGTTGATGTGTTCTTCCGCTTCTGACGATCTAAGAACGTAGAAAACCACATCTCGCTGCTTAAAGCAGAGTATTAATTCTAGAATGAGGCAATGCAGTGAAAGATGGCCGTCATACAAGAAGTACAACGGTCGGAGATTTCTTCCATGTAGGAACATGTAGGATTGCTGTCACCCATCGCAATTTCACACGCAGTGGAGCATCCAACGCTCTTATAGAACCAGTGTTTACGACATTCGAAGACACCAGCCATATGCATACGGCGCGAGATTCTGTATCGGGATGATGACCATATTGATAGAGACAAGTTCATCCATGGATCACCGATCATGGCCGGCTTGGTTACCTTCTGGGTGACAAAGTTGATCAGTGAGGAACCATACTCTTTCGGGGCGATTGAACAGTAGCGTCCAGCGAGATCATATTTTCCAGTTGGTCTCCCAGGTACTGTCAATGATTTTGCAATTGGATTCCTGCATTCACTAGAACAGAATATCAATGTAACGCCAATATGAGGACAGAGTCTAGAGAGGGAATGACGCACGAGCCGTTGCTCAGGAATCAACGTTTGAAGCGAGACGAAGAGAGCACACGACTTCACCAATCCCAAGAGACAGTCTAGCAATCTCCACGCGACAGTGAACTGGGTGCGGATTTACTGGAATTATTTTGAGATCGATCCTACATGGTCTCTAAGCAACCTTACAACAGAACTACTGCATTCCCCGCATCCACTGTGATTGCCTTGCCCCTGCATATTGCTTCACCAAACACGATAGAACGTAGCGCTGTGTCCCTACGCTTGTTAGAAGGGGACATTGGACATTCTAAGAGTCTCGCATGTAAAAACACAATCAAGGGAAAGAGAGAGTGTAGACGCATTGGTGTATCTTTGATATAGTTGTGGAGCGGATCCTTCTCGAAGGCAGCGTCCATAACGTCGCTTGCTTCAGGTTCACCTGGAGAATAAGAATCGGTCAGCTGAGAAGTAATGTGATTCATCTGAGACGATACATACTGTATTGAGGCAGTCTACACTTCACCTCCATCTCTCCTTCATCGTATCAATGGAATCTAAAGGTGATAAAGCTGATGATAAGGCCGGGAGGTCAGGGACTCAGGGTAGGACCCAGGTTCTCTGATGGGAGCTTTTACACGGTGGACTGTGGTGTATCGATCGGATACGCTGATGGGATCCCAAATTCTGCAGAAAGAATGGATGGCATGCATTACGAAGACCTACATGTCTGATATATGCAGGACCAAACCGCCGGCATATGTAGTTTACGGTGATTAATGCTGAGCGCTGAACGTTGGACCACTGAACTTGCCAAAAAAGACCACACACCGATCCGAGCACGTGAAAGCCGCAAATAGCCGAATAGGCGCTTCGAGCAAGGCTCTGCCAAACTTGCCCAGTCACTTCGACGACGACGAGGAGTGCATCTCGCATTTTCTACTCACTCTCTGGCTGGTTATACATACACTTATCAACGACGTCGCCAGCCGAGAATGTTATTTGATCCAGAGACAGCGAATGACCTCAGGCCATGGCTAGTCAAAGCACTCGAGCCAGTGTATGATGTTTTTCGTTAATCTACCGAATTTGCTCACTGTAATCCTGCAGATGTGATGCAGAGCCTGGCGCTCTTGCGGACTACATTCTTGCTCTCCTGAAACATAATGCTCCTGAAGCAGAGTTGCGCAAAGAGCTAGCTTCACAACTAGAGGAGTTCTTGGAGAAGGGTACGTCTTAGAGCTTCTTTCATGTGCGTCAGTCCGACATACCACATATACCACAGAAGGACCATCCTTCATCGATACACTGTTCACAGCCCTACGAACGAAGTCATATTTACCTTATTCTGCTGCATCTCCCTCTTCCGGATATCTACCGTCGAGCACGCCGTCCGTCGACACTGGGATTCCCATTCCGTTGGACGCCCTACTATCTCCTTCTATTCCTACCTCCCCTGATCGAGGACGCAAACGCAGTATTGACCACGATGACCATGAAATGCGACCACCTACCAAGGGACCGCGGCTGAATGGTGATGGTCAATTCTCGCGGTACGGGCGAAATGATAGTCGATCATCGTGGGGTGGCCGTGGTGAGCGTGGCGGTAGGATGGCTATGAATGGACGAAGTGACTACGTGGAGGGGAGCATGAATGGAGGGATGGACGTAGGGATGGGTCACGCGATGAACGGAGGGATGGGTCACATAAATGGCCGGGGTCCGCAATACCGTCCTCCAGATCGAAGAGGGATTTGCCGCGACTATCATAGTAAGTTTGTTGTCGACGCTGCATACTGTTGAGCTGACTCATCCTTGCACAGACAACGGTTACTGTGCTCGGGGTGCCTTCTGCAAGTACAGCCATGGCGACGATGCGGTGATTCCCTCGCAGCTGTTCCCGATGAATGGTCCTATGGGTGTCGGTTCTTTACCCTTCGTGCCAATGCTACCCAACAGCGGCATACCATTTGGGATGGGAGGGGGATCCAATGCCGCATACGACCCTCATGAACGCATGGATATGCGACCTATCGCAGGTGCTAGTTCGAGTATGAGTGGCCGCCCACCCAACCCACGTGCACCAATCATACCTCGACATGGAGATATAGATGGCGCGATGGCGCAGAAACCAGGTGAATTGCCCGTAATACAGGATCTTACACCTCAAGGTGTCTCCGACGATGATCTGTCGCGAACTAGTGTACCGGATGGACCCAGTGCATCAGACAGACGAGTGCCTGGCCCAAGTAATCATGAGCGCATGATGAATGGTGCGCGGCCGATGGGTGGCTCTCCCGACGTCGACATGGTGGCCCCCCCAATGTCACCAAACGGACGATTTGGTGGTCCGAGAGGCAGTCGGATGGCAGGTCCTCGTGGTACATTCGGCGGCGATGTACACAGTTTCCGACCTGAGAAGCGCAATGACAAAACACTTGTCGTGGAGAAGATTCCCGAGGACAAGCTCAGTCTTGGGTCCGTGAACGAGTGGTTCAAGCGGTTTGGAACCGTGACTAATGTCGCCGTCGATGCGGTGAACTCGAAGGCACTGGTTAGTTTCTCCACCCACGACGAGGCTCACGCCGCTTGGAGGTCGGAAGATGCAGTGTTTGGCAACCGCTTTGTCAAGGTCTTCTGGCATCGGCCAATGGAAGGCCACGGACAGATGGGTGTGCGGATGCTAGCAGCGTCAGCGCCTCTAGTTGCCACTATCACCAGCAAAGATGCGTCTCCTACGCAAGCCGCAGCAGGGGAATCGTCTGCCACCCCACCTGCAACTCCGAGTGCACCTTCCGCCCGAAAACCCTCGACGTCTTCTGCAGCAGCAGCCCTTGCTGCCAAGCAACGTTTGCTTGAGCAGCAGATTGCTGAACAAAAGTCGTTGATGGCATTGCTCAGTGCTGCATCTCCCGAGGAGAAGAAGGATATTATGGCTCGTCTGCGCAAACTCGGCGAGGAGATGAAGCCTTCGGCTTCAGCTTCTCAGTCATCGCGACCCGTTCCTACTCTTGCACCTGCGGCAGCACCCAAAAAACCGAGAGGCGTCACACCGCGGTCGGAGGATCAGGAGCGGCTTGAGCGGGAGCGATTAGACAAGGAGCTCGAACTGCACCATGCCACAGGCGCAATCGAGGGTGAGGTGGAAGAGAGCACAGAAGACTTGAAGGTCAAATTGGCTAAGCTGAAGGCAGAGGTTGGTCTGATATATTCCAGTCGTATATAATTGCTAACGTCGAGCCGTCCACAGGCCGCCAGTCTAGGGCTTCCTGAGGCCGCAGAATCTCCTTACCCCAGTACATCATACCGCCCTTACAGGGGGCGAGGTCGAGGTGGTCGCGGTTTCTTCCGCGGCGCTATGCGCGGTGGTGCGCGAGCAAGCATGAAGCTCGACAACCGTCCCAAAAGGTTGCTACTCAAAGACGCTAGTGGTGACAATGTACAGGCTATCCGCGACTGGTATGAGGTATGTTGGTTTACTACTCGTGTAAGTTCCAGAACGCTGATATGTTACCCAGACCACTGGACAAGTGGAAACAGTCGATGTGATGGACAATGGAGACGTCCTTGTTGCCTTCAGAACAAGAGCTGCAGCAGAACAGGTATGCCTGCTCTTGGCCCGTCGTATGTCGCTTCCCTGCTTATATCGATGTATCGTAGGGATTCTCGAAGGGAGCTTCTATCCCCACCGTTGGTCAGGTACAGATTTCTTGGTATTCGGGTCAACAACTAGCTGCTGCGGGGGCGCCGAAACCTCCATCTCCTATCGAGAGTTCATATGCTGCAGAAGATAAGAGAGTATTCGACAGTACGGTCGGATTCTCAGGGCCCACGGATGACATCCACATGCATGAAGAAGTTGCTGCAAGTGGCTGGGGTGGCGACGATGGGGAGGACGGGTTCGCCATGCTATGACCGAAAATAATTTAATGCGTATCCTGTCTGTTTATCTGTATCATTTGCTCGAGCTGTCCTCGTAATGAAGAGCGCTGCGAGGACTCATGGAGATAACATCTTCATTACTGTGCCCTTAATTAAGTTGGGGCAATGTGTCTTCAGAGCCATTGGATCGGAGGGCACCATCTATCCCATCATTACGGATTGTTTGAACAACCTGCAACAAAATCTACATCGGTAGCTAAGCTTCACTGGAGTCCATGTAGGCTATTTCAGCATCATCATCTACTACAAAACTGCCGAAGATATACTCGTCGCCATCTGCATTACGAGGTGGACTTGAAGCAGCGGTTCGAGCTCTTCCAGCTGGGACGAACGCGCCTAAGCCGCGCCTTAGGGGGCGGTGGGCGAAGACAGGTGCTGTTCCCGGTGCTTGTGTAAAGAGACTTCGGCGGTACACTGCCGCTTGGTCGTAGGAACGGGATACCTGTGTTTCCGGTGGCTCCTGCAGAAACTGTCTGTCGGATTCGTTTCCAAGTTGGTCGACGTCCGAGGACCCCTGGCTGTTTTCATCGCCGGAATGGGTCGCTTCGACATCAATCCAAGGATTGAGCTTCTGAGCCTCTGCAATGTCCTTGAACTTCCGTTTCTTTGGCCTCTTCGGTGGCTCAGGATTTGGCAGGGGAGAAGACGAGTTCCGCTGACGTTGCAAACGCCGCTGAGAAGGGGGAGGCATCTGCAGCGGCGACGAATCCCGCAGATCAGACACAGCACGTTTCTTGGCCTGCTTACCAGCTGGACGCACGGCAAATGACGGCTCCGGAGCATCGTCGGAGGAAGGTGGGGTTAGATGGAAGGAGCGAGAAGGTAGCGCAGGTGGGGGCATGTTATTCATTACACGTTGTGCGTTCGTGAACCCCCCTCCATACTTGGAAGAAATACGACCGGAAACTTCGGGAGACTGAACAGGCGAGGCAGATGCACCTTCGACGAACTCCACCTCGTCATCGGTAGCAACACTCGATGGAGAGCGTCGAGGGCCGGGTGGAGAAGAGTGGACAATGTGGACGTCTAGGTCCTCGTCATCCTCCAGTAACCATGACATGTCTGCGCCTCCACAGTTCTGGTCGAGTGAGACACTGCGAGATGCTACGGGAGGTGAGCCTCCTGGTGGATCAGAAGATCTGTCGGCGAACGGCGGACGATCCTCAAAGATAGAGTTGGAGCTCCGAGACCGAGAGCGCGGTGAAGGTGAACGTGGAGCAGGGGAGCGGGAACTGTCATCGCGTCGTGAATATGGCTCAGGGGTAGTCAGATCGATGATGTGGTTCGTGACGAGCGATGAAGATGCTCTGGACATCGGGAACGGAGTACTCTGGACGACATCTTCTGGAAGAGAATGCGTATAGTCAGTGGTTCGTGTCCGAGCAGACCGTGGCTTCTCTGATAATTGGAGACCTTTTTCAATCTCTATGTCGTCCGAATCTTCCATCACCAGCCGGTCAAACTGGGTTCCCGTGGGATCTTCCACCGGCTTGCTCTTCTTCTTTGAAGTCTTGGCAGACTTCTTCGCGCCTTCTCCGGAGGCAACAGTTTTGGCCCTCTTCAACTTCTTGGTCTTAAGGGGCCGTTCAACCGCGGATGCAGATGCCGTTCTCCGAGGCCCGTGCAGCCCGGCTTCGATCTCCAGATCATCCGAGTCGTCGTGGCCTGCAGTGATGTCGAACTCCTGTACCTTCCTCTTTTTCTTCGAAGCGCCACGCTTCACGAGCAGGTCCTTGACGATGGCGAAACCGGTGAGCGCACCGGGCGGAATATTGCGCATGGGATTGTCGTCTCGCTTCCGCTTCGTGCCTTTGGCTGGGGGCGAATCGCCTTGCGCAAGCGAACCCTTCCGAGAATGAGGGTCTTCACGAACATGCTCCTCAATCTCCATATGCATCTCGACACATTCGGGATGCATGTGGTCGGGAAGGAGGCGTTCGACATCTCCGTATAACTCCAGCTGCTCGGCGTTCACGATGAAATTTTGCACGTCCTTGTACTTCTCCTCGGCCTGCATCCAATTCTTCTCCTCTCGTCCCTCGGCTAGCAAGACGTGAACGAGACCATCTCGCTTGCGACCTGTCCGGCCAATGCGTTGCAGCTACGGTTCAACGTGAACTCCATGTGCAACGAACGTTTTAACAAAGAACGTACCATCCGGATGGGGCTTTTCTGCGCATCATAGCAGACGATCATGTCAACTTCACCAATATCCAATCCTTCCTCACCGATGGATGTAGAAACCAAGACATTGAATTCGCCCGCTTTGAACTTCTTGATCACCTACACAACCAATAGCATTAGCACCATGTTGCATCCTTGCATACTACGACTTACCTCTAGTTGTTCTTTCTGAGCGAGACCTTTCCGTCCTTGTTTGTCAGTTCCTTGGCCAATAAAGGGAGTGGCCCGTATTAAGGGGTTCTCCTTGCTGAGCAACTCCACGACTTCGTCAACACATTCCCTGAACGAGACAAAAACTATGACTCGGGGATCACCGGCCTCCCCAATAGATTTCTTAGTGTCCTCCCTGTCGATCATGGTGCCCGCAAAGTGCTGCACTAGCAACGTACGCAGCTTGTCCATCTTTGGATGGAGGGAAAACCCTCGGCTCTTCTGCGCCTCGAGTTCTTTGACGAGTGCTTGGAAGTTCTGGTCTTTCGCCAATCCTCGCACGGCATTGTTCGCTTTGTCATTGCTGCTTGATACGAGGTCTTGGACAGCACCATAGCACATGCCCATACTAGCCTCCAGCTGGGGAACAAATGAGACACCTCGCAGCCATGTTAAACCCGAACCCACCAGGTAGCCCATTGCTCGAGCCAGGGTAACTAACTTCCGTGCAGCCGCAAAGGCGAAAGGTGGCGCTCCACGTAACTCCTTCATTGACTGTTGACACCGGTATGAGTGCAGCATTATAGGATCTGCATTTCCCCTCATTGCACCGGCACCTTGGACTGCTTTAATCAACGGCTAGATTGTAGTTCAGTGTCAGCCTGAGGTTTAACGAAGCATCAGAGATACAGTATATCTCACCAGCATGATCTTGCCCAAAAGATCCCTCACTTTCTTGATATCTTCGTCCATCGAGATCGTATGCTGTTCCATTCGTTTGTCGTTCAAATAAGGAAATAAGTCCAAGCTCTTCTCGTCCCGTATTTCTATGTGGCTGATGTGAAGGCAGTCGACAATGGACTGAACAGCTTCTGGGTCGCTGCCCGGCGTTGCCGTGAGCGCGAGTATGCGGACATGAGGGTTCTTCGCCATCAGGAAGCGAACGAGTTGCGCATAGGAGTAATCTCCAGTTCCTCTATGTGCCTCGTCTAATGACAGAAGTGAATATATGACAGAGGAAGAAGCAATGCTTAGGCTCACCGAAGACGACAAGAACAATTTCTGCCGGATCGAAGTTATTAGACATGAAGTCGCTCTGAAGTGTTTGCGGCGTCATATAGAACACCCTTTTCTCGTCCCACTAAGCATTGTCTGTGAGAATCCCAAAAGCAAGGAAACCAAACTCAATACTCACTAATCTGGCTCGTTTCGCCTTGGGGACGCCGCCAGTAAGTTCGGCCGCATGACTCCCGGGAATCCCGCATGTCTGGTGGCAAGCTTCGATTTGCTGCGCCACCAGCGGTTTCGTAGGTGCAAGAAATACTACCTTGCCTTCCGGGAACCAATTATAAACTGCATCTCAGAACCATTAGTACTTGTCAGATCTCAGACGGTATACGGAGGCAACTACAGTGCTTATATGCGCGAGAGTGAACATATGGAAGATTAACACTTACAATTAAGCATGACCGTTCCTGCTATGAAAGTCTTGCCAAGCCCAGTCGGAAGCGCGACCAAAGTATTCTCGAACAGACAGTGCCTGACGATGTTAAACTGGTAGTCCCGCTTCGGATGATTGAGTGGGTAGATCCATCGTCGTGCGGCCAATAAATCAGGCTTCACTTTCATAGGCGGGGGCTAACGTAGACGTTGGCTCCCTTATGACTGAGAGAGAAAGGGGAACATACCGGTCTATAAGATGAGTGAAGTCTGGATGAATACGACTGTACTAGAGAAGAACGTAGATGCCCCTCACCCGACGGAGACGACAGGAGCAGGAAACTGCTCGAACTCAACGTCTTCCTCCTCATGCTCGTTCTCCTCAGCAAATGACCTCGAATTTCCTTTGCCATTGTCCTTCTTAGGCTTGGGTTTCTTCCATCCGGTCTTCGCAAACGCCGTATGGTCCCACTGTTTCGTTTTCTTAGAACGACCACCAAATGGGTGGTGGGAACTCGACTCGGTCCTGCGCGCCGGGCGCACAGAATTGGAGGAATGAGGCTTGCTGGATGCGTTATCTTGCTGCAGAATATCGCCAAAGAGTGTCGTCTGCACGGTACCCTTTGAAGTCGCGCGGTTGAACGGCGCATTGCTGTCTCCTGGACCTGGACGAGAAACCGACAGACCGCCGGACTGATATTTCTCACATATCTCGTCGAAGTGCGCTAAATCTAAGTCGTTCACGTCGAAGCTGGGAAAACCATCTGAGTCGTCGAGCTCAATAATCTCTCGCACAGGTTGTCGGCTAGGTGTGGCACCTCCAAATTTCGAGGAAGGAGCGGCTTGAGCAGCTTCTGCATCATCGGCTGCTTGAATAAATGCTGAGTCCAGATTGTCATCGAAGTAGTCATCCGAGGTCATCGTTTGGGAGGGGAAAAGAGGTGGCAGGCGCGTTGTAGCCGAACAGACGAACGCGCTCGCCTACGCGCTCGTACGCGTCGGGGGCTCACGTGACAATCCGCGCCAGGACCCCCGCTCCGATCCCGTCGACGACATTTCTCGGGGGTTGCCAACCACCCATTTTCGGGGGTAGGTGGGATCGAACATTCGGCCACCTAGAATTACGTTCAACGGCCTGCGGAACAAAATTTTCGCTGCCTGCGCAAAACTCAAGCTTTTGTGAACCAAATTACCACAAATTTCATCCCAAACCACCACATATGTCTAAATTTTAGGCCGATCCTCCGAAACCTGAGAGATCCGCCAGCCAACCTCAGTTTTCGGGGGTTCTGGACCTAACCTCAGGTTGGAGTTGGGTTGGTCACATTTCGGGGGTCGAAGATCGAACATTTTTCGGCGGCCTATTTTTCGGGGATGGGTGCATCGGAGCTCTCAGTGGATTCGCGGGGGTCCTGCGCCACCGCGACAGTTACTCAACGACGCCCACCAGCACCCACCTCTGAGTCTACCCCCTACTATCTCGACGACCAGCGACCAGCGATGTCAGCAGAAAGCATCGCACGATGGAATGCTATTCCACTCACACGCCCGGACACGGAAAATGATGTCCACACCTCGTTGAAGGTACCGGTTGTGCATTTCTAGCACCTGAACATAGACTGCATGTTGTCTTCCCTTCCTTTCCCTCTCCTCTCCAGCGTGCAAGGCCAGACAATAATACAGAGGACAATGATGACGACAGCGAGGACGATGTCTCTCTGGTCTCCCGCTCACCCTCTCCGATCCCTCCAGATGCCATGGACGTGGACAAGTACGACGAGTACGTCAGGCGCACGGTCGAGCACGAAGTTATCACAGTAAATACGAAGATCAAGAACAGCAACAGGGGCTTCTTGATGCTTGCAAACATGGGATGGGCTGAAGGACAATCAATTGGATTGTCTGGCGACGGTAAGAAGTTTCACGATGTCCTCGTTCTTGACTACCATATGGTGCTCCGCAGGCCGTGTTGACCCTGTACCATTTTACGTGAAGAACGATCTCACAGGTTTGGGTAAAGCCAACCAAGATGTACGCATGAGTGAGTTGAGTTATCATGACGTTATGGGGCCGTAATGTTCACTCATAACGATTTACAGTCGAGTCCACTGTTGCTCAACGTAGAGAACTCGATTCTGAACGTCAAACCAAAGAAACGGAAGAACAGAAGAAGGCAAGAGAGGCATGTATCATAACACTCAAGTCTCGTGTTTCGCAATATTGATGCACACTATACAGGATACAGTTGCGAAGCGTGCGGCCGTCCAGTCACAGATCTCCACCACTCTCCGTGCCTTCCACTGTGAATTGTGCGACAAACAGTTCCAGAACGTAGCACAATACGATGAACACACGAACTCGTACGCGCACCATCATAAGGCCCGATTCAGAGACATGCAGGCTACTCAGCGCGCCAACAAGAACACGAAGGAAGAGGTGGACAAGAGGAAGGAGAAGGAGAAAAAGAGAGAAGAGAAGGAGTTGCGCAAAATTGCCAAGGCCGCTGGAGTGAAGATGACAAAACCACCGGTCTCTCTAGTCCTCCCAGTCGCCAGACCGATGGCAGCTGAGGAAGAAGAACCGAGTGAGTCCAAGAAGACTGGATGGGCTTCTATAGCTTCGTCCTCCCAGCCAGCAGATACTCCCGCCCTCACTGCTTCATCTGGTTTCACAAAGTCAGGATGGGCTGCGGTCGACCCCTCTGTTTTCACCGGACGAGGTGCAGCCGTAACACCTCAAGAGAGTCAAACGATCTCCGGTGTCACGTATCCTGTGACTTCTACCTCGTCGCCAATGCCAACCCAGCGTCCATCCACCGGCCATACGCCGACGTTCCTAACAGGTGGCTGGACGTCTCTCGACACTGGTAGCTCAATGACGGTACCGCCTCCTCCCCAGGGCCATTACCTGCCGCCTCCTCCGCCGCGTACAATTTCTCCACCTCTGCCTCCTACTCCAAACCAACAACCGCCGCCGCCGACGGCAGGTCCCCCACCTTCGCTCCCGCCTCCTGCATATCCACCCTTGTCCGCTCCGCCAAGACGAGGCTGGGCATCTGCGTCGGCCCCTCCCTCTTCGGATCAACCTTCCCGCGCAGGATGGCAGAAGGTCTCAACGAGCGGTGCAGTTGGTCCTCCACCGTTGCTTAATGTGGCTTCCCGGCCGCTTCCTCCTGAGGTTTCACGTCCTCCTGCGCCGACGCGCCAAGAAACGTCGCGTTCTGGTTGGCAGCAATTTCGCGCAGGGGCTCCCGGGCGACGGAAATGATATTGCGTTTTTGTTCGTTCCCCGTTTTTGATGTACTCTCCGTTTGCTTTCACTTTGCTCTCTTCACGACACACCCAGAGTTGATTTCAAGACAAAATGTACGAGGAAAATAGTACGTAGGGGATACTACACTGCTGAGTTCTTATAATTTTGAGAATACGCCGAGTGATGATAATAAGAATGTGTATGCCACAAAGATGAGTAACGAAATGGGATTCAGAACGACGACGACGACCGAACAGGAGGAAGATGAAAAGGAACCTCTACTCCGAGTCGCTGGCAGAGCTCTCTGAGCTAGACTCCGCAGAGGAGTGCTCGCTCTCTTCCCCAGGCGCGACGTCGCTAGCGCCCGCCTGACCACCCTCGAAGAGCTTCATCCTGGCCTCCAGCGCTCGAATCTTCGCCGCCTCCACATCTTCATCCATGCTCTTCCGCTTCAAGCCTCCTGTTCCGGTACCCTTCCCTGTGCGACTCCGTTTCGTTGCAGGTGTCCGCATGGGTCGGATGACGAAGTTGTACAACTTCGTGAGAACAGAGGCTGGAAGAAGATCGATCTCGAGCTCGATCTCTTCGGTGCTCTAGTGAAAAGCGCGACGTCAGATGTAAACTGGAATTACAAAGATTCCTGTACTCACGTCTCGGATCTCCGGCACGCCGTCATGGATGATCTGAATGACTTTCTCGAGCTTCGCACCGTCGAGCTTGCTGATGGTATCACTGAGATCCTTCTTCTGCTCGAATGACAGGACGTCGTCGTCGGTAATGGGCTTCTTGCCCTTCTTCCGGCCGTTTGATGCTGCAGCTTTGCCCGGCTTGCTCGCATGTTTCGAGGTACTCGCGACCGGGGGTACAGCCTTCTCTTTCTTCTTTTCCTTCTTCTTCAGCTCCTTGCCCTTCTTCTTGAGCGAATCAAGACTACTCTTCATGGTCTGGATCTGATTCTCCATGGTGGCAATCATGCCTGGCAAAATAAGTCTGAGAGATGAGCTCAAAGCGAGATAAAAATATACTTACGAGCACGATCGTCCTCGCTATCCTCTTCGTCATCGTCGTACTCATCCTCCGACACCTCGTGAGAATGCAATGAAGGGAGGTTCGCCCACTTCTCATCGAAGAGGCGGTCAAACGACTTGCCCGCCTCGTGGACCGGATTGCCCGGAGGGTTGAAAGTCGCGCAGTTGCGGATCATCTGCTTGAAGTCGTCCCGGAACTTCTCCGCAGTCAGATACTCCCCGTTCTGAAGTTTCTTCCTCATCGTAGAAAGGTCCATGGGCTTCTTGATGACCTTCGGATAGCTCGGAATTTCCATTTTAACATAATCTGCAATAGAGCGACTCAGTAACGATAAGCGTGCAAAGGGGAATGTCATTTACCGACTGGCTCATAGAACGGATGCGCAATCGAATAGTGGTTCTTCCGTTGCAGATCCTTCAAAAGCTTGTCGCAGAACTTCAGCTGTTCGGCGTGCGCATCGTTCTTTGCGCGCTTGACCTTTCGTGTCTTCTTCGGAATATCGGCGTACGGGAGGTCCTTGGGGGGTGGTGGATGAATTTCCCGTTTCGGACGACCGACGTTCTCGTCGTTGCGACGGATCACGGGAACATTCACGGACGGGCGGCGGGCAGCAGCAACTTTCTTCGCTGGAGGGGGTGGAGGGGGGGTGGCTACCTTCTTGACGATGACGGGCTTTCGCTACGGAACAGTGAGATAAAGTTTCAACAGCAGCAGTAGAGAACGCACCTCCTCTGCAGGAGGCATCTGCTTGATCTGCTTGTCGAAGACGGCTTCGACCCGCTTTCCCATGAGCATGACGGCATGCTCCGGGCCGTTGAAGGTGAGACAGTTGCTGAAGATCAGACGCACATCCGCGATGAACTCGTCGGCGTTGTAGTAACGAGGGTTCGCAGGGTTAGAGTCCGGCTTCAAAGGACTCGAAGAAGCAAGCTTGCGATCGATGGTGGAGAAATCCATCGGGTGCTTTATGATGGTCGGATAATGCGGAATGTTGAGACCCACCGTATCCACAGGGTGCAAAAAGGGTACAGCCTCCTTGACCTTCTTGAGGGTGCGGATGGTTGAGGTGGCAAAACGCCACTGCGCGGGACTAAGCGTGGACGTAGTAGTAGAGGGAAGTGGAGCATGAGTCCCAACGTCGGGAGATGCAGACGCTGGAGGTGGAGTGCCAGTCTTCAGACAAGGGACGGAAATCAGCACGCCCGCAGCGGCGCACAAGGAGGAACAAACTTACATTTGCCAGCGAAGCTTTGTCTGCGTCCGAATATTTCCGCGCTCTCTTAGCAGGTGGTTTATGGTCATCATCATCATCATGTTCATTAGCATGCTTATTATTAGGGTACGGAGATGTGGCTCCTAGTGAGTCGACAGCAGTTTCGCTGGACGATACAGCGGGTATAGAGGAGACAGGCGTGGCAGCGGGGGAATCTAGAGCGTGTCCGTTAGGAAGACCGTGAGCCGTCGATGGGTGTTCGACGGCATCGGCCATAACAACATCACTGTCCGTAGTAGGCAAGGGTTGTTGCTCCGCCACGCGCACATCCTCTAGGAGTTGGCCTGGCGGCGGCGGCGGGGTTCCCTTTGGAGGCTCGATGGGGATGGTGGCTGAGGCGTGATAAGAAGACTCAGAAACGATCGCATGATGGGTGTCTCACCTGGGTCAGCAGGCGTGCCAACCTGCGGTAGGACAGACGCGTTGTCGAGCTTGTCGAGCTTCAGAGGCATAGGCTCGTGGCGCACGTCGCTCTCCCCTTCGGTGTAGTCAACATCAATCTTGACGTCGGGAGCTGTGGAATTGTCGACGGGGGTCGCTGGAGAGTCGATAGGGGAGTCGGGGGTGGAGTGACCGTTAATGTGATGTACGCCGTTTGAGAGAGGCGCGTCGAGCATGGTCTTGGAGTACAGGCGCGTGACGGTCACGGTGTGACTTGTGGAAGGGCAGGAGAGATTTGGGGGAACAGGAGATCCGAAGTTGGGCTAGAGCCTTTATACTGCCTGAAATAAGGTTCGATCTCCCGCGCTGGGTCCGTATCCCTATCCCGACTCTCCCTCCGCCACTCGACACGCTCCTCTTCGCCTCTCTCGCCCGCTCGTCGAGACGTCCTATCTACTCCTCCTCCTTCTCCTCGTCCTCTTTCTGCGCCTTCGCAAACACAGGTCTCGGCTGGTTTTCCCGCCACGCTGTGGAAAATTTTAGAGTTCACACGTCAGCACATAGCCACAGCCAAACACAGCCAAATACAGCCACCGCCGTTTCATCAGAATCCACAAAACGTTTGTCTCACCTGCAGTCCACACTGGCTCTTCGTCCGTCGAAGCCAGCTTGAGCAACGCTTCTCGAGGCTACAAGAACAAAGAGCACAACCAAGTCAGCAAACGTCCTCCGTCAAGCACCGAAACTTCAAGCGAACACCTCGCAACGCATAATCGGCGTGCCGCCGCGGCAATTGCCGAACCCCCTAAAAGGGCCCAGAAAGGCGCTCCAAAGCGAGGCTTCCGCAGCGCGCGATGAAGAATGGCACGTACATCTTCGTCTCTTGTCGTGTCTCGCACCAGGTTCTGCACGACGTGTTGCGTAGCACTGGCACCAACTCTGCCTCCACGGCCAGGTCCCGTGACGGGAAGTTCTGGTCTTCTGCTCTTGCGAGGATCCATCCGGTCCTTCTCCCTCTTGCGCTTACTGCCACGGCCGTCCTCGCCATCGCGAAACATGGGCAGCGAATGCGGTGTGATGATGTTAGGAGCAGAGACAGCGTCGGACATATCCTCGATCGTAGCCTTCCTCGGAGGGCCCTTGCTGAGTGGCAGCTTCGCGCCGTTGATAGACGTATGTGGTGAATATAACACACATATTTGACCGTTCGCCAGGCCAGTGATGATCTACAGACTCTATTAGTCAAAGCAAGGAGAACGGAATGCATCGCACTCACCTGATTGATCTTGGAATGCCAGAAGACTTTTACGGGCGTTGTGTCTACCTCGAGCTCCTTGACGGACTCCAGGTTGTCCTTCTGCAAGAACATCAGCCGGCCCTTCTCACCCTTCGACATTGCGCCCGCTCCGGTAACTACATACTTGTCGTCTGGGCTGAAAATAGCGTTTGTTGTGGGATACAACGTGGTGAGATTCGAACGCGTCGCCAGCGGCTTCTTAAACGCCCGAAGATCCCAGACTGCGCAAAGCATCAATATCGCAATGATATGGGCGAAACGGATGAGCTCACGCTTTACAGTGTCGTCGCCCCCTCTCGTTAGTACCGTACGCCCGTCAACAGAGTACACCAGTGATCCTGACTCCGTGCCCCTCGTATGAGCACCTTCAATGGACATGTTAGGTCGAACATAGTTCGACTTTGTCTGCCACATGTGCAATGCCCCATCCAAGCAAACTGAAGACCTATCAACCACGCGAATAGAGATACTTTTCACGAATCACGCACCTCCTCCAATAAGACTGCCGTCATGTGAATAACCGCACGCAGTTACTTTTGTACGGGCCCCACGTTCCTTGGACTTGACAACGATCACTGTCTTCTGCTTCCTTTTGTTCTCAACATCCCAGATGCTGCACGACACCCATCCGTGAGGCGAGCCATAATGTCAAGAAAAAATACACTGACCGTATTGTCGAGTCCGTAGAACTAGTTATGAATGTCTGGGAGTCGTAAGGGTGCCAGGCGCACGAAGTCAATTCGGCAACATGGCCCCTGTTACCCAGGACTCGTCAATAAGCGAAGACGAGACAGGTCACGGCTGTACGTACGCTGTATTTTTCATGTCTCGGATGTACGGATCACCCTTGACAAAGGTGGCACTGCCGGTCAGGTCAGACTATCCAGCCCTTGGCAACATGCGCAGGCACTCACAGTTCCTCTCCGTCACGATCATACAGTTTGGCCTGTGTCGTGCCAGAAACGACCAAAAATTGCTGGCCGTCATTCGAGTATTTTAGGTCGTGAATCTGCGAACGTCAATCAGACTGGTCAATTCTGAAGCCTGCGATGGGAAGAAAGGCGACGCACGTGGTAAGTACCCGCAGGCTCCCAAGTTTTGAACGGCTTACACCTCCAGTCCATCCCCCCGAAATCCCAGAGCTTGCAGTCATAATCGTGTGAGCCAGACAATATACGAGCTCCAGACGGGTCAAGAGTCAACGCAGAGACCACTTTCGTATGGTCTTTTAGTGACAACTCATGCGTTACAGGAAATTGGGGAGGTTCAGACTCCTCATCATCAGAGATGTCGAAATCAGGTTCCCCGTTGTTCTTATTTGAGCCGTTGACGGGCGGTGGAGGAGGACCCATCTCATCTGGGTCGAATTCTGGCTCATGTTCGACAGTCGTTTGCTCTAGTCTAACATAACTGCTTGACGTAGAAGGAACAATATCCTCCTCGTTTCTGCTGTGCCCAGTAGAGGTCGACGTAGCCTAATGCACGACGTAATTAGTCAAAACAGCAGGAAACGGATAGAAAGACATACATCTTCACGCTTGCTCTTTTCGAAGCGCTTCGGATCAAGCTGTCTTTGCTTATGCTTCTTGCCAAAGCCCGCAATCCCCATGGCTGTGAAAACATCCATGTCGGCCATTGCGATGAGCGGTGAGTGCGGAAGCGCTAGGCGCTGAGCAACGCACTGTGGGCGCACAGTGCGTACGTAATACACCAAAATAGGGACAATCAAGCTTCGAAGGCACACGCACGCGCGTACGGCCTTCTTTGGGCCGTGCTCAAAAGCGCCCAACCAGGTCTCTAACGGACGCACACACAGGGGAATCAACTTTCTGTACACCATCATCTCTGTCTTGGAACATGTTGAAACGCCAGAGAGCGCCGTCGCCCCTCCCCGACTTTCCACAGGTATCCCATGAGGTGGCCCTCGATGTTCACGAGCGCGTCGTGAAGCGAAGAAGGCACTTGGCGCCCCCGAGCAACGGCCCTCGGGGAAGTGCTATCAATGGCGGCGAAGAAGAGGAGGACGATGAGGATGATCAGACGTGGTTGCTAGACGAGGGACGCCCGGAGTACTCGCGGGGAATATCAAGATGGCAGGAGGAGGCGGGGCTCTATAAGGCTGCCAACACCCTACTCCACGATCTACATGCAGAACAGAGACATCGCATGACATTCTCGTCGTCGTCTTCTTCTACAACACCACTAGCAGCGCATGAGGCACACTCGCCATTGGACAACGGAGCACATATGTCTTGGCTGTCGTATCCCACCAAAGATCCCTGTTCGCCGATTCACGGGGCACCTTCTCAAATTCATCAAGAACATCCCAAGCATGTATTCTTTGACGATGCCATACCACCAGCGGAGGCGGAAGGTCAGAGCGTGACACAACGCTATGAAGACACGAACAGGTCTTTTTGTTCCCCATTTATCTATTGGTCAAACTTAACAGGTGTTAACAGATATCTCGGGTCCCTGTTTCTCAGCCGCAGACGGCTATTGGATACACATGAGGACCATGAGCATTCGCCTTGACTCGTCAGTCAGTCCTTCCTAGACATCGTCAGTTCATCACTGACCATAATGGCGCAGATCTCAGTCATTACATTGCATCGCACTCATGAAGATTATTCTGTTCACGGGCACGCGTCATGATCCCACATTAGCCCTCATACACGCATCCATCGCATTTGCTCTCGAGTCCACTCCGGCAGTTTTCAGGCATCACACGCAAATATTGTACCTTTATGTTGGGATCTATCGACCATTGGATCATCTGTCTCCGTATTTTTAATATTGTACATGCCTCCTAGAAACACAATCCACAAGCTAGTACTGTATGTGTCAAAATGGCACAACGACCATCAAACTCACCGAACCACCACCTAACAACTACTTACACAACGCGAACGAAAAATCTGGATAGCAATATGAAACAAATCATTAGGTATCGAGGATGGAACCAATTGCATATGCCGCAGCACACCAAATCGAAAAATCCTCCGTCTACAAGCAGATGTCGTGCGACCACATAGTCAAGCTGACCTCGTCATGCGAGTTTTGGGGTATGTACCTCAGATGTCAGATCTAGCCTGACACGGCGTTCGAAGGCCTTGCTGAGCTCTGCGTCTAAGAGGTCGCCCAATGACTGGCCGTCTCGTGAATATATCCATTCATCTGTTGCTTCTGAGTAGTCGTAACGCTTTGGACCACTGTTCACGCAATGCCGCTCGCGAAAGTTACTCAGTGAGAGGATGAGGGACGCACCTCAGTGGTGATGACAGCCAGATCTGTTTGTTAGGCGGCTGCTTGTTGATAACATACGTCCCTTTGTCACCGAGCTTGAGTGTCAAGACGCCACTCTAGTCCAGCCGTCATGAGAGTCCCCAGTGCACGATCTCTGGATCAGTACTTACACTGTACTCCACCTCGTACTCTGCGTTATTATTTGTATCAAGTAATTCCTCCAGAGACTCCAAGAGATTCTCCATAGCCGTGTCTGAGTACTCATGGTACTTCTCGATAGAGATATCACTGTATGCATGCAGCAAAGTCAGGTCAGGATCGCGCGCTTGATACCACGATCTTATCACCGACCTGTGATTAAGCTGCGGGGGAGGTGTTGCGTACTGCCGTCTGAGACACGGCAGATTACTCTGAAGCTGACTCTGCTTAGGCAGTACGCGAAGATGAGGGACTAGCGTCGGAGCTGCAAGCCTAGTAGCTCGAGCTGAGCATCTGGCATACCGGACAGCTTGTCGTAAGACCATGACTGGGTGAAGGAAGAGTGTGATGCCCACCGCTCAACTCGACCAAACTCAATGCCGTGCGGAAAGGTCGTTCGCGATGGCGCAATACTCGACTAAGGTTAGGGTTACCTGCCAAGACCCTCGTCGGACGGAGAGCCGAAAAAACCTTCCTCAACGTGAAAAAAATGCGTACATACGACCGCAGAAAGTGCGCAGACGTTCACCAACTCAGACTAGTACTGTCATAGTAAGGAGAAATAGCTTGCATGCCGTTGCCAGAGGTGAGCGCACCCTTTATGCTGTAATATACACAATTGAAGCGCTTGATGACTCATGAGTATCGTCTCAAATGCAACCGCCAGATAATGTACAGTCCAATCGATTGTGCAGATAAGAGTCCTATGTTGCGCACACACTTCACGACGGGGGTGTGATCCCTTCCTTCTTGACCCAGTCCAGCCAGGAACCCTTATAGTTTGCGAGGCTGCAGAGGTGTCAGCGCGGAGGGAACGCGCATGAGTCATCGGCAGACGCACTTTTTGAAACCGTTCCTCTTCGCAATATCGCATGCACTTCCAGATCTCTTCCCACTGCGGCAGTAAAATATAATCTCCTGGTCCTGCTTTGGCTTGTCAAAGCCATAGAGCGCCTTGAAGGCCGCTGGGTTGAGATGCAGCGCACCCGCGAGGACGGAAAGCGGGAGGTTGACGGAAGAGGGAATGGAACCCAGCCGAACTTCGTCAGGCTCACGCACGTCAATTATGTAGAAATCCTTAAGATGTTCGGTCAGAGCGACGTATGGAGGCACTCGCATATGACTCACCGAGCTCGGCTCCAAGGACTTGGGCTTCACGTCGTTATACCCCAAGATCTTAGCATCCCAGTCTCGCAGCACATCGTTCAATGTCTCGAGGAATTTTTTCTTCTCCTCGTCGTCCGCGGCTTTCTGGGACTCGAAGCGCACTATCTGCTGGGCGGCGAGCATGGGACGCGCGAGGGGTCTTGAGCGTGTAGCTGCATGGGCGAGGACCGCACAGCGTGATATAGATATGCGGGAGAACATCACGGCAGGAAGGTAGGGATTGTGTTTGAAATTAGAGGTACAGTCTAGGCAAACTTTTCGCTCGGTTGGTCGAGCTGTGAGCAGGATCGGAAGGGATCGTGGATAACGATACACGCGCCGGCGCTTATATTAATGCACGATCTTCGCGTCAGTGGCGGAAATGGCCACGTGACACAGTGAAAACGTGACTTTGGCGCTACTCACTATTGGCTGACGCAGAATTGCCTCACCTTCCCTTGCTCTCCTCCTCCTCTCTCACTTCCCATGTACATTCGTTCCTTCCTCGATTTCGTTGCGGTCAGGCAACTCCATCTGGCGGGCTTAAATGTCGTAACCGTTCCTGATACTGCCATGAAGCCCCATCTTTCTCTCACAGCTATTCGGAATTGTCGACAATGAATTCGGAATGTTGACGTTACCCACTGCTATCCGGCATCCAGTTTACTACAGTCTGGTTCTCGCTTGCAATCCTGTGGCTTTGGATGCTATTGATTCTTCAGCCGCTGTGGTGCCCAGTCAGGTCACGATGGTTCGTCCACATGCTATGTCCGCTGTGTATTCATGCTCTCCCTCTAGTGGTTCTCTTGCCCTGACGATTCATCTCTATCTTTGAGCCTATGGCTGTTGTAGGTCATAACTGCTCCATCTCAGCACTTGCTTGAGGTTTGTCGCCGTGCATGGAGTTGCCGGCTATTCTACTATTTCTAGCTTGTGCTATGTTGCCGGGACTCATTGGCGGACCTGAATCTGGTGTGAAGAGACATGTCGACTTTCACAGCAGCGACAACGTTCATTCCTCTCATCCTCTCATGCTGCTCAGGCTGTCTCAAATCCTAATTCTCGATGGCGTCGCCTGTGCCTGCGATGTGTTTACTCATGTTTGCTTTTGCCGAACTGGCATGTCATGTGCCGCTGTGACTTCTGCGTGTCGCGTGTCACGCCGAAACCGAAGTGGTGTCTGCTCATCGCGCCATTCAAAGCATTTAGCAACATCACAGCTATGGCCTCTTCAATGACCATGACCTCTGCATCGACCAGCATGGCCGTGTCGTCTGCGGGCACCTTGTCGATGACCCCGTCTTCTCCGATGTCAACGTCCATGTCATCTAGCATGACGCCAATGGTGCCGTATCTGCATTTCATCGGCGGCGACAGCCTGTTATTCAAGCCGTGGGCACCTTCGTCGCACGGAGCGATTGCGGGTGCGTGCTTCGGACTTATCGCGCTCGCCATTGTCGAGCGGTGGGTATCTGCGATGCGCGCGGTGCTGGAGGCGTACTGGCGGCGGAGGTGTGTGACCTCGTATTTAATCATACCGCACGCACATCTAATCTTTAGATATTCCTGGTAGGATGCGGGCGATCATAGTTGCGCAAACTTCTGATCCTCCGACACCGTCGAAAGAGAAATCCGCGGCAGACGTCGAGGCGTTCACCTCGAGGCGCAGCTCGGTGGTCGTCGTCGAGAGGCCGCCTCCGATCTTCCCGCCTTTCATCTGGCAGCACGACTTCTCGCGCGGGGCTCTTTTGACCTTGCAAGCGCTGCTGGCCTATGCCATGATGTTGGCTATCATGTGTGTTTTCTTTACGCGAATGCGTTGGCGGGGCATCGAGTCTCATAACGCCTTGCAGGACGTTCCAGGCGGCGTACCTCATATCCGTAGTGGTCGGACTGGGGATCGGAGAGGTCATGTTCGGGAGATGGGCGTCGGGAGGCAGCCATCTATTCCATTGATACCTCGGTGCTCCTCACAACGGGCGTTGTGCAGGCGTTGTTCTTTTTTTTGCGCGTCTATGGAAAACACCATGCCTCGCACGCGAATGTAATCTGATTAAATCAGTGTTCGAGCGTTGGATTCTAAATTTGTCGGAGGGTTGTGTTTTGAGTTTTTGAGTTTGGATGGTATCTGTTGACTCCCTTGATAATACACGGAGATCCATACCGATGCTCAGGCCTCAGGAAGGCTACTTGCTATACACGAGGGTCGGTTTCGGGATCTTCAGATCTAGAAGTGAGTACTATCTTTGACTCACCTCCCTTGCTGGTGCTACAGGACAGTGACTCATTCTCCAGTACGCGATTATACCTCCGCACAATACAAAGTTATCTGCCGCGAGAGTTTTTGCCACAGGCGAAGCTTGATCATTTCCCCGGAAACACCTCGACCTTGCCTCCACTAACTTCGAATACTGTATATGTCTTCGTGCTATTCGATGACCGACTATCACCGTCCCTTTTCAGAGAGCAGGCAGTTGTTAATGGCGCTATTTGCACCGGTGACAGGGCCGGATCCCAGAAGAGTAGATGCTGGCCCCCTTCTCCTGTGTCAGTACCAAAAGTGCTCATTGCATAAATGGTAGCTAACTCGCTGTGCCAGACCCTCGGCGACCCTCCAAGCCCACTGGCATTCTCGAATTCTCGCGGCCGCACCTGCTGTTATTTGAGTTTAGCTAGGTTTAGCTCCAGTGGACGAGGCCCCGATGACGTCCCGAGTTCGTACAAAAACGTGCACGAGCACTGTCGGGGAGCTGATCGAACGTCCGCGGTGCAGCACTTATCTCGAGGGTCCGTCCGGCGGATTATTTGAGTCCGCGACCGTATCTCCTCGTCGCTGGGGGAGATCTCCAGAGTTGGTGCGTGCTGTTGTGTTTTATTTCTGTTGTGTCAGATTCAATCCGAGGCTGTACGATCGCTGGACCTTTCAGGCCCTTGGGAAGGACGTTGCGGGTGGACATACGGCGCGGCGCGAGTACATATGCTGGATGCCGAATGGTCGTGGAGATATTCGGTTTCGCCGCTGACCGTGCGCAAGCACATGGATAGCTGGTGCGTCGCGACGCGCGCCTGGAGTTTTTTTCTTCGCTCTGGCGCCGTATGAAGTTTTTCACAGTTGTCTCCCTTCGAGAATTTCAGCAGTCGCTGTATTTCCAAAATTTCAGCCACTTCGTCTGAAATGAGCCTCGGATGCCCAAGGGGATCGCTGCAATTTCGTTTAGCGAAACATGTTCGAAGAGCCACTGATACTTCCGTCGGAGTCTCCTGAGATACCTGGCCATGCTCTCTGTGGATGGTTGGCCACGGCATGAGAGGACGCGTTTCCCTTCCGAGTCGACGCAAGGTTGAGCATGTGACTGCCAAGACCCGAGCCGATCTCATCGCTTGGGACCTTACCGTATTGGGGCTACCGCGGCATGGACCGCTGAGTGGCGGCGCTGACTCCTCTTCCCGGCATGTTCCTCAGCTAACTTAGTGTGACCATCCGCGACGGGTTTTGGTTCGGGGCGGCACACGTATCGCCATGAAACGCGTTTGCTGTCTGCAGGTGTGTACGGGATCTTTTCTCTGATTCTGCGGGAGGAGGCTCCTGTCTGAGCTGATCTGGGGAGATCACGAAGCGCCCGATCGCCCGCCACGCATGCTTACACATCCCGGCTGACGTGGACCTTGGCGCCAGCGGGCCCGCCGTGCGCGACGGCTCGGACATGACGGGCTGGTGCGGCGGCGCACGGACAGTGATGGTCATTGTCTTACGCAGATCCTCGTGTTCGAGCGTTATAAGCTTCGACATGCTGTGCGGCACCGAATCTACTGCATACTTCGCTTTTACACCGCCCCCAGCCAGCCTGCGTACCCACTCTGTTCGCTACCCGACCGGGCACTAGTTATCCAAGCTCAATCATCTGCGCGCGCACAGCCGCGACACATCCTGTATCCGCAGCCTTGTTCGCAGCATCATAGGCACCCACTGCGGTTCCGCAGACACACCACACATCGCGCCGACACGACGCGTCAAACATATATCACACCCTCCGCTGACTCCCCGCGCATCACTCACTCTCCTGGCCCGCACACACCCCCGAGCCACCATCTCCTCACATACTCACAGCGTTTTCGTTCCGCCGAGCATCCCGCCGAGCGTCGCGAGCCACACACGCGCCGCGCACACATCGAACCCGAACCCGCTTCGACGCGAGAATGTGGTTCCGCCGGCACGAAGTCCCCTGGGAGGTCGTCGACTCCAAGATGGTCGAGCCTGTGCCCATGTACGACCACGACGATGGTGAGCCCCCCCACCCTCCGCACACCCCGTCCGCCCGCCACTGACGCATTCGCACGCAAGCAGAATTATCACTCACGGCAGTGTCCCCTACCGACCTCAGCGGCACGTACGCGGTAGAGTGCGGCAGGGGCCGTCCGCTAGACGTGCGCGCTGCGCTGCGCCACACGCGTGCGCGCCTCCTGCGCGAGGCCGCGCGAAGTGGTTACAACATCCTCCTGCACGAAGGGTGCGCTCCCCCGTCTCGCTGCTGCCGCTGTGGCTTTCGCTGACGCTCTTGCAGATGGCGCCTGACGCTGCTGCGCAAGGCGCAGACATACCGGCTCGAAGTGCGCTACACGGGACGCGCTGCACACGTTGATGGCGCGCTGCCCCCACGCCGCGCGCCGCCGTTCCTCGGCGTCGTCGAGCGCTGGGAGGCGCTCGGGCGAGCGTATATCTTCGGCGGCGGCGCGAGCGCGTGGGACGAGGGCTGCGAGCTCGGGGCCCCGTGGTTGCCGGAGGAGCCAGGGCAGGGGCAGGGGGCGAAGGGAACGGGCAGCGAGGGGACGAAGCGCGCGCGGTGTCGCAGGCAGGGATGGTTGAGAAGGCTGTCGTTGCGGTCGCTGTGATTCGCGTAGGCGCGTCTGCGCGCGTATCTGCGGGAAGTGAAAGTGAGAGGTGTATGATGGTGTATAATGGGCCATTATTACGACCTGTACTCGTACCCCTCCGACGTAATTTATTCTATTCCGCAGCCCTAGTTTCTTTGTAGACACTTCGTACTGCGTGTCGAATAATGCAGCTGAATGTGCTCCATGTGACCGCGTCGTGCTGCTGCGTAAAGTTACCACGGCTAGAAACCGCACAAATCCAGCAGTATTGTGATTCTTCTGAGCAGACACTGCAGCAGTATACATACGCAGTAGACAACACGGGCACGCACCTTCTCCGCTTCGGCCTAAGATGTCAACCTGCATCATCCATCAGCATGTCAAAGTGGTTCAGAATTGAAGAGCTCGTGTGGGTACACTGCGTCACAGCTGTCAGTGCGGGCGGGCAAAAGGCATCCTCACGACAGCCTTCGCAGCCCAAGTTCACAATATCATGAGGTCACAGTAGAGCATGGGTGTGAGGATACACACTCATCGTTCTTGTGCGCGGGGGGTGGGGGGCGGGGGTGAATTTGTGTGACATGTCTGAGTGGTAGACGTGTAGGAGCGCTCGAATAGTCTCCCAAAGGCAGACCGACACTCTGCTTCAACCTTCGTTCCTCAGGATATCCGTGTCTGGCCGCTCGAACGCCGATGTGTGTTTGGTCCGCGAGGACATGCGCAATTGCATCGGACTTTAGGTTTCTCTGTGAGATATCACAATTGTCCTGAATCTAACGGAGTCTTCCAAATATCCTGTTGCACTGCGATCCAGGCTAGCGCCTCTGTATCCGCCCGCCCGCCCATGCTGCCAGCCTGCGTACGCGACATAGTGTAGCGCGCCGGGGACTGACCGCTATGACGGCAGGATCGCCGCCTTCGTCTCGTCCGCGTTCATACCTCGGAGAGGAGCACACAATAGTGTTCTATTCACGAGGTGCTGCAGCGAGTACGGTCCTCGAATTGCAGGGGTCGGCACAAGAAAGAAATCAGATATGTCGAGCAGACATTGCAGCAGAGCATATATACACACGCAACAGACGATACGAAAACACAGGCCCGCACCTCTAGATCGGCTCTACCGAGGCAGGTCTCACCGCTTCTCCGCCTCCGCAGGCTCGCCCTTGACGATCTCGCTCTCCTCGCGCATCGCATACCCCGTCCAGGACTGTCCGGCCCCAATCAGCCCACACGCGCGCGCACGGGATCGATACAACACACGCACCTCGTCGTAGAGCCCGACGTCGCGCACGCCCACGAGCCCGAGGCCGAGCCAGACGACGCCGGCGGTCATGCCGCTCCCGCAGCTGGCGACGACGCGCCTACGGCCTTCGGTGATCTCGCCCGCGAGCTCGGGGCCGACGGCGGTGGCGAGCGCGCCGTGGAGCGCGGCGGGCGGCGCGAGCGTGGTGTATGTCGGCGCGGGGGCCGCACGCGTGTGCGTGGAGGCGTACTCGTGCGTCTGCAGGAGCGCGGAGAAGGGGAGGGAGAAGGAGTGCGGGATGTGGCCCGAGGGGAGCCCGGGGCGCGGTTCGGGTGCGGTGCCGGCGTAGCTGGGTGGTGTGAGTGGGAGCACGCGGGAGCACGCGGGAGGAGAGTGGGGGCTTACCGGCCGTGGGGGCGGGCGTCGAGGACGACCTCGGCGTGGATGCTGGAAGCGGGGTCGAGCTTCGAGTTGGCGACGATCTGCTCGTAGCCTTTGGCGGAGCGTGTTAGTCGTAGGTATGCGCGGGCGGTGGGGACGCACGTTTGATAAGGTATTTGTCGAGGCTGGGCGTGGGGTATCTGCCGCACTCGATGGGGTGGAGGGGGCCGGACTCTGTGGGAGCACCGTGGGCGAGCCAGGCGGGGAGGCCGCCGTCGAGGATGCTGGAGCGGTTGTGACCGAAGGCGCGGAACATGAAGAGGGCGCGGGGGGACGAGAATACACCGTGGGAGTCGTAGCTGTGGGACTGACGTGAGTACTGGCAAGGGCAGTATAAGGGCGCGGTGCACGCACAGGACGACGTGGGAGTCGGGGGAGATGCCAAAGTCCTCTGGTGGGTGTGCAGGTCAACGCGGGAAGGGCGGGGAGAGAGAGAGAGATACGCACCGCATGCCTGGGCAAAGAGGACAGGAGAGGGCATCATGTGCTTGAGAGCGAGTGGGTGGGTGCTGGCGACGGCGTCGAGGTCGAGGAAGCGTGCGCGGGGGATGCGGAGCGCGTCGAACTCAGCGCGAGCGTTGCGGGGCGAGTTGGGCATGTGCCAGGACGCATCGAGGACGGCGACCGAGTCTGGCGGGAGACGCTGCAGCTGGGCCGGGCTCAGCGCGAGCGGGCAGTGGTCTCCGAAGACTGAGCCCGCGGAGGACATGCACCGGCGGGGCACCCAGGACACGCGGCGGGCGAGGGCAAGCATCGTCTGACCCGAACTCGGGCGACGTGCGCGATAGCCTCGTCTGACCCTAACCCGGGCAAGCGTGACCCTAACCTGGCATGACCCTAACCCAAGAGTGAGAGTGCGCTTCACGCCCAGCGCGGGCGGACGCACCAACGATGCCGTCCGACCAGAGCACCTGGCTCATCGCCGTCCCCGCAGACGGCGACTCTCTCTCCTCTCTCCAGGCAAAGCTCCCAAACGGCGGCAAGAGCCCCAACCTCGCCCCTCTCCCTCTCCCCCAGTTCAAGGTGGTCTCTCTCCTCGTCTTGTACCCGCCGCCTGCTGACCCGCCTCGCTCACAGACAGGCACCCTCGAGTCCCTCGTCTCCCTCTCCGAAGAGCTCCCAAAGTACGACGCCTCCTTCACCGCCACCGTCGCAAAGTCCGTCGACACTCTCCGCAACCTCCTCAACAACGATCCCGCAAAGCTCGCCCAGCACATCCAGGTCAACGAGGAGCCCGTCGACACCTACCTCCTCCACCACTGGCACTGGAACGACGGCCGCTATGGCACCCAGCGCCCCATAAAGGACATGGTCGACGTCCTCAACAAAGTCCGTCTTCCACCCGTCTCTCTCCTCCCCCGCCCATCTCACGCGCACGCAGGAAATGTCCTCCATCGACAACGTCATGAAGGTAAAGCTCAACACCTACAACCTCGCAAAGGGCCAGCTCGTCCAACTCCAGCGCAAAAAGACGCACGTCCTCCGTTATGCCGTTCTCCCCCGTCTCTAACGCTTCTTCCCGCAGCGGCAACCTCTCCGTGCGCTCGCTCGCCGACGTCGTCCACCGCGACAACTTCGTCCTCGACTCCGAATTCCTCGAGACCGTACTCGTCGCCGTCCCCAGGTATGTCCACTCTCCCCTCCCGCCAGACAGCGACCCGCTCAGGCTCCCCGCGCCCACAGGAACCTCGTCAAAGATTGGACCGCCAAGTACGAGCGCCTCGCCCCGCTCGTCGTCCCCCGCTCCGCCACGTACGTCCCGCCGATCCCCACTCACCCCAACTAACCCCGCCCGCGACCGCTGCGCGCACACAGGCAGCTCGCGGCAGACGACGAGTACGCGCTCTTCGCCGTCGTCCTCTTCAAGAAGTCGCACGACGCGTTCGCGCACCAGTGCCGCGAGAGCCGCTACGTCGTCCGCGACTTCGCATACTCGGACGCGCTCCTCGAGCGCCAGCGCGAGGAGCTCGCCTCCGCCGACTCCGCCGAGAAGGAGCTCTGGGTGCGCACCCCCTTCCCCCGCCGCGCGGATCCCGCGCTAAGCTGACGCGTGCGCGCAGACAGAGCTCCTCCGCCTCGCGCGCACCAACTTCTCCGAGGCGTTCCAGATCCTCGTGCACCTCAAGGTCCTCCGCCTCTTCGTCGAGAGCGTCCTCCGCTACGGCCTCCCCGCCTCCTACTCCGCGTTCTTCGTCAAGGTGCGCCCGTTCTCGCTTCCTGCTCTCTCTCGCACACGCACTAACGCCCACTGACCGACCCTCCCGCTCGTGTAATCCCCGGCTCCCCCGCCGACCCCCGGCGCAGCCCGAGCCCAAGGCGACGAAACGCACGCTCTCGGCGCTCCAGACGCACTTTGCGCGCCTCGGCCGCCGCGCGTCCAACGCGAAGACGAACGCGAAGACGGATGGGGGCGAGGGCGCGGGCGAGTACCAGGCGCTGCTCGAGCAGGAGTACTTTGACTTTGTGCTCTTCGAGGTGCCGTGGATCGTTTTCTAGTTATTCGCCCCCGAGGAGCGGGCCTTGCAGAGCGGTGGGGAGGGTCGAGATGGGGTTCGGAAGCATGCATGGAATGACCGTCGGTACTGTAGTCCATACACGAGTCGAACGAATCGCACTCTGTTTCTCAACACGCCGCACTTAAAATCCACACGCAACGACGAGCAGAAAATTGTGATGTATATCGCTACCTTCATTCAACTCAGCGGTACTTACACCCACTGTATCTGAGCACTAACTATGTACGTACACCCGACCAACCCGCACTGCGTCTGAACAGAGGGGGGGAACCAGCGGCTGCGGTAAGTATATGTATGGTACACCAACGTGCGGTGACTCGAATTCGGCATGCAGCGGAACGCGGCGTCGACGTGCGGTCAGATGGAGTTAGATAAATCAGACATGATGAGACGAGACGAGACGAGAGACGAGAGACGAGCAGACGGACGGTGAGGACGAGCAAATAAACAAAGAGGGTAGACGGTGGAGCAGTATTCGGTCTAGTGTATATATATAATAGCGTATGTGCGGTGGCGGCGGACAATTGCGAGCAGCGAGGACGAAGAGGGATGGAAAGGCGCGTGCGGTGAGTGGCAAAACAGAGGCGAAGGCGAAGATTGAGCCGAAACAAATTGGCACCGAACACCAAACAAGAAGGGGAAGACACTGGTGGTCCGCGAGATCTGGTCCTGGCACGCAGGCTTTTGCTACGAGCGAACGAATATTCACAATCATTTTTGGCGCGCACGGTGGAGCACCGCGCCCGAAGCACGCCGCGCCTCCCCGCCCACCGTAGCGTCTATGCAGCGCATGGCTGCGTCCGGCGGAGCGGGGGAGTCGGCGAAGTCGAGCGGCTTAAAGCCCCAAGTTCGAGATAACGCGTGCGACCTCGTCCACCGCGTCCTGGTCCATCGGGAGGCCCCCGCGCCCAATAGGGGCGCCCACGACCCCGCTTCGCCCCGCCGGTGGGCCATACACACTAGGGAACGACGGCGCTGTCGCCGATATAGGGCTGGACGTGCCATCCGTGCCCGTGCCCGCAGCGGAGTGGTCGGGAGAGTCGGGACGCGAAAGGCCGGACCCCATGCGCGGCGCCTCGCTGATGCGCGAGAGCGAGTACGTGAGGTCCAGCGACTGCGCACGGTTCGTGAGCGACCGCGGCTTCGCGAGCTGGTCCTTAAGCTTGGCTTCAAGTAGCGAGTCCGACCCCCGTTTCAGCGCCTCCTCGACGTGCCGCGCACGATGCGGGACACCCGAACCCTGCGGGAGGATGGGGTCAGAGGTGAATTGAGGCCAGGAAGGGTGCCTTACAATAGGCGGCAGCGGCGTCCAGTAATCGCTGCTCGACGGTCCGGGCACGTAGTTTGGCTGAGGCTCCACATCTTCCTCTTCCTCAACGTGGTAGATGTACGACGGTGAGTTGTTGAACAGGGCTTTGACATCCGGCGAGGAACTGGCGAGTCTGAGCCGTCTGTCGATCATAGCCTCCGAAGGGCGTCCGAGGTCGGCAGAATCTGCGAACAGCCCGTAGGTCATTGTTCCGTCGTCGATGGTATATTATACGCAGCAACTTACTTTGATGTCGGGTGCGCGCAGTAGAGAGCACCTTGCTGTCGAAGTGCGGGAATGCGTCCGCAAATGAGTCGCCCCGTTGGTGGGTGCGTGACGTTGCCGAGGGGTAAACATGCACGTTGTGGCCGATGAGGAACTGTTCCAGCATCTCGCGAGCGGTGACCAAGAAGTCGCTGTTGCTCCGTTGGCACCTGAACTTGAACGAACATTCCGTAGGTGTCTCGGTGGATGGTCCAGGTGACCCCGCCTTGATGTTGGGCGAGATGACCACCTGGAAGTCGCGTTTGGCCCTCTCCACGAAAGCGGCAAAGTCAGAGGAGGCACAGATATGGGCGAGTTCGGGGTGCGGAGGCACCGCCATGTCAGCCTCGAACGGCACATGCTCCTAATCGAGGATAAGTGTTTGGCACTCACATCCATAAATATACGTACCAAGAGCATCGTCGCAGCAATCTGGACTTGGCTTTCCGGTCCAAAGATGGTGACCAAGTCAGATGCAGTCTCCTTGTCAGGAAAACGGACCGATGAGTTCGTCTTCGCCTCGATGTCACGAATGAAAATGCTTTTATCGCCGAGCAGAGTACGATGGTACTTCCGAGGAATGGACACAGTCTCGTTCATGTAGTCCTTGTCCTAGTGCAATGAAATGTGTAAGCGACGGTAACATTGCACTAATATCCGCGCACCTTCGGGTTGACGAGCTCCATCACGGACTGCTTCAGGTTCTCCAAGTTCATCGCGTTTTTGGCTGGAGTCCTTGCGACCACATTGTCCTCGTTGTCATTGTATCCACCCATAGCCGCAAACTCCTCCGCGTTCGAGAACTTGACATAGACGCCATACTTCTTCATAATCCGCTGGATGCTCCGACCTCCGACGCCGATAATGCGCTTGTGGTAGGACTCGGGAACATGGAACGAGATCTCCGCTGGAAGTTCTTCCTGCAGAAGGGTCAGCCCCTGAAGAACAGACGCATCATTGCCAGATATGTCGATCAGGAAGTTGTACTCGTTGAACGTCTCGAACTTGATCTTGACGTTCGTGGTCTGCATAATTTTGTTGATCTTGCCGTTCTTCTTACCGCTGATGAATTCCCGGTGCTCGTTCGCAAGCTCAATTTGGAAGCGAATCTCGTGGTGGAAAGTCTGGAATGAACATTAAGTACCGAATGAATGCACACGGTAAGGATAAACGTACCTTGATGATGTCCAACTCAAGCAGCATGCTCACTGCGGCGCGTACTTCATGCTCAAGGCCATGCATCTCAAAGGACATGCCCTTGAACACGACTTCCGCACCGGAGGCGAGAGACACCTGCTTAATGATCGCAGAAACTTGAGTGGGGTTCACGGTTGTCGATGGCATGAGGACATTGAACTGCGCAGGAAGAAGCCAAAGAGATGCTACATAATATTGACAAGCCTGACACAGTATGTCAGCGCGGCAAACACACGGTATTCCGGGACGTACCAGTTGCATGATAGAGCGAATGGTTCTCTGGATGTTGACCCTGTGGTCTCCATATACAGTGATTAAACTCGTCGGACTACCAATAGGAGGGAATTGAATAAATGTAGCATTGTCGTGCATGAGCGCCTTCAGGTCCTCCGCGCGCTCCGTGACCATCCAGTCCATCTTGCGAGGTAGAATTGCGCTGTCACGAGAAAGTATCTGCTTATTCTGGAAATGACACCTATCATCACGACTGACACAAAAGCCTTGAGGAATGGGCCTGCATACCTTGGTCATAGACACTTGGAATAGCATGTCGCGAGCACGCTGAACCCCGAAAAACTCGCCTGTGATCCTGATAATATTGGGATTCGTCTTATTCTGCTGACCCGGAGAGGACGCATTGGCTGCAGCGTAATCGAGACCGAGAAGTCCCTGCAGCGGAGACGGGAAGTAGACGTTGGTCGCAGTCTCCTCCTGAATGGACTGTAAGACGTTGCGCTTCCTGCCGGCCACGATGGCGTGCAGCGTGCGATCAATTTCGCAAGACTCCGAATGCAAACTGCTCTATATCGCAAATGAGATATGCTCGGTAGTCGGCTACGTCATAAATACTCACCAGCTCGTCCAACATGACCAGGAGGCCCACGCGAGCGAGCTCGACGGAATCACCCTGGCCTGTAATGACAAGCTCGCAGACGCGTTCAGTTTCCAAGCCAGACCACCCAGCGCTGTTACTGATACCATCCGGAAGACTGCGCGTCGACAAAGTATGAGCGCTGTTGACGACCGCGATATGCGCAAAGGTCTGAGAAGCAACATCGTCGAGGAGTCGACAGACTTCGGGCTTCAGACTGGCCTTCCCAGAAGGGGAATCAAGAATTTCTGACCGCGCTACCTTGATGGACGCACGGTTCTAGGCGGAGCGGGTTGAGTGACGACGCCTCACGAAAACATCTGACGACGTCATCGGCTCACCTGGATGGGGCACTCCTTCATAATCAATCCCCTGGCGAGCATGACTTGTTGGTAGGCTCCAGAAATCTGGAAGTTCCACGCCTGACCATGGTTGGCGGGCGTGAAGGAAATATGAACGCCGTGCAGCCCCATGGCCACCACGGCGAGCTTTTGAAGGGCGTCATAGTCGGAAGGGGACGCAGTCCCCTGAGGTTCGGAAAGATTATTGTTGGCATATTGTTGGAGATGAGAGTACGAATCCGCCCTGCGAAGCTCGTTGGCAGAGAACTCGAGAGAAGAAGCAGGAGAATGAGCGAGTCGTGCGCGGCGCGGGTAAGTAAAAGATGTTGTGTAGATTTCCATTGTGCTTGTCCAGGAGTAGATGCGATTCAAATATACAGTATTTGAGATGACGGGGTCGGGCGGTACGGAAACAGCGAGGGTATGCGGTAGTTCTGAGGGGTATGGACAAAGTGGTATCCGGGAGAGCCCCGCGCAGCCTCAAAAAAGGGTGAAGGAGGCTGGTAGTCGACAGAAACAAGGAGAGAGCAAGATACACGTATAGGAGGAGTCCTCAAAATGCACTAGAATATCGGTGGAAGGAGCCCTGCGCTTTCCTGGCGGACTTTCAACATTCCCACCCCTCCAGTCCGCGCCGCCCCCCGAATCTCCTGTCTTTTCCGCCCGTCGCAGGCCCAGAATATATTCACCCCTTTATGGTCGGCTACGCTACACATTGTCAAACAGGTCTACCGGCTGCCAGTCATTCTCCTCGCTGTGGATGTCAAACAGCTTCATGTAACATCTCTGTCCCGGCCTTGAAAAGTGCGCGTACGGGTCCTGCGCCAACAGCTTGGCGCCGCACCGATAGCAAAAGTGGGTGCCGCACTTTGCACACGTCATCTGGATGAGAGCGCAAGGATGAGTAAACAGCCCAAAGAACTTCATCGGTGGGCGAGACATACGTGATTGCAGCCAATCGACTTCTCTACATGCACCTGACAGGTCGGGCAGGCCATTGTAGATTGCTCGAGCCACTTCCTGTTTGCCTGGTCCTCCTCGTATTTCGCCACAAGGCGCAGGAGATTGGCTCTTCCATATCGTCGATCTATAAGCTGCCGCTCAGGAGATTGCTCCGGCAGCTCCATGTATCTGGATACGAGCGAATCGGACGAGGCGATCGTGCACTCACTAAGGGGACCATGCCTGTTCAACGATGAGTAAGATCGATCCTGTCTTCAGCCAATAACTCACCATGTACGTCTGCAATAAGCACAAAACGAGAATCCGCATTCGAGACATGTCCTCAGGCGTTCCCATCCAGACCCCTCCTCGACGTTCTGTGGTTTGGCTACGGGATGCTGGCAGAACGATAATGGACAGTGAATGAGAGTTGGATCTGTTAACCCAGCAGTGAGACGATGCCCCGAAAATCAAACCTCAGACCAACTGCACCTTTCTCCAGTGTGCGCTTCTCCCGCAACCATTTCCACCTCTTCAACTCTTCCTCCGTAACCACTCTCCTCACATCCTCTTCGTTCGCTTCTCGTCCCTCCTTGACACATCCCGGATCTGGACACCCTACACGTCCAACGTCTCCCTCCTTGATGCATAGCTTCCAGAAGTCTTCTAGGCAAGCACGACAGAACACGTGTGAACAGGACAGCAGTATACACCGAGCTCCTTTGATGGATGTCAAGCAAATTTCGCATGAATATGAGTTCTGGGAGAATCTTGTCAACTGCGCTGAAGTATCGTACGCTTTCAGGAACGAATTAAGTTGATGAACGGCAGGATGTGGTATGCTGGTTGAATTCTCAGTCAAAACCTACGCAGTGACATTTCAGGTAACGAACGTACGAAATTATAGTTCCTTCTTCCGAGCTCGAAACGAGTCCACACCCATCTAAGAAATCTCCGGTGCGGATCCACTCTACCCAAGTGTATAGAACTCCTTCTCCTTCTCGCCACTTTTCCATCAAACTGCGGTGCAGACCAAGATTACGAGGTAACCACGAATGTGTTGCATGTATCGATACAATTTCCGGGGGCGTATATGGATAGGTAGGCGGTAATAGTACATCCAGTAGAATGGGCGGAAGTGTGGAGAGAGATAATATAGAAAGGCCAGCTGTCCGAGAATGAAGGAGACCATGAGGGAAACGGTCCGTTCGCCTGAAAGGCGTTGTATGATCGTCAACCAACGCGATAGATCTTGGGTCCGGAAACTCGATGGGGACTTCCAGCTTTACAATCCCATGCTTTATGTCGTTCGAGACACAGTCTGGGTAAATCGACTGCACGAACATGAGTTTCACGATTAAATCCAGGCGACTAATGGCATACCTCCAAGACTTCCCATTCCTCCCGCTGTAGTGACGCACAAAGGTCCAGGTCAGGCTGATCTATGGACAACGCAGTCATCTTTCAGAAGACGAGCTGCTTGACAAACAAGAAGATGTCAACAGCGACAGGCCATGTGTGGCTTGCGCCTGCCAGCTGCTCAGAATGAGAACGGAGTGTTTTGTCTGAGTAAGACGTGGTGGCGAGTTACATCGGATGACTCGCCGGAAGCAAACTGCTATTTTGGGGTTAAGGTTAGGGCTTCGCTTGTACAGCCGTAAGTTGTCCATATGAGACCCAGGTTGGATGTTTGAAGCACAAGATTCACGAACTAACAGAGCTGATGACGGCAACTCATTCAGGAGACATAACATCCACGGTGGACGAGCGTTTGTTCCAACTTGAAGCACCGGGAGCCGCCAAGTGACGTCGCGACACCCTGCTAGATATACAACACATAAGCTACATAATCTCTGGGCTCTCCATGGAAAATTAAGTCACAGATTGATAGCTTGGATGTAGCGACAATAATCAGAAAGCCTGTAGGAAACTCTCCTGGCGAAGACATAAACCCCAAGACTCAGGTTAGGGTTTGATTACCTCGTCGACGTCGAAAACGCAGCAGAATGACTTGGAGGAATGCATTTCACGACCGAAATATTCTATAGTATTTACAGAGGTTATGTGCTATATTGTGATGAACAAATGGGTGAGAGAACACGTCAAACAGCAGAACAAATACGACCGAAAATCCCGACGAAAATGGGAGCGATTCATCACAGCGTGATACTACCCGGGATGAAAACACTACTAGTAGAGGACCTATGTGATGTATCGAGCGACCAAAAACTGGGGATGAAGAAGTATAGGCCAGAATTGACCGCGACAGGCTTCACCCGAGCTTGGGACATCTCTCCACTCTCGCGAGTGTACCCTGTAAAGCGAAACTCAGCATAAGTAGCAATGGACACAAAGGGCATCGGACCTGCGGGAGTAAGAGAGCATCCTCCAAGCTCCTAATGATGATGATCGCCCAATCTTGGCTGTTATACTCGCGAGCGTCGCGTTTCTGATTGTGAGAGTTCACTAAATCAGTGGCTGTCTCGCTGTACATCTCGAGAGCGCCGAGGACGGGGTCAATGATCTCGCCGAGGAGTATTTTGCCAGAGTAGGGTGAAGCACCATGACCGCTCGTTAGACGTACGCGACGTGCGACCTTCGACTTGTATCCGCCCGCGCTACCGGAGCCCAACATCTTTTTTGTTCCAAGAGTTAGAATCGGTGTATCACAGAGAATAGACAAGACTGAGCATAGCGGTACCTCATAAAATGTTGCATAAGCTTGTTCATGAGCTTCGTAAGTCACAGCCAAGGTCCAGTGCCTTGCGGAGGTTCTTGTAACAGGTTCGTACCACACCAGCCACAGGAAGCCAGCCATAACGTCAGGACCCGCTATACGACGAGTAAAACCGCGTTTCTGTGGGTTTTCTCAATCAAAGACACACCGTATATATATTCTGACGGCGTGTATATCCGATGGCGGGGCAGATTCTCGTGCTACCGCGAAAGACTCCCTACAAGGCTAATGTTACACGCAGACGGCATGAGGGATAGAGTTCGCCAGCTTCGATTGACCTTACCAAGGCGAGGCCATTTATACACGTTAATGGTCGTACTTGTGATAAGTCCGACGAGGAATAGCAAGAAGGAGGGTCCAGGGCAAAATGTCGCCAGTGACTGTAAGTTGGACGCAGCATGCTAGACTCGGATGCCCTGCCTCAGGCCGCCAAAAACCTCACCACTGCACGTGGTGTTCCTCAATTGACTTTCTTGTCTGACACCAAAAGTTTCCGAACAACCGCAAGCTTGCTATCAATTAATTGTGCGGCCTTCGAGACTTCGAAACGTCGAGTGTGGGACGGGTGCAGCTCGTTGTAATTCTTTGACTCGACCTTGACATTCCTGAAACCGGCATTCATGACCAGTGCACAGTCAGCGGCCCAGGGCTTCATTCGTGGGCTGAAGGCAGCTTCTGACCCTCCTCATCCCGGTGGTCCACTCAAGATTGAACTTGCCAGTAAAGCATGGGAAGATACCTCTCTGTATATTCCGAACAAGGCCGAGGTCATCGTCGACTGGATCCTGATGCGTCTTCTGAAACACAAATCGAGGTACGCAGCCTCCCCCACGTTTGTATTCACATCACGGAGTAACGTGCATGTTCCACAGGGACGCGGACCCATTACTTGATGATCGGTATTGGCAACTCTTGTCCGAGATCCTCTCGTGTGATAGCCTACGAGCGGGCGAGTCCGCTCGTGCCGCGAAGGCGTGGTTAATACCCCTGCTAAACTGCTTGCCAATAGCACCAATCGTCCGAGATTTCTTCAACATGTTGTCTTCAACAGATTCAGAAGTGAATTTGAATTTGAACGCGTTGGTTTCGCGTTGTCTGGTTGTCGTATGGCCTTTAGCGGTGCCCAAAATCGGTATTGAGGCTCTCCTCGAGTGTTTCGGCGCCGTGCTTGGCTGGTCGATTGTGCCCCATGAAGGGGAAGAGATGAACGGGCGAAATGTTGTACAGGCTCAACTCTTGGTTGTTCAAGCCTACCGAGCAGCTCTGGCTAATGCTGCGAACAAAAAGAAGGTGAGGAGTTGCGCAGTTAGGTGTTACTTCATGTCTCATAATCGTCGTAGCTCTATCCGACCTTCGTGCAGAATCATCTCGTGCACTGGTTGACGTGTATCCAACTTCAAGGAAACGAGACTACGAAACAGCAAGTTCTTGCGTCCGAGATATACTCGGCAGGAGTCGATACCCTCTTCAGCCTTGAAGTGCTGCGGCAAGCAGGAGACCAGCATTTCGATGCCGCATTGAAAGAAGAGTTCACCAAGGGGATGGCCAATACACCCGAGACTGTCCTCACTTCTTTCCCTCGTCTCTTCATGTCCTTCATGCAGTCTATCAAAAAGCACAAAAGCGCTCTGTTCGGGCACGGCTCCAACCAAGTACCAGGGGATATCACCAAACAGGTACAGGGCGCAGGAATGGCTTTCTTCGCGTCTTGCGACAATCTGCTCACAGAAGGAAAAGAGTCGGAGCAGCTCTGGCTAACAAGAATTGCGTTACTCGCAGTCGTTGATAGTGAGAACCTCTACAATGTGAGAGACGAGCATGCCGTGCAGTTGTTGAAGCGCAGTGGTCAACTTGCCATAGACGTTCTGGAATTTGCTTCGGAATGTAGGTGACTCACTTGGATCAGTTTCATGATGCTCATGTTGGCGTGACTTTAGCCCGGAGTAATCAGCGACTTTTCCAGCGACTTAACTCCGCTATAGAGCTTCTCTCCACGCTCGCGCGAATTGACTATGACATTATGTCTCCAGCTTTGCCCGCAATACTGCCGAAACTCGTAGCAGTGAGTATTTGCGCACTTATCTAAGCCTGTACTAATTTCCCGTGCTAGATCTCTGAATGCATGCCATCGGTCTTGATTTACCTAGGTTTACTTCTCGATTATCATGCGAAAACTCGAACCATGCCGTCCTTCATCGTCTATTGGCTCGATGCATTCTCAATACACCACATCCAGGCTGTCGGGCAGCAACCCCGCACGGTGTATCATGACACGTTCTCTGGCTCTCTCCTCAGTCCCTCCTACCTAACTCGATTGTCCAATTCCATCCGCAGCTTCCTGACGCCAGGACAGGTGTTGGAGACGGTGCAGATAGCGCTGCAGACTTTCAAAGATGCGTTCGACAAGTTCACCCAGCATGATGCAGCAAACGCCGCTATTCATGGGGACGGGGCTCGTAAGAAGCGCAAGAAGGGTTCCTCGACTGCGCCTGCGAAATCTGCAGACCCAGAATGGGCGGCAGTGTCTTTTGCTCTCGTGGCTCGTGCCGTAGTGGTGATCCTGACATCTACGCCAATGCATGCAATTTTGGAAGACGTCCATCATGAGATCCAGCAGTTACTGCATGAGGTGTGCTCCGCGATGGTGCCCGTCGCACCAGAGGAAGCTTTGGACCGCTTGGGCAAGGATCGCAAGGATACCTGGGGTTGGCAGATCGTCGCCGGTGCAGCTCTCCGTGTACACTACGGATTGACTATGTCACCCCAGTTGCAATTTGATGTCCCTTTCGATGAGCACATAACATCGAAGATGCTTTCGAGTGTGATATCGGAAGAGTCCTCACCGGAATTCAGCTTGGAGATGGTACGGAAACCATTCAAATTCACGGTTGGGGTTGACGCTCAAATGTTTGCAGTTCCGTTCTCTGCTCAGGCAATCCGAACAAGATCCAGGAGATGCCGAGAATGTCTTCGACGCAGTTCTACAGTACCTCGAACACCATATCGGCCGTAGCGATGCCTCTTGGAGTGGCAAATCTCATGAATTGACCGGCAATGTCGCATATGATCAAGGCGCAGTAGCTCTATGCCATCTTCTCTTCGAGAGATGGCTCCCTCATTTTCAGTGAGTAGATTGCGTTGTGTAAAGCTCATATTCTGATTTGATACTAGTATGCATGCCTCCGAGGTTCAGTTGGCTCGCCTGGCAAAGCTGATTATGTCCATGGAATTTGGTCACCTTTCTCCTACAGCACCGTCAGAAGTGCAAAAGGCAGTGAATGTCACTGTCATCTTGACGAAGGCTTTCCATAATGCAGAATTCTGGGAACTGCATCGTCTCAGAGGTACATTATGATTTGATCGAACGGTTCTACATATCTTACATGTGCATATGCAGATGTCCTCCTCGCCGAAATGCAGAGTGAAACAGCTCCGCTTGATCTGATTAATCTGCCCCTAGTGTTTTCCGAACTCCAGGATGGATCTGCACAAAGTCCGATTGAAGATATGCGCAAGATCGTCAGAGTCTACGAGATACTACTGCAAGCCCCTGCAGAATACTTGCCTCGCACCTCTCGTCATGACTTTCTTCGCCGAGCATTGGCAGCAGATGTCACGATGGCAATAGCACCACGGACCAACGGACCAACGAACGTTAATAGGCGTTTGATTTTAGTTGTACGAGAGTTCGTCTGTCGTACCATGTCTTACCTTGGAACTATTGACCATACTGTAAGTAATTATTCCCTACACATTCCGCACGCTGATACATGGCCTAGGCAGCAGCAGATTACTTGGCTTTCTTGATGGAGCCATGTTTGTCTCGAACTACGACTGGAGACACGCTGGATGATGAACTAGTTTCTGTTACACTGGACATCATCGGCATGCACCTGGCGTGGGTTGTATGAGTTCCGTATCTGAATGTCTTCGCTTAAGTTCTGCTCGCAGGTCTTTTCTGAAGGCCGCAAGGAAAGGCGAGGAGGATGCGGTCACTGCTGTGATAGGAAGATTCGATGATATACTCACATCTGCCATGTCATTGGAGCCGCAGTATCTCCAGCATGGCATCCGTCAGAAGAGCCTGTTGAGGTTCATTGATATCTTGACCTCCGATCACGAATCGTCTCAGTGCGTACCACGATGACCCTCTCTGGCTCTACCGGTTTTTAACATTGGCGCCTAGTTTCTCGGAAACGTTGAGAGGTTCTCTCCGCCGTCTACAAGCACATATGATCTCTGTTTACCTACCTTCGATGTTGAAACTAGTAGCTCAAGATGGCGAAGCAAGCAAGGTCCTGATGCAAGGCGAGATACTCCAAACTTGGTCTTGTGCGCTGAGCTTGGGGCGTTGGTTAAATTTCAAAGGTAAGAGCTGCGCTTAGCCTCGTTGTCGTTTGCGGACTGGCTCAAGTAAATTACAGGGATGTCCACGGACAAGTTCGGCCACTTGCTGGTCGGAAAATTGTTATCGCTAAAAGCGGAGACACCTCCTCCCATCCGTATTTGTCTTTTTGTGTCAGACATTCTCTTTGCAGAACTTTCGACATGTACGGACGTCAATAGGCCTGTGCACTTGCAGTGCATTATTGCTGCATACATCACCTTTTTTCGCCTGTGTGGATCGTCAGGTGTGTCTTCTCGGTTGTCACTGGTATTGAGGCACTGCATCCTTATTTCCTAGGCCTTGTGGACAAGCAGCTGTGTAACGTGTCCAAAACGCTGAGCCTCGCAAACTTCGAGTTCATCTTAGACTCTACAGCCGAAGCCTTGTCAAACATAGACAAACTCCCAATTAGAGACATTGCCAGCCTTGTGCGATTTTCCAGCATCATGGTGCATGACGCTCCTCAAGGTGAGCCTACCTCGAGGGACATCATCTTGTGATACGAATGTTCTGTCCAGGATCGTTGAAGACAACGCAAAGCCACGTAACCAGATGCCTCATCCTCTTCGCTGATTGCTCTATATTCCTCACATCGTCACATCTCCGGCGTGAAGTTCTCAACTTCATGAGCCGACACTTCAATGACCATGTAAGTCGCTTCATGTACAATTCGTGATGTTTCTTACCGTCGGTTTTAGCCTGCGTCTGTTAGGTCGATGGACCTATCTAGCATCTGGTCAATCCTGGGAGCCGTCTTTGCAGGTTCAGCAGAGCATGACAGTACCACCGACACGACGATCTTCCACGAGGTAATCGCGACGATTAACGCATTAGTTCGACTTCGCCGTGATCTGGTCTTACACACTCTGCCCCATCTGGGCATGATCCTGCGGCAGCTGACAATAGCTCTGCGAAGTCCGCGACCTCACCTCGGTGGGAAGCAAAGCAGACTTGTTATGAACACCCTCCCGAAATGGGTCAGTGCGGACACGCCGTTGTCGTCCGAGGAAAGCAAGGCGTTGGCGAGGCTAATGACCACACTCTCTACGAAGACAGTGGTGCGCGTTCACGGACCATCTTCCGAGAGTCAGAAACCGGGGTCACTCGTCCGCCCCTTCTCAAAGCACGCGGCGTACGTCTTAACAGCGTATATTGACGCTGTCAATGATCCTCTGTGCATTGTCCCCACTCAAATTCGCAGAGAATTGCAACCTGGGCTATTTGCCCTCTGTGATATGCTGGGAGAGCACAACAGAGATGCAATGATGGTATCCGCTCTGGGTGCTGGCGGGAAGGCTACTATGAAGGCTTTGTGGAGGGAGTACGAAAAGCAGAGATACGCCGGGAGGGGATAGAAGTATAAGTTATCTGTATATATGTCTAATTTAACATCATCCCACACTATCGTACTCTATGAGTTCTACTGTTGCAACGGAAATGTGAAACACGGTGCGGTGGGGCTACGTGCGGACCTTGTGATAGATATTGCCGTTGGGAAGACCATTAACCTTTTTCTGAGTAGGAGCAAACCCTGCATCTCTCTTCTCTTGAGCCAGGGTCCGCATGAGCGACAAGAAATCCTCGACTGCGTCTGGGGAAGTTTGAATGTGAACGACCAGCCTTGAACCACCAACATCGATCGGGTCAGGCAACTTGCTCGCCCTATCCACTACCTCCTCGTAGTTCACGCCAATAGGAGAGGCGTCGAAGAAGACCTATAATGAATTCGAGATTCAGCATGAATCTCCATATGAGCGATCACATACCATGCACGTCTCGGCACGGCTGGTGATAGTAACGCCGAGCCCTTCGAGGCCATTCTCCAGTTTCTTGGTAAGAGCGTGTACACCAGGCAACAGTGGGAAGTTATGTGTCAGAGCATATGCGGCAGCCGCTGCCATGAAGCTCGTCTGTCTCATTCCCCCACCGAACAACTTCCGGAACCAGCGAGCTTTGGTGATGAATTCCTTTGAGCCGACGAGACAGGACCCAATCGGCGCACCTGGTATCTTCGCATTATTCACAGTATCGCTTCCAGGATTGTCTTACTCACCAAGGCCCTTGCTGAAGCAAATACTGACAGAATCAAATGGGTCACACAATGTCTTGATGGGTGTAGTCGTCGCGACTGCGACATGCCAAATCCGAGCTCCATCGAGATGCATCTTAATTCCCTTGCTGTGTGCAAACTCGGAAATGGCTTCAATATCTTCCTGTGGAATGATGGTTCCATTCAAAGTATTTTCAAGGGCAATGACTTCTGTCGGAGCGCTGCTGGAATATTAGTGTGAATTATCGACATGTAGCAAAGGTGACCGACTAGTGGATGTTCATTTCCGTAACGACGTTCTCCTTAACATCAGCAACGGTTAGATGATGTCCTGGATGGGACCTCGAACGTTAGCAGATGGGGTACAATTGAGTGCACTTCATACCATTGGAGGGAGGAACGCACTCCAAATGTGCACCAGAGTGGAACGCCGCTCCGCCTGCCTCGTGTCTGTTCAAGAAAACAAGTGACCATGAAGTAAGGGACATGAGATACATTGATGGGACACACCTAGCGATATGCGCACGATGGTCACACAATACAGAATAGGGAGGCTGTTTCAGATGGGTGCGCAAGGCAAGCTGATTGGACATAGTCCCGGAGGGAACGAAGAGCGCCGCTTCCTTCCCAGTGAGCTGTGCCATATGTGCCTCCAAAGCCTCCGTGGAAGGATCGTTGTAGACATCGTCGCCAAGAGAAGCACGGAGAGCATAAGCATACATCTCCTTCGTAGGCGCTATCAAGACCAATATTGTCAGAGCTCCAAACGGCTCCCGTCATTCTGTCGGCCTCAAGTTCTGACCTGTAATGGTATCGGCTTTGTTCAAGATCAGTATGTTTTCTGGAGGCGGGCACAGAAAGAAGATAATCACAGATGAAACTCCTGGAGATCTCCCTCAGCAGCTTTTCATTGTCCTGAGGTGAACCATATGAATGGAAAAGTCTGAATGGTCCTGGCCACCGTGATCACCTTTTCCTGTGTCTTAGTCAAGATGTCAAACTTCACTTGAGCAGCAATGTCTTCTAAAGTGGCAGCCATTGGCGGTGTGCAGCCTGCGCGACGTTCGAGCTACTTGTAGAAACTGAGCAGACCGGAAAAGTAATAGTAATAACTTCGGTGTTCTGTCATACTTGTACGAAATCGCCGAGAGAGTGACTCACGACTGGGTCACGCAGTGCACGGCCCAGACGGAATTGAGGCGGACGGAATAAATTTCTGCGAGTGGAGAAAATTGTCTGGAGTTCTATATCGATGAGGCTAATCAGGGCCAATCGACTTCCGGGCCGCAGGGAACATCTCCTACAAAAGGGAATATTAGGTAAGAAAGGACCAGCGCCTGCAGCGCACGCTCGCCTGTTGTTTCTGTGCCTCTGTATTCTCTGACGACTCTACAGCCTCTGGACCCATCCCTCTCTTTCTTTCATAGACTTTCTTTCCTCAGTGCTTGGTTCTGGTGTTCAAGATGGGCAACGTGCGCCAGCGAAGCTACTTCTCGGCTGTCGATATTGATCTCGTTGCATCCAGGGTGCGAAGGCTGCTCAGAAAAGAGAAAGAAACGCCGCGAAGGCTGGTGCTACGGCGAAGAGTCAAACTAAGACCAACCAGGCAGCTTTGAATATAGTCTGCCAGACATGTCGGCAAGCCTTCGTGAGTCCTAATTCCTGTGTTTTATCACTATCTTTGCGTTAACGAGAACGACACAACCAGCTGTTGACTACGCGTGCCCCTGCGTGAGTGTACCACCAATATTTATGACGAGATCTTACATTCACCCCAACTATGTCTCAGTTTGGAAGAACACGCGCAGAACAAGCACTCGAAGACTATGGCCGAATGCTTCCCCGATGCCCCCAAGTAAGACCCGGTTTTCTTGCGGCCAGCCAAGGGTCAGAAAGGTCTCTCCCGGGTTTTGTTGGGTGCACATTTGATATCTCACTATTCATGTGACTTCCTGGAGTTTCGAGCAAGAGTGTTTTCGCGCACTCAGCGCATTAAATGGCGTGTATAGTACATCGTCCCGGACCTCCTCCCATAATGACCGGTCTTTAAGATGTATGGTGCATGTCATAGCGATCCAAACGCGCTCTGTCCACCCGCTGCTGCTCCGGCATTCGCACCCATGTTCTGCAGCTTCTCCCCGACTTTCTTGTTCACTTCAAAAAACTTCGCTACACATCGATCGATGCAGACACTCTCCCCCTTGTTGAGGTCGCCTTCTGCATATCGAGGGCTGATACATTTCGCGTGACATGACCTAAAAACGTTTTGAGACGACATGCATTCGAGTACAATGTATTGACAGACTGACGAGACCAAGCGATTGAACACGTCCGTGATCATGTCCAACCTGTGCCCATGAATTGAGACTACATCGGATGACAGACCTTCGATGTCGACTTACTCTTGCACGGCCATGTCGACCCTTTCAGGGTTTATACTCCCTGACGGTGTGGCTGCCGACCTCCCAAGAAACGACATTCTTAAGCGAATTCTTTTGCAAAAAGCGAGCGGAAGTGTCAGAAGCTGGTAATTTGAACAGGTATGCCCCCTGCTCGCGAACAGTGGTGTACAGGGGAAGGAAGCGGTGGAGGACAGCAGCAAGAGTTGACGGCACCTCCACGGTGTGCGCGATGACGCCTGCCGCATTTGGTCAGAAAAAGTTTGCTCGTGACTTTCGCGTCTTAGGCGTCTAATATCTCCAGCTCGACCACGCGTTTCTGTCCGGTGTACACATCCAAGCTCAACATTGAAGAGTCGGAAAGATTGTGCGTGTAAGACATGGTGGACGGGATGACTCTGGTGGTGCACCGATGTCGTTTCGTCGATTTCACACCAGCGGCGGTCACTGCACTTTCCTTTCCACCACTACGGCTACCTTCCGTGAAGGGAAAGAAAAGCACTGCCCACCAACAAACGTTGAAATTCACCACCCTCGCCGTGGGCCGAGCCAATGGCAATATCGAGCTGTGTGAATGGACCGGGACGGACTCATACTATGAAGCACCGCAGGCGTGGGTGGTGAGGAAGGTACGTCTGTTCCCGACCAATCCAAGTATTTTCACATTGACTAGTGGTACTTATAGACATTAGCGGGACTTTATCCTTCGAAGGTAGAATCGCTCGCATTCTCAATTCGATTTTTAGATGAAGTGGCGGAAGACGAAGTACCTTCCATCTTGAACCTCCGGCTTTTCAGTGCAGGTGGCAGCAGCGAGTTAGCCGAGTGGGACATTGAGCATAGCTGTGTCCGAGTAAGATATATCTGCATTTTCTTCTGCGGTGACTTACTTTGATTAGAGGACAATCGCCTCGCAAGGAGGCACCATCTGGGCTGTCTCTCCGAATCCGGCGTCGACTCTCCTAGCACTAGGGTGTGAAGACGGATCCGTTCGCTTGCTCTCGATCGAGAACGACTCTTTGACGCACATGCGGCGTTTTGACCGGGTGAAAAGTCGAATTCTGAGCCTTGCTTGGGGGCCGCCGATCCCTCGCCAGACTGCAAAAAAGCAGAAACAGGACGCCATGGATACATCAGACGACGACGATGACGAAAACGACTGGAAAGACTCTTGGCTCGTCACTGGGTGCTCAGATTCCAGTTTGCGGAAATGGGACCTGGCCACTGGCCGAGTGCTTGACCGGATGGGGACCGACAAGATTCGCGGAGAACGAACACTAGTGTGGACAGTGAGCGTCCTGGGGTGAGCATCGCTGCTGAAGTGTGAATCCTCGCTCAAACGGTGCATCCGTCTGTGTTTAGGGACGGCACCATCGTGTCGGGAGACTCAATGGGCATGGTGAAATTCTGGGACCCTGTGACATGTACTCAGATGGAAAGTTTTCATGGCCATGCAGCAGATGTTCTTTGCCTGACAATCGGCCCTGTAAGTAAATTCTATTCCTTGTTTCGCAGCAGGGTCTGATGTGCAATTAGGAAGGCACGGTCGTCTACACTTCCGGCGTGGACCAGAAGATCACTCAGTTTTCCTACATCAAGATATCTCGGTCGGAAATGTCGTCGTCCCCCTCGGCCGGCTCTCCATCCCGGTGGGTACAAACTTCCTCTCGCCGTATGCACTCGCACGACGTCCGTGCGATCGCGATATGGCCACCATATTCACCACTTCCGCCACCATATCGCCGACAATTCCCTCTGGATATTGCCCCCGTGTTGGCCTCAGGAGGCTTCGATATGTCCGTTGTCCTGACTCCCGCTGCGTTGCCGACAAGCACGGTAGTGAAGGTGGTCAATCCGTTAGCCACTAGCACGGCGGCGACGTTCGGGGACTCATACCACCGCCGGCTGGCGTACAGTTCTGGCCCGTGCAATTCGTCTGCCGTCCACCTCGCGCGTCAAGCGCGTCTACTGCTGTGCATGAGGGATGCCGGGCTCACTGTGTGGCGTATCCTGCCGAAGCGCTTGTCCTTCGAGCAGCAGAGTGACGAATTGGATGGTGACGTTCCCAGCGGTGGATGGGAGCGGGTCCTTGACATGGAGTTGAACGTCCATACAAACCTCGTCGCCAGCGCTATTTCTAACGACGGCCGATGGATTGCTATCTCGGATTGGTATGAATCGAAGCTATTCCATTTGGAGCAAGAGGCGTGTATTATTCTGTTCACTTCTTACGAATTTGTGTTGACATCCGTATGCAGCAAAGTGGAGACCTCAAACCAAGACGAATACGTGACTTCTCCGCAATCATCCAGAGCCATATAGGCAGTTCACCGGCATCCACAGGCTCCTCTTCTCTGACCTTTACCCCAGATTCATCGAAGCTAGTGATGGCGACCGCTACCTCTTCTTACGTGGTCGTCGTTGATATCGGGAATGAAGAGAGTCTACCTCGCGTCCTCCGGAAATTTGAGCACCATCGCCTGCGCGATAACGTGGTAGGGAACCGCGTGATTAGAGGTCGGAAGGGCCTGCAAGACGCTGAGCCAGCGGAGTCTGAGGACGCTGGAGAATCATCCGAAAACGAGGCTGCTACATCCAAGCAGGTGACCGCGACAATCACGCGGATGGCCATCAGTCCCGACGGACAGTGGTTGGTGACGACGGACGACCACTGTCAGACACACGTGTTCAACCTCGATTCCATCCAGGTATTGCATCTTCACCTAATACGCATCGTTCCTTACTCACAGCGGCGCAGTATCACTGCACACTCCCCTCCTTCCCCCAGCCCATCCACGCGCTGGCCTTCGATCCTTCCGCGCCGAGCTTGCTCGTCCTCGGATTCGCGAACAACACGATCCAGGTGTACGATGTAGAGGCGCGCCAGTTCCCGCGGTGGGCGCAGGCCCTTAACGGCGGGCTCCCGCAGCGTTTTACGCACCTACACGACCCCATCCTCGGTGTCTCGTTCGATCCGGGCGCGCGCGTGGGGGAGGGCGGCGCTTACACGCCGCACCGGCACGCGCTCTTCTGGGGCGCGACCTGGCTGTGCCGCGTCAAGCTCGACGCGTCTGCTGGCTGGGGTGGGTTCGAGAAGAAGAGGAGGTGGGACGGGAAGCGGCATACTACCGCCCAGCCATCGTCCAATCCCACATCGAGGCTCGACGTCTCCATGGAAGAGGGCCGGGGACAACAGCAGCAGAACTTCAAAATCGTCACTCATTATCGGTCGATTCTGTTCGTAGATTTCATGAGGCCTGCCGAGCTGGTCGTCGTAGAGCGGCCACTAGTGGATGTGCTCGCGAAACTGCCGCCTCCTTACTTCAAGGCGAAGTACGGCACGTCATGACTGCTGTGTACGCAAAGTCTGTATTGCATTATCGCTTGGCTACGTGTAGTGTGTAGTGTGTCAAAGTATCAAAAGTAGATAAAAGCAAGGTAATGGAGGGAAACAGTGCTATTGCTACAGTGACTGTAATGATGGCAGTAAGATGAATGCTGGGTAAGATCCAAAACCCATATCCGTGCACTTTTAATTTTATGTTTCGCGCATCGCGTCTGCTTGATTTTGCATTTGCGACTCCCTGAAAATAAAACGGCGGGTGTCAGTGGTAGAATGATGCGTGAGAATGATACGCCCACTTCGAGTTCAGTAACGACAGATACAATGTCCAGAATACGCCGCAACCGGATTGGAACGGGACACGGTAAGGTAAAGGCATAAAGCGAAAGTTAATAAGCTGGGATACGGTATTTGAGTATTTTGAACGATGCAGAGGAAAGCGAAAACGCACCTGCGCGATTGGCCATACTTGCCAATTTGTAATCAAGAGAGGCATAAGAAGATCACTATATTTCTGTGAGATGTGTTTTGCGTCTCGTCCTTCCATAATGCCCATAGATCCAATGAAAATAGCAAGCTGTGGGCATGGACGTTAAGTAGTTCGTTGTATACAACTGACTTCGATGAGATAGTTCGTAGAAACACATACACCAAGGGGAGCCCTGTAGGCGATATTTAGAACAGGCGCTCAACAGACTATCCGTGAGACTCACATCATGATTTGGTCGGCTGCCACTCTCTTCGCGAGGGCGGGTACGCTGACCTTGGCGGAATTGCCACCGTGGAAGCGTAACGGAAAGTGACGCTCGAGTACGAAGTTCCACCGACCAATCAAAGGGCCTATCAGAAGGTCATGAGGTGCGACGCACGGCGACGAAAAAGGGCCACACACTCACCCATACCAAACCCAAACGCAAAGAAACGAAGTGTACGCAATGGGTCATACTGCTGCTGACCGCCGCCCTGGTGATTCTGCGGTCCGGTCTGGGCAGGATGAGACGAAATTTTCAGCGAGGCGATAGAAGAGTTCGTGCTCACCACTATCTCAGTCACCTGCGCGACAGCATCTCCCAGAGCGTTGAACACGCCGTTGGTGAAGGCGAGCGTCCCATACGGATGAGAAGCAAATGATCGCTGGTATACGCGAGCGAGAGCGATGCTAGCCATGATTTGGGGATAATTGATGGGAAAAGAAGAGAGGCAGCTGTAGGGTGATCAAAGAGATTGTGAGGTGGGGCGTACTAAAGGTGGCTCATCCATCCACTCCCGACCAAGGACTCCACTGCTCCTCTGAGTTGGCAGATGGAATATGTATGAGACCTTCGGCGCGTACGTTGCCCAAGGCGCGGCGGCACCACTCGGCGTGCGTCCCCACGTGACGTCATCCAGAGCCTTCCACCGTCCGCCAGATAGATTGTACATAGCGAAGCCCAGGCTGCATTTCGCACTAGTCTTCACATCGTACATCAAAGCCGTAGCCGTGGCAATATTTGCCAAGCAAGTTTGGTCAGCTCCCGGACGCTCACAGCGTAGACGGTCAAACAATCTCAACGAGAATAAATTCAACGGGCGTACAACACGAACCAGTAGACAACATATGTCATAGCAGCCTCAGCTTCCCTGTCACACGGTTCACCAGCTCGACGGGAGCTACAACTGACGGTCAGCGTGGACTTCGCTGACCGTCTCTGTCACCTACCTGGACCAATGCCCAACACTGTCCGGGAGCCTGCGGCAATTTGTGTCTTACCACTACAAATGGCAGAAGGCAAAAATCAAAGGCAGGAGGAAATTTTGGCATCAACGGAAGTATCTCGCTGCGAAATGAAAATCTGCGTACGCGTCATGGATTGCCCGAGCGCACAGGTTCAAACTTTTCGCGACTGCTTCCAGCTCCAATAGTTGATCTTCGGAGGAAGCTTTAAGAGCAATTTTGGCTTGTCTATCACGGTCATGGCAATCATTCATTATGAGCCGGAAGGCTTGAACCGACTTACCCTGTCCGTTCCCAGTGCTGCAAAAGCTGTACATTCCGAGATCAATTCATCGGTGCAGTCAAAAACAGAGATGTCGACTGTACTGTAGGATTTGTCTTCAATAGCGCCTTGTAACACGCCAAAGTTGCGTGTCTGCGAAAAATTTAATGACGGCGCAGATCGACGGGTCACGAAAATTCTCACCCGCATCTACAGACCAAATGATTAGGATCGAAAATACCCTGCCAATGGAGTATGTCTTACTGGGCCGCGATTTTTCCAGTAGTCATTCCGAGATCGGTGCGAACTATCAGGACCTGCCAGCGCGTCAGCTCCGTGAATTGCAGGCGACGCAACAATTGTACCAGTTTGCACGGTTCCAAAAACCCGGGCTTAACGGCAGAAAGATCCCCGTCAGCGACCTCCTCCTCTCCCTCGCTGTCCGCTTCGTCTTCTACGTCTTCCGTATTTTTAGGTGCGGGCGTCGGAGGCGCAGGGAGTTGGCCGCCAGATTTTTTCAGAGGCGCGGAACTCGCGGTTTTCGCGCCGATGGCGTATCCGATGCTCAACCACGTCGCAATGAACGCGATGGTGGTGAGTACTGTGCGTAAAGCCATGGAAAGGGAGCGCAAAATGGTCGAGCGGACAGTACTGACTGTGAGTGGTAGACATTGCGTGCCGGCAAGTGCCGGGCCAATGAACACGGGGTTTCTGGACATTTGTGCCTTCCTTCTGGCTTTTGGTTTCTCTGCGGGCTTTTGTATACTTTCACTGTCGTGCATACTTCCGTGCAGCTAGGAGACTCTGTGGATACGCAGTCTTGACCCAGGATGGCCGCAGAAGGCGCAACCGCACCGTCACCGGTGCCAAATGAGAACACCCCAGGCCGAAAACCGTTCTCAGAACTCGAGCTCTCAGATGCGACGACGAAGGCGCTCGCCAATATGGGATTCACGACAATGACACCCATTCAGGAGAAATCTATTCCTCCTCTATTGGCCGGCAAGGATGTGTTGGGTGCTGCGAGGACGGGGTCCGGGAAGACGTTAGCGTTCCTTATCCCTGCCATAGAGTTATTACACAGGATGAAGTTCAAGCCCCGGAATGGTGAGTTTGTGTGTTCATTCGTGTTGCTAGGTGTACGGCTGAACTGATGTCACTATGCTGCTAGGAACTGGTATCATTATTGTTTCCCCAACCCGAGAGCTCGCCTTGCAGATCTTCGGAGTCGCGAAGGAGCTCATGGCACATCACTCGCAGACCTTCGGTATCGTTATGGGCGGCGCAAACACCAGAGGAGAAGTAGACAGGCTGCAAAAAGGTGTCAACCTGCTTGTTGCGACGCCCGGACGACTGCTCGATCACCTACAGGTTCGTTGCTCTCCCTCATAGTGTGCGCTGCGCTTTCTCATACTGCGTCTCAGAACACGAAGGGCTTTGTGTTCAGAAATCTGAAGGTGCTCGTGATCGACGAGGCGGATCGGATATTGGAGGTCGGCTTCGAGGAGCAGATGAAGAAGATTATTTCTATCCTGCCCAACGGTACGACTCCTCCCGTACTGATGCGTTCTCGCACGCTCACATCCTGATAGAAAATCGACAATCCATGCTCTTCTCCGCAACCCAAACGACAAAGGTCACGGACCTCGCACGGATGTCGCTGCGACCTGGCCCACTATACATCGACGTGGATAAGACAGAGCTCACAAGTACTGTCGCGACACTGTCTCAGGGATATGTTGTCTGCCCCTCGGACCATCGATTCCTATTACTGTTCACCTTTCTCAACAAGTACAGGAAGAAGAAGGTCGTGGTCTTCTTCTCCAGTTGCAATTCTGTGAAATACCACGCAGAGCTGCTAAATTATATTGACGTCCCCGTACTCGACCTGCACGTAGGTGCTGTTCTTACTTGGCGTGTTCACCCGATCTTACGTCGTCCGTGCACAGGGTAAACAAAAACAACAAAAACGAACGACCACGTTCTTCGAGTTCTGCAACGCAGAATCCGGCACCCTCCTCTGCACAGACGTCGCAGCACGAGGACTAGATATCCAGGGCGTCGATTGGATCATTCAGTACGACCCACCGGACGACCCGCGAGACTACATCCACCGTGTCGGCCGGACAGCGCGCGCAGGGAAGGTAGGCAAGAGTCTGATGTTCCTGCTCCCAAGCGAGCTCGGGTTCCTGCGATACCTGAAGGACGCGAAGGTGCCTCTGAACGAGTTCAGCTTCCCCGCCAACCAAATCAAGAACGTGCAGTCACAGGTGCGTTGCTTCGCTCGTGTGCCGGTCGGGAGTATCCTGACATGGACGGATGCAGTTGGAGAAGTTGTTACACAAGAACTACTTCCTGCACCAGTCCGCGCGGGATGGCTACCGGTCATACCTGCAGGCGTACGCGTCGTATTCGCTGAAGAAGATCTTCGACGTGAACCAGCTCGATCTCGCGAAGGTGGGCAAGGCGTTTGGGTTCTCGGTGCCTCCACGCGTGAACGTCAGCATTGGCGGTGGGAAGGGGGGTGGGGGGAGGACAGGGAAGAAGCGGAAGCGGAGCGAGGACGACGGGGATGGGAACGATGAAATCTGGGAGGAGATTGATGCCGCAAACAAGGAGGAGGGTGATGGGGAAGGTTCTGAGAACGGCGAGGAGCGCGTTCCCCGGAACCAGATGCGGCGAAATGGGAAGGAGAGAGGGAAGGAGACGCTGGGGCGCCAGAAGGTGGAGAAGGAGGTGTACAGGAAGGGAATGCAGAACAGGAAGCGGAAGGGAGCAAGCTGGAGCCGGTGACCTCGCGCATTGGGTATCCTGCATGTTCTGTTGTTTGCGTGTCTACCTTGTGTTTATTCACCTCGCGGTTGTATGCTGTGCGCCAGCAAACGTGTCCAGGACGTGTCGGGCTGCTGGCGGACTGCCTGCCTGCAGCGGCGGAACTGCTGCAGGCGGCGTGTCTCCATCACCTGCCCTAAACTGGATTTGTACGTCACCTGCATCCCTCTGTCCGCACGCGTTCACAGCTCGCCCCAAGCCTTTGTCGTTTCTCGTCCATCTAACCGTTGATTTCAGCACTATGGCTACGACACAGGTTTGCTCGTCCACTTCGTAGCAGTGCGCGCCATGTCGCGACGCTAACACAATATTACAGCACTACATGTGGGCTGGTGGCCACTTCATTTTGTTAATTTCCTCGCTTCGGTATTTCTTAGCGGCGATTCTATTCAGAGCCGTTTCTGCGTGGTGGTACAAGAGTGAGCTCCTCATGAGACTTACGGCTGTTGACACCGCTGAACACTATCCAGCGGCCTTCATTGGAGCTCTCGTTAGTTACACCATCGTGTGCGAGTGAGTCCTTCATCTATTTGCCCCCTTTGCTATGACCTTAACATGTTATCCAGAAAGCAGTATGCGAATGAAAGAGAAAGAGTGAGTGAGAAGTAACGACGGTGTGCCGTTGAGGCGTACTTATGCCACGATAGCTTCCTCCAGTGCTATCGCTTGCATTCGCTAGGCGTGTACTGATGGAGGAGGTATGTGCTCTGAATGCCATAAAACAGCCGCGATGCTTGACCTCCGTCAAATAACAGAACGTGCAGTATCTATTACTCGCTATCTTCTGGTGGTCGTCAAAGCCAGTGGCTGGTACGTGTCATGTATTCAGCCCTGCAGCCCCTTGTTGAGTTCCCTCACCTTGGACGACCTGCAGTTGCCCTGATTCCCTACGCGATCTTCTCGCTCTTCCACGCGCTGACCTTCACCCGTACTACGCTGATGCCCCAGCTGTTGGCTTCGGGCCCGCCCGCCACTGCCGGTGGACCCCCTACTCCGCCCGCCCTTGCCAAGAAGTTGCATCTATGGGTAAAAGGCGAGTACTAGCTGCTTCGAGTGCCCGTCTTTTCGAACTAACGTGTAACACGTCATCAGCCAACTATGACACTGCCATGAGAGTTGTAGCCTACGCCGAACTGCTCATCATGCTGCGCGTCACGTTGGGTGCCTTGCTGTGGCAAAATTCTCTTATGTCGCCCCTCTTCTACGCGCACTTCCTGCGACAGCGTTACTATCAGTCGAAATTCACGCGAGAGTCGCTTAGTTTCATCAACGACTACGTTGAGGGATACGTGAGGAAGGAGGGCACACCCGCGCTGGTCGTGCGGGTGTGGGATAGCTTCAAGCTGGTTCTGACGAGGTGGGGTGGCACGGTGTTGGCGCCGCAGGGCGGTGCTGGAGCTGGGCCGAGGGGGCAGTAACTGTGTACGGATGCTGTTGTTCGAGGTGTGAATGCTAGATTATTGACTTGCTAGGATTTCTATTCGAGTAACAATCAGGTGTGACGTCACGCGTCTGCTCCACTCCTAATGACTAGTCTCCTCACTCCCTATCCTGTGTCTGCACCATGACATCCGTCACTGCCGCCGTTGTCCAGCTCTCTCACTCTCTCGCCGCCATCGGTGTATCCTTGCTCAACGCCGTCCTGGCGGTGCTGCACGCCGTACTGGCACTCGGCGAACAGCTTTTGACGAGTGTCCTGCAATTAGTGCAGGCCTGTGTCCAATTCAGTGGCCAGCTCTTCCAGGGAATTTTCGGTTTGGTAGTCGGTAAGTCCTCGAGCGCGGTCCGTCGAGGTCTTGACTGATCGCAAGCCGGACTGGCCTCGTTCACGCGACCTAGCCAACTTCTTCGCGATCCTCATCCTGGCGGGCGTGTATTATTGGTACACTTCGCGACAGCGAGGACGTGGAGTGGTGAAGAAACACTCATGAGAGTCGGGATGTGAGCATCTTCTGCCACCACCAATTTCTCCGCCCACACGTCTTCCTTCAGCCGAGGATTCCGTGCCGAAAAATGAATCACGCCGGAACGTCGAGTGGCGCGTTGTACTTTCTGTACTATGTAGATAGTGTACCCAATTGTTAAGTGTACATTTGAAGAGTCTCGAGCTCTAGAGACACGTTCGACATTCGATTTTGCCCGAATGGCACCGCCGAGCTCGTGCGGATGAGAGTCTCGCCGCGATCAGGTTGGCCACCGGGCAAATACTGCACAACACACGCGCTGTTTCACCCGCGCGGTGAGAAGAGAACCATGTTCGCCTGCTAAATTGTGCGTGGACCCACCAGTCCATGTCACGAATTCCTGTCCCCTCCCACTCTCCCTCCTACAATCGTAGCGCGGGCGCACCGACCTCTACTTCTCCAATACCCTTTCCCGACCGTGCCGTTTCTCCCTTCCCTGGTTCCACTCGTCACCAGTTGTCCACAACCATGTCGACGCTGTCCAGCTCCGTTGCAGAGACCAGGAAGAAACAGTCCAAGCGGGATGAGGTGAGCAGATCACGTTTCATGTCCTGTCCCATATCGGCGCCTGGGCCGTAAACCGTGTCTATAGTGAGCTTCTCGAGAGATGCGCTGCAGACACGTGTAGTCCTTGCGCACGATGTCCACGACACCCAGCACATCCAGCGACCGCGCGTTGCTCCCCTCCATCTCTGTTACGAGGCCCCGTCCTCATGCCCGGAAAAACACGCGTCCTGACCTCTCCGAACCATCACAGGCTATTCGCAAGAAGATAGAGTCGGAGCTCTCGCGGAAACGTACGATCTCGACCACCCAGATCCAGCACTCCCGCAAGCGCGGGACGAAGGCCAGTGTGCAGAAGGGCACCGTCGCCGCGCTCAAGCCGAGTCCCGCGTTGACCGTGCCCGAGAGCATCACGGTCTCGGAAGCCAGCCAGCTGTGCGCGGCGAAGAGGACCGACTGTGTGCTTGTAGTCGACGACGACGAAGGCCTGAGTGGGATTTTTACCGCCAAAGATTTAGCTTATCGGGCACGTCTCCAGTCGCGCTTTTCGTGTTGCGTGCTTAACGTGTCCGCTACAGGTGACTGCTGATGGTTTGGACCCCCATACTACTCAGGTTAGCGCGATAATGACGCGTGGCCCGATGGTTACGCGTGATACCACCAGTGCTACTGAGGCATTGCAGTTGATGGTGCAAAGACACTTCAGGCATCTGGTATGTCGCTCAGACGCGTATTGAGATGATGCACTTGGTGGCTAAATTCCCGTCAGCCTGTGTGTAATGAAGAAGGCAATGTCGTTGGCCTTCTCGATATCACCAAGGTCTTCCATGAGGCACTCGACAAAGTGGAGCGCAGTTCCTCTGCTTCTGAGAAACTGTACGCTGCTCTCACGGGCGTGCAGTCTGAATTGGGTGGTGGAATGGGTGCCAATCCCCAAGCTGCTGCCATGTTGTCCTACGTCGAAGCGCTGCGCGAGAAGACTGCGCTACCCGACCTTTCCAGTGTCATGGACTCCCGCACTCAGCCCGCGACTGTCGGCCCGAAGACTACCGTCAGAGACGTCGCGAAGCTGATGAAGGAGAGGCGCACCACCGCGGTCTGCGTGATGGAGACACCTACGGTCCCGCCCGGCGCCCCTGCTGCGGCTCCGAAGATTGCTGGCATCTTCACCAGTAAAGATATTGTGCTGCGTGTGATAGCGGCTGGATTAGACTCGTCCAGATGTAGTGTTGTGAGAGTTATGACCCCACATCCCGATACCGCTCCTCCTACTTTGACGTGCCACGAGGCGCTGAAGAAGATGCACAGTGCGTACATTTCCACGTCCATCGTTCATAGTACTGACACGATGGTCTTCAGACGGTCATTATCTGAATTTGCCCGTCGTTGAAGCTGACGGGCGCCTGGTTGCCATCGTCGACGTGTTGAAATTGACTTATGCAACGCTTGAACAGGTCAGAGCTTCTGTTTAAATTTGGTCATGTCGTGATCAGCTCACATGTTGTAGATGAATGCGATCACGGCTGAGACCGCTGGAGAGGGTGAAGCCGAAGGCGGACCGATGTGGGGTCGCTTCTTCGAATCCCTTGGCACGAACGAAGACTCCGAGTCTGCGCTGTCGGGCTCCGCCTTCCACACCGATCTACACTCTCGTCACCTGTACAGGACCATGTCTCACGCCCTACAATCTCCATACTCGGAAGTGCACCCCAACGACTCTGCTTCCGTTGGCGAGGAGGAGGACGCTGTCTCCGCTCTGGACGGGTACCCGAAGAAGCGCGGCGAGACGGCTACGTCAGTGACCGGTCCTTCAGGACCTGCTCCGCCCGTCGACGACGGGACGTACGTCTTCAAGTTCCGCACCCCCAGTGGACGTACCCACAGATTCCAGGCCCGCAGCGATAACGTGGAGAACTTGCGCGACATCGTTGGCGGAAAGCTCGCCACCGATCCATTTTTCACGAATTACAGGAGTCAAAACCCTTCCGAGCCCCCTCCGGATCCATCAGACTTCCTGCTGTCGTACACGGACGCGGACGGCGATGTTGTACTGATCACCTCGGACTCGGACGTGTCGGACGCAGTGAAGATTGCGAGGGCGGCTCATGATGATCGCGTCGTCCTGTACCTCCAGGGTGGGAAAGGCTGGGCAGAAGAAATGGCTGAGAAGAGCGCGGCTGCACGTGCCGCTGAGGCCGCCGCCGCTGCTGAGCGCGAGAAGGAGTTAGAGAAGGCGGCGGAGGTGGCAGCGGTTGTAGCAGCCGCCCCCGAACCGGTCCCCCAGGCACATCCCCAACCCGTGCACCACCATGAGGAGGACTTGGTGTTGGGCGTCCCGAAAGATCTGTTGCTACCCGCCAGCATAGGTGCCTTGGCTGCGGTCATTTTGGGCGTTTTCACGATTTCTCGGCTTACTCGGTAAAAATTACGGTCTGACAGAATTTGCGGACCTTTAGTATCTTCAATCGGAACCCTCGTTCAGTCTTATACCTTGCACCTGCTATGTCATACTCACGATGTCGGAATATGTTCTTCTGTGCTAAATGACCTCGATCTTGCGTACCATTTGCAACACCGCGAACGAGAGGCGACGAGTGTGGCGTCATTCACGTGACATCAATAGAACGTTAATTGCTCCAAGTTCATGCGGTTCGACTGCATTGATTACTGTTTGCAGGCCATTGGATGTTCAGAACAAACTATTGCTAGAGCTCTGCCTTGTACTTTGTCTTGCGTCGCCTGCTGCTAGCTTTTTTAAATCCGGTACATGTTCCCAAGACCGTCGTGGCGCTCCGATGCCGAAAAGGGAGCGAGATGAAGTGTTGTCGGAACTCGTGAGTGTCGCGCAGGTGCTGCCGGAAGAGTGATGTTCAATTGGTCAGGGTAGACGTCCAAAGCCTTCTCGGCGATGCTCGAGGACATCCTCATGGACGTCGTGCTAGAATCTCACCAGCAGATCGCGCGCTCCAGAGCCATCTGCGATATATGCCACACACGGTACGTCTCGTCGAACTTGTCGCGTAGGGAAGGTCACCGTGTATGAACGTGTATTTGTCTATCAGATGTAACGCAGGTACGTTTTCGTCGGGTTTGCGCGTGGCGAGGTGCTCACGAGGCGTCGCAGTCCACGTTCCCGGACCGTCCAATCCGTCCTTGCAAGCTGGAGCCTCTTCGTCGAGGGTAGCCTCTCCTGCAGGTGAAGGAAAGTCTGCGGACGCGAATGGTTCTGCGGGAACAGGCACAAGCACTCCGCTCAATGGAAATGGGAAAGACGGCACCGTCTACCTTGAATGCTTGAACTGCAAGAGACAGGTCTGCGATGCATTTGCGGTCGTCATTTCGCATGAGATGACTGTTGGGGTTTTTAGATCGCATCCACCCGATACGCAACCCACTTGAGCTCCTGCTTGGGTCTCGCGAACTCCCGCAGAGGTGCAGCGCGGAACGCTACCACGAAAGCAAAGTGCGTCCTCGATATTCCCGTCTATATAGCGTCTGAATTTCAAAATATGTACTGTAAGGCTTGCTTCTGACGCCGGTAGATCCGCTTCACCGTATCTTGAGTCAGAGGTTGGGAACATTTCTGACGACGGTAAGACTACTACGAAGGGCAAAGGCAAGTCGAAGGCCAAACGGACAGGTATGAAGCCAAGGAAGGGCTGCGCAGGCTGAGACTGACGTTTTATTTTGCAGACGAAGCGGAATTCAGCTTGAATCGCAAGCGCGTACGTTGTGTCAGCGTCTGCTGTGGTTGTGCACTTATCGTTGAATAGCCTGGTTCTCCCTCCGTGTCACCATCAAAGAAACAGAAGAAGGCGAAGATAAGTGGTGAGATATGGTCAGACTGCGGTTCTGTTTCATCAGACACTCACGGGATTATCAGGCTCGCCCATAGCCCGGGCAAAAGTGGAACCAGACGGTCCTGGGTCACCCAGCAGTGTGAGTGGAGCCCAGATGCTTTCCACCGTAATTTAACTTTGTGTTCTTTTCAGGCCTACTCTCTTCCTATATCTAACTCGCAGTCGAAAATTCCCTCGAGATTGAGAGAGTCGTCAATTGCATCTTCATTCTACCGAGAGCGACATTCCTCGTCGCCCGGATCCCCGTCACCCGGTTCTTCTCCCGCCCGCTCTATCTCCACCGCTCCATCTGCTCCATCTACTCACAGTCCTTCACTCGTCTCTTACGCTGCCCAGAAATCGAAGCCAAGGGGTGGTAAAGGTCCCAGAGCTCCTGTAAAACAGCCAAACCCTCCGCTTCCACCACCCCCCATCATCAGGGTGCCGGAGCCAGATTATCTAGTTGGTGCGTTCCCAGACGTTCCGTACACCTCCTGAGCTAATGAAGGCACCGCCAGATGTGGAAGGCGAGGAGACTGGCTCATCGACAGACACTGATAGTTCCTAATGTTAGCATCACCACTAGCACTCTCGACCCTCGTTGGCATGTACCGGATGGCACCATGTAGTCTCGCTGTGCGTTTCTTGTTCTCGCTCGCATGTCTCTCCTAATATCTCACTGGATTATCTGCTGTGGCCCATTGTTTGTAACACCAACTCTAACATTGTCGTGTCTTGCTGAATTTTGCGGGAGCATTTCACGCTCGGCAGTGTTTGTAAGAAGTGTTACTGCAGGTGGAGTGAAAGCCGGCCGGACGCATGCGTCGCCATGAACTAGTGTGCATGGAACGATTAGCCGGTGTTGCGATTGCACTCGGAGATTGCCGTTTTGGTGGCTGAATTTACGGGTGGTGGTGCTACGGGAGTATACGAGTGTTTAATGCGGTGAATGGGAAGAACGATCGCGTTGACATTGGCAAGGCATACTTGGAACACAGAGTCCCGACTGTTTGTCGGAGAGATGCGAAATTTGAGGCTGAACGAGAGGCTGAGGAACGCCAGCCACTTGCCAAAGGACGGCAAATAATCGCGGTTGCGATGGATCTGCCGTAGCACTCGATAAGTTCTCCGACGGCATTTTCTGTCGTCTCCTTTGCTCGCAGGACGACAAGCCCATCCTACAAGGCTACCAAGTCACTCTTTAACATGCCTAGGCAACCCACCCAGCCCACTCCTTCCACCATCCCCCAACATCACGACGGCTCCGATACGAAGGTCCCCTACGACGACCTCATTGACCAGTATGCCACTTCCTACAAGGCGTACACCGTAGACCCTTCATCCTTCCACTCATCCCAAACATCTCACCACAAGCCATCATATTCTCTCACAAAGCAGACCAACGACAGTGATATCACCGTGAAAGACATCAAGGATGTCGAAGGCGAGAGCACAGAGCGATTAGACTGGGGATATCCACCACCAACCACTCAGCCGGAGAAGGAGAAAGAAAAGCGGAAACTTTGGTCTGTCGTGCGTAAATTCTACTCACGAATCCATGAACGTGCTATGCTGACTTCGCGCTGCAGTTTCTACCCGATTCAATAGCGTGTCGCCTGTATCTGTTGACCGTCTTGGTCGAGACAGCCATAGACCTTGCTATTGAGGCTGAGATCTTCGTTCGGCTTCAGGAGTCTCGCGACGCAAATGGCAGCGACAATGTCGCGTCTCTGAAGATGCCAGTGTACCTGAGTATCTTCGCCATTGCTCAGTACGTGCTTCCAGGTCGTATTCCCCGTTAGACTGAGCCGTTGCGCTCTAGCTTGTTCCAATTCGTTATGGCTCTGGATGCCGTACACGCTCGTAACACTCTTCAATTTATTGCTTTGGCGTGAGTGCGTTCGCAATGGGTCTCATGCTCCCAACTCAATGTGGTTACCAGAATATTCAATGCCGTATTTCTCGTATACGCCGTCATCCAGATTGGCGAGATCCGTGGGTCTCTCCCCACCACGTCGGGAACATCCCATATTCCTATCGACGTCCTCACCACCATTATCCCCATCGTCATCTCTGTTGCCGAGCTTGCCTACTTGGCCCTTGGCTGGAAAATCTACACCGAATTTGGCTGGAAAGTGTACAAGTTCCTCGGTGCCGACCGCCAGATTAAGGCGATGTACGCGTACTTCCAGATATACCTGTGTCTGGTCAAGTTCGACGTGTTCTTCTGGGTCGGCTTCTCAGTTCAGTTCATCTGGCTCGTCCTCAACAGTCACAATGCGGAATACTATCTCACGTGTCTTGCGCTGCCATTGTCAATAGTGGTGTTGGTGATTGGTGATCAGGCAGCACGACGGGAGAACAAATGGATGATGCTGGCCTTCATGACCGGCTGTGTGGGAGCAATGGTATACTTCCTGTACAAGGCGAGTCATGTTTCTCATATTTCTCACAAAAATTAACCCTACTACCCTACCTCAGCTGGTGAAGGTGTTGAGGTTGAAGTCGACCGCTACTTTTATCCTCGTTTGGCAGACATTGACGACGTTCTGTAAGGTGCATTGATGCCGTATGAAATTTCTTACTGATCATCTATCAGCTGTCATTGCGATCGCTTTACTCATTCTTACGTTCGTGTTTGCATGCATAGTCATGAACAACTTCGGGCGGGGATTGAAGACACGCGGTAAATAATTCCCGTTACCATCATTGTCACTCCACTTATTCTGTCCGCAGTTGGCAACAACAGTACGTTGAAGCAACGCGGCAAGTCTCAAGACCTCTACAGAGGACCGATGAGTAACCATCCAAACAGGATGAGTATCGAGTAGTGCTGCGAATGTTGGAACCCGCGGACTTGTATCGATGTGTCGTGTACAATTGTTTCGGTCATCAGCGCTTGCGCTCCCGCAAGATTACCCAGGTCACGGACACAGATATCTTCGTACTCACCATCTACCTTGCATTAGTACCTGAGGCCTGACCCCTCATTCTCTTCGGTATGTCTACCCCCTTTCTTTAACTTCGTGCTCGGCTCCTTGTTGCTGGTCCACATCGGGGCGTCCTATCCTACAACTGTTGCGTAAATCTTTCTTGTACCGCATTTCTGTTTCGCACACTTGAATTCTAGATCCTCTCTTGCCGCAGTTGTCCAGTGGGAGCATCTTGTCCCATACCCCAACGATTGTATTGTTAGCTAGGGATAGTTCAACGCAGAATTAGAGTGAAGATCATTGTCGTTTTATTGCACCGGTCGCTGAGATATCGATTGTTTAAATGTACTTGCAACAGTCTAAGGGGGTGCAAAAACTCGCAGCACCACTAATACCAGTGGATTGAGGCTGAAACATTCGCTGTGTGTCTGTTACGAACCCATTGGGACTTCTCACTAAGATGTATTAGACCGAGGTGAACGTTTGGGACATCGCTGGGTGGATCTCACTCGATCTAGAGCGCTTCATCAACCGCGATCGACGTGGCAGGCGGAGTGAGTGACTACCATATCCGGTAATAACGCTTCTTTCGCACCTCCCAACAGTTTGCATGAGGACAGCCGGCCTGCCCACTGATTATGTCGCAACGGTGAGCAATGCATGCCAATCGTGGTACGAGAAATGACAATGAAAGTATCCCAGATTTAGGGCGACGGCACGGTCTTCACTGCGCGACCGCACAGCGTTACTTCCCGAGTACTATACCCCGCCGTCCTCGGGGAGGTCGTCTCCCCTCAATGGTCTGCAGCCCGGCGGTCAACGATTTGCAGATGATCTTGAAGGCCAGAACGATGAGCAGGTTAACAGCCTGACAGCGAAAGTGAAGATGTTGAAGGAAGTGAGTGAGTTGTCCCTACTCTGGCTCAGGACATCGTTGACTGAGCACGCGCACACGCCAGATCACTGTCGGGATTGGAAACGAGGTGCGAGACTCTACAGTGCAGCTCAGTCAGATGGTGTGTATACCCGCCTATTGAACGCTCTGCTGCGAGCTCATGCATGTGCAGAACGATGCCTTCTCGGAGACGTCTGGTATACTGGCAGGGACGTTCAGAAGGATGAACAACATGGCGGAACGGCAAGGCTGCCGGTGGCTGTGGTATATTGTTTTCCTCATCATCGTCTTCTGGTTCTTCATGATTGTTTGGTGGTTTCGTCGGTAATACATGCTTTACGGACATCTCGCCCGTGGGCTCCCAATGTGTCCATTCAACGCAGCGCGAAAGAAGATTTATCTCCCGGGAAAATACAAATGGAATCGCTACCATAACCTCGAAGTCAAAAGTACAGTATAAGATATGCACAAATAAAAAAAACCTGCCCGCTCGCTAATAACAACTATGTGTCGTCGCGTAGCTTGACGTTTCCAATCTCCCATATCATCCGTCGGCGAAGATACGGCATATCAGCCTGCGTGAACACAAAAGTCTCCTGCCCTCTGGATAATGATTCCATGAACTGGCAGGCAAACACTCCGCAGTCCGACCCATTCTCTTGTATTATATCCTAAGTTAAGATTAGAGAGACCATTCGTGACCGCTAGAGCACTCGTACTGACCGGCATATTGTAGTCTTGCCAACCAGTGAAATCGAACGGTCTTCTTTTCTTGTTTCTATGTTCGGCATCGAGGTATTCTCTTATATACTACATGACGTTAGATATTGCTCTGAGAATAAACGGAAATGGCTCACCTTGCACACTGATCGCCTCGGCCCCATACTGTCGTATGACTCGATCCGCTTCCTACGGAAGTTAATCGCAGCAGCACTCCAGTGCAAGTTTTTATGATTGACGGGTATGAGCACAACGTCCTTCTCGAAGATGTCGAACTGCAAGGCCAGATATAATAAATCGACTGCTGGAATAGAGGAGAAGCGCCAACCCACCTTTTTTGTCCACTTCGCCAGCCTCCCCTTCTCATAACCGTCGTCCGTGAGCTTGGCCCAAAAGAACGTGTTGAAATAGTGGATGTTCAGCACTTTCCGCCCGTTGGCGGCTACATTCTCCTTGCTCTCCTCGGACCGGTTCAAGAGCATCTGCCCGTAGAAGTTGATGATCTCGTCGTTCAGCCACGTGAGAGGCTTGAGCCGCATGATGTCTAAATCTGTCACCTGCTCCCGCCCGCACTTTGCGATCACACCCTTCTTTGCGAGGAGCGCCTTGACGGCCGCTTCGTCCTCGGGGGGTAGCGATGAGGGTAAGGGTTTCGGACCGTGCAGCTGGCGCTCGATCGCCTCGTCTCTGGCACGGTTAATGCTTCGTAGTCGGTCTAGCGATGGGGTGAATGGTTTGACCGGCGGACTATGGAGAAAGACCAATCAATGTTGCGAATAATTTCACGGCATATAACGATGACACTGACGCGTTTAGGCTTTCTCTCGCCTTGTATATTGCGCGTAACAGGAATTCAGGTGTGACATTCTGCAACGGAAATTAGTATGACTCGGGCACAGGCTTTGAGCGACATACCGCGGAGTCAGAGTATCTCCGATTTGCAGGCGCTATGTTCCTCTTGCCCCGTAAGTCCGTAAGGGAGTGAGATGCTAGACCAAAGTGAGCGGTAAAAGAACTGCCACCGACGAAAAACGTACGTGACAAGACCCTTCGCCTATCCGAGGCATCCAGGAGTGCTTGGTAGCCCATAAAACCTAGGAGGGTAACTGAACACGACGATCAACTTCCTCAGGGTGATTACTCACCTTTGAATGTGTTGAAATCGGAACTATAGCCTACGAGGCGGAATGAGAAGAGCATCGGACGCTGAAGACCGAATATACATACCCGTTCTACGTTTCATTTTGTAATACTCCTTCTGCATTTCCTCCATGCCTTTCAACCGATCCGCCTTCACTTTTTCTCTATGCTGGTAAGAACGTAAGCGACACAGACTTGATACACATCCACAACACGACTCACCCGCCTCATATGGATATGTTCCATACTGACATACGTCCTCCTCGGTAGAGAGTCCGTCCTCTGGTGGGCATGTCTTGCCATGGCCGCCTCCACCTGTGGATGCAAGCGGGAGACGGACGCGACTGTGGGTGGTGTAGAAGGGGTAGTCGCATCTGATGGTGGTGGAGAAACTAGTCCAAACGGTGCTGCGGATGATTGGTCGACTTGCACCTCACTCGGTTTGACGGGTATTCGGGAAGGCTCGGGACCCGAGGACTTTCTGTGAAGGTGAACAGTGTGCTCTGGTAATGGATGTGATGGTGGTGGCGGTGGCGGCGGTAGGGGTGCTATTGGACGTGACGATGCGCGTGAAGCTATGAAGTTTGGTGGCGGGTCTTGCGGTTGCGTGCGCCGCGGCTCTGGTGCAATTGGAGAGGTTATTGGTAGATGCTGTCTAGGAACTGGTCGACGGAAGTCTTGTGGAATGGTAGGTCGAGAAGACGGGTGGTATCGTGCCGCAGCCAAATTCTTAGTGAACGTTCGCACTCGCGAAGGTGGCCGAGACGGTGGTGGGGAGGGTAGGGGTGGAGATACAGTATCTGGGCTGGAGATTTCTGACGCTCCACCATCTGTCGATGAATTCGACGAGGCCGTCTGTGACCTATCGTATCTCCGTCCGGTCAACGTCTCGTAAGTCAGAGACCACATCTCGGTTATGAGTCTTCCCCAACGTGCACACAGGCCTTCGGTCTCTGATGGGGTGCTATTCCCTCCGGAGAAGTGATGGCTCTTTAGACGAGGTTGTTTCGGAGGGCGCATAGGCAGAAGCGGGTCGCTGGCTTGTCTCTTCCGCGGATTCATGGAAGGGCTTGTCACGGTGTCAGTGTGGCCACAGCGAAACCACTGGGTTGAAACAGGTGTTTTTCCAAGTGAATTCACAAGGAATATACCGGGCAAGAGTGTCAAAAATGCGGAGAGGGCTGAAGGAGGCACGCGTAGAGCAGTAGCTTGAGGGTGTTGTCCTCGGAAAGCAGGTATCGACACCGGAGGAGTGGCTGGAGCGAGCGCCAACTGAAGCGGCAGCCGCGAGTGAAAACTTACATAATATTAAGCATTAATGGTATACTCGACCTTCACTGTCGAGCTTGGATGGCTCAGTTGGTTAGAGCGCAGGTCTCATATCCATGAACTTCCAAGTCGAGGTGTAATCCTGAGGTCGTGAGTTCGATCCTCACTCCGAGCACTTTTTTTCATATTTTCATACATATGAAGTCGAAGGAAGAATCTAACTTGTTTTATTGCTCGGAAGCTTAGTGGGATGCAGGCACTTCGTTCAGATGAGTCACGAAGGTTGCACAATGGGATTGTCATATTGGACATGCTGTGCCATGCTAGAGATTCTGATAATGTTCAGCTTGTATCTCCACCATACCCTCCAAGTCAATAAGATTGCAGCAGAGGTCGGTAAACCACTGATATAGTTGTACTATATATTTTCTAGTTTTCCCCTGCCCCGTTCCCTCCCTCAAAGTGATATCAATTGTCCAGGGAAAGTATGTAGGCATATTTCTACGAAGTCATGACAGGGGAACGCAAGCCAAAGTTTGACACTTCTGGTCCCACCACACCTCACCTGGCACGATAGTCTGGCATCTCACATGATATGCCAATAGCATGTAGAATACAACAGGAGATTTTTCTGTATTTTTTTGAGCTGTGTTGAACATCCTAGAGAGATGCCACTCTGCAACACCAGCCAACTACAGTCCTGCAATCATGGATTTTCTGGGATCCAACCAGACCACACATACTTACCAAAAATTTGGAGCATCAAATCGACACACAGGCTTCTACATCTGCAATTTTGCAGCAATCAGGTAAGGGAATAGAGCTGTAGAAAACAATCTGGCACTTCTGAATCATTTGGCATATCCAGGTCAACCATAGTAGACCTAAGTTTGTCTTTCCCAGAGAAGGTAAAACAGTATTGGTTGAAGCACTTTTCCCGTGGATGTGAAAAGGACTAGTGGTGTGAAAATGACCGCTCGTACATTGTTCAGAACAATCCCTGCATTGATGATCTTGCATCGGCAGACATCACATTCACACAAGTGTTTTCAGCTGGACTGCGTGGACATGGCGGAATCCTTCGTTATCGATGAGGCGAAGTACCATACATGCATCACAAGGTCCAAGTATGTGATCTCCAACTTGATGCCGCTATGTAGTACTTTGCAGAGCCGGTGCTGGCATGTAGAGCACGATGCCGCCTGAGCTCGGGCGCTCTCAATCAGCCCAACAAAAGGTACACCCAAGGAGAATGCCACGATAACGGTTGACGGGACCGGAGAGTGAGCACCACCACGTACACCTGGAAGCAGACTGCCAATAACGACAGGAATAATCCACTGACCACATCTCCTACAACCCCTTCGATGCATGGGCTATCTCTCTATTGCGTGGCGCGAAAGCGCATGGTGGGAGCCGGGTGTGGACAGCACGCGGGTTCCTCGGCACAATGTGCGGTGGACGGCCGTCTATCACAGCCGAGCACAGTGGGCGTTAGTGCGCCGTTAAGCGCGACGACGGGGTAGACGATGGAATGAATGTATTGGCGAGCCTGGCTGAATCGCGAAGAGCAGACGGCGTCCGGGCCCTAGGACAGGACATAGCGCCAGCTCCGGGCTGCAATTAAGATGCGCGTCAGATGCCACAGATAACTAGACTCGCAAGCGCCAGCGATGGCAGGATCAGCTCGTGTACGCAGCGAATGTGCCGCGGGGTACGTAGAAAGAGTCGCACATGCTTGGAGACAAGACAAGGGTGCAGGATAAGAGAGAAGGCTGAGAGGGAGGCGGCAGGCCCGAAGCGGCGTGGGCGCCGGGTCGGAGAGCTCGGACTAGCCTGCTGAGCCAGGTTACTGCAGCAGCAGTGCCACACGGTTGCGCACGCCTCTCCTGACTCGGCCTTCCATTTCTCATCCCCCCTTCACACGTTGAACCGCATATAAGCCCTCGCGTTCGGAACAATTCGCAGGCCCCCATCGTTCACCTCAGCACTATCGCCCACCAGCTCCTGCCGTTCGCACATCATGGGCATGAGCTACCGCCGCTACCTCGCCGGAGCGCGCATCTACGGGTGCTCGAACTGCAAGACCCACTTGGCTACCATCCACTCGATGATATCGCGAGTAAGCACCAGGCAAAATGGCGCCGTGTCCGCTCCATACTTACCGGGTTATCTGCGAATGTTAGGCATTCAACGGTCAGCACGGCCGAGCATACCTCTTTGACGTCGTGTGAGTACCATTACTCCTGTGGGTACTATGTGTTCTGAAATATGCGCAGCGTAAATGTCATCGAGGGCGAGCCCAACGACCGGCAAATGACAACGGGTAACCACACTGTCAGGGACATCTACTGCTGCAAATGCGGCGTCACTCTGGGATGGAAATATGTGCGCCACAGCGCCGCTCCTGTGCGGTTGAGACTAAATATCGTTCATTGCGGCTAGGATCGCGCGTACGAGCCCTCGCAGAAATACAAGGAGGGCAAGTACATTCTCGAGCGCAACCTCCTGGTCGACGTGCAGTGAGCACGCCCGCGGCAGCGAGCCGCCGTGTACAGCTCTCACCGGGTCGGTTTCGGTTTCGGGACGTCGTGGGCGGTGCATATGCGCATCGCGCCCGCGCTCCCGTCGGTCGCTCGCTCTGGTTTCGCCGTCTTCTTGCCATCATATCGGACACCCGCGTCTGCGGGCGACGTGCAGTGGGGTTCACGAGGGGCGGGACCCCACACGCATTAGAAGAGGTCTCGAGGTTGGTGGGGTGCGGCATTCCCTGGGAGTCCTCGTCATGGCTCCTTCCTGGCCATCGCGGCGTCACCGCACATATGGGACACATCGTCAGCCATCTCCGGCGCCCCAACCGCAGCGGCGTTATGCGCACACACACAGTCGTGGCGCGCTTCCGTTCCGACTTGCCTATCTCCCTTACATCCCCAAACATTCCCCACGTAGAGCCATCCAGTGTTCGTTTGTTCAGATTGTTGCTCCGTTTATACTGCATGGGACGTCGCCATCATTTTATCTGGACGTCAATTTTAATGGTGTATATTTCTGTACCTGACAAATATATACATTCGACTGAAAGTGTTACGGCCGACACGGAGTACGACAAAGACGTAAACAAGGACTCTGTAAAATCAGCATACGCAAACAGACGGAGCGTATGGGTCTCGCGGCGTATGGGCCTTCTACGCAGGCGACCTCCGGAAGACGCGGAGATTCTTCCACCTGCACCCACAAACGAGCACTGGCGAGCAAGAGTCGAGACAATATTGGGGAAGGTGGTCATACATACAATGCGAACGATCAAGATCTGTTCGAATTCCACAGTGCTTCGGCATCAGAGCATGACCGGCGATCTTGTGCATTGGGGCGAATAAGAAGCGAGAGAGCGTGGAGGAGTAAATGCCCGGGGGCGGACGAGGCATGGGGCGAACGCATAGCAGACGAAGAGCCTATGGTATACGAGCGTGTCGGGAAATCTCATAGTCAAGCTAGTCTAGTCAAGTGGCCGTGGCCGGCAGGTTTGGGGTAGGACGGCGTAAGGCAGAGCTATACTTGTGCAGGCCTAGTAAGTTATCGACCCCATGGCTCTCAGGCTGTCGCCCATTGCCCAGAGATGACAAAGGTGAGGAGAAAAGCAGGGGTAAGGACGTTCGCGAAGACGATGGCGGTGCTTAGACGGCTGTGGCTAGGGAATGTAGGAAAAATGATGCGCATTGATGGATGGTTTCGGGTGTTGTTCGCAGCAGAAGCAGAAAGGCAGCGATGCGAGCTGGTGAGCAGGATAGCGGTAGAGAAGAGAGCAGGAAAGAGAGCAGTTATAATCAGTTACAACATGGAAGGCGAAGTCGGACAGAAGAAGTCGGGGCACGTGACCGGGAGAAGGGCGCAAAGGAAAGGATAGCCAGTTGTTGGGGTTGACGTAGCGTATATATTCCCCAACGGCCATCGCTGGGTGAGATGTGCACCCCCGCATTCTCTTATTCCTTCTCCAGACCACTCTAGTCTCCCAGTCCCCGCCGTCGCGGCGCAATGGGTGAGCCCGCCAGTCGTCCCATCGCCTCGCGTACGCTAACCAGAGTCTCCCAGCCGTCATGACCATGTCTGCTGGCCCGTCCACCTTCAAACCCGGCCCCATGCGGCCCCACGTCTCGTCCCCGCTCGCTGCCACCGGCGCGGTGCGCCCACAATCGACTCGCAAGATCTCCAATACACCCGCCTTCCCCGTCTCCCGCCCGCTTCGCCCGTTCCCCTCCATCGCGAGCTCGCTCTCTGGCGGCGCACACCGCTCGTCCGGTGCGCCGGGCAAGAAGCCCATAAAAATCATCGAACCCCCGCCCGACTTCAAGGGTGCCTTCGTCCTCAACCTCACCCAGGCCGAGCTCAGCCGGCAGGACTGAGGCCTCCACACTGGTATGCTCTCTACCCTGCCTTCCTCGTTATCAGCCACGCTCTAACACGCGCACGCTATCTACGCGTAGTTCGTCGTCCGCACGCTCGCTCATACCCCGGTCCTCCCTTCGTTCCCATGTTGTCCTCGTACGAAACTCCTTGGAAGTCACACTGTACCAATACATATTTATTGCCATACTAGATCGCCCGTAATTATTCTTCTCCAATTTCCTTCCAGATCCTACCTTATCACCTCTTACCCGACGCCCTTCCGTCGCCCTTCAGGAACACTTCAGTTTCCCCACTTCGAAATCCTTCTGTTTGTGACAAGTCAGTACCTACTAGTTTGTCCGTTCCTGTTCCCCTTCCGCTGGGATTTGGGAGTCTTGGGGCTGTTGTCTGTAGATTAGAGTACACGTTCGCGCGGAAGTGGGAGTGAATGCCAGTCCGAACTCGAGGGGAGCTCAGTACGTATATACCACAGCGACGCGCAGCGCAATTAATATACACATTTGTGTGACAGAACGCCCGAATCGCAAAGACCGCCAACGGCACTGTATTGAGTCCGTGTTCCCAACGAGCACCCCGCGCGTACCCCACTCGCCTACCTCGAGCTGGGCACGCACCAAGAGGTCGTCGATAAGGGGACGCGAAGATAAGAGTAGGAAGAGGGGCACAGAGCCTCCATTCCAACCCCAGAGTTTCCCCACTCGGCCGCACAGGCTGGCGCGGTACGCCTGATCCCACTTACAGGGCACGCCGCGGTCCGATCGATTCTCTCTATTCCCCTCCCAAGCCCATTCAATGATTCATCGCATTTTAGTGGCAGTGCGAGCGGAGGGCGCGAACGCTCCTCTGGGTTCGCGTGCGAACCGCGCCTCGTACGCGCACCGCGACTGTACGCAGGACGGTCGGAGCGGAGGACAGTCCGTGAGAGCAGATCCTGCCCTTCGACTGGGTGCGAGGGGGTGACCCGGTGGAGATCTACTCTGGCCCGGGAACTTGATATCGAATGAATGGCACTGCGCTGCAGCAACTCGCAGGGCCACCATGGCTCCCCGGAGCTCGCGCGCCGATGGCGGAGGGATTCGATGAGATCGATTCGACTCATCCAGCGGCTTGCCGGCCATACATACATTTAACTTGACGCGGGGACGGGCTGCGCAGAGGCGTATCGCCGCCTGCGCCGCGAATTGATAGAGGAGACGGCCTGGCTGACGACCACCATGGCTCCCCGGAGCTCGCGCGCCGACGGCGGAGGGATTCAATGAGATCAATTCGACTCATCCAGCGGCTTGCCGGCCATACATACATTCAACTTGACGCGGGGACGGGCTGCGCAGAGGCGTATCGCCGCCTGCGCCGCGAATTGATAGAGGAGACGGCCTGGCTGACGAAGGTCCCACAACGGTGACGTGCTCCTGATGCCAGCGAGCCCCGCTGAGTCACCTCCCAGTCTTGACGCCGGCTGATCGCAGCGAGGGTATACGCGGTGTGAACGGGTTACCCACCTGCAATGTCGAACAGAGAGCGCGGGCTCGTCGGTGGGCTGGTTATCGATAGGGAGAGGGCATCCGACGACCGAGCAGGCCTCCCACGTCAGAGACGTTTCAGCGCCCCGAGTGAATTCGAGTAAAGCACGAGGAACGCGAGCGACACCTAGGGACAGCGCTGAGCCAAAGCGAGCAAGGTTTGCTTTCACCAGCCAATGTTTGCTGCGTCACTTAGGCTTGACGCCCGCCAGGTAAGTCGGTAGGTAAATTGAATACCCCCATTGGCACAATGGTCCAGGAACACCGGGCTGTTGTACCTAGATTACAAGGAGTCAGCGGATGACCTGCTGCGATACGCACGTCGTAACCTACTGCCCTGGCTGAATGGAAAGGAGAGGGAAAGAGCCAACGCGTTACTAGATTCGTGGCTTAAAAAGTACGCTCGATGGACGGTTGTCTGGCGCTACATCCGAAGCAGCATCTCGGAATCACCAGTGGGGCTAAGGCAAGGGGATTGCCGATTTGATGTGATGAGGAGACCGTGCGTGAATCGATGAAGGCCACAGGGATTGATACACGCAAGCCAGCGAGCGTGTGGCAGGAATGCAAAGGGAGCCGCAGCGAAACCGTAGACGCCAGCCTCCTTAGCGCGGGCATGTCCAGCGGTAGCATCGGAACGCCCCTATTAGATCAATGTCCTGTGAGAACGGCACCTGTGACATTGGGGAAGCACCCACGATATCGATCGGGACCGAACGTCGGCGTGCCTGTCTGTGTACACGCCAGGCGCAGCGAAATGAGCAATTTGAAAAACGCACTTGCTTCTGCAGGCCTTGGGCCATAAATACTCCTCTGAGTTGGGATCACAGCGGGGAGTCCTGTATGGATGAGATAGCTGTTCAGATCGTTGCATGTCTGCCGTCACCACGACAACTTGCGTAATTCGCAGTGTTTCTCCTTGCGGTGAGCGTGGAAGCAGGTGAGAGTAATGAGATAGAAAAGGACAGAACCTCCGGAGCTGTGAAGTGATTTGATGCATTTGACCCACAATGCCAGTCAGAGGCGACACATCCCGGCAGCCTGCAAATGGGCCAAGAATGAGCGCAGACGAGCCTGAGTCAATTGCAACGACAGAGGCCATCACAAGGCAGTCCTGTGCGCTGCGCGCATGTACGGAGTGGTTGCTATTCCCATACTCTTTCAGAGCTGCGCGGCGACACGGCGCACAGCTCTTGGCGTTCAGTGGAGCTGGCTCCAGTGCTGCGCGCGTAGGTGTCAGGTCGGATCCGAGGATGAATCAGTGAACAATAACGGGGTACCCACGGACGTTTAGCTTCCTTCCATGCACTAGCTGCTTCCAAGCAGTGAAAAACACAGTGACGGCGACCATGGACGGCGGAAGAAACGAGCAAAAAATAAGGTCTCGACGCTACGGGTGTCGGACACTATGGACGTCGTTTTCTCGTATAGAGATGTGCTTTGCGAACCGTGTGTGACCGGCGAGTTGTGGAAGAGAGGAACATGCGTGGTGCAGCAGCCAAGCCAGAGAACACGACCTTAAATGCACCGAGCGCCTGAGGGTAGCGAAAATTTCAGACTAGTTGAGAGTCTCGAGGACTGGTCAGAGCACGGTAAAGCCCGACCTACGGGTACTAGAGGATCCACTTCTTAGTTGAGAAATACCGTCCCTCGATCACCGTAATATAAGTATCTGACAGAATTGCAGTGATTAGACTGATTATCGTGCGGTAAGGACGGAACTTTACGTTCAATATTGCTGCTGGTCCATCGTTTAGTTTAAGTACAGATCCTTGATTGATATACTAGAGGTTATCGGAATGAAGCGTTAGTTGCATGCCATAAGTTCGTGCGATGCTCTCGCATACCTTGTACCTGTATAGGAGATATGAGAGAAATGACATAAAGTTTAGTAGTCAGAAAACTCGTAAAAGGGTATATGACAGAACACCCAGATAGCAAGATGACTCGGAACGCCACCGTACAAAATAGATGCGGTTGACACATATCATGCGGTGGAAACTTGATATAGTGTCCTTCTAGACAGCTCGCATTCAGAAGGTCCGTTCCACTGCAGACTGAACATGAGCTGCGAAAAGTGCCCAATCATTGATGTCGAAACTTCCTGGCTTGTTAATTGATCTAGCGGTCAAAATCCAGTAAAACCGTGCGTTCTAGCACATTACCTAACCCGTAGATCATCCAAGTCCAGTGGATCCTCTTTTTGTCCCAAGGCTCGAATAATTACACACCTGCAACTCCCCGAGTCTTTTGTGTATGCTAGCCTGTCGGAAAGAATCGAAGGCAACCTCGGGAGCTTCGGGAAGGAGGCCTGTGTTTGTAGAACCCACCGAGTCCCTTTGGCACACGCATCGCTATCTCCTGGGAATCGCCGTCTCGCACTGCGCATCCTGTATTTGGGGGGTTACTGAATGTTCTGGATAATGCCCGTGTAATCGAACCTGGGGCCTTTAAATAGAAAGCGTGCGTGCAGAAGCTGTAAAATGCCATAAATTTGCATTAGATAACAAAAGACGAAAGGCTTTTTTGAAACAAAATATCGAGGACAACGTGAGCAGTGGTGAGCGTGTTACCAGCAGCGGGAAAATGTTAAACGCGAACTGGCGGTCAATGTAGTATCGATTGGCCTGTGGCATTTATTATGAGCGTCACTGCACGCCGTATATCTCCCAGCGTAGCAAATCTTGTTCTTAAACTGGCACATGTTCTCTTTGCTGAAAGAGAAACACGCACCGAACATTCAGCTCGCCAGAACAACAGTGTTAACATGGAATTGCGCACATCTCAGGAGCCTCTTGTGAAAGAGAATGGAATTTGTTATGTTACGCGGCAGCCGTTCACCGGTTGTAGACTGGAAAGCTCGCGGTTGGCTCGCGGGATCGCGATCCAGGCGAGAAGTTGCAGCCACAAAGATGCCGGCAAAATGCGAAACCTTGCGCGTCTATCTCAAGACTCAGAAGACCGTAAGGCTACTACCGTACTTCACCTATTCATAACGCGTACTCGTGGCTGCGTCTTTGCCGGATCATGCAGTCATCATGGTTCTTTCGGCCAGTAAGATGCATGGGGCACAGGGGACTACTGTTGTTCATATCACATGCCAGTGGCGTCCCACCTGGTAAGCTACTTACCGCGCCTTCGGTACAGGCCCTCTAATCCGAACGTTGGTATGTAGCTCTCTATGACATAGCTGGCGAAGTCTGTTCTGACAGTGCTGCCGACTTTTTCCGCCAGAGCTTCGATTCACGAATTCATGTCGGACGTTCTTCGTGCGCATAGATGGGAGTTATTAAGGTAACGGGTTCCGGCTGTGCGACGATGCCATCGATATGGTGAACTTGAACTTACTCCTCTTATTCTAGAATTGCCCATGGATGGACGCCCACCAATAGCGCCCCATTGCACAGGCATGCATGAGAGCTAGTAGCATGCGCAAGGTAATCTGACTGGCACCCTCTTCCCGGTACGTGCTACTCGTTTGTGAGCGCTTCGGCTCTGGACTTTCATACACGTCATGAATATTATTACTAAGGGAACCTTGGACTGTGGTCATTTATGTCACTTTCTCCCTGTCAATCCGGGGTGGCTCTGAGTCAGACGCCGAAGAAGGAATTGACCCCCCCTCGAACCAGTTGAGGAACAACCGTAAACAGCTGTAATGGCCGGGGACTGCTTAGGACTGGTGGGCAATTCACCCTACTTCGTGGACGGCGTCGCACCAATTTCTCTAGATGACCCTGGTGACGCTGTCTCACGTGCGCCTTGAGTACCCTGTACGCTGTGCGCTGTATAACGCTGACTCTTGAGCATGTTCTGCGCAGTTCTCTGCTCTTACGCTCGACAAACCAGGCTAACGGCAGTCTGCCTCCACCAATCACAGTCCATCATCATATCTGGGATGCACTCACTGCGTCTTCGAGGCCTTGTGCCTCTCAGATCAGGAAGTAGGCCTCAGGCTACTTGCTTGACTTGATTGTGTGATGTCAAGAAGTTTAATAGTGCATCGTGCTCGTGTTTGTTGAGTAAGACAACAATAAGTGGTTCAGTTGCGGCTCTGCCCTTCACTGGTGAGCTGTCGTGGAATTCTTAATTCCTTCAGAATGACACGACGGTAAGCCACATCGATCGAATTACAGTCACTGATATCAAACGCCTGTCGAAGGACTTCCTATCTGCTAGAACAAGCTTACGTACCGCATGCCTCAGTGGGAAAGGGAATTCCGTTCAGGTGCTCCCAGTTTTTCATTCTGCCGGATCCAGTTGAGAATTGCGCAGTCCACGCGTTTGCAGAGCACACCGAAACACAATAGGCCCTTCATGAATTTCATGCCCGTCTCTCACCTGCCCTATACTGAGATCAAACTGCACTACAGAGGAAGTGAACACATGGCTGCAACCTCGACCGGTTCCCCGAGGGGAAGGAGTTCTGCTGAGGCCGAGTGCCTGAGGGGTGAGGCGGTGAGGTTGATGGGCTCGGCGATGGCCGACAATTAGAGTAGAATAGACGTGGGGTAAGTTCCTGAATCAATTCGGTGAGAGAGAAAGTCGGAGGTGAGAGAGATGGGAAGGAGAGAATCAGGAGATTGGGATTGGATTGAAATTGCAGGTTGGGCAGAAAGCGCGCGGGAAAATAGCCATATGCGGAGAGATCGGTTCGTTCCGGACAGGGAACCAAAGTTGGACCGTGTTTGTGAGTGTCTAGAAATACCGGAGGACGCTCTCAGCGCGTTAAGGCTGTTCTGCACTCTGTCTACGTCCACCAACTCAAGGCTAAGGCTTCCACCAGCCTTCTTCTTTACGACCCCTGCACGAATTTGCACGACGTTCAGATCTCCACGTTTTTACGTTCCTCTTCAACTACTTCTACGCTCCCCTGTCTGCTGTGCTTTCAGTTCCTCACCCCTCATTGTGAGGTCGGTGTGCATCCCTGATTCCCTCTCGTCAGTGTCAATCTAACGCCATCCATCTCAGACTTGTATATTCTATACTCTCGTTTCTGCCCCTTGAAGGTATATTCAGTCGTGCGACTCCGCTGCCGGCTTAACTTATGATATTACCTGCCTATAGAAATGGATAGCTGGAGAGTAGCCGTTCTCGGTGACGGAGGTGTAGGAAAGACTGCGTTGGCTGTACAAGTGAGGTCTTGTGTCGCATTCTGCGCTGGTAATGGCTGATGACATGGCTTACAGTTCACGCTCAATTGTTTCGTTGGTATGTGTGCTGCCTTCCGCTTTCCAGTCTCTTGCTGAAAATCGAGTTTGTGCCCTCCTGCGTCCACGTAATATGTGTAGAGGTTAGTCTCCCATGTTTTTTATGCCGGAGCGCGAGTCACACCCTGGTCTCTCGTTCTGCAGACATATGATCCAACAATAGAGGATGCATATCGCAAGCAGTTGGTTGTCGATAATCGGATGTGTTTCGTCGAGGTGATTGATACGGCGGGACAGGGTGCGTTGTTGCTATTTTTCACTCCAAACAGGTTATCTGATGTGATTATGCAGAGGAGTATGCGACTCTCCGAGATCAGTGGGTCAGGTGGGTACTTCAGATTTTAGCTCCAGAGTTCTCGTAATCAAATGTCGTCGACACATAGGGAAGGCCAAGGATTTATCTTGGTTTACTCGATCGCATCTCGTGCGACATTCGACCATCTCGACGTCTTCCGCCAGGCCATGCTTAAGGTGAAGCGACAAAAGCCGGTTTTCATGCTTGTCGGCAATAAATGCGACAAACAGTTTGAGCGGGAGGTCTCGCGAGAAGATGGGGCAGCACTCGCACGAAGTTTCGGCTGCGAATTTCTCGAGACATCCGCCAAGACGGCACATAACGTTGAACGACTATTCATCTATCTCGTCCGTCTACTCCGGTCGACAAAACAGCAGGAACAGGGTCTGCAGGGTCCAGGGCGAGTACAGAAGGAGGAGAAGAAGCGAAAGTGTATTATCATGTAGGGCGCTCAGGACTATATAGAACTGACTCTAGTTTCTACTTACCTCATTCTATGATACCACGTCTGTTTTCTTTTTTCCTTTCTTTCTGGTTGGGCCTTTCTTGCACTGGGCGATTTATGTCCATGCCGTTGACGTCGTTCCGACTTGGTGTGCTTGTACATGTACACACGCTATCGTGGTACATAGTGCGGTTTTCTTCATGATCACGACCTGCTGTGGATGCCCTTTTCTCGGTGTACATACAACCACTTATCCTCCTTCCATCTGGATCCCTCGACGTGGGATGTGCCTGAGTCCGCCAGGTACGTGCGTGTTCTTTGACTCATCTCCAGCCACGCAAGTGACAAGTCTGATTAGTACTGACAGTGATCGTCATCGCTGCGTGTCGCTACATCCTATACTCCACGTCAGCCTGCAGTCCGGTCGTGGCTGTGCATCCGCCTCGCAACGTCAACCAAGCGTCAATTGACTGTCAATATACTGCTGTGCATACGTGCATGTCCATTGCACTCGCTGCGGGTTTTGACTACAAAATGCTTGAAGTAAGGTGCTAATGCCACACTCCACCAAATTAAAGCACAATGTCCACAACACATGGTTGCGAAGAATATGACTTCGTCATTCGTTCAATCCCTGACGATGTCAAGTTTAAGGTCAGCCGAACGCGGTTGGCCGCAGTCAGTCAGGTTTTTGGTACGTTCTCCATGTTGTCGTGTCCTCTGTCAACGTTAACCCACTGATTGATCACAAATGCCTCGTTAACAGATGATATGTTTGCGTGTTGTGATAAGGGATATGTGCTAAACACAGCAGAGGACGACGACAGGATTTTGGATCTTCACGAATCAGCTGCTTCATTGTCGATTCTCCTCTGCCTTCTGAACGCGACGCTGGAACCTTGCAACGTTGTAGGCCCACCATCCGAATCGGCTAACCTTACTCCCATTCAATCAATTATTCCGGACGCGGCCATACCTATTCCCATTCTTTTTATTCTGCTCTCGCTCGCAGATAAGTATATGCTATGCAATTCGGTCGTAGACATCCTGCATTTGCATCTCGCAGCGCATACGTCGACGTACCCTTTGCGAGTATATGGCTACGCGGTGGAACGCGGGCTCGACGATATCGCGGCTCAAGCAAGCAAGCATTTGTTGCATCCCCCGCTGTCCAGTTATACGTCCAAAGACATCGCGGTGATCCCGACAGCTCAGGCGTACCACAAACTTGTCCTGCTGCACAGTTGTCGGATCGACCGTCTGCGAGAGGTACTCATGGGCGAAATGATATTTCCCCATGGCTACGGTGAATGCACGAAGCACTCACAATATACCACCGTAATTTGGGAAGAGAGGAAGAAGACTGTAGCTGCCGAAGTACTTGCAGGTACATCTGGTTGCTGTGTGACAGTCTTCATTTCTAAATAACATTCTCTTCGCAGGGACGGATGTGACTGCTGAGATGGCGGAGGTCCAAAGAAAATTCGACTCTTGCGAGACATGCAGTAGAGCCTGCCAAGCAGCTCTGGAAATGCTAGAGGTGTGTCGGCCTCGGCGGTGTTATAGGGATCCTGACCAAGGGGTATTGCACAGTACAAATGCGCCAAGATTCCACGAAGAGTGGATCAGCTTCTCGTCTAATGAGGACCCACGGGAGAATGTAATATATCGTGTCGTGCCTATCCCGTCCCAATCTATGCAGCCCCAGCTGAATAACGATTACTTGTTGTGCCACAACAGTGTCCACAGGTTACTCCAGTGCTCCGAATCGCGGTAGAGGTAATTCATCGAGTGGAACATTCCTGGCTGGATGGTTTCCCCTCTTTCGGCGAAAAGCCACATGACGGTGCCCCAGCAGAGGGCTGCAAATATCGAGAATTTCCGTGCATCGGGTGGAATTGGCTTGACAGCGGAGGAGGCCGTAGAAGCCATCGCATAGGGTGTTGTAGCACGAGGAATGAAGGATGCCACGACTCTCGAGCACACATAGAGCACAATCTACGCACGCGTCACCTTCGTGAATGCAAGGGTAAAAACGAAACTGCACACCTGCTCGTTGACAGCATTCCGATCTCCGAAGACAAAGTACCCGCTAATGAGACCCGCAATGAAGGTGTCCACGCCCCGCTGCGTGCCGTGATTCGACTTCCTCTGTATGAGTAGCAGAGTCTTATACAGCGAGACGAATTTGGCAAGGTTCAGAGCGTGCTGTTTCGTGGCACGGAAGATTGTCTGAACTCTGGCTTTCCACCTGCATTGCTGCGTCAGCAACGTAAGAAGAATGTCATTGTGTCCTACTCACGATCCGCGACCAAACAGAATTGCCATGATGAGAGCATGGGGGAACCTCACTTTGACACCGTAAACGAAACCATTCCTTGCACCTTTCAGGATGGCCAGGTAGTCATGATACGCAGGATCTGACAGGATGGCCGCAAGAGACGACATCTTTGCAGATGAATACTAGTGAGATGGAATGTGTTGGGGCCTGAGGAAGATGGCACGAGAGGGCTAGCGAACTTGTTCGCGTAGATATCGGCGTCCACGACGACGGAGGATATCACATGCTCGCAGCGTCCATGAAGCACTGGCAGTGGCCGGTAAACATCATGGTCAATTCGTAGGGCAATCCCTACATATGTACAGCTGGTGCGCATACAAAAAGTACAGGTGGCGGAATTCTACAATAGTAGTCGTAAATGTGAACCAAACGGCAGAAACTGATCGAGCCCCCTCCCAATCTTTAAGTCTTCCCCGACGCGTTATCATTGCTCGATGCTTTCAGGAAGTAATCATCCTTGAAGTCGAAATTCGAGAGTCTGACGCATTCAATCTATGTATGTGTGTTGTCTCACTTGGTGAGATTTCGACAGATGTGGAAGATGAGACTTACCGCATGATCCTCGTTGACGAGATGACGGTCCCCTCCTCCATGAATGACCACGAAGCGTCGATATCCATCCATGATCGCTGGCTGCAGCTGCATGCTGAGCATATCTTGCTCAATCTCTTTCTCAATTTGTAGTGGAAGCTCGGCTTCCGGTATCCTGTACAGCTCCACGGCTAATTTAATGCTTTCTTCCAGGATGACACGAGCGTCCGAGCTCAGTATCCGGAACTGCCAGCTGATCCAGCGAAGGGCCGAATCATTATCACGTTGAGGCTGACGGGTCAGAGGCGGTGCCTGGAGCAGGGAAACCTTCCCTCCCGCTATGAGATCAAGCAATTCGTCGAATATCAACTCCCCGCTGTGGGTAGTCGCCATTAGATTCGGATGCCAATTCGATTTCTTAAAAACATTACTCACCGGTCAAACAGGGACAGGGGAGATTGGCCCTGGCATGTTAACTTTGCCACCATTGCCACCACTGATGGTAGCACATAACAGTCCCACAAAGGATGCTCGTTGAGCTTCTTGATCAGTTCAAGTACTCCCAGCAGATCTTCAATGATGGCGCACGGAGTGAAAGTCACGACGCCCCCTGCAGAATATAAGAGATTTCGCGGTTTTGCAGAACCAGAGCAGACCTACCCAAGGGATAAATTTCACGAATACCCCAACGCTCCGGAGGCACAGTTTCGTGAGTACCGTAAGTCAGGAACCGTAAATCCGGCCTTTTCTGGCGTCTCAGAGCCAGAGCAGGTAGTTTGCGCAAAGACGCGAGAGCACCAACGTGCACAAAGATAGCACGAACATCCTTCTTCGTTCCAACGTCAACTGCCTTGCATTTGTTCAAAATCGTCCGCAAAGAGGCTGTCTCCAGTGCTGGAAGGGATGGATCACCTTCGGCAGGCGAGCACCAGATACAGTATGGTCGATTCGGTTGGGACATAAACTCACGCAACGGCTTCGAAAAGTTGAGCATCCGAAGGGAGCGTTCCAACATGGGATCATTTAAGATCTTGCGACAAATGCCGTACGGTTCGTTGCCTAAAGACTGGGTGTGAAGTTTTGACCTAGGCTTACGCCAAGACGCAGCTTCGTATTCACTAGCCGTCAACACCCATGGAATAAGAGCCGCTACAAGAGCGGCACCATTCGCTATCTCCGACGGAACCCTCAGAAGAGCACAAATTTCCGATGATGCTGATGGAAACACCAATAGCAGAGCGACTGCAATATTGTCCAGGTATAGATGGGCATATGTGAACTGTTGCTTCGCAATGAATAATCGCGACACGTGAAGTAGCAACGACATTACCAAGAGATTCTTTCTCATATAATTGGCCAAGGTAGTGAGTGATGCTTCGTCTTCCTGCTCTCGATGCGACAACTTCGCAAATTGTTGCACCTGCGTGGAGGCCTGAAGGATGAGGTGAAGATCGGCGGCATCATAGAGCTTTCGGAGCCTAACGGAGTCCACGGAGGACGGTAGACATATGCTAAACCGGAGACCATTCGGGAGAGGGTCTGTTGCATCGTGTAAGGTGATAGTGCAGAGAAGATCGGCCTTTTCTGGATTTATATCCAGGAATAGTTCTCCGGACCACTTCCACTTCTTGGGGATCCTGAGCAATTCGTGAGTACGACATAGTCTTTACGAAGGAATGTGTGCCGATAAGACCTGCCAATAGATGGTTGCTTTGTTGTAGCGATCGTGTTGGTTGAGGCTCGCACCAGTGGCAGAGTATCCTCCCCGTTGGTTTCCCTACTTCACCACTCAGAAAAATTAAAGGCTCGAAATACAGTAACGTACTGTAAAGGTGCGGCAAGTCTAGAGGGAAAACAGTAAATACGCACACATCCGCGTACTGGACCTTCACTTACTCAGGAGGCATGATAGTCGACAGAAACTGGTCCACTTCCGCAGTTGGTTCAACCGTCGGCAGTGGTACAGAAGGTGGTTGTGGTACGGATGGCATTGCAACAGACCGGCGAGGAAGTGGAAGAGGACGTCTGCCAATACAACGTGAGGATGTTCCGCGATAGTGTGCACATGAACGCGCACCTGTGCGAAGGGGCAACCGGACCAGGCTGAGAAGCCTCCGTATGAGAGATCGATTCTGTTGGTGAAAACCCCGCTGCCGGAAAGTCGTTGTGACTGCTTTGAGCAGAGAAAGGAGATTGCACAATTGGAGAGACAACTGAAGGTGAGGCTGCTGGCTTGGTTGGATTGATCCTGAGCGAGGGTCTGGAGATGGAAGGCATTTGCCCCGCTGTTGGACTCTCTGCAGTTGGGGTCAAGATATTATTTCCGAGCGATGTCTTTCTGAAACTTAGCCCCGCCAAGGCACTCTTCTGTTTTTGCGCAGGGGGGATGGATGGTTGAGCTCGACTTGAGGTGAGGCCACGAGCAAGCCGCAATTTTGTAGAGATACCACCAGCTCCTGTGTCCTTCAATTCTATGGGCAGCTCTTTGATACCTCGCCGCTCCTGAGGCTTTCGTGAGATATCCTTCGATGGCAGAATCGGCTTTTCTCCACCAGCAACCCGAGCAGAGGATTCAGGCAGCAGGATTTTTGCGCTGAGTGAGACGTCTGGGGAGGAAGGCGAGGAAAAGAGAGAATCCTCCACGTCAGAGTCCAGGTGGCTTGTCTGGACAGACAACTGTATCTTCTCTTTTCCCTTACCCTGGCATGACTCAGCAAGTATGTCCCGAGCGATAACGGCAAAAAATTACCTTGATCGACGTCGATGGTGTACTACGTTCGTCCTGGAGGGATCGGCTTACCTTGGGAATTTTACGAGGAGGCTTCTCGGTTGAATCAGACTGAGGCACGTAAGTACACGTATGCCCCACAAATCAAATGCATACCACACCAGCGCTCGGTTTAGCGCGTTTCCGAGGTCTGCTAGTTAAAGGTAGATCGTCCGATATGTCGGTTTCATCCTGAGTTGGTCAATGAATGAGTGGGCACACTTGCATAATCACTGAACGTACTGCGCTCTCAGTGTGTTGTTTGTTTTTCCGTTCTGTTGTAGTCTTCACCCTTTTCTTCTTCTTGCGTTCCCTTGAAGTGGGTGGTGATGTTGTGCGCGATCGTGCTCTTTTGTTACGCCCCCGCGTCTGCTCGTTTTCCTAAAACAACGTGTTATCGAGAAAGTCAAATCGCGCACGAATGACCGCCGTGATGAATCTCACAGACTCAGAACTATCCTTCTGACTCTGGGATTCTTCGTTACCACCCATCATCTTCCTAAAGTACGCCTGCTCTGCCGCTGTATGATCGATGAAATCTAACACCTAAAGCTTGGAAGAATGTTACTCACCAACCCAGCTTTTTTTAGCTTCCAAGACATAACCTTTGGGGAGACCCTTATGGTCTCTTCCAACATGATCCCAAAAACTGTTGAGGAGGCGGTTGCAAGTTAACCGTAAATTCTCCTCTGGTTCCCAACTGGGGGGAAAGATGAGAAACGGCCGTTCAGTGTGCCATACAGTTACTCACGTGTTATCACCCCAAGGATAATTTTCCCACTTGAAGTAGCAAGACGGGTCAAAGGCTGTACGCATGCTGATGCTCGTCCCTCACCTTGACCCAGAATTCCTGGTAGCGCCACTGTCAGATTGAAAGACATGCCTCGTAGAAAATAGGCATACCCATTTCTTATTCTTATCCACGCGAGCCTTTGTGACGAGCTCTGGTGGCAATGAATTAGAGCAGAATCGGCGAGAGGCCTCCGTGAACACTCACCAACATTGTACTGCTGATCCGACTCCTCTTCTGAGGGCTCTGACGAAGTAACTTGCCGCGCTTTCGGCATTCCTACACGAGAAAGAGGGGTCCGAATATGACTATCGGAGATGTAAGAACGATCTCAGTACGAAATATAAGTTTCAGTGCTTAAGGACACTCGGAAGGGTTTACTGGGACGCGTTTACATAGGGCGAAGGCCGCGGAGCGCCCGTCAATGAACTAAGTTACAGCTGTCTGGTCTCCCTTCGTAACTTGTTCCAAGCTCCAAAGCTGCACGTCTCAAATTCATCATGTCTACGAAGGCCAAGAGCAAGCAGGAGGAAGCTCTTCAGTTTTTGGACGACCTTGATTCCCTCGCCCCGCCTCCCGCCAATGCGCCTGTCTCCACGCCAGATACCCAACCGCCGACAGAGGGCGAGGCGGAAGTATACGCATTCATCGACGAGATTACACAGAAGAGTACCGAACTTCCACGCTTGTCTACATCACACATCGACAGACCACTCTCGCGTGCCGGAACTCCAACGTTCAGGAAGAGTACCGAGAGGATCAAAGTCGGCACTCCAGTACCTTTACTCCCGTCTGCATCTGGGTCTGCGTCTCCACTTCCTAGGACTGAGCCGTCTAGCTCCCGGCAGTCGTCTTCCGTTAAAGCAGAACCACACGAAACACAGACCAATTCTGGTGGATGGGGGTGGGGTAATGTTTGGTCAAGTGCAAGCGCTGCGATTCAGCAGGCGAAGCAAGCTGTAGATGAACAAGTGAAGAATTTGCCCAAGAATGAGCAGGCAAGGAAGTGGGGTGAGGGTGTGTTAGAGTATGCCAAGGCTGCTCAGTTGGACAAATTGGGTGCGTAACCTTCATTAGACAGTCATATGGAATATTCAGCCCTTGTTGATCTTACCAGGAACCGATTTCAAGAGAGTCGGACTATCTACTCTGACCGATCTTCTGAATGTGGTGGCTCCTCCGATATCCGAGCACGAAGTTATCCAGATTTGGTTGAGCCATGACATGCAAGGCTACGAAGGCGTCGAGTCGCTCGTTTATCGTGCGCTCTCTAGGGTTGGTGCAAACATTCGCGTAACGACCTGTCCTTTCTTATGTTGTCGTACTACAGATTATGGAGCAAGTAGAAGGCGGCGACCTCATTGTCAATCGAGGCGATGAATCACGTCTTAAAGACGCGTCAGATGCCCAGCGGGATTTGAATGCCGCGGAAGGTCTCGAGGCTGCGCTGAAACTTGCTCAGGTATGCTATCTTATTGGTACACATCTTGCGTCACAAGTGTTTATATTTTGAAAGGCCAACCTCGACGAGCTCATCAAGCGTAATGCCACACCCGCTTCTACTCCATCTTCTGCTCAGAATCCCACCACGTATTCCTACGTGTATCTCCGCATTCAACCTTACATGTCTACTTTCCCTCTACCCCAATCGCCGGGCGAAGTTGATCCCTCTTCAGCTGGATTAAATTCCCAAACGTCCCTCCAGTTCATTATATACCTGTCAGATCCCGCACATCAGCTCACACACTCCACTGTTACCCAAGCTGTGCCTGGCAAGTGGTTAACCCTGTGGGATGAATACGAATGGGTTGAGGACCTGGTTGTTGAAGCTATCAGGGTCGGTGTGGAGGTAATTGGACAGCAATACATTGTCTCCCGGATGGGGTGGGACAAGAAGGTGGCTGAGACAGCACCATTGGATGCGAAAGAGGTTGAGGAGGAGACCCACTCGTGAAGGACCACCGTTGATTCTGCCTGACTCATGTTGTTACTTTTGTATCTCTAGGTAGCATGACGGTCAAGGAATATTATGGAACTTGTATTCGAATAACTATCAATGCATCTGGCATATGCACTACTTCGACTCTTCGGGCTTCGGAGGCGGCACGGGCTTGAGGTCCTCTGGTCTCTTGGGAGTTGTCCCTTGTCCCACTTGCTCCCACGGCGACAACGAATCAAAGTTTCTGTGTAGAGGGAGGAAGGGCTGAGTAGTATTCGACAAATCAAAATAATGTTTATATCGCACCGGAAGGCTTGCGTGAGTTGCAGTGGCTCGTAAACGACGCGCTTTTGCTCTTCGTCATAGCGAAGCTCAGTGTAACCCTTGCAAGAACAGATGAGTCAACCGAGTGAGGACAAACGTACAATCTCTTACGGTCAACGGGAAATCCTTCCGGAGAGGATGTCCCTCAAATCCTATTAAGCGAATTCAACGTACAGCTTTCGGCGCACACGTTTCACGTACCATAATCAGTAAGAATTCGCCGTCTTGAGAATATGGGTCAACAAGTTGATGGATACGAAACAGAGGAATTACACACAGATCAGGATGGTCCCGGAAGAATACGCCAAATAGATCCCAAACTTCTCTCTCGTACCTGAGTTCGACATCAGAACACAGTTCCTTGAACGCTGCAGGGTTCCGCCGCGTAGAAGCTTACCAGTCCGCGCCCTTGTAAACTGGCAATGCACTGGGGACCGCGTCCGTCTCACCCGCATACGTCTTGACTCTGATTCTGCCGCCCAACTGAACGCTCAGCAGATTATAAACGACCTCAAACCGCTTGCTCCTTTCGGGGAAGTCAACACCGCTGATATCCATACAGCTCTTGAATTGACATTGAGAGTGATCCCGGAGGAAGGTGAGGACCGGGATGACACCAGAGGGGCAGATATACAGAGTCAATTCATCCTTGAGTACGGAGAACTGCTGGATGTACTTTGGGAGGCACTGGATGAGGTACGAGCCATAGGTATGCAAAGCTTCTGTGGTTTCTGCATACTTGGTAATAGTGGGGTTGGGCGACGTCTGCTCGGTGAACGGGGACGCAGAGGCTGTTGCTCGTTAGTGTATCGGAATAACCGGAACACGATTGGGTAGTACCTTTGGAGGACTGAGAGAAATGAAGGCCACGGCTCAGCTGCGCCCCTCCTGCGACCAGTGGGCGCACAGATGAATTTCTGAGCAGTCGACCTGCCGAAGAGACCAACCGCAAGGACATGTTCGTCGATGTCGGAGCCGGTCGCGGTGGTGTGAGACTACTACGCGCGTAACGAACTCAGCGCTTGCCCACCACCACCACCACCACCACTACGATGACTTCCGAGATCGAGCAACCACAGAGCTCTCTGATTTTTGACTCTCTGCCGTACTATGACAACGACCTAGAGCAGCAGCCAGCTCTAAGGGAAAGGGTGGAAAGAGAACTTGCGCGAGATGCGAAACCTCTTCAGACTCTCCATCCTCGCGTTCCGCCATCACCAAAGCTTTTCGCTGTTCGTACGCATTCCACGTCTCTGTTTCTAGTAAACAGTACTCATTTATACACGCCTCTAATAGAACTACCCCCTTCTGGATGCCGAGCTTAGTCGTCTTGAGTCTCGTCAGCCATTGCCTGCGCTAGATACGACACGCTATCAATTACCAGGACCATCTTCGACCCCCGCTGGCGAAGAAGAGTGGAAAACGGCATTAGCAAATGCTCACTCTCAGTTGGAACACCAGCGCTTGCGGTGCGTGGCACACTACCTGATCTGATGCTTTACAGTAACCATACCTTCTCCAGACATGCGAACCAGGCCTTATTGCAGTCCTACGGCGCAAACGCTTGGCGAATACACAATTACCGGGTGGAAGCGAGCGCCAAGAATATAGAGAAGGCTTTGGAAGACCTGAAAAATCTGACCACGGAAGTAAACAGAGAGCGAAAGAACTTCCAAGTCAGTCCGTCCATATCTTCGACCTATGTATGCATCATCATACTGACGAACAAATTCGGCCGACAGACGCAGATCGGAGATCAGTTGACTTCTCTGGAAACTCGCTGGACAGAACTCATCTCGAATATACTGCAAATCGAGATGGCGAATGTTGCGTTGGAAGCCGAGGTCGACAGGCTCAATAAAACAGAGGCGCAGCTGGCAGCCGGCCTATAATATCGTTGTCTCGGTTGGTACTTGTATCGATTAGCTGCATTATACATATATCCAGTCTTCGCCAGTGACGTTGCCAATTCTGTTGACGCCTCCCTTGCCGACCGTTGTGGTCACTGTGCCAGCTTGCATTTCTATCGTTGACAATCACCGAGCTCCAGGGACCACGATGGTACTTGACTTTGCTTTTTTACTCAGACGCGTCATGTGAGACGTATGTATACTAAACTCAAGCTCATCTGTATTCGGCACCTCTGCTGCCTCATGGCCGCAGCCGAGTTGTAGGATATGTCCCGGTCAACCGGTTCATTGACATGACCCGGTTGACGATTCCCCAACTTCCTTGCAAGCTGCTGCCCTGGGATTCACTCTCGCCCGCTCTAACCCCCAAGCGCAATCCATAAAGGCTGAGTACCGTCAACTGTCGAGGGATCCAAGCTGCTGTGTGTCAGAGGCCTACTTTCTCGTTTGCATGTTCCGTCCTTCCACATCAATGAAAGCCTCTCTCCGGAGCGCTCGATCGTTGGCCACCCATGCATCTTCTGCATCTGGAGTCAGACGTACTTGGGGAAAATCAGAGATCCAGAAGATTTATGATAGTCCACTCCTGGAGCTCGTCTTTCGCGCTGCATCAGTTCACAGGCAACACCATGATCCCAGAAAGGTCCAACTCTGCACGTTGATGAATATCAAGAGTGCGTTATCATTCTGATGCTAATCAGTGAGCATGTCTCAGTCGCGCCCGTGTCCGTATAGCCGGTGGTTGCACAGAGGATTGTGAGTATAACAGTTTCTGCATGGGCCCGCCTCTCTGATTTGCATGTCGTGCTAGGTTCGTATTGTTCGCAGTCTTCGCGATACTCCACGCCAACGAAGGCATCGCGTCTGGTGGAGTTGGAGCCCGTCCTCGAAGCTGCACGCAAGGCTAAAGAGAATGGAAGCACTCGGTTCTGCATGGGTGCTGCGTGGAGAGATCTTGCTGGGCGGAAGCGGGGCTTCGAGCGCATCCTAGATATGGTTCGTGAAGTCCGTGCGATGGGCATGGAAGTCTGTACCACTCTAGGCATGCTCTCTCCACAGCAAGCACGGCAGTTGAAGGAGGCGTACGTTCGTCATTGCTACATTAGACGCGTCGCTGAGAGCTAAGGTGGCCCTTATTGCAGCGGTTTGACTGCATACAACCACAACCTCGACACATCACGCGAGTTCTACCCTCAGGTAAGCATTGATCCTATACCCCGTGTAGTCGAGCCAAGTTGAAGATAGATACAGGTGATCTCCACACGGTCATTTGATGAGCGGCTCGAGACAATCTCCGCTGTTCGTGACGCCGGGATCAGCGTGTGCTCCGGTGGCATCTTGGGTCTTGGCGAGTCCGACCACGATCGCATTGGTCTGATCTGGGAAGTTGCAAAGTATGCGTTCGTCGGGATTGCGACTGCGCGTATACTCACACCGAATACAGCATGCCGGAGCACCCAGAATCATTCCCCGTTAATGCGCTCGTGCCTATCAAGGGTACGCCGCTCGAGAACAATGAGGTGAGACTACTTTTTCTCCCGTCGTCCAGTTGTGGACTCATTCCAACGTGCTCAGCCTGTCCCCTACCCAATTGTTCTTCGCACCATTGCGACGGCCCGCATTGTTCTTCCTTCCACTATTATCCGGATAGCTGCCGGAAGGCAGACCCTTGATGAAACCCAACAAGCAATGTGCTTTATGGCCGGAGCCAACGCCATCTTCACGGGGGAGCAGATGTTAACCACCCCTTGTGCGTTCCCGTTCGGTGCATCCTCAGATCTGATCGTGATCTTCTCATGGATAATTTGACAGGCTCACCATGGGATGAGGACAAGGCCATGATGTCCCGCTGGGGTCTGGAAGGAATGCAAAGTTTCGAACAAACCAGAGATACAGAAAAGGAAGACTCTCAGCGACCCGCAACTCCCGAAGCTCCTGGCGATGCAGCGAGTCCGAGTACCGAGTCCACGTCCATGCAATGATGTATTTCTACGTCGAATGAAAGTCCATTAGAAGTTCACTGTGACTCGATTGCTCTCGTTCAATCGCAATGGGCGGTACTCTAGAGACGTCCTTCTGTGTACGAGACGACTGATCACTGCAAGACTTCGAGCTCTGGGTTGATGAAGTGTCAACATTTCAATCCCAACTTTGCCATGCACCGATCACCCAAGATGACGATGTCGGCGCCGTAATGCATAATGATTGAAACTCGAAGTTAAGTCTTCCAGTCAACTTCGCACGGGTCGTTGACGGTTCTGAAACCAGCTGCACTATGCTTCTCCAACGTATCACCGCATCTGTGAAGGCAAGCATCAGCACTTGTACTCTACCCGGTATCGATCCGTACGGGCCTCTTCCGTGTAAGTTCGATATTGCGTCTTTGACAGTCTATTTCGAAGACTTACTTCGAGAAGCAGACATAGGCGCCTACACCATGAGGACAGTTGAAGCGAGTATACGTGGTTTTCTAGCTCCCCAGTCAACTGAGAGCCAGTACGCTTCAAGATAGCCCCTTTGCAGGGTGGTGGAATAGTGCTAACTCGCTGCTCGACGGGGCGATGCATAAGGAATCAAGTACAGTCGTTTTCAACCTACGGCCCACCTTCCTGTCGTAACCGTGAGTTTCGGCGCTCGTGGCGCCGTACGTCATTGATCTACGGAAACCTGCAATGTGATTGCTCTCACCGCATGTGGCACCTTATCCAGACTAGCGCGGATTGTGTTTACGATCTCCACGGCTCCAATGTGAATCCCAAAAGCATGTACCTCATGTTAGGTTCCGGCTTCATTTGCAACTTCTCTGCTGCTGATACCATCAAGCTTTAGCGGTTCTAACTCCTCAGTGAAATATGTGCGCTGAATATGTCTTCTGATCTTCTATATCTGTGGCACCTACTCCATTGGAGTAATATGACTCGGCGAAGGCGCGCCTCCTGGGGTTACGCAACCCGGAGCATTCGTTGAAGTCGGTTACGTCACCATGCAGGGTATGTCCCAAGTCCTGTCTGCAACTGCAAATGGCGACCGAGATCGGGCTCGAGTGCTGTGCTGTCGTTCTCGGTCAATAATTCTCCATGAATTACTGCCTCTCATGTACCGCCGCAGTGGATCCTGTTCTGGACTCCTTGTATTGTCCCTCACAGTATGTGAATTACTGATAGATCCGCAATAGACCGCCACACCAAGCATGTCCCGCTGAGCTCGCCTAAGACGTTAAGTCAAAGCTCCACCATTGCCACTGCTGGTTGACCTAACATGTGTTCAGGTATGTATTGACTGGTATGGCAATCGTTCGTCATCTCGTTGGGACAAAAAGCACAAGGATGAAGTAGGCGGCGCCTATTTCCAACCGATGCAGGCGAGAACATATCTTTGTAATGATACAGAGTGTGAAGGACGGTCAAAGGTCCGTAAATCAACGCATTTCCCCGAGATGATATATGACTACGTCGTTGCTTGTAGATGGTCATATTGGTCCACACTTGTAGATGCAAGATGGAAATCGCGAGTGCGAAGCGGCCGTACTCAGCGTTCTGAAATGATGAACCGGCATTAATATTGGACATGCACCTTCGAAAAGGGGGCCGAACGATTCATGCTGCATCCTTCACGCCCGTTGGAGTCGACAGGTTTGTACGACCTCCGCGCATAATCTATGGACTTTACACCTGCGACAGCGGGTCATCAGTCTCATTGATACATAAATAAATTTCAACGAGTCATTTGACCATGGGACGTGCGCGACAAGTAACCCGACTCTCTCTGCACAGAACTGGAGGGAGTTGACCTTGGGGGGGATTTGCCTTGCGGCTTGTCTCTGCTCGCTTCCATCGCCCGTCGGGCGCTGTCCCATTGTCTGAAGGTGTACTCTGCCAACTCTCGTGAGTAGAGCTCCTTCTTCTCTGTGTTCGTAGAGCGAGTGTTGGACATGGCAGTTATTTTGGTAGACGGTGGGTGAAGACTTCGGCGAAGGTGTAGTAGCGAATGAGGAAATGAAGAGGAATTGGGACACCCTCCAGAGTGGGTGTGGAGTATATACGGATTTTGCTCAGTTGGCGTATCGATGTCAGCGTGATGCTATTGCACTCCGAGCGTGCAGCAGCCCCACGGATACGAGAGCTAATATCAAGTGACGACATTAATTAATGTCTGGATTTGGCCCATCCCACTTCCAACTCCAGTTTCGATCTCGCTCCGGGACCCTGGCGTTGACCATCTGCGTTCGTATTAATATTCTCAGGCGTTGGCACCACATCGCGCGTGCACTCCAAGCTCGAAGATGTTCCAAACCAGCTTTGTTACACAGGCAAGATAAGTAGAGCTACGACAGGTGAAGATGCGACCGAAATGAAGTACAATGCGAATTAGAGATTACAGGATATTACGACTTTCTATGCTACATATTCGACCGGTGAAAAGCGGAAAACATAGTCTTGCAGAAGGTGTAAGATATATAGTCCTCATATATCATAATAGGCGTTTTGTGGCGTGCGTTCCAGACACGTCGATGCAAAGTCGTTGGTAAATGAGGGTGGGTGGATTGTCACCGTGAATCGGAGTCGACAGTCAAACGCGGACTGTGCGCCAGCTGGAGCTCGAGCTTGGGCTCACCGCCTTCTGATGGAAGACAGTCTGGGCTTTCTGTGACACGTTCGCGCCACCGAGCATAACGCCCCCGGTGAGCACAGTGGTCTTTCCGCCATCGTAGTTCGTCACCTCCTTCTTCGACGAGTCGACGAATACCCGAGCCTGCCTGGCGCGTTCACGGCGAGACACCTTATACTGCGGCTTCTCGCCGGGAAAAGGGGGGGAATGCGAAGACACAGACACTGTGGTGGCAGAGCTATACGAATCCATGCTGTCCTCCGAGAAGAACGTGAAGCCAGAACTCGAACTCGATGAGCTTGATCGCGAATGGCTGGACGCAATGGAGGCAGGGCTAGATGAAGGGCTGGAGGACGGGCTAGATGAAGGGCTAGAGATGGTAGAAGAGTCGGGGCTAGAGACGGGGGAGGCTGTGAAGGCAGGTAAGGACGACAGCGATCGGAGAGGTGAAGGGATGGTGGGGAACTGCGTCAGGATGGGAGTCAGCCATGAAGGCTCGCGAACTTCATCTGCAATCAATGCGAAGAGTTGTTCGTCCTCATCCTGATCGTTTTCCAATAGTTGCTGCGCGAGAGTCTTGCTGTTCTGAGGAGGAAGTGACTTCGTCTGGGGTTCCACCTCCTCATGCCAGATGGTGAAAAACTTGCTCGCCTTGCCCGACTCCCAATCTCCGAAGCGAATGGAGATACATCCTGGGTCAATGAAGAGGTCGAATTCCACGCCACCGAGCAGAGTAATCCAATGGGACCACTGGACGTTCGCAGTCCTGCACGCATTGTAAATGGCACGCGGTGGTACCCTGCTGGAAGAGAGGGTGAGGCAGCGACGGCCAGAGCCACGGAGAGGCTCTGTAGGAATCCAGGAGGGCTCGAACTGTGCGGTGAGGTTTGCCTCAAGCGCTAGCTGCAGTTTAATGATAGTGGTGGCTGAGTAGTGAACAATCAAAGAGCGTGTGAGATACGAAATCGCCTGAGCCAAGGCGACCGAGAGAGAGCCGAAGGGAGTAGATGGAGCGGCCATAGAGAAGATGATTTGGACAATATTAGGAGTGGTTATGAGGGATGGTAGCTGCAATGATGTCGTGATTGATGTGTTACGAAGTGGGATCGACCTGCGATGATGGATGCGGTACTAGCTCGCTGAAGATATATAAGGATGCGGGGTTGCGGTGGCGTGATCTGAGACGTAGTTCTTTGAAATGCACGAGGGAAGAACGATGCAATAAGGATGCTGCTAGAAGGATGTATTTGAGTGAATGCAAAGAGAGTGGACTGCGGAAGACTCACCTAACAGAAGGCTGGTTTGGAAACAATGAGAGACGAGACGGGGGGAACCAAAACCTGGGTTAAGGAAAAGTGGACGAGGATGCGAATACTTATAGAGTAAACCATCGATAGAGGGGCGCTTAGGAAGACAATGACCATAGCGCCGGGTAACGAAGCGAAAACAAAAGGATGGCCCAACAACAAAAAGCACTCGTCCAGACCTGCCTTTTCGGGATACAATGCCCTGTGGGCGCTCTTCCCTCCCTATACCAGTGGCGGTGCATACCTAATGGAAACAATTTACATCGACTGCGGTTATTGTATTCTTTCCTGGAAATCGTTCTCGCGTTCTCTCCGAATAAAGGGTTCTTGCATTCTTACTGCTATCATCCCAATGACTTCCATGTATCCAGTAGAGTCTCGTCTCTATTATTACAGCTGTCGGCAGTGTTCACTGGTAAGATGCAGCCTTCACAGAGCCTTAATCTGATGCTGAAACAAGAAGAGGCACAACAGTTGACTCACATGTACGTATACGTAGTAGTTCCTGGGACAAGTCTTGTACTCGGAGTATTTAGAAGTTATACTCCCAAACGTGATTCAATGGGCTGGAAAGGATCCCAAGTTTAGTCGACGTCGTGCAATGAGGGGGGACCGACTGACGCACTGCCACTCAAGTTCGGGACGACAGCCCCAGCAGTCTAAAGTAGCACAGTCGACTGCCATAGACTGTCGTCAGGCCAGAAGTTGACGGCGTCGCATGACTCTGGGTAAGACATAACAGACATGTATTGACGAAGGCCAGCAAAAGACGACGACGACGACAATTAATATCGTCGGGACTGCAAGGCTAAGCAGACACCAGCCACATGCTCAGCCAATCGGAGTTTATCTGAGTCGGTAAAATTTTGCCTCAGATGCAATGTGGCAGAGTTTCCAAACCTTAATTGTAGGTCCCATCCACGCAGTCGACAGTCGGAGTCGCACAAAAGTACTCTCGTCCTCCATCGCTCACATCTTCTTCTGCCTGTTTTTACTCTCAAAATGGTGTGTAATCGGTCTTCATGTTGCTGCAGTTGTCGCTGGAATCTTTTATCTCATGTCTGCACTGGCAGACTCTCGCCGTCGACTTGCTTAACCCCTCTGCTGAGACCGAAAAGAGGAGCCACAAGCTGAAGCGTCTTGTGCAATCTCCCAACTCGTACTTTATGGATGTTAAATGTCCTGGTTCGTAGCTTTGTGACTGAGGTTTCGGTACGCGTTCACTCATCATACGCATACCTCAGGATGCTTCGCCATTACAACGGTCTTTTCACATGCTCAGACTGTCGTTCTCTGCGGCGCGTGCGCGAGTGTACTATGCCAACCCACAGGCGGAAAGGCGAGATTGACTGAGGGTATGTGCGGCGTGTTATCTTTTACCTTTATTCACTCAAGGAATGTTCGCAGGGAGCTCGTACCGTCGGAAGAACTAATCTATTCGTCGATGCATCATTCTCTTCACTTTGTATCGCAATCGCATTTGGTTCCCTGCATCATCGTCATCGTCTATCGCTGTTGTCATGTCCTTTTCTTTGTTCACCGTGGGTAGTGCATTTTAATGCCATCTGATCATGCCCAGACCTGGTTATTGATGATGAATATTTTATCAAGCATGCCGTAGAGATGTACGGTGTGTAGTGGAACGAAGATCGTTGTGCTGTCATGTTGCAAGATCTTGCCAATACTGTTGTCCGTCGACCCTTATGATCCCGGGGTCGTTAAAATCACAAAAATCACTGAAATGCAACCAGAATGAGTCATTCGGTCACAGTTTGGCTTTCGCACCACCCGAAGCTTTTGCAACGTCCTGCCGAGAGACTCCCTCTTGGGCAGTTATTGCGACCAACGTTCCGCTTCGTGTGTACAACTAGTGAGAGGGCATAAGGTGGCTTACGAGTCATCGTTGAACGACGCAATACTCACACGACCAAGTACCACTCCTCGACCGGAACGTGCCCGTGGGGACTCTACCTGTAGAGAATATATTGTCAGGAATATCTCATTCAGCAATAGGTCAGTACGCACTACGTAGAGTAACCAATCCCCGCAGTCAAATTCATCGCTGGAAGGTAATTAGTACGTTACACAGTGGAACTGAGGAAGTCTCACTCGTAGAACCAAATTGTGTGATCCAATGATGTCTGACCAAATATCAGCGCTCAGTGCTTAGCACTAGCAGTCGAGGAGGCATGGACGATACTCACTACCATCGCCAAAGGTGTGCCCTTATCCAGGTGTCCTTTCTGGACGAGAGTCCTACGGACGTTACCAATACTGGTGCCGCGGTGAGAGCCTTGCCAGCAAGAATTCAGCAGCATCAAGAACTCACAAGAGTAAGTCAGACATGTAACTGAGTATACACTAACAAGGGCAAGTTCAGGCTCGCTGACTCTATGAACCAAATTCTCGCACATACCTTTTGGAAGGAGGGATCATACTTGGGAATATTCTTCGCCTTGAACCAATACAAGATCACAATACCACCGTCTGAAGACTCAATGATTCCTGCGCTCTTAACAGCGATCGGACTCCTTCTACGCTCCTGCGAAATGCGAGATGCCGCGCTTTGGCGATTAGCTAAGGACCATCACGATGAACGCCATCGTACATGTATATAGCTTGCAGCATATTCCTTGTACGACGGCCGGATATTCTCTTGACGAAGCATCTCTTCGTAGTACGCTTCTAGAAGCTCACACTTATCTGGATCAGGGACATTTGGAGGCATCGGGCATTCATAGGAAGGCTGGTCTGGCTCTGGTCGTTGAAAAGAGCAGACCAGGACAAATATAGTGCGCCCATTCTGGATAGCCTTCACGGTACGCGTCGCGTAGGAACGACCGTCCCGGTCTCGTTCGACACTGTAGATGATAGGGATTGCGGCGGATGCACTGAGCAAGAAATAACACTTCGAAGAGGAGACCAGTGGTAGTCAGACAGGAGATGTGACACGCACGAACTAGCAACTTACGTGCATCGACTGCCATCGTTTAGAGCGGAGTAAGTCGTCATGTCAGTCGTCTCGACTCAAGCTGGTTATAGTGTCACTGCTTACATGCAACTTGTACGCATCATCAACGCAGCTTGTGGCGGAGACGAGCCCTTGCGAGATAACCTGGCCTCCAAACACTCCTCTACCATGCATCGGGTGCCACAGAGATTTAGAGCGAAATAGATTAGCGTCCAACTGTTCCACCTCGAGTGAAGTAGAGATCCTCTCGTGTTCGTATTGTCCACTGGGTATCTCGGCCATTGTTCTCAGCCGCAAAGAGCACCAGGCAGAGCGGTGTATCTATATCAAGTCTAGTAGAGACAGACAGAGATGGCCTTGCAGTTTGAAGACGAATTCCTTTTATCACGTTGGACAGGTCGTGATATCCTCGGGAGGAATTCTGCGGATGCCCGATCCTCGGTCACTGACTCGGTTATCGAATCTTCGACGACGAATATGATATCGTCGGAGAACAAGGTACGATATAAGTAATATATCTAGTGCTATGACAAGTCAGTCAGAACTCCTCGACGTCTATCGTGAATCCGCATTCGTGACAAACTTGCTTCCCGACGCCGTCGTCTCCTCTCTCTATGACACCAAATACATGTCTGTGCTCCTGATCCTTCCTCTTTTGCCAGACCGTTTCTCTCGTCCGTCTTCGCAGCTCCTTCAAACCTTCCTCGAACTTCTTGTTCTTCTTCCTCTTCTTCTCCGCAGTCCGCCGCTCATATTCGACGTCCAATGCCTCGGGAGACCCCCATTTCTTCCAGGCGAATTCCTCGACTTGATATCGCAAGAAGAGCATCATATTGGCAAAGGTGGACTTGTGAGGATTCGCTTTCAACAGATGCGGCATAACTTCCTGATCCCGAAGTTCGGCTGATACACTGTCAGACGTAATATTGCGATACATGGGAGCCCTCATACCATCGGTCAACAAGTAATCCTGTGATCAACGCCTCAGAAAAAGCTTGTGAAGTGCAAATGCGGTACTGACCTCCTTGCATTCAGTCTTCGTGAGCAGACTGTACTTTTCCGGTTTCTCCAACTTACATTTGTTGCAGACAAGGCAGCCGAAGACCTTCTTGAACGTCTGATCTATATCTATTGATTGACACTCATAGCATTTAGGATTGAGCTTCGGATCAAGGAAGATGGCTATCCTGGGGCATGACTTCACTGCACGAACAGGAGCAAGCGATGTGTCACTCACGAGGTTCCAAGCTCTGCATAGCTCTCTGTCTTTCGCGCTCCTTCTCCTTAGCTCTTATGTCGGCATCCGCTTCTTTCCCGTCCTCGACAAGAAAACCTCCCTTTGAGTTTACCATCTTGGACAAATCATACTCAAAGTATTTGCCGAGATGGGAATCACGTTTCAGTTTGGGAGGAGGTTTTGGGGCCGTAGGAGATCTCGACGTCGCAGGAACAACTCCAAGAGGGCGTTTTTTGTTGGCATTAGGTACTGATGAACTAGATGCCTCTTGCTCCCTTTCGCGCTGTTTCGCTTTCGCTGAGCAAGGAGCGTTGGGTACAAAAACGTGACAATCTCTCTGAAGCACTCACATACCTCGAAGTCGATTGATCTCTATCCGTTTGACTTGTTCCGGTGTCAAGTCTAAATTGTTCGGGACTATAAGAGGTGGCGTCGAATATCGTGCACTCGAGGAGCTTTCCGCCATGGTCGCGCGTGAAAGGATTAATATTGGACGAAGTTTAAGTATTAGGGATCGTCACACGTCGGTCACGCTCAGGAATTGACGCTAAAAAAGCGTGACTTGAACGCTTACCAAAGGCGGAAAATTGGTCATACCAAGGGTTTTCCCCGGCGGAGGCGGCCCGCCACGCACCCAAGGATAGCCAAGGATTTTGGCGCGAAGCGCCAAAATCGTAACCCAGGCTTTTCTCGCCGACGCGAGAAGGTCTCACTCTCAAAACTATCCATCTTGTGGCTGACCAAAAAGTTCACACTCTCCTTCGCGATGGCTCTTAGCCTCATGTTCATGATCTCCACCTCCCCCTCGATGCTTCAGCCGTTGCAATGACATGCGCATGCACAGCGGTCGCCGCACATCCGGACCATCTGCCATTAAACTTGACAGTCCGACGGCATGCGCGTTCTGAAACCAGCAGACACCAAGTGTGCAGAAATAATGGGTGAGCAGAAACAACATCTTTGTCTTCTTTTCTTGTGATGCTAAATATTACCAGGTCCACCACTACCCGCCTTCACGCACGCGCCAACCTACCAACACCAATTGAATCTAGCGCCATCGCATGCCCACGCCGGGTCTCCAGTCGCCTTGGGCATGCAGTAAGACTCGAGGTGTGCCCATCTTGTCGAATGCACACCAAGTATACCACTGCATGCCCCTCATGCCACTCAACTGGCGGTCCGCCCCACTTCTCATTGTGTTCCCCACTCCTGCTGTCTCCTGTACCTGCATTGTCCCCCGCTGCAGTATACACACAGTAGGGCTTGATGCCAGTGCCCTGCTGTGCACTGTGAGCAGCCTCGCGTTCCGTGCTTTGGTCTCTCGTCTCCCGCCATTCCTTATTTGTCCGCCACTCTGTCTCGCCTGCATTGTGTGCATGCTGGACGCCATCCACAGCTCTCCACATCTTGCATACCATTCGCGCTCCTGCCCGGTGGCCTCGGCGCGACCAGACAGTTATAACAATGTAGATGTTGATGCATATCCACCTTCCCCCGCCTACGCTATCTCTCTACCCCTGTCTTCTCATGTTTATATTATATTCGTAGTACAAAATATTTTTTCCAAATCTTTTCCGGTGAGAATTCCTGAGAGGCCTGTGATGCAAATAAGAGAGCCCGGTGGATTCATAGCTTTGGCATGATTGGGTTAGGGTTAAATTGGTCCGAGTCGCGCTTAGGACCAATCCGACCAATCGGTCGACCAATTGGTCCGGGCCCTTGGTATGGCGTTGTTGCCCCAAAGGCCATAGACCGAGGAACGAACGATACACCAATAAACGACCTCTAGCACCACGATCACTCAAATCTATTGCTATCAACTGCCCGCCTTTCCGTTGGCGGATACGGGTGGGGGTGATCTTGGGTGTGACCGCGGTCTTGTCCCAGATCGACCCACAGAGGAGTCATCGTCAATATCCATGTCTGACTGCCCAGACGAATCCACAGTCGGAGCCACGCTCGCTCCTGGTACAACTGGCGCAACGGTCGGGCCCACACCGTGGGTCGTTCCAGTGCTCATAATGCCCACTGCAGCGCCGAATCTACGTCCGGTGGGCACACTATCGCGCTCCAAGTGACTGGCATGATTTCTCCTGTCGTCTTCGCCTTCATCATCCGAATCCGAAAGTTCTCCGTCAGCTTGACGCCGGGAGTCCAACAGTCTCTGCGGTCGCCGTTCGTCAGGTGAAATGAGATCCTCGTCTGCACCTGCATCTTCTAATGCGCCATCTATCGGCAATCGTGGAATGTCTTCAGTTCCACATAGGATTAGCAAGTTCATCCTGTGCGTCGGTTGATCCTAGTACTCACCTGCCATCTGTACGCTCGGAGGCCCCCCCACCTGCTTCAAATTCTCAAGTACAATGGTCTTCACACGCTCCAAATATCCCGTACTGTTCATGTCCTCCATATTTGATGACTTGACATCAAGTTCATAGTCCGGTCCGAAATACTCGTAATACTCGTTCACAGGAATTTCTGAAACTCCTTGAGAATTTAGCTCTCGTTCGTACCGAAGCTTACGCACCTGAGCCAAGCTCGACTCCGGCTGCCAGACCTGTTTCGAACGCCCAGCATCGACTGACATTACGCATTGTGTATCCACCGCCGCCAAGGAGTAGAAGGGGACGGTTGAACGACTTAACGAACTTGACACAACTTGCATGGCCTAAGGTCAATAGCGATGTCATCATTAGTGTCCGTGCTTCAAGAAGTATTGTAACCCACCTCTCATGGACAAGTTCAGACAGCCCAACTTGTCGCCGGAAAGTGAATCAGTACCACATTGCAAAACTACCGCTCCAGGATCATAGGTCTCCATCACTTGTCGAATCACCTAACGAATACTTTTTAGCCATAGCGGGGCAAAGAGATGAAGATTGTTACATACAGGCTCAAAGACACTCTTGTAGTTCTCATTTGTGATTCCATCTCGCAACGGGAAGTTCAATGCGTAGTACTTTCCCTTGCCGATGCCTACATCCTTGAAGTAGGATGAGCGAATTGTTGATACAGCGTCGCAAATCAGGAACATACCCTCAATTCTCCGGTCCCGGGAAAGTATTCGCCGTACTTGTGAAAACTGCATGTCATGACTCTGTCTGTAGTATAGAACGCTTCCTCGACACCATCACCGTGATGCACGTCAATGTCGATGTACAGGACTCGCGTATGATACCTGGAATGATTATAATGAATCGGTTTAATAAGTGCAGGTAGCTGATCCTTAGGAACTATCCACGTACCGCAGCAACTCCAATATACCAAGGACAACATCTTCAATTGGCAGGTATCAGAAATGCAATCACAACAACGAGCAAAGCAACTGTACCATTCACGTAACAAAATCCGCTAGCTTCACTCTTCTTCGCATGGTGAAGCCCACCAGCCCAATTCACCGCAATGTCACATTTGTCGCGGCTTAATCTAGCAGCACCCTCTAGAAGTCCTATCAATACGCGCGATAAGGGGGCAAGGCACATTAACTAAAGTCTCACCCATGGAGCCACCTGCTGAGATAGAACAATAATCGAAAAGGCCGTCAAATACAGGGCAGTCGTCGCCAACATTATCTGAATGGTATTTTCAAATCAAATACCTGTCATTGGCAGAGGCACGATTGCGTTCGGCCAGATGACACATACATTTGTGCTGTTCCTTTAGAAAAGAATTCATATTGACGGGAGTGATGCGGCTAAGAAATTCCACGTATTCGTCGGAGTGAAACTGTGTCATCTCCCGTTTCGTGGCCGGCTTTGCCCGCTGGTGTAAACAACAAGGAGGTACAAAATTGTTGTTAAAGAGGCCTTCGCGATGTCAAAGAATGTCAGTGGCAAATCACGTACAAAAATCTCCATTTTCTTGTAGAGCCCGTAGTTCATGACCAACGAGTGACACATCCGTATCCGTGTAGGTTTCATCCTGCAAAAATCGTAGTCTCAAAAAATGAAAAAATTTGAGTGTCATCGAACTTACGGATGTCCAGGGCCGTAGTGGAAGCCGCTGACGTCCGAGTCGAAGAAGTAGCACTGCACGGCCACACACAAGCAATCCATGAAACAGAGTCGAGGCAGCCTGGCAGATAATTACGCACCACGCGTTTCTTCGCTTCCCCTTCAATAGGAATCATTTCTGGAGCCATATTGACGGGGTTGACTGGAATATAGAGGCGGCCGCCCTGGTGAAGAATGTACACAAGTTGGGCGTAGACTTACTGGAGTAATAAGAACAAACAGCCGCGGAAGTTGCATTGGTCCACGTGACCTTCAACTGTTTGGCAAAGGCTTCTGAATTCAACAGATGACGTCACATACTCGGACCTCCTGGACCTCCTCATGCGGAAAATGGTACTTATGCGACAACACAAAAACTTCAGAGAGAGGAGGAGGGAACCTGCATTACTTCCAAAGTGTAAACGACAGTGCCCTGAATCGACAACAGAATTACAATCACGATGAAGTAAGTATGGGAGAACAAGTAGGCCGAGTCAACCAGCCAACGGCGGCCATTGTTCATAGTTTTTGGCACGATATGTTATATCTTTGACTTCTACAACAGTGCCTTGGAGTTTTGTGCAGCATACACCAACGTCGAGGGAGCAAATCCGAAGGAATCCTCCAGCTTAATACCCTATTGCGTGGTACATCAGCTCACCACGATCGAACCAACAGCACAGTACGCACGAGTTCTCCAGCAATTACTCGTACCTAAGTGTAACCACTCAGCAAACGCAGAATCAAGGCGTCGGCAGATGTCTCACCATAGACCAATGGTGTATTGCGTGTAGTCCAGCAAACCAGAGCTTCAGGTTATCACAACATGAACGCATGACTAACATTTTATAATTAGGGCTTCTCACCTCTCTCCCGAAAGTTGTTTCCAGAACTTGAGGATACGGAGTCACCGCATGAAGAGTTATCGGTAACTCCAGCTTAGTCTGAGGAACAACCTTCTCCAATCGAGCAACGACTTTCCCCAGAGCCTCTTTCGCAGCTTGGCGACTGCTCTCCATAGGTGTATTACGCAGTCTGATGTCGTAGTTGAGGATGAGGGGTGGCGCAGATGAAACGGAGTCCAACAGCAGAGCGAAGTGGTCTCTTGCATGCCTAAGATGTTTCCCTTAACCACCTTGAGTATCATGAAAAAATGTGAACGTCGAAGGTTATATATACCTATCGTCGATCCAGGAATAAACCGCGATTGTGCAGTGAGCTGTTCATCGGACACTAGATTGCTCTCCAAAAGGTCCAACGCCTGATGCAAAACGGCGCCGGAGACCTCCAGCAGTCGTGATGGAGCTGTGCCTTCGTTGATTTCGTATGTCGCATTAACGGCGCTCATGTCGATGGTATCGCGAGACAAATCTACCGAAGGCATGGCGTTTGGAAGTTGTCACCGTGATGGAGCAAGGCAAGCGTGAGCACCAGATATTTGTCAACTTCTCTCACACAACGCGTGGAGTCAGCGTGTGCGAAGTTCAGTGAAAGATATCCACAAACTGCGACGGTAGGACGGGAAACGTTGACAATGCAGTTGCGCCACAGGGAAACTTTCTGAGAGTGACCATATCAAGGAAGGCTTTAATTTGATGAAGGAAGGTACAGATAAGGCGACTCGAATATATAACATGCATGTTCCTCCGCACAATTTCGGACGGCTCAACATAAGCCATCCGAACTCAAAGCGAGGACGATCAGGTCGACTCCTTCTGCCAGCAATCCGTCCAAACATAGTGGGTGAGAGACAGGAAGAGTGCGGACAGCCGTCACATCCGTCATCGTCGTGCTGGGCGAGACTTCCGTCCGCCTTCGAGCCTCGGAAGACCATATGCTGACTAAGCACGAGTCCGCAATCCGCCATAACACAAAGTCCCAGGTCTAGGTTCCAGCCTGAGGAAACCTACCAGCAGCTATCTTCACAGCGACTATCACCACCTCTTTTACCTGTATCGAAATGCTAGCGTCGCTGCGGAAGGCGGGTTCTTTGACTCGGGTGAGTGAGACCATGGAGCTGCTCTCACCACGGGACTCACGTCACAATCCGCGCGTATGACCTAGTTCGCGTCTGTGGGCCAGAGGCGTTTCCTCTCTATTCACGAATACCAATCCGTGAAGCTGCTCAACTCGGTATGTGGTCTCAGACATCTCGACACCATAATTACTGAATCGACTCGATCAGTATGGCATCCCGACTCCGAAAAGCATTCCCGCTAGGTCGCCGGAGGAAGCGTTTGACGCAGCCAAGCAGTTTGGTAAGGAGCGTTCGTGCTCGAAACTATGTATTACTCATGCAAATCCGCTTAGGTGCCAATGGATGTGTTATCAAGGCTCAGGTCCTCGCCGGCGGACGAGGAAAGGGTAAGTTCGACAACGGCTTACAAGGTGGTGTACATAAAGTCGAGAGGTGTGCCTTGCGCTTCATTACCGCGTGGTCGGTCATGACTTTTTGTGTACTCGTAGCCCGGAGCAAGCGAAGGACCTTGCTAGCAAGATGCTTGGTGCAAAGCTCATCACCAAACAGACTGGTGCTGCTGGCCGAGTCTGCAACGCAGTACGTTGATCATCGCGTTCCACCGGATTAACTCCGACCTGACGCCATGCATAAACCCACAAGGTCATGTTGGCTGAGCGTCGAGACCCTTCCCACGAATATTATGTTGCGGTGCTGAATGATCGTGGCACGGGAGGGCCCGTCTTGGTCGCGTCTGCTCAGGGAGGAATGAACATCGAGGAAGTCGCGGCAAAGGATCCCAACGCAATCTTCACGACCCCAATCGATTTCGAGAAGGGTCTCAGCAAGCCAGTCGCGCAAGATCTTGCCAAGAAGCTGGGTTTCAAAGGCGAGGATGCACAGGAAGAAGCTGCAAGTATTTTCATCAACTTGTACAAGATCTTCAAGGACAAGGATGCTACACAAATCGAGATCAACCCCTTGGCGGAGACGTCTGACGGCCATGTTCTCTGGTAAGCTATCAACGCGTCCTTCGAGTACGAACTTTGCCAAGTCTATAACTGGTGACAGTATGGATGCCAAGTTTGGGTTTGACGACAACGCGGAATTCCGCCAGAAGGATATCTTTGCTCTTCGCGATATCACTCAGGAGGAACCTTCAGAAGTTGAGGCCCAGAAGGCCAACCTCAATTTCATCAAGCTCGATGGTAACATTGGCTGTTTGGTGAATGGTGCTGGTTTGGCCATGGCGACCATGGACGTTTTGGCTCTCCACGGAGGCAACCCTGCGAACTTCCTTGACGTTGGCGGGTGAGTGCGCTTGGAAGACTCAAGTAATGCACAACTTGCCTTACTGCATATTATCAGTGGTGCGACACCAGAAACGGTCAAGAAAGCATTTGAAATATTGTTGAGAGATCCCAAAGTGAAGAGCATATTCATCAACATCTTCGGCGGTGTGCAATGCTCTCGTGTGATACCTTCTGCGCTGATCTTTTTTGGTGAAATCTTAGGTATTATGCGTTGCGATTATATCGCTGAGGGTGTCATCAAAGCTACGAAGGAGCTGTCCTTAAAAATCCCTCTGGTCGTTAGATTGAAGGGAACAAAGGAAGCTGAGGCAAAGCAGTACGTCATTAGAATGTGGCGTGTAACCCGCGCTGACTTCAACTGCAGGATGATTCGGGACTCGGGCTTGAAGATCATACCTTTTGATGGGCTCGATGAAGCAGCGGAGCGTGCCGTCGAGCTGGCTCATGCCTAGACTTCTACTCAAGCCTCTTTTTTGTCGAAGTTGATGCAAGGAGTCTAGAAATAATCAATGCAATCACATTAATCGCGACGATCAGTAGAAGAGCGTATGTTGGCGTGCACAGGGTATGGTATAACAGCATTGCAAGACGAGGATCAGACAATATATACGATGTATTTACCAGGTCGGCCGAGGGTAAGGAGCGTAAGAAGGTGGTGGATGGGCAACAGAAGACGACAAGACTGGCACTCCCGGAGCATGATCAAATCCGCCCCGAAGCTGTGGTCGATTCGCGGGAACACCAGGATACGCGCCCGGTGGCAATGCGGGCATAAGAACAGGGCTCCCTGCATACATGGGTTGTGCTTGCATCACGGGACTCATCATGGTTAGACCATTAGTCCGATTCTGCATCCCGTTAACCTGTTGAGGCAACCCGTTCTGCATGTTTTGGGGTGGAGGAGCATATACTGGTAGCGCACCGCCTGGCGAAGGATATGGTAGTAATTGCGCCGGATAGGGTGAGGTTAATGGTCGCATTACTCCGCTGGGGGCTTGACCATTTGGTGAGGCTACAGACATCCACATTGGCTGGACGTACGCAGGAGGGGTGCCACTGAGTACCATTGGCCTAGGTGCAGGACTTGGTGCCATCTGCGGGGGATAAAAGACGGCAGGAGTGGGCGAATGGCTCATCATAGGGGAGGGATACGGTGAATACGCGGACCGCATATTGCTGCCGGGACCGGGAGGCGAAAATGCAAAGGTCGGTTGGCGTGATATCGAACCGGACGGCGGCGAGTTCAGCGCAGGCAGAGTGGCACCTCGATTTGCAGAATTCACTGATGTTGCAGGAACTTGTTGGAAAGCACGTGTCACATCATGCAGAGACATCCTAGAAGGTGGCCCAGATCCAGAAGGTGGTGGGGTTTCGCCGTCTTCAGATTTCACATCTTGTAAAGTGAACGGTACGGCGGTCAGATCATCCGCAATCCCCTCCAACGAGTTCACAGACGGTAGCGCCGCCTTGTCGGATGCTTGCGACCATACTGCTTTCAGATGCTCGGGATCTGGAGCTCGTGCTGGTGAATCTTTAGTGGGATACGTCCTCGGAGACTTCATCCAGGAGGAACTAGGTTGTGGAGGCGGTGTAGCCAATGCACGTTCAAGCTAAGACAAAAGTCTTGAGGGCTCAGTAACGAAGATGGACGAGAACACTTACGGATCGTGCCTTCTTCAAGTCATACTCGCTCTCTGGCGCCGTGAAACGTTCGACAGCAATCGATGAGTCACCCTTATCCATTGGCAACAACTTAGTCGATTGAGCAGGTGCGGAAGAATGAGAAGGAGAAGGAACAGTCTGTTTGCTATGCATTGCACTGAGCTCAGAAGTCTTCTCACCCTCCAGCTCACTAGTGACAATAAAGTTGACTATTGCCGCCGGCTGTGAAACAGCGTCTGAACGTGCATCGCGATAGAAAGCAACATCCGAGCCAATAGGCATCTTGGGCTGTATTCTTGATTTGCCCGAGACGCCATTGATGGCTTGTGAGGGATCGCCATCACCTTTTGGAAGCGACGCCGTTGTGGAAAAAGCAGCCTCTGGTGGAGGTGAGCGGCTGATGGTGTCAAGCTTAGTGGCGTCAGTGTGCCGGATTTTCGAGGATATTAATTTCGTGTGGCTTTCCGGAGTGTTACCCAACTCCTGTAAACCCGTGAGGGGCACCACCTGTAAGGTCGATCTGGCGAGTTTCGAGGGCAGGTTTACCACGGGCCCGAATGTCTCTTCCATGATTGGCTTCAGACCAATATGTCCTCGTGGTAGCGAAATATTGTACCTCGCATGACCCCTATAGAACTGTAGACGACCAAAGAGAGCTTCGGTAAGATTGCGTTGAGCGGTTCCATCAGAGGATATATCCCATGAGAAAATATTGCGCTGAGCGAGGAACTGAGACCTGGAAAGTCTCGGTTGCCTAGCACTAACTGGTTCTAAGGGCGTGGAGACGTGAGGAAGATTGACCACAAAATTATTCCATGCGGGTCTCGGAGACCTGGGTGGCTCGTACCCAGTCCTATCAAAAACTTCGTTAGGGTCATTGACGCTGGGTTCGAGAACACCAGTCTTCGGCCTGAGAGCTGGAGGAAGCCACTTCTGCTGCTCAGGAAGATCTGTCCGGTGATGCATACCGTCCAATGCTCCCTTGATGCGCAATATCGCATCATTCAACGCAGACATGGGCGCCTCACGATAGCTCGGTGTTAGCGGAGACCGCTGGGAGGCATGGTTCGGTAGTGCGGAGTGATTAGGACCAGAAAACCGAGCACTTTCCTCGTTGAATCGCTGATGAGAAGCAACCGCCTCTTGCGAGCCAGCAGAAGAATCCTCGCCAGATACGGACGAATCCTGAGTCACAACTTGTATCCTGGGATGTTCCAAGGGGATTGCGGTGGTGGAATCCGTATTCTCCATCGAGTAATCACGGTAGTGAGATGGCTTGCGTCTCCACGATGCTGAATCGCTGCGACCAGAATCGGCGGAACCATGCACGGTAGGTGCATGATTGTCGAAGAAGTCACTAGCAACAGCCCTAGTAGGACGAAGAGGTAAGCCTGCACCCTGTGAAATCTGCATGTCGGGTCGCTGTGGAGACTTTTCGGCACCAACGAGCTTGTCCAATTCTGAGAAATCGAAGACTTCTAAATTCTCATCCGCGCTGAGCGTCAAAGATTCCACTTCAGCCAGTAAAGGGGGAGGCGGATGCATCGGCGATATATCCGGATGCGAAGATGGTGATCGAGCAGAAGTTGCCTTGCTTCGCCACGACTCGCCTTCCCGTCCTGGCAAGTAAGTCTCCACATGGAAAGAGCTCCGGCGGCTTGTGGACGCCCCCTTGGAGAACAACGGCTTCGCGGATACTGGAGACGTCCCTTGGGAGGCTACGGGAGGATGCACTGGTTCAGCTAAAGCGACAACAGACTGCGCACTCCGCACAGCGTCCTGGATAAGCTTGTCTACCTGCCACTCAATGAGCACGAGGCATTCTCTCGAGAAAATGCAATTGCAAATACCTGACCGTCCGTAGCATCCGCATCAGGGTGAGATCGTGTTTTTGCCTGTTCCATAGTTTTCATCTTCTCTTCCAGTTCTGCGGCCTTCTGACGCGCTCGTTCCTTCTCCTTCTCTCGCTCTTCCTCTTCGTGCTGACGCCGAAGCTTAGCACGCTCAGCTGCACTGTGCATCGCAGCTTTGCGTACTTCTTCAATGTCTACGATAGGCATCGCCGAGGACTGCAGGCTTCTTTCCGTAGTCACAGGAGAGACTGGAGACAGCACATTGGTTGGCGATAGCGTTGCAGTCGGAAGTACCGAAGATGGCTCACCATCGTGAGGTGCTTCTGAAATCAAAGTGGCAGAGACCCTACTTTCTGACCCAGAAACCGTTGGTGCAGGCGGAGTTGGATGCGGCATCTCCGAAAGGTGCGGGGGTAACTGTCGAACTCCGTCCCTCAACGGTTCTGTGGAAGGAGACGGAGGGCCCATTGCCGTCGACCGTCGCGCCCAACTTTCGCTTGGGAGCTCTCCCGAAATACCACGAGGTGATGAACTTGCATGGGCAAAAGGTCCATAATGATCCCTTGAATGACCTTGCGACGGTGTCCGCGTCATGCTGTGAAGAGGTGGGAAGGTAGCATCTCGCCGCGAAGCATCTCTGTCACGGAAACGTGACTGCTCGAATGGAGGATGCCCAAAATGATCTCCGAATGCACGTCCATCGGGCGCCTTCTGCAACAGTTGAACACCTTGAGTATGAGGAGGTAGGTCACGAGCGAATCTCGTGTCTGTCGGTGAAGCAGTTTGATCAGAACGACTACCTCTTCTCATCAAATACGAAGTTGCTCCAGGTACACCCTGTCGGAGAGGTGCATGTGAGTAGGGCTCGAGTTTGTTTGACCGCTCATTAAAGAGGACTCGAGATGACTCTTGTGGGGAATGGTGCGACTGTGAGGATGTAGCAGAAGCAGGACCGTTTGGAAAAGGGTCTCGCTGCTGCTGAGGAAAGGTTGTAGTGATTCGCGACCGAGGCCAACTCCGGTCAAAATCATCTGCAAACCGGTCTTCCTTGCTCACTGGCTGATCGATTGACAGCGTCCCCGCTTGCTTGGTAGAATCTGCTGCACTGGCTGTTGCCAACTCGGGGGTTGACTGCTGATGCACATCAGCCGGCTGGATCTTATATTGCCGTCCATCGTCAAACTCGATGACACCACCCAAGAAATTATCGTCGTCTTCTTCCATCTGTACATAGTGTCAGATGAGTATTTTCTGTTTCTGCAATGTACGAGCTGACCTCATCCCAATGGTGGGCATTTGGATCCAGGTGTACGCCGCGGAAGGTGTCTTCCTCTGCTGTGATAGCTTGCTTCTGTACTTCAGCCAATTCAGCTGCTTGCTTCTTCTCCATCAACTTCGTTGTCCGACCTTCGTTCCTCTACTGTCAGACTCTGAAGTCTAATGCAAGTTAATACATTCATACCTTGCGCAACCTCCGCTGCGGTTGGGAAATCAGCCGCCACAGCGTCCAGCTGCACGACCGCAGGCACAACTTTCGCATTTCCCCATGCAGATCTGCTGGAAGAAGGCTTCTTGTTGATACCACCAGAGATATCAGAGACTGAGCGTGGCTGTGGCTGGATGACTTTGCCAACGGTCGTAGGCTGTGGGGCGGGATGGCTAGGGGCAGGGGTGGGGACAGCAGGGGTCTTCGGATTGGTGGCAGATATCGGAGTGGGAGCTACTGAAGAGACCGTGGATGACGGTCGTGACCATCCAGGACCAGTCGTAGTGGACGGTTGTGGTGTGGCCGTCAGCTTGGTCGTCACTAGCCGAGAATGGGAAGGAGGCATCTGAAGAACAGGCTTTTCTACGGGTAGCTCAAACGGTCAGCAGACTTCTTGCAATAAGGAAATGGGAGGCGTACGACTTGAACTTCCGGTTTTCATCGTCGCAGACGCAGATAAAGTCTGGCCTGAAGGGGAGGTAGAAGAAGCTTTCTCAAGAAACTTCTTGTTGATATTGACATGGCTGAACCTCTTTGGATGCGGTACTGTCAATGTTGGTGGATTGTTAGCTCCAGGATGAAGCCCATTTGCAGAGCTCCCTCCCAGAGGGGTCGACGCCGAGCCTGGTGAGAGAGACAGAGGGCTTGCCTCTGCATTATGTCCGTCGGGCCTCTCCGCAACAACAATCTCCTGGCCGGAGTCGCTAGAAAGCTCGTCAATGCCGGCCCCTACTTGCGCACTACTCGCTCCGACCACCTTCGTAGAGCTGTCAGACAAGTCGGTGATCTCTGTATTGGCCATAGACGCGTCGCGAGACGCTGTTTGCGGTGGTGGTCTTGGACCAGGAATATACACAGGCCTGAAAGGAAAGCCAGTGAATGGCTGACAAAGAACGGGGAATATGAGCAGAACTGTCTGTCTAGCACGCGGACATGAACTCACCTCGGTGCAGGAGAAAGACTGAACGAGCCCAGCCAAATGCCTGCGTCGACCAATAGGAGCCCATCGGCATCTTCCGTCAGCGTGTATCTTCCGCATTCGGACGTGCCTTGCGTTATTTCTTCGTTGCAATTATTCCTCTCCCCGTATATATTAGCCACGTCTTTTCTTTAACTATTCTGCATGTCGCCAGAACTCCCCGGTCGCGACCTCCCATCTGGGAGCCACCAACATGACACCAAACGAGTCGTGACCATCGTGGAAGATGACAAGTATCAGCATCCCAGGTATATCTTGCACGCTGCCCTCCATCACTATCTGCTTTAATGCGTCACTTATGGAACAGCATCGTTAGTCTCCCCTCGAACGACATGAACTCTTGGTATTATCCTTCTCAGGATTACAGCTCTGAAGAAGACGTCCACTCCAATTCGGTCCGAGGGAACTGGGGTCAAAAGACTCTCGCCGATGCGAAATGGGTGCGCAGAGGCAAGATCGCGGCATGGAGACCCAGTTTGGAAGATTGGGAGGTACGCAGTGCCGCACTAAGGAAGCTAATGCTAGCTTATCGTGTGCTGCCAGACAGAGGAGCGTGCACGAAAGCGCATTAAACTCTTGCTACCTGCCGAGAAGGACCATTCTGCATCAGTCACACTACCACATCTTCGTTCCCCTTCTCCGCCGTTGATGGCTCCTTATCCTACTCCGAGCACGCAACACTTCTCCTACACTTCCTTTGTAATGGACAAGGCAGTAACAGCGTCATTCCGATCTCCGCTTCTGGATGAGCTTGAGAGCGCTACGAACGGCCTTATTCAAGGCGAAGCAACTTTGCGGCGAGCGTTGGGGAGGCTGTGGCGGGTCATGAGTGAAGATCCGGATCAATGTTCAGGAGATGCTTCTCTCGTACCCAAGCGTGAAGACGACGAAGGAGACGACCAAGGCGACAAAGAACGAAGGCTCGCTCGTGCACCCGACCTTACCCCCGTTGTCAACAAGATCTTCCTGTCATCTTCTCCTGACACGGTATTCGATCCGGCGCATTTCCCTCATCCCGAAGCGCAGTTGGACCAGCTGGAGAAGTCCCTTGCTACTATACGAGAAGTTCAGGATGATGGCCGGGAATATGTGGAGCGCCTGGAAGAGATCAGGGATGGTTTGGGCGAGACACGGAATCAAAGAAGTGGTGTGTGGGATTTGATCCGCAGAAAAGCTATCAAGGAGTTACAGGACGTAGCTTCAGCATCTGTATTATAGACTTGATCTTCCTATACCGGATGCGATGAGTACTCCCGAGCCGATTGTCACTGCGGATGTGTCTTGACTCTCAACCGTATTCGCGCTGGTCGTCGTGCTCTCCCGGGTGCGCTGTACAGTATCTATCATGACCGGGTGGGCCAAGCGCCATACCGCCAAGGCTGTTTGCTACCAGCGCGCCCGAGGCGCCAGTGCACTGCCGGGCCCTAACGTCTGTGAGTTCCATCCGTGCTGCGACCAGGATTTCTTCTTGCTTCCACTTTACTCTCTACCTCATACCGCCTACACACCATGGATGTACCAGACGTCTCTCTGCTATCTATCCATGACCCTGAACCTAAGCTGGCGATCTCCCCGACCGGTCCTTCCGTACCAGACGATATAATGTACACGACGGATCACTATATGACGAAGTTGAGGAATTATGCACAATCCCTACCTTACTCCATCGAGCCATACTCTGAGATGCAAGAGCTGCTGGATGTAATCCTGATACGTATAGCTCAGTGCGTCGAGGCGAAAGACTACGACCCAGGTTTGCTACAATGGGATAGCATGTTGACTTAGTAAGTGGTCGGAGACCCATTAATTGTTCAGTGTCGGTACTCAATGTATTCTGACAGCTGGAGCATGCTCAAATACCCCATACCGAAACAGAAGAGAATCAACCTTGCAAAGGTTTACTTCCATGTCTGCACCACTCCTGGGATGCCAAGCCATATTGTGGCTACTTGCTGCGACGCCCTGCACATGCTAACTAGGTCCAAGAAGAAGTTATCCATAGACGACATGAGGCTGCCGTGGAAACCAATCTTCAACATTCTCAGCAAAGACCTCTTCCTGACAAGAAGACAATTTGAGATCAGGTGGAAAATATTTGTTCACCCCCTCCCACATGTGATTCTAACAAGTGCCATTCGTACCAGCCAAACGTCGTGGTACATGGGGTACATTGCTGACAATGTGCGGAGATTCTTCCATCCCGCCGCCATTGACGAGATGTTATCAACTTTCGTACCCATGATGAAGGGCACTAGTCTAAACGTGTGTGGTCCTCGACATGAAAATACCGCATGAACTAATCATTGGTATTCAGAGCATGCTCGCTGCTCAATACTATCTATTGACCTTCCTGCCCTTAACGCACCCACAATCCTATTTGCCCATGCTGTTCCGTTTGTGGGAGTCGGTGAATTCGTACATGTATGACGAACGCATGCTGCAGTTTCTGTCAACGCTGTCAGAGACGCACGTGGACCCGACCGTGAGTGATCCTCGTCGCATCGAGCAGATTCCAGACGACGCGGAATCCGACGATGAAGGAAGACCTATGTGGCCCAAAGACGATCTCCGGACGAAATGGCGTTGGTCAGGAATATACCAGGACGTCGGTATTTTCAATGACCATGACTGGCACTTCTTAATGTGCAAGTGCCTAGCTTCTATGGGTAAGTGCCGCCCGTTTCTCGGCGCATCGCCCACCGACCGTCCTTTCAGAGATTCCATTGGCAGATTCTGGCTCACTCACTACGGGAACAAATGCCGACAACCAGGCGAGTTTCGAGGTTGAGAGACTACCGAAGCCGGATTGGAGAATATGTGGGTTCAAATCTTTCCGACCTTCACTATTACTGACCATCATAATAGCATCATTGGCTCGCATTATCGTCTACTCTATGGCCCCTGATGGCATTGCGACACCAAACTCCAGAGCCCCTACTCCCACGTTCACACCATTTGCCTCAGGAACAGTAACGCCACTACCGCATCAGAACGGTGGTCTGGGCGATTATTTGTCTGCACCACTTGCGAAGGGGGTACATCTGAAAGCACAAACTTATCTTGCTGGTTGTAAAGCTTTGGATTCTCTGGCGAGGCTTATCGCTTGCGTTGAAGGTTTCTTCCACCCCACTAATTCAGGAAGTTGGACTACTGATGTATGTGACTTATCTCCTATCAATCATTCCACTCGATTTGGTCTACCGAAGATGCTGGTGTTGTCGTGCTAACTGCAGTACTTGTTCGCTTTTCGTAGTTGACTGCATTTATCAAATTCATTGTGTACGAGTTCAACAAAAGTAAGGATTCACCTCTTCCACTAACGGACATCGCCCTCATGATTTGCACCAACCAGGATGGTACGAAGAGCAACAGCCATCGTGCAAGACACCGCTAGTCAGTCCTATTGTATCCTTTGATGAACGGTACAATAAATTTCCTTCGATCACAGCATCGCCGGTTGAATAAGGGGATGAAGCGCGAACTAGTCAAAACCCTCAGAACAGTAGCTTTCTTAGCCATGTTCTCTCCGGATAGTACTACAGTCAGCAACGTCCAGAGTTGTCTGAAGTCCATGAGCCTCATGGAACCGGATCTCATACTGCATCCGATTTTGGACCGTGCTGTACCTGCACTGGAAGCCCTGGTCGAGGTGAACGTTTACACGGGAATAGGTGGAGTAACTACTTACCTTGACGCAGACCCAACGTACGATGGCCGTAATTAAAGCGCTGGGCGCCGTGGCGCCAGCAATGGTCTGCCGTGAAGTTTACTACCCGGGTGCGAAGCACCTTATCCCAATCTTGGAACTTCTGCTTCCAGGGATCGATCTGGTATGGATGACTTTGTTTACTTTGGCGTAAATGCCTAACAATTATGAACTAGAATGATCCACCTAAGACGGTCGGTCGCTATTACCGAACCTCGCCTGTAGTTCTGCCCGCTAATGCACTCGCGTACAGTTCTGTACAACCTCGTTCATTTTCGAGATTGCTCAGTACATCAAGTTCGGCGAATTATCTACTCGAGAAGTATCTCTAGGAGCTGGCGCCGACGTCGAGAAGGTCCCGTCTGAAGTGCCAGACCTGGACATGGGCACGCTCCCAGAAGGGATAGAACTGGACAATGAGGTTGAGTTGCCCAAAGCAGAAGAAGACGCTATCTTGAGACATATTTCTGGAAGCTTCGCTGATTGGGTGGCTGCTTTCCTGCGGAGAGTCATTCTCTTGTTCGAGAATTTGCCCGAAGAAGGTGCGAATGGTACGGCTGGTGGTGCCACTGAAGGTGTGTAAATCACATCGTCAGTTTTCCACATCCATCCATGCTCATGCATGAATCATCAGTGCAGCTGGTGGATGCTGTGTCGGGTGCTTTCAGCCAGATTTGTGTCCATCTTTCTGCTCCGCTCTATGATATGGTACTCAACATGATATTTGACTACGCAAGTGCCAACGTTCGCTCCAACGCCGTGCGCGCTATACATCAATTGGTTGAGTGCGTAGCAAATGCCAATCCTGAGAAAACATTGGCGAAGTTTTTGCCCTTCTGTGACGGCAACATCCGAACTGAGTTAGAGCATGGTGCAAGCTCGACGAGAATCACATCGAGCTCTTCCACACCTCTCCCGTCAGATGCGACTCTGCACTGGAGTACGTCTTTCTATTCAACAAGTATATGTTTTCACGCTGAATTTCACTCCAGGTCTGGCTATTCTACGGGGTTCAATGTACAAGTGCGTATATCTGCTAGAGAGTGTCAGTCCCCAACTGACAGATGCCCATCTAGCGATGGTCAAGCGGTATGGATTTGCCTAACTTTCGGATTGTAGATAAAACTGAACTGGTACATTCCAAGACACTGAAATATCAACGAGAGCTCCTATCGCTACTGAAGCTACTTCATCAGAAGACCTTCTCAAAGCGAGGGTTCTCTTCTAGTGGCAAGCTTCTGTCTAGTATCTTGCTGACTCTCTCGCACACATATCCCCTGGAAAACAAATTCGTCAATCCCGATGAATGGGCCAGTGAGGGTAAGCAGCTATGATTTGAAGGAGAACGAAGAGAATGACATTCATATAGATTTCCGGATGAATCATCATCTATACTGGGGAAAGCTTTACAGGCCGGAAGATGTGAAGGTATGCCCGCTCCCTTCTTCTCTATTGCGAGTTCATAACACATCATGATCCCAGCTCTCCTGGCATGTTCCCAGCGACGATGAGATAGAATTTGTACTTCAGATCTTCCGAGAGATAATTGAGCCAGTCTTGTCCACGTTGGAGGGTTTGCTGAAACCCGGTACGTTGACTTGGATTGATCAGAGGGTAGTGGTTTGATACTCCGTTTGCAGGCATTGCGCATGACTCAAAATGGCGGAACGATTTTTGCCGGTTAGCAGCTCTGCGAGTGTGGGCTTTACTCTCATCTATTGATCGTACCCAGACATCTCAGCTTCGTTCGAAACGCGTTCTCGGGCATTCCTACGCTGGTTAAGGAGGTTATAACTCGTGACGAGATGCAAGCAGCTATTGCCACCAGTGATATCTTGTGAGCATTTACTCTGGTCCAGATGACGGTAGTTTATCGTCAGACAGGAACGAAATACCAGAAATGATTGCATCGATACAGCCTATTAGCTCTGGATTCTGCCTGATGGATGATCAGGATCCCCGCCACCAGTACATCTCATTGTTGAAGCGACGCTTTGGCCGATTTCTGCATGATGCATCAATCGCACTACGTCAACAAGGAGAAGAGAATACTGTCGATGCGGTGAACATGCTGGTCAGTATCGCCCCTTATTCCACCGGATTTTCATCCGAGTTTTCCTCAGATACGTTCTATAAGAACATACATGCTTGACTATGGCGATAGCAGGGATAAGTAGGTTCTCTTCGCAATCTCTTTATATATTCCTACGCATTCACCCTGTTGCGCAGCTATCATGTGCAGGCCGAGCGGTATGATAGTGAGATTGATGTGGCACGCCACTATGCAAAGCAGAAAGTTTGGCCAAGGGCGTTATTTGTGCGACGAGCCAGGCACGGTTTTCCGTTCATGCAATTCGGTTAATCCACTCATCGTGGTCTAGATTGTATCACACTGCGCGCCTCCGCTGGAACTCTACTGAACGACGACGAGGCGTCCTCGAAGATTCACTAATCGACGACGTTACAGAATGGACGATGTGGAACTATGTCACTGGTATGTATGGTGACCACCGTTCCACGGTCTTTCTGACTCCAGTTTCGCAGTGAGAGAGTACGTCGGATGAACATTCCACCCACTTGTATTAATTTAGTTCGTGCAGAGCCAGCCAATCTCTACTGGATACATTATGTGGTGTACGCTGTCGTCCCAGATAGAAGGTCTAAGTGCTGATTTGCTGAGGTTAGAGTTTCGACGGTATACGCCGACGTTGCCTGCCCATCCTCTTCAAAGCATTAGAGCCTGGTACAGAGGATGATAGGATGAAGGGTGCACTTTGGACGCTGGATTCGGCTGCTTTCGGTGATCCTTTTCTCTACTTTTATCTCGTTTATGTACTAGTACTAACAGACCTGATAGCGAAATATGCTATTGGCGGTATGCATTATCGTCTTCAAGGCGTACTTGAATTTCACCACAGACCTCTAGAACCGACACTGATTACTGACATGGCGCAGAAGCTCTTTGGCTGCCAGCACAATGAGAGGGTTCGTTTCAGTCCATTCCCTACTGACACTCTACTGAACCTGATATTTGCAGCCGTCAATCCAGTTATGCGTTGCTACTTTGTCAGAAACATGTGCGATGGATTTTTTCCCATGAAGTCGGACTAATCGGATATTATTGCAGGTCTGAGCAGTTTCCTGGAACCATGTTTCGTGGTCTACGACATAGAGAACCCAGGACTGGTGAGAGTATTGGCCGACCTCAAGGCCTGCATCAATAAAGATTGTGATGTCGATATTACCGCTCGATGTACAGCGCAGCGAGTTCAGCGTTTGCAGTTAGCAGACGAGGCTGCTACCAGGACTGTTCGTATCTCCATCCGCCGCAAAGGGACCACGCTAAGTAATCTCATATCGCCCAGATTGATGCCCTGCTCGACATAGCCAACTCTCCCAAAACTCACTGGCGGTACGCGATAGTCGCGGTGAGATGTCTTCGAACCTTGATCAGGAGGGACAAGCCCATGACTGCATCGCATGTTCAATACATCATGCGAAAGACTCTTGACTCGCATTCAAGCATAGTACGTCGATTACATCCACCCCTGTGTCCGAAGCTCTGATTTCTGGACAGCGCTATGTTAGTGGCTCACATCTTTGTGCTGTGAATGATGGCGTGTTAACAGCATTCAATTCAGTATGCCCAGCGTGCAGTTATGAAGATTTCCCGCTTTGTCAAGCTGCGCACACTATCTTATGGTCCTATTGATCTTGCGTTAGAGCAGAATCACAATCCCTTGAGGCGGACAGTAACCATCCGCGAGCCTACGCACGAATTCACGTCCACCTGGTTAGCAGATTTTAGGAGGCCTCCTGATTTGCAAACAGCGGAACGGGAACCGTCAGTGAGGCTGAATCTTCTCTTTGTATATGTCTGACGCCTTTGTCAGTATTTTCCGCGATAAGATCAGTAGTGGTTGGTTAGCGTGGAATGAGACATTCGATTGTTTCTTGGCGCCGTCGTCCACGAAGTCTACTTTTCAGCCTTGGGAAGAAGGAAGCGAAGAGGCTGTTGCCGCTGTTCGAGACATTGTGAAGGATCCGTCGTATTGGAAGAAACTTTCAGCTCATTATTCTGCGGAGAATCATAATGAGGTGATTTCGCAGGACAACGCTTCTTGTGTGAAGTCAATATGTGAGTGATTACGGTACGGGTGGCTTTTCATAATCGCGATTGATCCGTCCACCCTTTCCAGTCCAACTTCTGGAGGATGAGCCGTTTGAGCCTCTCAAACCCACTCTGGAGGATCTTATTGCCGACGAGGACAAAAACAAGCAACGCGCGGCCGCAGAATTACTCGCAGGCTTATTTGGAGGTATGCCTCATCGTCACATAACTTAAGGAATGCAAATGCAGAGAGTTACTTCTACCCTAAGGCTCGAAACATTGGCCCATCAACAAGCAAGTCAAGTTGTGGGAGTGGTTCATACCTCGCATGAAAACCGTGCTTGGCCAGAAGAGCAACGATACATTGCCTATCTGGACTTCGTTCCTTGAAGTCCGTTTTCCTACATCGTTTTGCATTGAATCGACTGAACGTCTTTTGGCAGTATGTTTTCTTCAATAAGGATCCTCGAAGGGTGCAGCCACTTGTGGATTTCATCGTAGCAGAATTCGATAACGTGGACTTCAACAGTGAATCAACCTTTGATGTGATCCAGGTGCTCTCCTTCTTCCGGGCGTTCTATGAGGAGCTGGGTTTGAAGTTCATTGGATGGATTGATGACGTTATCAAACGTTGTTGGCTAGAGTTGGACAGGAGCGAACATGAAGATGTGAGCAGTACTCCTTGTGATTCTGATTTTTTGTCTGAAATGATACGGACAGGTCCTGGGATATATAAGTGAGATTCTCTTATTCAGTGGCAAGACCATGGTAAGTCGTGCTTCGTGGTGCTCTTAGACGATTCTTCTGATCATTATGTTTTAAGTGGCGTCCAAGCCCCTCCATACCCACAGCGGAGACCTTCACGCGTGAATGTCGGACGTCTTCGCTGGAAGACGACATCATGGGTATAAGGGATGTCTACCATAGAGGACGGGTGTTGGAACTCGTCGACAAGTTCAGAGTCTGGCGTGACCAGCGATTGCCCGGTGTGCGTGCTTTCCAATCGACTTATGATCGGTAGGTGGTCATCAATACCTTCCACCTGTCATCCGAAGCGCGTGGAGCGGTAACATGCGTGAACTAGAGTCGGTATTCTTGTCTGCAAGTGGCTTTTTCAGATGGTACACGACACCAATGCCGTCTCGACTTTTGACTACGTCCTTCCTCTGATGGTACGTGTTACCTCGTACTGACTGGTCCCGTTACCTATCAACCTTCATATTTTACAGCCTGAAATTTTTCGTTTCACCGAGGGTACGTCTTTTACCAATCACGTCAGATGCATCAAGCCTGTATATCTTTCTTGGTGATTATAGTGAATGACAACGACGACCTCTCTCATCGCGCTAAGCTTCTACTGGTACGAATGTGTGGTGTCATACCTCCACGACCCCTCATCAATCCGATCTTGGATGCGATTTTCACCGCCATCCAAACTTCACCGGTCAGCTGCTTCACTCCCTTTTATTTCGGTGTATTCATAAACGTGCATGTCATCAGTCATGGAGAGTGCGCATCAAGATTCTCCCATTGGTCCAAGGTTTGTTTGAATCCTTGAGGTCAAACACTACTTCGGTTTTAAATTAGCTCCTTGTAGTATTCTACTTCAGACAAGCACCGCTCATCAGTGAGATCAAGCTCGTAGAGATGGTTGAGGTAAGTTCAGCCTCGTAATTGAATGGGTGATAAGTTGACGTCCTGGGACAGGTGGTGTGCAGATGTCTTGATGATGAGGTAGTAGAAGTGCGCGAGATGGCTGCAACGTGAGTGGTTTCTGCACTCAGTCTCAGTAGAAAATATCTAACTGGTTCACGCAGAACGCTGTCGGGCATTCTCCGACTTTCACCACGTCGAAGTGTCGTTGCGCTGAAGGTTCGTCGACGCTTCATGTGCATGTCAGACAAGTATACTGAGACATCGAGCAGGACCGCTTCGTGCGGCTGGCCAAGAACAGCTATCTGCCGGATAGGCACACCCCTGGGTACAATGCGGCACTACGTCAGCGACATGCTGCTATCCTTGGTATCTGCGCGCTAGTTGACACATTCCCGTATACTGTGGAGAAGTGGATGCCTGATCTTATCACAAGTGTACTGGCTGAGCATACATATGACCCGGTGAGTGTGATTTGCGTGCGTTCTGACTATTATTGACGTGCCTCCTTGACTTTGTCAGATTCCGATATCGACAACTGTACGCAAATGCGCTGGGAACTTCAGGAAGACGCACCAGGACACATGGCATGAGGATGCGAAGCGATTCACCGAAGAACAGCTTGTGGCTCTGTCAACTCTGCTTACAGGATCATCCTACTGTAAGTGAGTCCTCATTCTTGATTATGGTGATGCTTACGTCGAAATTTACAAGACGCTTGATCTTGAGCTTGATCCCGTAAGAGCGGTGAGTGAAGACGTTAGGGATATGTGTGCCCATTTCTTGGACATCCGTTTATTTAATGCTGGATTTATGTGTATATTTCATACGACGTCAACTAGAAGAATACTCGGTAGGACTGTTCGTGCTAAGATAAATCATCACAGCCTACAGGTGCAAAGTCCCAAGTGATAAATCCAACGACAACGTTACAATAAGGTGGTCGATAATGTATATGAAATGTACAATAGTTTGAAGTAATGGCTCAATGAAATGCATAATCTGCACGTATCTCTCTCATTGAACGTGGACAGATCCGCCCCGGCGTGCCGCTGTTGTCAGCTCCCCACCCTCCAAGTCTACAACACCTAGGGAGGGCTCCGTTGTCTCGACACCGCTAGCGGTGCCTTTGCGTGACCCAGCATGCGGGACGAAATCAATGGGACGTGCGTTCATGCCGGAGCGGATACGGTTATTAGATGACTCTTCCCTGTGAAGTCCAAGTAGAAGCCAACAAGATGAGAGGCAGAAGGGAATAATAACCGGTCATACGCACCGAATCTCTGCAATGAGGTCATCGATTGCATACCAAGCCAATGGGTTGAAGGCGATGGCACGCCACCACCCCATACGATCAGCAGGTAGGTTATATGCGTGCGCGTGCAAATGGTCCGATACAGGGATCTTGGGATCTTTGAAGGGCGGGGTAACGAACCCAATCCGAACGCACTCTCGTGGAACTTCCTGTGTTGTAGCATTGCTCGCATGATTCATGAGGAACGAGGAGCTCACGGGAGTAGGGAGAGGGGAGGCTGGCTCGGGAAACGATGAGTACGTGGTATCGCTTGGGAAAGAAGGCTCGTGGAGAGACAAGAGGAGACGGTGCGAGATCTCGCGTACAGAAACAAGGAGGGGAAGATCACTCGACGACTGATGTATGTCAAAGGACGATCCCAGTCATTTGACGGGTAGCTCACAAGATTATACAGCGAAGGAACATGCAGACTGAAAAGCATATGACTCGGTCAATGCATTTTAACACAAATTGAATAGCTCACTTGAAGATAATGACTATGTGACCCATGCTGGACACCGGATTCTTGGTCTCGCGATAAACGGTGAAGTTCTCGTCTCTGTAGAGTACCTCTGGCTGGGTAGTATTGGCAGTATTCTGGATGGCAGAGGAAACTAAGCTGCACATAGGGCAACCGCGTTTTGGAGGAAATGTCATGGTTGATAGCCGTAATGGATGTTGCATGCGCGACTCAGAGTCCTTGAAACCGGAGACTCGCTGCACAGTCACCTCGTGACCGTTCACCAACTCTCGGCCAGTGGCTACGATGTCTGGCCAGTCCATGCCAGAGATACTGAACTCCAGAGACTCCATTCTCCAAGTCTTTGACGACTTCAGAGACGAGTTGGATGCACATAATGATAGAAGAGAGCGCCTTATAAAGGTCCGCCTTTCAGCCTACTTCTTGTTGCCCTCATCCACCAATCCCACCGAACGACATGGCCTGTATACAACGCAATTCCAATCCTTCGACTCCGCACTCAGTCCAGCCGTGATGTCACCAACCTCTCCAAGAAAGTCATATTTCTCCTCCACCGTACCATGACCGAGGAGAATTTCGAGTCTAATGATCACGTCCTTGCTGTGCGTGCAGCCGGACGAGCAAAAGAGAAGCTGCGCGAAATCCAGAATATGTTTGCAGCTATTCGGGAGGAGGTCGCGGGTGACCGTTTCTGGAGATACCAGAAAAATGTCTCCCCTGGTCTGCAGGAGTATATCGAAGCGCTGAGTTTTGCCCACTTTCTCGAGCATGGGACCTTGATCTCGTACGACGAGGTGCAGCAGTCACTTTGCGATAACAATGGTATCCGTGTGCGTACCATGGTCATGATGATGATTTGGTCCGGTTCTTGTACTGACAGGATTGTTTAGTATTTTCCTCTGCCGCTGGAGGACTACTTGCTAGGACTGTCTGACCTGACGGGCGAATTGATGCGCTATGCCATTTCCGCCATTTCTCGTCGTGGTGGACGCTCCAAGGCCAGCGAAGTTTGTACGTTTGTGAGAGGTTGCAGAGCCAGTAAGTTTTGTTCGGCTACGGCCACACCTGTATCGGGTGTATTCCGTCAATCCGTTTATTCCTACATTTTGAGTGTTGCTGATTACAGATGGCATCAGACTTTGAAGGGCTTGTGCCGTATTACCGGGAGCTCCGTAAAAAGCAAGCGGTTACTTCGCAGTCTCTCGAGAAGATTGAAGATGGTGCGTGCATCCCTTTGACTTTTCTTGTTCGCTTATGTCTCTTCTGACGATCGTATCCAATCCCAGTTGCGTACGCCATAGCTGTGCGTAGCTCTGAGTATGACTTGCCCCCAGAAATCTTGGATGATATCGTCGCACGGACAGTCTCCAGCGCTGCGTATAGTGGAAGCCAGGGAGACAGGAGGAGAAAGGGAGGCAGAGGTAGCAGAGGACATGACGACGAATTAGACGACGGACTTGATGAAGACTGAGACGAGGATGGACACTCATTCCTGCGGTGGTTTGCCGTATCACTTATTGTCAGTGTATCTTAGCGCACGAGACTGCACAGAAACACCAGGGTTGTGGCTGAGCGCAGGTGTGATAAACAATTTCGAGAGAACCATGAGTAGGGAGGGCAGACACGTTCTATTTGGTCCTGAGGCACAATGGAAACGTATAAAACCGTTCACACTACATTTAATATCGATAAACAGCATGAGGAAAAGACTTTAATATATGTCGCGTTCATAAAATCGGAAGCTTTGCTCAAGCACTAGATGGAAGTATAATTGGATGGAAAAGTCGAGTAGACAAGCACTATTCCCGCATAGTAGCTCCGTAGATACACGGTGGTCAGAAGGCACAAGCGAAAGGTCAGACTGGGAACCCGCCAGAGAAGGATTCGAACTTATCTAGCGTGTCAGGATTTTCTCAAAAGTTGGCAGGAATACGTCTTGTGCATCTCGCATACGAATTCGTCGGAGCAGCAGCAGCCTGTCGGCTCTATGAGACCCACCCTTGATCATGGTACATAGCCTGGGCTGATCTATTCGTTACCCAGCCAGTGAGCAGCCTGAACGAGGTGAGTAATGCTAGTAGCGCTTCAACATTGGCTGGCTTTGCCGCGGAATCGAGATGCGGCTAATTACATGGGCGAATGGGAGATCTGTGTTCAGGCACTGTGCAAGCGAGCTCAGCAAGCGAGCTGCCAGTCGCATAAACATATGGCTTCCTATATATCTACCAGTCCTCGGGCGAAGCTACTAACCACTTCTTGTCTTGCTCTGCGATGGGTCCAACATTCGCCTGCCAACTGTGCGTCACGTCACTTAGGCTAGCTCCGAGTCTGGACACCGGCGGCAGAGCGCAGGCCGCGTCGCATCGCAACTCACTCTGTCACCCGCCCTCTTTCCTCTGCGCTGACACCTGTTGCACCCAGAGGGTGATCTACTGACCTCTCGTCGATGCATCTCTCGTTCTTTCCTACCCTCGGCTCATCCACATCTCTTGCTCTCCCGCCGCGCACCGACGGCCGCCTTATCTTTCAGGCCAAATTCCTTTCGCGTGAGGAGTATGATCAGGCGCAGCGAGATGGCATACGCATCGAACTCTGGGCCAATCTTCCTAGCGAGGGCTCAGGAAGCGAGGCATGGGGTTCATGGCTTTTTCAGAAGATCGACCCTGGGGCGCCGTCCATTATTGGATCGACCGTTGACAGTACAGTTCTCTTGTCTGACTCAGACGAGGCTACGCCGTTAGCCCAGGAGCACGTCCTATATCTACAAGTGCCGGTTCGCTTGCAGAGTTCTACATGCTCTACGTTCTCGTTCACGTACAGACTGGTGTACCCGTCTGGATCCATCCACTGGTTGGGCGAGTTCGGGCATAACGGACACCTCTCCATTGAACCGAGACATTCTGCTGTAAGTCTAGTTGATGGTTGGGGAGAATGGGAGAACGGAACGTGCACATTCAAAAACGTGTCTTCGCCGCTCGCACTGGTGGGGAGACTGAACATGGAATATGGGTGGTCAATCTGGGCGGTGGAACAAGAAAGGTATATCAACGTTTCTGCTCAAGTCCATCGATTGACATCTAACTGCTCGTGCATGCATGTTAGCTGGCCCATATTTTGCCCTACTATTCGCGAGATACCTTCGGCTTCCTGTGTGGTTCTTTCGCCTCTGTCTCGGCTCTACGAAGTTATTGCTCCACAGCCCCTCATCCTTAGCGCGAGCCCTGGCACTTCCATCCACATCACATCTACCGGAGATATATTACACACTTCAGGTGACGCAAGCGGGTATGTGGTGCTGCGCTCTTTCAATGCGTTGTTCGACGATGCATTCCTGAACGACACCAACCATTCCCATACTGGTGGTTCGCACATCCTGTCAGATCACCGTGCTCAGTCTACGTACGCAATCATAGCGTCTCGTGTTCCACGCGACGCGATGCCCGTGTGTTTGACCATGATACCGTTGCTGGCATCCGGTCTACCTCTGCAGGCACCGGAGTTGCCTGTGAGTATGTCCAACCTGTCCGTCATCTTACCCCAGCCCCACACCCCTCTAGTAGTGTTTAATCCTTCAGCAAGGAAGGGCCTATTCATTTCGTCTGCTCATAAAGATCACATCACTTTCCGTGTCGGCAAAACCGGTGCTCAAGTGATCTTTATGCCTTCATCCACTATCGAGGTGACTTCCAGTGCAGGGAAAAGGACGTGGAATCTGTCCCTTCTCAGTCCTCACACAAATGCATCTGTGCGAACACCGTTAGTTGTCGAAGAAGAGGCGCAGCTTTTACCTACACCTCCACCATCCCCTCCACCGATGAATGCGGTGCCGGCGACATCAACCACGCCTGCACACTCTCAACATCTGCCGCAGGATGCTCCTTCCTCTGTCTCGCCGACCGAGACTTTAAACTCACCAGATGATGTACCTGCATCGTCTCCTTTGGCCAGCTGGCCAGATGCACCTCATTTTGCCAACACTAGTACCTCCACTTCATATACGACCAATCTCGCATTGGTGCGATCGCGATCAGCATCTCCCTTGCCGCGCTCATTCTTGTACACATTCTTGACAATGCTCACGTGGTTCACGCGTGCATTCCTCAATGGGCTGGCATCCTTTTGGCTCATGGCTGATCTTCGTGGTGTCACTGAGGCTTCGGAAGAGCGGGACATTGATAACAGGGCCGACGTTGAGCAGGACGACGATGGTGTGGACGAGGAGGTTGGAACGCTTGTCGAGAGCAGGGCGGCATCTGGGACTGGTGGTACATCTAGCGTTGTGGCAAAGACACCGTCCCTTGAAGCAGCTGGTGATACTAATGCAGGCACTGGTCGACAATCGCAGCTCAGCGACAACGAGGAGACTGGTTTCGCCGCGACGCTCGCCATGCTCGACGTACCGGTTCCGCAGACCGCGACACCTTCGCTCATTTCCATGTTTCCTCAAGATGTCATGAGGTCAGACACCCCCCGAGTTCCTGCCGTCGACACCCCCACGTTCTCCGCAGATATTCGCAGCGCGTGCCCAGTCATCTCCCTACTGGTCCGCGCACCTCCAAGTGCATCTCCCGCTGACGTCAGTGTCACCCTGGATGAGAAGCCTCTGTCGAAAGCGCGCGTGACTGAGCTTGAAGAAGAGTCGACATACTATTTGGAGTTTGATGCGCCAACTGGCTTGCGAGGTGGGCACTTGGAAGTGACGGTGGTATAAACAGCTAGCATCTTTTCCCAATTAGCTGTCTGTAGCGAAGGTTTGATCTGTACCAACGGACCATTTAGAGTTGTCGCTCATCTGCGAAATGTCTTCACCTTTGTTCTATAAGCACTGTATGCTGGTGTACCTTCACGTGTAACACTTGTAACATCTGCTGTCGTCAATGCACGCGGAACGCATTGACAAGAGTGAAATGTGAGTCTCTGGTGCTCCAAGACAACACTACAGTGGTGGATGGTAGGGCCACAATGCTGGTCAAACTGTATCCGTGATGAGCATGTTAACGGTCCCTTCCACCAAGCCGACCCTGGCCACGGCCTCGTCTCCTTCTGTCACTACCATGCTCCGCCTGACCTCCAGTAAAAACGATCCCTCTTTCTACGACCGCTGGACTCGGAACATATTCGTCTTCAGGTATTTCTGTTGTAAGATCGACGTAGTCTTCATCTTCGAGGTCGCTAGAGGACCACTCGACCGCTGGATTCAGGGCACCACCAGCTTGTACTAGTCCAAAGTTCAAGGAATACACTCTGCTTTGAGAACGACTACGGAGCGGAAGGCCTGACGGTAAACCTCGCCGAATTTCCATTGCGTGTCTAGATGCGCTAGCCTTCCATCTCCTGCAAATTCACGAGTACACGAGTTAGCTGAAGCCAAACAACAGAAGGATCAGGACTGGCTCCTTGCGCTGCATCCATTCGACATGCTTGGACCCGCCAGGTCGCCACTCAGCATTTCCGCTGGCAGCAAGGGCATTGACGTGTTTCTCGACTGTGTTGTCCATCGCAAAATTGGGTATCATGGGTGCACTCTGGACTAACTGGGCACGACAGATGGCACAGGTTGGAAACCGTCTCTGAAAGCACAATGAGATGGACAACCTTGAGTAAAACTGAGAATGAAAGCTTACATTCTTAGATATCCAACCCCATCCACACTCCCCACAGAAAGTGTGACCACATGGATTTCCCAAATGTGCAGCGGTTCTGTAAAGGATGAACTCATCACTAAGTGTATTGCAAGAAACGTAGGGGCTCGTACAAGATGTCGCAGCAACTGAAAGCGGGAAATGAAGTCAATGACTGAACAGGAATACGGCCGATGTGGCGACGACATACATTGGGCAAGTCAATTCATCTTCATACTCGGCCAAAACACGTTGGACACTGCCATGAAGGTCAATGTTCTTCCCCTTCTCTCCCCTACTCTTCTTTCGTGGAGATGTGGTTTCAGAAGAGAAGCTTTTAGTCCGACTTCGCTTGGAAGAATTCTTCAAATCCTTTGACGTCTCTGCACGGATGTCTACAACTACGCAAAATGTCTTCATGATAGCATATATCAGGAAAATCCAAGAATAGACGAACATATCGGTTCATGGACCAGAGGGGGAGGTGAAAGCGTGGCGTGAATAAGTGAACCGGGAGCGGCAACTTCTCAAAGGGACTGTTGTTAAGCACGAGGACATCAGAGAGATAATGAGATACATGTACCAGTGTTATCTGGCAATGTGTCTGCCCCAGTAGATGCTTCAGCAATAAAAAACCTTGGTCTCAGAGCCTGAAGACAAGGTTTTATAACGGTAGAAACCTCACATAAATTAGGAGCCTGTGCAGCACCTCCGCAGAGACGGGACTCCAAGGCATCTAGCTCCTCCAAGAACGCAGCATCCAGTTCGTCGAATGAATACTGTGTCGACGAACGCGAGCTGTCAGGACGGGGTGGCGGTGTTGATATGCGGCTGGGTTCACCATCTTGACGCTGTGGCAGAGTAGGTCCGTCCTGAGCATCGTGAACAGCGTCTGAAGTAGTCGTTACACCCAAAGCAGGTACGGTCGCCCAGTCAACTCCTGTGAATGGATCTGGAAAATCGTCGAACTGGTCGTCTTCGGAGTGAGCGGGATGTATCTGTGAGTTAGTACTAAGCTCAGGTATTGAATCAAAGTCGATTCCTTCGAAATCATCAGGGAGTGCATCGAATTCGTCCTCGGTTTGTGTAGGAGACATTGTTGGAGGTGACCGTCGTTGTACAAGTGGCACCGCGTCACGGTCGGGGGACGCGCCTGTCACGTGAGTAAAGCAGCAACCACACACGAGGTCGATTATACGCCTCCGTACCGTATCTATGGCGGCCATTATTGGACAAAAATGAAAACTTTGGGTTTGCATCGGCATTCACCGTGCATCATCGAGATTCACGCTCATTCATCGCCATTCATTGGCGTTCATAGGTGCACATAACTCTGCATCATATATCACGCACATCAGCAAAAGTGGAAGAAGTTTGTAACGGTATATACTCCCTTATATAGTACAGAACAACCGTATCCTTCCGAATTTCTCGCCGGGTCTTATAAGATGACCATGGGAGTTCGCAAGGGCTGTAAGTGGGCATAAGTCTCCGACCTCCTGATGAGTGTTCGCAAGTCTCATCAACCTCATGTACAGTCGGAAATGATTGTAAGGGTGCATCAGGTCTTATAACATGACCATGAAGGTTCGGAAGAGCCATCAACATTACTATGCACAGAAGCCTTTATCATGTTCAGTAATCATGGTCGGCATGCCGCAGCAGGCTCCGGAATTTGATGCTTCTTCACTCTGGGGACATCGCGAGCAACCACGACAGTTTAGGAACAAAATAAAAGGAAATAATATATTGTGACAAAGTCCGCGACACCGCTATTTAAGAACCGAATGCCAATCTACTGTGTGGTGGCCGTTTGTTCAAGTGCGGCCTCAGCCGCTCGGGCTCGCTTGGCGGCACACTGATTCTTGAGACGATCAGTAGCAGATGGGGCTCTCCGCAGGTTCTCCGGAAGAGGTTGAGCAGCCTGAGTTCCAAAGAGTTGCCTGTACACAGATGTGAATTAGTATGATGCCAACAAATGCGGTGAGACGTCAAGACACACTCATCAAAGAATGCTAGAATCTCAGCACCCTCCCCGTCCTTGAAGATCTCGACAATATTCCAGAAGAATTTCTTGTAATCAAAATCGCGGTCGGTATCCGTCCAATCTTGAACGTCAGATATTGCAAAACGGACCTAGATGATGAGTCTCAGAACATTGGAAGACCATCTTAGTAGCACAGACGTACCTGAACAGCGACATATGCGACGGCACGCGGTGTGATCTTCTTCATGCCAATAATCTTCGCATTGCTTGACCTACCCTTAGTCCAGCCAGGTCCTTGCAGTGCGGATGATGGGCCAGTGAAAAGGTGCTTGGCAGACTAATAATTCATGACGGCTTCAGTGTACGCTCTGGATGAAGGTGTGAAACACTCATTCTGACCATGAGATGTCCTCGTAACAGACCAGCCTCTTCATCCTCTGGGTTGTACACATGGCCGTCTGGATACACGAAACGCGGCCACTGGTCTGCGGTGACTCGAATGCGTCCAGCCTTAATGTCCGCATAGGTCCTGGGAGTGAGATAGACTACCAGCAGGAATGTTGCAGTCGGGAGGGGGCACGTACGTATCATTCTCAGAGAGTTCTATGGACGTAAGGAGCGCCGCAGTGACAGAGTGGTTCCATCCTCGCAGGACCTTGAGAGGGTACTTGGGAGGGATCGGAGGTACCAGAGAAAGAGTGACATCGAGCAGCAAAAAGCCAGGTACTGCCTCTTTATAGCCACTAGTATCGTCAGAGCGGACATCGTCAACCCCTCGCATTATCTGGTGGAGAACATTGTGATATTAGCAGCGATGTCCGAGTGTGCATGATACGTAGCCGTGCCAAGAGGCTCCAGCGCTCGCTTGAGCGTCAGCCCTCTGGCGCCTATTTGACGATGAACTTCAACAACATACCTGTGCGCAGATCCCGCGATGCAAGGACCGTTCTTTGGCAGCTGAAACCATCTCTGATTTAAAGTTCGGAATCATATTGCAGAGTATGTTCCAGCTCTCAGTCATTCGTTGTGACCTGTGATGGCATGAACCAAATGACTCAGTGGAGGCAGGTAACGCCAGCGGCCAGTACTTACTCTGTTGTTTCCTCACGCTCATCACCTGAATCAGCCGCCTCTACCAGTAACCCATGCTCGACGATATGGAAGATCTTGGTGAAAGGCTCGACAAGTCGTGCAGCGGCGCGCCCGTAATCACTGTAATCCTTAGTCTTAGTCGTGCCATTTTCATCCTCGTCGTCGTCTTTGTTTCCGCACCTAAAGGGGTTATTCAAGTGAGTTAAACTGCCACAGGATCACAAGTATGTATTCCATTTTGTGGTCACCTTTTGCGCTTTTTAGTTCGGCCATTGACTGTCTGCGCCACGTACACTTCTAGGAGTTTTTGAATGGTTGGGTCTAGATTTGCTAAGACCAAACCCGGATTGTCTTCGCTGGCTTGATTGGCAGCAGAACTAGAGCTTCCCAGTGGATTTATGTCTGTCATGTGTACGCGCAAGGATGACGGTCGCCAATGCCCCCCAGTATTCAATAATGCCCTCCTTTTATCCTGTGAGTTTATTTCAGCTTGATCCTACTTGTCGAGCCTAGGCAAGTCACTGCGGGTCTTCGTATCATAGTTACTAATTCTGTGCTGATGCGCCCAGGTTCAATGGTTCCGGCGCACCATCTTCCACGGCATCAATTGCAAGCCTGATGCGGCACCATACCGATACTCGCCGAGGCGGTGCTGGTTTAGATTCTGTCTTGGAGAGAGACAACAATCTTCTAGGGAGACTCTTCTCCGTGCCGCCGTACACTTGGTGGATGAACTATGCTTTGTTTGCCTCACTGGCGACACAGTGTACTCTGGGCAGCAATTATATTATCGCTTATCTTTGCTATAATGCATTTTCAATGTCTGCCCACATGCGGGCGTTCGTTCGACTCCCAACACGGCCTCTCCATTCATCAAGCATCCTGCAAAGAGCTCAATGAGCGGGATTCTACTCTGAATAACCTTGCAGAGAAGTTAGCAGCTAAGGCAGCGCGCAAGCGTCGTCGTATAGACGACAACGCAGCGATGGCTACTGCCCCTCCTGATGCTGCGGGCCCTGGGTTCATGGTGAGGTGTCGATCTTCATTGCGACAGCAGTGTACTTATTCCATTCTATATGCTAGCCTGACGGTCATGAACCTCTTGATGTTGAGATGGCCGATGTGGGAGGAGTAGGACCATCGCCGGCTGCAGAGGTGTCTATACCTATGCCGGATCAATACCAAGGACCTGAAGTTGGCCTTGACGTACCTACAGGGCGAGGCTTGCGCAAGAAACAGCCAACATGGAAGGTCTTGGAGCACCTGCCAGAACCGTCCACACCATTTCCAGATCCCGTTGAGGTGCCTGAGCCTGGAGATGAGTATGTGCGCTCTCCGGAGGCAAATGACAGTGCCGAGACATCGATTATTCTTCGTGTCGTGAGGACCGCGAAAAATATCTTTGGATTGTTTCGCGAATACCAAAAACTACCAAGTCATAACCCTGATGACACGACATCACTGAGCGATATGGCCTACGTTCAGCCATCCAATTCTGACACTGCTCATTCTCGCCATGCCCTCGCGGTTCCCTCCAATCCCATCGCTGCTATGGCATCATCTTCCTTTGCACCATTTGCCAACATGTCTATCTTCAGACTCATGAATTGGATGTGGAGTGGCTCGCACATCAAGTCAATTGATGAGCTTGATAAGCTCGTCAACGGAGTGATTCTGGCACCGGACTTTCACAAGGAGGATCTACAAGGTTTTGATGTGAAGCGAGAGACTGCAAAGCTGGACAAGGCTGCACAGAGCACGGAGACTGTGGCACAGGATGGTTGGAATGAAGCGGAGGTAGAGATTGAGGTGCCCGATGGCAAGAAGCACCAGTCTGAATCTGATGGCTCCATACCATGTTTCAAGGTGCCCGGTCTACACCATCGTTCACTCATCAAAGTCATCAAAGCCACTCGGACTGATCCGGCTGCCGTGGACTTCCACACTACTCCATTCAAGCAGTTTTGGCAGCAGGCATCTGGGTCAACTGAGAGGGTGTACGATGAGCTATACTCCACTGATGCCTTCATCGACGCTCATGAGGATCTACTGCAAAAGCCTCAGGAGCCGGGGTGCACTCTCGAGCGATCGATAAGTGCCTTGATGTTTTGGTCAGACTCCACACACCTGGCCAGCTTTGGAAATGCATCCTTGTGGCCGCTCTATCTATTTTTCGGGAATCAGTCAAAGTACATTTGCTGCAAACCCCGTGCTGCCGCTTGTCACCATATTGCCTACATACCGAAACTGCCTGACACATTCTACGACTTCTACTACTCGTTGACAGGCAATGGTCCTTCCGCAGACATCCTTACTCACTGTCGACGGGAACTCATGCATGCTGTATGGCGTCTTCTTCTTGATGAAGACTTCATGCATGCGTACGAACATGGCATCGTTATTCAATGTGCAGATGGTGTGACACGACGTATATATCCCCGGATATTTACATACTCAGCCGATTACCCAGAGAAGTAGGTGGTACTTACTCAGTCAGTCAAGCTTGAAACTCACTCTCATTGGCAGGGTCCTCCTTGCGACTGTTAGGAACCTGGGGAAATGTCCGTGTCCCCGCTGCAAGGTCCCTAAGGATTGAATCCTAGAACTAGGCATGAAACGTGATGACGCACGACGGGTAAAGGAGGAACGCATCAATGATTCCTCCTTCCGAAACAAGATCAGTATTGCACGCAAAGCAGTCTATGAGCTTGGGAAAACCATCAAAAGCACTGTTGTTGAAGCACTACTCGCTGCGTATTCTTTTGTCCCTACATCCAATGCATTCTCGGAGAAGCTGTCACCACTTGGATTCAATCTTTTTGGCATGCTCGTTGTTGATCTCATGCACGAGTTTGAATTGGGTGTGTGGAAGGCCGTTTTCACACACCTTATACGCATCTTGGTTGCTGTGGGTGGTGATGCTGTGGCAAAGTTCAATTACCGTTATCGTGAAGTGCCGACCTTTGGGCGCTCAACGATACGTCGGTTTTCGCAAAATGTGTCAGCACTGAAAAAATTGGCTGCTCGAGACTATGAGGACTTCCTACAGTGTGCTCTACCGGTTTTCGAAGGGCTTCTTCCGGAGCCATATAACAAGGAGATTCTCGACCTCCTCTTCACCCTTGCAGAATGGCACGCAGGTGCCAAATTACGCTTGCATACGGAAACCATCCTCAAGATCCTCAGGGAGGTTACCACAGAGCTTGGTGCTCGACTGCGAAAGTTTGTCAAGAATACCTGTCCACAGTTCGACACCAAAGAGCTACCTCGCAAAGAGGCTGCTCGTGGACGGCGGCGCCAGACCAAGAAGACCACGGCAAGCATGGCGGGAACAGGAGGTGCTAAGCGAAAGATGCTCAATCTAGGCACTTACAAGTGCCATGCTCTTGGTGACTATCCTCGGCAAATTGAGATCTATGGCACTACAGACTCATATTCCACTCAACCGGTGCGTAGCTTCGATGTAATTTATATCTTGGCGCTCACCATGCATTTTTGCCAGGGTGAACTCGAACATCGCCGAGTAAAACGGTATTATGCTCGTACTAACAAGAACAATGCAACCCGACAGATCACCCTGTTGCAGCGGCGCGAACAAATTATGCAAACGAGGACCTTGAATTTCACTGTTCAGAAGCCTCTAGGAAGACGCCTACGTCGCTCCGCTGTTAGTTCAGGTCAACCCGAAGTACTCCCATATACTCCTCCAGAAGCTCACCATCACATATCTCATTCACGCAACTTTCCTGTAAAGCTATCTGTCTGGCTTGGCGACAATCTGGATGATCCGCTCATGAAAGATTTTCTCCCAAAGTTGCAGGATCACCTTCTCGGACGGCTTTTCAGTCCTGGCCTCGCTGCGGATGGCCATCAATTTGCTCAAGAGGACCGCAATCGCCTTCTCATCCAGAACCACCGCATTTTTGCTCACCAAGTGCTTCGCATCAACTACACTTCGTATGATGTTCGGCGCTGTCAAGACTCAATCAATCCACGCAACCATGCCGATATTATGACACTTGCTCCCGAACATGGACACTCAGATGACACCCATCCATTTGCCTATGGACGAGTGTTAGGCATTTTTCATGCGGATATTGTCCACAACATTCCAGGCTCTGGACCTGTCTTACAATGCCTAGAGTTTCTTTGGGTTCACTGGTTTCGTAGGGACCGGCATTGGAAAGCGGGGTTTGGACGCAAACGTCTGCATCGTGTAGAGTTTGTGCCGACTGCTGAACCAAACGCTTCCGGCTTTTTGGATCCGGATGAGGTGATACGTGGGGTGCACCTTATTCCTGCTTTCGCACATGGGTATGCTGCGACTCAACTCGACGATTCAACGGAATCTTCGGACTGGAAGTACTACTATGTTAACTGGTGTGTTGACAATCTCTCCTTCTGTTCAACTGTGGGACTCGACTGACAAAGAAATGCAGTTTTGTTGACCGTGATATGTACATATGCCATCTGGGCGACGGCGTGGGACATTATATCGTGAACATGACAGAGGCCCGCGAAGATGGAACAGAAGAGCGACAGGCTACCGAGGATGATGGCGAACATGAAGAGGCTCGTGAGGATGGAGAGGAAGAGAAGGAAGACAGTGAAGGGGAGGATGAGGATGAGAACGCGAACAAGGACAGTGAGGACGAGGATGGCGAGGATGGCGAGGACGGTGAGGATGATGATGGTGAGGACGGTGAGGATGACGATGGCGAGGACGGTGAGGATGACGATGGCGAGGACGGTGAGGATGACGATGGCGAGGACGGTAAGGATCTTGACGAGGAGGATGATGGCGAGGGTCTTCCTGATGAGGCCGAAGAAGGCTATGGTGAATTGTAGAATTAGTATATGAAAATTCGTGAATGTAGTTTTGACAACAAGAAACTACCACTGCATCCAGGCTGGCGAAGGTGCACGCGCGCGCCAGTGCCTGTGTTGGTCGAGCACGCATTCCAATCTGCCCGCTGCTACATTACATTGGCTTATAGATGCCTTTCCAGGGTGCTGTTACATTACAAGGCTGCTTGTATTTTGCAAGGCTGGGTATGCCTTACGAAAGTACGAGCATGCTTGGGTACAGACTTATACGGGCTTCCAAGCCCTTGCCATACTCACATCGGAGTTGCCACGAGTTCTATACCATATCAGGGAATACCAGATTCTTACGGTTTTGCTGATGCATGCATTGCTGCTCACAGTTGTGCATTGTGCATGCATGCACAGGTACTATCAGTGACCCGGATATGCCATATGACCCAGAAGTGCCATATTTTTTTCTGTGGTTTGATCCTCCTGTCTGATTCCCTCGAAATTATAGACAGAGAGTCATACATACCCTAATTTAATACTGTAAAAGTTTGGGAAGCAAAGATGGCACACTTGGATCCCAAGAAATTTGGGATTGCAAGACTGTATTTGGCTGGTGCCACACCTCGGCATCTCTCCAAGGTGTCCAATACAGCTATAAAAAATCTGAAAAATTGGTGTATAGTACTCTGTATACTATAGAAACATTATCTGAGATGCCGCAGACAATCAAGCAAGACGTCGTGCTGCGGGACCAGAAGTGCCATATTATGGCACATCCGGGTCATCAATAGTATGCATTCCTGGTCCCCATCAAGAAGCATAGAGTAATCAGGATGCACCTTGGTAGACGTGCCAATTGGCATGTTCACCATGTGCATCCTCATTCACATTGAGCACTATTGGGAAAGCAGAGCGCCCATAATTCTGGAGCTCCAGAATTATGGGAGCGCCCAGGCAGACAAGCCGAGAGTATGATTACAAAGAAAGATAAAAAAAGAAATTTGATTATATAAAGTGGAGCGTGAACTGTATATAAACAGAAATCTATTTTAGGATGCATAATCATGCGACCCGACACATCTTATTACCTTCCTAATTGAACTAAGCACAATTTCTAACATGCACTGTAGGCACTGTAGGCATCAAATGCATGGTGCTGCATCCATAGTGTGCCAGAGAAGAGAGTACAGAGACTCTTTTGATTTCTACCACCACTGTTGAGTCTAACATGCCGACTGCTGCTGATGGAGTTGAGCTACCAAAGTGCATCTGGAAAAAGAACAATACCTATGTAGTGCTATGTAGCTCGCGTAGGACCAAGAGGCCTGTAGCAATGTCCCAAATTATGTAGGACTCTATAGAACAGGGTTTTCTACTGTAGACCTTGCGAGGGCTGTAGTTTCCGAGGACTGTAGGAGCTGTAGGCTCGCGTAGGAGCTGTAGGTCTGTAGGATCGGCTAGGAATCCCTTTTACAGTTAGCACGATTCGTAGATAGGCACGTATGCGCACGCCCATTGGCTCTCAGGCCGCCGCCAGCAACTTCATTTCAGGATATCGCCAGGTTTGAAAAATACGATATGGACAATCAATTACATTGAAAAAGTGGTGTGACATTACAACGACAGTGAGACATGGTGGTCCTTTTGTCGGCACGGTCGCCGTAGTTTTACATACTCTAATACCCTCAACTCGCGGCCTCCAGCTGCTCTACAAAACCCCTCACTCCACCTCCATCACGATGAAGTCAACTATCAACAGCGGTAAGTTCTTCCAGAAGTTGCATGGTTGCCAGATCCTCAACGGCACCGGTGTTGGATCCAAGAGCTTTCACTGAGTATGCCTCCTAGTCTGTAGTATAGTGTTTCTTGTACACCAAGGTTAGCAATGGGGAGTGGAAAAAGAGACGAAGAAAGAGGAGATGCTTAAGTGACAGAGTAGTGAACGGCGGCGGGTTATACATTAGTCTTCAAGCTTGTTTAGGGCCGGAAGGTAAGGACTGAGTCGAGCTTTTGAGCACGACACAGACTGTGGGGGTAGTGTCGGTGGCCGGGAATCCATCAGCAAAAGTGCACAATTGTTACAATGAATTCCGACGGTTGTAGTATTCGCCCGCATGTGATAACAGGTTAGAATGTCATCGTAAGCCGTTAGAATAATGGGGCTGCGTTGCAACCTCTGTAATCCCTTCAAATCCGTTGTGATGCTCGGTAACGTAGATGACTGATTGCAATGCCATTACAATGCACTATAAACCTATGTAAGGCAGTTGTAATAGCTTGTAAGGTTGAGCGAATTTCCGTCAGATTACAAGAACATAGTGATTAATAGTGATTATATTGAAGGCAGAGACTCAAGACATATTCGACAAGGGAGCACAGAACAACGTCCACGGAACGACTACACTAGCCTGTTGAAAGTCATTTACCTGCCCGCGGACTCCAGCTCGTCCATACCATTTCTTCGACTCCGAGATCCTTTGCATATCCCGCGTTATCCTCGTTCCGATATTCACTGCCCATTTTATGTTCTGTGGCCGCATAATACCGGCAGGAATATGAATAGAGCCTTGAGCAAACCAGCCCCTTCACGCGGTCTTGGGTCAAACTTGTGTACGTAGCAAAGTAGTCAAAGTCAAAGGCACACGGTGACGGCCCAGTCGGCTTGCGAAGCGACTCTTCCCAATTTGGAAGCTACACAACAGTGATAACGTAGTACATTTCTCTCCTCCCGGTCATATAAGAGGCGGTCGGTCTCTTCTGGTGTCCTTCGCTGCTTTGATTCCTCCTTGTATGTCGACGCATTCTTGGCGGCACAGCCGCTTTTCTGATGACAACAATGACAACGACGCCGCAGAACCGTGCCTCGCCAACGTTAACACCGTGTCCACCGAGTTCTGTGCCCTTCTCATTCTACATATGTGCCCTTCCTCCAGGACGTGCCCTAAGAGCTTCTCGTCCATTTAAAGTGACACACTTGTGCCCTTCCACTGCTCACACACCTATCTGTACGACTGCAGTATGTGTTCTGTCTTGTCTTTGCTGTCATGAATTGGGAATAGGATCATGGTACATGCCGTATCGTGATGGATGGAGCTAGTGCTCTTGATGCATACACCCCACCAGATCGAGCCTGAGCAGGTGCATGTACTATTGAGATCCCTTGAACTGCCTAGGCTTCACACTTTGCGACCGTCCACAGTGCATATACCGAGTCAAGATTTGGACACCGGCCATACTGGCAACAGTGGGCTCGCGATGCCCAGCCAGTGAGTAATCATACACTCTAGACGGTAACATAATTAATGCGCTCTCCCCGCAGGCCTGCCCACACTGGACCGGTTCGTCTTCGCAAAGCTCGCGATGTTTCAACTGATATATTGAGCACGTATCATTGCCTGCATGACAACTTACCTGATAAATTCCTTTATTATAGACAGGTCTTTCGTGCAGATGCCAGCAGGAATGTGCGCTCAGACTGCCGCAATGACAGCAACGGTCTGGCAACTTTGAAAGAACGACACTACAGTCGGTAGGCCCCAGGTTCGTTGACCTCAATGTACACACCAAGTGTAGCACTATCTCACAGCATTCTGCACAGACTGCCTTTGCATTCCTGTACTCTTGCTACCCTCTCCTGGATGGTCTTGTTGGGCCTCGTGGTTGAGATTTAACTGCCTCTGTTCCTCGCTGCCGCTTCTCCTTGCTGTGGCGCTTTCTCAACCTTTGTGCTCTTTCGGACATCCAGCTCACCTCTCGATGGTCATCCTACTCTCGCGCCAGCTCGTGGTGTTCCGTTTTTGTGCCCTCTTTAGGTTTTGCACTGCTCTCCTGTTCTATTTGGCACTCATGCGGACTGTGGTGAACTCTCTGTATTCATAGTCACACCTGTTGTATGTTATGTTGTATTTGCCGCAATGATTACTATATTTCCTGTCCTGTGCTCTGTCCACCGGGAGTAAGTCTATTTATACAGCCATTATAAGTTGTCCCTGGCATTGCCACTGCTTACAATCCCATCAGGATGCCTTATAAACCTGGGAATCCATGGAAATGAGTCCCAAATATTCCAGGTATTCGGAATAGATTGTGTACATTGCGAATGGATTACCAAATATTTTGAGGCATTGGGAAATATTTGGAACCACCGTAGAGAAGTTACAATCCATTACAACTTTGCTCAATAATTTCGAGTGTTGTAACGGATTTCCTAGATTACGATGCTATGTAACCGATGGTAACAGAAGTGCACTTTTGCTGATGCGGAGTAGGAGCGCGAGAACGTTTTCGCGGGAAGAATAAGCAGTCGGCCCGCCACTCTAGATACCGAATTTCTACAGAGTCCTACGTAGCGATCGCTTTGCTACGCGGTCCTACATAGCACTCTGTAGGTGGGCAGTTCTACCGAGGACTACATAGAAGAGACGGTTCTACAGTGAGAAAATCACCTTTGCAGATGTCAGATGATTGTATTATGCAGAGGAGTGCAGGACAATGCATGCATGATCAACTACTGGCAACGAGATCAAAGCTGTGCACCAATGCACAGCAATGCATGCACGAACAGATGACAATGCACAACACATATGTTGCAGAGACAAACAGTGCATGCACTGTTGTGCATGCACAATGCATGAGGTGAATGTGCATGCAAGGTCACGTGCTCAATGAACACCCATGCATAAGTACAAAACAAGGTCCTGACACCCGAGATTTCATTTTTGTCCAGTAACGGCCGCCATACGTATCCGACATGACTGGCGGTTGATGCATGATGTTCATGGTCACAAGATGTACAGTATCCCTCAAGGCCTGGATACTTTACTGTTAGAATGGCGTCTATCGCCCGTACGTAATCTTGGTATAAAGTCTCTCCCCTCCCTTTCTCCACGAGCTCGTAACAATAGATTCACAGCCTCAAGTACAAATTCGTCTCTCCGTGCGTATTGAACGACCTCGGTGATCCTTAGCAGCTTTTTCAACCCACACCCCCCGCACTCGCGGTCCACTACCATCTCTAGGCTCGAATCCACACCGAATTATGTGTGGTGCGCAATCTTTACTGGCGTCGGGGGATTCATCTTGGCTTCGATACCAGTAGCTGCCACAGTTTCAAGCACAGTTCTCGTCTGGGAAAGGAAGAATTCTACCTACGATCCAGGGTCTCATCGTCTCGTCCATTCTCATTACAGCCTCCATCGCTTCCCTTGCCTCTGTCCCGCTGTCAAATTGGCTCTCTAGAAACGAGGACAATAGCAGTTGGAGGCGCTGTGTTTGCGATTGGCAGTGTCATTGCGTGCTCGGCGAGTACGCTGTCTCAGCTATTTGTCAGAAGATGTATCTCGGGCGTTGGGAAAGGCTTCTTTCTTTCCGCTGTAACGGTCTATGCGGTTGAGATCGCTCCGGCCTCTCGTAGAGGCAGACTCGGATCAATGGTACAATTGCTCAACACGATTGGTATTGCATCTGGTGTGCCGTAACCATTTCGTCTGTAATTCGCTCATCTAACACGTATCCTCAGGATACTTCATCAGTTATGGTACTATTCACCGTCACTCGTCCTTTTCTTGGCGTTTTCCGTTTGGTGTGCAAGCGGTCGTATCCGCCATCTATGCTATAGGGTCTGCTGTCCTGCCCCACTCTCCTCGCTGGCTGCGCTGTGCCGGCAGACATGCTGAAGCCGAGCTTACTTGGGTGAAGCTAGGTGTCAGCGCAGCTGATGTGCAGAAAACAAATGATAACATGCAGTCAGAGCATACTGATAATGCCAGCTGGTGGACGGAAGCTCAACAACTGTGGAGGAAGGGCGTCAGGACGAGGACTGCGCTCGGGATCTTCCTAATGGGCATGCAGCAGGTACATCGGATCTATCGATCACGCTAGCCTTGACTGACGAGACCTCTCGATAACAGGCATCAGGAATTGACGGTATGTCGGTGTTATCCATCATTCCCCATTGTCGTACAGTATGCACCGGTGTTGTTCTCCCAAGCTGGATTGCCTTCGACTACTGCATCGTTCGTGGCCTCGGGAGTGTCTGGTATCATCAACGTCGTATGCACTTTCTGTGTCCAGTTCTTCGCAGACAATGTACCCTCTCCGATTTTGTATCACTTCAATATCTGACAAGTGTTCTCCAGGGGGCCGTCGAACTTCCATGATACGGGGAGGCTCTGTGATTGCTACTGCGATGCTCTTGATTGGCACGCTTTACGCTTCACACGCATCGAACACTGCAGCAGGTCGCTACAGCATCATCGTTTTGCCCTACATTTTCGTTGTCGGGTTTATTCCGAGTTGGGCGATCGTAACTCGAATCATTTGCAGCGAGATACAATCTATGAGGACAAGGGCAGCCGTTACGAGTCTGGGGCAATGCGCTAATTGGGTTGGTACTCCCATATTCACGCCTCGGTTGTCAACGCGTGTTCCAACGTCTTCCTCCGGTTGTCAATTGGATAATCGCCTTCTCGACTCTCCTTTTCCTTGCGCATTCGTCCTTAGGCCCTTACTTCCTCTTCGGAAGTTGCTCCCTTCTAACAACACTTGTCTGCCTAGGTTTCCAACCTGAGACTAACGGTGCTTCTCTTGAAGAAGTCGACAAGGCGTTTGATGCCATGCCTTGGAGGGTTGCGCTGTACAAAGGAACAAACCGAACGAGACACATTGAATTGTCGAGTATTAATGCTGGGACTACTTGGAGTCAGTAGGCGGGAGTGGGCTGGAAGAATAGCGGTCGAGAGAGAGGCTCGCTGTACGTTCGGTTGCCCTCTTTTTCGTGATCATAGACACGGCTGTATAACTCTCAAGCCCAGATAACTCTCACAAGCCCAGATATTTAGCCATTAATGACGACGCCGTCATTTCTGGACTGATGCGGCAGTGACCCTTCCAAATCAGGAAGGTGTTCTGTTCGATCGCCTTCAGCCATGTCAACCTCTCGAGAAGACGCGGCGGGACATGAATATTCGCCTTCCGTGTATATAAGGTCTCGCCCCTCCGCACACCTCAGCGACTCGTCTGTCTTCCTTCCTCCATCCTATTCTATTCTCCTTCTAATCGCCTCAAGCTCTATCGTCTACCTCAACAATGCGTAGCCCAGTTATCGCCTTCTCCATCTTCGCTGCGGCTGCGGTCAGCCCCACCCTCGTTTCTGGTGCTCCCACGACCCCAAACCCTACCGCTGAGATCGAGTCGGCGGTTCAACATGTTCCCCGCCAATTCTCAAACCTCCAGGATCTCGGTATTCTGCCCCCTTCGCCCCCCACCAACAACCGCAATGTCAACAACAACAACAACAACCCGGATGCGCACCGTGCGGCTGAAGAGAAGCTCCACAACCCAGCACCTGCTGCCGCCGACGCTGCTGACCCGGCGAGTGTCGCTTCCAACAACCGTCGTAAGCGTGCGCAGGATCAGGGCACTGCTGGTGGCAACGCGTACTCCGGTGCCGTTGGCTCCAGCTCTGGAGGAGGAGTTGCCAACAACGCCAACACCCCCGGCGTTGCTGGTGGTGCCGTCACGCTGACTAACACAGCCGGTACCAGTGCGTATCCTTATTTCTGTTGTCTTGCGTATCATAGTACTCATCAAAGCGTACCTCTTCAGATACCGCTGGGAACGGGGATGAATCGTTCAGTGGTTTCAGCTACGGTGGAAACGGTGATGGGAAGGGGCCCGGCGGTAACGCATACACCGGTTCTACTGGTCCCTCCACGGGAGGAACTGATTTCAACACTGGAGACAACATCGCCAACACGGGTGCTAGTAAGTGGCTTAGTTTGTGCTCTTAGTCTTTCCTGATCCCCAATCCTTAAGATCTGGCGGGCAACGGCGGTACTTCTAACAGCGGCGATGCTCAGGGTGGTGACGCTGGTGCCGATACGGACCAAGATGAGGCCCCGATCAGGAAGCGTGCAAGCGACTTCGCGACGGCTGGTGGTAATGCTTACACTGGTGCGTCCAGCGACGTCAACGGTGGTAACGTGATCAACCACTCGAATGACGACGGTGCCATCACTAACACTGGCGGAAGTAAGTGCTTTGCATCGTGCTCCTTGATATGACCACTGACACTTGTTACATAGACGTCGCTGGCCCCGCGGGAAGCACGGAATCTGGTAATGCAGACGCCGGTGACGGCGACGGGTTCGGACCCGGAGGTAACGCTTACAGCGGTGCCACCGGGAACGCACGGGGCGGATTTGTTAGCAACGCCGGGGGTACCATCGACAACGAGGGCGGTGCCAGTAAGTCGTCTCAACTATGATGCGCCTTGGATCGCGAACTGATGTTTTCTTTTTTTTTTTTGCAGACACGGGCGGCATGGGCGGTGAAACCGAGAGTGGCGACGCGGAAGGTGGCGACGCCTAAGTTCTGGATATCTGTGACGACGTTGGCGGCTATTTTATGTCTATCTAGTAGTACTGCGCTCGACAATCTATATACCCACCTTCCTTTTCGCACGTTGTTCGTCGGGTCTCTTGAGTTGTGCAGGCGTGCTTGTGCACTTTGCGACACAAGAGCGAATAAGCATTTACGCAAGCTTGCAACTGGCTGTACCCCACGTGTCGGAGGTTCTCCGTATTGACCGTAGACATGGTGCCACGCACTCTTCGCATGTCGCCTGTCGGGCATTTGCTACTCTGCATGCGCAGCGCGCGGCGGGCTAGATCCAATATTGCGCTGAATGAGACAATAAGAGATGCGGTGCATTGCTGTCGGCCCTAGAGTTGACGGGTGTCAAGATATCTGGCCATAGTCCCCCTCACTTGCAATTGAACGTGTGGAATGCGATGAAATAGATTTTTACAGAGAGGCCCTAAGAAGGGCGACGCGGTGCGGCCACATTCGTCCAAATCAGGACACTCACACTCCAAATCAGGAAGGTCTTCTGTTCGATCGAAGTCAACCTCTTCAGAAGACACGGCGGGGGCTGAAAAGTGGCATGTCAGGGTATATAATAGCGCACAGTTCCATCGACTTCACGCTCACCTTTTCTTTTGTCCCCCATCTCTAGCTTATTCGTCCGCTAATTCTCCCTTCAAGCGCCCATCGGTAAGACCCTCGATATGCGTAGCCCAGTCATCGCCTTCTCCATCTTCGCCGCCGCGGCGGTCAGCCCAACTCTTGTCTCCGGCGCTCCCACGTCTTCCAACCCTACCACCGAGCTCGAGTCGGCCGTTCAACGTGTTGCTCGTCAACTTCCTAACCAGCTCAGTGCCCTGGGCTTGGATTCCTCCACTCCCCAGGCTGCTGCCGTGCAGCCGGAGACACCTGATGCGCACCGCGCCGCTGAGGAGAAACTTCACAACCCAGTGCCTGCATCCGCTGATGCCGCAGACCCTGCGAGCGTTGCCACCGGTAGCCGCCGTAAGAGAGCTTCAGACCAGTTTACCGCTGGTGGTAACTCCTACAGTGGCGCCTCGAGCGGTACCTCCGGTGGTACCATCACGAACGATGCCCAGGGTAATGACAATGCTGGACCGCCTACTCTTATCAATGACGGCACAGCAGGAGCAGTCAGTACGTCTATTTTGTTTCTGCTTCCGCGTCTCCGCCAGTGCTGACTGATCCCCTCTTGTCAGACAATGCTGGCAACGGTGGAGAGTCGACGAGCGGTTTTAGTTACGGTGGTTTCGGTGACGGAGAGGGTCCTGGTGGAAACGCTTACAGCGGCTCTACGGGTCCGTCGAACGGTGGCAGCACCCAGAACAGCGGCAACGGTATCACCAACACCAACGCGAGTAAGTGATTCAACATGCAAGATAATCCACTTGCTCAACGTCGTGAATCGTGCAGACTTCGCAGGCACTGGTGGCACCAATGAGAGTGGTGACTCTCACGGTGGCGACGCTACTGGTCCACCGAGCCTTGACAAGCGTTCGGGTGACAATAATACCGGTGGCGGTAACGCGTACAGCGGTGCAACATCTAATGTCTCTGGGGGTAATGTTATTAACCAGGGTCACCACGAAGGCACGATAACGAACCAGGGTGGCAGTAGGTGGCTTCAAGCTGATTCGCAAGTCAAGTATCGCTGAATTCGTATTGTAGACAACGCCGGGATTGCGGGGAGCACCGAGTCCGGGTTTTCCACCGGGGGTGACGGCAACGGATTAGGCCCTGGTGGCAACGCGTACACGGGCGCATCGGGAGCCGCGTACGGAGGTGGAGTAACCAACAGTGACTCCGCTATCACCAACACGGCCGGCGCCAGTAAGTTTTCCACGCATTTACACGGCGCTCAGCGATGAAATGACGGTTTCTAGACACGGCTGGCACGGGTAACGGCGTGAGCGGAGGGGAGAGCGAGACGGGCGACGCACAGGGCGGCAACGCCAAGTGAGCGTCGGTGAGAGTGTGGCTGTAAACGTTTCGGATACGATAGACCATGCATAGTCGACATTCTATATACCCACCTTCGTTGATGTATTCACGTTCCGCACTCTGCGCATGAGGACACGATGAGTCGAGCCAACGCATACGACGAGCAGCAAGAAAGGATCACTAACTCCACACGGCCATTATATGATTGCACCCAATATCGTAACAGAATATTCGTAGCGCTCACGTCTGACATTGCGCACGTCCATCAAGATTCATCTCTGGGGAACGTCCAACCCGCTTGCAATCTACCCGCAAGGTTGCTCACTGGACCTGACAATCCGGCTTGACTCCTGAAGCTCTCCAGAAAATTCTTGATAAGATTGTAGTCCATCCCTTGCTCAATCTCAGCTTCATCCCCATCGTCGTCGTGCTCCTTCTCCAGAGCTGTTCTGAGTTCAGCATCCATCGCTGTCTCGATATCAATGTCAGCGCTTGCTTTCCCGCTGTTCCCGCTGGCTGCCGCTGCCGACTCCCCCTTCCTGCTCGTTTGAGAGAGCCCCAACTGTGCGTCCATTGCCTGCATAACAGCCTCGAATGAATCCAGGTTGGGATTTGCAGGTGATTGCGTGGACGCAGCGGGAGCAACATTTATGGATGATGCCGGGACAGTCTGCTGTGGTAACTTACTCTCCGAGGCAACATATCCTGGTACGAACACTGACAAAACAGCCTCAGTATAGAAATGCGAATGAGATAGTCACACGGACGGACTCACCTCCACGACCCTTGCGCTCGCGCACTATGTCTCCCCACTGCTCATCCGACACTCCAAGAGTCTGTCTGGCGAACTCCAAGAATTCATCCTGCTCTTTTTCCATGTCGATCTCGACATCTCCGACAACTTGAGGCATATCTTCCTCTTCCTCGTCATCGCCTCCGTTCTCTTCATCCGTCTCGTCGTCAGAGTCTACACCCTCGAAGTTGTCTCTAGGCAGAATAGGTGGTCTGATAGGCCGAGTTCGTGGCTCTGTCGGTGACTCCGACGGTCCTTCAGATGACGCGTTTCGTGTCTCCGTCTCTATTGTGGTGGGAGCCACTCGCTGGGAATTGCTATGGAAAGAAGGAGGCATTTGACCATACTCGGATGGGTCAAGTCCAGGCACGAGCCTGTCCATGGCAGCCCGCCTTGCGGCTTTGTCAACTTTGTCAACTTCGTCATCTGCAGGTCGCATCTCCTCGTCAGATTCCTCCTCTGTCTCATCACTGAACTCTTCTTCTGAGAATTCCTCGCTACAGACGAATGATTAAGCAAATGATCATCAGAAGGATGAATGAGCACGTACTCGGCAAATCTTGCCCCTTCGACGTCACCTTCGCCCTCGACAAACTCCTCCACTTTCTTGGCAAGATCCTGAAGGCGTGACGCTTGCTCCTTCGCCACATGATCCTCTGCTGCCTCGACATCAACATCCATGGCATCGGCCAAGACCTCTGGCTCCGACTTTGACTTGCCACCCAGGTTCTCTTCGAGCATGGCGTCGAGGTCTGCAGCGTCTACATTCAGCCAATCATCTGAAGTTTCTTTCTGTTGGATCTGTGGGATGAGAGTATCGCTAGCTTGGGACACTGCCATATTTACTGCGGTAGCAAACGACAGTCTCGCGGAATCGCTAGTTCACGTAGGTGAATCAATGAGCGTTGCCTTCGAGCTTATACAGATCAGTACGCACTCGTCTCGTCGTACTTCAATGAACGCTGCTGCTGCCTTATCTTCCAGCGCATTCCACAACTGAGAGCCTTGGAGTTCACCCTTGAAGTATCCCGAGGATACAAGGTTTTCGATATACACGATGTAATCCGGGGTACGTCGCAAAGCTTCCTTTCGCACTTCCATCTGAGATTTTATCAGTTGTTGCGCGTTCATGCGCTGTTTGTATGCCCACCGATAACTGCACAGCATCAGACGATATTGTTGACGTCTCCGAACGCCCTTTGCTTTCCTGGTAGAGCATCTCAAAACCGCAAGCCTAGCAACGGCGGACATGAGACCTTGGACAAGATGTGAAGCATGTATGCATACAATCTTCATTCCAACGTCCCTCCATTTCCATTCTGTAGTGCCTTCCTTCTCTTGCCACCGGTCAAAAATCTTCGGTGGATAGAATTTTTGGCCTACGAGTTGCGCATACGCTGTACGTGTCATTTTCACCGTCGTCAGCACAGATGGCTGAGGCGGGAAGCGCAACATTCTGTGCGCAGCCTGACTGACCGTCAGTGACAGTGATAAATAATATCGAATGGATCTACACATACACGTAATTGAAGGGCGTCACGAGTGTAGAAGGCCTCTACGGGCTTTTGAACTAGAGACGGATTGGCAGACAGGGCTTTGGCAATATCTACGGGAAGATACGCCTTGGTGACATGGACATGTTGTCGTGCCGCTGCCGGATATCTGGATATCTCATCTCAGAGGGCATTTATAGGAAGTGCATGAAACGCTAGAAACGCACCCAAATATTCGGGACCAAACCGCCGTTTCCACCTGACTTGGAGCCAAGGTGTCTGTCAACGGGTCTATCACGAGCTTCAAAGCGTCTTGGACCGCGATAAAATCCTCGGTTTCATCTTCAGTAATGTTGTCGTCGTCTTCAGTCTCCTTGACACCACGATACCGGCTTCGCCGGGGTTTGCTAGATGGTGCAGAGACGTGAGAGAGAGGCACAATATGCAGGTGGGAGTTGTATATCCAGACCTGATGGTGCGTTAACGACAGAGACTCACTGGGAAGAGGGAGGTCACCCACCCTATTTTCTGCGTTCGACGGGGTAACCCAAGAGGGGAGCGAGTCAGCTGCTTCAATGAGCAAAAACTCGCCGTCGGAGTCGAAGACGCTGCACACCATGTAGCAAGACGTTACAGATACAGGCACGCAATTACATACCTGATCGCGACGTCCCACTTTGCGCTGATTTCTCTCAGAAGCCACACAACACACCACTCGTCGTCCACACAATCGCCCACTCTCATCCTGCCCTCTAGCATACATCCTTCTCCGTCTGGATCTTGCACAGCTTTCAGTTCGAACGCGTCGCGATGCCATATGTGACCGGGTAATGATGATTCGACATAGTCGCGCATCAAGGTTGCAAGTGTAGTCACCGAAGCTCGATCTGACAAATTAGACCGCGGATACAGAGTGTACTGTAGGGTGTCCTCCGAGATGGCTGGTGGTCGGTTAAAGATATCCATACTGCGAACTACGAAGCAGAAAAGATATGGGAGACTTGATTACGACTTTGGCGGAGAGTTGGTGTTAGTGTTAGTTGCAGGAAGCCAACCGGCAAACTCTAACCTGTTACCTCCCGCCGTGACCGGGGAGTGAGCTGCCCGATTTGGGAGGTAAATGATCGATCTAAGATACCTCAAATGTGTGCATAAAGTACATGAACTAGTACTGTACCCTTGCGCATGCTTTCACCGAATTGTTATGGGTCAGATCCTATTCGAGTCAGAGAGAGGGAAAAGTTATACAGAAGTTACATAACACATGGGTACAGTATAATGTCCGAGCAGGCTTCCTCTTCTTCCGACGCACATACCTAGCAGATGAACAGCAGGTTCGTGTCCTGAGTAAGATCAAGCGCAATCAATAAAACCTGCGCCGTGACTAGCACCACGGCAGAAAAAGCTCACCATCGGATGCGAACTCGAGAGCTGCGGGATCTGGCTGTATTTGCGTGCCAGAATCTCTCGGACGCTGAGCAGCAGCTGCTGGTAGCTCTGGTTCTTGTTTTGCCCTGAGAGCGTGGTTAGTTCGAAGTCTTTGTACGAGAAAAAAGGGCACTGACTCAAGGATGCTATGAACGCCTGAAGAGGCCACAGAAGTACGTTAGTTCATAAAGCGAGAGAGGAGTATAGTGCCGTCAATTAAAACTTACATAACTCATGGCACCGGTGGCCTGGCCTGCCTCGACCGCGTCGGCACTCGTCTGAGAGTCTTTGCATCCACTGAATGAAATCTACAAACCCACGACAACGTCGTTACTGCGCCAAAGAAAGAAACATGCGAATAAATGTACCGCATCTGCAGGGCTGGTTTTTGTCTGCATCGTGATATTGGTCGCCTGCCTATTGCCTGTGACGCCCTTCACAAGTCCACTAACGGAAGTGAATACGCCTGACTGCATGCGTAATGTCAGTCGATCAAAGTAACGTTCAGAATATGAGAGAAGCGGGCACACCAGATCGCCACGAGCGTAGGACATGGCTGCTGAGAGCAGGCCCTGTGCGGCCTCGGCGGCAAGATTGGGCTCCTTGATTTTTCCCACGTGGTTGTAGAGATAAGGAAGGTCTAACAAAAGCAAGCTCAGCCCCAGCCATAGAAATGTTTCAGTTTCTATGGGAACACACCGAGTGCACTCCCGGAGTGGCATGACTGTACAACAGGAGCGGATGAACATCAACGAGAGGTCACGACACATATGGGAGTACACACGTCAAAGATAGCAGTGAGACGGCAGCCAGCAGGGAGCGGTTTGACTAGAATATCGTGCAACAGCTGCACCGGGTAGTTAGAGAACAGTGCATCGTCGACGACAAAACAACAACAGCGTACGTCGTCGACGATATGGCCATTATGCTGGAAGTCGACCGGGTAGATCACTTCGTCGTACCCGTCCTCTTCATCTCCGTCCAAGTCTTTCGTCTGTCCACCATGTCCAGAGTCTGAGAAGCGGTGGTCAGGGTATAGATAAGGCAGGTAAAATTCGAGATACGTACAATGAAAGAAGAGCGAATCATTCGGCTGTGCACCACGCACGAGCCACTGCATCGCTTCGATCTGCTTGGTTGTCCATAAGCACTAGGAAATGAATATAGAATGATAGTCGTACCATGTTCGCTTTGGTAGGAATGGAGCGAGGATTATTTGAATCATCGGTCAGCATCACAATGTCGTCCTGGTTATACCCAAAGTCGTCTGCGCAGGCGTCGTTAGTAAAGCATCACAAGAGATTGTCGCTCTGGCTTACTGCAAAGGAAACGTCGGACGTTGTGCGCATCGTTGATGCATCCCTGAAGCTCCGCTGACTGGCCAATGTAATTAATTCCAATCTGCCAGCACACGATTTAGCGACTTCAGACTGGAAGGAGGATACAGGCTCACGCAGAGCCCCTTTCTCCTCCCTGTACACTGCGAGTACTGGAAATGCAGCTGCTGTTGCTGGTGGTTCTGTCCTTCAAACACCGGTCCATAGCTTTGGTGGTTTGTCGGAGGACGGGGTGGAGGGCCAGCTAGTTCAGCAAAATGATCAAACACGCATTTGTGGCGCGCAACTGTAGTGCATATGCATACCTGGTGGTGCATACGCGCGATAATTGCCGGGGGCACCATACTGGTTAGATGGCGGAGGTCCCGGCGGAGACATATACTGGCTGGAAGGTGGCGGCCCTGATGGCGGCATATACTGACCGGATGGCCTATTAGGTGGAATAGAGGGAGGTGGACCTGGCGGGGGCGCGTACTCTACGGGATGGTGGTGGTGTTGATGATGATACTGTCCGGGGTATCCTGAGGTTGGAGGTGGTCCAGAAGGCGGTCCAAAGCTGCTGTATTTATGAGCAAGATAAGCAAGGCAGCCGTTTAAGTTCACCGTGTTCGAGAAATTCGACAAGATGCGCAGCACGCACCCACCAGGAGGTTCTTGGGGAGGTCCATACGCGGGCGAATACCCTGGGTTGTACCCTTGAGATTGCACGGTTGGCGCTGGCATGCCACTGTTCTATATCAGCGAAATGCAGGTATTCTGATTTCTAAACGTAACTCACGGAGCAGGCATTGCATAGCTGCACCCGCCGAGCGGAGACCGATCGGTCAGTTTCCCGATCAAGATAGAATGAATGAGTGCGCACGAGGAATCTGCGCCAACCGAGGGAGGATAACCACTCTGAGGATCATGATGGTGATGGTGGTGGTGGCTAGACTGTCCGTTCCACATCTCCGTACGGTTGTCGTTACAGTGAAAGGTGTAGTGATTGTGGCCCGGGATAACCTCAGGAAACAACAGTAAAAATCGTGAGCCAACGAGGAATTTGTACACGGGCAGCTGCGTCGAGTCGGTCGAGCGCGCAACTTGTCACGTGCACGTGATTACGATTCAAACCGTTGGCTTGGGGTGACGTCGTTGCAGTAACTCGAAGCTACTCATATTCAAGTACTTATTAAGTGACGTACTGGTAACTGACTATGGCGACCACCTTCAAGAACCGGAATCTGTTGGCTGTCATGGGAGATGAGGTACGAACAACTACTCCCGAAATTCTGAAGACCTGAGGAGAGAAAGCAACTACAAGGATACAGTGACGGGCCTCCTGCTTGCAGGCATCGGACATGTGAGCGAGGATCATAAGAGGAACTTTCTCACCGTCGATTCAAGTGAGCTGGCTTGTCGTGTTTATCACTTTCTGATTTTACCTGGTATTTCAGAGACACGACCCGAAGAGCTTGAAAGATCATTCAAGGAATTCACGGAACGGCAAGATATTGCTATTCTCCTGATCAATCAACACGTCTGTGCACTGCTCTGACTATCAGTACATCCAGTCTTACGGAGCATTAAACGTGACACAGGTTGCAGACCGTATACGTCCGATGGTAGACAAATACGAGCAGGCCTTCCCCGCGTTACTGGAGATCCCTTCCAAGGACCATCCATACGGCCAGTCTCCATCCGATATTGCCTTGCATAATTTCATCTCAGAGTTGCTGACATCTCTCGTCTTTTAGATCCTTCTAAGGACTCAGTACTCAAGCGTGTCCAGAAGCTCTTTGGAGAATGAATAATGAGGCAGTGCGCTAACTTCCGCGGACGGACAGGTCATATGTGTATACTCCTAATTATATTTGTACGTTTTCACCTTCAAGATAAAAGCACAGAGAACTTGTGTGTTTTCCTACCTAGTATACAAGATCGCCGTGGATCAAACTCCGCGCACGGCCGATGCGTCATGCATGCCACTGCATCACAGGCTCGTTTTCGCTGACGTTCTTTGACCTCTCAATGAATATTCGTCTGGGTGTCCGCTGATATGAATCTGCAATGCAGTCAGAACCAATCCTGTGACACACGACAGTGCACATACTGGGTATATCGACTAATAGATAACGGAACTCGAAGTATCCATCATCGTTCTACACTTAGCTGTGAGTAGCTGTTCCCCGAGAGAACATGATATTCCTTCACGAACCATCACAAGATCAGCATGTACTTCTCCCTCGGTATAGAGTTTCCCGTCCGGTGAATTCCCACGACCGTCCGCGGCTTTCGAAGCGGTTCTCAGTCCCGCGAACAGGCCAGTGAATCCTGATGTCCATGTCCACTGTGATTCTTTCTTCTCCTCTTTCACGGCAACCTTCGTCGGCTCAGGTGCCAGTGGTTTAGGCACTGGATCTCCGCTTAAGAATCTGAACATCCGCTTTGCTCTCTCCAGAGTTCGGCTTGCACGATCGCTGACAGTTTCGACTAAGTCGTCATAGGTCATCTCAGACATAGCCGAAGCTACACCCTTGGCCCACCCAATCGCGGAGTCCATGTAGGAGTCCGAATCGGATTGGAACTCGACAGCTGCCTGCGATGACCCAGGAGACTGTCCTTGTACGTAGAAATGGAGGAGCATGTGCTCCTTCCCCGACGAATCGACGACTATTTGCGAAGAAACGCGATGATTACGGTGCCGTGGGCGGACGGAAGTGGGAGGATTGTTGTGGAAGACATAAGGCTTGTGGAGGTAGGCCACGAGCTGCAACGTGCAATAAATGGAGAGACTGATAAATCATGCGACCCGTGGACATATGCGGAACCACAAACCTTTGGTGACGCTTTAAGCATCTCGCAAGCTTCACCATAGAGTACAGTTGAAGAGTTTTTTGAAAAAAGCTCCGAGGTTAAGGCATATATGAGCACAGCGGATAGACCCGCCCCGAGCAGGATGACGGCGAAGTTTGTCGTACGAGCAGTAGTACGCGCAACTGTTTCATGCTATAAGCTATCCTCCAGTCACGCAGAAACAGTGCAGACTTACCTTTACCACCAGCACTCAACTCAGACCATTTCTTGACGTTCCCACCATCCCTCGGTGTAGGTGGTATAAGCCCCATCTGAAATGGACCGACATAATCGTCCCGTCTGGAAGCCTTGTGCTTCCGGTCTAGGGCCTGAGAGAGGAGGGATGATGTTGTGACGGTATCATGGTGTGTCGCATACGATCTGCACCATGACACCCCAAAGTAAGACGGGTCCCTCCAAGCGCGTCGTGTGAGAGTCACCCGCAGGTGTATGGGTTGCCGACACATTAAGAGTCGCATTTCCAAACAGTGGTTAAGCGTCTTAGAGTCAAGTTATTTAGAGGCTGCAGCATGCACGGTCGCGGTGGCGGGTCAGGGTAACACGTGACTGGACGCGTCTCCCAAATCGGAATTGCGGAACACACTTCCTCCGGATTGACAGTCCTGTCACGCCTGTCACGCGCGGAATTACAGTCCATTTACTGCCTAATCCGTCCACGCGCGTCGCGCGAGCGCGAGTCCCCGGCCAGCCTCGGTGAATGGAAGAAAACATGCGAGAGAACATGCGGCATGCCGCACGCGAAGGTTGGTGAGCAGGGCTGCATGCTCCCTGTTTGGCGCGATTACTTTACCATTTCGATCTATTCGACATGTCACGGGTCACATGCCCTTCTGTTGTGTCGAAATTTGGCGGCTGTCACGGGTCACAGGTAGTACTGTCGGAAGGTCTTTGCATGTCACTGCCCCAAAGGGCACCCAAAATGGGGGAAATTCCCTAAAAAGGGTCCAAAATGTCGAAAATTTCGGCCGGTCACGGGTGTCCGGCCGAGTTGTCTACCTGTCGAATCGGTACCATGCTGTCACGCGTCACACCAGGTGTCGAATAGATCGAAATGGTACAGTACGTCGGACCACCTAAGTCGTACAAATGACGCGATACCTCCAGTATAACAATTGTGAGACATCATGTGTGTTTGCAAGCGTGCGCTCTACTGATGTAAATGCGCGGAACGCACGTTAGAAGTGCATGTAAGATTGGCACGCAACAAATCAACTGTGTATACTGCGTAGTTCATCCACGGGACGCCAACGATTCCCATCCATCCAATTCCACGATCGCAATTTTAGCGAATTACTTTCCAAAATTCTGTAAACCCTCGGTGACAGATTTTTTCAACTAAAAGCCTAGTTAGCACGATGATGTCGACCTGCATGGCAGACACCCACCGGAGGACTGAGTCCATCTCCCTCGAAGTACGCAAGGAAGAATTCGCGACATAGCCAATCATTCTGAACGGATCCTAGGTCGCGAATGATCAGTGAGCGCGCTTGTGACGGATCACGCGGTGGGGCCGTGAGGAGTATGTCCATTGGTGTATGCTTCGCCAGCGGAGTATTTGGGAATAAGGACTTGAATTTCCGTAGAGGCGATTGAATGCCAGCCTCTTCTTCCGGTGCTAACGAGCCATTTTTCCGGCAAAAGAGGACACGTGCTTGAAGTGCACGCATGAAACCGTCGCGCAGATGGCTATAAGACGTTGGTCGCGTCGGGACTAGAAAGAGATCCAAAATGATGTGAAGAAACCTGCTGTATGGAACTACATAGTGGACGCACCGATTCGCAGTACACACGCTGCATTGCGAACGATGTGCTCTATCTTCTCCTGAGGAGGCGTATCCTTCGATATCTGTATCACGTTATGAGTTGGTGTTGTTAGCTTCAAGTCGTGTAGCAGTAATATATTTTGAACTGACATTCAAATTGGGGCTAGACAAATCAGCATAGAATCCGACAGAGTATACCTTTAGGCCTAGGAACGATACCGTCCTGACACCAACACCAACCAGTGAGAATGTAGGCAAAGGTGTCTTGGAGGGAATGCGGAGAGTGTTCGGGAAAGTAATCGATGTTGCAGAGTCAACTGGAACGCAGCAGAATGTAGTGTTCATGAAGAGTCGAACAGAATGTATGTGACAATTGCATTACGGACCAGTAAGTTCTTCTGAGCCACCAGCAGCAGCTTGGGAGTGGACTTCTGAGTCAAGGTAAATGGCCTGAGTTGAATACAGAGCAAAGGCGGAAGATGCGACTACTCCGAGACCGAGAATGAACGGCAGGTGAGCTCTGTGAAGGCGCGGAGAGTGGCTGAAGGGCTGAGTTCGACTGAGCCAACGGCGCGTTGTCGACTGTGGTGAGCTGCGGACACGCCATGCCAGAAAGGCTGGAGGCCTTGCTTGCATGATGTTCCGAATATTATACGCAGCGCAGGGGATGATCAAGTACTACTGGCGGGCGGGCGGCCCACGACCGCAACGCTGGTGGCACGTGCTCGCAGATCGACGCGGCAGTTGTGGGAGGTGGTACGCGTCCGCGCTTACCTGGCCTCCCTAAGCTACGCCGGATCCATTCGATGTCATCGCTGCTCTAGATCAATCCCCGAGACGCGTCAGCATAGGGACGCGTGTTCTATCTAGCTGCCTATAAAGTCCGTCAGGTCGTATGTGACAACCGTACCCTCTCACCATGTTCTCCTTACTCACCTCGAGCATTATTTCAGACGCAATTCCATTCTCTTCCATAGAAGCCATGGAGGATGACGAGTTGTCCGTGCCTGACTCGCCCACTTTTGAGTCGGGCGACCTGTCGCCTGGGAACTCTCGAGAGAAACAGCGAGCGGCGTTGCAGACCTACCTCGACTGCATGCCCTATGTGTGCGAATCCGTAGACGAAATGCATGCTAAGCTCGATTATATCGTTGGACGTATCTGCATCAGCGTTGAAACCCGAAACTGGCTGGTTCTCACTACATGGGACGGCATGCTGCAGTGGTATGCGTTCTTTCTTCTCTTGTGTCTTGTGACGGCTAAAATGGTGTGCAAGTTGGTTACTTATGCACTACCCCATGCTCAAGTCTACACGGGCGAAACTCGTCCGTCTCTACTATGAATTGTGCCTTGTCCCTGGGATTGAACCTCGTGTTGTCCGAAGCTGGGCGGACATGCTATCGCGGCTGCTCAATAACAAACCTGAGCATAGGCGTAGGCTTGAAGCTGCTGATCTTCAGCTGGCTTGGCAACCCTTATGGCGAGTTCTTCAGAAGGAACTGTGGCCGAAGAAGAGATTGCATGATTCATCGTATGTCATTTGATCAAATATACTTGACAGTCTCAAACACCTCGCGGCAGGCGGAATATGGTCAACATTCTACTCTTCGTTGCTGGGAACTGTAGGAGATATTTCCCCGCGAGTGAGATACCTAACATGTTGGCAACGTTTTCGCCGTTGCTGACTCAAGAAGTACGTTCTCCCCCGCGTTTCGTCCCTTTAAGTTCTTCGCTTACAGTCTGTCTGGCACACAGTCCCTTTTGACTATCATTCCAGTCATGACATCTTTCCTGCCACCTACACATGTTCATCTATATCTTCCTATGCTATTTAAGTTGTGGGAGGCTTTCAACTCGTCTGTCATAGATGACAGACTTCTTGAATTATGTGGTGATCTGTCCGAAGATCATATCGCCGGTATATATGGTGTTGCAGGAGAAGACGGAGCTGCCGAATGGAAGGATGTTGGTATTTGGAGTGAGTCAGAATGGACCATGCTCGTTGGGAAAGCGCTAGGATCTATGAGTGGGTAATGTTCATGCAGCACGAAGCAGACCCACACTTACAGAAACCTTTACAGACGTCCCAGTTGGAGCGACCAGGGTGAATCTACTATCCGTGTCTCTGCAAGATCGGACTAATCGTCATTGTTGCAGGGTTCTACTACCACTGCATTGCATGCTGACAGCATGGCTGACAAGCAATCTCTAAGGGTCAAGAAGGCTATTAACAGATACCGTACGTCGCTTCTGCTGGTGTTCCCGTACTTTAACTCATGCCATTGGACGTGGTCATCCAGATGCTCTGGCCAAGATTATTGTTTACTCTATGTCCCTTGATGGCCCGATTCGAGGAGACAATGACGACCACCCGCAGGATGATACTTCATCAGCTCAGTCCAGCGGGTTCCTCGCAGGATGTAGAGCTCTAGATTCATTGGATAAATTGATCACTAGCACAGAGTCATTCTTCCATCCATCTAACTCTGGTCCTTGGACTCTGAGCGTGAGTGAATCGGCAATGGCGTACCTACTTGCTATATCTGAGTTATGGATGCAGCTCACGCACTTCCTCCACCGTGTTACGGCTGAATTCTGCAAGCGATGGAAAGAGGAGCAACAGCCTGGTTGCAAAACGCCGGTTGTGAGTGCATTGGCCATACACATGACATTTGCCCTAACACCATTGATTAGACCCGCCGCCTGACTCCGGCTATCCGTCGTGCTTTCGTAACAGCTCTTCGGACACCCGCTCTTCTCGCGATGTTTGCAAAGGACCCATTTTCGATGAGCTACGCCCAAACTTCCTTGCGCTCAATGGCATATATTGAGCCCAGTTTGGTCATGCCCGAGCTGCTCGAGCGCGCGTACGGCGGGCTTGAAGTCGTCAACGAGACACATCGCACTACCGCGGTCATGACGATGTTGTCAGGCATCGCTCTACCTCTGGTCTCTGAGAAGATGTGGCTCGGTGGTCAGAGGCACGTTGTACCTCTACTAGAGCTGTGCATTCCTGGCATTGATCTGGTAACATTTTACGCTACTTTAGTTGTGAAACTCGCTCGCTGACGTTTTCCCCACATTCCTAGAATGACCCGATCAAGACGCTTTGCGCTACGATGTTCATATCGTCCGTTGTACAGCATATCAAGATTGCGGATTTATCGCTCCAACAGGCCGGGGTTCCACTGTCTAGCGATGCTCCTGCCGAAGAAATGATGGATGTTGACATGGAGAATTTGGTGCAGTTGCCGGAAGGTATTGAAGCGGGTACCACACCTGTCCTCAGTAAGCAGGACGAGCGCGCTCTTGCAAGAGACAGCACTGCATTATTTGCCGGTAAAACCGTGTTGTCTGCTTACTGCATTAAGCAATCCTGATCTTTCTCATGTCAGATTGGGTAACGTCTCTGTTCAGACGTGTCCTTGCTCTGTATGAGAACCTTCCGGAGGAAGGTGGCAAACGGAACACTACCGGCGGCAAGATGGAAGAAGGCGTGTTGAAGTCTATCAAAAGTGCTTTGGATATGACCTGTCTGCACCTGTCGGATCCACTCTTTGATCTAGTCTTGAATCTCGTGTACGACTACGCCACCACGAATGCAAAATCCAATGCAGTGAGGGCGTTCGGGCAACTTGTGTCGTGTCTTGCTCGAGTGAAACCTCTGAAGACGATCGAGAAATTCCTGCCTTTCTGTATGGCGCAGATACAAGATGAGTTGAAGCACGGCGCGTCGAGTGTCCGCACGACTTCTACACATACAGCGTTGCCTTCGGACACCACTTTGCATTGGAGTGAGTTGGCCCGTTGATCTCAGTTTGCTAAAACTTAGCGAGGATTGACCACCAACAGATATGTCCATTCTCCGCGGATGCTTCGGCTATGGTGGTGGTGCCGTAAGTCGATCTATCCTTTTATTTGCTTCCATTTGTCCTGACGGATGTTTCCTCAGCTTTTGAAGTATAAGGCCCAGATGATCGAATTGATGACCCTTCTTATTGACAAAACCAAGAGCGAACGAGGCTTCAGTGGGACTGGCCGTTTAATCAGCCGGATTCTGCACACAGTATCCAGCGTCTATCCTATTAACGCGCGATTCGTGAACACCGATGAATGGGATGAGCCAGGTACGCATATGGCTGCAATGCCGTCAGCGGTCGGGACTGAGTGTACCTCTTTCAGAGTTCAACCAGAACCATAATCTACATTGGGGTCGGTTTTATGATCCGGAGGAAGTAAAGATTGAGTGGCATGGTACGCTTGTGGTAATTGGTAACGCTCCTTGTATTGATGTTTCGGCAGTTCCGTCCCGGGAGGAGATCGATTTCGTACTGGAAATCCTGGATCGAATAGCTTCTCCCGCCTTGGACAAAATTGAGAATCTCCTCAAGACTGCCGGCAAATGGGACAATGTTGCCCGCAATGACTTCTGCCGGTTTGTCATTCTTTCAATTGGCCAGGTCAGCCGCTAACATAGAATACCTCAGTTATCTGCATGCGGTCAGGTCGATCTGGAGTGGACTACCGACTCTGTACCAGGAAGCCACTAAGGAGGTTCCAAATCCTTGCATCAACGTCGAAATTGAAGTTGCAGCCCTTCTCGTGACCCCGCTTGACGCCAAAGCTGGATTTGCGTTATCTGACCCTAGCGATCCAAGATATCAGGCGGTGGTAGCCCATCGGACACGTTTTGGCACAGTTATCCATCGTGCTGCCAGGCTCTTGCAGCAACAATTTGAGGAAGAAGACCACATTGATGCTATCATCAGTGTCTCGAAGGCTATTGACGTCTTCCTGTTGGAGTATGCGGTGACTAGAAGTAATTTTGATTTATTCCGGAAGATCTATGCGCAAGCTCGAGAGTAAGTTTGGTATGCTCCTTGTATGATTGCGCATGCTACTAACCCGCATCAAGTGCCGGTCGAGTCTGGCCACAACAGAAGGAGAATACTAGGATGACGTTCCTGCGTCGTGCACACGCCTATCATGCAGGCAGGGTGTACATGCACGCTTTATATCGTCGGCGGTCGCTTCTCGAGGATGGATTGCTACAGGACCTTGCGGAGATGTCGTTATCTCCTTATACTAGAGTTAGAAGGTTAGTCGATCGGTGACCATATCCGTTTAGAGCTTCACAGCCGCTCCACAGGCACGCGCAGGCTATTCTGCATAATGCATGTGGCGTATGTATGGCTTCTTTTTACCCATTCGTCCCGCTCATTGGTAGGTAGTACTTTGTGCGGTCTACGAGATTCATTCTTCCCGAACTGTTTCGTGCGCTTGCGAAGGGCAGCGATCCAGATCGTATGAAGGGTGCATTGTATGTCTTGTGGCATAGAGGGACAGGTGCGTCCTGTGTACAGAATGTCGCTGTATGTCGCTAATGTCCATCCCTATAGCTGCATATGCACTGGCTGGTGAGAGAGATTGGACCGTTGACATACATACCCCACTGAGGAGAGACTCCCAGACCTCAATTTCCATGGTCAGTATCTGTTGGCGCTACTTGAGTGCCAACATCAGGAGAAGGCATGTATCAAGTTTACCGAAGAGTTCTGATACTGAGTAAATCATACAGCCTTCGATTCAGAAATTGGTCGGTAGTCTCGCACAGGATGCTTTGATGTTGATGGCCGAAGAATCTGTACACACAGAGGCTTACCCAGAAGAGGTCCCTGGGGTCCTCAGTGCGGTGACCGATCTGAAGAAAGACTTAGACTATCTGGAAGCTTATGGCGAGGTGCAGGAACAAGCCCTTCAAAGAGTGGGGGCGCGCATGGCACGTCGGAATGAACGTTATGTCCAGACGGTATGTCACTGCGTGCGGTTCCTGCCGCGTTAGCCTATGCTGAATCCCTCGCAGGTGTCCGCTATCCTGGAGGTGGCGTCTAAGCCAACGACCCACGTGAGTGTCAAATAAATATACTCAAGCCTCATCTTATCCAGGTGTCCTTAGTGGCGATATCTTCAAATTGCCGCAAAGTTTTTGTACGCGCTCCTGCGAAGGGATTTTCCGCCCTCTCCAGAGCTCGCACGATTCTTCACGAGGCTCAGTATCAGTCCTCATCCCACAATCCGGACAATTGCACAAAAGTGAGGATACTGTCTTTCAGAACGTTGGCCGCTCGTCTGAAGTCTTGCACTTGTCGACTCTTAGGGGGGTTACGAAGATAGCTTGTCACATCAAGATGCGCACCTTTTCCAAAACAAGCGAGGAATTATGGTTGAATGAATGGACCAATCCCCTCAAGACGCATGTTACTATATCAGATCCATCGCAGTCTCTGCAAACCATCCAGCAACTGACATATGCACGAGATGACAATGGGTTCGGTTCACTTGTTTTGTGTATGGTGTGCAATCTGATATCCGGCATGCAGAGAGCTTTACGTGGACAAGATCAAATCGGGGTTTATTCTGTGGTCTCCTTGCGTCAAGGCATATCGGGCTGTTCCCCAAGACGAATCACCGTTCTTCTGGGAGTCGACATCCACGCCAGCCTTGGACGCAATGAAAAGTGCCATGCAGGAAGACGATTTCTTTACCACTCTCGCTTCTCTGTGGGGTCAGGAGTCTGCCAAGATTGGAGGGTCCCCGGAGATGCGAACAGACAACGTGACCTTTGTGAAGTCTCTGGGTGAGCTCACACATGTTGGCGTGCAAATATAATACCGATGATGGATACAGCGAAGATGTTTGAGCATGAGGCGCTCGATGCCATGTTGTCCGTAATCGATCCATTGTTGATGGATGTAGACCGGTTCAAACAGCGCTCTGGCGCAGAGATGCTTACTGGTTTATTGCGAGGTATGTCTGTGATCATTAGGTCAATATGTGCTTACTCTGCTTCACAGGGTCTAAGCACTGGCCAAAACGGAGGTCCGATCAGCTATGGGCATGGATGGCCGATCGCCTGAAGGTTATATATGCTCAAATGAAGCCAGATACTATGACCTTCTGGGAAAGTCTGTTCAGTGTAAGTGGCTATTGAAGAGATACACCTACCCCGTTCTCACAGTGCTACGCAGGAATTACTTTTGGATAGAGATCCTCGCAGGGCAGCACCTATGATCGATTGGATCATGTCCCTGCCGCTGGAATTCCATGGTGATTCTGCCTTTGATAGTAAGTTCTTGTCGTAGTCGCTTTCGACAGGAAATTGATTGCTATGCAGTGAACAAGTCGCTGTCCCTATTTGGCATTCTTGTCGACTCTTGCTCACTTCGTTTCACTCCCTTGTGTATCAAATACATTGATCTGTTCCTCAGTAATGCCAACACAGGATACGCGGAGGTTAGAGCGCCATCGTACGGCTATGTATGTGCACAATTTTGACCTTTTGATACCAGATACGGACGCAAATCGCGCAGAACATTCATGCTATCCTAAGGATATCATGGCAGCCTCTCTACCCTTCGTTGGATGCATTCATCATTGCGTGCCGAACTACCAGTGACCCTCTTCATATCCGGTTCGATCCTCTTTTTCTTCAAATCGGTAATTCTCATTCATGGCGTTTGCAGTAACGCAGTCTACATGGACCGTATTATGCGCGTTATTAACATGTTCCCCACGTGGAGGAACGAGCGACTACCTCCACCTCGAGTGACCCAATCACAATACGACAAAGTCGGACTCACGAGTTAGTCTCCGAAACATTAACTGCTCACTTACTGTACTGAACCTTCTCTTCAGTGTTGCAGTGGATTTGGGATTGCGCACATGGATCTCAGGCTGCGCTGGTATTCCCTTATGCTGTCGCCCTCATGTGAGTATATTTTGCCACTTGAGCTTTTCAGGCTGATATAGAGCTGATCACAGGCCTGAAATTCTACGCATGTCAGAGCTTAATGACAACTCCGAATTGCAAACGTACAGTTCGGCTGTTCTGTATGTGCTCTCAGCTGTTACACCTCCGCCCGAGTATGTAGATGTTATCGCGGAGAACTTCATGAACGCCATCAAGTCGACCTCGGTAAGACTGAATTTTACCCCTGCATGTTTGTTATTGACATTGTATTCTGCTAGTCGTGGCGCATACGAATGAAGGCCCTACCCACGTTAATTGTCTTCTTCTATCGCAATCTGTTGAGCGTATCCGACACGGTGGCGTCGAAGCTGATGGATGTCCTTCTTGAGTGCCTCTCTGACGAGAACGTCGAGGTACGGGAGATGGCATCAAAGATGCTTTCAGGCGTAGTCAGATGTTCGCAGAGGCAGAGCATTGTTGCTTTGAGGGTCTGTCTTATTACGACTATACTTTACAGAAATTTCTGCTCACGCCGCTTCTTTCCAGGATCACTTCGTGGCGCTCGCCAGAAAGACGAGACTTCCCAATCGCAGGGATCCGACTTACGCAGCATCATTACGTTCACTGCACTCCGCCATCCTGGGATTGTGTGCGTTGATAGAAAGCTTCCCGTATTCCGTGGAGGCATGGATGCCACCTTTGACAGACGGTACTACTTCTCACACGTGGTTATTATTCTGCGCTGACGTTTTTTAGTGCTGGCCCTCCATGCCACTGATCCGGTGCCAATATCGACAACAATACGGAAGTCCGCATCGGAATTCAAGAAGGTCCGTGTACAGTGATCAGATATCCTTGTTTTATTCACTAACCAGAACGCATCGTATAGACTCACCAGGTACACAGCTCGTCGTGATGCTGTTATTACTTCACCTGACATCCGTGCTTAGGACACTTGGCATAAAGATCAACTTGCGTTCAACGAAGATCAACTTCAGAATCTCTCGACTATGCTCGTCGGCACCTCTTATTGTGCGTAGCGACGTTGTCGCTGTGCTTACCGACTAACTGCTAAACCCACAGATGCTTGATTCAGTAGTGACTGCATGTTCGTGTAACTGCACTCGTTGTCTTTTGGCCATTTCTTCATACTCCCGTATGCGGGCAGTTCCGCACCCTTGTATTACCATCTGTCAGCTATTGCGAACTTAGTTACAAAAAAGACACTGTAGCATCTGACTGTTCAACCGAACCCGATAGTCTTCGAGAGCAATGTCAATCTATCTCTTGAGCATAATGTAATGGATTTAGACAACAGGATGCGCTCGCGACGGGTCCGAAAGCTATCAAGAACGTGTGTCACCAAGCGGCACAGGTGCCGTGATGAGTGAAAAGGACTTGGACCCGCACAATGGCAAAGCTGGTGCAATTTCCACCTCGTTGGCCTCCTCCTGCCGCGATGCAACTGTGATAGGGGCTCTAGATCCAGCCGGATTATCGATGTCGAATGTGATGGCTTCTGACACGCATAGAAAGAATAAATGGTGCGCGTCGCGAAGTACGACGGAGCAAAGAAACGGGCGAAGGTTGTCCACTGCAGGAATGGATAAGCGGAGACAGTGAAAGGATCTGCACTGTGTGTGCCTTCATCACATCATCTCTGGTGTCCGTCTCGTGGCGTTTTTCATTCTTCATTCCGCCTTCTGATAGGACTAGCACTCTCCGTGAAAGAATCGCTCTGGAGTGCGTGACAGTCAGATGTGATGTGCGTCATATCGAAGCACGCCAAATAAAGAGCGACTAGCCTTATCCAATAATAATGAACGGAGAAGTAAAAAATATCTGTGATACTGCTAACGGAGAGGCGACATAAGTACTCTGTGAGAGACCCCAGGGTTGAACCGGTGATCCAATGTTTTCGGTTATGTCATCGGTATTGGATTGCAGGAACAAAGCCAAGCGACAGAGCTGTATGCGAGAAGACGGATGTTATCGGTGTCTTCGGCGTAGATAGAGACAGGACGGCGTCAGAAGGACAAGTGAAGCCGTCGAAGTAGAGAGGGTGCTGTGCCCTCGTTTGGGGCTAGATGGCTGCATCGCGCCGCCATATTGAGCTTACACGTACGTGTGAAGGAGACGAACCAGGATCAGAAAGGCGAACACGAGGAAATGGTGAGGCGATCCATGGCATTTGCAAATGTGACAGTTCAACTGCTGGAGGACTACCACATGATAATCGCGATGAGCGATCGTCGAACGCACGTCCTCTTCCAAGAGCTCTTCGAGAACGTGCACAACAGCAGTAGAATCTGTGCCACTACAGCGTAGTCAGCCTCCGTTTCGGTGAGCGACGAGAGGAGAATACGGCAGCGGTGTGTCATGAAACGCACCACACCCAGCGCTGACATGTATTGACTCAGTACTCATCCCGGAGACAAGGGGGGATGGACCGACCAAAGGCTGAATGCTACAGTATATGACGAAATTATTTGCTTGTAAGTATCACCCAAAAAGGAGAACGAGGTAATTTGCTTCCGTCTAGCGCAGACGCCGGGGGAAGTCACGTGTCGATCACGGCGGGCGGCGTCTCGGTGGCCTCTCGGTGGAACACGAGCGCGCTAGATGCTGTGCCGTGGCCACGGCTGGCTTGAGACACAGCGGGCTTCGCCCAGTTTGGGGTGGCATGGCAGTGTGTCGTGGGAAGGAGGCGTGAGAAGGACGCGAGCGGGCGAGGCAAAGCGCAGGAGAGTGGTCAGAAGGTGGCCTGGTGGATAAGTGCTCTGGAAAAGCGGACAAAAACACGTATTTGAGAGGCTTGAGAGAGGATCGATACACGACGGTTGGGCGTGGAGATGTTGGAGCCTGGATAATATGAATTGTTTGGCAATCGCCGCCGCGAGCTGGGCACGTTGCAATCAAACCCTGAACTTCCTTCCGTAAACCTCGCCCGTCCTCGTTTCCCTCTTTCCTCCTCGCTTCCGCCATCTGCGCGAGGGCTTCAACCACCACCGTCGTCGTCCTTTGTTCGACTCTCTCTGAATCAAACAAACAGACTCATATCGACACGCCCTTCCAGTCACGACCCCAAAGCGCGCGATTTTCCAACCTTTTTATACCTTTATCCCTTCTTCCAACTAGATACCTAGTCTCTGCTCGGTTTCTTCGCTTGCATAGCGGCCAAGCCGTCCAAGACTTGGGCTACTTCTCCACCAACCTCACGTCTCCTCCGCGCCCACGATTTCTGCATTCTCGGTTCTCTCTCCACAGCACCACTTGATTATTTTCTAACAGTCATTCAAGCACTTTTTATCAATCAAGCCTCATTGGACGTGTTACAGCAACTTATACTTAACTCGTAAGCTGGCTACCGCTCCCCATCCACGCCTATTCACTCTTACTCATCTAGACTATATGACACACGACGCAGTTACGATTTCACCTTCCAGCTCTCCGTCCTTCTTCTCTCGCAGTTCTGACGACGTAATCTCACCCATTCAAGCCAAAACCAACTTCAGTCTAAACTCAACCCCCAGAGACATGCTGTCTACGTCGATGGCTGCTCGGAGACCCATATCTGGAAGACTTTCGTCAAAAGGTATGCATCGCATGGAAGTGTCATGTTGGAGCAGGGTTTCTCAGTGTGGTCTTCCCTAGCTGATTTGTCCGAGCACACTATGATGTCTCCAACGAACGGTGGCACGAGGTGGAGGCTCAATGGTACTGGCCAGCTAGTAGATTCTGCGACAGCGGAATGGGATCTTGCGGACGAAATCGTCAAGTTACAGATCGGTGACAATGGTGACGGGGCTGAGGGTCAGATCCGTACTCCTCCCCAGTCAAAGGCGGCGGCTGCTGTCGTCCACTTACACGAGACGTCACCTCTGGAGACTGCGTCCGAAGCCAGCCTAGACTCCAACTCATCGAATACGTTGGACCAGCCCAGCAATCTCGGCTCGCATTCGCGTGGCTCTTCTGCAGATACCACGGGTTCCGCGCTTTCGTCTGCAAGTCAGACTCTACGGGCGTCACCGTATACACCTGTCAAACTTGGCGCCGTTGGAGAATCCAGGAACCGTCCTCATTCTTACAGCGGTGGCCTGTCTACTACTGATCTCACTCGTCTTCAACAAGTAGGAGGTAGTCCGGCCAACAAAGGAGATAATTGGTCGTCTCCCAATGGCACACCGGAGAGACAGCCCCAAGCAGATCAACTCACGTATCCTTCCCTGTCCGGGAATACTCGTCAGGAGCAGCAGCAGCAGCAGCAGCAACAACAGCCCGTTACACCGTCTCGGGCTGATGATTTCCAGGTCGAATACCAGACTCAGCAGCGTCAGTTCAGTCCCTTACCTCAGGGTGGCCCCACTGTTCCCTCCGGTGCCCAGACGGGGTATGTTACTGGCAGAACCAACAATGTCGCAGCAAATATACCTTACCGCCAACCTCCTCGAACATTCAATCCGCAAGTGCAGGTGCCGCCCGTGATTCAGAACCCGAGCAACTTCGCGTACCCTGCGGCTCTCCATCCCGCATCCATGACTATGAACAATGCACAACAGCAGCTCTACGACATGATGCTGCCGACACCACCGCTTGAGAACCCCGCCATGGCTCGCTTGCAGCAGCAGCACGGCATCTTCCGCACCCATCAGCACTCGACCTCGGATCCCGCATCGCTTCGTGATCCCGCCACTCTTGCAATGCTCAACCAAGCATTCGCAAGCCAGATGTATGGTCCCGCCATACCCCCTCCCCCTGCTGCTCTATCCATGTTTGCGAATCAATTCTACGGCGCACCGCAAGAGGCATATCCGTCTCCAGATCTCGCTGCAGCTCAGATGATGGCTCGGTTGCAGGCTCAGTATACTGGACCATACAGCGTCCCTGTTTCAGGACAGCCTGTGGCTCAGGGAGCAGCAACGCCAGCAGCTACCCAAATGGCTGCGGCCGCGGCCGCGGCCGGTGCGTTGGGGAATGGCCCGAGTGCCAACAATCGGAAATTGGGGTTGTACAAGACGGAGCTATGCAGGAGCTGGGAGGAGAAAGGCAGTTGTCGCTATGGTGCTAAGTGCCAGTTCGCTCATGGCGAAGAGGAACTGCGGAAAGTCTCCCGCCATCCAAAGGTGAGAGTCTTGTCTTACCAATTACATGCGACGTGTTCACTGATTGCATGCTCTGCGGATCAGTACAAGACGGAGATTTGTAGAGTGAGTTTATTTTAATTTGCTGTGCATGCCCTGACGACGTGCTGATCTCCGTGCAGACATTCTGGGTTTCAGGTTCATGCCCCTACGGGAAGAGGTGCTGCTTCATTCACACAGAGCTGCCTGCATCTGGCGCTCCTCCCGGTGCAGAAGGGGCTCCTCCGCCGAACCCTGATGGTCGCGCTCGTTCTTCTAGTACGAACAGTGACCCGAACGAAGTCTCCAGTTCTCTTCTCGCTCGTATCTCTGCGAAGCGCACTCAGGACGGAGTTATCAACTCCGGCACAGGCAGTGTCAGCACGACTCCTCCGTCTGGTGGATTCCAGATCAATGGACGTCCCGGCGCGCTTCGCGTAGATACTTCCGTCCTGGATACAGCGACAAGCGTGAAACAAAACAAGTCTGCATACCCAACGTTCGCACACAACGGAATTTTGATGCCCGCTGGAGAGGAAGTGACCGCTAGATCTCCTGGTCCTGTAACTGCTGGTCCGGACTTTGGCAGGCATGCGAGTTCGAGAATAGACATTGTGGGCTCTCAGGTATGCATACGGATTTCGCTTTATTGTTATGAAGTATTGAGCCGAAGCATGAGCAGCAGCGGTTGAGCAAAAATTCCTCTACGACTCCTAACGTTCGCCATTCTTTCAACGGAAGCGATATGCAGCTTGACTTCAGCTCTGCTACCCCTACGGCCACTAATGTCCCGTCCCAGCTGGGGACGTCTCCTCCGGAAACTTCCAAGGCTTCCGCGCGCATCAACGGTCACGTTCGCTCCGGCAGTGCTGGCAACTGGGGACCCTCGACGCGCGCCAGCCATCTCGCGGCATACCCGCTTTCGTCTATCCCCGGTGGAGAGCTGAAGACGAATTCCCCGTGGGCGGAGTATTCAGTCAACTCCCGCCTCACGGAGAAAAACTGGGCCTGAACGGGTAGCGGCCTCATGTGTGCGTGGTTCGCTCCGATGCAGCAGTCAGCGGGACGACCACGCTGTGGATTCATGTTCGGCATGGACAAATAAAATCGATACCTTGTCTATTGTGTACGTATAGCGGGAGTCGGCATGCCCTGATCTTATTTCTTTCTCATCGTTGGAACCTGCTCCATGATCCATCTACTTTTACCTGTCCATGTTGTGTGTTTACCTCCTACTTCCCGTGCTCGTCCCATCGCTCAGCTTCTGTTCGCTCATCGAAATCAGTCTGACTTATTCTCTTGACAATTCGGATAGCTACATCGTCCTGTCCCACATCTCGGTCATCGCCACACATGTTTATCTTATAAAGTCAATACAATGCTCGTGTTCTATGCTTCTATGCTTTAAATTGTGGGATACGGGGTGGTCATCTAAGTGTCACGGTAATAGTCTGTCATCGATGTATATTCAAGACCGAATCGTGTATATAATTAATGTACAGTGCATGGTATGCGGATATAGATTACGTGTGGAAAAGCTCCAAACAGCAGACAAGGTTGCGAAGACACTGCAGGATCTGGTATAAATCCGTATATCAAAGCTGCAGGGCACGAATCTCCCTGCGGAAACCATCCATTCGGCACTGAGCATACCCCAAATAATCGAACTCAGGCTCCCCATCCTTCCCTTCGACCGTCTCCCTAGCTTGGACGACACCCCATATAGCCCACACTGCATGAGATGCAGGGCTCCAAGCCCGTACTTGGCGGTCCAGCGTGTCCAAATCAGCCTCGATCTGCTCGTCCGACAGTACGCTGGGCCGTTTGATGTCGTTTGGAGGGATGAAATGTGAGATATAGGCACGGTAGAGGTTGCGCCTCTGATCGGGAGTGGGATAGCGCTCTGGGTGCAGGATATGCGGCATCTCGGTATGGTAGTTGGCCGTCCACTCGTGGAAGTGGTTTGCGATGTCATATGCTGCGGCATTTGGGGAGGCATATTCGAAATCGACTACAATCACCTTAGGAAGTGATTACCATCTGTATGCTAACGACATACATTAAGACTGCGGACATACCTGTCGATGTGCGAGAGTCCCGGGTCTCAGCGTCTTCAGCCTCAAAAGATTTCCGTACTGTGCGTCATTGTGACCGAACACCCTTGGGCTGGCGCCGATTCGCTTCTCCTCCTCAGCTAACCAGCGAAGGTACTGCTCCCATTCCCATTCAAAAGCATCCAAATTCAGGTGCCTACGAACATCTTCTGGGGCGAATGGTAACGCAAGAACATCACGGGCTAAACCAAGCCATGACTTCACGTTCCTCTTCGCCGCAAGCTCCCAACCGTCGCCTTCACTCTCATCCGCAAGAGTCGGCTCAACGGAAGCAATATCGACGCCATGAAGCTCTGCCATGCGAGCACCTATCCATGAACTGATTTTTGGATCGCGCATGTCAGAAGCTGTGAGCGTGGTGGACTCGAAGTACTCCTCAACGCGACCGTTCTCGAAGGTTCCGTACACACGAGGCCCTATGTGGTACTGTGACGAGAGAGCGTGTAATGTATGTAATTCTCGAGGGCGAGATATTAACGACCCGGAAGAGGGGCCGTAAATTCGGAGCAGAAGGACGCGGGTGCCCGGCACCGAGGGACATGAGATAAAGAAGACAGCGTTTGTGAGAGAGCCTGATACTTTCTGTATCTGGATGTTCTCTGGAATAATAGCAGGGTGTATCCACGAAGGCGTTCTGAGGGCGTGAAGGATGTCCAGCAACTGTTGCGCAAAGGACGCAGACTTATAGCGCCTATCAAGGAGGTGCAGATCAGCAAGGAAACGACATGACACAATCAATGGCAGACCAGGCTATGGAACTCCCCTGTTTCGCGACTCGTTAGCTCGCCAGCAAGAACCAGCGAAAGCTCCCGCGCAAGACAAACAGGCTGATGGACTCACCGTGCTTCGAGTCTCTGATTTGCATGGTGCAATCCTTCTACGCGAACAACATCTACGTCACCGTCCTCAAAAGGAATGGATATGGATGATGCAGAGTACACCGGAGATGTACCAAGTGAGACATCGTCTTCAAAACTCTGCAAGGAAGAGGTGGAGGTCCGTCTCAGCGACAACACAGATTGTGCGTAGGGTGTTGTTACAGCAGGCGTCGTGGCTAACTCCGGACCCATAGTCGGAGACATTTTGGCCTGAACTGTGAGCGAAAATCGCGCGCTGATTACGTTCAGCACTTTGCGTACGAACGATGCTGGCTGGCTAGATTCTGTAACTAGACTGGCCATTCAAACTCTTTTTAGAGTAAAGTCGGTGTCTTGGACTGGACGACGAACGCAGGGGGAATACGACGGGCGACAGAGTCACACGACAACTTGGGTATATGGAGGTCGTGTGCAACGAGGACCCAGCCGTGCCGATACATTTTCTGTCGGAGTCTCAATATTCTCAGCGACTATCGGCCTCTCGGCATCGCGTTTTGCGCCACCAACACTCATGGACGATGTCGTCGACGACCTGTAGATATAGCATACATCTGGTTGGCCTCAAAGTCTGCTTCCTGAGAATTTCCGATGACGTTTCCTCACCACGATAACATGTGGTCAGCTGCAGCGTTTGGTGTGAGTACTGACCTATCGGATACCCTCTGTCCCGCATCACTGACTCTCAAGAAGTAAGGATACTCCCTAAAGATTGGATACTCCCGACCCTGCAAACAAAGTAGCGGCGTCAATAAATCACTTGCTCGTGAATGCGTCGGTGCCAAATAGCGTGCGTACGCTCAATGCATCAGTACTAGTCCGAATTTACGTTTTCTAATGCGCCGTCTCAGATCAAGCTCGAACACCAACTTTACAGCTTCTGATGGGATTTGCAAGGCATGAACAAACATCCCAGGTTTGCATCCTCTATACCGTCATCTGTTTGTAGCTGATCGAGATCAGTATATCTTCGCGCTTCAGAGTCTGCTCATGCGGACAGACATAGTCTGGAAACCCTGCATAATCACTTCTTGCGGCTAGGGTTGACCTGGGTTATCACCTCAGCTAGCAAATCCATGCAAACAATGGAAGGCGGTTCAGTTTAGGTGGTCAGTTCACAACGCACAAAGGTATTACCTACCGCTCCGCACTACTATCGTGCAAAGGCTCAGACGGAGCTAGCACGACTTCAATATCTAAAGCAGTCCACATCCCCTAGATCTCGAAACATCCGACTGCACTTGCCAGAGGGGAACTAGCTCCGGAAGACGTAACCTGTCAACCACGCCCCTTCGTTTGTGGCATTTTATTCCCTCCTCCGGTAGGTTTCCGTAATGGACTTCTTGTGGGAACCAAATCTGGACGTCAATCTTGAGACAGGTCCCGATGGCCTAGACTTGTAAGTTGTATTTCACGAGACTTCGCTTCCCTTGGCGAGGGATCATGCGCAGCTGCTTCCGTAAAGGTTCTACACGTTCGTCTTCGCGGGAGAGGCGATGGAGAGGTTCTAGGTACGTCTTCTCTTGAAATTGGACACTTCTTCGACGCTCGCTAAACTGTCTCTCCTAGCCATGACTCCCCCCAGTGAGTTCAACGTGGCCTTCGACATCGGTACCGGTGATATCGGTGTATTTCATGATGAGCGTGTGTGCATTGCAAGCAGTACAAATTCTGATTCGGTCGTAATTGATTACTGCTGCCGATACCGCAATCGGTCTCCGATTCCCGTGAGTTCTGGTATGTCGTTATGTCATGACTCCTTCTGTCTTTCGCATCTTGTCGTCTCTTCCACATTCCTGTACGTAATTAATGCAGTAAAGGTTTGCACCCCATGAACGGTCCTTATGGGTCCGCGGGGCAGACAAGCCGTTTAAAGCCTCCCATCAGCATCCCGCTATCGACGCCGGTGGCTTCGTGAATGTCGAGACATGAGATTTCTCTTCATCTCCGACAGACTCTCCACATGGGAGATTACGCATAAGGAGCGAGATCTGAGATACCGTCAACAGATATGTGTTGAACGTGACTCGGAATACAGACCAGAAATGCAACGCCTAAGCAAGGACAACAGACGATCCATATGGTCTGCACAAACACGTAAGTTTTACATGACAGCCCCGTTGCGTATAAACGTACCTGTATCGATAATGTCAACGCGCGGACCACTTGAAGCTTGGTTTCCGACATTGGAATCGAGCCAATAAACTGCAGAACGGTCGAAGCCTCAATCCCAGACGGCAAAGCTTTCGCCATACGAAGCTGCAGGATGGCTCCTGCAACTGTCTACGACAGCAGTGAGTACGCGATACCAGGTGACGAAGATATTCATACCAGCCCGACAGTTGCTCCCGTGAATCTTACCAGGAAGAACGCACTCGTCCCTGTAGCAGTATCCTCCCGGCGTAGGGCCCGGGTGAAGACTTGATATGGTGCATGGAAAAGCATGCCTAGTCCCACCCCGGCGATTAGGGTATATACGCTTTGTAATACTCGGGAAGTCCGTTCGTTCATCAGGATTAGAATACCTGACAACAGGATTGAACGACTTCGAACGAGCAAATTCACGTCATAAGACGCACCGAAACCCAAAGTCGAAATGAAAAGACCTGTACAGATAATGTACTTTTGTGGGCTTGTATCTGAGCGTCGCCTCTGCCAATATTCGACGAACCAAGCAGCTATACGGAAATGACGATGCCATAAGCTATTCAGCGAGCCGTTGTTGGAACAGACGGTAGCATGAGACCTACACGGCACAGATGCTAATGCAGAACCCAAGGAATATGTAAGCATAAAGATCCCAGCTTGTAGTGGCGAAAGCCTAGTGACGGCCTGGAGGGGAATCAATGAGTCAACGCAAAACGAGGACTTCGAGACGCTGACCTGGTAGAATAGAGCCAGATAAAACGTTCCTGCGTTGAAGGCGAAATTATGAAGAAAAACAATCACCAAGATGATGCCTGGAAAGGAAGATAAGCTATCTTGCGTTTATCTTCACACAACGTCGTACCCATTGTGGGATCCCTGAAAACAGCCGGAGGGAAGAGAGCATCGCGGCGAGTGTGAATCTCATAGAATCCGCCGCCTACAAGAACTATAACTCCGACGATAATCAGCAACAAGGTGGAAATTGCTCTCCCTAGAGACCGAATTCCATATGTCAAAGAGAGAATATTGCGATCGGCAGTAGAGAGATACGCACAACCGATGACAGGCGCCAGGTTAAATCCGATCACGATGCAACTACTGCCGCCCATGAAGAGGATTCTAGAAGGCGAGGTCAGACACATAGGTTGGGAAGTCCTATAGACTTACAATCCGCAGAAGTCGAAAGTACGCCCAAACAAACTCAATGACATATTATGCGAAGCTCCTAGGCTGACTCTGCGCAGCGAGAGCCACAGGACAACAAATGCAAATGCGCAGATCGGAAGATTTATATAAACTAATCGAAAACTTTAGCATCTCTCAGTTCTGCGGACAGATTGAACCAGTTTACTTACAGGCCCATCTCCAACTGAGTGCCCCTACTTTTTCTAACAAACAAGCCTCAGCATATCGTTCAGATTCATCCAGTAAGACTTACCGCTGAATACACCCCCAAGAATAGGGCCCGCAATAGCAGAGCAAGCCCAGGTGATGCTCAGGGCTTGCGACCACTTTGCTTGATTCTGTACCTCTACAATCTCGGACGTGATGGTCCAGACCAAGCTAACAATACCCCCTCCACCTGCTCCAGCCACAGCGCGAGCAATGATAAGCCATCGCATACTCTTAAGAGAATTCAGTGAAGAAGGAACTAGAGACAACGTATTCACGCTAACCTGTGCTGCCCCACAAAAGGCAGAACCAATCGCGAAAACGAGCATACTGCTGTATAAAACAGTCTAAACCGTTCGCATGAGAATAAATCATCATCTAATCTGAGGGAAGCCGACGAACGGTGCGACCGATTAGATCCGAAACTTTCCCGTACAGTGGCTGAAACGCGGTCTGCGTGAGCATGTACGTCACGGAGACCCAAGTATACTGAGTCTGAGTTGCATCCAATTGGCTGGTGATAGTAGGTAGAATAGTTGATACGATAGTCTGACATAGAAGGTCAAAAGTGAATGGACGAAGGCTATCTGCAAGAAGACGTACAGCATCTGTTGTCGCAAGGAACAATGTCAGTGCGGCGCTGAGATCAGAAGGTTAGATGGAGACGCTCAGATGTGAATGCAATACTACATTTACCCAACATGCGCAAACAAGAGTCGGACGAAGCTGATGTTCTTCTGCCTCCCCGGATGATCAAACACAAATGTAGAACTGGATGTAATCGTGCAAGGGGTATGGGGAGAAGATCCGTCGGTAGACTGTAATGACAATTCGCAGGAAGATTTGGTAAGGTCAATAACTGTCTCTTGCCCAGAATGCTGGCTTCCTGCAGATGGTAAGTACACTGCAAGAGGCCTGGGTAGCTGCCGCTCCTCAGACGGTAGTGTGCCACATGGCTCGGGGATCAGCATGATCGGAAAGTGTCACCAAGTGGTAACCGAAGGCGAGACTGGTGAACCTGCGAGCAGTGAAGGCACCAGTCGAGAAACTGTTCACAATTTATATGACCGTGGAGCGAAGTCCTGGGACGTGACGTTGTGCCCATACGTGTGCATTCGAGACATGTAATAAATCGTCAGTCATGAATCGCCAGGACAGTTTCTTCGTTCCCTGAAAGAGAATTCGAGGTCAGATCTTGATGGACGATTCAATAAACCGTCTTGATATTCTAATTGAAACACCCACCCACATATGATCTTCGTTAGCCTTTGCACCCTCATTGTCGGAGATTAGCAAGAGTTACAGTGGAGATACAGAGAAGCTTTGCAGACAGGCATGATTGGACACACTCTGCGGAGGAAAGACACCCGGGCCAGCCTTGGGCTTCAGGTACCGTCACAGAGAGGTCAGGTTGGACAAAGCTCCACACTGCTCAGTGGCAGATAGCTGCTGCGATAGCCGCACCAACCAGCCTTCCATTACGTAGCCGTAAAGTAACCCGATCCGTGGACATGGCGGATATAATTCAACGCAGCGATCAGAATGAAGGAATTGCAGAAAGTAACATGAGAACCAGACTAGAAGACTTGTCGGAGGTCAGGATGGAACCTTATCACTGGAAATCGACACATCGTGTATCGCGGTAGCCTCGAATGTCGCTTGTTGTGAAGCCGCGGCTTGAAAATTAGTGGCCAGCGCAAAGACAGAGAATGTGATTGAGTAAGACAGATCGTTTGCGTTTAAGCGAGCTTAAAATCGCAGCGAGCGAGGCGGCAAGAGCTTGCTTGGGATGTAATGGCAAGATATTGAGCCTGTACCTCGGAGAAGGACATGTTAGCCTCCCCTTTGGTGTCCCGAAGGACCGGTAGAACTTTGCAGGTGAGGTTACTAACGGACAAAGCTATTGATATATGAAGGATGTGCAGTATCAGATATCTCGAGTCGAGGCAGAGGTGGCTCGAGCAACAAGTAGTTCGTTGTGGCGTTGACGTCTGAGGAAACTGGAGGTTCTCACGAGCGCTGTGACAAAGTTGTCGGCTGTGTTTGGACTCGACTGAGTACTGCACGGTCCGATGTGCATACACTATTCGAATGCGGGCCAATCCTTCCTTTCTCAAGTCTTTACCAGATTGCTGCTCAACTTCTTCCCATGGCTCGCTCGCCCGTCCCATGCTTACGTTGTTCCGTTGGACTTGTGAGAAACGCAAGCTTGGTGTACGACTCAAGTCTGCACTCAATTGTCGCAAAAGACTTTTCACGAATGTTGTCGCTTGGATGAGCCTGGAGAGAATTCTTCTCTGTGGAAGTCTGACAATAATCAGCCTGACCATACGTCTCCGCACTCCGTAATGATTACACGCCCGCCGGGGCATATCCAGACTTCAGCAATTGACAATTATGGTTACGCGTACGTACGTGTGTGTATCAGGGGACACATCCAAATTTCCCGTTAGAAGGGCCTGACAGTGGCATGTTCCAAGAATGAAGAGATCAGCAGGCGGCTGGAATCGGGGGCATTTGCGACGGTCGGACGATGTAAGCCCCAAACCAGCACGTCCCACCGCTTGTGGTATAGCTTTTGGAATTGCGCAGGCGGATTACTTCAACCGGCTGGTAGAGGTCATGTTGGCAATTCTGCTAGCTAGAAATCATGATGCCTGCAGGCTCAGAATCACTCGCGCTCATCTGGAGGGGGTGGTGAATATGCAGAAGTGCCGTCAGAGCTTCAACTTGCCTCCTCAGAGAATCAGCCGAATCGTTTGACCATGTGACCATTTTGACACTCAGACGCTAGGAACTAATGGCGAATCTAAGGACGATTAATCGTGACATCGATAGGATATGGCAGTGTGAGTCGGTAAATGTATACAGTGACGTACAACTAGCCCGGGCGACACCCTTCTCCGTCCCATCTATGCAGCGGCCGTTTTCCGGAGGTCTTCCTCATCTCTAGGTGATGCCGGTTGATCTTCGTTGTCGCCGTCTGAAGTCGTGGCGAATAAATGCCGACCATGCAACGGGATATATGAAATCCAATCATATAGAGCATGAAGAGAAATTAGGATCCAATGAGTTCTCTGATTCTATTCCACGCGCGAGATACCCAGCCACCAAGGGTTGGGGCAGAATGAACCGTACCGTTTTCATCAATGGAGGAGGCGCCTGAACCTCTTTCAACGTCAGGTGACGACTCAGTTGATGTGAATCCTTTTGGCGAGGTGGAGGTTGTTCGACCTTCAACCTCGTCAGCGTATTGCTGTAGAATCTCCCGTTGCCGGTTGGTAAGTGACCTGACGATAAATTCTATAAGTGTCACGGCAGAGGTAAAGTAAACCTCTTTTCACCTAGGTAACTGCACCCCGAACGTGACGAACAGGTCACCCTTATCGCCACCATAGACCGAGGAGACGCCCCGGCCTTTCAATACCATTTCCTCACCCTGTTGTGTCCCTCCAGGCACGCGCACGTCGACCTCTCCATCAAGGGTTGGTACCCGAACCCTTCCACCCAGAAGAGCCGTATGCAACGGGATGCGCGCTTCGTGGTGTAGATTAGGACCCTGCCGTCGGAAGAGTTTCGAAGCTGCAACATTGATCCGCACAAGTAGGTCACCAGCGCGACCTCTGCCGGAAATCGGTGCATCGCCCGCGTTTGGTAGTCGGATAGTCATACCATCTTCCACGCCTACGAAATCATGTCTCACGAGCGACGTATGACATTGATTAATAGAAACTCACCAGCCGGGATATCAACCTTGACATTCTTCCTGATCCTGACTTGTCCGACTCCGGCACATTCACCGCACTGGCTGCCTCGCGGAACCGTCGTTCCAGTGCCTTGACACGTCGGACATGTACTCGCCATCTGGAAACCGTTGTCGATAACGTACGTCCTGGTACCTGTTCCACTACAGGATGTACAGGTGGATCGTTTCGCCCCTGCCTTCAGCCCGGTACCAGAACAAGTTGAGCAGTTGACGACAGGGGTAACGTTAATAGTTCGTGATGTGCCCTTGCACGCCTCCATGAAAGTTACACCAACTGTAGCCTCGAGATCGCTCCCATGCATATCTTCATGCCTGCGTGGTCTCCCACGTCCACCAAAGGTACTGCCAAAGAGCTGTTCAAACAGATCTCCCCCTGGTCCTGCTGAAAAGGACCCAGAGAAGTCCTTGAATCCTTGGAATTCAGCGCCACCGAATGAAGTACCAGCATTGGCAAAGGCATCTGGATTGAAGCCTGGTTCTTGAGACGCAGCACCATACTTCTCATAATCAGCTCGCTTCTTCTCGTCTTTGAGGATCTGGGTGCGGGGCGTCAATAGCGATACTGCTGAAAGAGTAAGAGGGAGCTTGCATCATATGCTGCTTGAATCTCTACGAACTTCTCCTGAGCGCCCTTATCCGGATTCGTGTCAGGATGGTATTTGCGTGCAAGCTTCGACATAAACATTGTGTTCAATACGGTCGTTTATGCGGGTAATTTGGCTGTAGTACGCACTCCAAAATATTTTTTCTTAATCTCCACAGGGCTCGCGTCTTTCTTGACACCAAGGACTTGGTATGGATCCTTCGCTGTTGCAAAATTGGATGAAGAAGCATGGAAGGACCGCTGTTGCCTCCAAATTCAGACCATATGGAAAGATCTGCAAACGAGCTGTAAATCTAACCTTCTTAACCAACGAGGGCTGTAGTCTGGAGGATATCCGGCGCGATGCGGCTACACGACTTGCACTGGCATTCAAGCAAGTAGAAAAAGCGCGACTGTTCGTTCCCGGTTGCAAATGAGAGCAAGAGTAGAAAGATATGAAGGAAAGGACCCTCTGTGAAGACAACCGAGGAGGCATTGCGAGAGTAAGAACACGAATTACACTGGCAATCACGTCGTAAGCATCCCAAGGTCGGAAATTTCAGATTCCCACGAGCACGTGGATTACTCTCCCAATTCTAAGCGTGACAAGAAAGGAAACCATGATGCTACTTCTGTCGCCGACTACCGACTCGGGTGACCTACAGTGCTTTGCATAAGTATACAAAGCACCGTAGATGTGTCTTGTAGCACAATATTACCAATGGATCTTGTTTCTTGATTACTATTACCTGCAGCTTCGTATTGCTACTCCGAGTCGTAGCTAGGCAAATAGTGTATCCATGACTGCGATCGGTCATTACACCCTAGATAGAGGATAGTGTCGCGGCCAACACCCAATACATCCACACTTCGCAGCATCAAGCTGAGCATCAGGCCTCTGACCCCATCATTGAATTTATCTAGAAATAACGAGCTATTAGTCGGAAAAACCTTTCGTGCCTAATAAGGCAGTTGCGACGGATTTTGACCTCCCTTGCAATAGAAACGAAAAAATTAGGGCATTTTGAGTAATTTTGGCACCATTTTTGTCCCTTACAAGGCAGTTACAAGTCCCAAATAAGGAGTTGTAAGGCAAGGTCCGTTGCAAGGCACATTATTTTTTTCCGACAATTATTAGGCAAGGGTTGGGTTGAATTGCGGTTGCTCAATTCTTTCAGACATGTGCCAATGACCTCCACAGGCAAGAACTACGTAAGAACCATGATTAATCACTTCAGTTGAGTAGGATTGCAAAGTTTCGAAGCTTCATGAGTACGAGGGACGCAGCGTAACCTGAGCGCTACGGTCTGCCTCGTACCAGAAAAGGCGTGTGAAAGTTTACCACAAGCGACTCGTCGCGAGCCTCAAGGCTCTTCATCATTACAACTCGGTCAGTCGTCTTCGCAAATTGACTGCCTCTGGCGACTCGTTCAGTCAGTTCATCCTACCATTTTCGCGAGTACTGAAATGGGTCGTACGGCGGTCAAATCCGTCGCACGTGTATATGCGGACGTCAATGCGAAGCTCGGTCCTTCCTGGCACGAATATGGTTGGTTCGGCTTGCATATACAATGGGTCATGTTTGCTGAAGAACAACAGACAACCTACAGGTTCAATGGGGATCTCAAGACCATTATGAGATCGTTCGGAAAGTTGGACGGGGGAAATATTCCGAGGTACGTCGCGCACACATGCGTGGCCGTACGATGTGTTGTTAATCGTTGCAGGTCTTTGAGGGTGTCAACATTGTGAACGAAGAGAAGTGCATCATTAAGGTTCTCAAGCCAGTGAAGAAGAAGAAAATAAAACGAGAGATCAAAATCCTGCAGAACCTGGCTGGAGGACCTAACGTCGTTGCCCTCCTCGACGTAGTCCGAGATCCATCTTCAAAGATTCCCAGCCTAATCACAGAATATGTCCACAATGTAGATTTCAAGGTCTTGTATCCGCGTTTTTTGGACTTTGATGTACGCTTCTACATGCTTGAGCTGCTGAAGGTACGTTACTAGGTCATCACTAGGTCATGCATTTGACAGAACTTGTTTCAGGCCTTGGACTTCTGCCATTCCAAGGGCATAATGCATCGAGACGTCAAGCCTCACAACGTCATGATAGATCATGACCGTCGGAAGGTATGTCTTGCCACATTAAAGTTTTGGTGTGATCAACTTGTCCTCTTGAGCAGCTGCGACTGATAGACTGGGGGTTGGCGGAGTTTTACCACCCGAAGACAGAGTACAACGTTCGAGTTGCCTCGCGGTACTTCAAGGGTCCAGAGCTACTAGTGGACTTCCAAGAATACGATTACAGCCTGGACATGTGGAGCTACGGCTGTATGTTTGCATCTATGGTATGTTCAACATTGTTCTAGACAGCTCATCTACTGATTGCACCACAGATCTTCCGCAAGGAACCCTTCTTCCATGGGCATGACAATTACGACCAACTAGTCAAGATCACAAAAGTGCTAGGCACCGAAGGTCTTTACCACTACGTAGAAAAATACGATATAGCCCTTGATCCTCAGTATGACGATATTCTCGGAAGGTCAGTCGAAGTCTGGTTACTAATTTAAGTGTATATTCACCGATTTGGCTGCAGCTACCCAAAAAAACCGTGGTCGCGGTTCATCACATCAGAGAACCAGCGTTACATTTCGAACGAAGCGATCGACTTCCTGGATAAGCTGCTACGCTACGACCACCAGGAACGCCTCACTGCAAGGGAAGCACAGATGCACCCGTACTTTGGTACGTATTGATGGAATGGCTGTGATATTACTGCTTGTCATTGACGTACATTTCAGATCCTGTTAGAAACGCTGCGCTGCGCGACGGTGACAGTGAAGGGTCAGCGGCGTAGCAAGAGACGGTTCTTTCCAGAGATAGGCTCGATCGACGATTCAAACTGGTTTTGAGCCTGTTCATTTGTATACCGCTGTAGTATTCTGGATATGGTGCTGTACTGCATACATGTAATTAGAACGTGTTCGGTGGTACGTTGTACGCTAGAATATCTGACTAAACGAGGAGCAACCTCTGAGACTCGGAGAGTCGAGATGATACCACGTGGTTATCGTGCGTACTCTATCTATGTACGGATCGAGACGGTTATCTCGGCCCTGATCAAGTCCTGATTGAGATTCCTCGTGGCGATCTTTAGCACTCGTCTCTTCAACCTGATGCTCTACTTCGGTAGGCGGTCGATATGCAGCTATGCACCATATGTCTCCAGTGCGTGCGTATCAAATTCCCCTCTTGTTCTTCCCTCTCCTCGCTATGAAAACGCGCAGTCCGCTTCTCAACCGCGTGTCTCCCAGCGTGTTTGGGCGGTGTTCTCCCACAGCGTGATATCCTCGCTGACTCGGACTGGACGGGGGCGACCACGAGCTATTTGTGCATATCAGCTTCCGTCCTTCTCAGTACTTCATGTGTCTGCGATGAAAACGGGCGTCAGGATTCACGCACGGATCGCGGCGCGCTGCAAGGTTATAAACGCTTTCCCCGCGCGAGAAACATCTCGTTTATCCCGCCCGCCCGTTCGCCTTCCCCGCTCTGGATAACAGGATGTCCTCCTTATCCCTCCGTATATTGTGTGCCTTCGTGCTTTCGTTGAGCTTGAATCTTCTCGGAGTTGCCGCGTTCGACATCAGTTTGTATGACAATGTGAGTGCTGCCCATGCATGCCAACGATCTAGTAGCGTTATACTGAACGTGTTGTTCAGGTTGCGGTGTAAGTGTAGGGACCCTGCGTCGATCATGACCATGTACTGACGTGTGGCAGATACTGGGGCCAAGACTCTTACGGCGCAACCCATACGTATGCTGCTCAACAGCCGATATCCTACTACTGCCAGGTAAATGATTCTCGTATGTTCATTGGATCTTTGCGCTGCTCATCCCTAGTATACAGGATGATGCGATCGACGTAATCCCGATTGCGTTTGTGGACACCTTCTTCGGCACTGGAGGCCTCCCGGAACTCAACCTGGCCAATGTGGGTGCCCATCAATTTACATCATATGTTATCGCCCACTTTAGCTGATGAAACACAGACATGCAACGCCACAGTTAATGGGTATTACAGCGGTACTGAGCTGCTGAACTGCACCTATTTGGCATCCGATATCGAATACTGTCAATCTCAGGGTAAGGCTGTAACTATCAGCCTCGGAGGTGCTGGGGGCGGCGTTGGTTTCTCGAATGATAGCGAGGCTCAGACCTTCGCGGACACTATCTGGAATACCTTCTTGGGAGGCTCGAGTTCGACGCGGCCATTTGGCAGCGCTGTCCTTGACGGGTACGTGTTCCCATATGGTGTTGCCTTTTTCCTGCTGATAATATTTTTAGTGTTGACCTGGATATCGAGGGTGGCTCTACCACTGGGTATGCAGCCTTCGTCACTCAGCTCCGCACGTATTTCACTGGGGCAAGCAAACAGTCAGTTTCTAGACGCCGGCTTTGGTCCGGAAGCGTTCGTCCATGGCTAACATGGCTCGCAGATACTACGTGTCCGCTGCTCCTCAGTGCGTCTATCCTGATGCGTACATTGGTCTTGCGCTGGACGATGCGTATTTTGACGCGGTTTATGTTCAATTCTGTGTGTACCTTCTCGGATCATGATGCATTTGTACTGATACCGAGCCCATTTTTCCCCAGACAATAACCCTTGCGGTCTTCAGAACTTTGATGATGCGTCTGTCAGTAAGAGCGTGTTGTGTACGTACAAGTCGGCGATGGACTGACGTTTGACCATCTCTCCAGGGATGGAATTTCGGTATATGGTGCGTGGATCTGCTGCATTTGACGCAATTTGGCGATACCCATAGTTTCACAAACTAGGGATATCTGGGCGCGCACGATCAGTCCCAACCCGAACGTCAAGGTATATATCGGGGCTCCCGCGTCGAGCACAGCAGCGGGCACCGGGTACCAGAATATCTCGACCCTTTCCTCCATCGCGATCACGACGCGCAACTCCTTCCCCTCCTTCGGTGGGGTGATGCTCTGGGATGCCTCGCAGGCCTACGGTCAGTGCATCGATATCTTCACTTTTTTCCCGCCAGCCGACGGCTGTGCTCATGCGGGCCCGACGCGTAGAGAACGATCGGTATGACCTTGCTATCAAGAACGCGCTCGTCGGTGCGGGCGCTACTGGCTTCACGTACCCCGCGTGCTCTGCGCCCGCATGGGAAAGCGGGGTGGGATATTCGGGCGGTTCACAGGTGTCGTACAACGGGTGTGTTGACCCTGCTGCACCATTAGCTTGTGCGCCTGACTTAAGTTGTGTTGCAGTTACATCTGGGAGGTGGGTATCGACACTCTCCTGGCGATTTATTCTGATGGTGCTTGCAGGCGAAGTACTATGCCTCGGACGAACCGTCCAACAATGCCAACGGCGACTGGAATCCTAGTGAGCCAATTTCGTGTAATCTACGTGTGTCTCAGCTGACGCTCCACCACCAGTCAGCGCATGCACGGGCACGGCCCCGTCCTCCACGGCGAGCGGCACTAGCGCGACGGCGAGCCAGACGGGTACCTCGGGCGGCTCGTGCGCGGGCATCGCGGAGTGGTCGAGCAGCGTCGCATACACCGGCGGCGAGCAAGTGCAGTACAAGTGCGTCGTCCGTCCCCGCAACAGCCCGCCGTGTTGAGGCTGACGCGCGGGCGCCCTCCTTGCACCGCTAGCGGCGAGCTGTGGACAGCGCAGTACTGGACTGAGGGCGATACCCCTGGCGGTGAGCGCAGCACGGCACGATCCTCTCGGTGGCTTTGCTGATGGGAGTGCTTTCTGTTTTTGCACCGCGGGTGGGAAGGCACTGCGGGCGTGTGGACCCTCGTCGGCCCGTGCACGTCGTCGTCGTCTAGTACGGCTGCAGCAGCTGTTGCCGCAAGGGCCACTCCAGCTCCGGAGCTGAAGAGCGCGAACTCGAACTCGCGGTTCTTCCGTCTGTGACGGTCCCCGCGGTTGTACTTATTGTAAGTAACGGGTAGCCCGGAGTGCTGCGGATGGACACAGGCCGCCCTTCGATTTTCCGCGCCCGCCAAGTATGGGATCCCGGCCGAAGCAGCCTCCTCGACGTTATCGACACGATTTTTTTATGACTTTTTATGTTTTTATGGTGGAGTGTACGGCGGACCTGATCGTTGTTGTACGTTTGCTTGTCGGGGGGTTATCACGATCGTCCATGTTGTACTTCACACAATGTGCTTTGTAGACGGGCTTATCGCGGATACGAATTCGTGATTGTTCTCCTGGACGAGGCGCGCATGCGGATGCGACTGCGAAGCCTTGGTGGTATTTTCGTGTGGGGACGAGATGCGCGTGGGCCAATGCAGTCGCGCTGCGCTCCACTGCGTCGTTCTGCTTCGGCCGTTCTGGTCGTTCAATTTTCGCCTTCCAGCATTCAACGGCGCGTTGAGGGCCGGTCGCAGTTGGGCCTGCGACCAAAAGCGGACTGGGCAGAACTCGCCAACGGGTGGGTGAATGAACGAATGAATGAATGGACGGACGTCTGATCATGAAGGGTCGACTAAATGGTCGGACGGATTAGCTCAGAGATTCCATGCAGAACCCGCAGAGGGCAGACGAAGTTCAGAGTCCAGGTTCCCAAAAACCCAAGGATGCAAGAACGTCCGTCGGGTGCAGAATAAATACATAATAAGCTTACACGGCGCAGAATTCGGACCGCACAGTGCGGAGTGCACCATTACCCAATCCACGGTGGAATTCGAACGCAAGGAGGGGGGGAGTGGCTTCGCGACGCCGGCCTCCCAGCCAGCGTGCGAGCCTCGAGGCGGGATTCGAGGGGCCCCGTACAGTGTAGCCGCTATCAGGCCTGGTCTCGAGCCCAGGGGAGCAGGCCCGCGACCCTGCCGAGCGTGCGCGTGAGGGCCAAGGGTGGCACCTTGCTACCTATCGCGGGCGAAGCTCGGGCGGCACTCGAGAGGTCGAGATGCGCAATTGATTACAGTGAGTGGCGCAATGAACAATGAATTCGAACAGGGTTTTCGGGACCGGGAGAAGTAGACGCACCAGTGTATGGCGCGCAGGGACACGGGGGTACTGCTTCGAATTCGCCAAGTCGCGGTTAGCGCTGCCGCGGATCAGTCATCAGCAAAAGTGCACTTCTGTTACCATCGGTTACATAGCATCGTAATCTAGGAAATTCGTTACAACACTCGAAATTATTGAGCAAAGTTGTAATGGATTGTAACTTCTCTACGGTGGTTCCGAACTTTTCTCAATGTCTTAAAATTTTCGGTAATCCATTCGCAATGAACATAATCTATTCCGAATGCACGGAATACTTGGGACTTATTAAAATGGATTCCGAGCTTTATAAGGTATCGTAACAGTGGTGACACCCGGGGAAAAATTACAATGGCTGTATGGATAATCTTGTTTGTAGCCGGCAGGGCACAGTACGAGAAATGCAGTAATCATTGTACAATATTACATATGACAGGTGTGAGTACAAACATAGAGTCCATGAAGTTCACATGATCCCAGAACTCCGAACAGAGCAGGAGCACAGCGCGCAAGACGAGAAGGAGCACGAAAGCCGAACACCACACTGGCACAAAGAGGGCAAGAGAAGTGAGTATCCGGAGACCGAGGCAACGCACGAAGGACATAAGCAGTCGAGACGCAACAAGAAAGCACAGTTAGTGAGGAGCAGCAATGTCGACAAGGAGAGGGAGCAAAGGTGAACATTGATGGCCGATCAGAACGTCCTGGAGAGAGGCAGTGTTACGCGGCAGCGAAACACGAGCGTCAAGTCAAGTCGTCACGAGACAAGGTCTTAGTCTAAGACACAAGTCCGTTCAAGAGACACTTCTGGCGATGTCTGTTGGAGGCTCCGGGATGACCTTATTAGGCAATCCGGAGCATCCAGGTAGTCGGGCGATATTCCCCGATATCTTATTCAGCATCGAAGGATACAGTAGCTACGAGAACTATGTAGTATGTTCTGGACTAGTCTACTGGTGTAGTATATAAGGAGGGACCTCTCGCAGGTCCCAGTAATAATATCTCTTCCCCAATCACTCACTCGGAGGAATTCATACGAGCTGCGCTAATAGGTTATGAGCCTCGCTAGCTTATAGCTTATACTTTACCAGCTTCTATTTACTTGTTACACACTCTGACTATCGGTAGTTACAATGTCGAGTACTACTGAATCTCGTGACAGCCTGTCGTCCTTGTTCTGAATCGAGCAACTTCGCGATGACAACTGGCTCCCATGGAAGCGCCGTACTATGGCGATCTTGAGGGAGCGCGGTGTCTTGAAATATGTCGATGGAACATTGGAGAAGCCGAAGCCGGCAAATGCAACAACACCAATGGCAGGAGAAACGGCGGCGATCACGAAATGGGTTGAGGGCGATCAAAAAGCCCAGACCGTTATCGAGCTGCTGTTGAGCGACTCGCAGATGATACACATTGCGGACGCTACAACGGCTGTGGAGATGTGGAACCAATTGAAGTTAGTAAAGGAGGCGAGTGGACAACTGGGGATAATGGCATACCGAAGGAAATTCTATCGCACAGTTGCCACGGAAGGCAGCGATATCGCAGCGCATATCACGGAGCTCCGCCGGACACAGGAGCAGCTACACATGATGGGTAGCAAGGTGTCGGATGACGAATTTTGAACGATCCTGATCACATCGTTACCGGAGTCTTGGGACCAGTTCACATCTGCGTACCTGGGTGCAACAACCCAGAAGGACAAGTTGCCGACATTGCATGAATTGATAGCCATCTTGCTGGAAGAATACCGGCACCAGTGAGAGAAAGGTGGTGCCGACGAGTCTGCGCTGGCAGCACGCGGGCGGTGGACCCAGCCGAAGAATACCGCACAGGGTGGAACGGACAGGAAGTCCGACATGGAGTGCTGGAATTGCCATAAGCATGGACACACTCAACATGAGTGTTGGTCGAAAGGCGGCAGCATGGCGGGTCAGGGACCGCGAAGCAAGAAAGGCGGCCGTGCGCAGGTGCGCACGAACCAGGCACAGTCAACGAACAATGTGCTGTGAGATGTCGCATTCCACACAGACGAGGCGATCTGTGCCGGGCAACAATTTAGTAGTCAGTTCTCGCGTTATGACTGGCTAGCTGACTCTGGAATGACATCACATGTTACGAACCTTCGTGACACGATGACAGATTATGTGCCGCTTGAGGCCTCGTTGATTGCCGGGATCGGAGACCAGAGTGTGCGCGCTCTCGGGCGTGGCACTGTGGAAGTCAATAGCAGGATCAGAGGCAACACATGTACTTTTCGCTTGAAAGATGTCCTGTACGCACCGAAAGCGACAAATAATTTGGTGTCGCTGAGCCGCCTGGATGAAGCGGGTGGACACTTTGATGGCGGTGCCGGAGGAATAATGCTGTGAGAAAGCAGCAGCCACATCATCGCGCAAGGCCGAAAAGTCGGCCGATTGTACTTGCTCAACATGCGGGCCAAGGCTGCTATGCCGAGTGAAGAGCGCACGAACATTGCGCGCGACGATAGCGACTCGTGGGAGTCGTGGCACCGGAGATATGGACACCTGGGATTCACAGGGTTAGAGAAGCTCTACAAGGAAAACTTGGTGGAGGGACTCACCATTGATGAAAACTCGATGCCACTGACACAGTGCGAAGCCTGCATTCAAGCCAAACAGGCGCGCCGTGCATATCCGAAGGAGGCAGAGGACTGAACCCAGATGCCAGGCGAGCTGACGCACAGCGACGTCTGGGGCCCTGCACATATAGCGTCGATTGCCGGATCGCGATACTACATATCATCCACGGATGACTGCACACGGAGGTGCCAAGTACTGTTTATGAAGCATAAGAGTGAGGCTTTCGAGAAAGTCAAAGAATACCTCACCTTTATTGAACGACACTTCGGGCACCTGCCGAAGATATTGCGCATCGATAATGGGTCCGAATACATTAATAAGGACCTGAAGGGATGGTGCCGTGAGAAGGGAATTGAGCTGTAAACGACAGCACCATACTCACCTTCGCAGAATGGTGTAGCTGAGCGATTTAATTGCACACTATTGGAGCTTGCTCACGCAATGTTGATTGCGAGGAAGCTTCCAAACTTCCTCTGGGTGGAAGCTGTTGCATACGCAGCATACCTGCGAAATCGAGCGCCGACGAAAGCACTGCGCGGGAAAACTCCGGAAGAGACATGGACGGGCAAGAAGCCCAATGTCGCGCACCTAAGAGAATTTGGGTCAGATGTCTGGATACTGACGGAAGGCCAGAATCTCTCAGAACTCGAGCCAAAGTCGAAGAAACACACCTTTGTAGGTTTTGCTGATGGCCCGAAGGCTGTGCACTACTACGATGTGGGTGCGTGCTCGATCCGAGTCTCGCGAAATTTTGTATTTGCGGATGCCCCGAACCCAGCAAGCAATGTTCCTGTACATCAGCTTAATGACAGTGACAGGCTGCCGCTCGAGGGGGAGTCAGGGGGAGCTGTCAAGCAGCAGCCTCCCACATCTGCATCAAAACCAGCATCAGTACCTGTCAAAGCTGATCAGTCTAACAAGAAACACGATGGAAACTACATTACAGAGGAAGACTTACCTCCCGAGATACAGGAAAGCATGCGAGAGCGACTGACATTCTTGCCTGCACCCCCGAAGATCCCTCTTCGTCGTACGACCCGCGCTACGCAGGACCACAACTATCGAAGGATGGATAACCCCCGCGCGCAGCCCGCGAAGTCGCGCGAGCTGCCGGGAGTGCCAAAAGAGAACACACCTGATGAGAGTGCGAAAGTCGCCGTGACACCCGAAGAATTTGAAGAGATCGTGCAGGCGCTGTATGCGACAGCGCTGGCATCAGGCGACAGAACGGCGAGTGCGGGAGATGAGCCGCGAAGCCTCGCGGAGGCCCAAGCCTCTCCAGAATGGCCAGAATGGGAAAAAGCTGTAAAAGCAGAATATGATCAGCTGCAGGGCATGGGGACTTGGGAGCTACAAGACTTACCAAAAGATCAAAATGCTGTGGGCTGCAAGTGGGTCTTCCAGAAGAAAACTAACAAGGAGGGTCAGGTTGTCAAGTACAAAGCCAGATCGGGGATAGATTTCCTTGAAACCTTTGCCCCTGTAGTTCGTCTTGAGTCCATCAGGGCCATCCTAGCATTAGCAGCAGTCAATCACTGGGAAATTGGCCAGATGGATGTCAAGGGAGCTTACCTGAATGGAGACCTCCAGGAGGAGATCTACATGCGACAGCCGGAAGGCTTCGATGATGGAAGTGGATGTGTTTGTTGACTCTGCAAGACGCTCTATGGACTAAAGCAGTCCGGGCGCGAATGGAACCGCAAGCTGCACCGTGAGCTGACGGAGCTCGGGTATAAGCGACTGGAGGCGGATCCGTGTGTATACCTGCGGGAGCAAAAAGGAGAAGTTCAGATTATTACAGTATGGGTGGATGACTTACTGTTATTCACCAACTCTCCGAAGCTCATGGAGGAGCTCAAGCACGACCTGCGGGACCTCTTCGAAGTCACGGACCTTGGTGAGCCGCAGAAAATCGTTGGGATTGAAATCGAGCGAGATAGGAAAGCGGGAAAAATCCAAATCTCACAACAGCACTACATCGAGAGCATTCTCAAGCGATACCAGCTTGAGAACGCCAACGCTGTAGGGATGCCGCTCGATCCGAATGTGGCATTCACGGCAGAGGACGAGAACGAGGAGGTGGACGACCGTTTGGCAGGAGGTTACGCGTCGATGGTGGGATCGCTGATGTATGCAGCAGTGGGAACAAGGCCAGATATTTCCTACGCTGTGCAGACACTGAGCAAATATACAGTGTGCCCACGATCTGTCCATTGGACAGCGGCAAAACGTGTTCTACGGTACCTCGCAGGAACACGTGACTTGTGTGTCACGTACACGTGATGCGATTCGGACGCGCTGAACGGAAATATAATAGGAGGATATACGGACGTGGATTATGCATCAGACCATGACCGAAAATCAGTCTCGGGTCATGTCTTTTACTTGGGAGGTGGAGCCGTAGCATGGAGTTCGAAGAAACAAACAACAACGGCAACATCTTCGACAGAAGCCGAGTATACAGCACTCGCGCACGCGACATGTCAAGCAATATGGCTGTGAAACTTACTGGCAGAACTCGGGTTTGCACAAGAAGAACTCACAGAAATTTATTGTGATAACCAGGCAGCGATCGCGATAGCACGTGACCCGCAGTATCACGTGCGGTCGAAGCACTTTGACGTGCAGAATCATTTCGTGCGCGAAAAGGTGGAAAATGGCATTATTCAATTGTGCTACTGTCCCACAGATGAGATGGTAGCAGATGTATTTACTAAGGCCCTACCCAAGCCTAAGCACCAAAAGTTCATATTGGAACTCGGGATGCTTCCGGCTTGAGGGGGAGTGTTGGAGGCTCCAGGATGACCTTATTAGGCAATCCGGAGCATCCAGGTAGTCGGGCAATATTCCCCGACATCTTATTCAGCATCGAAGGATACAGTAGCTATGAGAACTATGTAGTATGTTCTGGACTAGTCTACTGGTGTAGTATATAAGGAGGGACCTCTCGCAGGTCCCAGTAATAATATCTCTTCCCCAATCACTCACTCGGAGGAATTCATACGAGCTGCACTAATAATGTCCTTGCACTGAAGGTCGATCAGAGTTCATTCTTATGACTCGCAGTAGCTGTCTGCTACTAACAGTCGAGCTCAGTCAAAGGCAAGTGAAAAGCTGGTTTAATGGTAACCAGGTCAAGATAAGGATCCAGCTCGACGAGGTCGTCTACTTATACAAAAGGTATCTGCAGTACTACACAGTAATACGGGATCGTTCATTGGCTGGATAAGGTGAAACGATGTCTGGGCAAGGTAACAGCGAGGAAGTAATATGTATGGGAAAGCTGAGTAAGATCATGAGAGATAATCAGTACTAATGGGGATAACAAGTCGTGTATCAGAATGAGGTAAAGATGAGGCATACATGCACGTCCTGCATATGTGATAAGGAGACGGTCCGGAGTTGGATCCGGTGTAACCCTAGACTAGGGGTTCTGGTCATCTGGACAGAAAATTGGAGGTTGCGCTCCGATGAGTCACGTGTTGGATCACGTGGTCTGGTAAAGTAAAGGGAATGAAGAAAGGAAAAAGGAAAAGACGTGCCACAAGTGAGGAGCATTATAACACTGTGGCATGTGCAGCGGCATCTGTCATCCAAATTGTCCTTGTGTTGGAGCATCCACTACTGGCTTCCGGACAACGGCGGTGACGAGCGGGTTGAGTTTGCAAGCACGGAAGTATAGGAGTCCATAGTCAGGATCACTTAGGGACATGTGATTCAATTGCTTGACCAAGTCTTCCACTTCTTCTTTCTCATGTACCACTGGTCGTTTCCGTGATAACTTCGTCTTTGGCTTCTTAACTTCTGGTTCATCGTCTGATGAATTATCCACTCGCTTTGATGATCATTTCTTTGTGCTTCACTTCTTCTTCTTATCCTTGCGCTTCCTTCGATGTGTTTCTTCGGCACTAGATCAGTCCTCTGAGTCACTTGAATTGTCATCCAAATCCGAATCATCTGAGTCATCACTCGAGTCTTCGTCTTCTGAGGGCAGTCGGTCCTGGTCGAATCAATTGCGCTGCAGAATGGTTTCTGCTTTCATGCATATGCTGCTCATGCTGAACAGGATAGACATGTCATGGTTGGGGTCTGCAGCAAGCAAGCGTGGTTCCAGGTCTTGATGGAAAGTGCGGGGAATCCCTTTCCAGAAATAAAGGGACTGTTCGACTTCCGAAATGCGTCCACAATTCACTAGCCATCCAGAGACTGTGAGGAAGTTCCTCGAGTATTCCCGCCATGCACCTAGGTTCTTGATAGTAGGTTTCCGACGTGATTCTTTGACCAAGGCTTCAAGGTCCTTGACCTTATATTGCCTCTTATCTCAGTCCGCATTGTAGAATGTGAGAACGTCTCTCTTGAAGGCATTCCAGTCTGGTGTGACGTAGGCTGGGAGTGATTCCATAAACTGGTGCACACTTTGTGCGCAATACTGCGTGATGTTCTCCACTTGGTCCTCTGCAGTTACAATGTTAAGCTGAGTGCACAGCTGTTCATAATGCTGCAGGAACCTTGCAACTTCTGCATAACATCCTTTAAACTTCTTCGGAGAACCCTTCATTCCCAGAACCGGTAATCCAGTGACGCCAGTCACCATATTGGGCTGCAAAGTGTTGATTGGGTAGAGCTGTAGTGTGGGATAGACTGCCATCTTAACAGGCTTCAGAGGTGTGATTGATATAGCTTCGGGAAACAAGGGTCCTAATCCCTCGTGGTGGGCTCCAGATGTCGACTCGGGGTACGCACGGGCCTTGGCTGGAGGAGCTTTTGACTCCAGGTCAAGTGAGTGGTACTTCGCTGTGGTTCACCGGGCATGGCAAAAGGGAAAGTACGCTGGGATATCACAGTTGTTCATATCAAATTTATGAGAGTGGATTAGGGACGCCTGAGCTATATGTGTGTTTCGTTGTCTGAAGTCGGGATGGTAGTCTGCACAATACAGATGGGGGAGTGTAGAGGGGGATGCCTAGCAACCGTGTGCAAGGGCTTGTGTTCTGTCTTCTTATACAATGCCTACAACCAGTGCAGGGCTTAATGGGTTTTCTTATACAAGGCCTACAACCGGTGCAGGGCTTTCCGAGTCTTTGTCATCTTCTTAAACTGTGTGCCTACAACCGTGTGCAGGGCTTACTGAGTCTTCTGTGATCCTATCCGGTGCCTACAACTGTGTGCAGGGCTTTACCGAGTGCATGTATCCTAATACGATGTGCCTGGCCGATAACTTTCCTACGTGTTGTCCGAGAACTTTCCGAGAACGGTTTAAGTATCTAGCAACTGTGTGCTAGACTATCCAAAAGAAACGATATGAGAGTGCAGTAGTTGTGTTCGTAACAACTCACTGCCTGCGCTGAACTGACTTCGTTGGGATCCTTTTGATTACGAGTAACAATGTTACTGGGAGGAGTGGAATAAACTCCTATTCTTTTAGTTTATCACTTGTAGGGTAAGCTACAAGCGGAGGGAGAACTCTTCACTTATAGGGGTCTACAAGTGGGGAGAGAAGACTTATGCCATCGTCATGATCTGGCATATTCCTATACATCTGTGTCCTGTCTGTTTCTGTGCTATCCATGCTATCCATCTGCATCCTGCTCATCTGCTCTGCTCATCTGCTGGTGCATCCTTTGATTCATGCACTTGTATGTGAGTACAAGTGGGAGGGGTGCAACTCCATTCCTTTTAGCACCCGTGTGACACCTGATATAAGCCTTAGTAGCCTTATCAGTGCATATCGATGCCGAGGCTAATTAGGCTTCGTTCCCTTGTACCCGGGCACCAGCTATAGGACCTGGGTCCCACGTGACCTTAGGCCCCGAGGTCATTCTCCGGCTATTCTGGCTTATGTTGCGCCCCGTGCTATTACTATCCCGCCCTCCCGTCTCGTCTACAGCCCATTCAGTCATGTTTGTGAACTGGACTCCCATTTACCCTGACATTGTCATGAACTGGACAGCCAGCGGACGTCGGCCCATCGGTCTGTGTAAGGAGTTGTAAGCAATCGGCTCATGGCGAGAAAGGAAATGCTGGAGCGATCCGCCCACCGCCATAGGAGTATTTCTGAGCAATCAGCCCACCGCCATAGTGCTACTATTATATAGGCATGGGCCCACCGCCACGGTGATAGTTCTGAGCGATTGGCCCACTGCCATAGGTGTATTTTTGAGCAATCAGCTGACCGCCACTGGGGCTATTACACAGCCATCGGCCAACCACCATAGGTAGTGTTCTGAGTGATGGGCCCACCACCATAGGTAGTGTTCTGAGTGATGGGCCCACTGCCATAGGTAGTGTTCTGGGCGATGGGCCCACCTATTATACAGCCATCGGCCGACCGCATAGGTAGTGTTCTGAGCGATGGGCCCACCACCATAGGTAGTGTTCTGAGCGATGGGCCCACCACCATAGGTATATTTCTGGGTGATGGGCCCACCGCCACTGGGGCTATTATACAGCCATCGGCCGACCGCCATAGGTAGTGTTCTGAGTGATGGGCCCACCACCATAGGTAGTGTTCTGAGTGATGGGCCCACTGCCATAGGTAGTGTTCTGGGCGATGGGCCCACCTATTATACAGCCATCGGCCGACCGCATAGGTAGTGTTCTGAGCGATGGGCCCACCACCATAGGTAGTGTTCTGAGCGATGGGCCCACCACCATAGGTATATTTCTGGGTGATGGGCCCACCGCCACTGGGGCTATCATACAGCCATCGGCCGACCGCCATAGGTAGTGTTCTGAGCGATAGGCCCACCGCCATAGGTAGTGTTCTGAGTGATGGGCCCATCACCACTGGGGCTATTATACAGCCATCGGCTGACCGCCATAGGTAGTGTTCTGAGCGATGGGCCCACCGCCATAGGTAGTGTTCTGAGCGATGGGCCCACCGCCATAGGTAGTGTTCTGAGCGATGGGCCCACCGCCATAGGTATATTTCTGGGTGATGGGCCCACCGCCACTGGGGCTATTATACAGCCATCGGCCGACCACCATAGGTAGTGTTCTGAGCGATGGGCCCACCGCCATAGGTAGTGTTCTGGGCGATGGGCCCACTGCCATAGGTAGTGTTCTGAGCGATGGGCCCATCACCACTGGGGCTATTATACAGCCATCGGCCGACCGCCATAGGTAGTGTTCTGAGCGATGGGCCCACCACCATAGGTAGTGTTCTGAGCGATGGGCCCACCACCATAGGTATATTTCTGGGTGATGGGCCCACCGCCACTGGGGCTATTATACAGCCATCGGCCGACCACCATAGGTAGTGTTCTGAGTGATGGGCCCATCACCACTGGGGCTATTATACAGCCATCGGCCGACCGCCATAGGTAGTGTTCTGAGCGATGGGCCCACCACCATAGGTAGTGTTCTGAGCGATGGGCCCACCGCCATAGGTAGTGTTCTGAGCGATGGGCCCACCACCACTGGGGCTATTATACAGCCATCGGCCGACCGCCATAGGTAGTGTTCTGAGCGATGGGCCCACCACCATAGGTAGTGTTCTGAGCGATGGGCCCACCACCATAGGTAGTGTTCTGAGCGATGGGCCCACCACCATAGGTATATTTCTGGGTGATGGGCCCACCGCCACTGGGGCTATTATACAGCCATCGGCCGACCGCATAGGTAGTGTTCTGAGCGATAGGCCCACCGCCATAGGTAGTGTTCTGAGTGATGGGCCCATCACCACTGGGGCTATTATACAGCCATCGGCTGACCGCCATAGGTAGTGTTCTGAGCGATGGGCCCACCGCCATAGGTAGTGTTCTGAGCGATGGGCCCACCACCATAGGTATATTTCTGGGTGATGGGCCCACCGCCACTGGGGCTATTATACAGCCATCGGCCGACCACCATAGGTAGTGTTCTGAGTGATGGGCCCATCACCACTGGGGCTATTATACAGCCATCGGCCGACCGCCATAGGTAGTGTTCTGAGCGATGGGCCCACCACCATAGGTAGTGTTCTGAGCGATGGGCCCACCGCCATAGGTAGTGTTCTGAGCGATGGGCCCACCGCCATAGGTATATTTCTGGGTGATGGGCCCACCGCCACTGGGGCTATTATACAGCCATCGGCCGACCGCATAGGTAGTGTTCTGAGCGATGGGCCCACCACCATAGGTAGTGTTCTGAGCGATGGGCCCACCACCATAGGTATATTTCTGGGTGATGGGCCCACCGCCACTGGGGCTATTATACAGCCATCGGCCGACCGCCATAGGTAGTGTTCTGAGCGATAGGCCCACCGCCATAGGTAGTGTTCTGAGTGATGGGCCCATCACCACTGGGGCTATTATACAGCCATCGGCTGACCGCCATAGGTAGTGTTCTGAGCGATGGGCCCACCGCCATAGGTAGTGTTCTGAGCGATGGGCCCACCGCCATAGGTAGTGTTCTGAGCGATGGGCCCACCGCCATAGGTATATTTCTGGGTGATGGGCCCACCGCCACTGGGGCTATTATACAGCCATCGGCCGACCACCATAGGTAGTGTTCTGAGCGATGGGCCCACCGCCATAGGTAGTGTTCTGGGCGATGGGCCCACTGCCATAGGTAGTGTTCTGAGCGATGGGCCCATCACCACTGGGGCTATTATACAGCCATCGGCCGACCGCCATAGGTAGTGTTCTGAGCGATGGGCCCACCACCATAGGTAGTGTTCTGAGCGATGGGCCCACCACCATAGGTATATTTCTGGGTGATGGGCCCACCGCCACTGGGGCTATTATACAGCCATCGGCCGACCACCATAGGTAGTGTTCTGAGTGATGGGCCCATCACCACTGGGGCTATTATACAGCCATCGGCCGACCGCCATAGGTAGTGTTCTGAGCGATGGGCCCACCACCATAGGTAGTGTTCTGAGCGATGGGCCCACCGCCATAGGTAGTGTTCTGAGCGATGGGCCCACCACCATAGGTATATTTCTGGGTGATGGGCCCACCGCCACTGGGGCTATTATACAGCCATCGGCCGACCACCATAGGTAGTGTTCTGAGCGATAGGCCCACCGCCATAGGTAGTGTTCTGAGTGATGGGCCCATCACCACTGGGGCTATTATACAGCCATCGGCTGACCGCCATAGGTAGTGTTCTGAGCGATGGGCCCACCATCATAGGTAGTGTTCTGAGCGATGGGCCCACCACCATAGGTATATTTCTGGGTGATGGGCCCACCGCCACTGGGGCTATTATACAGCCATCGGCCGACCACCATAGGTAGTGTTCTGAGCGATAGGCCCACCGCCATAGGTAGTGTTCTGAGTGATGGGCCCATCACCACTGGGGCTATTATACAGCCATCGGCTGACCGCCATAGGTAGTGTTCTGAGCGATGGGCCCACCATCATAGGTAGTGTTCTGAGCGATGGGCCCACCGCCATAGGTAGTGTTCTGAGCGATGGGCCCACCGCCATAGGTATATTGCTGGGTGATGGGCCCACCACCACTGGGGCTATTATACAGCCATCGGCCGACCGCATAGGTAGTGTTCTGAGCGATGGGCCCACCACCATAGGTAGTGTTCTGAGTGATGGGCCCACCGCCATAGGTATATTTCTGGGTGATGGGCCCACCGCCACTGGGGCTATTATACAGCCATCGGCCGACCACCATAGGTATATTTCTGGGTGATGGGCCCACTGCCACTGGGGCTATTATACAGCCATCGGCCGACCACATAGGTAGTGTTCTGAGCGATGGGCCCACCGCCATAGGTAGTGTTCTGGGCGATGGGCCCACCGCCATAGGTAGTGTTCTGAGCGATGGGCCCACCGCCACTGGGGCTATTATACAGCCATCGGCCGACCACCATAGGTAGTGTTCTGAGCGATGGGCCCACCGCCATAGGTGGTGTTCTGAGCGATGGGCCCATCACCACTGGGGCTATTATACAGCCATCGGCCGACCGCCATAGGTGGTGTTCTGAGCGATCGGCCCACTGCCATAGGTATATTTCTGAGCGATCGGCCCACCGCCATGATGCTATTATACAGCCATCGGCCCACCGCCACCGTGGTAGTACTGAGCGATCGGCCGACTGCCAGGGGGTAAGTTCTGAGCTATCAGCCGACCACCTCGGGGCTACTATACAGCCATCGGCCCACCACCATAGGTAGTGTTCTGAGCAATGGGTGTTATTCTGAGCAGTGGGCCCACCGTCATAGGGGTACTTCTGAGCAGTGGGCCCATCACCATAATGCTATTATTTAGTGATGGGCTGACCGCCATAGGGGTACCTCTGAGCAGTGGGCTCACCGACATGGTGTTATTAGTCAGTGATTGATTCACCATTATAATGCTGGCAGTGCCTGGACTCAGCAAGACACCTAATCGCTAACCTGACACTACATCTCTGGTGGAGTTTTTACAACATGGAGTCCTGCCTGAAACTTATTGTAGCTGTCATATAGAGTGCAGTGCCACCATTTTATGAGTTCCTGATATATGGCGAACCATGGCTTTACATTCTAGTGATGGCGAGACTCAAGCTGCCAAAAAGTCGCCAACCTGGCTGTTGTTACGCGGCAGCGAAACACGAGCGTCTAGTCGAGTCGTCACGAGACAAGGTCTTAGTCTAAGACACAAGTCCATTCAAGTGACACTTCTGGCGATGTCCTCGCACTGAAGGTCGATCAGAGTTCGTTCTTATGACTCGTAGTAGCTGTCTGCTACTGACGGTCGATCTCAGTCAAAGGCAAGTGAAAAGCTGGTTTAATGGTAACCAGGTCGAGATGGGGATCCAGCTCGACAAGGTCGTCTACTTATACAAAAGGTATCCGCAGTACTACGCAGTAATGCAGGATCGTTCATTGGCTAGATAAGGTGAAACGATGTCTAAGCAGGGTAACAGCGAGGAAGTAATATGTATGGGAAAGCTGAGTAAGGTCGTGAGAGATAATCAGTACTAATGGGGATAACGAGTCGTGTATCAGAACGAGGTAAAGATGAGGCATACATGCACATCTTGCATGTGCGATAAGAAGAAGGTCCGGAGTTGGATCCGGTGTAACCCTAGACTAGGGGTTCTGGACATCTGGATAAAGAATCGGAGGTTGCGCTCCGATGAGTCATGTGTTGGATCACGTGGTCTGGTAACGTAAAGGGAACAAGGAAAAGAAAAAGAAAAGATGCGCCACAAGTGAGGAGCGTTGTAACATCAGCTCCCGTCTAATGTTTCTTGTCCTACAAGAAATATTGTGATCTTCATCGTCGTCGGGGGCAGTCGTGGACATAATGATCTCCTCCACATCTGTAGCATGTCCGCCGGCTGGTTCGTGATCCTTGTTCAGGGATACGTCCATCCCTGTAGGGATGACTGCGACGCGAAGAAGTGGATGTGGTCGAGAAAGATGGTTGGGATAACGGAGATCGTCCACTGGGTATGTGCGAACGAGGAGGGCGAGGTCGAACAGGAATTGGTTCTGGCGACGAGCGAGGAGTGGATGCGGGTATTCCATTAGTGGTGTATCTGAGGATGTGTCCGATGTCTTCGTCCCCATGCTCCCTCCAAATCTCCTGTGCTGTACGAGTGACTGTACTGTGCATTAATGACCAGACTTGGTCGACTCTGGTTCGGGCTCTACTCGTCCTTTCCTCTGCTGCGATGAGCTCTTGTCTGGCCGTCTGCATCCACTTGACCATTTCTAATGCTCGTTGCATGGAAACCACCGCTTGTCGATCTTGCGGGCGATTTCGTAAGGCGACGAGGATATCTGTGAAGTCGACAGGAACACGGATAGCCGAGACCAGACGTGTGGCAAATTCTTGTTCGTCCGATGCGTGACTGAGTTCGATAGAAGGTGAGGGCGATGAGGCGCGGATAAAGGGTGTCTGTGCTCGAGAGGGTACTCCATTGACAAGCGTAGGCGATGCGGGTATGCTCATAATTGTGGAGGCGACTTCAGCGAGTATATTGTGAACAAGGTCGTCTATAGCGGAAGTGGGCATTGATGATATATCGTCTTCTCCTCCTTTTATACCTTTCGGTCGTTAAGGGGATCGCGGTTATCTGTGATGTGAAATAGAATGTCGTGGATTCGGGTAATAATCAAATAGATGAAAATCCATTGGACGATAAAGAGTATTCCCACAGAGATAAGAGCTGCCTGATCAGTTCCAGGCATTGTTCTGATCACCCCAGCCGTTAGCGTGCGGGCTGTCTCGCATGAAGAGTGTGTGTTCGACAAGTCGTCTGATAAGGATTCAGTGGATGATCCAAAGAAAAGTGAGGGTTGTGCAGTGGAGGACGATTAGGAAGATGATGAGGAAAACTGTCGTGGTAGTCATTCCGGGTTTCTTCTCCTCTACTGGATTCTCCTGGTCCTTTTATATGCATCGAGGATTCGCTTGGCATTCTGTAAATTGTGGGTAGGTTCCCACAAGTTCTCTGCTGAAGAATATCCCTTCCACTTGACTAAGTACCTCAGATGACCTTGGTACATCTTGTGATTCAGGATGGCTTCGACTTCGTACTCTTCTTCGTTATCAATGACATCAGGTGGTGGGTTCACGTAATTCGGACCATGTATGTCATTTTCGCGATAAGGAGATAGAAGGGCGGCGTGGAATACGGAATGAACTCTTCAGGTCTTCGGGAGTTTGAGACGATAGTTGGCTGGTCCGATGACTTCGACAATTTCGAATGGCCCCTCACGCTTTGGTGCTATCTTGCGCGAGGCGTAATTGACCTTCAGGTTCCTCGAGTCTAGCCAGACCTTCTGTCCTAGTGTAAACTTCGGCGATCCTTGTCTGACTCGGTCCGCCATCTGTTGTCGGGCTAACTCGTGCATGGCTAGTGCTTCTAGTCTTATCTTCTGCAACATGTCAAGCCTGGATTCAACCGATGGAATGTTCGTGGTCGGAAATACGGAAGGGAGTCCACGTGGTTCGTATCCCATCATGATGTGGAATGGGCTCATCTTCCGTGCCGAGTGTTCCCTTGTGTTATGACAAAACTCGAGGTCTGGCAGGCGGTCGGCCCATGTTTCAGAGTTGTTTCCGCAATAGAGTCGAAGATAGATTTCCAGCTCCTGGTTGACTCGCTCTGTTTCTCCGTCCGTCTGAGGGTGATAAGCTGTGCTCATTGATGATCTGATCTGGAGTAGTCGATTTAACTCTTGGAAGACCTTGGATGCGTATTGAGGTCCTCTATCCGAGATGATTCGGTTGGGTAATCCAAATCGCGAGTATACTTTGTCATGAAAAATCTTGGCCGTTCCTTCGGCTGTGATTGTTTTGAGGCAGGGCGTAAGAATCACCCCCTTCGTAAGGTCATGGTCTACTACGACCATAATTGAATCAAAACCGTTGGAAACGGGGAGGTCAGTAATAAAATCGGTGGTGCAACAGGAAAATGGTAATGCGTGTGGGTCAGCGAGAATTGGTTCCAAAGGAATACGAGTTGGATGAGTATTCGGTTTCATTTGTTGACAGGCGGCACAACCTTCAACATAATTGTAGACAAATGTATACATGCCGGGCCACCAGAATTCACGACGTAACAGTTCAAGAGTATTGAACTTTCCAGGGTGACCCATGGCAGGGGAGTCGTGATGTAGTCGAACGAGGTCACGACGAAGAGTTTCGGATGGTGGAACGTAAATCTTTCCCTTGTAGAGGATGACACCATCGCGAACTTCCCAGTCGGAAAGCGATGATTTCATGGGGAATGGCCCTTTGTGCGCAATCGCTTTGAGGGCTTCGTGAACAATGAGGTCTTTTGCTGCGTGATTCCTGATTTCGTCGAATAGTGTCGGGGAAATGGATCGCACGAATAGTGCGTTGGGTAAAAGAATGCGATCTTCGTTGTCACTTTCACTGTCATCGAGTCCATTACGACGAGAGAGCGCATCAGATTGGATCATCTGAGTGCCAGGGACATGGATGAGGTGAAGATCAAATTGTGATAATTTGAGACTCCATCGTGCTTGTCGGCGGTTTAACTTCTGAGCTGTACGGAAGTATGTGAGGTTCTTGTGATCACTGCAAACTTCGACGGGATGGGGAGAGCCTTCAAGATAATGGCGCCATTCAGTGAGGGCTCGAATGATTCCGAGGAGTTCGCGGTTGTAGATTTCGTAGTTCCATTCAGCTGGATTGAGCGTCTGTGAAATGTAGGCACAAGGATGGAGGTCTCCATTGATATCGGCTTGGCGTAAAACTGCACCCGTAGCAAACTTGGAAGCGTCGGATTCAACAATAAAGAGTTTTGCCTTGTCAGGCAGTAACAGTACTGGGGCGGTACTGAATTGTTGCTTCAATGTGTCGAAAGCTGTCTGACATTCTGTTGTCCATTCAAAAGGTGGAGATCCAGCGGCAGTGCGCGTAAGATTCGTCAATGGTTTGGCAATATCCGAGAAGTTGGCAATAAACTTCCGATAGAAGTTTCCAAACCCTAGGAAAGAGCGAACACCTTTTACCGTGCTTGGTTCAGGCCATTCTGCAATTCCTTTAAGTTTGATAGGGTCCATGCCAATGTAGTTTTCTCGAATGATCATGCCTAGGAATTCGACTTCTTTAACATCAAAGAAACACTTTTCCGGTTTAAGGAATAAGTCGTTGTCTTTGAGTCGTTGGAGTACGTGTCAGGTTCGAACGTGATGTTCTTCCAAATCGTTTGAGAAGATGAGGATATCATCCATGTAAATGACTATCCATCCCTCATCGATCATGTCCTTGAAGAGTGCGTTCATCATCATTTGGAAAGTCGCCGGGGAGTTGCAGAGTCCAAAGAACATGACCATAGGTTCGAAAAGTCCGCAATTTGTCTTAAATGCGCCCTTCCATTGGTCACCATCTTTGATTCTGACATTGTTATATCCGGAGCGTAAATCCATTTTCGTAAAGATCAATGCGCCTTTGAATTGATCCATAAGGTCAGAAATGAGCGGAAGAGGATAGGTGTTCTTCACCGTCCCTTCATTCAGGTATTGGTAATCCTGACAGGGACGTAGTGCTCCGTCTTTCTTTCCTACGAAGAAAAATGGTGAAGCCATGGGAGATTTTGACGGTCGGATGTATCCTTTTTGCAGATTTTCTTCCAGGAAGTCATTCATCGCTCCTTGTTCTTTGAGCGATAATGGATAGACTTTACAGTCACGTGGAATAAAATCGGGTTTCAAGTCAATGGCGTGGTCCCAAGGCCTGGTTTCTGAAAAGCATTCAGCTGCTTTCTTTTCAAAAACGGACTTCAAATCGTGGAGGTAGTTGGGGACCAACTCCTCGACGGTTTTGGGTTTGTCTACAGCTGATGCTTCATTATGTGCCTGTTGTGCCAATTCTTGTGATTTACCAGATGGTTTGTAAAAGACCGTATTCTGTGCATTACAGAATAATGGGGATTGGGTACTGTGTGTCATTCTTCCAATGGCGGGGCCTCTTCGTATGGTGAAGACTGCAGTTTCAGTCTCTTCATTCATCAAAGGTGACTCCTTCCTGATGGGTTCAAATATCCCAATAACTGGCTCTCCTGCGATATAGGATATAACTAGATCGTTGTCATCGAGCTGATCTATAGGGGGTTCTGATAGTGGGTCATCTGGTTTGGTATCATTCTGCACTGCGGGTAACTCGCCACACTCAGTGTTATCGGCCATGATTTCTCTGATAGATTCTGAATGCCCAAACGAGGTAGGGGAAGTTTCGGTGGTGATTAACTCTGGGAGTCCATCTTCCTTGAAAATCGAAACTTCTTCATCTGATGCATCTTCGACGGTGGGTTTCGGTGGCCATTTGGCGTCTTTACCAAACCAAAAGTCACCGGTTTCCCAGTTGATCATCGGATTGAGGCGTTTAAGCCACGGCATGCCGAGAAGTATGTTTTCTTTGCCAATGCCGGTCAAGAGGAAGCGAGTAAGCGTCTTCCTTCCTCCGATTTTCATCATCTTCCAGGTACAATGAGTAATGGTACCCATTTGATTTGGTGTGCCATCTGCATTCATGACTGTAATCGGTTTCGGTAATTCCCATCTGATGAAATCATTTTCTTCCGCAAAACGAATGTTCATGAACGTTTCAGCTGCACCGGAATCGATCAAGGCTTCTGTTGTAACGTCTTCCTTCTCTCCCAACGAAATATTCACAGTGATTGAATTTCTGCTAGTGTTACAAATAACGAGGGGAGATATGGTAAGATGCGACGGTCCATGCATTACTAGTGGCCGTCGTCTCAAAAACCCAATTGGGTTCGTTCTTCATCAGTCATGTCGTTGAAGACGTTTCGCACATAGGCGATCTGTTCCTCTCTGGTTTCTTCCTTCGATGTCTCCTTCTTCTGTGCGAGGTCTTCTCGCATCTTCTTGATCCATGTGATCGTGTCCGTGTCTAACCCAGGCTGTATCATTCTAGCACGGGTGAAACTTCCAGACTGGGGGTGGAATTGTCTGTCGTTGGCTATATGGCCCTTCTTTCCGCATAGGAAACATAATCCTTCTTTCATTCTCTTTTGTCGCTCGTCCGGGGATAAGCGCGAGATATTGACACGATCAACATCCATCGCGTTTGGATCCTTTGCAGAAGCCGAGTAGTAGGGACGATGGACAGATCGGCCCTTTCCTCGCGTCGTCGTAGTGGCTCCTCACTTGAAGATCTGAGCAGATCTCCATTGGTTATCAAACTGCGAGGCGTATTCGTACCACTTGTCAAGTGTCTTGGGCATGCTTTCCATCCCATATATCCTTTGTCGGAGTGGGTCGTTAAGCCCCCACTTGAAATACTCAATATTTCCGGCATCTTCTAGTTTCGCCTTGGATTCAAGCGATCGGAATTCGGCAATGTAGTCGTCCGCAGTACGAGTTCCTTGCTTGATGTTACGCAGCAAGGTACGAGCGGTTTCTTCAATATTTTCATCGCCAAATGCTTTGTTCACACTCGCAATGAAGTCTCTCCAACTCCCATAAGAAAGGAAGTCATCATTGGTGAGTTCCGTTTCTATGAAGCTCTGTGCCCATGATCCTGCTGTTCCTCCTTGCATGTGTGATAGCACGAATGCGATCTTCTGATTGTCCTCCTGGTAGACATGGCTATTTCCGGCCATGTAGTTCTTGCATTGGTTTATAAATTCCGTAAGCTTCGAACAGTCTGAACCGTTGAAGATCTCGGGTTTTCTAAAACCAAGTTCCTTCTGGCTAACATGGTGACGTCCTTCATCCATGGTAACTGTAGCCATCGGTGGTATGTAATCGGATACGATTGGTGCAAGAGTCGGTTGGGGTACAGGATTCTGGGCAGGGGGGTTCCAAGGGGCGTCTGGTCTTTCTCCTGGATAGGAGGTCGTTATACCACTGTCCGCGATGTGCTGAAGCACTATTCCACCAAGATTATGGGGAAGTGTCCTTTCAAATTCCTCTGGGGAGTAGTCGAAGTTGTGATTGTCTGGCCTGATGAATACAGGCCTTCCTCCTATGAAATGTGCATTTCGTTCTGTGCTCCACTCCGCTTGGGATGGGAGGTGCTCGCGGTACTGCTCTGGAAGAGCGGTCGGGTTGATGTAGTTAAAATCCAGCGTGGATAAATTCTTCTGTGTGGCCTATGTCTACACGTAGACTGCACACCGTCCTTAACTAAGTGGGTTCGTTCGTCGTCGGCTAACAAGCCCGTAGAGTGTCTTCTGTCTTCAAACTGATACACCTATTTGCTGATTGCTCGAGTGATTACCTCAGCCTCCTCGGCCTATTGGTCTCTCGGACAGACCCCTCTCCGAAGATGAGTGATCAGTCTATCCCTTCAGCTACCTCGATTACAGAGTAATCTCAAACGGTGCTTTAGCAATCGAATCGGGTGTATCGTTCAGTCTTCAAGGTTCGGTCCGGTCGGTAGTTCGTTGTTAGACTCTAGGAAGTCACAGAGAGTAATAAGATCTCGACCTAATGTTACGCGGCAGCGAAACACGAGCGTCTAGTCGAGTCATCACGAGACAAGGTCTTAGTCTAAGACACAAGTCCGTTCAAGTGACACTTCTGGCGATGTCCTCGCACTGAAGGTCGATCAGAGTTCGTTCTTATGACTCGTAGTAGCTGTCTGCTACTGACGGTCGATCTCAGTCAAAGGCAAGTGAAAAGCTGGTTTAATGGTAACCAGGTCGAGATGGGGATCCAGCTCGACAAGGTCGTCTACTTATACAAAAGGTATCCGCAGTACTACGCAGTAATGCAGGATCGTTCATTGGCTAGATAAGGTGAAACGATGTCTAAGCAGGGTAACAGCGAGGAAGTAATATGTATGGGAAAGCTGAGTAAGGTCGTGAGAGATAATCAGTACTAATGGGGATAACGAGTCGTGTATCAGAACGAGGTAAAGATGAGGCATACATGCACATCTTGCATGTGCGATAAGAAGAAGGTCCGGAGTTGGATCCGGTGTAACCCTAGACTAGGGGTTCTGGACATCTGGATAAAGAATCGGAGGTTGCGCTCCGATGAGTCACGTGTTGGATCACGTGGTCTGGTAACGTAAAGGGAACAAGGAAAAGAAAAAGAAAAGACGCGCCACAAGTGAGGAGCATTGTAACAGCTGTCCTTCTCTGGCGAAGTGTGTTAAACTTGGAGGACTATTTGAAACTTGTAGCAGAGGATTTATAAAGTTAAATTCCATCATTTTATGAGTTCCTAGCATATGGTGAGCCATGGCTTTACATCCTGGTGATGGTGTGACTTAACTAGTAAAAAACTCACCAACCTGGCTCTCCTTCTTTGGTGAAGTTTGTTAAACTTGAAGAACTGTCTGAAACTTGTGGAAGAGGACTTATAAAGTTAAATTCCATCATTTTATGAGTTCGTAGTATATGGTGAGCCATGGCTTTACATCCTGGTGATGGCGAGACTCAGTTTGCCAAAAAGTCGCCAACCTGGCTGTCCTTCTCTGGCGAAGTTTATTAAACTTGGAGAACTGTCTGAAATTTGTAGAAGAGGACTTATAAAGTGCAATGCCACCATTTTATGAGTTTCTAGTATATGATGAGCCATGGCTTTACATTCTGGTGATGGTGAGACTCAGTTTGCCAAAAAGTCGCCAACCTGGCTCTCCTTCTCTGGTGAAGTTTGTTAAACTTGGAGGACTGTCTGAAACTTGTAGCAGAGAATTTATAAAGTGAAGTGCCACCATTCTATGAGTTCCTGGTATATGGCGAGCCATGGCATCACATTCTGGTGAAGGTGAGACTCAACCAGTAAAAAACTCAGCAATCTGACTCTCCTTCTGTAGTAAAGTTTGTCAAACTTGGAGGACTGTCTGGGATTAATAGTAGCTGCAGCATCAAGTGAAGCACCGTCATTGTTTGAGTTTCTTGTAGATGGGAACTATGGCTTAATATCCTGATAATGGCTAGACTCAACCGATAAACATATTGCTAACCTGGCTCTTCTTCTCTGATGAAGTTAGGCAAACTTGAAGCACTGTCTGGAATTTATAGTAGACATTTCATAATGTGAAGTGCCATCACTTTCTGAGTTCCTGATCAATGGTGAGCTATAGCTTCATATCCTGATAATAGCTAGACTTAACCAGGAAAAGAATGACCAATCTGGCACTTGTTCTCTGATAAAGGTTGTCTAACTTAAAGCACTGTTTAAAAATTGAAGTAAATGTTATATCAAGTGGTGCCAGCATTTCGTGAGTTCCTTATAGATGGTGAGCCACAGGGAAAATGTAACTGGCAATCTGATACTTCTTTTTTCACATACACTGATGAATTTCATATGATATAAAGTACTAACTATAAGTTGTAGCAGTAGCTATATACTGTGATGTCCTTTTATATGGACTTCTGGCTGATGTCAGGCTGTGTTTGTACATTTTGGCAAAGTGTGGATGCACTGAGATTCAATGCTGACAATCTGCTATTTATTATAAAGTGAAGTATCTAAGCCTTTCAAAACTTAGAGCAGCAGTTGCATTACTGTTCAATGCCAGTGCTGTATGACTTCGTAGTTAGTTTTGAGCCACATATAATCATCCTAAATACACTCACAAGTTAGCATGCTAACCGGTTGTGATAATCTTATATATGTATAATATGGAAGAGTGACTAAATCTTACAACAGCAGTTGTATGCTCTCAATGAGAAGCCTTGCATTACTTCTTGAAGTTTAGCAAGATACACACAGCCATTCTAATGATCTGTGAACACTTTGAGAAGTTCAGCATACAACTTACCATTTCTCTGCATGATACTATGTATAATAAAGTACAACACTTTATATGCAAAATATGATGTTGTGGTTAGTTTTGACTGTAATCACTTAGTGTTATATGAAGAATTCAATATTGTCTACCTTTAATGAACTTCATGTGACTTGCTGAACTGGTCAAGGAATCACACTTTCCTTTTTAGTCTCCGAGTGCACACACATCTACATGAACATAATGGCTCCTATATGTGTTTTCTTCTATATATTTGAGATTCTTCTTCAATACATTTTTCTATCTACATTAAAGGATGGTGATTACATAGACCTTATATTAGAGCTAGATAGATTCTTGACACACTTATAAGAAGTCTATAGAGCTTAGAGTGACATATTGCTAACTCTTCGGAAGTGAACTTTGCTGTTTTTTGAGGAGTAAAGCTTGCCAATCACTTAACATTACAGTTGACTACATGTTGTCTTGAAAAAGATACATCTGTCATTTTCTAACAAATGTCTGGCATTTACTTATATGAAAAGCAAAACACACTTTATAAACTTAAGTGTAGCTCTCTCCAAAGAATTACACTTAATTGTTATTGAGAATTAATAGCTGTTAAGTCACAATATGATATTGCTACTCCAAGTTGCAGTTCATACTCCACAGTATATAACTTTGGCCATAAGTTTCAGATAATACTCCATTGCATACAGACTTCATTACAGAAGCAGCTAGTCGTTTAGCATTTTTATGTGTGAAACTATGGCTGGCCATCAATCAGGAACTCATAACATGGTGGCCCTTCACTTTATATAACAGCTGTTATCAATTCCAGACAGTGCTTCAAGTTGAATTAACTTTACCAGAGAAGGGCTGCCAGGTTAGTGGAGAATCACCAGATTAAGTCTAGCCATCCTCAGGATGTGAAGCCATGGCTCAACGTCTATCAGAAACTCATGAAATGGTGGTGCTTTACTTTATATACCAACTACTATGAATTCCAGATAGTGCTCCAAGTTTTGTGAACTTTGTCAGAGAAGAAGAGCCAAATTGCTGAGTTTTTTACTGGTTGAGTCTCACCTTCACCAGAATGTGAGGCCATGGCTCGCCATATATCAGGAACTCATAGAATGGTGGCACTTCACTTTATAAATCCCCTACTACAAGTATCAGACAGTCCTCCAAATTTAACAAACTTCACCAAAGAAGGAGAGCTAGATTGGCGAGGTTTTTACTAGTTGAGTCACACCATTACAAGGATGTAAAGCCATGGCTCGCCATAGACTACGAACTCATAAAATGATGGAATTTAACTTTATAAATTCTCTGCTACAAGTTTCAGACAGTCCTCCAAGTTTAACAAATGGCACCAGAGAAGGAGAGCCAGGTTGGCGACTTTCTTACTAGTTGAGTCACACCATCACCAGAATGTAAAGCCATGGCTCGCCATATACTAGAAACTCATAGAATGGCAGCACTGCACTTTATAAATCCTCTTCTACAAATTTCAGACAGTTCTCCAAGTTTAATAAACTTTGCCAGAGAAGGAGAGCCAGGTTGGCGACTTTTTGGCAAATTGAGTCTCGCCATCACCAGAATGTAAAGCTATGGCTCACCATATACTAGGAACTCATAGAATGGTGGCACTGTACTTTATAAGTCCTCTTCTACAAGTTTCAGACAGTCCTCCAAGTTTAACAAACTTCGCCAGAGAAGAACAGCCAGGTTGGCGACTTTTTGGCAAACTGAGTCTCACCATCACCAGAATGTAAAGCCATGGCTCATCATATACTAGAAACTCATAAAATGGTGGCATTGCACTTTATAAGTCCTCTTCTACAAATTTCAGACAGTTCTCCAAGTTTAATAAACTTCGCCAAAGAAGGACAGCCAGATTGTCGACTTTTTGGCAAATTAAGTCTCGCCATCACCAGGATGTAAAGCCATGACTCACCATATACTAGGAACTCATAAAATGATGGAATTTAACTTTATAAGTCCTCTTTCACAAGTTTCAGACAGTCCTCCAAGTTTAACAAACTTCGCCAGAGAAGGAGAGCCAGGTTGGCGAGTTTTTTACTAGTTGAGTCACACCATTACCAGGATGTAAAGCCATGGCTCGCCATATACTAGAAACTCATAAAATGATGGAATTTAACTTTATAAATTCTCTGCTACAAGTTTCAGACAGTCCTCCAAGTTTAACAAACTTCGCCAGAGAAGGAGAGCCAGGTTGGCGAGTTTTTTACTAGTTGAGTCTCGCCATCACCAGAATGCAAAGCTATGGCTCTCCATATACCCAGGAAGTCTAAAATGGCAGCACTGCCCTTTATAAATCCTCTTCTACAAGTTTCAGACAGTCCTCCAAGTTTAACAAACTTTGCCAAAGAAGGAGAGCTAGGTTGGCGACTTTTTGGCAAATTGAGTCTCGCCATCACCAGAATGTAAAGTCATGTTTCACCATATATCAGAAACTCATAAAATGGTGGCACTGCACTCTATACGACAGCTACAATAAGTTTCAGGCAGGACTCCATGTTGTAAAAACTCCACCAGAGATGTAGTGTCAGGTTAGCGATTAGGTGTCTTGCTGAGTCCAGGCACTGCCAGTATTATGATGGTCAACCAATCACTGACTAATAACACCATGTCAGTGAGCCCAGTGGCAGTAGGCCCATCTTTCATCTGATACTCTTGGAGATGGGCCCACTGCTCAGCTATTGTACTCTGGCTATAGGCCTATTGGTGGTGATAACATGCTCTGGTGATGGCCAACCCTCTGACCTTTGGTGGTGAGCCCATTCTTCATCTTACACTCATGGTGATGGCCCCACTGCTCATTGATCATACTTTGGCGGTGGGCCCATTGCTCAGAGAAACATGCTGTGATGATGGCCAACACTCTGACCTTTGGCAGTGGGCCCATTCTTCATCTTACACTCGTGGCGATGGGCCCACTGCTCCTTGATTATACTCTAGCGGTGGGCCCATTGATGGCGATAATATGCTTTGGTGATGGCCAACTCTCTGACCTTTGACTACTCTGATGGTGGGCCCATTGCTGGGAGAAACATGCCCTGGTAATGGCCAACTCTCTGGCCTTTGGCAGTGGGCTGATTGCTGGCGAAAACATGTTCTGGTGATGACCTATGCCATGGGTGCTTGCACTAAGGCCCTGACTGAGGGTACTTTGGCGATGGGCCCATTTCTGGCAGTAACATGCTCTGGTGATGGCCAACCCTCTGACCTTTGGCAGTGGGCCCATCCTTCATCTTACACTCTTGGCGGTGGGCCCACTGCTCAAAAGTACCCCTATGGTGGTGGGCCAACTGCTCAGAACATCACCTATGGCAGTGGGCCCACTGCTCAGAAGTACCTCTATGGCGGTGGGCCCACTGCTTAGAATAACATCTATGACAGTGGGCCCACTGCTCAGAAGTACCCCTATGATGGTGGGCCCACTGCTCAGAACATCACCTATGGTGGTGGGCCCACTGCTCAGAAGTGCCTCTATGGTGGTGGGCCCATCGCTAAATAATAGCATTATGGCGATGGGCCCACTGCTCAGAAGTACTCCTATGGCGGTGGGCCCATTGCTCAGAACTACCCCCATGGCGGTGGGCCCATCACTCCAGCCTTCCCTTCATCACCATGGGCCCATCGCTGACAGCTCTCTACACAAACCGATGGGCCGATGTCCGCTGGCAGTCCAGTTCATGACAATGTCAGGGTAAATGGGAGTTCAGTTCAGGTAACATGACTGAAAGGTGTGTCATCTAGACCGCCGGACGTTCCCGAGCGTCCAGTATACACGTGTTCTACGGCGTCCTCGTCCCGCCCCGCCTCTCGCTTAGCGCCCCGCCTAGCGCCCCGCCCTTCACGCGCCTCACTAAGCGCCCCGCCGCTCCCACCTTCATTCTCATCATTTCCAACGTGTCCTCCACTCCCTATCCCCGTCTGTAATATCTATATATATTTCTCTTCGCTCTGGATATACCCGGATATAGATAACTGGCCATGCGAAATCATGCTAGACGTTACAAGGTCAAGTCTAGTATTACTATCGGTCTTCGCGATCAAGTCGAGGGCGCAATTGTTGGCACACGTGTGCAGAACAAATCCCGCTCAAAAATTGCTGAAGAACATCATATTATGATGGAGAGACGCTGGGAAGGGCTGAACGGTACGTGTTCTCAGTGTTGTATCACACGGTTTGACAGTTGACAGGCCTTCATCCTGGGAATGGCGCACTATAGCCATGCCAGCAACATCTCGCTCTGCGGTGAACCATCTGGTGATAGACAATGGCACGGCCCCTGATATGCCCATAACGCCAGGGTATAGTGAAGTCTTCGACATCGACATGGACTGGGAAGACATCGAAGAGGATCAACGCGTGGATCGCGAGATCTCTCATGAAGGCGGTGAGTACGGTGATGTTACTTGGGCGGCGATGGAGCATGTTCTGCAGCAGTGAGTGCGGAAAGATCTCACTCGAAATACATCCTCACTGACTTGTGCAGGTCTCACAGGCGGTATCAACATTCGGACGTCCAGACATGGCGAGAACGGCTCAAGGCGATCCATCGGAATTGGGACGAGCAGATGTCGCATTTGGTAACTGCCTACCTGCAGTGGAAGCACACCCCATCTTCAATCCCGGACAATGACAACGTGAATCTGGAGGGTCACATCTTCGAGGTAGTCGCACTCAGAACACACTGTTAGCGATCTCGTGTCTCTCTATCGATCATATACTAACCACCTTCTAGCACGAGAAAATGCTCTGCGCGTCATGCAGCAGCCAGATGAGCTCGCGAACGTCACACTTATCTGCCATGGCTTGCTCGGATGTTCCCCGGTGTTTCCCTCTGTGGCGATAAGCCTGGATACACTGGAGCTCTACCATAGATTGCATCGTCGACACCCACAGCTTGGTGTCCAGGCCATGACAAGGGCCTTGTGCGACATCCATGATGTAAGTGGTGTCGCTTGTTTCCTTTGCATCTAATAACCTGTTGCCAGGTAAATTACACACACACAGCACGAGAACACCTGTCGGCCACATTCGACGTGTATTTGAACATCCTGCGGCGAACGGAGCAGATTGTGAGGGCAGCGCTGGGTCATCACACTGAACATTGGCGCATTTGCAACACCTGTCATTGCTGTAATCTGAAGGTGCGTCCCATGTTCAATTTACACAATTTTTCTCTCTCTGATCACGACCGCTGCAGCTTGACGGTGAGCCGACCCTGTTTCCAGCGCATCTCCTGGCGATGGATGGCAACAACTCCGCCAAACGTGTGGCGAATGCCGGTACAGCGGATGATCGCAACTTCACTAGCAATTACTTCCTCTCGCGCGGGCAAGTCGACCACTTCAAGGACGAGGTCAAGCAGCGGAAAATGAAGGCTAAACCCGTGTCAGAGCAAAATGTGAGTACTTTATGTAAGTGTTATACATATGCTGATTGGGATGCATATAGGAAGACAACATCGAGGAGGATGCACCATGGATCACGGAGGACGCTCCCGGGGAGGCTACCGATGGACAAGAAAGACCAACACCATGCACAGAAAGGTGGAAGGCGAGTGCCACAGAACATGAGAAATGCGCGCTCGATATCTACGATATCACCGGCATCTTTGTCAGTGCCTGCTGGCACAGTCTGATTCAAAAAGCCTGTGAGATGGTTCGTAGCGGTGAACTGTGAGTTGATTTGCACCCACTTTAAATGCTTTATTGACCCATTTTCAGTGCGAAGTACCCCCTAGCTATTCTCAGCCACAGCCTAGATGTCCATGGGGACAACTGTGCCTTCGGATACGACATCGCGTGTGCATTTCAAGAAACCGCGCACAATAGTCCATTGGTCGGTCCCAGGGTGCGCGAACTCAAGACTTGCTTCGGTGTCTGTGCATTCCACGGGTACGTGCACAATCGCCTCTGCCAGCTCTCAAGCCATCCCCTCTATCTCAAGGGGTTTGGCATCGAAGATTTGGAAACGATGGAGCGGGTATTCTCAAGCTCTAACAGTACCGCTCCGGTAATCAGATATGCGACACCGTTCCACTGGATGCAAGCCCTCGACCTGCACTTCACTCAATGGGATGAAGACAAGTACATGGAGCTGAGTAAGTTCTACACTGTTTCTAATATGTGTATTGTGTGCTGACACGGACACATAAACTTGTGTACGACGTTCGCTATCCAGGCCGATTTCTGTACAATAATTATCGACAATGTCTTACAATAGTCCGCGACTACACACCTGAAGTACAGCAACTCAAGGAAGAGCTTCATATTACAGATGCGGACATCGAGGGCTGGATTGATGCCGAGCGCACTTTCCTAGATAACCTGAAGGACGAGCCGAATGAACGTGTACTAGAATGTGCATACGTTCAGGCCCTCATCAACCGTGAACGAGCTGAGTATGTACTTCTGCCGTGTACTCACAAATAGATATACTGATGCCATTCTCAGCGCCAAGTCTGCAAGTGTTCGTATGGACTTCATCGCGACTCCCGCTGATCGTGCGATCAACTACGCGCAAGATGCTCGTTACACACTTCGCCTTGAGACCGCTAGACGCACTGCGATGCACGAGCTTACAGTTGCCATAGCTGCCGTCAGAGATCTGGAAATGAAACTGGGCATCGACGAGCCATGGACAGCAGAACATCCCAAATATCAAGAGACCCTGTCTTATGTTCACCATCGGCAATTCCATCGTGCGCTCGATAAGGTTCAACAGCTTGTCATGCAGCGTCTTCTTGAGCTCTCGAAAGCTAATATGGCTGGTATGGGTAAGCATTTATACATGATTCCATTGATCCCGACTTATCGTGAAACACTTTAGGTTATAAACTTCAAACTTCCATAGGTCGGGCAATCAAGACTCGCGCTCAGGCTATTCGCACGGCGCTCAAGACATATAACTCCCTTGCTCCGCAGATGAACCCGCCGGCACCCATACTCGAGTGGAAGGACATAGTTAACTATGCCTTCATCTCGGAATTCGATATTCTGCGGCATGCTTATTCTCACCAAGACATCATCTCTGTGCCGTGGACTAATCCTCGCAACCGCGAGATCACTTCGAAATACTTCAAGATCTTGCGAGCGCAGGAGGAGATTGTGCGTTGCAATGTCAAGCTCAAACGTTTGCGAACAGGAATTGAGGTCGAGCGTAGGGAGTACGATGCAGCAATTGCTAGACTCCGTGCTACAGATCCATTGATGACAGCTGAGCTACAGGAGCGGCAGCGCACTCGAGCACGGATGAACCGAGTGCATACAGCGCGTCTGCGTGCCATCCAGGACTTGACCGGTTTCTCGGGGTGTCTCGAGATGGGTGTTCCAGTCGAACGTGGTCGAGCATTGCTGGTCCAGCCTCCAGCCTCAGACTCATCAGCTCCTGCACGTGACAATCACAGCAATGCCGGTGTTGACCTAGTGGATGGTTTGTTGGATGCAGACAACACGGAACTGGTGGATGCGGACCATATCAATGACATGGTGCGTCTAGCTGATTTTGTAGAGGAGCTCGGTGTCGAGGGTGTTTGTAGGTCTGCTGGTGTGCTCTCAACGATAGACTTTTAATTAAATCACTGTTTGTTATGTTTCCGAACTCTGACATATGGAGGCACTGAGAATACGACACTAGTCTGCAAAATTATGGACATTGAGCATTACATGTACTGCGAATGGACTTGACTGGAGTATGCGCCACACGTCTGTATTTGATCGAGCATTGGCTCGTGCTCAGGTGCGTTGCTTACCGCTCCTGACACATACTCACCGGTTTGCACTCAGGTCCTTTACTCCCCCTTCCTCATCATCCCCTGTCTCATGGCTCCTCTTGCACCACGGCATTCTTCACAATATTCGCGTGCACGATATGGTCCTCCGGCACTCAGAATATTTACGCAGGGCCAGTCTCCTCAGCCACGCATGGCCGACATTGCAATTGAGCGATTCAAACAGTGCCTCAATATTCGACATGACAACGACGAACAGCTTGACTCATCACGCAAGCTACATCCTCATTTTTGTCTGTCAACTTGGGATCGGCAGCTAGCCTGTCATGAGGCTTTGACTGACATTGAAGACGCCGTGCGTATTTCTGAGCTCCCCATTACAATTTTCAGACCGTCTGACTCCATTCATTTATCACACAGGCTGTTGGCGCTGCACGTCTTGCCGACATCGCATTTATCGGCATAGGCATTCGGCCTGAATGGCTGTCCAAAGAGCCTCTGACAGCAGATACAGTCAAGATTGATGTGATCTTGACTTGTCAGTTTGAACAATACCCGCAGTGGAAGACCGCAATTGACAAGATTCAACACATCGTTCAGGAGGAGATTGGAGTGCCCCATATTCTTGGGTATAGCAGCAGACTCGATGAGGTGACCCCAGGGCCAGAATATGCGTTGGATCTGGAGACACGGCGAATATGCAGCAACCCTATCCGATTAGCTACAAAGCCCGCATCATCGCAGCCACGTACATCCAGTAGTGCTCGCCCGCTGACGTCTGCAACAGTGGCAGCGTCCTCATCACAACATCGTAGTGCACCGTCTAGCAAGGAGCAATCTGGGAGTCTGGGAGTTAAGGCGATGACATCGCAAATTGCTGCAGCTGCCGGAATTTCATTGTCACAGGGAAGCGCACCTCTCGAGCGCACAGGTGAGTCCGCTATATCTTTAAGTACTTTGGAATTGATTTGAGATGCTCTCAGCAGAACTGCTATCACACGCTAGTCAGCCGCTTCTCGTGCATCACCGCACAGCCATCACGTTGCTGCACTGAGCAGTAGGCCGAGTTTGCCATCAAGTACGACATTATTGCAACCTACTACCACTGTACACCCTCCTTCTACCGCTATGCGAACTTCTTCCACTCCTGCGTGCGCCTCTTCCGCTCGTGCGCGCACTCCTTCCGTTCATGCACGCACTATTCAGCGTCCCATCATTAATATCTCTGACTCTGATGGCGATGGTGATATGCCGCTGATCCCCACAAGTCCACCTCGTGCCCCTCGCTATATCGACCGTGGCATGTCCATGGATTCCCATCACGAGTCTCGCCATACCTTGCCATCCGACTCGGGATCGCGTACAGAGCCTTTGCCTACTGCCTCATTATCAGATCTACCTTCAGATCCGCCTCCATCTTACTCTGCCGACTACTACATCAGTCCTGACATTTGCACGTTCAGCTTCAGTGACACAATATCCCAGTATCTTGAGATGCTGCGTGTCGATGCGTGGCAGTGCGTGAAAATCGATCGGAGCCTGGATTATCACGTCACAGACTGGGAGGTCCTCTTTCAACAAGGAGAGCTAACTGCAGAGCAAGCTCGCGCCCTTCGCGAGCTCATCTTTGAGGAGCTATCGCCAGAATCTCGTGCACTAATGTTTGTTACATGTGGGGGACCGAATTTGTCGGACTGAGAATTGTCGCCAACAAGTAGTATCAGCTCTACCGTGAGCAGTGTCACTGAATCTGACATGTAAAGGACATAGTTTAACTGTACACAGTCTACATACAGAAATACATGAGGGGTATGTCTGAGATACATATATCACGTGAGAATTGTCGGAGACATCTCTTTTGGAGAAACCTGACGACATATGTCCCCCCCCCTTTTTTTTCCCCTTAATACTACACCCTCATATGAATTGTTACAGTCCCTAAACATCGGCCTATTTTATCCTTACTCTCTTGAAATACTTCGGTCGGCCTCGACAGAATTTTGAACGGCGTCAGCATGGTACGGGTGCCATCTGCGGCAAAGAAAAAAGCTCAGCAAACGAAGGAGCAGAAATCGCAAGCTCGCCTTCATCGCAAGGAGTTATGGTGCTCCATCGATGCCGAAAGAGAAAATTACAATGGGGCAATAGTCCGCTTGGCCCAAGGCCATGCTAAGTGAGTCCAGTCACCGGTTGAAACGAGGAAAAGGACTGACATATTTGACTGCAGGTCACGGCCGTGGGTTGCAATGCAACTTTATTCTGGAGGGAAGCTCCTTGCGGCCGCTCGCAGAAAAAACTTGTATAACGCTGTGCTGCACGACAGAGCACTCAAGCGGAAAGAACAAGGTCTGCACTCACCAGCGATTTTACGGTGTACATTATAGCTAAGATAACAAAGGTCTTACCGGCAGCGGACGTGAGGCACTTATCAGTCTTTCCCAAGAGGTCTCCATGTCAAACTGGAAGAACTTACTGAAGGACGAAGAAGAGCGCATTCTCGCTCAGCTTGAGAGTAGCCGCCAGGAGAAAGCGGCCATCAAGAAGATGCCAATGAAGAAGGTGGCTTACGATATTGAGAAGACCATGAGCCGAATTGACCCAGAGGTACGGAAGCACCTGTCCGGCTGTCAGACGTGATGTGCGGAAATCTCACCTTATTTGTTTTTGAAGTTGCTTGGCTTGTCTCAGCGCACCGGTTGCCAGTACCTGTCATTCGTTATGCGAAGTGATGTGACCGATAATTGGACTACACGAACCTCCACTACCTCGAAGGTCACCGAAGCTTGCATGCAGCTCTTCAAGAACACGCCGGAGGAGATGGCTATGAAAATTGAAGCATACCTGACAACCAGACTCGCAGGTATTTTCTGCCACATTCACGTACATGTCAAGAACGGCAGGCTGATGTGATTGGGGTTGACTAGGTGTCATCAAGGCTACCGGGGGCAAGCGATCCGAAGTTCGCGCTGCGATCACAAAGGGCTTTCGTAAGTTTGTTATAACTATTTCTTCATATTTAAGTGCACTAGTACTGAACACAATGCAGATGATATCTTACTGTCTAAGGGATCAATCAATAAGGACGACTTACCGAGCATGGCGTGGGCACACTACGAAAAGCTGGTGTGCACGTACGGCGTTGAACTGCGCGGATGGACCGAGCCTGGACCTGTGTGCAACCCCGGAGATTTCAAGACTATTCATCAGCTGGAACACCTTCATGCTGCTCTTCAAGGCGACGAACCTATTTGTCACTGGGTTGAGCTGGACGACACGATGTGGGAAGCCCGCAAGGAGGCCCGCCGCATCTCAATTTTGAACGGAACGATGAAGCAGTGCAAGTCACGAGGTGGCATCACCAAGAGTGGAAGAGGGAAAGGACCGTGCAGTGCCGAAACCATCGATGACGAGGATGGCGGAGAGGAGATGCCTGCATCAATGCCCGAGAACGTCGAAGGTAGCGCTGGGAGAAGCGGCGTGATGAACTAGCTGATGACGCATTGTTATCGCCCCCTTACACCGTTGTTCATCAATATTGACTCCTTTTTGATTATCCTTACTCCCACCACTAGGTCTTTTATTGTCTTTCCCTATAGTTCTCGCCCTCCGTTGGTGATTTCCTACTAATACCTACTTACAGTCCCCAGTATATAGTTATTACATTCCTTGGGCATTTAGAAACCCTAGAATATACACAAGTTGTATGGAAGCATCAATAAGGGCACGGTCATCGCCAGGAATGACAAGAATGAAGGCGGGAGCAGCGGGGCGCTTAGTGAGGCGTGCGGAGGGCGGGGCGCTAGGCGGGGCGCTAAGCAGGAGGCGGGGCGGGATGAGGACACCGTAGAACACGTGTATACTGGACGCTCGGGAACGTCCGGCGGTCTAGACGAGACGGGAGGGCGGGATAATAATAGCACGGGGCGCGACATAAGCCGGAATAGCCGGAGAATGACCTCGGGGCCTAAGGTCACCTGGGACCCAGGTCCTATAGCTGGTGCCCGGGTACAAGGGAACGAAGCCTAATTAGCCTCGGCATCAATACGCACTGATAAGGCTACTAAGGCTTATATCGGGTGTCACACGGGTGCCTTTTAGTTTTACACTTGTAAGGGTCTATAAGCGGAGAGGAACTCTTCACTTATAGGGGTGATAAGTGGGGAGAGAAGACTGAGGGTCGGGGCACCTCGGGGGTCCTTTTATACCCCTCAGATGTCACCCGTTGTGACCGTTACATAGTAGTGTTACATGGCAGATTGGCCAATAGCAAAATAAGAGCATCACGTGATCAAAGGGGAAAGTAGGAAGGAAAAATGTCTAGTGCAGAGCAGGGGTATACCCCTGGGTACTTTGAGCTGTACCCCTACCCTTACCCTCCAAGGGTACATACCCTTCACCAGGGGTAAGGGTATGGGTAAGGGTACCAAACCCTGAGGGTATACCCCTCAATATCTGCCTTACTTGAGGAAATAACATCATGGACATTAAGTTTAAGGCTTGTAATAGCCTTCTTTTTTCTTTGAAGCTTCTGTAGACATATTTTAAGGCTGTATCGACTATACTTAGGCTTTAGTCACCATACAATTACTGCTTACATTATATATACTATATGCAGTGATACCCTCCAGAGGTATAAGGGTCTGAAAGTTCATACCCCTACCCTTACCCCTTACCCTTGAGGGTTATCCATACCCCTGCTCTGCACTAAAAATGTCTTAGGACCTTCGTGTCCAATAGCATAAAGTGAGCAGGGAGAAACAGGGAAGACAAAACTCTTGGAACCTCCGTGTCCAATAGCATAAAGCGAGCAGGGAGAAGTAGGGAGAAAGCACTTTCCGAGTTTTTCTTGTCCAATAGCGCAATGTGAGCATCAGGTGACACGCTCGGCCAAACGTTCTCGGGTTCCGTCTTAGTCATGTGACTTCCTCGTCGAGCGCTTCACCGGTGGTTACGTGTTCACAAGCCAAACACTTTTGGTGTGTGACATCGTGTCTACTGGTAATTCCGCGCATGACATCGTACAGTTCGCAGGCCGCATTGCGCAATGTCTCAACCCGAAGGCTCAAGGTTCCTGAGGGCAATACAAAAAGTTGAGGAATGCGATTCCAGGAAAATAGGGACAGGAAGACCACACACCAATGTCAGGGAGACCATCCGGCGGATGGCCCAAACCAAAGTTCTTGTGGACAGTGGGGTCGTCATACAAAACGCGGGCAGTCAAACTACGAGGAATGATGTCAGGAAGGTGGTCCGCAATCTGAGGTATCATCTGACAACCACCTTCTATAGTGCGAGCTGTCACAAGGTGTATTTCCACTTGGGCCAGGACAGGGATATTGCGCGGACGGGGTAGGATGATCCCCACACTGGCCGCCTCAGACTGGGCTTGGACCATGAGGACCTGAGGGACGTGTGAGGGTCAGACCGTGAAGGAACATATGCTCGTAGGAGCCTCACCAGCAGGACGTGCATCCGGATCACCCATGCTTTCCACAGGATCGGGTCGAAGGGCTCGGTAAAGATCTCAATGTGAAGAAGAGCTTCTGCAAGGATGTATTTGCGAAGGATAATGCTGGCGTCCATGGATGGGAGATTGAGTTCAGGATGGGAGATATGCCTCTGAGGCGGGTAGGTGCTTATTAGGCGCTTGGGCGGGACCGGTGATGGACGACCCCTCAGATTGAGTAGGAGCGTGAGTGGACGGGATTGCGAGATATGGCGTGATGGGCAGTGATTCAGCAAAGCAATTGTTAAGCAGAAGCGGGCAGTATCGGGAGGGCAGGAACAGGTCAGGACCGGTTTAAGTATGAGGGCAGGGGAGGAGATCGGGGTAGAACCCACCATCCCGGAAGGTACACTTGTGAAAGCCTCATTCACATCCCCATCTCATCCAGTTAGTGCATCTTTGGGCAGTCTTGCATTTGTGCATTTTCTGGGCAGTCTTGCATTTCCGCATTTCAGTGTTCTCCTTAGAGCAGTGCGATTTTACTCCGATGTGTTTCCAGCGATTATTGCGACTATAGAGATTTTCCTAGCTATGCTTTCGGGCTACCTGCCTCATACCTCTGGAATAGACTCTTCTCCTTCATTGCATCTCAGACCCCACGTGGACTTGATTCCACTCGTACTCCACCTTTCCGGCTTGCGACGGAACTACAACCTCGTCAGCAGGACTCGGTGTAGCTAGACATGCGCATAGCGTATTCGCACTCTTGTGGCAGAACGTGGGCTGGGGAATCATCACAGCAGGTCATAGCAGCGGGAGAGAGGTTGGAGAAAGGAAGGGGGGGTGATCCGAGCAGTCGAGCGTCCTCCGTGTAAGTTATAGGTAAATCTGGAGCAGGCTCCATGTATCTCGAGTCATCTGAATTTGGCATGTTCAATCCAGGAGTCTGGGGGGTCGCGTCTGAGAGCACAGTAAGTCCAGTAATGAGAGCTTCGAAATGGGACTGGGAGAGACACGGGGGGAACGTAGGATCTGCCAGGCCTCCGAGACCGAGGAGCACAATAATATCTTCTTGATTGAGTGCACAATCTCCTATCTTAATCTCGATATCGGGACCTAGATCTTGAAGTTCCAGCTCAGCTTTATTTTGTGGAGCACCCATTGTAGCGCCCACATCGTTGATTCTAATAAAGTAAGTTTCCGTTTTCTTATGTTTTTCTGTTTTCTCAGCGGATAACTCATTGGCCTCATGTCGAGCATGCATTTTCCATGCAGCCCACATTGCTCTTGCTCCTTGTGCGGTCGCACATTCTTGTTTTTGGCCTCCTTTTTGTCGTGTTCTGTCGAGGTTATTTTTGTCTTGGTCCTCTCTATTTCCCTCTGCACCCTGTCTGTCACGGAAAACCTCAGGAGGGCTTGAGAGGCAGGCACGTGACCTGGCGTTGAGTTCATGCACAAGTCCTTCTTCAATGGTTCACAGCATCCTCTGCAGTGCGGCCTTTGTCCATTCCTCCCACTTCTTCACTAGGCTTCTTGTCTCTTGCTCTCTGTCTTCCTGGGCCAGCTGGGGGGTCCTAAATGGTCCGGGATTCTGGTGGGTGCTTATCCCCACAAAGTAAGTCTCATTTCTTTTCTCCTCCATTTGCTTATCTCTCATATCTTGTCTCATCTCTCCTTTCAGATCACAGCTGGTGTACGTTTGTCGAAGGTGCATCTTGGGCGAGAGCTGCGTGGGCCTCACAGAGGTATGCGAGTGCAGTCAATCCCGGTACGTTTCCTCGTGTTCGTCGTCCATTGCATGAGCTGCAGTACATTCTCTCATCACATTTCATCACGCTAACATTCGATTTTCAGAGTTTGTTGACAGCGACAATATGACACTTTCTGTCTGTCGCACTTGGCCAGTCTCTTCCCTCTTCGTCAAGCACAATGCGATCCTCGGTTCTCTTCATCTGTTGGCAGTTCCTGGAAGTGCACGCGCAAATGCAGGTGGTGCAGGATTGTTCGCTCCATCAGTACATGCGCGATTTCCTCTTTCTTTTCCATTTGCTGATTTTGACTCTTGCCGTCGTCCACGGCGTGCGAGTCAGTTTGTCCACAGGTGTCCATCATTCTTCCTCCTTCATCTTTCGCATTCATTCATCGGCCTCTTCATCCTCCTGTGTCCATCATCTTGTCGCGTTCTCAGCCAATTTGATTTCTATCCTGCGCGTTCCCCATCAGGATGCAGGTACATCGAAGCATGTCCAATATTTCATCGTCTGAGCTGATCACTTCTTCTTTAACATTGCAATGGTACTTACCTACCTAGTATTACATAGGGTGGTAGTAGCCAACAGACTGAAGTGTACATAGTCCATAGTGAATTAACACTATGTATTACAAGAACTCAGTAGTATTGTATTACAGAGTCTGTTGGTGTATTACTTGGGTACTTCATGCAGGCAGTAGCCAACCCGTACCCACCCGTATGTGGTCCCGTGCTCACCCACCCGACATTGCCAAATGTAGCAGTGCGCCCGGAGGCCGACTCCGATAGTATTCCGGCCATGCGGAGATGTAACAGATTTCCTATTCGGGCATATGTTATCACTGTCAAAACATATTATAATAGATGCAGTGGATTTCCTATTTAGGCATATGTTTTCAGTGCAAAAACATAATATTATTGGCTACTGTAGCGACATTAAGCCCTGGGTTTCTTCGCGACGCGGCTGGTATCAGCATCCAACTTACACTTGGCAGATGATGACAGGCGTAGATCGCTGGTCATTGCCTCCAGCACCCAGTGCACGTCCTCGATGTATTCCCCAAACAGGTGCTGCTCATTCTCGTCATCGACTTCCAATGTGCTACCCCACCACCAAAGATACATGACGACCAGGAAGAAATCGTTATCACCGGCTTGCAACAGAGAGCCCCAAGCGCCTGCGATGGCCAAGACATCCTGAGGAAATGGCCACTTGACAGTGCACCTGAGAGCGGGTTACAGCACAGACCACCAGTTGTGGAACCCGACGCGCATTTCCAATGTCTTGCCAATGCCGTGGGGGGTTACTTCATACTTACACCCATAAGCCATCCAGGCACTGACTGCGCTGGGGCGTGCATCGTATATCTCCTTAGAGTAGCGAGTCTGCGTGCACAAATTAGTTAGTATAGCACCATAATATAATATCGAACACTTACCCTTTTTGTTGGATAGCCCGACTGCGACTCGAAGGTGACAAAGGCTTCAAGGAGGCCTACCCAGCTATCGGGCACACGTTCGAAAATGCGGACTGCCTGCAAAGCCTTCTGCAACCACGCCGGGAGTGCATCGTCCGATAAGGATGACGGGAAGATGACTGCAGCCTCAGCCGCACGACCAAGCGCAGGAGTGGCGGCGGTGACTTCCTCAACAACTGGCTCGATGATGGAGGAAGCAGCTAGAGTGGGAATGGCCTGAGAGATACGTGCGATGACAGTAGGAGGATCGACAACATCGGGCGTGGGTGCCATTGAATGAGGGGGTGGAACCACATCGAGAATAGGTGCAGGACGGGCGGCGACATCAGGGATAGGTGAAGGTTGCATGACAGGAGCGGGAGAGTCGATGACGTCCGGCGCAGGTGCGACAATCGGAATGATATTCACCTCGGGCACGGGTGCAACAGCAGCAGGTGCGACGACAGGCAAAGGGTCCGCAGCTTCAATCTGTGCATCTAAGGAGTCCCCAGCATCGTTCGAAGGGTCTTGACCACTGGAGAGTCGGTCCGACTTGCGAGTTGCCAGGACGCCCTTGGCGACCTTCTTGCCAGTCCTCTTCGGCTTCGCTGTGGGCAGAGTGAGGTCACCGAGCAGTGCGAGTGCTGCTTTGTTTCTCGCAATGTTGGTGAGTCACTCCTGTTCAAACGAGTTGCTCCGGCTCCGTCGATAACCCGGTGAGCGAGCGAGTAAGGTGTCCGGTGAACTCGCAGCATGCGAGTTGAGAGGCGATGTGATGTTCATGATGGCAGATGCCGTTGTGGATGTGTTAGTCGCATTGACGGAGGCGCTCGCATGGATATTCGGTGAGAGCGGTGTGCTGGAATCGATGGTGACTTGCACCATTGCGGAGGGAGGTGTTGGCGTTGAAGATGCGATGCCCATACCGGAGGATGCAGAAATGTGTGCATGGGCGCCGTCAGCATCTAAGGATGCGGACGCTGATGCCGAGGTTGCTGTTGCCGAGCCTACAGCCGTGGAGGACACAACGAAAGATGTGCCATCTGTGCCGATTGGCATAGCGGCACTCGTCAAAGGCGGGACAATAGGTAAACCCATTTCGGCGCAAACGTCGGCGGCTGCATGACATATGATCAGCCCGGATAACAGAGAGCGAGTGATGGACTTACGGAAGGAAGCTTGGAGATACTGAGCGAATGGTTGCGCGACCTGCTCTTCAAAGTCTGGGTGGTATTGCAGAAACGTGCTCTTCAGATGGGCGGTCTGAGTCCCGAAGCTGAAAAGCCTGCATTAGGACGCTGCTCCTCCTCGCATGTGCGTTGGGACTCACCGATAGTATATGTTTGTGCCTCCGCGTTTCGGCTCTGGACCTCCAACCAGGATTATCCCAACCCAACCGGTCTGCCGTTGAATCTCCTCGAGAGCGACTTGGATCGTGTGATGAAGGGAGTCGATATTCCTGGGAGAGTCAGGACGCGCGTATGATCGAAAAAGGCAAGTGCTTACCTTTGGAAATGCGCGGGCTGTGAGTCGCCGCCCTCGAAATCGTCGTCCTCAAACTCCCCGTCACACGCCTCAACCGCTTTCTTGACAGCATTGGTGTCCTTGATGCCCTCATACATGGAGATGACAAAGGCCGACTGATGCTTCATCCTGATGGACTTCGTGACCACAGTACCGGATGGCAGTTGATCTGCACAGTAAGTCTCGAACTCTAATTCCCATTGGGGCTTGAGTTCGGGCCAGTATGTCTTCATGTAGGCTTGCCATGGGGCCGCCTTGCATTTGACCTTCCCCTTGAGAGACAACACAACTGAACGCCCGTTGCTGAACGTGGAAGCACGCGTGTGATTTTGGAACCATTCTTTCAACCTCTGCATCGATTGATGAGCGCCACGCATAACGGGTGAGAATCTGATAGGTCCGTACCACTGTCATTGACTTCTTTTGTTCCGCCGTAGCCTGGACATCGATGCCGTCGCTCGCGAGAGTGATGGGCCACTTCTGGAACCAGTCGTCGAGAAAACTGGACCAGAATAATGAGTGGTTGCCCGCTTGTTGAGCCGCAAGGAAGGTAGGAATGTTTGACTTCAAATGTTCTTGTTGTTGCATTGTCGCCCAGCTCTTTCGTCCCATGGTGGGGCCCCTGACCTCTAGCGCTTGACTGAGCACCCTATACATTTCCTGGGCCCTCCATATATCGGAGAAGTTCGGGCTTCTGTAGATCAGGCACACGTGCTCAACACGGTTGATCCCGAGGATCAACGCGAGCAGGCTTGACTTATCTCCTAACTGAGGAACTGTACAGTCCCTCGGGTAGTGGAGTTTGGTGCGTACTTAAACCCGCCCTCAGCTCTCGTTCTCCTCCATCGCTCTTTCTCCCTTTCATCCTCCAGCTCTTACTTGGGGTGTAAGTATTTACTTTTGTATTGTCCTTCTTACTTTACTAACATACCTTTCTCTTCCATCTGTAGCCGCCCTTCAAGTAGTAGCAGGAAGTCATGAAATATGAGGTAAGCCTGTGGGCTCCCTCGTCGCTCCCCTTCTGATGCCTTCCCAGCGCGATACCCAGATTGAGAGGAAGCCGCGGGTCGGGATGATTGTGTCGGTGTGGAACTGGCTGGCGGGTAAAGGTCAGTGTCATCGGTGCGGTGCAAGCTACGCACTGACAGGGTGGATAGAAGAGCAGTGCGAGTCCCATGTGAAGAGGGAAGTTCACGATGAGGCTGGGCGGAAGTACGTGAGCAAGGGCACCACGATCTCTGCAGTGAAGGTGAAGAAAGCCGAGCATTGCGCTGTGGTTGCTGAGGGTCATACAGGCGGTGAGGATGGGGAGCGCGTGTGGGCCAATGTTGCTGTTCCTGTTGCGTGTGCGTGCATGACTTCAACCACCCCTGAAGCCATTGCGGGTCGTACCGACGGTGAGGGCGCTGAGCGCATGTGAGCTAGTGTCCCCGTTCCTGTGGCACGTGAGCTTGTGACCTTGCCTGACCAGCTTGACGTCGCTCCTTGTGTCGCCGCCAGGTGCCCTCTGTCTTCGGGTCCTGGGGATCCTGCTGAACTGGCCCAGCCTATTACCGGTCGTCGATGGTATGCGGTCACGTGGGGCCTCGACGTCGGCATCTTCGAGGGATGGTAAGTAGTGTGATTTTTTTTTTGGTTAGTACTGATAGCTTGCGATCATAGGACTTATGTTCAGCCCCTGGTTATCAGTGTGTCAGGCTCCGCGTATGAGTGCGACAAGTCGTACGACGATGCGCTCCACAAGTACCATATCGGCGTGACTGAGGGTACCATCTTGAAGTTGACGGCTGGGCCTCCCATCGGGTGGGCTTAGAACAATTGCACATGCTCATCCGCCATCATCAGAAAGGGGCGTTGGGTGTGTCGGTGTGCTGTCCGCGTGTCAGCCTCTTCCTGCTCGTGCTGCTCGTGCTGTGTCGCGTCTCAGTAGTCGTATGTCGTGCGCAATATAATTTTGTTTTTGTTGTACACCCGTCGTGAAACCCTGCGAATCCATGTCAATACACTGTGTGAAGTATATTTATTTGACTCACGTTGTATCGAGTTATAATGGCACACAGATAGTATGTATTGCATGTACAGCACACCATGAAGCTCGCAAGAAAAGGCAAGAAATATATTTTGCTATGCTACATTAGTACCATACCAATGTGCAAGGTGACGAAGTAGAAGCGAAGAAAGGGAAGCTGAAATGGACACTCACGTGAAGCGGAGGAGGCGCGAGGCTTGTGTTGCATGTACAACAGAGCCCGAAGCTCACAAACAGAGGGCAAGAAATATATTTTTGTATGCTGCATTATATAGTATTTTACGAGTGTACGAGGTGACAATAGAAGTGAACAAAGAGGTGAGCAAGCGCAAGTGGACACACGCGTGAAGTAGAGAAGGCGCGAGTTGCAAGTTAGAACAAGTCGCGAGTTGCAAGCTCACGCCTTGCCACTTGATCGAGCCTGCACTTTGCACACTCCCTCGTCGTGCTTCTTCTCCATCTTGGCCTGTATTTCTCTGGTCTATCTATCCTTGGCAAGCTCCCTGAGCTACAGCTTCTCCCTGTCTCTCCCAGAATATCTCTGACTGCTCATGGCAAAGCGCCAATTCACAGGAGGGGGCACATCTCGTTCGAAGAAGTCCCATGTCGAGTCCATCGCTATCCCGGACATCTTGGAACCACCCACGACAATCCAGCTGGCCCAATCTATGGTCCACAGCTTCACCATCCATCGCAATAGAAGGAACGGGCGAGCTTGAGCAGCTCAGACACATACCAAGCAAGTGGTCGAGATCATACCTCTACCTGCAGTGGATGGCCTCGTAGACGACAATGCAACTGCCGTACACAATGGACAAGTGGACGCCGATGGGTGGGAGGACGAACTGCACGATGTGATTCAACTGGAGAGCAGGGATGGTGCAAAGGCCCAGACGAAAAACAAGAAAAAATTGATGTTGGTGAGCATGCGCACCTCCCCGGTGTAATATGCGTTAATCCTGGGCCACAGGCGGGCCTCACCCGATGGCTGGCATTTCGCGAGTCTTATTTGGAGGAGCTCCTGTGCTTCGACGGGCCGGGGACTCAAGACATCGCTGCCAAGTGCGAACTCCACAACCAGGCTACTGCAATGCGCTGCCTCGACTGCTTCGGCGGAAAACTGGAGTGCCCAGAGTGTACCCTCGAGGCTCACACCTCGCTTCCATTGCACCGCATCCAGGGGAGTTGAGCGTGCAATATCTTTCATGAGCTGTGCAATTGACTTAATCTTTGTAGCAGTGGAACGGGCAGTTCTTCGAGAGGATCTCACTTGCACATATTGGACTTCGCGTGCAGCTAGGGCACCACAGTGGACGATGCTTCCAAAATCAATGCGGACCCGTGCGTTTCACCGTCCTCGACGTCAGTGGCACTCACCATGTCAACGTGGATTTCTGCCGCTGTGGCGAGTCCCCTGGGGGATGGAATGAGTGCATCCAACTACTGCGAGTTGGCTGGTACCCTGCTACGACGGAATGTCCCCGCACCGCATTTACCTTTGACTATCTCAACACGTTTCATCTCTTAACATTGCAAGGGAAGCTTAACTTGTACGACTACTACAAGGCTATACTGCGAAAGACGGACAACATCGGGCTTCAAAAACAAGTGGTGAGTGGTCTGCTTTGAGGTTTCAAGAATGACGAGCTGATGCATTTTTTTTTGATTAGTACCGCTGGAACGAAGTCTCTATGGTCGTGCGCCAGTGGCGCCATCTGAAGTCTGTCAAGAGAGCCGGACATGGTCACAACCCTGCAGGTATCGCGGCCACCAAACCGGGTGCATGCGCGGTGGAGTGTCCTGCATGCCCTCACCCCGGCATAAACCTGCCAGTTGGCTGGGAGAGTCTGCCCAACACCGAGCGGTAGGTGGAGTTCATTGCGTACCGTTTTCTTGATGCTAATTATATCTCCAGGTGGCTCTACCAACAGGTAGTCGCTATGGATGCTTGCTTCCACCTCAAGTTGAAGGCGCGCGGATTCCAGGACCCCGAGCTGGGTTCTGGATGGTTGTACTTTGTGGGCGAAGGGTCATACCAGGAGTATCTTGCCATTTGCAAGGACCAACACGAGGTAAGCAATTTAAATCTGTGCGCATGGTTGCCGGGGGCGGTGTAGCTCTGTGAGCCCGCCGTGCGATGCCTGCAGGTGTGGACCTGGTCGGTCCATGCCTGCAGGGCTAGCTTGTGTCGCTCGTCATCCAAGAGAGTCAATGATGACGAATGCGAGGCGATCCCCCACATCACCGCGCAGAATTGTGCCCATTGATTGACCGCGGCTAACTTCTCTTTCCAGATCTCAATGTGCGAGTCGGAGCTCAACGCCGTCAACCAAGCCTATAGCAAGGGCACGCATGACAGCCTCAGTGTCACCGGCATCATAGGTGTGAAGTGTGCTCGTCATTGCTTCGTGCTCCCAAATGGCATTGGCGATTTGCAAAAGGGGGAACAGTGCGTAAGCTTTATGTTTTTTGATATTTCTCATATTGATCATTCTGCAGGTACTGCAACGTTGATTACGTGGTGCTTTCAGCGCTGAAGGCTAGCCGCATAACCGAAGACCAAAGGGCGCTGCCCGACATTGGATTTTCATACGACATCACGTGCAACTGGTACAAGAACTTCTACAAGAGACTTGACGACATGCCCGAGCACATGCAAATCCTCGACGGCATACCGACGTGCACCATGATACCCAAGGCCCACATTGAAGGTCACGGCCCCAAGTGCCATACCACATGGTCCTTCAATTTCCTGCGAGGAGTTGGACGTACCCACAGTGAAACTGTCGAGCAAGAGTGGGCACACATTGGGCAAGTCGGCATCAGCACTCGCGAGATGGGCCCTGCGGCCCGTCATTCTGTATTGGATGACCACTGGTCCACGTGGAACTGGCACAAGCTTGTTGATCTCGGTGAGTTTTTCTTCGTTGTGCTCGTCAACCAATTAACTGATTTCTACTACTTCAGAGTCTCACCTCGTCAAACATCTCGCGGAAGCGCTCCTGATGACGGGGAAGCAGAAGGTGATCGCTGAGAAGTTCACATCCACATTCTCCCCAGCGACTATCGAGAAGTGGCGTCAAATGGTTGCCGAGTGGGACCTGGACAAAACAAAGCCTGATCCCTATGCGGAACCATCGGCTTGTAAGTCCACATATTTATCTGTTTAGTTCTATCCGCTAACTTTTGCATAGCCACGATGATGGCGATGATACAGCTCAAGCTTGCCGAGGAAGAAGTCATCGAGGCGATGCACGGTGAGCCTCAGCTTCACGATAAACTCACTGTGAGCGCATTCGTGCGACTTGGGTTGGAGCTTGAGGAACGACAGTAAGTCTCAAGCAGTGTTTGTCGCTGCATTACTAATTATGGTTGTCTCACTAGGCGGGCCCTCTGTATAAAGGGTGAGGGTGTCCTTCGCAATCCGCTTAAGAGAGCTACACTACAGGAGAAGCGGAACGCGCTCACACGGCATATCCACGCGTGGTCCAGCGTTCAGCCCACCTACCAACCTGTTGTCACCTCGCTCCATGGCGTCGACTCCCTCGCTGAGAGCGCCAATGCAAGCCCACTCGTTCACGCTGAAGATCTCAAGCTATACCTACCCTCTGAGCTTGCGCAGGCTCAGCGCGAAGTGGGCTGTTGCAGTGGCATCATCGAGAAGGAGCACCGCTTCCGCATGGCTCAAGTCGAGGATGCCCTGGAAGACGTTCACCATCTGCGTCGGATCTATGCCGGGCTTCTTGCCAAGTACAGGATCAACATCGCCAGTACGGGCCAGAAGGCAAATACGCGCTCGAAGATGAACATCCGTGCGTTCAACCTGAAGATCACCCTCACCATCGCTCGATATCATGATGCTCGCCGTGCGCTCCTAGTGCTGGATTCAGGTGGGGAGTGGAAGACGAGGTTTCAAGAATTTAAAGATGGAGATAATTGAGGTCCTGCACGGGAGGAGAACGAGAGAAGTGAAGGCTGCCATAAACCATCGTGGATTTGGCTGGTACCTCGTCGTACGTCTCGGGCGCCTACCACGTTGGCCCAGCAAGACCTCGCATCCATGCCAGAGCAAGCCGCTGTTGCCCAGGAAGACCCCGCATCTGTGCAAGACAGCACTGCACTAGAGGACAACGATGATCACTTGCATGTCAAGTCGGCAAAGACTGTCGCGCGAGCAGATCGGTGGGAGGAAGAATGGAAGACCCTTGTCGATGAGATGCGCCGATCGCTGGAGTTTCTGACACAGAAAGCTGCCTGGTGGCTTTCTCAAGGTCACTGTCATGAGGGTCGAGCTGATATTGTGACCGAGCGTTGCGCATACGCAGCGAAGCAAGCGTCAATCCGACTACATCTGGTTCAGAAGTGGTCGAAACGTTGGCAGCCTGTCCTCACAAAGGCACACATCGCGCATGGCTGGATCCATCAATACCTGCCTGTATCCCCAACGAGCGTCGACATTCATCGTCCCGCCGCGACAAGTGCGCCCACTTCCTACGCTGTCTCAGCTGCTCCTGATGCTCCCGATGTCGTGCCCCGCATACTTGGTGTGGATGCAGTCTTTGCGTTGGAGAGCCAGAACGACAGCATGCCAGACGCGGACGCCCCCAGCGGGTACAATTCTGATGGCAGCGAGTCCGACTGGGGAGATGATGTCAATCCTGTGGAAGTGGGAGATGCTCGAGATGATGACGGGGGTTTTGACTCTGACCAGCATGTTCTGGTGAGGTGTTTTTTGCAACTGCAGGTACAGGTTTTGCAACGGCAAGCGGTATGTTTTTATTTTATTTTCTGCTTTTCTGCGTACATGCGGAGATCTGCCATGCTCTAATATGTTTTCTATGTGTACCTCTATGCCTACAGTATGTCCCCTATGAGATATATGTGCTCACAGCTGCAGTGCCGCAAGGAAAGGGTAACAGTTTCGAGTGCAGAAAGTCCAGAAAACGTGAGAATAACATACCATGTTGGGTATCCCGCAGCCGCCATCCCGCCTGCCGCCCTATTCCATATTAGGGTGCGGCGCACTAGTGATTATTAAGCTGAATCTGGCCCTGGCCCCAGAGTCAACTGGCCATCCGGGCTGTATTACGGAGCATTGGCTGTATTACAGTGCACTGGCTAACACCCTGTAAGAGTTTTACAGAGCCTATGAACTGTTTTACAGCCCATGGCCATTATAAAACAGCATGTAAAACGCTATTGGCATATGTACACACTACTCTGCTGGCTCTAGCCATACAATGTTAACATTTCTAGTAAGTACAGCTGCTTATTGTTCTCGCTCCGGTAGGCCGTGAAGGCCATTCTGAGGTCTGTTATATCGTCAACAGCTGCTTTAAAGTGCGCAGCATTCACCTGAGGTGCAGCAGCATTGGACGGCAGCAGCATGGAGACTCCAGAGATACTGCCGTAGAGAAGATGAGAGGACAGAGGATATTGATATGAGTTGCTTCATCATTACTGAAATATAGTCCTTTCAACATTGTGTTCTATGAGAGTAAGAGAAATGTCTGTAGTGCGGATCCACAACGACGAGGAGAGCACTTAATTAGCTACCACCAGCTCCCGAATCAGTAGTGGTGTGTATTATGTAATTCTCTGGCATTGCACATCATCGTGAGCCTTCGCAGATTCTACCGGAGTGGAATGTGCAGGGAAATATCGGTGTAGTCAGGGTGCAATGGGCCTAAAACATTAACATTGACAGCAGATCGCGACTTGGGTGCAATCCAAGTGAAATGTGCTCAAATATTGCATGAAATGGCCAGATCACCACATGATTCCTGCTGGGTGTAATCTGGCGCTTCACGCGGTGCAGCCTCCATATGAGGGAAAAATGCAGGGTGGCTGCATATCTTCTCAGGTCAAATTCCTGCTGCTTAGCACATTTGAGCCAAATTTTCCCTATATATGGGAAAACTGCTGACTTACATGAACAGCCAAGTGAAGGGTAACCCATGTTCTACCTTTGTCACAATGTAACCATCATGTGAATGGTGAACTTAACCGTTAGTCACTCACTTCAGTGTGTGCAGATAACCACCCACGAAGTAAACATGGAGGTTCTACCATATGGAAGAGCTGCAGGATACTATGGGATATAAATGATAACCAAGGAAGAGTGTAGGGTATATTGGGGGGAGGGGGTGGGGTTACTTGTGGTTACTGGCTGTTGTGTTTAGTGCTGATCAAGCACCCTTAGACCGTTGAAGTTGAAAGAATGTGAACTCTACAGGCACACTCAGACACATTCTGTCACCCGGATATTGAAGGGAAAAGTCATATCAAGAGGATCCAGTGACACATTTTTGACAGATGTGCTGTACTATTTTGCATTCTTTTTTCTGTGCTCTTCCAGCCAAAAGAATGTAAGTGTGACACTTTTGATTACACGGCCAAAACGGGCAGGCACTATAAAGGCATTAGACGAAAATCTTTGTCATAGCATAAATGTCCCCTAAATACACCCATAATATTGTGCCATTTCAGTATTTTTTACCAGCCTTCAGAGAGGGTTGGATGTGAGTCGTCCGAATCGCCCGTGATTTGAAATGCCATTTCTGGCCAGTGAGCGGGCGAAATCCTGGATGTGAGAGGGCGGTTTTGGTCTGTGCCTCCGGTCTGGTTTTGGTGCTTCAGCAGTGGCCCTGGTTCAGCCATAGTCGTGAGGCATTGATCCAGTGCCAATGCGACCTCTGTTTGGCGTTGCAGTGGCCTCTCGGGATCATTGTTACGAAATAGATCAATAAGGCAATCGGAAGGGAAGACAATGTCGGCAACATGGCACGAAAGCTGGCACTGTCGACTATGGAAATCTCACTTGCACTCTGGGCGCGCATGGCTTTCCTCGTAAGGACGAATACAATTCATTTTGTCGTTGTTATTGACTATATTTTTCTACAGCGTTCGGCGGCAATCAGCTTCGACTGCATGCCGAAGAAAGTGCTGCATCTTAAGAAGCAGACTGCGATGCAGAGCCCTGGTGACTCGGAGCCAGCCGTACCAGCTACCAATGCCAATATCGACTCCTGCAATGGTTCAGAAGAGCCTCGGGCTGCAGACAGCGGACACGATGCAGACGCTGGGCTCAGCAGTGGCACGTCTGAAGTGCCTGGTCCATCTTCTCAGCCCGGACCTATCGAGGAACCTCTATATCTAGCCAGTGGTTTTTGGAACTATGTTGACGACCTGCTCGTGGCCATTTGCAATGATGTGGGTGCCCATGGTGGGACCCGGGAAGAGCAGGAAGATGCGCTCAAAAGGTGAGACTATGTCGAGTCTCTCTTTTGCAAACTAACATGATCTACTTAGTTTCTTTACTGCGACATTCCAAAACGATCTGAGGGCATTTCGTGGCTTGGGTGCATCGGAGAAAGGGGAGGTTGTGACTGTTGACTGGCAGGTCACAATCCAGGACAATCTCATGTGGTGAAATCATCACTTCCTCGCGCGTTTATTGTTGTCGGTGGCATCGCCATAATAACTTTTTCATCTCCACATGGACTATTTACTATGCATATTCCTGTCCTGCTTTGTTTACACTACGTGCTGTTAATTTCACGGATATGAGGATATTATGAAGCCTGCAGTACCCGGGTTCAGAAAATATAAAAAAATGAACAGCCAGCTCGAGGCTCACAGAAGCCATAGAACAGGCCGAAACCAGCAGCAGAACCGCACCGAAGTGAACAGCTGGATGGGGGGTCTGACTGCCAGCCCTGGAATGGTGCCGCATTCGAGCTCTTATGGTCTATTTGCGCCGCTGTATCGATCACGATTATCGAGGCTGTTTAGGCATTTGTTTAAATTACTATCACAGCATTAGACGAAAATCTTTGTAACGGGGCCGAACACGGGCTGTTGCGAGGACTCCGCTCTCAGGCCCCGCTTCGGTGCCATAGAGTTTTGGCCGTGTACATGGAGGTAGTATCTTACCCATCCCAATATGTGCACCGGTGCAGACTAGCCGCAAACAGTCTGATAACGTGGGGATCGGCCATGACGTATACGATGGTCTGAGAGGATGCGCGAGCGCACGTAAACGACGCCGGTGCACCTCAGACTAGGAGATCCCGACAGCAGCAGATGCAAAATGCGCATCACGTCGATGCAGCAGCACCCACGGGTTTCTGATTACTATTGGGGGAGTACTTGCGCCGCGCTGCTCGGAGGTGACATCGGCGTGCGGTGTAATAAGCACTGACTAACGGAACGCGTACACGCCCAGACAAACCAGGGCGCCGCACGATGAAACGGTCGAACTAAATTAGCTGGTCAAGTGGTGGTGGTGGTGGTGGTGTGTCAAGTATATATAACGCGAGACCAGCGGAATAGCTTCACGCATCGGAGGTATATGCGGGGGGCCCTTCGCTGGGCGGGCTCGTGGACATTAGATATCGGTCTAGCGTACAAGTAGCGGTACGTATACACGGCGCCGCGCCTCCACCCTTCGGTGCCGCACAACCTATACATAGCCTATAGGTATACAACAAAGAAACACCGAACGGACAGACGCAGTAGAAGATGTGTCATGTATGGCCGTCGCGCTTGTCGCGCCTATCCCGCGGGCTGGTGGTGCGCCCGGACGTGCTGCGCTCTGCGCTGACCGCGTCCACCGCGCGGTCCCGCAACGACGCGGGCGAGCCGCTGGAGAGGAGCGCGCCGATGGCGATGGACTCGCGCGAGCGCGGTGAGCCGCTGCCGCTTCTGTTGCTGTGCGTCGACGCGGAGGAAAACGGAGACGGCGGGAAGGGGAGGTCGTGCGCGGGTTGATCGAGACGCTCGCGCGGGCGGTACGCGCGGGGCTGTGGCGGGGGTGACTGGGAGGCGCGGCGGCGCTTGCGGGACTGGTGGGCAGCGGGAGGTGGCTGGGAGTGGCTGGGCTCCGCGCGCCGGGGGTGGTCGTAGGCTTCGTGTACGTGGGAGTGGTAGAGGGAGTTGGAATAGTGTGAGGAGGGGTAGGCGGGGTGAGAGTCTGCGATGTGGAGGGGGGCGAGGGAGGGCCGCATGGGAGCTTGGTACATGTCGAGCATGGTGCGGTGGAGGGAGGCGACGGAGGCGAGGCGCTATAGGTGCCATGGGATCAGACAGGTGGGAAATAGGAAGGAGAGGCTGGACGAACCTGATCCTCGGCGCTCTTGGCATTAAGCATGGCGATGAGCATGTCGCGGTCTCCGTCGCCCTTTGTTTTGTACGCTTCGAGAATTTCACGGAGAGTGGGCGGGGGTGCCTGTAGCATCGGTGAATATGCAAATAAAATGGGAAAAAGCGGCAGAAAAAGACACGGACCTGGTCGAGAAGATGCCATACGGAGGCGATGGCAGTGTCCAACGGCTGGTCAATGCGGTGCGGGGGGTGGTAGGCGAAGCGGTTGTTGTCGAGAGGGAGCGGGGCTGGGGGAAGGGCGTTCATGGGTGGGTCGGGGAAGGGAACTGGGCGAGGGCATGGGATGGACGTTGTTGCGTATAAATATTGTCTGGAGGGCCAAGGAGAGGAGCTATCTTTGACCTGCGCCTGCATAATTATAGCATGCCAAGCCTCTACCACTCATCACCCTTCCGCTCCCGGCCTTGCCATCCGGCCCACACCTCTCTGTCGCTGGACAAAATTGAAGCGTTCGTCTGAGCCCGTTGGTGGGCAGCTAGAGCGGAGAGGGTAGAACCTGGGCAGACTGGTGCGGATGTAAAGACGGTGGTACATAGTCCGTGGAGGACGCGGAGGCGTCGAAGGACGTCTCGACTCGGCCGGCGAAGAGGACAGAAATAGATGGCTATTCTGGGAAAGGCTTGGCACGTCAAGGACCCATACGATAGGCTATTTTTGTCCTCGGGGCCGATCGTCGCGACTGCCAAAGTCATCCTGCTCACTCTCGCATCTGAACTCTTCTGAGAGCTCACTCAACGCCAAGCGGACTTGCTGTGAAAGTCCTGATACTTCGAGCGTTCTCCGAGCGGCGCATCAAACCTCGGCGTAACGTGACTAACCCCGCTGACTGACTCTCTCTGACTCCTCGCCCGTTCTACTTATACCGCTCTCCCCCGTCCTCGACGCCATCACCGTCGTCGTACGTAGCAAATAACATGCCGTTCTCCAATCTCACCCACGACGCTCTTGACCGCGTCCTCACCTTCTTGTCTGACTTCAACACCCTCAGTGCTGCCATCCTCATCGACAAGAACATCTACCACGTCTTTCAAGCTCGACCAAAGTCTATTCTGCGCGCAGTCGCCTACAACGCCGTCGGCCCCGCCCTGCCCGCCGCCCTCAGGCTAGCCAAGAATGAAGAGTCTCCCACAGAGCCTCCCGCTGAGGATCAACTCACCGGAACAGACGTGCGCTTCAACCGTGCAGAAGCTGACAGGATCGTCGCAGGCGCCACCGTCATCTCCGGCTTCGAAGACCTATTCAGCTGGAGGTAACGCCCTCTCATCTCTCCTCTATCTCCTTCTTAAACGTGAGACAGACACAAGGACCGCTCGTCCCCTATCACCAAGCTCACCCCCGCCGAGTCCCTCCGCTTCCACAACGCGTGCTACCGCTTCTGGGCGTACTGCGCCATGTTCGAGGACACCCATTATGACTGGGACCTGGAAGACGACCTGGACAATATTCCAGAGGACTGCATTGCCTTTTTCAATGCCTTCTCCGACCGCGACCTCTTTGACATCGACCGGCTCGTCAGCTTCCTTGTTGAGACCGTCCAGTGGATCGACCATGTCCACTACCCCGAGGGCGGTCTGTTCCTCCCTCTTAGCACTGACTGCGCGCTCCTCTCATGCTCTGCCTCCTCTCTGTATAGGATATTCGAACCACGCAGGCTTTCTTGCGGAGTGGCCAGAGGCCATCCTGAAGGCGTACAGAGGGTATGGCCTCCACGCCCTGCACCATTACATGCAAGCGTCCTTCCGCAATGGATTCTACTCCGAGCCGTTCCAGTCGGTCATGAACTCGCGCGGCATCATCGCCGCTGGCGCCCGCGCAGAGAAGAGGTCCAAGGCCATCCTGGAAGCCGTCGTCGGTGACCAGGATCGATGTGGGACATCAGCTCCGCTCTACCATATTCTCCGCTTATAAAAATACAGGTCATCGATGCCATACCGTCTGCGGCGTCAACCTCTGGGGCGCATCGAGTAAGCTGTTGCGTTCTCCCTCCTCACGCGAAGCGACCCATCTCACTTGCACGCAGACTTTCACCTCCTGAAGGGCATTCTCAACGCGGACGACCTCCTCCGCTCGCTCCCTGGGCACCTCCGGCAGAACAAGACCGAGATGCGGCTCATCCTCGGCATCCTCGAGGGTGCCGCCTTCCCCGTCCCCGGCTTCGATTGGCCCCTCCCCACTTTTGTTGCCATGCCTCCCCTGCACAACCCCAACGCTCCCCCTTATGCATTGCCCGCCTTCCACGCACAGGTTGCCGGCGCTGCCTTACCCGCCCCGAACCCACCTGCCGTCCCAGCGCCCGCGCCCGCCCTCGTTCCTGCACCAGCCCCAGCCGCAGCTCCAGTCATCCCAGGTCTAGCCGCGCTGGCATCCATGCCCGCGGTACCTCCAGACGGCCCTGGCATCGACTACGCGGAGCTCTTCGGCGAGATACTCTCGCTGCCGGCGGGTGCGGACGAAGGTACGGACCCCACGCTCGGCGCCTGGGATGCGGACGGGTGGTTCTGTGTCGGGTGCGTACGCGAGCTCTGTCGGGCACGTCTGTGGCGGTGGTGGCTCGCGCGGAAGCAGGAAGGTGCGTCCTGCGCGCTCGGCGTGCTGTTTGTGCTTGTGCTGATGTGCGTTTGTGGATTCTTTTTCGGGTGGTAGAGGATATGCGGATCGAGGAGGACTGCTGGTGGGTGCTGCTTGGCTCTGCGGCGCGTGGTGCTGATGCGTTTGGGATGCAGGTATGGCTGGAACTGCCGCACGCAGGTGCACAAGGCGTCGCATGCGACGCGCCTGAACGTGAGCCACATCTCTTTCTTTCTCGCTGCGAACCCCTCCTGACAGAGTTTGTCCCAGCATCTGTGCAAGCCCGCCAAAGGCGACCCGGGGAATTTGTGAGCTGGACCCCTGCGAGACCACGAAAGTCTGGGACATTTGTTTGCCTTTTAATTACCGCCGCATCTTTACGTAGTGTTGTATTCCCCCGCGTATGGACGTCTTCAAGTTCCCATCTCAGTCTGTGTGGAATATTCTGCGTGTGTAGGCCTTAGAGACGTACTTGCGGCATGAGCCAGGGAATAGTGAGTGAAGACGAGGTGTCAACAGCTCGGTCGCGCGGATAGCGTAGCCTGCGCCTTTCATCATCAAGTTCCATGCAGTCTAGTCTGTGATCTTTGCCAGCTTGGAGTGGCAGCAGTACTATACTAAGTACTTGCGTAGGTTCTACAGGTCTAGTGCCCATGTTACGCTTACATTGCGGCCCTTGTAGCTACAGAACATTAATCCCCATATTCTGGTGCATCAGCTGCAGTGAGGACAAAGCACTCAGAAAAGTGGCGCGAAGTGAGTCGTATACCGAAAGGAGAAGGTAAGATTCATAAGGAAATAATTGGGTAGAACTAGAAGCCCCGTTTGCAAGTGAAAAGTGGTGAGGAGTGACGGTGCATTTGCACCCAGGACAGCTCCCCTTCAGATCCAAAATGTATAAGAAATACAAAATATATTGACTCGCGACTCGAGCTCATCAACGTGCAAGAGAAATGATGGTCGTACCAAAAAAATTACCGCGTCTGACCTGCAGCACTGTTTTGAACTGCACGATCCACTTGAGCCGCAGCACAACGCAAAATCTTGCATTCGGTTCAGAGCGAACGCGCAGAGATCGCCCGAATTTAAGTATGAACGGATATCTATGCTGGTCGAGAAATATAGAGTAACTTGAAGCTATGCGGAGTGTCCGAACCTGCATAGGAAGAGACGGAATGCCCATGTAGGTAGGTAGGAAGTGAATAGGAACTGCTTTCACGTCGAGTGTAATGTTAACTATCGCCTTCCGACCGAGCCAGCCTGAATAAATATATTCTCTCCGGGCGGAAGTCGCCTCTCCACTTTGGCCATTTTTCCTTCAGCGCTGCATGGGGTGTTCTCTGAGAAAGTGATGCTGCATCACAATGTATCAGTAGTGGCATTTTCGTTGGAAGAGAATCGGTCAAGCGTGCTCTACCAATGGCTATGCAGTCAGGTCTTCAGAAGACAGATTTCTATTCACACTCCACGGAGCCATGGTGGAAGATCATATCCATGTTCATACATGAGAACCAATTTACGATTCTTTGGCAAGGAAAATGTCAGGACGGGATCGTACAGGAACCGTCCGCCCATTATTCTGCATTACCGACAGCTCGACGCCGCTGTTTTCCGTGGTCAGTCATTTCAAGCCGAGTCAGTCACCACTTATCGCACACACCTGCTTGCGCGCATACCACCACGAGCGAAGGCGCTTCCTCCAGAATATGAGCAAGCAGTCCCGGCAGTACCACTGGTCCGCCTCCCAAACCTGAGAGTCGTGAACTTGCAGTGCAAACAGCTCCGCCATCAAGTCAGCGGAATCGATCTGGCGCGCACATTCATCGAGCATACTATCCTCGTACTGGCGATTGCACTGACTCCAGGGTATATGAGGCTTCAGAAGGTGCCAGTCTGTACAGATTTAAGGACAGTCAAATGGTATGTCATCAGGAGTGAGACGGAAATGGACCTACTGGACGGGCCCCAGAGGCCCAGGCCTACAATATTATGACACCGGTAACCTACAAGCAGTATTTGCCGCTCAGCAGAGAGTAGAAGCTCGGTAAAATGTTGCATACACTGATCATCCGCCCCGACTACCGTGTCCAAGATGGCAGCCGCAGCCTCGACATTGCGCCTATGTTTCCCTACGCCTCGTGAATCCAAGACGCAATTGTAGGCCTCCGAAAAGAAGTTTTCACGAAAGAGACTACAGTCAAAGCTGCGATGTGACATCCTGCCTTCAAACGCAGCCAGAATGTCGTGAGGTTCCTGAAGTAAAGCACTCTCAGGCCATGCTGCAGAAAACATGAGATTAGGACTCGCTAAGGTGAGATGAACGTACTGGGTTACAGAATTGTACTTGGATACACAAACGACGTCCATTGAACCGTCTCGCTCAAGAACCTGACCATTCTAGCAATGTCATAGAGGTCGTTTTTGGTAAATTGGCGCAGATATTCGATGCTGGTCTCGGGAACGATGTCTACGCCGCCATCATCATCAGAGTATTCCCCACACCGTACGTAGTCTTGAACCTCTTGACAATACTGCCAAAACCGATAAAGAGCCACTTGGAAGCGCAAGGACTCGGCCGGTGTGAGTATGCTGTATGACGAAGAACGATCCTTGCATCTGCGTTACGCAATAAGAGTGGCCACAACACCACGGATCAGAACGCCCACTTACCTCCTACTGAAGAGATTCTCGAGCCGTAGCACAGTCTGTGCTTGGGAGACTGCGACATCAGCGGAGTCGCGAGCAATTACCATATCTGAGGCCATCAGTTGAGCTTTCGAAAATGATTTGCCATTATGATCGAGCTTCAGAGCAGTAGGCCATGCGGGCCCAATGGCATTGACGAGGATGGCATGAACAATTGATCTTTGTCGGGCTTGAAAGGCGTTGTACCAGAGCTTACAGGTGCGGATGGCGGCAGAAAGGCTCGTAAAGTCAGACAAGTCAGTGAGAACGCGGTCAACGAGGTCATGGTTGAGCGAAGTGGCTGACATGGTGATGGAGGTAAGGTCGTCCAACAGGTTTAGGTCAAGTTTTGGCATTCTGCGTGGTGCTTTCGGTGTCTGACCTCCGGACATACTGTGTCTCGGCTAATAGAGTATCGGCTACTAGTATTCGGTATCGTCTGTGCACGATGCGCGCACCGCGCGTCGGGGGGCGCTCGTCGTCGTCGGCGATGAACTCGACTATCTCTTCATTTCCTCACCGCTTTTGGCATTTTTTTAACTGCATATACAGTATTTGTGTACCAATTATAGAGTATATTAGTGGGTGAATCAAATAGACTTACTCTCGAGCAAGGAGGCCTTACCTACTGTATCTGAGTCCATCATTCGGGCACCATATGCCATGGTGTGTTGACCGCACCTGTTCACCTTGGGTTGTGATCCTCATTAGTTGCACGTTGTCCTTCGCTATACCGTCGAGCCCTTCCTCAGAGATAATGGTCCCGTCCTCGACCTTCGCGGGACCCTGATGTCTGATCACACATAAGGGAACACACGTCAGTGCCAGCCCACAAACAGAAAGTGAATCCGCGAGCGGCCGCGGGCACATAGAAGGGTGTTACTCACGGTTTCCGCGCGAGGGCCATAACGGCCTTGATCGTGGGCACGAGAAACGTAACTCGGGCGTGCTCGTCGGCGAAGAGCTCGCTGATCGGCGAGCGTCGGCTGGGCATTCGTCTGCGGGGTGTACACTTCGCCTGCATCTGCGGATTCTAATTCTGATAAACTAGGGAGAACCATTTGGTCCTCGGTGGAAGCTGAGTCGAGTAGGGGGAGGACGAGGAGAGAGAAAAGATGGAAGCGCATTGGTACAGTGGACAGCAGAAACGAGAGAAAGGCTCGCACGGGGGTGCACCGACTCCGTATATATTCCAAGCTCGAGTCCCAGAGAACGTCTATTTGTACGCGAACTCCAAACCTGGATGGAGGTATGTAAATTGTTCAGAATAAATCGGAGAAAAATACTTCGTTTTCCAGGCACGCCGTGACGTCCTTCAGTGATTGGAGACTTACCCCAATCTGTGTTCATCTTGCTATGATGCCAGATAGCAACTCCCACTCTCACCTCCCTCTCATAATTCACGGCCGGATGCCATGAATATTTTCTACGAGGTGGGTGTCTAGGAGTTCGAATGCAGGCCGGATGTGAAGGATCCGGAGTAATAGCGGAACTACATATCCACCCGCTTCCCGTCGTTCCCGAATTCTTTCTTGTAGCGGCGCTGACACAAGATGATGACCGATTCAGAAGAGAATCGGAATTGATATCTGAGCAAGGGAGCGAGGGTCGCCTGGAGCACCACTGACTAAGACAGGGATTTCTCAGCTATATAACCCCCAGCGGGCAGGACGAAGAAATTCGCGTCCGAAGCACTCGCCCCAATTACTGTTCCACCTCTGTCTATTCAGAACTCGCGTACATCGTAGATATGTCTGTTGTTAAGATGGAATATAACGATAAGGGTATGCCCTTCCGACGCCTCGGGAACAGCGGCCTGCGTGTCCCTGTCTTCTCGCTCGGTGGATGTGCGTATCTGCATTGCAGCACCTCTTCTTGATTAGCGGGCTTATGAACGTGTCAAACACGCTCTTTCACAGGGCTTACGTTCGGCGAGGACGTTATTGGTGACCCGGTCAAGGTGCGTCGATCGTCTGCCAGTAACGTCGCGAGGATCCTGAGGTAGTGCATAGGACATTATGAAAGTTGCATTCGAGAACGGCGTCAACATGTATCTATCTTTTATAACACCCTTGCACTCTGTCAGGAGCTAATATGCGATGGGACGAGGTTCGACACCGCTGAAGGTTACGGTTCAGGAAACTCGGAAATCGAGATGTGCGTCAAGTGAACTGGCCGGCGCGTTTTGTTGGATTGAATGTGCGTATCTACAGGGGTCGAGTGATCAAGGAACTTGGTCTCAGACGGACGGACCTGATCATCTCCACCAAGATCTTCGTCGGCACGCGTAAGAACTCCCCGAACGACACGGGCCTGTCGAGAAAACAGTAAGTCTGCAATCCAACATCCAAGCATTTGGGGGTGCAGGACTGAGTATTTTGTGTAGCATCATTGAGGGCACGAAATTGTCGTTGCAGCGTCTGCAGCTTGACTATGTTGACGTCCTCTTTGCACACCGTCCGGACCCCAGCGGTATGTTGCAGCTGATTTGTCCTGCGGATTATAATGCGAATCTCGTGCAGTTCCGATGGAGGAGGTCGTCCGTGCCTTCAACTTCGTGATCGACCAGGGTTGGGTATGTTCCGCTGCCTTGAGTGCTCTGTAACATGCGTGCTAAGTGCCCGTATGCAGGCGTTCTACTGGGCTACCTCGGAATGGTCTGCGTTCCAAATCGAGGAAGCAATACGTGTGTAGCATTCTAGTTGTGCAACGCAGATCTGAGCATTGTTTGCATTTGCTAGACGTTGCGGACAAGCTTGGTTTGGTGGCCCCCATTGCTGACCAGGTCGAGAAGCAGTATGTACGCCACCTTGTTCTTCTGTCTTGTTCTCACCGTTACGTTTGTTAGCATGTTCCACCGTGAGCGTGTGGACAAGGAATACCTGTAAGTACACCTTCCCCTCAGCCGTGCACATCATCGCCTGATCGTCATTCCGCAGTCCTCTGTTCGATAAATACCAATACGGCACGACCATCTGGTCGGCACTCGCTGGCGGCATGCTTACCGGCAAGGTACGTGCTCTTCTGGAACGGAGGGTTCGTGTGAGAGCGACTGACACACCTGTACTGCAGTACAACAACGGCGTGCCCTCAGACTCGCGGTTCGCGAAGCACGGAGAGCTCTACGGGTGGTTCCTCAACCAGCCCGAGGAGGCGCAGCGGCGAATCACCAAGGTCAAGGCGCTTACCGAGCTCGCGGAGAAGGGTGTGTCTTTCCCCGCGCCCCTACATCCCTTCATGAAGCGGACTGACGATACCGGCGTGCAGAGCTCGGCTGCACGATGACACAGCTCGCGCTCGCGTGGGTCGCGGTGAGCCCGAACACGAGCACCGTCATCCTCGGTGCGACCAAGCCCGCGCAGGTGCTCGAGAACCTCAAGGCGATCCAGGTCATCCCGAAGCTCACGCCTGAGGTGCTCAACCGCATCGAGACGATCTTGGAGTCGAAGCCCGCTGCAGAGGTGCGTGGCATTGTTTTCTGGGCGTGATTTTCGCCCGGTCGCTGACTTTTTTGGATGTAGCCCTTGTGGGGCCGCCCGGTGTTGGACAAGTTTGGGAGACAGACGCAGTACTGAGACGTTGATAACTAGAGGGGGCGATCTTTGTAGGGTCATTTGCGCATGTGTTGAAGTAGAGGTGGTTAGATGTGTATCATAAAATGAGTTTTCATGAACTGCAATAGATCGATGGCGGCTGAGTTCGATCACTCGAGCGGCATGTCGGCTATGTAAGCCTGTTACGGTGTACACTTCGACCGCTCGATGTTCGACCACCACGGTATCCTTGTCTGCGTCAGCTTGTAAACACATGTGAACGGTCTTAGGCCAGTGTAGTGCCTATTCGAAACAATGATCCATGCGGTGCTCATCTGTCTGAACTATCCCTTCGTCTTCTGAGCCCTGCTCACACCCTTTCCCTCAGTCAACACTTCCGGCGTCCCGCGTCTCACCAAGTTCTACTCCCCCCTTCACAGCTCTGCACAGCCGCTGATACAGAAGATATATGCGCTCGTATCGCCCCGCCCTTCAGGTCTCTGCAACTTCCTTGACGCGCCGGAGCTTGATGGCTTCCTGAAGGGCGAGAAGGACGGTGACAGACTGAGGGTCGTCTACCGGAGCTACGCCACGTTGTACTTCGTGTTCGTGGTCGACAGCGCTGAGAGCGAGTTGGGGATCTTGGACTTGATTCAAGCAAGCGTTTTCGATTTGCATATTCCTACGCGCTCTCACAGCGCGCACACCTTACATAGGTCTTCGTGGAGACGCTCGACCGTTCGTTTGAGAACGTATGCGAGCTAGATCTCGTGTTTCACTTTGATGAGGTCCGCCTTATTTCCCGTTGACCAGCGTTGTATCTCATGCAGAATGCGCCAGGTCCACCATATTCTCGCCGAAGTAATACAAGGAGGACTTGTCCTAGAGACGAATGTAGAAGAGATTGACCGCGCAGGTAAGCATTTTTCAAAACGAATGTCGCCGGGCCTGCCGTGTCTATGATAGCAAAATTTGACTGAGCACATACTTGAAACAGTACGTGACGCCGCGAGAGCACGCAAAGAATCGTTTGCATCTGCGAACCCCCTGTCGCTTGGAGGCGGGAATGTTGGCTCGCGCGGTGGTGGCTTACAGACACCTTTGGGTTGGCTGACAGAGAGGCTGACCGGGGTAGGGGCAAGATAATGACAGATGGCTATGCAATTGTTGTCAGTCCATTGGTGGACAGGGATGTACAACGTATTCTGATAGATTACTAGTGGGATCGATCAAAATTCCCGCAACAGTTGATGCTTATCAGCGGACAATCCCTATTGTCGAGCATTAACCAAGGCTGTATAGGGCCATTGTATCCGTATAGGCCGGCGCCCAATCGACGGGATATCTGGATGCAAACAGTATTACGACGAGATGACACCCGTGTCATTGGGGAAAACGTGTGAGATGGAGATTATCTGTACATCCTGTAACATAGACACAATGTGATCTGTCGTCAGGCAGCTGTAATGACTTACACGCTCATGCGATGGGAGGAGGTGCAATGGATGTTCCTTTGGAACATGGGGTTCAGATTGAAACTCATCAGAGTAAGTTACACCGGAGAGGTTACTCACTTTTCCTCTTCTTCTTCCCACCGCCTGGAGGTCCCTTCACTGGTTGGTTTTCTGGTGGTGTCGGAGCGTCGGGAACTCGTTTCGGCGTTGCTCCTCGGGTTGGAGCAGGAGCAGGAGTAGCAGAAGATCGAGCGCCTGTCCCTAGAGCAGGAGTCTCGGTGACGGTGCTCTCCGACACAGCCGCGGGAAGTGTGAAGGTCACATTTGCATGCAAGGCCGTGGTCCGCATGGCATTAATCAGAAGCATATTATTTTGCTGCCTCTCAGGCTGGGTGTCCTGCTTCTGCGACGAGTGGACGGGAAGATCCTCTACGTCGGTGCTGGTGGCTGCTTCTTCATCTGACCCATGCTCCTTGACAGAAGTGGACGTTGACGACTCCACAATTGGCCATGAGAAACCGGTTCGTGGAGTATAGTCAGGCTTGTATGCTCGTAACGTATTCATGGAGTTTTGCAGGGCATGAAGCGACGTCAGCTGGAGCAGTGTTCGAAGCTCAGCATCTAGATGGAACGGACAGCGGTATCACTCACCAGCCTGTTTGAAACGAGGGAGTAGACGTCTGGAGACTGATAGATGCGATTGTGCATTATGAAATACGCTGCCAGTGGGCGAACTGTCTCACATCGTTTCTATATTAGCATCATGCTAGCCACCATCAGCGGTGTACACCATACCTTCCTCTGGGGATAGCCGCTCTCTTTTATGGATGATGAACAGTGACGGAGGTTGGGCATGTACGACAGCGAATTCAACGCCTGTGAATCGTCTGCAGTTGGAGATGTGATGTCCAACAGCATTGCCCGCAACAACCGAGGGGACTCACTTGAGCTCCTCCGCTTCGTTGGCCAATGGCACGCCGGTGTGCATCGTCTGCATGCGCAACACCTGATTGTTGCTCTGCTTGTCATAAAACATGGATGTTGCGAAGTAGTCAAAGACGTTCTCGTTTGTGAGTGGACCGTTAGCCTGGACGTCAAGAATAAGTAGCGGGTTGGACACGCTACGAGCAGAGATAGACGACCTGTATCCATTCGTGCCAGATGAAGAATCTGTGGCTGTAGTCGTCCGGAGGGTGTAGATCGTTGATGTCCGACATGGTAGACCTTTAAAGATCAGACTGTAAAATGACTGCTGCTGCCGCCTGGTAAATGGGCAGTAATGTTGGTGTGGTAAACTGAAATAACTTCAGACAAGTGCCGCCGCAGTGCCGGACGTCCGAGGAGCTTCCTGTCACGTGCACGACGCGTCCACGACGCGTCGGACTCGTTGCAACGCACGCGGCAACGGGGCCCACGCCTCTCCTGCCGCCGAACTGTACTGACAAGTTTTTGGACCCACTAGTCTCTGCTACTTTTCATTACCCACCTCGCTATACCGAAAACGTGTTCTTGGATGGGCCCATTTTTCGTAGATACTATGCGGAAGCATGCGCGGCCAGTACCGGCGGTGACAGATCAATCCACCCATGCATATATTGCCACCGTGTCATCCATGCTTTGGTTGCCGATGAGGCAATCTGTTCACAAGTAGGTTGTGAGCGATGCATCCTCTTACAAAGTCTTCTGCTAGTTGGTCATGTCTTAGTCTGCTCTGGGTGAGTACATGTTCCGTTGTGTGTGTGTGTGTTTGTTCAGTGTCGATTGTGTCTTAACTAACATTTGACGAGCATTCTCACATCTATCTGCTGCAGATCTACTCTGCATACGAAGAAAACTCTGATCTCTTACCAGTGCTTGCGAAATGCACTAGTAATCAACCGCAACTGTGCGACCCCATCGGAAGCGGGCGGCCGTGCTCGATGGTATGTCGTAAACGAAGATTTCTGCGCAGGGCAGTTCGTTAAATTGGCACCACTGATGAGTCTGCGCTGTATCAGGTTTGGCGGAATCAATACAAGACGTTTGTTTCGCTGAGCTCGAGTGAGCTCTATAGCAGACATTTAATCAGTGATGTCCGATGACATCGCGGTATCGATGCGGTACGTTTGCGAGTCTGTGATGATGCATAGTAGTTAACGGTTGTGCCTCGACACTGGTATTGCGGACATCTACGAGATCAGTCGATCAATCTTCGCACCTATTGTGCTGCACAGGTTGAGCTGGGGAACCATCACCGTACCAATCCTTTGAACCATTGCCGACGTCTGCGGTTAGGTACTGGACATGGACCGAAGACTGCGTGCGACTGACTGTTCATGCGGCTCCCAGCACCCTTCCGGTAACTCATCGGTACAATGCCGTCATATACATATGCGCACTGCAGAAATCTCACTTGACTGCTCTGGTCTGCATCATTCTTGTCTGCATTATTTGGTACCTAACCGGTATCCTGTGCTGGCGGGATCCAGTAAAGGGTGAGTAGTTACCCCCAAGCCCAGGACAGAAAACAACTAGCCTACGCGAGGGTCGAACTCGCAGTGGAGAACGTTAGACCCTTGCAAGCCCGAACACGTGCCGCCGCGACTCTGCTGGGCGCGCGCCGTCAAGTACTCGCAGTCCAGTGTGAGGTGCAAGATAAAGCTTCGACACTTCTAAGAGTCTGACGCTGTGTCTAACTGAGCTAGGTCGATTATTACCATTTATAAAGTTTAATTTTTGGACTATGCGTCCTTTGAGCCAGACTAGAGTCCGAGTATGCACTTGGAGTGCACTTTGCAGTTAGCACTTTGCAGTTTTTGCTATCTGGCCTGCTGGCCTGCTGGCACTGGAATCTCGAGCGGACCTTGCTCTATGTCGTTGATGAATGTCATTCACATTGCTCTAGGCATTTAGCCCCGGTCAGGCGAAATCATCGCTTTTTGTTCCACGTCGCAGGTCAACCAGGTAAGGAAGATGATATGAACGTTACGAATGACATACTCACACAGGCGCAAATCTTGTTGGCCGCAGAATACCCCCCACTCGAATACTGCCCGCTATCCGAGCAGAACGCCTCTGAGCGCTTAGTCATCCTACAAGTGCGAAATGTCGTCCGATGCCTTCGTGGAATCGGTGTGCCGTCATCGCACTTGTGAGAAGAGCTTTGAATTTACGATGACTCACTAGGCGGTATTCGCGGGTCGGATCACATCGAGATACTCGGCGTCTTGGCTGACAGCGACGACCTCTTGGGCGCGCCCGTAGAACTCAATGCTCATCAGCGCGCCCAGATAATTACACGAAGGAGTTGACGGATTGGCATCGCGACATTGAAGACACAGTCACCACTAGACCTAGACGAAACAAAGCGGAATGTTGAGCGGGTGCCCGACGGCAACATCGACGCCTAAACCATCGGTCGTCAAGAGCCGTGTGACAAACCAGCACCTGCCTGAGATTATAGGGGCTAATTCTGTGAGAGATACCGCAATGATAAAGGGCACGAATATGGAACTCTCATTGGCGCATGTAACCTACCATTCGTGCATGACCGAGTCGAGCGATTTCACAGTTCGTTTGGACGTGTATGTACGCCATATTCACCGGACCATATTCGAACGCCGTGCATTCCTCGAGGCAGAAGAAGCATCGCGCGTTGGGTACGCATGGCCTGGAGCAAACAGTGTATTGCGGACCACAGCCGGTGGAGCAGAATGAGTCGGCGGCGTGTAAATCGTTCGGTCATAGAAGGGCCCTGACAACGGCATACAAATTACCGTTCAGTAAAGCAAACCAACAAGGTTAGCTCCAGGTGCTCTCCGAAGGAACAACAAAGCCAGGCTCTTACGTGATCGGCGTCAACTGGGGGCCGCAGGAAACCACGGCAAATATTGCATATCCGTGACAACCATACTTTCAGCCGCCACATTCTCACTCCTAGACCAGTGTCTATTGTGTTTGGTGATGAACAATACCGTTACAATGAGGTAGCGGACATGAACTGACCAAATGAGGTGTGAAATCACGGAGGGAAATTCAGACTGCCCATTCCCAGTATGCGGTACCGACCAAAGACACCAGCCACCCACAGGGAGAGCACCGAGTCAACTGAGAAGACCAGCAACACTATGCGTGTATGCACAGCGACGAGCACCAGGATGGCCAAGCGGGGTGCAGATTTCGAACACATATTCCGGCTTCGAAATTGATGATGGTCGCCAGTCAGCCAGAAGAAGGTGGGGAATATTCCGTAAATGCAGCCAGCGAACCCTCCGAAGCTCGGAACAGCATGTGAAATACTTGCGACTCAAGATAGCACGCCTGAAAGGTACGTTGACAGCTGTATCCGGGGCCCAATTGGTACCGTACCCTGGCTGGATGGTCAACGCTCTACTGGCAACGATTGTGAGATTCACCATAGATCACGATGCCTCATACAACTACGGATCACTGCGAAAAGACTCCACTAGAGGGCCGCCGAAAAGAAGTAATAAACGATGATAACTGTCGAAACCGGGCTATGATTGCGACATCAATAACGGAGGGGGAAATGGCTGTCACAACGACGCTCCACTGAACCATCGCTCACCTTTTACACAAAAGCGAAGTGCTGCGCTGACTGTGCAAGCAGTACCGCAGTACCTTAAACTGGCAGCAGCTTCTTCAGACCTGAAGCCTGGGGACGCAGCTTGAACGCAGCAGTATGACTCGGGCGTAGCGCCCTACTACAAAGGAGACAGCGAATCCGCACAGATGATGAAGTATCTCCCGGTCAAGAATCGCCCGAATCTATCGAGAATTTGATTACCCGCCATTGAGCGTGATGGCGCAGAATGTGCGCTCGTCCCCCCGGTCTTTTGCGAGCTGCGGAACTCATAGTAAAGCGCAGCATTCAAGCAAGAAGTACCACGGCAAGTCCACAATCGTGAGTGCCAAGTACCCATGACATGGAGGCGGAACAAGATTAGACAGCAAAAACGAGGAACACTCAAGAAAGTAGGGTCTGCATTTCGTTGGGATGACAACTCAACCGTCCGTCTACATCTAGAAATCGGACGCAAGGTGGCGTTTCGGCGGCGGTCCACAGATTCTGAGATTGACAGGAAGCCGGACCCGCGAGTTGAGGTGACTGTATTCGTGAGCAGCTGAGTGCTGCGCAACATTGATGACATCGTTTGCACTTGGCCTATGTGCGAGCCCAGAGTTTTCATCGCGGTATCACAGAACTAGGAAGGAACGGGGCTAGTCTATGCGGGCCGCTCGGGAAGTGACGACATGCACGATTGTGATAACACGGAGAGGCCGACGCTCGGTGGGATCCAGTTTTACATAACTTGTCGACGTCAGTGGCCACCGTGGAGCAACTTTGTAAGGCTCGGTAAGGCTTGATTCGAAGAGGTTGTCGGGATGTTTTTCAACGAGGCGAATGCTACTAACCTTGCTTTGGCCATGTGTAGTACAATAGATGAATACCTCCGTGCGGATCGAAACATTGGAGATGGGCCAAAGGTCCGAGTTGCTTGAGCGGGCCCAAAGAGGAGTGCCCTGACAGAAGTCTAACAGCACTGCCCCGGGTGACCAATCTCGAGCGAGTCACCGTTGCATCTCGATTCACCTGCCTTTGCAAGCGGCGTTGGCGTTAAGGCACACGGCACCTGAGCACATCGGAGACGGTACTGGGAGTCACCTTGGGTGGTGTGGGAGGAGCGAAAGGTAAAGAGACGGCAGAATTTGCGGCGTAGTTGGCCCGCGGGGGAGTTCGCTGTAGCCAAAAGAGGCAGGTGTATAGGTTGGCGCGTCTACGGCACAGCCCCCGGCGTGGGAAAGCGGCATGGTGGCCTACGTGTGCAGCCGATCCGCAGCACCCTTTTGACTCTTTCATCCGGATCCACGACGTTCTCCCAACCTCCTCCTGCGTGTCTCCTGCACAACCCTCCTGCGCCTACATAACTCGCTCCGCAGCCGCGATGTCTGACCAGCCTTTCTCTTCTTTCTATCCTTCAGCTACCCCGTTGGAACACTATCCATCCCCCGAACCTACCAGCACCCCCTACGTCGACACCGCCGACTACAGCAAGCAGCCCTTCGACTTCTTCAGCTACAGCCAGGGTGCCACTGACATCCTCGCCCCTCATCCCGACCAGTTCGAATCCGAACTCGATTTGTCCCTGGCCGCTTACGACGTCGAGCTCAATCTTCTGCCCGTCGATACCGGGGACTTCTTCACCTTCCTGAGGTCGGATACTCCCACTTGCGGGCCTCCATCCACCTTCACCGTCTCTTCCGAGTCGGTGTCAGGTTATGATTCTAGCTACGCCGACTCTCTCTCCAGTCATTCCGAGAGCTTCTACAACTTCAGTCCCCACTCTCCCACGCCTAATTACGCTAGCAACTACCCCGTTGCTCAGGACCTCGACATGGATTTCCAGAGATTGGGCATCCCTGCTCCTGAAGATACGAAGATGTATTGTGGCATACCTTCTTCCCCGTCCCGCAGCTCGCCGGGTGGTGTTCCGAACATCGCTCATTATTCGCCGCAGACGACGTTCTCCTCGCCTCGCGGAAGCTTCTCCGATTATGAGCCGGCGCAGCCTCAGTCGCGACTCGTCAGTTCTGCTGCCTCGGATTACTATCCGCAGGTGCAAGTATCCAAGCACCTCAATTACCCGGCGATGTCGAACGTTGCCCAGTCGACGGTTTCTCCTGCGAATGTCTCTCCGCAGCCCTCCGCTGTACAATCTGTTCCGATTACCAGGGGGAAGGAGGACAATGAAATGGATGATCCAAAGAGGAAGTACCCATGCCCCTCATGCCCCCGAGGTAACTCCTGTTGTCTGGTTTCTTCAATCTTGTTATTGACGTGTTTTGTTTCAGTTTTCGCTCGCGCGTACAACCTCAAGACACACATACAGACTCACGACCCCAACCGCTCCAAGCCGTACGCTTGTTACCACAAGTCGTGCGGTAGGTCGTTCAGTCGCAAGCACGACTTGACTCGGCACTTGGTGTCTATTCATCGCAACGAGGCAGTGTCTCCTGCGAACGCGTCTCCGACGTCTACGAAGTCCATCGGCGTGGAGAAGGGTCAGCGCACTTGGTGCGAGAGCTGTGGCAAGAGCTGGGTTGGCAAAGGCAAGGAGAAGGGTTGTGAATGCGACGATATGAAGTGAACGTCAGCTCGATATTTGGATCACCAACTTTCTGGGTTTGCGTGCGTCGTTACGTTCACTTGCTTGTGACTATTGTTCTGACTCCTCGTGTAGCTTCGCGCAACACTCACGTCCGTCTCAGTGGTGTTGAGGCATGACGTCGGTCTCTCCGCTCTTATCTGTGGCCGATTCCCTCATCATTGCGATGACGCATATGCTCGATTTCGACGTCTGACTACGTGTGGACCCTCTGTCCTACCGTCAGCCACCGTCACCGTTGAAATCCCCCTTCCACCTTTCAATCCTGATCAGTCCAGTTCCCCTCCCGTATGAAAGACACTCATACATACACTGTCTCGATTGTCAATGGTTATACCTCCCCTCTATGACGTGCACCTTGTCTAGATGTCGTTGATTCGTCGCTCTAGCTCGTCTGGTTTTGACATATCTTCCTTTGACATTTCTTTTCTCCCGTAGACGATCCACTTTACCGCTTTACCGCCTGCTTGAGTTATATGGCGTAGGCTGAAGTCCGTTGTAATTATTGTTGAACCGAATGCGAACCAAATTATCCGTATGATTATTGGTGCTTGCAGTTGGGTTGAGTGGCCACCGGGCGGATCATGGCGGTGGGCACTTGCCTATTTTGGAACTAAAGGTACCGAACATTGCCATCACGTGTCACGACGCGTCGAGTGTGCGTCAGTGTGACGTCCTTCCGCTTATTAGTCTTGGGTTCACCTGCTTGACTTCACCACATTAAAATATTACTTCTGTGACCCCTTATAATGCTATCTGTTCCAGAAAACCCCTGTACACGTTTCTCTCCCTCTCCCATCTCCACCAAACATGTCCACTGTCTCAGACGCAGTCAAACAAGCCTTCACTGCCGCAACCCAGAACCCGAAGGTCGCTGACCTTCACAGAGCTACCATTGACCCCTCTGCAAACCCTACTAAGGGTCTTACTACAGATCATGGTGTCTTTGTCTCCGATACAGACAATTGGTATTGTCTGAGTGCTTTCTTAGTCTTTACCCACCTGACAGGCACCTTAGGCTTAAAGTCACTGACGGCGAAGGTACCGGACCTTCGCTCCTAGAGGACCAGGTGCGTCTTTTAAGGGCTAGCATACATACATCGTTTTAAGGCGCATACATCTAGATTGCCAGGGAAAAGATACATCGCTTCGATCACGAACGCATCCCGGAGGTAGGAAATTCGGTACGATTTCAAGTTTGAAGCTAATTCACCATATTATTGTATAGCGCGTCGTTCACGCACGCGGTGCGGGAGCACACGGTTACTTCAAGGTCTACGACGATCGTGCTTCCAAATACACATATGCTCCCGTGCTCACCGACGCTTCGAGGACGACGCCCGTGTTCGTCCGATTCAGCACCGTCCAGGGCTCTCGCGGAAGTGCCGTAAGTTTGTTAAATTGGCTATAAATATGTGCTATCTACACTGCCTTTCAGGACACCGTCCGCGATGTACGCGGCTTTGCTACGAAGTTCTACACCCAGGAGGGGAATTGGGACATTGTTGGCAACGACATCCCGATCTTCTTCATCCAGGACGCGATCAAGTTCCCAGACTTCGTTCACGCCGTCAAGCCCGAGCCGCACAATGAGGTGCCTCAGGGGCAGAGCGCTCACAACAATTTCTGGGACTTCGTGGGTCTCCAACCTGAGTGTATGCGCCTGTTTATCATCCTCCGTGAGATGCAACTTGTTGACGAGTTGTAACTATCATGTAGCTGCTCATATGATTATGTGGGTGATGTCCGACCGCGGAATCCCGCGCTCCTTCCGCATGATGCAAGGTTTTGGTGTGAATACCTTCACACTCATGAATTCCGCGGGTGAACGTCACTTCGTGAAGTTCCATTGGCTTCCGGAGCTCGGGGTCCACAGTCTTATGTGGGATGAGGCACTGAAGATCGCAGGACAGGATCCTGGTAAGGCACTATATTAGTATTACTGCCCCACTCTGACCACAATTCTCACCGCCAGACTTCCACCGCAAGGATCTTGAGGAAGCCATCACCAGTGGAGCCCTTCCGAAGTGGAAGTTCGCTATCCAGACGATCCCGGAGTCTCGAGAGCATGAGTTTGATTTCGACATATTGGACGCTACAAAGATTTGGCCGGAGGAGCTCGTACCGCTTCAAGTAATCGGTGAGATGGTGCTCAACAGGACGGTGGACGAGTTCTTCCCTGAGACGGAGCAAGCGGCATTCTGCACCAGCCACGTCGTCCCCGGGATTGGCTTCAGTGACGACCCGCTATTGCAGGGTAGGAACTTCTCCTACTTTGATACTCAGATCACCAGGTTGGGCGTTAATTGGCAGGAACTTCCAATTAATCGGCCTGTGTGCCCGGTACTCAATAATCAGCGCGATGGGCAGATGCGACACAAAATTACCAAGGGGCAAATCAATTACTGGCCGAATCGCCTAGAAATTGGTCGTCCTGTACCCACGAGCGACGGAGGCTATGCGGAGTGAGTGTCTCATGGTCGTCTCGCTGTTGCGTCTCTATCTCACCACCACGAATTTTCAAAGCTTCGCTCAGAGGGTAGCGGGAATTAAGCAGCGTGTTCGCGGTGCCAAATTCCAAGAGCACTACAAACAGGCTCAATTGTTCTATAATTCACTCGCGCCCCACGAGAAGGCCCATATTGTCAACGCCATCTCCTTCGAGCTGAGTCATTGCGATGATTCCGTCGTATACGAGTTGTACAGCAAGATTCTCAACAACATCGATTTCGAGCTTGCCAAACAGGTCGCCATCAATGTTGGCGGTGTGATCCCCGAAGCACCGGCGCGGGAGAACCACGGCAACGCGACGCCCACGCTCTCCCAACTTTACTACGCCCCCAAGGTGCCCACCATCGTCTCCCGCCGCATTGCCATCCTACTTGCGGACGGCTTCAACCTTGCTGAGGTCGAAGCGCTTCGTGCCGCACTGAAGGTTGGCGGCGCCACGACTTGGATTATTGGGCCCCGTCGTGGTTGGGTTCGCCCTTCCGGCGAAAAGATCGGCTCCGGTACTGGCGTTTGGGCCGACCATCATTACGAAGGACAGCGGAGCACGTTGTTTGATGCGTTCATTATCCCCAGTGGCGCGGAGCATGCGCAGAGTCTGGCGAAGAATGGACGCACGATCCATTGGGTCAGAGAGGCGTTCGGTCATTGCAAGGCCATTGGTGCCATAGGCGAAGGTGAGCTTTAGGGCAATGCATACCCACTGTTGACACTGATAAATACTCCACAGGCGTAGCGTTCCTGCACGAGGCAGTCATACTGCCCGGCGTACAGCTTGCCACCAACATGAAGAACGATGCCGTGACGTCGTCGTACGGCGTTGTTACCACCGGCCAATACGACGTGAGCTCTGCGGCTGCCCACAAGTTCTCGATTGGGCGGTCGGAGAAGGGATTTGTGTCCAACTTCGCCTATGAAGTCAGCCAGCATAGGTGCTATGAACGGGAACTTGATGGCTTGACCGCTGCAGTTGCCTTCTAAGCTGGTCGTGGCGAGATCACAAGGACGCTGCGAGACCGTGTACGATAAGATGAGGTGTATAGGTCTGGGTTTTCGTCCGCAATTGTGTACCAATATGCGCAGCGTATCTGAAGTCTGTCGAGCCTGTATAATGCAATACGCTAATTTCATCCAGTAAGTAAATGGCAGGATTTCGTTCGACATGCTGTGTAATATGAGTGGCACGGTGTTGCTCACTTGTGCACGCCAGTAAACTCGCCTTTCGCCTGAACGTGAACAAATAGGGAGGTAAACGTGTCTTCGTCACTAATCGTCCAAGCGGGAGCATGGCCGCTGCAGGGGAAGATCCAGATTACCTCGTTAATTGAAGCTTGAAGCTTGAAGCGCCGCGATCCTCGAGGGCCGAGGATCTTGATCTCCTCGATATCTGAGTCACTCAGAGAGGATCAGAAAGGAGACATATGTAGCTGTGTTCAATATGCATTTGACTGAAGTCTGCTTGCAAATCTCTGAGGTCTTGAGTAAGAATATCGACAGCTGCAGGGAGTACTTATAGCAAGCAGTTCGGAGGTTCAGGGCGCGCGTTTCGCCGATCTGGACCGCGCGACTTGACCGGAGCCGTTGACGGCGCCATATCTGCAGGACAACCACTACGACCGACGACTATCTCACCACACCCTAATCGTTCAGCTTCACCTGATTCCTAGAACCTGAAAAGACGCGATAAATTGCGACTCAAATGTCCGCCACAAACCGAAAACGTAAAGCAGCAAAGGTAAGACGCTGCATCAATGTCCGGACGAGGTCCGATCTTGTAACTTTGTTTTGTACAGTTCTACCAAGAGGATATAGTCCAGCGCAAGGACAACCCAGAGATATACGGGATTGTCTTGGTATGTGGACGCTTCAATTAGCGGTTCGTCCCAGATTCCGACCCAGTTCTGTATCAGCGATGTTGGCACGATGCCGAGGACCTTCCACCACCAGCTGACAACACGGATCCTCTCTTAAGACCACTGAAGCAGGCGCGTTTCTTGATTGATTGCATCTTCACAGGTGAGATACATTTGCTTATATCGTGTTTGTATCAGGGCGAGGTCGGTGTATCATATTTCCCCAAACCTATGCGTGAAATCCTGCCCGAATCGAAGCTTGACTTGATTGACCGAATGTACCAACCTGGTGACCTGCTCAAGCGCAGCATCGATGATGTCTGTTCTGGGGTCGTAACGGCGTAGGCATGTTACCCTCCTTCCCTCCAACGAATTTTGACGCCTTTTCATTATCTCAGTATCGAAGTAAAGGGACGCCTGAGCCATGCTATTAGTGCAGGACAGCTACCCGAATGGAAGAGTACCAATGACATCGAAGCTGCTATTGATGTCGACATGGGCGACTACGTCGTCTATGATGACTGGGTCGGCCAGGTGATCGAGGTAATCCCTCTATTCTTGCCTTAGACGAGCGTTCAAATTAACGTGACAGTAAGATGTTCGATGAAGCGGTGGTGGAGACAGGCAGCGGCGACTTGGTTCGTGTCCCAGAATTGAGCGCGCGCCTTGCAGTGGGCGAGAAGGGTCCCGTAAGTCTCTACCATGAAACACTGTCACAGTAGATTCTAACACATCGCTAGGATGTTTTGCCACAACCATTGTCGGGGGTGCAACATCTATTTGGCTTCCTCATGGGCAATCTTCGACCCAGTCAGACAGACACTGTTGTTGCGGTCAAGCGGACAGTACTAGCCATTGCTTGGCTAGCCATCAATCAATCCGTGTGTTCATTTACTAATCTTAAGACGTTCGTTCTTACGCTCTCGAGTACAGCTGGATCCTGCGGATGCACAATTACGATTGCGTCCCCCACGATTCTGGCATGGTGCAGATTTGTCGAAACTCACTCTGGTACGTCGTCGAGCCGAACAGGCACTACGAGTAGGGGATCGTGTTATTCTCAAGGACGCGGCTGGGTTACCGGTGACACGACATGGACGTGATGACGACCCGCAGAACAGAATCGAAGTCCGCACCTTTGTGGTGCAGGAGACACACACCACTGTGAACGTTCTATGGCAGGACGGCACACAAGGGACCTTGGATGCTAAGGCCACGGTTCCATATCTTAATCCGGATGAGTACGACTGTTGGTAAGTACACGATACTCTCCAAAAAATGCGATGCTAACGTCGACGAAGGCCGGGCGATCATGTCCTTTGGAAAAATGAAGACCAGAAGCGTGCTGCTATAGTGCAATCTGTGAACGCTGTCGATAGGACGGCCCAAGTACGCTGCACGGACACCGAAGCGATTGAGCTTGCTTCCCTACTCGAGCTCGATCCTCACGGAACTGGTGATTGGTCGGCTTTGTCGCTTGCCGATGGTCTTGGGGTGCGACGGGGCGACTTTGTATTTATCCACAGGGAGGGTACGACGAACGGCGTCGAGACACCTATGGTGCCAAGGATAGGCGAAGTGGAGGAATGGGTCCGCGAGGCTCCGATTGTCAGTGAGAACGGACAGCTTGGAGGATGGCGTCGCGAGATGGCAGATCTAGGAAATTCCATAGCTGAACGGCGGGGCAAAGACACAGCCGTTGTAGAGGGTAACATTCAACGGCCACAGAAGGGGAACCCGTGCTTTAACTGGTTTGGTGAAGTAGCCGAGGTGAATACGTTCGTCTAAATACTGGTGAGCTCGGCGACTGACTACCCACAGCTCCGTCTGGACGGTACGGTCGAGGTTGTACTGCCGGATTCAACATCAACTATGTTACCACTAGAAAGGCTGACGAAGCTCTATGACGGACTGGAGCAGCTTGAAGAGCTGTGGGGAGACGACGATTCTGATGGTGAAGAGGGCAGCAATATGGGCGGTGAGGAGAACGTGGAGGTCTGGGCCATGGATGACGACGGGCATTGGGTCGAAAATGACGAAGATGGAGATGACTGGGAATCAACTGACGACGATGGGATGGATTTGGACGAAGAGGGATGGTCGTCGTCTAGCCCCACGGTACTTCACACCCACGACATCGACGCGCCACTCGTCACCAACTCCACACCAGAGGCTATGGACTCCGACGAAGAAATGGCTTCTACACCAGCAACGCGGCCTCAATCTCCTGACGTGCCTAGGGATGCTACCGACGTTGAGGACGCCGAGGGAGCCGAAGAAGATAGCAAGCCACCCTGGAAACGGTTCGAAGTTCTCTCATCCGCTCCATCTGATCATGCATTCTTCTCTTCTCCCCCTGCACAACCATCGCGGAAGTTTCTCGCACGCCTCACGAAGGAGTATCGTGTGCTTACCAGCAGCTTGCCTGGTACGTGTGTCTTCTGACTTGAAACTGGTCCCAGAAATCATCAGATACGTTTTGGCTCGTAGACTCGATCCTTGTCCGGGCGTATGAAGACCGCACGGATTTGTTACGCTGTCTGATTATCGGCCCAGAGAATACGCCATACCAAGATGCGCCGTTTGTGATTGACTGGATGCTGGACTCAAACTTCCCTCAAACTCCACCTATCGCGCATTTCTTGAGCTGGACGATGGGCAATGGCAGAGGTATGTACACCTAGTGTTTCCCGATTCAAATGTTGACAAAAATCACGATCATTAGTGAATCCGTAAGTTGTCTCTTCCAGCCCTATGATTTCCAACTAACTCCCGTAAGAAATTTGTACGAGGAAGGAAAGGTCTGTTTGTCCATTCTAGGAACATGGGCAGGTGATAGGAACGAAACCTGGAGTGCCGCACGTTCATCGCTACTGCAAGCCTTCGTCTCTATACAGGGTCTTGTCCTCGTCAAAGAACCGTGGGTGCACTTCATCCAACCCATTTTGTCTTCACTCATCGTATGTTCAGCTGGTTCTGTGAGCCTGCGTATGAAAAGCTTCGAGGCACCGAGGATGGTACAGTCAACAGGTAAGGTCTCCTTCCGTCCAAGGCATGCCGTTAGTGACCCTCTGTTGCGAAGCCGGCTATACAGCGAGAAAGCTTACGTCCTCTCACGTGGGTTCGTACGGCGCGCTCTTGAAATACCCTTGGGCAGTCTCGAGGAGGAGATCCACTGGTTCTACTACACCACTGGGAAGCTTGCCAAGGTACTGAACGATGCCCGGGGATTAATTCAGAAGAGCAAAACCACGAGTGAGGACACGGAAGCGGACAGGGATCTCGCTGTGCCACGGCTCACAGGAGGTGGCATCATCACGCTTGAGCGGACCCTAGCTAAGCTGCAGTCGCTGTTAGACAGGCAAGGCGCGCAGCCGCAAGGACAATCGTCGTCATAATTAATCGTGGCTGCCTGGTATGGGCAAATCTTGAGATGCCAGTGATGGATATTAGCGAGGTTGGTTTAATCGTTTTAGCTTTGTACTCATCAACTTAGAATACAACCTGACACAGCCTACCAATTACACTTATTGTTTATTCCTTCCTGACAGATGGAACACGAAGGGCACTTGCATTTCTCGATCGAGAAGCGAGATATATGTGGGCCCTCCCTAGCCTTGACCGTATGGAAATGCAGAAACGCATGGATGCGGGCAATTGGCGCAGCGTGTCCGAGGAGTGGAGTGGAGAAAGTAAAAAGTACAATAGCTGCAATCAGCCTGTGGTGCAGCAGCAGAGCAAAGAGTGAATGCAGGCAAACAGCTGGAAGGTCGAGAGAGATTACAAGCACAGCGCCAACCAATCGGGGGGAGTAATGTGGTACAAAAGCATAAATACTAGTATGATCGGACAGCTCGTGAGGCCGTCCGAAGGGCGCAGAGTATCAAGGGCATGGGCCCGCGAAGCTGTTATTCGGGAACGGCTGGCCATAATCGCCCCTCCACGTTGTCAGATTTGGGTTCGTGTAAGCTTCCATATACCTGAAAGTAAGGGCTCGCTGAGTAGTCACTTGACGGGGCAGTCGATAAAACACGTACTCGTTAATATACGCGGCGGTGGGGAAGTCCTTGGGATCACAGCCAATATTGATATTACTCGGATCCTGGTATACACGAATGTAGTCAATGCTCATTGTCGCGGGAAACGGAAGATTCTCCAGATCGACGGGGAAGAAGTTGTTTGACATGCCCAGATTGACGATAACGTACTGAGGGGGGGAATAGGAGGTGTGAGTAAGAACACTCATACATCGAAGTTTGCTCACCATGGGCTCCTGCGGCACTGGACGCTGGTTGATCTCCACTATGGGATCCGCTGCCATGGCTGGCTGCTGCAAAACCCAAACTAGCTCGCCGTTTGCAATCCAACCGATGTACTGAAGGGGTGATGAGCGAAAAAATGTGTCGAGAGCTCTCGTCGAACTCACTGCGCCATCAAACCCAGGTTGGTACTGGTATCCATAAACGGCAAACTCTCCTCCGTTACGCTCATAGGCGTTCTGATCTACAGCCAGGACGACATCAATCACAAGTTCAGAAGTAGACCAAGTAATTATCGTGCGCACTGCTATCTGTCACAGCAGATGTAGCCTGCTGGTATGCAGCTCCCAGGTACGAGTTCAAATATGTCGAACTTGTGTTCTTGATGGAGTAGGTGTCCGAGGTATTGTCCCACAGGTATTCGTGATTGAACGGCTGACCAGTGTCGACGTTACTCAGTACCTGACAATCAAGAGTACAGAAGATCATGATACTTACCGCCCACTGGCCAGACTGAGAGACCTGTCCAATGAGAGGATCTCCAGTAATCTGCACACACGGTGTCTCTGAACCGCAAGTCCATATGGAGATGGTAGTCGCATACCTGCGCTTCAAGAACATCGATTTCGGGAGCAGCTCGTCCTACAAACGTGCCGTCTTCGTGCATGGGGCCAGGATGAGACGACCCAGGGCACGAGCACCGTGATAGGCGCTGGCCAGGTAAGTATGACAGAGCATTGCCGTTATTGGGATCGCCGTTCTCGGTAGCAGCAAGCGGAAGACCGGCGTTCGTCTGGTTCGGCATAGTCCCAACATCACAATAGTCATATGTGTATGGCCACTGAGTTGGGCGAGAAGCCCCAGTCCGTTAGCGGGCACTGCGGTAAATAGTATAGGTGACCATACCATGCCTTCGAGACTAGCTCCATAGCCCGCACGGCCAAGGTTGCCCATCGTCCATATAGCAGGCCAGAAGCCGACAACATTGTTGAACCCAGGAATGACGACCGAAACCTCAATGAGCCCACCCGTGAAGCAGAACTTATTCCAAGTGGTCATCATCCCACTCGTATAGTTGAGATTGTGGTTTTTCTTCGCAGACATGGTGATCTTCAACGAACCATTCGAGGTGGTGATGGCGGTCGGATCCACCCATTCCATGTTGTTCGTCTGCCAATAGTGCAAGTCAAGCGCTTCCCAGTACGGATCATCTCCTGGCCAGAAGGACCGTCCATCGACGTTGAACTCGTCACTGAACACCAGCTGCCATTTTTTATTGTTGATGTAATCTGACTTGTACAGCGCTTCTTTCGGTGTATCGGTGTCGACGAGGCCAAAATTACCAGGCATGGACGGTACTTGGCCCGATGCATTCATACCGCCGATGTTGAAGCCTCCAAAGGTAGAGGGTTTGTGCTGGGTGAAGTGAGTGATGAGAGGGTATCCTGCGCTATAGTACAGATCAATGTCAGCGAGTAAGACGATATCATGGGCTGCGAGACGATGCAAAGCGTACAATAGCGCGACAAGACCGACCAATAATATTATCACACAGCCCAAATTCACAATTCCTCTATACGTGAAAATATTTCCATCTTGATCATTCATTCGGTCCCTTCTTGGATCCGGGTTGTGGAGGAAGTCGTCGCTCTCCTGGTGGTTAAGCGACAGGTCTGCACCCCACAACGACGGATCAGGCGACAGAGAAAACTGCGTGACATTGTGCATATAAAACCATTGGCAAATGAAGTCGTGGCGGAGGCGCACGCACTTTGTCAGATATAGAATGAGGTACAGAACCATGCTTCTCAGAGCCATACCGCGACGCGTTCTAATAAAACGATTTAACTGTCAAGCACAATGTGACGTAACACGAAGCATACTCACGAGCGACGCGTCACTGGCCACGCCACGCAGAGTTCTGGGAGGTTGGGCGAACGCGGCCTGCACGCCAGGAGAAGTACTTGATGAAGGGGGAGACAAAAGATTGACAGTTGAAGGAGAGTTTTGTTGGGCGAAACGCCTCTGAGGCGGCCCAAGTTTTGAAGCCATCGACGTTGGCTTGCCCGACGAAGAGAATAGATACAAACAGGAAGGCGGTACAGAGAAAGCCTGAGACGAGGCGCAATCCAGGGCAACCGGTGTCCATCGTGGGAATATCCAACTGACTACCACCTTCAGGCTAGCAATGTCCTCAGAAATGCATCAGCAAAAGTGCACTTTCGTTACCATCGGTTATATAGCATTATAATCTACGAAATCCATTACAATGATCAAAATTATTGAGCAAAGTTGTAATGGATAGTAACTTCTCTACGGTGGTTCCGAACTTTTCTCAACGTCTTAAATTATTCGGTAATCCATTCGCAATCAACATAATCTATTCGGAATGCCCGGAATACTTCGGACTTATTATAACGGATTCCGAGCTTTATAAGGTATTGTAATGCTATTGTAAGCAGTGGTGACACCCGGGGAAAAATTACAATGGCTGTATGGATAATATTGTTTGTAGCCGGCACGGCACATTACGAGAAATGCAGTAATCATTGTACAATATTACATACGACAGAGGTGAGTACAAACATAGAGTCTCACCAAATTTCCGCAGGCAACAAGAGCCGGTCATACATGTACAATGTAAGGCAGAATTTTCCCACAATGTCCGCAGATGCGATATTGCACACTGTCTCCGGTGTCTACGAAGTCCACATGATCCCATGATACCGAACAGAGCAGGAGCACAGCGCGCAAGACGAGAAGGAGCACGACAGCCAAACACCACACTGGCACAAAGAGGGCAAAAGAAGTGAGCATCCGGAGACCGAGGGAAAGCACGAAGGACATGAGCAGTCGAGATGCAACAAGAAAGCACGGTTAGTGAGGAGGAGCAACGACGACAAGGAGAGGGAGCGAAGGTGAATGCTGATGGCCGATGAGAATGTCCAGGAGAGGGGCAGCAACCGTGGAGAGATACGAGGTCGGCAGTCTGCACGAACAGCTGTAAGACATTGTATGGCACGATACATATGTTGGCATACTTACCGACTATGGTGATGATGAACGTGAGGCTGCCTGACGGTAGTGCGCAGCACGTTGCTCTTTCAGAGTTGCGAGACTGTTGTGACCATTGCGGTGGTTTGCACGCTCATTCTCGTTGGCGTTGGCACGAAGGACCTGACTATAATAAAATGATTCATTAGACACGTCGTGACATGGATATGAATACGTACTCGGAGGATGCATATACCGAGTTTGGGCACCATCAATACGCGGCGAGGCGGTGCCCAGAAACTGTGGGAGATATTATGAGTATCTATCATTGTCTGCATGATGCTTATACTTCACGATGCTCTCGAGGTCAACACCAACGCAGACGATACCGTGCAGACTCAACACCCGCCATCCACCATCCGGGCGCATACTGCAATGTAACGTGCTGCTGTTGTATTGCAGGGCACAAGTACCAAGCGGTACTTGTGCCCTAATCTTATCTAATCTCATCATGTATTACATAATTGTTGTGTACTGTTTGTATGCACTCTGCGTGTATCGAGCGCGCGTCGGTGTGTTGAAGTCAGAGACTTAACACACCACGACCTTGATACACGCATGACGCTCCAGAATAGAGCTTGGTGCACTGTATCTGAGGTTCGGTGTGATAAGGCCTCGCCCCCCATTATACTTTTTTACAGTCCATTTCGCCCTGCGAAAAATTCTATTCGACAGCGAAGACCCCCATCAAGAAATCAAGAACCTTAACTTGCCACCCAATGGCAAGTCAAGGCCCCAAAAACACACGAATAACACGCTCCCAGTCAAGACAGGCAGAGGACGCGGCTCTGGCAGACGTGGCCGAGAGCGCACCCAATGATGGCGTGCACGCGGACACTGACACGCCAGTCCCAGAAATAACGGACCGTGGGCAAGAACTGGCATCACCAGCCCCACGATCCCCTACACTGTCGTACATTGAACCCCCCCGCTCAACACGAGGAGGCCAAACAGATGAGCAGCAGCGGGAACCCGCCTCTGGCTGCAACGTCAGAACGCCGGTGAGATCCACTGGATCTCATCAGGCCAGTGAAGAAATGGAAACAACGAGAATGGGAAGGACACCACGACATCCTTTGCATTACTCGCAGAGATTTTCATCCCCGGCCCTGCCAGCACAACCGACCTCTTCCTTAGCGGACGAATTACGTCGTGCTAAGGATAGAGCCCCAGGAAGCACTGCAAGCACGAGTTCGTCTGAACACGTGCGCAAAGAGAGAGCCTGAGAGGCACTCCAGCAGGCTCGAGAAGAAGCGAACCGCGAGCTTGACGAACTACAAGAAAAACAAGAACATGAGATGCAGGCCATTCGTGAGGCATATGAACGGACCCGCCACGCGCAGAACGAGCGGTTTGAAAAAATAATGGACGAACTCAAAAATTCCTCAGGAGACGAAGTTGACCCAGTGGACCAACCCGTCCCCTCGGGAATGAGGAACTCCATCGAGGAGATAGCGGTAGAGCGAGGATTATACCTCTCAGAGGTTGAGGACCCGACGGCTGGTGCTCCCGATATAGTTATCGAGAGCGCGTACCGTCAGTTGGCCCGATCACAGCAAGAGGGAGAGCCGGATGAGGAATACAATCGAATGGTGTTAATATACACCAGATACTTGGACTGGATGACCTCAGAGTCTGAAAGGGCATTAAGGGCATTCGGAGTACAACCACCGGTATCATCGACACCTTGCGCGATGTGGGGATCACTCCAGTCCGGAACGGCTCCAGTAGCAGCTCCTGAAGAAGACCCCGGAAGTGATGATTCAAACGACTCCAGTCCATACCCCGGAGATGACGGGAATAACTCCGACCATTTCAGAAGAAATGGTCGAAGGCCCGCAATGCCACCCCGGGGACACTGACCTGGAGGACAATGGCTACCGCGATCCAATGGATCAACTCCGCCACCACTGCCTCCTCGACCAACGTGACCTGCAGGACCTGGATACCCCCGTGGGCTGCAAGGGCAGCCCATAATGGGAACGAACACACGATCTGCAGGACCGACATATGGTCCTGCAGTGAATGCAACGACGACTACGCAACAGCCCAACGTTACTCGGAACGTAACATTCCAATTGGGAGTGACACAGCCAAACCTGGCAGTCTCTACCGCAGTGAACCGACCCCCTCGATTCCCGGGAATGAGTACAACAGCCGCACCAGGTACGCACGCAGGCCACGCGACCATACAATGATCGCATGGCCCAGGAGCGATACCTCCGGATATGTCTCCCGCAATCGAGAGGATCCATACAATGGTGGATGAGATGGTATCAAGAGATCCCATCGACGAACCACCAGCATACCTTAGAGTCACCAAGATGCCTCCACTGCCACAATACGATGGGAAGGACGATCTTGATGCATTCGAGGTCTGGCTACAGAAATTGCTGGAATACTTCAAGACTCTCCGCATCACTGGCAATGCCATGGATGCGGATCGCCTACGGATATTGGGGCAAAGTCTTAAAGATGACGCCGCTAACTGGTTCTTTCTGAACGTGCAGTCACCGAACCGCAAAGTACGACAGTGGTACTTCGAGGATGCGGTGACGCACCTCCACCGACGATTCCTACACAAGGACTCGGAGCTGATAGCATCCGAGAAGTATGACAAGGTGACGTACAGCTTATCACGCGGAGGTGTGAGCGAGCTATACGACAGGATATTACACCATGCAGATCGCATGGTGCAATACCCAACGGAATATGCATTCCGGAAGAGGTTTATGGATGCATTACCACTACCAATGGTAGAAGTAATGCGTCTAGCCCACCTACTATCGCCTGAGAAACACACCATCGATGCACTGTATCGATCGGCTTTGGCGATCGAACAGGGCAACGGATGGCTGGACCAATACCGTACATACAAGGACCGCCGACAGCCTCAGAAGACCGGGGACCATATGGGGACCCGGAGTTCAAGTAAGGCTGTGTCATTCCTCACGCCGATGATATCATCGACGGGAGATACATGACCTAGCTACTGCCCGCAAGGACAAGGACGAGGAGGGGCACACCCAGGACATGCACAGCAGGCCGGTAATGCTGGCCGTAGAATGACGAACCCACGTGATGGACAACGTCATGGGGGCGGTCATCTTACCACAAACCCGGCAGTCTTGGGATTGAGACCACCAGCGAATAACAAGGCGACAAATGCAAACATCACTTGTTATTCTTGCGGCGGCAAGGGCCACTTCTCGACAGACCCGACGTGCCCGAACTATGGTAAACCTCGGCCAGCGCGACTACACGCACAATGTGTAGTTGATGACCACTCCGAGGATGAGGAACAAGCAAACCAAGAACCAGCAGAACCGGAGGCTACAGTTCAGGAGCCGGCTCCACAGGAGACGACTCCCGAAACTGACGGAAACGAAGGGCCCTACCAGAATGACACAGGATACCAGACATATCCTGAGTCAGACTGGGCCCCAGAGGGATCACAGTACTCATCAGCAGATGAGCGTGAACCCCCATCTGGAGACGATGGCTGGAACGATGACTATGACGTTCACCTGGGATCAATAAGATTCGGCGCCATGCATCAACACAAGCCTGGAAAGTGTACGCAGACCGTACACCTCCACACTAGCGAACACGCAACAGACGCACGATCTTCGAGGAATGCATGGCTGTACAACTCACGCGTACGACGCCTGACCGATCCAGCCATGCAGCCTCAGAGAAACCTGCAGACACAACGAACACTATGTGCAGAGGTCCTGATCAATGGGATCAAGACCTATACACTATTCGACTCGGGGTGCACAACGGACTCCATTTCTCCGGAAATGACGTACATCTCGAAGGCAGACCGAATCGACCTGGACGACCAAATAGGTCTCCAACTGGGCACCAAGGGAAGCAGGACACGCATCAATTATGGTGCATGACCCACAATCTCCATAGGCCCAGTAAAGGCACAACACTACCTAGACGTCGTCGATATCGATAGATACGACGCTGTACTAGGCACAGTGTTCATGCATAAATATGGCGTGGTCCTCGACTTCGAGAACCGCACCATATCGATCCAACAGCAAAAAATACCGACCTATGCGGAAGTGGACGAGGCCACAATCATTGCGAATCGCAAGGATATGTTGCACTCACACTACCGCGTGCACAACAACGTCGGTACCATTACCGCCATCACCTCGGACAACCCGCAATAGGACCCCGCAATGAGACCAATGGCCGCAAAGCCACCCCAGTCTCGTGGTGTGAAACTGGGGACAGTCCTAAGAGGGGAGGGGAATGACGGAAATGTCAAGGCGAAAGAAAAATCAACCACGAGAAACAGGAAACAGCCCAAAAAGGACTGTTTCCCTGACATCTCGGAGAAGTTTGCACCAACTAGACACTCGATGGACGAACCAAGACGGGACCAGTTCGGTCAGCCAAACCCATTAGGTCTAAATGACTTAATGGTGTTCGAACTGAACGAACATCGTAAAGATGAAGAAATTCGCGCCACGCTTGTAGAACCATCAGATGCAACAGCGTCTGAGGAGAAACTACAGGAACACCGAAAAGCCTGGATTGAGAAGACGAAGGACATAATGTGTCCCTCGCCCCCAATCCTTCCACCGTTCCGTGAGATCAACCATCGAATACCGCTCATCAATGACGATGAGCAGTATCGACTGCGATTACCAAGATGTGCCGACGCAATGAAGCCATTGCTCCTAACGAAAATCCAACAATACCAGGACGCTGGCTGGTGGGAGTCCAAGCAGGCTCCCCAGGCAGCACCCATGATATGCATTATGAAGAAGAGTGGAAAATTACGGACGGTTGTCGATGCGCGTAAATGCAATGACAACACCGTAAAGGACGTAACTCCATTCCTGGACCAGGACCAGATATGCATGGACGTGTCTCGTGCCAAATACCGGTCGAAGATTGACTTGTCCGACGCGTACGAACAAATACAGGTGGTGGCGGAGGACGTCTGGAAAACAGCGTTCTCCACCCCATACGGTACATTCGTAAGTCACGTCATGCAACAAGGCGATTGCAATGCCCCAGTGACATTCCAAAGCCTCATGATGTTAATATTCCGTGACTGCATCGGACGATACGTTCACGTATACCTTGACGACATATTCGTGTTCTCCGATACAATCGAAGAGCACAAACGCCACCTGGAAATCGTATTCCGTAAGCTGAGGGAGGCAAAGCTCTACCTTAGCGAGATGAGGTGCGACCTATATTCACGGAGCATGGATTGCCTAGGTCATCTAATCGATGACCGAGGACTCCACGCAGACTCAGACAAGATGAGCCGTATTCGCGAATGGCGAATACCCCGATCTTACAAAGAAGTACAACGCTTCCTAGGGCTCGTGAACTACCTAGGACACTTCATGCCCGACGTAACGGTGTACACCTCGCCATTGTCGGACATGGCTCACAACGACCGAGCATTCGTGTGGCACCCAATGCACACCAAATGCTTTAAAATGATCAAAGCTTTGGCGTGCAAGGCACCAATCCTGAAGCCAATTGACCCACGTCAACCAGAACCCATCTGGGTGATATCCGATACGTCGCTATACGGTGTTGGAGCGATGTATGGACAGGGACCAGACTGGCGAACCTGTCACCCAGCTGGCTTCCTGTCGAAGAAATTCATGAGTGCGCAACGTGCTTATAAGACCTATGAGCACGAGGCACTTGCGATACTGGAAGCTCTCCTCAAATGGGAGGACAAACTACTTGGCCGACCGATAATGATCGCGACCGACCATCAGGCATTGAAGTATTTCGAAGGCGTAACCAATCCAACGAATTGACAGATTTGTTGGAATGAGTACATGTCTCGATTCCAATACAAAATCTAGTACATAGAAGGCGTGACCAATAAGGTCGTGAACTGTCTATCTAGGTACTACCAGAACGACAATGTGGATGAATTCGCACCCATCCAGGACTATGCAAACACAGACGCTCATCTAGACCCTGAGTGGGATGACCTACCATCCAACCGTATTGCTGAGCTGCACGCCGGAACAATCCAGCGCTCAGCACAGCTGCCCGAGGAGGTGCAGGAGTCAAGGGATCAGGAGGTCAGCGAAATGGCCTCCCACCTGCCCCTAGTAATGCCAACCACAGGTGCAAAGGACGAGGATCCGACAATTGCCGAATCACGCACCAACGGACCTCCACTGAAGGCCCACTTGGAACAGGATACCCCGTTCCTGGCCGCAGTCCAAAAGGGCTATGGCGAGGACCCATTATTTAGGAAGGTCGTTGAATCCCCAATGGAAATCAGCGCCTTCGTAATCTGGGACAAGACAATATATACTAAAAACCGCCAGGATAAAGAAGTTATCTGCATCCCGAGGGTTCTGTACCATCATCAAATGATGACCGAGATCATCATCGATAGAGGGCACATGACCATAGGACACTACGGCCCACAGAAGACGTCGGAATACATCCGACGGTGGTTCTGGTGGCCTAGGATCGGACGCGATATCGAAAAATTCTGCATGACGTGTGGGGCCTGCCAAACGGCAAAGCCTCGCAATCACCTGCAAGCAGGATTACTTCATTCCTTGCTGATTCCACGGTTTCCGTGGAATTCGATAGCAATGGACTTCGTCAGTCCGTTTCCGCGATCAAAGGGATATGACTACCTATGGGTAGTCATATGCCGCCTTACATCAATGGTACATCTGGTCCCCGTGAATACGACGAGCACGGCCTCGGACATAGCTGAGCTCTATGTCCGAGAAATTGTGCGACTACATGGGATGCCCGAGTCCATCGTCTCGGACCGGGACTCGAAGTTCACGTCGAAATTTTGGCGTGAACTACATTGACTCCTGGGTGCGAAGCTACTCATGTCGACATCGTTCCATCCGCAAACCGACGGGCTGTCCGAGTGGACCATCTGATCGGTATCCCAAATCCTACAGTCCATCGTGTCTCCCAATCAATTAGATTGGATAGACCAGATCCCGATGGTTGAGTTCGCATTGAACTCAGCCACGAGCGCAACCACAGGATTTGCCCCATTTGAACTTAATTATGGATACTTACTGCGAATGATTGGAGGCCTGCACGGAACCACGAAATTCGTGGGCATGCAGGAATTTGCCCAATAAGCATTGGCCAACCTCAAGATGGCGCATGATGTCATCATCGAGAGCCGTACACACCAAACGTTCCAAGCCAATAAACTACGGCAGGAGGAGCCGGAGTTTACGACTGGATCAAAGGTGTATCTATCCATGCAGAACCTCGCACTACCTAAGGGTCGTGCGAGGAAGCTGATGCCCAAATTTATTGGACCATATGAGATCACCGACGTTCATGTGGCAACCTCTAACTACACATTAGAATTGCTGCAAGAACTGAAGGACCGGCGTATCCTACCTATATTCCACGTTTCGCTACTCCGACGACACGAGTCCAATGACGACGTGTTGTTTCTGCACCGTGAGGCAAAGTCGTACTACGACTTTGGCGACGATGTGGAAACGGAATGGCTAGTGGATGAAATTGTAGGCCATCGCTGGGATGGCAATAAGATCGAATTCCATGTGCGATGGACGCTAGGTGACCATACATGGGAGCCATACGCCCACTGCAAGGAATTGGCTGCGCTCGACAAGTACTTCACACTAATCACTGCGAACCTAAGAAAATCTCGGGCCGTCAAGATGCTCCAAAAGCGCCTCGGAACCCACATCTCTCCGAATCCGAACAAGGAATCAGTTCGACCCCGAGAAAAGGCAGGAACTGCCCCCATTCAGATGTCTTCACAGCATCAAATCGTGACATCTTCAGAGTCGAAACACGTGGAGGACAGATTATCTTAAGACTCTGGATGCATTCCTGTCACACGTCTTTGGGGTTGTGTATATAACCATTTTCTGCACAGTAACTGTTAAGATTTGCACTGTCTCGAGCCTAAGACATTCCGAAAATGAGGTGTATTGACAGATGGAGAGTCTACTGATTTCGGCTGCGAGCGATGCCTGCTGCCGCACTCAGCTTCCCCTGGCTGCACACCCTACCCTTGCTCCTGCCTCTGCTCTGCATCGCAGTTAGTCGAAACAACCGCGCGGATGAACGTCGACTCCATAGTGCTGCGGAACAATGAAATTCGGGCCATTAGATATCGGCAAAACGCGAGATGACCCAACCGCCATCACACATACCTGATCTATTCAGCAGCCATGAGCAGAATCTGAGCCATGGTACTCGTTTACTTACCTTGTCTGGAGACGTCAGCAACTGACGAGTATGTGCTTGAAGTGCAACGGCCCGAGTTCAATTTTGCAAATGCTGGGAGTACCGGTCAGCAAATATACCATACATCAGGCAGCGGCCATGAGCAGAATCCGAGCCATGGTACTCATTTACTTACCTTGTCCAGAGATGCCAGCGACTGACGAGTATGTGCTTGAAGTGCAACGGCCCGAGTTCAATCCTGCAAATGCTGGGAGTACCGGTCAGCAAATATACCATACATCAGGCAGCGGCCATGAGCAGAATCCGAGCCATGGTACTCATTTACTTACCTTGTCCAGAGATGCCAGCGACTGACGAGTATGTGCTTGAAGTGCAACGGCCCGAGTTCAATCCTGCAAATGCTGGGAGTACCGGTCAGCAAATATACCATACATCAGGCAGCGGCCATGAGCAGAATCCGAGCCATGGTACTCATTTACTTACCTTGTCCAGAGATGCCAGCGACTGACGAGTATGTGCTTGAAGTGCAACGGCCCGAGTTCAATCCTGCAAATGCTGGGAGTACCGGTCAGCAAATATACCATACATCAGGCAGCGGCCATGAGCAGAATCCGAGCCATGGTACTCATTTACTTACCTTGTCCAGAGATGCCAGCGACTGACGAGTATGTGCTTGAAGTGCAACGGCCCGAGTTCAATCCTGCAAATGCTGGGAGTACCGGTCAGCAAATATACCATACATCGGGCAGCGGCCATGAGCAGAATCCGAGCCATGGTACTCATTTACTTACCTTGTCCAGAGATGCCAGCGACTGACGAGTATGTGCTTGAAGTGCAACGGCCCGAGTTCAATCCTGCAAGTGCTGGGAGTACTGGTCAGCAAATATACCATACATCGGGTGCAGCAATACACGCGTACCCTCAACCGTCATACCCCCATGCATTCGCACCACAGGAGCATGATCCCCATTCACTTAGCATGATCCAAGGTTTCCGTGGAGTGGTGAACTTTACTCACCCAATACCAGGCCCTACAAGTAACCCTGGTGCGGCACCGTCGACTTTTCAGCCATTCGCGAATGCAGCAGCAGTGTATGGAACCACACCTGATGCATCGCCAGTAATCTCTCGCCAGCAGACACCGGCGCGCTCGCCCACCGTCCCTTACAGACAACCTCCTGGTGTTAACCCAATGATTCCCCCTTCCAATCCTGTAGCCTCGCCATTCACCCGATCATCCAGTGTTAGCGCGAGCACACTGCTGTTGAGCCTATCGAGGTCAGCTTCGATCAGTAGCAGCACACCAGAAGTGCAGACGCTCGCACCCACGTACGATCATTCTACTATTGCATCGTTTCCGCACTCCTCCATTCAACAGGCACAGCTCTATGATGCCCCAGAATCTGAATTTGCTGCCATGATTCAGAGCATGCAGCACGAGCAGCAGAATCTATCGACGCACCTGAAACTTATGTACACTGAGTTTCATGGCATGGCGACGCGTGTAAACACCCTCGAAAAGGATTATGCTGACCATCTGGCAAGTTGCATGGCCATTCAAGAAGCGGCGAGCAAGGAAAAGGCGAAGGGGAGTTCGGTGCCCATGTTGGCGAATGATCATCCCCAGATGAAGGTACGATCTCAGCATCAAGTCGTTGTAAGCAGCTTCCAGATGACTCACCATCAATACCAGAGTTTGATCCACATGATGGTGTGGTCACTTCTCGCGATAACCGAGAAGAACTTTGACAGTCTCGGGCGACACAAGCCACTGGATAATGGCCGGGACTATGTAGAGCAAGAAGATCACACGAAAATATGGCATCCGCAGTGGCTAGCGCACATGGACAATGCAACAAACAAGCGCTTCATCAAGGCTGTCACCACTCAAGTGTATGACAATGAAAAGGTAAGTATTTGATGCATGGTACGAACAGGTATGCTTACCATCACAACCACCCAGTGCATCCGTGATGCCGGTGATTCTGGAAACATGCCGACTGCATCGTTTGACTTGGAGAAGATGAAGTCGCTCGTGCAGGATTACCTCGCGAACCTGGCCGTCCGATACAAGGAGCAGCAGACATTGGAAGGGTGTACTAATCGAGACAAGAGAAATGTATCAGGGCAGCATCGGAGCAAGAGGTCGACGGTATGTCGCCCGGAGGAATGCACTTACTATGAACCTACTGACTCAGCACTATAGAAAACGAAAAATTGTAGACACATGGCTCATGTGTTCGAGAAAATGCACAACGTTACCGGCGCGTTGACTCTTCTGAATACAGACTTTGCTTCGAGTGTGCACGAGATTGACGATGCCAAGGCCAGTGACGATACTAAGAAGAGGCGGAAGGACCAGGGATGCGCGACCAATGGTAGTGCAGTCATATCTCATCAGTGGCGTCGCAAACGAGTGAGCAAAATCAGTTATATGTTGACAAGTTGGAGCTTACCTCGTCTCTCAGTATGTGATGTACCTGCGATACCTCGACCACCTTCTACAACTTGAAGCGGAATGCAAGCTGCTCACACATCCAACTGTAGCGGCTATGAGAATGGCGGATGATGCAGTCGCATCAACCACACTGGCTGTGGTAGATATTACTGGGAGTGGAACAAGTGCGGTCGGTGCTGAGGAATCCACTTCAGTGACTGGAGCACATAAGCGTAAGTGAGATGACATGGATGATCTCTGGTACAAGAGATACATCAAGCAGCCAAAGCGGCCAAAGAAGATTGCCAAAGTTACCTTCCAGACATCATTTGCGAAAGCCGACGAACGAGCACCGAGCTCCAGAAAGAAATTACAACCATATGTTGGGATGGTTCGCACAAGTTGGTTGACTAAGCTACATGCTGATGGGAAGGACTTGGTGATGGTTGCTGATCTCGAGTGGTGGTCAACCATAAAGTACAGTGAGGGAGATTTTGATTCAGAGGATTGGCGACTGCTTGCTGAATATCCAGAAGATACGAGTGCAGATGAGTCTGCCGAGAACCGTGAGGACGGAGTATCACAAAACGAAAGGGAATAGAGAAGAAAATTGGCACGGAAATGTAGCTTGTGCGTGTTTCATCTTCGGAGATTTGCATCTTGTTTGATAGTCATTTTGGGCGCTGCGTAATGTCTCTCTTGTCGTTCGTTCGATTTCTTACTAGTAGTATTACAGTACATGCAGCATTAGTGTCGTTGTATTCTGGTGTGGTCTCTGTCAATTATGCAAGTTAGAAAAGAATATTTGTACTTACACTGTTGCGTAGACTATGAAATCAATGCTGTTCGTTTGTCGCGGGAAGACTACAAGTGAATGCAAAGCTCAGTCGCCTCTAGGAGATGGGAGACGATCACATACGTTATCTAATGGCACGGTTGCCCAAAGTTTCACATCTGCTGAGCCCACAGTCACCGTCATCCTGGCAAGATGGCCCTTGATCTGCGGAAGCTCAATGATCACTGGTACAGCCTCGTTGACAGGCAGATACTCCTCCAGATGCCAAAGCTGCACATTGAGATGCGTGCTGCAGCATGAATTAGTGATACTTTATTCCAGATATTGTGAACAAGCTTGTCGGCTTACAATTGATCCCATATTGGCTCGCACGCGCCTGTCCAAGTCTTGAACCATCGCATTCGTGCAAACCACATAGGTGGTGCTCGACTGTCTTGCTGGAACTGAAATATTTCTAACAACTCACCCCGATCGATGATAGTCTGACTGTCAGACGTACGCCGATAGACCTCTACTAGGGATGAATGTCGGGTTCCGCTCTTGGTCGAGGCATAATAACGTCGGCCAGCTATCACAACGTGATCGAGGAATATTCCTGTCGCCGTCATTGGTTGACTGTCCACGAATTGAGGTTGCCCAATGTGTGAGTGTAGATGCCACTGTGGATAGCGGCTCTTCAAGTGAGAGAGCAGGATGCAATAGGTTTCGGTTGACATGGATTTTACTTCGTTGCTGGAACTCATGGAGTATAACGTGCTTGGAGGACGTGCTGCACTTTGTAAGCAATTGAAAATCACTACTACACCGTCATATGCTCACCTTCACTTGAGTCCTGGTCGGCTTCTTTGGCCCATGCTGCAAGACCTGCGACTGTCCCACGTCCATCATGTGTTGCCTTCAGCATCATGTGGCCAAGACGCTGAATGTGAGGGCCGCCACTTGCATCATGAGCCATGAAGTTGACCTGCGGTGGTTCGGTGTGTATCAGTGCACTTGGTTGATATATGGGCTTGATACGTACCACTCTCGCTGAGGCAGCTGTGCGATGGAATTCTCCAAAAAATGTGGTTTCAAGTTCACCGTCACCATGGTTATTCGAGTTATACGATTTCAATACCTTGTTGAGTCGTTCGTACAGAAAGCTCCAAAAATCGCGTAGTGGGCCGAAACTGCGTACACAATCAGTGGTGTGAATTGAGTAGTGATTGTTGGTCTTCACAGAGGACTTGCCATACAACTAATTCCACATCAGATCAACTAGTATGATGCAATCGATGCAAAGCGGCACTTACTCTGATCAACTCGGTGGAGTATTCACGTAACAAGTGATCAACAATGGGGAGATCCTCTTCAATGAGAATATCTGCGGTGAGCCTGCACAACGTCTCGGAAAGCTTAAGGAAATTGGCGGGATCGTCAGGATGTAACTGGCAAGTTTTGATTTTTGAAGTCGATGTGCTGTTCGGGCCAGATGACAATGGTGGCACGACTTCATCTGCCGCTTTATCCCCACAGAAGTACATGTGAGTACTATGCCATGCTACATGAGCATTTACTCACCTCCCATTGCAGGCAGCGCGTTAAGTGCTGTGCGTTCAGTTATATTCGCGGTTTGTGGTGATCTTGGTTTCTTAGTTTTACCAGCGGCCTTTGCCGCATCCTTCTCTGCTTTCTTGCGAGTGTGTTCTTCAGCGGCTTTCTTTCGATCTTCGGCTTGCTTCTTCTCTTCAGCAGCAATTTGTGCCACGCGATCTTGGAGAAATGCTTGAGGATTCTTCGGTAGGCAATTTCGCCATAGCTGAGGGATCTGAGCACTCGCGACCTTTAGTATATGTTTATGCTAAACCGCAGATGATATATGACTCACAATGATTGGTGCCTGCGTGATCACCAGAAGTTTCCACTGGTCCGCGGTCAAAGACCCTCCGGCAGGCATACCAATGTCCGTTGGAAGCCTTCCCGTCCAGTTAGGTAGTGAGAACTGTGCATGTAATTGTAACGACACATACAGAAATTGATCAATAGACTTACATCCTGAAGCATCTCATGCAAGATTCTAAGTTCATGATTCTCGCGCAGAATATCCTTCTGTACCCATATATGATAGAAGTGAGACTTCGTTAGTCCTGCATTCATCAATTAGTCTTTCAGCTCACGTTCCAATGGTTGTACACTAACCTAGGAATAAGTTATGCATTGGATCTATCACAATTTGGCGAACAAGATCAAAATAAGGAAGACGCGAGAGTTCCGTGTAGCGTGTTGCATGAGCGCGCACGAAATCAGTGCGCGCCTTCTCCGTCTTCAAGTTACGGTACCGTTCACCCAGCTCTCGTTGCTTCTTGTCTGTGCGAGGCTCAAATGCTGTGGAAATAGTCAGTTCGTTGCCTTTCCACACTGACGGTCACTACGTACCATTCTTTTCAAATGCTTTTGGTGTCCCGATGTCCTGCTTTGTTATCCAATCCTGAGTGCATGGGTATGTATGGGAATGACTACCGAAACCCCCAATCTTGTGAGCTGCCGGTTTGTCGCACACAACGGCTAACAATGCCACATGTACACGTCGCCCTGTGACAGTGCATTCAGTGCAAGCTAAATTTATAATCATCCAGCTACAAACCTTCAGGCGAAGATGGCGTCTTGACAACTATACCATCCTTCCACAATCGCAGAAGGTCGCTCACAATAGGACGTATGAACCTCTGAACTTGATCTCCGGTCTGCTCCTTTGGACCCGGCAAAATGCTTGTGAGCATAAGATTGCTTGTTCGGTAACGATACTCCGGAGGCAGGTTGCTGATGGAGAAAGATGTTGGGCAAGATGAATGTGATGGCGATATCAAAGAACGCCGGTAGGAAAACCTATTAAACCTATGTCAGATACACTTATTACAACACAGCGACAACGTGATACTCACCAGTCTATTGCCCATGACAGCCCAATGCGTAGCTCGTTATCAGGTCCCTTGACATGTTGTACACCTTCATTAGCGAAAAATGGCTTCCCATCTGGTCCACGAAGTGTTTTTGCTATCGCACCATCGAAGATGTCTTGGTATACTCTGTCTTTGCGCGCGACTTTCCGCCACTCATTCAGCAAGTCCTCTGAGCCCTCGATGCTAAGTATTGTCTCGAGCTGCTGAGAAATCAAAAGATATGGATATTGGATGATAGGGATGCGATTGTTTCATTTCTGGCCCCGTGCAGTTTTGCCGCTCTTAAATAATTGTGATCCGCAATGCACGCAACATTCAGGAGATTCCGGTGTGCTCGGGTAGACATCCTTGCACGTCGGACAGACTGCCAAAGTTTGAAATTGCACGTCGAGCCCCAGGATTTGATTTGCAGTCTTGAGTGTCATGAAAGGAAGTGCTGTCCCAGGTGCGACGAGCAGTAAGACGACTGCAAAGCACCACAACAGTGCATTAGCCGCGATAATTGAAAGACGGAAGTTTAGGTGAGTCCAAGAAACTATTGCATATATGCACGTTAAGTATGACAGAATCGCACGAAGGTCGGCAGTCGATATATTGTGTATCTCGAAGTGTGGTTCGAATGGATCGACCTCTTCCCAGTTTTGACTACTTATGAGCGCATCCCAGTGGTCATCTGCTGGACGTCGGGAAACATCTGAGTGAATTGGCTTCAGCAGAGTACCAAGATAATTAAACACATTTACTCACCTTCCCAGCCCTCCGGAGCAGAGATAGGATTGCCCGCTCCATGGACAAACTCATCTGTGTTATCCTCATCATTGTCATCCAGGATCCCAACGTCTTTGGCAGCTTCCTCGTCATCTGCCGATGGTGGTATCGGACCTAAGAGAGGAGGTAGACCTTCTTTATCCACATCTGCACCTTCATCCGATCCCAGGTTAACCATCATCTCATTAATAGCCTGAAGAAAGGAATTTTCCGAGGACGTATCAGGCTGGAACCGAGGACTGCTATGGGCCGTATAGGAGGTAAGCGGCTGCGATGCAGCAGCAGTAGCGGCATTCAGCCTGCTGTAGTGATCCACATAGGCTGTGAGGACAGCTGGGTCGTGAATCCCCTCGCCAAAAAAAGGAGCATCTAAGAACATGTCGCTTTCGGTGAAGGTCCCATGCTCGAGCATCTCAAGCTCTACCGTGTCAACAACCATCTCTGGCAATGCCGCAGGTTCCAAATAAGCAGGAATGGGTGTATATTGCTCTTGAAAGCTGGTGAGAACAGGTCCTGTGGCATTGTGCGGCTGGAGTTCCCGTGGAGCACTAGAGATGCGACGAGTAGAGCCTTGTCTTAGCTCACGTTCCTGATGGTGGCGACGCGTCCGAGTGGTAACCCAAGCTCCATTACATGTCTTGCAGAAGCACTGGACCAGGTTGCTAGACGGCATCGCGAACGTTAGTCTAAGAGGGATACTCAGCGCGACAAGACGCGTACAGCGTACATATCACGTGACCGCTCTCCTGCTCTCCAGCTCTAAGTTTTACAGCCGAGAACGTCGTCTAAGCACAGGTGAGGGACTTTAACATTTGAATGCACCATGTAATACATGAGATACATCAATCAAAGTGAAATTCACAAAAATGGTTCTACAGAGTTTTAGATGTCTCGGTTATCTTTTAATCCCCTTCGCGCCGCTCCATGGCAGTTTGGCATTGCCCCGCTCATTCCGCTATGAGCGTCGAAAGTCAATAATTGTAATATCAGCAGTAAAGGTACTGACCTATTTTCGCAGCCTCTGAGCCATCTATGTCAAACGTGAAGTCCCGATAGCTGACTTCCTGCGAGAACGTGATGTAATTCCAGTACCTTGATGACGGTGAGTCCAGGTCTGGATAGCGTGCTCGAGCGGCCACTTTGTACACTCCTCGAGAAGCTGAAGTTCCAGATGGAGATGGGAACAGTCGAGGCAGGACAGGTATGTGAGTGGACGGCGTGAAAAGCATAGGTAGAGGAGCTTCGATAGGTGGAGTAACTCCACGCGCGCAAGGGGAGCCCAACGGGGGCGATGCAGAAACTTCTCGTTGCTTCCAGAGACCAGATGGTGAAGTAAGGATGGAATAGGGTGAGCTCGAGGGGACAGTAGTGAACGCCGTGCGGGCGGGAGATGCAGCCGGGGTTGTGTATCCGATATATGCAGTGATGTGGTCCTGCAAACTGTAAGGGGGGAATACAATCACGCCTACACGAAAAAGAAACTCACCATTACATCTTGTGTATCTGGAGTACACGCTCGCAAAGTCGTGGTGTCCTCAGGTTCGCAGATCTCGGAGGAACTGAGCTCATGTGCTGGCGATGTGTTAACATGCCCAAGGGGCTGAGATATTTCTGCTTGCGACATGTCAGCTATATCTACTTCGGAACTTGAATGTGCTTCATGGGATAGAAGGAAGTCCATCTCCGGAAGCTGACTATAAGGCTGGGAATCAGTTCACCGCATGTTCGGCGGTTCACGAGGCTGTAGATAACTAAACAAAGTCAGAACAGTAAGAAAGTGTTGGAACATGTATTGATCTCGACTGTACACATACGGAGATTCATGGAAAGCCTCATCGCAACCCCCAGGTTGCACATACAGTGGAGTATGTGGAGCGTGCACCAACTCCTGCAGTATGAGTACGATAACCTACGGTTTGGTGTGACTTGAGTTGCCTTGAGTTTACATAGATGATCATACCATTTCCCGCCTGCTTGGATGAAATTCAGCCGCTGGGATAGTGACTACTTGTTCACCGGCTGCTGGATCGAAGTACACCCTGATTATATCGGCCGCAACAGCTCTAAAACTAACCCCGAGCGACTCTAGTTGACTATGCGCAGAATCCATGACTTAAGATCTAGAGTTATAGCGCTAGCTGAGCGTAGAAGGGCAAGAACTAACTCGCAAGCCATGATAAGTGCATGAGTGTCTTGTCACATGGAATAGAACAAATCCGCGGTGTCGGCAGACTCTGAAGATGCTTCTCGCTATGTTGCTTGGACATCTTGAAGGTAGTCGAAGAGGTCACTGCCGCAGAGGGGGAAGACAGAGAGAGTAAAGGCTCTTTCAAGTCGAACAAAGTCTGGATTATTGAGACTTCGGGAGAATCTCGAGAATGCCGAATAAGGACTACAACAACTATCTTCAGTGTCCGATAATGCCACGTCAAAGTCCGAAGATGTTAGAGGTAACTTATAATTGGCGCGTCTTAGATCCTGACGATTTTGTGGGTTTTGCAGTGAATGGGTGTGAAGGACTGGAGAGCGCTGCCGCGCAAGACCGCGCCACCTGTGAAACAAAAGAAAAAATAACCATAAGTGGAGGACCGGATGCGTATAACATCAAAGGATGTACGCGTCGTGTCCACGTGACAGACCACGTGAGACGCCGGCACTTGCCCGTGTAACTACACGTGTGGCAAGGCCACCACTCCCACACTCCTACCACCATGTCCCAACCAACCCTGCCTATGGAAACCGACAACGACGAGGTGACAACAAGCCGCCCCGCCACACAACAGCAAGGCCGACCAAGGTCGACATCCTCGCGGCTCCAATTTGGAACTGCGATGATGCCACAGGCCCTACAGCAACCACCACCGCCACCGATCACGATACGATCGATGGCGGCCCCAGCGATCGCAACTACATCGACAACCACAGCACCCACAGGTGCTGGGAATGCAGCAGTGATGCTGCCACCACCGCCGATCCTGACAGTGATGGAACGGTGGGTCTCTTTTGGGACCCACCAGTTCACGCTATACCACACGGAGGCATGCGCTGTGTGCTACAGCTACCTCCAACACATCGTGATGGCACGCAACACGGCCCCCTATCAGGAAGCCCACACAGATGTGCTCAATGCTGAGCAGCACCTGTTCTGGGAGCACTTCCAGACCTACATGGCCTCGGAAGGGGGAGGACGTGGTGATGTTCCCATGCAGCAACGCAACATGGAGCTGCAAGTGCAACTCCATGTGGCAGAAACAGAAGCAACCACACAGCGACGACAGGTCGATGACCTACTAAGGGAGCGTGAACGCCTCCTCAGGCAGATCACGTCAAGTTCCCGACCTCGATCGCCCCCGGACTATCGCGGGCAACCGAGTGGGGCTCCACGGAGACAACCATCTCCACTGGAATACCTACCTCCCCCGAGGGAGCGAAGGTATTCCCCCCCATCAACGAACAGCAGCTCGCGCCGGTACTCACTGCCGTCAAATGCGAGCGGATCGCGACGTCGATCCCCAGCGTGATACTCGACTGGGGGAGCATAGCGATACGTGCCCTACGCCGCGGCGAGTAGGCCGAGCTCAGCCACACACCACACTCCGGGAATGCCCCTGCCACCGAGACACATGCCCCCAGGGCCACCACCAAGGAGTGGTGCCCCTGGACCGCCGACCGGTCCTACATCGGGACCACCAGCTGACTACATTCCGCGACCTCCAGTTGGTCCTGCTCCTGCCCCTGTAAAGTCGCGCGCGCAGCGGGCCTACGAGCACATCAACAACAACGAGTCGGAGTCAGAGCCATCCACAGACGGCGACAATGAGCCCGACAACGTCGAGGTCCAGCGGCTCAACAAACAGCGCCAGAGGAACTGCGGCCTGATGAACCTGCCCAGGCAAGGAACATCGAGGAGCGATGACAAAGGGAAGACAGTGCCGCAGCTGTCAGACACCGATAACGATGTCTCGCCGGCCCCGCACAACTGGCCCAATTCGTTCCCCCTCCCGGTCAACACGCAACCATGGAAGGCGACCGAGTGGTACAACTTTGTACCTTGGTACGTCTGCGACTCGCAGCGCATCATCGATGTGGCACACGGTGGCGATGATGGCGCGCGCACCCGGGCGACCGACCTCATCTGGCAGATGCAGCAAGATGGACGCTTGACTGCGTCCCACGGCATGATGAACCTACTCATGTCGTGGCGACGTCACGGCAGCTCCGGAGTGATACATCCGCCGACAGTTCCCCCTCCCCGTCGGATGACCAACCCCACCAGCTCGTCGACATTCGACGAGTGGGTGGCATGGTATGCACAGAACCCGAGACAGGTTCACTGGGCCATCAGGCACTTGAACAATGACCGCTCGGAGGCCCCACTACGCCAGGACCTGGAGGCGATGTGGCTTGCACGTCGCATGGCCCCCATCATCCCACCCAGTGTACCAGCGACGGCCTGCAATGTGTTCATTGAGCACACTGCGGAGCTGTTCTCCATCCCCGGGCTGTACGCGTGGATCGTACAGGCCGGACATTACCCCATGGCAAACAACAACGAGCCGGCCCCGTTTCCCCGCTCATCCGCCCAAAACTCGTCCATATACGATGTCGCGCGATGGTACGCTGCCCGCGGGTTCCATCCCATGCGGATTGGATTCCTCGAGGAGTTCCACCGTCAACACTGCAACTACATCCTCGGACGGGTTCTCGAAGATGTGACCCCGTTCAAGGGACACTTCCCGGCGGACCTTCGTGATGGATGTGCTCGGCCGGTACCCCCGACCCACGAGTTGTTATCACTCGTCGACGAGGACATGGCGATGCAGCCGCCAGACCCCGAACCACCCACACCCGGCGCTGGCAATGCCCCCGCTGGCAGCGGTCAGCTGGGCCCCAACCCCAGAGCGACCCCCGAGGCTGGTGGCCCTGACCATGACATGGGCGGCCACTAGCTCACGCTGGCATGCCCCCCATTGATGTGCCGCTGTGGGCCATGGCTGGGGACGTGATGCATACCCTCGGTGTGCCCACAACCCGCCTGAGTGTTCTGGCCGTGTCTGTTGTCGCCTTCGCCCGTCGCCTTGCCTCATCCTACCGTACTGCCTCGCATTGCCACCTGCATCATCCATTCGATGGCGCAGTCGGTGCTATGGTCCCGTGGAATGTGTCCGGTGGGGGAGGGTGTAACGTGCTGCTGTTGTATTGCAGGGCACAAGTACCAAGCGGTACTTGTGCCCTAATCTTATCTAATCTTATCATGTATTACATAATTGTTGTGTACTGTTTGTATGCGCTCTGCGTGTATCGAGCGCGCGTCGGTGTGTTGAAGTCAGAGACTTAACACACCATGACCTTGATACACGCACGACGCTCCAGAATAGAGCTTGGTGCACTGTATCTGAGGTTCGGTGTGATAAGGCCTCACCCCCCATTATATGCAACCCGCCTGCCCAGGAATCTTAGATCTGCGAGCATGTGAGCCCCCCCAGAGCATGCACCGTGGCTGAACTCTCAGATGCATTGGAGTGGGCACAATGGTTAATTCGACATTCAACACTGTGAAAATTTTCCAGAACATCATTGGGCTCTTCAATGAACCGGAGAACTCACGCAAGTGATCCGATCCTACTCTCAAGTGTGAACAAATGAGAGGTACTTCTTATACTCTAATAGGCATGCAAGGAGTGGAAGAGCAAGAGCACGTCGTCTTGGAAACGAGGCTCATAGGAAGTATCCTGGAGAAGGATTCTTCTGGAGTGCGATAGAAGGAGAGGAGAAGTTAGACATGGGCGGGAGTGTGAGCAGCATTGGCGTTAACCAATTCTGCGGTGTTGTTGTCGTTGTTGTTGTCCTTGAAGCCATCAGTAAGGTGGGAGGATACAAGGAGAAGGGAAGAAGGAGTATTTGGCACCAGATGGGACTCACCGTCCGTTATATACGCCCGGGCCAGGGTTATGAGAGAAAGAAGCTACGTCATCGCCTTTACTTCCAAATCGGGAAGAATCACTACGGGCCTAATAGGGCTTTGGATTTTCACTACTGGTATGGTAGATCATTACAGTCTTATACCGGTCCTTCGGCCACCATGGGTCCTTAGGCCACCCCACATTTTCTGGCTTCCTGGCCACCTTTTCCACTTCAACTTTTTAAAACTATATCTGAATATACTAGAACTATCTTCTCCAAGCTTGTAGAAATTGTACGGCCTCTGGATCGGTTTGGAGACACCGATTTTGAGTGTAATTTGCAAAAAAGTGCTTGTACATTGTTTAGTTCACAGCAGAAATCCGAAAAATTTCATGCCAGGCATATTTATGCACGCTGTAATGTTTTGGCAATGTTTCCGAAGCCATCCGCTGCTATCCAGGATGAGAAGGGAACTTCGACCTGGGGAGTGAGCATTTCAGAGCTCTTATCGGCGAGATGTCACATCACATATATCCTGATATAGAAATGAGCGCCCATAATCTCATCTGTATCAGGAAATTCAACGTGATGTGACGTGGCCGGAGGAGTGAGGAAAGCACTGATAACGATTTTTTATACTGATCCACCGCGATTTCATGTTTTGCTCCAGCGATTGGGTTGTAAATACATGCAATCTTATGGTAGGAGTATGTATTGAGGTCTGTGTGCTTGCCGATCTACGAGAAAGTGTAGGCATGTACCATACAGAGGCGGGCAAGATTTGGGTGGCCGAAGGACCGGTATAAGACTGTAGCTAGGTAGCCTGGGAAAGATAATTACCGGCAATATTGAGAAGCTTGACATGGAGCACTGGATGCCTCAAGACCCTATAGTATTAATGTATTCCCGGTGGATCTATACAGCGACAGAACTCGCAGTAAACATAGTAGAGACTCGAAGGTGGCCTGCAAGCTGGGAAGAAAAGACAATGCACATCTCGGAGTGCGTCGAAGGAACGGTGAACCCGAACCCTAGTAGATCGCTATAGATTGCTCTCTGGACTTTACATCGTACGTGTACCTACCAGTCGACCATTTTTTTGGGTCTCCCTTCGTAGTTGCTCCTGTAATTTGACAAAAATTTGCCCAACCTTACAAGCCCTTACAACCTCACATAGCATTGTAGCACATTGTGATGCCATTGCAATTAATTGTCTACGTTACTGAGGGTTGCAATACATCGGGAACGATTACAGAGGTTGCAATACAACCCAATTATTCTGAAGGTTTACAATGTCATTCTAATCTGTTACCACATACCGCGGAGTATTACAATCGTCGTAATCCGTTGTAACAATTGTGCACTTTTGCTGATGTGTATTCCGCAGTCTCAATTGTCAGTGTCACCGCGGCCATATTTGTCCTGGATCGTGAGGGTAGCCGGCGAAGACTTAAGCTCCTACTACCTACTGAATGCCAGAAGATACAGAAAGAAAGAGTTCTTTAAAGAGGTCAGCATGTCAACGGAGATTTGCCGGTTAATGTACACGGACTGGGGGATGGACCTAATTAATGCGAGCCACAAGAATCTGGGAATTAATAATTGTCAACCGCCCAGATGGGAGGTCAGGGGAGGTCGACCGAGATGCGAATGTTCAGGTCTGTGCGTGCGTCACATTGCTACTCCGAGTCTCATTGCCAAGGTATTCAGAGGAATTGACGAGCCGCAAGCAGTCGAAGAAATATTGTCAGAAAACGTAGCAAGTACTCAGCACAGCCGGTGACAGGACAGGACCTGGCGGCAGAGTGTATACGGGAAATCTGATACTTATCCGAGATGTTTTCCTAGGGATCTGCTCCTACAGTATTGTCAAGACCAAACACTAAAAGCAAGCTGCTCTTCGCAGCATGTTATCAGTGACATTGTCGATTTTTTTTCATTCCAGTATGATAATTGAAGAATGCAGGTCGACACAAATCCATGTTCCCGCGCAATTAATCCATCTACAAGGTATATATGTACACGTCCCCCCACGCTGTCCTCTCTAAATGTAAGAGCACATCCGACCGCAAGTAGATGCGGACGGGGCCGGGGTCGCTGTAGGGCGGAGCCACAACAAGCTGTGATGATGGATTCCAGACAAATGCAGAAAGTAGAACATGTACGCCGTGTAAATGCAACGTGTGGCAGTAAAGCAGGACGAAGATGGAGGCAAGCGCCAGGGAAGATCTCTAAAGATGACGTGCAGCGCCGCAGGAGACAACTAAGGTTGGGGTGGACTAGTGTGGTGCGCAGAGCGTAGGTCGGATATTAGCGGACAGCTCGTAATGTCATGAGAGGAGCACAGCACATCAAGGGCATGGCGCTGCGAAGCTGTTGTTCGGAAAGGGTTGGCCAAAGTCACCCCGCCATGTCGTCAGATTCGGGTTCGTGTAAGCCTCCATATACCTAAAGGCAGGAGCACGCTCAGGTTGGATGCTGAACAACACAGTGAGTAGAGGACCCACTGGTTAATATATGCAGCGGTGGGGAAGTCCTTGGGATCACAGCCAACATTGATCTTGCTCGGATCCTGGTATACACGGATATAGTCGATACTCATTGTAGCGGGGAATGGCAGATGCTCCAGGTCAACAGTCCCGAAGTTCTTCGACATACCCAAGTTGACGATGATATACTAACCAGGACGAGTCAATTTGATCAGACTAGAGGCCAAAATTGAACAAGGAGTACCCACCATGGCCTCTTGAGGCACTGGGCGCTGGTTGATCTCAACTATAGGATCGGCAACCATTCCTGACTGCTGCAGAACCCACGCCACCTGATTATTTGCAATCCACGCGATGTACTGGAAAGTGCATCAGCATAACCATGGCTAGTAGGGCGCGAATTCGTCAAACTCACTGCACCGTCGAACCCGGGCTGATACTGATATCCATAAACGGCGTACTCTGCCCCAGTAAGCTCATAAGCTTGCTGGTCTATCATTACATTCCATCTATGTCAACCCACGCTGAAGGAAATTGAACATTTCGCACGCACTGTTCTCGGTGACACCAGATGTCGCCTGCTGGAATGCACCTCCTAGGTACGGATTCAAGAACGTAGCGGTTGTGTTCGTGATAGAGTAGGTCTCCGTGGTATTGTCCCATAGATATTGGTGATTGAACGGCTGATGTGACGGATGAGCACCATATATACCGGAAAATACGATACGCCACCACTCACAGCCCACTGGCTGGACTGCGAAACCTGTCCACTTAAAGGATCCCCAGTGATCTTCGCGTATAGTCGTTAATAATTGTAAGCCTACAAGAAAATGGCAGCTATGTACCTGAGCTTCGAAAATATCAATTTCAGGCGCAGAGCGGCCGACAAATGTACCATCCTCGTGCATGGGGCCAGGATGAGACGACCCAGGGCACGAGCACCTCGAGAGACGCTGTCCAGGCAGGTACGAGAGGATATCACCGTTCGTAGGATCACCGTTTTCCATAGCAGCAAGCGGGAGACTGTTTCTTGTCTGGTTCGGCATCGTACCGACATCACAGTAGTCATACGTATACGGCCACTAATGTATGCAAGAATTTCGGAGTGGGCGTGTCAACGCGCACAGTAGTCTCCAATATAAGCGAACATACCATGCCCTCAAGACTGGCTCCATAGCCCGCACGGCCGAGGTTACCCATTGTCCAGACTGCAGGCCAGAAGCCGACAATGTTGTTGATCCCGGGAAGTACAGCCGAGACCTCGACCAGTCCGCCGGTGAAGCAGAACTTGTTCCAGGTGGTCATCATCCCACTCGTATAGTTGAGATTGTGGTTTTCCTTCGCAGACAGGGTGATCTTCAACGAACCATTTGAAGTGGTGATGGCTGTCGGATCCAGCCATTCCATGTTGTTCGTCTGCCAATAATGCAGGTCGACTGCCTCCCAGTACGGATCGTCTCCTGGCCAGAAAGATCGTCCATCGACGTTGAACTCGTCACTGAACACCAGCTGCCATTTTTTATTGTTGATGTAATCCGACTTGTACAGCGCTTCTTTCGGTGTATCGGTGTCGACGAGGCCAAAATTACCAGGCATGGACGGTACTTGGCCCGATGCATTCATACCGCCGATGTTAAACCCGCCATTTTTAGAGGGCCTGTGCTTTGTAAAATGGCTGATGAGCGGGTATCCGGCGCTGCAAGAGATATCAACGGGAAGATCAATATTTAGTGCGACGTCATTGACTGCGACGTGGTAACGTGAGACGCACAAGAGCGTGACCAAACCGGTCAACAAAATTGCCAAACAGCCTAAGTTCACGACTCCCCGGGCGGTGAAAATGTGTCCACCCTGATCGTGTTTCCGGTCCCGCCTTGGGTCGGGGTTGTGGAGGTCGTCGTCAATCTCCGGATGGTCGAGCGAGAGGTCTGCACCCCACGATGACGGGTCGGGGGCCAACGAAAACTAACGGAGCCCAGCTAACTGTGAGAAAACAGCCGTAACGAAACCAGAGCGAAGGCGCACAAACCTTGTCAGAGATAGAAGCAGGGATGGAGCTATGCTTGTTCGAGCCATACCGAGACTCGTTCTATGGGGACAATCAGACACGCAAAACGCGCATAAGACCAAGCGACGACACTCACGAGCGATGCATCACTGGCCACGCTGCGCAGAGATCTGGGAGGTTGAGCGAGCGTGGCCTGCACGCCAGGGGAGGACCTTGATGATTGGGGAGACAAAAGATTGACGGTTGAAGGAGAGTCTTGCTGGGCGAAACGCCGCTGGGAATGGGACCCATAGGAAGCCATGGTCGTTGGCTCGGACGATGAGGAGGAGGAGAAAGACGAGGAGAAGGGTATACGATGGAGACCGGGATAAGGTGAGTCTCGGTACAACCGACACAACCACCGCTCCGTCCGCCGTGGGAACTTCCATTCGACTACGAGAACATAACTGGAGACATATCAGACATATCCTATCAGCCGCCTGTCCCGTCCATCTCACCGCTGCCGCCCACATCACCTTCCTCGCTGAAATCCAAGCCTGCGCCCTCCAACAGCCCCAGGATCCCTCCTCTCGCCCACGGACTCGCACCACTACGCTCATGCAGCTCCTTCGCAGCTTTCTCTACTCTCGCCAGCCCAGTCTTTTCCCCACCCTCTCCACCAACTTCCAACCCCTTCTCCGCAGCAAGCGCGTCGATCTCCCGTAGCCGCGCCAGGAGTGCCTCATTTGCCTTCTCCAGCGCCTTCCATGTTGCCGTTCCTTCTACCGCACCCGTAGAACTCGACGGCGCGCCCGTGTAAGGGTCGAGAACATCCAACAGCTGCATTTTGTGCGCCCGATAGTTGTTTCGTGTGGTGGTGGGTGGGTGGGTTAACAAAGTGTGCGTCACCTGGGATGGCACTGGCGTGGACCATGCGCTCTGCATACCACTTTGGAGCAAACCTGAACCGGATGATGGTACGCTGTTCTTCTCTACATATTTCTCCAGAGCAACTAGCGCGTCTTTGGCTTTCTTGGCCTTTTCGCGCCTGGATGGGCGGCCCTTCTTCTTTTGAGGACGCGCAAATGATGATGCAGTTTCGTCACTTGTTAACCCAGTAAGCGCAGTAGGTTCTTCTCCGTCCTGAACGAATATTTCTCTCGGAAGCACGCTTGGATTGAAGGGGCGAAGCTCGGAACGGGGCAGGATATGGAACGCCTGCGAATCGATGAGCGTGGTGAGCAGGTGGATGACATACGGTTGTAATGGATGTAGCCCTGGCTCTATCAGAGTTGACGGTAATGTAATAATGGACGTGTAAGCATCTGCCGACGCGTCAATCACAACGAGATGGCGATTAGAAACGCGAGGCATACCAATCGGGACATCGAGGTACTTCGAACAGCGCAGGGCAGGAGTCGACGTAGATGGCTGTGTGGAGTAAAAAGTATACAAAGCGAAGAGCGCAATAACTCTAGCGAGGGGAGGCTCAGTGTCTGCCATACGTTCTGCACTGCCTCGGTCAAAACACCAACACCGACAACACGCAACGCACGCACCCAGAAATAGTCTTTCCGTGACATCGATGAAGGTCTCTCGCGCACGAGCATCAAAGACTTTGAAGTGAATCCAACTCCACCCCAGATCTGTCCATAACTTCTTGAAAAGCGCAAATGGTTGACATGGTTGCTGCGGCCCGACATACTGCTCCGAAAAGGCGTATATCAGACGAGAAATATCTTCGCGCAGAGGTCCGACATAGAGCGAGGAGGTGAAATAGGACGGCTGGAGGGTGATATCGCCGCGAGAGGCTGAGGGAGCGGGCGAAGTGGACATGGCCAAGTTAGCGCTGGGCAGGAGGAGTTGCCAAACGCGTCAAAAGCCAAACAGAGCGCAACACCGCGAACGCGTCGAGCGAACACGTGGCTGAGCACTTGCTTCAAATCACCTTCCTTCTGGCACACGGCTCGATGCTCATGTTTCTGTTCTCGCCACACCACCCATAACACACAACACACTACACTCGACCACGATGTCCAAGATTTTTAGACAGCATAGCAGTGTGGCCTGCTTCTACTGCCAGACGGCGATCACGCCTTTTCCCCATAATCCCCGGTCCTTCCGCTGCCCCAATTGCGACTGCTGGAATCGCTATGGCAATGACGGAGAAATCATCTCAGAAGAACCTGCGATGCATGACGAGAAAATGAATACGCGTTCCTTCGCCAGGCGAGGTGCGTGTCCCCGACACGCTCGTACTAACAACCTGGTTGAATGCACTTCAGGATCCCCGAGAAAAGACCGCTTGCCTAGCATATACGGAAGCGTGTTGTTCTGCCACACCTGCCAGACAAATCAGATGCTCCTTGCTCAACTCCTATCAAACTACCTTCCTCCACAAGATGTGCGTGCCCCCAGCTCTCCACTTCTGCACTCACTCATCTGCCTCTCGCACTGTCTTCACCCTCTCTACTATGCATACATGCAGGACCCAGAATATGCGGAGCGCAGTGAAACTTATGACGAATACCGCCGTTCTGTCGAGGTGCGGTATCCACCCGTGTGTGCCGAGTGTGCGCCCGCTGTAGAGGAGGAGATCCGGCGGCGTGATCAAATGGCGCGCACGCAGGCTCTAGGTGGATTCCTTCACGCGACGAAACGAACAACCCTGCAGGCACCCGAGTCGCAGAAAGATAAGGACCGCCTCCAGCGAGAGATCGCCGCGTGGAAAATAAGGGGTTGTCTCTGGCTCGGAAGCCTTGCATGTGCGCTAGGAGGATATGTTGCAGGTGCGATGTCTCACGGTTTTATGCCTTGCTACCATTTTGCTGATATCGCTTTAGTGGTCTCAAGACAGGGTGTACTGCGATTACCTGGCAGTTTTCGGCTGGTTATACCCGTCATCACCCCCTGTTCCATCTTGTGGACAGTGTGGGATCCGACATACGCGTCGTTACGACGCGAGCAGTTTCAAGGACGGGCAGTGCGCCAACGCGGCAAAAGAGTATACGTCGTGCGTTCCTTAGCAATTACTATGAGTTCAAATTTGGAAGTATTCAACGCTATCGCAGGTTTTACAGATGATGGCATGGCTTTCAAGACTATGTACTTCAGTATTCATCGCATTGTCTTTGTATAGGCCTGAATGGGACCGTGTACAACTCTGGGACGACCCGCAATCGACGGAGGCCCGGATGTATTGTTCTATCTCCATAGTACTTGAATTATTCGTGAGTGTGTGTTCGCATCTTGAATGACTTCACCTCACAGATCTGACCAGGTTCTCGTAACGTCGCATTTCACTCTTCAACTCCAGCATCCACCTAAAATACGTCTCATGGACGGTTCAGAAGATAGATACCAGTTCATGTCTCCCACATCTTCACAGCCCTCTACTCGCAGCACCACGCCAGCAGTAGCTATAGAGCCCGACCTCCTAAACGGCCTGTCACTGTCTTCCAATGGAGTGATGCGCACCACGACTCCCAAGCCAAAACCCATTTTCGGCGTTGCATCATTTCCCGCAGGCCCATCACAATCGCCAAGCCGGTCACATCCTGCAGGCCCGTCATCCACCACACCATCCTCTCCCCTCAGGCACGCCCCACCCAACGATTCCGACATGGAAATCGCAGACGACGAATTCCCATCTGCAAGCGACGACCCGGACGCGATGGACTGGTCGCCCATCCGCCCGACCCAGCACCCGCCGAGATCGGACAAGAAGCCTGTCCGGCTCACAATTCCGGACGACGGCGTCTGGTTGCGGCCACAACGCTTTTTCGCGCCCGAGGAGCCAACGGGGCTAGAGAACCTATTCGCCAAGACGATAAAGCTGGCAGATGACGAGCAGCAGTGCCGCGGGGGCGCTAGCGGGGTGCGGAGACAAGCGGGACGTCGATGCTGGCCAGCGTGGTGGGCGCTAATCGGTATGCTGCCGCTGCTTCCACTCGCTGGGTTTGTATGGTATAGCAGGTGGAAGGGGGTATCATGACACTGTGGAACTCTGTGGGATGATCTATGTTTTATTGCGCTTTCCAGGTTACTTTCGGATGGAACTCTAGAAATTAATGCCTCGTCTGCGACGCGAAGCCATTCAAATGCTCGTTTCATTAGCATCAACATATGACATCATGATACTCACCTTTTCGGCGCCAAGCGTTCGCATGAGACCCTCGTAAACCCACAGCGCAGACGCGTTCGAAGGGAAGGCGCGTATGAGGGAGGGGCCGAGCCCACGGAAGAAGCCGAACAGTCCACCCAGTGCGTAGATCTGTCGCACCGTTGCGACCAACGATGGCCGCGCAAGTGTGTGCGGGGTGGCCATCATCCGGCTGACGGTGTCAATGAAGAATATCAGAGAGCAGCGCCGTAGGACATACTTCTTGATGTTGTCCGCAGGGATACCCATGCCCCAGAAGGCGAACGAGGCGAAGCCGCCTGAGAGAAAATTCGCAGTTGCCGCACTGATCTGCAGTTCCGCGTACTTAGCCTGATATGCAAACGTTAATTTAGGGGGGGTTCACCTCGTACGGTGTTCCGTTCAGCTGGGAGAATCCGCGCATCAAAGCCTGACAAATGTAAACTGAGATCCAAGCTTCGACCATCTACTCTGAGCCAGGGAGATCACACCTCAAACGAGAGAAACAACCATAGGAAGTTGCTCCTGAACGCAAGACTGCCTGTAAAACCCGTCCACAAGCCTCTGGCGCCCTGACTGCGTATAATTTGCTTTGCACAGTCTATTGGTCCTCGATATTGCCTATCTGAGAATCAAGAATTTAAAATCAGCGTGCATTCAGCATACGGGTTAGTGCACACCTTTCAGATGTTCCATAGGCGTAGCAAAGAAGGCGCTAGAGTCGTGACAGTCAAGGTTATTTCTCTGGGAGGTCAGTAGGCAGAACGAGACAATACCTGGTCAATCCTGCACATAGGCCCGCTAGCCCATGACCGACCAGTGTTAGCCTCTTCTTGCCGCTGCCCGGAGTGAGTTCCGTAAAGTGATGTCTTATCAAGAAAAGTCGGTAGTTGTGTAGCGACCCGAGCAGTACCGAATCAATGGCAGCCCACCCCACGGCAGGAGGGGTGACTCCTTTGTATAACGCGAAAATAGACTAAAATGAGAGAAGGGGGGCTATGAGCTGGACAACGTTTGGAGGCGGGACAGAACAAACTTCGTTTCGGATTGTTTGCAGTAGGCAATCGATGGCTCCGCGGTAGGTGCCAGGAGGGGAGCATTGTATGCGTGTCTTAATGGTGTCAAAACTTGATCACAGGGAGCATCGTCATTATATTCAAGGCTTTTACGGATTGAAGTTCAATAAATGAGAAACATGGACACATCGACGGCATAATATACCTTACAAAGCGGTCTCGACATACCCGTGCCCTACAGTTACCTTTAATCATGGGGATCATCGTCATGATCTAGGTACACGAGTAATGAAGCTCCATACCTTCGTTAGACCTGATGGGCATGAGCTAAATCACGGCCCGTTGACTTTCGGAACCGTGGCGCGCACACTCACCGCTACCCACACCCGCAACTGCCCCTACGAGTCGGAGATGGCCTGTATCTGAATCTTCAGCCATCGTCAAGCGGTCCTCGATACGTTGGACAGGTGAAGACTGGAGACAAGTACGTGTCCTAGGGTCACATACGACGAGCGCCTATCCGTACGCTAGGCTCATAGATACAGCCTCTAGTTAGCGGAAGACAGCCGTTCCCTTCTAATAGGGGCTGAGATCATTACCGACTGCCCTCTACGCATGAAGCTCTCTGAGTAAGCGCCTTGCGACGTACTTGCGACGGCGCGCTGAGCCATATCGTTCGAAAGCTACATTCAAGTTCTGTTGCTACAACAAGCTCTATTGGCACCAAATAGTCTGCTGTACATCCTATCCGTCGTAACAACAGGCAGTGCTCGCACAATCGGAACCCATGCTAAGTCAAACGACACGTACTCCGGGTATCCGCTGTACCACATCGATACAGATGTAAAACAAAACATGGGGTTCACCGCACCTGTCAGTCCTCCAACTCAATTGTGCTCCGAGTCAAGAGTCATTTTATGTCTGATGATCTGCGTCCTGTGAGGCGTGGCGAGGCCAGGTCGACTTTGACTCCGAGATCTTCCTCGTTTCTCTCAACCGCTATTCGCTTTGAGGCACGGCTGCCATCATGACTGTTTTCCGATTCATGTCTGCGCTTCGGGGCGGAAGTGTTGACTCGCTCAACCCGAGGTCCGGTTGCGACAGAAAACACTCGGCGCGGTCTCTGCCGATATATCTGCATGAGCTTGCGGATGGCTGCCAGGAGAATCAGATCGCAGACAAAGATAAAATGCGGTGTTTGTACTTCTCTCGTTGCGCATGACAAAGTGGGCCCATGCCTTGGCGGTCCTCTGTGGATACTAAATTTCCAAGACACGGGTATTCACTGGCAAATACAGGACTAGAATTTGCAGCAAACATACCTTCATGTGGAATGGCTCCCACTTCTCGGAGAACTTCAAGTCTTCCCAATCTGGTTTGGCTGCAATAAATCTGGCAGCAATTCTGAAGTCCGCAGCGGTATATGGCCCTCCAGTGTCTCCCATGTCCCGAATATCCTGGTCTGTATCAGGGAACTCTTCTAGATCGCCCAACTCTTTTTCACCTTCCTCACTTTCCTCGCTGCCCTCGCTGCTTGAGTATTTCGATCGGTCTTGCTCATCTGAATTTGAGTCATCATCTGCCGAGGATTGGTCCCGCTTGGTGTCCCGTTGGGGTTTCAAGATTCTGTCCACTGCGTGGCGATGTTGTTGGAAATAACTCCTCCACGATTGCCATGAATGATGAGGAGCCTAGATACCGTAAGACTATATACCATTGCAACACCATTGTCACTTACTTTTTCGGCAAGCCCAGTGGCAATCTTTGACCTAGAAACATTGGGATCTTGCTTCACCTGCCACTTGATGTACTTGAAGTAGAACACCTTATCTGCTTCTGTAAAGGCCATGCGACCACCCGAGAGCGCTGCGCGTGGATCGAATGGTGGTGGAGTAGGACAGTGAGCAGATGAACAGCTGTTGGGAGACGAAGGTCTAGAAGATGTTGTTTCATCTTTGTATGAGCGTTGTGAGGCTGCAGAGCGCACACGAGGGGTGTTCGATGTTGATGGTGTCGGGAGTGGGTGAGAGGTGGGGGGATTGATGTTCTTGGACCTTAGAGATGATGAGATAGTGACATGCACTCCATCGACTGAATCTCTCGACGAAGTCGCTTTCGGCTGTTTACTGGAGGATGCAAGCGACGAGCCACTACTCTCGGGAACGGATATCCGAGTAACGATAGAACGGTCGTGCTCCAGATAGTAATCTTTCCATGCACTCGCAGGATGATTATTAACCTGCAACGACATACTTCAGAAGACGAATATGTGGATCACGAGGATACATACACCGTGTAAACCCTCTAATGCTTCCCTTGTGGACTTTCCATTGACCCAGCTAATCCGAATGGCTTTGATGATGACCTCAACGTCTTCCGGTGATCCAACTGGGGCGTTCTGAATTACTTGAGTATTGTTCCAATTCTGTTGCGTCATCATCATGTGTGTGTTGAGTGCATACGCATTCTGGAATGCATGTGCCATGTACTGGGGAAGTGATGCCATGCCGTTTAGACCGGAAATGTCGGGGAGCTGGGAGGGAAATGAGCCTGCAAACTGGTTTGCGCCGTTAACCTGAGCTTGGGCAATGTTCATCGGAAACTGGTTCTGCAACATCGTATTGGCTGGAAATACATTCGGCATAGACATCCCTAGAGGGAGAAAAGGTTGTGCATTAATTCCAGGTAGGTTCACCGAGCGGTTGCCTGCTGCAGTCGAGGCAGGTGCGGTAGATATATTCCGAGTACCGGACGGACCCGAATTCATCGTTTTGGTTGGCGAGTACACAGAAAAGTACAGAGAGCACCTGGAGTTGGTCACGAGTCAGAGAGAGCGAGACGATGCTGAGGACGGGCCGCCTGTCGAGATGACGGTGGCCGGTGGACGCGTCCTAGCAAGATGCACACGAGATCTATCTAAGTCGCGAAGCGCTCGATACCCATCACGTGATGACGGCTGTACCGTTATGGTCATCTCCACTCCGAGTCGGACATCACATGTTACATGCACACCGGCTCCTCAGGCGTACCGAGCAATTGCTGAAGTTTATAATACTAACCGCCTGGGTATCTCACCGCCCAAGATGTCGGAAGGAAAGCAATGTCGCATATGCTTCGATGGAGAAGATCCACAGCTAGGAAGGCTCATCAAACCATGCCTGTGCAAGGGTACGATCAGCGTGAGTCCAGCACTACTAGTTTGAGCGTCGCGGGTAGGGCTAAGCCTTCAATGAAGCATGTACATGTGAAGTGTCTCCAGAAGTGGCGCAATACTTCGCATAATCCTGGGGCTTTTTACTCGTGCCCTCAGTGTGGTTACAAATACCACTTCGCACGCACGCGAGTAGTAGGCATCGCAACTAACCCAGGTAAGTCGTTGTCGTACGTGCTCCCAGTGTCATTCACTCGACTTTTCAGTTGTTGTAGCTGCCGTCTCGTCGATTCTATTCACTGTCCTCGTCCTCTGTAGCTCTTTCGTTACTACCTCTCTCTTGTCAGACGAGGAGGACCCTCTAGGCTCTACCTATAGCTTGTACTATCCGTTCGAGATGTTCCAGAATCTCGTACGGGCTACCATCCGCATACTCATCGACGACGGGCTACTTGACGAGTCCGTGGTTCAGCAACTCATGAATGGTACATCCACCGGTGCCTCACATGGTTCGCCTAGTCTCCTGAGACGTCTTCTGCGACGCTTCTTGCTGGGCCTGCCGGTCGTAGGAGCAGGCTCCGTTGCCCATATGCTCCTCTCAGTACCGTTGCCGTTCCACTGGCTCAGGATCAGATCCCGCGTTGTGCGCGACTCCAGGGATCTCGTCGCTCTAGCTATAGTCGCTGTCGTGCTAATGGGTGCTGCCAGGTCAGCATTGAACCTCAGTTGGAATGTAGAACATTAATATCTCATATATACGTTTCCAGAGCGCTTTATAAGGTGTATAAAATCACCGAGAGGCTCACGCAGTATCTCCTGTTGCGTGCTGAGGACGCAATATTGGAAGTTGCTTGACGGATTTTACTCCGTTCCCTTCTCAGTCTCCACCATAAAGGTCGTACAATTCATATGCAGTAGGGTAGTAGTAAACATCCGTAACATTATTGACATATTGACATATTGTCCAGTATCTACCAATTTCGTCGCAGTTGCCGCTTGACATTCTCGTACGCAGCTTTTGTTTCTGTCCGTCTCGGTTCCAGTTCTGCAAGGTACTGGTCTACCGCTTGGTCTACCCGGAACACGGGGAATTCATCCCGAGCAGCAAGGGATGTCGGCCGTATTGCCTCCTCTACCCAGTCCGTCAACAGCACAGCTATATCGGAGGAGATGGCTTGGACGTTTGCTTGGTCGTTAAACGGTGGTATCTAATGCAACGATTTCACGGTGTGAGGGTTGACCAAATGGTATACACGTACCTGTGACTCGTACATCTCGTTGAGGATATCCCAGATCTCAGAATGTGGCACGCCACATTGCACTAGTATCCGAGGTGCCCACCCATACGCAACTGTTCCTTTGTGGGCCAAGTTGAAGCGCACGAGCAAAGAGGCGATATGACCTGTGGCATATCCGGACAGCATACGATCAGACTTATGGAACTGTCATGAAGGCACGTAAAAGCATACGTAGTGGGAAGGCGCTTTCGGATGGGTAGAAGCGTTGACCCAGTGGAACGACCTTCGCCATTATCTTGTCAGCGCCGACCTTGGGTTCCACTCCATCCAGTGCTTCAAAGACAGATTAGAACAATTCACCTGAAGGCATCCGATCTGATTCACCTTCCTCGATAATCTTGTTCCAGATTGGCCGTACGACGTTCTCATCACGGTGCCCGGATACGTGCAAAATGAGAAGTTGCATCGGGAGCAGATCAAACGGAATAGCATATAATTGATACAGCTATGTACGGCCGTAAGGTGAGTCCTCTTGATGGGGATGTGGAGACATACCTCTGTGATCGTCATTAATCCCTTGGCCAGCAGTTTAATTCTGGCCTCGGCCTCGGGTGATTCATGCATATGCGGCTGTAAAGTAGTGCACAGCTCAAGTTGTACCTGCGCAACCTCTAGCCTCTCTTCGAGATCGGTGAGGAAGGCAAGTGCAGTCTCATATCGACCACCGACGGAGATTGGATGAGATTTGGCATTTGCAACAGCCAAAGTCAGATATTCCACGCGCGCCTCTAGTGGTAGGTTAAAACTTCAAAATGGCAGATTGAGTTAGTCATCGGCAGTTTCGCGCAGGGTGAATGAGACCAACTCAGTAGACTCTGCCAACGCTCCAAGGACTTCTGCTGCTCTTAGTGGCTGGCCATCCTTGACATAGAACTGCCAAAGGAGTTGGAACTTTTCCACGGTAATAGGTTCACGTCTTAGATGTGCTTCCAAGTAAACCGGCCGCATCTGGTCAACGAGATATCAAGCCGCTACAAGGAACGGAATACGGGCATAACGCACTTCCAATAACTCATCTGCCATGCCTCGTTTTATCAACCAGTCATAGAGAGTCGAGTGGAAGATCTCGTCATCGCTAGCGAAGGCGAGCTCGTATGCGTGAATACGCACGGTATCCGGATCGTCGGTAGTCACAGCTTGCGCGTCGGACTTCGCAGCTATACCTCGTTCCTCAAAGACAGAGAGGGAATCGAGGACCAAGTCATAGCAGTTCATGCGTCGTTCCCAGTACTTTGCTCGACGATCATTAGCTGGACATCCTGCAAGCCAGTATTCCTTTCCCTTGCCATCGGTGTCGAACGTCACTGCGCAATGAAGAGGAAGCTGGATAGCTCCTGAAAAAAGTGGAGTCATCAGAACGACGTAGGCCAACCTGGAAATGACTGCACAGGACATACCTTTCGCATAGTTGAGCTGCTGATAGTCTCCGCACACTTCTCGCAGCTTTTCGAACTCCAAGATACGCGCGCCTTTCATGAACAGCCTAGAAAATGATTGGATACCGCAGGATGATGACAATTATGCGGATCTACCTGAGGGAGTCGCTGAGTAGAGCTTGACGTTCAGCAAAGCTTCGTGTTTCCACGGCTCTGCGAACATTTTCTATAGCCTACGACCAATTGAGACCAACTTTGCACAAAAATCTGAGGATCATTCACTTTGTACAACATGACGTCATCCGTGCTGCAGAAGGAGCCGCATCGTTGCTGCAATACCTCGCTTATCGTGTCAACCTGGAGTGCGATCTTCAATGAATTGACAGCCCAGGTTTTCACCTTAACTCACACTGATTTGTTGCCCTATCTGTTGATTGATGATGACATTAACCAAGGCTCGAGAACCTGTGACCCCGTTCTGGCTGGTGATTAGGTCTTCGAAGGTCATAGAAGTGACCATCTGCCGTGTCTCAGAATCGCAACTGGAAGTGGTCAGCGACGATTGCAGAACCGTATAGCTGTGACGTACTGCTTCACAATATCTCCAAGCTGATGGTCACTTAAAAGCAAGACAAAAGAGATAGCCTCTATTGTCCGTCCTAAAAGACTGAGAAGTTCAGAGACAGAGCTCTGCTCTGCCTGCAAAATACGATGAACTTCCTAGCGCGACATGCTCACAAGTTCTACGCTCACCTTCCATGCTTCCTGCTCGCTTGCGGTGGATGACCGTGCACTAGTATGATCTCCGGGTGCCGAATGGAATAGATGGGGGTTCGTATCTAGAAGCTCTTTCAGGGCATACAGGTTCTTCTGCGCAGTAACAAGTATGTCTTCGTGTATCTCCAGCTCCTGTGCTCCGTTTCGTCTGCGCAGGAAACCATCAGTCAAACTCTTCCGCAGACAGAAGGAAGTGCTCACCCCGTTCTCATTAATTTAGCTTTCCAGAAGGGTCTGACAAGCCGTGCGAAATACAGTGCAAACCCTTCCCGTCTCCCGCTGTAGATAGCGGTACCGAATCCCTCGTCTTTTTGCAAATTAGAGGCACATAGATCAATCGAGAGTCAGTGGAACCTACTAGTTCCGTATGTGGCTCTTTCGGCCCACGTCGGTCGTTGCCCAATTTCATAGAACGCCTGTTTAGCAACGACAGCAAGCTCAGGGCTTACAGTGCTAATGGTTCCCAACTTGGAGTCTTCGCCAATGTCCAAGAATGTATTACCACTCGCGACTGCCAGAAGCATAGCGCAAGTCTGATCTCGGCCGTAGCTACGCAATGTGAGTGGAGGCAGCTCAGCAACTTGAACTGACAAACTCACCTATCCCTAAACTCCATGAGTGGCTGCGCATTGCCCTCCACTTGGGATTCTTCAATGACATCCTTCAGCTGATCCACCGCTCTCCTCTTCGACAAGATGGTCAATCCAACATTCGTGAGGATCATGAACTGCCGTGTGGAATCTGAAAATTGATAAGCGAGTTCATTCGTGGCAGTGGGACGAGCATCGCCGGATTTCACTGACGACGGTGCTCGTCGAGGGACAGTAGCCATAGCCCATGTGCGCCCAGGAATAGATAGAAGAGTTGCACTCTCAATCAATGGTGGTCGAGGTGGACCAGGGATCGTGCCATAAGATGTGCTAGCATATTGTGGTGTCGGCTCTAGAGGAGAAGGCCCACGGTATTGTCCAAGAGATCCTATTCGGGTGAGGTCGGGAGACATACACAGAATATAGTCTGTACCATCGACATCGCCGGGTTGGGCTGCTATGGTCAGCCCAACATCGTAACAGGAACTCTCCAGACCAGATACCATGTATGGTCGCGCAGTAGACTGAGGAGTGTGAGAAGATCCGTAGCCAACCGCAGAAGTGCTGTGGTATGCGTTCGACTGCTCGTCGGGATGGAGCAAATTCGGCGGAGGTAACCGTACGTGTATGAGCTGCATAAGTTTAATAGCACCTTGTGCACTGGCACCAAGACCACCATAGTTTGAAGCAGAAATTGTCGGTGCAAAAAAGAGGCGAACACCTTTAGTTGTAATGGCCATAAGCTGGACACCAGACTTCGATTCTGACGGGTCCACGACATGCAGCGCAATGATCTGGAAATTCTGCAGCGTAAGCGCGGGGGACCCAGGGGCTATATCCTGAGCACCCTTGTACAGGTTCGATATAGTCTGCACATGTTGGATGCTTTTGTCGCCGCTTGGTCTGTAGACTGCTATGGTATTCTTGGCGGTCAAAGTGTAAAAGCAACCCCGAGCGCTATCCGAAACGGCGGATATAATACGATCTGTGAACATCCTTATCGTTTAATCATGGCTATCCCTAAACGGTCACTCTCACCTTCTAACTTTGGAGCTGATAGTCGAGGTATGAGAGTTTGGACACCTCCAACCGAATGGTTGATAATCTGCACCCTCTTCCCGAACCAACCTTCTTTCTCCTGATAATGCAATTCATACAGACAACCATCTTGTACGCCACACATGAAAATTCTCCCTTCCTGTGTTCCTATCACAGATGACATTTCGACGTCACAGGAGATGGTCATGTCCGTGGCATACAACTTGAGCACTTTGTGTGTCCGGTTGTTAGGCCCTGTCACCGTCTTTACGGAAAGGCCAATAAGAACGACCGACACGGGAGTGCAAAGAACCAAAAGGTATGTTATCTCGTCGATAAATATGCCGGGTCTGGGCTTCACAAGTGCGACATCCGTAATGACATCGGGCTGGTCAGCGAATGAGTCCAACACATGGCTGGGGAAACACTAAGTTAAGAGAAAGAGTATGTTACATGTTTGACTCACACGTCGATATAGTCCCATAGAAAGAGACTATGGTCAATTGTGACCCATACACGCTCAATTTCAGGCATCAATCCCATGTGTGAAGGTACATTTGTTACTGGACTTCGTTAAACTCGACATGAAAAAAAAATTCCATACACACGCACTGGTATAATACTTGAACAACCCCTCTGGAATACCGATAAGCCTTCTCTTCTGGAAGGGGACGCGATAATCGTCGGGAAAAACAGAGTACGACGACGAAGACTTTCCATTGGCTGTCGACTTTTGTTGAGAAATAAATTTGAGAGACAACATTCGAACATACGACTAGCGAGTAAATCCCCCAAGTCTGGGATGATCTGAGTATCCTTGACGTGCTGCTCCTGCAAGGCGCGGCTAGCGCTCTGAAGAGCAGGCAGGTCCAGTACGGGGACCGGTTTCGCAAGAGACTGGGTACGCTTAGATTTCCCATACACAGACCCGAACAGATTGGTAGAGGAAGAGGGCGCAAAAGGATTCATGGTCGTCGCGTACTTAGTGTGGCGAAGAGGTCGCGGTGCTGAAGGTGAACTTCAACGCGACATTTTGCCACAGAAAGTCACGTGCACTCGCGCTTGTACCCAAGCCATGCCCAAGCTGGGCCATCCTTATTCTTCTCTTTGTCCTCCGTGGTTCTTTCTCCCGTCTCCGGGTCGATTTGTGTGCGACATTTCTACTTCTCTTCACGCTCTTTTCGTGTTCTCGAAGTGCTGCGATGAAGTCGTCCCTGCACCCCACTATCCAGGATTCCATTCTTCAGGCGATACGCCACCCGCAATTCAACGCCTCACTACCCCCTCTATCTGACGATACCTGGGCCAGACTACTATCCCCGTCAAGCCAAGCGCGAGCTGAAAATGAGCGTCTGGAATTCCTGGGTGACGCTCTGATGTATGCTACAATCGGACGCCAGCTATACGGGCAGATACCTGACGGTTCCCCTCATCTATACACTGTGGGTCATTCTGGGTCAACTATGCACTTCTTGTTCGTGGATTCGGCCTCACCAGACCTCTCAGGCTCTCCGCGCGGCTCTGCATTCCAATGCCACTTTCTCTCATCTTGCCGAAAGGCTGGATATCCTGGCAGTCAATAGCTCGGTCTTAGAGGCTTTGACTTATCGCACGTTCGGCGAGGGCACTTCGGCTCCTTCGAAATCGAGAACTCAGATCAAAGCCACTGCAGATCTGTTTGAAACACTGATCGGAGCGTACTACCTAGATCGTGGATTTGAAGCTCTCTGTGACTGGGTCCGCAATCTCTATACCCCTCTAATTGTGACTGCAAAAGAAACATTCTACAAATGGTACGGCACAGGGTAGTTTCTCATTGTTCTTTTCGTCCTCATCCACATGCCTGTCTCGGGTATAGGCAAACAGCTACGGGCAGGATGAAACGGCTCAGACGCAGTCCTATCTCGGATCGTGTGGCCAAAAGGTTCAGAGGAAATAACATACTGGAAGAAGAAAAGAAGTCCATACGAATTAACCATGGATTTATTCCCTCTGTTTATACGTCCGTGAGCAGCTCAGATGGTAATCACTTCTCATCACGTCGGTCCAAGTCTAAAGCTGAGAATTTTGACCGTTGTCATCTAGTCATGTCTGTTGGCGTCAGCTCCAATGCAATATTGATTCCGAACGCGGCGAATAGCTCAACACCTATTATTGTCGGCGGTCTATCAGGTCTATCAGGGAGCTCCGGTCAAACACGCCACACAAAATCTGCCTTCAAGCCGGTGGTCATCGATCTTACTGCTAGCCCTGATTCCAATGACGATGAACGATGTGTATCCGCCAAAACTCCGGTCAGGAGTCGCATCTCCCTTCCTCTTCCTCGCCGACGTCTGCCATCCGGAAATCATACAGCACTGCCTACCGTTGTTCGCCGAGACCCCCCCAAATACGTCGTTATCGATTCTGATGATCCGGATGGTTCGACCTCATCTGCTGATGAATACATGCTGGAACGAATGCTAATAGTGGATGACACAGATGGCGAGGGCAGTAGGCTCACCGACGAAGAATCGGATATGACAACGGACAATGCGAAGGGGACCTAAAAGGTAAACTTTGCGTAATTCATGTTCTCCTATGTTGTTTTGTCATTAAGCGATTTCCTGTATATGTCTCTGTATGAGAATATGCGTTGTAAATGCAAGAATAATAAAGGGCGCATGAATGACAGGGAAGAGACGCAAGCCACGTGATGGACGCGTCTAACACGCGAACCGTGACAGACGCGAACCATCACAGAAGACCTACTTCTGACCTCTACCCTCCTCTACCATGCCACCAACAAAACAGGCACCTACTCGCCAAGCGATAACGCTGAAAGGTTCTACCAACCTGGTCACCGAATTCTTCAAGTTCTCTGCCAATACGTCCGTCGAAGCGATGCTGTGTGACGGCTTTCTTTCTAAATTGACGTCTTCTCTTTGTATAGAATCCTCTTCCAGCGTGGTGTTTACCCTGCAGATGATTTCCACATGGTAAAGAAATATGGCCAAACAGTGCTCGTAACTCAAGACCTTGCTCTGGAGAACTACCTTGAGAAGTGAGTGCGGGCTTGAGTTACGTGTTCTAAACGCCTAATCCAGCATCAGGATCTTGCAGCAAGTCAACAGTGAGTGAGCGTGCGTGTCAAATTATTTCATCAACTCAACTTATGTCATTTTCCAGGGTGGCTGCTCACAGGCTCCGTTACGCAGCTTGTGCTGGCCATCATATCGAAGGATTCACGTACATCGCTTGAACGCTGGGTCTTTGACATCAACCTTGTTGAACAGCCTGCCGGATCAAATGAACCGTATGCGATTTCTTGTCCTCCCACACAAAATTTGGAGGATGACTTTGAGCCTTTAAGGTCACCAGCAAAACCTGAAGCCGAGATTCAGGCCGAAATTCGAAACATCTTAAAGCAAATTGTTTCAACTGTCACGTTCCTACCCGTCATTGACGAGCCGACTGTCTTCAACATTCTTGCCTACACGTCAGAATCCGCTGACATCCCTGCTGACGAGTGGATAGATACCGATCCACTGGCCATTGAAGCTGGGAAGAGCCAGCAGGTGAAGTTGAGAAGTTTCAGCACGGACGTGCACCGAATAGAGGCCATGGTGGCATACCGTTACGAAGGGTAAGGAGGGCCATCTCGACTATTACTTAGCGATTCAGCCTAGTTGCCTCTGTATGTGGATGCCATCAATCGATGGTAGTTCGGGTGTACGGAAACAATGTTTGTTGTCTGGTCCTCACTCGCACAGGTTAGCACTATATGGAATGTCTTAGGAAGTTTATGGGTGGGACTCTGATGAGGGTGTCACTGAACTCTCAATTGCACGGTCACCATAGGTAAGAGATGGTACCCACGGCCCGCCTGAGACGGTGGTCGTCACTCTATGCTCGAGCCTATGCTCCGGATCCCTAGATGTGATATGTGCTTTCGACCGTTGTGAACCTGGCATGGACCACTGGTTGCACTGTACATACTTGTCAATGAGTCGTGTTTAACGTTCCTCGCAACACGAGTAGACAACGAGACAGCATCATCTCCGCTGTTCGAGAGTTGGCGAGAGAATTTTTATATGACGATTGCCATGGCCACGGATTAGCGCGAGCTTCACATGCGAACTTCGAGCTGGTCGCGATGCGTGTAGTATATCAAGCGACCAACAAAGTTCCTACTTCCCCATAACTACTGCTCTCTTTCCTCTCTTTCCCTTCCTCTCGTTCTGCTTTCTGTTCGTTCGGCCGGCCCTCTTCTGGTATCAGGATACCTCTCATCATTTCACGCACATGGGACGCATAGCAGTTGTTGAAGGCTGGTTCCGTCGCGAGTTCCTCAGCCCCAGACGGGCTATTTTCAACTTCTTGTTCTACGGCATCCAGTTCACTCTTTTTGGCGTCGGATGGTATCTTCAGGTACGACTCTTCCAACTGGTGCCTGAAGACCGTAATGACATTGTACCACAGGCAACAGATAATAAATTGGCAGCGCTAAATGGGCTCAAGTTCTCCGTTTGGATCTCTAGGGGAGCTGGTCTTGTTCTGGCTTTCTGCGGCGGTATGCTGCTGGTTCCCATGTTGCGCAACATTATCCGTGTTGTTCGTCCCAAATTGGCCTGGCTCTTTCCCGCCGACGAGAACATATGGTTCCATAGACAAGTCGCGTATTGCATGGCGTTCTGGAGCATGGTTCATACTTCGGCGCATTATGTGAACTTCTTCAACGTTGAGCGCACGCGTACGATCCATATTTTTTGCGAGTGTTATCTCCTTTTCATTGGGTTGTCTTAGAGGTTCGACAGGAGATCGCCCTGGACATTCATTACACTCAAGCAGGCGGCATAACGGGTCACTTCATGCTTCTGATCATGCTTCTGATCTATACCACCGCTCATCACAAAGTCCGCCATCAGTGCTTTGAAGCGTTCTGGTACACGCACCACCTTGCCTTTTTCTTTTTCATCGGCCTTTACTCGCATGCGACCGGGTGTTTTGTTCGTGACACCACCGACCCCGCCTATACGGATACATTCCCATTCTACAATCCGGAGTTCTGTCTTGGATACGAGAGCTGGCGTGTCACTATATGGCCGGGCATCATCTACTTTGCTGAACGGATGTGGCGAGAGATCAGGGCTCGGAGGACCACTCGTTTGTCGAAGGTCCTCGTGCACCCTAGTGGTATTTATGACACAGTATTATTTCTCATTCGTCGACTGAACTCGCTTGATGTAGGTGCCATGGAGTTGCGTATCGTGAAGCCTAGCTTCAAGTATGTTGCTGGCCAGTGGCTGTTCATTCAGGTTCCAGATGTGTCTAGTTGGCAGTGGCATCCGGTATGTGTCGATACTAGACGTTAGGGCTCTGTACGTCCTCACTCACGTCCGGTATTCCTCTAGTTTACTATCACCTCTGCACCTGAAGATCCCTATGTCTCTGTGCACATTCGTCAGGTGGGTGATTGGACTAATGCGTTGGGTGAACGTGTAGGAGCAGGCCCTGAGGTTGTGGCGATGATGACACGGACTGCTATGAAAGGCAGTGAGAAAGACGACAGCGTCTACGGTACCCGTGGCGACTACGTAGAGCTCGACTCCAGTGCTATGTCACGCCCATTGCCGACTGTTAGGATTGACGGTCCGTACGGTGCCCCGGCTGAGGATGTCTTCAGCAATGAAGTTGTGGTGCTCATTGGTGCTGGAATTGGTAGGTGGTGAGCATATCTTGTGCTTTCGTTGGACTGACCAAACGCTTTCAGGTGTAACGCCTTTTGCTTCAATTCTAAAGCACATTTGGCACCGTCAGAAGAAGGGCACTCTTCAGTCTTTGAGACGTGTTGAATTTTTCTGGATCTGCCGGGATGCCCCTTCGTTCGGATGGTTCCAAATTCTCTTGCAGGAAGTCGAGGCTGCTCAAGTTGATCGTAGGACTTCCGTACCTTACGACGGGAACGTTCGCTGATGCCATTGGTCACAACAGCCAACTTTCTCCGCATCAACATCTATCTGACGCAGAAGATAAACGAGGACATGCTCTGGAATATAGCCGTCAACGATGCGGGTGCCGACTACGACCCGCTCACTTTGCTCCGTACGCGCACAATGTTCGGCCGCCCGGACTGGAAAAGTGTCTATGGGCGCATGCGTCAAGCAATTGAGATCGGACAGTATCTCCCTGGTAGCCAGTCGCAGCTCAAGACGAAAGTTGGAGTGAGTGTTCATACGTTGACGAGCGCTCCTATATTACTCATGAAAATACCCAGACTTACTACTGCGGTCCTGGCGTCATCGCAACGGCTATCAAGGAGGCTTGCAAGGCCAACTCCACGCCGAACATCACTTTCAATTTTGCGAAGGTAACCGTCATTTAACACTTAACTTGATCAAATAATGACCATGGACCATGTACTGTAGGAGCATTTCTAACGTTCAGATTCAGACTACGAACGAAGTGGAGGAGGGACGGAGGGCAGGCCCTAGAAAGATCATCTTGTATCGCGTATCTGTAGTGTATTGATTTACACAATATTTACCCGCGCATTCGCGATAGGTCACGATCACGAGTCACGAGCGTGTTGAGAGCGACGCGTAACGCGTCAAGTCATGTCACCGGAGGGCCTCTTGTCTGCGTTACCATTGGGTCTGCATATAATGGAAGAAGCTCACAGAATATTGAAAAAGACCTTTGGATTCTCATCTTTTCGTCTTCAACAGGAGGCGGTGAGTTTCTTAGTCTCAAAAACATCATTCAATCTTACCCCTGTTTGTAGGTCATCCACAGGTTACTCGTTGAGAACGAGAATGCGCTCGTACTGTTTCCCACTGGAGGTTCTTTTCTCTGTTTTCCTGGTTTTTTTTATTTAACCATGTGGCCGTCGTTGATTAGGAGGCAAAAGTTTGACTTATCAAGTTCCTGCGCTGTGCATGGAGGTACCTGAGACACTTAATTTTTGTTACATCGCTTCTGACACCAGCACAAGGGTCTGACACTTGTTATCTCACCCCTGATTGCCCTGATGAAGGACCAAGTGGACGCTCTCGTGAGACGCGGTGTGAAAGCAGCTAACTTGGATAGTACGCTCACAGCAGATAGAGCGGCATGGGTCAAGGGAGAAGTGCTCTCGGGTGCCATGAAGATATTGTACGTCGCACCTGAGCGGTAAGTTCATGAATTATCTGCCTCATTGAAGGCCACAATTGAGTGTGCCAGGCTTAATAACGAGTCCTTCATCACCATGATGAAACGAGTCAAGATATCGTTGTTGGCGGTCGACGAGTCTCATTGTATTTCACAGGTTAGTGCATTATACTTTGTGGTGTTTACCTCTTCGTGTTGAGTCAGGTGCCCGCAGTGGGGTGCCAGCTTTCGCCCGGAGTACCTGAAGATTGCTAGGTTTGCCGAGGAGATGGATGTCGAGCGTGTCTTGTGTCTCACAGCGACTGCAACGAAGGGTGTTTCCGATGATATCTGCAAGAGTTTCTACATTAATCCAGTTGCTGGTGTTTTCCGAACCCCGGTGTATCGTCCAAAGTAAGGCTCAAACTCAACACCAACGAGTGATTGTGAAGTGTTTACTATCTTTTCCAGCCTTTCATTCCGAGTCGAGATTGCACGCACTCTAGACGAGAAGTTGGACCGTCTTATACCTGTCCTGAAGTCGCGAACGGGACCTGCGATTGTCTACGTCACTCTGCAGAAGCACGCACAAGAAGCCGCAGATCATCTGCGCCCACATGGGCTTGAGCCTATGGTCTATCATGCAGGCTTGCCGCCAGAAGAAAGAGAGAGGGTACAATATGAATTTATGGACTCAGAGAAAGGTATCGTCTGTGCTACCATCGCGTTCGGCATGGGTATTGACAAGGGTAAGCACGTGGACTGTTAGCGAAGCTTCGTTCGTCCTGACCTTTTCTATTCAGCCGACATCCGACAGGTGAGTCCGTAAAGAGAAGGTTTTGAGATCAACCTTCATCTATAATGTTAGGTCATTCATCTGCACATGCCGAAGACGCTGGAGAACTACAGTCAAGAAGTCGGCAGAGCAGGCCGGGATGGACTAGAGTCAACGTGTATCATGTTCCTGTCCGCTGCCGACATCCCCGTCCTCGAGGGCTTTGCGCGTGGTGATACGTGCGCGCGCAAAGACCTAGAAATATGGTTACAAGAAGTTGCATTGCGCCAGCGTGCCGTTGACGGGACTATAGACTTCAATCACTATGAGCAGTCTAGATTGTGAGTTTACAATTTCATTCAGGTTTCATTAACACTCGCTGACCTGGACCACTTTCTAGGTATGATATCCGAGTATGAGCCCAGCGTTCTCCTCGCAATAACTCGTTCTTACGCATCGCATAGCAAAACGTGCTCAACTTGTGTTATGCGCAACTCGAACTCGATTATAGTTACATCAGGGCGGTGACCCCCTTTTACTCTATCTACGATATTACTGCGAGGACTCCGGCGGGTTGGAACAAAGTTTTGGCTGATAACTCTCCCATTGGCAAAGCAATCCGAAACCAATGGACACTGAAAGGCACCGGTCACAGTGTACGGATATAGTTCCCTGGCTTGTGTACTTCCAAATTCTGACTCGCGATTTATACCATTGCATCATAGGTTGACATGGTGCTTACCGCCCAGTGTTCAAAATTCGATCGCGCTGAGCTTGCAAAACATGTCACCGGTTGGGAATTGGATGGTAAGGTCCATTTACCTTAAGTGAAGTTATCACTTAGGCGAGAATATCATAGGTCATATATCCTGCAAACCGTCGGGGGTCAGAGCGGTAAGTCTACCGACTGATTTCTAATGTAGTCCATCTCATATGATGGTCCCCTCAGCGTTACATGATAAATAATCCCCTTCCAACGTCCACCGACGAAATCAAAAGTCTGGCAGACAAGATGTTTCAACGGATGCTCGACCGCGAAGAAGAAGCAGTGCAGAAACTCCGTCAGGTCACTCACTTCGCAACGAATGACGACTGTGAGTGGCATGATCGCTTGCATGATATCCACATATGACATTGTTAAAGGCTTGGCCCACGCCCTTGCATCATACTTTGGGGATGAGGATGCGGTCGACGGGGGAATGTGTGGAAAGTGCTGCTTCTGTACTTCTGGAGCAGGGCTGGAATTCAATCCTCTTGCTGAAGCTTCGCCAGACCCGAGACAAATCCAGGCGATCCTTGGAGCCTGTCCCGAACGTGACGACCCTCGCCTACTGGCACGCATGGCCTTTGGCATCACGTCTCCTCGATTGACAGCGGGAAGGTGGTCGACCTCTCATCCCCTCTTCGGGAGCATGGTCTCGGTGGACTTCAATGCACTTGTTGCAGCGTTCGACGCAGAATGCAAGAAAGCAGGCTACGCGAAGAATGCCGTCAAGACGGCAGTGAAGCGGACATATTCACAAGCATCGTATCCTGCGCGTTCGAACTATGGGAGCTCTACTCGCGGTCGCGGTGGAAGCAGCAAGCGGGCTCGCGGAGGGAAGTATTAGACCAGATGATTGGAGAATATTCCGATTTGTACACGTGTAGAAAGAAATGCAGGCCAACTTTTATTCGACCCCATTAACTCTATACCCGATCAAAACACCGAGATTGTGGCACCAAGCGCCGGTAGAGTTGAAAGCAGTCGAATGGGCGCTTGGGAAACGCGACGCGTCCCCAGAGACGTGACTTACACTTGATCAACGCAACTTCGCTCTAGTGGCCACTCCGACAGGATTATTCTTTGTACACACCACTTCTAACTCTCTGCCATGTCTGTTTCGACACCACCAGTTTCTACACCTGAGGCCTCATCTTCAGCGGCAATTCCACCACCAGCTGTGGCGGACCCTTCCAGCAGCTCCTCTACTATCGATCGCCTTGTTCTGGACTACCTGCGTACCAGAGGCCACAAGGCGGCAGAACAAGCTTTACTCGAATCGCTAAATACTAGCTCCCCTGATGATGGAAACAAGCCGGAAGCTAGTTCTTCGACAACAATTACTCCCGAAGAGCTTGTGAAGCGACTCGCAGTCTATGCGCAGAAACCAACTCGCCCGGGAGAAAATGCATTCAAGGATACTGCCAGTGTTTTGCAAGAGCTGGCGGCCATGAATAACCCCATTACTATTCAGAGTCTCATTGCCAGTCTGGGTCCCATAGGTGCCGAGGAAATCTTGTCGCTCGACCCTACCGACAAGCAGGAAGGGTTCAGAGAACTCGAAGCATGGGTTGACGGATCTCTCGACATGTATCGAGTGAGTATCTTTGTGTCGTGCTCGTTTTCACTGCTGAACCATCGCACAAGCCCGAGTTCCGACCAATACTGTTCCCCATCTTCTGCCACTTCTACCTTGACCTAATACAATATGGATTCAAAGAAGCTGGCAAGTCAATTTCCTCATGTTCCCCCTATTGCCCTCAGCTGTGTCTCACATCTGTCGCTAGCTCTCAGTTTCCTCTCTACGTTCTCACCATCACTTTCGCCCATCCATGCTGCTACATTGCACCATTTGTCAACATTACTCCTCCCATCTCATGTCCAAAACGATGAGCTTGCACAACGGTTTCGGAATGAGAAGTATACCATTCGCATGAGCCGTTCCGGATTCGGCTTACTTCTCGGATGGCTAACGGAGGGAGTGGGTGGTGAAGCACCCGGCTTAGGTGAGGGGTTTACGGGAGAGAAGGGCAAGAGAGGGAGAGCTGCGGTCATGCGAGTCGTGAACAATCATCTCAAATTTGATGGTAATTATACATACTCTCTTCGGCTTGTGAATCGTATATTCAATTCAAAGACAGTTACGTCGTCTACAACAAGCGCTGTTTCACCCACTGCATGGGAGGAGTCCACTGGTCTCTTGTCCTCGATTATTCCTCGGGCGAATGGGTCAACGCAAACCGACCCTCACACATTCAACTCGTCCAAGGGAGAGCTCAAGCTCGGGCCAGCCCCGGTTTCAGATGAACTCCGGTCGGAAGCTGAACGCGTGCTCAGGGAGCAGGCGATGGTTGATCGAGACCCTGGTGCCCAATACGACCTCCACTATGCTCGTCCGGTACCCATCGCAGGGGTTGTTGCGCCTGCAATTTCTGACTTGGCACCACATCCTCCCTCGTTCATGACTGTAGATGTCAAGCGAGAGGTGGAGAAAGTGCGGGATGCAAGAAAAAGGATACGTCTGGAGCCCTCAGCACTATCCAACGTGAACATCAACACTCCGCAGGGTGCAGTGGCGAGATCTCGCGCGTTGCCCAGTATCTGCGCGTATACCCTGCACGACGTTGGTGAAGGGTAGGTGTCTCAGCCTGTCTACTTATCTTGGAGTCGATGTCATCGAAATCATTATCGTCTCCCAGTGCTCCTTGCTGTACATTCTCGCAAGACACATCTCTGATGGCTGCTGGGTTTGCCGAGAGTTATATCCGATTATGGAGCTTAAAAAGCGAGAAACTGAAAGGGTACAGGAGTGACTTCCAATCGAATACCGTACGGGACGGTCAGTGCAGTTTCACACCTTTGATCACTTCACTCCTCAACTACCTTGCACAGCTGCCTCGCTGCGCAAGGCACGCGAGAAGGGCGGATCCACTACGCGAAAGTTGATAGGACACAGCGGACCCGTTTATTCTGTAGCGTTTGATCCTGTCGGAGGGTCCGCTACACCCCCAAGATATCTCCTTTCGTCGTCAGCCGATGCTACAACACGATTATGGTCACTGGATACGATGACTAACGTTGTTGCGTATCGCGGCCATCAAAATCCTGTATGGGACGTGCAATGGAGCCCAATGGGAATCTACTTTGCAACCGCCAGTCGCGACCGGACAGCACGGCTATGGTCGACGGACAGGACGGCCGCTCTCAGGATATATGCAGGGCATCTGAGCGACGTTGACGTGCGTGTAATATACGAGTTCTGCCGCAGGGATCTCATTAGCTCGTTTGCAGTGTGTACGATTCCATCCAAATTCACTATATCTCGCAACAGGTTCGAGTGATTGGACAGCTCGACTATGGGATGTCCAGAAAGGCTCCTGCGTTCGAGTCTTTGTCGGACACCAAGGAATTGTATCGACATTAGCTTTCAGCCCAGACGGTCGGTACCTTGCGAGCGCAGGTTAGTTTATTCAGTACTCCTTATCAGTGGAACATATGTGTGACGATGACATCGTAGGGGAGGATCTTGCGATCAATGTTTGGGACCTTGGATCGGGTCGACGGATCAAGAAAATGACCGGACACACGGCATCTATATACTCGCTAGCATTTAGCGCTGAATCGTCGTTGCTCGTCAGTGGCGGCGCAGATTGGACGGTGCGGTGTTGGGACGTGAAGAGTGCCGGAGGGTTACAGGGTAAGACGCGAGAAAACGGAGTCAACGGATTTGGGGCGTCCGGCATGGAAGTAAATGGAGACCAGAAAGAAGAGGAGAGCATCGAGACGTGGGTATTGTCTGACTCTTTGCATGACTGACCTGACTTTGTGTGGCGCTCAGTACCGATCTTCTCGCAACATTCCCTACGAAACGAACACCGATCATCGACGTTCATTTTACGCCCCGCAATCTCTGTCTTGTTGCAGGTCCGTACCTATCGCCTGAGCAACGATAGATTGCGAGTTATGGGCTGTGAGTCATGTCATAATTCGTCGTTCTGAGAGCTGATGCACTCGTCCAGTTAGGCTTTGTCTGATTTCTGAGTTGTTGTCGTGATGTTGGTTCTTTCGCTGAATGTTGCATCCTGCTCGTATCCTGAGTACGATGCTCCAGCTCACTCCCACTCGTCGCTACTGGAATCCCGCGCCCATCCGTGGCAGTCATGACCTCCAATGCGAGCCCCGTCAAATGACTGATCATCCATCCCTTCCTATTCTCCTTCTGTCTTTATTTCTTCAGTCGATCGGTTATTGCTGTAGCACAGTTGCGAAGAACTCCGACATAGTCGGATATATGCAGTCTGTATCGCTAGGGTTTCGGTGGTGCAGTGCAACTCTTTCTGGTGGGGACAGGATGCAACTCGCGCACAATTGGCTGCTGCTGTATCTCTAGCGTCGTTTTCACGCCCTACAACGGCCTACAATATTTGCGAGCTGCTTTCAGAGATCTAAGATTCTAACTTAATTCATGCGAGTATGACTGGTCACGTGCGCAACATACAACTTGTTCACGACCTTTGCGCCCTGTTCAGTACCGCTCACCTCAACAGGCCAACAACTACAACTCGCACCGACGCAATCAAGAACTTCTTGAAGTAACACCATCGCAACTATGGATTTGGTATACTTTCACGCGACTCGGTATGATCAAGTGGCTAATATGCACTAAGCAGACGGAAGACCAACCCATGGACATGGACACAGCCATGGACACCTCAGTTCCACCACGGCAATACCTACCCCAGCAGCACGACGACGAAGCACCCCTAATGCGATTTGACGAGAGCAATACAGCCGGTAAGCCTAGAAGTGCAGTACACGCGCCGTCTTCTACATCCTGTCATGCTAGTTCTGACCGAACTGGACCGTTTGTATGAAGAAATGAGAACTTTAGTGGCCTCTGCTGCACACGCCCGCGAAACGTTTCGCGAGATACCGGTGAAGGTGCACGTCCGACGGCCAGAAAGAGATGCGTGGGCATACCTGGGCCGGGGTGTTGTTACGCAGGAAGTTTGGGGCCAATCCTCACGCGTCGGTGCGTACCTTCTCTAGCACAGGGTTGGTAGAGGCTCTCATGCACAGTTTTTGTAGTTGTCAGGTCAGCTACGAGTCGTAAGGTAATGACAGCGTTCGGCGAGGTACGTTCTCAGATAGCTTTGTCCTAGCAGCTCACGAAACGTGTACTCCCAGGACGTCTCGTTGCAGGCCGAGAAGCGCGGCAACTTTGTCGTCATAGGATGCGTCGAAGGTAGTCGTGTAGTCTCATGGTCCCTCAACGTATGTCACTCCTTCACACCCTGCTCCAAGGCCACCATGTGACACACTTTGCGCAGGCACTCAACAACTCCGAGACTGTTCGTCTGCTGGCCAGCATAGACTTGGCGTGCTATTCGTGCAAGCAGGCTGTGGCGGACCCGGCTATGCACAAGTCGCATCGCCGCCGTGTCGCACGTATAATCAAAGATGACCGCAGACGCCGTCACAAGCGCCGTAAGGACCAGGATTCCATGTTTGCAGCATTCGCGCGTACCGGGCTCAACGCAGGCCCGCCCGACGAGCTCCGTCCCACCCCACCTCCGGTGCAACTGTAACGACTGCCGCGAGAAGGATGGTGACTTGTGTCCGTGTCCGTGTCCGTTATTTGCACCAGAGGAATGACAAGCAGAGATGCGTTTTCGTAATGTATTCTATGTATCATCCTTCCCCCCAGCCAGGTATTCTGTGTTATTGTATCCTCAGGATCTGTTTCTTACCACTCATTCCCCACTATCGCTGCCGTCCTCGCCACTCTCGACGTAATATTCGTCCTCGGTTGGGGACGTTACACCCATGTCCACTGTTTCACTCTTTCTCGTCGCTCGTACTATTAGAATCACCACACGCAATACAGTTTCTAGACACATGTTAATCAGTTGCGTATGCAGAATGCCCATAAATCAGAACACATCAACAACACCTCAAATATCGACAATGAATAGAGAAAAAGGATCGTGGGTCGGGTTAATATTGAGGGATGGGAAGGGAGGGGAAGGGAGACAGTTGCGACCAGATGGTGAGAGCAGAGAGTGGTCGAAACGAAACAGTGCGCGTGTACAGTCTTCAACAGTTAAATATGACGTCCCAGCAATGCAAAGTAATGTCAAAGAATAGATACTATATACCACGAGGGTGCATCCTCAAGAAGGTCCAATAATGACTGGCTGTAGTAGCTTATGAACGAAGTGCAAAGGTAACAGCGGGTGCCTGTTCACGCTATGATCGAGTCGCGGATGCTGGAGTGGGAGGTCCTGGTGCCAATGGCCGCTGCAGGTTTTGAGTGTCGCTAGAATCGTCCTGCTCCAGGATCTCAGGACCGGCAGGTGTGTGTGGTGTCAAGGCAGCACTGGGCATAGCCGGTGTATGTGGTGTTAAAGCAGCACTAGGTAATTCAGGCGGTGGTGGCGGATATGTAGTCGTGCTGGAAGGTCCCGAGAAGGACGGCGGCGGTCTGAGGTCGCTGTATTGCGGTGGCAACTCGATGACTTCCTCGGCATCGGTGTGCAGGATGAACCGGGCAGGCGCCGCATAGCCCGACACGCCTGCAATTGCGGCTTTACTTCGTGTTCCCAAGCTGCTGCCGCTGCCCTGGCCATGGGAGAATATAGCGCCGGTTGGCTCGCCGCGCAGGCCTTCTGTTATGACAGACTCGGCGTCCATCTGTGAGTCCCGTTGTAAGACCGACGCGGTACTGAACGGATTTTGCATTGGGAAGACATCGGAGTCGTATTGCGTACTTGGACGCAGGAGATTGGAGTGGGATGTCGTGGAAGAAGGGCGTATCGCTGCGTCAGACGCGGCGTAGAATGGATACGGCTGCACAACAGGCTCAGGCGAGTTGTCGGCACTGTCATGCGCCAGATCGACAGGCTGGTCCGCACGCTTCGGACGGAAGGCGTAGAAGTTTTCGTCAGGATATTCACCAGTACGTGCGCGGCGTCTGCGTCTGAGGAGGAAGAATATGACGAGAACAATGACCACAAGTGCCAGTAGGCTGCCGATGGCAGCAGCTGCGATCGTGCCGCCAGACACGGACGAATGATTTGATGTAGCTGAGTCCGCCGTGTTTGTGCTGGAAGCGGAGCTTGAGCTACTACTGCTCGCCGAAGCGGTGGCAGAGGGGGTATTCGCGACTGAGGATGGGTAGCTCCCCGTCAGACAAGAAGCATTGTCAGATAGACCAACGACGTCCACTTGCGTGCTCCCGCCCTGCCGTCCTTTGGAGTCCGCCATGAAGAAGACGATTGAGGTACCTGAAGCAACATTTGTTGTCCAGTCGAAGGATGTCGCCCCTGCGGGAGCATTCAAAATGAAGGAAACGCCCCCAGGGATAACACCCTACAGAACATCAACGGAAATCAGATAGACAATGCTAACAGCGGACTTACCGTGACGGTGACTGGCAGCACCGCTCCGACGTAATTATTGAACGTGTACGTCCTAATCCATACCGCGACATAGAATGATTTAGTCGAAAAGTTGTCACAATTAAACTATATGGATATCACCTGCACTGCACAAGAGCGGAATTCGTGTCGTAGAAAAAGTCAACCGCTGACAATACACTGGCCGTCAGAAAATCTGAAAGTACCACGAGAATGTGTAGAACGTTCACCTGGAGCTGTTGTATTGCACTGAGCGCCATTTGGGGGTGGGCCTACAGTAAGAATATCCGAGGTACCGCCCGAGGCGAAACCATTCGCGTCCGACATGGTGGCGAGGAATTGCTGGTTCTCGGCGAGCGGTAGCTGCGCCTGGTATGAGCCCCTTCCATTGCTGAAGCTTGACGATGGTATCTGGATAACCTGGGGCCTTCCAAAAACCTGGGCACGACAACGCTCAGTCCCCGCACTTGGAGCACACGCCCTTCTAAGTACGCACGGGTATCAGAGTGAGTTCAAAGGGTGCCGTGCCGCCTGAAGTTGCGCTATACAATCAGAACCAAGACAGCATCGCGGCAGCAGAGAGGGCCTGACCTGTCCAGGAGAAGGGGAAGTTACCACACTGCGTCGGGGTTCCGTACGAAAAGGTGAAATTGGCGGCTACGACTGGCGAAGAAATGGACAACAAAATGAGAGTCGGCAAGAGGACGAAGTGTCTCGACATGGCCGGAGAAAGGAAGGGAAAATCAGAGAGAGGGAAGGACGGTTGGAGGCGCCACAGTAGATGGGCGAGTGGGGAATCTGAAGGGGGCGAGCGCTACATTCCCGACGGACGAGCGCCAGGACGTCGCGCCCTAGGGCATTCGGCCCCTCGCGATCGCCGCCATCTCTGTTGAGCTCTTTCGTGACGTCTCATCAATCACTAGGCAGAGCATTACCATTGATCTACATGCTCGTCTCACTTTGCGGGAACTCAAAACCCCCTACCTGCTGATAGTACTGTAATCCATACCGTAGACATATTTCGGGCAAGCCGATGCAGGTTTCGCAAGTAGGATTCGTCGGAGACGATGCGTAATAAGTACTGGACCGCATCTCAGGGCATGATTAATTACGTCAGGCACACACATTTCAACAAGGTCTACGTCAAGCGTGTGAAGACATCCACTCGCGTTGCTTCCAGCGGAGACCGCCAGTACTGTACTTATCCCGGAACTCCATTGCACATGCTACTGCAGCGAATGGCAGTCGGCGGCGTACCACGGAGAGACAGGAAGATAATAAGTGTATCGTCAATGTCTCCAAGCGACCTCCATACCATCGCTGGAGGTACTGCCAATACAGCGTAGAATTTTGGAAGCGTTTGAAAATGCAACTCGGACTTTAACTTGGAGCATACTGTTTCCAGCATAAATAAATTTGGACACCGCCTTGTGTCGATCCGTGAGAGAATGAGGTAGACTTGGCCGAAGAAATAGCGAAATTCAGACACAGTCTCGGGAGGAAAAGGATATGGATATAATCGAGAAGAAGAGGCAGACAACAAAGCATGCAGAAATTACTCTTACGAGAGGGCCGTCATCGCGATCGACGTCGGGAGTCATCGATCATCCCGGAAGAGTGACCCGCAGGCGTGAGGCGACGTAGAGAGAATCTCAGACTAGTACTATAAGCAAGACCACCAATGGTCTTGCTGACGGTGAGATGCAGAAGATGGTACCGTCTCCTGCATCTGAGAACCGACGGGCATGATCTTAATTCGTCGTGTGTCGAAAACACACAATGAGTAAGTTACGGCAGACATCTTGGCTCACCTAGCTAGATTAACACCTCACATGGCCATTGGATGCTTGGGGTAGTCTCTCCAGAGTATGAACGATACTGAACCGCAATGACATCTGCGTCTTGTGACTTGTCCGCGTCTCGAGAACGCGACGCCGCGATTCGTGCGCAATATCAACTCTGCTGTGTCAAAAATTGCCTCAGTCGTGTCACCAAATCGTATGATACGGTCGTCCGCAGCCACACATATTTGTGGGAGAAACCACAGGATGAGTGCTGATGAGTGATGTCTGCGCTTCCTCGGAGCAGTTTGTGGGTATTTCAAATATGCGTTGGGCGGCTGTCAGCAATGGTCACGGTGTTTGAGTAATTCGTGGTACTTTATTGATGGGTCGTCTCATGGTTCGGTGAATATTCCTCCCTCGAACCACCACCTCCTGCGACAGATGGGAGTTCCAACCACAACTTGGACTCGCGACCAGATTGCCGCGCGTATCCTCGCCGGTGAAGCCATTTTTATTCTCCACGGTAAGGTCATCCGCGTCCCGTCCTCATGGCTTACCGCGCACCCCGGTGGTACGCTCGCAATTCTTCATTTTATCGGGCGGGATGCTACAGACGAAGTTGAGGCGTTCCATTCCGACGAAACTCTCGGGAAGATGCAAGGCTACGCGGTTGGCACGGTCGATCTCGGACCAGAGGGCTGGTTTCCTCTGGTTCCACCCATCATGAACGGCTGGGTGAGGAAGCTGGGCAAGGATGGTGCGGAGTGGTATAATGAAGCAAGGGCAATTAAATCGTTGGAAGATACGGAATTATCACCCGCGTCGCAAATCTTGCTCGTCGAAAAAGACAGCATATCGCCTTGCAGTCCTACACTGTCTATTCTCCAACCTCCGCCTACGCCGCTATCCACTAAGCTTCAGGTCCAGCATTCCAAAGCTTACAAGGCCCTCCATAAGCGCGTCGTAGATGCTGGTCTCTACAAGACTCCGTGGTTGACCGGATACGGTCCTGAATTCGTCCGTTACACCCTCCTCGGTGTACTCTCGGCCTACACGTATTCCAAAGGGTGGATCGTTCCCAGTGCGATATGCCTTGGTCTTCTCTGGCATCAACTCACCTTCTTCGCCCACGATCTGGGACACCTTGGTGTCACGCAGAACTGGGCGTTGGACCGCATCATTGGCATATTTGTCGCTGATCTCGTCGGTGGGCTGAGTATCGGTTGGTGGGTTGATGTCAGTCTTCAGCGGGCGTCCCATGTATCCCCTCTCTGATATTTTGCCTTGCAGAACCACAACATACATCATCGTAAGTGTCCCATCTCGGTTTCGCGTAATAGTGTTGTCATAAAGTGACCATTCTACAGTGATGACGAACCATCCATCTCAGTGTGTTGCTGTCTGCACTTCGCGTTTAAACAGTTCTGAGTTATGCCTTCCTCAGTGATCCCGACATCCAGCACCTACCCTTCTTTGCCATCTCACCAGTCTTCCTGAACTCGTTGTATTCTACATATTACAAGCGCGTCATGTACTTCGACTCCTTCAGCAAGGTGTTGATATCCATCCAACACAAGCTGTTCCATATAGTCCTGAGTCTCGCTCGCTTCAATCTGTATGTCAACTCCTACAGTTTCCTTGCCAAGACTGCCTTCCAGCCCAAGCGCTTCAGAGGAGGCCGGTGGTGGTGGTGGCTCGAGATCATCTCCCTCGGAGTATACGCGTCGTGGTACTCCGCGGTTGTCAAGGGATGCGGGACCGTCGGCAGGGCGTTGTTATTCGTTCTTATCAGCCATGTGGTGGCGAGCCCCGTCCATGTCCAGGTTAGTGTTCCACGAATTGCTAGTTCGCATCCGCTAATTCGTTAAACGGCGTCCAGATTGTACTCTCCCATTTTTCGCGCTCGACCGCAGATTTGGGTGTCACCGAGTCTTTCGCCGCGCGGCAGCTCCGGACTACGGTTGACGTGATTTGTCCTCCGTCCCTCGCTTTCATCCACGGCGGTCTCCATCTGCAGGTGACCCATCACATGTTCCCGCGCCTGCCCCGTCACAACTTGTTGCAGGCGAGCATGCTTGTGAAGGAGTTCGCGAAAGAGCAGGGTATGGAATTTGCCGAATTCGGTTTCGTCGAGGGGAACGGAGACGTGCGAGGAGTCCTGAAGCAGGTGGCAGACCAGGTGAAGATTGTGGGTATGGTAGCGGACGCGGAAATCAAGGAGGCTATGATCTGCCCGTAATTCAATCACGAAGTTGTTCACGCTGATTATACCATCGCCATGCTTGTCGTACACATCGATAAAAAATACTTGTTGGGCAATATTCATCACGCAAGGTAAACAGACAGAGATCCTCACAAGCGTAGCGCAAAGTGGTAACCAAAGAACAATTGCAAGAACAACCGGCCGGGCATCGAAAGGCGTTCTCATCATAATTGCATAAGGCATGGGACGACGCAACAATGACCAGATTTTGAATACATGGAAGGTGCGATAGGTATGAATGCAGGACAAGAGGCGACGGAAAGTAGTGAGAGGTTTACTTCTTCTTGTTCGCCTCCTCCTCAGCCTTCTGCAATGGAGGGCAATCAGAGGATGCGCGTCAAGGACGACAAAAATACAAACCTTGGCTTCCCGAACCTTGCGCTGGCCCTCATGCCGAGCGAACGCGCGCTCAGTGCGGAGGGTGCGGTAGGCCTTGAACTCACGCTCCTCCTCGGTGATCTGCCGGGGTGCCTCGTGCACAAAGGAATCAGGGAGGGCGAGGTTAACCCGTGTTGTCTCGGCAGTGAGGGCCTCACCCTGGTCGCAATTCAGCTTCGTTCGTCAGAGCACTAGACATGAGACGCACCGTGGAGTCACCCTTCTTTGGCTTTTTCGCATTGCGCGGGAACACGATCAACCGTTCCTTGTAGACCTTCAGGCGCTCAACGTTAACAGCCTTGCCCTCCTCGCTCAAATTCCTCCTCCGGTGGTCAACAACAATGCCGACACCACGCGCCTCCTTCTTACCAATCCCAGCCTCCTTGAGCTCAGCCAGCGTGAATCCTCGTCCCTCGCGGACTTTGCGGTTGTAACGAACAGTTTGGGCACGGACGGCGGGGCGGAGGAGGGTGAGTGGGCGGACACCGAGCGAGGCAGCCTTAGCCTTGCGCGCCTGGCGACGGCGGAGCTTGCGTCCGGGCTGGTCGAACCAGGTGCGGACACGGGTCTGCCAGTCCTTGCGGAAGTGGTTCTGATGAAGGACTGCACAAATTCAATCGAATCAGTGTGATTCAATATGGCCTTCCCGCGATTGAACACACCGTTGTTGTGTGCAAAACCCATGTCTTAGTCTGAAAATGCAGCAGGTTGTTAGCATAAATCGTGTGCGAAATTCGTGACAGGCAGTATGCCACTACATCCTGGGTTTTCACCGCCGATCCAGCACTTTCCCGACTCCTTCGGCTCAAAATAACAGGATCGACAGTATAAACGTAGGATGCGGAACCATCTGCAATGGCATTCAGCAATATTATGAGCATACTCACCTTGAGGGGGGTTGTCTTGACGGAGTGCTGGCGACACACCGAAATTCAGTTTGCTGTGTCGGCAATTCGCGGGCCCTTGAATCGGCGCATGGATTCTCTGGCCTGGAGAACCTTCTGAGATGGAAATACACCAGCTCCGCTTCCATCTCGTCCACGCATTCGTTTGAAACAAGACTTTCATAGAATTCATCTGAGCCTCGCGCGCACGCTCCATGGTGGTGTTCTAGCGTAACCGAGTGTTATGTGTATAAATCTGTTCCACTCAATTTAGTGCCTTCGCGTGATATGAGAATGTCATGAACACGCTTGTCGTTCTGCTGGGATCGTGAATCCGCGTTATATCCTGGGTTTAGCTACTTAGGCATGTATCTATCCTTCAGCATCAGGTCAGCGCTCGTTGACGAGCTCCGAGTGCAATTCTGCGCGACTAAACGAGGAAGCACAATTCGAGTAAGCATACTGTTCGAGCTCGTCAACTGCCACTTTCCTGTATCTAACTTGCGGCGCTACATAGGGTCGTAACGAGCCTGTTGGCCGATTGGCGTATGTTGTGGCGCACCGTGCTCATCGACGTCCAGATAGTCGGCTAGTCGCCTTCAACTTTGGGAGTCGGGAGGACATCGTACTCTCAGCACCTTTTTAACTTTTCGAATTCCCTAGATGAATGACATTAGCGTGGACTTCTAAGAAACTACACTTAGTGCGTCTACTGGAACGCCCATGTGCCCAGCCAGCTCCGTGACTTCCTGACCGAGACGTGTCTCGTTTGCAGCTTCTGAAGCATCGAACCCCTCGCCTACTTGGTGGGAAACCGGTACCTTCGCAATCTATGCAGGACCACACTTATCTTTTCTCCATCTGGATAGGGCTTTTTCACGTCTCAAAGCTGTCCATCAGTATGAATCATGTACGTCAGTGTCTGGCATGGGCAAGCCTCCTGCTTTTGACCACCTTCCCCGGTATGTGCGGCTTTCCATTATGAGCTAGTGGTGCATGCATGGCGCCCGAGACCCTATCTCTTCTTATTACGTCACAAATCACACACCGCGGGATAACTGACACAATAGAACATGCTCATTCTCATTCTAGGCGTGGCGCAGGCACCTTACGGTAGGGATACACCATACATCGGTTGAAAAGGGCGCAAGGTCTTATAGCTGACCGGTGACCGGTGACCGAACAGTGCCCAGGAATCACTCACATCGATCCTGTTTTGACCATGTCTACTCGTCTGAATCCTCCATTCCGCGCTGAGCATATTGGTTCTCTCCTCCGACCGGCTAAACTTGTCGCAAAACGGTTCGAGTTTGAGACCGGGGCATGTTCTGCAGAAGAGCTCAAGGCTGTCGAAGATGAAAGTATTCCTGCAATCGTGAAGCTGCAGCGAGAGGCAGGCATGAAGACGATCACGGATGGCGAAATGAGGAGGTGAGCGGAGGAGCTAAGATTGTGGCGTGGTATGATGTTCACGCATATTGGTTAGAGCTGCATTCTACCAGGGCATGTTTGAGAAGCTCGGCGGCATGGAGATTGTTCCCAACTGTGCGTTGAATGCTTGAGGGTGCACGCTGAAGCTACTAACCGTGAACCCACCCACATATCCAGGCTCGCTTACCACTTTCAAGGTGACACCTGCATCTCTAGATCCTAATGGCAACGTGAACAACTTCTTTGCAGTCATATATTCCTTACGTGGGCATCTTTCATGCCATGGGACTGACGGAGTATTCCTCGATATACTGCAATGTAAGTACTTCTAGGTGGTTGGATGTCAATCGACGTAAACCAGCCTTGTGAAGGGCAAGATCAAGAGGACCGAGGGTGTTCACACTGATGACTTCAAGTACTTGAAAAGTTTGGTCTCTTCGGAGGTAATCCCACCATTGTAACAGCTGACGAAAGAGATGTTGATTGTTTTCCTGGAGGTCGAACACATCAAAGTGACCATTTGTGGGCCAACCTGGATGCATCTCCGTCACGGATCTGATCACACGTATGACAAGTCCGTGTATACGAACGATGGTATGATCACTGCTCCCTGCATAGCTTACAGTCCACTTATTTGTACTCCACGATGAAGCGCAGTACTTCGCTGATCTCATTCAAGCGTATCGCGAAGAAATTAAAGAACTGTACTCACTCGGTTGTCGCAACGTTCAGTTCGATGATCCAACGTTCTGCTTCTTTTGCTCAGACTCCATGATTACCGGCATGGAACAAGCCGGCGTGGATCACGAGGCGTTGCTTCGCATGTACATCGATGTTTTCAATGACATCACCAAAAGTCGTCCAGCCGATCTCACTATGGGAGTCCACATGTGCAGGGGAAATTTCAAGGTCTGTACATCATATCGTGAACACAGATTTGGTTACTGAACACTTTTCGTGTAGGGAATGCATTACACGGCAGGAGGTTATGCACGTATCTCTGAAACGCTCTTCAAAAGGATGGACGTGGACTGTTTCTATGTATGGCATAACTAAGGCCAATTCACATAATCTACTACTAATGAAGGGCGCAGCTAGAATTTGACGATGATCGCTCTGGTGACCTCATGCCCTTGCGTTACCTTCCGCCAAACAAAACTGCTGTACTGGGGTTGATCACCACGAAGAGGGGCACTGTAAGCATTCATTTGCTCCATCGTACTAATCAGCTAAGCCCTGAACCCTACACCAATAGCTCGAGAGCATTGCGAACTTGAGAGTTCGCGTGGAGGAAGCTGCTGAGATCATATCACAGGGAGATCCTAAGCGGCCGAAGAGCGACGCGATGAACCAGTGAGTTGACATGTCTACCACAAAGCACGACCTGATGTCTTGCAGACTGTGCCTCAGTCCGCAATGCGGTTTTGCTTCTGTGTTCGAAGGTAACCCCATCTCCGAAGAGGTTCGTGTTACTGGTCACGAGTTATATTACGACAATAATACGTACTTTCATACAGGAGGAGCGAAAGAAACTCGAGCTGGTGGTTGAGGCCGCGAAGCAAATTTGGCAGTCCTTCCCTTAGGAGCACTTCGGATGCGTGCGAGTTCCGAAGTGATCCTGGCATCCCCAACGGATCGAGTAGTGGAGCCTGATGTGTTTGCATCCGTTGTAATTTGCTGCGAGGGTCTCTCAGCATGTCATATTGGACACAGCATGAAGAGTGTGCTATATCATGAGCAATCATAAACTTTTCCGAGCGAGCCACAGAGACGCACAGATAGCGACAAGATAAATGAGATGGAGAACAACAGGAGACAGATGATGATCCTCGGAAGCAGTTTGGGTTCGAGGGGCGGACCGAGGGATTACCGGATATGGCAGGCTGACAAAGTGGGAGTGGTTGGATGGAGCTGGCTTGAGCTGGCCCCTGTGGACAGGCAGCGACGGCTATACAGTTCCCGTCCCCTCCTATCCGCTCGCCATTCCTTTCTTACTGCCATCCATCACTGCCACTACTGTCTGCATCGTCTACGACCTTCAGACAGCCATTATACCCACCCCCCGAAGTCTTGCTACAGCCCTAAACCTGCCTGAGGTATTTGCCGATCGTCTTACCTCCTGACCTCTTGTTGATATAACCCAATCATGTTGCTCTAACGATTCCAGGTCCTCTTGGCACTACCATGCAGGTCTCAAAGCCTCGTCGGCATAGAACAGCATCTGATCCATTTTCCGATCCCACCTCTCACTCCTATTCCGCATACGGTATCCCAACTCTCTCTAGAAACGCCCCTGCTCAACAGGTCACCAACCGTCCACCACCTGTTCCTTCAAAGGTCACCACCAGACCCGCCCCCACCAAGCGATCATACCCATCCCCCGCAATGAATCGCGAGAACGTAGCTGAAGCAGTCCGAGATACCGTTCAGTTACGCTCGAATGACCAGAACCCTCGGACCAAGATAGGGAGAAGCCAGACTGAACTTCCCCCGTAAGTCCTCCTGTCGCTTCTTAAACGTCGGCACTGACCATTCGCATTGCCTTATGCCTTCTGTCGTTCCCTCGTAAACAGTCCTTCTGGTTCACGACCTCCCACCGCACCCGTTTCGCGGCGCTCGTTGTCTCAAGACTCTGTGCTCCGTGCAGCCAACACAGTGGAGAAATCAAAGACTAATACTCGTGCTCGTGCAGGCAAGAAAGGTTCCTCGCATGCCGATGTTATCGATAGACTAGATTTTTCCGGCGTCGGCCCCAGTACGTCCTCTTATTCCGTGCCATCCTTTGGCAATCGGTTGATCATGGCTCGATTGCAGTGTTCCACCATGACGGGCCATTTGATGCATGTGCACCCTCGCGCAATCGTCACCGTACTAGAGCACCCATGCTGGCATGGAGTGGTGTACACGACGCCGATAAGGAGGCGCTTGCCAACGCCCACGATGTTGCTCCAGGCTTGGGCCATGATTCGCCGTACCCGTCAGCTGCGGTGTACGTCCCCTATCAAGCACCAAAGAAGAAGCACGACGCTATCGCCGAGGCATGGGGTACGCATGAGCCGGAGCCTTTTGAGGACTTCTCTGCCGGGGGCGGAGCCACCACTCGCGGGATCAGCGAACTCCGAGGCGCCTCTTCTCCTCGCGGCGTTGCGACTGCTAATAGCAACTTGCGACGGACGAAGGACGGGCGTGCTGCCCGCGATGTTTATCGCGAATATTTGGACGATGGTCAGGTACCGTCCAACCGTCGCCAGCAGACCAAGCGTTCGATCCCTCCTCCCCAACCCATTTTCGTGGCTGACAATGAAAGCGGCGATAGCGGTTCTCCCCCTTCTCCCTCAGCTGGTCCTCCTTCGCCTGGGACCCCCAAGCGCACGAGGTCTATCATGCGCCGCATTCGCAAAATGCGCGACAGTCCCAATGTTCCTGTTGGCCCTGACGATGTCCCACCGAATGAGCATGAGATTTCCCCGACTTCGTCCATGGAAGATTCTGCTGTCACTCATCCGGCGTACAATGCGCGTCCGACTCATCGCTCTCAGAACTCGTTCCTAGGGCGATTTGGCCGTGGTACAAATGCTAGGAGGGAAGAAGCCGTTGGGTCGGAAGACGTTGGCTCATACGTCTACGTGGATCCTGTGCCTCTTAACAAGGAGAAATCCCTCCCTGCACCCCCTGGCATGAAGGACAACGATCTTTCACCGGGGGATAATGTAGCTGGGTATTTCGACAACTCCGTCGGCGGTGCTGCAGGATCTCCTGGCGGTGCTGGGCTCGGCAGGAAGACGAGCCTGTTGAAGAAGGTGAAGGGAGTAGTGAGAGGTAACGCAAAGTGATCATTTTCACGGTGACATGAGTCCGAAACCTACCTTCTTTTGAAATGGTAGAACATATGCCCCGTCATCTTGCTAAAGATTTTCGTGGCCTTCATCTCAAGCCCGCGTAGATCTCGCATCCGCTACCAGACTTTGATATCCTGTATCGAACTTCTTCGCGTTTGGTGACTTTGTACTTTTTCACACTGAGACGTCCGTTTCTCTGTTAAACTGTCCTTTTCGATACCGTCTGCACGTTCTCTCCGCTATCTATCTGCCCATTCTGATACATCAATTCCCTTGTAGTCGATGTATGGTACCTTTGTCCAGGTTCCCAATGTATGTATGTGCGATTGTGTCTAGCGTAAATAAATTACTCGAAATTGTAGCATCGGGTACACTATGTGTTGAGTTATTCTACTTCCTGACATTGATGTGAGCTGCGGACAACGCTTCCTTGACCTCCCCGATGGTCACCTCCTCGCGATGGAATATACCGGCAGCTAGAGCGGCCTCAGCCTTAGTCCATGTAAACACCTCCACGAAATGTTTCTCCCCACCAGCACCGCTGCTCGCTACCACGGGTATTTTCACATTCTTCCTGACGAGCGTGATGAGATCGGTATCGAAGCCAAGACCTGTCCCGTCGCGGTCGATGCTGTTGAGAACGATTTCCCCAGCGCCTAGCTTCTCCACGCCTTTGGCAAGCTGGACCACTGAGAGAGGCCGGTCCTCCCGTCCGCCTCGGACGGTGCACTGGTACCACCACGCCTTACCGCGCTCGTTTTCCGAGCCATCTGGCTTGCCCAGAAGAAGCTCGTCCTTGTGTGGACCGTCGTAATCGGCATCGACGTAAACCCTCCTGGGGTCAATGGAGACCACGACCGCCTGCCGCCCATAGGCATGCGCAATGGTCTCGATCGCGCTTGTACCGTCTCCCTCTCCGATGCCCCCGTCGCGAGCACGCTCGCGCATCTTCTCCACGGCGAACACCGCCTCCGTGGCGATGCTGACCTTGTCTGCGCCTGCGCGGAAATATTCACCGGCCACTTCGAGCGCAGACCGTTTCGTCCCATCCGGGTCCACCGTGTCCTTGATGCCACCGCCGATGGTAAGTGGCACGAAGACCTCCTCTGCGGCAGCACGCACGACGACGAGCATGGGCTGGTCGAGTAAGGGCGAGTGGCGGAATGACGTAATATTCATGAGACACAACTCGTCCGCACCTGCAGCGTAGTAGCGCGCGGCGAGGGCGACAGGTTTGCCGAGGTTACGCACGGCACCAGCAGTGCGCGTGCGGAGCGAATCGGTGCCGTCTGCGGCCGTGGGAGCTTTCTCCCGGACATCATACTGGTCGCCCTTCGTTACAACGAGGTCCCCATCATCGTTCGACCGAACATCCATGCAAGCGATGATGCGCTTCGTGAAGCCATCCCTGGCTCTGGGGGGACGAGGAATGGGCGACGTGGGAGGCGCAAACATTCGGAATGATTCTTGTTCCCGTAACCACGCGTCCAGGATCCTCAGGCCCGCAACCCCAGACTTCTCGGGGTGGAACTGTGCGCCGAAGACATTGCCCTTTCGCACGGTGGCGTAGAAGACCTCTTGGCCGTACTGCGTGGTTGTATGAGCCCATTTCGCGGCCTCTACATTCTTCCAGTCGTATTTGGCACGATATGAGTGCACAAAGTAGTAGTAGGACGTTTCGTCCATGCCCTCGTGGATCCTGTCCGGGTCGAGAAATTCAGCAGAATTCCAGCCGATGTGGGGCACCGCCTTATCCGAGTTATCAAACTCCTCAATGACGCTTGGTATTATTCCTAAGCCTGAGGAAGAGGGGGATTCCGTGGACGATTGGAACAACACCTGCATGCCGATGCATATTCCAAAATAAGGTCTGCCAGACTTGATGTACAGGCGGAGGGGCTCGAGAAAGCCTCTGCAAATTAGACCATCTATGGCGCTGCCAAAAGCCCCCACTCCGGGGAATATGAGACTCTAAACAGTTTGAAATAGTAGGTAACTTCGTTGGTAGAACTGACGGGAAACTGACGGTGGCTTTATCAAAATCCTCGAGGGACGATATCCATTTAAACTCATGGCCTAGTTTTTTGAGCGTGTTCGCTAAGCTGCGGACGTTTCCTGCGCCGTAGTCGAGGAGGTAGAGACCCATGATGGAGAGTAGAAACTACTGGCCGAGTCATGATGATGGTAAGTGTTTGATCCAGAATCTAATCGGCCCAGGCGCCTGATCTGATCTTTTCGCAAGATGGCGAGTCAATTGAATTTGAAGGAAGACCTTCGCTTCGCCTGACTTTCGCGAACTCCTCGCTGAACTGATTCACACCCCGGTCCTTCCCTAGACGCCTTACTATTTCAACGACATTCAAGATGACCGCTGCAATAAATATCCCCGCTTCACGCACTAACTTCAACGTCGTCTCTGCCTCCGTCTCCATGTCTCCCCCGACCTCCACCATTCACGAGCGATTACGCCGTGACTCGATAGGTTTGCCTGCTATTCGAGCCCCAAGGGTCTTGCATCCCATCGAGAACGAGGATCTGAGGCTCCTTCTCCTCGAAAATATCAGCCAGGAAGCCGTCAAGGCTTTCCGTGCTCAGGGTTTCCATGTCGATCACTTCACCAAGGCGATGTCGGAGGACGAATTGCTGCAAAAAATCGGCTCCTACCATGCCATAGGCATTCGTAGCAAAACCAAAATTACAGAGCGTGTCATCAAGGCAGCCTCGAAGGTGAGCATGGGGTTTCTCTTAGCAATTCAGAGTTCCCGCTGAGCTGGCACTGTTAGCTTCTGGTAGTTGGGTGCTTCTGCATCGGTACGAACCAAGTCGATCTCTTGACCTCTGCAAAGGCTGGGATTCCCGTCTTCAACTCTCCGTTCTCCAACTCGCGCTCTGTCGCCGAGCTTGTGATGTCCGAGATCATTGCGCTCTCACGTCAGTACTTTCAGCGTGCCTGGGAGTTGCGCGAGGGTCTTTGGAACAAACAGTCCAAGGGTTGTTGGGAAGTTCGTGGCAAGACCCTCGGTATCATCGGGTACGGACACATTGGCTCGCAGCTCTCCGTCCTCGCCGAGGCTTTCGGTATGCGCGTCGTTTTCTATGACGTCCTCAACATCATGCCTTTGGGCTCAGCACGCCAGCTTGACACCCTCACTGCTCTGCTCAACGACTCTGACTTTGTCACCCTACACGTTCCCGAGCTTCCCGAGACGACGAACATGATTTCCACCGAGCAGCTTGTCCAGATGAAGAAGGGCGCATATATCATTAATAACTCGCGCGGACGGGTTGTCGACATACCCGCGCTCATCTCGGCGCTCGAGAGCGGGCATCTCGCGGGTGCGGCGCTCGATGTTTACCCCGCGGAGCCGGGTTCGAACGGTTCTCCGTTTGATGACCAGCTCAACTCGTGGGCGAGCACACTCCGCTCAATCCCCAATGTGATCCTGACACCACATATCGGCGGCTCCACGGAGGAGGCGCAGCGCATGATTGGCGAGGAGGTCTCCTCTGCCTTAGGTCGCTACCTCAACTATGGCTCGACGGTGGGGTCGGTCAACTTCCCCGAGGTGGACCTACGCGCCATTACTGCCGAGCAGGGCACCCACGTTCGTGTATGCCATGTGCATAACAACATCCCCGGTGTGCTCCGGCAGGTCAACGAGGTGCTGTCGCCGTACAATGTTGAGAAGCAGTACTCGGACTCGAAGGGCGACATTGCGTACCTCATGGCAGATATCGCAGACGTCAGTCCTACCGATGTCAATAAGCTGCGGGAGCTCATCAGCCAGACTAAGCCCAACATCCTCACGCGCCTGCTGGCGTAGCGCTCTCTTTCACCCCCAATCTCCACATCTGCGCATGGTGGTTGGTTTCTTGTGGCTTTCTGCACTCGTGCTTCAGAAAAAGCCTGCATTCTACTGCGGCACCTGGAAGCCTGACGGCATTCATATTACTTATTGTATCCCCCATTCAACTGGACATCGTATTATTGCAGAAACTACATCCCTTGTATAGACACTAATCACCCCGCTCTGACAATACGAATCTGTACTTTAGCGATGCTGTGCGTGCGGAGTGACATGATCTGGCTTATGTGATCTGGTGTAACACAACAATCGTACACTCGAAGTTGGGCATTCACAAGGAAGGGAACCGCAGAGATGGCGACGAAGTCCAAGGCCCTCATGCGTCTTCCTCTGGGTCTCCGATACCGCTCTGGAGGATAGCAAATTGAGTCTCGGACTCCGGTAGGCACGGCGAGTCATATATTTTGGCCTGGCGGTTAGCACCACGGCCCTTCTTCAATTGTATGCTATATTGCGATGAAGTCGCGTCAGAGATGGGCCTGACAGTGTGAGAGGAAGGCGCATTACCGGGTAGTGGATGCATGAGCTAAGATGTTTCCTCCGATCGGTTTCTTCTCGTTCGCCATGTACGGGCCAGCCGATGCATCCGGGTTCGACATCACCTGGTTGGTCATGACAACGGCAATGCCAAACTTTGGGGTATGAATTAGTACAGCACGCCATTGCATTGAGGGCAAGCTTCGTACCTCATCGGCTAGCCGTTGCAAGGTGCGTAGGAACTTTCCCAGGTGTGTCTGACGCGCTGAAAGTTCACCGCGCCCGCTAAAGTCCGATCGGTAGAGAGCTGTGCACGAATCCACGACCAACAGGCAAAATCTGCCCGGGCCATGTCAGAGACGCGCGCACACAATGAGGTATGCTGGACGCATGCCCACCTCGATTCTGACATGAGTGCACTTGCCGACGCGAGGAGCTGGTACTGATGATCCGCGTTGTATGCCCTCGCGTACGCGACGTTGTCCAGGACTTCCTCCCCATTCAACCCCAACCTCTCCGCAACCGCGAGTAACCGCACCGGGCGGAAGGTACCCTCTGTGTCGATATAAAGGCACTTTCCCTCTCCGCCACCCATATCTACAGGTAACTGGCACGTCACCGCGAGAGTATGGCATATCTGCGACTTTCCGGTTCGGAACTCGCCAAAGAGCTCGGTGATGGAGCCAGTTTCGACGCCGCCCCCAAGAAGTGCATCAAGATTCTTGGATCCAGTGGTGATGTGTACGAGCTCAGAGCGACGCGCATGGACTTCTGTAGCGCTTTGGAATCCAAGCGGTATAATCTTGTGGGCTATGCCGATCACTTGAGTATCAGGGTGTATGGTGGAGGAATTGAGAACGCACCCTCTGCAATTATCTTGTCTGCTTTCTGTTCGGATATACCCTTAATCTGCATGAGAGCTTTCTTTGGCGTATATGCAACAGCTTCTACTGTGTGGAGTCCAGATTCTGCGAGTTTCTTGACGTCCTGAGCGGTGATGCCGGACTCCTGGAGCTTCTGCACGAGGAGGGGACCCGAGACCTGGACATCCTCTTCTTCTTCTTGGTTCTGCGAGGCCTGAGAGTGTGATGCCATGGTTAAGTACGACTGGGAGAGGGTGAAGTCTTGCTGGGGTTCGTCGGGGGTTCTGCAGAGTGGCCGCGCGCAGTCGCGTTCTATCACGTGAACGCGTTCTCAACAGCAACTTGAACGAGTACTTCTAATCTCGAGCTTGAGTCCTCTATAGCTCTTTCCCCCAGGCCAAGCGCTCTAGCGTGATAAACATTGTATGTAATTGAATGTCAAGGACGCTACAATTCGTAGGAACGAGGGGGGACAGACGGTTTCCTGAGTGTCTGCTCAAACCACTCCACCGCTGCGAGGTCGAGGATCACCCTAGGCCATTTCACCATATCATATACTCTCACATCCTCCGCTGTGATAGTCTCGACCTTGTAGATGTTGCAGCTGGCCCTCTTCAACCCTTCCGGTACTGTCTTGAGACCGGACACAAATAGCGCCTTTCTCCATCCGAGCTCATCGATCCTCTCAGCAAGCTCTCCAGTCTTTGCACCCGGCCAGTCCAAGCTTTCCACAACACCAAGACAGTTCTCCTTCACCCGCGCACTCAGCGCAACGCGCATGCCCATCTGGAGGACCTTCCTGTTCAGTTTTGTAGCGAAGTCCCGGGGCTTCGGGCCAAACGCCACTCCTCCTCCGCGAAGCATAGGGCTCTGGCCGTCCCCAAGACGTGCCCTACCGCTGTGCTTTTGTGGCCGGATTTTGCGACCGGATCCACGCACCTCACCGCGTGTCTTCGTGCTGGCCGTTCCCTGTCGCAGAGAGTCCAGGTGGTGCACCACGCAAAGATGGAGAATGTCTCGGCGGATGGGATGTGCGAAAACAGAGGGATCCAGTTCAACGACGTTGTCAGACGCTGGCGGATCGTCTGCCTTGGGGCGTATTAGTGAAGACATCGTCAGGTACACCGGTTCGGCAAATGGTGACGCTGAGATCCATAAGTCCCATGTATCCTGGCCGACCGTGATGCACACACACCTTGGGAAGGACCTGCTGCATTGGCTGCAAAGACCTGATTCAATGCTTGTGAAGGGGGAACCGCATCATGCTCAAGTTGCTGGACAAGTGGATTGACAAGTAGCGGGTCACTTGTCAGCGTCGACAAGCGACGAGACACCGCGAAAGGTGCAGACTATACGACAGTATACTTCAGCACTAGTGAAACGAACACGAGTGTTGACCCACCTGCCCCAGAGCCCTCCTGATCGCAGACAACATGGGCAACAGGAGCTGGAGGAAACGGTGAGACTCGGGAGCAGACACGGGCGCTAATTTGTGCCCGTGGGAGAATTTCCTGTGTCAGGGCTAAGCAGAGTCAACCGCCCGCACATCGACGACTCAATTTACAGAAGACCTCCGGAGGGTGAGTTTATGATTCCGAACCATCTTTCGTGCTCTGGGAGGACTATACTGTGTGGTTGCAACAATCTTCGCGTCAAAAACGCGGTGGAAAGAGATGGATCCGACCTGTTTGCCCTGGATGACGCCTAACTCGTTGTGGCATCCCTTGCATCTTTTGGCTGTTGCTGTCGTGCATTTTTACTCTTCGACTGAACCCTGCTCCGGATTTGTGCTGAAACCTATATCGTATAGCCCATCGTAGGCCTCGATCTCCTCTCTCCACATAATGGCGTCAGTGAAGGCCGTCCAGACATTCGGCAAAAAGAAGGTACATTATTAGCTGTATTGGGTATGTGGTCTTATTCACTGTGTATGAGCTAGACTGCTACTGCGGTGGCGCACGCGAAGGAGGGACGGGGACTCATCCACATAAACGGCTCGCCCATTAGCCTCCTCCAGCCTGAGCTCCTGCGCCTTAAGGTCTACGAGCCAATCCTCGTTGCTGGTGAGGAGTCGTTCGGCGTCATCGATATTCGCGTACGCGTGAAAGGTGGTGGACACACTTCGCAAGTGTACGCCATCCGCCAGGCGATCGCAAAGGCGCTCGTTGCGTACTATGCGAAGTACGTCGACGCGTACAGCGCGATGGAGCTGAAGAAGAAGCTGGTTGCGTACGACAGAACACTACTGATTGCGGACCCGAGGAGAATGGAGCCCAAGAAATTCGGCGGTGGTGGTGCCCGTGCGCGCAGGCAGAAGTCGTACGTACTAATGCGTTTTTTCTTCTGCAACGCTGGGAGCTAATCACGTTTCCTTAGTTACCGTTAAACACTGTTTTCTGGCTGTTGATACACTTGCATTGTCATGTTTTCTTACCTCCTCACTTCTGTATGCCATGGCGATATGCAAAATCTATGACGAGCATACTACGCACATCAGGTCAACTTGTACAGCTACAGGAATGCAAAAACTCAGAATGCAATCAGCTCTGCTGTGCTCGGTGTGCGTCATGCATTGATGTCCTGATACTCCTATCATCGACTTGGGAGTAAGAGGCATATGCCTCAAACATTCTGTGATCTGATCATTATTTGGATGCGACTGTGGTGTAAATTTATCTTGTGAGAATGTCTCGAATTTTTGGGTTTCTCAATGAAGAACGTTTCGTTCCCTTCTAAAATTTGAAGTAGTGTTTCGTTTGAGGTACCGAGACGAACCGAGGCTTATGATACGACTGGTGTCCAGGGCAACATGACAGTCATTTCCCTAGATACTGCCATAGGTACTCAGTCCGTGCAGATTTGGTGATCGCAACTTGTTCGCAAGCCGAGGAAAAGACGCGCGGCCACGTGCGAGTTTTGTGTGACGTAACGCGACGCGTCGACAGCCACCCGCCGCTTTCTCCAAGACGAGTTCTGAGTTCTGATCAAGCGACCACATATATGTCGACGTCGCACATCTTTGAAGTAGGTCTTTCCAAAAATTCGTTTGTTTATGATACTCATATATCTCTGGGGTGATGTAGTATAGCAAAAGCAGCAGAGCAACTTGCCATGGGCCTTCACCGTGTAAAGGTACACCCATCGAGTTAGGAGCCCTGCGGTATGGAGAAACCACGTTCGGGGAGTACGGGGAGACTGTGCAGTGGAGACATTGGTACGTGCTGAATACCTTGTATCTTTTCAATGTTTTGACATCGTTTTGGGTTGTCTTTCAGGGGATGCGTGACTCCAGAAATTTTGGGACGGTTGGCGACTGTGAAGTTAGAGCGTGTACCAGGATTTAACAAGCTCATGTCAGCACCCACCCGCGATCTTGAATGCCACTGAAGCGTAATTCCCCTTATGACAGGTCCGCAGATCAGTCTAAAGTTCGGATAGCAGTTGGTCTGCGTCGCGTCGATCCTTCTGACGTTCCAGAAAGTGCCAAAGTGCCGAAGACTCTTGCTGGCGATGTGCACACTATTCCTAGTCCTAATGCACCTGAAACACCAGGTCCCAGCCAGAAGAAGAGAAAGGCCGCCTTTGAGGCTGCTACGGGCGCGTCGCTGACCCCGACTCAGGCAAGTTCGTCACAAGAGCCCGGCCCGCAGTCCCACCGCCGCATTTCTCAACAAGTATCCTCCGAAGTGATTGAGATCGAAGATGACGAAGAGGTTGTAGAAGAGGAACCCAAGGACGAGTTGTATTGTATGATGAAGACTAGCATTGTCGGCGTACAGTATTACAAAGGTCGGTCTGAAACGCCTTCCGTACGGCTCCATGTATGCTGACCCAACATACATCGCAGGGCTAGTAGGCCCTGGAGAAGAGGTCCGGCTTGTTAGGGAGCCGCACAACAAGTACGACAGGTAATGCTTGCTGTCTCACTCATGGGGCTACTCTCACGCGAAGCTCAGGAATGCAATTCAAGTGAAGAACATAGGCAATACACAAGTTGGACATATCCCACGACAAATTGCCGCGAAGTTGGCACCTCTGATGGACCGCAACGTAATCACTGTTGAAGGTGTCATGCATGAGGGAAATCGTAAGACATTACATATGTTCAGTTGGTGGTAAATCAGCGTGCTGATTGTTGGTTAGTCACCGGCTTTAGTTATTCCCTTTCAATGTCGGTCTCGATTTTGCCTTTATGCCTCATTTCCTGACCCATTCTTAGGACTCTGAAAATCTATGGCCCTTCCGACAAACGAGCTCATCTTGAGCCGCAACTCATATGGGCCACCCCTCAGCAAGGGGGATTCTCCAAACCGGTTAACGGAGTGAGAAAGGTCCCCGGCGCTCCTGCTAACAGCAGTGTTCGCGTTCCATCATACTCGCAGCCTGTCGCGGGCCCCTCAAATTCGCAAGTACCCTCACATTATGCGAGTCAACGTCGTCCTGCCGGGATGACGGCTTCGCAGGTTGCCGCGCAACAAGAGGCAACGCGGAAACAGCAGGAGGCGCTACAGAAGGCGGCGGAGTTGCGCCAGATCTTGAACAATTTGGAGAAGGTGGATGACGAAGGCCGGCGTAGCTCTTTACTCGATACTCTTTGTTCGGTCGACGACGTGCTCAACTTGCCGTTGCACCCGAGCCCACCGGGCATTCAGAGTGGCGATTTGAAAGTCAACTTGCTGAAGCATCAGGTATGTTTATTTGTGTGCTATAGCACGCCGAATCCCTCGTCTCTAACATACCTTACAGAGTCAGGCTCTGCAATGGTGTATTGAACATGAGTACCCGGTGCTCCCGAAGAAGGAAACAGATAAGCCTGTGCAATTCTGGCAACTGAGGAAGAACGGAAGCAAGGTAACGCCACTGCACAAGTTCTGCGGTATCTCATTAACTTTAATCTTATCAGAATTATTACTACAACAGTTTGTGCAGCCTGACTCACCTTGTCTTGTGATTGACTTTGTGCTGCAGTTGCTACCAAAACGCCTCAAGAAGCTGCTCCTTTTCTTGGAAGGGGTGCTCTATGCGCCGACAGCATGGGTCTAGTACGCTTTTAACCACCAACGTTTGTCATTAACACACCGACGGTCTTTTTGTATTGCAGGGCAAGACGTTGACAATGCTATCTCTCATCCTGGCCACGAGTGCCGATGTCCCAATAGACTATTCCAAGGCAACCCTGATAGGTACGACATATATGCAACGATCGCGGGGTGTCCGGCAGCGTTTCTCATGTAAGCTTTACTTGCAGTGGTCCCACTCTCAGTCATGTCAAATTGGGAGAAGCAGATAGAAGATCATATACAGCCCGGAGTACTTACGTCCTGCGTGTACTACGGGACGAGCCGCTCAATGACCGCAGCACAACTGAAAATTTACGATGTCGTCATTACGACTTACCAGACAGTTACCAAGGAGCATGGCGATCTCAGTGGCGCCAACGGAGGGGAACCTTCCAAGAAACGGAAGAAGATGGAGAAGGCGTTATTCGACGTTCAATGGAAGGTATGCACTCAGAATGATCAGAATGATTAGCTTGATTCGATGTAGCATCTATGATTCTGGTAGCGCGTAATACTCGACGAAGGTCATAATATCCGTAATCCTCGCACTAAGATGGCCAAAGCTGTCTGTGCTCTTAGTGCTCAGCGACGCTGGGTCTTGACCGGTACACCTATTGTGCGTGATGTTTATCTCTAAGAGGTGCATGTTGACTGACCTCATCACAGATTAATTCACCAAAGGTATGTCACAAGCGGGTGCCTGGCTGCGTATATTTCTAAAATGTTATTAACAGGATCTTGGCTCCATCCTTACCTTTCTGCAAATCTGCCGACCTCTCGACAATGAAGATTTCTTCAAGCGGATGGTGCTGCGCCCGCTTAAGGATGGTCAGCCTGCTGGTGCTGAATTGTTGCGTGTATGTCTCGTTTTATCTATGTGACGATGTGAACTTCTTACTGGTAATTGTTCAGGGATTGATGAGTCACGTCTGCATTCGCCGTACCAAAGAGGCTGGTCTCCTAATTCTGCCCTGATATCTGCGAGCTGATGTTATGTGTGTTCCTCCAGATGCAAGATAGCGAGGGGAATACTCTGATCCCTCTGCCTCCCGTAAGTACATTTGTTGGCACTCCACAATAGTACTGTCACTCCCCATCGCAGGTGGATATAACTCTCGTACCTGTCGCTCTCACGAGAGAAGCTAGGGTGTGTCGTACGCTCCATGAAGTTGATCCTTGCTCACATCAAATTCAGGAGCTATACGATGCAGTGGAGCAACTGTCCAAGGAACGTTTCAACAACCTAGTCGAACGTCATGGAGGGATACATTCAGCTGCTGTGCGTGCTCAAGCTTCTTTCCTTGTCGCACTAGTGTTGAGCCTCTGTGATGCAGGTGCAATCCAACGTACTCAGTATGCTGACGCGTATGCGTCAACTGGCATTACACCCCGGCCTCATTCCTGCGAACTATCTAGAACAATTGCGCGCTGCTGATCAAGATGAAGACGTTCCTATGGAGGCTGTCAATGTCACTCCTGAGGAGAAAGCACGTCTGCAAGATGTTCTTGCGCAAGGCATTGAGGACAACGAAGAATGTCCCATTTGCTTTGGCATCTTGGCCGAGCCAAGGATCACAAACTGTGGTCATATGTTCTGTCTAGCTTGGTGCGTATCTTCCAGATTCGTTTGGTCATCTCTCCAACCTGCCGTTGTAGCATCACGGAGGTCATTGCACGCGATCCAAAGTGCCCGATGGTGCGTTGTTTCATGCGTAGCATTCAAATTGCTGTTCTGAAGGATAAACCTGTAGGATCGGCGTCCATTGGGAATGGGTGGCTTAACAGAGCCTCTACCCCCGTCTGACCTCACTCAGGCACCTGTCCGGCAAGATGATGATGAGGATGATAACGACAGTCTGCGGTCCGGTTCTTCTGCGAAGATAGAGCAGTTGGTGGACCTGTTGAAGCTCACACCTTCCACGGAAAAATCACTAGTATTCTCACAGTTCACGTCTTTTTTGGATAAGGTAAGGCTTCGTTCTTTTCTGTGAGTTCCAGCAGCCTCACATTGTTTTCAAGATCGCTGAAACTCTTGAGAAAGAGGGGTGAGTCTCTGTGTCTCGTGCCTATCTCTATGAATGTTTACTTTGATTCGCAGCATTTCGTACGTCCGCTTCGACGGGAAGATGTCTGCAAGGCGACGTCAGGAGACTATTGCGCGCTTTTCGGTTCCTCTAGACGGATATTCCAGCTCTGTGGGGATGTTATCATCTACGCAAGCGAGTTGCTCCCAACCACAATCGCAGTCAACTCGCCCACGGACCCGGTCTAGTCGTGTCAGCTATGCTGAAGACCATGCAGCATTCCGTGATGACGACAATGATGCTGACTTTGTTGATGGAAATGATAGCGATTTCATTGACGATGATGACGACGACGACGCTCCCAAGAAGAACAGACAGGGGAAGGGGAAGGGGAAGAGGGCGAGGATTAGTAACATCGTGTCGACCACCACCTTCAACGGTTCCAGCTTTGACGGTGTGAATCCGAAGGTCATGCTCATCTCTCTCAAGGCGGGTGCCTTGGGTTTGAACTTGACGGTGGCCAACAATGTGTATCTGTGAGTGTATGAACCGTTTATAATCTGATGAGTTACTCATCCCAATTCCAATAGAATGGATCCGTACGTACTTTACAAGGGTTTCTGCTAATTACTGACATTAATTCTGCTTTAGCTGGTGGCAGGTAATGTTACAGCTGAGGTTAGGACTGAAGAGGTACTGACTTCTTGATAGGAAGGAATCGAATCTCAGGCCATCGACAGGTGCAATCGGTGAGTATACCATGTGATGACCGTGCTGTTGTTAACTGACTCCTACCATAGCATAGGACAGACGAAACCGGTGCATGTCTATCAGCTCATTGCTGAGAACACCGTGGAGTCCACGGTCAGCAGTGGTGCCTATTCTTATGCCAGCAACTGACCTTGTTATGTCGTAGGTTATTGATATTCAAGAGAAGAAGCAGGTCATGATCAAAGAAGTATGCAGGTTAACATTTCCATGAAATGATGATTGACGATTGTACCGGGTATAGGCCTTCTCCGGTATCAAGAGTAGAGAAAGTCAGCGCCAGAAGAAGGAAGCTAGATTACAAGGTCGGTCTGCATTCGGCGCTCGCTTACACATTTGTTTCTGAAGATATTGTGTTCATTGCAGAACTTGTGGCGCTATTCGGTATTCGACAGGAAGCGGCATCGCAGAACGGGGCTGGAAAGCAAACCACCCTAGACGACTGCCATGCTTAACGTTTTAACACGTAAAGAATGTCTGCGTTGCGTTGAGGCTGTTTAAGCTACGGCGGGTGTTAGTGAGAATGATGCTTGGTGGTGCTTCGTGAAACGTTTATTATATACGAATAAGTAAGCTCACTAATTCAATGCTGTCTGATGCTTTTTACAATATAACTGTTCAACGACGTATATGTACAATCTCCGCTTCTTCTGCTCTCTTCTGCTCTCTGATGTAAGCGCCCAAATGCACGTGATGAGTGGCCTGTCTTTGTGCGCGACTTTGCGACTGATCAAGGACTACACACTTCGACATACACAATCGCGCATGGCATTCTGAAGAATAACAACGTCACGTATCGTATGTCTCAACGCGTACAGCTATTCGTGGACAAGTTCGGGCAGCCTCTCCGTGTCTTTGTGGAGGCCTCAAGCGTCCTGCAGCGTCCCAAACTCATCAGGAAATTACGAGTTGCGTTCCTTCCATCTTTGAGCAGCCACCCACAACTAACATTTGAACTGAAGAATGCGGGTGCTGTGATAAGCCATGGGCCCGCGGAAGCACAGATCATATTGGTCAATCCAGTCACTGAGGCAGGAACAAAGTTCGTGGCGGATTGGGGCTCGGATCCAGGAAAGGTCGTGTTGGACTCGGCATGGATACGTCGATCAGAAGACAATGGAAGACCACTATTAGTGGATGAAGATTGGGGTGGCCTACGAGTGCAAGGTGGTTCAGATCCTGCGGTCAAGGATGTCGAGCAGTCAGTTGTCCCTCCTCTTCCAGGTAAAATTTTCACTAACCCGACCAAGAAGTCCTCTGCCGACCCCTCGACAGACACCACCAGATGGCGTTATCCCCGATCAATCCAGAGAGGATGTCCCAATGGTACTTGACCAGCAGAGTCAAAACAGCGTCCTCCTGAATCCTCCATCCTTATCCCAACGTGACATTAGTTTCAACAGTACATCATTTCCTCCACAGCCTCAGCCTCAGCCTCAGCCTCAGCCTCAGCTTCCGCATCTCTCGCACGGGTCTGTAGTGGAAATTTCGGACATTACGGTCGGCCCTATGGCTCAGGAAACTGCTGCCGTTGTACTGCCGATTCCTTTGATTGACACTATCCGCGATGTCTTCAGACACCATGTGTATAACCCTGCTCAGTATACTGCTTATCCTCAACAGCCTCAGAACCAAATGCAGATGGGAGTGTTTCCCGCACAATCAATGACAACCAACTTCGCCCAGCCAGGTTCAGTTCTCCCATCATTCCCGAACACGTCTCAGCCAGCTCCTCTTGAGAACTCCGTTGCAATGAGTCCTGCACCTGCCAACTTGTCTGTGCCTTCCACGCCTCTGTTGCCCCAATCATCTCTAGAAGACCGTCTGACTGCGTCCACGTCTCCACCTCAAACGTTACCTTCCTCTTCGAAGAAACAAGTATCATTTAGCTCAATAAACTCACCTTCGTCATCTGCCTCCCGCTTCAAGGGCAAGGGTCACGCTTCATCCCATGAACGGCCTCTGAACCATCATCGACGTGATAGTCTTCAAGGCGAGATGTCCTCATACAGCCCTTCCCCTACACCTTCTCGACGCAGTGTATCCGGAGCCCCTCGACCTGCGGGCGAAATTTTCAAACACAAATCAGGAAAATCAATGCTATTCGTTGTACAGGTTGATATCAGAAATAGGATAGATATTGTGGGTGCTATAAAGGTAAACGTCTTATGTTCCATTGGTTCTGTATAGACCTGACGCATGTAGTTATAGAAACACGGTGGAAAAGTCATTTCTGAGATCACTCAAGCAGACTACATAGTGCTCACCCCAAATTCCAAGAACTTTCGCGACCTGCTCCAAGCTACTGTCAATGCTGGAAACCCCGCTGTACAGGCGAGCTTTGTACGCGACTGCGTTGAGGAAGAAGCACTGCTGGATGAAGGGGCGTACTCGTTCGACAACGTGGTTGTCAAACGAAAACGTGGACGACCATCTGCAACGGACAGCCCGTCGGCTAAGTCGCGTATTCGGAAGTCTCCGAAGACGGAGAAAAATAACACGGAAGATGAACACGATGTTGACTCTGAGGAACGAAGCAAGCGGAAAAGGAAGGAGAAGGCGCGCAATGCCAGTCTCCCGTTGGATACCTCCAGACCCTCTCCTCCCCCCCCTACAACAGTGGTCAAGTTATCGGAGGGTAAGAACATCTTCACGCCTGAAGAGCGAGCGTATGTGACGGCGTACATTCCCATTCTCTTGGAGAGAGATCCTGACATGTCGTGGGATGCTATGGCCCGGAAGATGTCAGAGAAAGTATGTGACCAGATGATTTTACTTCATCATCTTTACTGATGGAGACCGCTGATAGATACCTTCGCATCCCAAAGGTTCCTGGATATCTCATCTGAATAAAAGGCGAGATGAAATCGACACTTTCAAGAAGAAGGCATGGATCGCATTCCGGAAGCGTCAGAGCGAAACTACTTCTCCGCCACCTGAATCTGCTATATACAATGGAACGTATCCATCTGGCTCTCAAGCACCTGGACCACGTACGGCTCAACCTGCACCACCCCCTGCGCCTTCAGCGACCAGAGACTTCAAAGTCATCTGCGACTTCTTTGCCCTCGGTGGTGCAGATAACAGGACGGACAACGAGGTGTGGATCGAGTTGGGCAGGCTGGTAGGCGTGGCGCTTTGTTCCATCTCTTTCATACTCATTCACACGGTTGCACAGCATCCGACTCGAACCGCTGAAGGATGGCGCGATTTCTGGGAGGAGTATGGCGAGGATATAAACGCGGAGGTCCAGAGACTGGCTGTGGTGCAGGAGCGGCAAATGGCGCAGCAGCAGCAGGAACAGGCGACGTTCACCCGTGGCACACAGATGAAGATGGAACCTGTGTAGGCTTCTATGATCATGAGTAGAGATTCGTTGGTGTTTTTCTTGTATGCAGTATACACGTATTATGATTATTGCTAATACTCAATGCATTGTTGTTGTTCAGTACTTGATCGCAGGCGGCAGGGTGGACAACCACGTTCAATACCATGATGGCTGCACATTATTCACCAGAGTTTCGCAGGTATATTGCTAGATCACCATGCATCTATTCTGATTCTGTCGATGGAACTGGAAACGGCGACCGCGGAGGATGCTTGAAAAATCGCCTTCGCCTCTCCTCTTGTGTCTCCGGCACTCCCTGTAGACTTTTCCCTCCATAATCGAAGGCACCCATCGCTGTGCCCATTACAGCACAAGAAGCAACGGCCATTGGCAATGAGCGTGCTATGTCGCGTGAACTGTGAGGAACGAATACAGCAGACTGATCGAACATAACAGACCTCGGACTCCAGCCAAAAACCCTGCAGCGCAGGCACCCGCCGCACCATTCAATGCATCGTCCTTCTCGCGTTGATTTGCTATCGCCGCCTCGGTAAAGGCGAATGTCGCGCCCATGGCACCTAGACACGAAACCAATCAGTATACTGCGTCGCAACGCAATTCTTGATTGCACTCACCAAAGATACCAATGGTTCCTCCACTCCTGGTGAAGAAGCCCGCCGCACCTCTCGTGTGTGTTCCTAGTGCATTCTGGATTGCACTGACGAAGGCACCGACACCGGCAGCCTGCAACCCGATGATGGACGTGTATTGGAGGGTCGGCTTGGGTTCGTACTCGTTGGGAGGCGGGCCCACGGCTGGCTCAGGATTTTCAGCCATGTGTAGGCAGAAAATCAGGCTATACAGAGTATAAGTCTGAGGAGGCTCGAGGGGTCGAAACTGAAGTTGTGTCGCGCGCCGGGACGGGCAGGACACGGCGGCAGCGAACGACGCCTGTTGGCCAATCACGGACGCGGTTTTCCGATACCAACCTCTGCGCCACCAACTTGCAAGTACTGCTTCCTGCCAGTCAACCTCAGACTTGTGTTCTGCTCGTAACCTGGGGACCTCTCTCGCCGTAATAATGGACCAGTTCGTGCCCGACGCCTTGCCTTGGTATCAAGGCTCCAAAGATTATGTCCCGTTCACTCTCGCAAAGCTCATAAGCGTCCGTCGCCGCGGTTCCTGTACCCTCTGCGACCTATAGCTCACCATAGCGGCAGTCAGACAACCCTGACGCTCCCCCGTTCTACTGCACTGCTGCATTTCCTTGGAGTCATACCTCCCTGGCTACTCTATGGACAGATGAAAAGCAAATATCAGACTGGAAGGAGACAGTACAGGAGTATATTGGGTCCATTGCAGTAGGAAGCCGAGGCCGCCTATATGTGTTTCCGAAACTTGCAGCCGCTAAACCTTTCTGTGTGAGACTATGTGACGTATGAATATAATTTCTCAGAAAGCGTTCAAGGACCACGATGCTGAAGATTCTAACATGCAGGAGTCCATGGAAGTTCATTGCGTTACTTGGGCTTTGAGAGATGTAGCCGATCCGCTGGTCGTTTTCGCGGCTTCTAGCCTCATCTTAGTCCTCCGCGTCAAGACACGGAAAGTGATAGGACAATTGCGTGGGCACGGCGGTGTAAGCGTTTGAACATTGACACTGGCGTACATTGGTCTCATTCGACTCGAAGCCGATAACATCAATAGCCGTCCACCCTTCCCATCCATACCTCTTCTGCACAACATCAAGAGACTTCACGACGCGGATATACGATTTGACACTCACTGCCTTACAAAAGCCCAATAACCCCCATTGGCCTCCTGGGACGTTACCTAGCCTTGCGGGTCCGGCCCATGGGCTGCAGATGTCAGAACCTGAAGGTGAAGGGTGTGGTCGGTGTGTGGTTGTCCTTGTCGGTGGCCGTTCTGGCGGCCATCGCGGGGCTGTGTTCTGTGCCGTGCGCATCTGTTTTCACAAACATCAGTTGCGGAAGTTAAACAACATATCCCCAGGCCTTCCACCGGTCTGAGCCTTTGATCGCGACGTGTGGAGTGAGTAGATCACCGTAGTCCCTTGTGTTCTGCATATTCAATCATTTAAAGATGGATCGTGCAGTGAAAATATGGTGTATACCCCCGATTAAACCAGAGTTCCTAGCCAGAGAGGACAAGCCCTTATTCAGCACCGAGTTCATTCACAAAGCACGTGTACAGTCTATTGCATGGTGAGTGCATTTGTAAGGACGAGCAGGAATCAGGAGTGACTAGCTTGTGTGGAGGTTGAGCCACGATACTTTAATATCTCACTGTGCACCTGCGCCCATGCGCACGAAAAAACCAGACGGAGTGTATTATGAGAACGGAACAGGTGCGTCCCGGTCGAAATTTCTTAATTTCCTGGAATTGCCCGAGTAGCTGACCGCCTCACAAGTTGTAATATGGCGCTGGCTCGGATTCGACAGGTTCTTTCCTCCTGGTCGACCTTTGCAGAAGGTCATGAGGGGATGTGCGAGCGTGAGTATTTTCCCTCGTGCGTAGATTCGGCGATCTAACGACTCCACGTTGTTATCAGGACTGGCGCGGAAGCGGTGCGTATAGCGCGTGTGGTCGCTTCTTACCTCCCTGATGCAACGCGACAGAATCCTTCAAGATCATTTCAGCATATTTCTTACCGCTCGGAAGCACCCTGGAATTACACGTCTTCCAGGATGACGACCACGACCCGCTCCTCCTTATTCCCCTTGGCAAGACCATTCGCATCATGAACATCACGCACTTCACAGCACGCCGCACGCCGCCCTTTCCTCCGGATGCCGAGGTAGTAGAGCTTGCCCAGCGCATGCAACTCAATGACGACGGCGTTCAAGAGCAAACTGAGGGAGAAGATATTCAGAGTGGTAGCAACGACACCACACAAGTCGTTCAGGCATCGCCTGAAGCTTTGCGGTTGACCGCGCTATTTGATAGCGTCGAAGGGTGGGAGGTTAGTATCGATGGGGCCACCCGCGCGCGACCGGACATCCCAGAAGTCGACACATGCGAGGTCGCCTTCGGCGGGAGAGTTATTTTGGGCGTTGGCGACAAAGGAACGATGTTCATATGGCGACGGGCTTCGAGGTAATGAGCGGTCACCTCGTAGATGTCGTTATGGTTCCAGCCTCACACGGAAAGTCAAGCATGCATATCCCGATCTCAAGCCAGTGATGATTCCTGTTGTACTAGGTAATGAATGAAAATACCTCGCTAGCAAGGTAAGGAAAGGAATTTCGCGCGCAGTAATCGCTTGGGAAAGCCCACCAACGCATCAGACAGCTCCGTCGAGGAAACAAGGCGCCAAAATCTACTCGTAGGCTGCTCCTGTATGAAGGTTCCTGAACAGCATATCCAAGATTAGCCCCATCTAAGGGTCGCGCAAAAAAGGACGTACGCCGCATACTTCCATCCTTTACGCAGGCCCATTGAAGAACTCCTCCAACACACCTGTAGGGGACATCGTAGGTACCTCAGCCGGAATGGTGTTCAAAATTTGGCGCTTGTTGTGGTATTCCTCGAGTACACTCGCAGGAGCCATCGTGGGGACTTCGGCAGGGATAACGTTGAGGTCAGCGCGCTCGTGAAGAGAATGCTTAATGGCGATGCGAGCAGAGATGTCATCTCTCGTCACATGGAAGTCCGCACGCTTCTGGTTGCTGTATTCCTCGATGACACCTTGTGGCGCCATGGTAGGAACTTCGGCAGGGATAATGTTCGTGTTGACGTCGGCACGTTTGATGTAAGCGGGAATAACCTCCATCGGGGCAAGGCGGTTAGCGAGCGTGCGCTGTATGACATAACTGAGCACGCGAAGCGATATTGTGTGCAGAGAAAACACTGGACTCACGCGTAGAGGCATAGGCATAGGATACGCGATGACGTGGGCCGCGAAAGAGAAGACCAACGCAAGTAAAATGGTTTTCAGCGCGAACATGATGATATGGATATGTGGGGGAAGAAAGGGATTCCAGTGAAGATGCTGCGAGAGAGGCAATCGGTTCAACCGTTGGTTCAATGGTCGTCCTGCGGCCTAGCGCGGAGATGAACGAAAATGAAAGCAAGAAAGCTACAGAAAATCAGCTTGCTTTCGTGCTGAGACGGAGAAAATAGCGACTCACGAAGGTGGCGAGAGATGGGAAAGTGGGAAAGAAGGCAGAGAGTGACCCGACCGACTTGTAGGTCTTCAGATCGCGATGGAAACACGCTAGTGCATGGATCTCAGATCCATATCCTGGTAGAGAAATTTCCCAGTAAGGCAACCCGCATGATACTTACTGTGAGCCCTCCATGTCTGATCCACGATTCGCCAGGTTCAAGACCGACCCTCGCTTTCGTCGTATTAAAAACCATCAGTCAAAAGTTGTTGTAGACGATCGCTTCAAGAGTGTGCTCGAAGTCGGCAGCAAGAAGCGGAAGAAGGGCAAAGGTGCGCACTGTAGTGCGCATGAATTGCACGACCCATTCAGTGATGTCTAAACATAGGGCGCGTGGACAAGTATGGAAAACCACTGGCGGATACACAAGAGCAGGATGACTTGCGCCGATTCTACCGCATAGAGCAAGACGACAAGCCCGCTGAACCGGAAGCGAACGCTGGTCCAGATTATGCTCGCGGAGCGGTACTCTTGGAATCATCTGATGAGGAGGCAGATGGACCTGAAAACACAGTGGGAGATGACGAAAGCGACATAGAAGGCGTCGTTACCCTGGGACGCGACATCTCGAAGCCCATTGCTGTTCCGGATGAAGAACAAGAAATTGACCTGGATGAAAACAGTTACGCTGAGTTGGATGCTCAGGCTGCTGCCTACGCGAAAGCGAATCCAGAGCAGGAAGAGGTTCAAGTTCCCCGCACTCGGCGACTTGCAGTCGTGAACTTGGATTGGGACTGCGTTCGCGCAACTCATCTCTATCGCATTTTTGCGTCGCTCGTGTCGCCAAATGCATCTGCTGTGGCCTCTTCGTCCACCTCCACCTTCATTGTCAAAGGAAAGCAAAGGCATACTGTGACTCAGGTTGTGCGTGGCAAAGTCTTGAGTGTTCGAGTATATCCCAGCCAGTTCGGCAAGGAACGCATGGCTAAGGAGGAGAAGGAGGGTCCTCCCCCCGAGGTCTTCAAGAAGAACAGGGAACTTGACGCTGAAGAAATTAACGAGCGTACTATCTATGAGACGGGTGATGGCGAGGATTACGATGAGGATATGCTCAGAAAATATCAGCTAGAGAGGTTAAGGTGCGTTCACAGTATCTGCGTCGGTGTGGCAATCCCAGTTTATGAAACCTGAACATAGGTATTACTACGCAGTTTTGGAATGTGACACCGTGGAGGCTGCCTCCCATATCTACACCGAGTTGGAAGGGTCAGAGCTCGAGCGTTCTGCGAACGTGTTCGATCTCAGTTTTGTGCCCGATAACATGACTTTCGACGATGAACCCAGGTACAGCCCACGCGTTTGACTGTGATCTTTCTTCTGACAATTAGTACCAGAGATGAAGCTACTGACGATTTGAACGTCCCTTACAAAGGTTTAGAGTTCGTGACAGATGTACGTGAAATGTACATTGTCTACATAGCATTCTCTCACCAGAACCATTCAGGCTCTTAGGCATTCAAAAGTCAAGTTGACATGGGATGAGGACGACCCGGAGCGGATACAACTGACGCGGCGAATTCTATCGCGCAGAGAGATTGACGACAATGATTTCAAGGCCTATATAGCCTCGTCCACGTCCGGATCGGAGGATGAGGCCAATACTATTATTCAGAAACGCGGAGAGAAAGGGCCTATCAATCGAGACAAGCTCCGCTCACTTCTGCTGGGGAGCGACGTGGATATGCCCGAAGGATGGAACACGGGTCGTGGGGAGGATGATCGTGAGGTCGACATGGAGATCACGTTCACACCTGGACTCAGCACAGCAAATGATGACCAGGAGGAGACTACGCTTGAGAAGTACAAGCGTAAGATGAAGGAGAAGAAGAAGAAGCGCAAGGAAGAGATGGCGAAGAAGGGAGCCGATGATCATGCGGATGAGAAACCGCGTGTGGAGGACGACTTCTTCGCCGGGGAAAGCGACGATGAGTCGGTTGACGAGGATGACGATACAGAGCCGGATGTGCACAAGGCGAAAGGGAAGCGGGGGAAATCCCCGAACGTGATCATAGCCAGTCATCTGAAGGAGCCAAGCCGACATGTGTCGACTGCCGGGGAGCTTGCTCTTCTTGCTTCCTCGGGCAATCCCGACGGCGAGCCCAAACATTTCGACATGAAGGCAGTAATTAAAGCAGAAAAGGCTAAGGGTAGGAAGAAACGCAAGAAGACGGATGCCGAATATGAAAACGAGCTGCAGGAGGACTTCACAATCGACGTCAAGGACGAACGTTTCAAGGCTGTCCACGAAGATTATGCCTTTGCGATCGACCCTAGCAATCCTCAGTACGTGACCTTCAGTCGGCTCGTAGCTGTTTTCGTAATTCACTTTCACGTTTCAGTTTCAAGAAGACGGAGAGTATGTCTGCACTTCTGGAAGAACGTCATAAGAGGCAGGGCAAGAAAGCAGCTGGTGCGAGCAAACGAGCTGTTGTGGAACCACGGGCTTCGGTGGAGCAGAACAACCTGAAGGGCTTGGTAGACAGTGTGAAGAGGAAGAGCGCAGTAGCAGAGCATGCAGGAGTTGGCAAGCGAAGAAGGATTTGATGTGTATTGTGCTTGTATCCAAGAGTAGACATCGATAACATGACGAGATGCTGGAAAGGATACGAAGACGACCTGTGCGATTGATACATAGTAGTTATTACAAAAATTGAGTGTAACATCATATCCAAGCTGGTGGAGTCCGGGCCCTAAGAACAACTCTGACGTCCAAATCCTCATGAGATCTTAGCGTTAGAGAAATCGAGTTCTGGATGGGCTTCCTGGAATTTCTTGAGAGTCTGGGATCAGATGTGAATGTCTGTTTTGGAACCGTTACTATTATTTATAGCCACTAACCTCCATCTTCTTAATCTCGTCGGATGTAGGCTTGCCCATTTGCTATAGCCATGACATGTCAGGTGCGGTTGAGAGTACAAAAGACCATAGCATACCTTCTGCTGATTATCAAACTACACCACAAGTACGTCAGTAGATGGTAAGTGGCCATATGAAATGATCTGACCATCATCTTCTCGACCATGCCCCTGTAAAGACATAAGAAGGATCCACGACGAAAGACCGATCGGTACCTACCTTGTCTCTCCGTCGAGGTCGCTGAGCTGGCTATTTTCCGGCTGGATCTTTGTCGTATCGATTTTAGGATGGTGTGTGAGTACGTTCTCCCACCACTGCTGTTTGTTCACTTTCTCGAGATGGATATAGACCGCTTCTTGATCCTCTGGAAAGATGAAGCGGTCAGAAAAAGCGGAAAATCCAGGCGACACTCATTAGAGTTACTTACCCACCATCCAAGTACTCTCCTCCACCTTAATGTCCTTACACAGCTCGCCTTCCATGATCTTGTCTTTCCCCTTCAGCCCGACACTCAATTTCTTCTTCTGGATTACGACACTGAGATCTCTTCCGCGTGTTCCCTTAGGTACTGGGACAACAATGTCGACTTCCCCTAGTTCCTGCTTCCAAGTGTAAGGCAACCCTGATGTAATCACTCAGTACCACCGGAAGTGCACCGCAAAGGAGTGCAAACAGGCGCACCAGCCTGTTCTGCTGCCTCGCGCTGGCGATCGGCCTTATCACGAACCTCTCTTTCTTCCTTGGTCAACTTGTCGTAGTCGTCAGGCATATCTGCAGGTATAGCGGCGGTTGTGGCCTATGCTGTTGTAGTTGAGCGTATACTCAGCGAGTGCGCAAGAGTGTATATCGAGACTATCGTAGATTCGTAGATCGAGAAGATGAAGACCACGTGATTGAGCTCGTCAAAGACAATTTTCCCACGCCCCCTCAGCCTGGAGGACTTGAGCGCCACCGACTTGACTGTCCAATCTCCTGCCGTTGCTCTCTGACTGCTGCTTGTCCTCTCAACTTATTGGCGTCGCCTTTTGCATCTCGATGGCGACCTCTTGGGATGATTTTGAGGTGAGTCTGAGGTCGTTGGCTAGAGTTGTCGCTGTTTATGATGTTTGGTGTCGCAGACTTCACGGCACAACGTGAAGCTCAATACCGTGGATCGCCTCAAGCAAATACTCACCGGATTCAACGAAGAATGCCAGACGAACCTCACAAAGTCAGGGAAGAAACAGGAACTCATTGAGAGGATCACACGAGAGCTGGATCAGTGGAGGCGCACCAACAATATCGACAAATGGGCCAAAGCCAGAGTCATTTTAAACCAGGTACGAACCATAGGAATGTGAGTAGGTTTCCTCTTGTCGGAACACTTTTCATGTAACTAAATTGGTTCTTCGTTGATGCTATGGTGCTCATGTGTTTGTCCGCCTTTCAGGTACAGTCCTACCAGAATGTCCGGAGAACATTCCTTTACGACCTCCGTACCCCCTCACAAGACGTATCCTGCAGCTAGTTCTGTGGGACACGGATATCAAAGCAGCGTCTCGGGGAGTTCTAGTAGCTTACCCCGTTACGATCCGTATGCACCAGCTCGAATTCCAACTGCGACTCATCCCTCGACATCTACTGTACACCCACCCACACCCAGTAAATATTTGCATACCTTATCTATAGCGGCTTCTGATGAGGATTTGCAGGTATCCGTTTCAAGCCCTCCCCGTTCTTCCGAGTAGAACGAGCCGTTTCGTCTGTTGTGGAATGCCCAGGTATATGTCTTTAAATCCCTGTGGCATAACTGACACAAAATCAGAATCCACGAGTGCCTTGGATCGCCGACAACAGTCAATCGTGTTCACGATGCCCAACGACGTTGTCATGAAATTGAATTCATCGAAGTGAGCTAAATTCCTTCTACGTCTACCTAGGATTTACCGCGTGCACAGTCCCACATATCAGCTTCGTCTGTATTGTACATCATCGACGTACTACATGCCTTCCAGTGCATTTCGAACTACATCGGGGCCCTGTCCAATCGAATTTCCGCCTACGTGTGAAGTTCGAGTGAACGGTGTCCCTTTGACGGCAAATTTGAAGGGAATGAAGAAAAAGCCGGGAACAGCTCCACCCCCCGACTTAGGAAAGTCGCTGAGAACATCCAGTGGCGCATCGAATCGAATTGAAATGGTGTATGTCAACAGTCAACAGCCTGTCCTATCCAAGGTACGAAATTCAGCCCTTATAGAGTTTGTGTTGTGCTCACTCTAATTTACCAGAAATACTACCTTGTGGTCATGCTCGTTGAGACCACCACTGTGGACCAGTTGATCGAGCGTCTGAAAAAGGGGAAGTACAAGAGTAGCCATGACATCGTCACGAAGAGTACGCCGGATTTTACTTTTTCTCCGTTGCTTTTCACGAAATACCTTACATAGTGGCTCAATCTGCCGCGACGGATGATGACATCGTGGCGGGTCAGCAGAAGATGTCGTTAAAGTGCCCCGTAAGTTTCTCGGTGTCTGTCAACATAAATGGCTCTTAATTAAAAACAAACAGCTGAGCTATATGCGCATTGTTACGCCTTGTCGATCGTCCCTATGCGTCCATTCTCAGTGTTTTGATGCATTGTCGTGGTTCTCACTCATGGAGCAGACCACGACTTGGCTGTGCCCAGTTTGTGAGAAGGTGCTGAATCCTGAAGACCTCATTGTGGATGGGTGGGTCTTTCAAGATTTGTTTTACGTCGCCAAGGACTGACCCCAATGATTCTCTCTCCATATCCGATCTAGTTATTTTGACGAGATTCTAAAGCAAACGCCTGAAAGCGTCGAAGACGTTCTCGTGGAATCTGATGGGCAATGGCACTCCTCCGATAACAAATGCGGTTCAGCAGAGTGGAAGGCTGCTCATTCACCTGCAAAAGTCCTAGCTGCACTCCATCCTGCGCCTGCTGTGAAACGTGCCGACACTCCTGTAAAGGTCGTACCGAATGGTGTAAACGGCGAGGCCAAGTCCGGTCCAAGTAACGCGGAGATTGTCATCTTGGATTCAGACGACGAGGATGAGGGTAGAGTGAAAAGGGAGCTGTCACCATCATACGACGGTGCCCCTGGAAGCTCCAATGTCAGTCAGGCCTCGCTGCCACCACGTTCGCAGTCTCAAAGTACCGACGTGATCGATCTCACGCTGGACTCTGAGGACGAAGATTCGCCAACGACTCTCTCCAGGAAGAGGAAGACGGTGGAGATTGACTTACCCTCTCCGACTGAGCAAATTTGGAAGAAATCGCGTTCTGAGGCGTCAGTACCCGCGTCGACTCATACTGCCGGGAGCTCTCATAGCTCATACCTCCAGAGCCCCCACTTTCCAGCATCTCGAGAACTTGCCTCGCGTTCCCTCAGCGGTGCTATTCCCACTTCATCTTCTAGCTACCAGCCTTCGTACCCTGGAACCGGGGGAGCACAGTATCTCCCGATGGCTCTGCCTCCTCGGCGACCACCTGGCACTGTACACAACGAGCATTACAGCGATATAACCAATCCTTACATGCCGAGGATTAATGGTGGAGGTTCTGCGTCGCCGAACAGCTGGCGATTGTGAGTGAGCGATGGGAGGCTATTGCTGGTTAGGTTGTCCTGCATGGTATTAATGCACATGTTACGATATCACCTGGTTGAACTTATGCAGAGCGTAATGAGATTGACGTCATGGCTGACAAATATTGCCAGACGGGAGGGATGCATGCCGTGTTGACGCCGTCCGAAAAAAAATTGGAGGGAAGTTTTCAAAGCCGGTGGTTGGCCGGAGGGGGAGTTTGCTGGTCGCTTGCACGGGCCGAATCGGTGGTATTCGGGCAATTGCGTTGCCGGCACGTTCCGAAAAGGTACTTAGCCCTTCTCACGCAATCGGTTTCTTTCTTCAGCTTGTCCACCATCTCCCTCCACTCAGTTCGTTTTCCCCTCCTCCCTCGGTTTCCCCGTCAAAATGGCCGAACAGAAGAAGGGCAAGACTCCTAAGGAGTTCTTCAGTACGTGTGCATTAATTTTTTTTTTCTGCTGCTGATCTGGCACTTATTGCAGTCGATTTCATGATGGGTGGTGTGTCTGCTGTACGTGTCACTTGTTTTGCACATTTCTGGCGTCAGTCTGACTGCGCTTTGTATATATTAGGCCGTCGCAAAGACCAGCGCTGCTCCCATCGAACGAATCAAACTTCTTGTTCAGAACCAAGATGAGATGGTCAGTGTTACGTGTCACTTTCTAACGTTTTTGGGATGATGATTGTGTGCAGATCAAGCAAGGCCGTCTTTCTGAGCCCTACAAGGGCGTCATCGACTGCTTCTCGCGGACTTACCGTGACGAGGGTTTGGTTTCTCTGTGGAGGGGTAACACCGCCAACGTCATCCGATACTTCCCTACGCAGGCTTTGAACTTCGCGTTCAGTCAGTGTCTGCTTTATTTCCTTCAGAAAGTTTTCCTGACGTGTCCCAGAGGACTACTTCAAGTCATTATTCGGCTTCAAGAAGCAGGAGGGATACTGGAAGTGGTTTGCTGGCAACGTCGCCTCCGGTGCTGCGGCTGGTGCTTCATCACTGCTCTTCGTGTACTCTCTGGATTATGCTCGTACTCGTCTCGCGAACGATGCGAAGTCAGCCAAGGGTGGAGGAGCTCGTCAGTTCAACGGTCTTGTTGATGTCTACAAGAAAACGCTCGCTTCCGATGGCATCGCCGGCCTCTACCGTGGCTTCGTTCCCTCGGTTGTCGGCATCGTCGTGTACCGTGGTCTCTACTTCGGTGTCTACGACTCACTCAGTACGTCGTGTATCGAGACATTATTATATCGCTGACGCGTCCTTCAGAGCCTGTTGTCCTCATTGGTGCGCTGGAAGGTTCTTTCCTTGCGTCCTTCATGCTTGGTTGGGGTGTTACTGTTGGCGCCGGTCTTGCTTCTTACCCTCTGGATACCATTCGGTATGTGTTCCTTTGTTTTGCAGTTCGCGTGTGATTTGACGATTGGAGTTAGTCGTCGCATGATGATGACTTCCGGTGCAAAGGTGCACTACAAGTCCATGTTCGACGCTGGCGCGCAAATCGTTGCCAAAGAGGGTACCAAGTCGCTTTTCAAGGGTGCTGGCGCCAATATCTTGCGTGGTGTTGCTGGTGCTGGTGTCTTGTCGCTATACGACAAGTTCCAGGAGGTGATCTTTGGCAAGGTCTACTCTGGTGGTAAGTGGTCTGATTGTTATCAATGTGGCCGCTGTGCTCACAATCTGCGAATGTGTAGGCTCCGGCTAAGCGTGTCGACTTTCGTGGTAATTAGTAGTAGTCCCCTAGTCTCACTTATTGTGCACATTTCCGCAATAGAGCCTGTTAGTAGTTCATTTGGTTTGTTGTTTTGTTCGGATGCCAATGAAGTGCACGTAGATTTGCAAATGACAGATACCCTCAATTTTGGTGCTGAGTCTGAATTGTATAGGCGGAGGACGCCGCGGTCGATACACACTTTGTTGTAATTCTGATCGATGCGATGGCTTGCACACGTCCTGCGGTTTAATTGTGCAAATATTCGTCGGTATAGCGTTACCCATGACAAGCCGGTTGTTCTGCGCCCATACCAGGAGTCCTGCCTGGACGCTTGTCTCGACGCTCTCAAGGCTGGTTCAACTCGTATAGGCGTTTCTCTGCCCACCGGCTCCGGGAAAACAACCGTATTCATATCTTTACTATCTCGCATATCTTCTCCACAGGGGTTCCCGGGCGCAAGTCGTGCACTCATAGTCGTAAATAGCATTGAACTTGCTTTGCAAGCGGCTACTCAGGCAAAGAAGTTATGTCCCCATTGGAGTGTGGAGATCGAGCAGGGAGCCAAACACAAGGCTTCTGGTGTAGCGGACGTGTGAGCTCCTTACTTCCTGAGCATCTGGCTGTTATACTCAAGGTCTGAGTTAAGGACCGTTGCTACATATCAAACATTATTGCAATCCCAACGATTGGCCAAGTTCGATCCCACCTCTCTGAAAGCCGTCATAGTCGACGAGGCTCACCATGCAGCTGCACCCTCGTATGTCCGACTGCCTTGACACATTGTGCAGATGCTGATGTGTATGCAGCTATCGTCGCATTCTATCGCATTTTGACGCATCAGTGAAAAACCCTGATCCAGCATTTGAAGCGCCCAAGCTACGGCATTCCATCCCTATTCTAGGTTTCTCGGCGACCTTCAGCAGACACGACGGTCTTGCTCTTGGATCCGTATTCGAGTGTATAGTCTACCACCGGGATTTTTTAGAGATGATCAAGGAGCAATGGTGGGTTTAGTCGTTGCTGAGGTGTGCTCTGGCGTGGTTGACTTTCACTTAGGCTTTGCAATGTCCGGTTCACGTCTGTCAAAGCTAACATCGATCTCAGTGGGGTCACTGTTAACTCTCGGACGGGCGACTTCAATCCTACCAGCTTGGCGCATGTGATCAACACAGACGTCGTCAACAAGCTTGTTGTGCAGACATGGTTGGATAGGGCGGCGGAGCGCAAATCGACCCTTGTCTTTTGCGTGAACCTCGCTCACGTTCGGCATTTGACGTCTGCCTTTAGAGCAGCCGGTATTGATGCTCGGTATGTCTACTCGGGCACACCAGCTGAAGAGCGCAAGGCCCTCATTGCGTCTTTCAAGGGTGGGAAGTTCCCCGTGCTAGTGAATTGCGGTTAGTAATAAACATTGTGCAAGTCAACCTGTGGGCTTACTGCTGGAGGAATGCTCAGCTATTTTGACGGAGGGAGCAGACATACCCAATATTGATTGTGTAATAGTGGCGCGACCAACTCGCTCACGCAACATATTCGCCCAAATGGTTCGTACAGCTCGGCGAATGTGACCCATGCACTGACGGTTTGTTACAGATCGGCCGAGGGATGAGACTTTCGCCTCAAACAGGGAAGGAAGACTGTCGAATTATTGACTTCGTCGATTCCACCAATCGTATGCCGGGTGTAGTCTCAACGCCTACCTTGTTTGGTCTCGATCCTTCTGAACTTATTGATGGTGAGGTGTGCTCTTGCCTCTGGGTCTCCAGGTGTTCATGCTCGGCTTAGACGAAAGCGCAGAGTCTCTTGAGCAGCGTGTCGAAGCCCCCAGTGAGATGTCGGATTCCAAAGAGACGTTGAGGTTTGACAGCCCCAATGACATCCCCGACCCCAAGTCGGTCACCTATGTCGATTATGAAGACCCATTTGCACTCGTCGACCAATCACATGGAGCGCCGCATATTCGCAAATTGAGTAGCCATGCATGGGTTGGCTGTGGTGAAGACATCTATGTTCTGGAATGTCTCGGTAAAGGACACATCCGCATTGAGAAGACTGAAGGAGACGAAGGTATGTATACGTCAACCTGCCCTTATCTCGGTCCTAACGCCATGCCTGCAGAGAACGAAATTCTGTTTCAGGCTCACTACACACCTCCGACCCTTCCAATGGGCACTGCTTTCACGCTGAAGATCTCACCTTTCCAAAGAAGCAGGAAGATCCTGACGGCGACATCGTTGGTCGAAGCGCTTCGTGGTTGTGACACATACGCAAAAACAAAAGCGGTGCAGGGATCTCTCGCTATGGGGTATGATAGACAGGCTCTGGTATATTGCTGGAAGTCAAACGTTAACAACGCTGATGTCTAGGCTTCTCCGTTCCGCAAGATGGAGGAGGGAGCCCGCCACAGACAATCAGAAGAAGTTCATCGGCAAGCGATGGAAGAGTCGGAAGGATATCGTTATCGGAGATGGGAATGAGCCAGACAGCATTGAACAAAGACTCGCGAGACTGACGAAGGGGGAGGCTGCCAATGTCATTATTCGGTTAAAACATGGCGCCCAGGTATGACTTTTCGTCGCGGTAACAATCGTCTCAATCAATTTTTCACCGTGCTAGGCTCGTTACGAGAAGAAAGCAAAGGCTAACCAGAAAGTAGCCCAATCCATCGCCAAGGAGAGGATGAGAAAAGCAAGAGAACACGTTCGGGTAGGGCCGCTGCCACAGATGGCTGAAACCACATCGTAGAGTGCGTGAAGGTTATTACTTCACTGGTCAACATTTGTAACAGACAATTTGGGTGACACTGCTAGTGGACTCTGTAGTGTAAGTACTGCTGCTCGCTGTGCCTCTGCAATCATGGTGTCCAGTGTTTCGGAGGTATCGAATGCCGTTGGCGTACGCAAAAGTGAGGCCAAGATGGAGCCAACGAGTGAATCGCCTGCCCCCGTTACATTGACGATCTTTTCCTTCGGCAGCCGCATGGCGGGGTAGTGCTTGACGATCGTACGGCTCCCCGATTTGCCTTGAGCGACCACACACCGGCTCTGCACTTTAGTCTGGTGCTGGGACCAGCTTGAACTTCGCGCGGATGTTCCACTGACGCGGAAGACAGTGATGACGCCACGCTCTCCACATTTGACCACTAGATGGTGAATGAACGGGAGAAGCTGAATGGCCATTTGCGCGATCCCATTGGCGACGAGGAATGATAGGGTACCCTTGCTGGAGTCTTCATCGCAGGCATTACGTCTCGCTAGCTGCTCCAGGCTCATACGGAACTCTGACCCTAGTGCCATGTCGTCAATGGCGGTCCACCATTGCTTATGAGCGGTCAGTTCCCACGTCCCACTACTCGCCTCCTGGTACATGTGCTTCAGTTCATGCAGATTCGGTGCGGCGAACGTTATTGGAGGCCGGTTTGTACGATCCAAAAGACCAGCAATGGCAGGGAAAACAGCAGTAGATTTTGGGACGGACGTGGGTTCACTGTTAATCAAGAGCATGGCTCAGGTGAGGATCATCTATGGACATAGAGTTCACTGACAAGAACACTAGCATTGAAGTTAAGAATCCACTCAATATTTGGAGTTGATAGACTTGCCTGGCATTTGCTGTTGATGGCAATAATCAATCAAGGACTTGAGAGCTTCGGAAGTCAGGTTACCATCCACCGCAACCAGAGACGGGCGATGCTCTTCAAGTGTCTGTATCACCTGCAAGGGACGTTAAATCATGCTCGCAAGGCCCTAGCATTGCATCGTACCTTCTGTGTATCTAGAGAGTTGATGATGTCCATGTCAGCTACTCCACCAACAAGGGACCCATCGGTGTCTACCACCATATTGCACACAGCTGACCGCGCGTCGTCTACCTGCAGAAGTCCATCCGTCCGCATTCCCGATTTATGAAACTCATCGACAAGTAAACGGCCAAACGAATCATTGCCGATGGGAGAAATGAGGGCGGTAGCTGACGATAATTCCTCAGACTGCGATGCCAATATACGGTGAGCCGCTTCTGCGACGTTGCGCCCCACTCCACCTAGAGTGACCGCCACCGTCCCTGGGGTAGTCGTGTGCAAAGCGGTCGAACCATCACTGGTAGGGTTAGCTTTTGCAGTTACATCGACGGCGGTAGAGCCAACGACGATCAGCTTGGCCCGAGCCTATAACGTAACATATAAGCGACCATGGGATCAAGGTGCGAGGGGAGCGCTTGCCAGAGGTACGTCTTCCACGGGCTGGGCAACCTCCCCCCTGACAGAAGCTGCGTTCTTTGTCCATGCAGGCGACTGGATGATGATACAATGTTTAGGAGCTGCAAAACCATCGCAAACGCATGATACTGACGACAAGATGACGGCTATCTTCTCGGTCTTTGCGTGTCATGTCTGCATATGCTATAGCAATTTGACTACCTGTGAAAATATACTCGAGATCTAGAAGACCGGAGAAAACAGTACAAGCGCTACTCACCTATGAGTGCTGTATTCTTGATGAGAGCTATGTCTGCTCAACTGTTAATAAACGGATCAAGTGGGAATTCAGGATACCTACTATTGGCCAAAGATTTTCCTTTAGTCAATTCTCCGACGCGTTTCAGAAGCCATGGAGTTACTTCCTTTCCGCGTTTGTTCACACCAGTTTGTTCAGCCTCCTTCAAGGCCTGCTCGACAGCACTTTGAAGCTGTTGTCCGATCGCCTCATATTCTTCCGGTATCGGGACGCCATAGACAACCCCATTGGCCATACCGAGTTGCCGTTGCGTATCTATGTTACCCACATGAGCGAGGCGATGCATTATGAAGATCACTCCCCTTACATAGGATTCGGGCTGCAGTGGCCGGGTCGTCCACCTTCCATGGGCTCTGGCACGGAAGTCAGTGAACGAATCATAATTTCTAGCATCGACGACGGAGCCCATATACCTTAAACCCGCTACGTCTGCTGTAGAATGCCGGGAAGTCGTCTGTCTTGGCATACGAAAGCACGGGAACTCCTAGTGTTTCCTGCGCGTAGATAACGGGCTCGCAAGCGAACCATGCAATGTTGGAATCTGGGTCATACCAAGTACTCCAAAGTTCTATAAGAACAACAGTCAAATTTGTAAAGAATCCAGAGTTTTATATACAGACCGTCCAATATCAAGTATTGACTTGACTCCAGCGGAGACAAGTCCAACGGGGCAGCGAGTAAGTTCTTGCAGATCCGCGGAGATATCCATTGCTGTAGGTTTGACAGACTGTGTTTGAAGGGAAAGATGGTAGCCAATTGTTCCAATTACGCACAGGTCTCCCCACCGCGGTGGACCCCTCCTAGCCTAGTCTCGGTTATACCAGGCGTATATCAGGACTTTGCAACCGATAACTTACCCTCCAGTAGCGAAGACCTTCATATTTCCTCAGTAACTTTCCGTACGCTCAACATGTTTCTTACCTTGATGCCTGCTAAAGCGGCGAATATAAGTGTAGCACTGCATGTTGTTCCCTGTGAAGAAATTTCCGAGCTTAGTTACAGTATCTCCTTTGTGCAAGTTCAAAGCTTCGTCGACGTCTCGAACACTCAACTCCATCTTTCCCCGTGGCAATTGCGGGACCGATGTCACGACGGGATATCTTGATGGCAGCCTTTGCATCGGCCAAATACTCGAGTTCCCTTGCTTTGAGACCAATCTTGACTCGACCGCCAATTATTCCAATCGTTGCGGGAATGGCACCAGCTTCGCGGACGATGCCTTCGACCGTTCGCGCAGTCTCCAGATTAACTGGATGTGGCATACCATGCGTAACGATGGTTGTCTCTAATGCTACAATTGGTTTTCGGCTGTTCAATGCATCTTCGACTTCGGGATGCAAGTCTACGGGTGCATTGGCGCGTAGAATATCGTATAACCTTGACGTCGAACTTGAACGCCTACAGGATACCCCACGCCGCGCGACCGCCGTTGGAAGCTTCAGGGTGCGATATGACATAAGGACAGAGAGTCTGACTCGGCCGACAGCCCGACGTTACAAGTCGTGGCCAGATAACTTGAGAGCTGAGGTAAAGGCTCGTCGCTTGTCGTAGTGCGCGATATGTTCAACCGTGACAGCGCACGTACTCACTATGAAGCTTTGAAGGCTGAAAGCGGTGATTTTCATCTTGGCGAAAATCGACCGCGTACTGATGTCACATGGTGAAATTCCCCCTACAACGGAACCGCGTCTCGCTCCATGGCAGAGCGACCTCCAACAATTTTTTGTGTACATATGTGACCTTTGGCTTATCGTGCAAGATCGACCGCGAGTACTATCTAGATGACTACTACATCTACCTCCACATCCGTTAACGCTTCTCTGGAGATTCCGGAGGGAACATGCGTTCTGACATACGACGCCCTGGATGTGCAACACATCATCGCGTCCGTTGCAAACGACGGCGTGGGGGCAACCACAGTTTTCATTGGCACGACTCGAAATTCGTTCAAAGGTAGAACCTACGCCTACCAGAACATAGTATGCAGTCTGACATCGTGATCGGAAAAGGGAAACTGGTGACGCGACTGGACTACCAGGCATACAGTAAACTGGCCGTCAAGACAATCGCCGATATAATCCACAAGGCACATACTGCACATGCCCGTTCCGCTCATCATCCAGAACCGAGCTCTGGTTCTCCAGTCATTCGCTGCGCAGTTCACCATAGGCTAGGCACCGTACCAGTCGGAAATCCCTCCATTGTCATTGCGGTGTCCTCGCCGCATCGCAAGGAGGCATTTCAAGCCTGTGAATTCATCCTGGAGGAAGTGAAGTTGAAGGCTCAGATATGGAAACGAGAGTTTTATGAGGGGGAACGGGAGGACGAGGCGGAATGGAAGGCAAATATTGCCGCCTGAGTTAGATCGGGATTGCCTAAGGTACCTTCGCGCGGTTGAAGTCGCCATCGGCGCTAAGAAACTAGTATATCGGCGTCGACAGAAAGATGATAACTGTGCATCATACTGACCAAGCCACTGTCCATAATATGGAATCAATCAACTTTCCACTTCTTCGTGACACCTTCGTCATCGCCGCCGAGAAGAAGCTCTATTGACCATATCATCAGAGTGAAGAAGATATTCATCCACCGCCACCAGATTTGCGATGAAGGATCTAGTACTAACTCAGCCTATTAGCATCGTTCTTTTGCATCATTAGAGACATCGTCACTCACGGAGCAGATGCGAATATACAGTAATAAAAATGGATTGACGATACGTCAACAGAAGGTGCGTCACTCGCGTTGTCTATCCTCGTTAGCACGATGCACTGACAATGGTCGACAGCGCTTACGGGGCGACCATCCCATCTCTCATCTACTCCAGACGCTCCCTCCCAGCTGTCAGCTCCAATTGTAGGCAATATCTGGGACACAAAATGCAGTACGAGAAGTCGATATAGTAATGCAACAAGGACAGGCTTTGGAAGGGTATTCGCGAGAAAGTTGAAGAGTGTTTGCATATGTGGTAGGATGTTCGAGAGAAGCGGGGTACTGTTGTGCAGAGTTTTGTATTCATGTATTCACGTACGGTATAAGAGACGCTTACTATGAGGAGGCGGCATCCCATGTTGATCTCTGATCAAAGCCACATAGCCATACGTTGTAGGCCAGAAATAAGGCCACGCCAGAGGACTCAATGATGTTCGTTCGTCGCATAACGAATCCAATGAGCGTAAGGAAAATGAGGGTCGTCAAGGCTACGCCCAGCAACGTGGACGACAGAGGTGATAAAGCTGCTGCAGGAAATGCCTGCCGAAATTGTGAACTATCAAAATGCGCATACACGAGCAAAACTTACGATGACTATCCACCATGCGGAGATCACATAGGCCGCGGCTGCTGCAACAAGGAGACCAAACTGGTAGCCGTCACCCTCAGTGACGAGCTCTCTCCCGATCTGACCAAGTTTTTGCACGATCAACAGACTCGACAAGCCCTCCATGACGACAAACCCCGGACTAGACCACTTCAGTAGTCGTCCCCAAAAGGTCGCCGCGGTTAACAGGTAAGGATGCACAGATTGCGCAAACGCGTTAAAGCAAACAAGGAGCAGGAAGGGGTGCATGGGCACCTGCAGGACGGACAATGCTGGTGAGCCCCAGAATAAAACCAGTGTTCCATGAATCAGTGAGTGGATGAAGAGAAGCAACGACAAAAGCAGGAAAGCAGAAGTGGACAGAGTTGAAAGAGTGAGAGGCAGGAATATGAGAATCTGCAATACGGTGGACAGCCTGAGAGGAATTGTCTCTAGCAGAGCTTTGCCAGCGGAAGGACGAACGTGCCTACCTTGCCGTACTGGACACTACTCTCCACAACAACCGGTTGTTCATGTCTGCTTTGATTCTGCGGAGCTGTGTCAAAGACAGACAAATCTTGCCACGAGGCGCACTCGTTGACGGGAGTCGTGTGCCAGCATTGTCGCGCCAAGCGTGCCAGTCTCGCTGTGTGGGGTCTCCTTATAGTGGTAGGGTGCGCCTTGAGGCCTGAGGAGTCACGAGTGCAGCCACGTGTATACCAAACGCTCTTTGTATATAGCGCCCATGCGCCAACTACAACATTCTACATATAGACACATAGCAACATGCATAGCTAACAGCCACAGAGTGAGGACAAGGGATAAAAAAGAGAGGGATCAAACTAAATGACAAGGACGGGAAAACTGCTCTCTGTAGCCTCCAAAGACCTGTGGATGTGTTCTCGTCGAGGACTGAGCAAGCCCTTAGCAGCGGCAAACTCAGTCCCTCGGCTACCTGCAGCAGGGTCCGACGGTGGTACGTAGTACTTGTCGACAATGGGGAACTGGAGGATATTCATCTTAGGTGTGATTACCACCATGTGGTTCGTCCTGATTTCCATCCAATCCGCTATTCGGAACAAGTCAGGAAAGTGATGGTCTGTGACCAATGATGGCGTACCTTTCTCGAACGTGAGCGGTTCACTAGCGACCTGAAACGATGCATAAGTGAGGCCCAATGTTCTGAAACTAAGTTCAATACCATGATAATGTTCTCCCGCTTGTCCGTCTTTGACATTCTGTAGTGACCACCTTCGGCATATTCACTGAAGGTGGTTCCAGATGAAAACCACTATGGTATTTAAAGTTCGATCAGTCGGAACTTGCTCTGAGTTCAGGCACACGCACCAGGGAAGCGGCTTCCTCGCGGCGTGAGGATATATAGCGTGTCGCTATTACACTCTCTCCATCGGTTACACAAAAATTCAACAAGCTCGGCTGCCAAACGGTTTCAAAAGTTCCAATCAACACAAAGTCAAGGTGATATGAAAAGTGATGCAGACCTCGGTAATGCCAGCCTCCTCTGTCAAGACATTAATGTGACTGATAGTCTCAAACATAGCACATCGTAACGTCTCTGGAGTAAAGGACGTCGCGTGTGGATCGGGCAGCTACGGTTTCATCAGCCAAGAAATAACCGATAGCAGCTCGATGAATAAACCTTTGACAAGAAAAGAGCAAACGCCCATTGGGAGTCTGTCACAAGCTTCAGTCCACGAAATAGACGACATGTAGAAGCTACTTACCCGTGTTCCCAGTGACCATGTTGAACAACTCGTCTGAAACGCTAGTTTGGAGCTTCCTCTTGATCCTCGGGAATTCAGCAATGCCGCCGTTGTGCATAAACTGCTCAAGCAGATTTGTTACGGCCATATCGTAGATAACAGCCTTACAGGCATACCATGAGTTTCCCGAACGACCATGGGTGGCAATTGTCTAGGCTCAGAGACCCAGCTGTCGTAGCACGGACGTGTGCACTGCATCATTGTAAATCCCTCGCGCAGCTTGATCAGCGTCAGTATGCTCACAAGACCAGAGGAGACTTGATCTTCTCTGCCAACCGGACCAGATTTACATTATTCCACGCCTGTTCATTCCAATCAGATACTGGGAATTAAAGATTATGCACAGGCCTCACAGGTGTGACAGACGTGAAGATGCATGGCTGACTGCCCAGCTCTTCGTCGTAAGTCGAGTCATACCACCCTAGCACGGTGTGCGTCAGATGTGCATACGACACTGGCGGAGTTAAGAAACTCACCAACGCCAAAGCCGTCTCCATTAATAGGTCTTCTATTATCTAAACGTAACCTTGAATCGAAAGCTTGGTTGATGATTGAGTGACAAGGTCGCGTTAGAAGATGGGAGAGCTGCACGGGTGAGGTTCCCTTGTATATCACGAACCGACACATACGCGATGGCAGGTACAGCAGGGGATTTCGAGAACTACAGGATGGCAGAGATTTGGAGGTAAGCGAAGAGGTGGGTGTATATATACAGAGCGGTTTGACGCTACTCAACTACTGTCACGGCTATGTCATTCAGTCGTGATTCGGTCACCATGCGCAACGTCGTTGCACTCTGCACACGAACAGGCTTAAGATAATGACGGAACAAAATTCGACGTTTGGTATACAGTCACTGGTATACATAAGATTCGTTGCTTGCCATGTCCACGATACATATTCTTTGCCTGGAATCTCCTCCTTGAATCAGTACGGCAGGTACATTTACATTCGGTATGGTCCTTCATCGGCTTTCCTCTACAGAAATTCAACCGGACGGCGAGTCGGATCTCCACCAGTCTCATCGTAGACGAGGCCCGCAATACGGAACGCAAGTTCTGAAAAGCAGAGTCAAACGGGTCGATCACCAGCACTTACACAGGCTCACCATCAGCTTGCGCCCTAATCATAGCCTCGGCGTACACTCTCACAACGTCTTCCGTTCCACTCGGTCTGACGAACGCCCGACCAGCTTCGTACCTGCGGACCAGCTCATCTATCTTTCCCTGGATACCCGGGGGACTGACTAAACGACGTTCGGCATCCTCCGTTTTGAAGATGGTCCGATTTGCCACCACAACCTTGACCAGTCTGTTGGGGAGATCGACGTACAAGGAGTCCCACTCTATACCACTGTAGGATTTGTGAATGAGGACCACCTCGACCAGGAGCATGTCGGACAGAGCGTCACCAACGGTTTGGTTGATGAGCCGCGTCAGATTTACGATATGACCGAGAGCAGTTGACTGCGCAGGAGTTGATGGTTGATGGTTGTAAAGTTTCTCTTGACTTTCCGGTGAAAATAGAACGGTTCCGTGCCCGTTGGCTTCGAAATAGACACCCACGTCGTATTTCTCTGCAGCATGATGAAGATGCTTCACTCCAGTCGGTACACACTTGACTGGAAGACGCTGGACGAAGGAGTCTCAGCTATCAAAATGGGATAGGCATCAGTAGTAACTTCGGCTTACCTCCGACAAATATTTGGTAGAACCGCCATTGGCGTACGCGGTCTGCACAATGCCAACCTTAATTTCATCCTCAAGACCAGCAGATTTCACGAGTTCTACTATGAAAGCAGCCACAAGAGCGGCTATCTTGTCGCCATCTAGCATGTGGAATTGGCCTCGGTCGTCCAAGTAGAAGTACATGAGGCGGTCGGCGTCACCGTCAAGACTGCACCCACGCTGACCAGCTTTAAGATGAGACGCTAGCGATGGCGGCAACTTCTGCGATGTCTTCACAAAATCTGCACCGCAAGCGTTATTGAGCGCACCGAGCGCGCTTGTTGCCGTATTATGCAAGGTAAGAGGTAAAGTATTTCCCAGACGCGATGATAACTTGCTGGCTACGTGGGCACCCACGCCATTGGCACAGTCTACAATTAACGGTGGGGGTGCCGGTTTGCCTGCCTATCCACCAACAGCATCAGACACGCGCAGTGACGACCAGGAAGTTGACTTTGTGTCTCACAACAAGCTTTTTGAAGGCAATGCTTAGCTTCTCAAGGTAGCCTTCCTCTGTGTCATCACCGTACGCGTCCTTGGTATGCTTCGTGTTGATGGCTTTGACTAGATAATGAAGGACCGGGGTCGTCGTCACTTCGGCATTGCGCGTTTCGGCACCAATAGCTTTGAATCCATCCTCGAGGGCAGAGACCAGGGTGATGCCAGATGGGCGTGTGTCTCTAGCGTATACGACCCTTGCAGGTTTTAACAAGTCTATCTTCAGCGTTTTTGTGAGTGTTTCGAGCGTTGCAATGAAGGCATCCGTCGTGGACGCATTTGCCAGAGCTGTAGCGTGAACCTCCCAAGCGGATTCCAGCATTTCGCCGCGGGGATCGACAAGTTTGACACCATTATCCTGCAAGAATCTTATTCAGGTTCATTCGGATGCCTGGACAAATATACAAAGGCATGCATACCAGTTCGGGGTTGTGTGAGGCGGTGACCATAACACCGATCGTCCTGCCGTCTAGCTTCTTGCTTCGCAAGCTGGCGAGGATACCGACTCTGAACATGACAGAATCAAGTGTGCTACCTCTGCATGGATATCGTTCGTGAATAGTATCAACAACGCTCCATATTTGCTGCACGTACAACGTCCTGAAACCCGCTGTGCCATATTGGAAGTGAATACTGGAGGGCTTTGGATGCTGATCGGAGAATCTTCTAATGAGATCTACAGGTAAGGCAGCCATCCTCGTAGCGTAGAGTAGTAATAATGAGCAGATCGCGTGCGATAAAGTCGCGGGATGAGTAGCGGCGAACTTGAAGTGGTTCTCCGCATCATGGAACCGCCTCATGCACGTGCACCGTGTACTGCCACTCTGAGTGACGGAGTTTCATCATCCGCACGCCTCTCGACAAACCATCCTCTGATCATGCCGTCCAAATCACCAGCTCAGACGCTGCTAGAGAAGGCGGATAAGAAAGCCAACTCTTCCACCGGGTGGTTCTCCTCTTCGTCTACTAAGTTCGAGGAAGCCGGCGATCTCTTCCAGCAGGCTGCCAATGCATTCAAGATAGACAAACTCTTCAAAGAAGCGGGGGATGCCCACTCGAGGGAAGCGGAGTGTAGGGAGAAGTGCCAGGAGACGAATGAAGCTGCCAATGCCTGGTGGAATGCCGCCAAGGCTTACAAGAGAGGTTACCCCGATCGTAAGTGGAAGTACTGTTGTATGCTCCGGGTGCTCAATTACTGTATGTAGTGGCGATACAGGCGTTGACACACACGATTACCCATTTAACTCAAGGCGGTCGTTTCCGCCAGGCTGCGGATAGAGAGAAGGAGATTGGCCAGATATACCTACAGGAAGTCAACGACTTGCGGAAAGCATGCGAGAGTTTTGAACGCGCTGGTGAATGGTACGCGCAGGAGGATGCTACAGCGTGAGTGCTTGTGTTTGGGTGTATGAAATGTCTTCATTTGTAACGTGCGTTCAGGACTGCAAACGCATGCTACAAAGATGCTGCAGACCTTCACGCCGATCTGGACGAATTCCCTCAAGCTATAGCTCGTTATGAACAAGTAGCGGACGGCTCGTTAAGCTCTGCTCTCACTAGATATAGCGTGAAAGAATATTGGCTGAGATCAAGCCTGTGCGCACTCGCAATGGCGGTCAGTCTTGTTCATGAACGAAGGCATTCTTACATTCTGATCATCTATCCAGGACACTGTTACGGCGAAGCGAAACCTCATCAAATATACCTCCCTTGACACTACTTTCTCTTCCACACGCGAGGCGAAGTTCGTAAACATTCTCATCGAAGCCCTTGAAGCCGGGGACAACGAGGCCTTCACGGCGGCTGTTTTCGAGTACGATCAAGTCACGAAATTGGATAATTGGAAGACAAACATATTGCTGAAGATTAAGAGGAGCATTCAGGAGGAGCCTGGGCTGACCTGATGGACCAAGCTATACTCGACTACTTGTCCGCAGGCTGAAATTGTATCATTAATGTCTAGTTCTTTGGTTCTAAGGAGAAGCCTTGGCTTGAAGTACCCTCACAACTACTATCCGCTGTCCATCCATTTAAATATGGCGGCCATGCTGATGCTCCTCTATCCCACCTTAAATATCACGTGATTCTCCATGCGTGAGATCGAGAAAGCGGTGAATGAGAGCCGTTTGCAACGCCCGGTAATAATAATTCCGCCAAGTATTCCTTTTTGCCAGCACATCTTCTCTGGATGATCTGGTAGCTAGATGTTGTCCTGGCTCGCTTTTTTCGTCCTTATCATACTACATGCTGTCTACTGGTTAGTGTCTACAGTCACGCTCCTTTACCATCGCTTCCGAAACTCCCCCCGACCTCTTGCATCCGACCGGAAACAGGTACCCCAGCACCTTGCAGTACTTCTAGCAGCAGACCTTGCGAGCGATGTTAAGGCGACGGAGTCAATATCCATAGAAAGTGTGGAGAGAGTCGCTTCTTGGTGTCGCGTTGTTGGAATTCCTAGACTCACCATGTACGATTATGATGGTATGTTACGCGCGGTTGCGTCGAACTGCTCATGAACTTGTCGATTTCTCCAGGGACTCTTTCGTCGTCAGCGTCGAGTATCCGAGAACGACTGTCCGGACATTTTGACTTCCCCGACATTGCGGTGGAGTCTGACATAGAGTTCCCCCTTACGCCTCCCTCCTCCGACGACTCGGATTCAAGATCGAATTCCCCAGATGCTAATATTATTCGTCCCAGACTTAATGTCATGACGCTGGAATTTGCAGGGATCGGGAAGAAAAAGTCCCATGTCGGCAGACCAGCAGTGAAACGTCGTCGTCTGACACGTAAATCTCCTTTATTTCCTTGTTGTTCGATGATGATGACATTACCTCAGGCAGTAATTCCGATACAAAGCCTTTGACGTTGCACATCGTGTCCCGACAGTCGGGGAAGCCTACAATATCTAGAGCTGCGAGTGCCATCTTGCATTCGCAGCGTCGGCGTGTCTCTCCGCAGCTTTCTACGTACGACGAAAATCCTGGGGCAATGCAGCAACTTCTAGTATCACTATTAGAAGGTTTGCATACGGTGATGTATACCTGTTCCCAGCCTGAACAAAACCTTGAACTTGCAGGCGATGACGGCTTCCCATCTCCAGATCTCGCGATCGTTCATTACATTACTCCAGGTAGACTCCATTTATTTCCAATGGAATTGCACGGTTTCCCGCCATGGCAAATGAGACTTACTGAATTCTAGTAAGAATGTCTCATCTACCTTACTTTTCGCCCAGTTAAACCACTTTGCAGCTTCGATGGACACTTTTGTACAGACGTCGCTCACCTGTTACCAGGAATACCTGGCAACGGCCCATGTTCGCCGCTGGAAGAGATAGAGTTTAGGCGGGCGCTGGATAAATTTGCCTCTGCCGAGATGCGCCTAGGGAAGTAAGAAAGTAGAGGAACTACCCTGTTTACTGCTCCGGAGAAGATCAGACAGGGAAGTTTGGCATGACTTCTACGTATGGACTTCATTTCTCCGACCTCTACTGGAGATCTTGATGTCGTTCTTATCCTCGTGACTCTGTATTGTATTCGTGTGTTTTGCCTACCCTAATTTTCAGTACAGCGTAGGAGTTATGACAACCACGGCGTCCGGATTCGACAGCCAACCGACAGCTGTCCCCTCTGTCCGGCGATCTCTGCTTACGCTCAGCGCTCATCTATCCACTGTTTGAGCACTGCATATTGTCAGCAGCTGTCGCCTGCCAGGAACATTCAATGGATGCAACCTGCTTCAAAACGCGTGTCCCCTGAACATTAGACTATGGTATGGTCTCTGATTTACTTCCGGATTGCATAGCCTATTCCTTAGTAGTAGTGTGTAACGGTGCCGGTAGGTATCGCGCAACTCGATTTGATCATTCTACGCCTCAGCTTCGGTACTGCCTTCCCCATACTAACCGATCTATCGCAGTGCCTCATCTCATCAAATTCACTGGACGTATATAAGCGATCCTGTATGCGAACGAACAAGCACACTCGGCAGGGAGATATCTATTACTTCCAGTGCTGCACCTATACCTAGACTTCAACTGTAGGGAAGTATTGTTGGAATGACACAAGAATTCAACGAGACAATCGTCATCACTCATCCTGCCACATTGATATCACATACGAGATCTAGAGCGACCCTCAAGAAGCGGATTTTCGTATGTTGTGACGGGTGAGTTCTTTGAGTTGATGCAACGCGCCAGCCACATCACCTCTCCCTCTTAGAACATGGGAAGATGGAATTCTTAAGAAAGAACGTTCTAAGTACACAAATATTCTGGTGCGTAGCAGCACCTTCTCGCGTCTGGAATGGAATGGGTCTTTTCTGACGCGTTCATGAACTTAGCGTCTTGCAAGGGCCATCAATCACGCCGATGAACGGTTGTAAGCAACTGCGTCGCATTCCCTCGATGCGAGACTGTGTCTCACTTCTACGCAGGACGCCTCCGATCTCCCAGATTGTATATTATCAACCAGGAATGGGTGCTGCACCCAATATGTATGATGAAGTTGTGAACGGTATGGTCGACTCCTTCCTTTGGCTACCGAATTTCACTGTAGCATCTCGCTCGATGAAGGCACCACAGGCGCGACGATAGGTAATTACGTCTGACAAGGTATTTCTTGAGCAATTGACCGAGTTGTTGGTGTAGGTGATAAGGTCGAGGAGGCTTATGCATTCATTGCTCAGTTCGTCATTTGCATACCTGATCTATTAACCCTGGATGAATTATTCAAATTCTAGGAACTATGTACCTGGAGATGAAGTGCGTTCTGCCATTGTCGAGGTCTCGACTTCATTCTAACTCTGCAGCACAGATTTTTCTCTTTGGCTTCTCCAGAGTGAGACGTACATCATTAATTGTTTTCTTGTACTCATTCAGTCTAGGGGGCGTACACTGCACGCATGGTTGCAGATTTCATTGTACGTCATCAGCAATAATTTAAGCGATAGACCCTGATATTCATTCCATTGTAGGGTGCGATTGGTGTGCTTAATCGTACGGACATGGATCATTTTGGCGATATATTTCTCGCGTTGCAGAAGCGAGGAAAAACAAACGACCAAGATGGTGTGTTTATCTGTCGAAAATTGCTAGCAGCCATGAGCATTTGACTTGTCGTCAAAGAGATCGAAGCTTTGGACAAACACCTAGCACCTTGGACAAGCCCTGACTCTCCCGGAAAGCAACGCGCGGATTCAGGAGCGTACGGATTTTCAGTGAAGTGAGAGCGGCCTGTTCTTTCTGAAGTGATGCCTGACCGTGCAACAACGTAGGTGTGTTGGCGTTTTCGATACGGTTGGTCATCTAGGGTTGCCCGGGGAGCTCATTCTGCACTCTGAGAAGGCCAGAGCCTTATATGGGTTCCGTGACAAATTGCTTGGCGAGCACATCGAGCGCGCTTTTCAAGCGCTAGCTCTCAACGAGGCTAGGAAGGATTTCGTATGTCGCGTGCATTTCCCCTCGCGTTCAAGGCAGCTCATTTTACTCCCAGGATTGTACCAAGTTTGAACAGACAGAAACAGGGAGGCAGAAACATCAGGTTCTCAAACAGGTAGACAGTCTTTTAATCTCCGACGAAGTCTAATCTCGTCATGTACTCTGTAGTGCTGGTTTACAGGTGAGCTGTGAACTGGAGTGCCAGTCATCGTGGGATTGACAAGGCAATGAAATTTGAAGGGTCGCATTCCGACGTATGTCTTGGAAATCTTAAAGTAATGCTTGAGTCTCATCATCATTAGATTGGCGGGGGTTACGAGCAACATGATCTTTCCGATTTGACTCTCACATGGATGGCAGTTCGTCTTCATCAAAATACCAAACCCGAACGACATCTCATGTTGTTTGTAGGCCAATATCCAGGATATTGTCTCACTAGATACAGGGTATTTGGCCTCCTTGCTCGATCCTGTAGCTCCATGGGGGGAGCAGAAGCCTCACGAGTAAGTCCACACGACATCATACGAGATCAGTCTGACGAGCCCTATAAGCTCTATTACGGGTATTTTCCGTCTGGCAGATACTATCCAGCGCACACTTCCCACGTCCACCAACGAAGTCACGCATGAGACCATTCACCCCTCCGTTCTCAGACAGAAGGACCTATATCCCGCTCTGACTAACGATCTGGAAAAGAACTTTTTACGCATCGTCAGTTCGCTTCTCCCACTCGAGGAGGAGGTGAGGAGCAAGTGGCTCTGCAATGGGGTCGAAGCTGCTTGAATTCCTGGAATGCCGCGTTCATAAACGTGTCGTCGATATCAGCGGAGGTTTGGACTAAGTATCTTGTCATCCGCATATCATCAGCAAGTATCTCTATCTCCACCAATCCTCGCAATTCAGCTTGAATCCCACTTTTTTGAATTAACAACCCGCAAGGCAGACTGGATTGGAGCCTGACATCAGACACGGATATCCGAGGCACAAAGGTTGAAGCAGAGTGGCTACAACTGCCTTTGGGAGACTAGTTATGTGTTGCTCGAGGGTGCAAGTGACTCGACAGACATTCCAGGATGACATAGCGACCAAATCGGTGTAGGGCCATTTGCCTGTTGTATATGTAAACGTGTCAAAAGCTTCTTTCTATTGATACGGAAGGCCGTAATGTAGCATCGGGAGTGAGGACAAAGCACTGATGGGACTCGCAAATGTCAGACTACCGCAACTGCATGCGAGCAAGTTCATAGTAAGTATACCTGTTACATCTGGTTGGGCTAAACAGACTACCTATGGGGTGTCTTAAGCCTTCGCGGAAAGCAGCTGCAGCATTTCTTCAAGGGCTTCTCCCACCGACGACTCGTGTTTAGCAATAAATTCGGGAACGTGGGCGCCAGTCACCCACTCCTCGCCTTTGATATATGCCGAAGGAAGAGTGATCTCCACGGACTTGCTCAATACTTTCATTTTCAATCCGCCCCCGAGGACCTCTCTAAGCAGGGTGGCACTTTTATTCCCGCCGTGACCGCCGTAGGTCACAAGCATGACGGGTTTACCCCGCCACTCCCAGTACAGGTGGTCGAACACGTTCTTGAGTTCGCCAGGATAGCCCCAGTTGTACTGCGGACTGAGGACGACAAACCCAGCGCACGAGGAAACGAACGTGCTCCACTGCTGTACGGCAGGAGATGGGTATTTGTCGGGGTTGTGGATGTCGGACGGCATGTAGGACCCATCGACGATAGGACCGAGTGGAAGAGGGGAAACTGTGGGATCGACGAAACAAACGCGATATAGGTTGTTGACCTTCTTTTCCATATCAGCGTTAGGTGTCGGGGAGTTGTTGAAACGGCTTTTGAGGACAGAGGTCAGCCAGGATGCAATACCTCTCCCATTGCTAGGAGTGCGTGAGCTACCAAGGATGAGGGCGATCTTAGACATGAGAGCAACCGTAAAGATGAACTGTCGTTGACCAGGTTGATATAGTATCAGCCTGACAAAGCCTGCGAAGATTGCGTAAAACTATCGACATTGTGAGCGGTCGAGTAAACGTCGCGTCCACTTGGCGTCCACACAACGTCCACATTCAGTCAGTGGTCACGGCCTCAGCCACCGTGACTTCACCATCATGCCTCGACGACCCCGACCCGCTACTCGCCGTCCACCCCACAGTGCACACACCCTTCACACCACTGGGAAGCACGTATCTACCTCGAATGTGGAAACTCCGTTACTTCAAAGGAGCAACGAGTTGGGCAGAACACCAAATACCCCAGACTATGCATCCAGTGGCTCTCAGTCGCCCTCGGACGACGAGTCCGACGAATATGATTCCGACGTGTCTGCTGGATCCGCCGGAGATGAAGATGATGCACAAGATTTGAGCGACGTAGATCCAAATGCCCCCCGTGTTTCGCAATGGGTGGATGACGAAGACCTTGATAACAGATTTCAAGACGAGAGCGAGGATGAGGAGAGCAGCGAAGAAGATGGGGAAACGGCACATCTGGTGCGTATGCGACTTACGATCTCTTATTTCACATCTTATTATTTTTCACAGACGAAATCGCAGCAGTCTGGTACGTCCAGATACCGCACGTACTGCGATGCTGCTGAGGCTTTTTCTGGTTAGACATCTCATCATTGCCATTTGGTGCATTGCGCAAGGCGCAGCGGTCATTGGCACAAGCAGCCACGGTCGAGGCGTCAGAAGAGGAGGACTCTGGCGATGATAGCGAACCGGAACAAGGTCCATCACACTTTGATTTTAAGAGTAAAGGCAAGGAGGTGGACAAACCCGTCCACCTAAAATATGACATTCCGAAGCGGAGGAATAAGCACGCGTAAGTGGCTATGTTTCTCAAAAGCTGCATGGACTTCTAACAACCATTCATAGCCCCATGGAAGCTACATCCAAGAGACCGGTGCCCCGAAAGAAGTTGGCAGAGGGGGAAAAACTGGTGCGTTTTTCCATCTTACAGTAGAACCCCCAACTTTAAGATGGCCCTCGTAGGTGCCTCGCGATCCGCGATTCCTGCCATTGGCAGGCGAATTTTCTTCCCGGAATTTCCAATCTCAGTACAGTTTTTTGTCGGAGATGCACGTAAACGAGACGAAAACGTTAAGAAACAATCTAAAACGCGCCCGCAAAATGCTAGGGTCTTCACCTCGGGATCTTCGGGAGGAACGCGAGCAAGAGGTCCAAAGGTTGGAAAGGGCTGTCAAGAGGGCTGAGAGTATGGTCGGCAAGGACAGGCGGGAGAAGGTCGAACAAGAGGCGCTCCGTAAAGTCGGGAAGGAGGAGCGAGAAAAGAGGAAAGAAGGGAAGGGAGCGTGGTATCTGAAGGATTGTGAGTACTTGGCTACAGGTTCTCTTGCAGATATCGTTTTGACACGCGTTTGCAGCGGATAAGAAGGGGTTACTATTACGGGCGAAATACGAAGCTCTCGCGGCGACAGGCGGTAAAGGCGCCGTAAAGAAAGCCATAGAGAAGAAGGAGAAGAAGGTCGGCCAGAAGGAGAAGAAGAGAAGGCCACGACCGGCCCGGATAGGTAGGGCACCTGAGTTGGGAGGCGGCAAGCGTCCAAGAGCTACTGAGGAGGGACAGAGGACTGGCAAGCGGCGCCGTGTTGAGTGATTTATTTTAATGGGCGGAATCTATCTCTCTAGTGCAATCCATGAAAGTTGATCCCATCAGACCACAAGTACTGATCTAACTCAGCTAATAGTACTTGCAACGGATTGAGCGCTGAGCACTGAGCACTGAGGCTCGGAGATAGCCCGGCGTGATCGGTTACCGTAAGAGGAAGCGTTGAGTACAGATGCTAGCTGATTTTTTTTGCTGCAGACGGAGGTCAACTTTGCACCTGCTCTCCATCGCGTGTCCTATGCTCTTCCCGTCAACGCTGTCTTTCCCTGCACTCTGCCTTACTGCACCCTGCCTTACGTCAATGTAGACAGCCACTGTTCATGGTGAAGCTCAACCACACCGTTCGATGATCCCGTCCCCATCATGGCTTCGATTGGCGGCCCTTCCGGATACCTCGTCCATCTCCCAGAACCTCTCGCAGTGCTCCCAGACCACAACACTGATCGTGTACCAACAATGGACAGGGATGATCATGACATCTATCGTGGAGAACTCTCATCAACCCCTAGGTCTACTTCCCCGTCCTCTGCAAGTTCTGCTTCGTCTTCGAGCTCCACCTCCGGCGGACATCTCGGTGCACTCACCGCTGTTGTCGAGCATGCAATTGCCCGCTGGGCACGGGCTTGGGCCTCGTCGTCGTCGTTGGAGACATCGTCTTCTTCTTCCGACATGTCGATGGTCACCATGACCAAATCCCAAATGGCTCGGCGGCGCAGGAGGCGACGCAGCATCGCAGATGCCCACAACGCACGCTCAGAGCGTGAGGTGGCTGCTCGCATCAAGGCTCGCGAGGAGTCCAGGCATATCCCTCGTGCATTCGATCTCTACGTGCCGTATCCCTTGGACCTTCCGTCAGCGGGGACAGCCGCCGATCCGGACGGGCTGCGCAAGCATGCTGTGCATACCTCATCTCTCCCGCTAATTTTGTCGCATCTCGCTGCCACTCTGAGAGAGAATGCGAAGGCACGGCGTGGCAGAATTCACACTGTGTCTCCGGAAGCGCCTGCCTCTTCTCGCCTCCTCCTCCACGACTACATGATGCCGGAACAGTCGGCAGAGTCTCATCTTTCATTTGCCTTGCCAGATGGACCCACGCGCCCGAGGATGAGGAAGGGAAAAAGAAGAGCTGCTACAGCCCCCGCCGCGGCGATGCAGATGACGCTATCTTCAGGCGACGAGACGGCATGGTGGCTCGATGTGGCATCTCCTACCTGGGAGGACATGAGCGCGATTGGGAAGGCAAGCTGCGTGCAGTAATTTTAGTGGCGCGGCATTCATTGATCTCTGTCTGACAGCTTCTGCATCTGCACCCTTTAACGCTTGAAGATATCCTGCAACAGGATCCGCGAGAAAAAATAGAACTTTTCCCAAAATTAGGATATCATTTCATTGCATTCCGAGCCATAGAAAGTCAGAAGACGCGGGAGCTGCGCTCCGTCAGCGGTGGCCACGAGCCATCTCTCGGAGTAATGGAGGAAGGTCTGGTTGGTGAAGTGAATGTATATCTAGTTATTTTCCGCGATGGTGTCTGCTCGGTTCGTTCCTTGTTCGCTGGAGGTTGCAATCCTGTCTCTGACATGATGCTTTTTAGTTTCATTTCGCAGATATCGGAGGTTCGTGCCAGCTCCGGCTGTCCTGTTTACATCTTACCTGACATCGTATGTCCAGAGCATGTGGATCGTGTTCGGAACAAGATTTTGAAACTTGCAGAAAGTGTTAACATGTCCTCCGGTGAGCTTCTTCCGCGCTTTACTACTGTACATCTTATCTGATAACTTTCCAGACTCGATCGCTCACGGCATCATGGATTCAATCGTCGATTCCGTGTTTCCAATACTGGATGGGATCGAGAAAGAAGTGGCAGAGATCGAGAACCATGCGGCGTCGAGCTTTGACGACAAGGGGTACTCCGTGGAAACTGTTCAGACTACCTGTGACGGGTCGCAGAACTCGTCATCCAACGACCAGCCATCGAACGACGAGAAGATGGAGTCGCCAATTTCTATGACGGAGAAGATCGAGCTTGGGAGGCCTGTCGTCAGACGGAGGTCGCTTTTTTCGCTTCCCACCAATGTTCCTTCGCTTCCTCGTCGGCTGCTATACCACATCCGCGAAATTATTTCACACTTCCGGGTTGTATTCATGCACTCTTCAATCCTCACCACCACGGCTACCGTCCACCGCATAGCGCGAACTCGGAAGATCGTAACATCGCTGGCCCGTTTCTTGGCCCATAAGTCCGAAGTGGTAGCGCAGATTCAGAAGCGCTTGTTTCTCACGGGTGGCACTGGAAACGGGAAGGACTATGAGATGTTTATTTATATGGGCGACGTTCAAGGTAAGCTCCATCCTCTGTTCTCTTCGTCGTCTACTGACAGAAAGTCAGATCATATTCTGACGTTGCAACAATCCTTGGCCCACTACGACCGCGTACTCAGCCAAGCTCATCCAACGTACATCGCTCGTCTCCGTCTTTCCTTGTCTCGAGCCCAATCAGGGACTGACAGGGCTATCCTCACTCTAACCACCATCAGTATAGGTGTAGTTGCCGTACAAATGGTTATCGGTAAGCTTCAGACTGGCCGTTTTCGAATTCGCGCTCAGTAAGTCGCCTTAGGTCTGAACTCCATGAATGTCCTCCTGCCCACAAACAGCCACACTGGCCATCGGTACTGGCTCTTTGGTATTGTTATTTCGGCTTCAACGCTCGTTCTACTCGCCTACGCACTGCTCCTCAGATGGTGGTGGGTCGGGGCCAAGAAGAAGCGGAGGAATTATCTGTGAGGGATAGGCAGTACTTGTTTTGATGTGTCACGGTGTCTGCTTCCACTCTACACTCTTTATTAATAGCCGTCCTTTCCTCTACCTTCTTCGAAGACAATTTTTGATACTAAAGACCGTTTGCTCCATTCGACATCAACACCAGCAGGACAAAGCACAGACAGCATGTATGCATGGTCAATACCTACACCGAAATATGTACCAGAAATATTGATGCTACAGTTTGCATGGATCCAGGGCTACGTTGCCGTTATATGCTGGGGAGTATATAGGAGTCAGAAGTAACGTCGTGAGTCGCTACGAGTATGGCGAGTTCAGGTATCATGCGTATCCCTCTTCTTGTCGCACAGTTGTACAACACGCTTAGTCTCTTCGAGGACGGCAAGCACTGCGGAAAGACTAGAGTCAAAACTCTAATATGTAATCCAAAAAGCCGACATAAGCTCACATTTGGCCTGGAGCTGTGCCTCTTTCTCTTCTAGTTGCTCGTTATGGAGCATGAGCTTGTTCTCCTGCGTCCGAACTGCTTCTTCGCTGCGGTGGAGGACTTCCATCTCCTGGTGAACACGTTCCGATGCTGCGGTCACGTCACGGCAGAGTCCCTTCATCACCTCGAGTCGCTCATGATACCCAGCACGAAGCTCTTCGAGCTCGTGACCTAGGGGAAAGTGATGTCAATTCATAGAAGAGGTGAGAAAGTGTGACGACCCCACTCAGGACCTCCGCCTCGCCCGACGCCTTCACGTACTTGGACATCTGCTCGATCCAGTCTCGGTCCATCGCCCATGCGACAGACTTCGTCTGGCTGACCACGCTCAGTCTGCTCATGCTGGTCGACTTCTTCAGGCTGCTGCGGCGACGAGGCAAGGGACGGTGCTCCGGCGCCTGCTGGGCATCCGGTTTCTCGTGGATCGTAGGCAGCGCTTGTCCGTTCGCGGTGAACGGCTCATTGACGTGCAGTTCCGCTGAGGGAGGGCTAGGAGATGTCGAAGGCAGCTCGTCTTCATCCGGTGAGGACTCTACTACGCTGGGGCTGTCGACGTGTGGCTCGCGCGGACGGTGGGGAATGGGCAAGGGCTCGGGGGACTTCGCGTGCTCGTGGGTTGGGTATGCTTCAACACGAGTCCTTGGAACCGCCCTCTTCTCGTTCATACCGGGGGGACGGATACGCTTAATATGCTCTTCTTCCCTGACTACGACGGGAACACGACCCGTTGCCCGACTTGTCTGCGACGGGTACAATCGGTTGGTCTGTCGTTTATGCGGAGACGGAGACGGGGACCTGCTGCGGTGCATGGTGCTGTATCCCATGGATCCCACAGGTCGTGATGTCGTACCGACCTGCGTGGACGGCGCACGATGCGACATGGACTGCCCGCGACGGGGCACGGGGACCGGGGGATGGCTTGCGTGGGCGGGCTGAGGGCTGCACTTGCTGCACCAATAGGGAGCGGGTGAACTCTCCGCGCGAGGCTGGGTTATCTCCGCACCCTGGTCTCTGAACCACCTCTCCATCTCCTTCAGCCTGAAATCCGGGGAAGCGAGCACGGTGTGGAACGCGACCCGTACGCCTTGCGTCTCCCTCGGCACTGATTCGCGCACCAGTCTCTGGCATTTGCGGATCATACGGTCCTTCAGGTGACGGATCTGCACGATGCGGTCCCAGGATGCGCTCTTGTCCTTCGCCAGCTCAGCAACCTCCATCCGCAGAAGCTGAGCGTACAGTTGTGCTGTACGCGGAGGCAGGAGCACCTATGATCGCACAGGTTCTCAACGATATGACCCCAATGGCATAGGCAAGATTCGTACTCTCATCTCGTTCGGCGTGTCTGTGCACTGGAGATATCGCCATCCTGTTTTCGCATATTCGTCTGTAGGTATCTCTAGCTGTCCGCGGACAGGACTTTGTTGGAAATAATTAAGCTGCGCTTTGGACGATCTGGGTGGATTCATGGGGTGTCTCAAACACCCACAAGCTTGGATGAGCGATTTCTGTGGATGAGGGGAGAGCCAGGCCAAAAAATGGGGTAGCCTGTGAAATAGAGTAATAAGCGAGGCACGAGTAAGGACAGGCTGGACGTCGTGCAGTGATCAAGATTGGTATGTCGGGGCGCCGTTTAGCGGCCCATCAACATGCTGGAACGGATGGCCCTGCGCTGCATGCAGCGGGCACCCTCGGATCTTGAAGTTTTCGTGTGTCAAAAGGTGTGCACTTCAAGCGCTGTAGCCCACTCGAATCGAGCTTCGGATGCCCATCTCTATAGGCTTAAGATCTTTGATTGCAATCCGCTGAATAGACCGCTGCATCAATGTATCGATCCAGCGGTGTCTCAGAAACGGGGCGATGCGATAGCAATTCAGGCAGCATAACATGTGCCGCGCGGGTGGCCAGTGTCTGAGAAGCGATGGCTGCACACTGGTTGCGGAACGTTTCCCTCATGACACATACACGCAGCCTGCGGAGAGCGCTGAGCAGAAAGCACGGGAGAGTCCACTCTGTCAGAATTCTGTATTAGGGACCGGGTTATCGGAGACCTTCCTGTTATGGACGATGTCACGAGCGCGGGGATAGAGCTTCCGATACCCGACGCACTCGCCTACGCTCAGTTCTCTACCACCTGGCACCGTCTTGCCCCTCCAGGCGGCCCTCCTGGTCCCCAGTGCTCTTGATCCATGTCGTCGGCCCTTGCGCACTATGAATCTTTTCTTATTCACAACGTCTCCACCATATCGACCCTAGAGTCAACGCTCAGATCGGTGACATGGATCCTGCCGGGCAGGTTCAAGGATGCTGAACTGGCATCTGAAGTTCGTGAGTAGCCATTCCTCGTACCGCAATAAGAGCTGCCGTGATGTTTATGCAATGCTTTTTTCGTGTAGTTTCTGCGACGCTGAATGTGATGAGCATGTATCATGACACAGTATTGACGAAGTTCGTGCACACACATGGGAAGTACAAACCCCTCATTCCCTCGTCGTTGCATACCCGATACACGAGAGCGTGGTCGGATAAAGATAACTGGTACAAGTGGGCTGCTCGTGCCTTGCAGCTCATCCGTTACGTGGAGCTTTTAATCGAGATGGGATTGCGGAGGAAGGTCTCGTCTAAGAATCGTTGGCGAGGTGTCGTGCTGCTCGAATTCATCAAGTATGTTGTATGTATTGTCATAAGGCTGCTGAATATAACGATTACGCAGGGCTGCACTTCGCCTAGTCATGTTGCGCGTCACACGCAGACCCCTTCTGTCCCCTCCCATTCCTGAACGAGAATTCGATCCTTCTTCTTTGCCGCCCGACTCTCAAGCATCGTCACCTACGCTTGCGCCCTCTTCTCCCCCATCTTCAGTACCTTCAACTCCCGAGCATCTTAGGAACAATCACATCGCGTTGCCACTGCATCCTCTCTTGACCCCACCACCGCCTACTCATTCGCCCCTGCCCGTCGAGGAATACCTTCTGCCTAAAGCACTTACTACTTCGTCTATCAAGGCCCCTACATCTCTCATTAAACCCTTGTCGAACCCAAGGGACTGGCTCGCAGAACTAATCTACGTCATTCGTCCCCTTGTCTATGGTATGTCAAGTCTCTGCAGCTCCGATACCATGTCTCATAGCGACCCAACAGCAATTATGTTATCTTCTGGACGCAAGAATAACCGGCCATTGGTGACGGCACTAGCTTTGGAGCTGATTTCTCGTAACCTTCGCCGCGACCCGCTACCGTCAGCAGCCCTAGAACGTTCAGAATACGCACAGAGAGATCGGGATATGCTGTGGTATCTCTTGCGAGGATCCATTTGGCAGACTTGGACACGGTGAGAACGCGGTGTAATCGTGACAAAGAATGTCGGTTAATATTTTGTGATTTAGCCCGAAAGTGATAGCGTTTGCTGACACTACCGCCAACATTCCTTTGCTGGGAGTCTTCAGTGCATTCATGAAGGATTGGATTCCCCTCATCGACGAATATCATTATTGTGCGTAACGTTATAAACGGTCTTGCAGCATTGACGGACTTGTTCCTCAGATACTGCTCCTTAGTTCTTTGATGTTCTTGTCTGTGGCCGATGCCACTGTCTTCTACTTTCTCATCCTAATTGTTTATATTCTCGCGCGTTCCCAGCGAAGGTATCTTCTTTCCCAACCGGTCCGAAGTGGTATGATCCATCAGACGGAAACTCGGACGATTGAGACAGCAGTCCATCGCTGGTAATGCACGTGCTCCTGTCCAATCTTATTTCCCCATATTGTGGAGAGTTAAAATCTACATGAAGCCCCGGATTCAAGTTCCCACCTGCCGCATAGCAAGCTTCAGCAGACCATCGCACTCAGACTATTATGGTTGCTGAGCAATCTCCCCTTCCTGACCTTCTCCGCGTCGTTACAGGTCATAATGATAAGGGCCTTGCCATGATTCGAAGCGAAGACCGTATTTCATCTAAAGTGGGGAAGTTTTCTTATCTGAGGAGCGCGTATTAACCCTAGGACGTAGGGAAGCATCGCATTCCCTGGTGTCATGAGCGGGGCCATCTGGGTGACGGATTCGATGCCTGTGAACGACAATAATGACCAGTCAGTGATGAATACGGGCCGCATGCTGAATCTTATGATCCCTTCAACAGAGCAGATGGTGCTGATAAGACTCCGAATGGAGATCTCGGGATCGTCATGCGGAGTGGGACTAATTTTCGTTACACTGACTTGGCCCCTGGAGCAACCGCAGCACCGGTATACCAGTTGTTTCATGAGGGGAGGCAGAATGTTGTGCTAATTTGTGCTATAGCACCGCACCGCTTCCCTTGATTACAATGTGCTCAGTGAGCCATTCGTCTTTCGCGCCATGGGGTAGCCTAACTGGTGATATGTAGTCCAAGGCAAGCTGATATTAATTCTGGAGGACGGTACCGATAGAACGTTTGAAACACCGGGAGACGTTGTTGTACAACGAGGGACAATTCACGGATGGAAGAATCCTGGTCCAGAGTGGACGCGATGGATCACAATCCTCGTTGATGCGCGGCCTCCTGTAGTGGACGGTCATGCCCTACCTTTCGAGGTTCGCTTACCGTCAGCAGCATAGAATCGTGCCAGTCATGCTCTTCTGGATCGCACTGTATGCCCTTCACTCTCGTGCTCTTATCACCCCGCCCGATCGAGGGTATATTCACGATGTCTTGTATGTCACAGATGTACGTACGGGAGGGCTATGTTACACGCCCTTTGTATTATCCTGCAATCCTTGTACATCTCACTGGAGATTTACGAAAAGGCCACCATCAACGAGTAACGACGCGCCTGTAACATATTTCGCCAAGTCGCTCCCGAGGAAGACTACTGGGCCTGCAATATCATCCGGTACTCCAAAAACGCATTCAGACCCAAGAAACACCTGAAATGACGATGCGAGCTTACCCCCAAGTCTTCCGAGAGCCGTCCTCTTGATCATATTCTCTCGTTTCACAACGTCCGAGAGATCTTCCTTGTTAATGTCCGTTGCAATTGTACCAGGAAGGACTGCATTCGCACGAATGTTGTACTTGCCGAGCGCAACTGCACAGCTTTGCATGAGCGACAGAATGGCCGCCTTCGTCGGCGTGTAATGACTGGAACGATAAAATTGCAGTCACGATTAGTGATGCGACCAGCACGGCAGTACTTGAGGCCATTCCAACCATTGATATTCACCCCCCACGAGAGCAGAAATTGAGGATACGCCTATGATGGACCCACCCTGAGGAACTTGAGCTTTCATCTGATTCGCTACGGCTTCAAGTTACCCGGATCGTTCAGCTTAGGACAGCGGAGCGAATGCAAACCAGCGCACATACCCTGGACAACAAAGAACGACCCATCCAAGTTCACCTGACGAGTTCGCTCCCAGATGGGATGTGGCATCGTCAAGAATTCTGCAAACGGACATATACCGGCATTGCTAACGAGGACGTCTGTCTCCGAGGGTGAACATCATCGCTTCTTGACCTGAGGCTAAATCCACGCACCTATGCGTCCAAATGTTTTTACCCCGACGTCGACGATCTATGCATGTCGTGACGATTTACTGTAGGTTCACATCTGCTTTCACAGCGACCGATACCGTGCGCACCTTGGTCGACGTCTCGGGGTTCGCTATGTCGCCCGAGACCACCGCAGCTTTTGCATCGCTGAATGTCTCGACATATACCCTGAGCGACTGGACCTCTGCCTCTGTCTCCGGATCTCCGAGATAGTGAAGAACCAAGCCTCTTGCGCCTTGTTTGGCGGATTCCACCGCGCAAGCTCGTCCGATGCCACGGGACGCGCCAGTAATGCAGACCACTTTGTCCTGCAGCAGATTCGACATCCTCAGGCGAGCTGGACAGTCTGGCCAACGGGTCCACCGTTCTCTCCACAAGGTTCGTACGTCTGCTCTCCATTTCACCGAAGGGGACTTATCGCAGGAATCAGTCTCTGGCGAATCCATATGCCCAGGTACGGACCGCCGGGTCCGTTTGTATGTCACAGGATTCTTTCCGCACACCAGATCTATGTCAGAGGGTAAATTCGCTTCGAAGCCAAGGTATGGGCAGGAGTTGCGGGAGGCCGGTCGACCCGCCCAAGAATCCCGGGGACGTTGAGAGGATCCTAATAAGAGCGTGGAGCCATCCTCGTGTGCCGTCACCGCCCACCGAAAACGATGCCTTCTGCTAAGATGTATATATGATACGCCATTGAACTGAAGAGCCGTATCATATGCTGATCCCTTGTGTAGCTTCTACGACTCGGACGCTGACCTCAGCCTCCTCGAGGGCAAGACAATCGTCTTCCTTGGGTATGTGATTCGTGTTTAACCAGTTTATTTCACTGACGGTGCGATCGTCAGGTTCGGTAACCAGGGAGCAGCTCAGGCGCAGAATCTTCGGGATACTGGTATTCCCAACGACAAGATCCTCATTGCGAATCGTCCTGATTCTTATGCGGATGACGCGAAGTCTAAAGGTTTTATCGTCGAGAATGACATCGCGAAGGCTGCAAGTGTCGCAGATGGTGTGTTCCTTAATTTTAGCAAATGTCTCACGTCTGACTTGGCTATCATTGCAATAGTAATATTCCTCCTCATCCCCGATCAGGTCCAGCCGCGCGTCTTCAACGACGTCGTTCAGTCAACTCTGAAGGATACTGCCACGATCGTGGTTGCTAGCGGATATAATGTTTTCTTCAAGTTGCTGCAGTTCAAGCCTACCCAGGATGTTGTGATGGTGGCTCCGAGGTCTGTTATACTAACACAATGAAATGTCACACAGCAACTCACAGAACCTCTAGAATGATTGGTTCCTCTGTTCGCAGTCTGTTCGTGAAGGGACAAGGCTTCCCCTGTTTTGCGTCCGCCGAACAGAATGGAACCGGCAAGGCTCTTGAGATTGCTGTAGCTCTTTCGCGTGCCATTGGTGCCACAAAGGCTGGCGCGATAGCTTCTTCTGCTTATGAGGAGACAGCCATGGATCTCTTCGCGGAGCAGGCCCTCTGGCCCAATATAATAACACTTTTCAGGTACGCTTGCTTTCGCGGCGCCCATGTTTCCCGCCGCACATTAAATCGGATTCTATGACAGGGAGGGTTTCAGCGTGCTGAAAGAAGCCGGTTGTTCCGATGAAGCGCTCTGTTACGAGATGTATGATATCCTCCTCGTAAATCTTTCTATGGCTGACAGCATCTTTCTTAAGGTGGATGTCGAAAGAGCCTGCGGAGATTTTCGAGCGCGCGGCCGAGGACGGTTTCATTGCTCAGGTAGGTCTCTTGGAAGCCTGAAGCCTTGATCCCTGACTCGGAGTTGGAATAGTTGAAATACCACTCGGTCGTTTCGCAATACGGTCAACTGAGTGGTGCCCTTGCTCTCGATGGCGTCGCTGTCCGTGAACACTTCAAGAATATTCTGCACAATCAAGTCTGTCTCTCATGAATCCTTCTAAAAGAATCTCTCTGACAACACATGACATCAGGTTCTGAATGGCAAGTTCTGCAAAGAGTTCAGCAAGATCGAAGCAGACCTCGAGAAGGACGGATACGATAACCCTCTCAATGAATTGTACAGGAAGACAGAGGAGACAGAGCTCGTTCAGGCAGAGAAGAGAGTGAGGGCTAGGTTGGCGGATCTCATAAAGAGCGGTCAGCAATAGACGTATGTACATCATATCTGTAACATCTGCATTTCCTCCTTCAATATCAATTGCGCACTGGATGCACCAGTCAATAAGCTGCCTACACTGGATGCACCATCATTTTAAGCTGCCTGCATTTATTGTGAGTTTATGGTAAAGACTTATTAAATAACTTTCCTGTAATCCGAGGCAACCTGTGCTGAAAATATTTTACGTTTTCTACCATAACTTTTAGATAAGTCTCGAGCTACTTATGCTAAACTTTTTTCACTCTAGCTTTCAAGTTTTGCATAAACTCATGCCAGTTTATTGAAAATTACATCCAGTGCTACATTTATTGTGAATTTATAGTAAAAATTAAATAACTTTCCTGTAATCTGAGCGAGCCTCCTGTAAATATTTGGAACCTATCCTGATGTAGACATAACTTTACAATAAGTTTTCTGCATCTACCATGCCTTCTAGATAAGTCTCAAGCAAACATAAGTTACACCCGCCAGTTTATTGGAAATTGCATCCAGTGATGCGCGCGTGGGTCTTGAGACTTCGCCAACGTGACGAGCGTGACCATATGTGTGACACATATGGTCTCGCCATCGCCCCAAAACTGTTTCCCACGCTTCTTGCACCCCAAGCCTTGGCTTCGTCAAAAAATCTTACTCTGGTGGTTTCTTTGACAAACTGAGCACATTAGCATGAAGATGTCGTCACCTATCAGCAAAATGGATGTGGATCGAGAGAAATCACTAGACCAGAAGTCAAAGTCGTAAGCAGTGAACTGCATGTGTTCGTTGTTTTCGCTGAGCTACACACCCAGATCTCGTAACCTATCAACGGAAACCCTTCGCACTCGTCGTTCTCATCGATCTCGCTCCAGGGACAGAGACAAGGAGAGAGATAAGGAAAGGCGCGACAGACGCCGCGAGCGCGACGAGCCTGATGAACGACGCAAGAGGAGCCGCAGCCGGGATAAGCGCGACAGAGACAGGTCTCGGGAAAAGTACAGAGAACGGGATAGGGTGCACGATAGAGAGAGGGAGCGTGATAGGGACAAGGATCGCGAGCGGCGCAGAGAGCGGGATGGCGAGCGACACCGGGGCGACAGGGACAGCGGCGAGAGCCGTCATAGTCATCGCGATCGTGACAAGGATCGGGACCGCGAACGCGAACGCGATGATAGAGAGAACAGACGTAGAAAACGCGGCGACGAACTGGAGGAAGGTTTCGATCTTCGTGACGCTGAAGAACGCGCTAAGAGGAAGAGACGCGACGATGTACCGGAAGAGTCATCTCTCCCTGCCCCGCCTCCTTCTGCAGGATTGCCTCCCCCTCCTCCTCCCCTGGCAGAAAGCCCTCGCCGTCGTAGGGATCGCTCACGGGATGCTGACCGTAGGTTTGGTGATAGACCTCCGCGACCTCCTCGTGACCCTCGCGATGAATTCGATGATGTTCGCTATGGAGGAGACAGGGAGAAAGAGCCCGAACGTAGCCTTAAAGCATCTCCTTTGGACGATGGACCTTTGGATCTTCCTCCTGAACGCCTAAGTCCCACTGCAGTGAGGTTAGTTAATTTTTTTTGGTGGGGTTTCCTCTCATGGATTGTTTCGTTAGACGCCCATCGCCTTCATACGAGCTCCCTCCCGATGATCCCATGAACGATGAGTTCAGAGAGGACGATTCCGAAGCCCGATCTGTTTTTGTCTCTCAACTTGCAGCGCGGCTTACTGCGCGAGACTTGGGCTACTTCTTCGAGGATAAACTCGGGGAAGGGACCGTTATGGATTCAAGAATTGTAACTGACAGGATATCCAGACGCTCAAAGGGGTTAGTTCATAGGGATTTCGTTGAGAAATGGGCCGCTGATGGTTTTTACGTAGGATTGGATACGTCGAGTTTCGTTCTGTTGAACTTGTGGATAAGGCTATCTCCCTAAGCGGCACCGTCGTAATGGGTCTTCCAATCCAAATACAACATACTGAAGCTGAGCGAAACAAACTTCATGCAGGCGATGGGTACGCGCATGCACCTTTTTCGTTGATTTAGAATTCAATTCTATTGACCTTGTTGTAGCAACTTGAACCTTCCTCCTGGAGTCAGTGCTCCTCATGGTGGCATGCAGTAGGCCCTTCGTCGCGGAACTCCTATACTCCTTCTCACCTTTATGTTTCAGATTATACGTCGGTTCTCTCCATTTCAACCTTACCGAATCCGATATCAAACAGGTCTTTGAGCCATTTGGTGAACTTGAGTTTGTCGACCTTCACAGAGATCCTATGACTGGTCGCAGTAAAGGCTATGCTTTCGTGCAGTGAGTATCTATATATGGGTACGTTCGTCAGCTTTCCAACAGTTTATGACAGGTACAAGCGCGCTGAAGATGCCAAGATGGCCCTCGAGCAAATGGAAGGTTTTGAACTTGCTGGTCGTACTGTGTGTAAATCCGTATAGCATTATTTGGCCCATTCATTGATTTCGTCTGGGTAGCTTCGCGTCAATACAGTGCACGAGAAGGGCACTGCAAGGTATACTCAACAAGATTCTCTGGATGAGGCCGGCGGTTAGTAGTCGTGAATGCCGAAGTTTTGGATTAAACTTTCTGACAACTTATCTATTTAGGCGGTAATTTGAATGCAGCATCTCGTCAAGCGCTGATGCAGAAATTAGCTAGGATCGACCAAGCACCTACTCGTCCTGAGCCTATGTATGTCGGCAATCTTCTAGTCAAACTGCCGTGAACTCACTTTCGTTACAGCATGAAACCTAACATTCCTCAGGCAATGCAATCTAGATCTGTCCTGCTCAAGAACATGTTCGACCCTGAGGAGTATGTTCGATATGCGCGGCACGTTGAGCATTTATTGACGATTTCATGTTCATCAGAGAAACTGAGCGTGATTGGGACAAAGAACTTGCTGAAGACGTCAAGAGCGAATGTGAAGGCAAGTACGGTCATGTGGAGTTCATCAAGGTCGAAAAGGAATCTCAGGTATGTTGATTATTGTCTGTGGTTCCATACCACTGACATCACGTAGGGCGAAATCTACGTGAAATTCGACTCCATCGAATCTGCGAAGAATGCTGTTCAAGGTCTGAACAGTCGTTGGTTCGGTGGCAATCAGGTCTCGGCTGCTTTCATTTCAGATGCCATCATGCAGGCCCACCAGTAATCGGAAACGATGGATTGTGAAGCTGATAATTTGTTGCACCAACTAAACTTCTTGCTTGACACAGGAATATACAACTTGTATTTCCTAGTTATGCCTGAATTTTCGTCCTCAGTACTGTCTTTCTCAATTTTTTGTTGTGCCTAGGTTCCTCGTTATCCTCGGGACATCTTGGAGACCAGTTACACAGAGGCAGGTTGACTACTGACGTTTCTGGATACCAGGTGTTCCCGTTCTCGTCTCAAATCCATCTTTTTGCAGTAGATTATGACAATCTTGATTGACCTAAGCATGAGAAGTACAGACACGCTGAACACATTAGATCTGACTTCCCCTATCCTGAGTAGATCCGACATCCGACTGAAAGGCTACTGTTTGACATGGTTACGTCTGCGAGAAAATGTATTCTCATCGCTGCGGTACGTACGAAGCTGAAAAGGAAGCCTCGTCTGACGGTCAGGAACAAAGGTTCTTCTGCGCGCAGACATCATGTCCCAGGACATCGAGATTCGACGTGCATCCAACTCGTGCCTGTTGATGTGCAGAATGGCCGCATACATCCCGTGTTTGTAGCCTCCCCTGGATTTCTGGTAGATGTTCCCTCCGTCGTCGATGGGGATGGACCTCGTGCGCTTATCCATGTTGTCCGCACACGTGTCCATGGTCAAGGAAACAAGTTATGTAAAAAAGGTGCATTACATGCCGTATCCTATGCATGAGCTCCACAGTCCATGCGCCCCAACGGTCACTTTCCTGACATGAATGAGTTGTCACTCTAGGAATTGTTAGCAAAAGCCTTTCCCAGGGCCTCTGCGGCATCTGAGACCAATTGTCGTCCCACCTCCAGTACGCTTTCCGAGTGATGCCACGAAAGTGAGCGAAAATTCGTCATGGACAAGATACGAAACTTACCCTGCGTGATGAACATTTACAATATGCGGTTCAACAATGGCGCAGAGGAAATTGGAACTGCAGATGCGTACCATCCATAGCCATGATCGGATGTGGCGATCCCAAGTAAACCCTCGTCTCCACCTCGGCTCCGGCCTTTCTCAGCTTCTCACCGTACGCGATGCCTTCATCTCTTAAAATATCCAACTCAGCGACTCCTATCCATGCATTCGGGCACTTCTTAAACGTTTCCTCTGGTGCGAAGATGGGGGAGTTATCCCACTTGGTCCAGTCCTCTTCGTTCGGCGAATAGTTTTTGCGGAACCAGATCATCTTGTCCGGCACAAGCGATACCGTGTTGGCATTTTCCTTCCAAGAAGGATACGGATCTCTGGAGGAGGTCGCAGTGTTGTCGACAACCGGGACAACAAGGACCTGGAAAGTCAGGGAAATCGAAGGGGTCATGAGAGCAGCCTTATGCGTGATCACGGCGGCAAGGTTGGCTCCGCTAGAAGTAATCTGTAAGGCAGCACTCCGAGTGGCATATTCTGAGCATACCTCGAAGAACCACCAACAGCAAACTTCTGGACGTTGACCCTGAGGCATTCTTTGCCTTTCTCATAAATCCATCGAAGAGCTTCTACGGCGTCCTCTACAGCGGCAGGGTATGGCTCCTCTGGTCCTAGCCGATAGTCGACCGAGACCACAACACAGTTCGCACCTAATTATGATATGAGGCAACGGCAATGTAGGCTCACTTCTTGCTCACGCTTGCACATGTTCGTGGAGAAAGCATTCTCAGTGTTGATATTCCCTAACGTCCAGCCACCTAATCACAAGGGTGAGCTCTTCAGAAATATTTAGCACGAAAGTTCTTGCCTCCATGGAAGAACAGGAACACGGGCCAGCCCTCAGATGGTGGATTGCCTTCCGGTGTGAAGACACGCATGGTGCACTTGCTGAGAGCAATATCCTCCACAGTACCGACCTTCAGAGGCTCGGAACCACCCGCCACCGGGGGCTTCTGACGAACGGTAGGGTTCCATGGCAGAGTGTGGACGTTGGGCGCGTACAAGCTATTAGCATTGTGGAAAGCCAGGTACTCGGGGAGCAGCTTGTCCACGAAATCAGGATGGACAGGCTGGAGAATCTGCTGGGTCGTCATGAGCCGAGATCTGTGGAATGGAATGGAATGGAAGAGGAGAATGGTTCTCACCTGGACCTTTATCGGGCGGGAGATAGGGCAGAGCGGCCCGGCCGTGTAAATCAGAACTGGACGACCAGGATGTGCGGTTAAATATAGCATCACGTGGCAGAGTGATATCGATACACGATTCACGCTCAACCCAAGACTCAGAGCTGTCCTCGACCACGACCTCAAGAAGTGACGACTATGTCAGAAGAGGCAGGCGAATCCAGGGGTAGCGTTATCCAAACGAGGACGCCGTTCCACATCAGTGCGAAGCCGGAAAAGCAAGAATTGGTCGACGAGTATCGCGGTAAAACACTCAATGCTTTGAGAACACCCGCACTGGTCATTGACAGGGCCATCTTCGCCAAGAACTGTGCTGAGATGCACGAACATGCTAAACAATGGGGTGCCAGCTTCAGAGCACATGTGAAGTCGCACAAGGTGAGACCTGTAGATATGGATCCAGCACGATCTGACGAAACGATAGACAGTGGAAGGTACCAGACTTCAATTGAGCTCAAGCGCAGACCAGACGCAGGCAATAGTGGTGTCGACAGTCATGGAAGCCTGCGAAGTCATCAGGGATGGACTTATTGCGGACAAAACCGTCAAAGATGTAAGTCTTTCTGAATCCTGAGGTCCACTCCGAGTCGAATTATATCCGTCCAGATCCTCTACGGACTCCCTGTCGCGGTCAACAAGATCGCAGACCTCTCTGCTTTGTGGGACGAAGTTGCATATTCCGATGTGGCCCTACGCATTTTGATTGACCATCCAGACCAAGTCGCATTCTTGGAAAAGTTTGAGTATCAGAGGAAGACGTCGAGGAAGTGGTCTGTATTTATCAAGATCGACTGTGGACAGAAGTGAGCACTGTTTGGTCGCTGAAAGTCAAACGCGTCGCTGACGTACACATTAGACGAGCAGGGCAGCCACCAAGTTCTCCACAACTGCGAACTTTGTTGATGGCTGCGTTCGCCTCTCCGGTCATTTCGGTGTATGGATTCTATTGCCATGGAGGGCAATCGTACGCGTCAACTTCGTTCTCCGAAGCCTCATCCTTTCTGTCTCAGGAACTTGAGGCTGTCAATAATGCGGCAGGTGTTGCGTTGTCCATCTTGGCCAGCTCTCCGAAAGTTACTCCGCAGCGAGAACCTTTCGTCCTCGCGATAGGCTCGACACCCACTGTCCACGCTGCCACAGCAGAAACTCGTGAGAGACTTGCCGCAGTGTTGAATGGTACGCTAGAATTACATGCAGGTGAGTTAACATGGCATGCTTCTAGCATTTGTGCCACACCTATATCCCTTGTCAGGGAACTATCCACTGTTGGATCTCCAACAACTACACACCGGCTTAATTACTAGCAGTCGCATCTCACAGCGTGTTTTGGCGACGGTCATCTCGTACTATCCTGAACGTGGCGCCGACGGCACGGACGAAGCCATGTGCGATGCAGGAGCAATAGCAATGAGCAAGGACATCGGTCCGTTCCCAGGTTATGGAGAAGTGGTCGGAAGGCCATGGAGGCTCGGGCGGATATCGCAGGAGCACGGCATTCTGACGCGAACGCAGCCTCCGTACGCGATCACCCCAGATGGTGAAGACATAAATCTAAAGATCGGAGAAATGGTCCAGATTGTCGGACAACACGCTTGTCTGATACTAGCAGCTTTTCCTTGGTATTATATTGTAGACTCTGACATCAAAGGAGGAGGAGATGTGGTGCAGGACGTCTGGGTGCCATGGAAGGGTTGGTGAAGTGGGTAGTACGGAGAACCAGGTGCCGCATTTCCCTACGATGTAGGTTAGAATAGAAAAGCGGACAATCGAGGATTCTATGAGACTATGCCTTCTCGTAGTGGAGATGGCATATATAGCATGCACCCACTAAATGAAAGCCCATCAGAGTCCCCGCTGTCGACAATTCGTCACGCTCCAGCAATAGCTGCGCAACAACTTTTGATATACCGCGACACCGGTGCCACTGAATTGCAGATACATGTAGTCATTCAAACCAAGCTTTGTGACTGAAGTGAAGTTCAATATGTGTGCTCGAGTCTCGGACACCGGGAAACGAGTAGAATTAGCCGACGCTAACAGAGAAATGCACGTGCGGCGGACCGATGAGCTTGTTCGAGTTCCGAGTTCTCTGCCGCACACAACCACTTCCAACTTGCGGCTACACAAGCCACCTCCGAATTCCTCTGACATCAGACGGTCGCATTCAATATGCCTGCCCACGACTATGGAGCAGATGCAACGGAACTCATGGAAACTTATGGCACGCAATTTATCTCGCACTGAGATAAGTACGCTGCTCACGGCAGGTTATTTCAGACTTCCTCATGAAGTATATTATTATTGGTGCGTTACGTTCTCTAAGCCTTTGTGATGCTCAGATGATTAATGGGCCGTGCAGGGGAAGCCGGAACCGGAAAGTCGTGTCTTCTACATCAGTTTACCCACAATACCTGTATGCATCGCCGGTGTGCAAGTGCCTGCTCGTCCGCTCATCTCTGTTCCCAGTCAAAGAGCACTCGCAACACACAATTGGGGTCGAATTTTCTAGCCGCACGATCAAACTTGGTGAGAAGCGGATAAAGCTACAGGTGCGGCCGTGTTTTCTGTGAGATTAGACGCGTATCTGAGGGTGGTGACTAGCTATGGGATACTGCAGGACAGGAAAGATTTAGGTGCGTCTTAGTTCTCGACTACTGTGTCTATGGTTTACTGAAGTGGTGCTTCGCGCAGATCGGTAACTCGCAGTTATTATCGAGGGGCGGCAGGGGCGATTCTGGTCTACGATATCACGAAGTGCGTGCGCAAGCTCTGACTCCATCCTGTTTATTCAATTAACTTCATATCTCAGTCGGGCATCCTTCGTGAATTTATCTCGGTGGTTGGCAGACGCTCGCGCACTAGCAAGTTCGCAGCTAGTGACGGTGCTCGTCGGAAATAAGTCGGATAGAGAAGACGATAGAGAAGTGGAGTGGGCAGAAGCAAGTAGATGGGCCGCGGAGAACGGTAACATCCCCGCGTCTTCACAGGTAGACGAGTTGCTTACCCATTTCCGAAAGATCTGCATTTCCTTGAAGCTTCTTCGCTGACGGGCGACAACGTGGAGGCACCCTTCCTTCTATGCGCCCGATCAATATTGCTTGCGATAGAGTCTGGGACACTCGATCCCGAGAAGGCGGGCAGTGGGGTCAGCTATGGCGATCGCGCACTGCGGAGAGTGAGCAGCTCGAGCCGGCTGAGCTTCGGGAGTCTGAGTGGATCAGGTACAAGGCGAGGCTCGAAACTCAGACTACCAGGTTACGGCGGCAAGTGCTGTTGAACCATTGTGGAGAGTCGGTTCTCTTCTTTTCTTCGTCTTCGTCTACTGGACGCGGTGAATATGTGAGTTCTTTTCGATTTGTCTCGGTTACAATATGTGCTGAGGTTGTAGATAACAGGCTGCCCTCACCATCACTTGGACGCTCTTGCTGATTCACTCATGCCTATTTACATGTCGGTGGTCGCCCACTTAGGTTTCCATCATCACCCATACTTCGACAGTTGCACGCCCCTGCAATGACACCCACGACACATTCCCTATGGAGGGGTTGCTACGCACTACTCACGGATTTAGACATATACTATCTTGTAGCATTCTCTTTAATGTCCTTGTACCGGATCATCTGTATATTATAACTTCACTCGATACAGGCTCGCGGGCTTAGCACGGCCACGAAAGTAGATACCCCAGTGGACTCCTTGATAGCGTTGTGTACAGTGTACGTGATTTAAAACTTCCGCCACCGATGCAGGCGCAGCGTCAAGTCTGGCAGGCGGCTACAATTCTCTCCGAGTCGGTGACGAAGCCATAGCTCTGCCAACGGGGGATCAATCGATCAGCCACGGTCTTGAACGAATTGGAGAAATTGACTCGCATTGCCAGAGTTATACAGCACATTCTCCAGCGCTCCAGCTGGTGAAGTGGTCGCCGTTCCATCTTCAACGACAATACAATCGTACCCCCGGAAGTAGGCATCCACGAGGGTACCGAGGACACACTGAATAATCCCCAGTGTCGTCATTACTGGCTTCATGGCGATTTGAACGTGACGCACCTGGTCTGCGTTAACACCAGCGAAGAAGAGCGTCGCGATCCCGCTCTGCTCGAGATACAAGTCCAATGCGGTTTGGTAGCCCCATAACCCACTCATTCTAATTGTCGTTGCTTCAACAACCAACTAATCTGAGACCGCGACTCCCACACACCGGTTCTTATGAATCCAGAGGTCTGTACCTGCCTTTTCCCCTTCCTCGTACAAACCCTGCAGGGGGCCGTAGAGGTCCGAGTTATATTCGCCCCTCATGAGCAAGCGGCCGAAATTGCCTGGCAGCTTCGCGCCGAACCCGCCGCGGCCATTCTTCATGAAGCCGCGCACCAGAGACGGCGGGATCGTGGTGAGTTCATGTTCTGTCAGGCCCCAATTTCTGGAGCGCAAGCCAATAGCGTTGAGCCGCTGAGCGGTTATAATAACAGACATGCAACGCACACCCAGAGGATCTTCACACCCTGCGAGCGCAGCGCAGGGACGGCTTTCATGAGCGGGTCCACGCATGCAAGCCCGGTCGGGTGCTCCCTCAGGTCAGGATGAAGGAAGAAGCTGCAGGCTCGAAACTGTCAGGACATAACGTGCTCCCCAGTTGCACTCGCGCACGCACTTCTGCATGTCGATGATAACGATCGCGCTGCGCTCTTTCGCGATTCGCAGCACCCTGTCGCCGTCGACCGGAAGCTCGAACTGCGAGTTGCTCTGCAGCGGCGGGATCGGAGCATCTTCTGCCTTCTCGGCCTGTGCGGCCGTGCCCACGTCTAGCGCTCCCTTCGGGAGGTGCGCGGTGCGAGTCAGGTCGATGAGCCCGGAGGAATACTCGACCCAGAAGGAAGCCGGGTTGCCGTATTCGACGGCGGCGGCGACGTGAGGGCGGGTGGTCATGCCTAGGATGGGAGTGTCGTGGATCGGTGCGCGAGACATGCTAGGCGAGTGGGACGCAGGAGAGGCCCGAGAGCCGCTGCAAACATGGTGAACGCTGATGGGGATGCGATATGGGACTTATCTCGACGATAAGAGGGGGATTGAGAACATTGCTTCTAGTCGGACTTAGGACAGATATTGCTCTGATCGGAGAGTATCATGTGATCGTGAAGTGGAGGCACGAGAATAGCAGCACGATTCAATGGTCTGGCCGACCAGAGAGTTCCAGCCGCGCGCAGGACGACCTCAGCGTGTACAGTGTCTTGCGGAAAAGGCAAGTAGCGGGGAGATGCACGTCGTCCACATCGACTGGTTGAGGTTAGACTGCTGCCCTCTCACGTAAATTCGTTGCAAAAAGTTCAGACTGAAAAAATCATATCAGAATAGTCGCAGCACAGGCACTAGAGTTGCTCTGGAATTACATGCTTTTTTGCAGGCACTCGCGAGTCAGCAGAAGAGCGTTGTTTTGCAAACGGAGCTGGACGCCAGTGCCTGGCAATCTGAGATTGAGATTTCAGACAGAAATGGTCACGAGTCGGAGAGGTGAGACGAGGGCTCGGATAATGTATTTTATTCTTGAGTTTACAGGCAGCAGCAGCGAGATGTCGAAGGAAGAAAGAGGAGGGGAGTCGAGTAGAAACATGAGGCGAGGGGAGAGGGCGCCGATGACGGCGTTCCCACATGGCCTAGTGCTCGCCTTGTCGATACGGCCAATCCTCTCTCTCCAAACCATGCCTCTCCTCTCCTCCTATCCTGCCTCCTCTCCCTAGTCCATGGCTGCCACTCTCTCCTTCATCAAAAGACAATCCATCAGTGCTTCCCCTTCAGGTGAGCTCCTCTTTCTCGCCTTCACTATCTCGCCCTTCGCCTCGTGTTTCGTGCCACCCGCCTCGAGCAAGTCCGTCTCGCAGAGTGCATTGTCGCAAAGGTCGTGAGTACATATAGTATCCCTTCCGACCGAGAGATCTCATTTTTGGCTACTCTGGTGGCACCGTTCACAGCTAATTGTGTAACAGTGGCTGTTTCTTCCGGACGTCTTCCTCTTCTTGCCGTCTCTGCACTGGCTCGCTTTTCCCCTTACCTCCTTTCTCTTCTAGGTTCATCTCAGTCAGCGCAGGCCCCTACTTCTGCTCCTTCGTCTACCCCTGCCACTGCCACGAGTACAAATACGCTCCCAACTACTTCTGCTCCTGTTCCCACGGCGTCTTCCACTCCTGCGCAGTCCATGTCCTCATCCGTTCCCCCTACTGAATCATCTCCGTCATCTCCAGCACAATCCTCCATAGTGGCGTCGTCTTCGCCTGGATCTTCTACTGCTGCGGCATCCGCTGCCTCGACGTGAGCCATAACTTCGAGGCACATACTCCGGATCGTCTGACCGCGCTACTGACAGGCCTACGGCCGCATCTACGTCCGGCACCGCTGCCTCATCTGCAACAGCAATGTCCACCCCGAGTAGAAGCGATTCGCCTCTTCCAGATCCATCATCATCATCCAGTGCGGCGTCCTCCCCGCCCTCGTCGACGCCTGCCTCCACACCGTCCTCAACGCCTTCCTCAACGCCTTCCTCAACGCCTTCCTCAACGCCTTCCCCGACCCCCTCCTCGACCCCCTCGTCAACACCATCCTCTACGCCTTCCTCGACACCCTCGTCAACACCATCCTCGACACCCTCGTCGACGCCTTCGTCAACACCCTTGTCCACACCTTCGTCGACTCCCTCCTCCACGCCCTCACCTACTCCTTCTTCTACACCCCCTAGCTCGGCCTCGCCATCCGCGACATCGAGTTCAATCAATCTTCAGTCCTTGTCCGCTTCGGCACCGTCTTTGACTCCGTCATCCACGTTGTCCTCATCCTCACCACCTGCAAGTAATGTCCAATCAGCGTCTCAAGCGTCCAGTACGGGACCCTCGAGTTCATCCATCAGTGCCCAGTACGTATGATATGTTAAATGTATACGCAGATATCTTGCCTCATTTCTTCATCAGATCGACGTTCCACTCGACTGTATTTGTTACGACCACAAACAGTGACGGGCAGACTGTGACGTCTGCGCCTTCGTTCATTACAGAGACGTTTACGACAACGGGAAGTAATGGTAACACGAGCTATGTTACTATCGTTGTGGGAAACCCTCCACCGCAAAGTGATAACGGAGGTACCGATTCCACTTCCGAGTGAGTCTTGTTCTACTACAATTGGGAGTCGACGGTATCCATTGCCCATGCTGACTGCCAATGATCCAGGTTTTTCCGCAATAAGGGCGCAGTGGCGGGCGTTTTCTTGATCGTCGGTCTGGCGGCGGCGTCGATCGTACTGTTCTTGGTCTTCTTCATCCATCGGCGCCGCCGCACACGGCGAATGGAACACGATCACGCAGTTGCATCCACACTCGCAGCCGTTGGATACAACCGCACACCCTTGGACGGTGACGACGACGACGCGCAGCCCATGGCACAGCGACGCTCAGCCGCTCTGTCTGCGATTGGGACAATCAGCTCTTCAGGTGGTCGGGCGCCCTCAGGATACATGGACGAGCCCGCGGGAGGTGGCTCTGCGCCCGAGACACCGATGGAGAGGGACTTCGACCCCTATGCCGCCTACGGCACGATCCACCCCCCTCCAGCAGCAGCCGGGGCTCCCAGGAAGGACGGCTACATGCCTGCGCGCACGAGTAGCCCACCGCCGTTGGGCCACCAGAGTACAAGGAGCGAGAGCATGAGTTCTATGGGCTTCGGACATGCAGCGAAGGACAGCTCATCCAGCCACGAGCTGCTGCTCGGTTATTCGCATGGCGCTTCTGCGAGTATCGGAGACCCTGCTGTACCGCTTCCTACTTTGGACCCGAGCAGTGGGGATACTGTGGTTCCCCCTCCACGGAATCCGCAGAGGGTGTCGAATGGTGGACGAGATAATCCGACGGTGGAGACGCGTGCAGGACTGACTCCAGGAGTTTCTGCAGCATCGTCGGTGTACTCTAACACGGACGATGTCTTTGACGACGCCCACGCGGTCCGCCCTGCCTTGGAGGTACGTCCTGGCTTCTTGACTTCGTCTTTGCCAATGCTGACTCCTGTGTTAAAAGGTGCGGAATCTCGCCGACGGCGAAAACCCAGGCGGTGAGGTTTCGCGAGGGCCATCTCGACGGTGATGGCGCCCACCGTGCAGACTGCAGTCATTTTCCCGTCGTTGTCGCTTTGAATTAGTATCGGATTTTTATGGCATACCTGCTGTCCATGACACCTGCATTCTCATCCTCACCCCATTTGGATATGCTGTACACGTACCGTCACGATGTCGATCCTCGAGCCCGGACTCCTCCCTAGACTCTAGTCGTAGCCAGTAAGCACTATATAGCGTAGTTTTCCCGGACTTTGTCGAACTGTTGTTCATACTCTCTCTACACACTTGCGCAGGTACCCGCTGCTTATCACGATTCTGTAACACGTCCGTCGAATACGCGCTTTCTTTACATGCATAAGTATAAGGCTCATGCGTGCACACATCAGGCTGTGGAACCAGCCCATGACACGTACGCATGCCGAACATTCGACGTGGTTGGTGCCGTCGTGACTAGATATAATAATGTCACGGTCTACTTTGCTGAGCGCAATTGAGCACTCCACTGCGAGTGCTCTTGTGCTTACAACCACGATGATAGTCGACAAGTCGTCCGACGGAGTAGACCCGCAGCAGCCTCTCGCTGGCCCGTCTAGATCCGCCGGTCTCCAGCCGCCATCCTTTGAGGAGAGCATGCGCGACCAAGCACTGCCCAGCTATAGTGACCAGTTCCCAGAGTCGTCGGAGGTGTACGTGCCCCAGGGCGGCGAGGCACCTCCGCCCGAGTTCACGCCATACGAGGCGGAGTACTTCGTCTCCGGCGGGGCCGGCGACATCGTCTCGCATGACCGGCATCTCAACGAAGACGGTGAGTAGCGCGCTGCTGTTTGTGGTTCCACCGCGAGGCGGCATGCTGGATGCTGAATGCTACGCGGTATTGCAACTATGTAGGGGAGGCGCTGTACCGTTTCCTGCTGTCGCACTCGCAGACGCCGCCGACCCTCGTCCTCCATGTGCACGGCGACCACACCGAGTCGCGCACGCGCTGGGTGTCCCGCAGGGACAACGACGGGAACCACCGCACCGAGCCGGAGTACTACACGGAGGAGGTGGTAGGTAAGTCGCTAGCCCGCAATGGCCTCCTCGCCGCTGAGACACTTTTCAGATTTTGACTTCTCCATTGATGTGGGGCAGCACATCGCCGCAGGGCCTGTGCACTGGAGCCTCCCGGACAATGAGCCCGCGTACAGAGGCAAGATGTACAAGGAAGTGGATGACCATCTCTCGCTGCAGCTCGAAGGCGACATGTTACTTGGTTTGACGAGGAGACACTCGACGAGGCGGGAAACGAAGCTCGCGAAGGCCTCGCAAGCGGAGAGAGCATCAAAGGGGCTGCCTCCCTGGGCGACGCTACAGCTTGGCTCCAACAGAAACGACTCGTCAAACCTACCGATCGGCGCCCAGCAGGCGCAGGTGCTCAAGTCGTCGAGAACTCTGCGGCAGTGGGCCGACGAGTACTGTGCAAGCGACAAGCTTCTCAAGGAGTTTACCTACGAAAAGGTACGTCGTCCCCTAGCTCTTTCTCAACTCAGGCAGCCCATTCATTGCACTCGTTGGCAGACCGTGTGCGGCTGGAACTTTGCCAACCTCGAGACCGCCGTGAATGCCGCGATCAAGTCCACGTACTTCAGTGGGCGGGTAACTGTCGAATTCAAGCTCACCAACGCCCAGATCCACGTCCGGCCGGACAATGGCCTCTCGCGCACGCTCTCTAACAAGTGGCTGAAGGTGCTGCTCTGCGTGTTGCTCATCTTCCCGTTCATCTGGCTGTACAGACGCTTCGGTCGGCGAGGCGGCGGGCGGTGGGAGGTCTGCGGGGGCGCGTACTTCCTCAAGTCGTGGCAGCCCGTGGACCCGGACGCTCCTCCGCCGCCGTTCCCCGGCGATGGACGGACAGTGCACACGCAGGCAGGGAATGCCCGCCTGGTTGGGATGCGTGAAGGCGTGTGGTTCCAGCGCTGGGAGGGCACGATCCGGCGTGCGGTGACGGGGAGGCTGATCTCGACCACACCATTGAAGGAGCCGGATGACGGGCCTTTGCATGCTGCGTTCATCCTTGACGGGTATCCTGCGGTGATGCACCACTGATACTAGTCTCTTCTCTCTTTTGATTCTGGTTGTGGACGTGGTACGTACTAACTGTTGTTGGATATATATGAGGACGGTTGTGTACGAAGTGGTCATACTATACTCACCTTCGCTATGTCTTTACTACGGTGGGTAGTAATTTCAAGTGTACGATGGACCGTGATCAATTGATCGCTGAGATTCGCGTTAAGCATCGGTAGTTGGACGCAGAATGAATGTGAGCTCAGCATGATCGAATACGCAGTGGCCCTTATACAGATCGTCTGTTAATAGCCACCTCTTATTATCATTTCGCTAACATATCCAGCACAGCGAGCAGCATGAGCATTGTCTGTAGCGAAGCGGGCCTGCAGTGGCCACAGAAGTCCGAGATCCAACTTTGACCTCGCGCGACGCTCATTCGCCAAGGTTCTGAGTTCCCGTCAGTGGTTATAAAATCTACTGTCAGGTGGGTCGTGAAGTAAGCGCAATGATACAAGCTAGACATGGTCGAGCTCCACACTTACCAAGAATTAGACATGATATATCCACATTATACTTCGCTGACAATAATATGGCCACGGCTGTAATGCTGCACTACTAGTAGCGCTTTCCAGGGACATGGTATTCCCAAGTGGACGTCCCAAAGTCGTACACACGCTCGTCATCGTTTTCGTCGTAAAACTGTACGTGCGATCAGGCGGTGTGACCTCCGATGCAGTTTGGAGTAAGCGTGCGTGCTCACCTTGACGATGACATTTTCCCCACCGTCAAAGATGGTGTCAATACGGGCCTCCGAAAGCTCGATGAGCCGCTTATTGCTGTACAGTCCGACGCTCCAGTCCGCCGGGATGGGGAAGCCGTCCTCCATCATGACCCCGCCTGGGTTTATGACCATAAGCAAGGACCGAGCCCACACAACGTCAGAGCATTCAACACTCACGAACGACATCGTTCCAGAACTCGGAGATGGTAGAAGAGTCGTTGACGTCCTGACCGCGGATGTGCCCATAGTAGGAGCCACGGCGGACGTTGATCCACATGCAGCCGTTGTCGCGGTAGCCTCTCTTGTGCCAGCCAGCACCGCGAGCATTGCGTCTGCTGCGGTTGTGATAGTTTGCATACATCGTTGTTAAGAGTAGTGTTAAGAAGGATAATTCTATTGAGAAACCCCAGAAACCCGGAAACCCCAGAAACCCCCTTAAGTTGCTCAGCAACCTGGTTTCTGTGCAAGGGAGACCGTTGACAGCCGGCCGGTTTTGATGGGGAGCCGCGCTTGCAGTCTCTTTCTGAAAGTGAGTAAAGTGCGGCCTCCCCGTAGCAGAGGCCTCGCTGCGAAATTGTAAGTTGATTCGGGGCTTACCGATCACACAGGAGCTCGGTACACTCTATGTACGTGAACATGACGCGTCGGGCGGGACTGACAAGGCTTACGGCGGGTGCCAATTTTCCCTCTCCCTCTCCCATTCTTGCGAAAATTTACTTTAAGAATATGGAGAGTGCATGCAGGCAAGGTCTCTCGATCTCTCGTCAACTGCCATGAGAAGCTGAGGAGTGAGTCTGCCCTGCCTTCCCGCACAAACGATGATGCCAACATGGCCGCCCCAGGAGGGCGTCCGGCCGGAGTCCGAAACTTCCTCCGGAGAGGGAAACCCCACAAGTTTCCAAATTGAGGGGTTTCTCGAGCAGCCTCAGAAACCCGGGGTTTCTTGGGGTTTCCGGGTTTCTGAGGGTTTCCCAATAGAATTATCCTGTTAAGTCGGTCAACATTTTATAAACGCCGGGCGCGACTGTGACCGACACACGATCGGTCACATTCAAAGTCGCGTCCCAAGCGTGACGCGTGACGATTATCCTGGACCCACACGCGCCCCTTTCTAATTCCCGCCATCTAGCTTGCGGGCGTGCCAGCTGCAAGCTCTATAGGAGTATACGTAATTAACGATTACAGGCAGCCTATCCTTGAAGTTGAATCCACGGCACCTACAGATTTTTTTCAGAGGGAAAATAAATGCATACATGATGCTGCTCAAGCTGACCTTGGGTTGACCTGCAGCTCGGAGCGCAGAGCAAGTCTCACCTGGATCGCTGACCGCCTCAAGTTGTGTGCCAGGGGACCGGCACGTTCGAGGTGAGTAGTTTTGGGTAACGGGTATGACATTGATGAATGGTGCTGAGCTCCTGATATTTTCAAGCCGTCATCAGAAGGAAAGACTGCCTAGTGCGAGTGTCTGTTTCGTCAGCGACCTATCCTATGCCCACGCTAGTGGCCCATTTTGATGGACACTCGTTGGCAGAAAACCACTTTCCAGTCCTGCGCCCATGATATCTCTCATGGATCCCGCTGCGCTCACCCTGATCATCTGCCAGGCTTATCACTCCTCTATTGCTCGATTCGTCTACCTTCTTCGGCTCCCACCACTGCCTGTCAGCTGCGATGGACGGAATGCGCGGAAGCCGGGCGGAATGTCGAGCCCCGCTGCTATCGCGGGTTATCTGACAGATTGGACCTCCCCCAGGCGTTATGCCCAGGTATTCTAGTGCAGTGCGTTCCTTTACATCTGCGCTCCAATCACTGTGGAGATGCGTCTCTTGCTAAATTTCCCCAGTCTCTGCGAGGATGTCCGAGCGAGCCGCATCATTAAGGTTCTTGGGCACATTTTGGTGATCGTTGACGCTGATGCGGCAGAATTTGCTCGGATAAGTCCCGGCGCCCTCGGTCGTTGTGGTAATCCTGCCTGCCAGGGGCCTTTTCGTGTCGCGCAACGCTCAACGAGCGCCAGCAGTGTCGCCTCCTCATAGACGCATGCGGTAGTCCATATGCCCCACATCCCGTCGTCCGCTCCGCTGATGACTTTCGCGTGCAAGTCGCACAGACTGCCGCGGCCTCAGAGTTAGATGCGAAGTACCGACGCGCTTCGAATTTGTCACGTCTCCCACTGTGGACCCCACGCTCCCTCGCGGTTCTGCCAGAAATAAATCGCACTTGGCAACCACGTCTTCGCACCGACGGCCGCGATATCATAGGGAGTTGTGCAGCGCGTGGGGGCATCAATGCAACATCGGCTCGACCCCCCGAGCTTCGCGAAGGCCACCGCACGGACCACACACACAGACACAGCTCCAACTCCTTCTATGTAGTTCCAAATTCACCATTTCTGTACACTTTTGTATCGGATAGGAGCGGCAGGGCGAGCGAGCCAAAAGGGCCCCGCGGGACTACAGTACTACGCGAATTACTAGATCCAAAAAAAATGGCGATGGCAATAGGTCGAAAGCGAAAAAGCAAGCGTAGTGCGTACGTAGTCCGTGTGGTATGCGTGCGTGTAGAGACCGGCGGCGATGGCAAGATTGTGTGCGGGAATACGACTGCGGGGCGCGAATAAGTAATGTACAGCGCGGTGAGCTCGGGGGCGCGCGCAACGGCGCACCTCTCGGCTCAAGCTGGGACGAAACGAAGCGGCGAAACGACGAGGAGGAGAAACCGAAAAAAACAAAAAGGAACGCGTTACCGCCCCCGGTGTGTCCGTACCGCCGCAGCCGGCATGTGCATCACGCGCTCCCTCGCACCCCCCGCATCCTCGCCCGACAGCCTCCGCTTCCCGGTCCTTGCCCCCGCCCCCGTCGACATCGACGCCGGTAATAGCGGCGGCGGCGGCGGCGGCGGCGGAGGGGCAGCAGCCAGCTCCGCCTCGGTGACGTCCTCCCCGAGCAGCATCGCGTCCGCAGTCTCGAGGAACCACATATTCTTCTTGATAAAATGCACGACGACCGTCCCGCCCACGCGCGCACCGCCGTACCGCGTCCGCCGGCCTTCACGATCCTTCCACGCATGCAACGGCGTGCGCGCGCCGCCTGCAACGTTCGCCGTCAGCATCATCTCGCCGGGACCCCAGGAGGAGGAGACCGACGCACCCTCATGCAGCAGCGACATCTCGCTTCCCTCCACGAGCGCCTCCACGCTCTGCGCGAGCGCGAGGTCCGGCACCGGCGGCGCGTACCGCGCGCGGAACTTGGACACGCTCGAGTACGCCCACGTCGACGGCGGGAGCCCGTTCGCGCCGAACGGCGAGGGCACGTACGCGCTCGGTGCGCCGAGCTGCGACGTCAAGATCTGCGGCCCTTGCTGCGTGTTCGGGTCCGCCGCCGCAGCTGCCGCGGCGCGCGACGACGCGGCGCGCCAGTACGCGATGTCGTCGAGCACGACGCGCTGCACGCGCGCGACCTCGGAGGGGAAGAGGAACCCATGCGAGTACCTGTGGGGGCGCGCGCATCAGCGTGCGACGGCGAGGAAAAGAAAGAACGCGCGGGCACTCACACGGTCCCCGCCCGCGGGTGGTCGTATATCCAGCAGCGCTCGCTCGCCCAGCGCACCTCGTCCGCGCGCGGGTGGAGGCGCATCCACTTGGCCGTCTGCTTGTCCTCCGCGCCGCGCGTGAGCCCGCGCACCTGCGGGTCCGTCGCGACCCAGCGCGCGAGGCTGAAGCTGAGCGCGTACAGCTCGCCCGCCATGAACCGGTTCTTGACGAGGTACCCCCAGAAGACGAGCGGGTCCGCGGCGGGGTCCGCGCCCGCGTCCCCGTACACGGGCGCAGAGCCGTTGGTGGACGGCGAGATGGCGGCGGCGAGCGAGGCGGCGACGGGGTCTGGCGACGCGTGCGCGTCGCCCGCGGCGGGCTGCCCTGGCCGGCGATGCAGCTCCACGCGGAGGCGGGCCTCGAGCTCAGCGAGCATGACGAAGGAGTCGTCGTCGACCTTGACGACGTAGTCCGGGCGGACCCACGGACGCTGCTGGCCGGTGAGATAGTCGCGGTGGACGTGAAGCGAGTCGTGGTCGGCGGGAACGGGCGCGAGGGTGGTGGCGTTGGTGTAGGAGACCGGCGGGGGGTAGGACGGGAAGGCGGCGTAGAGCGGGGGCACCCAGGCGGAGGAGGCAGCCCAGGTGAAGTAGGCATAGCTCTTGCCCGAGTTCATGTTTTCCTGCACGGGGAGGATCACCATGTCGTTGTACACTGGCAAAAGCTCGGGATCAGTAGTGCCCAGGGAGTGCGACGGGGTACGTACTCTCCATCTCGAGCCTGATGCGGCGCTCCCACTCCTTGCACGGCTGGCCGAGGATGAAGCGCACGACGGTGCGGGAGGTGCCGAGACCGGCGTCGGCGTCGTTGGCGCCCTCGCGACTGCGTGGGTGGCTGGCCCATGTGGATCGGATGAGCATCCGACGCTCGACCGCATTATCGACCGAAAAAACGCCGACGAACACACCCGCAGGAGAGAGGTCGTCGAGGTCTGGGGGCGGGAAGGACAAAGGCGTAAAGTCCTCGGCAGGTGCGTACGGAAAGGACGCAGAGGGCGGGAGGTCGTCTGGAGGACGTGCGGAGGTGCCGCGGGGGATGGTGCAGTAGCCGCGCCAGGGGAGAGGTTCTTTGTCGGGATTAAGGATATAAATGACGAGGAAGGTGACAGAAACGGCGAGGAGGGTCAAGAATGTAAGGGTGAGGAGCTGGGACGGGTCAGCGCGGTACGGAGTGGGAAAAAAGGAGTGGGACGTACTATGGTGACGGGAGTCTTGGGAAAGTAGGGATGGCGGACGAGTAAGCGAATAGCGCGCTTGAAGGCGCGAAAGCCGGTGATGGCCTCGCGACGGCGATGGCGACGGACAGCGTCGATGATGGACCAGCGGCGGCGTTCCTCTCTGCGAGTGCGGCGACGGAGGGGAGCAACATCGCTGAGGTAGGACGGCTCTGGGTCGCTGTCGCTTTCTGAGCTGCAGGAGGAGACCCCGGAGGAGTACGGGAGGGTGGGCGAGACATACGGGGGGAGCGGAGAGGAGGGGCGGGAGGGGACGGGGGTGTTTGATACGGAGGAGTACGGAGAGTAGGGGAGGCGGGTGTAGGGCCCGTGGTAGGAGGCAGGATAGAGGAGCGAGTGGTCGGAGAGTCTGTCTGCAGCGTGGGCGGAGAGGTCTGGGGACGGGGGGAAGTTGGGATCGGACGGGGCAGGCGGGGTGGCGGGGTAGTGGTCCTCGAGGAGCAGCTCCGAGTCGGACTGGTCGTGTGGATCAGCGTAGGGTGGGACGGGGGAGAGACGGATCTGAGGGTGGTCCACGGGGAGCGAGAAGGGCATGGCCAGAGCAAGGAGCGTGCGGGCAGCGGGAGGAAGGGTATCGGAGCAGGCTGGGGGCCCGACGCGCAGGATGCTCTCCAGCAGCAGTATTCTTCAGGCTGAGACTACGCGGAGCAGAGAGTGGAGAGAGACTGGCAAGCCAGCAATATTAAAGAAGCATAAACAGTCGCTGCAGGCGCTGGCGTCAACTTGGCGCATGCGCAGCTGGTGCCCCGGCCATATATAGCACTGCCCCGACCTCTCGCCTGCCTCCCATTACTCTTCCTTTCCCAGTCCTCGCGACGTGCCCCTGGAATGGCGATACTTTATTTCTCGTTCCTCGACTACGACCTTAGGTTCACACCTTGTGACCTGTGACATACCAATTTGCGTGCCCTGGGGCGATGCTTTATCTCAACTACAAGTACACTGGGCAGCGCTCCTTCCTCATCAACCGCATCATCTCCCTTATCCACGCTCCCTCGGTCTGTCCATCAGTGCAGCCCCTCCCCGTACACCTTCTTGAAACTCCCCCGCTCTCGCACCGCGTCCCAGAACGCCGCCATCCGGCTCTGCTCCTCCGTGCTCTCCGTCTCCGAAACAACCACCCCTGCTCGCCGACGCGCCTCCGAAACCAAAAAGTCCACCGGGAGCTTGAACCCCCCTCCCACGTGTTCTTCCACCTTGCGGACTATCGTGTTCCCGTCTTCAGACACTGTCCCTCCGCTAAGCGCCGCCAGACGCGCTAACCACGCTGCCAGGTGCAGGTCCGCGATCGACAGCTGGTCCCCTTGCCGCGAACAACGCCCACGTCAGTCCGATAGAACTTGCTGACGCCACACAGACTTACCGAGTACGTACGGCCCAATCATCTCCTGCGTCAACAGCGCGAACACCTCCTTCAGTCCTCTCCAGGCCGCCTTTGCCGACTCAAAGAACTCTTTCCGACGCGCCTTCCCCGCCTCATCCAGTGCGCTCGTCTCCTTCTCCGCATCCGCGTACACCTGCAACGTCTTCTCCGTCGCGGTCTTCCGCACCTCCCAGAAGTGCCGCGTCTTCTCCGACACCCGGATCTTCGCCTGCTCGTTGTCCTCGAGCAGCCGCTCCAGCGCGTCCCGCCGCGCCGCCAGCAGCGGCAGCCGCGCCCGCGCGAGAACCTTGAGCGCGCCCTCGTCCCGCGCGTTCATGTACGTCAGCGCCCCCGGGTCCGCCGCCTCCGAGTGCAGCAGGTCCACGATCTTGTTCGACGCCGCGCTGAACGCGATCGTCGCGGGGCTCAGCGCGGGCGACGGCGCAGACGACGTCGTGTGCGTGCGCGACTGCGTCGAACGCGACTTGTCCAGGAACTCGACGATCGCCTGCGTGACGTAAGGTCGTATTTTTATGCGCACGGAGCGCGGGGCCGTATATACGCCGTGTGTAGCACGCACCTTGGTGTCCTGTATCGCCTTGTAGCGGCTCTCGATCTCTGGGGAGAGCGTCTTCTGGAGGGGCACGACGAGCGTCGGGACCGTCGCTGTGCAATAAATCAATTTTTTTTAAAATTTCACGTGGTGTGGACAGGCGGTGCGCGCACCCTTCGGGTTGATGCGCAGGTACGAGGGCGCAAAGTTCTCGCCCTTGCCTGGCGGCGGGTAAGATCGATGAGCGGTCGCCGCAGGGCCATGGGGGCTACGCACCGAGATCGACCGCCTTGAGGTCGACTTCGTCCGCGCCGTATCCCTTTTCCTCCCTGTGCGCCCCGCTGAGCGTGAGCTGCGGCGCGATCGCTGGACACTCACAATGCAAGGAGAGCTGCAGGGCGCGCAGCAGGTCAGCACAGACTCGGTATCGCTCTGAGCCCCGCGCGCACGCACCGACGGAACACCAGATCGACGACGGGTAGTAGTAGAGCGCGGCCTTGGGCACCGGGGGGTGCGCGGCGTCGGACATGTCTAAGAATCTAAGCAAGGAACAAGTTTGCTGGCAGGAATCTATATATGGTGCGAGTGGGGGTGGAGGAAGGGCGGGGAAAGAGACGCCCGTGGACTTTGTCCAGCGCGTCGCAACGCGCGATGACGTCGGCAGGGCGGGGCGAGGCACGCGACCGCCCAGTCGCGGTCGCGTCACCAACAGTCACAGTCACCTTCATTTACAGTCACGCACACCCTCCCGCTCGCCCACGTGCCCCTCTAGAAATCAGTGGAATCTTCGGCGCGTGCACCCCCTTGATCGACCCCAGTGGTGGCTCCCTCGCTCTTCCCATCTTGAAACTTCCAGCCACGGCCTCGACGCCGGAATAGCATCCAACTAGCAAAAAGTCATCGGAATGGCATCCCTAAGGTAGAGCGTGTCCCCCGAGTGCGCGCTGCATACTCCGGCTGACGTCGCCACACCGCGCACAGACACGAATTCTACGAGACCGACGAGCGGCTCACGCTCGAGGTCTTCGACAAAGGAGCCGACCCCGCCGCCGTCTCCGTCACCTTCCAGCCCCGCAGCGTGCGTCTCTCCCCCCCTTCTCGTCTCCCTACTTCCTCCCTCTGGCGCTGATCGCGGCTGTGGCGCACAGCTCGCGTACACGCACGGCGAGAAGACGCTCGTGCTCGAGCCCCTCAAGGGCCAGATCGACCCGGAGAAAAGCACGTACACCGTCGGGAAGTTCAAGGTCGAGATCCGCCTCGCGAAGATGGCGCAGGGCCGCTGGGGCGCGCTCGTCGGGGACAGCCCAGATCGTGAGCCACCGTTCGCCGCGCACACCCGCTCACCTTTTACTCACCTCAACCCCTCGCGTGTAGCACTGACCACAATACCGGCCGCGAGCGCGCCCGCGCCGACGCCGCGCCAGCCGCAGAAGAACTGGGAGGGGATTACGGCGGCGATCCTGGACGAGGACAAGGACGGGGGCCCGTCGGAGGACCCGAACGCGGGCGGGGACACGGCGGTGAACGGCTTCTTCCAGAAGCTGTACGCGGACGCGGACGAGGACACGCGCCGGGCGATGCTCAAGAGCTACCAGGAGAGCGGCGGGACGACGCTCAGCACGAACTGGGACGAGGTCGGCAAGGCCCCCGTCGAGGTGAAGCCGCCCGAGGGGAGCGAGTGGAAGAAGTGGGCCGCGTAGGTGCTGAGTGGGTGGTGTATAGGCGGGGTTCTTTTGGCGTATTTTCTTGTCGGTGTGCTCGGGTAGTCCGAACGTGCATGTGTATTCTGTCAAGTGCTTACTGCTTTGTCGTTGCTCTGTGATCGCTGATGCGTGTGCTACGAGATAGCACTCAGGCTGTCCAATGGTCGCGGAAACGAAAGCGCTGCGCGTCTTCGGCCCCGCGTATGGTGTCATTATGGCAACGGCCTGTGTTCACGTACACTGGCGCGCTCTGCTGGCAGTGCACGCTTCGCGCCTTGTGTCCATCATTGTCACGGTGGCGGCTATGGCGGCGCTGTGCTGCGTCGGCCTCGGCGAGAACAGCTCTATGCATCTGTGATACAAAGACGATTGTTCCTGTGGACGAACACAGCCAGCTGTCCGTAGCTCTTGGTACAGATCCAGTCGACCGGATGTTCGCTATTCGTACTTACAGAAAAAGAATCCACTTAAGCTGACCCGAGTTCGAACTTGAATGGTTGCTAAATTGGGCGATCGGGACCCCCACGTCCTCGTCGCAGTCACGGTCACGGTTGCGTCGTAGACTAACCCATTTAAGTAGAACTGTAGAAGAGCCCGAGATTCTTCGCATCAGGCGTTGCAATTCCGATTCGAGTCCACGTACATATTTTCCGGCGCTCACCATATCTGCCAGACGTTCGCCCTGGGATCCGACGTTCGCTTTATCCAAAAGCTGACTCGGACGCAACAGACGTGGTGCGCTCGTGCAATCATCAGGCTTCTTGCTCACAGAGTCTAAATCAGAGAGGTAGGTTGAAAAGTATTACTCGCCTTTTATGCTAAACACTACTTCCTAGGCAGATCAGATGCAATGTATTAACTTCTCTCCGTTTGAATTCGCGCCATCAGAACGCTGTTGAGGCGACCACCTGCAAATCCAGCACTCACACTTGGAATACGCAGTCGGAGGTACTTACCTTGTCATAAAGTTTGCCGTTGCCGAGTATTGCGAATGGAGAGTTTTGCTGCGATGTTGCCGCTGCGTATCCGTGTGTTTCGCATGTATGGGTTGCGGAGGCCGGTGTCCTCCGCGAATGTCTGCAGTAAAGGGAGCGCTATCCCTGTGGGTTAACGATGAGTTCATGGTGTGCGTTGTTTTATTTCTGGTTTGGGCGTCAGATCGCTTGCGTGCAGCCAGGCCCGTGCGTCTATGTGACTCGTCATTTTTTTTCTGTATTCAAGGGTATTTACGGTATGGGAGTAAACGACGGTCAGTAAGTTCCCTTCTCGCTGCTAGCAGCAGTGCTCGCTAATGAATGACATCTAAGCGTAGCTGAAATCATTTATTTGAATGCATGACGTTGGATCTAACTAGCATCACTTCAATTCTTTACCCTGCACCTGCTTGGGAATAATTCACTGCGGAAGTAAAGCCCGCAAATGCAGGTCACAGAGCATTGTCGACTAGGGGTGGCCGACTTGTAGCTTCATCTCCCGACTTACGATCATCATCGTCCACTGACCCTCCCTTGCCAGCGATACTTAGCTAGAATCAGCAGAGTCGCCCGCGATGGTGAGTGAAAATAACATTGTTCGCTGACCTTTGATGCCAAGCTCAGCTGTCTCCTCTGGCTCGTAGGAAATTACACGATCTTGTACTGCGCGCGTCCCGCCGAGACTATGCGAGTTGCACATCGTCCCTCCATGGATGAAAGTGAACCCGGAGTAGCTGCCTGCGGCTTACCTGTGCGGCCTCGAAAGGAAGGACTTTCCTGACGCGGCGAGTGCTTTCCTGGCGCGGTGAGTATTGTTCTACTCCCTACATCTGACGTACTTCTTAAGCGCGCTGGCTATTTCTTGAGCGCGTTAGCATCTTTGACCTGAGCGTTAATGCAGTTGTTCGACCCTGTGAATTCTTGCATCCTACCGAATCGTCCACGAAGCCATGACGTTAATTTGGTCAAATCGAAAAGTTGGCTGGAAGGTCCCAACATCCAACGAGGTCCTCACAAAATCATTTGACAGGAATCGCTTATCCTCTTCCATTTCCTGACCAAAGTGAATGGCTACCGAGCCGTAGAAGTGAACGCAATGCGACTCCAAGCACGTTTGATGGTCACCCTACTCTATGGGCACGTCTCTGGAAGTAGTCAAGCGAACCCTGAAGTGCAGCTGCAAGCCAAGACGCGACGACCACGATTTTATTCGCTTATGACGAAGCGGTGTATCAATTCATAGATTCCGATCAGCAGCTGGCCGCGTATGTTTGAGCACGCTCACTAACAACGCTTCATGTCCTTTTTTTTGGCAACGACAAGTTGTACGCAGTCCTAATATATCTATGTTGTATTTTCCTCAACTCACATGCTTGCTCATGAGCCTTGCATTCGACATGTGCATGCTCTAGCGCCCGATAATCAGACCCCGATCTCACTAGAGGCCAGTTAGCGCGCACTGATACCGCAGTCCGTCAAAGTCATAGCCATGGTCCGCAGCGGGATGGCTCTATCTGGGAGCGTACAGCGTGCCTGCTGTATCCCCACGCACACGGCTGGCTAAGTATAAAGGCGTATTTGCCAAGCAAGTGAAGTGAAGGCACGAGCGGGACCATCTGCACTCACTGACAGACTTCTACGAGTCAACATGTACGCTAATCGTGAGTATTGACATTCAGTCCAATATATCAAACTCGAACATTTTTGACCCGGTATAACAGACACATCTGACCCCGCTACCAAAGAATTCCCATATTACCACTATTTGCCCACCAGGAGTGTTTGCATCCTTTTTGTAGTCTTATACTCTATTTCTACTGGTATGTGTATCTCACCCGTCGGACTGACCGTGGGGACTGACTTATGTTGCTACAGTTTGTCATCTCGTCCAAGCCTTCGTTCCCCGCCGCGTAGGATGGTGGGTGTTTCCCACCATTTGCTTGGGCGGAGCTGGCGAAATTCTCGGCTGGAGTGGTCGGCTGTGGTCAAATCTTAACATACAAAAGCAGACACCTTTTTTCATCCAGTAAGTTGGCTTAGACTGTGGATTGTCCTTCGATTGAGTGGCTGGTTTTCGTCATTCAGAATTGTCATGACTATCATAGCTCCGACACCAGTCGTAGCTGGTATCTTCATCATCTTCGGAATGATCACAGAGCGACTGGGAGCGAGCTACAGCCGTCTTGCTCCGAAAAATTGTGAGTGTAAGTTTCCGACCGATAGACTTAAAACTAATATATGCCGATAGATTCGAGGATATTCTTGTCATGCGTGAGCCATACTCTTGTATTACTCTGGCTATGTCACGAGTAAGACAATTGCCCACATAGGACATCATATCTCTGGTTGTCCAAGCAGCAGGCGGTGCTTTGGCGACCTCAAACACTACATCAACATCAGAAATGGTGAGGATCTCGATTATCTTGCAGTTCGATCGCCCATTTTTCAACATTGCAGGGTGGACATATCATGCTAGCCGGGATCGCTTTTCAACTGGGTGGGGATCATTGCCCTGTCAATTCATGTCAATTCACTGAAGTTTTCCTCTAGCTGTCATCACGGTGTTTGTTCTTTGTGTGGCCGAATATCTCTTCCGCTTCCTTCACGGTCTCCCCGTGCGCACGTCTGGGGTGAGCCAGCCCATGAAACCTTCTGCTTTTTGGGACATGAGGATGAAACTCATGGTTGGTGGTATGTTGTTCAGCACAACTTTTCTTTATATCCGGTGTGTATACCTCCTCCTGCGTTCATCCACCGGCACGTTTACTGAGAGCTCCTACTAACAGAGCAATCTACCGGACAATCGAGCTGAGCTCTGGCTATGGAGGCCCTATCCAAACGAACCAGCTGTATTTTGGTACGTCCTAGTGACACTGGATGGGTGAATGATACTCAATGGGGCATGCCATTTTTCACAGACATTCTCGACGGCGCGATGGTCACGCTGTCGTTGTACACGCTCAACTTCTTCCATCCGGGTGTTCTCTTGCGTCTCGGAGAGGTCGATTCGACCATCGCACTTGGTAACATGGAGCAATTTTCGTGAAGCAGCCATCTTCCTCTACCGATTTTCCCATGCTACGAAACCAGATCATTGGAGCTTCGCTTTTATTATCGGACATTGATCTAGCTGTGTTTGGACATAATTGTATCATACATATATATATCCTTGGACATTGGCCAACTGTTCTCGTGGAAGATTTTCAACTACATCCTTGGTGTGACGGATTAAACCTCGCACTACAGTTCAGCTTTCCTTTGAGTGCAGCGTCTGACCTCCCCAACTCGTGATAATGAAAAATACTACCAAAGGGCAGTAACGAACAACGTAGAGAAGAAACATGTCAAACAATTTCCAGGCATATCAAAGTTTCGAAGCTGAAGCGCTGACTTGGAAGCTTGAAGAATGATGGTGGAGTGAACTCAGTGTTCAGGTCGTACATGTGAGCGCACTTGGCATGTCGATATTTATAAGCACAAGAATCGACTTCATCGAAAAAACCATGCTTTTACCCGTAAATGAGGTTCACTTGAGCGATGGGTGGATGATCTTGAACAGTTTCCAAAATGGGAAGGAGACTGCAAAGTCCGTCGGCAATCACCGAGCTGTACAGTTTTGTAACCTGTGGCTTCCCAGTCCGCCTAGACTGGCGAAATTCGGTAACAGATCCCGTACTCAACCTCACCGCCCCCAAGACCAACATGGCTGACCAAGTGAGTATTCCTAGTGTCCTTTGTAAATTTGATGTCGTCAAGCGTGTTGCGTTTAGATCGAGAAGGCCTACCAGAAGCAACACCTCTTCCAAAACGCGAAGGCTCGCGGTGCGTACACATGCTGATGGTGCATCGAGCGTGTAAAGAACCAAATATCATCTATTCAGGCGGAAAGAAGGTCTCTGCGAAGGAGAAACGGTGGTACAAGGATGTTGGTCTGGGATTCAAGACACCTGCTGAGGCGATCACTGGGACATACATCGGTGCGTCATATGCTCACTTTCCACTGCGGACTCTTCTCATGTAGGCAGGGTTGCGCGTCACTCAGACAAGAAGTGCCCATTCACCGGTGACGTTTCTATCCGTGGCCGTATCCTGACCGGCCGCGTCGTATCGACGAAGATGACCCGCACGATTATCATCCGACGGGACTATCTCCATTATATCGCGAAATACAGTGCGTGTTGGTGCTATCCGTCATCCTAATAAACTCATGCGATAAAATGAAGACCGTTACGAGAAGCGTCACAAGAACCTTGCAGCGCATATTTCTCCAGCTTTCCGCGCTGATCCTGGTGACGTTGTGACCGTTGGTGAGCTCCTTGATTTCTATCCCAGTTGACGCGGTTATCGGCTCAATTATCCTTACACAGGCCAATGCCGGCCGCTATCAAAAACCGTACGATTCAACGTTCTCAGGGTATCGAAGAGCAAGGCGGCGGTGAAGGCATTCGGCAAGTTCTAGGCTGTCGATGGCGGTTGAGGGTTGGGCCGTAGGATATGATTTTATTGTTTTCTCATGTGCTATGAATGCATCAAAATGACTTCGCTATGCAACAAACAGCATGTATCTGTCGAGCACTATTGTGAGAGCAAGTTGTATTTGTCAGATGAGAATAGTGTGAGATGAAGTTCAGGGGAGATATGTATCCTTGGCGAAGCGGAGCGGCGCGGCAAACAGCATACAAACAAGAAGCGTGCGCTTTGAGACCTTCCCCTTGGCCAGACTGTAACTCTACTACTTCCGGGATTGCGACGACGAGTACGGCCTTTCCATCTCATCTCCTCGTTCCCAATCCTCGCCCACGCACAGGCCGTCAAGCTGGCGCCCACACTCCTCTCGGTATTCACTTCCAGGCTCGGAAGGCCAAGATCTCAGTCTCCTCAGCGGGGTTCGCCATCACAGCCTCCTCAGGCCCTTCCCATGGGCCAGCAGCAGTCGAAAAAGAGCAGGAAGAGTGGGAAGGACAAAGACAAAGAGCCTGGCGATTCAACCGTTCTTGATGCTGCTGACATCAACGACAACACCCCCCAAAGCACTTTATCCCGTGCAACGCCCCCGAACGCCGCCCCTTCGAGCAGTATACCGAATGGTTCAAATTCCAACTATGCAGATCAGGCTACGAATGGTTCCCTACCTGATGGCGTGGTGACAGGACAGAGCGAAAGTGGTTCACGACCTCCGGGCGACAGCACCAACGACATCTCTTCCACCGTTTCAGCCAATTCGTCATCACCATCCACATCTCCCCCAAATGTCGTGAAGCCCCCGCCTCTAGACATCCCTATTACGCAGACAATTCTCTCCAACGCTAACGCCGTCCCTTATCCCACACCAGGCTCCACAAACAGCTTTACACCCGGTGATCCTGCCGGACTGGCTGCCGGGGCCAATAGCAAGGACAGACTCAAACAATTGGACATCGACGACATGATTCAACGATTACTTGACGTTGGTTACACCGGCAAAGTCAGCAAGTCCCTGTGTCTTAAGAACACAGAGATTGTAGCGATCTGCCAGGCGGCGCGGGATGTGTTCTTGAACCAGCCGACGCTCATTGAACTGTCTCCACCTGTCAAGATAGTTGGCGACGTTCACGGGCAATACTCCGACCTCATTCGACTGTTTGAGATGTGCGGATTCCCCCCATCCGCCAACTACCTCTTTCTGGGAGATTATGTGGACAGAGGGAAGCAGAGTTTGGAAACAATTCTGCTCCTCTTATGCTACAAGATCAAGTATCCAGAGAATTTCTTTCTCCTCCGAGGCAATCACGAATGCGCCAACGTTACGCGAGGTATGCAATCGTAATTGCTTGCTACATGTGTACTTACAGTCCGTTAGTTTATGGTTTCTATGATGAATGCAAACGGAGGTGTAATATCAAGACTTGGAAGACGTTCATCGACGTCTTCAACTGCTTACCCATTTCTGCCATCGTCGCATCCAAGATTTTCTGCGTACACGGAGGGCTATCCCCGTCGCTGCAGTCCATGGATGATATCAAGCGTATACAACGGCCCACAGATGTACCTGACTACGGCCTGCTGAACGATCTACTATGGTCGGATCCCTCCGACACGGCTGCGGATTGGGAGGACAACGAACGAGGCGTCAGTTATTGCTTTGGCAAGTCGGTCATCAACGAGTTCCTGGCTCGATACGACATGGACCTGATATGTCGCGCACACATGGTCGTCGAGGATGGGTACGAGTTCTGGAATGATAGAACATTGGTCACAGTATTCAGCGCACCGAATTATTGTGGAGGTTAGTGTATGCCATTACGAGCACGCCAAAAAGTACTCATGAAATGTGCAGAGTTCGATAACTACGGGGCCTGCATGAGGTTTGGTTTCTCTCCTTGTTGATGTTCCGTGGCGCTCATATTTTGCACACAGCGTCTCGGAGGAGCTACTATGTGCGTTTGAGCTGCTCAAGCCTCTGGATGGGCCTGCTCTACGGAAAGAGATGACCAAGGCGAAGCGGAAAATGTGCGTCTGAATGTCTGCATGATTTTTCGGTTCTGACACTATCTGTCTATAGCATGATGGCGACGACGTAAATCACGTTTGTGCTCGGGAGTGCAAGTTATACGATTATAATTGAGCGTTACTCTTTGGATACGGCATGCATGCCGTCTGGTACAATTTAGATCCCTGTTGCGGGATCGTGTGCATGGACAGCATTGCAGGACCCGTATGACCCCTGTCATTCGATTCGCCGGCCCACGGGAGGGCTGCACGTCGTCGCTATCTACCCGATTAACTTAATCTATCTTTTCGATGTTTCTGTCGCCTGGCGTTACCGTTCCCTGGATTCCGGACTTACTGTGTCTCTGTATACTCGTTCACGCATATATCAAGTCTCTTCTATCTCCTGGTCATCACCGCACTGCTCACTCATGTCTGGTTACTACGTAGTTGAATTCTCATTACATCTCAGCCTCGTTCACCATTTGCTCTGTTCAATACATACAGTACGCCTGCCAATGTGGGCACTTGTCCATGGCTCAACTTTGCTCGTATTAAAACCTCCTTGTTGACACCGTTGTGAGATGCCCATTAAATGTTGTAGCAGAACGCCCAATCGTCAACGTTAGGTATGGAATCCATCAATGATGTCAGAGCTTGTATAAGACATGAGAACCTATTTGCTACCTCTCTTTAGTCATGTCGTATGCAAGCACGCCGAAGGCGGTCACGATGGACGCGGAACCCAACAGACTCCATGCGGTGATAGTCTTCACCGCACCCCCGAAGATAATGTCGGAGAGGAACACAAGGACAATGGTGAGCAGGTTTCCTACGGAAGTGACGATCGGGCCCCAGACGCCGAGAAGGATCTGCGAAATGCGGGAAATCAGTCACAGACGTCATGACAGATGCAGTAAACTTACCATGAATCCGCCGTTAAATATCACACCGCTCAACGCAATGCCTGCGATGACGAGAATCGTTAGGCTGCTCGTGGGCAACTCGAACGTCGAGATCCCGAGGTAGTGAAGGATCGGCATAGGGATCCACAGAACTAAGAAGGTGGCTATGCCAATGGAAGACGTCAACAGATTAGGGAACAAGCCAAAGGGCGGTGGGTACACCATATCCACTTCAGCGAGCGGAGCCTCGCCGGAAGGCTCGTCATCATCGCTCGCAATGTCATCGTACGGGTGAATCTGCGAGTACATGTTGTCTGCCTGCACCTCTGGGTCGAACGGGAGGGTGGCATATATCTTGTACAGCACTTGGTACGCCGCATAGAGTATTGAACCCATGAGGGTCAACAAGTCTCCGACAAGTGGTGCGCTGGGTCCCTTGTCTGCCGCACGCGACTCAAATTGAACTCCCGATCCACTTATCTCTGGGCTTGTTTTAGACGGCTCGGAAGAGGTTGTTCCCCCATAAACGACGGCAAGCGCTCCCAATGTGGCCAGCACAACGGCTGCCAGACGTAAAGCGTCCCACTTCAGACCGAAAAGCTTGACCGACAGGAGGTACGCAAAAAATGCGTTCGCGTTCCACAAAGCGGTGACATCCGTGACTCTGAGCAAACAACATCGGGTAACTGTATGCGGGTATAAAAGGCTTGACTTACGGTGCTAGTGACACAGCAGAAAACCAGAGCAAGCTAGGGACAGTCATGCCGGCGGTAAGGAATGACAGAAGGCGCCAAAACCTCCACGTGGGAAAGGTAGAGGAGAGAGCTGGACGCGGTGTGGAAACATCGTTCGAGGGGAGAGACAGGTGCTCCTTCAGTGCGAACATGAGGCCTGCCCAGAGTGCCCGAGGAGACTCTTTGGCAAAGAGCGCCAAATACACGAAATGCATCGGAAGCATCAGCATGAAGGCGGAATGCACGACATAGCTGCATATCGGTCAGCACAGCGACTTTTGAGATATGAGATTTCCAGGCTCACAAGATGAAGAAAGGTCGTCGGAAGCCTAGATTAGATTGAACATACTGTTGTCCTAGATCAGAATTCACACCTAGACGGTATGAGACGTATAACATACCTGTGTAAGCTGCGTTTCGACCACGAAGGCGACAAGACAGAGTGCGAATAGGCCAACGGCCGACTTCCCGCCTAAATGCACGGTGAATGCAACATGTCGAGGGGTCATCTAGTGGTAATTACTCCAAAAGTATTAGCGTGCGTGGGACTGAAAGCTCATGAGAGTGAGTGAGTAGAAAATGCAGCACAGCGCCCCCGTGTAACAGGCGGGGACGTTGAGCGGCGCCGTGCTTGTCCGGACATGTTGCTGCGATCGAGAGGCAGAGCCACGTGATAGATCTTGTGTCATTGAATGCGATGATCTCATCCGTTTCACCGTTTCAATGGCTTTCAATGGGCACCAGAGATTAGTATCCGTCCACTACCAGCAACACCCGTTATCAGCATCTTATCGATATCAGTATCAATATTCGTCCACCACTACCAAAATCCTTGGTGACTCCAGGCCCGCCGCAGGCAAGGAAAGTCCTTGCCCTGGATCTTCACCGAGCCACGTGGTTTGTGACGTGTGCGAAAAGTAGCGCCCGAATTTTCAGATTCTACGTCCGCCTCACTCGCTATGCTCCGCGCACTCCTCACGTCCAGCAGGCCGCTATTGGCGCGCATTCGCGCACCCTGTCTGCAGCACGCACATCCCCATGCACACCGTTTCGCACTCCCCACCACACAAACGACTGCGTCCATGGCCAGGGGGATGAAGGTTCGATCGTCGGTGAAGCGGATGTGTGATGGCTGCAGTGTCGTTCGTAGGAAGGGGAGAGTTTATATCATCTGCTCCAGGAATCCCAAGCACAAGCAGGTACATCCACTCTTTTGTGAACGAAACGTACTGTCCTGAGACCCACTGCAGCGACAGGGCTGAATCATCGACCAGAGGTCATCTATCGCTGTACGACTGTACGGCGTAATAGAGTCGAGGTCTTCTACCACAGTTATCACGACACTGTACACTACGCGTCACTCGCAGAGCTCCCGTCGTACATTAATTAGGCAGTTCGGAGAAGTCTCACCTAACCCACATCTGAAATTCGTATTCTACGCCGGCTTCTACTTGTGATCCTGCTGGTACATCGAATCCCGCCCAGCTCTGCAATTCCTCATGTGAAGCCCTCCTCCATGGCAATGAGTCATCCGAAGAGACACCAACCGACTGAAAGTCTGGCATATGTACGTCGCACTGCTCGAATGCCGGCGAGACTATGCGTGTGAGGAGAATGCGGTCGACGAATGATTCTGACGAGGGTGAGAGTGACAGGGTCTCGCGGTACAGTGCAGCACCGCCAATAACAAACGAACGATGGACCGGTGTCTCCAGCCATTCGGGATGCGACAGTCTGGCGAGTGCAGATTGCAGATTTGAGTGAAGGTAGACGGGCACTGGCGGTGTTGCGGCGTCCGACGGCATCCTATCGACCAGTTAACTCTAATGAGCGACGAGCTGAACTCCACATACAGCTCGTAGTGTTTGTTGCTACTCAGCACCACGTTGATCCGCTTCGGAAGGGGTCTGAATTTTGGAGGGATGCTCTCCCATGTGTTCCTGCCCATGAGGACTGTGTTCATGGCGCCCTCCGGAGCATTGGAGGTGATGCGCGCAAAGTAAGCCATTTCCTTGGAAAGCCGCCATGGCAGTCGTGAATTGTGCCCGATCCCATTTGTGAGAGTTGCAGCGACGATGATGGTAAGGCGGGTCATGGTACGCGACTGTGACTTTGGGTGCGGTGACAAGTGACGGACTTTGATAGGCGACCTTGAACGTTTTTGCAACGAGCTGTGATGACAACTTGCCTCGTTCAACTCACCTTCGAGAGTGTATGGTGAAGTGAGTGTCTCAGCGAAAGCCAAGACTGAACTGAGGGGAATCGCGTCGAGTAACTGCATGTTTGTCACGGTCACGATACGCGTCCAGGCGAACCGCATACCGCGTCTGAGGCCACTAACTCTTCGCTTCTTCTCCTCAGGGATGGGCCGTCAGCAAACCCTCGGTACGGAATTTAGACTCTATCCTCTATGTCTTTGACATTCTCCCGGAAACAGGAAAGTTCTTCCCCATGCCCGCTGGTACGAAACACCCTCCGCCCCAGCAATCCAAGCTTGAGGAGATGTGGGGGACCAAGAGGAAGCGGCACACGAAAAGTGAACCCAAAGATGAGCCCGCTGAGGACATGGACGAGCTCATGCCAGGTATGGGGATTCAAAGTGGACCCTTGATGTGTTTCTCACGAGTAATGAAGAAGAGGAGTGCAGCGTTGCACAGCCACCTCCACAACCCGTTGACTGTGAGTGCGATTCATGTCCATCATCTCAGATGGCCTGAGTTACTCTACAACAGTAAAGTCGGATAAGCTTCGCAAGGTCAAAAGGCGCAAAATCGTGACCTCGGACGATGAAGACGCCAGTCCAGGTGAGCTCTCTGCATTTTCTTCACACATGGTCCTTACGAACGCGCCATAACTAGCTGAGGAGCAGAATGCTCCAGATTCTGCGTCTAAAACATCACAACCATTCTCCAACAAAGCCTCATCTTCAAAGACTGTTGAGAAGCCCTCTGCAAAAGTGGGCGCTGCTGCCAAGAAGTCTCACTTCGAACAGCAATATCCTCGGTCGCCTGATGAAGATGAGGACAAAAGTGAAGAGGAGGAGACCACATCCTCGGACGAAGGCGCCAACGCTGCAGAGGAAGACGTCGATGAAGAGGAGTTGGAAGAGGGTGCCTCGCAGAAGTAGGCACCTTGCTGATGTGTGTCGTATGCTCGCTAATTCGAGACAATAGCGCAGAAGCAGCGCTATCAAGGAGAAAAGAAGTGGACATTGACGGTGGATGGAAAGCTGGCGATCCGTGCGTTCCCTCTCCATCGTGTCTCACTGGTATTGACACGCATGCCCTCCACGGAAATAGGGTACCCTACGCGGCTTTGGCGAAAGTCTTTTCGTTGATTGAAGCCACCACAAAACGGTTAGAGAAGACGGCTCTACTGACAGCTTTCCTCTATCTAGTCATCTGGCGCAGTGCCAAGAAGGACACTGACTCGCTCCTTCAAGCTGTTTACCTCTGTATCAACCGTGTGTGTGTTGCTGTTCATGTATTCTAACCGCAGAACCTCATGAGATCCCTATTCCGCCCTGCAGCTCAGTCCTGATTATGTCGGCATCGAGTTGGGCATTGGCGAGAGCTTGCTCATCAAGGCAATAGGACAATCGGCCGGGAGGTCCATCGCTGTCGTGAAAGCCGAGCTGAAGAAGGATGGTGACCTAGGTCTCGTGGCAATGGTAATCCTCTCACATTGCCACACTGAGTCCAAAGGCTCATATGTGGAATTCTCAGAACTCGAAGAACAGTCAGAAGACGCTCTTCAAGCCAAAACCACTCACGCTCCCTTTTGTATTCAAGAGCCTGAAGGAAATCGCTCTGAGCTCAGGCCAATCGGTGAGTCTCTTTTCTGTGCCAGCAACCGGCAGTGCACCTGATAGTCTCTCCTAGTCACAAACCAAGAAGGTGTCCATCATCACGAAGCTGCTTGCGGCATGTCAGGGCTCGGAAGCGAAGTACATCGTCCGAAGTCTGGAGGGAAAGCTTCGGATCGGGAATGCTGAACGAACCGTGCTTGTCGCCCTTGCGCATGCTTCGGTGCTTGTGGAACAGCAGCGTGGTAGGCACATATTCGCGGAGTGAAGGTTCCCGTTACAGCCTGATGTCTCACCCTTCACAGCGACCAAGAAGCTCAGCCAGGAAAAGCTGACAGCTCGGCTGGAAGAGAGCGCCAATATCATCAAGGCAGTCTACAGGTAAGCTGCCACTCCTCCCTCCCGTGGACATTGTAGTCACACCGCAACAGCGAATTACCCACGTACGACCTGGTGATTCCCGCACTTCTGGAAGTCGGCATCGACAAACTGCGAGAAAATTGCAAGCTCACGCCGGGCGTCCCCCTGAAGCCGATGCTTGCGAAGCCCACCAAGGCGATTGGAGAAGTACTTGATCGCTTTGAGAACAAACGATTTACGTGCGAGTACAAATACGACGGAGAGCGTGCACAGGTGCGCTCGGGGAGGCTTTGTGCCCGGGACACATGTTGACCATCGTAGTGCTGTAGGTCCATAAGCTGGAAGACGGCACCATAGCGGTCTTCAGCAGAAATTCGGAAGACATGAGCAAGAAATATCCTGATCTCATGGAGCAGCTTCCAGAGGTGAGCCCACCATCTTGTTTAACGGTCATCGAGGTGGTTTCACGTGTCCTGGCAGTGTGTCAAAGAGAATACACAATCGTTTGTGTTCGATGCCGAGGCTGTCGCTATCGACAAGGATACAGGTAAGTTGATGCCGTTCCAGGAGCTGAGCAGGCGGAAGCGGAAGGACGTCAAAGTGGAAGACATCCAGGTCCGGGTGTGCTTGTTCGCATTCGACCTGCTTTACCTCAATGGAGAGGTGAGCCGTTCCACATCGAATGTCCGAAGCTCGATGTAAACGTCTGACGCGTACTCCTTCAGCCACTGCTGCAGAAACCTCTAACGGAGCGGAAACAGCTTCTGAGGGAGCATTTCCAGCAAGTCGCCGGCGAGTTCGACTTCGCGAAGTCCTCGGACGGCGAGACAACGGATGAGATCCAAGCGTTCCTTGAAGAGAGCGTCAAGGACGGCTGTGAGGGTCTTATGATCAAAATGTTGGAGGGCGAACACAGCTTCTACGAGCCCAGCCGCAGAACTGTTAATTGGCTCAAGGTCGGTGACATGAAATTACAATTGTCTATAGGGCTCATGTGAATTACGTTGCAGCTCAAGAAGGACTACCTTGCTGGCGTCGGCGACTCGCTCGACCTGATCGTGGTAGGCGGTTACTACGGGAAGGGCAAGCGCACAAATGTGTACGGCGCGTTCCTGCTCGCTTGCTACGACGCCGAGTCGGAGGAGTACCAGACGATCTGCAAGATCGGCACGGGCTTTAGCGACGAGGCGCTGCAGGCGCACTACGAGACGCTCAAGCCGCTCGAGGTAACAAAGGTGCGGAGCGACGTGAAGGTTGGTGGCGCGAAGCCGGACGTGTGGTTCGAGCCGAAGATCGTGTGGGAAGTGCTCACTGCGGACCTGAGCTTGAGTCCGATATATACCGCCGCGAAGGGATTGGTGGGTCTCTCTGTTCAGTGACAACATTCGTGCGTTGATGCATCGTGTGCAGGCGGATGACAGAGGCATCTCATTGCGATTCCCTCGGTTCATTCGCGTGAGAGATGACAAGTCTGCGGATGACGCTACGGGTCCGGAACAGGTGAGTATATCTATTGCTGCAGTGCCAAGTTCAAGACCAATTCGTATCCGCAGATCGCAGAGATGTACGAACGACAGGTACTTGCACAAAGTAAAGGAGGGAAAAAGAAGAGCAAGGGGGGCGATGCGGACGACGGATTTTGGTAATTTATGGGATCATCGCTGTAAGCTGTTTTTGTCCGTGTGGTGTAGATTATATTGCAAGTATCTAGTATCGACTTTTGCAAACCACTGATAAAAAAACAAACCTCGAGGACGAAAAGCATATACAGATCTGTCACTAGGCGGCGGCGGATTCGACTGGTTTGACAGCCTTCGCTGCATCAGCGCGATCCTTGCCCCCCATGTACCAGTAGTTGATGAAACGGCCGCCCTGCACACTCTGCGCTGTCGCGTTTGTTGCATGACATGCGAATAGCAAGTAGTTTCTAGGAATAACTCGCCATGCTGGACGCGAGCGCATGAGTACGTGCGGCTGCAATCGCAATGAAGAGCACTAACCGAATCGCATGAATACCATGCTGTTGGGAGAACGTGAGTATAACGGTCTGCGTATAGATGAGGTGAACTCACGAATAAGAGCACAAAGCTAGTGTCATGGGGCCAGAGATGACATCCTCGTCCTTCCGCAAGTCTGCTAGAGCGGCCAAGGGGAGACCCCAGTTTGCGACCTGCAACGCTGACGATCAGAAGGAGCTCTGTTTGTGCGCGTCTAAATCCACGCACCGGTCCCCAGAAGTGAGTACCTGATAATAACCTATCAGTTAACGCAAACGACAAAAAAAGGGGAAACGCACTGAAGAAATACTCGCGAGCGGCGGGAGAACGCAGCCATGCGGTAAAAGTGGAGGCCATGGTCGATGTCGGGAGAAAGTCCGTGCCCCAAGTGCTGAGTGAGAGTCGCTGTCAAAGTGATCGGGCGCGGCCACGTGCACTGAGAAACTTGGGCGAACACTGGCCCGTGGGCGACAAACTCAAACGCAATCTACCACTTGCACCTCTCGAGCTCGAGCTTTACCGTACTCGTGATTGCACATCCAGTTGTGTGGGGGCCATGCAGCAGCATCGCCGTACGTGCAGGGCCTTCATTCTATACCACGCACAGCCCAGGCCTGCTGCCACTTGCAGCACGTTGCAAGCTTCTCAGACGCCCGCTCTTAAATCTTGTAATCCCGCCCAATGAACATCAACCCCTTGTCTTACCTTTTACCCGTTCCCCCTCCACGGTGAGCTGGCCCTCCAGCCATGCAGGCATATCACCCCGACCAGCAGCAGTACTTCACAACGCAGTATGCTCAGCCACAGACTACTTATTACACCCAGTATGGCGCCTATCCCCAGTATCTTCAGCCACAGCCGGGTGCCGCACCGTTCCCTGTGTACAACCCGAACCCTGCCCAATATGAACCGCATAGCGACAGACAACAAATCGAGAGACCGCAAATCGAAAGACCACATGCTACGCCTGCACCACGTCGAAAGAAGCTGAGCCGCAACGCAGCCACTGCCCCTGCGGCGTCGACAGCGCCCAACGGCGCCCCTAGTACGAAGATTCCAAACACTCCGTCTCGACCAGCAGCTCCTTTGAAATCTGCTATGAAGAAGCATCGAACTCCTTCCAACGGCAGCGCACTTTCTAGGCAACAGTCGAATCCCGAGTCTCAACGGATGAGAGTCAACTCCCTCACGCGACAACGCTCTAATTCACAACCCGAGTTTATTCCTGGTTCGTGCACCTCCGTTTTCCTCCCCTGATCATCACTCCATTTTTCGTTGAACCTCTCAGAGCATCTCTTCGTGTCCTTCTACTCCACGAACGAGATGCGCGTAGAGAACATCGCATTTCAATCTACACTGGACAGCCTTAGAGAAGAGATTTTGCCGATGTGGCCGGAGAACGCTGCTATGGACGTTGGCTACCTCGATAAGTGGCGCGTACGTTTTGTGGGGAGACCGTGGTCAAGTGTGGGGACGGACGAGATCCTGTGAGCAACTAGAGTACCACGATTGAAATCAAATCTTATTAATGGATTAGTGCCCAACGACTCGTTTGTCGCCTCTGGACAGTCTTGGCCGGTGAGGTACAGCTAAATGCATGAAAAAATGCCATGTAGCCCCTGCTGAGCGAATTGTGCAGGGATACTCGTATCTGACAACTGTCAACACTGGGAGTTCGGTCAGTGTCCGCCTTCTCTCAGACCCATCTCTTCGTTGAATAGTAGATATTCAAGTCGAAGGCTCCGCACTTCGTATTCGTACACTCCCCCGTGGAGACGGCTCACTTCTTCATGATTACATTCTCTCGATCTTCAGAGAAGGTCACCCTCATCGACGTGCCACATGAGCTGGCACAGCAGCTCGCAGCCGGTCTGCGATCCATGTATCCTCGCAGAATCTCCTCGTACGGCGCAACAGAGGATGGCATCCACATTATCGAGGTGAAGAAAGCTGGGTTTGGAAGTAAGTCTACGTTTTTGTGGTGGCTTCCTGCTTACGATTTTTCTCGCACATGAGCAGCGAGAGTGGACCGCAGCATGTTCATCGCCTATGTCCTGCAATTCTTCAACTCGGTGGGTTTTAAGCTTAATGGGAGCGTTCCACTGGGGCGGAGAGCTGCTTTGGGCTTCGGCACGCGCAAGGATGTGTGGATCTTCCGGGGTCCCCTTCGAAGACCTGAGAGTCGTCAGAGTCGCCAGAAGCAGTGACGATGACAGTATCGATAGAGAGGTGGTAAGTGCGCCTTAGCTTGCTTTACGTGTGCAGATCGCTCTGATATGCAGATGCGCAGGTTTTGGTTTAGTAGCGCCCGTGATCTGTGTTTTCCTGGTGCACCAATCTAACGAGATGTAGTGACTTTGTATTGGGTTGATCTTGGAATGCTACTTGCAGTCTGAGGGCGCTGGAGACGGTTCATCTGTCATTTCAGATGAGATCTGTACTGGAGCGTACTGTGGTCAAACAACCTTACCACTGGTGAGTTGATGACCAGCATCCAACTGCCTTACGTTACAGTATACCCGCCGCCCATGACAGGGCCCCCTGAAGAATGCTATCTGAGGTTCTCTCCGGAGAACCAGCCGTAATTTTGGGCGCGAAGACAGCTACACGTTGTGATTATCGCCGCATCGCCTTTCCGGTATCCCGTGCCCTTAACGGCTTTCACAGTACGATGGTTGCATCTGTCGAATATGTCATTCCCTATGCCCAGCATGCGGCTGGAACGCTGGAATCTTGCCGTCCCCTACCCTCTGCCTATCTTGTCTTTCCTTCAAGCCTGGGGTTCTCGACTTACCCTATTCTCGTCAGTTGCGTTTCACCTTTGGGAACGTACCGCCTTGGCTATGTGTTTTCAGCTCAAACCACCTGTAGAGTTTCGTGATCGATCTTTCTGCGCTGCTGGCTGTGAGCTAATCAACAACAAGGAATGTAGGAATCGTCAGGACATACCGGATCTGACACTACGAGATGCTCGAAACGCCCTCTTCGCCTCTAAGTCAGAGCGCTATGGTCTGCAATGGTGTACGAACTTTGTCTCCGTATGGCTCCGGTGGCGATTGTTTGCGGAGAACTCGTAGAATGATGGTCCATGGAACATTGTACAAACGCTGTGCCGGCCCACTTTACCGACAAACCTTGACTGTGGGGCCTTGACAGCCGGACACCACCCAGCTCTGAAAGGGGCCAGAAAAGCCGCACAGCAACACAGGTTGGGTGGTTGGATTGACGCTTGTACGGCACATTTACCTTCAGACGAGGTTATCCTGGACTCATCTGACGCCGAGTGCAGTGCGGCGCGGTATTCACCTTGCTGTGAGCTTGGCGGAAGGATTCAGCGACGAGAACTCCAGTGGCCCATAATAGGACTCCTAGTTGCCCGATGAGATTACTGGACTTGATGTATGTGGAGATGACAGTCGTGCATCCTCTGCACACCAGCTAATGAATGTCCGCTAGAAGTCATCCCCATTTCAAGTGAATGAACCGCAAAGAGCTTGGTTGTTTCCGTGTAGCGCCAGTCGTCTGTCAAACCTATCGTGAAGTTGTACACGCGTTCCCCGTCTAAAGAATCGCTGAGTGCGCCCGGCGAACTTACACCGGCGGATAGAACGGTGGGACTCTGCTGAACAGATGTGCAGTATTGTCATATCGAAACCACATGGATTCCAGGTTGGAGTCGAGGACCGTTCAAAAAAACATCGTGTCATAGTATGCGTACGCGTCTGTGTGCGTACCGCGAGATCATGTAGGAAGAAATTTACGGGAACCCTCGACCTGCTCCATAGCCAGATCCCACGGAATGTCCTCAACAAACGAGGCACAAGCCCTTCTTCTTCTTGGACTTGAGCTTGGTGTGACGCACACTGGTGGGCCTAGTGAGTTTGCCTTTCGGGCGGAAGGCCTCCGGCATGAATACGTCTACGGGCCTATGAAGCCACTTAAGTGGCCATACGATGCGATAATCAAATCAGGGGATGAAACTTACTCAGCTGAACCAAGGACATATTCTACAGGAAGTGGGCCGGGGGGGTGAGCGGGACTGGAGAGGTAAGTTCACATTAGATGAGATTCCGAGAGACGGCCGAGTGGAAATAATAATAACCTCGGCATAGAGGGAACTGTGGGCTGCACAGCGGCCTCCAAATTATCCGCAGTCCCATTGACTGCGCCATCGGCGGGGCGGGCTTCATTGTCTCTGTCACAAAGATCGCGATCAGAGGCACATAGACACAGCTGCACCTCCTAGGACTCACTGTATCCGAATGGAGCTGGATGCACTGCTTGCGCATTCGATGATATCAATGTGAACAGTCGGTTCGAGTTTATCCTCGGGTTCGTGCACAACGATGTCGACAGGGCCTGAGATCTCCATGGTTGGTCTCGCCACTACAGAGCTGGCACGGCCAAGATATAGTCGGAAATATTGATTTTTTGGACAACTGGAAGAATGCTCCCGGAATACACCGCCTCAGGACCACCCAGTGCAAGGCTATACCTGGCATGGTACAGGCCTGCACATGATGTGCCAGCGCTCGTCAAGTCCAGCCTGAGGGCGCTGAGTAACAAGTTGGCTATTTAGACGCGGAGTAGGAGGACAAGTCCTTGATGAAGATGCAAAACCACAGAGACATGGTCTTGGAGATCCTGGGCTGCGAGCGATCTTCCCGCGAAGCTTAGCTTTCAGCATTTTAGACGCGTCGCGATCACGTGGAGATCTTATCCTCGGCGAATTGGGCTACCTTGGGCGGGTGCGCGTTTAACTTCATTATGAAGTCAAAGTCCTTAGATGAGCGGCGATTCAAACTGCCTACACGTCACAGAGAGTGAGGATAGGGACGTTGTCAAATGATCTTCACTAAATCCTCAAGAAACTTCAAGCAATCACTGATATTCAAGTATCAGTTAAGTTTATCTAAGAAGCATTATATTTCACCGTGCATCTCCCTCTATAAGTCCATATCTCGATGTCCATATGTGCAACGGTATCATAGTCAGGAATAGGAATGGGCCAGTCCTTCGCACGGATGTACGGAACTCGAAGACCTCGGGCTCTAGGGCTTCGGTTTCGGCTTGGGCTTCGGTTTCGGCTTTGGCTTCACCACTACTACTGGTCTGTTTAGGCTACCCCTCGGACGAAAGGCAAGAGGTGGGCCATCAGATCTGGAATGGGAGTCAGCAAGCGGCATCATACCAAAGAGAAAAAAGAACGAACTCAATTGGAATGAGGTGGCTAAACGAGAGGAATGGACCGTCAGGGAACATATTTAAATATACTGTGATTACTTACTCCCGAGCGGGTATCACAGTAATCGTCCCAGGAGACTCCTCATCCCGCTTCATCTCTTGAGTGACATCTCTGTTCAAGGCAGTGAGCGTCTAGCGCAACAAAGCTTCGATTTGGCTTACTGAGGCGGTTTGTCGTGTGAGCTAGACGATCCCACAGCATCCTGTTGTTCCTCGTTACCGCTCGGTGTCACGGATCTTCCTCGCGGGGATGACCTATTGGTAAGAGTCGATCAAACGACCTCTATTAGCCGAACCTTGTTCAAACATACTCTGTAGAGCCAGTCGTCGAGTCGGGAGAGCTGGAGAAAGGTGGCACATCAGCGTTATCTTGACTGAGGACACATGACACGTCCTACCTGTGAATGATCGCCACTGAGACTTGCGCCCGAGGTTCAGAGCCTGCACGAGTCTCGACAACATCATTGAGCCTTGAGTCGCCACTGGTACTATAGCCGGGAGATCGAGAATGATCGGAACCAATTGCAAGATATCAGCTTACTGCAGACTGGTGGGCTTGCTTGTATCCGGTTCCGCCACGGCAGAGCGGTCCTTCATGATCGTTGGATAGTAGAGCTGCGGAAATCTGATTCGACTTAAGTACTTCTGAAAAGTGGGATTTTCCTGCTGGCAGGGTCTAGGATGAGTCAAATTCCGTGATCACCGTCTCCACTCAAACCACACGCGAACCACACGGTGTAAAGCGGTACACGGAACTTACAAAGTTTGTACTGCTGTTACCGTGGTTGCGCTGGCATCATGACAGATAGAAAAGATGGAACGGTGCTTACCGCGCGTGAGGGCGCCAACCCGCAGCGCTTCAGAAGGTCATGAGAGGTGAGGAAGGTTGGATGGCGCCTGTCATAACGTTGGTTGAAGACGCCATTGATACAGTCAGCACCGGTACCCGCGACTGATATAGAACAAGTAGGTGCTAGCCTTGTGTCCGGCTTTATACACGCACGCACTGGCACAGCAGTAAGGCGTTGGGTTAAGTAGTCCCCATCACGATCACGTGCTAGCACATGCGCCCCTCTACCTCAGCACTCTTGCTCTGCTCTGCTCATTAATTGCTCAGTTACTCGTGCTGTCGACCCTAATACCGCTTTAACATGAAGCCTATATGGATATCGGTATGTGGCCGTCATCGTGAGATTGTCAAGTGAACGTGAGATTGGGAGACGCTCGCTTCCTTGCATTCCTGTTATTCGAGCTCCTCCCATAAGGTTCCAATCACTGGTTCGTCTTGACATTCGTGTCAGGTCTGTCTCATCATATCATGATATGCGCTGTTCAATGTCCGGTTACTTCCACATGAAGTCGTGTTTTACAGGCGACAAGTTAGTTCCAGCGGCGTCCTCCAGTAACCGCCCACACTTGAGATCAAGCCAGAAGTGGCGCGGTTTCAGAGCCCCGAACGGTATAAAGGTGCTGAGAGGGTGTGCTCCGATGTTCAGCTTTTGTGAAGCTTAGGCGCATTTGCTTGTCATCTTCATGGAACACAGCATGTCCACACACTCTGTTCTCGGCAGTACAGATAGTAGCTCCGTCATCGATATTCCTGAACGTTTCTCATTGGAGGAGTCGTCAGCTGAGGATGTCCCACCATACAGTGCAGAAGTTATGCTGCGACCTGTCACCGCATTCCAGAACTCACGATACGACAGAAACTTCCTGTGCGTAACATTTCCTTGCGGTCGAGCGTTGCCTTGACACAGACCTAGAATTCGCCCGGGGAATGTCGACATCCCGGCAGGGTTACATTCTTCTATGTGTTTGCCTGAGTGAGTTTTGCTGCGTCTAATTTGACTCGTAATCACCAATATAGAATATTGCAGACCCACATACCTTCCTCAGGGCTGGACGCTACAAGTACATCCCGAAGGCTCACCATACTATGTGAACGCCTTGAAGGTACCATGTGTGGTCACTGACACACCTCTGCACGATCCCGACCTATGCAGCAAGTTGACTTCGTCAATTGAAGTATTCCACTACAATATCAAGAATCTTAACTTAACCCTACCATCCGATTGTGAAATCTATGTGCATGTTGATAGCACTCAGGGTGGATGCAGCTATTACCTCGTCGACCATGACTGCCAGACAATTTTCTGGCTTCAGACTATGGACTCTGATACCCTTGGTTTACCAGAAATTTCGTCGATTTCGCACCTCAGTGAGTATTACAAGTTCCACTTCAGAACGAGGTTTGAATCCATGGCTTACAGGATATGTTTTGCACGAACAATATTGGACGCACGTGGATTACTTTCCTCACCGCCCGGTAGCTCCACGCCTACGTCAGGAGCTAATGAGCATTCTACGCCACGCTCGAGGAGGTACGTGACGCAGTCAATTATGACGAACAATATTGAGTGACACCTATATCAACACAGATCATCTGACATCTGAGAATTCGACTTTTCCATATGATGCAGAGCAATGCGCCATGTATATTGACCTGTTGAATATAGAGGGTGCGCATACAACGATCCTTCTAAGCTCATCCGAGTACCGATAATCCTCATACAGCTGATTGTACTACTTACATGACATGTGTGATTGGTACGTCCGACCGTACGGCACTGACATTATCCACCGACTAAATCGTATTTTCCTCAGCTCGCATCTGGGAACTTGTGTGTACGTCGTGTTTGCCTGTGTAAGGTGTACGTGAGAAGTTTCAACGTTGGCACAGCTCGTCATAGGTATCAACATTTCTATGGGGAGGATTACTCCCGTCTTTACCGCGGACAAAGACGCCTTGAGTTGCCACCGGCCGAGGGCAGTATCCTCACTAAATTACGGTCATATTTTCTCTTTGGACTTCCAGGAAGAACAAAGTGTGAATTAGAGATGCTCTTCACCGATCGTCTTGTCTTCAGGGTTGATTGGCAGAAGTTTCAACGCTCCTTGGCGCTTGAGTGGAGAGAGTCGGCCTTGCTGGTGAGGAAACTCTCATCAATGTCTTGACGCGATAAGTGCCTCATTGACATTCCTCTTTTCAGAGTGTTGGTCTCCTGGTGTAAGTCCATAAAAGGGCAAACACTGCATAATTATACACTGAACCACACTGAACCGCTATAACAGGACCAATTCTTGCTTCTTCGCTCTACCAAGAAATTTTGCATCCAGTTGCGCGGGACTTTCATCGCTGATTCTATCTCTCTCCGGACTTGCTACAAGCGTCGCGCTTCTGCGTTGGCAATCGGGAAGCATGAATTTGGACGCGTCCAGCATTGTGTGTACTCACCGTCCATTTTACATAGATTTGTCTGCTGATGGGCCGATCACAGGCTGAACATATGCAAAATATCCAGCACGCTAAGCTAGGATTCGAACCGATCGCTGCCGTCTTCAGTGTTCCCAGGGCACTTGTATATTGGTCCATGCTCTTCTCGGCTGCTCACCTCGTGGCCGTTGTCGCCGAGATGACTGGGCTTGTTGAAAAGATCGTGATGCTTGTTGTTGTGGCGCTCGTCGGCTTCGTACTCTGCAGGATGGCTATCGTCCTTCGAGGAGCGCCCATCGAGAAAACTGTTGCACCCTGAAGGCAGATGATGTCTCTTTGAGTCAGTTGTAGGATCGTGAATGCCTCAGTTTTCGAGATGGATCTCGTTGAGGTATCCAGTCCGGATCTACACAGAAAGTTATAAATCCGCTCATATATCTGAGCTTTAGATGATTGCTTTGTAGTATAGGAATAAATTATAACTGCCCTGTCCATCATCATAAGCTGAGAACAATGCCTCTGGATCTTCCAAATTTAAGCCTTAAAGAGTACAGTCTTCCTGAGACTCACCGGGTCTCTCTCCCTGAGGTCGAGGACGAAACAATCCCAAGGGCCGCTAATGCATCACGCACGGTCGTCCCTGGATCTGTTAATCCTACGTGGCAGAGACCAGCAGAAATAGAAAATAGGATTGATCCAAGAAGTGCAGATGACTAGAGAAATATATGTACAAATAATTATACCATCTTGACTACGTTAGATCCATCCACTATTCCCGCAAGACTCTTCGCAGAGATCTTGCCGTTCGCGTCCTTACGGGCGATCAGTTCGTCCCACCATCCGAAGAGGAAATCACGAGCGATGAGCTTGAACCAAGGAGTGAATGAGTTGGCTGGATGATTTTTAAGCTTAAACCCCGAGCGAGACACGCATAAAAGTGAAGTACCTGGATTGTCGAACATAGCCTGTAATTCAGCCTTGTCCACATACTTGGAGTCGCGGATCTCGTTCAGGTTGGGAGTAACCGTGACGTCCGCGGTCAAGAACAAGATGTAGTCAACTGAAGGAATCAGTTCAGTACGCACGTGTTCATCCTTGGTGTGGAGTAAAGCCACGTACCCTCGTGTTCACCCCAGAGCCCATTGGAAGGTGCCAAGTAGTGTATGCGCGTCAAGTATTGGAACTGGTCGACTGGCGTCTGAGTCTTAGGGATGCCAAGCTCATGCTCCAATTTTCGCGAGGCAGCGACCCTCACACCAAGCTGCTCCTTCTCGATCTTCTCTTCTTCAAAGTCATCCAGTGGATGGGAGCAGCAAGTATTCGTCCACATGTCCGGGAAAGTGATCTTTTCTGTGGCGCGTTGCTGCAGGAGGAGCTTTCCATCTGACGGCCTGAACACGAACGCGGAGAACGCGCGGTGGAGGAGACCCTTGTTGATATTCTCCATCAAGTGACCTACCGATGTTATGAGCCATGCAAACTCTGCAGCAACAGAGGTTGCTCACAAGTCTTCTTATCAGCAGCCCCCAGAGCGCAATCCTGTTCATCTACAAGGATGCAGCGCTCGTCCATGAGCCTTGACTGTTCGGCGTCGTACTTGGACAAATCAATGGTGGAAAGCGCAGCGCGAGCGGCGGCGACAGCTGGGGACGACATGTTGCGGCGGGTGGAACAGATACCTGGGAGAACGAAAGCCCCCAAGTAACGCCCCATATATAAGATGGCACCGGATAGTAACGAGCGACTGTACCGTGTTGGACCACGGACGATATGGTGCGATTCACATTTTCATCCCGCGGACATCAATTGAAGTTGGCGCCTCAGTCTCATCCTCCGACGTCGCTCACGTAAGCATCTCAATCCACTCTCAGAGTCAGTCTACGAACAAGGATCCTTTATTGTACTATTAGTATACGTCCATGGAGCGCGAGCTCTCGAGCACAATTGATCGTCCAAGAACACGAGTAGCAGTATCACTTCACCGTGATCTTGAAGGTTCCGTATGCCTCTTCTTGGGACACGCCAATAAGATCCTTTGTTGCTAGAACTGTCGTAACGCATGTACGTGTCAAGATCGCTGGCGACAGGAAACCGAGCAACGCTCATGTAACACACCTAAGCAATGGTAGAATGCGGCAGCGGCAACGTGAGGAGTGCTAGTCAGCTTCGGCACCACATCGTCAAAGGTAAGAGTGGATGTAGGTGCGGCAAAGGTCTTCAATTGCATCTTGGCATATCTGCACAATGTCAATTCGATGGAAGCCAGTGGACCAACAATCGCTTACTCTAGGAAGTTGAACGAGTTGCGCTCAAGGGTCAAGAGATTCATATCGGACTGCTGAGACTCGAGCTGCCCTTCATCTTCCCCAGGGACTGGAGTCACGCGTCAGTCATAAAGACATGGACCCAGCGGTGACATGCTAACCTGCAAACTCGAAGCCTTCTCCGCCCATATTCACGTCCTCAAGGCCAAAGTCGACAGGAGGGTCCACGACTCTCCCCACATGTAGGGGACTGTCTCGCACGGAGCTTCCCTTAGCTCCACGGCCGAAGCTCAACTTGGCACTACCTTCCCTGCCAAAGTCGAAGGTTCCTCCAACGACAGACGAACTTGCGCCTGCGTTGTCCCACGGGAACAGAGCGCTTCTCTGGGAACCCGACACGATGTCTTGGCCTCGACCGACTTCGAAGTCAAAGTTGCTGCCGAGTACAGAAGGCGGTCTCGAAATACGACGAGCTTGGCCGGGCTCCTGCGCGTCGCTCTTAGGGTTAGCTTAAAAAGATAAGCTGAAGCACAAGACGTGATATCACCTCAGAAGAACGCATCCTCGACACTGGCTCGATATTCGGGTCGTATTGCATATTCTCTGGATTTTCGAGGTCAACAGTGAACGTAGACTTTCCCAGAAGCACTCACGAAAATCGCCAAACCCATCGCCGCCGCCCATCATGAAGTTCCCACCCACATCCATCCCCCAATCTCCACCATGTTGCACGCCTGACATTGGTATTGCGTTAGCATCGTTCTCAACATTTTCCGGAGTAGGTTCTCCGATCTTTCTGCGCTTCGTGGGTGGTTGCCCTTAACAGTCACGCATCAGTCAAGAGCGTTGGACAGCTGGGTCGGGAGAACGCACCCGAGGACTCAAGGTACAAAGCACCAGATCGCGCTTCCACTTGCATTCTGAAATTCTCCAACCAGAAATCGACAAGTACGGGCGCTTGTACTGAACATTTCGGATCTGATCAGTACGTTCCACTTAAAACGTGTGTCTACTTACAGCCCTTAGGAACACCCCATATCATTTCCTCGAGGAGCCTCCCGCTCTCCTTCTCAAGCTTCTTCTGGACGAGTTCCTGTCTCAATATGTCTTGGCCTTCCATATAATTCGCACGAGCAGCCTGCCGAAATGCAAAATCAGCAGGGGATACACAGGTTCGTGAGTCATCACCATGTCACCTTTAGTTCATCGTCGGTCAACTCTGTCCTTGCGTCAAGTAGCAATCTGACACGCTTCGCTCTCTTTCGTGCTGGCTTTCCCTGGTCTTCATCTTGACCGACCGCATTCGCCTGAGCATCTGCCTCCAAGGTACGGATTGGACTGAATGGCGCGAGGGATACAACGACAGTGTGCAGAGGGGAGACGTTCTCTATTAAGATTAGTCAGTCAACTGCGACGTTCACTTTGATAGAGAGGTTGAGCGCACCTTTGTTAGCATCAAGAATAGGCTGAACGAGTGTATACGATATCGTCAAGCATCGCGTTTGGGAAAAATACTAGAGACGAACGTTGGGACTACCGTCAGCTGCAGTATTTCGAGTGTTTTCATCTCCAAACAGACGCGGTCCTTCGAAGTCAACATCCATGCCAAGACCACCATCGTCCATTCCGAAATTGAAACCGTCGGCATCTTGCTGAACCCTACAGCATATATGTCAGAAGCATGTATTCAGCCCGGCGCCGAATCACAGACTCGTTGCCTTGCTGGTTCTGGGAAATTCCCCAGCCCTCTCCGAGCTCCCTGGCCAGTTCATCTCCTATTTCTCCCCCAAGGTCAATTCCCTCTGGAAGAGCAAATAAATCATCACTAAAACCGAAGCCACCGTCGAACTGAGACGAAGAAGGGACAGCGCCCTCGAAGGCGTTGCCATTGAACGACACATCAAACGATCCAGAAAGCAGATGGTCGTGGTGTTCGTCGAGCATATGCAAGTTTGGCCGTCCGTTCTCTACCAGGGATGAGGGTTTCTCCCTGGGCTTCTGCTTCTGCTTCTTCTTCGCTGTGGGGTCGAACTCGTCATCGGATTCCTCCGCGTCCGAGAAGGCCTTGCCTGGTTACGTTCAGTAAGGACACTGTGCTAGTCTCTCATGCTCTCACCTCCTTGTGGATGTTCATCCCAATCCTAATGGTCGGACATAATAAGAGCTGCAGGATAACCATATGGCAACCGTACTTACAGCAAATATATTTCCGAAATCCATGGCGAATGCCGTTCCGGGGTCAACAACCAACGTCAATGCATCTGGACTAAAGCGGGCTCAGTTTCACATCTAGAGGGGACATCGGTGTTCGTCTTACCGCAGACTAGGTTGCCCCATCTGAAGTTCAGTAGCGCCCTTCGACAAGCTATTGAACTCTTGCACGGCCTTCTTGAGCGAGTTGAAACAAGTAGTAACATCGGTGAGAAATATTTCCTGTTTGACTGCACGTACGACGCGTCAATACTTCAAAAGATTTTAGTCAAGGCTTTGCACCTTTGTATACGCTTGATTATTCTTCAGTGAGGTCCATATATGCGCTCAATATCATGAAGGACATACCGAGCTACACCAATCATCAAATTGCTGGACAATCGCAACGCAAGAGGTTCCGTCGGCTCCGCAATGAGATCGCAGAGTTGCGATATATCAGCGGTAAGGACGGAGCGCTTTGGAAGTTTCCTGAATGACGATTTTGCGCCTAGGGTAGCAGCCAACCTATCGTTCCGCATTCGGGGCGTGAGCTCTAGTGTTCCCGACGGAACACGAAGTAATCGTTAGAAGGCACCATAGTAGGCCAAAACCACTGTCTCTCCTCTCGAGCAATTCCGTTGAGAAAAACATTAACGAGAATAATAATGGATGCTAAGGTTAACTAGAACAGAGTTAACAACACGGAAACAGCGGCAGCTGCGTACAGGTCAGTACACGAAGTTTAGAAAATTGAATGGAGTGATTCTCACCTATCGATGTCTCCACAGCTAGGAGGAACGGTAAGCTGGAAACACTGAAACACGGCACAGAAATAGGTACTGGGCACTGCAGGAACCTCGTCCTCCGACGTAGATCTATATGTCGGGCGCTGGGTTTCAATAGTTGACAGTTTTGACAAGTGACCTTCCTGGAAAGGCAGGTTCTATTCTACAGAAGCAACAGCGCGGACGTACGCAGAATCAATCAGACCTTTGCCCATCGCCGTCCGCCCAGTCCGATTAGTCTGGCAAACAGCTCATTACGGCCTCCCACCCACAGAAACTTGGCTTCTCGCTCTTCTCCCTGCCCGTCATCGTGGACCTCCATCCAACGGACGTTCAGGCCCCGCATCGCGCCGCTCTTCTTCACTCCAAGTATGTCTGCAGTTGATATTGATAGTCTCGCCGTATTGGAGAGCAGCGATGTGAAGATCAAGGTGGTCGGCGTCAATGTAATGAGTCCGGTAGCCTTGGCATATTGTGCAGGAAAAGCTGGAGCCCGATTGATACGGATAGTGGCTGTCAGGAGAAACACTCACTGTATGCCTGCAGGCGCGATTCAGTACTCCCGTTCTGCAGAGCGACCTGGGGTGATAGCGGATTGAGAGCCATCCAATTTTCCGGTCGTTTCCACTAAGAATGCGAGTAAGCTGGTGCGCCACAAGACAATGCTAGTCTGGCTTACCTGTCCGCCTTGGAACAGCCTCTTCAAATCGCTTGTTCGCTCCTTCGTGGTGACCACGCGGTCACCCCATTTCCGCCAGTTCACAGACGTATGAACTCCCGAAGAATTGACCGAGCGTTCACCGTCTTCCGTCTCACCGGCCGTGCTGATGGAAGCACGGTCAGGACTGTTTCGGTCACTCTCGCGTCGCTTCGGTTTGACGTCGAGTCCTCGAGCAACACGCTGCGAGATAAGATCCATGGCATAGTCTGCGTCGGTAGGAACGTCGCTGAACGGCACTGGTATACTGACCACCGCAATATGTCAATTGCGGCGCAAGGGAACAACGCAAGTGAACGAACCGTGCTCGATCTGATGAAGGTATAGCGACCAGTATGGGGACGACATGCCAGAAAGCAACGCCACACACGAAGCCTGATAGTTTCGCGAGGTACTTGGCAGGAAGCAGAGTGAGGAGGAAGACGAAGAACAGAGCCTTGACTGCCTATCAGAGTTATTCCTTCACGAACGAGGCTACTGCTACTCACTATTCCATACTTCACGGATGAGCTCGGTCGCCGCCAGAGAAAGGTGCTTTTCACGCGTAAGTTGCTTCACCTATTGAGAGCAAAGAGAATCACATACTTCTTCACGCGTTCGTGTAAATCGGAAATTTCGTTGATTGCGTTCAATGCAATCGCCTTGGCATCAGGTTCGTCTGGATCAACCTGCGTATCGTCCGGTCCAGTATGTTCCTCCGGTGTTACCTCAACTCCTTCCGCGACACTACCGACATCGTCTGGCTGCGAGTCAGATGCTTTGACATCGGATTTCGCAGCCTTTTTTGACTTCCTGGTGTGCACGTACAGTTGGAATAGGTTCCACACATCCTGTACATCGTGTGTCGGAGCTGCCGCGAGGCGCACTGTTACCGCCACACTGAACTCCTTGGCAAGCTCTACTTCATGCCAGTGCCGGCGTAATTCCGCTAGAGTGGGATATGGAAGGGCCTTGCGGCGAAACAGAGAATACAATATCCTCAAGATAAGGGACGGCAGCAGGAGGTTGAGATACCATAAGAACCAGTAGGCCTGATAATAAGCAAGATTAGCCACTTACTGGACGTCAACACGAACGTGGGACTACGGGAGGCGACTGACAGAACAGCACATAAGACTGGTTGTTCTGTCCTCCCAGGTTGCAAGCGTGATAAGGCGCCGTAAGAATGGTCCATATGCTGGCTTGGTAGCAAGATAGATTCTTTGTACTGTCAATTTGAGGCGTTGTACGGTGAATTTTGGCGGAGGAGGCCGTACCGCAGGCAGTAGAGGTACGATGTAATTCTGGGGTAGAGACGTTCAATCGTGCCTTAAGCAAGTCAACAGAGATCAACGCTTACCAGCGCAATGCGTTCAGACAGACTTATATCTGATGGCGGATAGCGAGGTAAAGAAGGTGGAGGAGAGGGCGCATCCTGGTCGAGAGGCGCCCACTCATCCACGCTTTCGTCAAATTCACACTCTGCATCGCCCAGTTTTCCTTCATGGTCAACGTCCATGTTCACTTCAGAATGATCTTCCGTCACCACTTGACCATTCTTCCCAACATGTGTGGCTGGTATATCGGAGGCCGTCACCTCTCGGACATACTACACGCGCAAGGGTCACAGACGCCTCGAGACACCCACAAAGCAACACTCACTGCAGCAAAGATATGCAGAAAGCGGTCTATTTCTTCGTCATCATACAATTGTCGGAGCTGAGTCTCTGACAACACCTGCTCGGCTTTGGGTAGGACGAGGGATTCGGACGATTCTGACGTCAATTCCGACGAGTCTATGACTGGTAAGGGGTGTAGATCGACGACAGGCTGTCTCCTAGGCAATTTTGGGGACCGGACGGCATAGCTGTTCGCGCTTGTAGATGAAGAACGAGTGCGAAGAGACGGGTGTAGGGGTGGTGGCAGAAAGGCCCGATCTTGTGACTTCAAGCCCGTCGAAGACTCCATCCAGGTTGCAGCACAACGTGAAAAGGCAGCAAGTCAGTATACAGCACCGCCGACGGCACAACAGGTGCAAGTTCAGGATGAGTCCTGGCCCGGCATCAAGCGATTCACAAGATCACGAGTCATACACGCGTCGCGTGTACTGTATATATATCGCGTCGCAATGCGTCGAAGAAGGGGGAAAAGGGTCGGTAAATGCAGTACATATCGCATGGGAGCTAATTATGATACACATGGAAAGATAGACAAAGGAAATGGTCGATATATCAGAAGATAGGGAAGCTAAGTACTGTATCTGTAGAGAGCGTAGGCAGCACGCACTTGCATTACCTGCGTTGCAAAGGAATCACACTGAATCACGTTTGCAATACTTCTTGTGGCGCTTCCAATCTTGGGCCTTACAATAAAGGGACGATTAGTGAAAAGCTCGCTCCTTATAACTAGATCTTACCTGGCAGACCCTCGAACAGTAGTATATAGACTGTCAAGGCGACTCCTGAGTATCCCTTGTAAGAACGACACTGTAGCACTTACCTTACACCCTCCACATTGCGATAATTGCTGGCGAGTCAAGGTCTGAAGGGTACACTGAATAATTAACCCCTGTCTCAGTCGAGAACACTTGTGAAAGAGAAATATAACATACAGAGAAGTTGCTGCAAGCAAGATTGGTTTGGCCTCCAGACAGCCTCGTAGCTTTGGCCTGCTTCATATCACCTCGCATTTCATAGATTCGAGCGAGATTATCACGAGAAACAGCAGCGTCAAAAGCGTGGCTGTCGTTCTCGGCAGCGGCGGCATTGCGCACTCTGACTGCCTTCTTCAGGTAGTCCTCGGATTCGTCAAGACGTCCCATCTCGATGTACAGCTCTCCAAGCGCGTTCCATGACAAGGCGGTGGTGAAGTGGTTCAAGCCGTAGCCTTGCTCCTTGAGCGCAATGGCACGGAGATGAAGACGCTCAGCTCCTCGATAGTCGCCCTCGCGGCTGAGCCTCTGCGCTTCGTTATTGAACCTCAGAGCTTCGTGTTGCTCCACGGTGGGATTAATGGTCAAGTTTGTGACGATGGGGGGGTTCATGGTGGGCATTATGGTCGAACTGCAAGCACAAAAGGAGACCGCCGCGACTGGTTCAGGAGACTCGATCACGTGGCGGCGGGTATGTTATGCAACGCGTGAATTCCGCGCGTTCGCGCATTCCAGAACATAGACTTGACCAAGGGGCGTGTCTCGACGATTCGGACAATGTCGAAGAAATAGGTCAGTGGATACTTATCGCGGGGAGCTAACTATGCTACACTCGGGAAATTACGAGAAGCTTGAGGTGAAGACACCATCTGTAGGAAATCTGCTTTTGGCCGAAGCTTCTAATCTTGAGTCTTATAGGACAGTATTGAAGTCACAGATCGCGACTTGTGACTAGACGCATTTACCTGGCTTGACCTCGAACAGTAATAAATGGACTACAAAAACAGCAGCATAGTAGTCCGGAGAATAGCCTTGAGCACTTACTCTGCACCCTCCGCACTGCGACAAATTGCCGGCGAGTAATTAAGGTGTGAAGTGTACACCGTATCATTAACCGGACTCAGTCGTCAATTTTGATGATAGAGAAATAACATGTACAGAGTGGTTACCGCAAGCAAGGTTAGTTTGACCCCCTTAATAATCTCATTGCCTTAGCCTGCTTCATATCTCATAATTTTAGCAAGATTATCGCGAGAGATAGCAGCGTCAAAGGCATGGCGGGCTGAAATGGTATTGCGAACTCTGACTGTTTTCTTCAAATAGTCCTCTGCCTCATCAAGACGTCCCATCTTGATATACAGCTCTCCCAGAGCATTCCAGGCTAACGCGGTGAATGTAGTGATTCAAGTCGAAGCTTTGCTCCTTGAGCGCAACGTCACGCAGATGAAGGTGCTCGGCTCCTTGATGGTCGCCCATATCACTGAGCCTGTGCGCTTCATTGTCGAACCTAAGAGCTTCGTGCTGCTCCGGGGTAGGATTGACGATGGTGTCTGAGATCAAGCTCATCATGGTGCGGCCGAGTGGCTTTGCACCGCCGGGGTCGATCACGTGGTGGCGGGTATTTGGTCGTCTTTGGCGCTCCCACACCTCTTTCAAGCAATCGCACACTTGACCCAAGACCGCATCGACTCTCTCTACTCATATTTGTCCATACGACTTACAGTGGCTTTCGCTCTCTATCTTTCATCTTGTCATCAGACATGGCTTCATCATCATCGTCTCCTGAGTTTTCCAATGCACCTCCTGCTACATCACAGTCGTCCGTACAGTACTCGGACCTCAGCAGGGAAGAGGTGCTAGAGGATCTATCAAGGTATGCAGAATATTTTTACCATGGCCTGATCCGTGTTTGATTGTTATGTCGTGTCTTGTTTTTTTTGACCACAGTCGCTTCATATTGAATCTGCCTGAAGAGGAGCTTGCTTCACTTGAGCGAGTGTGTTTTCAAGTAGAACAAGCGCACTGGTACTATGAAGACTTCATTCGTGAACAGGACCCATCGAGATTCCCATCCTACACCCTGAAGACCTTTTCAGAAGCACTGTTCCGTGCATGTCCTCTGTTGCACCATTGGGCGCACGATCATGAGAGAACATTCCAGTCATTCATGCAGTACAAGACCAGAGTACCAGTTTGTGGCGCTATTATGTTGAACGCCACTTGGGACAAGGTAGGTTGGAGCCACAGTTACGCGGGTTTAGACTAACATGTCTTTGTTCTCGATGCGGGTTGTCTAGTGCGTTCTAGTGAAGGGTTGGAAATCCTCCGCAGGTTGGGGTTTTCCGAAGGGAAAAATCAACGAGCAAGAACCCCGACCTCGGTGTGCCATACGTGAGGTGAGTGAGATCCGCACCGTCAAGAGTATTTCTGTCGTAACCTTTGTGTGCAAGGTCTCGGAGGAGACTGGCTATGATTTAGATGGTCAACTTGATCCCGAAAACGTCATCGATCTTTCTATCAAGGAGCAGTCGATTTCTTTGTACATTGTTCCCGGAGTTCCGGAAGATTATCCTTTCCAGACCAAGACCAGGAAGGAGATTAGCGTAAGCATACAATCGAATGATTTTCCCATGAACTGAACTAATGTCTGATGCGCAACAGAAAATTGCTTGGTTCAATTTGTCTGATCTGCCAACATGGAAACGTAGTAAGGCAGTTCCAGGGAAGTTCTACCTTATCACCCCTTTCATAGGGTACGTTGTATATTTGGTCAGTCTGGGCATACGAGCTCACATCTCCGCAGACCGTTAAAGTCGTATATAAACAAGCGGAGACCTCGTAACGTGGCACGAAAGGCACGTCAGGTGCAGAACGTCCACGTTCACCGTAATACACATCCCTCCAGCGAAGAGGAGAACGGGCGTGATGGACTATACCCCACGGTTCATCACGCACATGAATGTAGTTCTCAGTCGTCATCTGCTGACAACGCTGAGCCTCAGACTCCCTCACCGCAGTACACTGCCCCAGAAGTCAGTCATGCTCCGAGTGAATCGAAATTATCTCCTGGCACGACAGACGTATTGCCCGCAGCAGATCTTGATCTCAATGGGGTTGATCCACACTTTGCTCGCCTGTTGAACTCCCTCTCGTTGTCGGCATCAGCCTCTGTCGCAGACGTGAGCGATAGTTCTGCGAACACTTCTCTGTCTTCCCGAACACTGTCTCCCTCAGCTTCACAACCCAACAAGACTGCCAAATCTACTTTGCATCATCGCTCGTCAGAGTCAAGCGACTGGTCTATCCATGTTCCCGGTCCAGCTCGTACTTCTTCTCCCGTAATGGACTCTGTGCAAGCTGGTCAATTTACAACACCATCGGATCGCTCTTCAGCGACAGTTTCTACTACCTCTCACCCAACTACTCCTTCAACGACTTCTGTCATCAACGTTGATCGTGTATCTTCCAACTCGACATCTACCCCTTCCATGATTATATCTACGACTTCTCCGCGATCTGCCGCTGCTGTACCTTCGTCCATGACGCATTCCCCGATTGGCTCTCATGCTCGACGAGGCTCGGTGGCTACAGCAGATATCTCACCCTACCTATCGCGACCTCGTGATATACCGAAGGAGATGAGGTACATCTCAATGCTGGAGAGCGTGGCACGGGAGTCCGACCGAATGTCGTCGAGAATGGGGCACCACGCTGCGTTTTCGCAGTCGGTGCAGATGCAGTCAATGGACAGGTCATCCTTCGCGCCAGCGCCGCCCGCTTCTGTCCCTCCCTCTATGCACGAGGGTCGCATGGAATCTCCAGTCATATACTCCTCCAGGCCTGCAGCCTCTACTATGTTCACCCCTGGAGTTGGTCAGATAACCCCAGTCTATCCACCATCCTTTCGTGACCCTTTCACAGTGCGCCCGCGGACTAGCAATGCGTTCCATCCCTCTCCTTATCCTCCGGCCCCTCTTCCGGCCCCTGGTGTCAATAGTCGCTATCAGATGCAGAGTAATGATCCTCGTGGTTACCCCCCACCTCCCCCTCAGCCTATGGCGGCGTATCAGCGACCATTCCACCAGCCCCCTCTCACTGGAAGTCTTCAATCCGTTCCTCAGCCTTACCCTCCGGTAGCCCAGCCGAGTTTGAGGGTAGTTCCACCCCACCAACTTCCGGCATCTCGATACGGCGAGCCGCCTCCCCTTTCAGCTCCTGCCGTGTCCCCGTCGTTTAGCTTTGCCAACCGTGCCAATACTTCACGCCCTGCGAATAACGCTCATTTATTGTCTATTCTTAACTCCCCCAGCGCACCCCTCCGAGTTGCACCGAATGTGGTGCACCCGGGGGTCCTTCACGGCACGGGTACTAGATGATATATCTCTCACGAGCTTGTGCTCCCTTAGCATAGGATGATACATAATATGTTCTCATTTGGTTCGATTCGATTTCCGTCCGTGTATATTTTGACATTGTCTTGCATCTGATTGCCTATAGGTACAGTCGTGGTGCATCGGTTATTTTTGTGCGTCGCGTTTCTTCTGCCCACTCGTCGCTCGTTCTGCCTTCCATACCGGTATGATATAACTGATCCCTTTTGTCTGGTCTCGACGAACGTCCTATTGTCTTGCATCATCGTCTTGCTTTCGTCCCATAGTATGTCGCGTTGCGGACACTCGTCTGTGTAGTTTTGTAGCTTAGTGCTCAGATGTCTCGTTTGTCGTCGCACTTCAATGAAATGTTGTTTCCCACCGCTTGTTCACGTCAACGGTCTTATGACGGATGGGAGAGTTTGCTATGTAGTAATAGGCCCACTTGTTTGAAGCCGTAGTTACTAATATTGCTCTGTGTATGGGGTATAAGTTGGTATAGCATGTATACCTCGCGGATGATGCGCTGTCGAATTCGAGGGGGGCAAGATGGATTACTGACATTGCGAAAAGCCACTCCAAAAATCAAACAAACACATGTCACAGAGGAAACGGAAGTATTTGAGCCCCTAGGACGGGGTTCTACGATGTCCATTCTGGGAAGTGCTCGAAAATTGCGTAAGGGTCTATTTCACCCGATATGGGAGTGAATTAGCCGCCATTTTCTACCGCTCTGACATCCGGATACCTTTTCTCTCGTTCTCTTGTTCTCTCCGTATCCTTATTTGCTTTATGACTTTCTCCCAACATGTTTACAGGTAACGGTATCAAACTATTCTCCGGTGAGAACTTCTCAGCTACGTTCTTACATATCGAGTCTCACCGTGTTCTATAGGCACCAGCCACCCTGAGCTCGCTGAAATCATAGCACGGAGGTAAATGTTCACCCACATTTTCTGTTACAGGATGCCGACATGAGACCCGCTCCTCACAGGCTTGGGATCACGCTTAGCAGAGCGGAAATTTCACAGAGCGGTATTGGCGAGACCAGCGTACGCATCGTAGAGTCCGTACGCGAGGACGATGTCTACATCATCAATACCGGCTGCGGACGAATCAACACCGCGCTCATGGAACTATGCATCATGGTGCACGCCTGCAAGATTGCCAGCGCGAAACGCATCACCGCTATCATTCCCTTGTATCCATATGCGCGGCAGGACAAGAAGGACAAGAGTCGCGCACCCATCACCGCGAAACTTGTAGCGAACATGATTCAGAAGTCGGGCTGTGACCATGTCATTGTAAGTCCATCCAACGCATTTTGTTTGGCCCCTTCCGATATTTGTGGCACTCACGACGTTATGGGCACTCCACCAGACCATGGACCTGCATGCATCGCAAATACAGGGCTTTTTCGACGTCCCCGTCGACAAGTACGTGTATTACGAGCAATGTCACATAGGTTCTACTTACATTGTGATGTGCAGTGTAAGCGATGCCTATCAGCATTCACCCTGTCAAAACTTAATGTGAACGGTGGAAGCTTTACGCAGAGCCTTCCGCTATCCAGTATATCCGGAGCAATTTTGACCTCTCAGAGATCGTGATTGTCTCACCCGACGCAGGCGGTGCAAAGCGGTACGTCCGTCGTCGCATGCGGGGCGTTTTGGCTGGCTGACGTTTCTGCTGCATGACGTCAGTGCGACGTCGATAGCAGATCGGCTGGGCGTCGACTTCGCGCTGTTCCACAAAGAGCGCAAGAAGGCAAACGAGGTCTCTCGCATGATCCTGGTCGGTAATGTAAAAGACAAGGTTGCGGTTCTCGTCGACGATATGGCCGACACGTGTGGGACGCTCTGCCTCGCCTCACATCACCTGTCGGAGGCCGGTGCTTCGAAAGTGTACGGCCTGGTGACGCATGGTATCCTGAGCGGAAATGCGCTGAAGTCCGTTGAAGAGAGCGCTTTGGAGAAGCTGATTGTCACCAACACGCTGCCGCAGCAAGAGAACGTGGAGAAATGCAAAAAGATTGAGGTGATTGATATTGGCAATGTCCTCGCCGAGGTGATCAGGAGAAGCCATTACGGAGAGAGCGTGTCGAAGCTGTTTGACGAGGTTCCATTTTAGAGGATTGGTGTATTCGGCTATAGCTATCAGAGACTTTCACGGAGATCCGATAAATCTGTTGCATATTCTTTTAGTACTCAAAGCATAGTAGAGAGAGTCGATCGGTTGCGTCTCCCTTGAAGCGCAGTGGTCATGACATCGATCAAACACGAGCGTAGCGTGTACAGAGTGTCGCGAAGCGGTAGCACCGAGCTGTGGGTCCAGAAAGCCACGGCCATGCACACTTGGAGGGCGCACATGGAACGTAAGTACGCGTAAGCCAAGCTCGAGGATTGGGAGGTTCGGGTAAACGATTTAGTGTATCCAGCGAGGCGCACAAGCGGCAGATCTCAAGAGAACTTCCGTCTGCCGCACCCGCCGGACCCCGCGGAAAATTCATGTGCTCATAAAAGGTCAAGCCTGTTCGGACAATACCTTGAGGCTACTTATCTGAAACCTGATCTGTGGCTCTCGGCCACTCTCAGCCAAGTTTGAGAAGAGAGAGCAAGATGAACTGGCAAGGAAGATGGGTTGGGGGAGGAGCTGCAGTATGGTACGGAAGAGTGTGTACAGCCAGCCAGCTGCCATAGTCGAAGCGGGAAAAGGGAGTGGGACTCGCCTGGATTCAACGGCTGTCAAAGAAGAAGATTGAAGCTATCATAGCGGGAGCTGACACACACACAGGCAGAGCATCACACGGCGCTATGGTGGGTCCAATGATCAGCACGGCCGGGCCAAGGAGAGGGTGGAAGCGAGGAAGAGAGCAGCGAATTGAGAACTTATTTTGAGGAGCACGGTGAGAAGTGGCTGGGAAGTCGGGGCGGGTGTGGTGAGACGAAACAGTCAGGTTGATGCCGGAGAGTTGGACCACATCTGGAAGGCGGATCTGTCTGCGCTCTGGGAGAGAGCGAGGACTGGGAGAACGATCGCTGAGAAGGCGTTGGCAGAAAAATCAATGATACCCAGCTGAGCGTATCCGATCACACTCGGCTCGGTGACAGGCTCGCGCCTCGGATGGCTTGTATCCTCCAGCGACCGCTCCCAGCTTCCGCCCGCCCTCAGAAGCTTCCGCCAGGCCTCTTCTCCCGTATCCCTCTTCCTCTCCTCTCTCTCATGCTCATCTCCTTTCCTCTTTTCCTGTAATTCTCCATCTCCTCCTTCCCAGGCGATGCTAGTCCAAGACGTATCATGTACTCAAACCATGTCCCACAAGGCCATAATCCCCCTCATCTACACAGCTCCGTTCACATGCCAAACGGCCTACATAACCAACCATCAAACGGTTCCATCCACCACACCACTCAGCCCCACCGCTCCCCCGCCCCATCATCCTCCAAAGAACGTGTCACCGTTCTCGCCGTCCCCTCTGTCGCTGTGCAGAACAATCAGCTTGTCGTCGGCGACTCTCAGAGTAGTCAGTATCCTCCTGTTTTCCTCCTGTTTTCCCCTCGTTATTCGCTGATCCTCCTCGTGTCCTGACACTCCTTCTCCTCTCCCTAGGCTCGACTCGATCGTATACGCCACTCAAGGTCGTGGGAGATGGCTCTTTTGGAACCGTGTGGTTGTGCGACTGGCATGGGACGTTACCGCCCAATACCCCAATGTCTGCCATGCAGTGTGGCGCGGGCGCGAGACCGGAGTATGTGGGGAAGAGGCTTGTGGCAGTCAAGAGGATGAAGAAGAAATGGGAAGGTGGCTGGGATGAGTGCAGGAAACTCAAGGAGCTCGAGGTGCGTTGCCTCCCCTTCCGCAGTATCCCCATCTTTACCCCGCTGCATATACCCAGTCGCTGCGAGCTATCCCTTATCACCCTAACATTATACCGCTGTACGACTTTTTTCTTCTCCCCGACACCAAGGAGCTTTATTTCGTCTTCGAGTCGATGGAGGGCAATTTATACCAGCTCATCAAGACCCGCAAAGGCAAACCCCTCGCGGGAGGGCTCGTCTCCTCTATTTTTCGACAAGTCGTCGAGGGTCTCCATCATATCCATTCTTCTGGCTATTTTCACCGTGACATGAAGCCAGAAAATTTGCTCGTCACAACGACAGGCTTGTACGATTATCGTTCTCTATCCCCGATCGCTCCTCCAGATGCACCGCCGGAGCGCGATGTGGTCGTCATCGTCAAACTAGCCGACTTTGGTCTGGCGAGGGAGACTTCGAGTAAGCCGCCGTACACCGAATACGTTTCCACGCGTTGGTATCGCGCACCAGAGGTCCTGCTGAAAAGTCGGGACTACTCAAACCCCGTGGACATGTGGGCGTTGGGAACCATCATGGCAGAGCTTGTCAACCTGAGACCTCTCTTTCCGGGTCAAGGGGAGATTGACCAAGTCGCACGCATCTGTGAGATGTTGGGAGACCCATGTTCCGACTATGGCGTAGATGCGAGGGGAAGGCCAATTGGGGGAGGTAAGTGGACCAGAGGTATCAAAATGGCCAAGGCCGTGGGTTTCGCTTTCCAGAAGGTGTGCATATATTGTTTGCTCTGTTCCGTTTATTCTGTGTTGACTTTCAGGCGAACAGATCAAGCCTATGAATATTTATTCGATCTTCGAGCGGACCGTTCCAGTCAAGTTGATTGACTGTATCGCAGATCTTCTGAGGTATGATCCTGACGCGCGGTTGACCAGCCGCCAGTGTCTGGATCACCCATACCTTCTTGAGTCGACACCTCTGAACAATCCCCCGGGTCCGCCTACTACACCTGGTCAATCTTCTGCAGTGTACACGAAGTCATCTTCACTCAATGGCGTTTCCCCCGCAGTCTCACTTCCCTCCATCCTTCCTCGCAATATTCCCCCCTCGCATTCACATTCATACCACAGAGTCGAGTTCCAACCCACTGCACCCACCGCTTCTGCTCATATACCAGATGCATCGTCTTCCCACCGTTCGTCCTTCTATGACTCCTTGTACTCTACAAGACCGCGGGTTCTATCGGACGCCTCATCCCGGACCTCAGAGTGGCCGCTCAACTCTGGCCGTCGCCCAGATCCATATCGTGCTGAGTTGCCACACCTCACTGACAGTCAGTCATCGACATATACCTCCGCATATTCCATCGGGAGCGACCGTGCGGTCAACGTTCGCATCGCGCCGAACGGTCAGCCCGACTGGGACGCGATGGATATTTCTCCTCATGTCGAGTCGCCCGAACAGTATGCGGTCGCTCCTAACCAAGCGATGGACATCCTGACATCCCCTATGGTCCGCGAGTACCCCTCGCGACCTCAAGTCGAACCTGAACATGATCAATCGCATGCGCCCGCCTCCGAGGTTTCCCATCCACAGGGTGCCAAATTCGGCAAGCTGGGCGCGCTCGGGTTTGGCAAGAAACACAGCAAGTGGTCTCTCTCTATGTTCGGCCACGGAGACAAGGGCACGCAGCAGTCGCTGCCGTCTGTGCAGGAGAACGGCGGGTCTGCCGGCTCGACGCCTTCACTTAAGCGGACGCAGTCTGTCTCAAGTACAGACAGTCGCTCACTACAGGAGTTCTCGCCTACACAGGAAGCTGTACCTCCTCCGATTGACGCCAAGGCGCGTAAAGAGGAGGCGAAGCGCGTCGCCCTTGAGGCTGAGATGCAACGGCGACAGATGGTGGAGAGGAACCATCGCGAGCAGGCCCGTGCTGTCATGGAGAAGCGGGAGCGGCTGCTCAATGCGACGGGCAACAAGGAGCTTCCGTGGCTCACGAGTCACAACCTTGTCGCTAGACATGGTCCACCGCCTCCCGCATACAGGGATAAGGGCAAGCAGCCGTCCGCGGCGGGTCGCATCCGGCATACCCAGAGCCACGGGACAAGCTCGAAGACGATTGGCGCCGCCGGAGGCAGCTTCGCCAGTCCGGCGGAAAGCATGCTTTCCCGCGCCGAGTGGCGGCGGGATAGTGAGCGGGAGCCGAAGGCGCGCCGACGAGAATACGACGACGACCATTCGATGTCGTCGGATCTGCACAGTGGGATGTCCGTCATCTCTTTCGCGACGGTGGATAGCGATCCTGGGCCTGCACGCGCACGACATCGTGCGAGCGCGTACGGACTCAACAGGATGACGTCGATGTCCTCATTGCAGACAGCCTCGGTCGACAATTACTCTACCCGTCAGCGGTCTTCGGCGTCACTCTCGCAGGAGCAGCAGCTGGTCAACGAATTCCACTTGCGAGCATCGGTCGATTCGACGTCATTGTCGGATGGTGGTTCACCACAACCACCTCCGATGCAGATGTTGTCTCTGTCGTCGCCAATACCCTGGCAGCAGAACGAGCATCCGTCTGACGATGGTGGTGGAAGTCTTATCGCACGACGGCATGGCCTTAGTTCTGAAACGACGGGATTATCTCTACCTCCAGCCCCTCGACATCCTCAGTACTTCCAGCCATCCGGACCACACAGTCCTTACGAACTGGGTGTGCAACACCACGCGTATCCACCAAGTCCTGGTGTTGCACCGAAGTCGGCCATTAATCCAATATTCAAAGTGGTGAGTTGATGCTAACAGGTTTTCATTCAAATAAATCACTGAAATATATTCCGTGTCTCATAGCCACCATTACCCCGGCATCTGGATACTGGTTCTCTGCCACCGTTTTCTCAGCTAGAGGCAGTCGCAGACGGGGAGTACCCACCGCTGTCGCCAATGTCGTTCACGTCTCCCGAAGAGATCAGCAACGAAGACAGCTAACATTAGCTCTGCTGCGTTTCGTGTTCTCTTTCTCCCATAGCATCACTTGCACATTCTTTATAAGCTCCTATCTATCGCCGCCTGTTTTCATTCTTGCTCTCATCTCTGATCACAATGTCCATGGTCATCGCAGTCCAACCACATCGTCATTCGCTGCATCTCCTCATCAGATCCGCCCTGCTGCTCTCGGCATGCGTTCATCTCACTGCGCTTCTGGCTCCGTCCCTTCGCTTTGCTCATTATGAGTCCACGCGCTGGACCCTAGCGGTCGCGCACACCCGGTTCGCTGCATATATTCTTGTGCAAGGCTGCCGTCAACCCCTCCTTCGCTTTCCCATACATTACGTTTGTCGCCTATTATGCGCATGCCCTGCGTCCAGTAGCGGAGCAAATTTAAACTAGAACCCTCGATGTATTTCTACCCAGTTAAGGACTGACGAGTCAGATGTTGCTTAATTGTGTTATCTGGGACTCTGCAAGTCACGAGTCGTGGCGCATACATACATCTTCTCCGGTCTGACCTTGCGTGTTTGCGGCTAGACTGGACGCGTTGATGGAGAAGGCAACCGGCGTCGGTGAAGTGATTATGTCGGGAGATGATCGCGCACGCTACCACCGCAGCGGCGTCAGTGGCACATGTACTTACAGATAGCTGTATGCAGGGAAGTGCTCGAGGTCAGTCCACGCTCGGACCGATGGTCGATCATGCACTGCCAAGGTTTCCCGGTATCAACTTCGACGGCAGACGGGTGAGAATTGAGACGAAGACAGGTAGATTGCGTCGCCTATGCAAGTACCTCGGCCAGGTCATCGTGTACGGCAGTATCAACGATACAACAGTCGCGGTGGTTATGATGCAGCATACATGTCATAATTACTACCTGCCCGGATGTTCGAGACCGCCGAGGAGCCTATGAAGCTCACGCACGGTGGACTCGGAGCCCGTGTTGCTCTCTGGCTGTCAGTGTTCATGGCCGGCATGCGGTGCTTGCTGGAAGCGCAGACCGCTGTGGAGACATGAGCATACGTGCGGGGAAGGACGGAGAATGGGGCGTACCAGTAGCTGCAAGGCGAATGGCATCGACGACAAGTTTAGTAGACTAGCAGCCATGAAAGGTAGCTACATACCCGCAGGGCTGGGGACCCGGGTTGTCCTGGATCATAGGTTAGAGCACATGTCGTGAACGTCAGGGCGGAAATACACACTAGGTTGATGTAAATCTTGGGATGGCCAAGAGGACCTATTCCTGCATCCGCTGTGAGGAACAATGAAAATGTACGGAAGTTGCAACACGTACCACCGTCGCAGACGGCCTTACGACCGTGAACAACGCGAATGGGCTCCTGGCTAATCATCTCCATAGCACTGGGAGGATTCGGCTGGAACTCCATGATGGTCTGTTCGAAACGAGGACCGGACTGGCCTTGGGGGCGGGGGCTCTGGCTGGTAGACCATGTCGACGGGTAGTTTGGTGATTGGGGAATTACCGCCTCCGGCGAGGGGGCTTCATGAGCGGGAGCTGGTTTAGAGGTAGAAGCTGGTGCAGAGGAAGTAAGGCGCGCGAGAGGGCGGGCAAGTCGCGGGAGCCTTCTTGCGAGCATGTTGGTCGATGTCACCGACGGCGGCGGCAGCGACAGCGTGTTGCACGCTGCGAAGGCGTGGGAACGTCACTCGGCCCATGGCCCGTGAGCAGCTCCGGGAACCGGAGAATGTCCGGAGATCACCGGGAATAGTGACCAGCGAGTGACGAGGGCCTAGAAAGGGAAGCTGTGACGTCGGACGCGTCGAAGGTTCCCGAGCAAGGCGGAATGGGCGAGAGCATACTCTCCCTCCCCACAAAGCGTAGGCTCATGCCCCGCTATATAGACAGGAGCCAGGCAACCCACCTTCGCCACCTACTCTCTCTAGTCCTATAATTCACAACTCACCATGGCGTCAAACTTGAACTTTACTGACAAGACGCAGGAGTCCCTCGGTGCTGCAGTGCAGCTTGCCAAGGACTATGCCAATGCACAAGGTATGCTCTGCGGTCTTCTGAACATCTCTAGCGACGTGTCAAGTAACATCTACTCCACAGTGCATCCAGCACATCTCGCATTTGTGCTTCTTAACGAGGGTGCAGGCGAACAGGGCCTTCCAGGAGGTGTCAGTTCCCAACCCTCCCAGTCCTCTTCATTATTCTCTTCCGTTATCCAGAAGACAGGCGGCGATCCAGTAAACTTATTTTTTGGTGTGCAGAGGCGTGAGCATTGACGCGTTCTCTTCCAGGCAATCCTCAAGCGAGGTCTTCAGAAGATTATTGTCCGACTACCAGCTCAGTCTCCACCCCCAGATGAAATCTCCCTGAGCTCCGGTGCCCTCAAAGTCCTCCGGGAGGCCGAGTCACTCCGGAAGACGATGCACGACTCGTACATTGCTCAAGACCACCTCCTTGCCGCTCTCATCAAAGACTCGTCCATTGCACCCGTTCTCAAGGAGGCAGGCCTCACAGAAGCCGCTCTTCAGACTTCCATCGAGCAGCTCCGTGGCAACCGTAGGGTGGAGAGCAAGAGCGCCGAACAGGGGTTTGATGCTTTAAACAAGTATGCCGTCGACCTCACCGCGCTCGCTGCGGAGGGCAAGCTCGATCCCGTCATTGGCCGTGACAATGAGATTCGGCGCGCCATCCGTATTCTGTGCAGACGGTAAGCCCATACGTCTTCGTGGTACCAGTGAAAATAACCACTAATATCGACTTTTCAGGACGAAGAACAACCCGATATTGCTGGGCGAGCCTGGTGTTGGTAAGACCGCCATTGCGGAAGGTCTTGCTCAGCGTATCGTCAACCGCGATGTTCCCGCATCGCTCATCGGTCGTCTCTACTCTCTCGATATGGGTGCGCTTATGGCTGGTGCCAAGTACAAGGGCGAGTATGAGGAGCGTGTTAAGTCGGTCTTGAACGAGGTCGAGAAGGCTGCTGAAGAAGGAGCAGGCATCATCCTCTTCATCGACGAGCTCCACCTCATCATGGCCGGGCGTGGCGCAGAAGGTGGCGGCATGGATGCGGCGAACCTGTTCAAACCTTTACTCGCGCGTGGCAAGCTCCGGTGTATAGGCGCGACGACGTTGGCGGAGTACAGGAAGTACATCGAGACGGATGCGGCGCTCGAGCGACGGTTCGCCCAGGTGCTGGTTAACGAACCCACTGTTGCGGAGACGATCAGCATTCTCCGTGGAATTCGTGATAAGTACGAGGTGCACCACGGTGTCCGGATCCTGGACGGCGCATTGATCCAAGCTGCAACGTTGGCTCATCGTTATCTCACCTCCAGGAGGTTGCCAGACTCTGCCATTGACCTTGTCGACGAGGCCTGCGCAAGGTACGTAGACTGCGTTCAGATGTGTTTCGAGTCTTTACCGACCTTTACCATTTCATAGTGTTCGCGTCACGCGTGAGACTGCGCCAGAAGCGATCGATAAACTTCGGCGCCGGAAGCTCGAGCTCGAAGTTGAGATCCACGCGTTGGAGCGCGAGAAGGACCAGGCGTCGAAGGAGCGGCTAGAGCACGCGCGCAAGGCGATCGCCGATGTGGGTGACCAGCTGCAGCCGCTGCAAGCTGCATATGAGGCAGAGAAGGCGCGCGGCGACGAGATCCAGAACGTGCGCCGGCGGATCGACGAGCTGAAGGCCAAGGCGGACGAGGCTGAACGTCAGTACGACCTCGCCACCGCGTCCGACCTGCGCTACTACGCGCTGCCTGACCTACAGAACCGACTTGCACAGCTGGAGGCGAAGAAGGCAGAGGAGGACGTGGCGATGGGTGGAGGTACCGATACCGTTACTCCTGAACAAATTTCGGAGATCGTCGCGCGGTGGACGAACATCCCCGTCACGAGGCTGTTGAGCACGGAGAAGGAGAAGCTGCTGAGGATGGAGAAGATCTTGTCGCAGAGCGTCGTAGGCCAGCCAGAGGCCGTCAGAGCGGTGGCAAACGCAATCCGACTCAGCCGGAGTGGATTGGGTAACGCCCAGCGGCCGATTGCAAGCTTCCTCATGGCTGGCCCTTCGGGAACGGGTAAGACACTCTTGAGCAAGACAGTAAGTATTTCATACTCTGCTATGCAAATCATTTTAATCCCTAACGCGTTTTCTTCTAGCTCGCGACCATTCTCTTCGACTCGCCTGACGCAATGATCCGTATCGACGGCTCTGAATACTCGGAGAAGCACTCCATCGCACGTCTGATTGGTGCACCCCCTGGGTATGTTGGCCACGACCAGGGCGGACAATTGACGGAGTATATCCGCCGGAAGCCGTACTCCATTGTCCTCATCGACGAGATCGAGAAGGCCGCGCGGGAGTTCGTGACGCTCTTTCTACAAGTGCTCGACGACGGTCGGTTGACCGACGGCCAGGGCCGTGTCGTCGACTTCCGCAACACCGTGATCATCATGACGAGCAACTTGGGGGCGGCGTTCCTTAACGATATGGGCGAGGGACCAGTGAAGTCCCAGACACGGGAGCTGGTCATGGGTGCCATCCGTGCACACTTCCCGCCCGAATTCATCAACCGTATTGACGACATCGTCATTTTCGTGAGTATCCTTGCCGACCTCTGTGTCACGATGGTGCGTACTGACGGTGACTCTTGCAGCGTACGCTTTCGAGAAGAAATGTCCTGAAGATCGTCGACATCCGGCTCAGGGAGGTCCAGGAGCGTCTCGTAGATAAGAAGATGGTGCTCGACCTCGACGACCAAAGCAAGGAGTATCTGATGTCCATCGGGTACTCACCCATGTATGGCGCGCGTCCGCTCAACCGCGCGATCCAGAGCGAGCTCCTCAACCCGCTATCCGTCATGATCCTTTCCGACCGCATCCGCGAAGGCGAAACGATCACAGTGCGCTTCGATGGCCCTCATAATCGCTTGCAGATCGTCCCGAACCATGAGCCCAGTGTGGACAGCATGGACGTTGATTATGATGTGTCAGACCTGGACGACATCGACATTGAAGAGATGGATTGAGGTGACTGTATAGGTTGAAGTGCATTGTGCACTGGACTCTGAGGAATTGTAAGCTCAACTGTAATACTCTGTAGCATATATACCGCAAGCATTTGTAGGATAGTAACATCACAGAAGCATTTTCTTGGTCTCTGTTGCATTTTCATCGTGTTCACCTGAGGTTATTCGAGACGTCGTCTTCAGGACAAAGTTTGGCAGCAATCACAACGCATCCGCATGTAATTATATGAGTCACACATGGGTAAGACATCTTCAGTAAAACTTATATAGCAAATTATACCAATGCTAATCTGAAGACTCCAGTGAGACATCCTCCTCTTCTATCTTGACGCCCTTATGACTCGTTGCGGGCAGCTCTCGTCGAGGAGGCCAGGGCGGGTGATGCTGAGGCTTCTTCCAACCAATCTTCCACTGCGACGACAATCAGGAAGACGCATCTCACTAGAGGCATGAACAAACTTGCCTGCTTCTTCTCCTGCCACATCACAATTCCCATTTGGTCGAGGTGGTCGTCGTAGTGTGCCGACACCATTGTCTTAAAGCAGCGGCGCACCCACCGATCCCGGATCACCCATCCGCCGGCCTTCATCTTGCGCACATCCTCGTCGCTCAGCGCCTTGCAGTTCTCGTCGGACATATCCAGGAGATTGATCATGTAGCGGCAATCCGCTGCCGGGCAGACCCAGCGGAAGTGCAGTGGTAGCAGGGGTGGGTACATGAACTCGATCGGAAGGAGCGCCATGATCTCGGGGTTGGGGGGCGTGGATGGACGGGATGGGAGTGATGCGCTGGATGAGGAGGGGGAAGCGGGCGGCGTTGATTCGGGCGAGAAGTCACTGTCATACGTACGCAGTGTGGTCGGATTGGGTGCATTGATGCTTGTGTTCTTGCCATAACGTGACACATCATGGTGGGTGGTGGATCGTGAACCGGATGCTGTTGACAGCGTCCGTGATGAAGGGGTCTGAGTTTGCTATATAGTGTAGAGAAATACGAGTCAATAATGATGATGATAAAGGCTGCTCACCTTCTTTTGCTTCTTCGCCTTCCCTCTTCTACGTGGCATTGCAGGAATGTCATCCTCATCCGCGTCACTCCCTTCTGGTGTTAGCGTGGCAGGCAATTGGGCGTCATCCATCACACCCCATCGGACATCTGCGTTACGCGCCTCCCTCCGCCCTCTCCTTACATCTACTACCCACTCTGCCCAAGCGTCTTGATTAAGGTACTTCTTCTTTCGCTTGCTGTGGTCCGCAAGGATCCACTCTGCGTGCGTAGCCAACAGAGACAACACCTCCGCTCTGGGTAGGTGGCGCAAAGTGCGCTGGCGTCCTTCCTTTAGTTGTCCGTTCGTGTCGGGTTCGATATCGGAGTCAGATGATGTATACACAAAACGCTGTTTGCTCGCAGAAGCTGCATATGCCATGTGTTTTAGATAAAGATCCGCAAACCAGAATACTGTGCGCTCAATCACGGGTGTCCCATCGGGGTCGTCTGTGTTAGTCTGCTTGTCGAGCTTGATCAACTGCTGCATCACTTTAAGGGTACGATAACGATGCAGGTGCTAGGCATGCTGCATTGAAAAGGGGAACAAGATCAAGAAGTACAATGCTCACCAGTCGACTTGGCTTGTAAGTTGAGACATCCATAGTTTTCACTTCATATTGTCGATTTCTGGGTTCGAGAGGGTTTAATAGATAGAATTTAAAAACTAGGCTTCAGACAGACCTATCCCTGGAAGTCAGAAGGAGACCGTTTGGCACAAGCTTGGCTGGATTTTAAGTGTCAGGATCGAAGGTGGTATCCTTACAGAAATAAACATACAAAACAAGTAAATAGCAGGCATGTTCTTGACTCCTTGTACAACCACTTTAATCGTCAGTCGGCGTGCATAGATATTGTCCAGTGTAAGAGTAGACCGCGCCACTCCGCCACTGCTGATGCGAGACTGAACGTCTCTGTTACGGACGTCGTCTTCAAGAACCTTGCGCGCCCAGGGAGTAAGCCATGTAAGTTTTTTGACTTTCAAAACACCGCGGAAGCGGACACCGTAGGCTCTGATGCGTGATACTGCGTATTCGGGTTGGCAGGGTTCACATTCAGTGAGGCTAATATCTGGTAGTATGAGACATGCTGCTGCTGCTGCCATGCGTTCAGAGCGCTGACCCAATAGGTTCTCCTCCACATTCTAGCATTACATTTTCTAGCTCCAGGACCCCAGTTGGCACAGACTTGCACGTCTCGGTCAAGATATCACCGTCGCGGTACGGGCCAAACGGCTGATCCAGCAGGTCCATTTCCAGCGTTTTGACAGAAGTATCCAAGCAAGTATCAATTCCACGAAAGATAAAATGCAAGATGTCGAGTCGAGTCCAAGCAGTCAGAGCGCTAGGATGGCTTGGTGGCGCCGCGTGCTCGACGCGTGCTCGCGATGGCACGTGAGACTGGCGCCAAGAAAGGAAGTGTCGGCCAGCCGCCACCGCTCTGGAAATTCACCTCTGTTCATGAAGTGTGGCTATGAACTTCATGGCGAGCGTCGACAGCGGCGACTCACAAATCTCTATCCCAGTCGGCATCACCATTGGTCTGCTAGCATCCTTCGTCCAGTCTCTCGGTCTGACTATCCAGAGAAAGAGCCATGTCCTGAATCAGTCGCTACCTGAAGACGACAGGAAGGTGGAACACCGGAGACCGTGAGTCTCACACGAGATCATCTCTGCGCGCATTGCTGACCTTCCACAGGCTATGGCTTCTAGGCTTCGGTATGTGGCATGCCATATGTTGCAGATAGATGTTGATCTCCTGGTTCCAGGTATTTTCATCTCATCTAATTTGTTTGGTTCCGTCTTCCAGATCGCTTCTCTGCCCATTGTCATCCTCGCGCCGCTCGGCGCAGTCTCACTCCTGTGGAACGCATTCTTCGCCCGTCTGCTCCTTGGAGATGTGTTCTCTCCCTGGATGTTCATTGGCACATTCCTCATCGCTGGCGGCGCCGTGCTCATCGCCATTTTCGGCATCGTTCCCGAGCCGACACACTCACTCGAAGACCTCCTCGTCCTGTTCAGTCGTCCAGTATTCGTGGCGTACTTCTCCCTACTGGGTTTTGCTGTATTTGTGTGTCTTGTCATTGTAAGCACCTGCATCACCTTTGCACGTCAGTGTGTTGAATCAGGGGCATGCAGACACATATAGTAGAATATTCCTATAGCCGCCGTGTATCTCTCCAAGATGTTTCCCCTCCCCTTTCACCACTGCTGGTGGCAACGACCGCGCCGTCCATTCTCACGACTGCCACGACAGCTAGCGTCGCAGGCGACCACCCAACCGAACGTACCGCGCTTCTTGATGGGAAGCGCGACTCCCCTCGTTCAAAGTCTTCCTCCCCTTCTACCGCATCCTCTGTCCACTATTTCTACTTCCATGAAAAACTGTCACGCACCCCAGCACTACTTGCGGCATCATATGCCTCCTTCTCAGGCATCATCTCGGGCATGTGTCTCATCTTTGCCAAGAGCGGCATTGAGCTACTCTTGTTAACGATTAGTGGTGACAACCAATTCTGGAGATGGCAGGCTTGGGTGCTCATTCTTAGCTTGGTGTCATGCGCGTTGCTACAGTTGTGGTACATGCACAAAGGTTTGGTTTTGGCCGACCCAACATTAGTCTGCCCACGTACGTCTTGACGGTAGACATGACACGGTTTCCCAAATACTGACAATGTATTCATCTCATCAGTGGCATTCTGCTTCTACAATCTCTCATCCATCTTGAACAGCCTGGTATACTTCGACCAGTTCTCACTTCTCTCCACTACACACATTCTTCTTGTGAGTCTAGGCATATTCGTTTTACTTGCCGGTGTCTTTGTCGTCAGTTTCCCTTCGACTGGAAGTTACGGCGTGGACGTTGGTACGTGGACTGAAGGCGAGCCTGTGGATGAAGAAGATTCCATCGTCGAAGAGCCGGAGGATTACGAAGGCGAGCCGCTGCCATTACACCGGCGTTCGCAGACACTTCCCGCCACCATCGGCGAAGAGATCACTGACGAAGAATCGGCGCTCGACCTGCACACCGCGCAGTCGCCGACGCCCTCGTTGCCTACCCGACCCCCACTCACGTCCGGCTCTCCCCTACGGACACGCACACTTCACATGCGACCCCAATCTGACACCGTGCTCGCACCGACTTCGCCGCTCCGCTCGCGCTCCTACAGGGCAACCAGCCCTACACCCTCAGGCTCGCGACGCCGGCGCCGCACGACGATCACGGGCACTGTGCAGAGCCCGCCGCACCCGAGCACGCTCTCGCCGAGCGCGTCTGGGCTGCCCGCGTTCTCCATCGGGCTGTCGCCAATGAGCCCCGGGTTCTCACTCGTGCCCAAGGAGCGCCGCAGGCGCGTGCTTGGGCGGGATAGTATGGTGCCCTCGGGCGCCGACGAGGGCGCGAACACTCTGGGGCGGAGGGACTCGCTGTTTGGGGCGCCGTGGCTGCGGAGGACGGTGAGCGAGGGGGCTGTGGACCGACCGGTGGCGGCAGGTGCGGACGAGGAGCGCGGTGAGGGGGGTGAAGGAGAGGCGCTGCTGGGACCGGCATCTCCTCGGGCAAGGGTGCGCTGGAAGTGGTTGCGCGATGCATTCACTGGGAGAGGTCTGCGACGTAGCTGATGTGTTCCGGCTGGGTTTCGCTGGCACTGGTATGCACGCAATGTGATTGGGACAATCTTCGTGATGACATTACATTTTAATTTATTTACATTGCATACTGTGATTGGATTAAAGGTTGTGTGTTGTTTACAATGTTTACAATACGATATCCGCCTTCGCCCCAGTGGGCTTAGGACATGTCTACGACAGGCCTCGACGAACCAAGTATGTATGGAGCAGCGGATCTACGATGGCATGAGCGGGACGTTGGCCGGACTAGCACTCCGCTACCTGGAGTACAGGATCACCGGTGATAAGACCATGTAGGTGGATGGGGGTTACGCCGGAAGAAAGGAGGGGAAAGCATCAACCAAGGACCCTCTGTACCAACCCCTTACATAATCCAACCCGGTTGCCCAGCGGGAACATGAGCGAGCATGAAGTCCGCTGTGAACGGCAGTCGTCCATCCTAGGACAAACGATGATGGTTCATGAATGCGACAGACCGAGTGGTAGAGGAAGTGACGATGAGCTGGTTGGCGTGCTGCGGGGATGGATGTGCGATTGGACTGGTGGATGATGGTGAGGGTGTGTCTGGCTGCGTTTGCCCAACGTCGGGAACGCCAACTCCGTACGCTGGATGCCCATCATGGGGCGGGTATAGAGGGTTGGATGAGCTATCGGCGACGATAAAATCCCACATTCATCGAGGCCGGGACGACAACATGGTGGTTGTTGTTGTTCAAGAGATACCCTCCGCTGTGCCTTCATAACCATGGCAACGCGATGCAGCACGATGTAGTGCTCGACGTATTAGGATGGTTTAACAATCGTGCACCAATGGTCAGAGATGAGCTAATCCTATGGATCAATGACGTGACTTGAGTGCAAAGCCTCGGAGGTGAGTAGCATGGAGGCGGACAGTATAATGCCAGCAACTTGGACGCGGTATAAGTAAGGTTAGCTCGAACGTGGTATCAGAGCAGACATCAGAACGAATACTTATCGACCTGACAAGCTAACCGCCGACGTGCCTCAGTGTCTCTCGATGTGCGACTGTGTCGATCGAGGAGGGGACTGGCGACGACAGTCCTCGACAGTCCAGAGTAGAAGTCGGAAAGTCATACGAATTCCTAGGCATGACGGGAGGTGGACACGGTGTGAGAAACACCGCTCCGAAATAGTCATCTAGCGAAGCTCTGGAAGAAGGAACGGACTTCTTTGCTTAGAGAGACCGCATTTGGCGGTAGTAACTGCTGGCTGCTGACAGGGCATCGCAACTTGTATGTGGAGCAAAATGCCGCAGCTGCATAGAGACTATCTGACCAAGTGACTGATATAGACAGCGAGCGCTAAATTGAAGCAGGTGGAGCAGGCTGCATTGTGGGAGATGCCAACAGGAAGAAACATGCACGTAAGCGTACGAAGAGACGTTGTGGGAAGACGAAGGTGAACGGTGAAGGCGACTCGCAGCTGGCGGTGTCGGTGGGTGGAAAAGGGATAGTGGCAGGTGGGTATCTGCGACGCCGATCGTGATAGGCGGACCTTCCTGAAACAGATACAGCACTCCCGTCCACATGGCAGATCTCGATCACCGCAGGCTTCGCGTTCTCGCGTATGTCCACGTGACCGCGACTGGTCATACAGCGCTGCCAGCGCAACGCAGAGAAGGCTCATTTTTAGGTAGACCTGTTGGCTGAGAAATGTACGCCAGCGTGTCAGACGTCGGGGTGAGTGCAAGGGTCAAGAGTGGCCGGAAAGGAGAGCAATGTGAGTGGGAGAACGTTTGTAGTTAGCGCTATTAGCAGCGGAATGAAGCGGCGGCGAGAAAATTCTGACGGTCATATATGTGAGTTGGTCGGTTCGTGGTCGGCTCATTGGTCGAACTGGTTTCAGCCGGGCCAGCGTTCGTAATCGCCGCTATTCCATCACCGCCATTTCTTCTGCTCCTACCCAAAGGCCCTTCCCAGCTGGGCCCACACCTTCCTTTCTCCCTCTCGCTCATTTCTCCTCGCCCTGCCAATCTGCCCTTGCCATGCATGCACGAACAAGGGCAAATGCCCCGGTGCAGCCCTTGGCCGTGTCCGCGACCCCCTTGATCGGCGAGAGAATACTAAAGTCTCGCTGGTCAGAGGAAGAAACGCCGCGCTCGCTCTTACCCTCCTCTCTCGCCCGCAGACCCACCCAGAAGTCCAATCTCAGCCTCAAGTCGGCCAGCAGCCTTTCAAAACGAGACCAAGGCCCATCGTCGCCCAGGCCGAACGCTGCTCGCACACCACGTCCCATTCCAGCACCTGACCCGATCATTACCATTTCCGCCGCGTCCAACTTGGGCACCAACAACAACCACGACAGCGCCGGCAACCACCACCCCCTCGCTCCTTCCACCACCGGCGAGAGCACCAGCTACCACAGCGTCCTCGACGACTCCCACGACGAGCTCGATTACGTGACCGTCGAGCACCCAGGGCCTGCTGACTCTGCCATCGTCTCCCGCCCAGATAAGGCCTCGCGCGTCTTAGGTATCAGGCACCGCAAGGAGATGGAGCCTATACCCGCTTCGAACCGCACATCTATCGCGTCCGCGCGTTCTGCACCTGCCATTTCTGTCAGCGCTCCTCCTCCATCTTCCTCTGGTCCTACCATGCCTCTAGCTTCTCTCTATGTCGTTTCCGGTCTTCCCAAAAGTCCTTACACATGGACGCTTGCTGATCCCGACTCTGTCCTGGGTCTCCACCACAGTGACGGCGCGGTGGGCAGGTGGTGGAGGCCCGAAGTATTGGGCAGCACCGTCAGTCCTGGTGCAGGCGGCGGCAGGCGCAAGAAGAAGGGCAAGACCGAAGAGAGCACTAGCGTCTTCAGTAGCTCTGGCCATCTGAGCAAGCAGGAAGTCGGCAAGATGCTCTCAAAGGCTCTCAAAGTGCGCGTCTCTATGGTTCTACTCGCATACCAGTTGACTTCCTCTTCCCACAGCTCTCCTTCACGCGTGAAATCGAGATCATTGCGTCCACCTTGCAGCCCGCGTCAACCGTCCACACCTTCACGTTTACCCTTCCCGCGCCCTCCACCCCGCTCGCGCCCTGCGCTTCCACGGACCTCCTGCGCGCCTCCGTCCTCAGCGGCAACTCCGACCCACACTCTTCCATCGTGACGTTCCCGTACCCGTACACGGACGACCCCTTCGCGCGTGCACGCCCCTCCTCCGCGTACCTGGGCCCGCACTTCCTCTCCCCGCACTCGCAGTCCGCCGGCACGCGCGACCTCGCGCTCGGTGCAGGCGGCGTCAAGGCCGGCGCGAACAACACGGTCACGTACCACGGCGTGTGCCTCACCGTGTGGTCGCACGCGGACGCGGAGCGCACCACGGCAATCCGCCGCACCCTCGAGGCGGGCCGCTCGCGCAAGGAGTCCGCGCAGTCCCTCGTCGCGGCGCGCATGAAACAGCACGGGACTGCGGATCCGGCTGCACAGGCCCGGCGCCGTGCGCGGATGAGTGCGCGGGGGCCGTGGGGAGGCCCAGGGACCGATGCTGAGACTGACGGGGATGGCGAGACGGACGGTGAGGGCGGCGCGGTCAGCGAGAGCGACTTTGAGGTCGCGAGCACGGTTGGGCATACTCCGGGCGAGAGCACCCTGTTCTTGCCAGGCGATACCGTGTTCTGGTTGCCGTATGCGCTGAGTAAGAGTTTGTCGTTACCTGCACAACTGACACTAACCACTGGTATTCAGCGCTGGTATCGAGGTATCCCATCTACGACCTCATGCGGGACTACTTGACTCTTTCGTGGGCACGGTTCTCCAAGGATGTCCAGTCGCATACTCTGCAGATCAGCAAGATTCTGTCACATCCTGCCCCACGTCCGGGCGAGCTCGTTCGTCTGGACGCGTCTTCCGCTCCAATTCCTTTGTCTTTAGCTGGCGGGCCTCATGGGCACACGGAAACGAGCTTGGAGGTCGTAGCGCGCTTCCCTGGCGGCTTGGACTTCGGTCGTGGGCTGGTGGATGTAAACTTCACCATGTGGCCGCTCTTCAAGTGTCTGAACATTGATAACATCCTAACTATCTGCGAGGTGCGCACCTTCCTTGGTACGTTTGATCCGCATACTCATATTCGTCTGTTCGCAGATCGCATTGGCGCCTACCGGCCGCATCCTATTTTTTTCGAGGCACTCGGCCATTCTCGGTATCGCTGTGTTGACGATCAAGTATCTCGTGGAGTTGCGCGGATGGAACGGTGTCGCGCTTTCGTCTGTGCACTCCCGCGATGCGAAGATCTACATTGATGATCCTGGCCCGTGGATCATGGGTCTCGCTACCGAGGTGCGGTATTGCGTGCGGGCTCCAGCGGAGGTCTGCGTTGTCGACCTGTAGGTCTTCGGTGTATCTTGACGTTTTCTGAGGCTCACCTGCAAGAATTATCTTAGGGATATCAACTACTTGAATTGTCCCGCGCCTCCGCCTGGGGTCGTCTCGACGAAGCAGCAGCGCGACAAGTATAGGCAAAGGCTGCTGGCAGCTTTTGAGCCGCACTATCATCCTGATCACGGTGTCCCGAGGTCGGCTAGTTCATAGTCGTCGATCGTGGGCTTCCTGACATTTTTTTTGCAGTGAGTTCAAGGAGGCGTTTCCCGCTGGACGGTTCCGACCGGTATGCAAAATCCAGGCTAAGCGGGGCGCTGCGTCCACTGCGGTTGCAGACATGGTCAAGCCTCCGGAGTGGTGGCATTCCACACGCATCATCCAGGCTTTCGACAGCGTCCTGGCGGAGAGGGTGTGTAGCATTCCAGTGATGACATTTGTGCATAGCTAATACTCTGCGAACCTCAGATGAAAAAGCCGTCTCTGCTCAAGCGCATCAGCTCCTTCGGTTCTGTGCGCCCGCTGCCGCGCCTCACGGTCGCCGAGCAGCACATCCAGCTGTCGATCCGCAAGCGCGCGACAGCGTTTGTCGATGCGCGGGACGACCTCGAGACGAAGATCGGGCGGCTCTCGCGCCGCCTCAACTTCCTCATGACGGAGTCGGACCTTTGGCGTGACAAATTCGTCACGTTTGAGCAGTACGCGGAGAAACTCAGCGTGGAGGCGAACGACCTCCGTACGAAGATCAACAAGGAGCAGCGCGAGACGAAAAGGCTCTCGAGCATGGTCACGATGACCGCCGCGGAGAAGGCCAAGCTTCAGTCCCGTAAGTGTAGAGATGTAAGCCGCATCGTCGCCTGCAGATGCTAAGTGATATGGTTTTCACCTGCAGAGTTGAAGGACACCGAGACCGCCCACAAGGGCGCTCTGGAGGAGCTCGAGATGATGAGGCAGACGATGGAGAAGATGGAGGAGGAGCGCGCGGAGATGATCGCGGAGGTCGAGGCCCAGATCGAGAGCGCGCTGGCGTCCATGGCCGTCGACATGGACGAGTCCGACTACGGCTCGCGCCCCAGCAGCCGCCTGTCCTCCCGCTCGGCACCGAGCACGTATCGCCGACCGACCGAGTCCCGATCCAGAGGACTCCGCTCGTTTGGCACCGAGTCTACGTTAGTGGACTCGTATGAAGGCGATGAGCGGGATGAGCATGCCAAGACCCCGCTCTCAACAGGCACAGTCATGGAGGTGGACGAGGAGCAGGAGGAGGCGCCGCCCAAGAAGAAGCGCTTCTCAGCTAGCCATGGTGAGTTGCCCCAGGACGGCATGACGGCCGTAGACGAAGGCATCAGCCAGAAGAGCGACAAGATTGCACAGAAGGTGCTTCAAATCCAACGCAAGGTCATTTGTGCCACCCTGTCATTTGGTTTACGTGACTGACGGATCCTCCATTTCAGCTCGAGTCCGCGTTGGAGCGTCGTTCTTTGGAAAGTCAGGTTAGCGAAAGCGACTTGTCGGAAACACCGAGGGCATTGCGGTCCCGTCTCGCCAAAGGTGGCCGGGCCTCCAGTAGAACGTCTGGGAAGAGCAGAAATTTTACAGCTTCAGCACCTGGGACGGGTCATCACAGCCCCAGCACGCAATCATTTGCCACCCGTGTTCCCGAGAGGCCTACATCTCCAACACGAGATGACGTGCAAAGTGATCATGTCCAGACCGACTCTCCGCCTACGGAGTCTTGGACCAAGCAGGACGTTCGTTTGTCTGGTTTGCGCAAAATCCCATCGACGGTATCATTGAGCGCTACTCGGCCGAAATCTCCTAGCATGGTCACTCCTACCACACCCTCACTGTCAGTCGGAGCGGGCGTTTCCACAGACGATGAGGATACCGACTTCCAGAGTGCATACTCCACGAGCCCCAGAGCGAGCTACGGCAGCTTCGACAGTTATTCCTCGGGAGCATTCCATACTAGTGACACCGAGCACGGGTCCCCTATATCTATCAAGGACCAGTCTTATATCCAGCCTATCATCAAGAGCAGAGAGCGGGTGTCTAGTACGGCTACTGCAACGGCATCGAAGATCCGTAAGGGCAGTAGAGCTAGCGAGGATACCGTGATCACAGCAGCGCCGCCGACTGCCAACATTAATGAGTGAACTACTCATACCTTCACTGCGTATATTATTCATTCAGTTTATTTACACTATTGGTTTACTTCTTCCCTTTTCTCGTATCGCATATGTCTGTTTTGCCATGTCATTTTCTCACGCATTTATCCTCTTGCCACTGTCCGCTTACACGTTCATTAATCGACAGTTGTAGTCCACATTACATTCGTCTACCTTGCACAGTCCATACACCAGGAAAACTATGAATACAGTCAGTTCGATATCATTGGGAGAGTATTCCAACACTAAGAGTCCATTCGGCGCCGCGCGTTGAATGATTTTACCACTGAGGCGACTTGGCCGAAGAACCACGCCTGCGAAGTTTTGTCGGGTATGAATACAAACTTGTCTTGCTCCTTGCCCGCCTTGTGTGCGAATCTGAGCCCAGTATCCTCAATTGTGACACCTTGAACGAGCGTGAATTGTAGCTCCCAGTCCAGACGCAGCGTCTTTGACCAAAACGATAGCACTCTTGACGCAGTCAGCAGCACAACATTATCCCCTCCAGGAAGATCTATGCAAATGTGAGGCGCCTTCAAAGATCTTGTGGCCAGCGGAGACTTACTGATATGTGCGACATACAACTCCTCACGGTATGCACCGTTGTCCAGGTCTTTCATCCAATATTGACCTAATGCTTCACGTTCAGAATAAGGCTATATGGATATTGAGTGATTCGAGGTTCTTTCACAAGGATAGAGTGGGGCAATATTCACCACGAGCACTCCATCAGCAGGAATAAGACGAGGCTATCAAAGCACGGGAAGTCTGTCATATCATTCAAAGCCATATCAAAATGCTGGGAGAACGTACAAATCTAACGCGATCCCGTGCAGGGTTATCAAATACGGTGGTGGTGTTCCGAATACCTGGACCACTTCAATCAATGGAACGGCGGTATACAAGGCAGTGTAGCCCACCTTCACTCAGATTGGAAGCGAGATCGAGCACACCGACAACAGGCTTCGTCACAGCACTACATCGCCCAGTGGACAGTGCTTCAGTATCCTGGGCATAACTATTGCATCACACATACCCAATCAGACCTTTTCCAACACCTTTGAAAAAGCCCTTCGCTCCTTCGGATTCTGCACCTTCGATTGGTTTCATCTGGACTACGACGTTAATAAAGTATAAGGGAAAAGCTAACAATCGCGCAGCGCACCACGACGCCCTCCATGCCGCTGACGAAGCTACTGGCAAATGCTTCAGCTCCCGCGGTGACTCCATATCTGAATAGGAGCAATGAGCATCAGACTTGAAATCGTGGCATACAAGCTTACATGGCATGACGAGGTCGATTGCGTCTTTGGTTCATTCGTCGCCGCAGCTGGTATTCCGAATCAAACGTTGTTACAGAAAGACCTGAATCCGATAAGACGAGTAAGCCTCAGCGTTATCTGACTCGAAGCCATGAGCACCTTTCCCGACGCTGCTTGTGAATTTGGTCACGCTATCAGAGAAACCAAATACCGTCTTCTTCACGAAGCTCGCAGCTCCCTATAAACGTTAATGATATGTCAAAGATGCGGTAGCGGTCGTAACTCTCCGTACCTTAGCGATGCCAATACCAAGCTCGGAGTTTCCATGCATAACAACGCCATTGAAAGGTTCATAGAATATGTCTGCAACCCCCGAACTGACGTTAGTGAAGAGTCCGACAGGGTTACCGATGAAATCAGCGGAGCCGAGAATGCGATATAACTGTCGTAGCACTTCTTGAGAATAATGATGCATGATGCGCCCGTGGAGGTCAGGATAGGTTAGACGCATATCCTTGATGGCCAGTGCATTCATCTCGAGTGGTGCATCATTGACGTTTCCCAGCGCCATAGTGATTGCGTTGACAACAACCGCGAACGGATTCCGGATGCTGACCCTGTATATTACGTTAAATGCAAACTAAAATTTGGGTGTTATTGCGGAGACTCACTTCTCGTCGCCATTGACTCTCTCGGTGCGCATGAAGGAGATAGAGAGTCTGATCGGCTGCAGTTCCAGTACCTCGAAGTACAAGTCTTCACCGGCAGTGATACTTCGTGGTTCCGGAATCTCGTCGGGATATTGGATTAGGATGCTGACAACAGTCCGTCAGCTTCTCCTTCCAGGCATGGCAGGATGACGCACTCCTCTTGATCTTCGTCCCAAGAGGCCCCCTTGATCTTCGTCAAATCAAATACAGAAAACAGGAAGTCTTCATCCGCCTCAATTGTGAGAGCCTGCAGGAGTATGGAACAGTACTTGACAAAGAAAACCCCATGCTCTGTAATGTTAAGACGAATTAATTACTTCGTGTCTATTAGCGAGAATAATGCCATTACCTTGATCTTTGAGCCAGATCGTACTACCTTGAACCGTCGGAAGAGACGCAACACTGGACGCACCACTGTTTGCCTCCTTCGATACTGGCGTGGGTTGAACGACGACAGGGAAGAGAGCGTCATGCAGCTGGTTGTCTAACTGGAAGTTTCCGCAGCATAAATTCACAGACTGGGAAACATCGCTGTCCGTGTAGACGAAAGTCAGAGCGTTCAGTGACAGATAGACGACCTCCGTCATCCTCCGGTTGATCAGGGAGACGCCGATGCCTGCAAAATCAAGAGACAACGTGAGAGATGGAGGCACCTCCTCTTGCACAGCTTCGAATGCATCTTGACTGCTGCTAATCGTGTCTTGTCGCGCAAGTGAGACAGTACTGCCACGCTTCGGCCTGTAAAGGCTGTGCTCTGCGTCATAGTTGGAGATCCGCAAGATCTGCTTATGTGCATCCGCACGAACATCCAGCGAAACGGTACGGATACCTTGACCTCCCTGCTTGATTTATGTCAGTCTTATCCATATCCATACATCCGTCAAACGCACCGAGAATCTGAATGGAACGAGATCACCAATTTCCATGATGTCGATTGCACGCCGCGAACCGTTGGTGATGAGTACCAATTTTTTCTCTCTGCATGCAGGGTAATCCCATGCATAACCTATACTAGATTTCGCGGACACAGAGTATGTTGGCGTCGGTCGGGTCGTAGGCTCCGCTACTGAGTTGTACCGAGTCTGATCCTGCAGAAGAAATTATTACAATATTGAAGGGGCCATTTCAAGATATACGCGCCGTTTGACAGAAAGTAAACGAATGATCGCTATCATTCTCAATCGTGAACGGCCACCCTTCAGGAGCTTGGGATATATGTATGAAAATAGTAGATCCGTCGATCTTAACGTCGGCACGCATGAGATACAGCTCCGGGTGGTCACTTATTCCTTGAAGACGGAAATGGACAGTGCCTATATCTTCGATGTTTATTGGAGCGGACCTAGATGAGCAGGTGAGGATCAGAGGTAGCAAATTGGGAAGAAGAAAAAGTAAGAGACCATCGTGCGTTCAAACCAGGAAGTGCAAGAGTGAGGAGCTTTTCATCGCCTGCGCGAATGAAGTGCAAGGGGCAACGTTCGTCGGGATCAAGTGTTGAGCGGCCTCGCGGCGCAACACCATGTTCACGGAAAGAAATAGCTTCCGAGAAGTTATTCTTGATGATGAATCTCGGGGTCAGAGTGATGACTTTCGTCAGCTTATATTTTCCTAGACCCTCGGTCCACGAAAGACCAATGTGAATTTCTTCCAGTCTCTGCGTTCGAGACGAAATAACTAGTCTTGCATCGGCTGCAGGTGCTTCAAGGCTAACCACCTATGTCGTCTGTCAGCTCTACGCATGAGTTTCCAGATGCGCGCTACAGTACCTGAGACCAGCTTGAGTCGCCGATCTTAAAACTGAACTCTTTGCCCTCGTCACTGGATCGTGACAACACTGAACACTCCGAGTGAGAAATTCACTGTAAGTGATGTTTTGCCAGCACTCACTGAAAGGGGTCGGGGTCGACAAGACATCTAAACACTTGTGAGAACACGCTACTTCGAGTGCAACGAATGCTGACTGCTAACCTAGTCTGGTTTCTCCTGCGACATCTTGCGACGAGCCCATTCGGTTTGAGCTGGAGGGTCTAACAGCAAAGGGCAGCCCGGTTTTGTTCACGATGAGGTAAGGGCAGTATATCTGCACCTTGAATGACCCTCCACCGTCGGAATGACGCCTATGGAAGTTCAGTTCACGAACAGTGAGGTATTCGTCATGTACATACACGTAGTTCAATCTCAGGTCCAGTTTGCGATCAAAGGAGTCTCTCAGAGTCAGTCGGCTTTCGATGTCGAAATCAGAATTGCCATCGGTGTTGATTATAGCAAATTCGCTCGGTTTGAATGCTGTTACTATCAATCGTAAAAATCGGCACAGTATGATGAGCCACATACATACCAGTGTCTTGAACATGAACATTGAGTAAAATGAGGTGCCCTAGCTCAACCGAGTGAACAGGCATGATTCCCCCTTTGCGGAGATAGCTCCGCCAATTCTGGTCAGTGTCCTTGTCATAGATGCGATATTCCAAGTTGTAAGGAAGTAAATTCTCTAATTCGATGGGCGCCCGCAGCTTCAAAGTCATCTTTGGGATCTTCCTGAGATGCATAGTGAGACATGTGGGACCACACATCAGAAAATTCCTACCGAGCATGAACATCACCGACATCGGTTTCAACCCATGCTTGGAAGCGAAATGCAGCCTCAGTCGGGTCGGCATGCGGACATCTGATAGTGAACCTGCGCCTCGCGAGAAGATCTTCCCACCGGATTGCGGGTGACCACTTATAACCGAAACCCTCTGGAGAACCTATTATTGTGGCATTACTGACTAGCTGATTGACTGTAACGTACGATCTGGTTGCAACCTGACTCGGTACTGGCTTACTGCTTCAATAGGGAGAGCGTAATCTTGGCCTGGTGCTGTTCACATCCTGACATGAGTGACATGCCTGCACGAACGGTAAATCTCGTACCAATCTTTTCTACTGAATAAACTGGTTGTCCAGCATCGTCTACCAGTGTCAACTCGAGCGGGTACAACGTCTCATTTTCAACTTTGTACGTTGAACGAAAAGTCACTAGCTTGACGTTGTCTTGCACCTTTACTTCGCATAGTAGGCGATGGTTATACTTCTCTATTCGAGGTCTTAAAGAGAAGGTGTATTCTCCTTCGCGATCGACTGGGATGCTGCGCAATTGTTCCCAGGACTTGCCAACGATCTGGACTCCTAAGCTATTGTGTCCGCTCGACGAAACGTGCTACATGCAGTTAATCGAGAGTGATACTCTGAAAGCGAGTCCATGACTCACCTCTCGGATCGTCTTCCAATCTTCAAATCTCCAATCCACAATGTGACCGTTAGGGATCTGCTTGGATACACTGTCTTTTGCGTTGCTACTAGTATCGACATCAGACCATATGTAAATCGCAGATCCTGTGCGATTCCGGATACGATACGGCGCGTAGCTTCCCCGAGCACTTCGGAGTACCTTTTCGCCCTCCTGTGCCATCATTTTCGCTGTGGAAAGGACCAGTTCAACAAATGTGGTAGTGACATTGATATCCAATCGCTCCCGCGCCGACAGGGTCATCTTCATTCCACCAGTCGAGGCGTCCCTTGCAATCTATGGTAATAACTCAGTATAAAGCAAGTCAATTTCACAGTTGAGCCTTACCGTTGTGGTGAACGTCCAGGGATCGATCACTGAACAAACAATATCAGTAACGTGCACGGGGAGACGGAGGAAGACTGACAAGGTTCCCAGTGTGAAGTAGCTAGGTTCCAATAACTGGTATGAACAGCCAGCGTCGACGTAGCTTGCATCTATTCTTGCTCAGGGGGTGATGTAACGACAGTGAGTTGAATGTCCTTACCTCGCCAGACCAGTCTTTCGCACCAAGAATGAATGGTTTAACCCTAACATGAAGCATTGGTTGCTCATGCAAATCACCAATTACCACTAGACGTAGTCCGTCAAAAGATCCTTTGAACTTGGTACAAAGCCATCACTACACAAGTTGGAGGTGATAATTCAACCAGCTCACTTGTTCCTTCGAGATCAGTACGCGAGCTCGGCCCACGGGCCGAACCTGAGAGCTTGCTAATCTGGACGATTTCCTAATTTTCAACTCCGGCCGTCTTGAATTGTTACCAATCGGCTGTTCAATGGTATCGGTGTTGTCGGCGTCAGAAGACTGAATGGACTTGTTATATAGATCCACAGCTTTATTCGCGATAGAACTGATGAGCAGGATGTCGCGATAGGACGCGCGAAATACTATGGGTTTGACCGAGACTTCCAAGTTGGATGTACGCTGCGAAGCACTAGAACGACTGTCCAAAGTGAATGTAAGGTCCACGTCGTCCATGAAGCGAACGCTCTCCGAAAGTTTGCCCATGCGCATGAGAGACATGCCAAGATGATCGACGCTTAGCGCAAAGATGCCCTATCAAAGGCGAGCCAAATGGTCAATAAAGAAACATGATACTTATCGCACGAAACAACTGACCTGTTGTGAGAGTAACACCTGCTTAACTGACAAGCGGATTGCCTGCGACTCTGCATCCGAATCATCTTCTAGCACACTGATAGAGGCATCGTGCAGATCAAGCCGGAAGTCAAAGGCCGGAGGTAAGGAATTTGTCTCAGCAATGTCGACTTCGACCGCGAGATCGTCTGCTGCTGGTGCGGGGGTTGGAGGGAAAGCACTGGTGAAAAATTGGAGAAGTGCGATAACTGGATCAACCGCGAAAATAATCTCAGGGCAGTCCACAGTGACAATGGCCAAGGCAGATCCATCTGCGCCGCCGGATCTCGTATACAGGATCATAACTTGATTGCGTTCATGACGAGCGGCGGGCATGATTTCTCGGAATTTGGAGTTTCCTGGGCGCGTATTACTCGTCGTCATCGACTTCAATACCAGCTGAGCTTCGACTGAGCCGTCGGAAAGCATCTTCGCCCGCAAAGTGTTGTCGCTGAGGGCAAACCTCGCGATTCCACGGGTTTTCATGTTGGTCTCAGTAGTCGCGTGGTCATCATACAGGTGCAGCTTCACAGAGTCCATTGAGACGACGAGATCTGCACTGGTCCAAGTGTGTGCACCATCAGGCGATGGTACAGGGCGCAATTCAGGCTGAAGATCCACTGGCGGGAAGGAATCGGGTACGTGGCTCTCCTGAGACCTCATTGATATGGAAGAATCGCTGGCCTGAGCAAAACCTTCGGGAGCACCTGCTAGCACCCTCGGAATCGACTGTGATAACGCAATGAGCGTTTGATACTGAACTTGAGTCAAATGTAACTTGATATCTGATATACGGATCACGATCTGTGTAGGCTATCAGCATAGCGAGATAATTCAAGCCAAAACAATTTTACCTGTGTGTCTGGGGTATTGACGTCCTTTGAACGATCGAGCTCGCTCTTGATAAGAATGTCCGCGTTCACGTCGATATCATCAATCATCTTGAGTACAGATGGTTGCTTGTCGTGGTAGAACTGCGAGGTAAATTGCATCCCACTGAGACTTGCAGTTATACGATTGGCCATATCTTCATAGATGTTGCGGGCGCTGAACTCCCCCAACCGCATTGTGAGCACATCAAGGGAAGTTAGAGGATCGGAAGGAAATACTACGATCGGTGTTTTGATCGATATGTCGAACTGCATCCGCTCGATCTCGGATGCCCTTTGAACAGCAGCCTCAGTTGCTGCGTCATATAAGCCCTTCATCTTCGCCAGTTTTGCAAGGAACAGATACACATCGTGCAGAGATTGCTCAATATAGAGAAGCTTAAGTGAACCGGTATTGAGATAAAAAGACGACCCGATGCCCGTATACGTGTCTTTGTCCTGGGGATCGAATGTTTGATACTGGAAATCTGCGAAGTTGTCGCCTTCTATGGAGAGAACCTGCTTGAAGGCTGGCGAAGTGACTGGGTCCTGAGAATCATCGAGAACATCCAAGCTACCTAGACGGCCGTTAATCCACATTGTGTTGGCACGCAAGAATATAGAAACAGCGGCCGTCGACAAGGACACGGTTGCAATCCTCACATCATTGTTGATGAGTATGACTGTGAAGAGCTCACGCTATCAACCGATCATGGCTAGAGATCACGAGAATATTACCTTGAATGCTGGCCAGTTTGAGCACAACTCTTGTCTTCTCAGATGTACTCCGGCTCGTACGCGCCTCCGTTTTGCCAATTTCATTGGGTATCTCCAGTCCATCTATCGGAGGTGGCGTGAGGACGACATCGGCCCTCTGAGGGACGAACGTCGTCATGATGAATTCGTACAGAGATAACACTGGTTCCGGTGCAGCCCGGAAGACGAAGGTCGTGATCCTGATGTCAACGTTCTGGTCTATACCTTCATACAGTGATAGGAACTCCGGAGAAATTTGCTGAACGCGGGTATACTTCACAATCAGTAAATCCCCTGCCTTTGGCTCCGCCGAAGATATGAATTGAATTGGTTCCCTGCCAGGCTGGACGACGTTCAACGACAAGGAACTGAGAAGGACATCAAAATACGTTGTCTCGATTTGACCATTGACATACCTGAGGTTGACGTCTACCGTCATAACGAATTTCGCCATTTCAAAAGCAAGCGCGAATCGTTCAAATGTCACATCTCCCAGAGGTCGCTCACTCCCGTCACTGTTGGACTTGTATAGTGAAGCTCGCAAAGTATCCACGTGGAAGGTGAATTCAACTATGTGTTGATGTAGAGCTGAACTCTGTGATACATAGAAATGAGCGACAGGTGGGCAAGAGTAACCGCGGGTTACTCACATCGGTATCTCCCTCCTCTGCTTCAAAGAACCGGTCGTCCTGTGCATCAAGAGGGGCAAGCGTCTGCTCATCTTGATCGTCATCTTGATCATCAATGTTGTACTCGGACTGAGCGGCACCGAACAGTCCCGCAGGTAATATGAATGCTCCTGTGCCCTGAATTGCTGTGCCAGGACGGGTGATAGTCGCATCGGCATTGTCTTCATCGAACTTCGGGATGCACACGTCAACCAGCCTCATGAGAGACTTGTACTTTGTATCAGACATGTTTACTTGCAGAGTGGGCAGATGGCCCGAGATCTTAAAGCGCGCGAGGTTGTAAGCACTCGGCACCATGGAGTTCTGCACCTGAAGCTCGACGTTGATGCGTTCCAACAGGTGCAAATTATCATGGCTATTCGAGTTCAGCGCTTGTCTGCACGAAGCCAAGTCATTTCCGACCACAAACTGAACGAGCGTTAGCTTCGTTATGTCAACCCGATTGCGTACGTACTTGCGCATCCTTAAGCTTTACAGTCAGTCTGTCGTACATCATGGACTCCAGATGTTTGTAATCTTCATCAGTATATTGTTGCTTGCGTTTCGCGCGAATTTCTTGAATCGCTTTCTTGTTCGCGAGCTCGCTCTCGATCGAAATATGACCGGCATCAATCACAAGGTGCTTGCAGTTGTTTGTCGTAATACTGTGCACAGATTGAGAGATATATCAGGCCCACAGCAATCAACACTCACTCTTCGGGGATGATGATTATAGGTGCATTCAGATCCATCTGAACATCAATCGTCTTGTGGGATTGTAGCGCATATTCCAGACCAGCTCTGGTCTCTTTTCGAAAACCTTCAAGACTTTGGCTAGCTGCATTCTATAGGGCGGATCAAGTCGAGGCCAAGGGAAATACCTGATGTCTCACCAGAAGTGCTTCGACTGACTCCAGTTGGCTCGAAGGGGGCTTGAAGAACTTGTACACCGCCTCAATATACCCTTTGTGGTAGATGATCTCCATATAACGCAGTCGCACTGTCAATGCATTGTCTGCGCGTCCATCCATAGGATTGTTCTCAAACTTCACGTAGAAGAAAGGATCGACCACATCTGATATTGTATCGTTTCCGACCGGCTGCGTCTTAACGATGTCGCCGCCGTTCCTGCTTTCCTGAACGTGGACAACCTCGGGATATAACGTTCTGGAAGTCGTCCCGTCATGAACCTCAAATCCGCCAAGTGTAATGGAGGTCTCGAAGTTATCCGGCCTTTGGATAAAAGTAGCCTGAAACACATCGGAAACAACCGACAGGATCTCCTTGTTCCTGCCATGCGGATCCGTCTTCAGCGCAAGAGAACCTCGGTTCAACTGTGCCACGACACGGGCCTTCAACGCGTCTTGAGGTGTTTCAAAAGATTCTGCCAAGGCCTCCTTTTCGTTATAGTCGAGGGCTTCATATAGCTCTTTGCGCTGCTGATCCGTCATATCTCCCGAAAACACTGATTCGTCTGCAGTTGAGCTGGTCGTCTCGGAAGATCCCCATATCCAGCTAGTCCAGGTACTACGTGTCTCAGGCTGTTGCTTCTTCCTCTCTTCCTCCAATCGCTTGCGCGTGGCCATATCTTTCCGGAGTTGTGATCGCGCGATGGAACGGTAGAAACGAATATCCTCGTACGACAACTTTGTCTCTAGCGCCTCGAGCATCGAACGTTCCTGAGGGACGATGGCGTATAAGACACAATAGAAGATAGGAGTCGCCGGGATGGACTCGCCGTGTCTACCAGAGGATTCAACTGTTTCTTCTTGAAGAGATCGACGTATCTGTGCCTCTCGTCACGTCGTTCGGCAAAGTATGCCCAGGTCCATTTCCGCCTACGTTCACGAACCTCGTCCAAGATCGCAGTTGCTGCAAAACGGAGTAAGGCTTGAGGTCGGTTCCGCTCCAACTCCTCCGCAGAAGGTCGATATTTTTGGTACTCAAGTGAACGAGTCAGACACGAGGAATGATGCGAGATCATGATGAAACGTACCTGATGCTGCCGCATATAAAAATGGTACATGTCAAGAAGGGAAATTGCATCTCGATATTGGTTATCATCCAACAGAACGCCGATTTCATCAAACAGAAGTTGGACATCAAACCGAGGCGTTTCATTGTCCAACTTGTGGTTCATAATGATCTACGAAAATTCAATGGGTCGTATATCTGAGACGGCACATACGAGACGCACCCTTCCTTCTCCAGTAACGGGCTTGAGGATGAACTGATGAATAGGGAGATTGTTGTCCTTGGATATCTACGACGCAGGTAGTCAGAATAGATCGCCCGGAACAATAGAAGCATTCATACTAATGCAGCAAACTGTTCTACAAATTCGGCATGTGAAAGTTCTGCCATACTGCTTGTATCGGTGTCAAAGTATATTGACAAGGATTCGAGCTTCCCCAACTACAGACAGGATACGTTCAATTCGAGCACACACGTCAAGAGAATGGATTGACCTTGTGGATCGCGCCGGCCTTGCTGTCGATGAAGGCAGGTTCCCATTTCTCATTCACAGACTGGGCAGTGAAACCAGCCAACGTAATACCGGCCGCGAACGGATGCTGTAGACACAACTCTCAGCACAGTGTGCAGACATGTGATGTATCACGAACACCGGGTACACTGAGCTGGTCCTCGTAGCGGACGTGAATGTTTCGGACTGTCACTTGAAGATTGTTGATAATCTTCGTGGTCAATGAAGCTACTAGTCCCTCAGACTGTTGAGAGTCTTTATAAATGATGAGCTGACGCACTGTTATGCTACTGACGAATATGAAACATACCTTGAGACACATCAGATGTACCTCGCACATGAAGCAACTCCGCATTTTGCAAACGCTCCTCCTTGGTTGCCTGCTTCCTTTGCTCATCCTCTTCAGGATCGTATTTTGACTGAGATGACGAAACCACGAGCAAATACACATCCTCAACCAATACCTCCACAGGCTGGTTCCCAAGGTTCATCCAGTGAAGGGAAAGTGTGAACTTCCCAAGATGACCTACGTAGAGGTTAGATGCCATCTACGCGAATACGAATCATCGTACCCTCGATAACATCGACTGGGAGACTGAATTTGTCAAGAGCGCCCTTCTTGAGCCGTAGATTGGTCAATGTCAATCGGCCTCACTCGAGACTTAGTGAATAAGCTCCGTCCGTTATTCCAGAGATTACACACCTTGACCAATCCCGTAGTTCACCTGATTCATGTCCAGGTTCTCGACATAAGGGGCAAGGACGCGGTTGAATAACTGGACAGATGACATGAGCTCGGCAGCAACACGACCGGGATAATTCACGGACGATATTCAAGACCTCCTTGCCAGGATCCGACCACCACACCATCTTGAAATCACTTTACGCTTGTCTTGCCGTGTGCACCACCAGTAAGTTTCAAGAAAACGTACACGGCGAATGCGTTGGTGAACGAAGGCGCAGCCTGAGTGGCGTCGAAGGTGAGTCTGAGTACGTCATGTTACTGGATGCGGCAGGTTACTAAGTTTGTGCCTCCATCTCGCTATCGAGCGGGGGCGAAGGGCATTATGCACGCAAAACGGCTCATGCGGTTCTCGGAATTGGTGGTTGACACATTTCAAAGGAGCGGCAGGACAGCGTTGATTATGCCGGTCTACTGACGTGAAAAATGGTGAATTCTATCGATATCACGGCCACCTTGAGTTCGAGATGGACTCCACTTTTACCCCCGCAAATATGCTGCATCGTAGCTTCGCGGCTACGTGGTCGCGACCGGTAGGAATAACCGTGGCGGCTTCGAGACCGGTACACTCTTACAGTGCCACATTGAATTTTGCGGACGAGACACTCGATGATGCATCGATACAGCTGATCAGGTGTACGAAGGCGACACCGCTCGCGCTCGTAAACGGTACCGCAACCTTGCCTCGACCAACTCACCTCCAAGTTCACATACAACCATTTGTATTTACCTGCAGCATCTGCGACCCAGGCCAAACCGAGAACGAAAGGACGCACCGATCAAACCCGTGTAACAACCCGTGCCATGGGGCTTTGCCCGGTATGCTCCGACCACGAAGCCTGCAACGAGGACCCTATATGCATACTTAAAGTCCCGTGTATGTCTTCAACCACATCGCCCTCCCCCTCCTCCTGACTCCGGTGAACGTGGCTTACAAACAATGCTGTCTGTCGCTCCTCAGCCTGTGCATCTCCCTCTTCATGTGGACAACCATCAGCCCAAAGATGTGGAGCTGAACGAGGTGAGCTTGCTATCGTGCCAGTGGAGTGCCAGTCTGCTCATGCTATCGCTAGCTTGGAGACCTCGCGGATGCTCTGGAGCCATTTGCGAAGTGAGATACTCCGTTGTGCTTCTTGAGATACTCCTGATTATCAGCTCAGGATGATCAAACAATCCACCCGTTCAGTCCGATTACACTGCACAGTACCGACATTAGCAGCCTCCAACACCTGTATGGTTATACATTGTTCCTTCGTATTTCCCTTGCTCAGTCAATATTCCAGGTTTTGACCTCCACGATCTCCACGACCTTCGAGCTCGTTCCCTCCTCTTTGTTCACAACCTGGTGGAGACATTGCGTGTCTCTGGGGTACCTAATACTTACTATCTTGCGTTGACGCCTTACTTACGATCTGCGATAGATCCCTGCTTCCTACCGGCTTCAGCTGACAAGCTGTCCGCTTTGTCTCGTCTGTGCACTACCTCCTGATCTGGACTCCACAAAAATTAAGGCAGCGGCTCTATCAGCAGTGCGAGATGCCCATCTACAGCTCAAGTGAGTATTACATTTGCATGGTGTTGATTGATATTGATTGACGTTACCCCCTTTCCCAGGGACAAAGCATTTTTGGCGGACCTTGAGGATGGACTCGCTCTCGTCATCACATAGCATCAATTCCTGTTGCATCTCATGGGTTTAGGACGTTCTCTATATCGTGTACATCTTCAGCTGTGTATCTATACTATGTACCTATGCCCCTCAATTTCACTATTGGATACTTATTTGGATCTATGTTTTGGTCGGGAGATGACGATGGAATCCTCGCGATGCTGGACACTCCCACAGCATGGCAAGATGAAAGTATTGGGCCATCCACCCATTACTGCCAATGTTGTGCGCGTCGCGTAAGCTTCATCGCCTGCTACGTCGAGGAGAGTCAGCGGGCGTAGAGGAGGCCGAAGCCCATCGGACGCGGTGTGGAGCCTTGTGGATAATGCCATTTCAGAAATCTCAAAAATCGATCAACAATGTCCGGTAGACAATTCCAAAAAATTTGCCAGAATGTCCGGATTACTTATATGTGCACAGCCGGATCTATCCCAAAAGTGGCTTCAAAGTAGCCCAAAATCAGGTTTTCGCTCCGATCTGGGGCCTTTTCGGGGACGGCTCGGAGGTTCTGGGATAGCGTCGGGAGTGCAAAATTGAGAAGCACGTGCTTATTTTACGTTTGCGGCCGTATAGCTTTTCTTCTCTTGCCCGCCCTTGCTGTTCGTCTCCTGTTCATTCCTCCGTCATGGCTCCTCTCGCTGACTCTCTCGCTAGCATCGCTCCCTTTTCGTTTCCACCCCATTTGAGAAGTTATTTGCACGCGAAGACGCCCCTCTCGACGCCTCAAGAGGTGTTTCCGACATTGGCTGGCTACCTCGTCACCATATTCAGTATACGACATGTTATGAAAGATCGTCCACCATTTAAGCTTCAGTTCCTGTTCCAAGTGCACAACGCGCTCCTCAGTATTGGCAGTGCGGTCCTACTTGCTTTGCTTCTAGAACAAATCCTACCAATGGCGTGGAAACACGGGGTGTTCTGGGCTTTGTGCGACGAGGATATGTGGACAGATGTAAGCTTCCTTCTACATGCTGGACCTCTGGAAGCAGTGGTAGACTCATCCATTATGCAGAGACTTGAATTCTACTACTTAATGAATTACTATTTTAAGTACATCGAGCTCTTCGACACGGTCTTCCTAGCTCTCAAGAAGAAGCCTCTAGGTGAGCGTGGACTGCTGTATATTCTCGCGCTTGATCATCACACTACTTGACAGCTTTCTTGCACGTGTATCACCACTCTGCCACTGCTTTACTCTGTTACACTCAGCTCAACGGGAAAACTAGTGTAGTACGTTTCACTGCATTAAGCCTCATTCGAAAGTGTATTCACGCGGAGTTGTAGCAATGGGTCCCTATTTCGATCAATCTGGGTATCCACGTTCTAATGTGTGAGTGTTGTCTGTTTACCTGATGCTTTGTTATACCTAACGAGGCCCACAGATTACTATTACTTCGCGACTGCCGGTGGTGCCAGGATCTGGGTGCGTACGCACAGATGGCTCACTAAAGCTGTCGCTGACGATGCTGGATACAGTGGAAGAAGCACTTGACGACCATGCAAATCGTCCAATTCGTAGTCGATCTTTTCGTCGTCTACTTCGCAAGTGAGTACCAGTTCATAGCCTTCGCGAAAATTTGAGTTAATACGGATTTTTGCAGCCTACTCGTATTTCTCTGCCACCTACCTGAAGGGTTGGCCTACGATGGGTTCTTGCGCAGGAACAGAGTCGGCTGCTCTTTTCGGTTGCGGGCTGTTGTCGAGCTACCTGGGTCTATTCATTCAGTTTTACGTCAACACGTACAACAAGCCGGCAAAGGGCAAGAGTGCAAAAGCGAACGGCAAGCCTTTGGCCAACGGCAACGGCGTCGCGAATGGTCATGCGTAAGTATTAGATCTACCGTTATGCAACGGAGACTCAACGTTCTCATGTTGTGCAGGCACAAAACGGAGTGAACGACGAGCCGACGTTCAACAATTCCATTCTCATCTCTGATACCCATTGGGCGCCACTGTTCACTCATGTCACATTCATTCAAGTACAGTACATTCGCTTTATTCCTAAGTTGGGAGTGGTTGAACCTTTTGCATACAAGTCTTTATTCCTGTCGTGTCTGATACCATCCTTGATATGATTATAGGAAGTTACCAGGTGCATGCAAGCCAAATACATAGATCTCTTGAGTCTTGAAACTTGATCCCTCAATTGCTATGAAAAGTGTTCTTCAACATCTTGCGCTCCAACGCTATGGCACTTCTCCATCGGGTGAGATCGAGTGTTGTCTAATTTGATCTTACATGTAAACTGTGTTCGACCTTGCACAGCTTGCATATAGCATCACACAGCTCGGTGTAAGTATGCTACCGACACCATCCGTGGTGTGAGGTCACATGTCGTGAACGCGAGGTGACCGTGTCGTGTCGTTGTCATCGGCAATTGCCTACCCTGTCCTTCTGCACTTCTCTCTCCACACCGTCAGTCTCTCCGACACCTCCATCTACGCCTGTGGGCACTGCGTCTAGCATTGTCACACAAATGTACTGAGCCGATTTTCGAGATTCGTCACCGCGGAGGATGTAGAAAGGCAGCCGAGCAAGGCGTGAGGCCGAAGGCCGGGGAGCCTCGTGAACGCGACAACGGATGGCGCCGCCTGGGCGCGGTGCCAGGTGAGTGCGCACGCGCTCCATCCGCAGATGGCCTGCAGCAGAGGTTGAAGAGGAGGTGACGCGGGCGTTGAAAGAGGACGTACTGGGAATACACGACGCATCCCAGCTAATGCGCGCGAAGTAACGGACGGACATACTGGGTGGCTTTGCGCGTTCCGTTTAGCAGTCAGGTCTTCCGGGCTGCATCGTGCTCTCAGCGCGAGAACGAAATGCGCGGTGAGAATGCGTGTGGGCCGGGCATCCCACGCCCGCAGAACGACGCACCCCACGGCCGTCCCCTATCGCCCAATCCGCCGCAGACGCAGACGCAGACGCAGACGCAGGCCTTGACGCACGAAGAGCATGTGAGTCTAGTGATGAACCTCTTATACAACGCTCGTCGCAGATTATAAAGGATGGTATGCAATGCACCTCTGGTGTAGCAAGTAGCTCAGTTATCATTCACGAAAATACAATATTCACCAGCATCCCTACAGTATGTACCGTGACATACGTCATGCCGGCAATGTTTCGATGCGGACATTCTTCCCTCACCCCTAGAATGATTCAGGTATGATTTTATGAGGTTACCGTTCGTGTTATGGCTGCAATGAATGGGGAACACTACGCAAGACATCCGCTGGGAAGCGCATGGGATGAAGACGGCTCCTAGCGAGTACCGAGCAGCGGGAGAGGGTGGATGCTGAGGGCACAGCACGGAGGAGGAGATGCGGAGCTGGGTGCGGGTGAGGGCGATGGCACTGCATTGGGTGATGCACAGGAGTGGCGATGATGCAACGGTAGACCTGTACAAAGCTAGCTAGAAAGTAATCGAAATCGCTCCACGGGCATAGGTATTAAAATATCGGCGCGACAGGCTCGATGATATAGGTAGCTCCGAGTCGATCTCGCTCGATATGGCTCAAGGCCCGTTTGGACTAAGCTTCAGCAAGATCAGATCTTGTCGATCGCAGTGAGCACCGCCGCTGTTCAATGTTGAAGCTTTGAAGTCCGAAGGCTGTCGATGGCCTCTCTGCTCCGACTCTTCAAGTTTCAGGTTCGGTCCGCTTTGTTGTTATGCGCTTGAATAATGCAAGTCTAAACTCATTTTCACAATGTACGCATCCTTCCTTTTCTTTGTACAGACCTTCTCGCGGATCTGACCACAGTCTCTCTTGGCAGCTTCCCTCAAGCTCAGCAATACATACTGCGACCAGCGTAACAACTACACTCTCATCCTGCTCCATTCGTTCACGAGACTGTGATATATGTCTACCAGGTCAGAGAGTTCGCGTTATGCACCATTAAAACGACGCCATTCACTTCGTCCTGCAGAGAGTTCTATGTCTCCGTGGAGCTATATCTATCTTCTAAGACAGCCTCAACCCTACGAAAGGTGTGTGATATAATGCTCTTTCAGTCCAGAGGCGTCATCGTAATTCCCCATAGCCCACGGTCAAGAAAAGTAATGACAAACGCGAAGTGACGAAGGCCGTGTCTGGGTCTAATGTTGTCAAAGGTCAGACTGCAACAGAGTGTAAGTGTTCCATACATTCCTGACCATACCCAAACACTTTTCAGAGAAGTCGAGCTGGCTCGGTCTCGGTCGGCAGTCCTCTGTAGCCGGCCAATGGCGTCCCGTGACTTGTAAATTAGTGGACGAAGAGGATGCATGCACCCTTAACATATACATAGACGTGCGTAAGTTGTTCTTTCGGCTGACTCTGCCACTTATCGCCTCAATAGGAGACCATCTTATACAAATCTGTCTATGTCTATCTTTTAAACCATACTGACATCCGACCGATCCACCGCTCGTTGTTCGATAGAGCTGATTGTATAGGTATATTCTGTGTTACGTACGTCACAGTACTTTGTTTCTTCGTACAACACACCGTAACTTCAATCAGCGGACAGGTATCTAGTACAGCTTCCTCTGCAGAACCGGTCTATCTGCAATTCCCGGACACGGACGCAATGAAGGTCTGGGTTACCCTCCTCCGCTCTTTCGCTATGCCTGAAGTATACGGTCGATGGTTGTCTCCGGAGGATGGAGGTCTGTATCGCATGTGGCGACAGATTGAATTGACCTGCTTGCAGGGGCGTAATCTCGGAACCTCAAGACTGCTTCCCGGGGACCCTGCTAACGCAGAGTCTGATTCCAAACTTGAGGCTGATGCCATTGATATCGACGTTTACTGTGAAATATTTGTCAATGGTTGTCTAGCCGGCCGCACCACTGTCAAGAAGGGCGTTGGCTCTCCCGATTGGCAGGAGCGGTTCATTATCGCAGACCTTCCTCTGTTCGAGAATCTGGAAATTGTCGTTTGGAGAGAGAAGAAAATGATGAAACCCACCATTGTCGGTAGTGTCGTAATTGTCCTTGGCAACTTCAGACGTGGTGAACACGTCGAAGGCTGGTTTCCAGTCTTATCTGGGGGACCCACCACGCGTATACAGGCCGGAGAAATCAGGCTAAGGTTGCGAATCGATGAGTTAGTTTCGTTTTGTCACTCATCACTCTGGTCCGTTCTGACATTGCCGTAGAGAAATTATCCTTCCGTATGCATCTTATTCTGCGATGCTTGAAGTATGTGCCTTGTTGTTATGGAGCTGTAATTTTTTCATGAGATCCCTAGACTTTCAACGCTCGAAACTCCTTGGACTGGCTGAGTGATTTTGAATCAAAGCTCAATTTGAAGAACGTCTCGAATCACATCATCTCAATTTCCATTGCCCAAAATGTTCTCATTGAGAATATAATGGAACTTGCAGATCGAGAAGTCGATGGCACCTTGTCTTGTACGTCTTCGAATATAGATCTCCCTTAACGTCACCAAATTTACACCTCACATATAGCGCACAATACACTTTTGTATGCATAATTCCACCCTGTTGTGCGGCACAAACTGACATCCAGTAGTCGAGGAAATACGGTGTTGACCAAGACGATGGAGTCGTTCATGTCCTGGTACGGTGCATCATTTCTTGAGGCCAGTATAGGACCTGCAGTCCGACGGATCTGTGGGGAGAAGATTACCATTGAAGTTGATCCCGCACGAGGCGGTAAGGGTATGAGGGGTGTGGAGAAGAGCGTCGATGTTCTTGTATATTGGTGTCAAGAATTTTGGGCCGGAATATACGACGCACGCAGGCAGTGTCCACAGTAAGTTCATGCGCATATCTGTATCGCTCTAACTGCAACATTGTTCTCAGCGAGCTGCGGCGACTATTTGAGCACATCCGTCGATTAGTCGAAAAACGATACCGCGTTGCTGACGACAAGAACCGGGATCTCCCGTGGCAGAGTGTTTCGGCATTCTGCTTCTTGCGATTTATGGTCCCTGCCATACTGCATCCACATCTGTTCGGACTTTGGCCAGGTAGTCTGTCTTATTTGGGTCTGGAATGCCACCTTCTAATCTTCACACGTTAGGTCTTCCTGAAGCTAAAGTGCAACGCAGTCTAACATTAGTCGCTAAGGTGATCCAGAACCTAGCCAATCTGAATGCAGTGAGCCAAAATCGTGCGTCTGAAGGGTTGCATATATTTGATGGCCTCGTTTCCAGACTGTCCAAAAGGAAGCCTTTATGCGTGGCGTGAAAGATTTCCTAACCGGTAGCCTGCAGGCCATGGTAGATTACATCGTGGTAGTCTCCACTCCAGAGCCCGGGGACAACCGCTCGACATCATACGCACTCGATGGACACGAGAGGTTGCGTATAATGAACGCACTCCGCCAACGTGGTGCGGCTGTACCCGTACTCTACCGAGAGGCGATCCCTCTTCTGCCTCACCTCTTGGACATACCTAAACATCTAGCGGCTGTCACGTCTCAGGTGGTCCGATATACCAAAGTCCACAGTGTTGGTGCTGCAATGGCATCCAATACAGAGGACGGATGTTTCGACGAGTTCCGTTCGAAATGTGTTGCAGTGGAAGAACAAGCCCTTCATCGCGTCAGCCAAATGGCTACCGAAGCTAGGCACCAAAGTTCGGGCCAACATGACGACCGAATCCTAACTCAACGAAGCGTCATCGTGTCTACGTCGTCTGGACATGACCAAGAAAGCAAAGCTTCCTTGCCATCGAACAAATCTCAAAGATGGAAGCCGACTCGCCCGTCAACAGCATCATCCATGGCCAATAACGTGGATATCTCTGATTCTCTTGGTGTATCCGGACCTCAAAGCCCAAGCGCTGGACCAGAAGGCTCAACAATCTGACCACAGCCTTCATTTCCTCAAACAGACCAGGCTTCCAGTGCTTCCAGGCCACTACACCTCTGGATGACAACACCACAGCACGCGTGTCACGCAGACCAAGAGATCCATCGGCTCGACACGCTCGATCTAGTTCTATTGATTCTGCTCTCGTTGGCAAGACTTTATCGGTTGTATCCGGTGGTGATACACCTCCGGACATGTCGGATGATACGGGGAAGAGGCACAAAGGCATACTTGGGGATATCCTAGCCCGATGATAGCGAAAGTGTGTGGCTCTGTAGTCCAGGTTTTACGGTTTGCGTTAGTATCGATACACGTACATGGTATATCCGTAGATCGTAGTAATGAAACAAGGTGGCCTAACACTTCACGTATGAGTTTCTCCATTGAGCATCTTCTGAAGTAGCCTCTGTACTTCTGCCGCAACGACCTCAGAAGTACTCCGCACTGTGATTCGACAAAGCTAGACGTTACACTGAAGTTATATGATGAATGACAAAGGGGATCCGCACAGCGCACCTTTGCTTCACGATTAGGTTCCAATCTCAGCAAACAGCCGACCTTGCCATCGACCGACATGTGGAGGATTCCAGCGCCCACAAGGTTACTTGGGTTTGGATCGACGCCATCCAGCACATTAAAGGAAAACCCCAATACAACCTGTCGCTGCCTTGCTAGGTCAACATGACCGGAGTCGTCCAGCGTGATGGGGAATATACTTTGCGACTCGCGCGGTGGACCTCCTATCAGTTTCCACCGCTCGAAGAAATCAACCTGTCCGAGCTTGACATGTTCAACGAACTTTGTCATAATAATCGGCAGTCGCACGGCAATCGCTTGGTGTGCTCCTGCGAGAAATGAGACCGTCAAAACAGGCGGACTGGTGAAGGGTTTCTTGCACTCTACATGCAGCAGCTGCTGGGTCTGTGTGCGAGGAGCTATCGTGCTTGGGGCAATTTTCGCGAAAGTTACCGAGAGCGCGTCAGTTTGCTCCATGTGAAGAGTGGCGGTGAACGATGTCAAAGGGGCAGAGATCTTATTGCCTATGTAAACAGCGAGCTGACCAAGGTGGCCATGATACCTCGACTTGATACCGATCTGTATCTGGACGTCCTCGTAGAGCACACCTTCTGCGGTGTACAGGAGCTTGTCAAACCATCGCTCTATGTTTGGACCTGCAGTTAGACGGGGGATTCCTTTCTCGGCCAGAGCAGCAGCTACATCCGGCACGTTCGCGGAGGATGCGGACAAATCGAGACCGATAAGGGAGTCCGTGATATCTTCGGGAGACTCAACCACCATGGCTCTGTTCCCGTTCGTCTCCATCGTCGGTTTTCGGGACATCCTCCTTGAAAGCTGCCGTTCGAGGGTGGAATCCTTTCCACCATGGGCTCCTGTATCGCCATGCTTGCGATTTAACCGACCTAGGAGCGCACTCTCCCGTGGAGGGAAGGGAGGAATCTCCTCGCACACGTTTTGAAGGAGCTCATCGTCATCTGAACGCGATGCAAGCGCATAAAATTCGCAGGCGCGCTGTTGAAGATCGACATCCAGAACATGTCGATAGCGCTCAAAAACATTGAGTAGCTGAGGCTTTATCTCGGGGAAGACGTTGACCCATTTGATGTATGTCGACAAGAGAAGAGCCCGCGTGGGTGCTGCGCAAAACTGAGACTTTGAATGGAGAACTTGGAATTGCTCAGCAGGACTATATCCGGGCTCGTTGGCGATAAGATGACCATACTCTCCGAGAATGTAACCTGGTGGAGTAATGAGAATCCTCAGCTGCCGACAGGGCCCGTTCAGGAACACCTACCGCCCACTTTCACCAAACTCTCATGCGACGAAGGGGACTTCAAATATTCAAATACCACCTTTGCTGCATATGCCTGCAGATCGTCGGTATTGGTAACGATTTGCACAACCCGGTACCAGACCTCTTCTCCAACGTGGTCGCCAGCAGCGCTGAGAAGCTCCAGTATGGTGTCGACGTACCACTTGTAAGTACTCGCGTATTTCTCCGTGAGAATGGCGATCTTGAGCACCATTTCTTCACGCAGACCATAGTCAGCGACTTTCAGGTATCGCAGAAGTTCCCCGACGATGAGTTCCGAATTATCCGTGTCGCACATACTGTAGAGTAAGTCGAGGGCCCGGCGGCGCACAGAGATATCTTTGTCACGAAGAGACAGGATTATAGTGCCCTGATGCTTCTTGATCGCGTCGAGATTGTCCGTGTGCGCTGCCAGATGAGCCATCGTATCTAGTCCAAGGTAGCGCACGTTGGTTTCCTTCGAACTAATGAACCGCGCAAGAAGTACGGCGGCTGTGCTGACTAGCGGGGAGTTAGTGTCCAGATGGATGGCAAGGCTGATCGCTTCAAATAACACGGCATGCTGCGCGTTGTTGTGCTGCACGTTTCGAGAAGGTTCAGCACAGTTGTTCATAACTGTCTGAAGAACTTCATGCATGATTGATCGTAGCGTGGGATCCTCTTAATCAATGCAATTCGTCAATGGACAATACCAAGGACAGGAGTAGTGATATTTTGACCTGTAGGGGGGTAATACTGCAGTAATCTGAGCAGCTTGACTTGCAGCCATGGCGAGGGGACTTTGTAGTACGCGTACGTAGCTGAGTATTCGTGTTCTACAACCAACTGAGAGCGCGTGAGACAGAAGCCTAAATATGGTTGCATTATTAACTTACGCGGTTCAGCCTGTCAACTGCTTTCTGATAGCACACTGCAAAAGCGTCGAGATGATCTTGTGCTAAGGCCATGACTAAACTGGTCACACATATGACCACACCCTGGTTGCTACATGTGAACGACGCCAGCCACACGTGTTTGACAACGGCGCTCACCAAGTCAACATCATCCATCAGAGCTACAATGCGCAGAGCCCATTCAGCGGCAGGAATGACATCTGGATGTTTCCGGTACAATCTCAGCAAAGTCAACGCGGCTTTTTTTCTGACAAAATTCGGCGAAGTTCTGTCATCTGAATTGAGCCAATCAATCAGATCACTGTCGGGAGAACACATACGGTGATATCAGAAGGCGATGAACATCCTCCGCCAGAGCCTCCGCCATCTCGGTTCCGCCAACGTTCGCAATGGCATGAAGAGCGAGACAATTACTGATTTCATTGTTCTCGTTGAGATCTTTACGTATTGAGTTGACTACCAGTCGCAGGAAGTCGGAATTCTCGTGCATGAGGAGGGTCACTGCCAAATAACCCTAGCTCCAATAATGATGAGTAGCACAAACACTGCGGGCAAAGAACCTGCTCACTATTTGCTTTTCGCTGTACTTTGAACTGGAGATGAGGTTGACAGCCTCCATGTGACCTACATCGACTTTGTATCCGAGAATATATGTGAATATGACTTTGGCAACATATCTGTAGGACACCAGTCAGTAGATGCAGTAGTAAGAGATGAGGAGACATACTAACTTCTTCTTCTGATACCCGTCCAGGTTACCGTCTACGAGGGTGTGCAATGAGTATAACACAGGACGTAGGTGATGGCTCCAGAATACCTTTAAACCTCTTCCTGATATTAGCCATCTCCTTGTTGATCCTCTTCTCCTCCAGTTCGCGGACTCTTGCACCCCGAATGTCCGCGATGAACTGTTCACAGCCGATGAGAACTCGGACGAACAAGTTCCTTGAACGTAGTACTTGCCTGGGTAAGACCCCGCATATTGGACGCCATTGTCGCGTGTCCCGAGGCAATAATCGTACACGCAGTACAGATCTGGAGCAAGGGCGCGTAGCTGTCCGCACGAGGTTGTGCAGCAACTGGCAGAACAAAGGCCACCTAGATTAAGTCGCTTCTCCGTCGAGGTGTCTGTCATTCGCTCATACTCACCGTCACTCATAATAGTCACGTGCCGTCCCTTTTATAGGATCAGGAACTTCAAAAATCACTTCGTACTTTGTGCGTGAGACCAATCCTGCTGCAGGTAGTTTTTCAAAGTTCCTACTGGTTTTCTAATCAAGACGATCTGCGGAATGCCTCACCCACAACTCTACTGTACCTTCCCGTCGTTTTTACAGTTTGCAGGTTGTTGACCGTATTCATCCTTGTGTCGTTGCCGCTCTTTGATCCAGGCCTGGGGAGTGCCTGGCCGTCCATCCATCCATACTGCTGAAGAAGCCTCTTGTCCCACGAGTACATTATGATGCTGAATCTCGGGCATTTGTCTGAATTTTCTCGGACTGAAGGACACTACAGCACGTTCACTCCGGACTGCAGGTGATCTTGTCACCATTGCAAAATTATTGCTATGCACGACGACTTCTTTGATCAGCATGCAATTCGCCCCTTGTCGAAGAAGAGTCGTCGATATATTCGGCTATTCGGCCGGGTGAACGTTTGCGGAAGTTGGCCACAAAGACTCACGGCGAGCATATCTCCCTCGCTCTCATGTGACAACGGAAGGGACTTTCACACAATTTTGACTATACAGTCCTCCATTTGAAGGCTTGAGAATGGCGTGCTTTGTTTTCCGACCCCGGGAGAATTGCGCATGCCGCGTGTGCGTAGCGGGTCTTATGGTTGAGGCCAAACGTTGGCCTTTCTTCATTTGAATAGAATGCAACAGTATAAAGTCTCGAGGAGACAGCAATCCCTCCTCAGCCGCCAGTCGTTCACCTCTTGCGATTTGAGCTCTCAAAATGTTCCTTTCCCTCGCCTTCGTTTCTGGACTCATCGCCCTCGTAAAGGGTCAAACGACCATCACTGCTCAGTACGCCTGTGTGACCTCTGGTAACTACGAGTTGTGCAACAACCAGTGGGGTATCGGTGGGCGTCTCACTGTGCGCTCTTTCAAGCGTGGGCTCTGACATGTTGCCCCGCAGACGACGGTACGGGTTCCCAGAACGCAACGCTCATCAGTACCTCTGGAAACGACATCTCCTGGTCCACCACATGGACTTGGGCGGACAACGAGAATGACGTCAAGACCTGTGCGTATATTTTACTGGTCTATGAGCTTTTGTTTGACCCATCCTGCCGTCTAAGACACCAATGTCGAATCTACTACCGCTAAAGGCATGCTAGTAAGCATGTCGCTCAAGAATTTCGATCCGTATTGATCTGTCTTTTTCAATCTTAGCTCAGCGCCATTACCTCCGCTCCCACCTCCTGGGACTGGGAGTACGTCACGGAATCCTCAGGAATTCGCGCGGATGTGTCGTAAGTTATCGACAGCCGAGAAAAAAGGCATTCTGATACTTCTGTCTAGCTATGACATCTGGTTCGGTACTACTGCTGATGGTGCTCAGGCTTCTTCGGACTCCTCTTATGAGATGTGAGAAAGAGCGAAGTTTGACGCGAATTTCTCTAAACATTTATTTTTACAGCATGATCTGGCTTTCCGGCTTGGGCGGGTAAGTAGTCTCACAGGTTATCTCGGGACGTGCTTGAACATAGTATCTAGAATTCAACCCGTCGGTTCTGAGAACCAGACTGATGTTTCTCTCGCGGGCTACAGCTGGGACATCTGGAGCGGCCCCAACTCCAACTGGGAGACGATTTCCTTCGTCAGCCAGGATGGAAACATCAACGACTTCAGCGAGGATCTGAACACATTTTTCAGTAAGCACCTCGAGCATGGAATGTTCGTCACCCAAACATTTGCTGATTATTCGGTGATATCCAGCGTACCTCATTGACAACTACGGTGTCTCGTCCTCTCTTGTGCGTATCGTCTGTCACTTCCCCCGCAAGTAGTTCTGACAGATGAACGAACAGTACCTCCAAGGTATCGAGACGGGCACTGAGCCCTTCACTGGCTCTGCTGAGCTCCTGACCAACAGCTACAGTGTCACCGTCAACACGTAAGGGGACCTTGTTGGCTTCCAACAGGAGGACAGATCGGTCGGATAAGTCGTTTCGCTCAGCTACTTGCTTCGTGTATAGTTCGGATATATCGAGTCGGCATGTTGTGATGTATGTATGTACAGTGGTGAGGTGTATGCAGTGGACTTTCGGTGTGAGTTTGATCGAATTTCCTTCTCCGCACGAACTCCAGGTTCAAGAGATGCTCGCTGAGACGTATACTGGTCATTCGTCAGTGCAGAATGCAGCTGCAGGACAAGATCATAAATTGTGACTTATAGAACAATCCCAGATCCTCATACTTATTTCACATTATATTATAACGCCTGTTCGTGAGGATATCCGGAGGCATGCCTAGGCATTTTGCGAATCGCCACATTATGCTTCTATAGCCTGTGAATGAGTCAGTTGGCAGTGAGTAACTCTGCTCGGCATTCTGAATTGGGACACGAGGAGTGCTCCGTAGTGAGCGATGGGGAATATGATTATAAGCGCATACGACAGTCTACATGAAATAAAATACAACTGAAGTACCGAGGCCTTCACGGCCGACAGGCAAGGCTCAGTATCGCCGAGACAATTGACTGGGAGTGCTCGGTCGCGTATTATACGAAGATGTCATGTTATACGGCGTCGAGTACCCGGACCTGGAGCCACTGAAAGGAGGTAGTCGACCTGACACGGAAGAGGGGGAGTCCATGGGAGTCGCAGGTCGTGAGTTGTGTCGTGATTGAGTGGCTATGCGGTAATCGTTGTAGCGGTCTAGGACGCGCACTATGTCGCGCGTCATCAGATCAAGTTCCTTGATCTCGACGTCCGACAACGGTAAAACCTTGTCATTGTCATCCTCGTCACCCGATTCATCCTCGTGATTGTCACTGCGTTCGGGGAGAGCGCGCCTGCCCTGCTGAGTCTTTCCAGCAACGATCCCCTCGAACACGCGCAGCATGCATGACTCCATGAGTGTCTTGAGGCGTTCGACGTCGTCCAAAGCGTCCTGTCGGCCGATAACAGGAAGCCAACCGTCACATTCTAACCCCCGTGCAACCACTTCAATATCATACGCCCCAAATAGGATGTATGTAAGTGGATCCAATCGGGTAGTTGTCACAAGGAACTTCTGAGGATTTGAGGAGCCAGTGGACATGTTCTGGCGCTTCTCTGCGTAGGCAATAATTTGCTTTTCGGTGACCGCAGTATTTCCATCTTGCTCGAGTGTCTCTCTTTTGCGATGATTGACACTCGAAGGATGTATGAAGACCGACTGAGAATAATCTTGAGTTATACACGGTGACAGTTCAACCAAGCAGTGAAGCTCACCTTGTCTACAGCAGTCCGGTACACCCTTTCCGAGGTTCGGATGGCATACTTGGGCTGCGATGCAATTGCAATTAAAGCAGCGAGTAAAGGCATAGAATCTGCATTTCGGTCAAGCTCGTCTGGAACCACATAAGACTGGCCTTTGAAGGACCCGTGCGGACGTGACATCACACTTCCTCCAGCTGAGACGGTGATAACGCCTGCCTGGTGCACGGATTGAAGGAGCTGCTCTTTAATCTTCTGTATCATGAGCAGAGTCGGCTTCGCCAAGAAGTTATCCATGCAGAATCTGTTCGCAGATATGTAATGACCCCGTTTCTGGAGGTCCCACCATGCATTAAAAGCACGTAAGACAGTTAAGGCATCCGAGCGGAATTCTTCGGGGCTCCAAGAGTTCTTCTTCGCAGCTGCCTCAGCCTTGAGATGGAAAGGGGATACGAAAGGGTCCCGATTGGTCAAGATGGCCGCTAAAGTCAAAGCTTGGTCTAGACAACGGAAGAAGCACCCGTACAATACAAGCCGGCCCATCTGCACGTCTACTGGAAGTTGAAGCAGCACACGGCCCAAAGATGTGAGATTGTTGTGTGAGTCCAAAGCACCAACCATCTGCAATGACTTGACCGCCGCTTCAACTCGCTCTGGGGCAGGTGGTTCAATAGTTTCTGCTAGGACCTCCTCGACCGTCATACCCGGGAAATTGAGAGCTTTGATATGCATGACGACGTTACTCAGATCGACCCGCTTCATCTCCACTGTCTGATGCGGATGCAGTTCATCGGCAAACTTGCGGGTAAGTATTCCATAGTACTCTCCTGGTCGATGACGTCCAGCACGGCCAGCTCGCTGATTAAGATTGGAGGAGCCAACCCACGCAGACACCAAGGACGAGATATGCCGCTCGGGATCATAACGCTGTTCCTTGATCTTCGCACTATCCACCACATAAACGACATCTGGGATTGTCACAGATGTTTCCGCAATATTGGTCGCAAGAATAATGCGCCGAACACCATCCGGAGGTGGATCGAAGATGACTTGTTGCTCGGCGATCGGGATGCTCGAGTGCAACAAGTGAATGTTGAACTTCGACCTTTCGTTGAAGTTGATGCCGTAGAGCGATCGACTGTCCAGCAGGCATTTCTGGACGTTCGAGATATCGTCCCATCCAGGTAGGAACACCAACACATGTCCGTCGGTCGAGTTGTGGATTACATGGGCGACCGTCAAAGCAAGTAGCGGTGTGGGCAATTCAAGATCATCATCCTGAGCACCGTCTGCAGACAGACTTGTTGCGTCAGGAAGACTATGTCTCAGGTTTCTCTGGCCGGGAACCTGAGGGGCGGCTGGACCCATCTGATGAGCAAGGTATTTCTGCACCGACTCTTCCTGGAATACCCAAGAATTCGACGGGTTACTGGCCAACTGAGGGACGAAGTCGTCCAAGAAATTCTTCTGTACAGGGAACGCGCGACCGGGGACTTCGGTGACACTTGCAGGTGCACCAGTCTTGTCTGGGAAATACTCCTGGAAGAGTGTGGGATTGATGGTAGCGCTCATCAACACGACCTTCAATGGTTTGTTCCTCGCTTTGCGGTCAGCCAGAAGGCGCTTCAGCACGACTAGAAGCAGATCCGTATCAATGTCACGCTCGTGGACTTCGTCCACGACGACATGCGTGACATCGTCTAGATCCCGACCGACTGTCGAGTCGCCGAGCATGAAGGATTGCATCCGCTTCAGGAAGATTCCAGTCGTACAGAAGGTGATCGACCCATATTCGTCCGGTAGATTGGCTTCAAATCGGACCTGGTAGCCAACCGTAGAGCCTCTGCCGGCGTTCTCCCCTCGCTCCTTCGCTACACGCTCTGCTACACTGATAGCGGCTATCCGTCGAGGCTGTGTGCACACGATGTTGCACTTTGCGCCTTCACCTTTCGCAATCCACTCGTCGAGAATAAGCTGCGGAATCTGAGTCGTCTTCCCCGATCCCGTGGCTGCCATACAGATAGTCACGTCATGTGTCCGGACGTGCTCCAGCAGGTCCTCGGCTTTAGTGTACACAGGCAAAGCAGCACGGGTGATTCGCATATGTTCCAACTTGGGATCATTCAAGTACTTCCTTTTCTGTTCCCGCAGCCGTTCTGACTTGTCCTCCAAATACGTCGTAGGGACCGGTCGACGATATAACAGCGGTAGTGGGGCAGCGGCCTGAAAAGAGGCCGCATCAGGCGCATCGTCGCCCATTTTGTGCGAACCGATTTTTGGTCGGTTTTTGTAGAGCGAACTCGCCTTTATGTCTTGGCATAGATCGTGTATCTGGTCCTCGAGGGCATCGTCAATCTGAAATAGCACCCTCGGTGCCATGCCAATGTCCTTGCCGGTCTTGGCATCCTCCACAAACTGCTTCCACACGGCAGGATCGCACTCCTCGAGATACTGCGTCACATCCACGTAGCAAGTAGTCATTGCAGTTTTTTTGGTGGTGCCTTTCCCGAAGCCAATACGGCGTCCACCAACAGTCATGTCTGCCTGCCAGGTCGTGGTACCACTGCGCGAACCCCGCGCATTGATTGGTACATAGGTTATGTCCGGCCTTCCAAAACCAAATCTGCGACAGTAATAGTCCATGAATTGGCGCGCGCGTTCGTATTCAACCACAGCACCGTCTGATAGTGTGATTTTGGATGGAGACAACGTCTCCTCGGCCTTTGGCTTTTTGTACGATTTTTCGAACTGCACGAACAGTATTACGTATGTCATTCGAAATGTCTGCGAACGCGACGTACCACTCCCTTTGCATCTAATTGGTACAAAGCAGATAGTGCTGCCAGTCTCTCAGCCTCTTTCTTGTTTGCATCATCACCGTAGGCGGTGATGTCAAGACCTTCGTCCTCTATGCGTACTGCCGCCCTGTCAAACGTTCGTAACATGGCGTTATACAACGGTAAAATGAGATGAGAAAAAAACAAAAGCGCACCTCCAGATGCTCTGGCCAAGTGAACTCGTTCCTTCCTCAAAGGTAATATTAAGCGATTTGTGCAAATGATCCTTCAAGAAGTTGTTCAAGGGCGACTTTGGCTGATCATCGCCCCATTTCAATGGTCTAGTTTTGAACGCTTGGGTGATATAGGCCATGTTGTGAACGGGTCCAGGAATGACTGTCCGTGATGCATTACCAGACCTTGCGAGACGGCCCTTGGGCTTGTTTGATTTTCGATTTGAGGGGGAGGGACCCGGTGGGTGCAGTCTAGACAACAATGACGATGGATCACCAGGATGGCGCGCATGGGGGTGATTGGAATGAGACATGGCGGAGGAAGAGGACGTTGGCTCCGACACAGAATGTACCCCTTCTACTTTGGGTACCTTGACAGGTCGTGACCCACCGTTATCGGCTGAAAATGATTTGGAGGGGTAAGGGTGTTGAGAAGATGATGTCGATGCTAATGCGTGCGCAGACTGGGCGTACGGTCGCTTGAGACTGGGACGAGAAGACGTGCCAGCTGCAGAACCTAGAGACAAGCTTTTTGTCGGGTCCAATTGCATGAGGAGTCGCCGCCTTTGCCGTAAAACGAAAGCAAAGCGCATAGGGAATGAATGACACTCGAACTGACAAAAGTTCAGCATAGACCGTCACCGATTCCGGCTCACGTTCGAGACTGACCAAGCTCCCCACCGCTTCTAAATGATTCGCACGTCCACTCTGAACCTGATGGGCCAAAAAGATGGTGTCGGCGTTCCCCCAGAACCAGTCAAATCGCTATACGAGCAAGAACAACTACAAAAAGCGAGTCTTACGCGAGTAACAGTGACGGCGACCACCAGGTGAGAAGCGCCGATAAGTGCTTCGGCGTCCTAACCCTAACCCCGACTGACAATAATGCCGAAAATACATGGTATAACAGATGTAAAATACAACATACACATCGAAAGCGTAGAACTTAGAAGTAATAATAATGCATGCGGTGCTAGTACAATCATCAATGGTCGTGAACGTGGCTCGGCCACGATGCTGCTGCTGCATCAATTCCAGTCAGGTATTTGAGCTTGATGGCAGCGGCCTGCACGGCTGGCCAATCTTTTGCACCAACGAGGGCTTCTATATCTCGAATCGTTTCTCCTAGTTTGACTGAACCAGGAGACGGTGAGTATGCAAATTATATACGCCGGATCGCGGACCGTACCAGAATTTCTCTCTTTGATATTCTCGATAACCGCCTGAGATTGCGCATTAGCAATGTCTTCGTGCACCTCCATCACCTCCATCAGCAGCTCCTTATCATCAAAGCTGTCTGCTTCTCTATGACCAAAGCCTTCTTGCTCCAGGATATATTCCACCCTGCGCAATGGGCTTGTGAGATGATGCAAGGCGTTGTTGACGCGTGCTGACATGACTGCAGCCGCTGCTTGCAGTTCCTGTGAAATCCAATAATCCATTAATATTTGAAAGGATTCATACGAGTGCGTCGTGCATTAATAGTCTACTCGCCTCACTCTTGCCTGCCCAACGATCGGGGTGGATGATAGATTGGAGGTTTCTAAACCGATCCTTGAGCTCCGACTGATCCACCACAAAAGGGTTTGGGTCATATGCAGCCCCAAGTATATCGTGGTGTGACATTGTTGGAGGTATTTGAGCAATATATGCGCATTTGGGGCAGACAGGTAGTGGTGTAGGAAGTGGGGCGGAACACCGAGGGCAAACAGAGGTAGAGGATAATGTACTGAGATGTCGTCTACATGGGTAGCTCTCCGAGGATGCCAAAAAACGAACCTTCCCCAGAGAGCGAGTAGGTAGGCGACATGAGGCCACGAGCAGTCGTGATGGACGAAACATGAGTGTCAGAGTGCAGGACTGCGTCACCCAAGCTTTGTATTCGATAAGATTAGATCCCGCATCATGTGATGCGTGACTACATCAGCATTTGATGACATTTAACTCGCTTATTCTGAATATGTCTACCGTGACCATGTCTTCCACTCCATCGTCGGCTGGTCCTTCGGCTCCTCCCCCAGTGTGTTTGGTACGCGATGAATATTCCGCTGCAGATGCGGCTCGGCTTCGCCTCGCTCCTCCTAGGATTATACCTAGTATCTCTATGCCAAACCTTCGCAGAGCGCAATCTAATACGACAGAACACCGACGGAGAGCGAAGAGTAGAGAGTTCGATTTATCTTCGCTCACTCTGAATGAGATTCCTACAGAGTTCTCAGAATCAGGCTTTCATGCTGTTGTAATTGACGACGAGGCGGTCTCCTCACTGTCGTTGTCGGATGACAAGGATGTCTACCGGTGGGCTGTTCTATACGAGAATCAGAGAGGGTAAACCCATTCACCCCCTGCGTGTTGAGTTGGATGCTAGTGTTACTTTTTTTAGCGCGTTCGTTTTCTCGACCGCGTACTATTCTCCGATGTCTCTGTTGCCTCTCGACCCACCGCCCTTCACGATACCGACAACATCGGGATCCATGCGCAAAGACCAACCTACCGTCTCCCTCACAGACTATCCTCTTCCGGACGGGACGTGGCGCTGGGTCTCCAGGGAATGGATGATTGACATGCGCGGTGACGGTCAAGTGCAATATGACGGCTTTGAGTACGCTTGGTCCTTCCGGAGCAAGAAGTGGCGACCAACTGTGGGGATCCTCAGCTCTGGGGGATGGGTGCGGAGGAGAAGATGGGTCAGACTGATGGTGCGCCCTGCCAAGAGTCTACGAACTGGAGTCGAGAATGCGGGGCATCCCATCAATCAATCAGACCTTCTACAGCTGGCACATATCGAGGCTGGAGCCACTCGTCCACCGTCAGTCGCTACTTCCTTGACCGAAGATGCTCAGACTGCTGGCGATGTAGTGTGGAGAGGTGATGAGGACGATTGGGTGCGCTGTCATGCCGCGCTGAAGGCCCTTGGTCGTGACGGCAGACGACTTGAGCTGTGGCAACGGTGGCTCGGTCTTCCTGTCCTTCCTGTCCTTCCTTCTATAGAATTGGACGCCTCTAGCGAAGGTTCCGGGAAGGAGCAGGCGAAGCAACTACAATCAAATGAAGATGACTCTCTTATTCAACCGATCGAGGTTTCTGACGATGCCTTCATCGATGAAATTGCCAATGGGGTGGGCGCTAGTCCTGAAGTTGCACCCCTAGATTATCTGGCCAAAGTCTTACGGGCGCACGTACGTCTTGCACGGCTATCGTTGATGTCAGACTGTTAACGACCAGAACAGGGCGCCGACATTTTGAAGTCATTCGTCTATCCAGATTCACGCGCACGGTGGCTTACAATACTTGAAAAAGCTGGTGTTGTGGAGGAGGTCTATTGTGGGCTGAGTGTTTCTGACAGCAGAATGACTTTGGATTTTTGGAGTTACGCGCCTTGATTATTTGGACGGTTAATGCGCAGCGGTAAATACACCTGATAGATCACAAAACGTATATATTATTTTATTGTATTCTACGTGTGGTTTCTACACTACAATCCAATAAGTATATGTGGCTGGTGCGAACAAGAAAACCTGCCCAATATGGGCGGCTATGTGGTTTCAAGTAGACTGCATGTTGATGTTGAACAGACACTCGGCATCAGTCAATGTCCTCACCGACGGACCACAAAGACAGACGGGTACGCTCTCTTCTAGACACTACCCATTACGACATCCTCTACTCATTGCCTGACGACCATCCTCTCGCGGTCGCGCTTCGCACCTATGTGCTTGCACTGAGCCTCGCGTTGGGCCCCGCACTACTTCCATTCGTCACCTCACCCAAGGCGCGGATCAATGGATTGGCCCGTCTAAAGAACGTCCTCAAGAGGGAGTTCGCATTCGCAGGGTTTGCGTTCGCCATGACCGTGGGCGTTGGATGTGGTGCCGCCATCCGACATGTGTGGAATACTGCATGTGAACCAAGCGACGTGAATATTCGTTGTGAAGATACCAACTTGGCACTCTGTCTCGCCAAAGTGAGACGATGGCTGTCCTCTGTCAAATATGTTCACAGGACTTTCATCTCTAACTTCATTTCGTCCGCTCTTGCCATCACGTTGCTTCACTCGAGACGTCCTAACTATCGTCCAACCGTCGAAAGAGCAGAGATCCCATTGCTTCCACACATCTCCGAGTCTTCAGCCCTACATAAGAGTCTTTCGTTGGGTCCTAGACCACCACCGACTCTGGATCTAACGCTTCTGATCCTTGTACGGGCGTTGGACTTCATCGTACAGGCAACTCTAGGTAGAATCGCACGCTTTGATGAATTAGACCCTAAGAGAACACCGGAGCAGAAGGAGAAGCGAAGACGACTACTACATTCAAGGTTAGACGCGTTGGTCTTCTGGATGTCGAGTGCAAGGTCTGCCCCCAATTCATTACCGATACCGTAGGCTCACATCCGTCCCTCTTTGAAGGATCATGTGGTGTTTCTTCTACCAACCAGAAAGGTCATACTCTGCTGATTCGTCTATGACGCCCTCACTGAAAGCACACCCTGCAACAGACTCCCGCGTTCCTACAATAAATGGTATTTATGCCGTATTTCTTGGTTGGTGAACTTCTATTGAGCTGGCGTAATTCAGGATCATGACCTTGGCGAATATCGACCCTCGTATCCTTGCGACACTGCGGGCCCTCCGTTCCGGTGATTGGTCCTATCGGCTGCATTATTCGACCCAACCCGACCTTGTATCTTCCCTCTCGCGTGACCTTGGATACCCTTCGATATGGGGTGACTACGCACTTCTACCCGCCTACGGGGGGCCACAAGCCGACGAGGCATGGAAACTTATGGGTGTCACCACACGCAAAGGACTTGGCGGCATACCTTGCGAACTTGTACATGGCAGCGTCACGGGTGGAAGCTGCACTGCCAACGCAGTAATTAGAGGCGTTCAGGCCTTCGCTGAGGCACTTGCATTGTATACCCCAGTACGTTGCACGGTATTCTCACCATCACCGCTATTTGTAACACTTCGGCCTTCGTTGTGTAGGTCCATTTTCTACCAATCATTCTCACGCGCCCACAGACCCTGCTGCACCTTCCCAAGTTCGCCAGCACTGTCCTCTCTCTTCTTCGCAGCGCTTCATTCCTGTCGGCATTCGTGTCTTCCATTTGGCTCTCCGTGTGCCTCACTCGCACCCTAGTTCTTGCACGCCTCTTCCCGGCCGTGTCGCATGACTTCTGGGACGGCCCGCTCGGGTGCACATTTGTGGGAAGTTTGGTCTGCGGTGCGAGTATATGGATTGAGCAAGGCCGTCGGCGTGGAGAGATCGCGCTGTATGTATTGCCGCGAGCGATTCGGGCATGCCTTCCAGAGAAGTGGCTAAAGGGTGGAAGCACCACATTTCGGTACGCTGAGTGGTAAGCCTTGTTCTCCTTCACAAATTACTTCGTAGGGCGGTTCTCACGCAATGATCGCAAGGCTCGCATTTGTGCTCTCACTGTCCACCCTTCTCAGCGCTGCCATCCATCAGCCGGACTCTCTTAGAGGTCTCTCGCGCTGGATTCTCACATTTGTGATGAAATGGCCTAAGACCGGGCTTCGGAAACGTGAGCTGCAGGAGAATTCTCGTCCCGACGCACCAGTAGAACCGCCTCCCATGCACCGTGCAACGCCATAGCGGTCAACGAGTACCCAACAGACCTCACATTCACCATTGTTTCGAATAAGTGTGGTTGTCATGCTTTCCACAAACGCAGTGTATGGTCATAAAACGAGCAACTACCTACTAATGTACCGTCACCTCCTTCCGGCGAGAATGACCAGTCCGCACCATACGCTAGAGACTCGTGGGCATCAAAGCGTTTCACGATCTCAACCTGACTGAGCAATGTCTTTGCACCATTCACTGCAACGTTCAAACGTACAACCTTGAACCCATCGTGCATGCACGCCACCAGAATATCGCTGGCTCGCCTCGGTGACGGATGCCACTTGACACGCCAGATACCACCTCCCACATCGAATTCAGATACCGGAGCACGTATGTTACGCGTGTCAAAAATTCGCAAGATCTTGTCGTAGCTGACAGAGGCCGTGGCGTCAGAAAATGTTAAGGAAGGCAGGTTCACGAAGTGCACCTGCCCACAGCCAAATGATGCTCGCTGTGCGGATGGCTCTGTATCGTAGTCACTCCGCCATCGAAGCTGACAAGAAATGTCAATCGTAATGCGTCTAATCGATCGGAGCGCATACCACTTGTTAACAAACAGTGGTTGTGAAAAGCCCTGCCTGGTATCCCAACCTTTGAACTTCAGATCGTCACCGCCTGTGTAAGTGTCATTCAGTGCCCGAGAGAACTCAGACAATTTCTACCTGAATAGACAACATTCGTATCCCAGTAATCCCAAGCTGCGATCCATGGTTCGAAGTCGTGAGCAGCCCAAGAATCGGTCATTGTCAGGCCAGATTGATCTTGAGGCCTCAGAATTGTGAGCGAACCATCAGATAGAGAGACCACTAGAGGTCCAAGTGTACTGTCTCAAATTCTCAGGCACGAATGACGGAGAAACCAAATGGGCCGTACGTTGTTGGTACTCTCCTGTTTGACCAGTCAAGGGACAAGCATAGAATTTCTGATGGAGCACACGAGATTGATTGTATCCTCTTCAGTTTGGTCTAACAATTTTTATCAGGTCAGATGGATACATGAGAGTATGCTGCGCGAACCGCTTGGCTATCCACTTCATGTATGGTGATGTTTCCTTCTGAATCGGCTATGCCCAAGATTGGTGTCGCTGATGCGGCACGATGACACCTAATTACCGGTTAGAATTCCCGCACTTCCAAGGAGACATTACGCACCATTTCATATCAAGGATGGCAGGAAGAGAAACCCGCTGCTTCAAGGAGCTATATAATCGCAATGGTGATGGTGAAGCAAGTCGGAACCAACTGAACGCACAAGCTCTCTTCATTTACTGATTCAACCTGGAATAAGAGACATTGGCCACTCCGATGTTGTCGTTTTGGCGCACTCGAAGAGGATGTCTCTTCTTCGTGTCCCAAGGGTACCCCGTTGGAATCCGGCTGCTCTAGCTTGTACGTTCCGCACACAAACAGAGCCAAGAAATCAGGATGAGGACAGAACTCTACTGAGTCCGCAGGAAGAATAGTGTCAAAGCCAGCCTTGATGTTCATCCGAAAACAACTTGAAGTGCAGACGAGGTATTGAGTTCGTGAGTCCCTCCGTTCCGCTCGACATAGGCACAACTAGAATGTAAGTTGCCCTGTTCAATTATGTCCCTCCCTAATTTCCCTACTTTGATCGCCTCGGCAGGCGCCTTATTTTAGACCCGCATTTCGGCTAGATCGGAGTTTGCGGTTGCTCGCGCTCTCACGACAGGCAATGTCGGACAATCTATCAATGGAGATGAATTCCAGAGATGTAATTGTCTTAATGAGAATCAACTGTCCCTTGCACTGCACGGGTGGACGAAGGTTTAACCACAATGACTTGTCACTCGGAGGACAGTTTTAAGATAGACCCAGTTCAAACCCGACCACTATCACGTGACCCATTTTGTCACGCTTACATTCTTTTGGCGGACGAGAAGGAAAGAATTTCTTATTTCTCAAGCATCATCACCTTCAAGGTAAAAGTAGGACCACAATCTTATTAAGAATATTTTGCTTCAAATAATTGTGGTCTCCGACTTTTGAGAAATCTCACACACTGAGAGAAATAAGATAAAATTTTACAATATGGACATGTTAAGTAATTACCACATTTCTTGCCTGTGGCGACACGATCCTTCTCCACTTTCATGGCGAAACGAAAGCTCGCGCACCGGCGCTCTATTGCAAACCTCGGGAACCATGCAAAAAAAAGAGTGTGCCAAAGACAGGATAGTGAAAAGGAAAACAAAGAAAATGTGAGTAAGTTAGTGCAATCTAGGCTTACAATACTCACCATTACTACAGGAACCACCTTCCGAACTTCTCGCCCAGACCGCAGATAGTTGCGGGGATACATCACCTGCAGATAAGCAGTGCACGACATCACACAGTGCCAGCGCCAGGGCAATACCACCGAGCGCCGGCACTGGCATGCATGGGCCACTTGCATTGGAACTCTCTGGCCACGAAGGTGTTGTGGAACAATATCAGATTCAAAATGCAGAGGACACTATGACTGTACCTGATAATGCCAGTGCATTCCCTACATCCAAATCACATCCCTACATACCTCCACCCACCATTGAAGATGCAAATTCTGCTTTAAGCGACATACTGGCATTGCTCCGGCCACGGCGGAAAAATGGAAAGGGAACAAAGCCATTTGATGGTGATGATTTCCTTCATCGGCGCATGGAGCAGATGAGAATGTTGCTGTGGTTCTATGTCAGTGGAGAGCCACCAGCCTGGATTGATGCATCATTCAAAGTTGCATATGCATACCAGAAAGGTGACTTCATTGCAAAGGCTTTGCGCACGTGGACACGATCATTCTTGGCTGACCGGCATAACCTTCTAACCAATCCATATGGGAAATGGAACAACTCAATGCTACAGAAGGGGGACCTAGCATCAGCAATCGGAAGACACCTGCAAAGTATTGGCAAATATGTTCGTGCTATGGATGTTATGGAGTTTGTTAACAGTGCGGAGACACAGAGTGAATTTGGACTCACAAAAGGTATTTGTCTCTCAACAGCCCAAATGTGGATGCATGCAATGGATTACCGCTGGCGCAAGACCCCACATGGACAATTTGTTGATGGACACGAGCGTGCAGACGTTGTCAATTACCGGCAGGAAATATTTCTGCCATTAATAGCCGAGCTGGAATATAACGCACGTCGTTGGAGCCGAGATGGTCTTGAGGACATTGATCAGAACGAACCTCGACCTCGTAATTGTCGTATGGTGTTTTGGTGGCATGATGAGTCAGTCTTCTATGCAAATGATCGTCGCTCAGTGCGTTGGGTGCACGAAACTGAAACCGCAGTGCCGCAGGCAAAGGGAGAAGGCGCATCAATCATGGCGGCAGACTTTGTCTCGGCAGACTATGGCTGGGGGCGCTCTAAAGATGGGACCAGATCAACCCGAATACTTTTCAAACCGGGAAAGAATAGAGAAGGCTACTTCACCAATGAACGTATCCTCGAGCACTGTACAATGTTGATGGACATAGCATCAAGAGACTATCCAGATGATGACCATGGTATAATACTCGACAATGCACCAACTCACCTGAAACGCGCTGACGATGCACTTTCCGCTCGCAAAATGCCCAAATTCCCACCAAAACCTGGCGCTCCAAACTTTGGTGTTATGACAAATGTTATTGGCGAGAATGGCAAACCTGTATATGGCACTGATGGGAAGATCCTCAAACGATGGATGCGAATGACAGAAGGAAAGTTTGCAGATGGCAGACCACAATCCTTGTACTTCCCACCTGGTCACGAGCGCGAGGGACTCTTCAAGGGTATGGCAAATATCTTGGAAGAACGTGGCTACAAGGGTGTTCAAAATTTGAGATATGAATGCCCCAGTTTCAAATGCCCCCCTGGACAGGAAAGATGCTGCTGTAGAATAATGCTGTACAACGAACAAGACTTTCGAGATGTCGAGACATTAGTGGAGACTCACTGCAAAGCTCGTGGTTTCCATGTGATCTTTCTCCCGAAATTTCACTGTGAGCTCAATCCTATCGAACCTTGCTGGGGATTTGCAAAACGTGTATACCGCCAGTTCCCGCCTTCAAAGTTGGAGGCCGATCTTGAGCGCAATGTGGTCAAGGCATTGGATGCAGTCCCACTCGAAAGCATGCAACGGTGCGTTCATCAATTCTGATGTGATGTGATGTGACTCAGATCACACACAGCTTCTACACTCGCGCACAACGCTTCATGGATGCTTATCGCAAAGGTTTGAATGGTAAGCAAGCTGCATGGGCGAGCAAGAAATATCGCGGCCATCGCATCCTCCCAGAGAGCATCCTCGAGGAACTTGAAGCTGCAAAGATATAACTTATATTCATAGTTCAACTATCTTGTATACTTTCATTCTTGTGTATATTCACTATGTTTCTACCTCATACACTGAGAACGCTGACTCATTTTATGTCGACGCTCCTGCCGCTGTCGTGCGTTCAGTGCCTTTTCGGGACTTATCCAGGCACTAAGTGGGTTGCACGTGAGGTGTCACAGTGTGACGATAGTGGTCGGGTTTGAACTGGGTCTATCTTAGTACTATCCTCCGATCACCTTCCATGTAAGGCAACTAACCTATCACTAGTGTATGGCATGGGTATCGCCAACCCACATGGGTTGTAAGTATGGGTATCCATGGGTATGAGTGTGGGTCAGCAGTGAGTAACCCATGGAAACCTATGGGCCATCTTATGGGTTTGTTATAAACATAGGGTTCCAGAAGTGTGGTGGTGGTGTAACTGTACGGTACCTTTATTAGGTAATTCAAACCTGGTATCACACACAGCTCAGAAGACCCATCTCATCACCCCAAAAGCATGGCAGGTGATGGCACAAAGACTTGCATACTGCTATTGTACTATGACTCCCACACTGCAACCCATAGGATACCCATGATGGGTCTTGACCCATACAGACCCATAGCTGACCCATACCCAACCCATGAAAAACCCATACCCATGTGATGGGTATGGGTTTTCCGTGGGTATGGGTGTGGGTATACCTTGTCAGACCCATGGAATACCCATACCAGACACTACCTATCACACTGGAGTCTCAAGCCGAAGATATCCTGTTGTCAGAAAAACTCTTTGTCGAGTGTGCATTCAGAGGCTCAGAAAGAGGCTTTTAAGACACTTCCCTCTCTGCTATCTGCCTGTTGCAGCTGCTGGTAAGCCACCATTGCCTGTCATGTCTGCTCTGTGGATGTGGGCTTCCCTCATTTTGCTTGAATTTTGGATGGTTTGATAGCTAATCATGCCCCGAAGAACACTGGAACCTTTCCTATGAAGAATGCATGCACGATCTTGCATGCAAAGTGTTGAGATATTTTTGGCACATCTTTTACATAATGCCGAAGACCACGACAAGTGCCAAGGTGAGGGTAGGGAAAGCAGGGAGGGATATAATTGAACAGGGCAAGTAGTATGGTTGCCGAGCAGGCTCAGCTTCATTTCCAAGTCACAAAGCTTGAAGTCAAAACTGATCCACATTCATAGTCTCAGCTCCAGCTGCATACCTGTGGAAGCGACTGACAACCAATATGTCGAAGATCAGAAAAAACCGTTGCAGCTTTCGTAAAATGTCTGGTGTAGTCTCACAATATTTACTCAGAAATTGGGCTGGAGTGCATCATTCGGACACAATATGGACAATGATTACATGGACGTCACAATATTGAATCACAATTCGGGAGTTATGAGGATATGTGTGTGCATCAATAGATTTATCTTTCTTTTGTGACATTAATACAAGAGGTAGTGAGGATTTTAAAAAATGACACAATGCCCATAAATATTGAGATTGGTCATTTTTCAGTGACCAACTCTGACAGACGTGTAACATGTTTCAATATAAAACTCGCATAACTAACGCAATACTCTAGATATTGAGCTTGGCAAGCAGAGCAATCCAAGGCCAAGGCCAACAATAAGGCGACGAAAGCCAAGGCCAAAGCTGCCAAGGCTGCGCGTGCCAGAGCTCGTATTTATGGCGAAGCTTATGAGCTAGACTTCGCATGCACTGGAGACCAGGAAGAAGTTGATGTTACGCGGCAGCGAAACACGAGCGTCTAGTCGAGTCGTCACGAGACAAGGTCTTAGTCTAAGACACAAGTCCGTTCAAGTGACACTTCTGGCGATGTCCTCGCACTGAAGGTCGATCGGAGTTCGTTCTTATGACTCGTAGTAGCTGTCTGCTACTGACGGTCGATTTCAGTCAAAGGCAAGTGAAAAGCTGGTTTAATGGTAACCAGGTCGAGATGGGGATCCAGCTCGACAAGGTCGTCTACTTATACAAAAGGTATCCGCAGTACTACGCAGTAATGCAGGATCGTTCATTGGCTAGATAAGGTGAAACGATGTCTAAGCAGGGTAACAACGAGGAAGTAATATGTATGGGAAAGCTGAGTAAGGTCGTGAGAGATAATCAGTACTAATGGGGATAACGAGTCGTGTATCAGAACGAGGTAAAGATGAGGCATACATGCACGTCTTGCATGTGCGATAAGAAGAAGGTCCGGAGTTGGATCCGGTGTAACCCTAGACTAGGGGTTCTGGACATCTGGATAAAGAATCGGAGGTTGCGCTCCGATGAGTCACGTGTTGGATCACGTGGTCTGGTAACGTAAAGGGAACAAGGAAAAGAAAAAGAAAAGACGCGCCACAAGTGAGGAGCGTTGTAACATCAGCTCCCGTCTAACGTTTCTTGTCCCACAAGAAATATTGTGATCTTCATCGTCGTCGGGGGCAGTTGCGGACATAATGATCTCCTCCACATCGGTAGCATGTCCGCCGGCTGGTTCGTGATCCTTGTTCGGGGATACGTCCATCCCTGTAGGGATGACTGCGACGCGAAGAAGTGGATGCGGTCGAGAAAGATGGTTGGGATAACGGAGATCGTCCACTGGGTATGTGCGAACGAGGGGGGCGAGGTCGAACGGGAATTGGTTCTGGCGACGAGCGAGGAGTGGATGCGGGTATTCCATTAGTGGTGTATCCGAGGATGTGTCCGATGTCTTCGTCCCCATGCTCCCTCCAAATCTCCTGTGCTGTACGAGTGACCGTACTGCGCATTAATGACCAGACTTGGTCGACTCTGGTTCGGGCTCTACTCGTCCTTTCCTCTGCTGCGATGAGCTCCTGTCTGGCCGTCTGCATCCACTCGACCATTTCTAATGCTCATTGCATGGAAACCACCGCTTGTCGATCTTGCGGGCGATTTCGCAAGGCGACGAGGATATCTGTGAAGTCGACAGGAACACGGATAGCCGAGACCAGACGTGTGGCAAATTCTTGTTCGTCCGATGCGTGACTGAGTTCGATAGAAGGTGAGGGTGATGAGGCGCGAATAAAGGGTGTCTGTGCTCGAGAGGGTACTCCATTGACAAGCATAGGCGATGCGGGTATGCTCATAATTGTGGAGGCGACTTCAGCGAGTATATTGTGAACAAGGTCGTCTATAGCGGAAGTGGGCATTGATGATATATCGTCTTCTCCTCCTTTTATACCTTTCGGTCGTTAAGGGGATCGCGGTTATCTGTGATGTGAAATAGAATGTTGTGGATCCGGGTAATAATCAAATAGATGAAAATCCATTGGACGATAAAGAGTATTCCCACAGAGATAAGAGCTGCCTGATTAGTTCCAGGCATCGTTCTGATCACCCCAGCCGTTAGCGTGTGGGCTGTCTCGCGTGAAGAGTGTGTGTTCGACAAGTCGTCTGATAAGGATTCGGCGGATGATCCAAAGAAAAGTGAGGGTTGTGCAGTGGAGGACGATTAGGAAGATGATGAGGAAAACCGTTGTGGTAGTCATTCCGGGTTTCTTCTCCTCTACTGGATTCTCCTGGTCCTTTTATATGCATCGAGGATTCGCTTGGCATTCTGTAAATTGTGGGTAGGTTCCCACGAGTTTTCTGCTGAAGAATATCCCTTCCACTTGACTAAGTACCTCAGATGACCTCGGTACGTCTTGTGATTCAGGATGGCTTTGACTTCGTACTCTTCTTCGTTATCAACGACATCAGGTGATGGGTTCACGTAATTCGGACCATGTATGTCATTTTCGCGATAAGGAGATAGGAGGGCGGCGTGGAATACGGAATGAACTCGCCAGGTCTTTGGGAGTTTGAGACGATAGTTGGCTGGTCCGATGACTTCGACAATTTCGAATGGCCCCTCACGCTTTGGTGCTATCTTGCGCGAGGCGTAATTGACCTTCAGGTTCCTCGAGTCTAGCCAGACCTTCTGTCCTAGTGTAAACTTCGGCGATCCTTGTCTGACTCGGTCCGTCATCTGTTGTCGGGCTAACTCGTGCATGGCTAGTGCTTCTAGTCTTATCTTCTGCAACATGTCAAGCCTGGATTCAACCGATGGAATGTTCGTGGTCAGAAATACGGAAGGGAGTCCACGTGGTTCGTATCCCATCATGATGCGGAATGGGCTCATCTTCCGTGCCGAGTGTTCCCTTGTGTTATGACAAAACTCGAGGTCTGGCAGGCGGTCGGCCCATGTTTCAGGGTTGTTTCCGCAATAGAGTCGAAGATAGATTTCCAGCTCCTGGTTGACTCGCTCTGTTTCTCCGTCCGTCTGAGGGTGATAAGCTGTGCTCATTGATGATCTGATCTGGAGTAGTCGATTTAACTCTTGGAAGACCTTGGATGCGTATTGAGGTCCTCTATCCGAGATGATTTGGTCGGGTAATCCAAATCGCGAGTATACTTTGTCATGAAAAATCTTGGCCGTTCCTTCGGCTGTGATCGTTTTGAGGCAGGGCGTAAGAATCACCCCCTTCGTAAGGTCATGGTCTACTACGACCATAATTGAATCAAAACCGTTGGAAACGGGGAGGTCGGTAATAAAATCGGTGGTGCAACAGGAAAATGGTAATGCGTGTGGGTCGGCGGGAATTGGTTCCAAAGGAATACGAGTTGGATGAGTATTCGGTTTCATTTGTTGACAGGCGGCACAGCCTTCAACATAATTGTAGACAAATGTATACATGCCGGGCCACCAGAATTCACGACGTAACAGTTCAAGGGTATTGAACTTTCCAGGGTGACCCATGGCAGGGGAGTCGTGATATAGTCGAACGAGGTCACGACGAAGAGTTTCGGATGGTGGAACGTAGATCTTTCCCTTGTAAAGGATGACACCATCGCGAACTTCCCAGTCGGAAAGTGATGATTTCATGGGGAATGGCCCTTTGTGCGCAATCGCTTCGAGGGCTTCGTGAACAATGAGGTCTTTTGCTGCGTGATTCCTGATTTCATCGAATAGTGTCGGGGAAATGGATCGCACGAATAGTGCATTAGGTAAAAGAACGCGATCTTCGTTGTCACTTTCACTGTCATCGAGTCCGTTACGACGAGAGAGCGCATCAGATTGGATCATCTGAGTGCCAGGGACATGGATGAGGTGAAGATCAAATTGTGATAATTTGAGACTCCATCGTGCTTGTCGGCGGTTTAACTTCTGAGCTGTACGGAAGTACGTGAGGTTCTTGTGATCACTGCGAACTTCGACGGGATGGGGAGAGCCTTCAAGATAATGGCGCCATTCAGTGAGGGCTCGAATGATTCCGAGGAGTTCGCGGTCGTAGATTTCGTAGTTCCGTTCAGCTGGATTGAGCGTCTGTGAAATGTAGGCACAAGGATGGAGGTCTCCATTGATATCGGCTTGGCGTAAAACTGCACCCGTAGCAAACTTGGAAGCGTCAGATTCAACAATAAAGGGTTTTGCCTTGTCAGGCAGTAACAGTACTGGGGCGGTACTGAATCGTTGCTTCAATGTGTCGAAAGCTGTCTGACATTCTGTTGTCCATTCAAAAGGTGGAGATCCAGCGGCAGTTCGCGTAAGATTCGTCAATGGTTTGGCAATATCCGAGAAGTTGGCAATAAACTTCCGATAGAAGTTTCCAAACCCTAGGAAAGAGCGAACACCTTTTACCGTGCTTGGTTCAGGCCATTCTGCAATTCCTTTAAGTTTGATAGGGTCCATGCCAATGTAGTTTTCTCAAATGATCATGCCTAGGAATTCGACTTCTTTAACGTCAAAGAAACACTTTTCCGGTTTAAGGAATAAGTCGTTGTCTTTGAGTCGTTGGAGTACGCGTCGGGTTCGAACGTGATGTTCTTCCAAATCGTTTGAGAAGATGAGGATATCATCCATGTAAATGACTATCCATCCCTCATCGATCATGTCCTTGAAGAGTGTGTTCATCATCATTTGGAAAGTCGCCGGGGAGTTGCAGAGTCCAAAGAACATGACCATAGGTTCGAAAAGTCCGCGATTTGTCTTAAATGCGCCCTTCCATTGGTCACCATCTTTGATTCTGACATTGTTATATCCGGAGCGTAAATCCATTTTCGTAAAGATCGATGCGCCTTTGAATTGATCCATAAGGTCAGAGATGAGCGGAAGAGGATAGGCGTTCTTCACCGTCCCTTCATTCAGGTATCGGTAATCCTGACAGGGACGTAGTGCTCCGTCTTTCTTTCCTACAAAGAAAAATGGTGAAGCCATGGGAGATTTCGACGGTCGGATGTATCCTTTTCGCAGATTTTCTTCCAGGAAGTCATCCATCGCTCCTTGTTCTTTGAGCGATAACGGATAGACTTTACAGTCACGTGGAATAAAATCGGGTTTCAAGTCAATGGCGTGGTCCCAAGGCCTGGTTTCTGGAAAGCGTTCAGCTGCTTTCTTTTCAAAAACGGACTTCAAATCGTGGAGGTAGTTGGGGACCAACTCCTCGACGGTTTTGGGTTTGTCTATAGCTGATGCTTCCTTATGTGCCTGTTGTGCCAATTCTTGTGATTTACCAGATGGTTTGTAAAAGACCGTATTCTGTGCGTTACAGAATAATGGGGATTGGGTACTGTGTGTCATTCTTCCAATGGCGGGGCCTCTTCGTATGGTGAAGACTGCAGTTTCAGTCTCTTCATTCGTCAAAGGTGACTCCTTCCTGATGGGTTCAAATATCCCAATAACTGACTCTCCTGCGATATAGGATATAACTAGATCGTTGTCATCGAGCTGATCTATAGGGGGTTCTGATAGTGGGTCATCTGGTTTGGTATCATTCCGCACTGCGGGTAACTCGCCACGCTCAGTGTTATCGGCCATGATTTCTCTGATAGATTCCGAATGCCCAAACGAGGTAGGGGAAGTTTCAGTGGCGATTAACTCTGGGAGTCCATCTTCCTTGAAAATCAAAACTTCTTCATCTGGTGCCTCTTCGACGGTGGGTTTCGGTGGCCATTTGGCATCTTTACCAAACCAAAAGTCACCGGTTTCCCAGTTGATCATCGAATTGAGGCGTTTAAGCCACGGCATGCCGAGAAGTATGTTTTCTTTGCCAATGCCGGTTAAGAGGAAGCGAGTAAGTGTCTTCCTTCCTCCGATTTTCATCATCTTCCAGGTACAATGAGTAATGGTACCCATTTGATTTGGTGTGCCATCTGCATTCATGACTGTAATCGGTTTCGGTAATTCCCATCTGATGAAATCGTTTTCTTCCGCAAAACGAATGTTCATGAACGTTTCGGCTGCACCGGAATCGATCAAGGCTTCTGTTGTAACGTCTTCCTTCTCTCCCAACGAAATATTCACAGTGATTGAATTTCCGCTAGTGTTACAAATAACGAGGGGAGATACGGTAAGATGCGACGGTCCATGCATTACTAGTGGCCGTCGTCTCAAAAACCCAATTGGGTTCGTTCTTCATCAGTCATGTCGTTGAAGATGTTTCGCACATAGGCGATCTGTTCCTCTCTGGTTTCTTCCTTCGACGTCTCCTTCTTCTGTGCGAGGTCTTCTCGCATCTTCTTGATCCATGTGATCGTGTCTGTGTCTAACCCGGGCTGTATCGTTCTAGCACGGGTGAAACTTCCAGACTGGGGGTGGAATTGTCTGTCGTTGGCTATATGGCCCTTCTTTCCGCATAGGAAACATAATCCTTCTTTCATTCTCTTTTGTCGCTCATCCGGGGATAAGCGCGAGATATTGACACGATCAACATCCATCGCGTTTGGATCCTTTGCAGAAGCCGAGTAGTAGGGACAATGGACAGATCGGCCCTTTCCTCGCGTCGTCGTAGTGGCTCCTCGCTTGAAGATCTGAGCAGATCTCCATTGGTTATCAAACCGCGAGGCGTATTCGTACCACTTGTCAAGTGTCTTGGGCATGCTTTCCATCCCATATATCCTTTGTCGGAGTGGGTCGTTAAGCCCCCACTTGAAATACTCGATATTTCCGGCATCTTCTAGTTTCGCCTTGGATTCAAGCGATCAGAATTCGGCAATGTAGTCGTCCGCAGTACGAGTTCCTTGCTTGATGTTACGCAGCAAGGTACGAGCGGTTTCTTCAATATTTTCATCGCCAAATGCTTTGTTCACACTCGCAATAAAGTCTCTCCAACTCCCATAAGAAAGGAAGTCGTCATTGGTGAGTTCCATTTCTATGAAGCTCTGTGCCCATGATCCTGCTGTTCCTCCTTGCATGTGCGATAGCACGAACGCGATCTTCTGATTGTCCTCCTGGTAGACATGGCTATTTCCGGCCATGTAGTTCTTGCATTGGTTTATAAATTCCCTAAGCTTTGAACGGTCTGAACCGTTGAAGATCTCGGGTTTTCTAAAACCAAGTTCCTTCTGGCTAACATGGTGACGTCCTTCATCCATGGTAACTGTAGCCATCGGTGGTATGTAATCGGGTACGATTGGTGCAAGAGTCGGTTGGGGTACAGGATTCTGGGCAGGGGGGTTCCAAGGGGCGTCTGGTCTTTCTCCTGGATAGGAGGTCGTTATACCGCTGTCTGCGATGTGCTGGAGCACTATTCCTCCAAGATTATGGGGAAGTGTCCTTTCAAATTCCTCTGGGGAGTAGTCGAAGTTGTGATTGTCTGGCCTGATGAATACAGGCCTTCCTCCTATGAAATGTGCGTTTCGTTCTGTGCTCCACTCCGCTTGGGATGGGAGGTGCTCGCGGTACTGCTCTGGAAGAGCGGTTGGGTTGATGTAGTTAAAATCCAGCGTGGATAAATTCTTCTGTGTGGCCTATGTCTACACGTAGACTGCACACCGTCCTTAACTAAGTGGGTTCGTTCATCGTCGGCTAACAAGCCCGTAGAGTGTCTTCTGTCTTCAAACTGATACACCTATTTGCTGATTGCTCGAGTGATTACCTCAGCCTCCTCGGCCTATTGGTCTCTCGGACAGACCTCTCTCCGAAGATGAGTGATCAGTCTATCCCTTCAGCTACCTCGATTACAGAGTAATCTCAAACGGTGCTTTAGCAATCGAATCGGGTGTATCGTTCAGTCTTCAAGGTTCGGTCCGGTCGGTAGTTCGTTGTTAGACTCTAGGAAGTCACAGAGAGTAATAAGATCTCGACCTAATGTTACGCGGCAGCGAAACACGAGCGTCTAGTCTAGTCGTCACGAGACAAGGTCTTAGTCTAAGACACAAGTCCGTTCAAGTGACACTTCTGGCGATGTCCTCGCACTGAAGGTCGATCGGAGTTCGTTCTTATGACTCTTAGTAGCTGTCTGCTACTAACGGTCGATTTCAGTCAAAGGCAAGTGAAAAGCTGGTTTAATGGTAACCAGGTCGAGATGGGGATCCAGCTCGACAAGGTCGTCTACTTATACAAAAGGTATCCGCAGTACTACGCAGTAATGCAGGATCGTTCATTGGCTAGATAAGGTGAAACGATGTCTAAGCAGGGTAACAACGAGGAAGTAATATGTATGGGAAAGCTGAGTAAGGTCGTGAGAGATAATCAGTACTAATGGGGATAACGAGTCGTGTATCAGAACGAGGTAAAGATGAGGCATACATGCACGTCTTGCATGTGCGATAAGAAGAAGGTCCGGAGTTGGATCCGGTGTAACCCTAGACTAGGGGTTCTGGACATCTGGATAAAGAATCGGAGGTTGCGCTCCGATGAGTCACGTGTTGGATCACGTGGTCTGGTAACGTAAAGGGAACAAGGAAAAGAAAAAGAAAAGACGCGCCACAAGTGAGGAGTGTTGTAACAGTTGATGCTGAAGGATTCAGAGGGAAGGGAATATCGCGGGTTTAGGATTGACGAGGAATTTTCTTTGTACTCGCTGTCACACTTGCTCAACCTCTCCACTCACACACGTCCAAGTATTATACTCAAATATCGATCACTGCTTGTTTGCACTATTACTCTGTCTGTTTTCAGTCACTGAAGTGCTTGGTCATCTTTGCTGACTAATGTCTGACACTTAGAAGGACAATAGCGAGGTAGGTTTCTATTGTCTTTATTATTTTTATTATCCCCCACTCTCTTTTGTTTTATCCAGAGTCATTTCTTATTGTTATGACTCAGACTTCTATTATCACATTTTCTATTGTTATTTCTATTGAAGGCGCTTTTCTATTATTTAGATTTTCCCACCTTCTTTAGTATATAAACCCTGAAAGTCCACTTGGACTTCCAGAGGAAAATTGTTGCTCTTACGTTACAGAGCATTCTTCTCACCTCAGTAGTCGGTATATACTCAAGTTCATACTTACCTGAATACAGTGTTATTCAGGCATAGCATTATAGGCATCAAGGAAGTCACAACTCGGTCATCTGTCAATCGGCCATCTGTCAACTCAGTCACTTATTACTCGGTCATTCTCTCTGTCTTATTATAAGACAGTCTTTCCCTCTTACTCACACACACACTCTCACACTTGATTACTACCAGGTAACCAAGCGATTACTACAACGAATACACTGAGGAATATTTCCCGACTTTGTTCAAGTCCGGTGACCTTAGGAGGATTTTGTTTTGGTTTGTGTTTTATCCAAGACACCATTCTCATCTGTCAAACTGGAGCCCACCGCGAGGGGTAGTTTCCTTGCTTATCAGGTAACATACTATCCCCATAATACCCCCTTTACTTTCCCCATTTCCACTTGCCCAATGTGCCATCATCACAATCACCTACACCCACCTTAGGATTATCAAGTACCAGTATATCATCCCTGTCTGGTAACTCCTCAAATAATCTCACCTCCTCCATTTCCAATCCAGGTTCTACCAGTTCCAGTAACCCCTTATCAGTCAGTTTATCAGCCTCAGCCTCAGTATCAGCACCAGTACCCACCACGTCCACAGTGACCTCAGCGATACCAGCAGCCACAGCGTCCAATCCATCATCGTCAGCACCCACAGCCACAGCGGTCATACAATCCACCACCACCTCGTCCACTAACCCCACTTCAGTTTCCACCACCACCCTATTAACCAGTTCTTCCACCATGTCTAAGACTCGCTCAGTTCATGATATGCCTGTGCATGGAGGAAAACAAGCTCCCAGGACTTTTAAAGGTCAGTCATCCCAAGTTAAGGACTTTCTGGAAGACTATGATGCCTTACTGTCCTTTAATCAGGTAACTGATAATGGATTAAAGTGTAAAACAATTCGCCGGTATTGTAGTTGAGCAGTGCGAGAGGTAATAGAAACTCTCTCTGACTACAAGACTCCTAACTGGGATAATCTCAAGGCAGAAATTTTGAAGATTTATGATTCAGAAAGGAATGAAAGACGGTTCAAGCGTACTGACCTTAAGGATTTTTGTTGTACAGCACGTCATTCCTCTATTCACTCACTTTCTACAGTACGTTCCTACTATCGTGGATTTCAGCGTATTGCTGGATGGCTAAAGGAGAAGAATATGATAGATGAAGACACTTATAACAAGGCATTTTGGAAAGGGTTACCTAGGACCCTTAGGCCAAGAATTGAATCACGTGTACTGTGAATTAACCCTGCCCATGATTTAACAAAGCCCTTTACTGTTGCAAACATGTTAAAATCTTTGGAGGACATGTTTCGCCGTGATAGATTTGATGCCGATGAATCTGAGTCAGATTCTGACCATGATCAAGACCAATCTGATTCTGAGGATGGTACAGACTCTGATTCAGATTCTGCTGAGTCGGAAAATAGTGACGATGAATTTTCTAGATACAAGAAGAGTTCCAAGAAACAGCCAAAGAAGACTTCAAGGTCTGAAGATAAATCTGGAAAAATCAAGAGGAAGAAGAAGCGCAAGATGGAGTCAGGCCATAAGGCGCATGTGCGCCTGCATGCATTACAAGATGAGGAAACAGCAGCGGAAGAATTTGATGAAGTAGAAACAATTATTAGGAAACTTCAGACACTGTCATTGGATGATCCTAACTACTCTACTCTGTTTTACAGGGCATACAAGTTGGATAAGGATATTGTACAAATTGTACAATGTCCTAGGAGGCCGGGAGAATCCACTTCATCACCCATTGTGCATTCAGGAGGACCCCCTGCAACAATGGCAGACAATAGACCATTGTCGTGTGGAGAAATGACCTGTTATGGTTGCGGAAAGAAAAGGCACTCCATGAATTATTGTCCAGAGATTATTGACCTTTTGAATAAAGGGACAATAAAACGTGACATAAATGGCAAGTTAACAATGCCAGATGGGTCTCCTATTCGCAGAGGAAGGGATGAGCCTATTGTCTCAGCCTTCCATAAAACCCAGCTTGCGCAGTCAAACTTTATCTCATTTACTGCGGAAACCATGGCTTGCATTTCTGACACTGAATCTGACATTCTTGTTATGCCTGCTGAGTGCTCTTCCAAGTCCACCAAGGGAGCATGCAAGGAGCGCTTTGAAGGCGTGTTCCCTCCTGCCAAGCCTAGTTGGGCTCGGAGACTTGATGACAAAGCTGACAAAGCCAAAGCAGATAAGCCTAAAGTGGACAAACCCCCGGAACCCCGCCCAATTATTATTCAGCCCCCTCAGTTTGATCCCGAAGATGATGATGTTATTATGGAAGATGAAACCCCGGAGAAGCTGAAGAAGTCTCGTAAGTCATCATCAGTTCCTACGAAAATCCCAGCTAATAAGGAGGCAGAGCCCGAAAAATCGGAGAAAGCGCGGAAATACCTTCCCACCCAATCCGCTCTTTCGGGTCAGGTTCAGCCTGCGACAGTACTCAATAAAATATTGAGTACTCCTATTACAATTTTGGTAGGTGAGGTAATTGGATCCTCAAGAGAGGTTTCTAATTATTTATCGGAAATTATTAAGTACAAACGGGCACCCGCGGAGCCCGACAATAATATGGTGGCAAGTACTATTATTATGCGGAATCGGCGCGCGCTTATTCAATTTTCTATTGATTGCGACGGGCGCCAGATCGAGGCCATTGTCGACACAGGTTCAATGTTAAACATCGTACACTCGCGCATATGGAAAGACAAGATTCCATGACCTCTCAGCCGCAGCTACCGAATTACCATGAAGGACACAAACAGCGGCGAAGGAGATCTCCTCGGCTTAGTCCAGCAAGTCCCGCTGCAGTGCGGCGCAGTCACCACTTGGGCGAATCTCTACGTCGCTGACCACGTTCCCTTCGACCTTCTCCTCGGACGGCCGTGGCAGCGTGACAACCAGGTCACCATCGACAAGCGACCCGACGGAACTTATCTCGTTTTCAAGAACCCACACTCCTCCAACGGCGAGCACGAGCTTCTCGCGACTCCGGAGCACCCCCTCGACTTCGAACCTCATTCGCACATTGTAGAATCCAACTCGGCAGACTCTTTTCTCATTTCGGCACTGGAACCTAGTACTCATATTATCGATACCCCGATTCCACCCACGGACACTCTCACGCCCGCTGACTGGAACCCCGAGCCCACGCCGTCGAATCTTGATGAACACTATCACGCAGGAATCCGTTGCAGCGACGCCTATCCGTGCTCATTCGGATATTGGCAGGGCAGCCACTACGAGGACTGGTACATACCCAACGCGACACTTTCGGGCAGAGTATTTGGACCTCTCGGAATTTATTCTAGCCGTGGACACCCCTTCGAGCGCGAAGGGCACTCTTTTGTTCGATTTTTCCTGCACGACTACACTAACCGTGATTGGCCGGGCGCGATGTCAGTCAACGATGTCGACCTCCCGAATCTTGAATATCCTGTCGCGTGCGAAGAAGACCCCCCCGTCACAGATATAGGTCTAATAGCACCCCCGCCTTGGAGAATACTCACGGAAGCCACGTTTATCGACGACCCCGCGCCGCGCAGGATTGGTCTTGACAGTACCGCGAACCCCTTCCCCTTTGACACGACGTTCAACGTGACGAAATTGGAGCCTTCATCGAGCTCGGTTAGGATTTTCGAAGCAATTATTAACTCTCGCGCACCAAATGCGGCGCGCACTGACATATTTCATTCCCTCCAGGCCCCAAGGACATGCGATCCCCGTCGTCTCCTGAAGACGGTCGTACAAGATGATTGTATCATTACAATGGCCACGGATTCCTCTGTCCCCGTCGCTCCTCGACGTTGGGACAGTCTCCCATCGAAATTGTGTCATCACGCTGACTCAGCACCTCGCGAACGCAACAACGGTGCCAGCGCACACGATGCACATCGCTCCCCCTCTATGCCGATGTTTTTGTGCTCTTCAGAGTACTCTCTTTCTGTTCCTAATGCTTCTCAGTTTTATCTTGGGGAATTTGAACTTAGTGGCACCCTTCTCAAGGATGCCAACGGCACACTCGGGATGTCTCGAACTTCCACAGGTATCCTGGCTCATTCCTCGACTCCTCTCGACAATTCGGCACTTACGATGAACCCCGACGGCCTCCAGGATGCAAACGGCGACAACGCCGAGCACGCAGAGTACGCGCAACGTCCTGGGCCAGTCTATTCGCACAACGTGTTCCCCTCTGAACCTGACGCCCTCAGTGTTGCTATGGAGACCCTGACAGGAGACACCAGCGGACAGGGCAAGCAAGGTGTGCCCAGCCCCAAATTTTTATTAGGAAATATATTAACTATTCGATGTTGTACAGTAGATACAGGACGCGTGGACACAACCGTGGTCCTGGATAGTTATGGGATTGCGCCGCACGTCGAGCACGCAATTCTCGCAGACAACGACAACACGGTGGTAGGTGGCCCATGCAATTTTACAGACATCACCACGACGCACGCACAGGAGGATCTCCAACGCCGCAGCACAGCACGCAAATACCAGGCCACGGAGAATGTGAATGCACACGGCTTTGAGCGCGCAGAGATCGCGCAGAGTCCGTGGCCCGCGTCTTCGTACGACACGCTCCCTTGCGAGTCGAACGTCCCCACCGATGCCATGGAGACTCACGGTCGAGACAACAGCAGACAGGACAAGCAAGATACAGGCCGTGTTGATGCAGCCGCGATTGTCGAAGGTTACGGAATCCCGCCGCTCGTAAGTGACGAAAGGGGAGACGATTTACGAGATCTCGAGGAAGAGGGAATCGGAAGACGGGGGTCAACAAATGGGTTCTCCGGATCGTTGAAGTCAATAGGTGGTCGGTATGCGAAATTGTCAGGAAGTGGACACGTGAACGCTGGGGACCCTGGAGTCGGCGGCTGGGAAGCTGCCAAGGTAAGCTCCTCTTGGAGCGATCTGGAAGCAAGGCGACTGCTCCGCTGTGTCGCACGAAGACCCCTTGCGGTGGGCTCCAGTTGACGTAATTGTTGTTCCATCGCAAGCCGGAAAGGAGGAGTACGAGCGGAATCAAGTCCGTGTGGGGTCTGAGATGCAACGAGGGAGAAGAGTCTATTCCAGAGGTATGAGGTGGGTGGCCCGAAAGCGTAGCTAGGAAAATCTCTGTAGTCGCAATGATTGCTGGACGATGCGTCGGACTAAAATCGCACTGCCCTAAGGAGAACGCTAAAATGCAGAAATGCAAGACTGCCCAGAAAACGCACGAAACGCAAGACTGCCCAAAGACGCACTCACTGGATGGGATGGGAATGTGAAACGAGTCCTTTCGCAAGCGTACCTTCCGGGACGGTGGGTTCTCCTCCCCCCCCTTTTTCCCTGCCATCATACTTAACTAGTCCTGACCTTTCCTGCCCTCCCGATACTGCCCACATCTGCTTAACAATCGCTCCGCTGAATCACTGCCCATCACGCCATATCTCGCAATCCCGTCCCCTCATGCTCCTACTCATTCTGAGGGACCTTCCGTCACCGAACCCGCCCGAGTGCCTAATAAGGACCCATCCGTCTCGGAGGCATCTCCCATCCTAAACTCAATCTCCCATCCATGGACGCCAGTGTCATCCTTCACAAATACACCCTCGCAGAAGCTCTTCTTCGCATTGAGATCTTTACCGAGCCCTTCGATCCGATCCTGTGGAAAGCATGGGCAGTCCGGATGCACGTCCTGCTGGTGAGGCCCCCACGAGCATATGATCCTTCGCTGTCTGACCCTCACATGTCCCTGAGGTCCTTATGGTCCAAGCCCAGTCTGAAGCGGCCAGCGTGGGGATCATCCTACCCCTTCCGCGCGATATCCCTGTCCTGGCCCAGGTGGAAATACACCTGGCAACAGCTCGCACTGTAGAAGGTGGTCGTCGGATGATACCCCAAATTGCGAATCACCTTCCTGCGGTCATTCCTCATGGTTTGACTGCCCGCGTTCTGTATGACGACCCTGCTGTCCGCGAGGACTTTGGTTTAGGCCACCCGCCGGATGGTCTCCCTGACATTGGTGCACGGTCGTCCTGTCCCTGTTTTCCTGGAGTCGTGTTCCTCAGCTTTTTATCGCCATCAGGAACCTTGCGCCTTCGGGTTAAGACATTGCACAACGCGGCCCACGAACTGTACGATGTCATGCGTGGAATCACTGGTAGACGCGAGCTGGCGGATGGTACTTTGAGACAGTTGCGGATCACAGTCGAGGAATTGGAAGTAGCGTTCAGGCTCGTAGCGTTCCCTCCTCCGATAACCAGCTTCCAACTGATGTTGGACTAGGGGTCGGTTGTGTAGCACCCTGTAGTATCTCCAAAATGTGAGACCGCTTCCCGGATGTGATTCCCACCTCAGCGCGCTTTGCGTCCCTTCAGCGCGCGCGGCTCCACAGAATATGAGCACACTTATGGACTCCATCGACACACACGTACTTACGGTTGCCCCGGATACGCACGCGCAAGAGAACGATGCACTTCACAGTGCGCGAGGCACACAGCAGGACCAGGAGGACGCGATCGTCGCCGGTGCTGAGCACGCGATGATTGCGCAGCGTGCACTCCCCGCGCTACATCTGGACACAGCGCTGAACGACGTACTCACAAGTATTCCCCTTAGTTTCATCGACGACTCAGTCTACAGTATTGAGAATACGCGCGTCGACCGCACGGACGGCCCCCCTTCATTGATCGACATGCGCCCAACGGGGTTCGTTTTTCTCTCACATCTGGACCTCGCGGATATCTCGGCGACCCCACCCCTATCACGTTCCCCATCCCCCGAGTACACGCCATCATCACCCGTCTACATTCCCTTGTCACCGGTCCTCTCGTCGCCCCCATCACCTCCATCATCCGCGTGCGCGTGCACGCACGAGGCTGACTGCCATGCGATGCGAGCATGCAATCGCCCACTTCTGCTTCCTCGTTCCACTCTCCCTGTCACCCATGACCCCGACACTCGTATCTGCAGGCCAACGCACCCGCCCAGCTCCCATGCGCGCTGCACATCTCCAGACTCGTACGATGGCGATGACGACTTACCAGGTTTAGTAAGTGTCTCGCGCGGTAATGACAGTAGCGACAGCGAATCGGACATGGACCTCAAGGATGACACGGACGACGACGATAACCATTTACAGTCGGAATGCGAGCGCGAGGATTTGATGCACAAGTGCGTCGAGGAAATTCTCGTCGAGGCCATGCGCGATGTCACTGAAGAAGTCGTTGAATATGTAAGTCCGACTTTTTCAGCGCATTCCTTTCGCGGCTAATTCTAGCAGATTCGGAACACCACGTTTTAGGGAGCAGGACCCCCCATCAAGCACTATGCACCATTTTCCTTTATCTTTAGCTACTCGCGGTCCTTCATCGCTAAGTATACCCAGTCCTATGTCTGATCTGTTATCAACCCCTACTCATTCTCTGCGTATGTCACCTCTAAATTCCTTCAACAGGAATTCTATACCTATGGTCTCTTATGTAATCATGTCATGTACCACTACCTTGGAAACCCCCAATATACCTTCTGCTGGTCAGCCCTATTTAAATAGTGTCCCATTGGAATTCGGAGCATACAAACCAGTCGATAGAAAGGTAAAGCCAGTACAAGGAGTATTTCCAGAGGATGCGCGTGTACTACGGCGCTTCCCTGAGAATCTGTTGGACTCACTTACAGAGTTATCAAAAGTTCCACCCAAATTTATTCCTACCACAAAACTTACTGTGGAGAGAGTTGAACTAATGGACATTAATAAAGATGGATTTCTTTGGCCAGAGGAAGAAAAGCTCTTTTTACATATTCTCAAGCTTAACGAAAAAACACTCGCTTTTGGTGAAGAAGACAGAGGTACATTTCGGGAAGATTATTTTACTCCCTATATTATTCCAGTCACTCCGCATGTACTGTGGGCCTATCCTAACATCCCTATCCCCCCAGGAATTAAGGAAAAAGTAGTCGCACTTCTTCGAGATAAGATTGCAGCCAGCGTTTATAAGCCTAGTCAATCATCTTATCAATCAAGATGGTTCTGCATAATCAAGAAGAGCGGTAAACTGCGGATCGTCCATGATCTACAACCACTCAATCGGGTAACTATTCGAGATGCAGGTGTCCCGCCCATTCTGGATGACTTTGTAGAACCCTTTGCAGGACACGCCTGCTACACAGTCTTTGATTTATTCTCTGGATTTGATGCACGCAAGGTTGATCCTAAAAGTCGTGACCTTACATCATTCCTAACCCCACTCGGTTTATTACGACTCACTTGTATGCCTCAAGGCTTCACTAACTCTCCTTCAGAATTCCAGAATTGTATGGTCTTTATTTTACAAGACGAGATCCCCCATGTCACGAACATTTTTATTGATGATTTACCCATCCATGGACCAAAAACTATGTATATACAAGAAAATGGAGAGCCAGAGACATTACCAGAAAACCCAGGAATTAGGCGATTTATATGGGAACATGCAGTTGACGTACATAGGATTATGCATCGTATAGAACATGCAGGCGCTACCTTCTCCGCTTTTAAGACCCAATTATGTAAACCCCATGCAGTTATAGTTGGACAGACATGCACCCCAGAAGGACGACTTCCAGAAAATTCAAAAGTAAATAAAATTCTTACCTGGCCAGTTTTGAAGACTGCAAAGGATGTGCGGAGATTTTTAGGATTATGTGGTACAGTGCGCATTTGGATAAAGAACTACTCCAAAATTGCATGACCACTAACTGAACTAACACGGAAGGATGCTGAATTTGTATGGGATGGTAGGCGACAAGAAGCATTTAATTGCTTGAAGGATCTTATTACATCTGCACCTGCCTTACACCCTATTGATTATTCATCGGACCGACCTGTCTACATATCCATAGACTCTAGTGTCATCACAGTCGGTTTTATCTTGTCGCAGGATGATGAACAAGGCAGACGGAGACCAGCTCGCTATGGTTCTCTACCTTTTAGTGAGCGCAAGTCCAGATATAGTCAGCCCAAGTTGGAGCTATACGGATGCTATAGAGCCATGCGACACTGGAGACTTTATTTAGCAGGCATCAAGAACTTGATTCTGGAAGTTGATGCCAAGTACATCAAAGACATGCTGAATAATCCGGATCTTCAGCCGAATGCCGCAATTAATCGGTGGATCCAGGGCATTTTGCTATTTACCTTTGAATTGCGACATGTTCCTGCTGATAAGCATCATGGACCTGATGCTCTCTCACATCGTGAACCAACAGAAGAAGAATTGGCAGAAGTTCCTGAGTCAGATGATTGGTTGGATGAGGTAGCACTTCTATCACTGTATCTTAATCACGTGCCCAAGCCGGATCAAACCCTGGTTCACCAGTTACCCTCATCGCTAGCAGTGAATTCCAAGCATGAGGAGACATTGTGAAATATCAGACATGTTACAACGCTCCCCACTTGTGGCGCGTCTTTTCTTTTTTCCCTTGTTCCCTTTACGTTACCAGACCACGTGATCCAACACGTGACTCATCGGAGTGCAACCTCCGATTCTTTACCCAGATGTCCAGAACCCCTAGTCTAGGGTTACACCGGATCCAACTCCGGACCTTCTTCTTATCGCACATGCAAGACGTGCATGTACGCCTCATCTTTACCTCGTTCTGATACACGACTCGTTATCCCCATTAGTACTGATTATCTCTCACGACCTTACTCAGCTTTCTCATACATATTACTTCCTCGCTGTTACCTTGCCCAGATATCGTTTCACCTTATCTAGCCAATGAACGATCTCGCATTACTGCGTAGTACTGCGGATACTTTTTGTATAAGTAAACGACCTTGTCGAGCTGGATCCCCATCTCGACCTGGTTACCATTAAACCAGCTTTTCACTTGCCTTTGACTGAAATCGACCGTTAGTAGCAGACAGCTACTACGAGTCATAAGAACGAACTCTGATCGACCTTCAGTGCAAGGACATCGCCAGAAGTGTCACTTGAACGGACTTGTGTCTTAGACTAAGACCTTGTCTCGTGACAACTCGACTTGACGCTCGTGTTTCGCTGCCGCGTAACATTAGGTCGAGATCTTATTACTCTCTGTGACTTCCTAAAGTCTAACAACGAACTACCGACCGGACCGAACCTTGAAGACTGAACGATACACCCGATTCGATTGCTAAAGCACCGTTTGAGATTACTCTGTAATCGAGGTAGCTGAAGGGATAGACTGATCACTCATCTTCGGAGAGAGGTCTGTCCGAGAGACCAATAGGCCGAGGAGGCTGAGGTAATCACTCGAGCAATCAGCAAATAGGTGTACCAGTTTGAAGACAGAAGACACTCTACGGGCTTGTTAGCCGACGACGAACGAACCCACTTAGTTAAGGACGGTGTGCAGTCTACGTGTAGACGTAGGCCACACAGGGGAATTTATCCACGCTGGATTTGAACTTTATCAACCCGACTGCTCTTCCCAAGCAATACATCGATCTCCTCCCATCTCAGGCAGAGTGGGACGCACAGAGGAACGTACACGTTTTAAACGGACGACCTTTACTCATCAGACCAGATCAACACATTGATCACCCAAGTGGTGACTACGAAGCAGGCCTACCCCATAACGTTGGAGGGCTCGTACTATCACACATCGCAGACAGCGGCATACCTATCTCTTATCCAGGAGAAAGACCAGACGCCCCTTGGAACCTCCCTGTCCAGGATCCCATACCCCAACCAATTCTTGCACCAATCATATCCGATTACATACCACCAATGGCTACAGTTACCATGGATGAAGGACGTCACCATGTCAGCCAGAAGGAACTTGGTTTTAGAAAACCCGAGATCTTCAACGGTTCAGACCGTTCAAAGCTTAGGGAATTTATAAACCAATGCAAGAACTACATGGCCGGAAATAGCCATGTCTACCAGGAGGACAATCAGAAGATCGCATTCGTGCTATCGCACATGCAAGGAGGAACAGCAGGATCATGGGCACAGAGCTTCATAGAAATGGAACTCACCAATGATGACTTCCTTTCTTATGGGAGTTGGAGAGACTTCATTGCGAGTGTGAACAAAGCATTTGGCGATGAAAATATTGAAGAAACCGCTCGTACCTTGCTGCGTAACATCAAGCAAGGAACTCGTACTGCGGACGACTACATTGCCGAATTCCGATCGCTTGAATCCAAGGCGAAATTAGAAGATGCCGGAAATATCGAGTATTTCAAGTGGGGACTTAACGACCCACTCCGACAAAAGATATATGGGATGGAGAGCATGCCCAAGACACTTGACAAGTGGTACGAATACGCCTCGCGGTTTGATAACCAATGGAGATCTGCTCAGATCTTCAAGCGAGGAGCCACTACGACGACGCGAGGAAAGGGCCGATCTGTCCATCGTCCCTACTACTCGGCTTCTGCAAAGGATCCAAACGCGATGGATGTTGATCGTGTCAATATCTCGCGCTTATCCCCGGACGAGCGACAGAAGAGAATGAAAGAAGGATTATGTTTCCTATGCGGAAAGAAGGGCCATATAGCCAACGACAGACAAATCCACCCCCAGTCTGGAAGTTTCACCCGTGCTAGAACGATACAGCCCGGGTTGGACACAGACACGATCACATGGATCAAGAAGATGCGAGAAGACCTCGCACAGAAGAAGGAGACATCGAAGGAAGAAACCAGAGAGGAACAGATCACCTATGTGCGAAACATCTTCAACGACATGACTGATGAAGAACGAACCCAATTGGGTTTTTGAGACGACGGCCACTAGTAATGCATGGACCGTCGCATCTTACCGTATCTCCCCTCGTTATTTGTAACACTAGCGGAAATTCAATCACTGTGAATATTTCGTTGGGAGAGAAGGAAGACGTTACAACAGAAGCCTTGATCGATTCCGGTGCAGCCGAAACGTTCATGAACATTCGTTTTGCGGAAGAAAACGATTTCATCAGATGGGAATTACCGAAACCGATTAAAGTCATAAATGCAGATGGCACACCAAATCAAATGGGCACCATTACTCATTGTACCTGGAAGATGATGAAAATCGGAGGAAGGAAGACACTCACTCGCTTCCTCTTGACCGGCATTGGCAAAGAAAACATACTTCTCGGCATGCCGTGGCTTAAACGCCTCAATCCGATGATCAACTGGGAAACCAGTGACTTTTGGTTTGGTAAAGATGCCAAATGGCCACCGAAACCCACCGTCGAAGATGCACCAGATGAAGAAGTTTCGATTTTCAAGAAAGATGGACTCCCAGAGTTAATCACCACCGAAACTTCCCCTACCTCATTTGGACATTCGGAATCTATCAGAGAAATCATGACCGATAACACTGAGCGTGGCGAGTTACCCGCAGTGCGGAATGATACCGAACCAGATGACCCACCATCAGAACCCCCTATGGATCAGCTCGATGACGACGATCTAGTTATATCCTATATCGCAGGAGAGTCAGTTATTGGGATATTTGAACCCATCAGGAAGGAGTCACCTTTGACGAATGAAGAGACTGAAACCGCAGTCTTCACCATACGAAGAGGCCCCGCCATTGGAAGAATGACACACAGTACTCGATCCCCATTATTCTGTAACGCACAGAATACGGTCTTTTACAAACCATCTGGTAAATCACAAGAATTGGCACAACAGGCACACAAGGAAGCATCAGCTGTAGACAAACCCAAAACCGTCGAGGAGTTGGTCCCCAACTACCTCCACGATTTGAAGTCCGTCTTTGAAAAGAAAGCAGCTGAACGCTTTCCAGAAACCAGACCTTGGGACCACGCCATTGACTTGAAACCCGATTTTATTCCACGTGACTGTAAAGTCTATCCGTTATCGCTCAAAGAGCAAGGAGCGATGGATGACTTCCTGGAAGAAAATCTGCGAAAAGGATACATCCGACCGTCGAAATCTCCCATGGCTTCACCATTTTTCTTCGTAGGAAAGAAAGACGGAGCACTACGTCCCTGTCAGGATTACCGATACCTGAATGAAGGGACGGTGAAGAACGCCTATCCTCTTCCGCTCATCTCTGACCTTATGGATCAATTCAAAGGCGCATCGATCTTTACGAAAATGGATTTACGCTCCGGATATAACAATGTCAGAATCAAAGATGGTGACCAATGGAAGGGCGCATTTAAGACAAATCGCGGACTTTTCGAACCTATGGTCATGTTCTTTGGACTCTGCAACTCCCCGGCGACTTTCCAAATGATGATGAACACACTCTTCAAGGACATGATCGATGAGGGATGGATAGTCATTTACATGGATGATATCCTCATCTTCTCAAACGATTTGGAAGAACATCACGTTCGAACCCGACGCGTACTCCAACGACTCAAAGACAACGACTTATTCCTTAAACCGGAAAAGTGTTTCTTTGACGTTAAAGAAGTCGAATTCCTAGGCATGATCATTTGAGAAAACTACATTGGCATGGACCCTATCAAACTTAAAGGAATTGCAGAATGGCCTGAACCAAGCACGGTAAAAGGTGTTCGCTCTTTCCTAGGGTTTGGAAACTTCTATCGGAAGTTTATTGCCAACTTCTCGGATATTGCCAAACCATTGACGAATCTTACGCGAACTGCCGCTGGATCTCCACCTTTTGAATGGACAACAGAATGTCAGACAGCTTTCGACACATTGAAGCAACGATTCAGTACCGCCCCAGTACTGTTACTGCCTGACAAGGCAAAACCCTTTATTGTTGAATCTGACGCTTCCAAGTTTGCTACGGGTGCAGTTTTACGCCAAGCCGATATCAATGGAGACCTCCATCCTTGTGCCTACATTTCACAGACGCTCAATCCAGCTGAACGGAACTACGAAATCTACGACCGCGAACTCCTCGGAATCATTCGAGCCCTCGCTGAATGGCGCCATTATCTTGAAGGCTCTCCCCATCCCGTCGAAGTTCGCAGTGATCACAAGAACCTCACGTACTTCCGTACAGCTCAGAAGTTAAACCGCCGACAAGCACGATGGAGTCTCAAATTATCACAATTTGATCTTCACCTCATCCATGTCCCTGGCACTCAGATGATCCAATCTGATGCGCTATCTCGTCGTAACGGACTCGATGACAGTGAAAGTGACAACGAAGATCGCGTTCTTTTACCTAATGCACTATTCGTGCGATCCATTTCCCCGACACTATTCGATGAAATCAGGAATCACGCAGCAAAAGACCTCATTGTTCACGAAGCCCTCGAAGCGATTGCGCACAAAGGGCCATTCCCCATGAAATCATCACTTTCCGACTGGGAAGTTCGCGATGGTGTCATCCTTTACAAGGGAAAGATCTACGTTCCACCATCCGAAACTCTTCGTCATGACCTCGTTCGACTATATCACGACTCCCCTGCCATGGGTCACCCTGGAAAGTTCAATACCCTTGAACTGTTACGTCGTGAATTCTGGTGGCCCGGCATGTATACATTTGTCTACAATTATGTTGAAGGCTGTGCCGCCTGTCAACAAATGAAACCGAATACTCATCCAACTCGTATTCCTTTGGAACCAATTCCCGCCGACCCACACGCATTACCATTTTCCTGTTGCACCACCGATTTTATTACCGACCTCCCCGTTTCCAACGGTTTTGATTCAATTATGGTCGTAGTAGACCATGACCTTACGAAGGGGGTGATTCTTACGCCCTGCCTCAAAACGATCACAGCCGAAGGAACGGCCAAGATTTTTCATGACAAAGTATACTCGCGATTTGGATTACCCGACCAAATCATCTCGGATAGAGGACCTCAATACGCATCCAAGGTCTTCCAAGAGTTAAATCGACTACTCCAGATCAGATCATCAATGAGCACAGCTTATCACCCTCAGACGGACGGAGAAACAGAGCGAGTCAACCAGGAGCTGGAAATCTATCTTCGACTCTATTGTGGAAACAACCCTGAAACATGGGCCGACCGCCTGCCAGACCTCGAGTTTTGTCATAACACAAGGGAACACTCGGCACGGAAGATGAGCCCATTCCGCATCATGATGGGATACGAACCACGTGGACTCCCTTCCGTATTCCCGACCACGAACATTCCATCGGTTGAATCCAGGCTTGACATGTTGCAGAAGATAAGACTAGAAGCACTAGCCATGCACGAGTTAGCCCGACAACAAATGGCGGACCGAGTCAGACAAGGATCGCCGAAGTTTACATTAGGACAGAAGGTCTGGCTAGACTCGAGGAACCTGAAGGTCAATTACGCCTCGTGCAAGATAGCACCAAAGCGTGAGGGGCCATTCGAAATTGTCGAAGTCATTGGACCAGCCAACTATCGTCTCAAACTCCCGAAGACCTGGCGAGTTCATTCCGTATTCCACGCCGCCCTCCTATCTCCTTATCGCGAAAATGACATACATGGTCCGAATTACGTGAACCCACCACCTGATGTCGTTGATAACGAAGAAGAGTACGAAGTCGAAGCCATCCTGAATCACAAGATGTACCGAGGTCATCTGAGGTACTTAGTCAAGTGGAAAGGATATTCTTCAGCAGAAAACTCGTGGGAACCTACCCACAATTTACAGAATGCCAAGCGAATCCTCGATGCATATAAAAGGACCAGGGGAATCCAGTAGAGGAGAAGAAACCCGGAATGACTACCACGACGGTTTTCCTCATCATCTTCCTAATCGTCCTCCACTGCACAACCCTCGCCTTTCTTTGGATCGTCCACCAAATCCTTATCAGACGACTTGTCGAACACACACTCTTCACACGAGACAGCCCGCACGCTAACGGCTGGGGTGATCAGAACGATGCCTGGAACTGATCAGGCAGCTCTTATCTCTGTGGGAATACTCTTTATCGTCCAATGGATTTTCATCTATTTGATTATTACCCGGATCCACGACATTCTATTTCATATCACAGATAACCGCGATCCCCTTAACGACCGAAAGGTATAAAAAGGAGGAGAAGACGACATATCATCAATGCCCACTTCCGCTATAGACGACCTCGTTCACAATATACTCGCTGAAGTCGCCTCCACAATTATGAGCATACCCGCATCGCCTACACTTGTCAATGGAGCACCCTCTCGAGCACAGACACCCTTTATCCGCGCCTCATCGCCCTCACCTTCTATCGAACTCAGTCACGCATCGGACGAACAAGAATTTGCCACGCGTCTGATCTCGGCCATCCGTGTTCCTGTCGACTTCACAGATATCCTTGTCGCCTTACGAAATCGCCCGCAAGATCGACAAGCGGTGGTTTCCATGCAACGAGCATTGGAAATGGTCGAGTGGATGCAGACGGCCAGACAAGAGCTCATCGCAGCAGAGGAAAGGACGAGTAGAGCCTGAACCAGAGTCGACCAAGTCTGGTCATTGATGCGCAGTACGGTCACTCGTACAGCACAGGAGATTTGGAGGGAGCATGGGGACGCAGACATCGGACACATCCTCGGATACACCACTAATGGAATACCCGCATCCACTCCCCGCTCGTCGCCAGAACCAATTCCCATTCGACTTCGCCCTCCTCGTTCGCACGTACCCAGTGGACGATCTCCGTTATCACGACCATCTTTCTCAACCGCATCCACTTCTTCACATCGCAGTCATCCCTACAGGGATGGACATATCCCCGAACAAGGATCACGAACCAACCGGCGGACATGCTACAGATGCGGAGGAGATCATTATGTCCGCAACTGCCCCCGACGATGATGAAAATCACGATATTTCTTGTGGGACAAGAAACGTTAGACGGGAGCTGATGTTACAACGCTCCCCACTTGTGGCGCGTCTTTTCTTTTTTCCCTTGTTCCCTTTACGTTACCAGACCACGTGATCCAACACGTGACTCATCGGAGTGCAACCTCCGATTCTTTACCCAGATGTCCAGAACCCCTAGTCTAGGGTTACACCGGATCCAACTCCGGACCTTCTTCTTATCGCACATGCAAGACGTGCATGTACGCCTCATCTTTACCTCGTTCTGATACACGACTCGTTATCCCCATTAGTACTGATTATCTCTCACGACCTTACTCAGCTTTCTCATACATATTACTTCCTCGCTGTTACCTTGCCCAGATATCGTTTCACCTTATCTAGCCAATGAACGATCTCGCATTACTGCGTAGTACTGCGGATACTTTTTGTATAAGTAAACGACCTTGTCGAGCTGGATCCCCATCTCGACCTGGTTACCATTAAACCAGCTTTTCACTTGCCTTTGACTGAAATCGACCGTTAGTAGCAGACAGCTACTACGAGTCATAAGAACGAACTCTGATCGACCTTCAGTGCAAGGACATCGCCAGAAGTGTCACTTGAACGGACTTGTGTCTTAGACTAAGACCTTGTCTCGTGACAACTCGACTTGACGCTCGTGTTTCGCTGCCGCGTAACAAGACATTTCCTTCAGACTCTACAGACACCAGACTTCTCTAACACTCAAGCCAAGCGAAGATTTATTAGACATGCAGGACAGTTCTTTATGAAAGGCGAATCTATGTTCAAGCGAAGACGTGATCACACTCCTTTATTGGTTATATTGGACAAGGATCATAGGATCTCTATACTAACACATGCACATGAAGAACTAGGTCATAGGGGAGTTTATGGAGTATTCTATCATCTTCGCGACTGTTTCTTCTGGCCCCATTTATTTCAAGATATAAAACACCATATCAGTACATGCCACCAATGCCAATTATGGAGTACAAAAAGGGTAGAGGAATCTCCCACTATACGCACACCAGCAACTATATTTTCCAAGATTTACCTTGATGTTATGTTTATGCCACCAGCTCAAGGATATCGCTATATTGTTGCTGCGAGAGATGATTTGACACATGCAGCAGAAGAACGGGCCTTAAAGAAAGCCAATTCCAAGGAGTTAGCGAGGTTCTTCTGGGAGGAAATCATATGCCGCTATGGACATATCACAGAGGTTGTAACGGATAATGGTTCAGAAGTGGCAGGAACCTTTGAGAAGCTTTTGCAAAGATATGGCATTCCACAAATCAGAATTTCTCCCTACAACAAGCATGCAAATGGACTAGTCGAGCAAGGTCATTTTGTAATATGCGAGGGAATACTCAAAGATGTGAAGAAGGATCTCAAGTCCTGGCCAAACAAAGTACACCATGCATTCTTTGCAGACAGAGTTACCACTAGGCGGTCAACAGGATTTAGCCCCTTTTATTTGCTGCATGGCGTAGACCTGGTGTTGCCATTCGATCTCACAGAGGTGACCTTTATGATAAGCGGATACACATCTGGACTTTCATCATCTGACCTTCTTGCGCTGCGCATCAGACAATTAGAAAAGTGGCCAGAGGATATTGCACGGGCAGCAGCTGCAATCAAGCGGTCTAGATTGCACTCGAAGCATCAGTTCGAAAAGTGGTTCAAACATAGACTCTGGCGGAAAGTATTGAAGCCAGGAGACTTAGTATTGATGCGTAACACAAGGCGAGATGCCGGTCTGACAGACAAGTATAGTCAAAGGTATTTTGGACCATATCAGATTCGATGAAAGCGACGTGGAGAATCATATGTGTTGCAGGAATTAGACGGAACAGTTCTTAGATGCGCAGTTGCAGCATTCCGATTACTCCCATATCTGCCACGTGTACCATCCAATCTGGATCTGGAAGATCTAGATTCAGATGGATCCAGCGATCCTGATCACCTAGATATATCCTCAGATTCAGATTCCTCTGATGACTGGTTGCCAACGTAAACATGGTCACGTGCTTGCACATCATTTTTGGTCTTTGCCGCATATTCCCTCAGTTGAAAAGCAACCTCTACACGTCTCATTCCTCACCTTGCCATTGTGCTTCTAACTGCCTGCTATCTTTGTCATTATGTCACGCTACTCTCAGCCTGCTCTCCTGTTCCCCCCTTATGAACCTCCTACCTATCTCACCACCATCCCTTCTGATCCGCACATCATTGCTGGAGACTTCGATTGCCCACGTCCCCAGATTGAGCTCCAGAATCTCTTTGTTGCACTCATCCCTGATGAAAAACCCTTTTATCTCGAGTATAGCAAGGCGACTCACTACCTACTTTCTCCGGAGCCTGCTCTCTCCAATGATGCGTACTTTGACTTGAACAACTGGGCAGTCGTACACCCGGTCATTGGACCGTTCTTTTTGGGAACAATCGACAAGATTTTGGGTGAAGGAAAGGTTCGGATTGGAGGGTGGATGATGTCGAAGACGGTCAGAAAGGAGGAGTATAGAATGATGGTCTTTGAGCCCGTCACAGTGACTATTGATGTTACCTACCTCAACATCCCCTTCCTTGAACACTTTGCCTGTCGTCGCTCACCACGCGTCGGTCACTACTTGATGGCAAAACTCCAAGTGTGAGTTCCTTTCTTACTCTCTAGTTTCTCCTCGATAGCCAGCAACGGGGACGTTGCATTCTAAAGTGTGGGGCAGGTGACAGACGTGTAACATGTTTCAATATAAAACTCGCACTAACGCAATACTCTAGATATCGAGCTTGGCAAGCGGAGCAATCCAAGGCCAAGGCCAACAATAAGGCGATGAAAGCCAAGGCCAAAGCTGCCAAGGCTGCGCGTACCAGAGCTCGTATTTATGGCGAAGCTTATGAGCTAGACTTCGCATGCACTGGAGACCAGGAAGAAGTTGATGCTGAAGGATTCAGAGGGAAGGGAATATCGCGGGTTTAGGATTGACGAGGAATTTTCTTTGTACTCGCTGTCACACTTGCTCAACCTCTCCACTCACACACGTCCAAGTATTATACTCAAATATCGATCACTGCTTGTTTGCACTATTACTCTGTCTGTTTTTAGTCACTGAAGTGCTTGGTCATCTTTGCTGACTAATGTCTGACACTTAGAAGGACAATAGCGAGGTAGGTTTCTATTGTCTTTATTATTTTTATTATCCCCCACTCTCTTTTGTTTTATCCAGAGTCATTTCTTATTGTTATGACTCAGACTTCTATTATCACATTTTCTATTGTTATTTCTATTGAAGGCGCTTTTCTATTATTTAGATTTTCCCACCTTCTTTAGTATATAAACCCTGAAAGTCCACTTGGACTTCCAGAGGAAAATTGTTGCTCTTACGTTACAGAGCATTCTTCTCACCTCAGTAGTCGGTATATACTCAAGTTCATACTTACCTGAATACAGTGTTATTCAGGCATAGCATTATAGGCATCAAGGAAGTCACAACTCGGTCATCTGTCAATCGGCCATCTGTCAACTCAGTCACTTATTACTCGGTCATTCTCTCTGTCTTATTATAAGACAGTCTTTCCCTCTTACTCACACACACACTCTCACACTTGATTACTACCAGGTAACCAAGCGATTACTACAACGAATACACTGAGGAATATTTCCCGACTTTGTTCAAGTCCAGTGACCTCAGGAGGATTTTGTTTTGGTTTGTGTTTTATCCAAGACACCATTCTCGTCTGTCAACCCCTAGGATTTTTTCCACGAAGCATGAATATGGCTGATACAGTTATCAACTGCTGAGTTGTACACCAAAACAAAAATTTTAATGTTGTCTGTGGCTACAGCTCATAACAAAAATTCCAAGTAGACAGAAGTTTTCTAACATGTATCAGCTATTCTCTTCTCCAGTTTCAAGGAGACTGACAAAGAATTGAAGGGACTATCCTCAAACCAAGGGTGTATAGCTGAGGGTTACACCCTGGAAAGGAACACAAGCTCCTGCAACATCACAGACAATTCAGATAAAATCCATGGGGGAGATTTTGTACATTTGAAGCTACTGAACAAGATAAGACTAAAATTTAGAGAAATGAAGAGGTGTAACATCCTCTGAACCCATGACAAAAGTGTATAATTTAGTGATCATGTATAACTCAGCTGTCAATAACTGTATCACCCACCCACCCATAGACATTAATGTAAATTTCAGTACAAAGACATGAGCTGAGCCTGTGAAACTACAGCTTTCTCTCTTTCTTTCCATTCACTGTACTGCCAGCCTTACTGGTTCCTGCCGTATCACCTGGTGTCTGCTTACACTTTGTCCTCACACAAGTATATACTGAATGTGGCCGTTGCCTTTATTATTGTGATCCAAATATAGACATTTTCACTCAATCTCGGCAACCAAGTATGTGCTTACTAAGTTCAGTGTCAATGTACGTGCATTGTCCAAGTCTTTAATATTGCTGTGCTTCTCCTTGGTGTGAGCAGAAATGTTGTAAGACCAAAAGATGTGTGTGAGATTGTACCACCTGGCACGGTACAGCTCAGTTGGCTCAAAGCAAGATCAAAGACAATGATATTGACTTTTTTGGGCACACAGTGGTGTCAATCAGGGAGAGTAACACATTTTTCAAAGAATACAGACATTTTTTCAGATGTGCCTGAATCTGCCATGACCACCCCTCCCCCTTAGGCATTGTGTCAGATCTGGCTGGCGTCACTACCTCTTGCAATAATAGCAGGTATTGTCTTCACGAGCCGTGTGTGTTACAACGCGTACATCATGCAATGTCAGGATGCCAATTGCAATAGTCAGTTTGAGTTAAGCTCAGACTCAACAGCACCAAAGACCGGGAGATGCATGAATCGAACCAGCCCTAGAAACTGTACACAATTGTTCACCTCTCGCCATACCAGCTCGGCAAAGGCACGTAATTGCCGTACCACCGGACAAGAATGAACAAAGCGGAACCTCAGTCCTGACGTCCTTGTGGCCGAGCGATGACAAAAGTAGGCCAGACGGTACGAGAATGCACATCATGGACGATCAACAACCGGCGAACATATCCGAGAATACCGCGGTCAATAATAATGCAGATGATCGCTGGGAGAGGAAGAATGAACATAGTAGGCAGGACGCTCCTGAGTGCTCGGTGCAGTGTGTGCAATCCGCAAGAAGGTCGTCACGGGCCTGATGGTTGCGGCGGAATCTCGCAGCAGACGAGGAAACAAAGAGGAAACAAGTCGATGCATGACCGGATAAAGCGACCCTTGAAGTTGGAGGTGTGGAGAGATCGACAGAAGGGGGATTGGTGGTCGAGCATATCAAATCACAGTGCGATTGATCCTAGAACGGGCGAGAGGTGGTGAGACTGATCCCAAAAGGCGTAGAGATACGGAGAGGGGTCAAGTTTTCGACAAGGAATATGCTGGAGATGGAAGAAGTGCTCGGGAGCCAAAATATCGTATTTGCATCCGCGAAGGTACAGATATGGGCGCCGGGAAGCTGCGGAGATCAGGCCTGAGATCTTTTTTGCGCTCAGCCACAGGCCCACAGTCACAATTCTGCAGGTATCTACCTGCGCCCGAGTCTAGCTCTTCATTATGAGTGCGGCTCGGAACTAGCTTGTAGTAATGCACTCGGCCCCTCCTTGTCTTCGTTTGGCCTTCATTTTTCAGGCTCTCGCTACGGCAAAGGCCACATAAAAATTACGATCATTCTGCACTCCCACCGTTTCCAGCACGCCCGCTTTTCTGCGATTTTTTGTCTCTTTCCACGCCATCGATTGTCATAGGGAGTTGATGTGTACCGGACAAAGTATTCTGCGTCCAGTCCACACGTGAGATACCTGCCAACTTCCAGATCCCTGTCTTCTTTCTTGCGGTATAAAGCATGGACGACAATCGCACCGAGGCCTCGTGCTCCGGGGCTCAGACTTCCAGTGTGTGCCTCGTACATCCTGTTCTTTCCCCACTTCATGGCATCATTCAGCTCAACAGACCGTCTTCCATCACTTCCAACCATTCAGCAGTGGAACCCGCAACAAGTCACCACACCGTGAGTTAGTTAACCTTGACCACCGTCCCACGAGATGGCTGCTCATCTCGAGGACAGTCCTCAGTATCTCGGTCGTAAGACCTTACCCATCAAGCGCGGCGACGCAGAGCCCCTCACTCGCGAGGACCTCCAATATGACCTTCTCTACTACATCTTCGCCGACCGCACTGTCGCCTTCGTTGACTACTTAGCGCCCGGGCAGCCTCTTGTTAATTTTTGTGACCTCTATGTGAACGCCCTTTACAACTCAAGCAAGTGCTCAAAAGTCCTTAAAGACAAGATGGTCGAAACGCCGGCCTTTGCTATCGAGTTCGCAAAAATTGCCCTGCTGACCAACGTGGGCAGAATCAACACCACCATGGCATGTACGTGACACATTTCGAATACTGAACTCTCAGATTCAATCCCAATGCTGGTTATAACCAGTCTTTCCGGAGATGAAGACCGCCTTGCGAAGCTACCATCCCGTGCCTTCTCTACAGAAGACGGACGGTAACTTACAGGATGCCCCTCGTATCAAAAATTGTCTGAAGGCCGCGTTGCTCCCGTTTGAGTTCAAGGTCCCCCCTCCTTCTTCTCCTGCAGAGATACTGGATAAGGCGGTGAGCGCTCACGGCCATTTTTCTTGCACTCTTTTGACGGCTTCTTCGAAGAGAGCTAGTCAAATCCCTCCTACCAGTGTGGTCAATCTGATCTTTGTCCTGTCGAACTCGAACCATGCACAGGTTAGTGTGCTGCAGGCACCATGGCGTATTACAACTCATGTTTGTTTTTTTACTAAGACCGTGGCGAACGCTCATTTCGATGCACCTATCGAGTTTCTCGACCTCTTTCTACCCGTCAACTTGTCATCTGCCTCCCGCGCCAATGCCTTCCTGTGGCTGATGTTCTACTACCTGCAAGGGCCCGGCAAGCCAAACCCGTTTGACGACGATTATTCCCGTGTGAATCCTGGCAAGGCCCCTCGCATGCAAAACCTCACCCGAGAGCAAATGGCACAAGAGAATGTCGACCCCGTGGAGGAGGTCGAGTGGGGAAAGCGGATGAGTGCACACAGGAGCAAATTCTTGAAGGAACTGGTGGACGAGATGGAGATGGAGAAGAGGCGTAAAGATAACCCCTTGCCCCCCCCTCCTCCCCCGACGGCATCAACGTCGACGTTTTCAGGTCAGTTCCATTTCGGCAGTATGATATCCGTTCTAGAACTCACCGAAGAATCAATTGTCCGCATTAGCTCACGACCTGGCCGCGATTCGACGGCCCCGAGCGCAACGTCACCCTCCATCTGACGGCAGCCGAGGATCGTCCCTCTCTCGAGATTATCCTGTGCATGCCCATACGTTGCATGCGCCCACTCCTCGGCCTCCTCGTATGCCAACGTCACGAAGTGAGTTTCTTGTTCGCTTCTGCCACGTGAACAAGCAGCCTCACTCTGGCCATCATTAGACGCTACTCCTGGTGACGGCCAACCTCAAGAGCGCACGATGCTAGAACGTGGGTTGTCCACTGTGATTTGATAAGATACTTCGGCTTATCCTCTCTGATTCATAGACGCTTGGCATGTCGTGACATCAACCGACCCCTTGGAAGATTCCGACGAGGAAGCAGACGACCATGTGCGACTTGACTACAGTACGTGTACTTCCCCTTATCGTCATGACCTTGCCAAAATAACGCACCAATCTTTTGACTAATGATCGGCGCTGCTCTTTGCAGATCGTAGACTACGCGTCTTGTCGCGCTTGAGAGGGAAGGAACCCACCCCTCCGCCCCCGGGATTCGATCCGGCTCCAGGCGGCAGCGCCGATGGTGGGCCATCGGACGCGGGCACGGGGCGATTGCAGCAGGTGCAGTCGTGGCGATGATCTTTATTACTTCCGTGAGCGTGTGGGCATGTGGTTTCCTTCGTGAGTGTTCTGCGCCACGCACTCCTTGTGTGGGCTGACGGAATTTGCTAGAATATCGCGGTCTTTCCTGGTCAGTGCGCATCTGTAGATTGTCTTCTCCGAGTTTTCCGCACTATTTATGTCTTGCTAAAAGGTTACGTATTGTTAATCGCCTGAAATATATATGCTCCGGTATATAATTCTCTTGTCGGCGCCGCCTACACGTTCTGCAGCCAGAACCATGCTGATCTCCAGAGTGCACTCATCCTGACGACACACGTCCAGGTAGGTAGGTAGGTATGTATATTTACCGGAGATGCGCCAACGCGGCAATGCGGTCTTACGAAAAGAAGAACCTCACACGCAGGGTGTAGGCGGATGGCACGAATATATATGTTTGTCTAGACGATCGACGATCGCTCTATAGCGCACAACGACTAGAGAATACAGGTCTGTGATATGGGGGCGCAGCCCTTCCATTCGGTGGTACTGGGCGATAGATATATATAGTGTCAAAAGAATGTGGGCAGGGAGTCCGACGCCAGGAAAGATCGGTGCAAGAGGCACAGCCTATTGGACAGACGAACGAAACAAGAGGCAGCCATGAAGCAGGGAGGATAGACCAACCGCTCTCCTGCTCCGCATGCCACACCGAACAGGAATTACAAGCGCCGTACACACCGCCAGGAAAGCAAGTTCCCAGCCGGAGGCCAAATGGAGTGTGCAGAGGTGATGAGATATAAAGAGAATCAACCCAATTCGAATTTTGATGTAGTGAGAATCCATGCCAATGTCCAGAGTGAAGCGCAAGCCAAAATAAACGGAGGAAATGCGACGTGTCTCCAAAAACAGGTGATTTCAGAATGCCCCCGGTAAGTCGAGGACAGGGTGGGAGAATCCCTTTCGCTCTCGCCGAGGGAGCTCCGGCGGAGCGCTGCGTCTCCTGACCTTCCGCTCCTCTTCGTCCTCGCCTGCCGCAGTCTCGCGAGTTGACTCGGGCAGCATCGTACGGCGCCGCAGCCGCGTCAACATGTTACGGGCAGTGTTCTGGCGGGAACTCTCCTCCCACGCCTGGAGATTGGACTCGGTGAACTGGCTGGGGGAGACGGAGGACGTGCGCGGGACCACAGTGGTGACGATCTGAAGCTTTGGTGCCGGTGCAAGGGTGGGGGATGTAGGGGGAAGATATAGGGCGGGTTCGCGAATTACTATTTTCGGAAGGTCTGGCAACGACCTGACCGGGAATTGCAGACGGCCCACACCAGGGGGAGGAGTCGGCCGAGACTTCGACAGGGAAATGTTTGCATCATCGCGCAACTGCGCTGCAGGGATGCGCCTAGCTGACTGTAAAAATGCAGGCAACCGCGCGGACTGCAAGCCTGCTGCGGGTGCGGCGAAATTGCCCTGCGAAGCCAGGCGCGCGGTGATCTGATCAAGCGATGGAAGCTGCTTCTTTGTACGCAGCAATGGCGCTGATCTGAGCGACGGCGTTGAGACGGGGTGTCCGTGAATACGGAAGTCAACCTGCTCGACCCAAGGCTTACGCTCCATGGTTTCTTCGAGCGCTAACATCTCGAAGACTTCGCCTGGGGACGTTAAACCTGGAGAGGGCAGGCTATAGTGGAAGATAGCCGGGGACTCCGGAGGAGTCTTGGGTGTCAGAGTAGCCGTCGGCGAGGGCGGGGCCTGCACCTTCGAGAGGAACAGAGCACGGCGTTCAGCTAGCGGATAAGTATGTTACTAATGTACCCTGAGTAAGTTACGGAAGGGCGAAACCATACCCTGCTTGCTCTTGTGCACCTTGATGGCAATCTCTTTGCGGAGATCGACATCCCTCTTGCTTCCGATAGCAATGTTGCGTTCTCTGGAAGCCCTCATCATCGCCTCAAAGCGATCCCTCTCCAAACCCTGGCCCTTGACAGGAGAATCTGCAGGGCGAAGGGGGGATAACTGTCGTGGCGAGAATAGAGGCGGTGGGGATAGTAAGGTAGCCCGGAAGCTGGAGTCATCCTCTTCGTGAGGAAAGCACTGGCCTTTGGGAGAGAACGGAGAAAACGGCTCTGAGCGACATTCCTCGGGGGAGGCAAGCGAGATGGATATTTCAGGGACAGGAGAAATGGAGAGAGGCATGGCTAAGACAATTACAGGAACTAGGGAGAAGTGAAATGAGGTGATTAGAGGAGACGGTGACCAGCACCGGAGCGATTGCGGAGAGGGAGTTCGCGCAAAAAAGCCCAAGAGAAGAGTAAAGTACTAAGGAAAGAAGGAGAAAAGGCAGGAGACCGACGGCAGATGAGATGGAGAGGCAGATCAAGAGTTATCCCACCGTGGACAGCGGCAGGTCACCACCATCACCGTGACGCGTGTCTCACCGCCACCCGTGCCCTGTGTTGCAACCACCACCTTTCTCCTAACCTCGTCTCGATTCCAACATACACTCGTCTTTCGTGCGACGTCCACTAGCTCTGCCATGTCGTTCTGTAGAAACATCTCCGCAACTCCTCCCGCTCCACACTGAAACCCAAACATACAAGGGCACCCGCAACAAGCGACGTAACAACACATCAATCAGCCAATATGTATCAGTATCCTTGACTTTGATTTCTTGTACGTGTCATCTTGCCTGAAAATACGTGTATATGGACCTTCTTGTCTGGATCATTCCCCTTGACAAGGGCCTGCTATAAATGTATGGCGCGAAGCCTTGGTACAACGTTATCCGTACCAAGACCAGACGCACCTTGTATTCGCACAAAATCAAGCTTACAACCATTCTACAACTGCGAGCATCATCACATGACGCTATCATTTTCTGCCTCTCGTCTTGCTCTCGTCTATGATCAAAGATTTTCCTCCTCGATGGCCTCTGCAAGCCTTTCCCGGAACAACTTCTCCGCATTGGCCCACACAGGTGCCGTGTTCCTGTTGGGGAACTCTAGCAGCGACGGCAACAGGTCTAAGCTGAATTGCTCTGACGCCTCCCGCGGTAGTAACGTCGGAAGGTGGTCGATCGATATCACCGAGAGGGGAGGATTACCGGGGCTGTCAATGAAGTGAGTAGCCATCCACAACACTGACATTTCAATTAACGACTCACCCAACCTCGGCGGGGACAGTAGGCTCGGCGAAGGTTGTGTTGATATTGTAAATAGGAATCGGGTTGTGGGGATTTGTCGTGTCACAGCTAACGTCGACCACAACAGACAGACGCCTGCTCTTCCCAGCGTTCCGAATTTGCTCGTGCGTGAGGAAGTGGGGGATGGGGGAGCTGAGATAGATGCAGTTGACGAAGATATCGACGTCCAATATCTCCTGGAAGGGACCGCCCTTGGCCGTCTCGGCCAGATCCCACTTGAGGATGTCGTCCCTGGAAGTCACTCAGTCATCAAAATATAGGCAATGGCCTATCGGGTACGCACCCTTCAAGCCCGATCTTCCTGAATAGGTCGACAGCGCCGCGCCCACACCTACCCAGAGCGCCGATTACAAGTGCCCTCAACCCCTTCCCACTTCCTCCGAGCTTCTCCTTCACGGCATTGACCATCGCGTCTTCGTTCTGGAACGGCTCCAGAAGACCCAACGTCTGACCGTTCTTCTGCGCTGCGTGCGCCAAGGCACCTGCAGCAGCTCCAGCGAATCCAGCATGGTATCCGAACGCTGCGACGCGACGACCGTTTGCATCTGCGAGGAACTCGAGATCGTACAACTTGCCCCCGCCTCGGTTGAAGCGCCCCAGCACGGTCGACCAACCCGCCTGGTACTTATAGCAGTGGGCGAACTGGATGTGGGTGTTGGGAAGCGGCGCGTCGGAGACGGTAAGCTCCTTGAGGCCGATGATGGGGATGTTGACCGGGGCGACTGGCCACGAGTTATTCGCGACGAGGGTACATCCCACACTAATTTATGTGTCAGAAATGCATAATGGAAAGAGAGTAAACGCACGCTTCATATTCTGTGTCGTCGAAAATCCTCTGCTCGTCGCGTTCAACTAAGATGTCGAAACCCGCATCGATGAGCTTCTTGGCGGTCGTTGGTGTCAGAGCAGCGCGCCGCTCAAATTCCTTGGTTTCGCAGCGTAGCCAGAGGGGTTGTCGTGCCATTTCTAATGTAGATGGGGAGCAAAGTAAGAAGACGAGTAGAAATCGGACGGAACAACGCCTTGAAAAACCTTTGAGATGACTCCAGATGTGCTAACGCTCGTCACCACGTGCACTGCGTATAGATCAATCTTATCAGTTGCTCTTCACCACACTCGATCATGCCTGGCCGCGTCCGAAAACGCTCTCCCCTCAAGGTTCCGGGTACGAGATGCGCTAGAAAACTGGCCAATTAGACTGACAGTGCACAGATAGGCCTTACATTGCTCTCGGTCTTGAGGGATCCGCGAATAAACTCGGTGCAGGAATCATTCGACATGGTCCAGACGGCTCCACCACTGTCCTCTCGAATGTCAGACATACCTACATAACGCCCCCGGGCGAGGGATTTCTACCACGAGACACTGCTATACATCATCGGGAATGGGCTCTTGCAGTGATCAACGATGCTCTCAACAAGGCAGAGATATCGTTTCATGATATCGACTGCATCTGCTACACGAAAGGTTGAGCGGTCCTCATATTCGATGATCTGTGCTCATGTTTTATGTCAAGGACCGGGTATGGGCGCACCATTAGTATCTGTCGCTCTAGTTGCCCGGACGCTGTCCCTCTTATACGACAAGCCACTCGTGGGTGTGAACCACTGCGTGGGTCGTAAGTACAGCTTTGACGGAGCTGGAAGGACGCTCAAATACTCCATACAGACATCGAGATGGGCCGTCAAATTACGGGGGCGCGCAACCCCATCGTGCTGTATGTATCAGGTGGCAACACGCAGGTCATCGCATACTCTCAGCAGTGCTACCGGATATTTGGCGAGACGCTCGATATCGCCGTCGGAAACTGCCTCGACCGCTTCGCGAGAGTTATTGATCTGAGCAACGATCCAAGCCCAGGATACAATATCGAGCAGGAGGCGAAGAAGTGCGCTACCCTCTTCTGTACAAGAGAAGTTCATGCTGATCGAGTCTCAACCAGAGGGAAGCGGCTCCTCTCCCTTCCGTACACGACCAAGGGCATGGATATCAGCTTGTCTGGGATTTTGACGTCCGTTGAAAGCTACACGCGGGACAAGCGGTACAGGCAGAACGGCCCCCTCAGCGAGGGAGAAGTCGACATCATCACACCGCAGGATTTGTGCTTCTCGCTGCAGGAGGTAGTGTACGCGATGCTCGTAGAGATCACGGAACGTGCGATGGCGCATATTGGGAGCAAGGAGGTACTGATCGTAGGGGGCGTTGGTTGTGAGTTTCCTCCAGTTCACCGCCTTGCAAAGTTAGCCATTGAGTTGATCTTCGTGCAGGTAACGAACATCTACAAGGAATGATGGGAACAATGGCTAAGGAACGCGGAGGACAGGTTTTCGCGACTGATGAACGGTTAGTCGTCCGCGAAAAAATCTTCTGTTAATTTTGCTGACCTTCATGGAAGGTTTTGTATCGATAATGGCATCATGATTGCTCAGGCGGGCCTGTTGAGTTATCGCATGGGCTTCCAGACCCCACTGACGAAGAGTACTTGTACACAACGGTGAGCATTTCGTCGGAGTCGTTGAAATATGCCTGACGACGAAAATTTTGCAGATTCAGAACGGATGAAGTACATGTCGCGTGGAGAGCATAGATTGAAGTGCCTAGTAATGTTACTATGTACTTTGAGCTCCTGTACTTTCCGGTATGTTTTTTTCTTTTGCAAATCTGATTTGTTGACTTCCGGATGGTCTGGTCGGGTAACAGATAAAATCGGGCAGCGGATCTGGCGCTTCTACGACATAACAATATTAATATAGATACTGCAGTCGACGTGTATATGACCGATTAATTTCTCAGCATGGAAGAGACCAGCTCCCAGCCTTCCGCATCTGACGATCTCAGCTCTGCAGCCACTCTCTCGTAGCGATCCCACCACCACTTGTTGACCTCCTCGAACTCTCCCCCAGTACCGGGTGGCTGGTGCCATGGCTTGTCCTTTAGGATGTAATGCAGACACCGTACCTCTTCGTCTCGCCACATCGGCTTGTGGATCAGTCGGAGCGGCTTGAGGGCGTTGTAGCACCATGGCAGCGGTTTCCATTTACCTTTGAAGAAAGCGGAGAGGAGGTCCTGGTCGGGGAAGGAAAACGTCGGCACGAGCGGTGACGTGGAGAGGAAGTGTTTGAGGCCTTCGGAGAGCTCGTGGGACGGGTGGAGAACGACTGTACCAGAGTTCAGCTGTGTGTACGGGCGGGGACTCGACTCTGTGATGGTGGGCGGCGAGGAGAGCGCTTCTGGGTGCACCATGGAGGTGTGGGCGCAGTTCGCTGGAACCCTGAGATGCCGTGTCAGCAAAAGAATACTCGAAAGACAATTGCCGCCCCTTACCAGTCAGCAGGGTAGTGTGGCAACTTGCGCGGGTTACAGGCGCATACATGCGCCGCGGCGATCCAGTCACGAGGAAGCTCGAGGTCCATGAGCTCGTCCATATTCCGCATAATTATCATGTCAGAATCGAGCATCACAAGGCGCTGCCAGTTTTTTCCCTTCGGTCAGAGACAGGACCACCTTATGAAAAAATGGCTTTCACGTCGTATTCCTCAAGCTCAAAACATCTGGACGAAGTCTCGGAAGGTCAGACCTCGTGCAAACTCCAAAAAGTCTGAACCGCATACCTCAGTTTGGTCCACGTATCGGAGAACCGTGCGTCGTGGTCTGAGAGGTGATGCACGTCTTTTTCAGGGTTCAGGTGATCTATGTCTCTCAGCATAATTCCTCTCTTCCTGATGACCTCTCTGGCTTCTTGGGGGAAACTCGGTGTGACCATGACAACTAGCGGGTACTTTGAACCAACAGAAACCAGGCAATGGTGCAATACGAGGGCACCAGCCAAATAAGTTGGGTTGGTGAGCAGGGTAGCGTATGCTTTCTGCACCATCGTACGTGACGCAGAAGGGCCGAACGGCTGTTTTGGGATTCAGGACAGCGGTAGAGAAAAATTACGCGCTTGTTGGTGCAGTAGTCTTATAACGAAGGCGCCGAAGGACAGATGTCAACGAGCACTGAGTACTGAACGTTGAACAGTTTCGGACAGAACTCGGGCGTTTTAGTCAGGCAGTCACAACTGGGATGATTGCTCCGCGTCGTAGCCGCCCGTCCGCGGGCACAACAAGTGCACAGCATGTTGTAAACACTGCGGAAGTGAAAGTTTCTTCCAACTCACATCCTCCCATGGATATTGGCGTAACTATATTTTATCTCATCGCCGGCCCGGAACCGCTCTGCGCAGAATTTCGAGCACTCCGACGCTGTATTCGCGGAACCACATTCGCAGTACTTCATTGGTGCGACTGTTAATGCTCGCGCACCGCTTGCCATGCGAAGCTCACAGATGAATGCATGCGCGTTTCATGCACATAGCATTTTGCATGGTCATACAGATGAAAATAATGCAACGATCCGAAAGCAGCGTAGGTAGATGAAGCCCCTCAGCGGAGACGCCTGATTGCACGCAGTCCGCATCAGTTAAATGAAAGGATACCGAGCACTATGTTCACGTACCGCGCCTCACGCTCACTCTCCAGAAGTGCCAGAATATCCTTCTCCCGTACGGGTCCCTTCACATTCCGGATGATTGTTCGGGTGGGATCGTCCATGAACTCTACGCGGACCTGTGTGACACCTCCACGGGAGCCAGTCCGACCAAGGACCTATAACATAAACTGTTAGACAATAGAGCACAAAAATCGGTGGCTGAAATAGACCTTGACGACGGTAGCGAGCTTGACTGGCACTTTTGCTGATGTATCCTGATATATTCATTGAGATTGCGGCGGACGATGTAGACACGAGTGAGACTCACCATTTTCGAGGGTGGAGGATGCGCCGAGGTCGAACTGGCGAAATGTTTTGGGTTGGTGTACTGGACGGAAAAATAAGGTTCAGCACTTGAGTTGCGGTTGTTAGATGTACGGGAAAGTCCGGTGGCTGATACCGCTCGCCGACCACCAACTTCAAGACCCACTAGCGATGATGATAAGTTGCGTTGTCGCATGCGACATATCTTAGGTTTTTCTTACTTTCTGAGATCTGCTCCGTATAGTCTTAATTACGGCGGTTGATCAACATGTGTCGTACATAGTTTCTCCACATTTCTTTCGAACGGGCACGGATATTGTCACGTACCACTGGAACTTACGGAAACAGCGCAGAGCGGTTGAACTTCTACATATTACATATCAAGGTGAATAAACTACATAGCGCGTGTTATCAAGCGACCGTGACAGTGCTAAGCACTCGTCCGCGCGCCGAAACCCTCTACGTCTGAATCCGCGATAAGTTTCTTTACCTTTTTCTCGGCGGCCTTTCCTCTCAGTACGTTCTCGATATAGAACTCTCCTGCCTGTAGAACAAACGTATTGGAATTAATATGGCCAAAGCAGCTGAGGTGGAGACTTGCCTTGTAGCTGCTGCGAACAAGCGGACCACTCGCGACGTACAGGAAGCCCATGTCTTCTGCTACCTGTTTCCACCGCTCAAATTCTGCAGGCTCGACGTAGCGGTCGACTTTCATGTGTCGCTTTGTAGGCCGCATGTACTGCCCAAATGTAACGACGTCCACGTCTACCTTGCGTAGCTCTGCACACAACCGGATACGTCAACAACACAGACGGCTTGGGGAAAGAGCACGCACCCCGTAGCGCATCCATTACCTGATCTTCATTCTCGCCCACTCCAAGCATGATGCTCGTCTTTGTGATGCGTACCCCCTCTTTCTTGGCGTGCTCTAACACGCTCAAGCTTTGCCTGAACTTTGCCCGACGGTCACGCACGAAGGGCGTAAGTGCTTCTACTGTCTCTATGTTATGCGCGTAGACATCTAGGCCGGATTTTGCGACGAGCGAGACAAGTGGTAGGGAGCCTGCGAAGTCACCTGTGAGTGCTTCGACAAGTATTTGCGGTGCTCTGGAGAAACGAATGTCAGACGGAGGAGCTATCACACGTTAAGGGACAGCACATGTACACACTTCTGTTTGATTTTCCGGATCGTCTCCGCGAAGTGATGCGCACCGCCGTCAGCAAGGTCTTGAAGACACAGTCAGCATAGCGCTAACGAGAAAGCGGACGACTGCGTACCATCTCGGTCTACACTTGTGAGCACAATGTAGCCGAGCCCCCAACGGCTGATCGCCTCAGCTGTGTGCTCCGGCTCGTGAGGATCAAGAGGCGGGGGTGTCCGTGATGTCTTCACCGAGCAGAACCTGCACCCTCTGGTACATGTGTCTCCCATCAACTATATCCCAAACTACTGTCAAAGGGGGAATGGGAAATCAGTGGTCAGAGCGCACCATGATAGTCGCTGTTGCGGCGCTGCGCCCCTCCTCCGGGGTCACGCCTTCCTTCCCGCCCCAGCAATCGCCGATGTTCGGGCATCGCGCCTCCTCACAGACAGTATGCAGATTCAATCCCCGTAAGTCACTCTTTATCTTAGCGAAGGATGCGCCCTTCGGTATCGATGTCTTAAGGTAGGACGGCAAGCGTCGACTGTGCCAGTCTCCCATGAGCGCGTGGGGATATATGCGAGACGCTAATGCTCACGCGCTGGTGTTCCCGAGCACCACTCTATCAGGGACGTTGTCAGCGATGAAATCATCTAGCGTGGGCCCGTCGGCGACCGCCTGGCGGAAGTCGGGCTTGGATGAGGACGCGGTAGCGAGCGCGCGGGTGTGGATGGACGGTCGCGGGATGCGCGCTGCGCGCAGGAGAGAGCTGGCTGCGTAGACTGTTCGGACCATCTTCGCTGGCACACTAGTAGGACCTCCCAGGACAGTTACAGATGGGAGTGCTTGAGGAGGACGAAGTGACGGTCTTACGAGGAGATTTCTCAGCTGCAGCGGCAGACCCAATTTGGAAGGAAGGAAGTCGACCAGGCTCGGCCAGTCGTAGGCTTGTTCCATCTTTTCTTTACGCTCACTGCCATGAATACCCTTTCGCGTCGCGAGGAGGAGACCCTCCTTAAGACTGCTAAAAATCGCGCATTGAAGGAATGTGATCCTGTGGTGAAAGGTGCGGTTTGTCTACTCATTCTCATGTCCAATACTCATGGCGCGTCTCCAGCATTCGCCGACTGCGCGACTGGGCATACCTTCACCGTAGCCTGGAACTGCAGGGAACAATACAAGGCGGTGCAGGAGTGCATGATACAATAGTACGTTTTCTGTGCATCCTTCGGTACATTTTCACCGTTTCGTACGGTTTCACTTATACGGTGGCTGCGACTACAGTACAGGACCAGAACCTATGGCAGCAGTTCGTGCTGAATATCTACGGTTGCGGAACGAACAACACGCTGGCGAGACGCCTGATTCATGACTCGGGACAGCACAATTGTATTGCTTACAGCGTGGGTCTTCTTATCAGGTTTGATCGTACCGCCGACGGCCTACCTCCTTTGAGGTAGATTATGCTACAAGACGTCCGGGGAATCCACGCATATTTTCCGCAGGGAGCAATGATGGACTACAGTAGAAGATGTGACGCCACCGTTTCGAGTAACTAATTCAGTACACCTACTCATTATCACTTACTTACGCCCGGCAGCCGCCCACTGCTGATTGAGTGCCATGAGTGACGTGACCAAACTGCACCAGGGTGTCGTCAGAATTAGACCACATGTGGAGAGTGAGGTGACTTACCCAAAGATTCCAAGCACGCCGTCATTGAAGTTGACGAAACCGAGGTTGGTGGCAGGGATCCACACATCGAGAATATCGATGATGAATTGGTGCCGAGTGGCTTCGCGTGCACTGAGAAATAGTTAAGAAGCGTAAAACACACAGACCAATGGAATACAAACGTTCGCAGAGCAGCAAGCTTCAGGTCGCGATCAACTTCGACACCTTTCTCACCTACTGTCATGCCCTGTAGCCTCTGTACCTCACTTGCTAGTCTACCAGCCTGTAATGCATTTAACAACTTATCAGGTAAGGTAACAATAAGATATCTCGCCTTAAGGAGACCGTTCGTGATGCTGAAGAGAATGCCAGCGAACCAGAACCGGTTGGAGAGCCTCGACACGTTCTCCCCTGTAGATGGCTTCAGGTTGAAGAACTTGACGGCGTTAGCCTGGCAAGCACCATCTCAGTCAACGTCACACGTCTATAGGACTAGCCGGAAGGAAGACGCGAACCCAGACGAAGCTATCGTACATGAGGTAGCCGAAGTACGACAATTGCCTCGCGATGGTAGTAAGCTGTTCGCCTAGCTCTGTCGACGAGTGAATTGGCGAATGCAGAGCACGCAATGCAGCCTGGAGATGCTCCAAGGGCTTTCCGAGCCGCATGACTGACATCAAGACAGCGTCAGCAGTGATGGACAGGTGCGATGAAGGTGCACACGGACTTACGCTTCCTGCCCAGCGTGAGGTGTGCCTTCAACGCATTCCAGCGAGCGGCGTTTAATTTATCGCCACGCGAGAGCAATAACCACGCAAAGAAGCGAGAGAAGTACTGCACAGCGCGATACAGCTGGAAGAGTGACTGGGAGTCAGTGCAGGGCGAGCTCAGACGGGATATCGCGACTCGCCTTGTCCCTCCCCAGCGTCGTGCTCAGCAGCTTGAGCGATTGGGACGCCAGCGGGTGAAGAACGACTTGGTTGGCGACGCTCGACATTTTCTGAGTGAGGAGGGAAGGGGAAGACAGTGGCCAGTGGCCTTCAAGTACTCGCACTCAATTCAGATGAAAGACCAAGGGAATGTGGAGAAGCCGGCACATCACGTGAAAATCGCGAAACGCTTTCCGCGTGACGTGGCATTAGAACCTTGCGATCGAAAACGCGTGAAGTAGTCGGTGCACTTGGAGCAGCAGGGAATGCGATGCAACCTTCGACAGAAGCTGGAGATGCGAAAACTCGGGTATGTCGAGGAAACAAAGCCGGATACCACGGTCAGCGTGAACCGCGTACATACCGAAGTCGCGGAGTAAGTCGGCCTGCACTCGGAATTGGCTCGGAGACATTCGCATAGGCTCTCAGCGTTCGCGCTGAGAACTGTCTTTTACACCTCTCCAAAAGTAAGGACACCCTCCTCCGCTGTTCTGCGAACATGGCCAGTCTCCGTCTCGCTCGCGCAAAGATCGTGAGTCGCAGGAATTCGAGAGAGATTCAAACTATTTACGGCATGTGATGTCACTGGACAACCCCGATTCAGTTGGACACGCGCCGAGCATCCGCTCCTAGACACTTCTCCTCCTCCTTAATCATCATGGTAAGTGCATGGAGGATGTACGCACCACGGCCGGGTTTGACTAAATCGCGTTCGTTAGTCCGGGCAGAAATACCGCGTAGAGCGTGACACGTTCGGCGAGCTCCAGGTGCCAGCAGACAGGTACTGGGGAGCGCAAACGCAGAGGTGTGCATTCATCCGATCGCGCTACACGATCTCGAATGCTGACTCTTGGTATGAAGATCGTTGCAAAACTTTGACATTGGCGGTCCCACCGAGCGTCTCCCCCCTCCCCTCATTAAGGCATTCGGTGTCCTCAAGAAGGCTTCGGCTATGGTCAACACTACGTACGGTCTCGATCCCAAGATCGGTGATGCTATCCAGAACGCTGCAGACGATGTCAGTTGACTCGAATTGTTTGTAATTTGCACGCTGATGCCTCGTTGTATTTAGGTCATCTCCGGAGAGCTCATTGACCACTTCCCCCTGGTTGTTTTCCAGACCGGAAGTGGTACGCAGAGCAACATGAACGTTAACGAGGCACGTCCGTGTTGCAAGTCTGATTGAAGCATGCGTGAACATTATTCTCTCCAGGTCATATCTAATCGCGCGATTGAGGCGCTCGGTGGCGAGCTGGGCTCAAAGAAGCCCGTACATCCCAATGACCATGTCAATATGAGCCAGAGCAGCAATGACAGGTACGCCATTCTGTTCGACGACAGTTACGACTTGTTGGGGGCTAACTCTTTTTGCAGCTTCCCTACAGCTATGCACATAGCAGCCGTAACCGAGCTTCACCACTCCCTGATCCCAGCTCTCACTGAACTGAGGAATGTCCTAGCTGTGAAGTCGGAGGCTTTCGCGCACATCATCAAGATCGGACGCACACACTTGCAGGTAAAATAGCACCCTTTTCTATCTCTGGAGAAAATCTCATCTCCGGATTAATAGGATGCGACTCCTCTGACACTGGGCCAAGAATTCAGTGGTTACGTCCAGCAGGTGACTAATGGAATTGAGCGGGTCAAGGCCGTTCTCCCGCGCTTAAGCCTCCTGGCACAGGGAGGCACAGCGGTGGGAACTGTGAGTTGTGGATAAATGTGCGACGTATGACGCTTCGCTCACAGACATAGCACAGGGCCTGAATACGAAGAAAGGCTTCGATGTAAAGGTTGCAGCGGCCATTTCGCAGATCACAGGTCTTGAATTCAAGACCGCACCAAATAAGGCAAGCTCACCCTAGACCGATGTTATCCCGCCCTGCTCACCTCGCAGCAGTTCGAAGCACTGGCAGCTCATGACGCGCTAGTAGAGGCTCATGGTGCCCTCAACGTTGTTGCGGTCTCACTCATGAAGATCGCCAACGACATCCGGTACCTTGGATCTGGTCCTCGCTGCGGATTCGGTGAACTGAGTCTACCGGAAAACGAGCCTGGCAGCAGTATCATGCCTGGCAAGGTCAACCCCACACAGTGTGAGGCACTGACCATGGTTGCTGCACAAGTCATTGGCAACCAGACTACAGTCAGTGTGGCGGGTGCACAAGGGCAATTCGAGGTGAGTTAGATAGCTCTGCAGTGGTTTTACAGCATATTAATTACGCCCATTGCAGCTGAACGTCTTCAAGCCGGTTATCATCAAAAACGTGCTGCAGAGCATCCGTCTTTTGGCTGATGGTACGGCATTCCTTTGGGTCAAAAAGTCCCTCGCTAACCTCGCGACGTAGGTTCGCGGTCATTCACAAAGAACTGCGTGGTCGGAATTCAAGCTAACGAGAAGCGGATCAACACACTCCTGCACGAGTCGCTTATGTTGGCTACTATCCTGAACGGCCACCTAGGCTATGATAGTGTGTATCGTTGAGCCATCATGTGCTACTGGGATCTGATGGCGTGTTTATTATAGACGTTGCCAAGTGTGCTAAGAAGGCGCACAAGGAGGGAACCACGCTGAAGGAGGCGACCGTGGCTTTAGGCTTCCTGACGCCGGAGGAGTTCGACGACAAGGTTCGACCAGAACTGATGTTGGGGCCTGACGATGCATAGGAGGCTGTTACCTAAGATGTACATAGACTGCCATATTTTGCGTTGCAACAGTCAGACGGAGGGTGTAAAACGTGACGAAAGACGGATGATAAATGGCGAGGCGGCTGAAAAATCAGACGAGGCGTCAGGCCAAAGACGGTCTCCGTGGCTCAGATTGCTTGTCCGCTTGCATGATGGCCAAGCAATAGGATACAAGCAGTGCACGGCGTATCTTTGCAAAAACAAGAGAATGCGGTTGAGCGGCGGGAGTCACGGTGACAAGCGTGACACGAGGAGATGGAAGCGTGGACGAGCATGGTGCTATCCCAAAGAAGCAGTTGACATATTTGTAGCAACACCAAATCCAATGAGACAGGCAAGCTGGGCAATTTGCGGCTTAGCCGTTCGCTTTCAGGCCCGGCCCTGCATCACAGCGTCCTGTCTTCTTGTCTTCGCACCACCATCTTCTACCGACACACTCCCCCGCCCGTCTAGTCCCACTCGCACCACTCCTTGCTCACTCTTCCCCACTTGACGACTTCCTTCTCGGAACAGACATTCGCGCAGCGTAACATCCCAAGTCCCACGAGCGTCTTCCCCTCCTGCGCATCCGTACAACGCTGCGATCAGAAACACCTGTTCCCCCTTCGTGCTGGTGCTTGACTTCGCCTCGCCATGTCACTCAAACATATCCTCAATGACGATCCGACACCGCCACTCCATATATCCGCACCTGCAGCTCAGGCTCCTGTGCCCACGTCGGTGATTGATCCAGCGCTAATGAGTCGCTCGCCTTCCTCTACTACCACCATGTCTCCCAGTCTTCAGCCACAGCCGTTTGTTCAGCCGCGTACGCCGCTTGACCTTGAACAGCCCCCTCCTCCACGTGGATATTCGTATCAGCCTGTGGCATACCAAGGTGCAGGAGGTTGGGATCCTTACACTGGTGAATGGGTGCAGGGTGACATTTTTCCCTTGGGACCAGGAGGCAATTACTACTCCGAACATGATGACCAAGCATCCGTATCTCCTCCGCCCTTCTCGAATGGCGGACAAATGCCGACTACTCGGTTCAAAGAAGGTTACGTCGAGAGCAACGGTAGGAGAAAGAGGAAGCATATGGATGATGACGAGGATTACCACCCGCCCGGCCAGAAGCGCGTATGTTGAGATTTATCGAGTACGGAGGCGTCTCTGCTAACCTCGTTGCAGCATTCACGGCGCCACCCTCCGCGTACGCGTCAACAACATCGTGCGCAGACACCCGCGTCTTCAGATACACATGAAGACGCTCCAGTAGCTGAAGAACTTTCTGAGCACATAGAAGAAGACATGAAGCTCAGTTCTTCCGACTTAGAAGACTGCGAGGAACTATGGACAGGAGAACTCGGTAACTATATTGTAGAGACGCACAAAAGGCAGAAACAGGTCGACGCATTCTTTTCTCGCTGGATCATTGTAAGTATCGCCGTACATTTGAATTGTTGCACTGAGTGCGAACTTCCTCCAGGAGCGAGATTCTCTTACAGCGTATCAGATGTCTCATTCCTACAGGAACCGCATCGCTCGTATACCCCTTCCTCCACCCCCGGCGCCGCCGCCGCCGCCACCACCGCCTGTGCAGCTTGAAGTTGACGAAGTACTACGCCACGTATCGCCTCCATTAGACGGCTACGATACGGTCCATGGTGACTTTGTGCATGCTGACGGCTCATACGGCGCTGGGCCCGAAACTGTAGCTCGAGAAATGGACGACACTGCTCTTGGAGTCACTGCTAAACGCAGGGGCAAAGGCAAAGGCAAAGAATCGAAGAAGCGTGTCCCGCCACCGTATAGCGATTCTGGCAGTGAAGACATACCGATCTCAGCCAAGATCGGTCCTGCTCACAAGAAACGCAGAGTCGACAAGGTCACTACTGGCAATGACGTCGCCAGCATCGCAGACGAGTTTCAACGTTCGATTATTCCTGGTGACTCGATGGTACCATCGCCTGCACATAAGTTAGTAGCTTTGGCGAAAGGCAAGGGGAAAGGCAGGCAGCGCGAGCATAGCGTGGAAAGCGTGGCGACTACACCCAAGCCGCGCAGGAAACCTGGTCCAAGGAAGAAGTATGATACATTGCCCCCTCAGACGCAGGAATATTTAGGCATCGCGTCTGCGTCTGTATCTGTTGCTGGCGATACGACGCCCGTTGGATCAAGACCGGCGTCACCAGCCCTTACGGTGGCATCCGCTACTCTGTACGAGTTGGATGAGGCAATACCTCCGCTGAAGCGCGCGAAAAGGGTAGATGAAGCTGCTATGCTGAAACGTGTCAAAATGCTGGAGGAAGCTCAGAGGAAAGTGTGGACAAATATTGCGAGAAAGGACGTGGCGAAGGTAGCTACATTTAGTGGGATTTTTTCGAGCAAAATTATAACCCTGCACCGTTTATAGGTGTACAAGTACCATTCGCAAGGTTTCTTAGCGAGACAGCTTCAGTGCAAGCGCATCGCGGATCAATGCTCCTCGCAAGCTCGCCGACCCCTTGTCCGGACAATCAAGAGCGGGAAGGATGTCCAGGTGAAGGGTAAGCGCCTGATGCGAGAGATGCTCGTATTCTGGAAGAAGAACGAGAAAGAGGAGCGCGATGTCCGGAAACGTGAGCAGAAGGAGGCGAGCGACCGCGCAAAGATTGAGGAAGAGAAGCGCGAGGCTGCACGGCAGGCTCGGAAGCTGGAGTTCTTGATTAGCCAGACTGAGCTCTACAGTCATTTCGTTGGTAACAAGCTCAAGAGTGAGTCTGACAGTAATTTTCGTCCTCCCACATTCCTGACTTGTGTAGCTGCCGAGTTGGAGGGTGGTGCTGCTCATATTCAAGCCTCACACGTCCCAGCTGGTGCACATCTCGAAGATGTAGAGGCAGGTGTACTTCAGGAAATTGACTTCGACGAAGGTTTGTATCTGCCATTGCGCACTCAGATATCTACTTAATCATTGTGTTCAGAGGACCCGACCAACATCCACCAACACGCCAGAGCCAATGCCCAGGCGGCTATTGCCCTCGCGAAGCAGCGCGCAGAAGCCTTTGATACACAGGCTGCGTTGGAACGCAAGACTAACGAGGCGCTGAAACTGGCAAAAGGCCAGGCGCATATTCACGGTGAAGAATCTGTAGAAACTGTAGATTCGTCCTCAGGGTCGGGTTTGCCGGCCACCCCCCTTGTTGATCGTGAGTGGTATCCCAGATTTTCCATGACTGACGAGTGTCGCTGAACAAGTTGCATGTTAGTTGATTCCGACGAGCTCAACTTCCAGAATCCAACATCGCTGAGTGACGAGCTGACGATCAAACAGCCCAAGATGCTGATGGCTACCCTCAAGGAATACCAACTGAAGGGTCTGAACTGGCTTGCTACTTTGTACGAGCAAGGCATCAACGGCATTCTTGCTGATGAGATGGGTCTCGGCAAGGTGGGTGATGTTCTGTACGCCTGTTCACGCGACTCATTCAGATCTTCTTCAGACCGTCCAATCAATATCATTATTGGCTTACCTTGCTGAGACGCATGATATCTGGGGTCCTTTCTTGGTTGTGTCGCCGGCATCGACCTTGCACAATTGGCAACAAGAGATCACTCGTTTTGTTCCCGGTTTGAAGGCACTACCCTATTGGGGTAATGTGAAAGACAGGACAACTCTTCGGAAGTGCTGGAACAAAAAGGAGATAAGCTACGACCAGGATGCTCCGTTTCATGTCCTTATTACGAGTTATCAGCTGGTATGGATGAGGGTTGACTTGTGTCAGTCTTTTGTTGACCTTTGCATGTTAGGTTTTGCAAGATCAACAATACTTCTCGCGTGTCAAATGGCAGTACATGATTCTCGATGAAGCACAGAATATCAAGAATTCGTCAAGTAATCGCTGGAAGACACTTCTTGGGTTCCAATGTCGGAATCGCCTCCTACTCACTGGAACTCCCATTCAGAATTCGATGCAAGGTCCATCACTAGTCTGGCCTTTGGAACACCTACTGACTCCTTTTCCTTAGAGTTATGGGCGTTGCTGCACTTCATTATGCCAAGCTTGTTCGACTCGCACGACGAGTTCAACGAGTGGTTTTCCAAGGACATCGAGAATGCCGCAGAGAACAAGGGTAGCAAACTAAATGAGCACCAGCTTCGGCGGTTGCACATGATCTTGAAACCATTTATGCTACGTCGTGTGAAGCGCCATGTGCAGAATGAGCTTCCAGAGAAGGTATGCATGGGGCAGATGAAGCAACTCATATGCTCATAGGTGGCAATTTTAGATCGAGATTGACGTTTACGTGGACCTGAGTGCTCGTCAAAGAGCTTTGTACAAGGGAGTGCTTGCCAAGGTTTCGGTGGCTGACCTGCTACAGAAGGCGGCCAGCATCGGAAAAAATGCTGAATCAACCCGGTCACTTATGAACCTAGTGATGCAGTTCCGAAAGGTCAGTCATGTTGAAGGAATGTCTGTCAATTGCTTTTCCTTACTCCACGATAGATTTGCAATCACCCGGAGCTCCTTGGACGTGCGGATGTGGTTGCGCCATTCTCCTTTGCAAAGTTTGGCCAATCGGGACCTCTCATCCGCGAGGGAGATACCGTACAATTACCTTACTCGACCCGCAATCCGATCGAGTTTATCATACCGACGCTCTTCTACAATGATGGTGGAATCGTAGATGTACCCAGAGAACATGCAGAGAAGGACACTGCAAGGTTGGCCACGCTTATGAACATATGGTCCACGGACAGAATACAGCACTCGTTATATGAAGGAAGTAAGTAATAGAACCGTGCATCCTGCAGCTGATCTGACATATTGCGTAGAGCATTCCGGCTTTTCGTTCCTGAGATTCCTGGATATGTCTCCGAGTGAAACACATGCGATACACATGGCACGCCTGATTCAGAGACAGCTCTCAGCGTCGTACGCAGAAGCTCACCGGCTTGAAGATGAGCCCTATAGCTTGTAGGTTTTGTTTCTCTTCTTTTGCATTAGATGTATATCTGATGCTCATCCAGGGATCCAGTGTTTGTTGCGAGCCTGGCGTCGGGTCGTTACAAAATGTCTACTGGCATTCCTCTGGGTGCGCTGGAACTAACCGGTGAATTGCCGGATGTTCGTCACATTTCTACGTCGGCCTGGCAGTCATCTTGTCTGTCGCGAAGAGACTTCAAGTTGTTCGTACCACCTGTCGTTGCACCCCCAATATCTGTCTATTGCGCCAATCGTGCATTCATAGAGCATCAGGCAAACCTGTTAGACTCTCCTTTGGAGTCGCTGGCCCTCTATGGCATACCTCCACATATGTGGGAGTCGCAGGACGCGTGCTCCGAGTATCAAAGACGAGTGCTCGGCGTGCCGGTGTCCGGACTCTTTGGGGCATCCTCTCCCGATCAGCTTCCTTTATCGTCGATGCAGATTCCAGAGGCGAAGCGGCTGATCTTCGACTCCGGAAAACTTGCCTATCTCGACACCTTACTGCAGGAACTCAAGGCAGGAGACCACCGGGCGTTGATGTACTTCCAGATGACCCGCATGATGGACCTGATGGAGGAGTACCTCATCTATCGCCAGTATAAGTACCTGCGTTTGGATGGACATTCGAAGCTGGACGACAGACGTGACATGGTCATGGAATGGCAGACGAGGTCCGTCATTGTACACTCCTCTCAGACGACACATTTGACGAGCCGTCTCTTGCAGACCCGACATCTTCATATTCATCCTCAGTACTCGGGCAGGAGGGCTAGGTATCAATCTCACTGCAGCTGATACTGTCATCTTCTATGACCATGACTGGAACCCGTCCAACGACGCGCAGGCAATGGATCGTGCACATCGTTTAGGTCAAACACGACAAGTCACTGTCTATCGGTTGATCACGAAGGGCACAATTGATGAACGCATCGTGCAACTGGCCAGGGTCAAGAAAGATGTAAGCCATTACTCATTCTGGATTTTATTGTCGTGGGGCCCATACGTTTGTGTAGGTCCAAGATATCGTCGTTGGCAACAAGACCTTCACGGACGTCACCAAGCCCAGCGAAATCGTGCAACTGCTGTTGAACGAAGACCAGTTGGTCAATTTGGACAAGGACGTTGCCACAAAGAGTACAGAAGGGATCCCGACCGGTGCAGTTGCAGGCACGGAGGGAGCCGTTGAAGACCTATGGGACGAGGATGGGGATGAGTTCTTTGGGCCATCGCAAGGCGGTGTGAATGCAGAGATGCTTGAAGAGGAACCTGCGCCCGCTCCTGCCCCAACGCGCGGCAGGAAGCGCAAAGACCCAAATGCGCCGCGCAAGAAGCCAGGTCCTAAAGCGAAGAAAAAGGCCCCGGTTGCAGATGAGGATGCGCAGTCATAGTTGTCGGTTTGTTGAGCGCTTTTATTGCTGTTAGACGTGCATATTGTTGTCCATCTTGCCTATGTTATTTGCGCTGATGACTAGCATCGCACCCCACTGTACTGCCCTGTATGTCCATGATTTGGTTTGTACCACTACTATATGCTATAACGTTATGACATGTAGTGTAGCTTTACTCGTTGTTTCATGCGGCACGTAAGGACCCCGTGCGTCGAGTTGCCGTCGGCATGATTTTCCCACGGTGCGGTCAGAGGACAGTCGCGCGTGATCCACCCAAATCTCAGCCTCTTAGAAAGGAACGATTGTCTTCCGCTAACTAGAGGCTGTATCTATGAGTCTACCCTCGCGAATCAATGAAGAGCTCCGATCCTGGCGACAACATTTTTCGGGTACCACCCACACCCGGGGGTTTGCACACAACCTGGCGGTGGGTCGGCTATATTTTCGGGGTGTAAGTGGAATTTTTCGAACCTTCGGCAACCCCAGAATTACGTTCGACGTCCTGCCGGGTTTCGCACACGGGCACCATTGCATGTCGTCAAACTTATATTCCGAAGCATTTCAATACCTGACGCAACAGGTGTCTTGCCATTGAAGTTCACCTTGTCCACGCCTATCAAGTTTGCGAGAATCTCGGATGTCGAGACCGATGAACACATGATTATTGAGTTCAGTGGCGGCCGGCCTGAGTAGCCTGGCAGGGTCCGACAGGTCTTTGTAAATCTCAGTCTCCATGTCTGCAGGGGTTTGGAAAGAGCAGGTCGCGGATAAACGCAAACGCCAACAAGAGGCCATACCTCCAGAATGGCGGTACATTGACTTGCCCTCAAATGATCAACTCAATGTCCTGGATGTGCCTGCGACTTGCGGTCTTCTAACACCGCTAGAGCTCGAGATAACGAATGTGTCTGATGTGTCTGTGCTGCTGAAGCAACTTGCCAGCGCTCAGTGGTCGTCAGTTCAAGTCACAACTGCATTCTGTAAACGGGCTGTGATCGCGCACCAGTTGGTGAGTGAGAGCCTGTGTTCTCGTTCAGGTTGGGCCAATTGATATGTGAGGAAGACCAATTGCTTGACCGAGATATTTCTTGCGAGAGCGCTCGACCGTGCAGCAGAATTGGACGAATACCTCAAGCAACATGGAACTGTGATGGGGCCGCTGCATGGTCTACCCATTTCTCTCAAGGATCAGTTCTGTGTTAAGGGACTAGAAACTGTCATGGGTACGTTTTCAAGTGGTGCCATCAAAATCATGTGCATTTTTGGACATTGCAAATCCAGGATATGCTGCTTGGATTGGGAAGGTGGCCGCAGAAAATGCCGTTCTAGTAGATCTACTTCTCGATTGCGGTGCGGTACTATACGTAAGGACAAACCTACCGCAAACGTTGATGGTATGTCTTATTTCTTATCTCTATATACAAAGCTCTCTCTGAATCGACACCGTTGAAGTGGGCTGAGACGAACAACAACGTGTTTGGAAGAACGGTAAATCCATATAATCGGAACTTTGCTGCGGGAGGTTCATCTGGGGGCGAAGGCTCCCTAATCGCCATGCATGGAAGTATATTAGGTGCCGCAACTGACGTTGCCGGGTAAGTCTTACGCCATCGAGATTGGTTCAAGTTTATAGTAAGCTATTACAGGTCCATCCGTATCCCAGCGCACTTTTGTGGTATTTACGGTTTCAAGCCTTCAGCACACCGCATTCCCTCCTACGGTATTTCCGATGCCCTTGACGGGCAGGACTCCATCCCGACTTGCATAGGTCCGCTCTCAAGCTCGCTATCAGGATTGATGGTATTTTTCCAGGCTGTGCTCTCCAAGCAGCCTTGGCGCCGAGATCCCAGGACATTAAACAAACCTTGGGATCAAGATGCGTACATGCTCAAGGGACAAAATGAGGGAGAGCAATTATGTTTTGGCCTGTTGTGGAATGAAGGAACCATCACGCCCACACCTCCAGTCAACAGGGCGCTCGAACAAACGAAGGCGGCACTAGAGAAGGCTGGTCACATAGGTCTGCATTCTCAGAGCTACAATATATAGTCGACCTCACTGACGTTATTTCGTAGTAATTAACTGGGAGCCTTTCAAGCACAAAGAATTTTATGTCAACGCGGTTGGCCCAGAATATGGCTTTGCATCCTCTTCCGCTAATGTTTGTGTTTACATCAGCGTGCTATTTGGACATCCGACGGTTATGCAGATTACCGAGCATCTGTAAATACCGGTGAACCGCTTCTTCACTCAATGAAACCTGACGCCGATCCATCGGATGTCCCCCCACATCGCCGTCCACGCGAACCTCTCAGTTCATTCGACGTATGGCAGTTGAACAAGGAAAGGCGCGAGTTACGGAAGGCCCATCTTGATTATTGGGAGTCAAGCATAACTAGAACCGGGACTGGAAGACCGGTTGATGCACTTATTTGCCCAGGAGGTCCATACCCAGCGGTCCCCCATGGCCATGCACGGTTCGTCACCGATCAAGGGGATATGGGACTATACTAATCAATATATTGATCTCAGTCCATCTTTCTATACATGGATGTGGAACTCCTTGGACTACCCAGTTCTCGCAATCCCCGTCACGAAAGTGGATGCATCGCAGGATGTCAAGCCGCCGCCTCACAAGTTCCTCTCTGCCGATGACGAAGGAGTATATCAGCTGTGTCAGTTGTTCTTTTTCCATTATGTCTTCGGAATGTGTCTTATATTCTTGATAGACGACCCGGTGTTATTTGACGGGTTGCCTGTAGGGATCCAAGTAATGTGCCCAACGCAACACGAGGAAATGCTATTAGCCATCGGAAAAATCGTGGACAAGTCACTTCATGACATTGGGAAGCAGTAGTCCCCTGCGGTTCCTGTAAGCTCTCCGCCACTGTAGTTGTACGTGCCGATGTGATTCTATGTAACTGCATGAAGATCAATCTGGAGATGATCATATTGAGATCGGATCTGGCGTAGTATCACGAAGCCTTTGGTAAATACCGCCAAACAGGCTCCCATTTTTGGTAACTTACGAGTCGGATCTGCTCAAGGACCTGCCAGTGGGCTTGCGAAAGGTTCTCAGCTGGACCGACTTCGCCCTACTTCGTTTAACTCGCTGCTATGCCTACTATTGAAGGTGCAGGCGTTCTGGTAGAGTTAGCCAAGCTCTCGGAAGAAGTGGACGCCAAACCCGAATATTTCGCGACTGGCAACGATGAACTCTGTCTCACTGCCTTGTCTGCTACAAAATACATTTACGACTTAGGTACGTTTATCAGAACCTGCTACTTCTACACGTGGCTCATGCAAACTACGCGATATGCAGCTCTGAAGTCCGAGCGCAAGTCTCGAGCGCATATCGTCGAATTGCTCTCTTCCCTTGTGCATAGTCAAGCTCCCCGTACTCGTTCGCAGACCGGCAAACAGAAGGGAAACCAAAATCCCCCCCAGCCCGTTTCCAAACCACCGGCATGGCAGGATACTCCCCTCACGGAGCTCTATGTCGACGGCATGAACGAGGACCAGCTGTGGGCGCAGTTAGAGCTGAGGTCAAAAAATGTTTGCGACATGCTCGAATATACTCTGGATGGTGATGTGGAGAGTGGGGACGATGTTGAAGGTGGAGAGCTGGAAGGAACGAAGTTGCGAAGAGTCATGATGGATGAGGATATCGACATGGAAGATCTGGAAGGCATGGAAGGCATGGAAGTGGATGGTGACAAGGCCGACGACGACGAAGACGACGAATCGGAGTCTGGAGACGAGGAAGAGTCTGGCGAGGAGGAGCATCAAGGCCAGGAGGATATTGCGGAGCTGAGAGATCCATCAGATAACGATGCTGATCTCGAAAATCCGTCATTCCTGAGCGGAGGAAAACGAACATTGCGGCGAAGGCACAACTTCGGTAGTCATCCAGAATTGGATGATGGATTCTTTGACCTTGCGACGTTCAATGCGGAGACGGAGGAGGCTGAAGCAAGGAGCGTCTCAAGAGGTAAGCTAGGAAAGGAGGACAGCGACGAAGATAACGAAGACGAAGACGCGGAAGCTGTTGATCTGTTTGCTCCCATTGATGACAATGCCGCGGCATTCGACGAGGAAGATCTTGAAGGTGGACCAAGTGGTACGCTCACTATGATTAAACCTGTTATGTCATTCTCTCATTCCTGCTCTAGAATCGTTTTACAAAGACTTCTTCGATCCTCCGCCTCGCGCACCCAAAGCCAAAAAGCCCCATGCGACGGCTGAAGCTATTCCAACGCCCAGCGGAAAGGTTCGGTTCCATGAGCAAGTTCGAGTGAAGAGCATCAAGGCTAAAGGAAAGGGCCTTCCGGTCTCCACGATGAATCTCCCACTCTCCATGATCCTAAATAAAAATGCCGAGAACGAGTACGGTGAGACGATGTCGGATGAGAGCAGTGAAGAGGATGAGGACGGTGCAGAGGACGAGGATGAGGACGGTGCAGAAGACGAGGATGGAGAAGTTGACAGCGAATGGGATGAGAACGGTCTCAATGAAGATGAGGACATGGGAGAAGCGGAAGAATATGGCCGCGAGACTATTGAACGTCTCAAGGACGATCTCTTCGCCGATGAGGAACAGGTTCAAACAGGTTTGCATAGAACAGTCTTCACCTACTCTCATTAATTGCTCCCCAGGTCTTTCAAGGCACGAAAAGCAAATGGCGGCTCTCCGGGAGGAGATCGCCACCCTAGAGTCAGAGAACGTCTCAAAGAAAGACTGGATGCTGATGGGTGAAGCGACTTCAAAGTCACGGCCGCAAAATTCCCTCCTCGAAGAGGACTTGGAGTTCGAACGACTTATGAAGTCCGTTCCTGTCATCACTGAAGAAGTTGTTCAAAGTCTGGAAGAGCGTATCAAGGCACGTATATTGGAGAGCCAGTTTGACGACGTTGTACAGAGACGTCCTGTCGAGGACAAGCCTTTCCTGCCATCTCGATTCTTCGAGTTGCAAGACACCAAATCGAAGCAGTCCTTGGCTGAGATCTACGAGGACGAGTATACTGCTACTGTGTCAGGGGGAGTCGCAGGCGAGGACAGGGATGGCAAGCTGAAGAAGGAACATGACGAGATTGAGAAGTTGTGGGAGACTATCTCCGGCAAGCTGGATGCTCTGTGCAATGCACACTTCACCCCCAAAGCAGTCAGTTGTCTCGTCAATTGCATGATAATTATATCTGACAGTGTTTGCGGCAGCCTAAAGCATCAATTTCTACAGTTGCAAATGTTGCAGCTGCCACTCTCGAATCTGCTCTGCCCACCACAATTTCTACTTCCACTATGCTTGCTCCTGAAGAAGTATTTGCACCTTCTGCCCGTGACCTGCGTGCACGCAGTGAACTCGCCCCTGTAGAAAAGCGAGCGCTATGGAACAAGCAGAAGAAGGCAAAGAAGAGAACGCGCGACGCGCTCGAGAAGACGGTAGACAAATTCGCCAGGACAAACAGGTTGGGCGGAATCAAGAGGCAGAAAGATGCAGCGCTGAAGAGCGTGGTGAAAGGCGGGAAGGGCGTCACTGTGGTCGGCAAGAAGAATGAGGATGTGGTTGGGAAACGGAAACGGACGAAATAGTGTCGCTACGTTCACTGACACCATCATGATTTTTCGTCTGTGAGCGATCAGCACGTTGCGAAGGCTTTTGACGAGCCAGACGGAGAACTGCCTCCTACAGTTTCAGAGCAACCACCAACCTAAACGCTTGCCATAAATGGTATGACACACGTGATGGTGCAGTGAATAGTGGGCGGTGTTGGCATCGCCGCGTCCATGACCGACGAGATATATAACCTGCTTCCCTCAACCATCACATCCACATCCTCCTTCTACACTTGATACGCAGGTCATATCATGTCTTTCTTCAAGCGCAGAGAGAAGCCTGCGATCCCTCCAGTTCCGTCTGAGCAAGATACCCGTGGTTCTTCCTCCACTCCCCCATCCTATCGCTCGAGTGCCAGCACATACGTTGCCAGTCGCGATGGAGACCCTTACAGCAAGCCATATGTTCCACCGACCCCATCGCCTGGCTCCAGTGACAGGTACGCACGACAGAACGCTGTCGGCGATGTTTACAGTCGCGGCCAGGGCAATGTCGATAAAGATCGGAGCGAGCTCTTCGCTGGACTGAACCGGGAGAAGGCAGGTTCAGGCAGGTTCTTCAATGATGGCCCCACTTCCGCGAATGAGAATGGGATGGGTAGCGATCCTGCTACGGGTGAGGAGAACGAGGAGGACGTCGAGGGAATCAAGCAACAGCTGCGCTTCACTAAACAGGAGAGTTTGGCATCTACTCGCAATGCTCTCCGCCTTGCTCGAGAAGCTGAGGAGACAGCGCGCGGCACAGTGTCTAAGATGGGCACCCAGTCAGGTATGAGTTCCTGTCATTCTGCCTGTAACCATACATCCAACAAATGCTTCCACAGAGAAACTCGCCGATACCGAGCGCCACTTAGATGTCTCAAAGGGGTACTCTCAGCGCGCAGAGGACAAGACCGATGAGCTGAAGCAGCTCAACCGGTCCATCTTCCGTCCCGTCATCACATGGAACAAAGACGCCAAACGTGCTGCGGAAGGGGCTAGAATTCAGCAACGTTATGACGAAGAACGCGAAGAGCGAGAGAAGGGTATGATGGATATCCGACAGACGCAGGACCGGCTGGGCCGGGCAGCTACCTACGGTCGTCCAAACGAGGAGGGGAACGGTCGGGTCAGGACTGCTTCTGAGCAGAATGTGAGGAAGGAACAGAGGAAGCGTTATCAGTTCGAGGCTAATGCGTCTGACGACGAGCTCGAGGACGAGCTAGATGACAATTTGGGGGAGATCTCAGATGTTACGAAGAAGCTGAAAGCTCTTGGAACTGCCATGGGACAGGAGCTCGACAGCCAGAATGAAAGGATTACTAGAATCACGGGCAAGACGGAGAATCTGGACAACAGGCTCTTCAGGAATACCGAACGAGTTCGTCATATTTTAATTTATCTCATTCCTTTGACCGACTGGTATTTCAGCTCAACAGGATCAAGTAGTCCTTGTGGGATTTGCCTCTGCGCGTGTGATCAACCTTCGATATCCCTCGGTATTTATTAGACAGGACAGTCAATTATAATACAGACCACGCTCTTGATTTTCAGACTGTTCTTGGAGCGGTGCTACGTGCAAGTCTTGTCCACGATAATGTTTAGAAAACGGATGCAAAGTAGATACAGAAGACGGGTAAATAGCAAATTCGTATGAAACAAGGTATATCGACGAGATGAAAGGACATCGAAATTTAGCATATACATTTAAAGAAATCGCGTCCTGGTATATGCATCACCTTCATCAGCGTGGACCTTGGGCCCAAACCGGATATGTCTTGAGGATCTAATCCACTCAGGGCGAAGCCTGGTCTTTTACTCCCACCACCTCTTCAAGTTCACCATCGGATTCAGAACCGGAGTCACCACCTTCGGTGTTGAATTGAATAGGTACCTGTCCCGCCATTCGCTACCTCAACCCGTCAGAAAGCGATCGTGAACGGAAAATGCCAAGGACATACTGACCTTTAAAGCGAATTTGCAAACCTTGTAACCCTTCGGATTCAAACCTTTTTCCATCCAACCCTATTGCATTGTGTGATCAGTACCCATACGCCCATATTTCGTTCGTGTCTGTACCTTTTCGACCGTGTACAGCCCATCGTAGCGGTACCCTCGGCTGGGAGCGTAAGGAGACCGCAACTTGAATCCCCGAATCACACGGACAGGCTTCTTTGTCTCGCAAGATTTCTGGCGGAAAAATCATGGGTACGTGTGATTATGCACGTCATCGTGAATAGCGCACCATCAAAGCCATGTTCGGCCGATGATCAAAGGACTGATCACTGCTCTGCGGGGCGGTACGCAACTATAGAGAGGCATTAGGAAATAGTACGCAAACAAGGAGAAGGGTGCAACCAACATTCTTAGGCTGAGTCTTCGTCCCCTTCAGATCACGTCCACCTGCGATGTGATCAGAGTTCATCAGGTGCTAGATGAACGAACGATTACCAACCTGAACCTGTATAGGTGCTGAACGATGACCCTCAGTGCTATCTCAAACCTGAGAAAAAGTAGAACCACTTACAACGCGTCGCCCAGATCCACGTCATCTTCATAACCGCCTGACAGGGCCACCGAATACGCGCCTTCAGGACCGAACGCAATTCCAGCGACGACGGGTCTAGCGGAAATACGCCGTCAATGTAAGAACTTTTGCTGCACTATGTCAAGCACGAAGAAACAAACGCGTGAACAGCATCAATGCTGCATTCGTCCCTAAGTTTGACTTCAGTCGCAGCAAAAAAGAATGAAAAGAATGACTCGCACCGTCTCTCCCACCATGTACCGACAGAAATTCCGGGTATGGGGCCGAAAACTTTCCTGCTGCACGTCAAAGGAATGAAGAGTGACAGCTAAGCAGGAACTCACGGGTCATGGATCCGCATGCTCACGTTCCTAGGTTCCTTACCCATCTCTTTCGCAGCAGCCTTTGCGCTAATAATTTGTGGGACGAAACGCGCGTTGGGACTGGCACCATCGTCTTTGTAGTCGACGACCTTGCCCCGGTTCCTTCCACTCCTGCGCGGACCTCCTTCCGCCCCGTCTTGGCTGTTTGCAGTCTCTTCAATTCGAGCGCTTTTCTTCGGCTGTTCTTCATTCTCATCGCTACCGTCCTTGATGACTGAGGCTTTGCGTTTCCGTGGTGCTCTGCGTTTTGCCGCCTTGGGACCTGGCGGAATGAGGGCACCACCAAGACCGAGGCTCTCTAGGAGTGCTCTGTTTTGCGCCTTGTTAATGCGGCATTGTTCGTCAAAATTCATAATAGGTTAGGAGAACCAAGAAGAAAAAACAGAATTAGTTCAAGGGTAGTGTGGCCGCGGAAAGCGAGAACGACGCGTCGCGTTTCCACGACTCACGCGTACACGTGCTCGCGTAGTTCTTTTCCTTTCTAAGAACGGGTACCGCAAACCGATCGCAACCAGTAGTGACATCGTGCTTTACAGATGGGTGCACGGTAAATTCACTTCAACAGAGGTGAGGTACAGATTACGATGCATATGAAAGACGTAGGGCATTCTACGCGCCGACCTCCTCGACCCACTGTCTGCCTAAATCAATAACCGGGGACTCGAAATCCGTAAGGACCAGGGTCCAATTCGATCCTGGATAGCAAGGAGTTGTTGTTATGTTCGGCGTCGTTGTTATTTGATGGTCCGGATGTAAGCATCATTCCTATTTCGTGTCCACTGGGCAAGTACATCTCGCTGTTCGTCAAACTCGCGGGCGGCGGTGCTGCTGATTCGTGAGATGATGAATTCGTTGTCCTGGAGCTCTGGTTGGAGCGTTCGCTGCGGTTGTCGCGATATGACGACGTGTCCCGATGCATGCCCTCTGTTATCAAACAATAGTAATAGTGAGGATATTGCATACGCTGGCGTCACGTATACCACCTACCACCAATGAACTTGCACTTTCCAGCCTTGGCAAATGAGCAACGAGGGCCTTTAGGGCAAACGTGACTCATGCAGCAAGCATCACCAAGATGACACGGTTGACCTGTCAATTGGTTCAGTTTACCTGCCGGGTGCTACAAGATAGCAGTCCTCACCTCTATTGACCGAAGGACAAGGCCATTTCTTAGAGGCCTCACGAAGTTCGACAACTTGCTCAGGAAGCAAGACATAATCGTGTCCGAAGCGGCAATTTTGTCCCTGTTTACATTCAGCGAGGTAATAAAAATTGCACGGTGGGGGTTTTTCTGCTCCACAGTATGAGCTATGCAGAAGGGACAGGAGAAGAAAACCGACGTTTATGGAGGGGCTATAGAGAAATTGGGTCAGTGCACGCGCGATATACAGAGTTTGAAACATAACCTGTTCGGGATCAAGACGCCTTGGCCGCTTGGTCGGGCTCCGGTGGGTTGTGGTAGGAATGATGGCTTTGCTGCGGAATTTCTCGAAGTCCTGCAGCTGCACTGACGGCAGCATCTGCAGCTGGCTGAATCCGGTGATCTTCTTGAATGAGTTATTGGGCAGCTTTTTCGTCATGAAGACGCCTTCAATCTCGAGATGGGGAAGCCCTAGACTTTTTAGTTCGTGTGCAAGGTCTTTGTAGCCGCGAAGGAGGACGATCTTGTCTAAGAGACCTTCATTCTGGAGGTAGTTGAGGGTAGATGTATATCCATTGTCATGTGCGCCTGTACAAAATATTCGCTGAGAGTAACAATAAGGATGGACAGCGTACATGCCTCCGAAGAATACTCGTACTGTTTGGGGGAAGCGCGTGAAAACTCTGAGGCATTCTGGCATACTGGTTCAATCACATTGATAGCTTCAGCAACCCTAAAGCATAATCACCTTTAATTTTGGCATCCGCCGCCTCTTTACCATTTCCAACGTCTACAATTGAAAACAACGGTGACGCTTGGTTGAATCCAGCTACGAACGCCTCGAATTGCTCGGCGGAGCACAGACTGTGGTTCGTCAATGTCTCCACCAACCCGCTCTTGTTGCAATAGATTGTCAGCCAGATTTGACCGCGTCCAGAAGCTGCCTCCGCAGACTCTGTGTTCGATAGATAATCTGTGAGGCCTTTGGTAAGGAGCATGGCAGCCTGGCGCCCTCCTGCCTGGCCCAAAGTAATAAGCTCGGGGGAGAAGATATTTCCATCGCCGTCAATGAGACACAGGACGAGAGGGTTGTCTTCCTGGTTAGTCAGGACACCCTCAGAAGGATGCTACTCTGAATAGGAGACATAGCGTACTCTCAAAGAGCCAATATTGCGCTCGAGCCGGAGGATGGTTTTATTCAGAGTCTTCTTCTCCTCGTCCGCAGTCTTGAGTGCAGCCTTCCATACGGAGAGCTCCCGCTCAAGTTCTTCTACTTGCGCTTCGAGCTCCGCATTCCTCGCGGCCGTCTTCCGGAAGAGTACTGCGAAGAGTAATTCTGAGCTACAGCGATCGTCACGGTAGCGCAGATCATCGACACACCTGTCTGCTCGTTGAGAAGACGATCCCTGTGATCGCCAGATTTGAGAAACGTCAAACAGAGGTACCAGGAAAGGAAGCTCACCATGTCGTCAGGTCAGACTCCCCATTCTCCTCGTCCATCGCCTTTCTCTGGGCCGTGAGCCGATCTACTTACGGCTGCGTGTCCTGCCAGATATGTAAAGGAAGCGCTGTTTCGTGTTGAATCAAAGGAGTGTTCGCATAGAGGAAGATATTAGGACATGCAGATGGTGAAAAGAGATGTCACGCTCGCCGTGTGTGTCGCGCCGTGTACGTACATGTGTTTATCATAGATTTGCCTTTCCTATCATACAAGTATAGCGGTACACGAACGCCAGAAACTATGGCTACATCTCGATACCCTAAGTATTCTCAACGACACCCCGAACAATTCTGAGAAACATCTCCCGATCGCCTTCAGGCCCAGGAGACGTGGAAGCAAGCCGTCCCTGCCGTCCCGCTTTCCAGAGCTTCCAAATACCCTGAACGCTATCCCTCAGTGCGTCCTCCGGATCCGCTTGTTCTTCATCCAGGGCGGCATCCCCGTTACTGCTCGCGTCCACTTGTTCAGAAAGGAAAGACAGCCGGTGGAACACACCATTCAGTTTCAACGCCGACGGAAGAGCGGGCAAAGACGGTGTGTTCGACTCGTCGCTGCCGGTGCTGCCTCCAAGGGTCGGCGAGGGCACGTCGGATCCGAACAGAATGGCTGATTCGGTTTCTATCGTGGCTGCTGCACCAGAACCTAGTGAAGGGCTCTCGCGAGGCGGAATGGACTCGAGGAGGTGAGCGAGTGCGTGGGGAGATGCAGGCTCATATTTTGAGTGGTGTCTTGGTCGCGGAAACATGAGAGGAGGTATCGGAAGGGCATCTTCATGCGAATCATGCGAACGGACAGGTACAGGCAGAGGATGCGGAGAGTGGGTATCGAGGTCCGGCCTGTTATGTTCCAGGTGCGGCTTACGGTGCGGTTGAGGAAGAGGGGAAGGCTCAGTAGAGTCGGCAGTCCCTGTGACAGAGTTCTTTCAACAACCCTGATCATGACAGGAACGAATATGAAGCCGGATGCATTCCAATCCTAATCTCCCGAAGAGACGACAGAGAGTATCGCGCGACGATCAAACTAACACTCACCGTGCACGTTGGCATATTGGGCCCAATATGCGTCCTCAGAACCCCCATGATCCTTGTCTGATGAAGAAGAGGCAAATCGAGACGACGGACTATCACGGTCGTGTGACCCGTACGTGTTCCAATAATCGTCATCTCCACTGTCATCGTCGTGGCCTTGAGCGCCGACGCTGTGATCGAGGTGGTTGGTGACTTGGTGTGTCAAGGCAGGCAGCGCGTCTTGGGTCGGGGGCGTGGGGACCAAAACGTCGTGCAGAGCTGGGCGACTGCCGGGCGGGAAGGGCATCAAATGTGTGTTATGATATTTCCAACCGTCGGTATCATCCCACTGGAAGACTAGCCTGGCGCCGACAGCATCGCTGGGCGACGTGAGGTCGACGTGAGCATAGGTACTTTCTCCGTCGGAGGTGTATTGGACAGGATATGTGACAGACTCATCATCATGCACGGGGTGGGGAAGAGACTCGAGGTGATCTACGGCCAGGGCCTGGTTCTCCGGGGAAGAAGGCCAACATAGATACTCCTGGGGGCAATCTGGGGTAAGATGGAGAAAGTTGTGTCTCTGGAGGAGAGCTCTGGAGACGAGATACGGTGGCAAGGGATGAGATAGGCCCGAGGGCGGAGCGATGTACTGGAGAAGGATGTGCACGACGTTGGGAGAAAGCGGGGTGGGAGACATGGGGAAGAAGAAGCGGGGTATTCGCAGGCTCGGGGAGAAATAAATACGCTGGCCCGCCGCTGGGCTCCGGAACGGAAAGGAAATTAGCGAGGTCGCGGTCTGCAGCGGCCACGTGCACGTGTCTTCGAGCCGCCGCCCGCCGACATCCTTCTCATCACAACGAGCTCCCACCACCGCAAGGCTCTGCTCACAAAAGTTCGCTCTCTTTTCATCTCTCTGTCGCTTCCACCATGCGAGTTGCGTATCTCTTTGCGTGTCTCGTCCTCCCGCTCTTGGCCGCTGCTCAGGCATGTGTCCTTTACCCGTCGTTTACTCATTCCTAATTTCTCCCTCAAGTCTTCCTCGCAGCAGTCCTCACAGACACAGCAATCCTCCCAAGTATCGCAGTCCTCATCGCAGTCCTCATCGCAGTCTGCATCTCAATCCGGAGGCTCCCAATCCGGACAGTCCTCACAATCCTCACAATCCTCCCAATCCCTCGTCGTCTCTACATCCATTTCCACCGGCTATTTGGTCACCAGCGGCGTCACCCACTCATTCACCCAAACCCAGGTTGTCACCCTGACTCCGTCTGGCAATAGTTCTTCGCAGACAACGGGAGCAGGGAACTCTACAGGCAGTGCATCCTCGACAGCTCCGATGTCGACTGCGCCGACGAGCATCAATGGAGGTGGCAGTGGAGCCCCCAACGGCGCCCCAAGCCCAGGTGAAACGGGACCCAGCGGAATATATGGGCCGAACGACGGATACGTCTCAGCGGCTCTTGCATTGCATATAAACGTGGTGCTTACAATATTGGTGGGGGTTGCGATGGGTGGTAGCCTGGTTCTGCTAGAGTGAGGGAATGTTATGGGACCTGATTACGTTTGGATGAACTCAGGACGTTTGGCCTGTTTATAGGACACTCTTTGCATGACAGTGACGGACACTATTACATACATTTTCATAGTACAGTAGGGGAGTGCTCGTGGTACCCATTCCCATACCGCATATGTTCACTCTTATCTGCATCATCACTCCACATTACCTGCACCACAAAGTTTACGACGTAATGTTATTCACGGCCTTTAGGATTCTTGACAGCACATATTGCGACGCGTATCGTCAGGGCTTCTCGCAGTGAATTCCCATGCAGCAGGGCGTATTGAAGTTTCTCAACTCAGGCCATCACGCATCCTTCATTAGACTTCTTTCTGCAGGTGCAAGTTCAGCAAGGCTACGGAACAATTACCATTGTACGGTCCGTTACATGTCTTCAGACCTCGATCACCCGGCCAAGAAACTGAAGATGTCGGACAAAGATCGCAAGGTTTGTGCCACTTCTATCGGGAGGTCTTACTCTAGTTGAAAACAGGACCGACTACTCAGGTCATTGGTACGCACAACGGTGCGTTCCACTGCGACGAAGCGCTTGCCGTCTTCCTCCTGAAGAGGACAAAAACATACGGAAACGCGGGTGAGCCCGGTTTCATATTTCTACAGCATGGACACGTTAACCACCTTGAGCAGATCTCAAGCGCAGCAGGGATCCTGCCATCCTGGACACTTGCTCCATCGTGGTCGACGTAGGGGGTGTCTACGATGAGGCGAGGCAGCGTTTCGATCACCATCAGCGCGGGTTCACCGAGGTGTTCGGACATGGCTTCACCACGAAGTTGTCTTCCGCTGGGCTAGTATACAAGTGAGCCGCCGCGCCTCCTCCAATTTCCGTTGACATTTTACCAGTTGCCCTTTGTCCGGTGTCAGACATTTTGGCCAGGAAATCATCGCAAGCAGGCTGCTCGCGGAGGTTGACGACCCAAAAGTCGAGACGCTTTGGCTGAAGCTCTACAAAGACTTCATTGAGGCGATCGACGGCATAGACAATGGTGTATCGCAGTATCCTGTCGAGCTACTGCCGAAGTATCGCAGTAGGACAGATGTCTCAAGCCGTGTTGGGCACCTGAACCCCGCGTGGAACGAGTCCACTGACTCACAGATTGTTGACGTGGGTCCTATCTTACACCACATCTCATCTTGCTTTAGAAGAGAGAGCTAAAGTCGGTCGCAACAGGGGAAATTCCTCCAGGCGTCATCCCTCGTCGGCGAGGAATTCCTTGGAAGGCTGGACTACTACGCCAATTCATGGCTACCCGCGAGGGATCTAGTCGCAGCCGCTCTTGCAAGGAGAACAGAGGTGGACCCGAGTGGGAAAATTGTGCTTTTTGAGCTGTTCCTACCGTGGAAGGTAATACTAGCCTCGCCCATCTAACGTCCATAATTCAGAACACTAATGCCGGGTTCACAGGAGCACCTCTTTGAACTTGAAGCCGAACAATCAATATCGGATTCTGCTCAACCCATTTACGTCCTCTATCCCGACGAAACCTCTGGGAATTGGCGCATCCAGGCCGTCCCAGTCCGTCCAGAGAGCTTCGAGAGCCGCAAGGCGCTGCCAGAGGCGTGGAGAGGATTTAGGGACGACGATCTCTCGAAAATATCTGGGGTGGAGGGCGGGATTTTCGTCCATGCCAGTGGCTTCATCGGCGGTAAGCACGTCGTGCATCTGGGAATTTCTACGTCGCTCATGAGATAAATCTCCAGGTAACAGAACGAAGGAGGGTGTACTGCAGCTAGCGAAGCTTGCACTCACGTTGTGAGAGGCAATGGAGGGCATGGCGAGACACAGCCTCCCCGTACACTATCACTTCATGACTCACGGGCCATTTGTTGCAATTGGTATCATCGAAGTATCTTTTGTATCACTACGTACATACTGTGCATCTGAGTGCCATCTCGGTGGCTTGTTGTTGCATGATGTGGATGATGTCCCGGCCCTGTACAGCGTGATGTCCGATGGTACTTGCACAGAATGGTCACGGCTAAGCATCATGAGGCCTGTGAACTTGGCTCTACCCTTTCATGTCTTCAAAGAAACTGAGAGTGTTATTGACTGCAAGTACACCAGTTCCACTGCTGATCTTATGTGGTTGATTCTTACTGTGGTCTGCGATAACGAAGAATGATGACGGTCCCCCGGGGAAGGACTCGCCTTACATCTACGGCCTGTATCGCCATCTGACGAGAGATCTCTGTGCGTACGATTTTGCGTCGTGCGCAATGATGTGCTGAGCATATCGTTACCGGCGATCTTTTCCAGGCTGGGATGTGCGAGTTGTGATTCCGAGCACGCAGAAGTCGTGGATCGGTGAGTTGGACGGACTCTTCGATGCTTCGCCTTGACGATCTCTCTACACGCGGTTGTGCTCACCTTGTGCGTGGTGTAGGGAAGGCGTATCAGATTCATGATATCATCAGCGGGAAGTACTACTATCCCCGAGATCCTGGTGCGTCGTGTATCGTTATGAATGTCACAGAAACACGCCTGACGCCAGATACTCGCAGATGGAGCCGGAGAAGTTTCGCAACAGCCTAGACCTCTGAAGGACGATGAAGTTGCGGAGTGGATTCTGCTGGATGGGGTAAGTGATATCCGGTTCTCCTTCCTCTTCATGTTTCCGAAGTACCGAAGCCATTATACCGCTGTGTAGACACCGGCAACGTGCGCGAACATCGCCCTCCATAATCTGTACCCCGAGGAGATTGATTTACTGGTCCGTTGTGACCTCCGGCATTTCTCTATTGTGAAGGACGCTCACGACCGTCTATATTCGCCAGATATCGGGCCCAAACCACGGCCGTAACAGTTCTGGTGAGCTTTACTGCCAGGACGCCTATTGCACTTAAGTCTAACGTGTTTCCGCAGCGGCGTTCGCACTCTCATCTGGTACCATTGGTGCCGCCCTCTCGTCCAGTCTCTCTCGACTACGATCAATCGCCCTCTCCTATGGCATCGTGTTGAAACCTACGCCGACAACCCTGATAGAGCCTGCCCACCTGCTGAGCTCCAAGATTGTGCGGCACCTCTGGGAGAATTGGGGTGAGGATGAGGGTGGACTTCGCAATGGCGAAGTGGACCTCTACAATGTGAACATCCCCCTGATAAACGACCTGTTGACTGAGGAGGGCCTGCCGATCTGCTGGACACACATGTGGCGTAACTCTTATGGAAGCCTGTTCAAGGTACACACACCGCGTGAGGCGGCCAGCCCTATGTCTGCCGCAGGTCCCGATGCTTTAGATGGTCCGAACGATGTCCGTTCGAGTTTGGGCGAGAAAGAAACACCGTTGAAGGATTTAGGCAACTTGCTGTTCAAGTTTGCACCTGACATGCAGGATCTTATCAATCCCGCTTTATCCACTGTTCCTGTCGGCTCTGATGGATGGGCTATCTTGAAAGGATGGGTAAGTGTGACTCCCATTCGAGCCAGCTTCGCAGAGCCAGGGGAGCAGAGGTTGCAGTCTATCGCGGATGTTGAGCAGCAGGTCTGGAAGGTGAAGCTCTAACCGTAATATGTAGCTCCTGCATATCTACCCGTTTGTCGTAGTTGATACCACCTGCTTCATACAATAAGGTTTCATCTCTATTCGTGAGCTACATGATTGCCATAAAAATATCTACAAATGGGTGTATTGCCCAACTGCTCAAATGCTTAAACAGCGGCCCACCCGAGCGCGAAAGTGGCCGCAGCCAGAGACAGCCATGGCATAACATCGAAGCTGGCGCGCCTGCGCGCCCCGTTATTGATTTGACCATTGAGCGTCTGCTTTTTGTACACAGTCAAACTGTTGATATGCCAAGACGCATTCTGACGCACAACGTGTCGTCAGATTTAGGACAACTCGCTCTAAGCTGAACACACACCACGAAGTTGCTTGGATCCATTATATGCTCTGCACATGTCCCCGTACACCCTGCCGCGGTACTATATGAGTTACCTGCCCAGTCACCTGTCATGTTCACGTGAGATAAGATGTAAGAATATTTTCCGTGCGAAGATGGACACACCGCAAAATGTGATGTCTGCATACAGTATGAGTCAATGAGAAACAGCATACCGACTTTTCCTCTCACCAAATATTATACTGTGATCCACAAAATTTGTAATTGGGTCACACGCAGACGGCGCAAGAAATGCTACCGGAACACCCCACGTAGACGGATCAGGTAACCCATCGGTGACGTCCTGAGGTATAGCAGCCCTATAGAAAGACCCTTGAAAGTCATGTCAGGATTAGCAGTAGCGGGATTGATGCTATCGCCTACAAATTGCGATTCCTTGGTCGTCCCACTTCATCGCAAAGACGCCACCTCCCTGTGCGTCAAATATAGGACCATACGATGCTCGACTCCATTCCGTGACACCACAGCCGGCGTTACTGTTGTAATCATTCACGCAATTGCAGACGAGGTTGGGATTGCCGTTGGTTTCCTGAGACATTAGAAGACAATACATTATGTTGATACATGAAAGTTGAAGTCGTCTTACCACGATCGTTCCGGTGTAATTGGCAGACTGTGTCAGGTTGCAGTCTAATAATCATAGATGCAGCATTAACTGGTGTGTAGTGAGGATAAAATCGTTTCTACGCGTACTCGGTCCTGTATGCCACGTCACCTGATTATGTTCATTGTCGTGGACACCCTCGAGGATGTCAATCTCTCCTTGCTTTTCATAGAAGCTGGATGTCAGACAATCTGTGTTGCAGGACTATGACAGTACTCACCAATGGCCAGTTGTTGCCCACTGTCCACCACGCGGGCCAGACACCTTAGATGGGGGCAGGTAAGGCATCAAAATTCCTTCCCATATGATAGCACGCACCGCAGCCCCAGGGTGCCATGTTGAGGTCAAGGATGAACAGGCCTGAGGTCAAAATACATTAGAGGATTGTCCCGCATCGGAAAACTCAAAATTGGGGTGTCCCACCAGTATTGTATACTGCTTGACTTGAAATGCGGACACTCGTAGCAAGAGTCAGTCTTGAAGAATTTGACCAGTCTCGCGCAGAACTACCTGTTCCTATATCCCCCTTCCGCTAACCAGGTTGTGTTATCGCCTTTCATGACTACAATGTTGTCTTCAGTTACATAGTAAAGCCCGTCGGCATAAGCGGTTTCCCGGTCGGTATAACTTCAAAATGAATTCAGTCTCAAACTTCTAGATTACAGAAACAGGGAACACACTTGACTGAACCACTGCGCACAATCAGACAACAGGAACATTTGTAATGGCGTGTAGGCAGACGTACTGGGTAGGATCAGAACCAGTGTAAAAGTTCCAACGACTGTAGCCATGTGAACCTTGCATTAAGTTCTAGAGCGTTTACACGTACTCGAAGAAAGTCTGTCCTTGATAGACATCTTGGACGGTCCACACGAAAGTGGTTCCATTGGTATCGGTCTCGGAACCATTCGCCCGTCGTTCGAAGGAGGCTGCGTAGGCAGTAGCAAAAAGATATGACAACCACGACAGACCTGCCCGCGATCCCAAAGATATGTTATTTGGGAGGCCAGAGAACGCGCCGCGTACTGGTGCAGCGGCAAGTAAAGGTATCAGCGTCAAGGGAATCGTCAAATACATGGTATCAAGTTGCCACTGGGATGCAAGTGAAGTACAAGACCATATGAATGAACCGCAGTCCAGGTGTGATATAGGACACCGAGATTGATCTCAATAGTAGTGGTGCATTGAAATGAAGAGCAATGTGTCCAGCGACGAGGCTATGATGCGCAATGAGGCAGGGTCCCGGTTCCTCGGTCAAAGCACGCCGCAGAAGACACGAGCGAGGGCAGTACTAGTACAGACCCGGCAGAATAGTCAGTACGAATTAGTAGTCCAGCTCAACGCACGCCGAGAACACGTTTTGTCGGCGTGCCATAGTCGGGCGGACCTCTCGGCAGAGCGCTCAACGTCTTCAGATCTTCTCTACTTATCTCTCACGGTCGCAGTCGGACCCAAGTGAAGCTAACTTTATCACGGCGTCGCCTTTTGTTCGGGGACGCGTGCAACGGCGGGACACGATCGGCATCTCTTCCCGGCATGGTGGATGAAGGCATACATTCATAGCAAACATGACAGGACATGAGGCAGAGATACCACAGAAAACAAACAGCATGCAGTAGACAACATATCACCGGTAGCGACGAAGGCTGAGCGTGTTGTGTTTCTTCCAGGTCGACCAGCCCGGAGTGTGGTTGTAGCGGTGACCCTTGCCCAAACCGCGGTTCTAACAAATGACGAATGAGCACAAAGTTAACAATTATACAAGGTGCCAAACGTACCTGCTTGCCAACACTGGTAAGACCACGAGCCTCACGGCGCTTGTGCACCGGCTTCGTAATCCAGTTGATGCGAGGATCCCGTCGAATCTACATTACCATGAGAGACGAACAGCTTATAGCAGAGCGAAAGACATACAGCTTTGTGGTTGGGATCGACAAGGATGACCTCGTAGTATTTGTACACACCATCCTGGTTTATCCAGTACGAGTTGAGCACCCGCAAGTTTCCGCATCGTCTGCCGACACGTTCCTCCGCAACACTTCTCAGGCCACGTTGCGGCTTGAGGTGGTTGACACCCTGGCGGACGGGCTTGCCGTATGTAGCGCCTGCACATATTGTTGAAAGGAAATAGAGGACAAACTCAAAGATGGCACACCTTTGGGGACGTGTTTCTTGCGGTTACCCCTCCTGACACGCACACGGTAGATGACATAGCCCTGCTTAGCCTTGTAGCCCAAGCGGCGCGCCTTGTCGGGGCGAGAAGGACGTGAGGCCCGGTGGATCACGTTCAGCTGGCGGTATTCCCAGCATCTGTAAAAGTAAGAAATCGGAATAAATTCGCTGCGGGAGAAAGACTGAACTGACCGCACACGGAGAAGGAATCGGAGGACGTCCGACTGCTTCTTTTTGTACAGCTCGCCGATATACTTGTAGGCACCCATAGTTGCGGGCTGAAAACAGAAAACAGTGTCATCCCAATGCTCAAACTGGCCGTATCATCCTGCCTCCGCCTCATCCATCCATCGTTTTCCACTTCCATTCCGGTCCAACCGACCGCCTCGGAAGTTCACAGCAGCACCATGGAGGACTACGAATGATTCCGCAAGCTTACCTGTCAGAGTCTTGTGGATTGGGCGGATGGGTCAGTTATTGAAGGCGATTCCTGCCTGCTTCCAAGTGAAGCGCTGAGAAAGATCACGTGAACGCACATTCGTGCACCGACAGAGCGAGGAACCAATTTTTTCTAGTGTTACACGATCCCAATACTAGTACATAGTACATACAACACATGAGCTCTATACAAGACGAAAATCATTGAAGACGTGTCATGAGGTCGTTGGAAACCCGGTCGTGCTAGCTCTTTCCTCCTTCGATCGCAATCTCAACCACGCAGTGCTCAAGAACAACACCCACGCAAAGCATATAAGCACCCCACAGAGCACGCTGCATATCTGTCCTCGCCGCACCTCAACCTTAGTACGTACAGCACGTACCGGTCCATTGGAATAGCTCTTGATAGGTGAACGGGACAAGCGGTGATGTGAAGGTGGAAGGGAGGGATCTCGTCGCAAAGGAACAACCTGTTCCGAACTTGAGGTCGGCGGATCGCTTCGCTGGCCGAATATACTACCTCGACTCCTTGAGCGAGATACTCTGCTCCCTCGCCGGCATCGGTTCTCGTCTGTTACCTTGAGCCAGTCATGGGCTTCTTCCTCGTCGCTCGAGTGCACATCAGGAGGCAGTAAAGCATTCGCACGACGGAAAGCAGCTTCTTTCTGTCGACGTTCGAGGTGCGCGAGACCGAAAATGCCAGCAAGCTGCGCCAAGTTGACAACGAGGAAAGCATTGAGGAGATATTGCACGTCGTGGCCGTGATCGGAAGCCGCCGATTCAACGGCCTTCTTTTTGTTGAGGTCCAGCATCACGCCGGCGAGTGTTTGGAAGATCACAAATCCAGTTTGTTCAAGCTTCACGCATATGAGTAAGTGAACTTGTCGCGAAGCCGTGCTCGTGTACGTACTGCCTTGTGGGCTCCAAGGGTTGTTGAAATATACTTGTGGGGAACGAGTTGAAGGACAATGACGACGAGGAGCACTGACGAAAATTTAAAGATCTCGGTCACTTGGGATAATTATCTTGTCGGAGCACTCACAAGGGGAAAACCCATGACCAATCGCGAACGACGCTATGGCAGGGTCCGGTGTTTTTGTCCACTGTGGCGGTAGGGCAAGCCAGAGATAGCATAAGAGAGTAAGTGCGCTGGATATCATGAGAAGTTGCACGACAATTCCACGCTTCTTGACGTGATCCACGATGCAACCGGTCTGCGAGCAATGTCAGAAGACTTTCCGCGAAGAAAAGCGATGAACTCACCATGGGGTATAGAATTACACTACCTGACAGTGCATAGGACGCTGTGGTGCTAGCATCCAGTTCGGTCATTGCGAACCTTCGTTCTATGATATTCCTGAGCAACCATGATAAGTTGACCCGAACGGAAAGTTCCCGGCAAGTTCTTACGCTGCAAGGTGTGCAAAAGGAGCCCAGATCGCTCCGCAGAGTACATTGAGCCCAATATAGCTAGCAGAGTCTTAATTGACCCTCCGAAGACGAGAGCTAGATCACTCACGCCCAGAAAACGTCGCCAAGCTTCGACATGTCTCTGATTGAAACTTTCCGCTTTTCTGCGACCTTCTTCAATGCCTCCGCTTCTGAAAGACTTTCGACAGCGCCCGCTTGTTTGCGCCTAAGAGCTTCCACGCGCAATTCGGAAGGCTCCAGCTCTGCATTGGCACCACGGACCAGCCAGTTGGAAGCGAAGAGATAAACTAGATTTACTGCGAATGAGACTGCAGTGAGCAAAGTCGACATGTAGAAGGGTGCATGTGGGCCAAATCTCTCAGAAAGCGGGTAGGAAGTACGAGCGGCTATGAACGATGCTCCCTTGCCAGCAACGAGTCCAAGGGCTAGAGATACACCTAGGCCGTGAGACCTGAAAAAGCGCACTATGATCGTTTCTTGAACCACAGCCAGCGGGCTTACGCCCAATCCAAAGACGAAAAGTCCGAACGTCATGAGACGGACACTAGAGGCAAGGTTCCCGATCAGAAGCAAAGTTTGTCCTGCACCCGCATATTAGCGAGACTCTATAAACACATCAGGAATGGAACGAACCCAGGAAAATAACTCCCGTCGCAAGGATGCTAGTATAAGTCGTGCCTAGCCTGCCGGCAAGTATACCGCCCACCAGAGGTGTCCAGGTACTGTTGAGTGAAAAGGCCGAAATCAGGAGTGAGAACTCCGTGTTGTCTGTTCCCATTTCTCTTGACAAGCGGGATTTGAGAGGACCGAGTATATACTGCGCACTGATAATGATTATTAGACGACGCCAAGGAGAAACTACAAGTCGAGCTTACTAGTGGCTCCCGACACTCAAAGAACACGCACACAGCAGAGCCAACGCTCTAACGATGAAGGCTCGCACAGGAAATGGAGGCTCATATTCCTGCTCTGGTGCCTCAACAAGGAGTGGATCAGCTTCGGCCGAATCATGATGGTCGCGAGTAGAGTGCATAGTGCTCGCATAAAGCGCACACTAGGATTATAGGGGAGAAAAAGTGAGAAGAGATTGGGAGTTGTGGGAAGGGGCACCAGTGGGAAGTGCCTCGAGCTTATAGGGAGGGTGAGTTGATGGGAGATGGCAAGTTATCAGATAAGGGCGTTAGAATGTTCATCTAATCAGATATCGGCAGGGACGTCCGAAGGGCTCCGGTCGGTCCCGGATCTAGCCGATCAAATGAGGTAAACCCCTTTCTCAGGCTGCTGCCACAGGCGAGGACCCCGGATTATAGGTGGGGAACCCTGAGTGCCATCCAGACAAACTTTGGGCGAAATCCACGCACAACCCTGATATAATCCAGACAGTTTGGGAGAAATTTTTTGAAAAGCCTGGTGCTGGTCCGGACATTTTGGCCCGATAGAGCCCTCGGCGAGCGCCAAAATGGCGCTTTCGGGAGCCTGATGCCGCCATCCACACAAGATTTGGGGGAAATTGGCACTTCACCCTGATTTCATCCAGACAAAGGTCGAATTTCGGGTTTCGGCGCTTAGACATTTTTGGGCTCGCCGGATCAGGGTTGTTCACCTATAATCCGGGGTCCTCACAGGCGCCGTCGAGTTCGACCTTCGAAGTGTCGAATTCGAATTCCCTCATTTCCGTACGCGTTCAGCCTGGGCAACCTGCGATATATACCCTTTTTCCCATTCGCCGGACCCTGTTTCCATCACCTGCTTTAGCCAGCGCATCCGCCGAATAATTTTCTCCCAATCCCGGCCGTTGTAATAGTTATGTCCACCGCGAGGATGCTCTGGCACTCGAGCAGGATCCAGCGCGTCACCTGCCACATTAAACACCCCATGTTCCCTCTGAGAGACAGGGGTATGAAACAATTGGCCGTGGTAAAAATATAGAGCCGTTCTCGCAAGATGTGCGTACCCAAAAATGGATGGAGGAAGAGACGGTATTCCTTAGAATATCTCAATTCAGTGCCTTATCACAGCTGACAGGTCACACCGAGACATATTCACCGTCGTTGTAGGCTTTCACCAGGTAATCTGTTACGGCATTCTCACCATTTGCAGCCATATAAGCTTCGACGATTTCCTGCCACCTTCCAGAAAGCGCCTCGTTACCGAACCGAGGTGAGCCGAATGCAGCAACCTTTACCCTCAAGCCAGGTTGAAGAGGAGGGTCCGCAGTGAGAACATCTAGTGCAAACAGGAAGGCTAGCGCGGCGCCCATGCTGTGGCCCGTGACGACCAACTCGATGACTTCATGTTCGCGCAAACCTTTTCGAACACCCTCGAAAGCCTGAGCTTTGCAGCCCAAATACATCTTCCAGAATCCGGAGTGCACCGCACATGCGGGCCCCGAGGGATGTGCTTTCATGTTTGCATGCACGTCGTACAATCCCTGCCTGAGGGACGCCGTTCCAGAGAACCCAACTACAAGCTGGCGCGTTCTCCCACGATATATCACGAGTGCAGGTACGTCCGCCACTACGCCTCGGAAAGATGAGATTAACGTTGCTTCCTGTAATGCATCGTATCCTTCGAATGGGAAATTCGTCCGAGACAGCACGTCAACGTTTGCGAAGACAAATTCTGGATCCAGCCAAGCGTATGCCAGCTCAGCGAATTGACCCAGCTGGGCTAGCTCGACTTGGAGCTCCGCGGAGACGAGATCAGACGAAGTGAGAGTGTATCGTGAACGCGTCGCAGTCAGCCTGGCAAGAGTGCGATAATTGTCGAGACGCTCTAGTGCGTACATGCGTTTCTGAGCTGGCGTGAGGTTTTCCTTGGGGCGACGCGAGAATAGGGTACAGAACATGTTCGACATGACACAGGTATGAGCGCATGCTGGAAGGTGGCGGAGCCAAGGGGCGTTGAATATAGATTCCAAAAGCTTAGATGAAGTGATGCAGCATACCACTCCACAGCTTCTTTAAATGCAACGAGGGTGAACCTAGAGTCTATAGCCTTACAAAGAGGAGAGGACCGGTAGTTTGTTCGTTGTCACTGTCAGAGCACTCAAGTACTCAAGTCTAAATAAGAGCTCGGGACTTGCCGAACGCTCGACCAAGCTGCTAATCATCTGATTTACCTACCCAACTACCTGCGTTGTCGCTCTATATGGTCTAGGAAGTTCGTGTTCACTGAATAGGAAACGAAACTATCGCTAGTACTGAGAGTAGTAGGCATAAACTCATAGATACAGCCTCTAGTTAGCGGAAAACAATTGTTCCTTTCTAATGGATAGTAGGCATACCGTTTACGGGGAATAACACATAATGCACTAGAGCGCAACGTTAACGAACAGTACGCATATCTGACGGAGTGTGTCATGCTATACGAAAGTCCGCGAATCCTTGACATGATTTCTCTTCCCCAATCCGGTTCTCAACCACAAGATCGTTGCGCTGAGTGTCAGGCAGCACAAGCCAAATTCGGTCCAGCCGAGCGCCTCGACGGTCATTGTCTGGCGACACCTACTCGGGGCAGAGATGCTCAGTTCGTATGGCGGATGGAAGGGAACGCGTTCAGGGACGAACCGCGAAAGAGGGGCATGCTCAGGACAGTTGCTACTGATCCGGTTGCCATGTATAAGCCCAGTGCCAGCACCCTGACGATGAGAACGTCAACATGTCGATATAAATCTGTCCCATTGCAGAACGCACCCATAGAATGGAGGTGAGCAGCAGCCATATGACAGAGCTGGCTACATTGGCCAGAACGTGCACTGCGCCGTCAACGACCCAGAGTACATATGCACCAGCGAAAAGGAGCGTCCAGGCAGCCTCAACGCAAAGCAATATTAGGCTGAGTAGCAGGTTAGAACTAAAACTTCAAAGACAGAGTTCGGATGGAGGAGCACAGACAGGGAATAATATCCTGGACTGGCCCAGGTGTGGATCTCGCTCCCCGCACTGATAAGAAAGGCGGTAAGGCCTAGTTCAGCCATAGCGGTGAGGGTGATGAGCGTGAAGAGGTAGGGATGGCAGTTAGCCCTGTGCGTTGAGCGCCGTTGTCTCATCTTAAGAGGACCGGGCTCGGGCGGGGGAGACGAAGGTGAAGCAGATAGTGAAGCCAGGGGAACTATTGCGAAGAGAGTACGGTCGAAGGGGTACGCAAGATATAATGCTGAGGTGTGCAGGCGTGCATGATAGGGCAGGCCGGAGTGCATGCGGAAAACACGCGTCTGCGAAAGCGTGAAGGAGGTAATGCACGCTCACGTGAAACATGCAAGTAAATCATCTCTAGTTTGTTATCGACTGGCTATTGACCTTTTGACTAGAATTTCGTATCCGAGATTTGTTGAAGACGTTCAATGCAGTTGACTGTTGACTTCGAGACTACGGACAGACAACCTGCGAATGTAATCGCCCCATCGCAAACGGGGGTAAGAAAAAAGGCTGCATCAATGCCATGGGACAACGTTCAGAGTTGTGCAGAGATAGCGAGAAAGTATCCAAAAGACTGAAAACGGAAGATGCAGAAGCTGAAGGAATTCGGTGAGGGAAGTCACGTGAGGGCGGTGAGATCCTGAATGAGATTCAATTGGCGCCGTCCATGGCCAACAACGCCCGAGTACTAGTCGTCGTCGCCGCCGCCGCCGTCGATCACACGCCGTCCCCAAATCGTCTCCTACGTTGTCTTCCACCTATTGTACTGGCCCTATGACTACGCATAGTCTAACATGACCGCGAAAAGCCACCAGATCGACCTTCCCGAGATTCCGTCATTACCACCCATCCGCATGCCAGACGCTTCTCACTTCTCCGATACTTCTACACCGTCTCTCTATTCAAGTCGTGTGCCGATACCCGCGTCTCGCTCTCCTTCCTCTCCAGACACATTCCAAACCACTCAAGAGTCTCCCTCGGTCAACGCCAATGGCAACCCCACTACTAATGCTTCCGTCTCCTTCCTCACACTCACTCCTCCATCCTCTTTGTCTCTTCCATCGACCCTTAGGAAGTCGATCTCCGTCGACTCATTCATCAAGCACAGGCAACCTTCTAGCCCAACGCCTCGGTCAGGCCCGGCCAGCGCTGTGACCTCCCATCTCCTTCCACCACAGGAAACTACACCAAGGTCCTCAACTTCCACCCTACCGTCGGAAGTGCCACTCAGTACCTTTCGTGCGCCGCTGCGGGGTCGCGACGGACGTGTCTCACCACCCCAACTTCTGCACGGTACGAGCACTAACGTTGAGGACCGCGAAGTATCTTCGTTCTTTGACGAGTCGGACGTGGAGCAGTCGGAGAGCGTTGGTCAGCGCCCGCGCAAAGCTAAAGCTGCGATGCGTCATGTGGTTCTCCCTCCTGGCGAACTTGTTCTTCCGTCACGCCTCCAAACTACGAATTCCTTCCCCAATATCGATGCCAGCCAGCCACCTGCACCCATCGTTCCGGCACGAAGCAGCAGTTTGAGCCACAAGATGATCAAACAAAGGGCACTCATGCATGTCAATACCCAGATACCTTCTGTAGGTCCTTTCCGAGATGTTGTAGCGGCATCATTTTGACAAATTGATCAGAACATCGAACCTTGGCAACCCCCTCCTGTCACTATTGCTGTTGTGGGCGCAGCACGATGCGGAAAATCCACTGTGATACGGAAAGGCCTGAAGGCATATGGCCTTTCTGAGCCTGAGACCATCACCCTCTCCGACACCCCGGAGTTCGGAGTTGACGCATTTATCTGTAACGTGTTCATTCGGCTTATATTTCTGTTCACGAGTACTCACTCCCACACGCAGATACCTCCCGGAGCGGAAGAATCTCCGTCAGCCAAGATACCCCAGAACGCGTTTTCAAGGTGTTGGAGGTGGACACTGCATCACTTAGCTTGAATAAGAAGGGAAACGTATGGCCCGATATACGACCGAAGTTGGACGGAATTTTGGTGTGTTATGATGCCGCTCGTGAAGAGTCCTTCCTGCCGGTGGAGACTGTTCTGCGTAAGTATCGCAGCCTCACATTTAGATACTTGCACTATCTCACATTTGGTTGCATTTCTCAGGTGAATTCAGTGGTCTGAAGCTTCCAACCGTGGTACTGGCTTGCAAATCTGACTTAGACGCAGTCGTTGATCCGCAACATGCGTTGGAGGTCATCCAATCGTATGACGTTGGTCTGGTCGAGGTCACAAATTCACATTCTTTTGGTAAGGGTAAGATGCGTGACGCTTTCGATTGGATCTTCAAGGCCATTTTCCATGCATTGGGCGAGTGATCCTACCATTTCGACTTGTCAATATTTGGTAGTGACGCCTCTGCCACAGATAACCGAGGTGGGATGCGGACTGAACGCGATAGATATCGAAATCCAGCGTCACCTGCAGTTCTTGAGAATCCCTCAGCAGGGGATATCTCTCGCGCATCGTCCGCTACGCCGACCGCCTCAGGAGTCACCTTGCAATCGGCGCAGTTGCACTCTATGTCAATCTCCCAGCCATACGCAAAGGCTCCGTCTTCAGTATCTCCGCATGCAACGGGACAGACGCCAATCCCTGCGGGCTTATTCCATATCCCGTCGCCCACATCGTCAGGTCCCCATACGCCTTCCACTCCTACATCTCCAACGCGTGCTCGCTCAACGAGTGACATATTTTCGGAGCATGAAAAAGCCAAACGTGAGCAGCGGGAGCAGCATGCTGGCGTGCGTAGTGCGATGATCGGTGCACCAGGTGTGCGGAGCAAGGGGTCCTTGAATGTCCTTCCCAGTGCTAGTGGATCAGAGCCGCAGACTGGTTTTGAGGACATAAACGAATCCATGAGAGATGTCTCTATCAGAGAATCGTAAGCTCCTGTGACTGATGTATTGGGAGAGGCATTCACTCATTCGTCAATCGCAGACGAGCTCCACCATGGATGACACTTGAGGAACTTCTCAACAAGCTCCTCTTCATGGCTGTCAGCGATGACGGTGCGGTGTATCCTTAGAAGTTGCAGGTAACATGTTTGATGACTGAATATACAGATCCGGTATTTATATCTCACTTTCTTCTCACCTACCGCCGATTCGCAAGTCCGCGTAGCATCCTGCTTGCGATGCAGAAGCGCATGCGCGCGTTGGATCAGCCATCCGGAGATCCAATGTTTGCATGTTTTGCTCAGATGAGGTGCGTAGATATATGAGGTCTCAGTACTCCTCATCGCACTTAAGGGACATTTTCTGCAGAATTTGTCTTCTTCTGGATAACTGGATAAAGATATTTCCAAACGATTTTGCTGTGCCTGGGGCGCATAGTGCCCTGGCTGCGCTTGTCAAGTCTATCCTGGCCAAGACTTATCTTTTGCACTACGGTTCGGATTTCCAGCCATTTGTCGACTCGGTGCCTAATATTAATGACGGAGATAAATCGTGGGCACTCAGAGTAGATGAAGAAAGTGATGTTTTCTCTGTCTTATCTGATGAGGAAAGCTTCTCTACGCTGGACACCTCTATGCTGGACACAGACTCTCATTTGTCCAGCAGTCTTTCGCAATTCCCCACGGATGACGATGGATTGCTTGTTGGTGCTGTTCCTCCCACCTCACATGGTCCGACGGCAGGCCCATCCCGCGAGCGCAAAGCCAGCCTACCATTAACGGCCAAGGCACTCATAGGAAGTTCCATGACGTCTTCAACAGGTATTGGCCATTTTGAGGGAGGTGCATACATCCCAGCGAAGCAGCAGCTGAAACAGCTCATTGCCATGGCCCAAGAGCTTAATGCCATTGACCCCCAGGAGATTGCCCAAGAGATCTCGCGGATAGAGAGCCAATTCTTCCTTCAGATCGAGGTGTGTCCTACCTTCGTACGTATTTATGTTGTGTTGAGGTAGTCGATTACAGCCTCGACATTGGCTGCAGCATGTGCTTGTCCAAGGGAGGAAGGACCCAGAATCGGATACTATTGCGAAGTACAATCATGTGTCGAATCACATTGCCACTTGGTGTGCAGGCCATATACCGTGCTAGCCATGCACTATGCTCATCTTCTGTTCCAGGGTGGTCAGCTTCATCCTGTGTCACGATAAACTAAAGCATCGTGCTCGGCAGATCGAGAAGTTCGTCGACATTGCTAACCGGCTACGTGCCATGCACAATTACTCTGCCTTGCGCGCTATCATTGCAGGAATTAACAGTGCTACGTATGAAGGCGATCCGGCGTTAGAAATGTTTCGATCCCGATCGCCAGAGCTCTGGAAGTCCTTCCAGTCATTTGACCAACTCCTCCAGTCCGTGCGTTCCCATCAGAAGTATCGAATGGCTCTTCGGAATACAGATGGACCTTGTATACCAGCACTGTGGGTATCGTCCTGATTTTCGTCCTGATTTTCTTGCTAATCCTTTTGGTGACCAGCGAGATACACTTGTCCGACCTAATTCGTGCACACGAAGGAAATTCAGATTACCACGATGATGATCCTAATAAGATTCATTGGGCCAAATTCAACATGATGGCACGATTCATCGATGCCATCACCCACTGCCAAAGGGGATGTCACGAGTCTGGCGAATATGAGTACCCCCCGCGGGAGAATATATGCAAACTCCTGCTTTTCCTCAATGAGGACTTGCTCATGGACACTGAGGTAAGATTTCCGTTTCGTAACAAGGTGGCTGTTATCGATCTCGTCGATTTTCAGATGCAACGATCTAGGATCGCACCTCCCGATTCGGACGGAGAGGAAGGGTATAGGTCTGCAACACCACGGACATATTCTCGCGATACTCCGCATCATCCGAAGGAACCGCAAATCTTGCGCAAGATTTTCTTCTGGCAGCCTTAGTTGTGCCTATCCTTGGGTTGGTCTGCATGTCTGTGCCCATCGCTGCTCCCATTCCTCCGGTTCTTTGATCGGATCATATTTATTGTACTTAGGATTGTACTTGCTATCGTCGAAGATGCTTTGCTCGTTGTTTGTAACCTCTGGTTAACGATTCATGAACGACGCAAACATGGGACAAGTTCAAGACCAAGCTTAAGAAGCCCGATGCGATCGAGTTGTGTGTACGTACCAGGCAAGGCGGAAGACGTGCACGTCAATTTTCCACCATGAATCAGGTGCGACTTGAACGTCAGACTTCTCGCGGCTTTCAAAGTCCAAGATCGATGTGCGATCGATGGTCGTGATTGAGTTGTAACGGACCAATCTCCACTAATCTAGATGACCTGAAGGCCTGAAATATTGAAGCTTGACTCTGTCTTGCGTTGGTCGAAAGATACAAAGTTTGCAATGTAATCTGCTGTTGACAATCTGACGAATAGAAGGTATGCGGGCATCGTTCGAAAGAGCCTCCGAGTCGGCCAGACCATGGCGCATCTCCCTGCAGCGAGGCATACCCCTTCTCAGCGCCCATATCAGTGTCGTTCTCGTACAACAACAGTATGGGTGGTGATGCCTATGTGAATTATCCGGCCCTCGTAGCTTGAACGAAGCCTCAGTATCTTTGGGTTGCGCTTCAGGCTCGGAACTGAGCAAATTCTACAAGAGCTCAGATGTCTGACCCAGCAAAAACAAAAATCTAAATTGTGAACGTTATTCAACACTTTGGGGGGATTTCTAAATTGCGGATGAAGGGCAGAATTGTAGTTGAGGACACTCCCTCCGGGCGGCCACAAGTTAACAGAGCTGAACCGCGGAGAGTTCTCATTACACCATCCCCTAACCATAGCACTACGTTGCGTATTTTTTTCTACGTCCAAACTTCATTTTCAGCGACTTTGTTTTGAAGCTTAGAGTCCTCGAAAAGTTGCGGACGTTCTCAGGCTGTTGTTCGCGGGTACTCATGCACATGAGTTAAGTTCTTGATCGTCGACGCGTTGCGTCACGTGCGTGCAGGAAATTACGGTTTTACAGATACAACTCCTACCGTGACAGTGTACACCTTTAACTTCGGAAGAAACCTGGAAATGCAACAAACCATGGCCGCCACTGACGGCTTTGTGATGACCATTGACTCTGACGGCGAGGACGTACCATTTACATCCAAGTCGGGAAAGGGCGTTCAGACAAACGCAGAGGATGCTCAACTCAACCCGGAATTCGTGTTTGATTTGACGGGTGATCCCTATGCGGACTTTCTTGGAAAATCCTTGGATTTGCAAGATTTAGTCAAGAAGGGTTCTAAACCGGTACGATAACTCCACGTATGTAGTCTGTCACCCACTGAAGTGCTGCAAGGCACCAATATCTGTTGATGATATTATAGCTCGAAGAAAGCTCAAATCACCCTCGCAAAAGAGGAAACGTGATGCTTCAGATGATGACAGCGAAGAGTCCTCGAGCGAAGCGACGGGAAGCGAGCACAGCAAAGAGGAAAGTGAGTCGGAGGTAGAGGAGTTCGCTGGCCTGGCAGGAAGCGAAAACGAGGAAGATCCTCTAGCAACATCTGATGAAGAAGACGAAGAAAAGCAGTCTGGAGATGATTCTGTGACTGAGGACGAAGGTGAGAGGGACGCCTCGTCCGACGATGAATCAGAGCCAGAAACCCAAGCGGAGAAGGAGCGCAAGGCTGCTTTCTTCGCCTCGGACATCGCTCCTCCGGAGGAACATTCTTCATTCCTATCAATGAACCTATCCAGGCCAATCATCAAGTCCATAACCAACCTTGGATTCCGCGCTCCCACCCCCATACAGTCAGCCACCATTCCCGTGGCATTACTAGGGAAGGACGTCGTCGGAAATGCAGTAACAGGGTCTGGGAAAACGGCGGCGTTCATCATTCCCATGCTAGAGCGACTTATGTATCGCGAACGAGGCAAGAAAGCTGCTGCAACGCGGTGTCTAGTGCTTGTGCCAACGAGAGAGTTGGGTGTGCAGTGCTTCGAAGTCGGTACCAAGTTGGCTGCTCACACAGACATACGGTTTTGTCTGGTCGTCGGTACGTGCACGCAAGCAGGTTATCATGGCGTGATTGACCGTGCTGTGAGTAGGTGGTTTGTCTGTGAAGGCTCAAGAAACTACTCTGCGTACTCGGCCGGATGTTATTATTGCTACCCCTGGTCGTTTGATCGACCACCTCAGAAACTCACCATCCTTCACTCTCGAAGCTCTTGATATACTTGTTCTGGACGAAGCGGATAGGATGCTGTCGGATGGATTTGCCGCCGAATTGACCGAAATCATCGAGTCCTGTCCTCCGTCGCGGCAAACGATGCTATTCTCTGCAACTATGACAGATTCCGTCGACGAACTAGTCAGGATGTCCCTTAACAAACCTGTACGACTATTTGTCGATCCCAAGCGTACTACCGCTCGTGGCTTGATCCAAGAATTTGTACGTATCAAGGCTGGCAAGGAAGCTGAGCGATCAGCAGTCCTGGTGGCCCTGTGCAAGAGAACCTTCAAGTCGGGCGTCATTATCTTCTTTCGCAGCAAGAAACTTGCGCATCAGATGCGAATTGTGTTCACTTTACTGGGTATGAAGTGTGACGAACTGCACGGCGATTTGAGTCAGGAACAAGTAGGTCCTGTCCCTCATTCTGACTTTGTTTGCACTGACAGGCCATACGCATAGCGCCTGAAAGCGCTGCAGCAATTCAGAGACGCTGCCGTTGAATATTTGATGGCGACTGACTTAGCGTCGCGCGGTTTGGACATCAAGGGTATTGAGACAGTCATTAACTACGACATGCCCGGCCAGCTTGCTCAGTATCTGCACAGAGTAGGTCGAACTGCTCGCGCAGGATTGAAAGGACGGTGAGTGGTGATCTCATTAATGCGATAAGAATGATGCGATGAGTGATTACAGGTCGGTAACACTGGTTGGCGAAGCCGACCGTAAGTTGCTCAAGCTTGCGATCAAGCATGCGTCTGCTGAAGACAAGGTTCGACACCGCCAAATACCCCAAGAAGCTGTTGCAAAGTGGTCTCTCAGACTTGATGGGCTGAAGAAAGAGGTATCCGAGATCCTCCAGGAAGAGAAAGAGGAAAAGCAAGTACGTGGGATAACTATCGCTTATCGTAGTATGTATCTAACAGCCTTTCGTCTCCGTACCTTCAGCTTCGCCAAGCTGAGATGGAACTTAAGAAGGGTCAGAACATGATTGAGCACGAAAAAGAGATATTTGCGCGTCCCGCAAGAACATGGTTCCAGTCCGGTGCTGAGAAGGCGAAGGCTGAAGGTGAGATATAAACGGTGCCATTGGTGCGGTCACATAACATGATCTGCAGCTGTGAGCAGACAACAATACGAGACTGGCTTCAACGCAGCAAAACGAGGCGGAGAGAAGAAGGTGGCTGCTGACAAGGTGAGTAGACCAGAAGCACGGAAACAATATGCTGAACAAGGTAAACGGCAGCCCAAACGAGACAAATTTGCAGGCCTTTCGAGACGAGTGAAACGTCGTAAGATGGCCCTGGAAGAGGACGAGGCCGGTGAGAGCGGTGCGATCCGAGCAGCTGTCCGGTCAGCGAAGAAGACCGCGCGACCTGCGAAGATTGGTGAACCGGAGCGACAGTTTAGCAGGAAGAAAGAAAAGAAGGAGAAGTCGGGCAAGAGACGGGTTGGTGGAGGTTCATTCGATAAAGAAATGGGGCAGAAAACTGCCAGGGAGGGTGTGCGAGCGAAAAGGGGAGACATTGTCGGTGGAATGGGTGGAAAGAAGGGTGGAAAGCGGCAAACAAAATAGAATAGGCTTTATATTGTTATGGGTGTCAGTGTCAGTAGGTGTCAGTGTGGTGAGGGTGACGTGACGCGACGCGACGCGACTGTCACGATCACGCGGTCCGCGGCATTCCACCTCGTCAGACTTACTGCAGCTCACCACCGCTCCGATCCATTTCCTTTCACTCGACCATTCATCGAGCCGTATAGAACTCAATATTGTCAGGAGTTGACTAAGTCTGATCTGTTGGAACGATATCTTAGGCTGTGTGATCACACGAAGCTTCTACGGCCACTGGCTACAAAACTGGTTGAGTGACGGCACACCACTCTTATATCTATCATGGATGGCAATTCCTTTGCCCCTCTTGCATTCATTCATCTACCGTCACCAGCACGTTTACTACGTTCTGCTTGGTGCCCAGACAAAGATCTGCTGGTCATTGTCACTCGTCTTGGTGGTAACGACAGGATCAGTCTCTGGAAGATGCAAGGGTCGAAGAAGTGGGAAGTAGACGTTGAACTGGATAGCTCTAGCAGAGATGAAGTTACAGGAATTGGTTGGAGTCCCGATGGTACGTGCGCAGGCAGTAATTTCGTCAGTTCGGAAGAATGATTTCCTTGCTCCGAAGGTCAGACCATTGCCATCACCCATGATCCACCCAAGGTTACTCTTCACTCCATTCAGGACGGACGCTTGGAGCGCACGTTGACAATTTCTCCGCCTCTAACATTGCTCGGGCGAACTTATCACTTGACCGACGTTTGGTGGTTTCAAGAGAGAAAACAAGAGGCAACGAGCAGCATCCCTGACATATTTAAGCGGGGAGACATCATTGTAAGTTTCCTAAGTGACATGAATGCTACGACGTAGATTGACTAAAGTAAGCCAGACAGGCTCGGCGCATTCCATACTCAGAGGACAACCGCTTCTGGACCATCTCCAGGATGAATCACAACCACTGACGTATGGATCGCCTAAATTGATTTTTGCATAGTTGCTAAATATCCATTAGAGCCACCGATTTGTTCGCCTTCCAGGGGTCGCATTCACGCATGCTCGCGAAATCGTCCATCCCAGAAGTTATACTGTGCTGGCCAACGCTTCCACCAGATCCTCTCTCCGCCTCCATCAAACAGTCGAAGCTTGGCGGCGATCAGACAAGGCCAGGAGAAGAGTTGGATGAGATGGACGACTCCAATGTGAACAGCGTTTTGGTGGCATCTGACGATCTAGGCCACTTGCACTGCTATCTCGACGGCAGCTATCCACTTGGCGCCGTTGTAGTAGGGTTCGACTCCTCAACGACTTCTCTCTATAAGGAGAAGGATATCTTCTTTGTGCATCCTCGATCTTCCGCGGCACAGGCTACATGTCTTCCACCTGTCGTAATTCAACTACCGCAGCTGAGACAGCGAATCTTGCGTGATGTGGCGAGAGTATCGTCATCTGTACGTCAATTAACATGGTACGTCATGCGTGTGGTGAAAGACATGCGCGAGGCATGGTTCGGCTCCGATGCTCAACATGGCGCTCGGGAACTGGGTCCCAAATGGGTACGGGCATTGGAAGAGAGGCAGAAAGACCAATTTGGCGGTGAGTGCGTCATTGTAGATCGTCTCCTTTGAGATTTTGATCTTTCTCGTCAGTGGATGAGCCGCATGCTATGTTAGACTTGACGTGCCTTCTAACCACAGGACGTGCGTCTGAATCTCTCTCAGACTATCTCGGAAGCGGAGAACAAATGAGTGAGAGGGTAACTTGCCATCTCATAGTTGTGACTTCCTCCTGACGACCCCGTCGCAGGCTATTCAAAAGTGGGAATCAACGATGGTTGATGCCTTGATCAAGCTGCGCGATTGTTCGGAGAAGCGAGTTGCTCCTGCTTGCCAGCGCTTACATCTGCTCTTAGAGGAAGTGCACGGGTGGTCTCAGCTGTGAGCGTCCTCTCTTTTTAATTGTATTGTCCTCTGCTCAGGAGTTTTGAATAGGTCTCAATATGCATTATTTCGGATAAAGACTCGCGACGTCGCGGCTAGTCTGGAATTGACCGAGCGAGCGATAGTGATGGCCAGCTGGCTTACCGCGACTGCCCGTCGGGAGCTGACACACTTCAAAGAGTTCATGAGTTGGTTGAAGTACGGTTCGTCAGGGCCAGGTCTCTATCACCGCGGTGGACAGCGCCTGACATATTCGCAGAGACGTCGAGGGCCAATTCTTCTACTGAAGCTCATACTCAGCCTCCCCCTAAGCACGATATGCTGGAGGTGAACGACTACCTGATGTCAGGCCTGGTCGTCAGTCCAATCGACAAATGGTTCATGGGGCCGGTTCCGCGATTCTCGCCTCAGGATATCGGTGTTCTCGGGGATCAGCATGACCTGACAACGGTGCTTCAACGCGCACGCAGCGTTCTCAAGGATCGAGAACAAATAGCATGGCAATCAGTAAGCCGTGATTGCTGATGGACCTGTTCCGTTCCGTCCACTCATGCTGTCCACCTTGTGTAGGATGCCAGGCAGAAAGACCTATCACATTTGGATCGGAACCTTGATTCGCTGATACAGGAGTTAGCGACGCGTTGCCAGAGGATATTCGGCGAAGCTGCTAACGGAGCCGCACGCTCAGCAGTTGTGTTGTCCGGGCCGACCTATCCTCCACTACGGGTCAAGAACACATGGAGCTCTGAGGATCCCAGAGATTTGCCACTACGAGACAGAACGGTACAGAGCAGTGATCAGGTTAGTGAGACACGAAACAAAGTCTATATTGGTCTGTTCACCAAGATCCGCAGCCCGACGCCTTTCAGCAGTACCTCGTGATGCAGACACCCCGTGTGGGAGAACGGAGTTATTGTGAGTGCTCTTCGACCGTTTGTCCAGTGACTGGTCGGGTTTTCACTTATTCGTTATTCGAAGTGTGTCTGGCTCGGTTAGAACACGCTCGCGTAGCCGCCGCAGCACCTCTCCAAGTCAGCGTTGCAGTGCTCGAAAGCTGCGTTATGCAGGACGACAGCAAGATGCCGGTTGATGTGCTGAACGCGGAATTCTTTGACGACAAAAACTTCATTGTCGTTTACAGGCCCCGAGAAGTCGGTCAGTGGAGATAACTGCCGCATTGTGAATGCGCGTTCTGATCGTGATACACAGGACAAGCACTGATCGCAACGGTCAGCTATTCGGATTTATCCTACGAAACGATACAATTACAGGGGTACGTAAATGATCTGGCCCGAGAAGGCTTGAACATGGAAGTTATGCAGCGGCTGAGCGATGGCCAGGTATTTCTTAAGCGAAAGTTTTGAAGCAACGGTCTTATCGCAAAATCTTTTTCCTTTTTAGCTGTCCTCTGTACCTATGCCGATCGTTCAGGCGCGCACTTTGGCCGGCTGCAAGGAGGGAAAGGTCACCCTTGCCGTTAATGGAAGGGTCGGCCGTCGAGTCGCTTGCGTCCTAGATGAGGCGGGAATGAGCCTGGAGATATTTGACATGGAAGGAGAAGAGGACGAGACGGACGAGCTTGGACAATGAACTCTTACCTGGCAGAGACGTCGATATTGCTGTGAGATTACCATGTGAAGCGGTGCGTGTTGAATAAACGGAGCAACTGTCACGGCGGTCTGCGGAGACAGCTCTACTGGGGGGCAGCGATCTGTCGGCTAAACAATAGTGGCTTCTTTCTCCACAAAGCCACCCAAGAAGACGACCGCGAATGGCTTGCATAGCACTACATGGAATGCACACGTTTGACCCGACACTCTACTGCGGCGTGTGTGCATGGCTTTGTCCGATAATCCACTGCCGACGACGGTAATGGTCGGAACTCCAGGGCAAGTAGTGAGGCACAGACGTTCACTGGAACCGGAGCTGAAGAAACACTAAGATGCGCATGCGACAGTCTCCTGCAAGTCGATTCAGGGTCCACAAAGCCGGAGGCAAGCGAATTCCCGCATAACGGCATTCCTTGTTATCACAAGTGATGGCCCACCATGCATTGCGCGGAGGCAGCTGTCGACAAGAAAAGGGTACCCGACTGCATGCACGGTTGGTAGCGGCCCCGCAGGGTCCAGAGTAATATCCAGAGTGTGAGCCTGGAGGAGACACAGTTACTAGAGGCCGTCACGGTAACAGTTCCAACTTGCGCGAATGAAACACAAAGGAGTCCACGCCGGTGAAGAGATGACCACAGTCTTGCTGCACCTCTCACGCCGCATCAAGTAACAGGTATGTAGCAAATTATCGTCGTCGTCGTGCCGCTGCGCTATGATCTGAGCTGTGTACTTTGTGGCCTAATGCGGTAAGTATGTGTGATCGAACGCAAACGGGGACGCCGCTCAAGCACGACTCGGACACAGCGGACTAGAGTAGGACCACGACGAGCGGGCGTGTCTGATATGTTTGCAAAGAGAGAGAGAAAAGAGGGATACACGTGCGCATTGCGTGGGCCGGGGATTGCGGGAAGAGGCGCGCCTGGGTCACACGCGCAGGAGCGAGTGCTATTTGTCCCGGGCTGGTGGGCCACTTTTGCGGATTCTGTGCTCGGGACTCGGTCCTAGGAAGAAAATGTGGTTTAGGCTCGGAATTGTTTTGATGGGATTCATGGGAACGAGCGCAGAAAGGATCAAATAATAGCGGGGGAGCGTGACCGGCGCGAAAAATAAATGTGGAATTTATGTGCCGTGGTAGCGTCGCAGAGGGCCCAGGACCCTCTCTCCTCCTCCTCGTGCCCTCGATTCGGGTTCTTTTTTCCATCCAATTTATATCCCGCTCTAATCCGCTTCTTGTGACTGCCGCCGTCCTCTCTCCTGCTCTGATGCCCCCGAGCCCCAGCTCTACCAATTCCAAGGCCGGCTCCGACGACAGTGCTAGCCGCATGTCAGAGGCCGCACTCAGAAAGAAGAAGAACGCCGACGCCCAAGCTGCTTTCCGTGCTCGCCGTGCAAACTACATTGCTACTCTCGAAGAGACAGGTTCGACGGCACCGATATCTCCACTCGCACAGATATTCATCGATCTTTCCTGACTTGTAGTCACCAACCTCGAATCCGTTGTCATTCAACTCCAGGACTCTTGTCGCGAAGCGAAGCGCGAGACCTCCGATCTGCGTTCGGAGAATAGTCGTCTGCGCCAGGAGGCAAAACATCGCGAACGACAGCTGAGGAAGTACTGGCAGGGAAGGGCTCCCGACCCCGGCGGTGATCAAGGAGATGATTTCCCTCCTGCCCCGCCGTACTCTGTTCACCCACCACCCAGCGCCGTTGCCACCTCCATGAATACGGGTCATGTCGGTCATTATGCCGACGACAGTATGCGTTATCCCAGTGGCAGCGATCACCCAACTTCCCTTGGTGGTGGCTCATATCATGGGAATGGCCAAGACTATCCCCAGCGGTCACCAGCGTTAGGTTTTGCGGGCAGCGTGGACACGGACACCTCAGGTGAAGGTCGTTCACAGCACATGGACTCGCACAGGATGACACGATATGATCAATACCCGTACCCTCTCGACGGATCCAGCCGCGAAGGAGCATGGGCGCAGGCATCGGGGCATGGTGGCCCAGCCGCTAACGATGCCGGTGCGCTCGATAGTGGCAGTTCGTCGCACTCTCCCACCTTTGTTGAATCTCCAATTCTTACATCGTCAGAGCTGGCTTACCCAAACCGTTTCTCGCTTGTCGAAGACCAAAAGGTCCCTCTAACGTCTCTTAATTCATCCTACATGTTCCCCATGAGTCGGTCTATTTCTCCAGCAGCGTCCACACCAACGTCCACTTCATCCACGTCTCTCGCTCCAGCACCCTTCCAGTTCACATTCCCCGAGGGCAGTCTCGTCCAGGACCGTCCTGAATTCAATTTCCGCCGTCATACTCATGCTCCTGAACTGACACTACATGGCGGCACCGCCGACATCCCTATTGCCGCACCAGGAGGTGATGCTGTCCGCTATCGTCTCGGTGGTCGCACCAACACCGCGCCTGACCGTCCAATCGCTCAAACTCTATCCCCATATTCCCGCGCCGAGAATGGTTCGGGTGGCCGGGAGAGTGACGAGAGCGAGTCGCCATCCTACACCTATTCTACCCGATCTCGCGCACGCAGCACCATTTCGTCGGCGCGTGCCTCTCGATCCCCTTCTCCAGGTCCTCCACCGATTTGCGGTACCCTCGCAGTCATCAAGGCGCAAGCATTTGGTGCCTTGCGCCGAACACGAACGCGGTCGAAAAAATCCTCCGAAGGAGCTGCAAAGGCGGCGGTGGAGGCTCTTGAAGCTCGCGGCATCGGTATGGGTGTCGCTGTTGGTTCGGCCTCAAAGCGGGCCAGGCTGTATATCGATGACAGCGATATGCAGCCATAGTTACCTTCCTTACCTTCCTTACACGCCGCTCCTTTACAATTTCACGATGTACTAACAGGAAACGCTCCTTACGCCATTTAATGTTTTCCGAACCTTGTAGACAACCCATGCGCCGCACTATGACTTATTGCTCTCTGATTCCAAGTTAAACTTCCTGTAGGATATTATTGTGCTGTAATATACCATTGGTCTGTTGTTTTGCTTTGCTAGCTCTGGGCGTACTCACATAGATAGAGTATCTACATATATACATCGTATTGAAAATTGTATATACCGTCAAATTCTGTTGTGCAGACTCGGTACTTGGTAGACGAGACCGGGTTCCTGATGAAATATGACAGTATGATGGTATGCCAACTGCGCGGAAGACAGCCAAGGAGATCTCCGATTCAAATTCAAAAAGATGAGTTGTACACAGCAGGTCCGGAAAGAAGGAATATTTCCGCCGTGGGTCTGAATGGGTCTTGTGGCCGCACGGCGAGCTGAGAAACGGAAGATACAAGAGTGGACGAAAGGGTAACAATGCGATACAGCCAAGCCGCGGGGCGCTGGCAAAGAAGGTTCCAAGAAACCTGATAGACTTGACAGCAGCCATGGCGCGACTTCTTGCGTCGCTTGTGAGAGCCCATCAGTGATTGCACGGTGGTCTAGTCTCGATGCAGATCATCTACCCTGCCGTTGACACCTGTCTATGTCATGGGGGCCATAAGGTGGCAATAAGCAATATGGTCGTAAGTGACATTGATCTAGGCGTGGAGTGGTCGTACTCACTTTGCGATCGTTGCACACGGAGATGTGGTGACGGCTCGAACTATGAACTTGGGGATCTGGGTTATATGATCAATGACCGGATCGACACCGCGAGTTCATGAACATACCATACTGTCGTGCAGGCCCCACGATAATGATCGTGAGACAACGGATAGGAACATGGATCAGTCGCACGGCGTTGACGTGGTATTCGCCCAGGTATAGCCAAGTGACGAAATCGTGTTCACATTACGCAACCGAGAAGCGCATCATCGAAGTGTGAGAAATGACCACACCTATCACAACGCCGACTTTGTGAGGCCACAATCCCATGAAGTGACAGAGTATGAGCATCCCAGTGTACAAAGTGTTGCATGTATAATGCATGGCACAACCTGGTGCGGCAAGGAGTAGAGAGAAATCATGAACTTTCGGCAAAGGAGTCTCAGATGATGAAACTTCGACCTGCCAGGACAACACACCTACACGCAATCCCCAAGTAAGTATGCGGGGTCATCGTGACTCCCCTTCTGTGGTTGAAAGGAGGGTCCGCGAAACGAACCAAATAATCGACGTAACACATAATCGAGAACGATCGCCGATAAGCTCCAAGTGAGATCAAATCGAGGACGAGTCTTTCATGTTGACCTTGGGAACTGCCGGATCCCAACTACCTCTGATCTCACTACGAAAATCGTTCATATACAAATAAGAGAATGACAGACGAATGACGTACTTCTTATATCTCTGCGCCCATACTAGGACCCCGGGCGCAACAAACGTCACAAAGACGAAAGTGATGATAAATAGATACATCACTGAGGTAGAGAGAGGCGCGGCCAAGAAGATCGACGACGAACAAAGCACCGACGTCATTGGTACTTGGAGAATAGCAGGACCGTTCTGAACAATATACAAACGCAATCAGTACGCAGCGTAATACCTCTCGGTAAGCTGAATACCTGCAGATGACGACGCATAATTGGAAATAATGCGAACAGTTGCACTGAAAACAGCATCAAGGCAAACACCGAGAGATCATCGGACAGTCGTGACGCCAGAACAACGGAGGATGATATTGCTGCGTTCATAGACAGTACCGACGTTAACCTGCAGTCTGATATGAGTTTCACGATTTTGCAGTGTTTAATCTGTGTCATACCTTTCACGATGGCGGTCTTCATGTTTGAGCGCTGTGTAGTCTGCCAGCAGTGCATTCAGCACGAAGAGACCGGCCGACAACGCCCATATGGAGTCTGAAGACGTAGCGGCAGTAAGCGTCCTCAAAACGGGCGATAGAGACATTAATGCCAAGAATGTTAGAATCGACGATTTGATCGCTTTGGCTCCTAACAGTGGGCATGCAGTTAACATTTCCAAGTGTATCATTCGACAACTGCAACTCACTACCGGTGCTTTGATTCGCCTCGCCTAGTCCATAACAGCAGAGCAGTTCCCAGGAAGCATATCCGATGATGAATCCACAAACAGAAATCCACACGAGGAGGCGAGCATCCAGGTAACGCTCCTTGAGATGAACGAAAACAGTGAGGAAGGTGTAGATGGTAGCCAAGTGTTGGTCGATCGCGCAGGACGCTTGGACCAGAGACCAGTATGTATATGGCTTAAAGTTTGCTGTGCATGGGAGATAAGAAAGGCCAGAAGCCACGCAATGCGTCTGAGAGAATGCTAGCTCACGGTTCTTGCTCAAAGAAGAGAGAAATGTCGCGGGAACGAGGTTGTCTGGGTACTTCTTCCTCTTCCACAGCACTCTCTCCCATTCCTCCGATGTCCGTTCAGGCATTCATATACATAAGGTAAACGATCAGTTGACAGTCGATGACCGAAATCTGGTGCCCGCTGTCTGTCACGACTGCGGCTAGACAAACGCGCGGACCAGGGTTCTCACGAATTACAGATTTCGAACCTTGGTAGGATGCGAATAGCATACGATGCAGAAGTTGGTATGGGAAAGAATCCGATTCACAAAGTTCTCAGCGAATGCGCAAGGTAGACGCAGGCCAAAATAGGTATGACCCGCACACGAGATGATTGGCATCACCTACATAATTACCGTGGCACCACTTCGCTCATATTCCCTGATCATGACTGCGTGAGGAGTATTCCGGACCAGGTCCCAATCAGGAACGCCGGCGGGCAACTGACAGTTTAGACTCAAATGCTCATCCAAGTGCCGGGCTTTTTGTGTTGCACTGGTCTCGCGACCTTTAGAAGACACTGGTGTGACAACCCCTGAAGCTTAAGCTTATCCAGTATCTACCGAAGCTCGAAGGGAATGCATCTAGGCCGTGTAGTCACGCTGGGATAAGATTGACGATTGCTTTTACTGGTTATTATGTAGACAGGGCAGGACCAACACGGACCAACTCGCACATGTGTTGCACGGACCACGGGATACTAAACAGCACATTCTCTTGGGTAAAAGCCAAGCCGAGCAGATTGGGAACCACTCCCTGGGAGCCAGTACTCACGAGGCAGGTGGCATAGCGCACAAGCAGCCACCCATGAAACCGTCAGGGTAATTTGCTTTCCGCCTGTGCCATAAGGACGGAACCATACCGAAGACAGAGGAACGTGTGTAGGTGTCACGGTATGCAGCCCTCTCTATCAGAAAAAAAGTTTCAGGGTCATGCATGCTGGTATGGCCTGGTTTGATGATCAATCCCACTACATAGAATTCGTCACAACAAAATCTATTGATAAGGAGACAACGCACGTACCACGAGTCTGTCCTCCTGTCGCGGCTCGGGAGCCCTAACGGCCGATTTGGACGCCTCCAATTGCGCCGCCAGCTTCCCCCGGTTTGGATTGGAAGCATGAGTGCCTCTGGCTTGTTGCTGTCATTTCGCGAGTCAATTGGTGGATAAGATAACGCTGTCGGTTAACATACCCCCTTCAGTCTTCTCTCTGCAGCTTCAGCAGCCGCAATGCGAGGATCAGGACGTGCGTGCCCAGCCTGAGAGTCTGGTCCTTGGCCCACGGCTCGAGTAGTGCTTTTGATCGGACGAGGGACGACGGTCTGTCCTTCGCTAAGTGTGCTTTCCTTTGAGCAGAGCGAACCCATGTATGACTTCGCCACCGCTTCACAGCAAGAGATGATGGTTCACGAGAATGAGTTGGCAGAAAGTCTGGGCGGCGGAGCAGAGTTATGTGATGGTAGCATTGGAACCAGTGCGCCGGTTCCGCTTAATTAGCGCGCGCGTACTGTACAGAGAGGTGTATGACGGTTCTGTACAAAAAATAAATCCCGTGTGCACACAATTTTTGGTAAGGAAAACAACTTCCTGCACACAAAAAGTACTGTGGGTCAGACAAATAATTTTTATTTATCCCGAACACGAAATGTGTCCTGCGCAACCCCCGCGCACACAGTTGATCAAGGAGAAACTCCCAAGCAAAATCTCCCGGTAAGGAGTATGACTCTTCGGCAATGGCCGAGAAACTCCCGGCATCCAAATTAAGTCTATCCGACATACCGTCGCCAGGACCCTAGATAATTCCATCTCTGCATCCGGACAGAAAAACCAAGAATTTGCGGTACGCTATCTCACCATCCGGGACATTTCGACCCCTCAAAGGCCGGAACGCCATCTCCTGGTCCGGACATGGTGGTGGCTGTCGGCCCCGCAGGGCCAAAAAGGCCGGGAAGGCCCGGAAAGCGCCCAAAATTGGCTTATTTGGAGGTGCCCCAGCCGATACCATCTTCATTATCCGGACACAAAGTTCAAAAAAAAGGTCAAAAAAGGTCCGGACAAAGAATCTGAAAATCAGCAATCTTGAGAGATGGCGTCTAAAGGGAATTATCCAGGGCAGCGGGATACTATACCCTACCGTCCCATCGGCACCCCCCTACAAGTCGGCAGTAACGCGTTATGTCACCCATCAGTCACCCATTTCGCACGTCAGCGTGACAACATCGTGACACAGCGTGATAAAACTTGATTTTTCGCCGAAAACAGAACTCGGTCAATACTAGACCGTCCGCCGTCGTTCAAGTTCGCAATTATTTGAGATATACCAGTACAAACATATATGAAGAAGGTAAGCAAGGGGACCGGAAACGGGGGAGGTATGCTGGGGTGCCGACTTGTAGGGGGGTGCCGATGGGACGGTAGGGCATAGTACTCAGGAGATCGTTGCACACAGCGCGCTCAAAGAGATGGACCTTATTAGCATTTCTGTAAATTGCATTTCTGATGCGAACAAAAGTAAAAGGTGATAAATAGACATGTACACTACAGACTGTGGAGAAACTGTCTCCAGCGGGGGATCACCATCCCGCGCGACATCCAAAGCCTTGGAAACGTTGAGCAGCAAGGGCGGTAAGCGTCTGTGGCCCATGGCGAGATGCCCGGCAACGACGTGAAGAGCACCGGGGGGTGCCCAAGTCGAAAAGGTGCGCGGAAAGAAATTTTTGTATAATTGAGTGACCGTCATAGGACCATGGATAAGCTTCATTGAACTTGCGTTGGCCTGCTCATGCGGGAATTTACGAAGCAAGAGTTCGCCCAAGTTCATCACGTAGGGCGCAAAAACATTGGGCCTTTGTCACAGCCTCTCCTGCTCATGCAGTGAATCGACCGTTGTCCGCCCAGCCGTTGGCGCCGTGATCATCAAGCTAATCGACGCAATCCGATCTGAATCTATCGGTCCCAACTCAACCATGGAGGAGGTAGAAGAGAAGAGCAAGGGAAGAGTAAAGGAAAGCGGAAAAGGCAGAGAAGAAGGCAGAAGAGGCGGCGAGGAAGGCAAATGAAGAAATGAAAGAAGGGTGATCAATGAGGACAGGAAGAAACGAAGGTCGCCCAAGAAGAGGCAGAGGGGAAAGCGTGCAATGATCGAGCGACTCGAGAGGAGGTGGGGAAGAAGCCGAGGGCAGGAATACAGCCCGTCCTTTGGCCCAAAGCAGCAGAGGTTGGCGCAGCCAAAACGCGTCTGCAGTACAGACAGGGAATTTTTCACTTTCGCCGTCGCCGGCGGTGGCAAGTCCGAGTCGCTGGTCAATGCTTTCCGTGGTGTTCGCAACAACGAGTCCGGCACACCTGCGACTGGCGTCATCGAGACAACCAGTCCCACCATCGCACGATGCACGGATCCCAATCCGCAGAATCCTAAGCTTGTCTGGTATGATGTTCCATGAGCGGGTGCCTTGAATATCCCGGATTGGTAGTATTCCAACGACCAAGGGCTTCACGTTGTCGACTGTCATTGTCGTCTTCGACAACCGGTTCACTGCGACGGATATCGCCCTTCTTCGCAACTGCGAGCCGTTCAAAATTCCATCGTATATCGTCCGCTCGAAATCGAACCAGAACATTGGCAATGTGATGCAGGATATGGGACATGACAGTGACGAAGTAGATCGGCTTGATGTCTATCGGAAGGCTCGTGACAAATACATTGCAGAAACCCGACGTAGCGTTGCGCAAAATCTCGCCGATGCACAGCTGCTCTTACAAAGAGCATACATCGTATACAAGGATGCCTTGGTGAAGTTTGTCAACCGGAAACCAACGAAGGGCATAATCGATGGACTGGAGCTACCGAGAGATCTGCTGAGGGAAACTCACAGCGGGAGGTGCAAGGTGTGAGGTGCTCTAGGATGAAGGAGCTTTATTCATACCTGCTGTCTCGAAGGATACGTACCTGGTCGGACTCTGTGAAGACCGTTGTTGCATCCCTGATAGGTTTATAAACAGAAGAAATGAAGAGAGAAAGCAATGACAGTTTCAAATATGACGCAGGGTTCATCAGTAGCAATCCAAGTCCAACACGATAGATATTAAGCCCGGGTATGCAGACGTGATACAAATGGGGCGGCTGGAGGCTGGGCTGACCTCCGCTACACTTTTGAGAGCAGTCTCCGCGTTTCTTGGGGTGTAAATCGCAGTATGGTAGACAGTATCCGTACCAGATGAGGCTTATATAGGATGGATCATTCAGCGATGGCTGTCTACGATAACGGCGGACAAACTTACCCTCATCTCTTTGTGTTCTAGGAATTGTAAGATCACATTCCTCAGGTATTCGACATTGAGTTCCTCGTCCGATCTTACGGTAGTGGGAGATTCGGGCCGTGAGGAGCTGTCCCGTAAGGTGAGGTCGGAAACCGAAGATCTTGGCGAACGAGATTCGGTAGTGACATCCTGTCGGGAAGCCCAATAACCGACGCCAGGATTTCGCTGTTTCTCCAGGAGCGCTGCCGAGGATTGTACTTTACGCAACTCTTCTCGTAAAGTCTAGTCGGCGTATGTATCAAATCGAATTGAAATTGCAGAACCATCGGATGCTTACCTTGTTATGAGCTCGCAACTGCATTTCTCTCCCTCTACTGTCGTCAAGAGATTGTTGGAGGGCAGCTGCTCGACTGCTTAATTCAGCTAGCTGGGATTTGGCAGCATCCTGGCAGAGTAAATGAGGGGGGTTTTTTAACTAATCAATGTCGAGCCTTACCTCCAATTCCGTGACCTTCCCAGCTTGCGTCCGCAACTCCGAGACCATGATCTCATATGCGCGAATATCCTCTTTCAGCGTCAGAACCTCCCCTTTCAATGCATTCACATCTTCTGATTCTTCCTCTTCGTGCCGCGACGAAGCGCTCAGTGCTGTCTTCAAAGTCTCAAGTTCACTGACCTTCCCGGACAATTTCCGACTCCACTCAGCTTCGCCTTCGTCTCTTTCCCGCTCCGTTGCCGTAAGTCTCTGTCGGAGCTCGCTTATACGAGACTCATATTTCGCCTCCGCAGCAGAAAGAATACGAGTGACTTCTTCAGCCGAAGGGCCGGAGATATGGCCCCTGGTTTCCTGTTCACGTCGGATATCTGCAAGCTCTTCAGTGAGAAGTGCAACTTGGTCATCAGCCTCTCGCAACTGAAACTGGTACTCGGTGCTCTGGCCTTCCAGTGACTCTAAGTGAGATCGCGCAGACTCCAGCTCAGCCTGCCGTAATTGCAGCTGATCAAATAAGTTGTCCTTCTCGATTGAAAGTCCCTCCACAGAACTTTCCAGTTGGGATATCCGCAAAACCTTGACATCAAGCTCTTTCATATGAGAGGTCTGAAGCGAAGGTAAGTAATGACAATAACACTGCAGAGAGTGTACAGACCTTGGTCGTAACGGCTTCAATCTCAGCCTGATTTCTCAAAGCGGCAATCTCCTTTTCATACCTATCCTTCACCCCGGCGACCTCTTTGTCAAACTGAGCCCTCAACCCGACAATTGCAGTTTCCCTCTCAGCGTTGACCTTCTCTATCTCTCTCTGTAGCTCCACCTTTTCTCCCTTCTCCCGCTCTCTGTCCTCCTTATCCTTCTCCTTGATACTTAGGACCTCCCTGAGCGATTCGTCCCGCTCCTTCTCGGCTCTCACCAGCTTCTGCCTCACGGTTTTCAGCAAAGCGATAGCTTTTACTCTCTTTTCCTCTTCCTCCTTTGCCAGCCCTTTCAGACGTTCAACTTCACTATGCAAGCGGTCCACTTCGAATTTCTGCATCGCCGATGCCTCTTCGACTTGAGCGGTGGAGTCCTGTGATGCTTTGAGAAGAGCTTCAGCTTCATCGACTTGGCCACGAAGCCTCTCGATCAGGTCTGACTGAGACTTGGACTCGAGCCGATGGATGTCCCTGAGTTCTTCGATGCGCTCATCCTGGCCTGTGACGACAGAATAGCTATAAATATGCTGCCTAGGGAATTGAGTGAAAGTTCATGCTCACGAGTCAATTTGCCAGTCAGACGCTTTATCTCATCCTGAGCCATCTAGTATCGAGCTAGTTATTTAGTCAGATCGCACGACTACAACCGCATGCATACCTCCGCCTTGAAATTGATGTTTTGGAGGTAGTCACGCAAGGCGTCCGCCTCTTGCACACTCTCGACTGGAGTGAGCTCCTGCAGGACCCTGTCTGCCGCTAGTTTTTCTGCTTGTAGCCTCTTGAACGAGGTGGAGACATCTGACAACGCATGAGACTGAGTGCCACCAACGGAAATATGAACGACTACCTGAGAAACGATGCTCTACAAGCTTCAGACGCTTCTGTAGAGCATCAATATCCAATTCGACGGTTACATTAACTTCTGCAGAAGCATGCGTAATGTCTCCGTCTGGGAATTCTCCGTTCAGTAGTTCGCTATCAACGGCGCCTCCGTTCAGAGACGAAACAGGAGTAATGTGGAACTGTTGCGGATCTTCATGGCTTGAGGGCTCGCAAGTACTGGGCGCAGATTCACTGGACGATGTGACCTGGTCTATCGTTGTAACACCAGCACTTGATACACCGTCACGAGTCACGGAGTCGTCTGCGGGCTCATATGGCTTTGGTGAGGGCTCTTCTCCAGCAATGTTCTGAACAGGAGCGGCCGCGTCCTGTTCTAGTGGCACACCACCATGCGACAATTCGCCTTCGGGGGCATGGCCATCCTGGAGAATATGGTCACCAGGGAGGTCCTCGATGGAATCTGCAAGAGAAGCTGTACCGTCATGATGCGGTAATACCTCTACGCTAGCATTAGCGCTCTCCGTAGCGATAATGCTGTCTAAAGATGGTGCAGGGGAGACAGAGTGGAGAAATGGAGGAGCCGATGCATCGAGCATCATAGGTAGAGGGGAGTCGATTGCGACGGTCGGCGAGAGCACGGGAGAGTCAGGAAGAGGTGTAGATGTGGGGGACAAAGGATCCTTCAACACAGCTTGCGGGGCAGGTGTTTCTGGCAGTGGGGTAGACGTCGGAGAGAGGGGATGGTTTGTGACAAACATGGAAGTCGAAGCGGGTGAGGATCTGGACGACGGAATAGGAGAAGTGGGAGTTGAAACATCCCCGATGGCAAACTTCGCGCGGAGTCTGTCTTCCAGCGTGGTTCTTTGTGCGGACCTCGTCGCACTTTCGGAGCTCGGGGAGGATACCCTTCGGCTACCACCTGGGCTTCCAGGCCGCTGGGGTCCAAGTGTTTTCTTTATGTTGCTCAAAGCAGAGTCTGCTAATGGTGAGGAGGATATAGAACCGCGTCCCAGAGACTCCAGCGAAGACCGGCCATGTCGATCTTCGGTGGAGGAATCTTGCTTCGACGAGTGTTGAGCCAAGCTCTCCACAGCCTGGCGAATGTGAGAGAATTGAGAGAACATAGCAAGCGCTATTATATGAGAAGACGCTGCCGTTCTCTAAGCAGAGTACTAGTACATGATACTTCCCCGACGTGGAATTACAGCATCCCATATGTCCGCGTCGCGTACGTCCCAGCACGTGATAGACACGCGACGATTCTTCAAAGTTCAAGGTTGACTTCAACTTGAAGGACTCGGAGAATCATTAATCGAGGAGCGAGTCGCCCTCCTCCAACTCGATGCTCCAGAGAATGCTTTCGCGTGTGTTTGTTGTGGCTCGTCTTCTGCCTGGCTAGACCGCCTACTGGACATCTCTCTACGGCAGAGAGGCTGGTCACCCGCCCGTTTGTTGCACTGCACATGGCTGTGACGGACCTGGGATTCACAAGTTTGTAGTTGAGCTCTGATTTTATCTGGCTGACTTTTCTTGACACGAGTTGCTGTCTAGTCGTCGGAAGGCCTTACCAGAATAAAATATTGTTTGTCATCTCTCGAGAGGAACCAGTTGGCTCATTTCCAGAGCTTTATCTGCCACTAGCAACCCAATGTGGAGAGCATGATATGAGTACTTTGATGCTGAATAAACTTCTCTCTGTCCGACCTACTCCGCTGTACATTCATGCGTTTCCTGCCATCCGAAAGCGAGGCGACTTCGGTTCCGTCCCCGAACCAGTTCAACCGAGTGAGCACCAGTTGGATGAGACAAGCTAGCACCGGTTCTGTCAGTTCTACATCGACCTCCCAGTACCCAAATTTCCTCCGCCATTCTCTGGCAGCGATGATCCTGTTTGCTCTCAGTGGGATACTTTCAGCGGTCAGTATCCAACGGAATTTCGACCCGTGCAGGATGACTTCGTTTTCGCATTTTCTCCATCCCGGGAAGAGGTCTTAGACGGCCCGTCATCTATCTGGAACGAGCTCGTTCTGTGCCAGCAGTGAGTCGGCTCGAAGTAGCACTGTATACCTTAGGGTGCTAACCATTGTGCCTCAGATTGGGGCGCGATTACTCCTGGCGTGGCGTAAGTACGTGTCTTCAACTGTTTTCAACTGGGCCGTTCTCTTGGTAGCGGCAGTCATGGTATGTATTCCACGGCACCGGCAAAGTGCCATGGGAGGTTTCACTTTTGTTAGGTGATGTTTACAGTGCCATCTCTCTTCTCACAGACGAAGAGGTTGCTGTCCAGGTCGAGATGCCGAATGGGGAAAAACAGTCTTCCCTACGAAGGCCAGATATATCGGCTACTGAGAGGGAGCACTGCTGTGCCTCGTGTGCACTGGAGTGGCGTTGACGGAGGAGCAAATGTCCTGATCATAGACCAACCAGGACTAACTCTACAGTATCTTCGACAGGCCTGCAGGGGAAAGCTATCACTCAAAACTGTCCTCATGGTTGGGTACCAGATGGTGAGCATCTTTGTCAAGCCCCGTGCGATCGACTCAGAATTTGTAATTTTGTTACAGCTGGAATTTGTCGAGCACGCTTATTCTCGTGGAATTATCGTGCGCGACATCAAACTTGATATTTTCACTGTGGGCTTGAGGCCTGAGCATTCATCGACCATATATGCTCTTGACTTTGGCTTGGCTTGTATGTCAGCCCTAAAATAGGGGAGCACATACCATACAGCGAAGAGCGCAATGCATGTTATGCTAGCTACAACGTGCACTGTTGTCGGGGTATGGCGCGTGCTACTGGCTGATTTATCTCAGAGCAAAGTCGGCGCGACGTCTCTCAGGTCCTCGGCACGACTCTCTTGTTCCTCCTTTACGGCCGTCTCCCGTGGCAGGGCATCTCGGCTGCCAGCATAGAGATAAATTGGACCGGATCCGCGACATGAATGTTAGCAAAGCCTTCAGCAATTTGCTTTCTATGTTCCCGCCGCTGTACGCTACTGTGGACTTCCATTTGCGGCCAAGCCGGACTGTGCTTACCTCCGTCGATTGTTCGTTGACTGCATGGATGCGAGCGGCTTGCAGTTTGATGGCCAGTTCGACTGGTCAAAGCCTTCTGCTGCTCCTCGCGGAACCCTTGTGCCAGACAAATATCACTTTGAGGTTGAGAGGGATATGATCCCAGATTCTCTGAGGAGAAATCTTTGGGTCGTTTGAGCAGACGGGTTTTCAAGTGCCCTTGCGTAGAGCTGAGCGGCGATTATTTCGAACCTTAATAACACTCGCCACTGATGCCGTTAAGCCTAAACGCAGAACGGTACTCGCACCACGTGGAAGTAATAGAGCAGGTTATTGTATAGAAAGTGATCGTGAGTTACGTGTCCAACGGTACGTCAACCTCTTTCCCTTTGCCGTTTGGCACTACAAGAGAGGGAGCAGCCGAGCCAGGGGAGGATGGCAACGACGAACTACCACCAAGCCCACCATTCGGAGAGGCACCTGCTAGCTGCCAGGCTGGTATAGACGGTTTTCCTGGCAGAATCGGTGTTGATAGTCCACTCGGTGCACTTGGCCCGCGGCTGAGAAGTAACGCTTTCAGAGACTTCAGCTCTTGTTGCAGCTCAGCCATAGACTGTGCTTGACTCTCCTTATTCTTCTCCATCATCTGAAGCATGACTGTGAGTTCTAGACAACTCCGAAGTGAAAACCCGATAGCGCACCTTGGGCAGCATCTCGCGCACATTGTTGACTTCTTCTCTGATTTCACGCATCTCATCCCTTGTCTTCATTTCTCCCTCCCTCATGTCTTTGACTACATGTTCCACATCCTGTGTGGCTTTCTCGACCTTGGCGTTCTGCTCCTCCACTGCAACTCGCACTGCGGCCGCCTCCTCTTGGATTTCTTTGAGAAGAGCCTCTGCTGCATCGAATTGAGCTGTAAGTGCGTCACGATCAGCCTCATATGCCGTCACGGATGGAGGCTGTAGATGAGGGAGAACATATTTCTGTCATATAACAGTCAGAGGACTGGCAGAGCTCCAGGTAACGAAGCACGTGTACATTGAACAATGATATTGCGCCGTAGGCGACACTGCCAGAGACGACAGCTGTAATCTGCGACAAATAAAGCTTAACTTATGGGAACGAGACGTATTGATACACGTACGAAATAGTCCCTCCAATCCCACCGCTCCAGTGGTGGTTGAATCGCATACGGAGCGGGACCGTATACCGGGGGATATGCGGATGGATACGACTGTGCTGGCACCCTGGGACCACTCTGATTTAGAGCGGCTTGCCTCATGGCTTCATCAATCTCCGCACTAGAGAGTCCTTTTGCTTCTAAGAACTGCACCCTCTGCGAGAGCGACGAGGACAGCATCTGTGGACGTCATAAGCTGGCGCGTCGCAGACACCAGCTGGAAAAAATACAATGCACCTTAGGGTCAGCCAGAAATGCGACTGCATTGCGAATAAGTTCCTGTCGCTCAGGTGTCGCCATGGAGGGTGTGCATGGGTGGACCTGGTCGGGCAGACGAAGCGTGCATTGAGCCGCCCTGCGCGCCAATCCGCGCCACCATTTCGGTCGCCGCCACCTCAGAATTTTCTATCCCGGCCGCCGGACTTGTCTTCGACTTGTCACTGCAGAGCTTGACCTCGCATTGCAGACAATACCACCATGCTGAGGACACAGCTCGCGGCTTCAAGGATCACTTCCCGCCGACTCTACAGCTCTAGAGGTAAGGGGGCTCTTGATATCTACGTGTCTAACATCTCATACTGTATGAATAGCGGCTCAATCGTTACATCACACCAGTACACGGACTTTGGTCAGGAACGCCTCCCGCAATGCACAGTCAACGCTCTTTCAGACGGCTAAAGGTTGCTGGGGTAAGTCTTACACTTCTATTATAGTCACAGTTACTAAGCCTTTCACCAACTCCCAGTTGTCCGCAGAGGGTATGCAGAGGGCGTGTATTCGCGTGCCAAACCCCATCTGAATATCGGCACCATTGGTATGATCATTCTCGCTTCCCACTTACTTACTTGCTCACCAAGGTTCAGGTCACGTCGACCACGGCAAGACTACCTTGACGGCTGCCATCACCAAGGTGCTCGCGGCGCGTGGTGGGGCTCAGTTTACCGACTACGCGCAAATCGATAAGGCTCCAGAAGAGAAAGCTCGTGGTATCACCATCAACTCGTCTCACATAGAGTACGAGAGCGATAAACGACACTATGGCCATATTGACTGTCCTGGTCATGCTGACTGTATGAGTTCATTGCACCCTATATCACAATCGTTCTGCTCACATTGACATAGATATTAAAAATATGATCACTGGGGCCGCCCAGATGGACGGGGCCATCATTGTGGTTTCTGCAACTGACGGTCAGATGCCTCAGACACGGGAGCATCTTTTGTTGGCTCGTCAAGTCGGAGTCAAGAAGCTGGTAGTATTTATCAACAAAGTTGATCAGATCTCTGACCCCGAAATGCTGGAGCTCGTCGATATGGAAATGCGTGATCTCTTGACAACCTACAATTTTGACGGAGAGAATACTCCTATTATTATGGGCTCTGCTCTCGCAGCTTTGGAAGGACGAGACAAGGAGACTGGCGCGGACAAGGTCCTGGAGTTGATTAAAGCCTGTGATGAGTGGCTCGAGATCCCTCCACGTAAGCTGAAGACATTCTCGTCTCGCAAAAACGCTGACGGTCATTCTAGGTGACCTCGAGAAGCCTTTCCTTCTGCCGATAGAGGGTAACTTTGTCCAGTCGTTTGCGCTGTATTTCATGTATCTCATAGTGCTCCCTTAGATGTTTTCTCCATTGCTGGTCGTGGTACAGTGGCTACAGGTCGAGTAAGCGTGAATCCTCATCGTTGACCAGCAGCTAGTATTCACTTACCTGTCAGGTCGAGCGCGGTATTTGTCACAAGGGTGATGAAGTCGAGATTGTTGGATTGGGCGATCACTTTAAGACAACATTGACTGGCATCGGTGAGTTGGTACCTTCATCTCGTGTCCGCCTTCGCTCACTCAATCCTTTTCAGAGTCATTCCACAAGGAGCTCGACCGGGTAACTATCGATAGAATGTTTTGTATTCAGCAAAAATTGATTGTTATGGATGTGCAGGGCGAAGCAGGTGACAACATGGGCGCGTTGCTCCGTGGAATCAAGCGTGAGCAGATCAAGCGCGGCCAGGTTATCGTTGCCCCAAATTCCATCAAGTCCGTGAAGAAATTCCAGTCTCAGATCTATGTAGGTCTCTCTATTTGTATCCTTCCTGCCACTGGTTGACTCTGGGATGATCAGGTATTGACAAAGGATGAAGGTAGACTTAACTAGTTCTATGACCAGTGTAATTATGGCTAATTCATCACCACAGGCGGACGTTATACCCCGTTCATGGAGAACTACCGGCCCCAGTTGTTCTTGCGAACAGCTGATGTCAACATAGGCCTCCACTGGCCTGAGGGTACAGCTGATGCGGCCGAGAAAATGGTAGGTGCTATTTAGAAAATAAGTGTTTTGTGGTAACAACCGGCATTGCTTAGGTTATGCCTGGTGATAATGTCGAAATGGTCTGTCAACTGGTGCACGATGTCGCGGCTGAGGTTGGGACTCGGTAAATGATATTTATCCTTACCTATGCTGAGGGTGCTAATGGCCTGGTCTTAGTTTCACGCTTCGTGAGGGCGGCAAGACGAGTAAGTTTGACTCGGGGCAATTTACAGAAATCGTCTCTAATGTGCATTTCCACAGTCGGCACCGGTATTGTCACGAAGGTCCTCGAGTATGCTTGAAGGAGCGCTTGGAGTGTTTGGAAAGCTTGCATCTATATGTTCTCTTAATGCTTGTGTATCATATCTCCCCACTCCTAGAAAAGCTGGGCCAGCACGCCCGACGCATCATCCTGCTACTTCGCATAGCTCTATAGCACACCTTGCACATCCGCCATACTGTTTTGCACGGTCTCTTTATCATAGGCTCTTGACTGTACTCATTTGGTCTGCTCAACGGTTTGAGACTGTAGCATTCATGAGTGTAAGTACTCGGGGTAGCTGTAGTACGTCAGATTCAGCGACCATAAGAGGGCATAGACACCGCGCGACCGCGTTCGCGGACGGCCGTCGGGTACCCTTGTTACCTCCAGAGTCCTCACTCAACCACCCAGTGCGACTCTTCTTGGCTCCCAAAATGTTTCCTGCTCTTAGGCAAGGCTTCAGATCCACTTCGCTGCGTGCTGCGCGTAGACCTGCTGTGTCTGCACCGTTTCGGGCGAGCCCCTTCGTGCGGACACTTGTGAGTGAGTGGAATCCGACCTTTTCCCACGTTCGCTGTCCTGAATTACCATCGGTCCTGCTTCAGCCAAGAGGTACACTCAGGACCATGAGGCCGTCGCGTTCGACGATGCCACCATGACTGGGACCGTGTACATTACGGACTACGCACAGTCCAGTTTAGGTGACGTCGTTTTCGTAGAACTGCCCACAGAGGGGACGGAGGTTACCCAGGGCGGTAAGCACACGACAACGCTCCTGCTGACTTTTTTTGCTGATAAGTACATGTCCGCTAGATCAAATCGGGGCGGTGGAAAGCGTAAAGGCCGCTTCTGATATTGTTGAGTGTCGAAATACATGCGTGTTTCTGAATAAGTCACTCATAAAAGTTACTGGAATGTCTAACAGTATGCTCCAATCTCGGGGACCGTAGAGGCAGTCAATACAGGACTGGCTGACAAGCCAGGATTGCTGAACCAATCTCCTGAAGACAAGGGTAAGTTGCCTCGTAATCTTTTTGTTGTCATGCCGCTGAACGCATTCTCGTAGGTTGGCTATGCAAAATTAAGGTCAAGGATGCCGCCGAAGTACGTCCCACGGCCTCGCATGCGCATCACGTACTGACGAGTAGTACTTGCAGATTGACTCCCTTATGGAAGAGGCAGCGTACAAGGCACACTGCGAGTCATAGGTTCCTCGTAGTTCGTAGTTTGTCGGTATTTCGCGGCCTCAACTGCCGCGCATCTCTAGAGTATCTTAGGGCGCAGGTTCCGATGATGTGTTAATGAACAGACAATTGAAACATGCCTAGTCTCATGGAATTGCTCGAATGTTGATTGCGCGACCTGCTTCCTATGCCAACGACGTAGTGCGGGAGCAATCCACAGACTGGCTACGGGTAGTCAGTCTTCTCGCCTCGTGCCTCCATCCGCACCTTCGCCTCGTTGTAAGCCCACGTCTGGAGACTGAGCACGCGGTCGACGTGAGTGCCAAGCCAAGCACAAATACACTGATCGTACTCACCTGGTATCTGGCTTGTAGTACAAAAACACGGCAGCGAATGCCATCGAACCGAACATTCCAATGTACCACAGCAGCTCCCAATCCTCACGCTTACGCTTCTGGCCTGGTGGAAGTGGCTACATGCAGTAAATCGATGTGGTCAGCGCGATCCGTCGGTCACCTCAGGCACAGAGTTCAAAGGCACCTTCTCGCCGAATATGTAACCGCTGGGTTGGTTGAAGTGTGGGCCGTGGCTGTGCGAGGCATAGCGCCTGAAGCTGGGCAGGCTCCGAGGTGCCCTGAGCTGCAACCCTCGTAGCATGGACGTTGATGGCATGGTGGTTGTACAGTAGATGACGGGTCGGGGTCGTTCGTCAAATGCCTTCGTCCCGAATTGGTCCCGAACCCTATATTCGGGTTACGACTCTGGGCGCTAATACATGTACAGTCCTGCACGATGTCCGAGTCCTCAAGCAAAAAAAATCATCTTAACATCATCGATAATATCTCATAGTCGCAATCCTCGGCAACCTCATCTTCATCTGCTGAACCATCTTCCTCAGGGTCTTTATACCCTGGTGAGGTCGGATCTAACTCAAACCTGAACACAAACGTCAGACAATCATTGAACCAGAGCTCCGAACGTGCGCACCCCATTTTGGCATAGAATTGTCGCGCATCGGGATTGGCTGTGCGCCTGTTAGAAACAACAATGTTCATGCGACCCCATCCCCGCACCTTTCAGCACCGTCAGTATGATTTTTTCCATGCGCCAGGTCTTCCCCATCGAAGCCAGTTGGTGCACGAGGTGCCGCCCGAGACCATGTCGTCTTTCAGTCTCACACACTTGCATCTCGTAGCTGTGCTCATCAATAACGTCCGGTTGTGCGCGCAGAAGAGGAATAATACTCGCCAATATATGATGTCCTCTTTGTACTCATGCTCAAAACGGAACATGGTGAACGCCACCAGAGGATTACGAGAATCCCTCGATCCAATTCCCTCATTCTCGTCATTAATTTTTCGAACGAGAATGAAGCGAGATAAAGCATGGAAAGTTTCATCTTGTTTTGCTGACTCGTTCCAGCCGAGAGAAGACGTCAGAGCTCTGTAAAAGCGAATGGAGTAAGACCGGGAGGCCTTCTCGTGTAGCAGATGTGTCCTACAAGTCGCGCATATTCCCTTCCAATAAACGCCAGACAGTGTCACGGTCCTCCCGAGATAACTCAGACGCGGCGACGAGTTCACAGTGGAAACTGCGGACACATCTGAATTAAGCTTAGGAAAAAACTATTCAGATAGCGTACATGGATCCATTCACGCTTAAAGTGGTCACCAGGGAAGCGGAAAGTTGAGAAGTGGATGCCTGCAGTGCGTGTGTCGTAGTGATGTAGTCTATTAGTTCCTTCGCTCAGCTGACCTTGTTTGCTTTCCGAACTGATCTGGACATGACAATGAAGCGAACTAACGAGACTCTATATTCACAGAGAAAGCTAGTAAGCTGATAAATCGAGCGAAAAGTCCTGGTGGGTAGATGGCTGTAGATGGTCGTTGGCCTGAAGAAACGCGGCGGGACGCGACGCGCGTTTTCGATCGCTCTGTATCACGTGAGCCTTCCTCCTTTACCGCGAGTGGGCGACAATAGACGTTCGCAACTCCACGCAGTCTCGACCACAACCTTGTCCCGTGAAAAGACATATAGACATCATAATCACAGAGAAATACTGCAGACCCTACAGTCACCATGAAGCTCGACGCCACAGACATGCGCTATATCACCTCGGATGAATTCCGGGTACTCACCGCTGTATGCGCCTTTTTCTCTGCCGACATCCCCGTCCTGATTGACAGCTCCTGCGCGTGGCATTACCCTTCAGGTTGAGATGGGCTCGAAGAATCACGAAGTGGTGCCGACGGTGCTCATCGTGCAAATCTCCGGCCTGCGAAACGGAGGCGTGAACAAGTTACTGGGCTCCCTTGCCAAGCGGAACCTCGTTGCAAGGGTGCAAAATTCCAGATGTATGCACTTCGTCTCATCCATGTTGATTTCTGGCCGATTGTACAAAAGACGATGGGTACAGGTTAACTTATGGCGGGTACGACTACCTCGCCATGAGGGCGCTCTCGAAGAGGGACTCGATGTTTTCTGTTGGAAACCAGATTGGCGTAGGAAAGGAGTCAGGTCTGTCCGGGAGATGAATTTCCTAGTTTGATGAGTCTCTGACGCGATGCCCCAGATGTCTACATTGTCGCCGACGCCGAAGGCAACGAGATGGTTCTGAAGTTGCACAGGTATGTTCACAAACTCCGGAGATGCTCGCCCACAATGTGACGACTCTTTAAGATTGGGCCGCATATCGTTTCGTGCGATCAAGGAGAAGAGAGACTACATGGGCAAGCGCAAGTCGGCCTCGTGGATGTACATGTCCCGTCTAGCAGCCGAGAAAGAGTGGGCCTTCATGAAGGCGGGCCTCAGTCCTTACCTCAAACGTGCTCTCTCGTGCTCACGCCCAAGGTGTTACAGGTACTTCACGAGCATGGGTTCCCCGTTCCGAGGCCGGTGGACCATGCACGACATTGTATACTCATGGAGTTCATCGATTCGTATCCGCTGTGAGGCCCTTGATCCCGGTACTTTACAGCACACTGATAGGAAGTCTTTAGTCGCCAAGTTTCAGATCTCCCCTCTCCCGGCAAGCTCTACTCCGACCTGATGGACCTCGTCGTCCGCTTCGCTCGCGCGGGACTCATCCACGGCGACTTCAACGAGTTTAACATCCTCATCCGAAGAGACACGGGCGAACCTGTGGTTATTGACTTCCCACAGATGGTCAGCACGTCGCATATGAACGCCGAGATGTGAGCGACGATTGTCATCTCAGCTGATTCTGATAATCGTTGGACTGACTGTGCGCTTTCAGGTATTTCAACCGCGACGTCGAGTGCATCCGGAGGTTCTTCCAACGGCGATTCCGATATGAGAGCAATCTCTATCCGCGATTCTCGAGTACGCGGGACGCTGCTGGGGATGGAGAGGATTTCCGGCTCGACCTTGTGGTGTCTGCGAGTGGCTTCAAGCAGAAGGATCAGCAAGTTTTGGAGGAGGTTCGCTTATTCGATTGATCTCATTCGCTTCAATGGTTGACCTCGTTATTATTCATTTTCAGTATATGGGTGCTCAGCCACATGGGAATGAAGGGGACGAACTCAGTGATGAAGGCCAGGAAGAGGAAGAGGAGGAAGAGGAGGAGGAAGGACAGGAAGCGCAGGAAGAAGAGGACCATGCGGACGACATGGAGGAAGTACAAGAAGGAGGCCAAGAACCACCGCAAGAATTTGCAGGTCCTCCATCAGCATGGACATACCGTGAGGCAGAACAGAACGGGCTTGAAGACGAGAAGGAATTGTCCCCACCTTCTACCTCCCGTCCGATATCCCGCTCACCGCCAGCATCCCGCCACTCCTCACGGTCACCGGTCCGTTCGACGTCCCCCTCCCTCGCTGACCGCGCAGCAACGCTATCGCTCTCCAACGTCCACGAAGAGCCCTCCCATTCGAAAGGTATTTCAGAGAAGGTTCAGTCCGAGCTTACAAAACGGCGCGCGCGAGAACATCGCAAGTATCACTCCAAAAAGAGCGCGCAGCGCATGGGCGGGAGGTCCAAAGGTAGCAAGGCGAAGCAGGATGGAAAGATTAAGGTCGATACTGGAGGATTCTGGGAATGAGAGCACCTGACATCTACCAGGACAGTTTCCTATTTGATCCGGGCTTCTGATGTATCAGTGTGGTGCGAGGACGAGCGGCGTTGTGCGCTGTTGAGTATGGATAAATGAATTAATGATGACCACGACCTGTATCATGGGGTAGGGGTGCTTCTTGGTGCAAAGTTGCAACGGCACTCCACAACTGAGGAACGTGGCTCGAGAAACCATCTGCCGCTTGGTAGATTGGCAAAACGCGATAGATTCACCCCGTCCGTTTGAGCGTGTTGCTTTTTTGTGGCGCTTGCAGAGCTGCTGAGTGTTAAGGTAGAAGTAAGGCGAGCATATGCAAGTTGAAAATATCAAACTCAACGTCGACGTCGGAGAGGACATGGAATTGAGGGTCAAACAGATGAATCTCGGTGTTATCGGGACCGTGCGACTGGTGTCCAGTGGCCACATATGGAGGCACCGAGTGCCTCGCAAGCGCGAGGAAGCACAATATTGAGGAGACAACTTCTTCTGCTTGTCATTCGCTGAATCCAGGCACCCAGAAACTGGCACCGAGTGGACAGACGAAGCTTAATTTATTGACCTGTTGAAGAATGTGCCAGGCGAAATAGCATATGGCGGATGGGCAGGAGGCTTCGATCCCCATCTGGCGTCCAGCTGGCAGTTCAACCAGACTGCAGACCGGTTCTGAGTGACCTGTCCTGCTATGTGCGACGCGCGACATGAGCAAGTACTGTGTTCGAAGGAGAAAGACTTGAGAAAGACATTGACATTCGAGAAATCTTCAAGGACTCCGCACGGACACCATTTGCTCATCCTGGCGGTAGATACAGGGATTAGTGGGCGGATATTGAATGTTCAAACACCTATCAGTGGACAGCACCACTGATGAACTGGCAACGGTGGGAAGTGAGAGATGCATCACCTTCGGAGAACGGATGTTCAAGAGTGGACGATGCGGAGCTTGAAAGCGGAGGTACTGATTGAACAACATGCCTGCGGTCACCTATTGTATAGCGAGGAGCTTGAATATGGAGAGTGGAAAGCGGTATGAATATTAATGTCCAAAGTTGCGAGGCACAGGTCGGGACGGAGAACCAGAGATTGCGTCCGGGCGGGCCAATCGGCCAGGAGAGCGCACCGAGATTGCGGGGGGAAACGCATCTTCATTGGAGGAGCGGGCAGATTGCAGCCCATCTGCCCAGTGAAGTCGACCGACATGTCAGATCCGGCGAGAGATCTCCTGAACCCCAAAATATTTGCTGGCAAGAGATTGATCAGATCAGATGGATATCCCCAACGCAGACGGTCGACTGCCCTTCCAGAGATGTGTGCGCAATCGGGAAAAGAAGCCTCAGATCTGTCCACAGATCCTCAGCAATTCATGCGATGAAACCGCACTCCACCAATATTAATCAATAGGATCTTGACCTCATCTGCTAATAATCAAACTTCATCAGCTTGAAATAGCTCTCTGAGAGGCTCCACACTAGGTCCAAAAGCGTATACTCACCTCCCTTTCTGGGTGGATCACTTCACCACTGAGGTGGGTCGGGCCTCGTGAGGGTATATACGTATACCACCGTATACTGTATATTGTGGAAACTGTGTACACTGCACACGTCGCATTCCCATTTTTCCAACCGTGTCAGGAGCCACAAGATGCGATAGAACAAACACTCACCTCGGGTTATCATTTCCAGAGATTCGGAAGGGTGCCTCGTCGAGGTAACCACTGCGTTGGCAAATTTATGATCTTCGGAAGCTCCTCCAATCATGGACAACCGTAGTATGCCCACATCACCGACCAATCCTCAATTAACGGTGTTGATCCATTCGACGAGCTGGGAGCGGCCAATGGCTGTTGCTCGAGCATATGGGTACATCTGATGTGCACGTACAGCCAGACGGAAGTTCAGCAGGGAGCCAATGAGCGCTGCTGCAGGCTCCGCAGAGTACCAACTGCGCTGACCCACATGCCGCGGCCGTTTTCGAGTGGCACCATCGCCGAATTGAGGTGGGCGCTGACAGGATACGAGAAAAACATCAGAGACCATCCATGCATATGTCTTCTGTCATGTCAAATGATCGAAAATCGGATGGTGCATCTGGCGCGGAAATATCACGATTGCCCGCCGAGTTCCAGGAGGACCGTGAAGGAACAGATTCCACTTTTGTCATCGCAGATGGCATCACGTAGATAGCGCCATCGCGCCATCGCTCATCCTCGGCGAGCGCCAAGATCAGATCGCCGTAGTCTCCCATACCACTTGCGGTGATATACCTGCCGGAGGTAAGTACCAAATGCGCACAGCAAACTAGGTTGATTACTTGCGCACGTTGAGTCGGTCAGTTTAGCCCAGCAAGGAGCAGACTGTCGCACACACGACGGACACCTGACATGAAGACGATAATAATATTCGAGTTGAACATGGAAGTTACAAAAACAACTTGCAGAATAACGCATGACCCCGCAACAAGTCATTCCCGCTAATTTGCTAGTGGTGATGTGACGTGCTCCCGCACACGCATGCAGATGGAACAAGTGCCGACATATCAGCGGAGAGTGCTCAATGAGTGGAGAGATAGCATGCACGTACGACGGCGTCATACAGGGACGCAGACGGCGGATGACGATGTGGCTCAGAGCCATGCATTTCGCTGGGAGGGTGGGGGAAGAGGATGGTTGAGATTCAAATTTATCGGAGAATATAAGAAGACATCACGCATGACCTGATAGCCACCAGAAAGTGTCCATTGGTTTTGAGACGTTTGGGATAATATACAGAAGCCTGTGATCTTCTAGATGAATGTCGTCATCATGCGGAAGCAGGTTTACAGAGCAATAGAACGCATATAATACAGTCTGCAGCGATAAGTAGAACGTGAGTACGTAAATTCACGACGACGGGATGAAGACGCACCACCTCAAGCAGTTTCATCTTTCGCCTCGAACTTGTGCTTCGCTCGAGGAGCCACCTCTGTCATACCCTTGCCGCTACCGGTCACTCCAACTAATGGCAGAAATCAACAAACGGCTTCGACAAAAAACAAGTATTGGACGACGCTCACCTCTTCCTAGCGGATTCTCTGGCGTCTTGAAGATACTCGTCCCCGACACACCAGCGATGTGTATCCCCTTCTTCTCCGACTTCTTCGCGAACTTCTGCCAAGTCGCCTGCTTCGCCATTTGCTCCTTGGCCTTCGCCGCCCTCGTCTCCACCTTCTTCTCGTTCTTCTTCTTCTTCCGCTCCTTCTCCTCCTCCTCCAGCGCGTTCAGCTTCCGCTTCGCCGACGACGTCGGCGCAGGCTGGTAGTTCGCGGGCGGCGCCTTGAGCTGGGACGAGTTCACCATTTCCGTCGAATTGTAGCCCTTGAACGTAACGCTGTACGCCCAGTTGCCGCTCGAGCCGCCCACGGACGTGATGCGCGCAGGGTACCACTGGCCGTCGCCCGAGTACTTCGCGAGGCACTCGTCGCCCGCCGCGAACGTCTTCGCGGACGCCGCAGCCACAGCCGCCTTGCGGTTCTCGCTCTTCGACGAGGACGCTGCGACCTCCTGCTGGGATATGGTCGCCTTCGTGAGGCCGATGAGCTCCTTCAGCTCGGACCGGAGCGACTTGAGCTCAGAGTTGTCCGGATCTGAGGTGAGGGCGAGCTCGACTTGTGAGAGCTGCACCTGGTATGTTTCTAATTCTGCCTCCATGGTTGGGTGTTGTTTGGACAGCGAGTGGAGGTGTAGCTTTGAGTAGTGTGTGCGCGCGCAGAGAAGACAATGAGCGTGAGGACTAAGGGGGCGTGGGAATCAAGCCCGGCGCGTCGGTGCGGTATGCGCGCCAGCTCTCAGAACGGCTCGCTCAAACAACGAACGATTGAATTCGCAGGTCCAACGTATCCATGCTCAAGCTGGGGCTGACTTTGATTTTTATTATTACTGGTCGAAGGGTCGACAGAGGTCGACAGAGCTGAAAGCACCGAATCATTGAATGTCTGCGGTGGACCGTGACGCTGACCAAATTTCGACGTTCTTTAGGCTCACTGGCCTGCCGATAAGTTGCAATAGTCCGAGCTGCATCTTCCAGAACGCTATGCTTGCGATCCACCATACTTATTTGCCTTCAAGGGAAATGGATGAACGAACCCGGTGCTCGAGCCGAATATTGTGTCATTTAGGCATAGCTGAAGATGGCGCAGCCTCACCGCAAATCCGGTCCTAAATGAGCTCGAGTCTGTACGTCCCATTTTCCTGCCCTGTGATGGTAGCCTCGAATCTGAGCCCTTTCAAATCCCTAGCAGTACTTGTGCGTACATGTGAGACGTCGATATGGCATGCGGTACGGCTCGTCGTCACAAACTCGTCGAATGTCTTCAGTTCTGGCACCGACCGTACCGCACTCACCCCCGTTCTCGTATACGTAAAAACTACGGAAGCGAGGGCACCCGCTTACCTCCATTTCGCGATTCGCAGCATTCACGGTTCGCAGAACGTCAGTGACCTCTTATTCTGCGACGCAGAATATGGCAGTCGGAAAGGTATAGTGCTCCGCCCGATTCGTAGTCTTCACTAGGTGAGTCGAGATCCTTCACACTAGCTATGTGTGCTCAGGTTCCATGTGCGATGCCGTCGCTGTAGCGCTCCTGGTCAAATGGTCCCCACTTTGAGGCATACGGGCACGACGTAGCTCATACTACATGCGCATTTCCGCCACTTAGTAGCCCCGTAAATTTATAATAAACCAAGTCCCGAAAATGGATCCAAATCCAAGCATGCGAGCCCGCGCTCCTCCTTCGAACCTGCTGTGTCTCGGTGTATCGGTATCACCGTACGCGCACGTACATCGCACATCCAAGCCGACGTTGAGATCTCCAGCCTGGACCCGTAATGCGAAGATCTCTGTTACAAGTGGCATACAGAGATGCCCAGAAGACGTCATGCGCATCGTCCCGCACGCGAACGCATCCCCGTCTCTTCCCTTTCATTGCGCTGCATCACGCACAGATCCAACCCGTTTCGCCTCCCGTCCGGATCCCAGTTCGCGATCGGTGGCTCCCTAAACCTTCCAAGACTCCAGATCTTCGGATCTCAGAACTAGAGTGCTTGGAAGAATCTCCCATATATATATACACTTTGGTGTGCCGCCGCCGCCGGTGAACCTCACAATATCTGCGACGCTCTTCGAGGGGCTCGCGGTACTTACGCAGAGGCTCCGTGAATATCTGTGGTTACGTATGACCAGAATGCTTTGCAATGTCTGGTGTGGTGTGCACTCCAGGATCACGCAACATATTCGATAATAATAACTCGATTCTACGTCTATTTGCCTATGTCAGCGTACGTACTATGTAGAGCCTACGGCGCCAACAGCCGACACCAACATCGGCATAATGAGCATGGCGCGCATTCGGAACATACAACATTTGTTAAATAATCGACGCACAGCACACAAAAGCACAGCGACAGACGCGCAAGCAGAAGCTACAGCTATATATGTCCGCATGCAGCAAATAAACAGCCCAAACGGAATTACACGACCCAGACCCAGCGCAACGGAGAGGACGTCATACACTCAGAGCCAAATACTGTAGCGAATACAACGGGAACCCGGGACGATGATCAGGGAGAAGAAGCGTGCAGCGCGCGCGGCCGAGCCGCGGCACACCTGCTGGACGTGGACAGCGAGCGCGAGAACAACGTGGGACACCGCAGACATGGCGGAGAAGCCGAAGGGGAACGAGCGGCTGGAACGAGCAACTGGCGGGAAGGAAGATGAGATGCGCAGCGAGAAGAAGCGGAACGGGGAAGCGAGGATCGATCTCGCGCCTGCGGCACGCGTTCGATGAGACTGGGAGACGCGCGCGGGGACGAGAAGCGCAGACGAGGGCGTACGGGCGGTGGCAGGACAGCTAACAGTGCGGTGTGTAGAACGACGGCAAGAAGGCCTCAGACGGGACGGAGTGTCGCCGGAAGGCGTGCAGTGCTTCCGGGGACTGGTGCGCCGTCACTTGCTGCTGGAGGAGAGTAAACTGTGCAGCGTAGTGACGGTCAGTCTGTGAGTATCGAGAGCAGCGACGGAGCAGCCTACAGTGCGCTCATCCTCCAGTGTCTGCTGGTGGAGTTTTCGGGCCTCATCTTGCATGTGAACGAGGAGCGTCTGCGGAACATCATCAGACGCCAAGCTGCTGAGATCGTCAAGTAAAGTACGCACGCGGATGGATCTGCTGTTGAGCCCGCGATACGTTGGGACGCGCTCGAACGCGACAGGCTCGTGCCCCACGAGCCGGATCTGCCCATGGAGCCACTGCACATACTGTTCAAGGCACTCGAGATAGCTCCGCTTCTTGTCATGGCTCGTGATGGTATCCCTGCAAACGAAGTCAGTATACCGCCACCCACAGACGTGGTGGGGAGCTTACGGATCTGTCGGCTGAAAACCGACGCTCTCCGCGACGGCGCGGAAGTATACCTTGCGTTGCGTCTCGGCGCGCTTTCCGCCCGACTTGGTCTTCTTCGTCGCCGGCGCGGTCTCGTCGACCGAAGTCGGTTCAGAGGACGATGCGGGGGCGGGGGGCGGCCGAAGGTCAGACAGGCCAGTCCCGTTGCGACCGCAGGCAGCGAGGTCTGTGAGGAGCTCAGAGGGTGTCGGGAACGTGACCTGAGGGGCGTTCCCGTAAATGTCGAGCGGATTCGTGCCGGATGACGAGCCTTGTGACGAGGACGGCGAGTCGTGGGGCGATGTGGTGGGCGAGGTGCTGCCGACGGGTGTGGGCGGAGTGGGGCTCAGCGGAATTGGGGGAGCGATTAGAGTAGAATATCCGGAGATGGGGATTGGCGCATGGAGGGGGAGCTGGGGAGGACAATCTGGCAGTTCCGACGTTGATTGTACATACTGAGAGGGATAGTAGTCGAAGCCATCGTACGTGGTCTCCGACTGATATGAGAAAGTCTAAGACAAGGGGATAAGAAAATAATACGGTGTGAATAGTGAGGGAACATATTACCGGGTAAGACATGTGAGAAGGGTTTGCGGAGGAGTAGCGTTCGTCGGAGACGGTGTAGTAGGAATCCATGGCTGCTGCAAACGAACATGGGGAGGTGGAGCATATGCCGCGGAAGATTTTATAAGGAGAGGAGATCGGGATGTATCTCATCTCGATGCGGCGTTTAATCCTTGTTCACGATGAGATCGGAGGAGATCTTGCCCAGGATGGTGTGTCATTAGGCCATACTTGTCGCTGCTGTGCCGGGTCGCTGTCTTCGGCTCTTCCCAACTGTCCTCGAGAGCTTCTCCTCTTCTTTGCTGCCCGGCACCGTTCGTATCGCAGCTTCCAACCTGGGCGGGCTGCTAACTGGCAGCTGCATCCATTTCCAATGCGTAACCGCCTGTGCGTGGCGATCCTCGAGTTCCGGATCCTTGTGGACGCCCGTACCGCGCAATCCCTCGAGGACTGAGGCGCTTCCGTGATACAACATCGAGGAAGGGGTGAGACCCTTGGTGTGCGCATGGATCGTCAGCACGTCGGATCGACCGTGGAGCCAAGAGCACGCGGATGCTCGTCGAGAACGCGCGCTGTAGTGACGGAACATATGGCGATGGGGAGACACTCAATGGGTAAGTGGCATCCTGCTGGGGTGACTGATGAAAGACAATTACGTCTTTTTAGGAGAGGAAGGAGGATGTTGTGCAGGCGTCGCACGATTGCAGCGTGAGAATTCTGGTCGATGATCATGTCTAGGAACAAGTCTATTTGAATCCGCAGACGACGCTACCCAACGGGGACGGAGCAATCGCCGCCGGGCGGGAGGCCAACTGCGCGGTCGCCGAGGCGAATTTGATGCGCGCGCGCTCTCGGCGGTTGGGAGCGTGACCCGCCCGGCGGTGTGTGACCCGACGGTGTGTGACCGATCCGGCGGTGTGTGACAGCACTCGCGGGACACGATCTGTGCGGGCAGCGCTGGCGATCGAAGGGCGGCGCGCGCGCCACTCCTGGTCACCGATTTCCCAGATTCAGCCACTCCCTTCCGCGTCAACGGGCCGACGACTCCCCCGCGAATATAAACCCGGGCACTCTCCCTCTCGCCCATCGACATGTTTCCCCTCTACTCCGACGAGCAGCTCTCCTCTCCCGCCGACTTCCACTTTCCCTATGAGCTCCAGTATCCCCAGAGCGACGCCTCTGACTCTCCGCCCTCCTCCCCCCAGCTCTCCGTTCTGACGTCGGAATTTCCTGCCATCCTCCTTCAATCCGCATACTCTTCTCCCACAGACAGCTGTGATCCTTCTCCCGTCGACTCTCCGCTCTCTCCTTTCTCCCCCTACCCTCCCGCGCCGTTCGTAGAACACCCAGGCTTCCCTTCGAGCCTCCTCCCTGACCCGACCTACGGCTTCCCACCAGAGGAGGGGAAGCCAAACACTGAGCCCCCGCTCAGTTCCGCTCCTGCTCGCACCATCGCTTCACGCACTGTCGGCATCGCACATCCGTATGCCCGACTTTACACCAAGCACGAGGGCTCCAAGCGCCGCAAGATGTGGAATCACGCGCTCGAAAAGGCCCTCTTCACTCCCCAGGAGATGTGCGCTCTTTTCCTTCTCCTCCCACAACAATACCTAACTTGCCCCGTCTTTCAGATCTACCATGGGAGCACCACACAGGCGCACCATTTATACTGCCAGCCTCGAGGCCCACATCGATCGCCTCCATGCCCAGCTCCTCGGCTACGACCTCTTCCCCGTGCCTTTCGAAAGGCTCGAGCCTCTCCATGGTCTCAACTCCAAAACCGCAAAGGTAATCTGCGCGCTGTCTGTCCAACCCGCGCTGTATACTCACAAGCATATCTTCGCATTTGCAGAGTATGGTCGCCGGCCTTGAGCGCGATGCCTCGGAGCTGCGGCTGAGGCGCCTCGAACTCCAGCGCTCGGTATGTCATTCCTTCATGCGTCATTCTTGCGCCACGCTGATTTAGACCTGTGACAGAACCAGGCACTCCGAGAGATGCTTCGCGCTCGCCAGAGTGTCCCCGTTCCGCCGATAGGCATTCCTCCACTCGTCAGTCTGCGCCGCCATTCGCTTGATGCTACCGGCTGAGATGCCAGTCTCGAATCGTGGCTTCTGCTGTGGCACCGCTCTGCTTCCATTTGCACTTTCGTTGCCCAAAATTCTGCTGTCGCTTGCCATTGCTGTTGTGTACTATCGCTTTCGTGCCTGCCGTCGTCCGTGGAAGAGTTATTCTGTATTTATGTATTTATCAGCCGTGCCTTCAAGTTCGATCGTCAACCGTGCATTCCATGGCAGCCCAGGGCAGCAGGACATCAAGACCACACCGACAGCGTCTCAAACCGCCACAATTACCTCAAGGTGCACGAAAGACTTGTGATGCTAGGTACGCGCCGACAAGGACAGAATGTCATAGGCACAACGGACTTCCTCTCTCTTCACCGCCGTCAACCTGCGATTACTACAGTACTCATAATCGACCGCGAACCCGGACGCTTTCAATACGCGTGTTCACGAAAATTCAAGCGCCGGAAGAGCGCTTGCGTGCTACCTCGAGTTCTCCGTACGTACAATTGTTACCTGCCTTTCACATATGTTACAGGAGCCAAAAAAATGTCAAATGCGTGCGCCGGTACCTCTAAGACCATTGATGGTACCAACGCTGCCCTTTCTTTTGCAATCGATGTCACTTGAATCTAGCATCTCTACCAGTTCGAATCATTATCTAGTGTCGCCATAGGCCGATCTATAACGCGCGCTCCGGCACACTTCGAGCGCGCCGAACGCAGCGCTGCGAGTAGTCGCTCACAACTTCAGAATACCCGCCTTGCCCCAGTACTCGAGCGTCTTCAGCATATCCTCCTTGTCCAGCTGCCGGAACTGCGCCAGCGTCGCCGAGCAGCGCTCGGCCTTCTCCGTGCTCAGCCGCATGTGCCCGTCGAACTCGCCCGCGCGGAAGAACTCGAGGAGCGTCACGGCGGTGTCGTGCTGCTGCACCTCCCGCGCGCTCGCGCTCTTGCCCGCCGTCTTCGCCGCGGCCGCGGCCTCGAGCTTCGCGAGCCACTCCGCGTACGGGACGAGCGGCACGCCGAGGCGCGCGGCGGCCGGCGCGAAGAGCGAGTCCCACGGCACGGGGCGCGGGTGCACCAGGTTCAGCACGGGCTCGACGGTCGCGGAGGCGACCATGTCGAGGAGCGCGGAGGCGGTGGTGTCCACGGGTACCCACGCGACGATCTATCGACACGACCGGTTACGGATGCTCAGCGGACTGGGACACCGACGTGGAAGAGGAAGGGCACGTACATCGTCCTGCGAGGGCATGCAGCCCAGCGCCTGCGCGGCGCTCACGAGGGCGCCGACCCACTCTTTCGTGTTCCACCCGCCGGTGCGCGTGTCGCCGCAGATCTGCCCGACGTGCACCGAAGTCGTGCGGAGCCCGCCTTCGCGCGCGGCGTACGCGAAGAGCTGCTCTGCGACCCACTTGCTCTCGCCGTACCCCGCGCCCATCGCCACCTTGGGGTCCAGAATCGGCTCTTCGGGCACGGGCAGGGATGTGGGGTCTCAATGGGCGCGTGCTCAGTATGCGCGTCGCGATCGTAGGCTCATAGGGACTCACTGCGGAGGACGCCCATGGAGCTGACGAAGAGGATGCGCGGGCCCGCGGAGCTTGGAGACCCGGCGGAGAGATTGATCAGGTTGCGGACGCCGGCGATCAGGGGCTCGAAGGACGACAGGGAGAGGTTGAAGTCCACCCGCCAGGCTGTTTGTTCTCGTGTCAGGTTGTTAGCAGTCTCAAGGCAAGGTCGTCTCACCATTGTGGACGACTGCCGTCACGGAGTCGCGAATCTAGTGTCCGGTCAGCGTGGTGGATCTGGAGGGGGTGAATCGCCCAGGCACGCACCTCGTCATATCTCTCCTTGCTCAGACCTAGATACTGTTTCGGCAGCTCGCTCGCGATCAACGTGAGTTTCTTGGAGTCGAGCAGACCGACGTCAAGACCCCAAGTCTGGAAGGCCTCCTGCTGCCGTGCCCTCAGGGCAGCGTCCGAACCCTGGGAGTCCCTGTTCAGCGCATACACCTTGACGACGTCTGGCCTCTGCAGGAGCTGGGAGAGCAGATGGCACCCCAGGCGACCGGTGGTGCCTGTCACCAAGAAGGTCTGCGCCTCCCCGACGGCCAAGTCCTTCCCGTAGAAACGCTTGGCGAACGAGATGGTGGCGGCGTACTTCTTCACCAAGTCGTGCATCTCCTTCGCCTTCATCTCCACCTGGGATACGATGCTGGCCTTCTTACCCGTCGAGGCCATGTGGAAGACGAAGTCGCTGAGGCTGCGGATGCTGGGGTGCATGTAGACCAGGTTGTGGGGGATATCGTGGATCGAGGCGGTCGTCGACGTCCGGATGGCGTGAATGATCGTGTTGCGTATCCACGTCGCCTGCAAACTAAGATACGTACATCAGAAAGAGATCTCGCACGACGCAAGTCTAAACCGAACCTGTCACATCCTTGCTGGAATAAGTCGTCGTCGTCGGCCAACTTCATCTCTGTCACCCGCTCCACCAGCCCTCGGATGAACTCCAGTGTGGTGGCGCTGGACCACGAAACGGGTATGGGAACTTCGACCTCGGACGAGTCCTGCACCGCTTGGTAGACGGCCTCTATTTCGTCGGCGTATGCGTTGATGCACTCCTGGCGACGAATGGTTCCCTTCGCGGTGAACTGGAAGGGCTTCGAGGGCTTGGTCACGATGATCATCTGAGGATCTCGTCAGGCTGATCCCACCAGGAACGGCAATATCGGAATCTATACCTCCTTAAAGACCTTCGAGTGGGACGGCGCAAAGTCGTTGACCTTCTCCACGGTCGGCCTGGGATGACGATCAGACATGGGTCCATCGATGCTAGAGCAGAACAGACACCTACCATATCTTGTTGCGAAATTCGACCAACTTCTCCTCGTCGTCGGAGTCAAACGGCTCGGTGGGTTGGATGAGCACGCCGTTCTGGAAACGGCCTCTTCCAAACATGAGCACAACTTTGATGTGAGGATCGTGGACGAATATCGCCTCTGAATCCCGAACGTCAGCTGCGGAAAAGCAGCTTCAGGAAGCACTAATTCCACTTACCCAGGGGGGTGGGGTTAGTCTGTCATTCAAGGATGCGTCAGTACCTGACCGACGGAACGCGTGGTAGAGGCGTACTTTCTCTCCGGTTGACAACATGATCTGGTCATCTACACGGCCGTACACCCTGTAATATCCTGGCAACGTGGGGTGCTTCTGAATCAAGTCGTTCGTCGCATACCCAGGCCTCCCATTAATAGTTGTGTTGATAACGAACGGCTTCAAGTGACGGCCCGCCTAAAGGCGTGAAGTGAAGAGACGCAAGCAATTGACCCCCTTAGACGTGTGTTTTGCAAGCAGCGAGTGGATCATCGACTTACGAGAACTACAGGCTCAAACAGGTCATCCCCATCTTCCTGGGGAATCAATTCAACCTCGATGTGTGGCGATATTTTCGAGTAATCCCAGGCTGGGTGCTTCGACTTGTCGGGGAGGAACGTGTCCATCACCGCGAACTCGGTCCTGAGAGGGGGTCAATGGACGATGCGAGCAGCGTACACGCGTCGACTTACGCGCCGTATATAGAGACCAAAGGAACGCCCGCTGCGAATAGTCTGTCTCCTACGGCCTTGTTCAGCGGTCCACCGGCATAACCCTGGAGGACAGTAGTGAGTAACGAGTGCAAAGGAAGCAGGAAAACAGATATACCAGAAGCTTCAGCGCCCGCAACTTGGGTATGTTCTCAGGAGATTTACTCCATTCCTGCCCGAGATAATCAGTGACGCCCGCAGCGAAACATATTCCTTGACGATACCTCGATAAAAGAGGGTACAGCGATGGCAATAGCGCTGCCCGTGGCGACAATCGCATCCAGGAGTATTTCAGGCGTAGGGACCACAGGTGGATAAGCGGGCTTGAAACAGCCCATGGACACACCCGTACACGCCTATGAAAGTGAGCACATGAATGACGTTACACAATCCACGTCGGGATAACGCACGGTCATTGCGATGTTCAAGGCGCCCATCGCATCTGGATGGAGAGAAGAAGGAACGTCAGCGATATCTAAATCGACTACAACGACGGATAAGATGATCTGCTCACGGAACATGGGTGCGGCATGCGAAGCAATGTTGGAGCCACAAATGTCAACGTCTCCGAAGTCTACACACAGCGAGCAAAGATTTGTGAACATGATTACCAACGAGCAAGCGTAGACGCACATGCAGCTGTTCCTCCTTGAATCAGGTTAAGGCTGGTAAGCCTAATGGGCTTCGGAAACGCAGTCGATCCTGTGAAGAAAAGATAAATATTCAGCGAGATGTCCGTTACAGTAACCATGAACATAACTTACCAGAAGAGTGCAGGATCAGCGCTACATTGTTGACGTCTCGCTCTATGATCTTCGTCACTTCACAATTTTCCTCGTCATTATAAAAATCAGGGAAGTGGGGCATCGGAACAATGTCCACTTCAGCTCCGTCTTCGGCCAACAACTCGTTGGCATGGTGGCCGAGCCTCTGTGTCGCAGCATCGGAGCTAACGATCAGCTGGAGAATACCGGTCTTCTTGACCAGGTGCGCCACAGCGGTCGCGGAATTGCGGGTCGAGATGGGGAAGGGAATGAGCCCCAGGTGCATGATTCCCACGATGAGCGAAAAGAATGTGATCGTATCTGGGCAGTCAGTGATGAGCACTGGAAGGGGTGGGGAGATAGAGATCGTATCAAACCTGATACCGCGAGGATCCCGATAGTAGGAGCGTCGAACCCGTGCTTTTCTTGGAGCGCGTACTTCCCCTGCGCACTTTTGAAAAGACCGGACATGAACTTAGCGGCTTTACACATTCCACGATAGGCCTCTGGGTAATAAACGGTAGTGGGTTCGTTTCCTCCATCCGGATACACGAAGAGCGGGTGTTTGGGGCTATTAGCGGCATGATGGGCGAAGAGCTCAGGAATCGTCAAGGAATCGTCGAAGGGAGGACGAGAGAACGTGGTGCTGGTTGCACCTTGCAAGGTAGGAACACTGGAGATGTCGAGCATCCTGGATTAGAGAGCAAAAGGTGGGAGAAACCTGAAGTGCTTACTAGCCGTGGGACGTCTATTTCTGCTTCCACAGTGAGAGAAGACCAGACTCATCAGACCGATGTGCACGCATCAAATTGGCCTCATAGTCAATTCCATTGACTGAGAGGTACATCACCCGGAGAAGCATGTTAGGATTTTGAGAAGAGAAGTTCGTTGAACACGGTTTATCCCCACGGGTGTATTACCAAGGAACACGGGCGAATAGCCCAGGCCCGGCTGATAGGTGGACACAAGGTGAGTAACTGAGAGTAAATGTGAAGTCACGACAGGATACAGTAAACATACAGCACCAATAATTGGAATGCTGTGGCAACATTTAAGGAGGATGACTGATTTGGCCGGTCTCTTGAGCAGCCCGAGCGCTTCACTAACACGACGATCCAGTCGATCGCCGAGATCCAACGACTCGCGGAACCGTTCTCGTTTTCCCAGGCTCTGAACGATCTGAACTCCTCGCGTGCTCGTCGCTGTCGACTCAATGTCTGCACAATGCAGAAAATACCGCCACCCAACATGCGCGAAGTACACTTCAACCGGCATGAGTGAATGCCGTGGAAGCATCTCCGGATCCTGAGTCACTGTGGAATTCAATTCTATTGGTGAAACAGCCTGGCCACCATATGACGGCAGCGGTGTCTCCGTGTGTACGGCCGAAAGGATGTGCCGATGCAAAAGGCCCAGCGTGTTGCCCGAGAGAATTCTGTCAAGGATAACGCTCGGCAGACGGAGACTGTACAGCCGTACGCGTCGCAGGCCCGCTGAGAACGGTAGTGCGACCAGAAATTTGATAGATTCTGATAAGGATGCGTGAATCAGCGTTGTCCGTGGAAAGTAGAAGTAACCTGGTCTGACAGAAGGCGGACTAGGTGCATCCGGAGCACAGCTTTCTCCAGTGGATGTGAGAGGATCAGAACGCACGAATCCACTATTTCGGCGTCAAATGTCTTCCGAGACGCATCCTCATGTGTAGAATACGGTGAGATAACCTACCCCGTGATAAGACGGTCGCGTTACATTAATATTGTGCCATAGGAGCCGACGAGGAGCAAAAGAGAGAAAAGAGTAAAGATCCGAAGCAAGATCCTGGTAGTTATTCAGTCGTGCGGCTGAGGAACGTTACGGTGTTCGTATGACTGAAAGTCCAAGCATACACATCACTTGCGGTCCGACCCAAGTCCGACCTTGAGCATGAGCTGTCATTCCATCCAACAAATCAAGTCTCCCACAGAGAGGAAGATTTTAGGCACACGTCGACCTGAAGCGTCTGAGTGGTCTCGTACCCCGACATGGGCGAATAATGGACCCACTGCCTTGCTCTAATTACATTGCAAGCGAGAGACCTCCCCTTTGCCCGACGCTCTTGAAGTACGCGAGAATATCCGAGCATTCGATACCGCTTTTTTAGGAAGGCACTCAAGCTCGACGTACTGTCGTGGATTAGTGGCATAGTAAAAAATCGAAGTCTTCAGCCAGAAAATGACGAAAGTGCTTATGGTGAATCAGGACTTCGTAGACGCATTCTGCAACCAGCATCGCCTATACAATTCTAAAAACTACATACACAGTGCCCAGATACAGTGCCCTAGTGACGTGCAAGAAGCACACGATACAGTAGTGCGCCGATGCGTTATGCTGGTTCGAAAGTCAGGGAGAGCGTAGAGGGCTGTCTCACTTGAAATGCTCCGAACATTAGAGCTAGGATCGTGGTAAGGTGCGTTACTCGCTCACGTCGGGCTACGAGACCAACCTGAAGAGCATTTTATTGCGGACAACCGTGATTAACAACCGTACAGTATGCGAAGAGCTTGCGAGGAAAAAGCTTACCTTGTTCTGTTGAATACGTTATGGTCCAAAGTGTGGGTCAGCGACGACGAGAAGCAACACACCTAACGTATCTGGTGAGGACATACGTACCAGAATGTCGAGAACACAGGCTTTTCAAGGGTTGTTTGAGACATGTGGGTTCAGCGGTGTGGAACATACTTCGGTATGGAGAATCATCGAACTGCCTGATCGTCTCTCGACCGTATACGCACACAAGTACATAATCCCCCGAGCACACAAGGTATGTACACGGACTGACCAATGAATCATTCAATGAATGCGTCGACGAGCCCGAGGGGAACCTTAAGGTCACGTGAGAAGAGTGATAGTAGCTCTATAGAAATTATTAGAATGGTTTCGGAAAGTTGAAGCTGCAAGCATCGGACTCTTAGTAGAGGGATAATTCTATTGGGAAACCCTCAGAAACCCGGAAACCCCAAGAAACCCCGGGTTTCTGAGGCTGCTCGGAGAAACCCCTCAATTTGGAAACTTGTGGGGTTTCCCTCTCCGGAGGAAGTTTCGGACTCCGGCCGGACGCCCTCCTGGGGCGGCCATGTTGGCATCATCGTTTGTGCGGGAAGGCAGGGCAGACTCACTCCTCAGCTTCTCATGGCAGTTGACGAGAGATCGAGAGACCTTGCCTGCATGCACTCTCCATATTCTTAAAGTAAATTTTCGCAAGAATGGGAGAGGGAGAGGGAAAATTGGCACCCGCCGTAAGCCTTGTCAGTCCCGCCCGACGCGTCCTGTTCACGTACATAGAGTGTACCGAGCTCCTGTGTGATCGGTAAGCCCCGAATCAACTTACAATTTCGCAGCGAGGCCTCTGCTACGGGGAGGCCGCACTTTACTCACTTTCAGAAAGAGACTGCAAGCGCGGCTCCCCATCAAAACCGGCCGGCTGTCAACGGTCTCCCTTGCACAGAAACCAGGTTGCTGAGCAACTTAAGGGGGTTTCTGGGGTTTCCGGGTTTCTGGGGGTTTCTCAATAGAATTATCCTTAGTAGAGTGCTTCATATAAAAACCCTGGAGTCTATGGCCACGAACCTTGTCAAAAACTTCATGGCACTTTCCCTGTGGCAAGCCCATTGTGAACATGTTCGTCAGCTCTGTGACAATATATGATGCATGATAGTACCGCGCACAGGACAAAATAGACAGACACAAGATTGGCAGGTTACTACATTTGCCTACGAGGCAACAATATATCATATCAGGATGGCAGCTTGATCCGTCGCAACGAAAGGTGATCCGTTGCAACGAGAACACTGAGCGCGACAGTGTCAAAGGCGCCAGGACGAAACGCGTAGGGTAAATGCACGTGTGCTCGTTGGCGATGGCGCGTACAGTCCATCTGCCAGAGTCATATCGCGACCAATTGGAGGCAAGCTGTGCGGCCTCCAATGCGAGTCAATCTGGCACAGACCTGTTGTAGATACAATTTCGTGTAGTCCTCTCACTCCCTCATAGTTAGTTTCCTAATCGGGCACGGACGCTCGCGTAGTATACACGCTCGCTACACGTTTCGTTTCCCTCAGTCCTTTTGCTATTGACATCGGATTGAGGGTAAGCTACATTCCTTTACTATACATTAGTTACTCATGCTGATCTATCTGTAGGACTGACTCAGTCCGTGTCTAGGTAGATAACTTAGTCCTTTTGCTATTGACATCGGATTGAGGGACTGACTCAGTCCGTGTCTAGTCTTCAACAAGACCGCGATAGGCTCCAAGGTGTCCAAGGGAAGGACAAAGAGGTTTCAAAGTCAGATCAAGTGGCTCGAGATTACTATCAGACAGATAGCGAAAAGCAGGAGGAGCGGTGAATTGTCCCTGGACCGCATCATAGAATGAACTCTGCAGGAAGTACTGTGGGTGTTCGAGGCGATGTGGACGACGGCGGACGAGAAGGGTCGAGATAGAGGTTGAACGGGAGAGGCGTGACTGCCGAGAACGTCACAGGCACGTGTCTAGCGGAGGCCGGGGGGCCGATCGCGTTACTCTATGAGCTAAAAGTCACTTGGAACCTCCCAGCAACCATACAGCCACTCAAAACACGACATATCTCTTCTCTCTATCCACTCGGCCTTGCTACAGCGCGTTCTCGTATCTCTGCTCCCTCTTGCAACTTTGAGCGCACGAATCACTTGTCTACTTTCTAGTTATTGCATCGACTGCAACTGCTGTGAAATTCTTTGTCTTTCTGCAAAACTAGCACTCCAACGCCACCGCTATGACTTCCGTTGCTAGTCTCCCAGGACCGGCCCTTCAGGCCTCAAAAGCTGCACTCAACGCTGCTCTTGCAACGAACCAGGTGAAGGAAAAGGAAAAGGAGAGCAATGGGAAAGCGGAAGAAGGTGACAGCCTTGAACCCGGCGAGATTCAGGAGGTGGACATGCAGGCGCAGGCAGAGCAGATTCGCACCGTCTTCAACGACCCGATGAACTTCAATGTCAAGGTGCGCACCGTTAGATTGTCCTTGAGCTTACGCGTTGGGGTTTCGGCGTGCTCACGCGGTCTTGTGCAGCATCCTCTGTATTCGCCTTGGACGCTCTGGTTTGACTCTCCCATGACAAAGGGACGGAACCTCCCGCAGACGCCCATGTCCTCGTTTCCGCAAACACCAATTCCACAGACACCCGGCGGGATTGCGACCATGGGCACGGCTACGGGGTGGATGGAGGATATCAAGCGGGTAATTAGCTTCGATAGCGTAGAGGAATTCTGGGGGTGTGCATCTCGTTCATCCTTACCGCAAGACGCCACGCTGACTCTGCCGACGGCGTAGTATGTACAATAACATCGTGCCGCCATCTCATCTGCCACAGAAGGCAAACTACTATCTGTTCAAAGTAAGCCCACGCGTTCTATTTGAATGATGACATCGTGTTGACCATGTCGTAGGAGGGTATTATTCCCGCATGGGAGGACGAGGCGAACAAGAATGGAGGCAAGTGGAGCATTCAGCTCCCACGGGAGAAGAATCGCAGCAGAGTGGACGAGATGTGGCTTTACACAGTGCGTGCTCTTGCCTTTTCCCGTTGTATGTCTCTGTAGCTCTCATACGATGTTTCGCAGATGTTGGCAGCCATTGGCGAGACCTTCGACCCGTTGCTGGTGAACACAGAGTCCTCTGAGTCACCACCGGAGTCTCTTATCACTGGCGTGATTGTCTCGACGCGCCCGCAGTTCTACCGGTTGTCAATCTGGACACGGACCGCGCCATCGCTGACTCCAGGGGAGGACGACGAGCTGCGAGAGCGGATCGAGGGGATCGGGCGACACTTCAAGACGAACGTGCTGGGATACTCGGACTCGCAGAAGTTGGCGGGACCGCTGGCGACGGAGGTGGAATTCCTCTCGCACAAAGACTCGGAGAAAAAAGGAAAACAAGCGAAGAAGATCACTGTTTGAGATGGACCTCGAGTGCTGTGGGAAGGAGATGTAATGCCGTTTACTGATTGTAATAGTTCATTTATGACGCATATTTACGAGGACAACCTTTGCGTGGATATTTTGGGAGTAAGTGATTGTTGCGCAGTAAGTACTCCAATGGTGTGGCGATGACGTCGCACTGCCCGTAGTAGATAGTCTACTCCTGCCAGCCATGCCCTTCACAACCGCTTTCTTTCTCCCATCATGTCCAACTTCTTTGCCTCTCTCACTGACAAGGCCCAGTCCGCGTTGAACGCGTCCCCGCTGGCGCAGCATCTCCCGTCCAGCATCACAGGGCAGGGCAGCACCGACAATGCAGGCGGTCCCCTAAAGTCGCACACTTTTGAGACTATTCACCACCAGCTCCGCACCTTTCAGCAGCAGTACTCGTGAGTTTGCACTCCTAGTCGCGTCTGTTCAGACCCTAACACTATTGCCACAGCACTTCCACGACCCCTGTTCAGAGGGTCATCACCACTGCCAAGGGCGTCGCGATTGACTTCGATAGCTACTCCCGGGATTCTCTTGCACACAGCAAGGAGCTGTACACGTGGAGCCAGCAGGAGGATGCGGATATCAGAGATGGTGTGTGTCTCGTGCACTTCCTCGCATTAATCTTCGTCGCTGAAAGCGTTCACCAGTAACGGATCGCCTCGCATGGATCAATTACGTTGAAGGTTCACTCGCGAGCCATCTTGCCACCAAGCTTAATACGTCGCGTGCACCCTTCAAAGCCCTCCGCGATGCAGAGGCCACCCTAAGCGCTCGCAGGAACATCCGCAATGGCCTGAAGAATCAGATTGGCCGGCTTGAACACGAGCAAGCGCGTGGTGTCGAACCTAGGCTCTCAGAATTGAGGCGTCAGCTACAAGTCGCAGAGACGGAGGATGAACCCCTCGAGAAACAGGTTGAACTTCTGAAGAGAAAGGCTGTTGCTGAGAGCGAGCGACAGAAATGGGCGGCAATGAATGAGGCGAGCATCGAGTCGATCTTATCCGTTATAGCGATGCTCATTTATGCCTCAGTATGCGGAAAAATTGTTGCTGTTGTCCCAAGCCGCCAATGCTGTCTTACCGGTACTGTCTGGCGTCCCTCCCACAGAGAAACAGCCCTACACAGGTGGAGAGGCCACCGCTTCCGTGCGCGCAGTTCTTCAGCATGCGCTGGACAATTATACTGCGGGAACTACCACTCTTCAACTGCCTCCTGCGGTCGATCTTAGCAGGTCTGACACACGCAGCTTCGGTTTGACCCATGCACAGGAGCTTTCAAGGATCGGCTCTGCTGATCAATCCATCCGACCTGGTATCCCTGTCACCCCGCCGCCGACCGATGTGGGCGGTGCGCCTCAGCCCGCGCCTTCTGACAAGTCCAACGCTTCTGTTCAGGCTGGGCAATCTTCTCAGGGCGCCGGTTCCACTTCGCCACCACTCCGCTTCTCTCCCCCTCCCCAGAGAACTTCTCCGCCTTTGAATCCTGCGATGTTGAACCAGACTCCTGCTCCAATCCCCATTCCAGCCAGTACAGCTAGCCCTATCGTTGCTCCGAATCCAATGGATCCGACAGTGAAGATCCCCTCCGCGATGCCGACAGTCGCAGAGACGGGTATGCCGCAGTTTGCTGGATCTGCTGGCCCGGGACCAGCCAGTGGCTCCCTGCGCGATCTTAGGTCTGGCAAAAGTCCAGTTCCCAAACAGGGTTCGGGCGCAGATAAATTGCCGGGATACACCAATCCCAGTATGACCCCGTCGGACCAGCAGCAGGGTGTTCCGGGCGCCCCGCTGGCCAAATACGAGAAGGCTGAGGAAGAGAAGAAGAGGTTGGAGCGAGAGGAGAGAGAGCGGGTTCTCGCAGCCTCTAGCAGTGGTGCTGCTGAGAAACACCCCCCAGTAGACAAAGACGGCGATCAGCCACCCTCGTACGAGGAGATCTGATAGCTTTTGCTCTTGATTGTAAGGATCTGTTGTTTGTACGATTGCGAAGTATTACTCTGTATCTCTGTATCAATTTACGTTCAGTCTAGCTCTATCATTGGTTGTGACTTATTCTTATGAGTTTGAGCTACTCTGAATTCTGAGCGCTGCACGCCACAATTGCGGCTTGACGCGAACGACGACGACGCGACGCGACGTGCCTTCCCTCAGCACATACATATGAGGTGAAGTTGGGGCGGCATACCGCCTGTGCTACAAGTACTACAGGATCGTTCGAAACTCGCAGAAAAACATCCCGACGTACTCGTACTACCGTGTACTTATCACGCCAGAGCCTCTCACTAAAGTAAATCCGTTTTCTGAAGTTTTGTTTTTGCCGACACTTCCGAGTCACTGATACAACACAGACACAGTATCCCATAGAAGCCTGATATCCAACGAAGGTGTTTCTATACCATAGACATGTCTCAGCCTATGCGTCCTCGTTTCATACCATCGCGATGCGATGGGACTGAGGTGGATGGGCCTCTGGCATTCGAGGGCGGTGATCCCCACTGGTTGCCCCTCGTCTGGTGTCCTGCTGATTTTCCTATCGAGCTGGTGAGTCCTAAGGACACATTTTAATATATGCTAAGATCTGATTCACGCAATTTCAGTTTGAAGTCGCAGTCTCCCAGCTCATCCATCATCCCGAATACAACTCTACACTGATCTTGCGATCAAATATGCTCTCCGACACCACAGCCGACTTCCCTCCGTCAGTACCTCTGCTTAGGGACTTGATTCCGACCCGGAATGTCTGTCGCAAACTTTTGCCTCGCCGACCCGGACGTGATGCCGGCTTGGAACAGCACTGCACACTATATACTTCTGCGCACGGAGATCCGTCTCCTTCAACTCTAGTACTGACACCTCTCGTGGAGCCCGGGAGCTCATTGCCATACTATCACCCGACCGTGACTCACCTCGCCTTCCGCTACATCCTTACCGACCCGCCGGTTTTGCGGATAGAAGTAGTCCCTCTTCCATCCACGCCGACCGACGTGAACTCTAGGATCTATAGGACATGTCTCGCGCTTCTAGAGACGTTGCACAGGTATGGCTGGGGTGCGATGACCAATTACAAGAAGCGCGTCTTGCATGACTGTATCATCCCGCGCGAGCCGTACCAGGACCTGTACCTGGTCATGCGCGAGCGGCATAAGCATGTGGTCGACACTTGGCATGAGGTGACGGATCCGTCGAAGCACGTCTTTGAGGCAAGCCAACTACTGCACGATCACACGAATGTTCCTAACCAGCCGGGTCCTATCAGGATATCGGGATTGCGACGTTCTTGATGTTGCTGTGGAAAGACATGTATAACACAGATGAGTCTTCCCGAGGTAGTGGGCAAGTGGCATACGAGAGCGAACCTTGGAGGTCCTGGCCTCGCCCGCTGAATGGATTCCTTGACCTGGGGTAAGGGTATCGTCCTGATTCTGCAAGCCTACCTCTAACGACTCGTATCGAGATGCGGGAATGGTCTCCTCGTGCACATCTTGACCGCGGAAGGGTATCTTGGCCATGGAATAGACCTACGTGCTCGCACATCCTGGTCCCACTACCCAGACACGACCCAATCCCAGCTCCATGTTGAAGCCTTGGACCCGACCATCTTCGCGGACCCAGCTGTCTCCGAGCTACCTCCCTATCTCCGTGCCGGGACATTCATCATCGGAAACCATGCAGACGAACTAACACCCTGGGTCCCGGTCCTCTCGACGCTGTGTTCCGCGTCGGGATACCTATCGATCCCATGCTGCGCCTGGACCTTCGACGCGCGGTATGAACGGTCCAGCACGCCACCATATCCCGTTCCAGACGCGAACTTCGTGGAAAACCTCAATCTGGGCGGAGACGGCAGCAATAAGAGCTCATACTCGATGTATCGGATCTGGCTCGCTTCTTTGAGCCTGCATTGCGGATGGAAGGTTGAATGTGAGACCCTGAGGATACCAAGTACGCGCAATTGGGCAATTATAGGTATTGCTGCGCTCGCTACAACTATATGCATCTACTTAGCTTGACTCTACAAATACAGGAAGGAAGACAGCATACGGTTCTACGGAAGAAGCAGATAAGGTACGACAACGAGTCGAGCAAATCGTACAATTCGTGTGTGAGAGAGGCATTTTCAGAACACGGCGCCCGGAAGGAAGAGCCGGAGATCATTGAAAACCAAGACCACAGGGGGCCCTGAACTCGAGCGTGATAATGGTAAATCTGCTACGGCAGAGCTACTCTGTATGGCAACAGAAAGTTAACAATTTCTTGGTTTCGGCAGTAAGAAGATGCATACAATTTCCTAGTCTTCCGTCCCGTCTTCTTTCGCTTCAAAGAAGGTATCGCATACTGGATGTTCACCCACGTGGCATTGGCCTGCGGATCCCAGGCATAAGCCTCGAAGTGCTGCAAGCTGGGGAAAAGCGATCTGATGAATGGTGCTATGGACGCAGAGTCCTTGTCGAGGCGGACGTTTCCGAGAAGACGTAATGAACGCAGAGGATGTGGGGTTGTAAGCGTGGGTGTTGCAGATAATGGAGGACGCGCATCCACAACGAAAGCGAGCTCCTTGAGGTTCAAGCAGTGGGTGGCAAAGGAGACAAGGGACCGCAGAGACGGGTCGCAATCGACACTGCGATGCATGAGGTAGAAATGCTGCAGATACGGCCACGACGATGCCATGGAGTCAATGTCTTTATCACGAAGAAGCATGCGACCGTCAAATTCCAGGTGGAGATTTTCCATGCCCTTGACATGGAGGAGGGGGCTGATTATCGTGATCGCATCCGCACTTTCATTTCTGCATGTGGTTACGGGCAGTCGCATATGTAACCTCCGCAAGGAACGAGAAAACTTGTTTTGCAATAATACCGAGTAAAATAGTGATTCTTCCGGAGCGTGGGGGATATTAGCGACGATAGAGATATCATGTAGAACAGTCGACTGAATGGAACCAAGGACGAAGCCGATCGAATCAAATGATCCCGACACAGTCAGTGACTCCAGCGATTGAAAGGCTGCCTCAGAAAGCATGGTGTTCTCTGCCACTCCACCCATGTAAATGTTCAGGTAGACCAGTGCATCGATTGCTGACAGAGCTCGCAGTGTTTCGACATCTACTGCGCCCGCCATACTAAAGTCGAGGTGGCGCAAATGCCTGAACTGGATAATGAAGGACGCCAGTTGTGATGGAAGTACACCCGAGAACTTCAGCGACTCCAGGGAGGGTGCCTCCGCAGCAATGTTATGCAGAAGAATACGCACAGCGTGCACTTCTCCGTCTTCTCCGATATGAACATCTTCAAAGAGTCCCCAATCTGGTTGGTGCAACGAAATGTCCACCACCCTAAGGGATGGGCTACTGAAGAGAGTAGCCGCAGGATCCGGACTTCTTGCTCGTTGCCAAGTGAGATGACGCAAAGCGGGAAGTAAGGGTACACCTTGGCTCAATTCATGAAGGTGTAGGAACACTGATGGATGGATGATTCGTGATGGTGTATAGAATAGTACCTTGATACGCTTTGCATACCGTTGGAATACTGTCCATTCATGCGGATCGATCGCGGAAACGAGCGACTAGGAGGCAGGCAATAAAATTGAGATATGTAGGACAGAAAGCTAAGCACCCACAAAAGCACCGTCCTTGATCTGCATCGAGGATAGCAACCTCAGCAGAGGTAAGAATGATGTCTGCGTTCTCCACAATTCGTTAAGGGCGGGTTCCGAGAAGGCACGGCAACAGCGGGCTAGCCGTGCGAGCGTTTTATCTAGATGACGACCTCCGGTGGACGGCCCGCAGATATGAGATAAAATCATTATGATGATGTCTTCCACAAAGAGGGCACGATGGGGCATGATGTTGGAAGGCTGCTAAAAAGTAGATCTAACCGCCAGATCAGGGTATGCTATACATCTATGCGTCCACACTTACGGTTGAAGAAATCTGGACGAAAATGCAGAAGGAAAAATATATCGGTGTTGGACGTGAGTGCGCAGAAGATTCTTGAAGTGAATGAACTTCGTACTATGAGCGCTAACTTGAACGCACGGAGTTCACGTGACTGGAACCTGCGAGGAGGATTATGATCATAATGTCCATCGGCACCCCCCACGTTCTCTCCTCCAGCCAGCTCAGAACCTCTCTCCGGCATGGCCTTTCAGCTGCCCAATGAATTGTGGCTGGCCATCTTCAATTTTGCTGTCGAAGATGAAACCCTCTTTGAGCACTCTCTTCTAACTTCCATGGCGGAGTCCGCGTGGTTCAAGATGATTTACGGAGATTGGTCCCTCAGGGCACCCCAAGAAACTTCGAATCTCATGCAGAGGAGGAGTTACACAACGAAGACTGTGTGTGCTCATCCCTTCTCCCCTCGACTGACGTATCTCATCGAGCTTAAAGGCTATCGTCTCCACATGCAGGACTTGGAGAAAATTAGGCTCGGAGTTTCTCTTCAGATGCTTATTCTTCAACGATCCCGCTTGTCTCCGCAAGCTCTGTCCTGTTTTGGACTCAGACAATCATCTGGGATGGTGGACCAAACGGTTGCATATCACGCGGTACTACGCTGTTGGTGGAGTGACCATGGATGATATGGAGCATGTCCTCGTCTCGACTATCCGCCGTTGCCCAAACCTCGAGATATTCGTAGTGAACTGGTCCATCTCCACGTCGCTTTCTTCTGTGATCAATGCACTATGCATGTATTGTCCACTCTCTCTCCGCACCTTACACATCCACATTCCCCCCGCGGCGCTCGCGAAGATCATATTGATGCTGGAGTCCCTTCCCAGGCTTGTTGCGGTTTATCTCGAATTCGATGGTCAACATCCTGAAACTCTCCATCTGGGCTCCGCGTCGGGAATTGCGCTGAGCCTCCCGAAACTCAGGCAATTGTCTCTCCGCGGTAGCTTCCAGGAATTCATTGAACAAGCCATTGGCTGGACTATGCCAGCTCTCGATAACCTGTCTCTCGATTTCCTCAATTACCGTGAAGACATCCCGGATATTATCGAATTTCTCACGCATCACGGCTCGGATCTCACATTCCTCGACATTAACTGTATACCCGCTCTGGAGGTTGCTACAATCCTCGATCTCTGCCCACTTCTCACTACATTCTGCTTCAACCTGGACTGGCGCTTGCCAGTCATGGACAACGATCCGTTGAGATGCGCGCTTGTGCATCGCCCACATGCAAACATCACGACCATCGGATGTCATCAGCTTCTATATGCGTTTGGTGTCGGCTACGCGGCGACATACGCTACTGTTGATCCGTTGACCACTCATGTCGTCCGCCGTCGGAACGACGTCAATTTCGCTGCGCTCAACAAGCAGAATTTCCCTCGATTGCAGTGCGTTCGCGTGCTGAGTAGGATGCTGCTGCGAGATTTGGAAGCGGCTGATGGTCCACATGAATCCTGCTTCGAACGGTGGGAACGGTGGTGGAATCAATGCGCTAGTCAGAGGGTTAGGTTGGAAGACTGCACGGGGGCGCTTTTTGGCACATTGCCCCTGAATGATGACCAGGAGGAAGAGGAGAAGGCAGAGAAGCCGGAGCTGGCCAAGAGTACACCGGAACAAGGACTGGTGGAATTGAGACAGTTGCTGGCCGAGTGCAAGCAAATGTCGAATGCCGTTAGCCACGAGCGGTTCGGCCGCCAGTATTTGCTGCAAGGTCAGACAGAGTATTAGGAGGTTGTGGACGAGGTATTTGCGAGATCGCTTTGGTTTCCAGCATGACTATCACCCTGTTTTCCTGTATAGCTCACTTGTAACAACTTTGCACATCCCTCATTTAATATACAATCTATGATATTGCAGGTAGGAGAAGCGTGCGCATCTCACCTCATATTTACGTGCGCCATGCAGTCCTCATCGCGACCCCATCCGCATTAGAATCTTCACCTGCTGCCGCAGATGGATGCATGTTGAGAGAAAGGCGTACTACTTAGTGCAGTACAAACGAAATAATTCAGAAGTCATACAAGTCAGGTCGATCCGACGTGAACGCCACTTTCTTCTTCGCTTTCTTTACGCTCGCCACTACATGCTCTATCTCCGTACTTCCCACTAAGCTAACAGCGGTAGAGTGCTGCACGTCTTCCAGTTGCACTTCCACGGCTGCACCACCTCCTGCCGCATTTACATTCGCGGAGATATGAGACCGATGGGAATGAGAGGGGAGGGAAGCGGTCTCCAGAGCCATAGCATTCGTAGCGGGAGTTGTTCGTCTCTCCCCGACGCCGCCTTCAAGATCCAGATGCAGAGTTTCAATCAGAAATCGCTTCCGCATGCACTTGAACGCGAGGTTGTTTTCTCCGGACGACGATAGCCCTCTCAATGTCGAGAACTTGTCGCTCGGTGGAAGGAGAGTGTGAGGAGAGGGCAGGGAATGGATGTGAACAAGCCCATGGTGCGACGAGAATAAAGCAGTGAGAGACGGATTTGCTAGTAAATATCAGGTTTCGCGAACTCAACCGTCTGAAGAACGCAGGATACTACATACCCGTAAAAGCCGACAGTTCAATGGAGGCATCCGAGAGCCAGCTCAGCTTCTGCACCCACCCGGGACCACCCCATCCATCTGTACAGAGATGCGGAGGGAGACAGACGGCCGCGCATGCATGTGGATACCGGGATAACAGTGTTCTAAGCGAGTGCAAGAACCAGCATATCTCCTGCCAGATCGTCCTTTATATCAGTAAGCACTGGGCATCTACATGCCGAAGTACGCACTTGAGGCGACACGTCGCCCCATTGGGAAGATCCCAAGGATGGAATGCACACTCGCAGGGGTCTAAGCTCCGTTGCCGCAGCTGAGTCCGTCCCCAACTTTCGTGCTAATTCATCGATGATCCTCTTCAGCGGTGCAAAGTCAGGAGAAGACACGCCAATAGACACAATTTTTCCTGAGGAAAATGCGGATTGGATTAGGCCATCGGGTATTCGAGTGGTCAGGTCAAAGATGGCGCAATAGCTGTCGGTGATTCTTGTGGTCGTTCATTCGTTCATTATACATCGGTCAGGTAAACTCACAACATACTGGTTCAAAGAGGGAGCGGCAGGAGTAGACACCGTTGTCTGGAACTGTTTCATCTGTTCGTATCTCCATGCAATTTTGATTTTTGTACTGTGATCGTGTTCCTCGTCCTCGTCCTTTTCGTCTGTACTCCGCGTAGTGGGACCACCGCCTGCAGGAATCCACATGCACTCTGCCAAAATATGGTTGGCGTCATCGTCAATCACTAGGATTGTCTGCTCGTTGGCAATGCCTTGTGATATGAAATATTTCTGCACAAGTTCCCCGTACGCAGAATGAGCATCGGGAGCTAGCACAAGCATAGAACATGACAAGGGAAGACCGCCACCGAATACATCGTCCAGTGAGGGAATTCCGGTTGAGGTTATGATAGTAGAAGTAGTTCCAGGCGATGTTCTGGTTCCAGCGGGCAGCGAGAGTTGTTTGGAGGGTGTCGTCCTTCTCTTGAACGAAGACATGGTGGAGAACCAAATCGAGGCGAATCTCGCTTGCCATTTGTGTCGATCTCATTTTCATCTTGATCCATGCATCATTTGCACGCGAGGCCTCCATTCTGCGCTCCAGAGTCACAACGACGGAAAGCGTTGTTGGTATTGGGCCAATGTTCAGCACACGATTATCAGAGGTAGTTCGTAAATATTCCTCGCGACTGCGAGGCAAAGCGTTTTCTGGAATGGCGAAGTCGACTTCGTTGACCATTTTACATGTTAGTCTGCCTCCACAGCGCGGCTCGTATGTTTCTTACGCAATATCCAGGCGTTCAACGTATGGGCCGCCATCCATTTGTTCGCAGAAAACGTCGGCTGGATCTATATGGTATGTCTCAACTTAAAAAACTCAGTATTATTCACTACGAACACCAACTTTCCAGGTAGATGGCCCATCCATGGTCCCCACAATGGGTGTATCGGGAGAGATGGTGATCGAGAACAGAATGATTACGCCCAAACATCTGTCCCGGGGCGACCTCGTCACCTTCACGTCACCCATAGATCCGGGGAGGGTTGTCTGCAAGCGTGTAATTGGCTTACCCGGGGATGTAATATGTGTCGATCCCACAGGGGAGTACGCTCCTTCAACGGAGCATGTTGTGATTCCTAAGAACCACCTTTGGTTGAGCGGAGACAATGCTCCCATGTCAAGAGACTCGAGATTGTACGGACCTGTACCTATGCCATTGGTCAAGGGAAAATTATTTGCCCGGGTATGTGAACGACTAGACATCGACATTTCTCGTACTGACGGCAGCGGAAGGTCTACCCATTTCGAGATGCTACTATCTTCCGCAGTAATTTCCATTACATTGACTGAAGCATGTCGTGACTCTATATCTAGGGGATTTGTCGCGCATTCTTGTGGGGGAGGGGTGTTGACCACCACGGAATGCATTGCATGATATCGTGCAAATCATGAATGGACATAAATAGAGCCACTACTTCACAAAGTTCATTGAGTAACCTCCCTGTCCGTTGGGGGTGAATTGGAAGTTGTCTGTAGACAAGCCAAAGTTGCCTATCCGATATTCGTCGTTCAGTTTCCCTCTCTCATGTGTATCCAGTGATAAATACCTAGGATGTTGTTCCCTAGACCCTTCAGTTTGTCAAGCATTTCTGCGGTCTCTCGTTTCTGGGCAGCATCTAATCTAGGTTTGATTGACGCCAACGCACGTTTGGTTTCTGCGATCTGAGGTGATGACGGCGGTAGAAGTATGAGCAATGTATTATAATCTGTTGGGTAGTGAGCGGGGATGCCCTGAAGAACAACGTTCTTGCATACCTTCCTGTGCGCTAGTGAGGGACGACCAGGTGTTGATTTGGTCGTTCGATGCTGCTCGACGCTGCAACGCTTTGATATACCGAGGGTTGTCGGTCAACGCTGAGAGACCATCGTTAAGGAACCATGATTCGGTGAGAAGGTGAATGTACCTTGTGTACATGCAGCTACAGCCTCCTTATGGTCTCCCTACAGAAGTTGGTCAACATCCACGATCATCATAGGTGTAGAATCTCACAATCTTGACGTAGCATGCACCTATATTGGCATTCAGAATAGACCTGGCTTGGGCGCATTCGACTTCTAGCTCAGTCAGTGGGCGGTCGTCAGGCTCCTCTTGGATCTGATCCCCCTCCTCTCCGGAATTACTGGTCCGCGGTGCGTTCCTAGCAGTTTCTGTGTCTTCGTCCTCACTGTCTTCGCCCTTCCCTTGCTTCTCCTTCTCGTTGCTCGGTGGACTCTTTTGACCGAGCTCTCTCCGCTTCGGTAGTCGACCTAAGGCTGCGCGGTAAACGCCAAGAGCCTCCTCCCAACGCTTCGCACGGAAATGTTCGTTCCCTTCTGTCTTCAAGTGCTCTGCTTCTGCCAGACATTTCTTAGAAAGCACCGTCAGTAGTTCGACCCAGTGATGTTGAGAGCGTCAGCTCACTCTGGTCTCGAGGTGATTAATTTCAGCATGAGCTTCCGCAGAACTGATATTCACAGTATCATTTCCCGATGCTGTCGACGACATGATAACAGAGACACAGAAAGTGTTCTACGACGGTGTCACTGTGACAGTAAGGTCAGCTTGAGGTCAGCGCTTACTAGTAGGCAGTGCGGTGATCCACAGAAAGATTAGATTAGATTCAGCTGCAACGAAGTGGAATACGAGAACCCAATATACTGTATGTCCGATGTCTCCAAGCAGTCTGTACATTGTAGACCGTAATTAGATGAGGCAATTGCAACGAAAACACGGTACAGCTAGAGTCTACTATGTCAGCCCTTAGTAGACTCAGGACTTACTCAGGCTTCAGGCTTGAATCCAGTTCATCATCCGAAGATTCATCATAGACATGGACTTTCCCGCTAGCCCTTCTCAATGAAATCCGGATGGATTGTCTCCTTGCAGAATTTTCGATGTGTGCGATTCGTGGTTTCTTTATGTGCGTGTCCTCATCGCTGTGTTCCGATTCGTCGCTGGGTTTTTCGTCCCGTCTCCGCTTTGCGCCTGCGGATATACTAGTAGAAGCTGATACACTTGAAACTGTGCGAGGCTTGTTCAGATGAGCGTAAGCAGCTCTTAGTGCATCGTAGAATTTGAGATCAAATTCTATGCAGCGCAAAAGCACACAAGGTGCTAGGAGGTCGCCCGAGTCGTATTTCGCGCGTATCTGGCTGTGTGTACCGTGTTTCTGGGCCTTCTCTTTATTGCCCGTGGTGACAGAATACTGTTTCTTGACCTGAACATGTCGTGCCAGAGGAAAGTAATCAACACAACGCGCACGATAAGGTTAATTACCACCTACATGCTCTGGAAGCGTCTGCCATTCCGCGACGGTGAGTCGTTCGACTCTAACGACCTCGTACTTCCCACAATAATAGTATTGCGACTTGGCACCGACGAAGACGTGGCGAATCTCGGGTTCGTTGAATGCGTCCTTTTCTCTCCCTAGTCCGACTTGCATGAAACCATGACTCCCTGGTCCTGTGGGGGCCCACGGGTTGTGTTCCATGTTCGGACACAAATATTCTCCAATATCCCAATCATGCGCGAATGACGTCGCGCTTCCTACCACTCTATCAGAAGCGATATAAATGTTAGCATTATCGCAGTACATACACTGAATTACTGAATTACTGACCTGACGATCAGGGAGTAAATGGTACCCCCGATGATGTCCACCAAGTCCTTTCGACTAAACTTCATGTTTGGCACCCCGGCTGGTAATTCAACATGGACAGTAGGCAAACTCCTGAGAACATCCAGACGATGTGGGGGTATGGGTGACGCATGGGCAGTAAGGCGCACTGGTTCACCGTCGTTAGCCGTTCCTCTGCCTGCCTGTTTGCTGACCAAATCGACTAACGTCAGGATTGGCATCAACTGAGGAAACCAAGGACGCACGGAGCACTCAAGCTGCTACCGGATGCCTTGGCCGCGGTGGAGAGTCGCACGCGCCGAGCTGTAGGGTCTACTTCCTGCGATTGAACACCGATGCCGACAGAACGATACCGGACCTCAACCTGTGTGCCTTGATCTTTGTGTTCGACCTGAGAGTGTTCTGCGGCCTTCCTCTGCAAACTATCAATCTAAAGCAGTTTCGATTTAGTCACACTTGTGCAGTTCAATACGCGACACGCACATAATTCACTTGCTTTTGAATGACCTCAGATAATTGTTGTAACTCGAGAGTCATCTCTTGCAACTATGATACAGAAAAGTTTCCATGTCTGAATACCACCAAACAAACACCAAATCCAGACGTGACATGCTTACCTGGGCACTGGCCTTATCCTGTTCACGAGATGACTCTTGTCGTGCTTCTTCCACCTTCACCTCTGCTGCCTTCTTTTCTCTTTCCACTTCTGCAAGACGTTGATCGAGCAGTTCGGCTTGACTCTTACTTCGCTGCAACTGAACAATGCCATGAGAAACTGGATACCTTATGAGTTACAGAAGCATTTACCTCCGCATCCTGCCCTTCTAGCTGTGAACGAAGGCAACTAATTTCGGCTTGAAGCTCTTGAGTATTGGCCTGACATTTCTGCTCTAAATTGTCGTTCTCAAGTTGCTTCCGGGCGACCTAATGATCGATAGGTATCAAAAGGTCAAATCGCGAAATGGCATCGCGTACAGTGTCTGAGACTTGCTGGAGCTGGTTCCGGAGATCTAGAATTTCCTTATTATCTGCTACGGGAGAAGTGCTGGTGTGATGATCCTTCTCTAAAGTCGCAACTTGCTGTCGCAGCAGAGTGATCTGGTGATCCTTCTCTAAAGTCGCAACTTGCTGTCGCAGCAGAGTGATCTGGGTATTTCGAGGTCTCGATACTCCGTCGTCTGCCACTGAGGACGTACGCACCTCCTGTACAAGCCCTTTCTTTTCGTTCTTCAGTTCAAAGGCACTGTGGGCAAATATATATGCCATGCCCATCTGTTTCACTGTGAACTCTTCTTGTCCTAATAACTCAGCCATGATGCGTGATAGGTCTTAGGATTGCAGGGGAGGATGAAGTCGAATTCTTCACGACGTTGCTGATCGAAGTTTCAGCCACCAACGCGTAGCAAGTCGATCTGAGATTCGCGGCCGGTAAGCGGCAAGAGGGTACGCGAGTTCCCAGTTCCCAGTTGGCCGACAATGTACATGATCATAGGGAAAGTAAGCTTAAAGAAATAGTCGTCGTCGTATAACAGTCTATTAAAGGTCGAAAACAACAGCGATTTCCTCCCTTCGAAGCATCACAGCATGAATGTGAGAGGGTTCTCAAGGTAACCCTTGAACGCCGACAACCACCTCGCACCTACTGCCCCGTCGACAGTCCGGTGATCGGCGCTGAGAGTCACTTTCATGATCTGCACGACCTTGAATCCACGTTCCTCTTCTGGTGCAAGGGCAAGTACAGGCTGGGTGGCTCCAATAGCTAATATACATGATTGCGGCGAGTTGATGATGGCCGTGAAGTGGTCGATACCGAACATGCCCAAGTTGGAGACGGTAAATGTACCACCCTGCATATGACGCATCAGAGCACATCGCCACTTTCAACATTTTCTGACGTACCTGGTACTCGAGAGGTTGTAGTTTGCCGTCTCGAGCTTTCTTCGCCAGTGCCTTACTCTCGGAGGAGATAGTAGCCAGTCCCTTCCCACCTACATCCTTGATGATGGGGGTGATGAGACCTGCAGGTGTAGCAACAGCGACTGAAATGTCAACTTTCTTATACCTGTTCGTCGACATGCTCAGCAACCGACCAAGTGGCATCCTACTGAGACTCACAGTCTGATTACCTCGCCCAACCATGCAGAGTTCGCTTCGGGAACGTCCGCGAGAGCACACGCGACTGCCTTCACGATAAAGTCATTTACGCTGAGCTTAGCCGCCTTATCCTTCTCGCCCAATGCTTTGTTGAAGACCTCTCTCAACTTCATCGCCTTGTCCATGTTGATGTCAACTGTCAAATAGTAGTGAGGGACATCTTGTTTGGACTGGGTAAGACGAGTGCCGATCACACGCCGCATGTTTGTGACGGGGATGTCGACATAATCCGGTAGGGGTGCGCCCGGTGGCGGAACGTATGTAGCAGCAGGAGTAGCAGGAGTAGCAGGAGCAGCAGGAGCAGCGGGCGCGGGAGGCTGATACTTCTCCACGTCTTCGCGAATAATGCGACCTTCAGGACCTGAGCCCTGCACTTTTGCGAGGGGGATACCTCGCTCCAGCGCAATCTTCTTGGCAATGGGAGAAGCAAAGATGCGTTCGCCCTTTGGAAGCTCCGGTTTCGTTGCAGTCTGAGGTTTGCTTTCTGCAGGCGCGGGTGCAGGCGCAGGCGTAGGCTCAGGCGCAGGCTCGGCTTTGGGAGGCTCTGGAGCTTTCTCCTCAGGAGGCGAAGGAGGCTTTTCCGATGACGCCTCAGAAGCCAGCTTCTCAGCACCAGAGAGGTCATCCCCCGGCTCGCCGATAATACCAATAGTTGACCCAACAGCGATGTTCTTAGCACCATCATTCGCCTAAACAAAAGACAAATGCCGTTAGGGTGCTACCAAAAACAGTGTGCAAGCTTGGACATACTATAATTTTTGCGAGGACGCCATCATCCTGTGCCTCCACGTCAATGGTAGCTTTGTCCGTTTCCTGCGGAAAGATTTAGACATGGTCGCGTCACGACGCGACGTACGACATACGATCTCCAAAATAACATCACCAGCTGCGAAGGTTTCGCCCTCCTTCTTCTTCCATGATGCAATGCCGCCCTCAGTCATCGTTGGGCTCATCGCCGGCATGGTGAACTTGGAGAGCGCATGCCTCCTCACAGACACGTGGAAGCCTGCAACGTCTAAGGGTCAGACAACGACGAGTAGTGTATGGCTACGGACGTACGCCTTATGAAGATGCTGCGTGCGAGGGAAGAGGCCATGGTGGTCGACGTCCTCGTTGGAGGATGACAAAAGTTGGGGGACTCGGGCTAGCCGACGAGGGAGCAAACAGCCGCAAATCTGCAGGGCGCGCCGGAGCTTCGGAGCCACTCGGGCCTCTCATCTTTCTCCCGTCCATGTCATCCGACTTGCTTTTGCCTGGCCAACCTATTCCGCTGCCCCGCGGGCCTGTTCCGCAGCTCGGCAGTGGAACATATTCCAGAGATGGGCTCGTCAGAGCGAGCCTGCTCGGTATACCGCACCATCAAGGATCCGTTGGTCTTTTCACTTTTGCCTCTTTGCTCTCACCCAAATAATCTTGCTCGGGTTGTCTTCGGCTCTGCCGCACCGTGCCGCGGATACAGACTCTAGCGATCTCGCGTACTCGAGCACATCCTCCCGCTCCTAATGCAATTGTCCTGGGTTCAATCACTCGCCTATCACCACAACAAGCTGTGCTATCGATAACAGTGGTTGATGGCGTCCCTCTCCCCCCTGGCGAAGAGTTTGCAGGGGTTGTCCGTGTTCAAGATGTACGCGCAACTGAGAAGGATAAGGTGAAAATCGCGGACTGCTTCCGCGGCGGTGACGTGGTGAAGGGTCTTGTGGTAAGCTCAAGACACAAATCCAACAGATGTTCTTGAACTGCAGGTCTGCAGATCTCTCTTGGCGACGCCCGCAGTTACTATGTGACTACTGCCCGAAATGACTTGGGCGTAATATTTGCCACCAGTGAAGCCGGTCAGTTCTTCTACTTTCCTCTTGGCTTGTCCCTTCGTTCCTAACACAGACGCAAGGTGCTTCGATGGAACCTGTTTCGTGGCAAGAGATGCGTTGTCCGAAGACAGGGCGCATAGAAAAACGCAAATGCGCGAAACCGGAGGGAATCTGATGCACCAACCTTTTCACGTAGACATTGCCCTCTCTAGCTGTCGGTATAATATTATTTGTTGTTTGATCCTGCCACTCTGTATGCCGCCCTTTCAGTCCCCTTGAGTGAAGGAGGTGTAATAATGACCGTGACACAGTCATTTTGAACGCGTATCACGTGTAGATCATGGGTGCCCGAAAAGGCAAGATCGCGTGGCTACACAACGACAAGTGAACGTTTCCAGTCCGGCTGACAGGTTGTGCTTTCACTTCTGGCTCTGGCTTTGACTCCGCTGGTGGCTCTCTCCTGTGTTGTAGTATCGTGGCATGACGGCTGTCCTTCAAGCTACAGATGTGCTCAGGAAGGACAGAACTATGGCGTCCCTAGATGACACTACAATCACGTACGCATTTCGCTCTGGCGTCCGGGACCGTCATCGAGATGATCTTTCTCTACCATCGCAGTTACTCCAACTCTTCTATGGACTGGAAGGCGAAATACATGGAGGTCGCCGATATGCTGGCAGAAACACGGCATGAACGCGATGACTGGAAGGCGAAATACATGGAGGTTGCCGATATGCTGGCAGAAACACGGCAGGAACTCGATGACTTTCAGCTTTCCAGCAAGGAGTTAGAAGAAGAGTTGGAGCGAGAGCTCGAGCGGACAGAGAAAGTGAAGCAGGACCTCAGAATAAAGGCGGCCAGAAGCGAACAGGATAGGGATGAATGGAAGGTATTTGCTGTGCGCATGCTGGTTTCATGCAGACCTCTCATATTTCCCTGCAGTCGAAGTTTACGGCACTGCAAACGACCTACAATACGACCACAACCTCGTTGCAGCGGGAACTCGACACGTTACGACAGGATTACCAGAAGATCAAGGTTCAACTACGGGATCTGGAGATGGGCAATGATGATCTCGAGAGGAATGAACGTGCTATCTCATCAAGTTTGGCAGACATTGAGGGAAAGTATTCTCGAGCGTTGGAAGAGAAGATCCTCCTTGAACACGAACTTTTGGATAAGGCTCACGTTGAAGAGGAGTATCAGCGTTTGAAAGACGAATTAAGAGGTGAATGTCATGACAATGTTTGCGACGATCTGCAAATTCATTATATCGTCAGATGCCAACGAGGAAGTAAACATCTTAAAGGAACAACTCGCTGCTGCTTCTACCCCTTCTAATGCCATGTCCTCGGAACAGTCTGCGTCGTCTAGCATATTCTCTTCCGTCGCCGCTCGCTCCGACGATAACCTTCTCAGCATTCCCGTCCCTCCTGATCTTCAGTTATCTGACTTCAAACTTGATCTTGATACTCCTGTGGACGACCTTCCGCTTGTTACTCCTACGCGCACCACCGGATCATTCATCACCCCCATTTCAGGGAAGATGTCGATGCAGAATGGCGGATTCCATCACCGTGGCGCGTGGACCACTCCACCTGGTGCAGCCTCGTCATCTCTCATGCGCTCAAGCACTGTTCCCGGTATCTCTACTCCCTCACGCTTACCTCCACGTACTCCAGCGCGTCCCGCCCCAAGTCGCGCTCCATCCGTAGCTGCTTCAGCGAACACTGCGGGCGGCGTTCCGCTGACGGCCACCAAGAGCAGAGGTGTACAGATGGTCTCGGAGATGAGGGCTCGTGTGAAAGTGTTGGAGCAGAAGATACACACACGCGTTCCCCGATTACGCATGGGCAGCAACGCCAAGCGACCAAATGCGAATATGATGCCACCTCCGCCACCACCAAAGCCACGACGACCATCCACAGCGTCTTCCTCACCTGCACCTTCTACATCCTCAAGATCAACCTCTCACGAAGAGCGAAACATGAATTTGAAATCGCGACGGAGCGTTGATGCCGAAGCAGACCGTAGGAGGGCTCCCGTCGGCGACACGTCTGGATGGGTACTCATCATGGAGGACTCGCCCTCGCCTGCGAAGGACAGAGAGAAGGAAATAAGGAGAATATCCAGTCCTTCAGCGCCGTCGTCGTTCCGAGCGGTGGGATCTCACACCAATGATTCGCCGTCATCCGTTCCCAGAGCGCCGAGTGCGCTGTCTCAGAGTTCCGCGCAAACAGGTATACGTCGGCCACAATCACGTCTTTCTGTCTCGACGGAGGGTCGGAGCAGTGTTAGCACCATTGCGACCGCCAGCACTGGGAGCTCGATCCAGACACCCACTTCACGTCCTGCGACTCCAACATTTCTTCCAGTCCCTTCGTCCGGGATGTATGTAGGCGCTGGGACTGCTCTTAAACTCTCTACGGGCCCCGGTTCTGGAGCATATTCGCAGCTACAACTCAAGCGGTCATCACTCGGAGCCAGTACAACAAGATCACCAGTGGTGCCAAGTCCGCCTCATGTTCCACATGCCAATATCACCATTCGCCCGCCTCCAAGGAATACAATACCTAGCGCTCTCTCTCAGAGCAGGATAGGGAGACCGGTTGGGAGTGGCGCGGCTAGTACGCGTAAGAGCACAGGAGAAAATGCTGGTTTCCCGGAAATGAGCGGGAGGAATGGAGACAAGGCACGGCTAAGGTCTGGCAGTGCGACAGCGTTATACGGAAGGAATACTTAGCAACCACATTCTCTTCTGGGGTATCTATCTGCGGAATGTCTCCTGCGTCGTCAGTCTCTTTCTCAGCTGCCTCTTTGTCGTTCTGAGCTGTTCACCTGTGTTACAGTTTTTGCAGTATCTTCTTGTCTTCTCTGCGTATGCTGATGAACTAACGATCGTGACTTCGTGTTGCGCTACAGCCCTCACCGTGTGTGCATGCGTATTATGCTCCCTGTATCCCGGACTCACGATTACATTATGACATCTCCTGTCCCTCACGATAGCACAAACCGCGATAACATATTGCAATCTTCATTGCGATACCTCACAGCTTCAAGTTTGGCCATAACCTTCTTTTGTAATTTTCCTATGGTATTACTACTATTATTTCTGTAGAGTAGATGTTCGATGCACATGTCCTATCTCCACCCCTTATAAGTCGTTGACAACGCATTTGAATATCCGCGGTCATAGGACTGCGAAAGTACCGCATCCCGTCTGACCTGCGCAATTAATCGCAGCAAGCTCCGGTGGGGGCTGCGATGCAATGCTGGGCGCTGTGGTTTTGTCTCACTCATGGTGGACACTCTTCCTTGGATATCTGAGCATCAATAATTGTTTACGAGTATCGAAGCCGGAGCGCACCCCAGGATCTGATCATGATGTAGGCAAAATATATAGCAAAGTGCAAGGAAAACACTGCAAATCTGCGTTGCCCTGTTGAGAGCGATCAATGATTCCCACGTAAATCACATTTGAGATTGTAGAAAGCGTTGCGCGACATATAGCATTAACAAGTAGAGAGCTGCCAAGGATCTGCGCGTCGAGAAGGAACGTGCACGAGAACGATAGTATGGACTGTGAGGATGGAACGTAAACGAAGCCGAGTTGAGGTCGCTGGCACTATCATCATCGTGACATTGTCGCAGATGTTATGAAGTGTCGCCGTCAGCAGATGATGGCGCAGGCGCATCATCATCGTGGGAGGCAACTCGCTCGGCTGCCCTACCTTCCATCCTCGGCAATTCCTATTCGTCGCCGTCTCGGATGGGCTCGTAGTTCGAGGGTCCGCCAGAACCGCCAAATAGACGACTGAGTAGACTTGGTCCTTGCGAATTTGATTTTACTCGCACATGAGCGCGACTGCGCGAGGACCGTCTTGATACAAGAGATGCCCTCTCCGATTCTTCTTCTTCGAGTCGCTCTTCCAGTTCTTCTGAACAGCCAATGAGTGGACAACCGTAAACAGAATCGCTCAGCTTACCTTCGCCGAAGACAGCATCCATCTCCTCCAGCGGAACTCCTTTGGTTTCAGGATATACTGCAAACGATAATCATCTAGATATTCACATGGGGATATTCGCAGATACTCACAGAAGTAGACTTAATCATGCACCATGATCAGTAATAGTTCGCTACAACACAATTATCAACAACACTCACCTAGTACGAAACTACATGCACAGAAGAATCCGTGCATAGGATACAGACGCCATGCAATCTGTTCCTGTAGCCAGGGAGTAGTTTCTCCAACCAGGAAATTGAATGCCCAATTGGTGGCAGTGGAAATGGAAACACCTTTGGCGCGCACAGTCAGCGGTAAAATTTCTGGTGGGACTATCAATCCTATGTCAGAGCGCCTCAACTACTAAACAAGTAGCGTCTCACAAGCCCATGGAATGGGTCCCCAGCTGAGAATGTCGTGAGCACATAACAACTGTAAAGTGAGAGTGGACAAACCTGTATCCAAACGCCGCATTGAATATGATCACACATGCCACTACAGCGCGAGGTGTCTCGGGAACGTCAATATACATCCACCATCCGGTGAAGCCTAGCGCAATCCCCATCTAGAGGACGCTTAAGCCTCGCAAACACAGAAGAGCAGCTTACGACACATACCACTACAGCTCCCGTTAGCAGGATAAAACGTCGACCAACGCGGTCCACTAGATACCATCTACCAGCGTAAGATCAACAACAAGGTGTCATGTTCTGCAAAAAAAGAACTCACGGAGGAAGAGTACTGAGGAGATAAATGATCGCGTTGATACCCGTCATCAGGATGGCGTCCCGGCCTATCCATCCTGCCTCTACAGGGTCGTTAGCAGAAAATAATATCACTCAGACGGTGGACATACCTTCGAATACACGAGCTTACATCCCGAAACCAGTTCAGTATCTGACACAACATTGGAAAAAATAACTATCTTACGGGCATAGTACGAGATAACTGTGAGCACTACGGGTTAGTCCCACGGACAAAACATGAATTACTGCTGTTACCGTTTATTCCGTTCTGTGGGAGCACACTCAGGTCAGCGGAGGAATAACGTCACAGATCAAGAAACTCACAAGCTGTGCAAATGCTTGCGCCGACATGGCAAGTAAGACACGACGCTTGTATCTCTTCCACATCATCGCGTATGTACGGCCTTCACCACTCTCGCGCTGGCATGTCTATCAGCGTTTACACCCTCAGCTCGGAAATATTTCACCCACTTCAAACACGACGCTATCCTTAATCTCTCGGAACTCCTCGTTGGCGACTACGTCGTGTGGATCACCTCCATGGAGGTCAACAATTACCTGCATGCCCTCGACATCCTTGTCAGTGTCTATGAGCCACCTAAACCGACATTAGTCATTCTGTGCGATGCACAATCCCACGAGTTATATATCGTACCGTGGACTCTCAGGCATCAACAACGAACCCAGAGCGAGAAGAGCTCCAATTACACACTGGATGAAGAGCGGGACCCTCCAAGATAGATCCGAATTAATGAAGGAACAAAAGTAATCTATCCACTGCACTCCGAAATAAGCTGCTGCAAGCTTGAAGGGGACGCGAAAATCATACCACCGATGACGCATATCCGAAGATATTTCCAGTGAATTCCATGCACGCGAGTGCACCTCTCTGTAACAGCATCTTAGTTGCGCACGCAGACGAAACGGTGGAAGCGGCATACATGATCAGGAGGAGAAATTTCGCTTTGATAAATGGGAACGATTGTGCTGATGCACATTTAGCAAAGGAGAACCAACTGCCCACGGAGAGAGAGAGAGAGAGAGAGAGAGAGAGAGAGACTCACGACAGTAGTCCTACCCCGAAACCAGCTATTACCCGACCCACAACCATTATCCAGAAGCCGGGCGTAAACGTTTGGACGGCACCGCCGACAGCGAAGACGATAGCGCCAATAAAAAGTGTACCTCTACGACCGAGCATATCACCAACGCGACCAGCTGCAACAGAAGTGACTGGACATCTGTTGGAGTATGTAGATGTAGGAACCGAAGAGAATCTCACTGAAAGCTCCAATCTCTAGGACGGCAACCATCGTACCGACCTCGATTGGCCCTGGATTGTTGAAGAATTTCCGGAAGTGGGGTCCGGTGATAACTCCAGACATGACACTGGCCACACAGTTCAGGTCGACATGTATAGGAGAAAACAGATTCACCCACCCTTGGTCATATCCGAACTGGGCACGAGGATCAGGAAGATGCACCGGGACATACAGTACGTGTTGACTCACCAGAAAGACACCAAGACTGGCAAAGACAGATATAGCGTACAACAAAGGCTGGCCCACTAGCCTGCGTCGTGAGCGGGGTGTTGGTGCCTCCATGTCGCATCAGAGTCAACGAAGGTATTGAAGGGAAATATTGTCGGATATGGTGTAGGGAAAGAAAGAGTAGGGGCACAGGTTTGCGCACGCGAAGGACTGCAGGACAAACTTTACGATGGAGTCCGAGTCTCCACTTACATACTGTACATCGCAGACGGCATGTCCTGCCGGCACGGTGTCACGGTGGATCCGCGTGATCACGTTCTCTGAACAGGTTGACGCGGGTCCACCACCATGCCAGAGTCCGTCGAATCTCTTGATAGTGTTTCGTTGGTCTCAGATGACTCTTACGATTCTGACGAAGAGGAACGTATGGCCGAGGAAGAGTGGAACGAGAGCTTGGGACAGCTGCAGCAACTCTTTGCTCTCGTGCTGCTCCCACTTCTTGGAAAGTGGTTGGGCAGAAGATGGTTGCATTGGGGTGAGCAGGAATTTATCTGAGTACCGGGAGACTCTTAATGCCTTCTGCGTATTGCAGCCTTTGCGCGTTACGTGAGGCTTGGCCTTGGAACGTCGTTCTTCCTCGGCGAGAAGGTGCTGACATCTTCGTTGGCTTGAGTATCGTTGGGCAATCTTCCGCTTTAGAGTACGTACAACGAATCGGTATATTATATGTAGCTGGCCGGTCCACCCTGCATTTTTAGCACCGTTCGTGTTCTGATCTTCTGTATTAGATTCTTCAACGCCCCTGCTGGTACATACCCGCTTTTTCGGAGGTCCCCAACCAGCTCGTTTGCCAGCGCCCATTCCTGCTTGGCCAGTAAGCCTTCCAGGAGAATATACCAGGTGTCACCGCCGATAAACATCTTCCGCTTCGTCATCTCTCTGTAGTATCGTAGCGCGTGCTGGACTCCCGCATGTTCCCGGTTTCCTAGACAAGTGCGGATCAAGAGGTTGTAGGTCACCTTGTTTGGTTGTATGCCACGAGCCTGCATCTTTTCCAATATGCGTTGCCTGTAATCTTCAACTACACGGGGATCAAGCCAGTTTCCGCGGTGAATACCCGTCAAGATACTGGTATACGTGACTTCGTTCGGCTGCATGTCGGGCAACTCGCTCTGCTCCATCTTCGAGAGTAGCTCGAGAGCTCCACGGAAGCTGGATTCCGTCTGCGCCCTCATCTGGTGGTCGATGATTGCAGATATCGTGGCAGCGTTCGGCTCGACGCCCTGTTTCTTCATCAAACTGATGACGATCTGTGGTGCGTCGTCCCGTACTTTGAGTAGTGCAGAAAGGACGATGGAGAAAGTAAACACGTCTCCGACGATTCCAGCTGGCTCGATCATTTCCAGGACGTCTGCCAACTGCTTCAGGTCCCCTTGCTTTCCGTAATACCGGAGAATTGTATTGAACGTGACGATGTCAGGTTTAGGACCCTCTGTCTGCAATTGCTGAAGGAGATTGCGTGCTTCGATCTCCCGCTGATTGAACAGGAGACCGTGAAGTACAGTGTTATAGACAACGAGTACTGTAGACTCCTCAGGACGAGGGGACAGTTTAGGAAGTGATTCTTTGAAAGCTCGGAGTCTCTTCATGGCTTCGTCCGGCTGGCCTGCATAAAAGAGGGCATGTATCAGGGCACGATGCGTCATTGCGTCGGGCTTGAACCCCTGCGCAAGCATGACGTTCCACGTATCCACAGCCATATCGACAACTCGGAGCTCGGCATAACCATCGATTAGGGCATTCCATGTGACAATACTTGGACGTATTCCGAGCCGAATCATATCGTCCCAAAGTTTCTCAGTGAGGTCTATTCGTCGGCATCGCAGAAAACCTGTTATGAAGGAAGCCCAGGCGAAGTCAGGCATGACAACTAGTCCGTGAATGTTCTTCTCCGATGCATTAGCAGTCAAACATGGATTTGGCCCCGACATCCCCTCTATAATGGACCTGTAGAACTTCTCCAACGCCTTGTCTGCAAAATCCCTCGTGAGATTTGCGATCTGCCTAGAGAATGCACCAGGTCTGGCAACAAGTCTCGCCGCGTTCAGATGCGGAACGTACAGAGTAAGCTTGTCGCGGAGAGGATGGTCATGACCAAGGTGTCGCAGAAGCTCTTCATATGAGCTGAGGTGAATGCGGGCCCTAACCTGTAGAGCAGCTTGCAGGGCCTCGTCATAGGAATTCTGTATGATATGGGCAGTGACTGCGAGGAGTAAGATGTCACCTTGTACGAGAGTGTAAACAGGCGATTGTATGGTTACGTCTGTGCTGGATTCGTCTTCATCCTTTACATCCTCCTTGATGTCATCTACTTGCTGCCGAGGATCATTCTCTTGCAGAAGCGACAGATAAAGCTGATACGAATGGAGAACTGCATTCGCATCACCAAGTTTGACGTATGAAAGCATATACGCCTTCAGGCCCTCGATAGCACCCCCACTTGCTGCTACCACAGCTATCTCTTCCAACGCTTCAGCCTCCACGCGGCTCCAAGGAAGATCCGGAGATCTGGCATCACAGACTGCAGCAACATATCTGGAGTACACGTCATGGTGTGATGGTCCAAAGAAAGCGAGTAAGTTCTTCGCTTTGAGAGTCGTCCAAAATCTCCAAGCTTTCGTGATGTTCGAGGTCTCGAGAGCGTGTCTAAGCTCTGGTATAACTCTGTTAAACAACGCAACCTGCGAATCTGTAGGAGCCCCGACCAACTGATCGTGGAAAGCTTGGATTTGTAAATCCAGTTTGTTTAGAATGGTGGCAGGACTGTAATTGGAGGACGTGGAGGCGGTGGGTATATGTGGCACATTTGGCTTGTTAGAACCATTGTGTATCTGTAGCTTCACAGGTGCCTTCTTCGACGCGTTCCGCGTGAAGATAAGGCCTGGAACGAGGAAGTCGAGAGAGACGGGTGACGCGATTTTATGACAGGCATTTCGGAGAAGCATGTAACGCTAATCTGAAAAACAGCGACGTTGTGAGATGGTCAGAACACACATAACCGCGTCCACATACCTCAGGATAAGCCAACCTGGCGAACTCAAAGCCGGAGTGAATATTTGGCCCTGCGGGCGCTTGAGTAGGTGTAGACTCACGTGACTGCACCGACGACCGTCACGGTGAACGGCCTTTCCAAAGTCTTTTCTCTTTCATCCCAAACCGCGTCCTTCATTGATTTCCGACCTGCAGAACGACCTGTTTACACAATGGGCCACGGTAATTCAAACAAGCTTTACGTCACGCATGCAGAGCATTCTGGGTTATTCGGTCAGCACACGGCCTCTTCAGCAGGTTTCAAGGCGTCGGTATCTGTTGGTTCTGGAGAAAAACATGTCGCTCACTTATCACATAGGAAGAATCAGGGGCCTCCTCCCTCAGCGAGCACCCCATTTGACTGCTGTGCTCTGTCATTGCAACCCTTCACACATCCTGTATGCGCTCGCAATTCAGACGGAACGGGTTTCGTGTTCGATTTGGTGAACATTATACCGTGGCTGAAGTGAGGTGTCTTGCATAGGGATCACTACCTCTAATGACTGTTCTATCCCGAACAGACAGCACAAGAACACAAATCCAATAACGAAGGAGCCATTAGTCCCCGAGGATCTCATTACTCTGCACTATGCCCACAAGCCTACCGGGGAAATCCATGATCCCATATCTTTCAAGCCCTTCAGTGAGCACTCCCACATCGTGGCCATTGCATCTACAGGCAACGTCTTCCTTGCGGAGAGCATCAAGGGTGGTCGCGACCTCGTCGCTGACGTTAAATTTAAGAAGTACCGGAGTTCTGAACCGCAAGTGCGTGCTGGTCTAACGGTTTCTGTTCTAGGGAGGAAGTTATAATCCTTCAAAATCCACATGGCTTACCTTCTGCGTCCGTTGCAGCGCCTGCAGCGAAGACCACATCATCTGAGCAGACGAAAACGGTTGCAACCAAACCGAGTGCAAGTGCATCGACTGCGCCAACAGTCAAAAAGGCACCTGTTCCTTGTAGGTGCATTCATAAACGTGCTCACTGTTTAGTCAAACTTTCTTCCATTGTAGGGAATATTTCGCCGTATTCGACAGGGCTTCCCGGTGCGTCGCTGACTTCCACGTCTGTTGATCCGCAAACTGCAAGTTCCCAGCTTGCCTGGGACGAGGTATGTACGGTGTACCTATTTTCGTCTTCCAGCTTACGATCGCGTATCGAGTACAGGAGGAGTTGATGTTTGACGATTTCGCGAATCCGCCCAAGGGCAAGGGCAAGGAGAAGGATCTTGGGAGACGTCGCGCCTACGTGCGCGTTGTTACTAGCCTCGGCGGCAGTCTTAACATGGAGTTATTCTGCGAAAAGGTGGTGTGCAGCCTATGCATATCAATAAGCGGCGGATTTGACTTGCTGTATTAGGCTCCGAAGACTTGCTATAATTTCCTACAACTGGCAAAAGCCGGGAAGTACAATGACTGTTTGTTCCATCGACTCGTGCCTGGATTCATGGTGCGCTCTTATACTGTCTGCTTGGATGCAGCTAGTAGGCATTCGCTCATCATGTCTTGCCAGATTCAAACCGGTGACCCGACCGGTACTGGTTCAGGAGGCACATCATGCTGGGGAACCCCATTCAGGGACGAATATGACATGAGAAATGCTGCGAAGCACGACGCGCGTGGTACTGTAGCTATGGCTAACAAGGGTTCCGGGACAAATGGGTGCGTGTCCTTCGATGTTTTATCATTGAGAAGTGGTTGAAGTTGACTCCATCGTCCTCGTAAGCTCACAATTTTACATCACGTTCCGCGAGACACCGAATCTAGACAAGAAGCATACCGTCTTTGGGAAGCTTGTCGGTGGTGAAGAAGTTCTCGACACTTTAGAATCGATCCCAGTGAAACCAGGAACTGATCGACCTGTGAAGTCTGTCCGCATCACCGAAGTCGTTATGTTCGTGTTCAAAGCCTGATTACATTCGACCATAGTAACCTCACCTCCCCCTTCCCAGACATCAGGATCCCTTTGAGGAATACAAAACTCGCCAGCAAAAGAAGATTGCACGCAGAGCTGAGGCCGAACAGAACGCACGTACTGGTAAGGTTGTTGAAAAGAAGGATGGAGATGATGTGAATTGGTTTGGCATTAAGGTGGGTTTGGAAAGCACAGCTGTGGGAGGCAATTCGGGGGGAGGTGTTGGAAAATATTTGGGCTCAGGTGGTGGCACAAAGAGAGCGGCTTCACACCAGCCATTGATATCCACTCTAGATCCAGAAGTACCGGAGGAGGGCAAGAAGAGACGGAAAATAGGGTTTGGCGACTTCGAAGCATGGTAGAGGTCAACATCTCCCGCATATGTGTTGCACATTCGTATATATACAGTACAGGCATAACGTTACATAGGGAATCAGGCGACGACAGGTATGCGTTCGCGTTTCTGTGGAACCCTGCTTGCTTCCTCTGTAATAATATCATTCAGTGAAGTCGATACTGAAGATGGTGAAAATCATAATCACCTGCAGGTGGTGCTGCAACAGGCTCGGCGGTAGGTGCTGATGGAAGTTCGGGAAGCATGTCGGGTTTTCCGATCTATACATAGGACTGTCAGCGTCGCTGCAATGGGAAGAGCTTCACGACTAACTGCTTCTCGTTGCAGTTCCCGCAGCTCTGTTTGGACTGCTTCCTCATCTTCAACTGTGAGATTATTTGCAAGCATCTCGTCAATTTCCTGAAAAATTGCAGGTGTAAGTAAACGTTCGCACAGAGCTTAGGGCAAGAGGATGTACCCTTTGATACTCTCTTGCTTCCTGTGTTTCTTCTAACAGCTTCTCGACCGTCTCTACATTCATTTCTTCGTGGATCTTCTTGAGCACTTCGTTTCCTTGTTGCAGCCCATGTAGTACGGAAACTTGTATCAGAGAAAATTCGATGGTCGAAACCTAAGTCGCATTGGTATGTGATCAATCAAAACACTGGAGCAGAGGGTTCTTCTTACTAAACTCTCCAAATTCTCCAGCTGCCCATCTGTCTTCAGCAAGAGAGTCTCCTGATACTTGCGTTTACGCAGAGCAAACAGAGCACGGTCCTTGTTCCCAGCAGCCAAGTGTTGCTTCGCTATCTCATATTCGCGTTCGAGGACAGCTTGGATCTTCCCCGGGGCTGTTACGACGAGCCCGATTGAGAGCAATCATGGCACACACCTTCTTCTGGTATTGCCTTACTTTGTCTCGCTGCAACTTAAGACTGTAGGTCGGTAATTATGGAGAGTCGGTGGCTGGCGGGAATGACTTACTCGAGAATCGCCTTGTCCTGTGCAGTAATCTTGGGGAGCGATTGGCTAGTACCCATCTGTTCGAGTAAAAGACTGCCCAGCAGAATAATGGCAATGAGTGGTCTCAGTGTCCAGCTGAGAGTGGTTGGTGTATGTGGTCAAGGTTTCAAGGCACACGCTGATACTGAACACCTGATGACGTCCATAACCATAGACGCCCGATGATTCCGATCGAACCAGTCTCGGCCCAACACAAACCTGATGCCCTTTCAATTAAACAGGCCAAGTAAGTACAGCATTAGATTCCTATATATGTGTGCGAGGCAGAACACAATAAATACAGTCCAACACTACCCTTAGGCGCGTATTGGGTGCGACGATCCGTGCAAACCTCCCGAGCCTCCAGAGAAAGAGAACTTGTCAGGTACTGCTGACGTATGAACAGCAGACATGGAAGCCACATACTCTTCACCACAGTTCTGCGTGATGAAGTCTTGGAGCATTTTCGTGTAGCGTACTGGGAGTCATGTCAATCTCACGACGAGTCAGCTAAAAAAACAGGAGACATACGAGCAACGGGGAAGCGGTCCCCCACTCGAGTGATCATTGCGCTAAATTGATGAATGTCGTCGGCTCACTGCATCGTGCATGTAGAAGCAACGGAATTGGTTCTCACCGGATATAATCTATCTCAGCTCGTAGAATATCACACTGTTCCTTGACTTTTAACTCGATAGCGACCCGCATGAATCGCACCAATATTCTGCCAGCCATGTACCAACAGATCTGACAAAGATGTGAGGGAGACGAGTTCCGACAGAAGGCAATGGCAATCTTCATACCATCGGAAATATGCCAAGAAGTGACAGATCGTAGCTCGTGGAGGACACGCCGTGCAGCAAGTCCAGGATTGCCCGCGCAGATGTCAAGATCTTCCTTGACGAGACACAAGTCGATCGTCCGACGATAGCGTGAGTTTCGTGAAGCAGAATCTGTGCACTTGACATGACAAACCAATCAGTGAGTTTATCCATGACATCAGCATAGAAGAGCACCTACAGATGTGACGCCGTCAAAGAGATGAAAAGATGTGCATCAACGCCGTGACTCTCCATTGGGTCCTTCATATGCTGCGGGAAGGATGCCTTGAACGCGATGATAAGGTCATCCAATTCCATGAACGCAGGAGTCTTGCGGATGTCCGTGAAGTCCGAGCGTCCAGTGTTGTCTGGACTGTTAGTTGGGGACATCGTTGCTGGATCTTTCGTATGATGTCTCGCACGGAATCTACAGTTGAAGTTCTTGACCCGAGAAAGTAGTATGGAGGACTTGACATAGAGGATGAACGAATCTGTTTGGTCAGCAGGATGGACGAGTAGCACATCGTTGTCGTGTGACCACTGTCGGTCATCATGACGTACAAGCACCTGCTTTGAGCATCAGTGCGACGATACCTAAGGAAAAGGATGAAATAAACTAACCCCTTTGTTGAAATGATCGCCACGGAGAGGCAACAGCTGTGAGACATCTTGATCGTCCAGCATCATCGCCCATCCATTTCCACACCCTTGAGTCCGCTCCAAAGTATACGCTTGTAAGAGTAAATCAGGAAAGACGAAACAGGATGGACACCCCTAAATACCTAGCCAAAAGGTGTTGCGCCTCACTTCGTCCTCGATCACAGTGGCAGCTGGGTGTAGGACGGCGGCTGGTTTAAACGATTGCGCGATTGTGTGAAAGGGTGGACAAATGTTCAACCCGCAAGGAACGGCCGAACGTAGCGACTTCGCGGCTCCGTTGTACGCCTGAGCATGAAAGTCAGATCGAATTGTTCAAAGACTTAAGTTCAACGAACTCTAACCTCTGACCACCTTCGACAAAATATACCACTAGTGAGCAGAAAAAAGCAGAAAAGAAGGATTTTAATTACATGCCGTTCGCCCAATACCACCAACTTAGAATGATCAAAGCTACACCAAAGTATTTGAGCGCTTTGCTAATAGATGTCTAAGCCGAGCGGCAGCACCTTGTACACCTTGGAAAAGGTCCACACCCAGATGCACGGAGTCCTCGATGGCTACAGTCGCGAACTTGGCCTGTGACTCGGCGAAAGAATCGGGCCTGCCCTCAATCACTTTGTATTTCTCCGTGAATGGGTCGTCTACTAAGGACGCGTGATTAAAATATGCAAGGGTGTATAAAGAAGCTCACATGGAGAAAAATCGAAGGTCGCCATGGAAGGTGGTGAGGGCATAGCTGCAGTATACATGCTCCCCATTGCGCACATCGCATGTAGCAAACCGGTCGAAGGGAAATCAGGATGAGTAGGGGGTAACAACAGTGATGTCAAGAATGTCGGAACGTGAAACAAGCGTTCAGCATCGACGTTATGTGAGAAGAAAGCTTCAATGCTGCGAGAATTCAGCTAACAATACCACAGTGTACCATAAATGCTTGGGCTTACAGATGTCGAACAAGTTCAGGGCTTGGAAGCGTGCGCGGCCAAGACAGAAACATGAGGTCTTCGTTGGAACTACCAGAAGACATCGCAGAACGACTAGATCGACCATCAACTTGATTTCCGGGATCAAGCAATGTAGTTGAACTGTCGGCGCCAGATATCGCAGAAGACAAGGGATTGTCAATGAGACTGGCTACGTCTGCGAGGTCATCCAATGCAGATGCCACCGGCATCGGAGGGAGAAACGGCCTTGGATCTGGCTCGAAAGGCTTGTTGGCATTGTAAAGGTCATATCCGACTACGCCAACTCCTGGTGTATGGGCCGTAGCTAACGCGTCTGGACTGTTCCCGTTGGAGAAGATAAAATTCGGACCGCCCAAATCGTTTGGCCGTGGTAGGCTAGAAGAAGATGAGTCCTTCTCGTACAACGTTGCTTCAAGTTCGCCTACACAGGGAATGAGGGGTTAAGCGTAGAAACCGCTGAGTAACACTTACTAATGCGGTTCTCCAGCACCTTTAACTGATCGTCAGATAACTTACCGGTCTCCTCTTCAGGGACTGTAACATCGATATCGGTTATTGGCATGAAGAAATGAGTGCGCAGGACGTACTATCATCATATGTGCATTCGGGGTGAGGGGGTAGCTCGGCACCCGCTGGGGCATGGGACAGGGCATATTTATGAGAGCGCAAACAGGTTGAACATGGCCTCTTGGCGTCGCTGTGCCAGAGTCAATGGTTGGATCTGGATTAAGTTCTGTTGATCGGGAACACACCATTTCTGCCGAGAACATCAGTTACCGATGAACTGTCAACGAATACAAATGCTGAAGCGTACCAGTTTACGCCTGCGACATTGGTGGCATGCCTGCGGATACAGGGGGATGAGACACAGGCAGAGGGGGTCGGGTAGGGGTACTGACTTGGTTCCGTCGGAGAATATGAGCACTGCGAAGAGGCTCGGACGAGGAAGCGTGAGCCCGAGATGGTGTGGCTGTCGCCTTCGGCATTCCGAGTCGTAACTTAGACGGGATTAGAGAGATGGAGGACGGTGTAGAGATGCCCGACGTGACAAATCTTCCGCTACCAAACGCCGCACTGCTCACCATCCGCAGCTAGGTATCCGCTTACGTACGGCGCTGATCTACCGTTGTGCTCCGAGTCGGTGGCACCAACAACTCAGACTCTTCCGCGACACCGAGTTCATGTGAGACTGCACCCGCGACATTGCCTGAATTCAACCCTTCTCGACGTCTCCCGTACCTGAACATGATAAGTATTCCACGGGATCCGGACCCCCGCTTCTGTCGCGTGGCTGAGACGTATACCCAATCTTCCACACTCATGAGAGTTATCAATCGATCTCACTTATCTCCTGACTCGGAGGACCGTAATATAGTATGATACTATAAGAGTGCCGCACAGTGGTAGTTGTTCCCCAAGCACTTCACAAAAGTCTTGCTCACCATGAAGATCGATTGGAACAAGGTAGACCAGCCTGAGATCGTCTTTCAACGATTCCCGAGCAGGAGATCGCAAGTGTACGGAACGAAAGGGATCGTTTCATCTTCGCAGCCTCTTGCTACCGAGGCAGGTTTGGAGATCCTCAGAAAGGGCGGTAATGCTGGTGAGCAGCCGCTTCTAAATTAACATATCCGCCATCTCCTCAACTCGCGACATGCAGCTGACGCCGCGGTCGCAACTTCTGCGGCACTCAACGTCACTGAACCAAGTTGCTGCGGCATTGGCGGGTAAGCACCCATCGTCTGATTAATCAGCTCACGATCGACATCGGGACAGAGATGCATTCTGTCTGTTCTACGACGTCAAGACGAAGACTATCAAGGCCTTGAATGGCTCCGGACATTCACCTGCTAAGCTCACCATCGATCATATTCGCAAGCGAGGCATTACTGGGAACAACATCCCGGTAACCGATCTCAACTCGGTCACTGTTCCGGGTCAGTCATTCTGTACATGGTCCGAGCTTGGAGCTTATGCGCCGCATGTTTGTAACACAGGTGCCGCTGCCGCATGGGTAGACACTGTCAAGAAGTTTGGGAGCGGTAAGCTTTCTGTGGCGGAGGTCCTTGCACCTGCTATCAGACTTGCGGAGGAAGGGTAAGCTGCATACGCGATCTACTATTCCTTGTACTCACATCATCCAGAGTTCCGGTGTCAGAAATTCATGCATACAGTGTACGTACACTTCTGGGATAACGCCTGGCTGCTCTGTTCATTATGCATCGTCTCACAGTGGAAGAGGTCAGAAGACCTGATTAAGAACGCTTCTCCGAACGGAGATGAGATGCTTCTCAACGGCAAAGCGCCCTTGCTGGGACAAATCGTTCAGCTCCCCAATCTCGCGCAGACGTTCCGCGCGCTCGCGGAGCAAGGCAAGGATGGATTCTATAAGGGGCGGGTTGCCGAAGCCATTGTAGATTTGATCCAGAGCATGGGCGGCGTGATGGAACTCGAGGATCTCTCCAAACACGAGACGTCATTCGTCGAGCCCATCAAGTACACATTCAACAACGAGGTTACGGTGTACGAGGTGCGTAGTGGCGTTGTGGCCGCCACTGTTGCTTCATCTTTTGCTAGTGCCCGCCCAACGGACAAGGTATAACTGCTCTTCTCGCTCTTGGAATCCTCGACAACATGGAGGAACAAGGCAAGATAGGATCGCTACTGGAGATGGAGCACAATTCTGCCGAATATCTCCATGCTCTTGTCGAAGCTCTACGGTGGGTTCGCTTTTAGTGTGTTGGCTTGAGTGTGACTGAATGCCCACGACAGGCTCGCATTCGCTGGTATGTGTTTTCTCTTTTGAAGGACAACGCGATGACTGGAACCATTTCATCTTCACAGATAGCCAGTACTATGTCACTGATCCGGACACCGCTCACATACCTGTCACAGAGCTCTTGAGCAAGGTGAGACTGTCCAGTCAAGTCCATGACACGTCGCTAATTCCGTCGTAGGAATATCTGGCTTCGCGTGCCAAACTTTTTGAATCCACCAAATCCAATGATGTCGTCCATGTAAGACACGCCGTGGTACTAAGTGTCCCCCTCTCATAGTAACGATCATCCATGCATTCAGGGAAACCCCGTGAACTCCTCCGACACAGTCTATTTCTCTGGTGCATATTGCTGTCATCTAGACGTAGATGCATGACTCATTTCTTAACCCAGTTGCCGATCAATGGGGAAATGCGTGCAGTTACATTCAGAGCAACTATGCAGGTCAGTGTCCTGACATGGTTTTGGGTCCCCGTCGCTTTTTTAATGCCTGGAGACCCACCTAGCAGGATTCGGAACTGGAGGTAAGCAGACAGAAACTGCTTGGTCCCATTGGTGCTTACTCCTTCGCCGCAGCTGTCCCGAAGGGCTGCGGTTTCACTCTGCAAAACCGAGGGTCCAACTTCAACCTCACTCCGGGTCACCCTAATGCCCTGAAGGTACATCACAAATGCAGTGAACACTCCCGTGCGATTGCTGATTCACCCGTCCCCAGGGAGGCAAGCGGCCCTACCACACAATCATCCCAGCCATGGCCCTCCGAGGAGACGAACTGTTCCTGAGCTATGGGGTCATGGGCGGATTCATGCAGGTACAGACCCGCCTTCATCGCCGAGCTATGCGCGCATAGCTGACAGTTCTTGCTTGCCCACCAGCCCCAAGGCCATGTCCAGGTCCTGCTGAACTTGCTTCGTGGATACACCGCCCAAGCCGCGCTGGACGCGCCGCGCTTCTGCATCTCCGCCGGCAGCCCGGAGACGCAGAGTGGGCAAACTGGCACCGCGGGCGATGTCAACAGCGAGGTGTACTTCGAGGAGGGTATCCCCGATGCTGTCCTCGAGCAGCTGAGAGGTGAGCGCCGGCAGTGTATCGCGTTTGCGGGAGGGCTGACGGCGAGTTCGCAGCGATGGGTCACGATGCGCGTCGCGTTAGTGGAATGAGTCGCGGGATGCTGGGGCGTGGCCAGATTATCCAGCGCATCGTGGATCCGTCTGGTAGGACGGTGTGGGGGGCAGGTTCAGACCCACGCGCCGATGGGCATGCAGCGGCACAGATCTAGGACCATCGCTTGACTGCACACGAATCTACAGACGATCTAAAGTCAAAGGCAAGCGAAGAAATGCGGTATGTATCCTTATGAGAAGCATATTATCAGATGTATGCATGCGCGAGATGTATGTACCATCCAGTCACAGCAGAGTGTCAGAAGACGCGATCCAATTACATCCAGAGCATGACAGCATACCAGGTGTCCCGAGAATATACAATGCAGCAGGCAATAAAAATGCGTCAAGAAAACGAATACTGTAGCGAACTGTCCGCATTGCTCACATCCACCTCTCCTTCTGCCGCTCGCTACCTACCATATTGCGGCGTCTGTACTCGCGGAGCTCGCGCGTTTTGTCTTCGCCGCTCACCTTCCCCCACCCCGCGAGCGGCACGACGATGACCGTCGCGTTGTCCTCACTGCCCATCTCCTCTGCGTACGCGAGGATGCGCTGTGCCGCATGGCGCGGGCTGAGCGCGCCGCGTGCGAGGTCGGTAATCTCGTCGTCAGACACGACGGACGACACACCGTCGGAGAGGAGCGTGATGTGCGAGAATTCGCCGCCTGCCGGCCGGCAGTGTCAGCGCGTGCGCGTGCAGAGATAATGCACAGACTGACCCTGTACGAGATGCGTGCGCACTTCCGGCTCCGGGGTCACCCCGTAGGGCTTGAATTTCATGTCACCGAGACTGCGATAGCGAGGAAACGCAGTTAACCGTCACGGTAATGATGAGTGTGCAGCTGTAGGCGCTAACCTGCGTGTGTTGGCCAACGCGCCCATCCACCTATACAGCACAATGACGCAGAATCAGAGAAGGCGTAGATTAGGCGCAGGGAGAACGAGCTGTGTCGCACCGTGTCTCGCCAAAGGAGTCTGCGATCAGGCTGCTGACCATCATCCTGCGGAGCCGCGCAGTCTCCACACGTGCGTCGGCATGGTGGTTTTCGGTCATGGGGATGAACTTGCCTCCGTCCATCGAGCACAACAATACACGCGTGTCACTGCGATACATTCATCAATAAGTATACCAGGTGCACGGACGGCGAGTACAAAGTGATGATGGAAGGCAAGATAATGACTCACCCCACATGTGCGACGGTGAGCGCTATCTTCTCTGACGCGAAGAAAGGTGTGGCGGAGTTGTCGAGGGATTGGAGGAGGACTACAGAAGCTGTTGCGCCGCACTCCTTGGCCGCGTTCTCTATTGCGAGCATCCTGTCTACCTGCGCGCCATGTTTGGCTACACTCGGTAGTACGGGAGGTATGACGCACCTCAAAGAACGCCAAGGTTGCTCGTGCTTCCAAGTCCAGCTCTTGACTGGCATCGGGTGAACTAGGTCGTATCCAAGGGGCCAGGGCGCCGCCCTTGAACCGCTTGAAGTACCCGCCGAGTTCCTTGGCCCAAGCAAATAGCTCAGGTATTTGTGACTTGTCTACGTTCTCGAAGAGACCGTGCAATTCCTGGCGGAGAAATCCGGACACCGTGGAACCGCCATGACCGTCGTATATGCCCACGAAGAGGACCTGACGAGCTAAGGCGTCTGGCAGTGCTGACGGATCCCAGTCTATTTGGAAAGACTTCTTGAGACTTAGACGGAGCTCCTCGGGGTTAAGCGAGAGAGAGACGAAGGAGTAGAAGTCCTCCTGGGTCCTAGAACGAGATCAGATGCAAAGGAAGACATCCAGATTCGGAGACATACAGTCGCTCTCCACGAGATGAAGCGACACCTATGATTTTGGGGTTATTGAGGAGGAGACGTGCGGAGCCTCCTATAGAAGAGGGCGAGAACGTTCAATAGAGCAGTGGCGTGTGAGACGTAGGAATTCACCTGGGGTCGAGAAGCGGATATAGTCATGATAGCGGGCGATGTTCTTCTGTACGAAGGTACGTGGTCTGGATTTTGTGAGTACGGGAGACTGGAAGGAGTGCCAAAGTCGAAAAGCCATGCGAAGCTGCTGGGCCCATCGACTTGACCATCGAGAATTTCCAGTGAATTTCCTGGAGATTTCTGTGCGAGTGAACTCGACGCGCGTGTCATGTAGACTGACTAAGCAGGGATCTTATCTGACAAGGACGCGTCGCGTGTCCGCGTATAAATAGCGTCTCGACGCACATTCGTCGACGCGTTCTTTAACTTCCCCGTCCAAATGCCTAAGTTATAACTTTCGTCAAATATTCGCGCTCGGAATCACTGCTGCATCGTCATGTGCTGGACCACCAGTGACGGGAATGTACTGTGCCTCGCGCTGACTTCGCTGCTCTCCCATAAATACTCCCCGAATGTCTCCCGTCCTTCCCCCCGTCCTCCAGGTCTTTCCCCTCAGCCTCGCGGTGCTTCCTTGGTCACCCAAGCATGTTGAATACCGTTCTTCTCCTCGCATCTCTTACGCTGGTCCTTGCAGCACCGACCATTGATCCTGCCTCGTCGATCGCAGGTTCCACCGTCAGCTTTTCCTTCCCACCCGCAGGTGCCACGTTCACTGCATATGAAGCCTACTTCCCCGGTGCTTCAGAAGTTGGATATCCCGGTCCCACTCCTAGTTGGTATCTTTTTCTTCTGTCCGTAGTCGGTGTACTCATCCTGTAACCTTACTCAGCTGGTGATGAGGCGGAGGCTATCCAGACTGCTCCCGCTGCGGCACTCAACCTCGATGCCTACCCTCTCGTGAACCCATTGGCCCAGTACACAGGAGATGTCCCTTCGTTCAACACTTTGCACCACTGGGGAAACCTCGGTCCTTGGTATTCTGTCGGTGAAGCCTTCGGTCTGCCTGGCGCCTCACCACAGATTCCTGCTGGGTGTGAGCTCACGCAAGTCCATCTTCTCCATCGCCACGGTGCCAGGTACCCTACGTCTGGTTCGGACCCGGGCCAGTTTGCGGCCTTCGTGCACTCGGCCGCCGAGGGCGCCGGTTTTACTGCGACCGGTCCCTTGGAATTCTTGAATTCGTGGACGTACAAGCTTGGCGCTGAGATATTGACTCCGTTCGGTCGGGAACAGCTGTGAGGTTCTCGATCCGTGCTGTTGTGGAAACGTACTAATAGTGACTTCATGTAGCTACGAACTCGGTGTGGGCTTCCGGGTGAAATACGGTGAACTCTTGAAGGGGTTCAATGCTCTTCCAGTATGGCGGACAACCTCAGAGGGTAAACCCTTGAACACTTTCGCCTTATGTTGCAGAAGACTGATTGCTCCCATCAGAGCGAATGGTTGACTCTGCGTCAGTGCAGTGGATTTTTTTTGCGCGAGATCGAAGTTGACAGTCAGTTCCAGTTTGCAATTTGCTGCAGGTTTCTTCGGTGTACAGCAATACCAGAACTCCTATTATGAGGAGATCATCGTCGAGAACTCCGGGTTCAACAACACGCTGTCTCCATGGAACGCGTGCCCGAACTCCAACAACGCGGTCGGCAATCTCGGTGGCGTATACTCCGGCAATTGGACCGACATCTACCTCAACGGTACCGTAGAGAGGTTGCAGAAGTATGTGACCGGTCTTGAGCTGAACACGAACTATGTGTTCGGGATGCAGCAGCTTTGTGCTTATGAGACTGTCGCTCTCGGCTATTCGGACTTCTGCGATATCTTTACTGTGGAGGAATGGCTTGGCTTTGAGTACGCAAACGGTGCGTACACACTTCATCGCATTGTGGTCGTGCCATTTGACGTCTCTCCCCAGACCTGAGCTTCTGGTACAGTAACGGTCCCGGAAGTCCCGTCGCTGCTGCACAGGGAATAGGCTATGTCCAGGAGCTCGTGTCGCGCCTGACACAGACACCGCTCACGGTATTCGACACCAGCACGAATGGAACGTTGGACGGCAACCCGGTCACGTTCCCGCTCAACCAACCCATTTACGTGGACGCGACTCATGACACCGTCATCGCGCAAAGTGCGTATCCGCAAGGTGCTTATAGGAGACCTGCGTTGATCATATGTATATAGTCGTTACTGCGCTCAATTTCACCACTTTGGCTGCGAATGGTCCTCTGCCAGTTGACCATATTCCGGCATACCAGGTGCGTGGTACCGCGATTTCGCGCTGAGCCGTCACTCAGGTGTTTCCATCACGCAGACCTACCACGTGAACCAGATTGCACCGTTTGGCTCGAACCTCGTGGGACAGGTCGTATCCTGCCCCGCATCTCCGCAGAACGCGACGCAGGAGTCGTTTATCCGCTTCATCCTGAACGACGGCGTCGTGCCGCTCACGGGCATCGCCCACTGTGAAACGCCCAATCCTGATGGCCTGTGCCCGGTGGCGAATTTTGTGCAGGGCATGCAGGAGCGCATCGCGCAGGTGAACTTCAACTACGACTGCTTCGCGGACTATCCTGCGCCGTACCCAGACGACATCATCGACGGGCGAGAGTGGAAGTAGAGGAAGCGGTTGTACAAAAATTATATCACCAATACATGGGTGAACGTTGAAGTGATGCATATGAATTGTATGCAACCCTACGATAGCGAGTACCGCGTCAGTCCAAGCCACGTACGGAAGTGAACGGATCGCGACCACGTGCAGTAACCCTAACCCGACTACCAGTTAGTCAGAGTCACGGCTTGCGTGTAGGAACGGCAGTCGGTTGACACCAGCTGCCACAAACCAGCTGCTCTCTCTCGTCCCTTCACTTCTCATGATCCCCCGCTCTCTCCGTGCTGCGTCCTTGCCTCGCGGGCGTATTGCCTATATCTCCAGAGTAAGGTGGGCGCGCACATTCGCTACTCCTTCTGACCATCCTCCACCCTCGGAGAAGAAGTCCGGCGAACAGAAATCGGAGAGCAAGGATAAGGGGGAGCCACAGGACAAGGGAAAGGTCGTGGAGGAGGCCTCCAAGGATGCTGCAGACCAGAAGGAGCCGATGAAGGGCCTCGAGGGCTTTTTCCAGCGATACCACCGACAGCAGCAGCAACAACAGCAGCAGGAGCAGAAGGGGGCTGCTGAGAAGGAGCCGGACTCAGGGCGCCGCGAGCAGGACTCCAAACAGAAACCTCCACCCCCACCGTCAGACGGAGGCAACGGATTCAATGCTAACCAGCTCGCGTTGCTCGCTACCACTGCCGCGATCTTTTACGCCCTGTCAAATTCATCGACTGCGTCGTCACGCGAGATCACCTGGCAGGAGTTCCGCACTGCATTCCTCGACAAGGGCCTCGTCGACAAGCTCGTTGTCGTCAATAGGACGAAGGTCCGAGTGAAGCTGCACTCCAACGCCACTGGTACTATGTACCCGTCCGCACCTCTTGGCGGCGGAGACTACTATTTCTCTATAGGTTCCGTCGAGGCGTTCGAGCGTAAGCTCGATGAGGCACAGAAGGAGTTGGGCATTCCGTCCCATGAGCGCATTCCCGTCGCATACCACGAGGAGGTCTCAGCGTTCAGTTATCTCCTCAACTTCGGTCCCACTCTCCTTTTCGCAGGTCTTTTGTTTTATCTTTCCCGCAGGGCGGGTGCGGGTGGTGGCGGCGGCGGCGGAGTCTTCAATTTCGGCAAGAGTCGCGCCAAGCTTTTCAACAAGGACACGGAGATCAAGGTCAAGTTCAAGGACGTCGCTGGGATGGACGAGGCGAAGCAGGAGATCATGGAGTTCGTCTCTTTCCTCAAGGAACCTGCTAAGTACGAGAAACTCGGTGCGAAGATTCCCCGCGGTGCAATCTTGTCGGGCCCCCCGGGTACCGGTAAGACATTACTCGCAAAGGCCACCGCCGGCGAGGCGAATGTGCCCTTCTTCTCCGTGTCCGGCTCCGAGTTCATTGAGATGTTCGTCGGGGTAGGATCTTCTCGCGTCCGTGATCTCTTTGCGTCTGCGAAGAAGAACGCACCGTCGATCATCTTCATCGACGAAATCGATGCTATTGGCAAGTCTCGGGGTGGCAGGCGTGGTTTCGGTGGTAACGATGAGCGAGAGAATACCCTTAACCAGCTGTTGGTCGAGATGGATGGTTTCGGCACTCAGGAGCATGTTGTCGTGCTCGCCGGCACCAACAGACCGGACGTCCTTGATCCCGCCTTGATGCGCCCCGGTCGTTTCGATCGGAATATCACCATCGACCGTCCGGATGTCTCGGGGCGCAAAGCCATATTTTTGGTCCACCTTCGCCCCCTCAAGCTCTCAAAGGAGTTGCCGGAAACGGAGGCGTTTGCGCACAAGCTCGCGGTACTCACACCTGGGTTCTCGGGTGCGGACATCGCGAACGTATGTAATGAGGCGGCGCTGCACGCGGCGCGGCATGCGCATGAGAGCATTACGGAGTTTGACTTCGAGAGCGCGATCGAGCGGGTTATTGTGGGTCTAGAGAGGAAGAGTCGGATACTGAGTCCGGAGGAGAAGAAGACCGTTGCGTACCATGAAGCGGGACACGCAGTCTGCGGGTGGTTCCTAGAGCATGCAGACCCTCTCCTGAAGGTCAGCATCATTCCCCGCGGTGTTGGAGCCCTCGGATATGCACAAGTGAGACTTTCTGCTATTTTTCCCCTTTGTGGTATGATTAACCCTTGATACTTTAGTATCTGCCTGCCGATCGCTACCTCCTGTCTACACCGCAAATGAGGGACCGCATTTGCATGACACTCGGTGGACGGGTCTCGGAAGAAATCTTCTTCGGACCGGAGAACATCACCACCGGTGCACAGGACGACCTACAGAAGATTACGCGGATAGCCTTCGAGGCCGTCGCCAACTACGGCATGAACGACGTTGTCGGCCCAGTCAGCTATGGAGGTGCCAAGGAGTCCGGCGAGAGCTGGCAGAAGCCTTTCAGCGAGAAGACGGGCGAAATGCTCGATCTGGAAGTGAGGAAGATGATCACGTAGGTTATCTATGCTGCAACCAACAGGATCGTCTGGGACTGAACATATTTTTCCTTCCTTCCCAGAGCGGCGCATCAACGGACAACGGAACTCTTGACAAAGCACAGGGAGAACGTCGAGAAGGTTGCTAAGCTGCTACTGGAGAAAGAGGTCATCACTCGGTGCGCTATTGTTGTCGGTAACATTCCTGTATGCTGATGTGGAAACTCAGTGAGGACATGATCACGCTCCTCGGCCCACGGCCGTTCGCGAACCGGAAGGATGAGATGGACAAGTGGCTGGACGAGAATCGCAACGAGCGGAGCGCTCCGCCACCGCTCGAGTCTGCCAACGAAGAGTCACCAGCACCAGCACCAGCTGCGGTGAGGCACGATGACCCGAACTTCCAATAAATTCCGATGTCTTTTCTGGTCTTCGGTGAGGATGTTTGTTGACTGCTGGACTCATGTGCAAGGCATATCGGTTGTATTTGACGCATTTCATTGTGTATCTATCGTAATAGCTCAGGCTAGACCCCTCTACTCGTCGCGAAATCAAGTGTTGTCCAATCATATCTATAGCATACTTCGTCAATGCAGCAGCTATCAGATCAAGCATTTGAACTACTCCAGAGTCGCGGAGTGGCTACACTTACAAAGAGGAGCATCGTCATAAGGTGTAACGGAAACCGCTCCAATCATCGCCCTTCTCCCTCCTGGCTTCTTCCACGCTGCTGAAATGCCCATTCTTTTCTGCATTGGCACGCTTGTTGTCAACACCGTCGATAAGCTCGTCCCGTTCGCCCGCATCTCTGCGCGCGTTCTCGCGTCTCAAGAGCAGGAAGAACATAAGAGTGCACACCCAACCGATGACGATGTACGCGAGCATGATGCCGTGGCCCATGCGATACCACGGTTTGTTCGCCGATCGGTACTGTAGAACAGCTTACAATGAATGCGCGGATGTGGATGGAATGCAGGCGATGCATACGACGTTGGAGCTGACTGCGCCGTTCAGGTTGCCCCATCCGATGGCCATACCCAATGTAACGCTACGCTTGTAAGATCCTTCGACATTGTTTGATACCCAGGCACTGTGAGAAGTGTTAGATTAAGCGGATTCAAGTTCGCACACCGGTACTCACACTGAGTTCGCTGTATGGATGGTTTACGTCCGTCAAAGTCTTGCTATATTGTGATCAGTAGAAGTACTCACGAACTGACGGATAAATGGCACTTAAATGCACGCTCTTTAGCCATACAAGAGGCATATCAAAGCTCAGCACTCACGTAGTAGCCAAATATACCGCAACGTAGGATAGAGCAGGAGTTGAGGAGGAAATCAAAATAATATACCCCACCAATCCTGAACAATGTGCTCAAGATCAAGCATGGGCGAGTGGCAAAAGAAGTGGCTGCTACGTACCTATAGTGAATAGTGCCCTGTGACAATTCCATGACGGTCAGGAATTCAGAGGACGATCCGAATATGGCACCACCACCCACAAGTTCACGTATGCCCTCTTCACGTAGCGGTCTCCCATAAAACCGACGAAGATCGTGACAAGACAAGCCCATGCATATACTGGCACCGAGAGTAGGTTAGCAGCAGTTGCCTTGAAGCCTGATGCATCATTGAGAAACAGTACTCCGAGATGAGACGATTGCGCGGATCACCTAGCTGCAAAGTCATACCGGTGGGCGTGATGTGTACGTAGAGAACAAATGCACCTACCTGGCTGATAATCGTAGGAGTGAAAAGCGAGAATGCAAACAGTGGCCCGTCGCTGGGATTACTGGTCAACCACTTCTGCCAATCGCGACAAAGATGAATGCTAACTAGCCCATGTAAATGCCCACTGAAGACGCGAAACTTGTCAATGGCAAGAAAAGAACGAACAGCTACGATACCCACTAGCGATCCATGTCTTCCAATCCGTCAAACTCTGCTTGACAAATTTGAACTTGAACTTTTCTCCGCCAGCGCTGAATTGCATGTCGTCCCTTAACCGCCTGATAACCCATACGCCTAACATAATTTCAGTGAAGATCATGCCGCAAGACACATTCTAAAGAACTTACGTTCTGTTTCACTGAGGAACTTCGCGTTCTCGGGAAAGTCTTGCAAAATGAAGAAGGACGCAATGGCACAAACAAATGTGAACAGCCCCTCGAGGATGAAGATCCACGCCCAACCAGGTTTGCCGCCAATACCGTCCATATTGGAGATGGCCGCAGCGAGGAGACCACCTGAAGAAATATCACATTAAATTTTCAAGCTGTGAATCGGAACCGGATCGTACTGAAAGCTCCAGCTACCGTCGCTGAAGTGAAGAACATGGCGACTCTTGTTCCTATCTCGTTGCGTTTGTACCAGCTAGGATATGCTGTTCAAGGTCTCTGCAGATTCGAAGTAGGCATAATCTTACCACGAAAGATAGAAGACAATGCCAGGATATAGGCCTGCTTCAGCCAAACCAAGCAGTACGCGCAGAGCTGTCGGAATAAAATGAGAACACGACTTGAGACACGTCAAATCCTCGTACAAACGAGCCCGCCATAGTTTTGAACTACGCCATGCAAAGTCTGTGTCGGAAATGGCGGCATTCGTCAGTCACTCAAAAAGGACGTCGAGGTATCATGAATCTCATACCATGATGATCGACCAGATTAGAATGAGAGAAGACAGCCACAGGGATGGGCGTGACCTCCTTAGAAGGACATTGCTCGGAGGCTCTCGTACGAAGCCATGTTAGTCTCATGAAAACCTTCCCTAGGTCTAGCAGCATTTACCTCGAACAGCGCATAGGGAAAAAAGAACGAGGTCAGTGCAATGAGGTACTGCGTGTCGGAGATATGCAGGTCTCTGGTCATGTTATAAAGCTTGGCATTGATTGGTGCCGTCAGCACAAAGTTATTCGCCGAGTGATTTATGCCTGACTACTTCACCTTCGCATTTCCGATACTTCCTCTATCAAGGAAGTTGAGAAGGTAGAGAACGGCTAGCCATGGCACGACATGCCAGTCAATCCTCCTCAAGAGCTTGCGTTCGTCGATCCCAGACGTATCAACATCAGGACGGTATAGGTTGACCGGTGACTGATCCGAGATTTGGACCTCTGGATCCAAGTCACTCACATCTTTCTTCGACGAAGTTTCGACGGACATTGGGCGAATACGAGAAGCAACACGGCCGGCATGAGAACAGGCCAGTCCTCGAACTTTATACTCATGTGGAGTTCGCCAAGTGCCTAAGTATGATAGCGATAGAGGTAAGTCAAGATAACATCTAAGCGACAGGTCTAGTATAGATAGCAGCGACCAACCTAGCCAAGTCCAAACGGATACCTTTGAAAATGCGGACAATCTGTAGATAGTACCGTAGTCAACGTTGGCTCGATCAGCTCTTTCAAATGGCTATAGATTGGCCCACAGAAGAAACGCACATGACCTTGCTGTGCCCCGGAGGATATATGCTTCGCCTGAACGTTTGACGGCCCGTCCTGAATGTGGTACCTGGTTCGAAATAGTCCAGCCGAAGCAGCTGACGTTTACATTCAATTGAAGGCCCTCCGATACACGTCGACGCCAATGACAGACTCCAGTTCCTTCAACGCACCGCCTAACCAGTGCTTCACATCCTCAGTCTCCCGAGCTGCCACCCTGACCACACATCCCTTTCCTTCACGGATCAAGCTAAAAGACCAGATAAGATCCGGCGGAGAGCTGTGCTTGAAAACGGTTATCGCCTCGAACTCTGCGGCTAGATGTCGTAGTGAACTTTGGACAGTCGCTCCATACAGAATGAGAGTCGCATAGCAAGAGTACGGCGCCAGTGTGTTAGCTAGTGTCCTCCGAGGCAACGACTGGACATCGTCTTGTTCTTGAAGAAACATCACGTCCTTTGCCAGTCTTTCACCGTCCACCCACACCTCGTTTAAGCTGTAGTACATTGAAAAGACCCATTCCTCTCCAATCGACTTTCTGCCTGAAGTCACCCAATCCAAGAGGACAATAGATGCAGCATTATGCAGATGAAAAACCTGCAGCTGATTATACTTGGCTGCGCGGAAGCAAGTGACGGGGTCGGGAAGGAGGAACAGTGCGCCATTCGACGAGATCAGGATGTCCATTCGCTGCGTCGTTGGGATAGCAGAATGCGTCCCATGGGACCGTGCTGATAGTCGCTCTCCCGGTCTGTCTTTGAAGACTTTCGTAGAGCCCTGCGATTCCTAGATTTGAGCGCTGAGAGACGGTACGACGAAACCGAGAGAAGGAACCTGAGACAACATCACAAGAATCGTGTTTTCTTCGATTTGTGCAGTGAGCGCGATTCGGTCTCCCCCAACAAGACCCCCTCCATATGTGAGAACATAGACGATGCGAACATTCTGTTGTGAGGTTCGTGGGGACAGAAGCTTCAGTGGGTAGGTGCAGGACAGCTCCGTAAACACAGCTTCCGAGCCATCGGTTCTGAGGACAATACGACCCGCGCCTGCTTGAATACGGGACATTTTATTGCTGTCGAGTAGCGAGTATGGAGTTACAGCACCATTCAAGCCTGACCTGAGAGTGACTGAGAGCGCAAGTTGCTGGAGGGCAACCGAGGTCGCCAGGCGCGCTTTGTCACGTGCGCGCTCGACGCGCTCAACTGCAATGCGGAACCGTACAACGGAGAGCACAGCGTAGAGCGTAACAGCATAGCACATCAACAAAATGTTCGACGAATGTGTGTATCTCTTTAGTTTCGTCATGATATGTCTCTGAGGTGTTGTTTCATCCGTGGCTTCCGTAGATGTCGAGCATGCCTCCGCTCCTGGTGTCTCGCAAGGGGGATCTGCGTTACCCAAGGTACAATACGAAGGCTTTGAGCCCTCTCCGTACGACCCAGATGATGCTGTCGTTGACGGAAAAGATGTTGCCGTGAGTCTACATCAGGTTGGTCGCATGCAATTCCTCATTGTCTGGCAAAGGACCAAGGCATTGCGGACGTCCCGCCTACGCCACTATTCGAACTCGGCCGAGTCCAATATACTCTTCCCGCTTCCCTTGTGTCACTCGTGGTATCCTCAGATGTTCTCTCCATGGGCCTAAGCAACAATATCATAGTACAGATTGAGCTCTCCCGCTCAGAGCAAGTCGTCAAAATCCAGATACCCCGCAAGCCTACCGAATTTACTATCTACAAGTTATTCCTCGATCCTTCAGGCCGACATTTACTTGTCACATCTCTTCAGGGGGAGAACTGGTACCTCTACCGTGGGTGGAAAAAGCCACGCCAGCTGAAGAGCTTCAAGATGGTGATTGAGAGCGTGGCTTGGAATAAAGCTGCGTTGTTGTCATCGACTCATTCGACTTCTACTCGCGAATTGCTGATCGGTGCAAAGAACGGAATGATTTACGAAGCTGTCCTTGATGCCGAAGAGGACTTCTTCAAGTCACAAGAAAGATATCTCCAGGCGGTGTTCACCTTACCAGAGCGACATCCTATCACAGGTCTCAAATTCGACTTCTTTCCCCCAGCGGAGCCGAAGAGAGCACTTGTAATGTTGACTACACCCTCGCGAATATACCAGTTCGTCGGCATACCAGACAGACGGAGTGACGATGGTGGGCGAGTATTTTCCGGTCTCTTTGCGAGCTATCGAGAAACGGCCCCAAGTCAGTACAACTCAACTTGGTGACTCGCTTCTTCTCTACTGACTCTCTAAAGAGATCGTGGAGCTCCTAGGCAATACCGATTATTCCGAGCTGCATGTGTTCGCCCCGAACGCGGACCAGGCCTTGTCCTTGCCCAAGGGAATTGCTTGGATGACTGGTTAGTTTATTGCTTTTGTTGAAGTATTAGTATTGATTCATTGCTCTTATATCTGGGTAGCTCCTGGTATATATCATGGCACTCTTAACTTTGATTCAATGTCGGATGATCTCATTGATGGCGCCCAACTCCTACCATATCCCACCTTTCCATCTTCGCCATCTTCGCCATCGCTGTCTCCGACAAGAAAAAACCCGGTAGCTTCAACTGTGCCCAAGTCTATGGCTCTGACGGAATTTCATTTCGTCCTTCTCTATCAAGACCGCGTCGTAGCCATCTCGAACCTCAATGAACGGTTGACATACGAAGAGATGCTACCTGTGGTACGTATATCCCCTTTACTTTCTTTCCTCACTTGAATCCGATGCTGAGTTTCTTCCGACACCAGAAACCAAACGAAGACATACGGGGAATGACAGCCGACCCCGTACGCAAAACCTATTGGGTGTATACTGACCAGTCGATCTTCGAACTCGTGGTAACGAATGAGCACCGAGACGTTTGGAAAATATTCCTGGAAAAGGGCAATTACGACGTCGCCTTGCAATACGCGAAGGTGCGTATTCGTGCGGATATGGGACTTACGGTAGTGACGGTAGCATCTCGACAGACGGCAAGCCATAGGGATCATGTCATGATGGCACAATCCCGCGCATTCTTCGACGAAGGCAGATATTTTCAAGCAGCGCAGAGCTACGCTCAATGTTCCGTTAGCTTTGAAGAAGTGACATTGAAATTCCTTGATGTCGGCGAGCGAGATGCGCTTAGATCGTACCTCATCTCTCGGCTAGAGAGAACCAGGAAGACCGTAAGTTCCAATGCTTCGTCCTTCTGTGATCAAGATCTCACTTCTTTCCGCGTATAGGATTTCTCCCAGCGGATGATGCTTGCAACATGGCTTGTTGAGTTTTATCTCAGCAAATGCAATGAACTGGATGACCTCGTAGCCTCCGAGGCTGCATCACACGATATGGAAAATCTTCAAGCCGAGCGTACCATTCTGGAAGACGAATTGCGTCAATTTTTGGAGACGTACAAGGTGATTTAGATTGTCTTCACATTGCTGGATTAGTCTTTTGAAACCCTTTTCGAACAGGCCAATCTGGAGTCCAAAATTGTGTACGAGCTCATTGAGGGACATGGTCGAACAGACATGTACCTGCATTATGCAGCAGTCGTGGGAGATTTCGAACGAGTCATTGAGCATTGGATCACGGAAGAGGAATGGACGAAGGCCATTGATGCCATCAATCGACAAGTAAGTTTTCAATGCATTGTTGAAGATGTGTCTCATTGCTTCTCAGTCAGATGTGGAGCTGTACTATCGGTTTGCACCCGTTCTCATTCGGCCAGCCCCAAGAGAAACTGTCGACTCGTGGTTACGCCAGCAGTCGTTGGATCCCCTTCGTCTTATCCCAGCTCTCCTTCGCCTGCAACATGCACCACGCGACCCCCTTTCTCCCAATCAAGCCATCCGTTACCTCAGCAATCTGATATTCGAGCAGGGAAATACCTCGCCAACGATCCACAACCTCATGGTCACGTTCTACGCTTCCGTGCCTACACCATCAACGTCTGGATCCGTCGCTCGTCCGGAGGACGACGGTCCTCTCCTGCGGTTCCTCTCAACTGCACCCTCCGATCCTCTTACTGGCAAGCCATACTACGACTTGGACTATGCTCTACGTCTCTGCAAACAGGCAGGCCGAACACAACCGTGTGTGCATATCTATTCAAAGATGGGACTCTTTGAAAACAGTGTGGACCTCGCGCTTGAGAAGGGTGATCTGGAGCTCGCAAAGATCAACGCGGATATGCCTGAAGATGATGACCAGCTTCGGAAGAAATTATGGCTCAAGATCGCGAAGTACGTGGTACAAGACAAACAGGACATCAAGATGTAAGCCATTCTCTGCTGGCGTTACCTTTCTGTGCTCAGTTATGCAATCAGGGCCATGCGTTTCCTCGAGAACACAGACCTTTTGAAGATCGAAGACATATTGCCCTTCTTCCCCGATTTCGTCGTCATCGACGATTTCAAGGACGAGATTTGCACAGCGCTCGAAGGATACTCTGCACACATCGACGTGTTGAAGAATGAGATGGATGAAGCGACACGCAATGCGGAAGCAATCAAGCAGGACATCGCTGCACTGCAGAAGCGGTTTGTAACGATCGATGCCACTGAAAAGTGTTCCGTGTGCGGTTTCCCGCTATTGGCGCGGCAGTTCTACGTGTTCCCGTGTCAACACACTTTCCACGCAGATTGTTTGATCGGCCTTGTACGTGCTCTGCGTCATTTTACTTCCTAGCATGCTGAATGCTGGTGTCTGCCTGCAGACGAAGGAGTACCTCCCAGCGCATGCTCTCCGGCGCATTCTTGCACTGCAGACAGAGCTCGTCAAAGGCTCTCAGCAGGGTCCACTTGACCGCAACTTAATTACTAACCCATCTCACCTCTCCGGGACGCCCACTGGGCGGCATCCGACGTCGCAACGAACACTGCTCTCTGCAAATTTCGGCGTCACCACGAACGGTGGGCGTGCCGCCAACTCACTGGGGCGAAACATCCTGTCCGCGGGTGACCGCCTGCGCGACATGATCATACCTGACGCCCTTGCGAGTGTCGTAACCGCGCCGGTAGGCTGGATCCCTGGCATCGGCGGAGGCGCGAAGAGAAGTGCAGGGGAGAAGGACGCGGAGAAGACGGAGCGGATGCGGAAAGAGCTGGAGGAAGTGCTTGCTGCAAGCTGCCCTCTGTGCGAGAGCGTGGTAGCGGGCTTGGACAAGCCATTCGTACAGGAGGGAGAGCTGGACGCGAGTTGGGCTCTCTGATTTGGATTAGGACACTTGGTATACTTCTTACCGGTATTTGCTATTTCATCCGCTGGTTAAGTTTGTTCATCGTCGTCTAGCTACTCGCATTTACATGTTGCTTGCACCTCTATTCCTGGTTTTGTAAGCTCAAGGTCTATGCAACACATCTATGCCTTACAGTTGACGTATTACACCGACGACATCCACAAGTCCGCGTTACCAACAGCGAAATCCACGGCCTCACAGTTTCGCAAGTACAGATGGTAGCATGGGCTTGGCACCAACAATACCGCCAACCTAGACCATCGTCACGTATCAAGCTTAAGGGTCGAACGCGCCTGAATGTTCGGCCTCCAATGCATATGGTCGCCGCACACATCCCTGAAAAGAAGTCCTCGATTTTGACACACATGCTCAATTTCGTGGGCACCAACTGCGCTGCGGATCATGAATCACAATCGATACAACACGCACTGCAATAGAGATGAGGACAGACTGCAGACAGTATCAGCAATATCAGTGGTATCAGTGGTTGATCTTTTTCGTCCGGCCAGCCTTGCGGCGTAGTCTGGCAGCTTTCCGCGCGCCCATCTGAAAGTCGTGTCATCTACAGGAGGCAGTGTGTGTAACGAAGCGGCGCGCACGTTGGCTTTTTCTTCTTCCAGCCTGCGCCGCTCTTCAGCCGCCTTTTTTCGTTCGAGAGTTATTTCTTTTCTCCTGCGAATTACGAATGCTAATTTCAGCAACTGTCACGGACCCATTAATGTGTGCAAATATGACAAACCGTGAGACCTCAGCCATTTTCTCCTCCCTCAACTCGGTCTGCAACTTCTTGATAGCATGTGCTTTCTTAGTTTTCTCCATCCTCACTTCCCACTTGGTTTTTACACCTAGAGGCAAATTGGATCGGCTGTCACAGCGCGAATCAAGTTTGGTGAAAGCCGGATCGCAGACGCAGAGCGACTCACACAGCTGCTGATTTCTGAAGCTTCCATGGCTTGCCAGAGACTCGACCGACAGACGACGAGGCAAGAGGAACGGCGAAGGATGGTTCTGAAAGAGTGGGACCTTGTGCGTGCTGGGATGGACCAGGCACTTGCTGGAGGTCAGCTTGCGACATGCTGTGCGAAAAGTGAGAAGAGTGATCAACAGGGCGTCTGTTGAGGCGATATGGGCGCTACCGTAACAGATAATTTCGTCTGCCACGTGGGAGATCTCATCGGGAACATTAATTATCTTTACGTTGGTGCGCGTCGCAACGACCACCGTCAGGTATGGTTAGGACAGCTGAGAATATCAGAAACGAGTAAGACATCTGCGTTTGGTGGCGGCACAACAGACGGCAGAAATGACAGGTTGCAGGAGAAAGTGTTGATGAATATTTGAGTGGGGAGAGAGTGGGAAGCTAACCGGAAGCGGTTCAGTCCTCTTCTGCCCCGGTCGCGTCCCCTCATTCGAGTTTTGTCCCCTTCCCTTCTCTCCACCTCCTCCTCAGTGGCTGAACGCTCGTCGACGTTGTCCACGGCGTCGTCGCCAGCTTGTACATATCCTGGTCGATAGGATTCGTGCCTCATGAGCGTCATGAACACTGACCTCCGCTCTCAGGAGGACCATCTCAGACTCCTCCTCGACCAGCGCGCCGCCCGTGCTGATCTACATGGCCGCTTCCCCTCTATCTCTGAAATGTCCGATTCTCCCTCTGTCTATAGCCATCCCCGTTTCTCTCCTCGTCCTCCAGACAGGAGTCAGCTCGACCCCAACTCACCCTCTTTCCATGTAACTGTATCTTCACACCATGCCGTTCCACCTTCCGAGCCTCGTTCTCCAATATCCTCACTATCCGACCGCGAGCGTCTCAACTTTCCCAATGCTAGCAGCCTAGATCTTGACGACGACCCACGCTCCTCTTATGATTCAACAAAGTTTCCTTCGGAAGACGAAGAGCCCTCTCCGGAAGAAGACGAGGAAGACATGCCCAGACTCAGTGTGTATGGCCCAAAGATGAGGGTTCACTCACGCGCCCCTTGGGAGTTGGGCGAGGATGAGATAGAAGAACAGGATGAAGTTCCCTTACATCCCAAGCCTCCCAAACCCGATTCTGGCCGAAGAGGTTGGGGTTTGACTAAGGGTGCCAATGAAAAAAGACCAAGCATAGATTCCAACCGCTCTCAGGCAAGGGGCAAGCAGTCCTTCGAGACCGTCTCTTCGTTCACGTCTAACGGGGGAGCACTCCTGTAGGTGGTTTCTCATAGTTGAGAGTACGTTCATTCGTTGACCCAGACCTCCTTCATCAGTGCTCTCGCGCAAGCATCGATGTCTTCCACTTCCCTTGCTTTGGCTCCGTCACCCCAGTCTACGCTACGCGACAAGTTATCTCTTCCCCGCTTGCGTCCTCGAACTCCGTCCAATTCCCATCCCCCAAGTGTGGCATCCTCGGATGCCAATGATCATCGTCAGCCATTCTCTACGCACTCAGGAAACACTTCTCCCATGTCGCGCTATATGCACACTGCGTCACCAACAGGAATGTCTCCCGTTGAACATAATTTTTCCGGACCTTCTGGACGAGCACCTCATGTCGTGCAGTATCAAGAGTACACCCATCCATATGCCAACCCGGATCTCGTGCACCGTATGGAAGATAATTCTCAACGGGCGTCACCTCGTCAACGAACCACGTCGGCCACGGTTAGTCGGAGCGATTCGAATGCGACTGTGACAGATACTGCCACTACGAGCAGCATGTTCCAGTCAGGCTCGTTCTCCACCGCCTCTCTCACGCCCGTAACGTCCGCCTCCTCTGTGAACCAGAGCGTAGGTGAGGCGTCTCCGCCAACGCGAGGTACAGTGATGGGCAAGGGAATATCGGCGCCTGTCGCAGTTGGTAAACTCCCTCTGCAGTCTCTGCCGCTGGGCGTCTTGGGGTCTCAGGAAGGTGGTGTCAAGCCGTCAATTAGAAACAGGGACACTAGAATTCTTTCCGGGGTGACGGGGAATGGATTCCTGGGATGGAGCGAGAGTTCGGTGGCTTCGTCAATCAAGCTGATAACTCTGGAGGAAGCCCAGGCACAGGCCAGGGAGCGCTCGAGGAGTGCTACCGCAAATCCAGCTATATCGAGTCCGTCCAGTGTTGGACCGGTGAAGTCGCAGGTCCAAGGAGGTGAATGGGACCAGCATAGCCTGAGTAGCCGCACGAGGACAAGGACGACGAGCGCAGGAAGTTCGAAGGCGAAGAACCCTACCGCTGATTTCAATCAGCGTGCCCCACCTCTCCCAACGGATTCTCCGTACCAGGCACAGCTCTCAGGTGGTGGGGTGCCTCCACGGACGATCGCGCGAAAACGCAGTGGATTCATGAGACTGTTCAATGCCAACCGTGAGCGGCCATCGCAGCACTCACCCCCTCCGCCGGTTCCTTCCTTGTCCACGGACACATTGGCCTACCCTACCCCTGTGCCTCAGTCCCCGGTTCCCCGGAAGAGTACAACCCATAGAGTTCCCGTCCCGTCCCTCTCGCCGTCACTCCTAGGCGAGGCGTCTGCGGATGGCGGTGAGACCGTTTCCTTCGAAACACGTTCGGAACCAGGTAGCAGGGAGAACGGTGCGCAACGAGAGCGGCAGCTGAGCGCAAGACGTAAAGCGCGAGATCTTTCCATTGTCACTTCGCCAGCATTGCCTTCTGCAAGCGCTAAGCCTGCCTTCAATCCCATGTCCGTAGCGAGCGACAAATTGCTGGTAGTAGGACATCTCCCGACGAGCGCTGCCCAGCCGTCGTCCCTGCTCAGCCCGTCAGCGGTACCCAGCAGTGCACCTCCAGGCGCGACAGACTTTGTGGCGCTGAGTCTGAGGCCGGTGTCGACGCTCTTCAGCAACAGTTTTGCGGACCAGCTCATCAGCCCTGGCAATTCGTCATGTACTCGGCCATCCTTGGACCTCGATCTTGGCACGCCTACCACAGCTACGACTGTCATTTCACCGTTGAGCTCTGACTTTCCGTCAAAGGTCTATCCACGGGCGGCAGACGATAAGACTTTGCCGGTTGCCATTTCCTCGGACGATCAGTCTTCCGTCATCCAAGCTCTGCAGGAGCAGGTCATGACGGCGCGGAGTGCGTGGCAGCGCCAGATTTGGGAGCTTGAGGGCCAGGTGCACGATCTCAAGGCTGAAGTCGATGAGATGCGTTCCCATGAGAGCGAGAGCCGGTATTGCTCGGCATGTGGAAGGGGTGGCACTGGACGTTCCGCTGCAGAAGACAGTGGATATGTTGAAGATTTGAAGAAGGCCGGCGTTAAAGTCGGAGTGGTCAACAGACCACGAGCTCGTACGGGCGTGGGGTCACGCTTTGGAAGTGCGACTTAAGAGAGGCTGCGCCGTTCTCTCCATGCTATCATCATGCACTCACGTCGGTGTGCTTATAGCAGATCGTGGCTGTCCGCACATCTGATTCTTTCTTGTTTTACTATCCCGGATTCAAAGTGCTTGATTCTTCGGGACATTTCGCTCTTTGTCAGTTGGGTGTTTATTGGTAAAAATATTTTGTGGCCTTGTTCTAATGCCCACTGCCCGTTTTTCAGTCCAGATGTCCCTATATCCCTCTTTTTGATACCAAGTACCCAACAGATTCTGTAGTAATATGTCTACATTAGAACCCCCCACGATCTATCTCCTCACCCACCATTCGTTTTAAGGCTCACATCTCGACCTACACTCTCTCATTTTGGTCTTGTTGTTTTGTTCTGTAATACGGAATTGCTCATCGAGATGTGATTCCTGTAGCCCCGTAATATATACAGTCTCAGCTGATTGTCCCTCAGTCGTCATCTGCACCGAGCAGCCACCCGATCCCCTTCTGTAGTACACGAGCCGCCACATCACCGCCGTCTCCTCTTGTCCTGCTCCCTTCTCCGTTCCTGTGCGAACTGTCCTCCGGGACGAAGGATCGACCTCTGCTGCCGACAGAGAATGGGAAATTGGCTGCAACCCGGTTAAATGCCTTGTTGGCGAAGGCAGCGGCATCCGGCGCGTTGGCTAGCAGCGGCGAGTGTGGCATATGAAGATCCGGCATACGCAGATGTTGCAGGCGATCTGCCAAGGAAGGTGCGTCATGGTGAACGGAAACGCGCTTCCGGGGCCGGGTGGTGAGAGGGCCGTTACTGCCGCGAGAAGCCAGTCTCTCCCGGCGCTCTTCCATGTCTTCTTGCTCGAGGCGCCGCCATATTACGAGGACATCATGAATGTTCTCTGCAGGACACAGCTGCAGAGCACGACCTAGCAGGGTCATTTTCTTCTCGACGTCGTCGTATTCCGGATGGCGCCCCAGTTGGAAGCAAGCTACCCAGCAGACCTCACTCGCTTCTTCGACGCGGGGGTCTCCCGATGACCTGAGTTTGAGAACAGTTTCAACCATCCTCTCGCTGGTCTCGTATGCACGAGTGAAGTCTTCCGACTGCAAGGCTGTTTCGACCAGCATCGCCAGAGTTTTCACCTCAGCTATTGCGTCTCCACCGAAGCCGAGTTTCTCGACGAGCTCGAGGATAACTTGTGTGTGCTTGTAGGCGTCGCTATTGCTGGATAACACGCGGGACACAAGGGATAGGCGGTCTTTTGTCAGGCGTATCTCGAGAGGCGTGATCGGAGTGCCAGAACGGGTCATCAGGTTGAAAGAACATAGACGAGATGTCGCCTCAATGAACTCCTTCTCCTTGACGATACGTTCCGAGGGTGTCGGGATGCCGAGACTAGTGAGAATTAGGCGTCAGGTCGTCTGATACTTCTAACACCAATGATGGAGATTTACCAGTCGTAAGCAAGCTTCATGTCGCCGAAGTGATAATTACCGGAGCTTGCGTTCTCATAGAACTCCTGAGAACATGTCAGACATATGTCTTCAATGACATGGGGGTCCAACAACAAGTGGACGGTTGACGAACGCAACAGTGCCTTCGCAATGTCGAACTCTGTGTAACAAAGCGCCAATTCAGCATGGAAAGAAATTCACGCGTATCAAACTCACTAGCTGTGCTCAGCAAACCGCTGAAAAAGATGCGAATGATGTCGTCCCTCGAAAGCAGACAGAAAGCGCTTCTCGATCCACTATCTCCAGATTCCGATAATTTCAGCATATCTTCAAGCAACCATTCCCAATCTTCCTGAGATTCGAGTTTGTCTTGTGACCCACCAGCTCGGCGTGCCATCCTGTTCGCCCAGGATCGCTGCTCGGCTATATCTTGGTTACTCCGCAGGAACCATCGTAACGGTGCCGGCACGCTCCACCTCGAAAGTATCTCGCCTGATTCAAGGTGCACATCAAGAACGTCAAGAGCATGGGATAAAGATGATGACGGTAGAGGTTTGAAGAAAAGCATGAGGTCGGTGGGAGTGCAGCGAGGACGAGAGGTCGAGGGTACGACAAAATCACCTAGCGATGCGATGGTGGTATCCGCTGCCTCTGCTTCATCCTCATCCTCCGGCGTGTCCCATGCAGGAAGACACTCGAATATACGACTCATTGTCGGCCATTCTTCTAGACTATCACTGCCATACAAGCATGCCAACGCAATGCGCGCCATATCCTCGTCGTTTCGTATCACACGTTGTGGAGGTGGTAGTGTCGGCTTGGACGCTTCGAATATGGCTGCGACGATCTCGAGGGGTGATCCCAGAATGAAGTCGTAGAGTAGCCGGTTGGGAAGGGAAGGGTCTGGATGACCCGCACGCTCTGCGCGCGATTCCAGAACGAAAAGGTAGGGCATAACGAGTCTGCTGATATCGTTCGCAATTGTTTCGGGTTTCGAATTAGCGAGATAGGCACATACGACTTCTGCAGGATTCATGGACTTCCAACTGGCGATTGTCCAATCGGTATCCTTGTCAGAAGTATGTGTATCATACACTAGGCGAGAGAGTAGACTGAGCTCCTCTCCGAGGGAATCAAGTTGAGGGACGCCCTGCGATGCGGCATGTTGCACTAACGAAAGAGCAACATCCACCATCCCCGTCGATGAGATGATGAGGTCGATACGATTCTGGTACCATTTGGCAAGTTCATCCGATGTCAATGGGTCTGGACGGGGGGGAATACTCGAAATTTGTGAAGGGGCCTCAATATCCAGAGGTACACCGGATCCTGTTAGGGCCGCTTGTACGGTCGGATTCTCGGAGAAATCAGCTTCAGACCTCCAGGATTGGAACTCTGTCTTCTGTTCGAGTTCGATCGAAAGGTCGTAAGCTGGGAGTATGTCTCGGAATTCTGAAGCGAGTGCGTGCTCCGGAACACTTTCGAGAATGGCAAACCGGTACGGCCATAGTTCCGGTCCATGTCGCGTCACGACAATGCAGAGGGCTGCAAAGAGCTCCTGTGACGCGAGTAGGCATGAGATATCCAAGAGGCTGGCTGTCAGGAATATGGATAGAGGTAATGGTGACTTCCCGGGTGTGGATGGCGGAGCCTTCTCCGAGGAGTTCGTGGTAGCCTCGACCGCCCAAGGATCATCTTCCCATTCGTCGTCTGTCCCAGGACCAGAATCTTCCTCGTTCGCTGGAGCTTCCTTACATATCTGGACAAACGTGTTTAACCTGTCAAGACGATGTAAAAGGACGGCGCGTATGCGGCAGAGCTGTGCGTCCGCCGGCTCGTCCTGGAAGTGAGAGACCAAAGACTCATGCCGTTTCTGCTCCTCGATCCGCGCGTCCTCCGACCCTTCATCTTCATCGTCATCAAGTGGACTCTGGTGTGCCCTTCGGCTACGTTCTAAGGCAGGTTGTGTCCTCTCTATTCCAAGGTCGAGCAATGACCGTTGCACGGTCGGGTCCTCCACAATGCGGTCGACACAAGCAGCAGCAGCCCAGAAGTCATCGCGGACAGGTTTAAGGAGTTGTTCCACATTGTCGGTCGTGAGTTCATCATCAGTTATGCGTGTCCATTGGGTGTAGGGGTCCTCCCGGGACGTGGAAGTCGAGGCGGACGCCATGGTCTCACCACGACACGTGCATGCGGACGCTGAAAGACGTGACGCGACTGTCGAATCTCGATCATCTCGAGCTCGCGCGCGGCGAAACAACGCAAAACTCGTTGGTATGTGTCGAATATAATGGGTTTCCGCGAGGCACGCAAGAGTAGTAATACAGATACTAATATCCCCAGCGCGCAAGTTCTGTCACTAGCACAGACGATGACGCCGAAACCTACTGCGCCCAAGCCACGGGCATTTTTCGACACGGCCGAGCACTTCATATACCGGGTCAAATGTCCATAGACGTCCTCCCAACAAAAGGCCTGAGCTATGCAGTCAGAAGAGTGTTTCCTGTCGAAACAATCCATCATTAGAACAGTATATACGGATGCGGTGACCACTCACTTCGTCACGCAAATACTCCCCAACGTCACTGAGACGCGCAATATCAGCATTGTGATGCGGCGTGTGAGAACACACTTACGCTTGGTGGAAAACAATGATAGCTGTAGGATCGAGTTTGCGAGTATCCACTGTTGATCGTGCAGTCACACCAAAACCCTAGTGCAAGTCAACGTATGGTCAACAACATGGATAACTCCATACATACTAATGGTATGTCGCTCATGCTGAACACAACCACACCCTGATGTTCTGGGGTATCCTCCGTTATCCGGCCGAGATGCGCCTTGAGGACATGGTTGCCATACAGAAACGGCATCTCTCCGTTCGGCTTTATCCAGACCTACAACTCAAGACTAAACACTGCCCTGCTTTTGGCATCAGAAACAACACACCTTATATTTCGCATACTGAGCGAGGTAATCAAGTGCTGTGATATGCAGCTTGAACTTGCCGCTTTTTGAGAACTTCCCAAAACATGTGCCAAGGCTGACGAGATTTGGCCGTGCGACGGAGATGCCTAGGCGCATAGACGACTCGGAGACATAGAATACACGGTCTTTCTGTAGCCGGAAACAGTATGGTTCATCAGGCCTGTCAATTAGATGGACTAGATTCTTGCCCTATGAGATATGTCGTGTAAGGATGAGATGAGACACGGAGACGGAACGACGGAACGCACGATATAGTTCGCCAGCTTCGCGAACACGGCCTTACTCTCCTCTTCTGTGAGTGGCCGCATAATATCAATCTGGTGAGTCGACCGCAGACAAAGGAGTTAAAAGAACACGGCGTAGGTACTCGTGACAATTCAGCGAGAGAAAACCTCGAGATCGGGAGCCACGTGGAGATGTCGTCGTATAGATCTCGTCGCGATCTCAGATCTGACCTAACTCTGCTTTCCAGATCCATGTCTGCCCCGTCTTTCTCCTCCTTTTCCCCCTCCTTCAGCTCGTTTCCAGACCTAGAAGCAGGTACAAGCAAGACCACCTCTATTCCGAAAGACAGAGATCAGGATGACAAGAGAAGGGGCAAGAAACGGGAGGGCCGGGACACAAAGAGCAAGGACCGGGACACAAAGGACAAGAAGCGGAAGCATGAGAGGCATTACCAGAAGGAACGCGACAAGGAGGAAAGTCGTTCCAGACAACATAGCAAGGACAGAGAGCAGGTGTATGGCGACTTCGACGACGAGCGACTGAAAGCAGCGGAAGACAGTCGTGAGCTTGGGCGGGTGGACGACGCAGGATCCTCAGGTGCAATGTCTCCGCCGCTGTACTTCACCGATCGCAAAGGCGACGCGCTCAACGTGCGTTTTGGCGGGCTGCATGCGGGTGACATTCCGCGATACATAATTGTCGATCGTGAGTGCTCGCATGTCTACAGTGGCGTTAATTAACGGATCGAAAGGAGGTAGGACGGTGCTTGGGCTGGACAGGGCGTGGAAGGTCGTGCATCGTGGCAAGAGTGGTGTGGAAATTGGTATAGGTGGAAGACGTAAGGTATCGTCGAGTCTCCTCTGGCTCATTCATTGTAGACATGCGCTTAGGTGCCCCATCTAGATGCCTGCGTTAACAGACTCGAGCTCTCGGCGCCTGCTGGCCGCACCTACAAGGCGACTGTTGTCTTTGTCCAAGGACAAGGACAAGTATGAAGAAGTGGAAGGGTTCATCCGCCTGCCCAGCGGCCGCAAGCACAAAGACGACCAGTCATACCGGTCCATCACCCTACAGAAACACGATGCAGCTTCCGACGAGTCAGGCTCCTCTTCATCTGAAGCCGAGAGCTCGGGAGACGAGTCGGATACGACCCTGCTGACCTCGCTGCAAGTCACGCTCAAGTCTCTAGAAGAGAAGCTAACAGCCGACCCGGCTTCTGTACCAACATGGCTCTCCCTCCTCTCACATACCCTTTCAACAATACCTCTGGATTCCAAGAACGCAACGAAAGCACGCTCGGAGATTACACTGTCTGTTCTCTCTCGCGCGCTTTCCGTGCACCCGAGCAATGCGACGTCGAGGGCACTGCGGCTGCGCTACATAAAGGCAGGCGAGGAGGTGTGGCACGAGAGCAAGTTGCGTGCGGAGTGGGAGACCGCTGTGAAAGTTGGAGGAATCGAGATCTGGCTCGAATGGCTCGATTGGCGGGTCAGGCATACGGAGAAGGGCATCGAGGGGGTGGTAAACGATGCAAAGCGAGTACTGGGAACACTTGGTTCCGGTGAGCAGGACGAACTTGGAAAGCTCAGGGTGCTGTGGAGGGTGGCTGTCGCATTCCGAGATGCAGGTGCGTGTAGACGGCAATATCCCGTATTTTAGTTCGGCAGCGCCAGCGTACTTAATTTTCTGTGCAATTAACAGGTTATGTAGAGCGTGCTAGTGCGCTGTTTCAGGCCCAAGCAGAACTGTACGTTTTTCCCAAGATGAAGTTAAATAGACTAATAGTGTGTAACCCCATAGAACTTTCAAGACTCCCCCTTCGTTGGCGTCAACGCTGCTCGAAACTCAGCTGGATGCGCTGGAAGAATTTTGGGAATCTGAAAGCCTCCGCATCGGCGAAGCGGGAGCCCCTGGATGGTCATCATGGCTCGCCTCTGGCCGACCCGATCCCGACCCACACCAACTTCCCCGCAAATCAACAGATACCCGCACAGCAGATGCAGAAGCAGATGCATATCGGCGCTGGGCCGCGCTCGAGACGCTCGCAGACCGCTCTCAGCAGCTCCCCACGCGCACGCTGAACGCGGACGACGCCGCGGAGAGCGACCCTTTCGGAACGATTCTCTTCTCCGACGTGCGACCGCTGCTCGTCGCGCTGCGCACCCCGCGCGCGGCACACGCCCTCCGGATGGTCTGGCTCGCGTTCCTCGGGCTGCACGTTCCCGGGTTCGGCGCCGCGCTCGGCGCGGCGGAGGACAGCACGGACGACCGCTGGGCGGATGCGCACCTGGCTTCGCAGGCGTACTTGAATGCGTTGATTCCCGCTGAGGGCGATATGGCGCGCCTGCGCATTACGGCAGACGCACAGGCGGGGGTGCTCGTGGGGCGGGAGAGGGAGTACCGTACTGGGTTTGGGCCGGTGAAGAGCTGGAGGTGGGGTGTGCTCGGTGCGCTGGAGGGCATCGGGGAGGATGCGGGGGCGTGGCGGATGTGGATGAGGGAAGATGTTGTGGGTGTGGACCAGGGACTGGTGAGGGAGGTTTTTCGCCAGTGCAGGCGGGGCGGACTCGAGGATGTAGAGTGGGATGTGCTTGCATTGGCATTTGAGGCTGCCGTTAACGCCAAAGGGTATTATTTTATGTTGTATGTCTCCCAGTGATATGTTGAGCTAACAACTTTGCCTGACAGTGCTACGAAATTGTCCAAGGCACTCCTGGGATCTGCGCCGGATTCGTTACCGCTGTGGGCCGCGCACGCTCGTCTGGAGCGACTGAGAGGTCACACTGACGATGCGCGGAAGGTCTATCAGGCAGTTCTAGTGTCTTCGCATCCGCATCGCCCCGGAGATGGTTCCGTATGGTGGGACTGGGCGGAGACGGAATGGCTCGCGAGGAAGCCGGACGCTACGCTCCTGGTCATCGTGCGCTCCGCCGGGGCCGAAGGCACCAGCGGGATCGCGATCCTGCGCGCAAAGCGGCAGCTAGACGGGCTGCTCGGGCAGGTGTCCGGTGCGCAGTGGAAGGAGCGCGAGGCGTGGATCAAGCTGCGCGCGCTGCTGGAGCTGCTGACGGCGTCGGTGCCGTCCGCGCTTGCGGTGCTCGACGGGCATCTTGGGGCGCTCGAGGTCGGATCCGCGGCGCATGAGAGTTTGACGGTTGCGACTCTGGCGCTTCTGTATTATCATGGTACGGTACTTCGCAATCCGATGCCCCCGGTGCTCCTGAGGCAGCGGACGGAGAGCGCGATCGAGACGTACCCTAGCAATACGGTGGTGCTGGGCATGTTCCTCGAGGCGGAGAAGGGGCAGGGCATATGGGGACGCGTGCGGGCGATGTTGGGGGAAAGCACGGTGGACGGTGTGTCGAAGGAGAAGGACGTGGCGAGGCGGGTGGCCGAGGTGTGGGTGAGCGGGTGGGATAAGGGCCGGTGGGAGGCGGAGCAGGAGCGGACGCGGGGCGGGTTGTCTGCCGCCGTGCAGGACGATCGGTGAGTGGCTATTACAATCTTTTGAGGTAACATCGCTAACATCGGCGACTCAGGACGCGGGGAAGTGCGATTTTGTGGAGGTTATTCGTGGAATTTGAGATCCGAGTAGGGCAACTTGCAAAGGCGAAGAAGTTATTGTTTCGGGCAGTTGGGGAGTGCCCACTGGCGAAAGGTGAGTGCGTGGAACGAAATTGTGTTGCATGTAAACTAAGCTATTACATCAGAGCTGTATCTACTGGCATTTGGACCGCTCCGGTCAGAGTTCAGCGGGCGGGAGCTGAGCGAGTGGGCCAACACGATGGCGGAGCGAGGAGTGAGGATGCGGCAGGGGCTGGACGAGATGCTGGAGGGATGGACGGAGGAGAGAGAGGCGCGAGTCGAGAGCGGGAGCGAAGGGGAGGAGGAGATCGAGACGCGTGCACGGGAGCTGAGGCGGCTGCGGCCGTACTAGATCGATCGCGTTGTTTGTGCGTATTTGTGTGCTCTATTTGGATGCATTGTTTGTGCACGACCGAGGCCACACGAGGCGGGAAAGGCTCTCACCTGCCACCACAGCCGGCCATCGTCTCTGCGCCCTATTTCAGCCTGCAAGGCTCTGCCTCTCTCTATCGCGCTTTCAAGCGTCCATGTTTTTTCTCAGAGCCTCTTCGCTCCCTATTTCTAGCACACTACACCCTTGCCCTGTCTAGACTCGGGTCTTAATTCCCTTAATCTCGCTCCACGGGCCGCCACCACTGCTACCCCACTTGCTCGGAGCGTCCATGTCTGCTATTCCTGCTCCAACCGTTCTCCTCTGCAAGGAGGAGTGGCCCGACGCCGATTTCGAACTCCCTGATGGGGAGCCTATCCATGCCTCTGATGCCGAGGACGACAAAGCAGACGGTGTAGAGGACTGGGACGTTGAAATGGACCTTGCCCCCTCGACCCGTGTAAAAGCCCAACTTGTCCTTGACGGCCTCGCTGCCAGGTCCCATTCCTCATCTCGGCCACACCAGATGTTCACCATTCGTCCCCCTCTTCCTAATTCTCCCACCCAGGATGACGATGACGATGACGAGGGTGTCTCCACCATCAAGGTGGCCGCCCTTCCCCGAGTGCCTCCCAAGGCCTCACCCCAGCCTCCAATTGACGAAGACTTTGAAGATGCCTTTGCCCTTCCTGCAGACCTCACTCAACTGTCTCTGCGGCCATTGTCCCTCATCCACCGCTCTTCCAAGGGCTCCCTGGAATGGGGCGACAAGGACCAGACCTCCTCTTCTCAGTCTTCCGACGCATACTCTACCCTCGGTTTTGCCGATACTTATCCTTCATCCAACAACACATCGCAGCCCGAAACAGAGACTGACGAGGACGACGAGGAAGCAAGCGAGCTCGATGGTCTTGTCATTCCCACCGGCCTCTTCGAGTCGGGTTCGAGTAGCAAGAAGCTCACCAAGATCCTCGAGAAGAAGAAGAAGACCGCACTCACCGGTGACCGTCTCAAGTTCGCTAGCCCCGACCCCGAGGACGACTTCGAGATGGGTCTGGTTATTGACAACGACGTCGAGCTCAGCCCGAGCAGACTGCTGCAAAATGCTCAGACGACGAAGCGATTTGCGGTGCCCACTATCCGTAGCAAGAGCATGCCGGCCCGACCACTAGTAACAACACGGCCACCATCACGCCTCCTGAAGGGTGACCGTGCACGATCCCCAAACAATCCACCTATATCATCCGCTCAACAGCTTCGCAAGCTTGCGGAGCCGTTGCCTTCCACGCGCCTCGGCCAACCCGTCCGCTCGCAAACGTACAGCCAGGCGTTGACATCTTCGCCACCACCCACCTTCCTTGCACCCAAGCCGGGCAGTCTGCGCGTGCAGAAGTCGCATACCGGGCTCAAGCCATCCTCCTCACCGTCTACACGCCGCCTCGGACGCAAGGCGTCTCTCCCGTCGCTGTCGGAATCCAGTCAGACCCAGGCGTCAGGCTCTGGGTCGGGTTCGGGCACGGGCCAGGCGAGTGCTACGGTGGGGCGGTACGATGCGCCCACCGCATCGTCGCGTGCGAAATCGCACACGAGTTCGACGAGCCGGATGCACGCGCTCGAGTACAACGTGCCGCCCACTAGGCCGTCAACCCCATCGGCGAACCCTGCTGCCCTGCGGCTCACGATGCCCACGTCCTCGTCGCGCCTCAAATCGCGCACGCCCATATCGTCTGTGTTTCCTAGCCCTACTGTTGCAGCGGTGGCCCCCCCAGTAGTACGATCCATCTCACCGCTACCACCATCACGCCCGCCGTCCGCCACATCCACGAAGTCGCGCCACGGCTATGGTCATGCGCAGACACAGTCCATGCCCGTCCCCCCCGTGAAAGTCCTGCGGAAACCGAAGCGGCAGCGAACGTACGGTGATGGCACTGAGCTGGACGCGTTCGAGGACCTCCCACTCGACCGGGAGAAGGAAGGGCGGTTCAGGATGCAGCCTAGGGGCACTCGCATCCCGGGCGCGTCGTATCCCAAGTCTGTTACTGCTGAGGGAAGCGCTGGTGCAGGGAAGGGCACGCTGCGGAGGAAGACGAAGCGCGAACTGTCGGAGGGTAGCTATGGTGAGTGCTTTTGAACTTTTGTGTGGTAGACAGACGATGACCTTTTTTGTTTCAGAAATGTCGAAAGCCGCTGCTCCTCCAGCAAAAACGCTCAAGCGCACAGGGCGGATTGAATTCCCAAGTAAAACATCCGATTCCATGGCTGTCGATCCGCCCCTCAGGTCGACCGAGGCAGAGCTTGGTTTGAGGAAGAAGAAGTCGCCCTACTCGCCATCACAAACACGGCGAAAACCTACCCTGATTCGCAATCTCGGCGGTGCCGGTGCGCCCAAAGGCAAGTCTATGCATACAATCAGGCTTTCCTAGTCACTAATTGAACATCTGTCCAGTCGTCGGAGAGATGAAATGGAATCCAAACACACTCCGCTGGGAAGGCAACGACCAAGCTCTCCGCGACTTCGACGCCGCCGTCGGCAGCTCAACGCGCCCCGCGCTCATCACGCACCTCACGGGCTCGTCTATCGGGTCCCCCGTTGGCTCGTTCGCAGCGGGCGCCCGCGTCGTCGGCAACATGATCTTTGATCCCGCACGTATGTGCTGGATCTCGACGCTCTCGCCGGACGAGGACGAACCGGACGTCTTCGCCGACCTCGCGGACGATGAAGACGATGACGACTGGGAGGGGAAGGGCGGCACGATCCGCGCGAACCAGCCGCTACCGGGCGCCGTCCGTTCTCCTGCGAAGCAAGTGTCCGCGACGGAGCCGCCGAGCCCCGCGCGGAGCCGCTCGCGCGCGCACTCCGAGAGCGAGAGCGACCGATGTTCGCGCGCGTCGATGGTGTGCGACATAGACGATGCGTTCGCCGATAAGTGCCGCGAAGCGGAGGAGCGACACCGCGCGGAGCTCAAGGGCTGGCTGACGCCGCTGTCGACACCCTCAACACCATCGTCGCTCATCGCGCAAACGGACCGCTCGCATCTGTACGATATACGTGCGCTCGCGACGCGCCAGTATTGAGCGTTCACACGTTTGTTTCACGACCCGTCACGACTTCTCGCTTTACCTTTTCTTATTGTCTTTGAGCTCGCTGATTGTTCTCGTTCTCGGTACAAAGTTTTTTGCGTCGTCCACCACGCCCCTACCCTACCCGCTACCCCCCATCTCTCCCCCTTTCTCCTTCGCTGTGCTATCTTACTTTGTTCTGCAATGCCTCCTGTTTCCTCCTGTCTCTTGTCTTGGTTTGCTTTTTCCTTCGTCTCTCAGCCCACTGATCTGTATGCCACAAATATGACACAAAATTTATGTTGAAACAGTAACTCGAGAATGGCGATACAAATTCACGCTCGGTCTGAACGTAGGGTGTGAACACATCGGTAGGAGAGAGACATAGCTAGCGGAGACAACGAGACCGACCAGGGAGAGAGAGTAAGTACAGCGCCCGGATTCAAGTGGACGGGAGGGGAGGTCACTGAGGAAGAAGGTAACACTCGAACGATACTACTCCAATAACGGAAGAATAACGGCGGCCTGGAGGAGGCAATAGCCAACGCGGTAGAGAAGATACGTTATAAATATCAGTCAACCAGGATCAAGAATAGGAAGGGACGAGATAGGGTACGCGCGGTGTTGTTACAAGAAATGGAATGCATAGATGGGACTCGATAATAGAAGAGCCTGGATGGACCACCCGACGTTGAGGCCCTTCTACATGTCGCCCGCGAATCGTCTGTGGCCCACCAGGAATGAGAGAGAAACAGAGAGCTAAACAAGAGGACATAGCGAGGATAGACAGACAGCGATCAGGAGAGCGAAACGGGGTAGAATGAAATAGAAAAGGGAGACGAGGGGACGCGCGCAGCTCGTTCGACGCACGGAAGCGAATAGATCTCATTCTTCAGGTGCGGCCGCTGAGGGTCTTTCTGCGTTTCTTGGACTGGTGAGCCTCCCGGATTTCGGAGTCACTGTCGTCGTCCCTCAACCAGTCGGCTAAGAGGTCCCTTCCGGCCTTCCGGCCCCACTGAATGGGCGACACAGGCGCCGTCTCCTCCCTCTCCGGGCGAGACATTGTCGCGATGTCGTGGTCCTCATTGCGGTGTGACTTCCGTTTGTGCTTGCCGCTGCTCGACCGGCTTCTGCTGGAGAGGACTGCGTCCATGAGGCCCATGCCGAGGCCTGCGAGCGCAGTGGCCTTGCCTTTGGCACTGCTCGAGCTACCAGAGCCGGAGCTGTAGGATGACACCTGGCGAGACCGAGCAGACCCTGGCTGAGTGGACATGAGGGTCATATTTTCCTCCTCAGGAGAGGGGGGTGGGCTCAGTTCACCGCCGCTCTCTCCGGCACTGCCCTCGCCGCCGCTCTCTCCGGCACTGCCTTCGCCGCCGCTCCCTCCAGCACTGCCCTCGCCGCCGCTGCCAGTCAGGTCGACCCACGATTCATAGAGCGAATCCGCGAACGGATCTTCTCCTTGCAGCTGGATGGGAGCCAACAGACCCGTCCCGCTGGCGGATTTTGGGACGGGAGACAGCGACATGTCTCGACAGGAGCTACTAGCTGTCATAGCAGATCCCATGCTGACGTCCTTCCGGCTGCTCATTGTACGTCGTAACGGCGATTCGGCAATCCTGTACTCCTTGAACTTCGAGCGGTCCGACATAGGCGCGGGCAAAGGGCCATCGTAGAACAAGCGCCGCGGCGTGGACCCAGTCGTAAACCTCAGCTTGTCATCGAATTCGGAGAAGGGGCCTTTGTCGGCGCCGTCGGAGAGGGCGAAGGGGCTGCTGAAGATGCTCCGTTTGCCCCGCTCGCTGGCAGGAACAATGACGACAGGACTAACATCAAGCCCGCTCACAGTTGGACTCGCCTCCCCGCGCGCGAGCATGCACAGCGAGAGGTCCCGTGCGCTGTGGAGCGGATGACTGGGGCTTGGGAAGCGCCAGGGCTGGTCGGACGGGAGCCGCGCGGGAGAGTGGCGGAAAGAGGGAGTCACAAGAGGATCGTAGGGTGATTCGGCGATATAAGTGAAGTTCAGACGCCGCCTGCTTGCCGACTTTGAAGGTGAGAAACCAGGCGTCAGAGGAGGGGTGTTGACCGTCACGGAACGGAAGAGGTCAACGTTGCCATCAGGCTCAAGGACCTCGTCCTGAAGAAGACGAGGGTATTGTCCCGACGGCTGAATTGCGACTGCAGATGACCGGTCGGGAAAAGACGCATCAGGGCTTCGATGGGACTCGCCGTTGCAGTCAGCTGCATCAATGCGGTCCATTGATGGTCCCTCCTCCATGTTCGCCGTTCCGGAGTTGTTCGCGCTGCTCGGTTGACTGGCTTCCCGGTCCTTGTTCTCCTCTGCACAAAATGCACATTGATCGGAGGCGCTATGTAAACAGGCTCGTAAAGACGTACTGTTCGAACCACGACCCTTACGTTCGGCGGTGTCGCGTCGGTTGGACATGGCGATCTTGTGCTTTTCGTAGACGTGCCGACGCCACATACTTTTCGCGTTCACCCCCGCGTAGGTGCGGCGGCAGAAAGTGCATCGCAGCTTGGGCTGCTCCTCACCTCCGGGCCACTTATCCTTGACGTCTTTCTTCTTCGTGGGGCACCACCCGCGAGGTGGCTCAAGCTGTGACGGGTAGCAGATCGCTGCGGGATCGCTGTGGATATAGGATATGAAATCCTTCGGGTCGAGGAACCACTCCGGATTTGCCGCCATGAGGTTGTAGGTCAGACCGTCCTTGTATTTGTGAGCATCCGGGAAAGAGGTGAACGGTGGACGGATGAAGACAGCGCCAGGATCTGTCGGGGATGGGTCCATAGTTAGTGATGGATTGTAGCTGAGGTGATGGTTCCGCGACGATGTGTGTCGCGTGGTAGGGTTTCGCGATGTCGACGCTATGCCAGGGGGGAGATTAGGTGGCTCAGCTGGAGCTGCAGACAATGTGGATGGATCTGGGGCGTCGAATTGATAAGGCTTGGGCCTGAAAGTACTCGCGGGATGAAAGTACGCGGGTTCTGTTCCCGAGGTCGTTAGGCGGCGCTTCAGGCTTCGTGAGGATGATTCGGCCACGGAGGGGCCAGAGAAGGAGTATGACGCAGTAAGTGAGGGGCGGCGGGAGTCCATTGTTGCGGGTTGTGTGTGTATGTGCGATGAGTGCTGCTCGCTGTAAGATAAGGGCGTTGAGTGGACTATGCTGTGTCGTCAACGCTGTAACATACAAAGGTAATGGCCGACGGGGAGCGGAAGAGACAAGATATAGGAGGGTGATGGGCCGAGCGAGCAGCGAGCAAGCAGACCAGGGGTGACACCGATGACCTGCACAGTAGAGGTGGCCAACGTGGTGGCGATTCTCTCCTTTTCAAGCGGAGATGCCACGCGGGGTGCGCGCAACACCACGTGATCGTATATGGCGCTCTAGTCTATACTATTGAGTCTATGTGCTTTCCCTTGTTCTCTTTCAAGCAATCTGCTTGGCAAAGCAATCCTTCCTTCGCACCGCTGAATAGGTTGAGATCGGGCTATCAGAGCTGACAGAACACTGGACACTTTTTCAGCCGGCACCACCCGCCACCGAAAGCAAGTCGCATTGCCTCCATGCTGCTGCTGCGTGGAGGCTAGATACCCTCTAGAATCAAAAAAAGAATTGGGGGATAAATCGATATACATCGCTACCATGTACAAGGTGCACCAGAGCTCGGAAGTGGTCCCGCCGTTCCCACCGATCAGAGGGCCAGTGCAACGTATCTATCGAATTTTCGAACGCTCAGCGATTCATCAGTGACTGGTCAGCGTTCATGCTCACCCAGCTATCATGATCGAACCGCCAATCGGGGTTATGGGACCGAGCCATCTCAACCTGTTGCGAATCATTATTGAACCCTGCTCCACCTCTGCAAGCAAGCTTACTTGTCGCGGGCGAGTATCAGCGCCATAATACTGCCTGAAAATATGACACCGCCCACCGCTATGGCAGGCCCAGCAAACCTATGGACCGCGAAGCGCGGATGGAGGGAAAGTAGCAGTAACCCAAGTCCATTGTAGACCTTTTTGGTCGAATTGTCAGCTCCCAGGATGATACATCCGATAACACATCAGTGCTCCGTGTCGGACACACGATACCACAAGTGGCAGTGAACTACCGACAGAGCAGCTCCGACGCACACGTATGCAGCGTGAATTCAGAGAATTTATGTGATATCACGGTAGGGAATTGATACGGCCACAGTTGTAGACGTACTGCATAGTGCGAGGCAGTTGCCCAAGCATTGACTTGATCCACGGTGATTCCAGACCTCTTCTTAAGTCCGTGTGCCCCAAATGCACCCGTAGCCATGCCGATTGCGACTAGGAGGCAGGGATAACATGAGCGGCGGAAATTGGCTGTCTGAGGCTTAGCAGACAAAGATTGTGCGGTTACCTAAGATTGCTCCCGACTTCCATAACAACCCGGGACCAGGAATGGTTGAAGCAACGCGGTGCAGAAGAGGCGTGGAGGAGGATATCGGCTGAGACATAGTGGAAGTAAAAATGCCAGCGCAAAAGGATGACGACTGTTCCTCACGAACTACCCCGGCACGATCCGCACTCGTTCCACAGATCAATCGGACGGATCTCAGCAACATCAGTTCACTCCTTGAGGCAATTGACTCCGAACAACGTATCCAGAATGCATTATACAAGTACTTAGGAGACGGGGTGACGCTGTGTCCATAGGTATCAAAGCCGTCGATCATTTGTTAGGGCTGGTGGTTTCCCAATCAGGAAACATATATTAGTCAGCACATAGGTATGTCGGAGAACATACTGGAATCTCCTAGAATTACTGTGTAGTATAAATATATGGCCCCAACCGCATGAGCCCCTCATGCGCTTGTGACCCATGGCCTAACAGCCGAGTGAGTAGTAGTGATCAACCTCACAATACCATTCCATCCTCCAGCTCAGTTAAAGCACTTCTCAAAGTCACTATCCCCATCCCTTCGAGCGTAGCCCTGAATTTCCATGAAGGCAACGACCGAACGTAGCCTAATCCATGAAGCTTGTCCACTCGACAGAAGTCCAACAGAAGTCCAACGGCTGCGCCGCGTCGTGGACGAGTATCTTTGAGGCAACCCAAACCCCATTGTTCGTCAGGCATTTTGCGCGGATTGAGCGCATCCTTGGAAATATTGAACAAACCGATGGCTGCATATGCTGCGACCATAAGGTTCTCGTGGGAGAAGTCGGCGTAGATCGTCTGATGCGAGGAGAAAGGGAGTGAGAAGTTATGCGTCGTGTGGTCCTGGACTGGGAGGTCCGACAACCGTGACAGCAATTCGTTCACATATCCGATACCTTGGACAGGGCCTAAGGGTTCGCCGTAGCTAGTTGCACGCGCGGTGTTATCAATCAATCCTCGTCCAGATCATATCGAAGACTAATCCCGTTTTGTAGTACTTCTCCACGTCGCCATCGTACTCGAATGCACGGAAATCGTCGTCTGTGAACAACCGACAAAATAATGGGCTTGTATTCTCTGTTTCCACTGTTTCGAACGGACACATCGCCATTACGTTGAATATATCCACCTCGTTGAGATCCGCCCCGGGCGCAGCCTTGTTCAATCGTGCGGCAATTAGCGGTCCAAAAATCGACAGCCATTCTCCCATTTCTGCCGAGCCCTCCCCTGCGTTTGGGCAATCATTCTGCAGCGTGCTATTTCTCTGTAAATTATTCAGCTCAGAATGAACAGTTGGATGAACGTGGTAGAGGTATGGCGCACGGATTCGGATATCACAACATTGATGTTTGGATTGTACCTCTGGTGACTGGCTGCTGAAAAACCTGGTAGACATGTAAGTTACAGTTGTATCAGCGGCTCAGGTACGCAGACACACCCACGGTCCAATTACCCGCGGTCGCCATTACTCTCGGCATACTCGTCGCTCTGACGAAGGGTATACCGTTGGCGTCCACGAGATGCGAATACCGGTTTTAGGTGGCTTGCCCCGCCTCAAATGACTGCGAGGCCCGGAACGGTATCAGGTCTTCTTCGCCCATATCATGCCGGTAATCTTTAGAAAGTCGAGGTTCGACTCGACAAACTTGTGCGGGGAGGCGAGACGCCGTATTGAACTCCATCAGCTTTGGCGGGATAGCGCGCACCATGGCGTTGCAGCTACCGAGGAATGTTCAACATAGAGAGAACTGGAAATGGTACAGGTCTTCTCACAATGTTTACCTACAGACGACAGGCGAGGCCAACATTGGGCATTTAGCAAGGATGCAACGGTTCGCAGATAAAAGATGCCGATTGATTTCAAGCACGTTCAGGGACACTAGGTCTGACACCGACCTACACAGCTCGCGCAGTCAAAGTCAACGCTCAGCGTGAGGAAACCGTACCAAAAGGATTCAGGTTCTGTCAATTGAAGCGAACTCACCCGAGTGACTTTGCAATGCTTTGGAGGTGATACATATTCGTCTACAGGATGCCAAGGCGAGTACTGTCCCCGAAGTCTCTGAACGTGGTCTGGTACACCCAATCCAAGAGATACATCTGTGCCGCAATTTCTCATATATTTCCACGTGCCAACACAGTATGCATAGCACAGACAAGATAGAACTGTGGTCGCCTTCAAGCAACGGAAAAGATACTAGTTGAAACGAGACGGCCACTCAGCATGCGAGTGAAGGCGAGAATCAACAACAGGAAGCTTTTCTCCAGAGGGCGACATGGTCGTAGGAATACAGAGACTGTGGGGAGCAAAAGCTGGTATGAGGAGGCTCTGATGTCACCGAAGTCTTCAGCGAGCTCCGCCTGGCACCTGGGCATGACACTGCGTGTAAATATGGTTCCTTCTTCCATGTTTCGTACTCGATGATACAGGCTGAAATAGCCTGGCCCATGAACGAAAATTCTGCGCCTGCACTCGAGGATGCATGCAAATTAGTCGGAACATTGTCGGCAAACTGTGGTAGGCGTTGAATGCCAAAAGCAGAAATTTGCAAACATGGATCAACAGAGCAAGTAGTTCTGTAATAGTAAACTTCTTCGACTTCGCCTGCTCGATCATTGCACTTTCTTCGCGTGATGGGTAAAGCACAGAAAAAGACAGGCAAGGGCCGGCTTGACAAGTACTACAAACTTGCAAAGTGCGTGTGTGCCTGGTCCAGAAGTCCACGCGTCTGACTGGCCGTTCTAGGGAGCAAGGTTACCGAGCTCGGTCCGCCTTCAAGCTCATACAACTGAACAAGAAATATTCATTCTTGGAGTCAGCTCGATGCTGCATTGATCTGTGCGCTGCACCGGGTGGTTGGTTGCAGGTGGCGAGCAAGTACATGCCAGTGAACAGTGTAATAGTCGGTACGTCCTTCTCGCACCTTTTTTGTCTACAGGACTTATAGCTATATTCACCGTCACCAGGCGTTGACCTTGTCCCCATCAAACCCATTCCTCGTGTCGTAACTTTTGCTTCGGACATTACCACTCCCCAATGTCGCAATCTCATCCGGAACGAGCTGAAGGATTGGAAAGCTGACGTCGTGCTGCACGATGGTGCACCGAATGTCGGTACCGCCTGGGTGCAAGATGCATATAGCCAGTCTGAGCTGGTACTCATGAGCATGAAGCTTGCTGCGGAATTCCTCGTCAAGGGCGGGACTTTCGTCACGAAGGTTTTCAGAAGTGCGGACTACAACAACCTTATCTGGGTGTTCAAGCAGTTGTTCGGCCGGGTTGAGGCGACGAAGCCGCCATCATCTCGGTGCGAATCTATCTGAATACCCGTGTATACTTGAAATCATGAGCTAATTTCTAGCCAGAATTGTGTCTGCGGAAATCTTTGTCGTCTGCCGAGACTTCCTTGCGCCCAAACAGATTGACCCCAAGTTCTTCGATCCCAAACACGTCTTTAAGGACCTCTCTACCTCGCTTCCGGCTGATGACGACAAGGGGACCTCGTCCAAGAATTACCAAGCCAATGTCTTCCAACCAGAGAAGAAACGGCGTAATCGCGACGGCTATAACGATGGCGACTATATCCTGTTCAAAAAGTCCGGTGCAGCAGAGTTCGTACGATCTCAAGAACCAATCGCGTTCCTCGGCAGCGTGAACAAGATTACATTTGAGACGAACGAGGAGAAGGAGTAAGATCTTGGTTGAATCTTCGTTAGTGCTGAGATTCTGAACCGTATTGTATAGGTGGCTAATGTTGGACGTTACCACACCCGATGTCGTTGCGAACTGCGACGATCTGAAAGTGTTGGGCAAAGGTGATTTCAAGACTTTGGTCAAGTGGCGGACGGCTCTTCGGGAAGAGGTGAGTTGGTGCAAGTGTGTCCATGGAACCCCCCTAACAGTTCGAATTCAACCTAGCTCGGTCTGGAGGTCAAGACGAAGCCAACTGAAGAGGTCACTGAAATTGTTGAGATTGTCGAGGAGGTCGATCAGGAAGAAGAGATACAGAACGAGGCTAGTACCAACCAGCCCTTGTATTTACTCCCTGACTTTGCTTGCTGACCGCTTGACCATAGCTGGAGCGACTCCATGCGGAAGCGGCAGCTCGTACCAAGAGAGAACGTCGGCGTGCCAACGAGATCAGAACTCGTACGATCCAGCGTATGCAACTGCAAATGACGGCGCCTCTCGATATTGGTTTGGAACAGAGTGACGCGGCGCTTCGAGACGGCCAAGAGGACATCTTTGATTTGAACGACGCTACCAAGCTTCTGAGAAGCAAGGGCGGGATAAAGGGGTTTGTTAACGGGGAGGACGCAGACAGCGAGAGTAACAGCGAAGTACTAGGTGAAGACGAGGATAACGAGCTGTGGGATTCTGAAGATGAGCGGGATAAAAAGGTGACAGAACTTGAGGCAGAGCTGGATGGGATGTACGATGCGTACAGGGACCGACTGCGAGAGCTGGACGCGAAGTACAAGGTGAAGGAGGCCCGGAAAAACAACAAGGAGCGAGAAGAATGGCAGGGTATCCGACAGGATGATGGCGATGAAGGTGACTCAGACGAGGGGAGTGGGGACGAGGGCGGATATGAGCGAATAGAAACCGCAAGGGCCAGAGCAGGGGAGGATTCCAGTTCTGACGAGAGCGACGAAGAGACAGAGGAGGGGTACAACGTGGGCAGACTAAAGCGGAGAAGAGGTGAAGAGTCCGATTTCACAGCGCCGGAGTCGAAAAGGGCACGAACCATAGTGAAGCTGGACGAGTCCAAGTCGCACCTCAGTCAAGTCGCCAAAGTCTGGTTCAGCCAAACTTGTTTTACTGGCGCGGAGGATGACATGGCAGAGTCCGAAGATGAGGATGTTATGGATGAGGACAAGGAACTTGTTCCGGACGACGAGAGGCGAGATGAGGTGAGTATTCTTTGGCGACTTGTGGAAACCAAACTCATGGATTGCAGGTAGATTCCAGTGATGACAACGACTTCGAGGTAGTGCCTCAAGATGATGATGACGATGCCGACATGTGGGACGTAGAAAACGGGAACGAGGATGGTATCAGGCAAGCACAAATACAAAGTGAGTCAAATCAACGACCTTGTGAGCCATACGTACTAATCACTTGGTGACACAGAGCAAGGTCTTCTCAGCGCTGAAGCCGTAACTATCGCGCAGCAACTAGTCAACAGGGAAAAGACTCGAACGCAGTTGATCAACGACGGGTTCAATCGCTACTCTCTGAACGCCAAAGACGGTCTTCCGTCATGGTTCCTAGATGACGAGGAAAAACATTACAAGGCAAACATCCCAGTCACGAAGGAAGCCGTTGCAGCTCTTCGTGCGAAGATGCGCGCACTCGACGCTCGCCCCATCAAAAAGATCGCCGAGGCCAAGGCTCGGAAGAAATTCAAAGCGGCTCAGAGGCTGGAGAAAGCAATGAAGAAGGCAGAGGGAGTGAACGCTACCGCCGACATGACGGAGAGGGAAAAGGCGAAGCAGATCGAGAAGCTAATGCAGAAGGGTATGTCGACGAAGAAGCAAAAGAAAGAAGTCAAGGTAGTCGTCGCGAAGGGTGCCCACAAAGGTCTGAAGGGAAGACCGAAAGGAATTAAGGGTCGTTATGTGATGGTTGATTCCCGAATGAAGAAAGAGGTGAGAACTTTGTATTTTTCGACGTCAATCTTCACTGACAAAATCACACTTGTAGGTCCGGGCAAAGAAGCGGCAAGAAAAGGCAAGCAAAAAACGGAAGCACGCTTGATCTGCGTTTTCGTTCATCCACTCTTTGCTACTGTAGTGTTCTCGCCGCGAAATCATGCCGTCCGATTTATGCATATGTTTATTATGTTACTTTTCCTAGATTGATTCGGCATTATCTGTGGGCTCTACTGTAATATTGCCCACTGGTTTATACGTTTTGATGGTGAGCTTATCGCAGTCGCTTAGGAAATGTTTCCAAGAATCGTCAGAAAGATAGTCGTCACAAGTCACCTAGCAAAGAAGTTTCAGTGTGGAGTTCAGAACGGGCACCATTTGTGCGTACTTCGCACTGAGTAGATTTTTGAGTACTCTCTAGATCCAGGATGCTTTCACTGACGGCGCGAACGATGGATTGCCGGTCAAGTGCGTTGCCATCGCTATGTGTTGGGGCCTTTATGAGTTCTACACTCTGCCTCACGGTGGCGCTGGCGTGCAGCATGTAGGTATCGCCGCGGTAATGAAACAGCAAGGGAGGATCCGGTTGCGTGACATCGGAGTCTAGCTGCATCATACTAACGGGCAAGTTTGAGCGCGGTCTATCCAGCCACATCAGAGTGGTACGCACAAAGTTCGTAGATCTTCCATGTAGCCTTGCAAAGGAGCCGGTTCTTCTCCTGGCGTCAGTTCATTTGATTCGAAAGCTGTGACGCGCAGATCCATGGGACTAAAACATCATCAATAAAGGCAAATTTAAATCGAAGTTACAATATACCGATCAGGCATCATAAGGTCAACCACGACCTCAGAACCCATCGCGCAACGAGAGGTTGACTCAGCATTCAGCAGAGGTACATCCGCGTCAATATCATCCAGTGGAGAATGTTGCCGTCTAGAGAGACTGTCGCCCACGTTGGGATCCAAAGTATTAAGCCGAGGCTGGGCCAAAACAACCTCGAAGGACAGCACTTTGCTCGAATGTGCAATGGCTTCAGCAGCAGGATCAGGGGGAATATCCGGGCTACTGCTTCCTTCCGGGACTGGCTGTGGAAGGGCACGATATGTCAAACGATGGAGAACCTTCTGTTGCGCGGGCGACGAATCCACAAGCGCCGCGGGCAGACTACAAACAAGGTGGGTCAGAACCTCAATATGCCAGCGTATTACACCCTACCTTGACACAAAGGAGGACTTCGCACCACTGCCAGTCATCCATTGGAGGATTTTCGTGAAAGTATGATGACCTTTTAGAGGTGGGACGATGTTCGGCCGCTGTCCCGGAGACAACGCGGTGAAGAGCATATGGCCTGTCCTGAAATCCCGTATGAGTCGTAAGTCGAGGCCTAGTCGAAGTGGCACTTACGATGCCTTGATACTTCGACTGGTACTGTGAGGACTATCTGAGAGCGTGTTGAGCAATAGTGTTTTCAAGTCAACCACGTCTCTGCAACAATCAGCACAATTGGTGACAACAGACAAGACGACTCACCCCGAGGGAGCCAGTATACGACCTCTTCCTCCAGCCAGGCCGCCGCTGCTTTCGATATCTTCTCCAGAGCTAGGTCCCAGCCATTCGCCTATTCGTCTGACTCTGAAGGTTCCGCCTGTGTTCATCGTCCAAGGTAGTGACCGGGGAGATAGAAAAGGGTAGAGGAAATAAGAATGTGGAAACTCCAGTGTAGCGACGGGTGTTGATGCTGATACTTCAGAAGGTAGATAGGATAGTACAGGTGGTTGCAAGAGACTATTCGACTGTACCGTAACTCAGCCTCAATATGCGGACATGCATGCCTGGCGAGAGACGTACCTCGTGCCCTGCGCGACTCGCCAGCCGCTTCGCTACGTCTAAATTCCTACGGTTCCTTGCATATATCCTTACCTTGAAGATGGGTTACAAAGGTGGCAAAGATTTGATGACAGGGTAGCTGACCTTTCCCTTGTGGTCGACGTTCTCGAGATAGGCTCCCGCCAATCGTGATATACGCTGCACCAGGTCCTGTCGCACAGGCGTCTTGGTCGGTAACTCCATAGTCTCACTGGTGATATCCTGCAGAGGGATATCGTCAACTTGCTATGCATTTCACAAGTGTGGAAATGTACCTGCTCGATGAAGGCGATACGTTGGGAAAGCCTATCTAAAGAGCCTCGTAGACCTTCGACTCGCAGAGCCAATGGATTTGTCGTCAAGGATATATGGACATTAAATTCCATAGACATTTCCAGTAGATCCGCACCGTCTACGATTCGTGAGGTGAACGACATTAGTGATTTGCCCTGTCACATCTCGAAAATTCATTCTTACGAACCTCGGCCGAGGATAAGGAACATCTGACTGGGGGTAACCGGGAACGCTAGAATACGGCAGAGGGTGAGTCATGGAGCCACACCAGAGGTTACCACTAACATCGTACAGACACCTCTGTTCGATCTCTCTTAGCACGCTCGATTTCCTTCAGACTGGGCCAGCCCCATAACTTTTCTACAATGGCCTCCGCGTATTGCAACTTTCTTTTGTTGTAACGGGAGGAAGTAGAGCCCACATTACTCGTTTCCAAGAAGTGACGCAGCTGAGCCTTGCTGAATGACCGACAAAGTGTATCGACAAGTGCATTGTAGTCCAGAGGGTATTGTGGAGAATTTGTGTGAGCATGTTCCGCAGGACGACACCGCTCAAGATCTGATATGGTCGGCTCGAGGCCAGCAGCGTGTATCGAGGCTAGATACTGTTCCACTCCAGGTGCAGTGCGAGTTTCGCTGGGAGGTTTCGCTGCTTCTTCGCTGGCATCGGCAGAGCTTGACTTCTTTGAGCTCTTCTTGCGCTTTCCTGAGCCTACGAGAGAAGCTTTGCTCTCTTGAATGCTGGAGGGAGTACTCGTGAGATCTACCTCCGGAGCGTTATGCGCGACGGGAAGAGCTTGCTGAGGTTCTACCTCTTGGTCGCGAAGGGCCTGACGCGATGCAAGCGCAGCGTAGCATCGACGAGGAGGAACAGTGATAAAAGCTGAACAGAGCGAATGGGAGAATCTAGTTTGTCGGAGGATATGTCTTGACATAACAAGGCTCGTTCCAACTTGCTTCGCGCACCGCGAGCGCGCAAACCCATTTTTGCGACACGTGATCCATGCTGATCGGGCGTTTGCGACGTCCGCAACTTTATTCAGGTCGTGAGCAACCCATGCATGTGTACTACTACTGACGCAGCACACAGAAAGTAAGGCCGAAAGATCACAATACTCATCAATTCTACTATATGTGACAGCGGTGATTCATAGCAATACCGAATTTATACATTCTTCTCGAGCGTACCTTCATCACTAGCACTATCCTCTCGCGTGAGTTTCATAACATCATCCTCTCCGATTTCACCCTCCCATCCTTGCTCTTTAAGGTACGCCAGCCATTTCGCATCTTCATCCGCAAGGTCAACGCCCGTCTTGTCCGGCACAAAGAAGTACGTGACGAGAATACCGGCTACTCCGCATATGGCAGCGATAATGAATGTCCACCTAAAACATTAGGTTACCTCCAATTCAATACGGTGAAACATGAGGCGTACTTCTTGCCCAGGTTTGTTTGGATCGGCGTGAATGCTTGAGTACCAACCGCGGCACCGGTCTTCCCAATGGCGGCAGAAAGGCCGTAACAGGTACCCCTTTCAAAACAGTAGTGTCAGTCAACCTCCCTACTACGGAGATCCGCCCTACCTAATTGCAGTAGGATACGATCTACATAGTGTGTGAGTACAGTATTGACGATAAAGAATATTCACGCATACTCTGCGCTCACGAGGCCTAGCATATCACCCGGCCCCTACATGTAGTCAATATCCTACATCGAGAAGCGAGCTCATAAGAATAAGAATCTTACCATATTACCGAACGACTGCATGAGACCATAGCTTAGAGTCATTGTCAGTCAGCGTGTTAAGCAAGTAGTGAAAGGTACCCACAAGACGACGAAAAGCGGTATGATCCTGGTGATTTTGTCGTACGCACATCCAATGATCAATCCTGAATAGCATGCATAAACAGCATTATATTCAGTACAGTGAATAATATACCAAAGATCAAGTAGCCGCTGAAGCCCAGGATCATCTAAAGGTTTGTCCCAATCGATCAGTCATAGGACGAAATAAGACTGTATGAAGCCTACGGTGTTACGTCTACCAAAAGGGTTGCAGAGCATAGCGCCGACAAAGACACCTAAACAACCCATTGGTTTACAACACGCGGTGAAAAAAGTGGACACGAACCTGGAAGGGCGATAGCACCGAGCAGCAACTGCCATTCACCAGTGGACAAAACACTACCATTCTTGATGACAGAAGAAATGATGGTCCCGGAGAAGACACCATTTGGGAATGTGACCTTCGGGGAAATCATCCTCAACATTGATCTCCTGCAAAATATATGGACTTACGAAGTCATACAGGAACCTTTTCGAATAATGAGAAAACGGCACTTGGCTGAGGGTAGAACAAGACGCACCAAGCTCCGCATGTGCCAATCAGCGATTTCCAATATCTCTTGATGGCAAGCCAATACGGCACCCGTCCTAAACGTATCTTCGTCATGCACCCTACTATGAGACTGGAATTTAACTAAGTCTTACGTTTCATCGCACCATCCCGATATCTTAACACGAGACTCGTTAGCTCAGCTCAGATGCAAGGAAGTCCTCTGCTCACAACTTCGGGCTCAGCATGCGCATCCGGAAGTAGAAAACCGTAAGAGGAAGGATGATGCCTATCCCGAAGCTCACACGCCAGACGGTGTTGAGATGGTTCTCTCCAGCAGCTGCAAGAACGATCAAGAAAACGGACACTGCCAAGGGACCGCCAAACTAGCACGCTATAAGAACGTGGTGAGACGCATCATACCAGCCGGACGTACGCTGAGCACAAAATTCGTGACCATGATGAATACTGTAATGTAAAACATTAGAAAACTATATTACACCAAATTCACGTTCATTAAAGTACCTGGGCCTCGATTCGCGATCATTTTCTCATTGGCAGCTTCACTAGCGCTTGTCGACGATGCCGGGTATTCGCCTCCAGTGCCCTGACGGAAAAGCACATTATTTGAGGTGCAACAACGCCAAAAAGTGCTTACAACGCCAGTGATCCCCCTCGCGATGGTCAAAAACCAGAACAACCCTTCGGGGCTGCCATGTGCTCCATGTGCTGCAGTAGAAAGGATGGCCCCAATCACAATCATAACGGTGGTGACCACTAGGCCTGCTTTGCGCCCAACTCTGTCGCACAGCAGTCCTACAAAAACCTGGCCAAGGATTTCACCTGGTTGGGTGCGTGATCGTTTTGATCCTTCAAATCAACTTCAACTAACGGTGGTGCATACCAACGAGAAGCGCGTTGGATACGCGGGTAGAGACCGTAGACGTGTATTCTTTCGGATATATTTGCTTGAAGGCAACCTATCACGAAAGCATTCAGGCTCAGGGAGAGTGGAGTGGGCTATCAGACAATAAAACCTTACGTTGGCCATGGTCATGAGGTTGTTTTGATCTGAGGCGATATAAAACACAGAAATGTGCGACTCCAACAGTAGCACTTACATCCATCTGATATCAGCCCGAATGCAGCAGCGGCAATGACCATGTAGGAGCTGAGGGCCTCATTCCTACTTACGACTCGAGTCTCGCGTACAGGAACACTGGTAGCATCCGCAGGTTGAGCCTTGACGTCGTCGGAGATCTTCTCGGCGGAGATAGACATGACGGTCAGACAAAGGAGCAGATGGTGAGGTAAAGCCAAGAGGCCCTATAAGAGAGAGATAGGATAGGCATAGGTCCGCACGACAGGTCCACGACAGATGCATATGCAGCACAGACGCCGGCGATTCAAGGAAGAAACGTGCGTGGATATGCCAATGTGGGGGAGAAGCGATATATACAATATAACGCATCATCTCGGATCCGGACACGAAGACTTTGAATCCAGTGTTCATCAAACTGTCGTCGGGCACGTGCACAACGCGTTGGTGGCGGGCCTGCTCGGCCAACCGGTGCGCGTCGCCGACGCCCCTCGAACAGACCACATCCAGCCTTTTCTTCCACCCACCCGAGTGGGACACCGTTCTTGAACAGGTACAGAAAACTTACCGCGCCATCTATTCGTCAGATCCCAGAAGAAAAGCCTCAAACTGAATCAGTTCCAGCTAAGTCGGAAACGATAAGACGCATTTCGACGAGACTCGCTACATCATTTTCAGTTCGGAGTGCATCAAATACACCGCTCTGGATGGAAATATTAATTCTCCTTGCTGATTGGCCAGCCATGGCTTACCCCCGTTGAATTTCACGCACTCCCACACGAATTTGCTGTTCCGGGATAATCCGTAAGCAGTGTACCTGAAATAAGTTTCGTCGAAATGCGTCTGTTGTTTTCGACTTAGCTGTCGACGAGGGGATGTACTCAGTACCCGAACGATCGAATCGATCGACGCGCAGAGGCGGGATATCAGTTTACATGAACCGCAGAATTGTGGTGGTTTGTATGCCGAAAACATCGGGCGCATCTGAAGATAACAGCAAGGAGATCGCATTAGAGTAGATTTCGTACCTACACTGCTGCAAATCAGTAATCGCTGGATCTCAGTGGATATCGAATAGTGACACAGTGGACTACACACCACATGTTCGTTCTAGAAGGACACAATCGTACAAGCCTCACGACAATTCGAGGTTGTAGAGGTACCGTGGACTAGTCCACCAGATTGGGGTAATGAGAACGGCGGCGTAGTGGCTGCCCCTGTAGTACAGACCGACTGACATTGCGAAACACTGTACGATCATTACGAGCGCCGGGGTGGGGGGTAAAACTCAGAGGTTGAACTCACCTGCCCCATGATGCATGAATTTGGATGCTACTTCGTTCAATCAAGCATGGCAAATCCATCCTTTCTGCCAGCAATAAAACAACTGACTTCAAGTTGGCAGCGAAATGTAAGGATGCCTTTTATGGGAGGGGATGATCATGAGATAACGTGGCGAGCACGTGGTGCCTGCGGAGGTCGAAATCGGCGATTATCGGAAATCGGTTTAGATGAAGGTTTATCTTATCAGCCCACCATTGCACCCACGCCGTCGCCATCTCAGCTCTCTCCTTCTCAGACTCCCCGTTCTCTACACACGCTAAGCATCACCTCTGTAGCCCCAGTCCACGAGAGGTACAACATTTGGGACACTTCTGTCCTTGTAGCTCCATCGACGAACATGAGCGAAGTCTCGCCGACCGCCGCAGTCTCGTCTTCGTCCACCCTCTGGGCTACAGGTGCGTTCTGCATGCATATATTCCTCTGGAGCATACTCACCGTCATGCAGCATCAAAGGAGTGGGTGATACCCGCAAAACCCAAACCTGGTAGAAAGCCAAAGAAGGAGTCTATCGCGCCTGTAGAGGAACCCGCACAGGTTGGTCAATCTAGCACTCCGCATTTTAACTCGATTCTGACCGGCAGCAGCTGGACAGCAAGGGAAGACGCGTACAGAATAGGCAAGTGACTTAGAGTGACGTCTCCCTTTCATCATGCAGTACTGACCAACTTACCAGGGCCGCACAGCGCGCGTTTCGTGAGCGCAAGCAATCTCAACTTGCTGAGCTTCAAGCTCGCGTGCAGCAGTATGAGCAAGGGGAAGTTGAACGTAATGTTCAACTACAGAATATCGCAAAGCGGTTAAAAGAAGAGAACGAGAGTCTCAAAACAGAGAATGCGTTGTTGAAGGAGAAGGTGGAACAATTGTCGCAAACCCTCACGCTGCAAGACGGAGTGAAGAAGAGGTCAAGGGAGCCATCCCTTCAGTCTCTGAATGTACATTTCGTTCCACATACAAAGAAGAAAGCGAAACTTTCTACCGATCCTCAAAGCACAGTAATCCCTTCAGGATCCAGTACACATTCGTCCTCACCTTCGTCCTTGGGTTCCCCTCCTTCACCCACCGACTCCTCTCACACGGGATTTTCTCCTATACCTCCATTTTTGTCCAGTCATGACGTGTCATCCGCGAATGTTCTCAAGAACATCTTCGACATAAGTTCAGATGGAAAAGGCGACCTCTTCGAGAATAACGTGCATCTGGACTCTTGCGGTTTCTGCAACGAGACTTTACCATGTGTCTGCAGGGATATGCAGTTGGAGCAAGCTGCCGAAACTATGTCGCTAACTGAGCCGTCAACACAGGATTTGGGCACCGCAGATCTGAATCCTTCAGTCTCCAACTCCACCCGACCATCTATCCTTGACAATCCTCCTGCGTACCAACCTCCCGTACCTCTACGTCGCCGAGTCCCTAATCCCTCTTTCCATCCCGTTTTCCCAGTGTATTCTGCATCTTCCGATTCATCCCGCGGCGTATCTTGCTCTGGTGATCCGTCCAATTGTTTGGCATGCGCTGATGATGTCTTCGGGAAAGCGTTTTGCTCTGCCATCAGCAAGTCTGTTGCGTGCACGTCTCAGTGCGGAGATTGTCCCAACTTCTCCGATCTTGGGAGGAACAATGCCATCCTGCCTGGTTGCTGCGGTAATCCCGCCTTTTGTGGGAGTACTCTCTGTGGTGGAGGCTCTACTACGAGTGCGACATTGTCGCCCGAGAGCTCTTCGTCGGTCATGATGTCGAGTTCCTCGAGCTCTGAGACTATGCCATGTAATGATGCGTGGCGTCAGATCAAGTCACACCCCAATGTCGCATACACCGACCTCACGCTTCTCGCGGAAGTTGTTGCACGTCGGTCGAAGTGCGACGGTCCGAGCGTAGAGATATGCTCCGCACCGGGCGCGATCGCACCTGAGCGTGGCCTAACTCCGGTTGTTCCACCTGTGTCGCAGCAAGCCGAGACGCTCAACCAGCCAGTGCTGTTAACGGATCCCCATGCGCACTATCACCGGTCACAGAGACGGCCAGGGTCGTCCCCTCCACCACAGTTGGTACCCCAAGAAGTGCTCATCAGATGTGGACGCCAGCGCGTGCGGGAGGTCATGGCAGATGGTGTTCGTGATGCTCTCAGGTTGTTGGACGCGAAGTTCTCGCTACCATGACGTGGACCAGCTATGAATGCGATTCTCGAGCATCGTATTACTTATTCTTTTGACATAATACCTATGGTGCACGGACTATACTTGTCGACACGAGGGTAACGTTTCACTTGTCGTTGGCAAAGCCGCTGGTCATGCAACCTCCCCCGAACATAATTATATCACCTTGGAGTTGATAGCACGACCTGATACATGATGTGGACGGGATTGCTCAGTCCCCCTCTTCTTATGGACCGTCGGACCTCGCCAGATGCTGGCCAATCTCTGCATCTTCCAGCGCAAAATCCGCTGCTTCTGCTTAGACAGGCGCTCCGGCACATCTCCATTGGATGGGGTGAGCGACTGGAAGGTTTCCAACAAGTGCTTCAGAGAGGCCTTCTGCAGCTCCTCCGGGAATGGGGCGACGGCTGGCCAAAGCTGTATGAGAACTCGTCGCGCATCCCTCAATGCACGCACGATATAGAACGCCCGGGTTAACGTGACAATTGACACCACGTCAGGGTTTATCCCAGTGGCAACCATATCGTGGAATGCATGCAAGGCTTGGGTCGGATTTCGCTGACGGGCGTATCCTGTGATGAGGATGGTATACATGGTAACGTTGGGAGTGATGCCCGACGCGGCAGCTGTCTTCACGATCTCAGCCGCCGACCGCAGATCGCCAGCTTCCGCATACCCCTCTATGAGTGCCGCAAAGTGGTATTCATTTGGGTACATGCCACGATGGACCATTTGCTGGAACGATTGCTTCGCCATTTCCATGTCACCCTTGACTACAGCGTCGTGCCTGATGCGCAACGCGAAGGTCGCCCTGTCGCTCCTCACTCCCCTCGTCTTTAGGGAATGCAGGAGCGGCCGCGCTAGAGCATGATATGACGATGCAAGAGGCAACTTGATACCAGCAGTGGGATCGAGCGACTTGGCGACTTCTGAGAATCTACCGGAAGCGGCAAGGGCCTCTACGCGGTTGGAGGTAACGGAATCATCCCGATGCCGACGTCGCACAAGTCGCCTCTCACGACGTAGTACGGACCGTAAAATCACATGAAGGTGGCGCAAAGTCAGCCTGACTCCCCCTGACAACAACCTTCTGAAGGTCCGGATGATTTCTCGAGGACGAGCATAATCAAGCTTATCAAGGTATGAAAGGTAGATCTCGAGGGTGAGCTCATCGACGCGGATGCCGCAGGATTGCATGATATGCTGAACTGTGTGCATACCATTGAGACCGCGAGTCTTGAGCACACCCTCAAGAAGTGCATTGAAGACCTCGGTGGTAGGAGAGATGTTGGAGAAATTCAAGGGAAGTTCGGCGTTGTGATGGACCAACCCAATTTTTTTGAAGAGCGCACGGGATATTTGGTGTTTCCTGCACATATCCGCAATAATATACACTGCGGTACCCCCTTGTCCCGCGGCAAAGAATACGCGGATAAGTGCGGCAGCAGTGCTGCCATCCGGAGAGATGCACAAGGCGTTCATCTGCTTCAGCACCTGCATCGCACGAGAGAGGTCGCCTTGTCTGGCCAGGTGGTTGAGGAGCATAGTAAACGTGACCTTGTCCTCCACAGCGCCTGATACCGGTATAGTCTTTCCCGACCTTGTATCTGTACTCGCAACGAGTGTGGTGTTTCCGCCTTCCTGGGTGGTACCTTCCCCATCGTCTGGAGGGTGGTCGTGGTTGCCTGCACGTCCGTTGAAAAGAGAGAGAAGTTGGATAGCACCGGGCATGTCGAGCGAATCCAATGAGACTTGTATCAAGCTGTTTATAATAATAGTCCCTAGGCGGTCGTCGACGTCGTGCAAAGCCTCTAATGCCCGAGCCTTCACAGTAGGGTCGGGACCGAGGGAGCGATACACTGAAACAATGAGGGCATGGGTGGTCGCATCGACGGGTATTCCTGCCTCCTCCATTTCGGTGAGATACCTTCTGGCTTTGGAGAGGTCGCGATTTCGCACATGACCCGAGATAAGAATATAATAGGTCCTCCTGTTGGCTTTCAAATGCTCTTGTTTGAACCTTCTTAGAACACTGTCCAAGGCAATAAAGTTCTCCTTCTCCACTAAGGCCCGTGCACGCCAGTTTAATAGGCGTACCGTCGAACTGCCTGTTTGTCGCTTGCCAAGACTGACAAGAGATTGAACATGACGCCATTTGCCGGTCTCGGCCAACTGGCGGGCAACAACCTCGTATACAGCCTGCTCGAGCTCGCAACCTAGTTCGTGCGCTAAAGTTAAGACTTGAAGTGCGCGCTGAGGACGCTTCGTCTTTGCCATAGACACCGCGAGTTTGCGCACTCTTTCGCGATCCCCGAGATGTTCGAATAGCCCCACCGTCCCACCCGTCCGCCGCAACTTGCGCAACACGACGCGTTCGATCTTCCCACCGGAAAACAATGCATCGATCAGCGATGTGAAATCCTCCTGAGACAGCGGCTTTGACGCGTCCTCCGTGCTCTTCGCCTCCGGCTGATGTGCGTCTCCAGACAGGGCTTCTACCCGATATTCTTCTTCGCTTGGTGTGGAGGGTAGAAGAGTGGTCTCCGGACTCCGTACAGGCCTTGTATCCTGCAACCGTCGCTCCCGGACGGCTATGGCTAACGGCCATGGTAGCACTGAAGAGTGACGGAGATGTCGGACGATGAAAAGTGAAGGAGGAGTAAATGCTCTGTGGGTTGCAAAGAGGATGAAAACGGCTTGTTGAAGATGCCTGGATCCCTGGCCAACCCCCCAGCGCATCGACAGCCAGCTTGACGTGAAGGCTAGATCCCCAAACCGCCGTGGACTGCATATGATGGCATTGCGTTCTCAACGCGACGTGGAGCACGCAACATAAGATAAACACTGACCTCTGCACGGGTGAATGGTGCTATGAGCCTGTTGGGTTATGTGGGAGGAACATACGGGAAGACGAGGATTTACGCACTGCAGCCTAGCTTCACGTTCTCGACTCGTTCATGCCACCACCCGCCTTCATCGGCATGCCCCGGAGCCTCCGTACATGGCAACTGGCCGATCCTTGAGATATTACTGTGACTACTACCTTGTACTACCATCACTATCTTCGTTGCGATCGTGTGTTCAAAACTTATGGAAGGCATTCAGCTGACATATCAGCGCACCTCCTCTTTGTTTTGAGAAAGCATCATTCGGAAATCTCGTGCAAACACAAAACATGTGGTCTTGCATCTTAGGGTAAGTCGACTCTTTCCTAGTCGTATTCCCGATTCCGATAATGACTCGCTGGTCGCTATCTATGTGAAATGTACAGGAAGAGTACTGGCCTTACCGTCTGGATGCCGTCCGGTGATATGCGATGAGACAGTCTCCTTGGCGCTTTGCAGCCGATACCTCCTCATGTCAGTTGTAGCATGCGCTTGTTCAAGGACCGCAGGAGCTTTGTGCTGTGTCCGGATCATGACTTGCCCAAACACCCGAGCCTCAGGTACGTACAACAGTCATGAATTCGTCAGCAATGTTCCTGGACAGGTTTGTTTGTGTTCGTAACAGTATGTCACTGCGAGTACTTATCTACTCAGATGACGGTGAGAATTGTTGATATGAGCACTGCTTTGATCAATGCTTAAGGCGCTTTTGCAATGAGAATTCGGATGATTCACTCCACTGCGGATATCAATGGCCGAGACAGCGCGCAAACAACTTGGTACGTGTGCTTGGAGCCTCCCCAGTCACCCATCTGAGTACCTGATATACAGCCCGCTTGGGTGCTTTGAAGGTATCTGCGAATAATATGCTACCAAGCTGGTTGAGTTCGTGCTTCAACTGAACGTTGAACGCCCGGGAGTCGACGCCTTTCACGTGACTTGATAATTTCAAGTGGGAAGCGTCCTAATATTAATGTTATCGATGGTGTATCGTTGCTGTTTCAAGCTAACAAGCTCCTTTCGCATCATCGATGCTCCAGGAAATTGACACTCTCCAGTGTTCCCGTTAAATCGGTCTGCGAAGATACGCAGATGACTACGTTCACAAGTGATTATCGCAGTATATGCAGCCGACGGCATGGCTTCTTGGTGTGTGGCCAAATCGGTCTGATGGGGCTTGGCAGGAGTTCGCACCGTGACTGTGCTTGAAGGTATGATACCTTGGTCTGCTTCGGCAGAGGTGACGTGCTCTATTCCTGGGATGCTTTGAGCGTAGAAGATCTCATCAATGCATAGCTGCGGTGCGGCCCAATGCTACACCTGCACTGCCTCTCGATCAGATCCCAGTGAACAAAAGATTTGCCATGCTGAAACTTCTGTTTGCCGTGTTGGGAGCTGACATCGTACTCGATGCACTTGCGACCCAAACTTTGCTTTGTCATCGGCCTCATACATCAACAAATCTGCCAACCCCAGTGCGCTATATATGATGTACACCGTCAGCGTCGTCGTGCGTTGTTCACGACACCATCGAGAATGGCTTCGTACCAGACGCATCTCAGCCTTCTCCGTGAGACCGCTTCGCTAGACCCTTCAGCCCCTGCCTTTCGTGTACCGCAACTTGACCATGTGTCGAACGAGATTCGAACATGGGAGGTCATAACATACTCCCAGTTTGAAGCGCAAGTTAACTATTCTGCGAGGTACTGGGCTCGGATACTGGCCATCGATGGTATCCTACCCCAATCTGTTGTCGGTGTATGGTACGAGGCTCTATTCATTCGTAATGAATCCTTATTAACTTCATAGTCTTCAAGGCTCGGTGGAATGACGTATTTTGATGTCCTCCATATCTATGGTCTGTCGAGAGCTGGCTATATCCCACAGCTTTTCTCCCTGTGCCTCTCTAATCCCGATGTCATCTACGAGCTCCTGCAGAAGTCTAAAGGGAAGGCAATCATATATGACTCGTCATTTCACTCTCTTCTGTGCCACAGCCCTGTCCCGACACATGCCGCCGTTGATGTCGACTGTTTGGATGTGGAGGATACGCCATTACCCTCACACACAGCGAAACACCGTGGCGACGACACTGTCATGATATTCCACACCTCTGGGTCGACGTCTGGTTGTCCGAAGCTTGTTTCTTGCAGTTACGCATGGTGGGATACGATTATTTCCAAAGCGGGCCAGGTCATGAAACCAGTATCGCACGAGAAACACCGTCAGGATGTTGCAGTATGGATGTCAGTCACCACAGCTTCTTGTTTGTTGCGAAGTTTACTGACACCGCCATCCAGGGGAAGTATGTGTCACATTGGCCAGAACTTCATGCTACTCGGTGCACTGCAGCACGCCTCTTGCATGATACAGTCCACCCAACAAGCGTTTTCCTCCGAAGAGCTTGTCGACATGATTGACCGTTGTAATCTTACGCGCATCAATCAGTTTCCTACATACCTCGGCATCCACCTTCGGAACTCCCGTCGGGATCCTAAACTTCTGTCACATTTGCAGGCATTGGATGTCATCTTCGTTTCTGGGCTCAAATTGTCCCCCGAGGACGAAGAATGGGTTCAGAGAAGTGGTCTCAAGTTGATGGACTGCTACGGAAGCACAGAATGTGGTGCTATGATGATATCCACCCCAGGTGCAAGCGGGGCTGCACGCCAGGTCCTCCGACCTATCGCGGGGATGGCCTATTCATTCGCACCTGTAATTTCCAGCGTTCAGGTGGAAACCGGATATTGGAATCCTAATTCCCCATTGCTGGAGATGATCATTCTTGGAGAATCACCGGACTGTCCTGATCGTTCGCTGCGCAGCGCAGACGGAAATTATCATACCGGCGATCTCTTCTCAGAGGTCTCGCCAGGATGTTACGTTTTCCGTGGACGCGACGACGATTGGATCAAGACCGAGAACTCGCTCCGATGTGACACCAAAGCGATCGAGGATAATGTTCGCACAAGCTGTGCGCATCTCGTCGCTGATTGCGTTGTCGTGGGTAATGGGAGGCCATCCCCCACCTTACTCGTGGAGCCTGCGGCAGGTGTGGACCATGAAGTGATGAAGAAGGAGATCATTCGGAAAACCCGGCACTTCCATTCGCGGCGTTATATTCACGAACGTATCACATCGTCCCATTACATTCTGGTCGTTCCTCCTGGTTCGCTGCCACGGACGGCGACTAAGGGGAACATCCGGAGACGTGCTGTCGAGCAGGCATTCAAAGCAGACCTTGATCGGATCTACCGAGTGGCTTATTGAGCATTGGGTGTTGTACAATTGGTATGGAAATCTTGATTCTGATGGTCATCGTCATCCTTGACGCCTCTCTTTCTAATATTCGATGTATTCTCTTACTCTCTTGTAGCTTATAATTTGACCGTTACGATAGAGCTCCATAACATACAACTGCCATAGTAAGACTGACCTGTGTATCTATCTATCTTGCCGTTCTACTTGATTTATGTGAATTGTCTTACAGTATTGTGCGTTTAAATCCAAGTGTTGAGTTCACTTCCATATGATCGTCGCGTTTGCAAGATTGAAAAGCGTGTGGTAGAGGCGTGTCCCGGGACCGGGCCGACCGGGTCCTTGGATCACGTGCCACCATTTCACTCACGCCAGGGGTATTTACCTGAGCTGTATTATCGGCGTAGTCAGTTAAATCTACTCGTTTTCTCGTTTTCTAGCACGAGTTGCACTTGCCAGTTCACCGCAGAGTTTTCATTCCTGGCTTAGCTTCTATTCTCGTGTTTCTACGCGTCGAGCCATGCTGAAAGTGTGAAGAGTGACTACAAATGGACGTACTTTCAGTGGGTTCGCTCAGCGACCCAGAGCCGTCTCCGCGAGGAAAGTCGCGCTCCCGTACTCGGACTCGGATGAATACCAGGAAGGACTACATCGTTGGCATCTGCCTCCTTCTCGTTGTCGTGGTGCTATGGACTTCTTCTAACTTCCTGACGCAAGTGTGTGATTTCGATGCACGTCCAGGTTGAGCGGCAAATTGATGGTTATGTTAGGGTCTCTTCGAAGATGGCTATGAGAAACCTTTTCTGTACGTCCAAAAGCTCTCTTACATCCAGATACGGACCTCACCGTTTGGATTACAGTGTAACTTATCTGAACACTAGCGCCTTTGCCTTATATCTGCTCCCTTTCGTCATCCGTAGAGCTCTGGACCGGAGTAAGACAGAGTCTTTGCATAGCGATAGGTAAGTCACCTAATTATCGTGCATGGAGCCATTAGCTCAGTGTGGTTTAAGAAGAGAGTACCGGCCGCTTGCTGCGGATGCAGAGGCCGCATCGGAGACGCTTAGTTCTTCGGTGAGTGTGCTATGGCTGCTCACTGTCATACCACAGCTGTTCACGTTGCTGCGTAAGGCACTTGAATCTGAGGAGCTGAACCCAGCCACCACCGAACTTGTCCCGTTAACCATACACGAAACGGCCAAACTTGCTGCTTGGTTCTGCTTGCTGTGGTTCATAGCCAACTGGTCTGTTAACGCAGCTCTTGACTACACTAGTGTTGCCAGCGCAACCATTCTCTCGAGCATGAGTGGTAAGTATTTACTCTCTCATCTTTCCTCCCGATTAATATCAGCATCCCTAGGCTTTTTTACACTGGGTATCGGGAGAATTTTTCGAGTTGAAGCATTGACTATTGTCAAGATTGTTGCGGTCATAACCAGGTCAGTTAGATATTGCACTATCGTTCTAATGTTTGTATGAACATGGCAACATAGTTTTTCGGGTGTCGTGTTGGTGTCACTCTCCGATTCCTCACAGCCCCAACCGTCTGGCCCACTGCCGTCTATCGTCTCTCGCAGGGACTCTTCGTCTACGTTTGCTTCAGCGCCCGTGTTAGGAGACTCTTTGGCGCTTCTTTCCGCGCTATTCTATGCCCTCTATGTGATCTTGCTCAAGGTTCGCATTCGGTCGGAATCGAGGATAGACATGCAGCTTTTCTTCGGCTTTGTTGGTCTGTTCAACATTCTGTCCTGCTGGCCCATTGGCTTGGTTCTTCACTTCACTGGGATTGAGCGATTTGAGTTGCCCCATAGCACCAGAGCAATTGTCGCTCTCCTGATCAATGTCTGTCTGGCCTTTTTGTTTCCTCATGCTGGACGTCAACGTTAATCTCGAGTACAGATGGGGATTACGCTGTCAAGTGACTACATCTATGTCCTTGCCATGCTGAAGACAACGCCGTTGGTTGTTACGATCGGCCTCAGTCTTACGATGCCTCTCGCAGTCCTTGGAGATTTCATTCTCCAGAAGCCCGCAGCCATCCAAGTGATTATCGGAGCCGTAGTCGTGCTACTGAGCTTTGTACTTGTAGGCTGGGAAGATTCACAAAATGATGAGGAGCAGGACATTATTACTGGAGAAAGATTAGGAGGTGGGACAGCGGGAAGTGTGCGTCTGGACGAGGAGGTCGTACTGCAGTCAGAGGACTCTGGATCATAGATATGTAGCTTCCACCTTATATGCGCTTTCTTCCCTTGTTTGTTTTTGTATCGCGATGCAGTACTAGCTCACATCTTCCTTTTCTTACATATCGGGTTCGTCGAGGCGTGTCATAGTGCATGTCCTAAGCCTCTAAGGCGAAGGCGGATATCATATCGTAAACATCGTAAACTAGTTGATCGCCATGTAAATATTCAGATCTCTACTATCTACGTCACCCGAGCTTCACCGATTAATTACTTCAGGCTCAGATCTGACGGTTAGATCTGACTCTTCCTCACACCTGCATCCCAATCTTGCCAATATTGCTTTGTTCTACAGATAAAATGGTGCGTCACGGTAGACTAGGTGTGTAGTACTAGAACGCTGAAACCAGTAAGCCAGCCGAAGGAGAGGCGCAGACGCATCGGAGGACACGAACCATCAGTCCGACTGCCCAACCGCCACTTCGCAGTGCAAGAAAACGCCGTGGAACACGTAGACTTGGGCGCGCAAGCCAACGCATCGGTATGTGCTCTTCACTCAACATGCCAATCGGAGAACACATGAGTATAGCGCCCGAAACTGACCCGAGTCCGCGCTATGCCAGGCAACAGAGATATTCAGTTCCATGGCCGAGCAAGATGCCCCCCAAACGAACATGAAGAAGAAGGAAAAGCAGGCGCTCAAGCACGAACTGTTTCTCAAACGTTGGTCCATTTCTCTAACTTGCACTGCCAAACAATTAATCATGTTTCATGATACGCTGTAAGGATTGGAGTCATCTCGCTCCCCATATTCTAAATCTCATGAGCGTCGATTGAGACGTAAAGAGAAAGAGCAGGTTGCCGGCGGTATGAGCGACATGAAAGCTGCTATTTCAGCGGTCGAAAGTATCATCCCCGACGCTGTCGTGGACTCTACCGAAATGCCTGCGACCGAGACCGCGGAAGAGCGACCGAAGGCCAGAAAGCGTGTCGGAAAAATCGGTGAGGGCAAGGGATTGCCATTGAGCAAGTCACAGAGGAAACGTGTTCTGTGAGTGAAATTTGCAATGTCGGTCGGAATGGGCAGATTCGATGACGCCAAAATCGGTAGTCAAACAGAACGGCTACGTATCCCGATGATACTTTCGACTCCTGAGTTTGCGTCAAACCCCTTCCAGACCATACGAATCCATGCGCAAAACACCCTGTTGAAGCATCGACCGCCTAATTAGCGCACTATGGATCACGGTTGATGCTAGACCCTGTCACTTTTTGACTTGGTTTAGTGTGATTTGACATTGGTCAGTGACGACTCCCTTACTCCTTGGTGCGGACGGAAGCCCCCGTGTCAACTCACTAGGCTATAGCTTCCGACTCTCCGTGAACAACACGGTCGCTACCCTCAGCGCATGCTGTTCTTAATCATGCAACATAGCTATCATTATTCCGAAACACTGTGATATACAACGGCGCGGAGTAAGTGGGACAGACATTAATGGGTATGCTACTATGGCTGGAAACAATATCGAGCATAACGACGCATAACTGAGTATGAACATAATGTTGTTGTAGGCAACAAAATAAACATGTAAGAGCAATGAAGAGTTGCGAAGTTGGAATCCGTGGAAGAAACTTGAACAAAATCCATCCGTCTATGTGTGCTTGGTGCGTGCATGAAGAATACCTGGCAACTGCTCAATCATCTCCATCCTCGCCTCTGCTCATGCCTGCACTCCACACGGTACTGGCGCTTTCACCACTCTTTCGGCTACTACGTCTATCTCCAGTGCGCCGCACAATTTCCGTGAAGCCTCCTCCTGCGCCTTTGGCAATCTCCGCACTGAGTTGGCGTTCATGAGCGTCAAGCGCAGCGATCGTGTTCTCTGCTTCAACCTGCTCCAACGCCTCGTGCGTAAGATTGGGGGTGTTTGCCCCGCTGGGCTGGGGCTGTGGGCTCCCTCGAAGAGACGAGTGTATAGACGAAACATCCGAAGTCGTAGTGAACGATGATGTGCGACGGAAGAAAGAGAAACGAGACGACGGAGTAGGAGGTATCGCAGTAGCAGGGGTGTTCGCAGAAGATGGTGTTCGATCGTTGGCATCGGGTGCTACGGCTGAAGTGGGATTCGCAGGAGATGAGAAACTTTTCTGCATAGCAGGAGTATTGGGTTTCTCGATACCCATGAGCTTCATGGTAGCATTCAACCGCTCGCGTTCTCGCCGATCATCTTCGTCTTCGTACGTTTCGAGCTTGCGAGCACCTGTTATCACCGAGCTTGAGCCGGCTCGAAGCGTCAGCGGACGCAGATTTGCGCTGGGCTCCTGCTTCCTCTCCGAATTGAACATGGTGAAGCTCTTCCAATCAAAGGAGAGTGAGCGGCGCGAGCGGGTGGAAGTAGATGCGGTGGGCGGACTAGCTGAGTTGCTTTGAGGACTGCTTGCCGTACGGGGTGTCTGCAGGGATTCGAACGTAGTAAGACGTTCAATTGCAGGAGTTTGAGGCTCGACGGAGTGAGCCCCAGACGATGTCGATGAGAACGAGAAAATCGCAGATTGAGGACGTCCCTTCTTCTGTGGCTGAGATGCTGGAGGTTTCGAGGACTTGTGTACGTTGCTGAAAGTGGTGAATGCTGCCCCAGCAGTCTGTGGGGAAGACATTTTGTCGTAGTCCACAGCCAGGACGTGCTCGAACCCCTCCTGGGAGATGATCCGATCGATGATTTTCGATGCGTATAAAGACAAAGCCTTGTTTGCGTCTTTAAGACTCTTGACTTCGTTCCTTAGAGCGTCAATGTCGTTCAACCCGTTCACCTGTTGGGGATCGTCCGTCGGCGGCATTCTGCGGCCCGTCTCTGAATTCGAGCTCTTCCGGCTCTTCCGACCTTTGCCATTCAGGATCGAACGGTCGTTCTCCAGAGTAACACGACCCTCCAGCATATCCTTGTTTTCGGCGCGTCCCAGTTCAGCAGCCAAGTCAAGACCAGGGCCAGTAATTGGTAGATTTGCGAGAGATTCTCCACGCGGTGCGGGCGAATGTGAGGAGGAGGAAGCACGTTTACGGCCGTGCCTGCGTCGCGATGGCTCTTCCGACTCACCCGCCTCCTGTCCCTGTTCGTGTACCTGCTCAAATTCGAGATCGTGCCCGTGCTCATGCTCCAACTCCTCCGCGATCTCATCCACAGGGTCGAGTGTGCTTCTGGTGGTGTTTCTGCTCCTCAAACTCGCGCCATCAGCATCATCTTCACCAGCCTCGCTTTCGCTGGCCTCGCTGACATTATTCCCTCCACCCATCCTCAAAACATCGAACTGGCCATTCAAAGTCCTCTCCCTCAACAAGATGTTGTAAGATTCGTTTTCTTCTTGCAGCTCGTTATTGACACGCTTGAGATCGATGAGCTGTGTCTGAAGAAGGACCAATGTCGACTGCAGAGATGCATATGAAGTGGACAGCGTGGAAAGTTCGAGCCTGAGAGCGGTCATCTCTGCAGGTTCTTGCTCCGGGTCGTTTAAATCTTGCTTCGACGGAGGTTCCGAAGGTGCCTCATCCACAACTTCAACTTCTGACTCGTTGATTGATACCAAGGAGGGAGATGACGGCAACGGTTGTAATGGTTGTTTGCGAGCCTCGGTAAGAGACTGAATGCGTGACTTAAGGTGCTGTTCATTGTCGTAAAATGCTTGTCGTTCGGCCTCGAATGTCGTGGTCTTCCCAGTCATCAATATCCATGAGATAGATAACTGATTGAAGCAAGGATCATACCTGTTCATTATACCGTCGATGAATGTCACGCTTTTCTTTCTCGAGCTCGCGGACCTGGGCGCGTAATTTCTCGACAACCTCTATGCGGGCGGCCATTTCTTCTTCCATGCGGTTTTGGTCCGCATAGAGCTCTGTTAAGCGCGATTCTGCCGCGTTAAGTGCCGAGCTAACATTGGCGTTTTCTGCAGTTAAGTTAATGATTGTCTGATCCTTATTCTGGAGTTGTACGAGGAGCTGGAAAGACCATGAACTAACAGCAAGAACAAGCGTGGGCAACATGCACATACGTGTTCCTTTTTCTCTGTCTCTTGCCTCAGAGAAGCCGAGAGGGATTCGCGCGTCTCGCCATTGACAGCGGGCACTGGTGACACGGTACCCTTGATAGATGGACGACGAGCAACCGAAGAGCTCAAAGACGCAGATACACGTGGAGAGACTGCCGAACGTGCAGTTGCACCCCTCGCTATGGAAGAAGAGGGTGTAGCAGATATTGAGGATGACCGTCGCGAGGCTGGAGGCGCGGCTCTAGAAGACGCAGTTGCAGCCATGTCAGAGACTGTAAATATGTCCTGGTGTCGCCAGGGTAAATATGAGTGAAAGTTGTCGAAAAATCTGACAACCTGTGTTTGTTAGGGAAGGTGATAGAGGTAAAATCCTGGTCGTTATGCACTTCACCCTGACGCTGGAGCTCGGCAGTGCACCATCGCTAGGCAGCACGTGTACCGTTATGACCTGGCACGTGGCAACGGAACGCGTTCAAGTTCAAGTTTGCCAGTTGAAGTCGGTCCTCGGAGCTTCTTCATAGCGCGTCATATTATTACCTGCGCAAGCTGGCCTCTCCTCGAGCCGTATCGTCGTACACCTATGGACGTCGTTCAGAACGCGGAGGCTATGTTGGTAGAAGTAGAGTCTCAGTCGCTCCAGCGCGTGAGTGAAGTTGTCTCCCACAGAAGTTTGAACCGTCTGTAATATGGAAACTCACATCAGCTTCTGACTGCTGTGCGATCCGAGAGTAAGTCGCGATGCGACATCAAAGTCCGTAGCCTAACATTTCTTCCAGCTTCTTCCCCGCGAACCACCGAGATACCTGCTCTGGACGCGCATCTGTCTGCTATTTCTGCTCGCGCTCTCGGTCCGGGAGATGTAATCGAGATTCAAGGGCCAGCGGCAAGCGGGAAAAGTCATCTTCTCTATTACCTGTTGATGACCTGTGTTATACCCACTGAGTACCGCTCGATCAAACTAGGAGGTTGGGCCAAAGCTGCAGTACTATTCGACACTGATGGAACATTCAGCATCCGAAGATTCCATCAGTTACTAGTCTCTCGTCTGTCTAGTTTATTATCTCGTCCAGGACAAATGTTGGATATGCTCTCTCAATTGGCACCAACTCCCGCTGAAGAGCTAGCATCACAGTGCTTGGCCAGTCTTCACATTCTTCGTCCGACGTCTTCCCAACAACTGGCGGCCAGTCTTGTAAACCTTCAAGAGTATCATTCAACAAATTCCGACCTTCAGTCTCTGGAAATTGGCATTCTTGCCATTGACTCAATGAGCGCGTTCTACTGGAAGGATCGGTTTACCGTCGAGCGATGGCGTAGTTGTGGAAAGACCATCGGTACCTCTCCAAGCTCCACCGTCCCACTCCAACACATCCTTGCATCTCTTCAAGATTATCGGCTCTCCCATGGTTCAGTTATTGTGATGACAAACTGGGGTCTTAATCCTAAGACAAAGGCTTCATCTCATACAGAGCCTGCGTCTTTCTTCTACAAACAACATCTCTACCCATTTCCACGCCCCTTTGACGATCCCCGCCCGCCTGCTGTGCATCTGGCGTCCACGAAGACTCTCCATGGCGATGATACGCTTGTCAATCCGCCCCACAATGCCGCTGATGCTGAGACAGACGAACCACAAAAGGCTGACTCGTCATTCTCGGTGACTCATCATATCACTTTACACCCACTACCCGCCAATCCTTTCCCCACCAACTGCACCCTCGGTGAAGCAAAACGAGAGGACACCATGCGATCCGCGGTGATGGGGCAGGGCAAGATTCGTGCGCTTGTGCGGACGCCTGGGCAATCGAGTGTGGGGGAATTCTTGTTCTGCATTCATGAACGTGATATCTCCGTCGATGTTCGGCATTCTCTGCCGTAGCGGTGCAGCTGAATAGCGACGAAGACGTATTGCCCGATGGTTTTGCAATTTTTTGATGTGACACCCTGTTCTCCTGGATGACGTTCCTTGTCAATATGCGGTGTAGTCTTCAATGCTGATGTCGAAAAAGGTCCTTTCTTGTTCACTGTCATTGAATCTAGTGTGTTTGCCGCTCAGTCTCCATTTTGATATCGGCTGAATTTTACAACAGTACCCGGCACGGACGGAACGTTGTGCAGAGAGTTTCCTCGTGGCCTGAACTCTGTCCGAACGATTTGGCTCACGTATCGGTTGAATCCTGGTGCACTGCCTGAAGTTCCAACCACTACTCGGTCCTCGTAGTGGTGTGGTGCTGGCATGTATCTCGCGTAGCATCGGTTTACGACCATTCACATGCTGGCATATGGGCTACATCTTGGTACGCCTGGTATACTCACCTTTCCTCTGGGTTCCTGGCTCTCTCCCGGCGCTCCTCATTGTCCTTGCCAGATCCGATCACGGGGACAAAGTCCGGTTGATGCCGTCTGGCCGAATTTTCTCTTGTACTGAGAAATCCGGCGCTGTGACGTTGATCAATGCACTCTGCATCCCAGATGGTCTCGTCGGTCGTGCCGTAACGTTCACATGAACCATCAGCTGAGGCTTACAACCTTCCAAGTTGTGCTACTAGAAAGTAGTTCAATTCAGGTCGGTTAATCTCGCTAATCAGCTCACACTGACTGTCTGATAAATGTCGACGCAGATGTGGTGGATCCGTGCACTTTGTCTTTGCGGTTGCGTTAAAGACGCCTGACATCCTGCTACCGATGGTGTATTCGTTTCTGGCGGTGATTGACGTTTTGGGAGTGTGTGGTTCTGGCAGTACGAGCGCGATCACTAGTGCAAGTGATTTCTGATTCGTTCAGTTTGTGTTGGCTGCTCAGTTCGCATCTTCCCATGGGCAACATACGCCATGTTCATGTGTTATGCTCTGCATGAACTTCCCAACACGCTAGATCCTCTAATGGCCGGAATTAAACTCGACTGTGGATAAGCATCAAGCATAGTTGGTCTTTTATCTCCATTTATCTTTGATGTGTATGACCTTTTGGCCGCTTTGTTTCCGGGATAGGGCGTAATCTGCATTTTTGTGCAAGTATGCGTTGCATATCGACGCCGCCAATTCACTGCATAATGCTCTATTGAGATGGAGGGCGCCACTGGCAGTCACCAGTCTGCACCATTTGCGGCTTCCTGAAGTTTCATGTATTGATGGGACACCATTCATCTGCTTATGCGGTATAAACGCTGATTCAAAGCGCTCTGTGGTGTTTAGGAGTTCACCTCGCCCTGTTTCACCTATCCCACTTGTGTGTTTCCTTCGCGAGACTTCGCAACTATGTCTCGCTTTGCAACTTCGTTCTCGCTACCTGTGCGCTTGCATCCACCGCCTACGCCTCCCCCACCCCAGTGTCTGGCAATGCGACTCTGACCAGGCGAGTGACGCACGACGGACAGGTGAGCCTGCATCGTTCACCTCGATGTGATTTGAACTGAACCTAAATGTCCCCCTTGTAGGCCACTTGGTACGAGGTTGGCTTGGGAGCCTGCGGATATACCGACAAGGATAGCGACCCCATTGTCGCTATCTCTTATATCATCTACGGGAGCGGTGGCAGCTGCGGGCAGGTAAGAAGGCGGCTTAGGTAGGATCGTTCACATCTAATGACGATTCTGTTGTGGACAGTGGATGCATATCACCAACACTGTTAACGGCATCGGCCAGTACGGCTTGACTTACGATGAATGTGAGGGCCAGTCCGATATCGTGAACATTCTCTGGCTGGACATACTCCGAGTATAAAGTTTGATACAACCGATAACTGTAGATTTGAGTCCCTCCCTCTTTGAATGACCTCTCTGTCGGAGTCATCGACGGCGAATAGCACTACGTGGCCAAGGGGTGGTCTCCTTAAATGGATGCGAAAGGGTCGTCGAAGCCATCCGGACAAGGAATGAGGGGATTAGTGCGGGTCGATGATTGATATTAAATAGCCACTGCAGTGACATACAACTTCAGCAGCCGCTACTTATTATCGTAAAATATCCTTGTTTGAGCGTTATTCTTGCAGACTGAGAAAATGGGAGACTGGTGCATTCTACAATACTTCCGAGTACTCGAATACTACTCCTACCAAACTTAGTCGACTTTGATCGATCTTGCTGAGTAATAATCGATCGCCATCTACAATTATTCAACCGTATATGCGGTCTAGTTCTGTCCTATATACTTCCTCTACAGCGCGTCTACGAATATTCCCCTTCGTAGCTGTACGCGGCAGAGCGTTGGGTGGAACCACGACAATGAACTTCTCCGATGCGATTCTCTCGTGGAGATATCGGCGCGAGTGGAAATGGCGTGTGCGCCGAACGATCTGCTTTCTCAACTTCTCCCCATCCATCTCTCCCCTTGGCTCCACAAAAAGCGTAGGAGATGGGCGCCCGTTCCCGACCACGACACATTCCGCGACGAGATCAGCACACGTCATGCGCACGTTATCCTCTATTGCCTTCGTGTCACAGCGCAGAGCATTTTCGCTCTTTATCCAGTCGTCGTCACGACCCCGGGAGATGTAATGACCTGGCTCGATCTCCTGGAACAAGTCTCCAGTGTGATAGTGGCCGTCCATTTGACGGAGTGAACCGTCGGGGCAATCCCCGGAAACGGAGAGAATGACGAGTTCCAGAAGTTGTCCGTTCACGTCCTGGTAATCCCCATCAGACTCCTCTGACGCAGGCGAAATGGGAAAGAAGCCGTAAGATGTCCCCTCAATGGGTCTGAGGAAGGATGATTTGTAGCCATGCCTGCCTCCGATGGACAGCAACATAGCGCCGCACTCTGTGCTACCAAATAGATTCTTCAACTGGATGCCATTGCGATTTGCCCAATCCTCCTCCTCCCGGGAAAGCGGTAAGCCAGTGTAGAGGACCTCGTCAAGACCCTGTAACAATGCCAACACCTTTGTGTCTTGCCTCGAAGCACGCAGATGCATCGCCAGGAATGAGGCAAATTGGTTGAGACGGTTAAGCCCACAGCGCTGTATCATGTCGACCAATTCTTGGGACGAGAATGAAATTGTGGTGGGCTGAATCACGCACGCGCCGTGCAGCAGGGAACCGATCAACATGAACGTCTGTCCGATGTGACACATGCTGCCCCTAAATCAACGTGTCAGAAAATGGCTTACGAGTGGACGCTTTCTCACTTACATCCAAACGGTGATATCCTGCTTGTGAGAATGCTTTGGTATGCTGACGTGCCATGCCTTCGAAACAACAGCATCGAGCCATTTGTAGCTGCATGGAACAAGCTTTGGGGACCCAGATGTCGATCCAGACGTGTGGAAGATCATGGCTGTCTCATCGGCGCTCGTGGGCTGATACATGGGAGGTAATGATACCTTGTCGACAGCCATAGAGCGGCGATCGGCGGCGACATGAAATGGTACAGGAGATTTAAACACGATCGGCGCAAACGATGCATCAACAATCAGCGCCTGAGCACCTGTCCGGTGCATCAAGTGGTATATGACCTCTGGATTTGGCAAGCGTAGGGAGAACAACTGTGGGATGTAGCCTGCCCATGCTATGCCGTAAATGTGCACCGCATCAATGTAGGTGAGTCCACCGAGCCTTCAAGAAAGCTATGAATATATATTCCAAGTATCGAGATTATAGAGTCACTTACCATAGTCCGATGACGGAATGTTGTGGCAAATTGTCCTGGAACATCCGTGTCCAGTACTGCGCGCAGTGTTCAATGTCCATGATAAACTGGCGATAGGTTATCGACTGCCATTCTCGTAGCTCAGTGCCGTTGGTGGCAGCTACAGGGATCATGAAGACAGAAGCATCCGAGTGAAGACGTGCAGTCTCCTGGAGAACTGAGAGGTGAGTTTTGAGTACCATAGCGAAGAAGTGTTGAATTGGGAATACGGGACTGCATCTTGTTCCGTTTTATACGACGAGTCGACAACCAACGGTCTGTACCTCGAGTCATGTGCACAGCAGACACGAAAAAATACACGTACTTGTTTTGGGTACGGTTGCACCAATCAGAATAACTGTGCGAGTCACGCAGGGATATGCCACGCCGAGTAGAGTTCGACAAAACAGTCATAGCATCTCGACTCAATTCATGCAACTGGAATATTTGTTCCCACTTGTGAGTTAACGTCACAGAAGATCTAGATGTGGGCTGTCCAAGACTCCAAGGAACAGCGCCTTTCACCACTAATAGCTGAAGCATTATTTTCTGGGTGAACGTGAGCATACCCAATCGAAGAAAAAGGGCAGAAAAACAATTGTGCTGACAGTATTGAGACATGACCCATGCAGAAATCTGCGCACCAACCGCGCCCGCAGGCAGGGGGAGGTGATACTAGGGTAAATGAGATACGAGTCAGGTATCCGAGCTTGACAGATTTCGATGACGGACACTGGTTACCAGTGACAGCCCTGATTAGGGACGCACCGATTATGCCTACAAGATAATTAGCAAGAACACACAGTCAGAGAGAGTGGAACCTAACAGATTTCTTTCCAATTTAGTCGATCGCAGGAATCTCGATTCTCGGGCTCGTCACCGACGGCTCGCTCGGAAGATGGAACTTAAGACCGACTCCAGTTCGATCCAATATTCAATACTAGAAAATTTTTGCACACGAACATAAGACCGCCCAGAGCTTCCTAGTTTCAGTGTTACAAGTACTCAGTAAAGACTGTTTAGCTATCAGGCCGTTCCTCGGGCCCGAGTTGTCGGCGCGGGCGCGGCCCAAACTTGCCCGATCATTATAGTACTTTCATCCTGGAATATACAACTACTAGTTATCGCCGGAGCCAGTACTGCACTCCAGTTTTCGGCGGGCCCGTATGATCAAGTTTTCGTTCAGAGGGGGCAGTGTTCCGTATCATCGCTAATGCCCCCACTCTCCGAGTCAACACCGTTCAAGGGCGGGAAGAAGCCAGATGTACCTCAACTGGTCAAGTTTGCGGTGCGTGAAGATTTCTCGTCGCTGAGCACGCATCTGATAATATATCATCTGGTGCCCTGATTTCCTTGTTGACCCTGGTAAGGACGGCCGCTGGAGGTGAGCGCTTCGCCGATGTGTCGCTTGCCACGTCGGAACAGCACCCGTCCGGATCCGACGAAAGCAAGCAGGTGTGTTATGTGAAGATCATCTCTAGTAAAGAGACAGATTGAACGGGACTCATCGCCGTTGACTAACAGCTACCGTGGCCCTTTGTGGCGTACCGTCTCTTCGTATTAGAGCTGGGTGACAGAATTCGGTGCGTGTCCGGATCTTTCTCTTGTTGTCATTGCCATGCATGTAACTGCCAATGTTCACAGTTCGGCCTCGGGTTTGAACCGCCCATGAACACTGCCTTATGCCGGTGTCCTTGTCTGTGGCGACTTGGATTCCTAATATTACACTGGTTGTGAGTCACTGGATTAAACTTGAAGGCCTCTCAGGACCGGTGATAGCTGAACGGCGCATAATTTTTACTCCACATATCATATATCCATTCGATGTGATTGTGTGTATGTGTCTGACAGTTGTACTGTGTCTCTCACGGAAGCAATGTGTTGTTTGTATCATGCCAACTTCATGACTGAGAACAACACGGAATCAAAATGATGTCTTGTTGCGTTGCAAACCTCACGTTGTTTCGGCTGCCAGGGTTGCGGCGTACAGAGGGAAAAACGAATGAGGAACTATGTATACACAGCAGGAACGCGCAACTAGTAAATGGTATCCGAGAAGCAAAGATCGTGTACGGGGATGCAATAAAATAAACCATATATCAGTACAAGCCAATCGTCACGATGCCCACCCAACCTACGCCTTATTCTTCCGATCTATCGCCAATGCCCATAAATACATAAGCCGAATTCCCAAGACGGTGAGAAGTACAACCTCCTTGTGATGGTCAAATACTGGACACGCCCTACACCTTTCCCTCAGCCAGAGGTAATGCCGAGGTCGTAGAACAATCTGATGCCGGGGCAAGGGAATGACGCAACGCTTCCGAGAGATCATTCCCGTCTGTCAGACGAAGGTCGTGCAAAAACTCGCGCAAGTGCCGGACGGCATCTGTGTGTTCACCGACAACGATGCCCGACGAGCCATCGGCCGCATCATCGGCAAAAGGGTCAGTGAGCGCATCGGTGATGTCCCTGACTGTCTTCACTGAGATCTCGGTGAGGTGCTGGTAGAATCCCCTCTTCCCGAGCTGCACGCGAAGGCTGAGGAAGTCCTCCAAGGCGGAGCACATATCGACGACGTCGTCTTCATGGCATTGCACCAAGACTTGCTCGATGGGAGAATCGGAGAGTGTTGTCAACGTATCGACAACGTTTTCGACAGGAAAGAGCGGGGTAAGATGGACCTTGCGGAGCCGCTTGAGGGGCGGCTCGTTGTGTTTGGCGAATTCAAACGTCTGCGAGGTGAGCGCTGTATTCAGAGCGAACTCGTCGACAGTGTGCCCAATGTTGCCCATGATACGCTCTGTGCAAATACGGTTGAAGTCGAGGGACTCGTGGTAGCAGCTACCGAGGTCCAACACTTCCAATGAGCAACATACAGGGGTGGACCCCCATTGCGGATCCCCGAGATGAGTGTCCCGGATGCGCAGTTTTTTGAGACCGGAAAGGCGGAGAAGGGATGGGAGGCGAAGCTCTGAGCCAAGCAACGCGTGGTCAGGGATGTCCTCATCACCGGCAACAAGGGGTATGAAAGGGTATACACCGATGAGTTCGGGTGCGTGCAGTGCCGACCGGGTGATGCGGTCGAGAGACAGCTGACGGAGATTGGGAACGGCGGCTGCGACTGAGACGACGAACCGCTCACTCCTACAAAGGCAGAGACTTGATAAGAGATGCGAACAATTCAGTTCATGACAATGCTCTTACAGAAGTGTCCTATTCTCATCCCCGCAATGGTGGATGCTCAGGTTAGTGAGCGACCGCAAATCTCCGAAGAGTGGGATAATGTTTTTTGACAAGGAGCCCTCTAGACACAGCGTCAGTTGCTCTAGCTGGGAGCAATGCGCCAACAGGTCTATGACCGTGTCTGTCACGATCCGGCGACCGATGACAGGCGCGTGGGGGACGGATTGATCAAGCTTTGTGCAGACATGTAATCTACGGATGTAGTGGGAATACGAGCTGGGAACTGTAGACAGATATGTCTGCAGTGCCTCGTAACTCTGGATCTTGACGGACTGTGGTCTGATGTCAGATGGACTGTCAATAGGTCTGAAACGCATTGCGAGACTCACCCTGAAGATAGAAGGGACACAAAGGTCATAGGACTCGCGATCGACCATGGCAAGAGCTTTCATATCGCGCGGATCAAGGAGATCGGCGACAGACAGCTTCATCTCAGGAGGGAGAGTCCCCCACGGTGAGGTCGACGGGTGCATGGTGAATATGAGTGAGATGAATATGCAAGGAGGGAATAAGGCTGATGGCGTTTGGGTCGACGGTGCACAAGTCTTATAAGGGGGGCGCGCGCATCCGAATAGTTCGGTGGTAAATAAGATGTGGGTGTCTCGAAGGCTTGCGAGTGTCTCCGAGCTGATCGCGGATGTGTTGTTCGAGCGCCCCGCAGAGCGCGCTTCGTGTCACCAGTACTAGCACACCTCAAGTACCCTCTCTCATTCTTCCGACGATGACGGGACTAGGCAGATAGATACCATCTTCATTTCAGCAAAAAGCCCAGAGGGGGGCCCACAGGAGTAACAACAGGCTTTCACGCAGCAAGAATGCCTCGCACTCGCGAGCCTGAGGAAGCAAACCTTATTCGAATTCTGACACAGCCCGTAGTAAGAAGCACCCATCCATATGGAGCATCCTCTCAGAGGTTCACCTCAGTTTTCAGCGTCTTCGAGTAGAGAACTTACCAGGCGCACGGTCAAGTTGCCTGCACCATTTCCTACCAGGTAATGACATATGGTAGCGAGAATACGTACACCACACGTGGCCACCGAAACTACAAAATTTACTGCCAGGCAAGCATCGACCAGAGCGTTCGACTATGATATCCCGCGAGTGGATGATGGTATCCCCTATTAGCGATGCCAATCACTGATGAACAGCAATGGAACAGTTGTGGCCCATCATACATGCCCAGCGCCACCTAGATGTAATATGGTCACCCTAGGAGGACATAGTGTCGTAGTCAGTTCAGGTAAGCTTGCATCGTTTGACCTAACCCATGATGACCCTTGGCCACAACATTCGACTAGTCCGTGGTCGTCCGATGATTGATGGGCAGTACCAGTCAGTCTTAAACGCTTTTGTTGCTTTTCACAACCGTATACGTAGCCTTCACCAGGGTCGCCAGTCCGGGATGACCGGATCATCTACTAGTACCACTCCGTGAGGATGGGGCCGTAGTAGGTAATCGAGATTCTATCCTCGTCGGACGGATCCACTGATCGTACAATAACCTACAATAACGCATGGGGCGCTTGCATATCCTTGCGTTTCTGTCTGGAACAAGCGCCTGACCTCTCGATAACTACACTCTCAGCACGCGAAGAATGGCCAAGGCACTCTGTGCACCTCTGACATCCCGGAGTCCAATCCAAGACAGTGCATTCCGGGAAGGAACTCTCCTCAAAGGACATGTCATGTAAGCCTCCGATGTCTCTCGCAGATCAAGTCGAGCTCTTGGAATACCGCTGGGGTCGCTTGCTCGATAATACGCTGCGGAACTAGCACAAACCACCTTTGGATAACGAGCTATCGGCGGAAAGGGCCCACACACTGCGGACAAGCTGCATCAAGCCGCGGCGTTTGGCGCAGCAGGAAGCCTTGCGCCTGAGCGCCGCCGATCGGACTTCGACCTTGTAACTGTCCACTGCGCACTTGCCTCGTTCGGCACCAAGCGATTATTGCCTGTCCAAGTGAGGCCGCCGGTTCCTCTCACTGTGGAACGTGTCAGCCATGCGCTCAATGTCGCTCGAACCTTCGAATTTGCCCGGATCATCCTGTTTCTCGACTTCGAAACCACAGCCAAATTGCCATGCACCTCCACAGGGCGGCCTGCGCACGCAGTGAGAACGCAGAGACGAATTTCCCCGCGGATGGAAGGCAGTCAGACAACGCATACTCATGGAAAACTTTTGGTTCGGACTTCCCGCCACGTAGCAAGATCAGGTTCCTTCGTGTGAGGATTATGTTCCCGTCTCATATCCGCCAACTTTCACGGCCTTCCAGGCATGCTGACACCGTCTGCGTTCAGCGTGGATTTCGGAGTGTGGTGCTTGAAGCTTGTAACCTTTCTTGTAACGTGATTGATCACTGATGCCTGTCGTATGCAAATGAATACTGGTCCTGTTTCTTGTCAGCAAAACATGGACCTTCATATCTTCGGACATCTCGCGGTTGATGGAGACTTTATTCAGTAGGGCTTTTGCCCGTGAGGCGCGCCACAAATTTCACAGTCAAGCTAAATTGTGTGTGTTCGGTCATATCCTCTGTTCCATGAACGCGAGGATCATTATCAAGAAGCTACAGGTTTCCGACTATTGTGTAGTGCTGTAAGTAAGTGAAGATGCAACCAACGTCCACATAATGAGATATAAAACCGAAGTGTACAGACCAAGGTAGACAAAGCGAGAAGGTGATATTCCATGCGAAACGCCAAGGTCGAAGCTGCTTCATCTTGGAAAGATGGATGTCGGATGATATTTGATCCTCTCGAAGATTCGAAACAAGTTGATGACGAGGTTGAAGCAGTACATCATGAGCCCAACACCGGACAGACAGATGAGGGCGACCTGGTCGTCACATATCGTGTCTCCGGGTCCTTCCTCGATTGAGCTTAGACCGGGAATCGTGGGTCGAGGGAGCTGATTGTACCATGACGTGCTCGAGGGTGAGGCACAGGGAATCAGCGAGGTGAAGAAGTTGTCGAAACACAGCGCGAGCGCGGCCGACCACGCGCAGATGAACACAACTTCGACGAGGGTGTACAAAAGTTTGCCTGAAGTCCGCCAGAGACCCAGTGGCCGACCAAAATATTCGGACTGCGAGACAACCATTACACGTCGGTAGCAAATCAAATAGAGATACGACGCACGTATATCGCTATCACTACATGAACGAGTGTGAGGGGTGCGAAGATAATGACGAGAGTCCTAGAGCAAGCATAAGAAGTCAATTAAACGTCAGCATTTAACATGACCTACGGTGATGAGCCGATAGCACCCATGACATGATACCGTTTCTCTATGACGCGTATTCGTATCGCAAGGGCAAGTGCAGCCGTTGTAAGAACGATATTGACGAAACGGAATAACTAGGGAGTATGAATGAACATCTTGTCAGCACAATAAATGCACTAGAAAGACTCACCAGAGGAACATATGTATTGTGTATCAAATATGTTCTAAAGCGCTTCTTGCGCGGCACCCATGTGTCCCGCTTCTCACCGTCGTCATGTTCTTCCCTTGGTGGGGGTTCCGTGCTATTTTCCCAGAGTGCGTGCTCTCGAGAGATCATGTCTCCGCGTGGTCTTGGAGTCCATGGTGTCTCCCACCCTGGCGTAGCATTCTGCGCCAGGGTGAGCGGATCCGCAGAACGTGTGGGTATATTGAGACGGAGAGAGTTGTGGGTCGAATGTCGATCAGAGGTCGAAGGATCCTCGATATCCCTGCCGTGAACATTTGCAGGGCCTTCCTCTGGAGAGCTCCGATAGTGTGACACGTTTAGCCATGGGATAGACAAGGCGTGCTCCCGGCCATGTCTGGTGTGATGTTGTCTGAATGTGTCGGCGGCAAGGGGACCCAGGGAATCGCTTGGACGATGCCTAGTAAAAGCCCACCATCGAGAGGGACCCGGTTCTTCCGCTGCAGAGGAAGAATCGCGGGAGGTGATGTCAAAGGATCGAGACTGCAGTGTATGGCGGGCGTTCTCGACGGATTGGGGCTCGCCTTCCTTGGGCGAAGGGGGTTCATCGCGTGCCCAGGCTGATGAGAGCAGAGTTAACTCATACGCGTGGCACGGATGAAACCCGGGTACGGACGAGGTGAGGTGACCACTGCCTTGTTTGCTGCATACGCTGCGCATGAACTATGGGCGCTATGCGACTTCGAAGACGATGCAGAGACTGAGGACGGCAGATGAGGGCCATCGGTGGTCATTTGGCAGAGTACAAGGATATGGAAAGGAATAAAGGTGTAGTCAGAGTGCACGCGTGCACAGCTGGCTGAGGGTCAAACATGCTCTAAGCGCCCGTCATCTATTCCCATCCAATTCCCATCTGAGGTTCTCGCCGAGCGACCTCGGCTAACTTCAGGATCGCTCTGCACTAATGGACGACATAGACGCAATTCCTTCAATCTCCTCGGGGAACGTTGGTTCCCGCTTCGTCTCCCAGAATGACATTGAGACCGCGAAAGCGAAGCGCGAAGAACAGTGGAAGGCTGCCTATGCAAGGTAACGTCGATCTCGGACTGTACATGAGTGAATCGATTGAACTGTGTCCGCTACATAAAGGCTTGGGCAGGAACCACCTCCGCCTCCAACGGAGGACGTGTTTGATGGACGAAGCCTTGCAGAGGTGAGTGCTGCAGTCCGTAACTCATTCACCGAGGTGTAACCATGCTCGCCGATACAGAAATTAGCTGCGAATAGAGTAAGCACCAATTCTATTCGCTCAGTGTGTGAGTCTCACGCAATTCAGGCAGCCAAACAAGAAGAATGGGAGGAGCGCAACAAACTAGGTTTTTATTGAGTGGGACATCTGGAGGCGATGGATGCTCATGGGACACTTAGGTAACCAATTTCGGGCTCTGGAAGAGGACGAGGTCCTCTTCCTAGATTCCATCATGGAAAAGCAGCGTGAGGAAGAGCGCATGCGTAAAGAGATGGATGGCGAAGAATTGAAACACTTCAGAGAGTCAGTCTCGCTCTGTCTTCTACTACGTTTTCTCCTGATTGATCTTCACAGAGCGGTTGCCGCACGAGAAAATGAAGCAAACAAGCCACCGGCAATTTCATCTATAGTCGGTACTACGACCAGCGTCCCAAGCAAGCCTAAGGCCCCGGCAGCGGCTCCTTCCGCCAGAAAGGATACAAAGAAATTGCTGAAGGGCGTTTTGGTTAAGAAGAAACCAAGACCTGCCGCAGGCTCCCCACCAGTGACGAACAATCCCAAAACCGAAGGTACTGCGAAGGTACAGTCACAGAGCACTAACGGCAGCGAGCGAAGAAAGGTCGAGGATTTGGAACGGCCTACAAAACGACCAAGACTGTCAGAGCCAGACTCGTGATACACTGTTGTACTTGCTTGTATCTTTACCATGCATCTGATGTATTGATGGATGGATACCCTTCAGAGGGACAAGGAGTCGTACCGTCTGGTCGCAAGATGGTAAATTGCAGGTACAGTACTGGTTTGTATATATACTTATCCCCTCCTCGTAACGGGACTCGGGGTGGGTGTCCATCGGACTCTGTTGAGATCCTTCACTCTCGCCTTAGCAGCCGCACTTCCCTCCCACCCAGCGATCCTCCCCATCGCTTCTGCCCTTCTCGCCGCGGCGGTGCCCATCGTTGTTCGATCTAGCAACCTCTTAGCAGCAGGAGTGAGTCCACCTGGTGCATCCGCCCGCCGCGGTGTCCACGATGGCGGTGGCATTGAGCCGTCTCTCTTGACTCCGCTCCTAAGCGTACGTGATATGCCAGGGAGACCGAGAAGACCAGCTTTGGCACGTAGACTCTTTGCGGCGTCCGAGGACAATTTGTGAGAGATCCGCTCGCGAGTGGACGGGCCTGCAATGTGGAAGGGTGTACTTGGAGGAGGCATCTCCGCCGGGTCATCAGAATCAGAGAGGACACGGGGTGTAGCAATTAGCGTGCCCCATGTCATCAGTTGTTTCACCGCAGCAGGACCTAATTCGGATGGTGTAGGTGAAGGTATTGAAGGAACAAGCGAAAAGGTGTCCATTGATGACCTTGGTTGGTCTGTAGCGTGGAGGTCAGCCAATAACCGCGTGATTAAAGCATGGAATATATCGTACACGGTGTTCCAGCAATGGCAGCGTCAATACGGCTCCGTGTTGGGCTAGGAGGTGTAGAAAGCGTCCCTGAAGGAGTTTCGTCTTGCTCCGGTAGTCGAGTATTAGAGTGCTTGACGATCTTCGGTTCGTTTTTCGCGTCTGCCGCTAACGTTGCAGCTGAAGGGTGGTAAGGTGACTCGTCCGCGTCGGGCGAAAACATGAGAGCATTCCGCGTCTATTGCATAGTTAGTATCAACGTGTTAGACCAGACATATGACTATACCTTGAAGTTCCAGCCTTCCACGCCGGCAGCACGAGTATCTTTCTTAGGTGCCATCACGTCTACTACCAAGTCCTCCACCTTTCCAATCTCGCGCTGAGCTTTCACAGCTACCTCTTTACCCTTCTCTTCGCTCCTCTCTTCTTTACCCTCAGCCGGCTCTGCGTGCTGCACCTTACCTTCAATTGAAGCCGACCCGTCTGTGATCAGCCCTGCAGGAGTGGGTGCCTCTATCCGGAACTTCTCCCTCACACCTGGCCCCGCCGGTGCCTCGATAAGTAACCTCTCCCTTCCCTCCAACATCTTCCCCCTCTGCTCTTCAACTCTCTTCTGTGCTTCCCACGCCCACGCCCATTTCTCTCTCCGTTTCCTGTTCTCGTCTTCGAGGATCTGCGTGAAACTCGAATTGTCCTCCGAGGTGTATTTAGCCTGGAAATTGTCAAGGCTAGTGCTGGTATCGTAACGCGTCCTTTTTACGGGTGGCTCTCCCCGCGGCGTGCGCAACGGCGTTTCCGAAGGACCAGCGGCGTAAGGTGTCTGCGAGGGTGTCTGCCATGGTCGGTCATGACGAGATACGGGTGTGGACAAATCTTCCAAGCGTCGGAAGGATGCTTGTATGAGCTGCGGATCCTTGGAACGCAATGCTTCCAGATAATCGTTGGTTGCGTCCAGATGTACAAGTGACGGGAAGAAATCCCGTGCGATAATGTGCGAGAGAGCTTCAGTGTACTCGTCTTCGTCCAGGACTACCTGACGGTTCAACGAGCGAGAAGGTTGAGAGCTCTCAGACACATTAGAAGCAGACATGCCGGCTGAGGTATCCTCGCGGGGAGTTATCGACCTGGGGGGAAGGAAAGCAACGACAAGGTGACTTAAGCAGTCGGATTGGTCCTTTGGGCCAATTAACCCTAACCCCAATAAAGTTAAGTGTTCGTGTAACTCGTGATTCAAAACAATATTTTTCAAAATAAAATAATACAGAACAAACAAGGGGAAAGGGGGGGGGGGGAACGCCGGTTCCAAGTACATACTTCGACCTCCTTCGCGACACGATGGTCCACCGCCGCGATACGCGGCGGTCGGCGTCAAGAGTTGGTCAAGAGGCATACCCAAAACGAAACACGGATAATCTCTATAAGGACTGTGATTACTTGAACGAGGGCGGATAACTCTAACAAGCGCAACAGTCTCCTAAACTTACGTAACAATTGGCTGTACGATGACCGATTCTCAAGTTCTGAAGTTCATCGCCGCTGGCTATACATTGGGCATTCCCATTAGTAACTGCCCACTCCAAGTATTCCGGATGCTTTAAACCGCAGACCAGTCTGAATATACTAATCGCAACAACATGGGCTTCGAGCTTTGCCGATCAGCGGGAGATGTTAGACTCACCGTTATCATGTAGATGTTTACCATATTGCCTCCTTGTCCTTAGGCAGGAGATGGATAATGGGTTCTAGCTTGACCTACACCACACCGCTGAAGCGTGTTTGGAACTCTTCAAGGACACGTTGTGCCGCAATCGGACGTTACAAATTTTAGTGACGGGACCTGCGCCGCACCAGCGTGGGTTCTGTCTAGACGGCGATGTCTTCTACGGGTGTCGGCGTAACGTTTCATACTGATCCCTTCCCCTGGGTGAGCAGACCGGGTTGAAGAGAGGAAATAGGGATTGAATACGACTCTACCATAGCACACCGTACTACCGAAGCCAAATGTGCGAATAGACGCCACAGTCTCAATCAATAGTAAACAACAGGACCACTCGCGCTCGCTAGCATTTCTTCCTCTCGTTCCATCCCTTGCCGCCATCAAGGTATTCTACCTCTTTCTTTCTGCGTTCCCTTGTTGAGCCGGAGACCGCTTTCCAGATGACGGACTCGTATGTTTCCACTGCCAACGGCGACGCTTCCCTCTCCCAGAACGGCACGAGCAAGATGAATGGTTCCAGCCCATCATTGGCTACGTCGCCCAACGAAGTCGCCGCTTCGCCCATCATACGCAAGAAGCTCATGGGCTTCGTCGGTTTTGCCAATCTGCCTAACCAGGTGCATAGGAAGAGCGTGCGCAAAGGCTTCCAGTTCACCGCCATGGTCGTCGGTAAGTTTTATTCCTCGTGCCAATAGCTCTGACGACATAACACCTCGACTCCTTTGCAGGAGAGTCAGGTCTTGGAAAATCGACGCTCATTAACACTTTGTTCAATACCACTCTCTACCCCCCCAAGGAGCCTCTACCTCCCAGCGCAGAGCGCCCTCAAACGGTTGCTATTGAAAGCATCAGCGCCGGTGCGCATCATCATCACCCCTTCTTTCTCTGTCAATGATGGATATTCATCTCTCTTCTGCGACGTGTAGATATTGAGGAGAATGGTGTTCGGCTTCGTTTGACCGTAGTTGACACGCCTGGTTTCGGCGACTTCGTCAACAACGACGATAGGTATGTTGCAACCTCAAGGCCTCGACCCATGTCGCTCACAAGACCCTGCAGCTGGAAGCCTATCGTGGAGAACATTGAGGCTCGATTCGACTCGTATCTTGAGCAGGAGAACCGAGTGAACCGGCAAAAAATAGTCGACAACCGCGTACACGCTTGTCTCTATTTTATTCAGCCCACGGGTCACTCGTATGCCGCTAATAGTTTGTTGACATCATTTCTGTGCTCATGACGTTTCAGGTTGAAGCCGATTGACATCGAGTGCATGCGTCAGCTTCACACTAAAGTCAACCTGATCCCCGTCATTGCGAAGGCCGATACCCTCACGGATGAGGAAGTGGCAGAATTCAAGGCCCGCGTATGTTTGTCATATAAATCACCTTTTCTTAAATCTTACGAGTCGGCGCAAGATTCTTGCCGACATTGCCTACCACAATATCCACATCTTCCAAGCGCCCACGTACGAAAATGAGGATGAGGAGGCAATTGCAGAGGCTGAAGAGATTGCGAGCAAAATTCCCTTTGCGGTCGTCGGTTCTGACAAATACGTGAAGACACCCGACGGTCGCGAAGTCCGTGGTCGTGCGTATCCATGGGGTGTAGTAGAGGTGGACAACGAAGACCACTGCGATTTCGTGAAGCTCCGACAGATGCTCGTCCGGACATATATGGAGGAACTCAGGGAGTACACCAATGATGTCCTGTATGAGAACTGGCGAACGGAGAAGTTGGTCAGCATGGGAGTTGTCCAGGACTCCAGTGTCTTCAAGGAGGTCAAGTGAGTCTTTCGAGTACACATCTTTTATTCTGCCTCACCACGGTGTTGTAGCCCTGCCATCAGGATACAGGAGGAGCGCACCATGCACGAGGCCAAGCTTGCCAAGATGGAGGCCGAGATGAAGATGGTGTTCCAACAGAAGGTGCAGGAGAAGGAGGCGAAGCTCAAGCAGTCGGAAGAGGAGTTGTATGCCAGGCATCGGGAGATGAAGGAGGCCCTCGAGAAGCAGCGGTTGGACCTCGACGAGAAGAAACGGCGGATCGAGGCTGGGCGTCCACTGACCCCCGAAAAGAATGTCGTAAGTAACCGACTTGACATCCTTTTTGGTGCCATGCTGAATACGGCTTCAACAGACTGGCAGGAAGAAGGGCTTCCTCCGCACTTAGTGTCCCGTTCCATATATGATCTCTCTGGATCCGGTCGCTCTCTCTGTCCTGTCTCTTCGATGTCGGCCATTGCTGGTCTTTTCCGCCCTTGTTTAGATCGTGATATCGTACGCTCCCTGACTCGAAAATGCGCTTGCACCTTTCTGTCTGTTTTTCGTCTAGTGCACCATGAACACACCACCACACTCGTTTACACGGATACCTTTTTTGTCCCGTCACTTCCACTACTAGTACTACTGTGTTTGTTTCGCTCTCTGCGAAGTATTGTTGGGTTGATGGACAGGTGGATCCTTTATGCCAATACGCTATACCATTACAACCTGTCCGAAATCTGTATTTATTTTTTGGGTCGCCCAGTACTCGGTGCATGACATCGCGGAAGTGTGACATGCGGCTACCATACTTGGCTGTCTGAAGAGTGTGGCGGCGTCTCGGTCATCTTGACTGGTTGCTCTCAGGACGACAATGGCTAATGTCCAAGCTGTCTTATCTGCCCTCGATGTCTTCGGTCGCGCCCCCAACAAGGCGTCTCTCGACCAGGCAAATGCATGGCTGCAGGATTTCCAGCACTCCGTAAATACCACTTTCGCCTCTCCATCCCGACGGCATCTGACCATGGCCCCTCCCGCTACTCCACCAGCGAGATGCATGGACCACCTGCAACGTCCTTCTCTTGTCTCCGGATGCTCCCCCAGCAGCTAAACTATTCGCCGCGCAGACGTTCAGAACGAAGGTTGGTGTGTACCCCCTTGAATCACCGTGTGCCCTTTACATCTCTTTTTGACTCCTAGGTCACCTATGATCTTCATGACATGACCATGCCGGAGGACCTTTTCCATTTTCGCGATTCCCTCGTCATGGCACTAGAGAGATACCATACTGGACCGCGTACGATCATCGTCCAACTCTGTCTAGCTGTGTCCGGCCTGGCGCTGCAGCTCCCTGCCTGGGAGGATCCCGTACAGAACATGATCGATAAGTTTGGACCCAATCCCGCTACAGTTCCCGCTCTGCTCCAATTCTTAACAGTCCTGCCAGAGGAAATTACCAGCAATACGAAAATTCCTGTGACTGTGAGTGTTTTGCATCCTGTAGTGCGCTGATCCCCTCCAACATAATGTACAGGACGAGGAGTACAGAGAACGCGCTGCCAAAATTCTTACCGCGAATGCTGTCAAGATCGTGAATCTCCTTTCAATGTATATGCAAGCTACAGGTGGGTGTACGTTCCTCAGCAGCTAGAATTTCGTTGACCGATGAGCTTTTGTTAGGTGTCACAGCTGCTGTTCAAGCACAGATTTTTACTTGTCTCAGCAGCTGGCTTGCTGCAGGGGAGATTACAGCGTCGTCTCTTGCGCAGTCACCACTTCTAGCATTCGCTTTCGAGGCGTTAGCGTCTGACGGGCTCTTCGACGCAGCCGTCGGCGTGATATGCGACCTAATTCATGAAACTCAAGAGATCGATGATAACATGGAAGTTATTGAGATTATTGTCCCAAGGATCGTTGCTCTGAGGCCCAAATTGAACGAATGCAAGGACGATCCAGAAAAGATCCGAGGCTATGCACGTATCTTCACGGAGGCCGGAGAGACGTATCGCAGTCTGCTGCTCCATCATCCCGACACCTTCTTCCCAATCGTCGAAGCCATCGGGGAATGCGCTGCTTACCCTGACCTCGACATCGTCCCCATTACGTTCCATTTTTGGATGCGGTTAGCCCAAACTATCGGAAAGAAGTCTTCTGTCTCGCCCTTGTTTCTGGATGCGTACAAGGCCCTCATGGGCATCATCATCCAGCATCTCCACTTTCCGGAAGATAGCAGCTCTTTGACGGGACAAGAAGCCGAAAACTTCCGCTCGTTCAGACACATCATGGGGGACACCCTCAAGGATTGCTGCTACGTTCTGGGCGCAGACACCTGTTTACTCTCCACTTACAACGTGATCACTGTAGCGTTGTCGCGGCCGAGCGTGTCTTGGCAAGAAATAGAAGCCCCGCTATTCTCCATGAGATCCATGGGTGCGGAGGTTGACCCCACGGACGACAGGGCGGTGCCGAAGATAATGGACCTTATTCCGTCCCTTCCACAACACCCTAGAGTGCGATACGCAGCTCTGCTCATTATTTCCCGCTACACCGAATGGATTAATAGGCACCCTAATTATATTCCTTACCAGCTCCAGTATATCTCTGCTGGGTTCAATGACACCGACACAGAAGTTAATGCCGCCGCAGGTCAAGCGCTGAAATATCTGTGTCAAGATTGCAAGCGTGTATGCACACCTTGTATATTCTCACCTAAAATGGAACTCATACCTTTTTAATCTATTTCAGCACTTGGTCGATTTCTTGCCACAACTTCATACCTTCCTTGGATCGACTGGTTCTAAGCTCGCACAGGACGACAAGATCCAAGTATACGAAGCAATTGCCTACGTGATATCGGCTATGCCAATGGAGCAAGCCGCTCAGTCATTGCGGGCATTCTCCTTGGATATCTTGGCTCAAGTTCATGCAATCGCAAGGAAACCGACTCTCGCTTCGAAGGACGAACTGCAAGCTGTCGCTAGTAGGTTCCGAGCTTGTCCGTGTAAGGTGTGGCTTACATATGTTTCTAGATGGCCTCGAGAATCTCGAAGTTATGCTGGGTGTAATCGACACATTTGGGGAAGAACTGCCCTCCGCTTGCCAGAACAGCTGCCAAGAAGCGTGGTCATTCTTTGATCCGTTCTTGGCGAAATACGGATCAGACTATCACATTTGCGAGCGGACCACCCGAGTCCTCCGTCTCGGTCTCAATTTCTTTGGCCCTGCGGCTCGTCCATTACTGCCTTCCGTACTCACAAGGATGTCCACAGCATTTGAAGTTACTGGCTTCTCCAGCTATCTCTGGATTGCGGGAAAGATCGTGGGCCGCTTCGGAAACGACGACGACACTGCTCTGCGCAACGCCTTCAAAGAAGTCTTTGAGAGATCATCCAAGAAGCTGGTTGGTATTCTTCAACAGAAAACCCCATCCAGTATACCTGATGGTGCGGCGTTAAAACTTTCTGCATCTCAATCTTCACTCATTCCGATCTGTCCCGCTTCAAGTTATGGAAGACTACTTGCAGATGCTGCTGCAACTGCTTGAGTACGCGCCCGACGTACTCTTTCCCTCTCCTGCTTTTCCTATTGCCTTCCGCGCTGCAATGGCGGCGCTGACTGTCATACACACTGATATCGTGTTCGCCGCATTGGACTTCATACGCAACATCCTCACCCATGATTGTCTAACCACGACTTCAACTGCCCCTCCGCCTAAATTCCCGCTGTATGCCGCGGCCATCCGACCAGTAGTTGAGAAGGAAGGCCTGGAATTGTCCGGATACCTCTTGACTGGCCTAGTTGGGGATTTCCCGGAAGACTCCACTTCGATAGTAGTGACGATCTTTCGGATGATGGCGTCTTTGTGGCAGGCCCAGCTGCTATCGTGGTTGCCAGTGGTTCTACTAGGCCTTCCATCGACATCCGCTCCAGACCAGGCCAAGACTCAGTTCATGGCAGACATGAGCAGGTGAGTATGAATGTGTCATATTCGATTGGTAAGCTCACGATCTACGTCGCGTCTAGTGCTATCCGAACGGCGCAATATGACAAGGTGAAATACGCGATAATAACATTGCATAGGGCGTCTCGTAAGGCTCGTGAGAGGAGACGTATCAGTCCGCTGGATACCTGAGAAGATATGTATTGAGTAGAACATAAATGACGATGTATTTCCCGCGAACCCTGTGTGCGGTTACTCATCGAGGTGCATCGCGAAGACTCCGAGAGGAAGCTGCCTCTGTTCCGTGCAGGTTCCGTGTCCAGTGGCAATCCGCGGGCCGATCGAGATTGAGAACGTGCACAAAAACATGAGCAAACTACTTTCGAGCTAGCGTACCTCCCGCTGCTGCACCAGTCGTCCACCCTCTCCATATCTCTCGCCATGTTGTCCCGTGCTGGCCACTATCTGGCGTCCGGTAATCTCACGTCTGTTTTTCTGGGGTATCCTATGACCTAACGCTTCTCCAGCCGGACGTCGGACGTTCTCACAGTCTGCGGCCCGACGCAACTATGAGTCTACTATTAAGAACCTCCTCATTAACAAGGATACCAAGGTGTTGTGTCAGGGTATCACCGGAAAGACTGTGCGCATTCTGTGCACTGTATGTCTCCACCGTGTCGCTGACGTTTCGCGGAAAGGCTACCTTCCATGTGAAGGAAGCCCTAGAATATGGCACCAACATGGTCGCTGGCGTGTCACCGCACAAGGTCGGACAGACTCATCTCGGAATCCCGGTGTTCGGTTCAGTCAAAGACGTGAGTGAGTACTGAGATCAAGCTGTGCCGGTTGTACCGAAGTTATGTTCAGGCGGTCCGCGATACGCATCCCGATGCCTCTATTCTTTATGTACCCCCGCCATTCGCCGCCGACGCGATCCTTGAAGCTATCGAAAATGAGATCGGCTTGATTGTCTGCATTACGGAGGGTATCCCTCAGGCCGACGAGATCAAGGTACGCGTTCTCCGGTCGCGTGTGCTACGTGTTATCCACCCGATTTCGTGAACGTAGGTCATGAATGCGCTGAAAAGCCAATCAAAATCCCGTCTCGTCGGACCAAACTGCCCTGGGATCATCAACCCACTGGGTTGCAAGATGGGTATTCAGCCCGGACACATTCACAAACCTGGCAATATTGGTCTACGATTTTCCTGACCTGGAGAAAACAAAATGCTGACGTGTATGTATATCAGGGATCGTTTCCCGCTCAGGTACCCTCACATACGAGGCTGTCGCCCAGACCACGGACGTAGGGCTGGGCCAGACGCTCTGCGTCGGTATTGGTGGCGATCCATTCCCTGGTACCAAGCATGTTGATGTGATCAAACTCTTCATGGAAGATGATAAGACCGAGGGTGAGTGTCCGTCTGGTGTGACTTTGCGATGCTCAACCCTGAACCTGACCAGGTATCGTAATTATTGGCGAGATCGGTGGTTCCATGGAGGAGGAGGCTGCTGATTATTTGGAGAGGTACAACAAGACTCGTGCCAAGCCTAAGCCTGTCGTCAGTTTCATAGCTGGACGTACTGCACCTCCGGGCCGACGCATGGGACATGCAGGTGCTATTATATCGGGTGGAAAGGGTAAGTGGCTTACTACTGTAGTTTTGCTGAGCATTTTCTGATTAGTACACCAATTTACATAGGTGCCGCGTCAGACAAAGTTGCTGCTCTCGAGAGGGCCGGTTCGATTGTAACCGCCAGTCCAGCCGAGATTGGCCCAGTACTCTTGAAGGTGTGTTCGGAGGAGCGAATCACCATTTATATGCTGATGGGGCCCCTCCTCAGGCTATGCAAGATGCTGGTCTCGCATAGCGTTTCAGTTAACTTCGTGAATTCAATAGCATCTGACTTACGTAATAGAATTTTGCGCTTTGCGCACTGACGTAGATATTGTCAACCTGAGCTGTGATCATGTCTGCCTATGTTCCTTCATCAGCTTTCCAAGCCGCTGCTGCGTATATGTCTGGTGCACCATCACTTTCTGCACTGTCGGATACGATAAGGCTAGAGGTCTTCGTTCCGTCCTCCCATTCGATCACCTTTCCTGACGGCTCCACGTACTGTATTCCATCAGCTTTACGGGCTCTACAAGTACCTTGTTGTTTCACCGATACCGTCTACATCTAGACCATCGATATTCGATTTTACTGGACGGGCAAAATGGGATGCATGGCGTTCTATTAGACAGAAATACGGAGATCGTGCGAATGAGGCCGAAGAACGATATTTGGCCATTGCTCGAGGGCTGGGCTGGAGTGAAGACGCAACAGTCGAGCAACCATCCACTTCACAAGAAGAGGAAGATATCCGGGATGATGACTCAGTGGAAGCGTCAAGACAGAGCGGTGGACTCTCGATGGGCAATTCGGTGAGTGTAATGGCGCAGCCGGAGGATGAGAACAGCCCCGACGCTGTCAGCAATATTGCGATATCCGGTACGGCGGAAGACATGGAGTCCTTCCTGCGTGCAAATACCTCTTTCAAAGTTGATACGAAGGATGTAAACGTGAGTGGAGTCTTCCTAGCTGTGAGCGAACGATTGATTATTCGAATAGGGTTACACCCCACTGCACTTGGCGTGCGACCGAGGTAACATAGGTGTTGCAGACATACTGCTCCAGCGTGGTGCCAGCTGGCAAGTACCCGTATGTTTTCCGCTTGTTGAGAGGCAACGTCGTGTATCATTCTCACCTGCTATCCCAAGGATCCTGACGGCTATAGTGCGGAAGAGCTCGCTGAAATAGCGGATCAGAGGGAGATAGTGGATCTAATAGGGCGGGCGAAATCTAATAGGGCGGGCGAAATCTAATAGGGCGGGCGAAATCTAATAGGGCGGGCGAAATCTAATAGGGCGGGCGAAGAAGGTGTGAGGGGTTCCATCGTCAGCCCGGATGTCGAGTAGTTACACAAAGGATTCTGTACACAACTAAGTGGGGTCGCATCAATGAGCCGTCGGTCCTCCGATGCACAACCCCAAGCCGCCTCTGCACGCGACTGCGTGGTGCGTCAATGCTAATATGTGCAAGCCACTGGTAGCCGGTGCACCTATGACCTCTGCTCGTCTCCTGACGACCGCGTGCTCAGGGAAGGGGCCTGCGTATCTTCGTGTGACGCCGGTGTGTTTTTGGGTAGACGTGCCTTGATTTCTGAAGTCACGGCCGAGGTGCTGACACCTTCAGGTAAAGAGTAGGTTTCGTTGACATGATACTGTGAATGTGGGGGAATAACTCCGCCCTGTTCGACAGTTAAGTCACCCGTCCCCCACGAAATACGTGCTTGTGCACACACCAATGTCAAGAGTTTAGTGACTGTCTTGCTCGGGAGCGCGCCCACCCCAAGCCAGTACTTTATCCGGCTTGCACTCCACTCGATCGTCTTCGTAGTCTCGCCAGGCTTGAGGCGGGGGTCGAACACCCCCAGTGTCTCTATTGGTTTGGCATTGCGTCGATGGCGCATGTCTATGGCGACGATGTGGAAAATGCGGTTGTGTCGGGCGCCATGCACGGCGAGTCGCAGACGAACAGTCATGGTGCAGGACGAAGGAAGGACCCGTGACACTCCTTGACTGAATGTCACGGTAGTCACGGACGCGACAAGTCGCGCTTCCGATCTGTGGGCGACTCGGACGTGAATGTTGCAGCAGACAAAAGGCTTTCCAAGTGGTCTCCGACCTTTGCATACACGGTCTGCATAGGAAGCGACTTCTTTCGTGGGCGTTGGCTATTTTTTGTCGCGGGCAGAATCCTACCTAAGCTCCAGGCGCCGGCGCAGAATCCTGCGCTTGATATAATGGAAACATGTAGCGACAGAAGACAGTGACCTTTTTGACGTGACAGTGAGAAAGGCAAATCCTGGCGTATATACTCTCCATCGCGCGAAGGCCCTGGAGGATATGTAGGCCACCAGCGGCTGGGGCACTTGATGTTCGTGGAATGGTACTCCGGCAAGCGGCCAAGAACAAACTGATTCCAGATGTCGGGAATCCTATGCATCGTCGGGTCCATTGCTACCAGGAATAAGCTGCACATATACTCGTCAACACATCAGGAGGACAACATGCAACCAGAGTGCATACCATGCATATATTGTTGCCATTCAACAGCGTCTGTGCGAGTTTTGTCTTCTTCTTGCCCTGGGGCGTAGTTTCGCTAGATAGCAGATGAGAGCGTGAACACTGGTCAATCGAAGAGAGAGACTAACTACTCCGTGACATCCTCTAGCACCATGTCTGCACGAGACACACGAAATGGTCATGCACTTGATTGCGGGAGCATAGTAGATGTACTCACTAACGAAGTCATCAAATCCGAGCAATGTGCCGGTGAACTCGCGGTCGCTCTTCATAATTACCCATATCCGCGAACCAATGCATTTGTCAATAAGTTCTGGGAAAAGTTAACGTTCGAATTATCAGCAGATTGTACGGTTCGAGCGACGTAAGACTGACCTAGAGGGAGGATCTGAGAAGCCATAGGTCAAGATGGAACGATACAGAGGCCGCGAAGCCAATTACCGACCCTTACTCAAATCTACAGTTGGATCTCAGTACAAGAGCGTTAGACGCTCGTCGAACTTCTCATGGGTTATCCGTGGTTCGTGTTACATGGTGCGCGATGGGATGCGATATTCCAGGACATAAGCAGACGTCTTTCATGAACATGGACATGCTTGCATCGTAAAATACTCATGTATGTACGCGATTGCGGAGAAAGATACATGAAACACAGCTTGGCGAAAGTCGGTAGAGCACATGAGGAAAACCTGATGAGGATGGTGCAACGCGGAAAACACAATGGATATTCTGAAAGTATCTCACTAGACAATAACGGAGGTCATGAAGGAAGAAGAAAGAATGTGTATCGGTACGAAAAACCACCAATTTACTGCCCTCCGAAATTGAAACCTCCAGAAGGCGGAGCAGCACCTCCCTGGTCGAACTGCAAGAGAAAATGAGAAAATGAGCGAAGTACTACGTTGAAGGACAAATAAGCGTACCGCGAAAGCACCTGTGGCGTCGACGTTTGCAGTGTTGATACCAGCATCCACTTCTTCGTCGTCAGGGAAGTACTTGTCCATAATGTTGAACGCCTTCTTGTAGATCTCCAAGTTGTCGTGTTGTTGGAGATTATGGATGGTCACCATTCCTCCGGCCTCCTCTACATACAGCGCATATTGGTTCACGGCTCCCGGGCCCGTCGCCTGCTTGTCCAACTCTCCCACTTTCAAGATGTTATCCAGACCGTCAAGAGCCACTTGGATGATCTTGTTGTCCATCATCGTAAGGAGATCACACAAGGGCTTGATGCAACCTTGTGAAACCAGATAACGGATCTGCGAGGGTTCTTGAAGGCCGCCAGATGTGGCGTTCGAGATAGCCCAGCAAGCCTCCTTCCTCGTCTTGAAATCAGCATTCTGGAGAATGTTGATGAGAGGAGGAATGATATTTGCGTCGATGACAGCCTGGATCTGGGGCGGAGACCCAGCGGTGATGTTCGAGATCGTCCAGCAAGCCTCCTTTCTGATACCGTCCTTGGGAGAGGACAGTAAAGACAAGAGCGCTGGGAGCGCTCCCGACGTGATCACCACCTGGGTCTGCAGGTCATCACCCGTCACGATGTTGCCAACAGAACGGAGGGCCGGAGTCTGTACAGAAGTCGAAGGATGCATGAGGAGGTCAACCAACCGCCTACAGACACCTGACTCGATGACAGCCTGGATCTTGTCATTGGAGCCATCAGAAAGGTAAGAGATCGCCCAGCAAGCGTCGATCAGGATCTCGTCGTCGAGCGAGTAGATCAACTTTGTCAAGACGGTGAGCGCAGGAGATATCTGGGACAGAAGGAAATTCATATCGCGGCCTAACGAATGGCTGATGGAATGCGTACCAACTCCCAGTCTGGCTGTGGTGACTTCCCTCGGCAGAAATTACTCAAGGTCCAAGTTGCATTTCTAAGCATGCTGAGCTTGTGGTTCTCACTCAGCAGATTGAGGAGTGGCCTCAAGGCTCCTTGCTGAAGGACGTAATCACGGCATGCTGGACTGTCACCGGCGATGTTGCCCAACGCCCAGACAGCCTGCTCTCGGACGTCAAGGACCGGGGAAGACAGGAGCTTGATGAACTCGGGGACAGCGTTCGCGGTAATCACAACTTGGGTATGCTCAGCAGTGCCCGAAGCGATATTAGTGAGCGCCCATGCGGCCTCAAACTGAAGACATTCATGAGTACCTGAACATTCCATGGACAGAATCGACAATTTACCTGAAGCATAGCATTGTTGCCCTGCAAGAATTGAACAAATCGAGGGACAACACCACATGCTATGACGCGTTCAATTGGCGGATTTTTCTCCTTTGAGAGCAGTTTGCGGAACTTTGTCGTCGCGTCCAATTGGCGATCGGGGTCATCGGAGAAAACGCCAGCGATCATCTCCTCAGCCAGCTATAAAGTAGCATCGGTATCGCCATACCAGGACGGTATCAGAGAGGCTACTCACAGGGCTCTCCCAGGTAGTGGTAGCACCCTCTTCATCCGAATCCCCAGCAGTCGCCGGAAGGAAGTTTCGCCTCTTAGTGATGTTCTCCTCCCTCTTCTGCTTTCTAATTTCAACCTGCTGCTCCTCCCGTCTCCGCCTCAAGTCCTCTTGCTTGAGACCACCTTTGCTTTTGTACTCTGGGTTGTGGGTTAGTGTGCGATCACTAAGTACACCGAGACAACGCGAAAAAAAGGCGTTACATAACGGATGCTCACCATTTTTGCGATGGGACAAACGGCTTTCAGCCATTGTGAAGACGAGTGAAGATGGTGGTGTATAACAAGAAAGAAAAGACGCGCGGCACAGGAGACTCTGTTCTCGGACGTAGTCCACTCGTCACGGTCACTTGGACGCCGTCACAGCGTGACCATGCGGCTGCGATGACTCAAATCAACACGCTCACAGCCATTCTGTCAAATTTGCTCTGTTCTACTGTTACAAGTTCTCTTCAAGGTGGTCCACATGTGTGGCCCTACAGTACCAACAGACGAGCCGAAGGAAGAAGTAAAAGACACGATAAGATATGATCTCAACGCGCAATCTCCCGGGCCGTGGCTTCGAAATCTAATCCATAACCCGCTTTGGATTGCCCTCCAGATAACCCGCAATGTTGTCAACAGTTTCCGTCCAGAACACCTAGAAATACAGTAAGCCTTGTTGCATTCACAAAGATCTCGGCATGCATATACTCACCTTGTAGCTGGTGTCACTCACGTAGCCTGTGTGTGGACTCAGGACGACGTTCTCCAGGCGTCGGATTGGATGATCGAGCGGCAAGGGCTCAACCTCGAACACATCCAACCCGGCACCTGCAATCCTCCTCCCTTTCAATGCCTTGACAAGCGCAGCCTCCTCCACAAGTGGTCCCCGAGAAGTATTGATGAAGAACGCAGTGCGCTTCATAAGCGCGATGTCCGCGGTAGTGATCATATGGTAGGTCCGCTCGGACAGAACCATGTGCACGGACACTATATCGCTGCGTCTGAAAAGCTCCTCCTTCGAGGCTACGTATATCACTCCTGCAGTAGCGGCGCGTTCTGGGGTGAGATTGGGCGACCAGCCGATGACCTCCATCTCAAAGGCCTTTGCGATCTGGGCGGCATGAGAGATGTAGTGTATTGACAATTAAGCAACTTACCTCTGCAGTCCGAGAACCCAGCCTACCTACGCCGACGAGGCCCAACGTCTTCCCGGCCAACCCGGTGGGTATCGTGGATTGCCAGGGCACCTTTCCTGCCTTCACATTACGATCCTCCTCAGGGATAAACCTGGCCGTTGCCAGGATCAGTGCCCATATATGCTCCAAAGTTGAGTTTCCCCCTCCGCCTGTCCCTGATACTACGATACCTTTACTCTTTGCATGGACGACATCTATGCCCGCGTTACGCGGTCCCGTTGTAGCTATGAGCCTCAGATTCGGAAGTCTGTCGAGCACTGAAGCAGGAAACTTCGTCCGTTCCCTCATAGCACAAATAACTTCATATGGCTGGAGCCTTTGTACAAGGGCATCTTCGTCAGCGACGATCGTTTCGGGGTACAGGTCAATCGAGAGACGATTTCGTATGGGAGACCAGTCCGCGTAAGTGAACGCGACGTTCTGGTAGTCGTCGAGGATGGCGACGCGCACGGTGCTCGACATGGCGAGAATGGCGTTGCGGTGATACTCCGCACTTACATACTCGCGATCTTATAGGATTGGAACTGTGAGAGTAATTGTCAGCACACAGATGTACCATCATGACGTCGGCATCATATAGATTAGGTCAGATGAACCCGAGATGACGACAAAAACCTGGACCAGCACAGTAACAGTAAAAATTTGATGTGATTGTGACATAGTCCGAAGCCAACTGACGACAAATGTTTTCTATGTATCATTGTCAAAAGGGTACTGGAGAAGGGCCAGTCGTTAGAAATGTCCAGCGCACAACTTTTCGTCAACGTACCTCAAACGACTCGGGAGGATCCGCCTCTGGGCCGTTCTCATCTAGCGAGATGTGACGCCCTTCCGGCACCAGTGCATGTCGGTCCTCAGGTACTGCAGGGACACCCTGTGCATCAGCATGGATCGTCTGCGTCTCAAAGTCGATGTAATCTGGCTCCTCCTCCGGACGCTGGTCGATCATGATCAGGATGCCGCCGCCGCCTGCATGCTTGTCTGAGGACAGGCCAGGGATGGAGGACTTTGGGCCATTACTTGGAGTCTTGGAGGCCTTGGCACCGGTCGAGGTCCATGTCGACACCGCTCGCACTGGCTGATACCGGCAATCGGGCGGGAAGCTGATGTAGGCCACCTGCGCAGGTACCACTCGCGAGAAGTTGGTTAATTTTTCGAAGGACGGCTCCTTGCGTTTTGACACGCCCATCGAATTTCCCTCCGCAGGCGTCACATCACCTTGCTTCGATGTTGAGGGCTCATCTGTCTTCATCTCAACATCGACGTCCTTCTTTGTCTCCTGCTTCTCATCCTAATGTACAATTAGCCTGACGGATTGGCAACTGCACTGACCACCCACAGTCTCCATGGCATCGCTTTCAGCTGCCTTCTTCTTTTCTCTGGCCTTCGCCTTCGCCGTCGTGGATAGGACGGCGGCGGCTACCTTTGTCACAGCCTCCTTCTTTGGCGGCTTTGTGGGCGCTGGATAAGCGAAGAGGCTGGGCTTAACGTTGGAGACGAACTCAAAGTTGGGCGCCTGAAGCACGACATTAATATTCACGTAGAGTGATTTGGGTACGAGCTTCTTACCTGCAAATCACCGTCTAGACCAATAATGCCAGTGGGATCGAACGCCAAACAAGCACAGTGTGCTAACGGGTACCAGTACCAGAACTGGCAGAACAACACCATACCAACGATAGCATTGGTGTTGCGGCTTCCAGCGCGACTCTGCAAACTGATCGTCACGTTCCGACCACCCGCATCGATCAAACCCTGTCCCAAGGCTGCACCGAACCGAGCCATCGGATCCTCGTGCTTGTCCGAAACAATCTTCAAGTACAACGCGCGCGTAGACGCAAGTGAGGGTGACGATGCTTCCGACTGCTCGACGAGGACCATGCCGAGTGCAACGAACGCCCCTTGGCGGACAAAGTCTACACTATCTCTGGTCATCGGCTCCAAGATTTCGACGGCATCCTGTGTAATGGAAGTCAACAGACGGTGGGCATGACATGCTGGTAGAAGCGAACCTGCAAGCCGGTGCCAGCACAAGCGATACCAAGTGCCAGAGTCGCACCACATCTAACATGAGGATTATAGCTCTCGCTGAGGAGCTGTACAATCCGAGGTACTTGATACGGGTTCTTGAACAGCAGGAATGCCAGAGATGTGACTGCAGCCCTCCTCACATCGTCCGACGTATCTGAAACCGCGACGTGCAATAATTTGCGGATGGCATCGTTGTTCGAAGTCCCAGCATATGCCAGGGCCAGCGTGTACACACCACCATAACGGAGAATGGGATCCTACACCGTTCATGAGATACAGAGAAGACAATACCGTGGGTGCACGTACCTTTTCTTCAATGAGGGTTTTGATCATCTCGTCGGCCTCCTCTTGCCTCCCGTAGTAGATAAACGCAAGCCCGATAGCAACGCCGCGAATGATCTTTTCATGCTGAGTTTCCCGTGCATACATCAGCATCTCGTCTGCGCTGGTAGCATCTGCCGTTCCGAGCATAGTAAGACCCATTGCATAGCCCGCAGCCTCGCCCGCAACAGCAGAATCGGTGAACAGAATCTGCTTCAACTCGTCGTATGTCTCAGCATTCTTGCCGCCCATTCCCGCGACACCAAGACCGAGACATGCTCCATGTTGCACAACCTCCTTCTGTGCCGCCTTCAATGTATCCCGCAGATATGCTTCTACGTGCCTACCGCTTCCACAGCCAGCGTTAACAAGACCCAGAGCATATAGCGCGCCGCCTTCTGAATACTGTGAGCCAGGAATACCACTGTCTTCGCCGGCAGGCTGGGGTAAGTATGGACCGAGGATGTTCATGCTCTCCTCAAAATGACCTTTGTGAATCACACCAAGAGCTGCTGTAGCCGAGAACTTGGACCAATTCGAAGCCAAGCCAAGCCACTCGAGATTGTCCCTGAGGAAAGTATCGGAGGTAGTTCCAGAGTGCATGAATGCGTTCTGCAAAGTGAGAGCTGTATGGTATATTGAAGACCGTGGTTCCAACGCGTCCTGGTAGAATTTTCAGGAGTGCATGTAGAATATATTTACAGTTCGCCTCACCTTGGTGTTCTTCAAAATCAGCATATCAACCTTGTTGTTGCGCTTCAGGAATTCCAAGTACAACTTGATAGACTCTTGGCCGAGAAGAATTCGCCGCAATTTGTCGTAAATTGGCTTCGTGTCCTGTCGCAAGTTCAGAAATGACAGGACACCACAACCATGAAACAGCACTTACCGCTTGACCTTCAGGCAGCTCCTTACGAATAGTCTCCAAAAAATCCTGGGATCCGCCTTCGACGAGATCAAATGCAAACTGGTATGCGAGGAGGTTTTCGCTTGGAACGAGGGATGTCAAGAGCGGAACGGTCAGTTCAGGCGAACTAAGCGAGACCAGTAAACGAGTTAGTGAGTACACGTGGGGAGATTTCGTCGCACTCGTTGGTGGAGGGAACAGCGGCAGAAGGAACCTGAGGACTTGGTTGCGGTACGCAAGCGGAAACGCGGTATCAAGTACAGCTTCCATAGCATACGAGAGCAAACTAGCGTCGTGAGTCCTTTCGTATATCTGGGTAATGATATCAAGACGGCGCGATTCCAACGCGATACCTATTGCCTACAGAACAGTGTTAAAATTGGAATTATGTCAGGTCGTAAGGACAAGTGCACACCTGCTTGTAATCCCCATCCTGAATACATCGCCGAAAGATGCCTTCAATAATAGTTTGTAGTTTGGAGTCAATTTTTCCCTCTTTCTCCGACTGCTCGTGAGACCGCGCTTTGATATATTTGTCAATAGCCTTGGCTAGGCACCAGAAGCAATCTTCGTGAGCAACTGTAGGCGGAGTATCAGCTCTAACACTCACAGATGACAGTTTCCACGTATTCCTCAGCGCCTAGTGTGCGGCTCTCGGCCTCAAACGCGGTCCCAGCACCGAGGGCAAAGGACAGTGCTTCGTCGTACTCGCCAAGGAAATAGTAAACTTTGCTGGCGAGCAATGCAGCGGAGTCATGGGCTGCCTGGGGAAGCTCATCGCTCTCATAGAGTGACTCTCTATAGTAGCTCTTTTTTCAGATACAAAATCCTAAGAAAGATGACGCGTACGCACATAAGGGCAATATGTTCTGAAATTTCTGCCCAGAACCTGGGAACCAGAGTATTAAGGGTGTTCAGTGCATGTTGTTTAAGCAGAGGTTCTGGCTCTGAGAGAAGGGCGAGCACACCCGCTGCGGAGGACTGAGTACGGGGTACCATGGTGTCGGATTGAAGCTGAGAGCGTCGCGCGACGCGTCAGCTCGAGCTGCAGCGGGCGTTTGCAGCCACGCGAGCCAACACGCTCTGATGACATAATCCGTTCCCATCCGGCATCGTCCGTCACCTTTCTCCTCCGAGTCCCTTGTCCTTGAACGTATCCACTGTCTCCCCATGTCCTCAATCATCGCCCGTCGTGCGCTTCTGCGCGCGGTCCCCCGCACCCGCTCTTTTGCTAGCGCTACCGCCGACGTGGTAAAGTCGGATTACATGGAGAAGCAGGCTGCTCTCTACGCGCACGCTGCCGGTACGTCCGTCACGTCATTAATTCCCCTTCCTTTGACGGACCTCCATTCTCAGAAACCGCCAACTTATGGCGTCGCATCAGGTATGTCGCAGTTCTAGTACCATCTACTGCTATTTGACGTGGCCAAAAGCTTCTTCGTCTGCGCTCCTGCCAGTAAGTACCCGCAATAATACTGCGTGTCTTTGGGGGTAACGTTCAATCGCGTTAGTCTTCGTCTGTAGCATCTGGGTTTACAAACTGGAGTCTGAGCACCATGAGCACGAGGCCCATCTCATGGCAGAGAATGATGGGCACCTGCCCGACCCCCCTGCCTACGAGTATCTGAACCGCCGTGGTAAGTCGTTCGATTACACGCGTTCTAGACCCTACTAATATCACTTTAGCTGCTGGATCGTTCCCCTGGGGACCCAACTCCCTCTTTTTTAACCCCAAGGTACGTATATCATCGAGCTGTGTGCTTTGCGCGTGTCTCACATTCGCACAGACCAACAAGGACATGAGCAAGGTCGACCAGTAAATGTACTAATTCCAATTGAGTTGCCACTGCATCTTTCGCCCATCTGCGTATATGTGAGGAATGCGCCCGGCTTAGCCTAGGTCGTCCAGACCGTTGAGCGCGTGCTGGTGCACAATTGATGAGGAGTTGTCGAGGCGCATCTAGAATGCAACAAATCGGCATTCTCAATCATGCACCTAAGTACAGTAGGTACAATCGCACAACAGAAGTATCGAAATAAAGTACCGTGAGCGAAGCAGCGCTCGGCAGTTAAATGAATAAATGTTCAGAAATATGGATATCTTAGAGTGTCACCCATGCACCGGCGAAGACACCGCTGAGCACGACAGCAAGTCCAGTGAGCAGCGGCATGGAGAATGTAAAGGTTTGTGCGCCGGAGGTAGAGCTGTGATCACGGTGGTCAAGAATCTGAATGTTATACAATAGATGGCAAACTCACGTAGGTGAGCCTGTGAGAGCAGAGCCACCAGCTCCAGTTGCCTCAGTGTAGACCGAGCCCGCGAAGGTCGTGACTACGCCGAAACCACTCGTGGCGAGAGTAATGCCCTTGCCCCCCTCAGAAGTCACGATGGTGAAAGCCTCTCCTCCAGCGGCTGAAACACACGTTCAGTCTGGGACCTTTGGGAAGCGATGAACTGAAGCCTTACATGTGACAATAGTTGCAATACTCCCACCAAACGACGTTACATCGCTGAAGACAGACGCAGCTGGTAGGCGATGACCGTCAGGAGGCTCCACTTCATACAAAGCTTGGAAGAGACGTACCTCCGGCAGTAGCCTGAGAGGCAACTGAACCTATGTCTGAGGTTATGGAATTGATGACGCTGTCGACTGAAGATCGTGTTCAGCAAAGTTGGTGCACGAAATAGCGAATATACTTACCCTGGCGCTTCTGGACGCCTTCCGCGGTAGCATTAACAGCAAAAAATGCAAGAAGCAGGGAAAAGACGAAGAGAGTAGTTTTCGTAAACATTTTGGCGTAAATGAGGGAGCAACGCGAGTCGTGACAGATATGTTGCGGAGACGCCTGCGGTTATATACTGGCTGGGTTACAGCTTTTGGGGGGGCACGGCTTCCCGCAGCCGAGGCTTGGCCGAAGCGGTTACGGTGCACCTCGTCACGTGAAATAGCGAATTGAATTCCGGCCTCTCGAATCGCGACGTCAAGCTCTTCGCCCATCTAGACACATCGGATAGAGAATTGTGATGCCTCATGCAATTATCTCTCCCTCTGTTCTGGCGTCCGACTTCGGACAGCTCACCGCAGAATGTAAGAGGATGATCAAGGGCGGTGCGGAATGGTTGCACATGGGTCAGTCTCTTACGTCAATTTCCGTGTACATAACTGCTCACATCTTCGAAGATATTATGGACGGGTGAAGCTCAGTGCGCAGACTCCCTGCTCCCCTACGCTGATCATAATGCATGTCAGTCATTTTGTGCCAAACATCACCATGGGTATGTCTCTGAAGCTTCACGGGTCGTGCGGGGATCTCACCTGATCAGGCGCGCCCATCCTTTCGTGCGTATCGAAGGGCGTCCCGGGCATTTTCATGGACTGTCACATGATGGTATCGCAGCCCGAGAAGGTGCAGGATTATCTAGCTGCATCGGATGTGTTGACCAAGACCTGTATACCAGTGGGTGAACGACATTGCTGACGCGGGCGGTGCGTTATACTGCTTCCACCTGGAAGCGACATGTACGTCTAGCCTTCCCTCTGCTGACGGAAACTCTGTGACGCGGTGTTCACAGCGGACCCCCTCGCGCTTATTGATGCGATCCGCGAGCGGAAGATGAAGGCGGGCGTTGCTATCTCTCCCGACACGCCCTCCACAGCTATCTCCGACGAGGTTGCAGACGCGGCCGACATGCTGCTGGTCATGACCGTTTACCCTGGTAAGCAATCTCTCATGCAATTTATCGCCAGACCGTTGGCTCAACGGTGCACACAGGTCGCGGTGGCCAGAAGTTCTTGGACCGCTGTGTACCCAAAGTTGCTGAGCTTCGCGCTCGCTTTCCCGACAAGGATATAGAAGTCGACGGCGGTGTCGGTCCGAAGACCATTGGTGTCTGCGCTGATGCGGGTACGTTTCCATGTTCTTACCACTCCAGTCAGCACCCTTTGACCTGATTCGATCAGGGAGCAACGTCATCGTTGCAGGGACAGCGATATTCAGCGCACCAGAGCCTGAACAAGTTATTGCACTTCTCAAGAGCACCGTCCAGACTGCGCAGGCCAAGCTTTCCTCGAGGCAGTAATACATAGATACAATTGTTGTACCAGGATAGAAGAAGACAACTTGTTTGTAAGAGTTAGAATCAGAAGAAATATGTTTGCATTGTACGAGCGTCCTGGTATCATATGGGTAGTGAGAGGGACTACATGGATATCCCTAAACGATCCGCATAGAGGATGGTTCGAACTGTCGGAGCAGTGAACTGGTAGTATGGTAGAAGGTCTTGATTCCATTACACAGAGAAGATAGAGATAAGTATGACGACATTACTGAAAAAAATCCATGGTGTGTAGAATGACCCAGTAACTACATTAAGTAGGCCCCCACATGCTCCATCACCGGGGTAGATCACCGGGGCAGGCGTTCGAGGCGATGTGCACTAGGACAGCATCAAGCGCAGCAATGCTACAAAGAGGATAAAAATCGGGGATTCCGAGACATCACCACCGAATCCACTCTCCATACATGTTTGGCGCCTCTCCTCGGACGTAGGCCTCAAATGTCCGCTTGAGCACAGCCGACCAGTCAAGGTCTCGTCTATCCTCCGTTACCAAATCGACTTTGGTCTCGTTGTAAATGCCACTCTCAGAGAGAGCGGCTCGTGCTGCCTGCTCGCCCTTCTTGAACCGTTCTCCAAGATCAGGCCAATTCCGTGAAGCATCAAAAGGATGCCACCTGCACAATCGTATGCATCGTTGAAAATAGACTGGATAATACTTCAAAGACCCACCAGGAATTGTGATAGTGATATGCGTATGACCCCTTGAAGAAGCCGTCGAAACCCAAGGCCTGAGGAGCGGCACTGCTTTCTCGTGAAGTATCGAAGAAGTCGCGGAACCTATGAAACTGTCAGATACCAAGCAGGCATACTTCAGGAAGCCAAATGCGCACTCAGTAAAGTATGGCTGTGGGGGTCTATCCCGTTGGAAGGATTCCGTGTTTAACCATGCCGGGTCAAACAGGGCGTCCGCGAGGCGCAGAAGTAGTCCATCCAGGTAGGCGTCTTTAATGTAGCGAGACACCGTCATGGGGTGGAAGTCCAAGCCGTTCTTGAGTGCAGTACGGAATAGGAAAGTCCCCAACGCTGATCCTTTGTTCATCCGAAGGACCGCCGTGTTGTATTTCTCCAGACGCGACCACCGGTATGCAAAAGCTCCCTTCCATCCCCAGAGTTCCTCCCAATCACGGAGAAGGAGGACGTCCGCATCAAGATAAATACCTCCGAACCTGTGGCACAGCACAAAGCGCGCCATGTCCGATAAAATGACAGACAGCCGATCATATGAGGAAGGAGACTTTGAACCGACACGGTTCAGCTTGTCGTCATCGTCATTGCCAGATTTCTGTCCACTGGTCGGACTGGGTGCAACAGCTGCCGTCAAGACCTCGCCGTCTTCCTCGCTCTCCGAACTCTCCGAGGTGACCGACAGCTCGACTTGCTGATTCTGAGGGACCTTCTCGACGAACCCACCCGAGTTGAACAAGCTGTCCCGAAGTTTCCTCCACTCATCCTTGAGCTCCGGGATACCGTCCAGTTGCTCAGTGGTGTTCCACATCTTGATCTTGATCACGTCTTTGAATCGTGGATGCAGGAAGGGTGAAGCCCATGGGTTGGACTTCAAGTCGTCAAACATATCCCGTAGTGCGTTCGGATTAGGGACCGCAGCAGCCGGCCCAGGGTTGATCCACAACCAGAAAACAGGACGGCAAACATTGGGATCGACGTGGTCATCCTCTTGGTGTAACTGGATGTTCTGCGTGTATAGGAAGGATAGCAGCGCAAGATATGGCTTGTCTGTGAATGGCCCCGTCCAGAACATGTGGTAGATACGAGGACTATCGTCGTCGCAGGTGGAGGGCTGGTTCTTATATGACCGGTACGGGGGAGGCGCAGGTAAGTGGAGGTGGGGTTCCCATTCCACGCCTCGCTTCTTCGAGAAGCCAGCACTTGCATCCAAGTCGCCTTGGGTTTTCAAAGCAAAGGTAGGTTTCGAAGTCGCGTTTGCTTCCGTGGCGTTCTCAGGTTCAATTTCCTCCACATAGATGTATTTCCACTCGTCCATCTTGCCTCTCCGCAACCTTGGTCCGGTATCCAACCCCGCACCTAACCGGAGGACTTCCAAGCAATCTCGTACATACTGCACGCGGTGTCATTTAATCGACATACCCTTCATGCACAAAGAGTACATACCTGATTGGTGGAGAAGTCACAGTGGTCCATGACCACGTCGAGATCCGCAATGCTGCCCGGAACCGGACGTGGTGGGAAGGCAGCATTCGGCTGTAAATCGAGATATACGCGCTTTGCACCAGCTCCGAGAGTAGTCGTCACGGTCGGTGACCGATACTTCGCAGGAATGGTTGCAGCCTTCCGCACGGGAAGTGCTGGATTTAATGGGGGTGTAGTCAGTCCGATCTGTTTAGGAACTGTTGTTGGGGTTAAGTACAAGTAGAACAGGTCTATAACGCAGGTGACACACTCTTATGATTACTCGGGTAATGCCCTGCGGCGATCTCCCATTCCCATATTCGTTGCAGGTCCTCCTTCCTGAATACGAGAGTCGGAGGATCACCCACATTCAATGTGGGCCACGTCTTCTCTCGCGTGGCAAACCGCTTGTGCAGCGCGAAGACGGTGAAGAGTGCAATGACAAGGCCAATGCATAGGACGAGAGGACCCTTGGTTCTCCCGAAGCGGGTGACACTGAATTGGTGCAGTCGCGTCGGATTCGGTGCCATAAGTCTAATTCGGCGGGTGCGAACACCAGGTATAGGGAGGGAAATGGGTATTAGCCAGGACGAGGTGTGGTGATGTCGGTGCCATTTCTCTCGGATGGCGGAAGAGTGTGTGGGGAGGCCATTAAGCCGCGCCTTTTCAGAAAATCCGTTCCCGTTCCCGAAGTATACAGACGAAGCCATCCTCTAGACGGAGAGTCGTGAGCGGAGAAAAGAAGGGCACCAGCGACCAGAGGGCCGGAGAGGATGGCGACTAGGAAGCTCTAAGCTATGGATCCCCTGCAACAGCTTGGGTGAACAGCTCAGCGCCGGCGCTCATCTCAAATTTCCCTTCCCACCTTACCTAAGCGCCCTTGGCACACCCCGTCGGCACGCGAGGTGATACAGTATGGCGAATGGGTTCGTCCATGATACAGCGAACAACCACTAATCCTTTCTATATATTTGTTACACGGGTTGTTCAGACACTACATTCACAGCGAGTACAACAACAAAGGTCAAGACATTCCCACCCCGCTTCTAGCCTGACCCTGAACCGAGAGGCTGCAGCTCAAGGTCAGCGGGGTCGGTCGGCACAGACAAGATGCGCAGCGTGTTTGTGTGTCCAAGACCGCCCTTCCAGCCCTGCACAGCTACAACAGTGGTACCCGTCTTGATGATGTTCAGCTTCAGCGCATTGCGCAGTCCGAACCGGATGCGGTTGTCCACCTGGAAGAAATGGCATGAGCTACGCAGCGCCAAGACCAGAAAGTACTCCAATTACATCGGTCTGCCATTGGGCACTCGAGATTCCACGTGGCTCAGGATACCAGAAGGGATAGCATCCTCGGTGAAGGTGGATCTGGCGGGCGGTCTGCTGGTTGCGAGTGACTGGCAAATACACATTTCAGCAACGAAGAACGGGTAAAGAAGTCATTCAAATTTCAAACCTGTGATGATAGGCATGCTGGGTCTGTACTTGGAAACGAGACGCGCGGTGTTGCCGCTCGTCGACAAGACGATGATAGCGCCGGCATTCTGCTCGGACGCAGCTGCCACTGCAGCAATGGCCACGGTCTCGACGGTCTCCGTAGGACGAGGCGTGCAAGCCCTCAAGTCGTCATACAGAGGGGGGTAGCAGATGGCGGCTTCTGCGAGCAGACAAGTCTCGGCCATCATCAAAACTGGGGAACGTAGTTAGGAAGATGGGAATGTCACAGCTTCGTGGAAAAAACATACCCGACTGAATTGGGTACGAGCCCTTCGCTGTCTCACCAGACAGCATTACACAATCTGCACCATCGAGCACAGCGTTTGCGACGTCGCTGACCTCAGCACGGGTAGGTCTGGGGTTGTACTACAGAGGGGTCAAATATACGGCAAGCAAACAATGTCAGACACTTACTGTCATGGACTAGCGAAGTGACATTATCAGATGTTGCACCAATTTGCAAACCCGCATAACACTCACCTCCAGCATTTGGGTGGCAACGATGACAGGCTTGCCGGCCATGTTGCACTTCGCTATCATCATCTTCTGTGCCAAAAATACCTGGCTGGCAGGAATCTCGATACCAAGGTCACCACGCGCAACCATAACACCGTCGGTCTCCCTCAAAATCTCGTCAAAGTTCGCGACACCCTGTTCGTTCTCGATCTTCACAATGATCTTGATGTTGGCACCATCCGGGCCAAGTACCTGTCTGATGTGGCGGACGTCCTCTGCACGACGGATGAACGACGCGAAGACCATGTCGACACCGTTCCTGACACCAAATTGCAGGTCAGACTTGTCCTTCTCAGACAGTGCAGGAAGATCAACATCGGTCTTCGGCAAATTGACACCCTTGCGAGAGGAAAGCGTTCCATTGTTCAGCGCGCGGACGTGGACATTGGTCCCGTCAATCGAAAGAACGAGGAGAGACAGGATACCTACATATATCATCAGTCATAGGACACACGAGGGAACTGTTCTTCATACCATCATCAACATAGATGAGCTTGCCAGGAGCAGTGACCTTCGTGATATTTTTCTGGCGGAACAAAGGTGAAACTTACCAATTACACAAAATATATGGTTCTGCACGTACATAGTCCAGCCACATTACTTTGTCGTCGCAAATTTCGCTGTACTTGGGGTCCGTGGAAACAATGAACTCGTGACCAGCCTTGATGGGGATCTGTTCGCCAGTATCAACTAGAAGATTATACATCGATAGAGGGAACAACTTACGTCCTTCATGTCCCTCATTGCACCAGTACGGATCTCGGGTCCTTTCTTTGTGCAAAAAAAAATAAATCAGCGATCGCGTCACACTAAATGCTGTCGACTGACTGTGTCCAACGCAATGGCAACCGGACGACTCTCGGGGTCGGCTGAGAAGGCACTCACATTAGACGAGTGCAAGAATATTTGGTGAAAAACCTACCGGCAACCATCTTTCTGGTGTTGTCAATGACCTTCTGGTGGTTCTCGTACGAGCCATGGGAGAAGTTCATGCGCACTAGCGAATGAAGATCGGGGATCAGATATGTATGCTGGAACAGGAACATCACTCGTGCTCACCGATGTTAACACCGGCGCGTCGCAACTCAGTGAGCCTCTCTACGGTGTTTACCTGACCTAAATGACAGGAAAATCATGAGCACTCCGGCCAATAGCTATGAGGTACATGCGCACCAATGGTGGCGATGATAGCAGTCTAAAGCAAAACATCAATCCAAATTTGCCTGTGGTCCATTCGAAGCGCACCTTGCGTTGGAATTTGGTTTCTTCTGTGGGAACCGCAGCATGTGTAGTGGTCAGGGTGGCAAACCATTCGAGGCGTGATTCGATTGCGGGCTGAGCCATGGTGTCTGGGATGAACGAATTCGATTCAGTGGGTGAGCTGGAGCGATTTTATAATGGAGCGGAGGTAGAGGGGAGGAGGACGGCGGTGGAGATGGTAGGGGTTCTGAAGCGCCTCCCCCAAAGTTCTAGGCAGGGAGCCAAGTACTGGAACTTACCTGGACAGGTATGGAATGCCTAGATGTCGACGTCACGTAGAGAGGATATCAGAGCAACGGAGATGAACGACCATTTCTCGAGCTTTTATCTGTCCTCGGCCCCACCGCATCGATCTCCGCATGAGGCCCATACGCACGCGGTAAGGAAGGCTCCCGACTGCAAGCACCCCGAATCAATGTCCTCCATATATGTACCACGAACGTTCTCCCCTGTCAGCCTTCTCACTCGTCGTGCATCGCGAACGGCAGGTCATCTCCTTTTGCAACAGCGGAAACGACAACGATACAGTAGTACAGCGTGTAATCGACGACAAAACAAGCACGAACAAAACTAACGCTCAAGTCAACACATGCAATCACCTAGTCCGACCAGCCCCAACATATTAAATAACACAGCGAGCACGCCGACACACACCACTCAGATCACTCGGATCGTCCATCCGTGCAATCCCCCGTCGACAGTAGACGCTGCGTGGTGCGCCGCCGAAATCCAACTCGGGTCCATAGCACTTGTCGCAGGATTTGGGCCACTCAGATCAATATTCTGGAACACGTTTTCAGCCTGCACCGCCCGGCCAGAATGATATCCAACGCCATCGAACGAGCGAATGAAGAGTATAGGAAGGCTCCGTCCAATAATCGAGCTGGCATCCACCTTTCGCTGGCCAGCCGATGTCGCCTCTCCGCTTCTAGGGGATTCGCCGTCGCTCTCCTCCGTAGACAACGCGTCTTCCATCAACGATTTGAGAATATTGTTGATGGGGGGCATCTCCACTATGAGGATAGTATGCGTCGCTCCCATAGGCATGTAGCGTGCAGCAGTAGGAATAAACATCGGGACGAAGGGAGGAAGCGGCTCTCCATTCGGACCATGTGTTGGTTCAGTCGGAGGCTGCATAAACACATTATGAGCACTTCCCATCGATGTCTCAGGATCTGGTGGCGGATATATACGAAAGCGCAGAGGTCCGATATTGCCAATATATATGTCGAGGGGTAACTGCGTTCTCGTTTTTGGATTTTCATAGAAGAAATTAGATGCGGTGAGTTCCATCGTATGGCTTTGTGTGCGATAAAGCGGCGCCGAAAACAGTGTAGGGAAAGGGGTAATGGGGAGGTCCGGGATGGTGCTGTTCTGACCAAGCGCGTCAAAAAAAGTGTACTGGAACTTTGCTGAGAACCAACACGACATCAGTGACAAACAGAAACATGATCATAAATTGACGTACAAATCCCGACAATCGTCCAGCAGAGGTAGTCATCCACTTCGTCGTACATGAAGCTCAATCCTCCGTCTCTTATCTCTTCGCGTGAGCGGGGTGCTTGGAACAGTAGAGGATGGGAACCAGCTTGGTTTGATAACCCTGGCGTAGGCGGTACAACAGTACCAGGTGTCCCGGGCATCGGGCCAGCCGCAGACAAGTACTGTCTTGAGCCGTCATCATCCTTCCTTTGCAAAGCGACCTTCTGCATCTGGCTCACAGGACCGTTATCGTCTTGCACGATCCTACCCTTGTCCACCTTACGAATTATGAGAGGAGCGGTTTGTGTCCCGGAGACCGTATCCGCCAATACAACCTCGCTCCCGTATGTCACGGGCTGAGGCCCTCCTGCTATTGGAGAGTTTTCGTGAGTATTCCTGAGACGCGGGTTCCAGGATCACGTGGTCGCGTACCGACGTGAGATTCTGGCAGCGGGGACGCTGTAGAACGAATGACATTGACGTTGAATGCTGACCAGGAAACATTGCTAGCGCATAATTGACTGTTGTCAACAGTCATATATTTAGTTCGTACGGTCTGAGAATTGATGCGATTAAATAGGGAGACGGGTCCCCCCGCAAGGATGCATGACGAGATGTTGCGTGTCTTCGCCGTCTTCTTCGATGGTTTTGAGATGATAGTGACGGGCGCAGAATCAAATGATGCCCAGACTCGCCCACGACCAGGATCGCTTCCTTCCTGTACAGGAGGTGGTGGTTCAGCAATGTCCAGAGAGAGTTGGAAGCTCTTCGCCTTAGCAGTACCGTTCACGTGCAGAAATTTGAAGCTGGCGGTCAGGTTATGATCGAGGGGGGCCTTCTGTTCGCAGCCTCGATCACCTCCCTCGGACACCACCGCCATGGAAAGCTGCTGCTGTTTTAGGTGCCAGTCTGGTCCTTCGATATGAACGACAGGAGGCGGGCACAGGAAGCGCTTCTCAGTCCCGTACGACTTCTGAGCAACTGCAGCGTGCAGACAAAGAACTGTCGTCATTGGTAGCACACGAGCAGGGTCCTGCGTAACGTGGTCTCGCACGACGCGTCTAATCTTGGAGGCCGGGTCCTCACCGTCAGACGCGTCCAGCCTGCGTTTGTTAGGTCGCTGCGTTGCACTGTTGGTATTTCTCTAAGCCTTTGACAATAAAACTCACTTGTGTGGGGGTAGAAGGACCAGGGACTGCATTGCCGTCGCGCGGGGGAGGCGGCGGAGGCATAGGTGAAGACCAGGTCGTCTGCGTCCTAGTGTTCGAGGGCGCCTGATGAGGACCCGTCAGTAGGGAGTGGACACTCAACGCCGTACGTCCAGATGGATCCGTGGCGTGTAAAATGGCAGGGTCTGCAGAGTGCAGAGGAGGGTGGTGGCGATCAGAGACCTACAGCGCGTTAAGGTGGTGAGATACGGGATATGAAAGAAGATGGTTTACGAGTAAGCTGAGATCCGACTGTGGAGACGGTGAGCGAGATAAATCATGGTGGGTTAACGGTGGAGCGAGGTGGACATGACTGTCGGTGATGGTGGCAGGAGGCATCTGGAGGTGAACAGGCGGCGAGTCGAGCGAGGATATAGTTCGCATGGCAGACTGAAGAGCCTACGGCCAGAAGCTGTGGGAATCGTGTGTGTGGGAGTGGGAAGAAACCCAGATTTTACCCACGCATGTCGATTATATAGGTCCCGTGACGACCCCGTGAACTTTCCTCGAGAACCGCTTTCGGGGTCCCCACTAGACCGAGGTATCTCAACTTCGTCAAAAAACAGCGCTGGATCGCTCGCGAGAATACATCCCTGATCCTATCGGTTATCGACATCAAGCAAGTCGAACACCCTGCACATGCCACGATGTACTAGACCTTCGCCCAATTCCAAGTCGTCTGCGTCCTCGCCTTTCTCAGAGAAGAGCCTATTCAGCGTGGTGGCTTCGTCGCCTGCACCTGGAGAATGTGGTCGACTGTAGCTCCGACGAAGCGCGCTCAAAACGTTGTACAACGCCTCATCGTCATCTGGTGAGTCCTCTTCAGGGTATGGCGACAGCAACCGGTCGTCCGAGGTCGGTCCATCGTCCTCAGGCAGCATGGGCTTGCTATCTTCGAAAGGCAGAGGGATTGTAAGAATTGTATCGAGCTGCACCTGCTAAGTGAACGTACCTAGTGCCAAAACGACTATTTGATCTTCGTGGCTGGTAATTTCCCTGGTCCTGTCCTCTTCTTCTGCACGCGGAGGCGGAAGGTCTTCCTCGTCCTCTTCCGATATAGGAGAAGACAGCCTCGATCCTGACAGCACACTACCGCGGCCAGAAGTCTCGTACTGCAACCACAACCACTCGTCCCCCTTTGTGCTATCTGGAAGATTTGCTTGTGGGAAAAAGTCCGTCAAACTGAAGGGATCTTCCTCCCTGTAAACACGCCGTGAATGAGTACACGTCGGATGTACATGGACCGTGACTGGTAGGACCACTGCACTACGATGTCGTGGTATATTCGTGTGGCAGGGGTGGCTGGACGCTGCCGCCGCATATTGGAGGTGAGGAGCAGATTTTGAGCGAGAGATAGACATCGTGGTCGAGCCCTTCTTATATATACGAATATTAATGAGTATTGGGAGCCGTTAGTTGAGACGTTCACGTTGGGGAGATGAGGGATCCTGCGCTGTCTATATGCGTAACGCACGGGGGACTAGCTTCGATCGGGCCCACGCCCAGTCCACGGACGTCACCTGTGAGCTCGGCGGATATCGAGGCCAAGACAGGAAGTATGAGCTATGTATCATGCCTCGCGCAACATAAAACGCGGTTCATGCATCGGTGTCGATGGAGCAATTGTGGCAAGATGATCGTACCCGCGGGGCGGGAGGGTCAGGAAAACCCCGAACTAGGGTTAGCCAGACTAACTCTTAGATATATCACAGGTGCCTACGTACGTGCAGTACCACGATTGAATCGATGGGAACGATGATGTGTGTAGAGTACCAGTCCGAGTGTAAGTGTCCATGGTCATCCAATGCAGAATGCGGTAACAACATGTGAGTGTCAATGTGCAGAAAATCTGTCCACAATCCTAATAAAGTCCAGTCTCTTCTTGATAATACAACGAACCGTCGTCTGCGTCTCGTGCAGATCAAAGATCGCTACAGGCGCAACCGTTCAGTTGGGGGGATCCCGGGCTACCGAAATGCAGCGGTGATCCATGGCATCGGTAGGTCGTTCTTGGAAATCAGGGAACGGCACCCCAGACTTGTGCTTCGACGCCTTATCGTCGACGGAACGCAGGCCCATCTCTAGATCTTGCTGATGTTTCTGCCAATCTTCGACTTTCATCATCGACATTCGCTTGGAAGACGCAGGTGCAGGTACGCTGGCGAGGACGTCTACGCTGAGAGAGCGAGAATGACTAGGCACTCTGTTCGAATCGGCCAATGTCACCGACTGGCGGCCGGAGACTTCGAGCTCTGCGGCCTTGGTGCGCTTCCCTACTTCCTTGTTGAGTGCAGCAGCCTTCTCCGCACGTCGCTTGGCCACCTGCTGCTTCTCCATCGCCATCGCCTTCTCCCATCGGCCCTTAGCATCCCGGATATCCGCCTGTTCCTTCTCAGCTCGTGTAAGGGGTTCCTGCAGCTCTCTCATCTTCTCGCGATGGCGCTCGGCCAGCTCCTCAAACGTTCGTGTACGAATCCTCTCAGGACTGTCTGGTCTTGCGGCTGCGACAGGCTTCTGCGGAGGAAGGATAGTGACGGGAATGTGGCCCTGGGAGCTTGCCTTCTTGTGCTGAGTATGCGCTCTCAGGACTAAGGGAACGTCTTCCAAGGAGTCGTCCTTGCGCGACGATGACTGCTCTCTCGGTATACCAAGCAATCCCTCAGGCGTCGGGCGATCCAAAGGGTTATGGGAAACAATGCTCTCGAGTCGCTGACGTTCTATCAAGGCTTCCGCCACAGCCGGAGAGACGGGTATTCTTGGAATTGGGCAGATTGGAGTGGTAGCGATGGGAGCCGTGATGCCGGACGGTGGTTGCAGCAGCTTCCGGTCACGGATGTAGGAATTCCAATGCTCATCCTGCAACGGAACGCTAGTGGGCCTGTCGACGGGGGAGCTATGATCTAGCGAATGAAACAACGACGATAATTCCATGGATTGCACCCGGCCGCGGGGATCAGCTTGTCGAGGAGGTCGGAGGTGCGACGGAGGTGGTGCACCAAGGTAGTCGAGGCTAAGCGTATGCTTGGACGTCAATGAAAGCTGACGAGAATCGGAAGAGCTAGATGGCGCAGGTGTGTCGGCCTTCAAGACATCAATGGATTTGCGTATTGTTTGGATCTCAGCCAACAGTTCTTCCTTGCGCTTCAGTTCATCCAGCTGAGCCGCGGTGCTCTCCCTCGTGTCCTTCACATTTTTGGAGCCCTTCGGTTCGTCGAAGATGGATATGTAGTCCTGGGGAACATCGCTCTCAATATCGTTACCAAGATCCAGCACCGGTAAAGCTCCTGGGCTTTGTAGGGCTTTATTAGCCGAGCGGTTCAGTTCCTCACTAGGAGTAGGAGCAGCGAGGAATTCTGAAACTCCAGACTGATAGCGCTGCCGCGGGCTACCGACCAATGTGAATCCGGAAGACCGACGTTCGTCGGGGGTGTGAGTCGCTGAGTCCTTTTCATTTATCAGCGGAGAACCGGATAACCCGCTGTCCATGCGACCGTGTTTGCCGAGTGTAGGATGCTCCCGCTCCCATGCTTCCTTCTCGCGCTCCACGTCGACAAACGTCTGAGCGGCCCGATCCTCTGCCTCTTCGTTCCGCCGTCGCTGTTCCACCTGAATTTCTTTGAGCTTCCGCCGTAATACTTTGAAGACCTGGAACTGAACGGCCATCCCCATCAGAGAGACCGCGCCCATAAGGCCAAGCTCAATCTCCATCGTCTGCGATACGGGGAACTTGATGCCGTTACTCGTGAATTTCGTGAATATGGATCGAAAGCCCAGGTTCCACAAATAGAACTAGCGCCACCGTTGGTCTCGGTAGAAGTCAGGAACAAGTAGGGGGCTCACCTCCTTAAGTCCTGCAGTGGTATAGCAGTCGACTCCTAGCATGAAGGCCGATGCGCCAACAAACGCAGTGGAAACCAGTAAGACATGATAGTGGATTTTAGGGATCGTGCAGAGAATGAAACCAATCGCGCTGAGAGCTGTTAAACGTTAGTTTAGTTGTGTAGAGCAGCACGAGGCCTGCACACGCACCAATATACATAATCCACCTGTAGCCGATGGTCCAGATCAAACCACCGTTTCTGAAACATTGAATCCACAAGGCAAGTGCGAAGCCACCCCATGCGCCGACGAAGTAATTGGTGACCTTCCAGAAGAATATAGCAAAACCCCCTCCAGCAATCCCGGCGATCCCGCAGGAAAGGACGAATAGACCTCGGAGAGTTTCGGATGGAGGGTTGATTTCCTCCATGACACCGAAACGGAGGATGAGCACAAGACATACGAGCGCGAAGGTGTAGAAGCCGATGATGAAGTAGGATGACCAGCGATTCTTGTGTCCGAGGAAGGCGCTTGGAAGGCCAGTCAATATGAGGAGTGCGCCAAGGACGCCAAAGCCGGGATCGATCTTGGTGTCGAGAACGATGGGTGTCGCTGAGGGGGTACTTGAGGAACTACTAGTCGTGTTGGTGGGAGTGGATGAGGTCGCGTTCGGGGTGACTGTGACATTGTAAACGGTGGGGATTACAGTGGTCAACGGGATGCTGAGTGAGCCAGATTGAAGGGTGGTAGTGATAGTAACGGAGCTGGTGGTCAACGAAAGGGATGGCGTCGACGAGGATGGCGCAGACGAAGATGCCTGGGAAGAGGGGGAAGAGGAGTTCTGTGCAGACACCACGGCGAGGAGACTAAATGCGACCCAAAGAGCGGCCCATAGGAGGGCGGGTGTGCGCCTACCGTTTGTGACCGACATGATGGGGGGGAGGAGAGGAGCCGCGGCTATTGGAGGGTATGATATGGGGAGAACATACCGACTGGCGTTTGGGCTGGCCGCTGGCCAGCCGCTGTCATAGTGAGTACTGGAGTCGAACACGTGCCGTATTGCTATCGTGGTCTCCTCGCCGCGCGTTTCTCGGTCCGACTTTACTCCCAGCGTTATCAGTAGCCACACTAGTCAATATTGTGACTCTGTGAGGAAACCACCACCGATGTGAGAAAAAAAGAGACAACTCTATATATAATCAATCAAAATGCGAGTATTTCGTTGCCTTGATACCTATCCGTTTGAACACCCTGCGAATTCTCTCTGGCTGATCCTTCCACTTCCTTTCCTTCCTGTCCCAGTACCGCGCCTCCACAACATTGATCACCTTCCCGCTACGTCCGAACCGGCCCACCCGTCCTGCTGCATGTAGGTACAAATCCGCGTACGATTCCACAGAAATATCTTCTGGTGCACCCAAGATGAAGACATGGCTTAAAGTAGGCAGGTCCAATCCGCGCGTCGACGCGAAGGTGCATACAAGCAAGGTAGGGTTTTCTGCGGCGCCAGCCGCACTTCCGTCCATCAAGTAAGCACCTCCGGTTTCGCTGCCAGCGACGTCCAATCCACGCGCGTCCACGCCGAACCTCCGCAATTCGTTCACGACCCTCTTGAGTGGTGCTGAAGAAGGTAACACCAGAAGAGCGACACGAGGTACGTCCAGTGCAAATGCTTCAGCAATTGCTTCCAGTAAGTTATGGTTGAATGGAAGAGGCATATCTTCAAATTCTGTCATTCGATCAGATGACGACACACTTTGCAGCGCCGAAAAACATACCATTAATGGGCTCTATCTCCAAGGATTCTGACATGATTAAACCACTATCCGGCGGCGAATGTGATGCTGTGGAACCATCGATGTCAATGTCAGACCGTGGATTCACTTCCAAGTTTGGTGCCTCCGCGAGTGCACACGGTTCTTCGGCTCCTTCAATATTGGCTATGTCTCCTTCTGGTGAGACTATCAGAACATAGTGTCGGACAGACTTCCCTCCCAGAGTTTGTGCGGCTTCATGCTTCATCGTTTCGCTCGTTATATCCGGCGAACCCGTCACTCTGACCACTCGGTCTCGTCGGCCTACCAGCCACGCAGCGGCAGTTTCCAGGAAAGCCGAGTGTGCTCTGAATGTCGCACTCGACATAACTAATTGCGGGCGGTTCATGCCGTAAGTCATGATTTGTTTACTTTCCTCTATCGGCGGTTGCCACCCATGTTTTGGTCCGGTCTCTTTGGGCCGCTCGTAGATTTGATCCAGAATTTGTCGCGTTGGACCCGGGTGTTTTTGTATTCGTCTATGAATTTTCAGAGCCTTGTACTTGTCTTCATGCAGTGGCGGACTCTCCACCAGGTAATCAATTTCGTCCACCACAACCGTCGATAGAGTGGGTAACTTCAGAGCTGACGAGTCTTCCTGTAACACATCAACCAGCGCGTTGGGTGTACCGATGAGTATATGCGGAGGCAATTGACGAAGTCTGGATATCTGGTCACCCAAACTGATGGCAGAGTTCCGCACGAGCACCTGGACAAGGAATGCAAGGTCCTTCTCAGGCAAATGCGCGTGAATCCGTTCCATCCAGTCCAGAAGTTGGTACGCCAAGTCTCGGTGAGGAACAACGACCAGCGATGTAATGGGAAAACCATGGTTGTCCCTCGGAGCTTTCCTTCGTTGGCTCAAGAGTGCTAACAGCATCCCAAACGACCTAAGGTTGCGACAACATTAGACAGCTGTGGAACTTTCCAAATCCTGGGTTGCTCACTTGCCCGTTCCTGTGTGATCCTTCAAGAACACATCGTTGCCCTTTAAGATAGCAGGAATAAGTTCCCTCTGTGTCTGGGTAGGATGTGTCACAGAAGGAAATGCTTTCCGTAACGCGATGGATATGTGCCTAGGGACACCGATTTGTTCGAAGGTTTCATTGGGGTGAGCCTCCGGTGATTCATAACGAACAAGAAGAGCGGAGGCGTCCTGACGTGGCGGTCGAACGTTGTACGCGTGACGGCTCTTTGATGCACGGGAGTGCGTCGAACTGCAAAAGGACCGATAGCTGGTTAACCGTACGCCCGTCGGGGCCGTCGAGGTCGTCGATAACATTGCTATCATCACGTGTCGCACGCGGTCATCTATCGGAAGTTTTGCAGATCCGAATCTCACGAGCATTCTATCGAGATTGATTAGTACTGTGTTGGACACTTTTTAGCTTTTAGTAGTATACTACACAATTCGCGTCGTGCATGTACTTATTACAGTAACAACGCGGCGTTCCTGACTGGGACCCAAGCCAGTAATATACCTACCTACCTAGCCATGACGCGTGACGAATTATCCAAATTTTTTGGCTTCAGATTTGTACTTGTACGGAAGATCGAAGCTGGAGAAGCTTATTATATTCTCCTCAGTATGTTGACTTGGATCCTCAAGTGTAATGAAAGATGTAGCCACCAAAAGTGGCTGCAAAACAATCCACCAGTCCAAATTCAAAATCTATAACTCCGTTGTCACGCCCGAATCACGTCCAGCTTGCGAGTTGCAGACCATGTACTATTCCCCATGGAATATCACATTCAAATTGCATGTCCAAGATGTTAGGGACAATTGTAGTTTACTACGTATTTTTGGTGAATTGGGGCGAAGCAGAATTCGCAGGAGATAGCGATCATGCACTATTGGGTCACTTCCCACCTGGTAGTACCAACTAACCGAACCACAACATTAGTTAAAGTTGATCACCTAGAAAGGTGGTCTGCTCACGGTCGAAGACGGGGAATCCCGGATCTCAAGGGACAGTCATGGCGTATCCGAAGAACCACCAACCTCTGTGGCCTCCGGCGTTGCACTCCTTAACACGGGGAGCCATTCTTTGGGGAAATCTCTGATTGACGGACGCTTTCCCCCGCGGCCATAGACATGGTCTCCCTTCTTGGCTTTCCGCACCTTCGACTCGATGTGTCGGGTATCCAGCGGCACATCTGCAAACTTATCCTCACCGTTCTGTTGCGGAAAGGGTGCTCAGGGAGAATTCACCAATCTGCATATCTAGTTACGCACATTTGCTTCTGCTAGCATTCGATCCAGAGCGTCGCTGGCCCATTTGAGGTTCATAGCAGCCTTCGGGAAGTCTTCGCAAGAGATCTTGAAGTATCCATGCTCTTCATCACCCTCGTTCAGTCCAATTCCGGAATCTCGTGGAGGTTCTGGTGACCATCTGGGACCAGCGAGGACTTTGAATTTATGTATTGCAGACGCGTCCCTCAACGGGAGATGTGAAATCGGTACAACTATGGTGCGCTTCTGCACTGCCGGATGCTCCTCTCCTCCAAACGAGATTGAACGAACGATCAGAGGTGTTGACGAACTTGGAGGCACGAACAGTTGGCGGTAAGCTAAGGATAAATACGATATGCACCGGTGTGTGACACGATCGTGCGGAAACACATACCGACGAGTCTGGGTATTTCGTGTTCAATAAGGCGCATGTAGTACAGATCCTGGCGCTCCTGCTGCAGCCTGAGGTGTCCGGCGACGCTGGAGTCTATACCCTCTGCGCTTTCTTCGAGGACTTCTTCGCCAATCTCAATGCCACCTGAACGCTTCCAGACAGACGCTTTGTTTTGCCTCCTCCGAGCGTGCACAGCAGAAGAGCAGTGGAAGTAACGCGCACGCAGAGGAGGCAAAGGGAGTCTACATGTTGCTGAGAGCGCCATGGATGGGTGACCGGGCATGAAACGCGAATCGGCAAAATTTCCAAACTGAGCATGAACGCCTCCGGTAAACTCCAGATCTCGATCAAGTCGGACTTGCTCTCCTCAGTACGATGGTTGTAAGGCTTCAACACCACTTTCTCTGCCAATCCTTCGCTCACTCCCCACAAGCATCTCACTCTCTCCATCAAGGCCGATCTCGAGAATGTCACAGACCTTGTTCCTGCCTCAGACGCCTTTGAGTATTTTTTTCAGGTATGTACGCGTGCAGCTCCAGATCTGCTCATCTCAGCCACACCGTGTTCATTCCCTAGGTGAAATGCACAAGCTGCAACGAAGTTCATCCCAAATTCGTTTCTGTCAATCGCCAGGTAAGTTTTGCAACACATCCTTTCCTAGTTTGGCTAGAACCTCCGTTTCAGGAAGAACGTGAACTTTCTTCTGGGAAAAGAAATAAGGCACACTTCGTCTGGAGATGTGGCCTGTGCAAGCGCGAGTCTTCTGCTAAGTTTGAGCCGGGCGCTGTCCCGCAATCGTATTCGGCGGACGTCAACGGTCAGTTTGCACCACTCATTACTTTAGATTGCCGCGGGTTGGAGTTCGTCGGATTTGACCCCAGGGTAAGTAATTACACAAAATGGTTCTGAGTAATATTATCAATCGCATCATTTAGGGTATTTGGAAATGCGTCGGTATTGAGTCGGGCACCGTGTTCAATGAAGTTGATCTGGATGAAGGAGAGTGGGTCGACTACGATGAGAGGGTCAGTCATACTTGCACACGATAACCTTGATCTCATCTGTGCACTTCTCAGGCAGCTCTCCCTGTAGGCGTCTCAAACATCGAGAGCACATGGAACAGAGCCTGACCAGACATGTGCTGGACGCTACTCTCCCACGACACGACGCAATGTACGATCGAGCAGTATCAAAGTGTACAATATATCATTGGATGCCATCTTCTCCTGTTCATACCGGCAGCAGCTCAAATTCGATGCAGTGAAATGTGCATCTCGGCGCTGCGATATACCAAGCCGTACAAACCTTGCAAACTACGTATACGAGAATGTCTAATGTTCAGAAGTACATGTCATGTCCCACTAGAATTGGCTCAGTCTATTCTGTCAGCTTGCGAACGACAGCCGGCTCATTTGTTGGCATCATGTCTTCCTCAATCCTGCCTGGCGCAATCTTTTTGGGGCCCTCTAGTATCTCCTTCTATCCTTGCAAATATTACACGCTGACTTTTCGGAGATAGTGTTCCGTCCTTCCAGTGTATTGTACGTCCCGCTTGCTCCTTTCCCTTCTTGAACACAGTTGACTGTTTCTTCTGAAACTTCTCGAGATGTTCAATTCTGAAGAAGCCAGTATTGAACCCATCCGTGCTGCGGTGATAAGGAGGGGACTACCATCTACCTCCACAGAGCAATTTCGGCTTTACTGACTTCTACACTCTGCATATCCACCCAACCTACCACTATAAGGAGACTGCCAAGAAAACCGTCGTACTCGACCTTACACAACTCAGGATAGTAATCCCCGTAGAGCAACATACACCGATGAAAGGACAGTCTATTCTCCAAGCATTTATCTAGCGGCAGGAAGAAGGGGAATCCAAGCATCTCGCCGGCCAAAATTCACTCATAAGAAATCGCCTGACTTGAGCCACTCAAAGCACTGCGCGGCTACCTCTGCTCCGTGGTCTGCGCAGTGATAACGTCAACCATCACCGTCTATTGCCGGAGGTGTGTGAAAGGTCAACTCACTGATGCAAAACGCGTGAGGAATATCTCTGCGTCCGTGAACCACCTTTACCGATCCCGGATCCGCATCGAAGGTACGCAATATAAGCTCTCGTTGGTCCGGACCAACCCAGCCATCCTGCTCGGCGAAGAAGAGGTGCAGGCGGTGTCTAAACTCTTGCATAAGGGGAGCATCGAGCTCTCGAACAAGCTGTATTTCATCATGTGCCATAGTGAGACATGAATATATCGAGGATGGAGAGTGCGTTAGTGCGCGGAGGACCCGAACTCGCGCAAGCGGCCAGTCCTTGTTCAGCAACCATAGAATTCGGAGGGGCATAAGCCATAGCAGGATACTTATGCACGAGATGATGTATGGCAACGGTGGACGAAATAGCGGCTTCGAAAATCCGAATTAGTCTAAGAGCCTGTAATGAAGGAAATGCCCGTGTTCACAGAGAGTACGCGACCGTTCGGCGTGTTTGCGATGTGTGCGATGGTGGGAAATAAGAGCAACACGGACGACACGGTGTCAGGTCTAGCTTTGAGGACCTGGATGTCCAAATCATTAGTGGCACACACAGAAACACTCTCAACCAAGACGGACTTGCAAAGCAATCCATGACCCTATGCTGTGACCAGCAACGACGACCTGCGTTGTCTCTCCAAATGTACGTTCCACAGCATCCACAGCCTCGATAGCGCTTACAACTTGAGCAGTCAAGCCGAACTTTGGCGGATCATGGAGGATTGTGAACCCCGGCGTGTGTCCGATATGAGCATGAGCAAGGATTGGTATCTTACCCTCCGACGCGTCATGGATGGCCGTCAAGAAGGGAGTGTAGAAATCCACCAGGCCAGGATTACCTGAATGTTTGGAATTCGTGTGAGTGTGACAGAACATTGCTTCTGCACCACCACAAACCTGGTATGAAGACGAGCACTGTACGCGGGTGCTCAACGCGTGACGGCCACCACAGAGCGTGTACAGATGCTTTGAATCTGTCATGGTAGAAACTCGCGTTTATGTACGAATTTGGGTGTGCACACTGCGCCGGGGATCTCAAGAACGGAGGCAGTGTCGCCATGAAGATTGAGACATCTCTGCAGCGTTTGAGAGGAAGTCATGGAGGCTCGTTATGGCAACTGCACTGCGGCCAACTGCGAGCGCTTCGCGAACTGGAGTGTCTTCACGACTGACTGCTCGATGTCTCGCACGCCTGGCTTCTCCGCAGAGCCTAAATCTCGCCGCCCTCCCTCGCGCATACACGAAAACAATATTAATGGCGCTTCCGGCTCTGCGTCGGCCATCAGGCCTCTCCAGCTCAACCGCACCCCATCCCGCCCAACCACCCCGAGCCGCGATTCCCCTCTCTCTACTTCGCCCAGACGTCCATTGAGGTCCGGTCTCAGGGATCGTGGGGATCGTCAGGTGTCCGAATACTCTGCGTCCGACCGCGCCTCGTTGGAGTCGCGCGGAACACGCGAGTCCAGGAACCCGTACGACGTAGAGACTGTACGCGAAGAGCCTTACTTGCCCCCTAGGCCCCGCAATAACGGCGCAATCTCGCTCGTCCCACCCAACTCGGCGAATGGGCAATATAGATACGGTGGGGCCCCTGCTATGTCTCCGATCTCACCTATGTCGGATACTTCGGAGCTGTCTCCTACGTCTCTCGCCGCCGTGGCTGCATTTCAGAGCTTCGGTCGGAGGAGAAAAATGTCAGAAGATGACGTGGTGGAGGAAGAGTACGCAAAGCAGAGAAGACAAGAGATGGAAGATCAGAAAGCCCGCCAGCGAAAGCTGAGAGCTAAAACGCCGGGGTTGAAGGCCAGCGGCAAGGCAAGAGCAGGAGATATCGACGGTACGTAATGCTCAGTGCTGCGGTGCATGCAACGCGTCCTGCTGTGCATGGAGTTATATCTCGACGGAACGTATGATTGAGACCTCCTTTGCGTCTATAGCTGTGCTCGATGATATTAAGGACGAGTGGGGCATCCTCATCGACCAGGATGTAAGTCATTTATCTTCGTTTGAGTTTACGAAGCTCAGTGTCCGAAGTTCAACCCCGTGGACCTTGCTCTGCAACTTCTGGACGAATCTTCCCTAGGAAGAGATGTGGACTCTTTCCTGCGGACAAAAAATATGCTGTCTAAAGCATTGAAGGGATCGGTCGATAGTGCGTTGCATTGTCGCAGTCTCAATGTTCGTGCCAATTCATGCATTTTGTCCACCCTTCCCGCGTCTGCATTTAGAGCATTATGAGGCGTTTGCTGGTGCTCTCCCGCATCACACAGCTTTGGTCAACCATCTCGATGTCACGCAAACGCAAATCGCAGAAGCTCGAACCGCTTTGCTAGAAGCAAAGGATACGCTCGGGAAGAAACGTGCTGACCTCGTACAGCTGTGGTCAAGGAGCCAGACAGTGGAAGAAATGATGCGAATACTCGATCAGATGTGTGTCAAGAAAACTCGCTGCACGTACTACGTGATGGTGAACTGATGGTCGTGTCTCCAGTGAACATTTGAGATCGGTTCCTGACCTCCTGGAAAGTCTGATATCCGAGAAGCGCCTACTGCAGGCAGCGGTCCTCCTTGTGCGGAGTATGAAGCTGATCAACAAGCAGGATATGCTTGAAATCGGTGCCGTCTCTGATCTGCGAAATTACCTGAACACTCAGGAAGTGGTGCGTAAGCATCGGCACTCATTGGCAGCAACACTTATTATGTCTCGCTGCAGGCGCTAAGAGAGATTCTAATTGATGAACTGCATAGCCACTTGTATCTCAAGTCCTTCTGGTGCGAGTCTCGATGGGCAGTCTATACCCCTGCTCAACAGACGTGTGAGTCGAACTTTAAGTCAAGAGTGCCTTACATTTACGTATCCCTAGTCGCAAAGATTGAATTCGAAGAAGAGGGCTTCGTGTCGGAAGTCAAACAGCCTCCCTCATTGACATCATCACCGATCTCGCCAACGTCATCGCGCTCCTCTCGGCTGCGTCGTTTTCTTGATGACCTTGCACTGCGACCCAATGACCCTCCATTTGATGTGGATGAGCAGAGTTTCCACAACAGCACATCCGGGATGGGAATGTCGGCGTCCGCAAGCACGTCAGCATTGGGACTGTCTACTGGTCCGTCATTGACTTCTTTGCCTACCGCTGGGCTTCCTACTGGAATTGCGACCACCTTCGGATCTGTTATGACACAGCCGCCACCTTCTAGAAATCCGGAGGCTGACTCATTTGGGTATATCGAGACACTCCTCGAGTCGCTAGCTGTGCTTGGCAAGCTAGGCAATAGTCTCGATGTTGTGGCGCAGAAATTACCGGGGGAAATATATGCTCTGGTGGATATCACCATAGCCGAAGTCGAAGACCGCGCAGAGGTCGGACGGAGAGGCTCTATGTTAGTTGCTGCGTCAGGGCCGTCAAGATTGGACAACATGTTGCTGCTCACTGCTCCTGGGACGTCAACGGGTAGTATGGGTCTTGGCTCTGGTATTGCTGGTGTCTCGGTCGTACCTGCCGCGGCGCATTCACTGACACATGGGCGAAACGTACATTTAAACGCTACGAGCTTACGACTGACAGCACTGGAGTCGTCTACGAAGTTTGGTGACCAGGAGACTCTGCGAGACTTCCTCTGGACATTATACTCCAAGCTTGATGCTGTTGCACAGGGCTTACGAATCGTGTATGAAGTAGCGAACCGGATAGGCTCAGTGAGTGAGCCTACTCGTGCTATGTGCCTTGCTGACGTGAGTCATGCCTCTCGCTGCTGACTCTGCAGAGACGAGATTTCAGGGATTCTTCCGGTGCCAAACCTGGCTCCCTTTTCCCTCTCGCAGAAGTCTGGATGCCAGTACAGGCCGAGGTATGGTTCCATGTGATTCAAGAATAACCTTGTATGCTGACCTTTCCGCAGGTTCGAACTCTTCTTACCGACTACGTGACAGACGAAGAGCAAAGTGCGGTGTCCGGACGGAATCCAATTTCATCGATCAACGAAGTCCTCCGCGAGGGTAAATTCAGCCGAGACAGGTCGAAGGTTAGTATTTTGTACCCTGATTATTCAATGTTGATCCACATTTGTCATTACAGCCTGTCTTCCGTTTCGCCGACACGGATCCGAAGTTTGCGGCGAATGTCCTGCGAGTGCACGAAGATGATCTGACCCGTGTGCTGAAAGACACCGTGCCGGGCCTCGTGCAAGGATTGTCGGAGAATGCTGTCCAAGCTACACTCTCGGCGGTGGGAACGGATGACCGACTGCTGGGTACCGGTCAGCACCACAGATTGCTTGTTCACCCAGATGCTTTCCATGTCACCCTTCTCTTCCAGCCTACGCTGGCATTTTTGGACCGGATAGCGGATATCCTGCCTGCTGGCCTGGAGGCTGCCCGGTCGTCGAGTGTATTGCTTGATGATTTTGTACTGAAAGTATATCTACCTCAGCTGGAGGATAAGGTTTCCTTGCTGTTCCACCAAACAGTGACTGGTAGGCTTTTTACCAATTTGCCTCTGTAGCAGAATTATATGTGCCATGTAGATCTAGATGCCTTCGAGTCGGATTCTGCATCCACCCGATTCTCACCACAACCCCTTACTAAAGTGAGCCCCACTGTATACTCTCCTGACTTACGCCTTATGCATACGTTGTATCCAGGCCAGCGTGCAGTTAATGGCACTGATCAACTCATTGTGCGCCATGCTCCGAACGACTCCCTTCCACCGAGAGAACTACTCTCGACTCATCCTCACTGTCATCGGCCAATTCTACCAGCGCTGCAGCGACCGCTTCAGCGACCTGATGGTGGTCCGGGACGACAGTACATCTGGTAACGGCCTGCGCGTGGCACTGGCAGCGCAGTGGGCGCAGAGAGCGGAGCTCGGTCCATGTCTGTCAGAGCTGTATAAACACGTGCAGACTGACCATGACACTATGAAGAAGTACCAGCTCTGTCGGCAGGAGACGCATCTTCAACAGAATATCCTCGGAGAACAGTCGGTAGGCAACGAGGATCTGATTCCGTCGGTGCGAAATCTCTCCGCGCTTGCCAGTCTTTATCGGAGTGTTGTAAGCCTGGCCGTCCCGACCTGAAGACCCATCGCGCTGACCTTTTGACCAGACGTGGTTCACGGCCGAGTTGAACACCATGAAGTCAGCGCCTGAGCACGCGCTGTCGCCGACAACTCCATTGAACTTGAACCCCGCGAGCGCGATCACGCCTTACACGCCATACTTACCGGCCATTGCGCCCGTGCAACCGAACGAACCGTTGAGCCTTCCCCTCTCGTCGGCAATGGCTCTGTCAGTCTTCGTGTAATTTTATCCTTCCCATGCTGACTCTAGGTAATTTTGGGATGATGCAGCCGCTTCCAAGCACTGAGCATGACATACGCCCAGCTCGCTGAACTTATTCTGTACAGCATCCGGATCGATATCCGCTGTCGCGCCATGCATCATCTTGAGCTCGCGCTCCGCCGTGTGAGTATGATTCATCCTAGACAAATTTAAGCTGTCTTAAATTATGACGTGGCCGTAGGGAATATACCGTGCAGAGCGCGAAGTTTCAGAGCCCGATCCCTACATTATCGACCTGAATGCAGAGCTGAGCAAGTGTGACGACTGTATTTCGTCGACACTTCCCGAGACAGAGCGACGGTAAGCATTCACAGGAGCTTACAAAGGAAGCGTGTATGCTCAGCGCCACTACAGATTTGTCTTCGAAGGCTTAGGTCAACTATTGGAGCACCTCCTCATCTCGAATGCCCGCTATATTCGTTCCGCGAATGCCTTTGGCATCAAGAAGATGATGCGGAATATCCTGGCTTTGCAACAGAACATTAAGACGATCACCGAGGATAGCTATGATGGGGAATTCGAGCGGGCTAAACGTTACTACTCTCTATTCATGCTCTCGCCTCAGGTGAGAAGTCCAACTTTTTACACATCGATCTGTGCCTGACATCTATTTTTTCTGCAGGACATGCTGGATAGCGTTCGTCAGAAGCAAGAGTACAGTTTTGATGAATACAAGACGATGCTGGATCTGCAATGCGGTGTCGATCCCACCGAGCCTGACGGTGTAGCCCAAGCGACAGACCGTAACTACAACATGTATGTAATCGATCTGCACGGACTTGAGTTGGAAAATTCTGCGGACAGCGCATGACATACCGTACGGCAGAGCTGGGGGGGCTCATCACACTGTGTAGCTATTTATTGACTTTATTTTTCGGAGGAATGGTACGCTCAGGAGGAACACTCGTGCTGGTGTCTGAGTTATTTTGGCTTGAGGCAGCCCTGGCTCGTGCCTCTTCTCGTCTCTTCCTGCTTGCCTCCTTCCGCCTGTGCTGATCGTCTTGTGCCGCATGCAACCATGCCAGGTCTGTGGAGTCCGCGTCAGGTAAGACCGTAAGCGACCATTTCTGGTTGTAGTTGCGTGAATTCGGTGCCAACGATACCTCATACTTTCCGGCGTTTGATGTCGAATCGCCCGGCATGGCTCTGCGGTATGTCATAACAGGCAGCCGACCCAAGAGAAACTGGAATCGCCTCCGTAAAAACCTGTGCGGCAGGTGCGACCTGAAGTCTGGCTGTGATGCGTGACTGTCTGGATATGGCTTCCCATGCGCACTCCGCCGACGAGGACGCGAGGCCGCTAGAGCTTGCACTTCCTCGAACACACCTGAGCCCTGCAGGCCGACGGGGCGGATGCCGGCGCGCAACACAGAACTGCTGTCGGTCTTGTGCACGACGTCGCCAGACTCCGTCCGCTCCTCAAGAACGACTTGCAGCGGAGGATGCACCCTCTTGTGCTGCTCGGTGAAGAACTTCCAACGGATGTTCACTTCCCTGCGTTTGCTCAGTGGGCCCATGAACTTGGCGTCGTTCGTACTCGGGTCAGCGCGCGGAGGCAGGGTGTGCGGGTGTTGCAGCGCCTTCAGCGTCAGAGCCTTGGTCGTGCGCGAGTAGGCGGTTGTGAGAAGCGTAGTCAGCTCCTTTGAATAGGCGGGTGGGCGAGATCGCTCTACGTTGTGGATCATGCGCGCCGGAAGGGGGGCCTTTGGGTCGGTGAGCAGAGGCTGCAGAGCGTGGGTCAGTAGCACTTTCTCGTGGTGTGACAAACGAAGCGTACTTGCAGGATTTCCGCCCTGAGCTTTCCTTTCCTTCCATAGGCTAAATCCAAGACGTGATCAAATTCGCGCCTGCGGCCTAAGTTCGCTGCTTGTAGCTTGCGTTGGATCTGTGGCGAATGAATGAGTGCACACGATGGAAGCTTGGGAAGGTCATCATCACCTGCCGCATTCGTTTTACCCGACCTTTCTGCAAGCGAGCATCCTTGGAGTCGAGTGCTGCTCGGACATCGTCACTGAGCTTGAGGCGGAAGAACTGGCTGGGAGCGGCCGTCAGGAAGATGAGAATGCATGTGATGAGGGACTCGCCGAAGATATTCAGTCGGAAGCAAGCGAACTTCGCGGATGAGAGACCTGTAGAGGGCGTAGATGGGCCTAGTGGCGTTCGACATGCAATATTGGCGGTAAGTACTAGTAGCAGAGGATTGGCAGAGGATGTTTCAATACTGCAGTGGCTTGTGTAAACGAGGCATAGATCTCCGAAGATGCTCCGAACGCATGTGATCGCGTTCAACTCATCATGATTTCGACCACACCGTCGTGACGAGCTCACCCGCTAGTACTTCCAGTAACTACCTCTACCAACTTGATCGTCGAGGACTTTGACCATCAAAGACTTTGATCCTCTATGACTTGATTAATTCTCGCCAATCGGTAAACGAACTACTAGTTAGCGGTGGCCAGACGTGAACCTGCAAGATGACGAACCGCTGGCAGTGCGGACGTACTATTCTCGCAAGTTCATTTCAACCGTACCAGGTAGAGATTCTCCCATACTGCCATGTGTCGACTGCTCCTTTCTCTGCTTGTGACTAAAACAGCGGTACGCGTTGCTGCACACATGAGCATCGAATCCCCGCAAATTGTCCGGTTTCTCCAATCTTCCCTTGATTATGCTACGTCGAAGATCGTTGCTACCAAAATGACTCTCCTGATGGCCTGGTACTATAAAGGGCGTTATATGCATCTTACATCCTCCCTACACCCCACTGCAATATGAAGTACGCTACAGCTCTCCTCGCTGCGGCATCCGCAGCTTTGGCTCAGCAGTTCCCTATTCGTCTCGGTGGTGTGAACACCGCCGGTTATGACTTCACAGTGGTGAGTGCTCCTATTTCGCTTCGAGTCCGACCATAATTTATCGATCGACCATCTTGGCATAGACCACCAACGGCAGTTTCTCTGGCACTGGTCAGTGCAGGATCTCTCGCTGCTGTCTTTCCCGCTGAACGGTTTATGTAGGCGCCACTCCCCCTTCATATGAGTATGCTCATTTCTCTTCCGAGGGTGCCAACCTATACCGCATTCGTAAGTCGCCTTCGATTTTTCATCTGCCCGTGTGACTTGAAAACTCGTGCCGGTATTTCAAAGCCTTCGGTACGTTCGATCTTATCATAGCTGAAATTTCAATCTGAGAAGTTTCCAGCATGGCAACTCATGACACCCACTCTCGGTGGTGCCATCAACGAGAGCTTCTTCGAACAGTACGATACCACTGTTCAGTATGCTCTCAATTCCAGTACAGACTCGTACATCATTGTAGATCTGGTTCGTGATTTCAAGTTGCACATTACACGTTTTCTCTTACATTCGATCTATATAGCACAACTATGCCCGCTGGGACGGTGGTATCATCGCACAGGGCGGTCCCACGAATGAGCAATACGCGTCTATTTGGACTCAGCTAGCTGAGAAGTATGGCACCAACGATCGGCTCATCTTGTCAGTACCTCACAGACCGTGCAATTATTTCGCTTCACTCACCACTCTCCCAGTGGTCTCATGAACGAGCCCCACGATCTGGACATTCCCACATGGGTGGACAGCGTGCAATATGTCGTAAGCGCGATCCGTGGGACTGGTGCTACGAACTACCTCCTCCTCCCCGGTTCGAACTACACATCAGCACAGACTTTCCCTACCGGCGCTGGCCCGCTCCTTGCCGAGGTTACGGACCCGCTGTACGGCAACACGGACAAGCTCATCTTTGACGGTAACTTACTTCTGTAAATGAAATGCTATCGCTGGCGCTGAACACCTGAATGTAGTTCACAAGTACCTCGACTACGACAACAGTGGTACCCACGCTGAGTGTGTCACGGTGCGTCAACGGTGACTCTACGACATTTCGATAACGTACTTACCCTGTTACCAGAACAACACGGTAGTCATGGAAGACCTTGTTACCTTCCTTCTTCAGTACGGCGGTCGTCAGGCCATCCTGAGCGAGACTGGCGGTGGCAACACAGCGAGTTGCGAGGAATAGTACGTCTGTCCATTCAAGCGGAAGACACATGAAGCTTGACTCGGTTCTACTTAGCCTGTATGAGGAGCTGGCGTACGTCAAGTCGGCATACCCGAACATGGTCGGCTTCTCCGTCTGGGCCGCCGGCGCGTTCGACACGACCTACATTCTCACCGTCACCCCGAACGCCAACGGCACCGACCAGCCGCTCTGGATCGACGCTGGTAGGTTGTATCTCAGGTGGGTAATTCGTGAGGTGCTGATATCAGGTCACCCGCAGTCAGGCCCAACTTGCCTCCTCCGGTATAAAATTGTAGGCCTGTCTCCGAGCTTAGCCTTCAGCAGAACTTCGCGGACTTGTGTGTATGCGTGTATAAAGTGGTTTAGGGAATATACGTTGCTCACCATTTTCATGTTTCGGATGCGGAGTCTCGTTCGTGAGTGATCGAAGTGAAGTATATTCCCAGCTTCCTGGTGTTGTGATGTTGCCACTGGCAATCACTATGATCATAAGTCATAAGTATTTTGGTTCTCACATTGAAACTGGACGATGTGCCCAGCGTTCGATACCTGTGAGATCATCGACCTCATACATAACACTAGTAGAGGGAAAAGGGGTGCAGATTACACGAACTACGTTACCTGCCTTGTTGGGTTACCTACGGCCTGATGCGGTTCCTCGGAGTACTCCGCAAGTCGATCGAGCGAGAAATCTCTCAGATCCCAGTCTGCCAGTGAGTGCGTATAAGTTATAACGCCCTCTTTCCGCCGCCTGTTTCGAGCTGTAGACTATGGTGAGTAATTTAAAAAAGTATGCTTGTCGTGTATTGATGCACTCTGATTAGCCACCTGTGAAAGGTAGAAACCACAATCCTAGCGGACTAGGGCGCGCTATCATCAACAAGAAGGTCAAGGATGCACACAGAGCACGGGAGACGGGGGAGCTTGTGAGTTCGCGACGCCCTTCATGTTACTGGCATCTCGTTAACACGATGCGGTGGGCAGTATACCACCGATCTCGAACATACGACCCGTCTCCAATCGATCACACAAGAGGGCGACCTCGACGAGTTTCTCAGCACTGCTCAGCTTGCTGGGACACAGTTCACGGCTGGTATATTCAACGATATTTCTCTCAGGGTTTCCTTGTTTACTCATAAGCCGTGTCTCAGAGCGCCGTAACGTCAAAATTATTAATGCCACTGCCGGATCGCAGCACAATCCGTACCTCCTGACGGACGAGGAGGAGAAGAGCACACTGCGGAAGCACCAAGAGAACAAGCTGCGGTTAAGAGTGCCGCGGAGGCCGCCATGGACGAAGAACATGACCACTGCGCAGCTAGACAGGCAGGAGAAGGATGCGTTTCTGGAATGGAGAAGAGGATTGGCAGAGTGCGTTTCTGCATTGTCTCTCAGAGCTACGTTGTTTTTATTCCGTCACTTAGACTTCAGGAGCGAGACAACTTCCTTCTCACACCATTCGAGCGCAATCTAGAGGTCTGGAGGCAGCTATGGCGCGTGCTCGAGCGCTCGCATTTGATTGTGCAGATTGTTGACGCGCGGAATCCACTCCGGTTTCGATGTGAAGATCTCGAGTCCTACGTCGAAGACGTCGAAGGTGCGGAAGGAGAGCAGGGTACTGGTAAGGGGAAGCGGAGGAGCCTTCTGCTCATCAACAAGGCTGATTTGTTGACCAGTAACCAGAGGTACGTTCATAGAGTGATGACACCCCGCCATGCTCATTGCGGTTTTGTTTCGTCGTCGTCAAGGCGGCAATGGGCGGATTACTTTGATCAGCAAGGTGTTCGGCATGCCTTCTTCTCTGCCGCCAATGCTACAGCGTTACAGCAAATGGCAGCGAAGAAAGAAGCGGAGGAAAACTCTCAATCACTGAACCACGATGACGAGAGCGAGAGCGAAACCGACGATTCAGAGTCCAGTGGAGAAGTTGCTGAGCGTTCAGAGGTGTCTGGTGACGACAGCGAAGGTCAAGATGCGCAGAAGTCGGCGGACATTTTCCAAGAGGGGTCTGCTGAGGTCCCTGCGGAAGAGTCAGATGAAGATGACTTATACCTACCTTTACAAGAAGATCCTGCGCAGAAACAGGACCCAAGAGCAAGAATCCTAACTGTATTAGAACTTGAGGATCTGTTTGCTAAGATGGCGCCTGATCTCTCAAGTGAGTCTGTAGCAGTTTCTAGGAGGTGCATTTTTGACGTTACGGCAGCTTTCAGCGATTCTTCTGGTAACCATCCTACGACGCTCGTGGTCGGGCTTGTTGGATACCCAAATGTTGGCAAGTCGAGCACTATCAACTCACTTTTGGGTGAGAAGAAAGTCAGCGTGTCATCTACGCCTGGAAAAACAAAACACTTCCAGACCATTAACCTGTCGCCCTCGCTGATGCTGTGTGACTGCCCTGGTCTTGTCTTTCCTCAGTTCACGACAACGAAAGCCGATCTGGTTTGTGATGGCGTTTTGCCGATTGATCAGATGAGAGAGCACACAGGGCCTGCAGCGCTGGTCGTCATGAGGACCCCTAAGGAAGTACTGGATGCAACTTACGGATTATCTATCAGGACAGGAAGCGTTGAGGATGGAGGAGATGGTACGATCACACCATCAGACTTGCTAGTGGCATATGCGAGTGAGTTTACCTCTCACACACACTCGACAATTGTCTCTGACGCTGTGTTCAGTCGCGCGAGGTTTCATGCGCTCGGGACAGGGCAACCCTGACGAAGCTCTGGCTGCACGACACATCCTCAAAGATTACGTTAATGCCAAGCTGCTCTACTGTCACCCTCCACCAGGTGTTCCTGAGGACGAGTTCAACGAAGAGACGCGACAATTAGCGCTATTGCGTGCCCTTGGCAAGAAACGGGCCCCGACCACGCGCGTCGTCAAAGGTGCCGATACGTTTGTACCGACAGGCGACACTCCACAGTCAGACTCATCTACGCCTTCAAATGGTGTTCTTGGCTCAGGCCTGAAGTCTCGCAATATTGATCAAGCATTTTTTGCGAGTAACGCTCCCATATCCCTGCTTCCCCATGTCCAAGGGTCGGCGCGACATGGACAGGATGTGGCGAGGATGAAGTTGTACCCGCACCAAAATTCTGTCGCCGATGACGGGTCTGCAATATCTGGAAGGAGAGCGCGAATCGCCGCTGTGTTGGCGAATGCTGGGAGTGAGTTGGGAGCAGGGAAGAAGCACCATAAGAAGATGAAGAGAGTGAAGCACAGGAGCGGGAAAGGTTACGATTGATCTCCTGGGTATCGCTCACTTATCCTGTAGCTCTAGATATTATCCGTGAAATGATGCTTTGAATCCAACCAGTGAACCATATTGCAGTTGCACGTGATCGCGTGACGCGACGCCACCCACGCGTCTGCGGCCAGTCTTTCTTCTTGTTTTCCGACCTTCGCCTCGGTGCTAATCCGGAACAACTGGTTTCAAGAATATTTTATTTGTGCCATGCCAGCGATAATTGCCAAATCTTTCGAATCTTGTTCCGAGTCGGACTCTACCACAGCCAGCGGAAGCGGTAGTCGCACACCACCCGCACCCATACACCCGGATTGGTCGAGATCAACAGGTGCATGCGCGAAGCTTGTGACCGTAAACAAGGATGGGAATAGAGAAGGTATGTCACGTTCCGTCCCGTTTTCAGCGAAGCTACTTACTCTGGCCATGCGAACCTAGCCCTCCTGTTGCATGTGGACCGGTCTCTCACCATCGGAAGGCATCCATCTTGGTATGACTTATGCGGACTTATTCGAGAAGCTTGCTATAAGATACCCGTTACAGCTCTTACGTCGTCCCAGATCTCGTCGTTTCTAGCCTGCATTGCAAACTATATGCGTGCGTTTTCCTCTTGTGCTGCCTTTGTTCCATGTCTGATCATATTCATCTTGATTTAGCGTTAAATCAAGCGACGGAGGAATTATATTGTCGTGTCAAGTGAGAGCCTATCACTGAGGATCTGGTCAAAGCATGAACGGAGATAACATCTAGGACTTCTCAACCAACGGGCTTATCCTGAACAGTCACAAAATTCGAAAGACCTCCGTGATTCTTATGGACGGTGATGTTGTTGAGATACCACATTCACAAAGTTTGCTTGTCCCTGTCCCGATGCGACACTACACTGAACTACTCCACTCATCAGAGTTCGAATGCATACTCTTGGAGAAGCCACCGTCACAGAATACAAACATATTCGACCCCACACCACCAAGAGAACGATCACCTAAGACGAAGGTTCGTACCAGGAGCATTCCTCCTGACAAACATAATGCATATGGCGAGCACCATAGCGTATTGACCGTTACCTCGTGGCATCGCACTGCCTTGGTAGCGGAAGCTTTGCCACGGTCCACCTCGCCATGGATACAACCGAGCATCGACAGGTCGCGTGCAAGAGTATCAAACGGAAAAACAATGACAAAATTGAGAAAGTGATGAAAGAAGTTGATATCCTCCTCCGTCTCACCCACGTGGGTATACCTGCGAAGACTATGAGTTCATTGCATAACCTAACGATTTTGATGATTAGCCAAACATCAACCGGGTTTGGGCCGCCAACTACAACAGTAGCTTCGTGTCCGTATGGTTCTGAACTTGAAGCGCTGCACTGATACTCATCTTTGTGTTACGATGAAGCCATATCTTCCTAGAACTTTGCACGGGTGGAGATCTGTTCTCTTACATCGTAGGACACACAGATTCTCGCCTATGTGAAGGAGAAGCCAAGTACATCATGTACCAGCTCATGAAGGGATTAAAATATCTACATGATAGACAGATATCACACCGTGGTGCGTTCCTCATAGTACATTTCGACCAGATCTGACGAGAACCGACTGTAGACCTCAAGGTACGACTTTTCTTTGAGCTTCTATGATGCTTACAGCCGGCTGTTGCAGCCTGAGAACATACTACTGCATTCGCCTGGTCCATACCCTCGCATACAGATTGCAGATTTTGGCCTCGCGCGTCCGAAAGCCTACCAAGAGACGTTCAACGTCTGTGGAACCGTCTCCTATCTGCCCCCAGAAGGGATTCTTGCACTGGATCACAAGCACCTTGGCTATGTAGGAATGCCTGCAGACTGTTGGAGTGCGGGAGTCATCATGTACATCATGCTCGCGTATGTATTCCTTCTGCTATGCGCTTCCTTACTGATAAGCTGGGGGTCGCGCATGCAGTGGCGGCCATCCCTTCGACTACGACAAGATGCCGGGGGAGTCGGAGTGGTACTCCTACAGACAATCGGAACCTCTTGACGACGGTTCCCAGATCTCACTATCGCAGAATTCCGTGCAGACCGATTGCATCGTTAAGAAGAGGATTGTACATTGCGAGCCGGAGTTTCCGGGTATGCTCTGGCGTTCGATCCCTCATGGTACGCAGATCATCGATTCACGTCCATGGGTTCGAGACAACTACAACTCTTCTATTTTTCTCATTTATTCTGTTTTTCTGCGTGGCTGAACTTACTTTTCAACCAGCACAAGCCCTCTGCAGTCACCTTCTCGTCTATGATTACCTCCACCGTGCGACAGTATTCCATGCTCTCCAGAGTGATTGGTTCCTCTCAGAACTGGCCGAGCTGGAAGCCGCCTACAACGAGCGTATCGGTGCTGCATAGAAGACAGCCGCAAAGAAAGCGATCTGGAACCGCCTCCCCTCCGCTGTGAAATTATTCGCTGTTCAGATTGCTCTCATGGGAGTCTTTGCTGCGCTTGCCTCCCCTCTCATCAACTCCCTAGTCTCGTTGTCTGTCGCTGTCTCCTGTCCCTCTCCGCCTATCTGTTGCTGTGTTTATCCCTTTGTACTGCATGTCTGGATGGTTGTTCCGTGATTACTCGTGGAATGTTTCGTTTTGCATTGTGACAAATTCTGTACCGTATGTCAAGCAATATTATGTTCCCAATATCACTCCTGCGCTCCAATGATGACCGTATGGCACACAGCAAGTTATAGCGCCAATCACAAAGAAAGTACTTCTCTTGAGTATAATCATATAAAGTTTACAACACTCCAATCGTACATCCATACCGCTTCTTCCTAAATCATTCACTAAACAATTCGCACACAATTCTTCACGCCTTAAGGAAGTTCGCATGGACTAGGTGCGCAATATTCAGCTACGACGATAGAAAAGTCGCAGTAACTTACAATGAATGTGGTCCGCTCCAAAAGTTGAGATCTGGAGGACGTACAAAGAGCTGAGCGAGAGATGAGATCGTTAGACAGCAATGCGGCGTACGAAGTAGTAGCTGTGATCATAACCTTCCTGGCTTCTCACGCGCACTTGAACCTCGTCGTAACCAACGTCGCGAGCTGCCTTCAGGAAGTTCTCAGGGAGGAGCTGGCCCTGCTTGTAAAAGTTGTCTCCAGTTCCCTATCATCACATGAAATAAGTGGATGAGAGGGCGTAATAGTAGGAGACAGGCGCGTACATAGTCAATGAGCACATGCACCGGTTCCTTGCCCATCTTCGAGATGAGCTCTGTCGCATCGTACCTATTCCTGGCCTCCTCGACGCCGCCTGAGAGGTACCCGCTGAACGCCTTCTGGCCCCACGGGCATTTGGTCGGGTTTGAGATGGGCGAGAACGCGGAGACGGAACGGAACTGTTTCGCGCCGCTCAGCTGCGAGGAGAGGTACAACGTCAGCGCGCCGTGGCCACCCATGGAGTGACCGAAGATCGACTGCCGCGAGAAATCCTGCAGAGTCACCCCATCAGCGCGCATCCGAACGGGCGTGCGAGAGCGCGGGACGCACGATCGGGATGCCTGCTGCCTGGATGACCTCGGGGAGCTCGACGGTGACGTGGGTAAGCATGTTGTAGTTCTTGGCGTACTTGGGATTGGTCGCGTTCAAGTAAAAGCCCGCCCCTGCGATTCGATGGTAAGCTCTTCGGGAGTGGCTTCCCAGGAACGACGCAAGCACATACCGGTGCCAAAGTCCCAGTCATCGTCCTCGCCCTCGACGCCTGCGCCCCTCGGGGAGGTGTCGGGGAACAAGAGCGCAATACCCTCCTTGGCCGCATCGCCCAGAAAGCCGCCCTTCTGCGCGCTGCATAAGTGTGGCGTTGGCACGCGCGTGAGCAGCGTAAGAGAGCGGGAGAGAGCAAGGTGCGCACCCGTTATCCTCGGTGCAAGTGAGCCCGGAGAGGTAGATGAGCAATGGCACCTTCGCGTTAGCCGCGTTCGCGGGGAGGAAGAGGTTGAAGTTCGCGTTCAGCCCGCCGAGCGCAGCAGACTGGGTTCGCGCGGTCCCAATTTGCAGGCGTCAATCAGCGCTGTCGCGAGGTGTCGAGATGGGCAGATGGGACGCACCAGGAACTTGTACTTGACGAGCTCACCGCCGAAAGCCTTGTTGTTGGAGATCTTTTCGAGGCTCATTCTCGCGGAGGTACTTAATCAAGCGACGGGCGATATATGGAGGAGGTTCAAGTTCTCTCATGATCATCGATGAGGATCTCATTATAATCTAATCTAACCGACGTACTCCCGGCCGTCGTTTTATTATACGGTCCTATACAAGTAACGGGGTATATCATGAACATTAGAAGAGGAACGACAACACCCTCGCTCGCACCGACAGCTTTTAGGGATACTCACGATACGCCCCGCCGCTCATCAGTCTGTGCCCGCTCACCGACGCGTCCCCTCTCCACGGACGGGCTTCCCTTTGCGAGACTATCCGCCATCTCCGCCCGCTCACCCTCCTTCCTTGTCTGCTCCCGCTTCGCTGTATCAACTTCGTGTGCCTCACCATCCGCACTAGATTGCGCCACTTCTGGCGCGTCCTGGCCCTCCACGACGCGCGCCAGGTGGTCTGCGATGCCCAGGTAGAACGTCGCGGGCTTGAACTTCACTTCGCGGCCCATGATCTCCGCCCACTTGTACCGCGCTGTGTTCACCCAGCCGATGAGGTCCAGATGGTTCACATCCTCCAGTGTGCCAAGATACGTGCCCTGAGATATATATCAACCATGGAGATATCCAACAAGCAAGAAACCAAACGTACCCATTTCGCCGACTTGAGCGAGACAAGCCCGTCATTGGGACCTTCTTTCTCCATGATCACCGAGTGCGGCCATCTTCGAAAGAAGAAAGAAGCATCAGCCCGGGTCCGCTCATAGGAAGAGCAGCACACTTACTTCCACGTGTCGATCAGACCAGGGTCGTACGTTGCGCCCCAGCTGAAGTACTTGACCCCGGGTACGTCCGGCGTCCGCTCATTGAACCGACGCATATTCTCCACCGTCAAAAACTCGAACGCCTGTCCGTCGCCTCCCCCGTTCGGGAGGAGGTCGAGCAGGGAGAGTACGGACGGCAGGCGGGATGGGCCGATAGTCGACAGGAAGTAGTCTGCGAATGACGAGCCGCGGTGCGGGGTCGAGATGGTTGTTACTGACAGTACCTTGAAGGGCCGGTCCGTCAGGTGCGTCGTCAGATATCGGCAATCGAGCCCGCCCATGCTGTGTCCTGTATTGCTGCAGTCTAATAAGCACTCAATACGAGGGGGCGGTACCTTGCTTACCGACAAGATGGACGCTCCGACCTGGATACGCCTCGCTGATTGTCGCCAGGAGTACCTTGGCGCGATCGATTGGAGAACTGGTAGCTGGAACACGTGTGGTAAGGACCTGGTGCTGATGTCAGTCAATTGTCTGCTAGAAATCTATGAAAGAGTCCACCTCGACGCCGTTTGACCGAAGGACGTCCTTGATCCCTCGCCAATGGTCTACTTGCAAAGGTGCAATCGACGGCCCTAGATTGACCGTATCAAAGCCGAGCAGACCATGGCAGAAGACTAACGGGTTCTGCGGCGATTTGTCTGGTCGAACTATATGAGAACAGTGCATGTAAAGAGTAGGGCAATACGAACACTTCTGCCGGATGTGATCCCTCTCCGCCTCTGGACTCTCGGCCTGATCCTGCTCGCTCAGTAAAGGATGTAAATTCTCTTTGTTGTCGGAGCCCTCTGGGTTAAACCAGTTGCGGATGGAAGGTGGCAAGGTCGGGAACCTGAGTGCCTGTGGGGGTGTGGTATGGATGCCCCGTCCTCGCTCCTGAATCGACCGAAGCGTGTCAACCGAAGCGGATCTGCCGCGGAAGAGCGTCGGTGGTGAGCTGCTGAGGTGTGCTCGGGCGGGCGAGTGGGGTATCACAAGTGGCACAGGGGTCGGGCTGTAGAACACGTCGAGGTCAGGGTTGTACTCGGACTCCTCTGGAAAGGGGTTATCGAACGGGTCGGTGTACGTTGAAGATAAGAAAGACACGGATGGAGTTGAGGAGAGACCTGCGGTTGGGAGGGTACTGCGAGCGAGGTCGGAGAGGTATGATGGGGGCCGGTATGGACGGAGGTTTGGAGGAAGGCGAGCGGCCTCTGGGCGAGCGGGCATATGTATCTGTTGAGCCTCCAGATGCGAATGGGCTTGTACGAGATGGGGGTCATCGTGGAGGGCGTCGGCGAGAGCTGAGGTCGCGGAGGAAGGGGTGGAGGGTGAGGGTGGCGCCGAGGACGGATAGCGGGGTGGAGACGCGGTGCGCGAGTGACCTGGAGAGCTCGGGTGCGACTTGGAGGATCTGCGAGCGTGCGTACCGGTGAACCAGCGGAGAACGGGCAGCGGACGCGGCTGTTCGACTTTCTGCTGCATATGCACGGGGTGTACGGGTCGCCCACTAGAGAAATCGAAGTTGTGGGACTTGGGAGAATGACCCAAGCGTGACAATGTGCTTCGTCCGGCTGTGGAAGAGATGGTCGACGAGAATGCGCTGCGTGGAGGCCTCATGTTATCCGTCAGCGCTAGGGGTCGCGACGTCGACGTCGCCTGCCTCGGCGGACTTGAAGATGGCGCGAAGGATGCGAGGAAAGCGTTGAAGGAGAAGACGGCCGAGGAGGATGCTCTGTCGCCGGCGTCGGGGTGTTCTCCATTCATCCAGACGTTGTCGTCGTCGTCGTCGTCGTCGTCGTCTTCGTCGCCGCTGCTGGAGTCGACCGGGCCGCCAGCGAACGCGACGCGTGACGAATGTGACGGTGCTTGCCTCCTGCCATGAACCACCTTCCGTCCGTCCTCCCTTCTACTCCTGCGCTTCAAGACCGTAAGTCACTCTTTCCGGTACGCTCGCGTACTTACACAGCCTCTTCAGTGACGACCACCCCAGACGAGTTGCAGTCGCAGTCCGCTCATGCCAAGGTCACAAACCCTAAGGAGTTCGTTGGTTCACTGCCTTTCAGACTCCCCTGTCCCCGGACCTGCTGACGTGCCATGACACATCCCAGGACAGCCATCTTTATCTGCGCGTTAGGGCAATGTAACAGACTGTTCCCCGACCGCGAGCGGCTGATGAAACATCGCAAGCGTGATCACGACTCCGAAAACCAGGACGATATCATCACTTGGAACGAGTAGCACCCACATGACAGTATGTTTTAAGTCCTCCGCTTTCCGAACATTATGAAACTCACTTGTAGCAAATGAAGATACTCCCAGGCGTGTGGCAAACCATCCGTGATATTGGGAGGAATCAGTCAATCACCCTGCGCCCCGTCATGTCAAGAAGGTGATGCCAATTCTGAGCGATACTGATTCTACAGGTCCACTCCCCTTCGGACACTTTTCGTGATGCTGGGCTCGGACTCGTGACTGGCGACATGACCAGCACGAGTAATCTCGCTGTTGACGAGACCCTCCAAGTCAGGCAGGCCGCCGTAATGAGATGTATGTGGCTCTGCCTGTGTTTCTCAATGACATTGCTTCTTGTTGGAAGAATGCACGTCGTTCGATCCGGTGGTCGGCAGAACCACACGTCGGTCCCTTGCAAAATTATTTTCGTGATGATACGTACTGAAGACGCCAGTATGAGGTTCGCGGATCGATGAATGGTCCCTCCGAAGCAGTAGTACTCGCTGTTACGTCGAGAGAACAATAAGACGGAATATTACGTTGGCTTCTATCGCATTTCCAGCAATCGTTCGAACCTGTTCAACTACTGCCGGTGATGATCCTGACTAACTGGCGAAGAAGTGTGCCCACTGCCCATTCATATCAGGGTTAACGTTATATTATAGTTCATGATCAGATGGTTGGTAGCACCATGCAGGCGATTCTTGTTGCTACCGCAAAATCATTGACGAGTAGAAAGAACATATGTATTCGAATCCGTCATATATAGCGACGCAGTATAGATTCGGCGACGTACAAAATGAGGAGAAATATTTGAGAGATGTTGGCTCGATAAGGGGAAAAAGGATCCGGGCAAATAGAGGCAAACGGCCATCAGCGTGTTGCTGAGCGGTTGTGAGGATATCACTTCCACTTTCCACTGTCTGTTCTGCCAACCAGGCGGGACGCTCCTCTCCCTCTCTCTCCGGTCCCGCCCTCTCTAACGCTGCTCAACCACTACTCTAGCAGCCATACAGTCCCTTCTAGCAAGCAGAAGACCTAGAAGAATGTCCTTCTTCTCTAGGAAGAAGCATGCACCACAACCCGCAACCGTCCCTGCGATCGTCCAGTCCCCCAGCGCCGCCCTCGCACAAATAGGTGCGTCACAGCAGCCTCAACCGGCCCAGCCTCAAAAGCAGCTGTCCAAGGAGAGCAGTTATGAGAGGTGAGTTGTCGTTTTTTTTGCCAGGCGCGACACACGCTGCGTGCACATCATTTATCCACCCCGACACATATCCAAAACGTCTGATTCCACACCGTCCAGTGCTCTCAACGGGCGCGGGAGCCCTGCCATGGGCATGAATGGCCTGCCACCTCAAGTCCAGCAGCGGCCCAACAGGAACGGAAATGTCGGTGCGGAGGTCAACGGGTCGCCTTCGCTAGCTGGTACCCAGCCCCAGCCAAGTTCTTCACAGCTCGTCCAGCAACAGCCGCTACCTCCACAGCAGCAGCAGCAGCAGCAGCAACAACAACAGCAACAGCAGCAGCGCTCGGCGTACCCCTGGTCGCAACGCCGTCTCGTCCTCCCGCCCCCGGTGACGATTCCCAAGCCCGGCGTGGCGCCTCCAACGAATCCCTCGCCATCGCCATTCCCTCGCTATGGTCATGCTCTACCCGCTACGGCGACGGCAACGGGGGAGCTCTTCCTCTTTGGCGGTCTTGTGCGCGAGGCCGTCCGAAATGATTTGTATCTCTTGTCGACGCGAGATCTGTCCGCCACGCTGTTGCAGACTGCCGGGGAGGTCCCATCACCGCGGGTGGGCCATGCGAGCGCCCTCGTTGGGAGCGTGCTTATTGTGTGGGGTGGAGACACGAAGACTAACAACAAGGCGAAGCCGGGAGATAAGCAGGATGACGGGTTGTACCTCCTTAATCTTGGTGCGTTTTGGTGTTTTATACCATACAGCGGGTTTACAAAATTAGTCCAGTCTCTCGCGAGTGGACCCGTGTAGCTGTGTACGGGCCTGGCCCCGTGGGACGGTACGGCCATGCCGTTACCATGGTCGGATCCAAGTTCTACATGTTTGGAGGCCAGGTAGACGGAGAATTCTTGAACGACTTATGGGCATTCGATCTCAATTCACGTATGTCTTATGTCTATTGCACTATGTCGTAATCGAACTTCACCTTTTTCAGTGCGAACGAAGGCGGCGTGGGAGTTGGTTGAGCCAGCGGAGGGCTCACCGAGACCTGCGCAACGGACAGGCCATGTCTGCGTGACTTATGGGGACAAGATCTATCTGTACGTTCTCATCTATTCTAACTTTATTTAGCAATCTTATACACTTTTTGCAGTTTTGGTGGAACGGACTGTCAGTACCACTACAATGACACTTGGGTGTTCGATACCATTGTCAATACGTGGTCGGAACTCACATGCATTGGGTACATTCCTTCCCCTCGGGAAGGCCATGCTGCATCTCTGGTGGACGATGTCATCTATGTCTATGGCGGAAGGGGGGTTGACGGGAAAGACTTGGGTGACCTTGGCGCTTTCAAGATCTCCAGTAAGTGCATATCCTTGTTCAACTGACTGTTGTTTGACGCGAGTACATGACACTTGCAGACCAGCGGTGGTATATGTTCCAGAAGATGGGCCCTTCACCAAGTGCTCGGTCTGGGCATGCTATGGCGTCAATGGGCTCGAGGGTATTCGTCTTGGGTGGTCTCGGTGGGGAATCGTTGAATCCCGCAAAGCCTGAAGACCCAACCATTATTCATGTTTTGGATACCAGTTCGTAAACCTTCGTGTTTCTATGCCGTCTAATTACTGACTTGCATCCTTTGTTCACCGCAGAACATATCAAATACCCAGATTCCAACAAACCACCTCCGTCAGGTCCTCCCACTAATGCCAGGAAGTCTTCCGTTGGTCAGCCAGGCACGCAGCAATACGGGAATACGTCTCCGAGTGGCGTCATCAACGGTGTCCGTTCGATGTCGCCCGAGACGATGTCGGACGCCGAGGATCTTCGCCGTGCCATGTCGCCTACGAGCTTGCGGTCTGGCAAGGGTCCCAACGGCGTCGCACCACAGTCACTGTCGAGTATCGCCAAGGGCAAGGCGCCAATGCGGCCGAAGCGCGAAGATGAAGAGGACGGTGAGAGCAGTCCGGATGCGTCTTCGTCAGAGCCCCATGCGCGGGAGCGGGCGATGTCTCCAGAGCACGGTCGCGCGAAGAGCCCGACGTATAATGTGGGCCGTGCTATATCTCCAGTTTCTGGCGAAGGACACGATACCATGCAGCCCATGAGTATGGCGAATGTCGCGATGGCGAGGAATGGGATGGCTGCGCGAAGTCCGTCGCCAAATGTCGAGCGCAGCAGGGTCCCGCTGGAGGCGTTCTACAGCGGGAAGCCTGGTTCTCCAACGCCCAATGGTTATGCGCACAAGCCAGGCTCTACCGGGAACTTGACTGCTGACCTTATCCGAGATCTGAAGGATAAGGAGGCTGATATGGAGGTCTTGAAGAAGAAACAGGCATGGATGCGAGCCGCGCTGTCCGAGGCGTCGCGCTCTGGGTTCGTATATACGGGGACAGAGGAGGAGCTTGCGTCCCGGGTGGATTCTGACGACATAGACGGTCGAAAGGTGACGGAAATGGTCATCAACTTTAAACAATTGAAGGCTAAGCTGCAGGTGGGTTTCGGTGACTCGCGTTGGCTGATCGCGTGGTCTGATCTCGTTGGAACAGGCCAGCGTCGTCGAGCAGGCGAAGGAGGCCTCAGCGCGTGTGGTCGAAGCTGAGCGACTACGAACCAGTGCGATCCAGGAGACGGCATTCTATCGCGCAAAGGTGGCTGCGCTGGAAGCTGCGTCCACGATGGAATTTGAGAAGTTGGACCGTGAGCGCGTCGCTGACTTAGAGGGCCAGCTGTCGACTGTCATGACAGAGCAAGCGGAGAAGGACCGCAAGATCAAGGAGCTCGCTGACTCTCTTGCAATGCAGACCAAACTCCTAGAGCAAGCTGAGGCACGGGCTGACGACGCCTCAAGTCGCGCCGACGTGCTTGCTCAGTCGCATGACCGGACCACAGAAGCGCATCGAACGTTGCAGGACAAGCATTCCGCCATGGAATCCACGTTCCATGAGCAGGAAGAGAGACTGCTCACTCAGAGCTCGCTCCTAGAACAGCGTGAGGCAGATTATCTGAAAGCTCAGTCGCAGATCGAGGAATTGTTGCTCTCCCGGGATCAGCATGTCCGTGCTCTTGAACAGGCACGCACCGCGTTGCAGACATCTTCTGCACGTGCGGAGGAAGTTGATGCCCACAATCTCCATGCTCAGGAACAGGTCACTCAGCTCGAGGCGGATCTTGCAGAGCTTCGTGGAGAACTCGAGGCGCGTACCACGGAGGTTGAGTCTGCGAGGGCACGCATTGCGGATGTGGAGAACTCGTGGGCCAAGTCTCGCGAGGAGGCGGATGCATTCCGCGCGCTGACAACTGGTGGTCTGGGCGACTTGCTTGATTCCCATCGCGATCTCAAGCGTGATGAGGACCGTATGTCGCGTGGCCATGAGGAGAAGATTGCTGCTCTGCAGCAGGAGGCAGCCTCTCTGCACGACATGGCAAAGGATGCCTCTCGTCGCACTGATGAAATTCAGAGCGAGCTTGCTGAGGAGCGCCGGAAAACTCGGGAATCGGAGTCGGAGGCGCTGTCGCTCCGGTGTCAAGTTGTTGGTCTACGTGCTCAGCTCTCTAGTACACTCGCTGACAGCGGTCGCCTTCGGAGAGACTTGGCTGCGAAAGAGGCAGAGATCCAGTCGCGCATCAGAGAGGCTTCATCTGCTGACGTTCGGTGGGGCACCATGCGGAAGTTCTTGGCGGAGAACGGGATCGTCGCCGACGGTGATGATTTACGAAGTAATGGTGCTTCCTCCTCGCGGCTGGCGCAACTCGAACGCGAGTTATCTGAGCAGACTCGCCAGAACGAGATCGCCGAAAGGGGGCTGCAGTCCGCGTTGCAGCAGAAACAGGATGCAGAGTCCCAGGTTGAGAGTCTATCTGCCGAACTCGACCGGCTGCGGAATTCGCGGAGTCCGATGCGCAACGGCGTGGACAGTGAATCGGATGCGCGTGCGCTCGAAGCTGAGCAGAAGCTCGAGGAGACCGAGGCCAGTTATAAAGCGCGTTTGCAGCAGTTAGAGGAGGATTATCAACTTGCTGTTCATTATGTCAAGTGAGCGTCTATGTACAATTTATTAGATTTATTGGATCTGACTCTCCTGACCGCAGGGGAACAGAAAAAATGATGCGCAAGATGAAAGACGAGTTGACCAAGCAAAAGGCCCTCAATCAGAGTATGCAGTCCGAGATTGAGCGTGGATCAAGCACGGAGCCAGGTTCGCGAAGGATTAACGGCCGTAATACCCCCTCATCAGACGATAGCCACGACGCTCTGCGTACCCAGCTAGTAGACGCTCAGCGACAGGTCCAGCGGCTCAACAGCGATAACAGGGAGCTACGACTGCGCATTGATACCTTGGAACGCGAGCTGGAACACATGCGTGACAACGTCATCGCATCTCAACAAGAATCCGATGAACGTCTATCGCGTATTGAAGAACTTGAATCGGACGTCGAAAGGCTGCAAAATTCCCTGGTCATTGCTCGAGGCAGCCACGACGAGACCGTGCTGGAGCGCCTCAGCAATGAGAACACCACCCTCAAACGCGAAAATGAGCAGCTGTCGCACAAAATCGGATTACTGCTGGAAGCTGACCAGCCAGCCTTTGGCCATGGTCGCCCTATATCTGGTATATCGGAACGTCCAGCAAGCACGTCCAGTTCGGAAAATGCTTTGGAATTCGAGCACTTGTCGACGCAATTGGATGACTGGCAGCGTCAGGTGGCCAGCTCCATGAGCACTCGGCGACCTCTTCCCGACTTTGATTCGCCATCTGGACATGAGCGAACAAGATCGCGTTCATGACACTCCTTCGTATTTATTGCCATATACCCATATTGGCTTAGCTGTCGACATCTCCCACTCACTCCTTTCGTGTTCGCATTTCCGTATCATCTTAGTCTAACTTACTCCATGATTTTATCGTGCACTGCGGTATATTTGCGGCTAAATACTATGACACTGGCTCGCACTATGATGATATTGATTGTATTACAGTAGTTACGAGGAATTGCGTTGTGTCCATTCAATCGCTTTCGCTTTCACAGCTGCAGCACCGTCTTCATCGCCTAGCCGACGTTCCAATTCCAGCCATTTCTTGAAGAATGATCTGTCAGACAGTTAGTCTCAAACATAGAGGTGAATGGACAACAGTAAACGTACTTCGCTTTATGGCTGGTCATCTTCTGCGCAAGAACTCTGTCGAAGAGGTTCCTGAACAATTCCATCAGATGCTTGCCCGATCGCAGGGTGGATTTACCTACCTCAAGTTCATGATATCACCTTGCGCTGCCTCCATATCTATGTAAATGGACCATAGATCCCACCGTTTGGGGTGCGAGTCGATAATACCCTCGTAAACAGTCTTCCCACGCTCTGGATCACCAAATTTATATTCCAGCTGAGCAAACTTTGAAATAGTCTTGAGGTCTGCAGAAAAGCGATCAGAGACTGTCCAACAAGAATGAAAAACAAATGCTCACGTTTACGCTTCTCGAGACTCTGAAGGCTTCGTTGCATGAGCTTTCTTGCTTCTTCCAATTTGTCATGCTTCAGGTAGAATTCTCCAAACAGCGTCCACGCCTTTGAGCTTTGTCCGAACTTCTTGCAAGTCCGCTTGTATTGCTCCTCTGCTTTCTATGTTCGACCGTTATCATTTGCTCGAAATTTACAAGAAAGGATTTGGACTCACCTCTACCTTCTCGCTTTGATCCAGAATGGCAGCAAGACGCAGGTGGATAGTCTTGGAATCATTGTGCCGTGCCGCATCCTTGAAGGTGCGTTCGAGTGTCTCTTCTGTGCCATAGATGTTTTCCAGGTTCAGCAGAGCTATCCAAACGTTCAATTTTTCTTGCTCTTCGCGGAAGTTGATCGTTCGTAGAGCACGTCGCGCAATTTCTCTCGCTTTGTCGACCTCGGAGAGTTGCAGTTGGAAGGACATGTACTGAACCCATAGGTACGAAGAGTTGGGTGATCCCAAGAGGACCCGTTCGAAATCCGCGTTCGACTCCGGGACTTTTGTGTGCATATCAGCAGTCAGATCCTGCTCGATCTCCTTCCGTTTCCGCTTCTTCTTCTTCTTGCGTCCTTGATCATCGTCCTCGTCTTCACCAGAAGATGATTCCATTGACACATCTTCACCATCGTCTTGGTTAGTAGCAGACCACTGAAAGCCATCTTTCAAGCTGAGAGAGATCGCTGGGCGATCGGTAGCAGAGGTTTCTAGTGAAGGGTGCCCCTGGTCCGGAGCGTCGGATTGAATGTGCATATTCACGTCCATTCCATCATCATCAACGTCAACGTCTTCGTCTGCCTCTAAATCTTGATCCTCCATTTGGTCGTCGTTACCGGAATCCTCATCGTGTTCAGACTCTTCATTAACGTCCTCGACAACACCAAATGCTTGAGCACCATGGTGATCGTCTTCGCTTTCGGATTCTTTGCCGGACTGGAAGTCATCGTCTGCAAAGTATGAAGGCTTGAGGCCAAAAGACAAGCGGCGTTTCTCCACGTCGATGGACAGGATAATAGCCTTGACACGGTCTCCTTCTCGGAAACTCCGAAGAGCCAAAGTCACGTCTGCGTCCTTGTTGTCGGAAAGCTGGGGAAAGTTTTCAGCTCAAGGATGACAGAGAGCGGAACACCTATGTACCTCTGATTTGTGACATAGACCACTAATCTTTGAACCGTCGACTTCAATGAAAAGTCCATACTCTTCCACCTTCTTGACCCGACCTTCTACCTTCTGCGCTTCCGAAAGGTCGGCAAGTGTGATACTTGAGCGAGGTTCTCGCTTGAGGTCTCCAGAGCGGAACGAGATCTCCACCTGCTTCTTTTCAGCGTTGACACTTAGGGTTACAAATGAGCACAAGCATGCGGCGATTGAACGCAACATACCTGAGGATACGACCTTTGACGAGCTGGTTTGCCGCAAATCGGCTCTTCCAGTCCTTGACGTACTGTTCAAAAAATATGTGTGTGTGTTACATTGTCAATGATTCATTGAAAAACTTGCCTCATCAAAGAGCTCTTTGATCTGAACTCTAGCATCAATGTCACGACCCAACATGACGAAGAGGCCGTGTTCTGCTATGTTCTTGATGAACCCTCTGATCGTCTGCCCTACCTTGAGAGAATCCACGCTGGTGATTTCGGGGTCAACTACAGATGTTCCCCGATCTGTATGGACACGCGACGATCGAGTGGACAACGCAATTTGTCGGCTCTCCTTATTGACCGCCACGACAACGCCATGGACGATAGAATCAACCGTAGGGAAAGGATTACCGGCCTCGTACTCGTCGCACACATCCGTGGGATGTAAAGATCCAGTAAGAGAGTGGTTCAACTTCACTAGGGCACCTTTGCGGCTATGGCGAATGACTCTGCCACTGACTGAGTCCCCAACTTGGACGGTGTCCAAATGTATCGGCTGGTGATGAGAGACAGTCTCTTTCGTAGGCCTTGCAGCAACAATGACGATGCCCTTCTCGGGATTTCGCGACACGACGATAAGGTCCTGAATTTTCTCACCAACTTTGAGAGATACGCGAAGGTGAGCAACCGACTTGTCCTGTCGCTTCGCTAGGTTGTTCAGAGAGATCAAAGCCCGGACTTGGGTTGGCTGAAGCGTGATTACAGCGTTGTCCTTGTGGATTTCTGAGACAACGCCTTCGACGGTCTCTCCGATTTCTACCCCGCTGATATCCGTATTAGCGGCCTTGAAGTTGGGCGACGCTTGCCGTATACTGGCAATAACACGATGCTTTTCTGAGTCGACGGAAATGATTCTGACCTGCACAGCCTTTCCAACTGGGAAGGCATTAGACAGCGGACCAACCGCTGTTTCGCTGACAGAGACCCTTGAGACAACAGAATTTACAGAAAGCAAGTGCATACCTCGCTTCACGTGCCGGCACAACCGCTTTCATGTGGTTGTAGAACTCGACTTGCAAGCTCCTCTCGGACACCTTGAACACAACGGCATGGGTCACTAGCCCTATTTTCAGATCTTCTGGTGTTGAAACGATCGGAAGGGTAGAGTCGAGCAGTGTCTTCTTGGCGGTGAGAACGACACGCTTGCGCTCAGGGTCCACTACGAAAACCTAATGCGCCTCAGAATAAAAACATAAATACTCGGGTAATCGAGCCTACCCTGCATTTGATACTTGCACCCGGTTTGAATCTCTTTTGAGGATGCTTTAGTTGTATGTCCGCATAGTGATTGGGCCATATTATACCATCGACGCTGCCTGAGATTGATACGAACATCGCAGAGTCGGTGAGTTTCTTCACAGTCCCCTTGATAATCTCCCCGACTTGAAGCTCGCTCACTTGCAGAAACTTCTTCTCGAGGATGGATGGTCGCAGTGAGAGCTGCAGAGAGCCGTCGAAAGGAAAGTAACCGGTAACACGGGCTCTGTGGACTGTTCCGACCTTCCAAGGACCAGACGACGATGACAAGGCAGGAACGTGCTCGTCCGAAGTTTGCGAAATCTGTGAGTGGAATATTCAGTCAGGTACAGAGACAGAAATTGGACAGGAAAACCAACATGAACATAACCCTCCACTCCAGGAGATACTTCCACCACAAGACCCCGTTCCGTCTCCACTCTGGTCACTTTGACCGCATCCAGGAAGCTCCCAATGGGATACGCCTCCTGCAAGCTTGCCGTCTGAGTTTCGTCTGGCCCTACAACGGTGTTCGTGCAGAGCTTGAGCACATGATCCGCCACGGACAATGCGAACCTCGGTGGCGTTGACGGGCTGATATCGTAAAGAACTCTCGCCTTGAGTTTCTGTCCTAACTTGTAGTGATCCTCGGGATTACCTGGTAATAGATGGTATCGGTCGACGGTACCACCGAAATATCCCATCACTTGCAGGTTCAGTCCCTCAGGAAGCACCGCAGTGACTAGTGACTGAACGAGCATCCCAGGAAGTACTGACGTTACGTTCGTAATTTCCGAAGTCTGCGAACTATGAGCGACAACCAAAAAAATGCGAGAATAACTTACAGAGGTAGACGCAAATGTTTGCGGATCTACTGAAACTGAGCAGGTGCGCCCATTTCCGGACATCTTCGTGACAGAGACGTCTAGAAGCTGTCCGACACGGAGTTTTCGTGGATGCTCAAATGCGCCTTTCTTAGCGTCCTTGAACGATAAAAACCCGGTGACATCGGATAGACCAAGGTCAAGGATGTAGCCGTGGTCCTCGGCGCTTTTGATAGCGGCAGACATGGTCTGAGAATGGGTGTCAATGCAATATTGTAGCGAATGGGAGGATACATACGAATCCTGCTCTGAGATCGGCTTTTACTACGCCCGCATTCACTTTCTTAGGGATGAGGCTCAGTTCCACTCTGCGGCTAGCTTTCTGCACCCCGTCCCTCGCGCGTCCGAGCCCCGAGCCGTCTGTGGACCCAGCAGCGTGCACAGCACTCACCACTGCGCGGACATACTGCCCTGGGTGAAAGATTTCGAACAAGTCCGGTACTCGCGACTCTGAACGCTCCTCCTCCTCTTCTTCGTCCGATGCGGACGACTCCTCGTCTTCGTCCATGGCCTCGAGTAGACCTGTGAGCTGGGTGGATATCTCGGTGATGGGCACATGCGCGAAGAGTTGGTTGGGCAGTGATATGATGAGCCCCAGCGGCTCGACGGACACGATTTGGCCGAGTATTTTCATGCCTACGGCTACTCGCTATGCGTAGTTCAGCGTACGGTCGTTCAATGACATGTGCGAGACGAACCTTGTAGTTCAGGTGTTCCACACGGATCGTTTCCTCCTTGTCCCCCTTAGCTGCTTTGTTCCCCGTCCCCTTTACATCCGACTTGCGCCTAGCCCGCTTCGCAGGCGTCTGCGCCCCATCCTAAGACAACAATTCAGTTTACACGCATTCCTGAGACATACGTGCGTGCAACATACCCCAAACAGCTCCTCGTTCGCTTCCTTCGCAGCTTCGGCGCGGATCGTCTTCACCTCCAGCGGGGTGAAGCTCGTCCCGCCGCCGCGGGGAAAGTCCACCTCCTCTTGCACAACACTCGAGGTGGACGCCACAGGCTTCCCAGTGCTCGCCTTTTGCTTAATTCCCGCATCGTCCACTTTCTTCTTCTTGGCCTTGGGGCTATCCGCTGCCTCCTCCAGAGCGCGTTTCTTGCTCGCAGCCATGGTCAATCGGGAAATTGACGTGATTGTCGTACAGCGCTAGTGATGTTTTTTATGTATCACGTCTGCAGTTCGAATAAGGGAAAGTGTGAGTGAGAGGCGAGCACCCTCGAGCAGAGAGCAAACTTGCAGTGTGTGCGTTCGCTAGACCAAATTTTGCACTAACATCCATCGATCGGGATGGTAGATCTGGCACGTGGAGGTGATCTTGAAAGTTACGCACCGTGCTTACATCAGCCATTCTCCTTCCTCTTCGACGTCGACGCTGAGCACGTCCGTCCGGCACACTTCACCGTATATCTGCGATAAGTTTACGTCTCTCAAATGGGTACGTCTTTTTTTGCACTTATGTGTAGTTACATGCTGATGGTCTTCTGCAGATTACCAGGTAAGCGTCGTCGGAGGCAGGCGCACAACAGCTGTCGCTCATTTGCACGTTAGAATCGAGTAGGCTCAAAATTCGGAGGCGGAGGCGTCGCAGGTGCGTCCGAGACAAACGTCGACCGGCGCGAGCGGCTGCGTAAGCTCGCGCTGGAGACCATCGACCTCGCCAAGGTGCGCTCTAACCCACACGCACTCACCACACGTCCGGCTCACCCACCCCGCACAGGACCCGTACATCCTGCGGAACCACCTCGGCTCGCTCGAGTGTCGGCTCTGCCTGACGCTGCACACGAACGAGGGGTCGTACCTCGCGCACACGCAGGGGAAGAAGCACCAGACGAACCTCGCGCGGCGCGCGGCGCGCGACCTCAAGGAGACGCAGCTGATGATCGCGCCCGCGCAGAGCGCCGTCCAGCGCAAGGTGTTTCTCAAGATCGGGCGGCCGGGGTACCGCGTGACGAAGGTGCGCGACCGCGACACGGGCAAGGAGGGCATGATGGTGCAGGTGCACCTCCCGCAGATCAAGCCCGGCGTCGTGCCCCGCCGCCGCTTCATGAGCGCGTGGGAGCAGAAAAGGGAGCCGCCGAATAAGGCGTACCAGTATTTGATCGTGGGTACTCCTTCGTTGTTTGGGTCGTGCTGTGTGCTGATGGGACGCCGCTGTGTTAGGTCGCGGCGGAGCCGTACGAGACGATTGCGTTCAGGATCCCCGCGCGAGAAATTGAGGACGAGTCGGACGACGCGGGGTACTGGAATTGGTCGCATTGGGACCCTGACACGAAGCAGTATAGTTTCCAGTTCATGTTCCGCCTACAGTACTGATTGTATCGTGTATTTTTAATTGGTGTAAATGCTACTACGTATCGAGCGGCCACTCTCTAGCGTCGATTGCAAGTCGTCTGTGTCACTGCCTCCATGTTTTTCTCCCTTCGTGTCCCGGGCACCACTCATTCAAACCAATCATGAACGGTGTAGGCTATCATGAAAGAAGTACAATCTGTTGTGGACTCCCACTATGCCAGCGACGGACTCACCAAACCAATTGGGAAACCCGCGGATGCGTCGGCCTCGTCGAAACGCAAACTTTTCTTCGCATTTCAGTGAACACTGGGCAATCACGGCCTTCAAGGAGGGCCCTAGAATTAATCGCGGTATGTGGGGCCGACGCTGTCAGTCGTCCGGCCTGTGTGCTCCTCAAAACAAATATTATTGTACGATCGTCTCCTGTAGAGGTTCCTAGTGACAAGGAATCTCGCTACGAAGCGTGAGTCCAGTAAGCACATAAACCGAGGGGTGCAAAGCCACCGCGCTCGCTCCCAGCACGAAGCACTACAGCTCGCCAACCTCCCAGGGCACGCCCTCGCCCTCCCACTCGTCCTCCTCCTCCCCAGCCCCGCCCCGGTCCTCTCCGTCGCCCAACGCCTCTTCGCCGACCTCGCCGACGCCCCACACCTCCCCGCCGCGCTGCGCATCGTAATGGCCGCGGCGCCCATAGAGCAGCCCGCGCACGACGCGCGCCTCCTTCTGCGCGTCGGCCCGCACGGCGTCGGGGTCGAGCGCGAGCACGCGGCGCAGCTCGTCCGGGAGGTCGATCGAGAGGGTCTCGAGCGACGCGGCGGGGACGGCCTCGGGCTGCGCGTCGGGGCGGGGGCGCCACTCGTCCGAGTCCGCGTCCGCGTCGGGTGAGGGGCGGCGATGCCAGGCGTGCTCGACGACCTTGACGCGGGGCTCGTCTTCCGTGTCCTCGTCCTCGTCGTCCTCGTCCGCGCCCGTCGCCTCTTGGAGCACGCGGGCTTTCTTCCGGCTGAAGGTCGCTTTGGCCTTGGCCTTGCCCTTGCCCTTGGGGTCGTACCGGTCTTTCGACGTGTCTGCCGGGGGCGGAGACGGGGGGAGGAGCGGGAGGTTGAGGAAGGTGTTGCGCGGGGTGGAGGGGGACGGGCTCTGGCGGGCGTGCTCCCCGGAGTCGTCTGCGGGCGGGCGGGGCCGCTTGGCTGAGTTGGGGAGGGCGGGACGCGTCGGATAGCCTTTGGAGGGGGCGATCTCGGAGTGGAGGTCGTTCTTCCGCGGTACGGGTGCGCGAGGCACGGCGGGGCGTTTCTGGGCGCTGGACGAGGCGACAGGTTTTGGTTCGTCTGAGGTGGGAGAGACTGTGCGCAGCTTAGCTCGCGACTGCGAGTGCGTCGCGAAGAAGTCGGGGTGCGCGGAATTGCCTGCGCGCGACTGGGTCCTCGTGGGCGGCGCACGCGGGCGGGACTGCTCAGCCGGTGGGAGCTCGTCGAAGAGGAGCTTGAAGGACTTGCGGCCGGGTGGGGGCTTGACGGGGGTGTTGTCGAGGAAGGAGTGGTTGGGGTCCGGATCGCGATCTGGCGAGAGGCCGCTGTGGCTGGGGACGGGGTGGAGGACGCGGGCGCGCTTCTCCTTTACCGGGGAGGGCGAGACGGGCTCGCCGCGGAGGCGTTTGCGGGCGCGGGAGACGGCGGAGCTCACGGCGGGTGGGTCGGGCTGCTTGGTGAGGGGCTGGATGAGCGGGAAGGGGTCGGGGGAGAGCTCCCTTGGCTGGGAGGTGTGTGCGAGGAAGGGATCGGGAGAGACGTCGCGTCGGGTGTGCCTTGCCTTGGGCTTTGTGGGGGTCTTGAACGGGTTGGGACGCGCGAGGACGAGCGGCGGGGCGGGGCGTTTCTTGGAGGGAGAGAAGGGGTTGGTGGTGAGGAGCGGGGCATCGACCTTGACTGGGGCCTTCTTGGGTGGCAGGGAGGAGGACGCGGCCTTGGAAAGCGACTTGTAGAGCTTGTACTTTGCGGCTGCGACGCGGTCAGCGGGGCAGCGAAGACAATAGAAAGGGCCTACCTATTGCTGGCTGAGCCTTGATCTCGTCGACAGAGGGATCGCGGCCGTGTTTCTGGCGGAAGTCGCGCTCCCAGCCCTTGATTTCTGCGCGGACGGTGTGGACGTCCATCATGAACGGTCGCGTGGCGGGCGCGCGCGTTTGGGAACACGCGCACGTGGCCGTTGCCTGATCTGGCGGCGACGGTTGCCGTGCCCAGGTCGCCGCTCTCCATTATTCCTATTCTTCTCTCCTGCCCGCCATGTTCGCTCACGCCCACTCGGTCTCGCTCGACGACCAGACCGTGCTCACCTTTCTCCACAACGACAACGACGATGGCGACGACGACGATGATGATGACCGTGCAAAACAACTCTCCCCGTCTCCTCCTCCGCCCCCGTACTCGCCCGTCGACCATGCCCTCCCCACAAACTTCGCCAAGATGACCGCACACGACTCCCGTGTGGTGCGCCAGAGCCTCTTCAACGACCCCGCATTCTCTCCAGATCCCCGCGAAAACCCGCTCCTGATGTCGAGCATGTCTGGTTACGTCCAGCTTCCCGCTTCCACGCCCGTGATTTCTGCACAAGCTGTCGCCCCCGTCCTCACTCCTGCCTGGCAGCCCGTTCTCCCCATCCCGCTCGGTCACCAACCTGGCGTTGGCTTTCATCCTCTCCATCCTCGTCCCCCGTCCCCAGGTGTCGTCCCTCCCTTTCCCTCCTCATCTACTTCCTCGTCTCCCCCAGCCATCTATCGCAAACCTTATACCCCACAAATATCTACATCCTCCACTGCCCCACCCCAGATCTTCTGGCAGCCCCCCTCCATCTCCTCCGAATCTAGCTCCAGCTCTTCCCCGCTAAACACCCCCTTCATACCGCCTCACAATATACCCGGTTTATCTAATTCTTCATTCTTCTCTCCGTATCCCTCCTCCGTGGACACTGCACCTACATCTGCCGAATCTAGTTCCCTCAGGTCCTCCGTGCCCAGCGAGTACTTTCCCGCCAGCAGGTCGTCTTTCCCAAATGGTACACCGCTATCCACATCAGATGCGATCCCGGCGATCACCCCAGCGCATACACCAGCACCCGCAGCTCCGTCGCTCATTTCTGTGCAGGCACAGGCTCCATCTAACGCTCCACTTACGTCTACCCTACTGACACCTGCGCCGCCCCCATCTGCACCCGTACCAACATCGCTATCCGCACTAACGCCGCCATCGGCACCTGCACCCGCCCCCTCTCCCATCACCCCCGCGCGCCCCTTCCCGCCCTCACACATCTCCGCCGCCGAGCTCCGCGCACGGCCCCCGCCCCCCGCAGAGGCGGCGCTCTCCCGCAGCGTCTCCGCGCCCTTCCCCTCCAGCTCTCAGCCCCAGCCCCAGCGCACGCTCGCCCACACCAACAGTCTCAGCCCGGGCCAGATCCAGCCGACCCGCAGCCGGCGCCCGAGCAACGCCGCGCTCGACCTCGACCGCGTCGACGAGCTCGACGAGACCGACCCGCGCGGCCTCGCCTGGCACCACGATGGCCCGTACGAGGCCATCAAGCGCGGGCTCAGCCAGCGCGGCGGCGTCGCGCCCCAGCCGCTGCTCCCCCAGTCCCAGGCGCAGGGTCCGGCGTCGGCGCATCCTCAGCAGCAGCATCACCACACGCACATGCACAAGCGGCCGCCGGGGCCCGCGCAGGTGCATGCGCAGAAGCGGGAGGTGCGTCCGTTGTGCTCGTTACGCGTCTGTGGCGCCGGGCGCTGACTGCGATATATGTGTCTGCTTCGCGCGCGTCGTCGTCGACTGTGGAATATTGTGTAGGCGGCGCGCAGGAAACACGTCGACCCCGCGACGACGTCCTTCGGGATCTCGCCCGGCCAGATCTTTCCCTCGTTCTCGCCCTATCAGTCCCCGCCCGCACTCGACGTGCAGCCGCCGTTGATCCCGCAGCCTCTGCAGCCCCGCCGGATGCCGTCCGAGCCGCTTTCACAACGTCCAGCGCTGGCGGTACAGCAGCAGCAGCAGCAGCAGCAGCATCCCTCGCCGCGGTTCCAAGCTGAACAGCGGCCGCAACCCCAGCAGCAGCGACCACCTCGGTTCCAGGCTGAACAGCAGCAGCAACGCCCGCCGCGGTTGCAGGCTGATCAGCAGTTTGAGGCCCACCATCACCATCACCAGCATCACCACCAGCAGGGCGTCGTCTATGATCAGTATGCGCAAGCGCGTTCTACGCCTCTACAGCAGGTGCTGCCGCCCCCGCGGCCTGAGCCTCAGTCTCAACAACAGCAGCAGCAGGAGGCTCTGGTTTATGATCAGTACGCTGCAGTGCCCCGCGAACCCGAGCCTCAGAATGCCTATGGGCGTGCGCGGGCGTCTTCGCGGTCCCCTCAGCCTCCGCCGCAGGTTCATGCGCAACCTCAGCAGCTCCACCACCACCATCATCATCATCAGCAACCTCCGTACGAGATGCAGCCGCAGCCTCGATACCAGTCGCCCCAGCAGGCTCAATACCAAATGCGGCGCCACTCGCTCATGGCCTCTCCGTCAGGCTCGCTCACGCCGCCGCAATACCCCTCGCCCGCGCCGTCCCCTGCCGAGTACGCCCCGCCGGGGCGGCGATCGTATCTGTCGCCTTCGGATGCGCAGGTGCAGGTGCAGGTACCCGGACCCCGTGTGCCGCAGCCCGCCCAGAACGGGTACCCCGTTCAGCAAGCCCCGGCTCGCAGGCAATCGCGCTCTTCCTCGGAGCTGCAGGCGCAGTACCCGCCCCGGCGCTCGAGCATGTCTCCGTTGGAGCCGCAGGGACAGTACCCTCCACGGCACTCGAGCATGTCCCCGTCAGAGCCCCGGGGACACGCCTATCCCGCACAACAACAGCCCGCACCGCCGCCGCCGCCCCTCCGCCCCTCTGCCTCCCGTGTGCGCTTCGAGCCCGTCGGGATCCTCGCGCCGGACATCGCGCTCCCGCCGCCGTCGGTCAGCTCGCACCAGTCGCAGGCGTCCCTCCCGCCGCGCCACATCCCGAAGCGCCTCGTGATGCCCGCGCCGCTGCAGCCGTTCGAGGAGCTGCGGCGGCGCCGCGTGTCGCCCGCGCGTGTGGCCCCCGCGAACGGCGTCGCGGACCTCGCGCGCGCGCACACGTACTCGACGCCCGCGGCCCACGCTGCGCCGCTCCCGAGCGCGGTGGCGGCGCGCAGCCAGAGCCAGAGCGTGGGCATGAGCCTCAGCCAGGCGCGCGCGCAGGCGATCCCGATGGTGAGCGCGCCGAATGTGCTGAGGAAGCGCGTGAGCGTGATTGGGGCGCCGATGCATGGGGAGGCCCCCGCGTCTGCTCATGCGCATGCGCATGTGCGCGCGCCGCCGCCTGTGCAGCATGTGCCGTCGGCGAATGCGAACGCGGGGGAGAGGGAGCGGGAGCGGTTGGCGGCTGTTGCCAACGCGGCGAGGGGTTTAGGGAAGAAGCTGAGCAAGAGGCGGTGAGTGTGGTCAGAGCCGAACCTTCGTTGCTTTTCTTTCGTTGTTTTTTTTTCTGGTTTTGGTTACGTTTCTTCTTTGGATTGGGATTGGGTTGTGTTGTTTTGTCCTGCGCGGGTGAATTCTTGTTCGTTCGGACTGTCGTCGGGCATCTGAACTTTTCGCTGCTGTGTGCACTGTGCCTAATCCCCTAATCGCGTCGTATGTTATCTCAGCTGTGCATCCCCGTCTTATTTCGCCTGTTTCGAACTTTGATCTGCACGTCCTAGACGCACATGCATGGCCCGTCCACACGCCCAACGCCCAACTTGCTACCCTACTTAGCCCACTGGCTGATATATTATTTGCTGTCGGTGTTTACCTAGTCGTTGTATATGTAGTCTTCTGACCAGCCATCATCTATAGCTGCTACCTGCTCTATTTCGTAGAACCTACGGTGCGTTATCGTCTGCACGGTCCTCCGACCCGAAATTCTATCGTATCATCTAGGTGTAGAATGTATCATATGGCACGTACACAGCGCCACTGGCGTGATGCTTGGAGGTCGTCGGATGCTGTGCCGTTGAACAGAAGTCACACAACGGCAGACCGATATCCGCTGGCAGGAGTGGAAGTCGACATCAGAGTGGTTATCGCTGTTTCCCTGCACGGCAGCCCTCGCCGCGATGTGTGTGACGACAGGGAGGGAAGATGCGATGTTCGTGGTCCAGGGGTGCCTTTACGTTCGACCCGAACGCGTGTGCCCCCCGACCACAATTCGCCGTCGCCCTATTGAGAATGCGATAGCCTCGTGGCCCCGCAGCGCCTAGCAGCAAAACGATCTGCGACCGTGCATCCTTGGACTACAGCGGGCGTCGTCGCCTGCTGCCGAAGAATATCGACCGGAGCGGTACGTTACGCATCTTTCCATTGGAGATGGAAGGCTCAGAACTGCGTCCGCGGGCTGACGCCAACCGCGTGGTTATCGTGTCCTGCGAGCGCGACAAACTCAACGTACTGTACCCGGGTCACTCCATCTTCGTGCAGAAGCTGCTGGGCCGCGACCGTGCTGGGTCCCGGACAGTGCCCATAGTGCGTCCCTTGTATGGTGCCGGGTCATTCTTCGGCACGCGTTTAGGCTTTGGGCACACCTGCGGCACGATTTTTGCGCATTGAGACATCGCAGATCCAGAACGATACAGTTTTGCAGGACCTTGCCGTGGTCACCGCCTTCTACGACATTTACCAAGTCGGGCGGAGTTGGGCGAAGCCATCAAAGAACTGTGAGGTCTATTTTGTGATGACGGTCATCGGATCTAATCTTGTGAGCTTGAGAGACAGTTGCTCACCTCACAGTCTCACACGGAACACGCTCAACTCCAGCAGCTTACGTGAATAGGAACGTCAAATGACAGTGCCATTTTGCATCCATGCATGCCTCCCTTCTGGGGAGAAACCGGTGGTGACTTGGAAATGACGTCCGTACCGTTGAGCCTCGTAACACCAGGATAGGGCGCTGTGTTGATCGCACGGAAATACCTGTAGACATTGAGGTATCGGGGCCCCCGCCTTAAAAACAGCGGAGAATAATATCAATGAAATTGCACGTCAGCATTTTTCTTCAGGCAGGCCTCACATTCCAAGTCACAGTTCACTCACTTTGATCGAGAACCTCCCCGAGAACCTCCCCGTACACTCTCATTCTCGGTGAGCCACGAAGTACACTGCTGGTGTTCTCCTTATTCCCTCTTTTTCTTGGTACATCCGCGCGAGCCTGGTGAATGCACCTGTGGAAGTGAGCAGGTTGCATATGAGTAGATGGGACCCAATTGGTTGCACCGTTCAGGCAACTATTACTCCAGCCCGGGTGTATACAGCGTTCACGCTATCAACCAAGTCGAAGATGGAGGTGAGAGTTGAGTAATGGTACGTACTTCTATGTGAGCAGACCTTTATGAACTGCCTTGCACTGATTATCCCCATCAATACGAGGGCTACGAGATGATCGCTCATGACGTTGTAAATCTCCTGACTTATGAGTCAAGTCACCGACAGGGAATTTCATTCCCAACATGCAGCAGTGAGTTCTCTGAGCTCGAGTCAGGTTCTGTATAGGGAGATGATAGCCCTCGAAGCTGACCGTGTTATCTAAGATACTATCGGTGAATTCTGCGGTAAGTTTTAATACTACATGCCGGAGATTACACCTCACCTGGAGGCATCCAGCTTCCGTCATCCACCATCACCCACACGGCGCGTCTGTTGATGGATTTGTTGCACGCGACCATAAGGCAATTAGATGTGTACTTGTACTGCCTCACCATGACATCGAATCAATAAAAGATATCTTGGCACGTATGACGAAAGGAGGGATACCATGGCTGCTCAGTTCACCTGTGTACCAAGGTGGACTGTTCCATAACGCGGTCCGCATATCTCGACATGATGAACATAGCCAGGGTTCGGGATATATGATACAGCGAAGTGAAGGGTTTCGGAGATTGACTCCACGTGTTACAGGTACGTTGAGGACAACCGTCCGTCGCGGGCCGCACTGAAGTCTCTGCGACGTTGGTGAGCAGTGAGCCCAGGCCGAAAATAGCGAGCAGAGTCGCGGCAGACCACGGCAGGCGGTGCACCATGATGTATATGGGTTATCTTCGCATCCCCGACGATGATCTGCTTGAGTGCCGGTCTGTGGCACTTACATCGCGTAGAGAGCATGTCGCGACTCACGTGCAGCACGCGGTACGTGTAATGGGCGGCTATGGTAGTCCTCCTCCTACGCTTGCACCTCGTTGACTGGGGACGCAGACCATATGTCTCCTGAGTGCGTACACAAAGCTCCTAAGTTACCGTGATTATCACGCGACAGCAACGAGATGTCTCACCACGCCGTTACCAGGACCGCCCATCGCATGCAATACAGAGCGCAGCGGCTTCTTTTAAGACTTGCGACTCTCACATTGCACCTTCACGCAACCCTCGCTCACTTCATCGTGAAGCTCCCTGATAGCATCTTCATCAGTATTCATTCAAGCATCCGTCCAACAGCCCTCCTGTGGCCCAGAGACCCCACCTGACGATCCGCACGCCTCATCTTCGATAAGTACTCACCTCCTATGCCGCCCAAGGACATGTCCCCTGCTCCCTCCCTATCCCGCCACTCCTCTTTGGTCGAACGTATCTCATCCGCGATACCACGCCCTCGCTTGACAAGTCTCCGCTCGCGCAAGTCGAACTCCTCCATGTCATCTGTAAACGCCAAGGCCGGCAGGAAATCCAACGGAAACTACACACCTTATGCAGTATACCAGCAGACCATGTTTCCAGCCATCCTCCGCGATGCAGATGCAACCGCAAAGCTCCTCGAGACCATTCTCGACAGCCCTTCCGGGCGTCGCTCGCTGTACCGTCTTGCGCGCACATGCAAAGCCCTGAAGGAGCCCGCGCTCGACTTGCTATGGCGCGACTTGGATTCGCTTGCGCCACTTATCGCTCTCTTCCCTAATACTCTGCTCAAGCGTGCCCGTCGCCCGGGCCTAGGCCTGGTACGCTTTCTCTCCCTGTCCGCGCGCGACCAATCTCACCCTCCATCCATCTCCGTACAGGCTAAGAACCCTGTGCCGGAAGACTGGACAGCACTCCTTGCCTACGGGGAACGTGTGCGCAGCATCGTATATGCCGAGAGTGTGGGTAACATCTCCCCGTCGATCTTCCCAATCTTCGAGGAGCTGCGTCCGAGGAATTGGCTTCTGCCCAACCTCACGTCCCTCACGTGGAAGTCTGAGACGGCCTCGGGACTCGAGCGTTGCCGCCTCTTCTTGGGTCCGGAGCTTCAAAACATTGTCCTGGAGGTTGGAACGAAGCACCCGAAGCTGAATGATTTGCTCGTGGAAGTGGCAGGACATGCTCGACTCTCGTCCCTGTCCTTCACTCTGCACACCAACCTTCCGGATGATTTCACCGACACCTTCCACGATAATATTGGCCTGGAACGGCTCGCCCTGACTGCGCCTGGAGCGCTGTCTTCCAGAGTGGGCAAGTGGGCTTCTAATCTCCCTGTATTGCATAGTCTGCAGCTGGATCTCACCGGGCGCACGACGACCGCGGTGGAGGGTTTCTTCGACGATATTGATCCTGGATCGGGATATTCCACGCCCAGTTCTGTTGGTGGTAGTGGTGGTACGGACAGCGGCGTTTTCTCTGGTGACGAGCTAGACTTTTCTGAAATCCGCAAATCTGCAGTGCGACTGACGCACGTCGGACCAAGCCACACCGCGTTCGCACAGCTGACACAACTGCAGCTGAGTGGTGAAGCTGCGAACATAGCCATGTTCCTGAAACACCTCGGCAGTCCGCTCAGCCAGCTTGAGCTTGCAATGGATGATCCGCCGGCTCCAGACGACTGGCAGGAGATGTGCGCGCTGGTTTGCGAACGGTACGCAAGCTCTCTGCGTGCGCTGCGCATCGGACCCACGAGCGCGTCGCGTTTCAATGAGCTAGTCCGTTCCACATCGCGGGGTGGAGATGCTCCCGTTCGTCACCTCCCCTTGACACATCTCGACGCTCTGCCGCAGTTGCAACGTCTCGACATCGATCTTCCCGAGTCCGTGGTGTTCCACGATGCCGACATCACGCATCTTGCGCATGTCTGTCCCGCTCTGGAGGTACTCCGACTGTGTCCCCTCGCACGATTTCCCCCAATCACCGGTCCACCATCCTTGACTCTCGACAGTCTGACCTCACTGACACGTCAATGCCGTCGTTTGCATACCTTGGCAGTTGTTGTCAATGGGCTCGAGGGTTCTAAGGAGACATTTTCCATGCGAGAAGTGTCTTCGCGGTCCTTGCTGCGACTGCAACTCGGCCATTCTTGGATCAAGGATCCGCTCCAGATGGCTATCCTCATCAGCCATCTCGCACCATACCTTGAATCACTTAAGTGGTTCAACGAAAAGAATCGCGCAGGTGTGGTGGAAACCAATGCTGTTGCATGGCAGAAGGTCTCGGAATTCCTCCCGCACATCCAAGGTGTACGCTTGATGGAAAGGAGTTTGCAGGAACAGCCACAATTACAGCCACAGCAGCCGGTTTACGTCCCACCAGAGACTGCCGAAAAGGAGGTCGATGCCAGCGTGAGCACCACAGATAGAGGGATAACAGCTCAGCCTGAGCTTGTCGAGGACTCGGTCCAGGTGGAGGTGGAAGTCGTCGACTTTTCCACGCAGGCAAGGCCAGAGACGTCTGAGATATCCATCGATGCGACACCAGTCCTCTGTGACGCAGAAGTCATGGTCGTTCCAGACGTCGCGGAACAGTCTGTAGCCGTCCATCCAGATACATCTGAGAAGGAGGTGGATATGGCGCCATTAGATGTTCTCGCAAGATCAAATGAACTCACGAGTACAGAGGATCATTCGTCCCACACCCTCCCCTTCCTCCCATCAGCCAGCGGCTTGATCTCTCTCACCTACATGGTGGTCCGCTTCTACACTATGCCAATCCGATATATGTTTTCCTTCATGCCTTCACTGCCAAAATTCTCTCGCTCCCCTGCACAAGCAGAATCGAAGCCAGATTTTTCAGTACCAGGAGATATGTCGCAAGAAGGGAGCGGGAGTGGTGGGGAGAAGCCTGAGAGTCGGATGGATGCAAGTTCGTTGGACTACATCTCCCCTGTTTGTCAATGATTTTTTATACGACTATGTCCTATGCTCATATGTACTACGTGCTGGCACTCACCTAGGACACTGACTATGCTTATGCCTCTATGAATGCTGTCATTTCACCAGCGGAAACTACGTCTCAGGGAGAGGTAGCAAGAGCGTCCGAGAAGGTCGCGTCGACAGACACGCGTGACAAGCACGTGAGCGCAAGCGGTTCCCAGAAAGGAAAGTATGAAAGAGACGTAAGCGCGACGCGTAGTCTACCGACATACCTCAACGTCCAACTCCGTATCACTAGTCCACTACCTCCGTCTCCCTACATCATGGCCGAACCCAGAAAACAGGAGAAAGACTACACGAAGGAGGTTGACGAACTTCTGCTCGAGACCAAGGTACTTGCCCAGGTGCGTGTGTCGTCCAACCGCTCTCCATCGTATTAAACCACGGACATTCAAGCAAGTCTGGCAAATTGCAAGATGCTCTTGACAAACTCTTTGCGATAGAGAAGCAGGCCCGTAATGTGCGTATACTGCTAAGCTTGTATCTCGGTGCTTGTTGCAACGTCTATTCCTAGGCTTCGGACATGGCTTCTACCATTCGCCTTGTGAAAGAAATCCTAGAACTGTGCTATACAGCACACGACCACGCACTACTGAACTCCAGCATCATTAATCTCAGCAAAAAGCACGGCCAGCTGAAGACTGCCATTACCGCCATGGTAGAGCAAGCCATGGGATGGCTGGAAGAAATCCGGACACGCGAGGGTACCGATAAGTGGCTGGAACTCATTGAGACGTTGAGGACTGTAACCGAGGGAAAGGTGTGTTTGGTGCCACTATTCTCTTCGTCTGCATGTCGTCATCTCGATGTTGTAGATTTTCTTGGAAACACCTCGTGCGCGCGTCACACTTCTTCTCGCTCATTATCATGAATCGCTTGCCAACTCCCCAACACCGACGTCACCACCACCTAAGGAATCCTTGCAGACCGCTTCCGACCTTCTGTCTGATCTACAAGTAGAGACATATTCGTCGATGGAACGTCGGGAGAAGACACAGTTCATTCTCGAGCAGATGCGATTGTTGATCGCAGTCGCGAGGCAGAAGGATACGGAAATAGGTCAGGAAGGCAAAAGGGATTCAATCGGTGGTGGTGAGGCGGAATGGGTGAAGGTCAGGGTTGGCGGGAGGAAAGTCAACGAAGAATTCTTGAAGGACAAGGAAAATGAGGTTCGTCCGGATCCGTCCATGAGTATTCAAGGTCGACTTATCTTCCTTACAGGACCTTAAACTCAAGTACTACGAAATGATGATCCAGTATGCTCTCAAGCATAGCGCATACCTTGACGCCGCGAAGTACTTCCATAAAGTATGGGACACACCGTCAATCAAGGAAGATGAGAAAGGTCGAGGACTGCAGGTGTGTGCGCATCTCACGTGCACGAAATGATTCTCATGTTGCTGTTAGGCACTCGAGCACATTGTCTTTTACATTGTTCTTGCCCCACATGACAACGAGCAGTCTGATATGCTGCATCGTATTTTCGAAGATCCTGCCTTGAAGAATCTCGACCTTCACTAGTACGCGTTGTGCACCCACGTATGAACTATGTCATGCTAATCCATCAATAGTTCCCTGGTAAAGTGCTTCACAACCGTGGAGATCATGCGATGGCCAGGCATTGAGGAGCTGTATGGTCCCCATCTCAAAATGACGGGCGTCTTCAGGGAACCCAAGTTGTGGGAAGATCTCCACATGCGAGTGATTGAGCACGTGGGTCATCAGCTAACCTTGCCCTCTAATTCGATCTCATAGCGCGTTCTCAGAACATCCGTATTGTGGCGAAGTACTACACGCGAATAACTCTGGCCCGCCTAACGGATCTTCTCGACTTGCCTGCACAACAAGCGGAGGAGACCCTTTGTCGACTCGTTGTCTCTGGCACAGTATGGGCGCGGATCGACCGGCCGGTAGGCATAGTCAACTTCCGCAGCGACAAGAGTGCAGAAGACGTGATGAACGATTGGAGTTCAGACATGAAGCAGCTGCTCAGTCTAGTCGAGAAGACATGGATGGGAGTGAACGCTGCTCATGCCGCGCAGTCGCGAGCAGTGAAAGCGTAGTGTTTACATGTTGTAGCACTTTTTCATGGACAGTATTTTCCTCTCCCTCAGCCGCTAGCGAGTTGGTTGGCCTCCCTCAGTTGCGAACCGAAGATGCCTACGCCCTTATGTGTACAAAATTGCAACCATGAAGTGCTACCTCAAACTTAAGAACTAAACCACGTCGAATGCCAACCCTCGGGCAGCGCTAGAATCAGTGAGCGAGCCTGCGAAGAACGACAGGTGATCGTGCATTTGAACGGTAGAGGACGCCTGCGCGAACATCAATACCATTACGTTATCTCCAAAGTCAAACGCACCTTGCACTTCCCGCGGTCCAACGTGGTTCAGGAATATACTCCGAGCCGTGTTCATCTCTCGGATTCGATATCGTGAACGCCGCAGCAATCAAGGCAACTGCAATAAATACTGAGGCTTCCCCCACAGCTTTTCCCGGACAAACACTGTACGCCTGTTGACTTAGTGCGCCATGAAGGCGAAATCAGACCTTGCACACCGTTTTCCCCAGCCAAAGGCCATGTTGACAATATTGCTAGCATATTCACTGTCCGGACCCAAAAATCGTGAGGGATTAAACACTTCGGGATTAGGGAATGTTTCTGGGTCGTGAAGAATAGCCCTGTGGGTGCAAAAAATGTGAATGTGATGTGCTACGCTTCTGAAACCGGAGATCGGACCATAAATTGCCTGTTACCGATGAGCCTGCAGGGATATCGAACCCTTTATATGTGTCGTCGTCGATACTCGCATGAGGAAAGGCACCTACAAGAGCCTGTTACTTCAAAGTGTCGCTGAGAAAATATGAAGATTCCTACCCAGTGGAACTATTGCATTCCAACGAAAAACCTCCTTCAATAGACATTCGATATATGGCAAGGAACTTCTGTCCTCAAATGTAGGAAGCCTGTCAGTCCCAACGACAGCGTCAAGCTCCTCCTGAACGCGCCTCTGTACGTCTGGGTACAGTGTCATGGCAAGGATAAATGTTCGTATGGAATTCGCAGTCTGGAATGCATGGTGTATCAGCCATGTAGCCTTGTCTGAATAGGCGGGTGCATGTCCTACCGTGTCGGAACCAGCACTGTAAAGATTGCCTGCGACGTCTCTGATTAACTCTTCCTGTTTTCGTGCCTCTGACTCATCTTCCGGCAGGTCTTGAAGTAGAGTCGCAACGAATGATGGACTGGCAGTTCCCCTTGCCTGATCAGGGATCAGTATCTCTGAGTACTACCTTACAAGTAGTCGTACCATGTCAGCCTTGACCTGCTGAAACGGGATATCTCTGAACTGGAAGTTCAGCTCTCTGAATTTTCGTACATCGCGCTGGAACGAAAACGGCATCCACTCAGGATAATGTGCAACTGCTGTACATGAGCAAATTGTTATTCGGGAGATGTGCACGACGCACGGATGGGAAACGCGTCCACCAGACGGTGCCATACGCGAGATATTGTTATGCGATTTCTCTGCGCAATTAGAGCTAGAAGAGGGTCATCTTTCTCTTTGCTACTGAGCCCGTATCCCATTTGCAACACTACATCGGCGGCAAATCTATAAACCGTTCCCTGAAGCTTGGACAGCTACATTGAGAGAGGAGAAGGCTGACAATTGAGCAATCGTGAAGAAATTTTGCGGAGACTCCAGTAATCTGCGAAGCATCTGGTATGCCGCCACAAGCTGCAATTGTTGCCATGAACGGACTTGGCCAACAAAGTACTTCTGGAAGAAAGCGCGGCGTTCTCGCCACGGCTCTCCTGCAAGAACCAAGAATGACCATTTCCAACCCATCCTGCGAGGGTGTCAGTTGTTCTGAGACGAAACGGGCCAGTCAAAACAAGGTAGCGGGACAAACACCTCGTTCGTCATGAAGGAATAAGGCCGTCCAGAATAATTCGCGGAACGTTTGTCAAGTATTTCTCTGGCAGCAGCAGCTGTATTTAACACGATCATATGTTTCCTGGCCCGTTTCAGGTGCATGATCTCCCCTGCATGAACATGTCATGGGAGTGCTACGGATGAGACCTTTGCCGGTCGTGCAAGATGATTCTACTTACCATATTCGTGCGGCCATTGCTCTAATACTTCAAGTGTGTGCTTGTCAAGATCGTTCCCGACGATGGGCAGAGACCTTGGGCCAGGCGGCAACCTTCGACGTTGCAGACTCCTTCGGTAGAAGTAGTACACAACACCTATAGCGGTGAGAGCCACTAGCCAATCGAGTCCAATGCCAGCCATAACGGCACTCAAGCCTGAACACGCTCACTTCATTAGAGGTCGCTACAGTCAAAGTCGGGGCACGGCGGCGCCACAACGCCGCACGTGCACTCAAAGTTCCCAATCGACTCTTCGTACATCGTGAATCAGAAGCCTAGAGTACTCTCTAATTATAATAAAGTGCTTGTGAAGCTAGAGATATACAGCGACTGCCCGCCAACTACGCTCGCGCCCTTATAGCCTCTGCCAAGGCGAAGGGATCCTTTTTGAAAGACGTCTTTTCCTCCGTAGTGAACGCGGTGGACGTCACACCAGCCCGCGTAAGTGTCCTCTCAGTCAACAACGGAGCATAAGTAGGCCGTATGCCTTCTTGCCACAACCGCACATACTCCTGCCCCTTCGTCCACGAGCCCGGCAAAGCACTTTCCACAATGGCCTTCCAGCGTTTACGAGCAGCATTCTCGTTAGCATCCTGCTCCCGAGTCTTCTCCCAAGTTTCCAACGCCTTGCCCTCCCTTTCGAAGGCAATATCGACTTGCGAGGGCCCGAGCTGCAAGCCGTAGTAATCCGCCTCAAGAAGGGCATACGACCGCGCAATATGTTGTTCGGAACGAAGAGAACGGAATTGGGCAACCGCAGAGGTATATGCATTGGTTAGTGGCTGGTCATGGTGCAAGTGCAGGTTGGCGGCATATCGAATGGCGCTGCACAGACATGTCGTAAGACAGTAGTGGGAGTCAGAGAAGATAGAATACTCACTCTTCTGGTGTTGGGTTTCGGCCCCTCTGTCTGAGTCTCGTCCATTCCTTCCCTTGTATGGGATGCTCATCCTCGATATGCGCGCCCTCCAGTAAGGTCGTAGGGCGGAACGCCTCGAATGGATGATCGCGGAAGAACTGTCTGCGAATCTCGTCCTCTACATATTGCACAGGTAATGGGTGTGGTTTCTCTATACGCGTTCTGCCTGAAGATGCATGTTTGACATGGGTATTCTTTGTGGGTAAGTCGTAGTTTGTGCGAGGAGGTGGATTTTTCGCTGGGAGTGGAAGTGGTGGATGGTCGAGGACAGCCTGATACCACAGAGGCTCGCGCCTGAGATAGTTTTGACGCAGTAGACGGGATGCCTGCTTGTGCACTTGTGAGGCAACCCGCTTCGACATTGTCGCCCCGGCTGTGCTCACTCGACACTCGACTTCAAGTTGTGCAGTCCATCGCGGTCTCCGCCACAAACCAAATAGACATCAATACATCTTCCCAACGGTTTGGTACCGGCATAGGCCGAAATGCTCGTCGCTGTCCTGGTTTGGCAACTGCAGTAGTACATCAGGCAGCGCAATCCGACCCATTCAGATTCCCTTCGCGGTGTTCACATGTTCGCCACCAATTCGCCACCTCTGGTTGGTAAGTATGTCACTGGAAGTGAGGTTTGAAGTCTTCTAGATCGCGGGATTATGTTTCCTGTTATCTATTGTGCAAATACGCTGGACTGGATTTGTTATCTCGATGTGCGGACCAATGTCTCCTAACTTGGTAGATCGCTCCATGATAGTAGGGTGTAGATAACGCGGCATGCTGGGCGGCCCCATGGGTCGTTCCAGCAGTTATAAAAGAGCAGCAGAATCCACAGGAGCTCTCCATCGCCAGCTACCCAACCAACCACCACACTCAGCTTTTAACCACCCCAGCCCCAACCAAGTTTACCATGGTACGCGACCACGGACTGCACCTCGGAGAGATTTCTTACCTGATTTCACTCATTTTTCCGCAGCCCGAACAGCCCCCTTCCAACGTTAAGTGCGCTGCCGCTGCCTCCGGTGTCGGGGCTTGCTCCTACCCCAGCTGCGCCTGCGGCGAGGCCCCGAAGGCTTAGACGCTGATCATCGCTCTGCGCGTCGTCCGAGTCGTGTCGCTGTTGGAGGAGTGCGCGTTGATTGAGTAGAGTTTTGCGGGATGTACGTTATCGGATGCAGTTGAAGGTGAAGGGGCGCGGAGTTATGGTGTTTGTAGAAATCGAAAATCCAAGTTGGTGATCGCGAAGCTGTGCTGAGATCTGCGAACGACCTTAAAATTTCTAGATCTCGAGGATATCTCAAGGATAGTCAGGACTCTACCAGTCTGAGCATGGGTGCCTGCGACCAATAGGATATCGTCTAATTGTGATCACAGCGCTGCGGTACTTGTGGTTTTGGGTCTAGCACTTTCTCCTGCTTATCCCTTCGTCGCGGTTGAGCTCAATGACGAGTCTGCCAGGATATGTGATACAGCATCCGTCGAGGGTGTTCCTCTCTACGACCACGGCACTCGGTGCCCTCGCGCTTTCCCCGAGTCCTCCCCTTATTCCGCTAATACTGTTGTTGGCGACTTTGCATCTACATCTTTACATGCTCATCCCCCGGCACAAAGTCCTATCTCATGGATCGGTTCAGGTGTTGTTCCTATCCGGGGCAGCTGGACTGGCGCACGTAGGACCGTCCTTTCAGGCGCTCTCGACCCCCGCCATCTCGTTCGTGTCCTTGGGGGTTATCTCATTTATCTCCTCCTCATTTGCATTGCTGTCCATTGTTCTGAGCTATTACGGTGGACGATTGACCCATTCACACTGGACACAAGCTCTGCTCTTTCCATCGATATGGGCGAGCACCTGGGGTATCGTCGCATACTCTAGCCCGGTTGGCCGGCTGGTGACATGGAGTCCCGTCGTCGGCTTGGGATACTACAACTGGATGCGAGAGATTTTTGGGCAGTACGGGATCGACTGGGTTGTTGCAGGTTGGGCCGTCGTTATTGCAGCTGCGGTTGGTCAGTGGCTGGTGGGTCCAGCTGGAGACGCAGACGTTGCATCGTCCGAACCAGAGCACCTGATCTCTCTTCCACTGGAGGGGCTTCCTGGCGGTCGCATATCCAAGGATTCCAAGTCCAAGCTTCGTCATATGTTAGTTTTGGCAGGATTCTTGGTCATACTCACTCTGCCATCGTTCTTCATGTCATCTCTACCTCTTCCGGTCAATTCCCCCGGCATCACACCTCTCGGTGTTGCATGCGCTCTCCCGTACCCTCATCGCTCTGGTCGGCGCAGAGATCCTCTGACCCTTCTGGACTTCATCATGGAGTCGCAGAGGTTGCAATCTCAATCGAACATCGTCCTTTGGCCGGAAGGTGCCGTCCGATTTGACACATTGGAACAGAAGCAGAGGGCGTTTCTCATGGCCCAGAGGAGCATGAATGCTGGCAGGTACTATGCAATTAGCTTTGAGGAATATGTACCTCCTCAGCCCTCTGATGACCAAGGAGTAGCCGGCATTCGGCGGAACGGTCTCGTTTTACTTGGCTCAACGGGACCACCCGTCTTCGAGTATTACAAGCGGAAGCTTGTACCCAGTATGTCTGTCTTGCATGCAAATGAATCTTATCTGATTGGATGTACAATGTAGTCGCAGAGTCGTTCTCCCTAACGTCATCTTCTGATCCGCCGACTATTTTCAACTTGGAGTTAGGTCCACCGAAAAGTTGGAACAAGACAACCTGGGCGCCAGGCAACCACACACGCCCCATACCGCTGACTGCTTCTATCTGTCTCGACTTCTCTTCTTCGTCGGCATTTGACGGTCTTCCATCCCGCCCCGCGCTCATCCTTGCACCTGCTCGCACCTGGCATATCGACGTTGGATATGCCATGTGGCAGCAGGCGAGGGCGCGCGCAGAGGAAATTGGCAGTACGGTCCTGTGGTGCGATGGGGGCGAAGGAGGCGTTAGCGGTATTGCCGGAGGCGGCATGCACGAGATCGTCCAGGTCGGACAGGGCTCCTGGACTCGGACGATCGGCGTGCATTGGCCATTCGACCAGCGCCTCACATTCTTCGCGCGTGGTGGAGACTATGCGGCTCTGGCTGCAATTTGGGCCATCCTTGGTGCTGGATGGGGAATAGAGTTCCTCAAGATCACTGGTTGTCACAATGGTCACAGGTTTGGGACCTGGATCATGGGGCAGCTGAGAAAGTTGCGTGCATTGCGCTCGCCGCATGAGAGGGATCAAGAAATATTGATTGATGATTCGTGAGTTCTTCTTCGATTCGCAGTGTCAGATCCAACGAGCCAGCTATGTACGTGTCCTCTCGAATTGCTACTTGCTAGGTGAGCTCTTGAGTCTGAATAGTATTGTTAAATGTTGTGCAAGTCACCGGCGTTCGTTGTTAATAGTACGTTCGACTAGCGATCAACTTTCAAACTGTGTTGATCGTCGTTCTTCGTTCTTGAACATAATGGTACCTTTTTTGGTATCGTACTCGGCCCTTGTGTGTGATTATCACGTTGAACATATCATGGTCAGGCGTGGGTTCCGCTGGAACGTTTGTCGTAACGTTCTGCTCATGTGCCAGTGGAACAAGGGACTGCTAGTAGTATTGCAGCGCCTACTATTCGGCTGTGATTCAGCTTGTGCGTCTGAAGTTTTCCTCAGTGACAGCTGACAGCACGGTGCATGTATGCTTTAGAAAGTTGTGGAACGACGTGATAGCGGGACGTACTGGAAAGCCGGCTTCCCGCAGCTGCCTAGGTATTTATGTCCCCACGAACGGAATCAATTCAGAACATGCAGAATATGCCCACATCGTTCGCATGATCTATCAAATCATATACCTGGTATATGTCTGTTCAGTCAATCAAGGTAAGGAAGCTGGGGCCTGCGTACCCGCATGGAGCTGCCATCTCGACCATCTCCGGGGAGTGCTAGGCACGAAGAAGGGTGGAACACGCAGGGTCCGTAAGGATCAATGAGTCCACTCTTCTGAAATTAAAGATAGCCTAGAATTTCTGAAATTAAAGATAGCCTAGAAACAAAATGACCATCATGATTGGACATACGGCGATGGGTACAACTTGAGCCCGGGACATAGTATCGCATGAAGTTCGTACCCCGGCACAAGGACCTCATGGACGAAGTATGACGGGTCCTGACCGGCGCTCGCGATAAGCAAGAACATACCTGGGCCCACGCGTTTTTCGTGTTGGGGAAGGGAGGCATAAGGTCGAACGACCTTGCAACAACACTGCGGATTGAAGTACAAGGCACCCTCTTCGTCATGGATCTCTCTCACGTTCTCGACATGAACGCATTCACTTCATGACTTGATTCATGTATAACGTATGATCGTATGGCTTTCGTATGAATATCCTCGCCGTCGCCGGCCAAGCGTACTCGGCCTAAGGAGTCAGTGTCCCACCGTTCGTGCACCATTGATTTGCTCCATCGGGCCTCTTCAAGTAACGGATAACGACCATTCTATCTGGTCACGATGAAGGCCCACCATTTAATCGCAGGAAGGCGTGTATGAAGCAGCGTTGTCGCGTGTGCCAGGTGCAGCTCTGTGGAGGTGATTCGGAGCCTCGGGCGGTATGCACCTGATCTTCAGTCAACAAGTTTCTCCCTCCAACCTTTAACAATTTTTACTTCGGAGACGATGTTAGCGGCAGACTTTGCTGGAAGCTATAGGACGACCAAGTCACGTCCTGGAGCTTCAAGCTTCAAGAAAGAGATTGAGCCAATTCGTCGGGAGAAGCCGATCCTGCCTCGAGATTGCCTCGAGGCTCCGCGATCAAGTCAGGCAGATTTGGACTCACAGCTAAGTGGGTACGGTCTCTTACTCCTCTCACTTCGTCCGGTGATATGTAAGTCATTAACATGCCTTCGCCGAACTTTTCTTGAACGTTCAGTCAAATTCGCCGCAGTGTGCAGTGCTCGCCGAGACCGGCAGGTTTACACGCTCGTCTCGCGCTACACTGTCCTTCATCTAGCTCCTACGTGCTTCAGGTCTTTCTCTCCTCCCAAGGTCCGCTCTTTGACAGACCTGTGAGTTACTATGCTTTCGTTCAAAAATCCTTTCCGGTCGAGAAACGCTTCTAGTCATCATGGCTTCTCGCGCACCTCGCCGACGCCTCCTGCAGACAGCTTACCGATTGCATCTGCAGAACAGGACACTCATCCTAGAAGAAAATTGGTAGCAGTTCCTGAGGAGAGTGTGCTCGCGGTAGAACAGTGTCCGGACGATTTCGAGCAAATTTCCTACGACGAGCTTCGAGTTTCCATCCTCCTTGGAAGTTCTTCTGGGTTTCCCGAACCTTCCGGTAAGCACCATTGATTTAATTAGAAACGGACAGCGAGTTAAATACATACTACTAGACGATCAGACCCCGGTATACCAGTCGTTCCTGTCTCGATCTCGTTCGTCACTTTCTCGTCTTCGCAAATCATCCAAGTTTTCGCCGAAGAGACAGCAAAAGGCTTCGAAACAGTCTAGCTACGACAATCTAACGCAGTCCCAGCCTACCCCCACCAACAAACGGGCGCTTGTACTTGCTTTTCCTCGACCACCTGCTTCCGAACGCGATTCATCCCCAGAACCGTCTGGATCATCAGCTCACACGAGATCCTGGGACGCGAACCCTCTAGGCACTGACAGTCAGGAAATCGTTCGTTTTCGTCGCGTCGATAAGACCACTCCTACTTCCCCACCTATCTCAGTCGAATCCTACAGCAGTTCGAACCCACTTGCAAAAGCTCTCAAACGCCTTCGAAGGTTTGCTAAGAGCAGATCGTCTCTCCATCTCCATCATCAGTCCCCACCGCAAGTACGCGAGGTTTTTCCTAGCACATCTGATAAAGGAGAACCGAACTGCCCGCCAGCAGGAACACCATCCCTTGATCGATCTGTCGGGCTTCCAGAGCTTTCGTTCGAACAGGTCGATTTCTCGTTCCTAGACGAGCGGGATTCTTGGCGATTCTCTGTAGCCTACCAAAGAGATCGCGGAACACTATCCGAGACTCCTCACCAGCCCTATCTTCTCGAGAGTCCACCTCAGCTTCAACTAGTTCGCTACGAAGTTGTAGATCCTCGTGACTTAACCGCATCTCCGGTATCAACATTTAGCAAGTTTTCGCCGACAGCGACACCATTACCTCCAGGATCTCCCTCTTGGTTATCTCGAAACGTAGCAGAGATCCAAACACTTGAAGACAATTCTCCTATCTTGCGAATTCCTCCGCCATCTCCGCGGCCATTGCCAATCCTCCCTCGATCTCTCCTTCCGGTTTCATCTTCAGAGAATAGAGTTTCTCAGGTTCGTACCGCTCTTGCTCATCGTTCATCGTTATGACGCACCTGACGTGGGAAATTCATAGATCTATCGCGACCTCGCAATTGACGCACCGGAAAGTCCGCATTCCACAGCTTCTTCGACTACTCTTTTTGCCGCTTCCAGACGTGATTCAGCTCTAAGCCAATCGTCAAGAATCGATCAACAGTCTCCCTCTGTTAATCGATTGTCAGTCGTCCACTATCGCGAATCGTTTATTGAGAGTGGCAGCAACAGACATTCCTGGGTCGCCTACGAGTCGATTGCGTATTCTTCTGAGAAAGGCACTCTCGTTACTGACGCTGCGGAGACCTCAACCGTAAGTGTGTAATCCCTTCTTTCTCCTACAGATCTGATAGATTGCAGGGTTCTCCTCTGAATTTCTTTCTTCTATCCTCTAACGCTGAAGATCAGCCCTTACCTCCTCTAACTCTCCTCGAGTCTGGTACGCACTCACTGCTGATCGTCAGCGCCTTTCATTTTACTCAATCTAAGTATGTTCAAGGTAATCCCATCGCATCTCTCCCCGATCAGCCAGCTACATCACTTGCTCTATCGCAAACCTCCCGTCGTCCATATTCCATTTTTGTTCCTTCCCAGCGGGAATCGCAAGACTTCGGCTACGACCATTTTCCCATTCCGAGCTATCTCGTCACCCTGGTCCAGAACGCTTTCCGCAGCTCCCAATTGATTCACATGCCCGTCGACGCGTACGGCAAAGAGATTGAAACGGTCGATTGGGGCAATGAGCCGGACTACTCAAACTACGAGTGGTTCAAGGAACCACCGCCACGTCCAGAGGTCAGTCGAGCTCGCATTGACACCCTGATTCAAAGCTTATCCTAATACGTGCACATAGCCTGCACCATCAGCCACGGAGAACTACGTACCCCAGCCTGGCGTTGTCGAGCAGAACAACATGTTCACTTACGCGCTGAGCAGTGCGCCGAACGTGCTCTATGCGCGTTACAAGCAGTATGGCCAGGTAAGCAGGATTGTTTGTATGAAATGTGCCATGTCTTCTGATGTCCCCGACCACAGCTCGGTGTGCTAGGATGGTGCTCCGAATTCAGCGAGATGATCGACGCACTGAAGACCCTCGGGTTTGAGGGGAACATGTTCGTGGCAACGCGGACGCAGGCTCTGAAGACGTGCGAGGAGATCCTCCGGCTGAAGCTCAAGATTGACATGCAAATCATCGTGATGTACCTCTCTTCCCAGGTCGCGCGGCTCCGCAGATTCCTGGACGGGGAGCGTCAGTGGGATGATTACCCGGAGTTGTCATTCCCGATCGACCCAAGGCAGTACACATAGGACCGTCAGTGAATCTGCTGCTATACTGTGAATCGTCCTATTTGTTGCTCTTCGTGGATATGTTCTGTTTGTAGTTTCGCAACATCTGTATCTATATACGCCGCAAAGTTAGTCACATGCTTGCTCCTGGTTTTCTCAGTCTCCCTACTCGCACCATATGTTGTATCACAATTGAATGTGAATGAATTGATAGCATCTCAAACATATATGCAAGTAATGTACAGCAACACCGACAAAGCATGTCTACGCGCAATTGGAGCAAACATCCAAGACCAAAATCCAAGCGAGGCTGGCGTATCACATTCATGATAGCGTAGATGAGTGCACAGTGGTATTTTATGTCATGTCATGTCATGTCGTATCCTTCGAATATGCAACGGTTGGTATACTCAGTTCCGAGCACTCGTGACCACGCCGGCGTACTGTGCCCACATCTGCGGAGAGCGCGACGCGTCGGACGGAGTCCTGAGCGACGGCGGCAGGGGTGCCGCTTGGTATTGCGAGATACGTGGAGGATCGGGGAGGGGGTTAGCCAGGAACGTGCGGGTTAGTGAACGGGGGTCGTTAGTAGTGTTAATAGAGGGAAAGGGAATACGATCGCGGTCCGAGTTCGACCGCTTGGTGCGCGTGCGAGGGGGTGACGCTTGCGTGGAGGGTCGAGGCTCTGGAGAAGAATAAACGATCGGAAGTGGAGAAATAGGTATCTGAGTATAAGGAGCACCGGTGTGCCCTTGGAAGGGCGACTGCACCGCGTAGAATGTGTGATTTGAGCCATGCGCAGCGCCCGGCACTGTGATTGCTCTCTGCAGGTCCGTGGTGCTAGGGATGGTTCCCGCTCTGTGCATGTCGGCACTGATGAATGTCGAGGGGGGCGAGCTGGAGGCGTTAGAGGCAGGGATGGTCACAATCGGGACGCCATCAGGGCCGTAGAGGCTGCGCGCCTTCCAGAGCCTCTCCAACTCCCATGCTTCCTTCGCTTTCAGCGTATGCAGATCCACGGTGCGCTGCACGTCGGATGTGGGGCGGTTCGAAGTGGAGGTGCGCCGCTCGACTCCAGTGGTCCGCGAGGTGGACGAGTGGGATGGGTGCTTCTGGTGGTGCGCACCGCTGGGGGCAGACGACTTATGAGCACTCATATCCTCGCTCGCTCTGCGCCGCCGCGAAGAGGAGCGACTCAACGTGCGAGTGATGGTGGAGATGACGGCGTCTTTGCTGCTCGGTCGACGGCCATCGTCTACGCTGGGTGCCCGTGCGACCGGACCAGCATGTTCACGAGGCGGTGAGCGTCTGCTGATGGAGCGGGGCAGCCTATGCTGCTCATGGCTCTCTTCCGTGCTGGCGTTGTGGTTCTGCCTCCCGCTCTCATGGTGCTCAGCCCGTCTGTCGTGCTCTTTTGAGGCACGGCGGTCGGAGTGCCTGTCATGCTCCTTGGACTTCTTGGATTCGTTCGAGTCCTGTCGCACGATGCGCTCGTCGTCGTCACGGCGTTCGTTCGAATGTGAGCGGTTCTTCGTCCTGGACCTCTTAGGAGACTCCACCGGCGACTCGACGACCTCCCACTGCTCCATGCCCATGCCAGGGATGACGTCCCCAGCGTCCTCGCGCCCGGACGGACTCCGAATGAGCTTGAACGTCTCCGTCTCCCGGCGCTTGGTCGTGCTCGAAGACTTGTTGTGCTGAATTCCGTCCTTTGCTTTCGCAGCAGCAGCCTCGGCGGCCTTAGCAGCTTCCTGGGCTTTTGCCGCCTCCTGGGCACGCGCAGAGCTCTTGGAGATTCTGGCAGGGAGAATCCTCGGCGAGGCATACGGAGTAGGTGGATTAGCGAGTACGGACGCGCGGGAAAGAGGAGAGTCGTCCACGGAGTCCATCGACGCCGACCCGGCGGTGTACGACAGAGCGTCACGGATATACGTCAGTCCTGTAGACGACACTCCGTTTGTAGACGGGGACGGCGGCAGCACAGTTGGATCTGGGGTCAACGGAAGAACATGTTCTTTCGGAGGCTCCGGCGTACGCGGAAGCTCAGGGAGGGGGGGCAAGGGCGGCGAGTTGGGTGTCTCGGCAGGAAGCGCGGGAGTTTCTGCTATGTGTGAAGGCGGTGGAGGTAACTCGTGCTCGACCGACATCGGTGAAGCAGAAAACGGACCGTCAGGCACAGGGTGGTGAGCCGCATTATGATTCACAGCGTGTTCTACTGTTGGCTGATAAGTAGCTCGAGGCACTTCTGCTTCGGGCTCGTCAGGATTCGCGATGGTCAAGTTGCCCAACATAGCACGCTCCTCGATGGAGGGTGTCTTAGAATGATGGCGCTTCTCTCCTGACGGGGTGCCGTGAGAAGCAGTAGGAGTAGGAGGTTCATCCTCTACCGTTGGGGGCGGTACCCGCTTGACCGGCTCGATACTCTTCACCGAACGCACGGCAATATGTTCCGGAGTCAACAAAGATGCAGGGTCGGTGACGGTATTTGGCTTTCTCTGGACACTGAACCGCTTAGCCAACCGGTGCATGAAGCTGCCGCGTTTCTCCTTCCCAGTCTCGGGATGAAGCATGCCGCTGTGAGCGGAAGCCGAGAGTGGCGGACCGACATCAGACCTGCGTTTGGAGTTCTTCCGCAGAACGCCGTCACCAGCAGGAGCTGTCGCTGACCTTTGATGAACATCGTTGTTCTCATGATGACCGCCGAACAGAACGACGAAAGGCCTGTGTCGCTTGCTTAACCTGCGTGGCATCTGCGGATTATCGATGGACTGAAGATGGACGGCCGAGGTGGACTGAGATAGTGGAGAAGGAATCACTGATTTGTGAGGATTGTCAATCGTGCTCAAGCTCAGCCGGCGAGAGCGGGAATTAACGGGATTCTGCTCATTAGTCGTCAGTACAACTGACGTCCACCCTTGCCAGTTGACACGAACCTCGTCGACACTGAATTCTGTATTGAGGCCAATGTCGTAGGGAGAGTGATGATGCCAATTTGTGCCCCAAGGATCACTTCCGTCAAGCATGTCCACTTCGTCATGAGCAGTCTGTGAAATCTTGCGAGTCCTGAGCTTATTGCCAGCTTCATTGACGAGAAGCTGGGAGGAATTGGGAGTAGGAAGGGGAGAACCTGAAGGGGTCCTGCTCAAACCAGGTATCCTAGTAGACTCTTGAGAACGTTCAGCAGCAGAGATGATGGGAGGGAAGGCGGTAGAGAACTGAGCTGGGGGAGCATTATCGTGTACTGGTAGAAGATGAAAATTGTGATAAAAACGAGGACCACTAGGGTTATGCAAGGGGTATTTAGCCCTGTACTGTGCAGCAGAGGTCAGCGTCGGTTCGATGTCGCGGTGGAACCATGCTGGGAGCTCGTTGAGCGGGTCAGGAATTATGGAGGACGAGTTGGAAGTAACGACAGGAGGATGAGCGGGCAATGCGTCCTTGGACGCGTTCTGGTCTGGTTGGTCAGTTTGCTTGACATCGTTGTTATGATTACCCGTGAGCTCGGGGTCGTGCAGGACGTTCTTGACAGCTTTACGGGTGAAACGACTCTTGGTGCGGACAGACTTGTCTTTGGGGGCTTTCCGCTGGGCGGAATCGTCTGAGCGCATGTCAGCTGTGGTGAGGAGGAGATGGCGGGTGGAGCATTTGTTGCAATGGAGAGAGGCACCACGAGCCTGCAACGCGAACGTCCGCTAGGCGCCCATTTCCGTATTCGGATAGAAACGTGTTGATCACGTGGATACTAGACCTTCTGCTAGAAGAAATAGAAGAAAATCAGCACGATAACTCAAGCGGATAACAGTCGTCCTCACCGAGACTCGGTGAGCTCCAACAACGTATGGCGGTGCTCGCAGAGACTCTGTTCTCTGAGAAAGAGAGTTCCCAATCTCCTGATCCTGCCTCGCACGTCGAAGGCCGAGTGCACGCGCTCCTCGGGGTCTGTGAGTCTCCGCGATCGAGATCTTCGAGGTGGAAGCGCCTATCATACTCAATCTTCAATTTTTTTGGCCATGTCTCTCCGCGTCCTCATCGTCGGCAGCGGCGGGCGAGAACATGCTTTGGCCTGGAAACTGTCCCAGTCTCACCTTGTTGACCACATCTACGTCTGTCCCGGAAATGGTGGTACTTCTCAAGTACCCAAGACCACGAACCTCGATGCTTCACCGTCCAACTTCTCATCGCTAGTAGAACGCGCCGTTCTACTTGATGTGCGTCTGAAGCATTCTGTATACGTCACTAACTAACTTCTATTCAGATTTCTTTGGTGGTTCCTGGGCCGGAGCAACCGTTGGTCGATGGCATAGAGGCACATTTCCGCAAAGGTACCAGTCACTGGCAGTTGTGCTCCCCAACACGCGTCCACGTCGATTCATGCTGTCGCTAGTGGGCATTCCTGTCTTTGGTCCTACTGCACTTGCTGCACGCATGGAAGGGTCGAAGACCTTTTCGAAGACATTCATGGACAGGCACTCCATCCCTACTGCCCAGTTTCGCGTGTTCTCTGCTTCGCAAGTCGATCAGGCTATCCACTACGTTCAGACATGCGGTTTTGATGTCGTGCTCAAAGCGAGTGGTCTGGCGTCTGGCAAAGGCGTCATAATTCCACAAAGCATCGACGAAGCCATCACGGGTCTCCGTGATATCATGGTCGATAATGTCTTCGGACCAGCAGGTCAGTGATTTCCCCGTGCATTGTGATCTTCCCCGTTGATATTGAACTTCTTCCAGGCAGTGAAGTCGTCATTGAGGAATTACTGACAGGACCTGAACTTTCCGTTTTGGCCTTCGCAGACGGCTACACTATCACGGCCCTTCCTGCGGCTCAAGATCATAAGCGAATAGGCGAGGGCGATACGGGCCTGAACACAGGCGGAATGGGTGCCTACGCGCCTGCTCCTATCGCTACACCTGCCATTATGGAGCAAATTATGACGACAGTATTGAAACCTACGATCGATGGGATGCGAAAGGAGGGTATGTTAAGCATCTTTGACAAATCTTCTATTCGTTCTCTCTGAACTCGAGGTTTGTCAAGGTTTTCCTTTCGTCGGAATGCTCTTTACAGGTCTGATTCTCACACCGTCCGGACCAAAGGTGCTTGAGTACAACGTGAGATTCGGCGATCCAGAGACGGAAGCACTTATGCTCCTCCTGCGCGACGATACCGACCTGGCCGCCATTCTGCTTGTACGACTAACTTCGCCCGTCGACGTATTGGCATTATTCACGATTCTTACAGGCCTGTGTGGAGCGTCGTCTCGACTCTGTCCAGATCAGCACCAAGCCAGGCTTTGCCGTCGCCGTCGTTCTCGCTTCTCAGGGTTATCCTGGAAGCTTCGCAAAAGGTAAAGAAATTACCACAGGTGACCTGCCTTCTGGTGCGCGCTTTACTGCCTCGCCTACCGTGTGCGTGTTCATTTGTGGTCGTAGGAGTGGTGGTCTTCCACACCGGAACTCAGAAATCAAATGAGAAGGTGGTGACATCCGGGGGGCGTGTGATTGCAGTGTCCGCGTACGCACCAACATTGCGTGAAGCCTTGGATGCGGCATACTCCGGAGTAGAGAAGGTGTTCTTCGAGGGAAAAGTCTTCAGAAGAGACATTGCGCACCGGTATGCAATCCATCTCTCACTTCCAGCTCGAGTGACGCCATTCTATATTTGGCAGAGCGCTTGCCCAACAACCAGATGTGGCACCGAAGCTCACCTACGCCCAAGCTGGCGTGTCTGTAGACGCGGGCAACGCGCTAGTAGAGGCAATTAAGCCTATGGTACGCGCCACCCGTCGCCCTGGTGCGGATGCCGAAATCGGAGGATTTGGCGGGGCATTCGATCTCAAGGCCACTGGGTACACAGATCCGGTGCTCATCAGCGGAACCGACGGCGTGGGCACAAAACTCCGAGTGGCCATGGACGTCGGGATCCACGAATTCGTCGGTACGTCATTCACTATTTGCGTGTGAGCGCGACGGACGAGCTAATAATAGTCCAGGCGTCGACTTGGTCGCAATGTCCGTCAACGACCTGCTCGTGCAAGGCGCAGAGCCTCTGTACTTCCTGGACTACTACGCGTGCAGCAAGCTCGACGTCACGATCGCCACCCAGGTCATCAAGGGCCTCGCCGACGGCTGTCGCGAAGCGGGGTGCGCCCTCATCGGCGGAGAGACCGCTGAGATGCCAGGGATGTACCAAGAGGGTGAGCAGATCGCGTAATCCGCCGAGCAAGAGCTGATAATCGCCCCGCAGGCGATTACGACCTCGCTGGGTTCGGAGTGGGCGTCGTCGAGCGTCACCTGATTCTACCCCGCCCGGACATACGCCCGGGGGATGTCCTGCTCGGCATCCCGTCGTCGGGCATTCACTCGAACGGCTTTTCTCTCGTGCGCAAGGTCGTCGCACTGTCGGGGCTGTCGTACTCAAGCCCCTGCCCGTGGGACAAGAGGCTCTCCCTGGGCGAGTCGCTACTCCGGCCGACGAGGATCTACGTCAGGACGCTGCTTCCCATCGCGCAGGCGGGGCTTATCAAGGCGATGTCACACATCACCGGCGGCGGGTTCATCGAGAACATTCCGCGAATGCTGCCCAAGGGCCTGGGCTGTTATATCGATGCATCAACGTGGGACTTGCCCCCAGTCTTCCGATTCTTGATGCGTCACGGTGGGGTGGAACCCCTAGAGATGGCGCGCACCTTCAACAACGGAATCGGTATGGTACTCGTCGTCGAAGAGAGCCGCGTGGGCGAGACCATTCATGCTCTGCGCGACGCAGGAGAGTCCGTGGTCTACCAAATTGGTCGTGTGACAGCGCATAGCGGCGTCGAGATGCGGAACCTAGATCGCTGGAGCTCGCAGTACGGCCTGTTGTCATAAATCGACGAATGCAGCCGGGCAGATCTACGTCTTCCGTATACATTAGGTAGCACATATATATGCGAAGATACTTTGCCAGTAATAGCTTTGCAAATCACCACGTCGACTAAGTTGCATGGGATGTAACATATACGAGCATAACCGGAGCAGTCACTATGGCACGAGATGCTATGGTAGATTTTGTTAGAACAAAGTGTGAGTTTTGCGGGAAACACAACAATGATGGTGGTGGCAGGATAAACAAAATGAAGCAAGTCAGGATACGCGACTAGATGCAGGATAGAAAGCTGAGGAATGTTCGGAAGGCGGAGTGGGGCGTCCAGTAATGGGTAGATAGATTAGTGGGCGTGCAACCATATCACCACGATGCGGACAGAAAGAGAGCGTGCTAGACGAATACAGAATTACACAAAGAAGCCCGATGAAAAACGATGGGATATGCGTCGATACTGGGTTGGGCCGTAGATGCAAAGCATAGACAGGTGGACATTGTGTATCCGTTTTAGGCGGTAACAGACACCTCCTTCGGAGCGTCGGGGGCGGCGGTAGCTGCGGCCGCAAATGAGACAGTAAGCTTGTTGACGATCTGTTCCTGAGCCGGCGCTACGCTGTTTACTTCTGTCTTATCCTGATTCGTGTATGAAGATGAGTTCTTCCAGCCATCGATAATGATCGGGCTTACCTTCGCTCCCGGAGTAGAACTGTCATGCTCTGGTGTGCTGCCACGGACGTCCGGCTGCGCATCCTTGCGAGACGGAGGAGGTGCTAGCAGAACCTGAGCAGCAGTAGGGCCGGTGTAACCGCTGGAACCTGACGCGTTGAGGGGTGGACTCCGTAGAGGGGGAGTAGCGCTAGCGAGCACCGGGAACTCATCCGCACTGGGGAGACGCTGTGGTCTCGGCGGAATCACCTTCTTCTCGAGTCGGACACCATTGGGCAAATGGTTATGCTTGAACGCCTGAGCAACGCGGCCCTTGCTTCCCGGTTCGGTAGACTGTGATCGACTGGAGGGTCCAGTGCCACTGGTCCCGTTAGTTGCAGTGCGACTATGCGATGACTGTCTGTCCTGCATTCCGATCATCAGACAAATCGTGCGCTGAAATCGTGCGCGACTAACGCACATCTTGAACCGCCATCGCAGAGAACTTCTCCTCAATTGTAGCGCTGCCATTCGGGTGAGCGTGAGGAGGTCCGCGAGGCCTATGTCCGCCTCTTGCGGAGTAATGCGGAGGATGATGAGGAGCGGCACCATCAGGAAGCACGTGTGGGAATCGGCACTCGTCGCTGTAAATTTCACTGTGAGCACTCGGCCGGTGACAATCAACGAAGTGGCTGCTCACCCGTTCCTACATCTTCCTGCCGGAAAGAAAAGACAAGCAGGTTTACGGCCAGGGCCGCCAAACGAAGGTCGGCGAGCGCTGCCTCGTCTGTGGTGGGTCATGCCTTCCCTATGCCCTTGAGGTGGACCATAACCGTCCGCCTGCGGATGAACAGGTGGAGAGTTGGGTGCTTCGGGAGCAGCGCCTTGCATATGCATGCTCTGTGGTACGTATTGCCCCACGTGCTGGCCCGGAATGGCGTAGGGCGGGACAGCACCAGGGGAGATCGGGGGATACATCGCATGCTGAGGGGATTGAGGACCACCGGCAGCCGAATGCTGGAGAGGGGGAAGAGGAGGAATTGAAATTGGTACCGGCATTTGACCAGGATGGCCGTACGTAGGAGAGATCGGGGACATGATCCCATACGGCATGGGGGGCGCTGTCCCCGTTGGGCTGAAATGCGCCTGGACCGGAGACACAATCTCAGAGCCCGACCTCGCGTGACCCATTGGTATATGGGGGAGAGGGTGAGGGCCATGCGGCGGTGACATGGCAGAAATAGCGACGCCATTCGGAGAGCCTTGGAAAGAGGGTGATTGCACAGGATAGTACGAGTGCGGTGGGTAAGGGGCTGTCATCGTGTCGTAATGAGTGGGATACTGAGCAGGAGGGGGTAGCGGCCCTTGAATATATGGCGTTTGCGGGTGGGCGAACATACACGAGGTACCATAGCGACATGCAGGATAATACCTGCAAGGAATCATCCGAGCGACCTCAGGGGGTGGTAGGTTGGGGATTCCGTTAGGGTTTTGCTCAGTCGGTACCGGAGGAGGCGTCGCATAGTACGGAGTGCCATCAGGCAGTATGTGTGGTGGGACTGGCATACCAGGGTAATAGTAAGCACTAGGGGGCGGGCCATAATAGCCCGTGGTCGGATCCATGTTGGGATCGTGAGTGCAAGCCGTCTCCTCGATGATAATTACATCCGGAGAAACCTTGCTCTTCGCTGTGTTGAGGAGGTCCAAGATAATCGGGTCTGTCGTATACTGCTCTGGAGGGCCTTGACTAGAAGCGTTCGTTGGATCGGCACCTATACACCAACGTCGATGAGAAACCATTCAGTATATGCACTGTCTCCAGAAACGAGCAGTATAGAGTACTAGAAACGTTACATACCTTTCTCCAAAAGTGCCCTGACAACTTCTACGTGCCCAATTTTAACGGCCTCGATCAGAGGGGTAACGCCGGTGTGATCTTGCAGGTTAAAAGGTGTCAAAGTATTAGTACATCGGATGGAAACTTATGTACGCGAGAAAAATGGTGAACCCGCAGTGCCAGAACATACCTTTGATCTCAATTTCGACAGTCGACGCCTCCCTCAAAAGCTCAAGGGCATCTTCGAGGTTACCCTCCGAACAAGCCTTCCAGAGAGCAGACACCATTTAAGCTTAGAACGAACAACACAGCAAGGACGAAGCCTTCAGCGGAGCAACTGAGTGCGTCGAGAGAGAAGGATTTTGAACCTCTGGAGGCTTGGTGAAGAGTTTCCTCAGCGATGGCAAGGGTCAACCGGGATGCAGCGGCACGCAATTTACTCGGCAGAAAAATGTGTGGCGCTTACGTAATATGTACCATCCCGATGATCAGTTCGGATAAGGCAACTCTAGTGGGTCGAGTCATCGCCGGCGTATTCGCCGATCCACATCCGAGCCGTCATTGCCCGAGTACAAACGGCGATGAATTATACGACTCATATTACGACGTGTACAGGACGATCCACTACGGTCAATATTATAATACGCTGTCATTCTGCAAGGCCCAGCTTTATCAATAATTTTTGAACAGGCTTTCCGGTCTGATTGGGCAAGTCCAATTCTCGGATAGGCGGTAGGCGCAGCAACGAGTTCACCTTTTCTTCGACATTTTGGCCTATCCACAGTTGTTACAGCGGTGTGAATACGGGGCACGCAATATTTCGTACCTTCGTATAAGACCTCGTATATCTGATACAGACGGTTAATCTATATCACAAAAGGAGACAGACTGAACTCACGCCTGTGGCGATGGGGGCGCTCACATCCAAATCGTCGACCATCTCCTTCAGACCTTTTGCAGTCGTAACGCCCTCCGCTACACTGCCCAAACTTTCAACAATATAGTCGAGTTTCTCTCCTTTCCCCAGCCGGTACCCGACTGTGTAATTGCGACTGGTCGGCGAGCTGCATGTCAGGAAGAGATCGCCTACTCCTGCAAGCGTCAAGAATGTCAGCGGAGATGCGCCGTAAGCGGCTCCAATCCTGGTCATCTCTCCTAGGCCTCGAGTGATTAACACTGAATGGATAGGTCATCACGGTTGCGAGCATGTAGTCCCTTCAAGGGTATTGAACGCACTGGCTCGGGTATTATTCATGAATCCAAGGCCATCGGAGATACCTGCGGCAATGGCGTACACATTTTTGAGTGCTCCCGCAAGTTCAACGCCAATCGGATCCCCTCCAGTATAGCTATGACAACCATTCACTGACAGTTGTTAGCTATTCATGAGACAGCTGCGTACCATCTGAACCATGGTTGATGAAATAATTGGGACGCCTTAGTCGCGTGCGATTCTGATAGAGATGCTACCGAAACAGACGTTGGTTGTCGCTCGATAACTTGCACAGAGTCAGTAAATGCATCGAGCAAATTGCGACAGGAAACGTCAACTCACTCTCCTTTGCAAATGATGGTCCGGACTAGGAAGAGAAATCTCAACGAAAGTTTATCTCCAAGCGTGATATCTGCTCACGATAAATGTCGCGACCTTCGCAATGTCCGGACCACAAGTATCCGCAATAATCTCCAACGTCAAAGCCCGAGTCCCGATCTCGATCCCTTTGTTGACGAAAATGAAAAGTGGTAACTTTGCCTCATCCAGTCTTGGCTTCAGCGCAGTCAGAGTCTCCCTGTGAACGTCATTATATTTTCTCCCACGACTTTTTCTCGACATAGGAGCGGAAGGACAGCTACCTTACACCCTCAGTCGGGAGTGCAAACAGTAGCACGTCTACTTCTGTGATGATCTCTTTCGATGGAAATTCGGGACCGATCGCTTGAATATACTCCGAGAACTGATGGTCCTGCAAGAACTCCGGGTTGCGATGGTGCTTGTTGAAGTGACGCACCAGATTCTCCGATCTCGACCACATATATATAGTGTGGGAGGAGTCTCCGAGGTGGTCAGCGAGACAGCTGCCAAAGTTACCGGCACCGAAGACCAAGACTTTGGATCGGTAGCCGTTTTGTTCGAAGGGCAACATTTTGAGAGCCAGCGGTGAGGCGAAATGTGGCGGGCGCGAAAAGGAACGAGACAGAGGACAATTTAGGTGCACAGGCGCAGTCCGAGATAGTTGGGGTAAGAAGACGCTGATTCGTCTCATGCAAGACACCGGGCCAACGCCTAGTTTTGTCTGGAGAACACGACACGCATCACTCGCCGCACGGGCTGAAGAAGAATGCCTAGCCGATGGACTCGCTGTGAATAAGGGAGATAGTATGTGTACGGCGGGGTGAGCGCGTCCAGCGCGTCCCACAAATACGTCTTCGGCACGTGCCACGTGGAGGCGCGGTGGGGAAGCAACTCGGCGACAGCACCTTCGCACCAGACCATCCAACTGTCTGCCACAACCTACGCTCCTTTGTTTTAATCTCCGTGCATTCAGCCTTTCTTACCAGTTACTGGGTAACTTAAGCAGTATTCTTATTGCGCTCATTCAATGCCAGTCCAGGACCGCACGAACGAATTTCGGGCATGCGTAGAATCCATACGGAATCGCTCTTCCCTCCCTCCGCGAGGGTCAGAGGCGAAGCAGCGGCTATTGCAGTCTCAAGCAAAGGGTGGCGGAAGCAAGTCCGAGTTCACGAGGATGGCGTCTGGTATAGGGAAGGATATCAGCAATACCGCGATAAAGTTGGGCAAGTTGGCACAGCGTACGTTGAGCCGTTCCCCATACACGATCAATGACTTAACGCCCTTTCAGTTGCAAAGCGGAAGACTCTTTTCGATGATCGTCCCGTGGAGATTAGCGTGCGTCGGGCAAAGACACCATATCTCGATTCCTGTATACCTACTGACTTTTGGTTTTAGGAACTCACATATATTATCAAGCAAGACATTGCGAACATTAATAAGCAAATCGCGTCGTTGCAGTCCTATGTCAAACAACGCAATGCACCAGCAGCGTCAAAATCACCCGAAGGGAAGCAGCTGGAGGAGCACAACCATAATGTAGTGATGCTTCTTCAGAGCAAACTCGCAGATACCAGCATGAATTTCAAAGATGTGCTCGAAATCAGGACCCAGGTGAGTCTATGCACACCTTTATTAGATGTCATAAGCATGGACTCACCGCTGGACAGAACATGAAAGAATCGAAAGACCGGACAGAGCAATTTATGCATACCACTTCTACCGCGGCCAGTCAAACACCTCCAAGTGAGCATTCCAGTTTTGGCGTCTGCCCTAAGCTCGCTATAACATAGCATTCAGATTCACTTTTGTTTGGCAATCCACAACGACAAGACCCAATGGGCGACGGGACTGCTATGCCTGCGCGCCTTGACACGAAGGGGAAGGGACGCGCAACGCCACAACCCAACGGTGACATTCTCGCGATGGATCTTGGCTCAGCGGAGGAGGGCTCAGTGAACCACGGTGGAAATGCATTTATGCAGATGCAGCTTGTTGAGCAGCAGGTACGAGTGATATGTGTGCTAGCTGCACGATACTGAATTCATAACTTTTTAAGGATTCGTACATTCAATCACGATCAACAGCAATAGAAACCATCGAGTCTACAATCGCTGAACTTGGCCAAATATTCACCCAGCTTGCACAGATGGTTGCAGAGCAGCGGGAAACTGTACAGCGCATCGACGCTGATACCGTCGATATAGCGTCCAACGTCAGCGGGGCTCAGCGAGAGTTGCTCAAGTACTACGCAAGTATCTCCAGCAACCGATGGCTCATACTGAAGATCTTCGGGGTTTTAATTGTTTTCGTGCGTCCTCCGTCACTGTTGTCCGGAAGCATCGACTGAACTATAAATGACATAGTTCCTGATCTTCATTCTTGTATCGTGATGAGAACGCTTCGCCTTGTGCAGCTCGTATATGTAGACGCGGAATGGACCTGATATAGGTAGTGATATGGATTTCCTATGAACACAGCAACACGAAATGCGGATAGTGTAATTCACCAGTTCAACAGCAAGGGAAGATTACCAGAGTACGTTATTAGCCAACTGGTATTGCGTTCACACCTGTTCCCAGATCCCGCTGTTTTCTCTTCTTACTCGCTTTCCGCTTAGGAGACTCTTGGTCAGTCGATTCGCCGACCGTCCATGTCCGCTTCTTGCCAGACGCTTGCTCGACACCGGACGTCACTGAATATCGCTGCGGTCTCTCCATCTTAACTTCGCCGACGGGCTTCTCTGGTGTACCTTTCTGCTTTTCAAGGCGTTTCCTCTGCAGTGGGATGAGTGGATTTACTCGCTGAGGACCGGGGGTGTAGAATCACTCACCCTCTGTTCGTGTAGCTCGCGGTTTCGCTGCTTCAGCTTCTCAAGTCTACCCTCGCTCCTTCCGCCCCCACCTGCCGTAAGCTCGACATTGATCATACGACCTTCCAGCTCTGATTGGTGCAATTTAAGGCCTTGCTGCAATGCATTGCGATGGCTAAACTCCAGAAATGCGAAGCCTTTTGACTTCGCCGTTGGCTTAGTAGCTGCAGAAGGTTTGGGCTGCATTAGACGGACTGTTGGCGGGGGATCTGAATATGCAGGATATAAGAACAGCATCATGGCCCATCTAGTTGAACGCACCGCATAATGAGAAATGTTTTTGCACCGCTTCTTTAGTAGTAGTATACTTCAGATTTCCTGCGGAGAGAAGAGAGCCATCAGCTATGGTCCACAGCACAACAGAAAGATCACAGACCAACGAAGAGAATGTATCGCCTGCCTACAGCTTTGGGATGAGCCTTCTCTCCCGGTGCCTCCTCCGGAGTGGGTTCATCATCCCCCTTCCTCTTTTTCCCTGACCTTGGCTTCTCCGCATCACCAACCGCCTCCTCATGCCCCCGCTTCCGCTTCTTTGCATGTTGGCGGCTCCCCGCCACCTGTGCATCCTCGCCATCCCTCCGCTTCGGAGCTGTCTGCACTTCCACTTCACCGCCCATACCGCTATTCTGACCTTGATCTTCATCAATATCCTGGTTCTCTTCGACGGGAACATCATTATCTAGCTCGAGGTCCTTGGACTTTCCCTTGCCCTTGCGTTCACGAAAAGCAAGCGCTTTCTTCTGCTTCTTGGTGAGCTTTTTTGACGTGTCCATCCTGAGTCCCCGGGGAGTACTATATATAGAGGAAGGTGTTCCGCAGCGAGGCTCTGGATGACCGCAGGGAGCTGCTTTGTGGATTCAGTTGGCGGCGTGTAAGCCTCGATGAGGGGGAGCTGGCTGCTGAAAGTGCGGAGAAAGTCTACACGCACCACGTGACCTTATATACACCATGGGCGCTCCGCGAGTCGCGAGGACTCTCAATGCACTGCAGCGGCCCAGTACGAGTAATGCGTATCGCACCTTGCTTCAAATTATGTAGCAGAGATGGTTACGCCTCCGGTAATAAATGTGAGAAAATAACACATGGACGATGACAAAGCGATGAGAACTGAGCGCGGATCACAACAGAATATACTACACTTCTAGTCTACTCATGTCATGTTCTAAGCATCGTGCATGCAGGGACTAGAGAAATTATGCGAAGAGCAGCGGAGAACATTGATGTGGGAAGATGAAGGGAGAGGAGACATTCACATGAAACCATTATACAAGTACCTTGTCGTATTGTACACCCTTGATCACCCCTCCGCGCATAGAATTCTTGACGTTGTAGACGAACTGATCTCGATTCTTCCGCAGCTCCTCCGCCGCCTCTGCCATGGAACAGGTATCAGAAAAGCTCTGTACTTTGCAAGAATACGAACCCTTGTTAAGTGGATCATCCGCATTAGGTTCGAGGAAAAGGTACTGAAGCCCGACTAAGACGGAGTTCAGATTGAGCACTGGTTTCCAGTCCTCGCGGAGAATGTTCAAGCACACATTCCCTTCAAGGTCAACATTTGGATGATAAATCTGAACAAACATGACATCAACACTCGAAAATAATTGAGGGTCAAAGGCAGCTCTACCGTTTGTGTGCACTTGACCTTTGGTGGTTCGTGAGGGTAGTTTGTGTTGATATTGACGGAGAACACAAATGCACCGCCCTTGTACATGCCTGCGGTAATTGTCAATGAAGAAATGAGAGACTACATTTTCTGAGAATATTCACCTTCATCGGGAGTGATGGTGAGAGTGAAGTTGAGGATATCAGTGGGATCGGGGAAATGTGTCTTCATTGTGGACGATAGTTCGAGTTCCGTGAGGTCTATATGACACAAGATCATCTCCATGAGCCGGGAATATTGAACTTTAAGTATCCTGTCACACACCTTTCTGCACCCGAATCTGAGCAGCACTAGTCTTGGGTTTCTTCTTCGCCGCCGCATCCTCGTTCTTCTTCATGCTCCAAATCTGCGACAAGTATAGGCGGTCAAGGCTCATCAGATTGATTAAAGCATTCGAGCGCTACCTTGATCATCTTTGTATCTTAAAATTATACTGAGTGGAGAGAAGGGTGTCGTTTTGTGCCCCAAGGATCGAGTGGTAGAGAGTGTGTAAGGCGCGCCGCGAGGCCGCCTCGTACTTGGCTCACTTATTAGGGTCACGTGCGAACGTAGATCGATCTTAAGACGCGCCGGTCGCGTACTCGCTTAACCACATTGTCTTCACCCCGTGGCAATTCTCCTTAAACCCAAACGATGTCCGAATCAATGCCAACACTCCCCGTGGTCGATCTCGACCTCTATCTCACCGACTTAACCCCATCTGAGCTTGTTTTACAAGAATGCAAGAAGGCAATACCTCTTCCAGTTTGCGGATTTGTGGACGTGGCTGAGACAATCTTTCTTCATAGGCTGCAGATGCACTAATCTCTCACGGTGCTCTCTTGCTTCGCGACTCACGCGTGTCAGAGGACGACAATAGTACATTTCTTGATTTATTGGAGGACTACTTTGCACAACCGGTGTCTGCCCTCAAGGAGGACGAGAGGCCGGAACTAGGCTATCAGGTCATTTATTTTCTTGTGGCTTCGTTTTTATTTGTATAACCTTATTCGCCAGGTGGGGGTAACACTCGAGAACACAGAGAAGCCGAAATGTGCGGTGGACGAACCTTGTTTAAAAGTCATTGCACGGTTGGATCCTGCAGAACGACCCCTAGATATCTCTGCGCATGACCCAGATCCGAAGTGCAGATTCTTCTGGAAGATGAGCCTGAAGCCACCGTACGAGACGGACTACCCGTCATTGAATGCGCCTAACGTCGTTCCGCAGGCGGAGAGCTTGAGAACTAGGTGGACTCCGGTCATGGAGAAGTGGGGAAAGTCCATGAAGGACGCGTATGTCGATGGTTCTTAAACCTAACGTTAATTCATCCCTTGTTTTATAGTGTCGAAGATGTAGGCAGAATGGTCTGTGTCGGCCTCGGCTTGCCCCAGGAGACCTTCAAGGAAGCAGGACGTTATGGGTAAGACTCTGACTTTGACTACATTTAATTTTCCACATATTAATCAAGCCTATCTTGTTTCAGTCCCCATCTGCTTGCTCCCACTGCATCTGATCTCGTAAAATACTCGAAGAGAGACACAATTCTCGCCGGTTTCCACACAGACCTGAATTTCCTTACAATCCACGGGCGTTCACGCTATCCAGGTTTGCACATATGGGCGTGCAACACGGGGAAGCGCATACCAGTTATATTCCCGTCGACAGGCCGATATCTCTTGGTCCAGGCAGGCAAACAGCTTGAGCATCTGAGCGGAGGACTCATCAAAGCGGGATATCACGAAGTTGTGGTCAACGAAGACACTCTTGCGGTCAGTCTCCTTCAAATACTACCGATTTAATTACCAAGAGTTTATGTGCTTAACTTGAACGACGAAGGTGGTCGAACGACGCAAAAGCCAATTTCCCGATCGTCCCCTCATCCGCATATCTTCTACATTCTTCTGGCACCTGTCATCCGATTATAACTTGGCTCCAATCCCCTCCTTACTCTCCCGAGCTCTTGCTATCCGAGCGGATACCACGAATCCTGGCACTGTGGACGTTGACGAAGACCCAACGTACCAGCCCATGAAGGTTGGTCAGCAAGTGCAAAAGTGGGTTTTCCGTTTATTATGGCCTGCAGCTCGTGCTGACCGTGAAATTTATTCAGTGAGTTGAGACATATTGCGTTGATGGCTTGATGCGCTGAAGGTGTGGTCTGTCAGAAGAGATTCGTTACTCCGGTTTTTTCAGTCTGGTGTAGGCACGGAACTGGCAGTGTATGAATCATGTACTCAGAGTGTGGGACTACGGGTTGACTACTATGTTACGAAGTTGAATCCACTACATAGCTGAAGTTGAATCCACCGCATGATTACAGCGTGACATCCGCTGGCGATGAGGCTCGCGGTGCACGTAGAAGTTGTGACAGAATCGGGAAGTTGAGTCAGCCCAAGTTTCACGTTGAACCAACGACGGCTTCCGAGAACCGAACGTCGCCGAAAGCCCTCATAACGCTTTCAACCTTGACAATCATCTCCTCCCACTCTGCCTCAGGATCGGACAGCGCAGTGATGGCCCCACCAGCACCAAGAACCCATTCATCGCTCGTAGACTCGACCCGGGAATCTGTATCATCTGCCTTGGGTGTCGGATGATCTTGTGGACCATGCGGAGAGTCGTATTTGAAACAACTGCGAATGGTGACGGACCAGTCCCCACCTCCACCAACACACCAGTAGCCAAAGACACCAGAATAAATGCCGCGCTCGCAACTTTCCAGTCTGCGCAGGATTTCAACGCTGCGCTTCTTCGGTGCACCCGTCATACTGCCTGAATATGATTATAAGCGTAAGCCGTTATTTCCTTGCGGTGAAAACGCTCGACACAGGTACGTACCAGGGGGTAGACTTCTGCGCAGCACTTCCCATCCCATATTAATATCGGAATGAAGATCTGCCTCGTTGGAAACCTTGCCCTCGATGACGCTCACCAGCTGCCAAACCGTCTCGTACTCCTCCACTTGGCAAAACTGTTTCACATCGACATCTGCACCCACAACTCCATGCAGATCGTGGCGTATGAGGTCAACAATCATCAAATTCTCCGCAACCTCCTTGGCACTGCCGGCAAGGGCTTCCTCGGCAATGGCACGTGTGACACCAGGTGCCTTGCGTACAGTACCCTTGATGGGCCGTAGCTGACAATGTGTGCGTGGGGGCCTCGAGAACGACAAAAAACGCTCCGGGGAGGACGACACGAGTGTAGATGGGTGAAGACGTAAATATGCCGAATGGGGAGCTGGATTACGGTCGCGCACGGTCTTATATAAATCCCACGAGGATGAAGTATTCCTCGACGTAGCAGGAGCCGCTTTGGGAACTGAGATGCGGGTAGGCGCAGTTAGGCAGAGTTCATATGAGTCACCGGAAAACAGGTAGTCTTTGGCTTCCTTGATTCGAGAAATGTAGAGCTCCCTATCGGGAAGGGTCACCACGGTTGGCGAGGTGGTGGTGCTCTTTCTCCGTCGTTTCGGCGGAGAGGAAGGAACCTCATCTTCCGGTACGCGCATCCCTCGCTTGAGCCGTAAAGCTACATCGTCGAACCATACATCGTCGTCCTGCCTCAGCGATTGTACGTACACCTTCGCGGATACAGAGTCGACGATAATGCTCCGCTCAACAAAAGCTAGGTTGACATCGGGGTGGAGCCTAGGTTCAGCTCGAACAAGGGGAGAGAGGCATTGAACGCCAAGTTCATAGCTGAGGAAGCCTGCGAGGCCACCCCAGAAAGGAATGTCCTTGACTCCACCTTGTGCCTTCCTGGCATGCATGAATTTAGCGAGCCAAGACCAGATATCCTGATCACCGAGCTCCTCGACGGTGATCTGGAGATGCTTGCGTACATGGACGTGAGGTTGGCCAACCCAATATGATATTAATGGTGAGGATGTATCAAGGCAGCCAATGATAGAGAAGCGTCCAGGTTTCGCAGCAGAGTCCAAAAGGACAAAGTCGGTACACTCGTCGGCCACACCCAAGATCTCGCACATTTCGGTCACCTCCAATCCGGGGAGCTCCAACACACGCGTAGCCACGACAGACTTTCGGGAACACTGAATGCTAGATGTTGAAAGAAACTGCAGACTAGGCCATGCAGGCCCCACAATGTCTTCGATACTGGTATCCCAAGGTCGGACTATTCTGTGTGTTATGGCTGCCCAGTTTTTGGCTAATCGCCAAAAATTACGGACAACCTCGTCGCCACCTCCGCGAGTGCACACGGATTCTGGGTGGTATTGCACTGCCCAAAATGGCCTTGTCCTATGCTTGACGGCCATCACTACACGGCCGTTCTCTTCGCCATCGTCTGCCCATGCTAGAGGTTCTACCTCCTCGTTTCCTTGAAGCTCGACGTGTAGAGAATGGTAGCGCACGGCGGCAACAGTCCCGACACCTTTGAAAATTTCCAAACCGCCATGTAAAATCCGCGATATCTGGCCATGTTTTACTACGCGCAGCCGTCTCAATTTCGCGCCGAATTCCACTGCAAGGCTCTGCAAGCCAAGACAGACACCGAAAACAGGGATGAGATGTTCATCAGCAACGCTCCATATATACTTGACGACTCCGATGTCTTCAGGATTTTTTGGAGAGCCTGGACCAGGGCCAACGACGACTGCCGAAAAATACGGCAGGAGGGTAACGAGATCCGCTATGGATACAACGTCGTTCTTGATTATATGAACTTCGCTGTCAGGTATGGCTTGTCGACAAAGAGAGACAAGACTGAAATCGAGCGTGAGTGAAGTCTGATTTTGACGACGGACATGAACCTCACTTGTGAGTGAAGGAGTCGTAAGAATCTATCAGTAAGATCCTAGGTTGCAAGTGAAGGGACATCTGGGAAAAGCCTCAAGTTCAGAGCCAAGTGAGCGGAATGACGAGAGGATAAATAAATAAGAATGCCTATCCGTAGAGTAGAGTGGAGAAAGACATGGATAGAGAAAAGAGAAAACCCAACGATCGGGACTCGGAGCAACTCATGGATTTAGCGCTCGCGTCTTGAAAGCTTGAACCCTGGTCTGCTTCGGGCTGGTTCTCCCTCTACTCCGGCCCACGAGCATTTAGGTCCAATTGTCAGGAAGTAATAGGTCCGCAGTGCTATTGGCAGTAGTTCAATGCTGAAAATTGAGATACAACTCGGATGAAAACAGGACATTGTCCACCCTGGTCTGTCCAGGATAATGGAAAGCCCTGAGAGCTCTCAAGCTACATTCCAAAAGGTGCGTTTCTGATCTATCCAAGATGGTCTGGGGAAACACTCCCATTCGTGTTTCCAGTTGAAGGTGGACTGTGTGCCTCTCCTAGGCAACTCCTTGCTAACGCCAAAATCCATACCGCTGGTGTCAAAACTTCTGTCGAATATCACTGCCACTTTGCGCGAGACGAGGAGTTCGGGACATGCGCTCACCCCCTCACTTATTTCCTACGTGTTCTTTCCGATCTCCTCAATTCTTCGCCGCAACTCAGTATCCACAGTACCCAATCAAACACTAGAGAAGGTTATGGTGATTCTCAGCATCTTGTGCGAAGATTGGTGGTGGGACTTCGACGGGAAAACATGGGAACAAATTTTCATGTTATGTGGCTCTATCATCGGCGATTTGGGCGACACAGGAACCGTCAAGACCAGAGATGATGAAACGAAAGACGCAGCAGCACTTTGTTTGTGGTCCTTGGTGCGAGAGCGAAACCCAGGCGATGATCCATCCGGTTCAACTCATACCCAGCGTGCAGAGCGACAGTGCTCCAGGTTCCAAACTTACGCACAGACATTAACCTTCATTCCCATACTGGGCCAGACGGTCAACTCCCTGCTGGGGACAGCTGCTTCTAAGCATCTACCGTTACAGAGGTCATCCCTCAGGCTGCTTCACGTATTGGTCAGGGACTATCTTCCAGATAACTTTGTCCCTTCCATAATGCCGGGAATTGTCAGCGCAATGGATAAGATTGCTTTGAACACCGGAGGCTCGAAGGGATGGGCAAGGGGCGAAATCGTATCAGGAGCCCTGACGGTAATGCAGGAAACGATTATCAGGTCGATTGGAGATGAAATCTGTGTCAAGCAAGGTGCAGTTGCAGCGGTTGACGACCTGGAAGATCTCGCCGAACTCCTAGCTGAGTCGAAGTCTCAGCCGGAAACCACCCCTCCGTCGCCATATTTGACGCCTCGCACGCCCGCTTGGGTCCGTGGAACGGCCTCTCAGTTGCATATCGCAATCAATTCCCTTACGCCCTTGGTCAATCACCCCACATCCTCGGCTCTTCTTGCCCTTTCCATGTTCTCAGCAGTGGTTGTCTCAGGCACCAGTCTGACAGTACCCCAATCGCAGCCTCTCTTGATGTCTTTCCTACTCTCTCTATCAGGTTCTATATTCGAGAGTGTCTCGCGTCGGGCGGATGCAGAGCTGAGAGAAGTATTAACACCCCCTTCAAGTGTTAGACATTCTCTGCTTCAGGTTCTTGTACAGCTCTCCAAAGACAACTTGGCTGCTCTTCCCCGCCTTATTCCATCCCACTCAGACGACAAGGTTGAGCACGTCGCGAATCTTATTGAAGGTGTCTGTCGCCTCGCCATCTCGCAGGACTCGACGGATGTACAAGGGATCATATCGATTTCAGTTGGCGTCGGTAAGCTCCTCGGACCCAATGGAGGAATAGAGAAATGGGGCTGGAGCTTATTGTCGGTGTCGGAATTTGCTACCATGTCTGTTGCAGAGACACGAAATACCGCTGTTCTCATGCTCGAAAGCAGTTCCATGGCAGTCGAATGGATACCTTTTCCGGAGCTTGTGTTTAAACACATAACATCTCGCACCACATACTCTGCGCTGGAGCGCATGTTTCGCTCCTTAGGACGTGCTGCAGGGGAAGACTGCTTGTTCACAGTGGAATGGTTTATGAGTGTAGGGGAAAGTGGAACAGACCAAAGAGCCGTTGCAGCTCTATGGTGTACCTGCCGACTTCTAGAAGGTGCGGCCGAAGTGTCTCTTGATCCCAACCACTCCGGGAGCTCCAGGGTGATAAAGAGAAGCAGGAGGTTTGAGAGGCTCGCCCGCGGAATTGCTCGGAGAGTGGCCGACCTTTGGATGGACATAGATGAAGATCATCAAAGTGACGAGGGTGAGGATGATATGAAAACAGCCGTCGACGAGCCAATTCTTGTCGAACATGTGAAGGGCCTTGTTCCAATTCGCGCTACTGTCGACTTCCGGCCTACCCCGAAATCAAGGTCTTCACCATCTACCCCGCAACCTCATTTACACAAGTGTCTCTGCCTCCAGCTATTATCGGTCACTGCCGGAATCCTCGAAGCTCGATTTTCACCGCTGCTACTTCATACGCTCTATCCCATACTAAACGCTATCGTGTCAGAGTCTCCACTGGTTTCCACCTCTGGATTGGCTGCTCTGTATTCGATCACAAGTAGCGCATCATATGCCTCACCTGCAAACTTACTTCTGTCCAACTTTGACTACGTCTTGGATGCTGTCTCGCGCCACCTAAGCCGCCGATGGCTTGATGTTGATGCCACGAAAGTTTTGGTCATCCTTGTGCGCCAGGTCGGTCGTGATGTCGTGCAAAAGGCCGGAGACGTAGTCGAAGAGTGTTTTGATCGTCTGGATGAATTTCATGGATATGAGGTTATCGTTGATGGCCTCGTGGAAGTGTTGGGTGAAGTCGTGAAGGTGATAGAAGACGATAGCGAGGTCCATCTTACCAGAGATGCCCGTACAGCCCCGACGGCTCAATCGACGAGGGCTGGGAACGCCATGGATGTGTTCTTGCACTGGTACGTGCATCGGCAAGATGCCCCGCAAGAGACCACAGAAGGCATGCGAGACAGCTCCTACCCAAGAGAGGCATGGGATTCTAACAATGTCACCGAACCGGAACAAACTACCCAGGAACAGAATCATCATATCGACAGCGAACCACCTCCAACGCCCGCGCAAGCGCTAACAAGACAAATTGTATCAAGGTCCATATACTTCCTCACTCACAGCTCTCCTGTGATCCGTGCTCGTATTCTGTTGCTGCTCAGTTCTGCAGTCCCCGTGCTACCCGAGTCGGCGCTGCTTCCTTCAATCCATAATGCTTGGCCTTTCATCTTGAACAGGTTTACTGATCCCGAGCCATTCGTCGTCAGCGCTGCTGCATCATTGGTGGAATCTCTCGCCGCGTATGTCGGAGATTTTATGTATCGAAGAATATGGGACGACATTTGGCCCCGCTTTCGCACCATTTTGAAGAAGCTGGAAGCTGCAGATACAACCAATGCTCTGGCTAGACTGGGTCCTGGCGCGGTTGGAACAGAGTCGGCATACACTTATTCGCACCGACTATACAGGTCCTTGTTGAAGACGATGACAGCTGCAGCTAGGGGAGTTCAGGGACAGGACTCTGCGATATGGGAAGCATTGCTCCTGTTTCGCAGATTTCTGCATAGGGACGCACACGAGGAGCTACAAGCGTGTGCGAGGGAATTGTACATTGCCTTCGGTGCCAACAACGAAGATGCCGTGTGGTTTGCCCTTTCTGCTACGCAAGGTCAATTAGCAGGCGTCACATTCTTGGAGGAAGCGAAGTGGGACATTAGTCAAAATGCGACATTGATATTGCTCAGACTCGGGATGCGAAAGTCCTCGGGAGAGCAAATACTAACTCCAGGTTAATAGTGTTTACAGGCTGTATGTCCACAATAATTACAGACGGTGATTATCCGCTAAAATGCCTTGAAGTACGGTACTTGTTTAGATAAATGAAATGAAATGAAATTTGGTCTATGCCGCAATGTCTACCAGTGTCCCAGAGTCACCATGTTCCGGTCGAACCCAAGCTCAAGCCATGAATCCGCTCCTTCCGCAGGCTCCGATTCGGGACCCAGACCGACGAATCCGACTCGATGGTACACCTTCGCCGCCGCCGGATTATTGTGAGCGACATAAAGAACGACGCTATCCTTCGTCTTGAGAAAGCTATCATTGAGTTATTTGGTCAGTACATTCGAAACCTCGGACGTATAAAGACATGACTGACTGTTCGCACACGCGACGCGTGAGACGCTCCGCGCAACCGCGTTGTCTCCATCGGGGGTTTGTATACACCTTGGTGATAGCGGCCACGGTGTCGCTCGTCCGGGTGACAGCGACGATAGAGGCTATTTCCGCGGGTTGCCCGGGAGCGCAGATCTCGTGAACCCACAGCTGTCCGTTGCGGACAAGCAAGGCCGCTTCCCTCTCCGCTCCTTCTAAATTCAGAACAAATGGTTCCTACGCAAGTCGTTAGCTTACGGTCCGAACGTTACAGAATATATAACTTACCGAGGCAACTGCAAATCCGTAACAAAGAGGGACAACATTGGGTATATCCGCTTCAATCGCGGGCCGTAGTTGGTACGACAGATTTGGGAGCAAAGTAGCCCGACGAGGTCTGAACGACTTCCGAGTACAGAACGTGAACTTCGCCGCATAGTACTCGCAGTCAACATCCAAACGGATCCCCGTCCGTTGCGTCCAAATGGATGCGAATGATTCAGCGATGTATTCAGGAGCGAAGACGGAAAAAACACGTTCGGGAGGTACGCTCTCCTGGAGAGCGCTAATCATCCCAAGGAGTCTGGGCATGATATAATCCTTTTGAATCTGGCGATATGGGATGGGGGTGAAGATGAACACGGGGTATGCGCCAAGTGGTCCTTGAGCGCAGGACAGTACAAGATCCATACAGAGTAAAGCCTCCCCAGGCCGTTGTGTCATGCAAACGATGTACACATCGTTCGCGACGTTGGAATCTCCCCCTCGATCCTTGTCTCGCGACTTCTCCGCATGCGGAAACATGATGTTGGAGGGCCGCGGGTTCTTGGAAAAGCAGTCCCATACTTCCACAGGGAGGTCTCGAGCGGAGTGAAACGTTTGGACGATGTAGGGAAGAGTACGTGCCGGCATTGTGAGTGGAGTGAGATTGGCCGAGGTGGTATGGCTGTGGGTTTGCTGGGCTGTCGACTTTCTTCAAGCCGAAGCTATATAGGCGCAGTAGGTACTTGGATGATCCGGAGGGTGGCACCCACCGGTTTGTCAAGTCTGGTAGACCACGGATGACTCGAATCCATTTGACGCACATACCAGTGTCCGACATATCCATATGAACGTCATTCGACCACAAACCGGCGACTTATCCAGTTTTCGGATGTATGGCATACGTGGAGACAATAATGGTTGCGTATTTCCGTACGCTGATCCGGCTTTAAGGATATCGAGCCAAACATAACTAGGAAATCTCGCCAGATCTCGAGGAAGATGGTAACCACTACTGTCGAACAGCCTATCAAGGGAACTGACTGAGGAACTCGTACCTAAAATTGAGAACACGTAAGCAATATATCGGGGCCGAATCTTTCAGTTATACTAGGCTGTAGAGGGCACAAGCAGGCCGCTGCACAGCCCAAGAGACACCAGCGAAATAGCGGGCGCTTGGGATATATCAGAGTTCTGACATTGTGACCATACAGCGATGAAACTGTATGTGAACGGGCTGCGGAGTGAGCACCCGGACTGGTCGGAACAGTACAAAAGGCGCACCTCAGGGAACATGAGGCCTTCGTTCACCTGCGTTGTATTTAGACGCCATAGGCGCCTGTGCAGATAATAAGTCATACGGGCGGTAACGGAAAGCACTGCAAGCGGGGAGCTCAAAGAAAGCGAACAGCACAGACACCGAATACACGGTTTCCGGTTGTGGCTTGGAGCCGGAATCCAGAATCGCTTGTGCAAGACCAGGGAGGTTGAGCGTGATCAAGTAAAGCGCCTGGTATCGGAGTTCTTGGCCAATAAAGATAGGGATAAAGTGTGGTGTCGGTGTGGTGGAAATTATGTTCACAGCCACGGTGTCAAACGGAGTTAACTGTAGGCACCATGGCGGTAGACTCTCGGAACCACGAGCGCAGCCCATCGGGTCTGATGAGTCTCAGCTCGCTATGTACCACATGCCAGACTCACGGTCTGATAGGACGGTGTGGGTCTCAGAAGCCGTTATTAGGCATTGTAATCAGCCGACAATGTGGTGGTTTCTACCCGGTGAATGCAAGGTGAATGTGAGGAGAACAACCAGGGGAACGAATGGAATTGCTCTGCCGGCGATAATCTTGAAGATACCGAATTTGGCTGTGACCTCCAGCGCGTTAAGCGCCTGGCTGCGGTCCCAAAGAGTTACCGTATCGAACATCATGGCACTGCATCGTGAAATGCAGACCTTCCAATTACCTTCCAACACTCTCAGTTTGCGTTGTGTTTGAGCTTTCGGTATACAGAAGTAAGGACACGCACTAGAGCACACTACACTTCGAAGTTTCCATGCTGACGGTAGCAATGAAGTGCACCCAGTTTGCACGCACGCCGGCTTTATGCAAACCGCTGGCTGAGAGCAACCTTTACAGGTGTATTCAGTACGTTCAGACGATCTGAAACATGTCTGGCATCTACGTCGAATTCGAAAGCTCCCGGTCTGTCTTGGAATCGGTCAGCCGTATACTTCACTTCGTCTTCCTCGCGGCTTCTCCCCTTTATAACGCATTATCACTTACAGCGACATGTCTACAGTGAAAGTTCCAGCTGGACTGGGTCTTGATTTTACACAGTCACCGGAAGAGTCCAAGAAATCTGCGTCCACAATATCACAGGCACGTCTTACAACGTCCAGCTCGTGGCAGACCGATGCAGCGAACGTATCCCGGTTCTCCTCTCTGTCTCGAGCCTCACCGCAGGTTCCACGATTTGACACCGCAAGTTTACGCTCCATTAGAGGAATGCAAGGCCTGCTCATGGCCGAAATCGGTGAAGCTATGGTCGAGCTCGACCCTTCCGGGCATGGCTCTGTATTCAAGGAGGGACAGCGCATCGCTCTCGCATCTGCCTCTCCAGGTACAACGTCGATCAACATGCATCCACGTTCTTCTATGATTCCCGCAGCGGGCGTTCTCGTTCGGAGCGAAACCTACCTCAACTTCGGCGCATCCCCAACTAGAAGCTCGGCAGAACTTGAGTCTCTGCTTGGCAATTCCAATTCTCGCTTGAAGCCCGGTGCGACGATGCTTCCTTCGAGCAAGCACTCGCACCTCGGAAAGACGGTTAAGAAGGCTAAGCGCGATCTCGTTTCGCTTGAGCAGGCCAAACCACGCGCTCGCGTCGAGGTTGACATCGTACTAGAGAACGATGCCTATGTTCAAGGAAGCTATCTGCGAGGTCACATCAAGCTCCGCGTCCGCAAGAGGTCGAAGAAGGAGGCGCCGATGCTGCTCGCTGGGGCGAAAGTCCGAGTAATCGGTTTCGAGTGTCTATCAAGCGCCAAAGAACGTCATACGTTCTACCAGTGCGCTGCTCCACTTTCGGACATTACGGGAAGCTCCTCAAGTTTGTACGAGGCAGAGCCAGACGTCGAGGGATTTGCGCCGGCAAGGGAAGGCGTGCACACCATCTCGTTCACCATGCAATTACCTGTGCAAGGCCCCTACGGAGTCGCGAAGGGAGTTCCGAGCCTCCAGTCAGGAGTAGCGGTCCAGTACATCGCTATGGTGTGCGTAAAATCTTAAAAGGCTGTCCTAACCCTTCTCACCGTTCATTATGGACAGTTCCGTCAAGGTCAAGGACTCGAGCAGCGGGAAGCGCTCTATCGCCCACTTCTACCGCAATTGTGAGATCTGGCCGCGAATTGACCCCACCGTTGCTTTAGCGCCCGCTACGCGCCCGTTGCAAGCGACTACCTCCAAGAGCATCGCGATGCTCAGCAACAGCAAAGTGAAACTCACGGCGCTCCTACACCGCTTGACCTTCATAGCGGGCCAACGATGTTATGTCAGAGTAGCCGTTCTTAATGAGACGAAGAAGACGGTCAAAAGCCTTACTTTGACGCTCGTTCGGACAACCACTATATTCAAGCCGAAGCCTGCCCTTGACGCCGGTCGCACACTTTCTGTAGACCCAGACGCTTGCGAGACGTCAACCGCACACAAGGTCGTAGTGGAGACTGTTCTGGAAATGGGCCATCGAGCTGCGAAGGGACACGCCAGCGCGAAGGGCTGGTGGACAGGCGTCGGCCCTGGCGAAGAACTCGAATTTTCGCATTTTATCCTCCTCCCGGTACGTGGTCTTCAGAACTGCATTGTCTCTGCTCTACTGATCGCCGCGACCAATTTCAGCCCGACGCATTATCCGTAATTCGGGGACGGCTACTGGAAGTCGAATACTCCATCCGCGTCAGCCTCAGCGCCGGGTCGTTAACTTCCGACGTATTCGTAACGCTCCCGATACGTATCATCAACTTCATGTCGATTGATCCTACTCCCAACAACCCAGGTGTAGCATCTTACACGCGGACGGTCCAGCGCCGGCGCTCTATTGACGGGGAGTTGGGCTCGGACGCTCCATCTATGAATCCCTCGTCGATAACCGTGCGGGAAGAGACGGAAATAATGCACGGAGGCCATTCAATGGTTCCGAACCACCAGCGCTTGCCGTGCGACGTCGAGCCGCTCGTTCACCCTTCGCCCGCTGCGCACGCAGGATACGAAGGGGTCCCACCTGACACCCCCGGTCTGCGCATCGCCAACCCGGACCGGTGGAGCGCGGAAATTCCGCCAATCCCTGCTCGGGCCGCAGAGGATAGCAGTGCGTACTCTTCTGACGCCCGCTCGGACTTCGTCAGTAGCGCGTCTAGCGTGGACGTTTCTACGACGGAATCCGAGTCCGAGTCCAGCCGCTCAATCCGGCTGGGGAATATGGACCTGGACGATCCCGACTCGGACGAGGAGGTCGACTTCGTCGTCGAGAGGGCACTGGTGGATGACAAGAGCGCAAGCACGTCGCGTTTCTCCGAGGACGACGTGCCGTCTAGTCCGTGCGCGTTCCGTTCCCTCGGGCGGCGACCCTCTGGGCCCCGAGCGAGGGAGCGCCACGTCGAGCGGGGCAGAAAGGGCTACCCAGGTGCGAGGGCGGCCGTTCACCCGCCGCTTCCGCAGGATGGCATCTCGTCCTTCGCAATGCGCGTGCAGGAGAAGCTCGCGTCCCTTGCCGCTGCGGTGATTCAGCCCGAGTATTCTGCAGAGGATGAAGTCACTCCGCGTCTTGGCCACGGCGATGTGGATTACGAAGGCACGCGTGCCCCCGTGTCCTCACCTCGCCTGTCCTCGCTGGAAGGCATGCGGGGGTCGCGCCAGCTGCCGCGTCCGCCTCCGATGGGCTCGAGCATGAGCACGAGCACGTCCAGCATCAGCGCGTCGACCTCTCATTGCGACGAGATGCCAGAGTCCGGCATGTCTAATGCATCCCTCACAGACGCCGCGCTGGACGGGTGTGCTTTGCCCAGCCGCACGACCTCTACCTCGTCGGTCCCCTCCGTTTATTCCTCCGCCTCGCGGCCGAGCCTCTCTCGCGGGCCGTCAGACTGGCCGCTGTCGTCGTCCGTTCCGCCCTCGCCCAGAGCTCACGCGGAGCGGCCGACAGAGGGTCTGCGGGCCACGGGCACGTCCTCGAACTCAGTGAAGGGTCGCATCGCGGAGCTCGGGGAGCGGGTGCGGTATCCGCACGATACGGGGTCTGCGTATGTCTGAGCGGGTTGATTCGTTTCACTGGGACTGCCCCTTCCTGATGATACCTGTCCGTTTTCCCTTACGCTCTCACTGTTCATTCCATATTCGTACCGTGATGCAACATGGTATGCGTGTTATCCTCAACTGCGAGTGCGATCCCGGCACATTGCCGAATATGATATTGGGGACAAAGCGAAGTGTCTCATGGATCCGGCAGCCCGAGATCATGATGCTTGCGGTTACTTGCGTGATGACGATGGGTATACAGATGCTTCTTTCCCTTACTCGGTAACCACCCCCCCCCCTTCCCCCCGTTGATGTGTATGACCTGCCCGCTGAGAACGAACACACGGTGTACGTGTCAAAATCGCAACAGTCATCCCGCCTGATGTAGCTGGAGTCGGGAGAGGCCAGGAAAACAATGCAGTTGCGATCTGGCCGGAGTGACCTTTAGGGACGCTGGTGCCAAGCCTTTCGATAGACTCCTTGGAAATCGTCGCTGGGCTGCAATGAACCGCGTCAGTTTCCCTGTTCAGCGAGAACCCCGGCCTCATCAGCCGATTCACGTACATGAGCGGCGTCCAGATCGGGCCGGACGCAACGGTGTTGCAGCGGACGCCATGGTCGCCGAGGATCTGGTTGCTGAGCGCGCGCGCAAAACCCGATCGTGGCGCCCTTGGTCGCGGTGTACTCGATGAGCTCGGGGTGGCCCAACGACATGTTTATGTTATTGAGGCGTTGAAGTTGGTGGTGCCACCCGGTGGGAGGTGCGGGACTGCGGCCTTGCAGATGTAGAAAAAGGAGTGGATATTGGTGTCGAACACCTCGTGCCATTGTTCCGTGGGCACCGTGGGGAGGCAGACGTTCGCGTTTTGCGTTCCGTGGTCCAGGACGCTGCGTGGAGTCAGGTAAGTATAAGCGGTGAGATGGATGCAGTGGGAAGATGGACGGACAGGGAGTCAAGCTTTCCATGGAAGTCGAAGTGCTCCTTGACGAGCTCTCGGCACAGTTCCTCCTTACGGAGTCGTACCGTCAAGCAGAAGCACCTTGCATTTACCATTTGTCTTCCCGGAGATCTCCTGCTGAACGCGTTTGGCGTCCTCTCTCTCTTTCTGGGTATATGTCATGAATCAGCGTGAGGTGTGCACCCTCAAGCGCTTCGCCCTTCATCAGCGGCGTTGAGATAATGACCCGGACACAATTGATACTCACCGAACAAGATGGCGGTAGAGCGGCGCCATATGCCGCTGTCTGCCCTAGTGATGATAACAGATACACTGCTCAGTTTTTCTGCGGCCTTGTATGAGTTACCGTCGGCGGTAATGTCGTCGAGAGGCTGTGGGTTGAGCTTGCACTGGAGGCCTCAGGGCCCGGCGTGTGCCTGCTGTGGGAAGGGGGCTTGTAGCCTTTCTGGAACTCCTCGAAAAACTTCACGATGAATGGGGAAAAGATAATGTTGCTGGAGAGGGCAAGGGGACGCTATTATCAATATAACGAGTCGAGGAATAACACTGAGCTGGAGATGACGCGGGTCAGGAGTTAGAGATGGGTGACCCAAAGGGGCAGGTCACCTTCCTCTTCGAGCAGCGCCTTGTGACATCAGAGGAGGGTTAGGGTTTACCTGCTTGAGCAGCGACTGTCGAGTTCTCGTCCCCGCGATGCCCGTTCTCCAACTCCCGCCCGTCCCAGCAGAGCTCAAGTCCATCTCTCCCTTTCTCCAGCGCTCAGATGAGCTCGCTGCCAAAGATCCGGTCATGGCTTACTGGTGTACGCCTCTCCGCTCCATCTTTTCCCGGATCCCCTCTCATTCCCTCTTCCCCAGGCGCGTACCATGCTGCACAGCTCGGCATTGCCCTCAAACCAAAGGAACACCCATCCCGGGAGTTCCTCTTTGCTCTCCTAGGCGTCCTCGAGCAGACGAAGAAGGACGCCGGCCCCAACGACGCCATCGACGACGAGTCTGCGAGCAGTGCCTACATCGAGAACTTCGCCCTCAAGGTCTTCGCAATAGCCGATAACGAGGATCGCAGAGGGAATGCCACCCGGTGCGCACACCATGCCATTTATGCCACCTCCATCCTACGCTCACACTCACCCGTTCCGCAGCGGCACAGCCAAAAAGTTCCTCGCCGCTGCCAACTTCCTCGAGCTCCTCAGCATATTTGACAAGGACAAGGCGGATTCCGCAGAGTCCTCCAACGATGAGAAGATCCGGTACGCAAAGTGGAAGGCTGCTGACATCGCCAAGGCCTTCCGCGAAGGCCGCAAGCCCACCCCTGGTCCTGCGGGTTCTGGTCAGCCCGAGACGGACGTTACTCCGGAGCTGCCATCTTCTGTTTCCGAGTCGACACCCCCGCCGCCTGCTATCACACGCGCGGCTGCTCCCCCACCACACATCTCAGACTTGCCCTCTCCGCAGCAGGATGGGTTCTTCCCGCAGGCGCCCCTGCTCGGTAATATCACTCAGTTGTCGCAACTCACATCCCATGGAAGTGCGGAGTCACCGAGCCCAGGAGGATGGAGCACGGTCGCAACACCAGGGACGCCCGGTTTCTTAGGCACCGACGGAGGTGCAAGGAGAGCACATGTGAGCGAGGAGCTAGAGGGACGCCCAGACGCGGAGGACCTGATAGAAGGTGCGTCACCATCGAATTCAACGCCTATCTTCGTTGGTCCCGGCCAGGACGACGCCGTGTCGAAGCAGGTACGCTTCTCGCCGTCCCTCAGCGCAGAAGCCCCGTCCCCGCGTGTGAACGGGGAGCAAGACCCGTTTGCTGCGTGCGCGGCCACGTCCAGCGTGCCCCCACAGTCGCCATATGCACCTCATCCCGGCCCTTCTGCCCCGCCAGATCCTGGGTTCCCATCAACGTCTATCGCCCCCGAGCGAGGCACCCCCCCGCTCGACCCATTTCCGGCGGGTTTCATTCCTTCGCCCCCCGTCTCTCCCCCTCGCACATACGAGTCGTTACCTCCTCCAGTTATCTACAGCTACCCGCCGCCTCAGATCTCGCAGCATATGCCGGTGTCACCCCCGGTGCAGTACGCCCTTCCACCAGAGGCCGCCATGGTTGCAGCCCCGCCAGTGGAGCTCAACCCCGTGCTGATTGGGCGCGCGCAGAAGCACTGCAAGTTCGCGATCTCAGCGTTGGATTATGAGGATGTGGAGCAGGCGAAGAAGGAGTTGAGGGAGGCATTGAAAATGTTGGGCGGGTAGTGTGCTGGCTCTTCCTGGAATTGCTTGTAGAACTATTTTGTAAAATTTTCGTATCACCGTGTCTCAGACTCCCATAGGACTACACGGTGTTACACGCGTCCGCCGCGACGCGTGCATCACGTGAGAACATATTGGGGGTGCTTAGTCAGCTTCTCTCGTTGGTCTACTCATCACCACATACATTCACCGAGCTTGCCAGAGCCTGTCTCCGTTGTAGTGGAAACAATTTGTGACTCGATGCTTTGCGACTTTGACGGCTAATCCTACATTTTTTCTGCTGTTCGGTGCTACGTCTGCGCAAGTTACTTTGGTATAATGCCTCCGAAGCGGTTGTCATTCTCTCTGAATCCTCAATGGCCTCATTACGTCTCGCTGACATCGCTCGCGCTGGCGCTCTTCCTGGGACTCGTCCGGTATCTGGTCATCGGTGCGCCTTCCGCTCACTTAGCCTACCAGACGTCGTGATGGACGGAGGATTGCAGACCGTCCCGATCCCCTGCACTGCGACGCGCTCTTGACACAGGGTCGCTGGCTCGACGACAAGTTCAGAAACTGGCAGCCCGATGGTGCGCACGTCTCATCCACAATATTCCTGGTTGTATGCCGTACGCTGACCGTCTCGCATGCCAGGCTGCATGATGCACGTCTATCAGTCCGCGGACGCCTCTGCGTGTATTGGCTCGCGCCGTGTCGTGTTCATCGGAGACTCCGTCACCCGCCAGCTTTTCTTCCAGATGGCGCGCGTCGTCGACCCGAGCCTCCCCACCGCCCCCCCGGATGACGAGCAGCGACATAGGAACCACACCCTGACGTCGCGCTCAGGCATTCAGCTGTCCTTCCTTTGGGATCCTTACCTCAACGCGTCAAGCACCCACAGCTACCTCTCCGCCCCCATGATAGCCAGCCCCAGCGCAGGTCCCCTCTCAGATCGTCCCGCCCTGCTCGTCCTCGGCTCTGGTCTTTGGTACCTGCGTTACCCCGACTCGGGCGGTCTCCCCGCATGGGAGTCCATGGTCGAGTCCACGCTCGCCGCGCTCTCGCGCGCGCGGACGCTTCCCGCCGACAAGGTCGTCGTCCTGCCCATCGAGGACGTCGTCTCCGCGAAGCTCTCGCGCGAGCGCACCGCGTCGATGCACGCGTCGGACATCGACGCGATGAACTCGGACCTGCACCACCGCATCCGCCCGCCCGCCCTGAGCGACCCGTTCCGCTTCTTCCCCGACCCCAAGGCGCCGTCCGCCGCGCCCCCGCCTGTCGCGCTCCCGCTCGTGTTTAACCATATGCTCGACCCCTCCCAGACCGAGGACGGCCTCCACTTCTCCGACGCTGTGGTGGCGATGCAGGCGAATGTCCTGCTGAACCTGCGCTGCAACGATGTCTTGCCGAAGAAGTTCCCCATGGACAAGACGTGCTGCAGGAGGTATCCGTGGCCGTCCCCTTTGCACTCCATCGTACTCGCAGCAGCGGTCTTGTGGGGCCCAGTCTGTGTGATGCTGTCGCGTCGGCTAGGTTGGCCTCATCTAGTGCATATCTCTGAGTAAAATACTGACGTGGAGCCAGGCCCGCGAACACCTGATCAGCCTTTGATTTCAGACCATGAGGTGCCTGCTGTGATCGTCAGTGTCGCAGCAGCTCTCATCTACTTGGCCGATCGGACAGGCTTCTGGTTGAAGGAGCAGAAGCAATTCAGCCCGTGGACTTTCGCTTTTTTGTCCCTGCTCAATCTCGGTGTTGGATTGTTTACTACCAAGCGCGCGGAGCAGGACCTTGGCTTTTTGAACCGAGATCAGACGGATGAGTGGAAGGGGTGGATGCAGAGTGGGTCACCTTCGTTCTACCCCTTGTGCCCGATTTACTAACCGCGGAATAGTTGTTATCCTCATATACCACTATTTGGGTGCATCGAAGATATCCGGGATATATAACACAATCCGTGTCCTTGTCGCTGCGTATTTATTCATGACGGGATACGGGCATACCTCGTTTTACATCAAAAAGGCCGACTTTGGTTTCTCGCGTATTGCACAAGTAGGCAGTTTCATGTGTCAATCCTGACAATGCATCTGAATATCTTGTTGCAGGTCATGGTTCGACTAAACTTGCTCCCTCTCCTGCTCGCTTATACCATGAATACCGACTACATCTCGTATTATTTTTCCCCGTTGGTGTCGCTATGGTTCCTCATCATCTACGTGACTATGGCAGTGGGCTCGCAATACAACGACCGCACAATATTCCTGGTCAGCAAGTTCCTCGTTTCTATGGGCCTTGTTACGTGGTTCATGAGCGAACCGTCACTATTGGAGACTGCCTTTCAATTCTTAGAAAGGGTCTGCGGCATCCACTGGTCTGCACGCGAGTGGGCGTTCCGGGTTAGCCTCGACCTCTGGATCGTTTACTTTGGGATGTTCACTGCGCTGGCGGTCATCAAGATTCGGGAGTACCGGCTGACCGACGACCCGCGATGGCCGCTCGTCATGAAAGGTTCCCTCGCATTTTCCGTTGCCGCGATGCTGTGGTTCTTCGCGTTCGAGCTGTCCCAGCCGGACAAGTTTGCGTACAACTACTGGCACCCGTACATCTCCTTCCTCCCGATCGGCGCGTTCGTCGCGCTGCGCAACGCGACGCCGATCCTGCGCTCGGCGACCTCGCGCGCGTTCGCGTTTGTCGGCAAGTGCTCGCTCGAGACGTACATCATCCAGTACCACTTCTGGCTCGCGGGGGATACGAAGGGCATCCTGATGGTGCTCCCCGGGGCGCGCTGGCGCGCGGTGAACGTGGTCATCACGACGACGATGTTCATCTACGTCTCGCACCGCGTCGCGCAGGCCACGGGCGAGATCACGAAGTGGATATGCGGCACGATGAAGCCCCCGACGTTGCCCACGGTCGCAGACAACGCTGGTGCTGCGGGCAGCCGGCGGCATGCGGCGCCGACCCAGCCCGCTGAGGAGGAGGGCCAGGAGGTAATCTTCCTGGCGCCGCAGGATGGCGAGCCGCGGAAGGACGACGACGGGAACGTCCTCCCGTCGGAGCCTCACACGCCCAGTCACCAGGGGTCGCAGCGTCGGTGGGTGGACCGCCTCGCGGAGGGGACGCCTGCCCACCCCACGTCGCCGGGCTTCAGAGTGTGGTACGGCGAGACGGAGTGGAAGCCTGGCGTGAAGACGAAGATCGCGATTGGGATGGCGGTGATGTGGTTGCTGAATATGATGTGGCCGTACCGCTGAGGATTGAATTCTTTCGGCACTCTGGATGGACCACCTAGTGGAACTCAAGCACTGTACTTATTCACCGATACCCTCGCGGGCACGCATATATTGTAATTAATGCGGTAGATGACATCGTGTGGAATTTCAGAAATGGGAAGGTGTGAAATGTTTACCAGGAAGGAGGGAACTCAAAAATGGAAAAGCAGAAAGTGAAAACAAAAAGCAGAATACCAAGAATCCGAACACAATGTTTCTACGGTGGTTGCTGGGAAGTGAGGCCTTGAGGTACCGATGATAGGCCCCTTCTTGTCGGAGTAATATATTACTAGCGGCAGTGGCCTTCGCGTCGACACTCACTCGACAAGCAATGTGTTGCCGAGAGTTGCGAAGCTCGGCCGGAAAGTTGATGGTGGAACCCGATCGGGAACACGCGAAACTGTCGGACGGTGACGGAACGGACACGCACGCGTACGCGTCAAGTCATGTGCGAAAGCATGTGACCGTGAAGTGTCACTCGTAGGACTGCGACGCGTCGCGCTTCTCCTTCAGATTTTATTCGAGTCGAGTAATTGTAGCTCTTCATACAATACCAATACACTCTATCAAGCTCAACAGGCCATTATTACTGAAGGCAATAGTCTAGGAGTTCCGCTTGTAGCACATGTCAAGTAGCATAATATTAATGGCTTCGGAATATCGTACGGCCTTCTTCTGTTCTACAGCCTCCAGATACCGACGCAGAATCTGAGAAATCTACAGCCTGCGGGAATACGTCACATGATCACACGACGTTAAAAACACGGTGTTAAATAATACCTCATGCATACTAGACATCACCGCATACAATCACTGAGCTTGCCAGGGTCTCTGTTGTAGTGGGCATCAGCATATAGTACATGCAAGAGAAGCCACGAGTACGTCAGAATCAGCACGGTAGATAACATCAAGCTTAGTCAGACGAAGTCGACTCTAGAAATATTGTTCATCCCTCGAGATGGATGGAGGACAAACTCACCGATCACGACACAAATGGAGAAAGCTCGGAAATTTGGGTATATTCGGTACTCACACATAAAAACAAGCATGACGGAGGAGTTGAACCGCGACAGAAAACTTTGAGATCGTTTAAGTATGTGAGCCATGTCGGATATTTTTATATCAGCTTTATTGCCTTCACGTCCCTTATAAGGTGCCCTAATGGAGGCTTGGAAGTGCTGGGTGCTCGCAGTCAGAACGGAGCGCCCTCACAACCGAGGACGGCGCCGAAACAAATACATTGCGCGGACGCATCGTGACTCGCGCCCGCCTACCAGGACCCCCGCGAATCAACTAAGAGCTCCGATCCTCGGAGGTGGCCCATTTTTCGGGGATGGGGAGCTCTCACACGACAGGCAATGGTGGCTTACCAGCAGCCGCAACAGGCAGATAGTAGAAAGGGAAGTGTCTTAAAAGCCTCTTTCTGACCTTCTGGATGCGCACGCGACAAAGAGTTTTTCTGACAACACTGTGCATATGTTCGGCCGCGTGATAGGCTGGTTGCCTTACATGAAGGAGGATAGTAAAACTGTCCTCCGAGTGACAAGTCATTGCAGTTAAAGGTACCTTGGTCCATCCGTGCAGTGCAAGGAACAGTTGATTCTCATTAAGACAATTCCATCTCTACAATCTACCTCCATCAATAGATTGTCCGAGGCCATTGCCTGTCGTGTCAGTGGATTCCTATGCTATCTCAACGTTCAACTCTCGTGACCATCTTTTCCCCTTCCACTCCACCCTTTTCCTTACTGCAGCGGGAACTCCTCCCACTCGTTTATGGTTCCTCGCATGCCTGCACCTTCACCTCTACGACAACGTTGCCGGTCGCTCCCTGCGCACCGGCGGCACTACCTTCTTCGCAGCTGCGGGTTGGCCTGATGATCGCATCCAAGCCCTTGGTCGCTGGTCTCCGATCCGCCGGGCGCGAGTCACGATGCATCCGCGCGCAATGTATTTGTTTCGGGGCCGTCCTCAATTGTGGGGGCGCTCCGTTTTGCCTTCGAAGTTACTTAGCTCGGGAGGAGCTAGATCATGATGACTGTGTGTGGGACCGCCGCGTCGCCGTGTCGCCCCTCGCCTTGCACAATGCTGCTGGTGTCTTTTCTGCTTATTTGCTACCGTCAGTACTGGCTCGAAAGTTCACTTCACAGGTCACCGGCCCCTTTGCCCGTTCTGCACTCGCTGACAGGGTCGGTCGCTCAGCAAATCATGGTCGTCGCTCTGAATATAGGTTTCCCTTTCATATGCGCAAGCCCTGCTACCGGGTGTGGCAGCATGGAGACAAATAAATCTGTCTGTCCCTTTGTATTCTTGCTGAATTGCACTGTCGCGGCACATCTGGCTTACAGTCACACAACTCATTGCCCTTCATGCAGAGCCTCCCAAGCGCGAGCACGCTGCATTGTAGTGACCCTGTAGGTCACCATCCGCCGCTCTCATCCCCATCCCCCATGTTTCCTCGTTCCTGTTCCTCATCTCACATCGTTGTCTTGTGCTCTCCCGTCTCGCCCGCAGTGATCGACCTTCTTGAGAAGATACTTATCTTCGGTCCGCCGCGCCCCCGCCTGTCGCGCTCCCGCTTGTGTTCAACCGCATGATCGATCCCTCCAAGACCGAGGACGGTCTCCATTTCTCAGACGCTGTAGTGGCGATGCAGGCGAATGTCCTGTTGAACCTGCGCTGCAACGACGTCTTGCCGAAGATGTTCCCCATGGACAAGACGTGCTGCAGGAGGTATCCATGGTCGTACCCCTTGCATTACATTGTACTCGCAGCAGCGATCTTGTGGGGCCCAGTCTGTGTGATGCTGTCGCGTCGGTCCTGCGCTCGGCGACCTCGCGCGCATTCGCATTCGTCGGCAAGTGCTCGCTCGAGACGTACATCATCCAGTACCACTTCTGGCTCGCGGGAGACACGAAGGGCATCCTGATCGTGCTTCCCGGGGCGCGCTGGCGCGCAGTGAACCTCGTCATCACGACGACGATGTTCATCTACGTCTCGCACTGCGTCGCGCAGGCCACGGGCAGCCGGCGGCATGCGGCGCTGACTCGGCCCACCGAGGAGGAGGGCCAGGAGGCGATCTTCCTGGCACCGCAGGATGGCGAGCCGCGGAAGGACAACGACGGGAACGTCCTCTCGCCGGAACCCGATACGCCCAGTCTCCAGGGGTCGCAGCGTCGGTGGGTGGACCGCCTCGCGGAGGGGACGCCTGCCCATCCGACATCGCCGGGCTTCAGAGTGTGGTACGGCGAGACAGAGTGGAAGCCTGGCGTGAAGACGAAGATCGCGATTGGGATGGCGGTGATGTGGTTGCTGAATATGATGTGGCCGTACCGCTGAGGATTGAACTCTTTCGGCACTCTGGATGGACCACCTAGTGGCACTTAAGTACTGTACTTATCCCTCGCGGGCAAGCATACATTGTAATTGGCTTAATGCGATAGACAACGTCGTGTGGACTTTACATGCAGCAAACAAGAGAAGCACTCACCGCGCAGTTCTGAACCACGCGCACCTGTCAGACGCAGTTCCGTCAGCTACATCGTTCACAACAGCTAGTAAAGGATCATTTGGTTGAAGACATTGAATAACTTTTATTCATCTAGGAACGCTGGTAGAACACCGCTCTCAGGTGAAACACAGAACACAGAATAATCATCTCAGACTTGATAGATGGACACTAACCTTCGGACGAAATGCGGTATGGCATAGCCACCGCCACAACGATGGGCCAAAACACTGAAGAGAACGCATCAGCATATAGTACATACATGCAAAAGAAGCCACGAGTACGTCAGAATTAGCATGGTAGATAACATCAAGCTTCGTCCTTGAGACGAGGTCAGGACTTGACTCTAGAAATATTGTTCATCCCTCAAGATGGATGGAGTACAAACTCACCATAGCGGATATTCGAGATGAAAGGCTTAACAGAATCCTGAAATGAATGCAGCAGGTCAGAATGGTGCGACGATCACGACACAAATGAAGAAAGCTCGGAAATTTGGGTATATGATCTGTGTTCATTAGCTTGGGTAAGCTTCGAAGTAGCGATTCATTGTTTCTCGTCACTGCAGGAGATGTAAATTCGGCACTCACACATAAAAACAAGCATGACGGAGGAGTAGAATGGTGACAAAAACTTTTGAGATCGTTTAAGTACGTGAGTCACGTGGTTCCACATTAGGGCAGGCGTTGTGGAAGCCGTCGTGTTTACGCGTGTACCTTTCTTGGCGCACACCTTCCTCTCGCCCTTTTCTGTCAAACCGGAAACGTCGACAAGTCCTGCGGCAATGGCGAACGTAGTCACCCACCCGTACCTCCAGGTGGATTTCCACCGTGGCCTGGTCAACCACTCCCCATCTCCTTTGGGGTTCGGCTTTGGCCTCTCAACGAACATGCCTGGGTGGTCCACCACGCCGATCAGCGCTTCGCCATCACCGTGGTCTTTCCCCGCCATTCAATCTATACAGCCCCGCACAGCCAAGAGGCGTCATGAACCAGAAGAAGAATCCGAGAATAAACACTTGGACGATGCTATGGACAGGAGTCCGACTCCGGAGCGCCCAAAGCGCGCCGCACCGAAACGGGCCCGCACTACGGCTGCGGCGGCCACAACCGGGCGGGAAGATAAGTTAAGTAAAGAGAACAAGCCTCCATCTGCGACTGATGAGGACGACGTCGATGTGGGAGTTCTGCTCGGTGAGGTGTATTCAATCTGTTGCTAAGCCGATACTGAATTCGTGCATCAGCGAGTTTACCCTCAGATTCGCTTTTGCCTCTGTTGACATCGCTCCTGTCGTCGCAACCGTCGCTGAAGTCTACGGTGTTGTCACTTATTCCTCGGCCAACCATTGATACCGCAGTGCAAGCGTTAGCAAACTCCGCCAAGAAGCTACGCGACGCATACCCTTACTCCAGTACACCATTTTCAACTCCGTCGACTTCGTATGGGTTCAGCAGTGGTGCATTTGCAAACAGTCGACATCCGCACGCGTCGTCCACTGGTTTTGGGTTTGGGCGGGGTCCTCCAGCGCCAGTTTTCAGTCCCCATGCCGGCCACCACAGTGGAGGAATGCGCGACGAGTACATCCTCTCCCGCCTGAGACCACACATCACAGAATTCGTGTCTGCCTGCCTTGCGTACCTTCCCTACTTCTCATACGTCGCGGTCCAGGTACCTTTCCTATCGTCATCTAAGCCGCATCATACCCACGCATCGGCCCTTCAGTCTCAGCACAGAGACAAATCACACCCATCAGAGACGTTCCTTTATCTATCCACCCTCACTAGCCAATTCTTGTCGCAGCCGCCGCTCACGCAGTCTGCCCTCGTTCCTTTAATCTTCCCTCGACTGACGGAAGAGTGGACAGCATGGGTTGACCGTGTGGACCAGGTTGTCAACCGGGAGGGAGGAATGTTCGGTGAGGAGACGGTGCGCAGCTGGGAGAGGGCTCTGGACGAGTTTGCGGAGGCGAAGGGTAATGGGATCGAGAGCATGAGGGACATCCGGGATCAGTGGGTTCAGAAGGTCGGGTGGTTGGTGGGGAGACAGCCCATGGAGGAGGAGTTATAATTCTCCGGAGCTCATCCACTCCTGGGATATCTGGTGTCGTTCAGGTGACGAAGGCGTTCCGTAGAGATTCTCTGCAGTAGGGCTTGATGTCCTGTTCCGAGGGACATTGGCGCTGATATTACATCTAGGTGATTCATTTCTGTCCTGTCTTTTACGCTCACGTTTACACTTTCCAGTCTGTTCATTCATGTCGTGCGCTCGTCGTGGTATCAGTCATACGTTCACGTTCATTCTACATTGCTGTTCTAGTCATACCGCATCCCTTGCTTATTCCTGTACATGTAATGTCTTACACCTACGCAGAATCACGATTACGGCCCTTCACGTTGTTCATGTTCGCAGTGTTTGTGATATCTGCGCTCTGGAGCTCGACTTTCTGTCTGCTTCATTGAACCTCAGCGAAGCGGTAGACATTATTTGCTTAGTCAGCAACATCCAGTATGCTCACGTGCAAAATTTGAGCAGTTCTCATCCGGCGTACACACTACTACAGCGGACCTGGAGAATAACTCTGGCGCGCATCTCTCGTCCACCTGCCGTGCTGGAATGTCCATGCATGCTCCATTATGCGTCCCGTTTCACTGCTACCGCTTCTACGCCCTTTTCCTCCATATTACAAGTCGCTGCCAGTCGAGCGTGGACGAGGACGCGACCCAGGTGCATGCATCATGCAGCAGGTGTGGTGTCGCAGAGGGTGGTGAGTCAGGCAGGTACGGAAGCTGGTAGTTCTTCGTGCTCGGTGGCTAGTGAAGTGACCCCAATCAATCAGCCTTTGTGCGTGTTACGTTTCCTGCCCGTAACGACTCGGCCGACTAAACGCGTGAGCTTTGCACAGGGCGTCCCGGTTGCGCTCTGCGAACCTCTCACAATGTGAAAATGACCCCGCATCGTCTGACAATCAGGCTTCGCTTTGTTTACCTGTGGAAGACGACTGTAGCTTGAAGGACTCTACTGGGGTGCATCTTCCCGAGACGATTCCACCCGCACGACTGGCAGGACTATCCCAAAAATTCGGCGACGCTCGCACGATTGATGCGGACCCTCTCTCGTCTGACGATATGTCGTTGGCAAATTCGGGGCTAGACCCTGCCCCCCCTACTCAAACGGACCCCCCATGGAGCCAGTTAGACGTGTCGCACTCAGGACCACATTCGCCGTTAGCAAGTGTTCGAAGTGATCCGTTTTCGGATACAGCGACGGTCCCGGTACATGGCTCGCCTACACCACGCGAACTGGCGGCTGCCGCACCATCGGCGCATCATTCGAACCCCACAATTTCAGCCAGCATTCTATCAGACCCTGTCGTACCCTCACAGCGCTCCGCTGTCAGTCTGCCTAACCCTCGCTCACCCTTTGAACTACGGTACAATTTATTCCGTCTCCTGTCCACTGTACCACGGCCTCCGCCGCGCCGTCTGCTGGCCTACCACGCGGCGTTCCCGCACCTTCATTCTGCCTCTTCGTACAACATCCTCATGGCGGTCGCAATTCGAAATGCTAACTTCGGTACCGTCGATCTGTTGCTGAAGCGCATGAAGGCGGAAGGCATCAGACCAAACTTGGATACCCGGAAGTTGAGGGTGCGGTGGCTAGTCAGGGTCGGAAAGTGGGACGAATGCTGGGATGAGGAGAGCGCGCGAGCCAAGGAGGAGGGTCAGGGTATGCCGCTCACCGTGTGGTTGGAGTTTTTCGACACCACCAAGCGTGGTGCCATCCGTCGACGCGTCTGTCGGGACTCACGCGACTTGCAGGTGCTAGATCGCTCTGATTCTGGGGTGACTGCGCAGAGACATCGTATCCTCATGCAGAGCTTCCCTTCCGTCACAACGCAGGATTGGGCCTCGACCTCCCCTCGAGTCGTTTTTAACTTCGTCCGCGCGATGATTCGCGCAGGTGAACGAAGCATGGCGGCGAAGACCACCAGGGTCTATTTCGATAGTCTCCCGCCGCAGCTTGACGACGCGCGCCGAAGTAGATGTCTCGAAATCATTCACCTGCATATGGCGCCTCGCGGTAATCGTGACCTATCTGAGCATTATCGCGTGAAGAAGGACCTCTTTGCGTTCCTTAGGATGCACCGTACCTTCGAGCCGACTTCAACGACGCTCTTCATGCTTCTACGGACCCTGCAAACGACAACGAAGTGTGGTTCACTCGCGTTGTCTACTGTCCAGAATTTTGTGAGCCGTTGGGGCGCGCAGATCTTGGATCGCAGGGTTCGACGACGTCTTGTCTCCCTTGCGCTGAAGCAGAATAATCTGCGGCTGATGAAGGCACTCACGCTGTATCTCGAGCGTCTGGGCGCATCGCGAAAAGAAGAGCAAGAAGCTCTTGGGCGCAAGTCGCGTCGACGCGCTTTGTCGTTGACTGACACGCTGCGATTTACGCGAAGGGGCACGGAGGGTTGGAGATGGCGACTGCTTCGTCGGCGCCTGTGGCGATTTGAGCACAGGACGCCTTCTGCTAGTAGTAATAAAGCGTTGACGCATTTCCAATGAATTTCAACGCCATCTTCGAGACTTCAACTGCCCGTGACTGCCCGTGACTGCCCGTGGGGCGTTCCGGGTTCAGGTTTTGTCTGCAGTTAGCTTTACTATGGGGTCATCAGATGAAGGCTACTTGTACACCTTGTATTGGCCGATATCGATCCATGCCTCACTCAGGCCTCATGCCCTGACGCAGCCTGGGGGTTCAAGTTATTCCTAGCGGTCTCTGTGCTCCGATCAGAACTTTTTTCGTATGTGGGCGACGTGCGATTTAGCGCTTGAGAGTGATTTGTTCGAGTTAAATACATACAGGCGCAAATCTCGGATTATCGAATACTGGGTCCATTATCGCGGCGAAGACTCTGCTCGACGCACAGCATGTGCGCTCATATATTGCTATCAAGTCTGCAGCGTTCCAGCATCTTCCACGTTACCCCGCGGATGATTTGGACAAAGTGAGGTAGTGACCTTCTTTGAAGGTTCGTCATTGGTGGTTTTCTGTTCTCTGAATGGCTTAGGGCCCGACACATAGACATATTGAAGTTGTAAGATGTCATGTCAGTGCCTAGGTGTGGCGTCCGATATCTACGGTCGGTCTGCAAAATTGTTGTCTGACTTCGTCTCCACGGAGGTACCGACTTTGTAGGATATCAAGGTGGGTGTTAATGTTTTGCATAGTATGTACATTTTGGAACCCATACGTCACACTGGTTCGTCGCCATATTTACTCCCGTTGTTCCGCGACGAAATAATAGTCTTCAGTATTACCAGACCGTGAAAGACGACGTGTACCGTCAAGCAGAGTTTTCAACCTATTGCCTGACGGAGACCAAAAACGAACTTGAATTGCCATAAAGATGGCCCTCGATCTGGATCTGATGGGCGCCCAGGTGCACGTGCCTTGACGTCTACTGAACGCCAGCATGTTTCTCAGTTCAAAAATGCGACGACTGGTCTCCAATACGCATATATTGTCAGGGATTATTGTATCGCACGGAACACTGCCCCTGACCATTTTGCCGTTAGTATTTGAAGCTGACAAAATCGGTTGCGATACATCGCCAGGTGGGTCGTAATCGTAAATCGACAATTTGGCGTGAATCTTCGTTCTGACAAGGGCACTTCTCTTATTGTCAGCGAAGTCGCCGCAGGGTCCTTTATTTGAGCCCGAGGTGTCCTATGATTGAAATATTGACATCGGGCTTCTTTGAAGGGATCGCTAGCTTCCTAGACATTTCTTCCAGATTCGTCAGATCTTTTATTCAGTTTCTAGGACGTGCTCACCAATCTGTCCAATCCTATCCAAACATGGCTAAACCGCCTACCTTCTCCACGTTGGTCAAGGTATCCGTGTTCGTTCTATGATATTTGGCTCTCTGAATATTATGATTTGGTGTCAGATTGAGTACCCTCCGAAGGAGACGCACTCCAACATCCACTGATAGTGTGTGACCCCAAATTGCAACCTCAATTTCGCATATATAAGAGCCACGGAGATAAACGGCTTCGATATAGGTGTGTTTTCTCCTCCTGTGCAACAGTTCGTGCTGCAATGTCTCAGAAGTACAGCACCCCTCCTCCGGAACGCTTCCTAAGTATTGCAAGCACATGCGTTGGGTGCGGTCCTGGAGGCAGTACCCCTGCGCTCGCGTACGCATTTAATCATTGCTACCTCACTTCGAGACTTACCTGGAATTTCCTAGACGCATAGCGATAGTTGACTATCGCGGCCAGATTGTCTATTGCGAATATGTGAAGCCGGACGTGCAGGTTTCCGATTATCGCACTGCTACGACCGGCATAGAAGCTTCCCACTTGGATATCGCGAGTACGTGTGCGCAACTATCTCTACACCACACAGGACATTAACATACCATTTTTTTTCAGATGGTGCGAAGCCGTTCACTGAAGTGCAGCAACATGTCGCCAATTTAATTCGAGGCAAAGTCCTGGTCGGCCATTCTATCTGGCATGACCTTTCTGGTACGTGTTTCCCTCCCTTTTCCGCCGCATAAATTTTCAAGTGACGCGCTGCACTTTCTCGTTTATTCCAGTGCTCGGTATCCCGCACCCAGCCGTGGCGACGCGCGATGTCGCGCTTTACCAGCCCTTCCGTAATGCGCTTCGCAGTCCCAACCAGGTGGTAGGTCTACAGACCCTCATGTGGCATCTCATGCGTCGTCGATGCCAGGATGGAAAGGTTTGCGCGGTACGTATTTTCCTTCTCATGCGTTGTTTGTCTAAGTTCTGGGTATTCACAGCTGGAGAACGCACGTGCTGGCCTCGACTTGTACCGCTCCCATGCAACAGCATGGGAAGGAACCGTATCGACTGGACAGTGGCCCTCGTTCCTTCCCCCGAGCACGTACTCGCGATGCTACGTGTGAGAACTTCCTTTTTTCCTACCCCGGAACTGTTGTACAATTAGAGTTCGCATTTATTTTTTATGTACAAACTTGCGCTCAGAATCCCGCAATACTGCGACTGTAACATAGAGCTCCGTTTCATTGTAGATACTTGCTTGTTCGTCCGATGTCGTCGTAATTTCTTGGAATGCGGACGAGTAGACTATCTTATGCACTCATAATCCATCCGAATTCGCATATCTCCGTTGCGAACGCGTTCTTGGTCAATTCCCGTTTTTGAGCGGCATGGGTCGCGGAGACGAAATGTAGCGATCTTACTTGGCTTCCTAAAAAGGGATTGTAAGTGCTTAAGGTTGTGCTCAAACAGGCATGCTCGGATCTCTATTTTCTTCCAAGTCTACTAATGAACGGAAATACACCCATCAATCACCTCAACAGTCTCCGGAGGCCCTCGCTTCGACCGTGGCCCTAGACGACGACTCTGCCGCGCCTTCCAGCTCCCGCCCATCCATGCGCAGAGTCGTCAGTGCCCTCTCGACCCCTCACGACGCTATCCTCGCTGAGCTCCACGGTCGCCAGCCCAAGCTCGACCCCTCAGCCGGAACCGATGCGTCTACCACTACTAATCTGCCCGCTATTAATGTGGGCACCGTCACAAGTGCGGGCTCCCTGGATCTTTCAGACGCCAGGAACGCGACGGCGAGCCCCGCTGCGCAGGGCGTGCGCTCGGGCGCGACAAGCTCCCCGGAAGCTGGGGCGGAGCCCATTTACGACCCCTTCTCCGGAGCGCTGCTGGGCGTGATAGTTCCGCACGCGCCAGATTCGGATGGCGAGCGCGCGGATGGTGGGGCGCAGTTCGATCAGGCGAAGGACGAGCTGTGGACGCATCTGTCGCGCATTCGAGAGCTGCAGAACGAGATTGCGGGGCTGCACTTGCAGATGGAAGGGGTAGGCCTCTCTGAGGTTCGAGGCCCGAAGCGTCCTCCGGGGCCCCGCGTGCACTCTGATACAATCGCTTCGATCGACGAGTGGGAGGGCCCTGCCGAAGCGGAGGAGCATAAGAAGTACGCACGAGACGCGGAGCTCGTCAACCTCAATGAGACCTTCGTGGCCAGGAAGGCCGCCATTGACGGCGTTATGAGCAAGGCGAGTCTGCTCCCGACCTATTCGAATAGCTCCGCTTGACAGAATTTGCTCTAGCTGGACGACTTGTCAAAGTCGCTGACCACATTTCACGCTCTCCCCACTCCTGCCATGGGTTTTGGTACTTCACGGAGTAACACCAAGGAATCGCGGACTACGTCGCCAGATCCCTACGATGCTACATCGAAAGCGACCAGCACAGCGACTTCTCCACCTCTACCACATCAAGAACCCGTCATAGTCGGTAGTCCGGCATCCTACGTACCCGATTCACCCTTGTCGCACGGTGATTCATGACAGAACGCTTTTTGTTTACGTACGTCTTAATGTAACTTGGACGTGGAGACGGGGCTCGTGGCGCATTCAATGGTATTGTATATCATTTCAGGTTTGGAAAAGCTTACCCTACCGCAGTTATGGTCATGTGCAGACGGCGCAGAGCCATTCATTGAAACATTGGACATTGAGCGCCGATGCAGAGGCAGGCGGAGCTGTGCATGTCGTGCACGCTCCCGACAAAAGATGGTGGTGAGTTTCATCTTTACATCCATGTGGGTCTACCATAAGTCCGTTCGTGAGTCCATGCAGGGTATCTCGGGTTTCAGATGAGCTGCAAGAATAATTAACATGCAGAACAGGTAATTATAGGTAATTATGTCCGACTGAGTCCATGCTTCAGCCCCAGCTGAAGAGACGCACGATCATACGCTTGATGAGGATGTCATTGACAATCCTGCACATCGAGTGAGCATCAATCCAAATATTCTTCAAGTAAATAACAGAAGACATACCGGTTCTGGAGCAAAGAACGAATTAATGAACATGGTCGGTAGCACTGTCTCCCGTGTAGTAAAGAAAAGACATACCCTTGACAGTGGTTGTTGGCGGACGTGGGTATACAAGAAAGGTATCGGCACCAAGAGCATGCTGATTACTGTTAGCGATAGCCATTAAACACGCAACCAAACAACCGCAACGCACCGGCATACGGGTTCGATGTGTAGAAATTGCGTATCAAAACCACGAAGAGCACTATAGCGAGGGGTATAGCTGCGACCCGGAAGCACCAGACGATGGTCCTATGCCTCACAGTAGCGCTGATGATCGGATAGAACACCATGCCCACGAGTAGTCCCATCAACAAACCGCCGAGATGTGCTGCAAGCACAAACTAGGATCAAGACTTTACTGAAAAAGAGACGCTGTACTGACCAAAGTTGTCTACGTCTAAGAACGAAGGGGGGATTCAGGAAAGAATACAAACGATCTTCGACTAACAGGCTCACAAGGGATGAATCCAAGGCCGATACCAATGATGAGCTCGACGATCATGAACATGAGCTAAAGAGTGACGAGCCCAGGCATTAGCTCTGCAACATACACGGTATCGGGAACCTTACCTTCCTGACAGGTCTGTACTGGTACTTCCAGTGCGCCAACAAATCCACCCACGCCACCTACAAGTGTAAAAGTTGATTAGGACAGCATGTAGATGCAAAAACGCTTACTGCTGTAGTGCCAAAGATGGCCCCACTAGCCCCCACAGACGGGGCGCCGACTAGAGCAAAGTTGCCACCGAGAACGTTGCTGCGTCTAGAATGAGCACACCTTACCGAACGTGGGAGATTGTTGACAACACTCACCCGAAGATGCCAGCAGCGAAGTATAGGACAATGAACGTAATGGAACCCATTTCCCGTTCAACCTAAGAAGATGTTATATGAATCGCTGTAGAGAGATTGAAACACTAACTTGGGCAGAGACGGTCAGCTGGGCCAGCATGTTCAGCGCGTAGTGCACGATGCCTGCGTGCAGGAAGACGGGGGTAACGAATCTAAAAATTACGGACAGTTCAGTCGGGGTAAAAATCGACGAAGGGCGAATGCCGGAACTGACCTGAACGACTGGTCCGGCGCCTTATCATGGAAACCACCAAATCCGCAGATGTTCTCCAGAGGACATATTCTGTCTGGAGGGTTGGCTGTGTCATTCAAACCTGTATGATAACTTGAGTAACGATGCATGAGAAGTTGGAAGTAAGACCCACAAGGAAACTGGGTGGTCAATGGTACCCCTTGAACCAGCTTCATGCAGGGCGGAAAGCGTGCTCCCAAGTTGATCAGCGCATACTCTGATGGCCCTAGCATGGGATTTACGACAGGCTGGATGTGATAGTTTAGACCCTGCAGTGCTCGCAGAAATAGCAACGTACCTTGAACGACACTGGGGTGCCCTGTGCCTTTCCATTAACCACGAGCTCGTACACCAGGACTCCCAGCATAGCTATTGACAGCAGCCAGACTGCACAATATGAATAAATCGCATACAAAGAATGTCTATATTCCTGACACACCTACGATGGGGTACTTCTGTATCCCAACCCCCCTTTGCTTATCTGCTATTCGCTGTTCTAGTGGATACTTTCCTAAGTATCTCTCGAACATGGTAGGTGGCTTCTCAGACTGAAAATGAGAGCGACCCGCGTCGAAGGGCTCGGCATATTCTGCCCGTACTTGTCAGACTGCAACCCCGGGCTCAAGGGATACATACTCACCGAGATCCTGGAAAGCAACTGTTTTTACGAGAGGCACAGGTTTCTCCTCCTTGAACGTTTCCGTAGACTGTCCAGGACCGTACTCGGGGTTGTCTGTGTAAGAAGTGTACCTGTACGCTGGATCATAGCCATTAACAGACGGTTCCAATGACTTCTGGATGTCTTGCTCGCTGGGCTGCAGCAGATGCGTTGTTGATGCGCTGCGGCTGTGGGGGTGATGTGTGAGGCTTGCGTTAGGGCCGCTAGTGGCATAGTCCGGGAGGTCGTGCGGGGCATCTTCAGAAGACATGGTCGTGAATTGATCCGGTAGGAGAAAGGTAAGGAATGTCGTGTGCTCTCAAAGCTACAGGACAAGATGCTCGAGGAAGAAGCTGCGCGCGCATGTTCAATGCCATTAATAAATCCTGGTGAAGCTGTGCCACGCCAAGCAATAGCGCGCACCGCTCAAGCCGCAGTGTCTCAGATCATAAAGCGCTGTCACGGTGGCAACACGACTATACTTTTACTTCCGCGAGCACATGATCCACCCCTCCGTGTTGCGGCTAACTAGTATTCTACTTGTGGTCAGAATAAACGAGACTATGCGTATAAATATACAGATTGTACTATCAGATCATGGAAAAGAAGCGAAAGCAGGGAGACACGACTAGCAAATAAGCACAAAATTGATTTAATTCCACCCAACGGCTGTTGGCTCGACGGGCGTAGAGCCAACACTGGCTCGCCCCCTGCTACGCGTGGAAGGTTTTCTTGTGAGCGGGGTGAGGTGGGTGACCAGCGCTGGCTCCAGGTCGCCGTGAGACGACTGGGGATCATCTGAAGAGTATGGCGGTGGCGGCCCCTCGACCTCTTCGTCCAGTTCGACAGGTCGGGTCCACCGAGCAGCCGAGCGTGAGCCATCGATCCACTGAAGCGTGGTGACCCCCACCTCACGTAACTTTCTGTTCCTCAGACGCCAGGCCATCGCTCCGCGAGACCCGAAACTGCCGCGACTCGTAGTCGTCGCGGTAGAATCTAGACTGAGACGCGCATTATTACGCCTTTCCTCGTCCGGATTCGTTCTCGTCACAGGCAGCGCGCCTAACATTCGCGGATCTGAGGGCAAAAGAAGTGGGAGCATGAACCTTGAATCCAGGAGCTCGCCAAGCGGTTCGGGAGCCTTCATTGGCTCCCAGGAGGACTTCTCTTGAGTCGTGTCGAAGAGTGCGTCGATGCCCCGCTGGGCCGCAGATGTTTCGTGAGAAGTCGTGACAGAAACACTGTCCGAAGCTATCGAGACGTCATGCAACGAAGGAGAGCGGCTGACATTGTCGTCGCGATCACGTTCCCGCTCGACAATCTGATTATGCGCGCACCGATGAAGGCGTTTGTTTAAGCTCTGAACATCCTAGCGTTGTAACTGTCACTTACCTCCTTGCGCAGCGCTTCAACGCCCAGTTTGACTCTGTGTCTCTCCCAATCTTTTTGCAGTTGTGCAAGATATTGGTTGCATTCTTCGGTCATCCGAGGCTCGTTAACCTCATATCTGTAATCGCGCACAGCACGACGCATCTGAGACGACTGGCATGAGCTTGACAATCAATCAACATGGCTTCATAATTACCTGCAGAGGATTGAGATTTTTCAGTGTCTGGATCGTAGCAATCAGGTTCGGAAATTCACTGATGGAAGACAGGCTCTGTAGGACAGTCAGTATGGAACACTGTAACGGCGAAAGAGACTTAACTTGCAACCAAGTCAAGAGATCCCGCACAGGAGCAAAATGTGATACAACTCCACGAGGCAACTGCATCTCCCCTACCCACTCTTCCAGCACACTCAAATTCATGCTGATCTGCACTGCGCGAGACCTGATCGATCACAATTCAGACCACTCCAAGAGTACTCGGCTGATTCACGCACCGGCAGAGGTATTTCTTGCGTGTCAGGACACGATTAAATGTCTCGCCTAATAATAGACCGTCAGAATTCTCCTGTGTATGAGCGACAATACTCACATGCTGTCCAGTACATGACCTGAGACCACAGTTGAACGATTAGACTGGGATTAATGCCAGATAGTGTAAGCAGTGTATGCAGAGCGGTCATGAATGAAGTAATATCTCGAGGAGAAGGTGGAGGAGGAGTGGAAGTGTCGGTGAAGAGGGACTGCAGAGGAGCAGCGGAGGAAGGAGCACGCGCCCGAGTGAAAGTCTGCCTCAATGATGCAAAATTCCTCGTGGTTGGAGGTGATGAGGATACTTGAGACGGTAAGGAGGGGGAGGGAGGCCGACTAGGGAGTTTCGGAGAAGGCAGGTTGCGGCCGGCTGGAGGGTTCGCCGACGAACCATTCACAATCGCCTTCTTCTTGCTCCCAAAGGATCGGAGAAAAGACCATTCCGACTCAAACTGTATGGACTCAAATTCACTGGAAAGCGGTGAGTAGTCCAGCAAGGCCGCGTCCAGTAGCTGGTCGATTTTTCTCTCCGCTAAGCGGATGATAAACACTAATGGCTAATTAGCTACTGGCGAGGTTCGTAATGAATGAACATTACCGAAGACGGAGTTGATGATCTCCTCGATCAGAGCGAACGAACCCAGGTATTCGCACGTCCCACTGATGGCATCGTCGCAGCGCATAACATGGAGCCAAACCGTCGTATTATACAGCCAGAAGATCAGACAAGTCGCGTCTTCTGCTCTATTCTGGACAAAAAGGAGGATATTATTCGTTGACCCAGATGTAAGAGAAAACTGCTCACGAAGAAGGCTTCTTCAATAGTGTCAGTGGCACCTATGATCAAGTCCTCAACCCAATTATGGTCGCAGTTCAGACATGCAAACCGGGCAAGCATGTACAGCGCATTCGCTGGTTCTGCGTTGCGCAGCGATGGCGGGAAATCGGTGATCAAGGACTGGAAAATATCTGGCAAGGATTGAGGCGAGAAGACCAGCATAGTGGTATAATCTGGTGTTGGCGTCTGCCTCTGGGTGAGACGTGGTACATCCGTAAGGCGAAGAGGACCTACGAAAGAGAAGCTGCTGCTCTGCTCTTCTCCGTCTTCTTCGTCGGATAAATCCGCGAACACATCATACTCAGTGTGGCCCCACCACCTTGGGCTGATTCCCAACACTTTCTCGATGTCGTTTTGTACGCTCTTCTTCTTTCCTAACCGCCGCCTCCGTTGCTCAAAGGAGCGCCTCTGCTGCTCCATCCTCCCGCCTTTCCAACCGGCTTCACGCATCGCCTCTTCCAGGAGTAACGCAACATCCTCCCTCCCAGGAACGGTAGAATGTGCGGTGACAATGTCAAGAGCCGTCAATTGGCGCCTAGTCAATGAAAGGGAAAGAGAGCCATGCGTGAGCAAATGTGACACTAAGGTCGGAGGTGCAAGCAGGGAAGCATAATGGAGTGGAGTCCATCCAGCTGGTGTTCTGTCAGTCAATTAACGTTCTCAACAGGAGAGAGATGATGTCGAACCCTGGTCGGAGACGTTGACGTCGCAGCCCTCGGATATAAGCAGTCTAACACACTCCTCTCGTTCGATATCTCTGTCACATTCTGACCCAAACCCAAGGATGGTGATGCTGATCAGTCCGAGACCGTCTTCGTCTTGCTTCGTGAGATCCACATACGCCTGGGCATGGGAATCTGTGAGCAAGAAGGAGAGCAATGTCATATCCGCAAAGAGACACGCCCGCGTGACGCAATGGGACACCAGTTCAGCCTTCTGCGCCGGCGCAAGTCCAACATTGGGCGAAAGAAGATGAGCAGTCTGCGATGGACTTGGGTAGAGTGGCTGAAGATCTGGTTCCACAGTCAGATCAATCGGCGCGAGGGATGAGGATGCCATGAATAATGCCCTGTGTAAGCCAATCCTCCAAAGAGTTGTATCGATATCAGAAAGAGGATCCAGCAACGTAGGACTGCGCAAACGCGTCGGGGACTTTGCAACGTTGTCAACCGCGCCATGTCGCGTAAAAGGAGGGTCGTCTCACCTGATTCAGAAACCGACCGTTGGTCTCCGTCAATCGTGAAGAGCGTTGACAGCAGGTTTCTGCAGTTCAAACAAGAGCTGCAACGAGGGTGCTTGGTGGTGCCAGAGTTGTTGATTCAAGGAACAACTCGTAGTGATGTACTAGCAGTGGCTTCGCGTTCTATGGGCGCCTATCCGCTCCCGCCTTTGATATCAGGCTTCAACTTCAGCGGAAAGTTCTGACAGGAACTGAAACTCGCTGCTTCATAGTCTTCGCACCATGTCTCTTTCCAAACGACAAAAGCTCGCACCCAGAGAGGATGGCTTGGATGACGAGACGAACTCTCTCCACTCCGTCGACGAAGACCCATCAGGATCCGGTAGCTCATCCGGGAGCGACGCCTTATCCTCTCCTGATGCAGAGGATGAGATCTCGGAGGTCAAGCGGGCCAAATCGAAGAAGACATTGAAGCGCAAACGTCGCGCTACCGATGCTACACACTTTGGCGCAACACTACAGTCTCTACTGAATACGAAGGCTCCTTCTGCACTACCATTGTCACTGAAGCCATCGGTAGCAAGAAAACGTAACGACGAGAAGCTTGAAGTGAAGGGCAAGAGAATACTGCAAGTTGAGAAGAAGGAGAAGGAGGACAAAGGCAGAGTGAAAGATGTCATTGGTGGATGGGGGGGAGAAAGCGAAAGGGCTCTGCGAAAGGTCGCGCAACGAGGAGGTAACGATTTATTCTGCGAACCCGCGAGATTTATAGCCTTATCGTTCGTTGTCAGTGGTTAAGCTGTTCAATGTCATTCAGCAGTCGCAAGCAGCAAACGCTACAGCGGCTGAAGAATTGAAAACTCATAGAGGGTCTGGCAAGCCTACATTGCCGGCCCCAAAAATCGAGTCCAAAGCGAAGGGGGAAAAGACCAGAAAACATGACAGCAGTCATAAAAGCGAAAGCAAGGGTCAAGGTCAGTCGTATCTTATGCGAAATTGTGGAGATGGCTCTCTAATATAGATTCGAATAGCGTTGGCAGGGGAAGACTTCTTTGACATCATCAGGTCCGGAGGGGTTGTCTCGAAAGCATGACCTTACAGCTTGAGCACCAGTAACGACTATACCAACAGACAGATCCGTTGTCCTCTGTACGTTGATCGTAGTCTCTCCTACCTGCGGGTGTTGACAGCTCCGTTCGCACTCAGATGTATGCTACTGCCGTAAGATCATTCTGTGCACTCGCACTGCATGTTGCCAAGGTCTAGGTGCGGAGACGCTGGTCTTGTGTCTTACAATGGACGCTACGGTTGATTTGAGCTCAAGTACTTTTCATTGCAGACGAGTGAAAAGCATTTCGTCCTCGTGGTGGTGGTGGTGGGTTTATCTAAAGTGTAGTTACAGGATATGCGTGTATACATATTCTGCACTTTACGACCGTTGACGCTTGCGTGAGCCTGCCCTAAAGTTGAAATCATCCTTAAAATTTGCCACGGCGTCCTGGGGCAAGTTCTTCATGGTCTGTTCCGCGTGTCTTTCAGATGCTATGTCTGTTCTGACCATCTGTCCTTCAGTCCCCCCAAAAGATAACGATCCTGCAAGAAGAGTGGGAGCGTCGGCTTCACGATGTGCAGGTGTCCAAACAGTACGTGTCTCCTCTTCTCCCGACTGGCGACCAGAAGATGAGCAACACTATTGGGAATCTCTCTGAACTCCTTGATGAGTTAAAAATTTATTGCATGTATTATCTGAACCTTTCCGTCGTCTGCTATTCCGTCGTCAAATTCGAGGGTGTCACTTGTAGCTAACTCTGAGTCTTTGCAGTGATTTGAATCGTCTTGTGATGGACTACCTTGTCATTGAAGGCTATAGAACCGCTGCGGAGGAGTTCAGCAAGGAGGCTGGACTGGAATCTCCAGTCGATTTCGAGAGTATTGAGAGTAGAATGAACATTCGAGAGGCATTGCAGCGTGGAGACGTCGGCGATGCTATCACACGCGTGAATGACCTGAACCCTGAGGTAAGTCTATCTTCCACGATATGTTTCAATAGGATTAGACTTTTCATGCACCACTCCGAGCCCGAGGGCGATGGTGAGACTCTTACACCAAAACTTCAGTCTTCAATATGATTTTCTGCTACCTGCTGCATCTTCAGTCCTAGGATATTAATCTTCCACTTTTCCAACAGATTTTGGATACTAATCCCGCCCTTTATTTCCGGCTTCAACAGCAGAAGCTCATTGAGTACATCCGTCAGGGCCGGATAGCTGAAGCGCTGCAGTTTGCACAGGAGGAACTAGCCCCGAGAGGCGAGGAGAGCCCGGAGTTTCTGTCCGAGCTCGAGAGGACAATGGCGCTGCTGGCGTTTGAATCATCTCCGTTAGCTCCTGCGGCCATCAGTGAGCTCCTTTCGCCGGCGCAGAGAATGAAAACGGCAGGCGAAGTGAATTCCGCCATACTCGAAAGCCTGAGCCAGGGGAAGGAGGCGAAACTGGTCGGTTTGCTGAGGCTACTGTGTTGGGGTGAAACCATGTTGAGTGAGCGCGCGGACTTCCCAAAAGTAAGTGACCTCCATGCTGATCGATTTGAGCCGGTTAACTGATCGGTATTTCGCAGCTTGATCTCAGTGAAGGGACGTTCACTCGTGCGGGGAAGTAGGAACATGATGCGTAATATTGTCCTCATGGGATCGCCTGTACTAGCTCTGTATATTGTTTCTGTATTTTTACCACTTCAGATACTGTTGTGAATGATACGAGGATGACGGCCCGTCTCAGGCGTGTAGCGACAATCAACATCATTGAGACTCATCAGCTGTAGGTTCCGCGAACATGGAGAGGCTCTTTAGCCTGGGCAAGAAATGTCCGCAGGTCATTTCACTTGCATTTCACCAATATTGGTGCGTGAAACAGGGTCAAATCCGACGGAAGACGAGTGCATGTTGGGTACTGAGATACTGATGAGCGTCGTGCGCATTGATTAAGGGATTCGACAGGGCATGCGCTTTCAAGGAGGATGGACGTGGGTGGCGAGACGCGCGAAGTTTGCTTAGTCAGCCGACGGCAGATTAGTGCTTGGCCACCGGTGTGGCCGCGTCGAAGGCACAAAGCCCTCCTTGGTCGTCTTCGTTGTTTGGCTCGACGCTGCCGCCTTGTCTGCGTACTGTTTTTTGTCTCTCACATATCTGAGCGCATTTCACTCAGCCTTTCGTCCTTCGACTACTTAACGTTGCCTGGCCTTGGTCGACGTGCCTACTCATCTGTACCTTGTACCACGTTACCACTTCCGCCTCTGCCACTCATTGTCGCCGGATCTACGACATGTCTGATGAGACAAGATCGACCTATGCCAAGAATCGCAGACCACGACCGCGCATCTTGGTCGTCAACAATCCTAGTCCGGAGGAAGGCTCCAGCGGCAGCGAAGAGAGAATTGGAGCAACCAATCCTTATCCGAATGCATACACTTCTCAACCGCGTCCTTTACCCAGTCCTTCTCGTTCCACCCATGTTGAGAGGCCACAAGCATCGCATATCCCAACACCTCTAACAACCAACCTTCCAGATCACAGGCATTACCCGTCGTCACGGTCAAACCCATCTAATCCCGCTCTTTCTTCCCCTTCCAGCACTAGTTCTCCTGCCATAGAATCAACCCCTCCTCCAAGCACTCCCGGGCAGAGTGCTCCACCTGTTGATCTGAGCGGCGAGGGGGGCGTCAGGCAAGAAGCAGCGAGTCCGCCGACACCTGACCGAAGCGAGACTACTTCACGCCCTGCAAAGTTTCTCGGGTTCAAATTACCGAGATCTAGCCATGCTCGTCGCTATTCGAACAACCGACAGCCATCACAGGTATGGTTTCCTGTGTAATCTTGGACTGTGTCGATGGTATATTGACCTTCGTTTCCCGATTGGCTAGCAATCGCCGCCGCCGCCGACGACGACGACGACTCCTGATTCCTATACACAGCCAAATCATGCCCTTCGTTCACCCCCGAATGAGAAGGTCATATTTCTTGTGACTGCCGATGCGGACAAATTTGCAACTGTTGATATAACCGGAGCAATAACACCTGCGTTCATCCGCGAACGTATCTTCACGAAGGTTGGATGAGGCCTGTGGACATGTCTTTTGTTTCTGACATACTTCAACAGTTACAGATACCTGACGAGGATCAATCGCAACATTCTATCTATCGCACAGAGATAGGAAGTTACGCGATCGGTGAACCTCTGACGGACGAGCAACTGTTCGAGTTATACCGCGAGCAAGGCGATTCGAAAGCAACCGTCAAGCTCCTCGTCTGTCATTCTGCTGCTCCTGTCCACGAATCCTTGGACCCAGTGTGTGTCTCGCCGACTATCAATACAATACCTCCCCCCGTGCTGCCTGAGCACACTTTGTTTGCACCATTACAGCCGGTGCGACGTAGGTCGCGGTCAAGACGCGACAGTCAATCTTCGGCTAGTGAACTACAGCCTGAAGTCGCCGCAGGTTATGAAGCATCTGTTTCCGACGATCTGGAGCACGCCGAACGGGAGACTCGACGCTCTACCATGCGTCCCCCGGCTCAATCGCGTACAGCTCCCTTGTCTCGTCGCCCTGTCTCTCCTGTCGCCCGTCATCGGCCCCAGTCTCCAGTTGGCACCCCATCCTCGGAGCGTAAACTATTTCGAAGCCCCGAATCCGGTGCTGTTTCATCGGACATGTATCGTGGCGGTATTCAACAAAGTTCCCCGCCCCTCACGCATTCACCGCAAAACAATACCTTCGCACCATCCGCGCCATCAATGCGCTGGGATACTTCTGTTGGTTCAGCTTCCGACGTCATGGTTGAGCGGGAGAAACCATTGCAAGTGCTGGAGGCACAGGCGGATTATTCGGAGAAACAGCGGCGAGTTTATACTGAGGACAGGGAGAAGCTGGAGCGGCTCAAGCACAAGGACGGTCAACCTCGCAGAGAACCCGGCCTTCGTCGCGTCCGAGCGGTGAACTACGACTCACAGGAGAGCAGGAATGTTGTTGATGATTGGACAGTAGTCTCCTCGGATATCCCATCCAGTGGATACAAGAGGGACCGTCCCACTACACCACAGGATACTCGTTCTCCTCGTTATGCTGGACCGTCTGCTGGATACGGACCTCTTTCGATGCCTAGTCCGCCTCGCGCAACTGTACCTTCGACACCCGGAGGCTCCTCCCGCAGCAGAAGGCACCAGGGGACACCCGTTCCCTCTATGTGGGCTGTTGCGTGGAAGGGGGCTCAGTCACCGCCTACGTTGTCGGGGAACCGCGCAAACAAGAGTATGACGGACATGCGGAATGCTTATAGGCAGCAGCATCCTCCAAGTTTGCAGCCTGGTCGCGCCTCGCGACTTGCCCAGGGGGTCCTACCAGTGGTTACGCGGCCGTCCGCCAGTGGTCCCGCTGTCTCTAGCACGGTACTTCCTCATAGCAGTTCTTCTGTGGGGGACGTGCTCTCTCCCACCTACCACGAAGTCGGTCACAACGACGTTGTCCTCCCGAGGTCATACGATGGTCATAGAGGTGTTACCTCACCTGTATCACAGCATCCTGCTCGCAATCTATTATCTCCTAGGATCTCTCCCGGTTCGTCTGCAAGCACAAGCCATCTGGGATTGGCTTCGCCTAGTCAGGAACCGTTTCCGCGACCACGCTCAGCCCTTGATGATCCTGCGGTCTCTCCATATTCTCAGCCCAGAATGCACTCACCTCGTGGGGTCGAGGGCCCACAAGATAGCATGGTGGGAGCATCTCACGTTCGTCTTCATAGCGTACCATCGCAGGTTGGCTTCAATCGTGATGATGGGCAATCGGTGGCACCTCTGAGACCCAATCCCCGTGCTCGTGTTGATGCTCAGCATGATCTCTCCGCTCCGCGTCTGGACCCTCCCGTCCAACCAGACCGCACTCGCCGCTCTCCTCCTGACAGCCCCATGCGTCCAACAGTACCGCATCATGACAATTCAAGTAAGGAGTCGTGGGCGTCTCGGTCTCCGGCTGTTCATGTTGAAACGTCCAGTGTATCGTCGTTGTCTAATGACGAAAAGGATGGATCGGCGACATTGTTTAAGCATAACGAGCATACGTGGTTGGCTGGTTTCATTGACGAAACTGCGGCCGAAGGTACAGTGAAGCCGAGGGCGCAACGCATTCGGCCTCAAGCACCTCCAAGTCAGGTACCTCCACCTCCGAGTATTCAGCCTCTTCCGGTCACTCAACCTGTTCTAACCATTCAACCTGTTCCTCCGACTCATCTTGTTCCGCCGTCTCACCCGCCACAGAGTCAAATTTCTACCTGTCAACATCCTTCCGATCAAAGTCTGCCAAGTGACGTTCCTCCATCGTTACCCAATCCACGCGAAGCACCGCCACCCAACAACTTCCCCAATATGGAGTCACTACCAGATATTGACGATGACTCGGATAGCGAAGGCGGTGGCACTATTTGGGCGGTCAGGCCGAACAAGTCGAGTGAAAGCAGCCAGGCTTCCTTGCAGAAGGGCCCTGCAGAACAGACCAGAAGCACCACTCGACCACCCCTTTCCCCTTTGAGTATTGAAAGTTCGCCCTCATCGTCACATCTGCCATTATCCAATTCTGGCCCTGTGGATGTCTCCAGGCTTTCACCTTCCAATTTCCCTGCTCCTCCCGACTTTTTGCCTCCCCCCGTCCCTGTGCGAACGACTAGACGGAATCCCCCGACGTCGGCAGCTACAAAATCTGTTCAGGATCAGCGTACAAGTCGGTTCGATGACAATTACGATCGCACTTGGGCACCGCGTCCGCCGCCAGAAGATGTGTACGAACGCCTGGAGGAGTATTTCCCTGAACATGATCTCGATAAACCGGTGATCGAGACGCCCTCAGGTGGAACATCTCCCACAACTGCCGAGAATCCAGTGCCTGCACCCGGACGCTTCAGGCACAAAAAGTCTATACGAGTGGTCGCGGAAGAACACAAAAAACGGATTGATCGCACATCGCGCTTGGAATCGTCGTCTGTGACTGCTGTTTTGCGGAAACGAAACACGAAGTTATGGGGTAGTCGACTTGAAGAGGTTACGACAGAGCAGGCAAGATCAGCCATGCCTTCTACTGTTCAGGATTCCTCGCCTGGAGGAGTACTCAAGCGTACGTGATCCTCATTGTTTCTCAAGTTCCTTGGCTAAAGTTATTTCCAGCGATCTTCCGCTGGGTTCGTGGGGAATTGATTGGCAAAGGGACTTACGGCAAGGTGTATCTAGCCTTGAATGCGACAACTGGAGATATGATCGCTGTGAAGCAAGTGGAGATACCTCGGACTGCTAGCGACAAGGACGATTCTCGGCAGGTTTCTGTTGTAGAAGCTCTGAAGCTGGAGAGTGAGACCTTGAAGGACTTGGATCATCCTCACATTGTTCAATACCTTGGATTCGAGGAGACACCGACCTTCCTCAGCATGTGTGTAATCTTTTTTTGTGGCTCTGCCAGGTCGCTGACTATGTTTATGCTGTCCTGCAGCTTTTTGGAGTATGTTCCTGGTGGATCAATCGCCAGCTGTCTCCGAAAATATGGGAAATTCGACGAGGAGGTCACGAAGTCATTCATTTGGCAAATCCTCTCGGGCCTTGAGTATCTCCATTCGAAGGGTATTTTGCATCGTGTAAGTCGAGGAAGTATTTGGTCTAGAATCGCAATGCTGATCGTCGCAATCAACAAACAGGACCTGAAAGCGGACAATATATTGGTCGAAACGTCGGGTATCTGCAAAATTTCTGACTTTGGTATATCCAAACGTACCGATGATATCAACGCGGCTGGAGCCTATACGTCCATGCAAGGAACTGTGTTTTGGATGGCTCCTGAAGTTATAGATCCCCAGAAGAAAGGTTATAATTCGAAGATAGATATCTGGAGCGTTGGCTGTGTCGTTTTCGAGATGTGGACAGGCCAAAGGCCATGGAGTGGAAAGGAGGCAATGGCTGTTCTACTTGAAGTGAGTTGTCTGGCACATGCTCACAGCGCTGAACTAATGATACTGCTCTCAGCTGTATCGAACGCAAAAGGGACCTCCACTTCCTGCGGATATAAGCCTCTCCCCCCTCGCCGATGATTTCAGACAGAAGTGTTTCGCAACGTGAGTTCTACTGCGTTTTGGTATGGTACCTTGTGGCTCACCCAGGAGTTGTGATGTAGCAATCCTGACGACCGACCTACTGCTTCCGAATTAGGGCGGCATCCATATCTTGAGCTTCAGCCGGGATGGCAATTCAATAGTTTCAAATAGTGGAGGAGTTGGATTATTTCTCATTCACTTTACAAAGCGGACCGCTCACATCCAGCATATTCACTGTTTTCTGCGCATTTTGGTCTCGCAATCCAGTCACCTTTAACATCCCACTCTCACGACCTTTGCTCTATATTACCCTCCATCTCATGTGTCATCGCACATCCAGTATACTTTCCAGCATGTCCGGTGTAGCACCCATTACATTAATAGTGTTTGGGATTGTTCCAACAATTTGCCGCTATAGTTTCTACGTGCGATGATGTCGAACATCGACCTCTTCAGTACATGAATTTCGCTTGTTGCTCTGTTTGAGGCCCTCGGAACTTGCAAGTACTAAGTACCTCACACCATCTTGGCCGCTCATGTCTTCTCCTAACTGGAGGTTGTATCTGCCTCAGTACTTGTGGATCCGAGGTGCGCTTACGGTAGTACTAGTATGAGAAAGGATCTCAGCCGGATTGTGACTGTTAACGTTCCGCAAACTTCTTGAAACTGTCAACGCGTGTGCTAACTTGCAAGCTTACGGAGGTAATAGATTAGACATTGGAGATGCAAGGTTGAACGAGAGGGAATCATATCGCGCTACGCCAAATTATTGCAGTCTTGCATGTCTCCAAATATTGCACAAGGTACTTGGTCCCGAACGCGAACCACTGCGCATCCATCGTCTGCCGTACTCCGCGCATAGTCGTCTGTACAGCAAGTACGAAGTCCAAGCTGGGGACCTTGTTTGCCTTCGTCACCTCCGCGAGGTAGGCGAGGAACTCCTGCTGGTCCCTGGAGCGCCTGATTCTTCTCCGCAGGGTCGTCGACAGTAAGAGTGAGCTTCCCCTCGGAGAGGCGAGGTAGCGCACAGTGTGGACAGACCAGCTGCTTGCACTGTCTTTTTCGCCACTGAAATAGGACTGTCCGATGTAGAGCCCGGGGGTGCACGACTGCCAGCGCCTCTTCGTCGCCTGCTCCACCATGATGTTCTTTCCTATGCATACCTCCAGGAACGTGAATTCGGGTGCAGAGCTCACTGTCATCGGCATCCGGACATTGCGCAGACGCGATGCACGCTCAGACTGCAGAGGATGCAAGCAATTCACCATTGGCCAGACACGCTTGATAGATATTTCTCGCAGAGGCTCCAAGCTGAAAACCACCCTGCGGATAAAATCACGAACTGGTATCCAAGCCAGCCATATGCCCACGGACTCAGACCGATGAGCAGGATGGTCGCCAGGGCATCGATGATCGCGCTGACGAGAATGGCTGCACCCACGAATTTCAGGGTTTTACGCTCGTATTCGGATCTGAAAATATTGAATTCCTGTAGGTTGCTGAACAAGGCGCTATGAACATTATGGCCTTGCGTCACAAGCTGCAAGCAGCTGTATTCTGAGCTACCGAGCCGATTCAGGTCAAGATAACGTTTGCCCTGTCCACGGCACCGCTACAGGATACAAACGGCACACATCCAAGACAGTGCAGCAGTGGCCTGCATGCCTATCAAAACTAGCCTTGTCCTAGTAGCTGCTGTGCGGAGACCGAGGAACGTCTCCATGGAGTAGATCAGCATGTACACGAGCATGCCAAGGAAGGTCCGTTCATTGCCTGTCTGGTACAGCTCCACCTGCGCAGGGCGTCCTTGCGTCTGGAACCACGCTTCGACCATACAATCCTCAGACGGGTTATGATTAATGATCACATTCGACGCATGGCGTTCCGGGGTGCCGGTGGGAATATGGATGAGGCTCGGGGAGAACACGTTGACATATTCGTTGTGACGGTACGAGAACTCGCCCACGACATTGCGGTACAGCTCGCAGCTGAAGAGCAACATGCCCACCTGCAGCTTCGTCAGCACGCGCCCCGCACCGAGACCCGCCAGTGCCAGGGAGCCTGGGAATGTACGCGCCGCGATGAGCTTAATGTTCTGCACTTTGCCTGTGAGGACGGGGATGAGCGAGAATATGGAGCTCATGCCATTGATATTCTGAACTGCTGCGGCAAAGGAGCGAGAGTCGCTGCCAGACTGCGCGGCCACGACCCCCGCCGTTGCGAGTAGGAAATTCCAGGTATATGCGCTGGTGTGACAGCCGTTCATCGCGAGATTGCGTAAGAAAGCTGATTTGAATTCATGCGAACCGGAAAAACCGCCATTGAGCAAACCATTACACTGCACGGGTTCCAAAAACACAAAACTCTTACCAACTGTCGACCATGCCCCGTTCGTTCTTGGAGAAGAGAAAAGCGAAGGTAAGTTCTTGAGATGAATCTTTCTATACCTGAGCGGAGGATCCGGGCAGGCATGACTGAATCACGGAGTAGTGGCACCACAGCACTATTCCCTTTACTGCATAGAGGCAGTGATAACGTACGCTTCGACACATCAGAATTCTCCGGATTGCACAGCACCACCGTTGTACTTGAATGAACTTGCTAGTACCGTTTCACAGGAATTCAGGACAAGGTAGGACGTCGTCCGACGACGCCCTTCGACTGCAGGTGTATGCTGGCAATGGGACAGAATCAAGTAACTACACCAAGATTGGGAACGAACGTGTTGCGCGAGCTAACGTCGAGACGGCCACGGACGCTAGCCTAGTCCGCTATGGTTATAGTAAGTTTCCATCCTGGGTCGGGGCAAAGGCACGAGAGTGACCAGAGTGATCCCAGAGTCTCTGTTGACTTGGTTGAGTGAGTGGTCCGGATGAACATGATGATCCATGCGACAGAAGTTGCCGACAGAATTGGGAAGGCAAGTCGGAAAAGTAGCGCGCTTCTGTTACCGCGTCCCAAGAAACTTTACTGGAGGTTCGTCCCTACAGCCAAAAGCTTGCGGGAGGTCAACCTAGATATTGCCCAAGTAAGGACTCGAGAGGAAACCCATGGCCAAGGCGGCAGAGGAGAACTACTGACAATGGTAAGTTACAATTTTGCTGGCGCTCGTCGTCTCCGTTCTTGAGGAAAGTATCTCACGAGTGAGATACATAGATCAGTGATAGATTTCGTGATACACCGAGGAAAGCGACGAGCACAATGTACAACACACAAACTATAGATGAGTGCCCAAAAGTCCCGAGCAAATGTCTATAGCAGTCCAATATCAAAGTCCCAAGCGTCCAAGCAACGATAGTCTCACCAATGCCCCAAATGTTAAATGTCCTTTAGCGCAGGAACTCGTCAATGCCCTTCAGCAGCTCCGTCCAGAATCTATCAACCACATCGCCCTTGAACCCGTTGCGGTCGTACCCCAGGCTGACCCACAGCTTACCCTTAAATGTGTAACCAAACAGCAGCATCGCGCCATGCCGCTGCCGCGAGCCGGTCGTGAGCGTGTGCAGCTCGATGTTGGGGAACGTCGCGTGCTTATATATGCCATCGAGGTTCCCGAGGAGCGACAGCCCGATGAGCGCAGCAGAGGGCGCCTCAACGCGCGCAGGCAGGACGGGCTCTCTAGGCGCACTCGGTGCAGCGGGCGCGGGTGGCACCCACGTCCCCTTCTCCTTCTCGTCATCCTCTCGCGCCCAGCCGCACGCACGCTCGCCACGCTCCCGAGCCATCTCGTGCGTGCGCGAGGGGACCAGCGGGGTCTTCGCGGCGTGCGTGCTCTGGTCCTTCGCCTGGCGGGCCCGGTGCCAGAAGATTGCCTCTACGCGATTCTGGTCCGCCGGCAAGAAGTTCGGGAGGACGACGTCGAAGTACCCAATCGCGAGGTACCAATACGAGTCCCACAGTGTGGGGCGCTTCACGGTAAAGTACGGCCGCAGGTTGAGCGCGGCGTACATCAGGACGGGCAGCGCCCTCTCGCCGCCGCCCATGCGCGCCCACGCGACATTGCACAGCGCGAAGAGTGCAGCGGAAATCGAGACGCCGTTCGCCTTGCACTTCTTCAGCATCGCCTTGCTGCGGTCCTCTGGGAACGCGAGCGTGGGGACGACGGTTTGGCGTTCCGCGTGCTTCTGCCGGGGAAACGCCTGCCCGCCGACGAGCTTCTGCTGCGACATCTGGAAGTCGACCTTGGCCGCGGCCCGGCGGAATCGACTGGGCGACAGCGGCATGTTGTGCTCCAGGGCCTGCGGGAGGATGCTCGCCTGTGGCCACAGTCAGCATCAGTATCGGCTGCAGGCGGCCGCGGGTGGACAGTGGTGCGCGGACTCACATCGTGCGCCACGTTTTCCCAGCGTGTGCGCCACTCTTCGGTGAGAGCCTCCTCCAGTTCACCGTCGCTCTTCTCGCTTCCCAGCAGCCCGAAGAAGTCGTTCGCGAACTGATGTAGGGCCATCCCGTCTCCAAGGAAGTGCATCGCGCATATCAGGAGGTCGTATTGATTCGCGCGCTCGCCTTGTTGCTCGGACGGCCCCGACGTCGTTGTTGTCCGCGAAGGTGATGGTGTGCGGGGAGGCGTCGGAATGGTAGAGTATGCGGGCTCCGAGAGGATAAGGTACGACAGCCTGGTGTTGGATAAGGTGCGAGGGCCATTAAGGTATGTGTCGATGAGCTCTGTTGACGGCATGCATGAGTATGCCAAACAGAATGTGGAACCGACCACCGACCGTCTTTGTCCTGCATTCTGTACTCCAGGGTCGCATCAGCATCTGCCAGGACATCGTCTGGTGATGATGGCGCGGAATAACTGGATACCGCGCGTGAGTTGAACCGAAAAAGCTCGCAGTAGACGTGACTTACATGAACCGCACGTCATCGTAGTCGTGCATCTGCACCTGGGCGGCGAGAAGTGGGTGCCGGAGGCGGAGAATGCCCCACACAGCACGGACGCGTGCACGGCGCGTCAAGCGTGCCGGGGCATGAAACCCAAGGTGCAAGTACCTGCACAATACCATCAGCCGACCTTCAGGGCAGGGATGGGTGCACGCACATGTCGTTCACGCCTGTCTGCCGTGAGGGTAGGTAGTATGAGAGCTCTGTGTCGCCCATCTTTCGCTGGAGCTGGGTGACCTTCGAGGGGTGCATGTTGTCGACGAGCGACGCAGTCACCTCCTCGGGCATAAAGGTATACTTCTCTCCCTCGAGAGGGGGTGGAGTGGGAATGGCAGACATGGCTAACCGGGGTATTGTGGGAGGCGCTCAAAGAGAAATGTGCTGCTAGGAGGGGCCATCTTATGTATGGGCCTTGGAGCTGGCGTTCGGCAGAGCAGCCGATAGCTGGAGAGACACCCTAAGTACGAGGCTAGGGGATGAAATTGGAGACACGGTCTACAACCGCCGGCCAACCCATACACTAGGGTTAGGGTGCCACATCGATTGGGTTGTGTGATCACTTCCGCTCTGCGACCTGATCGACAACGCCTTTTTGCGTCTCGCCCCCCTCGTTCGACGTTCTAACCCACCAAAAACATACCTTCGCCAGGGAAAAATGCGTGGTAGACATCCCCCGCACTAGATCTCAGTACAGGAAACCCCAGGAACCACTTGCGCATGCCGTGAACCTCCGACCATGGAATGGTCAAAACTTTCCTCGACCCAACCAGTTCCCCTATACCGGAGGAGCATGTATATTCCGGGCCAGGTCCAGTTCTGCCTAGCGAAGAGATCGTGGATAAAAGATCGGCTTGGGCCAGGTCACTTGCTGGGTTCGAGCGCACTGACTGACAGAACCATGTCCTGCCGGCCAATCCTGCGACGTCCGACCTCGGGCGGCGCTCGACATATCTTCTTCGCAGACGCTGTCCGAGCCTACTGAAGTTAATGAGCTGCATCAGAACGGCAACCGTGCAGGGTTCTATTATCAGTCGTACTTGGTAAACGCGCTCAATATCCGTTTGACGCTGCTGGAAGCCTGGAAAGGCGGGCATTTATTCGTGGCCAAGTCATACGTCATTGATCACGTCCAATCCTCCACAAAAGGCCCAGACAATGGACGACACACCGAAATGAAACTTCTCTTACACTCCATTTAACCGCTACCAGCTCTAGCACTCGAGGTATGATCAAAGCACAGTCCGTCTAAACCGCACCCGCTTCCTGGTCCTAATGAAATCCGCAGATGATATCGATATATCCGAACGATCCAGTACAAGCACTGACCCCACCCAGCTCAAGAGCCCCGCTTCTGTGCGTCTTAACGCCGTCGCTTGACCGCCCGGCTCAGTCCGCAGGCCGCTTCTCATCCTGCCAGTCATGCACTACCACGTCCGGCTCGAGCTTCGCCGCTTCGACGTCGTCTCTCGGCGGAGCCGCGCGCGGAGCCTGTGCGGACTCGACGGACTTGATCCACGTATAGTAAACAGTGCCCGTCGCGATAACCAGGATCGAAGTCGCGCGATTTCTAGCAAGGAACAAAACAAGGAGATCAGCTTCCGGTGGTCGCGGGGAATTTGATGATGATAAGAGAAGGGAGGAGAAGAGACGGAGATGGTGGCGTTCGGCTGATATCTACGCGCCTCGGCGCGGCGCACCGTGTACGTGCACGATAATACAAGCGCGAGCACTTACGCTGTCAAAAGGTCACCGAACAACCACACCCCGAGGAGTGTTTGGATAACAGAACGTGCAGCCTAATTCAAGCAGCCAATGAGGTGGATAACAAAGAACGTTAGCCCAATCTTGAGGACGGAGACGGAGGAAGCGTGACGTACGCTGGAGAACATGTGGGTGATCGGGCTGGTCACCTTGATGCTGAGAAGTCCCGCCACACATAGCAGGAAGCCGAACACGCCTGTGACGATACTCCCCCAGACGAATACCTCGCCGTTCCAGGTGGGCGAGTGCATGAGCTCGCGCACGCGGCCGTACTCACCCAGAAGGAGGATGAATGGCGCGAGGAGAAGCGCGGAGCCAAGGTTCTGCCAGTACGCGAGCTGAATGGTCGAGTTGTGCGCGTGAGGAAGCGACATCTTGATCAACACCGTGTGCACGGCGATGAACAGCGACGACAGCACTCCATAGATTATGGGCAGCTGTAGATGCCACTGTCGGGCGGAGGCGAGAGAGCCAGGGGAAACACCCAGGAAAAATCCGACCGTCACAATAAGTGTGGCTGCGATAACTTTGAGAGACGGAGAGGCACGCGTGTGCAGGGAAGATACCATAATAGTCAGTGGTAGCACGAGGCCGCGGGCGATCTAGCGCGTCAGGCGTCAGCGCGGGCGGCATTGACCACGGTGGGAGACGGACCTGGAAGAACGATGCCTCGACGCCTCGCAAGCAGAGGATATTGAAAACGAGGCCGATCACGTTAACCAGAGTCACGGGTATCAACTTTTTGGCTGTCCGGAGCTCGAGTTTGGGTATCTCGACCTTGGAGGTGACAAAGGCCGCGCAGTGCAGCAGGACAACCGCAAAAAGTAGTTGGATGAGGAGGAACAGCAGAGGAAGATCGGGGGAGGAATTCATGACGGCCTTGTTACTGCACGTGGCACGGTGAGTAGACGACCCCCGAGAGGTCCAACGAGCATCTTACACAAAGACCATCTGGACGAATGAACAACATCAGAACTGAAGGTCGATGATGACATCGCCAGGACTCACCACGAGGGCTGCACACATGTAGAAGGACACGACCGCGGCGACCTGCCATGTCTGTGTATTGGTCTTGTTGGATTCCATGGCGAACAGCAGGGAGCGAGCAGCTGCTGGAAGGAAAACGTACGGAGTAAATAAGCGCAGACTACCCGGAGGAGGGGCTAGGTGAGGATGTATCGGCCAGACATGCCGCAAATCGCACGGATAGGAGGGGCCCCTAAATTGTGGTAACTTGCGGCGAGGCTAGGGCCGAAGGCATCTACCGGCGCGTAATGTCCAAAAAATTCTTGTAACCTCAGGGCGCGGTCGAAGAAGGGCGGAGTAGACAAGAGAACATGATGGTAGAGTGCGGCGAAGCTGAGCAGGTTGACGGGAGCCGACAGCCATGGAAACGCGGGGTGTGTGTGACAGGGAACTGTGTGACAGTGGAAAATGAATGTGACCGGGGAGGGCGAGAGATGGGATCGGGAGTCGGGTGCCGCCTCTCCTAAATCGAGATGGCCGCGCCCGATACCCTCTCTCTGCCCGTCTCCCTCTTCTCTCACCATGAAGTCTCTCGCTGACCTCGAGGACCCTCCAGACAGCTGCGAGCACGCTCGCTCTCCCTCCAACGCTCCCCTGCTCTCCTGGAAGTACGCAGACAAACTGTCTACCTCGATACCCACCCCGCGTTCCCTCCCTTTAAATACCCGCTTTCGCAGACTGGTCGTTCTCGCTGTAGCTGCTCTGTTTGCATTTGCTGTCATTGCCTTATCCTCTTCACACCTCTCTTCTTTCGACCATGCGACCTCCGAACTTACTTCGCCGTCTACCACACTTGCCGCTGCGCCATTAGTTGACATCTCAGATGTCGACTTGCAGGGACAGTACACATATTCCCCGTATGTCAACGGCCCACCTACCGCAAGATTCCGCGATAATTTGCGCAATGATACCAAGTACATTACCTCCTGGATCTCAGCGGGATGGAGTGCGTCCCTTCAGTGTCTGTCCTATTATCGCTCATGCTCATCCGCCTTACAGCGAACGACGTCATGACCTACGCTAACCTGATATACCTGGGATCCATCACCGACCGCGTCCCCATCATCGCCATGTTCACTCCTTCTCACATTGGCGGCGACGCTGAAACCATCCGCTTCGGCGACGTCTTCGACGTGCAGCGCTTCAACAAAGAATCCGGCATCCACATTATCGAATGGGACGAGGTCAAGGCTCGCAATAGTACCGAGGTTGAAGACATAGGTTGCTGGAACATTTGGGAGGCCGTACAGTACAACGAGGATCACCCCAGGGGCAGCGCTATCCCATGGCACGTCGGACTCGGTGCGCTCCTGTTCGATCCGCCTTGATTCCGCGCGCGGCTCCTGATGCGGCTATTGTTGACAGATATCTCGTACACTAGAGCGCCTGACTGGGTGAAGCTGATTCCAGACTACCCGCACGATCAAGGCAGCTCGTTTTGGGCGCTCGCGAGACTGGGGTTCCCGCAGGAGCGCGCGAAGCACCTTGGCACCGCGACGCCGTCTCCCCAGCACGGGGTGACGCTGGACCCTGACCAGCAGGTGCTATGTTACGACTACTTGTACTATACGTGGGCGCAGCAGGTGAGTCTACGGGGTATCACTCGAGACCGACCCCGCGTTTGCTGACCCAGTCCTTGGTGATAGCCGTACGAGTGGGAGAATGACTATTTTCCGGCGTGGAGATTTGTCACAAAGTACTTGCGCTGGACAAAGGGGATCGAGGCACTCACCGCCTTGTACCTGCGGCGTGCATTTGACCTCACGACAACCGCTGAGATCCCACCTGTAAGTGCGCTGCTCTTTGCGCCGCGCGACGCTGATTGACCGCATTATGAAGTATATTGCCATTCATGTACGACATGGTGATTTCAGAAATTGGTGTTGGGCGGCCGAGCAGCCAGAAGACTGCTTCGCACCGCTGCCCGTCATTGCTAGACGCGTCAGGTAATCATCTAGATTTTGCTTTCTTCGAGGCATCTCCTTGACCATATCGGATGACAGGGAGGTACAAGACGAGCTCAGACGGCGCAAGGGCATCGAGATCCCTGCGACGAGGGTCGTGATGACGAGTGACGAGAAAGACCAACTGTGGTGGGATGAAGTGCTGGCCCTCGGGTGGCAGAGGATCGACCACGACGCGCTTCACACGGCCCAAACCTACGGGAGATGGTGCGCCACCTCCGTCTTTCTCACAACGGAGAAGACTGAGTTATTTCCGTTTAGGTACCCTGTTCTCCTGGACGCGGCTATCCAGTCCAACGCGCTCGGCTTCGTGGGCACGGATCGCTCGACTTACTCTGTCCTCTCGCGCCGCCGGGTTGAGGACTGGCAAGATGGCGCGACGCGCATGGTGTTGTGGGGCACCAAGGGCGCCGATGACCATTAGCACGCGCAGTGCTCTAATTTATGTTGGTTCCACGGGAACTTTGCGTCACGGACTCTGGACTTGTCTGCACGTTGAGACTTGCGTTGCTCATGGTGTATACCACTACATTGGTTCCGCTAATGTTCGCTGCTGCATTGTGTTTTGTCAAGACTTAGAATGTTGTTACCCATTTTTGTTGGATATATACGTGAGTATGTACTGTGTATAGTGAATAAATCTGCAGCGATTTCAAGTTTGGGGGCCTAGAAACCTCTCTACATAGTACCTAGACAGATTTCATTTGTTCGTTCCGTGTCACGACGAAGTCTTCCTTTACTCCCGAGGTTGGCATAGGCCAAACCATTCATTGTGATAATTGCATATGCAACGCCCACAGGATTCCGCTCTTATCCGGATTACTTTCGAATTCCAGGAACCACTGCGAAACAACCTCTCTTTGTGCACCCTCGTCCTCCCGGCACACAGCTGGAAATCCTGCTGACACCACCATGACTGCGAGCTGGCCATGGCTGCCCACCGAGCTCTACGTCCACGTCCTCAGCTTCCTGCCGCCCGCCCGAGACGCCGCCGACGTCAGCGCGAAGACGCTCGCGAGCTGTCTCGCAGCGAACTCTCACCTCCGCGCGGCTGCCCACTCTCCACTACTATGGGAGCCACACTATCGCGCTCGGTACACATCCTGTGTTCCGGAGAACGAGGAGCGGCGTAAGGCCGCTGCAAAGGGGGACTGGCACCGCATGTATGTCGAGCGGCGCTCGCTGGACCACAGGGCGCTCGTGATTCTGGACGAGATCAGGCTGCAGCTTGGCGGGCGGCACCAGCGCGCACGGGTATTTACGCGGGAGCTCTCGTTTGACGTGTGGGACGCGCTTGGGATCGAGACGCAGCTGTCTTTGCCCAAGTGCTTCAGGCCTGAAGGAGAGGGCGGGGACACCGACGATGCGCCTGCGCCGCATGCGCTTCCTCGACGCTATTGGGCGCGTACCGTCCGTGGAATTATTGCAAGACGATATGCGTTAAATCTCTGGGGACGCATCACGTCCGGGGATGAGTCTATCACCTTCGAGGAGGCGATATCCGGTCTGTCCGCGTTCTTCGATATATCGCCGATGCAAGTGAGTATCCTCTCTCACTCAGCTGACATAGTCGTGTGCTCATGTAGAATGTGCTCTAGATCTCAGCTAACCTCGACAACCTTGCAGATTTCTGTCGGAGCACGCTCGTCGACGCGGGCGTGGAGCTGAATCCCGAGAGCTCCCAGTATGACTTACGCGACCTCGTTATGCGCATCCGGCATGTCCTACACAGTCTGGGATATAGTGCTGTCACTGGTATGTACTTCCGCGCCTATTCGACTGACGGAATCCAACGGAGTTCTCCACTAGGAGCAGAATTTTACTTCCCTCTCAACCAATTTCCCCATTCTTTCATGAGCGAGGGACACCGCAGAACGATACCGCTGTCTCTCGTCTTCGTTTTTGTGGCAATTGCTCGCCGTCTGGGAATCCAGGCATCCGCGACCAACTTCCCCGGCCGAGTTCTCGCGTACATCACTTCCCCAGACAAGGCTGGTGGTGATATGCTGTTTGACCTTTGCGGCAACACCGATCCACTGACATTCACAAGCAGAAACGTGCCACAGATGCTGGAGGAGGTCGGGATGATGGCGGACGCGCCCCCAGAGTCCGTCACTCCGTGCAAGGTCTCGACGACGCTGTACCGCGCCGCAGCGAACGTGCTCCTCTCGGCGAGCCGGACCGCGGACTCGTCCACCGAGACGTGCGTGTGGGCGAACTACGCCGCGCGCTGCGTCTTCTTCCTGCACGCGCAGGCGATCTTCGACTTCAAGTCTTTCCTTGGCTCCAAGCCGCTCGACGCCGTCGCGGTGCTCGCGGACGTGCTCTGCCCTGCGCTGACCGTGGAGCTCGGCGACATTTTGATGGAGCACTGCGCGGACGTTGAGCAGATCGACGAGCGGTACGCGCGCGTGCGGTACACGCGCACACCCCGCATCAAGTTCTTCGTCGGGCTCGTCGTGCGCCATGAGCTGCGAGACTATGTGGGCTGCATCGTCGGTTGGCATGTGAGGCGCATCTGCTTTTCTTGAGGTTATACGTTCGCTCCTGACGGCGTTTCTCCAGCCGTATGCGGAAGATGTCGACATATGGGCAGGGGTCTCGATGATCCCTCAGCCTGACCAGCCTTTCTACACCGTCCTCACCCAAAATGGGGGGAAGAAGTGTGAGCAGAGCGTATGGAAGAGCATTCTCAGTACATCTCGCTGACGCTCCTGTCCTCAGACGTTGCCGAAGAGGATATTTGTCCGGCTACCTTTACGGTAGAAGTTGCCAGGGAATTGTTTAACAGCCGCACTGCGTTCGCGCGCTACTTCGAGGACATCGAGCTCGGTGATCGGCAGCGAGGGCGGATGCTGCTCAGCCACGAACTCAAGACCATCTATCCGGATGATGACCGCGCGGGAGAGGCGTGGGTGTCGCGAGGTGTCATGCCACGAGTCGAGTCCATACTGTCGAAGCCTCTTCCGTAGTCGATGCAGGTATCTCTTTATTTTTTCATTTGTTTCCGGTCCGCTCAGACATCATGAAATGGAGAATGTGTTGAATGGTTTTCCTTCCCCCTGTTTTACTTCGGAGATTTTAAGCATTAGCCTAGGGCAGGTGCATGGTGGCGTGATTTTACCACCTCAAAATTAAATAGACAACGTAGTTCATACGGAGAGGCGTCGAAAGCTGAAACAATTTATGAATCCAGCAATTCAAGTGCAATGTGGGTGTGTACTTGCTATTCAGCACGACGTGCATACACCGAACTCCGCAATATAAGGTTATACATGTTACTGTCATTGAGTAGTGGTTGAGAGCGCGAACATCCTCCCTTGGTATTAGGTTCTATTCCTCTAGCGAGTCCCGAACGCTATTGATACACGTACTAACCCGCGCTACGTATGACGTGTCGAGTTACGTTCAACACCTACCATACGCATATGGTTGCGTGGTTGCGGGTCCACCGATAAGTATCTGGGCGGACATGTACAAGCGATGTTGGCGGCGGGGGTACACCACTGCTTCTATGACATGCACACTCCAGTCTGCACTAGGCAGGGAATGATCAGCGATGAGCGCAGTCTTCCGTCCTGTTCGAAGTCCCTTCCGTGCGCTATTTTTGGCCGAACGGGAGACCCTAGTTGCTGGCTCCAAAGTATAAGCAGAGCTAGAAGATCAGAAGAAAGGTGAGCGGCCGAACCCAATCAAACGAGACAAGACGCCTACCATGGATAACCGTCAACTACAGTACCTCATGGAATGGATGTATGTTATCAAGTGGGATGGCGCAACGCAATTGCATCAAGTTGATGATCGCGGCCATTCCGTGGACGGGCACCTTATACTGTTGCGCTAGACGCATGATGTAACCGTTCAGATAATCCAGCTCCGTATTTCTCGACCTCCGCACGTCGACGAGCATGGACGACATGTTCGATCCTGTGATCTCCACCACGCGTTTGCACTCCTGGACCAAAGCTGATGTCGTCAACTCCCGCGGAAACATCGAATTGCCGGTAACGGAGACCTCATCCTTCATCTCCTCCTTCCACTGAGCGTGGAACACGTGCGAGGCCTCTTTGCACAACGCCTCGCACAGGCGCTCGCCACCGGGAACCGTAAATATGTCCGCGTTTTTGCAATTGAGCAGAGCGGTAAGCGGATTTACGACCGAGTTGACGACCAACTTGCGGCGCATCGCCATCTGGACGTCGTGTACTGGCCTCCATGAAGCATGCAACCCTTCAGCCATGGTGAACGCCTCTATCGTATTCCGGAGGGACGCATAGCGTGCATGGGCCGGATCGTCGGGTCCTGAGGTTATATCGTCCAGATTGGTCCGTTGGAGAGCCTTGGGCAAGGTAGACCGTACACTTGCCTCGAAATCGCGACCGTGACCGTCTGGCGTGATCCCCAGATGGATACTCCCCACTCCTGAGTGCACCGAGTACCCACGCCTCTTCGACCACGCGCCATGAGTGTTAGAGGAAACGACAATATGCGGCCGATGCTCCGGATTGCGGAAGACGTTTTTGAGCAGGTCCTCGTACACGCCCATGCCGTTGTGCAGGAGTACGATGGTGCTGTCGGCAGTCAAACGGGGAACGAGCTGCTTGATAATGGAGATGGCGACGTTCGCCTTGATTGCGAGGATGAGAGATTCGATAGTGTGTACAGGCTCCTCTTCCTGGAACAATGGCTGCTCTTCTCCAAGAGCAGCAGCAGCCTCGAGGCGACGCGCAACATACTCTTCACGACCGGAGTCGGAGTAACTTTGGATCTGATCATGGCTGATATCCTTCTCCCAGCGAACTACCCCATTTGTCTCGATGATGGCCCGTCCGTCTCCCCTCCGAGATGCTCTGGCAATACCTGGTTCTTTGTGGAGGACAGTGATGGCATTGGTGCGTGGAAGAGCGTGTCTGAGATAGTATGTGACGAGAGTGCCGATGGCGCCAAATCCGCCCACGATGTGAAAGCGCATGTACAGCCGTGGCCGCCGTTGTCCTCGTCGTTGTCGGCGGCGTTGACACGCGAGGTGGCGTCGATCGGTAACGTCCGACCTGATAGCGGAAAAGGAAGGTGAGTAAGAACGAAAGGATTCGCCGAAAAAGAACCGCACTGGAACGTCATGAGGATATACAGAACCTCCGTAATCGATAGCCTGGCGGTCCGATCAGCCGGCGGGTGCGGTCCCCCGGTGCACCTCATAAACCTGAAAGCCACCGAAGAAATGGTGAACCTCCCACACCTCTCTTCCTCTCCAACGCACACTACACCCGCGAATATCTAGCAATGGCCGCCATCACTCTCAAGAGGACCGCACAGAAGGCAAGTCGTGTTTCTTGAGGTGCCGCAGCCTCTGACATTTCCGGACGTGTGTAGATGCCTGCCATTGGGTATGAGTTTTCTTGTCTTATGAATTTATTTGACTCACCTTTCGTTCGACCAACAGCTTCGGTCTGTGGAAGGTGCGCTTGCTTGTTGTTTTGTCTACTCCTCCTCTGACGAAACGTGTGTTGCAGGTCACCAAGTCTTCTTGCGCTGATGTATGCGGGCTCGTAGACATACTTGGGGCCAAGTTGCTAAGAAAATATTTTTCAGACCGTTTACAATGCTATCAAGTCGGGTTACCGTCTGCTGGATGGCGCCGGCGACTACGGCAACGAGAAGGAGGCTGGTGAGGGTCTCAACCGCGCTATCAAGGATGGTCTTGTCAAGCGCGAGGAAATATGTAAGCGGAATCATTCTTCCGTCGGAAGAGCTGCCCTCCCTCATGATTTTAATTATTCCAGTCGTTACTTCCAAGGCGTGTTTGATTTTTAGTCGACGCGTGACGTCCTCTTATGATATGTACACAGCTGTGGAACACCTTTCACGCTCATGACCACGTAAGCTCTTTCCAAGTAGTGTCACCTACTGCTCCTGCCAACTCCGTGGTAGGTCAAAGCCTTGGCCAGGAAGCAACTTGATCTCTGGGGGATCGACTACTTCGATCTCTTCCTCGTCCACTTTCCTATTGCTCTTAAATATGTTGAACCTGGACACCGTTATCCTCCAGAGTGGTTCGGTGACGACGGCAAGGTTTACCTCCGTACGTTTCTCGCTTTGCCTTCAACGATACTTGTGTCTTTACATTCCCGTGCCAGAAAACACTCCCTTCTCGGAGACCTGGGGTGCCATGGAGGAGCTTGTCGACGAGGGTCTCGTGAAGAACATCGGCGTCAGGTGAGACAACGACTTATTTTACGCTGCAAATGAAGCCTTACCTGTGTCTTCTAGTAACACCCAGGGAGTTCTCCTGCTCGATATCTTGCGCTACGCTCGTTACGAGCCGGCCGTGAACCAAGTCGAGCTGCATCCTTACCTAACCCAAGAGCCACTCATCAAGCTATGCAAGACTCTTGGTATTGCTATCACTGCCTACTCCTCTCTTGGTCCGCAGAGTTACGTCGAACTCGGGGGCGACAAGGGAGCGAAGAACTTGCTGGAGCACAACGTGGTGACTAGCATCGCGCAGAAGAACTCGAAGAGTGAGTAACTGTGAGTCAGTGGCATGGTGTCCATGCTGATGCTTGCGTGTAGGCACTGCGCAGGTTCTGCTGCGCTGGGCTGTGCAGCAGGGTCTTGCGGTGATCCCGAAGAGCAACAACCACCATCGCCTGGTGGCAAACTTGCAAGTTTCTGACTTCACCCTTCCTGAGACGGACATGAAGGCGCTCAGCGCGCTGAACATTAACCTCAGGGTGAGTATCCTCGTGTTTTAGCCGCGAATTTACTCAACGGCACTTCTTACAGCTCAACGACCCGTCTGACATGGACCCCCGCTTGGCGATCTTCGCTTGAGAGTGCAGTTGTTAGCATCCTTGTACAATATTCAGAATGACATTCGTTTACGTCTGCTGCGAACCTCAGACAGAAAGTGAGTGTGCTCGGTACCGAGGTCTCCACAAGGCCCTTCGGCAGTCTGCGGCGCAGCTGAGCGCAGTACGCCGATGTTGCCATATATGGTCATACCTTCCATACTGGGACCGATCATGTACACCGCAGCTGACTTCGAATACTCCGAGGCGCGCCCAGAGCGCGACGTATATATACCGTCCCCTCTCCCCTTCTGTCTTCTCCACTCCTTCGTCTAAAACACCATGCCTCTCACAGAATTTAAGCTCTCTAAATTTCCGGACAATATTATCCGCAAGGTCACCTTTCCCGACCCCCCCACTTGGGCCGACCTTGCAGTGAGAATCCAGTCTCTGTATCACATTCCCCTCCAGGACATCGGCGTCTCCTATATTGACAATGACGGAGACGAAGTCACCCTTAGCTCGGAGGAGGAGCTCCAGGATTTCTACAGGCATGCTCAGTCCGCTGTTGGCCAGCCCGTAAGGCTCGTCAAGTTCGGCGTACGAGACTTGGGCGAGCTTCGCTCCTTGGGCGAGCATCCCTCCGAGAGCGGAAAGCCGCTGCCTGCCACTCCTCGTAGCTCCAACTATCGCAATACTTTCGGAGGCCCCATGCCTATGGGTTTCGACGAGGACGACTGGCAGCGTGTTCCCCCCGGTCTCGGTTCTGTCTTCTTCGATCGCATGAATGCCTCTCCCAGTCCCCATGCCTTCGTAGAGATCCTCGAGAGTGATGCGGACGCTTCGCACACTCGGGGAAGGGACAATGCGTCTACCATCGCCAGTTCCGACCTCGTTGACTTCACCCCGACTGCCGACAAGGGGAAGGGGAGGGCGACGGAAGAGGACCTGCGAATGCCTACCATTTCCTCCACCGAATCAGTCATCGCTGAAGATACGCCCACGAAGCCCTCCGTTCATGTGATGGACATGAATAATACCAGTTTGGATGACGTTTTCGGTATTCGCAAGGCAAAGTCCCCCGTCGATGCTCAAGAGGGATCTACACCGACCCCAAAGTCTCAGGCGACAAACGTCGCAGCTACTGACGCTCCCACGGCGCAGCCAGAGGTCGCGGATCCTCCCCTGCCCGATCTGGAGTCTCTTCCCCCACCCCCGACTACTCCTTCGTTGACGAGCGACGTTGCAAATCTGTTCGGTGCACTCTCCAGCATATTCGCGTCCCACCCAGAAGTCTCTGAAGGTTTGCGCAATATCGTCCGCAATGCTTCCAACGGAAATTACTGGCACGCTCATCGTGACGCGGTCTCTCGGGCTGCCGAAGAGATCCGTCGCAGCGCAGAAGTGGGCGCTCAGGAGGTTCGCGATGCCGCTGTTGACGCGCATCGTGCTGCGGAGGAGGCTGCCGGACAGCGTGTCGCTGAAGCTATTGCCAACGTGGTGCGTGTCGTCGCTGAAGCTACGAATACTGCACTACATCCCGGTGCTGGCCCTTTCCCACCACCTCCCAGGACTTCCACCCCGAGGCAAGCCGACGCTGCGCCTACTCACGAGCCTACCCACGACGATGCTTCAGGCCCTGTCCCGCCCGCTCGCCCCGCATCTCCATTGCGCAGTGGTAATTGGGATAGCTTTTACAGGCCTCGAGATACCATGCACACAGACGCTGCGGAACCGTACTCTTGGTATCCGGGAAGATCACCGTGGGGCAGACATATGTGGCAGAGAGGCGCGTGGCCCCGCATGAGAGAGGGCTTCCCGCCTGGTCCTCCCCCTCCCCCTGGTTTTCCACCGCACCGTCGCCCTCCACCTCCTATGGGTCCGCCTCCTCCCCCTGGTCCTCCGCCACCCCCGGGTCCACCACCGCCTGGAGGGCGAGGCCGTTCCCCTAGTCCACCTCCACCTCCACCTTCGGGTGCACCCCCTCCGCCGCCACCGCCGGGCTGGGCGCGCAGGGGGCATCATCTTCACCACCCTCACCGCGGTCCGTACCAATGGGGCCCATTCAACCCGATGCCTCCACCGCCTCCCCCTCCGCCGCCCATCGTCACCTTCCCAGGTTCGTGGCCTGTGCCACCTCCACCGCCGCTTCCCCTCTCGGTCCCTTCGGGAGAATGGTGGGGTGCGTCTGACTCGTTCCCGATGGAAGGGATCGAGCCCGATATCTCGTTCGATAACACTGAGCACGCTGAAGTGACTATGTTCGGTGCTGCACCGAGTCCGAATTCGCCACAAGCGATCAAGCAGTCTCTACAGGCTGCGAAGGAGCGCTACCTCGCGGAGAAGGAACGGTACCGCCGCGAGAGGGAAGAGCGCAAGCGCAAGATGAACAGGTCCGGCGAGAGGTGTGTCCGTCGCAGAATAATGGGAGGAGATTTAGTCGTTGACGCTGCCGTTTCGCGGCACAGTTCACAGCCTCACACGGGCGAAGATAAGCAGGCTCCTGAAACGTCTACAAATAAGGAGCAGCCGAAGGCAGTGGAGGCTGTAGGGCCGTCGACTACTGCCACTGTCGTTCCGGTGCCATCAGCTCAGATCGTCAGCAATGCGCGCGGCCCGTACCCGCAGCTGGAAATGTTCAGCATCCCGCCTCGCAGGTTCCACACTATTCATGGAACGGGGCAGCGTCGTGCCTCCAGCCCTCCCCCGCCGAATAGGGCGGCACAGGCCATTATGAGAAGATTGGGTGATGTACGTTATCGCCCGTTTTATCGTAGCGTCCCAGAACTGATATGTCTCTCGTGTCCAGATGGGATTCACTACGACCGCGTACCCTACCCTCCCGAGCGAGGTGACGTCACGCTTACCTCGCAATGGTGAATGCACGAGACAGGAGGAAGATACGATCGTCTCGGACGTGTTGGAAGAGCTTCTCCAGCAATCTCCCGCGAAGATGATCCATGCGTCGGGATCTGGTTCCCAGGAGAAGAAAGACAAGGAGCTGCCGGGAGCTTTTCCTTGAATGATGTAGGGTGCGAGTTTCTGTATGGTTAACGTTCATATATGCTGGTCTTGGTTACGCTTGTACGATACGTGGAGAAGGTTCTCTTGTTGTCTTTAGTAGCAGCATATCATTGCGGTATTTGTGCGTTTCCGTAGTGTTTGCTAGTGTGTAGTAATTATGTATAGCTTGGAAAATTGGAATCGATGGACACTTCGTCGATTCATAGATCCGTGGTCGTTGTTGAAGCGAAAGGAACTTAAAAATGAGTTCTGGGCGAACATGGTCGTTAGGTTAGCGAACAAAAAATGGGAAAAACGGGAAGTGTAGGTCTCTTGAAGTTGAAGCAGCGATCGACGACACTATCAGTTTGAGACTCGGAAGTCCGACCACAATTTACAACCCTGCGTTCGCAGCGGAATGACTGAGAAGAGTGCGGGTGCCGATTCACTCAATGAGATCTGTTGTACCGATCGCGGAAGGTAATCGTAGTAGCAAGTTTACCGGAAGCATTTGAACCGTTCAGGATTTGCTCAGCCCGATCCTCTGCAAATCGCAAAGTCGAGCGAACAAAGGGCCCGCATAGAAACAACATTCACCTGCCACTGGCAAGTACTGCCACTAGTGGGTGAGGACAACGAAACCGGAGTAGAAGACACGTAGAGGAAACACTAGTACTTCGTTCAGGGTGCCTATCATGATGGAGTCCGTTCCCTGCCCCAGGTAGTGCTAGTCGCCAGTGGCCAATTGTCCTGCGCCTTATACTTGCGCCAGGTATCCGGGGGAAAAGTACAGGTGACCTGTGGCAATGAGGCGGCAGACCAAACGTTGCTGTGCGACAAGCAGTGCAGAACGTCTTCAGAACATTCCTGCAACGTTTTAAGGACCCAAACCAGCTGAACAATTTTTTTTCTATCCTCCTTAACAGAGTGGAGTAATGTTTTGTGCCCTTAACTGCAGAGGACGAAGGCAACGAGTGATCTGACCTGGTACCCAACCCCGGTGGGGGATGACAACGCTGGATTCATGAAAACAATACATACGTGCATATTTGCGGAGACTTCTAATGGAAAACATTGTTGTTTTAAACAAAAAGCAGAACGGATGCCATGTGAGTCGTTGCAGAGCGCATTGTACTCGGGCCGAGATGTTTATCTCAAATCATGGCGCCCACATAGATAAATAATCCTGTTTGGCCGCCTCGTGCCGCCACTCCAGCCACTGGTCGAGGTAGCCGATATATATCGCGAGTACAAAGACAAGGTCGTTAGCTAACGTTATAGCAGCCTCACGTATAATTCCCGCCCTCGCGTTTCCGTCCAAACCCACCATTGCCAATTTACACTCCCTTCGCCCTGCCGGTCATTTCAGAGCTTGGCACTTGGCTCGATAAGAGTAATTCAAGGAAGGTGGGAAGGAACATGTAGCTGCACATCTCCGAACGCGTATCTTCGCCATCTGACTTGTTCTCCCGCGACAGATGCCCGTTCACACTCCACTTCATCTCACACAGGTCAAGTCTGCCTCGTCGTGGGATGAGGGACTAATCAAGCAGTACCTCAGGCAACTACCAGAACCGAGTGTGCCTCACAATGCCCAGATCTGGGCCGCGAAAGTGGTGCTGATAAAGATCCGTCTTCGCGAGCTGCGTTTGGTGGAGGAATTGGCCGCCCCTCGAATAGTCCCGGCGATTAGGTCACAGATCACAGCCATGTTGTTGGCGCGCAACCTATCAACTTGGCTCGCCTTCCCCATTAACAACTTACCTGTGGAGATCTTGATCCATATTTTCCGCTTCGTCGTGTACAGTCAAACAAACCCATACGACGGAATACGACAACGGATGTACCTGACGTGGGTTTGCAGGCATTGGAGAACCATCGCTATCGCTGATCAGATACCTTGGAGCTTCGTGTGGTACAGAGGGAGGGCGCCGTGGCCCCTAGCCGAGCTGTTCTTGGAACGGGCAGGAACCGCTCCCCTAGATATTGTGGTGGAGGATAGGTCGAAGATTCCGGACGATCAGGAGCCGCCCCCCTCCCTCACGGTCGAGGATGTGGACTATCTGATGGACGAGCTCTCCCTGCGCATTGGACAGATTCGTAGCCTCGAACTTTTCGTGCAGGGATATTTTCCCACAATCCGTATCATGTTTTGGCTCTGCGCCTGTGGCATTCCGCATACTATGACAAGATTCAAGGTGTACCGAGGCTTGACACCCTTCTTGTGGGAACTGCGGGATTCGCGGGACATCCAGCAGCGTTGCATGATTCCGCTGTGTGGCGGGAACGTACCCAAGCTGGAGGAGCTTCACCTTGACGGGGTCGGTATAGACTGGCAGATTTTTCCGGCGAGAAACCTGCGGTCAATCGACCTTCGTCGCATTGGGTGGGATTTCAGTCCATCTCCCGAGCGGTGGATTGCCATGTTACAGGGATGTCCGAACCTCTACAAGCTCGTCTTAACGGCGACAGGTCCCAGATGGGACGACACAGGTATCAGACGAGTACATCTCCCCAACCTGCGCGATTTCGCGCTGGGTAACGTCAGCCTGCAATACGCCCAATACATCTTCGACTTTATGGATGCGCCGCGTCTCATGAAACTGACGTACGACACCATGAAATCGGAAGACTACGGGCCACTCCTGGACGTCGCCACGACGTTCCGCGAGATGAAGGTTTTAGCAATTCAAGGCATGAATTTCCACCCAACACAGCAGAATTTGTGCAGGATAGTGAAGCTGCTTGAGGGGATGTCCAATCTCCGATTCCTGAAGATTGGTGATGCGACCCGGCAATTCCTGGATGCTTTCATGGAGGACCCTCGCGAATACCGCGAAGAGGATCCCGTGAACGAATCGCCCCACGCAAATGCGCCCCTCTCGGTTTTGTGCCCAGACCTCCAGTACTTGTTAGTGCTGGAGCAGGAACCGGACTCCTTGATCAGATTCTTGCGCGGTCGACGTGCACTGGGTGTTCCGTTCAGTGCGGCATACCTTGATGTGCGGTTCTATGCAACGTTATCCGACGAGCAGGTTAAGGCAATGCGCGCAGAGCTGACGAATGAGCTGTTCACCATACGCGGAGTGTCGCCGGGGCCGGCCGAGGAAGAAATAGACAAGGAGATTGCAGCGACAGTGCAAGTGGTGTAACTAGTTGTACCGCGGGGAAGGTCTAGGGGGAGAAGAGCGCTTGATCTATATCAGCTTACATATGTGTGTCCTGGGTTTATGCAGTGGTACGGTTGTATACTCCGTACGCGGAATGTGTCTTATGCTTACCTACCTGAAGAAAGGAGTGGATATTTTGAACATGTTTTGTGACTGTGAATACGGACGGTAATCACGTGCCTGCGAGCAAACGATCACGTGCCTGACGTGTTGTTTGTGCATATGTACGCGTTTGGCATACGCGTGGTTGGAGGGCGAACTCGAACGTCGGGCAGGTCACCCATCAAGATACCCCAGCCATGTCTCCCGCCCAGAGGACCCCCTCCCCCTCGTCGACAATGCTCTCCGTTGCTAGCTCAGCAGCACCCAACCCGGCCAAGACACCCGCCGAAATACCCTTCGTTCGAAAGCGTCTCCTCCACGAGCAGACCACCGTCCTCCTCACCGTCTTCGGGGAAAAGACTCATCCATCTAGGGAAGAGCGCGCGATTCTCGCTGCAGAGCTCGGCATGTACGTACTACGGCGTATAAGCGTCCTGCTAGATGCTAATTATCCCCGCCAGGCAGCTGAAAACCGTCAGCGCATGGTTCCAGAACAGGCGTCGCAGCATAAAGAAAAAGTCATTGACATGGAGCAGGCGCTCCATGCAGGAGAACCGCCGTCCAGCCGCTGCAGCCAGCCGAATCAAGACTTCCACCCAAGGTCCAGCCATATCCTTGGATTGCATCGCGTCTGCACGCGAACGACCTGCCCACCCGCCCAGTAATTTCGGTGCCATGCGTCCCCCGTTAACTCCCCATCGTCTAAATACAGCCAATATTTTCTCCCTTCCCTCGAGACAATCGACCGCTCTGTGGGAACATATCCCGTCGTCACCTCCTGCACTGCCTTCGTCGCCTATGGCAGAAAGCGCTCGGTTTTCCGTACTTGGCATACACTCAAAGACTGCACGTTCGCTCGAGTGGGCATGTGCCAAGGCGCGAGCGGCAGGGACACAAGGTGACGGCGACGTACCGATGTTGGACCTTGACCGTGCCAGCGACACCGTCACTGGTGGAGGGGATGATGACTCGGACACCGAGACGGAAGACTTCGAGGTGATTACGCCGGACGCTAGCGCTATCCAGCTCTTCCCGATGGTATCCTCGCCTGGAGCGGCGAGAAGGAAGGTGCAGGCGACGCCTCCCGCGGAGGAGATGGAGGCGGCGATGGCTCTGCTCGATTTCATGGGCAATGGCGCGTGAGGCGGGACTGGCAAGAATCCCTCGCTAGAGAAGTTCGTGGGCGAGTACATATTGCACCTGGGGGTTGGACAGTGACGGGCGGAAACGAACATCAACGAGTATTTACGACATCACTTATACTGCGTACATACATGTTGTGCATGATAACATTGCAAGGGTCATTCCCAGTATACCATTCACATACATTTTGTCCTTATGCGTATGCACTCTGACTCTCGGAGATCGTGAAGACGACACGGCGTGACGCCGGTGTGACAGACGCGTGGTGTGACAGACGCGAGGCGCGTGATCTTGTCCATAAGAGTCCACCTTCCGTCCACATCCCTCGCCATCCTCCAGCTGCAGCATTCTCGTCGCCACCATACTGATTACATCGCAAACGCACAAGCAGACGCCCCACTAGAAGACGACAACGTTCGACAAGTGTACCACTACTGAACAACAGTTTTGGTATGCTAATAAGATAGATGCACGGTGATATTGATGAGATGGGCCACAGGGTGTCCGTTCCCTTTTCTACGGCAGCAGGTCAGCCTAGGGATTTTTTTCTCTTTTTATTCGTCGCTACCGGAGTCAGAGTATCAGCGGATACTGGATCTGGATGTGCGGGTGTCGCTGTATGTGATTTATGCATTACACCGTTCGGATTTGCAGGAACCGGACTTCCTGCAGAATGAGGATGCATACCGTTGGGGCGAGACTTCTTAGCTTTTCGCTTACGAACGCCGTCGAGCATCTGAACTGCTCGCACAGGCTCTGTCCAAACCTATGAGCGACATACGATGACAACGAAGTGGTGGAACTCACTCTTGATCGCATGCTGTTTGAACAATTCGACAAGCGCATCCATCTCCTCCTGGTCCACCACACGGTCTATCCGGTTTCCTGCAAGGAAAGGACTCCCGTCGTCTTCACCTTCCACGTCCATATCCACGTCCATATCCACGTCCGCCTCTGGCTGCTCGTGTTCCTCGTGGTCGGCGGCAGCTACGTCAGCCGAGCGCCGAGTCAGGAACTCGTCCATCAAAGGGTCGAAGAGCGTGTCCAGTGGCGGCATGAGATATGCAGGAGCGTTGAACGCATCCTTGATTTCCTTCCCTCTCCACGGCTGCGCGCGATCCAAGGACATCGAGGACGTAGTCGTCTCTAGAGTGAGATCGGCGAAGGCAGTCTTGCCAAAGATGTCGTGGAACAGTGTCCGTTGGTTGGCAGTCGACCGCGCTGAGATGCCTTGAGCAGTCGAGCCCTCCTCTTCTGGTAAGTGTATTTCGTCCCCGAAGAGGACGACGGCCCAGGTATAGGTGATGCCGAGAAGCGTGAAAGATGAGGGATCCGTTGACGCAGAGCTTAACGACGGATGCGAGACAACACAGCGAAGACGGAATGGTAGCGTGTGCCAAGCGGACGGAACGGAAGAAGATGGGTGGAAGACAAGGACTTTCGTCGACGCTGTAGTGGATTGTTCGAAGACAGCAAGCTTGTTCTCCGTAGGATGCAGAACCAAGTGATCTAATGATACTGGGCTATGGTATTGCCATTGCACTATAGCGGTCGTTAGAGTACAATGCTTGCTGCAGTGCGAGAAACTCACGCTTTTGTTGGACTAAGTCCCACAACATCAAATCTCTATCGCCCATCGCTGCAACGTAACGACCACCAGCGTCAAGGAACCTCGCAGAGGTGACCTGTTTGCACTCTGGACAGGTTAGGACTGCATGTAACGCATTCGAACTGGAGTCATATAGAGCCACATGAGGACCGAGCGATACAGCAAACAACGAGCTATCCGGAGACCAGGACACATCCGTTGGAGTCTCCGAGCGGAACCGAAACATGGAGCGAGTCACCCAGAATTCTGCAGCAAATCAATGGAATGCTGCAACTTTACAGACGGGACACATACCTTCGGTGTCACTAGTCTTCGTCTTCGTGGCTCGTATCCTCCACGTCTTGATGTTTTGATCTTCACCTGTAGTCACAAACAATAAACGCTCCTTGGTCTTGGCACCAGGACTAAATGCTAGGCCTGTGACCTTCCTCAGGCCGTGCGGGCGATCGACCCGGGTATTCAATATCCACGCGTCTGTCTTGCGGTCCCATCGCCACACTTTCATGTACACCTCTCCGTGGAATGTTTCATCCGCTTCTCGACTGTCTATGGTGACCATCCACTCTCCTGAATCGCAGATCACAGCACGTTCCACGCGCGAGGGTTCTAATGGCGTCTCGTCTCTCCGGGATACCCTGTTGGAAGGTGAAACTTCGAGCTCTGAGATAAGTTTTGATGTCGAGAGGGAAAATGTTTGCAGAGATGATGGGTGAGACGAGGGTAGAACGAGGGTCGAGTTAAGGGAGTGGACCGCAAGCGGCGTAGCAGCGGACGTTGATGACCGTTCATGGGATATAGAGGGATCTACATGACAATGAGATCTTGACGGTAGAAGACATTTACATGCATCAACAGACCTAGTTTGATTCGCGCTATTGATCTCGAGACCTCAAGAGTGCCAGAGCGAACGAAGACAAACGAAGCATCGGCGAGACCAAGGAGGTATTCCTCCTCCCCCGATCGTGATATTGACAAAGCAATGTGTACGATTGGTGCCCCTACCCTAGGCACGTACTCCTTCTTGGCAGAATGCAGTTGCCAAATAACTAGAACTCCTTCCTCGCCGCCACTGAGGAGGTACGCGCCATTTGTTGTGAAAGCGATCGACGACACTGCATGAGAATGCCAGTGGAGAGTCGTAGTTTGAGCAGTCTTTTCAACGCCGACGACTTTAAGCGGGATGTTCTCATCAAGACAGTACCACAAGCGGATGCACCCAGTCGCATCACCTGTAGCGAAGTAATCTTCTGAAGGGTGGAACGCAAGACAGGTGAGATGCTGCGGGGAGACGAACTTCGTGAATCCGGCCTCAAAACGCGAGGTTGAACAAACATAGGCCTTGTGCCCAGCGGTTGCTACAAGCCACGCCCCACTCGGTGAGAAGGCTAAACCAGTGGTAGCCCGCGTTTTTCCAATCCCACTTACAGACGAAGACACCTGCACCGACCGTGTAGCGGTAGATTCTGATGGTATGAGCGACACGCGCAATACCACCGCGTTGTCTTCTATTTGCGAAGAGTCGCCTACAAGCAGTTGGTCAAAAAGGGGGAAGGCAGGTGCTAAAACTACTGGACTTACCCTCAGCGGATTTCTTCTTGCTAGGCCGAACGGCAGCGACAAAGATATAATCTTTCAATTTTTCATGGGCCGCAAGGCGAAGAATGGGCTGCAAGATATTAATCGTTTGTAACAAGGCAGCATCTAAAAAGTCCCATAATCTGATGTATCCGTCCAAAGAGCCGGTAAATAGCTGGTAAGGATTGTGGGGGTTCAAGATAATCGAAGTAACGTCGGAATGCGATGTATCTTGTGTGGAGGATGAACCATCCCAGGAAGGCACATCTAACGTCGAGACTACTTGTCCAGTGGCGGAAGAGTAGATCTTTACGGAGAATCCGAGCACGGAAAAGAAATAACTAACATCGTGTGAGGCAAGCCGACTGAGAGCCAGAAAAGACGAACCTTCCGTCCTTTGTGAAAACCGGTGGTACTCTACTGGCAGACGAATCTGTGATTGACCTCCACAACCACGCTCCATTGCTCGCAGCTTTTGAAGGACCAGCGGTGGATGATGAAGGGAGCACTTCTTCTAGCTCCCTGCCTTTGCGTTTTCTGCGTTTTCGAGCTTGACCGAGGGGTTGCGCGGGATCAGGTATGAGAGAATCCTGGACGGTCTTCGTGCTGCCCATTCTCGTGGACTTTGTTGCAAGGTGTGTCCCGCTGACGGCCACAGGCATAGTACGCCTGGATGTAAAAGCAAAAAATTGGCACGTGCCCGGAAAGGGAATCAGCTCTCACACGCGCGTGCTCACACCTATGCAGTAAGTACTACGCGCCTTCTGGTCGCTCAGAAACAATCATTCGTCGACTGCACCGATCCTTCGAAAAAGAGATTCATTAACGGAGAATTACGATGCAAATACACAGGTGAGTCTCGGTTGCTGGTCATACATACATAGTGCCTGACGATACATGCGAAACGTCCTATGTACACACACGAAATTCTGGGCCCATACGTTAGCAGGGAATAAATATCCAGAAGATTGGATGGCATGGATACAGTATTCTGACCCATCTTACCAAATCTGAGGAGCAGCGGGAAGGTAATCGTTCGGGAGCAAGAAGGCATCAATGCCGTTCTGCGAGAAGGATGCACCACCGAGTGTTTGATCGGAAAGCCAAACAGGCAGCTGCTCGTTTGCGGTGGTCTCGAATCCTCGCCAGATGTTTTCGATATTGGGCGTGTATTGAGTGAATTCCTGAGGGACACCCGTGGGCATATGGCCCATTGCACCGGGAATCGACGAGAAGGACGTTTCATATGTCGGTGAGATGGGCTGCTGTTGAACCACTGGGGCTGACTGGGGGATCATGTCCGAAGTATAACTCGCATCACTCTGCGACCGCTGGCGATCGCGCGACATCCTAGGAGAGCGAGACGCTGACACTGACTTCCGCTTCCGCAAGCGTTTCAGCATGAGTTGCAGAGTCAAAGCGTAACGTTTCCCGGGCACTAAAGGAGTAATGTAAGCTAAGCACTGCCGCGAGGTTTAATCACACACCTTCTGCTAGCAGAGCTGCCAAATGCTCCGCTAGTAATTTAGCTTCTTGCATATCACATTGATCCGGACTGAACATCGTGGTCGTGTTAGTCGAAATGTCAGAGGATGACTCATACATGTACTCACAAGAGCCGCGCTAATCGCAACAAGAACGACGCAGAGAACGTGGCCGTCGCATGTGTGTAATGGACAGCTAACAATACCTTAATCTCGGGCATATCGCTAAAAAAACAAGGATCAACACACCGTATTTCATTCCTTCCCTGTACGCGGGGGAGTTCACCGTAATGTCCAGAATCTGGCGACCAATCTGTATGGACCTGATAGCCAGTTCCCGTTGCGCTGGAGGCATCCCCTGGACATCATCCGGTCCATCGATTCCTCGCAAGGCAGTTGCATTGTGGAACAACTCGGCATGTAGATGCTGTATCTGTAGGCTCTGTCGGTAAAATGCTACAGATCGGTCAACATGAGCGGCGACACTTCTGGAACGGATAATGAACTCACCAGCATCTTCGTACTTTTGCGAGAATGCCTGGTCCCAAGTAGCGTACCAATTTCGAAACTCTATGTCGGCCTCCCGGAGGACATTCAATGTAATTTCGTCCACCGGCCTATCAAATAACGGCGAGAGATTATTGTGCACTCGTTCTCTTATCGCCATCAGCTCCACAGTCGAGACAAGACGCATATCATCTTCAATGGCCAGTGGGTGTTGCAACAGCAACCGACACTGCCAGATACTCTCGTCATCCTTGAGGATAGATGGGCGCCCAGTGCCATACGACATCCTGCATGTGGAACGTCAATATATGTCGACAGCGCACACAACATCACGCACTGGTGCTCGAATAGGTAGAGACAGAACCAAGTTCTGGCAGAGATGACCAGCTGACAATCCTTGCCTGATGTTGAGGCCTTATTTGCCTTCATGCGCTTAAGAAGTTCAGGCCATGCTTTGTGCATTGCTATAGAAAACACGGTCAATGTCATTGGGTCACGAGTATTTGATTCATTGAGTAGGAACTCACACAACTCCATTGCCATCCGAACGGCATGCCCGCCACTCAACCAACCATTGGTTGACCAACCGGATACAAGTACTAGCGGAAAGTTCAGTCCTCCACAAAATATTCAACATCAGTAACTAACTCATTGCCTGAACAGCTTCCTGTCGCGAGACTGGGGTGAACAGTGAAGCACAAGAGATGGCCTGAACTTCCTCCTGGCATCTTAGGAACATCTCACTCGGTCTGCCTACTTTCATCAAAATCAGCCGTGATGAAATAATGAGAGAAGTCACTCACCACCTCCGTCCCTGACTTGCGCAGCAACCATACAAATACAATCAACGGCGAATGGCGAACGCTCATGAAGTGCATCGTAGGTGTCCACATTAGCATCAAATACAGGGAGGAACGTGGAACAGCCATGGTAGAAACTATTGGCCCTCGATCATCACCACATACGACCGAAATACTTTTAAAAGCACCCACATTCTAAACAGTTCTCGTGCTTCGGGCTCGGAGATAATATTCTTCGTCACAACTACATGGAAAACAAGCATCAGCGGTCATCTTTTACCGTTACAAAAGGACTCGCCATCTGGGAACGTTCGAGGGTGCTTGTGTTGCACCTTTCTTCGCTTCGCAGGCCGAGGTTGCCGCGCGTCTGGAGAAGCAGTCCTGGCGCGACTTGGAGGTTCACTCACCTCACCCCCATTTTCCTACACAATGATAAGCACAGGAGACTACGACTGCATGCGTCCTCATACGAACCTTGGCGGCACGCTCGATAGCGACGTCGGCCAAACCTCGCAGAACTTCCCACGGTGCTACGAGGCCAGAGGCTGGAAGTTCGCCATTATCCTCTTCCACGTCCGATGAGTCACTGGTGACATTGGAAGATGAGGGGGCAGTTCTCTTAGAGCTTGATGCTCCTTGAAGTTGGGGATTGTGCCGAATGGAGGACACATTCGTCGGCTGCGATCTGGGCGGTCCAGGTGGTCCCATAGATTCGATGCTCGAGAATGGGGGGAGAATGGGTCCTGGTGGACCACGGGTCTGACTCGCGCCGGGGGAAGGATACATCATACTGGGGGATCGGTGTTGATGAGGATGAAAATCATTCGTGGGATGACCCGTTGCGCTCAGCGGAGGACTACGGTAAGCAAATTGATCACGATTAAGGCGTGCTGCCGATGTATTCATTGCAGCTTGCATGTGCCCGTGTACAGTACCAACGTGGGATCCCGCGGGTTGTGCTGAGTGAGCAGTGTCCAGCATGAGATGGGGCGGGTGAAGGCCCGCTGTTGAGGGAGTAGATACCCTTGGAGATCCTACAGAATTAGGAGATTGATGTGTGAAGGGGGGATACGCTGACGGTGACCGAGAGTGTAACTGCATCCCTCCACCACGAAGATGAGTCGCAATCTCCAACAGGGTGTTTTGGATCGTCGTCTGCGTCTGGCGGATGTCTGCAACATGGGCTTCGAGACTTCGTATACGCCTGGCAGATGCGTTAGTAGATAAGACCCATCGGGGACATCCTGCGGGGTACGTACTCTAAGCCCGCCTCGCCCGTGAGACTTGCCTCCCTCGTTGGCTTCTCGAACAGACATTCCAATCCTGCATGTCGGCATCGTCTGCAAGGGGGATTATCTGCCCCCTCGCACCTCATTTTCTGCTTTCTGCAGGCATTCTAGATATGTAGGAGATGAGGAACCCGCGTCGCTCACTAACCACCAATACTCACGCAAGCACCTACACGATATCGCAGCATAGTTAACGAGAGCTCGGACAAGGGCAGGGCTAACACATACGAGGCACCCGGTTGAGCGTTCTGACAGGTGGTTTGCCCTCAGGTTTGGCATTTCCCTTGGAGTCGGCGCCGTCCGAATCTTCCTGCTTTTTGATGCCACCAGCGCTAGTGCTGGTACCAGGATCCATGGTGAGGATGATAGGAGTAAGAGTTGGGAGCTGGAAGACTGCGACGGAGCGGAAGAGAGGAAGGAAGCAGCTTGGGTCACGCACAGTCGTGAGTTCGATTACAGTATTGCGAGCTGATCAGTTGAGCAGTGCAAACAAGACCAAGCGGGACATACTACCACGTGTCACGCATCACAAGCTGATAGTCGAAATATGACCCTGTCACCGCGCATGGCAACAACTCACAGTCCAAGATTGGCCAGAAATGGTCAGCAAAGGAGCTCCGAAAATCGAAAAAAATTTCGTGTCACAAGTCCACCGGTGACCTGTCGAATTGTCGAATTACCGTGACAGTGAGTGCAGTGACCGTGACGGGGTTGCGCACTTTTGGCGCCGGTGAACTGAAGTGGAGCGCCATGAGCACGAGCGGTGTTCTGAAGCTCGTCCTCGTAGCCGCTGCCATCATCTGGTACATCATCCTATGGGGTTTAGGTCTATTAGGTTGTTGGTCTGCGTGAGTCCAATTTATTGTCCTCCGCTTTGTCTGCTGATATTCGGTTGTCGCAGCCGCAAGCGGTACAGGCTTCGGCCTCGATCACCTCTCGCATCTGCCCCATCTTCCTCTGTCCCAGGTGTATCCATTTTACGACCTTTAAAAGGTCTTGATACCAATCTATATGAGAATCTCGAGTCTACATTCACCCAAGAATATCCCAACTACGAACTCTTCCTTTGCATAGAGGACGAACATGACCAGGCCCTCTCGGTGGTCAGGGACCTGATCGCAAAATATCCCAGCGTCAACGCCCATTTGGTTATAGGCACGTTCCATCGCATGCTGTCTGCCCTGCGAACGATGCTCATGGCCGCGTGAGCAGGCGCGGAAGCCGTCGGGGTGAACCCGAAAGTGAACAACCTGATGCCTTCCTACCACCAAGCCGCGCACGACATCCTCTGGGTGATCGACTCCAACGTCATGGTCGCGCCCGGCACCCTCGCCCGCTCCGTAGATGCGCTCGACAGCGTACCCGCACATTCCACCCGCCGCCGCATCGGCCTCGTGCACCATGTCCCCTTCGCATGGGCGACCGAGTACGGCGTTGGCTCACGCATCGAGGAGGCGTTCCTGAACACCAACCACGCCAAGATGTACATCGCCATCAACACCGTCGCCATCGACTCCTGCGTCGTCGGCAAGTCTAACCTCTACCGCCGCTCCGACCTCGAGCGCGTCGACGGCACGCTCAAGCCGGCGTCGACCCGGTCAGGCGTCAAGGGCTTTCCCGCATTCGGCCGCTTTCTCGCAGAGGACAACATGATCGCGAGCGCGCTCTGGCACGAGCTCGGGCTGCGCCACGAGCTCTCATGCGACGTCGCGCAGAACGCGGTCGGCCGCATGAGCCTTGCGGACTACGTCTGGCGGCGCGTGCGCTGGGTCCGCGTGCGCAAGCGCATGGTCCTTGCCGCGACGCTCCTCGAACCACTCACCGAATCCGTGCTCCTCGGCGTCATCGTCGCGCTCGCACTGCGGTATCTGTTGGGGGTCTCACCGTTCTTGTTCTTTCCCTTGCATATTGGTCTCTGGCTTGCCGTAGACTTTGATGTATATGCCTCGCTGGCGGAGCATCCTGTACCCGCTTCGTCGCGTTGGATTTTTGTTGGGTCGTGGGCCACGCGCGAGCTGCTCGCGCTTCCCATATGGTTGCTTGCGATATTCGGAGACCAGGTGGAATGGCGAGGGAAGAAATACGAGATCATGAACAATGGAGAGGTACGGCGGGTAACCAGGGGCAGCAGTGGTGGGATGTGGAGTTGGTTGAGATGGGGCTCGAGGAAGGAAGCTGATGACCATTACGAGCCGTTGGCCGCAGCGGCAGAGGATTGATCTTTGAATCGATTTTCTGCGATCATACGTACCATTGACCAGTGACCAGGAAGTTGCGTTTGGGAAAATGTTTGCTTGGGTTGTCTGTCGGTAACTTATGCCAATTCCACTGGCATTCGAGATATTCCCGCATGACTAGCAGACCATCAAATAGCACAGTTGAGTGAAGGCAGTTTGACTGCTGCGTCCGAGTCTGTATTATCCATCAGTTATGAAAACAAAATTATACACAAACATCCGAACAGATTGTACTCATAGATCCCGTAATAAAATCACACGTGAAACACAATGCCTAGAGATCAATAAATTCTTGCAATCTCGAATAATGCGTGAGATATGCGTGCTTGCGAACCTCCTAGAGACGATCGTGCAGTGAGCGAATGATCTTTGGGGTGAACTGCTCTGTAGTACGTACCTCAGCGGACCCAAGGCGCGCATTGCACATAGCACCGTCAGTCACATATTGGCATATGTGGTAGACATTGTCGAAGCCATTGAACCCGCTGTACAGGAAACTTTCCGACCGTTGGGAGGACAGTACTTGCGAGGGAGAGTGCCCATGTTGGCCATCCTCTGTTTGGACGAAACTCTCGGTATAGCTGTTCGCAACTTCCGGACCACGAAGGGGTAAGTCCTCATCATCATTTTCCAACGAGGTATCGCCTGAATCCACGCCCGGAGCATAATTTGGCGATGCAGCGTCGTGCGATAGCTGCCGCAGCGCTTCTTGTACGTCGCGGCAGCTCGCCTTCGCCTTCTCCAGGGCGATCTTCAACTGCTCGTTCTCCTCCCGTAGCTGCGGTTCCAACGCGGCCTGTCTGCGTATCTTGTCGTTCGTCCTCTCGTCCTTCTCCATGACAATCTTAGAGCGACCTTTCCATTTGTCCAACTCCTCTTGCAGCTTCCTGATCTGTTCGATGTAGAGCCCCTTGACCATGGCAAGGCCGTCCAAGACTTGGCTCTTCGATATGTTGAGTTCCAACTCCAGCTCCTTGTTCTTCGCATCCACTTCGGAGGTGTAGGAGGAAGCCATATTGTACTGCTTCTGAAACAAGTCCCGGAGCTCCTCCGCATCTGCCTTAGCACGCTGTGAGGCCTCGACCTTCTTAACGAGAGTAGTGTTCTCAGTTTTCAGGCTGGTGATGAGCGGCTGCAGCTCCGACAACTCCTGAATAGTCGCGCGAAGTGTCACATTCTCGGCCTCCAGACGAGTAAACTGTGTCTGCAGCTCCGAGTACTGTTTGTCGTTCGCGCAGAGGGTCAAGTTCTCCGCCTGCAGTTGGGCGATATGTGTCTGCAGCTCCGGGAGTCGTTCACTTCGCGCGAGGAGGTTCGCATTGTCCGCCTTCGCCTGAGCCAACTCTTGCCGCAACGCCGCAATTTCATCGCATCGCTCCAGAAGCCCCGCATTTTCGCCCTTCAATTCGGCAATCTGCAGTTGCAACTCCGAGAGTGCTTTACCCTCCATGTGAAGGCTGGCATTATCGTCCTTCAGCTGATCGACTTGTAGTTGGAGCTTGGATAGTCGCTTCTCCAAGTCGGATATCTCGCCCGACTTCGCACCGAGAGCAGCGGTGAGATCGCCCACTTGATGCTCCAATAGGGCTCGCTGCAGACAAAACATACTCGGACTGCGGTCAAACGAATGAGGAGAAGAGTACACACCTGAGATTGGCTGTCGACATCAACCTGTTGAACAGAACTCATCGGGGGAATATTCTCGAAGGCTGATTGAGCTTCATTCAATGATGCATCACCTTCCGTGTGACCAACCTCTGAATCAGGTAGATGCACATGTTTGACTGTTCGACGCTAGTAAGAGAACCAATATCATCGCATGCAACACGGCACGGAGACAACAAATATGACAATACCTGATGTTTCGCCCTATGCACCGAATTGAACGGACTAACTCTCTTCCTCCCAGGTAAGTCCGGCCCAAGAGATAACGCTACATCGGGTTGTCCTTCTGCAACTGGATCGCCAGAGTCGTGCTCCACACCGCCATTCAGATCCACATATGTTTCAAACATGTCATGCTCGTCTATAAGAGGTTCTGATTCATCGGTAGGATGCAGTGAATTAGACAGATCAGCAGTCTGGATTTCGGGGTGAATCTGTTCTTCCAAACTTGGTGGCTCAGGGCTGAGACCTGGTTCGAAAAGGTACGACTGATCCTCGTCCTGCGGCGTGCGCGTGCGACGTGCAGAAGAGGCCTGCTCAGCGAGCTGCTGTCCGCGAATGCGCAGCGTCTCATCATCCTTCTTGGAGGCAACGGCTTGATACTTGCCTCTCCTGTTGATGCCCTTCTGGATCTTGCGCCTCACGGCGGCAGTAGCTGCTTCGCTGCCTTTCTCCGGGGAACTAAATTGTTCGATAGAGCTCGGAGGAGGGTCGGGCTGAGGAAGATGGTCGTAGAATACGGAAGGAGATAGGACGGGTACCGGACGCAGCGGCTTCAACCCCCTCTTCGCCTGGACGCGTTCGTTGCTAGAACCACTTTCTTCCTCCTTTGGTCGAGATTTAGTTTTCGTTCGCTTAGCTGGATTGCGGCCCTTCATCTTCGACACGATAGATCCCATACTCATGCTCCGTTGTGAGGATCGAGGAGTGTGGGGGGCAACAGGTGTCTTGGGTGAAGCCGCGTCAGGCATTGAATGGCGACCGTTGCTCGTAGGAGGAATGTCTTTGGTTTGAACGTGGAGCGACTGCGTTTCTGGGATGACGTACTCCCTACTGGGTGCGTGATCAGAGTCTTCGTTGCGCGACGCCAAATCAAAGTCCCAGAAATCGCCTTGACCTGCCAGATTGTCATGCAATAGAAAATCATTTTCATCAGCATCCTCGTAAGTAACAGCAGGTTGTTCGGGTTGTCGAGACGGATCTTCGTCGTCTGGTATGGCGGAAGGTTTCGATGGTATCGACTTTTTCCTGGGACGTTCTTTCTTCTTGGCCACTCGAGGAGGACCAACTTTGATTGGTCTCTTCGGCTTCGGTGACCCCTCAGCAGAGTCCGCAGTTGAGGACTCTTTCGAAGCGTGTTCCGTTTGCTTGACGCCTCGAGGGGGACCGATCTTTATCCCTCCCTGAGTCTTCGGCGAGATTACGACCTCAACTGTCACTCTCCGTTTCTTTCTGGGGCGGGCCTCTGGATGCTCTGGGTCCTCACCATCCTCCACCTCTCCAGACGCCTGCCTGGACAATGCCCGTTTCTTGGGAGGTAATGGTAGAGGTTCTTCATGTGAGACGGGAAGTCTTGAGCCACTGGAGACCTTCGACGTCGAAGCTTGGGCTTTGTTTGAAGATGGGCCTGGAACAGCCGCTGTGGACGAAAGCCTCGTCCGCCTCGAGGTTGGAACAACTGGTGTAACTGAGGATTTTTTTGAGGTCCTAGATGTCCTAGAGGAAGATGTGGATGCGCGTCCTTTCCCTGCAGTGGCTCTGTCAAGTACGGCATTCAGAAAATGCGAGTAAGAGGCTCACCGTCACTCTTCTTCTCCTTCACCCTCTTCTTCTTAGCCTGTGCAACCTTCCACTCCTGTATCAGCTTGTCAGTGCAGTCCTTCTTCGGGACCCAGCTCGGTGCCCAAGGTTGACCCGTAGTTGGGTCATTTCCTGCCCATCTGACCCTGTAGCGACTCCCCTTCTCAGCCAAAATCTCAATGACCTCCCACAGGGTCTCCTCATCATCATCCTGGGGGACGAACTGGGTCTCATACTTCGGCACCTCAAGAGATGATTCGACTTCTTCGTCCGAATCTCTGGGCATGATCCCTGAGGAGACGAACGCGAAGGCAGGTGTGCTGGATAGATGAACTACCAGTCAGTCTCGGAAAGACAGGTGAGACAATCAACTCACAACTAATTTGCACAATTAGTTCAGCTCCTCTGACTGGGCTGGAGCAGATACGCTGGGACGATCGGTGAACGCAAATTCAGTTGACAGCGTGCCGCTCTCGGTAGTAGAATAGCTAGTTAATGAGAGGCCACAACAGTGGTAAGAGGGCGAGAAGATTACAGTACAGATGGGCCCTCGATATATGTGAGGACTCTGGGAGTGCCAAATAACAGAAGATTCCCGGTGTTAGTTCCAAGGCCGGCGAGGCTAATGCAAGCGTGTGATGGTCAAATATTTTGGACAGTGTATGATGAAGAAGCCCAACGACGAGCGACGCAAGGCACGGCGTCATAAACTTTGAGTCCGAGTCGGTATTGTATGCGCCATTTGCTGCTTCGGTCGCAAGCGCCCGTCACATCCATCACGTGGGAAATAACAAATTTGGCCCAAAAAGGGCCGGTGGAATTCTTGTCTCCACTCTCACACCATCCATCATGACCGACCTGGACGCAGACTTGTATGGAGGTACTGTCTTGTGTATTTGTTCATTTGGCGCAGCTGATGAGCTTTGCCAGACCTCTATGGAAACGATGAAGGTGAATTTGCTGTGCCAACTGAACAGCCCGAGGAGAGCGCCAAAAGCGAAACCGTGGCCACCCCTCAGGAGGAGGCTCCGATATCTATGAAGACAGAAGGCTCTTACGCTAAACCCGTACCGCCCACGACTTCAACAGAGAGTATTCCGCAACCGTTGCAGACCGGCAGCACTCCTGCTAACATTCCATCCTACACCTCTCAACCTGCACAGCAAATACCCACCTACCAAGACCGGTCAACCCCAGAATATAGGGAGCCACCACCTGTACGACAGGATGTGGGTCACCAGCCCCTCATTGATCGTCCTGTACGGCCGTCAGAGATGAAGGAGGAAGGGTGAGTACCCCCTTTTCCATCTCCAACTGACGTTGCTGCAGTTTGTTCTCGCTCTCCGGCGCTCCCCGTGAGCATAACTGGGTTGGGTGACGACACTGGGCCTTAGTTACGAACCTAGGTTGCTTGTGTAGCCCGTGGTAGTCAACCATCGTCGCCTACCTATCGCCTACGACTAGCTCTAGCATTTCGGCATTCCTAGGTCTAAGCTAGGCTAGCACCGCTTTGCACTCAGTAGAGTCGTCCATCTCTCTCCCCTTTTGTTATGACCGCTTTTTGTTCTAGGTTAGCGAATGCTAATCATACCACTGCTTTTTTCATATCTGCGTGCTGGATGACACCTGCCACTACCGTTACATCTCTCAATCCTGCAATGGCACACTCGTGCGGTAATATAGCAAGATGTTCATTGGCGGTCTCAATTGGGATACTACGGATGGTACATACATCATTGTTACAGCCTGTCCGCTGTCTCCTGTAGTGCTAAATACTTGTTATGGCAGAGGGTCTCCGGACTTACTTTTCGCAATTCGGAAAAGTAGAAGCGTGCACTATTATGCGGGACGGGGCTGGTCGTTCCCGCTGCTTCGCTTTTCTGACCTTCGAAGATCCTGCATCAGTCAATGCGGTCATGGTGCGCGAGCACTTCCTCGACGGCAAAATTGTACGTCGCGCGATCATGAGTCCCTTTGCCTTCAAGACTTATGGTGCCCTTGTGGTAGATTGATCCTAAGCGTGCGATTCCCCGAGAAGAACATCAGCGCGCCACTAAACTTTTCATCGGAGGCCTCGCTGGCAGCGTAACCTCGGAGTCCATGCGCGAGTTTTTCTCGCAGTTCGGTAAGGTGGTCGACTCCACCGTCATGTTGGACCGCGAGACCGGGCGCAGCAAAGGCTTCGGGTTTGTCTCCTTCGAGAACGTTAACGTGGAGCCATTCCTCGGGTTCGGTAACCTTGAGATAGATGGTAAGCTGGTGAGTGTTTGCGCTGGTCTTACAGCGCATGTTCAATGTTCATAAACACTTAGATCGATGTGAAACTTGCTCAACCGCGCTCTCAGCGGGAGAGCTACGCCGAGGGCGGCCCTGCTGGTCATGGAGGCAGAGGTTACAGCGGTAGTGAATATAGCGGCCAAGGAGGATACTCAGGCACCTCCGGCACATCAGCGGCGGGCGCAGCCAACGCTCCGTTCGACGCTCAGGCTCTGGCCTCTTTGTACACCAGGATGATTCAACAGATGGGCGGCATGAACCCTATGATGATGAATCCCATGATGGCCAGCATGGCTAGTGGTATGGGCGGAGGCATGAGGATGCCCGGTATGACTGGCTCGCCGATGGGAATGGGTAGCGGCATGGGCACAGGGGGCATGAGCCGTGGAGGAGCCGGTGTCGGTGGATCTGGCGGCGGCATGATGCATATGGGCCCGAATGTGCCGCGCGGCCCCAGAGGCGCGTCCGCGGGAGCGGGCGCTGGTCAGGCTGGCGTCGGGCCTCAACGCGTAGGGCAGAGAGGGCAACACAACTACCACCCTTATGCCCGGTGAAATGCAGGAATGTTGGACCATTGTAGTTCTTGTAACGTTAACATGAGTAAGAAGTGTACACCGGGTATGCAAATAATAATTTAGAGGCCAGTAGTAGCCTACACGCCCACTCGGTGACGCTTGAATGCAGCCTCCACATCCCCCGCTGAATACTCCAGTCCAACTCCCATGTCCTTGTAGCACTGACTTATCCTCTTGGAGAACACCTCTGTGATCCTCAGCAGCTCCTCCTCGCACGCCTTCCACACACCGACCATGACGGTCCCGGATGTAATACCGATGCTGACGCTCACTTCCTCTGTTGTTGCCTTCTCCGAGGCCTCTGTGAAGTGCTTCTCGACCCTCTTGAATAGTGCGTCGATATGCTTTCGCACATCCTTCGCGTTGTAATCCTTGACGATTTTCTTGAGTGTGGCCTTAGAATAGTTGCTGTTCGAAGACACCTCGGAAGGCGCGGTAGTTTTAAGGATTCGCTCGACGCCTTCGAAGTAATCCTATCAGCAGTATGAGATACAAGGTATAAGAGTTGCTACCAGAGAAGTTACGCACAATGATTTTCGCGAAAGGTCGTCTTAGAACTATCTTCACATAAGCGGCAAGGTTCTCGTCATAGATTGCCTCCGCCCGCTTGAGAAAGGTTGCAACAGAACCTATCTGGAGCTGTGAGATTTCCGCAACGAAGTGATGCATGTTCTCTGGACCACTCCGTGAGCTCAGACAGACAGAGGAACAGCTTAAGTTGCATACCGATCAGAATGACGTGGTAGTTCAGTTGGCCTTTATCTTCACCCTCGCCATCCATCTTGGCCATATGTTTGAGTGCGTCGAACATGGACTGCACAATCCGATCGTACGCCATGTCCACATTCTGTCGAATCTCCAGAGTGTCTGCACCGATGAGCTGATTCTCCACGCGACCGACGTATGTAGGGAAGTACTTGATAAATGGAGCGACGCCGTTGCGTTTCTTGCTGGTCAATTTGGTCTCCTCGATAGACTTGATCTGCTCGTTCTGTGTGGGCAGGCATCCGTGAATGGAAGGACAACAGGAAAGAAAACACGCTCTTACGACACGGCCCGAGAAGATGGCTTTCAAGCGAGTATGCTGTTTCTCCAGCAGATTGAGCAAGAAGGTGTTCCCCCTTTCTTCTGCATCAACTAGAAATCGCTCCAAGGAAACAATCATGCCAATGATTTGTCTGTTAATACCTATCGTTTAGGAAACAGCAGATAATACCAACATTGGAGGCTTACAGTCGATCTCTTCCCAAGGCACCGTCAAGCCATGTCTTGAATTCCGCGGGAAGGAATCCAAAAATCAGATCCATCGCACCGCGTACAAGCTTAGCGGTTGACTGGCTAAGACCAGAGAATCGTGCCGCCTGCCGACGGAAGTAGTTCTCGAGACCCATGTAATCCGCAAATGTGAGCCCAGCGTCATTGATCTGCAGAAAGTCGGCAATAAAGTCATCTTCGCGATAGACGGCCAGAGCAACTTGTTCGAGGATGAGCCCGAAGACCTACAAGTTTCATCATATTGACCTGCAGTTCGAAAAATAAATGACATGCGGTCACTTACTTCAGACGCACGCATATCTCCGTCGGAGTGGTCTTTCTTTTCTCTTCGGCCTTCTAGCGGAGACCGTACAATGGTTCCTGCGCGGCGTATGCCAGCAGCAGCTTTGTTGGTAGTGGGTGATGTAACGCCGAATCCTACAGAACTTATTAGGAACCATGGATCATATTTTCTTTCTCTGCTTACCATCAGTGTCTTCATCTGGAGACTTCTTGATAAGACTATTACCTGCAGCCATCAAGGCTTTGATCTGAGTACCATGGAGTGAACTGGCCGCTGAGAAGTATGCCTATAACGCAAGGAATGACAAACTGTATCGGGCGAGTAGGCAAAGGCGTCTACGCACGGCGCACAGCTTGGCATATATGCCCTCCTCCATCTCCTTCATGTACAGCATCAGCCCACCATACCGCCCCAGGTACGTCTCCATACTGTTATGATCCAGGATGTACGGTCTACCCTTTGCGTTCTTGCCTATGCCACTGCTATCGCTCAGAAGGAGCTTCTCCTAGATTATTTTTAGATGTCAATATGCTGATATTCATAGAATTGACTGTAGCACTCGCCTGCGCAGTGAACATGATCGTCAGATAGTCTAGCACACGCTTACAGAACTGGCCGTTGTGAGTTCTGTACTCGTCAAGTCGTTCCATAGTAGCTGCCATATCTGAAGCCGATATCATATTAGATTCTGACGCAAAACAGCTTCGCCTTCCACGTACCTCTGTCTCTACTAGCTTGCAATGCCTTGTAGAGTTCAGTAGCCGCACCCTCTATCCGCTGAATACTCGAGGCCTTCTCCAACGACTCTTGTGTCAGTATGAGCATCGCTTCCTTGTCAACGTGAACGGTTTGCTGTTTGGAGCGGTCAGCGTGACTCAGTATATAGAATTGGAAGATCTCCTACAAGCAACTCTTCCAGTTCGCTTAGAAGAGCTCGCTGATTCTGTGTCTGCACTTGCAGACCCCGGTTCTGGGACTGAATGTACGTGATATCTTCACTCACAGCCTAGAAAAAAAATGAACTCCAGGGCCCGGACGAATAAGAGAAAAAACGAACATTGAGGTAGATCTTGTATGATGACATGGTGCTGTCCATCCCATCCAGCTCCGAGAGTGCTTCATCCAGATACTTGAGTACCGTTTGCACTCGGTCATCAGATTCAATGAACGAATGGACGTTTGCCTATGAGACAACGAGGCACAGCAATAAGACGACATCAAAGGACGAGAACAACAGATCGTCACCCTATCCAGAGCCATCAGCTCATCCAGGAGTCTTGCCTCAATTTGATCAGCAGCTCCCGTAACAGCTCTTCTCTCTAGTATGTCATCGCTCGCCCACTCGTAACCCTCCAGCATTTCCTCCATACTCTCCAGCGTCGCAAGCGCACTTTCGTCTTCGCGCTCGGCCAATGCTAATCCCTCGCCTTCTCCTTCCCTGTAGTCGTGAATCATCACGTCGCCCGACAGCAATTGATTCAATGCCGCCTGATTTGGCAGGTCAAAGAATGAGACACGCGCATTCTGTTCGCGTCGTGGTTGGCCAGACTCTGTCGGAGTTCGACTTGGTGCACGCGAGGGTGGCTTGCGCGACAGGGCAGAGGACTCAGTGGGCAGAGGAATATGGCGAAGAGCCTCAGGTGTAGGGGCATAGGATGATACGGGGGAAGGTTGCATGTGCGATGATGCTGTCAAAGCGTCTACGACAGAAGCCATCGCGGAGCCATTGACCCGCGGCGCTAAGGGGGCGCTGATCTGTGACGTCTGTACGGAGGGTCGGGTAGGTGGAGGACTGGTGGGAAGGACGATGGACGGGACGAGGCTTGCGCTGGAGGTGCGGACAGACGCTGTCGCGTTAGAGGGACGACCACCCCTGCCAGGGCGCAATGCACTCGGGATCGCATTCTGTTGAGCAGAAGGAGTGTTAGAGCGTGGGCGAACAGGAGTCCCTGGACGATCAGGAACTGTCGCAGACGGTGGAGCACGCGAATAAAAATCTGGAGAACCCGCACGGGAGGGTGTTTGGGATCGGCGGGGCCTAGATGAGCCAAGGACCGCCGAAGAAGGCGGTTGAGCGGGCGCTCTAGCGGACATCTCACTTTCCCTCTTACTTCGAGTCACATTTTCGCTATGGCCATTGAGTATCGGCCTACTGAGGGATGCAGGCGGAAGAGGTATGCCATTTGTCGGAGTAGGAGCTCGCTCCATACGTGTGAACGACATGGGAGGCGGCCTTGATGCTTCAAAAGATATTTGAATGACGTTGAGGACAAAATTGTGATAACGGTACTCACACGAGGGACTGTCCAGGTCCTGCACCCCAACTAGCTGCAGAGAAGCTGAACTTCCTGTCGTTGTACGAAAGAGCTTTATCAAAGAAGCAATGAAATTAGACTGATCCTTCTGATTCTCCGTCTGCCAACGATACGTCCTAGCCATGGTAATCTTGAAGGCCAATGGCTGCATTACAAGGGCGGAGTTTGAGCACAAGCATTGAGCCACTATCAAAAAATTATAACATACGTTCACAAGCTCAATCCCGCGAAGCTCTACAAGTTTCCATGTCTTTCCGACAGAAAATGAGCCGTTGGAATTTAACTTGGATTTGTGTATGAAGGCGCCTCCATTGCTAGCCTCTGCCATGTTCATCACTTCTAGATGTTTTTTAGAGAGTGCAAAGCGACGTACGAGAGAGTAATATATATCTCGGCTTCTTGCCTCCCTCATCCTGCGCAGCCTCCTCCCATATTTTGATATGTGAGACATAGGTCTCCTCATGGCCGGCCGAGTTCAGCTTGGTGAAGACAGATGATATGATTCTCTGCCGAACGGAGTCATTGTCGGCCATGAGACGAAGACGGAGTATTCAAGATTCAAGACAAACGTGCGATGTGAAAGCTGGCGGTAAAGATAATACAGAGCAAGTTACACTCGCCGCTCAGCAGTGTAATGATCGGTGCTCACGTGGAGACGACACTTCGGGCATTGTTGCGGTCACGCTACGCGAGTGTGATGTGACACAGCGCGTACCGCGATTCCAACTCTACCCTGAACAACGGTAATACCACTTTCTTCGGCGCTGATATTTCGTGGTAATTCAGTGCGATGTCCACCTGGAAGGAGTCATTCCGTAGAGGCATCTTTAGTTTCCGCTCCAACAACATGGACGATGCCTTACGCTGTTTCACTGAGGTGTGTGACTCTTCTCGCACATCACAAACCATGCTTAACTTCTTCTACAAAGGCAATTGAGATATCAGGCAAAGAGTCTGCCATATACGACTCACGCGCAGCTGTGTACGAAAAGCTAAACAGATTCAAAGATGCTCTTCTCGACTCTAAGAAAGTCATCGATCTTGCCCCAAACCGTTGGCAGGTACGCTATCGACATTTGAGGCATTTCTGGAGGTCTGAATTTTGTCGTAGGGATATGCCCGCTGCTCTCGTCTCTTTTTGAAATCGAACAAGCACAATCATGCCCTGCGTATGGTACAACTGGCTCTCGAGCGCGTTCCGGTGAATGACGGGAGAAGACTCACTGAACTTACGGCTTTGCGAAACCAAATTTTCCAAAGCGTCGAGGAATATCAGCAGCGTGCATCGAGAGCATTCTACCACTTCGGGAAATTGCCCCTGGAATTAGCTATCGCAGTTTTCAAGATGGTGTTGGAAGAAGACCATGCCCAAGTTATCTCGCTTGCCCAAGTCTGTTCAGACTGGCGATTCACCATCCTTGATACACCCTCTCTGTGGGGCACTCTCGTGCTATCGAACAAGAACCCTGCGAAGAAAGCAAAAGTCTGGAGAGAGAGATCCAGGGGAAGGCTTGTGGCGCTTTCCTTACGGGATCGTCTTACCGATGCCGAGTGGGTTCTTAAAGCGCTCAAGTACATACCATTGGACACCTTGCGCACCCTCAATGTGGATACTATCTCGTTGCATACAGTGCGCAAGCATTTAAGTGGTCTAACGTGCGATGTTCTGCGGGGGCTGGACGTTCTGAGCATCACCAGATGCCCTCCATCTTCGTTCATCGAGGCAGGCATGCAACTACGCGTCCTCTCTGTGTCGGATAGTCATTTTGTGTGGACGGCCGCAGCGGATCATCTCACCCGTCTCGAAGAATTCACTTTCGACGGTGCTTTCCGCTCTGATGCCCGACCCCATCTTCTTTGGCTGTTGCACCAAAATCCCGCACTCCGACTACTCTCTCTAGGCTTCTTGAGTAACGCTGAGCAGCTAGAAGCGGCATCCGTCCGGACGCTTCCTGCTCTTATCTCCCTTCCTTCGCTCACCGATGTTGACATACGGCACCATGATCAAAACATGAACAATGTATTTCAGACCCTCGTTGCTCCGAATCTACGCACTCTTCACTTCGCCAGAGGGAGGACAGGACTCGATGAAGCTTTGCAGCATCTTTCGAGAAATGGGTGCACGAAGTCATTGACAGAGTTGAGGATTCAGCGGTGTGCGCTGTCCGCCAACGTGCTTATCCAGTTTCTGCGTGAAACGGTGGCACTTCAGACCTTGGAATGGTCGTACGTTGGTGACGGTCAGGCGAACGTCGTCCTAGAGGCCCTCGCAGAACCTGGGATACACCGTGCAGCGCCTGCAGTCCAAGAAGAGAATGGTGCTATTAAAGGTGCAGGGATACTTTGCCCATCCTTAAGACAAGTGAACTTCTCACAATGCCCGGATATCAAGGGCGGTCCCGTCGTGCGCCTGGTCAAGACACGTCTGCCTGTTCAGGTTGTGAGCGACCCGGCTGGAAAGGCGATCGCTGAGGTACCAAAGGGTTCTGTGGTCCCAATCGAAACAATCATCGTGGATGGCTGTCCCGCTGTGGGTGCTGACATCCTTCCCTGGCTAAGAAGCAACGTGAGGGTGGTCAGTTGTGTTTACATGACGAAACAAGATGCCAAGTGGAGACGCTGAGGCTCTCGGACGCGCGGATACGTTGCTGAGCTGTTACCTCTTTGAAGGCCTCCGCATTTACGCGCTCGCGCAAGGAATGATGAACCGGGTGAGACGTGTATATTGCGGGCGAGGGACCAAACCTATGGGAACTACTATGACAATAACAGTACCGATTATCTACAAAGTAGGCTTCGCTTCGCCTTTGCCGAAGTAATAACTGTAGATGTGCAACATAGCGAGAGTTGTGGGTAATGAGAGAGAATTCGAGGGTATCAGTCCGTGGTTGCGTGGTATTCTGTATGGGTATGTTCGTGAGTCGGGGCCTTGCTGGGACTGCGGCCACAGACGTGTTTGTGCTCCTTCCAGTCAAGTTTTTGGCATTCTAAATCGCAGTATCTAAGCCAAGGCGTCAGCGTGAAGTCGAGCATATCACGCAAGACTGGCGTACCTCGCCTTCCCGCATCGGCCACACTTCTTCAAGACAGCGCTACTTCTGCGGCACCACGAGCATTGGAGCAGAACAAGCCTCTCGTCCGAGAATATATCGAACGAATAATCATCGTCGCTGTCATTATCCTCCTTTCCTTGCCTAAGTTCCTCCTCGAACTTGGTGAGCCAAACAGATAGAGCCTCAGCATCCCCGTAGAATGCAGGTTCAGGCAGAGTGAGAGCCCGGGAGTCTTCGCAACACCGCTCCTCGCAGCATCTCTGTAGCATGGCTCCCCATTCCTCCATGGACTCGGACATTCTGTCAACGACGGCTTGCCTAGTAATGTTCAAGTGCATTTCGTTGTCGATGGGGTTGCCAAGGAACTCCATGAACTTCTCGCTGACCGTGATCTCTTTCAGAGCACGCTGGTGAACAATTAACGTTTGGCCAAATTTTAGTTGTGAGGATGGTCTCACCTGTATATCTGCTGAGGCCAGGTCGGCCCTGGGTCCTGCAACCAGTAAAGCCAGTAGGATGTACATACTCAGATCACGCTGTCTGCCCACTGAATCTGGCGGAGATATATCGACCAACCGCTTCGCGTCTGCATAAGCACCAAGAAGGACGGCCACACGCTCGTCTTTGTTCTTGATCAATGCTTCTGGAAGTCCCAAGTACAGTGCTGCCTCGACGGCCAGGCGCAAAAATTCGATACGCAACCAAAGAGGCAATCCAGCACACTTCAATCCCTTCTTTGAGGCGCGGAGGGTACCTTGCTGATCCATGCCTAGGGCCACTGCATAGTGGAAGAATCCAAAACTCGGGTTACGTGCCAAAGCTGCCTCGGCGTGTTTACTGGCCTTCGTTGAGTCTCTGACGAACAGGTGCCTCCATTCCAACGCATCTGCCAGGTCCAAATCATAGGAGTTGCTGTCAGCCTGTTTGCGCAGAGCAGTGGCACACTCCAGTAGACTGTTCTTGTCATCCGGATGACGCATGGGATGGTTACAGCACGAGCACAGAAGTTCTGGGACAGGAAAACGGGACGCGAGAACCTCGGCACCAATCCCATGACCAAGTTTAATCAGGTCCGGGCTGAAAGAATGCTGGACATGAAGGGCGAGGTAGTTGACACTTGACCTATGGGTGGTGTACATCTCGGAATTCTCGCGACCGAACGCATCCAACAGTTTCTCTAGATCTTTGGGCAATTCGCGAGTGTTCAGGGCCGCAGCGAGACCAAAGGAGGATATGTTCTTCCTGTCTTTCCCCTTCGGCGGATCGTGAATTTGTAAGAGACAGTCAAGGGCCCACACTCGATGCCGGAAATCTAGGCCGCGCAGCAGGGCGATGAGGAATGTAGTAAAAGAGGGAATGTTTCTGCAATCTGAGGAAATATCTGTAACAACCTTGCTAAAGAACGATAGGGCATGGTCAAACATGTACCCCGAGAAGACTGGGTGGCGAAGAGACTGCAAAATAGTTTGTGTCATGACCGAGAAGTCAAAGTAGTCCTTGGCGGAAGCGAAGAGGTAAACTGAATGCGAGAAGATGGCGGTAATAACTGAACACAAGGTGACATCATCGGGGTGCTGCTGCAACAGCTTGACCAGGGTTGGTGTACACTTGACGAGATCGGTGCGATATCTCTTGCCTGAGCGCAGTGTGATTGCATTCAAGGTGCGCAAGGCGACGTAGCGTGCCTCGGGCAAGGAGGTTAAAGCGACAATTTTGTCGAGAAGTCCTTCAGATGACATCAAAGAGTGAGCTTTGGACGCATACGAATGCTTGTCAACACACCTGCTCCGAGCAACTTGTCTTGAAGTATGGAGTCGACTATGCACATCTTGGCGTATATAGATAGGACGCCACCGAGAATGTTGGTGTTTCCGCATCTCCTAGCATACTTGAAGGTCTGGTTCAAGCGCGCCTCGATTGCTGGTAGATCGTTGTGGACCTTCTTGAGACCACTACGAGTCGTGAGGTCTGTGCGGGGGTGATGAATTCTTGCCTTCGCTTAAACAGTAGGTAGATTTACCAGGCAAATCGAGGGTGATGCACAGCTGATCGGCAACACCCACCCAGTCGTCGGTCCAAGCATCTGTGAAAACTCTGACCAAGGAGTTCGGAGGATTCTTGGTTTTTGATCTCATGTTTTGTTTTCTTCCCCTTGGAATAAGTGACATGGTTTTTTGGAGCGAATTATACGGATTGGAGAACTGCGGGTACGGTCAGCCAGGGTTCAAACTGCTGTCAGTAACTGCATCCAGAGAGAAAACGTACATCTGTATCGCAGAGGTAACGCAGGTAATAAGATAAGTAAAAGAGTGGAAGGGAAAACGGCCTTACATCGGTGAGCAAGGACGCGTTTCCAATTTGACTTTGCTTTGGAGTTCGAATGCCCGAGTCACGTGCTTTCAAGATCGGCGGAAAGAGTCCGAGAATGGGAAAAGCGCTTTACAAGCGCCCATAATACAGTTTTCGACTTCCTCCCTCTGCCAGGTGTACACGTCAGGACTCTCTACGCTTTCCCTCTCACTCGTTTGGTCTCTGTCTATTAATTCATCCCACTCAGTAATATCCTCGCTATGTCTTTTCCGACACCGTCATCTCTGCCGGCCAACGGCCTACCAGTGGAGACTATGTTTAAACACATCATGGACGCTGTACAGAAATCTGTGAGTGTCCTTGACGCGTCTCAAAGCTCATGACATCAACCACTATGTTCGCAAAGCACGCAGAGATATCTGAATTGCGGTCTGAGTACCACGAGCTCCGACAAGCAAATGCAACTCTCGAGCGTCTCGTACGGGAAAGCACTCAGGTGAATTGACTCTGTTAGTAATTAGTGTCTATCGAGATCATACCTTATGCTGGTTGCGCGGGGCGGCTGAGACTACGCTGACGGAGTATCAGCATCAACTGAAATATTGAATGATCTGCACGAAATGAGGGCATGATCTTTCGATTGGATACTGGCACCTCGTATCACCGTGTCTATGCGTTCATTCTCTACTCCCGTCATGTCGTGAGGTTAACATCCTTACCAGCACAACGGCTCAAGACTGGGCACCCCAGGGTTCCAAACCCCTGCGCCAAGTAGTCCTCTACTCCGCGCAAGATCCCCTTTTCTGACTCCTGGATCTATACCCGCTCTGGCTGTCCCTCCAAGCTTCCACATTCCGTCGCCTTTGAGCGACAATGCACTCACAGCATTTCCCTTCGGGATCCGTGATATACCTGGATTTTACGTTGTCATTCCTGCCGGTGGAGCCGGGACGCGTCTTTGGCCTCTGTCCCGCGAGGGGCACCCCAAGTTCCTCCTCGACTTGACTCTCAAGGGTCGTTCCCTTATTCAGGCCACTTGGGATCGGCTTCTTCCTCTCTCCTCTGCTGCCCGGACAACAATCGTTGCAGGTCCTGCCCATGTGAGGAGCATCACAGAACAGCTGCCGGATCTCCTGCCGCACAACCTGCTGTGCGAACCCAGCGCAAAGGATTCAATGGCTGCCATCGGTCTTGCTGCAGCGGTGCTCTCCAAGCGCGATCCAGACGCGATCATCGGTTCGTTCGCCGCGGACCACATGATCTCTGGTGACGATGCCTTCCTGGCTGCCGTCGCCGAAGCTGTGGAGGTCGCCAAGAAAGATTACTTAGTTACTATTGGCATCGCGCCCTCGCATCCCTCTACTGGATTCGGTTACGTCCGCCTTGGCGAGAAGCTCGGGTTGTCGGACGCGCCGAACGCGCATCTCGTGTCCAGCTTCAAGGAGAAGCCAGATGCACGAACAGCCGCCGCTTACATCAAGACAGGTAACTACCGCTGGAACGCGGGTATGTTCGTGACGAAGGCTGTGTTCTTGTTGCAGCTGCTCAAGGAGTACAAGCCGGAGCTACATGATGGTCTCCAGAAGATCGCGGCGTGCTGGGATGATGAGAGCGTTAGGCAGGGCGTTTTGGATGAAGTCTGGCCAAGACTGGAGAAGATCGCCATTGATAATGCTGTAGCAGAACCGGCTGCGCTGGATCGCAGAGTTGCGGTTGTGCCTGCTACGTTCGGTGAGCGCGTAGGTGATTAAACAGCATCCAGTTATTGAGATTGGGCGCAGGTTGGGATGATGTCGGGGACTTCTCTTCCCTCGCTGAACTTCTTCCTGCTGATACCAACCAGCCACGTGTGCTCGGAGATAGTAACCTTGGTATGATGATCAGTTCTTTTGAGAAGAATTCTGCTCACTTCGCGATGTCACAGTGCTCACGGAACAGGCCGCTGGTGGAATCGTCGTGCCCGCTTCAGGGAGACTCGTTTCGCTTCTCGGTGTCGACGATCTGGTCATTGTCGATATGCCCGACACGCTGCTCGTCACCACTCGGGCTCGATCGCAGGAGGTGAAGCGCCTCGTGAAGAAGTGCAGAGATGCTGGCTGGAAGCAGCTCTTATAATCGGACACAGTGGAATCGCATCATGCAGATGCAAGGCTATAATTGACGGCTATCTCGTTAGGCCCATGCGACCATCTCAGAAACTTCTTGTTTTTTCCGCCTATTTATTTTCATCAGACTATCCTACTTTACATAGGTGACTATTCGCGGACTCCGGCGAAAGCAGAGGACGTACCTGTTATTCGTCTCCTGATCGGGCAGAGCAACATAGAAAACAGTTGGCAGTGAACATGAATATAGGATCATCAAAGTTATTGCAATTCGTGCAGTCCGAACACCTCTATCGTGTTCTTCCACGCTTGTTCCGTGACTGACTCGAGCGCTACGCTTTCGTTAAGCTTGTACACTACCCAAGCAACACCGCCGATCGCGGAAGGTTCGTTGCGCCCCTTGATGGCTTTGCCGACAGTGAAGGACTCAGGCTTGGTCGATGCTGGAAAATAAAGGTCGTATATGGGGCGCGGTATAGAAGCGATATGTTGTCTGGAGGCCTGTGTCGACGTCATGTAACACCATGGGGCGTCTGACAATAGCAACAATCAACGGCGGCCTCAAGTTGCAGTCCAAAGTACCATACCTGTCTCGAACAAGATCTTGTCAAGCGGTATTGTCTTCACGGCTGCTAGGTTATCCGCCGTTTTGAGCGAACAACCGTTCACCCTGGATGTCCTCGGTGAGACAGACGGTGTTAGCTGGATAACAGCTTACGTACCCGACGTGAAATCCCATGCCAACCTGGTAAACAAGGCAAGTCAGAGAAATTGCTGCCCACGTCTGTCGAATGTACCTACCAATTCGGTGACTTCCTGCAGCGTCCCTGTGAAGCTATGCACAACACCACCTTTCGCACCGACGCTTTTCCCGCCATCACTATTAAAGCCTTCCTCTCTGAGGATTTTGACAAGATCATGGTGCGCCGCGCGGGAATGAAGGAAGAGTGGAAGATGATGCTTCTTCGCAAGCGACAGCTGTGAGCCTGACACGGATGAGTTAATGTAAGACTCTCCGAAATGAAAATTGCACTGACGGAAATGTCGCCTCTGCACCTCCTCCGAGGCAAAATGAGTACGGTCATAGTCTGAAATTCCATTTGAGCATAGGCGAGGTAACGGTACATAATGAGCGCACCCAAGCCACATTCTCCAATGGCAACAACCCTTCCCCCTCCGCTCAAATTTTCTTGGACGAGCTTGTCCAACGCGACAAGATACGCCTCGGGGCCGCCTGTGTGCTGATCAAATTCTGTCGAGCGTGTTGGGTGGCATCCGACCGTTGCATACAGGTCATGCTCTTTCGCGAGTGCAAGTGCCTCCTTCGACTCGTCAAGACTCGTGCCTGTGATGAGCATGGACTTCACACCCGCTGCTCGCGAACGCACCAGGACCGCGTCGAGATCATCTGGAAAGGGATGAGAGTTAAATACACGCTGTGAAAGAACCGTTCAGACTGATACCCTCGTGCTTCTTCCGTCCATGGTAGGACCCTCTGAAGACAGGGTCTGTGAGGTTCACTGTCTTGCTTTCAGTCTGCCTTCAATGGGGTTCGGCGGACAAACTTGCACACTCACCGGCTATGTCTGCATCCCGGATCCTCGCTCAGCGCTCAAAAGCAGACGCAGGACGCACAGGACGGACCGATGAATCTGAAATGGCCTGCGTTGGCGTCGAACTCTCCAGCGACGGACATATGCTGACTCGTATGCGTCCTCGAGAGCAGCTGTGTATGTCTTGTTCCACTCAACGGTTTCAATGACTGCTTCAACAACTGACCCGCTCTGTTCGGACGCTGAATGGGAAACCACAGCTGGGGGAAGATGGGTATCATAAACTGGCTCAGTTCGAATTGCGAACGATTGCGCACTGCGAAGCGTGGCGCCAGCGCCATCTGTCTGCTCGTGAGTTCCCTCGGCCTCTGTGCACCCCCTTCAAGCACCTCTGCAAAATACATGTCGCCTCCGTTGTACCCTTCTTGGGCAGACTTCTTGAGCAGACAGCTTGAGCAGACTGAAACATGCAGCTTGAGGATATCACATGAGGCCCTCGGCTTCGGCAGGATCGAATCCCCACACATTGGACCTTCTGACCACTTTCTGCACGGTTTATAGCTGGTTTATAGCCACGCGTTCCACGCCTCCTTCTTGAGTCTCTCCGCAAGCCTTATCACCGACTGCACATGGAGCGCGTCAAGCAACTTGTATCTCATCTCTCTGGCGCAAAGGGCGTCTCCGCTCTCCAGCGCAAGAGCCCCGATGATGTCGTTATTACCATGGCTATACGGTCTCCCTTGTGCAAGGCCAGGAAAGGAGGATTCAAGGATACGAGGCAAGCAACAAGCTTTTTTACGCGTTGGCACTGTGGCTGATTGGTGCCTTGCAGGAGCGATGAGCTTCTGACGGAGATGTTCAAGGTGCATACGGCGCAGTACTTGTTAGCCTGAAGTACGTGACCAAATGTTCCCCTGCGCTATAGCAAGCCATCTCCCGGTCCACAATCGACCCTGCACTCATTGGCGACATCACCGTGGGTACTGTCCTTCCCCCAGCGCCGACGTACGAAGCGCGTGCAGCGGCTCTCGCAGCTGGCATTCCAGACTCCGTACCCGTGCAGACGGTCAACAGGTTCTGCTCCTCGGGTCTCATGGCGGTGACCGACATTGCGAATAAAATCCGAGTAGGCCAGATCGATATCGGTCTCGCTGTCGGAGTGGAGAGCATGTCGTACAAGTGCGTATTTCGACCCCGCAAATCATATACGCATTCACGCTCACGACCCCCCTTAGTCCTGACAAAGGTGGACCTGAGTTCAGTGAGGTGATCCAAGCTCACACGGCCGCAAATGACTGCGCGAAGCCCATGGGGTGGACTTCGGAGAACGTAGCCGCCGACTTCGATATCTCCCGCGATGAGATGGACGACTTTGCCGCTCTCTCCTTCCAGCGCGCCGAGGAAGCAGACAAAGCGGGAAAGTTTGCCCACGAGATCGTACCCTTCACGGCGTTCGTCAACGATCCGGAGACCGGAAGGCGCACGACGAAAGTGGTCACGAGAGACGACGGCATCAGGTATGCAACGACGAAGGAGAGTCTGCTGAAAGTGCGGCCAGCGTTCCCCCAGTGGGGTCGTGGCCATACAACGGGTGGAAATGCCAGTCAGATCACGGATGGTGCAGCAGCAGTTCTTTTGATGACCAGGAAAAAAGCGGAAGAGCTGGGACTGAAGATCCTTGCCAAGTATGTCACAACGTCGGTGGCTGGGGTTGCCCCACGCATCATGGGCATCGGCCCTTCGCTCGCTATCCCCATGGTGTTGGAGCAGGTCGGCATCACTATTGACGATGTTGACCTCTTCGAGGTGAGTTTTCAAGCTTCGAAACCGTAAAGCGCGATTAGCTTACGGCCGCTATATTTTTAGATCAACGAAGCGTTCGCATCGATGTATGTTTATTGCGTGCGCAAGCTCGGCCTGGACATCGGCAAGGTGAACGTTAATGGAGGCGCGATTGCGCTGGGACACCCGCTAGATAAGTGTTATGCGAGATGAAAAATTCTGCTGTGGGCTGATGATCGCTTCGACATGCACGGTGCACCGGAGCGAGACAGATCGCCACGGGACTGAACGAGCTGAGCAGGAGGAACGCCAAGGTGCGTCACAAGATATTTCATTGACTCGGGCTCGAGCTGACTTTCGGCCCAGATTCTGGTGACCTCTATGTGCATTGGGACGGGTATGGGTGCTGCAGCAGTGTTTGTGGGCGAATGACGCGCCTGAGAGTCGTGTCGATGTCGTTCTGAACGTAGTGTGTGTAAATACGATGGCGAGAGAACTGCTGGCGCTGAAAATTCATGAGTGTAAGGATGCGCGTGACATGCCGAGTGTGCCGAGATAGAAAGGGCCGGACAAACCTAGGCAACAAACCTCATTCTTTCCGGTCTCTAGTCTCCGTCGCTAATTCTCCATTCCCTCCTCCAGCTCCACCACAGCTGCCTGTCTGTCCTTAACTTTTGCCTTCATCGCGGGGTCCTCCACCGCCATGGCTAGCTATGCCAACGTAAACTCTAATGCTCCCTCTCCCTACGGTTCGGGCGATCCTTACTACAATGAATCCTCTGGATTCATCACACCCCAGCCCAAATCTAAGAGGAGTCTAAGCAACTGGATCAAATTTGGTGTCCCTGTCCTCATCGCTGTCATTGTTGCCGCCGTTCTCGGTGGTGTCCTGGGTAGTCGAGCCCACCACAATTCCTCGAAATCATCCGCCGCCGCCGCATCATCCGCTTCCCCCAGCGGTGCGGCCGCCGCGAGCCAGGCTGCCAGCATTCAGGCAGCTATCGGCGTATTCCCAACCGCAACCGCCAGCCTGTACATGCTCCCCGTTTACCCTTCTACTGTGCGTGCATCGTCGTCACGTCGTCCTGCTCCGTTCCTGACTTTGTCGTGACAGACGAATACAGCGGCTTTTACTACACCTACGTTCAATTCTGCTGCCGGCAGTAACGTCGGCTGGCCTTCAGATCCTTTTCAACCTGCTAGTCCCGCCCCAACGAGCCTTCGTCCTGATCGTCCACGTATTATCGCCCCTTCCTACAAGTGGGAAGTCCTTCCGAGTCTCATATCCAACAACCCATACTTGAAGTATTGGAACGACTCTATTTTCAGCAACGCCACGGACTATTATAACCAGCCAGTGGTACCATATTACCTTGATAGTGGCAACGGTATACTCGATGTTGCCCGTCAAATCAAAATGAGGATTAAGGCGTTTTCCTACGCCTATCGTATGACCAACGATACCAAGTGGGCCGACAGGGCGTTCAAGGAGCTCCAGGTATGCTACTTGCCATCATCCTCGAAACCTGTACTGATCGCCATCGAAGAATGCTGCAGGCAACGGTACCAACAGTTTCGGTCCCAGCGATGATACGCGCTGGAACCCCATCCACTTCCTCGATACCGCCGAGTTGATGAACGCATTCGGCATCGCATACGACTGGATGTACGACGTGTGGACCGACCAGCAGAAAGGCCAGATTCTGTGGACTTTGCTCACGTACGGACTTCAGCCCGCTCTCGCCGGGTGGAACAACGCAAACAACGCGTACTGGGAATGGTGGTCTAGCAACACTCAGGGTAATTGGAACTGTGTTTGCAACGGCGGTATCACTCTCGCTTCGCTCGCCGTCCTGGGTGATGATCCCACAAACACCGCCCAAACCCTCCTTGGTCTGACCATCCCCAACGCCCTGGCGAATTGCGCGGAAGGAGTTACCTCGGATGGAACATGGCAGGAGACGCCTAATTATTGGTACTTTGGTGTAACTGGCCATGCCGAGATGGCGTCGGCCCTCATGACCGCCGCGGGCTCCGACTTCGGGTTGCTGACGACGAACCCTGGATTCGCGTTGACAGGACTGTTCCACATGTACGCGACGGGTCCGGCTTCCACGTTTAGCTGGGGCGACAATGGCGTCAACCTGTACTCAACTACCGCCAACCCCCTCCTGTTCTACGGAGACGTTTACCAGCACCCCGAGTATGTCCTGTTCCAGCGCGACCAGTTCCAAACGCACAGCGATCCATGGAGCATGTTCTGGTATACCCCGACAGTCTCGGGCGCCTTCTGGGACGATCTGCCGTTGGACCACTTCTTCGACAACCATACCGATCAGTGGGGTTCGATGAGGAGCAGTTGGACAGATGAGGATGCGTTGTACGTTGGTATCAAGGCCGGCACGCTCCAGGGTCACCAGACACACAATGACCTTGACTGCGGTACCTTCGTTCTGGATGCACTCGGCACGCGGTGGTTTGGAGAACTTGGTGACTCCAACTACCTTGCGGAGGGTTACTTCAGCAACGATACTCAGAGCAGTGAGCGGTGGTGGTACTACCGCAAGCGCACGGAGGGCCAGAACACCATCCTCGTTGACCAGCAGAACCAGCTCGTCACTGCTGCGCCAACGATTAACTACGATTCTTCGGGAACCGTACAAGGCTCTAGCACCGTGTTCGATGTTCCGAGCAACTCAACGGCGTTCTTCACGGCGAACCTCGCGAGTGCCTACAACGAGGTGTAAGTAGCTGTGTTCTCTGACTGGGAACATATATTGATGTGTCGTGACAGTTCATCCTTCCAGCGTGGCATCCGCATGATCAACGGCAGGAAGCAGGTCCTCCTTCAGGACGATATCAGTGCGACCGGGTCCATCATGTGGCGAGGGCATACCAATGCGACGAATATCAATATCGATTCGAATGGAACGAGCGCGACGTTGCAGATCGGCAATGAGAAATTGCTCATGCAGATCATCAGCCCAACGAGCGGCGCTACCATCTCGACTGCTCAGCCGGTTCGCTTCTCGAGCGACCCTCCTCTTCCGGCTGGTGCAGAAAACCAGGATCTGCCCAACACTGGAGTGACCGTGGTAGAGATCAACTTGAACGCGGGAACGTACAGTTTGCAGGTGCTGTTCAGCCCACAATGGGACGGCATGTCTTCAAGCGCATATGTTACGCCCCCCAGTGTGCCCATCTCTTCGTGGTCATTGACGAGCCACAACTGATGGGTGGATTATGTACTGTATATCGGCATCGCCAGTGACTTTTTTACGATAAGCGATGGACCGTGATACCGTTTTTACCACCTAGTCTTAAGTTAGTATTTGTAGAAGATTTGGACGTCTGGTCGACGTCTTTTTTTTTTCGTTCCTCAAGGCATTAGCTTTCAAAATGCATGAGGATGACCATGTGTCGTTTGAGGTTGACGCGGACGGATGTGAGCCAGCCACCGGCGCCACAATGGCGCCAGGACGACAAAAAGTACTGCGTCGGGTCGGTTGCCTTGGTTTCCCCACGCTTCTGCTTCCCGACTCTCGAGCCCGCTGTCTCTTGCGACGGTCCTGTCCTCCTCCTTCGTTTTACATTACACTCCTTCAACGTATACTTCTCCCAGAGTTGGTCGGAGGTGGTTATTCCAGGTGCCAGTACGTCTTTTTTCTTCCATTTGCAGCACATCCCAGTCTACCCATCGTTCATTTCGATTTATTGGAAGCTATCTCTACCCTTCTCACGCGTTCTGCGTTCCTTCCGTGCGAAGAGGTGAGGCTGACGACGTCTTCCAGCATACTTAACTCAAGACGACTCCGCGCGAGAGATACGCCAACATGTTCGCAACCAAACCCAGTCAGGTCATCCTCACGCTCCTTTGCCTCGTCCTTGCCCTCGCCTTGGCCACCGTGTCCGAGGCCAACAGCTTTGTCCCCGCCGTCCAGCGCCGTGACCATGTTGGAGTCGGTCGAATGATCAAAAAGCGTTCCCCCGATATCTTTGGTCAGATCATCAACGCAGGTGCTAATGCCCCTACCGGTTCGACCGATTCGACGACGCCGACGAGTTCCTCAGCGTCGTCGTCTACCCCCGCGGCGTCCAGCGCAAGCTCTACGCCCTCCTCTACTCCTTCCTCTACTCCTAGTTCGACTCCTACCCCTTCCAGCACCCCTTCCTCCACGCCGAGTGCGTCTCCCGTAAGTTTTTCACGCAGTTTTCTGTGGGGTTTCCTGACCCGTTCTCTGTTGTCAGTCGTCTGCGTCTAGCTCTCAACCGAGCAGCAGCTCTGCTGCTACATCATCGTCGGCAAGCTCATCATCGCAGTCCTCTTCTTCCTCTTCATCGAGCGAGAGCACAAGTTCTGCTGCATCTACCGCTGCTAAGGAGGCCCCCGTCACATCGGCTGACACCCCTACCCCCACTGACAGCCAGCCTTCGGAGACGAGCAAAGCCAGCAATCGCTACACCAGCATGACCGTCACCGCTTCCCCTTCTGCCACGTCGGCCGCCACCAGTAGCAGCGCATCATCTACCAGCTCCACCACCCGGACCACTCTCATCGTCATCATCGCCGTTGCGTCAAGCATCGGTGCAATCGCGGTCGGTTGGACTGTCATCCGCAAGTGGAAGCTCAGACCTTCTTCCCACTTCGACGACCGCATGCAGCCCATTGACTGGCAACCTAACGACAGCGATCGTCGCGCGTCCGTTGTGTCCCATGGATCGTTCCATTCTTCTGGCCATAGCGATCCCACGACTGTTGGGTATGGTGCAACGTCAGACCACGGCCATGGTACTTCCCCGCTTAACCCTATCCCGGATCACGACTTCACTGCCGTTCCCTCCACGCTCGCTCCGGTCGGCGGCTACGCTGATCTTCAGCGCGGCTCTAGCCCGCAGCCTCAGATGTCGGAGGGGTTGTCGCGCGGCCCTAGCTTGGCCCACCCGAACCACGGTGTGCCGTTACACTACCAGGGTGGCTTCGACGGCTACTAGTACAACGGAAATCAGGGTCCGAGACACTAAGTATTTGATGTGACGACGAGCGACTGCCCTGACCGAATTGGCCTTGTCGCTGCTGCTGGAGCCGGCGTGTATCCATACGTGAAAAACCTACGAAGATATCTTACTACACACGTTACCTGGCGCTTGGAGTCGTTTGATTCAGGCCGGATTCTCCTCCATTTACCCGCTTTTTTGTCAAATTATATCCTGCGTACATTTGTTTGCCCCCATGCCGAGAAATACACTTCTGGTATTCTCCGCTTCCGCTGGACGCTTCATCTTCTTGTGTCGCTGACTCCCACGTTCGTGCACCCCCTTCTGATGGCATGACCGATCCACGATTCTTCCTCCAGTTGATGATGAAGTTAGCCGTCTGTTTCTTCTTGGTAGATACTTCAGCACTGACTTGATTGCAATTGCGAAGCTCTGGAAATTTATTATACCATTCATGTTCGTTCTAATGTGCCTGTGATACCCAACAGTTCTTTGTGAAACGATGAAGAAACACCTTACCTTTGTCTAGATACTCCGGAGTTTCAAACGAGATGTGAGAGCGTATACTGCGAATGTTCGGACGGTAGAGTTCCGACAAACCCGTGTATATTGAACAATGTGTGATCTACTAGATACACCCGTAGTTTGACGACCTCCATGTCCCACTAAGACGAAACTAAAGTAGTACACGATCAGACGATCAATGAGGTCATGATGTAGGAGGAATCGCAGATTACTGTTCTCTATCCGAAGAGTCGTCGTCCGAGGCATCTTCGTCGGCCAATGCCAGGGCACCAAACCAGCCGCCCGATGCAAGCCCCTCCTCCTCGCTTACAACCGTCTCGTCGTCTGAGACGTCCTCTTCCTCGTACACGGCACATTCATCTCCGGATTCCTCATCGGACAACCCCCCGCCAGCATCCGAGTCCAGTTCGCTCTCTTGTGCATTAGAAACAGGACGCGCCATCCAGATGCCACATCCCTCCGCTTGGTGTTCCTCCATAAAATGCACGTCTGTGCCTGGTGGCCAGAATGCCCAGCGGATCTTTCCTTCCGCCAGCGCGCGCAGGACTGCCGCACGAGCAATGCGGTTAGGAACAATACAAACGAAAGAGAATCGGGTCGGGAGACGTACTGGCATTCCCCGCGCGGTTGACGTCGGGTCTCCCGGCCTTTGCGGTGACCCATCCTTTCTGCAGTGCGTAAGCCGTCAGCACGTCCATTGCCGTCCATGTTGTCTCTCTTCCCTTGCTGAATGATTGCGCCTGCGGGCGCATGCCGTCACGCCATGTGCGTTTGTCCTCGGCAGGGCTAGCTGAGAGTGAGGGATGTGTGAGGCCATAGATCTTCTCGAGGGGAAGAAGCTGCGCCGCGTGGTAGATGCAGAGCGGAATAGCTGAGATGCGCGAGATGGGCGGGATCCCACTTAAGACCTGAGGAAACGGTATGTGGTCCTGAAAAAAAGTTGCACCAACAATGAACAATATACACGTACCTGCACTTCCATCGGAACGAAGTTGGGCATGACAAGCCCAGGACAGTCGACGAGACGCACGTCGGACGTCCAAAAGAGTGTTTGAAAGTGCTTCGTCTGGCGGGCGATGAGAGAGTCATCGAGTACAGACTGGAATAAAGTCTAACTTTTCCTGGAGTCTTCGAAGCCTTGACCTTGTGCGTGCCGAACAAGGCATTCAAAAGGGAGGATTTACCCACATTCGGTTGACCTGTGCACGCGAATGTGAGTGTAATTGTCTGCACGCGAGAAGATAGACAGACCTAGCAAGCCAATCGTCAAGAACTCCGGCTCCGAATCACCTTCGTCCTCTTCGCTGCCTTGTGTTCTTTGCAGTTCTTCTGTCTCTTTAGAACGAGGGATCATGGGGCCGCCAACAACCGTTCCGACTTGGCCCCCCTCAGCCTTCAACACGTTGTCCCAGTCCACCACTCTCTTGACAGGAGGTTTCCATCTTCGCAATCTATCTGGATCACCTCGGATGCGCTCAGGAGGGCTTAACAGCTCCTGGTGTACATCGCGAAGCGCATTGACAAATGTCTGGCGAAACGCTGATGGAAGATGGGGCTCGTGGGCTCTGCGAGATCTCTGACTCGTAGAATCGTGGTGGCTCTCTGAATTCTTCTCGGCATATGACTCTACCTGTACGACGATGACCCCCGGGTATTGCGAGTTCAGGTACCTTGTCCAAGCATCTGCTTTTGCAGGACCAGATATATCTACTTTCGTGAGTACAAGTATGGTGCGCGTGCGACTGGCCAGCCCTGGTGGAGAGGATAGATAAGCACGGAGCGACGGGGGATAATGCAGAGTAGGACAACGCGAATCCAGAAGAATCAGCAGGATCTGGGAGATCTCTGTTACGCGCCAGCTGAGGGGAAAACAGTAGGCAACGTATCTCAAGCAAAACACGACGCGACGTACAGTTGCCTCCAAACTTCGAGATTACGTTCGAAGGACGTTGGTGCCTGGGGCATGCTGGGTTCAGGCGGCCCGTGGGCACTCGTTCCTGAGTCTTCTGCGGGACCCTCGCAAAAATCATCAGACTGCGTCTGTTGGCCGACATTGCACCACTGGTTGATGGTATCGTCCGTCTGCGCGAGCCACTTCTTGAATAAACCTTCTTCATTCATCTCGACTTCCTTCTTCGACATTTCATACCTCCACTTTGGTCTTTTCGGACATGTCAGTTTTCCGGCCGTGTCCTCACTCGCCCCATAATCTGGTAAGATGGCTGCTTCTGAAGGGATGGGGCGAGAAAGTGGCAAAGCCGAAGCCAGAGATCTCGTTTCTTCTAAGAATTTAGCCGGAAGTTTTACAAAAGATGACTGCAACCGGCGTGAGGATTCCGCGGCAGGTGGCGCGCTCCGAGATGATTGTCCGATCTGGTCTTTCCTGGCGCTGCGGCTGTGTTCTGGAAGAGGGGCGCGGGCGGTGGGTGGAGGAGAGACATCGCCTCGCTTTGTAGCCCGCTTGAGCTGAAGCTGGGCTTTCTTCTGTTTGGAGGAGATTGGTTTCCGGCGGTGCATGTGGGAGGAGGCAAGCAGGCGATCTGTAGAACCAAATGAATTCACGGAGCTCTTAATGAATCAATATTCGCGGACTTTGATCGTGAGCTAAAAGTGGCTGATCGAAATTCGCCAAACCGGTCTGCTCCCAATGGCTTCCGACACTGCGACCGTCATCGTCCCCTCTCCTCGCCGCAGCTTTAGTTCCACAATAACTCACGCCGAACATACTGACACCAAGAAGCAGGATTTTGCCAGAGAAAACAAATTCATCTACCAGCATGGCTCAAAACTTCATGCGTATGGCACGGACAAGGCGCCTTATCCGGTGTCTTACAACAAAGAATTCCTTGCCCTGTAAGAAGTTTGAATATTGTCTCGACGTCAAATTAAATATTCGTTTTACATAAGGACTGCGATCGATCGTGCCCTTTTCTACCAGGTACACAAGGATGTGTCGTTCATAGATTTTCAAGGCCATCCTCCAAAGCGATGCTTAGATCTTGGTACCGGGGTATGTATATTCAAGCTTCCACCTCCCCAGTGGCTGAGTCGTCAGCTAGATGGGGGATTGGGTAATTGAGGCGGCAAGACATTGGCCAGAGTGTACTTTCGTGAGCTCGTCATCTGTTTTGTTTCACGGTGGGTACGCTAAAAAATTTAAGGTGGGGTATGATTTAGTCAACGTGCAGATTCCATTTCATGCAATGGAGCTCGAAGTGAGAGGTCGTATTGAATGGAAGCATGGCAATTTGTGCGTGGCTGATCAAGCCATCTGTCTCATCGGTGCATTGACTACTTGAGAGTAGCCTGAGCAACAAGCTTCCGTTCGAAGACGAAGAGTTCGACCACATTCATATCTTCGCATTAGCATCGGGGGTGCCTGAAAATAAGGTCAGAATCCTGCCCATGTATCGTTGATGGAATGTGAAGTTGACAACCTAGTTACTCTTCAGTGGATGTCATTGTACGAAGTATGTCGTCGATCTTACGGTGTACAACAGTCGACGTATTCAAAATTTTATTCAGGAGTTGCATCGTGTATTACGTCCAGGGGGGACGGTAGAGCAAATGGAAGAAGGTCGGTCTTCCCACACTTCTCCATGGCAACGTGTGTCGCTCTGATTTCGCTCTCAGACATCATTTTCCCGCTTCTTCCGCGGTGGTTTACAGATCCCCTGCGCGCCTATGCACGTGGGCCATCCATGCATTTCCCAGATGGCACTCAGCATTTCTCGCGTAATTCATGCGCACAATCGGAAGATGGGGAACACGAACATGAGTTACTGGAGTCCTTGTTTTTCGCCGTCCACGACAATCGCTTCATCAATCGTACGCCCACCTGTGAGCGACTTGGATTTTATCTGCTCGTTGAGCCCGTCTGATGAGAAGCAATCGTTCGATCAGCTCTGCTGCCCAGCTACTTCTCTGCCATTTTTGGACACGTTCAATCACCCCCAGCGGTTGAATTTCCTATGCCCATGCTCGCACCTCTTGCACCATTACCAAATGAGCTGTCTACTATGCAATCCCTGCGCAGCGAATTTGAATTAGTCCCTGAGACTTCGTCTAGCATTTCATCTTTTCTTTCTCCAGACAACTCGTTTGACATTGCGTCAACAATCTCCCCCATTTCATCCTCCCAATCGACGTCCGACAGCTCAGTTACTAGTTCTGCTTCACCACCATCGTCAGACAAGGGGACAAAATTATCCAACGTCGCACCCTCTATCCTCGAGTATACTCGTTCAAGCAGTTCGTTCGATTCTTCTTTATCGGACAGCGTCTCTAGCTCTATTATCTCCTCCATCACCACTTTAGATCCCATCCTCACAATGAAGGACGAGGGCACGCGTTTGGGCCCAGCCTTCCAGTTGTTCGCGCTTGATGAACTACAGAAGCTCGACGAGAATTCGCTGTACATGCACCTGTTCTCTGCAGTGCGGAGGGTTCTTTCTGTCAAGGAGGCCATGTGGGAAGAGTTGATCAACAGGGTCGTGAAGAGAGACGAATCTCTGCGGAAGTATGGCTGGACGGCCGCTGACGATTATACGGAAGACTCGAGTAGGAGGAAATTCGATGCGCTGGTCCATCAATATGACAAGTCGGTCTTTTTCCTTTCACTTTCCCGAATACTTAGATGACGATGTTACTTACCCCAAGGGATATGCGTGTCCGAATATCATTATGGCACTCTCTGGTCAGGTATGGCTGGGAGTATCCTCCTCGTGATCCTCTCTCAAAAGCCGAGGTTATGGAAGAGGAAAGGATACGGCAGGATCTCCTCCGGGCGCGACGATCTGCGAACGGTGGCGAATTGAACGCATGTAGCCGGTGTATCAGGCTCATTCTTGGGGAGAAGTCATCAGCCAGTTAGTTGTAGGATTCAGCCAGCATTACCAGTTGAGTGTTATACATTTTATTTCTTATTTGCCATAAGTTATTTCAGTGGAAATTTCTTGGCTTCCAGCGAATATATTTGATCTGTTGTAGAGGTCCGTTGCATTCATTACACTCCGTGATAGACTTACATGATCAACCGGCGCAAATACAATTTGGGAAGTTCATTGGTTCTGGGACCGAACTAGCGGAGCTTGCAGTTCAAGCCTAAGACACATAACGACGTCTCAATCCAGCCCGGGGACTGACCTGGTCTGACAGCGCACACGGTTACCGTCTCAAACACCTACTGTCAGCCAGCCACGCTTCTCTACTGTGGATTACTTTGTCTATCCTCACGGCTCTGCTCCTTTATTTCCATATCTGAAAGCTGGTCTTTCTCGTGCGACTTACGAGCTTCATCCTCTACAGATATGGCATCCCGCCAGAGTGTCGTAGAGTCCGGCAATGATCCGTCACCTCGTCGATTCTCATACCCGCGCGAAAGCCCCCCAGAGCCGAGTGCAAAGCCATACCGCGACCATCCCACCCCTCATCCTCATAGATTCAGTGACGGTGCCTCTTACTTCTCCCCAAAGGACCCCGATCCTCGCAGTCGACGTGCAAGTGAACATATTCCTCCCAAGTCCAACGTTGGAGAGACTCTCAGCGTCCAAGACTCCCGCCCTGCCTTCCCTTCGTGGTCATCCTCCTTCGAATCGTCCATCTTGCCGTCCGACCTCCGGCAAGAACGAACGTTGAGCTCGCTCGAGGCTGGACAGAATAAACCGCGTCGCGGCGGCGGGGTTGTAGCGTCCTTGATCCAGTACGGGCTGGCGCGAGCTACAGGAAATGGCGAATGTAAATTTGACGGAGAAAAGCAGGACAACGCGCTTAGCCGAAGCACCTCCTACGCATCGGCCGACGGAGATCTGGAGAAAGCATCCAGTGGACGTCCTGCCGCTAGGTCGAAGCAGAGCTACCGAGACAAGTGCCTACTGAGGCGAGGTCGCAGACAGGCCGAAATTGTTCGCAACGTCGAATGTCAGTTGCATTTCGCCAGTCTCTTGTGATATTGAATTTCATCGGACGTCCCGGTAGCATATGTCAAGCGACAGAAATTCATCCTGAAGCTTGCGAAGGCTCTACTCAGCTTTGGGGCCCCTTCCCACCGGATCGAATCGCAGCTTCACTCTGCCTCCGGGATTCTCAAGGTCAACGCGGCGTTTGTGCACTTCCCCAACTTGATCATCGTCTCTTTCCTTGACTCAGACACGAGAACATCGGAAACTCATTTCGTCAGAGCCGGCGGACGCGTTGCCCTCACTGCTTTGCACAAGGTACATCTCATCTATCGAGATGTCCTGCACGACGACATCAGTGCAAGCGAAGGCACCGAGCAGCTGAAGAAGATTTTACAAGCGCGGCCGCTCTACAACATCTACGTGCGCTGCGTGTTTGCTTTCATATGTTCATCCATCATCTGCACCTTGTCGTTTGGCGGCTCCGTGGTGGACATGTTCATTAGCGGTGCCAGCGCGTCTCTTCTGCAGTATCTCGGCCTGAATGCTGCGTCGAAGAGCTCGATCTATGCAAATGTCTACGAGTAAGCCTACGCTACGACCAACTATTTGCAACATGCTGATCTAAATTGACAGAATTTCGGTGTCTATCATCGTTTCATTCCTTGCTCGCGTTTTAGGTACTCTTCCTGGCAACATATTCTGCTACAGTGCCATCTCGTCGGCCGGAGTGGTGCTCATCCTACCTGGTTTCACTATCTGTACGTCGTCACCTCCTGCTCGGCGACCTTGCGCCTCATCACAGCCTACATCATCTTAGTGATAAGTGCACTGGAGTTGACCTCCAAAAATATCATGTGTGGCTCCGTCAGAATGGTCTATGCTATCATCTATACACTCTTCTTGGTGAGTAGTGGCTTTGGGCAGAGTCTCATCGCATTTGCTGACGACGCTGAAGGGCTTTGGCTTGACCATCGGCTCGGACTTCTATCTCGTTATCGACCGCGATGCACGACGCAATCTTGCGGTTTCCAGTATGTTGGGCTCCGAGACGTATCACGGCCATATCATCGCGAACAACGACTCTCTGTCGCTAGCGTCTTTGGGTGGCACATTCTCCTTCACAGATGTTGCCGAAGCTGCGACCCATGTTGTCAAAGGTCAGCATCTCTGATCTGTCCCTATTAATCCGGCGTAATTCTGACAGCTCTACAGGCTGTTATCGCGATCCGTCTTGGCCGTGGTATAGGCAGGCCTTCCCGTGGTGGACTATGCTCTTCCTCGTTCCGTTCTACTCCATTTGTTCCTCTCTGGCGAACTTGCAGACCATCAGAAGTGTTCAACTTCCTGTAATGGTGCTGTTCTCCTGCGCTGCGTACGCCGCGAACAAAGGCGCCAGCTACCTCATCTCGGGCCGAGGTGATATCGTCTCTGCGTTCGGTGCTCTCGTCATCGGCCTCTGCGGCAATCTCTACTCTCGAGTGGTCGGTGGTACTGCATTCACCTCAATGGTTACAGGAGTGCTATTCCTTGTTCCGGTGAGTGTGGTCGTCTCTCAATTCTGTCAGTTGGTTGTCCTCACGCGTAATTAAGTCTGCTATCGGAAATGGAGGCGGCCTTATACAAAATTACGACAGTTCTTCCGCACAATATTCCAACAGTTTTGACCTCGGGATCCGAATGATCGAGGTCGCTATCGGAGTGACGATTGGCCTGTTCGTCGCCCAGATCATGGTCTACACTTTGGGACGCCGAAAGAATGCTGCTCACTTTGCTTTCTGACAGTGGTCAATGTTGTACGCACTTCTTGTGAACTGGATAACTGCAAATTTTCTAATATGTCTGCTATACAATCGATGCGAGTTATAACAAGCTACAAGCACATTAGAGTATCCATAAAGTACAAGTGGTATGCGCCAAAAATAAGATAATGCACAATAAATCAGCCTCCGAACAACTGGTTCAGTTCCTCCATGCGGCGTTGAAGCATTTCCGCCTTGGTGAAATTCTGACCCAAAGTCATATTTGCCAGCTCGGTCTTCTTCCTCTGGACTTCCAGAAGACGAGCCTCGATAGAGTTTTCAATGATCAGCTTGACGGTCGTCACGGGACGCGTCTGGCCCAAACGATGCTATGCAGATTGTCAGCAATGAATTCGCTGAGATACGGTATCAAGACATACAATCCGGTCGACTGCCTGGTTCTCCACAGCAGGATTCCTGATAATGTATGTATGCGTCAAATCCTGCTACGGGCAGGGGAAGTAGACATGTACCACTCACCAGTACGGGTCCATGAGATAGACTCGCTGAGCCGCGGTGAGATTCAGGCCTACTCCTCCAGCCTTAAGACTGACGAGTAGGACCTCACAACCTGGATCATGCTTCAGCGCCTCCATGGCTCGAGTCCGCTCATCACGTTTCATGGTGCCATCGAGCCGGTCATATCGAATTCCTGCCACCTCTAGCGCATCTTCTACCCTAATGGCGTTGTCAGAATCAAGTCGAATACGAATATAGCAAGAACTGACTTGTCTAACATGGTTGTCCACTGCGAGCTGGGCACAATCCATTAGCATAATGCATACTCGCACATGAGGAGACTATACTGACAAGACGACGGTCTTGACAACACCGTCATCTAAATTGTTTCCCCGATCGTCAACCATTTGCACCTCTATCGAAGACGGATCGTAGTTTGCGGAATATGGATTGTACTTGGAGAACTGGACCAGATCGCTCATCAAAGCCTTCACCTTGGTTGACGGGTGGAAATTCTCCAGCGAAATGCCCTTCGTCCTCTTTTCCCTCCTGGCGGACTTCTTCTTGCAGATCATGTCGGCCTGGTCACAACCGACTTCCACTGCATCTAACGGAGAAAGGGCAGTTTGGCAAGTAGCACAACATCGTCGCAGGTCTGCAGAGACATTCGGCCACCCTGGATAAACGGAGTTCCGGAAACATTCGAGACAGAACAGATGCTGACAGCGTGTGAGGACAGCATGCGGGGTGGGGGTGGAAGGACTATTCTGACGAGTCGATGAACGCGACGCGGGGGCTTTAGCTTTGCGACCACGCTTGGGCGTTGCGGAAGGAGTATCACTTTCAGCCACGCTACCTTCGCCTGCCATGACGTCTAATTGGGCTGCAAGCTCGTACCCACATTCAACGCACTGCGTGAGACTGGATTCTCTCAGCAATGCGAAGATGGTGGCTGCTCGCTGCACATTGATCCCTTCTCGAGCGACCACAGCAACAATATCTTCGTAGCTTGTACCTGAATCCTGAGTTTGAGTGTCTCCAATAAGACCCAGTCCCTTGTCCTTGACGAGCTCGAAATGATCGCATATCTGACGCAGACGCAGAATCTTCTGCAGTATTCCAACGTAGTTCTTCATGACTTCGTTCTTGTGCGAGAGTTCGTGGAACTCCTCCTTCGATTCCTGGAAGAACTGGTCATATATCGCCTGCTCCTGTTCATCGAACTTCAGATAACGCAATTCGTCCCGACGTGGAGGGAGCGAAAGAATTCTGCCCCCGTCGTCTGCCTTGGACTCCTTCGTTCTCCTGAGGGTAATACACTTCATGATGGTCTGGATACGTGCCACGCCAAGCGGTTGTCCGTATTTGACGGGTGTGCCAATAAACTCGGTCCACACGTTCTTGTCGTCGAGAGGACTTAATCGAAGGAACTTGATGAGTGCGAATACGTCGTCCAACTTATTCTGTACGGGTGTACCAGTCAGACACAATCGGCGGTCCGCGATGAGGTCGCAGCATGCACGACATGCAACGGTGCTTGTCTCTTTGATCGAGCTATCACGGCTTATTAGACTGTGGGAAGGAATGGATGCAGCGTCACTTACTGCGCTTCGTCGAGGACAACCCTGAACCAGTGTACGCTCTGCAGCGGACTGGTAGCCTCGACTCCGTTCAATGCGGTACAGGGTTTCTTCCTCTTCTTCGCACCTGCCTTCTTCGATTTAGGCGGCTTGACATCGTCAAGGTCTAAGTTACCGTCGCTGCTGCCATCGTCATCGTCGTCATCATCCGCACTCGCTATGCTCCTCATTTGCTTGGAGAACTCGGAAGCGAGTGTCGAGTACGTCGTAATTACCACATCAAAGTCCGCGAGGAAGGTAGCGTCGGGGCGACGAGCATTGCCATGATAGACATATATGCGCACGGGTGTGCCTTCGCGCACACGTCCCATAAAGCTCTTGATGTCTAACTGGAAGCTGTCGTGTCGAGACAGTTGCGGTGTCGAACCTGTGGGCGTAGAGATCATACCTGACTGCGGCGTCGCCACAGCGGTACAGTTACCTCCCACAATCGTAACCTCCCCCCGCCAATGTTCACGGAACTGGTCCTCCCAGTTGACAACCGTCGAGAGAGGGCAGATGACCAGCGTAGCTCGACTCTTGACCTTTATTCGAGACGCGCGCATATACTCGGCTTCCCGCCTATCCTGCTCCCGCGCAACTTTCGCTTTGCTCCTCTTCGAGCTGGATTCCGGAAGTAGGTCAGGCATGCCCCACACGCTTCCGGCGAAATGCGCTGCACTCAAAGAAGATTCTGGCTGAGGTGGCGGTCGGGGTGGAAGGGTACATAGAGGAGACGCCGAAAATTCATGAGCCGACTCCACAGTTGCAGCTATGAGCGATACGCAGGTAATGGTTTTTCCAAGTCCCATCTTCAATAAATTTAGTATATGTACCGACTCCATGTTTCAAGTGACTGATACGTACGTCGTCTGCAAGAATCGCACCCTTGGCTTCTTGTGGTTCATGTCGAGTTTCCCTCTGAGTGACGATGTGGAACCAGACCGGTTGCCCCGACATTGGATCCTGGCGCTCCTGCCACAGCGAGGAGAAAGTGCCAGAAGGTCCGACACGTTCTCGCTCTCTCTCAAGCAGAAATGTGAGCGCTTTCTTTTGATGAGGATACAACTTCGTTGCAACATCGGGTGCTAGTGAAGGTCAGAGCGGGTGGCCGGCAGGAAAATCGCCCTCATTAGTCAACCGGTGTCGCAATCAACGAATCATCCTTACCGGGCTCCGTTTCCTCGAGCTCTTCACCATCCCTCAGACTCTTGAACAATTCGTCCACCTGACTGCGCTGAACTTCTACACTCTTCCCACTCACCGATCCCGCATTCCATCGGCCTACGGAACTGCCGCCTGGACCGAGATATCCCAGACGTCCACTAGGGCCAATCAAGGCACGAGCATGACCTCCGGGGGGAGGGTTGTGCGGGTTATAGTAGTACTGATTAGCAAGCCGGGCCTTGTCGGACGACAAAGTAGGATGGTCAAGGAACAAACCATGTCGATGCAACCAGTCGGCAACAACCTGGATGTTCCCCTTCGGGGTGAAGACCAACAGTTGCAAAGGCAAGATCGGAAGCTAAAGACTTCTGAATGGATGAGCACCATAGTCATACCATGTGGACTCACCTTAATGCCCCTCCGGACTTTAGCATCTAGCCGGATCAAACCTCTGCCATACATGGGCCCCAGATGTGTCGCAATCTTCTGTTCCACGACACCGAAGTTTTCACCCGGCAAGATCTCACCCGTGTGCGTCTTCATACTAGGTGTCTTGATGTGAATGGTCTCCTGTCCACTGACTTTATTCGGGTTATGTTCGTAACTCAGTCTGACAGGAGCCCATTCACTATCGGGAAGTACCGGGGGCTGAGGTTCGAGATAGGGTATTGGATACAACACCAGCGCGGTGACTGTTAGTTGGCCAATACACACTGGTGTCTTGACGCCTAAGTCGGGAGGTAGGTTTCCTAGCGTTGGTTGCGGGATTGGGGGCAGCGGCGCGCCTGGAGGGGGAGAAGGCGAACTGGTAAGGTCAATCACATGCCGTGCCGAAGAATTAGAAGGAGTTTCAGAATATACCCTGGCAGGCAGAGGAGCCAAGACGGGTGGCAGAGGTGTAGTAGAGGGGCGAGGTTGGAAAAAAGCGGATGAGGTAGAAGGACCGGTGAACGGCGGGGGGCGAATGGTGTTAGCTATGGCATGCGTATAGTCTGGGGTGGAACGAGGAGGGCCCCACTGAGCGGACGAGCTCGCAGAGGGTCCCGCAGAGCCGGGATGCAGAGACGAAGAGGACATCGCGGGTGACAGGCCGGAATGGTATGGCTTAGAACACGAAGAAGCGTCAAGCAGAGATGGAGTACTGCAAGACGCATCAAAGCTGCGACTAGAGGTGCACATGCGCTTGCACTTCCTATCGTTCACATAGGATGAAGTGCCATCCTCGTCTTCGTCGTCGTCGTCCTGGGTGAGATCGATAGGGTCTGACTGAGCAAACGAGCGGATCGGAGGTAGGGTAGTCGGGCTGCTCGTCGAGAGCGGCGAGGCCATTGGGACCCTCGGTGAGCAAAGCAAAGCAGACTACGCGAGGAGTCGACCTCTAGTAAACGACGAAAAGCAGCGCCGGGCGGCTTAAATGTTGTGTAGGACGGTAGAGAGCAATTGAGCTCAAATCGCGCGAAGTTGTACGCCCCGTGTGGCGGTAGACCCATATTTATCAGCCTGTGTCAGCGCAAAAGTCTATCGTATTACGTACACGTGATTATCCCCAAAAAGGCACTTTTACCAGTGCTCGATTGTTTTTTCTGTCATTGTGAACCACTCCTAACATGCAATACACGCCCTCTCCTGCTACCATCCGCGTTTTGCGCCTCGTATGAGTGGAAATTAACGGACCACAAGTAGTTGGTTGGCCAGCGCTCACATAAGGTTGTGTCATAATATTGAATGACTCACAGACTGCCTCACGGTATCGACCACTCGATCGTATATCCGCCATGGCCACAGCGACACTGGAATTCCACCATTCCACAATAGCCGATTTGTTTACTCATCAAAGTCAAACTGCGTCCCAATCGGCATATCTAGCATCACGGTTTCGGGCATCGACAGCGGCAAAAAAAACCGGCAAGTGCATATCGCCAGATGCTTTACTAAAGGTCGGCGACATTCAACGCACTCGGGGCCGGACACACGCGATTCCTCACCGTTGTGGACAGGTAAGCCGCTTCGGAGTTCACGTCGAGCTGCATGATAGGCACTGCAGGTACAAACCTATCGATGTTTGGATATCCGCTGTGTGATACAACCAGTCAACGGCGACTCAACGCCGATAGCAGTGGCATAGCTTAAGCTGCACTTCGATGAAATCACAAACACCTGCCGGCATGCAGTATTACCTTGGACTGCGGTGCGGTGTCGGGAACATAGAAATAACGGGCGATGAATTAACTGCTGCCAGAGTATCAGAAGACATTCGATAGGCACTGCCAGAGGCCTAGGTCGTAAGTAGTACAGACAGGAATCCTACACAACATCCTAAGCTGAGACTTGCATGCGGAACTGACAAGTGTACAGCATAGCGTATCTAAAACAGAGCATTTCAGTGCACGCTAGCAGAGTCCGTGTGTTTCAATCAAAAACATATGTCCAAACCAAAGATATCAGTCTAGCGATGTGGGTTACCTCCATATGCAGAAGATGGCACCGTTGCAATCTAGCAGTGACAACAGATATGGTTGCACGTCACCCATGTTTACTATCCCTGGACCACATCACAATCTCGCCGTCGACGAAGACAATGATGAGGCCATGCTAGATTACAACGGTACAATGGCGAAGGAAATCCGATTGAATTAAGCACCTGTTCGTGGTGTAAGTTTCGAAGGGGGGCGCTTGGGAAGACCACGCAGGCGCTCACGAGGTGCCCATCCCATGGCATAGTACGCTTGCCTGGCTGCTTCTTCCTTGGCAAGCTGCTTGCTGGGACCATTACCTTGACCTTTCTCGATGCCATTCACTAGTAAACGAAGGTGTCAATAAGTAATCATTCTGATTCGCCGCACATGACGTACCTATGCACTGAACCGTCCACCTTCCGGCGTGGGCAGGACCTGAAAACTGAGCAGGATACTCTACAGTCAGCCTGCGCTGGTTGGCAGTCTGGTTGAAGAGCGGCAGAAACGCTGCCGTCGGTTGGGCGGGTGCCAACGGATTCATAGGAAGCGGTGGCGGAGGATTCATGGGCGGAGGGGGCTGCATGCTCGGGTTAGGCGGCGGCGAACCCATGGGCTCCGTCTTCGCACGTTTGTACGCATACGGTTCGTCCGCACCGATGGCAGGATTCTCGTAATCGGGATCAACGAGCCGTCCGATCCAGCTCTGCACGGTTTCCATCCCGTTCTGAATGTACACAGCGCCGACGTAAGAACTAAAGAGAAGGCGGGCTTCCTGTAGCACAGAACAATGAGTTGCAGCCTTGCCAGGCTGATCAGAAAAAGAGAAGCGTACCTTTGGCGTGTCGAGGGTTGCAAGGGCATCGGGAGTACAGCGCACCTTCTCCCGGAACCCATACCCTACTATCCAGTTCTGAATATTCTCAAGCGACAGTATCTCATCTCTGCGCCTCTATGTGCGATCGCAGATAGATCAGGATGTATGAAATACGCCCAGACAGGGAGGACTCACGACGATATCATCAGAGGTCAACATCGGCCTCTTGCTGAACAACGTGAAGGTGACAGCAGTCTCGAGGATCTTATCACCCAGCAGGGAGAGCCGCACGTTATCGCCGTACTCCTCATTCGAAGGAGCACCTGGAAAGCGCAACGACTGATGGGTGAAGACCTCGAGGATGATGTCCCCACGCAGTTTGGGTGCTGGGGTCAAGTGCGGGTCCATGGCATTCGATACAGAGTATGAGCGCTTCAAACCGGGGCTCGGACTGCCAGTGTGAGAATACGGGACTACGGAAGAGCCAGCTGTGGATGATGGCCACGTGCCATCTGAGAAATAAATTATTAGAATTGCACTAGCTGCCTGCAGGCAGTGCAGGAGAGGTGGAATAAGGTTACGAGAACGCACCTGATGCAGGGGTAGACCAGGATCCCTCTGACTGCATGCTTAAGCCCTTGACTTGTGCCTTCACCATGAAAAAGTTGCGGAGCGTGTCAACGATGTCTTTGGACGCAGCAGTTCTCGGTCAAGAGAGGAAGCTTGAACTGAGGCCGGGTGCAGTTAGCCGCGCCAAATGCGGCCTTTTATATGCTGCAACGCCACACGCCGCTCGGCGGAGACTCGGAGTTGGTGATTTCCCGCTTAATTGAACCAACCACCCTCGCAACAAGGAAAGAGACAAAGCAATAGTGATTTCCCGCTTAATTGAGCCAATACCCTTGCAACAAGGAAAGAGACAAAGCAAGCACAATATGATTACTCCAGGATATGGTTAGTAGGAACGATACGATCGAGGCTACGTGGCACCACAGCCGGTCCGCCTGCGCTTGCCAACGCCCGCCTTTGTTGCTTGATCAAGATATTCCGTAGGATATTGACCGTCGGACTCTGCAACGGGTCTTGCTCTAGTCTTCTAATTTCTTTCTTTATCCTGTCCACAATGCCCGTCAGCATGCGAGATGTACGAAGAGATATGCGAAACCGGACCTCTTCGATCCTTCTGCAACAGTGGGGCAATCTTTCACCAAGTGATGAGGCGATTGACCACACACGACACACGTAGAGGGACCCCCTTCTCTCGGTCTCTTCTTGGGAGCATCCGACGCTAGTAAGGGGGACAACGTACGCTTTGATGGTCCCGCCACTGCATTCGTCGTGCCAGAGGGAAGGCGTGGAGCTTGAGATGTCGTGCTTGATGGCAACGGCATTGACATCACGCTTTGGAATGTCGTGGGATTCATATCATGCTTGGCTGAAGACGATTGGTGCTTCTTGTGCTTTTTGCGCGGAGGTTTCTCAACGAGTCGGAGAGGCTGTCCAAAGATTAGGTGAAGCTTTCCTCGCTTGTGCAGGGCCTCGTCAATCGCTTGAATGGCAGAACGCTGAAAAGATGTAGCGGTCAGTTCGAATGTCAGTCCAGAAGAGCCGAGCATACCCGTTCTTCCAACGGCTCGTCTCCAGCGTGTACCAGGAGCATGTATCTGTATTCAGCAAGATTCTCCGAGCTGTTCGTCATGTAGCAAGCGCTGTTTCCATGACGGCTACCGCATAGACCGCACGTATCATCCTGAGGTGCCTGTGATCGATTTAGGATCGGCGACGAAGATTTATGCAACGGTTTGGGACGTGCGATCGGGGAAGGGGAGCGGGAGGGGATTGCGAGGTCGAGGTCTGTAGCAGCGAGTGGTTCTGTAATCTCACTGTCGGACGTCGTGATTTGTTCCGGGCCAACGTAGGCATCTGATTCGTCCGAAATGACCGACTTTGACTTGTGCTTTCTCTTACCCTTCTTCCCTTTAACTGGCGTATCACCCAAGTCCAAGTTTTGCTTCAACAGATGTAAGACTCACCGCTGAAATGAAGAAGACCCAGCACTCACCTGAGGGAATACTGCAGCAGCACGACGTTTTACGCCGCGACCAGTTACCTCCTTTGCCTGCCCCTTGGCACGCTCGGATGCAAGGCGCTCCAGGGTCTGCGCCCAGGAATCTACTTGGTCGCCGTTATCCTGCGGCTCGTCTGGCATTTCCTCCAGCGAATCCTTGTCCGCGGACCACACTTTAGCGAAAGAGAAGGCGGCCCCGGCGCCTGCTGCTGCCTGAGGTTCTACTTGGTCACCTTCTTTTTCAGTCTTTTCTATCAGATTTTCTATGTCGTGTTCCGAATCTGCAGAAGCGCATCATCAATGAGGAGCAGCGAAGAGATATTGGTAGCACAGACAGTGGATTTGCCCCGCATGGTCTCCCTCTTGGAATAGGGTCTCCGCTCCGAACATTAGGATGGACTGCACATCTTCTCGAGCGCCATCGTCGTCGTCCATATTCTGAACGATGAGATGATCTAGAACCAACTTCTTCTTGCCAGTTTGCATGATTCGCTCTGAAGAAAAACCATCAGTACGACATTGCTACCTGGTTTGAACCGGCATACCCTCCGCGGAATCCTTCACCATCAGCTTGAAGACGAGACATGTCTTCTTCTGACCATATCGGTGTGCACGAGCGATGGCCTGCAAGTAATCGTTAGTGTTCTGCATGGACGAACAATAGAAATAAAGTGTACTTGAAGGTCCTGAGCAACAATCAGCCATCGTTTGACATGCAAGTAAGTTGAAACCTACCTGATGCGGGTTGAAGTCGGGATCGAATATTATGACAGTGTCCGCACTCCACAGGTTGATGCCAACGCCTCCAGCGCGTGTTGACAGGAGATATATGAATACATCTGAACCAGGCCTATTGAATTCATCCATTCCTTTCTGGCGGTCTCTTTGCTTGGTGTTGCCATCCTGTTGCAACGTCGTAAGCGAAATGATTGCACGACCGTAGTGGAACGGACCAAACGCAAATATTTGATTCCTTCACCGTCCAAGAAGTCTTGTATAATGTCCAGGGCAATTGTAAACTACGAAAACGGTCAGACACCATAAAACATCTGCTGAGATGCTACAGACCTGGCTGAACAACAAGACTCGATGATCTCGAGCTTGTAACTTCGGAAGTAGGATCTTCAACAAGCCAAGCTTGGCACTGGCGTCGATGAGCTTCGAGTGACTTTCTTCCGACGACAAACCCTTCGGTTCTATGTCCCGAGAGACCAGATACGGATGTTGAAGGCATCTGGTGAGAAGCATATGTAAATTTTCCGTGCTGAGAACTACTAACACTTACTTGCGCAGCTGCATCAGAACGTTGTTCAGGTTGGTTTTGCTGATGGCATTGCTCACCCTGGCGCCGACCGATCCCTGCGCTAGGGTTTTCAAGACATCGAGGTTCTGGCCTGAAGCAGCTATCAGTACAGGACTGAAAGTTATACGTCCCTGAACGCACTCAGGATCGACAGATAAACCTCTCTCTGAAGTCGCACCATGCTGATTGGTACGATCACTTCGTTCTAGACGTATGGTGATAAGCGCAAGTGGCCAACAAAATCGCCACAGGCGTACCTTTGGAGGTAATTGAAGGACTTCAGACTTGATACGCCGCAAGAAATAGGGTCGAAGTCTCGTATGAAGCTGCTTGATATTTTCCTCGGAGAGCACCTGATATTCGTTCTCTAAGGCGTCCAAGTCATGCCATTCCTTAGGATCCAGGAAGTTCATCAGATTGAATAACTCTCGAATGTTATTGTTCAGAGGCGTCTGGTAAAATATCAGATTAAATACGAGATGGAAGATAAAGAGTGGCGCATACCCCAGTCATAATGATGCGGTGCACTGTATTCAACTCCTTAAGCTTCTTGAACAGAAGGCTTGCATCGCTCTTAACTGGTAATCATAGAGCCCGGCCGTCAAGAAAGATCAGGAAATAGAATAAAGACACTGCAACTCACGCCGCTGTCCCTCATCGACCACCAGCACTTCCCATCTGGGGGTCTTCTTGAATACGGGAGTGAACTCCTTGTTATTGGTGATCGTCTCATAGGTAGTGATCAGCACATGATATTTGGCACCAGTCGTTCTCGACTCTGTGGTCGAATGACTCAGTTCGTACCGCTTGATGATCTCCCGGGCCTTGTTTTCGCCGGAGAACGGTACCACTCTCAGCTTAGGTGCCCAACGCTCAAACTCGCGCACCCAATTTGAGATGGTCGAATTCGGTACCACCACAAGAGCAGGTGCAGCGCTCAAGTGCGACACAATATACCCGATGAAAGTTACGATTTGTACAGTTTTGCCCTGCCAAACAACACCCATGATGTAGATATCTCGCAGAAACACATAAAACTGTTCACAACGTACCAAACCCATCTCATCCGCAAGGATACAGTGTTGGTGGTTCCACCAGTTGTTGCAGAGCCAATTCACCCCCTCGATTTGGAAGGGCATAAGAGACAGCTGCGCATTCTGACCGAGCTCGGGCCGCCTCTCGCGAGTAAATGCACTGGATTTCTTGAAGCCGTCCAACGGCCGTTCATCGAACACTTTTTGCTCTTTCCGATCACGATGTTTGACGACGACTTCACGAGAAATAACATATCTCTTGAACGCGTTCTGGAAAGTTGCATAGCCTGGCTCTCCGGGGCGTGGTGGGGAATCCCATGATGCTTCAAACCCAAGTACGATGAGCTTTGTGAGTTCCCAGTGTTGGAAGAATGCTTACCATCGTCGTATCCCATATCGTCCCACTTGATGAAACACCACACTACTCGGTCGATATCGTCTTCAGTAAGTGGTTCGCCGGTCCGTTCCTCGTACTCGTCCACAGTTTCTGTCAGATCCGCACTCGGTTGCTCGCCTTCATCAAACGCAGCTGCACGCTCTGCCTCAGCAGCAAGCCGCTCCGGATTCTCTCCCTCACTCTCTTCCTCGTCGCTCTCCATCCTCTGCACCCTTTTCTTGCCTCGCCCCTTGGCCTTCGACTTCTTGGATTTGGGTGGAAACCTCCGCTCAGGATACCACACGAGCACGTCCAAGACACGGTCGACGGTCTTCCACGCAGGGGGAACCTTGCGCTGTGCGTCAGGATCCGGATCCAGCGCCGACATCACCCTCGGCTCAGGGTGCACGGAAACATCTCTCGACGCTTCCCCTCCAATCTCAAACGCCGATGGTTCTTCGTCCTTGCTCGCCTCGACTTCGTTGACGACTTCCGGCAGCAGCTGCACGTTGCTTCCTCCATGTAGGAAGTTCTTGAGGCGCGCAGGCTGCATCGCCAGCAGCCACATGTGCGGCACCCATTGCGTCCGCTTGTAGCCGCGGTCGGTCCACTTCACGAGATATTCCCTAGGGAGTGACGCCTTGTAGTTAATTGGTTCGTCGGCCTCGCGCGGCGGCTCAACCGCGCCCTCGGGATACGGCCTCCACGCAAGGATGTGCTCCGCAGTGTAGATGAAAGATACGCAGTCAGCGCACCGCCAGCCGTTCGTCGCCTGATAGTGGTGCGCGAGCTCAGCGGGGGTCACGTCGGAAGGCCAATTCGGTGGGACGGGTAGATGCGCATAGTGGGCAAGGCGTTTGCAGGTGAAGCAGCGGAAGGCCATTTCCTTGGCGGGCTTGTCCGCGTCAACGTCACCATCGACAACAGGCGCGAGGTTCGCGCTCGCGTCAGCCATCTCTACATCGCCATCGTTTTCGGGAAGGCTCGTTTGGGCTTTCTGCTCGGGATGAGCGCTGTGGATCTGGTCGGGCTTGAGGACGACCTCCCTACACATCATACAGAAACCGCCCTTCATGCACGACCCGCAGATGAACTCCGTTGTCTGGTACGCGTCCAAACCCGCGCGCTTTCCGGGCTCTGGCACACTCTTCACTGCACCATCTTCGCCGGCCGCGCCTTTCGCAGGTCCTTGGCGTTCCAACCAGTCGGCCTTGTCTCGCTCTTGTGCAGCCCGCAGAATCTCCTCTCGCTGACTCCTCGCGAGGCAACCCCAGTGGGCAGCTAGTGGGCATTTCAAACTTACGCAGCATAAGTAGAAAACCAGGGGAAGCGTAATTTTACTCACCATCTGACCCAACCTCCCAAGGCCGTCAACTTTTCTGTCTCGTTCTCATCCTCCTCCTCATCTTCGTTCTTCTTCTTACGCCTACCTTTCCCTCTCTTTGCAGCAGCTGTCAGCAGCTCATGGGCGGGTTTTCTGTGGCACTTCTCGCAGATATCCCTGTGGGCCCGCAAGGCCACAGTTTCCGGGTCATCGTAGTCATCGTAATCCAATTCTACGATAACTCGGAACCGCCCGTACGCTGGCCGAGAGGCCTTCCCTCGCACAATCCGCTTCTTCTTTACGACCATCGATTTCAACGGGCGATCCGAGGACGCATCGCTGTCCGCCTTGTTCTCGCTCTCGCTCTCGTCTGCGTATTCCTCGTCGTTCAAATTTGCCCTGCGAGTCTTCGTAGCGCGTCCGGTCCTCCTCTTCGGTGGAGGAGTGACCTCTTCCTCATCAATCTCGTCCTCGCCTGCCGAATCGGGAACGACGAACGAGCGCACAGCACGCGTCTTCCGCGGGCTGAACGGGAGGTCGCGCGCGATCTTTTTGTTCGCGCCTGCCGCGGCAGCGCGCGTGCTCCGCCGCTTGACCGGGCTGGGCGAGCGGTCGTCTGAGTAGTCGGACTCCATGCTGCGCGCGAGCTCGTCGGAGCTGGAGGAGGATGACTCTCTCGCTGCCTTATCCTGCGTCTGCTTCTGGTTGCCGCCGACCTTGATGACCATCCTTATGCGTGAACCGGGGTGGACGTAGTGCGCGGAGGGGTCGAATGGGGCGAGGTTGCCCTTTTCTTTGTCTTGCTCTGTGTGTTTGTGGCGTTTGTTGGATGTTGAAGTTGCTGAGTAAGGTGAGACGTACCGTACTGGGTCACCAAGTCGGGATGCCGACTCTTGAATTTCTTTGCGGGGTACTAAAATAGAAGAATGTGAGTGTGCAGTTCAGTACGGCAATGAATATATGATTGTGAAAGGATAGAATTTGCAACGTGTCTTCCTAAATACGCCGCTGCTAGCCTGCCTGCCTTGGACGTGATGCACACCTCTCCGTGCCAAAGTAGGTTACTCCATAGCACTGAGAGATATACTACGCATAGGGAGCAACAACCTGGTATGAGACATCTGCTTGGCGTGGCTACAGGACACGGCATGGTCGCAGACAACCAAGGGAGACAGCCCGCCTCAGCACCTCGCACCTGCAAAAATTAAGCCCATGCGTCGATGTTGCGAAACGGTCGTATATGAAGCCAGCATGTCAATTGTATGAAGCCACAGTTCGTGCCCGCCTCTTTCTAAGCAGCATAAACTTACTTTGTAAGCGATTCCATCAGCGCACCGCACATAGTAGGATAGACCAACGTCCCCCTTATATTCACCGAGAATGCGGTCAAGCTCCCTGTCGTCAGGTTCAGGATCGGAGGGCACGGGTAGGTCGGCGACGTCTCGATACAACGCCTTCTGCTCCGGTGTCAGAATCGGGACATCAACATAGAATTGTCGGCGAATAGATTTGCCCACAAGATGCACCGGATTAGATGGGGTGGATGCGCCATGCGAAGACTGACGCGGACTGGACGGGCCAGCTGCGGGAAGGTTGAGAAGGGGAGGGTCGGGGACAACGGGTGAAGAGGGAGGGTCCGAGAGAGGCTCAGACATGGTGAGTGTATTTGTTACCAGTATACAGTCGGCCCAAGTGCGACAAGCAGCGCGTCTGGGTGGATAGGGACGCGTCTGAACGCGGCGGGCAGAGAACGCGTCGAGAAATTGACAGACAAGCACTCCGCGCGCGACCGCGATGCTTGCCCTCGTTTGTTCTTTTCCCACGGGCGGTTCGCGAGCCTCGTGCGAAGACAACCGCATCAGCTGCAAAATCGTTGCACACAGCCTCACACTCATGCCCAGGAGAACCGGTGTGTATGAGTCGAGGACACCTCAAGCTTTTCTGCACTCGCTATATCGAAACCCACCAGACGTTCTCTGTGCTGGCTGTGGTGGGGGAAAACACCTGTGACTCAGTACGTATCTGCAGCTGCAGGTTTACATTTCTTAAGTAGCACTCAGTTTGTCTTAAAACAGCACGCTTCAACTCCAATATTTCCTTACATTCCTATTTCTCAAGGACGGAGAGGACGATTACCGGCAAAATCGTACCATTCAAGCCAGTAGCTCTCTTCTGCCTTTGGTTTCTCCTCCGAGTCCTTACCTGGGCAATATGTTAGCCTCACGCACGCTTTTTGCAGTAGGGACAAAGCTCCAATGAAGTTTTCTGGGTCTATCCTTCCTGGAAACAGAAGCCCTACTTTCCGGTTAACCAAATTGCCTTCCCAATTCTGTCGGCAACTTCTGTCGCATGGATCATCATGTTTATCCGAACCACTCATTCAATCAAGTCAACAGAGACTCTGGGATCACTCGTTAGGCACTCTCGTGCCTTTGCCCCCGACCTAGGATGGAAACTTGCTATGACCATAGCGGACTAGGCTGACGTCCGCCGACTTGAGATACATTAGCTCGGTCGTTCCCTATTTTAGTGTAGTCTTGATTCTGTTCCATCGCCAGACTACACCCGCAGTCGAAGCGGTGTCATCGGACGACGTCCTACCTTGCCCAGAATTCTTGTGAAATGGTACTGACAGGTTCATGTAACGGTGCTGTGCGATCCGGGGAACTCTGATGTGTCGAAGCATTCGTCATCACTGGGCAAAACTGTATGCAATGAAGTGCATCTAGTGAGTGAGCCGCAACGCCACTACTCCGTGCCTAACCCATGCCTGCCCGGATCTTCGTCACCCTGGCTGGGTATAGAGAGATTACTCTCAAGAGCTTACTACCTTCACTCCTCTCTTCTGCCAGAACGAACGGAGCAGGGTCAACATTTGGTAAGAATTTTGTGTTTTTTTGAAACCCCTGCCGCGTAATGTTTCGCTCAGTCGGATTTTCCAGTTCTCTAGCCACCATTCGCTACGCCGCTCACATGAACTCAAGATCAGCTTTCTTACGCAATCTGGCGATGAACGGCAGTCGCACCAGCACATATACGTGGAATTTCCTACTCGCAACAGCTGGGGTCGTAGCCGCGCAGTCTGGCAGCGACGCCCGCTCCTTTGCCGCAGCAGTTCAGAATATCAATGGCATGAGCTCCATATTCTCGCTCATCCCCGTCCTCACAGGCAAAGTGCAGAACATTAAGCTCATCGCGGCGCGTACATTTCCAGGCTCCCTAGCACTGGCGGGCCTCGGTGCGGGGCGCGTGCTGACGAAGCTGCAGGTGGGCATGTTGCTCTTCAGCTGCGAGCTGTACCGCAATGTCGTGGGCGAGTTCTCGTACCATCACAACGAATACGTCAACGTGTTCTCCCCGAGCCTCATCCATATTCCCACCGGCACCCCGGAACGCCATGCGTCGAATGTGATCATTAATCATAACCCGTCTGAGGATTATATGGTCGAAGCGTGGTTCCAGACGCAAGGACGCCCTGCGCAGGTGGAGCTGTACCAGACAGGCAATGAACGGACCTTCCTTGGCATGCTCGCGTACATGCTGATCTACTCCGTCGAGACGTTCCTTGGTGTGCGCACAGCAGCCACTGGGACCGGGATAGTGTTGATAGGCATGCAGGCAGCTGCAGCGTTATCCTGGATATGTGCCATCTGCGTCCTGCAGAGGTGCCGAGGACAGGGCAAACGCTTTATCGAGCTGAATCGACTCGGTAGCTCGGAATATCGCTGCTTCAAGCTCGTAACCCAGGGCCATAATGTGCATAGCGCGGTGTTCAGTATACATCTGAACAACCTGCAGGAGTTCAATATTTTCAGATCTGAATATCAGACCAGAAGTCTGAAATTTGTGGGTGCAGCCATTCTTGTCAGCGCAGTCATTGATGCCCTGGCGACCATCCTGCTCGTCGGTCTGAACTCGTGGGCATATGGCTGGCTTGGATACCAGTCCGTCATTTTATTCGCGAAGGTGGTTTTCAGCTTAGAGCCTCTGCGAGAAATATCCATCAAGCGTGTCTGGCCAATGGTGAATTGCTCGCATCCTCTGCAGCCTGAGCGTGCATCGCGTCTGCGCAATGTCCGGCTGCCGATGACCGTGAACTCTGCACCCGAATTCACGTTCCTGGAGGTATGCATAGGAAAGAACATTGTGGTGGAGCAGGCGACGAAGAGGCGCTGGCAGTCGTGCACCCCCGGGCTCTACATAGGACAGCCCTATTTCAGTGGCGAAAAAGAGTGTGCAAGCAGCCTGTCTGTCTCCATTGTGCGCTACCTCGCGCTCTCCGAGGGGAAGCTCACTCTTACTGTCGACGAGCCTGCCAAGGAGAAGAATCAGGCGCTCCAGCGGGAGTTCCTCGCCTGCCTCGCGGAGGTGACGAAGGCAAACAAGGTCCCCAGCTTGGAGTTCGTGCTTGCTGTGGAGACGACTATGCGCGGAGTACGGCAGACGATGGATGCGCAGTGGTTCGCGTTCGGGACCAAGGACCTTGTGCAATATTTGGAGACATGCAAGACCGCAATAATTTGGCGTAGCGTGATATGATTCCCTCTCATTCGGATACCTTTAATCTTGTATATCCAATATCTATTACCTTCGTAATCTTCTAGCACACGCGTACGTAGACATTTTCAAGACGATTACAGTACGGCTCGATATTGATTGATGTGGAGTCGGTACTTTGGCGCGTGTCTTACGTAAGAGGTGGCATCGAGGCCGAACTTGAGCTTCAATTTAAATCTTGAACTCAGGCTGCTCAGTCGGATGGCTTGGTAGTTGGTACGTGCGCTTCCTAAGTGCTTGATAGCTGGGCTACGGAGTGGAGCATGCACGGCTCACTAAGATAGCACGTTTGCCGTGCAATGTAGAGTGCTAGTCTTGCGGGTTGGGGAGAGGTGGATTCCGGCGGCGGCTCAAGCTCGGAGCAGGCTGCAATAGGCGCCTCACGGCACTGCGACGGCCCGAGAAGTCAGCGGGCGACCGGCAGCGGAGGGGCGAAATGCGAGGGAGCCTGAGCGGAGAGATTCGCGGAATCCAACTCGAGCGTGAAGCGGCGGAAAGTCGTTGAGAACACGGCTAACCACCCAAGGAGCGCAGCCCACAACAGTCGTGGCTCAACGTGAGCCCGCCGACTTCCCCAACCCAGGGCTAGCGTTCCGCAGCGAGAGATCAGATCAGAATGACAACATGCATTACAGCATAGACAACATGACAGCAGTGGAGAAGCATTACAGCGAGAGCAAAACTACAGTTGCAAGTATGGTAGACTACAGAGAGTACTTCTTCTTGAAAGAGTCCATAGCAGTGGAAGCCAGTTGCAAACGAGAAGAAGTAAACGACCGCGAGATGAAGAGAGGTAAAATAGACTCAATTTTTCGCCAATACTCGAGAAAAGCGCGTGATTTCCAGCTACCCTGCGTCGCGACCACATCCGGATGGGTACCGCGAAGCAGAAGCTCGGTCGCTCCTCCGATGCGAAAGCAGTGTCCTGTGAGGTGCTCAAAGCCGGCTGCTGCCCAGGCCGCATTGGCGCGATTGAGGAACCAGTCGCGGGTCATCGGCACCCAACCCGCCGTGTCGCTCGTTTCGAACGCGAAGAAGGGAGCATGCGCGGGGACACGGGCATTCGCCTGCAGATGGTGGCGCAGGGCAACGACGGCAGAGCTTGGGTCGCCGAATTCGGTGGCAATGATGTCGGCGCCGAGTTGCTTAGTCGTTTTGGTCCAGGGCACATGGAAGACAGCGTACTGCGTGCCTCCCGGTAGCGTGCGATATGCAACGGAAGCTGAGCGCGCGACGTGCTTCACAGGGTCGAACGCGCCCACAGAAGGAATGACCAGCTCGCCAAGCCTGTAGAACATCAGCGGAAGAACAAGGAGTGACCAGACGGCGCGTGCGTACCGACGACAGCACCAAAACGCGACACATGCTACCACATATACCGCGGCATCGAACGAGTCGGAGAGGTCAAGGTTGGCACGTAATGCGTACAGGTGCTCGACCGTGACGGGCGCCCGCTTCTCTTTCGAGGCTGGGGCAGACTTGGAAATAGCTGAACAAGTTACCCGGAGCATTTTTGCACCTTGCCATGGGGCGCCATGCAGTGCATGCCAGAAAGAGAGGCCCACCACCCAGGTGTCCACTGTTGAGCGGGCCACGCGCCCGCTCCACTGCGCAACAAAAGCGGCTAGGAGCGGCTCCGCCGCAGGCATGCGAAGGTCTTCGGAGATTGCAAGGCAATCACAAAACTGGGTAAAGCACAGCAGCCCTGCACCGTAATTCTTCCGAGTGCCAGGGTCAAGAGAAGTGAGCATGACATTAAAAAGATGTACCGAAGTTGCCGAGGAGGTCTGTGCAGATAGAGAGGAACGAAAGTGAACCGCATGTGGCGTGGTCCAGAGCGCAAGGCGATCACGTGCAAGAACGTGAGGACGGAAAAGAGAGGGGACAATTTGGTTTTCAGAACGAGGCTTTCTAGGTTTTCGCCGAGCCAGTGTTCGCGATGACGGGCTGATCTGCGCTACCCCAGCCTGGGCAGCATCAGACCCGTCACACCGGGTCGACACGCTCGCATGTGCAAGCGCAGGAAGCGATGAGGTCGTGTTATACATTAGTGAGAAAGGCTGCGAGCTCAGCAGGGAGCTGGAAGGAGAGCTGACGATGGGACATCGAGGGATTCGGGTCACCGCGAGAGACCGAGTCCGCCAAGTTGTCCTTGGTGTTCACATAGCGTATGATGAAGAGAATATTGAGAGACATGGCGATGACCTCTGTACGACGGATGGAGGTGTTGACCTGATGATTGCGGCTGCGACCGCGAGCAAATGCGCCCTCGACGCCCTTGTTGTCGCCGCGAACAAGAATAGTCGCATCACGATGGCCGAGTGCTTCTATCGTTCGAACAGCGAGCTCGACGGCCACCATCTCAGCCCATCCGATGTCACGACCATCACCCTTCCATGCATCGGCCTCTCCCCGCCATCGCCATGCACTCCACTCACCGGATATGATGATTCCGATGCCCCAGGAGGAGGAGGCATCAACCCAGATGCCAAGATCCTGCAGCGGACCACGGGGTGTGAGCGAACGAGTGACGTTTGGCACGTTGAGGATGTGGAGCCACCACTTCATGTCCGAGAGGACAGAACGTGGTGCGAACCGGGGGGCATAGCGATTGGTGAAGGCAGCAATGAAACTGCAGAGATTAGTGAGGAAGGCACGGCCATGCGGGTAGACAAATGTGATATGGGAAAGTGTGCCATTGATGGACATGGCGTCACGTTGTAACACCCGCCCGCGCTCGACAGTGGCGATGAATGCAGTGAGTTTTGCCAGGTATTTCGCGCGCTTCTCCTCGGGCAGGGCGACCGATCGCTGGCCAAGGTCCCACAGGAAACCGCTGTATATCGCACAGGATGCATAGTCGGAGTACTTGGTCCGATGCCAGGGGACGCCCAATGGATCAGTGATGCGGAAGATATCAGCTAATCCGAGTGCGTACTCATATGCGCCAGAGATGCTGCATTGGTTGGTGGGAAAGCGAAAGGTGATGAGGTCATCAACCCACTTGTGCGAAGGCCCGATATCATTTGCATCGAGAATGTCTATGATGGCGTCCATCGGCTCGCCTTGCACGCCAGTCCCAGATGAGACTCCAAAAGGGAGGACGTGATCGACATAAAAATCACCCGGATCACACTGGATAACAAGGAAAGGCTTGTGCGCAGGTTTGATAGGCAGATTGCGGAATGCGGAGTCAATATCGAGGCACGCAGCTTGCGCACCGGCAGGTGCGTTCATCAGCAAAAGCGGGAAATTTTTATGTAAGGTTACACCAGTTACATCGGGGTAGCAAGGGTTGTGTAAGTTACACAGGACTAGTAATATTTAAACTGATTTGTAATCAAAGTAAAGGTAGTAGAGGTCTATAAAGAAGATAACATAGAACAGAAATTGATACACAAGTTAGAACAAAAATACATGTCGACAAAGAGTTGTCGAGCGATGTAACCCAAGTCAAACGTTGCTCACCAGGTTACACAGTCGAAAGAACTTCTAGACGCCTAGCGCTCTCCGCAGAACTCGCTCCGAGTTGCTCTTGCATCGTTCATATTCAGGCCCCCGGATACCGCACCAAATGCAAGCATTAAGGCAAGGCTCTTGTCCAGGCCACAGTGAAAAGATCCGAAGTTGTTTCGAGGCAATTCTGAGGCAATCTGAGGCAATTCTGAGGCAAGTCTCGATGCATCGCGACTACCGTCCGCCGACAATTCTCGCCACCCTCACTCGCGTATAAATTCGCAGCATCTGCCACTGCAATGTGCCTGCCAGGTGAGTGCCGTTACACGCGGCTAACTGTATCGCACAGGTGATACCGGGCTGTTGTTGCGCGCAGCTTGGTTGGGCTCCCGTGGTTGGAGCGACACGCGGTGCGTTCTATTTCAATCTCTATTGTTTTATGCCTGTGGGCGGAAATGTAAGTGTGTTGATTCCTAGTGTTGGTTGTTACAGCGGTACGTGGGTGTTGGTGCGGTAAGTAGACCTAAATACTTGTTTGTTATGGCGGCACGCGGGTTTTGGTGCAGTGAGTAGGCCCAAGTGGTTCTAATGTAGAGCACTTTGTACGTGTTGTACCGCTGTAATATAATATGTTGACATAATTTGGAATACTTTGAGAGTTATGAAACCGATCCGAATGAATCGGTTTCGGTCTGTTTAGGACGGTCTGTGCCTACGTGCTACAAGTGCATAATAAATTTTGCAGGAAGTTATATGAGCTTCATAACCTGTAAAATGTTTCCAGAGTTTATAACTGATTATGCCAGTTGGCAACTCTGCAATCTGACTCAGGATTACAATGCAATGTATTGCTTGGTGAAAAAATTGCACAAGTTACGTGGGATTACACCTTTATAATCTCTTTGGAGAAAATTCCCGGTTTTGCTGATGTTAGCGATCTGGCAAGCAGGAGTTAGCGTTTGCGGCAGTGGACGTGTTCCGAGTCTGCATGTGCAAGCGATAACAAGTCGATATCCCGCGCACCGGGCATGAATCGAGTAGACAGCGGTCTCCCGTGCACTGGGCAATGACCGTGAACAGTGATCTCCCGCGTGCCAGGCAATGACCAAAGAATAATGATCTCCCGCGAACCGGGCAATGATCGAGCGCAGAGATCTCCCGCGTACCGGGCAATGATCTCAGCGGAGCAGCCTCCCGCGCACCGGGCATCGACTGGGAAGATATTGAAGAGGGACTCACGATTTCTGCCACCTCGGCTGCAGTGCCCCATTTGGTGGGAAAATCATCAGAGTTGATCTGACTGTTGACGGAGACTCCGAATTCGTCCTGATAAGAGCAGTTTTGCACAAGACAGAATTTTTTCGAACCGGCCTTTGGGACAACAGCAAGTGGGGAAGATACGAAGAAAGAGCCCAAAATATGCTCTACCTGAGCCTGCGAATATGGGCCAGTCATGCGGCCAAGAGAAACCTGCTCGGAAATATATTGGCGGATGAAATCGATATGTTCAGCGCCAGAGGAATGGTTTGGAGGAGCAAAAGTGCGAAGAAGAGGATTGAAGTCACCAATTGGGAAACCGTAACGTAATTTTTGTGGCAAGAGAGGGTAGCGCTGGAACAGGCCGAGCATGCGAAGAGTGTACTCGAAGGCCTCAGCATCGTATGGTGTGATAATGTGTTCACGCTCCGAGGCACCGCTTAGTCGCAGCGGCATGACCGTCGGAACCGCAGAAGGAGCAGACGTGTCCACCGGTTCCGGGACAGTACATACCTCGACAAGGCATGCGGCCGTGTTGGACGTTCCATGTGAGGCAGATCTCCACACGTGTGGAGATGGCGAGCAGCTTCTTATTTTCCCAGACGGTGAATGCGGGCTTGCCGTTCGACATGGTTGATCGCCCGCACTGACTGGCCCGATGTCCACTCTCACCGCAGATGAGGCAGAGCATGCTCGTGGACGCAGATGCTCTGCCTTCACGAAAGGGCTTGGCAGTGGAATCTGCCGCACCATCGCGGCGCGGGCGACGTGAATCGGGGGAATGTGACGGCGTGCGATAGGGGGTTTGAGACGAACCGACAATAGGGCCCGCGGGAATAGGAAGTGCGCATCGAGAACCCTTTTCGATATGCTCCAGGCGGATTTTGAGAAAGTGGTCATTGTAGCTCTTCGAGCCGACAACGAAGGTTTTCTTTGTGAGGAAATAACCGCGACGTACATCGATATCGAATGCAAGGATTACCGGAAAGATCCTTTTGAAGTCGCTCTGCTCAGATAACCACATGTGGTGTTCCGAGAAGCGCTTGACAATCTCGCCGTCGCATACACCTGGCAGAATTTCGAAGTAATTGCGCCAAGCATCGCGCCATTCCTCGGGTCCCATAGCCTGTTCGTCGGGCCACTGTGCAATGTCAATTAGAGCCCTCTTGATCCCCTTCCCATCGTGCATCTTGCGATACTGGACCTGTTCCGGGTGCTTGTGCATCTTGGTCATCACCTCGGAAGTGCACATGGACAGAGGGAGATGGAACTCGTTCCTTAGGAGTGCAGGAAGTTCCTGGGGCATCTCGATAACTCGGCCCGCGAAGAGATCGGCCTTGCTCTCGGAATCTATGGTGATCAGTGCATTCTCACTGCTCTTGCCACCATTCCCTACGGAGGCCTCTGTCCGAGTGCCAGCACCGCTCCACTTCTCAACACCCGCATTCCACAGTTTTAGGGCGATGCCCCGAGTATTCGGAGTCATTTTCATAACATCCCGAAGCAACTGCATATCATCGGTGTTGCTCTCCGGTGTCCTGGGCCGCGAAGGCATGCCTGCAGGCGTTGCCGACGGTTCCTGGGAGTCTAACTGACCCGGAGATGTGCCATCTGATCCATCCAACATTCCCAGCTCCTCGTCATCACTGACGCCATCTTCTCCGCCCTGTCTACGTACTGCCCTAGCCGCGTTCCGGGCCTGCCGCTCCCGGTTTTCCTGAAACAAAGCCATCTGGGCCGGGTTGGGCAGGCTCGCGGTGCCTCCACCTGATCCAGACTCATCGGGAAGGAACGAAGACAAATCCTTACCGCCAACGCTCGGGGGAGGTCCTTGGGACGGCATTTGTTACAGATCGGCGGAGATCGTGCGTGTGGAAACACCAGAATGAAAACGAGTGAGAGGCTGTAGGTGCAGGAGGAACAGACTGGCGCTTACGGCGCCTATTCCTCCGCCTTCAGCCTCTCGCTTAGTAAGCACTAGTTTGACTTAGCGCTCGCGAGCTCGCTACTAAGCCAAACTCCACGCTGCGCTAACGATGGCTGTTCCAAATCGACCGGCAACACATACAGCTCAAACCCAACTTCGTCCAAATGTTACTGATGATTATGAGCGTAAGTCCGCAAACCATTTTCTGTACTGTCATCTTCATCTGGAATCCAGGATGGTATACTGAGTCGGCTCCCAACAACCGGATGTTGCTGTCTCTCCGCTCCGGGATCGATTCTGAAGTCACTTGGGCTCTGGACCGTCTCTGTCGACTATGCAACAACGAGCAGTTTGTGCTGAGGGCCATACCTGGACTCACGGACGCGCTGTTCGAATGGCCGGATTGGTATGTGGGCAAGGGCGGAGAAGAGTGCACTCGGATGGCTGCATTATTTGCTCTTCCCCAGGATCTAGAGAAGATGCAGCGACACGCTCTTGAATCGCTTTTCGTGCTTCGTAACTCGGCCGTCAACGAACCCAATGCAGACGAACTGTCTGGCCACCAGCGGACGCGCGCGCTTATCCTGCTGGCTTTGCATAATGTCAAACCTGATTCAGACGCGAATACTGAATTTTTACTATATATAATCGAACTCCTTCAGGCCATCGCCCCTACCTCGGTCTTGCCACCTCCGGATGCCCCAGCTACGGCCAACCCGATACCCCCGTTGCGAGAACTTGCAGGCAGCACGTCCAATCGCTCCTTGATCATTGCATCTTTGTCCACTCTCAGCATGATTTTGTCAAATCCTCCCAATCTGGTCCATTTGACAGAAGATTCCTCTGCGCTGAAAGCGGCCATCAGAGTCTTGCCACTATTCGTAGACAAACCTTTGATTGAAGCGGCAATGAACTACCTCTACACGCATCTGTCGTATCCACCGATGTCCAAAGCTTTCCTTCTCCACCCGCAAATGCCAGCCACGATGAAGTTACTGGTATCTTTTATCCTCTCAGAGCAAATTGAAGAAATAGTCTCAGTCGGAATCGGTGGTCCCGTGCATACTGCTCTGGCTCAGGTAGTTTCTACGAAAGATCACGAATTAACACAGGAGGAACTGGACAGACTCGTTCCTATGCCCGAACCGCAGCGGTGTTACGAATGGTATCATATTCCCCCCATCGGTTCGACAGCCATACATATTAAAGTGACTTTTCTACCAGGATGAAAACGATGTTCGTCGCCAAACCTGATGGTGAGCTGACGCAAGTGGATTTCTGGAATTTGTACAAGGACGTCTTCACCCCATATCAAGACCGGTACCATCTACTGGTGGCATCAGACGTCATTAAGAATGTCAATCTTGTCTTCACGCAGGCGCAGGCAATGGTTCTTCCTGGTCCCCCCCAACGCTTTGTTGTGCGCGGCGTGGATCGGCGAAAGGAACTATCAGCCATGGAACAATTCAGGTGTCTGTGGGACCGATCACAATGTTCTGCAGCTGTATTTGGATCCACCGGAGAGCTGTACGAGCACATCTTGCAGCAGCATATCAACACGCATGAAGGCTCTGAGTTGTCTTGCTCGTGGGCCTCGTGTACACATCCGCCTCTCACGAGGGCACATATACGCGGGCATGTCCTCACACATCTGCCAAACATGCAGGAATCTCCGCGGGATCCGTCCCAGAGCGATGTGATTACACTTCCGTCGGAGGACTTCCCACATCCAACGAACGACCCGACCACTCGTCCTGCTCCCCCACCGCGCTCACCCAGCATCAATTACAAAAGGCCAATTGTGGATCCGCCTTCCAGCGCGTTGACAGCGCTGCTCTGCATGAGGTTGCTGTTCCGTGCGTCCTTCGCATCGTCTGACGCGGCACCGCGTGTCGACGAAGATCACTTCGGTTTTCCTGGGGTTGTAGAGGAAACAGAAGACAAGGAAGCTGCGATGGAACTCAGCGGAGGAACCGAAAGTGAGAAAGAGGGAGAGAGGAGAGGGCGGAAGGCATTTATGGGTATTCGACACTTGTTGGAGGGTGTGCGGATACGAGACGATGCACTTATGGGGTGGATCACCGAGATGGTGGACGCAGGGATTACGGGGACGACATGACCTTTACCGGTGCATGTGGTGCTATGTGAAGGCGGTCGTGAACTTGCTCGATCGCCAGGTGCAGGCGTAGCACTTGGCCCACTCCACCGGTCGCTCACTCTGTCTGCCAAAAGTTCTCCCAGTACTAGTTGGCACCGTTCAGAGTATGTATAAGGGTTAATGTCGTCCTGTCCTTTCCATCAAGTTGCTGTTTTATGAAACTGTTGGTTGTGTCATAGTATGATAGTATCGTCGCATTCAATAGAAGTATGCCGGGTATCGATCTTCAGGACTCGTATCTAATCTCGTGAATATTTCCGGTAGCCGCTCGAGGACTGATTATTGCTGTTTTCAGAAGTCTTGTCGCGCGGCCAAATACGCACAAATTTCCGCCTGAGCGACCTCCTACTTCGAACGCAGATATCTCCTCAACGGCAGGGCCGTTTCTCTCGATTCTTGCATTTTTGGACTCTCCTCGTCAGCGCGCAGGGCATGGTATCAAGAAACATACATATTCGGACCGTTCAATACTCGCGGATCTGGTGGTCGTCACACTAGCTCAGAACCGACTTTGCGTGCGGCAGGCAGTCCCAGTACTGGAGAAATTGTTCTGAGAGGACTTCTTAGGATCATAGAGAGGGCATGGTATGCAATTTGAAGGTAAGCATGTCCTGATTCTCACTGTGGGATCCAATCTGTGATCATAGCACTAGGACCCCATTACCAGATGGTCAAAAACATTCCCCGGTTTGCATTTTTCATGTCTTACATATTCTATGTTGATATCTGGATGGTTTTAAGCAAGCAGCAGATGGTAGAAGGCACTCAGAATGGTGGAGGTCATGCTGCAGTTGGTATGATACTCAAGCCCTTGAATCCATTATTCCCCATCTTCAGCACTGTCATCCTTCATTCCTGATGCACACATGAATCCTATATGTAGTCTATACACAAAATACACTGGAATCATTGACAGTAGCATGAGTTCTGTAACCTCCCAATATGTGCTATGCAGTCTGAGATAAATCACATACAATCCAGATCCTTTCAGACCACAAATGCATATCCCTGCCCTGCCTAGCATACTACCAGAGAGCCTCCACCACCTCCTGATGTTCTCCAACCCATCCAACGATGACAAGCTCACTTCTGAGCCAGAAGGAAGCTGCCGAAAACAGTGAACAGATATAGCAGAGAAAGGGTATATCTGTTGGTACCATGCCCTGCGCGCTGACGAGGAGAGTCCGAAAATGCAAGAATCGAGAGAAACGGCCCTGCCGTTGAGGAGATATCTGCGTTCGAAGTTAGAGGTCGCTCAGGCGGAAATTTGTGTGTATTTGGCCGCGCGACATGACTTCTGAAAACAGCAATAGCAACTCTGTATGTTGTCCGCGCATCGTGAGTCTGTGGTGTTCACCTCAAAGTTCGTCACGACATACAATAAGCTGTTCCAGGCAAGCATTCTAGCAGGTTGCATTCCTATTTCGCCCTGAATTGTCAATTGTGCAGGGTCTTTTACCAGGGCAGATTGCTCCAAACCAAGATGAAGACAGCTTCTGGTCCAACCTCTTCGAACTGGACGTAGACCAACAGTTTCTCTCGAATGCGCTATCCAGGATCAACAGGAGCGATTGCTTGGGCCGTTTGAAGGTGAGTAGGACGGTGTCGTTGCAGACCTAGCAGCTAAATGTAACTGCCGTGATAGTAGCCGGTCCTCCATTCAATAACCACATCGTGTCTGCGAATTGCGCGGACCGCACAGCATGAGGATGTCAAGAAGGTCCACGCCTTGGAGACACTCTCGGTACTCAGTCGGCATCTTCTGGGCAAAAATCTAGCCGGATGGGAGATCATGGAGGTGTTCGCAGGTGGGGTTGGCCAGAGTGATCAAGTCTTCAACGTCAGTGCGATGTTCAAAGGCATCTCAGACTTCGTTTACACGTTATTGCATCTCAGGACCTTACAGCTACAATTGAAGAGATCCTCAGCGACACTGTTGCTCCAGGTACATTTAATGCTCATGGGTGCTGCATATCCGTGTGACACATATTTCCTCTCAGCTAGTCTCCGTCACCAAGTGCTCCAGTTGGCTGTTATCTTCGTTTGCGGCGTGAACCAGCTGAGCGTCGGAGCCTATTTCCTGCGGCGTGATCTCTTTCCATGCATCGCTACCGTATGTCTAATCGAATCATGACATTCGTGTATGCACAGCTCACTCTACTCCGACTACGCATAGACTATCACTTCCCCAGAAACGGAACAGTATAGTTTCGAAGCTGTTCTGCTGCTGTCGTTGCTAGCGAACTTCCACAAATCGGACGCAGCGAAGCTCAATCCGTATCTGGCACGTATCAGAGACACGACAAACACTGAGCTCATGAAGAAGATTTGCTGGGTCTCGAACTTCGCTGCAGATACTGTTGTAAAGTGAAGGCGCTCCGCATATTGCTTATGCAGTCGTTCATTCATTTCTCTTGGCCCAGGTCGTACCAATCCATATCGGATGACTCACCGGCAGCGTTGGGATCAACAATAGGGTCATTATTGACATCCCTGCGTCCTGACCGTGCTTTAGCTTCCACTCCGGTAGATCCTCCTCGGGAGCTATTCAAGCAGCAGTGCGTTCGCTCCCACCAATACTTGAGTACTGACACTCAATTCAATCTAGACCTATCGAAGCTTGTGTAATTCTCTTACCTGTGTTTGAATTTCTCAGCGCCAATGAAACTTTCCGTCGCGTGCTTGCAGAAACTCCAGAGACCGATTCAGATAAAATCACCTCGAGAATCGCACCTCTCCCATATACCCTATTGACACTCTCCTCATACCTGTTGACCCATGCATCTTCCACTTCATCTCCACGTGCAACAGCATACGCCAACCTAGCGTTGAACACCCTCCTTGTCATGGCCGAGAGGAAAGAGATACTAAGCAGTCTTTGCATGAACAAGGCGGATATTAGATTATGTCGCCAGGTATGTGGACAATTAGATCTCGCTGTACCAGTTTACAATAATGGCATAATAGAGGCTCCCGCTTCTACCTTTGTCGCCTGCAAGGGCTCCTGTGTGTGCACTACTGGACTGTTCTGTATTATGGCTGCGTCATAACCTGCATAAGCGGCTGGAAGTGTACTCTTATATGTGCGTAAGGAAAGGGAATCGTCGTGTTTGATCGTCTCTAATCCGCAATTTTATGCAGTACGTGCGTCCGGGTTTGCTACCGGACCTTGTGGTTCTTGCAGAAGGAACGCGTTCACCTAGGTGAGACACCTTGCCGTGTCCTATTTTCTGTGACCCTTACCCAGCACAGACTACCTCTGGCAGGACTTCTGGAGAGCTCTTATTGGCTTGCTCGATTTCTTGGCGAACAAGTTGGATAGCTTGATTACCACGGGCGGCGTAGAGCGGCTCGTACAAGAGGTATATGACACCGCTCTGGTCAGAGAGATCTATCGCTCAAATTGTTCACAGACGCTCATTGTCCTAGACCTTGCATTGTATCATTCAGATAGTATCTTGCCAGATCCTAAAGCCGTACATGAGTTGGTTGTACGTCTATGTCTGTGTGATTATTGGTCTCCGGCTGATGCATCTCCTAGTACGAGGTAGTCCGTTCAACCGCCGTCTTCGCGAAGCAGAAGACGATGCTGGAAAAGATAGCTCTTCCTCACCCACCGACGCGGAACGGGGCGGCTGACCTAAAAGACCATGCGACTGAAGCTCTGGCGAGCATCATCACGTTGACCGACTACTACGAGGCCAAAATTCGGGATGCGGGAGCACCGTCAGCTAACCGCGCCCTGCGCATCGTGGCAAGTGAAATCGACAAAGATGGCCTTGTGTACAGCAACCACACTCATGGTGCCGAAGAGCCACCGTGAGTGCCTTCCTTTGATATTGCCACCGTACCTTGTGGCTTACCTTCTCTCATCCTGTCCCAGGAAGCAGCCTGAAGAATTTGTTGGATTCATTCGCTATGCTTATACAGATGGCATGGCGTTGATGCTTTAAATGCTGTACTGCTGATCCTCGGTGAATGAATAGGTTCTGTGCATGCTGTACTTCAGTGTTACATATTCACGCATTGGATTCTGGCTTCTGGAAGACTCGCAGCCGGTATACCAAACTTGAGGTTATGAGCTGGAAATGATCACCTTTGAATGCACTGAGTTCAAAATCTATGTTGATCCTTATTGCACAGTATATCAGAGCTAGTAGCAGAATGCAAGATAGACATCGTTGATGACTTTCTTGGGGAGGAGCATCAAACTTGAACAAGTTGTTGAGGATCGACGTTACATCTACATAAGGCAACTGAGGCGGAAGAGCGACGGAGCCGAGTCAGGTGAAAAAGTTTTTTCACCAGAACTCGGGCCAGACTCGCGCGTACTCGTCTCCGTTTGCCTCACTGGGCGCACAACGCTTGCAGCCTGCAGAAATTCGAGCTTGCGCAAAAGTATCAGCAACCACTATGGGTTTTGATCCAACACCAACACACTCTTTTACTGTGAAAACGCCTCTGTTTGAATTTCTACAGGTGTTCTATGCCTCCGAGAGCCGCGATGGACCATTGACGGAGCGCCCGTGGTGGGAGGGCCCGTAGAGTATATAAAGCGTCCAGACGATAAGCAGAACTGTTACTCGGTGAATGGCTCGGTGAATACACGATTTTCGTTTATTTCTCAAGTAGTTCAGGCGGTCCCTCTCAACCACATCGCCACTTGCTTGCGAGGAGGAAGGTCGCCAAATGGCGGCATTCCGTTGTATTTCTCGCGCATGTCTTGGTTCAGCTCGGCCTACTCTGTGCACTCGCTCTGCTCTCGCCGCGACGCGTCTCGCGCGAGGTCTTGCCACCGCGAAACCGCCCTCTTCGTTTGCTGCGTTAGACACGTTCGTTGACCGCCATATTGGCCCAGACGACCATGACGTCTCCTATATGCTCTCGCAGCTCGGTTATGAGTCCATCGATGCGTTCATAGCGGACACAGTGCCTCCTAAGATCAGAATTTCCTCCGCGACAGTGAGCAATGAGTCCATACCCTCCCTCAGCGAGTCCGAGTTATACCGCACCGCGAGAGGCTTGGCCCATGCCAACAAGCCTTTCAGGAGCTACATTGGCATGGGCTATCACAATGCGGTAGTGCCGCCGGTTATTCTCCGCAACGTACGTGTTTTATACTTCGAACTCATGCACACCTCACGCGCTATATTAGATCTTGGAGAGTCCTGCTTGGTATACGCCGTATACGCCTTACCAGCCTGAGATTGCCCAAGGTACGCTTTTCTTCAGTGCCTGTCGCTGAACGTTTGATCTTTAGTTTGACGACGCGTTTATCGCCTCAGGACGTCTTGAGTCGCTTGTCAACTACCAGACAATGGTTATGTCTCTGACGACAATGGAAATTGCGAACGCATCACTTCTGGACGAAGCTACCGCTGCCGCAGAAGCGATGGTCATGGCATATGCTTCGTCCGGTCACAAGAAGCATACTTTCTTCGCGGATAAAGGTGTATCGCCTCAGACTCTGGCCGTTCTCCAGACGCGCGCGAATGGGTTTGGTCTCCGGCTTGTTGTAGGAGACGTATTTTCGATTACCAAGGATGAAAATCTCATTTCGGACCTTTGCGGTGTACTGGTGCAATATCCGGATGTTAATGGCAGCATTAAAGATTACGGTGACCTGGTCCGAGTCATGCATGGTTCGGGCGCATTAGTTGTGGCTGCGACGGACCTTTTGGCTCTGACAGTGCTCAAGCCGCCTGGCGAATGGGGTGCTGACATTGTCCTCGGTAACTCTGCCCGCTTTGGTGTCCCAGCTGGCTATGGTGGTCCTCATGGAGCGTTCTTTGCGTGCACGGATAAACTGAAGCGTAAGATGCCTGGAAGACTTATTGGTAGGAGCCGAGATGTGTACGGGAAGCCCGCGTACCGATTGGCATTGCAAAGTGAGATTTTTTCGTCCTTGATACAGGGTGTAATGTTAACATCTTACGTAGCTCGGGAACAGCACATCCGACGGGAGAAGGCGACGAGCAATATCTGTACCAGTCAGGCTCTTCTCGCCAACATGGCCGCGATGTATGCTGTGTACCATGGTCCCACAGGTTTGCAACGCATCGCGAGCAAGGTCCACGCGCTTACACAAGTGCTGAAATCTTCGGTCGAGGCCTACGGTTACAAGGCGATAAACACAGATTTCTTCGATACACTGACGTTCGACGTGAGCGGTGCCGCGAAGGATGCGGATGCTGTGCATTCAGCAGCTTTGGCCTCGAGCATCAATTTCCGCAAGGTCGATGACAAGCTCGTCGGAGTGACCTTAGACGAGAGTGTCAGGCCTGAAGACATCGTCGACATCACCAACGTCTTCGCGGCAGCAGCATCGGCCAAGCCAATATCGCTTTCTGTCATCGCGCCCGTGCAATCCTCCGCCGTTCCCCAACCCCTTCAACGGACATCGGAGTACCTTCCCCACCAGGTTTTCAACTCGCACCACTCGGAAACAGAGATGCTTCGCTACATCTACCATCTTCAGTCGAAGGACCTCGGCCTCGAGCACGCTATGATCCCCTTGGGCAGTTGCACCATGAAGCTTAACAGCACGAGCAGCATGATCCCTCTGACATGGCCCGAGTTCGGCAACGTGCATCCGTTTGTCCCTGCTGATCAGGTCAAGGGTTACGAACAGTTGATCAAGGTGTGACTGACCGCGCGCATTTTTCTTGCGCATATATTCACATTTCTCTTTCAGGAATTCGAGTCTGACCTCTGTAAGGTCACTGGCTTCCATGCTTGCTCTCTACAACCCAACTCTGGCGCTGCTGGTGAATATGCTGGTCTGTCGGTCATCAGGGCATACCACCAGTCCCGCGGCGAGAGCCATCGCGATATCTGTCTCATTCCTGTTAGCGCACACGGAACAAACCCTGCTGTGAGACAGCTGCTACCTTATATGCGCTGAAGCTGATACATCCCGTGCTACAAAGTCGGCTGTTATGGCTGGCCTCAAGGTCGTGCCCGTAAAGACTCTGACGGACGGCAATCTAGACTTGGAAGACCTGAAGGCTAAGGCTGAGAAGTACAAGGACAATCTCGCTGCGTTCATGGTGAGAGGCAATGTTGGCGTTTTGATCATTTAATTCAACAATCTCCTCAACCTAGATTACATACCCGTCGACGTTCGGAGTATTCGAGCACGGTGTGCAGGACGTCAGTACTCGTGCTCAGACAGCAGGACTTCCTACTGAATGCGTCTTGTGCAGGCTTGCAAGATCATCCACGACAACGGCGGACAGGTCTACCTCGATGGTATAGTTCAGTTCGATTTGCCTCATGGAGTGGAGTATGAATTTTCTCCTAGGTGCAAACCTCAATGCTCAGATTGGCTTGACTAATCCTGCGACATGTGGTGGCGATATTTGTCATATGAATTTGCACAAGACCTTCGCTATGTAAGCATTGCATGGCGCCTTCAGCAGTACTGAACACTCATCCGTACGAAAGCCCCCATGGTGGCGGTGGTCCAGGTGTCGGGTACGCTGATTCGTGGATGCGTTCAGTGAATGATGATTGATGTTTCATTCTCAGACCAATCTGTGCCGCCGAGCATCTCGCACCTTTCTTGCCCGGCCACCCAGTTATTGCAACTGGCGGAGATAATGCAATCAACGCGGTTGCAGCTGCACCGTACGGAAGCGCGTCCATTCTTCTCATCTCCTGGGCATACATCAAGATGCTCGGTGGTGACGGTCTCGCACAAGCCTCAAAGATCGCGCTGCTGAACGCCAACTACATGGCGCATCGCCTGTCCGCACATTACAACCTTCGCTTCAAGAACGGCAACGGCCGCGTTGCGCACGAGCTCCTGCTTGACCTCGCTGAGTTCGACAAGGCTGCGGGCATCAAGGTGAACGACTTCGCGAAGCGTCTTCAGGTATGGCGGTGCTCTCTCACTGTCTCAGATTCGTGGTTGACACTTGCGGTATCAGGACTACGGCTTCCACCCGCCTACATGTTCTTGGCCCATCTCGACGTGCATGCTCATTGAGCCCACGGAGTCAGAAACGTTGCAAGAAATTGACAGGTATGAACACACATTTCGTTGACAGGCGTCGGAATTTATTGCATCACATCAGGTTCTGTGATGCCATGATCCAAATCCGCCAAGAAGTAGAAGACATCATCACGAACAAGCAGCCCAAAGACAACAACGTGTTGAAGAATGCCCCACATCCTGTCTCTATTATCGCCCTCTCTGAAGAGGAGTGGAACCGGTAGGCACATAAGCGATTAGATGGCGCGGCGCTTTTGACGTGCTATCTCCATAGGCCGTATTCTCGCCACCAAGCCGCGTATCCTGTGCCAGGGCTACTGGAGAGGAAATTCTGGCCCACGGTGTCTAGGATTGACGATGGTGAGTCTCATGACTCTGGACTGCGGACAGATTGTTGACGACTGTATTGCAGCATATGGTGATCTGCATCTCATCGTGAGTCATTTCTCCTGCTGTGGACACTGGCAATACTGACGATTGGTCCAGTGCGATTGCCCTTCGGTAGAGGAGCTGGCTGCTCCTTCCCCGTGAGTTGTGTAGACAATCGAAACCCATCTGCCTGTCGTTCTATTCTACTAGATAGACCATTATTCGCCCTGCGTACTGCTCAACCATGCGCATTATTCCTGTAAATTATTGTTTTACATACCCTAGTAATCCACAATCCAATTCAGAGGTTCAGAATACGACTCGCCTCTCCTGGCTCATTTGTTTCCAAAGGTGGGGTAGGTATCGTTTAACACGATCACGTGCCTCCCCTTCGAAGTTCGTATGAGTAGCAAACTTGAGCACGATCCGCACGCTTTCTTCGTCCGGCTCCACGTTACCTGCCCCCTCGCCCATCTCCAGGCAAAGGACCTTCAGAGCCTCATCGACCTTGTCTAACCGGCACAGGCATTCCAGCCAGTTCTTCCAATTGCGTAGGTCAAACTGAAACCCGCTGTCCACCAAGTCCGAGTAAATCTGCAGGGCGGTATCGTATTGGCCTGCGTATCCACATGCATCGAGGATGACGCTAATGCTCGTAGCGTCGAATTCGTGCGACCTATACAACGATTCCCATATGCGGTACGCTTCCAGGAAGCAACCTGCACGCTGATAGGAATCCATCAACTGGTTCCACAAGGCGGTGTCTGGCTTCAACGAGGCCTCAACGTTTAGGAAGTCGTGAACTCGCCGAACCGATGAGGCAACCTGATCTCGGAGACTGGGATCCAGTCTAGCCAATTTAGCGAGCTGCTGGAGGAGAATAGTGTACACATGCGGTGTTATATCATGGCCAGCGAGACGCATGTCCTGGACGATCTCGAAGTAGAGACGAGCGGGGGGAACCTTTTTGAAACGATCGGATAATTTGCAGTATGCATTCAGTATTGCGGAGTAACCCTCCATCTGTAGGGGGGATAGACGGTCCTGTGATTGACAGACGAGTCTGTAGGCTTTGAGCGCCTCAGTGAAACTCGATGATGAACGCATAAGGAGGACGGTGACGGAAGTGAGTGTCATATCGTCCATCGACAGTTTGCGCGACCGCATGTCCTCCAAGAGCGAGAGTGCTATGGGGAAATATTTCTCCGTGTTGGATGAAGAACAAAGGGCGCGGAGAAGGGTATTGTAGATGGGCGCGTCCGGTTGTGTGGAGTTCACGGAAGATCCATTTTCTGCCTCATTGGATTCTGACCGTGTTTGGGGCGTGTCATTGAGGCGAACGTACTCGTGGTACAAATCACAGGCACGGTCAACGGCAGCGTCACTGGGAGGGCGCAGGCCTGAAGCACACAGTGCACGAAGAATAGGATGAAGCATACTGTTCGTCGGATGTATACCCGAGGAAATCGCAGATTGATACAGATCAAGACCTGTAGACAATCGGTTTACTTCAATGGCGTTGCGGATAATCTTGGCCCATACGTATGGACCAGCTTGCATAGAGAAGGCCCTTTCCCAGAAGCGTAACACCGGAATGGCTGTCGTGCGATGCAGCACGCCCTGCAGAGTACTCTGTGTAGCACAAAAACCTTCCTCTCGGAACTTGTTATACAGGCTGAGCGCGGACCACTTTCCATTTTTCTTGGCTGATACGGACAAGCGTCGGTCCTTATTGAAGTCAGCAGAGCGGAGGTCAGAATGAACATCGAATGCGGAGAAGTAAAGAGTCTCTGCTTCCTCTGCAAGGTCAAAACGTCCAGCATTTGAGTAACCATCGACGATGAACCGTAAAAGATAAGGATCGAAGGAGACACCGTATGATTTCATACTGGTAACGAGGTCACGGAGTTCGACAACGCTCAGGGTGTAACCACTCCGAGATAGTGCCTTGCACAGGGTCCTGTACGTCGCATACGTAGGCGGTTGCTTGGATTCAACAATCGAAAGCGCGAATCGGAAATTTTTGTGCGTTCCACATGCTCGCAGAAGGCTGAAATAATGGATGCCCTGCGGCTTGCACCTTCCAGGATTGAGGTGCATATGATTCAACCAAGTGAACGCGTCTTGGAGAGCACCGCGACCCAGAAAGCTTTGAAATATAGCGTCGTAAAGCAGATACGCTTCAATCCCAAGACGAGTTGAGTCGGCGAGAATCTCCTCCGCAAGCGCACGGTCCGCCGGTGACCCAGAGGTGACTAGGACCGTCAGTGCTCCAACGACCACCTGGCGGTCAATGGAAACCATCTCTGCCGTCCTGTGAGTAGGAGTATCCGGGAGATACTCCTTGAGGGCCCGGTACGAAGTATGTACGCCATTTACATCGTTTTGATCCACAAAGGACCGAAACGTCTCCATCGCATGCACAATTCTCAGTGAGGGTGGTGATCCGTCCTTCCACACTAGGGACGGGGGCAACAGCCGGGTGCCGGCAATTTTGGAATAGCTCGCCCATGGAGTAACGCGCCCTGTTGTAGTCCCGGCTGCGCGAAGACGAAGGAGGCTAACAGAACGCAGTGTTTCAACGTGACCCCTCAAGAACATTCATACGGGCCCTGCTGCAAGGTATTTTAGCAGATTCAAAACATATTTAAGTTGACCAAACATACCTCCTCTATTCCTCCCTGCGCAGCCGACTCGAGAGTGATGGGTTTCGGAGATGTTTGCGTGGGGGAGCAAAAACAGTTTCAAAAGAAGAAATGACCTCGTGACCGGGATGAGATGCCGCAACGCTCGTACGCGACCACCAGTACCAACCTCATCCCTCCTTCCCTTGTTTGTCTCTCGTTATCCTTGCCATGTCGGACAAGTTGAAAGAATTCGTGGAGATCCCTCAACAGTTCCTTAAGGATGGGAACCAAGTACGTGTATCACCTTTTTACGTTTACACGCTGCGTCCTGACCATTCCTTGTATCCAGTTCTTGACTCGCTGTACAAAACCCTCGCAAAAAGGTGGGACGACTGAACAACAGAGCTGTGCGGTTAATTTGATATTGATATTGTCGTGTAGAATTCGTCCAAATCTGCAAAGCTGTCGCGATTGGTTTCGGAGTAATGGGCTTCATCGGTTACTTCGTCAAACTGATCCATATTCCAATGTGAGTTTACGCAGTATGCATGTCACTTCATGCTACGATTGACGACTATTTCTAGTAACAACATCCTTGTGTATGTGTGTTCATTCCCACTCTAGGATGCCACTGACTGTTTCACAGAGGCGGGGCGTAGGCGGTGTAACAGCCCGGACGATATGTACATACGGAGGTCTATATTGTTGCATCTTACCACTGCGTCATCCCCGGAGACGATTGCTGTGTGGTTACTTCTCACGGCACTCATCTCCAGTTTATCGTCCCTCTCTCCCCTGCCGCCCATCCTTAACTCTGTTCCTCAGGATGTCACAGCGAGTTGATGTCGCCAAACGGCAGGGTCACGATCGTAGTCTCTTGAATTGCAGTGCTGTATTGGGTGTTACACAGCTGCGGCAATTCGTTGTTCCATCGCAGGCACAGGTGCAAGAATTGGGCTGAGCTGATCCATCGCATCGAAAGACGTTGGGTCCACTGGTGACGTGGACCGCGTTCCTCCCGAGTGGGTGTCCGATATTGAGTCTGTTTCCCATTTCTTCTTCTCCCGGCGACAACAAAGTACAAGAAATACATCCTGAATTTTGCATGGAGTAAGAATATAATCGGTACCTCTGGTTTACTCACTTTGTGAGTCCCAAAGACGAGAAAGGCTACGAGCGGCACTGCAATGGGATTGGTCATGACTCCTCTCACCAAGGAATACTACTCACAAGCTGCTTGAGAAATGTATGGGAAAGCAGTGGGGTAGTCCATTAAGAAGGACATGCATGCTCTTCGGGTGTATGATCAGAGTTTTAAGCTTGAATGACGGGCGTCGTGACATACCCAAACGTCACCCATGAATAAAACATAAAGATTATCGCCTGAAAAATGTCAAGTTCACACTCAGTCTGATGCAAAATATTGAGGACACGAACTCGGATCCAGGGTGAAAGAGATGGCCTTTTGACGTCTGCGAGGGGAAACAGATGCTTCATCCGACGCAGCCCTATGCAGTACCGGACTAGAATCGTCACTGAAAAGCGTCTAGACTCAGCTGAAGGACAGCGGCGCGCGACAGTGCGTCTACATACGCTGAAACACCATGATAATCATCATGACAGTACCACAGAAGACCGGGCCAACGTAAGGACGACTGGCCAGAACGCGAGGTTATAGACGCACGACGCCGAAGTGAATGCAAGAGGCCTCACAAGTCTCCTGTTCGTAACGTGCAATAAAGCCCGTTCTCTGCGCTAACTTTCTCGGGTTGCGTGATGCCCAGCTGTGTGTGAATCGACAGGTCAGTTGCCCATGGTCATAATTGCAAAACTGGAGAACAAACATAAGCCGCACTAGCGAAGAACGAAAAGAACACAATGTATGGAGGCGAGATAATCTAGAGATGACACTATAAGTGCATGATCTGCAAAGTACGAAATCCCTCCTACCATGATCAATTGCACGCTATAGGGTATTTTGCTCACGTTTAGGAATTTCCAGTGTCCGTGGAATGTATCCCAAAGCTGAATCGGCATGATAAGCCAGAGTATCAAAATTTATGTAGAACTGATAATATCTCACGTAGAGGACAAGGATCAGACCAGCGACGACCGCCCTGACACAAGAAACTTCGATCAGAAGGATATGAACAGAGAGGGAGGACACACAAACATTGATGGGGCGCCGTATATCATGGCGGCTTGCACAATGCATAATCGTTCAGGGGGTATTTCATCGTAATTATTGCCGCCATAGGCTCTAAAATAGTTCATGAACTTCAGATCGCTGTTTTCGTCAGAGCATCCATGAATACTAGCACTTACAACAGACAATACGTGACAGAATAAATTATCCATGTTACGCAAAAATTGACGACGGTTGGATGGCGGTGGGCTCGGACTTTCTTTGATACTAAGTAGATGAAGACAAGAATCGGCAAAGCCATATGGCCTCCGACGATGTGGAGAGCGAGATAGACCGGAGTCAAGCTCCGTAGGTTTGGTGCAGGTGCTGTTGGTAGAAAGCCTGTTTGGTTCGATCGAAAAACAGGAACAATTTATGAATACCCACCTTCGTACATACGGCACGGTAAACCAGTACCAGCCAATGTTGCGGTCCTCGTCCTGGAGAGACCGTTACAACGTCCCGTCGGCTTGGAGAACTGCCAATGGTCCTGCCAAAGGCGAAGTCGACATAGGCCACCAGTGACCTTGGGAGTACGAGGGAGAGCTCTCCGAGATATTACCTACGGACGTTGACAGAATGATGAGCGCGCAAAGCCTGTGACGGCCGGCTTGAGAACTCTTGCCATGATGTGTCCTGCCAGACGAACAGATCCGAGATGGCCTCTGACCTGATGCTCAGATCATTCCGGAGAGCGACATGTACATCAGCGCAGCCAGTACAGCCTCTCAAACACAAAATATAACGCTGTGCTATCATTTTGTTTGATCTACACGGTCAACGGAGGTAGTAGCACTCATCCGCCGCCGCCGTAAGCACTGATCAAGTGAGTATGATGTATGCCCTGCTCATCGTTATCGAACAAACGCCACCGACCGACGGTGCAAGTTTAAATAACAGTCAGTCGCCGTCGTGATCACCTCCAACTAATTAAGCTTATTTAACAAATGACAGACGATCACCGAACCTTCTTTGAAAGACCCCTTCGACAGCAGGACGGGACGAGATCCACGACAAAATTTGTTCACTGAACTGTGCCGCCGCCAACAAGGAGCAAACCAAATCGCGGTGAAGGTTTCACGAGCTCCAACACCGGCTGAACATGTTGTTCCACAGCAGGCTGCCCATGGCGAAGAAGGCTTGTCGACTTGCTCTTCACACTGGGTGAAGGTGATGGGGGGAGGAAGGGGTGGATAAGTGTCTGTGTCCGAGACAGGTATTCTGACAGAGCACCGTCGAACTCGAGTTGTGTCTCTGATGCACCTTGCTCGATAAGCTACAAGCCAGTAGTTAAGCGCAAATTTTCGGTGACCAATGGGGGTAAGGTATCACCTTGCTTCGTAGTTGCACCATTCGTGTATCCAGCTGTTGCACAACCTTCAACCACTCCCCATCGCCCCACATGCATGCGACTCTTCGTAAGAAGGCCAGATCCCAGAGATCTTGCATATTCTCCCGAAGAACAGTGGACTCGTTGCATCCGATGTGATCGTGCAACCGGTTGATGTAACGACGAAGGGTGACTTCGACAAGAGGTTGCTGTCGTGCAGAGTGTATTGACATACCCAGCTGCTGAGTTGAGGTAGATAATAAAAGTAAACTTTGCATCAGTCCAGATGATGGTCGTATGGGACTGGAAGTATTTGCGGTAGCTGGTGCATAGATAAATGACAGTTGAAATGCCGATAAATCAACACGCACCGCTCCATCTGTGAGGAGCCTGAATTGGTAAACTGTCCTTGATAATCTTGCGGATTGTGTGCTCCCGCCATTTCTCGATGATACGATCATACAGTAAGCTCATTTTCTGCTGGAACTCTACACCCGCGTCATGAATGAACATCCAGCTTAGGAGCTAGTCAGAACTCACCGTCTATTGTAGCTCGCTCGCAGCCTATATTGGTGACGAATGCCGAGAACGATGCGAAGTCATCCGCTAACCGTCCGATGAAAATGAGAGTCCGCAGAGAAGGCTCTGTAGTCATTCTGTTAGTGAACTTCAACATCAACATCGAATTGTTGCTTGCCCGTATCGTCTAAGATATCATCCGCAGTCTGTTCTAGTGTATCGGCCACCCTCATGCACAGTGCTTCCGCGTCGGGGCGATAATCCTCAGCTAATCGAGTAGCCATGCTACGCACATCTATGTGATCAGGAGAAAAAGATTCAGGTATGGTAAGAATTCACTCACGGGGAGTTCTCGCTAAAGCCTCCTATTACTTCTAAGTCCAATTGGAGGCTATGCGTATCACGTTCCGCTGAAGTCAGAACAGTATCCAGCAGCGGCGTTCGACCGGCGAGTTGCCGCTGCAGAGAGTGTTTGTACTTCTGGAATGATGCCGTAGCGAGTGAAGGGTTGAGTCCGCTCTGGGAGAATAAGACTGAAGGCGGAGCTTTGAAGAGATATTCGACAGGCCGAGTGTCTACGAGTTGCGGCGGTTATAGCAGATCTAGAGATATACAACACATCCTGAACGCACCTAAACTGCTATCTGGCGAGGGTCTCTTTAACGTGGCGATTGCGCATGATAGGTTATCTCGGAATGCAATCTCTGCAAGAGAGAGCGATGATTTCCACACGTCTACGACTCGCCGCTGAGAGATCTCATCGACGACGGACTTTAAGTGAGTCTTCTCATCTACTTCCAACCCTGTAGCTGCGTCCATGTAACCGTATGCAAAGGTCCGGGTGTCCCAGACCTCTCGAATGCTCTCAAGACATGAGAACCATTTTTCCATGGCTATTCGAACGTTGTCCGCCGCTTTGTGAAACCAGTCTTCAAGCTTGTGTTGCAATTGCGACTGAGGCATAGACGACAACAACGAGGCGCTATCGACGTACGGCTTGTACGAACGGATACTGGAAGGAAGTAAGAGGAAGTGAGTAGATGATGGGAGGGAAGTAAGCAGGCTATGCGTCGTCAATTGAAGCTCGACAGGAAGACTGCTTGAAGGGGTATCTTCTGCTTGAATAGACAGGAGGGCACGCTTCATCATTGACGCTTCGTGAGGAGCAGTGTTGTCCGAGAAAATAATGCGTGCAATATCCAGTGTCCGTACGACGACAACGAAGACCGTTTCCAATCTGTGCTTCACGTCCCGGACGATAATTTTGCGGGATCGAGCAAACCCTTTGGTATTTGTCTTGGCATCCCGAGCAAGTCCATTTCCAACTTGCTCGGGACCATGAGACAACATTGTGAAAAGTGTTTTGAACCTCTGAGAAAGAAATATGGATAATGTCTCAGCTAGTGGCCGAGACTCAAGCAGGTGAAGGGTAAGAAGAGTGGCGCAAACTTCCTACGAACAAGTTGAGAGTATGGATATGTTTTGGTTGACTCTACATACCGCTGGCGATCCCATATGCTCGCGAAGAGACAATGTTGCCTTGTGTGTAATCTGAGAGCGGAACTGCGAGACTGTATCCCATTGGCGTTGTACTATGGGAAATTGACCCTGGGACAAAATTTGAGTGCCATAAAAACTAATGAATATATGGCTTACAGGAACGTCTACACCATATGCATGCCAGCTCTGGTCATCGTCATCGTCCTCTCGTAGGAGTGCTCGATGCACTACGCGCGCCAAAAGAAACAGCCAAGTCGCATGGAGGTACATTCGGCGTTCCATTAGACGCCACAGATGTTCTGGTGCATCCAGCAATAGCTTCAGATGAGCAGACAAAGATTGCAGAGCCTGCAGGTACTTGTCTAGGGTCTCGCAATTAGGACGTTGCGAACGCAGGCAAGATATATACACTACCTTCTTCTCCAGACACTGCACGTTTGGGTGTTCGTGGAAGCTCTGCATATCCAATCGTGCTCCGCATTTCACCGAAAGCTTCCAGAACACGCTTAGAGGACTGTGCTATTGAGATAATCGAACTTGAAGCTTGCAGTAGATCACGGTACCGTTCCCTACGCTTTCGTAGTATAGGTGAACCATCACACTCACACACTGAATTGAATACACGTACCCAACCATGAGGCGAAGTTCCTCCTGTTTGGCATCTGCGTCCGCTCTGAAATGTACCAGGGGTTATAGGTATTTAGCTGGATGCACGTACATGCAGCGCACCTTAAACGTTGCTGAACCGCTTTCATCTCAGCCACACTGTACTTTGCAAACAACTCATCTGGATTTAGGGGACCAGAAACCTCATTTTGATTGACGAAGGCGTCCAATTGAGCGGAAAGAGACACTGAACGGGATGGCGGCCATTGTTGTCCATTGACTTTGGATTTATGGCCTCGTAAAGTCACGTCTGGGGAGGATAGTACAGCTTTGAGAAATGGAGTAGGAGACGACGAAGAGCCCACAGACATAGCAGAAGGACGGGGAGACATGGTGCTCATGGCAGCGTCCTCATACTACGCTTGACTTCCAACCAGATCTAGACCCAGATCCTCCTACTACGCAGCAAGCGCCAAACCCCATCACATTGAGACCTGTGCAGAACAACGCCGTAATGACAGTAATGAGAAAAAGTCATTTGTAGTCGCCAAAGCAAATCAATTAGTACAGTCATGACGAACTCGCATGAGCTATATAACTAGGAATGAAACATGAGGTCGGATATTATCCCGCTACTTACGCCAAGTAGAGTATCGCTCAGAATTTTGCATCATCTGCTATCATCCCTGCCCTTCCCAGCTTCTTCTATTCCCTGCTCAATATCGACGTCCCCAGTAATCTTCTGCGGTGGAGAAGCTTCTCCGTTGTTTGCGGGTGGGCGCGACGGGAGAGAAGAACCATTTGCACTGCGCGGGGTAGGTGATACAGCACCGCCAGCTAACCGCTGATCCAACGCCTTTAGAGCCATTGCCCTGTACAAGGAAGAATGAATGAGTTCACGCTGCGGACATGTAGCGTGCGACTCTCACCGTCTCCTTTCTGCTTCAGCTCGTGCACCTCCGGGTAGTTGGCTATATCCTCCAGATTCCACGTCAAGTCCTGACACGGGAATGAGATGGAACTTCACTGCCAACGAATATGATGTATTCGCGAGCATTGTAATGGGGGTGCTGAACGGCGGAAATGGATAAACAAACTGATGGGAACACTAGAGCAACTCGCTCACTGGATGAAAGGAGGGAACCAATTCACGAATGCAAACGTTTCACTTCTGTCCCCGTAGGCAGGTCCACCGCTGACGAGGTCGCCAGCACTTTTCTTGTAGAAGCGCAACCATATGTAGGAGACAAGCCAGCCAAATTGAATCACAATCCAAGGACATTGGAATCCGATGATACACATCACGGTCGACAACGTAACGTAGGCCATGGGCAATGTCTTAACCCCACTATACGTCAACGACGCCATCTTGTCTCTCTGAAAATTCAAGAACATTGCGCACCTTTACTCGGGCTTTCAGAACACCGAGCAACTGAACTTGGTGCTCAGGAATAATCTGCGTGAACGCAACGAGAACTGCAATTTGCAGTGCCATCTGACCATGATACTCTTGCCCGTAGCTGTTCACGACAATTCCATCATTTTCACATGGAGAGTGAAGAACCATTGCTCACAGGAAGACCGGGTATCTCAGCGCTACGAATTCCAGCCAATTTAGACCGAAGGCGATGACGTTGGACACGGTTATGGACACCACAATGAATTTGATGGTTTCTACAGCACCCCACAATCGCTCCAAATATTTCAATGAAGCGGGAATTACGAGGAGGGTGACGATCAACTAGGAACAAGTCAGCCACGACAATCCGACGCGCAGCACTAGAGGGTTAACCTCTATAACGGTGGTTTCTACGAATGCGGAGGTGAAGAAGGTCCATGGAAAAAAGATACTTGATCCGGGAACGAGGACAAGGTATGCCGTAGAAGAACTATCACTTGTCCATCGTAGACTGTAATATAGCAGGGAGAAGGCGACAGTCGCAGCAGTGAAGGCACGCGTCACAGGTGGTACCGAGGAGATAAAGTGAAGGGGAGCAGAAGACAATATAGCCATAACGAATACAAATCCGAGGGGATAGCCTCTCGGCCAGCTGGCGACTCCAGATAGAACAGGGTGTCGGCAAGTCGGAGAGGTGTCTGCACTCGCGGTTGGCACGACCATGTCACATGTCACCGCAGGTAAGTGCGCCAACGTGACAAGGTCACAGGCAGCCTTCTTGCTCAGAAACCGTGACTGCTCAGTGAGCTTTCGCCCACTGCAGACAATGTCTGATTATAATATCCATCCTGGTGGCTCACTCAAGCTCAAGGGCGGTGTCGCTGACGGTGGCATCGTGAAAAAGTGAGTGTGATATCAGTTCTTCACTTCCATTAGGACTTACACCATATTCAGGAAGAAGTCTTCGAAATCCAAATCGAAGGAGAAGGAGAAGATAGCTGAGAGAGAACGGTTGAAGGAGGTTGAATTGCTCTTGAGGGAAGAGGAGGCCAAGGCTGAATCTCCTTCCGGGAGCAGCAGAAATTCACCGGCATTAGGGAGCAGCAGCGATAAGAAGACTGCGGCTGAGAAGAGGTTTGAAGAGGTACAGAAGAAGCGGGTGCGTCCATCCACTCATCGCTGCCCACGTATCGTTACTCATGTTTGCTGTTATCTAGCTTGCAGCCAAGGTGGCGAAATTGGCGAACAAGACGCACAAAGACCGTGTCAATGAGTTCAACAATAAGCTGGAAGCTTTAAGCGAGCACCACGACATCCCCAAAGTGAGTTCATTTGGTGACATGCCCTTGACCTTTACTGATCACGGAAACAGGTTGGACCGGGCTAATATCCGCAACGCTCTGTATCTTTGTCGTTCCGTGTCATGTTGTGTAATTTTACGCAGTCCTGGGTCGGGCTATGTTATCATACCGTTCTCGTGAAGTCTGCCTCACTTCCAACATGAGTTACATGGTTGTTTTGTCTTGAGGTGTGACGTGCTTGAGTATGGCCCTGTTTGCCATGTATTTGTTCGACGCGACGGAATTAGAATGTGTCGGGGTATAAACGTGACCGCCCCCTCGCGCATTTCACCCTCTTCCATGTTTGTTCTCTGGCGACACTAGTGCAATGGAAATGCATCAAGACTCTACTTCTGAGAAAAGGGGGCATATCTGCCCGCCTTCAAACGCGACACATCCTTCAGACCGATGGGAGTCGCTCTTCGTGTACGGGTTCATATGCAAGTTCACTCAGCTACGAAGTAAAGTTGAAGGACTGGATTCACCCATGGAGTACGTTGACTTGTGGCCTCTGGTGGCTTCGTGGATGCTCTAACTTTGTCGAAATATCCTTAGCTTCGAGGAGGCATTGCTGTCCAACGAGCCAAATCCCGTCATGACCCAGATCCTCTCGCGATTCGTGCTGAATTTGAGACCACAGACGCGTAATGTGAGGTGAGAGTATGTCTACAGGTTCTCCTCGATTCATGCGACGTCTGACCGACGTGCCGGAACCACTAGTTCGGACGTGATATCGTCCACTGTAGTCACTGTCCTCCAGGACTACCTCAAGTCGTCAGAGAGGACCGTGTTTTGGGACGAGGAATTGAAGACGAATGTTGATCCCTTTCATGGGATGGCCCAGGGCTTTTTTGCCGCTCACTGGGACCTAAAGGTTCGTACTTATGTTGAGCTCTCGTCCTCCACGACTAATTGGTGACTACACGGCGTCTCTTAGCTGAAAGTACTGCGACAGCTTGTGGAATTGCAGCTCAGTCATAGCCCAGCAGTAAAGAACATCATAGACCGTGCGTGGGGTGTTGTTCACAACAAGCACAAGAAGACAGAAACTCCCGCCGTGCCACCACCACCCGGCGACCCTCTTAGTCAGGAAGCTCTGCAACTTATCCCGCTTGGACAAGACACGGACCGCAAGCGTTACTGGGTCATCGATGGTTCGTACACGTTTTCTTTGTCCTATCGAGGACCCATATTTGCGCATATTTGCACAGTGGGCTGGTCATTTCGATCCATACTCGGCGTTTTGCGGGCCAATTCATTCCGTTGTTACCTGAGCTAACCAGCGCGTTCTCTGTTTATCCAGACTCACCACGTCTATATCTGTCCACGAACCCATGGAAGATAACCGCCACCTTCCAGACGATTGCATCGACACGAGAAGAGTACATGGCAATCGTGGATAAAGTCAAGGAATCTGCCCCTTCAGAACCAAAGCCTGGCGAACGAAGGACAAAGTTAGAGCTGGCGCATCTGGCCTTGCTCAAGGCTCTACAAGATAGAATGGAAGTCATTGACGCAGAGTTAACGGTGAGTTTTGCGTGCGATTTCAGTGAATGCAACGACGTATCAGGAACATCAACGGCCACCGGATATACGGAGATGAATAATTTTTCGGGTTGCGGAGAGTCTTCCCAATCCACGTGACTAACGTATTACATTTAGAGACTACATCGAGCTCGTAGGAAGATAGAGCAGCGTAACCTCCTCATCGCACAAGCAGAGGTGCGCGAGACCCGAACTCGACGGCGGACAACACGTCCAGATTATGCTTATATGAATGATCCGATCAGCGAGGTAAGTACCAGCTTTCACTGTGTCACCATTGTTGGGAGGGATAATGGTCTTCAGGATGACCAAGACGAATACACATACCAAGAGCAAGAAGATGACGAATACGAAGACCAAATGGAGTACGATGATTTGTCGGGCTACCGTGGCGATCCTTCCACTAGTCGACGTGCTGCCGCCGGCGCAGGGCGACGACGCTCGACACGTACGTCCAATGGTGACGGGAAGCGCACCGCTGATGAATGGGCCGAATGGCGAGGCGAACGCCGCTCAACCAGGTTGGGTGCTCCAGCGGAAACTCAGCTCGACAACGCGCTTCCCACCAGGGCACGAACGGTAGACAGCACAGTTAGCACAAACTCGGCGGAGGGAACTCCAGCGCAGGCTCCGAGCGGTTTGAAGATCAAAATTCATGGCGCCGCGGCGATGAAACCCACCGAGACGGCAGTGGAGGTTGTTGCCGGAAAGAAGAAAAGCAAGTACTGGTACTACGCAGTGGAACCAGTGGCTGCAGTCGCCTCCGCTCCCCCACCTCCAAGTGATTACGCGTCTACGTCATATCACGATGCAGGATCATCAGCTACGAATGGTTCACGGTACGGCGGGGGGTCAGAAACATCGGAAGTCAACGGGCATGACAAGAACGGAGACATGGAGTTGTACGAGAAGAGTTTAGAAGGGAGTCTCTCGCCGGCATCCAGCATGGATGAATCATGATCGTCTCGCGAATTGCACTATGATCTATCGCTTTTTCTTGCATTTGTTTTACGGCCACTTATATTCACCTCGCATTGGTTTAGTTATCGGTCACGTCGCATAGTTCCTAGCCTACTATTTAGTTCTTGTCCCCACCTTGCTGGACAATGCTAATCGCACTCTCCATGACATGTCCACTGGTGCGTTTCACGGTGAAAGCCTGGGCTGTCGATGAGTGAACGTGACGAGAACCAGGCTCACGGATTCGGAATATCGGCAAAGTCCGCCACAGAGAAAGACGCTACCGTGACATGATGACTGCCCCCAGTCGCAGGCTTACAGCTCTCCTTCGTCGACATACTCTTCCCCATTTATGCTCGCAAGATCTGCGGGGAGTGCTTTGTCAAAGCATGCGACTCCGGGCTTTCGCTCCAGAGGCTGTCTCAGATCCCACTGGAAGTCCGCCCGAGTCCTTGCTCGTTCCGCGACCTCTGTCTCGGTACCTGCCTCAGTCGACGATGCAGACATCATAGCCTTGTTTGACTATCCCTCATCTACACAAAATTCTACCTGTCACACACCCACTGGACTGTTCGGTTTTCCTGTCCTTACCACACCTTCTTCGTTCAATGCTTTAGCTGACTCCACTCTCCGTCGCGCCGAACTCCTGACCGATCGCGTACTTCGGGCACGCGAATCCCGGAGCGAGCTGTTCAAGGTGGTGAAGAACTTAGATCGGCTTAGTAACTTGCTGTGTGGGGTCATAGACCTCGCGGAGCTTATTCGGAATGCGCATCCAGACTCATCTTGGATACGGAGTGCCGAGGAGGTGTACGAGAAATTATGCGAGTTCATGAATGTACTCAATACACATGTCGGGTTGTACGAAGTGCGCATTTTAAGTCACCTTTCGCACTTGGGCGTCGAATTGAAGTCTGTTCGATCAGGTTTTACGAGCCGTACTGTCCGATGCCGATGTGGTAAAGTCCCTCAGCGTGGAAGCGCACCAGACAGCCCTCATATTCTGGCGAGACTTTGAGAAGTCTGGAATAGACCTTCCTCCCGATCAACGCAATCGTTTTGTGTCGTTATCGACAGAGATAATGCTGCTTGGCAGGCAGTTCTTGAATGGGAGTGCAAGCCCTCGGCCTCCCGCTGCTATCGCACCTTCAGAGTTGCAAGGGTTGAAGGACTTGGGAATGGGTGCCAGACTAAGACTGCAAGCCCAGGTGACACAACGAGATCTGCACGTTTACCCTGGTTCCATGCAAGCCCAGATGATTATGCGTTCTGCACCTTCGGAGGAAGCACGACGAAAGGTCTACATGGCAGGTAACACCAGTACACCCCAGCAAATTGCGATCCTGGAGAGGCTTCTGCATGCTCGCGGAGAACTTGCTCGGCTCGTAGGGAAAGAGAGCTTTGCCCACATGGCCCTGACTGACAAGATGGCAAAATCGCCAGGTGTGTCACTCCATCGCTTCTGTCTTCCGTCTAATGCCTAGTCGGATATTCGCGGTTATCGCAGAACATGTACAATATTTCCTGGATGCTATCTTGGACCACACTCGCCCGTACGCAGAGAGCGCACTGCGCGCGTTAAGCATGCGGAAGCAAGCCCATCTTAATACACCGCCATTCCCAGTCATTCAAGCATGGGATAGGGATTATTACTGCCCCCCAGAACCCCCTGCACCTCCCGTAACATTACCTCCACTAACACTCGGCACAGTCGTCATGGCACTCTCACGGCTGTTCAAAAACCTGTACGGCGTATCACTACAGCTCTCGGAAGCTGCACCTGGCGAGATCTGGGATACTGACGTGCGGAAACTCGAAGTTGTCGATGAGGAGACCGGCTTACTTGGCTGGATATACGCTGACGTCTTTGCGCGACGAGGCAAGCCAAGCGGTGCTGCACATTACACAGTACGATGTTCTCGAAGAACAGACGATGACGATGAGTTGGGGGACCTCGTACTAGCCGATGAGAATGACAAGGCGGTCGTGCAGATGTCCCGGGAGTTTGAGGCAACCCATCAACGTCGAATACCAGGGCAGGAAGGGGTGTTCCAGCTCCCAATAGTGGTGCTGGTCTGTGAGTTCTCGAGACCATCCATCCGTGGAGGGCCGACCATCTTGGAGTGGCATGAAGTGTTGACGCTATTCCACGAAATGGGCCATGCCATGCACTGTGAGTAAATTTCCGCATGACTGACCGCGTGCCTCACATGAAGTTTCATTCTATAGCGATGATCGGCCGGACAGAGTATCAGAACGTCTCCGGCACACGCTGTGCAACAGACTTCGTCGAGCTCCCCTCCATTCTCATGGAGCATTTCCTGAATTCTCCGGCAGTTCTCTCCCTCTTTGACCGTGACGGCACGGTCGACATTCGCCAGACCGGCAACCATCATGAAGATCCCTGCCGCTCCATTGATACCCATACCCAGATACTCCTCGCATCGCTCGACCAAATATATCACTCTCCAGCTGTCCTCAGTCCGAACTTCGATTCGACAGCTGCCCTAGCGAAACTATATGAGACGCGCGGCCTCATCCCCTACGTACCCGGGACGTCCTGGCAGACACAATTTGGCCATCTCTTCGGGTACGGCGCGACGTACTACTCGTACATGTTCGACCGTGCGATTGCCTCCCGCGTATGGCGCAAGCTCTTTGCGCACGACCCGCTTAATCGGGAGACGGGCGAAAAGTACAAGTGCGAGGTGTTGCGCTATGGTGGTGGGAAGGACCCGTGGACGATGGTTGGCGCGTTATTAAATGCACCAGAGCTGGAGAGCGGCGATGCCGAGGCGATGGCAGAAGTGGGTAGGTGGAAGATTGAGGATGAAGTTGCCATGCCGGGAAGGCATTGATAAAGACGGTAAGTTATATTACCACCGCGCCTAGGGGTAGTTTAGTTACCTGCGTGACGAAGCGAGGAATTCGTCAGGATGAAGAGCGTGCGTCACTCCTTGGCCGATCGGTGAAGTGCGTGTGACGTCACTTCGTTGCACGGCCGTATCGGGAGGCATCTCAGCCCCGATTTTGGGGCGTCGAGGGGTGCAGTCACCCCGCTGGACCCTCAGGACAAGCCGACAACTCAGATCTGGCACTTAATTAGAGCTCCTTGTCAAGATTTTGAGTCAATATTTGGTAACTCTGGTGACCACTGAAACACAGGGACTCCATCAATGTGCAACCCTGCCATGATGAAATATTTGAAGTGGGATTGAGCTGCGCAGAGACGTGGTCGACACCGGAAGGCTTCCGACAACATACGCTCTCAGGGTTTCGACCTAAAACAATCGGAGTCTTGTAGAGGACATACTAGAGGGTATACAGACCAACCCGGGAGAGATTCTGACCTGGACCAAGGGAGGAAGATCACAAACATTTACGAAACTATTATAGTAGCACAAGATGGGAGACAGATCGAAGCAATGCGGTACTGATACATGAGATTATGGATAAGGATACAATGTTAACAGGACAGAGCAAAGCTAAACACAGTGAATAGCAAGTGAGGGCACCAGACAGAGTCAGTACACTAGAAGGGAACCCTGGACAGGAACAAATAAATCGATGAAGGTAAATCACGCGACGACTGCAGCTTTGACCACTCTGCAGCTTCCAATCACCTATTTGGATCACAGGCTTTCGGTCGCCCAGGACCAATAGAAGGTATGGAGGAGGATCACTTAGCAGTAAGGACCTCCAAAAGTAGATCCAACTCCGAGCCTTCATCCAGTAGAGACCGTTCCAATGGAAATGCACTATAGAGATCGCTAAAGTCGAAAGCCGGGTCTAAGGCAAACGCAGATGTCGACGTTTTCGGGTCGGGAAGACCGACAGGAAGTAAAGGAGGTGTAGAAAACGGGGTTTCAATCTCGCTGTATGATGTAGAGCTTGCTTCTGAAGACAAGGAGCTAAGGGAGGACGACCGCGAGATGGTACGTGAATATGGAGTGTGAGAGAACTGGATAACGGCTGGAGGTGCCGATGGTTCAGCAGCTTGTTCGATCTTAGCTCGCTTCGGGAGAGAGGAAATGTTTCTCCTCGGCATAGACACCACGGAGGACGGAATCAATTGCGGCTTCTCTGATACATTTGGATCTGTCTTTGTACTCCTGTCGGTAGGGGCTGAGGATGGGGATGGCGACCGGGTTAATTTGGATGGTGATGGCAGGCTCGAGGACGTAGCGACGTCCGATGCCGCAGGTGGAAAGCCACGGTGGTTGATACTTGAATTGGTAGGCAGGCGTTTGGGTAGCATAGGGACCTTCCGACTTGTGCTGGATGTCTTGATACGACTTCTCGCATACGGAGTAAATCGCGCAGACATTCGATCGGGTGTAGAGGGCAAAGAAGAACGTCGGTGTGTCCTCTGTACAAGTCGAGCGGAGGGAACGATGGGAGTAGAAGAGGAAGACGCGACGACAGGAGGATGAAGTAAGGTTGGTGAGGGAACGTGCGGTAAGATAGTGGCGAAACCAACGGGAATCGACGAGTGAGAAGGTGTCGACGACGTTTTTGTCGACTCGCATTCCTTTTTCTCACTGTCGAAGATGCTCATTCTAGCAAAAAGACGTGTGAACAGAGCGAAATTGGGAGATGGCGAGCTCCAATGAACCCTTGGTAACGCCTTGCGGAACCAAGGAGATGTAAACCGTCGTGCATTTAGGCCTGATGGGAAGGGGTTATACGAGCAGAGAGGCGGGTATAGTGTGGGAAACGCATGGGGTGGAGCCTCCACATTGAAGGTGTTCCCTGGCTTTTCATCGTCGAGACCTGGCTAGTAGGTATCAGGAGTCAACGTTAGCAAAAAAAAAAGACAGACACACTCACAGATCGATGTGAACGGAGTGAGTTATCCTCAGTCATGAAATCGGCCATGACATCTGCAAGGTCTGATGGAAGACCCACGAAGGTGGTACCTTTGGTCAGTGACTTGCCCTGTTTTTTCGACCGACTTCTACGATTCTGGAACTGTGGGGAGATCAGCCTGATGCAAGAAGCAGAAGTAACTGTACACACCCAAATATTAATTTGCTTGTAATCCATGTCAGCAATAGAAGCGAGCTGCTCCTTCTCCGCTCGGGAGGGAAACGCGTTGCGCTCGAAGAATTTCTCCAAGATAGGAATAGCACCCTGAGCATCGATAAGACGGTCACATATCGGTATCGAGTAGATGTCCTATCCCACCTGGTTAAAGGGCAGACGAGTATTTTTGCGAGACGTTTCATTGAAATTTCGACTTCTGAGCTCGTCGAGACGAGATTCGACCATTCCAATAATTTTTTCAAGCCAGAGGCGTAGCATTTTCGTATACTGGGCCAGATGAACATCTCTCAACCTTGACTGCAACTTTAAATCGCCATGAGGATGTGTGACAGCACGTTGACGAAAAACGCGACAGATGCGATCGTACTGCACCTCGCATTTCGCCTTGAACTGCAATGCAGCTCGCATGTAGATCTGTGAGATACGATGAGCAGCCTTGGCATCAATTCCTAGTGCTATCAGGTGAGATGTTGGGGGCTGTGGTGTAGGAAAGTCATTCGTTGGAGTCGTGTCGTAAGATGACTCGGATGGTGGTAAAGTTGATAAGAATGAAGCTGGAAGAGATTTAACCATGCTCCGAGAGATAGCAGCAATGCGTAGCAGCGGGTCGATTCCGATGAGAGATGACATGGTTGACGATGACGCCTCTGCACTGTGCAAGTTGTGTATACGTACATAGTGTACAATAATGATTGCTGTTGTTATTGATGTGTGTGTGTGTGTGAATATGACAGCTATTGTTGCTCGGCGTAATCCGAGGCCATGTACACATAGCACTGAGCCTAATTAATCCATAGTCGCTCCACACTACTGTTTTTCTCTGCAGGAATTTTCATGGACGTCAACACTAGTATTCGGCAGAGGCTGCTCAAAGTCGAGGAGCGTTTCCTCTTGGCTGTCGCAGCCGGATCGGATGCACTTGAAGACTTCAATTCTTTCTGGACGACGCTGTCTCACGATGCTGGGATTACCCTGCAGTCCTCCGACGTTGACGACCAGCTCAAATCTCTGATGAACGCGACTTCTTGTAGGATCGCCTTTCTGGCTGAAAGCTGGTGTCAATTAGAAGAGGTTGAGTGCCAAAACAAGTCTACTTTGATGGACGAACTGGATGCGCTTTTTTCCCAGTCGGTGTTGGAGGACGTACCGCGACAGGCTTACACTCTCCAAGGCACAAGTGATTTCGGTGAGGGTGATTTTTCATCATTTCACTGCGGATAGAAAATTCAGAACCATGTGTTGCCAGCAGCAACTCACGAATATGACCACAATACCATATCCTCCTCCTCTCTTGACAGTTCGTTGCCTTACAGGGATATCGAGTCCGATGTCCAATCCTCTGTGGAGTCGAATGACGCATTTGTCTCGATTAATGCGGATATGCCTGACCTGCCAGACTTTGTAGCGTCACCAGGGGATACCGCAAAGTCTGCAGTCCGACATCTGAGACAGCTGTCCTCATCTCCCGTATCTCGCACACCGTCTCTCGTTTCATGCTCTTCGTCTGACGAAAGTGACGATGAGGATATACCTCCGGAGCCTATAGCAGGTCGCAAGCGAAGCAGCAGCGCGTTGAACGACAAGGAAGATGTTGGCACATCCAGTGACGCTCCATGCAAAAAAATCCGGTATGTTATTTAAGTATGGATGGATGATGTAAGGCTGACGGAGGCGTAAGGTCCGAGCGCAGAACAACTTACTCACTTTACGAGACGAACATCGGTTCATTTGATTTCCTTGGCCCATCTCTTCTAAAGCCTGAGATCACATCGGGCGATTCCCTACCCAGCAAATTATCCAAAAGTTTCCAAGGTTCACTCGCATCCTGTATTCGCTGTATACCTCCAGCGGAGCCGAACGCAAGTCTGCTGAGTGTAGACATATCGGAGACGCCCGTCTCTCCTACCACTCTGCGAAGAAAGCGCCGGCTTTCAGATGGGGGTACGGACGTCCAGCCATTTAAACGACGTCGAGGCCCGCGTGCCTCTCCTCGGCCACAGACAGTCTCGGATCCGTTGCCAATAACAAGTGTGAATTACGAACAAAATTTCAGCATTGATCGGTGGTTCGAGTCAAATTTCGATGTACCGGAACCGATATCGATATCAGTATTAAGCCCATCTACTCCAGTGGATATACGCCTGTTCGACGATTGGAGCTCGGTGAATACTGGTTCGCAGTGCGACCTATCATTACCGGCGTGGCAGAGATCGAGTAAGCTGCATATTATATGCCACTTTGCTACCATATTGACCACACATCGTAGTTCCCGCTGTTGATGACATACTGTTACCCGCGGATGTTCCTCTGCATGGTGACCTTTCAATTCCGACAGGCCTATCCCCAGATCTTTCTTCAAGTGGAGATGACGCTGCGGACATTTTGAAACTCGCGATAAACAGCCTATCGTCGGCAACTGTCAATAGTAGTGAAGATGTGGTTAGATTCGACTTTGAAGAAATTCCTCCCTCTCCACCTGCTGAGTGTCCTGCGGTTTCTCGTCAATCGATAGACGTATCTGGCATCATTCCTGATTCGACGCACTCAGTGAACTCGTCGTCAGAGCCAGACATATTTTCAGTGGACGGGTATTCGCCGTCGAATTCGAGTGTGGCACCTGCATCGCGGTCCTCTCGCAGCACTCCGCCTCCTCTGTACATCGCACCGCCATCATTTACCGACGGCGTAGATGCAAGTCCATTGGCGTCTGCGACGTGGGACCAGTACTGGGACCCATACTGGGATCCTTTCGAGGAGCTGGCGGATGCTGCGCTCCAGGGACCTCCTCCGCCCTATCACAGATTCGCGAGTATCTGGGAAGAAGTGAAGATATCAGAATCGAAGGTGTCTGACTATACCAGTCTTTTTTCGGGTGACAATTCTTCCCCCGCCGAGGCTCCACAGTGTTCGCAGCCTACACCCGCGAAGCTGAAAAAATGTGAGGACAAAACTGGCCGGATAGAAGCTGTCAGAGAGGCTGCGGAGTACGTATTCGATTCTGGTTTTGTCTATGTCAGATCTGATCGCGCCTTTGTTCAGGGCATGAGTCTACCGAGTTGCCAACAACGTTGTGTTCCTCGTGCCATTTATTGTTATCTTTTGTCGCCTTTGTGTTTGATCTCACTTCCGACTTGCTCTTGATCTCACCCGGCTGTTCATATACTCCGGCCATCTCTTTGGCAGCATCGTGTTCTTCTGACTTCGCTATCGCCTCATATACCTCGCTCTCCTGTATACCTCGCGCTCGTATTATTTTCTCATGTTCTGTTCTACTGCGATCTCCTAATACTCGCCTTTTCTATTCTTTATCGGCAACTATGGACGGATTTGGAAACAATCGATGACAGATTCAGAGATGCTGACTATATGCTACGAAGGCAACCTAAGACCATATCCAAGATGAGTGAGACTGTAAAAGATGATTTTCAGGACTGCAGAATTATCTGGCCCTGACACAACCTGCGAGCAACGCTTTCTGGAGTTTGCTGCATAGGCCGATCAGGCACGTGATGTGCTGTTCCGACGCGTCTGTAAATCGCGTCACGGGGCCGTCGAGTGCGTCGTGTTTAGTTCGGAAGTGGATGCCTTCCCGTAGGATTTGGAGCACTTCTAAATCACAAAGCGGACTGCGAAACACTGTGTCGGAACAGCAGGATTTGTGAAACCATAGCGTCGTGTTGGAAAGTAGCGCCCAAATTTCTGGAGCTCCAGAAATTAGGGAGCGCCCAAGGGCAGACAAGCCGAGGGCATGATTACAAAGAAAGACAAAGAAGGAAATTTGCTTATATAAAGTGGAGCGTCTAGAACTGTATATATACAGAAATCTATTTTAGGACGCGTAATCACGCGCCCCGACGCATCTTGACCCGCCATCACTACCTTCCTATTTGGGAACTAAGGCGCGATTTCTAACAGGTTATGAGCCCCGGCTCTAGCCAATAAATACTTGGATAACAACAGCCCCTATTGTGGCTACAAAAATTGTTACCCCCTTACTAGTACGAGAACAAATAATGTCGACCAGTGCTGATAATACGAGCAATAGCAATGCTTACCGGATCCCGCTCCTGAAGGAAGACAATTGGCTCCCGTGGAAGCGCCGCGTCGAGGCCATCCTTAATGATAAGGGTCTCCAGGAGTATGTGACCGGAAAGACACCGAAGCCGCAGCCGAGTAATGACCCGGCCAATAGGGCAGCGAGAGAGGCGGAGATTAGCGCCTGGGGAGAGAAGGACCTCAAGGCCCAGAACGTAATTGTGCTATCGCTGGGAGATTCCCAGATGGTGCACATCGCTGGAGCTGAGACGGCACGGGCCATGTGGGAGCAGCTTCGCACAGTCAAGGAACAGCGTGGACAGCATGGAATTCTCGCGCTGTGCCGGCGTTTTTACCGGATGCAAGCCAAGGAAGAAGATAATATCTCCAGTCACATTACACAGCTACGACAGATCCAGGAACAACTCCACCTAATGGGGAAGGTTGTTTCTGACGAGGATTTCCGGCTCATTCTGGCTACCTCATTACCGGAGAGCTGGGACTCTTTCCTCAGCTCTTACTTTGGCGCCGTGGGCGGCAATGTTGGCGCCGAAGGTGCTGACAATGTGCGCCCTCAGCTTACATCACAAGAATTGATTGCCATCATTTTTGATGAAAATAGGCGAAGGCACGAGCGTGGCGAGCGCGGTCAATCCTCGGACCAAGCCATGGTTGCCAAAGGAAAGAAGCGCCCCTTTGGGGAATACAAAAAATGTTCGATCTGCGGAAAGCCGGGACATCTTGGTAACGAGTGTCGGCACCGCGACAAGGTCAAATGTATGAATTGCGGAAAATTCGGGCATAAGGCCACGGATTGTTGGGCTAAAGGCGGCGGCAAAGCCGGACAGGGCCCGCCGATGAAACGGCAAAAGATGGAACGTGCTTACGAAGCGCGCGAGGTCGAATCGAAAGAGGATGAGGCAAAAATAGCCTACGATAATGATAGCGACACTGTATCTCTCGGATCTGATGGCGAAATCGCTTCTTTCTATGAGTGGTTTGCCGACTCCGGGACAACTTCGCACATTACAAATCGTTGTGAAGTCTTCGCGACCTATCAGGCGCTCGAAGATCACACGATCATGGGCATCGGACCGCAACCAACGCAGGCATTGGGCCGCGGTACGGTCGATGTCGAAAGTGAAGTAGGAGACCGGAAAGTGAAATTCCGTCTCCACGGTGTACTGTATGCGCCGACAGCACCCAATAGCCTCCTCTCCATCATGCGTTTGGACGACACGGGAGGAAGAGTACTTATGGGTAATAGTCGTGCAATACTAATAGATAAAAATAAACACACTCTTGCTATAGGCAAGAAAAATGGACGACTATATTCATTGAAATTGCGTCCAATAGTTCCGCAACCTGTGCGAACCTATACTGCTAAGGAATACGGCCCGCATACCTGGGAAGAGTGGCACAAGATCTATGACCATATCGGGAAACCAGCGCTTATGCGATTATATCGCGAAGGGCTTGTTGATGGCCTAGAAATCTCGCCAAGCCCAGATGAAATTAATTGCGAGGCGTGCATCCAAGCAAAGGCAACGCGGAAGCCATTTCCCAAAGAGACGGACGAATGCAACAAGGTACCCGGAGAATTAACACACACGGATGTGTGGGGACCTGCGCAGACAGCCGCTCTACAAGGGTGGAAATATTTTATTACATTTACCGATGATTACAGTCGTCGAAGTACAGTACTATTTATGAGGCATAAAGATGAAGTAACAGAAAAGGTAAAGAATTATATTACCTATATCGAGCACAAGTTTGGAAATAAACCCTTGCGACTCAGGCTCGACAACGGTCGAGAATATATGAACACCGAATTAATTAACTGGTGTCAAATGAAAGGGATCGAGATGGGTCCGACTGTGCCGTACTCACCATCCCAGAATGGAGTCTCTGAGAGATTGAATCGCACACTGCTTGGACTAGCGCGCGCGATGATCTATGCGAGAGATCTACCTCGTTATCTTTGGGCTGAAGCGATTGCTCACGCAGTCTATATTAAAAATAGATCGCCTACCCAGGCGTTAAATGGGGCAACTCCCGAAGAAAAATGGAATGGGACGAAACCAAATATCTCGTACCTACAAGAATTCGGTTCCCCCGTATGGGTCCTCACGGAGGATGCAACACTATCAAAGCTAGCGCCCCGTGCCAACAAGTATATTTTTGTTGGATACATGGACGGACCCAAAGCCATCAAATATTATGATGCGCATATGCGCCAGATTAAAATCTCGCGTAATTTCCAATTTTCTTCGAATTCCCCGGACCATTTGCCCGGCAACGCGCCTCACGTGCCACAAGAGCAAATAGGATCCGACATACCTATCCTCACAGCACAGCGTGAGGGGGAGCAAAATATATTTCCGGGCACTTTATCTAGCAATGCGTCAGACGTGCCGCATGCGGAAAGGAGACCCGAAGTCCCAAACCTCACAACGACCGCAGACGTGCAGCGCGAGGGGGAGTTAGGAACTTCCACGCCACAGTCACCTGCCAAAAATCCGCGAAAGCGCAGACAGGATGATGATCCTGATCAACGCGAGGAAAGCGGGACGGACGCACCAAGCCAGCCCAGACAAACCAGAAGAAAGACAGTTCGGCATGATTACCGTCTAATGCACGACCCAGAGGCAGACGAAGATCTGGATAATGATCCAGATAAATCAAATGCCGAATTAGTCTATATTGCGATGAGCGCCCACGGAAATGTGGATGCGGACGAGCCAAAGACGCTCAGTGATGCCAAGAGATCACTCGAGTGGCCCAAATGGGAACAGGCAGTCCAGACGGAACTCAATCAACTACAGGGTATGGAGACTTGGGAGTTAGTGGAACCTCCCGAAGATCGAAAACCCGTAGGAAATAAATGGGTTCTAGTTAAGAAAACAAACAAAGAGGGTGAAATAATCAAATACAAAGCCCGCCTGGTTGCGAAGGGATATTCTCAAATCCCAGGCATGGACTATACCGAGACGTTCGCGCCCGTAGTCCGCCTCGAAACCATTCGAGCTATCCTCGGGCTAGCCGCAATCTTAGATTGGGAGATCGGACAGATGGACGTGAAAGGCGCCTATCTTAATGGAACTCTCAAAGAAGAAGTGTATATGCGGCAACCCGAAGGATACAGCGATGGAACATACCGCGTATGTAAATTAAAGAAAACCCTCTACGGGCTAAAGCAGTCTGGCCGAGAATGGAATATCGTGCTGAACCGCAAGTTACTAGACGCGGGATTCAAGCACCTATTCTCGGATCCATGTGCGTACATTCGGATCAAAGGTGATAAGATAGAAATCGTCACCGTTTGGGTAGACGACCTATTAATATTCACCAATGGTTGCGCACTGATGGACCAATTGAAGAGGGAACTCCGAAATATGTTCGAAGTTACCGACCTTGGCGAACCCCGAAAAATTGTGGGGATAGAAATTGAGAGAGACCGTTCAAAGCGGACAATCAAAATCTCTCAGACAAAATATATTGAGTCTATCCTACACAAGAATGGGCTTACGAACGCCAACACGGTCGGGATGCCTCTTGATCCAAATACAGTGCTTGAAAAAGAAGAACCCGAAACTGATGACGAATGCGACCGAGACAACGGATATGCATCGCTCGTTGGATCACTGATGTACGTGGCAATTGCCATGAGACCAGACATTGCTCACGCCGTGCAACGGCTTAGCTCATTTACTGCCAATCCCAGAATGGCTCATTGGACTGCTGCTAAACGCGTCCTCCGCTATCTATCCGGAACGCGAGAACTTGGAATAATCTACGGGCCAATTGCAGATGTCAAGCCCGAAGATCAATCCATATTTGTGGGCTACTCAGATGCAGACTATGCGAACGATATCCGAGATCGCAAATCAATCTCGGGATATTTATTTAAATTAGGAAATGGCACGATCACGTGGAGCTCAAAGAAGCAAACCACGGTCGCGTCATCCACCACGGAAGCCGAATACATGGCATCCGCCGAAGCGGCAAAAGAAGCCGTATGGCTCCGAACACTATTCAAAGAAATAGGTTTCGAGCAACAAGATCCTACAATTTTATTCGAGGATAATACAGCGGCGATCTCAATCGCACGTGATCCCCAATTCCACACGAAATCAAAACATTTTGATGTAAAGCATTATTATGTGTGCAAAAAATTGAGGGATAAATATATTGATATCCACTACTGTCCCACGGAGGACATGATAGCGGATATCCTAACAAAGTCACTCCCTAAGCCGAGGCACGAGAAGCTCACAAAGAAGCTCAGAATGCCCATCGGCTTGAGGGGGAGTGTTGGAAAGTAGCGCCCAAATTTCTGGAGCTCCAGAAATTAGGGAGCGCCCAAGGGCAGACAAGCCAAGGGCATGATTACAAAGAAAGACAAAGAAGGAAATTTGCTTATATAAAGTGGAGCGTCTAGAACTGTATATATACAGAAATCTATTTTAGGACGCGTAATCACGCGCCCCGACGCATCTTGACCCGCCATCACTACCTTCCTATTTGGGAACTAAGGCGCGATTTCTAACATGTCGCAACATGATGATGATCAAACCAAGTTCTAGAGGGTCGGAGGACGAGCGGCAGCATGATGTAAGCAATATGCAGCACCAAATATAGGCAAAGATGGGCATTGCGAGTGGGCGGAGATCGAAATCAGCGTTTAGAGAGACGTTTAGAATCTGGAAGGGGGGGTCAACCCCCCCTTCCAGATATAAGGTTTAGAAAGAGCTCACTTTGCTCTCACGGTATGCGGAGATCAATTTGCTGACATGCCGGCCTGATTTAGAGACGAAATTTAGTTTAGAACTGTTGAGAATAATGGATAAATTCCCAAGTGATATCGCGATGATGTCTCGGATGAAGGGAAGACCCGATTACTTAGCCGGGTTCCTGAAATAGATTTCTTTATATACATTCTATATAAAGTTCCCTTACATAATCATTCCCCGCTGTGGCGGGATCGCTTCCTCCGGGTATTCCCAACACTCCCCCTCGGGCCGATGGGCATCCCAAGCATTTCCATAAGCTTTTGGTGCCTTGGCTTTGCGAGGGGTTTGGTAAAAATATCGGCTACCATATCTTCTGTAGGGCAGTAGATTATTTCCATTTTTCCATCATTTATCTTTTCTCGCACATAATGATACTTTATATCAAAATGTTTTGAGCGCGCGTGATACTGTGGATCATGGGCGATTGAGATCGCAGCCATGTTGTCTCCGTGGACAATCGTCGGCTGTTCCTGGTCGAAGCCTATTTCCTTAAATAGATTCCGTAGCCAGATGGCTTCTTTTGCTCCGAGAGCGGACATTATATATTCCGCCTCTGTGGACGAAGAAGCGACCATTGTTTGCTTCTTTGAACTTCACGTTATCGTGCTTCTTCCTATTTTGTAAACGTATTCTGAAATAGATTTACGCTCGCAAACATTATTCGCAAAATCCGCATCTGTGTACCCGATGAGCACATCTGCATCGTGCCCTTCATTATCCGCCGGACCGTATATTATTCCGACTTCACGTGTGCCTGCTAAGTAGCGGAGCATGCATTTGGCGGCTGTCCAGTGGGTCAGGTTTGGCCTAGCCATGAACGAGCTCAATCTTTGGATAGCATACGCGATATCCGGTCGCGTGGCTACTGCGGCATACATCAGAGATCCGATCAATGAAGCGTATCCGCTGTCTCGGTTTGGCACCTCATTTGCGTCATCCTCGTCCTTCTCGAGGGTGACGTTCAGATTGAGAGGCATCCCTACCGAGTTCGCGTTCTCGAGTCCGTGTCTTCGTAGAATAGAGTCAATATATTTGTTTTGCGATACCTTTATTGTTTTCTTTTCTCGGTTTCGCTCAATTTCTATCCCTACGATCTTCTTGGGCTCGCCTAGATCGGTAACTTCAAACATACTTTGGAGTTCCTTTTTCAGGCGGTCCATGAGGTTGTGATCATTTGTGAACAGTAATAAATCGTCCACCCATACAGTGACGATCTCTGTTTTTCCATTTCTTGTCCTGATGTACGCACATGAGTCCGCGAATAGTCGTCTGAATCCCGTGTCGAGTAATTTGCGGTACAGTATTATATTCCATTCGCGTCCAGCTTGTTTGAGTCCATAGAGGGTCTTTCGCATGCGGCATACTCGGTGTGTTCCGTCGCTAAATCCCTCCAGCTGGCGCATATAAATTTCCTCTTTCAGGATACCATTCAGGTACGCGCCCTTGACGTCCATCTGTTGGATATCCCAATCGAGAATTGCGGCTAGCCCGAGAATTGCGCGGATTGTCTCGAGACGGACAACTGGGGAATATGTTTCCGTGTAGTCCATTCCCAGAATCTGTGAGTAGCCTTTAGCGACCAAACGTGCTTTGAATTTAATTACCTCTCCCTCTCTATTTGTTTTCTTTACTAGGACCCATTTGTTGCCTACCGGAGTTCTTCCTTGGGGTAAGTCTACTAACTCCCAAGTGCCCATGTTGTCTAGTTGCTCGAGTTCCGCTTGAACAGCCGTCTCCCACTTCGGCCATTCAGATGAGTTTTTCGCATTATTGAGCGATTTAGGCTCATTGGCCTCCATGTTTTCTTCGCTCATCGCTACGTATATGAGATCGGCGATTGATGCGCTATCATTATCCTCAGCATCTGCGTCCGCATTATCTTCGGCGTCAGTGTTGGGATCATTTAGCAACCGATAATCTGGTCTGACAGTTACACGCTTGCTACGCCTGGGCTCGTTCTCATTGGGTGCGTCTCTATCCTCGTCTTCTTCGCATCTGCGCTTTAGCGGGTTATTGACGGAGGACTGTAGCGCGTCTCCCCTGGAATCTGAAGACTCCCCCTTGCGCTGCACATCTGCAGTCCTCGATTGCAGGGCATCGGGTCCTTCTCCCTCACGCGGTTGTAATGTCGCGTTATTTGGAGATGGATCCCGGTTAGTGAAGTGGTAATTTCGCGTCATTTTTATTTGATGCGTTTTAGCATCGTAATATTTGATGGCATTCGGCCCGTCTACATAGCCAACAAATATGTATTTATTGGCTCTTGGTGCAAGCTTCGAGAGCGCGATGTCCTCTGTGAGAACCCAAATGACGCTGCCGAATTCTCGTAAATGAGATATATTCAGCTTTGATTGGTTCCACTTCTCTTCAGGGGTGGCATGGTCGAGCGCACTGGTGGGCGCTCGATTTTTGATGTAGGCTGCATGTGATACAGCCTCGGCCCATAGATAACATGGTAGATCCTTCGCGTAGATCATTGATCTTGCGAGGGCAAGTAGCGTTCGGTTGAGACGCTCTGCAACTCCGTTTTGGGATGGAGAGTACGGCGCAGTCGTCTCTATTTCAATCCCATGGGCGGCACACCAATTCGTTAATTCGGTGTTGATATATTCTTGCCCATTGTCTATGCGGAGTTTTTGCAGTTTGTTCCCGAAACATCGATCAAGGTAGGTCATATAATTCTTTACCTTGTCTGTAGTTTCGGTCTTCGTTTTGGTAAACACGACTGTGCTTCGTCGTGTGTAATCGTCTGTGAAGGTTACAAAATATCTCCACCCGCCTATTGCAGCGGTCCGCGCTGAGCCCCAGACATCGGTATGTGTAAACTCACCGGGTTGATGGCTTCTCCCACTTGCCGCTTTAGGGAATGGCTTCTTTGATGCCTTTCCCTGAATGCATGCAGCGCATTCGATATTGGCCGGGCCGGGCAGAAATTGTAAGCCCTCGACTAGATGGTCGCGCTGCAAAGTTTGTAGCGCGGCTTTGCTGATGTGTCCGTATGATCGGTGCCACTCTTCCCAGGTGTGCGGGTCGTTCTCGGACACTATGTATGCACTCCCTTGTTGCAGCTTAACCACTCAGGCGTGTAATAAATATAATCTACCTTTCATTTTGGTGACAGTGAGGGTTTTTCCGTGGTGATCGATTAAGATTGCGCGCCGATCTCCCATGAATGTTCGGCCACCGGCTTCGTCAAGTCTTGGTATTGAAAGTAGATTGCATGGGGATCGCGGTGCATATAGCACATCACGTAATTGGAACTTAATTTTTCTATTACCTACCTTACCTTCGAGCTGTATGGTTCCCCGCCCATAGGCTTGGACAGTGCCAAGTCTGCTTATTGCATGCATCAGCAAAAGTGTCGGTGAAAATACATGGAAATACATAGATTTGCAAACTTTACCTAGGTTGCAAATGTCGCCGGCAAGGTAATAGAACTGCAGAAATAGCCATTGAACCTTCAATTGTTTGCAAGACCTTCGCCGACAATTGCAAGTGAATGCCAGCATTGCAAGAGCTTGCTCGCGTGGCATTAATTTGCAAGTCTGGCAATGTTTGGCAAGCCCAGTCATATTTTGCAACTGCATAGTGGTGCTGTGGGAGAAACCCAGCTGGGCTGTTCTCAGGTAGTTCTCGATGATTTTGTACTCAGAGATCTCAATGCGCAAATAACATAGGGCCATATATATTCAAAAAGATGGTGCATAGAGTACAGTAGCGGAATCGACAAAAATCAGAGTAAACTAAAAACAATTACCACTCGGGATAGATGTGCGAGCCGTTCACTTACCATGCACGAAGCCGATGAATGCTATCGGAGATCATGAATCAAGTCTGAGCTTGTGTACGTGCTGCACACTGGGCCGCCAGTCTTGATGCAGCAGTAGACATGCTTGCGCCGCTTGCGGATGGATCTTGGTTGTTGTTGGTTGGTGTGCCATAGATCTCCCTTCAGTGAGCGATGTCAGCAATGCAAGCATTGGTCAAGGCTATACGTACTTGTTCCACCATGCGAGTGTCATTTCTGCCCACCCAACGTCCTCAAAAAGCTTCACAATGGCATTAAAGAAGTCTTCACTGTTGAAATTGCTGTCAACTGATGACCATTTCTCTTAACCGTTGAGCACGAAGTGAACCTTGTAATGAGGATATTAGTAACTAGCGCAAGACGTAATGTCCGAATGTATCCTCACCAGTACCGCAACATAAGCAAGATTTCGGGAGCTCACCTGGCTGAGCTGATAGATTTGTGCCAGCGGCGGTCGACCAGGTCCCCTTTGCTTCCCGCTACCAGTGTTCTTCACTGTGCGAGGTCCGGTGAAGAGTGACTTGAAACACTGAAGACAAAATTGTTCAGCACGAAGATCTCCAAGCCTCAATAATCCACTTACCGCAACCAATAGTGGACCCTTTAAAAGCCCTGCATCAAGCTCATCAGGATCGTACTCAGCCTGGTCATAGAGGAACGAAGGGTAATCATCTGATAGGATTCTGGTCTCACCGTCTCTCACTCGGCGGCAGAAGCTACACAGCAGGTACTATTGAGCACATGGTTGGACATAAAAAGAGACTCGTACCTTACGGGATCCTCGTCAAACTCTTGTAACAAGATTTGTGAGCAGAGCTGCCGCCCCGTTGTGATGCTGACAAATCCGCGTTCCCACTTAGGGTCGTCCGAGTTGAGAATGGGGTAGCCGTCCAGCCTAGGTATATAGTTGATCATCCTCGCCTTAAGCGAGGCAATATCATCAGAGCGAGTGCTGCGCAGGTGAGCATCAAGCTGTAAATGATTCGTAACCAACAACATAATAGAATAATCATGCAGAAGAATGCACATAATTTGCGAGGATGTGGACAGCACTCGGATCTTCTTCAAAGAGGTCGATATCGACCTTTAAGCCTGGGATGATATCCAATATGGCCTTGTAAGCATATTCAAGCTCTTGGCGCTGGTTTTCAGAGCTACAAAGGCAAATTGAGACTGTGAGTAGCGACACATACGAGACATAGAGACTTACAGCTCCTCTGGAAGATCATTGTCATCCATATTATCGTCGTTGTCATCACTGTTTTCGACATGTTGATATGCTCGCAACCCGAGCTGTATAGCCTGCATCGGGTTCACAAAGGGTCCAATGCCACGAGGAATGTACCTTGCACCCCTGTGGTAAGTCATCAATGTGCGATTTCCTCTGAGATTTTAGTAAGTGATGTAGGTTCTCATGAGCGCACGATCTGTCACTCACTTGTCAACTTTCCCCGTGCGGCTAAGATCATCCATGGTGTTTTCAAAGTGAAGCCGCTTGCGTCGAGTGGCAGGATCCAAGTCAGTATAATCCTGGTCGCCGAGATGTTTTTTACGTAGAATTTCCTCCTCTTCAGGATCAGAATCATCTTCGGGAATGTCCTCAGGATCTTTGTCATCGTTGTCGAGATTATCTATGCCAGAAAGGTCAATAGAATTCTTCTGTACTGAAGATTTCCGTTGAAAGGGAGAAAGAGATGATCTTGCAGTGCATTGTACATGGTGCGCTCGCGCAACCTTGGCAGCCACAGTGTGGCCATTGCTCGGAGTCTGCGTGCGAGTGTGCTTGTCGCGTGGTTTCAGGAGGGCTTTACGATGGACCAGCTGTTTAGGAGCAAGTGGTGGCATGGCAGTGGGTAATTCAGGTAAGAGATGGTGGTAGAAGTCAAGAGTGGGTGGGTTACTGGCCACGGTGCAAGCAAGTATATTATAAGACAATAGCACACCAATTACATCATATGATCGTGGCGCGTTGTGGCGGCCCATCATTTACTTCTGCTTCCCCTCATCTCATGCTACTGTCGAAGCTAATATTTTTTTTTCTGTTTGTAATGCTCTGTTTTGGCTGCCAAAGAAGAATCACAGTGGTTGGATACAAAAATCACACCAATCGGTGCAAAGAAGCCCTTCAGTTCACTGCAGGTTCTGTTCAGAAACATAGAGAGAATGTGGCCAAAACGGCCTCTTCGAAGCTCAGACGACTTGAGTACAATCAGGACCTGAGCAATGAGCGTGCTTTGCGTGGTCTCGGACAGGCATTCATCAAGAAGGCTGTGGATTTACAGCAGAATTTTTTCGTTCCCTTCCTCAATGTCACCACATATCAGTTAATTTCCTGGTTTTATAATGCATCCTCTGTCAAATCAGTTGAAGATCTTGACTGTCTCGTTGATGAAGTGCTCCATGCCGAGGATTTCGATATGAAGCATCTTGAAACTTTGGTGCAGCTCGTGAACTCAAGCGGCTGGATGATTACACCACTGCATTCGATGCGAATGACAACTGAAAAGAAGGTTCTGTCAGGATTCGATTACCAAAGGAGAATGCAAAGTACAAGACTGAAGCAGACACTCCGGAGTTCGAAGTCTCCGGGATTTACTATCGCCCACTGCTAGAGGTCATCAAGGCTGCGTACATGGATATCTCTGCTCGACAGTATCACTTCATCTCACACAAGCTCTTCTGGCAACCACCATTGGAGCCGAGTTTGAATGGTCATGAAGATGCAGAGTCAGAGCCAGTACAAATTTATAGTGAGCTTTACAATTCAGATGCAATGCTGGAAGAGGATGCAAAGATTCATACTCAACCTCGTGATCCTGAGGATGACCCCAGTGTCGAAGTAGCCATTGCACCGGTCATGATATGGTCCGACTCCACTCACCTTGCAAGCTTCGGAAGTGCATCACTTTGGCCGATCTATGTCTATTTTGGCAGCCTGTCAAAGTATTTCTGGGGAAAACTGAGTGCATTCGCTGCACATCATCTGGCTTATATACCGTCGGTATGTCCTTTCCATATTTTGTAAATGCAAGCTTGTCACTGACGTATCCTAATAATCTCAGTTGCCAGAGAAAATCCAGGACTACTATATTTCAATATACAATGTTGCTGCAATGACTGCTGTTCTAACATTCTGCAAGTGTGAGCTCATGCAGGCAATTTGGCTTCTTCTGTTGGATCCGGAATTTATGCATGCCTATCAACACGGCATTCTAATCATTTGCGAAGATGGTATTCTACGACGTCTCTTCCCTCGGTTTTTTACATACTCTGCTGAGTATCCAGAGAAGTAAGTGTATTCTTTCAACAAGTCATACTTTGTAACTTATGCGACTTATCTGCAGAGTCCTACTCTCCTGCATCAAATACCTTGCACGTTGTCCTTGTCCACGGTGCCTCATTGAGAAGTCAAACATTTCGCAGATGGGTACGAAGGCTGACTCATACCACCATGCAAAGACTCATCAGGATGATAGTTGGCTTCGAAATGTGCTCACTATGGCATGCAACTAGATATTCAAGAAAGGTTGGGCATTGACAAGCAAGAAATTCCGGGCACTTGACATCAAGTCATTGATCCCAACAAGGGTGCGTAGCTTATTCTTTATGACACAATCCTCACTAATTAATGTGGTCAATCCAGAGTGCATTTTCTACTCGCCTCTCCCAGTTCGGCTTCAACTTTTACTCGATGTTCGTGCCAGACCTTATGCATGAATTTGAGCTTGGTGTATGGAAGGCAATCTTCATTCATTTGCTGTGTATTCTATATGCTGCCGGTGGTGATAAGATCCAGGAGTTTAATAAAAGGTGACCACAAGTATTCACTGGCTGCAAACTTCATACACTAATTGTCATCTTGAGTGCAGATTTCGCAAGGTGCCAACATTTGGTCGTGATACCATCCGACACTTCAGTGCCAACGTCTCAGCTATGAAGAAATTAGCGGCACGAGACTTTGAAGACATTCTGCAGGTAACGTACATGCCACTCGTGCTGTTACCAGTTGCTAACAAAAATGTACTGTCTAGTGCATTATTCCAGTCATGGAGGGTCTTCTGCCGAAGAGACATGACAAGATCATTGCTGATCTTTTATTTGAACTGGCTAACTGGCATGCACATGCGAAGTTGCGGATACATACTGACAGCACATTGAAGAGCTTTGAAAAGGTCACTACTTCACTCGCCGCGGCGGTGCGCCACTTTGTCTGAACAACTTGTAAAGATTTTGTCATGAGAGAACTCCCTAAAGAGGAGGCCGCTAGAGGGCGTCGCAAAGCCGCACTGGCTGCCAAAGGTGGCGTGGCACAGAGGCGTTCCAGCAAAATGGGAGCGAAGCATAAGAGACTCAACCTGGAGACATACAAATATCACTCTCTTGGTGATTATCCCAAGACGATCCGATTAGTCGGTACAACAGACAACTACAGTACGCAGGTGGTGAGCTCAGTCATTACTTGCTCAGAGTTGTGAGAATATACTGACCACAGCTGTGCAGGGTGAACTTGAACACCGCCGGGCGAAGCGCTTTTATGCATGTACAAATAAGAATCGGTTTGTTTTTCAGATTGCAAGGCACCAGCGCAGAGAAGCTGTCTTGCAGGCCATGAAGCGAAGGGAAGGGGAAACTCAGCATCGGACATATGAACAGACAAGAACTCTTGAGGCCGCACAAAATCGTGGCACAGCCCTCAGCTTCTCAGACCAAGAGCCTCTCCCTTTCACATCCCCGAGAATGTGTTATCACACGTCCGAATCCGAGCGGTACCACGAAGATCTTACTGGATGGGTTGCAAAGAACAAGGATGACTGTGCTTTTGTGGTAAGTCCATGCATTGGTTGCATCGGTAAGACATGAACATCACAATCTTTTTGACAGGATTTCATTCCTAGTCTCAAAGACCACTTGCTCGCACATCTCACAGGCTAACTGTTTAACGGAGATGACTACACGTTCTCAAATGCAGAACGGGACCAAGTTGCATTTGCAAACAACCGCATCTATCGTCACAAGGTAATCCGGATCAACTACACAACTTACGATATGTGTCGCGCTCAAGATTCCATCAATCCGCACACTCATGCAGACATTATGGTCCTTGCACGTGAAGATGGGACGGCCGGTGTAGATGAACATTTGTTCTGGTATGCTTGCGTTACACTGGTTTTCACTAGACTCGTCTGCTCCTGGGGGGTTCGCGCGGTGACGCTTGCCCCGCATCACCTTTGTTGATTCACAGGGTCCTGATATTCCATTTGGGTTTGTCAGCCCAGACGAGGTTCTTCGAGGAACACATCTTATTCCTGCATTTGCCCATGGCAAGACATCCAAGTTACTGCCACAATCTATTGCATGCCAGGAAAGCGAGCAAAATGAAGACTGGAAGTACCATTATGTGAATATGTATGTATTTCCATCTTTCTGCACTCAAATATTCAAGCACTGATGCTGCTGACTAGATTTGTTGACCGTGATATGTTCATGCGCTACCTAGGTGGGGGTGTTGGCCACAAGGGTGCAGGAGCTTCACAGTACCGGATGCACAAGGAGAATGAACACTGCAATGGACAGGATAGAGGAGATGAGGATGGGGAGAGTCAGGGTGAGTATGCAAACGAGGAGGAGGAAGGGGACAAGGTGGATGTGGATGATGAAGACGAGGAAGACACAGATGGTGAGAATGATGATGGAAAGGAGGAGGAGGAGGAGGAGGAGGATGATGATGATGATGACGACAATGAGGTAGGTGAAGAGGAGGGCGACGAGGAAGACAATATTGTCGACCTTGGCCCGGAGGATGGCGAGGATGGTAATATTGTTGGAGGCTTCGGGATGACCTTATTAGGCAATCCGGAGCATCCAGGTAGTCGGGCGATATTCCCCGATATCTTATTCAGCATCGAAGGATACAGTAGCTACGAGAACTATGTGGCATGTTCTGGACTAGTCTACTGGTGTAGTATATAAGGAGGGACCTCTTGCAGGTCCCAGTAATAATATCTCTTCCCCAATCACTCACTCGGAGGAATTTATACGAGCTGCGCTAATAAATATTGAGGATGAATATGGGGTTGATGGTTTTGCACCGCTATGACTCGGAAGGCCGGGTATGAGGTGAGCTCCTTTTGCTTTCTTTGACTTGGAATTTTCTTAACTTTCGATGCAGGACCATGTCTTCATCGCCAAGTGTAACAGGCCTCCAGCCACATGAGCCTGCCGATAGTCCATGATGTCTAATTCTCTTCTCTCGTTAGCTGTGTATGTTTTCACTGCTTGAACATGTACTTGTACTATATAGAAACATATTCTACAGTCCCTATACCTTATTAAAACCTTAGTTCTCTGTACAGCGAGCGTGTCGAAGCCACGAGTCAATTGGCGCTGGTGGGCGCTTGTCATGCCCTACAATCTTTGACCTGTGCTGGTAGCCGGCTGTCTATGTTTACAAGCCAAAGCAAGAGCTGTTATCATTTGCATCCCTTACCGAAGCCGACAGACGTTTACAGTCGATTGAAAGAAAATACAAGGCAAGCGGCCGAATTGCAAGCAATCACCTGCATTGCACTCTCATGCAATCTCCCCGCACTTTTGCTGATGTGATGCTCGAGAGGTTTGTAGGTTAAGAATATATCGCAATTTTTTGCGACATGCGACATTGTCGCTGAATCGGCATACCAGTCATAGAAGGAATCAAAATCATCATTCCCTGAGCTAGTGCCTAAGGATACCATATCGCTATCGCGATCTTCTTTATCATTCTCGCGTGCAACGTGCTCTCTGTCCTTGCTTTTGCCGCCGGCATCGCGCATCTGCTCAAATTTTCAGCGCTTGTACGGAGGTTCTTCGGATGATGCACCTCGATATGGGACATTGGACGGTCCTGCTCTGGAAGGCGCTTGTCCCTCCTTGCCACCGCTCTTGGCCCAACAATCTTTCCCGACGTGCCTGAACTTTCCACAATTGGAACAGATGGGCTTGTCTCAGTTTCGGCATTCGTTAGCCGTGTGTCCCATCTTATGACAGATGGAACATTTCTTGATCGAGTCTCGCTTCCGCTTCTGGCTTTGGGCAGTAAGTGCTTGCTCTGGCTCGACGTGCTGATCACGGTCGAGACAGCACCTATATTCGCCGATGACTACAGCGATCAATTCTGGTGTCGTCATTGGCGGAGAGTTTGGCTGAGAACTCATCGCGCCAGTGTATGACACCATATACGAGTCCCAGCTGCTGGGCAGGGACTTGATGAGGATTCCATTAAAATCTGCATCCGTTATTTGCTTTCCCATCATCTGTAATTGCTCGCGTATCTCCCGAAGCTTGGCGATGTGCTTCGGGATATTCACGCCTTCGTCAGCATGGTAATCATAGAAAACTCGACTCAATGCTATAATCCCATGTTGTCCTTTCAGCTCCTTTACCATGCGAAGCAGATCTCACATATGATGCGCCGTTGTAGCTCCTTCCATATGGATCACCTGTGCATCGTCCAGGCACATGATGATCAAATTCCTCGCCCTCTGATCCTTCTCGCCCCACTTCTGAATCTCGGCATCGCGCGCTTCTCTGGTATCCGGATTAGCGCTCAGCTCCGGTTTCTGTATCTCACCGGTGATGTAGCCGAGAAGCTTCTTCTCGTCCAGGAACGCAGTCATGCGCCTCTTCCATGGCATCCAGTTGTCCTCCTTCAGAGGATGGATCCGATACATACTGTTCAGAATGTCCTTGTCGTTGTTCGACATCCTGTCACCTGGAACAGGGGTAGTTTTTCTTGTATGAGTGAGGATAGTTTTATTGGTCGTTAGCAGCAGTAGGATACAAGTCCGAGGTTTTAGACGGTCTCGGGGCTCATAACCTGTTGAGAATAATGGATAAATTCCCAAGTGATATCGCGATGATGTCTCGGATGAAGGGAAGACCCGATTACTCAGCCGGGTTCCCGAAATAGATTTCTTTATATACATTCTATATAAAGTTCCCTTACATAATCATTCCCCGCTGTGGCGGGCTCCATGGGTGCCCTCAGATCGCTTCCTCCGGGTATTCCTAACAAGAACGTTTCTAAACGGCTACAGGAAGACCAGCCCATTCAGTCATGTTTGTGAACTGGACTCCCATTTACCCTGACATTGTCATGAACTGGACAGCCAGCGGACGTCGGCCCATCGGTCTGTGTAAGGAGCTGTCAGCGATTGGCTCATGGCGATGAAGGGAATGCTGGAGCGATGGGCCCACCGCCATAGGAGTATTTCTGAGCGATCGGCCCACCACCATGATGCTACTATTATACAGGCATGGGCCCACCGCCGCGGTGATAGTTCTGAGCGATGGGCCCACCGCCATAGGTGTATTTTTGAGCGATCGGCCCACTGCCACGGGGCTATTATACAGCCATCGGCCCACCGCCATAGGTAGTGTTCTGAGTGATCGGCCCACCGCCACGGGGCTATTACACAGCCATCGGCCCACCGCCATAGGTAGTGTTCTGAGTGATCGGCCCACCGCCACTAGGGCTATTATACAGCCATTGGCCCACTGCCATAGGTAGTGTTCTGAGCGATCGGCCCACCGCCATAGGTAGTGTTCTAAGCGATCGGCCCACCACCATAGGGATATTTCTGAGCGATCAGCCCACCGCCACGGGGCTATTGTACAGCCATCGGCCCACCGCCATTGGAGCTGTTCTGAGCCATCAGCCAACTGCCATAGGTAGTGTTCTGAGCGATCGGCCCATCGCCACGGTGCTATTATACAGCCATCGGCCCACCGCCACTGTGGTAGTACTGAGCGATGGGCCGACCATCATAGGTAGTGTTCTGAGTGATCGGCCCACTGCCACTGGGGCTATTATAGAGCCGTCGGCCCACCGCCATATGTAGTGTTCTGAGCGATCGGCCTACCGCCATAGGTATATTTCTGAGTGATCGGCCCATCGCCACGGGGCTATTATACAGCCATCGGCCCACCGCCACCGTGGTAGTACTGAGCGATGGGCCGACCGCCATAGGTATACTTCTAAGCGATCAGCCCCCCGCCATTGGTATATTTCTCAGTGATCGGCCCACCGCCATGACGCTATTATACAGCCATCGGCCCACCGCCATAGGTAGTGTTCTGAGCGATGGGCCGACCTCCATAGGTAGTGTTCTGAGCGATGGGCCCACCGCCATAGGTATATTTCTGAGCGATCGGCCCACTGCCACGGGGCTATTATACAGCCATCGGCCCACCACCATAGGTAGTGTTCTGAGCGGTGGGCCGATCGCCATAGGCAGTGTTCTGAGCGATCGGCCTACCGCCATAGGTATATTTCTGAGCGATCGGCCCACTGCCACGGTGCTATTATACAGCCATCGGCCCACCGCCATAGGTAGTGTTCTGAGCGATGGGCCAACCTCCATAGGTAGTGTTCTGAGCGATCGGCCTACCGCCATAGGTATATTTCTGAGCGATCGGCCCACTGCCACGGGGCTATTATACAGCCATCGGCCCACCGCCATAGGTAGTGTTCTGAGCGATGGGCCCACCGCCATAGGTAGTGTTCTGAGCGATGGGCCGACCTCCATAGGTAGTGTTCTGAGCGATCGGCCCACCACCACGGGGCTATTATACAGCCATCAGCCCACCGCCATAGGTATATTTCTGAGCCCATAAGCATGGGTCGCCTGAAATATCTGACTAGCCCGGGCATAGCTGAGTTATTTGCCTTGCCCTAGGTTGTCAACTGGGCTCATATCGTGTCCGTGTCATCTTGGTGAAGCATGGGTGGGTGAAGGAACATACCGGATGATTCGTCAGGGAGTAGCATAGGTGGATGTATGAAACATGGAGATTGGTCGGGGGGAAGCATGGGCGGATGCCACACCTGGTTGCCTGAGCCAAGAAGTAGACCATACGAAGTGAACGGATTGTACCCGAAGTCAACCGAAGAGCACGAAGTAGACGAGGATGCGAACGTGTGCAAATCAGCGTACGAGCCGAAGGACACCACAGAAGAAGGGGGCTCCGACACCGAGTCATTGCTCATGCGGCACCTCTTGCTCAGACCTATCGGCCCACCGCCATAGGTGTAGTTCTCAGCGATCAGTCCACCACCATGGGCATATTTTTCAGTGATTGATCCACCGCCTAACAGGGCAATGATGGAGCTACTGCCGGCCAATAATTTCCACGTAATCCCATCATTCCCTCCAATTCTGGTTAGCTCACTATCAGCTCTCCTTGCAGTATCACACTCTCTCCCACTGTGGGAAGGGTTGGCGAACTGTGGCGAATATCTTTCGCCATCTGAACATGGAGTTCAGAATGACTTCGCCAAACTCTCCCAATTGGCATCGGCGTTTCGAGACATGCATCAGATACAATTTGGGATGTGCCCTTCTGGGTAGAGTATGTGAAGACGAATGACGGTCCTTTCCACCGTGAGTAGGGTTGGCGAACTGTGGTGGATATCACTCGCCATCTGAACATGCAGTCCAGAATGACTTCGCCAAACTCTCCCATGTGGCATTGGCTTTCGAGCCATGCATCAGATATCATTGGGGATGTGCCCTCCTGAGGAGAGTATGTGGCTACTATGTTTCGCCTTACCACACCAGGTACATTGCCCAGGTTCAAAGACATGACAACCTTATATTCGACACACTACAGCACGAACGGACGCCTGGCATTGGGCGATTACATTCCTAACTCATGCAGCTGCCGCATTGCCTCCTGCAGCTCTTCCAGCACCACATCCAGGTTCTGATCTGTCCTCTCGTGCAACCAACTAGTGAGGTTCGCGACGCGAACATGCAGCTGTTCAAGCTGCACCAGTGTAGACTCGGAGACGGTGTACACCTTCTCCTACGTTCTCGAGGTTCAGCAAGACTGTAAGGTGCTGGAACATACCACTCACCCAGGGATCACCAAGTTTGTACCACCAGGCCTCCATAGGGCTCCCCGCCGGCCCAACCTGACGATCCCATTTCCACCAGTAGTCGGGTGAATCCTCGAGTAGGTTCTTAGGACGAGGAACGAGGGTGGTGGGGCGTGGAATCGCCTTGACGTCAATGCTGATGGGGCGCAGAACTTCGCGATTGAAAGTGCAGACGGTGAGGACACTGGCGATAACTCCGCCATGGTCAATATGGTCAGCATGACCCGCCAACGCGAGGTCACCACAGATACCCCTGACGGCGAACTGCACAGGACTCAGCAGGGTCAGGTGATATCAGCAAGAAAGGCGTACCATCTCCTGGCACAAGCCTTCCTCCCAACGGACCTTGGTGAAGTGATCTGGGTCAGGCTCCAGTGCCAGAACAGCTTCTTGGATCCTCCAAGTGTAGACTTCCAACTGCAACCTCCCTCTGGAGAACAGGCAGGGGCGCGCATCTGATGTTGAAGACTGGGCAGACATGATGGTGAGTGGATGAGCCGAGGTTGATATCTGATCGACCTTATCTGATGTCTGATGTCATGCGATTGGAGAGCACATGCCGAGATGAAGCCCTCAGGTGAGGATGGAGGTCACTTCGCCAAATGTGATATTGGTGAGTAGGAATTACATACATGACGATCACTACATCGATATAGCAAACATGAATATGTGTACACCCCAGTGAACCCTGACTCAAAGCACATTTTCATCGCCCGCCCTTTCGTCCTCAATGTCCAGGGCGAGGATGTGGCTGAAGGCGTCAGTGGCGTGGCTGGCGAAGGTCCGCCACATACTCACTTGCCTGGCGGCATAGCAAACATGACCCCGCCAGGAAGGATCCGTCATCTCGAGCCAGTGAGCCCATCGTTCCACATTCCGCTTGAAGGTGGCTATGGTCCAGGCCATTTCCGAGTGGACCAAGACACGCTCCTCCCTCCATCTCTCATATCGAGCTCTGGCATGCAGCCAATTCACTCTATAGACTGGAGGGTAAATTAGCAGGAGGCCTAGAGATCGATCGGACAATTACGAACACTCATCCATCCATTCTGATGAACCTCGATCTCCAGCGACATCCATGGTCCAGAACCAAGCCAGGTTGACGTTCCTGAGCCCGGAGGTGCTAGCCTCGATGACGGCAGTCTTCACGTGCAGGTCCTTCTTATCCAAAGGGTGATAGAGGGCCAAGTCTTTATCGGTGGCGCCCAAGCGCATAATGGCGCGTCGGTTGGCGGAATAGAGCCTGGCGCAGGCCAAGACGGTCTGATCGGCAGCATGAACCTCCGCCTGTGCACGGGTCATGGTTCCGACGCTGTTGGCAGGACGAACCCTCTTGCGGTAGAGGTAAGACTTCAGTCCAAGCGCCATGCGAAGCTCGTGGAGGATGTCATTCATCAGGCCTTTGCGCAACTCCAACTCTTGGGCCGCCAGGGTCTGGAGCCCGTTGGCGACGGTGGCCACGAATCCGATCTGCGAAGGTAAATTCAAGGAAGCTCGCTCGGGAGGAATTGCATTCTCGCTATACTCAGCGTCCTCCGGGTGTATTTGAAAAAGATTCTCATCCAAGGAATCCCAGAGCGCACCATCGTCACGATCTTCCATGGCGGGAACATCCTCCAACCTTCCCATGAACTTCTCAGAGTGACGTTGGAATGTGAGAATGCTGACTTCGAGGCGCTGACGGCGCTCGAGAGTCTTGAGGTCCTCCGCCACGCTCGGATTTTGACCCGCCTTGCGGATATCATTCGCAAGCTTAAGCCTGAAGGCCATCAGAGCTGTATTTTTGTTAAGATGAGGCAAACTCACTGTGCTTCTTGAATTTTGAGGCCAGTCGACAACCATCCGGCAGTGCCCTTCTCCAAGCCCTTGGCGGACTCCTCGCCCGCCAGTCTGAGTTGGGTGAGGTCTTTACCCGGGGCTTGCATTCACGTCAACTACATGCCACACGACGATGGAAGGATACTCACCCTTCATGAGCTGGACATCGAAGGTGTCCATGATCTTCGGATCATTTTGGCAAGCCTCCATAGCGTCGTCGTACTCCTTCTGCCATGCCTCAAGGACATCCTCATCTGTGGATGCAGATAAAGCTTCAAAGGACTCCTTGCTTCGTGGGAAGCCCAGGAGCACGCGTTTCCACTTTGTCATCAAGGTTGGCACTATAGGCAGCATAAGGCAGGTGGCAAATAGGGAAGGAGGAACCAGGCTCACCCATGCGAGTCGTCTTCTTCCAGTTGGAGTCATTCATGTGATCGTCAAGGACTTCTTGGCGGTGAGCTCAGGTCATGCCCCTGGTACTGTTACAACGCTCCCCACTTGTGGCGCGTCTTTTCTTTTTCTTTTCCTTGTTCCCTTTACGTTACCAGACCACGTGATCCAACACGTGACTCATTGGAGCGCAACCTCCGATTCTTTACCCAGATGTCCAGAACCCCTAGTCTAGGGTTACACCGGATCCAACTCCGGACCTTTTTCTTATCGCGCATGCAAGACGTGCATGTACGCCTCATCTTTACCTCGTTCTGATACACGACTCGTTATCCCCATTAGTACTGATTATCTCTCACGACCTTACTCAGCTTTCTCATACATATTACTTCCTCGCTGTTACCTTGCCCAGATATCGTTTCACCTTATCTGGCCAATGAACGATTTCGCATTACTGCGTAGTACTGCGGATACCTTTTGTATAAGTAGACGACCTTGTCGAGCTGGATCCCCATCTCGACCTGGTTACCATTAAACCAGCTTTTCACTTGCCTTTGACTGAGATCGACCGTCAGTAGCAGACAGCTACTACGAGTCATAAGAACGAACTCTGATCGACCTTCAGTGCAAAGACATCGCCAGAAGTGTCACTTGAACGGACTTGTGTCTTAGACTAAGACCTTGTCTCGTAACGACTCGACTAGACGCTCGTGTTTCGCTGCCGCGTAACATTAGGTCGAGATCTTATTACTCTCTGTGACTTCCTAGAGTCTAACAACGAACTACCGACCGGACCGAACCTTGAAGACTGAACGATACACCCGATTCGATTGCTAAAGCACCGCTTGAGATTACTCTGTAATCGAGGTAGCTGAAGGGATAGACTGATCACTCATCTTCGGAGAGGGGTCTGTCCGAGAGACCAATAGGCCGAGGAGGCTGAGGTAATCACTCGAGCAATCAGCAAATAGGTGTATCAGTTTGAAGACAGAAGACACTCTACGGGCTTGTTAGCCGACGACGAACGAACCCACTTAGTTAAGGACGGTGTGCAGTCTACGTGTAGACATAGGCCACACAGAAGAATTTATCCACGCTGGATTTTAACTACATCAACCCGACCGCTCTTCCAGAGCAGTACCGCGAGCACCTCCCATCCCAAGCGGAGTGGAGCACAGAACGAAACGCACATTTCATAGGAGGAAGGCCTGTATTCATCAGGCCAGACAATCACAACTTCGACTACTCCCCAGAGGAATTTGAAAGGACACTTCCCCATAATCTTGGTGGAATAGTGCTCCAGCACATCGCAGACAGCGGTATAACGACCTCCTATCCAGGAGAAAGACCAGACGCCCCTTGGAACCCCCCTGCCCAGAATCCTGTACCCCAACCGACTCTTGCACCAATCGTACCCGATTACATACCACCGATGGCTACAGTTACCATGGATGAAGGACGTCACCATGCTAGCCAGAAGGAACTTGGTTTTAGAAAACCCGAGATCTTCAACGGTTCAGACCGTTCGAAGCTTAGGGAATTTATAAACCAATGCAAGAACTACATGGCCGGAAATAGCCATGTCTACCAGGAGGACAATCAGAAGATCGCATTCGTGCTATCGCACATGCAAGGAGGAACAGCAGGATCATGGGCACAGAGCTTCATAGAAACGGAACTCACCAATGATGACTTCCTTTCTTATGGGAGTTGGAGAGACTTCATTGCAAGTGTGAACAAAGCATTTGGCGATGAAAATATTGAAGAAACCGCTCGTACCTTGCTGCGTAACATTAAGCAAGGAACTCGTACTGCGGACGACTACATTGCCGAATTCCGATCGCTTGAATCCAAGGCGAAACTAGAAGATGCCGGAAATATCGAGTATTTCAAGTGGGGACTTAACGACCCACTCCGACAAAGGATATATGGGATGGAAAGCATGCCCAAGACACTTGACAAGTGGTACGAATACGCCTCGCGGTTTGATAACCAATGGAGATCTGCTCAGATCTTCAAGCGAGGAGCCACTACGACGACGCGAGGAAAGGGCCGATCTGTCCATCGTCCCTACTACTCGGCTTCTGCAAAGGATCCAAACGCGATGGATGTTGATTGTGTCAATATCTCGCGCTTATCCCCAGACGAGCGACAGAAGAGAATGAAAGAAGGATTATGTTTCCTATGCGGAAAGAAGGGCCATATAGCCAACGACAGACAATTTCACCCCCAGTCTGGAAGTTTCACCCGTGCTAGAACGATACAGCCCGGGTTAGACACAGACACGATCACATGGATCAAGAAGATGCGAGAAGACCTCGCACAGAAGAAGGAGACGTCGAAGGAAGAAACCAGAGAGGAACAGATCGCCTATGTGCGAAACGTCTTCAACGACATGACTGACGAAGAACGAACCCAATTGGGTTTTTGAGACGACGGCCACTAGTAATGCATGGACCGTCGCATCTTACCGTATCTCCCCTCGTTATTTGTAACACTAGCGGAAATTCAATCACTGTGAATATTTCGTTGGGAGAGAAGGAAGACGTTACAACAGAAGCCTTGATCGATTCCGGTGCAGCCGAAACGTTCATGAATATTTGTTTTGCGGAAGAAAACGATTTCATCAGATGGGAATTACCGAAACCGATTACAGTCATGAATGCAGATGGCACACCAAATCAAATGGGTACCATTACTCATTGCACCTGGAAGATGATGAAAATCGGAGGAAGGAAGACGCTTACTCGCTTCCTCTTGACCGGCATTGGCAAAGAAAACATACTTCTCGGCATGCCGTGGCTTAAACGCCTCAATCCGATGATCAACTGGGAAACCGGTGACTTTTGGTTTGGTAAAGAGGCCAAATGGCCACCGAAACCCACCGTCGAAGATGCACCAGATAAAGAAGTTTCGATTTTCAAGGAAGATGGACTCCCAGAGCTAATCACCACCGAAACTTCCCCTACCTCGTTTGGGCATTCGGAATCTATCAGAGAAATCATGACCGATAACACTGAGCGTGGCGAGTTACCCGCAGTGCGGAATGATACCGAACTAGATGACCTACCATCAGAATCCTCTATGGATCAGCTCGATGACGACGATCTAGTTATATCCTATATCGCAGGAGAGCCAGTCATTGGGATATTTGAACCCATCAGGAAGGAGTCACCTTTGACGAATGAAGAGACTGAAACCGCAGTCTTCACCATACGGAGAGGCCCCGCCATTGGAAGAATGACACACAGTACTCGATCCCCATTATTCTGTAACGCACAGAATACGGTCTTTTACAAACCATCCGGTAAATCACAAGAATTGGCACAACAGGCACACAAAGAAGCATCAGCTGTAGACAAACCCAAAACCGTCGAGGAGTTGGTCCCCAACTACCTCCACGATTTGAAGTCCGTCTTTGAAAAGAAAGCAGCTGAACGCTTTCCAGAAACCAGGCCTTGGGACCACGCCATTGACTTGAAACCCGATTTTATTCCACGCGACTGTAAAGTCTATCCGTTATCGCTCAAAGAACAAGGAGCGATGGATGACTTCCTGGAAGAAAATCTGCGAAAAGGATACATCCGACCGTCGAAATCTCCCATGGCTTCACCATTTTTCTTCGTAGGAAAGAAAGACGGAGCACTACGTCCTTGTCAGGATTACCGATACCTGAATGAAGGGACGGTGAAGAACGCCTATCCTCTCCCGCTCATCTCTGACCTTATGGATCAATTCAAAGGCGCATCAATCTTTACGAAAATGGATTTACGCTCCGGATATAACAATGTCAGAATCAAAGATGGTGACCAATGGAAGGGCACATTTAAGACAAATCGCGGACTTTTTGAACCTATGGTCATGTTCTTTGGACTCTGCAACTCCCCGGCGACTTTCCAAATGATGATGAACGCACTCTTCAAGGACATGATCGACGAGGGATGGATAGTCATTTACATGGATGATATTCTCATCTTCTCAAACGATTTGGAAGAACATCACGTTCGAACCCGACGCATACTCCAACGACTCAAAGACAACGACTTATTCCTTAAACCGGAAAAGTGTTTCTTTGACGTTAAAGAAGTCGAATTCCTAGACATGATCATTCGAGAAAACTACATTGGCATGGACCCTATCAAACTTAAAGGAATTGCGGAATGGCCTGAACCAAGCACGGTAAAAGGTGTTCGCTCTTTCCTAGGGTTTGGAAACTTCTATCGGAAGTTTATTGCCAACTTCTCGGATATTGCCAAACCATTGACGAATCTTACGCGCACTGCCGCTGGATCTCCACCTTTTGAATGGACAACAGAATGTCAGACAGCTTTCGACACATTGAAGCAACGATTTAGTACCGCCCCAGTACTGTTACTGCCTGACAAGGCAAAACCATTTATTGTTGAATCCGACGCTTCCAAGTTTGCTACGGGTGCAGTTTTACGCCAAGCCGATATCAATGGAGAACTCCATCCTTGTGCCTACATTTCACAGACGCTCAATCCAGCTGAACGGAACTACGAAATCTACGACCGCGAACTCCTCGGAATTATTCGAGCCCTCACTGAATGGCGCCATTATCTTGAAGGCTCTCCCCATCCCGTCGAAGTTCGCAGTGATCACAAGAACCTCACGTACTTCCGTACAGCTCAGAATTTAAACTGCCGACAGGCACAATGGAGTCTCAAATTATCACAATTTGATCTTCACCTCATCCATGTCCCTGGCACTCAGATGATCCAATCTGATGCGCTCTCTCGTCGTAATGGACTCGATGACAGTGAAAGTGACAACGAAGATCGCATTCTTTTACCCAACGCACTATTCGTGCGATCCATTTCCCCGACTCTATTTGACGAAATCAGGAATCACGCAGCAAAAGACCTCGTTGTTCACGAAGCCCTCGAAGCGATTGCACACAAAGGGCCATTCCCCATGAAATCATCGCTTTCCGACTGGGAAGTTCGCGATGGTGTCATCCTCTACAAGGGAAAGATTTACGTCCCACCATCCGAAACTCTTCGTCGTGATCTCGTTCGACTACATCACGACTCCCCTGCCATGGGTCACCCTGGAAAGTTCAATACTCTTGAACTGTTACGTCGTGAATTCTGGTGGCCTGGCATGTATACATTTGTCTACAATTATGTTGAAGGCTGTGCCGCCTGTCAACAAATGAAACCGAATACTCATCCAACTCGTATTCCTTTGGAACCAATTCCCGCCGACCCACACGCATTACCATTTTCCTGTTGCACCACCGATTTTATTACCGACCTCCCCGTTTCCAACGGTTTTGATTCAATTATGGTCGTAGTAGACCATGACCTTACGAAGGGGGTGATTCTTACGCCCTGCCTCAAAACGATCACAGCCGAAGGAACGGCCAAGATTTTTCATGACAAAGTATACTCGCGATTTGGATTACCCGACCGAATCATCTCGGATAGAGGACCTCAATACGCATCCAAGGTCTTCCAAGAGTTAAATCGACTACTCCAGATCAGATCATCAATGAGCACAGCTTATCACCCTCAGACGGACGGAGAAACAGAGCGAGTCAACCAGGAGCTGGAAATCTATCTTCGACTCTATTGCGGAAACAACCCTGAAACATGGGCCGACCGCCTGCCAGACCTCGAGTTTTGTCATAACACAAGGGAACACTCGGCACGGAAGATGAGCCCATTCCGCATCATGATGGGATATGAACCACGGGGACTCCCTTCCGTATTTCCGACCACGAACATTCCATCGGTTGAATCCAGGCTTGACATGTTGCAGAAGATAAGACTAGAAGCGCTAGCCATGCACGAGTTAGCCCGACAACAGATGGCGGACCGAGTCAGACAAGGATCACCGAAGTTTACACTAGGACAGAAGGTCTGGCTAGACTCGAGGAACCTGAAGGTCAATTACGCCTCGCGCAAGATAGCACCAAAGCGTGAGGGGCCATTCGAAATTGTCGAAGTCATTGGACCAGCCAATTATCGTCTCAAACTCCCGAAGACCTGGCGAGTTCATTCCGTATTCCACGCTGCCCTTCTATCTCCTTATCGCGAAAACGACATACATGGTCCGAATTATGTGAACCCACCACCTGATGTCGTTGATAACGAAGAAGAGTACGAAGTTGAAGCCATCCTGAATCACAAGACGTACCGAGGTCATCTGAGGTACTTAGTCAAGTGGAAGGGATATTCTTCAGCAGAAAACTCGTGGGAACCTACCCACAATTTACAGAATGCCAAGCGAATCCTCGATGCATATAAAAGGACCAGGGGAATCCAGTAGAGGAGAAGAAACCCGGAATGACTACCATAACGGTTTTCCTCATCATCTTCCTAATCGTCCTCCACTGCACAACCCTCACCTTTCTTTGGATCATCCACCGAATCCTGATCAGACGACTTGTCGAACACACACTCTTCACGCGAGACAGCCCGCACGCTAACGGCTGGGGTGATCAGAATGATGCCTGGAACTGATCAGGCAGCTCTTATCTCTGTGGGAATACTCTTTATCGTCCAATGGATTTTCATCTATTTGATTATTACCCGGATCCACGACATTCTATTTCACATCACAGATAACCGCGATCCCCTTAACGACCGAAAGGTATAAAAGGGGGAGAAAACGACATATCATCAATGCCCACTTCCGCTATAGACGACCTTGTTCACAACATACTCGCTGAAGTCGCCTCCACAATTATGAGCATACCCGCATCGCCCACGCTTGTCAATGGAGTACCCTCTCGAGCACAGACACCCTTTATCCGAACCTCATCGCCCTCACCTTCTATCGAACTCAGTCACGCATCGGACGAACAAGAATTTGCCACACGTCTGGTCTCGGCTATCCGTGTTCCTGTCGACTTCACAGATATCCTCGTCGCCTTACGAAATCGCCCGCAAGATCGACAAGCGGTGGTTTCCATGCAACGAGCATTAGAAATGGTCGAGTGGATGCAGACGGCCAGACAAGAGCTCATCGCAGCAGAAGAAAGGACGAGTAGAGCCCGGACCAGAGTCGACCAAGTCTGGTCGTTGATGCGCAGTACGGTCACTCGTACAGCACAGGAGATTTGGAGGGAGCATGGGGACGAAGACATCGGACACATCCTCGGATACACCACTAATGGAATACCCGCATCCACTCCTCGCTCGTCGCCAGAACCAATTCCCGTTCGACCTCGCCCTCCTCGTTCGCACGTACCCAGTGGACGATCTCCGTTATCCCAACCATCTTTCTCGACTGCATCCACTTCTTCGCGTCGCAGTCATCCCTACAGGAATGGACGTATCCCCGAACAAGGATCACGAACCAGCCGGCGGACATGCTACAGATGTGGAGGAGATCATTATGTCCGCGACTGCCCCCGACGACGATGAAGATCACAATATTTCTTGTGGGACAAGAAACGTTAGACGGGAGCTGATGTTACAACGCTCCCCACTTGTGGCACGTCTTTTCTTTTTCTTTTCCTTGTTCCCTTTACGTTACCAGACCACGTGATCCAACACGTGACTCATTGGAGCGCAACCTCCGATTCTTTACCCAGATGTCCAGAACCCCTAGTCTAGGGTTACACCGGATCCAACTCCGGACCTTTTTCTTATCGCGCATGCAAGACGTGCATGTACGCCTCATCTTTACCTCGTTCTGATACACGACTCGTTATCCCCATTAGTACTGATTATCTCTCACGACCTTACTCAGCTTTCTCATACATATTACTTCCTCGCTGTTACCTTGCCCAGATATCGTTTCACCTTATCTGGCCAATGAACGATTTCGCATTACTGCGTAGTACTGCGGATACCTTTTGTATAAGTAGACGACCTTGTCGAGCTGGATCCCCATCTCGACCTGGTTACCATTAAACCAGCTTTTCACTTGCCTTTGACTGAGATCGACCGTCAGTAGCAGACAGCTACTACGAGTCATAAGAACGAACTCTGATCGACCTTCAGTGCGAAGACATCGCCAGAAGTGTCACTTGAATGGACTTGTGTCTTAGACTAAGACCTTGTCTCGTAACGACTCGACTAGACGCTCGTGTTTCGCTGCCGCGTAACAGGTACTGCCTGAGACCTCATTTGTCGGCGCCCACAGGGTCTCGATGACCTCGCCATCGACCATACCAGTGCCAACTATAAAGTTGGGCGAGAACCGTTGGAAGCAGCAATCTTGGTGTCCGTGCACATGAAACAAGCCGATGCCTTGGTCTACCTTGAGCTCGAAGGGCATCCTCAGATAGGCGCTGTGGCGGAAATGTTTGCGGACATGGACGCCATACTGGCACATGATGTCGTACATGACGAGGACGAGGGTGATACCGGTGAGGGTCAGGAGCGCATTGCTGAGAGAGTAATCCATATTCATTTGTCTGCAGAGGGTGCGTCGGTGAGAATGAATCATGACAAGAGACATATGCGAACCTTTCTCCCTTCTGGAAATCGACGACAGTATGAGGGACGAAGAACCATGTCTGGCGCAAGCAGTGGCCCCGATTCCTGTGGCATCGAGGTTGGCACGATCCACATTGGCCTGATTGACAGTGCGGTGCTCATGACAAGTGGAGCGCTGGTGGGCTTAGGAGTCAAGGGCGGAAGAAGAACGTGCAGCCAGACACGCACCTGATGGGACTCCATGGCCACCACCAGATGAGCCTTGTAATCCTCTTGGCCGACCATGAATGCCTGGCCATCACTGAGGGCGACATCCTCCTTGGGGTGCTTCATCTTCATGTGCTCTGCACTGAAATTGCCATCCATGACAAAGCCGTGTTTGAACTTCCACTGCACTGGATCCGCTTGCCAATCGAAAGGCAGGTTGAGCCCAGGCTGGGGACAGGCGGGACAAAAGATGGCGAGGCCACCCTTCTCCACAGGACGGAGGACATCGTGTGAGAAGCCGTGCCACTTGCGATATTTGAATTGGCGCCATTGGCAGGACACCCGCATCAGCTCACGATAACGGTCCTGGCGAGGAACTGGCATGAACGGTTGGGCCATGGGAATGCATGTGAACACTTACGGGAACGGTGCCAGGGAAGGCATTGCTCGTGACCCATTTGAGCTTGCTGTAGTAGTTTAATGCCGCCATCTTGCACTCTTTGTTCTCCAGAAGGAAATTGTCGAGGATGGCGAATGTGAAGGCAGTATGGGGATCCTTGACGGTACCAGGGTAAAGTCCCATTTGAAGAAGCTGCATGTCACGCTCCACTGCCATCTCACACTGGCACCAGTCAACACCAATATGGTGAACGCCAGAGATGTCGACAATGACTATGATCCGATTCCCGTAACTATCACGGCGAGGTGGCCGAGAGAGCACCGATGGCACATCTTCCTCCCAAGTGGGATCGGGAGCATCGTCGGTTTGCCTTGCTTCACCGTCAAGGGTGCCTGCCAGAGGTGCAAAGTTGAATGGGACCTCGCCATCATCTGAGACCTCGCCATCATGTGCATTTAGGTCTTCATTGGAGGCATTCCAGAAATCGGACCCCGGGGCCACCACCAGCGCAGGGTTGTTATGTGCTGTGAAGGCGCCCAGAGGGCAGGGATCTCCGCCATGCCCCAAATGGATGCAGACGCCAACCCGATACAGTGATGCCGGCTCAAAATACTGACCCTGCCAATGCTCTATCCGATGGAAAGGAGCACGCTGATGGCTGTTACGACAGCAGTCGGTACAGGTGAGCGGTCTGCCCATACAGTCCAGGCATCGCCACCGTCCCTCGCCAACCTTGCATTCCGCACAGTTTCTGGGCTCAGGCAGGGCTTCCATCTCGACAATGGCATGAAGATAGTCATCACGGTGGGGTATCCAGTCCCTCATGAAGTCATTCTGGGTCTATCGCGCATGGTCAGACTGTCAGATGGTCATGGCGGGAGTGCCCACCTTTGTCTTCCGAGCCGCCGGATCCAGCTGAATCGGCACACCTATGTTGCCCAGGACGTCGCCATCATCCAAGTTAAACAAGAAGCCTGAAGCTGGAGCCTTCGATGGACTTTTGGAAGGCGATGGCACGTTTGAACCCGTGGGCATGGGCAAAGGTACGTCCACATAGCGTACTCCCCTAGTGGTCTGCTTAGCTACCTTGGTCACAAACTCAACCTCATCATCCAGGTCTACAACGAGCCTGCTTTTGTTGTGTCTGCTCATGGTTCAGGTCAGTGGGGAGTCGTATTCCAAGCCAATCGATGAGCATTGTGTCCCTATCGCACAACACGTGCAAATCACACACGGCCTTGCTGCCCATCAGACTACTCATCAAGGTGGTTAAGAATGGCTGCAATGCCTGGGCCTTATCACCTCGTGGTCTCTTTAGGCACCATATCAGCGTTATGCAGATAAGGATGCCATGTTGGTGAGAGGTCCGCCAATCATATGTCGCCCTCAGTGCTAACTTTGCCTTGACTCGGAGTAGCATAATGTTCAAAAGGGAAACGTGCACTTGCACCGCGCACTCGCCAACACTGCCGCCATCTGCCCCACTAGCACTCACAACTTCTCAACCGAATACATTTCGCCACCATCTCCGCCAACTTCGAGGTCCGCCAACCATACGCTGCCATCAGTGATAACTACACCTTAAGCTGAACACTGTCGAGATGTGAAATGCGCACTCGTACCGCGCGCTCGCCAACCTTCAGCTAGGATTCGGAAATTCGTGACTCCATACATTTCACCATCACCTTCGCCAACTTTGTCCCGCCAATGAAGCTGCCATCAACAGTCTCCATCCCCTGCATAGTGTTCTCGTCTCCATCAGTCTTTGGCATGATGTCCCTCTAATAAGCGAGCCAGTTAGGACCTGTTCTGAGTTAGGAATGCAGACTCGGTGATGAACTGTGCACATGCCAATGTGTGAGGCGTAATATGAAGCTTGCATCCAGTGGGGCGCCGGAATGCCTAGCCTGTTCTGGACACCCTCTCGCATGAAGTATGCATAGACGAGCCTTTCGCCATCTGCTCGAGTGACGCCATGACGAATCGCCTTTCCACAGAAGGCTATGACAGTTCCAGGACTATAATCGATGGCGACACGCATGGCGGGGAACTTCAACCACGCGCAAGTGTAGTTGCCCAAAGTCACCAACAGGTCGTAGAATGTGTATCTTGTCTTGCTATCTCGGTGGAAAGGAGTTTCCCAGTTGGCGATCACCTGGAGCGCATTGAATGGTGACGACCAGTTCAGCGCCATCTCTCGCAATTCTGGGTCTTGCTGGATCAAACCCAAGCACTGGCGTCCTGCGGCATATAGTGTTGGGTGAACGACGGCCAGGATGGCGCCCAGCAATGCGGAGGAGTCATGAATATCACGCAGCCAACTTCTTCTGCCCTCAAGCTTCAGGCTGGCGGAGGTCTCCAGCCTCCCAGACTCTATATGCTGCAAAGGCTGTCCAGATGTAAGGCAAATGGCGTGGCGAGGAGACACACCTCTCTTACTTGTTGGAACCAACCTGGCGAGAGACACAAGGAGCCCGCTGGGAATTGGACACACTCCTCAGGAGGCAAGAAGTACAACGGGTTGTGTCGCCAACTGGCGGTGGTGCTGGAAGGCTTACTGGCTGCTATTGCTGGGTGTAGGGCCCTGTTCGCTTGGAGCATCTTCGTCTGACAAATTTGTCAGATCACAGCGCAAGGCTGGGCAAGCCACTCACCTGGCGGTCTGGTATCAACACTCTTGGAAGTATCCAAGCCAAGATGCGTCCGTGCATGTTCACGAGGGTGGCGGGCTGGTCTATGCGTATTTCGCTCTCACCAAATGGAGGAGGCCACTTCCGTTCCAGTTCTGCCTCGAGGACTTCATTCTGCCCCGTGGGCTGAATCGAAAGGCTGTCGTAATATCTATCAATGTCCCACTGCAGCCTTACTATTACAATGGCGTGATCAGTGTGATCAGACCTGCGGCAAGACTAATGACTACCAGGATTACGGATGGCCTTCACAAGAGCATCTGCAATGCCATTGCACTCCAATAGGAGGGCGGATGGCATGGACGGAGGCACTTCTATAGATGGCGCAGAATGGGCTGCATGAGTGGCCAGATGGAGCTTTCGGCGGAACATGAGCTCCAAGACTCCTGCTATCTGATCGGTCAGTGGCATGGGTGACAGATTGCTCATCTTGATACTGTCTGCCAATCAATGGGACGATTACAGCATGCATCGGTTGAAGGAACGCACAGGTGTATGGCGGGCTCAGGCGGTTGGCTTGCAGATGCAGGGGAGAATGTAGGAGGGGCCAGAATGGCAAAGAACAGTATGCATTCATCTGCCTGCATATTGCTTGCAAGCACGTCCCTTGCACATCTCACATGTTCATTATGTCGCCGAGCCGGACTTGATGCCGCCATGCCGGATCACGGGCCGGGTGGTCCGCCATGTCTGGGCCCTTCGTCACCGCCATCTAATTGGCCGAGCCTAACTCTGAGGAAGCCCTTTCTCCCACAGATTGGCATGCAGATGATCACCAGATTGCCTCCGCCCAGCATTCGCGAGATGAAGTTGGCGTGGTGTGCTCTGCCATAGAAGCGGCATTCAACATTGCCTTTCACCAGGCATGAATGCTCGTGCATACCTACTACCACCTCCCGCCACTGCGAAAAATACACATACAATGCTTCAGCAGTCACCACACACCATGGCAAGGAGGGTAATTGGTGTAAGCCCAAATGGGCCATCAGCACGTGCATGTTGAGTTGTGGGCGGCTGACGAGGAAATGGACAGAGCGCTGCCCGTTGAACTATCGACCCCCTTCACTGCCCCAACACAAAAATCTCATCCTCGACATCGAGAAAGCATGCCGGCGAGATTTGTAATTTTGACGGAGCATCAGCCCATACTCTCTGAGAAGCTGCGGTCTTATGACACGGCAGATGCCAAGGGACGCAAGACTCTGGTTCAGAGCTTGCGCCAGAAGCTGAAGACACAGTTTGTCGACACGTCAAATTATGATGACATCATTGTGGAAACTGTGAGCAGTGTTTCATGTCTGTGAGGTCCCCACTAACTCTCACCGCAGAAAATCCGAGAGTGGCTCAATAACCACGCCCACCATGCGCAGGAGAAAGCGACGAAAAAGCGTATGCATGTTTCTGGCAAGCCCAATGCCTTCAAGGTGTGGGATGTGCTGGAGAGGGACAAGGTGACTGAGGCCGTGTGAGCACTCGTGGCAGATAAGGGTTGCAATGTCTCCAAGGTGTGGAGAGTCGCACGGAGTGCCGAATGGGCAAAACTGTCCGAGGAGGAGCAGAAGGTGTATGAGGAAAAGGTGGAAAGTTGGCGCAATGGCACTCTGGATGATAAGACGAAAATGAAGTGCGTACCTCCTGTCACGTAGCATAAGGCAAATCCTGACCCAAGACAGGCTGAGGGAGCAGCGAATGATGCAATATCTGAAGAAGTTTGCCAAGACTATGTGGGACACCATGGGCATTCGCATGGCATTCATGCTAGCATATCCGAAGGAAGCGGGGAGTCTGAAGGTAGAGATGTGAGCGTAGACCGTCCAACTGTCGCCATCTGCTAACCCCCGAGTGAAGGGTGGAGGTCAACCACGCCATCACCAATGGAACTCCATTCGTGGCCTATCCTGGGTGGCTGCATGCTTACCAGCCTCTAGCAAAGGTGTTCTCTGAGTGGGCCAAAGGCGAATACGGTAAGAAGACCTCAGTTGCATTGTCGCTGGCACACTGACCTGATTCCTTAGGTGTGACTGAGACTACGGTGACAGTGAAGAAGACACCTGCCGATTGCATGCAGGCCATGGACAAGATTCGGTTGACGGCCAACGGTTTTCCTCTGCTCTCGTCAGTGCCCGAAGGTATGGCGGAAGCGCCTCTCAAGGTGATGAAGGTACAAGTTCGAGACTTCATGAATCATCACTACGGTATGACACTCCCACTCAGTGTTGAGAGATGCTGACCAGTTTACAGCATTGGCGAAGGGTGTTCGGAACTGCAAGTCGCCATGGACGAAGCTGAACAGCATAGACGACATCAATGAGGTTATTCCAGCGGAGATGCTACCTGAGAACTTCCAGTGGATCGATCCCTCAAAGATGACAAGTGTTCCCGTTCGTGCCCTCCTCGACCACTGGCAGGCACGCCAAGAGGAACATGGACCTGAGCAGACCATGCGATTCACCCAGTACTTCGACAAGGATGGCGAAGCTGCTCCCGCCAAGTATGATCCTCTTCCACCACTTGACGGATCAGCACAGGCATTAGAAGAAGGATCTGAACATGAGGTCCAAGAAGCACTCACACCGAAGAAGGCGAGGAAGGCGAAGAAGAAGGGTAAACCTGTGCGCAAGGTCACAGGAAAGGCGGCATCGAAGGCGACAAAGGGCAAAGCGGCCCCTGGCGGAGCCAAAGGCGGTGGGCGTAAACGCAAGATGAAAGATGCATACGACTCGGAAGATGATGCCAGAAGCAGCCAAGACTCTGATCGGAGTTCACCAGATATACCCAGCATGGCTTCCGAAGAAGATACGGCCAGCGATGAAGATTCAGGGGATGGCGAGAGCGTGATTGCGAATAAAGCGAAGGGCAAGGCAGTCGCCACCACCAATGGACGTAAGGCTAACAATGGCGGTGCACCTCAAGCGAGTGGTAGCGGCGGTGCCAAGATGAAGGCAAAGCGAGGTCTCCAAGACCTTCCTCTGGGCGAACTGCACAGATTTGACACAGAGGAGACCGATGAAGCATCGAGTGAACTGGAGCCCAGTACAAAGGAGCTCAGGCTTGAGCTTCAAGGCCGAGCCCCACGTCTCACTGGCAGGAGTACTGTGGGGAGTACTGTGCCCCACCTCGTCAAAAGGAGAGATGTGTTTCTCGCCACCCTTTCCGTCGAACCGCGATACCAGGATATGCTGAAGGAAGTCAAGATTGCGACTGTGGTGAGCTCCTCTCGTGGGGATTCATAGCCACCATTGATCATCCGTCATATAGCCCCAGGTGTATCGTTTCACCAGGTATGATCCGATTCCCTGGAGCGAATGGTCGTATGGCCAGCACTACCTCCCGCCGTCATTTCATGCGGTGGACAACTTTGACATCGTCGAGAACTGGTTGGGCGACAAACCATGGCTGACAAAATATCGGTTCTTACATCCACAGGGCGTACAACAATCTGCACTCGTGATTGGTATGGTGCTGAGGGACCTCACACAATCTCAGTTCATTGAGGAGGGCGAACCGACCAACCTTCCCGACTATGTGGTGAACTCGGCGATCTCATTTGACGCAGTAGAGCAGCTGCTTCGCTGTTGTGAGATCATTACCTTGGACATGGTGGAAGGGAACGTCACCCATGCCATGGTGAAGCCAGTGAGCAAGCCTGCCATACGCGGTGCCCCACAAGGTGGCGATGGCCTTGGGGGCCAGGAGGAGCAGGAAGGTGATGCCTCTGCAAGAACTCACGATGGCGCTGCTACTGCTGCCAAAGTTCACAAGGCTCACCAGCCTGCCCCCATGGCTGACAAACCAATCATTCCAAGTGGGAGATGAAGGGCCGAGCCAGGAGACCAGTGGTGGGGCCTCTGACGATGGAGAAGAGGACGATGCACACTTGTCCGTACCTAGCAGTGGTGCTGAATGACCGCCACTGCCTCCGTTTATACCTAAGACGAGGAAGGCCGCAGCCACGGAAGACCGTCCGTCAGGTCAAGTCAAAGCACTCCAGGGAAGGTCGATCACCGATGCCCTTCAGAGTAATATCCCCGGCAGGATCACTCGCAGTCAGCGTCAAGCGATGGATGAGTCGCCCGCCAAGAATACCCGCAGTCAGCATCCACTAGGAGCTGTGAAAGATTTGAAGAAGCTTCCTGATCCAAAGCGGAAACGTCAACCAGCACGTCCCGAGCCCGATGGCGAAGACAGCTCTGGCGAAGACAATCTGCCACCTCGGAAGCGTGGACGTGGTACTCGGGACGAGTTGGTAGTGGCCTCGCCAAGGAAGAAGAATGCGAGGGCCGAGGACTCGGATGATGGTGACAAGCCTCCCGCAAAGTGAAGACGAGCTCTGCCTCAGACCCCGGAGGTTAAGGACAAGGGAGAAACCAAGCTGAAGCCGGTCCGTCTGGGGAAAGCAGCCGCCAAAGTGAAAGAGAGTGGCCAAGTTGGCGCAGGTCGCAAGACCCGCAGTGGCGGCACCAGACCTTGACAATATAACTCCAGTTCAAAGTAGACTTGTAGGCTTCCACATTGTTTAATGTGACCCATAGATCTACATAGGTAAAGCCATGGAGATGGTGGCAATGGCGAGGGGAGTTGGCGAGAACTTCAGCAGGCATTCAGTTGACTTGGAGTGGCAGTGGCGAATCGAGTGCATGGAGATTCCATGCTAGGTTAAAAAGCATGTATATCAATACTCTAATGACTACACATTGTGGCTATCTGGGCGAAAGGCGGTGAAGACCATGGCGGAGTTGACCTTCTCTCGGAATGCGTCCAGAGACTTTGCCACCAGTGAGGTTTCCTCTCTCGCCGTCGCCACCTCCTTCCCCACCTTCTTCGCTTCATCCAAAGCGGACATTGCCACCGCCATCGAATCCTCTTTGGCGAGCGCCAATTCCATCTCCAGCTTGCTCGCTTGAGCGATCGCCTCTGCCGCCGAAGACCTGAGCTCCTTCTCCATGCTGTCTGACTGCGCTGCCTGGAGCTCCATCGAATGACGGAGGTCGGCCAATTCACCCTGCAGCTTGTCGACATCCGCTTGGCTCACCATCTGGTTCGCGCCTTGCTCCAACCTGTTGACCTTCTCCTTGAGCTCTGGCAGGCAATGTCGCTTGGCGACGAGGTCCGCCACCGCCAACTTCACGCTCTCCTGAAGCTCGATGGTGACCGGCCTGCGAAACTCCTCCATCGCCAACTTGACCTCTTCACGAATGCTCCGGGCATTTTCTTGAAATACGGATGGCGGGTTGATTCGCTGGAGTGCCGCTGTGATCTCTGCCTTGACGGTGTTGAGGTCCGCCATCCTCTCCTGGAATTGGACTTCCATCCCGTCCTTGTGCACCAGGAACTCCTGTCGCAACTCGGCACAATTCGCGCAGTCATCGTTGGATGACTGCGAGGTTTCTTCGCCACTGGGGGTGTCGCCTTCGTTCACCGGAGCGGGACTTCCTGTAGACACTCGCTGGACGTCGCGCAAGTGGGGTGCTGTATCCCTGGTCAGCGCTGCATGGATTCGAAGCTGTGGCGGGCGCACTTACCCTTGCTGGTCGGAGGCACTGCTCTGAGGCGGTTCGCCTTCACATCCCTTTTCGCCTCCGCCTCCTTCTTCGCTGCCTTGCGGTCCAGTGGGGCGCCCCTCTTAGCTGGCCTTCGCCCTTCATCGAGATGTCCTGCCTTCGCCAATGTGGAGGACTTCGCTCCCTTCGACGCCTTGGATATCTCCAGGGAGGGCGTCACCTCCTGTGCCACCTCGGCAGCTCCTGCGCTCGTCTCGTGGGGCATCAGCAGCGAACGCCGCCGATCGTCGTGTGGCCGCTCCAAGGACACGCACTGTTTCATGGTTACATCGACTCCAGCTGCGACAAGATGTCCTGCTTACCTCATCCTCCGCCACCTCTGCCTGATACTCTGGTGCATCCTCTGGTTCGTCGGCGACTGGTGTCAGCATGCGCTTGCTGCTGCTAGCTTGCGGCGGAGCAGCTGGCCCTGTTTGGAAGGCCATAGCCCGCACCGCCTCCATTGCCAGCCTGGCAGCTTCCTCCATGCCATCGCCTTCCACCAGAGGCATCTTGGCTGCTGCCTTCGGAGCACTCGCCTTCGCCTTCCTGGTGATCACGGGCACCATTGGGCCTGAGCGACCTCCCATCGCCACCCTTGTCATCTGCCTGCCCTCCTTCGCAACAGACTTGGCAGGCGGGACCTCATCCGGCTCACGTACTGAGGTCCTGGTGACCTCGCCACCATCTTGCGCACCTGAGTTTTGGCTCCTCACCGGCTTTGCCTTGGGTCCTGATTTCTTACCTTCGCCAGGTTTGGCGACCGCACCAGACTTGGCAGGCGCACCAGACTTGGAGACCTCGCCAGAGTTGGCGACCTCGCCAGAGTTGGACAGAGCCACAGCTCCAGTGGCGGTGGCGGACTTGGTGGCGCGCTTGGACTTCGACAATTTCTCCACCGAGGCCTTGCCTTCAGCGTTGGCTTCATAGGGCGTGACAGTCACCTTCTGCTTCGTCGCCTCGACCTCCTCGCCACCCTTGACCTTGGAGCTGGATGCTGCAGCATTGCGCGTCTTGGTCTTCTTCGGCGGCTTGCGCTTCGACGCTCCCATGACCATGGGTTCTGCACCGTCGGGCTCATCGGAGTCGACCTTGACGTCGTATGAAGGTGGCGACGTGGGCAGTGGCTTGCCCTCTACCACCAGCGCTGCGCACATCTCTTAGAACTCACGCTGTGCGGTGTGTGAGTTTCCTCGCAGGGGCACGCCGTCCGTGTTCCTCAGCGCGATGCTGCAACTGACGCCTCGTGCCGCACATTCGAGGCAGTGACCGAAGTTGGCGGTGTTGAGCTTGCATGGCCACTCTTTCTCCTGGCAGCCAATGCAAGGGACGAGCTGCAGGAACATTAGCACAGGTCAATGTCTCACAAGATCGTTACTCACCGAATCTGTTGCATGTGCCCACATGAAGTCAGACACGCGGGTGGACGTCTTTTTCCACATGTCCTTCTGCGACACCGTCACCTTCGCCTTCGCCTTCGCCGTCGCCTTCCCCTTTGCCGTCGCCTTTGCCTTCCCCTTCCCCTTCCCCTTCCCCTTCGGTGCGACATGAGGCATCGCCGTCATCCTCGTTGTCTGTTTGACAGGTTTGGCAGGGGCGTTCGTCTTCACAACACCGTCATTAGAGTCCCCTGCGGTCTTGGCGGGTAGATTGGAAGGTGGTGCTGGAGTCTCGTCTTCGCTTTCGATGAACTCCTTGCTCTTGTATTCCTTCGTCGCACGCTTCTTCTTTGGCGGCTTGATGGTCGGTACTTCCTCTTCATCGCTTGACTCCTTCGCCTTCCTCTTCCCGCTCTTCTTCGTGCTCACCTTTGAGCCCTCCACCTCGGTCTGCACCATCCTCTTCTGCGCACGCTGCACTCGGCCAGAGGTGGTCGGGGCCTCGCCTTTCTCCTTTGCGACCTCGATCGGCTTCATCCGCTTCGCCTTCGGAGCCGCCTCCTCGTTCTCACTCTCCTCACTCGACTCTGTGATGACCGCCTTGCACTTTCGGACTGATGGGGCAGCTGGCGAGATCGATATTGGTCTGGCAGTTGGCGGAGGGGGCGACGCCGCATCGACCTCAATGGATTCGGGCTGGCCTGCACCTGGCACGTCTTCCGCCATCTCATCGTCATCATCTTTGTCGGCATCGTCGTCCTCGTCACTGTCGGCATCGTCGTCGTCCTCGCCCTCCTGCTCCTCTCCCTCTCCCTCTCCCTCTCCCCCATCCTCTTCCTCGCTCATCGCATGCGCTGCCTTCCCCTGCGCCTTCTCCTTGCTCTTGCCCTTTCCCTTGTCTTCCCCCGCCTCCACGTGGACGATACGCTCACCCACCATGCCTGTCCCGACGTCATTGTCAGCTCTCTCCTTGCCTTTCCCCTTGGTGACGAGGTCCCTGGTAGCCAGGTCCTCCTCGCCACATCCCTGGGTGTCGTCATCGGCTGGCACATTGCCCCAGCCCTCCGCTGGTGTACTCTTCACCGGTGGCAGCTTGCAATATGGATCTGGTGCAGTCAGTGTATCGCTCGACGCCTCACAACGCTTGTGACTCACCTTCAGTCCACCACTGCCTTCCCAGGTCCTCACACTCCCCATACTCGTGCACAGCCAGAGGGTACCTCTTATATATCCTCTCGTCGTCGTTCGATATGTGGTCCAGCCATGCCAGGGCCTTCTGCTGGTATGCCCGGGTGAATTCCAGCAACGCGCTGATGACGATCCCAGGCATCCTCAACGACTTCAAGGGCTGCGGGAAACTCTTTTCAAGCCGACTCTGTGTGGCATATTCGGTAAGTGCATGCCAGACCTTCGACCGATGACTTACCACTTCGAGGTAAATCCTCGTCTCCCAGTCCGGATAGCGAGGGTCGTCCTGGCGAGGCGCCGCTGCAACAATGGCCATCAGTCGCGCGGCCTGCAGAACATAGTTGGGGTCGATATCCAGAGGCATGGTGAGCTTGGCAGAAGAAAGCGTGAGGGTGTTTCAAAAGCAGAGGTTGCAGTACAGCGGAGGTGGAGCAGACGACGCTATGAGCTGGCAGACGCGATCTGCACCAAGTTCAACTTCACACGCCACGCGACCACGTGCTTTGCACATGATCACTGGACTTGCGCGATTTCTCAAGTCTCTCAAGGTCAGTGTGACCTGCCGCAAGTTCTCATGGCTCCCAACAGTAAGTTCTATTGCTCTCCTTGTGGAATCTGACTCCTTTGTGATGTTATCTGACCTTTCTATGTCATATCAATCCCCTTTCTACAACTGATCTCCCACGATCCAGGACTGATCGAAGACTTGTCTGCTCGCCACAATCTACCTGCCATGGCCAGTGACGCGGAACCTCCTGACACGCTGGACATTACGATGGGCGAGTCGGATGAGGAGAATAGTATCGCTGAGCCCCGTCGTCCACTCATTTCGGATCTCCTTGACTCTCCTGGATCTGCCCAGATCTCCTTGCCTCTCCACTCTGCTTCTCAGACACCCCTCGCGCCCCGCCACACTACCCCATCCCTGGCGGCTCCATTTGCACCATCCAACTCGCCACATGAGCATCTCCACCACCACGCCTCGCCAAAGGTACAGGCGTCATCTGGATCTGTGGCGCCTGTGGAGGGAAGTCGTGCACTTATTCCTGACCCTCTGGCGCCAGCTTGGGATGAAAGTCGTGGCAGTTCACCAATCCATAGGCATGCACTCATCTCAGATTCCACCCCCACTGCGCCCGGTGGAATGTTCGACTTCGACACTCCTGGCATCTCGCCAATCCCTCGACGCGCCCTGTTAGAAGCTACTCCCCTTCCTCCACCAGCTCACACTTTCGACTTTCGCACTCCTGACACCTCCCAACTCCCTCGACGATCACTCATCGCTGAGCCCCTTGACGCTACGCCACGTACATCCATCCACTTCGATAGTCAAGCAAGTACGCCGATGGCGAGGGGCATGCTGGTGGACGAGACACTTGACACGGAACCAGTGCCGAAACTGCTGGACTTTGACAATAGTCCTCCCGCCACGCCAGGACGACGGCGAGCTCTGGTGATAGACAGCCCTGGCACGATGCCTGTGCGTAGCCAGGTCCGGTGGCTAAATAGTCCCAGCACTTCGCCTCCAAAGAGGCGGCCTTTGTTGGACGATGTTTTAAGTCCACCGCCTCCGCCATCGGCGCCCTCTCACTCGCCAGCTCGCACTTTCGATCACAGCAATTTCCGCCATGATGCACCTGTCATTCACTATATAAAAGGCAGCATCGAGCCAGTCACTGTTACTTCCAGGATGCCAAGTCTGGCAGCACTTCCAGATGAGCTGCCGATCCATCGTCCCACCCATTGGGAACAGGTTCCAGGCTTATTCCCAGATACCACACAGCTGCTGCCAATGGCAGTCCCTGGAGAGACGAATGCCGCTTCTGGCTCACAAGTGGCCCACCTCGGTAGATCGTTTGCGCAGATCGCAGCAGAGGCAGACAGTTCCAGTGAGTACATCCCTGGCAACCTTCAGTCTGATGTTGACCTTATTCATAGTGGACGATGACGAAGGTGATAGCTTTGCGGTTAGTCGTCGTCGCGCCATGTTGCGGGAGCGCATTGTACGTCTTCAGCGTGAGCTCAACCTCACTGAGGATATGCACGTTGCGAACCTTAATGCCAGCTCGACCGTGTTCCAAATGGGGTACATTCTGAGGGACATTCGTGGTGAGGCGTATCGCAGCAACTGAACTAGTGTCTTTGAGCGTTCTGGTGTTAGCAATATATGACCGCTATGTAACAGCTTGTATACCAGTACAAAATGGATACATTCACTTCTGCATCACTAAGCTCTAAAGCCCATCGCTCCTCCAGTGTACTCTTCAGATGGGCGGACTGCGCTCGCCATCACCAAGGCATGTTGTTGCCAGCAATTGGCCCATCGCCAAAGGACCTGAGTGAAAGCTTCACTGCATGGGAATATCGCTCCACCAGCAAAGGGCCCACTGCCAAGGGTCAGAGGGTTAGCCATCGCCAAGCCGTGTTTTCGCCACCAATTGGCCCTCCACCATGAGTGCTGGTGAGTGATGGGCCCACCGGCAAAGGTCAGAGGATTGGCGATCACCAGAGCACGTCATCACCACCAATGCGCCCGGAAACTGCAGGGCTGTATGTGACAATGGGCCCATTGGTGGTGATGACATATCCTGGTGATCGTCAACCCACTGGCCTTTGGCGGTGGGCCGATTGCTGGCGATAACATGCTCTGGCGTTGGCCAACCCTCTGACCTTTGGCGGTGGGCCGATTGCTGGCGGAAACATGTTCTGGTGATGACCTATCCCATGGGTGCTTGCAGTAAGGCCCTCACTGAGGGTGCTTTGGCGATGAGCCGACTGCTGGCGATAACATGCTCTGGCAATCGTCAACCCTCTAACCTTTGGCGATGGGCCCATCCTTCAGGTTACACTCTGGGTGATCGGCCCACTGCTCATTCGTCATACTCTGACGGTGGGCCGATTGCTCAAACAAACATGCTCTGGCATTGGCCAACCCACTGGCTTTTGGCGGTGGGCCGATTGCTGGCGGAAACATGTCCTGGCGATGACCTATCCCATGGGTGCTTGCAGTAAGGCCCTCACTGAGGGTGCTTTGGCGATGGGCCGACTGCTGGCGATAACATGCTCTGGCAATCATCAACCCTCTAACCTTTGGCGGTGGGCCCATCCTTCAGGTTACACTCTGGGCGATCGGCCCACTGCTCATTTGTCATACTCTGGCGGTGGGCCGATTGCTCAGACAAACATGCTCTGGCCATGGCCAACCCTCTGACCTTTGGCGGTGGGCCGATTGCTGGCGGAAACATGTCCTGGCGATGACCTATCCCATGGGTGCTTGCAGTAAGGCCCTCACTGAGGGTGCTTTGGCGATGGGCCGATTGCTGGCGATAACATGCTCTGGCAATCGTCAACCCTCTAACCTTTGGCGGTGGGCCCATCCTTCAGGTTACACTCTGGGTGATCGGCCCACTGCTCATTCATCATACTTTGGCGGTGGGCCGATTGCTCAGACAAACATGCTCTGGCCATGGCCAACACTCTGACCTTTGGCGGTGGGCCCATCCGTCATCTCATTCGTCATACTCTGGTGGTGGGCCGATTGCTCAGACAAACATGCTCTGGCCATGGCCAACACTCTGACCTTTGGCGGTGGGCCCATCTGTCATCTTACACTCGTGGCGATGGGCCCACTGCTCATTGATCATACTTTGGCTGTTACGCGGCAGCGAAACACGAGCGTCTAGTCGAGTCGTTACGAGACAAGGTCTTAGTCTAAGACACAAGTCCGTTCAAGTGACACTTCTGGCGATGTCTTCGCACTGAAGGTCGATCAGAGTTCGTTCTTATGACTCGTAGTAGCTGTCTGCTACTGACGGTCGATCTCAGTCAAAGGCAAGTGAAAAGCTGGTTTAATGGTAACCAGGTCGAGATGGGGATCCAGCTCGACAAGGTCGTCTACTTATACAAAAGGTATCCGCAGTACTACGCAGTAATGCGAAATCGTTCATTGGCCAGATAAGGTGAAACGATATCTGGGCAAGGTAACAGCGAGGAAGTAATATGTATGAGAAAGCTGAGTAAGGTCGTGAGAGATAATCAGTACTAATGGGGATAACGAGTCGTGTATCAGAACGAGGTAAAGATGAGGCGTACATGCACGTCTTGCATGCGCGATAAGAAAAAGGTCCGGAGTTGGATCCGGTGTAACCCTAGACTAGGGGTTCTGGACATCTGGGTAAAGAATCGGAGGTTGCGCTCCAATGAGTCACGTGTTGGATCACGTGGTCTGGTAACGTAAAGGGAACAAGGAAAAGAAAAAGAAAAGACGTGCCACAAGTGGGGAGCGTTGTAACATCAGCTCCCGTCTAACGTTTCTTGTCCCACAAGAAATATTGTGATCTTCATCGTCGTCGGGGGCAGTCGCGGACATAATGATCTCCTCCACATCTGTAGCATGTCCGCCGGCTGGTTCGTGATCCTTGTTCGGGGATACGTCCATTCCTGTAGGGATGACTGCGACGCGAAGAAGTGGATGCAGTCGAGAAAGATGGTTGGGATAACGGAGATCGTCCACTGGGTACGTGCGAACGAGGAGGGCGAGGTCGAACGGGAATTGGTTCTGGCGACGAGCGAGGAGTGGATGCGGGTATTCCATTAGTGGTGTATCCGAGGATGTGTCCGATGTCTTCGTCCCCATGCTCCCTCCAAATCTCCTGTGCTGTACGAGTGACCGTACTGCGCATCAACGACCAGACTTGGTCGACTCTGGTCCGGGCTCTACTCGTCCTTTCTTCTGCTGCGATGAGCTCTTGTCTGGCCGTCTGCATCCACTCGACCATTTCTAATGCTCGTTGCATGGAAACCACCGCTTGTCGATCTTGCGGGCGATTTCGTAAGGCGACGAGGATATCTGTGAAGTCGACAGGAACACGGATAGCCGAGACCAGACGTGTGGCAAATTCTTGTTCGTCCGATGCGTGACTGAGTTCGATAGAAGGTGAGGGCGATGAGGTTCGGATAAAGGGTGTCTGTGCTCGAGAGGGTACTCCATTGACAAGCGTGGGCGATGCGGGTATGCTCATAATTGTGGAGGCGACTTCAGCGAGTATGTTGTGAACAAGGTCGTCTATAGCGGAAGTGGGCATTGATGATATGTCGTTTTCTCCCCCTTTTATACCTTTCGGTCGTTAAGGGGATCGCGGTTATCTGTGATGTGAAATAGAATGTCGTGGATCCGGGTAATAATCAAATAGATGAAAATCCATTGGACGATAAAGAGTATTCCCACAGAGATAAGAGCTGCCTGATCAGTTCCAGGCATCATTCTGATCACCCCAGCCGTTAGCGTGCGGGCTGTCTCGCGTGAAGAGTGTGTGTTCGACAAGTCGTCTGATCAGGATTCGGTGGATGATCCAAAGAAAGGTGAGGGTTGTGCAGTGGAGGACGATTAGGAAGATGATGAGGAAAACCGTTATGGTAGTCATTCCGGGTTTCTTCTCCTCTACTGGATTCCCCTGGTCCTTTTATATGCATCGAGGATTCGCTTGGCATTCTGTAAATTGTGGGTAGGTTCCCACGAGTTTTCTGCTGAAGAATATCCCTTCCACTTGACTAAGTACCTCAGATGACCTCGGTACGTCTTGTGATTCAGGATGGCTTCAACTTCGTACTCTTCTTCGTTATCAACGACATCAGGTGGTGGGTTCACATAATTCGGACCATGTATGTCGTTTTCGCGATAAGGAGATAGAAGGGCAGCGTGGAATACGGAATGAACTCGCCAGGTCTTCGGGAGTTTGAGACGATAATTGGCTGGTCCAATGACTTCGACAATTTCGAATGGCCCCTCACGCTTTGGTGCTATCTTGCGCGAGGCGTAATTGACCTTCAGGTTCCTCGAGTCTAGCCAGACCTTCTGTCCTAGTGTAAACTTCGGTGATCCTTGTCTGACTCGGTCCGCCATCTGTTGTCGGGCTAACTCGTGCATGGCTAGCGCTTCTAGTCTTATCTTCTGCAACATGTCAAGCCTGGATTCAACCGATGGAATGTTCGTGGTCGGAAATACGGAAGGGAGTCCCCGTGGTTCATATCCCATCATGATGCGGAATGGGCTCATCTTCCGTGCCGAGTGTTCCCTTGTGTTATGACAAAACTCGAGGTCTGGCAGGCGGTCGGCCCATGTTTCAGGGTTGTTTCCGCAATAGAGTCGAAGATAGATTTCCAGCTCCTGGTTGACTCGCTCTGTTTCTCCGTCCGTCTGAGGGTGATAAGCTGTGCTCATTGATGATCTGATCTGGAGTAGTCGATTTAACTCTTGGAAGACCTTGGATGCGTATTGAGGTCCTCTATCCGAGATGATTCGGTCGGGTAATCCAAATCGCGAGTATACTTTGTCATGAAAAATCTTGGCCGTTCCTTCGGCTGTGATCGTTTTGAGGCAGGGCGTAAGAATCACCCCCTTCGTAAGGTCATGGTCTACTACGACCATAATTGAATCAAAACCGTTGGAAACGGGGAGGTCGGTAATAAAATCGGTGGTGCAACAGGAAAATGGTAATGCGTGTGGGTCGGCGGGAATTGGTTCCAAAGGAATACGAGTTGGATGAGTATTCGGTTTCATTTGTTGACAGGCGGCACAGCCTTCAACATAATTGTAGACAAATGTATACATGCCAGGCCACCAGAATTCACGACGTAACAGTTCAAGAGTATTGAACTTTCCAGGGTGACCCATGGCAGGGGAGTCGTGATGTAGTCGAACGAGATCACGACGAAGAGTTTCGGATGGTGGGACGTAAATCTTTCCCTTGTAGAGGATGACACCATCGCGAACTTCCCAGTCGGAAAGCGATGATTTCATGGGGAATGGCCCTTTGTGTGCAATCGCTTCGAGGGCTTCGTGAACAACGAGGTCTTTTGCTGCGTGATTCCTGATTTCGTCAAATAGAGTCGGGGAAATGGATCGCACGAATAGTGCGTTGGGTAAAAGAATGCGATCTTCGTTGTCACTTTCACTGTCATCGAGTCCATTACGACGAGAGAGCGCATCAGATTGGATCATCTGAGTGCCAGGGACATGGATGAGGTGAAGATCAAATTGTGATAATTTGAGACTCCATTGTGCCTGTCGGCAGTTTAAATTCTGAGCTGTACGGAAGTACGTGAGGTTCTTGTGATCACTGCGAACTTCGACGGGATGGGGAGAGCCTTCAAGATAATGGCGCCATTCAGTGAGGGCTCGAATAATTCCGAGGAGTTCGCGGTCGTAGATTTCGTAGTTCCGTTCAGCTGGATTGAGCGTCTGTGAAATGTAGGCACAAGGATGGAGTTCTCCATTGATATCGGCTTGGCGTAAAACTGCACCCGTAGCAAACTTGGAAGCGTCGGATTCAACAATAAATGGTTTTGCCTTGTCAGGCAGTAACAGTACTGGGGCGGTACTAAATCGTTGCTTCAATGTGTCGAAAGCTGTCTGACATTCTGTTGTCCATTCAAAAGGTGGAGATCCAGCGGCAGTGCGCGTAAGATTCGTCAATGGTTTGGCAATATCCGAGAAGTTGGCAATAAACTTCCGATAGAAGTTTCCAAACCCTAGGAAAGAGCGAACACCTTTTACCGTGCTTGGTTCAGGCCATTCCGCAATTCCTTTAAGTTTGATAGGGTCCATGCCAATGTAGTTTTCTCGAATGATCATGTCTAGGAATTCGACTTCTTTAACGTCAAAGAAACACTTTTCCGGTTTAAGGAATAAGTCGTTGTCTTTGAGTCGTTGGAGTATGCGTCGGGTTCGAACGTGATGTTCTTCCAAATCGTTTGAGAAGATGAGAATATCATCCATGTAAATGACTATCCATCCCTCGTCGATCATGTCCTTGAAGAGTGCGTTCATCATCATTTGGAAAGTCGCCGGGGAGTTGCAGAGTCCAAAGAACATGACCATAGGTTCAAAAAGTCCGCGATTTGTCTTAAATGTGCCCTTCCATTGGTCACCATCTTTGATTCTGACATTGTTATATCCGGAGCGTAAATCCATTTTCGTAAAGATTGATGCGCCTTTGAATTGATCCATAAGGTCAGAGATGAGCGGGAGAGGATAGGCGTTCTTCACCGTCCCTTCATTCAGGTATCGGTAATCCTGACAAGGACGTAGTGCTCCGTCTTTCTTTCCTACGAAGAAAAATGGTGAAGCCATGGGAGATTTCGACGGTCGGATGTATCCTTTTCGCAGATTTTCTTCCAGGAAGTCATCCATCGCTCCTTGTTCTTTGAGCGATAACGGATAGACTTTACAGTCGCGTGGAATAAAATCGGGTTTCAAGTCAATGGCGTGGTCCCAAGGCCTGGTTTCTGGAAAGCGTTCAGCTGCTTTCTTTTCAAAGACGGACTTCAAATCGTGGAGGTAGTTGGGGACCAACTCCTCGACGGTTTTGGGTTTGTCTACAGCTGATGCTTCTTTGTGTGCCTGTTGTGCCAATTCTTGTGATTTACCGGATGGTTTGTAAAAGACCGTATTCTGTGCGTTACAGAATAATGGGGATCGAGTACTGTGTGTCATTCTTCCAATGGCGGGGCCTCTCCGTATGGTGAAGACTGCGGTTTCAGTCTCTTCATTCGTCAAAGGTGACTCCTTCCTGATGGGTTCAAATATCCCAATGACTGGCTCTCCTGCGATATAGGATATAACTAGATCGTCGTCATCGAGCTGATCCATAGAGGATTCTGATGGTAGGTCATCTAGTTCGGTATCATTCCGCACTGCGGGTAACTCGCCACGCTCAGTGTTATCGGTCATGATTTCTCTGATAGATTCCGAATGCCCAAACGAGGTAGGGGAAGTTTCGGTGGTGATTAGCTCTGGGAGTCCATCTTCCTTGAAAATCGAAACTTCTTTATCTGGTGCATCTTCGACGGTGGGTTTCGGTGGCCATTTGGCCTCTTTACCAAACCAAAAGTCACCGGTTTCCCAGTTGATCATCGGATTGAGGCGTTTAAGCCACGGCATGCCGAGAAGTATGTTTTCTTTGCCAATGCCGGTCAAGAGGAAGCGAGTAAGCGTCTTCCTTCCTCCGATTTTCATCATCTTCCAGGTGCAATGAGTAATGGTACCCATTTGATTTGGTGTGCCATCTGCATTCATGACTGTAATCGGTTTCGGTAATTCCCATCTGATGAAATCGTTTTCTTCCGCAAAACAAATATTCATGAACGTTTCGGCTGCACCGGAATCGATCAAGGCTTCTGTTGTAACGTCTTCCTTCTCTCCCAACGAAATATTCACAGTGATTGAATTTCCGCTAGTGTTACAAATAACGAGGGGAGATACGGTAAGATGCGACGGTCCATGCATTACTAGTGGCCGTCGTCTCAAAAACCCAATTGGGTTCGTTCTTCGTCAGTCATGTCGTTGAAGACGTTTCGCACATAGGCGATCTGTTCCTCTCTGGTTTCTTCCTTCGACGTCTCCTTCTTCTGTGCGAGGTCTTCTCGCATCTTCTTGATCCATGTGATCGTGTCTGTGTCTAACCCGGGCTGTATCGTTCTAGCACGGGTGAAACTTCCAGACTGGGGGTGAAATTGTCTGTCGTTGGCTATATGGCCCTTCTTTCCGCATAGGAAACATAATCCTTCTTTCATTCTCTTCTGTCGCTCGTCTGGGGATAAGCGCGAGATATTGACACAATCAACATCCATCGCGTTTGGATCCTTTGCAGAAGCCGAGTAGTAGGGACGATGGACAGATCGGCCCTTTCCTCGCGTCGTCGTAGTGGCTCCTCGCTTGAAGATCTGAGCAGATCTCCATTGGTTATCAAACCGCGAGGCGTATTCGTACCACTTGTCAAGTGTCTTGGGCATGCTTTCCATCCCATATATCCTTTGTCGGAGTGGGTCGTTAAGTCCCCACTTGAAATACTCGATATTTCCGGCATCTTCTAGTTTCGCCTTGGATTCAAGCGATCGGAATTCGGCAATGTAGTCGTCCGCAGTACGAGTTCCTTGCTTAATGTTACGCAGCAAGGTACGAGCGGTTTCTTCAATATTTTCATCGCCAAATGCTTTGTTCACACTTGCAATGAAGTCTCTCCAACTCCCATAAGAAAGGAAGTCATCATTGGTGAGTTCCGTTTCTATGAAGCTCTGTGCCCATGATCCTGCTGTTCCTCCTTGCATGTGCGATAGCACGAATGCGATCTTCTGATTGTCCTCCTGGTAGACATGGCTATTTCCGGCCATGTAGTTCTTGCATTGGTTTATAAATTCCCTAAGCTTCGAACGGTCTGAACCGTTGAAGATCTCGGGTTTTCTAAAACCAAGTTCCTTCTGGCTAGCATGGTGACGTCCTTCATCCATGGTAACTGTAGCCATCGGTGGTATGTAATCGGGTACGATTGGTGCAAGAGTCGGTTGGGGTACAGGATTCTGGGCAGGGGGGTTCCAAGGGGCGTCTGGTCTTTCTCCTGGATAGGAGGTCGTTATACCGCTGTCTGCGATGTGCTGGAGCACTATTCCACCAAGATTATGGGGAAGTGTCCTTTCAAATTCCTCTGGGGAGTAGTCGAAGTTGTGATTGTCTGGCCTGATGAATACAGGCCTTCCTCCTATGAAATGTGCGTTTCGTTCTGTGCTCCACTCCGCTTGGGATGGGAGGTGCTCGCGGTACTGCTCTGGAAGAGCGGTCGGGTTGATGTAGTTAAAATCCAGCGTGGATAAATTCTTCTGTGTGGCCTATGTCTACACATAGACTGCACACCGTCCTTAACTAAGTGGGTTCGTTCGTCGTCGGCTAACAAGCCTGTAGAGTGTCTTCTGTCTTCAAACTGATACACCTATTTGCTGATTGCTCGAGTGATTACCTCAGCCTCCTCGGCCTATTGGTCTCTCGGACAGACCCCTCTCCGAAGATGAGTGATCAGTCTATCCCTTCAGCTACCTCGATTACAGAGTAATCTCAAGCGGTGCTTTAGCAATCGAATCGGGTGTATCGTTCAGTCTTCAAGGTTCGGTCCGGTCGGTAGTTCGTTGTTAGACTCTAGGAAGTCACAGAGAGTAATAAGATCTCGACCTAATGTTACGCGGCAGCGAAACACGAGCGTCTAGTCGAGTCGTTACGAGACAAGGTCTTAGTCTAAGACACAAGTCCGTTCAAGTGACACTTCTGGCGATGTCTTTGCACTGAAGGTCGATCAGAGTTCGTTCTTATGACTCGTAGTAGCTGTCTGCTACTGACGGTCGATCTCAGTCAAAGGCAAGTGAAAAGCTGGTTTAATGGTAACCAGGTCGAGATGGGGATCCAGCTCGACAAGGTCGTCTACTTATACAAAAGGTATCCGCAGTACTACGCAGTAATGCGAAATCGTTCATTGGCCAGATAAGGTGAAACGATATCTGGGCAAGGTAACAGCGAGGAAGTAATATGTATGAGAAAGCTGAGTAAGGTCGTGAGAGATAATCAGTACTAATGGGGATAACGAGTCGTGTATCAGAACGAGGTAAAGATGAGGCGTACATGCACGTCTTGCATGCGCAATAAGAAAAAGGTCCGGAGTTGGATCCGGTGTAACCCTAAACTAGGGGTTCTGGACATCTGGGTAAAGAATCGGAGGTTGCGCTCCAATGAGTCACGTGTTGGATCACGTGGTCTGGTAATGTAAAGGGAACAAGGAAAAGAAAAAGAAAAGACGCGCCACAAGTGGGGAGCGTTGTAACATTGGCAGTGGGCCCATCAATGGCGATAACATGCTCTGGCGTCGGCCCACCCTCTGACCTGTGGCGGTGGGCCCATTGCTTAACAGTTACAACACTGTAATATGCCCTGCTAGTGGGCTGAGCACTGGGAGAAGAACACTAGCGGTGGGCCCACTGCTAGTATCCCACACATGAAAGATATGGGCCCACTGCTGGTAGAGGTCAACATGGTGACAATGGGCCGACGTCCGCTGGCTGTCCAGTTCATGACAATGTCAGGGTAAATGGGAGTTCAGTTCAGGTAACATGACCGAAAGGTGTGGGAAGCGTGCACCGAACCATTTGAGTAGATTGATCTTATAAATGCAGGCGATGTCATATGTAAAAATCAAATGCTGCAGCTCCTCCAACCCAGCGAGCGTGCCGGCAAGTGCGAAGTCCATGTGTCCAAACCTTGCTGGAGATGTCAGCTAGAGCTCTCAGCATGTATCATGGTAACACACCGCTCTCCCTTTTGTAGATCCACCATAGCGGCTGGCCGGAAACAGCTGTGGCGTATACAAATCACTGCAACCACGCCACTGACTTCGAGGTTGCGAAATTTCCCTGGGTGTTGTGCGCATGCAACTTTGAATCCACTGCACATTTCAGGCTGAAGGTCTGGTCAGCATCATTATAGTGTGCCACTTCGAACACATACCGCAGGCTCCGCCTCGATTGAATCCATGTATTCTTTCATCTTCTCCGGGTGAACAAAATAGCCTTGTCCCAATCCCAGACTCACATCGTCTGGATCATCATGCTTGCGTTTCTTCTGAAGACCATGATTGCCATTCCCACCAAGCTCACATACGTGTATATACCTGGCCCTCGACTTGTGAGATCGTACAGTGAGTGCACTAGGAAGATATACACTCACGCGAGGCTGGGCGGTGTCTCCATCCAATTGGCTGACATATTCACCCCGGGCCAGGGGCACGTATAGCATGGCACTGTCAGCGATTGGGGATCACAGTTCGGCATGACCAGACCATGGTAGTTGCCGCTGCACTTCAAGATGGTAAGATGTCGCCAAATCCTGCTGATGATGTTGAATTCTCAATAGTGATTCTGGATACATCAATCAGAAACGCCGCTGTTAGCTATGAAGTGTAACACCGACCTTGACTTTTTGTGATGCCGAATTATTAGTCAAGCGCCGCAACGTGTATACGAAGTCATAGGCACCCTTCTTCGATGTCAAAGCATGCATGTGTCACTCTCTCAGCAGCTGCATGGTGAACACACTCTCTGGGTGCTCTAAGGTGGCCGGAAACAGGCCTGAATGCAATAACTGAGAGACTCGGCCAGGTGCACCATCGCAATGACACCACTGCACCCAAGCCTCGTGAACGCCATTGGAATGTGTTACTACCATCCTGGAAGGTGTTTGACCACGAGAGGCGGTCGGACAGAGTGTGCCCTCATGACCGAGGTTAAAAGTGTAGCCCAGGGTCGACAGATCGACTTTCTCAAAAAACTCGCCATTCCATACATCAATCCAATGAAATGGATCGTTGCGATGAGCCGCTGAGATACACGCACTGCACTGACCATTGCTTTGAAAACAATCACGGCATCGAGCCAGTGAGGACGTCCCACACACGCACTGGCCTGGAATCTCAGGATGCACCTCCGCAAATAGAATGTCCGCGAGAAGCTCCGGAAAGTGGGGCGTCCATTCAGCCATGACCCACGAGACCCCATTCTAGCATCATCGAATAAGTGTTTGTCGAATAAATGTTTGAACTAAAATCTCGAGAGTAGGCTCACCTTCTCCTTGCATTTGACGTCGCCCTTGCTGGGCCCAGGCTGCGACGTGCGGTCAGCATCTCCCGCCTCAACGTTGATGGTGTCAGCTTCATAGACAGGCAGTTCGGAATTTTCAGAGACCTTGCGCTTCTTGGATGGAGACTTCGTGGTGAATCGAACTTCAGTATCAAGTAAATGGTGGCGACCGTGCACGTCGGCATGGAGTTTCTTCGAGACCAGAGTGACTTTGTGTGGAGGTGAGTGAAAAGCAATACCATTGGTCTTTGCAGCGTGTCGCTTCATTGCTGCAGAAAGGTATGGTGAGGGAGGCTCCAGTAGTAGCATTCATACTCACAGAAAGAAGCGAAGTAGGAAAGGGACTCGCTCGTGCAAGACCTCACCGGGTATTCGGCAGAAAACAGATTTACTGTACAAAGAGGTCAGGGGTGCGCGTACAATAATGATCGAACATGTCTGAAGCAACGGCACATCTAGCACTTCTATCGTATAGTAAAATACAACCACGCAACAGCCGGGAAGGCCGCTTCAAAGTCCCGGCATACAGTGAGCTCATGTCAGCTTCGACATCTGAACAGCGGGAAACCTCGCACACTTACACGTCAAGCAGACACCCCATAGCGATATAGACATATTCCTCCACACTGATAATATATGTAAGTCAGCAATACAACACCGAGAAAACAGGTATACGTACTTGGGATCACTCCAATGTCCACGGAGAAGTCTTGAGTAAGGACCGTTCTCGACGTACCTTGTCTTCGCTGATGATCACTCGACCACTGGTAATACCAGCAGGAGCGATCATAAACCAAGGTCTCACTGTGGCCATATGGCCACGGGAGCACCAAGGTGCTTGAGGTGGAGGGCGACTTGTTGAAAATCCTCTAAGTTCAAAGATCAGATTATCTCCGAGATAATCCAATCTAGTCGGAGATTCATTCAAAGTCCAATCAGCGCTCAGCCACTTTCAATCTTCAGACTCAGCATGTCAGAGTCTAAAGCACTTATGCTGATCGCAGGATTATCCTGCGCTCATCAGTATCACCCTCGAGCTCGTCGTCCCCTTCGGTCTTTTTTGCGCTCTTTTTCTGTGAGTCTCATCTCACGGATTTTCTACTGATCCCCTCCTCAAAATCAGAGTGTGAACAGGAGGCATATGTCTTCTGAACACCTCTAAGGTCGGCAGCTGTGCGCAAGGAGATATCACTCTCCTTGCCTGGCTGATCCAGCAAGATTTGTGGTCGCAACACGCTCGCCACTGAGTGACGGAGAGCAGTTTCAGGCTGCCAAGCCTGCGGTTTACTGTAGGATTTTTTTCCCATCTCCAATCTCTCTGAACAGGCAAATCGACATCGCGCATGAGTGTCTTTCGCCATTGCTTCACCATTGAGCGTGCTCTCACACTGATGTGATACCATGCCTACCATGGCTCTCGCAATCCAGGTACCTGCTGGAGGATTTTTCCGTCGTGCTAACCAGCATTCCTGAGACGCCGGGAAGCTTAAAAATCTATCGCTTTGCAAACAATTATCCGGGGTTACCAGGGTATGTGATAGTGTTCGATTCCTGACGCTAATTCTTATTATGTTGTTAGGGGAACAATGGCACCAAGACGTGGCCACACTTCAGCGAAGAGGCGGCAGAATGGTCGCGGATATGGTGAATATGCTCCCGTCACTTAGCGTCGCACCCGAGCTAATTGCTCTTTCATAGGCCCATCTTCTTGTGAATCAAGATCACAAAGCCGAGGAGGCAGATCGGCTCAGCAATCTCACGGCTCGGTCTTGGTCTCGCAAGCACCGGGAGCATCAACATCCAGTGAAGTGGCAGCATTACTGGCTCAAACACCTGATGTGCTGCCTTCGGTGCAGACAGGCGATGTCGATGTCCCGATTGGTCCCCCAGTATTAGCTCGCACCGAGCATTTGTTGGGTAAGCAGTAGTCCTATGCCAGTCGAGAACATTGCTGAAGGGAACTCAGGCTATCGAGGCAGCACACTGGCATTTGACAGTGTGCTAGCAGCACAATTTCCACTGCGAAGTGACGGTGTTATCACGACGGCCAATGCTTCATGGATACTGCAATTTCCGGAAGTTGAAGACGGCCAGATCGCGACACGCGTTGACGGAAGATGAGGCCCTCAGGAGTACACTAGATGGCCACAGAGCTACGATACTAAGATCGTTCACCACATGTGCATCCCGACGATGCCGGCGCTCCTCGAGATAAAAGCGAAGGTGCTACACCAGCGTTTGTACAACACAGATTGGGAGGAGGACCTGAGCTGTGGGGTGCCCCAGCTCGGATTTCTGTCCAAAACAGTCGGAGAACCCCTGCTGTGTGCAGCTCGTGCAGTCCAGGAAAGATTTGTGAACGAGATCAGTCCGCAGTCGAAGAAGAATGTGTTTGGGTTGCAGCTGTTCCTCATTCTTTCTCAGTGTTTAGACTGCCTACTCCACCTGCCCATGTTTCCTTCGCATGCTGTCGCTCTAGGCGCACACACACAGTGCCTAGTACTAGAATTGTGGGGTTACCTGACTTATGTTTCGATCGTCGCTCCCCGCATCGCTGATGGGAGGTATGATGCCCGCGGGGCCACACTTCCCATTCGCGGTGCCTTCACTGTGGATGGGGCTGTCGCACAGGAGTTATTCTGCGTCGGCATTCCGTTCTGGTTTATCCAGACATTGACGCACCGGACTGTTATTTTGAAGGTGGTGCAGCCTCTTCTGGTAAACAGTGCTTTGAGCCTTGCACTGGAGGCAAAAGTGGATGTTCTGCCTTGGAACAGTGTCTGAACATCCAAGGAACAGATTACATTTTTGGACATGTCACATGTTCTGAACATGGTAAGGAACATCTAATATGTCTCGCACAATGTTCCATTGGAGAGCATGCTGGAGACATGTTGCATGTACCATTCTGGAACATATAATATGTCTCACACAATGTCTCATTGGAGAATGTCCTGCAGACTTGCTGCATGTTTCATTCTGGAACATTTATCATTTTGCTACTATATTCTGGGCTTGTCTCTTGGTGCAATATGCTCTGTATAATAAGGATTTTCCATGGCCAAACACATTACATTTCTGGCTGCTGTTAATCTTCAGAACATTGTGAGAAGATGTTAAGTGCTCCTACTCCAAATATACAAGATGTCCTGGGCACCAAGAACATCTGCAGTACATGTATGATACATACTAAAATTTTACTAAAATTTTACATGTACTGCAAATGTTCTTGGTGCCCAGGACATCTTGTATATTTGGAGTAGGAGCACTTAACATCTTCTCACAATGTTCTGAAGATTAACAGCAGCCAGAAATGTAATGTGTTTGGCCATGGAAAATCCTTATTATACAGAGCATATTGCACCAAGAGACAAGCCCAGAATATAGTAGCAAAATGATAAATGTTCCAGAATGAAACATGCAGCAAGTCTGCAGGACATTCTCCAATGAGACATTGTGTGAGACATATTATATGTTCCAGAATGGTACATGCAACATGTCTCCAGCATGCTCTCCAATGGAACATTGTGCGAGACATATTAGATGTTCCTTACCATGTTCAGAACATGTGACATGTCCAAAAATGTAATCTGTTCCTTGGATGTTCAGACACTGTTCCAAGGCAGAACATCCACTTTTGCCCCCAGTGTTGAGCTCTCCTGGCCAAGGATTTCCCGACAGACACTTCCAGGTTCTGGCCTCCTGCATATGCCAGGTGAATGGCCCTCCTGGATGCTTCACGAGGTGACAAGCACGCTCTGCGACACGTGTTTACCCACCCTTGAGGAGGCGATATCCTCCAACGCCACGGAACCCTCGGCCAAGCGACATAAGTCCTCAGAAGAAGTGGAGACCGTGCCGCGTGAACCTGGCACCGGTGGTCTTGGCATCGTACCTGTTAGGGATGCCACCAAGAAGCAGGAAAAGACCCACCATGGCAAACGGGGCAAGCAGACCAAGCCCGATGCAAGTGCGAGCAGCACACATAGTCTGCACCCATCGCTGTCTCACCATTCGACCGACGCGATGGTCAGCCCAGCATGGTCAGAGGTGCTAGCTGCGGTTTCACCATTGCCCGCCCCGGTGAAGGTGGCGACATATTTCTTTCCGCTGCCATTCCTTTTCAGTGGTGATGGCGACAAGATTCGCCAATACCTGCACAGTTATGTGCACATCCGTGGCTTCTGTCACCAGCGACTTCTCGATCTCACGATTGGCAGGCTTCCGTTGAAGATAGCGGAGTGGAGAGATGGTTTGTGGGGAGATTATGGGCTGGATGAGAGGCTGGAAGGACCTGCGGTGGACAGCACCAATTCAGTGGATGGCGGTGCCATGTCCGCGAGCATTGTCCGGACGACATCAACGTCTCTTGAGCATGTGGGTGCGAAGGTCAATGAAAAGCATGAACGGCAGCAAAACATCCGACAGCTGTTCGCGCACAGTGGACTTATGAGTTCATATGACGAGACGGTGATGCCCCATTGGGGCTTCGATCTGGTCTCACTCGCTCAGGCGGAAACCTTTCATGCACACATTTTGTGGGAAGTGCATGAAACCAACTGGCGGTGTGAGCTGGTGGCACTAGATGTGAAGCTCTCGAGTTCAGCAAGCTGGGGTTCATTGCAGCGCTCCCACTGGGAGCGCCAGGCTCAGGTTGCGAAAGTGTGGGACTCGAGCCTATTTAGCTCAGCATTTTCGGTAGCACCTGCTTGGAAGCAAGATGCAGCAATGTTTTGTTGGGTCCCGGCTGACAAGGAAGGATGGGAGAAATGCTGGCCGAATCTCAGCAGTTTCATCGCGCTCGCTGCACGATGGCCCAATCTCCCTGAAGTGCTGTGAGTTGACCCGAGCGCTGTGGACTGCTACGGTGCAGACGAGTACACCCGTGTTCAGAGTGCTGCCATGCACTTCTATGTGACGTCATTTGTGCAAGTGTTCCACCGCCTCCCAGTCGCACCCATGCAACTCTCGTAGAGTATCTGTCATCAAATTTGTCGTATTAGTGATCTCGCAATGTAAATGATTCTCCATTGATTCTGCGTGACACGGTGAGCTGTTCTCATTTACTGCTTGTTGTCGTTCTACAATAGCTGAGTCATCCTTCCTTTCTCCTCGATTTGAATGGCACTGATTTATTCCCTGTCACAGTTCAATATATTTCGTATTGGGATATCCGTGTCTAAACCCTAATTGCGCACAACTCATCCCGATCAGTATGTAAGTATTTGGTCTACTCTTCACGCTATAAAAGCAGAACTAAAGTCTGCAAATCTCTAGCTTGACCATGCATCGTACCAACCCTCAAGTTAAAGCCATTGTCAACGGCCTTTTACCGAGTCGCCAGCTCTTGCGCACCTCAGTGACGATGTGCACAGTCAGCCCAGCGATTTCGCACTTGGTAGCTACCAGTTATGGTGTCACCAACGCGTGCACACTCGGTTTGATGTTCGAGATAGTAAGTTGAATACTATGTCTTTCTACATTGGAGCATTAATTAAGTCGCACAGTGCACACATTTGACAAAGTGTCTGCGTCATCTCAAGCTCCTTGCAGTTCAATTGTCGCCGGCGCAAGCCCAGCAATGCCGCCATGAGGTGAATGCATTGGACCCGCCTGCTGTTCTTGGTGGGGCAGACCTCCTCCCGTCGTCCAGCCCACCGGCGACACCGTCGATGCGCGTGCCATTGACCCCATCGACACTTCATGGCTCTCAACGCAGTAGCGACTCTTATGCCCCGAGCTCACCATCGATTTCATCTTCGCTCTCGGTGGAGGCACGCCGACGAGGTTGACCCCCGCTTGACTCTCAAGTCATTTGGGTGCGCGTGCTTAGTGAAGTATGTCTTACAGTAATTATAATTATTTCGGGAACTGATGTTCTATCTAGGGTTCCCATGACCCCACCTTAATCGCAGCATGGGGCATTCGCCGTGCTGAATACCTCGAGTTTGCATTCAAGCAGAGGGCCATCATTGACGCCCTGGGCATCGACGATGGTGATGAGTTATCGTATCAGCAGTTTTGTCCGCACTTGCGCCAGTTCATTGATTACCCCAAGCATACCCACAAGCAATACTTCTTACCGGGCGATATTCCAATCTACCGTGTCAAGGGCAGCGATTGGATGCCCTCCGTGGAGCGGATTGATGCGATCGGTCGCAACGTGAACTTGAACTCTAGCTCCGGCGCGGGGCCGAGTGGATGCGGAGGTGCACGTAAACATGCACTGTCTGATGCACCGGACAACAGAAGGAGAAAGGTGGTGGTGAAGGCGAAGAAGCCTGTGGACTGCGATATAGAGTTGACAGATAATGAGTTAGACAGCGAAATCGTGGAGATTGACGAGGGCAGAGAAATTATCTACGTATTCTAGAGGCAATCAATGTCATTCATGCATCCCTGGCTCTGTGTTTGACATGCGTGCGAGGTCCTGGCGAGGCCTCCATACCCTTGACTCACGGGTATATCGGTTGTTGCCAAGTTGCATGTGCTAAGATCGGTGCGCTTCATCTCTCGCCGTGCAATGTCTCTAACAGTTCCACTTTCAAGCAATGTCACTGCATTCAGATCTCCCGCGAGATCGGTGAGTGAATTTCAGGCTAAACATGCAAGTCCGGTCAATTAACCAGAAATTCAGGAGCACTGTGTCGAGTGCGGATTGAATCGGACTGGGCTTGGTGCATTTCTGCTGCCCAGCACGTTATCTACTATGGTGAGTTCATGTGCTCTTACTGTTGTTCTCACTCTTACTTGGGGTTGTATTCTCAATGGCGACACCCCCGACTATTATTACCAAGGACAAGCGCATCCATTGGAAGACTGCGGAGTGCAACATACTCGATGAGAAGTGCGCCATGTTTCTTCAGTGCTCGAGTGCCGAAGAACAAGATAAAGTCAAGCATGCCACCGTGGCAGCATTGAAGGCCGAGTTCACCCGCTTTCATGGCATATCAGACGAGGTGCTGAGTGAGGTAAGTTTGGATATAACTACAACGACAGACAATGACGGACTTCATTACAGAAGGTACATAACTATCTGAGAAATGAGAATCAGCATGAGAAGAAGGCAGAACCGCGCGCCTCCTTCCGCGACAAGTCAATCTTCACGCCATGCTCACGCCTTCCTGGCCCGAGCCGAGTCTGGGCCAGGGATGAGGTGAATATTGCCGCAGTGAGGGAGGAGGTGGGTAAACTCGAAGATGAGGGGAAAGTCAACTCAGCCAACCATGCAGCAGTGACGAGCTCGATCAAAGCTAGCCATTATAAGGCTCTATCGGAGGAGGAGAAGAAGGAATGGGAGGACATTATGAAGCACAAGCGTGAGAAGAAGGGGAAGCAGATTCATGACGAGGAAATCAAGCAGTGAGTGTCGCCATGTTGCGCTGCGATCCCGACAACTGATTGGTGACAATAGCAACCAATCAGTTCTCTTCTACAAGGTTGCTGATGATCTCCACGCATTGATCGGTGATGGACATGGACAAGCAGGAGAGGACGTTGTCTTCCACCTTCGAATGGTGTACAAGCCGCGTGACAGCCCGCCGCAGTCGACCTGGTATGTCATGGAATATCTCCTGCACATCATACTGACATTGGACCCAGTGTTGACGTCACGCGTAATGATGACGTGCAGGGTTTCAACAAATTCGAAGGAGGGAACACTGCCAAGGGGGAGCGCTGGGCGCGTTATGTTGGCGAGCTTTATCGTAAGTTCCTTCTAATCGACCACTTGCGAATACTCACAATAAACGCGATGTAGCAATCGCCCCTGTTCCTACATTGGATCGCGGGTCCGATGGAATGCCTCTCTTACCAGAAGTCGAGAAGAACTGGACATTTACGCGCTGCGGAGAACAACTGAAACTATACATAGAAGCGATGTGGAGTACGTATGATTTTTTTATCTAAATATATAGCATTATTGACTACTGACAGAGCATGCACATGCCCGGAATGGCGACATACCCAATCTTCCATGGGACTCGCTCTGCAATGCTACGTGCAATGTCGTATCAGAGGGTTGGCAAGGATCCATTGGGGATCCATTGGACATGGGCCCGGCGGAGGTGATGGGGCTCTACCTTCGCATGCTCATGGCACAAAATGACGCCGACGCATTCCACTTTGTGCCGGACCCCATTGTTACTTGAGCTCTCACTGCAACCAATGGTGATCTTGATCGTGCCGTGGATCTTGATGATGAGGATGCTACAAGACACAGTGCCCTTTCACAGGTGGACAGCGAGGACGATGATGAGGATGCTGTGGTGCTGACACCGTCGCGCAAGAAACTCCCCCTCAGGCAGGTGAAGAAGACTAGTGCTGAGTTACCCCAGAGCAGTGTGCAACTCAACAATCGCCACCTCAACGGCGCCGGTGATGGTGTTAGCGAGGGCGCAGCTCGCAGCATCGATGATGGTGAAGGGCGCATCATTCACAAAGGCAAAGGACGCGGCATCGTCATCGACGAACATTGCGGCATCGTCGTCGACGAACGTTGCGGCATTGTCGACAACGAAGGTCACAATGTCGTCGAGGTCAAAGGCCTCAGCGTCATCAAGGGCAAGGGCTGTGCCTTCGTCAAGAGCAAAGGCCACGACGTCATCGGAGGCGAAGGATGTGGTGTCATCGGGGGTGAAGGTCATGGCATTGTCCAGGGCAGTTGCGACATCGTCGAGGGTGAAAGTCACGGCGTTGTCGGGGGCGAGGGACGCGGTGTCGTCGAGGGCAGTCGCGGCATCATTGAGGGTGAAGGCTTCGGCGTCGTCAAGGGCAAAGGCCATGGTGTCATCGAGGGCAGTCGCAGCACTGTCGAGGACGAAGCACGTGGTGTCATCGAGAGCGAAGCACGCGGTGTCGTCGAGGGCAAAGCATGCGGTGTCATCGAGGGCGAAAGTTGCGAAGGCGAAGGCAGCAGTGTTGGTGAGAACGTTGACGGTGGCGAAGGCATAGGCAACACCGAGGGTGGTAATGACAGTGATATGGATGCTGATGGAGAGGTTGATCCTGGTGAAGATGTGGAACTCGACAATAGCACCGGGCAGGAGATGCAAGTCAAGATGGGGATGAAGCGCAAGCGGAATGATAGGTATGTTTTCTCCTTATTGCACTCATCCACAGCACTCCTACTTATATCATCGGTGCAGACAACTTCCGCACACTGCTGCAGCAAAGAAGGGGAAGGCTGTAGTCATTGTTAAGAAATCCTCATATGTTATCCTGACTACCCTCATGTGTATATGATCTGATTTGTATTTCTTACTAGCGTGGTCACTAAGGTGAAACATGCTACTCGTGCGACCACTGCACCGCGAAGGGCTAGTCGCCTTGCGGGGCGCAGCTAATGAATGGGTGACATTTTGCCTATGATACTTTAAGTTCAGATCACCATTGACCTTGTATGCTGTTGCTTCACTTCTGTTCTGTTCCTTACCAGTCGGGATAATCTTGAGATCATCTTCTTACTTCACTTCTGTGCTGTTCCTTACCAGTCGGGATAATATTTGGATCATTTTCTTACTTCACTTCTGTTCTGCTCCTTACCAGTCGGGATAATGTTCAGATCATCTTCTTACTTCATTCATATGCTATTCCATACCTGTTGGGATAATGTTCAGATTATCTTGCAAGATAAGCAGCAATGTAAGCCGAGATGATCTGAAGATAATGTATGGTGTTTACTGAAGATTATGTCTGGATCATCTTAAGATGATTATGTCTGGATCATCCAGAGATGATTATGAGATAATTCTGAAGGAGGTCTGCTAAGTAAGCAGCCTGCTAATCCTGAAGTTCTGTTAATTAACAGTACATATTATCTTTCATAAATGACAATGATGCATAGTGGGAACAAAAACACGACCTGCAAGACCGACACATGGTCCTGCAGTGAACGCAACGGTGGCTACGCAACAGCCCAACGTTGCTCAGAATGTAACATTCCAATCGGGAGTGACACAGCCAAACCTAGCAGTCACTACCGCAGTAAACCGACCCCCTCAATTCCTGGGAATGAATACAACAGCCGCACCAGGTACGCACGCAGGCCACGCGACCGTACAACGATCGCATGACCCAGGAGCGATACCTCCGGATATGTCTCCCGCAATCGAGAGGATCCATACAATGGTGGATGAGATGGTATCAAGAGATCCCATCGACGAACCACCAGCATACCTTAGAGTCACCAAGATGCCCCCACCACTGCAATACGATGAGAAGGACGATCTTGATGCATTCGAGGTCTGGCTACAGAAATTGCTGGAATACTTCAAGACTCTCCGCATCACTGGCGATGCCATGGATGCGGATCGCCTGCAGATATTGGGGCAAAGTCTCAAAGATGATGCCGCCAACTGGTTCTTTCTGAACGTGCAGTCACCGAACTGCGAAGTACGAAAATGGTACTTCGAGGATGCAGTGACGCACCTCCACCGACAATTCCTACACAAGGACTCAGAGCTGATAGCATCCGAGAAGTACGACAAGGCGATGTACAGCTTATCACGTGGAGGTGTGAGCGAGCTATACAACAGGCTATTACACCACGCAGATCGCATGGTGCAATACCCAACGGAATATGCATTCCGGAAGAGGTTTATGGACACGTTACCACTACCGATGGTAGAAGTAATGCATCTAGCCCACCTACTATCACCTGAGAAACACACCATCGATGCACTGTATCGATCGGCTTTGGCGATCGAACAGGGCAACGGATGGCTGGACCAATACTGTACATACAAGGACCGCCGACAGCCTCAGAAGGCCGGGGACCATACAGGGACCCGGAGTTCAAGCAAGGCCGTGTCATTCCTCGCGCCGATGATACCATCGACGGGAGATATATGACCTAGCTACCGCCCACAAGGACAAGGACGAGGAGGGGCACACCCAGGACATGCACGGCAGGCTGGTAATGCTGGCCGTAGAACAATGCACCCATGCGATGGACAACGTCATGGGGGCGGTCGTCCTACTACAAACCCGGCAGTCTTGGGATTGAGACCACCAGCAAATAACAAGGCGACGAATGCAAATGTCACTTGTTATTCTTGCGGTGGCAAGGGCCACTTCTCGACAGACCCGACGTGCCCGAACTACGGTAAACCTCGGCCAGCGCGACTACACGCACAACGTGTAGTCGATGACCGCTCCGAAGACGAGGAACAGGCAAACCAAGAACTGGCGGAACCAGAGGCTACAGTTCAGAAGCCGGCTCCACAGGAGATGACTCCCGAAACTGACAGAAATGAAGGGCCCTACCAGAATGACACAGGATACCAGACATATCCTGAGTCGGACTGGGCCCCAGAGGGATCACAGTACTCATCGGCAGATGAGTGTGAACCCCCATCTGAAGATGATGGCTGGAACGATGACTGCGACGTTCACCTGGGATCAATGAGATTCGGCATCATGCATCAACACAAGCCTGGAAAGTGTACGCAGACCGTACACCTCCACGCTAGTGAACATGCAACAGATGCACGATCCTCGAGGAATGCATGGCTGTATGACTCACACGTACGATGCCTGACCGATCCAGCCATGCAGCCTGAGTGAAAACCGCAGACACAATGAACACTATGTGCAGAGGTCTTGATCAATGGGATCAAGACCTATACACTATTCGACTCGGGGTGCACAATGGACTCCATTTCTCCGGAAATGGCGTACATCTCGAAGGCTGACCGAATCGACCTGGACGACCAAATAGGTCTCCAACTGGGCACCAAGGGAAGCAGGATGCACATCAATTATGGTGCATGACCCACAATCTTCATAGGCCCAGTAAAGGCACAACACTACCTAGACGTCATCGATATCGATAGATACGACGCTGTACTAGGCACAGTGTTCATGCATAAATATGGCGTGGTCCTCAACTTCGAGAACGTAGGCCGAGCTCGGCCACACACCACACCCCGGGAATGCCCCTGCCACCGAGACACATGCCTCCAGGGCCACCACCAAGGAGTGGTGCCCCTGGACCGCCGACCAGTCCTACCTCAGGACCGCCGGCTGGCTACGTTCCGCAACCTCCAGTTGGTCCCGCCCCTGCCCCGGTAAAGTCGCGCGCGCAGCAAGCCTATGAGCACCTTGACAACGATGAGTCAGAGTCGGAGCCGTCCACAACAGATGGCGACAATGAGCCCGATGACGCCGAGGTCCAGCGGCTCAACAGGCAGCACCAGAGGAACCACGGCCCGATGAACTTGCCCAGGCAAGGAGCATCGAGGAGCGACGACAAGGGGAACACAGTGCCGCGGCCATCAGACACCGATAACGATGTCTCGCTGGCCCCGCACAACTGGCCTGACACGTTCCCCCTCCCGGTCAACACGCAGCCATGGAAGGTGACCGAGTGGTACAACTTTGTACCCTGGTACGTCCGTGACTCGCAGCGCATCATTGATGTGGCCCACGGTGGTGACGATGGCGCGCACACCTGGGTGACCGACCTCATCCGGCAGATGCAGCAAGATGGATGCCTGACTGTGTCCCATGGCATGATGAACCTGCTCATGTCATGGCGACGTCATGGCAGCTCCGGAGTGATATACCCGCCGATGGTTCCGCCTCCCTGCCGGATGACCAACCTTACCAGCTCGTCGACATTCGACGAGTGGGTGGCGTGGTACGTGCAGAACCCGAGCCAGGTTTACTGGGCCATCAGGCACTTGAACAATAACCACTCGGAGGCCCCGCTACACCAGGACCTGGAGGTGATGTGGCTTGCACGCTGCATGGCCCCCATCATCCCACTCGGTGTACCCGCGATGGCCCGCAATGTGTTCATTGAGCACACTGCGGAGCTGTTCTCCATCCTCGGACTGTATGCATGGATCGTACAGGTCGGGCGCTACCCCATGGCAAACAACAACGAGCCGGCCCCATTTCCTCGCTCATCTGCCCAAAACTCGTCCATATACGATGTCGCGCGATGGTATGCTGCCCGCGGATTCCATCCCATGCGGATTGGATTCCTCGAGGAGTTCCACCATTGACACCGCAACTACATCCTCGGACGGGTTCTCGAAGATGTGGCCCCGTTCGAGGGACACTTCCCAGCAGACCTTCGTGACGGACGCGCTCGACCGGTACCCCCGACCCACGAGTTGTTATCACTCGTCGACGAGGACGTGGCGATGCAGCTGCCAGACCCCGAACCACCCACACCTGGCGCTGGCAATGCCCCTGCTGGCAGCAGTCAGCTGGGTCCCAACCCCGGAGTGACCCCCGAGGCTGGTGACCCTGACCATGACATGGGCAGCCACTAGCTCATGCTGGCATGCCCCCATTGACGTGCCGCTGTGGGCCACGGCTGGGGACATGATACGTACCCTCCGTGTGCCCGCAACCCGCCTGCATGTTCTGGCCGTGTCTGTTGTCGCCTTTGCCCGTCGCCTTGCCTCGTCCTACCGTACTGCCTCACATCGCCACCTGCATCATCCATTTGATGGCGCAGTCAGTGTTATGGTCCCGTGGAACGTGTCCAGTGGGGGAGGGTGTAACGTGCCGCTGTTGTATTGCGGGGCACAAGTACCAAGCGGTACTTGTGCCCTAATCTTATCTAATCTCATCGTGTATTATGTAATTGTTGTGTATTGCTTGTATGCACTCTGCATGTATCGAGCGCACATCGGTGTGTTGAAGTCAGAGACTTAACACACCACGACCTTGATACATGCACGACGCTCCAGAATAGAGCTTGGTGCACTGTATCTGAGGTTCGGTGTGATAAGGCCTCGCCCCCCATTACATGTTGTCATGTGGGCGACTTTGCTCCTGCGGCGTCGCCTCGATCCTTTGGTTCCAAACCTACATTACCTCCACAACCTTACATACTCACTCATACACATTTCGTACTGACGATATCTCTGCTCTTGTCTAATACACCCACATCTACAGTCTGGTCTGTGGGAGATCGCGCCGTCACAGTGTTTCCTGTCTGGCTAATACCAGACAGGCTTTCACTCGCCTTCATTTATGGGACTGTCTATCATGCGTATTCCTCCTTTTTCCACTGCTTAGCTGAGTTTCTCATCTGAACATAGTCGTCCTAACCATGATACTGGACATCTTCCAAAACACGTATCATGAGAAACCTGGTATCGCCGGTCTTCAGTATATATCGTTGGGTGTTGGTATGTTCAACATGCGGTTGCTGTGAACGCTGCGTTAATGCCATCTATTCGTCGTTAACAGGATTGACTCTCGCATCTCAGGTCAATGCTCGAATGTTGAATTATGTCTATTCTCATCTTGAGCGATGAAATAACGATGTGGGGTTACCCGAGTTTCGTCTGTGTGAGTGTCTGTCCCCTAAATTCAAGAGTGTCCCTCTTCACAAACATTGCTACAGCGAATGTGATGCCAGGGACTGTACTTCTTCCTATTGGTCTACTCATTGCAGGCTGGGGTGCTGAAAGGTATGTTTACTGGATTGTACCCGATATTGTAAGTGCTCGGGAGATTCTCACGGTATAATCCATTGACATTCATGGTTGCAGGGCTTTGCATTTACGGGCGTGGGAATTATCCTGACTTTCCAAGGGATTCAGATGTATGTAATCGACGCATTCACAGCACATGCTGCCTCAGGTGCATTGATGCTGTCATCACATGGATCCAGCCCTCATGATCCACTTGACAGTGTTGGCCGCAGTGTCGTGTCTACGTTCCTTGGCTGGTTTCGGTTTTCCTCTTTTCACTCCCACAATCTACAAAGCACTGGGGTACGGGGTCAGCAACACCATTCTCACCGTGGTTGCTTTTGCAGTAGGATGTCCTGTGTACGTCTCCTCCGATGTCTCATTGAGCAACAATGAGTGCATGTTGACGGGTTATATGCAGCATCTGATTATTCTGGATTTATGGCGCACGTATTCGTGGAGCGAGCAAACATGCACAGAAGGAAATTGGCGGAGTGTATAGCCCTTAACCGCTTCCTTGCCAGTGTGGCAAGCAATTCGGTGGCAGCCATCAGGAAATTGATCGAAAGTTTTCATGATATTTCATAATAGGTCTAGACTTTATCACTTCGCATATACCCCCGCAACGGTGAATACATACGTACAGTAGTACAGCTGAGTAGCACGATAACATGCTCATCTTTGTGTCACACCATTTTTGAGTCAATGACAGAATCGTGGTCATGAGTGCACAATTCGAGTGCAAACTCGACTGAGACTTGACCTTGTCTGCCTCCATGTCGCCGTGCGGCACGGAGAAATGAGATCGAGGCATCTCAAAAAGGCAGTCATATTGGTTGGTCCCACCCCGGAATGACTAACAAAGGTCCATTAGACTCCGCGACGCTCCCGACTCACGGCGATCAGGACGACCTGGCGCATGAAGACGACCAGGACCTACCAAAGTGACAAAGTGACCCCCCCACGCAGCTTGCCCTTCTTTAAATGGCTGACCCTCTTCTCCACCCAACATCATGCCTCAGGCTATCAGCTGCCTGCATTTGTTGATAGTATCTCGCCACCTCCACTGGCATTATAGATACAGTCTGCCACGGTATGTATTGCAGCTATCTACACGTCTGACTTACATACAGATTGCAGTTCTCTGTGTGGGTTGTAGAACCTTCTAGGTAGGACATTCACCAATAACTTGCAATGAAATGATCGACAATTCAGACCCAATCATTGTTAACTGGGATGGAGATGACGATCCTTCGAATCCAAGAAAGTACGTCTATCGTTCGCTTAATTTCTCATCAAAAATATCAACCGTGACATATGGTATTAGCTGGACACAGGGTCATAAATGGGCGGTTGCTCTGATGGTCTCTGCCTTTATGTTCATCTCTCCAGTCTCGTCTTCCATGGTTGCACCTGCGGCAAACCAGATGGCGGCAGAGTTTCATATCAAAAGTAGTGCTGTTATAGCTCTTACAATATCAGTTTTTGTTCTCGCCTATGGTACGTTGATCCTTATCCTTCGCTCATTGAGCTCAACTGAAATTGCAGAACAGCGATGGGGCCTCTACATCAGCAAAACCCAACTTTTTCTTACAGAGCTATTTTGACTTTTCGGTCTTACAACCCTTATTTAAGGCAATAAGTCTTCAAAAAAGTGTCAATAAGTCTGATTTCAGACACTCATGTAATATGCATTAGGCCCCTTTTTGACCTTATATCCTTAAATAAGGATCATAAGTCCATTTAAGTCGTTTAAGTACCCTTTTAAGTAAAAGTTGGGTTTTGCTGATGTATTTCTTGGACCACCAAGTGAGCTTTTAGGATGTACCATAGTTCTCAGGCTCTTTAACATCTGGTACCTCAGTATGCTACTTTCATTAACCTGCATTTCCTTCCCCACTGACATTTGTATCTAGTTTGGAATCTGGCCTGCGGATTTGCTCAGAACACAGGGCAACTAATTGTGTTCAGGTTTCTGGCTGGAATTGGTGGAAGTGCTCCGCTAGTTGTAGATCCCTTATCAATAACAAGTCTGCAGAGATTCATGATGTCTCAGGTCGGTGGTGCAGTCTTGAGCGACATGTGGACACCAGATCATCGTGGGCAGGCCATTGCCGTCTATTCTCTGGCGCCAATGCTAGGCCCGGTAGTTGGACCCATTGCTGGTGGCTGGATTGCACAGTTGAGCACTTGGTGATGGGTATTCCATTCAACTCCCATCGCAGCGGCTGTGATTCAGTTCTTTTCATTGTTTCTATTACCTGAAAGTGCAAAGATTTTTCTCCGGTGATAGTAGCGTGGACCACTTGCTCACTCATTCTGATCATCATTAGCATATGCACCTATTATTCTTAGCTGAAAGGCCAAGGGAATGCGCAAGCTTATGGAGGATGGAGCTGGGCCTTTGCGTGTCATACGCACGGTATATGACGTGCAGGTCAGAGAGTGAGTTCTAGTTTTGACTGTGTATGATACCAAGCGTTGATGATGCTTCAGTGTAAGGGCCTTTTTCGTGAAAGTGATGCTCCAGCCATTCGTCCTGTTCATACAAGAGCCAATTATCCAACTTCTTGGTATTTACATGGCCTTTACTTATGGAGTGAGTTACAGTGCGTAGCTTGTTTCCAGTTTGAACTTCTGAGTTTAACCTGACTGTATACCTTGTAGTAGCCATGACAACATTGCCAGATGTCTTCCTAAATGCCTATCACGAGAAATCTGGAATCGCAGGTCTTCAATACCTATCTCTTGGAATTGGTATAGACAAAGGTCTTACTATAACGTCTTGAGTACTCATTAATTCAGTTACAGGCATAACACTCACCTTCCAAATAAACGCTCACTTGCTAGACTTCATCTATTCTCACCTCAAGGCTCAGCATGGTGGAGTAGGGGCTCCCGAGTTCCGACTACATGAGTATTCATTTGTGAAATCCTGAGCGTCTCTCACAAATCGGCTTATGTCAGCCACTGTAATGCCCGGGTGCTTGTTCTTACCCGCTGGATTGTTTATATCGGGCTGGTGTGCAGAGAAGCATGCACCCTGGATCGCCACTGATATCGTGAGCAGACCTCTTATGATTTACGTCCTTATTTCATTCTTGTTGACAATTTAGGGTTTCACATTCATGGGGTCTGGAAATGTACTCATATTTCAAGGGATACAGACATACGTGATTGATGCCTTCACGATGTATGCAGTGTCAGGTTAGTACGTTGTCATGTGCAGATTCACCGACCCCAGTCTGATACGTCGTATCCTCAAGCATTAGCGGCAGTGTCATGTCTACGGTCCCTTGCAGGATTTGGTTTCCCTCTGTTCGCTCCCACCATGTATCATGCATTAGGATACGGTGTTGGCGACTCGATACCTGCAGTGGTCGCTATTGTGGTCGGCTGCCCTGCGTGAGTTGTCTGATGTACATTTGTGTGGTACGAAGCTCATGAGCTCTTCTCGTATGCAGTGTGTGGTTGTTCTGGGCATACAGTGCATGCATCCGGGGAATGAGTAGACATGCATGCAAAAATATTACGGAATCTGCTATATCTGAGTCAAAAGCTGTGCCATGAAGTTTATCAAGTTTACCCTACACTCTCCACATGCAATGACGTACAGGACTCTAATGCATATCTGATGGTGTACTGTGCATACCCGGCCAGAGGATGCAGATAGATAAATTTAACCCATCTGTCTAGCTAGTCTGCCAGAGTGTTAGTGCTCATTAATTGACCACCCAACCGTGTTTTTTTTTCGAGTGGCCACTTGAAGCTTCGACGTGAACGCTAAGTTTCCCTCATATAGCCATGTGCAGTGATGGACGTCCTCGTCAAAATACTCGGACTTTTTCAATGAGAGAAGGAAGGAAGTACACCCCGAACGTTCAGCCTGCTGCATGCTCTCACTCAAGTTGTGCTGTCATCTACGCATGCTTGCCCTTCCCTACACTCTGCACGAGCATCCGGTGGACACATCTTCGGAATCCATCTCTTCACTCAAGCACTTCAGGGAACGGGGTTGATCATGCTAGATTCATCCAGTGCGCTGCAGCACAAAAATTAAGCACCAAACTTGTATATTGAGGATTCTTCTACTTCATCGATCCATTGATATTAGCGTTCAAGATGGACTGGCGCGACTTACATGGCCACCATAACCGTTTTTCGGATACGTTGCCTTTCCGTTCCCAAACCTCCATTCTTTTACGTGTCTCGACCTTGTCTGTGACCCTGAGATATTGAGACTGGTACAGAGTAGTGCCACACTATCTGTATTGACCTTCTATTGGCAGGAACAGTACTGCTTTCCTGATCTCGAGGCTTGGCACAAGTTCAAGACTTTGCATCTGCATGCCTTCAACGAAGCCATAGAGGCAATTCACTTCAATACCCCTGTTCCCGCATCATACCATGGCTTGGCAACATTGTCGGTAGATGACAATAATGTGACATTGTGGTGGGATTGTCATGTCGACAAACTGAAGTCAACGTCTACTTCACTGAACCATGGAAACTCACACTCAAAACTCTGATCATGCTTATAGAAGATATGGGCAATTGGGATCCCAATACGCGTACCATGCAGAGAGACCATGATTTTGACATGGAGGTCACTGATTCAACAGATACTTCTCATTACGATGCACCTCTCTCCATCCCACGGGTTCCACTGAACAGCTTCATCACCTTTGATGCCTTCAGATTCACTCGTGATCCACTACCGTCCACAGGTTACACCCAATCACCCAGAATATCGCAGTATAAAGCAACTGCACTTGCCTTCAAGGCCTGGAATCAATAGGAATGGGTGGAGGCTGGGTTCGAAGTTCCTGATTTCCCCCGATTCTTCGCCATAGCCAAACTTACCGATAATAAGGAAGCCTTTATAACACAAAAGCTTCCTTTAGCCGACAAACTCGCTCCATCGTTGGAGGTACTGCGTATCGTATCCGACACTGTCCATTGAAAAGGAGACTTCACTGGATTTATGGTGAGCATTCACTTATCACGTCGCCCATCTTCAGATTGAATTTACATGTTTTGAAAGAAAGAGATATGAAAGTGTCTCAGGAAGTTGACCCTTAGCTGGGTTATACCATATGTTTGGAGGTGGAGCGGTTCTGAGCTACATCCCGATGAAGTGACGTTTCTCGACGATGTCTGCCCTCCTATATGCAGCCAGGATTTGACAGCAATGATGCAAGCTCCACCGACGATGAGGAAACATTTCTGTTGTCCAGGCGAAGTCCCAATCACACTGGGTGACCTGCACGAGTGCTATGAGACCGCGACGGCCGAGCGTATTGAGCACACAGTCCACGGCATGGTCAACTGTACGGACTTGGATTGCGAAGATCCACAGTTGGTGATGCGGATTTGGCAAAGTCACTACAGCTCGCTCGTGCCGCGCATGATGCGGCATCTTGCCATGAGCTGCCCGATGCTGGAAGAAGTAGAGTGGATCTCTTATGGCAAGGTCGGAAGCGTCCCATGGGTGTGGACAACTAGTGCAGAGCAGGGGTATGCATAACCCTCAAGGATAAGGGGTAAGGGTATTGGAGGGTAAGGGTAGGGGTATGCATTTTCAGACCCTTGTACCCCTGGAGGGTATCACTGCATATAGTATATATAATGTAAGCAGTAATTGTATGGTGACTAAAGCCTAAGTACAGCCTAGATACAGCCTTGAACTATGTTTACAGAAGCTTTAAAGGGAAAAGAAGAATATTACAAGCTTTAAACTTAATGTCTATGATGTTATTTCCTCAAGTAAGGCAGATATTGAGGGGTATACCCTCAGGGTTTGGTACCCTTATCCATACACTTACCCCTGGTGAAGGGTATGTACCCTTGGAGGGTAAGGGTAGGGGTACAGCTCAAAGTTCCCAGGGGTATACCCCTGCTGTGCACTATCCCAGGACAACTCACAGGGCGAAGAAAGATGGTTCTATTTGCATGATCACGAACTCGGACCTGGAATTCACGGGCGCGTTGGGTTGTGATTTGCCTCTGTTCATGCCGCTTGTTGGCCGGGAATGGGAATATTTCAACCAAGGATGGGGGTTGCTGTCATAATGATGGGGTTCAACGAACTATCGGCCTTGAGGGCACCTGCATTACCTAGCGCATATTTCTTGTGTTTTTTATGTATGTATGTGCCATTTACTGTTACGCGGTGTGACTGGTGACATGACACGTTACTCAAACTCAGTTGAGGAAATCCGGAGCCACTTCCATAACTCACCACTCACCATGTCTCTCAGACGTCGAGCATCTGTTCAAGAACTCCCAGAAGAGATTTTCTCCAAGATTCTGAATTATTTCGGTGGTCAACCGAATGTTCCCCACAGATACAGCATCGCGCATGTGTTATCACAAGTCAGCCGTCATTTGCGGGTGATTGCATTTCGCTTCCTTGTGCGAGATATTGCAGTGCGCAACTGCAGCTTGGCCTACTCTGCTATTCGCTCATTCAATGCCACCGTGGACTATGCGCATTTTGTATGGTGAGTTTCAGTTATATGCTGCATAGTATGCGTGATAAGTCCAAAGTTTGCCACATGTCTCATTAAATGCCAGTTCGTTTAGCATAGGAAGCATGAACTACGGATATGTGCCAAACAAGATGTGGACCCCAAACTTTCCAGAGCTTGCTCTCCACCTTAATTTGACGGTGTGGCCATTCACAAACCTCCGTTCTTTCCATTGTATGGTAGGCTGCTGTTGCCCTGAAGATCTGCAGCTACTGCGCGGTTGCTCTCACCTTGAGTCTCTTGCAGTCTCCTGGTGCAGCAGTTTTGTTTTCCCAGACCTAGATGGGTGGCCAGAGCTGCAAGTCCTCTGCATCTACCCGTATTCGAGAAACAAACATGATCAAGTAGCTTGTTCATCTGTGCCCAAGATATACTCCAAATTGACGACCCTTGCAGTTCATGCTGTACCTTCATCGCCGTGGTGGTCGAATCACATTGGCATGCTTACTTTCCCTCATCTACGTGTGCTCAGCCTCCACCATGAGGTGTCATCGCCAGAAGACGTGTACGGCTTCATTCACAGGCATTCATCATTGCTGGAAGTCAATGTATCCTTCTCATCTTTCAGACATTTCCTGAGCCTCGAAAGCCTGATGCTGCTTGTTGAGGGTACTGGTATCTGGACACACCAGTTCACTTTGGGCGATGAACATGAGAGAGATATGTCTCAAGGGGTTAGTCTAGACTCCCCTTACACTCCCTACCCTTTGACTCTACGGTCCCAGTCGTCAAACATCGGATTCAAATCATTTGCTTTCACACGCATGCCTCTGGCATCTGATCCCACACATTCATCTCAAGGTCCCCTTTATGAGTTAACTAGACTCGCTTTACCTGTAAAGATTCAAGCGGCATTTTGGTCCAGCGATGAGTGGGTGTCCGACGTTCCTCAGTTCCTAGCAACGGCAGACGTTTTCAGAGCTGTGGAGGAATTGCGCCTATCCTATGAAAATATTCAGTTGTATAAGAAATTCACAGACTTCATGGTCAGTACCTTTCCTTGTTGGTGCATGGGCAAATGCTGACGCTGTAATAGAGAGAGATTGGAGAGCGGCTGAAGGGTTGAAACTGTCTCTGCAAGCTATCCCTATGCTATTCTCAGAAAGACTGCTGGCAGTGGGGTCCTCAGAAAGATGAATACGAGTCATTTCAGCTCCCCAACAATACTCTGCTTGGCAATGTCGCTGCTCCCATCCAAGCATTGGTCTCAGAGCTGCATTGGTCTGACTCCTCCTTTACATCAGCAAAACCCAACTTTTTCTTGCAGAGCTATTTTGGCTTTTTGGTCTTACAACCCTTATTTAAGGCGATAAGTCTTCAAATAAGTATCAATAAGTCTGATTTCAGACACTCATGTAATATGCATTAGGCCCTTTTTGACCTTATATCCTTAAATAAGGATCATAAGTCCATTTAAGTCATTTAAGTACCCTTTTAAGTAAAAGTTGGGTTTTGCTGATGTAGGTTTGTGCGAAACGTACAATATGTAGGAATGAACCTGTGTTGTGTCCAAGAGAGTTACCCATACCAGCACGTGGCAGCTCTTGAGCAGGCGCTACACACATTGCTGAGCCCTGTTGATGACGATGTGGCCTTCGATCTGAATGACCGTGACCTGCTCATGCGTGCATGGGAGGCTCAGAACAATTCGCGCTGTGCTCGCATGGTGCGCTACCTCGCAGAGTGCTGCCCGACATTGCAGGAGTTTGAGTGGTTCCCCAACGGTCCAAATCATGTTTATGTGCGATGGATGTGGAAAATTCGCAGGGGAAAGGATGGTGATATATGCTCTGTGATAGGCGAACTCTCTTATGTAGGGTCGGTACGTGGCAATCCTCCTCCATTCTTGGTGTCAGGAATGGCGGACCTCCCTTGTGCCTCAGATCTTGTATTACTGACACTGAGAGAACAGGCTGTCGTCGAAAGAAGGTGAACTGCACTGTATTCATCAGCCTCAATAAATTCATTTGTATCCTCCTGCGTGACAGTGAATACGGTAGTCACAGTTGTGACACAATGCGTCACCTGCACAAGCGCATCAGCAAAAGTGCCTGGAGAAATGTAGGTAGTTGCATGGATATGTAATTTTTACACGGCTTGCAAACCTCGCCATGCAGGCAATATATTTGCTATCATAGCCATTGAGTACTTAATTAATTGTAAAACCATCGCCGGCACTTGCATATCATGGCCTGACTTGCAAATGTAGCCGGGCAGGCAGCCATTTACAAGGTAGGCTAGTATTTGCAAGACCATACCATTAATGTCAATGGTTTGTATGCAAGGCAGACAATTGCTCTTACTGTACACTAGTCCACTCCTCTTCTCATGTGGTAGAGCATATAATAATGTATTAGTGAATACTAATTATACCACAATGAGAGCCAAAGTGACAGCAAGAGCCACAATGACAGCGAGAGTGATAACAGACGAAAGGAGGACCATCTGACAAGTACTCTCGAACTCTGTTCGCACTCACCAATATTGTAACAGGAGACAGCGAACAAGACAACTGTGGAAATGGGGTCAGTGACGTACTGAAAACAGGGGGATGATGCAGAAAGTGGAGGCGGGCAAGCATGAGCGAGGGTGGAGACCTACCACCAATGCGAAAAACATACTGAAGGTCGCATGCCGATGCCTGCCACCACACGGAGCACCTGCCATTGCTCAGCGGACAGCAAAATCTTGCATCGCAGACTCGGGATGCCAAGTTGCATGGGACAGGATGCCAGCACAGAGTACAACCCGAGCGCGACCCCCCCTCGCTCGCAGGGCATCGAAATATGGCCTGACGAAGCTCGCCATCAACCTCAGGAGCCGGACAGCAAGGCAAGGCGAGTCGCGATGGTGCGCAGACAAAGCAAACGCGCAGCTGTGCCGCGCTGCAACACAATCGCCGGACAATGAAATCTTGACTCGGCAAAGAGATGGGCATGGGGAAGAGATGGCGACTGGGCACGTTCAATGTCGATGACGAGTTGCAAGGCAAGACAAGGGCTGCACTTGCCACCAGGCCAACGACATACCCAAACTTGCTGGATGGTGAAAAATGCAGTCGGTTATGCGAGCCCAGCATGGGCGAAGAGGTCCACACTGGCAGGATCAGTGCAAGAGCGGCATGGTGAAGCGCGCCCATCCACGTCATCGACCTAACACGAATCGGGAGTCGTGGCGGCATCATCTTGGACTTGCTGACAAAATCAGTGTTCGCAATGAATAAGTCAGTATATGCATGTATATACGAGCATATAGTCACTTACAGTCGTCTAGGGACGCCCTCATCTTCGTCCAAATTGCTTCGCGAGAACACTGCTGGAAATCCCAGATTTGCATGCTATGCAGGGCAGGAGCTTTGCGAGAGCTACCACTTCTACAAATCACGAGTTGCCATGGCCAGCAAGTTGTACGCGGAGTTTGTACGTCTTTTCGAGATTTGGTGCAGTGGACAGCGGAAACCCAGGTCGAAGTTGATTCTTCGGAAGATGGTATTTGTGATGCTGGTTGTTGAAAAGAAGTGTAAAGGGCATTATGGATGGGATGGGATGGGATGAGATGGTAGTGGCATTGAAGGAAAGAGCGTGAGCGCTCGCACAAAAACGGTGGAGCGCCAACTTCCACCTCATGTGATCGCGATGAACTTAGACACTCTCTCAGTGAGCTATCAAGTACTGCCCTTGCGTATTCTCTTGCCAAATATCTATGGGATGCTGCTAGTGCTTACGGCTGTCTGCTTCAATGTCCGTGCGAGCTGCATTTTGGACAAATGATGCACTAGTGTGAAGTGTTGTGCTGCAGGGTCACCTTGAACTTGAATATTTGAATGGCTGTCAACCTCGACATCTGGGTATATTTTTATTGCTCATACACTTAGCTTTACTAGCTAGGATCATAATGTACACTACTGATTATACCGTGCTGGTATCTAGATACTCGCGCCTATTCTTAGCGCGTGCGGGACTGGGCCGAAGTCAGTAGTTTTGCATGTATATACAATTGCTAGGAACTCTGTTAGTTACCTGCAAGCAATAACAATGAATTGCCCACGAGTGCGGTGCTTGCAAGGTTTGCCATTGATGGCGAAGGCTTGCCAGAGCCTCTGTGAATATACAAGCCACCCTGGTGTATTACAAAGAATCACCTGCTTTGCAAATCTTTGCAAGCTGTGCGCACTTTTGCTAATGCGGGAGTTCGCAAGTTTCACTTCTCCCTCAAGCCGTCATATCATGTCGCTGCACCGTGCATCTCTACAAGGTCTCCCAGAGGAAATACTCTCTGAAATCATAAGCTACCATGGCTATCAACAAAATATTCCACGGAGGTACAGGATTGCTTACACCTTGTCGCAAGTCAACCATCGACTCAGAGAGAGCGCCTTGCCCTTCCTCATACGAGACATTGGAGTACGAAATTGTCAGGTGGCCTGTTCTGTTGTCCGTTGTTTCAGAGATGCACCGGATCAAGCACGACTAGTACAGTGGGTTTCGTTGTCGGACTGCAAGGGCCCATGTTTACAGCTTATCTGTGTCTAGTTCTCTGAAAATAGGGAACACGCTCTATGGACGCGTAGACAACAAGATAGTATGCACCACCCGCTTTCCAGACTTCAAGTTCTTTTGTGACGTGGCGGCGTGGCCGTTCCTAAATCTTCGCTCATTCGAGTGCGTCGAGGGCTCCTGTACCCCTGAAGACCTCGACGTCTTGCATGGATGTCCCCACCTTGCAACTCTTGCTCTCGCATGGCGCGATATCTTCGCTTTCCCGAACCTTGATGGATGGCCAGAGCTCGAGGTTCTGCGCATCTACCCCTATTCAAGTTACATCCACCGCCGCACAGTTCGCCCCGCGACGCACATGACGTTCAATCGGTTGACGACCCTTGTAGTGCAGGACGCGGCCTTGTCGCCGTGGTGGAACAATCACTTCGATCTGCTGACCTTCCCTAACCTCCACGTGCTCAGCCTCCAGGATCTGATCTCGTCGCCGAACGAGGTGTACGGTTTTATTGAGAGACATCCCTCGCTGCGCGAATGCAACATCTCCTTCCATGGGCTGGGGATGTGCCTCAGTTTCGAGGGCCTGATGATGCTGATTGAGGGTACCGGGATTTGGACGCATCATAATTTGCCAATGCTCAGCGACGACCATGAATATGAAGAAGAGAAGTCTCAGCAGACTCTCTTTGACTCTCCTTATTTTCAGGAACCTCCGCCAGATGAACGCGGAGAAACATACATCAGATTCAGTTCCTTCGCCTTTGCCCGGGTTCCCTTTGTGCCCGATTTCAGACTTACCCCAAGAGATGCCAGGTACAAAGTGACCGCCCTCGCCTTGCCAGTCATGGACCAGGAGACCTGGATACAGAGGGACATCCCGGTGACCGACATACCTGGATTTATGAGAACGGTAGATCGTTTCCCAGAGATGCAGGAGTTGCGCCTGGCATCTGCCACTGCTCAGTGGTATGAAACCTTTACGTATTTCATGGTCTGTATCCATTCTTCAGTATCAGCTTACGGCGCCTCATACACTTACAGAATGAGATCGCTGCGCCCATTGGCGAGTGGACGCATCTCCGCAAGCTAAGTCTATGCTACGAGATGCCCCACTGCTGGTCGTGGGGCCCGGAAAACGACGAAGTGTCTCTGCCCGCTTGCGACATATTCGTCCTGGACGACGTCGAGCCGCCCATGTATTCACTGGATAAAGAGGAAAGACCCTATTTCTGGGACGAGGAGGAGGCAGATCCACTCAAGTACTGGAAACCACATCGATACGCACCGATGAACCTGCGCTATCTACGCGAAGAATTTCCCATGGAGATGCCGGCGTTCGAGGAGGCACTCCGCTGGACGCTCCGCGTCGACGACGATGTAGACATTGATCCGCTCGACCGCAATGTGCTTATTTATGCATGGGAGATACGACACGCCCCGCGTTGTGCTCGCAAGGTGCGCTATCTCGCTGAACGCTCCCGGACACTGGAGGAGTTTGAGTGGTTTCTCAATGGTCCTCACGGTGGTGTGCGGTGGATGTGGAAAATTCAGAGAGGGAAAGACGGCCGAATTTGGTCCGTCACGGGCGATCTTAACTATGTGGGATCAGTGCGTGGCAATCCTCCTCCGTTCTTAGTGCTTGTCGGGCAGGAGCTGCAGACCAGTCTTGCACCCCGATCCTTGTTTTACTGATCATACTGAGAAGCTCTAAAGATGTAGTTTATTACTTCCTAATGATCCGGTCCTTAGGAAGTGCTGGTATGTTCTTAGTTGAACGGTACGAGTACACACACGATGAATTACAAAGACCTGAGATCTACGTTACCGGTCAAGGACTAATATATTTCGACATGATTCCGCTAGGCTCACACGGAGGTCGTGCGGTCAGTATCCACGGATCCAGAGCCTGCGCCAGTGGCACCATTGACGGCATCACGAGCCTTCTCGAGGTGAGGCTGAACATAGCTCTGCGCTGTGGCCAGGTATTCCTTACCCGTATCAAGCGCAGACTGCATGGTCTGAGAGGTTGTTTGCGAGTCTGGAACGTATTGCTGTCGATAATGTGAGTTGCGAATCTTCACCGCTGGTTCTTGAGTGACTTACCTGGGCAGTCTGATAAGCACTGTTCGCAAGATTCTTCGCCTGCTCAGCGTAGCCTGCCGTAGCAGCTTTGGCAGACTGGACGTCAAACCAGCCTTGTGACGCGGCTACATTCGTCGTGTTGCTGAGACCTTCCTCGAGCTCGTCGACTGCGCTCGCAGGTTCTTTGTGCTGTTTCAGCACGCTTATAAGTCGCGAAGCCAACAAATATTGGAGAAAAAATATACCTGTGCATGTGCGGCTGCGGTTTCGGCTGCCGTATGCATCTGGTCGGCGTTATGGCCAACCTCGCTGGTGAGCTCGGCGGTCGAAGCTTCAGCCTCGACAAAAGCAGCGGTTTTCTCGAAACGCGCATTACTCCTAGAAAAAGGTGTAACAACTATTCCGTACGGATGCAATGAATACGCACTGGTGAGGAGCCGAAGCACCTACGGATCCGTTTCCGGCCATTGCAATGGAAATAAATGTGCAACAAAAGGGCAATGAGATGGGAACTCGGGAAAGAAAGACGATACAGCCACTGCAAGAGAGCTGCCCATCTTATATACCCTGACCACCAAGTGTGAAGGAGCCCGTTGCAGCCGTTGACGTCAGACGCATCACGTCCACGTGGTCAATCAATGACGTCACGCGTCTCAACGCGTCAGTGGCTACTGTATAATGTTATTTGTTCTACGACTCCGAGTGCTAGTTGAAACATTCTCTACTGCCTACAGTCTGACAAGTACAGAATGAATTGTCCATAACTAGTATCAGACGCAAGATTGCTAGCGATTGCGAATGACATTTCCACGAGGATGTATGGGTATGAGAATAGTAGCTAAACGAAAACAAGGTATTGGCCAAGAACGATGTGGCATGGCGACACCCTCCGGATTGACAGGCAAAAAAAAAGAGAAAACACAGATGAGCGATAAAGAGAGCCAACAACATTTTTTGACGCATCCTCAGATGCAAGATGATGAAACTCGAAACACATACAAACAGCTTATTGCACAACACGTCTTTCCTCCTCGTCGAACGAACCCATCCGCAGGAATCGCGCGAGAACTTCCTCCGAACCGCGTTTGAAAACGTCCACTCCTCGTGCCGGATCCCACACACGTCCGCCTTTGCGCACACTTCCCATGATCGGCGTACTCTCAGGAGTGATTACTGGCCCTTGCGTAGATGGTGACGAAGTGATAGTAGTGTCATTCGACGAGGTACGCGCCAGGAGAGGGGCGAACGGAGACGCAAGTCTTGCCAGCTTCGGAGACGGCGTACTCTGAGGTGGTGTAACCGGCCCGACAATTGGGGATGATGTCTTCGACGAAACAGAACTCTTCCGAGGTGAAGATACCACTGGCTGCGCAGACGAGAGCCTGCGAGGGGACACAACCTTTGGCGGCGACGGGACCTTCGGAGGCGACGGTGATTTTGGAGGAGACAGTACCTTCGGAGGAGTCTCCAGCTTGGGAGGGGAATAATTACGCGGAGAACCAAGGGTCTGAGGCGAGCGCAATCCCGACGGTGACCCAGTTGTTGGGAACGGCATCGTTGACCGCAGAGCGTGTGTCGCCAGAGGGGTCGCCGCTCCCATCTGATCTGGGTCAGCCTTGAACTCGCGGAACGTCGCAGCGGGGAGCAGCCCTCCGCCAGTACCAATAGAACTGTACGCCACCTCCCGCCGCGCTACTCCTGACACACCTCCTCCGCGCGGCTTCACTTCTATCGCCTTCTTCGGCACCATGTCGTCCGTGAGAATGCTAACCTGTACGCTCTGGTTCCGCGTCTCCACCGCCGTGGTCTGCACCCCGCATGTGCGGTACTTTTTACCCTTACTAATTGATAGCGCCGATGCCGAGCTGGGCGCTCGGGAACGCGACCCACTTCCGCTCCTCTCTCTGCCGCCATCTTGCTCGCGCCGTCCGGTGAGCTCTTTGTCAGATTCCTCATCGTCGCCCTCGTCTTCGTCGTCTCCGTCCATGCTACTCGCATCCTGTTTTGCTTGCACGACACGCTCCCGCTCCTTCTCCCACTTACGCCACCCATCATCGCTCGGTGCAGATGGCGATGCCACTATTCCACGGTACGGCGGACGTACAAGACGAGAGGCATACCGCTGGATGCTCGGTACCGTATCCCATGCATTCGAATACGAGAGATTGCTCGGCAGGCCGGCCGACGGAGGTGTCTGCACATGCAATATCGGACGACCTGGAGCAGGGGAACCCAGATGCGCGGTGGGTGGGCTCAGCTCAGCCTCAATGTATTGAGTAGACGGCGGCGGCGAGTCCGTCACAGGGAACACGCGCCGTGGGACATGGCGAGGCTTCTCCTCCCATGGGAAGACCGCGTGTACTTTGCTGCGATCGGGCGTGGGTGGAGTCTCATGCGTCTGACCGATAACGCCTGCATACTGTCCTTGTTGCACAAGCTGCTCAGGAATGACAGCGGGAGGGGGAGGGTTAAAGAACGTGTGTAAGCCAGGACCAGCCGGGGATTGCGGAGGTGGAGGGAATAACTGGTGAGTCGCGTCGTGCTGTTGGCTGGGGATCTGGTCCCAGACGTTCGGGAAGTACGTGTCAACAGGGAAGGAGGAGGGTCCAGGGGCCGTATTCGGCGGAGGCTCAATCGCGGGATTCCAGGAGAATTTGGACGGAGACGGCGGACGAGGCGGCTCAGGGCGTTGATATGGTTGTGGTTGAGTTTGCGTAGGAGGTGGGCGAGGCTCAGGCTGATGGAATGCTTGTGGTTGAGACGGGGCTGGGGGCTGGGACGGGGGTAAGGATGGCAGTGGGCCAGGTGGCGATGTAGGTGCGTGCTCAGGTTGCCCATGATAGTGACGTGCGGGACGATGATGCCCGTGGTGCGTGATGCCCTCGGGAGGTGGAGACCGTGAATGGGACTCATCTCGTCGGTAATCGTCCACACGTGGATGGACATGCACATGATGCTCTGCATGTCCAGGAACATGCGCCGGACGATATTGCTGTTCACCTACATGCCATTCTGGCTGGCGATATGGCTGCTCTGCTGGCAGTGGACGCTGCAACTGCGGAGGGTACAGATGGTGGGGAGGCTGTTCCGTTCTTTGGCCTTGATCAGGTCCACCACTGGAAGGCTTGTATTCCTCCTGCTTTGGAGTTATATCCCCACCCTGCTCCATCTGCTCCTGCGTCTCATGCTGTTCCTGCTGAGGCTCCGGCTCATGTCTAGGTCTCATCAAGTCAACCCGACCCTCCAACGGCAGCGATCTGTATTCTCCTTCGTGCGGACCCTGCTCTGACACTTCGGCTGTGCTGCCGATGCGGCTCATACCTTCCACAGCGATCTTGCGCAAGTCCTCCAAGCCCAGTGTCGCTCCTGCGACAGGTGCGATAGGACCAGTCATTGTCGGGAGCTCACCAAACTCCTGCTCGGTGTCCCATGCGGAAGTGTAGCGCCGGACCTCAAAGTCTGCATGCGCCATGGGCTGATCGGTGCGATAGTGTCTGTCGTACACGTCGTACCATCGGTCGATGAGTGACGCGTAATCGTACGCATTCCGCTGTTGCTCACTAGCGCCTAGCGGGGGCTTTTCAGCGCCCACCGAACCGGGCGCGCGGTATGGGATAGAGGACCACGGCTTGCTGGACCCAATGAAGTGGATTGCGGATATCTTGGACCCAAAGCGTTCGTACGCCGGCGCGTAGCTGCACAGATGTCAGCAATGTCGTCAGGTGGTAGGCCCGCCCGGACTCACGTGTATGCAGCAGAAGGGGTGGTATTATACGTAAAGCTGAGCCTGTGCCAATCGCCTCCACGCCACTCGTTCAAGAGCCCTTGGTCCCCTCCGTCCCAGCTTCCCTTTGTTCGGAGAAGCCCCATTAGTTCATTAAACTTGTCTTCGCCTGGTGAGAAGACAAGCACGCCGGAATTGAAAATATCAGGCCACCCTACATCCGGTACGGCGGCGAACTCGTGGGGGATGGTGAACAGGTGAGATATAGGGCGAATGGGAAGCACATCCGCATCCAGAAAAATTAGCTTAGAATATTGGGTCAACCGGAAAGCATGCAATTTGGTGAGGACATGAGTCAAGTCCGGACGGCCTAGAGTAAACTTGTGTCAGTGACAGGTCAATAGGGGTGCATAATATGTGGATGGAACTGATCGAGTCATTTGCAGCAGTGCTGAGTTGGAATCAGGCAACTTCGGCCAAACAGGCTGTCTCTGCATCACACTGAGCTTTGCTGGGCATAGCGCGTATGCGCATCCAAAAAACAGTCGCGTTCTGGCACTGGTCCAAGGAACTCCTATGAAGTTTTCGGGTAAGAACTCACCTAGCAGTTGCAGGCCCTTGACATTGTCCTCCTGCTCAATGAGTTCCACGCCTACGACGACATCAAATGCCCTCCTCAAGAGCTTGATGGAGGACACATCCACAGTCTCCGGAGTGACAAGACATACTGTCTGAAATTCAACCTCGGGCTGGACAGGGGGAACCGGGTGAAGGTCTTTGAGCGCAGCTGCGACCGCAAGAGCCCCGGGAAGATAGCTATCAGAAGTTAGAAGAGATACAAAAGCAAAAGGAGTGGCCATGGGCGACCTGCGTCGCTGGAGGAGGAACGTCGTCGAAGACGTGGTATGCGAGCGAGAGACGGAGCGAGCGAGATCCAACCCAGTGCGGGCGCCTCCGCGTTGATGGCCCAGTCCTGCGTTCGGTTATCAATTCCCCGCAATTATATGTTGTTTACGTACGCACTGATCTCCGGTCAGTTCTGCTTTCCACCTCTTCTCCACCTCGATGTCAGAACTTTCTTTTTATCCCACTCCCACAGTTTTTTTACTCCGGAACGTCGCAAATCAATGCGCAGACCTTACACGACCGTGAGCCCTGACCAGCCTCGTATCACCCTCACGTCGGAATGCGCTGTGCCTTCTCCGCTACTATTAAATGCTTCCGCTTACCCTCATAGCGTTGGAGGAACTGCGAAAGAGCACTTCGGGCTAATCGATGGGCGATAAGCATTTAGTTGCTGCATCCATGGAATGCTTCTCAGTGAGTGCCAAAAACCATGGGTCAAAGTACTTACGCGTGTTCGCTGTAGCGTGCGTATCATCTATCGTGACATCGGCTGCTCAGAGACTCCACTGATACTGATACCCCACCCCACTCCCCGCCGATGTAGCAATGGGAGAGTCTTTGTGAAAACGCAACCCTTCCCTCACGTAAACGAGACGTATGCGGCCGAAGAACACAATATGTATGTGCTCACGGTGAATGCCAATTGATAATCGCACACTATTTCCTCTTAGGAATAAGACATCAAGCCTCGGGCCCCAGGCTTTATGCAGGGTGAAATGTCTGGAACAGACGCACGTGCAATAGGATCGTCGCGATTGAGTCGATTACGGTATGCATTCATTGATCGCATGCCTTCCTGCACATTTTTCTACCGTAGAATGCTAACAGTATCTAATCTGTCAGGGTCGGGACTCTCAGCAAATACAGCAAACGATTCGCCATTCTTTCTCATGCGGGCTGATATGACGAAAGATATGCTGCGTCTCATATCATCATGGCAATTTTATGGTTTCATTTACTCAGTGTACTTCAACTTTGCTTTGACTTTCCCTTCCTGCTGAATATACATTCTTCTTCAATTTCGGTCTGCGTCACGTCTGCAAACCGACCTTGAAGATGATGAAATTTCATGGAACGCTTTTTCTCGCCTTGCCTCTGTAGTAGACGAACAAGTCACACGAGATTGTTTACAGATTTTCATATTCGTGTCCTTCTCAACGTGTACAATATTAATATTATCGAGAAGGATTTCTGCATGACCGATGAAATTTGGCACTAGTACTAGTCTGACACAGGGAAAAAGACTTCACGGACGCGTCCGGCGTCTAAGTCTAAAAGACAATGTCACGTGGGCGGCCGAAGTCGTTGACGTCGTCGGACTCGTCGCGCGCGACTTCAAGTTCGACGCTGAATGCTTCCGGTGCATTCAAGCCATGGCCTTGTGCTAGCTGAACCAGACACAAACAATGATGACCCTTCGCTTGTCTGTGCTTCCAGCAGGGCTCAGACACTCGATCTTTGCTCGCGTAGGACTGTCCTCATCCCGACGTGTCTCCTCTTCGGCACGCACTTCCTCTTTGTCATATCAGTTCTTCACCCGCACTGCTGCACCCAGCCCATTTCTTGGACGCAAACTTCTCTGGCTGGTACCAATAGCGGGGGGGATCGCTCTCTATGCCGCCCCACAGCCGCGCTCTCGTCTTCCCAGCGTCTTCGCCTCGTCCACACTTATACCATGTCCTCCTTCTCCCCAGGTCCACACAAATATTATGTCTCCCGCAGAACCGGATAGATCAATATTGTCACGCATAATCTCCCTGCTACATGACACCATCTGGGAGCCGCTCCTCACTACACGTAGATTCATTCATTTATTCTTCTTGTTCGCGCCTGTGCTACTCTCCACGCCTATGTTGCTCGTCGGACGGCCTGATTCAAGAATTGCTGGTGATAGATGGGGTGCTGTCTGGTGGTATGGTTTCCTGACGGCTCAGATGCAGCGTGCTGGTCCAACTTTCATCAAGGTTCGCTCATATTTCTTTTCCACTTTATGGACTAGACTCTTGTGCGAGAATGCGCGTGAGTGCAAGACGGATGGCACATGCACGCTTATCACTTCATGTCTGCTTTATTGTGAGACGGAGGTGGTGAATCTGCGTCAACCCATGACTAGGAGACACTCACTGGTCACTCGATTGTATTCATTGCGTCACACCCCATGACTCACTGCCTGCTGTAAATAAGCTGATTTCTTTTATACAGCTGGCCCAGTGGGCGGCGTCAAGAGCCGATTTGTTCCCATCGCTATTATGCGACCGACTAGGGGCTCTACATTCACGCGGGAAAGCACACCTGCTGTCTCATACTAAGCATGTGATCGAAGACGTCTTTCAACGGCCCTTTGACGAGGTTTTCGAGGAATTTGATGAGACACCCATTGGAACTGGTGCTATTGCGCAGGTGAGCAGCATATACTCCAGTTTTGGGAGACATACCGAGCCAGGCCACAGGTCTACAGAGCTACGTTGAAGAAGGACCTTATCCCTCCATCTCACCTCACACCAAAACGGCACCACAGACACGGTCTTCCTTCCGCTTTGATGCCCGAAGAACCGCCCTCCGCCCCAACAGCCGCAGTAGCCATCAAGGTCCTACATCCACACGTTGCGAAGCTCATTGCGCGCGACCTATCCATCATGTCATTCTTCGCCCACCTCTTTACCCTTTTTCCCGGCATGCAGTGGCTTTCATTACCAGAGGAAGTTGCAGTGTTCGGTGGGATGATGCGCGAGCAGCTCGATCTACGGCATGAAGCCGAGAACCTTGACATTTTTGGGCACAAGTTTGATGGGCGGAAGCTTCCCGTGACATTCCCTCGCCCGCTCAGAATGTGGAGCACGCAGGATCTCCTGGTGGAGGAGTTCCAGAATGCGTTGCCCATGGAGATCTTCCTCAAGAACGGAGGCGGGCCCTACAATGACATTCTTGCTGAAGTTGGGCTTGACACATTCCTAGTAGGTGGTTCAGCGAGGCGCGTAAGACTCTGACATCTGACATAATGACGTAGAATATGCTGCTGCTGGACAATTTCGTCCATTCAGATTTGCACCCAGGAAACATCATGGTTAAGTTCTCTAAACCCGTTGCCGTCATCCCTCGCACTTTGGATTCTATCTTCGGCCAATCAATCTCCACTGATCCCGCAGGTACTCCACCCCCTGGTTCGACCGAGTCTGCATCTGATACCGTGGTCTCGCATCTGCGTACACTGGCGAACGACCCACCTGCCTGGCGCGCATCGCTCGAGTCTCTGTACAACGATGGATATGCGCCTGAGATTGTCTTCGTCGACGCCGGGCTTGTGACGAGCCTGAACGAGTTGAACCGCGAGAACTTCCTAGATCTCTTCCGTGCGGTTGCCGAATTCGACGGGTATCGCGCGGGGATGCTCATGGTCGAGCGCTGCCGCACGCCTGAGCTCGCGATCGACACTGAGACGTTCGCTCTCCGCATGCAGCACATCGTGCTGAACGTCAAGCGCAAAACGTTCTCGCTCGGGCAGATCAAGATCTCAGACATCCTTACCGATGTGCTCAAAGTCGTCCGACAGCACCATGTCAAGATGGAGGCCGACTTTGTGAACACAGTCATCTCGATTCTGCTACTTGAGGGTATCGGGCGCCGGTTGGATCCCAATCTTGATCTGTTCAAAAGCGCCCTCCCGATTTTGAGGCAGCTGGGCAGGCAGATGTCTACACAGGAGAATATGTCGCAGCTTCCTTCCGGCAATGTTGGAGTTTTCTTAAAGGCAAGTTCCTTCTGGTTCGAAACACTACGGTCGTGTTGACTTCTCAATCAGGTATGGGTCTGGATGGAGGCGCGTGAGTTTGCCTCCGCTGCGTTCGTGGATGCGGACGAGATGGTTAAATATGATTGGTGCGCTTATTCATTGATCGCATCTGCAGTGTTGTTTGAACTGACATGTTTGCACCCTAGGCTCGCACCTAGTATATAGCTGTCTTCATACAACGGCTGACCCGTTAGACATCCGCGTATACACATTGTACAACCGCGCAGTTCGTACTTCTGGCGTCGTACGCCTCATTGTCTCGAAGTCTATGATCCTCCAGCATGATCCGAATTCCTTGACAGCTGCTGGAGAAGGTTTCTTCTCCCCATCCAAGGCATTCACCGCAGAACCTAGACATAGATGAAACGGATGTTAATTCTGCATCAAACCTAGTTCTATCGCCTTAATCTGTAATGCCTTTGATTGCGGACTGGATCAGGTGCCTCGATGGGATATCTTAGAGAAGGTGCGCACCAGCTGCTTTGACAAGAACCGTGATGCATCAAATCCCCCCGCACCGTACCACAGCTGGCAAAAGGTCGTGTTCGCTCAGGAAGGGCATAAAGATGAAGTCTAGACTTACTCCAGGATATCCGGACGAACGATAAGACCCTCTTATCTCATACTCTTCGTCCAGACCCCACAGTTCGCTGGTCTGACCGATGACGTTGTCTCCAAAAATTGTCTTGAGGCTTTCTCGAGGGTCCACATAACCAGTGCTGCGATTCGGGCCGGGGGGGTTGAGTGAGTAAAGGTAGGTGGTAAGCCTGGCTGGAGACGTACGCCCAGATGATCACATCCGCGTCAAGCTCGGTGTCATCGGTGAAGCCCAGCCCATTTTCCGTGAACCGCTTGGGTTCGACACCCTGCTTGACTTTCACCTGACCGGATTCAATTAATTCAGCGCATCCTACATCAACCCCTGTATAGAATGATCAGGTAAGTGCGAGAACAAAGGTGCACAAAAGGGACAGTATTCACAATAACCTAATAATATGAGTGAGCCACAGATTTCAGCGCGCAGACTCAGGAAGTCGTACCTCCAAGTCGTTCGAAAATGAGAAGGTTCTGGCCTCCCCCGTCTCTTCCCATATTCAGCTTCAAGCCACCCTTCCTTAGTTTGTCGTGCAATGGCTTCTCCCTCGCCCATGCCTGATCCTGGTTTGCGATCGCAACTTTCTTCTGCAAGCCGAACGGTAAGGAAAAACATCTGAAATCGCAGATTTCGGCCGGCATGCCATCCGGATATAATGTTGCGAACTGCGCCGCAATATTCTTCGACGAGACTACACAGGTCGAAGAGCGTTGAACCATCGTCACCGAACTGGCGCCGTGGAAGGACAGGTCCTGGCACATATCTGCTGCTGTGTTTCCGGCACCGACCACGATTACTCGTTTCCCTGTGAACGGCTTCCCACCCTTGTATGCGCTTGCGTGCAGGACTTCTCCGTGGAACAGGTCTCTGTCGGAAATTTCAGGAATCCTAGGTGCGCCTAGAGTTCCGATCGCGACAACGATGTGCGCTGGATGCAGCTCGACCTCGGACCCATCCCTGTCGACCACTAGGTTCCATCTCTTGGTACTGGTGTCATACGCCGCCCTCGGAAGAACAGTTGAATTTGTCCAAACTACCAGATCCTGAGATTCGGCATACTGCTGCATCCAGTCTGCCAGTTTACCGCGTGGTGTATAGCTTGGCCAGTTACGGGGATAAGACTGGTAGAGGACTGCCAGACAACGGGGAAGATCAATAGAGGGCGCACAGACAACCAAAATTGACATACGTGCGTGGTGATTACGAGGTGTGTGCAAAGTAAGGGTCGGATACCGCATTCTCCACTGATCTCCGACGGCACCGTTCTTTTCGACAACTATAGATGGAATATTCATTTGCTTGAAACGAGCCGCAATATTTAGTCCGCTCTGTCCTCCTCCAACTATGACCTGACGTTAAAATCTGACGATGGAAAATGTCCGGTAGCCTTACTTATGATGACATGAGGATCGTTCTCAATCTTCGCTCGTCGTTCCAGGCGTAGTTCTTCCCAGGATAGTGTGTGTCCACCATAGACGCCGCTCTCGGGACCGGACTCCTCGTGGCCCTTGATATCCTCAAGCATCAAACACACGGCAACAGCCTTCCATTCTGGTTCCTCCGTACTCTCATCTGTGAGAAGGTGTGCATACCCGTGTCCGCGACCAATCGCAGTCTCGAAAGAAAACCCGAAAGCGATACCAAAAGGCGTGTCCTGCGGTCGTAAGCCGGGTTGATCATCCAGCTTAAAGTTTGTGAGGCACGCAGCAGGAAGTTTATTGGAGAGGTAAGACGCTATCATGTCGTGCCCTTCCAAAGAACGAGTGTCCCAGGTGAAGGTGAGAGCATCCCGAAGCCATCCATTGGGCAGGATTGTCAACAAGAGCCTACTCACGTCACCTGAGGATGCTGCACCGTCAAACTTGGTGAGCCATTTACTTGCTATGGTGTCTACGTCAAGCATGGTGTCCGTGAGGAAAGTCAAAGTGTTCGAAGGGTAGAAATAATCTTCAGCAGATCTCCTGAGATATAAAGCACGGCTGATCATTCCCGGAATCAAACCTTTCGTGCCTAATAAGGCAGTTGCACCTCCCTTGCAATAGAAACGCAAAAAATAGGGCATTTTGAATGATTTTGGCACCATTTTTGTCCCATATAAGGAGTTGTCAGGCGCCGTTGCAAGGTACATTATTTTTTCGGACATAATATCCAGAAAGCCAAAGATCCTGAATTTTGCATACTTCTTATCACAAATTTTGAGCGCTATCGACCATGTGTGCACATACGCCTGGAGTGGAATCAGTACTTCGCAAAACTCGTTGGTTTTACCACTCCTTGAGACAGTATGACATCTCATCAATTCTTGCCTGATTTGGGTTGATTTGGGTGACAAATTTGATTTTGGGATGTGACACCTGTCTCAGCCCGTCTCAAGGATGCACCAAAGTGCATTTATATCCTCCTATCACTTGGGATTCCCTTGAAGTGAACTAAGACATCAAGATGCATGTTAATCAATATATTTGAGGGGGTTTTTGGATTTTTGTACCTCGACAGGAGCTCAAGATCTTGCCCAAGAATTTGGACTTTGAGCCATTTTCACGTCTTTCCGGCTCTCAGAAACCATCCAGGCATAGCTAGCCTCCAATATTTCCGTAGGGGTAGCTCACATAGTACTACTACATGTACAAAGAAACTCCGAGGCAAAATGTGGAAAAGTGAGTGAGAAAAAGCCACGTGTCTCAAGGAGTGGCAGTGCCTCAAGGACCGGAGATGACTGTATTCTTTGTCGGTGGGAAGAATATGAACATAGTGTGTGACGACCTCATAGATGGCGGTCACCACGAGCATTTGCACGAATGACCGTTCAAGCCCTCGTTTTTGCAACACTGATGATCTCATTTCACAGCCCGAGGCGATACTGGTATACACATGAATATGCCAAACTGAAAAAGGGCCCAGGCGCACGGCATTGAACGACTTCCCGGCAGTATCTATCTAGAAACTCGCTTTGGCCGGTGTCAGCATGTCTACCCACGCTCGTTCATGCTGGTTTGCCGGCTTCACGGCGATCCCTAGCTCGTGCGCTGCGATGATTGGCCATTGCGGCGTTCTGAGAAGCTCGCGAGCAAGGAAGACAGCGTCCGCTTTCCCATCACGAAGGTAAGATTCGGCCTGTTGGGGGTCCGTGATGAGTCCTACAGCTGCGACAGGCAAGTTCGGGAATGCTTTCTTGAGAGCTTCTGCGAAGGGTACCTAAAGCAGAAGTGAGTAACACTTGATTGAGTACACACCAAGGAAATTCTTGCCTGGTACCCCGGACCAAGCTTGATGTTCTGATGAACCCAGTTCCCACCACCGCTGCAATCAACGAGATCTACGCCAATTTTCTGCATCTCTCCCACGTATACTTTACTCTGCTCGATTCCCCATTGCTTCCACTCCCCATCGGAACCAAGCTCCGGACCTTCAGCCCAGTCAGTGGCACTGATACGGACAAACAAAGGTTTCGACCATGCAGCACGGCATTTGGAAATAAGGCGAAGAGGCCAGCAGAGACGATTCTCCAGGGAGCCGCCATAGCTGTCGGTTCGCGTGTTCGAGAGAGGAGAGACAAATTCGTGAAGAAGGTAGCCATGTGCTGCGTGAATCTCAATAAAGTCAACTGCACGCGACGACGATAAGCGCGACGGCGTAAGGGAAAAATTAACGCGAAGAGCGTACAGCCGATTGCCTTGCAGCGCTCTATAGCTTTCACAAAGGCGTCTTCAACATAGAGTAGGTGGGCTTCGTCCATCGGCTTCGGTTTCGGGTACTTATCTGAGAACGGCAGGTCACTTGGTCCATATACTACCGAGGTCATGAGTAACGAAGGCTGAATGTAAGTAGAAAGTTGGACCTTCATCCGGCCATCCACCCTCGGTCTTCTGTGCCACGCGTGTAGCAGTTCGTCGTGTCTGAGCCACATCTGACTCGACCCAAGGTGCGAGTGTGGATGCTTTGCGACCGGCGTGAGCGAGCTGAACACCAATCAGTGTACCTTGGGCATGTGCGAAGTTTACGACGCGCTGAAATGGCGCAATCTGACTATCAGTCCAGAGTCCCTGGCGAAGATCAACTTAGCCAATGTTCAGTAGGTGAGAAGATAACATACAGCATCCTGAGGTGAAATCCGTCCTTCAGGGACGACAGCCGTGGCCTCCATACATATTGCTCCTGCTCCACGAGTGGCAAAACCCTGCGATGATATCATAGTTGAGTCATGTATGAATGAACGCTGACAATAAGGACAAACCCCGATGTGAACCAGGTGCCAGTCAGTTACATGGCCATTGTCTGCGCTATATTGGCACATGGGTGCCTGAAAAACATGCTAGCATTAACGATACTATCTAGAACGGATTACCGACGTACAACGAAGATCCTGTTCTTGAAGGTGATCCCTTTGATGCTCAACGGTTGGAACAGAGCAGGAATGGTGGCGTTCTGAGGATAGATGCTCTGTACACAGTAGAATCAAACGTCCACACCATGACGGTTACTACTCTCATACCTCTGGATATGGCGACCCAATCGAGGGCTCATTGAGCGGATAGTACTGATCCGCACCAGGAACTGGCTTGTTTATGTTGGGCATTATTGTACCGATTGACGATGTTGGGCTATGTCGCGATTGAAATTTTTTCTGTGAGCCAGTTCGTGTAAGCACACTAGGCGAGGGAAATGGAAAAGGTTGACAACGTCGACGAGCGATGGTGAACATTCGAACTTTCAATACAGAGGATCCAGATCGATCGAAACGGCTGATAGATCTTGTTACAAATCTCTCTGCCATCGAGTGGCGTCATCGCGACTGCCAGGCACCACTGCTGAACCGCTCACTCAACTTTCACTAGCCATGCCAGCGCACGTGCACCAGGTCTTTGTACAGAGCATCCGGAAAGAAGAACCAGATGTCGCAATCAACTCGAGTGCCCACTCTCCACCCATCCAGTCGTCCTCTGGGAGAGGGTATATCGGGAAGATAGGCTCTTTGTCCGAGAAGGATCAGTATATCGGGGAGGCAGAGTCTCTGAAAGCAATTGATATCGCTGCTCCGGAGCTCGCCCCCCGACTAATAGCTTGTGGCGTGTTAGACGAGGAGACAGCAGAATCAGAAGGTGATATCGGGAAGCCCTTTTTTCTCTGTGAATACAGAGACATGCGCTCGTTGTCTGATAGCGCCGCTGAAATCCTCGGAAAGAGATTGGCAACCGAGATGCACGCATACAAGAGTAAAAAAGGGTTTGGCTTCCACGTCCCAACGTACTGCGGTAGAACAAGACAAGAGAATGGTTGGTATGATTCGTGGGAGCAGTGCTATGACGCTCTCATTGGCAGTTTGCTGTCCACGCTTAAAAAGAGGGGGGGTTACGAGAGCTTATGTGAAAAAGGCGACCAAGTTCGCAACCGGTGAGTTTTCTGGTTACACAATGTGGTGATGATACTCAGCAAAGACGTCCGTAGAGTGATTCCTGCCCTGCTGAGGCCCCTTGTCATTCAGCCGGTTCTTCTCCACGGAGACCTATGGGTACGTCCTTATATATATAGTCGCATACAGTCCACAACGCACCTGTTACAGAGTGGGAATACTGGGACGGATAGAAAAACAGGCAAACCCGTGATATACGACCCTTCTTGCTATTTTGGCCACAGTGAGGCAGAGTCAGTACTACTCAATACTATTCCAACGAGAGACTGATCGTACTTGGATGATATCGCACAGCCTGGCTATTGCTCGTATTTTCGGGGGATTCCCAAGATCCTTCTTCCAGACATATCATCAGTATCTTCCGAAGTCGAAGCCCGAAGATCAATATGAGTTGAGGGGTGATCTCTATGAGCTATACCATTACCTGAACCATACGGCTCTCTTCGGTGTAGGTTAACTTTGCCTCTGGTTGAGATCTTCGTGTAGCTGACGGGCTGGCGTCAGGGTTCTTATGCAGGAAGTGCAAGACAAAAGATGGACCGTCTTCTTCGAGCTTTTCCGGAAGAAAAATAAGCAGTTGCAAGGGGTGGATATTTCATTGGCAGTCAAAATGATGTACCGCAGTTGTATTATAGAATGCTTCTACGACAGTTTCAACGAGTAAATAAACAGTGAGTGATCTTGCTAGAGACTCGGATATGTTAAGCGCCGTGTTGGAGGCTGTTGCACAACACGAACAAACAAACACTCAAATGTGGCCGTTGGTCAGCGAAGTCGAGCGCGTCGCTCTTGCTTGCCACCATCCCTTTGTACTGCTGCCGTGAACTACTACTGCTTGTCGGAGTACTTGATTGGACTCTAGACATCATCCAGTATGAGCCAAGGTATGTTCATTTTTCTTCCGGTCACCTAAGCTTTTCACAGCGTTTGGCTAGCTACAGACCTCGAAGCATCGCGCAGCTATGATGAAACTGGGTATGGTATGGATGAAGACGAAGAGGAGTACGAGGAAATTACACAGGAGGATTGTTGGACGGTCATCTCGAGCTTCTTCGAGCAGAAGGGTCTCGTCCGGCAGCAACTGGACTCCTTTGACGAGTTCGTGCAGAATACAATGCAGGAGCTTGTAGACGAGAATGCGGACCTCATTCTTGACCAGGCAGACCAACATACCGGGCATGATGCAGACGTTACGCGCCGCTACGAGATACAATTTGGTCAAATTTACCTGTCGAGACCGACCATAACGGAAGCAGATGGCTCAGTCGTGCCAGTGTTCCCGCAGGAGGCTCGACTCAGGAATTTAACTTATTCTGCGCCACTATATATCGAGATGAAGAAGAGAGTTTTGGTTGGCAGAGAAGACCCGGAAAGTGCGACAGGGGAGGTAATTTGGGAGCAAGAGCAGGAGGAGACATACGATGACAGCAGAAAGGTGTGGATCGGCAAGGCAAGCATCACGTTCTCCTTGGCCGGCACGCGTCTCAATGTTAGGTTAGGTGCCAATCATGCTCCGGTCGACATATTGCATCCTGCATAAATTGAAGGATGAGGACCTGTATGATCTCAACGAATGCCCGTACGACTCGGGCGGCTACTTTATCATAAATGGCTCAGAAAAAGTGCTCATTGCACAGGAACGCATGGCCACGAATCATGTCTACGTATTCGCGAAGGCGCAGCCATCGCCCATCAGCTTCCTCGCCGAGATACGCAGCGCGGTCGAGAAAGGTGGCAAGACAATCAGTCAGTTCCAAGTGAAGCTGTACCACCGTAATCAGGAGCGTTCGGTATGCATTTACCACCCTTATTTGGTGCACCTTACTGAGACCTGCTTGTAGTTGGGGAACGTTATGAAGGCCAGTATACCATACATTAAGGTCGACATTCCTATCTGGGTAGTCTTCCGCGCTCTGGGCGTTATATCGGATCGCGACATCCTTGAACATATATGCTACGATATGCAAGATGCGCAGATGCTTGAGATGCTCAAGCCTTGTATTGACGACGGCTTCGTGATCCAAGATCGCGAGGTTTGTTCAATGACTTTGCATGATTCCTTCCGCATTGACATCCCATGCAGGTTGCATTGGACTTCATCGGAAACCGTGGAACAACCACCGGTCTTAATCGAGAGCGCCGCTTGCGATACGCGCAGGAGATTCTCCAGAAAGAGATGCTACCGCACATCTCGATGGCGGAAGGTTCGGAGTCGAAGAAGGCTTACTTCTTCGGATACATGATCCACCGGCTCCTCCTCGCTGCTCTAGAGAGGCGTGACCTTGATGACCGTGACCATTTCGGCAAGAAGAGACTGGATCTAGCTGGGCCATTATTGGCGAATTTGTTCCGCATGCTGTTCCGCAAGTTGACAAAGGACGTCTATCGATACTTACAGAAGGTTTGCTAATGACTCGTGCATTCCTTCTGCATCAACTCACTTTTTTTCCCCAGTGTGTCGAGTCCCACAAAGAGTTTAACTTAAATCTTGCCGTCAAGTCCAATACGATCACCAATGGTCTTAAATACTCCCTTGCCACTGGTAACTGGGGTGATCAGAAGAAGTCGATGGCGTCGAAAGCCGGCGTGTCACAGGTGCTCAACAGATACACGTATGCATCGACTCTGTCGCACTTGCGACGTTGCAACACTCCATTGGGAAGAGAAGGCAAGATTGCCAAGCCCCGACAATTACACAACACGCACTGGGGTATGGTCTGTCCAGCCGAGACACCTGAAGGACAGGCATGTGGTCTTGTGAAGAATCTCTCTTTGATGGCGTGCATCTCTGTCGGATCGCTTTCAGCTCCCGTCATCGAGTTTTTGGAGGAGTGGGGTCTAGAGTCACTGGAAGAGAACGCACATTCAGCTACGCCGTGTACGAAGGTGTTTGTGAACGGCGTGTGGATGGGTGTTCACCGTGACCCTGCAAACCTGGTCAAGACAATCAAGAAACTCCGTAGGAAGGATGATATCAGTCCCGAAGTCTCCGTGGTTCGTGATATCAGGGAGCGAGAGTTACGTCTCTACACTGATGCTGGCCGGGTTTGTCGGCCGTTGTTCATCGTCGAGAACCAGCAGCTGCTTCTGACTAAGAAGCATATTGATTTGCTCAATCGCTCGGCGGAGGAAGAAAAAGCTCTCCCTGGCAGTGGATACAAGTGGGACAATCTGATCAAATCTGGGGTTATCGAGTTATTGGATGCTGAAGAAGAGGAGACGGTCATGATCTGTATGACGCCTGAAGACCTCGACAACTCCAGGCTTCAGTCTAGCGGCGTCGATCCGCATGCGAATGACGAAGATTTCGATCCCGCTGCACGCCTCAAGGCCGTCACCAACGCCCATACTTGGACGCATTGCGAAATCCATCCTAGTATGATATTGGGCGTGTGTGCAAGCATCATTCCATTCCCCGATCATAATCAGGTAGGTACGCTGAATTTGTGGACCGACTAACGCGTTAACAAGCACACAGTCTCCGCGTAACACTTACCAATCTGCCATGGGTAAACAAGCTATGGGTATCTACTTGACCAACTTCCTGGTCAGAATGGACACCATGGCGAACATCCTCTACTATCCTCAGAAGCCTCTCGCGACCACTCGTTCGATGGAGTACTTGCGATTCCGCGAGCTTCCTGCCGGACAGAACGCGATTGTTGCAATTCTGTGCTACAGTGGCTATAACCAGGAAGATTCCGTCATCATGAATCAGAGTTCCATCGACCGCGGTCTTTTCCGAAGCATGTACTACCGCAGTTACATGGACTTGGAGAAGAAGAGCGGCGTGCAACAATTGGAGGAGTTCGAGAAGCCGACTAGGGACACTACTCTCCGCATGAAGCATGGCACTTATGACAAGTTGGAGGATGATGGTCTAATTGCTCCTGGTACCGGCGTCAACGGCGAAGATATCATCATCGGCAAAACCGCGCCTATCCCGCCTGACAGCGAAGAGTTGGGCCAGCGTACCAGAGCTCACACCAAACGGGATGTCTCGACACCTCTGAAGAGCACCGAGAGTGGCATCATTGACCAGGTCCTCATCACGACGAACGCGGATGGCCAGAAGTTCGTCAAGATTCGTGTTCGGTCCACACGTGTTCCCCAGATCGGCGACAAGTTCGCATCGCGACACGGTCAGAAGGGTACTATCGGTATCACGTACCGCCAGGAGGACATGCCCTTCACGGCAGAAGGTATTACCCCCGATATCATCATTAACCCACACGCTATCCCGTCGCGTATGACAATCGGACACTTGGTGGAGTGTCTGCTGTCGAAAGTTGCTACCCTCATCGGAAATGAAGGTGATGCCACCCCTTTCACGGAACTCACTGTGGAGTCGGTTTCCCAGGTTCTGCGGCAGAAGGGATACCAGTCGCGTGGTCTGGAAGTCATGTACCACGGGCACACCGGTCGCAAGCTGCAAGCCCAAGTCTATCTGGGCCCGACATACTACCAGCGTCTGAAGCACATGGTGGATGACAAGATCCATTCTCGTGCAAGAGGTCCCGTGCAGATTCTCACCAGGCAGCCTGTTGAGGGTCGTAGTCGTGACGGTGGTCTGCGCTTTGGTGAGATGGAGCGTGACTGTATGATATCTCATGGCGTTGCAGCGTTCCTGAAGGAGCGTCTGTTCGAGGCTAGTGATGCTTACCGACTGCACGTCTGTGACATGTAAGCAGCTTTTCCCACCACTTCGACAAATACTGATTGTCTGCTCCTAGTTGTGGTCTCACGGCTATTGCTAACCTCGTGAGTGTACTCATTTCATTCCTGGATGGATGATGATTCACACCAATTACTCCTACAGAAAAAGCAAACATTCGAGTGTCGCTCTTGCAAAAACAAGACGGCTTGTTCACAGCTGTATATTCCTTACGCCGCGAAGCTGTTGTTCCAGGCAAGTTAATCGCTACGTTTGTCTGACGCATTATCTCATGTTGTTATCCAGGAATTGCAAAGTATGAACATCGCGGCTCGTCTGTACACAGTCTCCACAGGGCGCATTAGGGACTAGATTTCCTCGCCAATCTTCACATCAGCTTGGGATGACCTGAAGATGATTTGCATGTATACTACATATGAGGTAGAATAAGATATTGTCCCAAGGATTATTGCCTACTCGTCCTTCATCAACCCTTCCCGCTCGTGGTCGTCGCCCTCGTGGCGCTGGAGGGCAGCCCTCCGTTTTTTGGCGTTCACGTCGTCTTCATCGTCGCTGCCGTCGTGCGCCTCTTCCTCTCCGATGTCGAATACGACCGCATCTTCAGCGAGTGAGCCGCCTCCACGACCAACGAGAGTAGCGGCGTCGTCGTCAATGTCTCCGCGTCCGTCCATCCGGTGCTCCAACGCTTCGAGGTCGTAGTCTTCAGCGTCCTCGTCGGCCTGCGCGAGCTCGTCGAACATTGCTAATGTAGATATTACCAGAAGGTAAGCACACGACCTAGAAGTTAAGAGGAGCACCACGTATCTTCTGTTGTTGACGGAGGGACGCCATAGCCAGGCGATGGCAACGAAGTCGACAAGGAACAGCAGTGCTAGCCAGCCATCTAGCAGCCACCACTGGACCTTCCATGACTTGGCACCGTAGTCTGTAAGGGGCGATGTGAGATTCAAAGAGCCAGGCAGTACAGCACGCCACTCACCTTCCGCGAGGCGTCCTGAGAATGTGAGAGACGAGACGACGAAGAATATCGCAATCACAAGGACAGTCACGAGCAGGATACGGTACAACCATGTGAACATCGAGAGCTTATACCGCTGCTTACGGGCGGCAAGTTGTGCGATCGTCGCTGGGAAAAACGGCGATATTAATATAAAATCGGACGACGCAAAGTAGAGATGCGCTACCGTTGAGAGCGTAGAGAATCCAGAGTAGGAAACCGCTCAGCGTGAAAGCGAGGGGAATGACAAAGATGAGCAGGACGAAAGCGGAGGTTGACTCCAGCTCGAGCTCTACGATGCCAATGGCATAGACAACTGTAACGCATAGGTCAGCAAGATTGCATAGCGAATTTGAGGAGTTTCGACGCACCTCCGAAGAGGAAATGCGCTACGGCAAGGGCTTGGCACTTGAACATAGTTTTGCCGAGGGACTCGCGGACGACGCTAAGGCCCAATGATACAATCAATAGGAGGAAGAAGGAGAGAGCGTTCCGGCCGGCATCAAAAATGGCGACTGTGCAAAATGGTCAATTTCACCACCGATCAAGCCCACACAGATACACTTGCCGACGATGAGGAATACAGTAGCGGCTGCGCCTTTTCCATGGGCATTCAGGTAACGATAGTATGCTGACAGTAGATGTTAAAAGATATAGAAACAAACACGGGCAGAGCGCATACCCCAGTCGGCAACCATCTCGATGATCAGGAAACCTAGTAGGCTAGACAAGTAGTACTGCACATCGCGCATGAGAAATCGGTGCCCACATTGCCGATAATATAACAGCGCACCTGAATCGGAAGCAAGTCCTGCAAGTTTTTGAAACATAACCATGCCCATCCAACAGCTAGGACAGTGTAGATGATGAACATTGCGAGATAGAACTGGAAAGAGTGATATCGGCATGACAAACGATTAACGAAGGAACCCGCGAACATACGTTGACCTTGGGATAATCAGTAGCGGGCAGTTTGCCGTCGAATTTGTTGCGGAAGAAGACAGATCCGGTGTAAGTAGGATGGAAGGGAACGTCGGTTGGTGCTTGGCGGGCAGAGTTGGACAACACCGTGACCGGGACAACAGCTGTGGGCCGTGTGAGTAAGCGTAAGCACGATTCTCGTCATGGGTATACTCACCAACGCAGTAGTATCCTGTCTTGCGCACTTTGTATTGGAGGGGCTCATGATAGGAGAGGATACCATCGGGGCTTGGGTTGAGGGCTGAACTGTCTTGACGCCTGCCGTTCGTGTCCACATCTCGCCGCCTCCAAGGAGAGGTGTTGTTGCTGGGCGGCGGTGTCGGGTTTCCCTCCGGATTGTCCCAGAGGCCATTTGAAGAGACATCCGACGAGGAGGACCCATTGGCTGAGAAGCTCACGCGAGCCGACCAGAAGCTTGTGTCGTTCAACGACTTGCCTTCGGGCAAGTCGATAATGAATCTCCCCAGCTGCGAGGTCGAACAGAAACCACCGCGCACGGCGTCGGAGGTACATACGTATGTTTTCTGCTGAGTTTTCTGAATGAAGGTGCCGCACCTGCTGCGGGCGAGGGGACTCACCGGTAAGTCGTTCACGGTGGATGTGACTTTCCCGAGGTAATGCATGTCGCGCCATTCATATATTACCATCGCCAGCTGGCCTTGCGAACTGCTATCGAACGTGACTGGGAGATGCTGAGCATGTCTGGGGACGACAGCTGGTCGCGGGGCATACCATTGATGTAGGTCGACTTGCCCGCCCACATTCCGGAACATATCTGGCGGTCATAGTCCTTGTCTGAGACGGGGACCTCGTAGGCTGTTGCAGAAGAAAAAATGAGAAGGAATGAGCAGAACGCCAGCCAGGACCTGAGACCGCGCAACATCGCGGGGAGCGTGATCGAGAGGAGGAGGAGATGTTGATGGCTGTTGTCCGCGTCCTCCTCGCATACGGCCCCTCCTCCACGCTAGTTCCCCGCCGTCCACGACTGCGCAACTACACCTAGCCATTACGTGGCTCATCTGCGCGAACATTCATCTCATCTCCCCCCATCCCAGTCCTCATGCTCGGTGACGACGAAGATGTTTTCGACAGCGTCACTTGGGAGTCTCCTGCCGCGCCTTCCAACGACGTTGGCACCACCGCTGCACTCTCCGGCCCTGGGTACAGGCAGAGTACCGCAGAGAGCGAAGAGGAACGAGGGCCAAACGATCCCAAATGGGAGGGATATCTTATAACTACTGTCCGGGACCCAGTCAAGGAACTCGCTGAGACCAAGGACGCATATGTGTCCTACTTGGTCAGTGCTAAGGTGAGCCTTTCAGTCACCTCTTGACCCCATGCATTAATGTCCTTGCGCTGCAGACCAATCTCCCTATCTTTTCGACACCCAACCCATCCTCTCGCAGGCGCTTCCAGGACTTTGTGTTCTTGCATGATCACTTGGCGAAGGATTTCCCAGCATGTGTCGTGCCTCCATTACCTGACAAGCACCGACTTGGTATGTGGATAAGGACAGTACCCGTAGATTCATTCTCTTGACATTGTGCGACAGAATATGTCACCGGAGACAGATTCAGCCCGGAGTTCATGGAACGGCGGCGACTCGAGTGAGCAGCATGTGCTATGGGGGTTCAATTCTACTCATAAGATGCACTTTGTAGGCTCCACCGATTCATACAGAGACTAGCGCGACATCCAACACTGCAGCGGAGCACATTATTGCGGGCTTTCTTCGAGTCTTCAGAATGGGTCCGTCTACCTGCGCGTCCATTTTCTTTCTCGTACTAATATCTCAATCGAAGCATGTCCACATGCACCAACACGTAGCGCATCCCCCCGGCCCCGAGCCGTCGGTCGGGATGATCGACAGCATCTCCGACACGCTCCTGAACGCGTTCTCGCGCGTGCGCAAGCCGGACGAGCGCTTCCTCGCAATGCGCGAGGGCGTAGACAAGTTCGAGGAGGGCATCACGCACGCGGAGCGGCTCTGGAACCGCATGCGCAGTCGCACGAACGGTGAGTACCCTCGCGTTCCGCGGTGCACCCCCTCCCGAATGCATCTGAGACTGAAAGAGACGGCAATCTGGAATCGTCCGGAGAAGATCTCACCGGCGACTATCATGATTTCGCGGTCGCCGTGCAGGGCCTTGGGTTCCTCGAGTCCGGCATTACGGACCCGCTAAACCACTTTTCGAATACGCTGCTGGAGTTCTCAGCGCTCCTGCGCCATACGGTATGTCTCGGTTCCTGTGCGGAGAGTGGACTATTACTGACGTGTGCCGATAGACGCACACAAACACAGACCCGTTCCTCGTGCACCTACACTCTTTACTCACGTACTCGCACGCGAACCGTGCGGTCCTGAAGCTGCGTGACCAGAAGCAGATGGACTTCGAGGAGCTCTCGGATTACCTATCGGGGATCACGTCGGAACGAGACAGGCTCGCCGCGGTGATCAACGGTCACGCGGGCAGCACTGGTCTCGGGCTGGGTGCCTACCTGAAAGACAAGGTAGACGCCCTTCGCGGCGCTGACGACGATAGGAGCCGAGTGGAGAGAATGCGTAAGCTGGACGTGAAGATCAAGGAGGTAGCGTCATTCGTTTCTTGAAACGTCGTTTAGTGGGCTCACGTTTAACATTTGGACAGCTTCAAGACGCGGTTACAACTGCACACGAAACATCTGACGCGTTTAGCGAAGAGACCCTGCGGGAGCAGACAGTCTTCCAGTACGGGAAAGAGGCTGAGATGAAGGAGATGCTTGGAAACCTCGCGGACGGAGAAATTGAATTTTATAAGGCGGTAAGCCAGGTTTCTGGCGGCATGTTCATCGAGATTCTGACGGTCCTATTGCGATTCCAGGCTATGGAAGAATGGGAAAGGATTATACCAATAATTCAGCGCATACGTGTGGACGTCTGACGATGTATCCGCCCGTTGGCTGCCTTCCACCTTCCCACTGTACTTATAGTTATCACAGCATCATTTGGACAAACACATCGTGGAGAATTGCGGATGAAAGTTGAGTGCTGATACAGTGGAGGGCTGCGCTACATATTACTAGCGATACATAGAAAGGGGGGGTCAGGACTCGCGCTCCTTGCCCTTCCCTTTCGGATCCTCTTCCTTGCCTAGGTTCAGTTTGTATTCCGATTCTTGGACGGCCAGGGATAACTGGGAAAGCCGGTCAATTAACGTGGCTGATTGCACGTGTGTCGGTGATGTAGCTCACGTTGATGACGCCTGTGTCCACTGCGCGCAGCATATGGAGCTCTGCGTTCTCGGATGCGTTGGATGTCGTGTGTTGTGGTATGGCCGGTACCCATGGTGGGGCATCCTTGGGTAACATTCAAGTGAGATCAAGGCGGTTCTGGAGAGACGAAGACTCATCATACCTTTCCCTGGCTCGCGGTTGGAGCCTTGTCGTCCTGAAGCTCGATTACGATGGCGAATGATAGATCGTCTACACATGCGTTCAGGCTATGATGCAGTTGTGTGTGGCAGATGCCTACCGCCCATGTCCATCTGGCCTAACTGTGACTCGACCATGCTCAGCTTGACGAGGAAGGAGCGGAAGTACTGGCCGAGGACTGTGGCGGTCATAGCTTCCTGCACCCTTTACAGATATTAGATTCTGCTTGTCGAGTCAGGGCGAGAAGTCACAGACCTGGTGTCCTTGTTGTAGGACTCAACCTGGATCATGTTCCGCACGGCAAAGATGAAGCGTTCAAGCGGACGGTCCTCCTTGTCCTTGATGACCATGATCACTTTGTCGACATTTCCCTGCACCAAACCATCAGGCTCTATCGGGAAAAGACTGTCAAGGATAGCGCACCAAGGTGAGCTCCTCTGCGACGGCCTTGACCGCGCCTGAGATGTACTCGTTGAGGGCGGGGTGACGTGATTGAAAGACGGGGGTGTTATACTTCTTCCGGCGCACGAAGAGGTCTACAGGGTAGACCTGACGCACGTACAGGATAGTATGGATCGCGACTTCGACTGTGGCGTTCGCGTTATCATATGTGCGGTAAATCGAAAAAGTGGGTGCGCACTAAATTCGCTGATTCCGCGGACCGTCTCTGACAAGTGGGGTGTAAAAAAAGTTACTAAACGAATAAATCAAGTAGTTGACCCACGATTGAAGGTCAGGGGGGAGTCGCTAGCCACATCTCCCATGTCCTCGGGTGTGAGATCGCAAATTGAGGCGCGCTGTCACGGTCACGGTCGCGACGCACGTGTCACGTGATGACATCACGATGGGTTCGGATGACTCACTCATGCAACTTTCATGCTATCATACTAAGACAACCACTGATACCCTGTTCACTGCATTGCTGCACCATATGGAGGCAGCCCTCGATCCATGTCAGCATTGGCATGTGCACCTTTGAGAAGGCCCTCTATGGAATCACTGAGAAAATTGTACACTGCGCCTGCCAATGCGATGTTCAACTCGAGCAGATCATCTCAAGTCGAACGTCATGTTGGTGGGTGCGGTACACAATCTTCTCCGTGATTCAATCACAGGTTGGGAGGGTCTGCATCCATGACCTCAAGGACTGCATTGCTGAACTGGACACCACTTCTGCCCGTGCGAGGTACTACAATTGACAAAGGTACGCCCTGTCTTGCATTTGTTGTAGTACTAATTGTTGGTGCTGCTGTACATGGTTACTAGTATAGCCAGGAGGCGAGGAATGCGTAGGGAGAGACTCTGTTCATTCTGTGAAGACATTGCGAGCTGTACTTACATCTTAGATACCCTGTCTTTTCTATTGCTCTGCCCCTGCGGTGATACCTTATGCCGTTTCATAGTAATAATAACTGTTAACTGTAATGTTTTATGCACCCCAATTAACAATATATTGCTCTCTGAACCTCATTTTGTACGAATTGCACCGGAAAATGGTATGCTAGAATAGATAAATCTGCAGCCAAGAATACTTTCACACCGTGTTTCAGGCTACAGGTCCTACAGCGTCCTACAGAGCCTCGGAGACTACCCGACTACAGTCCTAGCGATACTAGCCGATACTCCTGTAGGAATGGCTCATCTACAGACCTCTACATAATTTGGGATATTGCTACAGACCTCTCAGGCCTACGTGAGCTACATAGCACTATATAGGTATTGTACTTTTTCCAGATGCCAGTATAGTTGGGTGAATATGGAGACGAGACATCTCAAAATGCCCTACAATAGAGATGATCCCGTTAGGCCGACCAATTACTTTCCGCTCCAAAGATTATTTGACCCTGAGGCCAGACGTTATTAAAGTAAGTTACAGTAAAGCCCGAGCAACACATATCTGATGATGTTTCTTGTCCAGCAAGAAGAATATGAGCTCTGGCAGCCTTGTCCTCCAGGTGCTTTGGGACCAACTTCATTCCGGTACCAGAGATGGTCGTAAGCTGCTTCCGCGAAGCCTGCGCTCTGTGCGAGTTCGCCTTCTCTCTAATACGCCTCGCTGGTTTCATCATCGTAACAGCGGCGATAATGACGGACATCATGGATTCGCCTACCCTGTCAGGTCGCTCGAGGAGCGGTCGTGCCGCGACCTCCTGGAGCCGCTCGAAGTGCGTCTACACAACTGGCTGTTCATCTTGCCTCATCACCTGAGGTACTCCACGACGAGCGCGCTCACGACGCCGCATATACTGGTGCTCCATAGTCACTCGAGTATTGCGTGGCGGTGCTGTTGCTGCATCGGGCATTGTGAGTATTTCCCGTTCACGTCATTCTCTTATTTTGTTGACTGTCAAATCTCACTTTTCTAGTCTACCGAAGTGGAACCGTCAGTCTAGACCCTGATTTACGCTGCGGTTCTCGAACTCATATGAATTTCAGTCGACATCCGGTGCTGAGGAATCGAATATTTCTACAGACATTCTACCGCCGAAGTCCTTTGATCTTTGCCAAAGCGCAGCGTCTCATGTCGGCACGATAGGTCAGTTGAACAGACTTCGACTGTATCATGGGCCTGCCATGAACATTAGTGACCGTGTACAATGAGAAGTATGGGTTGGACCGGAATTCCTATCAATCTATCTGCAAGGCGCAGGGGGAGCAAGCATCCTATAGCTTTTCGTCGCATGTCCTTATTATCGGGCGTGACTGTAGAATCATGCATGTAGTTACATGTAAGAGTCTGCCATCTCTCGTTTGGCTGACCCTCGCATAGTGGCCAGCGTCCGTCAAATACTCAAGCTACTGTCGGCCTGATGCAATGTATCATTGCGTTGAGAACGTATGGAAGTGAGTCGAACCTTACCCTTTTGAAACTATGCTAACAAGCCATCGTGCAGACCGTCTGGCCTGGGGCGACAAGTGTACGATCGCTGCTGGCGGGAGCGAAGGTCGGACTGAACCAGACCTCCAAGGCGGTGGCGGAGTCACTGCAAGGACAGAAGCGCACACTGCACGACACATTCAGCTCTGAACGTAGCTCAGACATGCTCAAGCGCCAGGCGTTCGCCGGGCCCGTCGAGTGCGGCGGCGGACCCGGACGCGCACCTGCGCGTCCTGGCGCACTCGCTGGGGCTGAGCGTGCCCGGAGTTGAGGCGTCGACATCGTTCTACCCCGGGTACCGGTGGTGGCCGCGTCCGGAGATGAGCACGGGCGCGATGCAGGAGATGCCCCCCCAGTCCGACCCGTCTGGCACGGCGATGTACGTGGGGGGCTCCGCGTAGGCGTCGGGCGTGCCATCTGACGGGAGCTCGCTCCCGGACCCGGCGCAGGTCTCGTCGGAGTACCTCTATGGCGCACACTACCCGATCTTGGACTGTAACCCCATGTACCCTCCAAACTCTGGCCACCCGTAAATCTGATTGTTCTGTTGTTTGACATTTCGTCCAACGGACGATCCATTGTATTTAAAATACAATACGTGTGGGGGTCGTAAAGGCGTGTCTATTGTCTAGCTGACGTCTTGCTTGCTGTGTCATGCTACTTGTATAATGCCGGAGTGGCGAGTAGACGATGATGACAATCCTGGTACATGAATGCGAGAGGTGAAGGTCAAAAACAAACCTGAACGGGTCAACGAAGATAACGAGTCGGTGCTAGAGATACATAACGTAAGGAGCCAGGAGGCTGCACGATCGGACACCGGAGACATGACAACGCAGACGATCTAAACACAACGCGGCGAGGCGCGGCGGATCATGATGCTGCCTGGCGGCGCGCTCTGCGACGTGCGCGCCACTTGGGTCCCATGTAGAGCGAGACGAGGTTCATGGGCGCGAAGAATAAGCAAACCCCGGCGAGGAATACGTACGTCCATCCCGTGCCCATGGCTTTGAGGATCAGGCTGATCACCGAGACGAGTACAGCGCCCATGGAGCATCGCACGAGGTTATTCTGTCGGCAGTGAACGGGCGTCAGCACTAGTACGCTAGCATACAAATATGACACCGATGACGCACGCAGGCTGTCACGGCAGAGCTGTGGCCAGGGACAAGATCCACGATCAAAGTCTGAGTGACGTTCATGACCCCAACCACGCAAAAACCGACTAGAAGAGCCCGATCGTTAGCGAGTCCGGGAGGGTTAAAGCTTAACATTAATGGACACCCAACTGATGAACGACAGGATGAGCGGGCCCGCGATGGATACCTTCGCGTCTAGACACCACCCGTAGCCTATGCAGGTCACAACGAAGAGAGAGAGGTAGTACGGCATCAGGTGGAGGCGCACGCGCTCAATGGGAAAGTTCTCTTCCTTCATGACGTCCTCCGGCCGCATCTTCTCGTTGCCGGTCTCCTCTAACGCGAGGAGCATCTTCTCCTTGTACCGCCTGTAGTCGCGGTCGAGGAGTTTGCCAGTAATCACGCCCCCGATGAGCATGCCCCCGCCAATGGCGAGGAAGCACAGCCCGATCTCCGTCTCTGAGAGGTACGGGTATGTGGAGGAGAACAGCGTCGAGATGCTCGTTGTCACGCCGTAGAACACAGCGTACACGATGGCGTTGTATAAGAGTAATAGCGTAACGTCAGGGTATAGGAAAAGGACGAAAGGGTTCGCAAACCCCTTCGGGGGCGGCCTGGAAGCGTGGTCAGAGGACTCCTCGACGTGGCGTCCGATGACGGGGATAATCGGGCGGTAATGACGAGGTGGCGGTATGCTACCATCGCCCACTATCGCGCGGAGAGTCTCTGGTAGAAGGCTGAAGGCGTATTAGCACCGTTGATACCGTGTGTGTGGATGAGAATAAGGTCGAGCCTCAGCTCTCGACCTCTTGAGATACTCACAGAAGGATCACGATTAGACATAACGCAGATGCGATGCACATAAACCAGAATATGGATCTGTTCAGCCGTCGGATTAGAAAACACACCACAACCCCGTTTGAACGCGCACCGCCATCCCAGACCATCGGCAAGAACACCTCCCAGGACTGGTCCAATTGTAGGTCCGACCTAGCATATTACTTGTACAAAAATGTCTCTCGCTTCAAACGACCGCACTTACCATGGGTCCGATATTCCAAAGTCCGAAATAAGTGCCCCGCTCATAGGGAGCAGCCACATCGGCAATGACACCGGCACCTAGGTGGAAAATGTAGTCCCGGGGCGAGAATTTGGACAAAGGACGACGTACCGAGAGCGACCGTACTTGCAGAACCGGCAGCTTGTAGGCATCGTAGCAGCATCAACAGCCAGTAAGCTGACGTTGGAACAAGAGCAAGCCCAACACATGAAAGCGACAGGACGAGCAGGCAGCCGAGAAACATGGGCCGTCGACCATACCTATCAGAAAGCGTTCCCCAGAACATGGGCGCTATACGGAAATATGAAAGTCAAGTAGAAAGCCATGGAAATAGCAGAAAAACCGGTACGTACAAATGCCCTGTACGATCATATATACGGTCACAGTCAAATTAATGAGTTCAATTGTCTTGTGGAATGCTTTGGCTATGGTAGGAATTGCAGGGAGGTATATATTGGCGGTAAATGGGCTAAGAAACACAAAAGCGCTGAATATACACGCATACAGTCGTCGAACTTATGCTTACCTGAACATCCCGGCGAAAGCAGCGATCCCGACAATAAACCATTTCTCGTGAGCAGTGTACACACTATACGCCTTGATAGGCGCATTTTGAGTGGGGCGAGGCGGTGGTGCCTCTGCCGTATCCTGGCTCTGAGGGGCTGGAATGTCATCTAGATAAATGTGTTCGCTTTGTCTATTCATGGAGCTCACCTGGAGGTCCCACGGAAGCTGCTGGCGTGATTGTAGGTGACTGCTGTTTCTCACCGTTGTTGACCGTAGAGTCCATAGCGACGAGCTACGAGTCGGTGGAGAACAAGCGAGGAGGCGAGTGAGGAGGAAGACGACATGGAGAAGCTTATAACTTGGGGAATGGGCACGGTTGACGCCTGTATAAGCCGAAGAATCTCAGAGTGTCTGCGAACCGTGATCTCAAATTTCCTATCCTGGATATGCCCCGACGGCCGATAGAACGTTCTCCGACCGCGTCCGATTACGCATCGGCGGTGACCAAGCCTCACCAATATTCAACGCATTAAAATCGTTGATATCCCGATATCCTCGACGCAGTGGAATACTTGCAAAGAACGCGCTTGACCCTGCTCTCCCTAGATTTTTATGTCTGGGCGTTATGGACCATCTGACAGGCCCCTTGTGGCGCTTCGCCGTCTTCCTCCGAGCGAAATTGGAGCGAACAGAGCCCGTATCTCGTTTGGCATCATGCAAGTGGCCTGCGCGCACCCACGGTTTTCTCACCGTGTACAGCGACGTGCTTCGCATTGTTCGCAGTAGGACTTGCGACCGCGCAATCAGAACAGCGAAGCATCAATTCCGTTGATCAGGTGAACCTATGCAAAGTGTATTGGAGGCATGTCCTATCTGATAGCAAAAGTACAACTGTAAACACATACCACGGATCCGAGAGACACAGAAGGATAAAACACAGGTCATGCATCTCAGTCGGCGTCGACCCGCATTTGACCCCGTCCTCTTCGGATGCGCTCTTCAATCCCACCGACGCCACCGAACACCTTCTTCTGCTCATGACTCAAGAATCCACCCATGCCTTTTGACCTCGCCCTAGCTCGCTCCTCTGCTTCGAACTCTGCCTTCTCCTGCTCCAGCAGTGTCGTAAGGCGCTCTCTGCGATCAACTGACATTGTAGACGCATCCGTCATCATAGCCGCCAGACGAGCGGCACGATCGTCGTCGCCTGTGTTGTGCGCGCCAGAGCTTTGAGAACTCAGCGGATGTACAGCCGGGGGTGGACTTATGCGTGATCGTTTGAAGGAGGATCCGTGTCGATCTGGACTTCTGCTAGGATATTGTCGGCGCTTCCTGTCGTCCTCCCTGCTGCGACTCCGGCGTGGGCGGGAGTTGTAGCCATTGTCGTCAGACTCGTCCGATTTCGGCCACGTACGCACCCTGTCGTCTTCCCTCCTGCTATCTCTGGGCCTATCATCAATATCTCTGCCCCTACGAGGATATGAATCAGGAGTGCGGCTGCGGCTGCGACCTCGTCTGTCATAACCATCGTCGCGACGATCGTAGTCGTCAATGTATCGGGATCGTAAGACGGGCGACCTTGACCTTCGCCCGTAAGGGCTAGGGGACCTTCGCGAATGAGAATAACGATCGCGAGATAAGGATCGGCGACGTTCGGGATATGGTGAGACAGAATGATCTCTGTGTTTGTCTTTGCTGGATTTGTCCTTCTTCTTATGATTCTTGTCCTTCTTGTCCTTCTTTGCTTTGATCCCGTTGCGTTCCTGCATCTCTCGCAAACGCAGTGGATTGGCCATAAGTGCTTGATATGCAGCCTGCTCCTGCTGCTTGATGGCGAACAGTGGATCTTCACGAATCTTCATGGCAGTGTCGCGAACAGTGTTAGCGTACTGAGTAGCAATGAAGCTCTTGTGGGCTGCGCCAATCTACACAACGTATGTTAAGATGGTAGCTCAGCAAAAAGCGAAGATGTGTGTACGCACCTTCTCATTTTCCCCAGCAGTCAAAATCTTGTCAACCCTCTTCTTCCCAAGTAAATAATCCTCCAGATCGTTCGCATTCTGGTTACTCCCTGTGGCTGGCGTGGTATACATCCAGTCCAGCTTCTCCTGCCGCTTCTTGCCCGTCTGCTCCTCCTGCATGCGCTGCAACTCCTGCAGCTGTCGCTCCTCTTCTTTCTCTTTTCGAAGTTGATCAAGCTTCTTCTTTTCTTCGAGCTATGGAAGAGTATATGTCTGAGGCATGGTCTACCAGGACTGCGATATGATGACAAACTCACCGCTTTCTTCTCCTCGAGCCAGACCCGCTCCTGGTTTTTCAACAGGAGCGGGTGCCAGGACTTCTTCATATTCAAGTCTCCGCCACCCATCTTGACTGACTGCTGGAGACGCGAGGTGCAACGGGTTGGACGGTTAGGATGCGAAGGACGACGGTGACGACGACAGGCAGCGCTGAGCAAGATGGGTCTGAGTCCAACCGATATTTGACTTTGTTTACAAACTGTGGCGCCAAGTCTGTCTCAGAACGGGCGTCTAAACAACTACTGCAGCGATGTCACGACCTGCAGACCTCGAGGCTGCTGAACATGAGACGGTCCCGCTATACGATGGAGGAGATTTCCCTGTTCAACCGACGTAAGTATTACTCCTCCTTCCGGTTCTCTGCCGCTCATACCCCCGGCCGGATGTTGACAGTACCTCTCGTCTCGTGAATTAGGACTAGTACGCACTCGATATACACCATGACCCGCGAGGAGATCACGAAGGGGATTGCCAACCGATTTGTGCATTCGCATGCGTATATCGCTCTATACCTCGTCATGGCTGCGCTGTCGGTCACGACCGTCGTGCTGAGCATGACGAATGGGTGCCCGACACTCGCGTTCTACATCCTAGAACTCATAATCAACGGCTCTATGATCCTTGAAGTGAGCATCAGATTTGTCGCCTTTGGACGAGTGAGTATGCGCTGCCACACAAGACCGTATAAGGTGTCTGAAGGTATATTTATTATGCAGCAATTCTGGAAATCACCGTACAACATCATGGATCTCGTTCTGACCGCGTTCTGCGTGATCACGCTCCTCCTCATTTTCTTTGCAGGCTGTGGTAGCACGAGTAAGGAGGAGGAGCTCTTGGACACGCTCCTGCTCGTCGCACGGAACGTACTCCAGTTCGGACGGCTAGCCGCAGTGATGCGACAGTGCGTTTCTCCGTTCAGGGTCATGACCGCAGTATATTGACGATGCTTCTGTGTCGGTCGTGGTAAAACTCTCACAGGTCCGGCCAGTCCATCTTTTCGCGCCCGAAGCCCATCGACTTGTCGGCTGCCCGGCGAAGAGGCTACACGCTCGACATCGACATCGAAGACGAAGGCGAGAATGACCTCGGGAGACCGCTCATCCAGGATCCCGTCCTCTTCGATGCCGGAGAGGAGGCTCCCGCACCGCGTGCGCCGATAACAGACATGCCACGCGCAGCGCAGGCCGTCCAGGACAGAGACACAGAAGATGTGTGGGCTGAGATTGGTTGACGCTCCGGTCGTCTTCATTTTGTATGCATTGCTCGATCAAGATCTCATCCCAGTAATACATGTGAGTAGCCGGTTGCCAATGTTCGATCGTCATTAAGTTGACCAGTGCAGGCCGTTGCAAGGGTCTGGATAGAACATTAGCTTCCGCGCACAATTCAACCTGTATCCGGAATATGCATTTTTTTTCTCATGTGCCGTGAGTGACAACTCAAACTCGAACATCCGACGCCGTCATTCCTGCACCGGAACGTTACTTATCTGCTATCAAAGCGGAGGACCCACGTTCCGATATTTCTCACCCATTATTCTCCCGTTGTCTATGCAGGCTATACTTGTTCGCATCTGTCAAGGCTGAGAAAATGATAGGGATGCGAATGCGCCTGTGCACACTTCAGCGTCCAGGCGATGCACGTTCGAGAGTCCACACCTGACTGCTTGTAAGCGCTTCTTCTGCACCTTCCTGCCAATCAAACCTAGAATTTAGCTACTCTTTTCGACTGGCGTTGTACGCGGTTCTCCGGCAGTACTCCGCCGGCAATTGTATGCTCTTCCATTGTTTCGCCATCTAATTGTGCGCTGTTCTGACTATGATGCTCTCAACATCTTCTCCGGCCATTGTCCTGTGTTATTATACTCCAACGTACCTGTGCGAGGATCTGGTCGTTGATCATTGTTCCCTCACCGCAAAGGCCTTGGAAATTGACCTCCGATTAGTCGGCATGTTTTGTTCTTCTCCTGGCAGTTGACTGATTTATCCCAGAAGTCCTAACTCATTCCCTAACTTGCTTTGATTCTCTCCCACGCAGTCAGGACCCTTCTTCCAACTATTCTCATGACTGTGCAACGCTTTGATGAGTCACGCCGGTTCGCCCTGTGACCCGACGCGTTATGGTGCATAATTATGCCGTCGCGGAACGCCCTTGCGGAGCATGATGGCCTGCGTCTGTCGGTCGGTGAACCTATCACCAGTAGCGTACGGCTGCAACCATGATCCCTGAAGCAGAAGCTGACGCGAACCTCTGACCTGCTGGCTATTTTCACTCAAGATCGCAGTCATGGCAAGAAATTATTGTGCTAGGCGTACTCCGGTCAACTGACGAGGCGACGTCTCGCTGTAGGCATTTCAACGAACCTGCTGTGGTCGTAGTCGCAAGAGTGACGGAAAGGATCGCAGGATGACATTGACATATATTGTAGAATTGTGCACCCAGGTCCCAGACCCAGCAGTCCTGAGCCGTCTAGATCTGTGCTGATGTCGGTTGATGATCAAATCTGATGATTCCAGTGAAATACGCGTTCAGGATCCGCAAATACGGAGCTTGAGGGAGCGTCATTGCATTGTGGGGAACACCTCTCAGTAGCTCGAACTTCAATGGTGTATCCTGGCACCCTGCCAAGAGGAGCTGTGGGTGGAAGAGAATCTAGATAGTAGATCACATGAGATCTACCGGGCATGAAACCTGTGAATTCGCTTCTATCGGTTTAGCCACACCTTCTAGAAAGATGGAGTTGGACAGGAACAGCGGACGAATGCCCCTTGAATCGCCGCCTCCAGTAGTAAATAATTCGCAGCCATTTCGAGATAAACCTACGGCACATATATATTTTCAGTCAGGTGGTCGTCACATTCTGCCTAATCGGATAAGCTAGTAACGCTATTTGGTTTCATTGTGACTGGCGTGTATCGCGATTTCTCACATTAATTTCACCAGAAAGCGCTAGGAAATTGCCAGGGGAACCGCTGGTGGCTGCTTTCGCTCGCTGGCTCCGGCGAGCGAAGTCTTTGTCTCCGTCGTCTTTCTCGACGCCTTCGCTTGCCCGCTGTCCATGGCGTGACTACTCATGCAAGGTCCGCTGCGCCTTCATGCCCTACGCAGTTCCTCGATACTGAACGTGCTCGTGAAGGATCCAGCGGTACTTCCCATCGTTTAGTGTCTGAGTTCACCTTCGTTTCTTACAACGGTTATGTCGTCAACTATGGGACCTACTAGCCAGGCGAAGTCATGGTGGTCGCGGTCGAAGTCGAAGGACTCCTCAGGTTTAACGCCAAAGCGGTCGTTCTCGAATCTCGTGGACGACGAGAAGCACATGCGGTCTGCACCTCGTAAATTAACGAAGACCAAAGATGCTACTGCCGGTCTGAAATTCAATACGCTGGCTTCTGCAATGGGCTTCAGGTCCAAAAAGCTGCCTTCACTTGCTATACAGGATCCTCCGACTAACACTTCAGTGCACCGATCTACATCTGACAACTCCGCTCCTTCCCCCTTCTACACCAACCGACCTCCCGCGAAGTCCGTATCCACAGCTCGCTCTTCGGAATACGACGGGGACGAGGCGTCCGACCCGCATGACATCCCGGAACCCCGTACGCCCTCAGATCACCCAAGAGATCGAATGTCGTACCAGACGTCTGTCCTCACATTGTCGGAAATGGATCCCTTTGCCGCAGGAGGAGTCGTCATACAACAGTCGCAGGACTCATACCGGCAGTCTGTGTTCTCGGATTCATCCCTGCTGGAGCCTCATCGTAAAAGAAGCGATTTTGTGTCCAATAACCGCACCTCGTATGCGTCTTCATCGTCTAATTCGCACAGCTATTTGTCAGAGCCTCGGAGTGGCAAGATGTCTTCCAGGATCACTCGCTCATCCAGGTTCGTGTGCACCTTAATTTCACAGAAGAGGGTTCATCGATGTAACGTATAGAACACCCTCTGATACGAGCATGAAGCAAGAGCCTCGTCGTCAAGAGACTCTGTTTGTAGACGACGGCAGGTCTGTGGCCAGTGCTGAGCCTCGGAGTATACGGGCACGTCTCAAAACGCCGTCGGGTTCGAACTCTTCATGTTCTACCGTCACGCCAGGTGACTACCGGAACAGGTTGAGTGAGCCTCCTCCGGGAGCTCCACACCCTCATCCCCGGGCAAGAGGTATGACGGTGGCAGCTGCGGGATCCAATGGCGACGCTAACAGACTTTCGCGGCTGGAATTGCGACGCAAAGCCTCAGATCCTCATGGGTTTCACTCGCCTTTGGGCGCCGCTTCCCCTTCTTTATCTCCGCTAACCTTTGCCGGCCCAAGCGTGACACCGCCTCCCGGCACCGACTCTCCGGTGTCACCCTCCTCTACTCGCCCGTTAGTGCTCGTCCGTAAAGCTTCCGCTTCGATAGTGCACATGCCTCCCCCAAGTCTTGCGCCTCCCACAGCAAACCTTCCGCCTCCTCCCTTGTCATCATTCGTTGCTCCAGAACCTTCGTCTTCTGCGGACAACCTTTCCATTTTCCTATCTAATCCACCATCACCGAGCACATCTAGCGTGAGTCTTGCCCCCAGCTTTGAATTTAGCGTGGAGGATTCTGCCGGAGATGCGATTGGGCACCTGATGCAGGACGTGTATCCACCGTTACCCGAAGGTTGTTCGAGGCAGAGTAAGGGCAATGGCAGAAGACGTCACATTGATGCTGAGTCCAGCAACTCCTCAATGAGAAGACTTCCTCCACCCCATGGAGATTACATGCATCCCGATCAGAGCATGTCTGCCCACACGTCGCCGAAACTACTGAAGAAACTTCCTTCACAGCAAAGTCTGCTGGGGAAGCATTATTCGGAGCAAAGCCTGACTTCCTCTGTTGTGTCTCTGGGACAGGATGAGTACGCGAACTGGAGAGGATCCAGTGGATCACTTTCATCCAGCAAAACTCCGCGAAAGCAACGCTCATTTCATCATTCACGACTTCCCCTTCCTCCCTTGCCTGCTCTGCGTCACGCCAACTCGTACAACCACTCTAGTACACCTCCGGAAGGCCGTTTGCCAACGCCATCGTCTCCGCCGACGACGGACCAACAACAACGTAAGAGCGGCTTCACGCATACAACCCCGACGTCTGCACGCAAGCGCCTTTTCTCGGGTTCAAGTAGCAGAAGGAGCACATCTTCCCAAGGGCCTGCTTCGCCTGCTACATCTGCTGAAGATGAGACGCGTTCAGTCATTAACACTGACGAGCCCCGCACTCAGAGCAGGTCCTCGTCGTCGGCGGTACAGAAGGTTATGATCTCTTTCGGGAACTTTGGACATCCGCTTTCCCTATCGACAAAAAATGCGTGCGTCGCGCCTTCATCATTCTGGAGCGAACCCGGTGATAGTATGTCAAGCTCATACGGCGACAAGAGCGCGTCGCAAACGGAGTATACCCCCCAGCATATCATACCACCGGCAGACATGTTGAAGTTGGAGCAGCAACTTGCGGAGGAGGCGGCGCAGAGGGATCGAGAAATGGACCAGGAGCATAAGCCTAAGTTGGAGTTGCAACCGAGGGATTTTGGTTTCGCCTTCATTGGGCGGAGGCGACGGTCGGATTCCAAATTATCTGGGTCCAGAACAAGTTCGATCATGTCGAGCGTATCTGCAGCGACGTTGCCGTTCGGGAGCGAGCATCATATACTTGGCGAGAGTTCTACCAGTGGAACATCGAGTTTGCGACAAACTGCTTCTGCGCGTCCCTCATCTACTACCAATCATAACGGCAAAGCTAGGGAACTTTCCGCCGACAGTTCACGGCTTCCCCTACGAAGCAGCTCTCTGATGGCGAAGTCATTCCCAAAGCCACCAACATCCATTGCACGACCTTCGACGGCTCAACCCAGCATTTCGTCACCGACCTCTCCCACGTTTTCAGCTTTTACCGTTTCGCCTGGACGACCTCCCACAAGTCTACCTCCACCTCCTCGGTCACGACCATCGCGTGAAAACCAACCCATTCAAGATGACCCTGTGCTCAAGCGCTCTAGTATTGTTCCGCTCCATCCTCTATCACCGCCTCCCGTCCACAACAGGATCCGTCGACCACATACAGCGACATCGGATTCACGCAATGTCCAGTCTCTGATCACTTCGCCTCCCAGTTCGTTTGACCAGCAGAAGGTCTCAAAGCGGAGGTCCATCATGAAGAAACCTTCATTTTTGGATATTGAAGACGAGCTGGACGCCACCACCGAGAATCTCATGGAGATGGATATTGATGTGCCGCCCGCGTCACCTGTCATGGAAGGCAGTTTCCTGGACATGGAGCACGGCAGGGATTCACTCGACACTGATGCGAGTTGTGACAGCGGTTTCTATGCTTGATTATGTCGCAGGCTGTTTTTCCTATTTGCTTCTCGTATGTATACCTCTTTATTGACCCCAGTACTATTACTCTTGCGTATTCACTGCTTTAGCTGCATATAATTTTTACTTCACTACCTAGAGTAGGCCTTGGCGTGTACTTTCCGCTGTACAGCACTGTTCTTTCCTTTGCTCTTCGCGATCTGCGCACAGCTTTGTACACGCACCACGACTTGTCTGGCAACACTCACATGCATGTCATTCATTGAATCTGACAAGCACGGAATGTTTTCATACTACCACCTATATGTTACATGTGAAATGTAGGAGAGAAAATGTCAAGTAAGTACTGCCGTCACATGAACGTGAGGGCGTGAAAGATCCTTAATCACGGATACCATGGAAGGGAGACTCGTTACTCTGTTTCGTTTGTGTGATAACCCGCCCGCCTCATCGCACCCAGACGATGGCGAGCAGCACCAAGGTCCTTCTCTAACTTCAAAATCTCGACCTGCTGCTCCATCTCGCGCCTCTTGAAGTCCAGACCGGCCATGCTGTTGTAATCAACATCTTCCTCTTGTGATTGCTTGGCAGATATGGCCTTCACTTGTTTCACCAACGCCTTGCACGCCTCGGTGACAGCCTTGGCAGCCAGCTCCAGTCGCTCTTGAGTCTTCGACATCAAGTTTGCCTTAACGCGTGACGCAGCAACTAGCTGAGCAGTGGCACCTGCAACCTCGTTGGACGCGACGATGAGTTGTTCGAGGGAATGTGTCCCAGATAGGACACCATCAGCACTCTCGATGAGCAGGTTGGTGGCAAATGCGACCGAACGAGCGGCAGAGATGAGACCCTCCGTCCAACGGTTATTGCGCTTGTAGAATTGCTGAGTCGTGCTTGAACCTCTGCCCTGGGTGACGATCTCCTGTTGGGATTCTGTGGCAGCTTTGATGAGCCGAGCGATGGCATTCGTGATAGCGAGGGCCGCCGCCAAGATTGAATCGTGCACTTGAAGGTCAACGGCACTGAACCTGCTGGAATCGCGAGGACGCGATATGAGTTCCTGCAGACGCTCTGTAGCGGCCTCGATGGCCTTGGCTGCTCCCAACATCTCCTGTTCCACGATGTCTCCTATATCTCCGTTGGCCTTCGCCAACGCGCCTGCCTTGCCACCCTTTGGCACAAGCGAGTCGACCGATTCCGACACTTTCGTAAGGGCACTGCGAATTTCTCCATTGTTGCGCATTGCAACGTCTTTCCGTTGTGAGAGTTGAGGAAGAAGATCCAATTTATATGATTGCAGGTTGAGGAATGCCCGCAGACAGACATCGCCAGCATTCTTCGCAACGTTGACCAACTTGTCGGACACGTCGTCGCTGACAAGACGAGTGATTCCCTTGGTGTTAACCAGCACATCCGACACTGATTGCGCCAACTCGTTAGCCCCCTTGATCACCTCAACGTGTTCGCCGCCAAGCTCTCCTCCGAGATACGCATTAAATATTGTAGCAAACTCGGTGGCATTGTTGATAGCTTTTTCAATCATGGAGAGCGTGTACTCTGGGGTTGAGTTCAGGTTTCCAGCTTGCGCCGGAGACTCCAGCTCATAGATGGATTCATCAACCTTGTGTACGCATGCCTGGAGGATGGAGTCTACACTGACGTGAGTCAATATTCAAGACAAAATTGAGTGGAAGGTGCCCACCAATGATTTGATTGAGCTTCTTCCTGTTATCCAAAATGAGAGTGTCGATCTGAGTGTTCGTCGCTTCCTCCGAGATACCTTGATTCTAGTGGGTTTTTAATATGTATTGCTCCATGCACAGAATGTCGCACATACCTGCTGAGCCTCAGAGAGCTGCTGGATCGTGCTGTCCATGCCCTCCTGCAGGATCGCGATTTCTTGGTCCTTCTCGTCTTTGAGACGTTCTACGTCCCCGTGCGCGTTGTCAAGCTTGTGAAGCAGATCATCAATCTGAAGCTGCTTGGCCTGAGGAAGAAGATGTTAATGCCGCTTGAGATCAAAGCTATCAAGATCGTGAATCACCCTCAGGGAGTCTTCCAGCTCCGTCAGCTGACGGTTATACTTGGATAACACGCCTGATACCTCAGAACTCTTTGACCGCGAGGCATCCTCGGCTCGTTCGTTAGCATAGTTGATCTCCCTCTTCAGTCTGTCCACCTCGTCCTTCTGGCTGGCCTTCTGACGATCCAAATCAAAGCGCGCACGATCACGCTCCCGTATCATGTCCGCCAACTCCAGGTTCTTCGCCTTCAGGTCTCGTTCCATCCTCTCCATGCGGTCGACTGCTTCCTGAGCCGAATTGGCCTTCAACTGCATCTGCTTGAACTTAGACAACATGTCGAGATGCTCCGTGCGTAGTTGGCTATATAGCTTGGCAAGGGCCTCGTATTTGTTACGCCACAGAGTGACCTGGTCTTGCAACTGTTTGATCAACTCATCCTTCGACAGCATCTGGGAGTTGATGTTGGCAGTAACACTGCTGAGCTCTCCCTCAAGAGCTTTGACTCGCTGCAGAATACAGCGATCAATGAAGGCACCTTCAGCATGATCACAAAACTCACCCGGTCATACTGCTCGAGCATTAGCTGGTCTCGCTCGTACTGGCCTCTCATGGCGAGCAGCTCCCTCTGGAATTCATTCACCTGCTGCGCAGCCTGTGCAGCTGCCTGGTTGTTGTACTGCATCATCTGCTGCTGCATGAGCTGCTCTTGTGCGAGGCGCTCCTTCTCTGCTTGTTCTGCCTGCCTTTGCTCAAATTCGCGGCGCTGCTGTTCCTCCAATTCGCGACGACGACGTTCCTCGGCTTCACGGGCAGCGAGCAGAGCAGCCTGCTGTTCCTCGTACTGCTTCAACATACGTGCTTGCTCGCTAACGGCTGCGGCATCGGGCGATGGAGTAACAGGCGGTGGTGGCGTCGCAACGACTGTGCTCTTCGGTCGAGCAGGAAGATCGGGAGCATTACCGTTATCCATCAGGTTAGGAGGTTCCTAGCGGTAGCAAATTAGCCGCATAATTGTAGCGCAGGATGTCCGACAGTAACGCACTGCACCGAGTTTGGGAACGTTAATGAGACCAGTAAGATACTTGAGATTGGAGCATTCATAGTAGAACTTCCGAAGTGCATAATGTTGTGAACTAAAACGCTGTCGAAGGGGCTCCAGAGCTTCGATATCGTTTGTCCCTAGACAGGACATCATGACAATGCTCGCGTAGGTGCGGAGAACCGACTTACTTCGATGCATGGCTCTCAGCATGCTCGTGATAAATCTGTAGATACCCCAACTCTCTTTCACAAGAGGAACTAGTGCAGAAATGCGACATTCGTTGCTCGCGGAATGACGAAAATGAGCGAAAATCATCCTTTGAAACGAATCAATCTGGTCTTGTAAACCCATGAGATCGGAAATGGTCTCATAACTATCAAGTGCATGAGTTAAGCCACCACAGGAAATGAGCGGCCTGAAATGCACACCCTTCATTCGGATCGTCGATGCCCTTCAAAGTCACATATTCCTCGTACTCGAACAGACCGTTGAATTCCGGTCTCAAGCGATGGAATCGCAACTTCGCTAAGATAAACTGCACATACGTCTTAATCAACGGGCCGTAACCTGAGGCAAACTCATGAGACAGTGAAGACACGTCAACGGTGAAGATGCATTACCTCGGGGACTCTCGTGTCCCACAGTCCGAGCACAAGTCTCCAGCCATCCAGTCTGACCGTGTGCTTCTTTTATTGTCTATGGTTCATCTCTATTGAGTCTCGGAACGGGCTACAATAAGAGAGGAATGCACTAACCACAGGATGACCTTCTTGAAGCACCTTATGAACCATTATGAGGGCTTTAAACGTCTGGACTTCGTCAGACAGAATAGGCTGCACACGAAGACCGGTCCAGAATGATATCGAGGAGTGATAGTCCCATGTGTAAACGATGCATTCTGCACGTATGTCAATACGCTTTGCGCTATAGAACAGGTGGTGCACTCACTCCGAACGTGTTTCTGCTTCGGAGCGGTCTCATCTGGATTTGTAGCCTTCTTGATGTTCACCACAAGCTCGGCCTCAGCCTTATCCTTGTCCACAGGTCTTGTGGGGTAGTGGACCTCGTCGGGTCCGTCTATATCAAAGCCAGTCTGCCGGGTGCGCTGTCCCGTGAACCTGATACGTTTGCTTAGAATTTGGGACAGTTCAGGCAACATATGTGACTCACATGTCGTGCAACACAACCCCAAGGTGATAGAGACGAGGGTGGCTGGTATGCGGAGACTGCGCCTGGCTGCACTAGGGTGAGGTAAGTCACGGTCATCTTCGGCGCTCACGCTCTTATTTCAGGACGCGCCCTTTCCACCGTGACCGGCTGGCTACTCGTAGCGACGTCTTGCGCGGAGAGTACACGCCATGTTTGCTCTTTTTCGCTCTTCTGCACTCCGAGTGAAAGTATGGAGACGAGGAACCTTCAAACGCGCTGAATCTACGACCACGTCGGGAGCACCGACGTACACCTCAAAGAAAGTGGCTCTGATTACCCCCACTATGATCTTAGTCGGCTTCATGCCCATCTTCACTTTTGCTCTGGGAACATGGCAGGTGCAGCGCCTCAAGTGGAAAGTAGCCCTCATAGATGAGCTGGAAGAGAAACTGCATTTGGAACCCATGCTTCTTCCGAAGCAAATAAAGTCAGTGTTTTCGAGACTCTTGTGAACCAACTCCTCGTATCTCATGTTTGCAGTAAGTGTTGCAGCCATACCAGATTTTACTTTCCGGAAAGTGTCAATTAGAGGTCATTGGGATAACGATCATGCCATGCTACTAGGACCTCGCGTTCGGGATGGTACTATTGGCTATCATCTGGTCGTGCCATTCATCCGGTCTGAGGGCTCCACTGTGTTGGTGGATCGCGGATTTGTCGCCAAGGCCCTAGCTGAGGACGCGAAGCACCTCAAGGAAGATGGTGAAGTTGAAGTGATGGGCTTACTCAGAACCTCCCACGTCCGCAATTCATTTACTCCAGACAACCATCCGGAAAGGGGGGAATGGTACTGGGCAGATGTGGGGCAAATGGCAGAGCAGGCTGGTGGAGTGAAGGCAGGCGTACAACCTGTATTCGTTGAGGAAATATTCGGTGCGCATAAGTAGTTATCGAGAGTTTTCCTTTGGATTGATTGGAACCATCTTTTTGACCATCAGAGGGCCATGGAGGAGACGCTGCGTCACGCTTAGCGCATGGTATTCCCATAGGCAGAGCTCCAATAGTGGACGTACGAAACGCTCATGCCTCGTACGTCGCGACTTGGTGCGTCTTTAACGCTGAGCTCCCGTGACAATGTCGCTGATGAACATGGTAGGTACTCGCTCTCCGCATTTACCAGCTTCATGTTCATCCGCCTGCTGATGAAAAGACGAGCACAGGCGCGTCTACCTCGCTGAGTAGTGTCTTCTGTACGACGGTGCATTGTCCCTCGTACATTGCCCATTCAAGGGAGCATTGCTGGCAAGTCACGATACGAAGCATATTTATTGATTTCAATCAAACGCCAACGCTCATCTTTCCAGCGAAGGATAACACACGATGGTGGTGTTTGCCGAATATTTGAGTGTCATGTACGCGCTAAGATCAGCATGGAGCTTGATTAGGATGTGAATCATATCTCTGTTTGTTCAACAATCTCGCGCTAGTGGAAGCTCAAAGCTTTGTGGTCTGGCAACGTTTCATGACTACAATATGTGTAGTCTAGCGGCTGTGGTGCGTACGCGTTACCCACAATATGATCCCAGGTTAACCGAACCGTCATTTTCTTTAACAATATATATAAGACTGAGCACCACCCCGGGATTTCCTTTGTTCTCTCTGCAAGGTTTGTCGTTGTTCTCAGGTAATCTGATTGGCCGTGTCCTTCCTCTGTGCCCATCACGCGTGGCCAAGTGTTATAAAAGGCATTGTGGCTGCCACTCTCTGCACCCATCTCACGAGTGGGCAGACCATTATCCCGATGTTCAACACACTGGGTTATCATCTCTTTCCGACGTCTCTGGATGCACCTGCACATCACCGGCAACACTCAGTTGGTTTATCGTCGCCTGGATTTGCGAAATGCGAAGTACATTCAATTGTCGATGGTGTGGCTGATGTCGGGAGAAGGAATGACGACATGGCCAATGCAACGCGTCCGCGATCCTGTCTCACACCGGAAGAAGAAGGTGCGTCGTTCACCCTCTGCGTTGAAGCTACCGCTCACGGTGTAATGCAGTTCGTGTTTTTCGTGATATTGCACGTGTCGTTGAGTATCAGCGGCGCGCCGGTATACGGCCAACGCCGGTATACAACGGTCTACCTGAGCTACTGCCTTCGTGTTCCTCAGCGGCGTCCACACCTGCAAGTAGTTGTTGGGGCACTCCGGCCACACAACCTCTTCCTCTACCATCCCCTTCCGCGGACGTGGTCGTGGTCCGACACTATCACCATACACCCGCGCCTCCGTCTTCCATCAGAAGTAAGTCTCATCGGCTGTGATTTAACTGCTTGGCTGCTGACAAACTGCGTGTCCAGCCCGTGTGCGTACTACGTCTTTGCGTGAGATGATCACTGCGACGGAGCACAATGAGTTGGGTTGTGTGGCAGGTACCAAAATGTCCAGTAGCAGGGAACCAAGGACCACAGCGCGGAAGACTGCAACCTGTCTATCCCGTCCTCAATCTTCTCTCTTGCTTCGCTGCATTGCTAATTCTTTCTCTTCCCGCAACTCTTCTCGCAATCCATCTCGGAATTCATCGCGGAATTCGTCTTGCGGTCCATCTTCTCCGAGTTATTCGGCAATCACTTTTCCATCCAGCGCTACAGATCTCCCGACGAAGTGCTTAGCGCCTCTGCCTCGATTCAATCCGTTCCTGCGAATGCGCTCAGAATCATTGTCGTCTATCGTTCAATCGACAAAGAATGCGGACGGTGAGGGTGCTCTCTTGGAACGATCCTCGCTCAGCCTCAGACGTAGGTGCAAGTCTGCATCGAGTTGTATGACAAGGGCGGATCTGCGGGGAAGACGCCAGTTGTGATTGTAGTGATCCAGTTGTCTTGCTACTTCTGGAGGTCTTTTATTTATGCATAAGTATAATATGAGTGCTCGTGGCTTGAAATCCGACAGCCCGCAGGTCTCATAAGCTAGCTTGTGGGCAGTACGTAGACCAGACTCGGACGTTGGCCAACGTCATCAATATTTCGCGTCGTTGACGCCACTACTGTCAGTGGCGCCGCAGTCAGTAGACGCGTGCACGTGCGCACTGGTCTTCCCTTATGAAACCCATCACTGTGCAATTGAGCACGTTCACTTTGGCCTCTATCATGCTCTGGTTTACCCTTCCCACTCGCTGATTTACTTATTGGTGTGTTGTCTGTTGGAGTGTGGAATTCATGGCAGAAGCAGGCCCTTCGTCTCCTACTCGAACCTTCCCCAGCGCACCAATCGCTGTTGGCACCTCTTCCGCCTCCCAGTCGAAGCGTTCTCGCATTCGCTTCCCAGTTGACGACAGTCTCTCTAGTCTTGCAGATGCCGACAGCGGCATTGCTTCTGTTGGTTTAGGTCCCCCCCCGCTCGTCCGAAGGTCTACGCTGACAGGCAATGCCAAGAACCCACCTGCCCTCGCTCGGGGCGATGGTCGCCGCCGTGTCAGATCCGCGACTGCACACACATCTTTCGATGGTCAGTCCCGCTCCCAGAAAGCCGGAGACATGGGTCCGCCTCCCTCCAAGATACTCTCGACTACCAGCCGGAAAGGTGGCAGGAAGGAGAGAGAGCTCCAGGGTAATGTTTTCTCTGACGGCTCGACCGGAGATTCCCATTCAGTAGCTTTTTCTGACGAGTATGATTTGTGTAAGTCTTATATGTCATTCCTTGTCGTCGCTGCCATACTAAGCCCCTTGCAGCGCGTGAAGGCGAGTCGGGCTCAACGTAGTCTTCGCTGCTCACTGAAGGGAAGATCACAGATCCAAGGATTCTTGAGGAGGTAGAACGCGCTTTGAAATTGAAAGCACGCCGTGAAGCTCGCATGAAGGCGTCGCAGTCAATTTCGCAACCTAGGACCGACATGACCTCCTCGTATCCAACCCAGACCTCTCCAGCTCGGGCATCTATTCAGATACCACCGCCTGTTATGACCCAGGGAGATTTTGTCGTAGAGTCAGACGTCGACTTCAGTCCATCTGTTGGAACGATACCTCTACATCCCGTTCCTTTCTCGCATGATGGGGGTGCTACGTTGGATTGGGCGGGCTCAGCTTCGGAAGATGAGAAGCCGGAGAAACGTTGGGCACTACACATGAACAGGCGAAAGACCAAGGACAGGTCTTCAGGGCCCTCTAGCCGCACTGTCGTGGAGAAGCAGGATTCGCTTTTTGCCGGTATGGTACACTCTGTACAGTCAGCGCATCTTTACTCACATGCATACTTAGACAAACTCACGCTAATAAAGAATAAAGCCAAATCCGATACATTGCGCAAAGCTGCGATTACCAGTAATCAGCTCCGAAGACGGTACAGTATACTCCTTACCCCTTCCCCTGCAGTGCCGGTCAGTATCCTTGATGTTGCTCGATGGTACGACAAGCAAGAGCCGACCATGAAAGCATCGTTGGAAAAAGCAGAGCCTTTGACTTGGTTGAAACATCTGTGGGACAAGGGCGGACGGAAAACTTTACGGTCTCCACGGACTCTCTCAGCCAAAATAATTGAGGAGTATGTTAAAGCCCACACAACTCCACAGGCTATGGAGACAATCCCAGAAGATGAGATTGCGCCCGAGGCTTCCTCGATTATGGTTTCTTACCCAGAATCAAAGTCTCCTACAAGCACATCAATCTTGGAACCATCCATATCAAGGAACCGCTCTTCTTACGATACACAAGTGTCGTTCGAGCCAGTCGTTGACTCTGGCAGAGATTCGTTAGGCTCTCGGCCAAGTAGTGAGGGATTCACTCGTTACTGGAGGCAATCGCTTCCTAATGGGACAGACTCCACAAGAAGTTCTATCTACAGCAACATGTTCAGCGGTGTCTCGCCGACGAACAGTCGTCTGCACTTGCGTGATATAACGAAACGCGTGCGACGTCGTGGTCACGGAAGTGAAGAGGCGTTGTCATCTGCGCAAGAGTCGATATCAGGGCAGAGCGCGTCGGAAGATGGGCATGGCAGGACAGGACAAGCTCCGGATGTTTCGGTCCCCGAATTGCGAACCCAGGACGATTCCGCTACTGCTGCAGAGCAGCGTTCAGCTCTGCATGTGGCTTCGGTTTCTGTGGACCAAAGCCAATTGACCGAGATTCCAGCGGAGAACAGTTGGCAACGAGATGACGCTGAAGAACCAACCGCGAAGCGTGAAGACTTCTCTGCTCAAGACGTCTCTTCGTCCATTCCCAAAAATGCCCGATGTATTCGCAAACGGCTCTCTTTACCGTCATCAGGACTTCGACTATTGCGAGAGCATGAGAAACGTCAACGTGAAGAGGTTGATGAGGAGAACGAGAAGCGCGAATATGAACGGAAAGCCCAGTGAGTGCATCGTTACCTTTTGTGTGCCTTTACTCGCCGACCTGTTTCACAGAATTTTGGAGGATACAGTGTCTCATAACTCTCGTACTCGTCGCCTGCTGCAACGCGTTGCGACGTGCATAAGGGAGTACGACTCAGTGCAGTCGAGTCTATCTAGCGTACTCGGAATGCCTTACCCAAAGGTGCCGCACGAAATGTTGGAGGCCTTCACATATGATCCGTGCGCAGTTACCGGGGTTACTCGCAGTTTGAAGGGATGGAGGGCAGTCGAGGATATTCACGATCGTATTCACCGTCAGCGGAAGACATTACGAACATTTGGGCCTGCCTTTTCCACAGATTCTATCTCGTCATCACCGGGCTCAACCCCGAGAAATATCTTTGATGACCCTATAGCCTCTCTCATGCAGTCCTTGAAGGAGTTGGAGAAACACCGTCAGCTCATCGTTCGTCAAGCCGAGAAAGTCATCGAGACTCTCGCAGGAGTGAAGAACGTGCACAGTGATGTGAAGAGGGAATACAATGAGACGTTGGCTCATACTTCACTGGTCTATCCCGAGGTAACTGTTTCTCGCTCCTATAGTTGTTTGTTGACTCTCACATACATCTTCAGCTTTCACAAATTGCAGTTCTGGAAGGGAACTACAGAAATCACTACCAACAGTTCTGGGACTTGAGCTTGGATGCATTAACACTCCTCCTTGATACCGTCACGCCATTTTGGAGGAACTACGGGAAGGTAATCGGGGAAGACGTGCAGGACTTCCTCATAATTCCTTGGTATCGGAACGAGTTTACGGGTGAACCGAAGAGATATCCCATAAAAGCATTTCCCCAACGGTCGTTCCGTCATTGGATAGGCCTTACGTGTTTGTCATTCCTCAGTTGTTGTATCACATTGCTCCAAGCACGCGCGGCGGTGACCTTGACTGTCAATTGCAACCTGCCTTGGATCACGCATTCCGGGTTGCGGTATCTGTTTTTTCCCCTTTACTTGATTGGACTTTTGATCCAGTGGTGTGCTGTGCTGGTCGAAGGTTCCATCGTCGTGGCGCAGTGGGGTGTCGTCGTTTGGTGGATGGGATGGGCTGTAAATATTTTCACGTAGGGATACCATGTGCTTGGCCTGTATCATTATACTCTTCTTTCTATTACTAATCTGTACGTGCACAAACGTGTATTATAGTAATCACATCCTTCCTTGTTGCATGTTCACAGGCAGAGCAGATGGATTTGGAACAATTGATGAAGACGGATGCAACGCAGGAGTCGCTAAGCCGGAGGGACGGCGAGATTTGTGCGCAGTATGTCCTCCAGGTGTTTGTGGAAATACATGCATGGTTGAACCTACCCATGGGCCTGCACTGCTCATGCTACCTGCGGCGACAGGGACTTGAGGGATATCGTGCACTGCCTTTCCTGCTTCGATGCATGTTCGACAGTATCCTGGGTGTTATTCAACGTCATGGACAACAATCCCGAGCACAGATACTCACGACCTCCCATCATCAATGGAACATCAGTCTGACCGCAGGACCGACATGCAATCGGGGGAGGTTGAGCAATAGCTTTAGGCTTAGAAGGTTGTCTTCGCTTTGAGGTGTTGCCTCCCATTGACCCTGTAGTATCGATAGTCACTTTTCGCGTCGCAGCCTTTCGCTTTGTTCTATCAGCGTGAACGGGGGCTATCGGCTTTGTTGCGTAAGGAGTTACGACCTGAAGCCAGAATATCAATATATGGCAGGAAACGAGGAGGACGAGGACGGACACTCTGAATCTGAGAAATGAGTGGTCCTTCTGGAAGCCGGTGCTGTAAATACGTACGTGGTGCGGCTTTCGCAGACTACACGACGAATATCAAGATAAGTATGCAGGTCAAGCATAGCAAGCTCACTATTTCCACGAGCCGTCTTCGACTGTCTTCCATACCCTGCTCACCACCCGACCAGGTTATAAGCACATCCCAGAGCGTCCGTGGTACTTTGGATAGATAAAAAGTGACAACGTCTTGCTGAACACTCGCTGCGATGCCTCCATTGCTCTGTTGCGCGTGGAAGGGCGGCTCGATGTTCGTGAACGGAACAGCCGTCGTCATCGTGATATCGCTGACCAGGATTGCAGTCGAAGTCTCATTAGTTTTCGTTCGTTCACATACCACAGGTCCACGAGGGAAGACCCATTTGTCGGACGGCCGCTCGGTAAATTCGATGACAATGTCGAAGTCCCTCCTGGTGTAAGACACCTGCGTTGGGGTCGGGCTTGCCAACGGTGGTGCAGCCAAGTTCGCCGCACCTAAAGACTGAATCAATAAACCAAGTGTTTTCATCTGGTCCGGAGTCGCTCGACCAGATGCAGCCATTTGTAGAAGGTTCGCAAGGGTGGGATTAGACAGGGAAGCGGCATTGACTTGTGAGATCAAGTCCGGGGTGACGAAAACCTCCGGTGTGGGCTGCATGTTAAAACTCTGTCCTGCCACCGCGGGTACAGACGTGCCTGGCAGCTGCTGCATACTTGTGCCTTGTGACAGGAAGTGGGTAGGATGTAGCGTAGGTGCAGGTGCGCTGACTGGTTGAGGAATGTAGTGAACCTCGTAGAATGCTGTGTTCGGGAAAGTGTGGGGCCCTATTGTCAAATCATATCTACCATGGGCCTTGATGGTGTGGGGAGGAGGAACTACGTCGGGAGGTTTTCCACCGCGAGGTTTGGTAGAAAACTTGGGGAAAATCGAGGAGAGCCACCTTCTCCGTGCTGGAACAACAACTCAGCATATGAAGACAAGGGAACGCACCAGACTAGCTTACACTCTCTGAGAGACTGTAATACGACGAGACTGAACGAAAAGAAAACGAAGTAGAAAATTCAGCAGACATGGAGTGGGGCAAACCAACTGCATACCTCTCAGCTACGCTCCGTAGCTCACGTCCCTCCCCGTTGTTGTCCTCTAATTCCCACCCAGGCATTGGGCCGACGGGCAGCTTCACTGCTTTCGACATCGCGTACTGTCCTACAACGGCACGTAAATCGGCACTCCAGTTCGTCGCGCCTTCAAGTTTGAGAGAGAAGGCTGCGGAACGACAATAGCCGATTTGGTTGAACGAAGTCACTGCCACAGGGGTCGTTCAAGTTCGCGCTGCTCTACGACGCGATTTGAACCTCGAATACAGCCTTCTTTTCCCCAGTTGCTATCATGTCTACGCGCGTTCGTAAGTCTGTTGTTTGATCATCCGGGAAGTACTACGTACAGACATCTTTTTCAGAGAAAGGCAGTACCGTCTTCAGGCCTGTCGCAAGACCTCGAGCGCATGGCTCCGAGTCTCGTCAGTCGTCCGCTGTTCCTGACTCACGCCTTTCAGTGGGCCCAAGTAGCGTCCAGCACGACCCCGTTCCCCCGAATGGTACGACGTCTATGCCACCGCCTTCTACTATCCCCTCGAAATCGCCCTTGGTAGTCGCGCAGACGCCTGAAGTAACTCGGGCCCCTCCAACCGTCGTATCTGTTGCAAGCTCCAACCGGGAAAATGCTAGACCTGTACTCGCAAACGGTGCGAGCATGATCTTACCACCTAGTCGAAACAGTAGACCCCCCCCGGTGCAGATTGCTTCCCCTTCTCGGATGCCTACCAGCACGCCTCTACGACAGGTTATTCATAACGCCGAACCTTCTTCCAGCACAGCTCTGCGACAAGCTGCGCCTGACACGGAGTTTTCTGCGAGTGCACCCAATCAACAAACTTCTGTTGATTTGGAATATGCCATCGACAATGCCACTGCCGTTGCTGCTCTTACACAACTGGCTGCTGCTTTAGAGGGCTCTCGCCAAGTTCAGCCCACTGCGGAATCCGTGGGCAGTGACAAACCCAAGCGGAAGCGGCAGATTCGCAAGTCAACTGGTGACGTGTCTGAGAGCGGGGAGGAGCAATCATCCCAACAGCCTGCGACCAGAAGACGAAAAAGCAAGCCCTCCAGTAACCCCCGGAGATCGCGCACACGCCAGCCTTCGGTACCTCCCTTCGACCCAAACGCCGACCCCGGTGAAGAGCTGGATCCCACCGTAATCACGATGGCTATGCTATGCGACGATACCGGGCAGGGTCGCGTGAGTACCAAGGCCTCGCAGATCGTAAGCAACCACGCTGCGTGGAGAGCCTCTAACAAGGAGAAGAGAGCGCGTATGAGGACACAGATGGAGGCCAAGAAGTACGGCAGGGACGCCGATGAAGAGCAGCCGACCGCAAGGAGAGCAAACGAAGAGTCTGCACAGAGAGAGCTAGCTCCTCCTATCAAATCTACTGGCTATCCTGTCGCGGGACCGTCTACCTCCGGGCCCATTGTTCCTGACGGAGCGCCTGCGCCTCCTGATGGATTTAACTACGCTGAAAATCTCGCGACTAGTCGCTATGCTGTCCGGGTCCGGATTGGTCCTAATGGCGAGACGATCATCGACGAGGACTCGCTCTTTGTCAATCGGCATGAGGAGCAAGACACTGAAGGGTACACTCACATTGAAGAGTCGGACACCACGAAATTTGTCAACTCTGGTACCTACGGCAAGAAGCTTCGCGGATCAAGATGGAGTGCGGAAGAGACTGAATTATTCTACGATGTGGGCACAATTCACAGTGTTCCGCTGCAGATGCTAATACCATGCACAGGCTCTGTCGCAATTTGGCGAGAATTACGAGCTCATCTCGTACGTACTTCCTGGTCGAGACCGCAAAGCGTGCAAGAATAAATTCAAGGCGGAAGACAAGAAAAATACCAATAGAATAACTTATTGTTTAAACAATCGCAGACCATATGGTAAGATCGTCGTCACGCGTTCCACGGACAACACTGATTCTTTGGTTCTCTCAGACATCCAGACGCTGTCGCGCATGACTGGAAAGGATTTCTCGGGGCCTACTCCTGTCATCCGGGCCCCGACTCCTGCGCGGCTCAATGATCAAGACAATGAAGGGGCCGCTGGTACTGGCGAAGCTGCTGACGCCAACGAGAAGCCCGAGACAAACGCCGAGGAGATTGTTGGTAACATTGACTCGGACGAAGAGTTACCGAACAGTCTATTTGGTGAATAGATCATGTAATGGATGACCGGAACAGTCAGTCTAGCGATACTTGACTTCTGACGGCGATGTCGAAAAAGTGTGTGTATGCGACCTTACAGCAGTGGAGTTGTTGATCGTGTTTGCTCGTGCTCAACAGTGTCAAATCATGCGGACACTAATCGCGAAATATCCGGACATCGAGAGATGGTATGAGGATGCTCGCTCGCCCCAACAGTGAACACCTCGACTGTGGTTGATATTGCACTGTCCTCGACATCCAGTCTCACAGATCTTCTGTCACTCTCCCCGGATTGTTAACTTCCGAGATATTTTGAGGCGCAGTATTGTATAAAGAGGGCCTTTGTCCTACAGACGATGCGTGCGCCATGGATATATCTCAAATCTTACTAGTGTCCGAGGTGCAACAACATTAATTACAAATGAACACATTTTTTCAACAGCAGAAGGCGCGTTAAGAACCGGAAGGATGGAGGGTCATACTCAATCTCTACAGTGAACCGCGGAAGGAACAAAGCTGATACAACGAATACCGGACTCCGAGTCGGACATACTGTGTCTCAACGCAAGAGGTGAGGTGGCACAGTGCCTCTCTAGGCTTCCGAGACTAAGAGATCATCTTCTAAAAATATGCACGCATGCATAAGCTCGTTCACCTCCCTGAGCTGATCATAGGAGGTGTTAGACGCGAGTAGCCGATGGTAGCCTACATCTTTGGAGATGTATTGGCGCGTCTGTCACACTGTGTCACATTTCACGTGACGTCACTTCCCTTTTATAATTACGAATATTGTTATTCACCAATAACAATTAATAATTGTGTTAAGATAAGTAAAGAACTATATATATTGGTTAATCCATCTTATAAGTCGCCGGGATAGCTCAGCTGGGAGAGCGACAGACTGAAGTTCTGGCGGTCGCGTGTTCAATCCACGCTCCTGGCAAAAGAACTCATTTTCTTTTGTTTGTCACTCGGATTTACGTAAGGTACTTTGTGACTCGCGTTTGTGACAATGTGACATGTGATCACATGCTCACATCGTCACGCTAGCCTGGCAAGCGTGACGATGTGGTCTCTCGTCTCACGCGGCTATTGGTCTTGTTCTGTACCTCATCTCTGTGCCTTGTCTCTGGGCGAAGATAGGCATGTATGCTGTTCGGCGTAATATAAGGTACCCATACGTTGATGTCGAAGTTTGATGGATATTCATTTCTGTCTGCGTGTCACCGCATGCGCAACATCGCAAGTCCTCTGATTGCACGTTCGTCTGACGCCGGGGTATAAATATGGTCGTTGAATGCGGCGGGGAAACCGGCTCGCTTTCGTCGATGCAATGGCTGCTTTCGTGATTCTCGCCGCTCTCTTGACCCTTCAGGCTCGCGCGTTCAACCCGTTCTTGCTCCAGTTGACAGTCCCAGATACGTACCCGAACATCTCAGCATGCGTGGGCCTTCCATCGGTCTACTCTTGCGAGAACAGCACTGCTATTCAGAACACCTGCTGCTCGCCGACCCCCGGTGGTCTCGTACTGCAGACACAGTACTGGGATACGTACACTGGTTTAGAATCGGAGGGTCAGCTCTTACCCATAGATAGTTGGACGATCCACGGCCTATGGCCGGACAATTGTGACGGGTGCGTCTGATGCTATTGCACTCTCGCTTTGTACTGACGCCTTGCGTCAGCTCCTACGAGCAATACTGTGACTTTTCCAGGCAGTACGATCCGTATCCGTCGCCTTCTGTCCTTCCGAATGGCACAATTGTACCCCCTTGGACTGGTCCTTCCGTCGCGTCGTTCCTCATCGAGTTTGGACGTCTCGACCTTCTCGATTACAGTGGGTGTGCAAGGTTGGTCCCGTGTAAATGCGTTTTCTCTCACAGTTGTCCAGTGAACAAGTACTGGATTAACCAAGGATATCCCAATTGGCAGTTCTGGGCTCATGAGGTGCGTTTACCTTGTTGCTCGAACTCTTCGGCGGTCTGATCTACTGCTATCATGCCAGTTTTCGAAGCACGCGACCTGCACGTCCACGTTCGACGTAGCCTGCTACGGACCGGACTATCAGCCGCACCAAGACGTGGTAGACTTCTACCTGGCCGTGATTCGGGCTTTCCAGAGGTACCCCACTTATACTATGCTTGCTGCGTAAGTCGTCCGAGTATATGCCAAGCTTGCACCTCGCGAGCCTCTCTTCAGTGCTGGCATTTACCCTTCAAACACTACCACGTATTCTCTGGCGTCAATTCAAAGTGCCCTCTACTCTCAGACCGGCGGTGTACCCTACCTCGGATGCGGCGGCAAGAATGGAACCATCCTCGAAGAAGTTTGGTACTACAGTCACGTCCTCGGAACGGTGCGTCATATCTTAGTATCTATATCTGCTCTTCATTGCTGCTGACTTGATTACTACAGGAACAATTTGGCAACTTCAAACCCCTGAACACGACAGATGAGTCCTCGTGCAACTCTACGCAGGGCATTTGGTACTATGAGCGCACCACGGGCGCAGAGCGCGAAGTCAGGCTACTGGCTTAGACTGAGAGACTGTACGTTGGCAGGATGAACGCAACTGCTCTATTGCATATACTTACCTCGACTCGGAGTGAATAAAACGCAACTGGAAGTAGAGTAATCGCGTGAGTAGATGCATGCGGACGTTGCGCGCCTCTAAGCTACTGGATGCCTTCCCGTAGCCGTTTAGAGACGTTCTAAAGCTAAATTTCGTCTCTAAATCACTCCGGCACGTCGGCCAATTGATCTCCGACGAGCCTGTGAACAAAGTGAGACCTTTCTAAACCTTATATCTGGAAGGGGGGGTCGACCCCCCCTTCCAGATTCTAAACGTCTCCCTAAACTATATTTTCGACCTCCGCACCCTCGCAACCCCCATCATCGCCTATATTTGGTGTTATGCATCACTTACATCATCTTGCCGTTCATCCTCTGACCGTCTAGAACTTGATTTAGTGATCATGGTCTCACGTCGTTACGGTCTCGCAAATCTTGCTGTTCCGACACAGTGGGGCATTTCGTAGTCCGCTTTATGATTTAGAAATGCTCTAAATCCTACGGGAAGGCATCCACTATTTGTATCACTCTATCACGTACCGGGGAACCATAGTAGCTAGATCCCTCACCTCTGCTGATGATTTTGTTCAAACCTCGAATCAGGTTTTCATCAATTGCTCCTAGACATCGGCCGTGTTGTACCGTTGGCCTTTATTCAACACGCAAGTTCGCCACAGGTCCTAGAGCTTCTGACGACGCAATGCCCGTTCCCGACTACGAGTTGCAGTCCTACTGGGAGAACCGGTTCAGGACCGAGTCGCATTTTGAATGGCTCGGAGACGGTGTCGCGACTATCATACCTCATTTACGGGCTTCTCTGCGTGCTCAACGAGTGTCTAGTCCTCCCCGTCTCCTGCACATAGGTGCGGGTTCCTCCTGGCTCTCTGATTGTATTTTGGAGACGTACAGGGACGAGTTTGGACAGAGTGTGGATGCGAGCATGATCGTGAACCTCGATTTCTCGGAGGAGGTAGTTCGCAGGGGTATGGACTCACAGGCGGGGGGCGGTGGTGGCATGCGATGGATACGCGCAGATGCTCTGCAGTGGCAAGACCTTGCGGCGGTGTTGGTGAGACCGGACAGCGACAAGGGAGGGTTGGACCACCCAGGACTTGAGGCTGTCATAGGATCCTTCGGGTTGGTCGTCGACAAGAGCACATCGGATTCAATAGCCTGTGCGGAGAACGTCGCTCTGAGCTCTTCCGATCCACACCTGAATCCGATAGTGAAGGCATTTCTGGAGAAAAATGCGGCGTATGCACTCAAACTTTACCCTGTCGAAGTTCTCGCGTTGCATCTCGCCAGCCTGACCCATCCCGGAGCTATCTGGATAGCGCTATCGTTCTCAGCCAGCCGGTTCGAGTTTCTTGCATCTCCAGAGAGAGTCGACACAAGCCTGAATACTATCTCGTCTGTCGAGCCCAGCCGATACTGGGTCTTGCAGCAGGTCGACGAGGTGGAAGCTTGCCCTGGGAAGGAGGGTGTCGGGGCGCCCCATGTGCAGCATTTTGTGTATGTCCTGCGCAGAACAGACTACACAGTCTTGTAGTCTCGATGAAATATACTTTCATCAACATATGATCTCTATGTAAGCATGGCTTGATTCTCGGGTGTGATGTCATTGATCATGCAGCTTTACTTCGTGCAAGGCATTTGGAATGGACACAGTCTACCATACAGGCCAGCTAGGATGCGATGTTGGAGGATACCCAACACTGTGGCTTCATCGGGCCTCTTTGACGTGTCGTGCATTGCCTTGGCTATATATCTCTGGCCTGCATGCATATACCAAGGTGTCTTAACTGCACCTCCAACTCGGAACTGACCACTTTCCAGACGATCTGTGAATGCACTTCTCGTTTTCGACGCGTGAGAGCATGGATGTTCTCATCTCCCATACACGTTTACTTCTACGCGCATAAATGGACGTGCTTCTTTAGTACTCTCATGCTTTGCCTCTCCTTCCTTGCACTCTTCCCCGATGCGGACCTTTTTTTACGACAAAATCCCTCTCTTCCACATTGTTCACAGTATACACACAAATATGCAACCTGCTTTCAATTCAGGCTATCCATTCGCGGAACAGCTAGAATCGTAAAGTCGGCCCGGGCCAACGCGTCGTGGTCACGTGATAATTTCATTATGCGACGCGACGCGACGGTGAGAGAAATTCAACATTCGCGTGAGTGGCTGATCAAGCTCTCATCCTCCCTGTCTCCCACCTCAACACTCTCAACGTAATCGCTGCATACGAGGAGGGGAGATATGACAGTCACTCTTCACCTCGACCTTGTTTCGTCCGACTCTTCTACCAGACGTAGTCTCTCAAATCTTTCATTGGCGGTGGCCAAATGTAAAAAGATAGTCGTCGTAACAGGGGCTGGCATATCTTGCTCGTGTGGTATTCCGGTACGGTTGATATTACTAAGGACGATCCAGAATTTAACAGTGTTCGGAACCCCAGGACTTTCGTTCTAGCGACGGTCTCTATGCGCTAGTGAAGCAGCAATACCCAGATGTCATACTCAAGGGGCGCGATCTGTTCGACGCGTCGCTGTTTCGAGATCCAACGTCGACAGCCGTCTTCTATACTTTCATTTCTCAATTGAAGAGATCCGTCGACTCGGCGTCACCATCTCCCACTCACCGCTTCATCAAAACGCTCGATTCAAAGCGCAAGCTATTGCGGTCCTACACTCAGAATATTGATGCGCTAGAGGAGAAGGCCGGCCTCGTAGGTAGTTCAAGCCAGGACGTGAAGGCTGCAGGGAAGGGCAAGGCGAAGATCAAAGTGAAGGCTGTCCGGAACGTGCAGCTCCACGGCGATATTCATCGCGTGCGATGCAACTTCTGCTCCGCCGAGCTTCCCTGCGCAGAAGAGTACTTGGATCTATTCGACACTGGCGTGCCACCAGACTGCCCGGAGTGCACCTCACGATGTAAGTGTTATGTTCTAGCCTGCCCTTTCCACTGAGGCTGACACTCTCCCCAGCGAACAACCGTGTCGCACGCTCAGCACGTGCCTTGAAGATAGGGAAGCTCAGACCAGCCATTGTGCTCTACGATGAGCCGCACCCTCTGGGAGACGACATCGGCAGCATGCAGTCCGCTGACATCACGCGCAAACCGGACATGCTCATCATCATGGGGACATCACTCAAGGTGCACGGCTTCAAAAAGCTTGTCAAGGACTTCGCACGGGCTGTCCATGATTCCGCACCCTCATCTTCGTCATCGTCTCCCCAGAATGCGAAGAGCATGGCCGGGAAGGTCATCTTCGTGAACAAGACCGCGCCGGGGAGCGAGTGGAATGGGATCATTGACTATCATGTAGAGGGTGAGGCAGATCGATGGGTGAACAAGGTCGTTGAAGACTGGAAGAAGATGAGGCCCTCGGACTGGGAGATCCAGAAAACGCTTGTTGCCACAGAAGAGGTGGATGGTGGTCTGCTCACGGTGACGAAGGAGATCACGAATACGCTTGCAACCAAGGGCAAAGGTACGGGCCATTTTCTCTCGAAATCTCACATATATTAAAGTGCATCCCACCTGTAGGTGGAAGGGGCAAGCAGCTTGCAGAATGGGAGAACGTCCCTCCAATGGAAGACGCGGCGGCAGCGCCTTCGCTGCCACAACCTCCTTCATCACCAGGCAAGCGCCGGCAGGACGGCTGCCACTATTCCGTGGAAAGCAGCCCATCGAAGAAGCGAGTTGCAGGTGACCGATTCGAGAAGGCTGGCTTGGAGGAACGGGGCCTATTATTCGTCGATAGCACGAACAACCGGCACTCCGCGAAGGACAGCGACGACGAGCCCTTTGACATGGGCGAGACGCCCATGAAGCCGACTGCAGCAAAGCGCACGAAGGCGCGTGCCCCGAAGATGAAGGCTGAGGTCGTGCTGCCTGCGAGGAAGGCGAAGAGGGCAGTGCCTGCTCGGTAAAAGACGTGACTCACGCTGCGTTCCGACATCGTACCAGTTGCTACACTCACAGTATTGTATTACTAAGTATATTTGCTCTCAGTATCTCAGTCACACGGATGTCCAAACCCCACCGGTATCAGGAGTGGCCACACCTAAGTGATGAAAAGCAATGCATGCTGTAAGAGCCGTGCAAACCAAATGTTAGAAATACACAAACTAGAGAGGGAGGGGGAGCAATCAGTCTTCGCATCGACAACGGGAACATATAGTAGGCACACACAGGGAATACAGAGTGAGCGCTCAATCGCTGATCAACTCAGAGACACTCCAATCCTCGAAACTCCCATCAGGGAGGTACCGTCTGATGATGAGCGGTATTTTTCGTTGCGAGAGTTCCTTGATGGCGATCTGCAATGCGTCCGTCTCGCCGTCCAGAGGTACTAGTACAGGTGCGTTCATACTTCCAGGACGACACAGCGGATAAAGATATAGCGATTGAGCCACGACATGAGAGATATTGCGCAGACGGACGCACCTTATCTGAAGCGCCCTTGTCCCCAACACCCTTGCCCGCTCATACTTTGTTAAGTAGGGCGTTGTCACTCTCAATTTGTTCGGCTGTCGCTCCCCGCGCATTCCTGCGCCTGTAGCGTTCGCATCCTGCTGCTGGGCCTGTTGAGAGGACTCCCCATTCACCATCTCCTGATCCTGTTCTACACCATTCACTCCCTCGAACCCGTTCACCTGTACGCCTTCCGCGGTTTCGCCTTCTTGTGCCTCTGTAGCAAGAAGGTCATAGTTATCACCCTGCGCTCAAGTTAATACGGTCAGTTTCAGCAACTACTGGGAGCAAAAACACGCAGGGAATACACACAAAGGGCTGCTCCTCATTGAATCTACAACAAAGTCAGCGGCCTGGCTACTATACTAAACAGACCGCTCACTAACCCCGGACCATCGTAGTCATAGTCGTCGCCTCCTCCTCCTCCACCGAAACCGTCGTCAGACATTTACAGAGAATATTAAGGGAATAAGGTACAGAGGACCCGGGAGACAAGGATGAGCAGCGTTGACACTAGCAAATTTGCCACCGCACGTTGCCGGCGGAGCGGCACTACACCTTCCTTTTGCGGATGTCTACCTTCTACGAAACTCCTGAAGGCCTGACACTCAGTAGACAGCGCCTGACACGGGAAGAAGTTTGCGACTCACTGTCTGCTTAGTTTGTGCTACTATTACCAAGTCAAAATATGCAAACTCAGCGTTCTGGCGTTCTGAGCTGTTCAGAATCTTTACGGGCTGAAAATATGGATCACGCGCGGGATCCTTGTCCTGACGCCACAAAGCATATTCGCTGTCATCCTCTACTTGAGTGTGGTGGGTCTAAACCACGTCCGCAATACTTGATCCACGACGATACTACTTACTCTGGCGTACCACTGACTCTGAGATCAAGGTGAGCGTGTCACCGCGTCTGATAGAATTAGGCATATCGACGCAAAATGCATTACTCAGACTCACCTCTGAAGAGATTCGCGGACGTCTCGTAACATCACGGAAGAAGTTCGACAGCAGTTGATTTTCCCCGTTTGGTATGCGGATACGATCCTTGGCCTGTGCAACCAACGTATTCCATGCGTCTTGTCATAAGAATGGACTACTCTGAGCGCAATTGAATGCCAATCCCCGACACTTCTGAAGCCACGGTGGTGATGTTGTGTATCCGTATCTCTGGGCCGACCACTAATCGTCTATCAAGAACAACTTGTGTCAAGACATCCAGAAAGACGCGTCGTTATGGTTGATTTTGGCCATATTCGTGCCCGGATAATTGAAAGGGGTCGTCGGCACTGCTGGATGCAATATATTAGCCCAAATGCAGATCACGGAAAGGCGCAAATTGCGACGTCGATGGGAGGAGGCCGCGGCGACGGTGTGCTCCCGGCCAGAAATGGAAGAAGTTGCTGCTGCGACAACTGTCGACGGGCAGCAGTGTGCACTCAACTCCTTCTCGGAGTTGGCCGGTGCACACCGCTCGTCCCCTTCACCTCGTCACTCATCACATCCCCCGTACAAAACTCCTTGTCTTCATCGAGTTTGTTCGTTGGAATCCTCAGCCATTCCCGCCACACACAACGACACTGACTATTTTCTATACTTGATTTCACTCACTATGCCTCCGAAATACCCAGCCCGGGAGCGTACGTGGGGCACTCGCTATGACACGCTTGGCTCCTCCCCCCCTCCTTCTCCCTCGAAACATGTCCCACCGCCTATCGCTATCCCCCACAGTCCACCTACATCAGTAGCCTTGAGCTCTGATTCGAGAGACATGAGAGACACGACTGGCGAAGGCCCCGCTGTCGTCAGCCCGAACCCAGTTCTCAAGCCCGATAAGGTGTCGCACGACGCAAGTATCTTCGTGGGCAGGTTCGTGGTTCCATCTTCCCGGTTGAAGCTGCTTCATATATCACGACCATGGCTTTAGTCTTCCATCAAACGTCGATCATGCTGAATTGACGCGCCTGCTCTATGAACATCTTTCCGAACATACTGAGGTGAAGAATGTCAAGGTGGTCCGTGATTCCAAAGGTGGCGTGTGCGCCTTTGTTCAGTGTGAGGTCGGTTCTTGGTGCCCTCTCTGCCAATATACGTTATTCATGCCACGTTCCGTTGGTTATATGTGCATCGTGGTTGTCGATATATAGGATACCTGTGTAGCTGCCCGTCTGATTCAAGCACTTCAAGCACTTCCTCCTCGCCCATTTCTAGGCCGTATCCTTCGCTATGAGCCTGCCCGGGCTTTCAGAACTCTATTGGTTTCGTACCGGTAAGATCTATCGTTCGTTCGTCAATCCTCGCGCACCAATCCTGTTTTACACAGTCATTCCGTAAAACACAGGCCGATCATTGGAATAGATGATTCTTCAGATGGCGGTGTACAACCAGAACCTGCCTATGCAATGCGGCTTTATCGCCCTCGCAACGCTAAGTCCGTGTTTTGCGTGCAGACGCTTAGATGCGTGAAATGTTGACTATATGCGTCAGATACTTGGCAATATTGTACAACGCTGAGGCTCTCAACCTAGATGCGTCCTCAGAAGAATCCCTATCCGATAATACTGTCTGCCAGGACAGCTTCACCGGAGAGGGCCTTCTTTTGACTTCATGCAAGTACGATGCTGAGGTCAGTCTTCCAAATTCTTAATCGCATGTTCAGTTCGATGAAAGGAATATAACACAGACCCTCCGTACCCTCGCTCAAGCATTCGGAACAGTTGGACAATTTCATCCCTACGATTCTGATGCTGAAGGTCGGTGACACTGTCCTCGGCTCGGATGTCCGTACTTGATCTGAACCAAGGTGCGGGAACAGACAAACGGTACCCTCATCCTCACGATGGTCCTCGCTCCCCGGATATGGATCCCAATGTGTGGGAAGTCAAATGGGACCATCGGGACGATTGTGTCAGCGCTCTAATGGTAGGCTTCTCTTCATCTTCCCTTCTACTAGGACGTATCTGATGTATTGATGGTCCTGTAAGACCCTACGCCGCATACCATTCATTGCTGTTAGTTGGGCTCACCATGCAAGTCTTACATCCGGGCCCATCTCCGATTTACGGAAATCAAGTTCTCCGTTTTTCAACCCCCGCTTCTCCCCATCCTCGATGCGGACTCGGACGATATCACAGCATCATCCGGGTCCTGTGCACGATTTCCAGCGACTTAGGATCACCGAAGAGTATGCGTCTCCGAAGTACGAATCTGGGGCTGGGGCGCATCTACAGGCATCGTCGTCTCCTCACATGACGCTCTCTCCTGCATCAGACTCGTGGGCGTTCGCACATAGTACGCCCTTTCTAGGCACTTCGTCTTCTCTCGTTCCTCGTGTCCCAGAGCTGCAAGGTTTTCGTTCAGTTGCTGGTCAACGGAGGAGTCCGAAGTGGTCCGAGACTGATTTCCCTCCGCTCGCTGAAATGGAAGGAGCAGAGGGACATGGAAAAGACGTTCGCCGTTGGGGTGACCGTGATCCTCAAGAGGCCAGTATCGATGAACTTGAAGGCGGATCCGCTGTGTCCGACTCACCATCATCCTCTCTGTCCGTCAACGCTTCGACTCCTGTCGCCGAATATGTATCGCAGTCACCGCGTGTGCACGAGCGAAACCTCGTTCAGTCTCAGGCGCCCGCATCGTATGACCCAGGCAGACGACAAGACATAAACAGTGTGCCTCCTACTCCAGACTTCTGTGTCTCCCCCATCACTCCACTTACGCCTAGAACTGGCCACAACTTTCCTCGTACACCAACGAGTGCTGCAGGCATGGAAATCATGAGCTATGCTGACCCTGCTCAACGCAGCTTCAACACGCCTCAAAACGGCAAGAAGTCCGAGGGAAGAGAGGACAACCCCTGGTTCGGAGACAGTGGCAGAGAAGTTGATCGGACCACTATCTTCGTCGGTGGCCTCGAAATGTACGGGACAAATACTTGGGACGAGACAAAGCTGCAGAGCTTGTTTGGACGATTTGGACACATTGAAGACATTCAATTCGTTCGTCCATGTAAGATATTGGCGCATCTGTGTTGCGTGTTTATGGGCTTACTTATCACCAATTCGCAGTGAATAAGCGTTCAGCGTTTGCTTTCATCAAGTTCGATAACACTGAGTCGCCAGCCCGTGCTGTACTCGAAGAGGTACTTCTCCTTGTCGATGAAGTAACCCGTGGCTAATGTTCGTTCTACCTGCAGCACAATCGTATTCACAATGGGCGGCAGATCCGCGTACAACTCCGTGACACTAATCCTCCGCAGCGCAGCCCGTGGAGGTACAGTCGTGGGCGGGGCAGATTCCCTCATGCGGGTCAAACCCGTCCCCACGGTGGCTATGCTGGAGGGAGTTACGACGGGTTGAGTCTGGACATCGGAGCTCGTTCTACTGGGACACCTTTGGATCCTATGCTCCTAGCTGCGGGACAGCCAGAAAGACTATCCGATAACTCGTTTGCGGTGGCAGAACCGACTTTTCTGAATCACGGTGGGCCGTTTTCGGATGTGAGAGGCGCCGATCACAGTTGGTTATCCCGTCCTGGTGCGCATAGCCAAGTTGGATATGCAGAATCTGCGGGCGCGGGCATTCCTTCGGACACCTCGAGCTCGACAAAAGTATCTTCTTCTCAAGCCGACGCTCCTGGCGATTTACACTCCGATACACTTGATTCCTTGACGCCTCCTCCTCCCGCGAGTATTGGTGCTGGTTCCTCCATGGACAGCATTCCTGCTCCTATGCAGCAATACACAATGACCAATATGGGATACTTTCCGCATCAACCTTGGTTCCATTCTTACTCTCCTCAATATTCTTATCCTGTTCCCTTCGTTCATGGCTATCCAGGTTATCCCGCTCCTCCTGCTCATGGTTTGCCAACGTTCGCCGGATCGGATTCCGCTAATGCTCATATGGGAGGGCAGAACCCGTGGGTGAACATGTACAAGGTATATATTAGCCTCCTTATTACAGCTGCGTGGTTAACGATTCCTCCAGCCTATGGTTCCCTACGCACCCTATCCTACAGTTGCACCGGGTAACGACCAAATTCAGGTGCCTCAGTCGAACATGCAACCACCTCTGAGACCGACCGGCTTCATTCAGGGCGAGCATGGCACTTTGATCCCAGTCTACCAGCCAGAAGCATTAGATCAATACATGTCGAATACTCAGCACACCCAGTCCCCTCCTCAGGGCCCGACGCAGGGACAGCCTCCTCTAGCATGGCCGCACTATCCACAAGTTCCTATGTATCCGTATGCAGTGCAGTCGCAGCCCATGGCTCCCTCGTCTTCACAGCAGACGCAGTTGGCTCAACAGCGCGGTTGGATTCCTAGTCCTGCGCCCTTTATATATCCGGCTCCGCATCAGCCTCAGGGACACGGTCTTCCTGTTCCTTATATCCTTCCTCCAGGATCATCGGGCTCGCTCAGTAGTTCTTCCTCGTTCCGTGGGTCATACACGGGTGCTACACAGAATATTCATCAGTTCGCGCACCGCAGCACTCCCCCTCCGAAACCTTTCAACCGTCGTGAACAGCATCATAATCCCGGGTTCAACGGCAACCGTGCTGGTCACATGCGACCCTCTCCTCATCGTGCTACGAGATTCAACGACACCGCGACCACAGCTCCCTACGGTATCGCTGATTCCTAGGGACTTGTCCGCGCGGGAGCCATCCTCATATTCGATGCTATGCCATGTGTTGTCGGCGCCCATCCACGTCTTCTGTGTCGTACTCTCTCAAACGGTCGTCTTCTGGTTGTTCGTCTTCTATCCGCATATTTAATCCGTTTTAATCTCTGTGGACGTCAAGTTATCTTTTTATGGGACGTTCTTCATATTTTCCTTCATCTTCGTGTCTCCGTCATCTCTCTCGTTTTCTCCTCATCTGCATCACGCATAACCTCCTCTGGATCGCAAATATGAAGCCAGAAGCTGTGTATCAAGATAAGATACTTCGCACTAATTACTCCCCGTCATCCCTGTTTATTTATCGAGTCATCCTTCAGCTGTGGTAAACCTATGCGATTCAGTTTCTTTGTGTCGTTCGTGCGCTAAATCGTCCAGCCACAGCGACCGGTGATCGTTGCGATCGAAACCGTCTCCAGTCGATCGGTTGTTGATTCGCATCGCATGAGTAGAACGTCATGCTTCCGCATGTGGTTGTCAGCCACTCCTGGCGTGCCCGTGAGCTGACATGGGGACTTGATGGACCAGAGACGCAACAGTAATTATCCTATGTCTCATGAGTCTCGTTACCGGTGATACTGGGATGGCCGGCAGCGGCAAGGCTACTTCTGATCATGAAGCAGATCCTGTTCCCCTGGTTATCGCAGAAGGTTTTCTGTGCAGCGCTGGCTTTATAGTTTGGGGAAACTTCCAGGAACATTCAGACTATATCGGCAGGCTACATGGGAAGAAGGAGCGCATCACGATCTTCGCTAGATGAACTTTATCTCCGCCATTCAATGAACAAAGTTCCAAACCTACTTTTTTAAATTCAGAGTTGGTCCTGTGAGCTCATTGCATGACCGAGCTTGCGAGATATTCTATGCCTTGCTGGGAGGCACAGGTGAGTGGCCAGTTCACGCGTCGCATGCCGCGGTCCCATCTTCTGGATTAGTTGATTATGGAGGGGAGCATTCCCGGCTTAACGGACATGCGCGCCATGGTCGCACTAACTCGAGCGGCCTCTACCCGCAATGGTCCAAGAAGCCTTTGCACTTTCTCGGTCACTCATCGGCGTGAATGTTACATTTATGTATGGCAAGTTTCTGACCGACTTAGTCCGTTTTCAGGGTGGGCCGACTGCAATGGCTCATGACTATAGTGTTCTTCGGGAGAGATCTGCATCCCGACATGGTGCTCTCAGTAACCACAGGTGCATCCTTGGATTGCGTCCGCTAGTTACTCGCTAGTAAACTTCCAGTTTCTAGTCCTTTCCGCGATTCCCAATTGGTTTACACGCTCGGCGAGCACACGGATAATGCGCCAGCCGTCCGCCCTTTCTCCCTCGGTTCCGCGTTGGCAAAGTGTATACACCTCGTGTCGTACTTCTCACCGCTGATCGGTGGTGTTGTCGACCTCCATGCCGAGGCCCGCGCTCTCTCCTACGAGGATTCGTCGTTCGCGTCTCTGGTGGGACAGTTGTGGCGTGGTGATTGGGCTGAAAGTCGCGATGCCACTCCGTTCGACATTCGAAGCCGCGGACGAACGGGAGGGAAACTTTGAAGGCGTGATAAATGCGCACACATACTACCGCAGCTACGCCGTGAACACGATTAGTCTTTAAGCGTGTCTGTAAGGTTCTCCTTAGCCAGTATGAGTCTTCACAGGTGGAAAAGAGGAGCGCGACATCGTCGTCCTCGATCATTCCTGCCTTGCTCCGCCTCGTCTCCGCTGCTCTCTTTTATTAACCGTCCAAAGCCATGCAGTCGCCCAACTTCCGGACCATCCAGCCACCTCCCTCTTTCTCCAGGTGCCATGAAACCAAGAAGCAAATCAGTCAGAGCATCAGAGCATCCAGATGACGCCGAGCATGCCATCCGTCCCAGGCTTCTTGATTCGCAAACCGAGAGTACGGTATATCGGGCGAACGACGGCGTAGTCTCGCTCTTCTCGCAGTGGCATCCCTTCCGGTGCAGGTATGACGTATCTTGAATCTTCTTCTCACATCCTCATATATTGGTATGTTGCAGCGCGACGCGGTGTAGACACTTTTCTGCAGAGAGCAAGACGGATATAGCCGCACTCGGCGCGGAGAAGTATCGAGGGAACGGCGCACCTGAGAGCGGGATCTGGCACGTCCATCATATCGACGACGCTCATCATCTCTCCTTGGTTCCGCTGTGGCTAGGCACAGCGCGCCAGAAGCTGTTCTGGAGAGACGTAGGACTGTGGCTTTCAGCTATTGATAGGGAGACGGAGGTACGACGCTAGCAGCTGTAGCAGTGCTTGTGGCCGGCCACAGACGTAGATACCGCATACTTTGCCTCGGGTGATTGGAAGCAGCAAGCACGTACCATGAGGTAGACGAGCGTTGCAACAGCAGAAGAGAAGGTGTCCTTACAGATGATGCGGTCCTGCATAGAATACATAGGTACAACGCGGAGCCAGGAAGTAGATACATTGCAGTCCGCAAAGAGACAAGTCCAAAGTCAGAGCCAATGTCCAGGCTGATGGGTGTAGTCGTCAAAAAACGGATATGCGTCGTGAGTAGGTCGGGTATCGGATGTATACAGGATAAGGCGAAGAGTGTACAGTGCAGCACTGCTGCGTCAGATCGGGGTATTCATAGGAGAACGAAGATATAGAGAGGTCATAAGGCATGTGTAATTATCATTACGTCGTCGACATTAGATATCGCAAACTAAGATTCTGACTGGAGAAGCTGCCTGTCAGCACACAGCAAACTCTCAGAGCCGCAAAACGTACGGGTACATGTAAGTAAGGTTATGGTTTCTTGCCAGTGAACCAAGACAGGCCGACGCTGCCTACTCCACTGATGTATACCCGTGCTTGGAGGCGGCACACCTGAGGAACGACAAGCAACATTGGTGAGATTGCGACGATAAAAAAGAAGATCGCATGGCGTACAGTGTCAGCCACCTCCGCCTTCCGAAAGTCAATGTAGAGATCACCGCTTGGTGCCCTCGTAATAGAGTTGAGTTCCCCGAAGGACTGCAAAGGCGATGAGCGGACAGAATCTCTGAAGGTAACTACACCACGATACTAACCTCGCACCACTTCTTCACGGCTTCGAAGCGGGACTCGTCATTGAGCGGAATCCCGCTTACGATAAGCTTCCTCTTCTTCCTCGACTTCGGCGTTCCCAGGATTCCAGGGACAGATCCATGGGACGCCATGCTCCCAATGGGCATCTTCAGCGAGAGCGGAATGCGGACGGTGCTGTGCTTATCCTTATCCTGCGCGAGGACCTTGGTGGAGTCAGGCGGGTCGTTCAGGTGCGTCGCGTCGACGGGCAGAGACCAGAGGGATGATGCGGAGTTTAGGAAGACGGAGGGCGGGTGTCCACGGACCGAGCCCAAGTCCCACTTGCGCGGGGTGGTGGGCGTGTCGAGCGAGGTCCGAGTCTGGGTCGTTGTGGACGACTGCGTGACCGAGGACGAGGTGCTCGGGCGCGGTGGATACGCGTCGCTGGCCCTCTCTGTATCTGAAGGGCTAGCGAAGTGCCCCATCACCGCTCTTCGCTTCATCTTCCACGGGGGTTGCTGCCGCGGGGGGGTATCCAGAGAGAATACACGAGGCTGAGAGTATGTAGTAGATATACTTGAACCGGGGGCGTGTCGATTGCTGGGATCCTGGCGTGAGAGTGCTGAGGACGCCGGACTGTGCACCCGAGGAACATCAGGCACGGAATTCAGGTGCCGACGAGAACCAAAGGGCAATTGGAGACCGCGTAGCGGGGATGTGGGGCGTGACGCGTTCGGTATCTGACGAGCAGGCGAGCCCTTCGGTGGTGTCGAAGGTTCATTTCCAGGAGGAAACGAGGATGACTGGAAGGAGTCACGCGCGTATTAGACGCGTCGAAGTCACATGCTGGTTGGTACGCACCTTCGCGTCGGACACGCGTTTGGCCATTTTTGTCGCAGGTTGGTCAAGGAAGCCGTCGCCTCCCGTGGACGACTTGTCATCCTGGATGAGAAGCGAGGGCACGCTGAGGTGAGGATACGCGAGGTAGGGATGGCACACGGTGGGCACGCCCCCTAGTTCCTCCTCCTCAACGTCTGAGGTGATGGTGTGCTGCTCCTCGACCCATCGCTCGATGCGACTGGACCTGCGATGGAGATGTGTCTTGAAAGCGCGAATGGTGGAGGGATCGTGACCCATGTTGGTACTGGGCTTAGTATCCGTAAGAGGCTTGGAGGGGGACGATAGGTGAGCTGAAAATCGCTGTGAGTTATATGGTCAGGTCTCCACTGTTCGGACGCCACATACGTTGAAGGGTAGTATTCATTCTGTCAATGTAACGCACGGTAGAATTAGATTAGGTATTGGGATCGCTATTGAGTTGTTATCTTCGTCGGTCGCGTGGAAGGTCGTGGAGTTCGTCGTTCGGGTCGTGTTGATAGTTGACAAGTCGTGATGTTCAGTGCATTCTCTACTGAGGACGGACTGCGACGGATGTTGAGGTGAAAAGCAAGGAAGACGGGGGGAAGGAAGCGTGTGTAGGAGAGGGGGTGAGGCAGAAAAGCGGGCCTGCTGTTGGCAGGATGAACTAGAAGAACATGTGCGAGCATGGCGCGACGGCCGTTGGGTCAATTTGACGTACCGCCTGAAACGTGTTCAGCCAGATCTCTTTGCACAGCTCGCTGGCGCTCCTGTTTATCCCCCTGACATCGATAGCCGTATCTTCGAGTCGTGTTTTCCGCGAATGGGTGTATGTGGGTGCGTAATGATATCTACCAGCCCACGTACATTGCACCAAGGTTCGCAGCTTCGAACAGACAGAAGGACGGACTGGTGACTGCGATTCCGGCACACGCTACACGAGCAGTGGTGGTTCACCGCCTCGTTTTCACTAACAAAATGCTGCAAGTGAAACTGAAAATAGATACGATATCCTCCGTGCTATCATGGCGTTCCGCTCGGGCAACGTTCCGATGCACATGATCATGTCGATGGTCTGCTCTCCGAGACAGCTCATTCATTTCAATCAGATCCTTGCGTGTACGCCTTTGATGTAATGGAATGCCGAGTGTATTATCGATTGCCTCACGTTCCTTGCAGTAGATGTCGGTATTCGTGCAGGGACCAGAACGACTTTCTCCCCGGTACGCACGTACGCGCTTCCATTCTTCTCGGGTGGAAGCAGGTACACGTACGAATACGCATTTGGAGTAAGTTTCGAAGAGGAAATGGTGTTCCATCTATGATTCTGCAACAGCATGTCAGCACATGCCTGTCGTAGAGCACTGCATGACCTACAACCGAATTCAAACGGAACAGAATAGGCTATCCGGTACATTAAACAAGGACTCAGTTGCCTTGAAATACATGTGATGACGTGGGCTGGCGTAAGGATACATTTCATTTGCTGTAAATTCTGATCGCCATGAGTCAGCTTTTTCTTGCCGCTGACGATGGAGAAGCGGAACTTACCGTACACGACGCAATGGAAGCTAGCTATGAATATCGATGACACCCATGTCCCCTGCGTATTCTTCATTTGAAAATGTTTGTAAGATTTTGTCTGTGATGGCCTTGAACAGCGGCGCCGTAGACGTTTTCTGGTAGCGATACAACAGCTCAAATGATTGATGGCTGCCTGAATCTGCGATATCCTCCGCAGATGCTGTGTCCTCAGTTTGCGTGGCATCCAGTAGAGAGACGAGCTCGGTGTCAACGGGCAGACTACCGAGGAAGGTTAAGCCCTCGCGCCTTGCCATCTCCTTCCCCCCTCCTGTGGAGAAGACGTTGCTGATCTCGCCACAGCATGGGCAGACGTATCCACTCATGTTCTCAATGAGCCCGAGTAGAGGTATAGAAGTAGTGCGAGTGAAGGAGAGACACTTCATAGCATCCAGTAGGGCGACGGCCTGGGGCGTCGTTACGATAACGGCCGATATCCGAGAGTGCACAGGGGCCATGTGTTCCACGAGCGACAGATGCTCGTCAGAGGTGCCTGCACACGAACGTAAGAGCGGCCAAGCACAGACAGACGGACCACGCACCAGGCGGTGTGTCGATGACGAGATAATCGAGGTCTCCCCACCGCACGTCGCTCAGAAACTGCCTGATCATCGCGTTCTTCTTCGGGCCCCTCCACACTACCGAGTCCTCCTTGCGCTTCAGCAGGAAGCCCACGCTCATGCACGCGAGCCGCGCCGCGCTCCCATCCGCGTAGACGGGCACCCACCCGTCGCTGCTCTGATGCACCGGGTGCCCGTCGAGCCCCAGCATGCGCGGAATAGAGGGCCCCGTGAGGTCGACGTCGAGTACGCCGACGCGCGCGGTGGGTGAGGACGCGCGGAGGGAGAGCGCGAGCTGCGTCGAGACGGAAGACTTGCCGACACCGCCTTTGCCCGAGCAGACGATGATGATGTGCTTGACGTGGCGGAGCCGTCGGGCGACGGGAGTGTCCTCGACAGCGGCCATGGCGAGCGGGAGGGTGTATGGTAGATTTCTCAGTCATCTTCCTCTGCGATCGCGTATGTCATGGAGATCATCCGTTTATGGAAGGTGTAGTAGTCAGACCAATTTATTTTATTTTATTTATTTATTGGCGAAGCTACCATTATAAGTAGACTGCCGCACGACCAAGGTGTGTGCGGCTGGCTGCTGGCGAAGCACAAGTAGACAAACGAACCTTGGTAATAACGAGTAGTACAACGGGAAAATGGCAGCGATAATGATACATCGACGTCCCAGCAACTATCCAGGACTAGAACAAAGCAGATGTCACACTCGGAACAACTCTGGTTTCATATTCCTGCGCAAGGCGACCGACAGTCAGAACAATTTAGCGAGAACTAGGAAGAAGGCTGACATTTTACAGAGTCGTGCCATAAGGCCACCGAGCTGGATGAGAGTGCCCACGCCCTCCAAGATACGCATGTGTGTCCATCCAACCTCCTAGTCACAAATTAATATGGTGCAGGTAGGTCAGAGATCAATGGGACTACCTTGATATACTCCAGCTTCGTATATTCGGGTATCCTGTCCGCGAACATCAGTGATGGTTCTAGCTGCGGTCAAAGTGCGACCTACTCGTCGAAGGTCTTCACCACCCTGAATATTGTGACAACAATGTCCACGGCGCTATACCCTTGATCCCACAGCTCATGCAGTTTCTCCATGGCGCCGTCTATGTTGCCCTTTAGACACGCCCGTATGATTGCCTGCACGACAATTGGGTGGGGCTGGTCGCAGACTTTGAAGACGTTGTCGCCGGATACGAAACCGAAGCCAGAATACGTCGATTGCAGGTTGTTAATTGCCTGACGCATATCACCCTCTGCCGTGAAAATGAGAGCTGTGAGGCCATCGTCATTATACTTGACCTAAAGCGGTAGCAAAAATCAGACACTGCAGTCTATACGCCTCAGCAAAGACACATACTTTCTCCATCTCACAAATTTCGAGGAGACGCTTCAGGATCTCCGTATCGCGCAGCTTCCCGTATCGCAAGATCGCACATCGACTTTGTATGGGCTCTATAATCTTATTTGACATGTTGCATGCCAATGCGAACCGCGTAGTGTTCGCGAAAATCTCCATAGTACGGCGCAGTGCCTGCTGTGCCCCCGGTGTCATGCTGCAACGAGGTCAGTCCATCCAATGTTAATAGCAACGGGTAGGGGAGTACCTGTCTGCTTCATCGAGAATGACAATTTTGTGCCTCCCTGGCGGAAGCGTGACTTTCTTCTGCGCAAAGCCCTTGATTTTGTTCCGAACGACGTCAATACCTCTATGACCGTGGTCGTAAGTCTTGTGGCACCAAGCAAAGCAAGCAACGCACCTCTCGTCCGACGCATTCAACTCCAAAACACCTTCTTTGTACGCATCGCCTAGCAACTGATGTGCCAAACAGTGTATGCTTGTAGTTTTTCCTATACCTGGCATTCCCTACAAGGCAACCGAACTGAGCCACATGGCAAGAAGGTCACGAAGGAACATACAGATATAATGATGTGTGGACAGTTGCCGTCTCGAGCTATAACTTTCAAGCGTTCTATCGTATCCGAATTGCCAACTACGTCGTCTAGCACTTTTGGTCTGTACTTCTCTACCCTGAACGCAGACGTCAGACGGCTTTACAGAAGACCAGATGAGTCATACGCGCCATGGCAGTTCATATGGAAGATCTGAAGAGTTTCCGTTGGCCGGAGCTTTGCCTTTAGCAGACGACGAGGCCATGGACTCTGGAGGCGGGATGAGGTGGTGGACAAGGAACGCGTCGCATGTGACAGGACGCGCCGGAAGGCGCGTGACCGTCACGCTCAACCCTTGACCGGAGACTGTCACGCTGACTGCGATGCCTCGACTCCCTACAGTTCTTTGTCAACTTGCTGCGAGGCGATTCTGTGAGTCTCAGACGTCCTTTCTATGTATTATTACATTAAAATTGGCTTGAGGCGTCAGAGTTCGCGCCTTCGCTTCCAAGGCAGACCCGCAAATAACAACCGAGCTGCCCAAAGCTCGTCTGGATTACCGACACATATCCGAGAATGCCGTCTACAAGTCACACAATGCGTTCAATCGCAAGTCGTTACTCCCTGTTGGAGCCTTACAAACTATAGCCCGACTCTACGGGGAGCAGAGACAGCTGGGGTCGCAGCTGGGCAAAAAAAAACATGTCCGCAATGCGATTGGCGAGCGTGTACGTACCAGTTCACACGACCCTCAGCTAAAGCAGGCCGTGCTCGATGAGGCGAAGTCTTTGAAGGCGGAGATCGCAGAGATCGAAGACAAGTTGTCGGAAGTCGAAGACGAGCTGTACCGGCTTGCCTTGGCTATTCCTAACGATACTCACCCAGAATCACCAATCGGCCCAGAGTCTGCAGCTGCGGTTCTGTCGGTATATGGCCCGGATCCACTGCCTGCTTCTCCTTCCAGAGACCACGTCGCTATCTGCCGTGCCCTTGATCTCATCGACCTTGAGGCAGCTGCTACTGTGACAGGTTGGTCGTGGTACTACCTCAAGAACGAAGGGGCGCTTTTGGAGATCGCATTGATCAATTACGCTCTCAGTCTTGCCATGAAGCACGGGTTTACTCCCGTTACCACGCCAGACGCGGTGCGCGCCGACATCGCATACCGCTGCGGATTCCAGCCGCGTGACCCAGACATCAACCCGCCCGTCTCGCAAATGTATCATATCACCAACAGCCTCGTCGCCCCGTCTGCCGCTGGAGAAGTCACGCAGCCTCGTCCAGGCCTCGTACTTGCAGGCACAGCAGAGATACCCCTCGCTGGCATGTTCGCCAACAAAATTCTTTCTCCGCGAGAGTTACCTATCAAGGTTGTCGGTCTTGGTCATGCATTCCGTGCAGAGGCTGGTGCTCGTGGGGCCGACACAAGAGGGCTCTACCGCGTCCATCAATTCACAAAGTTGGAACTGTTCGCGGTCACAGAGGCAAGTGAGAGTGACGACATGATGGAGGTTATGAAGCGCCTTCAAACTGAGATATGCAAGAATTTAGGTTTCCCGTACAGGCGAGTCCTCAAGTCAACGCAATCAGCTCAAGTAGAATCTGACATTTGGCCAGAGTTCTCGACATGCCCACCGAAGAACTCGGTGCTAGTGCGTACCGGAAGTACGACATTGAAGCCTGGATGCCTGGCCGTGGCAGCTGGGGAGAGATATCTTCCACATCAAATTGTACCGACTACCAGGCCCGCCGTCTGCACATCCGCCATCGGAAACCCGTTCCAGCGGGCAATCCAGCTGTAGCACAGTCCACCGACTCTCCCACACCTTCAGATACTGCTGGATTACCGTTCGCTCATACGCTAAACGGTACAGCCGCTGCCGTTCCCCGACTTATCGTCGCGTTGGTGGAGAATGGGGCACGGTTTAACGAATCCGGAACTGCAATTGGAATCGACCTGCCACGTTGTCTGCAGCCGTTCTGGGTGGTAGGAAGCCAGAGGGACATCATACGATGGGTTTGACAGCAGCTTCGGTTTCGTGTCATGTTAGTAGCACCTCTATTCCACCGGATTGCAGTATGGAGCGACCGACTCAGGCCGTGTCCTGAATAGGCTGCGTTTCCATTTGTCTTGGTTTCACCAAGCTCTGAACGATCGTGATTTGACAAATGAACGTGCGATGTTACACTGAAATGTTCTCGTATAAAGCCGGAATGCCTATAGGAGTCGCGACTACCTCGACGGCGCAAATCCGCGGGAGACGGTATCAAATTCTCCTCCTGACTTGTATCAGCTGGGACTTCTAAGCTTCTTGGTTGCACCCCATTTCGTAGCAGATGACTTCAGCCTGGTCCAGGTGGCACGAGGAGCCTCCAGCCTGGATGAGTACTCTTCCGAGTGCATGGCTACGGTTCAACCAGCTGTTTTCCACCGCGAACTGTCGTCACTTTCTCCTATGTGTGCGGCCATAAAGGGGTCTTTCGTGTTGCATCATTCCCTTCAGTCGGTTCCCGATCGTTCGAACGAGCTCGAGACATGACGCATTAGATCACCTCTGGCCGCCTGCACTCCACGGTTGACGAGGACCCTCTCATATATAAGACCTGGTGGAGTCAACCGGAACCCAGCTCATCTGAAGTACCTACCTACCACTCACATACTCTCATATCACCAAAATGTCTCTTACTCGCTGGTTCAACGAGCCTTTCTATGGTATGTCGGACTTTGATCGTATGTTCGATGATGCCTTCACTCGCCGCGCCACGGACCTCGGCAGCCTTCGAGAGCACGGTGGTGCGCGCGGCCTAATGCCGAGGTGCGTGATTTGTTCTTTCTACAACGTTCCGCCTTCTGATCGTACACGCGTAGGATGGACCTCCATGAGGACACCAAGAGTAACGTCGTCACCGCTTCATTCGAGTTGCCCGGTTTGAAGAAGGAAGACGTCGACATCGACGTGCAGAACAACGTCTTGACGGTCTCCGGCGAGTCTAAGATGTCTAGCGAGCACGAGGAGAGCGGATACACCATCCATGAGCGCCGCTCGGGCAAATTCACGCGGGCGGTCTCCCTCCCGCACGGCGTGAAGGTGAGTGATACGTTCTTGTCCAACTCCTTGAAGGCTAACACACATCTGAATAGCCGAACGACATCAAAGCGCACATGGAGAATGGCGTCTTGACGGTCTCCTACCCCAAGGTGACCCCGGAGGCAAGTGTAAAGAAGATCGCCATTTCTTAAGGGTTGTGTCGAGTCGCAGGATGTATCTTCGAGCGGTGTAAGATACTTAGTGTACGATAACTTGTCGAGCGATTCTGAAGCAAAATTGATTCAAGTCCTCTGGCCTTTGTCTGTCTGAGACTGCATGGATCATTTCGACGATATACCTGAGTCGTTTACGGCTTCAAAGCTTCAAGACCCGCTCTCGTCCGATGACGAGGACGAGAGGGCGTAAGCGGGGAGCACAGATTGGCCGCCGGCGGTGGAGGCGATAAGAGCTGATAAGATTACACGGCGCATCATGGCTTGATTCTCCACTCCCACTGCTACCTCAACATTAATGTCTGCCATGCAGCTCGCGAAACAAGCGTATACCGCCTTCAATCGCGAGAAACCGCACGTATGTTCCTCGCATCGTCAGCGGAAGTGATCTCAATACCCAATCTTGTAGTCTTCCATCACCGAATGGATCGAGATCCTGACGACAACTGAGTATGAAGACGAAGCTTACGATGGGTATGTATCTGCATTGAGTCACTGACCCTGTATACCATACTCACATTACTCCGAGTTCCCTAGGATTCCAGAGGTCGTCGACTCCATTAACATTCAGGCTACAGGGTGAGTTTCGTTTTATCCGCAGCACACACCGCTAATCGTTTGGCGGATAGTCCTGCGGAGGCATCCAGAGCTATTAGGAAGAAGCTCAAGCACGGAAATGCTCATCAGCAATACCGTGCACTGGTTGTGAGCACACTTTCTCTTTTCCTACGACCCTCGGAATTATAACCTTCCCGATCGACTAGATTCTGAGAGCGATCGTCGAAAATGGCGGCCACAAGTTTCAGAGTAAGTTCTTCGCACGCTGAATCGGCTTACCGGGTGATAACAGAAGCCAACTGCTACTCCAGCTTCGTTCGCCGACTCACAACTTACCGACGCCATAAGGACTATAGTGTCCGATGCTTCCACCGACCCCAAAGTGAAGAAGAAAGTCATCTCTGTCCTCTCTTCATGGCATTCCCAATTCAAGGATGACCCCGACATGCAGCTCGTCGCCGGCCTTGCTAGGCAATGCAGAATACCCGATGTGCAGCGCGAGGCGCATCGAATTCAGGCGCACAAGCAGGCAATGGAGACGGAAACGGAGGAGAGAAAGAAAAGAGAAGAAGAGAAACAGCAGAAAGAGGAGGAGAAGCGGAAGGCGAAGGAGAAGGCGAAGAAGGAGCGGGAACGAAAGGAGGAGGAGGAGAAGCGAAAGAAGGCTGTTCGCAGCAAGGTCAAGAGAAAGGCTTTCGATTTTGAACAGGTCAGACATATCTAAATTCATTTGTGAAACGTATTACTGAACGGCGCATGTAGGAGAAGCCCCAGATTCTGATTGCCATCGCGAATGCATCGCAAGCCTCCAATAATCTTGTCAATGCTATCACTGTGCGCTCATATTACCACACGTGATTTATATCCTCACTTTGTCGTAGCTCGTCGACACTGCGCATGACAGTCTTCAACGCAACGAGCGTGTACAAGATTGCCTCGGTAAGGCCAAGCTGGCAAGGAAGCAAATCGTGAGATATATTCAGGTGACGTCGGCTTTGAAATTCATTCACGGTACCGTACGTTAAAATCCATTTCGCACTCTAGCTCGTGGAGAACGAGGACGTAATAGGCACACTCATCGAGTCCAATGACCGCATCATCGCTGCTTTGGAAAGTTATGACAGGGTTCGTGCCGGTCATGTTTCCTTATTCTTGCTGTAGACTTACTGCTACCGTGCAGCTCTCCAAGCCTAACATTACCGAGACGGACGTGAAGGATGTTCAGGAAGGTCTTGCTGCTGCCAAGCTCAATGACTCCGAACTCGGAAAGCTTCAGGAGAAGCAACGTGCGGCGGTACAACGATCCCTTGAACGCGCTGGTTCGTCTGCCCAGTTATACGAGAAAGATAGGGATACAGGCACTGCAGAATACGTGCATCCTGACTTACAGGATCTGAATTTCGGGCTACTAGGTGCAGAGGAGAAGTGCGTATGCTGCACGGACTGCTGATATCATTGTCACCGTTGACACTCTTGATGCATAGAAATCTACCCCCACCATTGCAGCCATCTGCCCCACGTTCTTATGACGACGACAAGTGGCGCCGAGGTTCCCTCTCAGATTTCAGCGACTATCAGTCGTCCGACGAGGAGGCCCACGAACGTAATGCTGCCTCCGGTTCTACTTCACCTCGTGGGTATGTCGACGTGTCGGACGACGAAGATGTGGACGTGCGGCGCGATCCGCACAAGGGATTGCTCGAGGAGGACCCCTTTGCAGATCCCTTTGTCGACCAAGATGATCCGGGTACCCCGGAACTCCCCAGTGTTGGCAGGCGCGAAGTGGTGTGGTGAAAGGACGACGACCAAGTTTTCGACGGATGTAAGACTTCTTTGAATTAGTGTAAGAATACCTCCACAGTGCTAGACAAAGACTAGTAAACTTCCGGAGTGCTATCACCCTGTATTCCCATGACAATTCATATGTAATGCTCCTGTCTGGATACTACAGACGCTAAGTTAATCCAAGGGATGCGACAAGTACTTGTGCCCCACTGACCAAGCCTGAGCCATACAGTATCCAGACGATTCCACATGCTTCATTATTCCGAACCTGTAGAATACAACAACCTCGAGTAACCTTGGCCTACATCCTGAACGTCAGACCACAGAAAACACTTTTTACTCCACCGTGATCTTCCGACGTTCCGCCTCGGGCGTAGTAGTTGGATAAGTAACTGTTAGTACACCGTCTTGCATCGACGCCTTGATATTCTGGGTCTGTAGAAAGCTAATCAGTCAAAGCTGTCAGCTGCGGAACTACCAGAGCTACACACCTGTATGCCCCGTGGCAGAGAAAGAGACCGCGAGAACTTGCCATATCGGCGCTCGCAAACGGAATATCCACCTTCTTCACGCTCTGAAGATAATCTGGGCTCTCCAGAGACAGTCAGCATGTTATTCTGCACGCTGATGTCCACGTCCTCTTTCTTGAGGCCGGGCAGTTCGAACGTCACGGTGACAGTGTTAGCTCGAGTGTCCTCATGCAAGTCCATTCTAAAAACACTATATGTCAATATCACTCAATGGTACAGAATTCCTTGATTGGAAGATGCTCGCCTTGGCTTGAGGGACCTCGAAGCTGCCACCTCACCAGTCTGTGGAGACCGAGTGCGGGTGGTAAAAGAGTCATCAAACAGATGTTCTAAATCTATAAGAGAGTAGAAAGGCTCGTTCAAGAGATGAGTGAGCGACATTGCCAGACAGCAGATGATGTTCTGATTGTGCTTCGGTGTATTTGAGGAATCTGAAGATACGGTGCTCGAACACAGTTAAATACACAACAATGGAACACTCTCCCATGCTGTAGAAACCTCTGCATCTTACCAGGCGTTTCTAGCACTTTCGTATTGATGAAGGTTGTACTGCTGATTAGCGTCATTCGAACAAACGAGAAAGGCACCGAATGATGGCAGGCGTTGAGTTCCTCTTACGGGAAAAACCAAATAAGAATCAACATGATCGATGATCACGATCCAGTGCGCGCTGAGTCAGCAACGTCATTTGACTCTTGTGACTGGCTCCATTAAGGTGCATAGAATGATCCAGTTCCGTGTCCCAGAAGCTGCGGGAAACCTTTCGTCTTGGAATGACAACATCGCTGCCAGCCTGGCCTGACCAAGGATGTCTCGAAGCTTCCGTCCTAACAGTATATAAGGACCAGAGCGTAACACCTTTTCCCGTTTTTCAAAACAAGAAACACAAACAAACAAAACTCATTACTCATGTCTCTTTCTCGATTCCTTTACGAACCATTCTACTCCCTCGCCGACTTTGATCGTCTGTTCGACGAGGCTTTTACCACTCGAACGCAGGCTCCAGAGGCGGGAGCAGTCGTAAGACCTCTTCGGCCAAGGTCAGTGTGCTTCGATGGTGTTTTGCCGATGAACCTATGCTGATGACAGCTGTCGTACAGGATGGACTTGCATGAGGATGCAAAGGCGAACACTGTGACAGCGACATTCGAGCTGCCTGGTCTCAAAAAGGGTGACGTCGACATCAGCGTGCAGAACAATGTTCTGACCGTCTCCGGAGAGTCGAAGTCGTCCTCTGAGCGCGAGGAAGGCGGATATGCCATTCGCGAACGCCGTTATGGGAAGTTCTCCCGGGCTGTTACTCTTCCTCAGGGCACGAAGGTGGGTTTACTTGTCAGGTCTTTGCCGAATTGTACGTGTACTGATTGTTCTACCAGAGTGACCAAATCAAGGCGGCTATGAATGACGGTGTCCTTTCCGTCACATACCCGAAGACGACAACTGAGCAGGCGCAGCAGAAGATCACTGTTGCGTAAGACTCCTTTCCACACTCATTTCCTCCATTTTACTACTATCTCTGTATGTTTAGCAACGGCGTCAGATAGTGTACCATACATATATACCTTAGGCCTGTAAATATCTCCATGTGACATAGGAATTCGTCGGTTCTTTGTAAATACTTTACGTCACTTATACCAAGTTTTATGGATATCGATATCAGTGCTACTACATGGTGAGGTGTGACTTCCTACTCTCCCGACTGCGAGCAGAGAATATACGGCATCTGAACATGGTATAGTGGATAATCATTTCTTTCGTTCGACTCTCCACTTGTAAACTCGAGGTTTCCATGTTTTCTCATCCACTTTTTTTTGAGGCCTGCCGATATCGACTTCGTCGTCTTCATCGGCATCGCTATCCCCTCCAACTCTCTCTACCCCACTGAGCTTCCTCGCACCTCCTTTCCCCATCAACAAACGCTGCATCTCTAACTCCCTCTCCGCGTAGCGTAGCTGCCTGTCTCGAACCAGTCGAGCTGAAAGTTCTTTGAGCAGTCGCATGCGATGTTGCTGGCAATGATTTCATAGTCATTGAGTCGAAACATCAGCAGCGGTAGATCAACATGAGACGCACGTTAGCCGCTTCTTGTCTTTCTTTCTCATCCACCTCGCCACTGAGCGCATTATCTTCCGAAGACGACTTTGACCGTGGCTTCTTAGACTTATTTGTTACCTCCGGTATTTTCCACCCTAGATCCACCACATCTTTTTGGGTCTCGTCCGTAGCATTATTATCCTGGGGGAGGGATGCTTGTCTGCTTGCATCCGCGTATTGACGCGCTGTACCATATGCGAAATAAATATCTGAGAATCTAGAATGAGGAACAGATACTTACCTTCTGCTTCATCTTCTGCAAAAACGACGTGATTCGCCGTGCCGCTGCGAGACTTTCGTTGCCGCCTAGTGGAGGGCGCAGCAATGATACCTGCTTCCCTCAGGACGTCCATCTCTTCTCCACTCAACTGGTCATCGCTACCAGATGCATTCGACTTGATCAATTCTGCCAAAACACTCAGCTGGCTTTTCAACTTGTCTATTTTCTGCACGAGGCATCAGTCCCATAGGCAAAGGGATCCGCGAGAGCATTTAATACCTTAAGCCCGGCCGTCCTCATGGTACGGAGGTAATTCTCATCTTGGGTTTTGAGCACCTTCACAATGTCGACCGGGAGTACTTGATTTCCCCTCTCCTGGACGTGCACACCGCGCTTTTGCAAGTAAATATCCCATGTAAGCTCGTTCTTCGTTCGTGCAGCCGAAGCGACTCACGTCGGTCTTCTGCCGAGTCATAGCAAAGTAGAACTCATCCTTATTCCTGTCCGCCGCCTTTCTCTTGAGCAGGTTGAGCCTATCCTGCTTGGAGTGATAGTCGCGAGCCCGCAAGACATAGTCCTTGTGCTTCTCGAGGATACCGAACCGGGCACGGTGGGAGAGCTGGGAGCGCTCCTTGTGGTTCCGGCGATGTATAGAGTTCCTAAGGGATGACATGGCTGGCAGAAGGACGATATTCGCTGAGAATGTGCTCGTAAGTTTTGGATGCCGGTAGAGACTGGTAGAGAGTGAAGCTTTGGAGCTTTGAGCGCCCGTTCAGATCTCAGATCTCATTGCATCTACGCGTCGAGTCTGTCTGGCAATCTGTGAGAAAGAATATATTTTCCACAGCGCATCCATACAAATTAGAAAGAGACTGAAGGAACCAGTGATTATCACTGGACTATGTGCATACATACAAGCTGTCCACACCATCAATGAGAAACGTAAGATGAACACGCTAACAGCAGCCTACGTCCCCACTTGACCTGGATCTAACCCATTCACTGCAATGCCATCCATCCCATCCAACGGACCCGCCGAAGCCATCCCAACAACAGGACTCTCGAGGTATAAGCGGATGAGCACGCTCTCCAGAGCTGCTATGGATGGAGAGGGATATTCAAACGTCCGTGCGTGCTCCCTGATGCTTCCAAAAAGCACACTCATACGGTCCCATCGATCCTGCGACAAGTCCATCGATGCCTGTAAAGGTTGGACTTGAGGAAGCGGGGCGAGCATAGAGATAGCGGACTGGAATGTCTGCGGTGCGCCTTGCGCTGGTGGTCGCAATGGTAATTGTGATTGAGAGGGGGCGGATAAGGGGCCCGCAATAGCGGTGGCGGTACCAGGGGAGATAGCAGACATAGGGCTGGTAGAAGATGCGTTGCTGTCATCAGCGGTACCGTTGCGCGCCCTCGTGGTGTGCGCGTTTTGCTCTGCTTGTGCCTTCCGTCCACGCTTAGTGAATGGAAAGTTGCCTAGTCCGATCTCATGAGAGTGCTCCGAAACATCTGGCATGAAAAGTCAGAACTTGCCAACGGATTCTATAAGACACTGTACTGACAGCATGCACGGATCTCCTCCGTATCGAAGTATGTTTTAAAGCTGATCGAAGCAGGACATCCTACTCCGTCAAGCTACCTTAGACATTCACTCAGTTCACTCAGTACACAAACCTTGCACACCCATGGATGGAGCATTCGCGCAGAGACATGACGCACCTTACGACTCGGCACCTTCCTCACTCTGTCCGGGAACTTCTTCACATACTTCTTCCTCCCGCTCCGCGAATGACGCGCACACACAAGCTTTGTGTGGTCCTTGAAGCGGGGTGGGACAGCCTTGGAACCGTGCGTGTCACCCTTCACAAATTCGATCATCTTCTCCTCCTCCTCGTGAGCCCGCCATTCTTGAAACGCTGCCATCGACTCAAACCGGAGAGTGTACCCATCATCAGCATCGCCGGAACCGTATGGCCCCTTCTTTTGTAGATCTGCTTGTGCCTGGAGGTTCGTTTCGTCGGGGCGGGCTCCGAATGTCTGCACGAGGGAGGACGGGCCAGCAGGGATGTTGGCAACGTTGACACCGACTGGCTGCGGCTGTGGTGCTAGTGGTTGCAGGCGAAAATGCTGGAAACTCATAACTGCAGCACCGAAAGGGACCGGTCGTCGACGAACAGGCTAGTACATAAAGTCACACGTGTCACGTCACGGTCAACCAATAGTTAGCGAATTGTTAGTAGATGGTTAGTACATGGGATGCCAAGGTTCCGTATGAATAGCAAGTGTCCGTGTCCGTTATGGTTTAAACAATGCTCCACACACCGAACAGCACGCTCAGCAGTATGGTGAACGATCCGCCTAGATGACCCCAGGTCACCACGACACCACCGACTGCACCGCTAGAGCTGCTCGAACTGCTCGAGCTGGTAATCGGCGTAGCGACTGGGGAACTCGGAGTATACGTAACACTGTTGGCAGTTGCTGCCACTTGAAAGACAGAGCCATTGCCATACTCGTAGAACTATAATACATGGCCGCTCAGCTCTTACTAGCCATCGAACACGCAATCCAACTCACGTCTACGAGCATGAAGTTGGGGTTTCTGCCATATTCCGAGGCACAAGTCTGAACTTGCTGACCAAGAGAGCCTACACCGCTGACACCATTCGTCACGTTCGCCGCAGCCTTGTTTGGCACTGGAATTGCTGCTATGGATTCCTCATCGAGGAAATGGTTGATCAGATACATTTGCGTGCTTGAATCACCATTCGTGCGATTGACATTGCAGTCGAAGGTGGTCGTGGTTACGTCGTAAGCAGTCTCCCAGATGTTGGTAAACTCTGGACAGACCACGATGTCAACCACCAGAGCTGAGGATGAACAATTTACACCGCACCATCGATGAGGTACGGAACGGTCTGATAATCGGCTTCCGTCGTTAAAAATACCACGAGAGGCTTTCCTGAATTTATGAGTGTCTCTAATGTTGGCCAGCCGCTTGCTGGTAGGGAAGCGCTCGGGGGTGCGTACGCCATTGAAGCAAGGCCGACGGATTGGAATACGGTGTCATAATCTGACGGTGGGATATTATCGGAATTCACGATAAGTAGAGAAACCACTGCAGATATCAATTAGCAAACGTAAGAGGGACTATGGACTAGGCAACTTACCATTGTCGGGGTTAGAGTCCATCCAAGTCTTGACTGAAAGGCAATTGTAGGATAAATAGAGTTGGTAGATCGCGACACGCGTATTGCTTACCACTGGTTAGATAGCTTTTCAAGGTACCACCATCGAAGAGGAGCTGACGAAGTACAATTGATTTCACTACCCGCATCGGATGAAACGACTCTACTCTTACACAAGACGTATGGCATAGCTCGATTGTACCACTGGAGTTATGAGCTTGCATCTGCAGCATTCGGATGCCGTCGTCCAACTGTTGTGTGGCTAGGCGACATTGCTTTTGTGAACACGAGCAGCGCAAGCATCTCAACAAAACCGACCATTATAATCTTGATTCGCAGCGACTGTAAAATGTTCGTCAAAAGATATGCAATAAATATGTAATAATCAACTCACGGCTCGAGGCGGACACGGCGTAGGAATCATGAGCACCAACGAAGGTGACATTGCCAAAGGACCGTCCGCACAGCTGGTATATACAAGTCGATTTGTGAAGCACACAAGGGTTCAATCGTGTCTGACAACCTTACCTCGGCATGCCCATTGCATGTCGTTGCTTGCCGCCTAACGGACGAAGCATGCGTACCAACGGACAGGGAAAGCAGCGGGAAAATGAGTTGCGCCAGGCATCTCACAGAGACGAGCATTATTAGAGTTAAATGATAGCTAGTGTGCTCGGATCGAGAGTAAGACAACGAGCGCTGTAAAACGGACGAGAGAGGGTGGAGAGAGGAAGGAGAAAAGACCCGCCGACCTGCAATTGCCGGCTTGGTGGATTTGAAGCAGCGCCCAGGCTGCGGTGCCGTGTCAGAATGAACCGCCGACAGAGAGCAGATGGAGATGTCAGATCGCACACCACGTGACCGCTGCGCGTGTACTGCCGCCAGCGTTGAAGTTTCCCACAGCGCTCTCACTTTACGCGACATGGGACGAGAGAGACAACACAGTACGTCTTCTATGCCTTGGTGGATGCTTGTGTTGGATCAGGTGCGTGCATCCTCCTAGTTATGTGTTTGTTGCTTGGATAGCTGAGCCGGCCCAGACAAATCCGATAGTTTCAAGTCTCACGGCGTGTTTTGTTCTTTACACGCACTCTGCTGGCGTGGCGTATTTCGCTGCTGGTGCTGTTGCCTGCAATCTATCCGTCAAGGTTATCAAGAGGTTCATTCGCCAACCACGACCGGCCCAAACGACGTCCGCCCGTCAGAAGTCCACCTACGGGTGAGTTTTACATTACACAATTCCCATGCCCGCGATTGAGCCAATAATTTCAGCATGCCGAGCACGCACACCGCCGTTATCACGTACTTCGCAGCCTACGTCACGCTCGCTTGCGCTTATCTTCCCGTACACCCTTCTCTGCCATCTGGCGCTGTCTCTAGAGTCCTCCCGGTAATCATTGTTCTGCCATGGGCAACTACGATCGCAGTGTCGAGAACGTGGCTTGGTCACCATACTTGGCCGCAAGTTGGTGCTGGTTTTGCCTATGGTCTGCTCTTTACCCCACTCTGGTTTACGTTCTGGATACACGGTGGAAACCACTACGGTAGGCTGCTGGAGCAATATCTCTTCGAATGAAGAAGTATTGTAAGTAGATATTGGCGGACAGCGCGTAGAAAATTTTCAAACTTTGAATTGTATTTGACTTTTCCGGTTTGCTGAGCTCTGTGAATCCATCAGACCTGTTCTACCCCCTCTCGAACAGTTACAATGACGGTTATAGCAACGCGCCAACTACAGACTCCCTAATGTAGTCCTCATCCAATTGAGCTCCGTCAACCAGATATGCTACCCCCTCTTGCACGACCTCTCTGATTTTCTCCTTCGTACCCCACGGGATCCTTGGCGTCCACGCGATCAAATGCGCCCCGATATGCACCAAAGCCGTCTTCGCTCCAAGGAGGTCGACAGGGTAAACCCCTCGGTATGCCTGCAGAAATGACGCCATCACAGCTGACGCCGCGTCTTCCCCCCAAGGGTTGAACCTGCAGATTAGGAGCAGCTCCGCACAGAACTGCCCCACGTCCAGACCTGCTAAGCCAGGTTTCGTCATTTCCCAATCTACCACATAGATGCGCTCGACTGCTGCTTCGTCCCCATCGTCACGTCGCAGGCTGACGAGGACGTTTCCCGGCCAGAAGTCGCCCATCACAACAGTCTCGTCAGTGGTGAGCATTCCGTTTATAGTCTTGGTTGCCACCGCCGAAATGGCTTCCAACCGACCTTCGGGCAGTTCGAATGGTGGATCGGAAAGCATAGGCAGTTGGTCGGTCGTGAAGGTGGACACCAGCCTACCATATGTCACGAACGCAGAGGTCTTTCTCCCGTCCACATTTCCTTGGAACGTGTCGAGGAAATCCCGATCAGAAGCCCCTCGCGAATGCAAGCGCCCGATGAACACGCCCAAAGCCTCTCCGATCTCTCTCGCTATCTTCGCGGAAGGAGTGTGGCTCTGCAGCAACTGCTTGAGTGTATATATCCCCTCACCGCAGTCGCTCATGATGATCGCGTTCGCGTCCTCATCGAAGCGGAGGACCTCCGGGACGGACAGGAGCGAATCCGGGGGCAGCAATTCTTTCACCCGTTCCAGTGCGGCTACCTCATAAATCTATCCGCGAATGAGCGGTCGACGCTTTCTCCACGTCGCGAGTAGTGCTCACCTGGCGGTCGAGGGACAAAGCCAGCGTCCTCAGACCCGGGACGTACGCCTTCGCATGTTTGAGGACAACGGTCCTACGTCCGTCATACGGTGTACGGAGGTGGACTCGGAAGGCATAGTTGCCAAAGCCGCCAGTGAGGGGCGTCACTGCGTCGCTTGCGAAGGGTGTGTCAAGGAGGTAAACGAGAACACCTTCTACTGTCGCGAGGTCCAAGTCAGACATGTTCGAGTTCTATCCTGGCTCAAATCAACTCGAACAACATATGTACGTACGTGCACTCAGAGTCACTTTCTGCGACCGGGGCCGTCTTGACAGCTTGTCGGTTCCGGCCTGATAAGGTGTGCTCTAACTGTGTTATCAACATACAACGTTCAACTCTATGGCGCTGCCAAAGAAGTCTATAGCTGGTGACATGTCGCCACCATGTAGTATACACTTCGTAGAACATTGATGCACAAATCATGTCATGGTCGTAGTCACTGCAGTCAATGTATCTAGACCTCACAGAGAAAATGCGTTTAGACTGCCGAAGGAGAGTACAACAACATTGGATGAAGAGCTAACAGAAGACAACAAACGTTCGTAACATGTTGGCACATTAAGACACTTCTGCGGTCGTAAATCTCTTAGAGCTTGTCGTAGTAGGTATCCAATGAAGGAATGTCGGGCTGAGAAAATCTGAGGTCAGGAATATGCAGTTGACGGAAACAATCAGTAATACACACCTTGAGACCCTTGCGTATACGGATATTGCGGACGACCTCTTCGATCTTGCTGCCCTTGTCGAGAGGAGCTACAGATCACGATGTCAGGTACATTGACTATGCCTCTGAACTTAACAGAAACTCACAGCCGTTCATCAACTCCCAGTGGTCGAACACGGACTGGGGGAAGGCCTGTCCGCCCGTCTGCGAGCGCAGCTCACCGTTGAAGCCGAAGGACTCCATAACGGGCAAATAAGCCTTGACCGTGAACATCGGTGTGCCGACCCTCTGCTCCTCGCTGAACACCTGGCCACGACGCCTGTTGAGCACACTGTAGATACCGCCTATGGCGTTCTCAGGGCACTGGATCTCAACTGTGGGAGGAGTAAGAGGTCGATAGTAGTTATTCGTTACAAAGCACGCACCAAGGTAGACGGGTTCTTCGAGACCGGGGGTGGCGAGTAAACACGCGGCGTAGCAGACACGACGACACGTGGGGATGATTTGTCCTCCACCACGGTGGATGGCATCAGTGTGAAGCTAATGACAATGGGCCATGAGGATCAAATACACCTTGCATATTGCTTGAAGCACGTACCGTAACATCAAGAATGTTAAACCGAACACCACGCATGTTCTCCTCTGCGCACACACCCTCCTTTGTCGCCCACTGGAAGGCAGCAACACAAGAATCCTTGATTTCGTTCAAGTACTGCACACCCTTGGTGACATCGACGAGCAAGTTGGGGCCAGTCGTCTCAGGACCGAAACACCAAATCTTGCGGGCATCGGTGACGTCCCAACCGTACTCGTCGGCGAGGACACGTGCACGGACCTTGAAATCGTCACGCGCGTTGATCTTGCCGCTCTCAATCGCCTGCGAGAGCTCCTCCTCGAAGGGCAGCGCCTTGACATAGAGACGATTGTGCTTGTTCTGCGACTTCGAGAGAGCAACAATTGAGGACTCAGCCTTGACTGTCTCACGGTAAGGGACGACAGGGTCGGAAACCTTCAGTGGCACACCAGCGTGATCCTCTTGCAGATCCTAAAAGATGACGAGATGAGAAAATAAACGAAACGGTGAAAATTTTGATTACACACCTTCAAGCAAATCTCCAGGTGGAGTTCACCAGCACCTGCGACGATGTGCTCACCATTGTCGGACATCCATGTCTGGACGCAAGGATCCGACTTGGACAAACGCTTGAGTCCTTCTACAAGCTTGGGGAGATCTGCAGCATTCTTGACCTCAACGGCGACCTGTACAACAGGAGACACGGAGAACTTCATGACCTTCATGTTGTGCGCAGTCTCGGACGTAGTGAGCGTTCCGCTCTTGAGCAAGAACTGGTCGATACCGACGAGACCGACGATGTTACCAGCCGGGCAATCCTCGATGGGCTCTACGTAACGACCCATCATGAGCACAGTACGCTGTACTGACTTCACGAACAAGTCCTCCTTCTTGCCCGGGACGTAGCTCGGACCCTGAATTCGGATCTTGGGGCCAGCACGGACGGTACCGGAGAAGACACGACCGAAGGCGTAGAAACGTCCCTTATCAGAGGTCGGCACCATCTTGGAGACGTAAAGGACGAGAGGACCCTTCGGGTCACAGTCACGAATACCAATGGCAGACTCGTCGTCCATGGGACCCTCGTACAGAGTCTCAACACGGTAGCGCTGTGCGGTTGCGGGAGAGGGGAGGTTGATGACAATCATCTCCAGGAGTGAGTCGCCAGCGGGCAGGAACTTGCGCATAACGACCTTCAGGAGCGCTTTGCCCTCAAGATCACGCTCGTCCTGAGCGAGCTTGATATCAAGCTTCTCAAGAAGGGTTGGAATAGTGTCCTTCTTGAAGTTCATGACAGCATCGAAGATCTTGAAGATGGGGTCGAGGACGAACTGGTTGAACGCACGCTCGAGGGTTTTACCGTCCGCATCAGTGTTCTTGGTGGTCCACTTGCGGGTATGGGGGTTGAAGTAGTTGTCACCCCAGAGCTTGGCCATCATCTTCTCCTTGTCAACGCCGAACTTTTTCGAGTAGCGGCCGGCAAACTGACGGAGAGTGAAACCCCATCCATGAAGACCTGAACCGAACGCAACGGTACCCTTTTCAGGGTAGACCTGGACATCACCGAGAGCCTCGTCGTTGTAGGTAGATATGACGACGTTAACGTTTTCGATGGTGCGACGGAAGGACTGGTAAAGCCCCTCCTTGTCAACTTGCAGCTCGAGGAGCGCACGGTCGACCTTGTTGATGACGACAACAGGCTTGATCCGCTCGGTCAAGGCTTGTCGCAGAACAGTTTCTGTCTGCACGCAGACACCCTCAACGCAGTCTACGACGACGAGAGCACCGTCGGTGACACGGAGAGCAGCAGTGACTTCCGATGAGAAATCGACGTGTCCTGGAGAATCGATCAAGTTGATCAAGAACTCGTTGCCTGCAGACGTTGATTTGTCAGGAACATGCGGCAGACTGAATTTAGTACAAAGACGAGATACCTATGGTCTTCTGCTTAATAGCATCCACTTCCTCCTTGTCCATCTCGAAGTACATGGAGATGGCGGTGGACTTGATGGTGATACCACGCTCCTTTTCGTCTTCCCGCGTGTCCGTGAACCTCGTTTCGCCAGCTTTCGAGCTGGCGATAATACCAGCCTTAGAAACAAGAGAATCCGTTAGGGTGGACTTTCCGTGGTCGACTGAGAGGCATAGATTTGAGGGATATTCGTAGAAAAAAGTAGAATGGTACTCACCATGAGCGATGACACTCATGTTACGGATGTTTGTGGGCCGGTCCATAAGCTGGCGGACCTGATCTGCAGGAAGGGTCAGAACTGCATCACAGTGGCTAGGAAATAGTCACAAACTCACCGACAGTGAAATTGCTGTCATCGCCGGTCCAAGAAAATCAGCACAGCGAAATCACGAAAACTCGTGATGCTACTCACACCATGGTGACTAGATTTTACAGGGGAAAAGAGACGAAATATGAAGTGTGAAAAGCGATGTCCTCGTGGGAGATCACTTTAAGAGGGGAGGGGTGAGTCGTAGCAAGCACCGGAGCCGCAGGCGTTGTAGCAAAACTTTCATAGGAGGACGCAATGGCCCCTTATCGATATCTTCAGGGCAGGCATCTATACACGTGCACGTGATATTTTCCGCCTGGTCGAGACAACCTGTCTAAGTCTTTCCGCTCGAGTCACTCCTGGTCCTGCCTGCTCCCTGCAATTCATCTTCATGCATCAGCCTGACTCAGATACAAGTACTAGTCTTTCCGACGTTTCTGTTGCTTTTCTGCGTCATGTCTGACCTTCGCGAGCAACTTGACGCGCTCAAGACGCGTAGAAGCACTGTGGGCGCTCGAACCATCATCAACCATGACATCGATTTTTTGCCAACCTGTGCGCAGATTGGTTCCCTGGTACACCGTGTGACTCGACGAGGGGAGGATGTGTATGACAGCGGCTCACTGGGTGGATCAGTTTCAACGTCAGGATGAGTCTCGTTGACTCCCAGCGTTGACTCCAAGCTTGCATACTGGATTGCGCTGTCGGACTGTGACTCGATTTCGGCTTTATAACCCGGAGAGTCGGTTCATGAAACAAGGTACCGAGCAATGTCCTCTTCACAGTTGCATCCTCTGCGAGTCAACCCCGGCACCGGGGAGCCATTCCTGCGTCTACCCAGTCCGCTTGAAGATATTATCATCACACCCCCTCGTGTGACCGACGCTCCTTCTATCGTTGCCATACTCAACGATCCAACTGTGTGCCAGTGGTTGAAGGGCCCGCCATACCCTTACTTGCCGTCCCATGCCGATAGTTGGTTGAATGACGCGAAAAGGGAGTCGGATGCCACACTGCTGGAGTTGAAGCAGACCTGTAGAGAGGATTCCGACGGGACATTGAAGCTGGTGGGATCGTGTCCTGTAAGAAGTCTCAGAGCAGTGCAAGAGGACGGCACGGACGTTTACATTGGCAACGTTGATTTCCGTCGTTGTGCCTTCCTGGAAGAAGACCCCGCGGTCCGAGGACGTCTATCTGAGGAGAACACACAGAGAGTGGTGGGCGATCCCGCAATCGTGTGGTGCCTGGGAGGTATGTACATTCCCAGTCGACAGTCGGCAGCTCTGACAAGCATTCCAGATTATCTTGCGCCCTCACATCACGGGCGCGGCATCATGACCGCTGCAGTTGGCACGCTCTTGGCCTCTTGGGCGATACCCAGGATGGGCGTGCGGCGCATGAGGGTGGAAATATTCAGGGGTAACAATGGGAGTGTGCGGGTGTTTGAGAAGAACGGGTTCGTGCTAGAGAAGACGTTGGATCAGGAGAAGGTGACAAACTACGGGAACACGATCTACGGGCATAACATTCTGTGGTGGGAGCACAGTTAGAGCGTTCGGGTACTCTCTACGAAATGTATTGTTGTCCAGGAAGGTCGTCTCGCGCGCGCACTACAGTTGTCGGTTGGTTTAAGTTCGTCGGGCGGTGCGAGACACGCTGAGGCTCTGCAGTTGTGCGTCGCGACGGAGGGGAAGTCACGGGATAGAGACATCGCCTTCCCGCGACAGCATCGCCTGGGCACCCCTCGCCACGGTGTTCATAACGTCCTTACCCTCTCTGAGGTCTCTTCTTATCCCACCTCAATGGGCTTCATCCGTCCAGCAACTCCAGGCTTCCTGGTAACTCTCATTGCGACTGGTCTTCTCGCATTGGTCGTCTTCTCCGTTCCCTACATCAAGTCCATCTACTTTCTTAAAGGCTCTATCAACGAAAACAACGTCCATGGTTCTATCACATTTGGTGTCTTAGGTTATTGCCTTCAGCTGCCTAATGGTACTACATGTTCAAAACCCTCTGTTGGATATGAGCTGAGTGTGTATATCTACGTTCCCCGCATTCCTAGTTTAGTCTGACCGGCACCATTAGATGTCAATGAACTGCTGGGAGACAACACCTCCATCCAAATCCCCACCGTGCTCGTCAAATGGATCACGTATGCTCTGGTTCTCCACATCGTCGCCGTCATCCTTTCCGCCATCGCCGCATTATTCGGCCTGCTCGCCCACGTCCGTGAGATGTCGATGCAGTACTGCAGTAGCTTCATCTCAGGCTTCGCAGGTAGCGTCGCGTTCTTTGCGTTTGTATTCGACCTCGTCCTGTTCTTCGTCACCAAGTCCCGCATCAAAGCCGTGTCAGGTACTGCCACGCTCGGTGCCGCCCTCTGGCTCACGCTTGCATCCTTCCTGCTCCTCTTTTTCGCCGGCTGCTTCTACGGGTGCGGGCGCTGCTGCATCAGAAACCGAGAGCCTCGTGATAGGAGGAAAGCATCAGAGCCAGACAACCGTTATGGAGAGCAGATGCGTCTCGACGCCGTGAAGGCCGAGGCGGACAGGAAGGCACGCCAGAAGCAGGGTGAGGTCGGGCTACCTGCATTCCAGGAGCTCGAGCAGACACAGCCGCTGACGACGAGACTGTCTGATGAAATATTCGTCGAGGACGGGGACCATGTTGTCCCGTATAGTCGGCAGCCTAGCCAGACGCGCAACCAGTATCCCGGGGGGTACACCCAGGCGCCTGCAGGGTCATCTGCTATTGATGCATACTACAACCCGAACGTGTATCCGCCTTCTCCACAGTCCCAACGGCAGCCGAGCACTCACGTACAAGGCCCATCTGGCTATGCGGCTTCGGCGTACTCGTACAATGCAGCGGCTGCTCCGGTTGCTGCTGGTGCTGCGGCTGGTGCTGCGGCTCAGTACTTGTCTACTGCCCCCTATAGCCATAGCCAGCAACCAACCGCTGCGCTGGAGAATTATGGACACCAAGCTGGTGGTAGTTCACGTGAGTGTTACTCTTATTGATGCGCGCCATTAAACTGAAGCGATGGGCAGATTACGCTGCAGGCGCGGCACACCAACAATATCCTTCGAACTACTCAGCACCACTGACAGACCCATACTCCAACCAATCCCACATCACTCAGCAGCCTTATGATAACCTATACGACAGCAGCGCCTACGTGGCTGCCGCCCCAATGCCCTCCACATCTCCTCCAATCCCAGCCCCCAGCACCAACCCCTACTATGGCCAGTCGGCGCAACTAGACCGGAGCTACACGCTCGGCGGGGGCGGGTACGCCAACAACGTCGTGCCCGACTATGGCAATACCGCCGCCGCCGACTCTCGATACTACGGACTACAGGGCGCGTCCTCGTCACGACATCTGTCGCCACCGCCGCGTGCCCCTCTCAACACTAGCTTGAACCCGCCGCCCGCGCAGAGGGCGACCAGCCCTCGAGGGCCGAGATCACCCGTGCTATATGAGTCACCTATCGAGGAGGTCCCACAGCAGGAGGTCCCGCAGACACAGCACTACACTGATGCCCCGCCGATGTATGACGCTGCTACGGCGCAACCACCGGGCGCGTGGTCGTCGAAGCGGTGAGAGGAGCAGACTGGATGCGACTTCTTGATCACAGACTTGGTAATAACTATTTCGATGCTTCGATGTACAAATTCGACTACTTTTACGGATGCTGTCAGTCTCGCTCACTGCGTTGGACGCGAGCGTACGACTGGGCTATTTTCATACCCTGTAACAACATGGAAACATGGAGCGTAGATTTGCACCGCTAGACTCAACTTGTCCCAGGAAAAAATGCATTTGATTGCAGACAGTTTATCGACGTTGTGAAGACCGCTCAACTTGCAGGTCACAATTCATCCCTCGACGACTCCTCCTTCGGCAAGGGGTGCACGGATGGCGCCTTGGGAGGCTCCTGGGTCACAAACATGGACAGGAAGTCGTGGACAATGTCTGCCGCTGCGATACCCGTGATTTCCGCTAAACTCATGGCACATCAGAGGTAACAGGCATTGAATACCCAACGCAAACACTTGCCGTTGTCGTAGGCTGGCGCGACTTCCACGATGTCTGCGCCTCTGTGGGTACGTAGTGAGCATAGCTGGAACAGGCCAGGTAGCTCGTTACTTACACGAAGTTAAGTCCCGCAAGCCCCCGTATGATACGCTTGACTTCACGAGTGGTCCACCCTCCGGCTTCTGGAGTACCAGCTGTGAAATACATCAAAACTGTGCTCAAGGAATTCTCGCCTCAAATTGCCCACTTACTCGCAGGTGCAAGACCAGGATCTGTGATTGACTAGAAGATCAGAGCTTGTGCCTTCATTAACACCCGCACATGAAGACAGTACCTATAACGTCAATATCGAGACTTTGACGCATATTCAACACAGCGAGAATACAGTGAACAACGCCACTGCGTACCTGAGGTAGACGGGAGAATCACCGACGCGTGCACGGATACGCCGGATGATCTCTGCGATACCAAGGTCGTCTATATCGTCTGTAGAGACCAATTGGAAGCCTACAGCCTCGTCGTTCTCGAGGTCGGACACACCCTGTGATCGGAACTTGGTTCAGTCCCTGGTGTTAACGCGGGCAGGGGGAGAAACATACGTACCGCCAACTTGCACCGAATGCCCGCGTGGATGCTGGTGTTGGACATCAAACCTTCCTCGCGTGCGAGGTAGAAGAAAGTGCCGTGGGTGACACGAGACTGCTCAGAGGACTGGCCGGGATATGACGCCCATGTGTCTAAGTGTGCATCAAAGTGGATGACCGAGATGGGGCCGTAGACTTTGTACAACGAACGGAGGATAGGAAGCACGATGGTGTGGTCTCCACCGAGGCTGTGACCCGAATAGGTACAAAGGAAGCGCAATCACGAAACAACCAGCTGACCTGATAATACGAGGATGTTCTTTGCCGTCTATCGCGAACTTGCTGACATACGAAGGATATGCGGGATCCTGGCTAACTATGGGTCTGGCCAAGAGCGTCGAATATGCCACTTCCATTTGATCCACAGCAAGCGCGTTGTCAAATGGGCTCACAGGCACCTAGATACTTCTGTGTTTACCTCTTCGAGCGTGACAATTCAAATAAGAGTTAGGCGTACATCACCACAGTCAATGATTTTGGAGCCTTGTTCGTACGGGTTGTTCCTCCACGAGAGGGTGTATCCACGCGTTTCTCTCTGTCTCCTGCTCCCTGAACGAATAGCGTATGGCCCAAAACGTGCACCAGGTCTGTATGTCACACCCGTGTCAAACGGCATGCCCAGCAGGGCGATGTCGAACTGGGTGGTCGTATCCTCGAGACAGCGCGTGTACGGCAGGTGCGAGAAGGACAGTGGACCAGAAAAGCCTTGGTCAATTTGCGGACCGTACTTCGAAAGCCATGTCACCGCATCTTCAGCTGCTTCAAAGAGGGCAGGCTGGTCATCGAGGGGGACTTGGTAGTCATGAGCCCAGACGGGAGACAGCGCAAGACAATTGAGGAGGAATGTACTTGGTTTCATCGTCGTCTATCCGGAGTGAACAGCCGCAAGTCGACTCAGGGAGTTCGCTGCTATCTCTGGTGCTTATCCAGAAGATAGCAAGTGCATTCTGCCGTACGGGTCCGGACGACGGAAGTACTTCGCGAACGAGATACGCGTCCCACGTGATGTATTTTCTTTGTCATGTGATACGCGCTTCTCTCCTTCCCACCGGCCACCGCGAGATGCACCCGAAGGCGGCCAGACTGCACTCTATATGATCCCGTCCCCTCCCTCACTCATAGGGATCATTTTATAGTCTGCCTACGGGAGACTAGACTGCACTCAACTTCCACGATATCTCAAGAATCTTTTCAACTACAGAGTTGTGGGGCTTGAATGCGCGTATCTTCTGTCTTTATACCTGCCGAGGACGTATTGTACCACCTGCCGGGGCTCTCACTGGCAGATGACTTCGCTTGATCATCACTGTCAATTGAACGTGCAGGCTTCACTGCTATTTATGCTCTCTCCTGCCTCTACGATGATCACGGTGGTGCCATGCACGAGGGGGTCATCTACGCTGTTTTTGCTAAACGAGGGCGGTTACGCTGTCAAGTTTTTCTGCTGAGAAATTCTGACGGAAGTGAGTGTCAATATTGTTAGAATGGAGTCTGCGGATGCTTTTGCGGACAGAGCAGCATACCTTTCTGCGGTATGTATGAAAGTATCACTCTCGCCATTGCCCTGTTTGTTGGATTTGAAGTAATCAAGGTCCCCTTCGATTCGATTTGACTTGGAAGATACCTGAAAGCAACAGGTTCTTCCGTAGTACGCGTCGTGTGAACAAATGCCGTTGACTCCTGGCGGTCGGTCCTGTCGTCGATGTTCCCGTTCCATATGCCATTCACGCACGTTCAACGATGAAGTCCCAATATTGTTCGGCCTCATTGTGATCCCGGCCTACTATTTAGTGGGAGTGCCCTCCCCCCGCATCCTGCGTGGATGGTAGTGGATCCTGTCGCCAGCATGATATCGCGCAGTTTCTTGAAGGCCACAGGTGTATTCCTCTTACTTCACTCGGCGCTTTCGCAGAACGCCGATCCTTACAGTCCTACTGCAACTACTCTTCCTGGAGCGTTTCCAACCTCGGTGTACAGTTCATACTACAATGATCCGACTGCTACGTCGGCCCAACCTCAGCCTGTCATCTCTGACCCGGTGACAGTGAGCCTCAGAATGATTTTCTTGTTTAGGCGTTCACTTATCTCAATTTCTAATAGCATGAGATCTATCCGTATAACTTGACGGATCCGAACACGATCCCTCGGGTATGCATCACAAACGCGTTCAGTTGGCATTGTGCTCAGCTATTCAGTAGAATGATACATTGTCCCCGCATCCCCTGCCTCCCGTAGCGTCGTCGGACCTGCTTCTTGAGGCTGCTTTCAATCAGATTGTATCTATAGCCAGCAATCCAGTCTTCGCCGATACGTGCACCCAATGCCAAGCTGCGCTCGAAGTGGGCAAGTTCATTGCCATGACTCGCCCCGAGCTCGGGTCTCCCCTTGCAGTCCGGGTCTGCGAGTACTTCAACTACTCGTCTACACTTGGTTGCGAGACAGATTATGGCATCTACTACCTGGGTTCGGTTGTCACCCAAATTGCGTCCTATGCAGACGTCGGAGGATATGACGGTCAGGTAATGCCAGAGTACTCAGGGATCGTATATCTCGTGCCAATTCGCTTGTAGGGTCTGTGTTGGCACTTCTTGGGTCTGTGCCCTCGCCCTCCGACCAGTCCATTGGACCTCACCAATTGGTTTGCGAAGCCAAAGCCTGATCCACTTCCGCCTCCAAAGCAGCCTAGCGGACAGTTAATCAAGGTCCTACATCTCTCTGACATGCATCTCGATCCCCGTATGTCCCTTATTTTAAGATTCTTCCAGTTGTTCTGATGTGTTCTGTCGAACTTGAGGTTACACGAATGGCGCCGAAGCTAACTGCTCTTCGTACCTGTGCTGCCGTGACAACGTTTACAATGCCGACTCTCCTGATGAAATCGTTCTCCCTGCCTCCCGCTATGGTGCCTACTCTTGGTAGTGATGTTCATAGTTTCTTCAGCATATTTGCTGAACGAAGATATAGCGACACACCGTACTCTCTCATGTGGGCGGCTCTTGAAGCTATCCCAACTCTCACAGGTACTGAGGAGACGCCCTTCGATTTCATGGTATACACCGGTGATCTCGTCTCTCACGACCCTGACAATCAGCTGTCAAGGTGATTTATGCTGCGCCGTTCGAAATTCTCAGTTGACTGAACAGTCTTCCTAGGCAGTACGTGATGTATACAGAGGTACTACAAGGGTTCGGTACACTGGCATACCGAAATTACCACTCATTTCATCTCATCATAGACTGTCATGTACGACCTGATGAAGCGTCTGATCGGCAATAATCCTGTGTATCCGGTATTGGGCAATCATGACACTCACAACGAGTAGGTTGCTAAATCGGCTGTGCCTTCGTACATCTGACTTTTGTGTACCAGGGCCCAAAATGCGCCGTATTCTATGGGGGGCTATATGGCTGAGCAGTTTAATTGGTAGGTGAACGGCTCGTGAAGATTACATGACCGTAACCTCATCAGATGATTGAAATTTAGGGATTACGATCATGTCTCCTCCCTCTGGCAGATTGCAGGCTGGCTTCCCGAGTCCGCTGTCCTAACCGCTCGTACTCATTATGCTGCTTACATGGTGGAGCGTGCGGACGGTCTGAGGATTATCGCTCTGAACACGAACTTCTGTGCGTGGTTCTACTTTTCGCCTTTCTCCATCTACTTACGCTTGTTCTACATTCCAGGGTACGAGTAAGTGTCGGTGATATCCATCTTTCGTAGTTCTCAAACTTACGTGAATGTATTCAGTGATAACTACTACAACTACCTCAACCAGTCTACCTCTGACCCCTCCGGCGTGCTGAGATTTGTCACTGACGAATTACAAGACGCTGAAGATGCAGGTGCTCGCGGTGAGTTTTTTTAGCGCCTATGCATCTTGATGCATAAAGTCTGATAACATCGCTGTGCAGTCTGGATTATGGGCCACGTTCTTAGCGGATGGGATGGCACTAACGCTTTGATGAACCCGACGAACCTCTGTACGTTACCTTTTACCACACATAATTCGCAACTGATCATTATGTGTCTGTAGTCTATCAGATGTCAGTGCTATTGCACCTCTTGATCACATCTCAGCTGACCAACAGTCTCTAGTGTCGACCGTTATTCCCCGCATGTTATTGCCGGTACGCATTCCGTTGGAATCCAGACATCCAGACATTTACATTCGTGGTCGCTGCGCAGCGATCTTCTTTGGCCATACCCACGAGGATCAGTTCGAGATCTTCTATGCAAACAACGGAACGAACATGAGTGTAGAGACGGCTCAGACGGTAGCATGGGTAGGTTTGCCGTTGTAGAAGACGTATCGATATTGCTGACCCTGTACGCAGATCTGCCCATCTCTGACGCCTTTGACCAACTTAAACTCAGGCTTCCGTGTTTACGAAGTGGACTCTGCCGTATGTGGTCACATTCTGCGATCATGCGTTGTATATGAGACTCAGATGCTGTCCTCAGACGTTCGACATAGTCAATGCCTACACGTGAATACTCCCCGTCTTCATCCTCAAGTCGTCCTGTTCACAAATTCTTATAGGTGGAAAGCCGACGTCAACTCATTCCCTGCTCTCGACAATCAAACTGCGTATGGACCAACGTACTCGTTCGAGTACAGTACGCGTGAAGCGTACGGCGAGAGCGTCGACTGGTGTCCCAATGAGCCTCTGAATGCTACTTGGTGGCACTTAGTCACTGAGGGTAAGTGCATGGCTCAAGCATCACAATTGTTTGAGATGTTAACATATTATTTTTCCAGCCATGGAAGCCAATAGTACCCTGGTCTCTGTGAGTACTGACCATCACTTTCCCATAAGGGTTAGCGGCGATGACTGACGGTTTGATCTAGTTGTTCAATACTTACCAGGGGAAAGGCTCCATCATGACCGAGCCGTGCACGGGTGAATGTGCCATTGCGAAAGTCTGCTACATGCGCAGCGGCAGCTCCAGTCTTGCCTATGCCAATTGTCCGGCAGGCTACGGTTCCGTTCAGTGATGGTACTGCGAAAGGTGTACTGACATTCATGTTTTCGCTGTTTGCAAGCGTGGTACGTGGGTAGCCGACTTTCGTCTCAAATGTGCGCGTAGTGTTGTGTTATGTCCCACAGAATACAATTGAAAATAGTCACGCCGATCGAAGCTGAGACAAGAACTTGATAGGTACAAAAGTGAAATCACTATCCTACAGTAGATACATGCTCCAGAAGTCAAAACTTGGATTATTACGCTACACCGGGCTACCCGTATATTTACGGAGCTCTGGCGTTCTTGCCCATCTCTACGAGGTGGTGCGGTTCCTGCCTGTGCGCAGGGGAATGACCTCCCACTGCATCCTCGATCTCGCCTGCTGTCCTACGGCCTTGACGTCCTCTTTGGAGACGGCTACTACGCGAACCTTGCGATACTTGTCAAGCGAATCATCAACTTCCCCCTCCTCCGTGCGATCCTGCTCAAGGATCTCGTCCTCTCTCAGATCGATGTCGCCACTCGAGAATATTTCTTCTGCTTTGGCACTCGGTCCAGTCTGCAGCGCCCCAAAGAACGACAGCGGAGACGCGAGAGCAGAAGAGAAGAATGCAGAGGCATCGTCGATGAGCGAGTGCGGCTGCCGCAGCGGGATGGAGGTCAAGAGAAACGTTCTGTCTTTCCAGGCGCTCGCAGTGGCTGCCTCGTCCGGCGATGCGTGGTAGGAAGGGTCCACGGCGAATTGCACACTGATGTGCTTCGTCTCGGAATCGTATGAGAAACGGGGAAGTGGATGTGAGAACGCATTGGGATACGGGTGCACGATGGGCCTCCGGTGACGGATCACGACACGGTCATCTGAGGGTATTTACACAGGTACAGACGTTCAGCAGGGAGGGCCAAAGTAGCAATCACATACGTTGGATGTCAAGCGCATGGCCCGAGGACCTAGAGCACAAGTGACCTGTACCATCGACGAAAAACACCTATTCCATCATATAAATGGCGGACCGAAATACCTACTAGAACTTGCACAGCACCTGATTATTCGAGCCAGGATCCCTTATTCCTTTTGGCCATCCAACATCTCAGACACAGGTATACCACCAACATATGGACATAACCCACCTTCAACCATGGAAGTCTCCGTCTCGGGCCATAAGATAACTTCAGTCGAATCCGCCACAAAGCCCTCCGTGACATCGAAGACGCGGTTGGTAGGTACGGAACGAATCAAGAAGTAGCCAGACGGGAACCCATAGGTATTCAAGTCAGCGTCCATGTAGGTGATTTGCATGTTGTGTGCTGCTTCAGCCGGAGTGAGATGCATCACTTTATAGTGCCAACAGTCACGGACATGGATGTCAGCCAACAAAACCTGTGCTGGGGCTCGGTTCCGGTGTCAATAAACTGAGGCGCTCGTACATATGACGTCCTCTACAGTACTGCGCGATGCCCCTGTCGTGGTCTACTGGCGGTGAACTGTATACACATCACAGTACGTATGTACATAGCACTTACAAATGGTACGAACAAGAGCGCAGGAGCAAGAAAGTGAGGCAAACATACAAACCTCTTTTCTATGCATAATACAGCGACGCTAGTCCTCTTCGTCCGTCGTAATGCTGAAGGAGCCGGGCATTCCTCTCTTGGCGGCTCGTCTCTGAGTCCTCTCCGTACGCTCCAAGTTCTGCTTCTCGACGTAGTCTTCCAGAGCTCCTCGTGACTTCGACAAGCCCTTCCACTGCACAGGAAGTATTAGAGTGGACAGAGCATGCAAAAAGTAATCCATACCTCGTGCCGAGCGATGATGCTGCCCTCTCTGGTGCCCCAGCCACTGCCTAGCCAACCAGCACTCATCAGGATGGGTTGCTGTTGGATGTATAAGACACAGGTAACAGTAAAACAGAATTAGGGACTTACCTCTGAGTGCCAGCTAACGTCTCTCACGCATATCCTGCGGTGAGCGAAGTCTATGTCCCCCGGCTCAGGACCAGACGGATCGTACGACATCGGTAATGTTTTAGAGCGATCAAGGACTTGCACGACTTGGCCATCCAAAGACCATATCTGTCGTTGTGTATGTTCGGTGTTACCCATAGAAACAAAAAAAGGTAAACATACGTGAATTTGCCCATCCGACGAGCCAGAATAGATATATTGCTGCCCCGTAGTCGATGCCGGGCTGAAGTGACAACGAATGAGTGTTCGTAGAACTTCGTGACCTGTATATTGCATGACACTGCAATCCTTGGGATGCGCTTTAAACCTAGGCCGGGGATACGAGCCATTCCTACAGTTGGGGTCGGTGAGCATCGCACAGGCAGTTGGCAACAAGATGCGAAGTTTACCGATAGTCAAATTGGGGAATGCCATAATTGCGCCGCTCACGAACAACTGCGTCGAAATCGTCGCTACTCCGCATATTGCGGAGATCCCATAGTCGAAGAACTTGGTCTTTACCGTTAGAAATAACATAGCGACCATCTCCCTTAGCGGATACATATGTGATACCCTCGGTATGACCAATCAAAACACCTGATGGTTTTTGCGATGTTCCGAGTGAACGACGATCCCTAGGAAATAGGTCAATGAAGACCATAATTTCAACGAGCTCTATCGCATGAACATACCAAACCTTGACGAACGTGTCGTCCGATGCACTGATCAATACATTGCCTGAGGCAGTATCAGCCCAACAACAGCTGTTGACATCGTCATTGTGAGCATTAATCTTCACAGTGCGTTTATCGGCCAACAGATCATAGACTGTGATGATGCCCGTCAGCTAACTGAAGTTGCGAAAGTCACTATGCACCGACCGAATATATAGCAGTTCCCGCCGGCGATAACTTCGTTGCCATCGGCAGAAAACTTGCAGCTCCAGATACCATAACGTTCGTCGTCATAATCCCAGACATTTCCACGTCGATCACGCGAAGTATCAGCAAATCGGATCGGTGTTTGCACTGGTGAAGGATCCAACGTCGTTGTCATGTAGACTGTGCTTGACTGCTCACGGTGAGCAAACGCAGCTGATGCTGGGCGAACACACTCACAACTGACGCATATATCATTCTACAGCAGCGGGTAATGCTCAGCAGTATAGAATGACAGAACGCCAAATGGAATCACCTTTGATTATCGGGGCTCAGATGAGAGTCGGTGATTGTCCAGCGACCTGGATGAGCGCGAATGGTCTTGATGACGTTCATAGTCGTTTCATGCCCCAAATCGCGGTTTTCTCTGAACCGTGCTGATTGGGTTGGCCCAGATAACATCAACGGAGCAGTGGTATCATATACATGAAGACGGAAGTCTGCCCGCAACACTTAGTGGAATGGAAGGAACAACTGGACGCTGAACCATACCTCGTACGCAAGTATAGTAGAACGCAGAATCTAAGGGGTGACATGCCATGAGCAAAAGTTAGAGCACTGAATAATTCGCACCCACCTGACGAGTACTGGCCGACGTACGCATTTGCTTGGTACTTGGCAACTGCTGTACCACTGGTATTCGGCAAAATATCCTAACGCGTTATCAGTCATGCTGCATGGATGTCATTTGATAGACTGAACACACGCTGGCAAGATCCTCCTTTGGTGGTAGGCGAGTCCTAGCACCTCTATTCAGCAGGAGCTTGGCAACATTGTTGTCCTTATTCCGAGAGTCGATCTGATGTTTCAATCTCCCGAACTCGCCGTCGAACAGGAGAGAAAGGCCCTCTTTCTTGGGCTTCGTGACCCGGTCATACCAGTTCCGTGAGCGGTCCCAAATTTCCTCCGTACGATAGTCGTTAAACTCATCGTCGTCCTCATCGTCTTCGTCCTCATCTTGCTCAGCTTGTGGGGCGCGGCCAATTCGAAGGAGACGCTGCAGGTCGCTCAGCGTTACTGCAATCCTGTGGCCTCCCAGGCGAGTGGTTGGAGCGGCAGCCGGTGTGTCTCCGCTATTCGGCCGCATAGCCTGCACGTTCTGCATATCGACAAGCGCTACACAACACCGGACGATTAAGTGAGAGTTATGCGCAGAGACGCGGACGAGCAATGTGTTCTCACCGTTTAACAATTGCCCCATCGAGCCCGATGGGCGAGTTTCCGCCGCTTGGAGCTCACCTGCTGCCCGCTCGATCTGGAGCTCGAGTTCGTCGACGACGTCGTCTTCGTCGTCCTCGTCAACATAGGTATCAGGACCTTCGTCATCATCGTCGTCCACCTCCATGTTGATGTCCCAAGTTGAGCCGTGGTCCATGTCACCGAGTAAGCAGAAAGCTCGAGTGCGAGTCTGAGAAACCGCTGTGGTGCTGAGCGAGCAGCCGGCAAGCGGCGCCGGCAACTACGCACGTCATATGTTATCGCTATCTAATCTTTGTCCGAGGAGATTATCCGAGTTGCCTAGCTAGTAGCATTCATCCTTTGAAACTTTAAGGATGGCCGGCGCAAGAACAGCTGCGTCTAAGACTTCTCGAGCCTGAATCAGCTGAATACACAACTCTTTAGATGAAGAGAATTCAGCAGGTTCAAGTCCGTGATCTTAGATATGCCGGCGTTTGGCAGTCGCGACTCGGAGTGACGTTTTCCATCTTCGGTGACAAGGAAAGCAACCTTGCTCAACGCAGAGGAGTTCAAGGAAACGAAATGAGCAGCTGATCACATGTACAAGTGATTTCGCATCGGAACTGCACAAAGTGAGAAGGTTCATGACTCCTCACGTCGAAATTCCGCAAGTGAAAGGCAGTTGTTCCAGAGAAGGTAAAAATCAGGACATGGACAACAGAATTGATACAAGCGTACACTTTCCCAAGTGATTGCACAAGACTCCGAGCCACGCTGAGGCCTGTAACGAGGGGGGGACAGGATTGAGCCTTCGTTATTCGCGAAAAATTGCGAACAGAAAACGGTCGCGAGTCGTGACCGTGACTGTGACTGACGCGACAAGTGCTCCACGTGACCGACCTGTCCCTCTTTCACCTCGTTTTCAAGTTTGCTCAGTTTCTCTCGTTCTTCGTCTTGCCACAGCACATGCTACCATGACAGACTCTCTCATCGTCACTGCGGAGGAGATAAACCGTCTCATTCATGCTTACTTCGTCGACTCAGGTAACTTTCTCGGTTCCGTACTGGGTCGTTCATTGACTGGTAGTAACCTATGCAGGGTTTCAGCACAGCGCATACGTCCTGAGTAAAGAAGCCCAGCTCGAAAAGTCGCCGTGCTTCCGAAAGCATGTTCCCTATGGCACTCTCGTGGATTTGCTGGGCAAGGCGCTGCAATACGTCGAGACAGAGGCTCACTGGAGGGGCGATGCCCTGACCCGAAATTGCACTAGCGGCTTCTCTCTGATCGACAAACATATCTGTGCTCTCGACCCGACACTGCCAGAGACTGTGACGCTGGAGGAAATTGCTCCGCCACTTGGGGAAGAACAACTTCCCCCACCACCGCAGACAAATGGCAATGCCGAGCCCGCAGTTAAGCGGAAAGCGAGCACCCCCACGCCTGACGACGTGCCAATGGAGAAGCGGGCGAGAACAGAACCTCTTGAAGACAACATGGACCTTGATAGTATTGCATCCTCATCTGACGGTAAGCCATCATAATACACTGCGGCTTGCTCTCGTCACTCCAGAGCATGCATTTGATGCAAGCCGTCTTCTGTCCCAAGGTAGGACCACAAATGCGAAGGCGTCGACCTCGCGAGCTATTGCCTCACAAAGAAGTAATGCCTCGAGAGCACCCAGACTGTCAGTTTCTTCTGACGACCTCGCCGATTCGCAAGCTGCTACTCTTCTGAGGGGACATAAGACAGAGGTTAAAACTCCGTTACTCTTCATTTAAACCAGCTCCATACCATCTTTCACACAGGTGTTTGTATGCGCTTGGAACCCAGCCAACAAAAATTTGCTAGCGTCAGGGTATGTATGAGTGCGACTGGGTTCTGACCGAAAAACATGTATCGTTGACATGCCTGGCAGATCGAGGGACGCCATAGTGCATATATGGGACCTTCCATTGCCGAAGCAAGATAGCGTTGCGCATTTACACCCGCCACACACCCCTGTGACCTTCGCATACTATCCAAAACCCGAGCAGGGGGACCTGACATCACTGGACTGGAGTCCTGACGGGACATTACTTGCTATAGGTTCCTACGATGCGATCCTGCGTGTCTGCAATGCTTCAGGGGAGCAGTATTTTGCCAACTCACAGCACGAGGTAAGTTTTATTTTGCGCATCTTGCAGGAGCGCCGGTCTGAAATGTCTTGATGAGAAGGGTCCAATATTCGCAGTCAGTTTTTCTAAATCGGGTCGCTGGATCCTCACCGCGAGTTTGGATGGTACGGCCTGTGTCTGGGACGTCAAGGGCAAAAAACTGCATCAACAGTTTAAATGTCATCCAGGCAAGCGTTGGTGCACCATCGCACATTACACATTGCAATAGTATTAACGACGTGGACATAGTGGGTTGCCTGGACATTGACTGGATAACTGCGGACACCTTTGCCACGTGCGGAGCTGATGGGACCATTCAGATCAGAACCCTAAGTCAAACACCGCAGCAAGTGGCTGCTTCCAAGAGTCAGTTGTTGTATGTATCGAGTCTGTGTGCTCGCGCGGTCGCTGACCATAGTTTGTAGAGGACACGAGAATGAAGTGAATCAAATCAGGTGTAACCCGTCAGGTACAAGACTAGGATCTTGCTCCGACGATCGAACTACGCGAATATGGAATATCGAAGATATCGCCCACGGACACCAGCCAAACGATGTCCGGGACGTGATGATTTTGACAGGTCACACAGACTATGTGAGCACCCTCGCGTGGTGTCCTGTGACGAGACCTGGCGAACACGAAATTATTGCGACGTGTGTCATGTTGCTGTACATCTCCTTCCCTCATTAACATTCAAACCAGGACTTCATTCGACGGTACAACCCGCTTATGGGACAGCGTGACGGGCGATTGCTTGCAAGTATTCCAGGATCATTTGGACCAGGTGTATACCATGGCGTTCAGTCCAGACGGGCGATTTCTTGCGTCGGCTGGTAACGACGGATGGCTGCACATTTACGACGTCAAGGTACGTGCATCTGGGATGACCGCTCGTATGACCGTTGAATATTCTCCCAAGACAAGGACAAGGCGATGGTCGTGGTTTGCAGGAACTGAAAGACCCGGCATTTTCGAGATTGACTGGCAGCTGGCGGGCAAAACCAGCCGGTTGGCAATGGCTCTTCAGTCACAGCAGGTTGGGGTGATAGACCTGACGCATGTACCCTGTCTCCTTTAGGCGAGGTTACGACGGTACTCTAGTGCTCATGTATTGCTATCTTATTTTTATTGCTGCACAATTCTTGGACCGTTCTCTTTGTTGTCAGCGTGCGGTAGTCAGCTCTGATGTCATCTGACCTGGATCCCGCGGCGTCTGCGAGTGCGTCACGGCGCGGCAAGCCTGCGTCTCCCAGCTCTCAGCCTCTCCTCCATCTCGAGCTCTGTTCTCCTTCAAAATGTTTCGCGTCAGCTTGGTTTCCTCTCTGCGGCCTCTCACTAACCCCGTCCTCGTGCAAGCTGCACAGGGCGTACGGCTGACTTCGTTCCGTACCTTCAGCAGCTTCCGTTCAGCCCATTTCCGCCCAAATGTCCTCGCGGCACTCCGAAAGCGTTCACCCACACTCGCTACGGCCTCGTTCTTTGCAAACTCTTCTCGTACTCTTCTGACGGATTCGGCGGCTGTGACCACCAGACCAAGCCAGGCTGAAGCATGGAGGCGGTACGGGTTCACAGCGGTGTGTCCTTTCCCCTATCCATCGCTTGGCGATATGTCTTCTAACTGTGCGTGTGCGTAGGCGACGGTAGCGGGAACAATCATTGCTGTTAATGTCTTCTTCAACCGCGAGACGCGAGACTCACTCTCCCTCGCGGAGCGGAGCTACCTGCACGAAAGCTTTATGTATGCCGGAGGAGGTCTCGCCATAACGGCACTGGCTGCTCGTTCGATGTTCAAGTCTGGTTTCGCATTCCGGATCATGTCGGCCAACCCTTGGTTGGTGCTGGGTGTCAGTCTCGCCGGCTCAATTGGTTCCATGATGGGTGTCTTCTACACATCTCCGGAGAACACGGTCCTGAAGCATGCTTTCTGGCTGGTAAGTCCCTGCCGCTTGTAAGTATCGTACCCCCCGTATTAACCCGAGTTCGTGAAGGGTTTCAATGCCTGTCAAGCTGCCACACTTTCCCCTCTGTTCTTCTTGAGTCCGGCCATTCTCTCCCGTGCAGCTCTCTACTCGGCGGGGGTCTTCGGCTCTTTGTCGTACGTCGGTGCCACCGCTGCGTAAGTCCCGAGTCTCCATCTGCTTGATCCAGGAGCCTGACCCATCCACTAGCACTGACAAGTATCTCTACATGGGTGGACCCCTCTTGGCGGGCGTAACGGTTGTCGCTCTGTCGGCGCTGGCGCCCATGGCTCTCCCTCTTGGCATGCGGAGCTTGGCCATTGCAGAGTCTATCTCGCTTTACGGCGGTCTGGCAGTATTTGGCGGATTCATTCTCTACGAGTACGCTGTGGTTTCTGATTCGCTGTTGAACCAGCAATGACTCTGATTCACTTTTTCAGTACGCAGAAAATATTGCAGCACGGTCGCATGGCTCATGTGGGCGCCGTGCCTCGCGATCCCATGCGTGAGGCTATCAGTCTTGAGTTGGACATGATCAACATCTTGTGAGTATTCCTTGAGATCAGTGCAGTCGATGAAGCTGAGCGTTTTTTCTAGTATCCGGATCGTGCAAATCTTGACCATGCAGAAGAAGAAGAAGTGAACATGGAGGAGAATATGTATCCCATACCTGAATTTGTAGTATTATGCTTGGATCGTAGTACTTGTGGATATGACCGTCCCCAATCCCAACTTCGCGATTTCGCTCCTAGCAATCAAGAAAGCATCTACAGTACCGCAGAGAGGAAACCTGTCCGATGAATGAATTATACAGGGATCCAAGTCACAGGCACGGAACACAGATATCCTCATCCTTGTGCACCCTCCTTACCAAGACCCTCCAAAACCTGCACAAACCCACCCGGATCCACGATCTCAGTGCCGCCGTACGTCAGCCGCTTCCCCATCCTTTTCGCCCACTCCTCCAGGTTCCCGTACTCGACGTACCCTGCACCGCCGACGACGAACACGATGCCCTCGGCGAAGGTCATCCGTTTTGCCCGCCCGGTCCCGGCTGCGCCGGGAGCGCCGACGCCCGAGATCCCCAGTCCGAGATTGACGTTCCGCGGCGCTCGTGGGTCCAAGAAAAGGTAGTCGTCCGTCTCCTGTAGAGACTGTGTGGACGCCGAGGGCGAGTCCATGAGCGCCTCCGTCAGGCGCGTCACAGGCAGGAGCTTGTTCGCGGGCAGGAAGTTCTTCACGCCTGAGATGAGATTCTCGAGGCCGCCGTCTTTCAGGCGGTCAGTGAGCTGCGCGGCGAAACGGGGCGTGAGTACATCGTCCGGGCCGAACGCGGAGCACGAGCACGAGCACGCACCCTGTTGCCGAGCGCGCTGAACCCCTTGAAGAGCTCCCCACCAGGCGTCGAGCCTACCGCGAGGGGTGTCGAGTTGCCGCCCATCGTGCTGGGCACGGTCATCCTGGATATCTCCCTTGTTCGCCGAACATATTCAAATGCGGCGATGTCGGCGCCCGCTCCCTTGAGCTCCTTCTCCAGCTCTGCGATGTCATCTTTCGAAAGTGAATTATCTGGTGAGGAGAGGTAGAAGGCGATCACGAGACGGAGCTTGTCGACCGGTGTCGGGGCCGTCTCCGCTTTCGGGTGTTGTAGAGTTTCCAGGATCGTGTGGATATTCTGCAAGAAGTCGATGAGTAGAGAGGAAGAGATGAGAAAGGATGAAAGCTACCTGCTTGCTCATCGCCTCTTCCGTGCTGAACAGCTCGTCCAGCCCGCGCTTCTTGATCTCCTCCAGCAGCGCAGTAGCGATGTTCATGTGGGTATCCAATACCGCCTTGCGCGCTGTCAACTCTGGAAGTGCCGTGATGGCAGTCTTCAGGTACGCCGCGTTCGCCGACAAGTCACTGGGGAGATAGAGAGGAGTGTCAAGGTGTTGAACGTCAGACATCGGCGGTGAGACAACGTACATTTGGGCGATGTCGTTCATGTCGCTGACTCCCGTCGAGCGCGTTATCTCAGCCGCGTCCAGCTTGTAGCGGTTGAGCTCCGTGTCGATATCCTCCGCCACCTGAGGGAACGGGTGCGACGCGTTCTTCGCCCAGAAAAAGTCCTTCGAATCGAGGTCATATGAGCGTTTCTGCGGCTGCGAGACCATGACGCGGTTTAGCTTCATTTCGAGGCAGTCCGACGCGAGAGCTTGGTACGTCCACCCGTGAGAAATCATCGACACCAGATCAACATTCCTATCAAGTATGAGCAAAACTGGCATTGACAAGCAGTCAGACACAGCGGCAAGGGCGGCACCGGGTACGCTTACGAGGTCGCTGGAGAGTCGACAGCCCCGTCGAGTCTTGGGCAAACACCGATGGGGCATGTGACCGCGCGGCTGAGAGGATAGCGTCGCGAATCTTGGTATCGAGTTTTTTTGCGATCATCTCTGCGGCGTTCCCCTTCGGACAACGTATCACTGGGACGTGACCTGGGTGGGGATTAACACATAGTTTCTGGGAACAATTCGCCAGCTGCGTACCCATTGTCGCTACGACGCTGAAGAGCCCGCTGGCAATTCGCTCAATCTCTTCCTCTATCTGCTGCTCGGTAGAGGAGGGTGAGTTCAATAGAGTGTACGTTGAATACGGACGCGATGTGCTCGAAGATGCCACTGCATTTGGTGCAGATGCAGATGCCGCCGTTGCAGGAGGGAGTAAGGAGAATAATGAAGGGGACGGGGCGATGAACGATAGATATTGGTCCAGAACCTGAACGTTGTGAAATCAGCTTTGAAGCAATGGAATATACGTCGTCCACGTACTTGCTCGACGAGGTCGCCAGTGCCGTCCCGCGCAACCGCTGCTGCTAGCTCTTCAAGCAATGCTCTCGGTAGTGGTTCGACGAAGTTTAAGTGAAAAGACTCATAGAGGCCCTTCTCTAGATCTTGCGCTATTCGCCGAATATTTATGAGAGTAGGAGACACGAAATAAACTGCAGGAACATCTGGTAATGGGGGGCGGTTCGAGTGCAGCTGTCTGCAACAAGAATGAGCGTGATACCTCTAAACAGACGCATGGCTGGCATACGCACACATGAAGGGTCACTCCGACATCGCGTAGGTCCTGTACACGGAGCACGGTCGCGAGGACATCCTTCGTGTGTTGGTCCAACACCAGGACCTTCCACACCGGCGGCCCTGTCGCTATAGGAATCTTGAGAGAGGCTGCAATCTTTCCTGTCTGTGAGCTGCCACCGCTGGAACTCTCCACTGGATTGTTCAAGTTCAATAGAGTGAGTAAAGCAGTGGTCTGTGCTTCCTGAAGTGTCGCAGGTGCTGCGGTCATCTGTTGGACATGGCATTCGGATAAAATCATTGCGCAAGGTGGGCAAAAAACATACATGTTTATGCGCAGTGCTCGCCATGGCGAGCAGACGTCGTATGTGCCGTGCAAAGTGATGAACACCTCCAGCTGGATGCGACTCGCGCACTAGTCTCGTCGTCGTAACACGTGGAGGAACGATGCACGTGACTTTATCTCATTTAACAAGAATAGCTTCTTTCCATCATGCATCATCGAAGAAATTCAGTTGAAATATATCCTTCTCTACACATGCACTGGACATCTACATCGAAATGATAAAGGATCCTCAAAGTTCACGCGTTGAAACGCTCAAACGTTCAAACGATCTCGCTTAGGATCATGCTGTGTTGCGAGGAGTCTCTCCGTCCGTTCAACGAGCCCTCTGCGCCGCATTGATTTGGACGGCGATCCTCTCAGTCAGGAAACGGGTCCTAAATCTGTACGTTCATTGCCTTGGCGTGCACGTCCGCGAACGGCCGTTAGACGTGGATAATCATACCGTGAGTGCGGGTGCTGAACGGTTTCCATGGCCTTTGCAGTTCCAGATCATGATTAACTGTCATTTTGCTAGCGCCCTCCACTAGTATAACTCGGATTGTTAGACAGCTTGAGGTACACTAGGAATTGACATACAGGCAGAACTCTTTTAAAGACTGGTGAGTGGTGTCCTCAACCGCAGCGAGGTGTCTTGATCCCCCCTACCCATCTCAGTCCTGTCGATCCAGGCTGTATTTTCTGAGAAAGTGAGTCGGTTCACCACTCCGTCGGTCGGTGACTGATCCCTGTTTCTCAAGGGATGGGCTGTTTTCCAAGTAAGAGCGCAGAGCGCGAGAGGCTCCTGGGGGAGGACGGAGTACCGTCAGAGGGAACGAAATTGACCGAATTTACTCCTCTAATTCCCGCGATAGAGGGACCTTGGGTACACCGTCAACACCCCGTCCTCACAAAGAAGGATGGGCGTTGGTGTATAATGGATCCCCCACCAGCCTACACATAGCCGTAGGCCCTTGTTCTTGTTTCAGCGCAGTAAGTCAGTGCCCATTGTGTTTGATGCTTCTACTGCGGCGATTAACCTAAGTCTCAGGGCTCCTCTTTCGCCTGGCAGTTGACAAGAGTTTTTTTTTTTCACCGGACAGTTCCTCGTTCTTTCGACATTCATTTCTACGACGTACGCCTTGGTGTATTTAGCGGTCTTATTCGTTCTTTTGACACAAAGTTGGGCTCGAGCGTCGGCTCCGTCGAGTAGCGCTGGCGCTGTGGTAGGGAAAACTACCCAGAAGTCAAGATACGCCGACATTAATATCTTGAGCGAGTTTCATCGCCTTGAAGAATCACTCCCTTGCCTGGGCTCTTCATCCACGAAGATGTGTTGCTTAGGAACTCAGTCTTGCTATCTCTACGCTTCTACCCACTTTTGTCCCATTCTGTATATACTGCAGCTCTATCTCTGTACGACGCGATTCAGAGTGACTCTCGTGGATTCTGGGTCCCATAATTGCTCGAGGACGCGGTAGAACACTCCGACTCCGTTGCGGTCCCGTAACGATAGATATGAAACACTCTTGCGTCGTCTCCGTGCGCCGAGCAAGTCTCTGATGAGACCCAATGCCGGAGCAGAGTTCGCTACGAACATGTGTTTACCTTATTGAGCAACTCTCTTTCCCCTTTCGTCATTCCCGCCCAGTTTCCTTTCTCGTCCACACCCTTCGTCGTCTCTTTTCTTTTTCATCATATACATTAGCGTACGTACGTATCACAGTCTGAGGACGCCCAGATATGAGTTAGAGTCGGAAGGATAGCATGTATGTCACTATAAGGTGCTCGGCCTACCTTCTATTGGCCTTTCTCCACGTTATCTTCAAGTTTAGTTCATTTGAGCATGTCTAAATAATATATCTGCATCGCACCTTGAACGTCCGTCCGTGCACCTTGCATTTTGTCGTCCGAATGCTTCCGAGTTGTTCCACCACCAATCCTCTTCTGCACGACAGACTGCCAGTGCCTTAATTCCATCCTCTTGATCTGCATTGTCGCATGTGAGACACTGTGCAGACGGCTTGACACTGTTCACCAGCTAATATCTGTGCCATGGGTTTCTAGCATAATGTACTAGGAACTTTGGCTTTGTGTGCGCACATAATTCAGGGTGATACATAGTACCTCCACATGCATATTCACATGGAAGAAAGCTGTCATGAATAGGGCAAGAAGCAAAAACCACTGCACCCAGGATTCCCGCGTGGTCCCCCACCGTGGTACTAACTGGGCGGCACTTCGGTTAACTGCGCAGATCGGACGGGATGCGGTGCTTTCGAAGTCCTATGGCCGTGGATAACACTCTCTTCTGGATAACAGCTATAAATGGATAGAAAATTGAACTGCTTCCAACGTTACGTCCTTGTAGCTGTCGTTATATGTAAATGCGGTATTTTGTGATCTAAATGTAATGAAACATTTTGAGTCCGCTGGTTCCGTCGCGACGTGATTGGTGGACGCAGAGCCGAAAAAGGCAAGCCAGTTGGAAGCGGGAGGGCAGCGAGTCGCGGACATGTGGAGAAGCAGCGCTTCCTGCAGAGGAACTTCATTTGCTGCTCATCGCTGTCTGTCTCTTCGCTTTCCTGTCGATACCCCTTCTGTTCTATACCTCGCCCTACTCCGGGCGTCCATGACCATCTCTGCTAATCCCACCGTCCATCTTTCGCCATCACGACCTCAACGACCTCACGTTGCCTCGGGAGAGAATGCACCACACTGTTGGTGTAATGCCTGCGAAGAGGCCACACCCCAGCGTACCAGAAATAGCGTCTTTATGTCTTGCGCCTGCGCTTCGTTTTCCTCAGCGACTGAGGCAACATCTACACTGGTCGCCACTCCATTCAGCAGGAAAGAGCGGAGACTTCGTAGAGACCAGAACGTATACCAAACACCCATGCTCTACATCGCTCGTTTGCCTATCACTCTCGCCTGCTCTGCCACAACGATCATCATTAAGTCAGTCGTTCTCTCGTTTCTTGCGGGTGCTCTTCCCGCTGCTCAGGCTGCTCCGGACCAGCCGGTGTGTATTGGTGACGGCGTAGATGTTTCTTCTATCGGCCTCTTTTCTATTCTTGTTTTGTGTGGGACTACTGGACTACTACTATGGGTAAGCGCCTGTTCTGTCTCATGCTTGTGATATGTGTAATCACCAGCGTGCCCAAGTTATTCTTTGCTATTATTCGCCCACGTTACCGCCAGGTATACGGCCTGAGAGAGTGGTTTGTGCCGCAGGGGTTAGTCTGTTGACACTAGATCGCCCTCAACTTCTTCTGACATCGTCTAGCCTAAGACCCAAGCCTCTGAGCCGGTCACTCTTGGGTTTTCTCTTTCCTGAAACACCCCTCGTACCCAGAATACCAACAAATACCAACTCCTTCGGAAAGTCCGTGGCCCGGGACGCCGAGCCATTCCTGTCGGACGAAGAACTCAGTCAACGAACCTTATGGACTGCGATCCTCATTGTTTCAGTTTGGACGTTCCTTTCCCTGGCCGGGCTGCTCCCGCTGTACATGGTATCCACGCCGTGCTTGGCAGAATCTGCCCCACCTGCAAGGTACAACGGAGTGTACTCGGCGCTGCAAGACCTCAGTTTGCTTAGGCTGCTGCAACTCCTCGATATGGGTAACGTGACCGCAACTGGGTGGTCTGCCTACGAGATCATCCATGGTCATGACGCTGCGCCGAACGCGCGGATACGCGTCATTATACTCACCGTCTTCGCTATAGTGCTGGCTTTGGCTCCTGCGCTGTTCCTCGTGGTCCGCGAGTTCAACAAGCTGGTGGGGAATCGAGAGCGCTGGATAAACGAAAAATGTGAAGATCAGGACATGGGCTGGCTTAGTGCACGTCAAGGGCCGGGTTTCGTAGGCTGGGGTGAGAAACGTGTGAAGGACTTCCTCACCAAGTCGGGGCTTAGTTCATCCTTGGAAACGAACGAAACGAATAATGGGCGGCCGAATCGGCGACGCCGTAATCAGGACGAGGAAGAGAAGGGGAAGCTCGAAATTGATATCCAGGGCCTTTTCTCTATCAGGTAAGACGTCTGGTCTGACATTTCCGACAGAGCATCTCAATCTAGATTATTCGCAGCGACACCACGACCCTGGCCCCTCTGATAGAACAACGGGACGAAATCCTGGAGAACCTCGAGATTGCAGAGTCGAAGTACATCCAAAGCTTCCGCCTCTCCACACCTGATCCTTCAATGGTCGATTTTCAACCCACGCTTCCAGCAATATCAGAGGATCCCAATGTGCCCTTTAAGCCTATAATTAGTCGACCACGACCTCTTGCTCCCTCAGCGGTATGTAGTTTCTTTCTGTCCATCTATAAGGCGAATTGACACCGTCTCCAGAGTCAACATAGGCGACGGCGGGGCCACAATCCCGCGATTGGCTCATCTTCGCTCCCTCCAACGTCGTACATGATGCCCTCACAATTCTACAAAATCCACGGTGTGCAAGGGATCAGTAACGGACAATTCACGAATGTAGATGAAGACATTGTCTCTCCAGCTCGGGAGCCGACGCTGTCCGACTCTATCAACCAGCGAGTGGTCGGCAGTCGATTCCAAGAAGTGAACGGGAGCTCGTTGAATTTCGACCACATCCCCCTGGGAAGCCAGGTCACAGTCAACAAGGGTGGCCACCTTGAGCCGATACGCATTTTCGAGTCGCCAATCCCCGACTCCGACCTTTATGGTGAGCATGACTCGTGGGATACCGCCGCATTCGGCGAGGGGTTGCCTTATGGTCAGTGGCATGCACACCAATCTCAAGATCCGATCTTGAATGAGTCGGAAGAAGACTGGGTGGATGTGGGGAGTGAGGATCCAGAGGCTTTCGACCATGGCGAGGAATACCCTGAGGATACCCGAAGGAGGCCAAGGCCCCCTAGAAACGAAGACCATCGAGAGACCTTCCCTCTGCGCAAGCGGATTGTTGCAGTTGATGAAGTCCCTCCTCACCTCCGGCTGCAGCCCCGCCAACCATTTGTGCGGCCGCTATCCGGGTTAGACCACGAAGCGCTCGGTGTCATATACACGGATATCAATATCTGGCGATCAAAATTGAAGTCTATCAACCTGGACATATCAGAAGTGCAGCGCGAGAGCTATAACGATGTTGCAGATGGCGCGAGAATTAAAGGTTGGCTCTTGGTTGGCAGGGGCCTGAGGTTCCTGCCTGGCGTCCAACTGATCGAGGGTAGGGCCAAGGAGGACATCCGGTGGGACGAGCTCCAGAGTGAACGGGATATCTACAGCAAAGTAGCGTACTGGATAACTGTGGTCATGATCACCATTTTGCTTGGGATTGGTTGTGAGTACCCCTCGCTTGTCGTTGTGCATACCACGTGAGATGTTACTCAATCTACCATTGCAGTGACCGCTGTGGCTGGACTTTACCTGAGTACAGCACCAAATTATGCGCATTACCTCCCATTCTTGCAACGACTTGGAGAAGGGAACAAGGTCGGTGGGGGTATCGCCACATGCCTGGCATCAGCCCTTGCCGCCATCCTATTCACAACCCTCGCCCTCACGTTTGTGCACTGTAAGATTGTGCGTTCTTTCCGCTATGATGTCAACTAACTCACGAATCCAGATGCCAACGATCTCAACAGATCCATATCTGTGTCTGCAAGCCGACTGTTCGGCTTCAAAACAATATTCTACATACTCGCGCTGGTTCCTGGGATCTGGCTCTTCACCGTCGGCTCCATTCTTTTTGCGATACACTCGTTCAGCATACACCTGAGTGAGAGCGAGTCGGTGGGAAACGGCGTTATCTACATGAGCGCCTTCGCGCTAATGCTTGTGCTCGCCGTCGCGGTGGGGTCCCCGGCATTGCTCATGCTGCAACCTCTGCGGTTTTGGCGTGTCATCCGGACCGAGAAATATGCTGTTACTCCCCGTCAGCGCTTCCGAGGTATGTTCGCCAAGCCATTCGCGAAGAGGGTTACTCTCACGTTCATACAGCTGTGTATCCGGGGGCGTACAATCCGTCATATGCATTGAGCTGCAGCGTGATCGCCATTATGTACGCTTCTGCGTTTTCGCTTATCTTCCCTCTGGTAGCTCCGGCGGCGCTCCTGTTGCTATTGCTCACTCTCGTTGGTACGTTGCTGCCTTAGATGAACCAGTCCGAGCCTCCTGGGATGCTCACATGACTGATTTAGCTCACCGTTTCCTGGTCGGATACGTGTACGGCAGAACATTATCGCAAACCGGGGGTCTCCTTCAGATATGGCTTGTCCGTCGGACTGGCACACTCCTCGCGTTCCAGCCACTCATCCTCGGTCTTATCTTACTAAGCAGGCGTCTATGGGTTGAAGGCGGTATCTTGTGCGGCGTAGCGCTATTTGTCCTGGCGTTTGTCGAAGGTTACTGTACCTGGCGAACTCGACAGCCCGGACGGGACTCGTTGACAGCCATCACTCTCGATTCCTTGGAGAAGTTCACGAGGGCCGCAAGGCCAGGGGCGGAACGGGCCATGGATCAAGAGAGCACGAGTCTCGTGAGCTCTGCTCGGAATACGAGGACGCGTGGATCATACGCGTCCATACTCGACATGATGTCAATGACATTGGCGGTCGCGCCGTCTCCTTCTGAAACAAGGGGACCAGTGCCACTGGGTATGCTGGATCGCCTTCCGTCTGCATAGTGAAAACTGACGAGCCGCGTAGATACCGAGACGCTCGACGATCTCACTGCGACCGAGCGCGCGGCGCGCACACACCCGGATGCGCCACCACACCTCCCTCCACTGCCCTTTGCAGACCATGCCGAAGAGATGGCGGGGATGCTTTATGCTCCCGAGCTGCTTGCCCCGCCGCCGGTCATTTGGTTGCCCAATGACGTCGGTGGTGTCGGCCGCTCGGAGGCGTACGACCTGCAGCGTCACCACGACCTCCGCGTCACCCTCGACGTGCGCGCAAAAGAAGACGCGGCCTCACGGCGGTCGTCTGTTCGCAGGGTCCATGTAAACGACTCGTGACGACTTTAGATGCGCATTCTCTGCTTCTGTGCTTCATTCTGCAATCTGTAGTGCTGTTGCTTTCTTGGACGATTACCCTATGTTTTTTGATGTGGTATTGGATTACTGTGGTGTTACCTGTACCTTTTGACGCTTGTACTGGTGGTGATATGAACTGATATGAATCGATACGACTTTTGTATACCTTACGAATACTCACGGACATGGAGCTAGATAATCTGGCGATGCTTACGGGATATGCATAGCACTTCTAGAATTCTTGGTAAGGAAGGACACACGACGAGGGTACGATCTGCACTTCTTTGCAAGTAAGTCTGCCCGTGCGCTATTCGCCGAGGAGCGGCGTAATTACTTTTTTGGCCTGAGGTCTCTTCCCGCCCGCCACAATCACATGGAGGGTGGGTAAGTTTGAATTAATCTTGACGATTCTTCGTCCAATCTCAATCGCCCCTTAGTGATCGAACGCTGTATACGCGGCACTTAGTGGAGCGCTCCGAGGAACCATTTCATCTGATAGCCTCCTGGGGGTTGCCTGAGAGAACCCTGGAAAACCCCGATCTCGCTGATCAGCCAGTGAAGAGCTTGATTATGATCAAAACATCGATACGCACCCGACCCGCCGTGCTGAATGCGGAGGACGTGCGGTCCGGAACTTATCATATCAGGATATGCCATCCACACCGGTATAAGATTCGAGGGTGCTGTCGCTGGGACGCTGGGATGGTGTAGAGTTTGCGAGTACGTGTACGCGAGGTGTCGTCATAAATATAGCCAGCTGATAGAGATTGTCACGGTGAAGGGCAATATGGGAGTGGTGCTCGCGTACGCGGCGGCCATCTCCCGCGGGCGCGACATGGCGCAGAAAGCTAAACTTCGTCATGAGCACACCAAAACTTGCACAGAAAAGGGGGCGGAGATGCCAAAAGAACGCGTCCAAGTACCTAGTGCGTGTATACCCAGACGCCAACTAGGTGACAGCGCGGTGTCGCTGACTTCCGTCAAACGCCACCTCTCCGGTCACTCATAGGGTTACGTGCGCACGGTGGAGCCGTGGTGATCATGACAACAGCTGAATGTTGTCGGAGGTCGGAGGTTTCTCACCACTTGGAAGCGAGAATTGGAGCGGAAGCCGTCTTGTGCCGTCGGCATGATGTAGAAAGGCAGGCCATACAAAATAAATCCACCGGCGAGAACCCACCTCGAGGCTCGGGGACCACAGAAGAATTTAGAGTGGTCCGGAAGGCGGGAATTCATGTAGTGATAGAACGAAGGGGGGGTATAGCGACGGGCCTATTAAAAGCGAGGAAACAAGCCTCAGGGTGGAGACTTCCTGGCAAGCCGCTGGGCGTCCGCAACCCACCGGACCACCATGCCGGACACGGCCTGTGGAAACGAGGGCTGCCGGCAAGCAGAAGCGGAGGACGCGGTGGAGCTGACTGCATCCTAGCCATCTCGCAATCGCACCCTCTTTTTCCTCTCCCACTCCGGGTGAACACTATAAAAGGATACGCACCAGGACACGCTCCTCCCCATCGCACCTCTGCGCCACTAAGTTCATCCGCTCAGTGTACGGCACACCCATAGTATTGACTACCGCATCGCATCTTCCGATTGTGACTGCTCTTCGCATTATGTTCGCTAATCCACCGCCCGCTAATCCCGCGCCCACACGGAGCGAAGGGGACGTCGACCCGTTCGTTCTCTACACCCAGTCCCTCCACGATTATACTCTGCAATTGTGGACGGAGTCGCGAAGGCTTGCGGAAGAGAAGGCCCGTATCAGGGCCGCAGAAATTGCGGGGTCGAAGAAGCAGGAGGGGAGGCAAAGACAGCGGGCAGACGCGGCTAGGCATTAGTCGGTCAGGCGGAAGAAGACCCTAGGGAGAACTGGATAGGTAGCGGCGGGATGTCCGGCGTTGCCGGTCTGTCGCATATCCTGCAAATACTGGCATGCGGAGGCGTCGAATTGCCCGACGGCCCCTCTGAGCGCAGGGCTCCAGCGCTACCACCACCATCGACAGTGACGATGACGTCAGGACAATACCCACATCTCCCGACTATCACCACATTATATCCTGCTTCTGTTCAGTATCGTTTCCATCCACATATCCCGAGCATGTCGTTGCTCGCCGTTAGCCCTTTTGCACATTGTACATCAGCGCACCTGGATATCCCCTTGCCATCTCTGTAACTTTCGAATGCGTCGCTCTCGTTCGTCTCGTCGTACTCACTAGCTAGTTATCTCGTTCCCATTGCTGTGAATTGCTCCACTCCAGTAATTTATCGTTCTTCTGCCAGTGGCCGTCGTCATCGGCACATCGCAGTTGGATATCACGAAGTTCTTCCGCCAAAGTGCAAATCCTAAGGCGAGAGCGGTCAATACGTAGTTTGGACTCAAGATTGGCACTATACTGGACCACGCAGGAGGACATAGGCAGGAGAAGGCAGGATGTGAGTCGACTAGACTGGCGCCTACTAGACCGCGATATTGACTGATAGATCTGTTTGGGCAACTGACGTGAATGAAACGGGGAAACCGTGACGTCCATCATTGAACGTGCTCAGGGCCTGAGGCCTTCCATCAACCATCGCACGAGGTCAATATTCGGCCCTGGCTCAGCTCATCGTTCTCTTATGTCGACGAAGATCAGTCGCGAAATACACCGTACTAGTCTGACATCGCCTACAATGTCGCTGCAGTCGAATCCTACGTGTCCTGTCCTTGAGTTCGTCTCTGGGGCGCTCCGTTGGACCATTATCCGACGACAATATCACTGAGCGCCTGGTCTTCGGCTGCACTTCCAGCGAGGTAATGCCGTTCCGTAATCAGAATAATATACGGTCCTCTGCAATGATCTCCAATGGGATTCCGTTGTGCCTAACTTGACGCACGTTTCACGCGGAATCTTCGATTCTCTGCCAACGGCCGTGCCGTGAGTAACTATATATTCGAGTCGTCTCTCCTGTCCTCGACCGCGGTGGTGCGCACCATCATGTTGTGCACAGTCAAGCTCGTCGGCATCCTACTCGCCGCACACTCTGTCGTGGCACAGTCCTCTCTGGGGCCTTCCGCGTACACCGTTCCAGGTCCTTTCCCTACGTCCATTCACCAGTCGTACTACAATGATCCCACTGCAACCGCAGCTCAGCCCCAGCCTGTCATCTCGGACCCGGTGACGGTGAGCATACTGCAACGTTATACTTGCCGAGCTCAAGCATCTTGCATCTGTAATAGCACGAGATCTTCCCGTATGCGTTAACCAACCCGGACACCATTCCTCTCGTGAGTATATGTCTGACTTTCCCAGTCACACCAGTTGACCATCAGCTCGCATCAGAACGATACCCAGTCGCCTCACCCGCTTCCGTTCCCTGCTTCATCTTCGGTGCTTCTCGAGGCTGCTGTTGCCCAGATCATTTCTATTTCGAAGAGCGCGGTCTTCGACTCCACCTGTGCCAAGTGCCAGGCCTCGCTCGAGGTCGCAAAATTCCTCTCTTTGGCCGCCCCCGAGGAGGGCCCCACTCTGGCGGTTCGCATCTGCGAGTACTTTAACTACTCCAAGAGCTGCGCTACAAGCTATGGCATCTACGCCCTTGGTTCGAGCCTCACACAAGTTGCCGCATTCGCGGATGCCGGCGGATACGACGGAGAGGTGACTGCTCATCCATTCTCTAGAAAGAGGATGGTTTCTTGATCACGCGTCACAGTCTCTTTGCTGGAACTTCCTTGGTCTGTGCCCGCGCCCGCCCACTAGTCCTCTAGACTTGACCACTTGGTTTGCTAAGCCGAAGCCTAGTCCGCTTCCACCTCCCAAGCAGCCTTCTGGGGAGCGTTTGAAGGTCCTCCATCTCTCAGACATGCACCTCGATTCTCGTGCGTACTTCCGTGTCAAAAGCCTAAACAATTGCGCTGACAGATATTTGTCCTAGGTTATGCTACTGGGTCCGAGGCAAACTGCACATCAAGTCTGTGCTGTCGCGCAAATAATTTCAACGTACAGAGTCCTGACACGCCTCTCCTGCCTGCTCCGCGTTATGGCGCTTACCTTTGGTACGACTTCGTTTTCATGATCCCGGACGATTAGCTAACAAGGCGTGCCAGTGACTCCCCCATCTCGTTGATCACTTCCTCGCTTGAGGCGATTCCCGTGCTCACCGGAACGCAGGAGGCCGGATTCAACTTTACAGTGTACACGGGTGACTTGGTCGCCCATGATCCCGATAACGAACTCTCGGAGTACGCGTGCTTCTACTCTTCTTTATGCTTCATGACTAACTTCTGGGCCTGAAATCAGCCAGGCCGTCCTGTACGCCGAGGTATGCAAGAGATTTGAGCGCATGTATCCAGTATAAATGACGATTTTCTCTAGACTGTGTTGTACGACTTGCTGAAAAGGATGCTCCCGAGCAACAGCGGCCCTGTCTACGCTGTGCTGGGCAACCATGATACCCACAGCCAGTTCGTGGATTTCACTTGTCGTTATATGCAGTCTACTGATCTGGTCGTGCAGGGCACAGAATTCTCCGTCCGACATTGGAGGCGGCGTCACGGATCAGTTCAACTGGTATGAGTGGCATCACGCTTAGTGTAGGTAGTCGGAGCTGATGCGGATGTTTGGTCCAGGGATTATGACCATCTCGCTGAGTTGTGGCAGTTGGAAAATTGGATTGACGCGGAAACAGCTGCGGTCGCTCGTACCCACTATGCGGCTTACAGTGTCACGCGTTCAGATGGGTTGAGGATCATTACTCTCAACACCGACTTTTGTGCGTGACTTTTGTTCTTTCGGCTCGCGTCAGACCTGACATCTCATACCTAGGGTACAAGTATGTATCGTCGAGTATCTGTGCGGACGTACGAGACTAATTACGGTTAAGGACCAACTTCTTCGCCCATTTGAACCTCTCTTCGTCTGACAATTCGGGCATGCTCCGCTTCTTGACTGATGAGTTGCAAGCTGCTGAAGATGCGGGCCAGAGAGGCAAGTCACGGACCTTGTACTAACCCATATCACATCGTTACTGATGTGGCGCTGCAGCATGGATTCTAGGACATGTCCTTAGTGGATGGGATGGCAGCAACCCTCTGCAGAACCCCACCAATCTCTGTAAGTTGTCCATATCTTTCCACGTCGTCACGGCTGACGTAGCTGCGCGCAGTCTATCAGATGTAACCCTCTTCTTTGTGGTCCACTTGTTGCAAGCTAACGGCCATGCAGCGTCGACCGCTTCTCTCCGCACGTCATCGCGAGTGCGTGGTGAAGCATTAAGTTCTTTTCGTGTAGTTGATTGCCGTTCTGCAGATGTCTTCTTCGGTCATACTCATGAGGACGAGCTGCAGATCTTCTACGCGAACAATGCTACCAACATCAGCACGGACAACGCTCTATCGATTGCTTGGGTGAGTGGTTATCCTCGCCAATGACGTCGCAACCCGAGTTTGATGAAATATGCAGATTGCTCCATCCATCACACCTCTAACTAACCTTAACTCAGGTTTCCGTGTGTACGAGGTCGACTCCGCGGTGCGTGCTATGTTATTGCTGGTGCTGCTTAACATATCACATCTCTTCCATGAACTAAGACTTTCGACGTCCTGGATGCGTACACGTGAGTATTATCGGCCTCCACAGCCCTTTCTGTCGTTAATCCCCTCATCCAGTTTTGCGAGCAACGTCAACTCGTTCCCGGCGCTCGACAACCAGAGTGAAGCCGGGCCAGAGTACTACTTCGAGTACAGCACCCGGGAGGCGTACGGGGAGAGCATCGCCTGGGGCGCGAACGACCCGCTGAACGCGACGTGGTGGCACCTGGTGACCGAAGGTCCGTACTCGTTCAGCGCCCTGTATTAGTTGCTTGTGCTTACCTCACTCGCAGCAATGGAAGCGAACACAACGCTGGTCTCAGAGGTGTTCAACACCTTCCAGGGTAAGAGCTCCGTCAAGAGCCCGCCGTGCACCGGAGACTGTGTTACCGCACGTATCTGCTACATGCGCAGCGGGAGTGCGAGCATCGCGAACACGAATTGCGTCTCGGGGTATGGGTCGGTCCAATAGGCGGTGTTCGGAGAACGGCGAGCACAGGAATGGGACAAAGAGCGGCGGTTTGTCTGTGCTGTCATCGTTGGTAGGCAAGTTTAGCGCGAGAATGCAAGTGTTTCGTTTGCTGAGAAGATGACGACTCTGCCATTACCGCGTTCTGAAGGTGGTACTGTACGATCTGATGTCCCTGTCCCGTACGTAACAGCCTTTTGAGGGTTCATGCACATGACAAGTACAACCTTGCTGCACTCCGCGTCAAACATGACAAAGTTATTGACGAGGTATTCCGGCCCATGAAAATGCCTGTATAATATGCAAGAGACTACGTACTTTATATACCCTATCTATTTGCCCATTCCCAACCGTATGTCAGAATGGGTGCTCTATGCGAAATTATCAATGCGATGAGGTGCGAAACGATTTACATGAAATGCAGAGGGATATTGATACAAGTGGAGCATGCAAAAGATAGCAGTTCCAAGATGCCAGCAGACCAACGTTTTTAAACTATGCAAGACGTGCGTTTGTAACACTCGTGCGATATCACCGGAAAGCACGCTCTGTCGATAGATGCAATTTTGACCAAGCACTTAATGATCGCCGCGCGAAGGATTCCGTGCACGCAATGCACGATAGCTCCGTTTGACCGCGAGAACGACGGTCTAGATATTGCAACCTTCAGTCAAATTTTGACAAGAGAAAACGGCGAAGTACTCGCCTGTACGATTGCAGGAACCTTCGTAGAATCTCCGGGACACGCAGTGACCGCCACCCCACGTCTAACAGAAGAGTTCAAGTCTAAAGTCGAGACATCACCATCTGAATTATCGTCGCCAATTCTGTGTGGAAACTGAGAAATATTGCATGAGACAACAGTATGGACAGAATAAGTGTGCAACGTACCAATGTCACTGAAGGCGGCTCTTCAAACATTGGTTCTTCGGTGTAGCGGTAGTCTACTGTTTTCTACGACACGCCCACCACCGCACCCGTGTTGATGACGCTATTTGGGATACGGAGAGTAAGCTTACCATCAAACGGTCTTTACATTCACGGCAACCGGGCGAACTCGTGTTTGCATGGTACCAATCGTGATAGGTAGGAGCACGAAGAACATCGCTTTTCAGTAGAGACATAACGAGCGTGAACGACGGGTATGGTGGCTCAAGCCGTCGCATGAAGGCGCAGACAAAGGTGAATGCGCAAGGCGTTTTAAGCGACGTGGACAAACAAGGAGAGTGAGGATGTGTTGTGGAAGGAGAGAAGGAGAAATGGGCATTTACGGCCATAGCCTGCGCGCTATAAAGGACGAATCAAAGGCAGAAGCAGGCATGTCGTAAAACGGCGAACTGGGCCGCTGGATTTGGCTAGCGGCCCCGCCAGTTCGAACGACGCGACTGCCGCCATTGCTCTAGATTTACTTCCGCGCAGCTGGCGATCAGTATTTTGCTTCCGCGAATGCCAACCTCTGCCTGCAGGAATCGTCTGGAGTTTGCAGGCCGCTGTCAGCATCAAATAAGGAGGCATTCGGGAGACGACGACGAGCACGGTCAGATTACTGATTGCGCGTTGTGCACGGGTAAAGCCTCCACTGAATGCATGTATCGCTGTCTCAGGTCCACACATCGCTCTGCGATGCAGCACGTCCAACATACCTGCACAAATTCAAGAAACTCACTCAAGAAACACACACAAACCCCCGTCCACCTCGCTCGAGTGGGAGCCCAACCCGCATGAGAACGCGTGCCTGTGGTCCTGGGGACCGCAACGGGACACGATCATCGAGTATTCGGGGCCCCGACACTCTTTGAATGACATCCACACGACTCCTCCAACGGCGAGTACAGCTGCTCTGCCAAGACCCACCGCGAGGGCTGTGAAACTCACGCGCCACGCGCCCCGGCGCGTGACCCCGACGTCACGTCACGCGTCACATCCCGACGCCCTTATCAATGGGCTCGCGCAGTGAGTCACATTCGAACTGTTTCCAATGAACCACCACCAACTAATGTGTGCTGTGTGCTATCCAAACCTCAACACAAGATATCTTCGACACCAAGAGCGTGATCAAGCGTCCTCAAGTATAATGCGACACGCTCGCAAACGAGCAGTCCGACCAACACCCGTCACCGGCAAAGACTGTGCACTCCGCCAGAACTCCATCAAGATCGGGACACAGAATGCCCCAAGAAACACACCATAAGGCGAGACGAATTTATGCAGACTCACATTTTTGAATCAAAACACGCTTTGTCCGCTCCGTGTGACCCCATTTTTTGAAGAGACCAGGCTGACATCAAGACAAGACGACTCCGATGACGAGAAGACATCGCCGGGTAGCAAGTTCCTGGCAGTCCAAAGAGTGCGTTGCAAGCCGTTGAATCCAGTTATCGGTGCGGCCACTTCGCACTCCGGTGCAGTGAGTACTTCTCCTTGCGACCAGCTACCCGAAAGAGCGACAGTTACCAGCGCGAGCCTCAAGAAACGTTCAAGAAAGTCAGCAGAAGACGGCGAAGAATTTTCCAACCGCAAAATCAAAAGTGAAAATATGAAGCAACGCATCAGCCCGAATTACCGCTGTACGGCCGGTATGTCGAAGTTTGCGGTCTTGATAACACGCCCGATGATCAGTGAGACGGCAAAAAGTCAACGAAACCAGCTGCAGCAAAGGTCGTCGCCGGGAACAAGTCGAAAATGGAGTGGCCCGCCAGGAGGTGGCCCGGTATCCCTGGCGAACGCCGCCTGAAATTGGGTTCCACAACGGGTGCGCAGAAACTCAGCGACGACCGCCACAATATTCCTCTCTTTCTCAGTCAACACGCTCTCTTCCAGTGCGTCCATCTTGCCACCGTCCCTGTCTCGCACAAGTATTCCCCTGCCTCGGAAAGTCTCACACTTCGTTCGGTGATAGGAACGAGACCACTGCCGAATTGCTACGAATACGACCCGCAAACTTGGACTCCGCTCACACCGCTACTCACATCGGAATTCCACAACCCCTGGTCACTCTCCCCCCAGCTCCTCGAGATTAATACGCCGGAAGGGATTCCGCCCTGGATGCAGCGGCAGACGAACCTCCGGGAAGCTCGCGGCGGCCACAGGAACCAAAGCGTTCAGGTTGCAACACCCCCGTCAAATCGTCCGCTCGTAGTCCTGGCCGAGCGATATAGGTTAGAATGAATGACTTGCCGGTTTCAGTGGTTATGTTCTCAGCAGGAGAGTTCGTTTTGGTATCTGAGAGTTCTTCCAGTGGCGTACCTGCGGTGAGACCTACTGAGGTAAGTGACAGACGACATTATGGCGGCCCTGCGACTGGATTTGACCCTCTTTTGCCTTAGCTTGACCATGGACACAATGGTAGACTCAGAGGGGTGATAATTGTCGTCTGCTCTTCTCTTTACCGCGAAGGATATCTGGTTGAACCCCACTTTTAGCCACTGCCTTGTACACCGGGAATTGGTGAATATTGATGTTTTCAACTTTTCATTATTGTGTTGCAATCTCTACTGCGGTCTGGTCGATAGTAACGGCAAATCAGCCCGATGACTGGACCTAACGACCAAGGGTCGCCACAAATCTGCGTCTTGTCTGCGTTTTGAATCACAATTGATCATGTCGAAGTCTTGCCTGTTTACTCACTCTGAACAATGGACGGCCACAAACTAGGTTCCACCGAGCGGCGAACGAATACACGACAATGCAAGATTTACACGGGACAGTGCATTCATCTCTCTTTTATGGCCTCTTTGTTCCGATCCTCATGTACCAGCTTTGCCGCCACACTCACTGCCACACATCTCGATACTACATGCGCTCTTGCTTGCTCTTCTAAGAAGGGGCTAGGCGAGCCACGAGATGATGGCCTTTTTCCTGCGTGGACGCATATAAAGTCTCACTCTCTTCCTGTTCGTCCCCCTCATATCTCATAGCCCATTCAGCGCTCATCATCCTCGCATTTCACCTACACGATGTCTGACCATCCCCGATGCATATTGCACATCTCATTAAATTATGAGGGTTACCCGCTTCGATTAACACTTGACAGCGTCGCTCGTCATCCATTACTATCTAGGGTCTGCACTATCGACACAACCAGCAATTATCCCATTTTCGGCGAGCGTGGTGTCTGCCATGCGAAGTTGCAAAATTGCGTAGAGCGTCGCTTTCCTAACCCCTATCCGCAGCTCGACGTGACGTTGAAGTGGGCGACAGGCCTATCAAACGTAGAGAAATTGGTGGACGAGGCAAAAATAATCGTCGAGAACTTGTCTTGGTTGCAAGGTAATGTTGTTCCAGAGTTCTACGGCCTGTTTAGCGGACATATCGGTGAAATGATGGTGGCCTGTCTCGTGGCCGAGCGGTCGAGGGAATTACCAGAAGTCGATCCTTCTGAGCTATAGTACGTCCATGTCACCATGAATGCCACCCATTCTATGCTAACCACATCATAGCCGCCGTAAAGTGTCTGCAGTGACGCGTATCCACGCAGCGCATGTGATATGCCACAATCTCCGTAACGAACATTTTGGCTTAGGAAAGAACGGCACCGTGCAGATAATCGACTTCAGCCATGCGAGGATTCACTTATGTTTGCCTGAAGAGCGGTCATGTGACTGTAGAGATTACAACGCTATGGTGTCGACGCTTGGTCCACGTCCTCAGAACCGATATGAACACTATCCTCGGCGCAGCCGAAACTAGATGGTTACGTTCTTTTAGATTCCGGTTTCCTATAGATTAGCTGTTCTCTTTTAGATACTCGATGTTGTGCATCCGGTTAGATGGTCCTTATGTTCTTTAGATATTCGATGCTGTGCATCCAGCTAGATGGTGCTCATGTTCTTATAGATACTCGATGCTGTGCATCCAGCTGTACAACATTTTTTCCCGTTGTATTGACTATTCTTTGCGCGCTTATGTATCTCACCTAATCATGCAGAGCAACACTATGCCACCAAATATCTCAGGCAGCACTAGTACACTGTAGATACAATAAGTCACCGTCCGATGGTATCATGGATGACGCACTCAGAGTTCATCCTGCCACACCCGCCAGCCAAGTTCATGTGCGCAACCCTCAGCATGGCCTCCGTTTCGACCTGGTCCAGCGAGGCAGAGCAGGGGACACTTGCCTTCATCCACATCAGTGTCCTCTGAACCTCCTGCCCCACCTCCGAGTGTGACCACAAACGCTCGAGGGTCACCTATGTCTTGCAGACCTGCAAGGCCGACTTCGCCAGCCTCCTCATCCTCTGAATCTGCCATGCTGAATTTGACCACTCGCACACCATTGCTCCAGCTCTGCTTGAGCCGATTGCGAGCAGCAGATATTTGGGCAATGCCTTCGGCCCACCCTCTTTCAAAGTCGGCACGTAGTGCTGCATGCTTGTCAAACCCAATTGAAGACGGAGCAGTGGCAGCGACGAAACGGAGGGAGGGTATAAAGGGGAGGATACGGATCTTCTGATTTCGAGGTGGCACGGGTTGCCCGTTGTCCGGGATATTGTTAACTATCGGTAGCGCTACGGAGTCTTGCGGTGGAGATGCACGGAGGGAGATGGTCGCTGTCGCAAGACCGCGTCGTCCACGTCTCGGTCGTCTCGGCGCAGCTTGATTTGGGACAGTCTCGGCTGCCTCACGCGCCTCCGTTCGAGCATGATGGGCTTCTAGCCAAGCCTTCAATTTCTTCTCTCGATCTTTTGCGTGTTTGACTCCTGCCAGTGCCATCGCCTTCCCCAGCGCAGCCCACTGTCCCACTCCATCTGCATCTTGTCCCTGCACGTCAGCCCTTTGACCTACGATGGGACAGCCATCTAGGACCAGGGCTTTGAGTCGCACTAGTCTGCCGAGCAAACCTTCGACGTCGGCCTCGGATATATTACATGTAGACATGTCCAGCAACTCGATATTTGGCAGTGCGCCTGAAAGGGCGTAGAGGAAGCGCGCTGCTTGCCGGGCAGGGATGCGAAGCCGAAAGTGACAGAGCTGCCGGAGGAGGGGAGAACGCGAAAGTGTAGACAGTGGATCCAATCGGAAAAACACTAGCGGTTGTGCGAATTTGGTAGGTGCGATGCTCGGATCCAGAGGGTCCTGGACAATGGAGAGCGTAGGAAGATGTGAGGACGGCCAGCGGGAAAATGCGGTGAGGGTTGAATCAAAATACGCGCCCTACCAGAAAATTGTGCATGCAGTTCGCAAGCAGTAACTGAAAGGAAACATACCTTCAAGAACTGATAATACGTTGCTCGTTGGACGCTGGGAGAATTTGTCAAAGATGAATTAGGCATGTACAACGACTTACTATGGCCGAAATCTTAGTGAGAGGAACTGCAGCCTCTCCATCGGTTTATCGAATATAAGTTCCAAATGCTCTGGGGTGAAATTGGGGCCAATGAAGATCCTCAGCTCAATCGTCTTCGGCAACAACGCCAGCAGATTCACGACGATATCTGCATCAACGGTCCAGCATTCTAGCCTGAAGTCACGAACGTAGGCCGCGTCCTCGGGGCTCTTGCGTAGACGACGGTAGAGCTGGAAGACCTGATCACCATGATTGAGACGGACGTGCTCGAAGATGTGGTAGATCGGGATGGGTGAACGCGGGATGGCACGGGTGAGAACGAGAACAGTCTGCTGGAGGCTTTCAGGGGATACCTGGGAGAGAATGGCAGAATAAAGCTCTGGAGGCAACCCCACCAAAGACGCAGACATATCACGATACGTACGCTCACTCAGGCTGACCGCGACCGTTCATCTGACTGGTGGCTGCCATTTGTCATCTCCATCACGCAATACAGTAGGAAATGCAAGGAAATATCTGCCTCTCGCAAGGTCAGGCAATCGCCAATTGTGTTTTATGAGGACGACGAGCCAACAGTGAAGTCACGCGGTGAAGGAGCCCAGAGCGCATACATCGAGGCTGCTCACTGGCATAGTAGTTCGTCATACTGTCTTCCAACAGTCCATGCAGCGGTTTATTGCACAAGCCAAATATGTGCGTTCAAACGAACTTCGCGACATAACTCACCAATTACCCGAAAACCACCGACTTTTGGGAGTCTGGATACCTGCGCCTCATTCCTGGATAGGCTATGTCGCGCTTGCTCTTCTCCACCATTGAGGTGACACGACAAGTTTTCTACCGGAATACTCTCAGTTATGCCATCGTAAACCTCAAGCCCATCGTTCCAGGACGTAAGAAGCACTGGCGGAATCTCTCGGAGACAATCTCACCTTCTCTTCCTCCATCATAGATGTACTGGTCATTCCGACGCGTCCGGTGCACCGCCTCGGCGACCTTACTCCTCCAGAGCTTTCGTCTCTGATGCTGTCCGTGCAACAAGTGGGAAAGGTTATAGAGCGCGTGTATGGCGCGGACGGGTTGACCATCGCGTGCCAGGTGAGTACTGGCTTGTGGGTCCTTGCATGCCTGTTCACAATCTGTTTCCGTGGCAAAGGACGGCAAGGCTGCAGGACAGTCTGTTCCGCATGTCCATTTCCATCTCCTGCCCAGGAAGCTGCATGGAGACCGTTTCGCGAACAACGACGACATCTACCCTGCGCTTGAGAGTGTCGAAGGCTCACTGCGTCACGATATACGCGATGCGCGAACCAAGATAGCAGAATCTAGCCCAGAACGCACAGAGGCTGCAGATCTACAGCGACTCAAAGTGGACGCTGACGATGACCGAAAGCCACGCACGATGGAGGACATGGAAAAGGAGGCTCAATGGTTGAAGACATTTTTCAATGCAGAAAGCACAACGTCCGACTCTAATTAGATACTCCTGTTATAGATGTGTCTGATGCAGACTTATACAAAGAACGGGGACCAGGTACCGATACAGATACAGTAGGTATTCGTCGCGGAATCTGCTACAGGAGCGTCGTGTCAAGGTCTGTTCCGTCAATACTGGTACTTCGCTATTGCACGCGGGCGGGCGGAGGGTATATACTTAATCAAGCACATACTGCGGTGTCCGCCGGTGCTGCAGACATGGTTTCAGGGTTCCCCCATGTTCCTGGAATCAAAGCTACCGGTAGTAGCCAAGTAGCAGTCAATATAACACCATTGCCTGTCGCCCATTAAGCTCGAGAATGCCCTATAACTGGACGGACGTACCCTTGTCGAACCCTTTGATCGCAGCCCAGCTCCAAGCCACAAAACTGCCAATGTACACGAGGTACGGCACGAGATGTGCCAAAAGCTTGAACGCTGGACGCATCTGCAGGGGCACAGCGATGGAAGGTACACGGTCTAAGATCCATTTAAGCGCGGCGGTCAACAGAGCTGCTTGCTTGCTCGCTTCGATATGTTGGTTGTCCAGGAGTGCGAGAACTGGAGGAGGAAGATAACTGAGAGTAATGGATGAACCGAGTCAATAGTAGAATAAGCCGAAAACAAGAAGCAACCTACACGCGGTATCCCCACCACATCACTTCCAATGATATCTTTGTGGTGGATGGTAGCCATATCAGTTTCTCTGAGCCTTTTGTGACATGGATTCTCTCCTCCTTCCCAGCCGAAGTAGGTTTCATCTCATTTTCTGGCCTGTCTCGGGGAGTAGGGGCTTCTTCGTCCTCCTGCACGGAAATAATCTCTGAACGTGCGAACTCGACCTCTGATTCTGGAGTTGGCAGAAGAGGGCCGCATAGCATGATACTGGAATGGTCATTCTCTGGAACATTCTCGTCCGACTGTTCCTCTGTGGCTCGTTCCTTCCCCTTCTCCGTCGCCGAGCCTCCAGGTTGAGACGGCTCCGTTGGCGTGCCCCGCAGCATGTCCAAGACAGACCATACGCTCTGCCTGCCTCTGGCTATCGAGCCGTTCATAACCGATGGTGAAGATAGGAAAGAGACGAACTTCCAGTCAGAATTCAGATTAGATGGCACAAGAGCGGGACCAGAGCCAGAGTCAGAGGGGGTGGCCGGGACACTCGTAGAGAGCAGAGGGAAGGCAGACAGCAATGTCTGGATCTTGCGAGCGAGGAATGTTGGCTCCGGAGGTGTCTCCCCACCTTCAGCAAGGAATTGGTCGGGATTCCCGACATCGCCCAGTTGATGTTCTTCTGCGCTCGACTCTGGCGATGCGGGACTGAGTGGCAATGGCACAGCTGTGGGGTGGTCGAGATCAGGACTGGGGGTACTTGTGCCTTGGATTGCTTCACTTTGAACATCAACAGTCTGAGTTGGCGGAAACCAATCCGCAGGTGGAAACACGACCTGCCCATCCTTCTTCCGCCTTACCACGTTAACAAACCGCTCGAAGGCAGTGAGCCTCGTCTTATTTCGCCAGAAGCTAGAAGTGGAACGCGAACGATTATGATTTGTAAAGTTCGAGTGCTCTGGAGGAGGGGTAGGCGGTGGGGGTGGTCTCGAGCTTGTGGTGGAGTTCCGGCCACCAAGCCTCAAAGTCCGGCGTATCCGAACGATTAATGCTCCTTCTGACGGTGACGAACTCAGATTGGAAATGTCTGATGATAGACAGGGCGCGATGGGAGAAGTCATTTCACGAAATGGCAGTTGCTGAAGACATGGTGGAAGTGATGCAAAAAGTTCGCGCGGATGACTTCATCGTTTCCTCCGAGCGACGCACCCAATATTTATACAAAGTTCATACAATTACAGCACAATGTGCAGAATAGATGCGGGTACGGGAGAACGAATTCACTGAGGTGTAGAAATCATGCATGGGCACTGACCGCAGGGGTGGTAATAGAACTGGACAAGAGACTGGGCATGATAACAGGATTCTCCTGGTCCACCACTACTACCTCACTAAGGTGCGAAACCCTACGTGGATCGAAGTATCCAATTGGCGGAGGAACCAGCAAATTATCCAGAATAATTCTGGTAGCGATGCTATAAGTGAACGGGGTGTTGTAGCATTAATCAAGGAGTACCTACACAACGTTCAAAGACGAGTGCACAGTATCAGACGTCGGAGCCCTCGAAGTTGTGTCTTTGGAAGCAACTACGGCTTTATACAGAAGACCAACAGTTCCAGCCTAATTACCATGAGTGATAAGAACGCGCCGAAACGACTAAATTACTCACATTAGTGGGGTGATCCTCGTCCGCAGGAGCTTCGACTACGCCCTCAAACGAAAGCTCAGCTGGAGCTGCGGCCAAATCAAATATCTTCTCGAAGCGCAAGAGCCTCTTGTAGTGCTCGCGGGAGAGATACCTGCCATTTACAGTGACATGGACATGTTTCGAGATGAAGGCGTCGAATGCATTGTCGTAGACATCCTCCGAGACAGCATTGAAGATCGCCCGAAGGTGCTCTTCAGCCCATTGGGTAATTGACGGAGGATTGATTGTTGAATCAGACATTGTGGTGAATGAGTGCGGGAGTGGTGCTTGCAGGGCATTGGCGGGCAAAGAGTGTTCTTAACCGCCGGACGGCGGTCCATCGAGACGCTGTTGGTCCATTCCAGTGCTGGCGTCACACTACATCCACAGAACAACATTGTGACATCGGAGATCACGAGTGTGCGATGGAGTTATCCCGAGAGACGCTGCAAAGAGAAGCCCCCCAGTTCTGGAACGGCATCGACTTCCCTGGGAGGTCAACCTGCACCTCGGGAAGCGCAATCGCATTACTATTTATCACGTCAGAACAACAACTTCGTGAGGGAATCGAGGTAATACCTACAAAGCACCATGTTGTCGCCGATTTCAGATCCGTTCAATGCGCGCAAATCTTGTAGCAACTGTCACAACGAGAATGGAGAGACAATATGACTCATTTTCGGTGGAGTTGTTCGAAACTAATTTGACTTCAGTGGCGTACTTGCAGTGACCAGGCGGGGGATAAGTGCTTATATAGGACGGGTACAGAGTACTAATACACCGGAGGTTCACATGAGTCCTGAATCAGTGAGATGACAACAGTGAAAACCACGCAGCCAAGGAAATCCGGTACCTCAGGCGCTGGCGCTTACTATCGTGGTCGCATTCGCATCTGGGGGAGGGGAAGTGAGGGAAGTACGTCGACTAGCGCGCCTGGGCTTGGGGTGGACCATGGGGTTTTCTTCATCCACTACTACCTCGTTCAAGTGCGACACCCTGCGAGTATCAAGGGTATAGCCAGTGCCCTCGTGTGCCAGAGAGGTATCGGGGGTAATCCTGTAGAATAAAGTCACAAAGTAAACCCAGCTGAGTGAAGGGGGTGCTTACACGATGTTCAATGATGAACGGATCGTACTAGTGTTCGGTACGCCCAACACCACGTACCGCCCAGTTACGACAGCCTCGTAGAACAAACCAACTGTGCCCGCCTTAATACAGATAGACAGTAAGCGGAAAGCGTGACGTCATTGCAGTACGAGGCAACTCACCATTGCAGGATGAGAACTGTCGGCGGGAACTTCAACTACAGCTTCAAACAGCAGAGTACATGGAGCTGCAGTGGTCCCGAAAGTCTTCTCGCCAAGTAACAACTGTTTATATTGCTCGCGAGTGATATGTTTTCCATTGACGTTAATGTGGACGTGTTTGGAGATGAAGGCGTCAAAGGCCGTATGAAACGCTTCCTCGGACGCGGCGTCCAGTACAGCCTTCAGATGCTCCTGAGTCCACTGGGAAAGACTTGGAACAGACGAGCCAGACATAATGTAGGGACGAAACGCGAGCTTCCGCCGCTGCCAGTTCTAGGGAATTTGTATGATCCGTTGAGCACCGAGATTTCATTTGAGCATGACGTCCGAGATCATAAGAACGCGATAGAGTTTGAGTTAGGGGGTCGAGGAGGACAGTCATGGCTGAGCGCTGAGTCTCGATACGCCTCGAACCTCAGAGCGTCACGAATGAGGACTCTGAGCGCTAGACGTGGTCCGAACGGTAGCTATATTGGCTCAGCTAGTACTATCTCGCTGAAAGCTCTGAACGCGATAGTACATTATGCATAACTTATCATTCGACAAAGGTATGGAGCCGACCAGCGTGCTGCACATACCCAATAGACAACCATCTCCTCAGCATCTGCCGTTGGTGATCTCCTTCATCTTCTCCACTGGCAGTTCATAGCAGCGGTTAATTAACTCCTTCATCTTCTCCAGTTCATAGCAGCGGTTAATGATCTCTCCTTCTGCGTCAACTCTTGCCATGCACTTGTGCTTATCCGATGCCTTCGAGAAGTCAATGATGCGAATGCTTGCGTTAGGAAGAACGAGCATGTGATGCGCATCGATAATATCATTATGCTGGATACCCGCTTGATGGATCAGGAGAAGCATTACCATACGATTGATGCTTCCCTAAGGTAAGCGTTCCGACTTGACCAAGAGGACACAAAACTTACTTGACTGCACTTATTGCGTCCGCTCTGTTCGCTGTCTCCTTGTACCACTCCAGAACAATGCAGCCCACGTTAATGTCCTGAATTACCGCGGAGAAGAACCCGTAGAAGCGTGGCACGACCGTGCCTTGCAAGGAAGCGAGTTTCTCATTGTACAACTTGGCTTCATGTTCCAAACGTCTGACTGCCTCTTCTCCCCGTACCCATTTGACTGCGACGTCTTGCTCTGCTGGCTTGTGCGAAAGCGGTGGATAATGCTCGTTAACCTGGAGACTTGCGTGGTATACCCTCGCACGCTTGGGACCGTATATGGGGTGACTGTCAGCGTCGTCGGCTGCACGCTTGTCGCCCATTGGATCCCTAATTGTTGCAATCATATGCTGTGATTTGTCGAATTTGGGCTGTGACGAGAGAGGGAGTTCGTAAACGGTATGCCGGCTGAAGACCAGCTTGATGCTATGTCCTGCAGGCATCGGAGTAGAAGTGTGAGTGAGTAACTTGTGGCGGCAGATGTGTCCGGTTTATATACTGATGGTTAGCCTTTGTTCGCCTGTTTGTCCTGCGGTTCACGTTGTGTTATAACTCCGAATACCTCATGGCGACCCACGTCTCAATCAGCAGAATTACTAGCTAGAGGTATAAGTGTACTAATCAACAGAAACTACGGGCCGAACAAACGTGTTGTACGCATTCAGTTGACAGCTGACGATAAATAAAAGATGCAACACCACTCCGAGTAAAATATACCAGGGGCCACACGAAGTGAGTATAAGAAAGATTTTACGGTATCGCCAGATTTCGGGGCACAGCCCCGTGTACTAAGCCCTCTTGCCATAAAGCCGTTCCATTTCGTACAGTTCTCTACATCGGACGGGAACCTCTCCTTCCTTCTCGTTCAGCAGACATGGGGTCTCTCCACGGCAAGCATGCACGAACGCATTTGAATAATCAATGACACGAATGGAGCCATCTGGATGAACGCGCATATGGTGGCCATCGAGCAATTCACCGTGGTAGATCCCCACTCTGTGAAGGAGAGACACGGCCAGCATGCGTAGCCGGCTTGACTGGAATGAGCGTTTTGATAGTGGTCACAAGGATACGAAGCTCACTTGATTTCTTCCGGCCTCCCCTGGCGATTCCCTTCGCACCACTCCATTACAAGACAGCCCACGTTGACGTCATCTATGACCCCGGAGAAGAAACCATGGATCCATGGCACGATCGTGCCTTGCAAGGGACTTAGGATGCCGTCGTACAGACTTGCCTCGTATCTCAAATTTTCAACCGCGCTTCTTCCACGAACCCACTTCACTGCGACCTGTTGGGATTCCACGGGCGTAGTGGGGAGGGCATACGCATTAAGAACTCCATGGTACACCTTTTTGTCGCCATAGTTGCCGTGAATCGGATGGTTGTTCGCGTTGTTTGGTATGTGTTTTGCGACACGGCGACTGGAGATCCTCACGATAAGGTTGTGCGGCAGTACGGTCGTTTCCCAAAGTCTGTACACCGTGGAGCGGTCGAACACCACGTCGATGCTGAAGCCAGAAGACATGGAGAGCAGAGAGTTGTACCAGGTGGCCAAGGTTTGGCTTTAATTTCGACGTGGCCAGAGAATGCATGACTGCGCCACTGATTATTGCCATTGTTGTCAGTGACGCGTTGACGTCACGTGGCTCGCGGTACGCGAGCCACCCGGCCTGTCTTTTACCCATGCCAACACTGATCACATCCCCCTTTGACGAACACTGAACACTGAACACAGCGCAAGCGTCGAGTACAGATTGTTATGAAGAGACATTGCATATACGCTTATTTCGTACCATTCACTTCCTCTCCCAAGTCCTGAACAACTTCATCAGCCTTCTCTCCTTTAACAACGCCCCATCCAGCATCTTCACCGACAGCGGAGTACTGATCGATGCCTTCAGCTCCGGAGACACGAAGGCATCCGGGGACGCCCATTCGTGCACCGCCAAGTACTTCGGTGCGCGCTTCTGCTCAGTGACACTCACGCCCAGCTGCGACACATCCTCCACCACAAACCTGCGGCTCCTGACCCATCCCGGCACCTTCGCTAGCATTGGGATATGCTCCTCGTCGTACCACTTGTTGAACTCCTCCTCGTCCTCCGGCTTCACCTCCAACGACACGAACGACGCGTATTCGGCTGGCCTTGTCGCATCGAAGAGAGCCGAAGGTGGGTGAATGGCACCCGGGTATACGGAAAGATTCCGCCTGTCCATCAACTCGAACTGCTCCATCTTCTCCTGCTCCGGGCCGCTCCATCTCTTCCACAGCCCAGGCCACGCCTCCATGAACTCCTCGTGAGATGCCACGTCGTACGTTGCCGCGAAGCTCGGCTGCTGTCCGTCGATAGCCTCCCAGCGCGCCCACGTCTGGAAAACGGGTGTATCGATGAGTCCGGGAATGTGCAAGTTATTGTACCAGTCATGGTATTCCTCGATGGGGACATTGGAGCCAGGTTCGGAGAAGACGACCATGAAACCGCGGTACGCCATGGTGGACTGCGGAAGAGGCAATGAGTCGTCACCGGTTTTATATCGCATATCTCATTACTTTTTTAGGCTGAAACCAAGTTTCATTCATTGATCTGTTCTCAGCATCACGAGCACAATCGCCCCTATGAATCAGATTCCAGGTGGTCGTCTGATCGGTCTCGGCGAAAGAGTTTGGGGTGTGTTCATTCCGAGTTCGGTACGTCGGATATCACAACGAACTTACGTATGCCGACAATGCAGACGGTATAAAGTTCTAGCGTTCTTTAATGATCGATTACAGCAGACAACAGAACATATTCGACAGGCACAGTACAACCTAAGAGCACAGCGCAGACGACAAAATAGAACGATGAACAGGATACACACAACGGTGGAAGAGACGGGCACTGGATGATTCAGAGCCACGGTGCAGGATCAATCGCTCGGTAGCCAGTGCAAAGCTAGTTAGAATCACGCTAGGAAGTGACACTAGAGGCGGCAGAGGCATCAACACGAGAATCAGAGTGTTGAACGGTGAGGATTGAGTCCCGAGTGCCGGATTTGATGAGAGGCCGTTCCTTAGACGTCTGCCCATCCGCCTTCGTCGAGCTTGTAGGATGCTTCACTTTCTGGTCTATCCGGACTGTCAACAAGTTTGGCGACCCGTTCCTCGGCGCGCCCTGCGAAATAGTATTTGCGTCGTTGAACAGAGGAGTAATGCTGCAGAGACAAACCTTTCCGGAGGAACATTCTGGTTGCCGAGGCATGCGAGAGGATGTGACCACCGATGGGTTTCAAGGCACCGCCAGCCACGAAAGTCATCGTTGCACCAGGGTCAGCTGTGCGTCACGGGTCAGTATCAGTATCGGCCAGTGACCGACGAAATTACACGGGCAGACCTACACTGGACTTGGTTCGTCATCAAGATTGCGATCTGAAGAATGGATCCCGCGGAGTTCAGTAGGAAATCCCATGTAAGATCTACGGCGAAACATACGTTATATTCCTCTGACAATTTGCTAAGCTTCGAGAGCATCTGTGTGACATCAGTGAGGCAGGACATGTGAAACATGTGCTGCAAATCCACGAACTTGTGCGAGCTAGAGAGCAGGTCAACTCAGCCCTTGGGAGCAAAACAATCTCCAACGCACCTTTTGTTGTCTCTCACTCAATTCACCTCGTCCCGAATAATCAGTGCGAAACAGCGCCATGATGCTGTCTACAATCTAAAGCGGAAATGAGTCCCCATGCAAGGAAGGCAGTATGCGGCGTACGAGTAGTCTAAAATCTTTGTCTTCGGCAAACCGAATAGAGCACTCGTTGATAAGTTCCATCTACAAGGCGAACTCTTGAAATAATATTCGGCCACAACGGAAGTAATCTCACCTGATGCTCGCTGTTGAATGCTCGTGCTAAGGGCCACAGGGAAATCACGTCTCAGTGTGCGTAGGGAGGAAGGAGGCTCACCGTAAAGGATGTTCTCCAAGGCCATATCTCCGTTCACCCCAAAGCGGTCTGCTATTGCCCTGATACGATCCGGTCGGAACGTCCCCTCCGTGTCGATGTAGGCGACCTAGGGTAAGTCGTATGCGTGTTGTCACACATACGTATGCGCATATACTCACCTTTCCAGCAGCACCTCCCATGTCCGGAGGAAGTTGAGTGACGACGCTCATGGTGTGCGCAAGCTGAGTTTTTCCGGTGCGAAACTCGCCGTAAACTTTACCATGATGAATGAAAGTACTCAGAAAGGCCCAATAAATCTACCTTCTGTGATGGATTGAGACATGACGCCACCTGCAGCACAGAGTCAGTCGTGGAGCGTTAAAGGTATATATCAAGTAACTCACCGCCAAGAATTGTGTCGACGGACTTACTACCCGTACTGATGGTGAGTACCCTCTTCCTTTTCTCTTGCACCTCGAGTCCTGTCGCAAATGAGGAGCCCTAAAACTCAAATCAATACAAGCGCATATATACTGTCCTCGAGGAATAAAATCACCAGCATCTTATGCGCCGCTTCCTACGCATGAGCGGTCTGAGTATACACGCGATGGTTGAGGTCAAGGCCTCTCACCTTGATCTTCTCAACCTTCGCTTCTGACATTCCCTTGAAAACAAACAGGTCCATTTAAGATCCATATAACACATAGCATACGGGCAGACCTTGATTTTCAGCATTTGTCGGCGGGTTGTCATGTTGACTCCAGATACGGTATTGATTGCCGCGGCCTACGAACGGTCAGAACTCAAAAAAAGTCGAGAGGAAGCTCAGGTACCTTCAGTTTTAGAATGTCTTGAACATTGATGCCCTTTGAAGGGGGTGAACGAGAGATCAGTTTTTATCAACACCGTATGCGGAGCCAGTAGGTCGAAAGCCAGGTCAACGACTTACATGTTGCTGTAGTTCATCTACGTTATCAAAATAAGGGCCCTTCCCAAAAGACAGATCATCAGCGCGACAGAACTTAGAGGTGTCCTGTACCATACCTCTTCGACGTCCTCTGCTTGTGGGCTAGAAGGTCGCGACGGGGCAGGTTGAGAAGGAGTACGGCGAACCATTGTAGCTAAAAAGGTAAAGTGTGAAGTTTACTCGCTGCGCGGTATGTGCTAGGTCAGAGTACGGTTGACTCGGAATGTGGTGGTCCGATTTGCGACTCACGTGATCGTGACAGAGATTGCGGGACTTGGACTCTACAATTAGGTTCATCAGTCCTCCGACGTGGTGGTGCATCTTACCCACTAATCTCGCGTACATCGTTCCAGCGCCCATCTCCGGCGGCCACTTATCTGCGCGCATCAAGGGGCCAACGACTCTCCGATGATTAGTATCAGTGAGCTAATTAGCAAGTACGCAGGGTGCGTGGACCAAATAGAAGTGGAGCCCGGAACATTAATGCGCGTCAGAGGCTGCGCAACGTTGCAGCGCTAATATTATCGGAACTCCAAGGGTTTGTCCTGGCGGCGTAGATAGCGCGGGTGGATCAGAAGTCAAAGGTGGGAAAGGGAATCCACGCAAAAGCCCTTCAAGATAAGCCACGATTGCGAATGATACATGATACTTCTCAGTTGGAGCAGGATGTGGTAAATTTGACTACTACAGGTCGTATCTGGTGTGAGTAATGATGCAATGCTGTTCGCTTGGATATTGATGCAGATGTCCTAGATATTTCCATGGTCCTCCTGCTGTACGATTATTGTGAGTGGGCACTGGCAATCGGTGATCTTTCCGCATCATGCTCATGAACTTCTGTTGTGTAGGCCTGACATTATGCGATGAAGTGAGATCAGCTGTGAAGTTCCTTTCACGTTGAATACTGATTACCCAAAGGTCCATCATGTATGGCGGTCTCGGTCACTCCGTGGGCGTTTGATATTTTTCACGGTAAACTTACAAGCCTCACATGTCATTACAAGATTACTGAGAAACACCTTTGTAGAACCGATATTGGCCGTAAGAACTCTTTATTTGAGTCTCATGACATTATCTCACTATCCGCCTTAATACCAGGATTGCGTTCATGGTGTAAGTGCGGTTACTCTTGTGTTACTCAAGGCTGACTGACATATCACTCATAGTTTTGACTCAGTCGGTTAGCAATGAATCACTTTTATGCCGTTGAGAATACCTGATCCTTTTTCTCAGTGCTGCGTGTTTTCCAAACATCGGATACAGGAGTGAGTGGGCACGTTGATCCTCAGCTGGTTAGGCACTGACATGTTCACCATCAGTTGTAAGTGGTCAAGTGCTCTCCTCCACAATCACCATGTCAGTGATGCTGTCCAACCCAGTTGTCATTTCTTCTTTCAATGGGCAGTCTACTCTCCCATACCTTCTTCGATATCACTAGGCAGTACGAGACTCTCCTATCCTAACTTGTCCATACTAATATTGTATGCCTAGTAATTTTGATATCTAAACTTCATGCAATGTATGGCTGCAACAGAACACTGCTTGCCGTCATGTGTACTCTCTTGGTTGTTGAGATTGTCGCGACAGCGGCTGCAGGTGGCATTGCGGCTTACAAAATGCGAGGTACGCCACCTGCCAATGTTTCTTGCGCCAATAATTAAGTACCTGCCTTACAGCTGTCACGGTCGCCGCTCACACCGGGTGTTTCCCGGGTAACGACTACGCCTACGACTGGTCGTTCTGGGTGCCACCACTTGGCTTTGAAGCCTTCCTGTTTGCGCTGGCTCTATGGAAAGTCGTACAAGAAGTACGAGATGACATGCAGACATCTCGTTTGATGGTGGTGCTCTTGCGCGACTCAATCTTCTATTTTGGTGCTGCTTGCACCATCCTTCTGATTAATTTCTTCGTGTGGTTATTTCGGGTACGGTTCCAAATTCTCTTGATATCGTGAATGGAGGCACTTACTCCCGAAGCCTAGCCCGCATTGCTTGGTGCATTCGTTCCGTAAGTGAGATCTCTGTGGCATTTGACCTCGAAACTCAACCTTCAATCGAGTTTGGTGACAACGTGCCGCTCGATTATTGGTTGTAGGATGCTGGTATGTCCTACTGTTTGTCTGTCCGGGGATTATCAAACATTAATCTGATTTTTCCACAGTTAAATATCCAGGAAGCTGCAGAGATGACGGCTGACACACCCTCGGACATATTGCCGTCAATACAGTTTCGAACATTTACCGTGAACGAAGAGGGGAATAATAAAGAGTGTTCAAGGTATGTGTGTCACACGCTGACTCTGCTCGTCTAACGGATCGATCGACGTTTGCAGAGATATGCCGTGAGCGCAGCCTTGTCATTTCAGACAGTCGGTGTTGTCCAGCGGTAATAACCAGTCTAAATTTAAACACTAATTGTGTTTGTGGATTATACCCTCAAAATTATAACAGTTTCAGTATCCTATGTACCACGCGAACAATGAACAACGAACTCTCATGCACTGACTGGTGCAGGAGAAATTGCTGTGACAAACTCGAAGACCAGCCGCCTCCTCCACGATGAAATCCTCTTCATACTAATACAGCATCGAATGCCAAGGCCTACGGACGGTCTGAAAAAAACAAATCGGTAGAAAATCGAATATTTTCGGCTTGAGAATGTCTTGGGCACTGATACCCTTTAGAAGGCGAGTGAGCGCTCAGCGTTTGCAGTCGGCACGTGCAGCTTTAACTACATGGTGCGCCGGCTGCGCATGCAGAACCAGTTCAACGACTTACACGCTACTGTAGCTCATCTACGTTATCACAAGTGCCCTTCTCAACCGACAGGTCATCAGTACGACAAAAACTCCGAGGTCTCTTGTATCGCTTCGATGTCCTCCTCTACTTGCGGCTAGCAGGACGCGACGGAGCAGGTCAGGAAAGGGTACGGCGAATCATTCTTGGTGAAACTCTAAGTATGTTGTAGTGTTTAAATTTTCTGGCTATGCGATTGAAGAGTGTGTGTCGGTAAGGGTGGTGCGCGTATCGTTACGACTCACGTGATTGAGTGACGGTCTTCCCTCCGAACTTCCGGACTTCCGACAACAACGGCCGCCACAGACAACTCCACCTAGGCAATGCAATGCACATAGAATCGTGGATCACCCGAGCCTGCTAATAGTAAGAGGGAAGCGAGTACGCGCGTGCCACATGCATTGCACGCTGTACATCCAATTCCTTTCTTACGGCTCCACTCCTTGCTGCTGGCTTCTTGCTGCTAGCATTTCTGAAGGAGCTCGCCGCTGTGTTATCCCTTCATGCTGGTGGAATACGAGTAGCCTAGGATATGCAGCAGGCTGCGTATGGTTATCTTTTGGTCGTCCTCGATGGTGCGCCTTACAGTATGTCAACCTCACAGCTCCGGCATCGTTCCAGCCTGAAATTTCCGGCGCCCAGCGCCACTCAGCTGCGCACATCAAGTGATCAATGACGCTCCGGTGATCTCGTCGAGCCAGTTAGCACAGTGCATGGACTACGTAGGAGTGGATCCCGGAGGTTGCGCGAGGTTGTAGTGCTAACATTGACAGATCTGATGCAAATTTTTGTTCTCGCGGTCTCCGCGATCAGTGCGTCGATAAATACCAGTCAAAGCCAGGACAGAGAAACGACCCAACGGTCCCTCGATCCATGCCACGATCGATTGTAAATGGTATTCCATACTTCTCAGTCGGCGCAGGACGTGGTAAATGTGGTCATTACGGGTCGTGTCTGGTGTATGTGATGGAGCAACGTGACTGTTTTCTTTGATGCTGAAAGCAGAGCTTCCTAGATATCGCCACAATCCTACTTCTGTACGACTACTGTGAGTCAATCACTTTCGTCGAGGAATGGTCTTCACACATCTTTCTGATCAACCTTTTGCTCTACAGGCCTGACATTCAGCGATGAGGTAAGATGAGTTGCAGTGCAAGTTACTTCCAATGCCTATATATCCATTGCTTGAAGGTACATTATGTATGGCACTGTCGGTCATTTCGTGGCCGTCTGATCTTTTTCATGGTGAATACAATCCCGACATGTTTGCAACGTTACTGAGAAATACCTTCCTAGAACCGATATTGGCCGTGAGAATTCACCGTTACGTCTCTCATGATATTACCTCACCTTCCGTTCTCATACTAGGATTGCATGCACCGTGTAGGTGCCTTTTCACTCTTACGCTCCTCAAAGCTGACTTACACATCATGTATAGTTTTGATGAAGTTGGTCAGTAACGAGCCATTCTTGTGCTGTCGAGAATACCTGATCTCTTTCTTTGCCCAGTGCTGAATGTTTCCCAAACATCGCATGTGGGAGTGAGTGGGCGCATCGACACTGGTTCGAGTACTGACATATTCATCATCAGTTGTAAGTAGTTCATGCTGAACATGCGCTCTCTTCTGCAACATCCACGCCAATGATGTTGTCCGTTCTAGTTGTCATTTCTTTTTTCAATGGGCAAGCTACTCTACCATACCCGTCTCAATAACACTAGGCGGTAGGATGTTTTCATATTCTGGGTTTTCCGTTCTGAATATACCATTCAGTGATCTTGATATCCAAACTACATGCAATGTATGGATGCAACAGAAAACTACTCGCCGTCATGTGCGGCTTCTTTGTCCTTGATATCGTCGTGACGGCGGCTGTAGGTGGCACTGCGACTCATAAAATGCGAGGTACGGTGTCTCCCAATATTATCTGTGCTAATAAACAATGATTTGTGTCCCAGCTATCACGGTAGCCGGTCATACCGGATGTCTTCCGGTCAATGACTACAGCTATGCGTGGGCGTACTGGGTACCATCACTTGGCTTTGAGATCATCCTGTTCGTGTTGGCTCTCTGGAAAGCCGTACAAGAAGTACGAGGTGACATCAGGACACCTCGTTTAATGGTGGTCCTCTTGCGCGACTCCATCTTCTATTTTGGCGCAGCTTGCACAATTCTTCTGACCAACTTCTTCGTATGGTTGTTTCGGGTACGGCGTGGTTTTTTTTATTTTCGTCGACAGAAGCACTCACTTTTCAGATATAGCCTACGTTGCTTGGTGCTTTTGTTCCGTAAGTGAGATTTGTCTAGCATTACGATGGATCTGAAACTTCTTTCAAGCTTGGTTACCGCGGGCCGCTCGATTATCGGCTGTCGGATGCTGGTATGGGCCTGGTGTTTTGTCTCTTCAGCGATTCTGTCGCACTGACTCGTCGTGTTCGGTAGTTAAACATCCAGGAGGTTGCGGAGACGTTGGCTAACCCACCATCTAGCATAGGCCTGTTGCCGTCAATACAGTTTCAGACGTCCAGCGTGATGGAGGAGGGGATTATTCAAGAGATCTCATACGCTGAATCAAGGTATGTATATGGCTCATCGTGACGATCTTGCCGATACAGATCACTCCATGTTCGCAGCGATGTGTAGTGAGCACGGGCTTTTACTCTTGGACAGTCGGTGTAGTGCTCGATCCCCTAGTGGTAACAAACAGTTTAATTTTGTACGCTGCTTGTGTTATTGCGTTAATCTTGTACCCTGTACATACACCTTGCGCGAACAACAGACGAGGCACACATACGCGCAGGAGACGTACCACGACGTAAACTGGGTGTAGACACGGACATCCAACGCACGAAGGTTGAAGCAGAGTGGCTATAACAGCCTTTGGGAGACTAACCCAGGAAAAGGAGACCAGACTCCACGCGCAGTAAAGTCGACGTTCCCACCATGGTGCAGTTGGATGAGAGGGCAGTATATTGCATTAGATACAGTATCAGCAGAAGCACAATCATACACCTATTATCATACATGGATCAGTCTGCGCAGCCGTAGACTCAGTCTGCGCCATCCCTACACTCCGAGTCCAGCATCTGTATTCCTCTGCGGACCAGCCTCCGTCGCCACTCCATCATCTCTCCTTGCACACCTGCTTCCACAGCGCGCGACGACAACCCTGACCTCAGCCAGCGTACGTCACGGGCTCGTATCGATTTTAAATGGGGAAGCTTGGGGAGCAACGACTCTAGCACGGGGTAAAATTCTTGTCGCGGACGGGGTACCGAGAGAATCTGAAGGGGGTGAGAAGACGATGACAGCGTGAGAGCAGGAAGGGGTTTTTCAAGTGAGAGATGGTATAGACGAGGACACGTGTCCAGCAGAGTAGAAGGAGAGGGTGAGAAGACGGATGGCCACGTCTGCGGAGTGTACAGGTGAAGAGAAGTCAATGTTTGACCATGCGCTTCAATGAATTGGGGGACAAGGGAGTTGGAGACGAGTGTATCTGCGTATGGCGTGATCACGAGATGGTGAAGAGAGGGGAGGGGGGAATGGAGTAGCGCAAACATGACCGGAGAGTGCGGCATGGAGAGTAGGACAAGCCTGCGGAGGCGAGAAAGTTCAAGAGGCTTGAACAGGCTGAGGGCGTCAGACTCATCCAAAGAGTCTAACTCAGCTAAGTCAGTATCCTGTCCAGAGATCTCCAGTTCTTCCAAACTATTGCAGGAACGAAGGAAGGTGACGAAGGTATCCTCTCGTGTGCGCAAGGAGATGTGGACCTTAATGCCTTTCAAGATGCGTAGGTGCGCTATTCCTTCGCGATCCGATAGAGCGGTTATGACACGGCGACTGAGATGTATCGTGGGATTCAACGTGAGATGCGCGAGGAGGGGGACAAGTGGAAACAGCTGCGTGAGTAGAGCATCGACATGATAGCTTTCAGAAGTCAGGATTGTCTTCAGCTGGTGCAAGTCGAGCTCTTGCACCCAGCGTCCCGGAGTGGAGTAAGGTATCCGACGAATGGAGTCCCACATTTGATCTGCGGATTGGAGATGCGCTGTGAACTTCTCCAGGCTCGACAAAGTGCTGATGCGAACATGCGCATAGTACAGCGGCAGAGCAACAGCCTAAAAGATGAGATGTGGACAGAGGTCAAATTCCTGCATGAATGGTACAGAAGGAAAAGATGCCGTTCAGACCAAATGCTCAAGAACTCTCCGACTCACCGTTAATTCCTTGCATACGAGCAACAGACCGCGCTTCAACTTATCTCGCTCCGTACTCCATTTGTAATGCCCGTTGTACTGTTCGAACACAAACGCCAATATCTTCGCCCACAGCTCTGGTGGGACATGCTTCGCAGGAGCTCTGGATGGAAGGAGCGGCAGTAGAAGAAAGCTGCCAGAGCAGCGAGCGAGAGGGCGAGGATTCAAGAGAATGGGCTGGACATCTGTCCTGGTGATCACGCTCATCGTAGTGCAGAAGGAAGGTGAAACTCGCCACCGAGACGTTTTGTGGAGCGTACGGAGTCGGCACGCTCGGCCCGTCACCACGCTTCGGTGAATCGGAGCAGCGCAACTCCACCAGTACAGTACCGTCTGCAGATGTGGCGAACCCTCATCTTCCTGCAGGAATGCGACGAATGCCGACATGTGTCGTCCGACGTCGCCGATCCTCGAATTGCGAAAGCTCTCCGACTGACTCTGCCCCTGGATATTCGTCTGTCGACTTCTGCACGCGAATATTCGGGAGAGATGTACTGGGGAGAGTGTCGTTGTACATACATCAAGGTCAGTGCGTAAAAGCGGATATGCGCATTGGAACGATTCTGCCACTCGGCTTCGCGTTACCGAACGAATGGTTCTAGCCGGCGTTGTGCCGGAGGATATGTGGGTGTTCTACATTGGGGAAAAAGGTGTAATTGATCTTCGTCGTACTCCACGAGAGAGGATACTGGCCACCTGGTACATCTCCGAACGCGTGCTATCTCTCGTTGACCAGGACTTGTGCCGTTTGCAATCCCGGAGACAGTAATCCTGGAAACTCAGTGAGTAGTCGTTAACAGGCTGTAGTGGACGGCACGGATATGTTTCTTTACGATGAAAGGCTACGGACGTCTGTTCGTCGTCATAACTGGCAGGGTTTTTTTCTTTCTAGCTGTCGGAAGTTCGTTCGTTGTGAAAGAATTGGACAAGAAATGGTATATGACAGAGATCTCAAACAGACGGCGTAGCAATTGCAAACATACATTCCAACATCAATAAATCGTAGTGAAAGCCGCTAAGTACCCCTCTTCCACTGCATACCACGAGCGCTCGAAGAAAAATGCTACAAACAGCAGGACGGTCAAAAGAATGAGAGTGAGAGTTGATCTGGTCGTGCTGGCTACACAGGAAATAGAGATGAATTTTACACTAGGGTTGCAGACTTGCGGACGACTTACACGATTGGGGCCCATGCCATACTGTCTGAAGAAATTGACAAACTCCGGAAGATCCTCTCGAAGATTGGGGTCTTCGAAGTGCGCAAGAACCTCGATGGGCTCCCTTCCTCTGAAGCCGAGCATGTGCCCGCCCCAAGGATGACATTTCCCGCTCGTCAACTTCTGCACAGACCGGTTCAAAGGAGATCCATCGTTGAAGAAGTTGTCGTTGTACACCAGGAATAGCGCATGGCCAGAGGTAGGCATGTAGGAATCGTCGTACCTGCGGATTGTCTTGACGGATGGGGTCTCCTTGAACCACGGATGCCAGTCCCACTTATGGCGCAGGACATACGAGACGTCAGGATCTGGCTGAAACTTGTAATCAACCTTGACGGGACGAGGAGCGTCGCCGTCCGCAGGGAAGAGGATGGCTTGTACACTCCGCCGCTTAGTATCCGGCCCTCCCTTCACCAAGTAATCACATTCGGACTTGTGCCGTTTCCAATCCTACTATGCATCAGGATCTCCATGAAAGTCAAAAATTTGCGCAACTCACGGCGTCGCTATGCTCTTGCTTACAATAGCGGGCCTTCTTGCATCGAGAGCACTGCTTGGATGCATCTTTCCAGCACACGAGGCAGGGATGCCAGAGGTCTTCAGGACTCGCCATAGTTATGACAATATTTGCGTTACAGTAACTAGATCGCCTTAGTGAAGACGACTTATAAGCACAAGAAGCCTCGCCCCTATTGCCTTCCGAAGCACGCGGACGACGGGAGCAGGAATGCAATGGACGCACACTATTTCTGCAGTCAGTTCCAAAACCGAAGGCATCTATACGTAGCGGGGTGTCACGCTATACATTGGATACAACAACCCTTATGCATGTCAAATCAAGATCCAGGGGGACCCAAGATATCATCCATTTCCTCAACGAACTTCTCGTAATCATCTTTCGGCTTCTCTCGCCCGCCCTTTCCGCTTGCCTGGGACTTCTGGGCCGCAGCGGATCCAAACTGATCCTGCAGAGTGCTGAGAAGGTCGGGTCGCCGAGCAGCAGGAGCAACCTCCACTTCGTCAGAGCCTGCTGTGGGACCCAGAGAAGGAGCGGCATTGATCTTTGGGGCTGCGGCGCTGACCGCGCCAGCCTTCTTGCGCTTCAGAGCGGTAGGCACAAAGGCTGTGCTTTCCTTCTTCAAGTTACGCAATTCCGGAGCTGCCGAGACCGTCGCAGCTGCTGCAATGCTAGACGACGCGCTAGGTAGTGAAGGGTTGGGAGGAAGGGATGGGTGTGCCGGTGTTGCCAGTCTGGAAGCACGGTGAGCTTGATACGTTTGGTGGGGTATGGAAGATAGAGGATCCTGCTTTGCAGAAGCAGATTGACTCCGCCGAGGGAAGAATCCGAGTGGCGGAGGAGGAAATCCTGGAGGAGGTGGATGAAATTGGTTTTGTGCGAAACCAGGTGGAGGTGGCAGTAGGGTTGGAAACCCAGGAGGTGGTGGAGGTATACTTGAAATCCCGACTGGAGGCCCATTCGGGAATCCCGAAGGAGGCGGTGGAAGTTGAAAAAGAGGCAACCCTGAAGGTAGGACTGGGAATCCAGGTGGTAACGGCGGTAAAGCGCCAGGTAGGGGTGGATGGGGTATAGATGGCAAACTAGCAGGCGGTGGGGGAAAACCAACAGAAAAGCCTGGAGGCGGTGGAGGACTGGTACCAGCAGGGAATGCTGTCGGTGGAACAATGTGAGGAGGGAGAGTTGGTGGAAGAGGTGCCACTCCGGCTTTGGGCGGGGGAGGACCCTCAGGCATAGGTATATCGTCATCACTGTCGTCCTGATCTTCTGATGCTCCAGGCGGTGGCCCTTCAGGCATGACTATGTCTTCATCTTCACCTACGTGTATATCAGGAGATCGCGTTCTGTAAGACAGCCGTGTTAGAACATACCAGATCCGTCCTCCTCGTCACTTGCGACTTCATCTGGTCTCAGCGCTGTATATCATAAATGAGTATCAAATGTCTAGATAGAAAGGATTGTAGGACTAACGCCGCTCCACGTAAGGCATTCCAGGAGGAGGCACACCGTAGGAATTCATGACGGGATCATAGTATATGCTTCTCTCCGGATGTCGAGGGAGGCCATGCTTGTCGAACAGCTTCCTTGTCTTCTGGATGGGGATCTCGTCTTCTTTTTCCTCATGGTCGTTTTGCGTTTTTCGCGACCTGAAAACAAGCTTCCGATGTTCAGGGTGTTCAGCGACATAATCCTGCTTCTTCTTGGTGATCTTTTCTAGCTCTGTTTTGAGTTCTGCGAGGCGAGCTTTGTCCGATGCACTTTGTTGTGCTGATGTACCCTCGAGTTTTCCAATCTCTTCTTCGAGCTCTTTTGACGGAGATCAACAACGTCAGCAGACAAATGATGGCACTCAGGGCTCACCTCCCGTGTCCTTCTTGACGAGAGCAAAGTCGCGAGCTTTGGACCTCTCAGTTTTATTCTACTACAGGCGACATATGAAGGAGACACTTGAAAGAACGTGATGAGCACTCGCCTTCTTTAGTTCCTTCTTCCGCTGCGCCTTTCCTGCAAACTGGGTTGAGCTAGCGGAAGCGCTCTAGTAAACATGCACGTACGAAAGGCATCAGCTGGGTTCAGGTTTTTGTTCTTCGCCATGACGAGCAACAAAATAAGTCTACAAGCGAAGACTCTGTATTACGTTGTCGTCGTGTACGATGTTACGGTTGAGGTGGCGGACGCGGGAGAATTGCACGTGCGCCGGGTCTTGAGTCATCGAGCGCGATGAGCGAGTTCCTTCGACTCCGAGTCCCAAGTGGTGGTTGCCTTCCCTTCATCTGGGAAGCTTCCCCACAGCGACACTTATCCTCAACCATCACCGCACCGCGACGACGACCACGGTTACAGCGACTCGCCGTCTGCTCCGTTCGTGTCATGACTTCCCAGGGCGGTGTTCTCCAGCCCACCACCCCAAAGCGCCAGTCCAAGATGGCTTCGACTCAGTCTCTGAACCATCTCCTCAATTTCACCCTTCCTCCCAGGCAGTCTCACCAGGCTCAGAGTCTGCCTAGGCGGAACAGGAAGACTGGAACGCATCAGGGTGTCTGGAATAAGGAGAGTACGTGTTACAGTTTACCGTGCTCTGAATTGACCGGTATTCACTGCATACTTGGTGTCTGCAGGGTTCGTCAACGCCCAGTACCGCTTTGTTATGAACCCCCATGGAGACTACACCGTCCATTTCGCGGATCCGGACATGTAAGCTGAGCTGGTGCTGTTATCGTGACATCACTGACCGGTGGTTACAAGTTTCTTCCAGTGGCATGATATTCTTCAAGTAATAATTCCGCGAACTTCTGCGATGGCGTCTGCTGCAGGTCCAGGAGACCAGACTGTTCAAGAGGAGGGCGTCACGACCTGTCCCATCTGTCTCTCACCACCGACCGCCCCTCGAATGACCAAATGCGGTCATGTACGTGTATGCCTATCCTATATCTGCTGGTATTCTCATGTTTTCTAGGTTTTCTGCTTCCCGTGTATTCTGCATTACCTCAACACTTCAGACAACCCGAAGTGGGTTCGCTGTCCGATTTGCTTCGATTCAGTGAACGAGAGACAGCTCAAGAGTGTCAAGTGGTTTGATACTCCACTCGTGGAAGACACGGAGGAGCCTCCAGCGGAAGCTTCATCTTCAGCTTCTGCGATGGATAACGGCCTTATTGCCACGCCTCACCCTGGTTCTTCTCTCCGCATGCGGCTTATCCAGCGACCTCAGATCACCACGCTAGCATTACCTCGCTCGCAAACATGGCCATCTGATCTGCTTCCTCCGCATCAGGCTCCATTTCATTTCTTACCTGACGTCCTCACTTTTGCGAAGTTCATGCTTGCTACTCCAGCTTACCTCATTGCAGATCTCACCAAGGATCTGGACGAGCTTGGGACTGAGAGGCGAATGCTCCTCAGCATGGGTGACGATCTTAGCGTCAGCTTCGTAGATGCCGCAGAGGCGAAGTTGCGGCAGCAGATCGAGAAGGCGGCTGCTCTAGAGACACCGCAATTACAGGAATCCGTTGAGAATGCCTTGCAAGTCCAACAGCAGATCCTGGATCGCCATTCCCTGCATGACCAGCGCAAGAGAGAAGCGGAGTCTCGTGCCCGACCACCGGAAGATATTCCTCAAGATTTCCTGGCTACCCAAGCTGTTGGTTTCAACACCGCGAAGGCTTCCCCCTCTCCTGCACCACCGTCTACACCTGCTCCACGCGCATCCACACCTACCCGCAACCCCAGACAGCGCCGGAATCTGAACCCGCCGCCGCCGTCTACATCCACTTACTACTATTACCAGGCAGCAACAGGCATGCCGATCTTCCTGCACCCGCTCGATATCCGGATCCTCTTATCGCACTTCCACAGCTACGCAGATTTTCCAGATACCATCACCGTGCGCGTCGAGTCTTACGCGGAGAGCACGGTGAATGAGGATCTGCGCAAGCGGTGCAAGTACCTCGCGCACTTCTCCGAAGGTGCAGACGTCGTGTTCGTAGAAGCTGATCTGGAGGCTGTGGTCGGCGCGGACTGCCTCAAGAACTTCGAGGGCCCGCTCCGCATGCGGCGGACACGCCGCAAGGAGAAGGGGCGCAAGGACGACAAGGCGCGTGCGCGTGCTGAAGAGCGCGAGAAGGAGAAGCTCGCGTATGTGTGGCAGGACGCTGGCCATGTGGTGGTCCCGCCTGCCGCGCAGAGACCGCGCTCCCCTGCGGACATAGACGATATCACGCAGCCTGATGTCGAGGAGCAGTCGCAGCCAGCTGGAGCGTGGGGCGTTCGGAGTTTCGCCTCCGCTGCTCACGCGGCGGCGCAAGGCCAACCTGCTCCGCGTCCTCTGCGGCGCGACAGGGAAGGAGAGGCAGATGAATGGGAGCTGGATGTGGCATTCCATGAGCTGGAGCAGAGGAGTGGTAGAGGCGGGGGGAAGAAGAGGAGCGACAAGCTGGTTGTCCTCGGCGGCGGCAGCGGCGGAAGGCGACGTTGATCCCGAGCATCGTCAATCACTATCTAAGGACGAGACGGTTTTATGTTTTTACGGTGTTGAAACAAATCCAGTGTAGCAACAGTAATTCAAGCAAATACATCGTCGGCATTGTACCACCGCTACTGTGAGATACATGGTCCGCGAACAGCGTCATGACGCATGGTGAAACAGTGTGCATGCGCGCACAGGTGCATCCTACTAGAAAATGGGGTACTATCGGTAGCGGGTAGGGACAACGCTGAGAAGCAGAGGGAGAACGTATTGTATGCACGCGCAGCCACATGAACATGATATCAAGAGAATAACGGCCAGCGAGAAAGAAAGTGGATATATCTGATGTGCGCAATGATAGCATGTCGTGACTGTTCATTAAAGCGAAAATAAAACGCGAGAAATGCACTCGCCGTTTCAGATGACCTGCAGGTAATTCGACGGCGCGACTGCAAAAGACAGGATCAGCTCCGCCAGAGGCACGCAGGATTCAAAGACTCACTTCCTACTGTGCCATCCGATTTTTTCGCTTGCCACCACTTCCCTTGCTTGTCCAGGATCTCCAACGTTTCACCCTTCGAGAACGATATCTCGTTTGGATCATCGACGGAGGCGGTGTCTAAGTCGCTAAATTAGTGCACGGATTAAACGTGTCAGGTCAGTCCAAGACTCACATGCATATAGTGCTTTCGCTCTGTACATATCTGGACTAATGGGATTATCGACAGGGTCTGGGCTGCCCTGTCCACTTCCGCCGCCTGCGGCACCAACACCTGCAGCACCGCTGCCCATCAGCGGAGTGTTCGCAGTCGCATTGTGGTCTACAGCCCCTATCGAGCCGGGACCGCCGGTAACAGGAACATTGTGAATGCTACCCGTCCCAACGACGCTCCTTGTTGCACCCTCCATGCTGCCTGCATTATAGCTGTTGCCGCCCCCGATTGGACCGCCGAGGCTTCCGGACATTTTGGTATCGTAGCCAGGCATGATACCGCCGGATGGTGTAGTGGCGTAGCCGGCCTGGTATCCGTTTCCTGGGCCAATGTTATGCATTGATGTCGTGCGCGTCATCCTCCGGCGGCGCGATGGGGAAGTGAGACCGCCAGTGCCAAGTGCGTTGAATATGTGGAGAGCCAGGGAGTCCTCTTCTGAGGTGAAGTAGAGCACCCAGAGGATGTCGACTATGGCGAGGATGAGCCAGCCAGCAGCCATCGCGTTGAGGGAGGCGAAACCAGAGAAGATGCCCTGGTTGACGCCGATGACAGCGAAGACGATAGCGACAGCGCCGAAGACGGAAATTTGGAAGCGGTGCATCGCGATGGAGTCAGTCGCGAGAGTGTGCAGGACACCCAGGATGAGGAAGAGCTGAACGAAGATGGAGAACCATAGCACGCCGACGTTACCGTTGCCGTCTGGAGAACAAAATTCACGGTCTGCATTTGAGAAAGGAGATGGCGCTCACGCTGTGCAGTCGCTATTGCCTGGGCAATGAATGCTAGAAACCATCCTATCTGGAGTCAAGAATAGGGTCAAACCGGTGTTGCAACGAAGATGTGAGCGAACTGACCACTGCAAGGATGGTTGTGAAGAGAAAGAGATAGTGGGTAAGTATCGGTGTAAAGTCAAGCCCCTCGCTTCCTCGTGGCGGCATATTCAAAGGGGAGGGGTGCAGACGATGTCGTCGAGATCGTCAAGAACGACGAAGAAATGTGTAGGTCAGACAGAAGGGGAAGAACCTGGAAGGCGGCAGCGGAGAAGGAGGAGATGTAGTAGGCAGTGCGCAGACACGTTCAGGAAATTCTCACAGGCCTATGTATGGTCACAGCACGCGCCTGCGCCTCTCGGTGACTTCCTTACTCTGCCAACATTGTCCTTGTTCCCTCTATGTAGATCTGGGTAGTCGCCCATGCTGTGCGCCAGAAAACTCATATCCTTTTCGTTTACTGCCCACTCGTCGTGCTCAACGCCGAGACGAAACCGGACGACACAACTGGCTGGCGACCGTGACTGACTCGGCTGCAGGTGCTCCTGAATCACGACCCTCTCTGGTAAGGTCCTCGCCGACACTGACCGTCCACGAGCTAACGTTGTGCTAAACTAGTCACCGTCATTTCAGAGCCTCCGTGGTGCCCCTATGATGGAAACACGGTTTTCGTTGAATTTGACGATAACTTTAGCAATGCTCGCAGAGATTCCGTAAGCGCCAAGTACTAGTGCGTCAGAGTGTAATGGGGGCTGACTCATCCCGCACTGACGCCGAGTCACCGCGGACTGCTTCAGCGGCCGCTCCAAACTCCTCTCCGAGAGTGGCGGGCACGCGTCCGTATATAATCACCAGCCTTGCCCAGCCCGTCCTAACACGCCCGCTTCCCCCTGTTCGCGACTGTACTTCCTGGATCCTTCATGGACGTCCATTGCCATGTGTATTGGCAGCCTTGAGTTCACAGCCCAGGTCTTAATCCAGACGCCTTCCTTTTTCCTCTGCGTATCTTGGATGGTCATTTTCCACGCACTCATGGATGTGCTGCGCGTAGTCGCGGGGACCGTGCTTGCCACGGGTTGGTTGCTTCTGGCACGTCATAAATTGTCTGTTTGGTACGCGGAGTTCTCATCCTTTGCTCCAGAGCATTGTGTCCCCACTTGGTCGTTTGCTCCCTGGCTTGCACTCTGCGACGGCGAAAGGTGGCGCGCAGGGTGCAAAGGGCGCGCGTAGCGATCCTCCAAAGTCACCGTTATCTATCAAGGAAGTCATCGAGGTCGCTTCTGCCGGCTCTGTGGTATCAGTGCAGCAAGACATGAGCGGTCATGTCCGCTTTGCGAAAGTTCGCACTGAGCAATCGGTGCAACCCACATACTCTCGCTCTCCCGACGCATCACCTCCACCTGCGTCTCCACCCCTTACTCGCAATATGTCACCTCTTCGTCAGGAGGTCGTCATGTCTGCTTCACCAATTGCTTCGGAAGCGGATACATCCCACGCTGCTGATGTTCCGACGCAAGAAAATTCTAAGTCTGTGCCCCCGCCCTTGAAGCGTTTGTGCGGGAACGCTTTCCAGCATCCTCCACGGAGCGACACCATTTCGTCAGATCACTTTTCTTCTGCGTCGTCAGACACCGTGGTTTCCAGTCCTGTATCGTGCGAGTCCCAGGACGCGATTCAGGCGCTGACGCCGCCCCCAAAGAAGCACAAGCTTCTGCGGATGACCAGTGTCCCTCTTGGGAACAGTGAGTATCTTGCATTTCGCTCATGCCACACATCTCATTTGCTTTCAGCGAAGAAACACAGGAATTCCTGCATGCTGCGGAAACATAATAGCCTGTCTTCGGCACAGCACACGTCAACACCCCGGCCGCCACCCCCGCTGCGTACGGACCCGTATCAAGCGCCGTACTTTTTCCCTACCCCAGCCTCGCCTGAGGCTGCCGATTACATTCACCAGGTCCGTCGTGGTCGTGCGTTGGCGAGCACTGCGCTACCCGACAGTGGCTCTGAGCCACCAGCTGACCATCTGCGAACCGCGCGTCGGTCCCTGGATTTGCCCAAGTTTTCTCCACCGACCACTTCAGTCAAGGATCTCGTGCACGAGGAGCATCGTGACGATGTCGATCGTCCGCGGAAACGGCATTGGCATTTCCTACATCGGCCTCATAATCGGTCAGCATCGTTGGGTTCGGACGCGCGTACACTAGGCTCAGATTCGGGCTACAGCGAGGTCAGTCGTTGACTGTTCGCTGGACTTGTGCACGCAAGTCAGCCAGGTGAACATCGTTTACGTCTCTCGATGTTCATGACTTCCCCCCTCGATCTGACATATTGCGGATGTGTCAGTATTATCACGGGCCCGTACGTCTCTATGACGCGTCTCCTACGGAGGACGCGACCCCTTCGGACGACAGCCGGCTCGTCATCAATTCTTCTGAATCTCAAGATTCGACTCGACCCAGGATTTGTGTCGGGCATGCGATCCAGTCAGAAGTCTCGCAGAGATGTCGGAGGTATTCAGTATTTGCATTCCGTATTTATTCTCGCAAGGCTCCACTCTCCTTTAAATGTAGCATTTCCCCACCTTACGTCTGCTGTAATGTATCGTACGTACTATACTGCTTGACTATAATTTGTTACAATATTGCAATGTCGGCCGTCTGCTTGCACTCAGATCACCGTAATGGGTATCGGATTAGATTAGATGAGATTGAAGGGAGATCGAAGCGCCTCTTGAGCGCCTAAGCTCCGAACTTCGTGCCGCTCGCCTGCCTCCCGACTTCATATCTCTTGTGCACATGGACCCCGACACTACATCACACGATTCTCTACATGTTCCTCCACATCCACCAACTCCTCTCCCATTGGCACACTTTTCTCCAACTCCCAGTCCCCAGCCCCCAGCACCAGTATCATCGATGCAGGGACCACTACCCGGGCCAGTGCCACAACCAGCCGTGAGCGACTCTAAAGAGCACCTACTTCCAGCCCCAGTACTCGCGCCGAAAAGTGTACTACTACTTTCAGAACCAACGCCGACCGAGCCGAAGAGAGCCGCGAAGGCGCTGCGTCCGAGGACACCCAGAACCGCGCCGAGGACGCCCAATCCGATGACACCGCAGGATATGGCCAACGACGGTGACGGCGTGGCCACTGCGCTTTCTGGCCCCGCTGTCCCGCGCTCGCCGGTCCCCGATAGGCCATTGAACGTGACGGACGCGTTGAGCTACCTCGATGCGGTGAAGGTGCAGTTCCAGGATAAGCCAGATGTGTACAACCACTTTTTGGACATCATGAAGGACTTTAAAAGCCAAATGTGAGTGTCTTCTCTTCTTCGTCTGTATCCGTTGGGTTGGTGGTGGCATGACGTATGGCGTTTTTCTGGTTGTTCCAACCATATGCCACTTCTCTTGTGTTGTATCATTTCGCTGAGTATGACGCGTCGTATGTGTTGTTGTGTCCGATAACGGATTCCTTGCGGCTGTATTGCATGTTCTGATTCGTCTCAGGATTGATACTCCAGGAGTTATTGAGCGTGTTTCAATGCTCTTCCACGGGAACCCGTACCTCATACAAGGGTTCAACACCTTCCTCCCTCCCGGTTACCGCATCGAGCTCTCTACCGACCCGCTCAATTTGGACACTATCACCGTCATGACCCCAGTAGGTACCATCACGCAGAGTATCACCGCGTTTGGTACTCCCGTACGCGTCCCGCGCGAGCCACTCTTGGCCGCACCGACGATCATCGCGCCGTTTGCTCAGCCACCACCCTTTGGACCTCCCCCGCCCGTTCTGCCCGTTGGTATCGGGAATGGTTCGCGCCCACATACACCGCTACCACACATGTCCGTTGTCGGCGGTCCGTCTCCATTTGTCGAGCCTCCTGCTCCTTATTCGCCCGCGACGCAAGGGGCCCAGACGACTGCTGCTGCGTCCTTCCTGGGCAACTTGAACAATAGGACCGTGGAGAAGGCTCCGGCTGGCGAGTTTAACCACGCAATCCAGTACCTCAACAAGATAAAGATGCGCTTTGCAGACGACCAAGAAACGTACAAACAATTCCTAGAGATCCTGCAGACATACCAGAAGGAGCAGAAACAGTTGCATGACGTGAGCTTCCTATACTATTTACGTGTGGCTTTTTTTGCCGCTTGTACTGATCGAGTTGTTTCTCCAGTCACAAGTGTATGCACAGGTTCAGATGCTGTTCAAGGACGCACCTGATCTGATGAATGAGTTCAAAGACTTCCTTCCAGAAGCCATGGCACCGTCCGTTCAACCCGCGGGGTTGGTTGGTATCATGCCCCATCCAGTAAGTAGTTCTGGCCCTTGGACTCAAGGTGAACCGTCCACCGCACCACCGGAGAAGGTTAGTAAAGCTCCTAACAGACGGCGGAAGCGAGCCGCCGACAAGGAAACACCTGCGACGCAGAAGGGTGGAAGCCGAGTGAGCTCTCTTTTTCCCGGTAAAACCCTTCTGTTCACACGGCGTGTTTATTCTAGGCCAAACGAGCGAAGACGACTCAAAAACCGGAACCGGCGTCGCCCAAATTCTCACCGTATCAGGTCCCACAGTCTCCTCAGCCAGTCCCGCCCCCTCCGCACCAGCCAACCAGCGCTCCGCATCATCCTCACGCAACTCATACCCACGCCCTGCAACCCACTGCTATCTCACCGAATCCATCCGTAACCACCTCGGAAGAGCTCCTGTTCTTCGATCGCACCAAGCGAGCATTGGAGAACGGTGGAACGTATGAAGAATTCTTGAAGCTGCTGAACCTTTTCGCGAAGGATATTATTGACACAGAAACCCTAATTGACCGTGCGGAAATCTTTCTGGGCGATGGGGACCTTATGACGCAGTTTAAGGACCTGATGAACTGGGATGACAAGCATGGCAATGTTGAGTACGGACCGCCGGGCAGCATCAGGACTGGTCCTCCGGACGTTTACGCAGCAAGGATCCCAGACGATGGCCAGGGACCGAGCTATCGCCGATTGCCAGACAGTGTGAGTCCACTTCCCACACGTTTATAGAGCTGTCTGATAGAAGGCACCAGGAAATTCACCTTGCATGCTCTGGCCGCGACGAACTTTGTTGGTCTGTGCTCAACGACGTGTGGCTCTCCCACCCTACGTGGGCATCGGAGGACGCCGGGTTCGCTGCACATAAAAAGAACCAGTTCGAAGAGACACTAGCTCGGAGCGAAGATGAGCGGCATGAATACCACGTGCAAATAGATGCTCTCCAACGTACAATCGCTGTGCTGGAGCCGCTGGATGTGCGCCTCGAGGAAATGACGGCTGAAGAGCGTGCTCAGTTCAGGCTGAAGCCTGACCTTAGCGGCACTGGGCGGGCAATCTACGAGCGCATTATCAAAAAGGTCTATGGGCGGGACGCCGGGCTGGAAATTCTGAAAGCGCTCCAAGAGTGTCCTGCGGTCGCTGTCCCCGTCGTGCTTCAACGACTGAAGCTGAAAGACTATGAATGGCGGCGATGGCGGCGCGAATTTAACAAGACATGGAAGGACGTAGATGTGAAGAATTTTTACAAGGCTCTTGACATGCAAAGCGTCGTCTTCAAGACGAACGACAAGAAGAATATTACTGCCAAGCATTTCGTGCAGGATATTGAAGCTGCGAAGGCTGCACAGACCCAAGCCAGGGAAGCGGAAACACGTCCCACTCCCATTGGCAAATCACTTGGCCACCAGCTGGAGTACGAATTCAGTGACACGGGCGTTCTGCACGATTCCCTCAAACTGATTTATTCGTTCCTCGATCATTCTCCGTCACTGTACGGTCCTTCGGAACGGCGCGGCATTGAGCGCTTTTTGCGCCAATTTGTCCCCCTCTTCTTCATGTATCCCGTGCAGGAGTTCAACGCTGCGTGTGGGCCTCTGGAGGGTGGTCACGATGACGATATGACTGACGATACTGTTCTAAGTACCGACGGAGTTGATGACCATCCAATCGCTAACCGCGACCGCAGTGGAAGGCGGCAACCGAGCGGGAACCACTCTACTGCTGTCTGTGCTGGTGACCTCAGAAGGCGACTTCTAAGAACGGCACAAGAACGATCACCCCGGACGAAGACGAAGGAACTCTCTTCGCGTTCAGCGGCTCATACTAGGTCTACATCCCCAGTCCCGAACGAAGGAAGTGCGTCAACTGCGCGGATCAAAGCATCTAGGCTGAATCAAGAATTGGCCATCGAGGATACTCTCCGCACAAGCCCCGAGGATATTTGGATCATGGAAGCTGGAGCTGCTTCTGCTAGCGCAGGCGAGGGGCCGATTCGGAGGCGGCCTTTTTTCGCAAATACAACATTCTATACGCTGTTGCGCCTTCTGCAGGTATGACGCTACTCAGCTCACGCGGGCACAGATGAACTGACAAAGGGTCATCATGCGGCTTAGCTGTTGTATTCACGGCTGCTGCTGTGCAAGGACTTCGGAGCGCGCACGGCTGCGGAAAAGCATGCCAGTTTGCTCGCGAACCCTGTTGCTGTCCAGCTGGGATTGGACGAACCCAATGGCCCACCTGCCGTACTGGCCCAAGCAATGGAAGCTTTAGGTGAAAGTCGAACAGCCGAGGAGCCGAATGTTCTATATCTGTACTTGCTCGACGCATGCGAGAAGGTATTTGCAACCGAGCTGGACCAACCTGTGTTCGAGGAGCATATGCGTTGGTTCTTCCGTACCAAGGTAAGGGGTGGATTATCCCAAGTTGCGAGACGCTGAGCATCCACGTCTCGTCCAGGCATATCATGTCTTTACCCTGGATAGGGTGATCACCGCGATTGTCAAACAGGTGCGTTTACAGCGACTCTTTGTGCTGGTGCCGATGGACTAACAAGATTGACGATGTTGCTCGGAAGGTACAAACCATAATGGCGGACCATAAGTGTCAAGAGCTATGGGGACTTCTGCAAGCAGCACGAAGTGAAGAGGTTCTTACGGCACATGATACCATCCGATATAGGCGGGAAGCAGAGCGTCACGTTGGATCAGATGACAATCTATACCGGTTCGACTGGGTATGTCATCATGGAGTCTGTGCGGCAATGATCCCTGATTGACAGCCAATCGGCACAGGACGCGCAGTCGAGGATGATACGGATCCAATTGGTGGGTGGGGGTGATGCCAGCGTGGATGAAGACAACTCGACAATCGGGCGGTGGCAGGAGTATGTTGCGAGTTATGTTCTGGCACACGCGACGGAATGGATGCCTGCAGAACCGCGGCAACATGGGGGGTTATTCTTGAGACGGTGAGTGGGTATGGGGTATGTGAGATGACATGTGAGTGCTGAAGGGTATTAATAGGTGCCTGATGGACGGGTCCGAGAAAGGGGAAGCGCTGCAGCGGGAGAAGGGGGTGCGGATAGTGGTTGCCGCAGGAACGTACAGGCTGATGTATGCAGCGGGGAGCGAGGAGACGTTGTGGCGACGGCGGGGAGAGGCAGCGGACGGGGAGCTCAGGGCTCGTGCACGTGCACAGGCGGAGGAGCGGATGCGACGACTGGGGCGGCTGCTTTCGTAGGCTGCCGTGGGACTCTGTGCTATTTCTGTATCTGCGCTATTTTTGGACTGTAGCCTATTCTGTCGTTACTCAACGTGGTCCCCTGCATAAGTAATTCGCCTTCGCCGTCTTTCTCCTCTTGCTCCCTGTCTCCCACAGCCCCCAGCTCTCCCTCCTCGCCGTCCCCCACGTCCTCCGCGCACCCACACTCGTCCTAGCGCTACCCGCGAGGTAGCATGCGCAGGCACAATTTACTTGGCCCGTCGTCCTCCGTTGTCACGGGTTCCACTCCTCCGCCAGCCCACCATATTCCTCGTCGTCCCCGTCGTCGTCGTTCGCCAGGCCCTTCATCTTCATGGTCGGCATTTTTCGTGACCGTCGTAGCATCAGCCTCACCCGCGGAGAGTCGCCCCTTTACCGCTCAAGCCACTCCACCGCCAGATTTCCTCTGCCCACACTTCGGGAACATTCCATGTCGGAACTCCTTCTCCGCTCCCACAAGTTCTCTTCCCCCACAGAGCAGCGTTACTCCAGTCTCGGTCGCATTCACACAACAAGTGCCGAGAAGTGCAAGCGTCGCAGACAAGTTTGTCCAGGGTGATGATAAGCGTTGGCGTAAAACCGATATGTGGTCTCTGTACGGCTCCACTATATGCATGGTGAGTAATTTCCTTCCCATGATCCATGCTTTTTAGTGACGCTTGTGGGTTGCAGGCGTCCGAATGCTCGGCAGTCCCAATTTCGACCGTCCAAAGTTCGTCCACCCCAAGTTCCCCCCCAAGTTCGACCATCCCAAGTTCGACAACTGATTACGCTACTTTAGTTGCCGAATCTGCTTCCTCCAGCTATACGTCTTCGACCTTTGTACATTCTTCCAGTACTCCATCTCTCCCTTCAGGGTGGCCGACGAAACCCAAGGATGACAATGTAACAACCCCAGTCATTGTCACGCTGTCTCTTGTCCTCGCCCTCTGCATCTGCTCTATCATCACACTATGTGTGATGTGGCGAAAGAAGCGGCGTCTCAAGGCTCGGAGCGATTTGGAGAAGAGAGCGCGGAAGGATAGTCTAGGTGACGACTCTGATAATGAGTCGGAGGAGCTCAAGCACTTCCGCTCTAAACAGAGGATATGGGCCAAAGCCACGGCGCGGTGGAAGGCCAATATCCGACACTCCGTGCGGAGGAGGAGGAAGCACGCGGCGTCAGGACCCAAAGACACTGGTTTCCGGACGTTGGTCGAGACATGCCAAAATTCGCAGTCTTCCGCGTCTCTACCGCGCACTGCAGACAGTCATGATTCTGCGGGCTATGAAGCTGTCAACGACATCTCGTCTTCACTGCAGTCTCATGACCCAGTAAATGCTCATGTGATCCATCCTCCGAGCCCTACCTCTTCCCCTACTCAACCTCCAGCATATTTATCAAATTCTCCAGCAGTGTGCGATGACTTGGCTTATGCGCATTGCTCGCAGAATCTCTCCCCATACCCCAACCTTAATGATACCACACCATCTAGCTCGGTTTCAGGGGGCGCGAATCCGGACATCGAATACCAGGAGTCTTTTAGGGCAGCACACGTCGCCACAGACGACAAAGCAGTACTGGCACGTATCGCATCCATGGCTAGCGCGCCGCCTTTCACCGACCTTTCCTCATCTGAGGAATTGACCGTCTCCTACGCCTCGGTACCTGCTCTTGACGACGAATTCGAGGACTTGCCATTCGGCATGCAGGTCTCTGACACGGAGCCAGGTGCATCACGGAGCTTAGGAACACTTCCGCCGGCGATGTCGCATGAACATGTCGATGTGCCCTCTTATTCGTGCGATGTCTTCCCGCAGCCGTCTCTTCTTCCCCCGCCGCCCATGAAGGCCCTGGCGGCGTCTATGTTCTACGAGTATCCGTCCTCCTTCGAGGAGGATTACTGCGCGGAGCCTGAGGCGCACCCATCAGCGCCACCGTTTGAAGTCGAGAGCTCCGCCGTACCAAGTGCTCCGCCGCTTGAACTCGATTTCGAGTCGGGTGACGTCGGGGGTCTGCTACCGTCCGCTCCGCCTCTGGACGATGAAGTCACTGCCCGAGGGAGTTCTCTCACCGCAGCACCGCGAGAGCCCGCCGATCGCGGTGCGGAGTCGTCCTCATCCGCATCCGCTATGCGTCGTGCGCCGTCGCCGCCGTGGAGTGCCAGTCCGCCGCGTTACCTCCCTTAGCACCCTAGCGCCGTCTGTGTTTTCTGTAGCTTTCTTGGATCGGCATAGTTTTATTTTACATGCATTTGGTCACCCGTAGTCATTCAATGGAAGGAGGTCTCTGTCCACGATTTGCGCGGACGCTGTGTGTATTGTCGGTGCGTGCGGAAGCAGATAGTACCAAGTTCCGTCATAGTCCAGGCGTGTGCCGTTTGCTTCCGCCTCGGGGATGCAAATATGCAATTCGGATCTGAGAGATTGCCCCCTCCTATGTTTCTACCCCTTCGCGACCTGCTGCAGGGCAAGGAGAAAGTATGAGGAAGCTGTGTAGGCATCTGTTTTTGGAGGAAAAAATACGCCACCATCTTGCCTACTCGTCTTGCAAATCAAGTTCGAGCATCGAAAGGGTAGACATATCTAGTGGTTTCATATGTAGACAACAAATAATCCCACAAAAACATTTTGTAGAATACATTTGAATTAGAAACCATAGGCAAGCACAAGAACAGAGGGGTATTTCAAACTCGTAGGTAACCAGGAAAATAGGAAAACAAGCAAACTACGGTTATTTCTGCGCACTCATTCCATTTGATGCACCGAGCTGCAAGCCAACAGACTTGTGACAAAGTACACCAAAGAGAAGGAGCAGCAGAAAATGCCAAAAGAAAGTTCCCCCGACGACACAAGCCAGTACTGCAGTAGCAAGGTCATCGCGTTCCCATGTTGCAAGCAGAGCATAGGAAACAAGGGCGGCAAAAATTAGATAACCAATAATGGAGGCGGTGCCTCCATAATAGTGGTTAAACTATTAAGAACAGATACTACACTTGATCTAAGCCAAAAGGCCAGAGTGGTGAAGATTTGGAGTGCTCCAACCCGGATTATATACCGACGCTCATCTGCGCACGGACCATCTTTTGTGTGGCCCCGAATCGGGAAGGTGTTGTGGAACGCTGGGGTGCACCTAGCGCCTTCTTACTCAAGTACAAATGTGTGCTTCAGAAGTGAGCTGGACGATAAATCAGGCCGACCATCCTACGTCTCATATAGTTTTTGAAGTTGTAATGTCTGTATATCATCTACTAGATTGTCCACGTCAATACATAACGACCAGTCCGTCCGTGTTCCTATGGACCCTGCACATGATAAACTCGATGCCGTTGAGCCTTATGTCCATTGTATGCATTCTGAACCACCTGATCTCAAGAAGGAATCATGATAGAGGCCGGCCTCCCACTCTCCCGACCATGGACCCCGAGAATCTTGGCACCGCAATCCAGCAGTACGCCTGGTCCAGAGATAGCCCTCCTATGTTCCAGAGAAGGTCTTCGAGCGATCTGCGCTGCACCGTAGGCTTCGTTCTCTTTATCGTCCGAGGTAATCAGAGACGCGCTCGAGACCCCAAGCTTCTCTGAGGAAAGTCTCGGCCCAAGGTTCTTCTTGAAGACCTGGATCAGCTTTGTCTTCTTCCCGTGCGTTGGGTGGAGCAAGGCAGGAGAGCACCAGAAGCCCACGGGTGTGAATGACTTCTCGCCGGGAGCGAGTGTCCCATATTCGGAAATACGGTCATCGACTCTGTACTCGAACCGCCAGCTTAGCTTGAGCGGCTCCTGACGAGACTGTGCCACGTATCCGCGGGAACTGTTGGGGTGGTGCTCGAATAGTTCCGTGCCACGGACCACGTACACTCCATTCGAATCAATCCTAAGAGAGGCCTGCCGAGATATGTAGTCCTTGGACCCGTCCCCTGCCAGAGTCAAGCGGCGCAGCACGAGCGGAGTGTCGAGCGTGCCACGGCGGAGGACAAATGCCTGTCGCTTCACTGGACGGAAGTGGGCTGCACCGTAGGTGAGAGCGTTGACCAGGTCGACGTTACGATCGTCCGAGGCCTCCTCGCTCGAATAACCCACTAGCGTGAATGTCGGCCACATAGTCCGAGAGCCTTCTTGATCAATCCAAAACTCCAGTTCGATTTCCCGCAGCCATCCAAGTATACCTGGTATGTTCGGTGACTTGGACGACGGAGAGGCCAGTGGGCTTGAGATGCGACTAGATCGCGCGCTACTAGTAGGCCTGACGCCGTTCTTCGCGAATGCAGTGCGAGGCGAAGGAGGTAGGCGGATGTCAAAAGAAGCTACAACGGGTGTCACGGGAGCAGAGCTAACTTCAGCGTTGTGAGGCATAGGGGAAGGGCTGCGCGAGCGTCCACCGGCTTCAGACAAGGGAGAAATGCTCTTCGTCTTCTGGTGACGCCTAAAAGAGAAACCATCACGCTTGACACCAGGTACTGCATAGTTGACATCCGCGGTGACAATGGACGGTGAGGGTGATAATAACGAACCGGATCCGAAGAGAGCGGTGGAGAGAATGGTGCTAGATCCGGGACTTCTGAAAAGCCCAGAAGACGAGCCACGATATGCGACGCTTTCTGCCGAGGTATGCTGCTGATACTCGTAGAAGGAATGGGATGATAGAAATGGAGATTCCACTGCAGGCGAACTCGGGACTGAGCATACAGGTGTCATTCTACCAGAGACGACTGGAGAGCCGTGCGCAGAGCCTGTCGGAGACGAAAAGCGTAGACTATTGCCATAGTCTACATCATGAGCGGTGAAGTTGACACTGCTGCTGCTGCTGGGGGACTGGATCAGGAAGTGCTCCTCTTGAAATTCCTCTTCCTGCAGCAGGAAGTCCCCGCAGTCCGTTTCTGTGTGGAGAAAAATCGGAATCTCGCCAGAGCTACAGAGCGAAAACAGTGTGCTAGCTTCCAAGGAGGGTGAGGGGCTAGGAGGATTCAACTCGTCGAGACCCTCGAGGACTTCCCAATTCGATGCACGCCGATGTGGGTACTGTTCCATGGAAACAATCTCTACCCCAGTGAAATACAGTCAATCCAAGGATGGTGGGAATTCTTCCTGCAAGACCAGCTTGCCAATCTTGCCTCCAGAAAAGTTGGTAGAAGTTCAATGCTTGATGCCGAGAACGCGTGCTAAGACGCGTCTTGATCACGTGCCCCCCTCCCGGCTAACCTCGAGCGTTCCTGCCATCCTTGCGTCTCCCTTCTTAAAAATGCTGGCATAGGTTACATTCTAGAGATGGCTGCAAACATACAAACCATCCATTTCCGTCGTCCTGAACCCAAAACGACTCCTGCGCCAATTGTGAAGCCCAAGAATCGGCATGCTGGAATCCTTCAAGACCAACTGCGCAGGTGGGCAAGCAACATGTTATCGGTGTTGCATGGAACATGACCTCTGTGTAGAGCCCAGCGCGGACCGTGGTGTCCAAGCTTCTCAACCGCGCTGAAGATCTTTTTGCTCATTCGTGTCGCGGGAGCTATGTACTCGAATATACAAGATTGTGACGAAGGTACGTCACTTACCCTCGGGATTTCTGTCGTATAGTGTGAATCGAATGTGACGTGGCAGTATATTTGACATTCAGTCTTTAATTTCTGGGAACCACTGCATTACCTTGATCGTGGGTATGGCTTCCAGTCTTGGGAGACGTCGCCTGTGTACTCCATACGCAGCTGGGCATATACCATGCTTCACCTTTTACCAACACAGATAGCGAAACTCTTGGTTGGCGGTGAGAAGGTACGCATTTATACGTCGTGTCAAAATGAAAGATGCTTAAACGACCGGGTCTTGCAGAGGCCTGCTTTCTTCGCAGTGCGATTGACCCTGGCCGCTATTTCGTCCGTGTGCGAGACCGCATTTTACAGGGCAGTAGTGGAAAGGATCAATTATAGGGTCGGCAGATACGTGTTCTTCATGCTCTTGTTTAGCGCAGGAATGTGGACAGCTTCGACCGGTATGTCCTCTTTGTATTCCACCTGCTGCAATTCTGAAATGAATGCGACAGCGTTCTTGCCTTCGTCCTTCGCTATGTACGCGAACACCCTCGCCTTTTCCTTCGCCTTGGAGCCGTCCGGCTCTAGCAACATGAAGCGTACTCTATTTGCGACGCTGTCTTTCGCAGCTGGGGCAATCATTGGTTGGCCTTTCGCGTTGGCAGTTGCTATCCCATTTGTGTTTGAAGAGTTGTTCATGTTTGGTGCTGACCGCGTTCCTCCGGAGCTCAAATTGTCCTGGATGCTGAAAAGGTGGAAAAGAATGCTTGTTTGCGGAGCTGTTGCTTCCTTACTTTTCGTACGTGATACTAAATGTCTGAAGCCAAACGATGCTCATGCTCAAGTGCGTCATCATAGATCCCCGTTGTTGCTCTTGACACACTATTCTACGGCAAGCTTACGTTGGTCCCGTGGAATATCGTCAAGTACAACGTTTTCCCGGATTCCCAGAGTGGCCCGGATCTCTATGGCACTGAACCCGCGTCTTATTATCTCTCGAATCTTCTGCTGAACTTCAACGTCCTGGTCCCTCTTGCGATTGCCGCGCTTCCCGCGCTGGCAATCACGTACCGCTTCGACCGTAGGCGTCTCGGAGAGCGTACTCCTACTGCCGATCAGAGTTCACCATTTATACTGTTGGCGGTTCGGCTTGCACCGATGTATATATGGATGCAAGTCATGACCGCGCAGAGTCATAAAGAAGAGCGTTTCATGTTCCCTATCTACCCGCTAATTTGTTTCAATGCGGCGGTGACCTTGTATCTCATGCGAGGCTGGCTAGAGACTGCGTTCGTGAAAGTCACCAAATCGCCGTACAGGGTGAGTCTCCTTATGTGAGCAGTGACGTTAAGAAGTCACCATTCTCCATAGGCATCAATCTCCCCGCTGTTCCGTCGCTTCACCCTCTCCGTTATCACCGCCTTCTGCGTGCTGTCCGTTTCTCACATTCTCACACAATGGGAGTATTACCATGCACCGCTCACGGTCATTTATTCATTGGAAGGGGAGGAGATCCCTCGCATCCTGAACGCGACTGGCCACATTCATCTGGCCTCTCCAACGGACAAAGTGGGTCAAGATCAACTGGAGATGGAGCCGCGGATTGACCTAAACTTGATCCGGCCTTTCAACCTCCGGCTGTGCATAGGGAAAGAGTGGCATCGGTTCCCTGGACACTACCTTGTGCCCGATGGCGTGCGCGTTGATTGGGTGAAGAGCGAGTTTGACGGGATGCTGCCTGGACACTTCTTGGAGACATACATCGATGGTGGTCTGATTGAGCGGGTGCAAGGCACGAGGGCGATTCCCACCGGACTTAACGACCTGAACAAAGAGGCACCCGAGTTCTACGTGCGTATTGTATTTTGTTGAATCCGAGTGTCGCATCCTCACGATTGACCAGGTGGACATCTCTGAATGCGACTACCTCATGGACCTCGACTTCCCCTTGCATCCTGTGTCGTCGTTGCACGAGCCGAGATACGCTGCGGACAACGCCACGTGGGAGCGAGTGAAGTGCAAGCCGTTCCTGGATGCACGGAATTCGTGGATCCTGAGCAGAACGTTGTGGATGCCAGGCAGCAGGTGGCAGGAGGGGAACGAGTTCGGTGACTTCTGTCTGCTGAAACACAAGAAGAATGTGGAGAAGAAAGAAAAGGCGATGATGGTCCACTGACCGGTGTACGAGCCAATAATCTATGTTGTGGACACTAATGCGATATTAAACCGAACTTTAATCCTCAGAGTTCGTGTTTGCGTGCCGGAGTAAGTGGCACGACGCCGGGCGTTTAAACGCCCACAACGTCGGGAGCGACGACTTCCATTCTTGCACCTGCATCCTGATATGGCAGGTCGATTCACTGACTGCTTCGCGGGACCTCTCACCAGCTGCAGGTTTATTTGGGAGTAAACTGGCGCATGATATGTATACTGGGTGTGTATACTGATATTCTGCGGTTGCAGTGCACAGAAAGCGGACCGAAGGAGGTGTCGGCGAGCGAATGCCTGTATGACGGAGAAGACAGATGGCGTCCGGACTGACATGGCGAATCTGTCGAGTGCATGTCCCAAAACGGAATGTGATGTGAATCTCGAGTTTTTTATTTAGACTCTCTGCCAATTCACGGCTTCTGCCCACCTCAAAGTGACCCTCTTTCCCGGCATCCCCCCGGTTCATAATCCCTCCCAGTTGGTCACCGTCGCCCGCGGTCCTCTTCCGTCTACCACCACCGTCGTCGCCATTCTCTTCACCACCCTTCTCCTCAGGTTGTCTTGGTACCTGTTGCATACATCTTGGTGGTTATAAGCAGCTATCCCCCGGAAGACCTCGCAATATGGACGCCGACGCCAACGCCATTGCAACAGCTCAACACTTCATTTTTATGTGGGTATCGACAAGGGTTGCCACTGATATAACTCCCGTGAACTAACACGTCATACCCGTGCTATCAGAACGCAGGTCCACTTCTGTGGTATGTATTTCTCTTGTATGCTTTCTGACCAAGGCTGACGAAGCTTTGACACTAGCCATGTGTATGCGTTGCAAACTGCTTAATTTCAAAGCTTCTCGCTAACTACCTACAGACGCGATTGTGGTCTGGGACTGGGCATTCGCTTTACCTAGAGAGTGGCGCTTCGTAAGTGTTCGTCCCCATCTCGTCTGGCGGACATCTCACCCATATGGTCCTAGATATGGAAGACGAACTGGTCCCCAGTCAAGATAGCCTACCTATTCTGCCGGTGAGATGTTTAGCTGCTGAGCGCTTGGCAACCACTCATACGCGAATGCGCCAATAGCTATTGGGTCTTAACCATGGTTCCATACCTACTTTTTTGTTTCTGTGTCGACCATCCATGGGAAACTTGTCAGAAGATCTATCGAGTAAGTCCTCAAGTGCCTGGTTTTTTGTGCCAGGATTCGGATTTCACAGCGACGTCATAGATTCCGGTCTCTCTCGCCATGTGGAACCAGGTTGCAGCTGAAAGTATCCTTCTCATTCGCACCTATGCCTTCTTTAATCGTAGTCGCTACATCCTTGCTCTCCTCGTTTCGGCGCTGTGTGGGGTTGTCGCATATCAGCTCTATGTCGCGACCTCTCAGATGCTTCGTAAGTCTTCGACTTAAATGTGATCGGAAAGACTTTCTGACATCCTGTGGTATCGTCGAATGCTATGCTATGCTCATCGCAGTGTTGCCCTTCGAGCCGGTGACTGTATGTGATAATTATTTAATGGATAGGTGACAGGCTTAAATTCTAGTTTCGATTTCAGGACACTGCGGGCCCTTGTTTTCCTATGTCCAGACCTGGTTCGGCGGATCTCTTAGGTAAGTCTACTCTATTCGTTGAGTGCTGTGGGTGACGCGAAGTATCCCCACACAGGATTCTTTGTAAGTTGCTAGTCACCGAGTACTATCTTCGCTGTCCTCATGCGGTCCCGTAGATTGCACCCCTTCTCTATGATACGATGGTCACGATTATGACTGTTGCCAAGGCCATACTGATACGTCGGCATGGAGGTGGTACTAGCAGCAGACTCATTCAGACGTTCCTCCGTGAAGGTACGTGCTTGATTGTACGTAGGTTTTTCGTGCGACACATTCAAACTGCGACGCATTCGTAGGTGTTTTCTACTATCTTCTGATCTCCATCGCGAACTTGGTTAGTCCACGCAACGTTCTGCATGATGCTTTGATATCTGACATTGATTCCTGGTGCACAGGTCAACGGCATCTTCTATCTTCAGTAAGCATCTCATACGTCCGTGCGTGATTGGTGGTCTCACAGCACTTCTTGAAGGCCTCGTCCAGTCATGTCGGCTATATGTATTCCCCTCAGTGTCATGCTCTCCCCTGTCCTAGCCTGCCGGCTCATCCTCGATCTGCGCGAGCGCGGTTCAGAGACGGTTGCCCCATCTGCAGGCACCATCGCCTTCACCGCTGGTATGACCTCCACAAAGTCGAGCCACAATTCGCCTTTCGGTGCGTTTGGTTTCGGACGCTCAAGCTCCAAGGGTCTTGTTCGGCCGTCGGGTGTCGTTCTGAGCACCATGGGTGGTCTCCCATTGGAAGGGATGAATTTTGCGATGGCGAGCGGGCTAGAATTGGACGATTTGCAGGCGTATGGATCTGATCTTGACATCGAGAGCGGTACGTATCCAGAGGCAGGCAGCGTGGTTAGTGGTATCAAGGTCGACGTGGAGAAAACGACTATGTAAAGCAGGACTTGCGGGCATTCATGCATCATGTTCTGTGGTCACTACATTCGTGGATTTTCTTTTTTTCTTTCCTCTCGGACAGTGGGTTTTTCTTGCAGGTTTTCCCTCGTAGTCTCATCGCGTTGGGTCGCATGTTCTCATCGTTTCGTATCGCTCTCGATTGCAAGTTTGTATACCTAGTAATTTTTTGTAATAGTCAAGAAGTCCTCCCGTATTGCAGATATCATTACGCCTGGAACAGAGAACCCTTCGGTGTCCTGTAGTTTGCTGAACGTTGAACGTTGAACGTTTGAACATCGAGCGCTGACTTGAGCACCAGAACCACGATACCTGCCTATTTTGAAACCACATGCTGGTGGTCCGTGCGCAGATGAGCGTCGGTATATAATCCGGGTTGGAGCACTCCAAATCTTCACCACTCTGGCCTTTTGGCTTAGATCAAGTGTAGTATCTGTTCTTAATAGTTTAACCACTATTATGGAGGCACCGCCTCCATTATTGGTTATCTAATTTTTGCCGCCCTTGTTTCCTATGCTCTGCTTGCAACATGGGAACGCGATGACCTTGCTACTGCAGTACTGGCTTGTGTCGTCGGGGGAACTTTCTTTTGGCATTTTCTGCTGCTCCTTCTCTTTGGTGTACTTTGTCACAAGTCTGTTGGCTTGCAGCTCGGTGCATCAAATGGAAAAAGCTTCCAGAATTGCTTAGCATGAATATTGTGGGGTTAAGATGGTAGTAGTGTACCATGCATACGTAGTGGAGGATATGAGTCGTTTCGGATGTTGCACGTCGAACATTGACGGTTTCTGGGTATAATATAGATACTCAACTTCAGATGGCACTTGAGAACGGTCGAGGTGTTGTAGCACAACTTCGGTGTGAAAGTGGAAACATTCCAAGTTCTCTTGCCACTACACTCGATGTATAGGTGCAGGAGTAGGCTGGAGCTAGTACAGTATTACAAAGGTAAATGATACAAGTATAAAACAGAGTGCAAAAAGTTCACGCCCCAAAACCGTACAGGGTGCGGCCAGATCGCTTCAGAGCATAGACGACATCGAGGGCAGTGACGGTCTTGCTGTTTACAGATGATGGAACGTCAGACTCACCGCAACAAGAGAAGATAAACACGAACCGCTTGGCATGCTCAGTGTAGGTGACAGAGTCGCGGATGACGTTCTCCAGGAAAATCTTGAGAACGCCACGGGTCTCCTCATAAATGAGGCCAGAGATACGCTTCACACCGCCGCGACGGGCAAGACGGCGAATGGCCTACCGGAGCGGTCAAGAAGATGCCTGACTAGACGTTGACCAGAACTTACGGGTTTGGTGATACCCTGAATGTTATCGCGAAGAATTTTGCGGTGGCGCTTTGCACCACCCTTTCCAAGGCCCTAGCAAATGTAGTCCGAGTCAGTACGACGCATACCACATAGAAGCGCAACAGCAGTTGACACTTACCTTTCCACCCTTGCCGCGTCCAGACATACTGCGCTAAGATAATGTAAGAGGGGAGAGTTGAGGTTAATGTGGACTTCGGACTGCCTCTGTGGGTGGATGTGATGGTGTTGGTTGTAAACCAAGTCGCGCCGGACGCGGTTAAGGCTTGTTGTACGCCGCATTTGGTTGTATTTGGCTCTATCACGTGATCTAATCAAGCTGTCACGGTCGCGAAGACTCGCGGAAGAGACGCGCAAAGCAGGCCACGACGAAGCTCTTTCGACGATGTCTATTACACATATCACCTCAACCTCTCAGCTAAACACTATCTTGTCGAAGTCGAAGGACAAGCTATCTGTGAGCTTTTAGGCGTGCTTGATAACACGCCGAGACCTATTGAACTTGCTCGCGAGGCAGGTTATCGACTTTCATGCAACGTGGTCCGTTAGTCCCCGCCCTCGGCGCTGACTTCTACTGACCTAGCTCGCAGGTGTGGGCCATGCCATGTGATTGCTCCCGTATTTGAAGCGCTCTCGAAACAGTTTACCAATGTGAACTTCCTCAAATGTGATGTTGATGCTGCGAGGGATGTTGCGAGCATGTACAGCATCAGAGCAATGTACGTCTCTCGTCTATCCCTGACTTTCATCGTGACAATTGCGTTCATGTACAGGCCAACCTTCATATTCTTGAAAGGAAGTACGAAGGTCGATCAAGTGCAAGGCGCGAATAAGTCGTGAGTCAAATTTTCCTGCCTGCCTGTGAGTTAAATTACCCATATTCGTCCCTTATTAGTGGTCTTGAAGGTGCTCTGCGCCGCCATTCTTCGGGATCTCCCACTGGGACATTCACCGGCAAAGGACAGACACTCGGCGGAGCGTCCCCGCCAGCGCCGGAAAGCGGGGATGGTGGCATGTTTGCGCAGTTCAATAAATTGGACCCCCAAGTGAAGGTTCTGGTCTATCTACTTATCGGGTATATCGTCTTCTGGTATCTAAGCTGAACAAGCTCTTACGCACCGTGACACTTCTGGAGGTGGTCAGTTTGGACTGCGACATTCTCTGTACGGAGCATTAGCTATACTCCGCGTGATATGTATTACATTGAATTGATTTATCTGCTTCTCTTTGCGAGTGTGGTGGATGTGTTACTGACTCGAGCCTCTCTTGAGTGAATTGTTATAACGTTGAGATCCTGGCCGAAGACTTACGGTCACGTGCCTGTGCGCGTTCGCCACAATGAGATCTTGCCTGCCTTGCCTCTTCCTTCCCTCGGATTCTGTTCAAGCACGCTCCAGTCATCTCGAATCTAACTTCTGACGACTTGTGCCATAACTGCGCCGGACGCTACTTTGGCAAGCACTTCGCCACCTGCTATTGTTACGCCTCAGGGTGATGTCCACGGACGCCAAGGCCACTGGGCCGCCACCGCCCCCGCCAGGTTCAGGAACACTCATTCCCGAGAATTTCATAGATGTACCGTCTCAACGCTTGTATTTTCTGAGTCTTGGTGTCCTTTGCCAGGTGCGTGTTCATCACACTACAGATATTCTGATTCTGTTCTAACGTCAGACGGCAGGCAATCAAGGTCTTTGACATCCTTCAACACGTTTTTCTCCCAAAGGATGCACAGACAAGCTACGGCAGGAAATGGTTCTTTTTCGATTTCGTGTATTGCGTTTCTCTTGCAAATCTCCGAATACCAAGACTTAGGTATAGCAAGTCAGTGGTGGCCCTGCAGATTCTCTCATTATGGATACTGGATGGCGTGCTATTCGGGGGGATTACATTCAATGTTGGAGGAGGTTATTCTTGGATGGGATTGCCCTCGCTCAATTCTCGTATGTTCTTCAATGATGCAGACCAGTGCCATTAACAAAAGTTTCCGCCGACGTTCAGACCGGGCAGACATTATATCAACAGCCCAACCATCCGGTCTTTGGTCCTTCCTGCCAAGTCTTGGACTTGGCTCACTCACAAGTTCTGGTGCCGATCGAGATGGTCATTTGCTCGGTCAACATACTGTCCGCATGTCTCCAATCAGCACAGCGAATCTTAACCCTTATGGACAGACTTTCTGTCTCGCAGCTCCAGGCAACACCGTTATCTTACCTATCTTGCTGAACAACACCAGTCCATCGGGTATACAGTATTCGGTCTCACCACTCGGAGATACTGAAGGCAAGGTCGATATCTTTGATTTGACTCCCAAGGACTTGAAATCTTTCGAGCAAACCCGTCTGCGGCAACTTCAGACCGCTGGAAAAACAGTTTCCAAGAAAGATGCCGAAGACTACAACGAATACGACGACGAGGATGAGAGCGACACGCCACCGTCTGACCAATTTCCACCCTTACAGAAGACTCAAGGCCTCGCTCATATCGTGTTGAGTCAACCCGGTACCCTCCGCCTCGAACGCGTGGTAGACGCATTCGACGTGGATGCACGGTTGGTTTACCCGAATGAGGTGACGGTTGCGCCTTGTCCGCGTGCGGAGTTCACTGACAAGGTTATCGCTCCTGGGGAAGACATACACTGTGCAACACCAGGATTAGCCGCTGGTGCAGGCGAGGAGATGACCCTTGGGATCGACGTATTTGGCGTTCCTCCGCTTAGCCTGCGATGGTACAAGGAAGTTGGTGGACGCCGCGAACAGTTTATGGTGGAGGGTATTGAGAGCTCCGAGTATGGCCTTCGTCGTTCGGTGGACGAAGGGCGGACACCCTCAGGGTTACGTGGTCGAAGAGCTCCCGTGCAATTGTCGGTTCCCTTGACAGTAGCTCTGGACTCCCTTGGGACACATTCATACGTACTGGAATCCGTCACAGACGGCATCGGGAACGTGATTCAAGCAGGTTCCAGTCCGATTTCGTCTGGCTTTATTAATGCGTCGGAGCAAGCTGTCAGCTCTCCAACATCTGCTGATTCCAGAGTCACTCGTTCCTTGACTGTCCTCCGCCGCCCGAGTGTCTCGTTCAAAGGTTGTGGCCCTGGAAATCCCGCTTCGTTACTCATTGGATCCGAAGCCCCGGTGACCATATCGGCCCTTCAGGCTGATGCACTCGATGCTCCCTGGGACGTAACTGTCAAGTATCAACCACTAGCCGCTGAAAACGGCAAGAAGAAAAGTAGCGGCAAGCGGCATAAGTCGTGGACCAAGAGCCTGCAGTCCCAGTACGGCAAGACGGACTACACCATGCTGGTAGACGCCCCAGGAGAATACACGATTACGGGGGTCAAAGGAAAGTACTGTGAAGGAGATATCCTGAGTCCAGACACGTGCAAGGTCATTGAACGTCCAATCCCAACTGCCGAGATTGAATGGAAGAAAATCCATGAATGGTGAATGCTGTATTCTTATATTCACGTCTTTTCCATCACTGACATTAGATGAACTCCAGCTCGGGTGACACAGGTGTATCAGCTTCGCTCGTCTTCCATGGCACTCCACCTTTCCAGGTCTATTACCGTATGCAACGCGACCACGAAGCACCTCGAGAACTCTTCAAGACTTTCACCACTTCGCGGGGTGAACTTACCATCCAGCCTGAACGTAGTGGACATTATGTCTTCAAATTTGTTCAATTGAGCGACGCCAACTATCAGAAGGTGGCTTTGAAGGGCCCCAGTATCGATCAAGTAGTGCATTCACCTGCCTCTGCCGACTTTGCAAATAACGTTCCAGGTGGTAATGGAAGAAGGAAGATTAACAGTTGCTCTGGCAACATGGTGGATGTGGACGTTGATCTGCGGGTGAGTAAGCAACTATTTCTTCAATCTGTGCTTCATACAATATGTTTGCCTAAAGGGAACCAGACCATGGACTCTCGACGTTCAGGTTGTTGGTCCGAAAGGATCGGAGATTGTCCGAGTCGCGAACATCACAACGTCAAGGCAAACACTTCACTTGCCTATCCCGAAAGCTGTTGACAAGGACGGTGGTATGTTCGAAATTGACCTTGGTGAGGGCCTTCACTTTTGATGTTGTTGCGATGCTTACCCAATATTAAATATGTAGTGAGCGTCGAAGATGCCTATGGGTGCAAACGTGCTCTGTCTGTACCGGGTGTTGCGGTCAACGTACGCAGAATACAGGTCAGTTGCTTTCTTTCAGAATGCGACAGATATATCCTAAATAGCTAACAATGAGTTCCTGCAGTCCACGGCGAAGTTTTATGGAGCAGCAGACAAACGTCATGTCACAATACTGGATAATGAGCAAGCTAGCCTCCCGCTCCGTTTGACTGGCGACGGAGTAAGTAACTTACCCATCCTACTGATATTTGTCTGATCCTTGACATTCAGCCTTGGCATCTGAAATACCGTCGAGCGGAAGCACCAGAGCAGGTCTATTCCGCAAGTGTTTCTTCACCCAATGGAGATCTCCGAGTGTTTGACAAGGGCCATTACGAGATCCTGGAGGCGTGTGCCATTCCCTCCACTGACTTTTGGTCGAATATATTCATATTGATTCTTGGTCACAGGTTGCAGACTCCCAATGTCCTGGCGCAGTCATCGCCAATGATGCCACTTACAGAGTGGATCATGTTCCTAGGCCCTCTGCCAAGCTGTCCTCGCAAATTCAGTCCACCTTCGAGTCTTTCAATGGTTCTCATATCTTGCCAGCAATCTGCGAGGGCATCAATGACCATGTTGATCTTGAGCTTACTGGTATGGAACTTTTCTCTTCTTCATATCCAACCACTGAACCGTGCGCATAGGTCGCCCACCTTTTCAAATCGTGTACAATGTAGCGGAAGCTAACGAGCAAGGTGGAACGAACCTACTCGACCAGCCTACCTTTAGCAGTATTCAGCCGCGCACGAACTTCCAGTTGCATACTACCAAAGCAGCTCGGATGTTTTACGAAGTGAAGCAAATTGGCGATGCAGCATATCCTCTTGGCAAGAACAATGATGCTGTGATACCACGCTCTCAGCGTTTGCTGTTCGAACAACAGGTGTTGATGCGACCCTTCGCTCGATTCAAGAATCATAACCGCCTCTCATACTGCCTCAATGACGCCCTGTCACCACGCGACTCCACCGGTCCGGATGGGCTAATATTGCTCCAGGGCACGCCACCATTCCAGGTCCGACTTTCGATTCGAAACCTAGCCACAAGTGAAGTCTTCACGGAAGTAGTCCAGACGCGTGACTCGACGTGGAAACTCAACATCCCATCGTACTCCTTCCATTCGATTGGTCCACATCTTGTCAATATCGAATCGGTGGCCGATGCTTCACATTGCGAGCAAGCCGCCGCAGATCCTCTGTACAGATCAATTTGGGCGGACGTCGCAGAAACCGCCGCTATTGTTCCCTTCGACACAAGAACAGATTTCTGCGTGGACGACATCATCCAGTTCCAGCTGGAGGGCACACCGCCATGGTCTATCGGGTACGTGATACGCTTTTCCATGGAGGCAACTCGGCTCATCATACCTGTTCAGGTATCGCGTCAATGGCAAGCCCTACACTCAGGATGTAAAGATATCTCCCTTCTCTGTCATGCAACAGCATTCTGGCGAGTTCGTTATTACTTCCATCGCCCACCAGCAGAAGATGTGCAAGACAGCAGTCACCGACTTGCGGTATACGATTCACCCGCTTCCTTCTGCCCAGGTTGGACACGGGAAGAGAATTGTGCAAGATATTCATGAAGGTAAGTCTCGCGCTGACTTCTCTCTCACGGATTCTAAGTACTAACTTCATTCCCCTCAGGTGACCAAGCGGAGATTGTGTTCACCCTCGATGGAGAGCCTCCATTCACATTTACATATCAACGCGCTGAACTCACGTCGAAGTCCGGTGTACAAGGCAAGGTTCTGGAAACGCACACCGTGTCCGGAGTGACCACGAAGGAGTATTCAATATTCTCTGCCCTAGAAGGTGCGATTTACATTACTTGACCGAATTACGCGAAGACTAATTGTGTGAATAGGAACATGGACCGTCACCTTCATCTCTGATCGCTATTGTAGATACCCAGCGGCGCAGCCAGACAGCCTCGCAGAAAAATCACGACGATGACATGAATATCGGCATATCAGTATGGTAGCTTTGTAGTATTAGGGTAATAACCGCTTTCGAACGCCCATAATTCGGATCTCGTGCTTAGTGTATGACAATTATCCAACAAGGCGCTCTCACTGACCGAAAGAGCATGTTCCGGCTTAGAGACGTGATGTTCTTGCACTATCGTCGGGAAGCTGGGAGTTCGTACATTGACTTCTCATTCTGATATACTGCGAGAGACTACATGATCTATACCTGAGCAGAGGAGATGTAGAACCACTTGGAGACTGCGGGAGCTGTCAATATGTGAAGCACGTCGAGGGTGCGCAAATGCTTACTGGATGCCTCGATGGGAGCAGGAGGCTTCCTGGAGTCGGCAGGGACGCTTGTATAGGTTGGATCGTTCTTGCTGACCAAGCCAGGAGAGTTCTGCACAGAGACATTGCGACTGAGGGATGAAATTCAGTGTCGAGGAAAATAACGCAGCACAAAAGAGGTAGGCACATCGAGATGTCGTAGGATGGCGTCTTCGCTGGGCTCTCTCCGGCGATCAGCCGGCGCCATGCCTCGTGGCACTCGTGGATGATTTCTGTCGCGTACTTCTTGTTCTTTGCCTCGCCGGAGAACGCGAACTGGTTTTCGGGCTTGCCATCAGGGATTTTGTAAATCCTAGGAGACAATATATTGTTGACCGTCGCCCATGAGATAGTCAAGATTACAGTGCATACCTGAACCACTCGTTGGTCGCACGGACGAGTCCCGGAAGGTGCCTCTCGACGTCCTCGATGTCGTTCAGCTTCGACGCCAGGGGGTCCAGGACATCGACAACAAGGACCTTCCAGTCAGTCTCACCCTCATCCAGGAGGGCCATGATGCCGAGGACCTTGACCTGCTTTACCTGGCCGACATAGCCGACCTGCTCGCCGATCTCGCAAACGTCAAGGGGGTCGTTGTCGCCGTTCGCCTTCGTCTCCGCGTGTGTCTGCGTGGGATCCTCCCAGGTCTGCAACAAACACGCGACGTCACACGACAGGTCGTCGACGCAGAAGCGCAGTGCCGGATGGGGCAACACGCACCTGGGGGAAGGCGCCGTAGTTCCAGATGTACCCGTGGTGGGGAAAGCAGTTGCGCACGTAGCGGAGGCGGCCCTTCTTGATGTCCTGCTTGATGGGGTTGAACGCCTCCTCCTTGGATATCTCCATCTTGGCGTTCGTCCAACGAGGGATCTCAACGATCATGTTGAGGATGCCATTGTTTTGGTCGGCGAAGAGGGGAATGTCATGGAAGGGGGAGATGACGTTCCCGTTCTGCTCGAGGTAGACGCGGTGCTCTGGGAATATACAGAGGTGTCAAATGAGACTGCAATCAGTTAGAAAAAATGTGAGGACGCACCGAGCGTGTTGGGGGCGCCGATGAGGCGAGGGGTGTACTCTGCACCGCAAGATCAACGTGAGCGACAGCGAGAAAAATATGAAAATACCGACGGGAGGTCATGATGGTTGTGGAGAAGAGACGAGCGTGGTGGGACAGGCGTCGAAGCGCTACAGCACTCATGCGCTGCCAGCTCGAGTTTATAAACAGCAGCTTGGTCGACGATCTGATCGTGGCTTTATCGCCACCCCATCTTGTCGCTAAGTATCTTTCTCCCTGGACTCAGGTAACAAATTCGCCGTACCAACGTGCTCGGTAAAACAATTTATCGTACCCGGCAACTGATGCTACAGGTCGTAGATCTACACGAACACCCAACAATACACCCATCACCCCCATTCACATTTTACAAGATCCCACCTTGCCTCAAGATATCCTCGGCTTCAGTGAACGCCTGTGCCGCGTTGCGCCTAACCTTGATGTTCGAGAAAACCCCGTTGAAGTCTAGCCGCAACAGCAGACGCTCCACATGTCGGCGGACCTCCTCATCACCTGCCAGGCGTCTGCCACGTTTGGTGCGAATGAACGTGTGGAAGCCCGACGTCGTGGCCATGCTTGCATTATATAGCATCGATTTAGATGCGTCTGCAGCGGCGGAGAATGGCTGTTGAGTCGTAGATAACGACAACTGCTCGTAAAAGGACTCCAAGAGAGTGTGCAGCGTCTGTCGTGGGATAGTTAATAACTGATCAGAAGCTGAGAACCAGGAAGCTTGCCTCATTTATCTCAGCGACCATCGTCTGTCGCTCTTTCACCATCTCCCCTACTTTATCTCCACCTCCTGCCAGACTGCCTTCGAAAAGCAGTGCTGGCAGCACATCCCCGCCCCATCTCTCCACCTGTGCGACGAAGCGCTCACAAACCTCGAGTATCATCCGGATGATTGCAGTTAGGGCGGGGTTGGACAGCAAGCTCCCCGTGAGCAGACGCTCCAAATAAGTGGTATGAATATTCCGCAACGTAGAGAAGTCCAGACGGGATGGTGGGGCCGATGAAGTGTTACTATGGGATGCGGGAAGAGTGGAATTTGATTGTAAATGTGCGTGGGCCATCTGAGAGATGCCTATGTCTGTTCCCGATACGGACTGGGTGCCGGTAGGTTGTCTGATAAGCCCAGGAGTTTTCTCGAGGAGGAGGCTCTTAAGTTTCCGAAACTCGACGTCTACCACGTCCGTCATCACGTATCCCAGTAAGGTGTCCAAGAACCAGCTCATCTCCCTCACTACGCCCCAACCACATCTGAGCAGCAGCTTTCGGGCTTCGAGGTCTTCCACCGTCCCACCCTCACCTAGGCCCGTCCACCGACGTCTCGCGCGCTGGGAGTTCGACAGGGACGTCCAGCACGCATGTATGCGCGTATGCGTTTTTCGCAGTGCGGAGAGATATGCGAAGAGGATGGCATATATATGCAAGTCTGAGGGATGTAGGAAAAGGTCGAGAGGCCAGGAGACAGAATAGGTAAGTAGAAGAGGAGTTCCCAGTAGGAGATCGTCGAAAGTGGTAGGTTCGGAAGATGGATTGAGTGATGACGAGAGGTCCTTCGTTGGCGCTGTGGCAAGAGACGGAAGCAAGGGACGGAGGGGACCTGAAGGCAGACGAAAGCGGAGGTAAGACAGAGATGGATCATGTTGTGCTGTAGTTCCAAGAGAAGCACGCAGGAGCGCTAGATGTAGATCTTGCTCGCGGATCATTGTCGTAGGACCTGATCGTCCTGTCAGACGTGAAATTTTGAGACGCTCTATTTCTCTTATCAGAGACAGGGCAAATTCCCCGTTTCTGAGAAGGAAGTAGCTCGCTCTAGAGGAGGTTCAGAAACCTATTGGGGTTCGGAGTAATCTGGTATGAGCTCACAATGATTCCACAGCGACTTCGACGTCCTTATGGGTCAAGACATTTAGCCAGAGCCATTCGCTCACAGTGGTCCTGATGTCAGCGATGACGCGATCAAATGCATACTGGTCTTGAGGAAGAACAGATTCGAGCATCTTCGTATGATCTAATGCAAGACTGCGCGGGAACTGGTTCTCCCACTTTGCTGCCTTGACGGTGCCAATCGCCCGGCCGACGTAAGAAATAGATTCCTGAGACTGAGCAGAGAGGCAAGAGGGGACAGAGCCTTCCAGCAACACGAAATCTTTGGAGGCCAAGGGATCTTTATCTGACAGTGAGCCGTGGATAAGGAATGCCTGCAGCTGAGAGATCCATACATGCTGCACGGCCTCGCAGAGGCGAGCATGGATGGATGCCACGCGATGTATACCGGTATGCGAACGCGTCAAGAGCAAGTCAATTAATGGACCTGGTTGCCAGTTCGATTGTAACTCGAGCTCGTCAATGAGATTCTCCAAAGCGGCAAGAGGCGCGTCCCATTCCGCGAAAGTTGCACGTATGGAGGATAAGGGCACGAAAGAGCCACTGGCGACGAGACTGGTATCGCGCTTGAGAACCTTTGCTTCTGTCTCCACAACAAGATTCTCATATTCATCCTTCAGGATTTGGTTCAGGGTGGCATAGAGCGCTGAGACATAGCGTGAAGGAGTCCGGCCCAGTGTGGAACATGCTTTCTTGATTTTGCGATATCGGACAGCTATCTGGCCGAGAGATTCGAGACACTGTTCTTCACCCGGATGGAGTAGAGGGGAGAATGCAGGGTGTATGGTGTGGTCGGTAGGAAAGAGCGAGGACGAATGGCCTGCAAGAACAAGCAGAACTTCTGCAATCATGAGAACCACTTGTATCGTCAATTCAACGATGAACACAGCGCAAGCTCAGGTGCACTCACCGCGCTATGGACGTCGTGCACCACGTTGTCGAGGTCGTGGTGAATGTCGAGGAAATTGGCTTCGGAAGGCCCACAGTCGCGTCGCTCGAAACCCGTGATCACCGTCACCAGCAACCACAACCAGCGCCCACCAGCGCCCATCTTCCTAGCTCACCATGGACTTCGACGACGACGAGGACGTCGTCGCACGCGCGAAGAGCTCTCCTCCAGCCCACTTCGCCTTCGATGATGCCTTCTCCGATACCGACGACTCGCTCGAGTTCTCTCCCGAGGCTATTCGCGAAGACATGGCGAAGAATCTAGGTGCGACCAGCAGCTTTCATGCAGACCATGAAGAGATGCGGGCTTTCGCCGTCAAGATTGGATTTTCCGTCGATCCTGATGCCTCGGTATCGACGCTCGATATGCATACACCGTCCAGGGTGCATCCCCCACCACCGCCCCCGATGCAGCGTTCGTTGTCAGATGCCTCGGAATTTCCATCTCATCCGTCCGAGGACGACTCCTTGTACGACATTCAGCTGTCCAACCATCTCTCTGAAGTAACTCTCTCCGACGATGGGTCCTCACCTTCACCTTCACCTCAACCTCAAGAAGCGGAGCACGACCATGAAGCCGCCCAAAACCATACCGCAGCATACCCTGCCGTACAGATCGACGTCGCAGAACCTCATCCTGTCGTTTCAGAACTGCAGGCTACGCCATCATCCGGGTCCGAGCAAGATGTCCTCGCCGAGTTACCTTCCCGCTCCGTTTCGCACGACGAATTCCGGTCTCGCACACTGGCGTCGCCTGCTAGTGCTGCGTCGACCTCATCTCTACCCCTTCCCACTTCGACATCACTCCCAAACCCCAAGTCACCGACGTCAAATGCTTCCAATACCTCCAATATCTCCAGCACCTCCAATGCCTCAAACGCTTCCAATGTCTCTCACGTCTCCAACGCTTCCAATACCTCTACTATTTTCTTTCACCGATCCGCTCGTTCCATGGGCCCCAGTGCCCTTGACAAGGTCATCAGCAAGACGCGTCCACCGTTCCTCCCTCCAAAGAGTCGCAAGGAGGACCGGAAGCACATGGCGGACTGGGAGACCATGATGAAGCGCAGCCGAGCGGCGGGTAAGTCGCGTCTGACTCACAGTCTTGCATCGTGAATGAGCGTTTATCGACTCAGCCTGTTTTATCTTCGGGTTGGCATGCTCATTTGACAGAGGAGAAACGACGCAAAACATTGCAGCACCGAAGACTGGAACGCGAGAGAAGGATCGAGGAGTCCATCCACATCTGGCAGCGCGATATCGTGCCAGATTGGACAGTCGTGCATCGGGACCCAGCATCTAGGAAACTCTGGTGGGAAGGCATCCCGACGAAACTCAGGGCTTCGATGTGGCAGAATGCTGTCGGAAATTCACTCGTCCTCGGAAAAGGTATTGCAGTTGTGTTATTAGGCAATTTAGGCAGGACGACAATTCGGCATTTCCCGGTGGTGATCCACCGCAAATCCAGTGGACGCACGTAAGAAGTGGGTCCATAAATGTGGTCATGCTACAGCTGCATGTTCAGGACCGAATTTTGGTCCTGCCTAAAGTGCCTACTATGAATTTATCACGATAATTATTGAACTTCCCTATACCAGATGCTTACAAGACATCTTTATCGCGAGCAAAACGCGCGCTTGCGTCAGGTACTTTTCCGACGACGGTGCTTGGCTTGCTGGAAGACGACATTGCGTCGACACTTCCTTCCCTCCATCTCTTTCGCCCAGAAGTTGGCCCGCTATACGAGGACCTCAAGGAGATGCTATGTGCATGGGTCGTTTCCCGCTCAGATGAAGGCTTGGGTTACGTCCCAGGAGTTGCGAAGATTGCGGCCATGATCTTGATCAATATGTCTCCTCCACAAGGGTTCATTGTCATGAGGAATCTCCTAGACCGACATTGTTTGCGGTCATTCTATGGTGGGATGGCTTCGAGGGACGCCGTAAGTTTCGGTATAATCCAGTCACATTTCCGTGGCCTGACACTTGTGTAGGTTGAAGCATACTATAGGTAACCAATATTAACCCTTGCTTGAACAAATTCTCATCTGTGTCGCAGAATTTTTGACACTCTATTGGCCGATGGGATGCCGAAGAGTACGCCCATTTTTGACCTACAGGTACATGTGTTGACGCTGGGTTTCAGTATACTTCAACTTCAAACAGCACCAAATATCGCCAGACGCTTACCTGCCTGACTGGTTAATACCGCTTTTCCTGGATCACCTTCCCTTCGAAGCGTGTGCTCGAATATGGGACATCATCCTACTTGAAGGGGATGCATTCTTGTATCGTGCAGCATTGGCAATATTAGCCGTATTGGAACCTCGGCTGTTCTTCCCGGATAAGAACGAGCTCTTAGAGCTGCTGAAGTGAGCCACTTTTCTGTTGCAATGTGTGAATGTTTATATTGGACTTATCCGCAATCGGCAGGGGAGAGAACAAGGCTGCTCTGGAGGTGGCAAAGCGTGACGGGCTTCCCCTCAACGGTGCCAAGTACGAAATTTACGGTGTGGATGAAGAGACGCTCTGGGAGCGCATCGAAAGCATGGACGAGTGGTGGAGAGCGAGTACGTGGACTAGGCTCATCCAAAGGGAACTACCAGACTTGTAATTTTGGCCCTCGCGGGCATGTTTTGTATCGAAGATCGTGAGTCTGTATCGTGTCGGTTTTGTTCTTAATTTTATTGCAGTTCGCCACCATCACGGACAACGTCACCGTGACTTTCGTTCAATGAAAGTTGTACGGTTTGTCGGTCTCGTCTAGCCTGGTTGCGTCGAAGCTGCCTGCTCATTCTTGTGAAGCTCGATTAAGTAAGCTCCTGGTGCCGGAGACATCGGATCGCAATCTCATCTCCCCCGCAGTCACGTGCTGTGGCTGGATTGATCTCATGCAATCTTGTTCCATCCAGGCTGCGAAATGGGTGTCCCGGTGGTACCACCGCTCGGAAAATAACAATCACTCGAGTCTGTTGCTATGTCCAGCCTGTACGAGGCAGTTCCACAGGTTCCGTATTCTCTCGAAAGCAGAGGTACGTCGCCGAAACCTCCCGCTGCTTGCAAGTCGCGTGCAGGTGCGTGCAGGGTATAAATTGAAGGACCTCTCCGGGTTATTCTATATCACAGCAATACAGCTCGTCTCATCAGAGAACCGTCACCAGTACCACCATACAACCCCTCATCATACCCTATCTCATAACCATACTATCATGTTGGGTCCCGGAGTTTTCAGCGCACGCGCTCCCGTAAGCTTGTTCTTCTCAGATCGTTGATAGATTCATTCTAATGCCCGTTCCTATGTAGGCTCTTATTATTTGGACTGGCTTGCAGGCGGCGTTGTTGACGTTTATGTGGAGCCAATACCGACAGCCAAGGTACAATCATCGTTGTACTCCCTCCGCGCACCGGCTGACACAATTTGTCTTTTCAGCCTGATCCAAGGTCCCTTGCCTTCACATATACCCAAGGCGCACCTTGTGTCAAGACAAGCTAGATTTCAGGCCCAGCCCGCACACGCAGCATAATCACCACCACAAGCTGCGTATGCGAAATGTGGATATAGTGAGACAAGTGGACGACTGGCGCTTTTATGTGTTGTATTGTACAGATGAACTGGCTTCTTCATGAACATAATTTATATAACCATCTATCAATCCTTTCATTTTGTCATGATCTGTTATGCGAATATCTTAGAAGCCTTGGGAGCGTAATCGTAAGAGCTGCAGAGCAAAAGTAGAGCCTAAATAGGGTCTACAGCACTAGCGTCTACAGTACTTCCTTTACCCGCGTCATCGTCTATATTGTTCTTCCAAATAGCGTACAGCTTCCGCCTGTTCGAATCCCGCGTGTCCTGCTCACTTGCAATGTCAAACATGTGCTTCAATAATGCCTTCTTCAGCTCTAGTCGGCCTATAGCACCCTCCATCTTGGGATCTATGGTGCACGCGTTCGCAATCAAATTCGGGTATGTGGGCATTGAGAGGCGCGGTCGTTTGGGTCTCGGAAGTTCGTCGTCATCGCGTGCAGACGTCAAAGCTCCGAAGAGAGGATCGAGTAGAGCGGAATGGATACGTTGGTAGGTCGATTTCGTTGGTGTGCGTGCGGCGAGTGTGAAGAATGGTGCGAGCAGGAACGACAGTGGTACCGGAAGCTTAGGTTCATCTGTAGAATTTCCGAGTGCTTTGTCAAGCTCCTCCACGTAGATGTCCGCCAGGTGATATGAGAGACTTGCGGGCACTCGTGCATCATCGGGACTGAGGCAAACAAACGTCTTAGCATTCATGTATGGCATAGAGCGGACATACGTACCACAGAGGTCCACTACGACCAGTCAGGATCGAGTTGTATTCGTCGCAAGCAGCTTGATCCCACTCCGTTCGCATGAGCAGTCTGAACGACGCGTTTACGAACCTCCGAATGAGCATGTAATATTTGTCAATCCTGCTCCACCGGTCAGTTGCGCAGGTTGAGCGGGTACTAGACTATGCACTAACCGTAGGCGATCGATGGAATTCCAGTCGCGTACCGTGGCTTCCCAGAAGCCGCGGAGGAACGCGAGCGAGGAGGTCGTCGTAGATATTTTCAGGAGGATTTCGGCAAGTTCGCTTGCCAGTGCTTGTTGTACCAACGGTTTGTCTGACATCCAGAAACCTACAAACAATCACGGTCAATCTGGTGGCTAGAGCCAGGTCTATGAAACGCGCAGTAGAAGATTCCTTTCCACAGCTTGGTCATCCCGGGTTTATCCAAGGCATCTCGAGTAGGGTTAGAGAGAAAGATGGTCAAATTTTTGATCGCCTTGTCTCTGGTCTTCTTGTCTTGAAACGCATGAGCTTTCTAAGGCATATTCTGTGTTGAGGACATACCTGTGGATGCAAAATACTTTCCCAATGGAAGAGTGTCCGCAGATGTAGATGCAGTAGACATAATGTCCTCTGGCGACGTCGCGATCAGAGCCTACTGGGTGTGTGTAGGGCAAAACTGGGGAAGGAAGCGCCGAGAATTTTGGGAAGTACACGTGACAAGGTACACCTCAGAGTGTGATGTGACGTAGGAGTGTGACAATCGCGTCGCGATATCACAACAGACACTGACGTTCGGTATTCAAATTGGCTTTACGCATCAACCACCATCTCAGAAAGCTCGCTTTGAACTACCATTGAATCATGTCCAAGTCACCAATAACTTGCCACGGTACGCCTTTTATCTCCTCAGAGGCTCGATTCTAGCAGGCGAACATACCACATTATACCCAGTTCTCGACTCCTCTATTGGAAAACCGGCCGCAGGAATTCATGTACGGATTCAGGAGTACCACGAAGTAGGCAGCGATGCCGCTGTCTTTGAGCCCTATGCTGAGGGGTAGGCATCCACAATACCGCTATGCCTCTCCTCGCAGGATTTGAGAATATTCGAGCAGGGTGACAGACGCGGACGGGCGGTGCATGCAGCTTTTCCCAAAAAGCGGTGATGAGCTACAGCAAGGCAAGTTGTACAAGGTCGTGTTCAAGACGAAAGAATATTTCGAAAATACCGGGCGCAAATGTTTCTATCCTTGGGTGGAGGTACGTTCCTTCTTCTTGTCTCTCTTTTCAGTTGTAAATCGCGAATAGATAACCTTTGAACTCGCGAATCTGGACGAACACTATCATATTCCCCTTTTGATCAGTCCATACTCGTTCACCACGTACAGGGGAAGTTGAGCTGGATCGGAACACGTTAGCTAGAGTGAGTACATCACGGATTGGGTATGTTCAATGGTGCCGTTGTGGGGCGTAATGATCTAAGACAGCTAGTACCTTTATCGGCTCAGTAATATCGATTCACATCCGCTCGCCCAAAGCTTCAGTTTCGAGCGCAGTACAGATGGCATGGCATGTATTGGGCACATATTCATGGAACGAAAATGTGAGTTACTATAGTTCGACTTCTACTCCCGTGTCTTTTAACAATCATAGCTGCGTGTTAGAGAATGACATTTGGCTTAAATGTGCTTTGAAAACTCTGTAGTCCATCTTCCAGGCTGTCGAGTATCGCCTTGGTTGACAAGCATGGCGTATTCCGATCTGCGCTTCATGCACATGGCCGCTTGTACTCGGCATCTCTCGATCATGGTCAATTGAATCCGAGCGACATCGGACCATGCTTCCACTGCCACTGAATGGTGCTGCTCGTTTGCGTAGCAAGGTACACTAAAAGCACATTGGGAGTTGCTTTCGTCTGAGGAGACGTTGTTGAAGACACAACAGATACATTAGCGGTTGTGAAGGCGATGCATAACATGCTCCAGCACATATAATTCTACAGTATGTCTGTTATTATGGCGTCAAAGCCAGCTGTCCCTGACCGCAACTGGCGCTTCTGGGCCATATTCGTTGCGCTGACTTTCGCAGTACTCACGTGTGCGTTGGACACGGTGAGCTCAGCGACGCATCTTATGAGCGAGACACAGTGATATTCGATGAAAACTGTAGTGTCCACGGCCTTTCTGACAATCATTAATGATCTCAATGGCAGCCACTTCGTCTGGATGGGCTCCGCGTACACTATGTCGGCGACCATATGGACTCCTTAATCACGGGTAGAAGTAGATGTATTATTTGTCTTCGTCGCAATCCCTAACTTGACGTCAAGCCGCACAGGGTGTAGGGACCGGTGGCATTGCGGACGCACGCGCATATGGAAACAGGGAAGGACATGCTCTCCCCGAGACGGCTGCTGAGTCTCGAGCTATTTATTAAGTTATGTGCAGTGCGTGGTCAATTGTTTCATCTTCTTAACTCCTCCCATTTCCAAGCCTGCAAAGGCGCGGTTTCTATTTTTTCCGGCGTGGATTGCCTAGCCGTGGCCCCATGTATTGTTGCCGGTGCCAGCGTAGCCATGACAAACATACATCGGCCGCAGAGCTGGGCAGGTTGGGCGATCGTCATCGGCTCCACCGGGCTGCTGAGCACGATGAAAGCAGACACGTACCTCGAGAAGTTGATCGGATGCGTTGTCCTGAGCGATGTCGGCATCAGTCTGGGGCACCGGTCTGGGCGTTACGACGACATACTTCCGTCCTGGCGCCCGTGCCTGTGACACATACGCTGGCCTTCCTCGGATTTGCGAGCTCGTTTAGGGAGGTGAGTGTCATTTTAAAGTAGCGTCCATCATTCTTGTCATACGGTGTTCATCACGTTAGATCTGTGGCACACTCCTGCAAGCCTATATCTGCAAGGCGTCCAATTTGCCTACTCTATCGTCTCGCTTCCACCAAGCCTCAGCAACGAGGTGTGCATGGCCTTCACATCCAGCCTGTCTGTGGTTTGGGACGTGATCGGTGTGGGCTGCCTCGGATTGCTCCTGATGAAGCTTTTGCCGCTGCATACATACACTGACGACGACTGGGGCGTGCAGACCCTCAGCGGAGAGGTGGTCGATTGGGTAAGGGCAAGAAAGCAGAACAAGGAGATGGGCGGAACGTCGTCGTCGTTTATGCCAAAATAATGTCATGCAGAATGGACGCCGTCCGTACGCGCGCATAACTAAAGGTGTCGACAGCTGCGATTTGCCTGCAGGGAATCGAAGGTATGACCTCCGAGATCAAGTCTAAAGCCAGTTTAAAACTCTTGAACAGAAGACTTCGACGGAGTGTTGTTGACAGAACCTGCAACACTTCGAAAAAGGTGTTCACGAGACACGCACTCAGCTTGATCAGCAAAGGCGATTGCTTCAGATAAAAGCACAACAAGAGAGATTACAGTCTATGCATGTGAGTGTGCACTTCTCGCTTTCCTCCTACATTCATTTCGCTTCCGTTCCTTCCTACACTTGCTTCCAGCACAATTTTGGATCTACTTCTTGAGGAGCGCCGGCGCAGTGTGGCCTGCAGAGAAGCCCTTCTCGCCCGCGTACACGCCGTTGCCAATCTCCTCCCTGCACCGCGAGGCATCAATGCTCTGTACGGACAAAGGATGGGAAGATCTTACTCTATGCGCAAGAGAGCGTTGTATTTCGCGACACGCTCGCTCCGCGCGGGGGCACCAGTCTTGATCTGACCGACACCGAGCGCGACGACGAGGTCCGCGATGAGCGTGTTCTCTGTCTCGCCGCTGCGGTGGGAGACCATGACACCCCAGCCGTCTGACTGCGCGAGCTGGGCACTGAAAATAGAATATGATCATCAAGCATTAAACCGAGGACGAACGAGCTGAGAAACTTACGCCTGGATCGACTCAGAGATGGTGCCGATTTGGTTGACCTACGCGCATACATGCTGAGTACAAACCATGATTCCGACGCGCATAGCTCCTACCTTTAGCAAAAGACCGTTGCACGCCTTCTTCTCGATGGCAGTCTTGATGCGGAGTGGGTTTGTCACGGTCAAGTCGTCGCCGACGATCTGGATGCCGCTCTTGGCGGTGTAGTGCGCCCACGCCTCCCAGTCATCCTGGTCGAAGGGGTCCTCAATGGAAATGATGGGGTACTTCTTAACGTAGCCGACGTAGAGGTCCGCGAGCTGCACGCCCGTGATCCACTTGGTCGGGTCCGAGTTCGGGTTCTTGAAGTCCAAATCGTACTTGCCGTCCTTGTAAAACTCGGACGACGCAACGTCGAGGGCGATTTTGACCTTCCCTTCGTACCCGGCCTTCTTGATCGCTTCCGAGAGCAGCTCCAGCGACTCCTCGGCGCCGGAGACATTCGGAGCAAAGCCTCCCTCGTCGCCAACGTTGACGGCTGCCATCATTTGTCAAACCCAGAGATCCACCGCGTCAAGGAAAATCGGGAATGGCGCACCATCGATACCGTACTTGGCGCTGATGACCTTCTTGAGGGTGTGGTAAGTCTCGGTGCCGATCTTCATCGCCTCAGCGAAGGATGTCGCGCCAGTGGGAAGGATCATGAACTCCTGGAATGCGAGCTTGTTGCCGGCGTGCGAGCCGCCATTGATGACGTTGAAGGAGGGGGTTGGGAGGACGTATGGAGGCTTCACGCCAGAGAGGTTGGCGAGGTGCTCGTAGAGGGGCACGCCCTTCTCCGCGGCGCCGGCCTGGGCAACAGCGATGCTGACACCGAGAATCGCGTTTGCACCAAGCTTGCCCTTGTTCGGGGTGCCGTCGAGCTTGATGAGGAAATCGTCGACCTCCTTTTGCGCGGTCACCTTCAGGCCGGCTTTGATCAGCGCGGGGGCGATGACCGTGTTCACGTTTGCGACCGCCTTGGACACGCCTGCAGAACAGTAAGACACTATCAGAAGGGACCGCAGGGTTAGGCATGGAGCGCGACCGCACCCTTTCCGACGTATGCAGACTTGTCGCCATCTCGAAGCTCGACGGCTTCGTGCACACCGGTGGAGGCACCAGACGGCACCGATGCGCGGAATAGACCTTCGCAGCAGTATTACTACAGATGAACGTGGATGTCAGGCGCGCCGAGCGCGAGCTTACCCTTGGCGGTGTAGAGGTCGACCTCGACGGTGGGGTTACCTCTGGAGTCGAAGATCTAAGCGATCATGAGAGCTGATCGCGCATCGCTGAGACACGGCAGTCGACAGCGTACCTGGCGAGCGTGGATCTTTGTGATAGACATGGTTGTGGACAGAAAGGAGAGCAGAGATCGGTGTTGGCGTCGGGATTACGCCCAACCTTTTATACGTTCTGGTTCGGAGTTTCTCACGGCGGACACTAGCGTTCTTTCGATGGGATTCCGACGTTTTTGCAAACTGGAAGGCGACATCATCGAAAGGTGCTACTTCGGCAGCTCCCTGCCGCACTCTCTGCCAATGTCTGTTCCAGAGCACATCTGCTCTAGACGTCCTGCCCAGGCGCACTCGTGCTGCGCGAAGCCGCCTCATCGACCCGCACTCTGGCCTCTTCTCGCACCACATGTCCGCGAGCCACATACAAAGCCGTCCAAGACACATCTTCGATGTCGCATGTACGACCTCCGCGCGATCAGTGACGGAAACGCGTCCTGACGCGACGGACCACTTTTGCCAACCCCAGACAACACCGATCTGCCAAGTCGCGCCACTGGAAGGCTGAGCAGCACACTCAGTTCGCCCGCCATATGTTTCTCCTGATAAGTGCAGCATGATCCGTGGAACCCCCCTTAGTTTCGCGAGAAACCATCAGGAATATGCGCGTCTCATTCAGAGTTTACCTGGAGGCAGGCCTGAGGCAGTCGCCGTGCCGTACTAGCGATTCTGTTGGTGCCAGCGTTTGCAGACGCGTCGCGTCGAGAGAGTGCCTATCAATGACGCACATCCGGACCTAGCGTGTAACTCACTGATATGAAGGGGACTTGCACAGTAGTACCGCGCGGGTAGACGGGTTCCACGAGTCGCTGCGAGCCACGCTCGTGCGTCTGCCAGGGGAACATCGTTTGGCCGTGAACGACCTCCGTAGTCATAACTTGGTGCATGCCTCTCCACGAGGTACTGCAATCTACCAAGCTCGTCAGGGAACGCCCGTGCTCACATACCTGGCTTTTACCCACACCAACCGAGACTTCGAACTCGAAGTTCGTGAAGGACTGCGTCAGTGTGTAGGACAGAAGCAGCAAGCGGTGTGCCCGCCTCAACTCCTTCAACACGTCGACGTGCAGACAGAGAGCACACCGTAGAAACCACTTCGAGCAGCTGGGTTCGCGTATATAATCCAGCTCCCTCGGAGAGGACTCTTCAGGCCGCCTTTGCCAGTTTCGTGGGGAGTGAGAGGGTGACAGTAGAGTTGCATCTGCATGCCGCATACTTATATACAGTCACACAACAGTGCTTTGAACAAGGACCCATCGGACAAAAGGTTTTATGGACACAAGCGCAGCTGGTGCTTGAAGCTTGACTCTTGAGCGCTTGAGCCTGAAGGTCGAAATAAACTGACGTAATCAAATAAGCGCCGTTATACCCAATTGGGCAACTAAGTCGGGCTGCTAAAGCACTTACTTTTTCTCGTCTTCCTCCACAGAGCAGCGTGCACAGTAGTTCGTATAGATCTGACTTCTCTTCCCCAATCATGGCGCCCACCAAAAAGTCCCCATCATCCTCCAAAACGCGTTCCTCGTCATCTCAAGCGGGCCTGCAAAAAGTCAAAGGCGAAAACTTCTACCGCAATGCGAAGGCGGTCGCCCGCCTCAAGATGCTCAGCGGCGGCAAAGCCGTGCGTGACAAGGACGGAAAGATTATTCAGGCCGCTGCGTTTCAGAAGGGCGAGGACGAGACGAAGCCCGGGCGCGTGCAGCCCGACCGCAGGTGGTTCGGTGAGTGCTGTGCGCGCGTTGCCCCCAGCGGACGCTGATGTGTATGCGTGTCCTAGGAAATACGAGGGTCATATCGCAGACTGCGCTCGACCATTTTCGTACGAGCCTCGCGGGGAAGCAGCATGACCCGTACACCGTGCTCCTCCGTCGGAACAAGCTCCCCATGGCGCTGCTCGACGACGCGGCGAATCCGAACCTGCGAAAAGTATGTTCTTTCGCTTTCTACCATAAATGTGATCGTGCCAATCGCTATTACAGCGGTCACATATTGTAGAGACAGAGCCGTTCAAGGACACCTTTGGACCCAAGGCGCAGCGCAAGAAGCCCAGGCTGGACGTCGGGACGTTCGAAGAGCTTGGAAAGGTCGGTGAAACAGCGGAGGAAGAAGCCGCTCAGTCTGCATCTGGCACCGCGGAGGGGACGTCAGGTGCGTCCGTAATGATGCCATGTCGACAGCCTCCCCGCTGAATGTGCGCGGCACAGACCCGCTCACTTCGGTAACGGCGGACTTCCAGCCGACACACGCGGACCTCATCGAGCCCATCTACGCCAAAGGAACGTCCCGCCGGATATACGGCGAGCTCTATAAAGTCATCGACTCGTCAGACGTGGTCCTGCACATCCTTGATGCGCGGGACCCAATGGGCACACTCTGCGAATCGGTGCTGGAGTACATCAAAAAGGAGAAAGCACACAAGCAGGTCGTGTTGATCATCAACAAGTGCGACCTGGTCCCCAACTGGGTCACGGTGAGTATATACGCTTCAATCTCATGCACAAGTATCGAACCAAAATGATCCACAGGCTCGCTACATCCAGCACCTCACGCCGCGATACCCCACATTGGCCTTCCACGCGTCACCGAACCACTCCTTCGGCAAGGGCTCGCTCATCCAGCTCCTGCGCCAATTCTCACAACTACACTCGGACAAGAAGCAGATCTCGGTCGGGTTTATTGGCTACCCGAACGTGGGTAAGAGCAGCGTCATTAACACGCTCAAAAGCGGCAAGGTGTGCAACGTCGCGCCCATCCCGGGAGAGACGAAAGTGCGTACCATGCTCCCTTGAATTACTAGCCACCAACCACTAACCCACGCGCGCCCATAGGTGTGGCAGTATATCACGCTAACGAAGCGTATCTACCTGATCGACTGCCCGGGCGTCGTCCCGACATCCGCGAAGGACTCGCAGACCGCGACGGTGCTCAAGGGCGTCGTGCGTGTGGAGGCGCTCGCCTCGCCCTCGGAGCACATCCCCGAGCTCATGGCGCGCGTCAAGCCGATCTACCTCTCGCGCACATACGGCGTCCCGCTCCCAGATCCCTCGGATCCCGCGAGCGGGTGGGCGCCGGAGCAACTGCTCGACACCCTCGCGCGCATGAAGGGCCGCCTGCTCAAGGGCGGGGAGCCCGATTTGGAGGCGGTCGCGAAGATCGTGCTCAGCGACTGGGTCCGCGGGCGCATCCCGTTCTTTGTTCCTCCCCCAGAGCGCTCCGAGGAGCTCAACCAAGCGGAGGCGAAGAAGGCAAAGAAGGTGGAGGCGAAGGGGAAGGCGCCCGCGGGCGCTTCGAAGGAGGCGGTTGTGGGCGTGAAGCAGAACTTGGGCTCGATTATGCAGAAGAATACGTTTGTAGGCGATGATGTCCGCCCGTTAGAACGGGAGGAGGACGGAGTTGTTGCGGATGAGGAGGGGGTTGAGGTGGATGAGGCGCAGTTAAGCGATGAGGAAGAGGCTGGGGAAGAAGAAGAGACGTTGGACTGGAATGATGTCTTCAAGGGTGACAATCACGTGGATGCGAAAGAGGACGACGTGCCCACTGTATTCAGCAAGTTAGAGGACGATGAGATCGAGGATGCCTCGGCTTCCGAAGGTAAACAAGAGTGCATTTTATCACCATGCAGGGCTGATTATCCATTGCAGGAGCAGAAGCAGAATCGGTCGACGACGCAGCTGAGCAGCCGAAGAAAGAAACTCGCATGAAGACCAACAAGGCATGCATCGTATCACCTGCATAATTTTGCTTAGAGCTGACCACCTGTGCAGCGCAAAGCGACGAACTTTTATTCCGCAACGAATGTCAAGAACAAGAACCGTCAAAAAGCCACACTCATGAAGTCACTGCAAGGCGGCGAGAGGGGAGATGGTCGGAAACGGAGAAGGAAAACATAGTTCGGTTGTCCCGCAATCCTGCCCTACCCGTCAATTGCAACCATTTGCGTTTTTACAGTTCATGTAAGTCTTTCCGGTGGTTTGACAGGATTCGGACTGGTTTGACCATCATCCACTTGGTAATGGGATGCTCGAGAAAACACTTGCGATCGGAGGAACGACTCTTTTGAGGCTGATTTTCCGGCGCGCGCGAGCCGTTCTTACGCCACAGCACCCTGTACCTACACTCCGAATGTCAGAATTCGACGAGGGACGGATTGCATTCTTGACCGTTTCTATGCACTGAAATAATTGTGAACAAGGTCCTGCCCAGCACCGGGAAGAAAGCCAGACCATTGTTTTTGGGTCTTCGACATGTAACGAAGGCCCAACGCAACTGAATTTGTAGGGCGAGCGCGCGTGCCCTTCACCTGTACGTCGCAAGCCGCAGCTGCAGGTGCATCGAAGTCTGGCGCACTGGCAAGGTTTGATGCATGATAGATAATCATCATAGCTGGCCGGCGATCGTATGGCCGTTATGAGCCCTCGCTACTGGGTGCTAGCTAGCAGAACAACTCAATTAGTGTTTCTGCGGTTCGATGAGAAAGCGCCCTCGCACTGGTTCCGTGGCAACACATTGAGGAAACGTGAGCGAAGCATCGCCTAGTAGCCTCCCATCCGCCGTAACATCTGCGTAAGCCGACAAAAAGATAACATTGCTGAAGGGGATACAGTGGTCGTGACAATACATAACTATATCATTACGACACTTCCAAGGACGTGAACTGACGTAAAAATGCATCGAGAGAATATCGAGAGAATAGACAGCGAGAACACATCTGATCCTTGAGTAGAGAGAACTCCGCCGGGAGGCTTGACCAGGGAAGCTCAAGACATCCAGATAGGCTCGTTCTTGTACTCCGCATTGGGCTTGTACGGCCCACCCTCGAGCCCGAGCGCCTCTAACCGCGTCTTGACCGTCCGATGCATATGGAACGGCCGGTGTTTAGGCACTTGGCGACCCCTGCCCAGGTTGACCCTGCACACATCACCACATTAGTACCTGTACAGAACAGCAAGCAGGAATGCGCACATGAGATAGTCCTCCCATTGGTTTTCCTTGTTTTGGTGGCGGTGCTGCGGCGGGAGGACTAGCGGGAGGACCTCGAGCGTCCACCACCCGGGCGCAATCTTAAGCTGGTCATAGATCGGGCAGAGCGCGTCGATCAGGTCCTCCTCCTCCTCAGTCAGTGGCGCACCCTGCGACACCCGTGTTGCATCTGTACTCTCCCGGGAGTGCGCATACTCCATGGCATACCGCGACGACGACGGGGAGAGCGCCGGCGGGCGCTCGAGAACCTTGGGGTACAGCGCGGCGGGGTCGAGCCCGACATTTCTGAGGGCCTCTCCATGGAAGCGGATGCCCGTCTTGGCGAGGAAGCACTGGCGGATCATCCACCGCAGCGGAATGCGCGCAAGGTTGTGGGTGACGTCGTTCGCGACAGAACCCCCGCCCACGTCTGCATCGCGAGATTAAGCGAAGTTACGGAAGAGAGAAGCGCACAGCGCGTACCGCAGTGACACCCGGCGAACCACACCTCTAGCACGTCCGTCTCGCAAGGCACGGCGTTGCCCCGGTTGTCCAGGTCGAACGTGCGCTCCCTATCTTCAGCCCATTTCTTACTCCGCGCTGACTTGTGCCCGGACTTAGGCATTTCCCCCGCTTGCAGGCCGAGCTGGGTCTCGCGCTCCGTCGGGCGGTTGTAAAGGTTTGCCTTGAACTTGGCGCGGTGCTCATCAAGGGAAACGGCGTGGCGGAAGGTGCGGATCGAATTGTTCGAGGACGTGAACGGCAGAGTGCGCGGGATGAGTCCGACGGAACACACAGTATCCCTGCAATTCATAGATTCAATCCCAATGAAAACCCAACGAGAGCGATGAATGACGCACCATACTCCGATGAACTCAATATCCACATCCATAGAGAACGCTTTCTTGAACGCATTCGACTGTTTCCAGCCTACGTCATCCGTGCGCGTGAACATCTTGTACGCAAATGGCACCTGTTGGTGGTTACTAGCTGGGAGTAATCCGACCTGGAATACGTTCAGCGTACTGAAGCGGATATGAGACATACATGAGTATTACCTTATGGATCATACCAGCAAGGGCACGGGCGGTATATGCGCCGCGAGAGAAGCCGAAGATACAGATCTTGTCGCCGACCGTGTCTGCAGACAGCGCCGTCAATTGAGATCTCACACAGAGAAAGAGCTGTACGTACAATTCTGCATGAGGAACTCATATCCACCTGAGAGATAATCAACTCGTCAGTTCCTCAGATCCACGCATGCGACTATATGCGGTCTCTTACCCATGACATGCGCATTCAAATTCCACGCGATCATCTCATCGAGAGTTTTGTTGACATTCGACCAGAAAGGCGTTGCGATCTCGGGGATGGTATACGTGCCAACGCCAGCCTGAACAGTCTGTCAGCACAACACCCGCCCCCAAAGGCAGACGACAAACCTGATAGTAGCACATCTGTTGGTTGCGATCATCCTTCTTCAGCATGGAGAAGAACAAGACAACGTTCGAGTTCTGTGATCGGGAGTGGGTTAGATCGGGCGCAACTCAATAGATAGGCATCCCGATTAAATGAAAAGTGGTGTGGAAGATAATCACCACGCCCACCGTCGATTGTCAGCCATTGTTGAAGTCACCACAGTAATAGGCTCCATTGCATGCATCGGGCATGCCAACGATGACAAACGGACAAGCGCACGCGCAGCGATATTGATTGTCCGGGTAATCAACCTCAGAGAGCGATGACACGGAGGCAAATCACGCTGAAGGTCAGATAGTGTGCTGCAGGTTCCGATTGCGCACTTAAATTCGTGAAGCGCCTCGCTCCATGTGATATATCCCGAGACATGATACATCGAATATGAAGGCAAATACGCACATCAGTGTCAAACTGGTCTCCCGTCCCATCGAAGCACAGGACGAGCGTCCTCGGATGGTGGTCCGACAGACTTGGAACGACGTCGGTGTCGACCACGCTGCTAGAGATGGAGTGCGACGGGCTAATAGGCGGACTGGTCATGCTGGAGTTCGTGGGCTGAGTGAAACCGGAGGAAGAGGCGGACGTCGAGCTGGAGAGACATGGGGAGGACATGCTGCCCGGAGAGGAGGAGGACAAGGTTATCGGGGCCGGGGGAGACATCTCGACGGCGTAGGGGACAAGGAACGAGGAGCGGGCGGGCTTATATAGGCTGGAGAAGGGGAGATGGACGTGGACCGATATGTCAACGATCAGGTGTATGATGGGCAGGGAAAGCTCCAAGGACGACAAGGCCCGTGCGCAAGGAATATTGACCGATGCACCGAGGCACGATGGACGCTATAACAGGCTTGACAGCGAACCACAGAATCATTCTCATCGTGGTCGACCCTTCCATTCGCGCGCTTCCTCATCATCACTATCGCATGTATCGCATGTCCTTTTCCGTCATCCACCGCTCAAAGAACGCAGTGGCGCGTGCACAATTGATCAGTCTGCCGGAAGAACAGGACAAAGACCACGCAAACTTTCATGGTCGTAGCGCTTCGCACAGCCCAGGAGGAGGAACTCATGATGATCAAGAGCGAGTCGGACTCGGAGTCGCCGCCAATTCTTGATCTATCACGCTTACCAAATTCGGACAAATCGCCGTTGCAGCGGAGATCCAGATGTCTATATAGTGCCTACCGCGACTGCACTGCCGTAAACTGAACTAATCGCTGGCTATTCGAAGCAAGGGAAATGGCACCCATGTCATGAGGTATCATACACCAGTCCAACGTTCGTCGGGTCCGAACTACGACCGCCCCTCTTCGACGTTGAGTTAACGTTGACCACCAGTCTACTGGACAAGAAAGAGCCTTATCTGAATATTTGCGCTCCTCGTGGCTCTGCCAACTGCAGCATTCAACGTTCAACTCTTGTCCATGTCTGTGCTCGCGCTCCACTCGAGCCTGCACATGGATGTGGTCTACTCCCGTTCGGAGTCTTTGAATCCTGCATATCGCCGCATCGCGAATCCTGAGGTGGAGGCTTCGTCGCCGCTCTGCCCATAGTGCATACCACCGCTCGCAGGCCGTAAACCGCGCCCCGAATGTCAAGATGCGGCGGCCGCGGGAGCAGTGCACAATGATAGAATCATCATCACTGCCACCGCGAGTCGAGTCGAGGTGAGGCGACCTAGACGAACTCGCCATAACTCGGTGGAGGTCCAGGACCTGGTCCAACTGCCAGGCGAGGCGAGTCAAGTTTCCGAGTCGAACTCAACTCGGATCATCATGCATCAAGCTCGAGCGCGTCCAGGATCCAATCGTGATTGTTATCGCCCTTGCGCGCCTTGTCCACGGCGGGGTCTCAAGTAAACTTGCCGTGAGCCTTTCTAGTCCTAGTGGAAGGCTATCGAGCGGATCAGAGTAACTTTTCCCAAAGCAGCTAGGCTCCTTGGACCAGAAAGCAAAGGAGATGGCGGACTCGAGTTTCGGTTAACAATATGACACTGACCCGCGGATGGAGTTCGCGGGATCAGCGTAGGGAGACCAGACGTGGCTAACCCATATGAGAAGCAAGACAAAAATGCAGACGAGTAAATTGGGACTTCTGCACACCACCGCAAGATTGATTGGAAAAGAAGCTGCGTCATGCTCAGCGTGCTTCAAACCTCCCAATTCCACCATGTCATTGCGTCCGAAGTATTTCGCAAATTACATCACTCACAAACGAACCTCCTATTGGATGACCATCCACTCAGCATCAGCCCAACTACTGCAGCACGAATCTCGCTTGGTGCTGCTGCTCGTGCGCCCCACGGCCCTCCGATCCATGCATGTGCATATGCTGGACCTGGCCCCCCGGCGCGCCACCGTGATTCCCCACTTGTGCGTCTGCCGCCCAAGACCGTTACGGTGAGCCTTCGTCAGGTCGAAGCAGCGGGGCCGCGCCATGTCCCCTAGGCGGAGGCTTTCCTCCGCGAGCTCCGACACCATCCGCATCGCGCGACCTCCCCAGACAGGAGGGACCTATGGTGAGGAGGGAGCCGGGTCAAGTCAACAAAGTGCGGAATGATGCCCGTCGGCAGCGTCTTGCGGCCGCGTGCTGCGATGTCGTCCACCTCTCGAGCGACCTGGTCGAAAAGTACGGGTGTAGATCGGCGGTGGCGCTCAACTAGACCGAGATGGCGGTGCAGGCCGTCCTTGGGCCCGGGGAGCTTGTCATTGCGCGCCACGAACTCATCAAACTCTCGCGCAACGTCGAGAAACCGAATGGTGGATCTGGGCGTAGGAACAGGTTCCTTTGGGCCATCTTGGATGACGGGCGGATCGCAGACGCCGCGCGGGGCCGTAGATGAGGACCCCGCGCAGTGTCAGGGCCTCGTCATCGAGTGAGGTTGGAGCAGCACTGGAGGTCATATATCAGTGGGTATTCAACGAGTTATGAAGTACGAACTCATGCAACCAAGGCCGGAGCGACGAGAGTAGCGGCAACAGCCAGGACTGTTGAGGGACGCATCAAGGGCAGAAGTTGGCTCTTGGGGTGAACGACATAGAGCGAGTAACACACGATGAATTTATGAATGAAAGAGGCGGGTCAAGCTAGTACTAGTATGAAGCATCTCTGTGTTAGAGGGAGGCAACGAAACGTGGTATACAAATGAAGCTCACTATTCAGGACTCGACCTTTCGGACTTGAGACACAAGAACTAGAGAATCCGAGCTGTCCAGGACATGTTATGTAGTGCACAAATCGCTTCGCAAGAACGCTGGTACAACATAAAGCTCCATAATCCTACAATCAAAACATGGAGCTATGGAGCTCAGGGGACTAGTAGACACCTTGTAGAGGCAGGCATCGCAAGAAATACAACGCACCATTGACAAGCCGCGTACCATCAACCGCTGGGTTCCACCTGGCTGCTCGTACATGCATATGTCTACGACTCAATTACTTTTCTACTTGCCAAGAGCACTGCAACCGGGTTTCCGTGATGATCATGGCCTGTGCATAGAAAATCTAGCCTAACACCACCGAAAACTCTCCGGAGGTGGGAGGCTGGATTCTCAGTAGCGATTCGAGCCCGTTTCAAGATGTCTTGAAGTTGATGCAGGTGGTACCGCGCGCTATAAAATCCACCGGGAGCCGCAAAGATCTCTTGCGGAGTAGAAGAGGCGAATTGCAATGAAAACAGGGCGCAGTTCGTTCGATATCCGAGTCTGAGGTTGCTGGGTTGCCAGTTGTTGAAAGGGCCGCGGATGAAACGAATAGAATTAGCTGATTGTTGCCATATACAGTAAAGGCGCGTGTCACGTGGAACGAGGCCCACCGCTGGGCGCCTAGACGTAATACGTGCGTCGACGCCTGCACTTGCTGCTTGGCTCGGCACCACCTGCATCCGCAGCACAAATGCCACCAGTGACAGAGAAAGAGCATGTAAACGGTACGACAAACGGTGAGTTGAAGCAACGACGGCGTCCGGGACGCGTCCCAGTCTCTTGCGCGGAATGCCGCCGGTACGTATGCTTTTCTTAGATATTAATTGCCGTACCAAGTGTCGGCATTGACTCGGAGCACTGTTCTTTAGCTTGAAGCTCAGGTGTGACCGCAAGGTACGAGTATTCTAGGACACAGGTTTCGTGTTAATCCTCATTTGTTCTTACTTGCAGGTGCCTTGCGAGACTTGTGTGAAGAGAGGATGTGCCGCAATTTGCCCAGAAGGTGGGCTTGTCTCTCACGCAAGCTGCTTTTTGATGAGACGTCTTGATCTAACAATGTAGATTGCAGGCTCTCTCACTACTGGCAGAGCGAACCGGTGAGTGTCGCCACATGTACTGCAGCGCGGGAAATACCCAGACTTGCGTCTCAGAGGCGCAATCGCCGGCGTAGAAGAATTGCACAGGGACATTGAGCGGCTGCGTACCCGCTGTGCTACTCTCGAGGATGCCTTGAGAACTCTACAAGCCAAGATCACGGACGAGCCGCATCCTCTACTTAGCGATTCACCGAATTCGTCGGGAACACCAGAGTGGTCAGGCGGTCCGACACCTGATGGCCCGCTTCTCTCGCGTGCAGACGAAGAGGTCCTCGACTCCTTTGGTAACTTGTTTGCACTTTCATCATGTTTTGTGTCTAACGCATGTGCGTAGGCACTCTCACCCTCGGCTTGCGGGGAGAAGCGAGGTTCTTTGGGCAGACTTCAAGATCCGAGGTACGCAGAGTTGGTATTTTTTTGGGAAAATTTCACTTATTGTTCCACAGTACCTCATACACGTAAGTCCCTGGCTTGCGTTTCGCCTCACAATCTTTGTAACGTCTACATGAAGGCACCGTGTTGCGGCTACATGTCATATACATCCTTCCCCCATCTGTCCAAGGAGCTTATCGACGAAGCCATCATGGAGCTCGACGTCCCGTGCGAGAATCCAACTATACACGAGGAAATCCGCCGCGCGCTGCCATCGCTCTCGCAGGCCTACCGTCTCTGCGAGATCTTCCTGGAATACGGACAGTACGTGTAGGTATCATCAATTTCTGTCTGATTTGCGGTACTCTTCACTTCGTCGCATGCAGATGGTACCCCATTCCGCGGGAACAGGTGTTCGACGAAATTATGGGCGAGATTTACCGGGCTACGCCGTAAGTTACCGGCATGTGCCCAACATCCCGTGTTAACATGTACCCTGCAGCCCATCAGACACCTGTTTCTCTTGCAGTCATGCCACCTCGCTCTTGTTCGCTATATTCGCGCTCGCTACTCTGTTCGACCTGGACGCCCCCCCGTACGCCATCGAGGCGCACGAGTATTATCTCCTGGCGCGGCTTTGCCTGCGGTTCGCGCCTCCAATACGGGACACTACACTGACGGCAGTGCAGAGTCTGGTACTTATCGCCGTGCATACCCGATGGTTCCCATTCTGACCCCACCATTGCTTCCAGGTCTACATGGCGCAGTATTTGGAGCTGAGCGATTGTGAACCTGCACATACCGGCTCTCAGAAAGCGTGGTTGCTGGTCGGACTGGCTGTCAAGTTGGGATACAGCGTGCGTATTTACTTTTCGTAAGTGAAAAGGCTCATCATCATCGTGCTGTAGGTCGGCTTGCGTGAGGCAATGTGTCTATTGCGCAAAAAGTTTTCCCTGGCTGATATTTATTCTGCAGATGTGAATAGCTCTAGGTGGAAACTTGACGATGATGCCAGCCAAAGACGAAGCCGTGTGTTCTGGGAGCTCTTCATGCAGGACACCTGGATCGTATGTCTCCGCAATATGAAATGTGACAGTCTCTTAACCACATTTCACGTTGCAGAGCTTTGGCTTCGGACGCCCACCATCCATGTCCATGTCCTTCATCGACTGCGAATTCCCCAAAGACACTCAAGCTTTCATCTCCGAATCCGGAGCAAGAGAGTGCAGCTGTACGTGCCACGCCCCTTTCTTTGTCCATGACATCGTTGAGCTATGCCCCAGATCATAACTGGACGTGGCAGTTCTCGAAGCTACTGCACACGATCGTGAGCACGGCGTTCGGTGCCAAGTCGCCTTCTTATGCGACCGTGCTCGACTTTGACCGCAAGGTCCGCGACTTCCCCGTCCCTCCGCACCTCCGCCCCGACTGCACGTTGCCCGAGTTCGAGCGAATGCTGCCGTCATTCTTCATGCGCGGGTTCTTCGTCGTGTCGTCCAAGGAGTCGAGTTAGTGTGGCACTGCTTCTGATGACGCAACGTCCGTGTTGATGATGTGACGCCCGTAGCGCTACTGAGCTTGCACAGGCCGTTCTTCGTCCAAGCCTTGAACGAACAGCCGGCAGATTTGCTCAGACACAGGTACGGGCCGTCCGTGATGGCCATCTATCGCTCGGCCTGGAGATCCATCAACGGCGCCAAGGAAGTATTTAAGCGCATGCCTGCCGTGATCTCGCGCTTCGGGTTGACGTGGTCGCAGTGCATTGCTGGAGGAGTATGTTCCTCGTCTGATGCATCTGGTATGTTGCTGACGGAAGTGTTCGAAGATCGTTATGTGTCTCCTGGTTACTCGGGCGCCCTCGTCGCCCCTCGCCAGCTCTGCATTGCAGGAGCTAGTGAATTTATGTGAGTTGTTCGAGCGAGCCGCTGAGACTTGCCAAATTGCGTCAAATAATCTTGTAAGAAATGCCCACATTTGCATTCTTCCACATTGTACTGAAAGTTGTCCAGGACGTGGTGCGAAAGCTCTACCGCCAGGGCCATGAAACAATGAGCAAGTCGCAGTCACAAAAGGCGCCAGGCATGACCGCAAACGAGCTCGACAGGCTCGGCGGGAAGACACATCTGATATCGTCCAACTCCGATATCGCCCAGCAGTGCCCGTACGCGCAGCCGAGACGCATGGACCCATTCATCGTGCCTGTACCTGCGCCCGTGCCCGCAGAGTTCATCCACCCGACGATCATGCAGGACCTGCGCTCGTTCGACGGGCTCAACCCCAGCGGGTACGTCGGGATGGAGCCGTCACCGTTCTATTTCGACCTCCTCCCCGGCCCGTCGGGTGCGGGCGCGGGAGCTGGTGTGGGCGCCGGGGGGTTCGCGAGTTCGTCTGTGGAAATCACGCCGGAGGTGTTCGACCAGTTCTTTGCGCAGAATGGGTTCGCCGCGCCCGTCGTCGAGCCGGAGCAGTTTGCGGGCCCGCCGGTACTTGACTCGACCTGGCAGTCGTTTGTGGAACAGTTGGGATTCTAATTAGAGTTTGCTGGGTTCAAGGGTCCGTTTGTTGGATAAAGCGCTCTGATTTGCTGTCGACCTAGACTTACTAGCCCACTTGCATTGCGTCGGGCCCATGATAGAACACCACGTGTAGCCGTAGCTTCTTCATTCTCAATACAGCGTTTCCGCAAACCGTCCACTGCTGCGTGTGTAGGGTCTCGATCCGCTTGCTCTACCATAACGTTTGTGACCCTGACTCGCTGCAGGAAGAGCGCTGAGTCTGCCACTAAATGATGCCGCCTACCGCAAGCACCCTTTCGGGCCAACTAGAAGAGCTCCATCTACTCAGATGTTCTCTCCTTCCTGGCGAGTCGCTGACATTCGATCCCTCCGAGGACACGGACCACTGGTGCGAACTCTTGGACGCCTACGCTGAAGATCCAGAGCAAGTAACCGCGCGAGCGCCGAGCACACTCCCACTGGCCCGCTTTGCAGTGCAGCTCGAGGAGGCGAACGTGTGGTTCGACGTCGAGCTCCCCGCCGCATATCGCGCGGCGACGGGTGCAGCGGACGCGGAAAATCCTGATGCGCCCGTGCTGCCGCGCGTGTCCGTCAAGAGCTTGTACCTCGCTCGGGAAGAGCAAGCGCGCTGGCAGGCGGCGGTGCAGGAAGCGATGGTGGAAGTTCGTGACAGTGAGTGCGTCCTGCACACCTGCCAGCGTCCATATCGCGTTGACCTCCTCGCCCCTGCCAGGTACCCGGTGTACGACCTGATCTCGACCCACCTTCTCCCCCTCCTACACGCAGAACTTGAAGTCGACGGCGAACCTGGAGGATCCACCGCCCCCGCCCCTTCAAAACTCCCCGAGGATGAAACGGACAACAGGCGCTACCACGCGCTGCTGACCTCGCACCATCTCGTCGCGCCGTCGAAGCGGCGCGCGCTGCACGCGTGGGCGGCCGAGCTCGCGCTCGCGGGCTTCGCGAAGCTCGGACATCCCGGCGTGCTCTATTGCTCCGGTACACACGGCGCTGTCACGGAATTCGTGAGACGCGTAAAGGCGCTGCAGTGGCTCGCCTTGCGCGTGCGGTTCATCGAGCCGTTAACTCAGTCTGGAGTGGAAGAAAGCTATCAAAAGGGCGGACGGTGGATCGAATTCGAGAAAGTTGGGGAGGTGGTGGCTGAGATGAGGAGGTTAGGGCGAGAGAGGTTCGTCGTGGAGATGGGTATCGGCAGTGCTGGTGCTCAGCCTGGTGCGTGTTCGAACTTGAAGTGACTCGGGGTAGTAATGAGACGTTGTCAACATGCTTGGTCCGTAAGTACTCAATTATGCAGGTTGGCAGACGCATGTACGTTGGCGTCGTAAGCTACAAGAACTCGTCTCGACCCTCCAGTTAGTCTCCCAAAGGCAGGCTACAAAGTCAGTCTTATGAGAGGACTGACCACCCGCACAAGCCGCATAGCCAAGTATTTCTCAGGGAAAAACCCTAACAAAATTCATAAAGTAAAGCGCGAGAAAAAACTGTGAAGAAAGCATAATGAATGGGAAATACCGCGATTGTCCAATCAGCAGCTGAGAATCACAGTTTTTCCTGGAGAAATTCTTTATTCTTTTTCCACAGTTTTTCTGTATGCCTTACTTTAACCCTTTCTAGAGGGTTTTCCGTAAAAAATACTGGGCTATGCTTCTTGTGCCAGGCGATCAAAGATCAAAGTCCGTAAAAGGCAGATACCCATACATGGCAACTTTAGTTGCTCCAAGGCCAAGGATCTACAATGGACTCCAGCCAAGCAACATCATGTATCTGCTTTTTCTGAGGCACAGGGACCACTTGTATGTGCAAATGGTACCTTACGCAAGGGTCAGTATTAGTGTACACTCTTCACCCAAACTCCTCAGAAAGCTGTCGCACAATGTGTATGCAGCTAAACTCTGGTTCACTTGACACATGTTTACAATGCTTACAATACAATATCTGCCTTTGCCCCAGTGGGCTTAGGACATGTCTACATCAGGCCTCAATGAACCAAGTATGTGTAGAGCAGTGGATCTATGATGGTATGAGTGGGACGTTGGTTAGACTAGCACTCTGCTACCTGGAGTACAGGATCACATCAGCAAAACTGGATGAGGCAGATAAGGTATGATAAGCCATTGTAAGGTACGTAAGTTTTGTATCCTTCCGAATTTTTCACCCGGTCTTATAATATGACCATTGGAATTGCAGAGGGTCGCAATTTGTGACCATTGCTTGTAAGGCTTCCCATCATTATGGGCCTTCCGAACCTTCTAATGGTTTGCAAGATCAAGTGCATTGGGGCCCTATTGCCAAATGCTACGATACTACTGCCTTCGAGTTCTCAACATCATGCAAACATATATACTAGCCACAAAAAATATATTTCTATTACAAGGGCATGTCCTGACACATACCATGTGTTGAATTTTGACTGTGAGCTACACAATGGACAGCATTGCAGATGCTTGCTACAAGAATCCAAACAGTCTGCAGTGGTAGCTCGCACTGCAGAAGGCCCCGCAGCAACAAGCCAGCATGATGGCTATCACATGCATCAGGATATCACTCACTGACCTGAGCGACACTGATGCCGATGCAAGTCGCTGCATGTATACACATGTCCAATATGTGTGTGCACACGTGAGCACTGGCATTGTGCAACACGCATACAATGGCGAGAGCAGGTGCTGGAGTAACATTGAACACTGACAGGTGACATCGTGAAAAGTAACGATTAGAAGATGAATGGAAACATACCTTATCCAAGTCATGGCCTCGACCTCCATGGCTCCAGTTTACATCACTGAGAGCAGACAGGGCCAGCTGAACCTAGCAGACAACATCCGTGAAAGACTAGGATGTATCTGTTGGTATACAGCTCATACATAGAGTACTCAGGCATTAACGTGACACATCTGTGGGAGAAAAGATGAGCCACATTGCAGGCCAAGTATGATGGGAGGAAGAGAGGAGAGATGGCGATGCAGGGAGACAAGCGACTTTGATATAAGTTCAACATTTGCATATGTTTACAAGCTGTATCTTTCGAGGCAGAGATGGGCTGGCCAAGAGTTGCCCAGTAATAGTCAGGTGTATGGAAGGTATATAAGTCAATGAGCAGCAAGATGGATGGTCATAAGGCCTTCCAAGGTCTTCCAATACGCCATCAGCCTTGTCAGGTGTTACAAACACTATTAGGCCGTAGCAGGTTTGTCCACTTTTGCTGATGCACCGGTGATAAGACCATGTAGGTGAATGAGGGTTGTGCTGGAAGAGTGTGAATAAAGCATGAGAAATAAAAGCATTAATCAGGGATAGCCCTTAATAACTGTGCTAACCTCTTACATAATCCAACCTCGTTGCCCAGCGAGAGCACGAAGTCAACTGTGAACAGTGATGGTCCATCCTAGAAGAAATGACAATGGTTTCTGAATGTGACAGACTGAGTGGTAGAGGAAGTGACAGTGAGCTGGTTGGCATGCTGTCAGAATGGATGTGCAATTGAACTGGTGGATGACACTGAGCATCATTAAGGTCTGAAGCAGCAGCAGATTATCATGAGCTGCTATGCTCTGCCACATTCAGTTGTCACTAGCCTGTGAGTTGTGGATCCAAAGGGTTGATGAATGAGATGGTGGTGATAGAAAGATCAACATGGAAGAATAACAGATGTAGATAGTAAAGTCAATGGTGAGGAAGTATCTGACTGTGTTTGCCTAATGTCAGGAACACTAACTCTATACACTGGATGCCCATCATGGAGTGAGTACAGAGGGTTGGATGAGCTATCAATGACAATAAAATCTCATATTCATCGAGGCTGGAATGACAATATGATGGTTGTTGTTATTATTGTTGTTGTTTGACCATGTACTCTGCAATTAGTTCGTGACCCTCCTTGTCAGCTTTGGACATTGCACTGCCATGCAGGACATGAAACATAAGCTTTGTCCATGTGTCTGACATGTAATATGAGATCACTCATCCACATGAGTCAAACAGAAAGTAGTTCACCTTTTTGTCAGCCTCAATTAACGCAGTTTGACGCAAAAGTGCAGGAGAGTGTCTGTACTTGTCATTCACCTTCATCTCAATGGCTGTGATATTGTAGTGGCCATCAGAATTGGGTACAAGGTCATTTATGATGATGGGAATTTTGGGGAATTGCCAGAGGCTGTTGTCTGTGGTGCCTCATAGGCTGTTGGTGTACACCATCTTACCACAATACTGCTTGTGCTTCTGCCAATCTTCTTTCACATATTATCTGATAAAACACTCAGCTAAGTTATCAAAAGAAAAGCAACAAATACGAACTTACTGCAAGTAATAGTGAATACTAAAGTGCAGTTTTAACTTGTATGTACTGCATACCATAAAGTGCGTATTCCATTCAAAACCTTCTGGGCTCTTCCTGCAGTTCTTAAATAAGTGTTACAAGGTAACTCAAGGGGCGATGTCGACTTAGAGTACAACCAGTGTAGGGCTTTATGAGTTTTCTTATATAAGGCCTACAATTGGTGCAGAGCTTTTTGAGTTTTCTTGGTCTTCCTATCTGGGTGCCTACAACCATGTGCAGGGCTTACCGAGTCTTTCTAGTTTTCCTATCTGGGTGCCTGAAACTGTGTGCAGGGCTTACCAAGTGCACGTGTCCTATATGATATGCTTGGCTGATAACTTCCTTCTGCTTTCTGAGAACTTTCTGAGAACTGTTCGAGTATCTAGCAACCATGTGCTAGAAAACTCAAAAGAAACTAAACTAGAGTGCAGTAGTTGTGTTAATACAATTCACTGCCTGTAGCTGAACTGACTGTGTTGAGATCCTTTTGATTACGAGTAACAAGTTACAGGGAGGAGTGAAATGAACTCTTATTCTGTTAGTTTATACACTTGTAGGGTGAACTACAAGCAGAGGGAGAACTCTTCACTTATAGGGGCTATAAGTGGGGAGCAGTGATGTCAGTTATGAGGGATAATCTTTAGTGCTTATAAGTTACAATTAAGGCTGAAATCTGAGTTTAATAAGCAGGTCACATACAAGGATAATCTACTGGCTTTCAAGCATAAGGATTATCCAAAGCCAAAACTAATTTAACAACTTGCACCCAGCCAGGATTAAACTCTCAACCTTAGGAGAAAGTCACATGACTAAGAAACTTGAGACACTTTAACCACTACACCATATCAGCTTAACAGTTTGCACCCATGAATAATATATATAGTAAATTTTGCTAAAAGGACTTAGACAAATTCTGCTCATCACAAGAGTGGTAACTATGTTAGACATAAGACAAAAGATGTTTCTAGTACTAGGATATTTACTAGTTGTTCTATGATGTCAGAGGTATATAAGATGTCCCACTATTCACTTTAGAGTACTCTTTATCTTTAGCTCTTAGCAATAAAATCTTCTATAGTGTGTCATTGCTAAGTGCATCTTAAGTGCCAGTGTGATCATAGTATCAATACATGTCTTAGGACTAGTGCAGAGCAGGGGTATACCCCTGGGTACTTTGACCTGTACCCCTACCCTTACCCTCCAAGGGTACATACCCTTCACCAGGGGTAAGGGTATGGGTAAGGGTACCAAACCCTGAGGGTATACCCTTCAATATCTGCCTTACTTGAGGAAATAACATCATAGACATTAAGTTTAAGGCTTGTAATAGCCTTTTTTTCTCTTTGAAGCTTCTGTAGACATAGTTTAAGGCTGTATCTAGGCTGCACTTAGGCTTTAGTCACCCTATAGTTACTGCTTACATGATATATATTATATGCAGTGATACCCTCCAGGGGTATAAGGGTCTGAAAGTTCATACCCCTACCCTTACCCTCCAATACCCTTACCCCTTACCCTTGAGGGTTATTCATACCCCTGCTCTGCACTACTTAGGACATTAAAAGATTGCTCAGAGCATAGATAGAATGTAAGCTGGACGTATGACATGAATCTTATGTGAAATATCCTACTAAGCTAGAACATTCATACTCTGAAGTAAATAGTGGGACATCTTATGTAGCTCTGACATCATAGAATAACCAGTAAATGTCTTAGTACTATAGGATGTCCCATGTGATAATTGTGCCATTGGATCAGCCTATATCCTATCTATATTCTGGATAATCACATATAATGCCCTGAGACATGTATTAGTACTATGGTCAGTCAGTCATCTGAGAAGCTCTTAGTTATAATACACTACAGATTATGTTGAAGCTAAGAGCTAGGTCTGAAGGGTAGCTCAAAGTGACTAGAAAC